TCGTAAGAGGCTATCGGCGGGATTTATTTTACTTACTCGGTATTTAATTACGAAATTAAAGGGGGTAAGGAATAAATACTACCGGGCTTAGCGTCTATTAATTTTTGGCTATTTTATAAAGCCCTAGAGGTTCAAATAATCAGAGAGGACCTCGATAGGGTACTTACTTCCTTTTAGGTAGTATCGCTATTACTTAAATAAATATATAATAGCGAATAGTTCCTGGTCCGGGGTGCTATAGTTTAGTTCTGCGCCAGTAAATTTTCTTAACTAGAACGTTACGGGGTGCTATCGCTCTTTATTATTGGGTTATAATATTATCCCGGCTATCCCTAGGTTAGATACGTTAGTTTTAATTCGGATATATCTTGCTAGGTCGAAGAATTTAAGGAGTGGGGCTTACTAAAAGGTATCTTTTAGTTATTAAAACGCTGCCTTTTTGATATCGTTTAGATCTATATTCCCTTATTTCTTGCCGTTCTGGCTTCCCTTTAGAAGGTTAGTAAGAGGGACCGTAATAAGGGAGTATCCTTTAATAAAGCGCTGGTAGAAGTTACAGAATCCTAGGAATACTTAGATATTATAGAATATTTTAGGTGTTTCCCAGGACGCGATAGCGATAATATATTATAGGTCTATTAAGATACCTTAGCTACTAATTATAAAGCCGAGGAATTCCACTTAGTCTTAGTAGAATACGTATTTAGATATTTTTGCGTAGAGCTATGCTTCCTTTAGCCTTTCGAGGACTTATCGAAGGTATTTTGTGTGTGACTTATAGTCTAATAAGAAGATAAGGATATTGTCTAGGTATATAATATAGATTATATCGAGTAGGCCACGTAACGCGGTGTGAATATAGTTTTGAAAGGTAGCCGGTGCGTTAGTGAGTCTAAATGGTATCACTATATATTTATAGTGGCCGTATTGTGTCCGGAAGGCTGTTTTCTATTCTTCGCCCTCTCTTATTCGGATTTAGTAGTATATATCCTATATATCGATTTTACTAAAGTATTTTGTACCTAAAAGGCGGTTAAGGATCTCCGAAATAAGGGGTAAAGGATAGCGATTCTTAACTAAGACTTTGTTTAATCCTCGGTAATCTATATAGAGATATAAACTACCGTCCTTTTTAGGCACGAAGAGAATCGGCGCCCCTACGGGACTCTTAGAGGGTCGGATACGTCTATTTGCGAGGTTTTCGTTAAGATATCTCCTTAATTCCGCGAGTTCGGTTTGCGAGAGGGGGTATATTAGCCTATAGGGGGGTGATACCCCTTCCTTGAGTTCGATGGTGTAATTAGTTAACTTTTGTATCGGCAGAATCCTTAACTAATTAGCCGCGAATATATTACGAAATATCTCTAGTTTGTCTAGTAGTGTTAATTCGGATATAGTCTCTGTTTCTTTATTATTCTTTGGAAGCTATATGTCTTCTGGTATTTAGATCGCGATATAAATATAGGTATAGTTTCGGTAGGCCTTAGTGAATTGCTACGGGCTGAGTGAGAAGAACTCTTTTGCCTTAAACCACTATCGTTGGTCTAGTAATAAATAGATTTAAAGGTCTTAAATCGTGGTTATCGATAGAAGGACGGGGCTACCTTCTAGGCGTAGGTCCCTATCCATAACTATATATTATCTTGTGAAGCTACGGGGTATCCCCCTCGAGTTAGTAGCGGTGATAAGGACTTTCTATACCTTATAGGAGACAATCTTCTGGTTCGAGATTGCCTAAATAGTTAGAGCGATAGCCGGGGTACGTTCTAGGTTATACTTTTTTGCGAATTAGTAGCTAACTAGATTAACTTCGGCGTAACTATCTAGGTCCGCGTGTGTGACGAGGGCGTTCCGTACTCGAATCGGGATATGAAAGCGTAAGGTGGTCCCTATCTCGGGGTCTAGAGTCGTAGGGGTAGGGCTCACTTCGACTTATTCCCTTTTCCCGAGTTCCTTAAGGATTAGATACGCGTAGGGTGTGTGTTTAGTCTGTCTTTAGTATAATTTGAGGCGATATAGCCGAATTCGTGGTATCGGTAGTATTAGGGTCCTAATCCTAAGCGTGGTGGGTTTCGGTCTTAGTTCGTGGTCAATCCGTATATATTATTTAAGTTATAATAGCCGCGGCTTTCCCGGAAGCGTGAGGAACCTAGCCGGGTCTTTAAGGGTTATTACTCCTTATATCTTTAGGAGGCGTTATCCCTTCTCTAGTTATATATATATCTGGATTATGCGAGGCGTCTTAGTGGGCGTCGATACTCTTAGGTTTTGTCGGCGAATCGGCGATGTTTCTTGGCTGTTTGGAGTAAGTTCCAAAAATATCCCGCTTCACTTACTATAGTATTGTGTGTCTTTAGTAATTATTCTCTAGGGAGATATTCGCTTATATAATAGCGAAGGGCTGGGTCAAGCTTAGAGTAATAGAATATTATACTATCCTTTTCGCTTTTCCGTTCAAAATATTATTCTAAGCTATCCAGATAGGTATAGAATTAATCCGGATTATCTTATAGCCTTTGGCGTGCCTGGCTAAGGCTAACACTTATATCGGCCCGTAAGGTAGCTATATTATATAGAAGGGTAGTCATTTAGTCTTTAAAAGCTATCTATAAGCTCTTAAGCTCTTATTGTTCCTCTATAGGCTTTATATATATATATTATAGCTATCTTTAGCGACAGTCGTATTCTATTATTACTGTGCTAGCGAATACCTTTTCTTGGTCTGTGGGGTATTGTTTTGGGTTAGCTTTGAATTGGTGTTCGAGGTCAAGAATCTACTCTTGACGTTTCCGGAGGTTAAAGTCCTTTAAAAAGGAAGGGATATCTTTGATTTTAATACTCTTTTTGTCGTTACTCGCGGTCGATTTGTCTTTATTTTGTAGCTAGGTCCTTATCTTAACTAGCACGGTTCGGTCCCCTTTAAGCTCCCGAATACGTTCAAGGAGGCGGATTTTCTTATTAAGGCGTTCGATTTTATCTTCGATAGTTTGGCTATCGTTTCGGAGTTCTCTATAGGTCGCTTGATGTCCGCGTAGGTCCCCTGGAAGTGGTTCGTATTATAGCGGGTTAGGAGAAATTAACTTAGGTTAGTTTAGTCCCGGGGTTAAATCGGTAGCGTCTCTACGCTGGGACGTAGCAGTAGCCTCGTGCGATATAGGCGTGTCGTCGCCTTTGGTAGCGACGCGGGAGCGGAGGACACGGTCGTTAACAGACATACTTCCTTAGGTAACCGATAAAAGAAGAATCAGAATTGTAAAGGATCTATGTGTTCAGGATAGAAAGCCTGTCGGTTAGGTAAGAAAGGATGTCTGGACTAGGTGTAGTATTGTAGAAGCAAGACTGATTCTTGCTAAGTCTAGATTAATTGGAAACCCTCTCGATTTAAGTACGAATTGGGTCCGAGACTTGCTTATTCCACTGCGGGGCAAACCTTCACCGCTAGTCCTCAGTATTCCTTTACAATTAGACTATAGTTAAATAGCCATAACAGAGCAGAGAGCTTATAACCTATAAAGATAGAAGATAAATAATAAGAGATATAATAGATAATAGATTCTAGAGATGAAGCTATAGATCTAGATAATATGGAGGCTGAGGCAAGGATGCGGTGAAGTGGGGCAGTATCCCAATTCAATGCGAACAGATATAAATGCCAACAATGTTGCCCAACGGACTGGCAAGGCCGAGGGCAGTCTGCCACTTGGCTTCAAGTTGATATGATCCCTTTTTGCTGGCCTCATAGCCGAAGTGCTGCTGAAACGCCGGGAAGCCAAACAGAGAACCGATCAAGGCCGTGTCGTAGCCGTCCAGGATTACGACCATGGAGACTACCATTGTCCATATACACGCCTTAGGATAAAGCCGGATAACATCCAGGAACCCCACTCTGTGCTCCTCAGCCGTCGCAATTCGAGCATCTTCGGCCAACCCTACCCGGCCCTGAAGTTCATAGTTCGGCCCGACGACTTCGGCGTGGGTAACATGGTGACTATCATCCTCTTTAGGATCTTGTGTGGCAGGCATTAAACAGATTTTGACTGAGCTCTCAGGAAAAGCGGGGATACAAGTCAAGGACTCTTTGTGGAGACTGCATGGGCGTCCCTTATATTGAAGAACGATCCATGCAACTGGCGGTTACAGAAAAATTCTGAATGGACTAGGTAGGATATCTAACTTTACCCGTGGTCCCGAGTGCAGTCTAAAGGCCTCGCTCTCGTTTCATGCCTAGCTTGTGAGAGCTTGAGCGTAATATCCTTCCTTGGCACGAAATCGGGAGCGAAAATGTGGGGTTACATGTAGTGGTGACTGGTGGTCTTCATGTCAAGCCGAAGCGTGGTGATAAGCCAAACACCTCAGCTTGTGCAGGTCTGATTACATTACCGGGAGTCAGGTGTGTTCGCACACAACATGGGCAATATACCTGACCTCGCGTAAATAGTAGAGTAATAGCTCCTGTTCCCTGAAATTGTGACATTATTCCTCGAGTCAGCTGTACAGTGGAAGCATTCCCGGCCGTATCAGTCTGCACAGTTGTGAATGCACGAGACAGAGCTCAATGAAACCTATGCCGAGCCAAGCACGGAGAAGCTTCCAGTGTCCCCACCCCCGCTTCTCCCCAGACTAACTAAAAGATGGGGTAAAAAAGAGACTGCGAGAGGTGACGAAGAAAATCGGAATAAAATCGGCTTTTCGGCAACCACCGTGCAATTGATTTTAGGCAAAATAACAAGGACCCATGTAACTCGCAGAGATTTTAGGCTATGCTAAGGAGGAGTCAAGGGTGGCCTACAACGCATCTCCCTGCTAGCGCTTGGGGGTGGAATCAAAGTGGCTTTTATCCGAAAATAGAAGATCGAGGTGACAAATCGTTCTGCCCTGATCCTGTGCAACGAGCTCAGCTGTGTGAACTTCGAGCCATATTCTCAGACACAAAATTTCTGCATAGCATTCAGGAACCAAATTCAAACGCATAACTCTCCCTTTTGAAAATAACTTTGAAAATGAAGTTCTCCATCGTTGGAAAGCTCTGGCTTGTTCATTCTCTGATCGCTACAGTCGCAGCAAGGTCCGAAAATGCAGCTGCAGCGCAAGTCTCCATATTTGTCAATCCGAAACTTCAGTGTCAGGAGATAGACGGCTTCGGGGCTTCTCAGGCCTTTCAGCGTGCTGAAGATATTTTTGGCAAGTATGGATTGCCCGCTGTGAATCAGACCTTTGTTCTCAATCTGCTCTATGATGAGAACCTGGGCGCTGGCTTCACGATTCTGCGCAATGGGATTGGATCTAGCAATACCTCTGACAGCAACTTTATGACCTCTATTGAGCCCAAGAATCCTGGCGGGCCCAAAGCCAAACCCGACTATGTTTGGGATCGTTAAAATAGCGGTCAATTTCCACTCGCCGAAAAAGCTTATAACCGTGGTCTGAAGACACTGTACGCCAATGCGTGGTCTGCTCCTGGGTACATGAAGACCAATGACGACGAAAACAATGGTGGATACCTTGGTGGTGTGAACAATGAATCCTGTGTTAGCGGAAACTGGATGGAGGCGTATGCCAGATATCTCGTGGAGTACGGGCGCTTCTACAAAGATTCCGGAGTGGAAGTGACCCATTTAGGCTTCTTGAATGAGCCTCAGTTTGCTGCGACCTATGCCGGCATGCTATCAAATGGCACACAGGCTGCCAATTTCATTCGCGTGCTGGCCAGGACGATCAAGATCTCCGGCCTAAATCTCAAGATAACCTGCTGCGATAGCATCGGCTGGGATGGTCAAGAAGCTATGATGCCTGATCTGGAATTGGGTCCTGATCCAGCTATCAACTACCTCGACGTTGTAACAGGCCACGGTCATGACTCTCCTCCAGCGTATCCTCTCAGTACCAACAAGAAAACCTGGTTAACGGAGTGGGCTGATCTGACTGGCGATTTCACTCCTTACACGTTCTATGAGAATGGCGGTCCTGGAGAGGGCCTTACCTGGGCCAAACATATCCAGGTTGCCCTGAGAGATGCCGGAACTAGTGGATTCCTCTATTGGATCGGTGCTGAGAATTCAACCACTAATAGCGCCCTGATCAACCTCGTCAATAACGAGGTAATCCCATCCAAGAGGTTCTGGGCATTCGCGCATTTTAGCAAATTCGTGCGTCCTGGTGCTCGTCGCATCGATGCTGTTAGCTCCCATTCAAACATCACCGCCAGCTCTTTCAAGAATCAAAATGGACGCATCGCTATTCAATTGCTGAACCAGGGCGGATCAGATGTATTAGTTCAAGTCTTGATAGCTGGCCTCCAATCGGGAGTGTCTGTCGTGCCCTATGTTACAAGTAACGATCACGATTTGGAGCCTTTAGCCCCCATTGTTTCGGAAAGTGGTGGTTCGTTCAAGGCTACAATTCCGCGTTGGTCCATGATTACGTATATTGCTATGTGATTGGCCGAATCGCATAGTAGTGGAAGTGTCACATTCATGGCATGATCACGTATCGCGCCCTGACTCGTCTACTCATTACTTTTTCACTACGTGCAAATTACCCAATGATGGAACATTAAAAGAGGAAAGCATCAAAAATCCTACCAAGCTCGATGATTACCGCTTACTGTATTCAAAATCGCTCAAAAAGACCTAATGGGAAGGCATCTGCTATAGCTTTGAAGGCTTGCGTGTTGGGATGCAGACGATCGCCCGAGTCGAACTCTCGCTTTAAAGCCCCATCATCCGACTTGTCTTCCAAGAGCTGAGAAAATTCGAGGACGGCATCAAATATGCCGCTGTTATGAATCCACCTGTTGACCCGTTTTCTCGTCCGGTCTCGGATGGAATGTGAATATCCCGAGAGACCCTCGGCCGCTATTTCGGCCGCAATGTCCTCTTTTCTCCGGCCAAAAGGTGTAATTGTGGCGGCAAGCACAATTATTCCATGCGCATGAAGTCTCGTTGCGACCTGTCTATATGCGGCAATCAACCGATCACCAATTATAGTCTGACTCTCGTCATCGAACTCAGCGGTTCCAATATCATTTACACCTTCAAACACAATAACATATCTGACACCAGAGTGCGAAAGAATGTCTCGATCGAGACAACCGAGAAGATTGGGACCTAGGCCGTCTGCCAGGTTGCCACCGGCTGCTTGATTAAGAATAGCGATCGATGTAGTGAGCGGGTTAGATTGCAGACGAGAAAATAGAAGATCAGGCCATCTAGACCTGACGTTAGAGACATTGTTCTGATGTATTGCAAAAACACGTTTGATTGAAGCGAAAGAGTTCCATTACCGATCGTTCCCATTGCTTGTACTGCATCTTCCATCAGTGATACTGTCACCAACAATTGCCAATGCGCACGATTCACGCGGAACCAATACTTCGACTCCGGAGATATAAAACCTGATTCACGCTATAAGAACCGATATTTCCAACATAGTACGGTGACTGACCAATGTTCAATCTCCTGAACAGAAGGACATGTCAAATCTGTTTCCGAGACACAATTTCCCACGGAACAGAACGATGATGTCCGGCTACCTGGGTGGCAAGTAACTCCTTTCTGGCTGTCTTCCATCATTCAAAAAGATACTAATGCTGAGCACTGTATTCGCTGGCAAAAAGAATCCGAATCCAACAGCATCGGAGACGGCTTGCGCGCCGCTCACAATCGTCGTATTCTCCAACCCCTCGTCAAAGGTAACTTTCCGGAGTGTATGAGCTTCAATCGCGCTGTCGCCTGACGCATTATCTCGAGCCTGAGCTACGGTAGCTTGTGTAATATTTAAATCACTGGTGCCGAAAGCATTGGACAAGCGCAACCGGAAGTAGTTCTCAGCACCCAAGGTGACCTTGACAGTTTGTCGGGTCGTTGTGTTGGGGAAAAGAATCGTGTCTTGAGCCTGAAATTTAATGGTAAGAATCATTCACTGGAGCTCCGAGTGACTAGATAGGTACCCACAAAAGGTGTCGGGGGAAAATTGTCTTGTTCAGCGCGCATCGGCATCGCGGTCCAAGTATGGACCCAGTGCATCTTTTGATCCATTCACTTGAAATTGGAAAGGAAAAAAACCTTCGACAAGCGGCTTACGCTGAAAATTCTCCACAAAGGGGCTTTTAGCAGGTTAGACGGATAATATAGTCGAATGCAGCCCGGGTAATAGATTGCAAGCGAGATAGCGCCTAAATTGGCGAAATTGGGTGAAGGGGATAGAATCGTGACTTGAGACTGAACCCGCCTAGATTTTCTCCCGCTTCGTTTCTCTATTTGTCAAAGCCTTAAGCTAGCCTCGCTCAACTCTAAAAGAAGTTCTGGTAAATGGCCTGGTAATGTGTCTTGGTCAGCGTATGGCGGGCGGGACCTGGCTGTAATCACTCTCTCTTCACAATAGCTTTGACGGCATTTTGAGACACAAGTAGTACCGAGCGAAGGCACTGGAGAGAGTTTCTCAATGACGCGGACAAGTTTTGAAAACCGACACGGTTCCTTAGGCCGGGAGACAGGATGCTTTAACATATTCGACGAAAGGCGCACGTACTTCATAGTATATTTTGTCCCCGCTGCATGATATCTAAGGCCGGTTCGGCAGGGTGTAGGCGGTAGCTAACTTTTTCGCGATAGGGACGATTGCTCTATCCGAGACCGAGGTGACTCTCGCAAGGATAATTTCGTGGAAAGCGCCTAGGCCGGGTGGAATGCCATCATTAGAGTGGGATTAAATCTAGCCCACCGCCAAGGACTACTTCGTCGAGATCTATGACGCGAGACTTTCACTTAGCTACTTCCTAAGCGTATTGTTTAAACGCCTGAGCTATCTAGACTCGTAGGAACAGTAAAATTTGAATCTGTAATCTTTCTCGGTGAGGAAACGATTGTTGAATGTGTTAAATCATTCGTATGGCTAAGCCCAATGCAACATAGCATTGGAACATATAATTAACCTCGGCGCTGAATCCCCGACCGATATCTCTTTGTGGACCTGAATTGACAGTCTCGTTCCGAAAAGTAGACAAAAGTCGCCGTTCAGACTGCTTTTCGATGAGACTCATGAGACCTGGCTTCATTTCTCACTTGGCAGTTGGTGGGGTCAAGCCCGCGCATCCACTCTGACAATGTGCAGCGGTGGCAATCTTGAGCTCGTCTACGTGTAAAACAGCAACACAGCCTTCAATTACGTCGAGGTCCTTCTCGGGTCACAGGCTTGTAAACATGTTACTCTGTTCACCCAACCTGAATCAAGTTTTTCTGTCAGCAAACAGCAATGGCACCTGGTTCCCGCTTGACTGCGAATTGAGTGGATCCTGTGAATTGTCCTACATCGGCAAATTTTTTTGACTCCCGATTCAAACTTCAAAAGCGAAGAATCTCCACTACTTGTTCACTGGCAAATTTCGGCTGCACGGGCCCAAGGTCATAATTACCGCCAGGGCTATCCTTGTAGCACCTGGGTCTCTCAGGATCATTGGAGACAGGCCCAGTCCAGCTCTCATACAAGCTTGCAGATGCGAATCCGTTTTGTAGCAATAGCAAGGGTTTTTTGTCAGCATTTATTCGGGTTGGAGTTTCCCGGCAGATGCAGCCCTCGTGGTCATGCTCAGCGAGGTCCATGTCACATCATCATACATCTTAGAAATTTTGCTGGTTGGAAATAACTAAGGTGACAAGATACACCACCATTTCTCTCCAAATCTTGAACAGAATCGAACCTGGTCCTGCGTTTATCGTTTCGTGCACGAAGCTCCGTTCGAAAGTTTTGAAGAATATTCTCACAAACAGCAAAAAATAGAATAGATTAAGGTGAGTCTTTGAAATTCGGTGATGAAACCACTTGCACCGTTGCTGAAAGTGACTACGACTAATATGCCGATTCTGGAATATTCGTACAGTTCTCGGTATCTGGAAGGTACATAGGCGTATATTTTATGGGACTTCCTCTCGATGGTACGAAGATTGCAAACTTCGGGCAAGCTAATCCCTTGGTCCTGGGCAAAGTTTTGCATGCATGTTTGCAAGTGACTGTGGGCCTTGGATTATACATCAAAGCTTGCCTGGTGGTCCGTCGATTCCCAGTGCATTTTGAAGGCTGTTACTATTCAATTGTCAGGTATCCGCTATGGCACGGCGATGCACTCAATTCCCACGTCGGTATTCAGCGGTAATGTTTTGACTGCAACACATCTGCAAAATACCTTGCATTAGCTACCGCTTCCAATCAGCAAAAAACGCGTTGCCCGCATCCATAAAGCAAATAGGTCGCCAGGCGTGGGTAGATAGGCAAGATGATAACTCCCGTCCGACAGGGCTTCCCATCCCCCCAGTACTGCACGTAAATCGAGTTCATCGCGGCAAAATCATCCATGTCGGATAGGAAGACGTTGACTTTGAGGACTTTGTTGATATCGGTGCCGGCTTTTTCCAGAATGTGGCTCAAGTTTTTGATTGATTGGTGCTATTCATGAACGGCATTCATAAGCTTCCACGCGGTACAAAAAGGGTGTGGCTGACGAACCGTGTGGGCCTTGACATCGCCATCGATGATTGTCCCCGTGATAGGATCCATGGCAATAATCACCAGAACAGTACACAACACTATTGGCAACGATCACCTGCGAGTAAATGCCCGGCAGAGGGTTGGCGGCCTTGTTGGTGAGTACGGGGGCCTTAGTAGTTATCTCGGGATGTCTGAAAGGATGCAAAGAGAAGAATGGAAGGAGAAGCCTCGCTAAGGTCCCATTTCACAAGTGGATGAGATGAAGCCATCCCACGGGGAAATGGTTTAGGATTGGAAATGTCACCAAGACCGAAGATGTGGTCTCAAGGAGAGAATTCCCTCGTCACGCAAAGGCGGCGCCCATACGCCGAGACGATCCTTACTCTAGGTGGGCTCGTGCAGGGTGATCGTGAGGATTGTTGTATCTCGTTGTGTTCCCCCGCACTTCGTATCCCACTCGTTGCGTGGGGTTAATTCTGACCCTCTCCGCCGGATTTCGAAGCAGTTATTCTTTTGCTCCCCTGGCACTTGCACTTGCTGTGTCCTTTCTTTTTCTTTTTTCTGGCTCAATCCTCACGATGTTCACCTCCCCACCACAACCCCCCTACCCACTCCACGAGTCGGTGCGGGACCTGCTGGACCCAGAGTATGTCGCCTTCTACAACAAACATGTTATCAACAATCAACAGGTCCACTTGCAACCTGTCGCAGCCTCCCGGACCAGTGGTGTCTTGATTCCCGGTGCGGGACCGATGCTAGAGGTGGGCAAGACCCAGGATCTTCGCATTCAACGACGAGCCACTGATGGCCCTTCTGTGCCCATTCGCTGCTTTACCCCGAAGGGAGAACCCCCCCGCCGGTGGGTGGCCGGTGATGCTCTATTTCCATGGCGGAGGTTGGGTTCTGGGTAACATTGACACGGAGAACGTGGTCTGCTCGAATCTCTGTGTGCGCGGGAACTGTGTGGTGGTGACGGTGGACTACCGGTGAGGGTATCCCTTGCTTCTGACATCTACCTCGTACTCACAATCCCTGAGACTGGCGCCCGAGAATCCGTTCCCCGCTGCGGTCCACGATTGCTGGGAAGCGCTGCTTTGGCTGGTCGCTGACGGTCCTGCCACGCTATCAGTCGACATGTCCAAGATCGCGACAGGCGGGTCTTCGGCTGGTGGTAACCTGGCTGCTGTCATGACCCACAAGGGGTTGACACTCTCGCCCCCCGTGCATTTCCGTGCCCAGCTCCTCTCCGTGCCCGTCACCGACAATACCGCCACGGTGGAGACCAACGAGTCCTATCGTCGATACGAACATACTCCAGCATTGCCCGCCCCCAAGATGATCTGGTACCGGGACCATTATCTGCCCAAAGCGGCGGATCGGACTAATCCCGAGGCTAGTCCCCTCTTTTACAGTGGTGACTGGTCTCCCTTGCCACCTGCTCTGATCATGGTCGGCGAATTGGATGTACTTCGATCCGAGGGTGAACAGTACGCTCATAAGCTACAGAAGGCGGGTGTGAAGGTAGATCTCCAGGTGATGAAGGGAATGCCCCACCCTTTCCTTGCCATGGACGGTGCATTGTCCGAAGGTAGGCGGTGTATCACGTTGATGTGTGATGCATTGCAGAAAGCGTTTTGGAGCTCATAAACAGCTCGCGATTGGAGAGGTAAACTAGACCCGACCGTCTAGACCAGGACCTCCCACATATTTATAAATAGGAAAAAAAAAGAAAAAGAACCATGGCGCCCCAATAAAAAACAGCAAAGTTCTCGCAATTCAGACCGAACCTGATGATACCACGTAGACTGTTTCCCTACGAAACCCTTTGCTGGCTCGCCAGAACCCTATTTTTGATGGAGTCAAAGGAAAGGGACGAGGAGCCTGATGGCCCTCTTTGAGATGGGCGCCCCCTACGAGATGGTGGTTGGATATCTACATGACCCGAAAATCTATCGAGATCGTCTCTGACAATTATATGTGGCTGTTGGAGGCATGGTTCTAGAGGAAACAAAAGATGCGATGGTTATATGTTTATCGCCCATCGCTCTCTTTCTCCTGGCAGCGTTGAAACATGGTAGAAGGTCACGCATTCATAATCAGTTCGATAGTCACAAATCTGAACCCCTTGTTTCGGCCATTGGGCTTGGGCTCATAGGTTCAGTCTAGGCCTTTGAAAACCTCCTCGAATCGCATCTCATTCCATCTCACATTGGGTTTCAGGCCCGCAAACTTCCACACGCCATTGACTTTGCGGTAGTAGTGCTCATTGGTCGCATGCGAGTGGCCGCGCAACTTGACCTCTTGGAGATCGGCCGTCTCATACACCTGATGCGCAGCACGAAGCTGGTGATGACCGATGACCTCGGTCTCAGAGATCTTCTCCCACCAGGTTTGACCCAGTAAATGTTGAGTCTTGATGGTGGGATCACCCAAGAATCCAGGGTGGGTCACCATCGCCATGTAGTCATCTGCGGGCATGTCATCCCATCTTCGGAGCCCGATCTTGGTATAGTCCACCTGTTGGAGTCAATGGACCGTCTCATGGCCATGGGAAATAATAACCCGCGAGGCGTAACTTACGGTCAGTGTTGGGGCGATGATGCTGCGGAGGCGGTCCCAGTCCTGAAAGGGATCATCAGCAAGGAGTTTCTCATGTCGAGGTCCGATCATTTCACCTTAGCATCATAGCTATCTGCCCAGTCGAAGACCAACTTGGAGAGAATTAGGTAGTCTATCACCATCAATCATCGTCAATCATCAATCATCAATCATCAATCATCATAATTTCAACAAGAGGTTTTCTCAGCGCTCACCTTGGAAGCTGATGTCCAGATTTGGTTCCGGGACTTTGATTGCGGGAGACATATTGGCACAGGATGTAGAAAAGATTTCTTGGAGCGAGCCAGCCAAGGAGACTAGTAGTATATCATGTAGCAAGGAGGTGGTTCCCTCGTCCATCATGCTCATCCGACCCCGACCATGGCGTGCCGAATGCGGACTACATACCTCCCTTCGCCATTTGCAGGAACGAATGCAACCGAAACCTGTTGATGCGACGCAGAGCAGACACCGCGCTTTTCCTCTGCCGGGGAGCTTTCCGCATGCGGTAAGTTATGAGTTATCACATTACTAGAACCAGCGATCTGGAACCTACAGCAGTACCAGATCCGGTCTGGCCACTCGATGCGAGTTCTGATCGGAATTGGCTCGATCAAAAGAGATACCAAGGCTACTGATTTCAGCCAGAGGCCATTCCATTATCATATTTCTGTGGTACCCATTTTTTTTGGTTTAAACTGTGTTTTTCCCCCTTCTGCCATCTAGTCAAAATCATCTACTAGCCGATCTCACACCCTCATTGCGATTCATTTCAAAAAGAGTGCAAAGATGGTTGCTACTAATCCCAACATCGGTCCTGCGGAGCTTGCGGGCAAAGTCGCCCTTGTGACGGGCGGCAGCCGCGGTATTGGGTCTGGAATTGCCCTCGAACTGGCCAAGAAGGGCGCATCCGTGGCCATCAACTTCGCTCGGGATCCCAAGTCCGCAGACAAGATGGTTCAAGAGCTGGAATCGCACGGCGTCCACGCGGCGGCCTTCCAGGCCGATTTGACTCAGGTTGAGGCCATCGGAAACCTGTTCCAACAGGTGGTGGCACACTTTGGCCAACTCGATATCGTCGTCTCCAACTCGGGCACGGAGAAATTCGTCTCTCTCCAAGACACGACGCTGGATGACTTCAACGAGGTCTTCGACCTGAACACAAGGGCCCAATTCTTTGTCGCCAAGAACGCCTACGAACACATCCAGCCCGGTGGGCGTGTTGTGCTCATGTCTTCCATCGCTGCGGGTGTGGGTGTTCCCGGACACTCGCTGTACGCGGGCAGCAAAAGCGCCGTCGAGGGCTTCACCCGCTGCTTCGCGGCCGACTTTGGCAAGAAGCGATGCACAGTGAATGCGATCGCCCCTGCAGGAGTGAAAAGCGACATGTGGCTGAAGAACGCATGGCGATATGCAGCAGGTTGCGACCAGAACTCGTCGATCGAAGAGATCGAGCAGGCTCTGGCCAATGGCAGCCCCTTGAAGCGCTGCGGAGTGCCCGCGGACATTGGCCGTGTTGTGGCCTTTTTGGCCAGTCCGGCTGGAGAATGGATCAACGGTGAGTGGAATGTCATGACGGCCTTCGGGATCTAGCTAACTTGATTCAGGTCAAATTTTGCCTTTGAACGGCGGTGCCAATATTTAAGTTGCAATGGTGGGACGTTTCTTTTTTGTTGCTGAGTTTATGAGGGAATCCAAGGATAGATGCAATACTGCGAGTGATCGTGGTCACTCTTCAGTACAAACCCTACCTAGGCAATTTGAGAATCACAAACGAGTACGTTGAGCCGAAGATACTGCGTTCTTATCATGGGGAGTGCTGCGCAATTCAAGAAAGTTTATTTTGGTGCAATGGAATTATTCGAGATTTGTAACTGGCTTTGACAGCGTCTGCAGTGGCGTTGGTAGTTTGTTGAAACCAAGTTTCAAGGTGAGGGGATAGATTCCTGACAACATGCTCCTCACAGTGTTCACACATTTCCGTTCACAGTGCTGTGGACTGTATTTTCAGTTCATCGGCGCAGTATTCGTTGTATTAGGGGGGCAGGGTTCATGTCTATCTCGATGATGATCGCAACAGTAATGATCAAGGTCACCAGAATGACCTAAATCGCATTAGTTGCTTTGATGAGACTGCCCATCACTCGCGATTTCACCTACCGCGAAGAGTAATATTCCCACCCAATTCAGCTCCCACCCTCCGACATGAATTTTACCTCGTGACATTGCACTTTGCTGCCTCCAGAACCGAAAGGCCCCGATCAAGGCCACGAGTACAGCGACGCAGTGGCAAGTCACGGCGAGGGGGATACCAAACTCGTAAAATCGTAGTCGGTCCTCGGAAGTGGGTGAGCGCTGGAGACGGAAGAGCTGCGCGATCAGGACCCCTTGCATTGCGATGACCACCGATGTGCGGATGTAGGCGAGAAATGTCCTTTCCAATGCTAGCGGCCCGTCAGTCTAGGTGATACCAGCACCTTTGCGTCGAATCGCTTCTCACCGAAGTGGTCGCGGTTGCTCTTCTGGGGCACCGTCAGAGTGACATGATGCGTCCAAAAGCGATAGATCTTCTGCCACACTCCTTTTCGCTCGGCGTCGGGGCGTCGCACACTGCGGCGGGAGGTTGTCCGTCGAGTCACCCGATATTCTTCGCCCGAGGAGGCTGATGGGGAGGAGTAATCCAGCTCATGATCTTCCTGGGTTTGAATCTCGCGCAGCTCGAGAGCTTCCCGATCGTCCCGATCGCGCGGAGAAGACGGTCGGGTCTCCCTCAAGACTGCGTCGGCAGGTCGTTCAGGCTCTTGAGACTGCAGTGGTTCTGGTTCGGGCTCGGTCATGGTGAAGGGTAGACTACGGGCTGAATCATCCTGCGATCCTCGATCATGGTTGGGGAAGGTCGACGCCGGATTTTGTGTTTGGGGTGTGTTCAGGTCCCCGGATCGGTTGGAGCCGCCGTCATGGCCCCCCCCACAGATCGAAGTCTGGGGCCTCTGGGGCCGCGGGGTCCTGGAACATGGTCCAGATGAGGATCAAGGGGGTTTCAGTTGAGTATTGAAGGTGAAGAATCCGAATTCAAGTTTGAAATTGGCTTTCAACATCGCCGACTAGTGCCGAGTCAGCGCTTTGGGGGAATACCGCGTTCGATCTCCGTCGTGCCCAATCACCGCCGCCAGATTCCGGATTGCATCATTTCAAGGGTCGATGTTGACATCTCAAGGATCCCGGGCACGAAAGGTACACTCGACTGTGAGAACCGATCACAATTCCAAGGCTGGTATCTGAATGTGTATGATCGTGACTCGTACTTGGCCTCGCATTGGGAGAGGACGGTCATGGGGATGAGGCTCGATTACTATTGTGAGCAGGCCCTCTGCTCCCGTGCGATATCACCGGTGATCCTCTGAGGGTGTCCAAGAGATAGTATACCCGATCGCAGGGTGTCAAGAACGGGACTTCGCTGCAATGACTTGGAATCCCGTGAAGATGTAGCTAGCTCAACCGTCCCAAGGCCGGGACACTAATTGAAAGCTTGAGAATTTTCTCATTAGAGCTATATTCTACAATCGTCCCGACACAAAGAAACTGTAGCTGTCAAACCAACATGATGAGATGGAGCGGAAAGTGCTTGATCCAGACCCGTACACAACACGTGAGAGAAAAGTGCCAAAAAAAAAAAAGGACCAAATGAAGATTGAGGGAGATGCACAAAGAAAAGACAGAAAGAGAAAAGACAAGAACGGATAAGACAAGCCCGAGAGTATGGATGGAAAGAATTAAGCGTAACTTGGGCCTAGATGAGTTTTTCTCATTCGCGGTGTTGGAAATCGAAATGGCGGCCTGATAACACAGGCCACATTTAGCCTAGCTTGTTCATTCTCCACCCACTTCATCCACTCCCTGTCTATTCTTCTTTAACACTCCTCGCTTTGCCAGCTGCGATGAATGCTTGGCAATCTTGGCAATCTTTTCAACCTCTTCATCGTCCCGCCTACGCGCCCATCACTACCACACTGACCTTGCAATGGTCAATTTAAAACTGGAGGTTAGGGTCTTCCCAAGGCAGCAGATCACGAGCCAGAGTCAGTTTCCCGCTGTGAATGGGAGCGACGAGCGCAGTCCTACAGATGTCTCCCCGTGGAAGGAATACATCTCCTTCTGGCTACCGCTCAAGGATCCAGAGGGTACAAGCTTCGGTGAGCTCTGTTCAATCATCACAGACAAGTGGAGAATCGTCAAGCCCGATGAAGAGTGAGTGCCGAGTCAACTGCACCTGTTCGTATAGGCGCCAAGTCTCTAACCGTTCCGCCCTGCCAGTCCTTTAGCAATTCAGAAATTGGCCGACGATGCGAAGCCCTGGGTCTATCTGGAGCCCGATCTGTCCGTCGCTAGCGTTTTTGTCAACGAGGGTAAAGCCCGTGCAGACGGCTATGATCAATATGGTATCGTTCGCGTGATCCAAAAGCCTTCTCACCGCCGTGCCCAACGATTTGGATCTGTGATTCACGACTGGGACAGTACCGCGACAGAAGCAAGGCGGAGACTGTCTCAGAAGATGGAAGTCGTCCGCGAACATTTCTCTCCAATTGAAGAAGAAAGAGTGTCCCAAGATGTTTTCATCAAGCCCCGACATCGCGACCTACCTCTCTCCTCAGTCGAAGACGCCGCGATCCCTGAAACTCCTCCTTTCAACCACCAACGCAGCGATGCGCTCGGTGGTGATCCTTCAGCGGCGCCGGAATTACACCCAGACTTTGTCTCTCGCAAACGAAGGCAAAGTCCAGAGTCAGATTTGCCGGTCAAAGAGCCTCGACTGGGAAATCTCCCACGAGCTCAGCCCGCACTCGAGATGTCGGCCACCTCGGCCGGTTCCCCCAGTCCAGCTCGACAGCGACGAATTTCAGCATTTGCCAGTCCTCAACAACGGAGACCTGGTGTTCAAACCTCTAGTCCTGTGAAACGGGGCCTAGGGATTGGTATCGCCAAAAGCCCGTCAGCGATGCCTCATCCGGAGTCTAATCAGATCTCTTCCCATGGTCTACCCATACCCAGCAGTGCGCCTTCTCCATCCCCGAAGAGTGGCTCTGTGATGGAAAGATCGCAATCCCTACAGTCATCTGCTCTACGTCAGAACTCATTCTCCAACAAGGACAAGCACCAGCATGTTTCATTTACGGAGGCGAATATCTCTCCTAGAAGACATGATGCAATGTCGACTCCACAGAATATCATGAAGAATTCTTCCAAGTCATCTGTCACACCATCGAGCAGTCAAATTGTCTACCCATCCACATTCTCAGCCGAGAGGATTCAAAGGATGAAGGACGATGCGGAGAAGAAGTTCGGCTCTGCCAAAGAACAGCATCAGAAAGACGACGCCGTGACCAAGATACATACCGAGAAAGGACGGAAGACTAAGGACGAGGCTCCAAATAAAGAAGACCCAAAGATGAAAACGGACCAAAACTTGGCCAGCTGCGGCCAGAAAGACGGTAAGGAAGCTCGGATAATTCAGGATAAATTGCAGGATCTCGATGCCGACTCGCCAGCCCGGGAGATCTTGATCAAATTGTTGAACAACTATGACATCCTCGAGAAAGCAAAAGCTGCGAACAAGAGTTTGGAAAAGAAGAATTGCATTAGAAGAATCCGGCGCCTCGAGAACAAGTTGAAGCATTTAGAGACTGCAAGCCCTTCTCCGACAGAGCACCCTTTACCCCAATCAGCATCCAAGGTGACGCGGTCGATCCCACCTACTGCTCCTGCGACATCACAAGACGTCGCTACGACCCCATCTGGCAAAAAGAAATCCTATGCTGCCTCTACACCTGTGCCGTCTGTGGTGATTCCGATTGCATCGCCCGGCAAAAAGACGCCGGATGTCAACACTGGACCCAAGTCTTACGACTCACCCTCCGGAAAACCAGGCCCGGAAGTGATACTTGTATCCAGTTCATCGTCTGATTATGCCACTGCCCATCAGCATGCGGGCGATAAGCAAGACACAGACGGAGAAGCTTCAGATGAGTCTGAAAATGCTTTGCATGGGATTGATAGTGTGGAACAGGAGGCCCAAAGACAGGTCCAGGCTGAAATGCAGCTCAGCGGTTCCAAAGAGTACTCTGCGGAAGAATCCCAAGACCAGGAGGCCCAGCAGCAAGTTCAGATTGAAATGCAGCTTGATAGCCCCGAGGATCATTCTACGGAAAGATCCGGGGAACCATCCGACGAACATCCCACGAACGTTCCCGGACACCCGGTAAAAATGTATATAGACGACGAGGCTGAATCGGAGTCAGGTTCGGAGTCGGAATCAGATGCGGAATCGGGGTCAGAGCCGGAGAAACAGACCGAGTCTGAATCTGATAATTCCGGGAAAGAGTGGAATCCCAAGTGAGTGCAAGTCTTGCTCCAATTATACAAGAGACTAATATGATCAGCTTTGCTGTTCCGGGTCAGTCGTCAAACGCGAGACATGCTTCTGCGACACACCTTGCCAGTCAACCCTCATCCAAGCAACAACAGAATTTGTATCCCAGTTTCAAAGAAGTGCTGGATCGCAAAAAAGAAGAGATAGCCGCGGAAATAGCCCGAACCCGACCTCCAACGACCACTGCTCCCCCTCCAGCACGACCCAGTATATTTGATCTAGGCGATGACACCTCTGATTCGAGCAGTGACAGCGACGAAAGCAGCTCCTAGAGTGGTCTTCGGCTCGACGTGAACTCTAGCAATCCACGCAAGTTCTGTTGTGCAAATACAGTCCCATGTTGAATCTGACCGTGGAAGGACCGGTTTCAATCCCTGGCCGGGCTTTTTTTTTTCTTGTCGTACCTTATCAGCGATGCTGTTCTGTGATCCTTCTCCCGAGCGCTTTTCCTACTCTGGTCTTTCTTTGTGACATAATCATAGGAAATTCATGTATCATATGTTTCCACTAAGCTTGAATCGGTGCATCCATTCAAGATCCCTAGCTACAAAGCTTGTTTCAACGACACTATGGAACGTTGGCTCCGCTCTCATCTCGCTCAGCAGTGCCTTCTTCTAGCCAATCCTTTGGTGGCGCTTGAATTTCCATATTCCAGCCCCAAGTATCCCTGATGGTGCCTGATTGAATACCACGTAGGGTCTGCAGTAACTTGGCGCATACTTCGCCCCCCTGATTCTGGTCGCCACACCGGTATTGGAACTTATCACATTTGGAGCGCATTGTGATACTTCGCACAGGTACAAGTGCTGCTGCAGTGCCTGCAGCGATGACCTCGTCGAAGTGACCTAATTCTGCATAGTCAACACGTCTCTTTTCAACCGAGTATCCGAGGCTACGTGCAATTTCGCCCACCGAGGCCGCCGTTACCGAGTCGATGGCGTTGCGACTATCCGGATGCACGATGGTGACCTGGTCCCCATCCCGTTTCACCCCAATGAAGGCGGATGTTGAAAACTCGTCCACCTCACTTCGAGTGGCGCTGTCCAGGTGCAATGTAATGCCGAATCCTTCGCGCCGTGCCTTATCACTGTGCCGGAGAACAGGAGCATAGTTCCCTCCCACCTTGGCATGGCCCGTTCCGTGTGGTGCCGATCGGTCAAAGTCCTCGAGAATCAGAGCGTCCACGGCATGGGCTCCATGGTACACCCCGGTCGGCATGACAAATACCACCAGCGTGTAGCCGTCCGGTGGGCTCAGGCCTGGTTGCGCCGAGGATCCAAAAAGAAGCGGACGCACGTACATTGCTGCACCAGACTCATGAGGAGGGACGTATTCGGCATTGGCGCCCACCGCCAGGCAAACGCACTGGAGAAAGAGGTCCTCCGGAACGGGCGGGATGGACACGACCTCGGCAGAGTGCTGCATCCGCTTGGCATTGCGATCGGGCCGGAAGACGGTGATCTTGCTATTGTGTGCATGTCGGAAGGCCTTGAGGCCTTCGTAAACCTGTTGCCCGTAGTTCAACCCCGGAGCCATGCCATGGATGGACAAGAAGGGGCTGGCCACGAAGCGCGGGGCAGACCATTGACCGGAGCCGGAGAAGGAGTAATGGCACTCGACATGGCCATTGACTAAGAATTTAGTGAGAACTGAATCGGACCTTGGAAAGACAGAAACACATACCATCGCGGACTTTGAAGCCGATATCGTTCCAGTCGAGGGCTGCGGGGGGTGGGGGAAACGACATCAAGTTGGTGGGGATGTGGAGTGGGCAGCTTGTGGCTTGTGTGGGGGAAGAGGGGAGAAAAACTGGAAAGGGCGGGGAAAAACAGAACGTTTTATAAGAAGAACGGAGTCAAATTCGGAGTCATGCAAGATGCACAGTGTGTAGACTCCAACACGCGCAATACGAGGACGGCAAGTCGATGATGTGCAACTCTTTATGCAACCCTTGGATTTTGGGAACCGGTGGAACCGCGGTTCAACCGTGTAAGCTTCTCTCAATGTTGGTTTCGAAAGATTCAATCTACCCAAGTAACTACTTGCATCGAAGCCTGCCCAGATCTTGGTAACCTACCACATACTCTGCCAATGTGTGGATATACAGATCATCTTTCACAAGAAGTCTTTCCACATTACTCCCACAATTCAAGTTGACAAATGGTCTGTAATATGATTAACCTATGTGTTCGAAATGGAACAGTCTGCTTCAACTCTTGATATTGGTCAATACGGCGCAAGGTATTCCTGCCGTCATTGTTTCACGTAGACTTTTGGCCCTTGCCGACCTTGGCCTTGGAGGTCCTCACGCGGAACACATAGTACAACAGAATGGCCCCGAAGATATTGAAGATAAAGTAGCACCAGAAGATACCATAGTTTCGCCAGCGCTGATCAAAGTAGATCTCGCGACCCGCCAGGTACTCGTCCGCTGAAGTCATAGCGCACCACTCGCAGCTTGAGGTGGAATTCCGACTGGCATCGGTAAGAGCACCGGTGTGATTCACCGAGTACTTCTCCATGTACTCTCCGCAGGTTTGTCCCGCCGGCGGAGAGAACACACTGAGCTCGGCCGCGCTGCACGTCACTGATCGGCCGTGAAGGGCTGTACTCGCGATGCCGCCGATGTAGTAAGTGAAGGGGGAGACCCGATACATGAAAATCCAGAATCGAGGCAGAGCCGAAGGTGGCTGCATGACCCCGTTGAAGATGAACGAGAGACCGAACATCAAAGTGGCGAGCATCGCACCCAGCGTTGGCTCAGGGATGGAGCAGACGACGAACTGGGCCATAGAGGCGGCGTAGATGAAAAATTGAACAATAAATAGCATGACCAGACCGCGTTGTTCGGCGTTCTGCTCGGTGCCAAAGACGGACCAGTAGAACGAAGCCCACGAGCATACACCGAGAGCGACTTGCCAGGGAACTTCCACCAGGATTTGAGAGAGGATAAAGACTTTCCAGGAGTAGATCCGAGACGGACGTTCCCGTACCTCGTAGAGCGAGCGCTGAGTGACGAAGCGAGGCATGATCTGGTTCACGAGGGTGTTGAAAATAGTACACAGGAGGAAAATACTGAAGAGGACGTTTTGAAAGCCCTGCTCGGAGTTATTGGCTTTCCAGAATGAGAAACCAATGAAGAGGCCCGATGTAATACCGAGAATGAACTTGGCGTAGATGTAATCCGGCTGTCGGTAATAGCCCTGGAAACATCTTTCAAGAACAATGCACAGTTGTGCGTGCAAGGGCATAGCAAATTCGGCATTACTATCGTCTTCAAAGGGTGCGTGGCTTGACCCATGTCGAATGGTATGAAGTCGATCCACCTCGGCCAGCACCTCGTCGTATTCCGGACTTTTATTCCAGACCTGAGCCCAGTCTACGCCAGGACATCCGTCTCCTGCGACCATATCAAGGATGTATTCGGCGGGGTTCTCCAGTTCTTCGCACTCGCGGGCTCCATTGCGCTCGAAATACTCCAGAAGAGTGGAAGACTCCTCACCAATGTCACCAAAGTATACAGTTTTTCCACCTTTGGCCAAAAACAGCAAGCGATCAAAGGACTGGAACAAGGTTGCGCTGGGTTGATGAATGGTGGCTAGTATGGCTTGGCCATGATCTGCAAGGCGCCTCAGGAACTGACAAATGGTCCACGAACTCTGGGAGTCGAGACCGCTGGTGGGCTCATCCAGAAAAATTAATAGAGTTGGCTTGGCAGCTAACTCAACACCGATGCTCAGCAGCTTTCGCTGTTCCACATTCAAACCCTCGCCAAGAGAGCCGATAACGGCTTCAGCAAAGTCTTCCATGCCCAGAACCTTGATGACGGATTCCACATACTCGTGCTTCTCCTGCTTCGACACGCTCTGGGGCTGACGCAGCATAGCGCTGAATCGGAGTGCCTCTCGCACGGTGGTAGTGTCGAGATGGAGATCTTGCTGCTGCACGTAGCCAGTGCGACGTGGAAAGTTCGGCAAGAGTGGCTGTCCATTCACAAGAATGTCTCCAGACACGACACCAATAGACACTCTCTGCGCGAGTACATCCAGCAGAGTCGTTTTACCGGCCCCCGAAACACCCATCAAAGCAGTCAGAGTACCAGGCTTCACCCACCCAGAGACATTGTCCAGCAGTCGACGAGTGCCTTCTTTGACGGGAATATCATAGTTGACGAATTTCCAGGAGAACACATCTTTCTGCTGAGGCAGCCCGATGGTGTCGTTTGTTTTTTGAACTTCGAGAATCTCGGGGTTCGAGATACCTCTTTCGGTGTCACTGCCAGGCTGCAGATACTTAGGTGCATGACCGGGACGGAACACAAGAGCTTCCGCCTTGGATTTGTCGACGCCAAGGTATTCAGTAGCGGCTAGATAGACGGAGTTGAAGAAGATCATGAACGCAATCAGGATCCCCAGATTTCTCCAAATGTGTGCGTATGTGTACTCGTAGTTCTGCTCAATGAATGCATCGCCAGATACTGTGCGCTGTCCAGCCACTGCACCAACCGCAGAACAAATGAACGACATGCCAGTCCCGTAGCTTGGAATGAACGCGGAACAGTCATACTCGCGGCCATGGAACTCATTCGCAATCAGTGCCTCAAATGTATAATATATGGGATTAATCCATCGAATCCAGGACAACCAAGGATGCATGTAAGGTTGCGGAAGCGTAAAGCCAGTGTAGACAACGATGCAGAGAACCATGATACCAGCAAAGGCCATGGCCTGGCCGATAGATTTAGTAAGAGCTGCCAGGCTGCGAAAAATACCAGACATTGTCAAAACGGCAAAGACCAAGAATAGGTAGAAGATGAAGAATTGGGAAGGTTCACGACGTAGATTGGCCATGAAGTAAAGGACAATGCTGAAAATGGAGATGCGAACGAGTTTGATGGGCAGGTCCACCACAATACTGGCTAAAGCCTCGGTGAAGGGATGGACGAAGGCATATCCATGTTGCTTTTCTACCACGGGTCGCTGGCTATAGAGCTGCATGATTTCGTTCATGGTCATCAATGCGTTCATGAGGACTGCAAAGTACAGGACAGCTCCCTTTTGGAAAAAGTAACTTGAGGTGTCGGGGGTGTTGTAAAAGACGGATCCAATGATGAGCGATAGAATCAACTGAACAATTAGCGGCGCCAGGGCGGTTGGAAGATCATTGAGCATTCTCTGGTAGGCTCTTGTCATGCACAGTCGAACTTGCATGGGGATGGAGAGAAGATAAGGGCTACGAGACCGAGTATGACGCGCCTGTTGCTCTTGGTGGCTGACCTGAAGCCTTTGAGCATCATGACCGTTTGGGGGATGTTCTCGCTCGAAAGTCGCAATTTGATTGCGCAAGGCCTGATAATCTGGGCTTTTCCTCCAATATTCTGCAAATTCTGTCGCGGTGCGAGGCACTTTTTCTTCCATGCCCGTTATGGCCTTGCGCTCAGTTGGATTGGTGATTGCGGTCAAGTAATCGCTGCTGACTTGACGTTCCGGTCTCACCCACCCCATCTCTTGGAAATAGGAGACTGCTCGATCGCGAGGGCCGTAATAGATCTCATGGCCCTCGTAGAGAAGCAACACTTTGTCGAACAGATCGAACATGGACTGTGATGCCTGGTAAGCCGCAATTGCATGGCAGGAGTCTCCCATGTCGGCTGCAAGGCGCAGAGCCCGGACAAACTTCAGGGCTGAGGCGGCGTCCAAACCGCGAGTGCTATTATCCCAAGCTCCGATGCGGCAACGAGAGATAAACATTTCCGCGATTGAGACGCGCTTTCGCTCACCACCACTCACGCCCCGTACGAACTCACTGCCTACTTTGGTATTCGCTGTATGAGAAAGGCCGAAAACCGACATGACGACCTGGGTGATGGCATCAACGTATTCGTTGCGCGTCATGTCCTGGATGCGCTGGTGCGGAGCACGGGCGTGGGCAGCGAAGGAAAGTGTCTGGCCCACAGTCAAGTGAGGGAAGTGTAGGTCGACCTCCTTATTATACGCGACTTCTCCACGGTGGTGTTTGATCATTTGTTCGTAGTCAACGCCTTCGAAATGGATTTTGCTGTTGGGATCCATCGAAAGACCCCCCCAAATGTCCGCAGATCGTTTTGAGGAACGTCGTGCATCCACTCCCTGGTCGGCCCAAGACAAGCAAGAGCTCTCCTCCCTGCAGAAGACCATCGAAGCTATGAAGTATCTGGCGGCGGGGCGCACGGGATCCGGAAAGAGCTCTGGTCGCAAGGCGAAAGGGCAGCGTGAGAGTGGAGATCAATGTTTCCTGGAATCGCAAGGCAGAACCAGAGCCGCTGATGGAAAGCTCTGAAAAGACCACGCTCTGGTGAGGAATATCAATACCCGCTTCATGTACCTGAGTGAGTACGCTCTGAGCCCATCGATGATGATCGAATTCCGGGCTGCTGGGATCTAATCGAGGATCTCTGCTTTCTCGTCGGCTCGCGGTGAGCGAAAGCTTTTGCCCAAGCTTACTCGAAGCAATGCGATTCAGGGTTTCGACTTCTCGCTCATCGAGTGCGGTCAAAGTTCGTTCCGTAATGGGAGCGAACTCCAACTCATTTTCCTTGTCCATAGCCACGAGTCTATGCCGGCCATCAGGGAAGGGTGGAGGGATGCTCGAACTGCATCCGGGAGGCGATCAACAGAAATACGACGCATTGCAGAGATTTTCTGACGGGCACGGGGGACGTAAACGCCGATGATCTTTAATTTTATGCCACAGCGTCCGGAGATAAACCATCCCGAGCCACATCTGTCCTCGAGACTCGGTAACGCGGAGCTCCGATCGCCGACTATCCCAGTGTTGGGAGACGAATCCCGGCCCTGTTGTGGGGGCATCGGTATTTCTCTCAGGGGAACCGTAGCAGAAGACAGGTCGCGTCACCGATGTCTCCATTTCGGCGGGGTTCCAGCTGAGCGGGACCCAGAACTGACAGACTGGGACCCAGGATTTTATGACTAATTCTGGGTCCCGGTCAGCTGCCCGTACCTGAATGGGACCCAGGAATTCCTGAATCCCAGTCAGCGCTTATACACGATTTTATAAAGGCTTTATGTAGACTTATACTAAACTGTTATATAATGACCTATCCCTACCTCACTAAAATATATACTAAGTTTTCTGTCGGCAGAAAAATAGTATAATAATTCCTACCCTAATATTCTAATAAAAATTTTATTTTTTTATCCTATATAAGATCCTCATATCCTATATATATATTTATATATATTAAAAAGCCGACCGAAAATCTATCGTTTTAAGCCTATCCTTATTAGACGAAATATTCCAAAGGGGGGGCACTCAGCTGACTGGGACCCAGAACTGACAGACTGGGACGGGCACCTAGCTGACTGGGACCCAGGATTTTATGACTAATCCTGAGTCCCAGTCAGCTCCCGTACCTGAATAGGACCCAGAATTCTGGCTTATATAATATTTTTTAGCGCGAAATTTTACCCCTTTAGAATATTTCGCCTATCAGGATAACTATGCTTAAAATAATAGAATTTTCGGTCGGCTTTTTGATATATATTGTAGTGGGAGAACAGGTGACATGATAGCATATGTGTGGCCTTAGGCATAATCTAATGTCTGCAGTGCATAGTGCGTCTTTAAGACAGAAGTTAGAGATAGAGAAGTCATCTACCTAATTCATTTAGGTTGTCACCCTATTTCCTCTATTTATGATGCAGCATTAAGGCTATCCCGTACTGCCGCATCAGGGCATCAGTACGGCCTCATCCAGACCGTCCTCTACACCGGACAGGCAGTGTGTGTGTGTGTGTGTGTGTTGTCCAGTCTGCACCGCCAGACAGCCATCGAGCCGTTCCCACTTCAGTATATAATATAGGATATAAGGATCTTATATATAATTAAAAAATAAAGGTTATGTTATTAGTTTTCTGCTGGCAGAAAACCTAGTATGTTTTAGTAAGGTAGAATTATATAATCTTTAGTATAAGTCTACATCCGGCTTCATAAAATCGTGTATAAGCGCTAACTGGGACTTAGGAATTCCTCGGTCCCATTCCGGGATCCAGCTGGCGGGGACCCAGGATTAGTCATAAAATCCTGGGTCCCAGTCTGTTAGTTCTGGGTCCTGCTCAGCTGGGTGCCCCTCGAGTGGTCTTCGTTTCGATATCACATGACCTGCAGGTCGCGTCACTGGTGCCCACAATAATTAATTTCCCCCTTGTTTAGGTTTGGTTCGAAAACCTCACTGCTTCCCCTCGCAGCAACTAGTTCAATATTAGTTTAATATGACCGGTATTTACGTTTTCGACTGGATCGAGACCGATATATAGATTATAAACGATCTATTTCGATTTGATCCTCCCCCTGCTCGTTTAGAGACAGATCCACTAGAGGAGCTAGTATCTTAACTTCATGATCATATATTGTATGAGCGGAATGCTACTCTCCTAAGCTAAGATACTAAGGTAGTTATCTAGCTTTCTACGATAAGAACTAGTAGTTAAGTAGTTCTAGCTACTACCGACCCTAATATCACTTACTACCGGTAAGGGTAGTGTCCCCGCCTTTTCTCTTGAATATTTATAGTAGCTAACGGAATATCCTATATACCGCGATTAAGTGTATACCTATATTATGATCTTCAGAGGTATCGAGTAACTGATCGAGAGAAAGTCATAAAAATGATAGTCAAGGTAAAGTTACCCAAAACTAAACTTAAACTACTTTTGAACTAATATATAGTAGGTCCTGCCTTAGAGCAGAACTTGGAGGATGCGATCATTGTGAATTTGGCGAATTTGTTTATTAGATATCGAAATGAGATTTTGCTCCTTGTTTGGTAACTTTTCAGTATGAAAAAATAATTATATAGTGGAAATTCGTCACCGGAATGTGCGTATGCAGATATCTGCTACTCGGGGACCGCCGAAGACACCGAGATGGATTGTTGTGAAGTCTTCCAAAACCACGGCGGGCTATATTGCCCCCGTAGATGGCAATGTGAAGATGGCGGAGGCTCCGTTGAGGAGGTATACGAAGCGATTGTGATTTCCCCACGGGCGCTCGAGGGTAGCTCGCCTTCACTGTATCCACCTCGAGCAACGGCCACCAACTTGCCTAGAATCGCGTATTCCAGCTTGAGTTTGATGCTGTACGCGACTGGCTTGAACATGACCTGTACGGAGTAGTAGCCCACGAACTCGATGACTACCACAGCCACGTCGAGGATGAGAATAATGATGTTGATGATGAGAAGCTGGTTCAGGATGCCCTGCGGTCGACCCTGAGGGCGTAGGCGTAGCAATTTTGTCGTTTCCCACACGAATAGACCAGAGATAATCAGCTCCTGTATACAGAACCCAATGAGCTGGATGCGCTCCATGACATTGTAGCCGTTGAACCACTTGCTGTCCGGCGCTGCGACCGCGCCATATAGTAGCACGGTCGTGGGGATTAGGAACAGGAAGGCATCGATGATGATAATCCACAAGACTCCCCACAGCACCTTGGTATTCTGCAGAACGAGATGCAAACGAGACCAGAGCACGACAGACTGGCCGGTGACCATGGCATACCAACCCAAGATGATCAGGGTGACACAGGAGTAGGGTGTGACCCCGGTTGAAAAGAAAAGAAGGACATAGCCGAGGCAGTTTGGGATGATGCTGATCGAGGAGACGAGGAGACTCCAGAAGTAGCAACCGCGGTGACGCTTGAAGGAGACGAAGCAGAGGACGATCAGTTCAATGGCATTATACCATGCGATGGCAGCGAATGCCGCGATGACCTGACTACGAGTTTCGTCCCCAGCGCCATAATGGTGCATCAGCGCAGTCGAGACGTTGGAGGCGCTGGACGACATGAAAGAAAAGACATTGGGCCAAGGATTATTTGAGGAAGATATTTCAAGATCCTCCGTTGGAACAGTGTCCGAGGAAACACCTTTCTTTTTCCCCTTGAATGGTCTGAGCGCCACCAGAAGCAGTACCGAGGCAGACAGATTCGGCTCGGGGGGATGTAGGTTTGGGTCCTTGACAGCTTTGAAGAGCTGCAATCCATGGATCCGGGGTTACAGTGCCACCATGAACCCCAACTTCAAGGTGTGCTTTCTTCTAGACGCTATTGAACTGTGCAGAGGCATAGTTAGATCGTGGACCATGAATCGTCCTAGTGGAACCGGGGCGATTTATACCCTGCTAGTCCGTGGGTCTGGCTCGTTGCCAACTCTTAAAATTGAGGCTTGTTTTTGAAATGCTTTCACTGGTTGTGGGTCGACGATGATTCACAGACTGTCGACTACAGGATCTTCTTCTTAGAATGTAGCGTCCTGATTCGACTCTCCACTGGTCCCTGTCCTGTTGGACTCCTCCTACATGGGACAGACCCCCTTGGAGTCTAAAGTCTAGTGTCTAGAGTCTGGAGTCTAGAGTCCGGACTAGCGGTCCCCGATCGGCGGGGATCCTGCGGGAAATGCCGATCTGGGGAGCCGGGAATCGCAAACATGGGAGATCTTAGGAGATCTTGGGAAACAGGGTGCGAGTGGCGTTCCTTGGTCCAGGTGTTCACGAATTTGGTGCCCTGGAGCCGGACACTTGGCGAGGGCCCACGAATCTATAACCGTCAGGAGATGAACTCGCTCAAGGAAAATGAAACTAAGAACATCCACTTAAATGGTTATGCTCTCGATGACCTCGTTCGCGCGAAGTGTCAGGCAAGTCACCTCCAAGTGCGCCAAGCTCGCCGAGCCAGACAATCGGCGTACCCTGCTTCCTGAACTCATCTCAACACGATTTTCTCGGGACCGTACCGTCAAGTCCTGCGCCTACCAGCGCGTCGCTACTGGCCAAAGTATCCCATCGATCATGGAATCCCTGGCAACCAGTTGCTGTGGGCTTCCAGATCGGGGTGACGTCAGGAATCTCGATCGCTCGATCGATGACATCGCGTCGCGCGAGTTGAAATACGTGTCGCATCCCCTGTCCAGCGCCATGCAATGCGTTCCTTGACCCTCGCCTTACGAGCTCGACCTCTATTGTCTCCCCAGTGGGTTTGGACTGCCTCAAACTCAAGTCTGCCCCGTGCTCTCTCGCAGATGCCCAAACGAAAGACGCCTGACGCGGATGGCAAGCCGCAGAATGGCCAGACCAGCAAGCGAAGCCGGGAGGATCTACGGAAACCGCATCCCAATGCGAAGCAAACCGAAGATTTTGGGATTGTCTTGCGCGAATTCTATCCTCCGGAGATGAGCAACGAGCGATGCCAAGCCTATAGCGACGGGACTATCGAAAGACCCATGGAACAGCTAGAGGCGGCGTGTCGCGACACGTCGGACAAACGTCGTGCGATCGGCCCCGGGAAAGCGGTGGTCCATTGGTTCAAGAATGACTTGCGTCTCCATGACAATCGTGCGCTCCATGCGGCCTCCCAGCTGGCGCGCGATCACAAGATTCCACTGATCGGTCTCTACATCCTATCTCCGGAGGACTGGACCGCACATTCCACCAGCCCGGCACGAGTCGATTTTACTCTGCGCTCGTTGGAGCGGCTGCAAAGCGATCTGGCAGAACTCGATATACCCCTTTACATGGAGACCCAGGAGAAACGAAAAGCCATTCCGGGTCGCATCGTGGAATTGTGCCAGCAGTGGGAGGCCAAGCACCTCTATGCTAATATCGAGTACGAGGTAGATGAATTACGTCGTGAGGCGAAACTCGTCCGTCTCTGTGCTTCCAAGGAAATTGACTTTGCTCTTTCCCACGACACTTGCGTCGTGACCCCCGGTTGCGTCAGCAGCCAACAGGGCAAACAGTATGCGGTATACACCCCGTGGTTCCGTTCCTGGCTCGCGTTTCTTAAAGAGAACCCGGATTATCTGGAGTTGTCTGAGGAGCCCGGATCCAATCCGGGTGATGCGCGGAAGAAGCTATCGGGGCTTTTTGACTGTAAGATCCCGACTGCCCCTAGCAATAAACAATTGTCAGACGAGGAAAAGAAACGATTTGAAAAATCGTATCCGGTGGGCGAGCACGAGGCCTCTCAACGACTGGACAAGTTCCTCGAGAAGAAAGGTCGCGAGTACGACAAGATGCGCAGTATGGTCTCGGGAGAGCACACCTCCATTCTAAGTCCGTATTTCGCGTCGGGGGTCCTGAGCGCCCGCACTGCTGTGGTGACCGCGAAGAAAGCGAATCGAAACTTCTTGGACCGGGACAACAATGGCTACATGACCTGGATCAGTGAGGTGGCCTGGCGCGATTTCTACAAGCATGTGCTGGTGAATTGGCCGTTCATCTGGTAGGTGATGTGTCATGACCGAATGAAGACTCGAGGACTGACTAAGAGCGCAGTATGAATAAATGCTTCAAACCGGAACATACTAATATCGAGTGGGAATATGACTTGGATCTTTTCCAGGCCTGGTGTGATGGCAAAACCGGGTTTCCCATTGTCGATGCGGCGATGCGCCAGCTGAAGCACTCGGCCTGGATGCACAACCGCACACGCATGGTGGTCTCATCCTTCTTGACCAAAGATCTGCTGCTTGACTGGCGGCGAGGTGAGCGCTATTTCATGGAACATCTCATTGACGGGGACTTTGCCTCCAACCATGGAGGCTGGGGCTTTGGTTCCAGCACGGGTGTGGATCCGCAGCCCTATTTTCGCGTCTTCAATCCCCTTCGACAAAGTGAGCGATTTGATCCGGATGGAGAATATATCCGCCACTGGGTGCCGGAGCTGCGCGACATCAAGGGCAATGCTATCCACGAGCCCTATAAACGGGGAGCCGGTCCGATCGCAAAGAAAAATGGATACCCCGAGCCGATCGTCGAGCACTCGGAGATGCGGAATCAAGCACTAGAGCGTTTCAAGCGAGCTTTGCAAGGGTGAAATGGGTCTCGGGGAGACGAGTTGGGGGAGAGGTGGGGGGGGGGAATATGTTGTGGGACATCGTAGAAGGCCAATATTTTAGTTTGTACGATTACTCTTTCGGTGGTTATTTTTGCCGTCAGAAAAGGCGAACGAATCGAATGAATTGAAGTCGAGGGTCCTACGGGTGATCTTGTCTTGTCCGACTGAGTCCACTTTCCCCGCAGCCTTTTTCTGCTTTCCCCTTATCCCACTTAGGGAATCCCAGCATCCCATCCTTAGATCCTCATGTCGTCTTAAAACACCCTCATGGAAACCCAGTCCGGGGATTTACCCTCAACTTCCCCCGGCCCGGTCGACCTCCCCAATGGCAAACGACGCTGGCGGCGCAATCGAGTCGCCTGTGATTCGTGTCACACTCGCCGCGTGCGCTGCGATCGCGCCTTTCCCTGCTCGCGCTGTCTGCGTAGCGACACCCACTGCGAATTCACGCGCGAGCGTCGGAAGCGAGGACGCATTGCGCGCTCCAAGATGGAGACCGGGCCGACCGAGGCAACCGACTCGACTCTGACCTACGGAAAGAAATCCAATGGAGACCACAAGGTCACCCAGCCAGCATTGTCCCCATTGCAGCAGTGTTCGCCTGGATCTGCTTTCCACCATCGCTCGCCCACAACCAACGAAATCAGCGTGTCGGTGCCTAGTGTTAGCCCGCATTCGCTCGGAGATGGCTCGGGCTCTCGCCCGCAGCGAGTCGGTCCTGAAGGTAATGCGACAGAGGAGTGGTTATCGGCGGCGCATCTCTCCCCGGAGTCGCATGAGATACTGGGAGGGCTGAATGGATCTCACGATCCAATGCCACGATTGGCGGACATCTGGAATCCAGTTGACCTTACTGGGCATCATCAACGGACCCCACAAATCACCTCATCGATCTCCACACATAAATTACCAGGTCAAAGACAAGCATCGGTGGCACGGACAGGCTTGAAATACCCTGTACTGGAGCCAGTCATGCCCTTCTTGGAGACCAATTTACCGCGCCGCCTGGTATGCGATCTGCTTGAGCTCTATTTCACCAGTGCATTTTCCACACACATGCACCCTGTCTGCCACCACATCCATTGCTACGTCTTACGAAAAGCTTCATTTCTGAGCATGGACTCCCCGAGACCCAGTAGCCCTGCATTGCTGGCCAGTATGTTGTGGGTGGCTGCGGTGGATGACAGAGCCTTTTCACTCTCCATCTCACCGCTGCAGCGCCGGAAGATTTGTCAATTTCTATGCGCATTGACCATTCGCCTACTCCGACCGCTAATCCACGTTTCCTTCAAAGATCAGGAGCACGCTGAAGGCACTGGGGGGCCACAGGACTTTACCGCAGCCGCGGCCCATCATCCCTTTGAAGGCGTGGGTGACGACAAAGGGTTGGTAGGCCCCGCTGGATCCCTCGATGATATCATTACATACATTCACGTTGCATCTATTATCTCGTCAAGTGAGCAAAAGGCTGCCAGTATGCGATGGTCAGTCGGCAAATCCTTATATCCCTTTTTGTCTGTCGACTGACACGAGTCTAGGTGGCACGCAGCCTTCACCCTAGCCCGAGAGCTCAAACTGAACCAGGAAATCGAAGTAAACACGAATATCAATGCACAGTCAGATGGTTCAAGCCCAGCGTTTGGTTACTTGGCTGGTTGGGCGAGCTCACCCGATGAGACTGCCTTTGACTACTCGAATCCATCCCGGCCGAGCTTGAACTGTGTCTGTGAAGAAAAACCCAGCTCACATAATAGTCTCGCTGTGACGGAGGAGCACAGGGAGGAGCGCCGCCGAACGTGGTGGCTATTGTATATCATGGATCGTCATCTCGCTCTATGCTACAACCGACCACTCGCGCTTCTCGACGCCGAGAGTGAAGACCTACTCCTTCCGCTGGATGAGAGCTCCTGGCAATCCGGGAACATTCATAGCAACAGCCCCCGGGTTGATGGTCCGCAGTGTTTACGGTCTGGTGATCGGAATAAGCGGCGTGTGTTTCCCAACTTTGTCTGTCATGATCACTCGATTCTGGGGTTCTTCCTGCCGCTCATGACCATCACTGGCGAATTGATTGATCTCAACCAGGCGCGAAATCACCCGACGCTGGGGATTCGATTACAAGGAAAGGAGGTTTGGGAAGTGCACGTGGCCGAGGTGTTACGACAGCTCGAGGTGTACAAAGCAAGTCTTGCAACATTTGCTGTAGCTACAGCCGCGGATCCGGAAGCTTCGCTCTCGACGGCGTACGCCGTGAAACCAGACCAGCCCGTCGATGCACAAACCTCCGAAGCCTACTCGTGGCATACGCAAACTGTTATTGCCTATTCTTCTTACCTGGTTCATGTACTCCACATCCTCCTTGTCGGTAAATGGGATCCGGTCTCGTTGATCGAGGACAAGGACTTTTGGACGTCCTCCCCGGCTTTCGCATCCACCATATCGCACGCACTCGAAGCGGCCGACTCGGTGCAGCAAATACTCCGATTTGACCCCGATATCAGTTTTATGCCCTACTTCTTTGGTATTCAGTTACTGCAGGGCAGCTTCCTCCTCCTTCTCATCGTCGAACGCCTCCAAAAAGAAGCGGGCGAGGGAATCCTTAACGCTTGTGAGACCATGATCCGAGCGACCGAGTCCTGCGTAGTGACCCTCAACACGGAGTATCAGCGAAGTTTCCGTCAGGTGATGCGCAGTGCCGTCGCTCAGGCTCGAGGTCGCCCGGTGAACCCCAGCGAGATTCGACATCGGCGCAAAGCCGTCCTGGCACTCTATCGATGGACGCGGAAGGGGACTGGCTTGGCTCTGTGAGGAGCTGGCGACCGATAGATCTTGCGTCTTTGTGATCTGTCTATTTATCTTTGTACATGATTCTGGGTTTGTATAGCGATCGGGACGGAGTCGTGCTGCGTCGGCGATGTTCGCGCCTGTATAGTCTTATTTCCTCAGCTCACCAAACGAGCATATAATGGCAGCGAGACCCTCTTAATTTGGAGAATGAATTTCACCGTGTCTACTTTCAGACTTGGCCGTTCCACAGGCTAGATTCCGCTGGAGATGACTCGGTTAGAGGTACCGCCAACGAGGAGATCAGCTAATCCGAATCCCAAGGCAGAAGACGCGGGAATGACTGGTATTGGAACCTCAGACTTCGCCGGCAAATGATGAACGTGCACCGACGGTGTTCTCATCAAGGGCGTAAATCACGCCATTCAAATGTGGATCCGACCGAGGAAAGAATCATTGAATATTCATTGTCACGCAATCGTTTACCCGTAAATGCTATCTCAGAATTGAATTGCCAACCTGGGTGTGATGCCTCTGGATACGTTAAATAATAAGTACAGAATATGTACAACTTGCTGTAAGAAGGCTTGTACCACCGCGGACGGGACCCTTCCCTTTATGATTGATATCTATATCTATTCCTTTAGATGGGAGTTGAGAAAGCGCCATCTGAGTCACTGATGGCATCATAGGGTTCTTCATTAGCCGCAGATAATCCGCATTGCCGAGCAGGAAAGCCGAACTTCACGTTGATTCAACCATCACCTCCACATGCATCATGAAGCTTCTCGCCGCTGCTGTGAGCTTGATCATAGCCGCCGAAGGCGCGAGCGTTGGAACCAACGTTCAATCCTTTCTACAGCAGGTCGTTGGACTCGATGCGAGGTCCAAGCCTAACATTTTGTTGGTTATCACCGACGACCAAGATCTTGAACTCGACTCGGTCGCATACACTCCGCTCATTCGAAAACACCTGCGCGACAAGGGCACCTTTTTCCGCAATCATTTTGTCACGACGTCGCTCTGCTGCCCCTCGCGGGTCAGCCTCTGGACAGGGCGCCAAGCACATAATACCAATGTGACCGACGTCCAGCCGCCCTACGGTAAGTTCGCCAGGGTTGAGCTGTTGAAGCAACGCTGACAAAAAGATCAGGTGGGTATCCCAAGTTCGTCGAGCGCGGATTCAATGACAACTTCTTGCCGGTTTGGCTGCAGGAGGCCGGCTACGACACATATTATACCGGCAAACTCTTCAATGCTCATACAGTCGATAATTACGACAGTCCCCATGTAAATGGTTACAACGGATCTGACTTCCTTCTGGATCCGTACACCTACTCCTACTTCAATTCGACCTATCAGCGTAATCGCGATCCTCCTGTGAGCTACGAGGGCCAGCACACCATGGATGTCATCACGGAGAAAGCCCTAGGCTTCCTGGATGATGCATTGGAAGGTGACCGACCCTTCTTTGTTACAATTGCGCCTATAGCGCCACATTCGAATGTCGATCCCCGTGCTATTGCGACCGGCAACATCACTATGAGCGCCCCGATCGCCTTGGACAGGCACCAGCATCTATTTGAGAATGTCAAGGTGCCCCGCACCAAGCACTTCAACCCCGACGAGGTACATTGATTTCCCGACATGGAATATACGTGATGCTAATAATGCGATAGCCGAGCGGCGTCAGTTGGGTTCACGACTTGCCCCAGCAGAACCAGACCGTGGTGGATTACAATGACTACTTCTATCGCTCTCGTCTACGTGCTTTGCAGGGGTGGATGAGCTCGTGGACGATCTGGTCAAGCGACTGGAAGAAAGCGACAAGTTAAGCAATACATATATCATCTATACCTCTGACAATGGATTCCACATCGGCCAGCACCGATTACCACCGGGCAAGACCTGCGGCTTTGAAGAGGACATCCGAGTGCCTTTATTCATTCGAGGCCCTGGGATTCCGGAAGGCCATTTGCAGGATTCGGTAACGACTCACATCGATCTGGCTCCCACTATCTTCAACCTGGCGGGCATCCCACCACGCCCGGATTTTGATGGCACTGCAATCCCATTGACGCTCGAATTCGATGGATTGCGCCATGAGCACGTTACAGTCGAATTCTGGGGAAAGGCTGTCATGGAAGGTACCTTTGGCGGTATCGGTAAGTTTTCGTCGACAAAAGTTCTTTCTGTCTGTGTGTTGATCTTGTAGCAGGCCCCGCTGGCGACGCGATGATTCCCAACAACACGTACAAGTCGCTTCGCCTCCTGGGAGAGGGATATAACTTATACTATTCTGTCTGGTGTAACAATGAGCATGAACTCTATGACCTTTCGGTATGAACAGTCTCTCCGGTTTCGTTTCGACGTGCTGACCCCCTGTCGACAGACGGACCCTTATCAACTGCACAACCTTTATCCACTTGGTGCTCAAATGGATGATGGAGAGCCTAGGATTCTTGGTCGCAGCCTTTTTCAGGCCATCAACAGGCTGGACGCGCTTCTTCTCGTGCTCAAGTCCTGTCAGGGGGCGACCTGCATCCAGCCATGGAACGTTCTCCAGCCTGAGAACTCAGTTAGCAGCCTTAGGGATGCTCTTGACAAGCGGTATGATGCTTTCTACCAAGCACAGCCCCGAGTTTCTTTCGACTGGTGTGCTGCAGGCCATATTCTCGAGGCCGAAGGTCCTCAAGTGCCGTTAACCACCCGTTATGGTATTTCTTGGGATAACTGGGTGTAGATATCAAATTAAAATAGGGGATTCAACAATCTTGCCGTACAACCTAGCATTATTGTACTTGGTACTTGCATTTTGCAAAGGAACACTATGGGAGATGGAAATGGCGGCCCTTCCAAAATTGAAAGGTGTACTGCATCAAAAAGATCCCAGCGCCGGATCGCACATACTTCACGCGAAATTTCTTGCGGCAATGTAAACACAGACGAGCCGCACGAGGAGTTTAACCCTGAGCCAAACACCAACATGATCTCAGTCTGTCGGCAAACGTGAAAACCGGGTCCATGGCAGTTTAGGGCTGATTGCGCCATACCTCCCCGCCGTGTCGCGACACTGACTGGAACCACTTTGGAGGAATTTCGTTGGATCTGGATCCGTGTCTATGCGAGATCTACGCAATAAAAGACAAGCCACTGCGCCGGTGGATTGTATATAAGAACAAGCTCTCCTCGCCCCGTCTGGGCAATAATCTTGAAATATATTCCAGCTTTTGCTTCACGATGACGGACCCTCGAAAACAGTCCGACATGGACATCTTTGTTGAAAAAAGTACCCTTCATAAAGTGGCTGACTCCCCTCCTAGTGAGTCTGAAGGCATCGTCAAGGACTGGGATGGCGAAGAGGCTACCGTAAGACGCAAGTAAGTGGCTATAGAAGAGGAATTTTCCCATCATGTACTCGGCTGACCAAGAGATCAGGGTCGACTTCATTCTCCTCCCTGTCCTCGCTCTGGCCTTTTTCTCCATGCAGATGGATCGAGGCAATGTCAGCGCGGTGTTGACCTCGACCATCACCCAAGACCTACATATCACAACGAACCAAGTCAACATCGGAACACAACTTCTTTCGGCGGGCATTGTGCTCTCGGAAATCCCGTCCAATATTATTATGCAGCGGATTGGACCCCGTATCTGGCTCTCGGGTCAATTGTTTGCCTGGGGCCTCGTTGCAACCTTTCAGGCATTCGTCCAGTCCTACTCGGCATACCTGGTGACTCGAATTCTACTGGGATTCTGCGAGGGTGGTTTTATTCCAGGTATAGAGATGACATCCGTTAGGCAATGAGGACCCGACTGACCTTTTCTAGGTGCTCTCTACTATCTGTCAACCTGGTACAAGAAGGACGAGACCAGTCTTCGTACTAGTCTCTTCTTTTACGGTCAGATGTTTGCCTCTGCTACATCCAGCTTGATCTCCGCCGGTTTACTCAAGCTTGATGGTGCTCACGGACTAGCGGGATGGCGATGGATTTTCCTCGGTATGGGTTGCCTCACCTCTCGTGGGAAAACTTCTTTCTAATGAGCAGGATCAGTCGAGGGTCTCATGACGCTCTTCATCGGGATTGTCTTTACCTTGTTTGTTCCGCCCAAGGCGGGCGATGGCCGTGCCTTGATAGGGTTCGGTCGCTGGAACTATTTCACGGAGAGGGAATCCCAGATTATCTGTAATCGTGTCTTGCTGGATGATCCTCGGAAGGCCCGCGGTCACATCCAAATCTCCCGATCCGATATCTGGAACACCGTGAAGCAGCCTCGCATTCTGCAGCACGCCATTTTGACTCTCGTCTCCATGTCCGGCTTCCAAGGGCTAACTCAATACACCCCTGCCATGATCAAGTCCTTGGGGTTCAGTGCCATTCGGGCCAATGCCCTGGCATCCGTTCCGGTCTACTGCAGTATCGTGTGGCTGACCGCGTTGTCCCTTGCGGCGTAGGTCTTGACCAATATGTTGGGATGTAGAGTTGCTAACACTATGATAGAGATTGGACCGGCCACCGCGGACCGTTCGTACTGATCGCCATTACCTGGAACGTCATCTCTTATGTTTGCCTGCGAACAACCCCGTACGCCGCTGGGAAGTGGCACCGATACGCTGTTATCGCCATTGCCAATGTCTCTTATTGCAGCATGCAGTATGTCCGGAGGACGAACGTTAATCTGCTGTGAAGGGAAAGCTGACACAAGACTAGCATTCTGAACGTGGGCTGGCTTTCGGTTTACTGCAAATCGCCCCAAGAGCGAAGCGTGGCCATGGCGTGAGTTGGAAACCCCCACTTGGATCTATCAAATGGAAATTTTTTGTACTAATCTGATGCTAGTCTGGTTGTCATGGCTGCAAATTGCGCTGGAATCTCCGGCTCCCAGATCTTCCGCACCGAAGATGCGCCTAAATATGTCCAAGGACTCACGGCCATTTGCGCTCTAGCGGGGGCTTCATGGGCCTTGGCGGCGGTGCTTGGTGCCCAGTACTATCTTCGTCGACGCAAGACACGCTCCGATGATCAAGAGTCAACGCCTGTCGTGACATGATCCGGGTGGGCTCATTTAATGATGAACCATATTAGTCTTGATTTTTAATTGTTAGATAGACCTAGACCATGAGATGCCAATATTAGCCTCTTCTTCTTCATCCGCTGGCCCTGCTTTCAAGGATGTTGAACCACGGGCATTACACATAAGTGAAACTGCTCATCCCAAGTGAACCGAGGACCCTGAAGTGAATCCCCTGGATAGCACGCCCAACCATGCGTCCAAGCATAGCTTGCATCTCTTGCCGACTCGGATCGCTTGAATGTCAGGCAACGAATTACCGGTCACGGTGAATATGGGGAATGCGTTGGTCTGCAGAATCCACCCCGTTATTGGCTACCGCGATTGGACCCCGGGTGTCCCAGTTTCATAGACTGCGGGGGAAGCTTGAGCGGTACTGTAAACAAATTAAACGCTCAGCCATCATGAGCTTTGTCGGCAGGATGATTTAACCGAAATTCCGGGGGTCATTTACCGACTTCGTTGACCCAGTCCATCGAGTCTCACAGAATCATAATTCAAATCAGCAGGGTTCTTCGCATCGAGTTCGGCTCGTGCAAACCAAACTCAGAACTGTCTCGAAGAGATGAATCAACCCATATAAGTCTTGTCCCCGCTGACTGCTACAGCGACCACTCGCACAGTTCGTATCAAACGAACCCTTTCATTTGGGCGAATTCGTATAATATGTTACGACTCGATTGATTCTAGCTACGGCGATCAACATCGGGGAAAAAGCAGCTAAACCACGTGCATTCCCCGCGTGGCTCGTGCCTTGCGTATGATTCTCATCTTGTGTAGCGTCGCGATCAGGTGAATCTGCGGGGCTCGGTTAAAAAAAGAAAAGGAAAAGAAAAAAAAAGGATAGAAACGTCGAGTCGAAAGCACCGATTGGCGCATCCCACTCGGTCCGAACCGCCCACTGGCCACAATCCGGGGAAGGATTCGGTTAAATGTGGTTTTGGTCTAGGGATTTCGGTGAATTTGGTGAAATGGCCGGGATCATGAGATCGGGGCTTGATCCCGGTCATTTTGTTTTTTTCCTTTTGAACCATGCCTGCAGCTTCGCTTCGGAGCTTTAATGTCGCCTGGTGTCTTCTCCGCAATCTCTTTTTTAAGGCGGGATTTCCCCAGTTTTGCGGGGATCGAGTTTTCCACCCCAATGGGTATGACGTTTGAACTTTATTACATCCTATCTGCCTGTCTGAGCTTCGATTAATAGTTGGGCTCTTGCTATCTATGAGGATTCGAGAATTGTTCAAAGCAAGAAGCTAAGATGACCGCAAATTTCTTCCACGATGCGCCCCACTGGGGGATGGCAAGTTCCCAGAATACACATACTGGAGAGCCGGTATCAAGCATGAGGACCGAAGTTTTTGACCAGATTTCATTCCTGGCAGCGAATTTTCCTCTGGTCACCAATGGCGACTTTGATCCATGGACCATGCAGCATTTTGGCTGGAATGGTGACATTGACCTTGTCCCAATGTCAAAACACATTACAGAGGAATGGAATCCGGCCGACGTTGGCATGGAATTCAAGAAAGAGGAAAAAATTGGGCTCGCGATGTAAGAAAACCGACTATTTGTCTTCATACTCTCGCTGACAACGGCTTCAAGTGGCGCGTATGCACAAACAGACCTTGGCAACTCGATACCACAGTGGGATAGTTCAAGAGACAACATGTCACAACTAGCGACCGAGCGGGCCTTGTTCATGACTCCCTCCGCTTACCCGCCATCTTTCTCGACATTTCCCGGATCTCCGATATCCGATCTGTCCAGCACCCCCGATATGAGCCATGCCGCGGGCTTGTGGGAGACGGAATATGACAGAGCATCTCTCCCTGCGACCACCGAGACCTATGTACAAGCTTTGGAGAGTGAGAGTCAGGGCACAGCCCCTGATCATTTCATTAGAGAAGATGAGGATGGCTATCCTACAACTTTGGAAATGCCGGACGGTAGCACTCGCAGGACCTCGAATTGGCTGCCGGTAGACCCTCAGGCCGGTTTTACCATAAATTCCCATGCTATTGCAAGCTATACGCAACTCGAATGCATGGAAGACTTTCAGAATGCTTTCATATCACCAAAGACTGCTGGATGGACATACGACAGATGAACGGAAAAATCTCTGAGAAAAAAGAGAAGAAAAAGGACTGAATCAGCAAGTGAAGGGCATTAGATACGAGAAATTGGTGTTATCCAATTGGACACCCCGGAAATGTTGCCATTGCTCTGCTTTGAACCTGAAATGTTCAAAAACCGGGGACTAGCGTGGTGGCAGGGGGTAAGAGTCTCTCCAGCAGGCCCCAAGAAGCAAGCCTGATCACAAATCACCGCTGGAGTTCTTCTATCGACATATTGTCGAAGTACGAGTGAAAGAAAGTTTCCAAAGCTAGTACAAAAAGACAGGGGATGTCTTTGCACATGCTCTTTGATGACACTTACGCCGCCAAGGCCAGTTTCATGGCGGTGACCCCTTCGAGAAGCACACCAAATTACCATGACGCTTGGATGGCAACGGTCTACAGTCATCGTGACATGCATAATGGGGTATAAGGAACAAAAGTGTACTTGAGCTGGCAGTCGGAGGAATCCGGCACGCGTGTACATCAGTGGAAACGCATTATCTAAAGGTTAAACCAGAACCTGGTCTCGCCAGAATCAACATAAAAATCAGCAGCTGTTAAATTCCAGTTTGGGCGAGCGACCGGAGGTGTGGTGAATGTAGTTCCCGGGTGAATGTCACCTTGTCATTCTGACTGAATCCGAGGCTGTTGTGAGAACATCTGGTCAGGACCACTCGAACACTTCAGCGGATCAAATATTACACAGTCCAGTAGTGGTGGCCATCACAGCTAACAGACCAACTGGTCTGCCCATCGAATTCGCACTTCGAGATGGTCCCATCACCACCGGAAATCAAGTCAATGCACGTCTCGGTCAAAGAACTTTGGAGTACACATTGGCTTCATATGCCGTGATAAACATCTGACGACCGATCAGGAAGATCTTGACATGATCAATCCAAATCTTGTTAGTGCCGTCCAAGGTGATAGCATCGCCACCCGAAATGTATTGCGGGTTGAGTTCAGTAATATGGAAGTTCTGAATAATGACATTGCTGACACCGTTTTGACCAGAGGCAGACGCTTGCCACGAATGACCCCAGCACTGCCAACGCTCACGATGAACTTATTGGAGGCCACCTTGATGCCCTCAAGAGCCGCCTTGTCGTAGGTGCAGGTCATGGTCGGATAGCTACCGCACCAGCTGGACGAATCCAAGTCGACAGCATTTTGGCCAGAGCTGCCGTAGGTGTTAGAATCGAGAGTGCAGCACTTGCAGTCGGTGCACTTGCCCCCTCAAGCAACCTGTGCGGGCACTTGACTGGCAAGGTTTCATACGATCTACCCCGAGCAGATGTTGTTCCGCAGTTATGAGATTGGTAAATGGCGCCTGGACCAGTATCATATACATGGAGCTGGAACCATAGAAATTTGCAAAGATCATTGAGATTGAGCCATGAGGAGATTCCTTCGAGAAAAATTACAGTGCTTCTACATTCCCTATTGAGCGTTCTTCATGATCCCCGGCCGCACACCTTCCAAAATAGTCGATAACTCGTTCCAAAGCTTTACCCGAGTCTGACTGCCTTCGTCGCTACGAACAAATGAAGACAAGGACATATTATCCACCTGGCTATCGGTCATGTAGGCGCCGTGTCCTTCAAGACCTGTGGAGGCACCAGCAACCAGAGTGCGGGATCCCACTTCAGTGGAGCGCGCCATGACGATCTTCATGAGCATGAACCCCAACCCAAACTCACGACCCAGGGCAGAGTGACAGAGACCCGGATTGAGCATATTGATTATCACTTCCGAGCCGCGCACCCGACTGGCCAGCTCCTGCACCAAGAGGACCTCGAGCAGTTTGGACATCATATAGCGGCCCGACATTTTAGCCTTGGATGGATCGGAAATGGCCTGGAGTATGCGATCGCCTGCGTCTGCCAGTTCGGTCGTGTCAGCCCACGCATGGACTTCGCTCACCACAAAGGTGAGACGAGGATGCGTAGAAGGGAAATTTTGTCTGGTCGCTTTCAGGGTGGGGAGAATGAGAAGACCGAGAAGGAGGGTGTTGATCACATTGACGGTGAGGGTGCGTTCGTAGCCCTCTGCAAGTTCAAAGTTGTTCGTTGCTAGGGCTGCATTGAGGATGGCCGCATCCAGCCGCGGTAGCTGGGCGATGCGATCGCCAAAGGCCAAGACCGAATCGTAGGAAGCCAAATCGACCTTCCACACTTCGCATACTCCCGATCGTCCAGTGGATGTCTCGATCTCCTTTTTGGCCGCTTTGCCTGCCTCAACATTGCGCACACCTATAATCACCCGGGCAGCACCCAGGCGCACGATGTGTCGCGTCGCTTCCAGGCCGAGACCCACGTTGGCGCCAGTGACGAGTACTGTTTCACCTTCGAAGGAGCGAGTAGGATAGCTGGGGCGGACGAGAAACTGCGAATAGAGGAAACCCATGATGGCGGTGATTACTGTTAGTCCTTCCTCACTGGGGGATGGCGTGGTATTTATCGCGATCTGATCGATCACAAATCCCGAAACTCATGAAATCATAAATTCCGGAGATCGAGCGGCGATAACAACTCCGCCAAATGCCTATCTCCTATGGGTTTAAGACGGAGATGGACGCACTTCCGGACTTTACAGGATCCAACGTGAAAGTACGGCTATTGCTTGACATCGTCGCATAGTAGAGAATCACAGAGGAGAAAAGTAAATAGGGTCAAACAGGTTGAGAGAGTCCCATGTCAAGGCTCGAGTGATGAGCCGGATAAGCTACAAAGAGACGATCGGGTGTGAGCTGCTATTCAACTTGACTGAGCGCGTTCATAACTGTATAGACTCTTTCGATGGAAAATTCCTCATCTCCATCCTCATCTTGAAGCTGATGCTGTATCTGCCAAGCGTCTAACGTTCGGTTCAAGACCAGATTTAGATTTGGCTCAGCTTAAGTCAGCGCCATGACGTCAAACAGCGCGAGCTATCGGTTGACGTCCTCTTGATCCTCCTGTGTCTCCTCATCCGATTTTCATTCATGCCTGGACATCTGGGTCAAAAAGTTCTCAATGCGCTAACTGGAGGCCACTCCAGCCATCCTCCCGGTCAGAACCTCCCCGGTCGCGCTCAGATCAACGAGGATGAGCGCCCGTTATCGTCGCCCCCCAATGGAGGCACCTATCCCCGCCTGGCCCGCCTCTCAGATGGCTCCATCCTAGCCTCCTTCACTCGGTTCCCAGAGGATCAGCGAGCACTCTGTGTCGCGCGGAGCACGGATAATGGACGAACTTTTGAAATGTTGTCCGAGGTCACCCGGGCGGCAGGAGATGTGGATAACATGTTCCTGTTGGAAGTGGCTCCGGGCGTAGTCCTCGCAGCGTTCCGAAACCATGATATCGGTCCCGATGGCCCATCCCATTTCCGTATCACCGTCTGTAGATCGATGGACAGCGGCCGGACGTGGAAGTTTGCCTCCCAGGCCGCTGAAAAGAAGCCCCCCCTTCGGCATTTGGGAACCCTTCATGCGCATAGGGCGCCGGGGAGAGGTTCAACTCACCTACTCTCAAGAGTTTGCGCACAACAACCAGTGCACTATGCTTGTTGTCTCGCAAGATCAGGGAAGTACGTGGACCCAACCGGCCTGTCTCCACGGCAATAACGATCCCCTTCGGGACGGCATGAACGGTATTGCGAAAACCATCGACAATGGCCGCGAGGCGCTGGTCATGGTCTTTGAAACTACTCGGTACGGTCCTTTCAATATTGAAGCCCTCATTTCCTACGACGATGGTGCGACTTGGCACAATCGCCAGGAAGTCTTCCGCCCGAAACATGGACACAACGCGGGGTCTCCGCAGATTGCCTCCTTCGCAGATGGCTCCCTCGTAGTCGCCTTCATGACAGATGAGGACTCTTCTCAAGTGGAATGGGTCAAGCACGCTGCAATCAAGGTCGTATTTGCCGGCCCACCTCACAATGGGCAAATCCAGTGGAGTGCTCCTTCGGTGGTTTCACCAGCTTCGAGTTTTTGGCCTGGCGTTATGGCTCTAGATCATCATACCGCACTGGTCACCTATGACCGCGGAGGACCTCTAGCTAAAACGATCACTTGGCAGCCCCAATAGACCTCCAGATACTTTATTTCAAGTTTTACGATTATGATCGAGAATAGAGCCGCTCAGAACGGCATTATTGCAGGAGCCTGGAACGAGGGGGGGTCTAATTTGTAGTTCAAAAAAACAGTAATCTCAATAACAGATAGGTATCAAAGGGATGCTGGTCAATCCCGCAGTCATTAATGCAAGATGCATACGAAATGGGAATGAAGATAGGGTTATATTTGGTTCGAGATCAAGTTAACGTCAATTTTCTCCCGCAAATTCCAGTACTTTTCTTGTCTCTCAACCGATTGAACCGATTGAACATTCTCGCTACTCGTGCACCTCATGTCCGCAACCAACTACAACAATTCTCTGCACCGAATCACTTTAAAGGGTGCTCTTGGCTCGAAATAGCAAATGGCCATGCTACAGGAATGAGGCGCGGACTTAACACTAAGCACCCAGGACTGTCACTTGAATTTCATACTATGCATCGTCGCCAGACAAATAGCGCTCCACAGGGTCCGGGTCGCCAGAACCGCATTGTGATACTCTTCGTCCGGCCTTCTTCCTGTCTGAAGCCAGGACTTGGGCAAATGGAGACCTCTCCCGGATCTTTGGCCCATACCAATAGAAGACGTAGATTGGAATGGTGAACAAAATGGCCATGAATCCAAGGAAAGTCGAGGGCCACTCCAGCGTATCCGTCGTCCCCATATGCTTATACACTAGATATTATCAACGAAGCTTTCGGAAACATTTTTCAGATATGGAAAGACTTACTAGGGACAGAGTACATGGCAGCGATACCGGCGAGGAAGTCGCGTGCGAACCCATTCCCGCCTGTTGCCGAGGCCGCGTATGGCCCGTATGCCGCGATCATGTAGTCGATCGTGGCCATATAGATTGAGAACTAAAGCCAAGGACTGAGTTAGTAGAAGCTCGACCTGTGAGGTAAGATTGGGGCCAGCTCACATTGGCTATGGCAATCAAAGCGGAAAATATCATCGGAGCGATCCAATGCACATGAGGTGGACCCAAGCTGGTCCAGGCGAAACCAAACAGACCGATCGAAAGAAGTGGTGCCACTATCGAAGTCAGCTGTGGAATAAAAAACGGCGCGAATAAAACACGCACCCCATAGCAGCCAGTAAAGACGAACTTCCGGCTGTAATGCGTCCGGATCTCGCTCCCTCACCCTGCAATGCCGATGGATCCAAGGCAGGAATGACGCATATGCAATGAGATAACCCACGAGAATTCTGAGACCGAGGAAGAACCATGGTCAGCGCAGTCATTTCTATCTCGTCAAATAGTGGACACTCACGGGATGAAAGCAAGTCCGGTATCAACGGTGTTGAATTTCCATTGCTTATATACGAGAGTGTATGACTGAAGGAAGGTGAAGATCAGAGCGTCACTGAATCCACTGAGGAGCGACAGACACAGGACGATTGGCTCCCGAACGAACATGATGAATGGTCGTATCCAGACCATGAACAGATATTTGAAGGATATGCGTGTGCCTTTGAGCTCATCACCACTCCAAACGATATCCCCATTCTTGCGTCTCCGACGGGCCTCCCTCGTGAGAAGAACGGCACATCGAGTCTCTGGCACTGGCAAATGACACACCTGCACAAATCCTCCGAGAATAAGCTGGATCCAAAAATTCCAGTGCCAGTCGAGGTATGTCCCCACAAACCCTCCAACTATAGGGGCTAGGACGGAGCCCGCTACCGATGACAACACGATGTAAGCAACTGCCCATTGTTGACTTTCTGGCTCCCACATGTCGGCGACCATGCCGAGTGTGACTGAGCCACCCGCAGAGGAAAGTCCGCCCAAGATGCGACACACGACAATGGTGCCGAAGTTTGGGGCTAGGGCACAGGGAATTTGCCAAATGTTGACAAGGAACAGACTGAGCTGGAGGATAGGCCATCGGCCAAACTCCTCGCTGAAGGGAGCCCAGAGCTCGCAGCCGAAGGCATAGGCAACGAGGAAACTCATCTGGCCCACACGTGCAGCCTGCTCGGAAATGTGAAAATGCTTTGCATATAAGGTGATGCTGCTGGCGTAGAAACTGGCATTCCAATTCATTGATACTTGGATAGCAAAGATGACCGTGATGATCCACCACTTCTTCCACGCCGGGAAACTATAGCCAAGCTTTTCGTAGCATTGCCACTCCTTGAGCTCCGGTTTTTCGCTTCCATCTGCATATCCATTTGCTCCATCAATGCCTTCTTTCTCCTCGTGACTAGGCTTGGGCGTGCCTCCGGGCGAATGGACTCGGCCGTCGGTCTCATTGTTTTCATTTGAGCCGTTGGCTTCGTCCATATCGTTGGGTTGATTGTCTTGAGACATCAGGTATTGAAGAATCGATATAGGTCACAGACGTCTGAATTAATATGAGAGAGCCTGACAAGAGAAAGGCCAACATTCTGACCCAATGGTTCTCCCCTCTCCCATCATAGCGTGACTCTGAACGGGGTTAAGTAGTCCCTCGCGAGCCGACGAGGAAAAGCACAGTAGCACCTTCAATCAGAAATGGTCAGGGCTCCGATTGGTCTTGCAAGCATACGACCATAGGATGAAATAGGCTTTACCAAGCTTTAGATGTGTCTCCTGGTGTGGAGTAAACATCCGGGGACGATGATCCGACTCGGCGTCACTGATCGTCACTCCAGTAACTGGCCCGGCCATTCATCCTCTCCTCATTGAGGGCAGTAAATTGGTTGAAGGGGACTTAGCCAGTGGAACTCAACGCCGAGGGAATGGCAAACTCAATGGCACTCCTCGGGGATGTACTGGGTCTCGAATCGGTGCAATCCTTCTCAAAAAGGTCTGGAACTTGCTTCCTGGTCTAGAGGGCTCTGGTCTTCATTGTTTCTTTAGAAAATGGCAAATGGGTCATTGTTCCACCTATGCCGATCATCTTAGATCATCAGTGCCAACTATTCCATCATTGAATGAACGGCGATCAATTCCACCTATGCAAGAATCAGGTATTTTCATTTGGTAAACTATGTGACTCTACAGATCGTAGATGCTGGGTCCATTATAGCATGGGGAAAGCTAATCCATCACCTCTGGGGTCACTACCCGCGCTATAAACTTGCTGCCCCTCGTCGTAGTGCAGCCGAATGACCTGGCCGCGACCAAACATGGATCGCTTCCAGCCGGTAAGCACCTCAATCTGATGGCCCAGACGGCGAAGACCTTCTACAGCTTCCTCGCTGATTCCTTCCTCCACGCAAATGGTACGATCGGTGCTCTCCGATGTGGGTGCGGCAATACAGATGCGCGGAGAATCTCAGCGCTGCCTGAGGGTGATACCCGAACGCAAGCATGTTGAGCAGGACTTGGACATGGCCCTGGGGCTGCATGAAGCCACCCATGACACCATAGACAGAGTGAAGAGATCCATCAGCGACATTGGTAATGAGCGCAGGGATGATGGTGTGATAGGGCCGTTTCCGAGGTGCCAATGCATTGGGGTGGTCTGGCTGAAGCGAGAAGTTGGCCCCACGGTTCTGCAGACTGAAGCCACAGCCTGCGGGGATGATAGCCGTTCCGAAGCCGGCGTAATTGCTGTTGATGAAGGATATACCGTTGCCTTCGCGATCAGTCACAGCAAAATAGACGGTATCGCAGTGGTTGTGGGCCGGGCTGCCGCGATCCAAAAGATCAGCCGCGCGCTCGGGGTCGAACAACTTGGCTCGCTCGGCCAAATACTCGCGCGCCAGTAAACCTTGCGAGGGCACTTGCTCCACGTCGGGGTCGGTTACCCACCAGGCAGCATCGGCAAAAGCAATCCGTAGACTCTCAATTACCGCATGAAGATACTCGGCCGAGTTGTGCTGTGCTTCGCTAAACCGCGGAATCTTTTCACTTCTCTCGAGCTCTTCCATAATCCCCAGAGCCATCAGTGCGACGATGCCCTGACCATTTGGCGGGTGCTCCCAAATCTCGACACCGTGATTAGGACCATCTGTACCCGCTCCTTGCTTCGACGCGATATCTTGGCCGGTGAATCTCAAGGAGATAGCATCGACCTCCTGAGTGCCAACCTCGGCGTGGTAGGCCAGGTCATCCAATGCCATATAACCACCCAGGTCATTGATTACCTTGACGATCTCCTGAGCAATTCGACCTTGGTAGAAACCCTTCTTTCCCTCCGCGGCAAGAGTGCGGAATGTCTTTGCCAGCGTAGGATTCTTCATAATCTCCCCCGGGCGGGGGCTACGTACACCATCCTTCGCCAAGGGGTCTTTCTTGAGCATCTCACGAAAGTTGGGAGATGCGTTGCGAATGTCATTTTCAGCCTCATGCCACTATGCAATGGTTAGCACGTGGTAGACTTGATTCCTTTCCAAGTAGAGCTACGTACTCCATGGGACGAAAGTTCCGACACTGGGAATCCCTCCTCACCCAGCTCAATGGCTGGCTGTAGAATCTGCTCCATCGACAACTTACCGCTACCAAATTTCTCCACGGTGTCGATCCAGCCCGCGGCTGCGCCAGGTGTGGTCGAGGCCAAGGCGCTCAACATCGGTATACTCCCTTGCTCGCCAGGGGCGATCTTCAAGTCTTTGCGCACCTGCTCCAGGCTTGCAGCACCTGGGTATCGACCAGATCCGTTCAGTGCGTGGACTTTCTTCGTCTTCGAGTTGTAAAACAGGCAGAACATGTCTCCTCCGATTCCAGTGGAGCATGGCTCCGTCATATTCATCGCAGCAGCTATTATCGACGAATATTGTAAGCTTTGTTTGTTCTTTCCTTGATCCATAACATCGAGTGTCTTAAGACATACCGACGGCCACGGCTGCATCTGCTGCGTTTCCGCCTTGGCTCAGAATTCGCTGGCCTGCTGCGGCGGCCAGGGACTGAGTGCATGATACGATGCCATTTCGACTGTGAACAGTGCTTCGTCGACTGGCGAAGGGGGCCAGTTCCGCGTCGGATCTGGCGTAGACAGCTTTGGCGTTGAGCGGCATCTTGTGTTCTGTAGTTGTAGGTCGGTTATGAGTCAGGCGTGCCCTTTTAATACACGCCAATCTCACTATCACCGAAACGAGCGGCTGAGCACCTTCTAAAAAGGGAAAAAGAGGGGTGGAAGACCCCGCCGTTGGAGAAGTTGGGGTTGACGGTTTATCTTATCACGAGCTGACGGAGAAAACGACGAGTTCCCCAATGGAGGAGGTGGGGGGGGGGGGTCCAAATGTGATTTGAGAAAAGGCAGTGCGATGAATTCGTGGATCAACTTCCTCATGGCTTGTTGTGTCACTATATATATATACCTCGGGACTTTGGGCTCAATGAAGACACCCGTGTACAATATGTAGCAACATCCCTGACCCAGTGTTTTCGGGCTTGGTATAGTCTGGTCTGTATCATTATCCCTACATAAACAATGCCTCCGAGGGGCGTACATATGTAATGCACAATTCTCGTATGATTCTTGCTGTTAAAATTCATCTCCCAGTGAAGTCGTAACACGCGTTGAGGCTCTCGGTCCAAGCAGCCGAACCTCGGAGACACCCCCCGAATAGCAGAATTGATCGTGCTTGGAGTAGATGGCTTGATGAGCTCTGAATTAATTATGTATCAAATGAAGTATCTATATCAAAGATTCTCAAGATTCCAAATAATCAATCCCGGCTTTCTGCTTTGCCCATTGCAACCTGGGGATAGCTCTTGTGAAGAGATGGGTAAAAATACAAGCGGGACCCGCCGGTCTTTTCTCCGCATCGCCGGAGCTCGTCCGACACCTGGACTGTCCAGCATTTCGCATTTCTCACCTCCCCTTCCACTCCACGCCCAGCTATACGCTCAACCATCTCACGGCCTCGCCCACTATGGCCTCAATTCGTGCTAATTGCCGCAAAATTATGTGTATCGGCCGTAACTATGCGTGCGTACCTCCCCCCCGCGCTCCCGTCAACTCTCAATGCTAATGCGAACATGACTCGATAGCGATCACATCACAGAGCTGAACAACACGAAGCCCAAGCAGCCCTTTTTCTTCCTCAAGCCCCCCCTCCTCCATTCTCGTCCCCGGCGCTGGTCCCGTCCTCCGCCCCAAGGGCGTCAGCGTGCACTACGAAGTCGAATTGGGTCTGGTCATTGGCAAGACCGTGCGCGACCTTGACCCCCAGGATGAACAGGGTGCATTGGATGCCATCCAGAGTGAGTCGGACTCCCCTAATTGAAACCAGGCACCACTAACGCTTCTCTCCAGGCTACATCCTTGCTATCGACATGACCGGCCGCAACGTGCAGGACGAAGCCAAGAAGAAGGGTCTTCCATGGTCTATCGCCAAGGGTTTCGACACCTTCCTGCCCATCTCCCAGGAGATTGCCAAATCGCGAATTCCTAACCCCCACGATGCCTTTCTGCGTCTCCATGTTGGAAAGAATGAGCGACAAGCGGACTCGACAAGTCTGATGCTGTACCGGATTCCCCAGCAGCTGGCGCATATTTCTCGGATTATGACACTGGAGAAGGGTGATATTGTGCTGACGGGAACACCTAAGGGAGTTGGCCAGGTCCATGCAGGAGATGTCATGCGAGCCACTATCGAGGTGGGTGGCAAGGAGATTGAGGAAGGACGCATTGAGGTAGAAGTCCAAGACCGAGAGGGCCCGTATGAGTTCAAGGAGACTTAGTTGTATCTGTGTAGAGCGCCGACAGCATGTACAGCGAGTCCCATACTTCCGATACCTATCCCTGATACCAAACCAGTCCAGCTACTCGATACAGTATGAATCTATATCCTATGCGCTTGCCAAGTTGCCTTCAGTGTTGACCTCGGTACCTACTAGCTAGCTTCGCGATCCCTCGATCACTCAGTGTTTCGATGTCTCCACACAATCACCGCTGGCTAAGGCTTTTGCCGAATAGCAAATCAAACTGCGCGATAAGACGATCCGCGCGCCCCACACCGCCCTTCGGCATCTGGGGAAAGATGCACTTTCCCACTCTTCCGATTTCTTTAAACCGTCGCCTTTCCTCGACGGCGATTGCGACTGCCACTCGACCTCCCCCTACTCTCTACTCTCTACCGTCTCTTCAACTTCGCGCCATGGCTCTCACCCCCTAGTACTTTTCATCATGCTAGACTGCCATTCCCGCGCGCGCGACACCAAGACCACCTCGCCCCCTCAATCAAATGATTTCTCCATCATGCATCCTCCAGCCGCTGCACCTCGAACCTTCAGGCCCGATGCGTCACTCGTCTTAGTTGGCATTAGGGGTTGTGGCAAGCGCTCGCTAGGATTCGTCGCGGCCACAGCCCTTAAACGACGGTTTATCACTGAAGACCATTACTTCAAGGAAATCACGGGCATGGCACGATCGGAATATCTCAAGCTCCATGGGAGCCAGAAATTTCAACTTCGCGATATCGAGGTCCTCAAACTCATGCTCGACAATCACCAATCTGGGTGTGTGATTGAGTGTGGGCTGGGAAGTCTTACGCGACCCGTGCAAGATCACTTGCGACGCTATTCCACCACGAACCCGGTAGTCCATATTGTCCGTGACATCGATCGGATTCAACAACTTCTTGGGTCTCGAAGACCAGGCAGTACGTCTTCTGCGGGACGGGGATCCCCTCCACCGCACATGCTCCAACTTCGAATTCTACAACGTCGAGGACCGCACTCGCATCATATCGGATGACGGAAGTCCCGATCCGCGATCCGCTGCGTATTCTTTCAAATTACAGGAGGTCAAGGAGGATCTCACCCGATTTGTTCGATTCATCACTGGGGTTGATGTCAATTATTCAAGCTACGACTCACCATTCGTCCTGCTGGAAACACCTCCCGAGCTTCGTTCCTTCACACATGCCATCCTCGTCCGCTCCTCTGATATGATTGACGACAACGTCAGTTTACCGGAATTAGAATCTGGCGGCGATGCCATTGAACTTTGCGTCGACCGTTGGGGGCCCGACATGGCCAATGTGATCAGCAAGCAGGTGTCGCAATTGCGCCGCAATGCGCGAACTCCCGTGATCCTTTCAATCGACACATCAACATCTGGAATCAGTGAGCAGGATCAACTTGCGTCTTACTTCAATATTCTCGAGCATGGTCTTCGTCTCGCAGTGGAATATTTGGTTGTGGATCTTGGCAAGAACGAATCTGAACTGGCCAATATTATTCGCGCCCGGGGTAAGACCAAGATCATCGGCCAGCATATCTTTGAATCATCCTCAAACGTGAAATGGGAAGATGAAAGTGCTGTTGCCCTCTACCATGAAGCAGAGACGCTTGGATGCCAACTGGTTCGCCTCCTCCGAGTAGCAACCAACCGCGAGGAGAACGCGACAGTTGTCGAGTTTGCCAACAAAATCCGGTCGCTCTCGGGAGAGAGCCCCCCCACTGATCGCATATAATATCGGTCGCCTTGGGCGGACATCACAAGTGTTCAATTCAATTTTGACTGGGGTCACACACCCTGCCATCACCCGAAAGATGGAGAACGAGCGGGACCCCCAAATTATGTCGCGAGACGCTGTGCGAGCACTTTTCCAGAGCTACGTGCTTGATCCGTTGAAGTTCTGCATCCTTGGAGCCAGTGTGGCCTACAGTTTGTCTCCTGCCATGCATAATGCGGCCTTCCAACATTGCGGTATGAGCCACGTTTATAGGATACCCGAGACTCCCTCGCTGGCAGTGTTGGATGACTTGCGCCAGGATCCGAATTTTGGAGGGTCCAGTGTCGTCCAGCCGTGGCGAGTGGAAGTCTATCACAAACTTGCAGCCAAAAGTCGGCACGCTGAAGCTATTGGCGCAATCAACACAATTATGCCGTTGCGAGGACATCCAGATGGCACAATGTTTACTCTCCAGGAGCAGGCTAGTCGACGCAACCAGGCAGGCCCGGTGCTCGGCTGGTACGGAGAGAACACGGACTGGGTGGGTATCATGACCTGTGTGACTCGCCATCTGTCGCCTCGCAATGCGATTAGTGCAAAGACCACCGGTCTCGTCATTGGAGCTGGCGGTATGGCCCGGTCTGCCATATACGCAATGCTTCGTCTGGGCTGTCGAAAAATCTTTATCTACAACCGAACCCTTTCACGGGCGGAAGAAGTTGCCAGGCACTTCAACTCGTGGGCATCTTCTCAAGTTGCCTCGGCAGAGGTTGTCCGAGTCTTGAGGTCGACCCAGGATGATTGGCCTGACGATGCCAATCCACCTAGTCTCATTGCATCATGTGTGCCTGCCGACCCAGACCGTAACGAGCCCCCCGCGAACTTTGAGATGCCCCTGCAGTGGCTAGGAAGTCCAACTGGAGGAGTGGTGTTAGAGGTCAGTCTTTTCAAAATCTAGCTTTCTCCCTGCCACGCTAACCTAGCTCACAGCTGGCTTATAAGCCTCTCGACACTCCTCTTCTACAGCAGATGCGTCGTATCCGGAGTGATACCGGACGGTCGTGGGTTCTATCGGATGGTTTGGAAAACGTGATTGAACAGGGAATTGCTCAATTCGAATTGATGACCGGCCGCAAAGCCCCTCGAAGACTGATGGCCCTGGAGGTCTTGCGTCACTATGAGGGTGACAGTGGACGATTTGACGAAAAGACGATTCAAGATCGACTGGACGGCGTTTGCTCGTAGCACTCGAGATTAAGAAGGAAGGCATTTCTTTGGAGTTCAACTAGATTCGGGGGATCCTAGGAGTTTGGGCTAAATGGAATCTACTACATTCATATTGTCGAGGACCAAAATAAGATACTGGTCAAGAGACCGATTGTTGATTCAAAATAATAATATTCCAGAAGGCTTGCTCATGCAAAAACGCCTCGCCAATATATGCGTAATGTACAAATATTATACAGAAGAGGGGTGGGGAGCACGAAAGAGATTCTAGAGAGCTTCCGCGGTCTCGAATTTTGCTTTGTGAATTTTGAACGCCATTTTGCATGCGGCGTTGTAGAATGCATGGAATGTATCTTCGACGGACTCTTGGGGCTGATTGGGTTCAAGCCTCGAGGTGGCGTCCGGAAGCTCCATATTCAAAAATAGCTCCGTCGTTCGAGCAGCAAGGAATGGCCCGCTCTCGTAAAAGCGATAGGACAACAGCCTGCCATCAAAGTCATACGATTGAGTCATTGCTCCCTCAATGTCGCTGAGCGGGGGCAACAAGTACTCGGCAGTGATGTGGTCGTTCGAAATCGGGTCGCCCGACAATTGAAGATCGCCGGGGACCGAAATCTGACAGAAAGGAGGCAGAGGCACGGGCCCAAGGGAGGAGTTTCTTGAGTCAAACACGCCCTGTAAAGACTCCGTGATGCTTTTCACAAGGAGTTCGTAATGTGATGATCCAGTCAGGGTCTCATTCGAGACCTTGCGGCCGACGGTGTGGGTAAAGCGCAAGTCCAGGCCATTCTCCGGCAAAAGATAGTCGACGCTGTTGGTGCTCAAGACGGATTTCACACTTTGCACCTTGATTGTGTCTTCTACTCCGGCCATTTCTGCCACGTTGACGAGAATCTCGACGTCTAATGGGGGGATAGTATCTGCGAAGTGAGCAGACGGAGTCAAGCGAATGTCGTATTTCCGAGCGGCTTCCTTGGACTGAAGAGGAAGTGACTCTAGGAAAGGCGCGATTCGAGGAATCTCTGTCGTAAAAGTTCGAGGAAGGGACAGCGCGCCCAATTGCGGGGCAGTCAGGACACTTTCCTCGAATGAAGCTTTTCGAGCAAAAAGACATCTTCCAGCGGCAGCGGTCACGGATTCATGCACATGAGAGCCGGCTTGTGATTGAGCCTTTGTGGGAAGGCCAGTGCGTAGAAGCTTTAATAAAGCATTCGAGAGCCTGGACTGGTGGGAATCAAAAATAGGACTGGATGGTGCTGCCTCCGCACTCTGAGTACTAGACATGGCCCAGCGGAACCATGACAACTGACTGTCGAACCAAGAGACGTTTTCCCCAGGGTTTATATGGTACACGCTCGCCTGTTCGGACGCTGGTAGGTAAGAGGAGAAGGGGAACTGAACGGGCTTGTTTTCGTAGATAGCCAGATTGAGAGTCCTCCGAGCCTCGTCCGCACCGCGCTCGTTCTCCGCAAGGTAAAGAATTTTAGTCGGCACACGAGACGACCCTTTTTCAAGGGCAACTCCATAGGTCTTCCCCACCCATTCTAGGAATTCTGAGCCGAAAACCCGAGCCGAGGTCGCCTTGTCCACCTCGATATCAACATCATGATCGCGAATCCTAGCGGTGGCGTCAAGAATGACCTCACGGATGGATTCACAAGAATTCTTCTTTCCGGTGATTCTGACGAGACCCAAGGAGCTCGTGATGTCAATGCTTGATCCGTGAAGGCTGGCCACTTCGTCAAAGGAAAAGTGCTCTGCATTCAATAGCAACACAGCGGACGCCGATGGCAACCTAAGATCCAGCTGACCCACTTCATTCACAATCGATAGTTGCCAGCAGTTTCGTAGAATCTTCTCTGCCATCAGCGACTTCCCTTTCAAATCCCGGGATGTCGCAACGCGATCAGTGACGTCGTCTCGTGTCTCTTCCGGCATTGCGTGTAAAAACAACGATGTCCCTGGTCTCCATTTTCCAGCGCTCTCATCGGTACTGGACAACTTGCTTCGGGACTCGACGATGTAGTCGGATAGTTGATTGTAGGTGAACGATGTCACGAGCTTTGATCGCAAATTTTCCCATTCAACGGGGGTTAACGGATCATTGGGCCGGTGTGTACCCCGAAAAGTTTCAAAAGCATGATTAACCGCACTGGCTGTCAGATCCGACGCCTCTTCGTCGAGAGCATCCAACATCGAGCTCAGTGTCATCTGCTCTACATCCTCGACCGCATCATTCCGTTTTCTCTGTCTATTTCGGACATTTCCTCGAGGCAAATCCGATACCACCACAATCTCGCCTGGTTTCCCTAGGGAGTCGACTTCGAGCAGATGTTTTTGACCTTCTCGTGTCTGCCACTGACGTCTCGGAGTCCGGCCGAGGTGTGGAGGGGTATCATGGGAGCTTTGGAACCGGAGAGAGATTGGACGAAAGATCGATGGGGATGATTGAGAGCGCCAAAGCGCAAGGGCGCTCTGTGGATGGCGTCGCATGGTCGACTTGGCGCAACATGTAAAGACGCCGGAGATTGACTTCGGAGATGTCGGCAAGCGCTAGTCCTAAAGGAGGCGTGCTTTTGTGGCCTGGAAAGTCAGGCTAGACACGAAATTTGCCGCTACGAATTTACTACATCCACTACTTGCAAGTGTATTACCTGCCTTTCCTGCACGACCTGCATTTCTGTTTACTCGCGTTGCACAGGACCGTGACTTTATATGCGTCTCACCGTAACGTCGTATCGTGGTATTTCTCCCCATCGCGTTGGCACCGACACCCATGGGCCTTGCTGGGACATAGACTTAAATCCAAGTGACAACAGAGGCGAGTAGCTAACGTGATGCCAGACAAACAATCTGCATAGATTTAACCCTGCAGACGACTGTGGAGTGATGGCGAATTAGGTATTCCCTTTGGCGCAGTTTAAGACTCAGCTCCATCTGTTGATCGCCCTTGAAAGGTGACAACAGGTGGCAGTCCTGCTGTCTAGCGATGCTAGCACTGTTGGTTGCGTCTTCTAAGCCAGGAATTTGGTGGCCATATGTAGTAGACTGAGAAAGTCCTGGATTATTCTACATTGCTCACCAGCACACGACCTAATGAAGGACGATGCATCGAAGTGGAGTCGAAATGCGGGTAAAATTGTGTTGGCCTCGGGCATCTCTCCATGGTCGTGCTACTTTCCCCGACGTCTTCTCATTTCCCTAATTTGCCTTTACCTCCCCTGGACACGGCACACTGGACACAGCCCTTGGCCGTTGACCTCTGGGTTTTGTTCAACAGCGCGAGCCTCGCATAGATGGAGAAAACCACGCAGCCCGATCTCGAGGCGAGACAACCGCCGGAGAAGCCCCAGTCCACCCTCACGAGGGGTTGGATGCAGAACGTGGACACCACCAACGCGGACTTGGTTTGTCTGTTACTTTGTTTCCTGACCGGCCTGTGTGACAGCAGCGCCTATAATGCCTGGTCTTGCTTCCTAGGCATGCAAACTGGTATGATTCACGGTGCTGCCTGATACTCGCTTCCCCGTACTGATCGATGCGTGAACAGGAAACACCATCTTCCTCGGCCTCGGTGCGTCCAATCAGCCTAGCAGCAAGCCCTGGGGCTGGCTGAAGTCGCTCATCTCCATCACCTTCTTTTTCACCGGCGCCATGATCTTCTCCACCATTATGCGGCGCGTGGGGGCTCTTCGTCGCGGCACCCTCTTCGCGTCCTTTCTTGTGCAGACCATTCTGATCATAATCGCCGTGGCTTTGATTCAGGCCGACTTGATCCCTCACACCTCAAAGGACTCCTCTTTGGATGGAGGCCCCCTCTTCCTGGAGTTGATCCCCATCGCTTTGCTCGCATTCCAGTCTGCGGGCGCTATGACTTGCAGCCGGTCGCTTGGTTTCAACGAGATTCCCACTGTGGTTCTCACCAGTGTATATTTCGATATTGCCTCCGACCCAAAGATCACAGACAAGCCCACCACCAACGTCAAGCGCAACCGTCGTATCGGAGGTGTGGTGTCGCTGCTGGTGGGTGCCATCGCAGGCGGCTGGTTGAGCCGTAGCAGCGGTGGCATGATGTCCGCACTCTGGATGGCTGCGGGACTAAAGTTCGTTGCGGCATGCGGCTGGCTGTTCTGGAAGGGTGCGGAGCCAAAATAGACTCAGGTAGACCGAGCCACTTTCAGCACCTGGTGGTACGGTCAGTGCACTTGCTACGGGGTTTCAAGATTACACATCTTGTATAGAGCGGTCGAGGGCAACGAGGCCATTGCCCATTTGCTCGGGGGACATGACTCGACCATTGCATATAGACACGAAAGAGCACTAATATGAGGAATTTCTAATACCTTTTCGTATCAAGGTCATGATGCTACTCCTAACGATTCATATTCTTAGGTTCCTATATTTCCCTCTACCGAGCCAAACAGACCTGAAGCTGCTCAACATTTGAGAACATGGAGGTCCAGGATGTATTTTCGCAGACGGCGAGGGTATTTTGGATCTGGTGGATTCTATTGCTGATGGCTTCCGAGTCGGGTTCGAGCTCAAGAAGAGCTGAAAGAACATCCCGCGCCACTTGGAGCTGACCAGTTTTGATAAGCTAGCGAGGAGATTCCGGAAGCATAGATTTCAACATCAAGGCCACAGTACTTAAGACAATGGGAGCAAGTGGGAACCGCCGCGATACGAAGTTGTCCTTCACATAATAAAAGCCAAGATCAACCCATAGAGCCGGGGTCACACCGGCGCCAACAAAAATGCCATCTGTCACGACGTTCGAACTTCGCTTGTGTGCTGGTGAAATTTCTGACTGCCAAACTGGCACAGTAGCGACATATCCACCTGTCCCTAGACCAAGGGCTAGTCTTGCCGCGATGAATTGAGCAAAATCGAAGGAAGTTGCCATCAGAACAGGAATTATAATAGTGATGAAGTTGGTCCAAGGGATGACCCTCCTTCGTCCCAGAAGATCCCCTAGATAGACACGGGCGATTGAGGGAGAGGGTTATGAACCGTGAGTCAACATATGCTGTTAGTAAAAGCCCATCCGAACTATCGCAGGCCGAAGATTTGATTGACATCGGAGAGGAATAAAACAAAGGTCGTTGAGTGTGATCGGTACTATCGGGTACAATGGATTTTGAACATGGTCGCTTCCACGGACACTTAATTTTTGATACGTTTGTACCAGCCTTGTGTGCAACGGTCACGATGAAACCATCGGAGATGAACGAAATTCCAATCTAGGAATGATAAAACCACTGATGGAGTCTATTCAAACCAAGCTTTCAGAGCGAATATAGAAGAGTGCCTTTGGCCAATTTATGCAAGCGTCTTACGCAAATAATCAAAAAAAAAATGAACTGAAACGATCTGCTGCGACAATAGCTGCCCGGCCTCTAGCTCTTTGGGCCACAGGTAAATACATCTTCAAGGTTGGCAATGATCCATTCAGTGAACGTCGATGGGCAGAGATGTCGAGTAGAACAGCGTCTTTGTTACCCGCTATATTACACACAGCTAGGAGAAAGGTCTGGATATTGAATTTTGAGATCGGTCTTAAATTGTTGCATTTCTATGAACATTGACCTCGACTACTCCGGCAGAGTGAAGTAACGCCGGAACCGGTCAATCTGTGACAATTTCAATTCTGTGATGACCCAGTGGCAGCTCATCAACAGACTAGGGAAGCGAACCGTCCAGAAGTTAAGATAACCCTCTGGTAGGCCTCCAATATGTGCTTTGAGGTACTCCGGCATGTCGTTGTAGTGGTTGCGCTTGTTGCGAAGGGCACGTAGGAGATCCAGCATGCGCGAGCCGGTGTACTTGCGCTGCTTACCCAGATTATCCTTGAAATCCCGAGGGAGCAAGCGCAAAAAGTCCATCTCCGGCCCCATCACATTGTGAGCCACAGACTCTAAGCAAAGCAATGCGTCCGACGGTGGATCGCGAGTTTCAAACTCGAAATGATCGGAGACATCGCAAAGGAAGCTGAGTCGGTCTGACGGCGGCCAGAAGAAAGGGTGCATCAGAACGGTGCTTGCATCGGGTCGCCGGCGTGGGTCAAGAGACAACATGGAGCGGATAAGATCATCAGCCTCAAAGGCATAGTCACCCAACCGATCCAACTCCTCCAGGTTGAAGTGTCCTTTCACAATATTGGCCTCGCGCATGAACTTGCCATTCTTGTCGAACGGATGACTCCCACGGGTCAAAACGTAGTAAAACACACAGCCCAAGGAGAAGATATCAATGGCTCGAGTGGCACGGCGATTGGTCTGCGGGTCCACAACAGCGGGCTCCGAGGACTCCGTATGTTGCGATACGAGACTCAGAGGGCCGGTATCATCATCGACCAACAGCTCAGGGGCACGCCAGCCAGAGGTGCCGGCAGCGTGAGCGGTTGTGGCACGGAAAGAGCTCTGGTTGTCCTCGAGTTTCTTGCACAGGCCAAAGTCAGATATAAGCAGTCGCAGAGCCTGCGACGTGGTACGACCACGGGGCATGGCCACCAGAATATTTTGGGGCTTCAGATCCCGATGGACGATCTTGAGGGAATGTAGATATCGAACACCTTGTGTGATCTGACGGAGTACGTCGGGCAAGTCCAAGCCGCCCTGAACAAGCTCTGGGAACTGGATCGGTCGCTCCGTGACATCCTGCAGAGAAGCCGGACATAGCTCCAAACCGATATACAAGAAACCGGCCGCTTGCTCACGGCAGAAGTAACGAATGACATTGTTGTGGTCATCACTTTCCTGAAGTAGTCCGACCTCGTGAGAGGCGATATCGTAGAATTCCATAAGCATACGCTTGACCGCCACATGCCGACCGTCAAATGAGCCACGAAAAACGACAGTGCCATGACTGCCATGACCAAGCACGGTATCGGTAAAGACTTCCAAACGTCCGATCCGAATGACCCCGTCCATTTCCGTAATTTCATTCGACACAGTGCGGGTGAGCTGGATATCGGGTTCCAGACGAGTCTGTGGGGCTAGGCGATTTACTTGTTCCACGACCTGGTCGGCTTGATCGGTCGTATCACCCTCCAAGCCAGGCTTTCTGCGACGTCTGTGATTCTTTCCACCCCGAGTTCCACGTTTGCGATTCTTCTTGCCTGACGTTTTATCGATTTCTTGTTCGTCCACATCCCCGTCTTCAAATTGGACTCGAGGGGTTGAGCTTCTTGCAGGAACACTGCTATCTCGGGAGGGTCGGGGAGTAGCATCACTATCAGGGGAATCAGGCAATTTGACGTCCACAGTCACATCAGAGACCGGGCGAGTTGGAGTCGTTGCTCGCTTGAAATCCGGCGTTCCCCCGACAATCGGGGTGGCTGGTGTCGACATGGATCCCTTACCATTGGAGTTGATGATATTTTTGATATCAAGCTTTTGCTTTGCAAGGTCTCGAATATGGTGCGAGTTGAAATAAATGAACGTGGCAATGAAGAGCAATATCATAGTGACAATGATGTCCAATGCATTGTCCCAGCTCTTGCGAATTATTGTGCTACGTCGCAAAGCTGGTGGAAGAGCCAGCTCAGAGGGACTGCGAAGAATCTCCCGTGGAGTGTCGTTGGAAAGCTCGGTCGTGGAGGAGCCAGTGAGTCGAGGAATTGGCGGGACGATTCGTGGACCATTCAATGAGTGCACACCAGCCAGTGCATCTCGCTGCTGGCTTGGGGTCAGGCTCATTAGAGACTGACCCCGGCGGAAAGAAATCCTTATCATATACCGGAGCCATGTGAGCAGTACCAGTGACGAGAGGGTATGTCTCTTCAGACAATGCATACCATCCACCAGCATTGGTGGAGTCAATAAACACACGCATGTCGCGCTCGTCCAAAGGACCGTAGTCAGGATCCGGAGGCTGCAGCGGCTGCGACAGCAGAACCAGCGGTGTCGAGGCATCCGGTGCGTCTTTGTTGGCCGGTCGAATGACATCGAAAACACGCGCAACAGGCGATGAGAAACGTTGCGTATAGCGAGGGCGGTCCATGCGAGAATGGTCAAATCCCAAGACAATTCCATCATGCATACTGTAGACATGGCTCTGATCCATCGTACGGACATACTGGCTCTGGAGGTCCATATCACGGTTGTTGGGCGTCCACTCCGAGTACTTCAAAGTACATATTGGGTCGCCAGTCTCGGTGTTTTGTATGGCTACGGCATATTCGACTCGACCAAGCACCAATGTACCAGACGTTGTTTCGCACTCCTCCGAGTCCAAATCTTGACCGTCCACCTTCCGACATTCTTGACCGGTTGTGAATGGTCCGCGGGAGCTGAAGACCCGCAGGATACTTCCAGTGCGAGCATCAATTGTGTAAAGTGTGGTTTCTTTTCGGGCGGTATAGGTGACAGCGGGACTGGTGCCAGAATAGGGTGTTTCATCCACCAATTGCTTGACGGTCAGGCCAAGCTTCTGTAGTCCAGCATCCTGCCCAGGGCTGTAGATGTAGAGGCTGCCATCCTGGCTGGGCTCTACAATCCACAAGAAGTCATCTTCCGGTTCAGTATCATCGAAACTGGTTCGGTTCGCTCGATGGTAGATGCTTTCCACCAAGGGACTGCTGGGAACCTCAAGGGCCCAACGAGCAGCGCCGGTTTTTCGGTCTCGGGCGTGAATGGTTCCGTCGACGGTCGCCAATAGCACAAAGTCCTCGACCTCCCAGTCCTGCAGGGACCGCGCGTGAAGCTGCGAAGCCAGGCCAGCAGCAGTGCTGCTTGCCTGGACAGGAGGGGCTCGAACGGCGCGGCCGGAGCCCGCCAGAGCCAGAGTTGCCAGGGCGCTCGCATCGTTAGTTTTCACGATGGGCTTAGCCACGGGGGCTGTGTGTAGTATGGAGGAATCTGCTCCGGCTACGGGCACGGAGCTTCGAGAGGTCGAAGAGTCATGATCTGAGAGCTGCTGCGGAGCCACCAGGAAAGGGAGTAGGAGGAGGGCGACGCTGGCGGGGAGGGTCGATCGGGCGCCCGGCAGCCGCCACCGCATCGTGGGAACGTCAGCACAGAGAAGCGAAAGTGCTTTAGCGATCGGACGAAATCAAGATTATGCGCTGACGAGTGAAGGTTGAACGGAGTGAACGGATGGAAGGTTGAAGAATGAACGAATGTGGAGCGAGGCGAGAATCCGGGTAGCGGATCATCCCCCACTTTGTCGTATGGGATATTTGGGCAAACTAGACAAGCGAGAATAGAATGGAACAAAGATGGAGGATGGAAAGGGGATGAAAATAAAGGATGGATAGAAGGATTGAAGATTGTGTGTAATACACGTGTACAGTACAGTCTTAGACCAGCCACCCTTGTAATTGCGTACGCGCCATCAAGGGAGTTGGCCCCCCCTTTCCCCTGCTTCATCTGTCACCTCCAAATATTCCGTAATACCAGGCTAGACCACTCTTGTCGATGCATTCCCACCGGGCCTGTTTCGTATACTCGGGGGCCTTAAATGTACAAATATATTGCCGCCTAAACGACCCGCAAGAATTACTCGGGCAACAACACCATCATATCAGGTACTGACAAATCCGGAGGAAAACGAGTCCAATGGTTTCAGGCTAATCAAAAGAAAAAGAAAGGTCTCCGAGACGCCGCAGAACCCCACGCCGTGACCGGGATAATGCTCCGGCTGAGAACAAAAAAACGAAAAGCGAGATAAATACAATGAAGCCAGAAATAGGCACACATCTTCGGCAAAGGGGATTTATAAGAACAGAAAGGTGGGCCCACTGGGTTCCAGAATGGACGAAAGAAGGGAGTATTAAAATAAAGAAGAAAGAGTGCTTAACCACCACGAATCATCCATGTTACAGCAACGGCCCAGCCGGTCACAAAGATGACGGTGAGGACACCGGCACCTGCGCGATCCCCGGTGGTGATGTTGTTGAGCACCGGCACGTTACTATCGGAGCTGTTGGTACCGGCATTTGGGTTACCCTTGGAGGTACCACCAGTGTCGGACGTGAAGGGTGCCTGGTTCTTGAAGGGAACCAGTACGGCATTGAGAACGCCAAGCACCGCCATCTGCTGTTCCAGTCCATCGGTGCCGTCCCAGGACTGCGTGTACCACTTGATACCACAGTGGGAGCCATCCGACAGACCAGTGCAGGTCTTCACAGCAGCCTCGGCCGAGGTCTGCAACTTGGGCATGACGAGTTCAGAGGTCCCAGGGACAAGAGTCGTCATGAATGCGAGCCACGAAGCAAAGTAGGCCTTAAACGTGATCTGATTGCGATCACATTTCTCAATCGACTCGCAGGTAATCTCTGAGAGAATGTTTCCGCCGACGCTGGTCGGATAGAATTGCGCGGAGGTGCCTACCAGGCCTTCGATACCGTCCTTCCATTTCTGGGTTCCATTGGTCTGCAGAGTATTAGATTAGCTGTTTCACTGGAACGGGGAGTCGCAGGGATCGTACGTAGTTGTACATGTACGCGGCCCCGCTGACGTATGTCGCGTAGTTGTAGGTCCATTGCCAATCGCCGTGGTCCGTACATTGGGTTTCGCAGGTGGTGGAATCGGCAATATTCCAATTCTTCTGCTTCAGCAACGGGGTGGTCGCACTCCAGTCCCAGATGCGTTCGGCCCACTCGCTGTAGGTGGTGTTTCTGGTGTACAGAGCAAGACGTGCAGAGAGTTGGAAAAGCCCGCCATTGGAAATCGCGTTTTTCGTGGTGTAGCCGGCCTGATACGGCCAGATCTGCCAACGCATACCACCATGGCAACTGCTGGTATCCCAGCGCGGAGCCTGAGTGTTGAATACTCCCTGGGCCAGAGAAACCCAGGATGGTTGCCCGTCCTGTTCGGGATAATTCAATTCGGCGGCGGTCATGGCGGCCAGACCCCAGAAGACTTGGTCATCATTACCCAGATACTGCGAGTAATTACTGGGGAAGTAGTTGTCGTCGCCCTTCTGCCAGTACATGCCCTCCATCACCTCGGCGTTGAAGTCCGCATCGCCGGTCAGGAACCAATACTGAATGAGGATCATGAACATGGAACCGCCTTCCCACCAGGTGCCATCAAACTTTCCAGGGATTGCTTTTGAGTCGCGATCATTATAGTAGGTCATCATGTCCGTCGCAACCGTTTTGGCCGCCTGCTTGATAGAATCTAGAGAGCACGTTTTTTAGGTCAGTCGGAGGCCACATGGGGAAGGCGCTTGGAATGCGGGACACGGACTTTCATCGCCGATGTTGATGTTGAGGGCTAACGCGCCCTGGGCGGCGAGAGCGCCGCCCAGTAAGGCGGGTAACCAGTTGGAGAGAATCATGAAGATCAAACGAGCGGTATGGTTGGCATCGAGAAGCAAGTCGAGGGTCGAGAGTTGGGACAGGAGTGTGTACAAGGGAGGGAAGGGAAGAGGGAAAAGTTCTAGGGCAGTGCCACTTTCATTAAAGGTTACCGCTTCAACTCGGGGTCCTCCAAGCCCGGGGCCGGGGGGGGGGTTCCACCCTTTTTATTTTACTTTATGTTCCTAGATTCCTAGTCTAGCTTCGAAAGTCCTGATCTGATGACCATCGCTAGACATGTCGCTCTGTCCATGAATGCCTCTACATTATCCAGCTGGTCGAAAAAAAGGGGTCCCAAAAATAACCTCGATGACGGGGTGACTTGTCCCTGACGGCAGTCGGCGGAACCTGCGCGCTACCTTAGAGACATCCTTGGCATCCCTCGCTTGCGTTTCTAGCTGAACTACCTGGCGTCATGATACCTAGAGGCTCTAGTCTTCCTGATTCCAGATGGTCGGGGGTCGATGGTCGATTGCCGATTTCCTAGATTTTGATCGCCTCCCCAGCTCGATTGACACCGCTGACCCGCAGGATCGTCATCCCACTATCGGCATGCCCTATTTGTTCAGCACGGTCTACTCGGCGCTCATTCTGCTGCCTGGGCCAAGACCTGCTAGAATGCATCTCTGACATGGTCTTCGGCCAAGCTGACAGTTACGATGACACGGGCTCGCTCGACTAGCGAGATCCTTGGTCTGAAATTGACGCTCAGGGTCCGCAGGGTCCAGGGGTCCGGGGTGGCGCTGACAAAGGATGATGAGGGTCAGACAGTAAGGCAGTAAGGCAGTAAGGCAGCAAGGCAGCAAGGCAGTAAGGCAACAAACTATTGTCTCCTACGCTACAAGGTGTCGAGGCCTAACGTCTGCAAGGTAAACTTGTCTATGGACTGTTCTTTTGGTTCTCCTGGGAATAGGTACATGTTCACTAGCGTATCATTCATTTCACATCCGGTCACGTCGGCGAGGAGCTGCCCGAATGATGTTGTCCACTCGGAGAAGAAGCTAGGTTCGTTAGTACCCATGTATGTCAAATGGACTAGTAAATCACATACCTCAGCGGCCTCGGAAGCCGAAGACACCACGGCCTTCTTCAGCTTGTAGGCTTCCAAAACACCCAAGTCGCGCATGTCCGCAATACCACCACCAGGGGTCAACAGGTCCAGACCCGAGTTGGTCAATCCGTTATTGATTGCTTGGCGCAGACGAGTCACCAGATCGCTCGAGTCCAAACCGGCGTTGTCCGCCAAGATGGTTGGGAGCTGCTTCAGGGCGTGGGCAAAGGAGTCAACCGCGAGCTGCTTCTTGCCCGTAGTGTTCTGGGCCGCCTGCTCCACCGCCTTAGCCATCACCATCTCGGCACAGCCACCACCCAGGGTAACCATAGGCTCCTTGACGGTCTGCGACAGTACGGCCAAAGCGTCGTGCAAGGAGCGCTCTGCCTCATCGAGCAGCTGCTCGGTGGCACCACGCAGCACAATGGTGCAGGCCTGGCCGGCCGCGACGCCAGAGAACTTGATCAGAGTGTCCTCACCGATAATTACCTCCTCAATGAGATCACAGGAGCCCAGCTTGACCTGATCGGGGTGGTCAAAGGTAGAGGCAATCTCACCCCCAGTCACCAGAGCCAGACGCTCGATGCCGTCGAAGTCAGCATGTTCGATAGACATAATACCAGCGTCGGTGAACAGCTGCTCGGGCCAGTTGTAGATGAGCTGACGGTTGACAAAGCAGTTGATGCCGTGGGACTTGATACGCTCCACCTTTTGGCGCATCTTCTCACGCTCGGCCTTCTCCAGTTCGGCTAGCTTGCCGGTCGACTCGACCTTGACGCGAGCGCCGAAGATCTTGACCTTGTCGGTATCCATGGCGGTGTTGGCGACCAGAATCTTGGCATTTTCCAAACGCTTAGGCTGGTTAACACCGATCTTCTTGTCCAGGATGAAACCCTCATCCAGGTACGAGTCGTTCAGCTTGCCACCGGCCTTCTTGATGATCTGAATGTGGCTGAGATCGGTCGATCCCTTAAGACGAAGGACGGCCTCACAGGCCAGGCGGGCGAAGTGTTCACGGTCTTGGGCGAGAACCTTGGAGCTGAGTGTGGTACGGGCGATGGCGTGCAGGTCCTTACGGAAGGCTTCGGGGTCCTGGCTGCGGTCGATAGCCACAGATTTGAGAGCCGCAAGAGCAGCACGGCTGGCTATCCGATATCCCTCGATGATGGTCTGGGGGTGGATTTTGGCGTTGACCAACTTCTCGGCCTCGCGCAAAAGCTCGGCGGCCAACACAGTGACCGATGTTGTGCCATCACCAACTTCATCGTCCTGAACCTTGGAGATGTTCACCAGCACCTTTGCGGCAGCGTTATCGAGAGCAATGGATTTCAGAATTGTAGCACCGTCGTTCGTCACGAGGATCTCGCCGGTTGACCTGTTCCACCATGCACGTCAGTATATATTTCTCTCGGCGGTCGTTAGATAAGAGCCCCTCCACATACGCAGACTGCAGAATCTTGTCCATTCCCTTGGGACCTAGGGTGCTTTTCACGAGGTCACCAACAGCGATGGCGCCCACAAAGGCAGACAGACGGGCGTTTTCGCCCTTCTCCTCAATGACATCTTCACCAAAGATCTGTGTGGGATTGCCGAACGACGCCTGCTCGGAGAAAAGGTGTCAGTTGGGGTATAAAGGCAAAGCGGAGAGCAATGAAGGACATACCATGTTGGCCAGCTATAACGAACGCAGTAACCGTTCGTTGAAAAAGGTAGCTGGAAAGATGAGCAACTTCGGTCAACAGTGGGGGAAACGAGGAAAGGAGAAAAGTTGCGTGGCCCGAGCTTCTGGTCGGGTGCGCTCATCACCGCCCGCCTTCTCGACCGTTCTGAACCTTCCCCCTTCTTCTTTCAGGGTTCTGTTACTACTCAAATTCAGGATGGCTGATTCCGAAGAGCTCGCTGCATCCGCAGCGACTAAGCGACCTCACTCTGCCGTCGATGGTGACGAGAATGGTGAGTTGCGCTCCGCTCGGAGCTCCGCTTCTTTGCGCCAAACTGCTAATCGCGAAGCTGTATAGGTGACGAGGAGTCCTCCGACGATGATTTTGGTCCAGCTCTACCCGCTGAAGTTGCGCCAAAGAAGAAGCGCAGAAAGCTCCCCTTCGAAAAGGTCTACGTCAACGCCCTGCCCGCTTCCCCACGGTACTCCAAGTCCCTCATGCACAAGGAGCAATTGTCGTTTGTGACCGTCACTCCGGTCACCGACTTTGTCATCACCAGCTCGGTAGACGGTTTTGTCAAGTTCTGGAAGAAGATGGCTGCCGGCATTGAGTTCGTGAAGGAGTTCCGAGCCCACCCTGGCGAGATTCGCAGCACGAATGTCAGTGCCGACGGGCGCAGTTTTGCGACTGCAGGAATCGACAAAACAGTCAAGATCTTTGATGTGATCACATTTGGTGGGTCTCTAAGTGCTATACTGTTGGTCTACATACTAATCATGAGCAGATCTTCTGGCTATGTATACACTCGACTTCATACCTCGATGTGTTTGCTGGGTACATCGACGAGGAGCCTCTCTGCCATTGCTCGCTGTAACGGACGAATCATGCAATAGCATCCAAGTCTTTGATGGACGGGGTGAAAATCCTCAACCCTTACACACTGTTAAGACCATTCACCGCGCCCCCGTGGTGTCATTGGCATTCAACGATGCATTTGATTGCGTGGTCTCGGCAGATGAGTCGGGCATGGTCGAATACTGGCGAGCCGGAGACGGGTCATTTGAGAAACCAGACAATGTGTTTGCATTGAAGTCATCGACGAACTTGTTCGCATTCAAGAAAGCCAAGTCCGTCCCTACCGCGATCACGATCTCGCCCTCCGGTGAACACTTTGCGACCATGTCATTCCCTGACCGTCAGGTGCGGGTCTTCGAATTTGCTACGGGCAAGCTGTACCGAACCTATGATGAGTCAATAGCGACCATCACCGACATGCAACAGGCTGGTACCGCACCGTATCAGCTAGATGAGCTAGAATTCGGACGACGATTGGGCGTTGAGCGAGAGCTGGAAGGAGAGTCGACCCGTAACAAGGTGAATGTCTCCTTCGACGAGTCGGGTCACTTCCTCCTTTACGGATCATTGTACGGAATCAAGTGCATCAACACCTATACTAATCGCGTGGTCCGGGTTTACGGTCGCGAAGAACCCTTCCGTGCATTGAACTTGGCTCTCTACCAGGGAGCGCCGCAGAAAAAGGGGTGTGGTGACAGTGTCAATGGCTGCAAGTAGCAATCCGCTGTTGCAAGAGGCCGAGGAACGCGACCCCGTCCTCCTATGCACCGGGTTTGCCAAGGTGCGCTTCTACATGTTCACCAACGAGACGGAAGTCTCCAAATCGAGTCGTGACGTCCAGAACGAGAAGCCGACGCAGGCCGCTCGGGACTCCGCTACGGGGCCTTCCAAGGCTGCTGAAACTGGAACGGCCGCAGTCCTGCACACCACGCTGGGTGATATCCATCTACGACTGTACCCATCTGCGGCTCCGCGGACGGTAGAGAATTTTGTGACGCACGCACGACGAGGATACTATAACAACACCATCTTCCATCGGGTCATCCGTAAATTCATGATCCAGGGTGGTGACCCCCAGGGTGACGGAACCGGTGGCGAGTCGATCCTGGGCGGCGAGTTCGCCGATGAGTTCTCCAGTCTCCGACACGATAAACCTTACACCCTGTCCATGGCCAACGCGGGCCCTGACACCAACGGCAGTCAGTTCTTCATCACCACGGAGAAAACTCCCTGGCTCGACAACAAGCACACAGTTTTCGGACGTGCCGTGCAGGGACTGGACGTGGTGCACAAGATTGAAAATGTCAAGACCCACAAGGAGAAACCGGAGGTGGACGTGAAGATTGTCAGCATCAGCATCTCCTAGAAAGTGGGAGTCTCCTGTAAATAAATATAAATGAGATCACGGGTGCATTGAACTTCTAAGTGCAGGGAACCAAGCCCTGTGCAGATGACATACGTTGACATGCCAGGACCATTCAGGCGCACTGTAGATAATGTAATTCTAAAGAAGAAAGTAGAACATGAAAAGCAACACTGGTCAGGTGATATCCAGTAAATAGCAGCCGGCGCCTTTAATCAAATCAAATCAAACCAGTAAGTGGCTCCAGTCCGGCACTGAAACCCAAAAAGAAGAAGCAAATCCGGTCCCCAATATAACCATATGTACAACTCCGAGAAATGCAAGTGAGGCGATGAAAAAGTAGCAATTGTTCCCGATACTGGCTCACATGTCCCCGAAAAATAGCACACTATTCGTCCCTCCTCCGAGGCAATAGATCAAGCATCACTGGCGCGAAATTTGCCGAATTTCAACATCTGCAGCGGGCGACTGGCCAGTCTTTTGCAAGCGCGTTCGACTCCCCGGCGCAAGGGCACCCTTAGGTGCAATGTCAGTATGCGAACTGCTGGCCACCGAGTCTTCACCGAAGTTGGGCGACTGGTTCGGTGCCGAAGAAGCATAGCCTCCCACAGGCACAGGACTCAGGACACCCGAGTTCCCGCCACGGAGGGCGCCGCTACTGCTGGCCTCTGCTGTACCACCGTGATATAGACCGGGTCGTTTGGCGTCGTAGCGGCGTTTGAACCAGACTCCGACCGCAGCGATGACACTGAAGCCGATAGCGAGGACGATCAGCATGATCACCCATTGGTAATGGGTGCTCCACCTACGCGAAACCATGGATTAGCATCAGTCACGAAATGGATTTTTGTTGGCGACTCAACTCACCAGGATTGATTCCCATTGGTAGCAGAGGTAGACGACTTTGACGAGCTGGAGGCCGCTGTCGCAGTGGAGGTGGACGAAGAGGTGGCCGATGAGGTGGTGCTGGTGGTGGTTCCTCCCGAGCTGCAGTAGTTGCTATACCACGTCGAGACCAGGGCTTGATCAGAGGCGTCGCAGTTGGAACAGACGGCACCGGATGTTTTCAAGTTTGAAACGAATGAGGACTGGCAGAAGCACGAAACCCAGGTGGACGAGTCCGCATTGGCGGTACAGCTATCCTGAGCGGCGTAGAGCTCCGAGCACGAAAGACCACATAAGGGAAATGTCGAGGAGGCGGAGGTCGGAATCAAGTGCTTGTCAGCAGCCCACGCCGTTGAAATGACCGACAAGAGCAGCACGGCCGAGAAAATCATCACGAATTGAACGGGGATTAGACGCAGCCCATATCGCATGTAAGGAGAAAGAGGGGGAAGAGGAAGGGAAAAAGGGTAAAAAAAAGGGTCTGGGGCCGAAAGCAGCCGGGGCTCACGACTAGCCCGATGGTCTGCATTCGGTGCCTATTTTTTTTTTTGGTTTAATTAATCCTTAGCGCGCTGGATGGTTCATGCTCCGCTTGCATCCTTACCCCGTTTCCCTTGGATGGCCCAAAGGGTTTTGACACTTCCACGTTTTCCAATGCAAGGGTCGTCAATCCTAAACGGCTCCACCGACGATCCCGCCGTTCAGCCGCCTATCCTTTCAATCAAGTTTCATTGTCACCCGGGATTTGTTTCGTCCAGTTGACGCGCGGGACGCCAGGAACGTACAGAACGCTCAGACGGTAATTGCCGACCCTGTTGCTATTTGCGGCGATTGGCCAACTTCAACCGAACTCCCGGCACCTTGCTCTCTCCACACTGATTCAGGTACGCAATAAAGCACGCCGCATTGGTACAAGGCCTCTTCATTTTGAAAACCTTTGAACATATGAATAATCTAGGGTAAGCCATGTGAGCTGATTTTGGCTCCAGTGGCACATCATGGGCCATAATCAATCAGTGCTTACATAATCGATCCTTTTTATGGGTGATGACCCCTGGATCTAGAAGAGCGCGCACGACTGACAGTCACGTCAACATTACCGAAATCCTCAAGATTGCCGGGCCGATCTCGTTTCATTGCGTTCTTTAGGTTTTAAGCGCACTGAGATCTAACTAGAATTCTTCCCTCAATCGAATCGTAATTTGGTAGTCAAATCAATGTACATGTCAATGTACATGTCAATGTTATGGAGACAGCACTCTCCCAGATCTAAACGTTGCATTCTCTTGCTGATGCGACTGCGAAGAGCTCTATCGCTAAAAAGAAATTCTAAGACAAATCTTGAGTGACGTTGATGCAATGCAATGCAACCTTCTTCCTTCTCCCAAGCTCCAGAATCATGGCTGACTACAGTCCGTCCTTCCTTTTGATATCACCGGATCGAGATTGAACAGGGACAGGTGTTCCAAAGCCATTGATCTGTCCATGGAGCCATTTCAAAGTGGCAGTGCTGAGAGCCATGACGACGGCACTCATCGAGAACAAGCCGATGCGACCAGGAGTGGGCAGCAATTCAAAAATAGGATACGGGTACCTAAATGATTCAGCAAAACTCTCTACAAAGTTATCTTCAGGACTTACCAGCCATTGTATTGGAAGCATGTCTCCACCCAGAACCAGTAACCAAAGGCGATCGCACCCGACAATCCCAGAGAAGGAAGGACAGTGATAGTCCAAGGCGGGGATAGCAGAAGCAAGTCTACGAGCATGACAATCGAGGGAATTGCATGAAAACTGATGTCTGTTCCCTCGCATTTAGTAAAGAGCCGTTTGGAGGGCATCATGGTTAAAAGGGTTGAGTACGAACCAGCATGAATTGGGAAGAAGATCTCCGGAGGGACAACTAGGCTTTTGTCGATCTACGGCTTTTTGTTAGATCCAAGGTCAAGGAGTGGAGCGAAGCATCTAGATATGACTGTGCTACTCACCAGGTGAAGTCCCCAGTACAGAACACTGATCAACACTTCCATAGGGCAACTGCACACCGACAATATGTTCTTGGCCAGGAACAACCGTCGAGACAGAGTGAGGTCAGCCAGCAGGCCACAGGCAAAGGTCAAGGTAGAGAGACCCAGCCCTATCACCGTCAGATACTGAAAGTGCCAGCCATAGGCCTCATTACTGGAGTAGATTAGTATATCCTGTTATCCAGAGAAGTTCGAGCAACGTACGCCGGGTTAGGGTTGTCGTGCATCCTTTACAAATCCGGTCAGTGGAATTGTTCAGATTCATTTACGTATTGAACATACCATTTAAAAGACCATAGAAAGCTGGCGAGACCCGTTGCCTGAGCATGTTAGCCATGGAACGTGGCCGTGCGGTCGTCCGAGGCCCAAATCCAGGGTACCGTCTGATAAGAGGACCTACATGAACGAGAGCAGAGAAGCCCCGTGAGGGACTCGGTATACGCTGCAATGGATGCTGCTGAATCAGTCTTTGGGCCATATCTGAGGAAATTGCAGGAGGGACTGGGGAAGCAACCAAGATCTAAATCCAGGAACCCGAGCAACGCTGATGACGCATTACACGTGATCAGACCGGGATACCGCGGTATACCGCCCCGGACCGCGGGTTCACCCGACATCCGACTGAGTCAGCTGTCTCTTATCGCTTTCCCCACACTTTGACACGCTGCTCCAGATTTGTGAATCTTTTCTGCCTCGAGCTCCCTTTTTCCATTTCTTGCGAGATCCTTGTGGTGAAACCAAAAAAAAAAAAAGGACAACCTTGAATCAAGTGGGCCCAACTAGCCTAGTCCCTGCGTGCAAGATCGTCATTGATCGTCACCTTATCATTATTCACTTACTGCATCTGCAGTAGAAAGCTCATTTTGCTGGTCTTACAAACAAACCGCCCCCCCTCCCCCCTCCCAAAGTCTGTTTCCGGCACATCTCCCTCCCACACCTCGATGTGCTTGTCTACTAGGTGTGGGTGTCTTGTCGATTATCGTTTCATTGCCACGTGGGGACAACAAAATTGCAAACGCAGAAAGCGAAACAATTGCAGTTGTGGTCCGTGAGTCGCAATTCCTGAGAGCGATATTGAGTACTACTGCATGATAGATAGACTCTGGCCGAGAATTTGGGCGAGCTCGAGCCTCATCTATCTCTACCTTCTCTGAGGGTTCGGGTCTGAGGTGCAATGCCTCGTCCGCGAAGACCCGGCGCGCCGGAGCCCAAGCGTCGAAGTCGAAAAGGATGCTGGTGAGTCCACCCGATTGACGTTCAATCGATGATAGTTAACCCGCGGCTAGGCCCTGCAAAGCTCGCAAAGTAAAATGGTAAGCACCGAGCTTCCCCGCCGAATCGTCGTCTGGATGGCTTATGATTAATCGTGCAGTGGCGAGGAAAAACCAATGTGCCTCAACTGTCAACGACAGGGAGAGACTTGCGATTATAGCGTGCGTCTGAATTGGGGTGGCAGAACGAAGCGTTCGTCCGTCGACTCTCCGAGCTCCCAGTCCAGTGGATATGGAGGCACATTGATAGGTTTTGATGTCCCACTGACTAGTATCAACCCGGCACAAATGTCTGCGCCAATGACCAGTACGCCTTCAGATGGCTTCATAAATGTTCGCGCCGGCGATCTTGGCTCTCCAGGCGCAATCTCACCCAGCACCCCGGCACTCGGTATTTTCGAGTCCCCGAAGACCCACTCGACGTCCGAAGGCGTTCATTCGCCCACCCAAGCCGAAGGCCACTTTGCTACCACTTGGCCCGAGCACTCATCCTTGTCCAGTTCGGTTCCCCCTGGTCAGTTTCCATTCGGTCAGGGTCTCCATGGATCTATCTCGGCGGCTGCTGAACAAGGCGTAGGCCTGAGATCTCTCTCTGCTTTTGCATTTCACTCCAATCCGGTGTCGCAGCCAGTGTCCTTCCTGCGTAATTCAGTAGATAATTCCACCGATTTGCCGGGTTCATCTCCTCGTGAAACTCACAATGGAGCTCAAATGTCTCCGCACGATGAGCACGGAATAAGATATTCTAGGAATTTGACCTATTCCAACGGGCATCCACATGATCTGCGAAGTGCGGATGATATCGCTGCTTTGATGCTTCATTCTCACGAAGTGGGAACTCCAGGAACAACATCTTCTGGTCATAACGGAATGACAATCGGGTCAACGCCTGCTAATCGAACCGAGTCGCTGAATTCGTTCCATCACTCAGACGTGTTGTCATCTGATGCCAAGGAAAATGATTGGCCGCCAAAGGATGCGAACCCGGCACAAAGCAAGTGGCAAGCATACCTGACCAGTGTCAATGACAATTATGGCCTGGATTGTGGGCGGCCGGACCGAGATCTGGCTCACAACAATGATCACGCTGCCATCGACATCAATGCTGCCTTGGATATGATCAGCTCGCGGGGCCGAAGTGAGGACACAGCATCTTCGCCTGTGTCCCGAGCGGCATCCGATATGCTGAGATCCGATTACAGCGAATACTATGCCACCCCAGTGGCCATTAACATCCCGAGATATTTGTCCCCACTTCCGAAGACTTTGTTGGAGAATCCGATCAATCTGATGTATTTCCATCATTTTCTCAACCACACTTCTCGGATGCTAGTTCCGCATGATTGTGATAACAATCCATTCATTTCTGTTCTGCCGGCGAGTAAGTTTTAGGCTTGTCTCAGTGTCCAAAATTTCCCTCCGTGAAACTAACTAAACAGTGGCCATTGGCGATCCTAATCTTTTGAACCTGGTTTTGGCATACTCTGCGAGTCACCGTGCTCGTTATCTAGGTCATCCCGAGCCAGCCAATCGTATCGCACATTTTGTCAGTGATGTGTTCCCGACTTTGCGGGTCGCGTTGGAATCTTCTCATGATGAGATCACCGACAGCCATCTAGCTACCTCGATTTTGCTGTTGTCGCTCAAGATCGTTTCTCCTGGGACTTTTGAGGTTCCCATTACGTGGCAAAGTCATCTGAAGCTTGCGCGAGATTTGTTTCTCGCCCGAAGTGAGCGCATCGCACAACCGGGTAACCGAGTTGGTGCGTTCTTTGCCCGTTGGCTGGGATATATCGACACCATGGGGGCACTATCCTGCCGTGAAGCAGGTCCTCCGTTGACATTGTACCATACTGTATTGGCAGCCTGTTGTGGTCCCAATGATTACGATGAGTTCTGTGTCGACTGCTTCTCGGGATGCACTCCGCGCACTGGAGTCTTTCTCGTCCGCCTGGCACGATTGGTTCAGGAATGCGATAACCAACGGTTTGACGAGATGGGCAACTTCCGGCGCGGGTGGCATCCGTCTGCAGACGTGGTGATGGAAGCCCAGGCTGTGCTTGGTGACATGGATGGCTTGAGCGATCGTGCCCATGCAGATGCAGATCACCATCTTGGCGAAAGCGGAGATATGATGGCTATTGAAGAGGCCTTCCGGTGTGCGGGCCTGCTGCACCTCCATCGGAGAGTGCTAGGATCTTCTCCCGATTCCTTCCCAGTAAAAGAGGCTCTTCGTAAGCTCATCGGGGCCCTGGAACGCATGCGCCTTGGGGCATCCACTGAGGTGTGTGCACTGTTCCCGCTATTCACCGCGGGCTGTGAATCTCGAGATCCCGCGCAGCGCGGAAAGCTGCTGAATCGGTTCTTTGTGCTCGAGAAGTCGGGGCTGAAGCAGGTGAGTTTAGATATGCCAAAGTATTCTGTTCTGGCCTCCATTGACTTTGTCCACGTAGATTCAAAATGCCCGTCAATTGATGCAACACTGTTGGGATGACAAACTCCCCTGGATTGCACTTGCAGGAGGTGAATTCCTTGGATAGACAAGGATATCACCAGCGTCTTTCTCGGGTAATATAAGGCTCGCGAGTATTACTTTCAATAGCTTCATGTTTCTTCATCCTCATTTATTCTCAGCTGCATCTGCATCTGCATCTCCAATACTCATCACTCAATTCTATCAAAGATTCTATCAAAGATTCAGACGGACCTCACTTCCATACTGTGCCACCCGCAACCAAGTGAGAGATAAGTCATTAACCCACCCCAGTGATATCGATCGCTGGAAAGCCGACATCGCAAAAATGGGGTCCACCACGTCCACCGAGAGCACCATGCTTTTCCTAGAGATTCTGCCAATTTCGAGCATCGGCGTTCTGACCCTCCTGCTCCTTCTCCTCGCCTTCCTCATTTTCTTTTCGTGCCGCTCGACCTCTCCGCTTCTTTCGTCACTTTCTCTCGGGACCTGGTCCAAGTCGGACATGGCCTCTTTGATGACTTCCCCGAAGCATATGTCAACTTTCACGATGTTGGGTCGGTCCAACGTCCACTTTCTGGACGAATCTCCAGAGTTCGACCACCCAACTCTGCTGCCCCACAGGTATGTTTTTGTCCGGTTGAGGAATCATTGCGGGATCCATGTTCTGACATGTCACAGCATTCATGCCTCTGGGCCCATTATCCGTGAGGTACTTTCCAGTTCCCGCTCTCGCAATGCCCACAAGCATGGTCTTGGTCGCAACAGTGGCAGCAGACGTACACCGCAAGTGTTCAGACTGACTGAATCCCAGGGTTCTCCCATCTATCTGGGGTCTGATTCTGGCAGCCGTGACAAAACTCCTGAATTGATTCCAGGTCTCAGGGACACAATCGTCTCACCCGATGAGACCCGTCTCCAACTAGCCAACCCTCAGGGATGGATCGATTGGGCCATGAATGGATCAACGGTATTCGACAACAAGCAAGATGAAGTCGCCGCGGCCACATGTCCTGGAACTATCCTCGGATCCGAGGGTGTAAAAAGCAATATGTTCTTCCAATGGGGTCTTCGCTATGTTCCGACTAGGGACACTGAAAATTTTTATCGTGCTGTCGTTATCGAAAATCTTCCTCAATACGTGACCCTTGACCAGATCTTGCCTCGAATTCGCGGAGGACAAGTCTATTCTGCGTACCTGTGCGATACCAAGAGCATCATGAATGGGTCTCCGACGATTCTGGTCACTTTTGTTCATCAGGATGGTGCCCTCGCGTTCCTCGGCCGATGTGCTCGAGAGGGCTTCTATGTGGGCTTCACACCCGCGCGAGTCCGGCCTGTGTCGACGCCCACCTATCTCTTGAGCCGGGACATGGAGTATGAAATTGAACAGTATGGGCGGAGCCGCTGCCTCGTCTTCAGCACTGACCATCCAACGGCTAGGCAAAGACTCTACGTCAAGCTCGCCAAGTCATCTTTCTCTTCTCGTGTGGAGTGCTTCGGGGTGCCTGGCGACAAAGGAATGATCACCGTTCGGTTCGATTCGATCAAGACAGCCATACAAGCTCACCAGATCCTCAAAGACCTCGAGATTTTCAAGGAGGTCAAGTTCGGTACTGACCCTTGCATGGAGGTGTGATGGTCTGCGGGAAGTGGACAGGCGTGGTAAGAATTCGCAAATCTTCCACAGAGAGAGAGAGAGAGAGAGAGAGAGAGAGAGAGAGAGAGGTGGGGAAAAGAGGAGACAATAGGACCAAAGCACAGTTTGTCTATAGTTGTGCAATATAAGTTTCATCTCTGTAGCAAGATCACATCAAGTACCGTAGTCCACGGAGCCAGCTCTCCGACTCCGCACGGCCCCACGGGTTCGACTTTCCCCCCCATCGAAGTATACCAAGTTGGGGTATTTGGGGTATGAGAGATCCCTAGCATCTAGACTCAACGGGCATAACTGCTCTTCCCCTTCTGTTCGCTGTTCTCCCCGGGCCCCGAGCTATGTGGACCTTTGATTTTGCGTCCAAAATCCACCCCCGCGCTCTCGCCGATCATCTCCATTCCCGTCTCCATGGCCAGGCCGATCAGCCTGCGTCAAGCATTACCCGGGCCGTGACAACTTGGCCCCTGTTCGTCCATGCGGAGAATGCCCCTAATGGACCCGGCTAAACTTTTGAGTCTGCACATACCTCTTAAGTGTTTTTTTTTTCTGGTGGATTGATAAGCTCGCTGGTCCCCCCCCGCTCAAAGGCTTCTTGTTTGTGCCACTTGGAGCTTCTGACTTGCTTCGTTCTGTCCGCCCTTGATTCCTGCATCATGGCCGTCCCAGATCATAAGCCTGCTTACGACAATACGTCGCAGCTCTCGGATCTCGAGAAGGACCTTTCGGATAGCTCCGACAGAGTCGCTGGATTTGCAGATCCCGATGCTGGGTTAAGCGATGAAGAGAGGGCGAAGATTGTATGAAAACATCCTTACGCAGGCCTAGACGACTCTCTAGAGAGATCGCTAACATCAAACTTTGCAGGATCGTAGGCTTCTATGGAAGCTCGACCTCCGCCTGCTCCCCTGGCTGAGTTTGTTATACCTCGTGTCCTTCCTCGATCGGTATGTAAAACGATAAATATCAAGCGTGATCTGGTTCCTGATCGCGAAGCCCCCCGCAATACTGACCCTCGCAAGGACCAACATCGGGAATGCCAAGATCGTCGGTCTCACCAAGGACCTGAATATGACTCCGAACCAGTATAATGCCACGTTGACAATCTTCTTCATCTCATACTCGGTTTTTGAACCATTGACCAACGTTCTACTCAAGCGATTGCGACCGAGTATCTTCATTCCACTCATCATTATTTCCTGGGTGCGTATGATCCAAGGCTTTACAATCAGTTCTCCTCTTAAAAATTAGCTGACACCAAGTGGGAGTAGGGTATTTGCATGACACTCATGGGTATTGTGAAGAACTATTCGGGTTTGATGGCAGTGCGCTGGTTCCTCGGTCTCAGCGAAGCTGGTCTCTTCCCCGGGGTCGGATACTTCTTGTCATGCTGGTACAAACGCTCCGAGTTTGGCGTGCGAATGGCCATTTTCTTCTCGGCGGCCGCACTGGCTGGTTCATTCGGTGGCCTACTCGCTGCAGCGATCGCCAACATGGACGGAATCGGAGGGAAGGCAGGCTGGTCATGGATCTTCATCCTGGAAGGTCTCAGCTACCTTCCTGATCGGCATCGCATCCTTCTGGTGCGTCTATGATTTCCCGGATCAGGCCAAATTTTTGTCGCCGGATGATCGGCAGCGTGTCCTGCGCCGTCTGGCGTCTGATCAGCAGTCGAGTGCGGAGCATGAGGAGTTTAAGATGTCTTACTTCTGGGCCAGTGTCAAGGACTGGAAGACTTGGACTGGCGCTGTGATCTATATGGGTGCCGATGGTTCGCTTTATGCGTTCTCGTTGTTTGTGCCCACTATCATCCGCGAACTAGTAAGTTCACCTTAATTTTGATAAGCTTGTCTTTACTTGACTAACTTATGATCCAGGGTATGAAAGATGGACATTTACCTCACACGTGGCTGAACTGACAGCGTTTACTTCCCAACAGGCTATAGCTCGATTCACGCTCAGCTCTTGAGCGTGCCCCCGTACGCAGTGGCAGCCGTTCTTACCGTGGCGGTAGGATTCCTTGCAGATCGCACTCGCCAGCGGGGACTGTGTAACATCGGAGTGTCACTTCTTGGAATCGTCGGTTTCTGTATGCTATTGGGATGCAAGACCGCCGGCGGACGCTACGCCGGAGTTTTCCTTGGGGCGATGGGGATTTATCCTGCGATCGCCAACACCATCGCCTGGGCCAGCAACAATACAGAAGGTTGGTTGCTCTATATATCCAATTCATCTTCAGCTACTCATTAAATTTCCCAGGCGTTTACAAGCGCGGCGTGACTCTCGGTTTCATTATCGGATGGGGAAACCTGAACGGCATCGTCTCATCCAACATCTATCGGGATCAGGATGCACCGCGATTCTACCCCGGTCATGGCGTTGTGCTTGCTTATCTTGTCCTGTTTCTCTGCGGAGGCTCGATATTGCAGTACTTCCTGCTTCGTCGCGAAAATCGCAAGCGTGTGCGTGGTGACCGTGATCACTGGACCGAAGGTCTGGACCAAAGTCAGATCGAGCTGCTCGGAGACAAGCGGCCGGACTTCATATATACTCTGTAAGAGAAAGAGAATGAATGATTTGTGTGAACCTGGACGTGGGAGCAGATCGGGATATAATGATGATACGCTGCAAATGCAAGAAATATTTTCCGCCCTAAAATCTCCGCGGCTCGTAGCACCTGAACGTCACCCACCCGGCCTCCGAGGCTACGTGCTTCTCTCGTACCGATTGATGATATCCTGGTCTTTCTTCGGACCTTGAACCACATGTCGACTGGCCCAGCTCACAACTTCCCCCGTCTCAGGGCGGATGCGAAACGCGTACGCAGTGCGATACATGTCGTTGATGCAGAGATGGTTCCCACGCGCCGCGATCACCGTGGTGTCGCTATCAGGTGTCACTGTGGGAGGTATAGGGGCAGTCACAAATTCTGACTTGCTTTCGGCTTCATCGGATGCGGTGTCAAAGTCAAAGTCGTGGAAAAGGTAGTCTGCCTCGTCGGGACCCGGGGCGACCTTCACAAACCACACGCTAATTTTGTCCGCATCGGTCGTCCGCCAAATGTATTTCTTAGTCCAGCGCAGTCCTGCCAATGCATTGCCACTGCCAGGTGTTCCCGGAATCTCGCCCTCTTCACTGTAGAGCCAGTCGTGATCGGAGTTGGGAAGCGCGGTAAAGGTGGCTGTGCCCCGCAATTCACCATTGAGATCCAGGGGGTTCTCGCTTCGCAGTGTACGGCTCAGAGTCCAGCGGGAATTGCGTAAGGACCCGAAAAGGGCTGTGAGAAGTTGGCGTGAGGACATGGCGTCGGCGGCCATGGTAGGGAATGAGAATGCAGGAGGAAACACTCCAAGGCGGAGAGACTTTGAACCCGAGTGCATCTCCACCTATCTACATGTACATCGGTGCAAAACACCGCCTGGAAATGCCAAACGTCACAATCGCTTCAACCTCGTTTCATCAACATACACTGTCAAAACTTTGGTTATCTCTCTGTATATTATATTTCAGTTTCCATTTCAATAATCATTTGCCGCAACTCTACAATTTTTCTTGTTGAGGTCCTAGGTACAGCCCAACCTGGCCTTCTTATGTAGGTCTATTGTCGATGTTAAAGCACACCTGGTGGGAAGATCCATCAAATAAAGTCTTGTTATCAATAGATCAATATATTGAAGAAGTCCGAACGAGTCTAGGGTATCACAGGTTGTCACGGCTAATCAGTTTTCAGTAGCATCCTAGTAAGCCGACGCATCTCACCATGCCTTTTGCTTTTCCGTGATTTGCCATTTGTATGTAAAAGCTTCCAAATAAGACTCTTGGAGGAACTTACTAGGGAATTATGCTTACTAGTACTACTACTACTACTACTACTACTACTACTACTACTACTACTACTACTACTACTACTACTACTACTACTACTACTACTACTACTATTATACTAATACTACTACTACTATTACTACTACTACTACTACTACTACTATTACTACTACTACTACTACTACTACTACTACTACTACTACTACTACTACTACTACTACTACTACTACTACTACTACTACTACTACTACTACTACTACTACTACTACTACTACTACTACTACTACTACTACTACTACTACTACTACTACTACTACTACCGCAAAGTTCGACGTTCGCTAATGTACCATTTTTTTCGTTTCGCCTTCAACTTACAACTTTGCGGATCATCCTAGGTTTCTATGTCTTCATTGTAGACCCTTCCTAACCTATTCCTGCTAAGGTACGCGTGGGACTCCATTGATTGAATTGCTATCGAATATATTCTGCAAGGAACCTTTTCACGATTGAAGAAGGTGCCGCCTTAGCTCGCGAGGCTTCGTTTTAGCTGATCAAGAAAAAAGCAAAGCTGGACTTTGAATCTTGTGCAGACTACACAATCAGCGACCTATCTTTCTATTACTTCTCGTGACCCATCCTATCTTTCCCACGGCCTGAGACAAATTTCGGAATATGTCAACACATTTTGCCAACGAGCTTTTCAAATTGATGGGGTTGATTCGAAAGTCTACCGCGATACGATGGAGAGCTTGAACTTTTTATAACGGAATAAGACCTCACCTGGAATGGCCAACTATAGAGTATTCCAAGAAATAAGATTACTCGAATACAGGTACCCTACACCAATGACCTTTTTTTAGTATACCAATGGCTCGGCTGAAACAGCCCCATGGAGCATTGCGGGGTCCCCGCTTTCTCCACAGCCGAACCGAGGTCGAGCTCCGCCGTACACTTATAGTTGCTTCATTCACTCTTTAATGACTCCTCCATTCTACCTGAATCCTCTAGCCCAGGATGATATTTGACCCAGACTCTATAGAACTGCCCTCCTCTTACGAGAAAGTCCCGACGACCGGCCATGTCACGGTGTCGCATCATCCACCTGGTTCCCCAACAGTGACGCCAGTAGTCATCGTGACACTGAATCGACCTGCTAATAACAATGCATTCACGGGCAAATGGTCCAAGACTTTGAGAAGTTCTTTCCCATGTTCGATGTCGACGAGCGTGTCAGGGTCATTGTCCTGACCGGTGCTGGGAAGATCTTCTGTGCTGGTGCCGATCTGGATATAGGATTCCGTACCAGCCCAGAAAGACCCGTGGACCATCGCGATGGGTGAGTCTCTTGATGGATATCTCGGGACTATGTACCATTTGATCTACTTTGCTCATGACAATAGGGGGTGGCCGCGTCGTGCTCGCCATTCATCGCTGCCGTAAACCGACCATTGCGGCCATGCAGGGCTCAGCAGTCGGAGTTGGGATGACTATGACCCTTCCCGCCATCATTCGGTAGTGTGCTGGCATTCATATCCATTACATCCAAAGACTGATCTCTCTTAGGATCGCCTATGAGAAGGGCAAGTATGGCTTCGTATTCGGACGGCGTGGTATTGTCATGGAATCCTGCTCGTCGTATTTCCTACCACGCCTTATCGGGTTCTCAAACGCCAGTTATCTCGTCAGTACCGGCGGTGTATTCCCACCTGCTTCCAAGCACTTCGGTGATCTGTTCAACGAGATTCTACCGGACCCATCTCACGTTCTCCCTCGTGCCCTTGAACTTGCCACTGAGATTGCCGAGAATGTGAGCCCGACGTCTCAGTATCTCAATCGGTCTCTTATGTGGCGTAACCCTGGTACAGCTGAAGAAGCGCACCTGCTGGAGTCGAATATCATTATCCAGACGTTTGCCGCACAGTACGTGGTGTCACTTAGTGGATTAGACTTGATACTAATTTTGAACAGAGACCAGAAAGAAGGTGTCCAAGCGTTTTTCGAGAAGCGCAAGCCCAACTTCACTGCTATTCTTGATGACAAGCCTCCACTTAACGTGCCCTGGTGGACCGAGGTTGACACCGGCCGTCATCCCAAGGCAAAGACTCCAGCCAAGCTGTAAACACAAGAGAGATCATCAAATTGTCGAAAGACAGCCACAAGATTACATGCGCAATCGTTACATGTTACAGTCAAATTCAAGAAATATTGAAGCTTGACGCTATTGAAGAACATTTTGAATATACATAGTACCCCAGCTCGCCCGGACCGCTAATGAGAACGAAAAGTAAAACACCAGTCCAGAAAGAAATTGACCTTTACGGTCCTGGCCCTGCGATTAAAACAGGCAGGGTCAATCGTATGCACTCGAACAGGAAAAAGGGCGATGCCTCAAACAGAATAGAGATTAGGCAATGAAGTTGCGGCGCTTTCGGTTGTATGCCCGCTGATCCTTAAGCCACTGTCGATAACCCTGCACACTGTTGATCTTCTCGCCATAGTAGTCGGGCACAGGGTTTGCGATCGAGTTGGTCGACGGGTCCACTCGGAATCGTCGGATTCGGTCGAAGAATTCCTTCTCTTTCTGCGGGGGGAGGAAGGGCATGTTAGAGCTATTGATCATCAAAAATAATATCGCAGAGTTCTAACTCACTGTTGCAACGGACGGCTTGAATCTCCGGTAAACCAGGCCCCAGACACCCTCGCCGACGACGGGACCGGCCAACCAGCCGACAGCTCCGCAAGCAGCGGTTGCCAGACCGAGAACCACAAAAGGGTCAAGGCCCATCACCTGAGCGCCGAGAGATTCCAGATCTTGCGATGAGAGGAGCTGCACGCCGATTGTCGTCGACAGGAGGCAGGTGCCAATGGAGGATGCCAGAGAATAGCGGCGGCGAGAGGCGCGGAGCTTGAAGAAAGAGTTCCAGTCCAACTTCGCCTCAACCTTTCCTGGAGCAGAGGTCGATTGTGTGCGAATGGCCGGGCGGGTAAGAGAATACTGGGGAGCGCGGGCATGACGGAAGACCACCTTTGGAGCTGCGCATTGCGAGGGACGAATGGCCGTGGAGTGGAGGCGGGTGAATTTGGATGCCATCGGGGCGGACTGACGGACTGGGAGAGCAGACGCGAGGGACAGGATCCCAGCAGGGGTGCGGCCCCCGAGAACTGAACGAACGGACATGTCCAAGAGAATGGTGATAGCAAGCTGTTATGCGGAGATGAATCGGGCAAGAGATTGCGTTACCCTTCCGCTGCGAGTGCCCAGGGCGGTGTGAGCTCGCTTATTAAGCAATTCTACACGCTTGTGTCCACGTTCCGATCTTAATCTTTTGAGATCACTCAAATAGTCAATATCAAAGGATTTGGCAAGGCCCCTAGAGTCAGAGAAATTTCCTAGGGATTCAACTCTTTGACGATAAAATTTTAGTATCTTTCCAAACAAGACAACCTGGGTTATGCTAGAGGGACGTGGCCTGCAAACCGTATATTTTCCAAGTCTTGCTCATTCAGCAGCCTGACTTTTAGTGCGTGAAGAAGAGCTGCCGTGATTTCCACATGCTTTAGAGAATATCTGAATCGTTAAAACTAAAAGAGGGCAAAAGCTTTCAGGCGAGAAGGCATCGCGTCGTCGATAAGTGTTTCGGAAGAGGTGTTTTGGTATCACCGTGGAACTTTGGAGATGAAGTTCACAGGCAGGTATCTCGACCGGGACGATGTTTGATAGTAGAGAACCGGATTCATTCAGAGGTACTTGAGGAATGATCGTACTTCAGACAGTCCCAGGGGTACATGTCCATCTAGTTTCAGCAAACTGATGGCGGTCTCCATTCTTACGAAGATACTATGGGCCGATCCCACCTATGAGAGCTCGACTGAAGTTTAATTGAGTTGTACCTGACCTAATCACTCTCTGTCAAAAACTGTCTTCCCTGAGAAGAAGCTGTCGAAAGACGCACTCTCGCTAGAAATTGAAAAATAGAAGCCTCGACCGTGGAAAATGGCTAATGCGACTCCATGACCTCATCCGGAAGCTCCTTGGTGCGGAAATCACTTCAGATCCGCCACATTCTCTCCTAGCTAAAGTGAAGGGGCAAAGAATAAAGTGCAAATGGTTAGCCCCCTGTCTCTCACTCACCGTTGAGCATTGTGAACCCGGCATCAGCTCGCATAGCTCACGTACTTCGGTCCCGGAGCACGCCACGAATCTGTGCAAGGCGGAACAAAATCTGCCGCCCGCCTTGGCTGCAAGCCCCTCGACTCCCACCCTTTTTTATACGGTTCAAGCACAGTGGTTTTAGGCCTCATCAGCAGCCATGTCAGGTCGAAATATCTCCTACGGACGTGGAGGCGCCGGTAAGAGCTCGAACACTGATCAAGCTGGAAAAAGCCCATGTCGCGAATCTGACCACCATGTAGGTAACATCGCCAGCATCACCCGCCAGCAGTCTGCCACTACACCCACCGATCTTGTCACGCCGACAATCAAACAGGATGTTTATACCACCGGTCGCGGAGGCCAGGGCAACATGGTTCACAACGACCCGGACCGACCAGAGATTGCGCGCGAGCGCCAGGACGTCGGCTCCCCACCGCTGCGGGCCGAGCAGTATCCTCACCATACCGGACGAGGTATGAAGTTGCGGATAGGAATGTTGGTATTACGTGAAGCTGACCCATTGGCTTTAGGTGGTGTTGCGAATGCGTACATCCCCACGCCCGAGGAGGAGGAGATAGCTCGACAGCAAGCTCAGGCACAGGAGGCGGAGCTAATTCGAGTGCACACCCAGGCTCAGGATCGCATTCGAGAAAGCGAAAAAGAGCGACATGATGTTCGTCATCAGCAGTAGGAGGTTCAATTCGACTTTGACTCACCCGACTGGGTCAATGAATGGTTGAAGTCTTCACCATGGCGTACATGGAGAACATCAAGGACATCACCGTGTGAAATCAAAAGGAGCACTCGAGAGTTGAAATGCAGCTACTGAGCGGGGTTCGAGGCCATAGTCTTATCTTGGTGCTTTTGTTTTCTTTTTCTTTTTCTTCTTATCTTTCCCGTTCTCCTATCTGCATGGCCAAAGGGGCCACAAATACCCAACCGGGATACAGGACTGGCGTCGGTTTGGGTTCAGGGTTCAGGGCTTGGGCTTTAAGGATTATACTTATCGTTTTCTAGATTGCTTCAGGCGCACAGCCAGGGAGTGCCCTCTCTATTGGGGATATTCTATGCATAATGACATACTTCATGACTCGTTATATACAATGCTCAGGTCGCATTGTGAAATGCATATGCAAGGTGATGATTATAGCCGTCAGCTTACATCTGTGTCCCCTGCACAGGATGATTAGATTCTGTCCGTTGGACAGTTCACCATTGCTGAGGGATACAAGTGTAACCCAACCAGGAAATGTTCGCGGAAGACCGACGGGTGCTTGGTCCGTCTCTCCCTCTCCCTCTCTTTCCAAGGATGCGAGCTCTTCCGTCGCTGCTCGATACGCCCGAAAGAATCTCACTCCTCAACAAAAAAGTACCCGCCTGTGGCATCGATAGGCCAGCTAATCAAATGACGGAACTGCGGGTCGAGACAGGCATCGACAAGGCGAAGAATACGAATGCCCCAATCTCCCATCCACCAGGAATCGCGCAGATGGTGCAGGATGACGGCGTAATGGGCCAAAACTACGAGAGCAAATGGTTTCCGCTCGCGCACCAGCTCTTGGTACCTGACGGGGATGCGAAAGGCCCAGCAAAAAGCAAAGTCCTTCGGCTCGCCTCCATTCATCAGCTGCTCGAGTGCGCTCCGCAGATAGTCAATCGCCTGGTCGTACACCTCCTTCTCATGGGTCGGGTCGAGTTGGGACTCGCTCTCGTTCTGCCGGCGCAGACTTGACACCACCAGTTGGGACATATCTGGCATGGTCGGCCGAGTTTTCTCGGGACTTACGAGTGGATACAACTCGCCAGCTGCCACTCGGTCCATGGTCATCATCATTGCGCTGACCAGCCAGCGCGTGAGCTCAAACACCTCGAGAAACTCGTCTAGAACATCCGGCTGTTCGTCATGATCTCCCGTTTCGTCATCGATCAAGCAATATGCATATGCAAAGACCAGCAAAACCGCGCAAAGCGCAAAAGTGGCATTGCATTGCGCATTAGTGAGGTCCTGCACTCCGTCCAGCGAAATGCCTGCGAGAGCATGACTTTGATGCTCGCGGGCCGAGACCAGATAACGCCATTTGCGGCCCGGGCTGGTACTGATCCCCGCTAGTTGGAGCGCCGATAGGGCCAGCAGCCCATGACGCAGGGACGGGAAGCGTAGCGATAATTGGGGGATCACCGTCTGCCACAGCGCCTCCGCCACATTATCGCGGGCCATCGACCGGTACGTCGTTGTACACCAGTACATCATCAACTCGAGATCGTGCAGATACAAAGTTTCCTGCACATTCGACGGCGTTGGAGTCGAGGTTGTCGTTGTCGTTGACGGTGACGGTGACGATTCGGCATCTTCTTCCTTGAGGGGGGCAGATCTAGGAACGAGGTCGGTCATGGTCGGCGAGAGGGACTCGGAAGAAGAGGAAGAGGCCCTGGAGACAGATGAAGCCGAACGAGACTTGTCCAGGCGCGTCAGGCGAGGGCGAGGCAGATAGTGGCTGACCATCCTGCGATCAATGCAGTGCGGGCAGCTCTGGTCCGGATACTATCGCGAGTCAGCGGACGGGTACGAGGGAGGGGAAGATCGTTCAATGCGGGAGCTTCGATGTGGTGGACCGAGGGGGACCGGGGGTTGGGGGAACGAACCTGTCGTTCAATTTGCAGGCTCCCCTGTCGGAGTCGCTTGGTGTGCCCGGGCATCACCAGAGTCCGTTGAGAGAGCTCGGACCTTTGATACTCTCGAATCTATAGTAGAACTTGTGCGGGGCGAGGCTCCTTCAAATATTAGAAGAAGGTTAACTTTTCCCGAGCAAGGAGAAAAAGACCAAGGGAAAAAAAACTAGATAGGCCCTTACAGTGGGACCTGAGACTAAACAAGCTTGGAAGAAAATCATCCAAATAGGAAAAAAATAAAACAAAAACAAAAAACGGTGACATGGAGGTGGATTCGGGATGCGATGCGATGCCATGCGCAGATTCCCCGAATCGGTAAATGCAGCTTCGATGTATGAGGGACATGATTGGGGGGGGGTTTTCTCCACTCAGTATTGAACCCCCCCACGATCTTATACCCAGGATGAGTTTCGCACTGATCATGATTCAGGATAGTGATAGGCGTGTCGGAACTAATGCCCCATCATAGTCCATCTCCCGTATGTGAGAAAGGTGTTCTAATGGCCATATATCCAGCATGGACCATTGACCATTGACCACTGACACAGTCAGGCTGCACCTTTGATCTTCAGACCTTGGACCACGCGGGGGCCAAAAACCCAACCGTCTTGCCGCATCGCGTGTAGCCGAATGGAGCCCGACGAGTCGATCCCCATTCCAGCCAATAATGACCTTCAAAAGACAGGACCCTTAGTCAGCTGGCGAGCGACGCGTTTTCCAAATCGGGTTAGACTCAGCGCGGTCGTGCAGGTGTGGCCCTTGATAGGCCGGGCAGCCTCTGATCTATACACACCGTCTCCCGACTGCTATTGATCCTGTCGTGGCATTGGATTGACTTCGGGTCTGGTGTATAATTAATGTCCCTCTCTCTCTGACTAAACCACCCTCGGTACTCGGCTGCGATGCTTCTAGTTGATCCTTTCCGGTGCCATTGCGCCCTTTCGACCTCGCGTTCTCTCCAGCGCCACTTGTCCGAGGTCAATCACGCTACGTCACAAAAGCGCCATGATACTCCTCAATGTATCAGCCTCCAACACATATAGAATCGACGCATGATATTGTCCTGATCGGTCAGCGAGGCTCCAATCGACCCTAGCGTAGTAACCCCTCCCTCCCCTCGCTTAGATTCACCCATCCATACAGCCTGACTCGTAGCCCCATCCCAGAATGGCCGCCAGAGCAGACGAGTACTTGAGGGCGAGCATGCGCGGCATCCGGAACCGCATTGCTTCTGGAAGCGTCCGTGCACGGTTTGGGTTGCTTCTTTGGGAATATGCATACATCGTTAAACCCGATATCTCCATCTCCCGTGCAGATGCAGATGGATAAATTGCTGTCATGGTCCACACTTCGACCCGCTGTGACCTCACTAGCCCTGTCTTTCGCCCAGGGTTCATTTCACAACTAGGTATGGTCTGTGCGAGACCTCGGAGCTTGGGTATACATATACCGCATACGGCGACTCGTGAGGCGGGAGAGTTCCTGGATTTGTAGTCGGAGCGGTCACCATCCCCTTGGCACACTACTCGGAAGTGGGGGTCCGGCTTTACGATGCAACGTGGACTAGGCAAAAATTGCAGGAAAGATTTATTCAATTCTATGTGGCTATTCCCGTGAGAGGGGAAGCTGAGAGGATCATCTGAGCAGGTGAGGACTGCTCCAAGGGTTGTCTACATATTCAACGGCACATTGACGTAAGGAACCAAGGTTGCGATCCCGATCAGCCCGTTTGCGCGGCGCGCAGGTAACGTCGTTTCCCCAACACCCGCCATGACAGTTTCCACTCCGACACCTGCACTTTCGAGCTCTCCAGCGATGCTGCGAATATAGTTCCACATCGTGGTCGGGACCATCACGTCCACCTGATTCGCCCCCGGCTGCAGGTATGGGCCCAGATCTATCCGCGGGGCTGCAAAGTCAAAGCCTGGCAGCCGCTTATTGTTCACAAAGACCCGTGCGGCGTGCTCAATCCTCGGGAGGAGAAGATAGGCCCCGTCGGCAGATCCATGCGAAGGCGGCCAGCTCACGGTTGTGGTATAGTACCCCAGACCGGAAGTATTTCCCAAGCCTTCAATTTCTGTCCACGAGACAAGCGAGGAGAGATGGTGGGTGGTGTTATGTTTAGTGGCGATACTGGCGGCATTGGAGAGATTAGTCGGTGCCTCCCAGTACTCGGCTATAAGACTCCACTGAGATAGTGAACTAGGCTTAGCGACACTTTTGTCTCCGAGGCTGACTCGTGTACCATTTGAGAGAAGAAGAGACTGGCTTGAGCCGTCGGAAACTCGGAAAACAGCACCGGTATCATGTGCATAATCGTAGCCCAGAACCGTGGAGGGCAACTGTGTGGCAGACTCGGAAGGGCCGTCATCACTGTCGATGAAGCCGATTACAGCGGTTTGGTTGGCTGTGAAGCTGAGAGGAATGATCACTCTTTCGCCGTCACGTTTGTAGCCAAGGAGGGGCTTCTTCGTGCCCGTCCAAGGATCGAGGATGAAGGGGGTTTTGGTACTAGCAATACTGACTGTGCCGTGCGAAGAGGATTCAGAGAATACAAATGCGTGGTCCATGCCGTTCTGAGCATCTTCGCGCCAGGTCGAGTACCAGGTGCCATTTGTTTGCACAGCAATTTGAGGTTGAATTCCGAGACTGTGAAGCTTGGCCGCGACTTGGCCCGCCGAGACAGTATAAACATTTCGCGACTTCTTTAGATCCTGAATGGCCTTTTCAACGGTGGGTTGGTCACTTCCGTCGCGGGTTGCGTAGACGCCGGGATCTCCCCCGCTCAAGATAATGGGCAGCCCTGCGCGGGCATACTGTTGAATGTGGTGTACACCTTCCGCGGTAAGATTGCTGTCGCTGGTGATGACCATAGCCTTGTATGCAGGGCCATTGGGACCCAAGACACCATTCTGTACCGTAGCTTCGGAAAGAGCAAAGTTGTCTGGGGACAGGTAGGTATATGTACATAGCCTGGGTGACTTAGTCAAAGATCTCGACGGTAAACAGAAAAGCAGCAGCTTACCAGCTTCAATCAAATCATTGGATGAGTAAATAGTCGGAAAGTTCGGGTTTGTCGCAGACACCTTGTTGTAAATCACAATGTCGGTGCGAGGAACGCCGGACTGCTGGAGATACTGCACTCGGGCAACGTAGTTGAGAACATCTTCAAATCCGTGGTTCCAGGAAGGCTGTTTCTCCGAATAGAGTTCTGAGAAGAGATACGAAAATGCCGTATAGCCAGGCCATGTAGTCTCATAGTAGTTACCCGTATACGACTGCCCATGGAGCACCACCTGGTTGACACCACCGGCCACCGCCCGGTTGATGAATGATAGCAGCTCGCTATGCTGGAGGCTATATGCTCCGAGCATCACAGCGCCCATCTCGTTTGAAATGACCCGCTTTCCAGCCAAATTAGCGGGCCCAGCAAATTGTCTGTAGCCATCGATATTGTCGCCGAACTGCAGACTCTCACATTCAGGGGTATTAACGTAGGGGATGTTGGCTTCCATATCCATTGGAAGGTTATATGAAACTTGAGCCGACGTTTGCAGATTGAGCTTTGTATTGATCCAGCTCGTCAGTTCTTTGAGGTAGCTGCGATATCCCTCAACCAGCGCACCACGGAAATCGTGAACATAGCCGAGACCCTGATCCGGCGTGTTGAGAAGACACTGAATGGTGCCTGGTTGCGTGCTTTGAATGTTAATATTGTTGTCGTTGTACATAATGAGTGGCAGGAATGGTTTCAGGTCGTATCCATGTATGGATCTGAAGAGCTCCGGAAGCCTTGGAGTCCACGAAATGTTCGATTTAATTTCAATACTATCTTCCCAGCCTGAATGTATCTATTAGTCTTGATGCAAGGGCCAAGGATGAGAGTAACATACCATAGTGACCGACACTCATCAGAAGCTCCTTAACTTCTTCTGTCAGGAGATGTTTCTCCCAAAACTTAGTCGTGGTTTGAGCGCCTCGCGCACTGTAGTGATCCACAATATACGAGCCATTATCCCAAATGGTCTTAGATGGCGAGGCAGCGAAATCCAGATTCTTATTGTGTGACAAGAATTGGTAGAATGCAAACAAGCGATAAGTCGAAGACTTGGTCGTGCCAATGTTGAGAGAGACTTGGCCGGTGGAAGAAACCATGTCAGACCAATCGTTCAATGAGCCGTTCCTGAGGACCATTTGGATGTAATAAGACTGAGGTGTTCCCAGGAAGCTAGCAGTCCCAGCAGTATCCATGCTGATGTTCTTTGATGAGAGCACCTCGGCTGACACCAAGGCCACCAGTTGGCCGGATCCCCAACCTGGTATCTTGCCACTGAAGCGACCATTGTGAGGTACAACGACAGAGAAAGGCTCCTAGTTTTACCAAATTCGCGTCAGCATGGGTCTGCCCAATGGTACCCTCCAATTTCACCTACCAAATCCCATTGCAATCCCTCGTCAGTGGGATCCGCCGGCACTCCCTGGCCCTGATTTGGACCCAATGCAAAGTCCATGGCCAGGCCCGCCTCTTTATGGGCTTGCAACGCAGCTAAGAAGAGCTTTTTGAATGCCGGCGTCCCAAATCCATACTTGCTCCAGTCGGACCCCTTTGGAGCTGGGCTTAACTGAGCCCCATAGTTATAGAAGGGAAGAAACTCGACACCGCCTGCACCAATTGCACCAGCAGACTTGATATTATCTTGAACCGTCTTCGCGTCGACGCTGGCATCGGGAAGCCAGTATCGGAACCGCGGCCGAAGACGTGCTGCAGGATTTTCAAAAGAGCCTCGGTTGATCCGTGCTGATGTTTGATCATCGGCATCTGCGACTACAAGCCGCAGAAGCAGGCATAGACTTGAAAGATACCATAAAAGCTTCCACATCGCGACCATTAGCGAGACTCTGCTCCTGATCAACATTCACCAATCCTCTCTATATAGTAAAATGGCTCGGAAAACCCGATATCTACGAGCTCCACACATTCGGGTTGGTTCATACCGACGTTGAGATCGCCCCCTTTCTAAGGATTTTCCAAGACATCGGTGGACCTCTTGGCTCGCTCACTGTAGCGACGATCGTCATGGATCTGCATCTCCAGGCCATCAGCAAAGAATAGCATACACAACGATCCTCAGCGTGAGTGGCCTAATCTCTTCCGAATAATTACATGAAACTACAGGGAAATGAATATATCGGCAAGAGTTGAACCGAGCGCAGATTTGTGATTCTTTACCCCGCGGGGAACCTTGTCTAGCGTCGAGACTAAAATCCTTGCTCAGGCTCGGCACCCCACATCCCGCTCGCTTTTTGTTCATAATGATCGCACAGCGCAGCTTCAGTGGGGGCTGATCGTATTCATCATAGTAGCGGAATTGGGCTGTGGCAGCTCATTAGCAGTTTCAGTTCTATGATCTTGGCGACCGATGTCACCATCTCCACCCCGGATTTCCAAATGGCAGAACGCTCGTATGCTTATGAGGTGCAGCCCATGTGACTTCTAGGTCGGCTACGATGTTCCAAAGTAGACATTTGGAGGTTCGAAAGTCTTGGAACACCTCGTGCTGATGTGGACGACGTTCGCTGGGAAATCCAAAGCTGTCGTCCAATGAGTCCTCTCCCTACTCTAGTTCTAGGAGTCGTGAGAGCCTGAGTCTCTAAGAACAATCAATTCGACTAGAGCTTTGAATAAAATACCGTGTTCCATGGCTTCTTCATTTCGAGGGTGCTACGCTGAAAAGCGAGTTCTAGTTGCTGCAAGGAGTGTGGAATTGTTGTAATTGCTTGAATTGTCTTGGACTGCTCTCAACTAAATGACAACGAGTCTTTCAAGCCTTGTATGCCTGCTTAGCCCGGCTCGAAGTCTTCGGAATAGGTCGCGCATAGCCTCCGCCAGATAGACGAATAATGTTACCGTTCAGCCAGGTGCTAACAGTCGAGTTGTAGTACAAGCTATGGCCATGACTATAGACGTTCTCCATGGTGGAAAGAGAGTCAGTGAAGTTTTGTACAGTAGTGTCCGCAGTCATGATCCACGTACTAGTAGAATCCAGGCTCACGTCAAAGGTGGCTTCCTTGTAGCCCGTGTAAGCAGTGCCGGTCCAGGTGCTGTACTTGCTGAGAGACTAGCCGATGTAGCTGCCGTTATATGCAACAAGGTCACCCTTCAAATCAGATTCGCTGATTGCAATGGTTACCTCTGCAGGCTTCAGACCATTGTTATCTTCATAGTCGGCATAATAGTCAAAGTCCTGAGTGATCTGAGAGTAATTGGCGACAATGAGAATGCCGGAGTTAGTGTTGAGCTCGGCATTTTTCAAGTAAGCATCGGCAATCAAGTTTCCAAACCAGAGTCCAGGCATGGTCTTCCAAGGGTGGTGAACTTGGTGTCTGTCAGTTTTAGGACTGCACCACTCTTGCGAGTGGAGCTGCTAAACATGGCCACGCCTCCCAGTAATCCTACGGTGCAGTCACAGTCGACCAACGTGGCTGTCTGCGCACCGTCCGAGAAGACAACGGGGCCATTTTCAGACAGACTGACCACATTTCTCGCCTCAATCAGACCCAATGCATAAAAGGTAGCCGATCCAATGCCGGCTGCGTGCGCAATACTGTCCTCTACATAGATATAGCCACCAGGCGAATCGCCAGAGAAACTGGACGACCGCTTTCCCCCAGAATAGATCTGCAGATTCTTGCCATGGATGGTCCCGTTACCAGCCGCGTACAGACCATGGCTACTTGGTCCAGAGGAGTACAGCCAAGAGTTAGTGACATTGATCACGCTGTCAGTGCCGTATGAGTAGAATTGGGCTGCTCCATTGTGAACAGTGACGTTGACATGATCAAAGACAGCAGTGGAAGCATTCGCCTACAAGGAGAATTAATTGTCAGATGAGAAATTGTATGTGAGATGCATATGTCGACCTACCACATTGATCGCCGCATTGAAGCCCCAGAAACTCGCAGTGTTCAAATTCGTCGCGTAACCGCTCTTCTTAAAATTGATATAGGATCCGGTGAAATCGGCATTGTTGGCGACTAGAGAACACTGGTGTCATTGGCGGTGGCCACCCACGTAATGTGGTCTGCGTTGCCCTTCTTTTCGTCAATTTTATGAGTAGCCTTAACTAAATTCCTTGTTAGCACATCCCCTTGTTGATAACACATTCATTGCAAACCTACTTTCCGATGGCTGTGTACTGATCATCGCAATATCATAATCCGGGACAATGGCATTGTCTGCCTTCCACCAGGCAGGTATGATGACATCCGAGGGGTCCTCGAGTACTATCGATGCCAGCACAAGCGCTGGAAAGAAGAACAAGACCTTAAAGTACATCGTCGCAACGCTGGATTGTGATTTGTAAACTCTTAAGCTTGTTCTTGAATCAAGATTGCCGCTGTGCAGACCCTTTACACTTCTCCAACTACAAGCTCAGATATGCAAGACCACGCAACTTTGAAGGTGTCTTACCCCGTGGGTATGCTTTTCCCACAAGTCGACCGACTGAGGAATGGCCCATTTCGGGTCCCAAGTGGAGAAGAAATGCAAACAAGCATACTGTGTCTGGGGAAGTGTGAAGTAAAATGGGGTATGGAAGAGCTTCTGTGGGCCACTCTGAAGAATCTCCACATCCCGACTATACAAACAGCAGGGTAGTTGTACCAGTCGACCAAAAACGTGCTGACAGTTTTGCCAAGAAGCATACGCAAGCTTCGATGTACGTTTCCGCACCGAGTGGGGGCATCTGGGATAGACCAGATCCCGAGAATAGGGGGAAAAGGGCGAATAACCAAGCCGATCGGAAATTCAATTCAGGATGATGTATATAGACTTGAGCTGAGCGACGCAGTATAGGAATATGCAATGAAACCCGTCTTCGACCGCGAGATGATCCAATTCCAATTCCCAATGGGTATCCAAGATGCAAAGATAATCCGGGTAACAGAGCTTCTCATTCGTGAACGAGGAAATTACGAGTTATGCAAAACTATCAGTAAGACCAAGTATTAGCTCCCGACAGAGCAGCCAGGGCAAAGTGACTGCCAAGTGTCGGCCGCGCACGGAACGAATATGATTCCCCGGCTGAGTACGATCCACTCGCCTCAACCCAATAACGATCTGAGAAAGGAGCACTGTTCAGTCCATTTGACATGTACGCGTGCAGATCACTAATGAAAATGTCCCGAGCATCACCACTAACTGTAGCTGCTGCAAAAGACTGCCAGTTCGTCTGACCCCAGCCAAGAGAGCCATCCAGGGGGACACCAGCCGTCTGGCGAACGGTCGGATAGAAATCAGTCGTCGCGTTATAAGCCTCCTCGGGGAAGGCGTTCAAACCGAACAACAGATCCGGATAGTGGTTGTAGACCAGGAACCAGGGGGTGATCCCGTACTGGATCAGGAAGCGGGTACCCTCCGCATCGGTCCCAAGGTGGTCCGTCCAGATTTTGTTGCCCCACTTTCCCCCACGGTGGTGTAGCTTGTATCTCCAGTGAGAGCACCATAGGTTGCCAAGCCGACGGCAGCCTTGATTGCGAGATTGGTCTGGTTGGCGAGCGCACCCAGCGCGTCGTTAAGCGACAATTGCGTGGCGGGATATAGGCCATTCTCCTGCAGATAGGTAGCGTATTTCTTGAGCTGAGCAGCGTATGTCGTCGCGAAGTCGGTATTACCCGTGGCTTTCTGATAAGCGTAGGCAAGGAAGATTACGTTGCCGCTCTCTTCAATGGGCATTTCTTCGCCATCGGCCGGATGTCCGGTTGCATTTGGGTAATTTGCCCCAATCTCATGCACCGCATAGTTCTTGGTGTAGGCCGAGGTAGCCATGTAGTCGAAGATAGGAGAAAGGAGTAATTTCAGGTACTCGGGACTCAGAATATAGAAAATGGGGAAGGTGGCGTAGATCACATCAACGGTGTTGATATTGCCATCACTCGAGATCTCCTTGATGAATGCACGCGTGTCGCTAGTATCCAGCGATTCGTTGGGGATGGTGATTTCGATTCCGCCGTAGGTCTGGCGCACCGAAAGAGCCAATATGTCGGAGTAGTTTGACCCATAGCTGGATGCACCAGTCGACTGTACGAGGTCATCGAGTTTGCTGGACTCGGCGTTCGCATCCTCATAGTCCTCGAGGAAGTAAGCCACAGCGGCGGGGGTGTCCTTGTAAGTGGCGCGATAATAACCGGTTTGAGCCGCGCCCAAATAGTTGATCGACTCTTCTCGCACGTGACCAATAGCAAATGTCACCGCGGTTTCATCCGCGGTGGTGCCCAAGTTGTGCGAGAATGCCACGACACCCCCCGCAGTCCAGTCCGCATAAGTATTACTGAGCGTACCGTTGTTGACAAATCGCTTTCGGACGGTGGAGATGGGGCCGGACTGAGTGGAGACTGATGTGCCTGACGTGGCGTAGACCGCGCTGCCCACAAAGCCTGGCCGTCGCTGTTCTGTGAATACGTCGCCGCTCTATTACCTACGATCTGGAACACACTCGCCGCTCCGCTCGTGGTATGGCTCCAAGTCGAATCGCTGGTCTGGCCTGTCCATGTCGAGTCAATGTCGGAATATATCTGGACCGAGCTGGAATTGCCAGCGGCCAGGGTCACTGTCAGGTATGAAAAGGGCAGTGACTGGCGGAGGTAGTTTTTGGGTGAGACGGGCGAGAAGAAGTCGAGCGTGAACCGTCGCGATCCAGCAGTCACAAGAAAGGTCGAATGGGTCGAGGTATAGGTGGCTTCGGTCACGGTGGCCGCCGTGGTGCCTCCGAGGGGGTTTGCTACACCGAACAAATTGTACGAGGTGCCATCCACGCGTGCAATTACCGACCAGGTCAACGTATTGCCTGCCCAGAACTGCGCACTGTTTCTGGGAAGTGATACGGCTTCGCTACCGGGGATCCACGCTGTCGATCAATTAGCCAAAAGTTCCGGAATCCAGTTGATCAACACACACACACCTGATAGATAAGGACTTCGCACGGCCAAGGGATACGATGGAGGCTGCACGGGAGAATATGTAATCGCCGTGCTGATTGACACCAAGCACGATACAGCCAGGGCGACTGCACCAAGGGCTTGAGAAATCATGATGCTTCACGGGTCAACAATCAACGGTCCAAGTCGAGAAAAGGCCCAAGTATGTAGATCTGGGCCGCAAGATGCAGATCCAGGGGGTATATAAACAAGTCTCAACGCCCAGTTCAAGACAGAATGCCCCCCCCCCGGAAACCAGGGGAATCTCGGGCGTTCACATACCTCTACTTCTCGCTTTGGCTCTAGTTGTAGTTTTAGTTCTAGTCTCCCCACCCTGATATCCCCTCCACGCGAGATGCATATCTCGCGTGGTGTTGTCGATCCAACACCTCCCAAATCACAACACATCAAGTGCTCCTCACGCAAGTACCGTGCATGGGGTAAGATGTCAGTTGATCGTTTGATATAATAACTCATTGGACTTCCAAATCAAGCAAGCTTAAGCACGCCATCCAGTGGACTCATGATGCGCGACTCCTTCATACATCGTACTCTCTTCCAGCCCCAGTCCAATCGCATGACCATCAGGGCAGGCGAGAGCCGAGCGGAGTCACCTACTCGCAAAAAGCCAGCCGTATGGCGTCAGGGAACTCATGTTTACATTGGAGATACTACTATCTAATGTGGAGCTCTGGCATCACGTTCCGGGCAATCATTGTCCTCTCCCCACTCTGCGCTCGCTGAGTTCAGGCTTTCTATCTGTGGAGTTGCCAAGGTTCGAACTAGAACCCAGCAGGCCTGCGACCAGTAAATTACCGAGCAATGTAGACCGCTGGACTCGGGACTACATCAAGGATCAACAAATCGAATGTCCCTGCCTAAGACGAAGATAGCCCAATTGTCAAGGCGCGAACAAGACATCCCTGAAACCCAGCCCGGGTACCAGCAAGGGGATTAATAATATGCATGAAGCAGGCAGATGTATGCACTACAAGTCTAGACTCATCCAACATTCTAGTGTTTCCCCTTCATTCCCCAGAGAGCGGATTTGACAGCCGACCATAAACTACACTCTCTTGTTGTTCAGATCCTCCACATTTCGACCGCTGGTCGGCACATCCCACACTATCCTCTTCATCTTAGCTTGGATTTAGTTCATCGCGGCCCACTGCGGGGTTATCGACAATCAGAGCATACTTCTCCCCCCGAGCCAATCACTCGGGTTATGCATCAGCATCTCTTATGGCCGGTGCACGGCATTGCATCGGGCCCTGAGGTCATGCAGCATCAATTTGACAGGCTGCGGGCTTGCATTGGGCTTTGGCCATGTGTCTGACGTCTTCTGACTCCTGCGACCGGGGTCAAGTCACTTTGCATGGACGGTGGCATTGGTGATCGAGATGGCGTAAGGAGCGGCCAGGTCCTAACCCTTCCCCGCCCTTGTTCAGATCTCGCCCTCAGGCTCCTACAAGTGAGATCGAAAGTATCTCTTACAATACTATCATTTTAAAATGACCTCGGGATCCCATCAAAGCATATCCAAATATTTACTGCGGCATAGTCTTGTTCTAGCACACCATCTTGCATGATAATCAGGGGCATGCAGATCTGTTGACGACTGCTGACGACGACTTTGCTAGCTCTTACCAGTCATCGTTCTGAGAGCGCAGCTTTCTCCACGAGTCATCAGAAGGCTGGGCTCGCTGCCTGGGGATCTCCAGGAAATGCTTCTGCGGGGGCCCGAGCCGCAGAGCTTGCTCCCCTGAGGCTCATGGATTGCAGAATCTCGGGGTGCCGAGTGGTGCCGACAATGTCAGATGCGACAATATCCGCAGGTGAGTAGTCGGGACACTGGAATCGCACCGTGATGGCCTCAACTACACCGAGAAGACGTGGCGACGAAAAAGCACTTGTCTGACTGGATCATGCGCGGAGACCAATAATACTTGACCAAGATGCGGCTTTGCTTGGCGGCGGATTCAACTCCTGACTCTTCATGCCTGATCCAGGTGCATTGAAGGGGCTCATACCCGGAGAGTCCTGTTTCTGACATGGTGTGCATGTGTGGCGATGTTCAGGTTGGCTCTTCTAAGGAATCAGGATAGACGCCACACAAGTAAGGGCCAGGGGCTGAACCGGGAAATAGTTTTATTGCCGTAGAGACCAGGCTCAGGTTGGACACCCGAGTCTCACAACTCCCTTTAGACATGCAGAAATCAAGCTTCCCATGGAAACGCAGGCTCGGAATGGTTTGATATAGGTGATTGAGTTTGACCTCTCAGACCTTTTTCTAGCATCAACCTCAAAACTTTAGTCTCGATGATCCTGCGGTGCTTGGAGCTTTACATCAGGATTGTCAATCAGTTCCAAGTTGTACTACTGCAGAAGCATAAGGTGCGGCTCTGAGAGGAGGTGATCGAAAATTCCCGGCCGGATGGAAGCAAGTGGAAGTTGTCCCAAACGCTAGACTCCGTGCAGTATGACATGACTTGCAACTAATCTTACGACCTAGGATTGAGTTGTCACTGTACGCGCACCATCACGAGTTCCTGATTCCATCCACGGATGCAAATATTGAACCATAACCGTTACAAGGGGCGTACCGTTCGGCAACACCTCGAGGTTCGTGAGATCGTGATCAAACATGGGTCGGCGCGATGTGGCTCCGGTCCCGCGTCCGCCTCGATGCTTGGAATGTCTCTTGTCTCAGATCGTATACTTCTAGTCTCGAAGACTTGCATTCTTCTAGCCTTCTAGTCTTTCAGTCTCATAGTCACTACTGGGATGCCTCGTAGGTCCTTTCGACCTGCAAATCTATGCTCTGTAGAACCTGAGATGGCCCTCGGCCGCAAAACATTCCGAGGCTTAGCCGATACAAGAGGGCCATTAGAACAGAGCAGGATGACTGGACACCAGACTATCCACCGGGTGACAAGTAGTTACACCTTGATCCGTCGAGCGAGTGTCCAGATGCGGAAGCGAGAGCCTTGGAGAGTTCCGCAACCGGAGGCAAGAGAGCGGGACGAGGGGAAGACCAGGAAAAGAAGAAGAAGCGCAGGTTACATGTCAGGGTATGAAAGGCCCGAGGGACTGGGTCCAAAGGTTCCTGCGCCGGCAGCGCGGATCTTTGGACAGTTGGGACTGAAATGACTTTAGGTGAGCGGACTGCAACCAGATTCGAGAACGTCACTCCCCTCCTCCACATCATCCTCCCCTTTGACCCTGTCTTTCGACCTTGACCTCTGATCTTCCTCATCCTTGGAATTGCTCCGTCCTGGAAATTCTACCGGATCTCTTCAATCGGTACGTCCTCGCGTTTCTTTGGGGTGGATCAGCCTGACTTCGTGCGATCCGTGGAAGCCAAGCCAATCTCCCGCACCCTGACAGCTTGGTCTTATGGCTCGACCCGGGCGCACTCTCTCTCGCGATAGCTCTGTCTGACTTGGATGCTTCATAGCGATCGCGATCTTCGCACCCCCTTCTGCTCGCCATTATCCCTCGGACTTCCCCTCTCCGCCCAACCTCGTGAACACCCTCCGTCGCCACACTCGCACTCGTTTCGGTGGTTCTGGTGGGAATTCCTTTTGCGCCGTCCGCTTCCGACAGCCTGGTTCGATTTTTTTTTTCCTCTGCCAGTTTTCTCCCGATCGCATCATTTCGACCGTACGAGAGACGCCATCGGCTTGACCATCGTCAAGACTCGACATCCTTTGTCTTCCCCAGATCCATCCCTCGAGGCCGATAAGACCGTTCGCGAGCCCGGCCGAAAGTCGATGCTCCAACTGTGACGTCTGATTTTCGCGGGGTCGCATGTCACTTCTATCCCCCACCTCTAAGCAGCTGAGGGTCCACCGTCGCACAGATCTATAAACGAGGAAGGACCCATTGATACTCTCGCCAGAGACGTCCCCGGTTCCTTGCCTTCACGAACCATGTACGCCGTTGAGCAGGATAGGGCCCATCCGGTGCCGCCACCTCCGCCTCCTCTCTCGATGGACCGCATCTCCGCCCCTTCTGCCGCCTATCCCACCCCAGGATCGGGTCCTCTTCGGTCTTCCGACCACCTGGCGCCAATCTCCACCATTCACGAGGGCCGCATCTGGTCTTTGCAGGTCGTTCAACAGCCCATTCGCGCTCGCATGTGCGGGTTCGGTGATAAGGTGGGCAATCCTTCTGCTACGTGCGATATCTCCGTACTAAAACTGTATAACCATCATAGGATCGAAGACCAATTACCCCGCCTCCGTGTATTCGACTCATTGTACGAGATGCACACACCGAAAAGGAGATCGATATCAAGTACGTACCGTTTCACCGCAGCTTTCCGCGCTCTCCTTTACTGATTCCCTTTCCAGTGAGATTGATACCTCGTTTTACGTGCTCACGGTTGACCTATGGAACGCCGATGGCACCAATGAAGTCAACCTCGTGAAGCACTCCGCCACCTCGCCCTCCATCTCCACCGCCATGTCCTCCTCTTATCCGCCCCCACCCCAGAGCATGTCTCCCACCTACCCGGCCTATGGCCAAAGTCCGTACGGGCAGCAGGTTCCCTACCCGAACATGAACAACTACTATGGCCAACAGCCGATGGCCTATCAAAACCCATACGGCCAGGTAGGATATTCTCAGTACGGTTACGGAGGCGGTCAAATGCCTGCCGCCATGTCACCCGCTCAACCCGTCTCGGGCGGCCCGGGAGGAATGTTCACACGCAACCTGATCGGCAGCCTTAGTGCCAGTGCCTTCCGCCTGACGGATCCCGACAACAAGATTGGGGTTTGGTTCATCTTGCAGGATTTGAGTGTACGAACTGAGGGCACCTTCCGGTAAGTCGATATCTGAGATGCCATTGGCGATTAACGATCGAATGATTGACTCATGACAAACAGACTCAAGATGAGCTTCGTCAACGTGGGTGCACCATCCAATGAGACCAGCAACCCTGCCCCTGTGATCAACCACGGATCAGCACCCGTTCTGGCCTCAGTCTTCAGTGAACCCTTCCAGGTCTTCTCGGCCAAGAAGTTCCCCGGTGTGATCGAGAGCACGCAGCTGAGCAAATGCTTCGCGCTGCAGGGCATCAAGATTCCGATCCGCAAAGACGGCGTAAAAGGCCCACGCGGTCGTGGCGGCGATGGCGATGACGACGACGGCGATGACTATTAAAGAAAACGAAAAGAAAAGGGCGTGAATCTCTAGACGAGCAGTCGACCAATCTTGCTCCAGTACGTAAGTAATCCCCGGGGTCCAGACTCCAGAGATGATGAAATGAACGGAAGGTGTTTTCTCTTGCTTGGGTCGGCGGATCCGAGGAGGCAAAAAAGGAGGCGTGTTGGTCTTTTACGGTGTTTTCGGTGGCCTCTTTTTTCTGGGTTCTTTTTTATATTGCTCACTGCTACACGGACCGGAGCTGGGGGTGTCTTGGGTTTTTGTTTTGGCCCTCGGCCGTGTTTATACCTCGGTGGCTAACCAGCTGCTCGTATATATATATCTTATTCGGTGAATCACTTTCTGTCCTGACCCTGAACCTAGAACCGTGAACGTAGACCCTAGACCCTACAATCTAGCGTTCAGAACCTTGGAATATAGCCGCAATCGTCAACCCTGGAACGTACAAACCAGGGACATGTACCTGACACGGTCTGGGGCTTGGTGTGGGCCCACGGTGGCGCCGATAACCTTAAAAATCGTGCATAATTCCTTGTCGTGCAGGGATACTTGGCCCTATCGGAGGATAGGAAGGCAATCCGCGAGACTGGTTCCCCGATTGGCGCGCGGGCCCTTTCTGAGGGGATTTGTGGTAAATGCCTCCCTTTCATCGGAGCACTTTGTAGGTGTGCGTTAACAGAACCATGTGGCAAGTGGCAGCTCACTACCCATCGAAGACTACGCATTAGTTCATATTTGTAGTGAGCAAGACAGTTGGGCATTCACTGGGGACCATGCGGTCTCATCGTTGCATCATTGACAGCAGTATGAACCGCCTAGATCACGATGGCTTTGCAGAAAGGACCCGAGCTGTATAGATGTCTTCCCTATTTTCGCGATCGAAAGGGGCCAATCCAATTCCGAAAAACAAATACTAAAATGCGGGCGAATTCCTCTTGTATATCACGTGAAATAGTATTGCAGTATGTGAACTCCCCGGAAGCCCAATTTGCCCGGGCGCTCTACACGTCGTGCATCATAGGCTTCGGGAAGGTCAGAATGATATATTTCGACAGCGTGATGGGCAATGGGTGCCACCAGCTATCTCTATCCCTGACTCGATAATGTCATTTCTATTTTTCATTTTACCGTGAAGGATTCGGAATACTCTGCCCTAAGCATGATGAGTGGAGCGACCTTTGCAGAAGTCAGGCATGGTTGATCAGAAGCCATGACTCGCGGTCCGAGGACGAACAAAAGTTTTTTGACCTTTCACCCCAGAGATTTCGCATATTTGATTTAAACTCAAGACATTCATCCTAGCTGTCTCAATCTCGGAGATTTGACAGATTTCTTCTTCTGTCTTCATAATAATATCCGCTCTGTCCCAATAAAAGCGCACTTTGTATGTGATTAATTGACGAATCTGGTTAATTTAGGTATCGTTCAATATTCATCTTTTGCTAAATGACTCAATTGGAGGTAGTATGGCCGAGTGGTTAAGGCGGCAGACTTAAGAAAACTATCTGAGTTCTGCTCTCGTTTGAGATCGTGGGTTCAAACCCCACTGCTATCATCAACCCCAACTTTTTTTTGGTTTCCCGCGCGACCAGACCGCCCAGAAACCTCAGAAAACATAGACTTGCAAGTGTACTCCCTTTTTTTTTTTTATTCTCTCTCCCACTCTGAGATAAGCCAAGCTTGACATTGCAGGACTGGCGTAATAGCATAATTTCCACTAGTTCGGTTGAGACAAAAAGATTGACCAAACACAGCATCTAACTGATCTCTTTACAGCACCATACCATCTATGAAGGCGATATTTCGAGGCTCTTCACTTGACGCTCACACCCAGGCACATCCAAATTCGAATCGGGGCAATCTGATTAGATGCTCGATTAGTTCATTAGTATTTTGATTTTATCTGGACAGAAGTCCGGGCATTCCCCGCACGGCATCTACGGATCTTCGCAGTTCGTTCCGATCAGACGACCGTATAAAGCAGCAGCTACTGATAAAAGTCTCATAGCCATCCCTAAGAATTAGTGGTGAGACGGAACCTTTAAGCATCTTCATCAGAATGCCCGGCCGTTGCTATTCCCCAACTTTCAACCGAATCACGGTCACCGAGCTGCATCCTACCTTCGGAGCCGAGATCAGCGGCGTTGATTTCTCGCGACCAGTTGCTGACGAACAATTCCAGGAGATCCAGGCTGCCATCAGCAAGGTGGGTATATATCTTGAAACTGTGAGCAGAACGAAGATGAACAATCATAGTACGGTGTGTGCGTCTTCCGCAATACCGGCCTCGATGACGCCCATCACGTCGCCTTCGCTGCACAATTTGGCGAGCTGGACGATGTGACTCCGTATATGGCGGGCGGCCGGGCGCACCGACTGTCCGATGTACGCCTGTTCGATGTCGGCAACATTGACCTCGACGGCAAAGTATTTGACTTGGATAATGTGCGACGGGAGTGGAACAAGGTGCGTCGTGTCATCCGCGCAGGTGGTCCCCAACTGAGTCGGATAGGGTAACGAACTCTTCCATGTGGATTCAAGCTTCAACCCGCGACGGGCAGGATACTCACTACTCCGAGCCGCCGAACTCCCTCCAGCTGGCATGGGCGGCGAGACTGAGTTCGCCGACGTACGGACAGCCTTCGATGAGCTTCCTCGAACCATCCAGATGGAACTTCAACGGCAGGACTATATCGCCGCACACTCGCTCTGGCATTCACGCAAGGTCGCATCAACTAGCACGTTTGCAGACATCAACCCGAACGACTACCCAATGAGCCGACACCGGTTGTTTCAGAAACACGAATCATCAGGCCGAGACACCATGTATCTCGCCTCACACATCCACCATATTGAAGGACTCGACGCAGAGGCATCGGCTGCACTGTTGCAACGATTGCTCACGCATGCGACCCAGCCCCGGTATGTGCTTCGGGTGGAGTGGGAACAAGCGGGCGACCTGGTCCTCTGGGACAACACGAGTGTGATGCATCGCGCGGTGGGAGGTAGATTCGAGGGGAAATATCGGCGAGACATGCGGCGGGCGACAGTTCATGACGGCAGCGGCAGTGCGTGGGGCTTGAATGAGCGCAGCGAGATCCGCCAGGGTTTACCGTGAATCGTCGATCTGAAGAAACATCGGACTTTAGGACATTGGGACATTAGGTCATAGCTCACAAGTCATAGCCCATAGGTCATAGTTCGGGTAACCCGGACTTGGAACGAAGAGTATAGTTCTGAATTGTCTCCTCACTGAGACACGATCATCTCGAGAGATTTCCTGCTTGGGCTGCTTGGCATCTCCATTGTCTCACTGTTGGAGGTGGCCACTGCCTTCGCTTGTGGCTAGCGCTGATGCTATTTTTCATTCTGTTAGTCCACCGTGAAGAACGTGCAAAGATACCAGAGAACTAAAACCAAAAATAAAGAAGAAACAGTGTAGCATCGGCCATGCCCCCCGCGCAGGGACGAGCAGTTGTGTCTTAAACGTGCCCAATGAGTGCCTTCGTGGAAGTCGGCGACTTCATCTAGCGGGGGAAATCCTCCGTCATTTCAGAGGATCATTTTTGGGGTCCCAGGGAAAGCCGTGCCTCTGAACCACGCGGGGTGTCGATGGTGTGGTGATTGTCGATTCCTTCCTCAAGACGGAGCTATAAAGAGACTCAACATTCCCTTGGCGAGAGACCCATCATGCCCGCTCTCAATTCTCATCTCTCAGCTCTACCCTCTTCTCACCAAATTTCCAACATGAAGACCTTCATTGCTTCTCTCGCCCTTCCTCTCCTTGCCGCTGCGGCTCCGACCATGCAGACCCGCGAGGCCAACCCGCCCTTCAGCGTCATGGCCATCCGCTCTGGCTCACCCATCCACTACTCCCAAATGAATGCCGCTGGTCAAAAGTTCTATCTCGGCGGCCAGACCTCCTCCTACTGCCCGGACCTGGAAGGCCTCACCTGCCCCCCCCAGGCAATCAGACCGTCATCGCCGCGGGCGGAAGCGCCTTGGTAAGTGACACAACCTCTAAGTCCCTTAGTTATTTTTTTTTTCTTTTCTTTTCTTTTTCTGGATGAACGGAGGGTTAACGTGTTGCGACCAGGATGTTGAGGTCCCCGGCGGTCAGCAAATCTACGTGGATCCCTCGGGAGCTCTGAGCTTCACCCAGGCCCACTCCGCTTATATCCCTGCGGGTTCCGCCGTCGGTGGTTTCCAGTATGAGGCTGGCAACCCTTGGTCCCACTACACCTTCAACGGCTGGGGCGCCAGTGGCTTCATGGCATGCCCCACTGATGACAACCGCTGGCAGGTGTACGCTGCCATGCAGAACGCGACTGTCCCCTCCGGCAATGTGGACGACTGCCTCGGGTTCTCTGCCATGGCGCTGACCTACAAGGGTTCCGTCCCGGCCTGGCAATACATCTAGAGCATTCTCGTTTCCAGCGCGATTGGCTTTGATCTTTGAGCGTTGTACAATATCCCAGACGAGTGCATAGGTGAACTAGTAACAAAGACTTAAATGATTTGCTTCAATGCTATTCCATATTGATATGGTCAGTTAAAAAAGATAAAATGTCCAGGGCTCATGCAGAGTACAGGCAATGGGTATCATTCTATAAAAACTTCTTGTTCTTTTCTTTCAGTTTCTCCAGATCCGAATCGCCTTGTCCTTGCCTCCACTGCCGACCTTCTGTCCATCGGGGCTCCAGTCGACGGCAAATACCTCGTCTTTGTGGCCCGGGAGATCTGTCGACAGCTTACCCGTGCGCACATCCCAGACCTTGAGAGTGGTGTCTTTGGAGGCCGAGACAAGCAGACGCGAGTCGGCAGAGAAGCTGCACTGATAGACAGCGCCGACATGGCCGCGGAAGGTGGTGATGAACCTGGCTATTTGTTAGACTTTGGAATTCATAGGGAAAAAAAAAAACTTACTTTCCGTCACGTCCATTCCACAGCTTGACATGATTGTCGAAACCGGCCGAGGCAATGTATGTCATATCGGGAGAGAAGGTGACGTGGTTGACCTCCTTCTGGTGACCCAACAGGCGAGCAACAGGCTTGTTAGAGCTCGATGGCTCCCACAGGTACATGGTAAAGTCGTCACTGGCAGACACCAGGCGCTCAACAATCTTCTTGTTCACGGTCGCGGCATCTTCGTAGCGTTTCTTGGCGGCAGCAATCTTCTCGGCGTCGGTTGAGGGGACCTTACCAGTGTGATCATGGTAGGCAGTGCGCAAGGCAAAGTCCGTAGACAGCGCAAGATGGTTGACGCGGTGGGCGTGCGATGCGAGAGTCTGAATGAGCGTGCCGTCTTTCGGGTTCCAGATCTTAATGGTCTTGTCGTGCGACGCCGTATAGATCTGACCGGTACCACCCCACTTCACACACGTCACGGATCCTTTGTGTCCAGTGAGCACATGCTCGATACGCTTCGACACCACATCCCACACACGCACAGTCGAGTCCTTAGACGACGAGGCGATACGGGGACATCCAGGTTCCTGAAGATGGTATGGCTCCCAGGCCAGATTGGTGATCCACTTCGCATGGCCCTTGAGAGGACCGCCGAGCGCAACACCCTTCTTCGCATCCCAAACTCGTACTGAGTTATCCATGCTACCGGTCGCGATCATCGCACCATTGGGCGAGTAGGCCACGGCCAGCACCCAGCTAGTATGTCCCTTCAATGTATGCAACGGGGTACCGGTATCGCAGTCCCAGATCCGCGCGGTGGAGTCACCACTTCCAGAAACCATTGTGGATGAGTTGATCGGGGAGAAAGAAGTTGCGAGAATAGCCTCGCCGTGGCCCGCAATGGAGGCTGCGCAGCGTGAGACCGCCTTGACTCGGAATACTGCCTGCGGAGTGAAGAATAGGGAGACTGTATCCTCGGTAGTCTTGATGCCAGGCTGAAGAAGCGAGTGGTAGAGGTCTGCGAGAATATCGATTGTCTGATCGCCCTTGTCGGACTGGTAGGTGAAGCGATACGGAACCCGGTCATCGTCGTCCTGTGAAGTCTCTTGTTAACGCTGTTCCTGCGTCACACCCTCGGATAATTCCTTTGAGTACTCACGTTGCCTTGTAACGTATTCAAAAGAGTTTCAAGGTTCTTAGTGTTAGCATCGGCCACTGGGACCGAAACTGCAGGCCCGGTGGCATTTCCGGTGGCCTGGTCGAAGAATTGGACGCGGACGCTGCCGAGATCCGAGGGAATGCTATAGAGCTCCTGCTGCTCCTTGGCCCTTTCGGCCGCAGCGACCTTCTGGCGCTTACTGGGCGGGGGAACGAGAGTGGCCATTGTGCTTTGAGGAGTTGGAGGAGGAAGAAAATTTGACGCCTTATCAGGGCTTATCGCTTATCGCAGGGGGTCAACGTCTACGGCCAGCAGATACTGCCCCCCCATCTATAGTGAAAATTGACATTCTAGGAAATGACATTCGATTTGTTCATCAAGCATATCATGAGCGTCAAGTTTGCAGAGCATCACTAGAGTGTCTTCCGATAAAATTGAAAGGGCTAAAGTCTGGTCTTATAGCTCGATCGAGAAGGAGGCCTACACAGATGGTCGGGTTAGTTTTTTCTTGATATCAATCTTGGCATCTTCCAAGAGCTCTTGTTGGATATATTCTTGTTCCTCTTCAAGGTATAATGCTTGACAGCCTGGAATACGTCTAAGAGAATCATTCACAGCCGCTTTTTGAGGAAGATTTATGGTTCTCAATTTCTTATCTTTTGGAGATGTATGATATCACCTGTTGCGCACTCTTAGGAACGAGTGGCTCCCTTTTTTTCTTCATTCTGCTCCGTAAGACGTAGACCACTGCCGCATACGACCGTGATGTCGCTGTCTGTGTGGAAGGGTCGGTGCTCGCAATTTCTGGTTGAGGCTCTTACCGCCTTTCTCGGCTGACTCAAGTATGGGGACAGATGCAGGTGCTCTCCGCAATCCTCTGCTATCGCCTTGCCTCACACTCGCTTGGACTCAGGCGGGCAGGTTGATCGCCACTTGGCATGCGGCCGTCTCGCAGATGTCGTTGTTGAATGGCGCCTAGCGATATCAAATACTCTCTGTGTACGCCCAAAATGCGTCCGTTCTCTCGCGTGATTTCCGCGGTCTGATCAATGCCATTATGTTCGAAAGCTTATAGCTCAGCTTATCTGGCACTTTAGGGGATGGCCCAAAGCTGTACTTTTTTGTCATAAACAACGTGTTGTATCATGACTCGAGCGGATATCAAGGTCAAGGGCTCTTCTTCGGAGAGAAAAAGCAACAAACAGAAGATAAGAGCTGAGTCAGTGATGATGCGTTTCTTGAGCCACTCAAAGATCAACCCTGACATGACATGGCCAAGCGCTTCGACAAGGCTGCCATTGACAAGCAGCCCTAGATGTGGTCGAAGCATACGTGTTGTGGCATGGCACGGCATGCTGTGTACCTGCCTCAATTATGTGGACGCTAACGCCTTTAATTTCTCCCATAGGGCCAGGCCGAAGCGAAATGTCAAACAGGGGAATAATATGGTGTCACAGAGGATGCTTGAATGACGAAAGCACAGATCCGACTGTGCTGTCTCTGAGGCTCAAGGTTGTCAAGGCCCCATCCACTTCCACAGAACTTGAAGTAACTGGTCGCGGTGAATCGGCTTCCCGATGTAATCATTCATCCCCTTAGCAAGATACGTCTCCATATCTCCCTTCAACGCGTTTGCCGTAAGAGCAATGATAGGCACGTCGATACCCATGCTTCTGATTTGCGATGTCGCTTCCAAACCGTTAAGCACTGGCATGCTGATGTCCATCAGAACCACATTGTATGACAGAGGCGTTTGCTTAACTTGCCGAACGGCTTCCGCCCCATCCCAGGCTACATCGATGCGCTCGAAACCGAGAGTTTGAAGAAGCTTGAGCATTACCATGTGGTTGACGAGGTTATCCTCAACAAGTAGAATATGCTTGCGCGGCGCAATTTCCCGCACTCTGTTCATAAGGATTTTTGGGTCATCGGTTGAAGGCATGGCAGGCTGCTTCGCTGAAAAGCCTGTGTTGATGTGACCCATTCTGGCTGTGAACCAAAAGACACTGCCTTTGCCTTGTGGACCAGGCCTATAGCCCACCGCGCCGTCCATAAGCTCCGCCAAACTCTTGCAAATCGAAAGACCAAGGCCAGTACCCTGGTACTGTTGGCCTGTGGAATCGGCAAATCGCGAAAAAGGTGTGAAGAGGGTATTGAGAGCACATTCAGGAATTCCAACACCAGAATCGGCAAGCTCTGTCGTGACCGTGTATGCCTGAGGATCCGATTCAGAAGGTGCGAAAGTAGTGGAAAGTCGAATATAGCCCGACTCCGTGAACTTCACCGCGTTTCCGAGCATGTTTTGAACGACCTGACGATAGCGTAAAGGGTCACCACGCACAGCTTTGGGTAAGTCCGGTGGAATCGAGCAAGTTAACTCCACTCCAGGTTTCAAAAGAGACCTGCAGTTGCGCATGACAGCATCAAGAATGCTCTTGATATCCACGACATCGGAGTGAAGAGAAAAAGACCCAGATGACAGCTTCGAGTAGTCGAGCACATCGTTGATGATCTGAAGCAAAATCGAGGTCGAGTCCTCAATGATCGAAGCGTATTCCAGTTGTTGGTCGGTGAGTTCGGTATCCTTCATCATCGCAAGCGCGAGCTGCATGCCGTTCATGGGAGTCCGTATCTCATGGCTCATATTTGCCAAAAAATCTGTTTTCATCTTCGCTGACTCCTCAAAGGCCGCTACCATGCGCGCCTCGGCAGCTTTCCGCTCCGTCAGGTCACGCGTGACCTTCACAAAGCCGACGTGACGACCAAACTGATAGATAGGCGTGATCATCACATTAGCCCAGAAACGCGATCCATCTTTTCGATACCTCCAGCCCTCATCTTCCATCCGTCCTTCCTGTAAAGCCCGTGCCAGACCTCTGCCTGGCTTACCATTATCACGATCCTCAGGGCTGTAGAAAATGGAGAAGTGCTTGCCGATAATTTCCGAGGGAGAATACTTTTTCAAGATTGCCGCGCCAGGATTCCACGTCGTGATGATGCCCCGGGTGTCGAGCATAAAGATAGCGTAATCCTTCACTGTGTCCACCAAGATTTTGTAAGTTTCGTTCGTGTAGGCGTGTTGTTCATCGGTCGCGACCCAGTGATCTTTTGACGTTTTTTGAGCCTCTAATACGACGTAGATCAACGATGAATTTTCGAAGATTGGCGTAATACGAAGCTGATAAGTCGTATTCTTGTTTTTGACGTGTATTCCCTCCATGACTTGAACCTCTTTTGAGCTGATAGCTGCACGCAACGCTCCGTATAGAGCAGGAATGTCCGGCGCAGGGATGGTGTGGACTGGAAGATCGCAGACACAAGTGCCTAACAGATCCTCCCGAGGTTGACCAGAGAAGGTACGATGACTGTCTGAAGCCTCGACGACGCATAAATCCTCGTTCAGGATCAAGGTAGGGCCTGGGTAATGCCGGTAAATGCGACTCAAGGCGGGGTCGAAGCCTGTGCTTTTTGATGGCGGTTCCATCTTCGTCTTGTCCTCCAAATCCGAGATCAAGTTGCGGTCTGCTACTGTCGGTCGCTCGTCTGCCCGAGGCGCTGTGACAAGAGGCTTGGAGACTGGCGTGCCCGCATCGTCCATAGTCAGGGCCAAAAGGTCGCTAGAGAGAGCCATACTCGCCATCCATCTCCGCATTACTAGTTGAGAAAGTGTTCAAAGTGAGCGATGTCCCCCGGATAATAAGTGAGTGTGGGACCAGATGGGGCAGCAGATGTGCGCGATATCCTCTCGCGAGAGAGAGATGAACCACCGGGTGTGGTATGAAATCGGCCGAAGAGATCTGGTGCACAAGGATGAAGTAGAGGGGATGGGGATCGAGCGTCTGCGGTGTGCATGATCGGTGGGGCACCAGCGTGGCAGTTATCCTTCAGAAGCCGGCACGCTTTACGTCACCAAATCCAAATCCCGACGAGGCCAAAGTACCGTAAAATTCCCCACCTGGGAGAAAGGGCTCGCTTATAAGTGGCAGGTTGAATCTCCCGGCCGTGGAGCTTGGCAGGACCGAGCCCTGCGCTTATTGATCAACCTCGCGGCCCACATACTCCAGTGGAAACATTCCTGGCGAGAGCCCTTGCGGTTGCTTCGTAGGAAAAAATTAGCTTTTCCGAGGCGCTCGCCTCTTCGGTCCGCGTAAAATGGACTTTCAATAGAACCATGATAATTTCCTGCTTTAGATGAGTGAAGATAGGCGAAGGTGGCCCTGAACGAGGAGACTAAGACGTAAGCAGACTGCAAGGATTTCTCTTGTTTGCTTTGTTTGCATAAACAGAAAAAAAAATAAAAATTGAAATCAGTGCCAATTTTCGCAAGGGACCACGATACTGTGAAGATTGACCCATGCGTAGATACCAGTGAATATTAGTGAATACCAGACAATTCCACTGGGATCACCAGAGGACGAAATTTAAACCGGAAATGTGTCTCTCAAGTCACGAATTGGTGATGATGATGATGATGATGATGATGATGATGATGAATTAATTCTTCTGTCTGTTACAAAACATGGCTCGGGCTTGATATACTCATTTTCAGTCGAGCAGTCGGGGTTCATTCGTAGGGACATGTGCGGTCGCATAGTAGCTGGCCTGGGATACTGCTAGGATATAAGTAAATGAAGCGGCAGTCCTGTTCGTTACAAAGTGTCTCTTAAGCGAAAGCTGGAGGTCTACATAGTCTTGATACATGGCTGGAAAACTAGGTGCTGGCTCAGTTTTGCTTCTTCGCGCTGCACCTTGCGTCTATGACTAGTTATCCTCTATCAATTTTTTCAATGTGAGCTGTCCAATTCTACGCATACATGAGATCCTGATTAGATCAAGTCATAGTCCCAGAATCGATACCAGAGCCCCCCTAGAATACTGCAAGAGATTAACATGAAATGTCCGTCACGAGAGATACACGTCTGATCTAGACGCGTTAGCTACTAAATCCATGATGTCTGTGGACTACCAATTCCATCTTGTGGTATCTGAGAATTAAAGATATCATAGGAAGTAATGGAAGTCAATGGATGAAGAACAAAGACATAGCGTTTCTAGTTACAGTTGAATGACACTGGCACTGACGGAGCGAGTCACAATCATACTTTAAGCAAGTACTCCCATAGGATCCCAACGGGGCAAGACTTTGGGGGTCTGCTTCAAGATCGCTTGGGTCTCAGTCGAGACGAATCTCGAGTCGACAACTGCCTGGAACGTGTATTCATCCATCCATCGGTCGGTCATCACAAACCAACCCTTGTTCCCAGCTGTCTCTCCCCATGAGTTCTCAACTCGCCATCGCACTGAGCGGTCACCTTCGAGATGGACTCCCGTGATCACCATAGCATGGGTCATAGCAGATTCACCACTAGCGAGCCGTTCGGCTTTGTTCATACCAAGGGAGACATTGAAGCCGAGTGAGAGGTTGGTGAGATCGACATCCATGATACCATGATCGCGATCTGAGAATTTGCCCACATCACAGCCAAAGAATACCGGATGCCCGGCTTTGAGCATTGCAATCACTGCTTGCTTGAGCGTCTGCATCTCCACGTTGGCATATCTGAGCGATTGCCCTTCTACTACGTTTCCGAGCCTCTCAACTGTTAGCAACTGATTCCACTCATGTCGTGGGTCATTAACCAGACTGAACAGTGATCCAGGATTAACGCATGTGCGACTGCGCGACCCTGACTTTGACCCTGACCCTGATCCGAGAGCTTGCCGGCCAAATTCAATTGGGGATTGCCGCACTTCCCGAGCGGCTCCATTAGCATCGTGGTATTGCCAGACGAATTGCTCATCCGGCCTTGGCGGAGGTCCGAGCAAAAGAGTCACCATTGAGTGGATTTCTTGCAAGAATTGTTCCTTGGTAGCTGCCAAGAGATGTTCAGCCTGGCTCTCTCCCGTTGCCTTTCTCACGGCGAGTTGGCGGAGAGCGAGACCCTGCTCGCGCAGCTTGGCTGTAAGCAGCCAGTTCATCTTGGAACTATTCTGTGCATGAAAAGCATCCGGATAGAGAGTGTGCGGAACGAGACCGTATTTGTGCACGAGGTTGACGACCATATCCCACTGGCCACCGTCCGTGACAGGATCCTCGCATAACTTCTGAACCAAACGGCTGGAGAAATCCTCGTGCGCAGTGTCAATCATTTGCTCGTAGAAATAATTTGCCTTTTCGATTTTGTCCCAGTAGAACAGATACGCCTGGCTGAGCTCGAACTCCCCCAGCTTGTATGTATTGATCAGAGGCACACGAAAGATGTTGGTTGAGGCGAAAAGCCAGCAACGGCCAGAAGATCTTTGATTGGTAATTGGTGCCCCTTCTACTGGCACTGTGAGATTGAAGATGTGTAGATCGGTATTGACAGCGGTGCGGTTGGTGAGGACCTCTGCGTAGCTCTGGCTGGCGAAACTCGAAATGGCGAGGCGATTCTGTCGGTAAGTTTAGTACCACATTCATCTAAAACCTGCCCGCAATGAGATGAAATCAGATAGTGTCATACCTTTGCGTCGCTCAACAGAGCATCGCTCCAATTCTCCATTCGAGGGAGTGTTACGGTCCGAAGGCGTTCTCTAGCCAGGTACGGTGGTGGAGCTATGATTGTTGTCAACGATCTTGACCTCGACTACAGACATCAGCAGATGGGAAGACGTGAGCTCACGAGTATGGTCACTTGATGGCTGCTCTTTGGCTAAATGGCTCGCTTTGGTCCAGTCCACGTTGATCTTGATAGAATCTCCTGATTTCTCGTTAACTGGCGCCGGCTTGGAGTATGGCGTCCCCATAATGACTTGAGGTTTTGACAGGGAAGTCTGGAGACTGAAGTTCAAGTCAAGTGTCAAGTTCCTTTAAATGAGTGAATCATCTAGGAATCGGGAATTGAGGACCTTGGGAAGAAGATAGAGAAGCCCTATCTCAGTCGTGCGGGGTATGTAGGATGAGCTGCAAGAGTAGATTTGATTGGTGGTGCATTGAGCAAGGCGCAACATCCGACTTGCCACGATAAGATCTCTATCTGGATTGGGCAAAGATCATTATAGTACCAGGTTGTGATCCAAATGGCTCTGAATGGCTGCCGTGACTGCTCGCACCAGATATACCAAAGGGCCCTTTACAAGACATTCTTGGAAATGAACCGAGAGAGGTCTACATCGAGCTCCAAATAGGTGCCCAAGAGACGTAGAGCAAAGACTGGAGAATCAAGTATAGAGGCCCATTTAGATTACTCTCTCGAGAGGACTATGTGGACTGCGCCATAACCCGCATACCCCAAACGCCGACCCCATCTCACTCACCGAGGGCATACCACTTGACTCGACCAAGTAAATCTAATTTCAAGAACAAGTAGAAATAGATCTGTATATAAACAGATTCTCATCATTATCTTTTCATGAAAGCTTATATCCTATGCTGCAAAGAAATCACCGACCATTGCAGCATCGCTCACAGAGACCCGGGATAGTGTTGCTCAAGGGGCCAGGTCCAAGTCTTGAATGCTGAGGGAGTGGGAAACAAAATTAGGAGGCATTGCGTACACATCCAAGATTGAAGGAAAGTAGATGTGGTAGAAGTTATGTACATGGGATGGGAGAGCGGTGGTAAATGGCCCTCCGTTCAAGTACATGTCTGGTTTCTTAGAACCGGCGTATGCGTGTTCTTCTGTGGTTTTTCGTGATCAGGGAACTCTGATAGTATCCCGGCATCCTTTTCTCTCAACACTTCTATGCTTCGAAAGTAAGAGAGGGAAAGGAAAAGGGCGTACAGGAAGACATGAGTCTCAGGTGCGAAAGGAGACTTGCAAGCCCCAATAATCTTCTCAGGCATGTCAAATTGATCCGAAGTAGCTTCGAAAGCAACATAATTACAATTGAAGATATTTCAAAACCCATGAAGGGAAATCCCCTTCGGATATCTTTATATCGCGATTAGGCAGAAGGCAGCCGTGGAGGTCAACCGGTCTCGAAACCATCCTTTGGTCTTTGCCCACTCTCAATTGCACTTCCTCACAATCAACATGTCCATAACCCCACGAGAAACAACTGACTCGTTTGTCCCGTTGACTTCAAGAACCAGTAGCAGACATCCCCCAACCGGTCGGCCGCCCACCACTGCTACCAGTGTTGCTGGACAGGATATCGTCTGCGCCATAAGTGAGTCTCGTGGCATCTCGTCCACCGTCGGCCTGGCATTTGTCAACCTCGCCACGGCAGAAGTAGTTCTGTGCCAAATATGTGACAGCCAGACTTATGTGAAGACCGTCACCAAGATCGGTGTCTTCGAGCCGAGTGAGATACTATTCATGAACACTGCCAAGGAGTCCACACTGCGCTACATCGTCCAAGAGAACTTGCCAGATCCAATAATCACCTTTCTGGATCGCAAGTGCTGGTCTGACAAGGCGGGTCACGAGTATCTGGATCGATTGGCTTTCCCCTATGAACTGGATTCTCTCAAAGGGACCCTGGAGGAAACTTCTTTGCGGCATGCTCCTTCGCTGCAGTACGCAATTGCGCACCGAAGCAAGCGGGGTATTGACTAATTGAGAAGCAGGTGTTGCGATACGTTGAGCTAGAGCTTCAACGTGTCTTCGCTTCCCATTCCTTGCGAATCAGACTTGAGCCATCTCAAGGGTCCATGATCATCGACCTGGCGACAATTGTATCACTTGAGCTCATCCAGAACTTGCACAATACAAGGTCAAAAGATAGTCTGTATGGACTGCTAAACGAGACGTTGACGCCTATGGGATCCAGGCTTCTGCGAAGCAGCATTCTGCAGCCATCCACCGAGCGTGTGAAGCTGACAGAACGATACAACGCCGTCGAAGATCTTTCCTCCAAAGAAGACATGTTCGTTTCAGTTCGCCAAGCGTTAAAATGCCTCGGTGATGCAGACAAAGTCTTGACTTCGGTAAAGTGGCCTTGTTCTATGAAACGCACAAACCCGAGCTGACCTGACAGATCATTCTTGTCCCCACTGACCGAACGATTCAGTATATCGAGCAATCAGTCAACAATGTGATCATGCTGAAGACATTTATTTCTGGAATTAAGAAAATTTACCAAGCCCTTGGGCCTGCACAAAGCGATCTACTTCTCAAAATCCGCAGGGTATTGTCCTTGAACCCGTTTGAACGACATTCTTTTAATGTCGCTCTAGTTATGCTGCCCGACAGGACACCGTGCTATCGAGATGCTCATCGAGGAAACTTTGAATGAGCATATCACGTATCAAAGCAAACCACTGGATCTACGGAACCAACGAGTACACTGTGTCAAGGTAGCTCTCACCCTTGATGACCACTCTATCTGCATTCTCACCCAGTCCAGGCCGGTGTCAACAGTCTGCTCGATGTAGCACGACAGACGTACAAGGAGGCTAATGTAGATGTCGCAGAACTGGTGGAGAAACTTGCAGGTATGCGAATCCTTGAAAATCTAAGGCTGAAAGCTAAAGAGTTGAAGAAAATTGTGAGATGGCTCTAGATCTCAAGTACGACTCAGCTCGTCAGTATTTCATCTGTATTCCAATATCAGATGCGGAGTCCCTTCCTAATGTCTTCATCAATGTATACCGCAAAAAGAGCCGCGTCGAATGTCAAACTCTAGACCTGGTCAAACTGAATCAGAAGATCAACGATGCGCACACTGAAGTGATAAGCATGAGCGACCAAACAATCCAGGAACTGATTCGAGATGTTTGCGCACAGGTTTCGGGACTATTCCAAGTCAGCGAAGCCATTGCGCTGTTAGACATGCTGGCAGCTTTCGCCCAGCTGGCTACAAGCCACGGTTACATCCGCCCGGAGTTGACAGCAACACTGGCCATCAAGGCTGGCCGCCATCCGATCAGAGAGCAAATTCACAGCAACAAGTTCATCCCGAACGACGCATATGCCACACCCCAGTCACGATTTCAGATTATCACTGGGTGCAATATGAGTGGGAAGTCAACATATATTCGCTCTTTGGCACTCATGACTGTCATGGCACAAATAGGTTGCTTCGTACCAGCTCAATATGCCTCTTTTCCGGTTTCGCATCAGCTGTTCGCACGTGTGGCCACAACAGATGACCTTGATGCCAATGTATCAACTTTCGCAGCAGAAATGCGCGAGATGGCATTTATCCTGCGCCACATCGAGCCGCGGGCTATGGTGCTCGTCGATGAGGTCGGTCGAGGTACAAGCACGACAGACGGCCTCGCGATTGCCGTTGCATTGGCAGAAGCCCTTCTTGCCAGCAACGCTCTGGTCTGGTTCGTCACACATTTCCATGACCTGGCGCGCATTTTATCTGAGCGTAATGGCGTGGTAAATTTCCATCTTGCCGCAGACATTCCAACTGATGCGAGCAAAATGACCATGTTATATCAAATCTCCGAGGGTCCAGTTCCAGACCGACGATATGGTCTCGTTCTCGCTCAGCTAGTCGACCTTCCCCCTGTTGTTCTTGAAGTTGCGAATAAAGTCTCAGAGACATTAGATGGCTTGGCTCGGCGTCGAAACAGTTCGTCACGCGTGATTGCAATTGCTCAGAAACGAAAGTTACTTCTTTCCCTGCGTGAACAACTCTTCATCGCTCGGGATAGTACGATGGATGACAGCTCTCTACGTCACTGGCTAATCAACCTGCAAAATGACTTTGCACTGAAGATGGCAGCCATGGATCAAGAGGTGGATCCTTCTGACGATAGCCCCATTGCGGCTGCCAAAAATTCAACACCCCTGCCTAGCAGCCTGTTACTCGACTCATGCCGCCACACATTGAGCACAAGGGGAGAATCGAGTCACTTCGAAGGGGAACCGGGAACTAGCTCTGAACCTATTTTCATTCTCGACTCTGACTCCGATTCTGCCGATACTGACAGCATGGTAATGGTTTGACCTTGTGCTCGTGAAACGAGCTCAACGTTTTTCTCGGCATCTTTACATCTATATGGCTTGTATCTGTAATTCCGTGACTTTCTACTGATGAGCAGAGCGAAGAGCATACCTTATTAATCATCTTCATTAACATGTTCCTTGATTAATATAGGGTTTATTGAGATGATGACCAGAATACAAACACAGCCGATGGCCCACATCCAGAATTTACCCATTTATCTATCAATCGCTGGTAACATGGTATCTGACAGGTGGATTAGACATTGTTCTTTTAACCAAAGTGGAACAAAGTCTGCTTTCCCTTCTTATTCTTTTTGTTCTTCTTGCCTTCACCGGAATCATCGAGATCCGTCGGCTCAGAGGGGGAGGCGACTCCGGATGAGGGATTGGAGCTCCAAGCGTCTGGTGCCGGTCCACGGCGGTCGTCCCAGCGAACGTAACCCCGGGTCTTGCCAGCCATCAAAACGTTCGGTTTAGCAGCAGTAGGCAGCGCGGGAAATGCGTCACCACCAGTAGGAGCAGGGCGAGCGGAACGGCTGGAGCTAGAGGTTGTCGCGGCCGAAGGTCGATTAGGGGCAATGTTAATTGATGGGCGTGAGAAAGAGGGTGCGGGACCGGCTGCAGCCCAAGGGGTGGCGGATTGAGCACCGGATCGACGAGAAGAGCCAGCAGCGGCCGAAAGAGGCGGGAAGGGATTTGATGAGGAGGATGCTGAAGATGAAAGGGCGCCGCTTCGACCAACGGCTGAACGAGAGGATTGAGCAGTGGATGATTTCAAACGCAGGACACGACCACCGGCGGTGTTGACGGTGCTGGGTGACATGCCCGGCAAAAGGCCGCCAGGACCAGGTAGGGCCGGGTAATCCTCATTGATGGCACGCCAATCGTTCCAGGCCTGGAGCAGGTTGACGCGCTTGGAGTTGTCCTCATAGATCTCAGCCAGTTCCTTGATCAGCTTACCGAGCTCGGAGCTGGATGTATCGAATAAAGAGAAGAAGGCGTCAATCAGTTCAGTAGCAGAGATGGACGATGTGCGATAGCTGGAGACTCTGTTGCGGAATTCCGTCAACTTATTGGCATCATTGCGCAAAAGATTTGATGCCCGCTCCAGAACAGCGGTGTGTCGTAACCGACGAGCTTGGTCTTCAGGTCCAAGTGGCTGTGAGCTAGGAGCCAGGCTGAGACCGTTGAGTCCCTCGGTAGGCGGTTGGGGTGTTCTTGATCCAGACTGCAGTGGAGTAGCAGCGGCTGATCGGGCTGGGGCCTGGACGGGCTGGGTCTCATCGCGAGATAGCGCTCCTCCAAAGCTACGCTGAGTGACCGACTGAGAACTTTGGATGGCCATCTGTCGCTGGTAAGCAAGCTGGTCTCGCCGCAAAGGCTGAGCACTCGACGGTGGCAATGGCTCAGCATTGGGATCACGGCCCCGACCGGCGCCACGGCGCTGTTGCTGTGGCTGGTATGAGCTGCGCATATTATCAAACTCCCTGAGATCTACCATCCGGGCGTCTCGTCGGATGTCTTTCGATGCGTCATTGGGATGTTCTTCCAGCTGATGAGCCTTTAGATCCATTTGTGACTCAAATACCACAAACTTCTTGTCTAGACAATCTTGATTCAGACAGAGGAAATGATCCTTCTGGAAATGACCTTCAAGGGCTTGGTAATCCATGTAGTATTGTTGCTGGCGATTGTTGGATCGGCGGTCACAGATATGGCAGCGTTCATGCTTCTCGCGGCAATGGGTGTATAGCTCATCATCGCCATAAAAGCGTTGTCGACAGAAACCACACTCGGGATGTCCTTTAAAACCGCTCTGATTGATGGCACCGGGCTGGTCATCACCGTATTTTTCGTGCTTCCGCAACTCAGCATGCGTAAACAGGGTGTGTTCGTGAGTGAAGACCTTTTTGTTTCGTGTACAAAGATCACTATTGTATGAACGTATAAGTAACTGAGTTGTCAACTATGTGTTGGGGCAGAGGCAGGCTCTGGCAACATACCACATCACCTTCCCATGCTTGCTTCTCACATGGCGATGCAAGTCTGGCCAACCTAGACAGGCAACGTCGCAGTCTTCATCAGGGCAGTTATATCGAAGCAGCAAAACGGTGTCCTCGAAGATCTCGTCCTTCTCATACTGGATGCCCAGGTTGTCGTCGGTCCGAGCAAAGTCCTTCTTCTGGAAATCCTCAAAGCGGCGCACAGGGTCGTCGGTAAATATCACAAAGGCAGACTCGGTCTAGATAGCCATACGTATTAAACATTGCCCATAGGATCCCTAGAAGTAGAGTGAACCCCAATCGGCGGGCCACTCGGGAAGCACCACTTACCCGACAATGAGCACAACCTTTGCTTTTGTATAGCGCCCGAAGGCGGAGAGCGCAAATATGACACGTTCGGTGGTTGCAAGGGGAGACAGAGGTGTGTTCTACCTTGGAGGCGCAAATGAAGCAGACCTCTCCGTCATCCGCATCGTCGGTAGCAGCAGCGACCTGCTTGGAGCCGACCGTCGCAGTTGTAGCAGGCTCTGCATCTTTGCGAGCCCCATCAGTATTCGACTTTTCGCGTCCACCTGAATTTCTCCCTCCGCGTCCACGAGATCTGCCTCTATTTGCGCCTTCCCCGGAGTTTTGCTGGGCGTCCGCACGCAGCAGGAGGGGAGCCCCTCCACGGCCTCGGCGGCGACCACCACGACCTTGGTTTGAGGACCGTGGTGCCGGCGCATTTTCAGCCATGGCGTAGTGGGGTCGAAGATGAGCGCAGCAGTAAAGGTTCGCGAGTCAATGGCGTATAGCTGCAGAGCGCGAAGTTCGTGCGTGGGGTGGGAAAGGAAAAGATCTCGGCCCGCTGACTGAGCGGAGCTTTGCAAGACTTGTCCCAGTGTTCTATGTCAGAATAAAGACACTCGCTACATGGAGCCCTGTAAGTAACCCTTGAGTAAATTTGAACATACTTAGGGCATTAGGAGGCTACTAGATTTTTCAAACGCCATGGTTCGCTGACAAATGCACAATTCTACGTTATCGCCACACCATAGATGCAAATGATGGAATTCGACCATGGTCACTTATTCGAGGCCTTGACCAACTCCCGCTAGAGGGCATAATCAAGTAGATAGGAAAAAGAGCAAAAGCGCCAGAGAAACAACAGCCCAGAACAAGGGTTCACGCCAGCATCCCCATGTATCGCAAAATTCAAATGATAGACAACGAGAGTCATTAAGGGCGGATGAGATTACCCCATCTAGGCGGGTCGCAAAGTGACCACGATTCTAGCTAGAGCTATTCATCCGGACTGTACAAGTTCTGGTTCAAGATTTTGGTCATTGTGAACATATGCACTCGATCTTGCTTGAAAACGGCGCGCATGGCGTCGTCGCATCGGATCTGTCGACGATCACTGGGATCTTGAAGTTGGTTTTCCCGAATGTATTCCCAGACCTTTTTCACCGTTTGAGGTCGTGAAAGCTAGACGCGAAAATCAGTCATAAGAACCCGAGCGAAGTGTAAGAATGTCTTACTGTAACTTCTCCACCCAGTAGCGCAGACAGAGGCGGCGAGAGATTAAGAGGTTTCTGCAAGAAGTGTTAGAAAAGACAATGTTGAATACAACCCTGGCAGCATCCTCTTACATGGAATCCCCCAGTCCTATTAACCTCTTTCTTCGTGGTTCTGTCCGAGCCAGACTCAATATCTGAGTCGTCCTCCGCCTTGACCCGCTTCGAGGTCTTGGCTTTGCTTTTCTTCTTGGATGGAGCTGCGCGCCGTGTATTTCCACCTCGTGTTGGCCGCGCGCGCAAATTCTCCTCAGCTTGCAGCTTCGCTGCATACACTGCATCGGCGTCAACATCGGCATCGGCATCGGCATCGGCTTCCGGCTTGCGCTTCTTAGCAGGCGGCTCGCTGCCAACAGGCGACGAGGCATCACTGTCGGGGTCGCGTTTCACTGGGGAAGAGGATGGGGGCGGGGACGGGACCGCAGAGGCCAAGTCGCCTTCTTTGTGACCGTTGCTCGCAGTGGTCTCTTCTGGAGAACCAACGCCGTTCTTCTCCGCGTAAATGTCGAATCGTTCCATGATGAGCTGCTTAACAGCAGACTATTCGTCGAGATTGTGAGCATTGGTCCTCAATATAGTTGACTTGCTTTCCTGTTCTCAATGAAAACGATCGAATAAGAGCAGACATACCTTCTGCGGAGTGAGATCATAGCCGACGACTTCCTGGAGACCTTTGCGAATTCGCTTCTCGGAGATAGTATTGAGATCACTCTTGTCGAGAATCGAATCAATGATCTCGACGTATTGATCGCGTATCTCAGAAGTAACTACAACACCGAGTTAGCGACAGGCATTGTACGCTTGAGGATCGGGTAATTGCGGCCGGGGGCAACGCCGAGGTAACGCACGCGACATTTTGTGGGCAGTCAATCCCAGGAGAGTCCTCTGTAATGACTCGATATCACTGCTAGCGATTTGCAGGCCCTGCGCTGGAGCTCCCGCCGGCAATCTGGGCCGGTGACTGTAGATCGCGCAACCCGGTACTTGGGGAAGGTCAGGTGGGTATAGTCGCACTGGCGCTTAGGACCGGGGTCGTGCAGGGCGGGAGAACCAGGGGCGCGAAGGAACACCACGGTGCGAGCCGACGAAAGGGAAACCGAGAGACAATCGCGAGAACCAAGAATCGAGCAATGGACGTACGATGGCAAGCAAACACAGAGAGCCCCGCGGTAGCTCCGAAAGCAACGGCGATGCTCAGCCCGGGGAAGACGCTGACTAAGAGCACGTGACCCGACATGCTGAGTCAGCGCGCACAAAGAAAGCGGCTTGGCGTCCACTTTTGTTTCCTGTGGGAAAATCCTCAAAGTCCGCACATCTGCTCCGCTCCACGGCTGTCGCCTTTCGCAACTCCATCATGGCGCCCAGTTTCGATACCCTGACCGAGCAGGACCTCCACGAAGAGGAGGAGGAGGAAGTCGATTTCTCCGGTGCGTGCAGAATCTTTCGCCTCGGCCGTGTGCCCCTCTCTAACGATCCCCGGTAGATCTCAAGGAACAATACGAAGTTAAACTCGAGGAGGGTTTGGACACATTCGTCGTCATCGATGGCCTTCCCGTGGTCCCCAAGGACAGCCGACAGAAGCTCGTCAAGTTCTTGTTGAGGAAGTTGACCTCCGTCGGTCAAACCTCTGAAGATGCCGTTTTTATGCCGCTCAACGACAAGGAGATGACTGAAGGGTGCGTGATGGGTCTTGGATAAACGTAGTGGGTACGATAGCTGATCTGGTGTGGACTGTCTACAGATTTGCGTTTGTTGAGTACGAAACCCCCGAACAAGCCATGGCCGCCGTTAAGCAACTGCACGGCGTCCCTCTCGACAAGAAGCACACCCTCGCCGTGAACAAGTTGATGGATATCGAGCGCTATGGCCGCGAGGGCCGTATCGACGAGGAGTACCAGGAGCCCACGATCGAGCCCTTCAAAGAGAAGGAGCACCTGCGCTCGTGGTTAGGCGATGCCAACGCCCGTGATCAGTTCGCCCTCTACCGCAACGATAAGGTTGGTGTGTTCTGGAACAACAAGAGCAACCCGCCAGAGAACGTCGTTGATCGCGCTCACTGGACACAACTTTTCGTCCAATGGTCCCCTAAGGGTAACTATCTCGCCTCCGTCCACCCCCAGGGTGTCCAACTCTGGGGTGGCCCCTCCTTCTCAAAACAAAAGCAGTTTCCCCACCCCTTCGTGCAATTGATCGAGTTCTCGCCCTTGGAGGGCTATTTGACTACGTGGTCCGCCCGCCCTATCCAGGTGGAGGAAGGTCAGCCCATCTTGACCTTTGAGGAAGATGGAAAGAACATCATAGTTTGGGACATCGAGACCGGCAAGCCCCTTCGCTCATTCGTTTCCCACGATCTCACTGCCGCTCCCGCCGTCGAGGGTGACGTTCAACCGAAGAAGAAGGTCCAGTGGCCCGCTTTCAAGTGGTCTGCGGACGAGAAGTACGTGGCCCGTATGCTCCAGGGTCAGTCGATTTCCATTTACGAGGTGCCCAACATGAACCTCCTGGGCCGGACCTCAGTGAAGATCGAGGGCGTGAACGACTTTGAGTGGTCTCCCGCCACCGTCACCCGTGAGGGTGTCAAGCAATATGAGCAGCTGCTCTGCTTCTGGACCCCCGAGATCGGCAGCAACCCCGCCCGTGTGGCCATGATGAGCGTGCCTTCCAAGGAGATTGTCCGCACTCGTAATTTGTTCAACGTTTCTGATGTTAAGCTGCACTGGCAATCCCAGGGTACCTACGTCTGTGTCAAGGTTGATCGTCACTCCAAGTCCAAGAAGTCTCTCGCGACCAATCTGGAGATTTTCCGTGTGAAGGAGAAGGGTGTACCCGTCGAGGTGGTCGACAGCCTCAAGGATACCGTCATCAACTTCTCCTGGGAGCCCAATGGATCGCGTTTCGTTCTCATCAACACCGGCGAGAACCCCACCGGCGCTGCCGTTCCCCCCAAGACCGCTGTTTCGTTCTTTGCTCCTGAGAAGAAGGGCAACGTCGCCGGCAGCTTCAAGCTTGTCCGCACAATCGAGAAGAAGACCAGCAACGGCATCTACTGGTCCCCCAAGGGTCGTTTTGTCGTCGTCGCTACTGTTCACTCTCAGTCCAACTTTGATCTTGACTTCTGGGATATGGACTTTGAGGGCGAGAAGGTTGAGGCTGAGAAGGACCTTGCCGCCAACCTTCAGTTGATGAAGACCGTCGAGCACTACGGTGTGACTGACATTGAGTGGGACCCTACCGGTCGCTACGTCGTCAGCAGTGCCAGTGTCTGGACTCACTCAGTAAGACGGTCCCTTTAACAATGAACAATCCGAATAACTACTAACTGAAAAAATAGATGGAAAACGGCTGGAATCTGCACACTTTCTCCGGCAACACCCTTTCCGAAAACCCCACCGAAAAGTTCAAGCAGTTCCTTTGGCGCCCGCGCCCCGCCACCCTCCTCAGCAAGGAGGAGCAGAAGCAGGTTCGCAAGAACCTCCGCGAGTACTCCAAGGAGTTCGACGAGGAAGACAAGTACGCTGTGGACATCGCCAACACCGCCGTTGTGGAGACGCGCAAGCGCGTGCTCAACGAGTGGCTTGCTTGGCTGCGCCGCGAGATGGAGCTCCAGGCCGAGGAGAAGGAGGCCTTTGGACTCCCCGAAGACGCCGACTCGCCCAAGCTGGCCCTGGATGCACCGACCGGCGGCGAGGACCAGGGCGACACAGTGGTGGAGGAGATCGTGGAAGAGATCGTCGAGGAGACCGAGGAGGTTATTGGTTGACGAAATTTTTTTTTTTCTCTGTCGCATATAATGTTCTTTTTCCCTTTTTGGCCGGCGTCCTCTGCGCTCCGACCCGGCTTTTCCCCGTTTGTTTGGTCTGAGGATTGGGGCCTCTCAAAATCCGATAGAAGGAGCTGTGTGCGACCTCTTGATGTGCAATGTGGATAAGCACGAGAAATGCCTACGAACAAGCCGATGTTGACTTTCACGTATTTGATTGTAGACTATGTATAAAGGCTGATTCCAACGGCGATGGTCCCTAGAGCCAGCAGTGTCAGACGCAGCGAGAAGCCATTCTCGCTGCCCATAGTTGAGCCTTTCCTTGGATGAGTAGAGGTTGAACCCGATTCCTTCGGGACGACGTTCTTCCTGAAATACATGTCGTGCTCGCCAACCACGTTTCCCGCTGGGGTATACTCGCACACCACGTACCAGCCCTGTGCCCTCGGAGCGCTGTCCTCGGCTCTAGCGTCCAGCTGAAATTCGTCCTCAGTGTCTCTTCGAGCCTTGTCGTATGTATATCCGCAGTTGACCGCAGCGCATCCCACTTCGGCCGTCGATTTCCAGACCAACTGCGTGAAGTGACCGGTCTTCTCGGTGAAGCCCGTCGGCTTGTGGAAATCGTATAGCTTGCCTTCATCGCCCCACGCATCAATTGCAGCGGTAGCATTGCCATAACCAAAGGCAAGGTTCTCTCCATAGGGACCGTGCTGGAAACCCCGTCAGACAAATCATCTTGAACAAGGACTAAGAACGCCTCACCGAGTGCCTCCAAACACAAGCCTTTGCCCATTTCTGCGCATATTCTGTCAGGGTCTCATTCCAAACCAATGGTTCCGCATCGTGAGTATGGCGATAGTCATTGCTGACTTGTAAGACGGTCTTCTTGAAGTCGTCGAAAGAAGTATAAGAGGCCGGACTCGGCGCAGTGGGCGACGCGACCACAGTTGTCGAGGGGTCTACCGTAGTGGTCACATAGACAATTTCCTCAGCTTTGGCCCCAGGTATAAAGCTGAGAACGGCTACAAGAAGCCACAGAAGCAGCGCGTAGCACGGTGTGGTTGACATTGTCGATACCAGCTCGTGGCCTCCCCGCCCAATGAAGTCAAGCAAAAGGTTGATGCTGTGATCAATCACTGCATTTCAAAAGGCTCTGGGTTGTGAAGGTCGCTCTCTTGAGAATAACCAAAGTTCACGTCTGCCGATGCCGATGTGTCAGGCCGCTGCAATACGCGCCAGGGCCGGGGATGGTCGCGCGCCAAAGACAGATATGATTCCAATGCACATCGTCAGGAACACTAGGAACATATATGCGACATGTTTTGGCCTGCGTCGGTACAAGGGGAATCAATTGAGGTACAAGAGACTTGATCAATTGAGGTACAAGAGACGTGACATTCTGTGTAGTATTAGCGTCATATTCTATCAGCCGGGGCCCGATTCGGGTCGGCCCATGCACAAAACACGAGAACCGCAAAGTCTTGAGACATGGGCGAATCGACTTCACGCGTCATGCGAAAGTTTCGCCGTGTTTGACTCTGAAAGCGGATGAGAGCGGCTGTTTTGGATGTCGTTTCAGACGAAGCGCAATGTTCCAGTAGTCGCCGTTGACGTCAGACATTCGGATACTACATCGCGGATGGCACGGGACCCTTTTTCACAGTAGAATGATTCTTACAATATTACGATGGATTCTTGACTCTGAATATCAAGTCGAAATCTCAGGAGAAAATGAATCGGGATGATGTGCGAGGCACGGGCCTGGAAACTTCTGTTCTACATAACTCGCTATGCAATCGGGGTATCGGTTTACATCACACTGCACCCAGCGCCGTACATGGCGCGTTCAACATTTCCTTTTACTTGGAACCAGTCGGCTCGTCGTTCTGCGAACTCGTAGACTTCCTCCACGCGCCAGATTCCCTGGAACCGATCAGCATCGGCAATGATTGTCGCTAATTCCTTAGCATCGGACGGGTCGATGAGGTAGATCTGAGCGAGCTCCCGGAAGGCTTTGAAGTATAGCAGGAGCTCTTGATTTCTCAAACTCTGAACAAACTTGAAGTAGTGGTTCATGTCGCTGGAAAGGAAGTTAGCAAAGCCGGCATTTCGCTTGGAACGGAACATACCTGATCAGCTTTAGAGACCCTTCCACGCTGATCCGCTGCCGCTTGAGATGCTTGCACAAGGCAGTGAATAGACGAAGTCCGACCTCTTGGTTGAAAACATCCAGCGTGCTCTTGTCGGTACTCCCCACAAGCATCTGGGTATGCGATGACACCACATCCACTACTGCTATAGCAGCTTCACTGAGACTCACATCCATGGTTTGCCGACGGGGATCGGACGAGATGCCAGGATTAAAATCCGTAGCTAATTGTCGCGTCGCAAGAATGTAATCCACTTCTTCCATGAGCACATCAATACCTTTGTTCAATCCAGCTGCCACGCGCTCATCAAGCATTTGCTCAAACTTTTTCTTTTCTTTCACGGCCGGATCGAGGAAATCATTCCGGTCGGTCAGCCTTGTACCGATCAGTTCTTGCTCGTAAAAAACGTCCACCATCTGCAAAATCAGATCGCCCACATTGACCAGCTCTAAGAAAGTCACCAGAGGCTCAACTCCGGATGAATCACGCTCATCTTGCTCACGCGGCCGATAATTCGAAAGGTGATCGACAGCTTTGTCGAAACCAATGATCACATGCCGTTGGCCTAGGGTACGGAGAAGCTCCACAAAGATAGCCTCGCACTGCTGCTTTGCGGCCCGTCCAAATTCTCCGCCCAGCCGAACAAACTGCGCAGCTCTCTCCAGACTGGACTTGGCGGAGTGAACGAGACTCAGTGCAATCTCGATACTGAACAGGGATCGGATGCCTTCCATCTTGGTTTTCATGATCGCCGCCTTGGCCGCAAGTTCAGTGGTCGGTACTTCCTCAATGACTGGTGTTGCAGGCGATGAGATTGTGGAGAACCGGTTCGGGCTTTTGAATGCGACAGGATTCCCATTCGTCTCGGCGTCCGACTTGGCTTCTGTCTTCGTACCGAAGCTAGGAAGAATGTTCACCGGCATCATGATTACTTTCTTGAAGGAGGTCAAAAAGTCGCGCTTGTCCGCCTGTCGGTTCACATTAGACATCAAGAAAGATTCCGTCGACGCAGCCTGCTCCGAAAGCTGACGGTCCCACTCAGACACAGTGGCTTCAGAGATCCTGCGGAAGTTATCAAGCTCCTCAGCTAGATATAGATCGATATGCGGCTCGTATATCTTGCATACCACAGAATCAAGGTACTGGTCAAATTTGTCCCCCGAGTTCCGAATTGGTAGCAATGACTCGGAGAGATTCATGCACTGTATGAACGTAACAGAGATTGCCGTGAGATATGAATCCAAGTTTCTCTGGTGAAGCTCATCGAAGATAGTGGTTAGAAATGGAAAGAGGACATCTTGTCCGACCTTCTCCATGAACGGAGTTGCCACATCCAAAGAAGACGGAAATATCCTGTTCATGATTGACACCTCTTCATTATAGGCAACGCTCAAGCGCGTAAAAAAGGCTTGGGTTTGCTGAGTCTTAATTTGACTCGAGCTATCAATGCAATCAGCCACGCTGCCCAATTGGGACTTGCGCGTTATCAAATGATTGTATTCGATGAACAGATCGATGGAAGAGCTTCCGCCATTGAGTGTCCATAAAATGTGGGCATACTTGCGCATCGTGTCATCAATATCATCCTTTTCATATGCATTGCGGAATTCATTCAATGCGGCAGTTTCAAACATCGATATCGCGCGTTCAAGACGGTCGACTCTCTCGGCCCAACCTGTAGTCAAGTCGCATCTCGAGAATTTCAATAACTGTGCCAGAATCTTAGCCTGTGCCAGTGGATCCTTATATTGGGTAAAGACAAGGTTCTCGGTCGAGGGCCCATTACGGCTAATGTTGTCGTAGAAGGGTGCCAATGCGGCATGAATCTTTCCATACTCCTGGCGAGCTTCACCGCGAATGGACCTAGCCTGTTTTAAGACGTCCAGCACGGGGTCATCGGCAGTTGCTTCCAATAGATCGGTTGCAGGAGCAGTATTGCTCATATCGATCTTGTCGAACCCGTCAGAAATATCGCTAATGTCCTTCTGAACCTTGATTGCAGGGATCAGGCCAGCCTCCTGGTCCGCAGCTTCTAGCCGTGCGACAGTATCAACGTCCGCAATAGTCCCATAAGCCTCTTCAATGTGTCTTCGCGCGTCTGATTCGTCCCAACAACCAATTCGCTTCAGACGTCCTATCCACCGGGTATCGTCATAGGCCATCTCGTGAAGTAGCTTGCAGGAGCGAGCTACACGGATAAGATCGACGGGCCCGAGGTAGTCGATGATCGAGGACATGATCTCTACAGCCTGTTAGCGAATTGTTTCGTCTGCAAGCAATGAGATGACGCACCTGCTGGAAGTGGAGGTTTGGAGATCTCTTCCATAGACGCCATGCGCAGCGAAGCAAGCACATCTCTGCGTGGCTTCACCGGCGTCTGGCCTTTCTTCCCGTTCGGCGGCATTTTTTGTGTCTGTTATCTTAATCGGGACATGAGAGCGATTTTGCGGAGTTGCTCGGCGCGGGGTGAGCGGGACTTCAGCCTCCAACCCACCAAGATCTGGTGAGGTCGAAGCGACGACTTATTTGGCGTCCGAAGAGAAATTCGTCTCTTGACACAATCAGGTCAGGAGAACAGTCACTTGCCGCATCGGCACACGAATGATCGGCCTCCGGTTTGAGCGATCAGCGCCCAGGGTCTCACCGCCTCCGTGGGATGTGGCATAATGAGATCGCGAAATAAGAAACGTGAAAAAAGGGTAGATAAGCTGATTTGGGAAGGATGAATAATTTAATGGATTTCAATAAACTGTAAATTATAATTGGTTATTGCTCTTCGAGCAGTATAAATGTTTCATTCTGCCCCTGAGTAGCTTTATAACCCAAATCTAGTACGTGTGATCGAGAGGGACGCAGCTATGCTCTTGAGAGCTTCTAAGATCCCCCATACGCCATCTGATTCAACCGATGATGAACGGCTCTGACCATCTTCTGTCTCAGTCAGTCTCTGGGTACTACCTTGAGAAGATACGAAGATGATATGATATTTGAACAGACTTGGATGTGAATTTTATTAAGTCAATGTAAATCTGGAAGAGCTCAATCCATTGACCAGACTGATGCGATTCCAACACGGGCAATTGATTGAGAAAAATGAACATTCGAATTCTTTGATGCTTTGGTCCATCCAGCACCGCGTGCAGTTGCGGAGAATCTACAGCATGAGCCTCTTGGTGGCTGCTGCTATGGCAAAGGAACGAGCACGGTATACAAAGGGACACGAATGGGAGGACACCCTTGTGGTTTGATTCAGCCCTTCTTGGCGCTATGGTCCTATGCAGCATTATGCTCGCTGGAAATATGGTCTTTACGTGGTCTTGGCGACGGACATGGAAGCCTTCGTGTCCAGCGTCTGATTTTCGATTGACCAGCAGCATAAAAAAACACAAGTGCGGACAAACAGAATGCACAAAAGTCAAAATTATAAAGGGTCCAAAATCTTGGAGGTAAGTCTGTTCAGAGCTATGGTCAAAGCTCGCATATTGTTGTGAAGTCGCATGATTGTCTGTACCATTGCCTACTCCTCCAGCTCCGATAGCCCTCAAGCTGTCGTAGAGGGTCGGACCAATCATTTAGAATCGGTAATAGCCAGAGTACGTCACCCAATGTTAAGAATGTGCTGTTGTCTGCAGGAGTCCCAAATATCGGACAGGCGTACTGTCGGCGACTGCCAGAGCTTGTGCCCAAGATAAGGACAGTCGGCGATCGCGCTCAATGCAGCTCCCCTTGGTATGATCACCTGCACACCGATTTAACACGGATCTTGTCGCCTAGAAGCGGTCTGATGTAAATATCCGTGTTTTCCCTTGGTTCTTTCTGCGTAGACAGCAGTGAGTCTTAGGCAAAATGTATGATCTCATATATATTATCCCGAGGTCCGAAACTTTACTTCCTGCAATTTATCTATCGCTTTCGCTATTCTCGCTGTTCATTTGTGTTGTGCCTCATGAAGCTCAAAATTGCTTACGAACATCAAGCCATCGAGGCGTTGGGTATAAAACTGAACGACTTCCGAGCAAGAAAAACCAGAAGTCGTTGACTCGAAGTCCGAGCCATGCATCATCAAAAAGCAGAATAACATCAAGCCTTGTCGTCATGAACATCAAAAGGTGTCCCCCTCCCTATTGGGGCTTTGGGACCGAGTGAGCCTGCGAGACGTGGCTCGCAGACCCAGTGGCTTCATCGAAGATATTGTAGCCGTAGTCAGCTGCATTTGGTGGGGTATAGACTGGGAGAGTTGTCAGTACCTGGCAATATGCATGGTGAAAGTAAGGAAAACTCACGGTGTAAAGAAACCGCCAGCTGGTCACTGCTGGGGTTGTGAACTCGGTGAAGACCAATATCATCGGCGATGTAGGTGACTTCGTTCATTCCCAAAGTTTTGGCGGATTTGATAGCCAGAGGTTTGCATTCTCCTGGCTTGTTTTCAGGGGTGTGGTAGACGGTTTCGTGCAATTGTCCGGCCAGGACCTTCATGATGCAGTGAGCATCAGCGTGGTCGTGAATAGGCGAGCCCTTTCCAGGGTTCCACACGAGAAGAAGCTAAGGAAGTCAGCTGAAGCCCCTGGAGAAGCAACAGTCTACTACTTACTATGTTCGCTTTGTGATTGATGTTCTCGATCGCATTGCGCGTGTAATTCTTACTGGTATCATTGTGGAAGAAGCTGATCCAGTCGGTGGGATCAGAAGTGTATTTCTTTAATAATGAGATCAAGTATTGGGAGTCGACCTCGTCGGATGAGATGCCTCCGGACTGTCCCAAGTGCTGCTTGATGTCTTCCACGAGGCCGTCCAGATTGTAGCGATCCTTGAAATGTTGATAGGAAGGGGCTAAGCCCTTATCGATGGTGGCGTGGCTGGGGAGAACAGAAGAGCTCATATTGTGGAGTGAGTGATATAGCTCAGTACGAAGGTACAGTTGTAGAGCAAGTTGTACATGAATTGCAGGAGTTATAAGGAACCCAGCGTGTCCAGACCGTGGCAATCCCCGAGGAAGATTGACTTTGTGCGGTCAATCGGCGATTGACGACCCGCAGCCCCAGTTTTGTAAATCCCGAATAATGAGATCAGCGTACAGTGAATACACGCCATCCAAACCCAATCATAACTCATTACCACACCTGGTATTGATACACAATTATGCTCGTGCACTGGTCAGATGTCCCGGTTGTCATTTGCATTCGCTAGGGATGGCTCTGAATGTGTAAGAAGATTTGCGTCCCAAGTTCGAGCTACGTAATAGATGATAGCCACAAAAGACAATGAGACGATAAATACATTAGATTATGGTACTAATTCTCGGAGAAAAGCTAGAATTGTGACTCTTGATAGTTCACACTTCCGAGGTTTTAATGAGCCCATGAAACGGAGTTTCAGCACCACAAGTATCCAGATGTTTGTGTTTGTGTCCGCAGGGGAATCACCCCTGCTAGCTTATATCGAAATCCGGAATAGAGGTGAAGAAGGCGTCGCTGTAGCACGTCGGGTCGACAAATCCGGGTACGATCGGCGGGAACAAGATGTCTTGTGTATCTGAGATCGCCGACGTTGGCCGCGTAGGTTGATGCGGCCGGTCCGTACTACTCGGCGTGGAGTCTGTCGGGAACAGCTTTCTTAGCGGTTCTGTGCACCAGCGTTCCATCGAGTCCGAAAGAGCTTCGCCTGCCGAGGCCCGCAGACTGTTATAAGCAGAGTCTGCGAGGCCCCAGATTCGTTTCGTGCTCTTCAAACATCCGAGTATGAGCGTCACTCGGTTGTAGTGATGATCAAAGCATTCTTCGGTGTGTTTGATGGTAGTGGCGAGTTGAATCATGCCACACAGTGCTAAGGCAGGAATGACAAAGGGAGTATGTTTTGGGACATTTGGGCAGAGTGAAATGGCATCCGATATTCGCCTCGAGGCCTCTGTCGCTTTGATGCTGTGAATGGGACGATTGAGTGTCAAGGCTAGATGACGCGATGCACTCGGCCAAAATTGGTCATCTGCCTGAGACAAAACAGACTGAAGATCACTCCGTGGAAGATGCAACAGCATAGTGGCATATGAGATGGTCATGTGGGCTTGAAACATCATTTCGTCGATGTTACCATAAGAGTCCACGATGTCTAATTTCTTTGGTGGTAAGTGGTTGACCCAACTAACGAGCGCATTCTCGACCGCCTGGAGATGATCCCGGTGGTAGTCGCGCAGCCTATTCAAGACAAGGGCTCGACACAAAATTGTCGTCGCTTCAATGCGATAACTGAAAGAAGAGAAGACTGTCTCCTCAGAAGCAAAGACCCTGCGCTTGAAATCCAGCATCTTTCGAGGCGTTGGAATATTGCAAGTTCCGGTGTACGCCGACTCCTCGCAGGGCAAGGCGACCTCAGTGGCCATCGTGCTGCATTGAAAGGCACTTCCCTTGAACGGAGCTGCCATGAAAACATCGGCGATGTAAAGCTCCCACCATGTCCGTCGGATGCTTTCCGCCTCAATGGAGTTTTCCGAATTCAGAGACGAGGCAAAATCCGGTCGATTCATCCCGAGCTCCAAAGCTATCTCCACAGCCCGAGAAAATGCATCCTGGGCTTCCTGTTGCTCACCTCGCGCGTAGATAGCAATTGAATAAATCAACCAAGCCTGGACCATGCAGTGGGACCGATCAGAACTGCAAGCCAGTTCTGCGACGACTTTGTCTCGATATTGCTGACTGGTACTAGAAGGAACATAGTGAGACCCGACAAAATTGACCACCAGTTGAAGGAATTCCGGATATTGTCGGTCATGGTATGTGGCACTGGGCACCAGCATGGGATGCGCGACATGAAAATTCTCATAAAAGAGACGTAAAAAGCGATCATCATGAAACCAGGGATCTCGAGCTGGCTCTACCCTGTCTTGACTCAAGTCATGTCTCAGAGGAATCATGGGCCAAGGGACCTGCCCAGCAGGAATCTCGGCGGGAATAGATACGCGTCGCGCTGACACACCGTCTGGTGTACGAGACCGTGCAGAAACGTGATCGCTGGACAGAATGACAGGTTTCTGCAAATTAATTGGCATGAGTCTTCTCGATCGGGTTGGTGAGCACTAACGTTCAACTCGTCAGAATGTGATAAAGTCGTTCGGCGATTGAGATCCCGAGGTTTCCTGCGGCCTCCACGTCTGGAAGGAAGATATTGGCATAGGTACGTGTTCTGCAGACAGCGTGAGCACGAAGGCTTACGTGCGTCGCATTTGAGGTGTTGTTTGCGACACTCTGTGCAGGCCAGCGAGGCCAGCCCGCTTTGCTTGGTAGATCTAGTTGCCATGGTGGAGGAGGTGAAGTTGCGGGACGGGTGCTGGGATTAGCAAAGCCCGGGCCGATCGGAACTGAACTTTCAAACAATACCCTCCAACCGGACCAAGACTGTGATATGAATTGATCTAGATAAGGAGCAGTGACTTATCCTCCGTAAGTATTACTCATAGCCCTTTGCAAGGATGCCTTGGAAGATGTCAGAAACGAGCTGAAGAATCAAGTGGGAGGATCCCTCTAGATTATCTTCCGGGTCGAGCTGTACTTTGTAATCCACCTCCTTTTCTCACTGCATATGAATTCACTGCTGTTGGTTGCCAGGTCCTTCTAACTTATACTCACTGGAGGTAGAATTGCGATCGATGAAGCGCACGCCCTACTGGAATCACTGGAATCACTGGATAAAATAACGCCTTCGGAGCCACATTGATCCATAGAAGAGCCAGATCGTTGGGTTCCAAGGGACACTTGCGTCGCCAACGGAGACATTGGAGCAGTTTTCTTTGAACGCCCATGGCTCGAAGAGCTTCTACAAGTTCTGGGATCTAGGTAATGGCTATGACAGAAGTGATTGTCATAGTAGACAGTCTGAAGATGAGGACCTTAATCCTTGCTCCTCTTTATTGTGCACATCGATGTCTAGCGACCTGCCGTACCAAGCCCGTGCAGAGGCCATGTTATTAGATGCATTTCCATAGATGTTGATGACAAAAGCCTCGGCGCGTGCAAATTTTGCCACAATCGCGGCAGGAGGGCCAAGGGACGAAAGGATATTCATTGGAATGCTGGATAGCCCACATTTGGTACTGTCCGACAACCGTGATGATAATCATGCGATCCTGGTTCGGGTCTATACCTTCGTTCGGACACTTGATGGCATGCTGGGAAAGGATCATGTCGTCTCGACTGCTGCGGTTCAACTGTTGGAAATGAACAGGTTATTATCAAGCTTGTATTTGAACCATCGAGTCAGACGGGTCTTTCGTGATTCGCGGCAGAGGAAGCTCAAGACTCTCTGCACAGTGATCGAGTACGGATAGCGCGTCGTAGCACGCCCTGCAGGATCGATCTGAGGTGTGACCATCGTTACACTAGATCAGCTTTACCTTCTATAGCTCTAATCTGTGTGGATATATCTCATGGAGTCGATGCTATTGTGATTCTTACCGAAAAGAATTGAATGACCCTGAATTTCTAGTATCATCGTCTTCCTTCTTCGTTAATTTGTCCCCATGCGGATTATCTTGTGTCGTGTCATCGTTCAAAGTCTCTCCAATGTACTCGGAGTAGACATATCTGAAAAGACCAAAGGGACTGGCAAACTCCGTAAATAGGAGCAGGGCCCCTAAGCGACGTCTCACCCAAACATTCATTTGGCTCCTTTTATTCTACTTAATTTAGCTCTGCCGTAACATTCAAGGGATTTTGGCACAAAATTTATCAAGCAGACATCTTATTTCAATCGTTTCCTAAGGTCCTTGGTCAGGCGGTAAACGTGATGCTACACATGGGATCGAAAACGGACTAATTTACCTCAACCACACAAGGGACACCTATGCATAGTGTAAGCTCTCTCCGGGGAGCCTCAGTGGGGAGGTTGACAAAGCTAACACATATGTGTCGAAGCACCCATATTTAAGTGTTCTAGATCTATACGTTCCTACATCGGTTTGCTCTAGTGGGTGATGCTTGATGTGATCGTACCCGGGATATATCATGACCACACCAACCTCTTTGGAAGTAACCGGATCGCCTTCTAGCTTTCCAGCCAAACGTATGAAGCAATTCTCCACAGCAGTCAATATGAAATTGTTATGACTCGGGGTATCTATCCCTCAAGTTCAAGCCCCGAGTACACAGGCTGACCAATCACAGCGTGGCAAGCACCGATCGGGTGCTTCGGGATGATTCGGGGATGGTTCGAGATGGGTGTTTTTTGGACAGGATCTCGAGGGATAGATAGAGGGGTTCTGTAGGCTTCCTCGATCCAAATAAAAAAGGCCCTGCCGCGAGGATGGAGGAGTATCAGAGAGACGCACAGAAATTCGTTCCGAGAAATCGCGGTTTTCACCGAAGGCAGCTCGGACGACCCGCTCAACCAATCAGAGCGAGGGTTTTGACCAATTCCCCCAAAAGAGAAACTTGACTGTTCGACCTCAACTTCCAACCTCCATCGGCTCTTCACCCAGTGCTCCTCCCCCTCCCCCTCCCCTCTTCTCGCTTTTTGCGATCCCCCCCCCTTTCTACATTTGAAATCGATTGGAGGGTCTGATTTCGCCATGTTGGCTCGTTCCCTCCTGCGCGGTCCCAACCGGGCCATCGCACGCCAGTCGCTCGGCAAGTCCACGGTACGCCTCCTTCAATCTCTCCATTGACTCTGTCCGAAGAGGCCAATCGATTCTCCGGAGTCGGCTCTTCCCATCTCAAGGGCTTCTGCTAATCCATCTTCAAGCGTGCGTCTTCCACCGCCGCTGGCGCCGAGCTCGCTAGCTCCCCTTCTACCTTACCCTCACTGCTTCGCTCGCGACTGCCGCCGCCGCCGGTTCCGCCGCCTGGTACTACCACCTCTATGGCCAAGAGGCCTTCGCCATGACACCCGCTGAGGAGGGGTGAGTGACATCCCTGATTGAACCGACCTCTTTGATGGCTTCGGAGCACCGGAGCCGAAGATTGTGCGATCACGCCCATACAGAACTATTCGACTAACAGGTCACTCTTTGCAGTCTGCACCCTACTCAGTACCCCTGGGTTCACGAACGCTTCAACAAGACCTTCGATCACGCCGCGTGAGTGCCACGCCTTCCCTTCCCTCTCTGAGTCTTTCCGACCTCGGCGTCGCGCCTCGACCGTACTAATTTTTTCATCCAGTCTCCGCCGTGGTTTCCAGGTTTACCGTGAGGTTTGCGCCTCTTGCCACTCTCTGACTCGTGTCCCCTGGCGCTCTTTCGTCGGTGTTATGCACACCGTCGATGAGATGAAGGCCATGGCCGAAGAGAACGAGTACGATACCGAGCCCAATGACCAGGGCGAGATCGAGAAGCGCCCTGGAAAGCTTTCCGACTACATCCCCCCTCCCTACAAGAACGACGAGGCTGCCCGTGCCTCCAACGGCGGTGCTCTGCCCCCGGATCTGAGCTTGATCATCAAGGGTCGTCACGGTGGTTGCAACTACGTGTTCAACCTGCTCACCGGTTACCCTGACGAGCCCCCGGCGGGCGCCAGCGTTGCTGAGGGCATGAACTTCAACCCCTACTTCCCTGGTACCGGTACGTGATCGGTTCAATGTGATGCTCCATAATGCAACCTCTAATCTGGATTCTCTAGGTATTGCCATGGGCCGTGTCCTGTTCGACGGCGTTGTCGAGTACGAGGACGGTACCCCCGCTACCACTTCCCAGATGGCCAAGGACGTTGTCGAGTTCCTGAACTGGGCCGCCGAGCCCGAGATGGACGACCGCAAGAAGATGGGTGTCAAGGCCATCGCCCTCCTGACTGGTCTGTTCGCCATCAGTGTCTGGGTCAAGCGCTACAAGTGGGCTCCGATCAAGTCCCGGAAGGTCGTTTACAGCCCCCCGATCGGCCCCCGCCGCTAAATGTGACGCTGCAAGACCTGTATGAGTTGGAATGTGGGAGAGGCTGACTGAGGCTGTATGACCTACTGGGCATTTCCCCCCTGTACCAATTGCCCCGTTGGTCCTGTCTCCTGGCATAGATCTCTTTCATCATTTGTTTTGTGCTAGAATGCCCCACGAGCACACCTTTGTATCTGTATCCTAGATATATTCCTTTTTCTTGTCCTTCCGAAAACCGTGTGCTCGAGGAGTCAACTGAATTTAATTTCCTTTGTGAATGTGCAAATTCTGAAAGATCCGACTTCGGATACCTTCATACTTGCTAGATTCTACCGAGGTTCCCCCAAATTTTGAATGACATCAGCTGATAGTAGACGCCATGCTTTGTGACTGAAATTACGGAGATATTCATGGCCAAGTCGCACATTCATGTTCGAATCTTGGAACGCGAAACCGACAGAGAGTCACTTGGTCGCTGGGATGATTGGCAAGTTCTGAAAAAGACTATCTCAATATACATATGCACAGGGAACTATAGAGGTGGGGTATCATGTAAGGTTCGCTCACCATCTCCAAACACCGGCTTGAAGACATTATCATAGCTTTTCCACATCGTAGTGAAAAGCACATTACCTAGAATCACCAACCACGGAGGACTGCGTCCATCTGGACCCGCGAAGAATTTACCCAAAGCCAGAAGCGACAGAATGGGCGGTGCCCAGATAGCAAGAAAGACGCCCTTTCCAATCTTCTGGCGCATCTCGGTAATTCGGTAGGGTCGGATCTGCGAGAGGTATTCTTGATATGATACTGGGAGCTCGTGTTCTGCGGCACCGGTTATGAGGAGGTTGAGATAGCGTGCAGACGGCTGTGCATATTCACCATCCGGACGCAGGTGTGGACCAATGTCTCCCAGACACCAGGTTGTAGGGCGAGGATTGTGCATTGCTGGCGAATGGTCGCTTTTGATCGCATGAGTTCTCTTCTTCAATGCTTCATCTGCAGCTGGCGAAAGGAGCGTATGGGCTTTGAAAGGCGGGGTGTCGGGGTGATTCGGTACTGGGTCTGTTGGCTTGTAGGATTCGGAGAAAGCGTGGCAGTCAACTACGACATCACGGTAGCCACGGCCACCTCCTTCGGTTGCAATGATGATCGCGTAGTCGGCCAGAGTCACCTCGTAGACAACGCCGACAAGAGGCTTGTGCCATCGGTTCCTGTGGAGATCCGTACTTTGTACTTCCCGTGTCTCCACCATGAGCGGCTCCTTCTCTGACATGTACACTCCATCCATGAGCGAATCATCTTCTGACGACGCTCCATCCTGCTCCTCTGCAGCATCCGGATCTCGGAATTGTGTTCCCGCGAAGCAGGGTTCGGCATACGGGATACCAGGGAGGTCGAACGTCAACCGGAGCTCTGGAACGAGGACCGCAATCTGGGAGAGCGGCTTGATGTTCCGTACGCCGCGGAAGGTCTTGGAGGAGAGGTTGGAACCGTACGCAAGGTACAGTACTGTCTCCTTTGCTGCGATTGTGTCCGAAAGAGTCGTTCCCTTCTCCTGCTGCTCGGTGACCTTCTCGGAAAGGAACTCATCCTGATCGAGAGAGGCACCGACACTGGATGCGCGACGACGGTCTGTGGATGTTGTGGGAAGATCACGAGGATCGGGGCTCGCTGATCGATTCAGGGCAACAGGAAGCAGGCTTCTCAGTCGGGCCAGAGGCGAGGTTGCACTAAAGCGGCACTCCGTGATTGCCGCCGCTTCTTCATCGACCGGTTGGTCGTGCATGGAAGCCATGGTTTGCGTCAAATACTTCGCCAGCAGGGTCAAGAAGTCTGGCATTCAGTTAGAAGGGTTAGTCATGAGCTAAGATGATTATATATGGCCATTGAGCGGCCTGAACAATCCAGCGCTTGCCTGTCAGCGAACCAGATCATTGCTAAGCCGATCTCCGCGATTAATAATCGCGGACACGGAGGGATTGGTGCGGCGGCGGACCAACGGCGCTGAACATTCCGAATGCCGGGCATCGCAAAGATAGCCTTCCAGATCTTCTGAACATAGAAGAGTTGAGTGCATTGGTAGTCATTTGAGATACGCTCTGGTGGTATTGCTTGGGGCTGTGGATGATGGTGGAATCTCAGATCAGTTAGTCCACAAACGAATAGTCTCGAAATCTCTTGGGAATCCTTGAAAAGCAAAATACGTATGCAATGGATATAAGCAGTCCACGAATGTCGACCAGAATGAATCATGTGCCACATTTCAAGGTCGGTGTAAAAGCCTGACCAGCTGAACTTGCTCCATTGTCTTCGTATCGCTCAGTTCAAGGCACTTCGTTACCAACTGTTCCATGCCTGAGTTCGGTCTCAATCTGACTCGTTTGCAGCCTGTCCTTCGTTAATCCGTTTACCAGTCTGTTCTGTCCGTCCATCTACAGACTGTGACCATGCCCCGTCGAGTTGTTTCGAGAGTCATTTCTCTGGAACCACTGCATGTGATTCGAGCGAAAGATAAAAGAGCACGGGAGCTTGCCTGGTCCAGAAGAACCATTCGCGATCTGACGACCCTTCCTGAGCCTGAATCTTCAACCGAAAAGACAGCCAAAGAGGGGAAGTCGAGCAAGGAGCCGAGCGATGTGAACAGGGAGCAGATGTCAGCTACAAGTACAAAGTCCGCTTCCGATTCGTCACGACCGGCGGATATTGCTCATGAAGTTGATTTCCCCGAGCACGCAATATCCACGGCACCACACCAAAGGCTGGACGGAGACTGCGATTTGCCTTCTAACAATGGTTTAATTGACGCTAACGCTACGAATGCTGAATCAAGCGCCGGCGCGGCCCCACCAAGCAGATTGATCTTTGATACAGACAAAGAAAATTCATTCGCAATCAAGATCCAGAACATGGACCAGGCTAGTGTCTTAAAAGACGTCGCGTCCTCGAGCAATGAAGTACCAACTCCTGGGCCTCGTGGAAAAGGAAAATTGTCCGAGCCAAGCAAGCGAGACTCTACATTTTCACGTCCCAGACGGTCTACCCGAAAGTCGTATGTATTGCCTCCAGAACTTGATGTCGACTGGGATGAAGATATCCGGCCCACGGATCACGAAATGGACAAATTTGACGGTCATGGAGAATCCGCGTTGAACTCGACGGATCCGGAGTATAAGAAATCCGAGGACAGGAAATCCCCCAAACGAAAGAGACGACAATCCGGGCCAAACTCATCGAAACGCCGGAAGAGTATCAACAAGAAACCCAAACCCATTAGAAAAGAAGGAGACCGACGTCTCCAGTGGCCATTGACGGCTGAACCTATCGTCATTCCTCAAGTAGGGGTATCCGGCCCCCACACAAGTTCTAGTTCGAGGCCCCTCGATGGACAGTCTGAAGCTGCTAGTACCCAAGGCACCGCGCAAATGCCCAGAAGCTGTTTCCCCAACATTAGCGTAGATCAAAATCAAGACCACAGCAAGGCCGCTGTTGAGAAACACAAAGTCATTAAGATATCCAGTGACTCATTGCCATCCTCCAAACAATCAAGCCCTGAATGTGATATTGATCGACAGAGCAGTCATATTTCCCCTGCGTCCGACCTCAACCAAGGAAGAGGCAAAGTTGTCGGCACGAAGCTTTCCGATGCACTTCGTGATGCTGGAATCTCCTCGGGACACACCATGGACCCTGCAACACAGCCTAACCGGCGATCCGAGACTACAGTTGACTACAAGAATGCTAATATTTCCACTCCACACAAGCCGTTGGCCCATAGCTCTTCATATCGAGACTCAGGGGTGACTGAATCTAGCATGAATCAAGGACAGTTTGCGTTAGATTCGGACCGGCTAGTCTCAGACTCGCGAATGATCCGAGCAGACTATCTGAATCTCCCGGTGACAATGAACCTACACGGACTGTTCAACAACCAAGCTTACATTGAGATCAATGAAAATTCTGATGATGCGACGCATGCCCCGATGGCTCGGGCAATGGAATGTCAAGAAATTGCTGTTGGGGACCTAGCGAGTTCACAAGATTATGCCCATACCACAGGAAGCAAAGCAGATGCCTCTTCGCACAGCTCACCCGCAGCGGAAACTGACCGTCGAGCCACATTAACTATCCAGGAGACTCAAGGCCAGAACACACCTGAATCCGAGAAACCTCTGCTAACCAAAGAAACGCCCCTCAAATCGCGTCCTCAGTCAGCCCCAAGAAGTATTCTTGTAGATGGCAATGGGAGCCCTCGACTCGCCAACCAGCAGAACGAAAAAATCCAGGCGCCTCTTTTCATGAATGACTACACGGGGAGCATTCATCTGACTGGTGTTAGCTCCAGCCCCAGCGACTACGATCAAAGCTCTGAAATGTACTCCCCTGGCGATACACCTGAGAGCCAACGGACATGGTCCAAGTTCCACCGTGACATGGTAGCAGAGTTCGGCATTGATGCAGAGCAACTTCTCCATGATGGAGACCGACCCATCTCTTTCAGCAAAACGTCTATTTCCAATACCGCCACATATGAGGCTAGTCACATTGATCGTCAGCACACCGATAAGTTTTCTGAGGGCAAGCCGATCATTCATCCACGACGTACAGATGGTACTCCTCCAGAGACCAGAACTTACATTGCTCATGAGATGACCTCTGCGATAACCACCACATTATCAACGGGCCCTATCACCGAGATTGGACTATGTGCAAGGAATCATACAGATGATCATCTTGAAGATCCCTCTCTTTTGAGAGCTTCGGGCCCATCTTGTCCCGGACTGGAGCCACGTCGATCGCTTATGCAAGGTGACGCCAATAACCTGGAATGGATCTCTGCTCTACAAACGGCGCAAAGAAGTGCGCACGATCTGCTACAAGTAACCAATCAAGCAAGTTTCATCCATTGAAGGCCACTATGTTATTCCCTTACTAACGTGCAACTTGATGTAGCAATTGTCCACTCAACTTGCAGCCGAGCAAGACACGATTCGAGACGTGCTGCAGATCTATCGAACGGGATGCCATCGTATTCTTGACGACCTGTTCCAAGCACAAGAGGTGCGGATGGAGTTGTACCGACAGCAGATGTCGTCAGTCAAGGAGCAACACACACAGATTTGCCAAGAGCTCATTCGAGGGCTTCAAGAGCTGGACGATCGAGTGCAAGGACCCTAGCGGTCTGGTGACCGCCTGAAAAGAGGCAATTGCAAGCGATCCAAGCGTATTTCTATCCCTACGACGAGCAGCGAAGGAAAGGAATGGTCAAATTGCAGTGATGATTGGCGCGACTCACCGAGGATCACGTGGGAATCCGTTGAGTCATTCTTAGCTTTTAAAGCTTCAGTTTATTTCACGGTTCCTGTAAACTATTTTAATTCCAATATCCTGATAACTTCGCCCACCCTTTTGTGTCCCTCTTAAATTCCTTTCAATCAATTGAAATTGCACGGATTGCCTTGCTGCTCAAGTTAACCTCAACCCCGCCATGTCGGTGAGTGAACCCCCCTCATTGTGACGCCAAACTGCCATTAACGCCATCCTATCACTAGTTCTTCATTGAGAACCCTAATGTGGGCAACCACAGCCACCTCGAGGACTCTCGCAGTACGTTGAATTCATATTCCTTGCAATTGATACAATAAACTCACGCTTTGGCGCACAGTTCTCGGCTACAACCCCCTCACCCCGCCCAACCTCCTCCAGCATGAGATCGCATTGACCGAAACATCGCGGAAAACGGTTCTGCAGGGCCGTGATGAGGCCGTCGCCATTGTTCATGGTACCGACCCCAAAGAGCGTCTGATGGTGGTCGTCGGTCCGTGCTCCATCCACGACCCCGCAATGGCTCTCGAGTACTGCGATCGGTTGTTAAAGCTGAAGGAGAAGTACCGGGATGACCTCCTCATCGTCATGCGATCGTACCTCGAGAAGCCCCGTACAACAGTCGGCTGGAAAGGTCTAATCAACGACCCCGATCTCGACAACAGCTTCAACATCAACAAGGGTCTGCGTGTCTCCCGCCAGCTCTTCGTCGACCTCACCAATAAGGGCATGCCCATCGCCAGTGAGATGTTGGATACGATTTCCCCCCAGTTCCTTGCCGATTGTCTGTCCGTGGGCGCCGTCGGCGCCCGTACCACAGAGTCTCAGGTCCACCGTGAGCTGTCCTCCGGTTTGTCTTTCCCCGTCGGTTTCAAGAACGGCACCGACGGCACCCTCGATGTCGCCGTGGACGCCATTGGCTCCGTCAAGCACCCTCACCACTTCCTGTCCGTCACTAAGCCCGGTGTCGTGGCCATTGTTGGCACTGTCGGCAACCCGGACTGCTTCGTGATTCTGCGCGGTGGCAAGAAGGGCCCTAACTACGATGCTACCAGTGTCAAGGAGGCCAAGGCCAAGCTTGAGGCCAAAGGCCTTCCCCCCACGTTTGATGGTGGACTGCAGCCACGGCAACTCGGAGAAGAACCACAAGAACCAGCCCAAGGTGGCCGCTGTTCTGAGCGAGCAGATTTCCCAGGGCGAGACTGCCATCATGGGTGTCATGATCGAGAGTAACATCAACGAGGGTAACCAGAAGATGCCGGCGGAGGGCAAGTCCGGCCTCAAGTACGGAGTCAGTATCACAGACGCGTGTATCAACTGGGAAGACACCGAGACTACACTCGAGACACTGGCACAAGCCGTGCGCGCCCGGAGAGAGAAACTGAGCGCCAAATAAGCGACGACTCTGTTTCTTGTCTGTTTCATGGCCTTCTCATGAGCACCCGGGTGGTAACATGGAGGCATTTTCAAGCGCATTGTGTATATTGGATTAGGAAAAGTGTTTTGAATGTTATTTCTTTCGACCTGTGAGCGATTTCCATGTGGAAGCAAATGTATCTATAAATCGTGATTGAGGAATCAACGCCGTGGAAATTGGCTATATGCAATGACCGCAACCCTATCACAAAACGCAAACAACTGGTCTATGGATCCTCTCAACATTTGAAAGGCGCTGAACGCAATGTATCGCTATTTTCGACAATCACTCCAAGGACCGTTCCTTAATTCTAGCTCGGGGATCTTAAAGTCCACTATGCAAGCAGCAAACGAGGGCCGGCGGACTGAATCACCCTTCTGCATCCCAGCATAAAAAGCATTCGTTGGCTCGAGGCCATCAAGTGCGGTGCTGGGCACATATCGACTGAGCCCGTATCGACCGACGAACCCGTCCTGTAACACCGATGCCTTGCGCTTTCTCGAGTCTGGCAAGGGCGAAACACTATAATCCGCCCGATTGATTGGTCGCACTGGTAGTAATTTGCCATCCGAGCCAACAGTCACCATCTTGCAGGGGAGGTCAACTCCATCGTTGGCAGAGGAAAAGGTGTCGATGTCAAAAATCGTCCCAACACCCGAAGCATTAAAAGCCCAAATTCTCGCACCGCCATGCGAAGACTGCAACCCAAGCTCAACGATATTCTCAACACGTCCTATTTCCTTGCCATAGATCTTAAACGGCCACATCAGAGCCGTGGGTCGATAACTGACACTTAAGAGAAACTCCCATTCGCCATTTTGGTTCTGCACAAGACTCTCTCGCCGCTTGCGGAACCGCTCTGAGTCAAGCAGCCAGTCGCGCGCAAGGTCACTGTCACCCATCACGCCGTCGCCTTGTCGTTCGCGCTCTTTGCGGATGACATTGAAAACATCCAGTGGGATAGAGTATAAGACAATACGATCTTGATAGGAGGCTACGACGCGGAGACCCCATCGAAGATCCGAGCCCACGGCGAAGGCCGTCGGGACGCGAGCTTCTTTCATGCTATCCGGGGCATCTTTGCCAAATGGGGGGATGCAGACAAAAGCTCGCGTCAGACTTGTAGGGCCGCCGATGGGGGCATCGGATCCGATGCAAAGGAGACCTGTACGAGGCTCGACGAATATGACATGGAAGCCATCGTTGATGGGCACTGCACGATAATGGTGACAATGAGTGGCTCTGACAAAACTGAGGTTGGAGGAAGTCGATGAGCCACGGCGCCCGAAGGACTTGACATCTGCAAGGAGATGGAACTGGCACTTTTTCCGATGGTCGGGACGGGAGATTGGCGACACGCACACTCGTGGACACCGGGTCCGGCTAGTGATGAGATGAGTCGCAGGTCTTTTGGAGCTTCAGGGGTGTTGGGGAGGAAATGGAGAATCTCGGAAGGTTGAGACATTGGGAAGTGCCTTCGTTGGCTTTGTTTGGTTTCATCGACCCAGTGGATTTCAATGCCGCCTGCGCAACCAAAGGCTACACATCGCCGTTTGGGGCAGAGGGCGATTGTCCGTGGCGGGTGGTCTGCGGTGCAAACATCATAGTAATAGTGTGGCGAGGAGGTTTTCTTCGATGAGTTGGCTCGAGTCGAACCTGATGGTGAAGTATTTTGCTTATTATTCGGGATTTCGTGTAGATCTAGATCGCAGACCATCCCAACACGGTTACTCAGTAAAGCTGCAAGAACGACCTGCGGAGTCGTCGTATCTAGAGTCGCAGATAACACCTCAAAGGGACATTCGATGCTCGATATCGGTTCTATATCAGTATTTTCTGATCCACGCTTCGCCTTCTTCTCATGAAGATGAAAGACATAGATCATGCATCCCGTTGTCGCAAGGAGATAGTTGCTGCAGCTGCTGACACTGAAAGTGGGCACGGAATGCGTATATTTGTCTCGGATGGGCCTTGATCGGGGCTTTGAGAGGCGTTGCGCAAGGCCCGAGAAATCGACAAGTTCAGTTGCTACGAAGCCTGACCTTTCAATGTTTGCTTTGCGTCCCGACAATAAGCATTCAGTTGCAAAGCGCTTGCTCATCCTCCACACGTCGCTCTCTTCACTCGACGACCGGCGTCGTAGTCGCTGCATTTCGCAGTCCTCCTGATATGCATCCCACCATCCTGCTCGCTTCAACATGCTCTCCAGTAGACCCCGATTTAAGCTGGCTCGCATCCATTGGGAGCACGTCCGGCGTGCATTATCAAAGTCTCGGGGTGTTAGCATAGAATAGATTTGCAGCATGATTTCGGGTGGCGCGACGTTGGCCGCAGGCAGCGATTGATCAGGAACCACAGCGCTACTGTTCCGCTGTGCAAATGCTTTGCATGGCGCTGATAATTCGGGTTGTGGTATTGAGGGCTGATCTGTCGTATGATCTTTCAGTCCAGCATGTTTTGGAGGTTTTGGAAGACTTTGTATTTCCAAAGAGACGTCATGCCTGGTCATGAGCCGGCGCCTTTTGTCGTGAGACCTCAAGGATGGCATGACGAAACTATCCAGACCTGGCGAGTCGACATGCAAGACAATTGCAATTGTCTGGTAAAGGGCAGACTTGAGGTCCGAGAATCAAGCCGGTCGAAGTTTTTTTTTTTTTCAATAAAAAAAAGAGAAATGAATTGATAAAAAAAAGTCCAGGCGAGCGAGACCGCTCAAATGGAAGCTGGATCCGTAGAGATCGATAGAACAACTCTAACGAATGACGGAAGAATTGGGGTGGAGTCGAACAAGATTGTGGAGTCGAATCAACGCAGCGATCGACTAGTGCAAGATTCAATTCACGATCTTATCGTTCTTGGTAGTGCTACCACGCCAGAAATGGAGGGTCGGAATCGCAAGATCGGGATCTGACTGAAAATATGTGGAAGGTTGTATTCCCAACCCACCCCCCTAAAGCAGATTGACAGCGAAAGCGGAGTTAAAAATATGAGAGGTGAAACGTGATATGTGAACTGTGAAAAACATGAAAATAAGGAATTAAGAAGAATCCACAACATTCAAGATATGGGGAGGCAAGGGCCTTTTTCTACATGAACTTATCCATTGCGAAAGTTAGATTTGCCGTTCGGAGAACACGGTCCTGACGTACACCACCGTCCTGGTGAGACATGGACCACGTTGGATGGCGGCAATTCGAGTGGAACCGTGATCTGGGCTGTAATCAGGCCGCCAGAGCGGCGATGTTCGACGTGCTCAATTCACGGCAGCCGAGCGATGAGCGGAGACCCGTTTGGAATGGGAGAAAGGCAACGAGCTGCCCTGGTCGTGAGGAGATGAATCTGCAACTCTCCTATTGAAAAGTGGCACCTGTGGCACCCGTGGCTCCAGTAGTGTGAGTTCGGGTCCATGTGCATTCCTGAGTGAACCGAGGAATGTGGGAGTAACTGTTGTCCCGGATGCGGCGAGGGATCAAAAGGGCCCCGAGACACTTCATCTTTAAATCCCTGGAGCGTTGGGATCGGTGGTAATCTGGGCCTACGCAAGGCCTGATAGTAGGGTCCTGGATTGTGCATATGCACTCTCTATGCACTTGCTGCAGAGTGCGGAATGCATCCCCGTCGCGCCATGCCAGTCAAGTGGGGAGCCCCAAAGCCGATGTCAACTCGACCTGCCGCTTCGGGTTCATGTCCATACCTCGGGGCAACTCTGAGGTGCAACAATTCCACAGCATGCGCTTGTTGGACCGGCGCAGCGGAAGTCCGCAGGTTCGCATGATGGTCGAGATGGAGCTGACAAGAAACACGAACATAGGCGATCGATCACGCGACGCGCTTGATCTGACTCCAGCTGAGACACTGCCACGTTTTGCCACGAAACATGAGGAATGTCAACGTAGGCCTCCAAGTTGTCGAGGCTAATGCCAGGTGGTCAGAAAAATCTAGAATCTTAAGCGAGGAATGACAGTGCCGGCTAATGTGCCAGATTCTATGTTTACTAGGTATACAGTCTCATGCGAGATGAACAAGAAGATAGCGCTGGGATAGGGAAAATCATTGGCGTGTGATCTCAACAATTATGCACGAGAGGCCGGCCCAAAATACCAGACGGGCTAGGCTACACGAACGGAATATTGAAAAGAGAGATAGGCAAATCAAAGGGTAGGGTATTATGTCCTTCGGTTCACGAGAGATGTGCCTCAAAGGGTGGAAGGAATGCAGTCGAGGTATCAAGGTCGTATATCATTATCGAATGATCAGGGCAATGTGCAGGACATGCGATCGGGGGTTAGAATGTCGGGCGATACATCAAGGATAGTTGTTCGACGACTCGTGATTCTCATAAAGGGGACCACCATTGCTCTGAGATGGTTTACGGCCCGGGAGCCAGGCACCATGTAGCGGCACAATCAAACTCGGATTGACATACTTTTTCAGACGCAACTCCAGTTCGTGGCCGCCAATGCGAATCGGAAGCGCATCACGATCCATGCCCGAAGGGGGCGAGAACGTGGCGGACGACGAGGGAGAGAGCTCGCCGCCACCCGCAAGATCGCGGTTGATGCTCTTGAGGGCGATGAATTTCATCAGCGGTTCGTACGTCCGCGAGAACCAGTATGTGAACCATACAGTGAAGATCAGGAGGGGTACCAGGAGTGGGACCAAGAGCAGCTGACGAGTAGCCGCCGTGCGCAAAGCGAGAACTCCAATCATCGCCAGTTGGTACACGACCAGCCCAATGAAGACCCTATTGCAGATCATCGGCCAGGCACGTCCGGTCGAATGTTGCTGGTGGTCCATGGCGTACAGCAGCTGGTATTTGTAGATGAACTGGCCGATCGAGAAGTAGACAAGACCAAACAGGCAGATCAGCCATGAGCTCGGGAAGATCGAGTACACAATGCAAATAATCAAGACCAAGATGGTCTGAGGAATCGTGAGCCCGTAGCTAAACTTCGGCGGCGTTGACAGTTCCGCATATTCCCGTGGGGTCCGCGCCCGGAGGAACTGCAAGGGGTACAGGGCAACGCTTCCAAACTCGAGAAGTCGGAAGGGGAAAAGACCCAGGCCTTGCAGAACTAACAGATTGATGTAAAACGGCGCAAGTCCTTCCAGGGACTTAGCCAGGGCGAATGCAATGGTTGTCGCATCCTTAAAAGCATCACGCAGATGCTCCCAGAAACCGTAGAACCCACTAGCTGTTCCAATGACGGTAAAGATGAGGAACAGGTTGAAGAAAGAAAAGAAGAAGTTCTTGGAGATGATTGATAGTTCAACATCACCCCGCGACATCATTCCCTGGTTGTTCGAGAGCCACTCATACAAGTAGGGAACAACCACTGTCAACAGCGAGAATACCAAGGTAGGCAGACCAGTCTGGACCAAAGACTTCAAAAGAGGATGGAGGAGAGGAACTCCGCAAGCTGTGGTACAAACTTGTGGAGTGTCTCTAATTGCAGGAGAGAGGCGATGGGAAGCAGGAGGACCGAGAAGAAGACCGTGAGGAATCCGATAAGCACAGTGATGAGCCACGACTGGGTCATCCGGCGGGAGCGAGAGAGATAGGTATTCTTCCAGATGACATCGGCAGGCGCAGGAGCAAGACGAGCAAACATTTGCATGGGGTGCGGATCGAGAATGGCTTGCACCAGCATTTGCGAGGCCGCAATTGATTTCATAGTCACAAATGCGATTTCAGTTGATGGATATTCCTTCTCGCGAGCAGCCTGGATCTGTTCGTCAATCCTTCGCAGCTTTTCCTCGTAGTAGTCGATTGCATCAATTGTGCGGTACCGAAGTTTCATTGGACCGTACCAAATGCGGGCCTTGGGCCGCGCATGAGAGTACACAGAGACGTGCTCCCGACCAGTCCCCGACAGCAAGCCCGCATGCTCGCCGTCCTCGTCTAGCGTTCCGTTAGAGGGCTGTGGTGGTTGGTTGGTCAACGGCAAGGTGTCCCCTCGGTCACGGGGAGGGCGTTTATATCCCATATGTTTCGTCCATGACCGTTCCAGCTGGCGCACGATCTTCATACGATCATCAATGAGTTTGTCCAACTCACCCCACTTGCGGCACAGAGTAACGGTCTCCACTTTGCCCACCCGAAGTCCCTCCACAAAGTCCTTGATCTTGTCTTCAGCCGAAAGATCGCGGGGAATTCCCGACAAACGGACCGTACGGTCAGTGGTGCTTGTCTGGTTTCCGAGATAGGTCTGGCGAACGCGAATAATTTTGTCCGTCTGCTGCAGCAGCAAGTAGATGGCTAAGCCGCTGAAGACGTAGGTGAACAGGACGTAGATCCACAAGTACTCCGGATTGTCCTCGCCACTTTTCTTACCCTTGGACAGTTCTCCCACCACGCTGGCGGTGCTGTTGTCTGGACCGTCATCGGTATCCCAACCAGGAAGCCCATTGTTGCCGGTATACTTGTAATGCACGGGAAGGAGGACGGCGACGGCGAAGAAAAAGACGGATGCTAAGAAGCGGATCGCGAATTTGAAAAAGGACAGGAACTATCGTCGATCGGTCCTATATTAGCCAAAAACGCAATTCCAGATTTGTCGCAGATCTCAAAAGACGAGATACGCACCACATATGCGTCTAGTCCAGCGGACTGGAGAATCTCTTCCTCAGTGATCCGATATAAGACTGGAATCCACCCAAAGAGAGTATTGGGTAGCTCAGGCAAATGCGACGCGGCGTTACGTTGTTTTCTCCGCGCGGCATAGAGTTCTGTCCACTTGGGCCGTAACACCTGCGAGGACCAACCGGGTTAGCAAGAAGTAGTGAGACCGATGCGGAGTTAAAGACGTACACAAAACGATAGGAAAGCACCCAGTCCTAGGGCAGAGCTGACGGCAATTTGAGTGAACAGATCACGCTGCTGCTTCGTCTGATCTTCCCAGCGTCGTTCTCGCCCATCATCTGGATCGTCGGCGAGAACGGTCCACAGCGCAGTGGCCGCCGAGGTCGTTAACGACATCTCTCGGGTCAAAGTGCTGTCACCTCAACTGATTGAGAATTATAAGGTGAGAATGTGCGTGACTGATCCATCAACAGGAGGTTGCGGGTGATCTCGTGATCCAAGTCATTAGTGCGGAAACTGGAATCGGCCGATCGCGAGTTGTTTTGGTCCATGACGATGGTGATGACTCAGCACTTGCGTGAGCCACTTGAGACAGTCTATACCCCACAACCTGGTGCCCACAACCTGGTGGTAGTGGTAGTGGTAGTGATAACCTTGAATCAAGCGGTCTAGGCGTATGTGCAAAGAAATTCGAGTTCTTCATGCAGGAATCACTGCTTAAAGAGGGTCTAGGTTAGGGGTACATTACGGAGTGGATCAGGATGACACTGATAAACCATGTAACAAAAGCACGTATGATAGCTTGTTCAAGTTTTGCTTATCAACTCCGTTCTATCACAACATTCTCATGAACTGGATTGCCGCCTGCGATTCAACGTCTTGGAAAGCTCATCGTGTTGTCCAACCTTCAAAGAATATATATGCACGCTGATGATACGAAAGCAGTCCAAAATACGGGTTGGAATGGTTCATTCAGTAGAGTAAGGTAAGATTTAAAAGCCAGAGCGTAGTATTGGACACAACAAGAAGCGAAAAATTTTTCCAAAGGAAGCAATTGCCGTGAAAGAACTATGAAAAGATGGAGTCGGCACTCGGAAAGGAAACATGGCGACCTATTCAAGAAAAATCATTGCCCCTGGCGCCCAAAGAAGACCAAAGACCAAAGAAAAGAATGTACCCATCTGATAATGGTGCATACCCTATGCCGCCTCAAGAACATCCCCGATCAAAGCGTCTTCATCCCCAACAACCCGCGCGAGCATCTGTTCAACAAGAGCAACCTCTCCTTGCGCCTCCTCCTTTGCCCATACAGAGCTGTCATAAGCAAACTTCAACTTATACTTGTTCAAGTCTGCAGTCTTAATGACCTCAAAGACGATCGAATAAGGCTGGAGCATCGTCACCTCTGACTGCGCCATGACCACCCACTTGTGCGCTACCTCCTTCGCAGTAGCCGATGCCGGCTCGAATGGCTGGAACAAGAAGAGCGCCTGATTTACTGCGTCCGCACGCGGCACCCCACAAGCTTGACAAATGTCTTCAATTCCCACGGTATTGTTCTCAGTGTACTGCCTGAACTCGTCCTGCGTACGCAACAAATACTTCTGCACCGGGATCTGGGCATCGACCTCGGAGCGCATCGGCAGGAAATTGGCGCAGGTACCATTAATACCCTGCGGATCTGGTAGATCTACATTGCGGCCCGTGTAGAGGTAGTCGAAAGCGATACTGACCTGGCCGCTGCGGCGAGCGAGCCAGATCTGAAAGACTGATTGGAAGAGGGTTGAGACTGTCACTCCACTGGAGCGGCTGAATGTTTCGAAGTCGAGGTGGATTGCCTGCGTGACCGAGGCTTTGATGCGTGGCTGGTTCGCATTAGGTTAATTGAATGCAATGGGCCGTTTGTCGGCCTGGGTCCAGAAATCGAGTGTTGGACGAGTCTGGTTGACTTGCCAGATATGGAAAGCAAACTTCTTGAAGGAGGTGAAATTTTCTACTTCTTCACCGCGCTGGTAAGCCTGGAAGTGGGCGTCGAAGACACGGAGGAGGGTGCCGTCGTAGAGATCATGATCTAGCTAGGTGACAACCTGATGCTCGCCATTCGCAAAACGCAGGATAGCGTAGCGGATGAAAGGGGTCCCAAAAGGTAAAGCGTTCATTCCACAGCGAGTCGATCATCTTTCTTTTTCTCGGCTTCGTCTGTGACGTCGTAGGCTTTCATGACAGGCGTGAAATCATTCAGGACGACACCAAACCATTTGTTTTGGTACAACGTAAAGGTTGTGCGCAGAATTTCATTTGTTTTGGTCAACCTACTCGTGAGTTTCCTCCAAAGAGAGATGCCGGGATTGATTCCTAGGGATCGGACCGTCATCAAACACCAGAATTGATCTGCTCGAGCTCCCTGGGTAAGAAACTCGGCTTGTCCAGGTGGGCAGGGGTAGACATAGTCAAATTGATGCCTTTGAAGCCCGTAATGAGCCAAGTTGATTTCTGACGGAACTTCGCCAATGATGCTTCATTATTAGGCGAAAGTAGACCAGGGACCCTTGTTCTTTCTAGAGCCACTTAGGTAATTCCAACTACACAATGAAGCTAGTGATGAGAGCGTGGGATCATTTTCTATTTTTTTCTATTTTTTCTATTTTTTCTATTTTTTCTATTTTTTCTATTTTTTTTATTTTTTCTATTTTTTCTATTTTTTTCTATTTTTTCTATTTTTTCTATTTTTTTTATTTTTTCTATTTTTTCTATTTTTTTTATTTTTTCTATTTTTTCTATTTTTTTTATTTTTTCTACTTTTTTTTTTTTACAAAAAAAACACCCCCAAAAAAGACGTAAAGATGTATACGCCGTGAGAAGGCGTGCTACTAGGCAGTGACTGGGGCCGTGTCGTAGGTACCGATGACTTCAACCTTGGTGTTCCAGGCTCCGACTCGCCCTTCCCGATGGCGTGTTAGGCGTCCATTCGAAGACCCTCTGATGCGATGCAGTCAGCATCCTGCAAAAGGGTTTGACCCCAACTCTAAGCTTAGAGCGATCTGATCTGCGGGAAGATCCAATGCTTGGGCCCACTCCGGGATCCACGCCGGTCCCGAACCTCGAGCGTGAAAGCCACGGCGAGGACACCCCTGCATTGATGACAGATGCGTCTCATGAGGAAAAGGGCCGAAAGGCCGAGCCTTGCAGTGGGCAATGCGATGGTGCCAGGGCTACAATTCAGGGCCCCGGGACGCTCCAACAAGAGCTGAACTGGCCACGAAATCCGCACACTTGAGCATCTGGACCCTTTTCCCTGCCTTCTCTTCCAACGTGAAAAGCTCTCAAGGTCTCTATCATGCCTGCTGAAAGGGACAAAAGACCTACTCCGGAATCGAACCCTCCTACATCGCCCATTGCCGAGCCCGAACAGGATGAATCCGAATCAGAAAAACAGACAGTCGATCACTCGGCCCCGCCTCCTCCACCCAATGGAGGACTTGTCGCATGGCTTCAGGTAGCGGGAGCGTTCTTCCTGTTTTTCAATTCTTGGTGAGCCATTTGACCACCCGAGAGTCAATATCTGATCGGGCTCATTGAACTAACGAGTTGAACGTTAGGGGCATTGTCAACACTTTCGGAGTCTTTCAGAGTTACTATGAGGATGATTTACTCTCTTCATACTTCGCGTCGTCCATCTCGTGGATTGGTACCATACAGGGATTCTTGCTCTTCCTGGTCGGGGTAGTTGTCGGCCCTGTATTCGACAAGGGCAACTGCAAGACCCTCGTCGCCATTGGCTCTTTCCTGGTCGTGTTTGGGTTGATGATGACATCTTTGTCAACCCAGTACTACCAGATTTTCCTCGCGCACGGTGTAGCTGTCGGAGTTGGATGCGCTTTCTTGTTTCTACCAAGTGTGGCGATCGTGGCCACCTATTTCACATCGCGGAGAGCAGTGGCTACAGGTATTACTGCTTCTGGGGGTAGCATCGGTAAGCATCGAAAAATTGTTCTGCACAGCAAAAGAAATAAAAGGGATTACTAAACCCATCTCCCAGGCTCTGTGATTTTTCCTATTGTGTTTCATAAGCTGATTGGCCCTCTTGGGTTCGGTTGGACGACCCGAGTCATTGCCTTCATAGCACTCGGTGGTCTACTCTTCTCCCTGGCCGTGATAAAGAGACGCTTGCCACCCCCAAAACAAGCACGGAAGCTAATCTATCCAAGCGCGTTCAAAGAGTCACCCTTCATCGTACTCAGCTTGGCTCTATTCTTTTCCTTCATCGGACTGTACTTCCCATTCTTCTACCTGCCGACCTTCTTCACCTCCTATCTACATTCCAACGATAACATCGCATTCTACAGCGTCGCAATCCTGAATGCTGCCTCCGTCTTCGGGCGAATTACCCCAGGCCTGCTTGCTGACAGAATTGGCTCCATCAACACAATTGTACCAGTCAGCTTGATAGCTTCCATCTTAGCCTTTGCATGGATCGGGATCAAGAATGAGGCGGGGAGTATTGTCTTCTCCATCATATACGGCTATGCATCCGGTGCAATCGTCTCATTGCCACATACTATTGTTGCTCGGATCACGCCTGATATGAGCATTGTGGGGACTCGGATGGGCATGTGCTTTACCTTCGCAGGCTTGGGCTTACTGATTGGTAACCCTATTGCGGGAGCTCTGTTGAATCTGGAGAATGCGGTCTTTTGGAAAGCGCAATTGTTCACTGCTCTCACCGTCGTGGTTGGTTCCGCCTTTTTCATTGTCTTGCGACTGATCAAGTGGAACGACGGCGATGGGTGGAAAATGTAGACAGAGAGCTTCATAAGATGGTCGGAGAGTGGCGGGGCTCGACCCAAAACGCTACTCTTCCCTGCGCCGTGCAACTGGGCTGGGGCGATCGGTGGCGCTCTCAAACGTTTCCGATTTGGGAAAACCCCCAAACTCTAATGTCGTGTCTATACATGGACAAGTAATTTTCTAGATATTCCATAGATATTCACTCTTCTCGATGTCTTCGATAATATGAATGAAGTTTATTTACTGATTCCTCATGCATGTTGACAGTAGGACCGAAAGAGATATATTATGCCTTGATCACATTATGTAGAAGGAAAAATAAAACGCTTTGTATGCCATGTCCATATATCGATCTTGACACAAAATGAATCTAAGTAAGCTTCGCAGCATCATAGTAAACGTCGAGCAGACAACCGGCAGACCAGGCTTGAGTGGGAGACTGAATATGCGTATTAGCACCGATCAAAACCCGCGCGAGAGAAGAAAAAAACTTACCGAATCACCACAGTGCTCGCCATTCTTGTTCGTCAACTCCGTCAGTCCCTTCCATGGGCTCTCACGTAAAGCCTTCTTGCAGCCATCCAGGCGACGAGTGACTTGCTGGAACGACTCGATTCGCTCCTCGGGTGTTTTGCGGCGCAGGAGATCAAAGTGCAGCAAGGCGCGAAGGTAGTAGCCTCGTTGCCAGACCCACTCGGGGCCTTGGTGATAGTTGCGGCCCTTGGAGGTTGCGAAATCAGTCGAGTCTTCCGAGTTGTTGTAGTAAGGGCGGTAGTTGAGGTCCGATGGGTCCAGCGTGGCCATGCCAACGGGGCCGACGATTGCAGAGTCAGCGATGGAGAGGGCAGTGAGGGCTTTCTCGGGAGTGAAGAGCTCCGGTGCCACGGACATGGCGATCGGGAAATTGGACCGAAGCTGGTAATCCTCAAAGGGCTTACCGGACTTGTACAAGTCCTTGTAGATCCCACGTCGGTTGACGATGTTGGCATCCACATCGTACTGGGCATCGTCCTTGGGGTCAAGGGGGACATAGTAGCACCGTTCAAAGTTTTCCTTGATCTTACCGGCCCACTCCTTGAAAGTGATCGATTTTCCATCGCCGATATCGACACCAGCGTGCGGGTAGGTCTTGGACTCATTGAGTTTCGTGACCCACGAAAGGGCACTGTAGAGAAGACCAGTAATCTCAATGGCAGCACCATCACGGGGTGTACCAGGGACACCCTTGTTCCCAGCCTTCGGGCTCTCTCCCATCTTGTCTTGCCAAGTACCGCAATTGTTCTGGTTACCACCGAAGATAATTCCAGTATCCCAGTCAACCTTGATATCGATCTGGAATCCTTCAGGCTTCATCTGAACGTCAAGATCAGGACCTGCGTTGTATTCCCGGAAGGACATGCCCTGAGCGTGGCGTTGGAAAACTTCTTGAATGACTTCCAGAACGGTAGGAGACTGAGAATAAGCTCGGGGATCGTCGAATGGGAACCAGGTATCATCATACGGCAAGAAACGGCGAGGAACCTTCTCCTGCAGGATGCTAATTCCATTGGGAACCATTTTGGTGTAATCCTGAATTGCCTGCAGGAAGAACCACACCGAGTCACGCGAGTTGTAACGGGGCAGCTTGCCGCTGCTGAGAAGATTGGGAATCATGCCGTGCTTGAGGACGCTTGCAAATGCAAGAATGTGCTCCTTGCATTCGTCAAATCGACCAGTGCAAAGGAAGAGACCACGAATCGAAATGAAAACATCACGACCCCAGCACCTAGCCCAGTCAACGGCAAAGTGAGGCAAGCCCGCCGCAAGACTAGGAACCTGCTTAGTGGGCCACAAAGATGCCGAGTTCACATAGCCGGTCTGCTGAACACTGACCATCGCCAACTGGTGTATGAACTCCTGACCGTGGCGCACGTTATCACTGAACTGGTGAATAGCCTGCTTCCATGCTGCGTTGTAAGCTACCTGAACAATGATGGCAAAGTATCGAGGAAGTAAGAAGTTGGGTAGTCCGCGGACAGCGTCGAACTTTTCACGCAGCCAAGAGGCCGGCTTCTGTAGAGCGGCAAATCCATCCTTAGAGGCGACCTTCTCCATGCGGCCAATAAGGTAGTCTACAGCCCATTGGCCATCACGAAGGTGGTCGCAAAGCGGGTGACCAAGCTGGTTGTATTTGATGATGTCCTCGAGGATGCTCCACCAACCCTGAAGACCAGCGTATACGAGAGGCCCACTCTTAGGAATGGCATACACGCCATCCTGACCACCGCTCGAGTCTCGTTCCTCAGCATCGCAGCGGTAAAGTACGAAGTTCAAATCGATCAGACTCAGTCCAGAGAATGCCTCATCGGCTCCGCTAGAGAGGAAGTTGTCCAATCCCTTCGCATGTTCCGTGCCTGGGATCCAGGTCTCGAAGAGAGCGATGGATCCAGGCACAAGGGTCTCGAGCACGAAAAGAGTCACGTCCTTTCCGTCTCCCTCGATCTTGGATGCATCTATATCGCGAGTTTTACCCGGTAGACCCCTGAGGATCTTCTCGTCGGCTAGAGCTTTTCCTTTGGCATCATCGCCGGCATCAACCTCCAAAACCCACGAACCGAGATGCTTGGCTTGGGTACCAGTGATATGAGTGGGAGCCAAAATGGCACCACTCTCATTACCTGGGAATGCGGTGTGTGCGATCAGGAAGATTCCCTTTCTAGTTTTGGGGTGAACACGATGGACAGTGATATATTCCCCATCGTGATGAATGTGTGTTTCGTCATAACCCTCAACACCCATCATCGTATGAAGCTCGTTCAACAGCTTCTTCACACCTCCAATGCCATCTCCAGACCCGACCTCCAAGCTTTGCGATCCGGAAAACGGAGATGAGTACTGACGAGTCTCATGCACCAGATCAACGAGCTTAGGATAGATCTCGTCGTAGCCCATGACACTACCAATGGCCGAAGCACACATGGCCACGAGCGCAGCATTTGGAAGAGTATCTCTGGCATCACGCTTCTGAGCAGGGACTTCATTGTCGTGGGTGCAGTCCATGAACAGAGCTTGAACAGGCAACGGACGGATATGAGTGATTTTCTCATTCGCATCTCCGGTCTTCGCTGAGGCAATGGCGTGGCTGCTTCCAGCAGATGGCAAATCGACATCGAAGCTTCCGATGGGACGGCCACCGTGGCGATGAACAAGGCGACTCAGTTCCGCAGTGCTCCAAGCTTGCATGGCTTCGCGGATCAGAGCATTGATACCCAAACGCTTGACGAAAACGTAATCAGCCTCCTCCGAGCCCGTGAAGAGCTCGGCAAAGACCGTCAAATTTGGCCGCACTTTGCGGGCCTCATCCAGCAAATACTCAGCGACAACAAGCGGCGTGGAGTGACAATTGTCAATGCGGAATCCCGAGAAATACTTCGCCATCAGACGCGTGTAGCGGGTCATAAAGTCCCAGAGGAATGGACTATCCTTGGGTGAGTTTCCGTAGCGCAACTTGACACAGTCTCCCCAGACAATCACCTCACGACGAAGATATGCCTTGGAGTCCGGTCCTGCATTGTCCCGCATGGCATCAGCATTCCAAATCCAGCCATTATTCACGAGAGCAAGAGCTTTAGAACTGTGCTTCCTGGTGGTCTCATTGAGAGGTAGACGAGTAAAGTACGTCTCGATAAGAGGGCTGTCCTTGGTCACTGGTCCCATCTTGGGGCCGTGGTCGTCGATGCGGAGATACTTGATACGGTTGAAGAGCTGATCCATGATGACCGCGACATCCGCATCGAACTCTTTGTAAAACGGCACATTGACTGCATCGAGAAACTTGGCCAGAGATGCTTCGGCTTCAGCAACGTTAGCCTGGTCATGGTCGCCATGAAGTACCGTGAGTGCGGCGGCTCCGAGGGCCGGGTCGACTGCACGCCCGAACCGTCCAAGAACGCGGTCCGAGGTAGGGATACCGTGTTCACGAATGACATCGGCTTGTTCCTGGACTGAAATGTTCTTGAAATGCTTCAAGGAGCCTTCAATAGCAGCTCCATCGGCCTTCTTGTTAGCCCAAGCGTCTAAGATGTTCTTCGTGTCAGTCTTCACATCAAGAACATAGAACTCCCACAAGCGGATTCCATCAATGACATCTTTGCGCAAGGCCTGCATCACCTTGACCAGATCATCAGCTGATGGGAATTCTGTTGGCAAGTTTAGGCTTTCAAGATCATCGCCAAACTTCAACAGTGCTGTATCAAGTTCGAGTGCAGCCTCCAGCCAGGGCGCAGTCTCCACACTGTAACCTGCTTCAGGGTGATCCTCCAGCCATTTGCTGTTGTTCGCAGTATGATTCCAAACAACATCAGTCAGAGTCAATAGACCGTACTCCTTTTCCATGCGCGAAACAAGCGATGCGACATCGGTCTCTCCGTTGGGGAAGAAGGCAGGATCAAATGCTAGTTGGTCAAATATACTGTAGGGCGAATTGGAAGACCCGCGTTGCATGAGTGGCGTAAAATGGACCATGTTGTAGTTCCGCTGGCTTATTCCGTGGAGATGACCATCCCAATCACTGGGATACTCGCCCATGAACTTGGAGATGACCGAGAAAATCGAGAGCGCATTGAGCGGCAGGTCCTTTCCCTGGAGGGTGAGCCTCGGGGAGACATCTATGTAATGAATAGGGGTCTTCGTAGGCTCTGGCGTAGGCACAGACTCGACGGAGAAATCTGGCAATGGGGAGAAAGTGGTGTAGTAGGCGAAAGAGCCAGCACTGTTCACTGAGATGTCGATTTGAATGTTCTCGTTGAAATTGGGTTGCAATCTACTTCTACTTAGCCTTGGGTCCTCTTCAAATCCCATATCCTACTTGAAGGGAATAGTACCTGAACTCCCGGAAAGAATGGCGATCGAAGTCCTTGCCCTCCTCGGGGATGTTCACCCATAGACTTCCCTGTCGACAGATGGAGCTGGTGCCCTCAATGATGAATCGCAGCACATAGCCGGATTCGGTTGGAGGCGGCAGATAAAGGTAGCCACCGGGTACGTCGGGAGAGCCATCATCCTTCAAAGGGAGCAAGTAGACCTGGCGTGAGGGGCTCATCGTGATCGTGCTGGGGAATTGCGGAGAAGGTGGAGGGGGGATTCCCAACGATCTACGAACCTGAGCTCAACCCAGTAAGTACCAGGAGGTCTCAAGGTGCGAATGGCCTGCAATTGAGGCCTTGAGAGAATGGGGAGAAAAGAAAGAAGAAGAAAAAAAAAGACAAAAAAGCAGGAAAAAACGAAAAGACCGAAAGACGGGACCGTAAACCCAGATTTTCCCCTCACTAGGAGCTCTGGGCGTCGAGTGACATCATGCATCCGGGGGCCACGGCAGCAGCATATTTTTAGCGCCAGTCTAGACTCGGGACTCAGGTCCTGTTCAGGTACGACTAAATTTCTTTGGAATGGATTTCTTACGTCTATTCATATGCCGAGGTACAAGTCATAGACCTATCTACAAAGCATAACCCACGTTCCCAACAATCAAAGTCGTGCAGCATACCGCTCACCATCGCCATTTCCATCCGACGAAGAAGTTGGAGCACGAGAAACCGGAGGGCTATGAAAAGGCAGACAATCTCGCAATTAATAACACAGACACAAAGGAAAATAGAAAAGGCCTTTTACCGCTCGATGTAGGCAGGGATCTCCGACACTTGCATGCTGCCTTCCAGGATCCCTAGATGTACTTTAGCCGTGGAGTCTGGAAGAACAGAATAGAGGTACTTACGGTAAACGGCGGTGAAAAGAGGGAATTGATCCTCCATGCCCTGCTTTTTCAGGAACTTGTTGACATCATGGGCGGTCAGGGTGCCCTGAAGCGACTGGCCGTTGAGCTCGAGCTTCTCGATCTCTTCGATGGGCAAGTTGCGCTCAACACTGTGCTTGGCACTGCGGAAGTTACGACCACCACTGCAGCTGGTGATCAGATCGGCCACCCCGGCACTCTCCTCGGTGAAGGTAGCCTGGTTGATGGTGGCGCCGAAGAAGGTATCACCGAAGCGAACCATCTCCAGCAAGCCAACGCGCATGACGGCAGCCTTGGCATTATCACCCCAACCCATACCGTCCACCCAGCCAGCAGCCAGCGCCACCACGTTCTTCAAAGCACCGCTGATGGAGGTACCTGCGACATCGTGTACCACGCGGACGTGGAAGTAGGGGCGGTGGAACAGAGTCTTGAGAGTAGTATGGTCGATGGGTGGGTAGTCGGAGGGAAGCGCCTGCAGCTGCGTCTTCGAGACCTGACCGGTCGTATCCTTGTGCTGGAACTGCACCAGCTCCACCTGGGAGGAAGAGGGCGAGCGCTGGGGGGTGGGTGCCTTGGAGTCCATGTGTGGGGGATCGTAGGCGACGGTGGTCTCGGACCACTTTTCCTGCGCAACCTCGTTGGCGATGTTGGCGCCGGACAGGGCGCCACAGTAAATGCCCAGGGTTCTGCCAATAGTCTCGGAGAAGAGACTGATCCCCTTTTCGTTGACGTCGACGCCCTTAATGCAGGAGATACCGCGTGCGTAGGGCAGAATCTTCCCCTTGATCGACTCACATGTCTTGAGGATGAACTGGTGAGGGAGGTTGAAGACGAGCAAGGTGCAATCCTTAACCGCATCCTCCAAGGATGGGTTGGCGTGTAGGTTGGCGGGCAAGCGAATATCTGGGAGATATTTCACGTTCTCATTTGTGCGGTTAATTACCTCGGTCAGCTTCTGTGTGCCCTGCAGATCCGCGCTATAATGAGGAGAGTCCTTGGTGATCTCAACGTTCTCCTCGAACACCCACATTTCCACCTTCTCCTCAAAGATGTCCGAGTTGCTGGCGGCATTTTCGGCGACGATCTTGGCGATGGCGGTACCCCTAGAAGGAGCTGGATCAGCCTCGTGAACACGGCCATAATAGAGAGTGCGTGTGGGTAGGGATAAGAGAGCGCGCGCGCTTACCAGTTACCGGAGCCGACCACCGCGATCTTGTGCTTGCGCTGAAATGGGCCGAGAGAACCCATGTTGGCTGTGAATATAGAGGAAGAGTATGATCTGCGAAGAGCAGGGAAAGCGGGTTTAAAAGAACACGGGGGCGACCGGGGCCAGACTGAATGCTGGGATAGGAATGGCCGAGGCACCGTACAACGTTCAGGAAAGCAGATCCGATAAAGTCGTGGGGTTCGCATCCACATACGGGCACCGGTGCGGGTTTTTCGTCCCAATGATCTCACTCAACCGATTTGTTGACCTGTCGTGACTTTTCGTGACCTTTCGAAGGCTTTTCGTGGAGGGACTGTGAATCCACCGGTGCGCTATCTGATGTCACAGGTCCCGATGATCTTAAATAGCAATGGAGGATTCACCCGACAAAGTGGATCGGTCGATATCATACACGGTCACGTCAGAGAAGTTCATGGGTGAGCTCAACAGGGACAAGGGGCACTTATGGTGGGTCTCGGGAAAACGCACAACTCGTGTCCCGAAGCCGATCCTCACATGTCGCCGACTTTTTGGGTACGACGGGACCGGTTCTTTCTCGTCTCTCTCCAAGTTACAAGTTGCCCATATCGCCATGAAGACCAAGACGCCCGCTACTGCCCGCTCGGGTCTCTTTGGAGATGACTTCCGCACCAGCAAGAAAGACAAGCGCCAGATCAAACATGCGACCCTCATGTCAAAGATTGCTAAGAGCTCCAAGTCTCAGAAGAAGCGCCGCCCCTCCAAAAAATTAGTCGCAAACCTCGAGTCCCTAGCCGATGCCCTACCGGATGCGGCGGATGAATCGCACGATGCTGCCAGTCAGGCCAATGTCATCAAGCAGAAGACACTACGACACAAGCCGGGTGCTTTGAAGCGTCGGGAAAAGCTGGAGAAGGTGGAACGTGATCGCTTCGCACGGAACATGGCCCAGATGTCCGGTCTGCAAACTCAAGCAACCGAGAGTGCAGAGCCCAGCGCCGAATCTAATCCGACCGCAAATCGCTGGTCGGCGCTACGGAGTTTCATCTCGCAGACCATGGAGCAACAACCCGTCTTCAAAACCACTAAGTGAGCATGCGACTCCGATCGGATACGAATTACACAGGGGCTTGACCCTTGTCGCATGATCTTACGCCACCCTGCAGACCAGCATCATACTGAGGTAGTCGACACGATTACGATATTAGACACGGACGAAGGAGCCATACTGAAGTGATGCCCATATCGACTGAAGCCGAAACAAATTATCCCGCGAATTGAGATCACGAAACCTACAGCGGACATCGAGTATATTGACTCTTGCAGTACTTGTCCAGGCACGAATCTTCCTCAGCTTTCTCCGATCAACATGAAGCTAGATTGACTGCTCTTCAGCTTTGTGCGAGATTTACAGAAAGATTTTCTCAAGAATGCACCGATTATAATAATGACCCAAGACAAATCCACATCTTTACACCATAATGCACATGTCTCCAACTGTCCTTGTTTTGACCAAATGTGATGTGATTCCAGGTGATCATGCATAGTCACGCATCATCTCAATCCCTGCTGCCAACATACTTGTGCGTGATGAATAGCTCAGCGGGATCCCATTCCTGCTTCATACTATTCAGAGGAGGATGGTCATCACCCCAGAACGGTTGATGGACCCCAACCTATCTCATCATCCGCCCCAGCAGAGCGCAAGATCAGGATCTCGACCTCGGATGTATTGCTATATTTGGCCGCCTGCGCTCCATTCGAGTTGCGTTAAAGTCCCACTGCCTGAAGTCAACCAAGTGAGTGAATATGCCACGTTTGGGACATCACAGCGCGGAGCGAACAGGGAGTCTCTAGGTAATCTCGCGTGAATGACTCAAAACGGGATGCTTTTTCGTAGGCAAAGGACTCAGTCCTAGACGCAGTCCTGTGATCGCCACAGTCCACGGGTATTCCTCTGTTCTCGCGGTGACGAGGCCGAGTCGGGAGGCGCATCATTGTACACAACCCAAATATCAGCCAATACATCTCAAATCCGAGGTCTTTGAATACGCCTCGTACAAGAGTCTTCTGAAAACTGGGGTATCCACCAGCGATGTAAGTGATGTTGGCGCAACTGCAAAAGGTACCTAGATAACGCGAGGAGTAGATATACCTTTTCCCTTCAACGGCAGTGCTTGGCATGCCGTGAACTGGACAGGAAATCGTCGGGATGTACTACTGAATAAGGTGAAATTCATCCAATTTTAATCTATGTGTGCAGGTCTCCACCATGGCAAGCTAATCTTTAGGAGCATCACGCCATTGACTAGGCACTTGCAGGGCCGCGAGCAACCGAGATGACTCAGCCGATAAGATCACCTGCGGGGAAAGCTCCCTATCTGATCCAACACACTCCTCACCTCCTCATCTCCAAAGAATTATTATTCGGCTCTGCTTGCCTTGGGATATGTGGCGGCCTGTGCAGCGTCGGCCCCCGCTTGCCTGGGCGCATCTTCAAATCGTCCAGTCTGTCCGATGTCGGTCGGGCTTATCGATCAATCGGCGTCACCTTTCCAGCTCCTCATCGCGTTTTCCGACTTCTTCGCAATTTGACAGGTCAGATTTCACCAGTCAGCCATACACATCGAGCTATGAGACTGGACTTCCGACCTCTGGACCTTTGGGGTCGACGCCGGCCTTTGGAGCTCCGCGCATTACACCCAAGGTCCTGAAGCAGTATCTCGATCAGTATGTCGTAGGACAGGACCGTGCAAAGAAAGTGCTGAGTGTCGCTGTCTACAACCATTACCAGAGAGTACAGGAAGTGCAAAGACGGGAAGAGGAGGCGGAAGAACTCCTCATGAAGCGACAACGGAGAGAGGCGTTGGAAGGTCACCCTTGGAAGGTATGTGGTCAGCGCCTGAGTTGTATTGAATTGACTATCTCACTGATATGGCTTCCTTTAGAGGAATTCCCTGCTCAGCCACGCCCAGTCGGTCTCCCGTCTACCCCAAAGTCCCGCCAGGCCACTCTGCTAGACCAAACAGAGCTAGTCGACACATCCCCACTACAGTTGGACAAGTCCAACATTTTGCTGCTTGGTCCATCTGGCGTTGGTAAGACACTGATGGCAAAGACGCTCGCTCGAGTTTTATCAGTACCTTTCAGTATCTCAGATTGCACACCTTTCACACAGGCTGGCTACATCGGAGAAGATGCGGAGACGTGTGTTCACCGACTTCTGGCCGCTGCGAACTATGACGTCGAGCAAGCGGAACGAGGTATTATTGTTCTTGACGAGGTGGACAAAATTGCGGCTGCAAAGGTTAGTCATGGCAAGGATGTCGGCGGCGAAGGAGTGCAGCAAGCGCTGCTAAAGATCATTGAGGGCACTACGATCCAAGTGCAGGCCAAAAATGAGAAGAACCCGCGCAGTAACAGCCCCCCGAACTCTTATCCCTCCAACAGTCCGCTCGGAAACACACCGTTCCAGCCACACAATAACAACCCCGCCGCCAGGGGCGAAGTGTACAACGTGCGTACGGATAACATACTGTTCGTGTTTTCTGGCGCCTTCGTCGGTCTACAAAAAGTGGTCATGGACCGTATCTCGCGTGGCTCGATCGGCTTTGGTCAACCAGTTCGTGCAGCGTCAACCATAGGTGATAGCTCCAGTCTTCCAGATGCTTCGCACAGCGAACCACTTCCCATTCTCCCCGGTTCCGACGAAGAAGCACTTTACAAAAAGCACCTCCCCTTTTTTACCTCCGCATCTCCAACGCCAGGCGGCGAGCCCACATATTTCAACGCACTTGACCTTATAACCCCAGCGGACTTGCAAAGCTACGGCTTTATCCCCGAGCTGATTGGAAGGATTCCCGTCACCGCCGCGCTCTCAACACTCACTCAACCCTTGCTTTTGCGCATCCTTACCGAACCTCGCAATTCTCTGCTCGCCCAATACACGACTCTTTTCTCGCTCTCGGGTATTGAGCTGCGCTTTACCACAGCAGCATTGCACAGAATTGCAGCGAACGCTTTCACAATGGGCACGGGAGCTCGCGCCTTACGCACCGAGATGGAAACTATTCTCAGCGATGCGATGTTCGAAGCTCCCGGCTCCAGCGTCAAGTTCGTTCTCGTCACTCAGGCTGTAGCCGAGCGCAAGGAGAAGCCTATTTATCTCGCTCGTGGCCAAGGTGGGAAGTTCCATGCTATGATCTCCGCTGAGGAGAGCGAGTGGGAAGAAAAGATAAGGCGCGACAAGAAGGATCATAAAGACAAGGCCAATGGCTATGGTGGCAATGAACATACAAAAAATTTCCAGGAGTATCGGAAGCGGTCGGTAGGTTAAGTTTGTTGATGCAGTGAAGATTGCGCCCTGGTGGCGATTATAACATACCCATTGTATATGAACGTGAAAGTTCCTTTTTTTCTCTTTTTCTTTCTTAATTCCCGAACCGTGTATCCCTGCACCGACTATACCTATATTGGATAGGCTGAGAGGATTTCGGCACCTAGGGAACTTATTTCCAGTGGGAAGATCAATTTAGTATTTCGCTTGTGCGGAACAATTTTCATTCATGTCCAAAAGACTGATGAGGGGGGGGGGTATCTCGAGTAATGCTTGAAAATGACAAGGCCAATATGGCAGGCTGATTGTACACAAAAGGCTTCTTCTGATCATGAAAAGAACAGAGGAACGGAAGAGGTTTAGATATGGCTTCCTCTCAACAAGGAACCAGAGACTGCGAGCTTCATTTGTAAGGTGTTGGGTAGTGTCTTCTCGTACCTTTCGGCGAGGAAGTCTCATCGGCGGTCCGACTCCCCAGAGACGCCGGGTAACTGTGTGGCCTCCTTTCAGTCGGCGAGGATGCCCCGTCACCGGTCTGATTTTCCCAAGGCGGTCGAGGAGTGCGTGGATCGAGGACGGGAGTTTTGGGAGTGGTGCCAGGCATCAATCGACCATTGTCGTCTCTTGCCTTCTCGCCAAGTGCTCTTGCAAGTAAAGCATCTTTATCAATGTTGAAGGTCTTCATGAAGTTGTTTGGAGAGAACAAGGTAACATGGCCCCAATTCGTCCACCGTTGATGCAACATCTGATTCTTTGAATCCGTGATAACGACGGTCTTTCGATTATGTGCTTTTCTCAACAGAGTCCATGCTGTGAACAACTCGACGAGGTGGTCCATGTTACGCTCATCTTGCGAAAGGCCCTTGGGTATCTCTGGATTATCGTCTTCATCGCGATAACCCCATTTTGGAATCATCTCGGGGGCGAAAGAAACGACGTTATTGTTGCGCAAGTGTATTTGGAAGGGATCCAGGCTTTCTGGTTGAAATACCTTGCAGTCAGGTTCGAGTGTATTCGACTTGTAGATCCAGGCCTTGATGTACACTAAGCTAGAGAGGGTTGATGTTAGAACAATCAGCTGAACGGAGAAAATCACTAACATACATTTTTGAATCCTCATCACTCAGATCTGGTGTTTCGAGCCGCGAGTCGAGGTATTGCATGATACCAGGAGGCAGCATCAGCTTGTAATTAAACACTCTGTGTGAGTTTGATACCATGCTATGAAACCACTTGATGAGCGATAAAGCTCGCTTGAGATCCCCGAAGACGTCCTCTGTGAACAAGAATGAGTGTCCCATGGCGAATATGGCTTCAAAATAGGCGTCTTCGCCGTAATAAAACGGGTCGGCCATCTGAAGCGGTTTGGACAGACGATAGTTCCAGAAGTTATACTGGCTTGACCAGAGAGGTCCTCGAATTTCGGGTCGCAAATTCTCGTAAAGCGTAAATGACTCATGAAACTTTCGTCTTTAGTAAGTTATCTTCTAGTCAAAAAGAACTTGGAGGTGGTCAATACATACCATGATAACGCCACGGGTCGTTTTCAGGAATTCGCCCCAGTCGGAGAAGATCTTGATTTCTGGGAATGTCTCGAGCCAAGTCTGAAGCCATTCACGGTCCCGAACGGAGTCGTCATCATTGCCCGCGCAGGGATGTAGATAGAAGTTGTGCGAAGGTGAGTAAAGTCCTGTTCCAGTGCCCTCCGAAACGGTCGAAAGCTTTTCCAATGTGATTTTGTAAGTAGATCGAAACATATCAGCCATCTCTTTCTTTGCGATTCCTACTGGAGAAAGCATCATTGTAGGATCTGTGCCAGCCGGTACGTCCGGAGAGGTATCCATGAGGTCGGTGCCTCCGGGATCATCTCCAACCCATTTAAGCTGCCCCTCATCGTCATTCGGTCTGCTCATTCTCCCCTTGTTTGTAGGTCGGTGTCTTTCAGCAATTTGAGGTGTCAAAAGAGATTGTGGCACGCCTCCTGAGACAGAGACACGTCTTCTCAGGCGCGGATCCGCGGGTGTCGAAACAGACTGCTCTGCCACTCTCGACTCCGATGATTGTGGCTCTTTAAGCAGGTTGCTATCGGAGGCTCCAATCGCAGGGCTTTGAATCGTAGAGATGAAACCTTTCGCAGGTTGACCGGGCTGATTCCCCATGACATCGTTCCTTGGGCGTGATAAGGCCCCCAAGCTGGCGCGTCTCATGGGACGATCGCTTCGGAATTGCACATTCGCGGGGAATTCTCTGCGACCTCTGGGTGGTTCATCTCTAGGTCGCGGTCCTTCCAAATCTAACAAAAAGGGTAGGTGTGGCCGTGCTGCAAGAAAAGCAGGCACACCGGCAGGGACCCTATCACTGTCGTAATTCAGGGAGGAAGTGATGTTGGTGGAGCGGCGAGAGTATAGCAGCCACACATTTCCCCACTGCTTGGAAGGACGATAGATAGCCACAGATTCTTGAGCACGGAGGTACTCCGTCACATGAAAAAGGTCATAGTTTGAGTCAGAAAAGCCTTCCATCCAAGCATTGCCAGACACGCGATTGTAGAGCGTCTGAAGAGATAGAACGGGATTAGTAGTGTTTTTGTATTCAAAGAGGGTGAATCACACCTGGTCACAGAGAGCGTCATATTGGCTTTTTGTGCAGACCTCCTTGAACCACATCTCCATCTGTGCTCCAGAACCCGTTGCGCGCTTCGAAGCAAGCAATTCGGATCTCAGCACACTTGTTAACCCGCATAGCCGCACAACACCAACAAAGTCTTTTCTTGGGCCAAAGTAAAAGTGCACGAGGACCTCTCCCTGATTCCAGAAATAACCACCCTGAACCATCCTCCCTCCACGCTCCTTTCCCTCAAACTTGCCGACAGGCATCTCTGCAATGTGATCCTCTGCGGTCATCTCTGCCCTGGTAGGAACTAGCCGGTTTTGTGATGGAGACGCCCTTGGAGCTATCGGATTTGAATTTGATTCGACGTGGAAAGAAGCAGGCCTTGTGGGTGCGGTAGGCCTAGATGAGTCCATAGAAGACGTCGCAGAGGACCGGTTCGCAATTGGCTGGGGCGAGCGGGATCGTGAATGAGAGCGCGATCTGCGTCTGTGAGGCAACTCTTCAAGGATTGCATTAGATTGCCCGCGAGGTAAACCCTCCACTGGTCGCCCTGTAATTCCCCAAGGTTTGGAGCATTCCGGCCGATAACTATCCTCTCCGCCATGGGGATACGGAGTCGTATCAGTAACTCGCCTTGGGGGGACCATCACGATCTGGGCGCCAGCTGTCGTGCCTAGAACGTGAAACCCGGGCATCGTCGAGCCGGGTGGCTCTTGAGGGCCTACTCGATCTTTCTGCTTCGAGAACCCTCGGGTCAAACGAACGGTGTCCAGTGGGGATCCGTGTGGAATTCGCTGGAGTACTTAAAGCTTTGGGCATGGGTTCTTCCGCCTTGTTTCTCAGGTTGGCGGAGGGCTGAGATTTAGCTGATGACCGTATCATTGTCAATGCGGCGGCATCCGCGCCTGCACCTCTTGCAGAGAAGTCTGATGGTCTCAAGAGCTCCACATCATTGACGTCTGGCGCCCAGGAATTCCTTAGAATACGAGGGCGGGCTATTCGGGCTGGCTTAGGCGCAGTCCCAAAGGTAGAAGGAGCAGGTCTCTGTTTAGAGGACGAGGAAATGGGTCGAGGAGGCGCCGTCGCCGATTGCTGTGAGTGTGTCAGCGGCGGTTGTTGTTTAGGTCTCTCTTGATGCATTCGTTGTTCCGGTTGAGCTGCCGGCTGAAGAGAACTCTCTGGGTCATATGAACTCTGCCTTTGCCGATTTTGCTCTTGTGGCTTCAATGCCTCTATAACTGGGGCATTCTCGTGCTGGTTGCTGTCTGGTCGTTGACCACTTCGGGATCGAGTTCGACGAGGAGAACTCCGGCTTAGCTGGCGCTCAGCCTCTCGATCAAGCTCAATTGCATGACTTTCAATCTCATATTGGGAGGTTCGGCTCGTCTTAGTTGATGCGGTGACGGCTGGAGCTTCATCCTGGGACACAAACAAAGAGTCACTTGAGGAAACTGAAAGGACTGAGGCGGGCCTCTTTGACGCGGGGTTCTGAACTACGGCGTTAGCGTCTGCCTCCACGGTGAGATCAAGGCTGACGCCTCTTTCGTTCCTCTCGGTCCTTGAGACTTGCTCAGGAATCCGATCCATAGCTGCATGGACCTCTTGCGCATTGGCATCACCCCTGGGCAGAAAAGGCACTTCGTCTTCGCCGGAATCATCGTCATCGTCGGAAAACAGTCTTAGACGTCCACGATGAGTATAGGGCCGATCGAGAACTCTCGGTAAATCTACCCCCCTAGTGTTCTCACCGTCTCCAGGATCAGAAGGCTCTTTGTCAGAATCGGCAGAGAAAAGTTTTGGTCGACCGCGATCGGATCTTTTGAGACTTTCGAGCCTCTTTTTGGCCCTTATAGCTCTTTTGATCCTGCGATTTCTCTTTCGACGCTCTTTGTTTCTCTGGAGCCTCTCCTGCTCTTTTGTCCATTTGTCAATATCAAATGGATCTCGCAGACCCTGTCTGATTTCTCGCTTTGCCTGCTTCCAGTCGTTCATAACCTCAACAACATGTTTGAAGCTCTCGGGACCCTCCCATGTTGCTCGATGTTCAGGATATCCGGCCCATTTGATAAGGTAAAGCCCGCTGTCTTCATCCTCGAAGAGAATCGTCTCCACCTCATACTCGTCTTGTGGCTCGCTTTCGACAGTTGACGCCAGAGAGTCGTCCGCATCAGAGAGTTCTGCGTCTCTCATTTCCGTCTCAAATTCCATATTGCAATGGTATGGTGAATCTGATTACAAAGTTGAATCGTGGAGAAGAGTGAGCTCTGATAGTGTTGATGGTGCAGGCACCAGAGGCAGCTTGGCAATTGTATGAGCTAACCAGTAGCAAGGCTACTAGCCCTAGCTCCAGGGTATTGATACATGCAGCAGAGGTTGCGAATTCTTTACTAAAACGGATGTGCGTCGCATGTATGCTTAGGTCTACAAGCAAGTGAAGGCGGCAAAAACGCGGCCCCACGTGACCGGACGTTAAGGAGGCACTCCACTTCAAGAGGCATCACAACTCTCTCCCTATCGCTACAACATACTTCTCTAATCTTCTCTTTTCACCACTTTTTTTTACCATTTATTCACCATGGCCAACGACGAATACGACGTGAGTTTCCGCCGCTATCTTTCTATTTGTCTTGCCCGCTGACCTTGACTGCAGTTTCTCTTCAAAGGTAACGTTGCCTCGTGTGGATATCGCCTCACTCCTCTTTCGCCGGCGACCGGCCCGAATGTCGATTGCGGATAGACTAACGACTGAATAGTGGTGTTGATCGGAGATTCGGGTGTCGGTAAATCCAACCTGTTGAGTCGTTTCACCCGCAATGAGTTCAACCTAGAGCTCCAAGTCCACCATCGGCGTGGAGTTTGCGACTCGTTCGATCCAGGTCGACTCTAAGACCATCAAGGCACAGATCTGGGATACTGCTGGTCAGGAGCGCTACCGGGCCATCACCTCTGCCTACTACCGTGGCGCCGTCGGTGCCCTCCTCGTCTACGATATCAGCAAGCACCAGACCTACGACAATGTCAACCGGTGGTTGAAGGAGCTGCGTGACCACGCTGACTCTAACATTGTGATCATGCTGGTCGGTAACAAGAGCGATTTGCGACACCTCCGTGCAGTTCCCACCGAGGAAGCCAAGCAGTTTGCCAGTATGTGTCGAGACTCGGGGAAATCAATGGCGGGGCTTTAGTACTGACCGTGTTGATAGGCGAGAACAACCTCTCTTTCATTGAAACTTCTGCCCTTGACGCCAGCAACGTCGAGCTTGCATTCCAAAATATCCTCACAGGTGGGTAACTTGCGGACACGAGACCAAGCATGTGCCTATGCTAACTACCTCTTTCTGTACTAGAAATTTACCGCATTGTCTCCAGCAAGGCCCTCGACTCCGGTGAGTCTGGCCAGAACCAGCCCGGTGCCCGCCAGCCGGTCATCGATTTCACGCCCCAGGACAGTGAGCAGAAGCAGGGCTGCTGCTAGACGACCCAGGAGGACCGACCGCAACGACTCTTTTTTTTTACAATGTGAAACTGGAATGGCCTGGGTCCGTGACGGAGTGTGGAATTTGATGCAATGATACACAAACGGGATGCGGTAGAAAGCATGGGACGAGGTGTTCCACCAGGACATATTTCCCAATAGTCGGACTTTGGCTTCGATTTTTCTTTTCTGGTCTATTTCTTGCTCTGGTCCCCTATGAAATTGATTCCTCCGCCAGAGGTGTTCCTAATCAGTTCTGTTCTTACCCCCTTCCCCGCGGTCGCAGTTGCACTATGGCTAGGCGTCACGTGTGATTATTTATGCCTTGAAATTCAGTATACGCCTCATACCCCTGGGTCTGGAATATTCAGTCGTACCTTGAGTTGTCGAGTAATGCGTGACTACTGCGTAAAGTGGTGCACTGTGACTGTGAACTGTGAAAGTCTAGAGGTCGGTCCAGATGCCACGACTTGGGTCCACATTACAGTCTCCACTTGACTATGCTTGTCCGAGGCCACTTTCCCACATGTGCAGGGCGCTGCCACACCAATCCCCTAATGTACTTAGGCCCTTTTGCATGGCCTTCAATCCGTGGTGGATTCTCTTCTCGTCTAAAGCGCTTGGAAGCCACATACACATCTAGGCCCCCTGCCAACATCTGTATTAGCTTGCGTTTCGCCTAGCCGCAGGTTCCTCCTGAGCCAATCAGTGAAACCCTATCTGCAAGCCCTGTAATGAATTTGCAGATCCAAAGATCTTTAGGGTTTAGTAAAGGGAAAGGGTTGAATTAGCCTGAAGCGTGTCCATAGCAATTCCCGGCTCAAATTACCCTCCATCCGTCTTAGGGAGACATTGGAGGCTTCAAAATAGAGAGCACATCTATCGTTTGAGTCTGTGTAGACATGTACACCTTAGTTCCTGAGAATTAATCATTGGAATACCCAAGGGCCTTTTGAAGTGGGTAAGCCCGTATCATTCATCTGCAGGATGCTCGCATGTTATCGCCCGTGAGGCTTGTACTTGCAGATCCTGACACCGGACTAGCACCAGAGGGGCATGCTGTCGAGGTTCCTCAGATTGCATTGATCAGGACATATATATTCAGCGTCATATCGGAGGAGCTGTAGGGCAATATGCACGACTACAGTAACAATTCTGATCCGAAACTTGCCTCAATTGGCTAAGGCAGAAGAGCCTAAGATCTACGCTTGGAAGACGTGACGGTATACATCAGTACTCGTGAGTATCGAGCATGGAATAGGTATGATTTACGAGGACGTAGAACTTGATAAGAATGCGAAATACTTTTTGACATTAACCGATATGAAAATTTGCCTTGACGCCGTAATAGACCATGAAACGTCGCATCAGATATACATGTAGTCGAAGTAGTCCCGAAGGGCAGATGCTCGAGGAAATTGGCGACGAAAAAACACACAAGACCATCTATGCGAAAAGCTTTCTTGTCTCCATGGCGTCCGGTTTCCGGGAGGAGTTGTCCGTGAGGCCCAGGTCAGTACGCTTAGCGACGCGTTCCGTCTGGTTATCACGGCGCTGAGAATAGCGGCCGGCCTTGCTCATGCGAATCTCACGACGAACCTGGTTGGGGCTGACGTATTCCTTGTTCTCGTAGATGACGGGACCGCCGAAGCTGCCCTCCAAGATGACAATGGGGGTCAGGACGAAGCGGGGACCGATCTCCACCAAGGAGACCTCAGGCAGGCCATCCTTGCCCTTGGGAGTAGGCTTAGCAGTCTCCTCGCCGTCCTTCTTGCTGTTACCCTCGGATTCGCGAATCTCGTACACGCGGATCCAAATCTTTCCGTCAACACCGAAGATACCAATGATACGATCAACGAAAGGCTTCATGCCCTTGACACCGCGCTTGGGGACACAGAAGACACCGCGCAACATCTCTCGGATAAGACCCCGGTATTCAGAGCCAGGTGCAGCCATGTCGGGACCCTGCTCGTCGAATGACTTATCGAAGACCACCACACCTCGGCCGCCCTTGAGGCAATTGCCCGCGAATCCGGCACCGAGCTCGCCCATGGTGTGCAGGTTGTTGAGGTGGAACTTGATGGTAGGGCCATTCGGCGGGCGCGAAAGCCAGAGGTAGAGATCTTGCCCGTTCTTGCGAGCCTCCAGGAAGAAAATCATGTTGCACGAGTGGAGATCGGCGAGCGAGTTCAACAACAAGTTGTAACCGGCGGTCTTCTTCTTCGTGTCAAGCTTGGTCTCTTTGTGGGTGTGGGGGAGAAGGGCGCAGAGATCGGTCATCAAGTGTCGGTGGCTAGAAGGTCGCAAAGAACCGTCGGTTAGCAAAAGAAGCCTGCAACACTGTAATTGTGATTCTTACCGGTGAGAAGCACCTCGAGAGGTGAGAATGAGAACTCGGGTCTTGGGCATGAATCCAGCAGCCAGCTGCTTCTTGGCCTCAGCGATACGGTCTTCTTCCTCATCTTCTTCGCTGTCGGTGGTGTCGTCCGCATCGTTCAACAAATCTTCCATTTCCATGTCCATATCCTCATCCACGTCCTCGACAGGCTGACGCGCCTTCTTCTTAGCGATACTTTTGTAAACTGCTGCCATGGTGACTTTCGAATTCGCAACAGCAAGTGTGACTGAATTTGAGCAAGAAGCTTCGGAGAAAAGTTGATGGCAGAATATTTTTTGTTATTCACCGCCCGACCCATGCCAAGTGTCACGTGTGTCTATCTGCCTTTTGCCCCATAGTTTACAATTGACCAATGCCAATACGGAAAGATAGAGATAACAATTGATTTTATTTCTATCATGAAGAGGGCTTTTTTTTCAGCCATTGGAACTCATTGTCATTGTAGAAGTACCCGATCAAGCCCAGAAAATCCTTCTTGGAATACTTTTATGCCCGCCACTTTCGTGCCAAATTCAACACATTGCGCAATGGGCTTGTCCTTGTCTTTGCAGTTCAATGCATAGAGCATACCAGCAATGAAGGTATCTCCAGCTCCAACAGGGCTTTTAGTTGTCAGTAGGTCTCTTACAAATTAGTATTCCGAAACTTAACTCACTCAACAACTTCAGCGTGTACTTTTCCATAAGCAGGGATCACGATAATTTCTCTGGTTCTTCTTCCGTCATAAGCGCCGGCTCCATCAGCGCCCCATGTGCAGCATATGAGTGACCTAAATCGCAAAACGGTAAGTTGATGCTCTATAATCAGATGACCGCGCACCTACTTTGGTGACCTTGAGGCTTGTTTCGATAAACAATCCTCTATTGACGTATATCCTTTGCTCTAGACTGATGATTAGTGATCTGAAAAAATTATTTCAAGTAAGCGGGGTTGTTTACGAGCGCCCATGATTTTGCAATGAAGATCACATCGGCCGCATCGGCAAGCTCCTGGAGACCAGGCCGGCCCGGCTTCTCAGCCTCGATACTTATGGAAATAGAGGGGAAATGCTTCCTGAGATATACAATGCAGCCCAAGACTACATCTGGAATTCGACCCTATGATCATCAGTATTGAATTTCTCGGTAGTAACAGAGCAACAATGCAAAGTCCACACACCTCGAAATGGAACCAGGTCGCCTGGGGACCCAGCTTATCTGCAATGGGAATGAAATCCTCCACAGTCATCTCCGGTAGCTCATTATAGTTGACGACTGTTCTACTACCAGTCGATTGGCTCTTGATGATGAAGCATGAAGCCAGGTCTTGAAACTGCTCGCGGTAGATGCAATGGTCGAGTCTCACATGGGGCTCAAATGAAGAACGTATTTGCTGTGAGGCTAATGACTCCTTTGCGGGTAAGATCGAGATGAGGTTCAAAGATGGTTTGATTGCTGTTGAATGGTGGGCAACTAATTGTTGCAGTACCTCCAGAGTGTTGGGACAATTTCCGCCTCGTCGACGGATAATGCTTGATGCTCGCAACTTATCATCTTCTTCCGGATAGTAGGGTGTACTTTTGGTCCAGTCATATTAGGCTCACGTCCATGAAATTCAATGGATTTCTCGACATGCTTGGTAATGAACAACTTACGTGAGGATTGTGTCGAGGTAGCATGCCCCGACTGCAACGAGAGACATGTCAATTTTTCTACGAGATAATACTTTCATTTGACACTGGAGCGCATAAATGAAAGTCAGGGTCGGGGTAGACTCAAAGCTGTAACTCTGATAGAATCTCGGGTTGTAGCGCGGGGCGGATTAGTCATAGGATCTGTTTTCGCGACCTTTGGGGGAAAGACCAAGGTGTGACGTGCTCTGGAAATCATCAACCCGCCGGTGGATGAACAACAATGCAAGGTGTGGAATCTTTGGTTTGAATAGTCTTAACGGGAAGCGGGAACTCTGAAAGCCCACTCATGCCATGACGCATTTGAAGCATATGCACGGCAGAATTTCGAAGCATTCATCAATAGACACTTCATCAGACATATATCAAAATCAGTCTTTTTCCTTGACAAGAGCACCGTGCTGAAACCACAGGGAAAGTCTGGTCTTTCAACGCCCTCGTGATTACATCGGCCATTCGTCGCACTACTTGTTTGCTGCCAGGGCAAGGTACATCACGTGCATAGCGCATTGTCACAACAAACGCTACTTCTTGTCCGATGAATGGAGTGATTCTTCTTATTGGGATAAAACCCGCATTCGATGCTTATTTTGTCTTCTTTGGTGCCTTCAGAAACCCATGGTGGTGTGCTGGCCTGGTATCGCGTGTCGCACCTTTCAACCCTTAGATCAATGTGCTAGATAGTAGCCTTCTGCGGTGGACTATTCATCAATGATGGCACCTTTGAGTTCCATCGTCAGTATGTGGACAAATACTCTGGCATGTTTTCCTCTGAGTCCTTTGTCCATGGGAATTATCGCTCTTTATCAAAAGCCATGGGCGTGCTGGAATAGTGCGATCTAGATTCCCACTGGAAACCACTCAATCCAATTATCATCATTAGAGATTCATGGCCTCACATCCTTGTGTTTACCAGTTCCAAAGCTACCAGGTCTAAACATGGGCCAGCGAAGCAAAGTGTTGGAAACCGAGGGCCAAACCCCCCCCCTATTTCTTTACGCATTCATCAAGCAGCTAGACGTGAAGAGTGTGAGAATATCCCATCGTCTGCATCCACAGCTGAAGCAATGACTGACTGCGAGGCAATTTTAGGTCGATTGGAATCGGCTTGCGTCTGATCTCGAGATTTCAAACGGGCACGCACCGCGCATGCGGTATTCACGATTCAAGTCCAGATTGATCCTTCATCAGTCCGAAAGTACGCAAGGAAGAAAAATACTAAGAAGGGCGAGAAAGGTGAGTCCAAGGTTGATTTGCCCGCATCTGCCCTGGCCCCACGCCAATGCAAATGCAAATGCAATTTTCGATGTCAGCTCCAGGGCCGGTGCCAAAGATGGAGCCGTTCAGTCCTCACTTCTCATCGAGCGCATGCATCAAGTGCGAGCCCGGGGAGCCGAAGAATGCTGCGAATCCAGCTTTCGCCGATATTCCCAGCTTTCAACATCATTTCCAGCGCATGATGTCTTTTGACAGCATGCCATGCCCATCAAATTCGTCACACTATGTGGCTCATGAATTGCAACATTCAATGGTTTTTGGTGTTTCATCTCCGCGACAGGCGTCGGGTTTGCTGCATAATGAAAGTCCATATTCATCAATGCCAGTACCCAACGAAGTCAATACGCGTACCTTCTCTTTGCAACAACCAATATTCAACAACGCGCCTGTGATAACATGGGAGTCTCCTGCACCAGCTCAACGGGGATCAATACCCGTCAAGATCAAAGACGAGCCAGAGATTGATCGTGGCGTGGAAATCTGTGAAGCTCCAAGACAGATTGAGGAGCTTCGCAAATGATAGGGTGACAGATCGGGCAGATGGAAGGCTGCCTGGATGAAATTCTCACGCTGCGTATGTGGGCTTTTTTGGAATGTTGATCAGCTCCTTGATATCTGACCTTTGTGTGATCTTAAACATCTCAGACCTTTTGATAGATCGTAGGGTGATACCAGAAGCCAACAAGAAGGTCAGGATGTAGCCGAAGAGTCTGACCGGAAGCGATCATACCGCGTGATAGACAATCTGCGTATCCAAGAAAAATAAGGTGAAAAGATTTGAACTTCGTCAAATTCATGAAAAATGTATGGACTGTAGCCATCATTCAGACAATGGAAATGGATGACTTAAATTCATGAAGGCTTGGGTAGTTCCCACACACACACAATGTCTATCTCTACCATAGCCTGAGAATGTTTCTTTATGTCGCTTGTCTTAACTCCAAGCTAAATCAATAGCACCCCTCTGTACTACTCAAGATCTCTGAGCACTGATCTTATAAATTCTAACTGGCTGTTTAAGGAATCTCTATGATGTTTGCGACGCTCTAGATACAGGTGCGAAGCGGCGACTAGAAGATTTTTAATATTTAGATAACGGAAGAGGAATTGTTTCGCAATAATCTAGACCGAGAATAGACAGTCAAATCAGAAGCATGTTTTGTTTACATGATTGAGCATTCTGACCAGCTGCACGCAAATGAAAAAGTTCTTGCCTGAAGGAAAAGCTAGGAACCTCAACAGACAAAACAATAGAATTGTGTTCTGGGAAGAAATTCCACAATGTAACATCATAAGGGGTCTTGCCACAAGTCTCATTTGCATTGCAGAAAGGATTCAGGGCGAGGTCGAATAGAGACGTCTCCAGCTAGTAGACGCACGGAGGCTCAGAGGTTGAAACACACTAGTTCTCGTCGGACTGGGTATTTCTCTCCTCAGCATCGCTATCGATATGCTCCGTTTCACCCTTGATGGACTTGTTGCGGGTAACAGCACGCTTGGCCTTTGAGACACTAGAGCCCGTAGCCGACGTGTCCTTGGACGAAGCCTCTAGCTGCTTCTTTAGCCCACGAATATGCTGCCGAACTGCATGGACAGTACATCCTGAGATTTAATATCAGCTGATATCCTCCATAACCGGGTTTGGAGATATGGAATAGTGCCACTTGCCGTCGCCGAAACGGCGAGCAACTTCGTCCCAGTCAATGGAACCAGAACCAAGGTTGTAGATCTCAACAAGCAGCTATAAAGGTGTGTCAGAGCATATGAGGTTATTCTAGGCTGGACGAGGTCCTTTGAAGCGAACACGTACTCGCTTGTCGGCTTCATGGCTCCAGGTAACCATGACTGCGTGATTCGCTGGACCGAATACTTTGCTTTATAATGACAAGTCCGGAATGGGGACAAAGAATGTGCGATTCAAATGCTGAAGAGTCGGCGCATTTGCGTGAAGGGGTTGGGGTATGCTTGAAGAGGGTTGGCAATGAAGTCGTGTTTGACTGTGTCGTGGAGGGCAGCTCAGGTCAGGACTCGCGTGACCCGTGAGATCACAGACTGGTGTGAGTGAACCCAGGGGCACGTGAAAGTTGGTCTCGATCGCTTTGTTCATTTATTGCTCTGCAGGCTCCCTTCTCTTCGATTGTGCCTTCAGTTGTCGCCCGGTGCATAACTACCACCCTACTACAGTTGTCTACACAAGAAGCGAACAATGGAGCTGACTCTTCTGGGGAGCATTTCAAGACGATTCTTAAATTAATTTTTTTTTGCCTTGCTTGTGTCAAGGACATTTCCAGCAAAATGTGCAAGTGCCTGAAGAGCTTACCAGCTCGGAGGGCACATCAAAAACAGAGCAGACATCGCATTATGGCGATGTAAATTCAAAAACGCAGAATTTCGCGTATTGAGAAGCCTAATTTCAGCGGCAGGCAAGTTGACTCCTCAGAAAGCCTGCCACTGGCCATCTCTCAGTCGATGATTAAGCCTCTCCACAGAAATTATCCACCTCTTCCTCGACGTTGCGGCTGGGATCAGTGGGTTTCACCCGCTTTTCATGATCTTTATACTCCGAGGTGTCCTCTGCAACATATTCGGCCTCCTCCTCAGTGGAGGCAGGGGTTGGAGTGGATACACGCTTGCGTTTCAGGCCGGTCTTCTTGAGCGTACCCGCCTTGGAAACAGACTTTCGTCCTTTGCGGGGTGACGGGCTTGACTGCGCGAGACCGGCAGTGTCTTTAGCATTCTCCCTGATCTTGACAAGACGCTCCCTGATTGCACGAGGGGTGGGGCGATTTTCAGCAGGTCCGGCTAGAAACTTGTTAGGCAAAAATGGTACGAGTGAGCATGGTACTTACGCCAGGCGGCTGCGACTTTGGCGTAGTCAACGTTCAGGTCTTGAGTCTCCAGGATTTTCAAAAGAAGCTGTACAAGAGAGCATTTGTTAACCCTGACTCTAGAAAGATGAAGTAAGCGGGCAAAGAGAGGAGATTCTCACAGTTTGGTCAGCATCTGCGGTCCAACGAATCGGCATCGTGGCGAGCTTGAGGTTGCGGTCTTGGAATGGTAATTGAGATGGTGTGCAGTGAGACTGGAGAGAGTTGCAGTGAGATTGAAGAGAGTTGGAGTGAGATTGAAGGAAGTAGCTGGAGTGTCGAGAAAGTAACCCTTGGAATGAACTAGTGAGAGCTGGAGTCAAGGAAAGTGAGCGTCTGGGTAGCAGAAGATTTGTTAGGTAAATGAGAGAGGACGCGCTTTCTTCACGCGATCTTCTACCTGACTTCGCCTCGAGAGAATTACTAAGCTCCATTTGAAGCTAGACATAGTCACTAAGCTAGGAATTACTTGATGGGATAATTTGGCTCAGATAATTTGAAAAGCTGTGCGCGGGTGTCATCTCACTAAATGCAATTGAATGAAGAGGATTCGGCGGATACTTCCTGGCAAAACCGCCTCCAAGCTCTTCTTGTTACTGTCTGACCACGGAATCCGCGCGATACTCTTGGACCTCCAAAGATAGTGCCATTCATCATCCCACAAACCCATGATGGCATTGGCTCCTTGTGGTGAACCGTTTCTCACCAATTTCCTCTTCACGTCAGACAACGTTCAGGGCACCAGGCTCATTACCTACCCTGTACGTGGGAAATAAGTATCCGTCTCAGTGTGCTACAGGGGAGAGAATTGGTCTGAGAGGTAATTAAGTTGTGTTGGGGGTGGAATTGGGCAATTGGAATCATTGAATGCCGAGAATTATTGGGGGAATTGATTCTGGGTTTTCAGCTGTTTGACTTACACGGCACATGTATCGAAGCAATTGAAATCAAGTCCAAGAGATCGCTCATTAACTTGTATCTAGGTTCACCCTGAGAGAGCGATTTTTATTAGTTCTGGTTTACCTGGCTGTATTCTCGCCTTCAGTTTCAATTTATTCCCTACACATAGTATATTCGACTTTTGAGTGAGTTTGGCAGCTATTGACCGTACTCACAAGTAGTAAGACTATTTTGACATTTCGTATTAGATACATCTGATTTTAAACTAGCTTTTGTAAATTCCATTCGATTCATCCTTAATTATACCAAGGGGTGTTTTGAGAATAAAAAGCTTTATATGGAAATGTGTGCGCAATGACAAGAAAACGGGGTCGATGGAAAGCGAATAAATGTGGGCATTTGAACACAATATATACATTTCGTACCTCATCACATCTGCTTCTCTAGCAGCTACTGGCAAGTCTAACATATCGCCTTACAGGTACAGTGTCCTTTGAGCCACTCTCCTCTCTTTCGCACGCGCATATGATACTTATGGCGTCATCACAAACAAGCTTAAATATCAGCCATAACAGATTCCACAATTTTGCGTTTATATTGAGACAAAGCCCGTTCCTTCTTCTGCATCTGTGTTCGTAGCTTCATGTATCGTTGCCTCCACGTTGATTCAGAGACAGGAAGTTTCAGATCTTCTTCTTCTTCTTCTTCTTCTTCTTCTTCTTCTTCATCATAATCAAATTCGGCTAGAAAATTATTCCCAGAGTCGTTGAGCGGATCCGTTGTTATCATGGTCCTACTGAAGGAACCAGAATCTGCTGTTTGCAGGCTGTGAGTTCCAAGAGCGATCTGCATGGACAAATGACATGACTGGCTATACTCGAGCGAAACGGTAAATCTTGTCTCAATATCAGACCCTTGAGCTATGCTATCGCCGTGGTTACTCGAGGAATTGGAATGAGCAGTGATTATGATCATCACTGGATGAGGTGCTGGATTGTCGAAGTGATGACCTATGCCCAGGGAGAATGCCAGAAGAGGCGATGGAATACCACCTGGCAGATGCGAATACATGGTCAGAATTCTAGCCACCATTTCCGAAGCCAGACCATGGGCTTCTCCATCATTCAATGGTACCGCCCTCCCGTTATACGGGCTTGGAGAAGCTCACAGGATAGAGCGCGAATTACTTTATCCGTTGGGATATTGGAGTCGGCACGATCAAGGCCTTGACTATCAACAGGGACTGCGTCATGACGTTGTCGAGGGCTTTGAGGCTTCTCCACTGGCGGCATGACCGCACCATTTACTCCATTGACCAACAGAGTTGGGGGCGTGACCAACCTCACAGGGGCTCCCAAGTTTTGAGGAACCTGCAGTTGAAGCTTACCCGGCCTTCCATTATTCGTGCGGTTGGGTGACTGGTTGTAGGATGTTGGATTTGAAGTCGAGGACTTTTGGTCAACTGGGAATGGAGAGGATAGAAAGTGAGATCCTTGTGGAATTTGTGAAGATTCTCGACTAGGGTTGACTTGAAAGGTGGAAAACGATCCTGACGCTGATGGCTTACTGGGTGGCCTCCCTCGGCTCTTGCCAGTCGATGAGCCATTGCTGCTCGGCCACGCAGATGAAACAGCCGGGCCATGTCGCCGCCGAATCCGGTTCCTATCACTCGATGATGGCGTAACAGCTGACATCGGCTCGGCGGATATGATAACATCAGCAGCTTGGTTTCCTCTGGGAATGATGGCTGACTGGGGATAATTAGCGGGTGATGTATCTCGTTCTGGGAGTCTCCAGCGAGGTTCTTGTCCATGTTGGTCCGACGCACCCGCCTGAGGGAATGCAGATGACGCCGTCATCCATGGATCGTGACCATCATTGTCAGTATATGCACTGAAAGGGATAGCACTCTGTGGAAAGGTAATCGAGTGTTCTTGAAAGTTTCCCTGATGCAACGCTGACACAGAAGTGTCTAGCTGGGGCCTCTTGGTTACTTTTTCCTCTTCGAGTTCTCTTTCTTCGGCTCTCTTCCTACCCCGCTTAGGCTTCCACTGAGGAACCAAAGCTCGTAGTGCCAAGTCCTCCTCAAGTGGTACGCCGTCGCGGGATTCGCTCACGAAAGGGCCGGAAGGTGGAAGCTGAGTGTAGTACGCATGAGGATGACCCAAGCAATACTCGAAGAAAGCATCTACATGCATAGCACGCATCCAACGCTAACATGAATTAGAGGTATTCAACGGTACAGTGAGTCGGAACGTACCTTGAGCCTGACAGCGTACTGCTGAACCTTCTGAGTACTTTGTTTCTTTTCCACTGAAGGGGGTTTCCACGCCGAGCTCAATCGCTAATTGGATCCACGTTTTGAGCTCTTTTTTATCAAGCTTGCGAATGAGCTCAAATAGCCTGAAGACACTGAAGCTTTTGCCATCGCTGCGTGGGGGGCAGCGAAACGTCTTCCTCAGCTCGGAGGTATCAACAGATGAAGGGACATTGGGGTTGCAATACAATATAAACATAACATAGGTATCATCAATTGTTTCGTCATTCACGTCTTTAGAAGGTAGCACCCGAGATTCTGCTTGATCTGTGGGATCTTTCATTTGATGTTGACGCATGACCTCGAAGAGTGGTGGAGACATGGACGAAACGGAGCGAGCGGCCCAAGAAGAGGGTATAGCAGAGCGTATTCCCTTCGGAGACGACTGTAGGCTCCTAGGAGTTTCTTTGCGATGCATCGGTGGTGATTTGTTCAGTTCTGTTTGACTTCGAGCACTTCCTAATGAAGAAGCACTTTGGAGCGCGGACTCCAGGGTGGATGGGTATCTCGCGAACTGCTGGATCACCATTTGCGGAACACCGATATCATTTCGGCTTGAGTGATCATTTGTTTCCATCACGGGGAAGGTGGTTTCCATTCCGATATCGGGACAGCTGCCAAACCCCAAGCACAGAGCAGGATAAACACACGCAACGTAGGCCGACAATCAAGCGTTTCATTAGTCACATCAGTCAGTCCCACACTATTGCACACTCAGGGCCGACAATTATTGTGCACAATATCAGTAGAAATATAAACCGTCAGACAACCCGAGAGAGTGTCGAAGTGGCTGGAGGCCCATTCGAGCTCCGAAGCTGAGTTTCTATTTTTGGTCACATCTAGTGATGCCATTTCAGGCTTAGTCTTGTGGCCTGAGGGCGGGGGTTTGATGCCTGGTCCATAGTCACGTTCCACGCTAGTCCCTATCTGGCTTAGTCACATATCATTTTGCTTATCGATAACGGGTGATCGTTCCTGCCGTTGCATCCGCCTTGCCAGACGAGTTTCAACGATCGATTTGACCATGGTCTAGAGTTTGACCCCCACTGCAGCATGTTTATGTGAAATGTCCTGATTGTGCGCATTCTCAAATGATGTTGTTGTGTGCCCGCATCTAAGATAGTGCCCCCTCCCCACTTCGCTATGACTCCATCGCGCTCCGGTCCGCGCGCCCGGCCCCATCGCCCCATTCGTCAAAACCGCACGCGAGTTCAAACCTATCATGAGAGCACATCAGAAGACGAGGCCACTGCGGGTCTGGATTCCGAGTCTGGCAGGTCTCGCCGTTCGTCGCTCACTTTACGACCTCGTGATATACACCCATCTTATCGCGAAGAGTCGACCGATGCAGACTGGGGTGATATTCCCGAGGAGAGCGATGCTGAATCATACGATATGGCTCCTGTCAACCCTCCAGATCCATCAGTTGTTGCATCTCAAACAGCTGCCGAGCCCTCCCCTCGACTTACGAGCGCTCCGAGGCGCCAGTCTTCCCGGCGCACGGCTTCGAAGTCATCAAAGCCCAAACGACGCCGGACAATAAAGAACGAACTAGGAAAGCCTTTGAGAAAGCGACAGAAGGTGGAAACAAGCGACGATATCCTTGTGGGATCTGGGGTTATCCCTCCATGGCAGACGCTGCCATACCAAGTCTTGCTTGACATATTTCTTCGTGCATCCTACCCGCTGCTCAATGAACAGCAGTTAGTCCGAACAGACTCTGTCAAATGGCTTGTGAATGTGGCACTGTTATGCCGAGCCTTCCATGAACCCGCTCTCGCAGCTCTCTACCACACTCCCCCTCTGCTTCCTACTTTCAAGAGCCATGGCTTGTTGAAACTTCTCTCCATGCCGCCAGGTTCATGTACTTTGAACTACGCCGCAAAAGTTAAGGAGCTTCATGTCGACGTAGAACATGTTCTTCTCTACAAGAGTGGACCCACGTTGGGCTACTTTGATCTTGCACGGTTGGTTGAGAAAACACCCCAGGTCCAGACCTTGCGACTATACCACAAAGATGATGACACTGTCGGGATTCCCCCTTGGAATATCACACCGTCAAAGTGGCTTTATTCAGATCATTTGTTCGCAGCAATTGACCGCGCTGGGCTGGTTCTTCGCAGTTGGGACTGGAACGCTCGTTTCCTTCCAACTTCCGAACTACTGCCCTTCATGTTGGAGAAGCATCTGCGACCTGCCTTTCGGGGTTTGAAGAACATCCGACTACTTCATCTTGGTGATGGTGAACCCGAAGACCTGACCATCCAAGAAGCTGCACTTGCTACATCTCTCCAGGCACTTCCTGAGATTGAACGCGTGGAGCTCATTGAATGCACTGTGGTCAAAGACAGTTTCCTACCTCGACTTCCTACGACCATCCGCTCTCTTACTCTGTCCAACTGTGACCGTATCTACTCCAAATCATTTCTTGAGTTCATGCAATCTCACGGCCAACATCTGCGAGAACTGTCCTTGAGTCATAATCGTCATCTGAACATGGCGTTTAGTACCGAGCTCGCTCACTATTGCCCCAATCTGAGAAAATTCAAAATGGACATCTCCATCCACGATGCGTCTACCTACCATGACACTGAGCCTCACTTCGCTGAGCTCATCAAGGAATCCGAGATACCGACCTGGCCAGAAAGTCTGCAGGAAATCGAATTAATTCAACTTCGACGATTGGATCATAGCACAGCGGAATCATTCTTCATGTCATTGATCGATTCTGCCCCAAAACTGCCAGACCTTCGGAAACTAGTCATTAGCGCGATCCTTAAAATACCTTGGCGTGATCGTGCGCACTTTCGAGAGCGATGGATCAGCCGACTGGAGAAAACCTTTCTACGACGCAGTCGGCCCCCAAACCCCAATTTACGCTCTCTCAGTAAGCGAAAGCTGCACAACATCCCGCCTACCTTGGATTTAAATGAGATCACTTCACGTCCGGGGATTGCTGGCAGTGAGCTGTCGGCCCCTTCCATCCGACACAGTTCGCGGCTAGCGGAGAGCAAGGCTTCAGAGGCTCAAGAAAATTGCAAAGTGACTCCGTTTGCTTTTGGTCAGTTTGAAGAAGACGATGTGCAAGGAATGTGCGACGTGGTATCGATTCGAATCGACAACCAACGACCCAGCGATATGCAATTCAACGAAAATGACTTCCTTGACGATGAACCGAGTGACGACTCGGACTGGAATGGTGACCCTTATGAAGACTGAGCCCGGGCTGCCTCATAATGATCTTTTTTTTCGCCCTCGGACATTGATTACCTGGCTTTATTATCGGCGCAATTGTTTTCAGGGCGACAAACATGGGATAGGTCATGATATTGGTGTTAGATGGCGTGGCCTTTTCTTACTTGGGGTTTCTTACTTTCCTGTCTCTCTCTTTGTGCTTTCCTTACAATTTCCTCACGGCTTGTATAATCTCTAAAATGCGGGGGACCAGGGGGATAGGGATATGAGATGGCTAGGTGATACGAATACACTAGAAATGTACAACAATTCCAAAAGCGTGATCGCCAAGCCCAGCCTCATGGCCCCACAGGATCGTCGGAGCGCGTTCTTAATCGCAACGCATCCCTTTTACCATGCCACCTGGTGTCTATTTACCCATCTCCCATAATGGCGCAAGATCCGCCTGCAGATACCGCAGGCCCATCGTCTCCTCCGCCTCAGCTTCCTGAAGGATGGTAAGCCCGCCCTCAGTCTGTCTTTCTGCTCAATATTGACGACACTCAAGGCTTCCACAGTGGGAAGGAGTCCAACGCAAGTGGTACTACGTGCAACGAACGACTGGCAAGTCGCAGTGGGATATTCCAACCGAGCCAGTCGTACTGACGCCGTCGACAACACCCACATCTATCGGCACTGGTCCTTCGCAGGCACCTTCCTCGAGACCATCAACAACGGGCCCGCAAGTTGGGCAGGAAAACACACTGGTTGGGCGGATGGGCTCTCTGGCGGACGGCGCGAGAATTTCCGTAGGGATTTGAACTCGTTGTGTCTGCGAGAACGTTGTAAGAGTGGCACTGATGGCTGGATAGAGCTCTCTGGATGCCCAGCTTAATGCGCAATCTCAAAATCCCCCGCATGGGTCCTCGGAGATGGGATGGTTTTCCAACCAACCCGGCCAGCACTATCTACATCAGCATGGTCAACGCTTCATACCTGGTAACGGCGGGTATAGCTCGGTATGCTGGACAATCTACATCTGAAGATCAGTGGACGTCGCTAATGGCCTTCGAGGAATCACAGCAGCGGAGTTATTCTCAGAACATGGGGATGGGTCCAACAGGGGCTCATTCCTTTCACCCCCAACAAGTCATGGGTCAACAGGCTTTCGGACAGCCATACCCTGGGACACACTGGGTCGGCAACGGAGATGGCTCTCAGGGTCGATCAGGATTCTTTAACCAAGGCCATGCCAACTCCACATACCAAGGTCATGCCTTGGAACAAATTCAATTGCCCCAGCAGGTGGGGGCACACGGTACCCAGGCAGGCCATTTGCATAACCTCAGACCTGAACACCGCCCGCCTGAACCTCAATGGCAGATAACACAGCAATCCGCTCTTTCGGACCCGGCGTCGCAGTGGATGGGCTCTTCGAATTCACCTCAGTTTTATCCTAGTTCGCAATATACGTCAGAGGCGATTGGAAACTCTTCAAGTAACATGGCTCCACAATCTTCGCATTTCTCGGATCCTTCAATTTCAAATAGCGAGCCCAGTGGCAGCCGAACAGGACAGGAACCGATGCACGACTTGTTCAACACACATTCCGGGGGACAATTACAGTCGCCCATGGGATATCCACCAGACGGAAGTCATGCCCAACAAGATGCATCTCTTTATCGAAAAGGCTTTTCAGATCCAGCTACAGGGGCACATTCCGCGCAGGCCTATCAGTCGCAGCTTTCGAGTGCACACGGGCACTACCACAGTACTAGCATGGCGCGAACACAATCTGGGCCTGGCTTCGGCGCGCTCGGCTTTCCTGCTGCCCCCGATACGCACGGCAATGCCCACCAGTACCAGAACCCTCTTGTTCAGGTAGGCGCGCAACAATACTTGCCTCAGCAGCAAACTGATCACCCCGGCACCACACACCAATACCATCCTGGATCCTCGACAGTCCAACAGGGCCAACACTCGGGCACTTCGACTTCCTCGCGGATAGCAAGATCAGATCCTGTATTCGTCAGTGGCCCTTGGGCATCGTCGACTCCACCCACCTCCAGAGCGGGCCGGCCTTCTCAACAGAGCTGAAATTGCCGACCGGGTGGTCAACAAAGGAGAAGTGAAGAGTATTACCGGCTTTCTCGGTCATTTGCTTCCGGGAACTCAATCCTCTCTTTTGATTCTGCCATGGATTCCACCGCGTGATTACCCTTGACAAGCTTCTTTTCTCTGTGTTAGCATGAGCCTTGATGTTTTCGGACTGGTATCTTTTATCTCGTCTCATTGCCAGTGAATTTTTTTCATCGAGCACACAATCAAAGCGTAGATTCGTGACTCAAAAGGCTAGTATGTCGAGGTCAGTATGTGAATGGGCCCGTCTAGTCTGGTCACTGCGTAAACGTCTGCCTTGTTCGCCATACGTCTCGTGATACCTCACTTTCACTGCCAGGTTACAATGTACCCTATGGACTTGTGTAGGTTCATCATGGCCGAATCTTTTCCAACTCTCAAGAATTTGATGCTCTGGTGTGGGGCCAGACAATTGGAGACATCCCCAAGAATCATGGCGGTAGCCGCTGTTGGCTTGAGCATGCACAGAGCTCGATTGATCAGTGCCTTCCATTTAAATCCCAGTGGGACGGCTCATACATGGCTCTGTCTGATTTTCTTATGAGCTCGAGCTAGAACTGGTCGCAGGATTTGATAAGTCTTTTCCTGGTGATGACGAGAAGGTTTCTGCTCAGCTCTCGTCAAAGCGTGAGAAATTGGAAGCCATTGACCGGGGATAATGGCTCCTGGTGTGATCAATGACGAATAGTCAAATCGTCGTTACTGAACCAGCGATGTGCACCGAAAACAATTGAGAGCGCGGAAAAGGGCAGTCTACAGCATTGCTGAATTGCCGATAGTCGGAGAAACACATAATTTGCATACGCTCCTCCTGTAGACTGCAGTCACGAAAATTGTATAATTTGCGAGCTCAGTGACATAGACCTGGATCGATACAAGTCCAGGAATGACATTACTAGTAGCGATAGCAAAGCGGGAATGACAGGAAGGGAAGTCAGTTGATGGAACATCCAGTTGAATTCCTGGGGCTGTCCATTTTATTATTGAAACTCGATCTGGGTGTTGTGCCTCCGATCTTTGCCGCCTGTACAGATGCGCTCATCTAGAAGTACTAGCAGCCACTTATTTTTCGTCCCCTCTCAGCTAGAAGTCCACCCAGGACTAGATATTCCTGCGACGGGCTCAACAATCATTCCGAGCTGATCTTTGTCGATATCTTTCAGAATATTGATTCCGGGGGGCCAATACATCCTGATGGATGTTGAGGATACTATATGCATCAGAGTGCTGCGTACTGCACTGACTTTGGGGGACTCTAGTGTAATATGGCCTAGGCTATTCTGACCAGACTATGCAGAAGGCCGTTCCGGTTCTTTATGGTGATGGCGCTTCTGATCACTGACCGCTACTCAGATCAGCAGTCACAAGATTTGTATGATAGTCACAGATCAACGTGACGATCTCCGGTATAGGTGGTCTTTATCGCTACCAAAGAAGGCCTGTAGCCGAGTCTTCCATGCCGGTTTCCCCCAACACCCACGGGATGTGGTGGTAATGTCGATGGGATGACCGAAGACTGAAGACGATAAGACCTTGGAGGGGCTTTCATGCTGGAATCGATATCATAGTCTTGCAAGATTCCAGTGACTTTTTCCTCGAGTTTCTTCTTGTTTATCCTCTCCCTGATTTTTCTTTCTCTTTGTCCTGAGAAATACTTATCTATTCTTCATGATTCAAGAAGACTTCGCTACAGCCTCATTCTTCCCAGATACCAACATCTACGATCAAGACGAACATTCTGGTTCCTGTAAGTGAATTCAGGTCTTCGTGTATCCTCCTTCCCAAGATCCCTCTATTCTGGCATCTTCGACCTGGTATAAAAGACTTACCTTCGTCAAGGCATCTTCATTCCATCTTCATTCCAACGTCGACATTCATCAACTCAAACTGCAATTGCATTCTTCAATCCATTGAACTCTCTGACTCTCTGACTTATCACCTTTCCCACCCAGCTCCTGCCACCAATTGCTCTCCCAAAGTTTCCCGGGTATCCTTCAGAACCCCATTCATTCGACTCTGTTCTGATTTTCTCTCTTCAAGATTACGATGGCTATCAGAATTGAAAGACTTCTCGCAGCGGTTCTCGCCGCAAACCCCAAGCTCAAGGCAAGTACACATTCACGGTCGCATAGCAAGGACTCAATCTTAACAGCATGACAGCTGGATTATCGCCAAATTGCCGTGATGTACGGTGAAGGCTCGACTTACAACAGCATCGAGTACAAGATGCGTCCGCTGCGCAAGTTGTCCTTGAAGCTCGTTGCTGAAGAAGCCAATGGCGACTCCAACGTTGCCATGAATCCATCGCCGGATGGCCTCCGTATTCGCCCTTCTAAGATCACCAAGGCAAAGCCCAACTCGAAGACCACTGCTACGAAGAATACCAGAGCTACTCAAGCTGGCGACGGGGCTCTGACTCAAATCTTGATCGACGATGACGGTGTTGCGGAGAGTGATGCCAATGATCTGATCGTCATCGGAGAACCCGTCAATATCAACAGCGACATCGAAGAGGATGCAATGACTAAGATCAAGGAGGAAGATGCCTCCGCCGAAGGACAGTACACCAGAGGTGTTCATGACAAGACCACCTGGTTCAAAAGGTCGGCACAGGATTCCGGGTTCAAGTTCGACCAGGATCTTATCAAGCACGAAAAGTGCGATGGGAAATGAAGCGGGCACTGCAGACGTTGAATTGAAGTTTGCGCCTACATGGCCAGACAAGAGCTGGTTCAAGGAGGAGGATGAGGCGTGAGACCAGCGAGAGAAGAATGACAGGGGGAAGGTATACGGCGACGTCCGTAATAGTGGATTTAATGGGAATGGCGGGATATGAAGCCTTCAACAATGAGCATAGTCGACTAGATGGTCAAAGAGCTGGTTTTTATTTGCTATGACGGAGGCCTAAGAGATATCATAATATAGCGCCATGCGGCTTTGAGTTGCTACTTACATTGTCGTTCGAGTACCCCATTTGGAACGTGCGTTGGGTAGTGAACCGTACCTGTAAATGCTTTTTGAAGAGGAATCTGATGCTGACCAGATACGAATGATTCGCCATTGATCTGGTAGTGTCGAAAAAGGTTGAATGGCTATTCAGGTTTCGAAAAAATTGAGGAAAAGAATCAGTATATCAAATACGGTACGTGCTGATGAAAGATGGAGATATCTCGAGACATGAGAAGAAGTTCAGAACATGATTATGAATACAACCGATATATAACATGGGGTATCTTGAGAAGCATTGCAAAAAGAATCGGGTCGTCACATCATGGAACACAAGCCAACTAACACCTCCATCGCCGCGGCGTACAAAACTAGACAGGGCCACATCAAGCACACTCGGCATCACTGAGATGCATTGGGTGGACACGCTTAAATTGCGCTTCTCTGCTTGAAGAGATCCTAAGAGGAGCGTTTGTAATCGCCGATGGCCTTGGTGACTTCCCCTTTCAGATGATTGAGTGCATCGATGATACCTTCACAGGAGTTCTCGTCGGTGACAAGGGCGTTGGTTAGACAGTTGACCTGAGCCTCAAGGGAGGTCATGGTACACTGCACAAGATCGATGATATTGCAGCGTAGATCGGCGACCCCTCGCTGGCTAGGGTGCACAGTCGTATTCATACTGCGTCTCAAGACGAAGGGGGTCTGAGGCAAATCATTGTCGCTCTCTTCGTGTTGATTGATGGGAGGGCTGAAATCCCCTTTTGTGACGGCTAGTGACTGAGTAGCCTCATTCTCTATGCCTTCAATTTCCTCATCAGGTGGATAAATAGGCTTGTCCCGGTACATGTAGGGGGCAAGAGGGGTAAGCGATTCCCATGCAACCATACGACGCCGGCAAGACTGCCATGAATACACACGACCCGTTTCCTTGAAGAGAAGATCGGAAATCTCAAGCCAGAAAGCCTTACGATGCGCGGGGAATACGCGGGAACCCTGACGCTCCTTGGAAATTCGAATCAACGCCTCTTCCTCCGTCTTGTTCAGCTGCTTGCCTCGACCCGAGGCCGCAGTCGGCGGGTTGGTAACATCGGACATAACTCCTGTGTTGGGTTAGCGGTCTTTGCGAAACATTTCTGCAACCTCGTCATTGTACAATCTCATGATTGAAATCACATACCGGACGTTCGACGCAGAAGCCTGATGTCTTGGCGCGGGTGGAGAAGAAGAACTGCTTTTGATTTGTGCGGTCGTCTAGCACGGACGCGACGCGTGCCTATCCGTAGATTTCATTTTGGTTGGCTACTACACGCAGTTTAACCACCACGTGTATTTTGGATAGATTCAGCTTATTATATGAGTTAAATGGAGCCTTGCCCTATGGAGGGTGGACCTCGATGTATGACAGAGAGATTCACGCATGTAAGGTTTACGAGTACTATGTGCTATGTCATGACCCTAGGAAGGTTGTCATGATGGTACAGATTGGTAGATACAATGAATTTTAGTAATTAGGTAGCTAGACTAATGTTAGACTACTATAGCTACGGAACTACAGTATCTATGGGAACTGATCGGCACACAGAGCAATTGGGCAAGTTCAAATGTTCGGACTACTTTCAAGGCATTCAAGTATACCGTCAAGCCAACTAAAAGTTGCTTAAATCCATGTGTCATTAAACACAATGGCGACGCACAAATACAAAACGCTACCAAATCCCATCAATCAAGTGAAGACCAGCTCCACTTCTAATGACAGAGTTGAATCCATTCTGCAACAATACCTTCCATGTCCCAGGCGATGCCCCATTGTGACGATAGGCAGCGGAAAAGCTTCTGCATTGAGTTGAGTTCGTACAGGAGGTTACGAACCGCGCCACCCGGGGAATTCGAAGATATTCCCTGTTCCTTCTCAACAAAGCGCCGGGTGTCTGAGCTAGGGGGGAGGTCTGATGTCATCGTGGCCCAGATGGAGATCTGAATGGGAAAGTAGGGCGTCTTGCCAGACAATTGTGCGAGGAAGGTTGACAGTAGCAGCGCCAGCAAGAGAAAAAACAACGTAGATCGTGGCGGCAGCGAATAGAGAGCTGGGCATGTGTACGACATGAGCACGACCACGAGGTAATTGCTCGACGATGTCTTGGATGGCGACGGCGTGTAGTACTGCACGTCGGGCATCTTCGGTGCTGGCCCATTCTAAAAGATCGAACCCGAGTTCAACTGCTCGACTGCCACCAGATATGTGCTGTGGGATATTGTAGCGAGAACACACATGACGAGACAGAACCGTAGAGTTGATCATGGTGTCCAAGCAGACAGTGTGCCATCGTAATAAGATCTCTAGTCGTTCAGCGGCAGAGAAATGGATACTCATGGAAATGGTCTCGTGAACCTGGGCCAGTGCTCTTCGAACATCAGAACGATCAGGTACACCGACGGTGAGTCCGTGATCGTCGCAGTCTGAGATCAGTGACTGGAGGCCTTCAAGTACGACCCGAAGAGAGAATGCTGAGAACTGATAATCCAGAGCCCGAAAACTCCCGACGGGAGGGAACAACGATCGGAAAACAACACGGAACGATGATTGATCGGGTTTCTGGGAATGCATGTTGACTAACCACTCATCGGCGTTGCTCGCGTCAAAGGCAGCCTCGCTACTAGAAAGGCTCAACGGGTTGGAAACATGCCGAGCAGAAGCACCATCGCCAGACATCTGGGCGACAAGCCCATCGAGCACATAGTATGCCAATAACGCACGTTGTTGAATCTCTCTCGCGGACCATATCCTCCACTGGTGCTCCTTCTCTGCTGCAGGTGCATCGGCGGAGGGGAGGTTCTCCATTGAGTATGGCTCACTATCGTACATGCCACAGTGCCTTGCCCAGAAGAAGCCCAGCGGGCGAAAGACTTGACTTGTTGTGCGAATAGCCCGATTCTTGGATAGGGCACCATATGTCTGACCCAAAAGGGCTGTGATCAAGAGTTGTACTCCCTTGCAAGCATCATAGGGGCCGTTGTGTGTAATCAAAGACTGCCATGATGTGGCGACGGCGGTGTGAGCTGGTCTCCACAAAGCTTCACCTTTGGCCACGGCATCACTAGGACCGAGGTACAAGGATCCAATGGCGATAGCATTCAGTAACAATGCATGGGTGCATTCCCTGAATACAAAGGTGGCTCTGTGTAAGATAGGGAAGGTGGGGATGAAACGGACAAAGAACATGTGCAGACATTCATCAAGAAAGACCGATGTGATAGAGGTGGCCTTGACTGCTGCTGTAACACTCGAGGACTGCCAAATAACAGCGTTAGTGCATAGGCTCTTCCTGCCAAGAAGCTAGCGAGAGTCTTCTTCCCGGTGTGTGTTGCAAGGCACCGGACAAACTTACCGAGCTGGTCACCATTTCCGTCACATCCCGCACAGCTTGGTGGCCTCCCCCGGAAGGAATCACACCGACAGAAGAACTCCGATCATTGAAAGAAATGGGAGACCCAAAATTCATCCCATTGATGTCCTGCACGACAGGTGGAAAAGGCAGTGTCCCTAAGGGCATCTGCCATTGATCTGCCGTATCAGAGGACATCAGACTCTGGAATAAATCTTCCGAGTCCGGCCAAACAAGGGCAAAGTCCAAATCGGAGGCAACATTATGCATGTGAGAATGGGGATTAGATGCCGACTCTTCCCAGGAGTGACTAGTGGCAGATGTTGAAGCTGGGCCTGCTGTTGAAGCACTGCTAGTATCCCATGATGGCACCGAATGTAATGATGCCAAGGGCATTAACGTTGGAGAAGGACCATTCTTCACATTGGCGTCTCGGAGATGCAGCTTCTCATGACGAGTAAGCGCATCTTGCCGAGCAAATGGACGGCGACACTCTTTGCAAACATACGGTTTAGACCCGGTATCTGGATTTAGGTCCAATCAGTTGACGGATCACAGATGGAGATCAAGGATCGTGGTTCATCAGATTTATGCATCTGGGGTACCTACGGCAACGTTCATGCCTCTATGTAAGCACATTAGTGCTCATGTTCCTCTACATCAGTCTCTCCAGACCATGAGGATGCAGACACTCACTCGTAAATGCTCGGCCTTGGTAAATCCTTTTTGACAAACACGACACACCAACTTCTTGACCCCAGAGGGTGTCATGGTCTCACCCATGATGCTCTCACCGTGTGGGAGGATGGCAAAAGAGGGAAAAAGTGTGGAGAGGCAAGATTGTGGGGTGTGGCACCCTTCAACCGTGGGCCGTCACCAGAGAACCCTACACACAAATTAAAGACGTTCGGTTCCCTAACGTTCCCTAATTTACTGTATTTCCAGGTTCCCGATTGCTTATCCGTTCTCGGGGCGCTCTTCTTGCATTGCATTTGTTGGGCCCATGGTCTTCCAGGGACAGTGTGTACTGTACTGTAGCTGCCAGTCAAATTGCCAGTTAAATTGCCTCCCCCATTTCAACACTTTCCTACAGTACAACTAGGTAGTTGCCCCCCTCGCCCTCCCCTTACTGGCCCATCTGTAATAGTTGAAACGGATGACGCGTCCCGCAATAAGACTGATCGAGCACCTCAGACTGGCTTGTGCTGACCGGACATCACAAAATGTACTAGTCTGCGCCTGCATTCCACGCCAAGAGCTCAACCCAGGCAGCCCGGAATATCCAGAGGGGGTTCTAAACAGGTTCAACCTTGGAGATATGGGGAACTAACGGGGCTAATGGGGGCAAAAATGCCTACTTCGGTACTTGGTCGGCACTGAGAATGCCGTCCCCGTCCTGAAAGCAGTCGGGCTGCCGTCTGTAATTGCCAGGTCCAACCGTTACTAAGCTACATGTCATCGGGGCCCACGGGCAGATGCATTGTGACAGGCCGAAGCCGAAGAGGCAAAAGAGACAGTGGACCGTGGAGACCTCCGCATCTCCAGGCGCAGCCGACGGAGCCGAGCAAAAAATACCCCAGTGTGTTCTATGCTCCACTCTATTCGCACTCACTGGGGTTTTTCCCGGCAGCGCCAGTACCAAGGATCCCGAGTTTTTGTCTTGACTCTTCCTTCATTTCAATCTCTAGAGCCTTTGAAGATCTGTTGTTTCCAAGGGTCTCACACAAAAATCATAAGCTATCTTGACTCTGAGCCGGTTTGATCACCATCAGGAGTTGTCATGACATCCCTGGAATTGCAACCGTCCTCCTCGAGGGCGGCTGGACACACTGAGCAGGTCGAGCAGTCCGAGATTTCACATTACAAGACCGACATTGATCTGATTGAGTCTGCCGGAGCTGACCAGACGGCCACCTTCGAGGAATCGTTGGCGGCTCGTCTCCCCAAAGCCCACCAGGACTATCTCCTTGAGCGACATGGCACACTGAACCTCGATCCCATCCCCGGGATGGGCCCAGCTGACCCTTACAACTGGCCTGAATGGAAGGTATGTCGATCCTCTGATTCCTTATCTGAATCCCACGGTCACAAATTAACGCATGAAACAGAAAATGGCCAATCTTATCCTTGTAGCATTCCACGCCTGCATGGGCACATTCAGTGCGGCTGGCATTATCCCCGCCTATGCCGACATTGCCGCAGAATTCGACTGCAACTTACAACGGGCGAGTTACCTCACCAGTATACAAATTGCCATTCTGGGTGTTGCTCCCTTTTTCTGGAAGCCGCTGTCCAACCGTTACGGACGCCGGCCCATCTTCCTCCTCTCCCTCATCTGCAGTTTGGTGTGTAACATCGGCTGTGCAAAGAGTACCTCCTATGCATCACTTGCAGCATGTCGGGCCCTGATGGCCTTTTTCATCTCACCGGCTGCGGCTCTGGGCAGTGCCATCGTCATGGAGACGACCTTTAAGAAGGATCGTGCAAAGTACATGGGGGTGTGGACCTTGCTGATCACCCTGGGTGTCCCAGTTGGCCCGTTCATCTTTGGCTTCGTGACATATCGCGTTGGTTATCACTGGATCTACTGGATCCTGGCTATGGTAAGTAAATCTCCCGCCTGCTAATGGACTCATGCTGATTCGTTGCCCAGATCAATGGTGGCCAATTCATCCTATATTTGTTCCTGGGACCAGAGACTCGCTACCTTGGTGGCGGTGTCGATAGTCCAGCTGCCGTCTGGAAGAGGGAGTACATGTCGATTCGTCGCATCGATCCCACCCCCATGACAGCGTACGAATTTGTGCACCCTTTGACCTTGGCCCGCTATCCCTCCATCATGATTCCTACCTGCGCATATGCCATGGTCTTCTTGTTCGGTAACATTCTCGCAACTGTCGAGATACCAACGCTGCTACAGGGCAAATTCAATCTGAACGCAGAGCAATTGGGTCTGCAGTTCCTGGGTGCAATCATCGGATCCGTCATCGGCGAGCAAATGGGCGGTCGTATGTCCGACTTCTGGATGAGTCGGCGCTCAATGCGTCTGGGCCGAAAGGCAGAGCCCGAGTTCCGACTGTGGCTCAGCTACTTTGGCTTTGCCTTGACCATCATCGGTGTGATTGTCTTCCTTGTGTGCACGCAAGTGTCCACCTCCGGCCACTGGAATGTGTCCCCCGTCATTGGCACGGCCATCGGTGCGGTCGGCAACCAGCTTGTGACGACCGTCATGATGACATACGCCATTGACTGCTTCCCCCATGAGGCTGGCAGCATTGGTGTGTTCATCACCTTTGTCCGACAAATCTGGGGTTTCATCGGACCTTTCTGGTATGTGTCTTGCTCTGATATCCTTAGCCGAACTTTTGCTAACCAAGTCCTCCAGGTTCCCTCCTATGTTCGAAAATGTCGGGATCGCCCCGAGTGCAGGCATTGGGGCGGGACTCGTCTTTAGCTGCAGTGTGATTCCCACACTCTTCCTCCAATGGCGAGGTCGGAAATGGCGTCAACAAAATAGCGAGTAAAGGACGGAGTTTGAAGGTGTTTCCATGTCGGACATAAATCAATAGACGTAGCATGTCGAGCTGTTGCATTTCTGGAGACGCAAGGGTGTGATGATAACACCCGTATAGACTCGGTATCGGAGGGTATATACTATACACGGCATCGACCGCGGCATAAAGATCAGGCATCTGTGACTGTGAATAGATCAATTGCATGAGCGATGTTTCAAGTTCCAACATAAGAAATTCTTTCTGGCGTAGAGCAGTGAAGTCCTAGGTCCATTGACCAGTCAGTGCAGCCTGAGACCTGCGGCTGAGACGGAAACATAGCTCTTCCCTGAGGCACAGATGCACACGCTCAAGGGGGTAACTTGGGAAGGAAATCAACAAACATTCCAGCATGCTCTTTAACAAAAGCGAAGCAGCCAGAAAGAAAAAAAAAAAAGTTTAAAGGAAAGGAGAGAAGCATGCATTATATACAAATTAGCGAAACGAAAAGAGACCGGCTTAAATGGAAAGCCGGTTATCATCTTTGAAAGCGGCAGGCCGATCGGGACCAATCGGTGCCAGAACCCGGAAATGCGAGCCGTACTAAGATAGCGCGCTTAATCGTTTTGCGCCAGCGAAGTAACATGCGACGCCGGCTTTTACCACCGGGTGGACTGATCTTGCCTGCGCTTGACTTGAAAATGGGCTTAGAGCGACGAAGGTGCGCATTAAGAGCAGTTGGTATTCAGATTAGCCATCTGCACTCGGTTCTTGCTAGAATTCAGGTTCTAGATCTTTGGGATACCGGTATCGATGATTATTGCCCCTGAATTTACGGTCTTATTGTGTATTGAGTTTGACATTCAATGGTCTTGCGATCTGTTTGTTTTTCAAACCACGTAATTCCAGGTCCATGTCATGTGCTTTTGTTGACTGCGTTGATGCTCGAAGCGGCCCATGAGTACAGGCGGAAGAGACTTATTCCGACATGGAAAATATTATAACCAGATACGCACGTTGATTGGCGGATGTGCCACGTCACCGCGCTTGATTATGAGGAACACTGTTGGATATTTGTGATATTTGTCGATTGATACCTATCCCCTTGCCTACTATCTTGGTTTCATCTGAAATTGAAGTCTTCATGACAAATCAGACAAGTAGCGGAAATCGGAGGACTCCATACTAAAGAATGTCTATACTGCGTGCCCAATGGAGGCAGTGAGTGGCATTTCCAATGATCGGCATAGCAATTACTCAATACGCAAAATGCTACTCAAAAGAGTACGACAGCTTTGATTTCACTTTTCGAGGCAAGAAAATTGTTTTAAGAGATTGCCTAGTATATCAAAAGTACGTAAATATATACAATTTCAATGTAGCTTCATCGACCATGCGTATTATTGATCAAATCACTGGTGTTCAATCTTGTTGATGAGAGTTCCGACGTAAGGTAGGAGCTCGACAGCGAACTCGTCGCCGGCCTTGATAAATTCCTTGGGATTCTTGGCAGCGCCAACACCGGGAGGAGTACCGGTCAAAATAATAGTACCGGCGGGCAAAGTAGTGCCCTGGGAAAGGAAGCTGACAAGCTGGGGCACAGTGAAGATCAGGTCACTGTGAAGATTGTAATTAGCTTCTTGACCTCGATCAGATTTAATGGGAAATACTCACGTCAAGGGGCAGTCCTGCATGACACGGCCGCTCTTCAGACCGCGAATCTGGAACTTGCTCGCATCGGGCATGAGGGCAGCAGAGACAAGGACGGGGCCTGCATGTTCTGTTAGCTGCGAATTCGCAATCTTCGCGCACAGAAAAAGGCAAATATCATACCAATGGGACATGAGCCATCGAAGCCCTTGGAGAAGCACCACTGGCTCTGGTTCATCTGCGAAGTACGGCTGGAAACGTCGTTGGCAGCCGTGTACCCAAGAATGTAGTCGAGGGCCTCGGATTCGGGCACGTCCTTAGCATCCTTGCCAATGACAATGACCATCTCGGACTCATAGTCACCAGTGCCATCTTTTTGGGTGATCTTGGGCAGGACCGTGGGTGCGGGAAAGGGATCTGCCAGCGCGGTGCTTGGCTTCAAGAACAGAGTTGGGACTTCAGGGAGGGGCAGTGACATCTCCTTCGCGTGAGAGACATACTTTTTGAAAATGCATTAGTATTTTATCGAGCCATTGGCTATCACACTTAGTCACTCACATTCAACCCAACGCATCGAATAGCTCCGACCTCGGCCTGAGCCAATGGGGAAAGAATGCGCTCGATGGTCTCGGTGACACCAGTCGCGGCACCGGGACTCAGCACTGACGATCCCGAGAAAGGACGAACTGAGACCTCTTTGCCCTGATAGATAGCCAGACCAACGTCCAGTTGGGGATCGACGGGCTCTCCGATCAGAACCTTGGCGGGGTTCGACTTGGGTACGAAGCGCACCAGGCCTGCAGTAAATCTGTTAGATGGTCCATCATAGACAAAATTTGAACATACGCGAAAATGTCGACGCGATCTTAGACATGATGAAGTGGTTTGATCAATTGATATTCGACGCGGAGGAGACGCGGTCTTTATGCGCGGAATATGTCTACCCCGGCGCAGGATAAGCCGGAGGGGCTCACCCACAATGTGGGGAACCGGTGGCAACGCCGAACTCGCGACAATAAAAGCCCCGCGATATCCCCCTCATTGAGATCATCATCATAATGTCTCCCAAGGGCCCCTTCCGTCTCGTGACTGTCAACACTGCGCCTGAGCGCGCCAAGCGCCTCATCGGCCGCGTCGCCGAGGCTTTGAGCGACCGCTACACCATCGAGCACGTCGCCAACTGCGAGAGTATGTATTCGGAATAGCATGACTAGCATAGTGAATAGGAGGCAATTGGGAGCTAACCGTCATACAGGTATCGCAGAGGTCGAGGGCAAGGTCAAGGAGTTCAAGCCTGACGTTCTGGTAGGGTCGCTCGGGATATCCGAGTCCGAACATTCGCAACACGAGATGCTAACAACCGCATAGTTCAGTGCCTCCATGTGGTCCGACGAGCAGGCCAAGGAGATTCACGACATCGCCCGGTCGATCAATCCCGATATCAAGCTGCACGCCATCCCCGAGGGTCTGCAGGTCGAGCGTGGCCCCGATGCCATCGTCGAGTACCTCTGCGAGAAGGTCCCTCCGCTTCTGGACAACTAGATCAATAAACAGTGCCAACTGATATGTACATATGTTTTGTTCGCTTCAAACTACCATTGTAATGATCAGGACCGAGGAATTTGCTTGATGTCTGTTGTTGTTCTTTCGAGCGGCTAGACCCTCTTGACCCCCTCATCATTAGGATAGATGATACCAGGCTGATCAAACTTGCCCACGGACTGTCAATCCTTGATACTCTAAGGTTATCAAGGAACCTTGACTTGGGTTGCATTCATATGTATACTCCCGGTTGTGTAGTACCATGAGCTTCCACAATATATCGTCTGCACTGAGTATATACATTTATTGTTATAGATGTACAGACCTTTTTTTTTTTAAAAAAACAAGTATTGTTCAAACAGACTGCGAGGTCAATGAATTGTGATTTTTTTTTTAAATGTGTGCCCCTTGACAAGACGTAAAGTGAGCAAATTGATTCTTTGTTGGAATACAAAGTGATAACGTGCCGGAATCACGAGCGTGGCGGCGGTTTTGATTGGGGTTAGCGACCCCCGATTAGCGGCCCAAAAGAGCTTATTCCCTCATGAGGAAGGAACTCATGGTGAAAGCAAAAAAAAAATGATTGACAAGAGTGGGATTCGAACCCACGCCCCGTAAACGAGATCAGGAAACCATTGTTTGGTGTTAAGGTGGACCTTAACCTGACGCCTTGGACCAACTCGGCCATCTTGCCATTCGATGTTTGATTTGGCTAATTATGACATTATGTATCTGTGTGGTGGGGCTCGGGTCAACAAGTGGGGCCTCATCCCCCTTTACAGACATGCGATCTCAAACTTGGTCCTAGCTACGATCCTGGCTATTGATTTCTCCTATGTAACCAAATCACACACTAGTAATGGAATCGACAGCATCAAGTCCTGTCCAGATAGTGGGATTGAAATATGCTTTTGAAAATACCAGAAAGTGCAGTGCCGTTCAACACGTAAAGTCTAGCAAAGACTACTCCCTTATTGAGAAAATTTACCACCACTGTGACCTAAATCATTCCTATCAAGATGCACATGAGAGCCAGTAGTCCAAAACTCAACCGAAATCATGGCTCGGCGATTAACCTGGTCACTTCGTGGCTTGTTCCTGTCGATCCCAATCTTAAGCGGGTCGTATCAGGGACCGCATCCATCAAGAGATGACTTATTTTAGCAAAAGTCCAATGAAAAAAAATACTAGGCTTGTCATTAAGATTCGGCGGACTATTCACGCACCCAATACCAGGATGAACGGTGGGCTGCAACCTTTGCCCCTAACCTTCCTCGGAGCTGATAGCCCACACGGCTTGATGGGCTGGCCAGGAAAATCTCGTCTAGCTATGCGGGGCTCCCGATCGTAGTCGATCTGAAGGACATTATAAATAAGTGCTAGACAGCCAAGAAATTTGGCGTATGTTACTCTGCTTGGCACGATACACCGATCCGCACGCATCGTCGAGTCGTTGATATTCACGATGCCCGGCATGATCAGTAAGATCATCTCGCTGGCGCTGGCCGTTTCTTCCGGCTTGGTCGGACAGCGGGCCCAAGCCCAAGCTGTAGCGAAGATCCAATGCGCGTCGAGTGTACATGCCATCATTGCTCGGGGTCAAGGCCCCGGCGATGACTTGAATGTTATGGTCAAGGTGCAGAATTTGATCTTGGATCAAATTCCCGGTTCCACCAGCGTTGGATTGCCATATGCCCATGATGCTGAAGACAAGTTTACCGCAGTTCATGACGGTGCTCTCTTGATGCAGAGTTATGTCACAGAGTACCTAAACGTCTGCCCGGAATCAAAGATTGCCTTGATCGGATATTCTCTGGTATAATCTCTAGGACATTCATACGCCCACATGAAATCTAATGGTGATTATAGGGCGCTGTTACGATGATGGAAGCCGTTTGCGGCACGAGCTCCCTGTTGCTGATTCCCACTCAGCCTTTCGACGCCTCCTTAAACAAAACAAGTACGAATACACTACAGGACACCTCAACAGGAAACTTTGGACTGAAAACTCATCTAGTTATCGCCGCTATCGCCTACGGCGACGAGACCTTTGTCCCCCTGCAGCCATGGGATGTGGGCGACTGCACAGTTGGTCTCAGGAGTAGGGAACCCAATGACATCACCGAGAGAGCAATAGCTAACACATTATACCAAATAAAGATATTCCCGCGCTTGCTTCCCATCACCTGCGAACCATTTGCCTCCTCTCTACAAAGCTACTGCGATTATGGCGACGACCAGTGCTGTGCGGTTTTGCCTGCGGACGATAACGCGGCTCATCATGGCTACGTTGATAAGTACAGCCAGGATGTGGTCAACTTCATTGAGGGCCGACTGAATGGCAGCATCGTCTGACATCTGCCATCAACCCTGGAATGGCAATATAGAGCGATGTCAATGGTTGCATTAGAGAAAGATGGGGACGTCGCATCATACTCCAATTTAATGGCGGCAATGTACATATTTCGCGCGAAAACTGCAACTGCACTGCATATAAATAATATAGTTGGCTCTTCATGAATGTAATAAGACAAGATCATGCGCACCAAATTTGGGGAGGCTTCATAAGATTCAATTCGTGATGGAGACGATCAACGATGGTAAGTTGCGATGCTAAATTACCTCCGAGGCCCTTCGCTAACAGCATCGATATCATTGTGTTATGACTATATAAAGGAAGAAAGTTAAGTAAGCGAAATAACACAGACTCATGTATATTGCACAAGCTGGGACCCGAATGGCTACTAGCGGAGGTACTCGCACAATCCATTCACATTCCGGGAGCGTCAAGATCATAGAAGAAAGAGCCGAGTCATTCCTCGGCAAGTCAAATGATATAGATGATTATTGAACACCAGATAACGTAGTATGGATTGCAGGTTATCGTTCATCTGTTCCAGAGCTGTACTGCCATCTGCTTTACAAATGACCTCACCATTCGAACTCCTTTAATGGTGTAAGCATGATTTCAGATATTACAAGATTGATTGGGACATTCAACGTACCTCGCTATAGAAATCAATGAGGGGCCAACCGTCAAAAACGCTTCTACTGGTCACCTCGCGTGTTGATTCGATGATCTTCATCGGCCCACAAGCACCTACCCCGACACGATCACCCAAGGAGCATTGTGATAGGCAATCAGCAATCAAGCTTGCGATATCTGGGCGCCCCTTTCGTATAACAGACACGGAAATTGAGGTTTGTCCAGTCATCTCTCCTTTTGCTTTCTCGATATCCGCGATGACTGGCGCTCCTCTGTCAATATTCTCAACGGCTAGTGGTCCTTTTTCAGATTTGCCAGCAACAGGTATTGAGCCTGAACTTGAGAGCTCATCGGAAGGCGCATCGTCTCGCGTGACATGAATGAGAAGATTGATCCAAGGGCAATCCTGCAATTGTTGTAGCTCCTTTTCAAACCATTTCAATGACGCTGAAGTATATTTGGGTGAGTCTTTACTGTATGCGAGGGAGATTTACAAGGAGAGGAAGCATACCAGCATGGCGAACTACCCAAATAAAGTCAATAGGTCTCGCGATACTCTCAGCAGCGCATTCTTTCAGTACATGGAGTGCAATGTTGAAGGTAAAGGTAGCTCCACTACCACCAGCGACCAGGACGATCCGATCAAATTTCATGAAGTTGGCAATCTGGCCATAGCCTCCATCAACGGAGCACCGAAGGACTTTTCCAGGTTCTTCCCGAGCAATCTTCAGCAGATCACGAGTGAAGCCATTATATTCGCGAATGAGAAACTCGGCCGGCTCATTTGAAATGAGAGTAAAGGGATGGGTTTCCATCCAACGAATAGAGGGAATCCACAAGAAGGCGTGCGATCCAGGACTACAATAGAGACTGCGCTTGAGTGTCACTCGAGCTGCGCCATCTTTCATTGGTGTCACAGTGGCATTGTTGCCGAAAAAGTTCCAAGACTTCTTGACCAAGCGAATAAGCCGGTCGGCCCCCCCACAGGCATGCTATGAAGATGACAATAATCACCGTAGATTTTGAGAAATCCGGCCGATGCATTCCGATAGTGATCAAGATCAAGATGAACATGAGAAGGTGTATCACGTAGAAGACTAGAAAATGATTAGATATCGGCGAAGCCCACTGCGAATTTAGACTCACTTTCATAACTTTCTTGAACAACATACGCGATGGTAGAGAATCCAATGATCAACATTGCTATTCCTGCAATGACTCCAGAGAAGTTTTTTCTTTCCTTGTACTTCTCCAATTTCCCTTTCTGGGCAAAGACAACGGTGTAGGTGATGCCGTGTATCACACTAGTCACGATGCAAGTATAGCCGGCCACCTTGTGAAGAGGGCGCAGCTTCTCGTAAGAGTTGCCAGACAGGAGAGCGAGCGGTGTATTCCTGAGAGCGAGAAACACAAGTAATGTGAAGTTTGCCACAGAGACCCTAGTGAGAAAGAGTTTTGAGCATTGCGTATAGATCGTGCTGTCCCAATCCCACATACCATCCAAAGCGTTTGTCGATCTAGAGTAAATGTCAGCAACTGTTCATTCCTAAAGCTTTCCAAGGCAACCCACCCTTTCGAAATCGACATTTGATAGTGCCAAGATGAGATTTAGGGCCCAGTAGATCAGATAAAGCGAGAGTGTATCGACGCGAGCGCCAAGAATCTGATTGTTCAAAACTCTCCGTGAAGCGCTTTTTGGGGTCAGTACACTGATGATCAGCATCGAGGATCGCGCACCAACCGTTTCAGCTTCGATAAATGCCTCACAAATGGGGTTGATCTCCTAGGACCAAATCTGGAATAAGCTATTTCGCACCAGTGGCACAGAATGAACAGCACCATAATCGACCCAATGACGATTGCGAAGTACTTAATACTCCAGACATTATTATGCTGGCGAAGCGTGCTTGAACTCATCGCAGCCTCAATTAATTAAGTCCGTTGATGGGGTCTGGGGAATGCCTGACATCCAGAAAATACAGTCGGCCAAAACCAAGGAATTACCAAGAGTTTTATCAATCTCGGAAGACCCCCGGTGATCGGCGGACTCTTCAATAAGGCGCATCCAAAAAGCCCCGGTAAGCAAATAGATTACGAGACACCTAGAGAAGGTGGGCCCATTCCTTCATCTGATAAGCCTGCCAGACACGAATCACAGCCACCGTGTCGGCAATTTACACTATCTTGGCAATGCCCTACCTTCCAGGAATTAAGCGTAATATGTACATGTTACTTTGGATGATTTCAGAGATTTCTCACGCGAGTGGGCTAGATGGTTCTAGTTGACGCCGCCCGAGGTGCAGTTTTCAGTGTTGTCACGGCTTTGTCTCCCTTTTCGTTGAGAGGCTTGTCTGAATGGGCAGTTCAATCAAATTTTAGGCCTACATTGATAAGTAGACAAGTCCCTAGGCTTGAAATTCTAGGCTCACGGAAGACTACCAGAGTTGGCTCACGAATCTTACTGTCATTCATATTTCCTTGTGAGGAGCTCAGCGCGGGCTGCGAATTTGATTTAATAGCCTGTCTTGCCAGGAATGATCCCAAAACAAGGGCCTCCTTTCTCGAACATTGCATGTAAATCCTGCACAATGACATTGGGTACCTCCCATGCCGCAAAGTGACCTCCATGGTCATGTTCACTTTGTCGAACAACCGGTCCAAGCGTGGCAGCCCATGTGGTGGGGACAATCGAGATTTCCCGTGGGAGGTGGACTAGGCCAAGCTTCACATGCGGAATATAAGACCAAAGCTTGGCATATGGAATTTCCGTGGGAGCCTTGGCATGGAAGGCCTCGTAGTAGATACGGACACTAGCCTCGGGTCCCGCTTTGGAGAACCAGTAGATAGACACCCATGTGAGGATTTCGTCGTCAGTCCACGGGTAAGAATCTGTCCAGTCGTGCAGCTTCTCGTAGATCCAGGCCAGCAGTGCAACAGGGCTATCGGCAAGTGCGACACCGATGGTTTGTGGCTTGGTGCTCTGGAGCATGTTGTATCCGTAGCCCTCACGGTCAAACCAGTCAGATCTTTCAAGACCTGCTTTTTCCCGCGCATTGTATGGCTGGAAGACGTGTTGCAGCGCCAGTAAAGGAGTATTGCTCCATTGTGGAGGCTGGGCAACGATCATATTGACGTGGGAAGCTTTGCAATGCTCGGGGTACAAGAGGCCCATGCTTCGAGTCACCCAGAATCCCCAGTCTCCGCCCTGGGTCACTGTAACGTGTTAAATGTAAGTCCTTGCACTTCAAAGCATGCCAAATTCAATGACTTACCATACTTGTCATAGCCAAGCTTGATCATAAGCTTGTGCAAGGTTTCGGCGTATTGGGCAAGACCAAACCCACGACGAGTGACGCCAGAGGAAAAGCCGAAATTCGGCAATGAAGGGGCCACAATGTGAAATGCCGGGCGATCAGCACCTGCTTTTAGCAATGGTAGTAGTTTGGAAACTTCGATAAACGATCCTGGCCCTAGAGTGGGTCTTGTGTAAGCGGTTGCCATCGGACTTGCGGAACTGGGTCTTACATCCATGACTGAATAGTAGAGGAATGGCGTTCTTCACTGAACTGACCTGATGAACAACTGACGAATGTGAGAAGTCCAACGATACCTAGGCCATCCAAGAAGCTTACAGTGAATAGTCAATGAGCCGAATCCCTCCACCTCAATATCCGTGTGGTACTGCGGGAGTTCGTTCAAGTGTGCTTCAGCTTTCCGCCAGTCAAAGCCATCCTTCCAGTAAGCTGCCAGACGTTTCACCTCATCTGCTGGAACCCCAAAGTCCCAAGGACCTTGCTCCGGCGACTCAAATTGACTTGGGAATCGTGCGTAGGTGAGACGCTGTTTGAGCTCTTCAAGTGCGTCATCAGAAACAGAGATGGTGTAGGGCTGACGTTGGTCAGTCATGATGAGGACCACTTGATATGAGTCGTCAGTCTGAGTTAATTTCTCAGAATGTTAGAATGAAGGTTATAGAGACACATTGAATTTTGAGACCTGGTCCAAGGCTGTCTACGAACTAGTCAACGAGATGTTGGTTGCACTGACCCCGCAAGAAGTTCCTTTGTTCTATAAATACCCCGCCTTCTCTTGGCGCAGCTGCTTCTAGAAATGCTTTCATGATAGGAGAGGGAAGATTATAGCTGAATCATGTAATGAAAGAATTATATGCCTTCCAGTATCACCTTGATAGAGCACTGCGAGATGAGAATCTCAGCGGGTTCCGGTGGCTGATTTTCGAGAGTTCACTACGGATTCGAAAGGATCGTCGATCACAACTATACAGTCATACTTGAAACTCGTCTTCACTCAACAGGTCTGCGACATGTTTGCGGCATCGATCTAGATCCCTTCCCTGAGACACACTGATGAGCGCTGTGTCTATGCACACTTGCCAACTCTAGATCATGTAGATTGGCTCTAGATCTGCACAGATCAGAGTGAAATTAAGTTCACGTCAGATCCATCGGATCTTGTTCTTTTAGATTTTCCGAACTTGACGCAGTATAGCAGAGATTCCGGTCTGCGGCTTGAACGAAATAGGAGGCCGGGCCGTGCCTATACAGAGCCACCACTGATTTCACCAAGCTCGGTATAACTTCCTGTGGGGTGATTGAACAGTATCTAATAATATTCGTTCACTCATCAGAAAGCTCGAGCTTCAAGCTGATCAGGCTTCGAGGAATTATCTATTCCTACGAAAAAAACACTAGGAAATGATGACAAAGCACCAGACGCTTTATATCTAAGCAAGGCGATCGGTCGCTCCAAGAGGAGATTGATCAATCAATTTTCTTACTGCTTCTTTATCGTGCTGGGTACGCGCACATATGATATAAGATCAAGGATTCAGAACTGCGCGTCAGCCGTGCTGGCCATGAGAGAGGTATCAAATGGCGGTGTATGGTCTTACCAGGAACCACCTCTTAGGTCATTCAGTCGCACCAAAATGTAAGAATCGACTCTCAGAAATTGTGAAACTTCACTTTTACTTCTAAGAACATCATGGGTAACCGAACCTCTGCCCAGCCTGTCTTTGTTGGTCAGACAGGCACTTCTACTGAGGATACCACGGATTACAAGTAATCAATGCCTCTACCATTGCACTTGCAGACCTTCACAATTTGAATTTGCAATCAAGCCCAGAGTCAGTTTAGACGCTGGAATCGCAGATAAGGGAGGTCAGGCTGCAAGTGACGACTGGAAATCAGAAAAGGCCTGCGAAGAAGATTGGAACATGACTCCATCATTTGGAATTGTGTGTTGCTGGTGCATGTGTCTGGGCAGCAAAGGGTTATCGTTACCACACGCACCTCAAGCATCCTTAATATCGACCTAGAGACACAAATACACTAACCGAACTCCTTGGAAAAGAACGTCCTATCAGTTCGCAATTCTGGGGTAGATGCTGCCAACGAGGCGGTGATGCAAACATACGAGAGAGCTCCGTTATATTTGGAGAACTGACTGAGCTTAGCTCAGCCGATTCTTCTTCTGGCAAGACTGACCAAGAAAAATATCTGACAGTCAGTAACGATGCTCTTCAGCCCTCCTTTTCTCAAACAATTAGAGAAGCTCCGAGAACGCCGCAACACAGTAAAATACTTGATGAGTCTGTGACTTGAGTGTCCAACCTGGGTATTAGAAGAACTACGAATAACAAGATTTCTATTCGGGTCATTCTCAAGCCTTTTGACTACATTGATTCTCTCTGCCTTCGAAGAGGATTCGTGATCTGGCGATCGACGCACTTGACCTATGGTACAAGGTTCCCGAGGACGCCGAGGCTACCATTAAAGCTGTGACCAACCTTCTTCACAATTCTTCTTTAATGTAAGTTTTCGTTTCAATCCAGCATTGAGTCTGTTGTCTTCTACGGCTGACCGATCTGTAAGGCTAGATGACATTGAAGATGAATCACCTCTGCGCCGAGGCTACCCTGCTACCCATTAAGTCTTTGGCGTCAGTCAAAATATCAACTGTGCGAACTTCCTTTTCGTCAAATGTCTCGCACTTCTCTCGAAGCTGTCACGGCCCACATATGATATATTCACAGGTAGAGCCCCAGACTCCAGGTCAGTGTTCTTTTATCAAATCCCAGGAAAATCTGACACAGATCTTTCGGGGAAGATAGAGGAACTTCGGAGTTTACATGTTGGTCAAGGATATGACCTTCATTGGACTTATCACGGGAAAGCACCATCAACTAAAGAGTATCTACAAATGGTGGACGACAGTATGTTTGTCCCATTTTCAGCAAATGCCCTTTTGATTTTATTGTCCTGTCGCTAATGTCGTCATCCTCAAAACTGGAGGACTCTTTCGCATGGCCAGTCATTTGATGAGGTGCGAAGCCACCACAAATAAGTAAGTGTGCTTTTCACTGTCTGTCATTCTCATTTTTAACATGTTGATGTGCAGAGATCTTGTCGTCGAAAGCCTCCTCACCGCATTGGGGCGCTATTATCAGATCCGGGATGACTATCAAAATCTCAACTCCCCTGAGGTAATCCTTTGATCGAATCCACCATGTATAGTCGTTTCGCTAAACAGTGTTTTACAGTATTTTCAAACCAAGAGAGAAGCATCTGATCTCGATGAACGGAAATTTTCATTCCCATTGATCCTTGCACTTGCTCATAGCAATATACGGCACCTATCCAGCCTTCTCCAAGCGCGACTTTATCAGGGTTCGCTCCGCCCAGAACAGAAGGAACTGATGAAGTATATTCATCAAACGAGTGCACTCGAAAGGACTTGCCATGTTTTGGATGAGCTGATGGTAGATATCAAGCGTCGTGTCGCAGAATTGGAAGCTCAAGTTGGTGGAGTGCCAAACTGGATGCTTCAGGCCATCATCTTGCGACTGGAAAACATTGAACAATCGAAGCCAAATTGTTCACTCCTGAAAAAGTGACGTCATCTATATTTACTCCATCGCTAGATTCTTCATGCATGTCCTGATTGCATTATTTAAAGTATTCCAGCTAGCGCTGAAAACTCGGAATTTCCCAGCTATGGATGATATAGGACAACATATAAGAAGCTGCATAATTAACAATAGAGGAAAATGCAGTGACAGCACAGCAAGTGTGCCCCGCAGAGATTTGAGTTCGGGCATCAAATCGCAAGGGTGCGCAGTCGGGACTGATTTCAAATATGGCTGTAATCAATAGATCCTCGAAAATTTATACACTCAACAACCCGTGCATTCAATTAGCCCAGAATATATTCCGCCTACCAAGGGCGCATCACATTATTCACATCGGGCACCGAGCTGATTGGGACCCGATTCACATCATCGCTCGCCGCGGAGAGATCGGGTTGCTGAGTCAGCTCCGGTCTGGTTTCCGATCTTCAAGAGGCGACCAAGTTGCCTTTTCCGATAGACATCAACATCTCATCTGACATCATGTTACTCACTCGGACAGTTGCGCGGGGCACTTTAGGCTTTCGAGCCTTTTCAACGGCTCGTGTCTGCCGTGAGGAATTGTCTTACCAGGTGTATGGTCCGGAGAACGAGCAAGCCGTGCGCGAACCGATTCTTTTCCTGCATGGACTGTTCGGTTCCAAACAAAACAACCGGAGTATTAGCAAGTTTGTGGCGGAACCGACCTGATCAAGAATTGAGGAGTCCTGAACATGCGACAGGGCTCTGGCTCGCGATCTGAAGTGCCGTATCTTCACTCTTGTATGTTTTGAAGGCTAGCGCAACAGATCAAAGCTGATATCTTCCAGGACCTGCGCAATCATGGCCAGTCATTCCATGCCCTAGAGCATAACTACAATGCTATGGCCGAGGATGTGCAAGAATTCATCCAGCAGCAGAAACTCGACAAATGCGTGCTAATTGGTCATTCTATGTACGTCCACCGGGCCGCATCTACAATCTATGCTCTTGGCTGATTATCGAAAAGGGGCGCCAAAGCCGCCATGACGCTAGCACTCCAGTCGCCTGAGCGCGTGTCAGGACTGATTTCCGTTGACAATGCACCCGTCAATGCCGCACTGAAGAGTGATTTCCCCAAATATGTCCGGGGCATGCAGCACGTCGAGCGGGCAAAGGTTTCCAAGCAGTCTGATGCCAACAAGATCCTCGAGGAGTATGAAGAGGTAAGACAGCAATGAATCATAAGACTGAAAGCCGTATCTTACGAAACTAATCATCTCTGTAGTCTATTGGTATCCGCCAATTCCTCTTGACCAATCTAATCCGCGCAGAAGATAACACGCTCAAGTTCCGTGTCCCACTGTCAGTACTGGGTGCATCCCTTGACAACATGGCAGATTTCCCATTCAGTGAATCCGGGGGGTGTCCAGTACACCGGACCTACGCTTTTTGTCCGAGGAACGAAGTCGCGTTATGTTTCCGATGATACTGTTCCCGCGATCAAGAAATTCTTCCCAAATGCGCAGATCGCCGACGTCGACGCGGGACACTGGCTTATCTCCGAAAATCCCGAGGCATTCCGGCAAGGTAAAATCTCAGCCTAGAATTCATCTCTGGATAGAAAGTGCCAATGCTAACATAGTCACAGCTGTCGTCAAGTTCCTCGAGTCCTCGTGATCTACTGTGGAGACTAAATAGATGCGGTACTGTTCACTGTATACAATAGACCGATAGAAGAATTATATGGGACATGTGCATCGAGAGCTAGATTTCAAACTAGATTGGTAGAATTTACTGGCTATTTACACGATAATGGCTATCAAAAAAAGGCCTGGGGCTCATATTAAACAGAAGAGTGGCTATTATGATCATCCAAAGATCTTCTCGAGATGCCGTGAGAGCAGACACCAATCGTGAGTTACTCGGGTCTAGCCCCCTCTTTGCGCTTTGATGGCTGCTTCTCCTTCTTTCTTTTCTTCTTTCTTGATGGACCCGAGCACGATGAAGGGGCGGGCGAGGCCTCACTCATCCCAGGGGAAGCGGTACCAGACGAGTTTCCATTGAGACATCCGGTGAATGATGGGAGATCTCGCGGACGTTTTCTGGAAGATTGTTCAGACTTTTGGAGGATAGACTGGGGGATGGCCTCGGCTCCAGAGAGACCCTTCGGCGGGGGAGACCAACGGGCAACATCCACGGCAAGAGGGCTGGGAGCAACTCTGGAACCGAGAGCGTCGTCCTGAGAGGGCCTGGAACAACTGTCGCTCTCTTTCTGTGGTGCTTTGCCTAGGCTTTGCATTGATGTCTCACTAGGGCCGGTGGTAGTCGGTGTAGAGGTTTTAGACACAGAACGAGGTTCCGCATGCGCTTCGAAAGACCCGATATTCGGAACCTGGGGTGTGGCCGGTTCCCGGGAAACTCCTAGAGAATCTCGAGAGCTTTTTAATAACCGAGGCGACACAGCGGTTCCATTCTCATGCTCTGGCTCGGAGCGTGAGCCGCTTGTGTGGGGCCGGTGAGATTCTTCATGCAGTCGCCGATTGGCAAATTCCTGAGTCTTTAGAACGGCCCATTGCTGGCCAAGGTCGCTTATCACCTCGATCAACTGGTCGAACCTCGGTTTTGTAGTAGCCTTGTCATGCCGTGTGATCAAGTTCTCGCAGATCATATTGACGGTCTCTGGGGAGCAGAATCCTTTGAGACCTGGCAACCCCCCCTGCGAATTCTCCGTCCGCCTCTGCAATTCTGTCACGTCCTTTTTGATCCTCTCATACGTGGTCTCTAGGTGATTATATCTTTCGAATACCTCTGCTAAGTCGGAAACCTTCTCTGCAAGCTCTTGTACGGTGTCTGACTGTGTTTCAAATTGGTTGCAAAGAGCAGCGTGCTCTTGGACTCGCTTGACGATGTCGACAGTTTGGCCAGTCTGAGCCGCGTTCAGCTTTTCAATCTTGGTCCAGATTTCTTGGACATCCTTGACCAGACCGTTCAGTGCCTGTGGAGACGCATCTCCCATGTCGACCTTGAGCGAATCGATCCTTTGAGCAACATCTGCCTTGAGCACAGCAAGGTCGTCCTTGAGCACATCGATATCCTTGCTGAACGCAGTCTTGGTCAGGAATTGATCAGTCAGGGAAGTCAACTGCTCTTTTAGGGACGCGATTTCCTGATGCTGGCTTTCCATCCACGGGAACATCTCTTTCATGGCCTGAACGATGTGTTTAAACAAGTCCTCCGTAGTGATGTTCAAGTACCGAGTTTCCAACGATCGTATAGCAACTCGTAACGTCTCCGCGGTGTCATTTGCATGCTTGATAGCCACTTCATTTTGCTGAAGACGAGCATCGATATGATTTCTGTGTTTGCCTAGCGCGGATGACACGCCCTCTTGGAGACCAAGGAACTTTTCCGTCAAAGCTGAAAGATCATGCCGAAGGGTCTGAGCTATTTGGGCGGACGGATCGCCTGGCGATTTTTGCCTATCCGCGAAAGTATTCATATTCGTTGACATTGTGGCAGCATTCGTTTCCAGCTTAGTGATTCGATGGTTCTGATTTTGAAGTATCTGCGCATGTTGGAATCGTAGGTTCTCAATGTTGCTTGTCAAACTCTTTCCTAAGCCTGCGATTTCGTGCGATTGAAGCGCGCTTGAGCGAGCCTCAAGGACTGCCCTCAACCCGAGAACTTCGGAGCGCACTTTCGTCGTTTCGGATCTTACCGTCGCCACTTCGCTCTGCAAAGAAGACTTGAGACTCCCGACGCTTTGAATCGCCACTTCAGCTTTTGCCTGGACTGCTTGGCAGTCCTCTTTCGATGCCAAAGTTGCCAGATGTGTCGGCAATTCATCGGCTTTCCATACCTCGAGCTCATGTAGGCGGGGTGAATGGTCTCTGTACTTTTGCTTGTACCATTCCATTGAGTTTGACTTTTGTATTCCAGGGTCCATTTCCATTTCTCCAGCCGATTCTTGTAAATTGATAGATGGTAGCTGCGAGGTTCGAATCCGTGCCTCCAACTGCTTCATTGACTTGGCATGAGAATCTTCTATCTCCTTCAGTAATTTAGCGTGTGTTTTCTCGTACTCAACCTCAAGCTTCTTCGCAAGGCGAGCTTCCCTGGCATCCTCCTCAGCCTCGATCTTCGCTCTGAGCTGAGCCTCGATCTTCTTCGCAAGGCGATCTTCCTTGGCTTCCTCCTCAGCCTCAATTTTCGCTTTGAGCTGAGTCTCAACTTTGTTCACGATGTCAGACTCGAGCTTTGCGATCGCATCATTGCTCAAAGGAGGCAGCGCAACATGTAGCGCGTTTTTCATACTCTCTATCGCCTTTGGCAGGATGTCTAGGCATATTGCTTCTTGCGTTTTGATGCCGGCGTCAATTATTTTCAAATTCTCGCTGCCGCCTTCACGAATAGATTGGGCGAGGTCTTTGTATGCTGGGTGGTGCGGCACCGTCTTGAGTCTTTCCTCGGCCTTCAACTGCCTCGCAATGCTCGCCTGCAGACCTTCTTTCTCTTTCTGCTTCATGCACAACGACACAAAGGCATCGAAGAATGTGAGGAATTGTGACATGATGGAGTCATTGTCGCTTGTCACAGGTTTCAGAGGAAGGGCCGACTGGCCTGTGACAGCACCGCCAGTCATACTGACATTTTGCCCGGTTGGCTGGGCCGAACGCTGAACCGATAGGGAAGAGCTCTGGTGATGGCGAGCGGAGAGCGTTGCATCTTGGGGAACAGGAGAGGTATTTGTGGAAGCCGGCGTCGGTCGGAATCTTCGGGGGTCCTCTACTGCGAGTGCATGACGAGTAGGAGGATCAGTCGATGTGAATCGGCGTGTACTGTCACCATCCATATCTTCCTATTGATGCCAGTATCCAACGAGCCATCTCCGGTGGAGCATAGCAGTCAAATATGAATGTGCCGTCGCCGATGAGGATTGGAATATCAGGACTTTTCGTGCCGCAATCACGTCCTTATCACTTTGGAAGTAATTGTTCTCGTTGGTTCTGGGAGCAGACTTGATGGAAACTGACCAAGACGAGTCGGTGCAGCGTACGTGCAAGAGATCAGGGATTAAGATCCTACAACGAAATGTTAGAAGGGTTGAAAGCTGGTCACAGCATATAAAGAGAGAAACTAATCAGGGAGAACAACGGTCAATGAAAGAGGCTAAACGCGAACGCCAAAATGGTTATTGCCGGGCGGTGAGCGCAACTTCCTTTCGATCTGCGATCTGCTCTTTCCTTTGCGCTTCAATCTGAGTTCTAGCTCCGTATCTCCCACTTGACTTTGAGTGCCTGACACTCAGTTCTTAGTTATAATGGCTGCCGTGAGTAGTGATTGGATCAGCTATTGTATCATGTTTGCTAATATCTGATTCCAGCAAATTTCCACCGTCGCGGAGAGCAAGGAGCTCCGAGGCCTTAACCTCATCGCCGCTCATTCGCATATCAGAGGTCTCGGTGTCGACAGCGATACACTACAGCCCCGTGGATCATCCCAGGGCCTTGTAGGCCAGGAGAAGGCGCGGAAAGCCGCTGCGGTCATTCTGCAGATGGTGAAGGAGGGCAAGATTGCAGGTCGCGCCGTGCTGATCGCAGGTCCTCCCAGCACGGGCAAGACTGCGATCGCTATGGGTATGGCTCAATCGCTTGGCTCCGACGTGCCTTTCACGATGCTCGCATCCTCGGAAATCTTCTCAATGGAGATGTCAAAGACGGAAGCTCTAACACAGGCGTTCCGAAAGTCCATCGGCGTGCGAATCAAGGAGGAGAGCGAAATTATCGAGGGTGAAGTTGTGGAAATTCAGATTGATCGTAGTGTCACTGGGGTACGTTTCTTCAAGTGCCTCTGTCTACAACACTGATGGCTGACTTGATTAGGGCAATAAACAAGGCAAGCTCACGATCAAGACCACGGACATGGAAACGATTTACGACATGGGAACCAAGATGATTGATTCGATGACAAAGGAGCGTGTGATGGCAGGTGATGTGATTTCCATCGACAAGTCTTCCGGCAAGATCACCAAGCTCGGTCGTTCATATGCTCGTTCGCGAGACTACGACGCTATGGGCGCGGACACCAAGTTCGTTCAGTGCCCCGAAGGCGAACTCCAGGTCCGGAAGGAGATCGTCCATACCGTCAGCCTGCACGAAATCGACGTTATCAACTCGCGATCACAAGGATTCCTGGCTCTCTTCTCTGGTGACACTGGCGAGATTCGTAGCGAGGTTCGCGACCAGATTAACACCAAAGTGGCCGAGTGGAAGGAAGAGGGCAAGGCAGAGATCATTCCCGGTGTTCTGTTTATCGATGAAGTTCACATGCTCGACATCGAGTGCTTCTCCTATGTGAACCGTGCCCTCGAAGCCGAGCTGGCACCTATCGTCATCATGGCCAGCAACCGCGGCCAGGCCAAGATCCGCGGAACCAGCTACACCTCTCCTCACGGCTTGCCCCTTGACTTCCTTGACCGTGTGGTTATTGTGAGCACACAAGCATACTCCGCTGATGAGATCCGGCAAATCCTCGCCATCCGAGCACAGGAAGAGGAAATTGACCTTTCGCCAGATGCCTTGGCCCTCCTCACTAAAATCGGTCAAGAATCAAACCTCCGCTATGCCAGCAACATCATCACTACCTCTCATCTCCTGAGCCAGAAGCGGAAGGCCAAGGAGGTCAGCGTGGACGACGTCCAGCGCAGTTTCCGATTGTTCTACGACCCATCTCGCAGTGTCAAGTTCGTCAACCAGTACGAACAGCGATTCATCGGTGACCAGGGAACGGTCAACTTCTCGGCAGCCACTAACGGCGATGCCATGGAGCTTTCATAATTTTTGGATCGAACGGTTTTTAGCGGGTCAAAAACTACAATGGTTTCTCTGTTTCTTGCCACATCAAATGATGTATGATAGGACTGGCGCTTGTTGAGGTGATCTATTTGCTTTGGAATTGAATTGAGACCCCTCATTTATCCTTTACACGAAATTCGCGTTGCTGCTCCACGCTCCTGTATCTCCAACACGGCGGAACTCTACGTCCTCACCAAAGTAGCCCGCAGATTTCCATGAATCCATCATGCTACCATCATAGGGCCCATGGGCATCTCCTCCGTCTCGAGCATCGGACCAGCGATACTCCCACATTATCGGCCCTTGCTCGGCTTTCCCGGGCGCGGCTGAAGGCGGGTCAACCCAGTTCTCACCCGTCTCATTGCGATACTGCCTTGTCAAAAGCTCCCGCTCTGTGTCGTAGATTTCTGGTTGACCTCGGCCATGAGGATATCGGCGGCGCCAGTGATTGAGTCGATCGCCTTCCTCCTCTTGACCTCATCGGGGTTCTCATCGGTCATCTCAGCATCTTCATTGCCGACTTTCTTCTTGTTCTTCTTCTTGTTTTGCCATTTAGGTTTCCGTTGTAGACCCTTCCCCAGTCGAGCCAGAGCTTCCAATATAGTTTCGCCGCGCTCGAGATGCGTGATGATGGTTTTCAGGACATCGGCTGTCAAGAAACTATCGTCCCTGCGATCTTTCTCTTTCCGTTCGGCCTCGCGCTTTTCAGCGGCGTCTTTAGCTTTTTTAATATCCTTCTTGGACACACCCTCCAACCAGGAGTCGTGTACAGCATCGGGGTCGACTGCTTTGCGCACAAAGTTGCCTTGGTCATCAAACCGACCCTCCTCCTGCTCTGCGCTCATGTTGAAAGCATCAAGCAGAGGTGCGTGCTTCTTCTTCGCACCAGCACCAAGTTCCTCATCAATTTCCTCATCGACCTTGGCGCGTTCCTCCTCTCCAACATCACTGTCACTTGCTTCCTCCTCAGCGTCATTCGTCCCGTCGGCATTGCTCAGATCCACATTTAATGTCTTTCCACCCTTCGAGGAAGCGATCTGGCCCTCAATCTCATCGTCTCGTAGGAACCGAACATTTTTTTTGTTCTTGCGGATCATCTCGTCGTCATCGCCTCCTTCTTCGCCAAAATCTTCTTGTAGCTCGGCAAACATATCCTCATCGTCATCGTCTTTCTTCTCGCGCTCGCGCTTGGCCTTTTCCTCTATGCGCGCGGAGAACCCCTCGTTCTCGCTGTCCGAGTCGTAACCGTCGAGGTTGATTGCTTTGCGGCGCACTTGCTGGCCGCGGCGACCTATCTCATCTGCATCTAGAACGGCATCTTCTTCGAGAGCATCGGGCGCAAGGGCGGAGGGGTTCCGAAGGTCGAATCGAGGTTTCTTGGAAGGTTCTTCAGAGTCGTCCTCTTGGTGGGTGCGGATATAATCTTCGCCCGCTCGCTTGGGTCGCGGTTGCAAGCTTGCCATGTTGCTCAGATAGTCGAACTCAAGCTATATAATAGCAGTTGTGAAGCTGTCAAACTTGCGTTGGATTTCCCTTGTCCGGGGTCGGATCGGAAAATCATAGCGGAGCCAACTTGCGTCACTCTCGGCGAGTTCCATTACGGAACTCATCTTTACCTTGAGCTTGGACGCTTTGCTTTATTACGGGAATACCACGGCTTGACAAATCTTCTGTGCCATATCCATAATGGTAGGTTCATATTTGCTTGAATTCTATTTTCTGCGCAGCGCTCTTGAGCTTCAGCTAACAGCTGCAGTTCCGACCTGACTTCATGGATGACCCCATGGAGGGCGTTATGGGCGGGATGATGCGTTCCGGTGTTGCAGCTCGCCGATTCGATGAATACTACCGCTGTTATCCCGTTGCGATGCTTCCTGGACCTGAGAGAGAGAATGTGAACCACGGCGGCAAGGTCATCATGCCGCCCAGCGCTTTGGATAAGCTTACGCGCCTGCACATTACATATCCCATGCTATTTGAGCTGCACAACGGCGCCAAGGAGAGAATGACACATGCTGGTGTTCTCGAGTTTATTGCCGAGGAGGGCAAGATCTATCTCCCATTCTGGGTGAGTACGAGCTACACAGCTGAGCGGGGCGAAAAGCTCATACCGGAACTCTACTAATACTGGTCATTGACATAGCTCATGCAAACTCTCCTCTTGGAGCCTGGTGATCTACTCCAGATCAAGTCAACCGATCTTCCCCCCGGTCAATTCATCAAACTTCAAGCACAGTCAACCTCTTTCCTCGACATTAGCGACCCCAAAGCCGTTCTCGAAAACGCCTTCCGGAACTTCTCGTGTCTTTCCAAAGGTGATGTTTTCACATTCGCATATAATGATCAAGTCTACGAAATGGCGGTTCTCGAAACAAAGCCTGCAGGGGCCAAGAGTGCGGTGTCTGTGTTGGAAACCGACTTGGAAGTAGATTTCGCTCCCCCGGTTGGATATGAAGAGCCCCAACGCACTAGTGGCACCAGCACGCCCGGAAGTGTCGTCAGCGGAGGCAAGGGAAAACTCCCAGCTGGTGGGCTTCTTCATCCTCATGGTACCATGGCACAATCTATCAACTACTCCGCCATTGCACCTGAGGCGACCGATGCTGCGGCTGGTGCTAGGGCCGTGTCCTCCAACTTCTTGTCAGGAGGGCAACGCCTAAGCGCAAAGAAGGGCAGCAAGGCACCTACTCCTCAAGCTTCTACTCCTACCCCGGGAGCCACCAACCCCCAACACCCTCCCCCAGCCCGCAAGACCAATGGTCCACAACCTCTGCGTCTTCCTCCCAACCAGCTCTTCTTTGGATATGCCATTAAACCGGTTAAACCTCGTGATGAGAACGGCCAACTTGTTCAAGAAGATCAGCCCAAATTCCAGGGGATCGGTCACACTCTACGAGGGAAGAAGAAGGATGCAGGAGGGACGGCTACTCCCACATCAGGAAGCGAAGCCGACAGCCAAAAGGGCAAGGGTAGCTCGAGTGGGCGAACTCTGGGCAAGCGCTAGTTCAGATGATCGCTTTACTTGATGACAACCATTGCACAATACCTCAAAAGCTCTAGACATGGTCTCTAGATCAGTGGCGGGGATTCATATGCGGACTTAGCATGGACCAGGCGTTCTGGGTGATTTTCTTTTAGCTTTAGTGTAGAGTATATCAATCTCTCATCGAAGTTCTAACTCATTGCAATGTAATTTGTAGACAATCGGTTCGTCCGACGCGCCCCGATGCACCTCTTGGCAAGCCGAGGTCCGCCGCTATTCCGATAGACTCCCATTTCGCCTCAGCCTCTAGACAGATAGACAGCGAGCTCATGATGGCTTCAGTGCCCGACCCGTTAGCGTCTTTCACAAAACTGGGTCCTTCGGTCTATCTGCAGGATCCAGTAGACTCGAGCAACCATGACAGTCGGACGCTAATTTTTATTGCATTCTGGATGAACGCGCCGCCACGCGCCCTCGCCAAGTACGTGGTTGAGTATAGACGCATGATGCCTTCATCTCGAATTGTCTTTATACGCAGCTCATCAAACGATTTCTTCTGGGGATCCAATGCACGCGCGCAGCACGCCAGAGTTGCACCCGCAGTGGAAGCACTTCGCACGTTGGCCCCTGAAAGTTCCGTGTTTATGCATCTATTCTCGAACGGCGGATTGTCAAACACAATCCACCTGCTACAAGCATACTTCAAAGCGACGGGGAACGCGCTACCTATTTCTTCCATGATCATTGATAGTGCCCCGGGGACTGCGACCATCGCGGCTGCCATGCGAGCCTTCTCCTTTGCGCTCCCACGGATGTGGATCCTGCGGTTGATTAGCAAGAGTTTCTTATGGCTCTCTTTAGTTCTGATCAAGATGATTCAGACTATCAGGAGGTCTTCTGATCCTATCGGCCTTGCTCGCAGGGTGATCAATGATGCCTCCCTTGTGCAGGCTGTCAACCCTAAGGGTGTCCTCACTCGCTGCTACATATACTCGGACGCTGACGATCTGGTTGACTTTCGTGACGTGGAGAAGCATGCATCTGAATCGGAAGCATCCGGATGGTTAGTACGCCGTGAACTATTCGAGGGAACGGCCCATGTTGGCCACATGAGAGCTGAACCGGATCGATACTGGGGTATCGTCAAGTCGTATTTAGAACCTGCTCTTGATGCACAAGCAACATGATCTAATGAGAGATTTACATGGAGTTTTAATAGTACATTTATTTCATTCTTTTTGAACTTTTGGATTGACTTCGATGTTCCACGGGATAGTACTATGGTTTAGTCACAATGACCTGGACCTCGGAGTTGCCAACACATTAATGCGAGGGGTCAAGACCGGACGATAGTCCCGGAAAGGCTTGATCTATTCACTGTTTCTTTGGAATTGGCTGCCAAAGACGACAGTCGCGCATCATCAAACCATGCTGGTCACTTGCGTCGTCAACCGCAAATGTACCTATCTAATGCCGACTTCTGCTCTCGCGGTCTCGCTTTACATTCTCAGTTCATCTTGAACTAAACAAAGATTGCTGGCCCGATGTAAGTGTAATTGTCAAGGTTGATGTGAAGGAACTTGCTAACAGCATGGCATTTCCTCCAGAGGACAGACCTTGTAGAGATAAACATCCGCTGCAATGTCTGAACACCACTCAAATGAGGAAGGCCTTTTGAAATTCAGCAAGAATACAGACCCTCGCTTGACTCTTCCGGGCTTCGGTCGACCACTGGACTATGCACCTCAAGAGCAGAACATCTATGGTGTGAAGAGCCGGAGCATGTTTCCTTCTGCTCTGGATGACCGTGACATCGCCTATGGATACACCGAGTCAGTCCTTCTAGACATCGCTCGGACTCTGCTAACCTGGCTCAGGCTGCCTGTCCTGACTCTTCGAGAGATAGAGATGCTCAAAATCATGGAGAATATCACTGACATTCCCCAATGGTGGAAGAAAGTACGAGGCGATCCTTTCACCTTCCCTTCACGATCATGAAGCTAAGACCTTTAGATCCACGAGCCTGGAACTTCAGCGCAGTGGAAAAAGTTGGCCTTGAACAGTGGTACAGACATCACGAAGAACATGGCCAACTGGATCATCGAGGAGCTGAAGTATAAAGCTATGATATATGAAATTAGCAGCGCAGTCACCCTGTACAATGGAGATGTCACTAAATCTGACAGCAACGTGCCTGACGACATTATGAAAGAACTGAGGCGAACGACCAAAATCTTGGAGTATGAGGAAGAAGAGCTGCACTTCTATCACCCAGGCAGCATGAGCAAACAACGCGATCTACTCCCGATGGCTTTATATCCCCTCATCTACGGCAAGAGCCGTATCCTCACGGACCGCGTTATTCGTCTTGATGAAGCATTACGCTACGCTGGCCAGGGTGAAGTGATCCCAGTCCCCAAAGAGAGCGGAGTCACCAGAGAGGACCTTGCATGGCGTGTGGCTGCTCGAGCCGACATCACAGTAAAACCGTACAGCCGGTTGTTCCAAATCCTCCCGTCGGACTGGGAATTAGGAGATGAGGGACTGTGGCATATTGCAACTTACATCAACAACCTCCATCCAGTGAAGTGCAAGGATACCTACAAGGTCATTGAGGATACTTTCAACTGTTTGGTTCCGCAATTCAATATGTCCATGACGCCGCTGAGAGATATGCTTCATTCTCGTGCACGCATCGAATACCACAAAGCCGAGTACTATCATGTTTCGAAAGAGGTGGCCGACACGGAGCCAAAGATCCAGTTAACGGAGGCACAGAGCGAATTCGATGAGCGGGACGAGAAATGGAGGATGGAGAAATGTATCGCAGTCCAACCTGATGCCGGCGAATTCGTGCCGTGGGCTGTGCCTCAATGCCTCATGACCAAACTGCCGGAAGATCTGCCCAGCGCTGTGCGCATTGAGCGACCTGTCAATCTCAGCAAGGACTACAAAGAGCGCGGGCTACAGGTGATTACTCGATTGATGGGTCTTGACTTGACTCCAGAGGATCCAATCTACCAAACCGACTGGCACGTCGAGGGTCAGATGGTGAGCAGAATCTCTCCCACGCAATGATATAGACTAACACCACAACCGAACGAACACATCTGCGCCGCAGCCTTCGTGCACTTTGACGTCGACAACATAAAAGACGCAAGCATGGAATTTCGCAACATCATCGACACGGGTGCACTCGAAGAAGTCGAGCACGGGTCTAACGACTTCGTCTGGCTGAAACAGGTCTTCGGCCTTGAAAACGGCGAACCAGCCATTCAACAAGTTGGCTCCATCAAATGTCCCGTCGGTCGAACCGTGATCTTTACCAGTATGGTGCAGCACAGGTACACGGGATTCGAGCTACTGGATCCGACCAAGCCAGGCCATTTACGCGCACTAGTGTTTTACCTGGTAGACCCGAATATCCGGATTATTTCAACAGCGAACATTCCGCCTCAGAGACTGGACTGGACACTTGATTTCAAGGACGATGAGGGTAATCTCACAGCTGCGATGGCGAAGTTGGCGCTTGAGCACAAAAATGACCGGGCAAATATGCCTATGTCTTTGAATGAGGCGCAGGAATATAGAGTTGAGGCTTTGGAGGAGTTGAATCAGTTTATGCGGTACCAGCATGTTGCTTTCGAATCTAATATACTCATGCTGTAGAGAGGAGGAAGAGGGGGTCGTGATTTCGTATGCGGGGTTTTGTGGATCTTTAATTCTCAAGTGCTTCAACAAAAAGAAAATTAAATGTTTTACGTCTTCGATAGTCTATGTCTACGAGATTTGGGCCGGATAATATTCAAATCGCCGCGCTATGCCATTCATGCAAGACCATATACATACACTGAGCGTAACCGGATGCACTGACGTGCTGCTTTTTGTTTCCATAACACCGTAGCCGAACTCCTGTTCCATCATTCCCTAACGACCCTTCATTTCCGGGAACTCGTCATCAAGCTTCAGACGAGCGGAAACATTCATACTCATGAGTTCCTGGATGAGAAGCTTCGCGGCGTAAGGAAGGACCATCTTCACGACCGAACGAGACGACTTGCATCGTGAACACCAATTAAGGTAACCCATGAAACCACACTTCTCGCAGACGTCGACCTCATGGCGATCAGAAGAGATCATTAGACGCTCGAGCAACAGCTGACTGGTACCGTAGGCGATCAGACAATCACGCTCCATCTCACCGAGACGAAGACCACCATCGCGCGAACGACCCTCGGTAGGCTGGCGAGTCAGAGTTGCAGTCGGACCGCGAGCACGCGAGTGCATCTTGTCTTGAACCATGTGCTTCAATTTCTGGTAATAGATCGGGCCAGTGAAGACGTAGAACGGAAGTGGTTCACCCGTGATACCGGAGGTAAGCATATCCTTTCCACCATAACTGAATCCGTGATCGATCAGGATTTGGGACATTTCCTGGACAGGGCTACCGCCGAAGCAGGTACCGTAACCGTGTTGACCGGACAGAACACCTGCTTTCCCGGAAACAAGTTCCAACATCTTCCCGACTGTCATTCGAGAGGGGAAACCGTGCGGGTTCATGATGATGTCGGGGTTGATACCCTGGTCGGTGAAGGGCATGTCGGCTTGATCAACGATGATACCTACGACTCCCTTCTGTCCGTGACGAGAGGAGAACTTATCACCGACTTCTGGGCGGCGGGTCTGACGGGTCAGCACCTTGAGGAGCTGGGTCTCACCCTCGGTGGCTGAGACCATGACCTTGTCAATATAAGCAGGATCAGGAAGCTTGTAGGTCATGGGCATAGGCTTCCAGTCCGTGGGTTTGCCAGAGTCGGAGCCTGGAATGCCCATGGTTTGCGCGGCGTCGGGAGTAACCTTGTTGATGTAGACTTCGCCGGCCTTGACCTCTTCACCCACAGCAGCCAAACCGTCACTTTCGAGTAGAGCGTGTTTGCGAATGGGAGCATCATTTTCATACTCCGGCCCGTGGAGACGATCTCTCAAACCGTTGGGGTAACTCTTCAGGTTGGTGACATACTTACGGAAGACCTGGCAACGTCCGAATCCGCGGTCCACCGAGCCCTTGTTCAGCACCAGAGCATCCTCGATATCGTAACCAGAGTAACTCATCACAGCCACAGTGGCATTTTGACCAGCAGGTAGTTGGTCGTACTTGGTTAACTCGATGGTTCGTGACTTGACCATGGGCTTCTGGGGGTACACCATGAGATAGAGAATAGAATCAATACGCTGGAACTGATTCGAAGCAATCGCACCAATAGCTTGTTTACCCATGGCACACTGATATGTGTTTCTAGGAGATTGGTTGTGGTGAGGATAGGGAATGAGACCCGCAACGGCACCCAGGACAGTAAAAGGCTCGATCTCAAGATGACTGTGGGCCTCGTTGATATCCTTTTCGTAGATGGAGATGTAGGAATCGTTCTCCTCGTTCACGTCGACGTATTCGACCAGACCCTGAGCAAGGAAATCGTCGAATTCCATGGTACCAGCACGCAACTTCTCAAGATGGTGACGACGGACCCGCGACTTGCCATTCTCAACGACAATGAGGGGCCGACAGATTCGACCATCATCAGTTGCGATGTGAACAGCGCGCTGGTGGTGGTTGATGTAAATACTCACAAACTCTGAAATTCTCCCCATGCGGCGTAGCCTGCGGAATGAATTCAGGAAATACTTGGGTCGTCGTGTCAAAGCAGTCGGTGTTCCGTTGATTGAGATGGTGTAGGATCCAGGGGCATAAAGCTGCATTCCGCCGACAGTTGAGATGTCCTCAGCACCCAGCATGAATATCAAGTTTCGCACGGGGCCCTCCTCGTCGTTGGTGGTGATATGTGTCATGAGAGCCAAGTTTTTAACCAGACCGCAAGCCTCTCCCTCGGGAGTATCTGCAGGACACAGCATACCGAACTGGGAAGGCTGCAGAGCACGAGGACCCGAGACCTTCCGGGTCTTCTCGAACTGACTGCTAATACGAGTCATCATACCAAGTGCGGCAATGTAACTCAGACGACTGAGAACGTGGGTCACACCAGCACGCTCCATGCGGAAACGCTTCAAGCTCCAGTTACCCGTCGAGATGGCACGATTCATTCCCTGGGTGATGTGGTTGCCATGCATACTCATGACACTCCATGCGTCGAATTGTTCAGCTCGGTTACGCTTGTTCAAGACTTTATCAATGTTCATCTTGATGTCGAAGCAGAATTTCTTGAACAGATCCTCGAAAAGCAAAGCCAGCATTTGGCCAGCCAATTCCAAACGCTTATTTCCGAGATAATCGCGGTCATCAACCATGGTCGCGTCGTTTTTAGCCATCAACACACGACGTGCCATGTGGGCGACGTAGATAGCCTTTGGTCGGAAATTCATGTCCTTGACCTCAATATGAGAAATGATAACCGTAGCAATCGCCTCGACAGCCTCTTGAACATGAGTACGGCGGTAAGCGCCTTGCTTGCGGTTGATCTTGATCCGAGTACCAATCCACTCCAGGGCTTGCTGTTGGGTGAAAATTCCCAAATTGATCGCCTCCTCGAAGTTGATCGCAAAGTTTTCTTGGTACAAGGCGTCAGAACCAGCAACGAGCTGCAACATCTCCTTGTCGGTGTGAATTCCCATGGCTTTCAGCAACACCACGATTGGAATGTCTTCACTGAGCACGTTGTGTTTCACGTGGAGCTTGTCTTTCTTGAGAACGATGTAACTCTTTGACTTTCGCTCATTGGAAGAACTATCAGGAGAGTCAATAAGTATCAATCAATATCAAGAGATGAAGATTTTCCAACATACCTGGTCACTGAGGCCTGAACAATCTCCTTCTTCGGGTCCGTTTCGACGATGATTCGGTTCTTACTCAGCTGTTCCTGAACAAGAATGACCTTCTCTGTACCGTTCACAACGAAGTAACCACCCGGGTCCAGCGGACACTCATTGAGAACCGTCATCTGGGCAGGGGTCTTGTTCGCCAGCACACACTTGGAGCTGCGAAGCATAATTGGCATCCGACCAATAGAGACACCCCGCCGGATAACTCTTTGGCGACCACGGACATACTCGAAATCGACAAGGATAGGCGCAGCATAAGTCGTATCACGAAGACGACATTCCTGTGGTGTCACATCGGACTGGAAATCGATACCGGAATCCTGAGTCTCGTCGGAGCGTCTTGGTGAGCCAACGTAGATGTCGGTGAACTTAATATAGAACTGGTGATCCACATCACTGCGAATAGTCGAGCTTGACTCCACGATCTTCTTCAGTTGCACTTCGACAAAGTAGTTGTATGAGTCAATGTGCTGCTTCACCAAACCCTTGACTTTGAGGAAAGCAGGGAGCAGGTTCCATTTGTCCTTGGCAGTGTCGATCGGGTCGGTCAAGGATTTATTGTAGTAAAAGGGCTCCAGAAGTGCATCAAAAGGGTCCTTGGGCTTGTATTTGGGACGCTGGTCGTTGGCAGCGTCGTTGGACTTGGTCTGCTGGTTCGAGTCCGTGGCAGCGAAAGAATGGCGCTTACCACTAAGGATTTCAGCAGCTGGCTGATTCGAAGCCTTTTCCTCTGGGAATTAGCATGACCGTTCTGAGACGAGACTACGCGCGGGTAGAAAAAAGTTTTGTTACCTCTGACGGGCGCCGGGCCTGGCTGGCCGCAGAAGGTTGCGACCTCTTGCGGGGTGGCATTTTCCGAGAGCAGATGGGAATGAGTCTGCAATCTCGAAATTGAAAGCCACGCGAACGTTCGAGAGAGAGGCTGATCTGGTATGCGTCGTCGCATATCTCATGGAGGGGAAAGGCCGAGAAATTTGGAGACCGCTTATCTAATCAGTCTGCTATCCCTAACCGGTTAGTATATGTGTACCTGAGGCAGTTATCGCTTCTTATCTGCAAGTGAAGAGAAATGACTTGCGCTACTTCGAAATGCAGAATGATGTCTCTTGGTGATTAGTGACTTGACTGAAGTCTCGGTATAATTTCCTGAGGTACATCATAGGGTCGGTCCTGGGGTTGGGGCTCGCTCTCCCCCCACCGAAGCTAAATGTATATCTGCGGGGTTTCCTTCAGATGTCGACACGAAGAATCACAACTCCTCATGATGAAATACCCACGATGAAGGCGGATTGAGACCATCGGAAGACTTACAAAAAAGTAGTATAATTTGATCGGCAATCATGTCTGCGCGTACTTCCCCATGGCCAGGCAGGGTTATCAAAAGTTCCCCACCTGTTGCAGACAGGATGCTGCTTTGGATCCTGCTGATAAGTCTACTGATCCGACCAGCTGGAATCTTAGATATTGCTCGAGGGCTTTTTTGGAGTGACTGAAGTCTATCAAATCCAAATTCATGAGGCCTTGTCCCATAGAGCTCGGGTTGTATCCAATGCAACCCCGCCTAGGTCAGCCAGTAAGTCGCAGCCTTGACTCTTCACACAAGGTGGCCAGCACCAACTGTTATTTATGTTTGCACAGACAGTTTCAATAGCCGATACGTCATACTTGATTAATCAAGGTCATGACATAGCGAAGACTCGGGGAGAGTTACTACGCAGAGCACAGTACACTATACAAATGTAACGGCTTTATCCTGGGCTTGGCCAATGAGAGAAGCAAGGCCGAACGGTCAACAATTGAGAATCACAGAGATAACGCGGCATCGCTGGAGTGAAGGAAGCGAAGGAAGAGACTAAACAAATCACTCGTGGAGCAGGAAGTATTAATAGCGCCGTTACACGGATGACCACAGCGCCGATGGTACTTTGATTTGCTCAAATCTGGCTACGATACCGAGGATGATTGTGGCAAATAATGACTTGACCGCAACTCCGAGACTCGCCACTGCCTAGAAATGGGCACCAGTGCCAGTAGTGTGTACCCGGATTTTTCAGAACAAACAGCGACGGATTCAGCAGGGAGTACTTACGGGGAAGCCCCAGACCGAACCCAAAATGCAAAAGACCTGGGATCCAAGCTTGGTTGGAACAAAAAAGACCGGCACACGTGGCTGAAGACCAGGCTCGGGAAACGAGGAATTTAGTTTACGGTTAGACAAAAAGACGTATTAATATCCGAGACTACTCATACTATAGGGCTAGAACCGAATCACGATTATTGGTCTAGAAATAGTGGGCGCAGGGAGGTGGAGCAAAGCTTTAGGGTTGGTTTGCCCAGATCCTGGGCTAGATGGCCAGATGACCCTGCACTGTCCAATGTTCTTGTCTTGTCAAGACCTGGGGAGCGAGAGGAACAGATAATGATCGAAGGCCGAAACATGGAATCTCGGTTGGAAATTTGAGCTGGCGTGCGAGATTATTGCGAATCGGCCGAGGCGCAACTTCTGGCGTTGGGCATGAAAGGGTTCCCCAGTTCTGTGGTTCATTTGGGCTCCCAAAGGTAAAGGGCGCCAGTAAAGGGCGCCAGGCTCGGCTCCCGCGAAGAAACCGTACTAGCAGGCAATAGTCCCGCGGAGAGGGATTGGATGCATCATCTTCCTAGGGTTGGAGACTAGGGAACGGGGAGATCATCACGTCACAGCCCAAGAGAGAGATCCGTACGATCGTAGGGATTGGCATTCCAGAGAGGGCGAAAGGTGTTCGGCAATGATTGGCGATCGCAAGGCCGATTAGAATAAGTCAGAGCCCTCCGAGGGGACGACTGGGGTTCGTGCAGGATCTCCACAACAGCGCTGGTACTGTATGCTCGTCATTCGGTGGATCAGGGGCTTCAACCACGATCAGCACGGATGGCTTGTATCACGTTCACCGCTTCTCTTGAGGCCCGAGTCCTTATCATTTCATTTGGCTACTCCATCGAGTGATTCCTGGCGCGTGTCCACAAAGAAACACCGTGAACCTTGGGTACAACGGGGCGCGAACCACGAACCATGAACCATAGCGCCTTTTCATCCTAGATACGACGACCTCTGCGACTCGGTGCTCCTAACACTTGAGACTTGCATGACGGAATCTACCAAATTACTACTGGTACAGTAACCGGGACCGACACTGAAACCCGATCAGGTACATCTGACATGCCCCGTGCGGTGGCATTAGAGGGCGATCCGCTGTCACAACTTCGGGCGCTGCACCACTCGGCGCGTCTCCACTTGACTGAAATGATACAGTGGCGTGGAAAATGCACCTGCATCTGCCACGCTCTCGCGAACAGCGCATTCTTCGCTCTCCGCCTCTGGCCCCTTGCGCCCATCCCATGGGACCAGTGACGGTGACAGTACTGGTACCAGGCCGACTTGGAACTGACCTTCGGATCTCGAGCCGTAGCGATGAAGGCCTACCCCAGGCTCTGTCGAGAGCTGCACCTCAGGTAGTGCAAAATCCAGAGCCTCTCCAATCACGCTCGGCCCCTAGATGATTTCCGAGTAATTCTGGCGATCATCTGCTGTGGCCGTCTACTTCTCACTGGCGTAGTTTGACCCTCGCGCAAGAAACCCCGATGGGAGTCCAGGATGCAGTATTGTATTGAACGTAAAATGGTCGAGAATAGGAAGAAGCTAGGGTAATCGATGCAATTGGTGAGGAAATTGGGGTGTAAAGAGTTGTTCGTACGGCCAAACCCGATTAGGGTTGAAAGTCTCCCCGCTCTGGACTCTTCGTCTTCCCAGCCTCTTCAACTTTCGCCCCTCTCCTCGTCGTGTACAACTATCTTCCCCCGGTCCCCCTTTTTTTTTGACACTGATAGCTCTCTGTTCGCGTTAACACATTCGTTTACTGAATTCTCCGTGTTTCGCTAAGTGGGGGATTAGCGGTAAGTTGCTCCATCCCACTCTGCAACTCCCTGCGGCTGATCTCCGCACTTTTCAGGTACACACCGGCCTTGGATTTTTTTTTCTCCCACACAACGTCCTTAGATGACTTCGACTTGGTCCTTGGATATCGACCTTTGAACTAGTTCTCTCTTACCCTCTCGAGGCGTTCATTTGTGTGAGTACGGTCTTTTTTCGCGGAGATCGTGCCTGCCACACCCCCCTCAGCCCCTCCCCGACCCCCCTTCCCCTTACTTGAGACGACCCTCCAAACGCCCACACCGCCAGCCCACCACAAGCACCCCCTCACCCTTTCCCTGCCTTCGCGACTTGGCTGCTGTATACCTAGGGCGGCGTGAGCGGAAACTTAAAGCTCGTTGCTAGCTTTTTTTGTGATTGGAAACATATTCATGCTGACCTAGCTCTGTTGGACTGTAGTTGGACTCTCGGCTGCTTGTGCCCGCCATGGCTTTCAAAAATGGGCTCAGCGAACGCCTCGATGAGCTTCGATTTCCGTCTCCTCGATCCCCTCCGTCGGAGTCTGCCTTCCCGGGCTATAGTGCGCTTTCGCCAGGTCATTCGAATTATGTACCAGGGTTCTCGCGTCCCACGGGGGATGTTCGCGCCAACCTACAACGTCGTTTCACAACGGATTCGAGCAAGGTATCATCATGGAATTATCTGAGCCAGGGCCCTGCCCAAACTCCGGATCCTTTGGATCTGCTGTCCTCGGTAAGCATAGTGTTTCCTTGTAGTCTGTTTTCCGTCCATCTTCGGGGAAGGGGGATCGATTTACGCGCTGTGCAGATGTGACGGTGAAAATGATATTGCTGGTCTTGATAACGTTGGGACAAGGCGGCGAGGATCTCTCGCTTGATGTCTGATCACGCTTAGTCGCGTTGCCAATTTGGGCTTGCGAAATGGCACGGATCGTTCCAGACTCTCAAGGCAGCGGTCTCCTGCCAGAATCTGATTGTTCCAACTTCTCAAGGCTGCCATCTCATATTGACCCGTCATTCTCACTTCGCGTTCGAGCAACCCCCAAGTCTCGTTCACTATTTCCCTGCATGTGCTTCCACCTCTGTGCCTGCATGGCTACATCTCTGTACCTACGGGAACCTCTCTGCTGCCTGATACCTCTCTATTTAAAGACTGCCACCTTCAGCATCCTTTCGTCTGTTCTCTCTGCCTTTCCAGCATTTTACTTCCCCCTTCCCTCGACGTCCTCGCGACGTCACTGCGATATTATCCATTTCCTCTTTCTTCGGCCCACTTCCTATTGCTCTGCAGAAATCATACATCTGTGTGACCCTGCTACTCTGATCATTCGTCGAATTCCAGTCTGACTGTATCCAGTTCGAAAAAAAGCGACAACACATTGAGTACATGCGTGAGCAGAAACGGCGCTTTGAAGAGGACATGAAACTGCTCGATATGCAGCACGAAAAAGAAAAGAATGAAATGGACCAGCTGGCTCGTGATCTCGCGAAGGCTGGCTTGTCTGGTCCTGTCAGTGAGCCCACGACTCCGCCTGAGTACCGTGATGCGCCGCTATCCACTGCAATTTCTCGCCCTGGTCGTTTTTCTACCTCTAGTGTGACATCGTCACCTGGCTTTTTCAGTGCGTTCGCCGGGTCCCAGCTTACTTCGCCGCAAGCTCCTTCGCATGCGGCTCACGGATCTGTTGATCGTTTTGCTGGTCACTCTCTTCCTGGTTCTCGCCGTAACTCCGAAAAGGAGGACTATATCGTGGATCCCTCTACTCTTCGTCCCGCACCCTCGTGAGTTTCCTTTCATTGGCATTGACCCATATCAGATGTTGGGCGAAAAAAGTCTTTGACAAAATCATGGCTGACAACAATAGTGTGCACCGGTACTCGCTGCCTTCAAACAATTTTTCCAGCACTTACCGTTCAAACGTGGGAAATGATTCGTTTGCTGGTACTAAGCACCTCTTCAATCGCGATAATGAGAAGCACGCGTTCAATGCCGAGCACCGACTTTCTACTCCCGATATTCAGGGCTACATGAAGATGACTGAGCCTGATGACAAGTTTCCGACTCTCTATCGCCGGGGCGGCTCAAACATTGTAAGTTTTGCCCTGTTCGTTGCAATCGATCGTAAATGGATAGTTTCTGACACGGATCGACCAGCTATCCGCCAACCCTGATGCAGTTGATCTGGCCAACCCTCGTACTCCGGGCCCTGACTCGTATCCTTATCACAGTCGTCATCGCTCGACTCACTCTAGCATGCCTCAGAACAATTCAGCTTCACTTCGTCTAGATCATCTGAGCAGCCCGACCCACGAAGATCACGGAAGCGGGGTACACTCTCGCCACATCTCTCGTCACTCACTTGAGGGTGGTTTCACCTTCCCCACTGAGCGCAACTCGGAGGCTTCGACCCCTGTCCCCACAAGCCGCCCCACTGTTCTTCAGCCTTCTTACTCTACCAACGATCTGCCAACTGTCAAGGGTAACGGGTTTGACGTTGCCATCACTCCGCCTAAGAATCATGCTGAGCATCTTCACCAACACAACGCCAGCCTCGGTCGCATTCCCAACGGTACAGTAAACCGACCTATCAAGCAAGATTCGCCCGAATCCGATGGCTCGAAGATGAACCAGACCACTCAAACGATGCTTCAGGCAAGCGCCGCGCCCTTTGGTCCTCAGATGACCTCGGCAGCGCCCAGCCCTGCTGTCTCTGGGTCTGTTGGCTCTGCCGGCATGCCCTTCCCCCTCTACAACTATGGTATTCAAGGCTATGTTGGCCAGCCGACCCCGGCTCCCAATCAGATGCCTGGTGCCTTTGGTACAAACGCTTTCGGTGGCTACCCCAACTACGCTGGTGGATACCGATTGCCTGAGGCTGCTTCTCGGGGAGCTCCCACTCAGCGTCGCCAGACCGAGGGTGAGGCCTCTCAGCTCACCCGCTTCACGAACTTCCCCCTGGAGCATTTCAAAGGTGAACTGTACAGTTTGTGTAAAGACCAGCATGGTTGCCGTTACTTGCAGCGCAAGCTCGAGGAACGCAACCCGGACCATGTTCAACTGATCTTCAGTGAGACTTATATGCACGTCATTGAACTGATGACTGGTATGCAATCATATTACCCATGTTGTATGACTAGTTTCCTTTACTAATTCACCATTCAATAGATCCTTTCGGTAATTATCTGTGCCAGAAGCTTCTCGAGTTCTCCAATGACGAGCAGCGAACCGCTCTGATCGACAACGCCGCTCCCAAGCTGGTCACCATTGCACTGAACCAGCATGGCACTCGGGCTCTGCAAAAAATGATCGAGTTTATTTCGACACCTGAACAAACCAAGACTGTTATTCGAGCTCTTAAGCAGCACGTTGTTGACCTGGTCCAGGATTTGAACGGCAACCATGTCATCCAAAAGTGCCTTAACCGCCTGGGGGCAGAAGATGCTGAGTTCATCTATGAAGCCGTTGGCACCCACTGCGTCACTGTGGGCACTCATCGCCATGGCTGCTGTGTCTTGCAGCGCTGCATCGACCATGCCTCGGGAGATCAGAAGGCCAAGTTGATCGCTCAGATCACCGCAAACTCGTTTGCCTTAGTCCAGGATCCGTTTGGAAATTACGTGGTCCAGTACATCTTGGATCTTGCAGAGCCAAAGTTTACCAGCCCAATGTGCCGTACCTTCGCAGGCAATGTAGCTTCTCTGTCCAAGCAAAAGTTCAGCTCCAATGTTATCGAGAAGTGCCTTCGCACTGCTGACAATGCCTCTCGACGTGATATGATTGAGGAGATGCTGCAGGGCAACCAGCTTGACCAGATGCTCCGTGACTCGTTCGCCAACTACGTTGTCCAGACTGCCATGGACTTTGCCGATCCGGAAACTCGCCAGCACATCGTGGACGCAATCCGACCCATTCTGCCTACCATTCGACAGACTCCTCACGGACGTCGTATTGCTGGCAAGATGTTAAATGCCGAGGGCTCTGGCCGCAGCAGTGGCAACAGCAGTGGCCAGGCCACTCCGAATGAGCTTCCCCCCAACAGTGCCCCCAACGCGCAAATCCCGAAGATGCTCCAGAAGCCTTTCATGTATCAGGGACCGACGAACGGCTCGAACTTCAACGGCGGCTATCTCCCCACTCCCGGAAGCTCTTCCAACAACACCCCGCCCAATGGACCTGGCGAGAGTCCTTCGGCATACAATAACATGCAGGCACCCCCAGCCAACAACTTCGGATCGCCGAACCCTCCCCTCTATGCCTACTTCTAAACAATGACTTGTACCATAGTCACGATTGCCACGATATTTGATGATTTCACGGACCTTTCACAGACTCATCAGACGGGCCAGTTGCATACTTCATGATTCCCTCGGTTGCAACTCATTCATTCATCTCTCCCCCATCTGTTTCGCCTGCATACCTGCATATATGCTTTGCATCAAGCAATGCGTCATGACTACCATAACATCTGGCAAGAACTTACGTGTTGCATTCTGCATACAATCTTTGTGCAGTCCCGCATCGGAGCCTCATTTTCTTTCTCAGCCTGTGCTCCGCAGCCTTGTTCATTCTTTCCATTTTCCATATTCCATTCTGTATTTTGCTTCCCCCCTCCCTTTTTCATTTGTTTCCACTGGTGCTACAAGTCTCGGCTTTTTGCGTGACTCTGGTGATTTGAAGTATCATTCCTCTGCAATGATGTCCTCGTCATCCTGTCTCGCGCTTCACCATTTTTTTTTCCTGCCTCGTGTTTTCTCACCATTTTTTCTCTACTTACGCTCTGTACTTTGCATTTTGATTGTTCCCATTGCATTTCGTGCTGTGTTGTGCTTGTGCCGAATGTCTCGGTAAGAGCATGCTCCGAGATGATTCTATGAAAATGATCGGAGTGGTTCGGACTCGACTCATCTTCTCGACAACGAACTGTCCTGAGATGGCATTACTTGGAGATGGGCAGCTTTTATGTGGCCGTTCTGAATTCACGGGTCGGTTGCAGACAAGGACAGTGTTCACTGTCTTGTTGCTTGATTCCAAGTTTTCGCAACGCATATGCCTCTCCACACACACTACTTGCATCGCTGTACTGTATCATCGGATATCAATTTCTTCTGAACGAAAGGCCCTCTGTAGACCTCAATGGTGATTAAAAAACCCCTGTATACATTTCAACGAGTAGACAATCTTCTTCTTTCAACGCGCCGTGAGGTCACGTGTAGCTAGGGATCGGCTTCGGCGACAAGCCACAACCCGCATCGACTCGACCCTTTGCGCATCGCCAACCAACGAATTCAAAGGAAGAATCGACACATGCAGCCAATTGAAGTTGCGCGCTCCCTGAGTGCACAATGGCCATGTCGGGAGGTTCAGGCGCGGCAACTAGCTAATCTCCTCCATGTGAGTAGCTTCCGCGGCTTGAGGACTCCGCAGCGCTGTAAAGCTCGATTTGATCATATTGCTAACATTAGAGCCTGTGCGAAAGCCCTCTATCCCTAGCCCGCCAACACTAGTTGTCCATGGAATTTCTGCGACCTGCAAATCGACCATCATCCGCAGCGTTCTCTCAACCCTTGAGATTCCGCACGCAGTTGTCCGGAGCACGGAGTGCATTACAGGGCGCCATCTCTTGACAAAGATTCTCTGGAATACACTGGAGGCAGTGGGTCAGAAAGACGAGTGGGAGAAGTTTGGCAAGGGACGATGCGAGCACGTCAGCTCACTTGCGGTTCTTCTGGAAGAATGTCTTGCCTCAAGAGCCGCAGAAAAACAAGGGAAATTCGTGCTGGTACTGGACGAGATCGACCGACAAAGGGAGGCGCCGCATACGCTGTTGTCGGCGCTGGCCCGACTTGGAGAAATCGTGAGTGACTTCAACCCGTCAGGCTAAAAGCTCTACTATCGTTACTAACATACTAGCAGATCCCATCGCTCTGCGTCGTTCTCGTGCTCGGATCGACTCCTCGGCCTCTGTTCCTGCAGGATGCGGCGGTACCTCATATCAGCTTCCCATCTTATACGCGCAAAGAATCCATTGAAATCCTGCTGGCTTCTCCGACGCCTGTGGTAGAGGGTTTGCCGGAGGAAGTCACCTCACGGATATACCCTCACTTCGTTGCGACTATTTATGATACACTCGTTGGGCCGACAGCAGGCTCGATTCCAAATTTCCTATCAATTTGCGAGAAACTTTGGCCTCTGTTTGTGGTTCCAGTGGTGCAAGGCGAAGCTCCGCCCGGCGGGAACACTGAATGGGACTTTTCGCATCTGCTGTTGAAAAACAGAGCTCTATTCCGGCACGAGGGAGAATCCGCACTAGTGCACCGGATCGTACCCGAGGAATCATCTGGTCTGCTCAAGACTTCCAGAGCCCCATTGGCAACGAAAACACCTCCCTCCGCTCTCCCGTCACTGCCATACTTCTCTACATTGATCTTGACATCAGCGTATCTGGCATCCCATACTCCACAGCGTCTTGATACAATTTTCTTCTCCAAATTCTCCTCCTCCTCGCTCTCAGCACGCAACAAGCGTGCCCATCATCGTCGCCGCTTAAAGGTCCTCTCCCAAGCCCAAGCCGAAGATAGAGCAGCCGCCAGCGAGAACGCCTCGACACCAAACAAAAAGGGCAAACGAACCAAAACTCGAATTACAAAATCAACACTCTCTTCTGCATTTGCCACATCGTCCGCAACAACCTCCGCCACCGGAGGCGGTGGTATCACAGGCCCCTCGACAATCCTCACAGCACGCCCATTCCCTCTAGAACGCCTTTTAGCTATCTACCACGCTATCGATCCCAATCCACCCGCAAATCCCATTCGCACCAGCGCCGTAGCAGACTCGATCTACACCGAGCTGGCCACACTACGGCGTCTACGTCTCGTCGTCCCAGCCTCCGGCCACGTCGGAGTAACCAGCATGGGAAGTGGCAACACCAGTGCTGATGCGGGAGAGAAGTGGTGTGTGAATGTTTCTGGGGACTGGATTGGTGAGCTGGCTAAGGGGATTGGTGTGGAGGTTGGAGAGTGGTTGGCTGGTGGTTTGGATTGAGGTATTGTGTAAGATTCAACTTTAGGTGGGACAGGCAAGGCTGGGGTGTGGTGTTGGCATTTGGTTTTGGTGTTTCTTCATTTGCATGGCATCTAGGATATAGAATATCCTAGATGAATTATACCCGTTCTTGCATGGTCATCTTCGATTAAACTCATTTGTACGTGCATTCTTGAACAGTGTAGAGGGCGAAGGTAGAGGAAAGGCACGGGCAAAGAAAATCGGGCAGCGAAGAAGGGGGATGGGCGGCGGCAACTGTTTGGGGAGACAGCTCTTTTAGATCTCGATTTGAGGCAGTCATAGCCGAAACCGTGATCTACAGACTGATTTCCATTATTGAGCGCGCCTGGAGTCTCGTCAGTCACCCCCAGAGCTACTACTACTTGCGAAGGGTCGGCCTTATCGCCGACTACAGGCAACGCGGTCCCTTGAGTCAACGGGCTTTCCTACTCGTAATGAGTCTACTTTAGACCGGAACGGAAATTGTGAAAACAGTATGATTGTTGCATGACTTCGTAACTGGCATGATGCGTGACACTTCAAGCTCCGACAAATGCAGTCGTGGCAAGAACTTATAACCAGAAGATGCGGGCATTCCCGATAAAACTACCAGATCCACTGGTCAACTGTAGCTTTTGCACAAACCAAGAGGCTGGGAGTCTGAGGCCCATGACGATTCAACTGGCCTTCACTCGATTCAAAGCATACGCACGTAATCGGATCGGAGTATCGGTACTTTGAAAGAGGCGAGGCGACTGGAGTGCCCGTCTGGAGGGAGAAGAGTTGGATTTTGCGGTCATCCGAGGCTGGCGTTAGGATCAGTAGTTGCAACTATAGAGCAATTGGGAAATGTGCATACCGCTTGCCACCAGACTGAGCTCGGTGCTGACATCAAAGTCCGGGATCACATCGGGAGAGTAGTCGGGGAAGGTCAAGTAGGGACGGGTAGAGCTATGGCGCCAGTGTTTTGGCTTAGGCTTTTTGCCTTTGCCGTCTGGTTCTGGGGCAAAACGTATGTCATACATTTGAAGCTGGTCCAAGTGTTAGCGTAGCTTGCTAGGGTTAGAGTAGAGTGAGGCCTTCACGTACTGAGTTGTACCCTCCAACGACCATTCGATACTCATCGACCTTGCGAATCTTGGAGACTGAATGGGGGTGTTTGAGTCGTGCAGCACTGCCTCCACTGCGGAGATCATGGAGGAAGATCGTTGAATTTCTGAGCCCCGAGGCAATGACATCCGACGAAAGCCACTCCACTGCGTTGACGCTCGCGTGCGTGGAATTACCATGTCGACGGAAGTTTGGACTGTTTGCACTTACTTCGCCCGGAAATGGCTTTTGCGAAAGAGTCCAGTGACTGCCGAAACCTTCGAGTGTGTGTAGCCCGTCTGAGGTGCCGATGGCGAAGAGAGCTTTGTTGCCGGTCGGACATGCTGCTGAACACCACATCGAGGATGTGGTGTTGATGCGGATGGGGTGTGCAACTTCGTGTGTCGTGTTAAATCGGTGGAAAGATAGAGATAAAACAAACAGGGACTTACAGATGTTAGGCCAGCGATAGTCACCGTCCTCATCAGGGTCTGGAAGCATGCGAGTTGCGAGATAGCTTTCGCCTTCTGGACCGCTGTCCATTGTTGCCCTGGGTTGATCAGCAACAATATTGAGACGAGGTGACTAATGGACAGTGATGGACATACAAGAGATAGCCTGTATGACTCAATGATATTGAAGATAACTGGAAGGAATCAGTGTTGGCATCTTTCCATCTAAGAAGCGCAGAGAACTTACTCTGAAGTTGTCTTTGAAGAGCATTCGCTCCATAGTGCGATCATACGTCCATTGCTCTTCGTCAGGATCTGGAAAGCATATTCTACATATTGTCAGCGGTAGTAATATTCTCGGAGCAAGGGGACGTACGAGGCTGATGAGGAACCTCCATGATGACCACTAGCTATTAGAATCCCCGAGCGAGGGTTCCTCAAGACATGGCGTATGGAGTAGTCTTTCGGGAAAGGCTCGAACTGGTGGAGCTTTTTCCGCCGTAATTGACTCGCATAAATTTGCGCTTGGTGGTCGAGTCGGGCTGTAGCAGGGAGTGGAGACCCGATCTCTCTGTAGGCACCGAGCAACGGGTGGTGCAGGAAAGCCGCTTTGCGGACCGTCTCTCGAGCTTCACGTTGTTTGATCTGGACTCTCTTCTCGTGTTTCTAAGGAGGTTAGCATGCTCTTTGGCGAAGAGTCTCTCATGCTAACCTCTTTGTCCTTGCGTTTTCTCTTGATGGATTCCTTGGAATACTGTGATCCTGGAGGTGCGACATGGTTGGCCTGAATCTTAAAGTATTTTTTCTTCTCCGGATCTGTGGACGTGTTTTAGCCATGCCCCAGGACAGGCGCAGAGTGCAAGCAAACTCGCCCCGACTTACCATAGTAAAAGCCAGGGATGTCTGCCGCCATGTTTGGTGGCAGAGTTCGATGAACACTCAGCCTGGGAGGGCACAAATGATTTGGTAGCAGAAAGCAAGACGTAAGCGTCTCAAGATGAAGTAACCCTCTTTACTTTTTACATTTCCTGAGGCGAGGCGAGGATGCTGATGGGTGGCGGTATCAGCACGTTGCGGAGACGAAAGCACGCCCTAGCTTTGAACGTGTTCCCAGCGTGCCTCAAGCACAGGATAAGACTGTTCCTATTTGACAGCAAGGACTGAAGCAACCGATGGTTTCACTCCGAGTCAGCGACTCGCTGAAGATTCAGTTTGCTCCAATTTGTCCGCGATGGTGACGTCCACATGATTACGTAACAAATGAATGCCTGAGATACAAGGCTGTGAGGGGGTCAGCATCATTTGCTTGGAATCCCTATGGCGATTTCGATGAATTAATAGAGTAGAACTACACGTGAATGTATCGCTTTCAGATAAACGTCTCAGGTCTGGGGGGCTGAGAACACAGAGCCGATGTCGTCCTCAGACCACCACTGGAGTCCACCTGGGCATCCAAGTATATCATTATCCTCATCGATGCTTGTAAACTTTAGCTCAAAGTTGGAATTAGATCGACAAAACGAAATATGTCGAACGACTTGTAATATAAATAGAAATAAACATTGAATCTATAGAGGTCTTTTTGGAAGTGAGCATGTCGAATGCCCTTCGGAGACATGGCCAAGCAATGCTTCAGAAGAGCCTTATTTTTTTTTTTGAAAGCAGTGAGCAGAATCACGATGGATCGAGCTGAGATTAATTCCATGCATAGCATGTCATCACTTGTTCAAAGCCATTGCGCCTGCCTTTTGTCAGCACCTGCCACGACACCTGTGGACCTTCCCATATAGACTTATGCTGCCCACAATTGCCTTCACGGCTTTCTGTTTTCACTCTCTTCTCTTTGCTCGTTTTTCTCAACTTCACGTCAGAAAGAATTTATGAATAGAATTTGAAATCTTCGCCCATGTCTCAAGCACCTGCAGCCGACTCGTCTCGACCCATGGACCCCGTGAACACCAGGACTCTGGCACTCCACAGCCATCCCCCAGGCGATACCTGTGGCAAGAACGAGAACAGCCTTTCAAAAGACGAGGAGGACTCCCCCCATCATGACAGAGGACAGTCTCGATGCTCTGATCGCCGAGCTCGAGGATGAAGATGGGAAGAGCCTGACCCGGAAGTCCTCACAATCGGCCCGGGCGCGGATCGACCGATCTCAAACACTCTGCTGCAAACCAGCCTGACAACAGGTCTCACAGACTTTGAGGTCATTGCCATGCGAAGGAAGTATGGCTGGAACCGTCTAAACGAGCAGAAAAGGAGCAATATCGTCAAGTTTTTGAAGCTTTTTGTCGGATCTGTGCAGTTTGTCATGGAGGTGAGTACTATTCCTCGTAAAGATTTACAAGCATCATAGTAGGCGCATGCTAATTCTCATTTGTAGATTGCGGCCCTCTTGGCCGCTGGCCTCCAAGACTGGATTGATTTTGGTGTCATTTGTGCTCTTCTTTTCCTCAACGCCATCGTCGGATTCGCCCAGGAATATCACGCAGGTAATATTGTCGACAGTCTCAAAGAGAACCTTGCACTCAAGGCCACTGTCATTCGCAATGGGGAAATGATTGAGGTGCCTGCACAAGATGTCGTGCCAGGAGATGTGGTTCATGTGGATGGTGTGAGTTTCGATATGGAAAGAGTGGTATTGGAAACTCCATATTAATTGAAGTTCAGGGCACGATCGTACCAGCCGATGGAACAATCGTTTCCAATGACACGCATTTACAGGTCGACCAGTCCTCAATAACCGGCGAGTCTCTGGCAGTGGACAAACACCAGGGCGACCGCTGCTTCTCTTCATCTGCTATCAAGCGTGGTAGCGGCCTTCTCATTGTGACCCATACTGGTGATCGAACGTTTGTCGGAGCAGCAGCAGAACTAGTCAACAAGGCTGACAATGGAACTGGCCACTTCACCAAAGTCCTCGACCAAATTGGCAGGATCCTTCTCACGCTGGTTGTTATTACTCTCCTTGTCGTCTGGATCGCTTCATTCTATCGATCCGACTCTATCGTGGAGATTCTGGAATACACACTAGCCATCACAGTTGTCGGGGTGCCTGTTGGCTTACCCGCAGTCGTCACTACAACCATGGCGGTGGGTGCTTCGTATTTGGCCAAGAGTTCTGCCATTGTCCAGAAGCTTTCGGCCATCGAATCCCTGGCTGGAGTAGAAGTCCTCTGTTCCGACAAGACCGGGACTCTTACTCGAAACAAGCTCGCATTGGGTGAGCCTTACACAACTCCAGGGATTGATCGAGAGGCTCTTATGCTTACAGCCTGCCTGGCTGCCACTCGCAAGAAGAAAGGAATTGATGCTATCGACAGAGTCTTCATCAAAGGGTTGCGAGGATACCCGAAGGCCAAGAGTCAGATCGAGTCCTTCAGAACCATCGAGTTCTATCCGTTTGATCCGGTTTCAAAAAAGGTCACAGCTGTGGTGGAATCCTCCCAAGGCGAACAGATCATATGTGTGAAAGGGGCTCCTATTCCAGTCTTGAACACTGTCAAAGACGACCAGCCTGTTCCTGTGGAAATCGAGAATGCCTATGTGGCCAGAGTCACGGAATTTGCCAGTCGTGGATTCCGGGCTCTTGGAGTAGCCCGAAAAGGTGCTGATGGAATATGGCAAATCATGGGAATCATGCCTTGCTCAGACCCCCCCCGCGTCATGACACCGCAAAGACTATCGTCGAAGCTCAGCGCCTGGGGCTTCGCATCAAGATGCTGACTGGAGATGCAGTGGGAATTGCGCGCGAGACAGCCCGCCAACTTGGTCTTGGCACTAATATCTATAACGCAGAAAAGCTTGGAGTCACCGGCGCAGGCGATATGCCCGGCTCGGAAGTCAACGACTTTGTTGAGGCAGCTGATGGCTTCGCCGAAGTCTTTCCTCAGCACAAGTATAGCGTCGTGGAAATTCTCCAGAAGCGAGGCCTTCTGGTAGCTATGACTGGAGACGGTGTCAATGATGCCCCATCGCTCAAAAAGGCTGACACAGGCATCGCAGTCGAGGGTGCCTCGGATGCTGCTCGCTCGGCTGCCGACATTGTCTTCCTTGCGCCCGGTCTATCAGCAATCATCACCGCCATCAAGGTCTCCCGCCAGATCTTTCATCGAATGTATGCATATGTCATCTACCGAATCGCCCTGTCGTTACATCTGGAGATCTTCTTCGGACTGTGGATTGCTACCATGAATGAAGGCCTCGATCTTCGCCTGGTTGTGCTTCTGGCCATCTTTGCCGATATTGCAACCCTGGCAATTGCCTACGACAATGCGCCGTATTCAGAGTCGCCGGTCAAGTGGAACTTACCCCGACTATGGGGTATCGCAGTTGTCATGGGTATGATCTTGGCAGCCGGTTCCTGGATTGCATTCGGCACCATGCTGTTGCGTGGCGAGGAAGGAGGCTTGGTGCAAAACTTCGGAGCTCGCGACTCGGTCCTCTTCCTGGAGATTGCCCTCACGCAGAATTGGCTAATTTTTATCACTCGAGGAGTCAAGACTCCCTTTTGGAAGCATCTTCCATCCTTGCAACTCTTCTTAGCCGTTCTGGTGGTGGACATTGCAGCGACTTTGATGGTCGTCTTCGGTGTGTTTGTCGACAAAAACACCTCTATTGTGACAATTATCCGCGTGTGGGGCTTTTCTCTGGGCGTGGAAGTTATCTGCTTTGTTGTATACAACTTTTTGCAGAGCTCGGAAGCATTTGACAATATCATGCATGGTCGGAGCCCACGCGGTAAAGGCAGGGAGCGAGCGTTTGAGGACTTTGGTAAGATTGGCATCCTTCGTAGCGCAAGATTATGACAGAAAATTAACCAGCTACAGCAATCAATATGCAGCGACTGGCGAGCCAGCACGAGAAGACCACTTGAGGTCAATACGGCCGACGGTTGATGAATGGGCAAAAATATGATCTTTTGTGGGAATGGATGGGTCGAGTACCAAACGGAATACTGCTTCATTGAGCATCCAGTGGTAGGGCGGCAAGAATGCCTTTTGATCGATTTCAATGCTTGACCTTGTCCCGAGATGTCAACTGTCGCCACACTATTTCTTATTGCGTCTATTCTTATTCACAGGCGACGCGTCACCAATGTGACCCCATGTCCTAGTGTCTAACGTTGAATCAAATTACTTCCATTCTTCTCACAGCTCCCTGACCATATTCCTGTAGGGATTCTCCGGATCATTTTCTTCTTCCTCTGCAGACTGAATCGTTTTGCGCACTTTGCATGGATTTCCCACGGCCACGGAAAATGGGGGAATGTCCTTGGTAACCACCGAACCGGCCCCAATAGTACAGCCCTCGCCAATAGTGACTCCAGGCAGAATGACTACATTACCACCAATCCAGCAGTCGTCGCCAATCTTCACAGCATGTCCAAATTCAACGAATTTGCGCCGGGATAGGACGCTCGTCTCATGGCCCGCAGTGAAGATACCGACATTAGGGCCCATCTGGACACGATCACCGATGATCACCAGGGAAGTATCAAGAATGGTACAACTAGACACCTTAGTTCTCCTCCAAAATTGAAGATAAGGCTGCAACTTACTTCCAATTCAAGAAACAATCCCGCCCAATGACGACATTGCACCCATAATCCGGGCGAAAAGGCGGCTCGACGAAAGTGCCCTCACCGACACGGCCGACCAGCTTCTGCAGAAGATCGAAACGGGCCTCAGCGATTTTATCGAATGATACTGTACGTGGGTCGAGGCGGTTGTAGTCGCTTGTCAAGATGCGACACCGGTGCCGGCCCTCGACGAGGCGGGGAAGGAGGGGGTTGTACCTGACCACGGGTAAGCATCCAGATCTCTACGGTATACATAGAGCATTTCCCTGCCCGGATAAGATACAAGGTATCGGGGCTTGTGAGAGTTGGGAGGAAACTCACAACATGCCAGAGATCATTTTCTCGTAATCATCGCACATCGGCACGCCGGGCAGGTCGCGCGCAATGGCGATGAGGTCAGGTCTTTTCTCGGTGGATGCCATAGTCGTAACGCTTGAGGATGTGCTAGCTTACTAGGTAGTGTCTCTAAGTCAATTTAAACACTTGAGGGGCTAGTAATGGTGAAGAATCATTATCGAATATTGAACGAAGATCCGAGCTAAGGCGCCAATGCGGAGACGACATCCGCGTCCCCGAGCAACAATCGTCTAAGATCACCCAACGTCCACCACCTCATGATGCAAGATTTGTACAAGATTGAAGGCAGAATATCAGTTCGGATTGCCCTTCCTTTTCTTAATATGTGTGGGAAACATGTTCAGCGGATGAGAGACTCTCCGTATTCGCCAATTGCAGACAATCTTCATCCTTGCCCATTTCGAGGTCTTTTTCCTCTTTGACGAACCGCAATTGTCTTTTATACATTCGCCAGAAGACAAGACTACCATGGATCTGGGCAGCTGAAAAAGCAATATGAAGCAACGGAGTGGCCACTTTGAAAGCAATTTCCCAACGACTCCACAAACTGCCGAAGAGCCACATGGTCACGATCGTTTCACAGAGTGTACCGGTCGCCGTCGTGATGCAGGATAGAAGGAAAACACGCGCAAGGAAATAGTGTCGATGGGGGTACACACGGTACAGGATGATGGCGATATGCGGGAAGAATTCGGAAATGAGATCAAAGGCTCCTGTTTTTGTTTTTTTTTCCCCGAGTCAGTCGGTATGGTCATGTCAAGCAAGCAGAGAGAAATAACATACCCCATACAAGACACAGAATGAATTCGATATTTGCATCAGGCTCCCGTGCAAGCTTCAAGCTGATTGCAATGGCCGATTGACCGATCATAATCGTCCCAACATGATGCAGGACCGCCACGGGGAGAGTTTGACGCGGTACAAGAGTTCGAAGACGTACATGCCGATTAGCATCTGAGCCACGACGATGAGGGCATCACCCAATGTGGCGGGCCTGCCAGGGATGTACGGTAAATGGAAGACCGTCGGACCAGTCGTGATGGCACGAATGAAAGGGTAAACTGCGACGAGCAAGATGACGAGTTTTGTAGCGCCAGCGATGTGATGGTTGATGAAACCACGGCGGTTGGTTTCATTCATCTCAGTGTAGGTTTTGCCATATAGCCATGGAATCAGAAACCCTTCTAGGATGTAGAAGCGGATCAGGAAAAGGATGACGAGGATGATGGAGATGATCAGTGCAGCGAATGGAGCCAGTTGCGATATGGGCTCCTGCTGAGTACTCTTCAGATGGGAGATATCGGTCATCGTGGCGTGGTGTGCTTTAATTCAACGAAACGGGCGTGAGAAAAAAAAATAGAAAGATATGCAAGTTAGAGCGAGTGAAGGGTAGAATGGAAAGTCAATCAGACAAATGAAACGTGTATTACAAGAGCGAGTATTGCATGGAGAAATGAGTGGAAAGAGGCAAGACAAAGAGAAGAAAGAGGTATTTAGTAGAGAAGAGAAGATGTATTCAGAAGAGAAGAGAAAGTTTCGAAGAAAGGAGGACTAGGGTCAAGTAGACATCGTGAGAAATAAAAGAGACCGGCCACTGCTCCAAAACAACCGAGGAAGTGGAAATCGAGGCGCCTATTTGCATCCCTAAATTCGATTCCTCATCACTGCCAGCTATCCACACCATCATCCACTGACCCCGGGCAATGGGCTAACCAGATCCAGGTCACTCCATCCTACTATTCTGGGAGTACGAGCATGACATTCTCACGGTGCAGGGTACCTGTCCACGGGGAGGGGGCTCCAACTAGTGAAGTCGAGCCTAGCTTGTCAGAAACGAGCAAGCGAATCGTCCGACCCCCCCAGTGGACCCTAAAAAATGCATAGTGAGAGACGAGCAAGCTATACTATACTTGGACTTCAGGCTCCCATGATCTTACTCTTTCACAGAAAACCCTCAGCAATATCCTAAACGGGAAACAATCGAGCTAGAAGAGATCTCGAAGGAGGTTGGAGCCAATACCTAGTCGACAGATGTTGCCAGGGTCTTAAGCCAACATACTTCCCGTGCTGTTAGTCCCGTTCAGGGGCCAAGCTTTTTTGCGACGGCGTGCGAAGCTTAATGACATTTCGACGTGCCATTATTGGCCAAGATGGAGTCCTGCCCCGGTGAATTTGAGGGAGAAGGAGAGAACGGGGTCGTCTAGGGCTGAGCTTACGGCCAAGGTGGTACCAACTGTTTCAGAGCCCCGGCGAACACGAACTTTGTCAGGCAACAGAATTGTAATTGGAGGCTGCCTGTTGCTTTTGCTCCATTGGGTCAAAGTTACATTTGCCCCTGGCGTGGTGGATCTGGAGGGAAATCGGAATCGTAGAAAAGGGAAAAGGGAAAAGGGAAAATCGAGTTTATTTCACCATACCAACCGTAGAACAAATTACCTCCAGGGACCCAGCAATGAAATCATGGAATGATGCTCAACATGTCAATTGTGCGAGTTCATACAAATGCTCATATGCAACTTGGTGCGTCAATGTTAGTGTCTAGAAAAATTGGCCCCTGTAAATTGCGTTGCCTAAAGTCGCTGTCGACGGAATTTTCTGCTAACATGATTCCAGCATTGCCTTTAGGACGCCCCGTGGTAAGTTAGGTCTTCGGTTAGTCCCGTCTACCCTTTTTTTTTTTCTGGACCAGATTCGTTACATGAATGGACGATCAGGCAATAGTCTTCGCCCCTGCAAGCTTATTAGCGTTCCGGAAATCGCTGGGGCTCCGATCAATGTTAACCCATCATCGAATATTAATGGCAGACTCGTACGATCCAAAGGCACTGATCCGTGGCTCCAGCAATGGGGACAGCAATGGGAAATTATATGTCAGACCCAAATGCTGACGACTTGCGATGCCGTTCCCATGCAAAACCCGAACTCATCGAGCTTGATGGCCATCATCGCGATGGTCGTATAGAGGGAGACCGATGACAATCCTAGAATAGAAGCCAAAAAAACAAAAGATCTCAGAGCTCAATGATGCCTTTGGGAGTATGAAAGGACAGCCAACGAGCGATCAAAATGCCGTGGATGACTGACGGGCCGGTCAGCGAGTTGAAGCGGCCGATGCGGTTAGCCCCGGCTCCACCGAGGAGACGCCCCGACAAGCGATCCAGTATTTGAGGACCAGGATCAGATAGCTTGACATGTCGACGTCAATGAAATTAGACGGTGCGTAGCCAGAGGTGTTGAAAGAAAGGGAATAAATGCCCCCCACATAGCCATGTAGAGCTCACGACCAGATCTGATTATTCAATGCCATGTTTGGTCTTTTCTTCTTTGCAACGCTCAGTAATTTCCACTATATTTCCAAACGAGGCAGCTCCAAGCCTCCAAGCCGAGGCTATGCGCGAGACCGCGAGCGCGCGAGCGTGGCTGAGCCTCCTCTGAATGCGAACATAGGGCTGTGGCGTATCTAATCTGATATCCATGTACCGGAAGCGAGAATTAAGAATTAAGTGGAGTCATATTAACACATGTACACGTCCACTCATGTGTACTAAAAGTTTATCGACCAAAGTACTTAAGCTCCAAGTACCTTGCCGGTACATAAGCCAGAGCCGTCACGACAAATGTGAATTCGTTGGCCACGTCACCGCCGGCATCTCCAATTGTCGCCGCGAGAGGACCAATAAACCATGTCTCATCCATTCCCATGCACCACGCCACTACTCCGAGGGCAAAGGCCACACCAGCGCCAATACCCAACGGAAGCCTCGCTGGGTCGTTCCATCCTTCGAGATCGTAATTGTCGAAGTTGCCCTTGCGGAAGATAAAGTGTTCCTCGAACAAAATGACGGCGTAACTTGTACACCAATATCCCAACAGACTCAGGAAATTTTGGAGGTATTCATTCAGCTTTTGTCGACCACCAATCGATAGGCCGAGGATACAGGCGAAACAGAACAGGGTCCAAAGAGACCGAGGAATACGAGCAAAAGGTCGGGCAAGTTGCTGGAAAGAGATGGCGGAACTATAGATACTGATGACGTTGACGTTGATACCGGACAGGACGAGGAGAGTAAGAAGCAATTTGGCGAATCCACGAGGATGAAGCATCTCTTGAATCAGATAACCAATTCCTTGATCGTATGCGGCAGACCAGTCGGGTTTATCATTCAAAGCAGACGCAACCATGCAGCCAGCGACCATGCCGATCGAGGTCGGAATTGCGATACCAAAAGTGGTCATGAGGAAAATCTTCACACGGCTCGTGTTGGCAGGGTAGTGAACATAATAGTCACTCGCCATGGTGCACCATGAGGCACTGGATCCATAAACGACCGCAATCAGACTGAGAACGGCGCCGGAGAAAGAGGAGCCGGTCACGGTAGCCGGGGCTGAATTGTTTGCATATTCACCAGTCTCGCCATAGATGATCAGGAAAATGACCAGGAAGATCATCCAGGCCCACCTCTCGTAGACCAGAATGGCTTTCAACCCGACGAAAGAGATCAAGAGGGCCACGACTGCCAAAATGACAATTCCAAGAATCAAAGAGACGTGGCCGTCGGAAACTGCCGTCAACGCGAGACCTCCGGTGATACACGCGACAGCAGCCCAGCCCATTTGCTGGATTCCGTTCAACAAGGCGACCAACTTGTTAGGCCACCAACCGAAGCTGTACCGACTAACACTGATTTGACGCAAGCCAGTCACAGCGCCAAAGGTGGCACAGAATCCACTTAGCGATGCAGCCAAGATTGACACAAATATCGTGATGAGGATCGATTGTTTCAGGGTCAGGCCAAATTCCCAGCCGAGGAAGCCAGTCGCAAAGCACGAGGTGTTCATCGTGCCACTCGCCCACAGAGCCGCCATTGAGATCTCCTCCACCCAGTGCACCTTTCTCTTATCTTCCGCGCGCTTGCGCTCAATGGCGTCGGACTCTATACCGAGCTTCTTGTCCAGCCTAGCTTCCAGGGCGCGTATCCTAGCGAGGATACCGGTCTCGTGAGAGGCGGCATCGTCAACTGAAATCACCTCGGGTGAACTATGTTTTTCAGTTGAGTACTCGCCTGTTGCAAGGCCCTTCTCCGGATCGTAGGCCATAACGCCTGGGATATTCAGAAGCAGCGATGGAAAAATGAAAACTGACCGCACTCTGTGGGCACCTGGGGGATTTTAGTTGAATCTTAAAAGGTTGTGGGGAAAACGATAAGGCTCGCGTGGGCGAATCTCGCTCAGCTCCATCTCGGAGCCCATTTTTCCAATTCAGTTAGCGTGTTCATTTAGGTTGGCCTATGTAACTGGTTTTGTTAGAATTCTAACCTCTTCTCGGCTTATATTCCCTGGCCAACACACGCCACACGGGCCCCTGATTGGATGGCCACCGGGGTTATCTACGGACTCCGCTTATCGAAAATGGTAATCAGAATTGTTCGGGCGTAGCATTCTGCGAGTGGCAAATCTATACGATACTGAAATTTTATTCTGTAAATGGAAAAGCATTGGTTTATTTTCATGACTGAGCACCGCTCATATGACTAGCTGCATCTTGAAGTGGCCAATTTGTTCTACATGTGTTCCTTACCAAAGAACATTGATCTCGTTGATAACAAGCCTCGCCCAGAACCTTGGAAAGTCTCGGCTAGGCTTATCTCACCCGCGGTCATGAAGATAACTTATCTTTTTCGTCTTTTCTAGAACTCGATGCAAGGTTAATGGATTGAGAGTGGCTGAGAAATTTCTTTTCTTTCCATACGAGCCCACGTGCCCTCAGTAAACTTGTTGTTTCTACGGTAATGTCCGAAACTCTGTTTTCACGTCTGTGCGTGGCGCAACAGGATTCTAGAACCATAAGAATGCCATGCAAAGAAGAAGAACCATCATATCGTTGTCGCTTGATGTCCTCCTATAGAAATTTTCGAACGGTGGTGTTTAGGAAAGGGTGGGCGCGATTCAATGGTTTTTTTACAAAGTCGAATACGCTCCTCTTTGTTGTGCTTTTCCTGGGTTCTAAGGAAAGTACGGCATGGGAGGTCCTAGCAGCTTCGATCTTTTTAGACAAACAAGGGCAAGAAACTAACTACATTGATGACCTGACCTTGGTTAAAATAAGGTAAGATAAGTTGTTGGAAGTTTGAATGCACGGGGATTTCCTTTTAGATAGAGAGAATGCTCGAGAGAACTGTCCTGGTTAAATCACTAGATACTTGTGCGAATTGGTACGTTTTGATATATGAAGCACCCATTTGCCTTCTCTGGTTATACAGCTTTCCAGCGAAATATAATTACTGCATATATGAACATGCACTCCAGTCGCATATCAATCTCAACAAGGAATGACGAAGCGCAGACAGCCAATAGCTTTTTTTCATTCACCTCGCAAATCGGATCGACAAGGCTGACCGTATCATGTATCCTGTAGATATCTTTCAACATCTTATTATTTAAGAGCTAACACCGCCGTTGGCAGTAAGCGTAGCAGCGTAGGAGGCATCGGAGTCGTGGCTGGCAGTCACATTGATACCTAGGGTAATCCAACCAAAGACACCATCCTCGATCGAGTCACCGAGCAGAGCGTATTCGAAGAAGGGATCAGAGGTCGAGTCCTCGGTCTCGACAATGACAACATGATCATCAATGTTCTTGGTAATGTCGACAGTGTTGGTGTTGTAGGGATAGGTAGCCTCAACCTTGCTGATCAGGTCCTGATCAAAGAATAGCTGACCAATGTGGGAAATGTGTCCGCCAGTGATAGTTTTATTGGCCAATTCGTGGGCCTGGGTATGGGCAATGACATGGATATGGGTAGCACGACCGGAGTAATGGCCAGGGAACATAGTTTTGAACTGAGCCACGCCGTCGGCATCGGTCTTCTGGATTCCACGAGAGAAGGTCTTGTTCAAGTTCGAGGCGTCGTCTCCGTTGCCGTTCATGGCGCTCTGGACACCAGAGTAGACTCCAGTAGAGTTACAGCTCCAGACATCCCACCAAAGAGCCTCGATCGGCTCACAGGTGTTGATATCGATGAACTGTCCATCTAGGATGAGAGGAATACCCGGCTCACCGTCGCGAACATCAGATCGCACCAGCTCACCGTTTACCCAGAAGGGGCCAACCTCTCCTTCGGGAGCGAGAATGCAAGTGGGGTTCTTGGAAAAGAGCGCAGACTCGGGCGTATTGGCAGAGACCAGGAGGGTCGAGTGGTGAGAGGTATTGACGGTCTTGTCGGTGTCGCGGGCGAAGATAGCACGCTTTTCATTTGCCTTCATAATGGCAGCACGACGGGCACGAGCACGTTCGTTGACACCACGCTTTTCCAAATGATCGGAGCAGAGCTCCAGCGCGCGACGAGAATTGCGCAAGAGGTCTCGCTTGGAGGCCACGGAATGCGAGTCATGCTCGTGGTGGGCGCCAGGATGGGCCATGGCCAGGCCACTGAGAGCAACAACTGCAAGCTTCTGGAAATACATAACTAGGGAGTTATTCTCTAAAGAAGAATCAGAGATATGGCTTTGGGAGAGAAGAGATTTAAGGTGGTTGAAGTCTTAGCTGGCCGGGGAAACCTCCAGATTTTATATCGCTGGCTCTCCAACTACTCCATGTCCTAAAGCCTTATTTGAATATGGTGCAGATCAGTAGCTCGTCACGGTTGTCGTCAGCAAAATGTAGTGTTGGGACGGGCCTTGTTAGCGTAGGAGTCTCAGCGGATGCTCCTTCGATAATTTTGCGAGCTGACGTACAGAAAGCTTACCATTGGATCCATGACAAGGTCAGTGTGGAGACACAATAGGCAAGTATCAGCCTAATGTAGGTCCTGGCTTGGGACTTGAGGTGATCTGCGGTTAGGGTTTCCGTAGACGGGCAATGCACCGTCAGACCAAGTATAAATGGAGTCAGGTTAGTCAGTGGTAGGAAAGTGGAACTTTTCTGACCCTCATTATTGGCCGAAAGTATCGTACAGGGGTATATGAAGCTAAATTAGAATGAAAGTTGAATGAGTTGATGAAGAATTGATGTTCGGGGATGTGATGAAATATTTGTTTCACCGTTTGCACGGGTAGACTGTGAAGAAAGGAAGCTTATCTTAGATTCTACAAAAGTCACAATTTGAATGACTTCCCTAATTGCAATTCAACTTCCGTAGGTTTATGTATAGCGCTGATGCTTTCTTCCACTCTACCACCAAGGAAATACATCCATCCAATGCAATATAGTATGTGGTATAGACTCGGCGCTTACAACCAGCCAACCAGCTCCTGCCAAGAACATATTCTGAAACGATTACGCGTATTTCGGAGTAGGCTTTCTCCTCCAATTCCGGAATTGCTAATGCGCAGCGCTTTGATGTCAGTGACCTTGGAGTCAAGTACTTTGGCTGGGATCTCGGAGCAAGAGGTCCGCTTATTTATCATCCCGGGCTTGAATTGCTTGGCGTCTTTCTTGGCTCGGCATTCGATGACTCTGGGCTCGCCATTGCGCGGCCCCCATGTGGAGGCACGTTGACCAGGGAATTCTGCATCACCACCCTCTTCAGTAATAGTCAATGCCACGGCCCCCCCTTGCCTCGGTGGATGACCTATGTCTTTCCGCCATTGAAAGAGTCTCTATGGAACCCGCTTCCGCCGCCCCACGTGGGGGTAAATTGAAGAGCGCCTGTGATTTATGCCGTGTTCGAAAGGTACTGCCACTGTCGATTCTCATGTTTCAATAACGCTAAACATCGTTTGTACAGATTCGCTGTGACAGAGTCCAGCCTGCCTGCGAGAACTGTCATCTTGCAGGACTCCCATGCATTTTCACACCGCCACCGACTCAGCGGAAGGGCCTTAAACAGTGAGTTTGGGCAATGTTAAAACAGAAGCCTTGAATACGGCTAACGGGTGCTCAGGGAGCTAGCTGACTCTCAGGCGCGGGTCAAGGAACTAGAAGCAGCCTTACGTGCAGCGCAGGAGTCCACGAGTCATAGTGAGAATGTCCTACCCGTGCCTCTGGCCAGAAGCTTTCCATCAACCCCGGAGAGTCTCACTACTCAACCACCTGCCAATATGAATTTCGTGCCCGATACACATGATCTTGACGCTGCATTGGCGGCGTTCCGGTGGCATCTCGACTATTGTGGACTTGGAAGCGCTCTTTCAACTACTAGAGCAGCCTTTTCTTCTGAGGTTCAGCGGCGTACGGGGTGCTCCTTTGATTTGGATGATTTTGTCTCTGATTTGGTTGAAACGTTTCATTCGCGAGGTCTCAAGTCTACCAGGCTAGCAACTACTGCGAAATGGCCACCAATCTCGTTGGTTCAGCAATGCGTCAAATACTATGCAAAAAGTGGACTCTACTCACTTTTCCCGTTTGCAGATGCCGATGCGCTGCAGATGCTTCTTGACGCTAGCGTCTTGAGCCATCCACAATCGACTCGTGCTGCCAATCGAGCATGTCTGATTGCCTTTACCGCGAATATCACCCAAATGCATCGTCATGACCCAGCCTTTTCAGGTGCTGAGCCAGACGCCTATGCCCAGGCGGCGCTCTCTCCTCCCCAGAGGTTCTCATGGAGACCCCCGATTTGAGGACATTGGAAGCAATTAAGATGATGGTAAGCCTTTTTGACCATGTTTAATAGCGGGTACAATGGGGGCTAAATTTGCTGTTTGTCACAGGCCATCTATATCTGTCCCCTTGGCCAACCTCAGTCGGCAGAACCTTTGCTGGGAATGGCTGTGCAAGTGCTCTATAACTTGGGCGGGCACAAAGTCAGAGCATCTCGTGAGTTTCAGGGACGCCCTCAACATAACCAGCATTTACGCGCACTGTTCTGGCTCTGTTACGGCATGGACAAAGAGTTCTCCATACGCAAGGGCCAGCCTCCGCTATTGAACGACGCCGATTGCGATCTAGAATTACCTGCAAAATATGCCCTAAAACCCTCCGAAAATCACTTCTACTTTAAGCCGTTGTCATCTCAGGAGCTTCTTTACCCATCAGATCTTCGGTTCAGCTTATTGAAAACAAAGATCTTTCGGCTACTTTATTCACGGGAGGGACAGGCACATTCTGAGGCCCGACGCCTTCAACTTATCCGTGAGTTGGATGATGAGCTGAGCGCTTTGAAGATGGAATACCCCGTGGAGTGTCGACCTGATGCTTTCGCGACTCAGAGCGCCCCTGACTACCTGTTTCATGACCTGAGTATCCGGGGTGTCAGCATCCACTTGGAGTACTACTACTGTCTCGGCAAGATTCACGGAGCAAGTGATCTCTACAACATCCCCACAATGCAAAATTGGTCACCACTCCCGTCCAGCGCTGAAATCTGCTACGAGGCAGCGCGATCTACGCTCATATACATGACCCGCGTCCAGCATTACGTAAATTATCATACTTTCTGGTAAGCAAGGTGTTGTGTGGTTGTCTCAAAAAAGCCGGTCAGTGACTGATATTTCCACTAATCAGGATCCATGCCCAATTTGTACTAACAGCTACCATTACTCTCTTCCGCTTTCTGATTATGATGCCTCATGCCTCGACATTTGCTCGTGACATTCGAATACTCGAGGACGTGGCAGCCATCTTTGCACAGTACAGCACGGGCGGCAAAGATGGAAAATGTTTCCCGCCATTTTACCTGACCTATTACTTCATTCAAAAGCTCATATTTCTAGCAAAACGATCTCTCTCCAAATCCATGGAACGTTGAGAGACGTGCTGCGCTTTGTTTTACAGACAACGTGATGAACTAAAATTTGACCCGTACAGCCACTTTGTTCAACCTTTCAACTCAACAGCAAAGAGATAATACAAAATATAACACCTGGCTGCCTCCATACCGCTCAAGCGATTGATATGTTGTCTCATAATCACCCGGTAGAGTTTCTATTCAAGACAATAGCGATTGCCTCATGCGTTGTAAGGCTTGACAGAACGCAGGGAAAACAGGAATCGCAGTCTCCTCGTCGGTGACATTCCACAGCAGGGAATAGACACCTTTGCCTTCAGATTCCCGACGAACATAGAAGCTGGAAGACATATCACCGCTCTCCAATTCAACCATCACCCATTGTCCGTAGAATATAAATCCGGTAGTCGTCTCATTGGAACGCCTCGAGGAGGTGAAGCCCATTTGATGATTCGAGGAGGAAGAGCTGGGAACGTAGAGGAGTTCATCAGACCAGCCAGCCTCGGCCTTGGTGGTGCTATTAGGATTAGCGATCCAAGTGCTAGAAGAGTCCGATGAACGCTTGACTGGCGATTCTGTGAGATTCGGGAGGCAAGCAATTGTTCGATGGGGGATATCACTTACAGGACACACTCGAAGCGGTTGAAGAGGTCGAGTTGGCCGGGTCGCCAATGTAAGCCAAGCCTAGACCATTGTGTCAACATAATTTGAGACGACGTGATTAATAAATCATTACCATTTGCATAGAATAGAGAAAGGCCCCCAACGTTTTCGCCATACGCGTAGAGCCCGAATTTCTCGTTCGCAGCCGGAGTGCTACGGGAGACAAATGCCGAAGCAGATGCGCACGCCCCAAGGAAAAGCATTATAGGAGAAACCAAAAAGCGAAACATGATGATCGATAGAATGATCTAAAGACAAGCAAGAATCAGGATTTCAATTGACCCATGTATAAAGCATTGCTACTCGGACTCTCTTTTGCGAGTGACCTTTCCACCAGCATGACGACTAGATCGACTCGTGGCAGCAGCTCGCCCATTGCTTCTGGACCTTACCCAGACACCAGCTAATTACATTCCAGCATTTCTCAGTGGCTTAGCAGATCAAATAGTTGACGTCTTAAAATATGAACATCGGATATGTGCGAGATCCACTGGTCTAGAACGCGCGTTCGCTGACGTCGATATTCTATGCGGGTACCTAGATGGTCCTGTTCCTAAGCCTTGAACTTGCGGGGTCTAGCTCGATAGCGGCTTGTAGCGTAGCACAAGCTCCCATGGTGAGGTGACCGAGACTTCATGTTGAATCTTGATCTATACTCGGGTCAACTTGTCTCGACCGCATTCCGAAACCTTATGCTCTTTTCACGGCACATGAACCCATTTGACCCAATTTTGAGAAATTTTGGGGATTTCACATCGAATTTTCACTTCTATATTTCAATCACTCCGAAAAGAAAGCACATTTAATGTTCCGCTATTCTAGCCTCTCATGCGGTCGAACACGATGTATGGAGCCCATACCTCACGGAAAAAGCTTACGCTCAATCTACGCATCGGACTTGATCAAGTCCACTAAGCCGGCACAGATTGCGAAGCACGCCGATGGCGGGTCCTGTCTCTCAAAAATGCTGCCAATTTGTTTAGTCTCGGCAGCAAGTATTCAATCACTTGAATTTCTGGAGGTATTGTAAAAGGATGATAAAGATATGATATTTCGCAAGAGTAGAAGGTATCTTGTATTCATCTCATTCCGAACACCTTCTTCCCAACTTGGGAATTCATTAACTTTCTTGTGATGTTTATGCTTTCTTCTTTATTCTGACACTCATTCTGCGAGCTTCCTCCTTTCTTTACTCTGTCCGCTTCTACCCTGAAAGCCGTGAGTGTTTTCTTGGCTCTCCTCGGAGTGACTTCCGCAGCGTCCATACATGACAAACATCTCCATCCACATCTCAAAGCAAAACGCGATGTCTGCTCCGGGAACACAGCCAGCGACAGGCGAAGCTGCTGCAATGATGATGTGTCTACCGACTACTACAATGTGGTGCCCGACACCGGCGTGACGAGAGAGTATTATCTTGATATTCAAGAAGTGACAGTAGCGCCAGATGGCTACTCTCGCACCGCCATGGCCGTCAACGGGTCTATTCCGGGTCCCACCATCCAAGCTGACTGGGGTGACAATGTCATTGTACATGTCACCAACAAGCTTGCGTCGGCGAACAATGGATCTAGTATTCATTTCCACGGAATTCGTCAGAATTACACAAGCCCCAATGATGGCGTTGTGTCTATCACCCAGTGCTCAACTGCTCCGGGCAAGACCACTACCTACAAGCGGAGAGCCACTCAGTACGGTAGCTCTTGGTACCATTCCCACATTGGTTTGCAGGCGTACGAGGGTGTCTTCGGCGGGATCTTGATCAATGGTCCTGCTACCGAGAACTACGATATCGACAAGGGGATGTTGTTCTTCAATGATTGGAGTCACCAGACTGTGGATGAGCTCTATGATTCCGCCCAGGCGAGTGGACCACCTATGTTGGACAACGGTCTCATGAATGGCACGAATGCCTACGGTGATGATGATTCAACCAGCCAGACAGGCTATCGCTTCAACACTTCCGTCAGTGCTGGAACTTTCTATCGTTTCCGGTTGGTGAATGCGGCGGTGGACACCATGTTCAAGTTCATGATTGACAACCACACTCTTACTGTGATGGCCATGGATCTCGTTTCGATCGAGCCTTTCAACACCACTTTTTTGAGTATTGGCATGGGTATGAGATAGTTATCTTTTATAGTTATCTTCTTAATCTTCGCAATTTACTAATCACATCATATTTCACATAGGTCAAAGATACGATGTCATTGTCAACGCAGACCAATCCACCGAGAACGAGAGTTTCTGGATACGCGCCATTCCTCAAGAAGCATGTTCCGACAACGACAGCGTGGACAACATCAAAGGCATATTGTACTACGGCGACTTTCCTTCCACACCCTCCACAACCGCCTACTCCTACACGGACGACTGCGACGACATGGCAATGTCAGATCTGGTCCCATACCTGAAACAAAGTGCATCTCTCCCCTACTACAACCCCAGCGAGCCTGTCACCCGAGGTGAAAACTCAGAGAATCTCTTCCGTTGAAAGATGAACGGTACCTCGATGCAAGTGTTGTGGGATAATCCCACGCTCCTTCAAATATGGAACGATGACACTTCATTCACGGCCGAGAGTGGCGTTGTAAAGTTAACCCGTGCAAATGAATGGTCCTACGTCGTCATTGAAACCGCCTTGACCGTCCCACATCCAATCCATCTGCATGGCCATGACTTCTTCGTCTTGGCCCATGGTACTGGCTCATACAGCTCATCAGATATCACAACCTTGACGAACCCTCCTCGTCGTGATGTGGCGATGCTTCCTGGCTCAGGCTATCTCGTCGTGGCTTTTGAGACCGATAACCCCGGTGCGTGGTTTATGCATTGCCATATTGGATGGCATACCGAGGAAGGCTTTGCTATTCAGTTCTTGGAGCGGTATAAGGAAGCTCGTCAGTTGATTGATTACCATACGTTGCACTCTACTTGTAAGGAGTGGGATGATTATGTGAATGAGAGTGCGGTTGAGGAGGAGGACGATGGTATTTAAACGTTGCATGCATGGATCTTATCATGGTCAATGCGATGGACATACTAGGGAGGGGTGGAAGTCCTGAAAGAAAAGAATTGAAGCTATGGTTCTTATCTGCGCAATGCCTTGTAAGGAATATTGCCCAGTGCACTATCACTCTAAAGCGTCCGGTGAATTTGCGATCATCGCGATGTCGAGAAGGGACCAAATGAGATATCATGGTCTAATACAGGGGGCCTATATACTGATACTCGCTTACCCTTCCACGGATCATTGAGGGGTTTGTATTTGGTGGTGTGCTATATTGGAATGAGAAGGCGAACAGGTTGCGAATCGAGGAATCGGTTGGCAAAGGTAATTGCATGCTAAGAGGGTGAAGTATCGTGTCGGAGGGTTGGCGAAGGACCCTTTATTTCGTGTCACCGGGATTAAGATGGAGATAGGGTATTTCATGAAAATTATTGAACAGTCACTTACTTTGATTTAATGTGTCTGCGGAATTGTAGATTATGACTTGAGATGGCCGCATTCACATCGCGGGCGAAGCGGCTCCAGTGGCAGGGCCCATGAGCGTTATGACTGGGTCTACGAAAATCCAATTCAGTCTAGCCTTCGTTAGTTACCCTTGAAACTGAATTCTAGTATTGGTTAAACCATAAAATCTACCTCAAAGAATAGACCTCTGGATCCATCCATGAGAAAGATCCATCCATGAGAAAGACCCATCCATGAGAAAGACCCATCCATGATAAAGAATTAAAATGATACATAAAGGATATCACGAAATAAATAATCACACAGCATACACCCTCAGCTCCGCTTACAGAGAAGCTTCGAACTCATGCAACGCCTCCGTAATATTCAAATGGACCGTCAAATTGTTCGCAGCCAGTGCCTGGGTGAAATAGGGTAGTTCCTTGCCATTGTAGACGCTTGAGTTGCCCGTGATGACAAATGGCACAAGACCGTCGGTGTAAGGATTATCCTTTGAGCTAATCAAGTTCAAGATAGTGGTTTGGTTGATTGCTGAGGTCATTGGGAAGTAGTTATTGCCTGGTTGGATGGTCAGGTTGTTGAGGTAGGATTGGCCCATGAATGTGCCTCCGACGGAGAGGTCGAGGGTTACGTTGCCCTAGAATATATTAGTCCAGGTGTGTCGTATTGGACTGGGAGAGAGATTACCATAGAGATCGTCATGACGGAAGGATTGGGGATGAAGACTGTGCCGTTCATGTTCTGACCGCTGCCGAGTTTTGTGATGTGGAATTCCGTCACGTTGAAGCCATCGAGCTTGTTCAGGCCTATTCGTGGGTCAGTGTCGTTCTGATTGGAATCACAGAGCAAAGTGTAATGATATGTACCTTTCATGGTAACGGTCTTGTTATAGGTGACGGTCGTCTTTGGCAGTCCGCCTTCCTTCAATCCCGGCTTTCCATAGATATTCAACGAGACTTCCTCGTTGAGCATCACTGCCGCCGCGAATCCGCCGAATGCACTGGCGTTGCTCAGGTCCACGGTCTGCTCGACGACGAGCTTCGCTCCATCACTGGAGGTAACGCTCGGCACATCGACAGTGGCGAACGGCAATGCCGCACCGAGGAGTGAGACAACGGCTTCAAAGGCGTAAATCTTTGGGTGGAAAGAGCTGTGCGAGCCAATGACTTGTGTCTGCATGAGGTTGAATGATTCGGGCGTCGGGTTGCTGATGACCATGCTGGTGATGTTCAGGGTAGAGTCGTTGACATCGTGCTGGGCAATCTTAGGGTAGGCCACATAGACTCTAGCTAGGTTGTCAGATGCGAGTTCAAGGTTTCCATCTGGATGTCAAAGCTCGAGGGCGCGGTCAAACTTACACCGGCAGCAAGATGATGAGGAACACGGCAATGAAGATGATCAAGTGCACCCACCACCACTTCTTGAAGTGAGTCTTAACCCTGCCGCCACGCTGAGTTGGCGGCAACACATCTATCTCCGTGACTTGGGCTTTGGACTCGGACATGGCGAGGTTTGCAAATATTCCAGATCCGTGATGTTTGTAATGGGAAGAAGCGAAGAAACCACCACCGAGTCAATGACCAGATCGACAGTTCCAGGAAACGAGCGACGGAGAAACAGAAAATCTCAGTTTAGTGCAGGTAATGTAGCATTACTTTATATGGAGTCGGCGTATTACATCTTTCGCCATTATCTGGGCATCACATGCTACAGGAATCCCATGAACTTGGAGATTGGAGACCAAAGCGGGCACAGAGGCTAGTTCCATATTTTCGTCGCCTCCAGATTGTCCAGGGGCCGTGTCTGGAGATAGCGATCCGCGATCGATGATCTTCGGACTCTTGTGTTTCATCTTTATAAGCTACACAGATGGAAAATGTGGTCAGTGACTTGAAGCCTGCTCGGGTCAAGGGGACCGAGGTTCTCCTAGAGACACAATATGACATGGATACAGATGCTCCTGTCATCAGGGGCGCCATTTCCTCAGTCGTACAAATACAACCCGGGGCGTTTTTTGGGCTGACCACTTTCCACAGTTGCACCGACTATCTGGGGTTCGCGACTCTTATTGGTGCGAGGTGAGACTAGCTGCAGTGGCGGCGCTCGCCAAGATTGGAGGCAACTGTTTTAGGGAGTCGGCCCTGTCAAGTGAGGGACTTTGTCATGGAACCCATGGTATATTGGAATGGCGTCCGTGAGGGGGGGCGTCTAGGTCTATTCGGGTCAAAGCCCGGACCCCGAAGTCCGGGGTTTCTGGAGATTCTGGAGTTTCTGGAGTTTTCCCCACACAAAGAATCAGGGACACAAATTCCTCAAGAGTCACCTGGCTACGTTCCAAAATAAGATAAATGGCCAGAACCAATGCCTTTGATTGTGTCATGGGTGTCAATCGTCGCACGATTCACCTGGTAAAGCGTCCGCCGAAATACACAATAGATATGCAGAAAAGAAATGTCCAGAAGAAATGAGAAGGGAGGGGGGGTCTGCCCCCAAGGACTGTGGCCATGGAAAAAAAGAAGTGAAGAAAACAAATGGCCACAGGAAGATGAAGTAATGATAAAGGTGACAAAGTAGAGGGTATCCACGAAGAAATGAAAATTGAGGCCCGCGAGGCAGGTGGACGGATCAAGATCCGTCAAACAGACTCGAAAAATAGCTGCCCAGGCGGCTGGTGTAAAACTTTGGATATGAAATGAGGAGGGGAAAAGTAAGAAAGAAAAGGTCAAGAATGGTCAAACGAAACCCAAAGATAAGAATGGAAAGACAAACAGGAAAAGGAAAAAGGGATCATTAAGGAGTGCAAGAAAGGGAAATGACCACGGAGAGTCTAGGAACTTTAGCTCAAAATGCCCCAAACAAATGCTTGGGAAATGCAGAAGTGAATGACGGACAATCGCATGTGGCCCAGGGAAAAAAAAAATGAAAAAAAAAGGAAAGCAAAAGCTTCTGGATAATAAAACAGTCTATGCCTCAGGCACAATGGACTTTTTGCGCTGAAACATGCTGCGAGTGCGCGACTTGCTGCGAGGCTTTTTCTCGTTTTTATCCTTCTTGTTGTCGCTAACGGTTCGTCCGCGGCCGCGACCACGACCACCCTTAGAGTCGTCATCGGCCATGTATTTATCCTTATAAATCCTGCAGACACTGTTAATGAAACTTGAAAATTGCAGATACGGTTGGAATCAATCACTTACCAGCTGTTACCGACCATGCTCATGCCGTTGTCCTCGGCCTGACGATAGAATCGCGCAGCCTTTTTCATATCCTTTTTGCAACCAACGCCTTCCGCATAACAAAATCCGGCTTCAGCCATAGCATCTACATCACCCCATTGACCGGCGATTTCAAAACAGCGCAAAGCCAGGCTCTTGTCCTGTTCAATGCCCCAGCCGTTCAAATAGCTGACACCGAGTTCGTAGATACTGAGAGCAAACTGTGACCGATAGGCTTTTTGCAACTCCTTCGCCTTGGATGCACCCGGGGCGTCCGGGTTTTCGAGCATTTCCAATCCAACTGAATCCACGGCTTTGCGTAACCATCGCACGCCCTCTTGCTGGTTGGATCGCATACCCCATCCATGGCGGCAGGCGAGTGCGTACAACAGCATTCCAGTGGGGTGGTTCTGCTTGGCCGCAACCCGCAGATGGTATGTTGACTCGTTCAAGGAACCCTTCTCGTGCAGTTCGATGCCCTTTGACACATGATCATCGGCAGTCATGTTGCGCGACGATGCTTGGGTTCCAGCGGTTTGCGGGCGCAAAGTGCTCGCTGAGTCCGCAGATGAGACATTCTCGACCTTGTCATTGGTGCTCGCGGTCTGTTGTTTTGCAGATTCGCTGGACTTGCGGGGTCCAGACACTGTCGGTGCCGGTGCCGGTGCCGGCTGGGACTTGGGCGGCGATGGCGGCAGGGGTACTGATTTGGGAGCTGAGGGGGGGGACACCTCATACATCGAGTGCGGCTTGGGGGAGTTCTCCAGCTCACGACACATGGAGGGCGGCGGCGTACGAGCCGAGCGCGGATGATCATCTGAATTTCGAGGCGGGGTTTTCTCAAACATTGGATTATGCTCATTCCATTCGAAATGAGGTGTCTGTAAGCCTGCAAAGACCACCGAGTCTCTTGAAAGCTCGCGTCCACGGGGCAGATCATATTTAGCGTACACGTAGGAGGAGACGGCGGACGAAGGTTCACCATCATTAGGTACGGTTGCAGCTGCTGCTTCCGTTGCCAATGGCAAAAGGATCGGGGTGGGCTTGCTCGCACGATGCATATGGCTAGGTTGGTTCCAAGGCTGCGATTGCGATGCTGTATTGGGCTCAAGTGTTGCTGAAGGGCCTGGAGCCGACAAGCTGGTGCTGGATCGGCTGAGGGGTCGGGAAAAGTTGAAGGAAGGTCTAGGGAGATGCCCAGTATACGATGTTTCTGAGCTCATAGAGGGCGATCGCGGGTGAGGGCCGCGAACGGGATAAGTTGACATGGGCGAGTATGGCAAGGACACGGCACTCGCAGATGACAGCTTCCGCGGTTTAGAGAAGGTGGAGCCTGCATTCGAGCTGCTATAGTCATCATCAGAGCTCTCCGGGTGCGTCACTCTGGCACTGCTTGACGGTCGCGAATGAGGCGAGACCGGTGGCGCAAGAGTCCGAGGTATGTGAAGACGTGATGACACCGAGTCGGTCGAGTTTTGCCGAGACGGGTCAAACATGGCAACCCCGACTGAATCCTCCGATTCGCGTGCGAGCACGAGGTCCTCATCGGGAGATTCAGCACGCGGCATCTCGAAGGAATTGGTTTGGACCATTGTGGTGCGGGGCGTAGACTCATCATCGTCGTCAAGGTCGGAGTTGGTGGTAGCATGTGAGATGGAACTGAAACGGGGGTGCTCTGACACGGGGCGGTATTTGGGCTCCTCAAACTCCGGCCGCGCCTTCTGTGTCGGTCTTCGCGTGAGAGTATGTGTATGTGAATCGCTGGAGGCGCCACGGAAGTAGCCCGGTCGACCTTGAGAAAGCGATCGAGCCACGCTGGAAGGAGGCAGGCGACTCATGCGCCGGTCTGCCCTTCGAGACTCATCTAGCTGTCGCGCAAGAAAGCGACCCTGAGCAGCGAAAGCATCTCAGGGGAGAGAGGGCGGGCGGGACTTCGCCGTCATAGTGTTCGATGCGCGGCGAGGGTAGTCCATTCCGCAGAGTGTCGTGGGAGATGGAGCGGCAGTCGCTCAGCTTTCCTCTTGTATCCATGATCGGGGGTTCAAGTCAAGGGTCAAACAGTGTATTCAAGACCCTAATCGGGTTAAAACCTCTAAATTTCCAGATCGATTTTTGAGAGTGAAGGTGTAGATCATCCAGAGTCGCTTTGGTCCTTCGAGACTTGCACTGGACGCATCGGAGAGGGGGGGGGTGTAGGGTGATGGAGATTCAAATGGGGACCGAGGAGTTGGAGGATTCGGAGATGAGGTCAAGCGATAGCTGTGAGCAGGAGGGCGGGGGCGATGAAGCCAAAGGAATGACAGCCCTAGGGAGGATAAAGAGGTTCGAGAGATGACAACGTCAGAGGAAAGGAGGAGAAAACGGGCGAGGCCCTGACGATCACAATGCAACACACGCAGACTACGCGCCCCGTGCACTAAAAGCTGGGCGCTCCCCACTAGTTGAAAGGAGTGTAGGGAGTCTTTTCCGTGGACCCTAGGGATAGGGAGTCGAGCCGAATCGAGTCCACGTCCGAGTGTATCGGGGTATGGGATTGTTGGGTATAAGGTGTCAGTCTGTCTTCTCTCTACAATACTGCTACCACTACCAGTCAGGGGTTCAAGCTGACGCCAGTCAACCCCCCCCCTCCCCCCATTCTTTCTATAGACTGGCGATCAGCCTTCTAGAATGTTTTTTGTCTCCCCACACGCGGCTTGTTTCATTCAACACTTGAGTTCCACTTGTCTCTCAATGGGTCACCAATCGTGGCTCGGTGGAGCGGCGTTCCTTTTTATGGCCCTAGTTGACCCGTGTTCTGGTGCCTAGAAATTGATTTTTTTTTGTTTATTTGAGCTCTCGGTAACTTCGTGTCCCAGGGTCTACCCGAGGGTGTGCTTGTGGGTGTGGATAATAAGGGGCCCCTACGTTGGACAGTTCACATAAGTAGACCTGGGTATAGAACGACCACTGACCACTCCCCACTTCCAACCAAAATAGCACATGTAGACTTCATCACGGCCATCCCTATTCGAGAAAGCCTCCGACCAAGTAAAGATCTGGCACCCGCTAAACCAAATCTATGCCGATTCTGTCGTCTAGCGTGCCCCAGTGCTGCGCTAACTTGAGTGGGACTAAGCTCAATCCGTCAACTCGTCGGAGCAATGCTCTCAGAACGTATGTAGCACTGGGTCGGCGACTCGATCCTACGGCTTAGTCTCTAGGGTAGTAAACGAAGAAAATATACTGAAGAAAAATTGACGATTCTTCTTGATCCTGCGAGGTGTCAGTTTCTGCACTCAACCTTACGGCCTTGGTGGTGATCACCTCCCAAATTCACGAATCCACCGAGTTTCAAATCGACACAGAAATAGCTGATCGCCATGCGACGAATTTCAACCGCGACGCTCTTCGGCGTCGATCCTAGCACAGACACTCTGCATCGCTTTGAGACCTCCTGGTTGCTATCGCCCACCGTCCTCGCTGCTCTGCGCGGCCTGATCTCTCTATACATCTTCACAACTATCATCGTGATCTGGGCCTGGGATGGCACGCACGGCGATCGCATCGCGATCGGCCAGTCCTTCAGCTACTTCACCTGGTTGACCTACTGGGGTCTTGGCTTCTACTTCCTCTTCTCGGCCTTTCACACGGCCTGCTATGCGCGGACAGGACGTTCTGTGCTCTTCGACCGTTGGCCACGTTTCTGTCGCGTGCTGCACTCTCTACTCTACACGACAATCACCACCTTTCCTTTCTTGGTGACTATCGTCTTTTGGGGCATTCTATTTAAGCCACCGTTTTATAAAGAGACCTTTCCCGGCTGGTCGAATGTAAGTTCAATACAATATAGTTGTATCCCCGCCCCCTACACTCCTCAATGCTTTCGCACAGGGCTGAAAAGACCCAGATCTCTCAACATGGCCTGAACTCTTTCTACGCCCTTCTCGAGATCTTCCTCCCAACAACAGCTCCTCACCCCTTCATCGCCATCCCCGTCCTCATTCTGCTTCTGCTCTTCTACCTCTGTGTCGCATACATCACCTATCACACCGAGGGCTTCTACACCTACAGCTTCCTTGACACTGAAGGCGGCAAGAAGAGCGGCATCGTCGCGGGCTACTGTTTCGGGATCTTGGCTGCGATCATCGTCATCTTTTTGATTTCTTGGGGTCTGATCTGGCTGCGGAAGCGCTCCACTGGCGGTAGGATCATGCGGGCTACGCGTGATCCCTTGCGTGGTCAGGACGAGTTTGTCGATATGCACGTTGATATGCAGGAACAGACTGAGCCAAAACATGCGTCTGTGTAGACACGGGGTTAGACCATTGCTAGACCACGGTATTCCCCCTAATGGCTTACTAAACATAATAATCTAATTGATGCCACGACGTGAATTATCTTATTGAGGTCATGATGAATGGGAATAATTTTTGATCAAAGCCGATCCATTGGCGCCGCGAGAGCGAGGAGTATTCAGAATAATTATGTACAGCATTAAAGTAGATTCAAGAAGTCGAGATATCTTGCATGTCAGATCCAATCAACACCTAAACACGTTCCCAGCTGTTTTCACTGCCGACGCTGGGGCTGACCGCGCCATTTCCACTACGGTAACCCATCATCAAGCCCACAAGTCCGCTGGGCACCCACGCGCCAATTACATTGTAGGACCGCGCGCCTCGGCCGACGTACATGACAGCCTTCTTGGACTTTCGCTGTCCCAAGAAATTTCGAGACATGGGCTCAAGTGCATCGAGTACAGCATGATGGAGGTGCCGGGCTGGGGAGCCGCGAATGGCAGCAGGTCCCGCCGATGCGACAGGTCGCTGTTCAACGCTTGACAGGTACTGCTGGCCATACAGCGCTCGTTGTTGCACACTCCATGCCAGGACCTCGGTACCGGCAACTTGGCTTTGAGCATTTCGGTACGCAGGTCCCAGGTCGATGTTTCCAAGACGAAGTTCGACGACATCGACGTTGGCATTTTCCAGAAGGCGGAGCTCCTGACGCAATGATGTGGCGAAACCAGAGATGGCACGGGTTGTAGTGACTTCCGGTCCGGCGAAGGGTGCGGAGAGGGATGAAGAGATGGACGGGTAGACGAAAGCAATGGTGCTGCTGTTGCTGCGAAGTGTCAACAGAGGGAGGAAGATTTGTGCTGTGAGAATGGGTGAGAGGAGACGGGTGTTGACGGTGTCAGCCCATGACGAGGCGGGTATAGTCGCGACGGGGCCTGCGGCGTAGTTGAGAGACGGGACAATGAAAATGCCGCTCAGTTGGCAGGTGTGTGGTGGCATGCCAGGGTGAGGATATTGAGGCTGGGTGATCAGATCGCGAAGCTCATGTAACGAAGGATGGATTTCGGATGGCATGGGAGAGGACTTGATAGTCACCAGGATTAGTTTTGGGATCCCTCTTTTCTCTAGAAGAGAACTCACAGTTGTCAAATCCAACCATAAAGGCTTGATATCAGCCCGGCTCTCTGACTGAACAATATGCTCTTCATCCGCAGACGAGACTGTCACATAGACGATATATCCCCGGCGCTCCAGATCCGCCGCCATGGATCTAGTCATCGGCTCGTGAGGTGATCCCGCAATTACTATACCCAGGCTTTTAGCAAAAGATTCATCAACAAATTCACGAGAATTTCTTTAGCTTACCAACGATCTCCTTCCGCGCTCCATTCCCGGCCTTTCTAGCCTTTCTGCGCTTCCCATGCAGCTTTTTACTGCCATAATATAAAACACATCCAGTCCCGAGAAATGCGACGATGGCCGCAGTCCACGCGCGGTTCCGAATCATCCAAGCCTGGAACCGGTCCGCCAATCCACGAGGGGGGGCGCACTCCGAGACGCGCGCATCGGACGGACTGCTTGCGGGATCCATGACTGGTGCGAAAGAGTATCTCTGATCACGGTTGCAGCATGATCGAACTGGCGGTCGATCGAGTCGGCGACTTGCGTCGAGTAGTGTCTTACGTCATTGGGAATGGACGCAAGCTGGAGACAAATTAGCACCTTGAGTAGGGGTTTGGTCGAGAGATGGAAACATACGTAGTCAAAGAAGAACTGATCGTCACTGGTCATTTTGGTTTCTGGTATCTTTGGGAAAAGAGCTGATCAGAAAATGATAAGAGTTGACGATAATTCGGTGTTATCGGATTGTCACATGATACGATGCGATCAATGTCCATTGTCTTCCAGGGCCTGAGTCAACCGTAATAGGCCTTTTGTCACTAGATTTATGGCTTTGGGGGTATCCTGATATTTATGGGGTTTTTTGAGGTAGATGTCTGCCTTGCTCACTATTATTTGAACCTGGGCTTTGACCTGAAGATATATCGCGTGCCTTCGTCCTAAAGTGGGCACTTGAAGTGTTGGAGACTTGATATTCGGCGGCCTGAAAAGATTACCATCGTCGAGGACAAGCCAAACACCGGAAAATATTATATTACATACTTTTAATGTACTCATATTGAACTTAGCTAGCCAGGGCTGGACGGTCGATAATGTAGCTGAAAGTACATCCAGTTTAACTCACATGACCGTCGACACCTGAATCTGCTGGTGACAATTGATTAGTTATCAATGAAAGACACTGGAATCAAGGCATAAACTGACTCACGCGGCAACACGCTGATTTCTGAAGTTTCCTTCGTGACTTTCATCTTTCTCAATGAGAATGCGCTACAGGCTGAGACAGCGTAACGGAGTATGATACGCCATCGGAGGCCCTAGCCTCTGAGACCTTGCTCCTACGAAATTCCCTCCTTTGCCAACCCAGGATATCAATATCTCATCACTTACCGCCAAGATGCGTGAGATGGATGCTTTGATCTCGGAGTATCGCCATGAGAAAAAACGTCCCCGAGAATCGGAGGCTCTTTTTATGCTCCGCAAAGTAGCCTCCATCGTCAAACCAATTATGCGCCAGCGTGCCTGGCGCGTGGGAGCTCTTTGCGAATTCTACCCGAAGCAGAGAAATCTGTTAGGGTTAAATGTCAACTCTGGTCAGAAGATTTGTCTGAGACTACGGTATGCCTCTGATCAGAAGCAGTTTCTGCCTTTCGAGCAGGTCGTGGATACTATGCTCCACGAGTAAGTCAATATCCCCAAGAGGTCGTGGCCGCTCACTCACACATACAGACTTTGTCATATTGTCCGTGGCCCTCATGATAGACAATTCCACGCTTTGTGGAATCAACTTCGGGACGAGCATGAAGAGCTTGTCCTTAAGGGATACACCGGAGAGGGCTTCCTTTCCCAAGGCAAGCGTCTTGGTGGCTCCAGGATGCCTCTTGACGAAGCTCGCCGTCAAGCTCGTGCATCCGCTGAGCAGCGACGTTCTCAAGCGAAGAATTCTGGCAAGAAACTCGGCGGAGCTCCTGTCCTCCGTGGAACCGACATTCGCAAGTTGCGAGCGGACGCAGCACAGCGGCGTCTCGAAGTTGAAGGGGGTTGTGCATCGGGAACCTCCGAGGGTACCGAGCTTGCTGAAGAAGCATATAATGGGTTCAGAACAAAGGCAGAGGAAGATGATGCGAATGAGGCAGCTATTATGCAAGCATTCATCGAACTAATCCAGGAAGAGGAGCGTGAGAAGTATGGCTCATCTTATATTGCCCCGAGCCAGGATAATCCCGCCGGTCCCTCCACCCAGGAGTCGCCTCCTCCATCTAATATTCAGGAATCACCGAACGCCCAACCTGTGGGAAAACCTCTCGAAGACACCCCCGATCTTACTGTGGACAATACCTCCTACGACGCTCCCTGGACATGCCCAGCATGCACATTGGAAAACCGTCCTAGTTTTCTCTGCTGCGACGCTTGTGGATTGGAACGACCAGCTCCCAAAAATACCAAACCAGCAGAATCTGTACGAAGACCAGAAGTTCCTGATCAGAAGCTCTCGGAACCACAGAGGCCAAGAAAGCGTCCGCTGCAAGAGTTCAGGGCCGAAGAAGAGCATAAGAAAGTAGCGCGTGACACGTTTGCTTTCAAGAATCGCACCCGGGCCTTGGATACCTTAAAAACTTTAGAAAAAGACGTCAACAAAAGGCGCCTTGGGTGGAATTGCAGCTTTTGCGGGTCTTTTATGGAATCTCAATGGTGGACATGCTCATCCTGTGGAACGATGAAGGCGACATCTTGATCGCTAGGAAAAGGCGCCGAGAGTTCATTATGAATAAAGGCTTTGATGGATATATTAATATGAAACTACTACACAAGCATATTGTCATACTCCAATACTCTACCTTAGGAACCGATCCAACCCAGCTAACACGTGATCATATGACTAAGCAGTATCCACCCGGTCGATTATTTTTCGTCGAAACTGCGAATCTCCCACATCTCCTCTTCCCACCTGCGAAAACACCAACAATACCCTAGCTACCGCGCCCGCCAGCTTGAGTCAGGTCTATCAATGTCGTAGCACTTTTCTCATGCTGGCAAGCTACTAATAGGTACGTACCAACGAATTGCCCGGATGGACAACGAACAGCAAGACCGTGACACATCAAATGATGAGATATTGCATACGAACCGAAATTTATTAGGAAGAGCCGGAAGAGGTATGGCAATTGGACGCCCAAAGAGGTGCCATTGTCGTCGATGCTTATAATGGTTCCGCTGAAAGATATTCACGTCTTGCTGTTTGCTTGTTTTGTCTTGGTGGCAGACGCGAATTTGGGACGTATTGCTAATATGTTCTTCAGATCGGGCCGCTGCTTTTGATGAAGTTGAACTTTGGGTCTAGAGAGGATGAGAGAATGTGAGGATATTAATCTAGACGACTGCCTGTCGACTGCACTGCAATACTACACTCTGACACGCCACTTGACAAGCGGGTCGTTAGGAACAAAGAACGAAGAGAAATAGACAGAAGTGAAATAACATCTTGGCAATTCCTAATGCTAGATGTAAATATTTTAGATGAATCTAGTATGGTACAACCCTTGATCTAAACTCCCAAGGATATAAAACTTTTGTACGACAAAATCCAACGCCCATTTGACATGCTCAATACCGCCTCATGAAGCAATGCTCATGAATTGCCGCTTCTTGCCAGACCCCTTCTGGTTGGCCTTCTGCTCCCAGGTCTCTTCATCGATGTAGTCCTTGGTGCTGTGATCGCGAACCTGGTTGCCAATGAACTGCAGCGCAGAGAGATTAAAACCCATCTCGTCCTTTTGACGAGAAAGAACCCGGCGCAGCGAGACCCGGATGTCGTCCAGCATAGGGCGCATCATCTTGCTGGCCACAATTTGGCGGTGGTGAGTCTTCAGCATGAAGAAAAGAACGCGGCAAGTAAGGGGAATGTTCCATTCGCGCTCGGCCCAGATGTTGAGGAAGGTGAAGAGTGCGCTGAGCTTGGAGAAGGGGAGGACGAGGAGGGCATCCTGAAGAGCAGCGGCGGGGACCTTCTGCACGGTGTTAAGAACATGACGCTCAGCAGAGATATTGTTCAGTGCGAGGTAGAGCGGGTTGCGATCGGGCGGCAGGTCAGCGGCCTTTGGGTTAGCAGCCTTGACCTTTTGCCAGTCGCGCACAAGTGCGAGGTCCTCAATACCCAGATCCAGAGCTTCCATGATCTTTTCTCCGGCCATGAGAGTACCAGAAGTTTGTTTGCCAGCGTCAACGGCTTCAACCTTCTCGCCCTCTTCGCCGTCTTCCTGGTCCAGGGAGGCGGTCAGGGTGGCATCGTATTCCTCTTCCATCTCCTTCTCGCGCTCTTCCTCAAGGAAAAGAGGCTCATCCGTCTGCTGCCAGATGCGAATGCTCTTGTCGTGACTGGCACTGACAACGAAGTCACCGGAATGAGCCATGGCCAATGCCCAGATCTCGCCGTGGTGTCCGGTGAGTCGTTGGATCATCTCAAACTTGTCGCCATCCCAGTACTTGATGACCTTATCCTTGCTTGCACTGAAGAAGTTGTGGCCGTTTCCATCCTTATTGTGGGGAACAAATGCAACTGCCATCATGGAATCCTCACCCGCCAAGAAAGTCTTATGGGAGTCACCAAAGTCCAGTCCCCAAATACGGGCGGTCTTGTCAGCGGAGCAAGTAACAATTAGCTTGCTATCATGAGAAATATCCATGCTGAGGACGGGGAGCTTGTGGCCGTAGAGATTGAGGAAGAGTTTCAAAGTGTCAACGAAGAAGACTTTGACGGTGTTGTCCAGCAAAGAGACCGCCAGAAGGCGTGCATCGGGCGAGAAGCGGAGGTTAAGAATGTCGTCGTTGACCTTCAACATCCTTGTGTGCACCAACCTAAGACGTGGCGTAGTGCGCTTTGTGCCGGGGATCTCCTCCTGGACAACCTTGAACTCCCAGAACTTGGCTGTCTTGTCCGCACTTCCACTGACCATAGACTTGCCGTCAGGGTGCACATGGAGAGACCAAATGGAACCATCGTGTGCCTTGATAGTATCCAGCAGAGTGGAGGATGCGATGTCATACACTTCCAATTCACCATTTTTGTTTCCAACAACCACGATCTTGTCACCCGGAAGGAAGGCGGAGCAGAGCGCATAACCGCACTCAAGGGTACGTAGGCAAGATCCTGTGCGCACATTCCAGATCTTGAGACTGCCATTTGATGCTGAGGCAAGCATGCGATCATCGGAGCTCAACGCAATTGAGCGGACATCTGTTCGGTGACCAGGAATCTCCACCGCCAAGTTGCGGGTGTACTCGGACTCTTCCTCGTCCTTCTTTTTCTTGTTCGCCGTGACAATGCCGTATGCCTCCAGCAGGTTGTTTGTGGTCGCCACGAGGAGATTAAGGTTACTGGACTTGTTCAGCATCCAGTCGAAAGAGCGGACCTTTCCACCCGTTCGAACGATAACGTGAGGCACGAAGACCTCAGTGACAGGTGCAGAGGAGACATCCTCGGGCTTCTCCAGGGCTGTTTCAGCCTCGTTCTCTCCATCTTTGCGTTGCGCCTCCTTCTCCTTTCTCCTTTTCTTCTTCCGTGCAAGACTCTTCTGTACCTCCGTGGAGGACCGGATGCGCCAAATCTCAACCGCCTTTTCCGCTCCATGGAGAGCAACGTAGTCCAACTTCGGGTGGAAGCGAATACTGAGGGTGCGATCCTTGCCATTACGGTAGAAGGTTCCTCGGTCGGTGAGAATTCTGCGACCTTCCGCGCCCACTTTCTCCTTCGAAATTTCAAGCATGGCACTTTCGTCAATCGACCACACTCTGAGCTCTCCGTCATTTCCGGCGGTAATACAACCGTCCTGGTCAGGCGAAAGACCCAAGCTCCAGCACTCGCCATTGGACTGTGCGACATGTGTTTCGATGCAGTGTTGCGATGACAGATCCCAGACCTTAATCAAGGCATCCTTGCCAGTGGTCAACAGAAATCCTGAGTGTTCGCTGAGGCCGGAAGCAGTGAGGAGCTCTACCGACGGGAAGAGGAAGTGGAGCGATGTAATGAGATCGGTGTGTCCGCGGAGTTTGAAAAGACCGACTTCGGAGATCAAGTCCCAGACGATAATGTCGGTGTCCTTGGAGCCACTGGCAAGACGCACACCGGCGTTGTCGAAGGCCAGCTGAGTGATGGCGGATTTATGTCCGTTGAAAGAGATGATGATCGTGCTAGTTCGGGAGTCCCAGATTCGAATACTACCATCTTCGTAGCTAGAAATGAGTAGAAAGAAAAACGTTAGCGGCATGACCGTGTATGTGCGCTGGGTGACTTACCCGACTGCGAAGATATCTTCATCCGTCTGACTTTGAGCGACAACAGTCACAGGTACCTTGCAAGCCGAATCGCGCCAGCGGCCGAGCAATTCTCCCTTCTTGACATCCCAGCACAGAACCGCTTCTCCAGCGCCCACAACTGCCCGACCGGCGCCAGTCTGGCGACCAGCACTCGCGGTCTGCTCATCCTTCGCCCAGATCGCATTCGACGACGCCGAGGCGATGAGCCCGAACGTATTCGAATGCTCGAATTTACTATAAAGGATATTAGTAACAGGAGCACAATCCTCGATAGCACCAACGAAACGTACAAGTAAGTTTTCACCATCGTTGGAGGTGGATGGGAAAATTTTTGGAGACAACTGCTATCGATAGCACAAAATTAATTACGGGCGGCGACAGCGACCCATCGGGCTCCCCCACCGCCCATGACGATCGCGCCGCCATCTCCCACCGTCTCCTGCCACTCTCCCCTGTAGTCCCATTGTCTCGCCCGTCATGCTTCTCTTGGATTATCAGAACGTCTTGATCCAATCCCTCCTCACGGAGCGGTTCTCTGGGTATGCCATTCCTCCTGCCGCCCCCTCAACACTCAATGGCCCCCTCATTGTATACACGGCCACCAGGCTCCCAGCTAACAATTGCCCGCAGTGCTCCTCCAACCTCGATCGATCAAGTGGTCTCTGACTTTGACGGTGTGACATTCCACCTCTCGACTCCCGAATCCAAAACCAAAATCCTCATCTCCATCCATGTGAAGTGCTTCAAGGAGCTCGTGCAGTACGGCGCCCAGGAGGTGCTGGAGCGGGAATACGGCCCCTACATCGTGTCTCCTGAGCCCGGCTACGACTTCTCAGTACAAATTGATCTCGAAAACTTGCCTGCTGAGCAGGAAGTCCGGGAAGAGCTGATTATGAAGCTTGCGTTGTTGAAGCGGAACGCCATGGCAGCTCCGTTCGAGCGGGCATTCGACGAGTTCGCCAAGCTTGCGGAGGAGGCCTCAAGATATACCTCCGAGTCGGCGCCTCAGGGTATCAAGGAGGGTGGTGATGTTATGTCCATTCACTACCGCGAGGAGGAAGCTATTTACATCAAGGCTAGTTTCGATCGTGTGACAGTGATCTTCAGCACTGTGTTCCGTGAAGAGACGGATCGCATCTTCGGCAAGGTTTTCCTGCAGGTGTGTTTAGGAATATGAATTGATACTGTCTGTGGGGTGCTAACTAGGTGTAGGAATTCGTCGATGCCAGACGTCGTGTCGCGACGCTACAGAATGCGCCTCAGGTACTCTTCCGCAACACTCCCCCTCTTGAGCTGGAGGGAGTCCCCGGCGTGAAGCATGCCGGCGAGGGCGAGATGAGCTACGTCACTTTCGGTAAGAACACTTTGCATGCAGCATGCGTGGGTCCCACTAACGCAGTATAGTTCTATTCCCTCGCCACTTGACCCCCCCAGCGCCGCTACGATAGTATCTCTCACATCCAGACCTTCCGTGACTACTTCCACTACCACATTAAGGCATCGAAGGTGATATTCCGAGGATCCCCGAGGAAGACATTTGGCTCACCAGTCATAACAGGCATATATCCACACTCGTATGCGTAAGAGGACAGCAGACTTCCTCCAAGGTATGTGAAATGAGCGAACTCGTCAAAGAGTAAGTGCTAATATGCCCCAGTCCTGAACCGAGCTAGACCCGAGAACGAAGAGCGTGAGCGCAAGACGGCGAGTGGCCGAACATTCCGTGTGCAAAGCTAGATTTGTGACAACTTTGTTTAGTATCTCCTGGCGAGCGTTTATGAGCATGCACAGCTTTATTATCCACATCCTGTGCATTTCACCCGTAGCTTGCATACTATCAGATAGATAAATCTATAGAACAGTCCACACAACAGTCCACGGACGTGAACCTAAGAAATATGCGCGTTGTATCATACATGCGGTATATTTTAACGTGGAAGCTAACAGCCGATTGCAAAATGATGCCCTATCTAGTGACAGGAAGCAGGTTGGCAAGAGCTGGGTTGTGGAATATGTAGTGTTCTTGCACATGGTCTTACGTGTAGTCCCGAAGACGTGACCTGAAGGTAGACTAGCCTGGATATTGACGTCTGAAAGTTTGCCTGGATTTCTATAGGAACCTGGGGAGGTGAATCAAGCTCAAAAGCATCAGCGTTTGATGCAGGACTCGTATCTTGAGTAGTTGCATCGGTCGCTGTTGCCTCCCACGACAATGCTTGCTCTATGGAATACTCCTAATTGACACTTTGGATCAAATTTTCATCTTGGAATCATTCCTACAGACCGAACCAGACATGAAAGAATCACGAAAGCGTTGGTTGAACGTTTATTTGTCGAAGCTTCGCTTCAAGCGAGAAACTGAGCCAACCCGGCTGCACAGCTTCGTGATCTCGAGCCCCAGCGTTAGTGATAAGTTTCACTCTTTGGGACCTATGAGACCTGTCGACCCTCAAGAATTTATCACTGAAAGCTCCTTTGATGTGGCAACAGGACAGAGGGATGAGGATTACAGGGACTCGTCGTCACATTATGAAGAAGATACCATATCACCGACTGGCTCGTTCATTTTACGCCCAAGTCCAACGAGCGACGACTTAACGGAGGACTTTGTAGTAAGTTACTTCTTAGCCTCACCATCGAACCCCTCTGACCCAACAAAGATGGCTTCCAGTAGACGGCACTCTTGCGCCTACACCATCAGCAGCGACGAATGGGTAACTCCATTATCTTCTTCAGGCATCTCCAGGGTCTTGCCGATGGATGACCTTGACCCCGTGCAGCTTTCCATTCACTTTGGCTTTGTGATGAAGGTATTCACGAAGGTCTACTCCCTGGCTAAGATCATGCACGTAGTGTTCATAGCATACGGAGTTGAGGTATGTGACAGTCACTCGTTGCAGGCATGGAGGTGCTTGTCTGTTCATAGTTTTGGGACATTTTTGCTCACCATTCTGGCACTGTAACTGACAAATCCGACCTTGCAGCTCGATGACTCGATCAACGGTCTCACTTACTGGACGAAGCGAGCTGAAGATGAGATCAGAACCGATCAACTTGCCACCCTCATCGATATCGTCGAACACCTTTTTTACACCCTCTATGCTAGACTGCAGATCGAAATGGCCGCTGTCGAGCTCTGTGCTCTGATCAGAAGAGGAGACCGTCCATTGTCCACTCATTTCAAGTTTGTCCTTCCGAACAATGACCATCTCTATCGCATCTTCACGGCATGCAAGGACTTCCTTGACTCTCCCATGGTTTGTGGCAACCCTAGAGCCGCAATTATACCTGGGCTCGTGGTTGAGTTTCAAGAGTGCCACATCTACAACCTCATTTGTAGCAATATTCTGCATCGCGTTGATGACGACCCGATGCGATATCGACGCTATGCAAAAGCCATTCTCGCAGAGCCGACCTCTTCTTATCGCAAGAAATGGAGTGGTCTCATTCCCTTTTTTGACGGTATTCCCGCCGATGTCATGGCGATACTTTGTGAGAAGTACTTCACTGCCTTTCCTAAGAAAGTACCGGAGCTGGACACCCCTCTCTCAGAACTTGGTCTTGTGGATCCCAAAACGGAGGCTTCAAGCCGATGGGAGGAGAAGATTATCCAAGACCACCGATTGTCTGCCCTTAGCATGCTGGAAGGCAAATCCATTGGTGAAATGCGCCGCGACGACCCCAAAACGAGCATCTACGCACTGTCCAAAACACACAAGTGCATCTGCAATTCCGTCTGTTTCTGCGCCGAGGCCTGCACCAGACACGATGGCGTTGAAAAGTGGTGTCCTTGTGCCGAGCGACACATTCGTATCATGCTTGCTCGACGCCGCAAGCCGACTGGGGGAGATAAGTTCCATGTTCGCGCCAACACGCTCGCCTGGGTCTGTTTCCAGGGCTTGGCAGGCCTGAAGGAAGATGTCCAAGAGCGTCAACTGCTGCTTGAGGTGTTTGAAATGTTCAATATCTTTGATATGGAGATACAGAAGCAGCGGTCTGGACTGACGGCAGCCCACTGGGGCTAGAGTCGGGCGAATGGCGTTGCCGGTCCGAGGTTACTTTCACACATAGCAAAGAATGGCGTTCAAGGGACATGGATTGTCAACTACAGTGACTACATATCTTTAAGCATTTCATGAATTGCTCAACAGTCGGTCGTACCTAGAAAGGATCTAGAGTCGTGGGAATTTTACATTAGAGTATAGTTCGGACATTGGCGCAACATTATGTAGAGTTCGTCAATGGCACCAGTAACCCTTGGGTCTCCCCACAATCATCAGTAACTGGTGATATTTCGCAATATCTCGGTCATTTTCGGTAATCGGATAGAAAAGAAGATTCCCGAAGAGACAGAGAAAGAGAGACAGAAGTCCAAGCGCGGAAGCGGCCCTTCATATGACATGTACTGTGTAGAGCAGAGAACAGCCGTCGGCGCTGCAGGCCAGTGAAACTTCGCGATACCTTTTTTTTTCTCGATCGGCCCTACCGGTGAGCGCGCCCTTCAATTTTCCTCCCTTCTTTCGATCCTCTCTCCATCTCTCTTCTTTCGACTTCCTATAGAAGATCATGCCCGAATCGCTTTAAATACCTCAACTGGCCCTGGGTGCGAGAGGCGCCAAATCAGGCATGGTGACTACGGCAAGGGTCCCACCTTCACTCTCATCACTACCGCGGCCGACTAGGTGGATCGCAGCTTTAAGGTCGAGCCCATCGACCCTGGCCAACGCCAGCGCCAAAACCGTTTGGGCCCGCTTGCGACCGCGACCGACGGCACGGCTATACCACGCGGCTGTTTGGCCTTCCTACGGGGTCACCACCCCGGTTCCCAACCGCAACGACCTCGCCCACTCCAAGGCGCCCTTTCGGTTTGAGACAGGTTATGCTCTCTGCGCGAAGCGTCCCTCGCGTCCCTTTCCGCCGCCTTTTCTATCCCCACCTTCCACATCCTTCTCCGATCCCTTGACCACCCATTCGTTGAGCCAGGATAAGAGATTATCCGTCCTGGGCGAACTGGTTCGTGGCTTGAATAATGGGGACGACGCCATCGTGGTTGCGGAGAACTTCCTTGGGGTAGACGATGGTGTAGGTGCATGGGCAACAAAGCCCCATGGCCATGCTGCGTGAGTTTGATTCATATCGATGTCGAGGGTTTCACTCCGCTAACTGTTTCTCGGACATAGGCTTTGGTCAAGACTCCTGTTACACTTCTGGGCACTCGAGATTGAGCGCCGAGTCTCCGCAGACGCGCCTAGCCTAAACCCTATCGAGTACCTCCAGTCGGCATACGAAGAGACGATTCAAGCAACCACTACCCCTACCGAATGGTTTGGAACCACCACGTCGGTAACAGCTCTTCTGCACTGGACTCAGGAGCAGGACGGTACTCGGAAGCCACTCCTCTACGTGACGAACATAGGGGACTGTAAGGTGATTGTGATTCGCCCCAGCGAGGAGAAAGTCCTCTTTCGCACCACCGAACAATGGCATTGGTTCGACTGTCCTATGCAATTGGGAACGAATAGCGTCGACACCCCGCGAAAGGACGCAGTGCTCTCCACAGTAATCTTACAAGAAGACGATATCGTTCTAGCGGTATCTGACGGCGTCATGGACAATTTGTGGGAGCACGAGGTCGTCAAAGTGGTTCTGGACAGTCTTAAGAAATGGGACAACGGAGGATGTCTCGACGTACCTTCGCCATCAGATTCATCGAACAATCGCATGGTATATGCAGCTCGAGAGGTTCTCACTGCAGCTTTAAACATTGCGCAGGATCCTTTTGCGGAGAGCCCCTATATGGAGAAGGCGATAGACGAAGGACTTGCGATTGAAGGAGGTATGTTTGACAATTCAGGGCATTTGAAAAATGGGAAAGGGGAGACTAACTGATTTTCCAGGTAAAATGGACGACATCTCAGTCGTCATTGCGTCTTGCAAGAAACGAGACAGATGAACGGACGCGTTTTCAAGAATTTCCCACGTCTTTTCCTCCGGGCTATGAGATTTATAGTCTCGAACGACCCCTCGACCACATATCGGTCTGGATGTGCACAGTTTCAAAAATTGATGACACTTCACCCCCCAGCGGTCACGGCCCTCTGTGCCACCTAGTATGCAGGGGAAACACCCACCCGCCCACTTTGAAGCAGACTATGTCTTTTCCGTGTGTCTGTGAGGACCTCGGTCAGGGTCTGAAAGCGTGCTTGGTCGAAAACTCATGCCTCCAAGTCATGACTCAACGAAATTTGATCACCTGATCAAACTGCTTACACGAAGATTCATGAAAAGGAAGTGGGAACGGCCTTGAATAGATTGAGTACATTGCATGCTCCAGGAACCGCGATACCGGGCAACTCATTTCAGTAACAGCCACACAAGTGGTATTCACGATGACGGTGCAGTAATTGGATGCTATCGCGAAATTTCTCTTTCCATATATGGTCTGACCGAGTAGATAATGCCAATAAGCTCATATACTTTGATCCGCTAGACCCCTTTCCAAATCTTCTCGGGCATCACTATACTATCACTAGCGAGCTCTTTCCTGCTAGACAACTTGTCTTCTTCTCTCGGCCCCCACCGCAAGGCATTAGCGGTGAAATTTGTTTAACAGATATTAATGTATATGTCTCTCAATCAGCCTACCTATTATCACCCTTGCGCCCACTGAGGTCCAACACCCGCTAATGCAAGTGCAATTCAAACCGAGTTGCTAGTTTGATGAGTGTGGCACTTAGCGCCGCTCGACTTGATACCTCAGGATCGTGCCTGTTTAGATTATAGCTATAGTGCAATACTCCGGGGCCGAGCTTTTGCTTGGGCGAGATAATTGTGGATTACGCCGCTCTGAGTGCTTGGCGGAATTTGCCTAAATTTTAGCATCGTGAATCTAGTTCGAGAATATCAAAAAGCCAAGTATCATGTCTTTCATCTCAATCGCTCCTCTTGGTGTGGTTGTTGGCATGCGAAGTTTGTCGTGGTGATAGTAAAACATTACGCCTCCGATCCCAATCATGGAGCCCGAGAGAGATCATCGAGAAGTGAGATGATTCTTAGAAATCCCACGGTGTGGTGTACGTCGCTTCCTATCTCCGCGCGCCTGGTTCAGGCCGACATTTATATGCTTCGGTCGACAGCGGTACATTGTCGCAAAAGCCCCATGAGAATCTTTGGGAAGATACTGGGCGGCTGCCCAAGGATATGGAACATGCTGATGTGCCGCTATCACAGTTTGAGGCTGAAATGGCGCTTATTGCAGAGGAAAGGGAGCCTTTTTGAAGACGGCTTTCAAATGTCAAATACCATTCTCTTCTTTAAATTTTTCAACCATGGCCGGAAAACCATTGATTGCTGCACTTTTACCTTTTTTTCTTCAACACATCTCCTCACTTGGGCTGTAGTAGATTCATATGTGCAAGTGTTTCTGGTATACTTTTGTGCTCCGCACAGACCAACCACCGCCTTCGTTGCCGCCCGGCAAAATGAAAAAAGTTTCGTCGCAGGTGCAGCGCATCAACTCCGCATCTTCAACCCAGATTCCTGACCTCATCATTCACAATGAGGGCCAAGCGTTCCAAAAAGTACCGCAAGCTCATGCACCAGTATGAGCTTACTTTCAACTTCCGTGAGCCCTATCAGGTGCTTGGTAAGTTACCCAAAGCTATGGCAACAATAACCGTCTAATCGTCTCTCCAACAGTGGACTCGAACTTCCTGAGTAATGTAGACGCATTCAAGATGGATTTACTTCCTGCGCTTGAGCGGACTCTGCAGGGAAAGCCTAAGCCATGTCAGTGACCCTATCAAAACCGATCCTATAACGAACCGCAAAGGAATTCGGGGATCTTCAAATAAGAAAGCCATTGGACTGACAAGCCCCGCCAGTGCTCACAAAATGCTCGCTCAACGCCATTTTGAAAGCCCAACCTATCAATCCCAAGACTCAACAGCCGTATCGCCCGCGCCATCTCCCCACCCTACAGAACTACCTCTCCGCCACTGCTCTCACAATGCCGACTCTACGCCTATTGATGAAGTTGAGTGTCTTTTGTCGCTGCTCTCTCCTAGCACGGAAGTCAAAAAGAACAAGGACCACTACATCCTTGCGACCGCAGACCCCATAATTAAAAAGAACGACAAGAACGACGGGCAGCGCAAACGCAAGACCGAAGAAGAGCGCGAAGCAGAACGGGCAATGCGCCGTGCCAAGGCCCTCCGTGTCCAGGCCCGCTCTATCCCCGGTGTCCCAATTATCTATGTCAAGCGCTCAGTCATGGTCCTGGAACCGATGAGCACACCGTCCGAGAACATCCGCGACGGCGTAGAGAGGGGCAAGTTCCGTGCGGGCTTGGATGACCCGTCGCTGGGCAAGCGGAAGAGAGAGGATGAGGCCGAGCCTCTTGTGAAGATTCCCGGACTCAAGAAGGCAAAGGGTCCTAACCCACTCAGTGTGAAGAAAGCCAAGAAGACCCAGCCTGCCTCATCGACTCCGAAGAAACAGAAGCCCCAAACTGCTGACACTTCTGAGAAGCAGGATGGTGAGGAGTCTGGTGAAGCTAAGACTAAGCGCAGACGTAGGCACGCTAAGGGTCCTCGTGAAGGGGATGCGGATGTGTCTGCTGAAGCTGGTTCGGTTATGGAGGTCGACGCATGATCTGGGTTGAGGCTCTTTTTAGCCGTTTCTGCATCTATATTCTCCACGGCACGGCGTTCGGGCATAATTTCCATATCCAAAAAGTTGAATGAATGTATCTTGTGTTTCAAATATAAATATCTATGATTGAGGCTCATATGCTTGCCAGACTTGAATGTAGAGTTCAACTGGTGCAAAAAGGAAAGGAAATGTAGAGATCATCCCTCGATAAATTGATGGGCGAATCCTCAGACCACCTCCGGCAGTCGCAAGTGCTTTACTTGATGGTCTTGATGGTCTGTGACCTAGGGCTCATCTATATATACATATTCGATATCGTACAGCGGTCAAGCCGCAAATTGAGGAGAGAGGTAGACGAAAGCCTCAGAACAAATATTACTCCAAACTCCACAAGTTCCAAATCACCACACAGATTTTTGTGATCCTATTGCTTGGAAGCCCCGTTATTCTCAGAGCCAGCACTTGGAGCTTGATCTAACGCTCGCTCCTTTGCCCAAATGTCTTCGATGCGCCGCCGATTGGAGCGTGCTTCTTCTCGGTTCTGCTTCGCCCGATCGTAGCGCTCGGCGGAAAGACACTTATTGACTTCGCGCTTGATATCGTTGCAGTTTCCAACAGCTTTCCACAGGAACCCCTTGGCGTGGCATTCGTCGAGGGCTGTCATAATCTCTTCGCAGTCTACGTTGCCTGTTAGTTGTATGATCGGATAATCCCGAGTATATTGGATCCGGGATGTGGCGGTGTTGGTGATACATACTGACGTTGTAGGGGGTATGGAGATGGGAATGCATGATTGCGGTAGTGACAGTGTACACAGAACTGTAGGGACAATCAAAAGCGTCGCATCAAATAAACGTGAAGCAACTGGGCCACCAAATTACCGGGCGGTGAGGTGATTCCGCTGTTCTGCCGGGCGGAACGCCCCTCTCAGCACACCGATAAAAAAAAATATCGCCGATAAAAAGTTACAGTCAGTGACTTGTGAAGATCCCTCACGATGTCTTCTATGATCACGACCACGGCCTGGGTGCGACGAGGTGTCGCTGCCCAGTTCCCCGTTAAATATGAGATCGACGAGAAGGAGATGAACCGGATATCCAAACTTGCCCGCATGCAACTTGAGGATGCTCAAGACGAGCTGAACGCTGCTAAGGAAGGCAAAGTGGACGATGATGATGAGGAGAATGCGGCTATGGATGAAGACAAAGAGGAGACTGGTGCTAGTGTGACCGAGGAGAAGACCAAAGACGTCAACGAGCCCAAGTCAGCTGAGTGAGTACATTAAACCATCGGACTGGATGAAATGCAGAGTGTGCTAATTGAGTCCTCAGTGACGATGACGTCTTGAAAGAGTTCGATATGGACAACTATGACAACGATGAAGTCGACGATGGCGGCGAGAGGGCTACTATGTTCGGCAACGTCCAGTCATTGGCATACCACCAACCTCATGAGGAGGACCCTTACCTCGTCATCCCCGAGGATGAGGAAGATGAGGAACGCGAGGAGCTTCAAATTATGCCCACAGACAACCTTCTTTTGTCCGGAAAGGTCGAGGATGAGGTTGCGCACCTCGAAGTTTACGTCTACGAAGATTCAGCCGACAACCTCTACGTTCACCACGACATCATGCTTCCTGGCATTCCCCTTTGCCTAGAGTGGCTTGATATTCCCGTTGGAAAGAATACCGAGGGCAAAGATCAGGGTAACTTCGTCGCTGTGGGAACCATGGAGCCCGATATCGAGATCTGGGATCTCGACGTCGTGGACAGCATGTACCCTAATGCCATCCTGGGCCAGGGCGGCCAGGAGGACCAGTCTAAGAAGAAACAAAAGAAGAAGAAGAGTAAGGCCAACGATGAGTACCACATTGACGCCATTCTGGCCCTGGCGGCCAACCGTCAACACCGCAACCTGCTGGCCTCTGCCTCCGCCGACCGCACTGTGAAGCTTTGGGATTTGAATACCACCACCTGCGCCAAATCCTACTCCCACCACACCGACAAGGTCTGCTCGCTCGACTGGCACCCCCAGGAGTCCACCGTCCTGCTCAGCGGTTCCTACGACCGCACCATCGTGGCCGCCGATATGCGAGCACCCGATGCCAAGGCCCGCTGGGGCGTCGACACCGACGTTGAGGCCGTGCGCTGGGACCCTCACGACCCCAACTTCTTCTATGTCAGCACCGACGGCGGCATGGTCTACCGTTATGACATCCGTAATGTGCCCACAACCCCAGCCGAGTCCAAGCCCGTCTGGTCCCTGCAGGCACACGACTCCTCCGTCTCTTCCTTCGACATCAACCGCACCATCCCCGGCTTCCTGGTTACCGGATCCACAGACAAAGAAGTCAAGCTGTGGAACGTCGAGAATGACAGGCCCAGCCTGGTCGTCACCCGCAAATTCGACGTCGGCAAGGTCTTCTCTACCGCCTTTGCCCCGGACCCCGAAGTCAGTTTCCGTCTGGCGATCGCCGGAAGCAAGGGTGTTGTGCAGATTTGGGACGCCTCGACTAACGCTGCCGTGCGCCGTGCTTTCGTCTCGCGTATGCCTGAGTTCGAGGCCCCTGTCACCGAGCGCTTTATCGGCTTGAGCAATGACGACGATGTCTCCGATGAAGGTGAGGAGCCCGCTGATGGAGAGGCCGGGCCCGATGGCTGGGAGTCCATGGATGAGGATTAGATGATGTCTCTAGGAATGCAGATACCCGTAAAGTCATGGATTCGATGTACGAAAAAAATAGATTTTCATTTGTCATTAACTATCCCAATTTCCATGGGAATGAATCAAAAATATCATCACGCGAGATGACAGTGAAAGAAACCATCTAGTTATCACTTGATCTACCACCTTTATGCTCTATTTTCTCCAAACTCCCAAGTTCAATGCAAAAACACAAAAAATTCAAGAAGTCTCCTGGGCGTGCACGTGTGTTGTCAAGTCCAGTAGACGGTTCGAGTATCCCCACTCGTTGTCATACCAAGCCATGATCTTGAAGAACTGTCAAACAATCAGCATCTCATCATACTTGCCACTAGAAATGATGGAACACACCTGAGGATTCAGCTCCGTGCAAGCAGGGGCATCGATGATGGCACTATACGGACTTCCGTTGTAATCAGTGCTCACGAGTTCCTCATCGGTGACCTTCAACACGCCAACCATGCTAGACTTGGAGGCGACGCGGAAGGCAGAGATGATCTCAGATAAAGAGGTCGGCTTGTCTGTGCTGATCGTCAGGTCGATCATGGAGACATTGGGTCTGTAGGAAGTCAATAATTGCATCATGTCAAAAAAAAACGACCGAGTATCGTGGAGCTTACGTCGGGACACGAATCGACACTCCGGTGACTTTGCCACCTAGTTCGGGCAGGACTGATGCAATAGCTTTAGCAGCGCCCGTGGTGGTGGGAATAATGTTGTTGAAGACACCGCGCCCTATTGAAATTCAGCAATAGATCATTATCCTGGGGAGAAAAGCCTCTTACCCAGACGACGGTTCTTCTTGCTATACCCGTCCAGAACCTGCTGGGAACGAGTAGCAGCATGGATGGTCGTCAAAAAGCCCTGTGTAATGCCAAAGGTCTCCTGCAGGACCTTCAAGACCGGCGTCACGCAGTTCGTAGTGCAGCTTGCATTAGAAATAACGCGACACTCCTCACTGGCACTGTACGAGTCCGAGTTAACACCATAAACAAAGGTAGGCGAGTCCGAGCTAGGCGCCGAGATTAGAACGCGCTTCGCCTGTCCATAGGTGATGTGGTCCATGGCCAGGTCCCGCTTGGTGAATTTGCCCGTGCATTCGAGGACATAATCGACGCCGAAACTCGCCCAGTTGAGTTTCTTGAGATCACGTTCGGAAGTAAGGGCGATGCGGCTACCGTCAATTGTGATGAGGTTGTCTGAGATTGTTTTGATCTCGGTGGTCTCATCGAGATTGCCCATCGAATAGTCGTAGCGGATGAGGTGGATGAGGTCGTCTACTGACACACAGGTGTGGTTGATGGCGACCACTTGGATGTCAGAGCGGACCAAGGCTGCGCGGAGAACATTGCGGCCTGATTATGACGTTTTTGAGTATTTTTCCTTGCATTGCATCTGAAGTATAGTTCACGAACCTATACGGCCAAAGCCGTTAATGCCAACTTTGCAGGCGGAAGGGGACACGGAGATGCCCGTGGTGACTTCATTGATCGAAGGAGCCATGTCGGTGCGGGTCTGATCTTATATGAGGAAAATGTCCAAACGATTAGGAATATGAGAGCAATTGCTTTTCTCAAAGTAAGTTTATTCTTGATTTCTACCTAGGAGTTTTTTTCCAATCCGGGGAGGAGACAACAGGATGTATAAGTATCATTCCGTCCTACGCTGAGTGCCGCATCTACGAGACCGCAACCCAGAGAAGCCGAGATATCCCGCGTACTCCGGATAACTACATCGGCTGCCCACGACTCCGACGATATCTGACAATCGCGTAGACAAACTACGTCAACCGAGAGCCCATCGGCGGTATCGCCATCGGATATCCGACTCAGAACGGGACCCGACACGACCAATCGCGGGTTTGCTCCACACTGTAGGTCCCGCCGTAAGTCCCGCGCTCACGACCCGAGTGTTGAAATGAGCCTATGCGACCAATCGGTATGACGCAGGAGCCTCAAATGGTCGCGAGTCCTGTTCTCCTGAGTCTGGATTGGACGGTGGACTCCGGGGTAAGAAGTACCGATATACGGAGTAATTGGGGGGGGGGCCTGCGGCTGGGGTGCGCGGCGAAGGGGTCCAATTGACTCGGATATCCTGGATATTACCTAAATGAAGGACAGGCTACGGCTACGAAACGCCAGGGAGAATGGGGCTGCGGCTTAGTTGACCTATGGCCCTTTTTCTTTTTTAATTGCGGAAGAAATCTACTCCCGACGAATGTCTTCCTCCGTATCGGCATTCCGAGTGTTCGGCAAATCCAAATCTGCCGATTTCGCCAACCTTTATTAACGTCCTTGGGCCATAGATAATACTATTTTATCGCATTGGATTATCTCGGCTTAACTGATATGGGATCGGGTTGTGGGCCGGCTGTTTTGTTCTGGCATGCTGGATTTCGTGCAGCTGTGCTGATTTGAAACCCTCGGGTAGGAATGAGATCTAACCATCCCACGACCTCTTACTGGGAACCCAGCTTCTTGATCTCCGCAACAACAGCTTCAGTAACCTCCTTAGTGGTGGCCTTGCCGCCCAAATCACGGGTGAGAATACCCTGCTCGCACACGTTCTCCACACAGGTCAGAAGTTTCTCAGAAGCGTCCTCTTCGCCCAACCAAGCAAGCATCTCCGCCGCGGTCCAGAAAGTAGCAATGGGGTTAGAGATCCCCATGCCCGTGATATCGAAAGCAGAGCCGTGAATAGGCTCGAACATGCTCGGGTATTGACGGGTGGGGTCGAGGTTGGAGGTAGGCGCAATACCGATAGATCCAGCCAGGGCAGCAGCCAAATCGGACAAGATATCCGCGTGCAAGTTGGTAGCGACGATCGTATCAATACTCTTGGGGTTCAGAACCATCCGAGTCGTCATGGCATCAACCAGCATCTTATCCACAGTGACGTCGGGGAAATCCCGAGCCACGTCCTTGGCAACCTCATCCCACAGAACCATTCCGTTGCGCTGAGCATTACTCTTTGTGACAACAGTCAGGAGCTTACGAGGTCGCTTCTGAGCCGTCTCAAAGGCAAATCGCATAATGCGCTCCACGCCGTGGCGCGAGAAAATGGAAACTTCAGTCGCGACCTCCCACGGCTTGCCGGCGTGGGATCGGCCACCCTGGCCGGCGTACTCGCCTTCGCTGTTCTCGCGGATAATGACCCAGTCGAGATCGCCCGTGTTGCACTTCCGCAGCGGCGACTCAGTGCCGCGGAAGACTCTGGTTGGGCGGACGTTGGCGTATTGCTGGAAGGGCTGGCAAATAGCCAGACGAAGACCCCAGAGGGAGATGTGATCGGGGACATCTATTCTTTCAATTAGAAGGTAAAGGTCATTCTCTGTTCTGCCTCCAGTGTCCTTACCGGGAGCGCCAACAGCGCCAAAGAAGATCGCATCGTGCTTCTTCAGCTCCTCCAGACCGCCATCAGGAATGTATTTGCCGGTCTTCTTGTATGTCTCAGAGCTCCAGTCGTAGTGTTTGAAATCGAGCTTGAATGTTTGAAGGGTATCGGTCAAAGCATTTAGAGCTGTGATACCGGCCTCGATGACTTCGGGCCCGATTCCATCTGCAGGAATAGATGCGATGCTATAGGTTTTGCCGGAGACAGAGGAAGACATGGTGTACTATATGATATGTCTGGAATGAAGATTTCCGGCAGAAGGAGAGGGGTAAGACTTGCGCATGCGGGGACTTTTAAGACTGTTACTGCCTATACGCTGACTCGATTTAAGTTTGGGACTTGGATGGAGATCAAATAATTGAGCCCCTCATCTTGAACTCTTTGGCCAAATAGGCCGATGAAAACAAATGGTCGGAGGTATTCAAATCCGTTTATGCTGGTGGTAGATGATGGAAACGCCGGAGGTTTCTTTCTCCGGCGCATCACTGGGACAAAGACACGTCCGAAACAACTCAACGTCGTTAACGACAATATGTGATAGCAAGCGAGGATTATGATTGAATGTCATTGAATGGACTCATTGAAGATGCAAGAGTCGTATACATTGAGTCCCAAGAATAACTTTGGCAATGGTCATGCATGGCGCGCTGGGCAAAAACGTGTCTTAACACAGGAGAAGAGAGGTCGAATGTTCAATTGAGGTCCTACAGCTTGTGAAGGAGTATATGCCTGCCAAAGGCTTGTATCTCTAACGACCACAGAGTGAACCCATCCGGTCTGCTCGATCAGATGTGGACAAACAGTAGTGTCTCGACCTTGAATGAAAATAGGTCGATTATGGGACTACATCATCTTGAAATTGTCTTGTAATTTGTTGATCATACTTTTTTGAGCTATGTAAAATGTCTGATTGGTCATAAAATGTTTCCGTGAATCATCCAAGGCCCATCTGCCACGCTCCATTGATCTCCCATGAAGAGTGAAGATGGCTCTGAAAAGGGGAGAATATCCTGTCCAAGCCCTGGGCTGAATCCTGAAGAGCCATTCGCCATGTTGCCGAATATTAGACCCGCTGACATTTGACCCCTCAAGTTGAATCCATCGTTGGAGTTCATGTACATCGTATTCTCATAGTTGGGAAGCGAGAAACTGGCTGAAGCATATTGCTCCTCTTGGTCAACGCTATGGAGAGCAGAACCTGTCGATGGCTCGAACTGTTGTATAGCCATGGAAGGGGACAAGCCGTGATTGCTGGGAGTCTCATTATTTTGAACAATTGATCTAGTAGGCGTCATGTTCATTGCAGCGGCTTGAAGACCTATGTTCTGGGCTTGAGATCCATTCGCGCCTCTGGCAACTTTTCCCGTGGGCGGCAACTGGCTGTGCTGTGGCGCATTTCCGTTAGGGTTCATTTCCCCTACGGAACTTTCATGTTCACTATGTGACTGGTCTGTTGACAAGGCGGACTCCATGCTTCTGATCGCCTCAATGCAAGTCTCGGGCCAGCTGCTTCCCCGCAGAGCAAGATTTTGCAAGATGGAGATCCCCATTCGCGCATATCTCAGTGCCGTGGGGATTGGGAACTCGCCTTCCCATGATGCAAATATCAGAACCAGGCAAGCCATCCACGTTATCCATGTGAAAGAGGGCCAGGTGAGCGGGGTATCAGGTGAAGTGGACATGTACTTCTTCAATGCTGCAAGTAATGAACGCGAAGAGGCTATACATGTCTGCAAGGCCATTTTGTAATCTGGGTTGGGCTTTTCGACAGCAAGCAGCGGACGATTCATAGAGATGATGGCTTCATGTCTCAGAACAAAGAGTAGCAACCGGTGATAAGGGGCTAGGGCTGGGTCTTGACTTGATTCTGGATCTGCATCTTCAATAGGGTTAACATCGTCATACACCTCATTCCACCATTGAGATAGCTCTCCATTGACATGCGTAGCTTCGACTGCGCCGGCATGACTGTGTAAGATGGACTTATTACGAAGTTCTAGAATCAGGCCCCGTATCCTGGCAAATTTTGCAAGATGACAAATTAGTCGTAATCGATGATCATTTGGGGCCTCATTGGTAGCATTGATATGTCTTTCTTCGCCCGGATAGCAGACATCAAGATCGTCATCCCGGATGCCAAGCGGGATCCCTAGAGCCTGTGATAAATACCGCTCTCAGGGAGTATATTGACCAGAACAAGCGACGACGAATTTCGACTTCTTGGCTACTGAAGCATGAAAACCGTCCTGGGCAGCGATGCAATCCCAGATGAAAAGCAGTGCGCGTTATCACACCACCAATTCGAGAAGCGGCGTTGAGACGTAAAAGAGATGTGAGTGCGAGCTGGGCACAGAACGCAGCTTGTAAAAGCGGTATTGTTGTAGGTTCTGTGAGAAGACTCTGTATTTCTTGCATGACATGACGCACAGACCGAAATACTAAGACGGCTGGCACTGGCACGTTGTCTGCCTTCGTGCTTTCTACTTGGCGGTTATCCGCGAGGGATATAGAGACGAGAGAGCGTATGATAAGCAGCTCCACCTGGCTGACAGCTGACACACCTTTTTGGCCGATTTTCTCCATCGTCTTCAAGACTGTTGGTGCATGGAGACTTGGAAATATGGGATGCCAATTTTCAAAGTATCGGCGAGTCCATTTGGTCAACTCATCAAAGGAGAGAGAGGGTTCCGACTCAGAACTCAACTCTTCTTTTCGACCAAAGTGCATCAGCATCGTGAGAGTTGCCAGAGCTTCGCTGTAACCGATCATCTTCTCCAGGCACCGAGGTTCTATCTCGGGCTCGATTCTGCTGCAAGTCGGCTGATCGACGCGCAAAAGCGTTGTAGACATGTCGAATGAAGTGGATGCCACTGGAGCTTCCAATAAAGGTAGCAGAGCCATTCTCTTGAGATTCTCTCATGAAGCCAATCTCACGAGGAGAAGGCCTCGATGCGCCTGTCGTGGAGGCTCGTTTCCGTCTTTTGGCGGCACAAGAGCCATATACCCAGTCCGGTGCATTTCCCCCGAGACGGGTGCTCATTGACGATGGAGAGGCCATTAAGGTATCTGGTACCGATCACATCTACAAGACAGAATGGAGAGTTCTCGATTGGATGTGACTTCAGTGCCGCTTAGTCATCGTGGACTTCGTGCGTCGATAGTCAGGCTCTAATTCAAGATTTGCTCGATAGGGAATACCTCGCCAGATCTGTGACATTTTTCTTCGGATTATCATCAGATAGGATCTACTCCTAGTCCAAATAGTCCAAACAAAGCAATGTCTAAATTATGGCAAAGTGGTGTGATATTTGTAGGCATGGCACGTGACCGACACCCGGAGGTTTTTTCCTCCGGACCGCGCCATGTCGCTATGTTCACCAAATAGACTCCATCGGCCAAAAAGACTTCGTAGTGTCGTCCTCGACAATTCTCTTGACAATTTTGATGTGTTCGCTCAGATACAGAAGGGAAATATGGGACCGCCGCGATCTAAACGGACTCGGGCATCCAGTAAGACTATGCCAAGTGCCTAGCCCTTGCACTTTTATGGACTTGCAATTTATTGATTCGCAATTCCTAGATGATAAGGAATTGAGTCCTATTTCCTGTGAGATCTGTAGGCAGCGAAAATGCAAAGTGAGTTGGCGTCTTCTCCCGGTTCATCCTGCCGCGCTAATGTCGATATAGTGCGATCGCAGAATGTACGGCCAACGCACAAATATGAAACCCAAGCTCCCAAGGTTTGCTTCTGACATACCCAATCTAGACCTTTCTGCTCTCAGTGCTCGAGTGAACCATCTAATTGTATTTATCCCGAAAGTGGTAAGAGGTATGTCTATCTCCACCGGACGGTCCATCCCCTCCCTTCATCTCCTCCTCTGGTGCAGCTAATTGAAATAGAGGCCTGCCTCTCGGATATCTCAATCGATTAGAAGAAAGACTGGCAGAGACTGAGGCGGCTCTTTACGGTGCTCTCATGACACTACCCTCGACAAGTCCAACGACTGTGGTTCAGGCCACTGCAGAGCCAGATTCGGCGCGTAAGGCGAAGGCGACACGCCTGGACGAATGGTCAAGACTGCCGCTCCGCACTTGGTCTGATATGAAGCGCTGGCAGGCCGCGATGGGTGATCAATTTACCATAGAACAGCCGCGGGCGAAACCGTTCACAGAGAGCTCTGGGGGTGGTTATGCAACGCCCATCTTGCGTACGGCCAGTACACCCAGCTTCGGAGAAGGGGAAGCACGAGGGTCGACTCTTGATGCATGGCAGCCCAGAGAGGATGTTCACATGGGTAGCTCATATGAGACCCATCTTCGGCCTCTGGAGATGATGTCTGCCCCGGTACGCTCGAGAGGCCAGGCTTGGTCAGGTGTGACCTCACCCGACCGTTCGCCCGAGTTGACCAACGTCACTGGGACAGATGAGGGTCGAAAAGAATTTGATCAGTCCATCATGGCAGACGAGCTGTCCAAAAGCCAGCCAAGCATATATTTTTAAAATCCAAACCAAGCAGGTGCACGATGGAGTTTTGGTATCCGCTATAGATGGCATCACATTCAACCTGCGACACGCTAGTTCGAGGGAGACTGATCACGTGTGAATAAAGGGACCTTACTTTTTGGTCTCATTCAGTGTGTACTCAATCGAGACAGGTTCGTCCTGAAGCCTCGTTGAGCGAGTGCAGCTGTGAGGGCCTCGCGACAACAAGTGTCCGATCCTGAGACCCACCGCACTCTGAACTGCACTAAGATTTAAAGACTGCGGCCCACAATGTACCCACGACCCACGAGTGACCCCTCATTGAAGCGCACAACTGTCCACGGATGATACCCTGCAGCTCCTCCAGCGGTCACACCGGAACGACCTCGTCTGATTGGGTGTCCGACGGAGGGAGTGATGATTGGCCTAGGTGCAGATATTACCAGATATTACCAGCCGTGCGTGGCCCTGTCGATCGCGTCGGATTCCCGGAGCACAGACTGCATTTAGGATGGAACGATATTTAGTGGTCAGTGGTGAAACGGACTCCGAATTTCTCGAGGGAGCTAAGAGAGACCAGTCCGTTTCATCCCAATTCCAGTCCGTTCCTGCACGTGAACTCGAGACGTAGATTCTTTTCACGTGGTGACTCGCAGTGACACACCATGACAGAACCTCCCCTTGTCCACGTCGAGTTCTGTCGAGTCTGCATGTAGCATCTGACCCGAAGGGATCGCCCTCCATACCCAGGGCTGGGGAGATGGCCCCCTTCCAGACATGGGCTATTTCTGGGTTTTGTGTATCTTTCCAAGGGACAATTAAACGGTCAAATGGCAAAGAAAGAAAAAACAAAAAAAAAAAAGGACACATTAGGGTACAATGTAGAAGGGTCCGGACAAACCGTTCGCCACGGAGAGCCCAGAACATGCCCAGAACATGCCCAGAACACTGGAGTCCAGGAGTCTGAGACTTGAGAGTGGACGAAGGAAGAACTCGGGATCCATCAAAACCGAAGCGAACCGTGGGCGACTTAATTCCTTTGCCATCCGTTCGAACTAGGTGGGCCAGAGCATGACCATAGAGAAGAGCCCAGCCAAATCACAAAACCTAAGCGCCCGGTCTCCGCGATTACTGGTGTAAGGGACTTGGACTCCCCTCCCCCTTCTTCTCTTCTTACCAACCTCTCTTGGGCCCTTTGCTTTTGGCTTTCCCTTCATTCCTTTCAACTTCATTTCTTCCGTCCTAGAATCTGTGATCCGTGATCCTGGACTCCCTTTATTATTCTTCTTGTACCCGTATCTGGAACGTCCTGGTTGAACGCTTCTCATTCTCTCCCTTAACCGGCCCTAGACAAGGACTATAAAGAGACTGACCCTCGCGATTTTGCTGCGCGAAATTCCTAGTGAGGTCTCGCCATTCATTTTGGAATTGTGCTAGAACACAATCGCCTTCAAAGATTCCATACTCAAACATCTCCCACGATCTGATACCGGACATTCCTGGTAGTGATCTCCATTCCTCGTCGTCTCCGCATCCGCCATCGCCTGCCACGCGAGACTTCGTTATCGCATTCGAGACCAAACCGAGTGTTTTGGGATAACGGAACCCAAATTACCTAAGAGAGCGATCTGAAGCACCTTTGAATCCCTCATCCCGTCAGAAACTCGTTGACGGACCAGCGTCGATCGCAAGCCACGTCTGAGTCGCGAACAGTACACTTTCCCTAATCCATCATGTCGACCATTACTCGTGCTTTTACCAAGCGCAACAAGCGTCCGGAAGTGTCGGCCCCCATGCCGTACCGTGGCGAAGGGCATGTTCGATACAATTCTGGCACCATCAAGCGAGGCGATATTTCAGGCCCGGTCCAGCTGCTGTCCACTACCAACATGTTGGCTTACAATGCTCCCGATTTGCACTCGCCTAATCCTTCGTCCGCTTCATCGCTGCAGTCGCGCGACGACGATTTCGCCGTGTCTCCCCAGAGTTACGCTTCGTCCGGTCTCACCACTCCCGACCAATCGCCTTACGAGTCATTCCCGATCGACGCGCATCCATCCTATTTCCCAAAGCGATCCGCCACAGTGACTAGCCATCCTCGCTCCTCTACCAATTCTGCCTCTTCGACCGACGCCCCGATGATTCCCAAGCGGGCGCTCTCTCACACGAAGCGCTCTCACCAGGAGCTTGCGCGCAGGCGCTCCCAGCGGATGTCGCCTCCTCCACTGAACCCTACTCGCAGCAACTCGACCATTCGGGCCTCGCAGGATATGTTCAAGCAGGAGGCGCACCCGTTTGGCAAGGAATTGGAGCAGGTGAATGAGGTGGCAGAGGAATTCGGCGCCGCGCACTTTATGGATGAAGAAGAGCGAATTCTCCATCGCAAAGGACTTATCAAGTTCACCGTCGACGATTACCTTCTCGAAGTCGAGGAGCTTTACGGCAGTATCTTTGATGACACCATCGGCCCCATCGGTGTCACAGCCTGGCTGTGAAATTCATTGATATCTTCCTGACCCGGTTGAACCGGGGTAATCAACGACTTTCAGCGGACTGCAGAAGACTGGATTCTTTCTTGCGCCCGTTACGACCAACTTTATTCCCTCTCTTACGACCCCTACTTGTTATTCCCCTGCACGATATCATGGGCGGACCCACTCGTATCTCCGCGTTCGGTCTCCTATTCCCCTTTACCTCTGTGATTTTCGCATCTTGATCGTTTGGTTTTCAGATCTGAAAGCTTCTCAACGGCGTCTGTCATTTACTCTAGACCTTTTAGTCCTATTACTCGGTCATCATGGTTCCACGCGAGCAAACCAACATTCACATTGAAAAGTTGTAGTTAGAGATCAGGTCTCGGTAGTTTGTCAAATTCCCCGCGTAATATCGCGTATCATTGCGTCAATAGCATGTACAGTAGACGACATGTTCGGCTTCTACAAGATTCACACTCTTTCGCTCTTTCTCAGCGCCACAAAGGGGCCACTAGTATAGATCTGGTGTTAGTCTATATTTACGTCATCTTGGTACTGTCACGAACATGAAAATACCCAGGCGGGAGTAAGGCACATTGTAGAACACCCGAAACGTCCTTGGATACCAGATCGAAACTGGTGGCAACTTGCCTTCGTTTTATAATCGCGTCAAAATGGGGTAAAGGTCCAGCAATTGAAAGCGCTCAATGATGCTACAAGAATTGTTATGCTAACCCATGCTCTCTTCTTGGATAGATATCAGAAAACAATTAAGAGTACACTGAGTACAACGATAAGTCAACTGATCAGTGCGGAAACCAACAATCAAAACCCTCCGATTAACACATCCAAGAGCAAGAATGCTACCCTCTATAGCTGAGCAATGGAAATTCCGATACCCAGCAGGGAGCCATATAAGGTTTTCGCTAAAGGCGATCCAGTCATTTGCTATGGAAACTTAAGGATTGGGCTTAGATGAAATTTGACCAAAGACAGACGCGCGTCGGAATAGCCCTCGAAGGTCCGTAGTTCTTTGCCCGTCTTAGTATCTCAGAGCTTAACCGTATGATCAAACGAGCCTGAAGCCATCGTTTGGCTGTCCGGGGGAAGGCCACAGACCGGACCGGACCGGAATGGCCCTCGAGCGTTCTGTAGATGTGAGCTCTAAGAATCTATCACCGCTAGTCGCCTCTGTATACTTTCTGGCATCTCGCCGAGAAATGTCACTTTGATGACACTTTGTGCTAGTGCAAACACTAGCTCGGAACAGTAGAGTTGCAGGGGAGTAATACCGGCTTACATACGCATTTGTGAGAGTAAATCTTCTTATATCATGTCGTAAATCACACACGGCAGAATTGCAGTCGCCCTATATCAATTAGTACATGAAGAAAGATATCTAGATAGTTATAGAAGTGACTTACACTAACCAGGCCCTATAATTCATGGATTAGCCTAATATCCTCCGATATCTTCCCTATAAGGCATAAAGCTTTAAGTCAGTGGAGGAAGTGGCTACGAAGGAATTGGAGCGATAGACTTCCATCATTAAGTGTAACTCTGCTCCTCTTCAAGTGATGCACCTAGTAAAGGCACGCATATTAAGCCTCTGACGGCAGGCACCGGTCAATTGTTTGTTGGTCGACGGTAGTACGAGATTTCCCCTGGTGCTCCTAGTCCACAGATATCTTTTTTCAGAAATCCACTCTCGGAGAGTAGCTGAAGACATCTATCTGTAAGCTTCTTCTGAGTGACCTCCTCATTAATAAAGAATTCGTGAACGTCTTCCGGGTCAGGACGAATAGGAAAGTCCCTAAACGATTCGTGAAATATTCTAATTGGACTAGTAGCATCGGTTAGGATGTCCAGTATATAGTGAAGTAGCTCCAATCTATTTTTGATGTATCCAGTGGAAATGCCGAGGAGCCTCGCCAGTGGCATAGCGCTAAGAGGATTTGCGATGGTGACGATCGAGCCCATATTTTGGTTGAACTCGCTAATTGCAGTGCGACGCGCGGAGGACTTAGGTCCGTAAATTATCTGATTTAGGGTAGGTAGGTATGTTTGGTCGAGATGCCCACGAGTCTCCTGTTGGAGTATCTGCTGAAGCCCGGTTATCTGGCCCGCCGCCGCCTTATCGATAGTCCTCGATGAAGTGGCAGGCAGTGGCCGCGAAGATAAACAGCGGAATTGATTTACCTAGGAGGGTTTGGAACTTGGTTGAGTTCGGCCAAATAGATCTGTCGAGAAAATAGATGGATTTGAAAATTCCGCCGAATCTCGTCCAGTGGGAACCTTAAGATGGGTTGCGATGTCCCGCTCGATTATGGGCTATAGGATCTTGTGAAGAGGAAACTCGATGAATTTATCTTGAATATCCTGGAACCCTAGACGATTCGGAGGCTCAAACCTGCTAGTGACGAAGAAATTCACGGGGACGACTTTCGAACGATCGGTCTGCATCAGTAACTTACTAACTGTCGTGATATCCTAGTCCCCCTCGTATTTATCGGGAACATCGATCACGACCGTTATAGTCTTTGAAATGCTATATTTACTCCAGAGTGGTTCTGCATCGATAAAAACGGTTTTAGCAGCATAGCCGCCTCGGGCCGAGTCCGTAGGGATAATCTCAGGGATGTTAGAGAGCTTCCAACAGAGGGACAGCAGCACCTACCAAGCCGACAGATAGCTATCCCAGCATGCGTATAGGCTTCTCTTCGCAGAAGGCTACGATCTCGGTCTTCTATCGTCGAGCCTCTTTCTCTTTAATGCACTGAACGAAAACGTATACCCAAGTCGGAGAGCTATGCCCGGTAGCTCGCCAGGGAGAGGAGCAGCGCGGTACTGGACCCTAAAAATCCGGTCATACGGGCTGCAACGGTCCCGAGACTCGATATAGGTGACCCTTGGTGAGGGGTCCCGAGGAAAACGATGCCATAAGTGCTGTCGACGACGTCTCTTGTAGCGTCCCCAGGCTTGCACAAGGCCTGTGGATGGGCTTAAGTCTATATGAAAGCGAATAGTGTTACGGCATACCTCTTTTATGACGATACCCCCGAAGCTATGGCCGATGAAGACGATCGGCACGCACTGTGGCCTCTATTAGCCTTATCTTCTTTGGGTTTTATAGTCCTCACCTACTATTTTGACCGATGCTTCACTAACTCGTCTAGTAACCGATCGCCGATTTGCTGCGCTAACGTGACCGGGGCATCGATTAACCGGTCGGAGTTGTGCGCGAAGGCCAGGATTCTTGCGTTCGGAAAGTCATCTCTTAATAGGTCTCTTAATAGGTCTCTCAAAAGGTGGACGCGTTGGCCGTGATTCGAATCGGTTGATCTCGCAGGGACACTTGTCTAGGTGTATCCCGGATGTGCCCCGAGGCCGTGGACGGCGACAATCCTATGGCTATTAGCGTGAGCGTCGCAGTGGGGCATGGCGGCTCTTACTCGAAAGTGACATCCTCGGGCTCGGAAATAGTCTAAAGACCGTCAGGGCGGTCGGTCCTTCCACGACGACGAATCTTGCCAAGAATAGGGTAGAGAAGAAAGACAGGAAGCAAAATACCAAGGTAGCCGCGGCGGCCACAGCATGAGGTCGTTCATAGCGTACACTGATCTCTCAACCCAAGAGTGGGCTCGAGGTAACAAGGAACAACCGGTTCGAAGTACCACACTGTTGATGCCACTCGTTCTGAATACATTCCCCCCTAAGGTCAAAGATGCGGCCTCTCTCAGAGTGCTTCCATCTGTAAAGTAGGTGAAACATCATTTGAGAGCAGCCATCAGCTTAGCCTCTAGCCTGACCACTAGTCATATCTCATCACCATGCGAAGTACGCGACGCAAACCGTCGTCCTTGGGGGCCACTTTGACCTACTAGTCGCAAATATGTATATATATCGATACCGGACGAGCGACAACTCGACACAGTCGAAACAAACGAGATTGCGAGATGTCGAACGAGGATCAAAATAGCATACAACAGGACCGCGTCCGTTGATCTTGCCATCATAACACTGAACATGGTGAGCTACAGTAATTCACGCATTTCGGTTAATTACGGGCTAGTCTTACGAAGTGTACAACGTGAGTAAATCGCGTGGACATGAGACAATATTGATGCCTCGAGCATCAGGACGCGATGAGCACATGATGACATAATACAATGTTACCCGATTAGGCTTGGTGCAAACACACCGCTCTGAGGTCCAAGTCACGGGTCTCCGCAGCCCCACAGCGCGCAAGGGAAAAAATTTCGCTTGAGCCCCCATGCAAAGTACCTCGTCGACGCTTTCTCAATATCAGCATCCGTTTTATCGATTATTCCGACTTGAGTGAATGACTTCCATGGGTTGATACTGTTGCCTGTGGTAAAAGCCCCTCAAACTGTAGCACAGAATTCAATAGCCAACCGTTTCGACGGTCGTGTGCTTACTTGCCCTCAAGCTCCAGGGCAATTCTCATCAACATTCCCACGCTGTTATTCTCCGTCTTGCCGGAGGGACAGGCCGTTCAATGTTGAAGAATCTCTGGTCCTTCTAGATTCCTTTCCACTCCATTCCTTCAAAGCCTGGGGCCATGGTCTCCATTGCCAGTGCTTACAACCCGGCGCTCACGCCCATTTCCTCCGGCGACCGCTCCAAAATGCTCTCCGCATCCTCCCCCGTATCCATCCTGAAATCCTCCAAGACCGGCACAAAACGCAAGATGGACGAGGTGGACTTCGATGTGTCTCGCTCGTCCCCCACGGACCGGTTCAACGAGGTCTCCGCTCCCAACAAGAAGCGCGCCCGCGTCACCTTCGACACGAACATTCAGATGCAACACGCCCCGAGCCAGGTCGACCCATTGAACTCTGCCCAGAACGTGGGTGTGGTCCGTGAGGCCGTTCGTCGGGCTATTCATCGACATGTTTCCGCCGGCGATAGCGAGGCTTACGACCAAATCAAGGCCATCTTCTCAGCCGACCCGAAGAAAGCCGACGACCCTTTGTATCACTACGATCTCCCCTCGCACACAACACTGAGACACCACTTGATGGGTCTGCTCTCCCATGTCGCCTCCCTGGACCGGGATTGCAGCGGTCTTGTCAATGCCATCATCAACAGCGAGTGGCTAGGTCGGGACGAGTCTTACGTCAAGCTCTATATTCGCTTCCTCGGCAACCTTGCGGCGGCCCAGGGCACATTCCTCAGTCCAATTTTCAAAATGCTGCTCACACCACTCGCTGGTGTTCCCCCGCGGCACCGGTCAGCTGCCCGGTTACCCTATTGTCCCGGTGCCTGAGATTTACTCCCGAGTTCACATGGCGCTACGCTATGTGATGCGACTTATTCCAGCCGGAAGTAGCACATTGTCGCCTATCCTGGCTCAACAATTCCCGTACGAAACCGACCCGGCGAAATCCTACGTCGCCTACACTCGCAACATCATACACATTTCAAGCTACGCTCCAGAACTCCAGTCCGACATCCTAGCTCTGATCACTGAGAAGCTAGTCAAGGTTGACGTTCAGATTCAAGCCGATTTGGAAGATTTCGAAGAAGAGCTCGAGGAAGAGCTTCTGAATGTCGCAGCCGATGAGGAAGAGGAGTTGGGTAGTGATGACGAATCAGACCTGAGCGATGACGAGGATAGTGAGGAACAACGTGTTTCGGTGATGAAGAGTAACATTCACAAAGTGGATGGAATGATTGACGTTCTTTTCGAATATTACACTCGCTCTTTCACGACTGGCCGCCACGACGATCAGGAAAACGCTCTGAAACTTCTCCTGGGCCACTTCGAATCAATTATTCTCCCGACATACAAGTCACGACACACACAATTCCTCCTGTTTCACTTCTCCCAGATTTCTCCGCAGCTGGTACACCAATTCACCGCTACTTGTACGAAACTCATTCTACACACACAGAAGCCTGGTATTACGCGCCAGTCTGCAGCTGCATATCTGGCCAGCTTTGTTGCTCGAGGCGCGCACATTCCCGGGGATGTCGTTCGTGAAGTCTTCGACACTTTGGCCAATCATCTGAACGAGATGCGGATAGCCCACGAACCTGGTTGCCGTGGCCCTGACCTTCGTCGCTACGCTCCATTCTACTCCACCACGCAAGCACTGCTGTACATTTTCTGCTTCCGTTGGCGTGACTTGACCACCGCTGCCGCTGAGGGCGATAGTCCCGAGCAGGTGGAAGAGCTGGACCCTAGCGAAGTCACATTTCCTCCTCACATCAAGGAGGTTCTTAACAACGCGATCCACTCTCGTTTGAATCCCCTCAAGATCTGCTCGCCCGGTATCGTCAACGAATTTGCCCGCATCGCCCACCATTTCCAATTCCTCTACGTCTTCACTCTTATCGAGACGAACAAGCGTGTCCGCATCTCAGCATTCCGAAGCATTTCTAGCATGTCCAATTTCAATAACGTCGGCCGTGAGACTCGCGCAGGTGACCAACTCGGCTACCAGCTTGACGCTTACTTCCCCTTTGATCCCTACCAGCTCCCGCGCAGCCGTCGCTGGTTGGAAGGTGACTACGTTGAGTGGCGCGGTATCCCAGGATTGGACGCCGCAGACGACTCAGATAGCGGAGCCGACGACGACGGTGACGATGACGATGAAGATGCCACTGGCACTGACGAGGAGTGATGCATCTATTCCGATGGCTATCAACATTTTTTATTTTTTTTTTTGGATTTACATCATGTTTCATTCAGCGCGGCGTTCTGGCTCAATTTCTTTTTTCTCTATTCACAAAAGTACTCGATACCATACTCTTTGATTCTTGATGATATCGTGCTTTTGAGCGTGCATAGCACCTACGACCTGCTTTGATAGATGATGGCTTATACTTCATTGCCTTGTCACAGCCAGGAAAAAAAAAATGAGAAACTATTCACATATTCCAGCTTCGCTTATAGATCAGCTCCAAGTCACGATCCAAGGTCGTACCCCTGGCGCCAGCTATGCCTCCCCGCCGCGGCCAACCCCGCCAATCATAGTATTGCAGGTGGTCAGGGCGCAAGCCAGGAGTGGGAATGGCTCACCATGAGTCTCTAATCACCCAATTTCTCATTCTGCCAATGTCTCCCAGCATGACGAAGCTGGTCACTCTCCCACTAATGCCATCCATTACACGATTAATGTCCCCATTGTTGGTGGTCTCGCGTGGCTTTGCAATCCCATGCTTCATGTTTTTCCCCTTTTTTTTTTTAATATGCTACGCCTGCTTGATGATCTGATTTGATTGATACAATCGCGTCTGTTTCGGACCCCGGCTGTTTTTTTGTTGTTTGTTCTAGTCAGCTCGGGGCCGATCAGAAGTGCGCATCTCTTGTCTGATTTTCTGATTTTATTTCCACTTTTACCTCGCCTTCTTTCATTTCCCTTGCGCTGCTGAGCAGACTTTTATGTGTGTTTTTATGTGTGTATGTGTGTGTGGTTCCCTCCTAGACTTGAATTTGACTACGATTGTTATGACATTACTATGCTATTTGCCACTGCCTACTTCGGGTCGCATGTTATCGTAGACGAATCTGGTGTTCTGTATACTTGCAGCGTAGACCTCCACAGGCATTAATGTGGGGTGAGATGTGGTCCGCCTGCATGGATCCTCTGTGGATAAATCAACGTCATCTCCATCAACGCCTCCATCCGGCCTGATACGTTCATATCTTGCTCTGCAACGGTTGATCGTGTTGAACTCCCTCGGAATACTCGCATTCTTCACTTCGCAGTGATTTTATTCCCTGGCACGATCCGTCTACGGCTATTAGATTGAATGCAGGGCGACGCCGCAAGGACCGGAGTCATGCTTCTCCACTAACGTTCTCATCCTACACATGAACTTCCTGACCCACATGTGCATCGATAGAGCTCTCGGACCACGTTCGGCCAAATTTGGGACATCGGACACCTTTACAACAGGCAGTCCCGTGTCCCTTCGGCCCTGTCTGGGCATGGCTCATCACTTTCCTTCGCCGAACATGTATTGGTCCGAGTCTCAAGAATGTTTCTGGAACCATTCTTGCAAGGGGAAATTCAACCACTGCCCGGCACGAGTCAGACATCTCGACTGGTATACGCCATCGAGGTTACGAGCTCAGTCAACAACCACTTCGGGAATTTGACAAGCAGGACATGTTGGACCGGGCGGCTATGCCATGGGATCGACCTAGTCCTTGGGGTTTACCTCGATCAACATTGTCCATCAATTCAAAGATAATCTGGTCAGACTGGGGCTGGAGAAACATAAAGCACAAAGGAGAGTCTTGTTGGAATCAATACACCTGTCTCAGTCGACACTCGTTTCGACTGTTAAAGTCTCGCGCACTCCCCAGACCGACCACATGAGCGACGACGGAAAATACCACAAACATATGCCACAGTGTATGCGAATGGCCCCAGATATCAAAGCGATCGGGGGTACAACGACTCGGGTATTCGGTGCTGAGAAGTAAGCGGGTGAACGATGGTCTCGAAGCAGAAGTGCCTACCTGATAGATATAACATCCAACCAGCAGAAATGCGCCTTCCAACATGTAATACGGTACGCCGATTCTCAAGACGTACGCAGTTCCCCCGAGATTCCGTGCATGACTAATTGGCGCAAAAGCAGACATGCCGGTCGCGATACAACTGATCAGGCGGACCTCGCCATTCAGGAGCGCGGAACCATGGACTCAGAAGAATCATGCCTGTACCCCTACTGGGAGCAAACATCTATCGCTGGAGGGTTAGATCAGGTCTCCGACTCCAGTGATATCCCACCCATCGAACCCACCAGTGACCAGTACCGCATCTTGAGAACAGGATCGCAATAAAATCCAAAGTGCACTCCACTCAGGAGATTTCCAAGGATCAACGCCAATATCCCTCCATAGTCCAATCGCAGCCAACGGTGCGCAACCGGCGGTGAGTGATTCAGACCGGTATGATATAGTGCCGACAGCGACAGGCACAGAACAGCCGATACCAGATGCAGAGCGACAACCGCTTCATCAGGATGACTCAAATCGAACCCAACCTGCAGACCTCTCCAGGCGAGAATTAAGCCGGGCAGCAGGTGGGAGAAGATGTTGCCTGACTCATTGTGACAATAGAACCCAGCTGGAGAGCGACGCAGCCCACGAGCCAGTTGGCGAGCGATAACCCGACAGGATGAACGAACTGGGCTCAAACCAGTCTGGAGCCTCGGCGCGAGTGAGGAGGTGCATGCTGGGCACCAACCTTCAGTTCTATTGATACGGGTAAAAGATTATGGGGGAGATCAACCGAACGCAGGACTCGCAAAGAGGAATGCGCGATGGCGGGCACCCACGTGCAGGGTCTAGCATTCATATGGCAGTCGATGCCATCAAGGTCCTCGTGTCGAATTGTCTGCATTTCCCTATTTTACGATTATGGTGAATATAACTGCAATAAGTGGATTTTCGGTGGATCTTCATGGACATGCACCCGGCGCTCGATAAGCTGAATCCTAGAACTAGGTAGATGTAGCCGTTCAAATGATCCCCTTCTGTCGATGTTCACATTACAAATGTACTATATAAATGATCAATGGCATCTGCTAGAACATATACGGATTTCCATATTCATTCTCATGATGGTTGGACAATCAACTGATACGATTTTTCCTGCTGGGTTAGATTGACACCTGACCTTTCGGGCGCTTATCGGCGTCACGTGTGGATAGACAGTGTGGATCACCGTTTGGAGAAAAAAAAGAAGCGGTGCTTGCTTCAACTCAACAACTCCAACCGCCGCCATGGGATCCAGCGCCAAACGAAAGAAGGAGAAGCAGAAGGACTTCCAGGTTAGGATGATTGGCTCCCCCGTTTATTTTCCCCGGTGTATAGCCTGACTGATTTGCGCAGAAACCCAAGCTCAAGGTCGGCAAGGCCAAGGCCAAGCCGGAGAACTTCACAGACACCAGCTTCCGAGCCAAGGGTAGGCACATGTCCCTCTAGTGGGGGTGTTGAAGATTAACGCTGACCCTTCAAAGCAATCACGCTCAACCAGCAATCGCTCCATGTCGCCGCACCTACCTCTAACAGCCAATTCTCACACTTCCTCTCCCTCCTCTCATCTAAATCCGACACACAGCGCCGCGACTCCCTCGCCCACCTGACCACCGCAATCGCATCGCGACCAGTAAACCAGCCTCTTCCACAGCCTGTGAGCGTAATGCTCCCGAACCTTCTCCCGCTCATCCTCGACTCAAGCAACAACGTGCGCACCCAGCTCCTCAAGTTTCTTCGTACCTTGCCGCACAATGATGTACAGGATCATGTCGGGCAGCTTCTCCCATACGTGCGCGCCGGCATGACACATCTTGCCGCAGATATTCGCGTCTCTGCCGTCGAGATCTTGTCTTGGATGGTCGAGGCAGCGGGCGAAAATGTGGTAGCCAGTGCCGGCGGATGGGTCAAGACCATGAACTGCTTCTTGTCCGTATTGGGATGGCATACCGAGGAGTCATCACGGTGGTCATCGAACCGGGCTTCGTTCGGCAAATCCGGTAGCAAGGGTAAGCCCATGATCAAGGTACTGGGCGCCCTAGCAGAGTTCTTGGATGCAGGCATTGGACCGCCCAGTGGCTCCAGTGGCTCATCCGATCCGGAGCTTTCCTCGACCTGGGCTTTCCCTCTTTGCCAGACGGCTCACCACATGAGCACGGAGTCAACGGCCCCGTACGCCTATCTGAACTTGTTCGGACAGCCGCGCGACGAGGAAGGGGAGATGTACGAGACCCGCGAGGATCGGTACCGAGTGTTTCAGAATCGCTTCTTGTCGGCTCTTGATCGAGGATTGAAGAGTGCGAGGGAAGAGGGCGGCGAGCTGGGTCGTGCATCGTCCGGCGTAAACAAGGTGCTCAAAGAGGCCGTTGCTTATGGCCCGGGGCCGTGAAGGCTATCTTTCTATAATTTCTCGACCATCCACATCCGGTATACATCTCTGCCAGGCTTGGGATAGCGAAGCCTCTTAGTGAATGTCCACGAGCCAGAAGCATGGACTCGAACGCAATCGGGCTCATAGAGAAACAGTACATTCCGTCATCTAAATAGGCGGTCCAATCCTTGCTACCTAGGCGAAGGCATACAGCTTCCACGCGGATTACTAAATTCGCGACTGCTTTGGACGAATCGTGGCCACTTTCGCGAGCTTGGGCTTGATGGCAAGAAAGTGACCCTCCCGAACTGGCCACGCCGAGTTTCATCAGTGAAACAGGATTAGAGGGTATCAAGCATCGTATCATGTACAGCATAGCAGCGACAGACTGCTCCGACATTCACAAGTTAGATGTCTCAAAATAGTCCTCATGACAATAGAAACATGCGCAACCCTATAATTTCTTCTCCGCAGCCATTCCTGCGAGTGATTTCTCATCCCTCGTAACCTGCACTCGATCGCAACTATCCGTCTCCACACCTTCCACCACAGCGACTCTCTCCTCATAGATCTCATCAGGAAGAACGGCACGCTCAATCTGCGCATCACGCTCAGGGAACCAATGTGACAATGCCAAGTAGACACAAGTCGTAGCCAAAAAGCCCAGCAACCAACCGAACTGATAGGGATGAACACCTACGCCGACATCGATGCTCGGGGTCACGGCATTAATCAGACCTGGCAAATTGGGCGTGACACCCACAATGAAAGCCACCAGGGCACGCCAGTTGAAGCCGGAGACGACTTTGCCTGAAAGTCCGGGGATGGCACAGCTGTAACGATAGATGGGGTTCCGGGGCTGGTATAGCGCAAGAACATCATACTTGCGCTTATTGACGACCCAGAAATCAAACAGCATAATTGCAGCGATGGGGCCGAGGAAGATGGCATACGCTGACATGAAATGCAAAAAATTCCCGGCCGATTCAAGAATCTTCCATGGCACGAGGGCCCAAGACAGCAACGCACAGAGGATCTGGCCGCGACGGATGTTGATGTATTCAGGAGCGAGTGCGGTGAAGTCATTTGCGGCAGACAGGGAATTGGCGGAGATATTCACTCCCAGGGATGCTAGTGCAAAGGAGGCAGCGCCGAAGAAGCGACAGGCGCGGTTGGGCCAGTAGCTGATCAGGACAGTTGGGTCCCAGGGAATGGCGGCGAGTTTGTATTTAGTCTGGCCAGCAGATGAAGCCGCAATACCGATGAAAGCGATCAACGTAAAGATAATTGGCAGCATCGGGATGTAGAGGAGCTGCCAGCGAGGGTTGACGCGAGAGTAACGAGAGAAATCCGACTGTGGGCGATGAGTTTTATATATCATGATGTCCTCGTTCCAAGGGATGAACGTACCTGGTTGACACTGAGAGTCGCATAGTTGCCCAGGACCGAAGTCATGCTTGCCAAAAAGAGCCAACTGTATTGAGATCCCGAGACAGTCGCAGTTTGTTGGGCAAAGACACCTCCACCGTCCTTCTCGGATACAAAAGCCCAGATCAACATGGCAATCCAGGCGATAGGCACGAGAACCGACTTGACGGCGAACAACCAGCGCAGCTTATTCGGATGAATGCAGAGAAAGGGGAATTGAACAAGCCAGAAGATGAGAAAGGCGACCATCCCATTGGTCGTGATGCCCTGGGACTGGGGAATTCCATTTGGCAAGGTCAAGTAGCTCGGCCAGATGGCGCCGAGCATGACCCGCACGGCATTGCCACCGTTCACATTCTGAATCGCAAACCAGAAGATAGCCAGAATGACACGAGAGATAATCGCAATGTATGAACCCCAGAAACCCCAACTGGCACGAGCGATCACAGGGAAAGGGACGTGATAGATGGCCCCGACAGCCCCATTACCGGCGATCACGAAGGACATGATGAAGAACCCGATGGCCACGATGGCAATGGCCTCCTTGTAGGTGAGACCAACGGCGATGATACTGCTGGCAAACTGCCATGTCGCTGCATTGAACGCATCGGAGATCCAGTATGCTAGGGATAGTCAGCACGTATACCAACGGGTGAGGTAAAGATCATGAATAGTGCACAACGCCGAACGTACCTACTAAGCTCCAGACGCCCCATTTCCGTGCCAACTGCGGGATCGGATCTAAGTCACGGTTGGTCCATCGCGCATTGCCTTCTGCAAAGGCCGATTGGGCCTGTGAAACGCGGAGTCGCGGCCAGGCGAGGCGCATGGCGGGGGAAGATCCAAGGCTCTGCAGGTACAGGTTGAACAGTGACAGCAACAGAAGCAACACCCAACTGCAAATCTCAGGACTGATCTCACGCCGAGCCGGTGACAATGGGTATTTAGGGGGTCAAGGGCAATTACAGGAGATCAATGGTATATCAAGTATGTCAACGCTTTGATAAGATGATAAGCGCATCCCTGCAGCTCTCTGCACATAGATAACGAAATGAACGAATGAGCGACCGCCAAAGACTGTAGTTCGGCCAAAGCAAAAGGTCCCAACACCCTTTCGGATTCTTCGATTATCATATCAGGGTCTCTTTTTCCCCCGGGAGTCGCACATCTTCCCATCCCCGGCCATCCCCGACGTCCACACTGCCGTGGCGTCGGATCCCTTTCCACTCTGTCACGTTCATCCAGCCGATCTGTTGCACATCACCAAATCCTCCGATCCAGTAGGCCTGTGTCACCACCATTCGAGCCCAGAAGCTAGCATGCGGGGAACCAGATACCCCAGGCAACCAGACTTTGGCATCCGGGTGGGATCCCAGGAAGCACTTCTCGAGGGTCGCCGATGCAGAAGCCGACAGCTCGGGGAGAGGTTCCAGGTATCCGAACAAGGTAATCCGAGGCAGGGCAGCAGGGCTATCAGGCAGACCGGGATAGACAGGTCTCGCATCGGCAAGATGGTCCCACCAGTCCAACTCGAGACTGAGGTTCGAACCAGCCCCGATATTCTGGAACGTAGTGGCCACGCGCAGGGCCAGGATGGTAGGGTCCCCATTATCCCCGTGGGACAGTTCGTCTGGTAGCGACCCGTCACAGTCGGCGATGTACTCACGCAGACCAATGGGAAGACCTGCGACCGACGACGGAGTCCGACCCGTGGGAGGGATGGTGTCCGGGAAAGTGGTTGCGATAACCCCAGAGGAAGACAGAGCCAGCATACGACGAGCCATCAGGGCCGAGGTAAACCAGGATGGACGGGCGAGGGCATGGCCGTCTTCCTGAGATGTCGACTCCAGAAGGTTTGCAGGACCCAAAACGGTCTGCGGAATCACCCAGGCAGAGGTGGGCACAGAGCACAAGGCGAGGAGCCCCAGAAGAAAAGATGGAGGTAGCATGGTTTGGTATCCCAGAAACCGAAGTTCTCGGAGCTATCGAAGTCGAATGAAAGTTGAAAGTAAGTGGGTGGGGTGGTGGGGGGGGGGGGACGAGGATGGACTTTGCGGAGATTCGGAGACGCGGAGTCGCCTGATCTTATCTGATGGCACCACAATTATACCGGATCCTAAACAGGGAAGGAACTCCTCACGACTCGCTATTACGTCTTCGGGGCATCGTAGTCGATCACGCCGCTGTGGGCTGGCTGTAGTATATTCTGTGTTCTATGCTCTATGTTTGATATTTTCTAGTTCATCCACTTGTCCGGCAAGGTAATCCTGATCAACCAAAAGTGTAGCAAGGCGCATCTGATGGGAACGATATTCATTTAGACACCGAAGACCTACAACGTTCTCCCCAGGCTCCTACATCAGGGCAGTAGCGTTTACATCCCAAATCTACATTCTAGGGCTGGAAAAAAGCGTTCACTCAAAACACGGAAACCTCTTGGAAAGTCTGAGATCAAATAACTGTACGATTCGGCTATCCACGCGAACCTATTCCGTGGTCTGGACGCCGTAGATATCCACTCGAGGCGCCAAAGCGCCAGGGGATGAAGATAGACTCATCACGTCCCCATGAGTAGTTAAATAAGAACAGACCCGTCCCATGCCCATCACACTCCGTGTGCAACAAAGAAAAAGAAAAAAGGGAAAAGAAAGAGGTGAAGAGGGGGTACCGCGTACATCGTACACTTGCGAAGCTTTTGATTCAAACTCGCATGGCAACCACGAAGCCCGGGGTCAAAAAAGGGGTATGTACAAAGGGCAAAAGACAACCCGGGTTCGGTATGCCAAAAGAAAGAAGGGAGGGCAAAGAGGGAATCATCATCCGGAGAACAGAAAAGACGCGCTTTTTCTAGACCTCACAAGAACGCAAAGATCCGTTAACGCACCGCTTAATTCAAATATTTCGCACGCAGGCCCGGGTTGAGCGCGACCTTGCGTGCCTCGCTGCCACAACAGGCTCGCTTCATGCCGGCAGGTCCCGAGACCGCAGTTCCATCGCGAACAAGGAAGGAATTCGCCAGATGACCGTCGGGAAGCACCGAGGAGTCACCCGAGGCACCAGCATCGATCAGATGACGAACATGGGATTGGAGGAGCAGATCATCCGAGCCGGTACGTCCGCGTTTACGCGTCTGACGCAGCTGAGGAGTCGCGCCCGATAGCTCACATAGACTCTGGGCAGCTTCGCTCAAACTGGAATCCAGCGTGAAGATGGACAGATCCGGGGCAGAGCCCATCGCACCGGGGTACGCGTCAGGGGAGCTATACAGATCAACCAGAGCGCTCTCATCAATGGGAGAGGCAATAGCCAGGGTCTTACGGCTCTCCTTGAGCGAGTTACTGGTGCAACGCAGGGTAGCCTTGACGGCCAGCCGGGATGGGGCCGGGGCACCTGTGCCGGAAGCATTCGAGGACACCGAGGAGGACCGCGAGGAACGGGATGAAAGAGTCGATACATCTGACACCATCGAATCCGGGGACGATACCGACGAAGTCGAACGAGCCAGAGAGGACCGACGGACCGCAGCCGGATAACCATCGTACGAGGTATGCCGAGTGTAGAACGAGGGAGGCGGGCGCTGATCGAGTGTCGAGCGCGCCATACCCAAATTCTGAGCCTGCGACATGGCCGTACCGATGGAGGAGCGGCGAACACCACACGTAGCCAAACTCACAGCAGGAGCAGAGGCGATATGTGACTGAGGGGTCATTTGAGGGGTGGGAAGCATCTGAGGGCGCGGATAGCGGGTAGAGGCGGGTTGATGAACTCGATGCGCGGAGTCGGCTCCAAAGTCCGGGGTAGGCTCCGAGGGCAAGTCGGACTTTGGTCGGAGGAAGATATCCGGATAGACTCGTTGCTCGAGACACTGCGCGGCGAGGGAAATTCAGATACACCGAGATCCATGCCGCCCATGGCCGAAACCGGGGTCATCGGGTCAGAATCGACAGCATCCAACTCGGGAGTCAGACGGGGCAGGACGGTGCGCCAGCACTGACCTTCGCCGGCCGGAGGCCCACCGGCACCCGGAGTCAGCTTCAGAACCAGATCGGTCCATCGCTGGAAGGTGGCCTCAGAGATGTGCAAACGCCAACCAACCGCTTGGAGGAACATCAACTCATTTTGGTTAATTTCCAAAGTATTCAGGCCGGAAATTTTACTCCATGCTCGGGCAGAGTAGTTGCGGTCTTGCAGATACTTGGAGGCCAAGATCAGAGCGGCCAAGAACATACGACGACCGCACTGCATGGCCCGCATCGTCGACTGATCCCGGTGTTGTTCCTTGGTCAGGTCGTGGGCAGGCACATGGGGCTTGATCTTGATCAAATAGTACAAAGCAACTTGCAAAGTACTGTAACTAGTGCGAGAGCGACGGAGCGTTTCCTGAATAAATGTCCGAAGGGGTAGGACCCCTTTTGACCCGGTCGCAGCATCGCTGCGGGATACTGCGGCCGACAGCGGCCAGATATTTTCAACAATCTGCGACGCCGTATCTTTAAAGAAGGCAAAGAACAGGTTCAGCGAGGGGTGAATTTTTTGAGGAGAATATATCCACACGACTTACCGACGAGATTATCGACGAAATTGTTCTTGCGCTCGGACTGCCGAAGCAGACACGGCGGAGGACGGGCGGCAGAACCGTTGGCGGAGGCACTACTGGTACGGCGCGGGTGCATACGCAGCTCCGGGGGTACCGGACCTTCAACTTTAGGAATACCCTTGAAGACACGAGGGCAAGACCCGTTTCTTCCGACTAACTGCCCGTCTGCATCATTCTCCCAAATCACATCGACCGGGTTTGTGGCGGTTGAGGAGATGGAACTTTGTGCATCAAGAGAGAAGACGGAAGAGGACGAGGAGGAGGCGGAGGAGGAGATAGAGGAGGCATAGGGATGTTTAGCTTGGCTTGGGTTTGAAAGGTGCAAACCCAAGACGTCCATCCCCGACATATCCGGAAGCGCGGAGGGGTTCATGGAAGATATTCAGGGCGCAACCGAGGAAGGGAATGGTCCGATTTGAACCGTAGTGTCAAGAAAACCGTTAATCAGGGAACCGGGAACGAAGGCCGAGGAGACAGAAGCCGTCTTGGAGCGCAGGCGACGGCAAAGCCTAGAAGTTGAGAAGCGCCAGGTTGACACCGAGAAGTATTAAAAGTATTTGGAGAGGAGACAGTAGCGGAGTAGGAGGTCCGCTATAATAGAAAAAGAGTATGTAAAGTCGAAAGACAAGGCGAAAAAGACAAAGGACCGATCACACCAGTGTTGGGCTATATGAACACCGGAACGAAGATGACTCTCAAGGCTTTAGACGGAGCCAGCGGTGAGGAAGCGGAGGTCGATAGCGGCAACACGGGCGATCGGGATCGAGGACGCAGTATACATTTTGATAACAGGATGAGTCGAAAAGAAGATCTCAAGGCACCTAACGGACCATGGACACAAGAAGGAGGATCTTATGACAAGGCAGTCGTTGAAGTGACTAGGCAGGAAAGATGGGGTTGGGGGGGGGGCCGCAAAGGAAGTGGGTGGAGGCGAAGAGGCGACGGGGGGGGCGGGGAGGAGTTTAGGTAGATTTGGGATTAGAAGAAGAGGTTTTTAGGCTCACCACGTATGACTCCTAACAACACATTTGACTAAGAGAGGGGAGTCACACTGTGGCGAAGAAGGTGGCGGGAGTGAAAGGGAGGCGCAGAGGTTTGAGGATAAAAAATCCCGGATGCAGCCGTGGTACGGTGAGTCACTGCAGTATCGTGTCCTTTGGTCCTTTGTCCCTCGGTACCCCTGATCATTTCATGTAATTCATGAGACATCGACGGATACGTTAACAGGAGCCTGTCATACTATAGTCATATTCCATTCATTCGATACTCTACGGGACAATGCTATAGAATCCCAGGTCGTGAGACTCGAGACGATGTCACTAACGAATGTTGCCTAACCTCTGTTTGACTCACCTGTTTCGGGAGCGTTGCCACGCTGGTTCTTCGCCCGATCCAATGACAAGCATCGAGATTCCCCAGTGTCCCACTATCAGATCCACCCTCATTGGTGCTGCCTCCGATCGGCGTTGCTGGTTGGGGAGACCTGCGTCGTCGAAACTGTCGGGCACGACGGCTCTAGGAACTCTTACGGACCCTAGGGACTCTAGGGGACTTGAAATGATGTCGGATTTGACTCTTATGTTGGGTTGGTCACAAGTACGGTCTGACCCCAGGTTAGGTAGACTTGCAGTTCGGACCTGGCTTTCCTCCAAATGCTGCACATACAACGGTGGAGGCCATCCACTTGCTGGGGCCCCGATAGCGGGCGCTTAGTATCATTAGTCCATTGTTACTGCCGGGGTATCTGCAGTATCATTCGGTAATCTTCTTCCATGCTAGTCCTCGTCATTAGCTATCGACACAAGTCTAGATAGTTCTGTGGAGATTGTTATCCCAGGCTGAATTTTCGTGCTACTGGACAGGGCTGTAACTATCCTCCGAACTCGCACCGAGCTTAGGTGTAAATGTGGTCCTCCCATTCCCAGGCTCATAGTCCAAGGGCAAAATAGATACCGGAAAAGCCATCCGAATGAGCCCCCAATGACTCAGACTAAAATAGGCTCTTCCAACAGAGCCACCGTGTAGGGGCTCGTACACACAGGAGATGCCCGCTAGACCGAATCAAACATGCTAAGGGGTTGATCAAATCTATAGCGATGCCAGAACCTCACCCAGGACCTTCACTAGTCCCTCAACCTCGGCCTCTGTTGCCTAGTTAGCATGATGGAAAAAGCCTCTTTGTTATCACACTACGTACCGGAGTTATAGTGCAGGAGACTAACCCGGACCACACCGTCCTCGACATCGGCTAGGCCACAGACCTCCGTTAGCAGCCGGTGACTGTACATGTGGCCACTACGGAATCCGTAGGTAGACCGGCCTTCGATCGCCTCAACTAGTTGCTGGCTACGAATGCCTCGCACCGTGAAGCTAATGACCGGCACGCGCAAATCTCTACTGGAAGACGGCTCACCAATGACGGTAATGCGGTCATTCGCAGTTAAGAAGTCCAGTAGAATCCGCTGCAGCCGCTCCTCGTAGGCTGCCATTTCCGCCCAGGTCTTGTTCGGCTCGGCGCCAAAGTACTCCACTACGGCTGGAATACTCTGGGTGAGCTCATAGTTGGCGGATGACAGGTTGAGCTTCAGATCAAGCGTGTTACTGGGCTTGAAGAAGTGGGCGAGGGACTGGATCTGGTTCTGGATACGCTGCGAGGCGTATAGTTGCGCCAGATGTGGACCGTAGACTTTGTACCAGGAGAAGGCCTAGATGGGGGCTTTGAGCCAAGCGTCTCATCAGGGGAAATAAACGGAGACTTACATAGAAGTCGACTCCGAGGGCCCGTACGTTGACCTGTCGGTGCGGTGCGAAAGCCACGCCGTCCACGCAGAGTAGTGCCTGTAGATTGGGTGTGAGTGTTCGGCGGCTTCACATCCTAGAGCCACTTACTCGCGGATACGCGTGAACAGCATCGGCAATTGCCCGGACCGGAGTGATGGTTCCAGTGATATTGGAAACATGAGGACAAGCGACGAGACGTGTCTTGTCCGACAGCAGACTCTTCAGCTCGGCAAGGTCACAGACGGGGTTCGTCGGATCAGAAGCAGCCCACCACTTGACCGTCAGGTTCAAACGATCTGCAACCTGAACCCAGGGAGCTGTGTTGGCTTCATGATTCAACTTGGACAGGATCAACTCATCACCGTGTTGGACTTTGAGGGCCGTGGAAAGATTATGCAGGAGCTGGGTAGTTGAAACTCCGATACTGATCTGGATTGGGGATCAGTATAGTTCCGGCATCATCACATCAAACCGAGGATACCTCTTCTGGCTCAGCATTGATAAATCGGGCAGCCACCTTATATGCCTCGGTATACGCTGAAGTCGCTGTTTGGGAGATCTTGTATGTGGCACCGAGCTGGACGTTGGTGTTTAACAGATAGGATCGGATACTATGACAATCTCAGCCACCATATTCTTTCGGGTATGAACACGTCAGGCCTACGAATTCGCTACATTGCCCAGAACTTGACTACCTCCTAGATAATGGTGAGTGATAGATCACACGGCCCTCTAGAAGGCCGAAACTGGCCCGGGAACCGTTGATCTCGGGGTTTCTAGCTTCGAGACTATGCGCCAAAGATGCCACTTACCCGCATTGTCCATAAAGATCTGCTCCTGCTGTAAAGCCGGAAACTGGGCGCGGGCGGCTGCCACGTCAAATGAAGCCATGCTAGTGAATGTCAAGTATTGCTGGTGAAGAATGAAGAGATTGGGAATACGACATTCCTCCGGGTGAGGAGAGGGGTAGTGGATCTAGTTTGATAACGGACTTGTTCCGGACAGCCCATAGTGGCATTGCCATCAGCCGAGATCCGGTCTATCGAGTGCCAAACATGGGAAAGCAAGTAACCTGTGAGAGCTCTCGGTTTCTATCAATCTGTGGCTGAACATGATAAATTTGTAACCGTCTGTGAACATCCAAAATATGCACGCAGATCCGCAGGCCATACTCAAAGGTGGTAAACCGGATGCCAACTTTTCCATACCCGTAAACATATAATGGGGAGCGGAGAAAAAACACTACAAATGCAAGCCTCAACAATCATGACGCAAAATGAATCTCGCCTCGATCGGCTGGGTATACGCCAGATGAAAATGAAGTCCAAAGCCCATATACAGACAAGAAATAAAAGAGAAGAAAAGGAAAGAAAAGAAAAGACAGTAATCAGTCAAAGAGACACAGTCGCGACAGCACAAAGGCGGAGATTTCACCGACTATCGCGTACGAGCAGCAGCCCCGGGTCCAGCACTCGCATGTGCTGCATCATGCACAACACAAAGTAGGTACTTCCGATCCGGTACGACGACAATCTCATGTTTCCGCGTGCGCATACGGAGCAGCTTCACTTCGTCCTCGTCACGATCTCGGTCTGCATCTCGGTCTTCTTGTGGAGCTGTGCCGTTTCCATATGTTCCATACCCGTTCAAAGCCGTATCAGAAACCTCGCTGGTCTGGGTAGGCTTGGAGAGCGAAATGCCCAAGGCGGAGGCACTGGAGACGTATGCGAAAATGTGCGCAGCTAGAGTCTCTGCTTGCGAGGGCTGATACGTAGGGGAAGGAGTAGCGGGCGAGGCAGGAGACGAGTCGGAGGATTGAGCGATCGGGCTCTGGTCAGCTGTAGATGAATCCAACGATATCTGACGAGCAGTTGACTCTTGGATCGCGAGCTGTCCGGTGCTTTGAATGATAGAGCCGTCTTTGCGGGATAGAATCAGGGTGGATTGGACACCCGGGCGGGAGGTGAGGTGAGAGAGTAGCGCGGTAACATGTTGGGGCACCTGCTGCGTGCGCTGCTTTTCATAAGTCAGACCTGGAAGACAGAAAAGGCAGAGTGCTGCTCACTGGAGGGTTGGCCATTGTTCTGCGGGGGGGGGTAAGAAGGGTGAGAGGAGGGCGGTGGACGAGGCGGCTGGATACGAATTAACAGGACACACAACTCATCACAGTGCAGAGCGGCTTCTTTGCTTGACGAGTGCCCGGTTTTTGTTGTATTTGCTCTTCCGACTGCATGTTCGTTTACTTGCAATTGATTGAAGCTCCCAGACCAAAATGGACTGACTAAGCGGATCACATGGCTCGAATGCCCTACGGATTTTATAGATATCACGATAGTGAACATGCGTGGTAAAGATGGTTCAATTGATCAAATGGTGTATAATGATTTCTTAGAAGACGTGAAGGCGCAAGAATATATGTGCACATTCAAGTAGCAGTACATACGGAACAAAGGTGGTATCTTCGAGAGAAGTTTAAATACAAGCAAATCATCAAGACGGAAAGAAAGAGAGAAAAATCGTAGCGGCTCAAAAAGATCGTGTCGGGTCATGAAAGGAGAGATGGTCCGAGAATCAATGGTGGCGAGCCGTGTGAGGTCCACTGAGACTTGATTTATCAGACAACCAGCCGGACTCAATGTCCTCGATCATGTCATCGAGTTGGCGGACATCGGCTCGTCTGTCTTGCAATGAACTCGAAGTTTCGAATCCACTGTGTTCACTGCTGCGAGAAGGAACTAACCCAGCTCTCTGGGCGAGAGCTGTGTCGGTACTGGTAGTGGTTTCCCATTCCTGAGGAGGGGAACATGGAAGACAAAGAAGAGTCGGGCATACCATCCATGTGGTTCTTGACAACGCCAGCATTGAGTGCCGCCATGAGAGCGGCCTGGAGCACTTGATTTTGACGCTCAAGGTTGGCGATGCGATCCTCGAGGAAGTCGGGCACAGGGCCCCGTGCAGGTTTGGAGCGGTAGCTGTTCTGAGAATCCCGAGAGCGGTGCGGCGATTGGGAATACTGGGAATGCGGTGATACAGGCTTTTCCATACTATGGCTGCTGCGACCCTGTGGCGTCAAAGGTCGAGACTGATGGGCGTAGCGAAGCCGAGTATGGCTAGTTCGGGCATCAAGAGTGTCATAACCACGGCGGGCCGGGTCCTTGCGTTTGGAATATGTTTCGGCAGGGCGGCGTCCACGCGTGGATTGGGATTGGGGACCGAAGCCCTCGTCGTCGGATGAAGGAATAGGGGACTCGCAGTGGTTGGGCTCGTATGATTCGGGGATGCTCTCATGGCGAAGACTACTTCGGGAGCTGTTGCTGCGGGAGATGATCGAGACCCGATGGTGATCCAATTTTCTCGAAGATGGCACCGACGCTCCCGAGGGGGCAGTAAAGTTGCGATGACGTACAGATCGCTCGACAGACATCTGAGGAGGATCTGTTGGAAGGGATGCAGTCGGAGGAGGAGATGGCAGGCCAAATGGGAGGTTCTTCCGGTCGACGCGGGAGTTGATATGCAGATCTTTGCGTAGATGACGCTTTCCTTGGGTCTCTGTGGAAATGTGTTGCCGTCCTAGAACAGGAGAGTCTGCGACAGCTTCTCCCTCTAAAATTCTCAGATCACCGTCGCGCTCCACCGGGGTTTCCTGAAGATCCTGCATGCGAGGAGCGCAGACACTAGATGATCGCCGCGTTGGGGTAGGCTCGTCGGGTACGGCGGACTTGGAACACTCCAGAGATGCACGCGGGTGCAAGCTCTGATGCTCACCTGATGCATCTCCTTCATCAACACACCCGAGTACAGTTGCAGGGCGAGCTTCAGGCTCGGACGGGTCCTCGGCAATAGGGGAAGGCTGCGAAGTTTGCAAGTCCAGAATTCGGAGCCCTGATCCTGATCGCATTACCCGAATGGCTAAGTTTGCTTTGACATCCAGATGGGTATTGGGAGAACCTCTGGCATCAGGAATGGAGGGCAAAGGCCTAGTAGGTGCTGGAAGAGGGAAGGCTTGAAGGGCTCCCAATGTCAACGATTGTGGCCGAGGCTTGACCTTGCTTTGGGCAGGTGGCGGGGGTGTTGGAACTGCAGCTTTCGATGTCATGATCGACTTTTTTGAAAACTTCGAAGCACCAGGGCGGTCAATTTTTGCTTCACTATCTGCGGGCCCCGGCGGATTCTCAGATGATGTTTCATGATCTCCAGGCTTGACAGTGATCGGAGTCTCAGCCTGCTCATCTTTGGCACTCAAAGGCTTCCCAATGGGAGTTTGATATCGAGGCACTGCCGACAGCCTCCAGGCGTTCTTACTGGAGACACGCGGACTGACGTCGGGGAATAATTTCAAGCTAGGCGGATTTGAGGGAACGCGATCTGTGGGTTTAGCTGAGTCTTGTTCTTGCTTCAGCTCGCTGTTTACAGACTGATCTGAAGATGCGATGGTATGCATGCTCGCAGGAGCATTACTGCGGGCCAAAGATGAAGGTGTGACACCACAATCCGCAGCTCGAGTGCTCGAATTAGTAGAGCTGGAGAGCCGGTTAGTGAAGCCATTTAATGACCCACTATCCTGAGTATTAACGGTAGAGGCAATTGATGTAGACGCCCTGTGAGCATTTTGTGGGCGGGTATCAGACAAAGAGCTCGGTAACGGCAGAGCTGAAGTCGATTGGGAAGCAGAGTGTTGACTGCTTTGTGATGGACGGTAGGGAGTTGATGAAGATTCGTCCGTTGATGACGGAGAGACGGCAGCATCAACCATGGCCCCGAAATCTCCCAGGTCCAAGGAGGCCAGGCAACGTTTGTCATCGCTGGGGAGCATCGGGCTACCGCCCTGGTTCTGCTTTTCCAACCATGGCTGGCCAATTGTTTCGACGTCGTGCCTCTTGGAACTCGATATTGAAGCACGATCGATACTGCTCTTGTGGTCAATGCTGTTCTTTGACCTGATTGACCTGGTCGACCTGGTCGACTTGGAGCTCGACGCAGGTTTTGAGGAACCCGAAAAGAGATATCCTTCTCTCATTAGGGCCTCAATCTGTTTTTGTTGTTCGTCTTGTTTAGACTTGGGTAATGACGGTTCTTTCTTCTGGCGCTGGGTAAACTGCAGTAGTCGGCGATGCAAGGGCTTCAATTGCTCTTTCCCCACCTTGTCCTCCTTGTCTACCTTTCCCGCATTTTCAATGAATCCCTTTGGCGGAGAGTGAACGACCGGGAGTGCCGTTGTACTGTCTGGAGTGGTGACCACCGGTGGGGCGGGCATGTTCTGGGTTTGAAAGAAGCGAACTAGATCTGACAAATTCTCATTTCGCCCCGGCCTTTCTGCCATACCCGCTGAGCGAGCCTGGGGCCTTGCCATGCTACCCACGCTACCAAAGCTAGGTCGGGCATTCTCCGCCGCGGCAGAGGTCGGGGAAGACATACTGGGATGCCTTCGCTTGGAAGGTGGATTGGGCCGATAAGTCGGAACAATGGGACTCGGTGCGACGTCACTATCATGTATTGTATTCCAATACTGCATAGGGACATCAAGTGGGCGGGTTTCCAATCCGACCAGATGCGGGTTTCATAGGGGCTCGTCGACGCGCAAAGCTGCAAGAGCTCCCAGATGTTAAATCATTGTCGTATAGAGAAAGAAAACAAAAGGCAAGAGCGACGAACGACGAGCCTACCTGATAAATCCGAGACAAGAGGGGGATATATGCGGCAACGGAGCCGATGCACAGTGGGAGGGAATATGTACAAAACAGGACAGTATGTACATAGGTAAAGATAGGCGTCGAGTGGGATCGAATGAGAGCGAAGAGCAAAAGAAGCGAGAGGGCCAGCTGAGACAAGGCAACTGAAAGGAGGGAGCTGGGTTTATAATAATTGCATTTTGAGTTGAGCTGTCGTCTCTCCTCCGGGAGAGGGGGGCAAAAAAGAAAAGAGGCCCTAGACTGGGCGATCAGGATGCAGGAGTACTTTGGGCCCGGTATAGGCAGATAGCCTCAGAAGGGCACGGCTGAAGCTAAAATGAGTAGTTCGAAGGGGGACCATGCAGGATCGTCCGTACATGGAGCCATCGAATGCGTAGAGAAGTAGTTCGGGTCGGATGGCCGCAATATGACACGGCAGCTGGTAAAATTGGCAAAGTAGGCGCTGACGCAGTCGGATGATTGGCAAAGGGGATCTCATATCAAATCCACTGATCTCACGCAGTAGTGGGCTTTGCAATCCCTACCCTATGCCCCACACATGACAAGGGACCTAGGAACCGGGGCTCGGGATCAGGAACGGCCAGCAACAGCCAGGAAGCTCTCAAGGAGTTCCTCCTGGGTGTTTCCCCAGCTAGTTTGGGGTGACGCACGCAAGGGGTCTTCCGTTCATCTGCAATCGAGTCAATCAGTTTCAACCCCGGTTGGAACACCCCCTCCTGAGGCCAAAGTGTAAAAGACGTCAAGATGTGAGCTGTCAGGTTGAGCGGGTGTTCACCGCGGATCATCCCGGGATACTCGGGGGCCTAGTCGATCCAATGGAGCCATTGTGCACTTTGACCCTGTAATTGCTCCCTGAGAAAGTGTTAGTCGGAGCGCGGAGTCGAGAGAGCTGGAGAGACATTTCGGTCGCCGATGCTATTGTGGGCGATGCATCACCCTTACGTTTCGGATCGCCCACATTGCCTTTCGCTAGTCATTATTCTCCGGCTAGAATTGATTTCGATATCAATTGTCTCTAGTCCTTCACCGCAGATCAAATTGGATTGTAGCCAGATTCCCAGTCCTGAAGAAAAAGAACCCTCCCCCGGTCAACTAAGCCACCGACATTGGGCCCACGCGACTCCCTGGAGCGGAGATTCCAAGAGGCTACTGCACGACACGATGAGAGCTGTCAACCGATCTCCACCTGTCATCCTTGCCAACGGCCTCGGGCCGTGTGAGGATTCTTTGGCTTGGGAGTTCTAATGGGATCTTCTAAACAAATAAATCATGGGCTGTGGGACGTAGCCCGATGCTTGAGGGACAGGTCTATGCATAATACAGGATGATTGTCTTTTCCAATCCACGACGCCGTATGATGCTGGAATTGGGAATACCGGGTCTTCTATGACTCGGGACCATGAAAAGTCAGATTTCGTCCCGCTGTGAAACAGGGTGTGTGAGTTTGTTGCTGACATGGTATTGTCGGTGGAGACGCACTGAGAGGGAGATGTGTGCCGGTAACGGGGACCAAAGAAAATGGGAAAATCAGAGAAAAAGTACCATGGGTGAGCCACTCAAAAATACTCTACTTTTTACGCGATTTGGGTCGAATGAAGGGGTCCACTTCCTTCTTTTTCCGCATCGGAGGAGGGGGCGCCTCTGCTGGGTCGCGTGGGAAGTCTAAATAGATTAGATCGACAGATCAGAAAGAAAGTGTCAGACGATGGAACAAACACTGACCTGCGCGGCTCGGGGCGCCGACGGCGGAACTCCCGGCATGGGTTGATTGCCATGAAGAGCAAAAGCAGGGCCATCGCGCGAAGGTTTGATAAGGCCCTGGTGAGGTGTTAGAGTCTCGGGTGGTCTCGTTCTGAGGTCGCTGCTTACACTTGGGGGAGCGGGCGGTCGCGAACCTGCTGGGCCTTTCGGTGCATTTCTTGGAGCAGTCGGTGCATTCGGCGGCGGATTTGGATTATTGAGACGCGGACGCGAGCCCTTTGGCGCATCGGATGCCGAGTCTGTTCGCTTGCGCTTACTGCTCACGTTCTCATTCTTTGATAATGGCGTATGAGTTGTTGCCTGCACCACGGGCACTTTTCGATCATGCCCACCCATCTGTCGCTGCCGCTGGCGCTCATGGTTTTCTTTGCGTTGTGCTTGCAAGCGGCGCTCTTCGCTCTGGAGATGCTGCTTTTGACGTTTTGAAAGTTTGTCTGGATTAGGGCACTTGAGAGAAGAATGACCGATCGCACCACACTCCAGGCAGCGTTCTGCGTCGCAGAAGTACTTGGAGTGACCGGGCTCTTGACACCGGTAGCATTGTCCCCGAACAGCCTCTTTGGCTTCTGCGTTATCGCAATTGTGTGTGAAGTGCTCGCCGCTACCGCAGATTGCACACATTTTCGTTTCATCCAGACCCTTGGGTCCGCCAGAAGGCCCTTCGGGCAGGGGTTGAGGAGGTGTGCCGCGCGCCGAGGCCGACATCGAAATCGAAGGAGAGTCGAGATCAATTGGTTCTGATGAAGGACGAGAAATTGACTGCATGGATGGGGTACCTCCCGGTGTCCCGGGGGCACTGGCATCCACCATCTCGACCTCCTTGTAGCCTGTAAATTGCGGCCTCTCCAGCATCCTGGCAATGTTGCCTTCGGTGTACACATTGCGTTTCTTGGCATCTTGAATGAGACCTTGCCAAAATTCACCTTGCATCAGAGACTGGGAGTTACCCAGAACCCACAGCGAGGATTTGGCACGAGTAAGACCAACGTTCATACGACGGATATCAGCCAAGAACCCAATACCCTTATTCGATGCACGAACACAAGAGAATATAATGATCTCGCTTTCCCTACCCTGAAAGGCATCGGTCGTGTTGAAATCAATCTTTTTCAAAATGTCCTCGCCGTACCTGGCCGCGAATTGGAGCTTCAGCTCTCGTAGCTGACCCTTGTAAGGTGTGATGATACCTATCTTCCCTGTAAAATCGTACTCCTTAATGTCCGTGATGAGTCGCTCGTACAGCTGCATCGCAGCTTGCAGCTCCGCGTAGTTGATCAAGGAGTGGCCCTTGGTCGCACTATGGTGCATGCCTTGGACGTCAAAGAATCGGTAAGGACTCAACAGCTCACTCTGATGCCACGGACGGGCTCGAAGCTTGGCCATGTCAGCACCGTCCTGAAGTTTGCCATCGTAGAACGTAAGACTGGGGAAGCGACTAATTTCCGGGTGCATACGGTACTGGACATCCAGCAAGTGCACGTCCTTCGGGTGATTCTTCTGCATGCGAACGAACAAACTCTGCTCATATTGGAACTTGGATGCAACTTTTGAAAAGACAGTTGGGGGCAACTGCTTCGGGTCACCGACAAGAATACACTTCGAGCAGCCGTATTTGAGCGGAATCAAAGCGCTCAGTTCAATACACTGAGCTGCTTCATCAATGACAACGGTTTCAAACTCGACATTCATAGACTGGAACATCTCATGACCGGATCCGCTAAGGGTGGTGCAAATGACGTGCGCTTCGTCGATGATTGTTTGCTGGATGCGACGCTTGTGCATGTCGGCATTACGAGCCAAGGTGTGAACCTGGTCGCGAGCCTTGTCGATGTCCGTACTCAATTGAGATCGCTTCTTCTTCAGGAGCTCAAATTCGCGCTCGAGCTCCTCGGGAGCGGGCAGTCCCTTGGCTCTGCACTCGTCCAGTGACGAACGAGCCTCTTTGAATCGCATGTCGGTAGATTTGTGCTCTTCGTACAGCTTTTGCATATCGACGTTGCTGCCAGAGGCGGGATTCTGGGTGAGACGAGCATTGACCATCTCGTCGAGTGTGACATCCAGCACCTTCGAGTTAATGGCATCGCTTCTACCTATACGGACAACGGAGAGCTTCTCCTGACGACCTTGACTTGTTTTCACGCCATCCTTCAACCGCATGACTATCTCATCGACGGCGGCGTTACTGGGTGCACACACCAAAATTTTCCGGGATGTGGCTCGATTGGAAGCCTGATTGCCACTCTTGATGGAAATCGCGGTGTTGCCAAGGACGCTAGTCAAGAGACTGCCAAGAAGGGCAACAATGGTCTTGGTTTTTCCAGAGCCGGGGGGAACCTTGGATAAGAGTGAACGCGTCGTTGTCCAGGGCAGATTTGATCGCTTTGGCTTGAGCGAGATTAATGCTGTAGTTGTCCATGATGGGTTGCAGCTTCGCGTCGGAGTAGTTAAGAATAGGCGAAGGCTTTGCCAAGACAACTTCCTCACACAGATCGTAGTACTGCAGAGCCATGAGAGCGCCATATTCTCGCTCAACCGAGGTCAATGAGGTGACCTTAACCCCCCAGGCCGTAGAGCCAGTTCCAAATGACGACAAGAACTTGCTAGATCCAGGATTCATGCGGTACGTGACCTCTAGCTTACCGCCCTTCCGATTGACGCCGCAGACGCGTGCAAGCAAGTGGCCCACGCTGGGATCCGCAGTAGGATTGGAGGAGCTGGAGAACAAGACAAGATCGCCTTCGCCGATGAAGAAGTCCTTTGAAGGCAAACCTAGAGGCTGGGTGCTAAATTCGATCCAGGAGTCGACAGTCAATCGGGACATGACTTTGACTTCGAAGGGCCGGAAGCCACCTTCTTCCTTTGCCTGCTGGAAGCCTTGCCAGGCTTCAAGAACCAGCAAGGGTTCGAAAGTGCTCTGATAGTCAGAGGAAGAGCGGAAAGTGTTGGAAATCAGGGTATAGTCATCGCGGTCCAGCGTCGGCGGAAGGTCGCCTGTTGAGAAGAAATCCCAGGACAGGATGGAGTGGTGTAGGGACGAGAGATCCGGGGACAGACGTGCGCGCATATCTTTCATCGAACGGGCACGCTTGACCTTCTTAATGGGCTGCTGCTGCAACGACTGCTTCTTGCTCTGCTCGTAAGCGAGGACGGCGTCAGACTTCTTGGGCTTTGCGCCGAACAACTCTTTATCGAGTTCATCTTCACTCTCAGAATCCGTATCAGACCCGGAGGAAACCATCATACTATCCGCAGGAATCGCATGATCTTTGCCCTTGATTCCGATACCTTTGATGCCAGAACCTTGTTCGGCCGTGTGCTCTGCGACTCCCCGCGAAGGCAGGTTCTTCTTCAACCTGGCCAGTTGCTCCATATCTCGCTTTTTCTTGGCCGCTTTCTCACGCTCGCGTTTCTCACGGAAAGACATGACGGTACTAGCATCATCCTTTGGCCGGGAGACCATGGACTTGGAAATAGGTGGGCGCCGACTAAGAGCCCCGAGCGGCAACTTAGTCTGATCATGCTTTTGTTTCGCCGCGATGCGCTCCTTATTGAGTTCGACGGAGCTAGAAAGGTCGAGGAGTGTTTTGTCGGCGATATCGTCGTCGAATTCGTCTTCAGAGGGAGCACGAGAAGAAGGACTTGAGACATCGGAGGGTCTGGCGAAGGAAGTGATGGAAGATTGCTTTTTGAGTGAAGCGGTGGATGCAGTAACGACAGGCTTCTTGTAATATGCTTCAAGCGAACGAACAAGTTCCGCCTTGTCACGCGGGCTGAGGATGGTTTTGATGGTTCCATCCACAGCAACACCTTCAATAAAGCTCAGTGCGTCTTGCTTTACTGTCGTCACATTCAACCCTCCCAGGCGTCGGAGCAACTTTGCTACTAGCCCGACCAGCGTGGTGGCTAAGTAGTCGTCCTTGAGACGCAACCACTTGACCATAGCACTCATAGTAGTTGTAGGGGACTTGAGGAAGTTTTCTGATGTTGTCTTGCCAGCATCATCCCCGGCGGCGCCTACGGCACCCAAAAAAACTCCATACTGATCGAAAAGAAAGTCGGCAAACTGGATTGTATCTCGACAAAACTCCAGCATTACCGACTTGTCATTGCCCCGAATGTGCCACGCTTCAGTCTCGTCGAAGATGGTGGTCAACGCTTGCCATAAGAACTCCCAGAGCTTCTGCAGCGACAAGACCTCTCGACGATCCGTGAAAGTACGTGTTCGAAGCATGCCTGTTTGACTGTTACACAATATCTCTACGACATCGGTACCTGTATGCAGCATTCGCGGGGCAGGGGCAAATGTCTTCATGTTGGAGATACGACGGAACGACCAACTGAGCCCATACATTGTTGTGGTAAAGAATGTCTCAAGCAAGTACGAGATCGCATCTCGTCGAGCAGAATGACCACTGACGTTTTTGATCAAGTCCACCGAAGCTTGGTAGGTGTTCAAGTCGGCGGCGAAGAGAGTGGAGATGAGCGCACTGCTAGTGTCTTGACTTTTGAAAAGGGTTTTGAGATGATCCGGCCGAAATTCGGCCAGTCTTTCGATGATCTGGCATGAGAGGTGGGTAAGGTGGCCATAGATCATGTTGAAATGAGTCTTTTCAGAATTGTCCCCACCTTTGGTTGGGAATTTCTCCAGGCCAACGAGCGGTAGGATCCCCAACAAGGATGCCGTTGACAAGTCAAGCCTATCCTGACGAAGGTGTCTGATGACTGCGTCCCAGATTAGGGCCGTATAAGTGGACACACCATGAGAGAGGGTGCCCTGCTTCAAAATCACTTCATAGTCACTCTTCAGAGATTGACATTCCAGAGCAAGAGCATTGCGAATGACATCCATACACAGGGAAAGGATCTCTTGCTGCTTCCCTTGCTCAATATCAAAGGTCGGTGGTTCGAGGATGACGGTGATGGTGTCTTTCAATACCTCCATGGTCTCTTGAAGAACGACTCGTTCGACAGAGCCTCTTGAGGCTTCATGGTCTGTGAAACGGCGAAGGGTTTGGAGGAGGCTAGTCAAGCCAACATGGAAACAACGATAGCGAGCCAGGTTGGGATATTGAGGGTCTTGAAGGCGTTTCAACAACTGACCAACCAAATACCGACATGCAGAGGGCTGATGAACTCCTTTAAGAGAATTTAGGAATGGGTTGATCCATGAAAGCATGTCTTTCAATGCAGATTTTTCATAGGCCTCGCCTTCAGTGGTCTGCATGAGAAAAGCCTGGAACTGGGGATTGTGGATGGTGTGTTCCATGATGGCCTGGGGTGAAATAGTCTGCATAGCATCCCAGAAATCAACTGGGGCTTTCTCCAGTAATGTCTGAATGGTATTTAAGAGGAAGCGCAGCCCAGGGGTGGGCAAGGCCAAGTGATCGACTGAAAGGCGACAGGGGTCAATTTGCAAACCACGAAGCTGATGAGTGATTTGTTCCTTGTTAAGCCTCCGTACGATGAGTTGCATGCCCCGCCACAAACGCTGGATGATGGCGAAGTGTGTCTGCATTGACTGCTGCATATGCGGTTGCGTTGGCGGCTGAGATGCAGCCTGTAACGCACTTAGAAGGCCATCTCGAATAGCCCACTCAAATTCCAGTGTGGTAGGTGGACGAGCATAGCGCATCCATGTTTGAAGGGCCCAGATGTTGCGTTGTTGTACTGGGTCAAACAAGAAGCGGGTAACAGCAGGGACGTAATCCGAGATCTTCAGGCTTCGTTTTGATTGAATGAGCTGAAATGGCTCATCAAAGTACTGCTTTAGGTTGCCGTCATCACGCAGCATAGCCTCGCAGCTCAATGTCTCGAATATAGATAGTAAGGCAGCGCGGTCCAGTACATCTAACGCAATTTTCTCGCGTGGGACGCTTCTCAGTTGTGTCTTCGCAATCGTCAGGTTTCGAGTGATGCGCTTGACATCCCACTCATCCACCTTTGCAGCAAATGCCTCAATATCCTCGTCCTGATAATTCTCTCTCTTTAGCAGGTCCATGAGCCAGATCTTGCCGGTGTAATACTGCTTGATGCAGAGGTCGCACTTTTCTAGCGTCTCGTCCAGCTTGGATAGAACCCAAGACTGCAGCTCCTCCACCCCATCTGCACTGTAAGCAAGGATACGCATGCACGAGAGAAACTTTTCCTTTCGTGTTGTAGCTTCAGCGACTTGGTCCTTGACACTGACTCCCTTTTCGTCCACTTGAGTTAAGTCATCGTATCGTCCGTAATCATCGTCATGTTGCCGCGGACAGAGGAGGTGAGTGCCCTCAAGGAGAGCTTTCAATTCTCTAATGGCGAGAAGTGTGGTTAGTTTCGATTGAAATTCGGTACTCCTTTGCAAGGGTCTCACTTGATGGCATCCACAAACTCCATGGTTGCAGGGCACAGAGCAGGGCTACCGAGCTTCACAATTATGTCCACCGCACATTTCCTGTTCACAATGTGAAAGCCTTAGGGCATCTCTCAAATCCACTGATGAGCTTTGCAAATGGTTTCGTGGGATGTCTTCGATCTCGTCGTGGCGTTAAGACAGGAACGGGATGTGCTGAAGTAAAATGGGCAACAAAACAATTCGAATAGCAAAGCACAATATTCGGAAGGCAAAGCTTGAACTGAGAAGCGATTTGCAGAGGTCGTAGATTCAGATGATGCAAGTTCTTAACCCGAGTGCTAGAACTTTAGTGATGAAGACTCCGAAGTATGTGCCGTTCAGTGTATAAGAAGACAACAAGGTAATACGAAGGTAGATCAGAAGGACGCAGGGGATGCCTTCTCGGCCAGATGCAACGGGCTCTTAAGATACAAGATGTCGTTTAAAAGAAACCTGGAAAATCACTAAAGTAACAAACGCGGTCAGAATCCGGCAGATTGTGAAGGCGGTCAGCCGGACGCGTTCACGCGCCTCATTAAACTGAAGTGGGAATTCTCCTTTAGCCAATTCTGTACTTTATCGTCGACCGCTAACTACGAGGGCGTTTACAGAGTAGAGAATCATAAATAGCCGCATTAAATACTTTCCTCGTGGAGGGCATGGAATAGAATACATGAATATCGTCCTTAGGTTCCTACCCTCTCCAGAAAGAAGCAAAATAGCAAATCCGAATAAAATAACCCCAGCAAATGTTATAAGAAACGCGAAACCATCAGATGAGGGTCTTGTGTAAGTCCGCAATGGGTCAAAAAGCTTTTGTACAAAAGGCCGAGGACAGTATGAAACAGTTCAAGAATGACGAAGAGGTGAAACCCACCAGAGGGAGGTTTGCAATTCGAGAAGAATGACGAGTGAGAGCAAAAGCAGATAATGCGCCGAGCCTCCACCCGAATGTAGTATACCGAACGCCTGCTTTCTATCAGGGGAATATCAAGGCTTTCAAAGGGATGTTAAAAAAATCAAAGAAAAGGGTAAGAAAAGGAAAATGCCCGTGAAGATGGAAGAGGGGAGGTAAAGCGATCAAACAGAAAGAAACCAAGAGGCCAGATTTCGCTAGCCAGCTGGGGGAAGTATCGTCAAGGACGTGTCGTCAGAGTATATCTATGCAAAGTTCACAGTGCCTCAAATTATATTATGTCCAGGAGGCTCGCCGGGAGCTCGGAAGGGATCCTGAGGGGGGCTCGTTGTGGCTCGATTCCATGCGTTGTAGCATGGCCGCTGAGGTAAAGTCGTTGCTTTGCTCAAAACTTTGCCGCACACGCTCGAAGGAATGACGGGTCCGGTCATGAGACCGTCGGACGTAGTCCACTGATTGAGGCCGTGGATACTGATCAAGGCTTGCGGTATAGTTTGTGCCGTTGCTGCTGTTTTGACTCCGGGGGTTGTGGCCGTTGGTATGAGCGCCATTGGCGGTGCCGGTAGGCGAATAGTAAGCCCGTTCTTCATCGGGATTATTGAAAGGATCCTGCTTCGCAGCGGGCTGAATGGGCTTGACGAATTCCGAGGAGGTGGCTGACCCATTACTCGAGACCGCGGCCACCTCCCCCGCTTTTGGGGAAAGAGTTGGAAGATCGTCATTCGCCTCTAGGTGCTTATACTTGCCCATGGTCACCTGTTCACGAATAATATCGACATCGAGGGGGAAAAACACCTTCATTACAGCGTTGTATGAGAAGCGAGGGAGCAGAGCGATCATGCAGGTCACTAGGAGGACGACCCAAAAACTAAGAGCACCGTAGACTTCGGCAGCAGATTGGTAAAACTGACCCGAACCGGTAAACGAAGAGTAAATGCCAGTCCACAGGAAGATCAGGAGGGAACTGATCGCATTGATGAGACCCGTGAACCAATCCCAGCGGTAAGTGTTCATCATGATGTAGGTGTTGCTAGCAAGCACGGCACAAGTGGCAATCAGGACACCCATGCGGGTTCGGTCAGCGATGTCACGGCCACTTTCAGTGGCAAAGTTCGCAGGCTTGTATAGCATGTAGGGCATGAAGAAGCAAATCACGGACTGGTACAGACCATCAGTCATATACGCCCTGTTCAGGAATGATTAGTGCGCGTCACAAAGAGAGGGGGGAAAGGAGACTGACCAAAACTTGAACTGTGACCATTCCTTGCGCTCAATACCTCTCATGTAGAGTTGAGGCACTGCCAACGAGACCCTGTCATCAACATCCTGATCAAAGATACCCATGAAGATGACAGGCAGCGAGGTGAAAGCTAAGTTGACTAGAACAATATAGGTGTAGTCAAAGAGATAGGAGCCATCGAAGTCGTTATAGATACAGTACCAGAAGAGAGCGAAAGTCCACACCAAATTCTTATAGAAGAAGTTGGCTGTACACTCTCCCAACCGACGATAGGACCATCGGCCATGCACAAGAAGAAGACGTTGAAGGAAACGGAACTGCCCAATAGCATAATCCGAGGACATAACAGCCTGTCGACCTTCCTCGCCAGCAATACCAACACCGACGTCAGCCTCTTGGATCATAGCGACATCGTTGGCACCATCACCAATTGAAAGAGCCATGATGTTCAAACCATGACGGACCATGTTGACGACAGCAGCCTTCTGAGCCGGACTGACACGGCAACACAGAACAGCCTTGCACTGCTTGCACAGCAAGAGGAATTTCTGCTTGAAATCATCGTCAAGCATCAGCTTGAGGGTTTCTCCGTCGACGATCACTGCATGCGTAGGTTCGGGAGGGGAGTGATCTTTACGGGCAGCGACGAGTTCTTCGTCGGAGCCAGTCAATCCAAAGGTCTGAAGGTGCTTGACGAGCTCCATAGAAGCTTGTTCGCGCTGGTTCTCGGCAATATTGAGAACAATCAGCTCCATGTTGTTGTTGAGCAGGTTGCAGGAGAAACCAATGTTGATGGCAGTCTCGACCTTGTCACCGGTCAAAACCCACAGCTTGATACCGGCATCAGCGAGCAACTGGATGGTATCCGGCACACCATCTTGCAGTCGATCCTCAATGGCAGTACCGCCGATAAGCGTTAAGTCCTGTTCGATCTCGCTCGAAACCTTCTCCAACTTCTCTTCACGATCGGTGATGGCAGCGGCGGCAATGTCGTGCTCTCGAGCCCAGGTATGATATTCATCCTCACTCAGGAGTTTATCAGCAACACACAAGGTTCGAAGACCCTCCTTGGCAAATTCCTCCAAGTGCTCGGCGGTCTTGCGTCGAAGCTCTTGCTGCTGGCCACGAGCCAGACGAGAGTAGATTATGCTGTCCGCACCCTTGCAGAAGAGACGGATGGTGCCGTCAGGCATGCGAATGATCGCACTCATACGCTTTCGGGAGGAGTTGAACTCGAGGGTGTTCAAGACCGTGTAAGTGCGTTCCTCGCCCATGACATTCAAGAGCAGATCATCACCGGCCCGACCGAGACAGTGAAGCCACAGTCGCGAGCAGTGCTAACCAGGGCCGCTTCGTCGGGCGACTGTGCTTTGAACTCGATTTGAGGCGGATCACCAGGGGTATGTTCAGTGATGACGGTGTGGCAAAGGGCCAGAGCCAGCATGAAATGCTCGACGGCTTTCTTCTGCTCCTCACCTGATTGCCCTTCAATGTCCGCGACATAGTTTGGAGCAATAAATGTCAAGTTCTCGTCTTTCAAATATGGGTTGTCGTGGAGGCGACGGAGGCTTTCGAGCATCTTGACTCCATCGGCGGCAATTTGTGCACGAGCTACGGCAGCCTCGGCATCGGCATCGACACCCTGGCGGCGCCTCATGCCAATCTGGGCCTCCGTATAAGCCTCTCCGTAAGAGACGCCATTGACCGTAGCTTTCTTGAACTCCATGACGTTCTGGGTCAAGGTACCGGTCTTGTCAGAGAAAATGTACTCAACTTGCCCACGTCGTCAGAAATGTTCCAGGACTTGGGCACACAGTATAGTCCAAGCCGTTCGTAGTACATGTAAAGATCACTGTGGATGAAGACTGCTTGGATAGTCCGAACAATTTCAAGAGAGATGTAGAGAGAAATGGGAACCAAGTTTTGGAACAGAATGACAGCTGTCCAGAAGGTAACGATACCCGTGACAGGAGGCGTGCCTCCATAGGAACCATAGTCGAAGAAGTCTAAAGAGTTGTCTGGCGCAGCCCATGCAAAGCCGTTCACGATACCGGCGACAAGACACATGATGAACAGAATGATGAAGTTGTAGATGACGTTCCAGTTCAGATCCTTGGCCAAACGAGCACGTTTGGCAGGTGTTGCGCCAGAGTTTAGCATGATCTTGCTCTCTCCGCCCGTGAAAACGACCACCCCAAGAATCCACTCGGTGCTGCGCAGAGAACAGCCACGAAGCAGCATGTTGTTGATGGTTATAGGCTCCACCATCTCCTTGCGAGGGGCCTCGGGGAACCGTGGATCACGCTGATCCCAGCGAATCGCACCATTGTAGCTGTACAAGTTGGGGTGAGGCGCCTCACTCTCGATGGTGAACTCAGCCTTTTCGCAGTCCCGGGCATGCCGGACCTGGCGACCGCAATGAAGAGCGTGGCGGACCTTCAGATTGGTCTCACCGTCCAGTCCCATTGTTTCGACGTAGCAAGCTCCATCGGGATCAGAGGTAGATAGAATCACGATATCGGCGGGGATCGGGTCTTCGTTATACAATCGAACAAAGTCACCTACTTGGATATTCTTCCAGTAGTCACGCTTGAAACGAGCTATGCCGGGTGTCACTTTGGTGTTATCCACGACGGTGCCGGTCTTCTTGTCAGGTGACGGGGCTACCACACTTTCGCGAGCTGCGCTATCGGGAGAAAGATACTTGCTCTCGGGGTGTCTCGGCCACTCCGGTCGAGCGTCGGGTTTGGGAGAAGGAACATCGGTCATCGGGATGGCAACATCGGCAGCAAGAGAGTCGCGATTCGAATATACCGAGGAGGCTCGTGGAGTGCCCGCTGTAAGGAATGATTCGCGTCGCTGATCATCTACTGGGTCGGACTCATCGGTCTTTTTGTTGAACAAGGTCTTCATCCACTTGTAAGAAGCGATGATGCCACGAGTGCTCGCCTTCTTGACCCGACGCCAGGGCCCAATGCTATCCTCGGTGGAGTTCACATTACTCCATTCAACCAATCGGTACACCGGAGAATTGTTCACTTGGTTATCCACGACAGTTCGCCCCCAATCTTCGATTGCATCTTTGATCGCGGTCACCACGATAATGACAATCAGCGGAACTGCGTTAAGTCCGGGGTTGTTGGCACCGAAGATGGGAAAGAACTAGGGTCAGGTCAGTTCGATTGGGTTCGAATCGTTTCGGGAGTCATAGGCAACGTACATTAAGAATAATGACGAACAAGAAATAGATGTTTGCAATGTTGTGGAACTGCAACCAAACGTTTTTCGGGACGAACGTTAAAGCAGTATATTTGGCAGTACGGATCTTGTTCCGGGGATAAGCGTGCATCAGATGGCCTTCTTCATCGCGTTCTGATTCGGGGATCGGGATGTTGAAGTAGATTGTTCGGTTCGCGCCGGTTTCCGAGGGATCTACACCGTTCGTCGAGGCATTGTCGGCGGTCCAGCTGGGGGCGTTGGACCTACGCTTCTCGTCCCTCGAATTTGACCTTTTGTGAAAACGATCGATGATCGACACACGTTTCCGCACTCCGCCGGAGCCGGCATGTCGGGTTGTCGCCCATCTTTGCCGTTTGGTAGGTTTGGAGATATTACTGGGCGTCTCCTGAATCTCGGTATCCGGCAAATTGAGACTGTCGTCGGGAAAGCGGACGGAAGCCATCTAGGCTATGGATGCGCCCCAATAGGGCTTGAAACTGAACGGATGTCTTGAAAGACGCGGACCATCCGGTTTATGGAGTCGGGGATTCCAGAGCCACGCGCGGCTATTCGACAAGGTCTTATATCACAGGGAGTTCGAGTCTGATGCTTGCAATGTCGTAAGGCCCAAGGTCAAGATCGAGGTCGCGCGTAATCGGGAGGGGGAGGGAGTCAGACGTGTTGATGACAAGGGTCTCGAAGATCCGGGGGAGTCGGAAAGGTGGTTCACACGGTCGACGGAGGAGTCAAAAAGAGAGGGGGTAATACCCACGAGGGGCCATGCAAATGGAGCAAAGGGAGTTGGGATAAGTAACGTTATTTTTTTCCGAGGGGCGAGACGGGAAGAGTGAGGCAGTGGACAGACACAACCCATGGAGGGAACTCGGGCCCCGTAACCTCCGTAATTACGGGCTGCTTACATGCCGGCTTGGTCAGCGGCTTGGCCCTTGGAACGCGTGAATCGGCTGGGTTCGGATCGAGATAGGAGTGGTCTTTTGTGATTTTTTTTTTACCATGAGCATTGCATGGCGGGTTCGTGTCAATATAAGATCCAAACCTCTTCAATCGACTGTTAGCTGGTTGAGATATGCCATTTTCCATCGGACTTGGCGAGTTGTTGGCATAGTTACGGTAACTTACCATACCAGCCTCATCCGAGCCTCCCAGCCCTCGCTGTCTGGTTCATTCTAAATTTCTGACAGTGGCAACGGGGAGATCTACCCATTTGAGTAATTATCAGATGCACTCGTTCGGGCACGTTTTGTCCGTGTAAAAGAGTGTCCCCATTTCAAGGTTCTCTATCTAAGGCAAAGTCCCTCAAACACCTCGTTTAGTAGCGTCCGGCGTTAGCACGGTCGGGGTTATGTCTCCGTCATACTGTATCTCTGCAGTGTCCACTTCGTTGTCCATATCTAGCGCACCGGCCATTACATAGGACCCAAGCGGTTCCGGGTTATACATTAATTATGTACACCGGACACTGCTTAAGCCGGAAAGCCGACCCTCGGGCACGGAATCAGATTATTCCCTTGGCTACTTAATTATTGCAGACAATCTGCGCGCCACAGAGGCCACTTTGGCTGTTCGACTCGGCGTATCGAGCCTGAAACCACCGACACGGCACGGGCGTTCCGATCCACCTGACTAAGACGGGGCTCCATCGTTCCAGTGTCGATTGATGTGCAAAGAAAGGGGAGGGTATAATAATAATACACCGCCGGTCGATCGCGCACTACTGTATCAGGATCTGTAGTTCAGCCTTCTTTTCCCCCCTCCCCCTTTTTTTAGTTTTTTCCTTCTTCCTCGCTCTCTTTATCCTGCATGTGGAGTCGAAGCCACCGTTAAACGAAGTATCTAGTCCACTGAAGCGGCCCACGGGGATGTTCGTTAAATTTGCCGATTGATCCAGACTTTTTCTCGGCACTGTCTAGAGACAGCAGCTTGTTGCGGGTCAGACTCGGTAGCAGAGATTACAGGATGCCTGGAGGTTGAAAATGCTGGAGCGGTCAATCTAAAAGATGACGGCGTCGTCAGCTGGCGCGATCGCCCGCGAACTGTAGTGGAGACGGCGCGCAAGTCGTCAACTTAAATCGGATCAGCGGCTACTTGTTACCCCTGACTTTTGGGTGACTGGCCCGCATTTTGACAGTCGAGACAACTCCAGGGCTGCCTTAAGTCACGGAAGGTTTCAGCGCTGTACTGTAGATCGTATGTAAGGCAGAGGCCCTCACTGATCCCACCCACTTTGTAGGTGGATTCCGTTGCTATGTCTGTAGGCCCATGGGCTTGTAAGTCGGCGCCCTGCGCAGCCCAAAATTCATAGCCAGGGTTCTATGGGCCCTGTCATGACGGGATTTTGTTTTTGTAAGCACTTGAGTGGGATGGCAGGATGAATTGCAATAAATGTACTTATATTACCGAGAGCATCTGTTCCGAGAGCATCTGTTCCGAGAGCATCTGTTCATACATCTTGGAACATGGTACCTTGAATTAATTATCACATCCTAGTTGAATGCTTGCAAGAAATCCCGATTGCAAGAAATACTACTATTCAAGATAGCCCATGCGTAACAGATAGACTCTTCCCGATGAAGATATATGGCACCACGTGACCTCGCGCTCCTCTTACGCGACGCGGAGCTCCTGATCTTTCGCTCTGCAGAACTTCACGATGTCTCCGGTCACGAATTTTTTCAAACCACCCGCCTTCTCGCGTTTTTCTCAAACCCCTACACCCGAGAGGAAAAGGAGCAATCCCCCGCCAAGACAGCCCTTGCAGACCCCGTCGTACCCGCAGTCCGATCCCCCGCCATCTTCGAAAATTGATTTGACTTGGGAGGATCACGATGAGCCGAGAAGCCAGCTGGGTGCCTCCCTGATGCAGTCGATAAGCGACGACTTTCCTCTGTCTTTGCCGCCCGAACAAAGCTCTCAAAGTCATGGGTCGGCCCCACCACCTTCATCTCTTGGGAGCTTTATTGCCTCGCAACGCATCGTCAAGGATGGCAAAGAAGTCGTGATCAGCTCAGATGGAGAGGACACAGACTCAACAGACTCACTCGACGACCCTAGCTTCTTACTTGGGCCGAAGTTTCGACAACAAAAGCAAGAGACCAAACCAAATCGCGTAGACAAGGCATACCTGCAAACGCTTTCGGTCCCGACGATATATAAACATTCCCTGGACTCGCTTGTGCATGCTGCTGTTAGCGACCAAAAGACTGAAGCGAACGTCGCTAAGATCAAAATGGGCTTCGAGCTACATCGCACTCCAGTTGCGCCTAGCCAAGACTTGGGATCAAAGACAAAAAATGGCATTCAAGAAGGAGTGTTAACATCGGCTCTGAAGGAGTCCGAGGATGGAAATGAATTCCGACGTCTGATGGATGCCATTCGAAGAACCGAGGCTCTCGACCAAGACCGCATCTGGCGCTTCTTTGATCTGGTGCAGATGACGCCGGCCGCACCAGACTTCCCAAGAGATCTATTTCCGCCCGGATCTCATCTGTCCGCCCTACGAGGTTAGTCCATAAATATATCCAGCTGCCTTGCAACTCGACTGACTATTAAAGAACCCGAAACTCGAATTCATACTTTCCAGTCGGGCATACTAGAATATGCAGCGTCATTGCAGCAACTGCCCGATGAGCTTCTTTGCTGGCTCTTCCGCTCGAGTGCGTGACATTTCCATTTATTTTTCCAGTGCTAACCGCGATGCAGTCCCGCTCGAGCCTCGGGATGAGTTACGGACAGCTTATTGCCGGATCTTCACGGTTTGTCGATGGCGCTCTAATGGCCGCTGAACCTTCACTGATGGCGAATTCAGCAAACGCCCGCTCAACGTGTGGAAGACCTTGTTCGTCCGGATAATATCGATGAACTATTTCGACAAATGGGTGCCAAGCCGCAAGCACTGGATCTCACAGACTGTGTCGTTGAGGACTCTTTTGAACGTAAGACAGACTTTCCGCTGCCCCGGATTCCCGTATCTAAAACAGACCAGAATTATCGCAGACGCCTCAGCTCAAAGTACGAGGGGTTCTTCTCTCTACATTTCATTTGCTCCAGGATGCCGCCGACTTGTGAGCTACCTCTAGCTTTCAGCTCAGATTCCAACGCTCATCAAATGCAGGTTTTCAAATGATACGAGAGAGCGTGCGATTCAACTCTTGCTGCGTATAACGCTGGACACATCCTTGACGGCAGATAATCTCATTCATTCTGAGCTACAAAGTGCTCTTAGTGCACTTCTGGAAAGAGTGCCTGAAGCTGATACAGAACAGACTGTACGCACGCGATTGAGGTCCAAAAGAGCATTGCTAATCGTATTTAGGAACGTCGAATCTGTGCAACGGTATATGAAACTGTCAGGGAGCCCCAGTTCCAAAGCCGAATGCTGCACCATATTCTTCCCACGTCGACTTGGATTTCACTGCTGCGGTACCGCCTCGGCGTGGCCTTCCTTCTTAAGAGCCCGGAGCCCTTGACAGAGACTCCGTCGACTGTTCTGGACCTTAAACGCCTCACCCTCTTTTTAATCCAAGACGAACGATTTGACAGGCAACTACGCAATCCAAGAGGCGAATATAACTATACCGAGCTAACTGCCATTGCTCATCTCCTGGACATTGTCGTTAATTCCGCTCCGTACACTTTGAGATGCGATCACGCTGACTCGGCAAAGGAGCTCGACGCCGCCATTGACAAGCTGGCAGCGCAGATCAAGAAGATCTTCAGTTTAATTCAAGATTCCGGCGCTTCTCATCTCAAACGCATGCTGGCTAAAGAAGCCCTGGAGGCGCTCTACTATCGAGTGCTTTACGCGATCCGGTCCAAACCGCCTCCCAAAAAGACGCTTTTCAAACACTATGGCTCGGAGCAGCAAAATGGCAACTTACGCAATATATTCAGACCTAAAGTCGCTCATGATACCAGTGATGCCGGGACGTCGAGTGGCGTAGACACGCTCGAGGGTACGGCCATGCCTATCCGCGGGCACTAGGCAGATTAATGACAGTGACGAACCTTACGAGCCTTCTTTAATAGAGCGAAGCATTTTCCTGCATGTATTTGATACCGAGAGTCTGCAATGATAGATGAGAAATCAAACGCTTGGCGAGATTGACCGGAATCGAGGTCAGGTATGAGATAGGCAATAAAACTCCCCTCTCTATGGAGATGGTCAAGACGTGAGGATCCGAACTATAAAACAACGAAAGTACAAGCGAAGAAAGAGGCGAATCCCAATCTAGTCATAAAATCGCCGGTTCACGTTCTTTCCAAACAGAGACTCTCGAACAGCGGGGAGAGCATCGATCTCCAACAGTCGCAGGCGCTCCTCGAAGGTGTTGTTGATCTCGATCTTGCCCTGACCACCGACAATCGCGACACCACCCGCACTGTAATCTTATCAGCCCTGAGTTTTGCGTTCAATAGTCATGATAACTTACGATCCCTCCGGCAGAGGCTCTGACTCGTCCAGATCGACCTGAACCTCTCTGCCGACGTTCTTCTTGAAATCCTTGGCAGCCTCCTCCATGGCCTTCTTCACGATGTCGAAATCCTTCTTGCGCGAGCGGATAGCGACTTTGTCCTCATTCAGGTAGTACAGGCCCTCGAGGACCAGCCCCTGCAGCATAGTCTGGTACTTCTTCTTGTCGTTGGCGGCGACGGTCGAGACCTTCTCACGAGCCTGCTGGAAGAGGTCATCCAGAAGCTCCTGACGACCACCAAGCACACGGAGACGTGTCCGGTTGGCAAGAGTCGAGCGGGTGATCTGCTGGGACATGGAGGCCTGCTTGAACTTCTTCTCGTAGAGGGTGTCGATGGCGGCGGTCTCCTGGCGCACAAGCTTGGACTTCTCAATCGCAAATTCCTCATCGGCCTTCAGCTGGATCTCCCGCGCTTTCTCGAGGGCTTCCTGCCGGATGAACGCCGTCATCTTGCGGAGCTCTCCCGCGACCTGTCGGGGTTGGAGGGATCAGCCATGGTGGTCCCAAGGTACACGGTGTGTTGGAGTGGGGGTGTAATGATAGATCTGGACCTACCTGATCATCCGAGAGTGCATGACTTTGCGACATGATGGCGGAATTGTTGGAATGAGGAGATGTAGAGGTGGAATGACGTGGGGGAGAAAGGGAGTTGTCACTCGTGTCCAAACTAAGCTCGGATCCGCTCCTTGGCGTCCCGTCCGCATCCAGCAGACCTCCCCTCTTGTGTTGAATTTAACCTACCTTCGACCGACTTTCGACCTGCTTCGCTACCGACCGTTGAATCTCTCCCATGATGTCTTTGCTCCGGTAGTGCGTTCCTTCTCTATGCGCTCTACGGTCCTTCCGTGGCCCATGTACCAGACTTCAAGATGGGCAACCTAGGTGGCCTGTCGCCGCAAGGCAGCGTCGCGGTGAGTGTGGATGTCGACATGCCGGAATCTCCTTTTGGCTAATATGTTCCGGAATAGATCGGCATCCTCGTCGGACTTATATCGACCAGTTTACAGGCCATCGGGCTCACGCTCCAGCGCAAGTCTCACCTCCTCGAGGACGAGAAGCACCCGTACGATATGCGCCGCCCACCCTACAAGCGCCGGCGGTGGCAGTTAGGTATGGGAATGTTTGTGATATCCAACATCGTGGGCAGTACTATTCAGATCACCACACTCCCTCTTCCTGTTCTTTCCACTCTCCAGGCAGTCAGTATTCATCTTTCCCGGAGTCGGCGGGGTGACGTTAACATAGCGATGACAGTCCGGACTGGTGTTCAACACGATATTTGCGACTCTCATTCTTGGTGAACCGTTTACTCGATATTCCTTTACGGGCACCTTCCTTGTTTGTGTCGGTGCGATATTGATCGCGACGTTTGGCGCTATCGGCGAGCCGGCCCATACTCTCAACCAGCTCTTGGAGCTTCTACAACGCCGGCCTTTCCTGATATGGATGGGAGGGACAGTCTTTTTAGTTATGTTGATTTCTCTTGGGTCAAAAATGTTGAAGTACTGTTTACCAGGGTCCCGGACGAAACCTGCTCCGGGAGGTCATTTCGCGCCACATTTACAACGACTACATAGTCGGATAAGGCTGTTCCGAGGCATGTGCTATGGGGCCGTCAGTGGGATCTTATCGGCTCATTCACTCCTCCTAGCCAAGTCGGCGGTGGAACTACTGGTACGCACGCTGGCAGATGGGAAGAACCAGTTCAACCGCTGGCAATCGTGGGTGATTCTGCTGGCCATGATCTCCCTAGCCCTAACGCAGCTATTCTATCTGCACCGTGGACTCAAACTTTGCAGCACGAGTATCTTGTACCCGTTTGTATTTTGCATCTATAACATTATTGCTATTCTCGATGGCCTGATCTATTTCCGGCAGACCTCCCAGCTTGGCGGGCTCCATGCTGGTCTCATCGCTTTGGGAACGGTCATCCTGCTCGGCGGTGTTCTTTGCCTGTCTTGGCGGCTGGAGGACATTGACAATCACGCTGCTGTCACTACAGTTGGCTCTACACAGACCGGGCTTGGTCCAGGCATGGGGATTGTCGAGGAGCAGCACTCTTCAACCTCGAATGGGCTAATAGATGGAACGGACGACGAGGAATCGCAGGTCGGAGAACAAGATCCCCTTCTTGGAGCGGTCCGGCCTCGACTTTATGGGTCGTATCACCGAGCCCGAGCTCCTAGTCTTCCGCTTATTCCACCAGGCGACCACGGCGAAGCTGCCGATCTCAACGCCGCGTCAATTTGGGCTGAGCTTGACGACTCTGACTATGACTTTTTCGACCCACAAATACACTCTTTGGGGGGATCGGCCACGCAGTTCAAGCGGCAGTGCAGCGCTGCATGGCTCCGTGCGCGGCCTCGCGCGCCACTCAACCATTGGTGCAATGCCATACCATCGTACACGAGGCTCTCGTCGCCCTCAACCTACACAAGTCGGCCTCTGGAGACGCTCATCTGCACCCCTGACAGGGTTCACGGGCTTACAACGCAAGCGAAAGAGCCTGTGGGGATTCTATGCGTCGGCCTTCCCGAGAACGGTCACCCCTGGGTACGGAACAACCCGGGAAGACGATGGTCTTCGAGGAAGAGACAGCGACGAAACAACCCCTTCCCGAAACCCAGGATTTCTTGCGGGATCGAGAAGGTCTCTCGCCAGTGCCTGGCAAAACGGACGCCATTACTTATCTCGATGGGTAAGCCCGCAGGCGGGCAATCAAGCCGCCCACAATGAGAACGGAGGATCATCGTCGCCTTTATTACCTCGTGCCGAATCCCACCTTCCCCATGTGCGGGATAGACCATCACCAGGCGGGCCCAGAATTGGGAAGCCACCATCGACCTCGTCGCTTTGACAGCCTTGGAGCATTCAATCATACCACTCACATTTCATTCATCTTCGCTTGGACCGTCACCTCTTGATACCACAGACTCTTTTTTCTTTTTCCTTTTCACCTTTTCACCTTTTTTGTCTCATTGCATGTGTATAGTAGGACTCGATATCTTAGACCAGACCCGAACACTCGCCCGATGATCTGGATCTCGATCCAATGTGAGCGAGTCAGATTCGCGATGGATCCTGGGTTTTTGAAAGCCTGTACATAATACCGTAAAGGAAACGATACCACCGTCTTCTTTCTTCCCGGCCGATTCTTGAATTTTCATGTTACTTTTGAACAGCAAAGACGAGGATGTACAGAACATAACCCTATTGCTCGTTCTTAACATGCCCACTGGGTTCGAGAATAATCTATGTGGGGAGTACATCCCCAGTTTAATCTTGTAGACAAGCTTTTTAAGGTTGTAGTCTTGGACCCTTGCTTAATCAGTTTGTGAATGACGATCATATCTGATCCATGTCTAGCTCGATTAAGGATCTGGTCCGCGCCGCGGCAGATCTGCAAACTAAAATACCCAAGGTGGTCTCGAACCGCTAAATATTTGAAACGATTGTTGTATTAACTCCATGGAAATACACCCAGCAGCACAACATCAGCTACATACTTCACAAAGCAGAGACAGAAAGCCACATCATATCCATATCAAATACAGGACATACTTCTCGGTGAGCAAGAGGCCATTGGCGTCAACAAGAATCCGATACGGTGACAAGAGTAAAACACGGGATGAGATTAGACACTGGAGAAAGAGAAAGAGGAAACAATATCAATAATGGGTCGTATGAGAGATAACCGGAGACAGAAAATAAGGAAAAAAAAAGGGGAACCGCTTCGCCAACAGACCAAAGCACCACGAACACCACCAGCCTCCGCCATTGTGTCTCAGGTAGAGGGGGCAAGGGGAAACAGAAACAGCCAGAACAGCGTCGAAGTCCAGACTTGTGTGCTTGCGCTCTTAGTCTCTTTTTTTCTTTTTGAGGAGTTTTTGATTGGGGGGAAAAAGGAGGTCAGGGCTGGAGCAAAAGAAAATGAAGCAAGATTTTCTTCCAAGTTCGAATTCGAGTTGAAAGCAAGACCGTAACAAACGTTCCGTAACAAGACAGACATCCACAGAAAATACCGCGCAGTGTTTGGCTATGTATACTTCACAGAGAGACGGAAGGTTGATGAGCATGGACATGCAGATCATCTTCCGGAGGAGAGAGAGGAGAGGGGAGAGGAGGATGGATTCAGCGCGGATGGACGGGTATCAAATGAACGCGAGAGATTTGAGTTGCGCAGGGAGAGGGGGGAAGAGAACAGAGGACGCAGTATCTGGGACTCCGTCCGTAGCGCCGCGAAAGCGAAGCAAGAGGGGAAGTGTTTTACGCGGTCGGTTGGTGCTGCGGTGGCATGCGGTTGCCCACGGGCATGCCGGGGTACTGACCACCGGCCTGCTGCTGCTGCTGGAGGTTCTGGTAGTATGCCATCTGCTGCTGCTGCTCGTTGGTCATATAGCCAGGGTGCATGCCGGGACGGGGCATGTTGCCCTGGGGCGCGTTGACGTTGCTGTGGGCGACATCCTCGGGGGCCTCCGGGGGCACATCGCCGGCATCAACGCCATTCTCGTTGGTGGTGGGATCGGGGGCATTCAAACAGGCCTGCATGAATGAATTAGTCATGCGACCGATAATTCCTGCTCGAATCAACATACCTGAATCAGATTTTTGCCCTCGGCCTTGGTGACAAGCGGCTGCAGCTTGGGTGTGGTGAAGGTATAGACGAGGCCGGTTTCGGAGACGACCAGCAAAAGGACTTGGGTACCGGTGAGCACGGACAGCTCGTAAGCCTGGACGAGGAGGAGACCAGGTCAGTTTCCCGGATGGAATGGTTGAATGGGAGCGAGTCGCGACGGGGTACGTGCAGGGTACTCCGAGGGGGGGGGGGGGGAGGGAAAGGTGGCAGGTGAAACTTGGCAATTAGAACGTACCTTCTTCATGATACCGGCCTTCCGCTTGGAGAAGGTGATGTGGCGACGCGACTTGTCCTGAATGAACTTGATCTCAATCTTGCGGCGCTCACGGCCAGGCTTGTCATCATCATCGTCGTCGTCCTCGGCGCTCATGCGGCCGCGCTTGGTGCCGCGGGCGTCAGCGCCGTTACCGGGCTGCTGGAGGTCATCGTGGGTAGGAGAGAGTTTCTCCTCACCAACGGAAGTCATATCAGCCATGATGGAGGTTGGGGGATATGGATGGTAGGTCAAGACCAAAAGTTGGGAGACGGTCCAAAAGGGGAAGGGAATCGAAGATACCCAATCGAGTAACGCGTTTTGGGATCGCAGGGTTGGAGAGAGAAAAGGAAGGGGGGGGAAGAGCGAAGAAGGCAAAGTGCGAGTTGCGATGGGCAGGCGGTCAGTCACGTGTGGGGATGTGTTACAAGGTCCCTCAAAAAGAGACTTCGCAGGCCCATAGATAGTGCATAGCACCTGCAAGTACCGACTGTGGAAACTGCCGATCTTACATGTTATGGACGGTAATCTTACAGTATCCGCCTCCCCCTCTCGGTGATTCTCGAAGTTCATTGGTGCCTCATCGACTCCACTCGGTCCTTCCACTCAGAGGCGCAGCTTTTGTTTTGGCCTCACTTTTTGTCCTCCGCTTTCATCTGTTTGAACCTCGTCTAGCCCCGGTTTTTTTTTTTTTTGGAGTTTGATTTTGGTTTGATCATCTCTGTAAGCTCGACTCTCGATTCTTCTTTTCTTGACTTTTCACTCTACTCCTCTCTACATACCAGGCTAGACCTGGATCATCCCTGCATTCTTCGCTGCGGCGGACTGCACGCTGCACGCGGCCTCGGGGTTCGGCTTTGTCCCGGCCAGTACCTGAGTATCAACTTAGGATACGCTCGTCGGCGCTGACACGGGCGTGGTGGGCTGTTTCCCAGGCACACTCCTGCTGCAAAGAAATGAAATTGACCGTCGTACAATCAGCCTGCGGTGTACGTCCCCGGTAATGCCATGGACCGACCTAGATTCCAGCGGTAAATTAGCGCCGTCGACGCTCGCTTTCGGCTTTTGTCCCCACGCATAAGGTATGTGCCACGGCATGAGGGTCTTTTCTTGGACAAATACTGTCCAGGGGCCTCGGACGACCCTGGATCCCTTATCTCGATCGTGATCTTAATTGTGTGGTACATACCAAGAAACCGTGTCCTAATCCAAACATGAATATATATCTCCGTGAAGCCTTTCACCTGCAATTCATGTGAATACCAGAAAATGCCACAAGCATAGTAAAACTGTACCAAGATTTAGATGACAGGCTATTCGTCAGTGACTCCAACCGTGGAAGTCCCTGTTGAGCGACCCCAACCCAGGCAGAAACTTGTCTCCCGTCCCAGTCTGCCGCGCCAGCTGTTTATATTCACATTACTGTCTGACATAAGGGAACTCTGATGCAGTGACTCGCCTAGAACGGCTATGATTATACCTTGGACCTTATAAGATCAGGGCAGGATACGCAAAAGATGAACTCACTTGCCACATGGCCGAACGAAGATGGGCCCCATCGCACTTCGCGCGGGCCGGTCCGCGATGTCCGGTTTGGGGAACTAATATGCAAATGTTTAAACACAGAACAACGAATTAGAAACAGGTAGATATAATACTCGTCATATTTTTCGCATAATGAACCGGGGCATAGTTCAACGCTAATCACCAACCGGGACCCAAAATACGGTCTTCGGTTCAAGTCTATTTTTACAAAACAATGCAGGGCATGGGAGCCTATCCCTCCTTAGTAGAAGGAAATCCAGAAAAGATAGCAAGAGAGAGACAGAAAAGGAAAAAATGAACGAGTCACTGAGCCGAGGCGCGAGCGAGGATATATATATATATATATATATATATATCACGGGCCCGGCCCACGTACTAAGGAAGCCAGATAGAAAAATGGGCCACTCGTAAAGGAACCGGGATATACGGAGCACACAAAACCACTGGGTTGTTGCGCCGGATTGGACTCCGCCCATGCTAACGCCGGATAATGAACAAGCAGAAACTGGAGGACGCGGAGTTCAAGTCACGATCACGAGTCTTATCCGGAATAAAGAAGAACAATTGGGAAGGTAAGTGAGTGGAAGTGAGGGGTGGTTCGGGGGTCGATGCAAATGGGTTGGCGTCGTGATGTGGGAAATAATAAATAGAGGAGAAATCATGTGCAGCGAAGTGAAGACGAGACGATCGAGAATCAAATGACAAGCCCCCAAGGACCAGCCTTAGAGATATCGCTTGAGGGGCTTTTCAGCATGGCTGAAGAGATTATTGCTGATAGGTACCGGTAATGTGGTGATCGCTGAGACCACCGCCACCACCACCCTTGGGGCCGAGCCAGACAATCTCGATCACACTGTGTCCCTCATCTTCCTCGCGCACATAGAACTGGTGAACGTTCTCACCGACCACGTACGCATCATGCATTAACCACCGATCCTTGGTGACACCCTCATCCTCCGCAGGACGGAGGGGGGCCCAGGCGCTCCTCGAAGCCACGGGGGTCCTCAGGCCAGGTCTTCTCGACAGCGTCGAAGTTGATGGCATCATCCGGGACGGACTCATCGTAGGTGTACTTGACCATAGAGTAACCGTTGGTCAAAACCCAGAAATGGCGGGTAGACTCGCCGGTGGAGTTGTTGATGGTCTCCTCCTGATCGAAAACCCAACGGCGGAGGACAGACTTCCGGCCAGCGGCCGCAGCAACGGTAGTCATCTTCACGACGTCCTTGGAGTACCAGCTGTTCCAGTGATGCATGGATTCGATCTTGCGACCGGACTCGTAGACACCGTCGACAGGCTCGGTCATATCCATCTGGTAGAGCGAGGGCCAGAGTGTCAGAGGAGTGTCACCGAATCGCTGAATACACTGGCCGAGCTTCTGGTCACCAGGCTGCTCGCCCCAGGACTGACACTCGTCGTAGTACTTCCTAAGCACATCGAGCAAAGGCTTGGAGACGAAGACACCAGCACCACCAAAAGCGATGTGGCCGAAAGTGTCCACCTGCCAGCTAGCCTCCGAGAGGGATCCGATATAGTGCTTCTTCGTCTCGTCGAATAGCTTCAGCTCCTCGGCGACGGTGGGAAGAGACAAGAAGAAAGTGTCATCGTCGCTGAAACCAACCCAGGTGGTGTGAGGGCGATGCTTGCGAATATGCTCCGAGAAGGCCTCCACCATACCGAAATAGCGAGCAGTGAAATCAAGCGGGGAAGCGATGAGGGTCAGGTCGAGACCCCTGTTGCGGAAGTAGGTCTCCTGCTTGTCCAGATCATCGTCGGACTCAGGAACCAGAACGAGAAGACCGGCCTTGGTGTTACCATAGGTGTAAAGCAGGGACGGGAGCAAGCGATCCAGACGGTCGACCGTGGTAGCCAGACCGAACAGAAGCTTCGAGGTCTCCTCGACATCGTCGTCCGCGGCAACGTCGACATCGATGATTTCCGGGCAGACAAAGTTTTCCTCGCGGTTTTCGGGAGAGACCACCATTCCACGCTCCATGGCAACCATGGGTGGCAGGACGGGTTTATCAATCTCCTCGAGGGTGTGGAACTCGGTCTTGGGGCTCACGAGACGAGGGCGGAAATAGGCACGGGTATAATTCTTGCGGGGGAGCCATTCGGAGAAGGGGAGAGGAGCAGCCAGCTTGGGGTCGACCGCGCAGGTGTTGCTGGCGGTGTCCGTGGTGGCCAACTTCTCAGTTGCATCGAGCGGGGCCTGGTTAGTGCCCAGGTTCACGCGGTCCAAGTGCTTGAAGCGGAGGAAGGCCGTCCGATCATAGCGTTCCATGCACCAGAAGAAAATACCGATTGACAGCAGGGCGAGCAAAGGGGAAGACCGTCTTCAGCCGGAAGAGAGGCATCTTGACGGTATTAGACGACGATTTTTCCAACATGTACGTGAGGGTCGGTGACGAAGAGGAGGGTGGCGATGGGGCGCCCTCGAATTAATTATTCTCAATAGACGGGCGTGGAAGCGAAATCGTGGATTCCGTGGAAATCGGTCGGGCAGCTGAAGCTGATCACAGCAATACGAACGGGCCAAGAGTAGTTGAAAAGAATGGCAGGCAAGTCAGATGCCGGAAAGTAACGAGAGGCTGGCAGCGTCGGGACCCGCGACACGGTCGAAGAGGGGGTGTAGAAGGGGGTGGAAGAAATCAGTTCTAGATCAACGCGGCTGGACAGTGCGTCCAGGGCGAGAGAGAGAGTTCGATGGAGGTTGGGAGAAAGGGAAGAGGGGAGTCGTGAGGGAAAAAAAAAGGGAGGCAGTCAAGCAGTTAAAGAGAGTTGGCAGGGTTGAGGGGGGAGAGCACACTCGAGGGAATGCGGTATCGTATTACCATGACGTGTATTTTTGAGATCGCACTCCGTTTGCAGCACTTTATCGTCAGTCAACTATATCATGAGTCTCGTCGGACTCCGATACATGGGTTTTGACATTGTTGACACTTGTGATTTACTTCTCTTGCACACACCCTTAGTATCCCTTCTTCGTTGGTTTGTCTCTCGAGTCTGCTTTGCCGTGTTGATCACGTTGGAATGCTGGGTACTGGCTTGCTAAGTGGTCCTCGGAGAGGATCATCCCATCCCATGGAAATACGTATCAGAATATTCCTAGAATCCCGCCTATCGCTTGGGTCTCCCCTGTTCGCCGGCGCAATGGTCTACTTGGCATTTTGGATAGGAAGTTATCTCGGGTGCCCATCCTTTTAAAAGACGGCGTTAGGATGATCGCTTGCATCCAGTAGATCCGAATCCGGGACGGCGGCTGCATTACTTTGAAAATCCAGATCGCCAGGTTCGTTTGAACCGGCTCTCGAATGCGACGGAGGACGGTCCGGTTCGCTGCGAGATCAATCAGAGAGACAGTGTGCATCCCCATGCTTGCTTTACGGGGAAGTACATCGTACACCATGGAAGGAGTCCCCGGAACCCCGATCATGATGATGTCTTACGCATCGTGTTTATCGATCACGTCACGACTGCCTTGCTGCGCGTGCACCGTAGAATTCACGTTGATATGATCATTGTGTACACAGAGATGCACTGCGAAGTATACGGAGAACACAACTGTAAGGGTTTTGGTAATGACATGACAATAAGGAAATGATTTGAAGGTCGATCGCTCTGGCGTCCAGCCGCCCTAGCCAGTCAGCAGCCCGAGGGAGGGGCGGTGGTGGTCTGCCCTGCTCCACCGACGCGTGTCCCTTGAACAAGATCGGGTGTTTTCTTTTCTTAGTCGATTGCCACTGAGGGAGTCACTGGAGAAGGCTTACGAGTCCGATTCAAGATTCAAGACTCAAGACCCTACGACTCAGCTGCAGGCGCAGGACCCTGGAAAGCTTACTATATCGCTCTCCCTTCTTGGTGGCAACAGGACACCGGGTCAGCCGTGGTCCGACCATGTAGATTTTAGTGGACCTCAGATCGACACTGGAGCCATTTCCTTTTCTCAAGGCTCAGGCCGTCTAGTTTCCGCCTGTGCGGATTCTTCAAGGGCGATGAGACAGCTGCGTCATAACTATCGTGGTGTTGGACATACATTGACCCTCTAGCCCGGTGCGATGTTTCAGATACCACCGCGTGGGGAAGTACTTCGGTGTCAACGGGTCAAGGCTCTGGACAGGCCGACGCGAGCGACATGCGATATGAGTTTAACCTTAACATGAATGGTCCGGGTCCTATACGCTACAGCATACAGCGATGGAGGTCTGCAGGCACCCGCGAAACCTCAGGAGCCTTTGATATCCCGGGGTTTGCGGTGCCCAACCTGTTCAAAACAGCTTACGAAGTTCCCAGCCTCCGCGTCTCAGCGTCTCAGCGTCTCAAAGGCGCATAGAATTGAATACTGTACGTTTAACTTAAGCTCAGTACCGTCTTGGCGATGCGGTCACCGTTGAGACTAGAGACTAGTCAAATTGAAAATAGGGGGCGCAGCAGAGGTGTAATTTATTTCTATCACGGACCCTGAAAACGAGCGTGTCCGGTTCGGTGGATCTTGTCAACCGCGCCCCTGATCGCCTGTCCCTTTCGGGCTCGGATCGCTGCAGTCCACTCATGGAACTTTCCAAAGGAGGAGGATGCCAGCCGTTCTCGACGGTGGGCCTCATACTTTGCGCCTTGATGGCGCAAACCCGGAAAAAGCTCTCAACAGCTAGTGCATTGGTGCAATATACTGTATGGCCATCCCGGACGCTGATTGCGCAGGGTCTGCCCCATACTGTATACAGTATGAGCCCCATGCATCCTGTTCCCCTTTTAGTATGTCATTTTGGCTGCGGTGTGCGGACGTTCAGGCTTGCTGAGCATCTGATTTGTTGCACCGAAGAAATTCAATTCGAAGCTCACCTCGGGCCTGACCTGGATGAGAGGAAATGCAACGTGCCGCATATTCCGCGGGGAGTCATATCCCAATGAATGATCAACCGATCATCGGGGCTAAATCAGCAGATGTTCAGGATCCAGAACGACGTCCGGCAGATTGATTGGGCCGAATTGACTAAGGTGGTCAAGGAATTTCCAAGTCATGTACTTTCCCATGCATTTTTTCTTTCCCATGAAACGCGCTATGGCATGAAAATTAGATGCAGGGTTTCTCGCGTTGCACGATGATCGGTGACATGTCCCCCATCCTTCGCTTCGGTACGACATGTCGAGCGGCTGGAATCGCCAATTCGGATCCCTGTGACTTGCACGGTCTCACAGAGATCATGCTTCTCGGCCTATGCCTATTAACGGCAGCGGGTCCATGTGAAGCTTGATCCTCCTGGGAATGACGGACGAGAACTGAATATAGTATGGGAGATTCGACTTGCTTCGCATAGATATCAATCGATGGACCTAGATGTTAATAAATCCAACCTTGAACTTTTGAGGCACGGTATGTTCCCCATCTACATCTCAACACAGACGAGACTTTTTGACACCTTCAGAATCTTGGAATGAATTCAGACAAGTGCCCACCTGGGCAACAGATCCACCAGGGCTGGGTATCGCGATAACTATTTCGAGACACCTCGACACCTAAGTACTTGGATCGCTCCTCATCTCCAAAAACTACGCCTCAAAACCATGGAGCCTGAATGATAGGTTCAAGAACCTTGCCTCATATCATGTTGATAACAGATTAAATACCCTCGCTCCCTGTGCCTTCATTTCATCGGGGCCCCACTTCAATTTGGGGACCTGGCCATGAAGACTACGGGAGCCACCATACCCTGATATGACCAAATCTCGTTCTCCGGTATTACATGCAGAGCCCAGCCAATTTCCAGGTGTCCATAACCGACGCTGATTATGGCACGTGTCCCTCTACGGCGCTACGGAGCCCGCTAAGAGCAAGCCTAAGCTCAGACTGGCGGTTCGGATCCCGTTCGGACAGTAGCTATGCTTGTTTGCTCCACTATTGTCTAGGATAGCTCTGAAGACGCCATGTTGCTCGCGTCTGGTCTAGTGAAGTGGAGCGACATTGGCGTAGAGTTAGCCATTTCAGGACACCTGGTCCAGGTGAAATGTTCCGAATATTAATTCTTAAAAAAAATCCAGGTGGAAACACACGAGACCGATGTTAATTGGGAAGATGCAGTAGTTAACATTTTTTTAACACATCTGATGCCAGGCTGTCTGCAAACTTGTACAAGGCAGATGGCAATAGAAGCGGGTATATCATGGATACTATGCTAAAATTATTCGTCGGATGCATCGTCACGATCAACAAAGATCATAAAATCGTCATGGTCTACCTCGTTTCCTACGATTCGAGTCCAAGCCTCTTTAACTGTATCGACAGTGTCGTCCTCGAACGCCAGATCAAGGCTCGAAGGCGGGAAGCTGAAGACATGAGGCGAATGGGTGTGAAGACTCGGCGGCGTACCGTCGGTACTGAGCCGACCCACTTGATTGTACCGCATGGACCAGAGCACCATGGCCTGAGGACCCTCAGCTCGAAGCAAACGGTCAACCGCGCACTCAAGGAGCGTGTGGCCTTCAGGCCCGGGGAGTGATACACTACCATAAATAATACCTGATGACACTATGTTAGCAATTGTGCGATGGAAAGTGCCAATGAATCTCAAATTGAGGGTATGCTCGTGATCAGTTATAGATAGAATGGTTTCATCAATGCAAATCAGGCAATGTAGATAAGTAAAGAATAATCATCATGCGAGCGGAGGGAAGGGCAAACGACACAATCGACTGGGGATGAGACTTACTTTGTTCTCGTGGACAATCGCCGGTGTCACTCGAGTGAACCTGGAGGTACACCGGCGGGGATTGAGGACTGCCCAACGTGTCACCCGGAAACATGAGGACCGTACTGGCAGCCATCGGCGCCCCTTCAACCGTGATGGGGAATAACGAGGCTAGACTTGAAGAGACAACAGTGATGGAACGCGCGACCTTGGTGGTGGGCGACAGCTGCTCCTTCTCAGAGAGCTCCCAGGTAGAGCCAAACACCACCTTGCTTCGCACGGACTCCCCGTTGGACAACTGCACCTCAACAGGGTACTCAGCCTCTGCCGTCACATCTCCGTCTGTGATTGATTGGATGCCGGTGCCAAGTGCATATACACCACCACCGACTGCCGATGCCCGGCAGGCGACTTGAAGAATTTCAAAGGCGCTGCCATACTTTGCCACTACGGCTCCAAACCCGGGCCCAAAAGCACCAATTGACGAAAGATGCCTCTTTACCCGAGGAACGGCGTAATATGCAGATGTGCTCTGTTGTGAAAGCTGAGATAGCGACAGCGACAGCAGGGGAGCATGAAGATCCTGAGGAACACTGAACTTGGAAGACAAATATTCTCCAAAGGGCATAGACATTTCTTCTTCTGTTTCAACGTCACCCTCGTCTTTCGATTTGCTGATGTGCCGCAGGAACCGCATCAATGTCCTCTTCGATTTCATGCTGATATGGGTATCTGCAAAAATGTCTTCGCGATTACCCGGCACGCGATGGAAAGTCCGGGTAGCACCGAGGTCACGGTTCTCAGCATTGTGATTCTCAGGGGAGTGAATCCACCAATTTCCGACAGCCATGAACTCCAGCTGACGGTAGACCTTGGAAGATATCAAAGTAGAGATTAGTTGCGAGCGGGTGTAAAGGAAGTATGGGGAAAGGGAAAGAGTGTAGGCCCGGCTGGCCGCAAGGCTCGCGTGGGTTTCCGGTATGCCTGCCGGACGTGGGCTGCTCTCGGAGCCGTCTAGGAGGGTAGTAGATTGCGGGGAGTCTTGGGGATGCTGAAAAGTGGAAATCTTGACATCTTCAAAGGGAGACTGTCCACTTTGATTGATACCGTCCATCCAGTCCTGGGCCTCATCTAGGCTGAAAGCAGCCTCGGAACTACCATAGTATGGGTTCCGATCCAAATGGAGGATTTTCTTTCCCGATCGTGAGAGGGCTCTTGAAAACGAGTCAGCGACATCGTCGAGCCCGAACTCAGAGGGAATCACTCACAGCGCCAGGAGGGATTGGGCAAGCCCTGTCCCCGCAATGATCACATCCCACGGTGTCTCTGACAAGGTTTCCATGTTGTCAATCAGAACCAAGGTTTGATCTGCAGCGCGTGAGTGTGTAAATTACAGAGAGATGCAGGCCCAGCTCTCATAGTTTTGGGTCAATGATCAAAGATCTTTCAAGCGTCTCCAGCTATCCGGCTGGAGAAACCTTTTCAGTCCGTGGAGTGGAGAGCTTCGAGCGGAAAAAAGAGAAGAAAAAACGCGCCGAGCTTTTTCTGTGGGAAAGCGGTCAGCGCAATAGCAGCTATACCGCGTTTGGCCCTAGTGCGCAACGACTATAAACCCCAACCGAGGTGCTGAATAACCTCTGGAAATCCTGATTAGCCTAGTGGTTGCTACTTGGAAATGACTAAGATCGCCGAAAGCAAAATCTCGAAGTCTAGAGCTTACATCTTCGACAACAGCTGTTCACAGTCGTTTGAGACGCATCTTGCCCGAAGTTGATCTTGCCTTTCAGCTTTTGGCTCATCTCATAACCTTCTGCGTCTTCCAAAAAACCCCTATAGACAGCGATTGGTGTGTATGGAAAGCTGCTCTACGCAGTGTGAGAGATAGACCAAATTTAAGTCGGAAAGAGCAACTTACTACATCGAAGACTTGATCGGGGGTTTCACTTTCAGCGCAAGTCAATTATACAGGGGGCACTGCATCATGCCGAGAGATAAACCTTGAGACCAGCCCATTGCCTGATCACTGGTGTCACTAATGATCTTTGATTCGAATGTGAAGATAGCACAAGCAAGAACGAGAAACTGGCCCTCAAAGCTACTCGTTACAATAGAGACCAGTACACTATAGCCCCACAAGTTTGAAGCCCCAATAGAAAGCTTTTGACACTACTTGATTCAACAGTATTGGTCACTGTTGCGCGGATAGGATGAATTGTCGCGTGAGCCTGGATGTACATTGCTTAAAAATCGCAACTATACAGGGTCTAATATCACCTACTTTTCGTCATGGAGGCCTTAAGTGGGACCCTAAGAGGTATTTTGTAAACTCACACATTTAGAGCAAGCCAATGTGTAGTCATATTTCCAGCCTCTACACCACAACGGGACGCCATAATTCGTAGTAAGCAGCCTAGAGCGAAAACGGCAAGCTCGCTATCACGTATTGAGGTAATTCACAGATTCAATACTGTAGTCAATATCATGAACCGTATATCTAGATGGCGTAGCCACTCAATTGACTTGGCTTCGCCGACTGTTTAAGCCTTATAGCATTGCATCGCACGATGCTGTGCCTCAGCTTGCTTCTACTATCAACCGATCAACCGATCAATACAGCATCATGTGACATGCTTACTAACCATACCACACAAAAGGAAAATTCGAAGGTCCAAGACTTCCTCCTCCACATGCCACTCCCAGTGGTTGCACAGACCGACTGCCATCTCATGGCAACCTCGGTTTTATGGCGAGGACCTTCACTGGAACACGTCGTGGGAGTGCTAGAAGAAAAGTCACTCTGTATCTGCTGCTCTGGATGAAAAATCTGATGGAAGCGGTTCGTTTTGTAGTGATACATTCATTTGCCTACAGTCAATGTTGATGGCGTCAATCCTTGGATTTAAGAGGGTTCGTAATTCGTATAGATGGGCACGAGCCCAAGGTCATCTCTGCAAGGCGATCAAAGGCTTTTTCAAGCTTCAATCGCGTCGGGTGCGCTCTGAGCCAGGTGGTATGCGAAAGAGCGCAATGCTCCCGAATCCTCGACGCAGGGATCTTTCTCTGAGGCATCGAACTACTTTTAAACTCCCTCTTTGAGGATTATGGAAGGCAATTGCGCAGCTTGAAGCCCACTTCACTCCGGCCCCTCTTCCACCACACGCGCCCGAATGATCTTCACTTCATCCATGGGCTTGTCCTCGCTGTTGGTCTTAACCAACCCCATGCGCTGAATGATGCGCATCCCGCTCTTGACTCGACCGAAGATCGTGTGCTTTCCATCCAGCCACGGGGTCGGCGCGAGGGTGACGAAGAACTGGCTGCCATTCGTATTGGGTCCGCTATTCGCCATGCTCAGAACACCAGCACCAGTGTGCTTCAGATTATCGTGAATTTCGTCTTCAAACTTCTCGCCGTAGATCGAGCTGCCTCCGCGGCCGGTGCCCGTAGGATCACCAGTCTGAACCATGAAGTTAGGGATAATGCGGTGGAAAATGACGTTGTTGTAGTAGCCTCGCTGTGCGAGAGTCGCGAAATTTTTGCATGTCTATAAGATCACAATTAGCTGGAGATCCTCTGCCATGAAGCGTAAGTTGCGAACCTTGGGCGCATGAGTGTTGTAGAGCTCCACAGTGAAAGAACCCTGCTGGGAGTCAGTAGTCATTCAAAAAGCAGGCGACAGCCGAAATTTACCATGGAGGTGTCAAATACCACGTCTGTCGCCATAATGAAGGTGTTCTGGAGGGATTGTTGCAAGTAGAGCAAAAGAAGAAGAAGAACAAGCTCGGAGGGCGGAAGCCGCCAAGTGGAGCTTGGAGCGGTAGCTTGAATCTCCGATCAAGCAATTTCTCAACATCCCACTTTACAATGGCCTGAGTCACTCTTTGAACCATCAGAGCCTCGACTACACTCCCTTGAATAATTAATACATTTAGACGCTTTTGTCATGTCCGACATCAGCCCTCTCGCCGAGGTGCTTGGACACGTGTGGTATCACTTCGACCGCATCAAGCCGCTCCTCCCCACGTACGGCCACCTACTCGTTTCTGCTCTGTTTCCCATGTATATTGGAGCCCATGCTTCTCTATCCAGACCCTCTTCCGCAGCAAAGCCTCCCAAGAGGGACACTGGGAAAACAGAAAACGATACTGATGATGAGGACGACGAGGGCGAAGACAATGGTGGCGCTGTTCAGAAGATGGAGGGACTTGAGCCTTCGGATGCGCTGATGTTCCCATTGACGGCAGGCCTCACGCTGGGAAGCTTGTACTTCGTGATCAAATGGTTGGAAGACCCAGCCATTCTGAACAAGATCCTCAGTTTCTACTTCTCCCAGATGGGCATTTTCTTCGCCGTCGCTTTCTTGAAGGATGCTCTGTTGATCTGGCGGTCGCTCCTTTTCCCAAAGTACTATCGCCATGGAGGAAAGATTTGGAAAGTTAAGCAATCCGAGCGCGCATTCACTTCGTTGGAAGAAGTTCGACTCTCACCACTTCCTGGAATCCTTGGTTCAATTCCTTTGCCATCGAAGGTTCTCTCTTTCCTATGGGCCTGCCGCAATGCTTCGTACCAGCGACTCAAGCTCAAACTTCACGTTAAGCATGTGATTGATGTGAAAGGACTTTTTGGACTCCTCGATCTATTCAGTGCAATCATCGCTCTTATTGCCGTGGGATACTTCGCATTCATTACTAAGCCTTGGTGGTTGACCAACTTCCTTGGATTCAGCTTCTGCTATGGCGCTCTCCAGTTCATGTCGCCATCGACCTTCTGGACTGGAACACTGATTCTGGGGTCTTTGTTCTTCTACGACATCTATTTTGTCTTCTTCACCCCAATGATGGTTACTGTCGCTACAAAACTGGATGTTCCCATCAAGCTTCTCTTCCCGCGTCCCCCTTCTCCCGGGGAAGAACCAGATGCTGTATCACTGGCTATGCTGGGGCTAGGAGACATTGTGATCCCGGGCATGATGGTTGGCCTTGCGCTGCGATTCGATCTCTTCCTTTACTACTTCAAAAAAGGCGCTCAAAAGGCACGCGCTGAGGGTTCGACCCTGGAATATGTCAAACCCAAATACCAACGATCGACTGGGGCGTGGGGAGAGCGATTTTGGGCACCGACAATCGCGTCACAGGAGCCCGAGCTCCAGCCTCCATACCACGACGCGAGATCTTTCCCCAAGACATACTTCAAAGCCAGCCTTGCTGGATATGTTGTCGGTATGGTCGCCACGCTACTTGCCATGCAATACTCAAACCACGCACAGCCTGCGCTTTTGTACCTTGTCCCCGGGGTCTTGTCATTCCTCTGGGGTACTGCGCTCATTCGCGGAGAAATTAACATAATGTGGCACTTCTCTGACGCTGAAGAAGAAGATGACGAGGGGGAAAACAAAGACAAAGATCACTCCAAAAAGCTAGATGCCGACAAGGAACCTACCACGTCTGAGCAGAAGAATCTCTTCACGCGTATTCTGTCTGGTGACCTGAAAGCGCTCATATTTAAGGATGAGACCTCGGACAAGGAAAAGAGCAACGACAAGGCAAAGGCTCCGGACAAGACGTCCGAGTCGGATACGAACAAGGAGACTGAAACACAAGACGGATCGGACTTGGTCGTTTTCTCAATCTCTTATCCCCTCAAGCCCCAAGCTAAAGTCAATTCTCACTCTGAAGCAAGCAAGATTGGAGAGAGCAATGGATCAGTGAGCATCCCGGGGGATGGCAACCGGGACGATGAGCCACCAGTGAAGAGGAGACGGGGGACACCTCGCAAGGCATCCATGCAATAAATGCACTCCGTTGGGGTCCGTGAAATCATCAAAAACCGGCGTTTTGGAAAATTGGTTAAACTAATGTAACGATGTATGATATGACAGTGTTTCGGTGCTTTAATTCTTTCATTGAGTCCAAATTTTGCTCATCAATTACCAGCTCAGTGTTGTATTGCCACAAATATTGTCAGGGTTAAGATTCGGGCTAGCACAGTGTTAATCAGACATGGTATCATATTTGTCATATTCTAGCATTGATCGAGTATACGCTTCATCTCATCCCATCGTTGGGCCGAGATATCAACCAGCTGGCGGAGGTCTTCGGTATCAACAGACCAGCCTCCGTGCTTCTCCATCTTCAAAATCACATTCTTTCCATTCTTGGCTTTGTCAACAACGAGAGTGGCTCTCTCCTGACTCAATCCCTCCTCATAGCCATCCGGATCCGCAAGAATCCACCTCTGCTGGGGACCCTTCTTCCGCTGCTCCTGGGTTTTCTGGTCATCAGCATCCGGAATAACGACCGCGCGCCACCCAGCCGCAGCATCAGCCTCAAAGACACAGAATGAACTGGCCACGGGCAGGCCGCGCAGGGAAAGCCTGCTAGCTTTGGAGATGTCGTCTGAGCAGATGATAGTCTCGTTATCAATATCCCACCAAGCCCTGGGAAGCTTGGTATCACGTAGAGCAGCCAAGACAGCAGCCCAAGCAGCGTCGAATGGGTTGCCCGCAAGCGAAATAATCATGACATCGATATAAAGGACCCAGAAAGCCTTAATTTCTGGAGGGCTGCTCTCTTCAGAGCCCTGTCCAGCGTCGATCTCCATGTGCTCGCTTTCATTATGCCGTTCCAGAGCCTCCGAGCCGAGATTCGGTGGCTGGTACCAAATACGCAGATCATCCGCCCGGATGAGACGTGTGCTGTGCAAAAGGGAGAGGATCTGGTGTGAAAGTGATTGAGCGAGCGCAGAAGGTGGGGCACCAGGAGTGAAGCCCGGCGCACAGCCGGTGCTCAAGGACAGATTGGGAACGAGCAAGTTCAAATCTTCAATGTGTTCGCGGTCCTCCTCATTCTCCTCCCGATCATCCTCTTCGTCTGTCGTCTTCTCGCCGAGGCGGCGGCGTTTGTTCGAGTTAGAAGCTGAGGAGGACGATACGCTCCATGAAGCGATGTCATCTGTGTGTAGGATCTCGGCGCGAACACCACAGACGGCGGTCGTATCGCCAACGCGCACCACGGCGCTGCCATTTGTGTGCGTCAGCGAGCCTGCATTGGCGGAAGTGACACGGAACTGGAAAGGAGTGCGGCCATTGGCGCGGATGGAGGGCTGGTTGCTCGCTGGAGGAGGGGAGAGGTGGGCAAGAAGATAAGCATGAGGTTGAAGGCGAGCGAATTGAGAAGGTGGTAGCGAAAGAGATGGTGGTACCGAGGTTGCAGCATTTGCTGCAGGGGTCACCATTATGAAGAGCTGTGTATTGGCAAGCTAGGTCGTTTCGATCGCAGATGAAAAAGCAGCATCGCCTGGCAGAATAATTTCCCTATCAAAGGCGGTATGTCTCTCGGACTGAGGCAAAAATCTCACGTGAGAGGAAACAACAGAGCATGTCCAACACGCAACACCTAGTTACTCTCTTTGGAAAAACCCCTCATTGCAAATCTCATCCGCCGACCCTCACTTTCACAATACATTTAAAAAGCCTATTTGAATGACGGTAACTCCCCAAATTTCCATCTGCTTCGTTTCTGGTTGAAAGCGGGAGAGTTGCTCTTAAAGCTTTCGCTGTTCTGAATGCTGCTCGTCCCACCTAGAACAAAGTAGCGTTCGTCTCCCCTGCCATCTACCCTATCTGGAGTAGATCCGCGTGCCGAAGCTCGCAATTTGATGATGGGGGTGAAGAAAAAAAAAGAACAATGATGATGATCCTCCTAGTATACCCAAATCCCACTCTCGCCCACTGTCCTCCAATGTCACCACCCAGACATTTTCCCGGTAGGCATGCAGAGTAGTCACCTCGAGAAGCACCAAACATTTAAAGTGTGTAATTTGTATGAGTTCCCCTTATCATCCAGGATTTCTTGAAGTGCATCTGAAGTCGTTAGATGGCTATGGAAGTCTAGGGATCTGGTTCGACGAAGCTGGGGTCATCACCTCTCCATAATTCAAGACATCAGCACAACCCACCTGAAGTATCGGAAATATTCGAATTTTTGAGCTCTACATGAGTGATGACGTGCATTCAGAGTTATCGCATTCAGAGTCCCGCTTCCAACGAACTATTTCGGGTCAAAGTGAGAATGTTTCTATTTCGACACACCACGCACCATGATTTTATCCGAGCAGACCTACACAGAGGGGAGCTCGAGGCAGGCTGAAGCGACCTCCACGCTAATGCGGGCCGATCACCGTTCCATCACCGCTGCAACTATGGACATTCGGCATGATTGGCTCTGTCGGCGCTAGACCGTCACCCCTCACTGGATAGCTTAAGAGACTTGACCTCCACACGATGCGGTCGCCCAGGCGAGACGCCCGCCGTGCCACGCAGTGCCACACCGTGGTTGATCACAAGTACCTGGTCTTCGATTGGTTCGGCGCAGGTCAGCATGCAGTCTCAAGATACATCCCATCACAGCGCGAGTTCTCGAACTTGTGTGACCCCCGCTCAGTGCCACTTCTCATACATCTATGCGGGTCTCCCCTGGGAGGATTTTCTCCGTTTCCCGTGACCTCAATGAGCTTGGCCCATATAGAGAACTCGAAGCGAGCTCTTCTCGAGCGAAGATCATTCTCGAGCAGCTGAAGGGTAGGTTGCACGCTGCGAGAACTGCATGTGCTGCGGAAACTCAACCGCTCGAGATAGAGACAGGAAACATACTCACTGAACCAAATCTCGTGTGCCAACATCTTCCATCATGCGGGACGCTACCTCTCTCTCGTCAAGCGAGTCAATATCGTCGTCTCGGCCTCGCTGACCAAGGCCGAACTTGCGGAGTCCCAGCGCGATCCTTGGTCACAGTCAGCCAAATATGGATATGGATTCGTCTACTTTGCCGTCATACTGCTGGTCATCACGTCTCTCATCCGATTCTGGCATATCTGGGGCGATAAGATGCGGATTGCCTACTTTAGGGAGAGCCGACCTCAGATACACCCCAATACCTCCATGTGCAACGATGAGTACGAGCTCCCTAGTGCTGGCACGGATGCTTCGAGCGCACACTTCTTCCCAGCTCAAATGGCCATTGCGCCGCCGAAAAGACGCGAGTCAATATTTCAACGGATCATCCCATTGCAGAAGGTGATCGCACTCATGCGCTGGGTATTCTACCGACCAATTCCGGTGGTCAGGGTCGGAAAGAACCAAATTGTGTTCCCTTCTCTGGCAGTGACAATAATCGTGTTGATCGCGTTGATCTTCGTGACTCTATACTGCTTCGTACCACAACCGTTGTATTACTGGTCCATCGCTTTGGGATCACCTCCATTAGCCATCCGGGCGGGCATGCTTGCAGTGGCCATGGTCCCGTGGATTGTTGCACTCGCCACCAAAGCAAACTTCATCACAATGCTCACTGGATTAGGTCCCGAGCGACTGAACGGACTTCACCGCTGGTCCGCCTATATCTGTCTCTTTCTGTGTCTTGTGCACATGATCCCGTTCTACATAACTCCGATCTGGACGGATGGAGCCATGATAAATTATACGAAGTTTGTCAACCTACCTATGTATGCGTATGGCACCGGTCTCGCCGCAGCCGCTCCTCTGTTCGTGCTTTGCATTCACTCGCTTCCGTCTATCCGCCACTGGATGTACGAGTTGTTCATTATCATTCATATTCCAGTATCCTGGATATTTGTCGCGATGTTATTTTGGCACACGAAGAACTATCTCTCCTCATGGGGGTATCTCTGGACCACGGTGGTGATTTGGATCGTCACCTACGTCATTCGACTGTTCTATCTCAACTGGATGAACCCATTCCGGATGTCTTCTTTCATGATCGGAGAGGAGTCTGCCATCACACTTCTCCCACAGGGTGCTATCAAGATCACAGTCCCCACACAAATGCGCTGGCGACCGGGCCAGTACGTCTATCTGCGCATGCCGAGGATCTCTTTTTTCCAGAGCCATCCCTTTACTATTGCTTCTCTCTGCAGCGACGACTTCCCCTCTGCATACGGTGAGAAATACCGCGATTTGACCCTCGTCTTCCGACCCGCCAAAGGGTTCACTCGCAGAGTCTTTGAAAAATACTTGGCGAATGGTCCTTTCAGGACCTATACAGCGCTTCTTGAAGGACCTTATGGTGGCATGCAGCGGGAGATGTCTGCATTTGACGATGTAATCTTCTTCGCTGGAGGAAGCGGTATCACTGCGATTGCTAGCCAGCTGCTGGATCTGATCAAGAAGATCCGCGATGGTAAGGCTGTCACTAAATCAGTCAAAGTCATCTGGTCCTTGAAGACACCCGAGACAATGGAATGGTTCCAAGAGGAACTTCGTATTTGTCGAGACCATGCGCCTTCCAGTATCGTGCATTGCCACTTCTTCCTCACCGCAGTGACCCAAGAAGGCCAGCAAGGGCGAGACTTGGTCCAGGAGAAGATTTCCGGTATTTTGCAGGGCATCGACAAGCGTAACTCTGCCTGGATCAGGGAAGAGGCCGCCGGTGACGCGGAGAGAGAAAAGGAGCTGCGCCGCGAAAATGAGGACGGCCTCGCTGCTCTCCCAGGCGCATACACTGCCCCTCATGCTGCTACCACCCGCCACTTTAGCCAGAATCCTTACGCAGGACAACCTGGAGCTAACAATGTTCCTTTCGACTTTGGATTCAACGGCCCACAGCCCGTGTCCCAGAGAGTCACACCGCGCTACGCGGTGTTCCAACCCTCACAACGAAGAGAAAACTGGAGGACGGATTACTTCCGTCCCAATATCCCCGAGATGCTCAACGGGTTCTCGAAGAACTTCGCCGACGTGCCTGTGTCTTCGTATGTGGCCCACCCAGCATGCGTATCGAGGTGGCCAACACGGTGGCCAAGCTCCAGGCGCAAGTGATGCTAGATCCAAGCAGAGATGAGATCTTCTTGCATGCGGAGAATTATAATATCTAAGTCGGCGAGTTTCTTATATTTTTCATCCTATTTCTGGAGCTTTTGGTCCTCACCACTTATACCCTTGGCGTTTTCCAACCTATCTTCCTCAATGCTGTGCATAATGCATCACAGAATTCTACAATGATTTCAGCTCATTATATATACCTCTTCAATACCTATTGTCCTATGGATACTAGGATGTCAAAGTAGAGAGCCGCACGTGCATTATAAATGGAATTCATTCTATCTGATGTAGGGGGGTTTTTCAATCCACTGGGTATTCAACAAACATCTCGCGACATGGCACATGTTCGAACGCACCTCGCACCGCTCACCTGCGTTGAGGTTGCTTCTCCTTCTCCTCCTCAGCCTTGCGCTTTCTCGAAGGCTTTTCCTCTTGCGAGTCGCCTAGAAGCTGAACACCATGATCCCCCTCTTCTCCATCCTCCGCTTCGACCTTCTCCCAGTCGTCGTCTGGGGTTGAGCTTTTCTGATCTTCTGTACACTCGGGCCTCTTCTGTGCATCATCGTAAGGCAAGTCCAGACGGACAATTCTCGCACCAGAGGGCTTCAGTCGTCGGTAATATCCCTCCACAACACCATCTTGAATCTTGAACCCACGCGCAACATACCACGCAAGTCCATCCTCGTTCGCTTCGTGGACATGCGCGGTCACAGACCGTATGTTGTAATGCTTGACTAATTCGGAAATACGGCCGCGTGATTTAGATTTCGGCGGTGTTTCGAATAGCAGGGCATTTAGTAGTGCTGCGGCCACACCTTGGCCACGGTAAGGCGAGAGCAGATGGAGAGTCTGAATGTAGAGATTTGTCGCCTCATCTTGTGCCTCTTGCGGCGAATTTGGTTTCTCCAAGCGACAACGAATCCCCCCCTATGACTTTATCTGATCCTACAGAGGAAGCAGACTCTGGTACAGCGGCGACAGGGTGGTCATGATAGATTGCGACGCGTGACAGAGATGCGATTACCGGGTCCGTGATGGTTGCTGTGTAAAAGGAATTTGGGTAACGTATGGGTAGAAGCAGCCCAGTAATACGCGCTAGGGATGGTATATGCCTGTGCCCACCGTTTCTATCGTGACGTGAGGGTGAGGAGTGGCATAGCCCACAGGAATCGCATGCGGATATGGCGTGTATTCGTCTTGGCCGCCCTGATTTGATCTCGTAGCGACCGCGGGAGGCGGCTGAACTCGAGGAAGATGTATAGAAGGATGCGCCGGACGTGGAGGAGGAGATGCAATAGGCGTAGGAGAATTACTATTAGCAGGACCCGACGGTCTGCCCTGGAAGAACTGGTAAGCCATGGTGAAAGAAGAGTGCGGAGATGCGATAAGAGATAAGCTTAGGGAACAACTTGCTCCAGCCTCTTCTTTCTCATCCTCCCGGAGAGCGGAGTTGTGACGCGAAATCAACTGGTCAGTTCTATTCTTTCGTTTCCTGTTCATGTTTATGTTCAAACTGCATTTCTTCCTTCTTGTCCATCCCCTTTGACTTCCTCCCCCTTATGGTCACTTGCGCTCGCATCCCGAGGGTAACCTCCACAGCATCCGACATCCGAGACATAGTGCATTCACTAACTTGCACTCGCCACAGACACTTGCTTTCCTTCGTTGAAAACGGGTCACCGAACACCGGCTTTGAAGTCCCTGGGGTCCCCACTCCATATTTCTATCGGTTCCATCTCGACATCGCTGCACCTATTGGTATCTCCCTGCATAGATTTCCGGCCTATGGAGAAGTAGACCGCGAACTGGCGCGAAGAGGGATCTGACTGCGTCGCGGGCAGACAAAGCTGTCGGCCATTCAGGAACGGACCAATCGAGGGTGACATCTCTGGACGACTCCGAAAATGGCCGACTCCACCAGCAGGCCGAGCTATCCTGCCGGGACGATCGCCAAAGTGGTATGTAAATGGGTATCAGTGGCTTGGAACTTGCTGGACCAGCCTCTAACTTGACCTACTAGTCAACCGACATCCTGAATGAAACCTTTCACAACATCATCCATGACCTGGTCGCCAAGGTCCACCGCCAGGAGAAGATGGCGCGGATGCGCTCCGCGGTGGTAATTGCCAGACAAAAGGCAGAAGAAGGGGCGACGGTACCAGAAGAAGCTGGCAGCAAGTCAGTGGTAGATGGCAAACCCCGGGAAGTCATCATAGATGCGAATAAACTAGCAAGCACGCGCCTGGAGACGGACGCCGCCATCTTCGACCGCGGGAAAGTACTTCTGAAAGGAAACCCGTTACATACCGTGAAGGAGATTATCTGCCCGGACTGCCGTCTCCCACGCTTATCATATCCTCCAGTGGGCGCGGGCTACAGACCTCCCCCCGACTTGAATCGTGAATATTGTCAAAATGGGCCCCTAATCACGCTACCCGGACACGACGTCCATGGCAAAATGTTCGCGGTGATGCCAAATCCAAAGAAGCGCAAGACGGAAAAAGACAGCACAATTCCCGAAGTTCCAACCAGCAAATGCCCTATCTGCCCCCGATACTTCGTCATGAACCGAGTAGCCCAGCATCTAGATCGATGCATGAACATCTCCGGCCGCGGCAGCAGCACGCGCAATAAAACACCCACAGACAGTGGAGCCAGTGGTGCCAGCAGCCCAACCTCGTCGGCACCGAAACGGCCACATAACGATGACGACGAGGGCAGCCCAAGCCCAACAAAGAAGAAGAAGCTCAATTCGAGCAAGAAAGGCTCGACGAACAAGCCCGGGCCTAGTAAGCTCAAGCAATCATTTACAGCAGAGGATGACGAGGACATTAAGAGCGAAAACGGGGATTGAGAGTCATATCGAGAGTTCTAGGACAATGCTGTCATCTTGGTGTCTTTGGCGTTATTTGCTTCTTTTGCTTTTCTTTCATTCACGGCGTCTTTTGGTGTGGCCCCATCTACACAGAATTTGCATAGATGACGATGATGATGGCGAGGGGAATAGGATTTGTACATTACTTTCACACCATGCAATGTGCCGTGTTTTAACACTGTGTTGTGAATTTTCAATTGAGTTTCTTTGTAGGTCTCCATCTCTCAACTCGGGGTGGACTAGGTATAAAAGCCAGCTAGAGTAGTTTCCACAAATGCCGTGGATACGGCTACTTCTGATATTGAAAGCCATTGTCGTCAAGGTAAAGGTTCCAGGTGCGAGACGAAATGATAGTTACACCCTTGGATCATTTCCGGCCGATTCAAGATGTCGAGCGATGCTCCTTCTTCTTCTCAAATATGTCATGGCGAGGTATTTGGGACCGGGGAGTTATTCCTTCAACCGATATATTCTTTAGACTGGTCCCCTTTATCATATTTGAGCCCCTGCATCTTTATCATCCGTCAAACAAAGCTGTAAATCAATGTTAAATCAATGTCGCCCCGCTCAGTACGAGGCAAGAAGTACAACAAGCTCTGAATGGGCTTCGACGTCGGTTGCCGAACGAGAGTCGGCTTACCCAGCAAGCCAATTTCCACAGAATATGTAGCAGCGCCCGCCCACGCGGATGCATTTATCCACGTTTCTGGATTAAAGCCCTCCACAAAGTTGAACTTGGTCTGTTCAGGTTCCCCCGCAATGGCCATTGCCACACTGCGAAGAAGATATCGGTTCCTGCTTCTCTGAATATCGTGACTTCTTTCGGGTCTTTTCTTACAGCGTTGCTTACTTTGTCCAATATATCTCACGGGGTTGATTTAGAAATCTCGAACAGCATGGGCAAAGTTACGGCCAGCTACTACGACACCAGTCATATCACCTACCCAGTCGAGCGGTATTCTACCAATGAAGCCTTCAGAAATAAGATGTGGTATATCAATCTATAATTGCTAGCAAAGTTAGACCTGCTACAACATTGAAAGCGTTGGAAATTGACCTGATTCTGAGAGCTCGTGATCCTTAGTTGGATGGGTAAGTGTGCACTTTACAATATCATCGATGAGAACTCTTTGCTTCTGATTCTACTCCTTTGAATTGTTCTAGATCTTTCAATCCTGTCATGTAGTGTGAAAGACCGGGAATGAGTAGGGTCGGGGAATGTAAAGGGTATAGTTCCGCTTTGATTTCCTTGTGGGGAGCTCCACCTCAACCTTTTCTCTTTCGCAACCATGTCTGACCTCACAACCTGGGCTACGCCTCGGCTGAGCCAGCTGCTCCCGCTGGATGAAGAATCATTAAAGCAAGTCATCGAATACTCGGCCAGTCTTTCGAAAGAGGCCTGTGCCGAGAACTTGAAAAGCCTGGTTGGCGATTCCCCCGCAGCTCTCGACTTTATCGCCTCATTTAATGCCCGTCGCGACCCCCGCCCGCGCGCCACATCTACACGAACCGACACCGCTAGCGAAAGATCGAAAGGGAGGAATAAAAAGGAGAAGAAGTCACTACACAATGCTGGCCCGCCGCGTCGACCAGACAATTACGGTGACGTAGGAGGTGGCTACATGAAGTCCAGAGCGGAGGAGGACTACATGTCCGCCAGCAAGTCGATCTTCAATACTCCCAACCTGCCTGTACCTGGGACCTCTGCATCATCTCGCCCGCAGCCATCCCCGGCCCCGGCTTCAGCCATCTCGAAACCGCCTCCGTCTGCTTCCGGGCCTGTCCTTTCCGATATGCTGCCAAATGTGCGATCCAAGACGAGCAAGCAGAAACAAGGCGGAGGCACAGTAGGTTCCTCAAAGGGTGGTGCAGCCCTCACAACCAACAACATCTCCGACTTGACGGCCGCAATTGCAGCATTGGAACTTTCGACCAACCCCACCAAGAGCACTGAAAAACGGAAATGTAACTGCTACGCTTCAATTCATCCGCTATTCGACCCAGCCCCCAATTGCGTCAAATGCGGCAAAATTATCTGTTCCCTCGAAGGCTTACAACCGTGCTCGTTCTGCGGCACACCACTCCTCTCACCCGAAGAAGTACAGGATATGATTAGAGAGCTACGAGAGGAGCGCGGTCAGGAGAAGATGCGAGCTCATAATGAAGGTGTTCACCATCAAGGAGGGCCGAAACCCACAGGATTCGGGTCCTCTTCTCCAGACAAGCTCGACGCAGCTAGAGCCCATCGAGACAAGCTGCTCCAGTTCCAAGCACAGAACGCTCGTCGGACCAGGGTCGTTGATGAGGCAGCCGACTTCGAGACCCCGAATGTCGCCTCAACGATATGGATGAGTCCGGCACAGCGAGCACTAGCACTGAAGAAGCAGCAGCGCATACAACGCGAGATGGAAGAGAAAGCTCGCCCAGATTGGGAGAAGAAGAAGACTGTGATGAGCCTTGATATCAAAGGCGGCAAAGTGCGGAAAGTGTATCAATCCGCACCGGTGGAGTTCACACCAGAGCCTCATGAGGCGGACTCGATGAATGTCGATGACTCCGAGGAAGCTCCGGCATCGAGGGGAGGTCATGCCTTCAGTCGCAACCCTCTTCTTGCTGCAGGCGGGTTGATGCGTCCAGTCTGGAAGGCCCCAACCGGCAAAAGCGTAGACGGAGCCGAGCGAGCGGAAAGGAAGCAAACATGGAGACGCGTGCAGGATGATAATGACGACAACGAGCAGTGGATTTTAGATGGTGGATTGCATGGAAACAACACATAGTCCTCTCGGCGCGTGGCTAAGCGAAGATGTCGATAATGCCAAGGACCCAATTTGGCCAACGCAGTTGTGCATCAAGGACCTGGATAGCACATTTCCCAGGATAACTACCAGGATAATGTCGTTTGTATAGTCAGCATGCATTACAAGGACAACAAAGCAGAGTGCTGCGCTCGAATGAGCAGCGGCTCCCGAGCATGACTCGGAGCATAGTGCAGCACTCCGAACTGCCTCAGTCGAGTCCCACTGTGGAGCAGTTGAGATACGTGATTACCCATTCGGATAATAGCGGTAGGCCGCGTTTAAGAAAACCCCCAAGAAGCCGCCGTGGGGTTTGAGGGGTAGCTGGGGAAAGGTCCACTCGAGGAATGTCCCATCTGCGCAGTCAAACACCCTCGATCATAGAACAATCGATCCTACAGCCTGATGATGTGTCACTTTAACCACATACTACGCGCCGGGTCTTATCGTAGACCATGTTCTACTTGAGGCATATCTCAACCGCTACAATCGGGGGGAAATAAAATACAATAACCAAAATAAGCATACGCTGCGAAGAATTTTCAGATAACCATCCACTTCACGTGAAAACCACATCGCTGAAACCGGAAAATAGCCGCTTGTATCCGTGACCACAAATAGAATGATCTAGTTGCTTTATCATCTTAGGTCTACCAGGTCACAAAACCCAAGTTTTATTGAGTCTATCGTCATTGAATCCGAAACACGGTTGGGCGCGGATATCTTCGGCGCAGTCAGTATATTAACACTCACCCCCATAACTTCGGACGATAAGCACCTGCGGATGACGTGAAGACAATCCAAGATGCTTATTGAACCAGTGGTGAAGAGTATGTCCATACAGGGACTAGCAATCGACCTGGCCGCGGTGCTGGGCGTGTTGGTATGTATTTGAGGCAATCGCAGGCCTGGAACATGTCGAAGATATCTAACAGCGCTCCAGACAATCGCCTATACACTTTACAATCGCTTTGTGCATCCGCTTCGACGCATTCCAGGGCCTTTTCTGGCTTCTGTTACACCATGGATCCAGCTGTACCATGGATTGAAGGGAGATCGGCATCTGTGGCTGCACGAACTACACAAGAAATACGGCACGCATGTACGAGTTGCGCCGAACTTCGTTTCGGTCAACTCGGACAAAGGACTGCATGATATCTATGGACATGGAAAAAGGTTGCAGAAGGCTGATTTCTATAATGCCTTCCCGGCGATCAAGGGCGTGTATAACACTCACAATGCGATCGACAAGACAATGCATGGGCGCAAGCGGCGAGTTCTCAGTCAGGCATTCTCAGAGAGTGCGCTGAAGGGCATGGAGGATGTGATGCTCTTGCATGTGCGACAGCTCTGTGCAGTCTTAGCTGGATATGACGAGAAGGACGAGAGGAAAGGCGATGATCGCAAAGGTGTCGTGCGCAACATGGGCAATTGGTTCAGCTATCTGTCCTACGACGTGATGGGCGAGTTGTGCTTTGGCAAGAGCTTTGACATGCTCATCGGAGATACGCGACGACACATGATTGGGCTGGTTGATCGCGCTGCGAATCGACACTATGTGGTGAGTACCAATACATCCTTGACTTTGAGGCAACCGCTGAACCTGTTCAGTGTGGACTGTGGATGCCTTTGGACCGTTGGCACCTCGATCAGATCTTTATTCGACGACTCACGCAAGACCGATGGAACTTCATCATGAACTCGCGCGTCGAGGCCAACAAGCGGGCTCAAGAACGTGCCCTGGCCGGTCGCGAAGCCAAGAAGGACTTTTTCTACTACTTGCTCAATGCCAAGGATCCCGAGACAGGCAAGGGGCTCAGCACGCCGGAGCTGTGGGGCGAGGCCAATGTACTCATGATTGCGGGAAGCGATACAACTTCGACTACACTGGCAGCTACCCTGTTCTACCTCGTTCGGTCCCCGGCTGCCCTGGCCAAGGTTTGCGCCGAAGTGCGCGGCGCCTTCACCGAGGTTGAGGAGATTGTAAGCGGCGCCCAGCTCAACGAGCTCGGCTACCTTAAGGCTTGTATCGACGAAGCTCTGCGCCTCGCACCGGCCGTCCCAGGTGCGCCACCGCGCGAGGTCATGGAAGGCGGAGCGGTCGTGGACGGCGTCTTCCTGCCTGCAGGTACTGACTGTGGCACACCTGTGTACTCGATCCATCGTCAGGAGCAGTACTACCGAGCACCGGAGGAATACATTCCAGAGCGCTGGATTGAGGGCGCCACTTGCGCAGCATCGGGTGCATCGTGGACCACTAGCAAGGAAGATATTGAGACTGCACGTCGCGCATTCTGTCCGTTTAGTATTGGACCGCGCGGCTGCATTGGAAAGAGCATGGCATTTATGGAGATGCGCTTAACGTTGGCGCGACTTTTCTTCCTCTTTGACATGTCGCTGGCAGACCGTCAAGGTGAGGATGCTGGGGGCCATTTGGCGTTGGTAGACCACTTTACCAGTGCGAAGGATGGACCAAACGTGGAATTCTCAAAAGTAGTTCCGACCCGACGATAGATTGGATATTCGGCCATGAAATTGAAATGAAATCAAAAACATGCAGTTGATTGATGTCAAGTCAAGATGTTCAAGCCGTCAAAGTTTGTAAAATTTGTATACAGTGTCAATTGTCAAATGTCAAATGTCAAAGGACCCTTGGCGATCGCGTCTTAGTCAGGCCACGGTTGCGCGTCTTGCCCTTGAACCCCCCTCTCCATCAAGTTCCAAGCGTCAAGATATCTTTGGATTCGGCGTCCAGCGCCAGATGATGTTCAGCCCTCACTCGTTATGCCCTCACAGCTAACTGTGACGCTCGTGCAATCGACCGTCCTCAATGCTCTCTCTAATATCCTGGCGCAGCTGATCGACCAGCGCAACAAGACAGTACGACTAACCCCCGAATGGCGTAACCCATCAGCTAACCATCGCTCAGGGCCCCTTTACTCTGAACACATTGGCACTACTTCAATTCGTGTCGTATGGCATCCTAGTCGTGCCAGTCAACTTCTACTGGCAACGCGCCCTGGAGGCGCGGTATCCAGGCTTCCCCTCACGGGCAGAGATCTCCAATCTGTGGCGCTCTCTTTCACTCAAGTCACTACTTTCATTCTCATGGCTTCGTTCATTCCTTTCTTCCATCCTGGGCACATCCCAAGAAAAGAACATCTTGCCCCTCCAAAAAGACAAGGAGAAATGGTCACCCGCGCGACACTCGGGACTCCATAGTTTCGTGATGAAATTCTTTTTCGATCAAACGCTAGCCGGTGCGATGAACATTGTGCTTTTCGTCGTTTTGATTAATCTTCTGAAGGGCGAGGGCCTCGGGCGTGTGTGGGAACTTGTTCTCTTGGTACGTGTCCTTTTATGTTCTAAGCCTTGCGGGCCCCTGATATGTGGAAGTGGAAGACTGATTTAAAATAGGATTTCCAACCGATCATGAATGCGAGACTGAAATATCGCCCGGTTGTGTCCACTCTCATGTATACGATCATTCCCGTGGATCGCAGAGTTGTCTTTGCGAGCGCGTGTGGCGTCATCTGGGGCATTTATCTTAGTCTTTATGCGGCGGTTTAATATGTTTTTATCTTCGGTCTTGGTACTCTTAACAGACATAGACTAATTAGAGTCCTCATTTGTCGTGCTCTTTGGGATAAAATCCATAATATGTAATCTCATTCATTTCTGGACTCGAATGACCTGGACCAACAAGGTATCTGAAGTTTCATCTGAAAACTGGAAATGATGTGAGAAAGGCCCCGGGGTGGGGGGGTGCTTTTACTCTATCAAGACTGAGATTAGATCGAGGAAATCTCGATGGCTGCAGTAACACAATTTTGATGATAGGAATCCCGGTCGGCAGGATACACCAAGGAAACCTTCTAGATGAGGGAAGAGTTGCCTGTGCAAGCTCAATGTGTCGAATACCTCCCAATATTACATTCTTTGCAGAGGCAAGGAACAAACACCAAGTCACCAAACCCTCAAGTTCTATACTGAAAGTGTCATCCACGGAAAGATCCTACGGGGAGGAGAGAGAGAGAGAGGGAGAGAGAAACCATCATGAGGACGTCAACAAGATGGTCCTTTCTCCGAATTTCTGGTATGCCGGGCGTAACCAGAGAACTTAAAATAAGGAGTTGAAGTCGGCATAGCGAAAAAGCGAATATTGTGGATGCTGTCTCGATAGGATACAATGTTAGGCTATAAACGCCGAACTCAGCGGCAATTTGGTCCATCTGATACAGCACGATTATGGCCACCGTCCCTGCGGTAAACTTTGCGCAAATATATTCAGACGCAATTTGTTCTGGCTTTCTCTACAACCATGTTTCACCGACACCGAGTTGCCCTGGTTGTCCAAGATCCATCTTTTGCTTTCCTATATCCAGGAACTTGAGCTATCATTGATGCTAGACGAGGTATGCCTCCGTTAGTGAAAATTGGAAAAATTTTCATCTCAACGGATCTCGACATGTAGTCTCCAGGGCTTATATAAATAAAGATGACCTCAATCATTCGTTGATTGGTACATAAAGGGCTACCACGTACTTCATAAAATAGCAAGTATAGAGTCGGAAAGCACAGTGGAAGTACACCGTGTACTCATGGGAGGAACTGCGACAGGGGGAGCTTCGTGAGGGCAGTTCCCTAGGCTGCGCGGATAATGGTCCTCGAAAGTATGGGCGAGGAAGTAGGGAGAAGAGCCTTGCAGCGTGTAAGACACAGGACGCAGGGTCTACGGGGGTGTTGGATTTAACAAGCTCGGACGATGCATGTTGCCGTGTTGAGTAGACCACTTTTCCTTTGGCTCCCTCAGATACAGAGATTTTGCAAAGATTTTGCAGCATCAAGCTTGACTTCTTGCATCCAGAATGAAATCCTCAAAAATCTGCAGTCCGTGTTATCTTAAGGTCTCAATGGTGTATGAGATGCATGGAAATATGTTGATAAAGTGTATTACTCAAGCAGAGAGGTATATAAAGCCCATATTCTACTGCTCTCAAAGTCAGAGTGCCCAAAACAAAAGAAATTACAAAAAAAAGCATCAATGGGTGGAGAGTCGAAAGATTAAGATGTCTAGACCGGAGTCACTTCAATCTTCTTGCCCTTGACGGAGAGCCACTCAATGAAAATGGGGCCGATCAGGGACAGGGCACCCATGGCGACGGAGACGTAGAAAGTCTGTGTAATGGCGTTGTTGTAGGCCACTAGGACGGGTGCCAGGGCAGGACCGGGCAGAATATTGCGCAGCATAGTGGCACCGGCACCAACGATCTTAGCAGCATCGGCACCAGGAGCATCGGTCTGAATGTTGTGAACGAGCTGGTTCTGGAAGACATTTTGGGCCACAGAGACGAAGATTGCACCACCCAAGGTCTGAGCAAACATGACCAAAGCGGTACCGCTGGGGACGTCCTCCGTTTTAAGTGCTGTCTGTACGACAATCATTGGCATTTGCATACCCATGCCCAAACCGATACCAAACATGGCCTGGTAGCCGATCCACTTGGGATGGCCGGAGTCGACCTCGAGGGTAGATAAGAGCCCTGCGCCAATCGTCATAATGATCGACGATGCGATCATGAAAGGGGTGTAGTAGCCACAGGCAGTGACCAGACCGCCGGCGAGGATACCAAGGAGGACGACGGAGATAATCATGGGTAGATTCATGATGCCAGACTTGATCGCGGTCGCGCCCTTGACGGACTGGAACCAGATTGGAAGATAGTAGATCATGACGAAATATGCGGCGCCGATAGCCAGCGCATACCAAGCTGTACCCCACACGTTACGGTTCTTTATCAGGCGAGGAGGAATAGTGGCACGATCCTGACCCCACCATTGAAGACCGATAAATATGATGATAAGCACTCCAAAAACGACGAAGAGTGCGACGATACGCGCACTGCCCCATGCGTAGGTGGTGCCACCCCACTGCAGCGCCAGCAAAAGACAGATGATAGCGGGGAGGAAGAAGAAGGAACCAGGGAGATCAAATTCGGCAAGTTGCTGCTTCCAGGTCCTACCGCCCTTGCCGACGAGAGGTGGAGTTGCCTTGAAGAAGAACAGGATGAAGAAGAAAGTCACTGCCCCAACGGGCAGGTTGATGTAGAAGCACCAGCGCCAGGTCAGTCGGTCAGTGAAAGCACCTCCCATGCTGGGAAGAAGGTCAGCGATATTCTGCTGTGAGGAAGCAAAGGAACATACAGTGGACCTCCGACACTGGCAATACCGAACATGGAGCCGATGAGACCAGTATATGCCGGCCTCTTCACCAGCGGCACACTTTGGTGGACGATGAGCATCGCGCCCGAGTAAAGCCCAGCGGCTCCGAGACCAGCGATGGCACGGCCAATAATCAGACCGACGGACGAGGGAGTTGTCGCGCAGACCAAGGAACCAATCTCGAATATCGACAGGGCCAACAGATAGATCCACTTAATCGAGTAGAAGGTGTAAAATTTGCCAAACATCAAAGTCACGGCGCATGTAGTCAACAGATAAGCACTACCATACCAACCCACATCATTGAGAGAGTTGAACTCGTCCGTGATTTTGGGAATAGCTGTTGCGATGATGGTGTTGTCCTATACCATGGTGAGCAATTGTACTTTTGAGTGCCAAGTTCCACACGTACTAGTGCCACACAGAACACGCAGAGACACAATGCGATAGTAATTAAGCCAAGTTTTAAGCCGGAAGGATATTCTTTGTCATCGGCTTTCTTAGAGTCTGTATCAGATTCACCGCTCGTGTTGCTGGAAGTCGAGACCTCCTTTCCTCGTCACCGCGGACAATCGGTTCCTTGTTGGTATCTTCTTTGGGCACTGCGCGAGGCGACTGGCCATTATTAGTATTGCTGTCGCTGTGACTGGCGGTCTCCTTTCCCGTATCGAGGCCAGCAATGTTCCTGAATTCCTCATCAGTCATAGTCGCCTGCTTCTCGCTTGAAGGCTTAGGAATATCCTGGGGCTGTGGTTGATCACTGGAAGTTCTCAGGGCTGGATGATCCTCCACCTTGGGAGCAGTCGATTTACCAAAGAAAAGTGGCATTTTTGGCGATGGTGTAGGAGGGGGGCAGGAGAACCAGATAACCGAGGGGGGGGAAGCTGCAGATTTAAGAGGACAATAGGTTAGGCAAGATTGGCAACGCAGCTGGCCCTTTCGTACAGGTCTCAAGATGAACCAGGGCGACCTTGCGCGTCCTGGGGTCCTTGGCTCCCTGAGTCGCACCAACCCTACGGACCGAGACCTCGGTGTCCATGTGGGTTGGAATGCTCCAGAGCCTGTAGATGGTGCAGCCGCAGTAGTACCGCTAGCATTATGTTTGAACTACGCACATGTGGGTTATGCAACCTCTCTTACCGGAGCAAATGATGAGAAGGCGTGGAGCCAGGGCTCAGCCGAACTTTAGGCCGTAATTCAGGCGGGACTGCATCAGCCAGGAGATCATGCAAGGATCACGGAGCTATGTCTCTGCAGTTCGTCCACTCTTTTCCCCTTTCCGTCCTGGTGGCGCCCAATTGAGTCCGGGATGTGAGCATAGCGGCGATCCCTTGCTCGGATCGTCAATGCGAAGACATCATTCTGCAGGACAGGGGGTGATGATGGGGCAATAGCGCGGTAGGAAAGTATTGAATGGGTGCACTCAGTCGTACCGACCATACGTCAATGATGAACGTTCGAATCGCAATCAAGTCAGACTCGGACCGGATGGTCATCTCCGGGCAATCCGGCCTCCGGTCGGGGGATTGGCACTGGTTCTCGCGTCTGATCCCAGCTTGGAACTTATAAAAACATTGCCCAGAGTGTGCAATGCTGCAAAGGACACGCCTTTCATGCCTTGACACCTTGACACCTTGACACCTTGACACCTCGACACCTTGATTCCTTGATTTCTTGACGCCTGGATCCATCCGGACGGACTTTGTGGCCTTAAAACAGTGTACCTTGTGCCCTGGTCAGCGCTGACACCTCGAAATGGACTAGCGCCAGGCCGGGGTTAGAAATGCGGAGTTTGGAGTTAAGCCCCCACCTGGACGTGGCCAAAGGAAGAGAAGACATATGGTTAAAATCGAACTCGAACGCGAGATTCTATTTCATCTGCCTGCGAAAAAGGGACACTTGAGACATGCTTCTAGATTCTATTGACCGCAATGCGACTTCGATCTCGATCAAAGTTTCCGTCGTGAAGGAGTGGAGACGGGCACAGTTATGTATATTGACATCATCTGCCCCAACAACCGTGGCTAGCGTCTGGCCATGAACGACGGACAAGTCATAGTGGACGACTCTTGTTAAATCCGGACCACATGAATGACATGAACGACATGTGGAGATGCTCTATGTCCTTTATTTCCGTCAGTCATCATAGAGACAGCTCCATCGATGGAACGCATATAAGTAAAGTGCCATCCCATCGGGAACCGGTTCATCTCAATCACTACTCAAAACAAGTTCATTCACCCTCCGTCAGACGGTTCTTCTTTCAGAACAACTCAACCTCGACCCATCCTAGTTCAATTCACCATGGAAGCGCTCTTCAAGCCCGCTCCCGAGCCCGCTACCCCTCTGGGTCGGTATCGCATTCTTTCCTCCACCGCTGGGGTGCGCGTGTCTCCTCTACAGCTGGGTGGCATGTCAATCGGAGACAACTGGAACCAATTCATGGGGAGCATGAACAAAGAGCAATCCTTCAAACTCCTCGACGCCTTCGTCGAAGCCGGCGGCAACTTCCTCGACACCGCCAACAACTACCAAAACGAGCAATCCGAAGCCTGGATCGGCGAATGGATGGCCGCACGCAAGAATCGCGATCAGATGATCATAGCCACCAAGTTCACCACCGACTACCGCACCCATGAGCTGGGCAAGGGTAAGGCGCCCAACGCCTGCGGGAACCACAAGCGAAGCATGTTCCTGAGTGTGCGCGACTCGCTGCGCAAGCTGCAAACCGACTTCATCGACGTGCTGTACTTGCATTGGTGGGATCATACCACCTCGATCGAGGAGATCATGGACTCCCTGCACATCCTGGTGGAACAGGGTAAAGTCATGTACCTCGGAATCTCAGACACGCCTGCATGGATTGTGGCGGCTGCCAACACCTATGCTCGTGCGCACGGCAAGACTCCCTTCTCCATCTACCAGGGCCGGTGGAACGTGATGCGTCGGGACTTTGAGCGAGACATCTTGCCTATGGCACGTCACTTCGGCATGGCGCTTGCACCTTGGGATGTGCTCGGCAGTGGCCACTTCCAAACGGCGAAGCAGCTGGAAGAGCGCAAGAAGGCAGGCGAGGGACTGCGCAGCATGTTCCAAAGTGAACAGTCGGAGGAGGAACGCAAGATCTCTGAGGCTTTGGCAACGGTGGCAGCAGAGCACGGCATTGAGTCCGTGACGGCGATTGCATTGGCATATGTGCTCTGCAAGGCGCCCAACGTGTTCCCGATCGTGGGCGGCCGCAAGGTCGAGCATCTGAAGGATAATATCAAGGCATTGTCGATCCGTCTGACCGAGCAGCAAATTGAGTTCCTCGAGTCTGCGGCTCCATTTGATATTGGTTTCCCTGGGAATTTCATCGGACCGGACCCGGCGATCAGTGGTGGCAAAATGCCGTTGTTGATGCAGACTGCTGGCGCCCTTGACTTTGTCCAGGGCGAGCAGGCGATTGGGTACGAGAAGAATTAGATCGTGGAGCATGGCTTGATTTACATATCTGATGACCTCAGTCCTCTCTCGAATACTTGAAAGCGATTTGAAAAAGAAAGTTTATCCATAATTGATTGAGATCGTAGCTTAGCCTGAAATGCAAATTTGTACTGATATCGGATGCCAATCCGCGCCAGGTCAATGTTTGTGCAACGCCGTGATACCAAGATAAAAGACATGATATAAAATAGAAATAGGATTTGAAGAGGGATTCCCTCATGATACGTCCTGCTTGAGGTCCACACAAGGGCAGGATAGATAAAGCAATGAGGATGGCGAAGGGCCGCGTGGCTGATCGAGGTCCCAGACTGGGTTCGCAATGTTTCAGGTGAGGGTTACCCCTGCCATGAGAAGCGAAAGGTTGGTGGAAGGATCGAGATCGGTCCCAAAAATGCGCTCACGCGACGATCGAAGCCAAGATACTGGCCCAGCCGGTACGCTCAGACAGACGGTCAAGTGAGGCTGCATCCGGGATCATTGAGACAATGAACACGTATTTACCTGTATTTACCTGAAATGAACAGCTGCACCGAGCTCATTTCTCGGTGGATTTCTGCAGAGTCTCGTCCTTGCTGGCGACCAAAGCGATCAAAGCGGCACCCACACCGCTGCCGTCCTTGGAGATACCAATGCGAATCTTCTTCTCACCTGCCGGGCCGACCTGGGGCACCTCGCGCAGAGCGTCGCGCAGGTATTGCTCGAAGTTGGGGTAGAACTCGACCAGACTACCGTCCACTCCAACGTCGACCATATCGCTGGTCTCGATCTTCTTGGAGTGAATGAGGATGGCAGCGATCGGGACGGCGCTCAAACGAGCGGCACGCTTGCCAATGGCATGAACAAGAATCTTGACAGCCTTGCACTCCTCCTCGCTGGGATTCTCAATCTTCAGGTGGTCCTTCAGTGCGGCCTTGACGTCGGTCATTTGCTTCGTGGAGTCGGCCTCGACCTGACTCAGCAAGCTGGTGTCCAGGCCCCACTGGCGGTAGAAGAGAGAGTCGGAGGGAATGGAGACTTTGGAGGTCTGGCTGGACTTGAAAAGACCAAGCTTGGGATCGTTGTGCATGGCCAGCAGAGCGCGGCGCAGAATCTCGCCAAGGAACATGCCCGAGACGCGCTTCTCAAACATCTGCACACCCGGGTTGTTGCTGTCGGCATCCAAGTCGCGGTCGAAGACGGTGTTGGGCAGGACACTGAGGTGGTTGTCGAAGCTACCCCACTCGGCATTGATGATCATCTCGCCAGTGGACTTGTCGTAGTGGGCGCCCTCCAGGTGGGTCAATTTTGTGATGTTCTCGATCTTCTCAACGTAGGCGCCATTAGTACCGGTTCCAAAGATGGCTCCAAGGAAGGTACCGGTCTCGCCAGGGGAGGTATAGGAACGGGCCATCAAAGTTCCAACGGTGTCGTTGACTAGAGCGGCCACGCGGACGGGGAGGCTCAGGTCATCAATGGCAGACTGGAGCAGGGCGCATACATCGTGGCCGACGGCATCGGGGATATTGAAACCCTTGGTCCACCGAATCAGGGTCCCGGAGTTGATACCGACCTGACGGACGGGGAAGCTGAATGTGAAACCCAAGTCGAACATGTATTCTTTGCCGCGACCCTCACGCCGGCGGAGCTGGTGCGCCTCGAAGTGCTCGTTGTGGTGGATGCGGAGGAAGGCCTCAATTTGGCGGGCCAAGAAGAGGAAGAGGTCCTTGGAGGTCCCGGAGGCCATGAGTTCCCGGGGGATCATGATCTTGGACTGAGTGAGGTCGAAGGTAGTGTCGCCGTGCAGTTGAACAGAGCAGACACGGAAGTTGGTGCCACCGAGGTCAACGGCCAAATACAGACCCTACCAAGAAGATTTCTGATTAGTGGTGATTTCCATCTGCGCGGCCACCAAAAACTACCTTTTCGGTTCCATTGGGTACAGCGGTGACGAAGGTAGGAATCTGGCTGAGAGTGCAGTTCTCCTTCTGGAGACCTTCGTCGGACTGCTTGATGTACTCCGCGACCCCGCGCTGCACTTGCTCGGCGGAGAAGTCGAAGTCGCGCGCAATGCGCGTAGCCTCATCGATCAAAGTAGAGGACATGTTGAGAATACAAAGGCCTCGGGTGAAGAGAGGGTATGTACAGCCGGAGAGTGATACAAAAAGGAAAAGAAAGAGAGGGTGGGAAAAGAGGTGTCAAGCGGGATGACGGAGGGGTCCATGAGGTCAGTCCACGACGTTGCCCACCTTGGCATCCAATTACCGGCTTCGCCGGCCTAAGCAAATACTCACCTTGGTTTCGGTTTCATTTTTTGGTTTTGGTTATAATACTCTATTACCAGAATGTGGACACCTGAGAGCGTCTTCTTGTGTTCTGTATGTGCTCTTATCCTCACCTTCCGGATGCAGCGCATTCCCCTGCATTCCTAGGAGCACACAGCATCTCCAAAGACGCTCTTGTTGCACAGAACCAGCCAGACTGTGATTTTTGATTTTCCCCTTTTCTTATCCCGGTAATTTAGGCGTGTTTATTGTTTTTTCCCTCATGACGGCATGGATATTTTTCCTGGAACTTAAAACCAAACTACGGAGAGAACAATGTGGGAGTGACTGTGAATGGCCAATGCCCTCTTCGTGGCACGCCTTTCCCCGACTTCACCGGTGAGCGACACCGGTTAAAGGCGCAGGGTACGGAGGACGGGGGACCGGGGGGGGATAACAGAACAGGGGAACAGGGGAACAGGAACCGGGCGTACACCCAGCGTCGCATGCATGTGTAGGGGACGATGCGCCAGGACTGAAGGTACCTACACCCACAAATCAACGGGCGAGAGAGACCATGTCAAGTTGAGAGAAAGAGCCTAGGAGCAGATCGGGATCGTTCGGCACGGGTTAAAACAGCTACCCACGTTCTTAGGGCACCCGAAGCCGAACGGAATCCCGATCCATAATTATCGTGACTAAACACACACGGGGAATCTGGTGGGTTCCACAGTGTAGCCCTAATCGCCCCGTGGCTTGACTGTCTCAGTCTGCCGACACCCTCCATGTTCCAATAGTAGGGGTAATGAATTGATGAATAATGAATTACATAGTTACACTTGCCACGTTCACTATTGTTGGCCCTGGACTGTCGACGTGGCAACGTTGGGAGATGACGGGTATTCAAATTGAATGGCTAAATAAATTTTGATGTGGCAGCGGCTCTGAAAGGTATCGATCTTCACGCGTCGGTGGCTTGCACTAGGCCTATACAGCAAACCAGACCACCAAGGAATGAAAACCCGACTGCTACGTCAGAAGTGACCTTCGTTCCTAGGTCCTGTTAGACTTGAAGTGCCTGATTTGATACTCTCATAGGGGAGGACCAGATACTAAACCCCGTGGATGCTTCTGGGATTTACGCAGCGCTATCCTCGGAGGAGTTCCATAGGAGGCAAAGAAGCACCAGGGCAAGCTCATGAATTGAATTAGACTCGGACCATTCATATTTGCCCCAGGGGACTCTTGGTCCATTGTCCAACAATTTCGTCCCCGCCTTCTCTGTACCCCGCATATGTACTCGCGTTTCTTTCGAGGCTACGTGCTCACGATCAAAGTCAACGTTTGTATCGGAAGGTTGTTGAGAGAGAAATAGTCACAGAGTCTCCTCAATTTACTCATGCGCATAGTCCCACTGTATCTCATTAAGCCGCGCAAAACAATAGAGAGACATTGCATGTGGGAATTGCAAGTCGTCGGAAACGGGGCCGTAGAGTGCGCTTGCACCTTGATGATATTGGACGGGATTACTACCAGCCAGTCGATTCTAGAACAGCCCAACCGAGAAGTTCCGATAGATTTAACTTTAGGTTGATGCCGCTGTACATACTGGTTCTCTGGTGAGGTCTGTGTCTTCTGCATGTGTGAGACGTCGTCCATGCTCTGGCCCTTTGGCCGGGGTCCCCTTATCTCTAAACAGATGCACAATGAACCCAAATCCAGGGTGGACTATCAGTATCTCAAGCAAGATCCAACAACAAGCCCGATGATCAGGTGTCGAAGTATCAAGTGGAAGTAAATGTGGACAGTCTCGACACTCATAGTGGTAGACCGCCCACGTGACCGAAGTATCGGAGCTTCGGGTGATCTGGGCATCTCACAACCGCCCTTCTCTGGTCCAGACTTGACGGCAATTCACATCTGCCATTCACAATCATGGGTGCTGGCAGTTCTAAGCCCGAGGCTGCGGGCAGCTCTAGCCATGTCTTTTCCAGGTAATGCCCCTCCCTTCTGACATCACTCTACTTCTGTCCCGAAAACCGAAACAACCGTCCGGTCAACCAGCGCAATTGCGACAGGACCGAACATTCTCATCCAGGGATGCAGTTTTTCTAAAATGACGCCAATTGAATCATGCACTGACAGGGATTATCATCCAGCAACTCTCCCGTCCAGTTCTCCTCCAACCTAGTGGATGCCCTCCAGTCCACTTCCGAGGTAAATCCGCACTCTTCCAAAGACAAGCCAAACGCCCTCAGCTAACCCTATTCCCGGTCAGACTGACTCCTCGCGCACCAAGGCCATCGAGCTCGAAATCCAGAAGCGCGTCGCTCTCGAACTCGAGCGCCTCCACCAACGCGAGAAGCAAACTCTCGCCGAGATCGAGAAGAAACTCTCTGAAGTCAAGAATACCGACTCTCTCCCTGTGACCTCCGCGACTGCTCCCGTCGCCTCAACCAGCTCCGGCTACCCAATCGGCTCCCTGAACCTCGATGCGCCACGAGTCCCCTTCGCCGGACGCGAGCACGAGCCTTCACCCGTCTTCACCGCGCCGGCTCCCGCGCCCCAGGCTGTTTCCAACCGAGATATCTCGCGGGATGCAGTGGCGAGTGAGATTGAACAGCTGCGCAGCCGGTTGGACGGCCGACGAAAGCTGACGGAATTGGATGAGGGTGTTTCAAAGGCAAAGGCTGATGTTGTTAGTTGCTTGCGGTTGAATGACCGTCGGCCGTTGGACTGCTGGCAGGAAGTTGAAACGTTTAAGCGCGAGGTTGCGAAGATGGAGCAGGCTTTTGTGGACCGCATTGTTGGTTGAGTAACCCGATGAACCGCGGGTCTGACTTGAGCATTCGCTTTGGGTCCGTGCCTGCTGGACTGTATGTATAGATTACGCTATTTTGTTTGCCATAAATCTGCATAGGATCTAGATCTCTGAATGGGTGAATGGCCAGTGTGACTGTAGCGTTTGGTACGAATGCTCGGTCTAGAGGACCGCATACGAAGATCTATAAACAGTCATGAAATGCGCATTGTCATAAAATGCTTCTAGGCAACCATTGGCAGGGTATCAAATCACAAAATAATCAGACAAGCTCCCACGTTCCCAATCGTCCCAGCTTCTCTCCCGCAGACCTAACAATGCACATTCGTCGCTCAGACGGCTTCACGTCAGGGATCAAGACCTTTGACAGCTGAATTGAACCAATCCCAGTGCCTTTGCCCTCTGAAAGATTGTAATTACCAGTGCTCACAAAACCGATGAGGTCTTCTTCCATTGGCACTTCCAAATGATTAGCCGTCGAGTTCTCGTGCGCAGAAGTTGAGATGAGCGACTCGGCAAGACGACGACGAGCTTCCTCGTCAGAAAGCGTGGGATCGTTAAATGAAGTCAAGTTCGCGCCGGACTTGCGGCTTGTAGAAGCCAGGTCGAGCCACTTGCGCCGCAGGATGGGATCACTGGGCAGACGGTAGATGCGGGCACAGGGTGTGGGTGTACCGCGGCTGGAAAGCGTGAGGTGGATAGTCACAAGGGAAGAGGTATCAATGTTGGTTTTACTGAGGGTGTTGAGAATTTTGTTCGTGTCGCCTGGTGTATATCTGATCGTGTGAATGTTGCATGGTGGATCGACAGGACCCGCCTCTTGCTCATCGGTCTTCTGAACAGTGTTGTGCACAGCACCTTCAGTTGTCGGCCCTTTCACAAGCCTCTCCCAATCACAGGCCCATCCATCTCCAATTTCTCCCTTGGGCCGACCCTCCCCAAGAACGAGCGTGTCAAATTCCGCTCGACGACCTTTGGGCCGACGTTCCCATTGGCGGCGGGATTTCTCTGTCTCGCGCTGAGTCCATTCCCAGCCAGCTCGAGTACCCGGGAAGTCGCCGGGGAACCATCCCTCACCAGCCTCAAAGGCGAGCTGTTGATGTTCCTTCAGGCCTCCGAAGCGTGGATTCCCTCCGCTGGAGAGAGGATGGTACATGAGCGAGTACCAAACAGGGACGATGCACTTCCAAGGGAGTAGCACAGTCCAGGATCCTGGAGGTGTGTTATTCGAGCAAGAATGTGGTCTATTCGCGAGAATCATTACGGGGATTTTCGGATCATTAGGCTTTGCGGCAGGGTAAACGCCAGGGCCGGCGAGAGTCCGACGTCGGTTGATGGCCTTTTGGCTTGGGAGTTGGCGAGAAGCTGCAAGGCGGCTGGAGCGATCGAACAGGGATGATTGGCCCTGTGTATGATCGAGGGGCCATGATGAGAGCAGCATAGCCAGCTTGTGCATGGAACTTTCGTCGCTGGGTACCTTGAATGGGCGTGGCGGGAATTTGAGGCGAGGATCAGACACATCAAAGGCTAATAGAGCATTGCGCGGCAGTGAAGACGGATTTGATACCCCAAGAAGAGAAAGCCAAACATCTTCTGGGCTCTGTCCTGCTGGAGCGTCGCTTGGTCCCAGAACAGGCCGCAATGCCGCCAGCAGTGCTTCCAGAGAGCCCGGTCCTGTAATTTCAACGCTGCCAATTTCAAACCGTAAGTCCTCTACCGTGACAGGAGGATTTTGTCTCTTCGACAGCTCAAGCAAACTATGCCACAATTGCAAGAACGCAGAGGGATGAACCCGAACCCAAAGCTTTCGCCGTGGCGTTCTTGATGCTGACTGGGCCTTGCCTGCATCGACCATTTCCACATCTTGGGACTTATCCGGTGCACACCAGACAAGTGTAACGGGGGCGATCGGCCTGGAGCGATCGTCCATTTCGAAAGTCCAAGCTTGGAATGACCGCGTCCCAGCTCTCCACTTTCTTGCCTTGGCTCCCCACGCCTCATTACTATCGACACCGACAGCTCGCAAAACAGCCTCAATGCAGGGCTCTGTTCCTTCAAGTTGAATGGTCGACATATAGCTCATATCCCAAGCCACGGCACCTCGAGCACCTCGTGCTCTGTGTGTAGGTCGGTAGCTTTTCTCAGTCGGCGATAAGGGAATTGCAAAACGCCAGATCGGGTCCTTGCTAGTAGCCATATGGGCACGCTTTGCGTGAAACATGTGTGTAGGTAGCCATGTCTTGCACTTTTGACGCTTGCGATATTTGGCATCTGCTGGCGGTGGCCTCGAGAGCTTATACTTTTTGACCTTTGGAACCCGAGGAGCAGTATTGAAGGCATGGCTCCCTGCCTCTTTCAACCTGGTCTCATATTCTTGATTACGTTTCACTTTTGCGGCGGCACGTCGGGCCTTTGACTTGGCATTGATATTTTGTAGACGACGAGCGGATTCGAGGCGGATGCGCATGATCTGGGTGGGCTTCCTTCGACGTGCGGTGACTGTCGGCGTATTGTCCTCGATCATCTGGCACATAGTTGGATCAGACGTTGAGCAGCTAAGAGCATGTCCTGACAAACTTACCTCGTGCTTCGCCCGCGCCCTCAACCTTCGCGGGACCCGTTTCACATTGTGACTCGCAGTGCGGCGTCGCAAAGCGCGGGGAACTTTTTGAAACGCCCTTGTTGTCAATGCGGTTTTAGACCGCTTCATACCATCTTCCAGGGCCTGGATTTCGAATGCCCGCGCGGCTGCGTATGCGGCGACATCGAGCTCGCCCGTCACAGAGAGCGCAGCGTCAGTTGACTGCACAGCCAGGGAGCGTGCATCAAGGTTTTTAGCGCGCTTGCGAGAAATACCAGTAGCTCCGTGAGCCCCTAGCGGTACCGGTTTCCGCTTTGCTGGGTTGGAGGCCATGGTGGCTGCCGTGTTGTGTCAAATTGAGTCGAGGAATAAAAATGTTGCTGGGGCTTGGCGCGTCATGGATCGGCCCCACGATATGTACCTTATCTTCTTCACTAGTCTCTTGGTAGTCTAAGTATTATTCAAAGCTAAGTATAATTAATTCATCGATCACATTGAAATATATTTAAGTACATAAGGCACGAGTGAAAATTATCTGCAGTACATAGCGTAATTCACATCACCACCGCAACATGGTCGGTCATGTACTTGGTAATGTCGCCCAAGAAGCATGCAGCGATAATGGACACACCTCCAAACGCGATACTGACATAGTATACCCACTTATATGACTCGGCATAAGCAAGCTGACCAGCCGTGACAACCATCTCGTATGCCGTCTCGTTGCCGGCGATACCGGGAATCAATTTAATTTCATCGAGAAGGGAGGCACCTGTGAGCTCAATGACTTCCGTGATGAGCTTAACGTCGGTAATTCCAAGCTCCGCGACCATCGTACCACCAATATAGGTCTGTGCCAATGGGACGAATTTGGAGATAAAGACGTTGTAGTAGATACAGTAGCCGACGCCACCGCCCACGACACGAATGGAGAGGGTCAGTGCAGAAATGGTGGCAATCAGATCCTACCGAGTGTCAGTCTGGAACTAGGTCGTCATCTATCAAAATAGATACTCACATCGGGGCAGATGATGGTGGTGATAATTGAGGCGGGAACGACGATTCCGCCAATTCCAAGGCCGGCCAGAATGAGGATCCCCCATAGCTGGTACATGTTGTCAAGACGTCCAATAGACATGGCACCACAACCTGGGAATGACTTAGTTACCTGCAAAAATTATGACATGGTGATATTTTGTGTACCCACCTGCCGTCATGAGGATACTGCTGACAATCAACAGTTCCTTGTTGTGTCCTCGGAACACACTCAAGAGCACCAACACAATACAAGCACCAGCCAAGATACTGAAGCCGATAGGCAGACTGCGCACACCAACCTCGACGGGGTCATGCCCATATACATTGAACGACTCGGTGGGCCAGAACATCAACACTGAGAAGAAGTTGGCGCCGGAAATGAAGGTGATGACAAGTGTGAGGCCCAGAGTGCGGGGTTCTTGCTTCAAACGAGTCGGGAAAATGGGGTATTTGGCACCGTAGATCTCCCAGAATGCAAATGCGACTAGAAGGAGGAAGCCAATGATCAAGGGTGCAAGAACGTGAGCGGAGGACCATGGGTACTGAGCAAGCAAAAATCAGCATAAAGGTAGGAATGGTGAAGCACAAGACATACCATGTATCCACCCCACTGCAGGCCAGCCAAGAAGATAATCAGTCCAGTGATACTCAGGAAGCCACCAACAAAGTCGATGCGGCTGATAATCTCCTTCCGACTGAGTCCAAGGGAGTTGGTTCGAGGAGGAGGGAAGTAAAATAAAACCGTGATCAAAAGGCCGAACCCACTCCACGCTCCACAAAAGGCGCCGACATAGCGCCAGTTACTGTGATAAGCGATGAGTTGGGCCCAAAGGACGGACGGGCAGAAGGGGACAATAGTGAAGATGAGGGCGGCGACATAGACACCACGTTTGCGAGTGGGCGCCATTTCAGAAGTAGCAGCCAGCGCAGTCAATTCATTAACACCAGCGCCCGCACCAGCAATCGCCATTCCCGCTAAATTAAGATCAGTAGCTATCCCCCGAAAGGTTTAATTTGAGGGAACACACCGATAAAGATGTTCATTGTGTGTGCCGTACTGCTGATGATCATCCCAAGACAGATGAGAGAGGCGCCGACAATGGCGACATAGCGACGGCCGAGCAGATCAGATAGAGACCCGACAAATGGGCATACACCTGCGAGACTGAGGAGATTGGCAAGAATCTGTTGAACACCGTAAGTCTATAACATAATTGGTATGGATAGTGGTCCTTACAAACCAAATCCAACGATCCGCGCCTCCAATATCTCCATAAATATATGGTGGAATACCACCTGGATGAGATCGTTAGAAATTCTCTGCTCATGTGCAGAGACCATATGGGAGCATACCGAAGAGATAAACCGGAATTTGGCTACCAGTCCACAGGAACGCCATTGCTGTGAATCCCATGAACCGCCGGAAGGTCATCTAGCGACAATCAGTGCTGATGCTCCACAAGAATCACGATTCTCTTACTGGAATGTCTCCTTCAGACTCATAAAGGCCCGTCTCATTAGAGCTTCCGTCGACCATCTCCTGGTGACTGTGCGATGACCCCTCGAGCTCCTTGCTCTCATCAGGTTGGATGGCATTTTTTTCATTGTGAAGCGCCGAAGGCGACTCCTGAATTGGCCCTGTCATGATGGGTAGATAATTAACGGCAGGATCGCCGATATGAAGGGGAGGAAAACCAGAGAGATAGAAAAAGAATCAAATTGGATAGGGGGATTTCAATTCTAGCTGGTGCAACGACGATCCACTTAGCGGGAGGACTGGGGAGATATAACTTCTGTTAGAGTAACCAGGTAACATAACGGCGACAGATCCATCCCCAGTCTCATTAAATCAAGCACTGAAACAAAAGCCATTTCGGACACGTCTGTCCCAATCCGGAGCCAATCAGGTCTAATATCGAGCCGGGGAAAAAGATTGGTGGGGGCGGCAAAAGTGGTATGGGCGGAGATGGAGTCAAGATAAGCGATAGCCGGGATCTGGAGTCCGGAATCTAGAAAATACCGAGGCTGATCAGAGAAATCCTAGTGAATCCAAGGGAATGTCGGAGGGGCGACGCAAGTCTTCGAGACCAAAATGCGGGGGGAAACGTGGAGAAGGTGGATGCGGGCCTCGATCCCGCGCCAGTTCGGGGCCAAGTTCCACAATAGGATCCAGCCCCGAAACTGTATCCTATCCAAGGGTCTTGTGGTGTGTGCTAGCTGTTTCCGTTGCTGAAGAATCTTGATAGAATTGGTATGACTGAATGCTTGTGTGCGTAATAATCTAATTGCAAATGAATCTCCGGGGCTGGAGGGGCGTATGGTATACGTTACATGTTGCATGGGAGAGGGGGAAATCGGACCATGATTTTCCACCATGCATGTAGGGTTAATGCGAAGGGAGAGCGCTAGCCCACATCACAAAGTGGCGAACAAGTCAAGTCAATTACGGGTCCATTTCCGTTTGACGTTCTCCACAGTGACTCTAGTCATGGGTCCTTTAGCTCAACCGCCACCCAGGAATCAAGCTCAGAAGTGTTCCCCGACTTCTTTGAGCTTCAGCTTCTTTGGAACAACAAACAGACCATTCGCTTCAACACAAAGGCGTCCGGTCATGTCACGCAGCTCACACTTGGCAAATGCCTTTGTATCTGTGCTCTGTTCCTGGTCCAGAGAGGTGTGGAGGGAATAGAAGTTGCCCGAATAGACAGGGGCGCGGTAGTTGATGTTGAGGTTCGCTGTGACCCCTGTACGAGCCGGAAAATGTCGAATAGCTGCACGTCCGAGGTTCTCATCGATTACGGTGCCAAGCGCACCTCCATGCACCCTGGTTGGCCATCCTTCGAGGCCAGCCCCAAAGAAGACAACGCTAACGAGCTTCTTCTCCCTCTCGTTCCAGAAAACTTTCTATCGAGCACAAAATGAGTTAGCTAGGAATCGGATCCCGAGTGTCGGTACTCGAGTACGTCCATGAATGCTGATCTGGCTCGCCCAGACTTCTGGCTCCGGGCTCGCCCACGCCGAGGACATAAAATGCAGGTTCCAAGACACTACTCACTTGCAAACCCAAGCCTCTGCTTCCAGCAAGTGGACCAGAGGTTAGCCGATGTGTCTTATGATCATCCGAGAAGTTTTCGTAAACTTCCTTTTCCGTAAAATCGGGATCCTGTCGCAACTGCTGCACAATCGGAAGACCGATCTCATAGGCGCGCTGAATGTGCTCGAGCTCTGCCTGGTCCTCAGTAGTTCCTGGAAGCGGTGGTTCCACGAATTTGCGGTCCATCCATTTTCCTGCACTCATGCCAATGGCACCGAATATACCAGCGTAGATGAGGCGGCGCCTCCATCGCGAGGGTTGGGCCGAGGTGTTCGCATTCGCGGCAGTGCTGGCACTTCTGACGGAGAATCGTGTCAGGACAGGCGCGCTGATGATAGCTGCGCGCAATGACTGTTGTAGGGCTCGACGAGAATACATCGTGATCACATCGCCATTCAAGAACATCAAAGAAAGGCGAACTCGCGTAGATCCGAATGGGTACAACCGCGGTCTAATCACGTGACCATGTGTCCAATGTATGGTCACTACAATCTAAAATCAAGGACCTTATTGCCGAATGGAATCTACGCGAGTACAGTAGATTAGGTTCAAAAAGACTAACATCACCATCAACATCGACTCGTGATCATCATCTATTCATCTAGAGGCGTATCTTTTGGTCGCGGACCAGAGCAAGTACAACTCCAGTCCGAACATACGGACAGTCTATTCCAATGTAGGCAGCTCAATAGCCCGATAAAGCAAGATCAGAGCGGAGTGGGACTCCCCTATGAGATTCATTAGCAGATTTCTCTCCACAAACTATCTGGTTGTACTTACCACCACCGGAAAGAGTCTCGATCTTCTCGGCGTCCACCTCGGTAACCTTGTCGTCGTTGAACCACCACCACTTTGCTGTATCCTCGCGGCGCTTACTGCCAGTCTGGGCATCATCGGACTTCCGCTCCTGCTGCTTGACATAGGCCGTATAATGGCCACTGTCGGCACTTGCGCCCTGGTGGGTAATGACACCACGAAGCTCGTACAATCCAGACTGGTTGGTGCCGTTGGCAGGGCCATTCTGCCGAAGCAGATCATGCAGCTCCTGCTTGGCGATACGGACAGACTCCATCTTCTCTGCCTCGTACTCAGCGTCGGTCTTGAAGTTCTCCTCCATGTTCGTGTCACCGTCCTTGTCACTGGCCTTGCCCTTGTCTTCGGCGGCCTTCTGCTTCTTCTGCATAGGTTCCATTTCGGTCCCGGCTTCTTTGTCCTCCTTTTTGCCCTCCGCTTCGCGCTGATCGTTGAGCTTTTGGCGCTTGCGAGAACGTTCAATGTCAACCTCATCCTTGCGGATTTCACGAACCTTGTCTCGGATGGGCACGAGCTGCTTTCGAAGCTCCTCGGTGCAGAACTCCACCACATCAAGCTCAGCCGGGAAAGTGACCTTGCGCATGATCTTGGCTTTCTTCTGAGTTTCGCGCTTCCAGAAGAAACGCACGAAGTGCACGGTCAGGTACTTGGGCAGCCGAGAAATGCGGGACTGCTTAGTGTACAAGGCGTTGCGGTTCAGAGTAGGAGACTGCTTCTCAATCTGCTCCCTCAGGCCTTCCATGATACCATCCTGAAGGTGATTGGTCTCTTTCCCGATATGGCAATCCAGCTTGAAGAACACGTCGGAGCTCTTGCTCGGCTCCTCGCCGGCATCCTTTGCCCCAGGCTCGTCACACTCGGTGATAGAATCGAACTGGCCAGCCATGTATTTGTCAATAAATGAAATCCGGGAGGTGGCATCTCCATTTCCATCCGTGATGGTCAATTTGTTTCGCAGTTGGTTCAAGATTTGAGACCATGCCTCCTCGGCGTCCTGCTGCGCATAGCCGTGGCCATTGCGGTCGCGCTGAGCAAACTGGGGAATGCGGTGCGAAGAGCATTCAAAAACATAAGAGGAGGAATGCCCTCTTGTGTTTCGGACATCTGCTTGAACAGGTCACGAAGAGCTGCAGCCATATCTCTAGACCCATCCAGGGCGCCAAGGCCGAAGCTGCTGAGATCAGAAGCAACGGACTGACCAGAGGAGTTGCTCGGACGGTACTTCTGAAGTTCCTCCTGCAGCTCAGGAACGCTGCGCAGGGTTTGAAGGGTGGAGTTCAGGTAGCAAGTGTTTCCCAAATTCTGTAATCCGGCAGGGATAGCACCCGCTTGTTGCGCCACCTCCGCGGCAGTCATATCCTCAAGAAACTTGACTGCCTCCTTCGGCCGACCCAGGTCAACAGATCCCTGGCCGCCTGATGGGGTACCCATCATCATGAAGGTCTGCCCTGGCTTGGCGTTAAGAGATGACAACAGGGTCTCATCTTTCAGTTGACCTCCCTTGACCAGAATCTTTTGTCGGTCTGGTTCGACACCTGTCAAGGAGAACAGCTGGTATTTCAACGTCTCGCCGTTGGAGGTAGGGTCGAGCTCGACTTCGTGGCGTTTGCCGGCATGCTTCACAATAACTAGGATCAAAGTTAGCAACCAAGTTACAAGATCATGAGAGCTTTATTGTCACGCACTCGGTATGGATGCCATCTTGACGACTAAATTGTCCAAGGAACAGAAATGGGAAGAAGTTGGATGAGTTGAGTGATTGGTAAACAGCTCCGGGGTGGCTGATCGGGCGTGGGGCTTTGCAAACCAACCAAACAGCCATCATCACCGCCCCAAGCGGGACGACCTCACCTCCGCCTCCGCCGTGATCGCCTCTTGTCTCTTCCTGCAATTGTTGGCTCACTGGTATTTCTTGGCACTTATTGGGACTCACAGGGCAGAGTCGCGGCTGTGATATCAACCCGTTTGCAAGTTCGGGGAAACGGTTACTCCTCCGATCCATACACGCTACCCCTCCACCATGGTACGTCAGGCCCCAACATCGCGAACCCGATAAGTCTAATTGAGGATATCAGTCACAATCTTTACGCCCCTACCTTCAGGCTGTGCGAGCTTCCCTGACCGCTGCTCTCGCCCTTTCCAACTTCGCTTCCCAGACCTCCGAGCGTCACAATGTCCCCGAGATCGAAGCCGCTAGCAGCCCCGAGCTTCTCCTCAACCCGTTGACGGTCAGCCGTAACGACACAGAACGCGTACTGATAGAACCCAGTGTGAACTCGGTGCGGATCTCGTTGAAGGTTAAACAGGCCGATGAGATCGAGCATAGTAAGTCATTTTGGTCCGCACAGACCGCGAACTGTTCAATAATAACATTATGTAGTCCTCGTACACAAGTTCACACGGTTCTTGACTCAACGTGCCGAGTCCTTTTTCATTCTCCGACGGAAGCCCATCGAGGTTAGTCCCAGAGCGGCCGAGTTCGCGCTTGGTCTTAGTGCTAATCATATCTAAGGGCTACGATATCTCCTTCCTGGTGACTAACTATCACACCGAGGCGCTCCTGAAGCACAAATTGGTGGACTTTATTCTTCAGTTGTTCGTTTCATCCCCGTTCCCTTCTGCGTCTATTTTCCGCTAACAGATTTTCAGTATGGAAGAGGTGGACAAGGAGATCAGGTAGGATACTAATCAGGGCTCATCGTCCATGAATTCACTAGTACTGACTTGGTCATAGTGAGATGAAGCTATTCTTGAACGCTCGAGCTCGTTTTGTTGCCGAGTCGTTCTTGACTCCCGTAAGTAACTCCCCACTTTGCGACCCTAAACCATCTGCTAAACTCTCCCAAGTTTGATTAAATTCTGTGGCGTTCTTCTAGGTTGCTGGCGACGAAAGATACACTTGTCTTATCCGTATTTGTTCTATACATCAAAACAGGCTTGCAATGGAAGATTACCCACGGGTACATTTCCCGCTCCAACTCACATCTCATGCATCTGTGTCCTAACGAAGGCCCTCTAACTGAAGCTCTACATCTTTTAACCGTCTAGCCTGTTGAACGGCCATAGCAAAACTCAGACCCGGGTACTTGGGCTTTTCTTGCTCCAGAGTCGGGTCATAGCTCACCCTTGAGGCTTAGAGTATTCAACCCTAGTGAGTAAGTCACTAATCTCAGCTCAGCACCTTTCTTGTGTGATATTGGCGTAGTGCAAAGCTGCCAGGAAGGGTGGGTCTTTCTGCGTTAATCAGTACGGCGAAGATGCGGTGGTGCAATCTACGTCTCGTGCGGATCACAATCGCAATATGATACTTATGGTTGCGCTTACTTCTCTCTCATCGTATTCGGACCTACTCACTTGAAGAGGCGTACATGTAGTATGGTCTGGCAGCGCCTTGTTCGATTTCATTTCTTACTTTGACTTCATTTCTCGACCTACCTTTCTCGTCGTCACCCCTCCTCGACCTCATCCTTTTATCCAAACACCTTGGTATGTATCTACTCCTATTTTTACCTCCGGCGCAGCTGTCATGATCAGAACATAATTTCATCTTCAATTGACTGTTGCAATCTCGTTCTCATCTCTCTCCCCTACCGCGTGATCTTCTTCACTTGAATTTCCCTTTCTCCCATCTACGCCCCCTTTTTTCATTTACTTTCTACGCTTCTCCTAGCCTTTCTCATTCTGTCAACCTGGAGGACGTCTGAAATTGGTCCTCATCAATATCCTCTAGATCATACCTTCAAGGATGTATCATTACTCCCCCGACCCTTCCGAGGAGGCGTATGTAAGCGCCAGAATGCGCCTTCTCGAGGACAAAACCTTGGAAGAATTGATGCACCAGCCAGACTGGCCCATCGGTAACCTGGCTGAACGTCGGAAGCCTTCCCGTGCCGGCGTTGCTCGAATTGACAATGTTAGTTCTTGACTCCACCTGCTTTAATCTGAGTCGACTTCTCGGTTCCTGTGCTCACCACTAATTGGACCTATATCACAGATTTCCTACTCACTCACTCGTCCAGAAGTGATCCAGATGTTTGGGCGAAATGGTCATCTGATCCCGGAGTCTCAGTGTCCAGTTCATATTATCATGGAACGCTCTACAGGAAAGACTATGTGTTGCTTTGTGGAATTTGAGGACCATGAGAGTGCTCAGGCTGCAGTGGACCGCTTGAACGCTACGACTGTGACTCAAAGCGGCCCTCGTATGGGGAATCGCCACATTGATGTAACCATGAGCAGCCAGCAAGAGCTGATGCAGGCTCTGTTCCCGAGGGCCAAGTGCGTCGACTGGGTAGGCGATCGCTTGGTTGCCCGTGACAAGCGTCCGACCGAGTGGTGGTCGACTGGCTTTGATGGATTCATTACAGATGAGGAGTTGTTCTGTGTGATTCGGCACGCAAAAGAGCCGCACCGAGTAGGTGGAATCGCTTACATCTCTATCTGCTTTGCCATCAAGTTGACATACATAGAGCGCGTTTGCGGGAAAAGTGCCTCAACGCACTTATGAGTCCCTCATCAGCACCATCTGGAAGGCAAGTGCACCCCTCATCAGATATTGAACTGTTCATTTGTTCTTCAATTCTTAACGGACTATCCAGTTCCCATGGTATGCCACTAGCATGTACACGGTGCATGCTCGTAATCAGCTGTTCGACGCCCTGCTGGTGATGGTGGAGCTCCTGTATCATCGCATTCGCAATTCTCGTACCGTCGGCTTGGACTACCGCTTAGTTTCCGAAATGATGCAGACCGGTCTCCGATGCCCTGGCTTCAACCCTCGCATGAAGTTTGCAATCATCGAAGCTGGCAGAGATCACCTCACCATGCAACGTATGTCGCGTGATGCCCTCTCGCTCTTTCCATTCGATACTCTGACCTGGTTGGCTCCCTACGACGTTGCTTCCTTGACGGTATGAAGTTCTGATGCTGGCCCGTTGATTTTGTTCTTCTTTTGCTTTCCCTGACATTCCTTGCAGTTTTATGGATCACTGATGAGCCGTGGCCGTGCGTCTCAAACTGAGAAACAAGGGTTGGAAAATCGCCACACTAATCCCAATTGGATCCGGCCCTACGGTCAGCAGCTCTTTGTCTGGGGCGAAGAAGCCGCAAAGAGGAAAACTTTTGCTGAGGCAATTGCCTATGAGCTGGGAGTTTTCCGTTCCATCATCATCGCTGGCCACAGAAACAACGGTCATCACTCCCGTGTCTCCTCCATCGGAACTGCGCCGCCCAGCAGCCCTACATGTCCTGTACGCTCATCTTCGGTCGTGCCGCACACTGCGTCGAACACCCCACGACCTGGCAATACTGGAGCTTTGAACACGCATAATTCCTCCGGATTTATTGTCGCCGATGATTTTCTTCCTCCTTACCACACGTCTAGCCAGAGCTGGCACCCTTCAATTGCTACTTCCGCTGAGAATAATGCCCAGACCCGTTCCTCGTCGAATATTCGGCAATCCCGAGCCCACCGCACATACGGCAGAAACCGTATTTAGGCGGTCGTGCTGTTCGTTGTTGCCAAGAACGAAGGGTATGTAATGGTCCAGACAAGATAACACACGTGACGTTCGGTTGTTCTGAGACCACGTTCCCATTCTATCCAGTGGGGTTTCTCCTCGTAATATCGCACAATTGCTTCTGTATTTACTCATTCTTGCTTTTTCTTTTGATGCATCATGGGGACGCCGGTTCTTTCCCAACCTAAAGGTCCGGATTTGGGAGGGAGACATTAATTTGTGGAGCGGCGGCGGATACATCGTTCTCTATGCCCAGATCCCCTCAGCGGTGGATAAGTAATCATAGTTTAAGCGATTTGAAATTCTACAAAGTTTGCTAGTAATTTCACCTAGTACCGGAGAGCTAAGCTTCATAAGCAGCGTGTAGATTCAAAAGACCCAATGCCTAGCTGCATCAACCTCCAAACTCTGTGTGTTCTAGAGAGAGTCAAGACATGCCAAGCTGGACATTAACAAACGAATTCACTCCATTTCAGATCGTCGCCTTATAAGATTTTGTTTGAAGTAGCTACTATGTGGTACTAGAAGCCATTTGGCTAATTTTAGCATCGGCCTTTCCGGTCCCTCCATAAGGCTCCCATCCTCTCTGTCTTAACGGCAAAACTTTCATTGACCACAGCAACCACAATGGCTGATAGAAGTATAGGTTGGGACTCATAAAAAATCCTCTTGTGCTGTGCATGATCTCCACGTCCAGACTGTTGCTTGTTTTGCAAGGAATTTTTATTTTTATTTTTATTTTTTTTTGCAATCTTGCCCTAGTCTTCTCTATTGGACGCCAATGAATCATCAATTAAAGCTCTATCAATCATTTAATCGATGAACAGTAATTAGTTGCCTCGGTATGTGAGCGTTTCTTGCAGAAACAAAGTAGGTCGATGTATGTCGGGTGTTGAAGCAGAACGTGCCGTGGTTTTTGGGCGCCTGATGAAAGCCGTATTGATCTGTATTCATCATTTCGATCCTCTGATACTTTTGGTGGATCTACATTCATCACACTTGAATGAACATCGACACCTACGGCTGAGACAAGCCATCATACAGCATCAAGGCTCTATGAAATTAGACACTTTAATCGGCATGACAGCTTCTCCCACTGCCTCCCCCAACTTTCATGTCGTAGTGGGGGCCGCGCGTGAGTATTGGGACCGCGCCACCTAGCGCAGACTGGCTCCTTGCACAACTGCAAAATAGCTGGTTCTCTCTTCACCGAGCAAAGTAAGCTGACAATCGACAACAGCATTAAAGATCCATGTATCAGGTAGAATCATTCACATTCTTTGAGGAACGGAATGTGGCTGAGGATTGCGTCAAGTCCGAATTGACAATCCCGATCATCGCAGAGAACCGCAGAAAATCGATGGCAGAAAAAAAAGACTGCGGAAGGCTAAAAGGCGGAGGCCACCTCATCGTGGATTTCCTTATTTATTATGAAAAAGCCGGTTTTTAAATGGACAGGTCCGCACTTTCCATCCACTTTTTGTTTTTGCTTTTGTTTTTCTTTGTATACCTGTAAAGAATTATCTCTGCGTTGGGCCTCAACGACGTCTACATCCACCTTTTCGACGTTAGTCGCTTTGCAGCCAACAAACGAGAGCGCAAAACTACACGATCCAAATAGAAGACTAGCGAGACCAATCTTGAACTCAGTACTATGCCTCGACGATCGTCTCGGCCCGCTCCCGCAAGCCCCGAGGCGCCTGCGGCGGCGCCCAAACGACGCGCCTCTGCACGGTTGTCCGTGTCGCAGGACGAGGTCAAGCGAGTCAAGTCCAATGCCGACCTTTCTGGAGTGAAGTCCACAACCAAGAAAAGCAAGTACTTTGAGCCCGAGAGCTCTGCTGAACCTGAGGATAGCGAGAGCGAAGGCGACTCGGGCTCTGCCTATGAGGAACAAGACCAGGAAGAAGATCAAGTGTCTTCCGATCATCAGTCCGAGACGGAAGAGCCCTCCGAGAGTGAGGAAGAGTCCAAGGTAGCAAAGGGGAAGCAGAGAAAGCAGGCCCACAATGCCACGTTGGACGCAGACGCGCTAAAGGGTAAAGAGCTGTGGCGCGAGGGAGTGCGGACGGGTCTAGGGCCCGGCAAAGAGGTGTTCATCCCCAAGCCCAAGGCGCGCGACGCAGGCGGCGTGGCATACCAGGATGAGACACTGCACCCCAACACGAAGCTGTTTCTGCAGGATCTGGCGGAGAACAACGAGCGCGAGTGGCTGAAGGGTAAGGCCCCTTGGAGAACCCGCGGTTACCGCAGCTAATAGTGTAGCGCACGACCCCGACTACCGCGCGGCAAAGAAAGATTTTGAGACGTTTGTCGAGACGCTCACTCCGAAGATCGCCGGCGTCGACGCCACCGTTCCTGAGCTGCCCGTGAAGGACCTGGTAATATCACTGATCCCGGTGACTTCTTTCCTTCCATTAACGCTTCTAGGTCTTTCGTATCCACCGCGATATTCGCTTCAGCAAGAATCCTCTTCCATACAAGGTATGTGAGATCAGTGTGCCCCTTCCACCCGACTCTGCCTTGGGGTCGTGTGCCAGCCCCGTTCTTGTGTTACTGTGATACTTGGTGGCGGCGCGCTGACGGACGAATAGATACATTTCTCTGCAGCCTGGTAAGTGATTGTGACCGTGATTGTGACTGCAACCGCGACCTTGGCGAAAGGGCGATTGGCTTATAGAGTTGTAGGTCCCGCACCGGCAAGAAAGGTCCTTATGCTGCGTACTATGTCCATTTCCAACCTGGTGCTTGTTTTGTCGGTATGTCTCCCGCACTTCCCACCTTGCGATCGATGCAACACGGCGATACTGCAAGTTCTTGCAATCGTTACAGTACTTGCGGCATGACAAGTACAAGCAGTTCATGCTCGTGATTGTGGTCTCTCTTTTTCCGTGCTTATCATGTCTGGTCGGGTGTAGGCTGCGGTCTCTGGAACCCAGAGGCTGAACCGCTAGCATTGCTGCGAGAGGATATCGACGAGAACGCAAGTCGTTGGAAGGAGGTGCTCAAAGCACCGGCGATGCGCCGCGAGTTCCTGAACGGAGCGCCGGATGATGATGACGCTGTCGTGAAGGCCTTTACTCATCACAACAGGGAATCTGCTTTAAAGACCAAACCCAAGGTATGAAGTCATCTTTTCTTTGTCAATTCACATGCTCCCCAAGAGGGTAGGAGGCATCCTCGTACCCACAGGCATGTCTTCCCAAAACAGACTCGTTTCCAATAGAATCAGGGATATTCAATCAAGGTCGATGAAAGGCTTTGGTCGTGGGTATTGAGGCAGGTTGGTCACGGTCGATAACCGTCGCGATCTCCGGTCGGAGTCGATCATGAGAATGAGCCTTTCCACCTGGATGAGCATGCAAGCCAGAGGCTCTCCAACCCTGCATACAGCCTCCTTGAAATCTAGGGGGGGGGGGGGGTGGGCCATCACCACCTCTGTTGAGCGCCATTTGGCAGTCATCATGGTTCACCGAACCGGCTTGGCCAATCCACGGGAGTAGCGAGGCCCTCAGCCAGGGCACCTGACCAAGAGGACAGCCTCAAAGACCAAGTGGCGGAAGAAGACGTGCGCGATTGTCGAATTGCGCAGGAACAGGAACACCATCAGCATTCAAAGCTGGCTTTTCCGTTATTGACGCCGTCGCATCTGGTACCATGGTTCACATTGGCGCCAGTCTCCACGGGCCTGAAAAGCGCCATCCACGCAGCCCCCTACAGAACTCACTGACTCGTCCCTTTTGTTTTACAGGGCTATGAAGCCGACAATGCCAATATTCTACTTCTACGGTTGCGCAGTTTCACGATCGGACGACCCATCTCAGATCAAGAGATGTTGGCGCCGGATGCACAGGACCGGATCGCCGCGCTGGTTGGGGTCATGGAGCCCTTCGTAAGCCCATCCTAGCCCCATGATCTATCCATTTCCCTGTCCAGTCTAGCCCGTTTTCCCTTCTGAGCTAGTTACTTGGGCTGCCAATCAGCTCCGCACCGTCTCACCTTTGCTGCAGCCCTTGAGGCCTTGAGGCCTTGAGGCCTTGGGGAAAAACCGCACACAATTGCTGACCGCTCCCTCGTTTTCTTAGGTGACGTATCTCAACAGTATCGTGATGCCCGATATGTAAGAGGTCAACGCCAATGCCTCGATCGAGACTTGAGACTTGAGAAGAACAAAATCTTGTTCTATCTGAGATGATCGGAAAGGAATTCTTGTTTTCAATTGTCTCGCCAAAAACCTGTAGATCGGTCATCATTCCCACAATCATACATCTTACCGTTACCCGCTACTTCACCCACTTCATTCCCAGCCCAACTGCATGCACACGGCCATCTTTGGCTGCCTCCGCACAAGCGAGCTGCCGCATTCCCGGGTGCTGCGAGGCAAAGGCAATGAAGTGTCAACTGCGCATCCATCACATCCGACTGCATCGCCCTATTTCAATCTACCCCTCTTCATCCTCAATACCCCTCTATCGCACAGCCCAAATCTGACAAGGGTAGAGCCTGGTACACATTCGATACAAAACTTGTCCCATCACCCAAAGAACCAATTGCAGCAACAAACCCAACAAGTACCTAAAAAGGGGGCACTAACCTACATTTTTCACCTTTCGACCATCATAGTCGGGGACCGTATTCGATCTGGGCCGAACCATCCGTCCCAAAGTTATGGCTGAAGAAAAAACCCCCCCACCCCTTAAAAAAAAAAACTGAAGAAATTGAGACTCCACCAGTATTGTATAAACGATTCTGCAAACATTCCCTGACACGCATGAAGAACAATCGCCACCGTACCCGCGCGCCGCGTTCGGCCCGTTGTCGGGCAAGCCCGCTAGGCAAAACCTTGGAAACCTTGGACTCCATTTTCTCAAGCGGCTGTGGGATTGGGCCGGAGCGGGACTCCGCCACGTCCCAGATTTCGAATAGACGATGTGCACCTTCCTGGTCTGGCAAGGACCGACTGATGAACCAAAGAATGGCTTGGGGCATTGATTGGTTTCTGCAGCTGTGGAGGTTACCGGAGTACTGTATACCAATGCCTATACCTTCTTAGGGATGTGGTTTTTCTTATTTTTCTGGCCTTCACGTGGTATTTGTGGTGGGGTGGAGGGGATCGTGCGGGAGGCTCGAGATATCTTACCTGGCACAGGATCAATTGGTGTCTGGTGGTTTCATTTCGCTTGGGGATAAGTCGGATGTAGGTGCGAAGGTGTTTCTCTCTTGGAGGAAGGTTTCGTTCATATATCTTTCAGGTGACTTTGCAAGGTAAGAAGACCCAAGGCGTTTAGCTTAGCCTTATGCTAAGTTCAATCACGAGGTAGATCGTTGATGGTAGAACATTTGAATTAATCTTGGTTAACATTATTTATTACCGGATTGTTAAATCTGGATCTGCACACCTCTCGGCTTTGAGATATACTTCAACATGTGTCATCTGCGCGTCAAGTCTGCCCGTAGAACTGAATCCAAATATCGAGGTGATTTTGAAAGTGACAGGATCTCAAAATGAAGTAAATTATTCGCTGGAAAATAGTATTGCCAAATGTAAGGAGACATTTGAAGGATATGAAAGGCTATCTGAAGTTGTGGAATCTTCATACCCAGACAGATAGTCAACTAGCCCTGGGGCTCACAAGGTATGGATGGACATATGAATCTCCCACACGTGCAGGATGATTTCCAGTGTCTACCCAAGGCGAGTCAAGGTGTGGCTCTAGCAAGTCGATTTCAGGGCTCGTGGGGGAAAATTAGGTAGATTGGGTGATTTCGACATGATCATCTTCAATGATGCTCGTGTTCAGGCCAAGTGGTAGGCATTTCACCAGATGACAGCCCTCCTGTATCTGGATATCCCGACGGAGCTTATTGGTATCAAGTAACGCAGTTTGACTTTCTCGTATGGAATCTGCCAATGGGAATTCAAAGCGACAGCCCTAAAAAGCAATTTATCTAGACAAGTTCCTGACCTCGAGGTCACCCACCGCCAAAGAACCTTAGAGACTCTGAGGCTCGGGGTAATATAATAATGCTCTTGAAATCTTATAGGCTAGGTTCCAGCTGTACATAGGACTAAGTCCTACACTTTCACGAAGAAGCTCCCAAGAATCGGACTTATGCTTCCCTCCACCCTGCATCGAGGCGCAAAGAGAATATAGATCTGCCAGGAATCTCCTAGTTACAAGGTTCCGCCAATGTTCGACGATCGCATTTACCTGAGCATCCTTCAAGGGGCGGCATGGTGCAGGCTCATGAGAGTCAACTTCCGAATTACTGTGTGAAGCTGGGCAGCTAGTTTTTTGGCCGTCTCACGGCCTGAACTCGAACAACTTGCTGCCCAACCAGGGATCAGAGTGTCGGCGAGGCTCTCCTGATGGGTTGGACCATGTGAATCCGGCCTCAGGCGACCTCGTCACTCTCATACTGTCCACCATGTGGGCTGCACTTGTCCCAGACTGGACACTCCATCGTTTCTGAAGTCAATTTTCAACTGTCAAAAAGTCGCATGCGCCAAGTGAGCCACGAATCAAACGGCTTAAAGATCGCTCATGCGCCGGCTGGCAGCAGGCCCAAAAAGCATCGTGATCGTCCCGCGCTGTATGACACGACTTTCGCTCCGGGCGAGTTGGAATCGCAACGGTGTGTCACCGCTTCTTTCCTGCACTCCATCACACGACCCCGGGGGGGGGGGTCGCCAGGACTGTGCACTGCCCCGAGCAACCACCAAACACATCGCCACGTCAGATCTACTAGAAAGCAGAGGGGGAAATGGTCGACTGTCATAGGCTATCTTCTGTTCCCGTGACTGAACGGCCATGCGGGCGGCGTCTATTAGTGCCCGACGGGGCTCCATCCATAGACGCGCTCCCGGGCGGATTTAAGAAGAACAGTGAAGAAGAAAGAGGGGCCAAAAGTCCCGAAAACCCGGTGTCCCCGATTCCCCGATGACTTAAAACAGGAACCCGAAAGATACCAAGCCAGAAAAAAGACAAAACGTCGCAGCCTGCCGACTTGCGGTTGGGTCTCCAAGCCCGCGCTCAGTCCTTCTTTGGAACCGAAGCGACTAGCGTGTCCCTGGGAGAAAGTGCATCGACTGGCCAGCGATTTCGGGACGGGTGGATCCCTCTGGAGAAAGGAATCGATGAAATCCGGTACGCTAAACTAGAGCTGAGGCCAAAAAGTGGAGAGCGGCAACGGAAAGACGCGGACGGCAATGCAGCGCGCCGATTGGGTTCGCACCTATGGAGAAAAAAAACGTGGCGAGAAGAAGGAAAAAAAAAAAATCATCCGTGACGCCTGCGGGGTCTCATTCGATCGATACGGGAAAATGGAGGCGCGCATCCATTATTTCTGCGCGTCACCATTACCAGTCTCAGACCATTCCTTTCTATCGCATTCACTTATGGTTGTTCTTTTTTCTTTTTTTCTTTTTTTTTCTTCTCGCATTATCGTGTACTATCGTATTTCTTTTTCACAGATGGCACACATGCATGAGATCGGCGGGAAGGCCGGAGCGGCCCGTGGGACAAGTACCCCGACCACACAGGCCGCAAAACTTCCTCTCCCAGTTTCGTCCTTTTTAATCGAAACGAGACTAAACCCCTTCCCCTCTTCCCCCCCCCATATCCTTCCTTTCCCCAATCAAGTTTGTCATCTAATAATGACATCGGTTAGGATGATTCAAATTGATGGGGAATGTACGATGATCGGGTAATATGAGGTGACGATCCAGACTCCCACCCAGAATCCAAACCCAGACCTCAGACCTAGATTCGCACTCGGACTCGGACCCGTCGAGTCCACCAGTCCACTCCCCGTACAACGTGGTTGTGGCACTTTGACGATGAACCCGCCCCCCCTGTCACAGCGGAAAACGCAACGCTAATGCAGGTTACCTTGGCTCATGATGGGCTTTGAGGATCCAGTGCTACAGCCCTGGGAACTTAGGGCGCTCGTCACCGGACTCGTATCGGTGGCGGGAGAGCTGAACCCCACTCATCAGCTGAAGTCCGATCGCCACTGCACACCGCCTCCCCTAAGCCTCGCGAAGAGGGACAGTTCGATAGTATCCATACCTGCAGTAGCTTCATGCGCATGGCCTGGAGCAGGTTATTTACCGGTGCCCGCTGTCCACCCCTCTTTGATGAATTCTTTTCTCGCCCTTCATCCTACTTCCCTCCGTTTTGGAGCTAGGCGCGATTGGGTTGCAATGATTCGCCCCGAGCCGGGCCCATCACCATGGAAAGGATAACTGGTTCCGCGGGGCCGGTTGCGGTTGTGCGAGGACGGACCGAGTCGCAGCTAGCCCATGGACGACCGAGGCAGTAGCCAGGGATCACGGCAGTTATGACGATCCCCGTCCAACATCGCGCAGCAGGGTACATCCCAGCCTGGTCACCTGAATTTGAAAGAGTACGTGGAAGGGCGAGCCATGCGTAGAGAGCAACGAGCAAAAGCCCAGGACTTTGGAGTTATGTATTGTAACGGTTCAGCTGAGGGACCCCCGTCCATGTCGACGGGTCACTAGGCGCCGCCTTAGCCCGCGCTGCCCGGGTTCCACCCCGTTGTCTAAAAATTCCTTGTTCCTTCCAATCAAATAATTCACGGACACCTTTTTGTTCCCTTTTCTCTACGTTTTTCCAGAACCTCCCTTATCTTCTTTGGTCGTGGGGACTTTTTTCCTCCCTTCTCTCCCTCTCTTCCCTCTCTCTCTGTGTGTCTGTGTCTCTGTGTCTCTATACTAGCCCTAACTCCATCGTGCTCACGTCATAGTCCCGAGACTCTTCCCTCTTTTATTTTTTTTTTTAATTTTTAATTTTAATTCTCTTTTCCCTCTCTCCCTCCCTCCCTCTCTTTTCTCTTTATCTCTGATTTTTTTTTGGTTTTTTTTTTCTCTTTAGTTCCCATTGTCCCTAGTTCTTATTTCCTATTTCCTTTTGTTTCCTTTCCTTTTTGGCCCCCCTTGCCAATTCTGCCAATTCTACCAATCTTACCAATCTTACCAATTCGGATCTTCCTGCGTCTTCTTTCCCCTGCGTGACCGCGCTATGCTGGCATCGCCCGTGTGATTCGACTCGTCGCCCCCTTTCATAACTCGACGTCACATCCCTGTACCCTTGACTCATCTCATTTCCCACCTTTGACTTCCTCCAACTACAAATGTCAGGCAATCCTCCCGATGACGACCCCAATCGACGGGGCTACCCAGATCCCAGTCGTCCGTATCCCTACGCCCAGGACGAGCAAGGTCATCCTCCTCCCGCTCAACCCGTATGTCTGCCCTTTGACTGAAGCAGGTGAAATTCTGCTGAATGACTTCTAATCTGCCTCACAGTTCCCGCCGTCTTCCTACCCTCCCGAGTACGGTGACCGCGCTTACTATCCGCCGCCACCGTCGCAATACCCGCCGCCTCCACACTACCCCCCGGGCTCTTCACAATTCCCCCCACCGTCCAGCATGGCCGCCGTCCACCCTCATGCACAGGGCCCTCCGTATATGGGATACCGCCCTGATGCGTACGGACAGCCTCCACAACCTCAGGTGGTCTATCAAGCCGCCGCACCCCGACAGAGAACCGCAATAGCCTGTCGCTACTGCCGACGACGCAAGGTACGTTTTAGCGGGGGACCAGACTATTGAGCGGAAAGCTTACCGAGGGGGTTTATAGATCCGGTGCTCGGGCTTCGAGAACTCCAACGATGGACGCTGCACCAACTGTCAGCGCTTCAATCAACAGTGCATGTTTACTCCAGTCTCCTCGCAGGCGCAGGCTTTTGTCCCCGCGCATGCTGCCTACCCTCACTTGCGCGACTCGCAAGGCCGAACACGCACCGACCCGAATGTGCAGCTCTACGGCCCTCATGGACAGCCTCTCCCACCGCAGGCGCATGATGCGCAAGCCACCCTGCCGCCGCCTCAAGGGATGTACGGTCCGTACGGTGGTCCCCCGCCACCCTTGCAGGAGGACCAATGCCCGATCCGGTATGTCATTATTCGTCATTCTGGCCGAAGTGCCTGATCTAATTGTTTATGATGGATGTAGCGCCAGCGTCGAGGCTCAGGCTCAGGATTCGATTACCCTGATCCAATGAATCTGGCTCCCGTTACGCCCTCCGGAGCTACCCCCGGATTTCAAACGCACACCGCTCCTAGCCCCTATTATCCCCAGCAGCACGATCGGCGCACCTCGCCGCAGGGCGGATATCCCTACGATGGGCGTCACTCAGCCTCGCCCCATAATTCGCCGTTCGTGGCTTTGGCACCCCCGGCGGCAGGGAGCGCGACCCCCCCTCCCGCCCCAATCTCGACTCCCGGTGGTTCCCAGCGTGGCGGCTTGAACGTGCGTGACATGTTGAATCCTGGGGACGATTCGGGGGCGCGGTCTGGCACCGATAATGACATGCTTAATGCGCTGAATCGACGCGGTCTGAACATGGACAAGAAGTAAGGGCTCCCGAGTGGACCGAGGACGTGCCAGACGGCGGAGGCATATACGGTGGAAACGACGCGACGGGAATGCGGGAATCTGGAAGGAATGAGAGATACCGTGTGCTGGCCACACGGGTCTGGAAGGACCATGTGTTGAAGTTACGGTTACCTGTCGATGGCAGCGTGGCCTCTGTCGGAGCGACGTGGTGGGACCCGGGCGCCTGCAGGATCATCCAAGAATTTATTGTCTCTGCCCTCCCTGGCGAAGTGCGAGCGCGAGCCCCTTGAATGAACGACCAGGGCGAACACCACGACAAAGTAGCCCTTGCCCAGCAGGTCGGAAAGATTCGGGGCGATCCGAGCTCGGCCATTGAGATGAGGACGGTCTTTTTCTGTATCTCCTGACACGAGGCGACGAAACGCGGACCCATGAGCTTACGAGCCGCACGAACATTTACTCCGAGATCGGGCCTCACGGTCCTCGATCATCGGCATACGATTTTCCTTTACTGTTATACATTTCGATTCTTCTCGACCGATTTAATTGCGGAGGGTTTCGGCGTCTGTTGAAGTTCGCATCTCTTAGCCTGCCACGGATCACCATCTCTGGGAGTTTCAGCCTCAACCAGCATCATGCCTCATTGCATCACATCACACAACCACACCCGCAACACCTCAGCCCTGATGGAACCTCCAGAATTCCTCTATGGCGGCAACAACATCATTGTCACGAATTTCGGGCGGCTATCTCTGGATCATTTGCAGTCACTTGTTCTGGGTCGGTTCTATTGTCCCTTTTCGCGTTCCGTTCTCAGCCCTTCTGCATTTTCTCTTTTCCTTCTTTTCCCGTATATCTTATATTATCCGGAAGGCAATCTCCTTGCGCCAAAACATGGTCGGCTGTGTCAAAGTTTTTTTATTCTCAATTTTTGCGACTCAGTTCATCATTTGTTCTTTGTTTACCTGGGAGGCTGTCTGATCAATTTTGTCATTTCCCTCGTCTTGCCTGTTACTCTTTTCGTCGATCAAGCGTTTTTGAATCTAAGATGGTGATATGTCTTGATTATTATAACCCCGAGTAGATGATGTCTCCATTGCAATATTTTACACCCACGCTTCGGTGCCATTTGAATTGGGTAAAGAAACTCCTGGATTGGATCGGCTTTGGGTATGCGACAAGACGTCGCGGAAATTAGGGCCAAGTTTGCCGATACAGCCGAATTAATTGGCACCAATAGCCGCGCTGTTCAAGAGCATAAATTGATTAGGACGTCATTGAGACAGCGGGCTCCGATTCGCTTGCAAATTCGCCTGATTGAGAGATCCTCGATTTGGTCTAACAAAAGGCGGACATCCGGACACCTCGGGAATACCTTTTCAAACCGTTCACAGATAGATCACACGTTCCAGACGGTCCTAGGTTCATCCGGAATACCCTGACCAAGACAAAAATGCAATCACTCATCCGTACTTTGGTCATGGTCCATACTTCAGTACCCAAACAGCATTCGTGTCTGGAAAACCAAACAGCTGCTGAGACAAAGGATTCAAAATGGCCCCAAGTCGATTTATTCCATCCTCTTTTTGTCTCTTGATCCCCTACAAGGCTACTGAGCGCAGAATAGGCTCGAAATAAGCTCGAACCAGCCGCAGTGAGCCTCATCACGGGATTGCCACCGCAATCCCAGCACTGAACCCCGGAGATGTTCATCGAGCCTACGCCGAAGGACACTCCTTGTCGCAACTATCGTTCACGAATGGCGAGTCTGGTGGTTCCTTTTCATGAAGGTGAGTCGTACGTACAGCGGATATTGTCCGGTTCAAGTAGAAGGTCATGGACGGGCATATTGTTTCGTACCGTTCGAAGTTGATGACGCTTAGGTGCGCCACTCGTTGGATTCGTTGCTGTGGGTTGAAGTTGGAGAAGGTAGGTACGAGTCCCGCGCCAATAGCCCAGTCAACAGGACCCTGATACGCTACAATCATCGATACCAGTATCATGTCTGCCATCTCTACAACTGATCCGGACTTGGTTGCTTTGCTTGAAAGGAGTTGAAGATCGCTAACTAAATCTACCCTCTCCATCCATCACGACTGATTTCATTAACTCGAAAAGGATCGTAAAAACGAGACTTGAGGGACTAGCTAGGTGCATTCACCGCCATTATGCATTATGCATTACACCTCGATCCAGGCTCAGATCGCAAAGGGTCAGCAGGGCTGCCAGCGGAAGAAAGAAGAACGGACAGAGGAAATCAGGATGCAAAGAGAAGAAAATAACAAACGAAAAGAGGGGGTGAGGCTGGCATTGATCAGGTTGAATCCGGGGGATTGAGACAGAAACTCCGAACGGGAACTCCGACGCAAAAGGAACTTGAAACGAGAGTATCGACAGCCGACGCCAGGCTCGACGGATGTTGGGAATGCAAGCGAGTGTAGAAAGTGGGAGACAAGAAGCAGGTAATGCAATGGTGAGTATTTTTATTTCAGGGCTGAAACGCAGCAATGCGGGGAGTGCAGGCTAGAGACTGATTGAGAAGCAAATGGCGGAAGTTGACTGAGGGAATGTGGTATCAAGCGTTTGGAATAGATTCCAGCACGCGGGCCATTTTCTTGGCTCGGACAGGGTCTTGGACAATCATATCCCGGCTCTTGAGCATCATTTGCATTGTATCAACCACCTTGTTGAAGGTTGATGCGGCACCGCGCTCTTGTTTGAACCGGACCAGGCTGAGATTTGCTTGGCGGCCATGCTCGAGAACAGTGTAGAACTCTGCGGTAAATTCAACTTCTCGAAGACGCAAGACTGAAGAAAGGGGTTAGTGATAATGAGGTTCGAAGATAGAAATGTAACTCACAATTGACCTCGCCGACACGTCCGCGGACAATGCTGTTGTTCTTGTCCATGGTAACATCTTCCATGCCATAATCTTCCCACTCACGAAGGAGGCGGTAGACCTCTTTCCGTCCCTTGACCTTCGAGGTATTAAGGGCAATGACCCTAGTAGCAGGTTTGATTTGGAATACACGGGCGAACCAGTTGTGGTTAGCGAGGGAAAGGCGCTTGTTGCGGGCAGGACTTGCAGGATCATCAGCTTCGAAAGAGCTTTCTTTGTCGGGGAATCCCTTGCAAAAGGGAGAAACTTGTTGATCCTTCGAGCTCTCTTTTTCTTTGTCTTTTTTGAAGCTTAGCGACGTCATCACAAAGCAGTTGAGATTTGATTTACCTATTTCCTGGGGGGCGGTTTTGTTCGCCTTTTTCGACACGAGCTTCTTCAATGCTCCTCCGAATCGCTCCATGGAAGACTTGCGAACTGGCACCCGATCGGCATTTGTCTTGGTTGGCGAGGGCGGCGTTGATGGAGGGGTGTGAATAACCACTGTGCCAGTGCTGGGGGTTATTTGCTTGGTATCCTTGGGTGGAAGAGCTGGGGCAGATTCGGAGACTTGAGGCCGATGCTTGAACCATGACCACTTCTTCCCATCAGCCGATCTATGCTTAGGAGAGACAGGAGCCTCTTCAATCGGTTCCAGTTCACATGCGTTGCGGGTTTGACGGGAACTGACTGAGAAAGCACGCATAGGATCCATAGACTCGGGCTCGGCAGAGTCGGACTCGGGAAGCTGATTCTTCTTACGAATCATCAAGGGCTTCACCTCATGAAGAGACCGCACAGAGCTATGTGGAACCATTCGAATCGTGGCTCGAGCATCGCTTACACAGCTCGCGGCTGACGGCCGCTGCTTGGATTTCGCCTTGGGAGTTGGAGCTACCGGACCTCGGACGGGGCTAGCGAACTCCTCCTTGATCACAGGCAATGCCTCAGGTAAGGTATCAAATGGGTCCATGAAGACAGGAACATCCTCCCCGGACTCACTCCGCTTGTGATGCTGTGCTTGGTCTTCCTCAATCAACCTATCCAGATGTCCAATCACTCCAAACAAGTACGCCGGAATGTTGTCATGTCTTCCTTTGCTATGTTCGACAAGTTTGCGTCGCGTTTCGGTAAGTTCTTGGATACTGTAAGACCGTCCGGTCTCCTTTGAACCTCCCTTTATGGTTTGCATGGAAGGCTTAGTGGGAAGAGCGACGTGCTGTTTTGGACTGGCAATAGAAACTGGAGTCAAAGGAGTCTCATACCCGGCTTCGTCGCTAGCACTGCGGATGGTCGAGATAGAGCTGCCATTGAAAGCCTCTTCACAGATTTGGCTGAGCTCGTGGGATACCTTGCGAGCATCTTCCTTCCAAGCCAAATCGAACACTCGGATCCTCTTCTCTTGGCACGTAGTTTTGGTCTTCAGGCCACTTCGGTGGACCACTGTCGGTTGGGCAGGAAGGGGTGGGCTGCTGGGAATGGGTATGAAATCCATCTCATGCGCAATGAACTGCAAGCTAGCTACACTGGGTGACTGCTTGAGATCAGTCTGGGCATTTTGATCCTTCTGTGCTGTCTTTCGCCTTTTGGGCCTAGTGGAGCTTTGGGATCGATTGCGTGCATGGTGGAATGAGACGTTACGACGGTAGCTTGTTGACCGAGAGGACATTCCAGGTGCTCGTGAACTTGAGTGAGCAAGTTTAGACGAGTGGAAAGATTTCATAGAACTTGGTTTGTGCTTTCGCTTCTGAAGTACGGTAAATGGCGACTCGGTTGCATCATCTGACTCCTCCTGCTCTACCTCTTCTGCGATGGAAGTAGGGTGCTTGACCATTGAAGAGATCTCACCAATTTCAGGAATCTCAGTGGTTTCTTTGTGGATGGTGATGTGGGCATACTTGGCCTCAGCAGCTGCGCCGTAGTTCTTCGGCGACCGATATGGATCATAGCTTTCAACACTTGCGCAAGACTTTGGCTCTTGAGTGCCACCCATGCGACGGTGGAAGTCTTTGACCTTTGAAATCTGCGAACGACGCTTCGAATTGCTTCGATTCTTGCGTCCTTTACCTCCAATTCGGGAAATATGGTGGTAGTCGCTGGCTGAGTATTCAAGGGGCTGTCCCTGATAGTTCTCCAACTGTTCGTCACGGAACTTAACGAGAGCATTGTAGAACATCCGCTCATGGGTTGGTCTATATTAATGTTAGATTCCAGTTATCGAGTCACGAAGAGATCGACAAACTTACTCAAGGCACATGATTCGATCAACAAGAGCCTCGGGCTTGACGTCATGCCAGAGAGTCTGCAGATTGCGCAGAATATCACCATCAATATCATGACGATCTGTGACAAGGTTCCCGCAATCTTTGACGGATAATGCAGGCGGTGGTCCAATGTAGTGATCAGCCATAGCATTGTGAAGTTTTTCATACTTGGTCAACAAGGGTGCATCCAGACATTCTGCATGGAGATGCGGTCTTCGGGTCGCTTTTGGAGAATTCGCTGGATGAGATCGGCTGATTCATCGCTCAACTCTTGGGGAATCATGTAGTCGCCTTTCTTGACCAGTCGCAATGTATTCGGAAGATCACCGCCATCGAAGGGCAGGTATCCGGTCAAAAGGGCATACAATATGATACCGCAACTCCACATGTCTGCTCTGTCACCGCGGTATTTTCGTCCGTAGATAATCTCAGGTGCTGCGTAGTGGGGACTTCCACAAGAAGTGTTGAGCCAGTGGCCAGGGGGTTGCAGAGCAGCCATGCCGAAATCAGCAAGCTTGACATTGTGCTGTCCATCGAGCAGAATGTTCTCTGGCTTCAGATCACGATGGCAGATGTTGAATCGGTGGCAATACCCGAGGCCAGCAATTATCTGACGGAAAAGTCGCACAGCCTCCTCCTCCGGTAGGGGTCCATGCTTGGAGACATAATCGAAAAGTTCACCTCCTTCAACGTACTCTAGGACAAGGTAGCTGCGTAATGTGTTAGATAAAACTTCAATATAGCGTGGCTTGCTGTACTCACAGTTCACCGCGGTTCTCCCAAACATCGTACAGGCTGATGACGTTAGGGTGTTCAATCAACTTCATGATAACAACCTCACGTTCGATTCCACAGGCATGTGACGAGCATTCGAGAAACCCGAGAAGTTACTGACATTACGATCCATCGCAGCAATGCTCTCGCTTTGCACCATGGCGGCAGACTTCTTGGAGACGATTTTGATTGCGGCGGTCTGACCCGTAACAGCGTGCTTGGCCAGCCGGACGCGGCCAGTGGCACCCTTGCCCAGGGTTCTTCCTAGCTGCCATGGCCCTACATGGGTCTTCCTCTTCCCTTGTTAGACAAGATAGACGCGGCCGAGACGACAGAGTTTCGTGCCGAGTCAGACTGGAAATCTGTGGCAATGGAGTGCCGCTGATTTTCTTTGTCTCTTGGCGTAGGACTCATGACGACGGACATACGATCTGGTGTCTTCAGTAGATCGGTGCTCTCAACATGGACCTTGGGAGTTTCAACTCTTGGTGACTTGACGTGGTTGATTCGGCTGGAGGCGTCCACCAACGGTTGACGTCTCCGGTTTGGATCGTTCAGATCCAGCATCACCTGGTCCATTGCTCGGCAGTGATTTTTCCTGCTGACAGTGACAGATGCTGCAGCTATTGATTTTGGCGAGGTAATAGTTACTGGGAAGCTGGTCATGGTCAGTTCTCCCTCTACAACCATACAGGTGTTTCTTTGGTCTCAGCTCACAATAGACAGCGCGAAAGAATCGATTAAATCGACGTCCACTTGGAGTGCTCGTCGCGGGTAAGATTAGCGGTAATGATTGAATGGGATAAATTATGCAGTTGAAAGAGTGGCAGGTGAATAACACAACATCGTGGGGTCGAAGACGAACGAGAGGCGTGGGAGCTGAGAACCCAGGGCGAAAGTCGACTCGAAAGGATGAAAGAGTCGCGAGAGCAAGAGTAATTCAGAAGAATCAAAAGGGAAATGGTGGAAGGATAGGCCGTGGCATGCCTCAGCACGACTGTTGTGGAATGAGAAAGAGAGAGATTCCGTCAATGGCTTGGAATGCATTTGCCCTCACCACACACACTCGACACCTTTTACCACCACTACACCCCATTACGTTTTAATAGTTTTTTCCCGATTCCTCGAAAAATCTCAAGCTGACAGAAAGCGATACTTTTGATATCGAGGTTTTCAATCTATTAGGTTCTTTGCCCCGCATGAAATTGGCTTGGGATGGTACGATCATATTTAGTTCACCACGATCATCCCCCGTTGAGACACTGCAAACCATCTGGAAAGATCGACGAGTCTGTTATGGCTCACACCATCGTTTACTAGGTGCGGGTCGATGTTTGTTTGGGCTAGGGTCAGTAAAGCCCGAGTATACATTCCACATCGACGGTAGGGGGAGGGGAGCAATGTCGTCTTCATTATGGCCTGATCACCTTTATCTTTCGCTAGCAAGGGGTCACTTCACATAATCTTCGGCATTCCGCTCCCCTAGAGTCCCCAAACTAAATTAAAATTAAATTGTGAACTAGACTTTCCTGTAGATTCGACTTGCGCGGGGCGATCTGGTCATCCATCGATGGCCCGATGGCACAAATTTTCTGTGTTTCAATGGAAAATAGGTACACGGAAGTGTCACAAAATGAGTCGTCCGCACAAGTCACTGACGCCTGGATTTTGACGCCTGGATTTTGACGCCTGGATTTTGACGCCTGGATTTTGACGCCTGGATTTTGACGCCTGGATTGTCCGTCGCTTCCACACGTGCCCGTTCGTAGATTATCTTCTGAACCAGCTGTGTCATCTCTTCATTGGAAGCGCATGTGAATCTTGGTATGGATGGGACTACACTTGCGGGTATCCCGGATATACACCCAGTCGATGTTAAACTTCGCTAGGGACGTAGCCTGGGACAGTGCGACTTTGCCAAACATTGCTGGATTTGCAGCATCTCGAGGTACTTTCAGGTTTTACTGCAAGCGCTTACTTCACTTAGTGGTAATTGCCGTTATTTGCACTGTTCGTAGCGTTCAAAATTTATGGGCAATAAGCCGACGCGGCTTCGGAGGCAATTTGGGCTCCATGACTTGCGCTAATCAAGAATCAGCCACTAACGTCTACGACTTAAAGTTGCGAATTTCGGTCGTCCCCAACGATCAATCAATGTGAGCAGAGATCATTTAGAGATTAAAAATCGATGCTGCTTCCTCAATTATATGCAGCCAAGGTCTGGGCGACTCAAAAAGTGTCTGTGGATCTTGACAAGCTGGATATATATACTTTGGGTCGAAAGATCTCCCGCTTCCGAATTTCTACCCTTCCCCCACTTCTTCACTCTATCCATCCCCACATCTCCAGCAATGGCTGACATCAAACCCCCCTTTACCGAGGAAACTGCTATCAAGAAGGTTAAAGCAGCTCAGAATATGTGGAATACACAGTACGTTCTGACTTCAATCTGATTCCGGACCATGTGGCCAAGGAAAGGGTGATGCGGTGTCATCCATTGCCTTCCTCGAGCCCTAGTGTCCAATGCCCGGTCTGTGCAAGTCCCTGGACACATGATGGCATCCCTCTTCTGGTGCCTTCTGCGATCTCTCATCTATCTTGTTGAAGCGCACAATCACGCGGAAATGACTTCTAGGCCCTATTGGATACTAACCAACCCAAAGAGATCCTGTCCGAGTCGCGAAAGCCTATACTCCGACATGCATATGGCGTAACCGGACTTCTTTCTTATCTGGTACCGAAGAGATCGTCGCGTTTTTGACTGCCAAATGGAAGCGAGAGCACAACTACCGTCTGCGCAAGGAGCTCTTTTCTTTCCGTGATGATCGCATCGCCGTGCAGTTCTGGTACGAGTATCAAGATGCGACTGACGGAATGCGTTGGAAGCGTTGTTATGGACTGGAGGATTGGACATTTGACAGAGAATCTGGGAAAATGTGCAAGCGTATGATGAGCGGCAATGATCTGCTTCTTGGACCAGACGGCAATGGCGAAGGACGGTGGTTTGTTCAGGGTGTTGACGTGGATGAGGTCCCGATCGGCCCAGAACACTGGTAGTCTGTCCAGTCTTGCAATATTGTGTAGTTTTCGGGCTAATAAAATCTAACACCTTACCCTCTATGGATGTCGGGTCACCTTTCAAGTCCAGTCGCGTCTTGTCTAGGTGCTTTTTTTGATGCCCCCCCGGCCTGGCCTTTGTTTTTTTTTTTAATTGCAACCTCCAACGAAAAGAACCCCACTTCAATTGATACCAGATGAGCAAGGGTTCGCAAAAATCACGCGCGATTTGCATCCCGACGCCGTTAAATTGCTAATAATACCGATACTACTTGCGTTTATTCAAGGGCTGGGTGGGCACAGGAGCCTTCTGGGACCTTGGTTTGTTGAATTGCTCTCAACTACAGCAGCGCCCGACATCGCCTTCTAGGTCGGAAAAACCGAGATGCTCTTTCAAACCCTAATCAAATGATCTTCTGAATCCAGATATGGTTACTCCTGTACTTTAGATCATGTTTCGGTTTTGAACGGTAAATTCAAACAGACGAGAGCTGTAATATTATGTATTATTACGGATCCAAAAATAACCACCCCCGTGGTGTCGTCGTCCCGACACCATTCTCCCCCCTTTACTCAAGCAACCATTAACTAACCCCCCTATGTCGTTGCAAAAAGGCGCGAAACCTGAATCCCTGGCAGCGTAGGATGATTTAATATGTGATAAGCAGCAAGAAAAGAATGACTACATCACAAATGGTCAAACTGGCAAAGTGTAGCGAGAGTTCTATCACTAACATAAGCAAGAACATGCGGTTGTTCGTAGTCCCAATTCTGCAAAAATCACATATGTAATCGAGCAAAGATTCTATAAAAATGTCTTCGATATTAATATAACCTCATTCTGAGCCTATTATAGTCATTGTGTCAATTCTCAAGTCAATCCAATTAATGGTTGTTGATGATAGTTATTGCATTGTAATTTATCGCATTTAGTATGTGTTACAGCAGTGGCCACTCGCCTGTGGTGGCCATTCGCTTGGGTTACGTTATATATGTTGCACACTATCATATAAATCGTTGATTTCTGCATGAGGTAGAATGGCATTTAACAGTCAAGCAAACTTCTATCTAGATTATTGCCGCAGTCCCACGCTCTCATTGAGATCGAGCTTTGCTAACTTCCATTAGGCCCGTCGATCTTTCAACCCAGCCTTGGGTATGATGTCTTCTTAATACTGCCCACGCGTAGCATTACACCACTGTATAAATGGCACCCATTGTATCGATCATGCACCGATCACTGTAGACGCCATTTTCTCTCGTTGACTGCTTGCGAGACATTCCGTGAAATCCCACAATTCTCCATCCACTTGGGGCAGTAAAGGTGGTCTTGTCATCAGACATAACACCTATCGAGAGTGTGTTTGTAGGGTTCGACGATACAATCATTATCCCACTGACACTGCGCACTGGCATTCTGGTTATTGAGGGTGGGTAATTATAGATAAGAGTAAGTTGCCTGAAGGACAATGTGACCGAGCTTATGTATTCACCCGCGCTGAAGCTTAGGGTACTGAAGGGCGATGATATATGCGCTGGGGGGATTTGCAGTTGTCAAGGGCGGGTTGGAGAAGACGATCTCGTATCGCTCAATCATGGGATAAGGTGCATCATTGTTATGCCATACGGTAATCTTCGTATGATCTCTAAGCCTAGCAGCCTTGGAGGGAAACTGGACCAAGTCATCAAACGAAGTGCAGTCCCCCTTGTCTGGAGTTAGGGGGGCCGGTAATGATATACGTCCGAGAATTGCCTTCTCTGTGAAGAAGCACATAAGTTGAAGGAATTGAAGAAAGCAAGAAAGCAAGAAACAAAGGGCGGAGAGATTTGCTATGAAAGGTAATAAGCAGGGGTGGTGTTTGACTTACTCGAATGCGGCTGAAGGCGAAGATACAGGAGTGGGGCCAGGCACTGGGCCAAAAGTTGGAGCAGGGTTAGTACCACCAGTATCATATTTGCGGAGCCAATCTTTGACATCATCGGGGTCGGCTTTGCAAACCCTAGAATATCATTAAGATGCTTCAGGACGTGTACCATGAGATATGGGGTAGGATTAGAGAGCAAAAGGCATTTGTAAACTAGGTCGTCGATAGGGTTGAGGACAAGATCTCCCCGGTCGATAACAAACTTCCGCTCCTCAAGCAGCGATAAATAGTCCTCCAAGGCTGTACTACCCTGGGTGGTGCTGTAGAAGTCCAGAAGCGCTTTCATTCGCCAGCTCTTGCCTAGGGCTTTGTCTCTAATGGCATCGCGAAACTCATTCTAGGTTTTCCCTTTAAGCTTTCTGCAATTTTTTCTTCACCAGTCGTAAATGGTTTTCGTGTCCTGGGATTTGGTGATAGCGCTCCCTGCTGCGAGGATCTTTTGTTTGTCGGTGAGGTTGCCGCGGAGGCCTCGAAAGATTCCTCACAACGGCTAAGCCATTCGCTTATCTCGAGGAGAGTAACGGGCCCAGTGAAACTCTCTACTTTGGCCATATTCAGGCGGAAGGAAAAGCTTGATCTGAGGAAAAGTATAAAAGTATCTAGATATCTTCAAAACCTAGACTTGAAAGTCTGCACTGTCTGATGAGGGGTCAAGGGGGGCAATAAGGTCTGAGTCTTTATATTCTAACCTTGCTGCCTAATCAGGTAGCCCTCGCCATAATACAACGCGTTATAGATAAGGATAACCCTCGATATGACGCCCGTGCTGTGAGGCCTGAGCGGAGCTGTAAGGCGTTAACCAGTGATCCCTGGTATCCAATAAGATGAGTAGGCTCCTAGATATATCTGCTATGCAATTGCCTGGAAGCCCATACTTAATCGTAATACGGTAGGTGGAGTAACCCAAGAATGCCTGGCTGTATACTGGAATTCGAAATTATCTTCACACGCTCTGTATATACGGTTTGTTTAATTCAATCAGCACCGTATCCGTCGCTGCTGTCGCAAGGAACTGTCTGGGAATCTCCATAATTATATTGGGAAGAATGGCACGGAGGGTATGTCTTATCGCCTGGTTACTGTGTGATTGCATTGACTGCGATGAGGAAGGTTCACGAGTGATACTTGCTCTGTAATTTTTGATTATGCTGACATACAATCATGAGCTAGTCCCTACAAACACCACCAACACTGCAGCATATGCAGCCACGCATGCTAACACTTCCTGGCCCTTAAGGTCTTCGCCAAAAAATGCTAGGCCCAATGCGAAGAGGATCGTTGCTATACTGACTGTCGACAGAGTCGTCGCTTCATTTTTGTGAAGTACCATGAGAAGCATCGGTGCAATAAGTGCCAGACCACCACATAACCCCATCCAAACCCGCCTCCACATCTGCTTTAGGCTAGCATTCTGATTATGGGTGGTTCGAGAAGCTCCTGGAAGGATGTTCATTCTCTTCTTATACCAATGGTAGTCTTGAGCGTGAACAGGCGGTGTTTCCGGTATTAAAAGAGCATCTTTCATAAGGTAGAGGCTGAGGGCATCTTCAGTAGTAATCGAGTATGGGTCCCTTTCACCAGATTCTTTGGCCAGATCTAGCTTCTTGGTCATATAGTCATAATTGCGAATCGCGGAAGCTATGATGTGCAGCAGTCAGAATGCGTCTTTGTCTGTTGCCTCAAAAGCAAGAACAGGTAGGTAGAGGGGCGGGTAAGGGGGAAATCTCACTATATTGACTAAGGAGAGTCTGTGCTCTCGTCAGTGTGTTGGAAGTAACCTGATGCTGTCGCACTGTTTGTCTAACAAGAAAAACAAGCTTTCTTTGTAGATCATGTATGACCATTCGCTGGAGCGTGCTTAATTCAATTTTGTAAGATTTTGGCTCCTGGGGTGGTCCGGTGCGTCCGTATAAATGGCGAATTCCGCTGGTAGTCAGGCGGTCATAGAACTCCATTTCAGACAAATGTATTGACCTTAGTTTCCGTCGCCTTCTCTTCCCAAGTTCCTTATCGTTAACCTTTGGGACATTTATCTTGCTGGCGTCGACTTCATGCTGCCCCTCTTCTCCTATATTGGGTAGGGCGTCAAGGTCAACCTCGGTAATAGGTACTGCCACCTGTGTTATTGCATGATGTTCCTCTGGGAGCATCGAAGCTTTTTTTTGTGTCCTAAGAGGGCGGGATGAAGCTTCCCTCGCTGTGCTATTTTTTTCAATGTCTGTGGCCCAATCATGTCTATCCATGCTAGGATTTGGATATAAGGATTTCATAAATTAATCAGGTTTGACATCGAATATAAAGTTTTGAGGTAAGAAGAAAATGTGCAATAGAAATGCTCAAGAATACTAGGCCCAGCTCTTTTTTAACTAGACATTGCGGGCTGGCTCTTTGGCGTGATGAAAGTCAGCTCAAACCGCTTCCGCAGTCGGTCCAAAAGCAAACGTGAACCATTACTACCAATAGGGCTTCGCCATTGTTACTTGGCGTGTGATTCTTTTGGCTGACTGCAGAATCAATACGAATCTCATCACATGTCACAAGTGACATACCTACATACTACAGCTATGGATGGAGGCTACAGAAGAAACAGGCGAGGGAGGACGGTGAGCGTTCAGAGCGTCGGATACCCCGCCTCAAGAACCCCACATAGCAACTGCGAGATGCAGAAGGGAGAGGTTGACACTGTGCCAGTTCATACGTTGCTTTGTTTGCGCTATTTGTTACGTTTGCGTGGAATCTTCTAGGCGTTCTAGGCCTCTAATTTTAGGCTCTTGTATCTGTCTTACAATCTATAAAAAGGAACTGGTATTATTACGGGTATGTATAGTACGTGTTATTTTCCTGTATCATGTGATTAGGGTTTGAAAGAGCATCTCTGACTCCGACTTGTAAGGCGATGTCGGGCGCTACTGTACCTTGACAAAGCACTGAAACTTTCGCCCCTTGAATTTGTCATGTGGTAAGCGTGCGATATTCCTCTCCTTCATTCCACGGCCCTAGATACTGGAGGGGGCTTGAGATTCTTGAAATAGTAAATCCTCCACGACCTTGTCTGTGCGATTCGTAACAAGCTCCCATTGCCACGCACAAGGCCATATTCATCGATCGCCTACGATCGGATCGGATCGGATCGGATCGGAAGGGCTGCCGGTCAAGAAGCTTATCAACGGGTCTTACTGTTGATCACTCGATGACCCTTCCATAGACTCTCGCAGAGGATGCTTGAGAGGTGCTGATCGTATGTATACACCGAGAGGCAAGGCATTCGTGAGGTGTACTTGGCAAACACATCTAATTGTTCTTCACTAAATGGGAGCTTCTCATATCTCAATAATGCAAATGCCACTTTGGTGGAATTTGAGCCGACAGCTACCACGTTGAGAACTACTCTTATCTGTATTTCTCAAGGTGTCAGCACATCTTCCAAGCAAAATTGATTTTTCATCCGGATTTATCGCTGAAAAATAAAAGAGTCCCTACCTATTCATTTAGCAACAATAGTCCGTTCATCGACATTCTTCTCAAGAATCAGCTAGGTCGTTTCTGACACCTCTCAACGATATAAGACCAATTCAGAAGTGGCGAGATCATCCTATCGTGAGGAAGTAGACAATTGCCCACTTTTTTTCTCTTCATGCGATGGCAGAATCAGCGACAGGCGCCACCGGCTGAATCCCCGGGATCTTCATTGATATCACGCCCCCTTCTACAGGACGGGATATTGCCCGGTAATTGCAATCAACTCTCATGGCGGGAAATAGATATAAGGTCACCAAAAGATCCACAAATGCGTACCAGCCGGTATATTGAATTTGCGCGATGGACGTGCTGGCTCCCCCGGCCTAGTTGCACTCGATGCCGCAGACAAAAGATCAAGTGTACTGGATCTCAGCCATGCGATGGCTCCACCAAGCGAAAATTAACTTGCGTCTTTGATGGTCGTGACCCAAAGACTCTAGTCACTAGATGTTAAGAGTCTCAGCGTAATGGTATCCCTTGCAGGAGACAAGGACAAGCTGCTGATCAAGGTGCAGGTATATCGATGAGTTGCACTAGAAATTTCCACGCATGCAGAAAACCGAGCGTTCGGATATCATAACTGTTCAGAATCCGCTAAGTCCCGAATATGTTCATGATGGGTCTTCTGGTCTGTTCATCCACCCGCCTTGTTAGGCTCATACTGATGCGTTATAGATCCCAAAGATCAACACTATTCACTGGATGAACTTAGCAGGTCATCACTTGTTGGGAATGCCGAATCTTGGCTTCATTATGGGCTCGAGGGTTCTGCAACATGTTTGACGAACCTGTTATCGTCGGGGCCACCGGCATTTATGTCAGCCGAGAATGGGCGGACCTGTGCGTTAAGACTCCTTTTAGAAGAATTCATCGTACTAACCAGAATTCTAGTTTACCTGGGAACACCATCGAATTGGTCATTTACTCGCAGGGTCTTAGTCTAATTCATGAGCATCTTTACCAAGAAGCTCTGCCCACAGGCGCATTGCTTTTCGATGGCGCAACTGATGATCTCGGCTGGGACGGATTGCAGGCCGCTCACAATGCGGACACTCCGCCTGTACCGAAATTTGACCACGCAATATACTTGATCAATACTGTCAAGTTCCGCTGTGAAAAATTGTACCATCTCTTCGATGAAATCGAGTTTATGCGCAACCTCTACGAGTTCCATTCAGTATCCAAGCTGAATGTGACCGGCAGCTTATGGTACATCCACTTCCTTCTGATCATTGCCTTTCGGAAGGCATTTGTTAAGCGCTAACAGCAATGTAACAAGCCGGCTGGTGCAGAGCTATTTGTGAACACACTTCATTTATTGCCCGAGGTCAGTGTTCTTCATCAGGAGCCGATAGAGTCGACTGAAATCCTATGTTGCGCTGCGCTCTATTTACAAGCTCTATGAATTTTCGGGCTTCGAAGACATAATCGAGAGCGGGAACCTTATCGCCAAATTCCGCTGATCGGAACTCCAGCTGCTGGATGAGCTGCTGAGCTGCTTCCCTCAAGACCAGCCTTGATGCCTATCAGGTCCAGTCTCTTCTCGAACAATCTTCTTAACCCATCAATGTCGCAGGATTCACTGACAAGCTCGTTCCCCCCTTCTGCACATGCCTTGAACCATTTTACATTGTCGGGCCCGGGTCTAACAATTGATGATGGCTTTAATTTTACCGATGGACTGACTGCTACACGAATTGAGGCTGTGGCTGATTATATCGAGATGATTGAAAAATGTGGATGTCTAATGCGATGATTGAACATCGTCTTTGGTGAATGTGATATGAGAACCCTCGTGCCTCATGAAATTGTCCTTTAATAAACATAAATTTCGAATACTGGACCACTCACGAAAAAAATCTAAGTTTGGCAATAAGCCCATTCCCAAGTTTCCATACTAGTCGGGCTCCACATCAGTAAAAGTTGGGCCATCCTTGCATCTGGCAATATGGGCAAGGACCCGCCAGCCTTGAGTGACCTGGCCTGAACCATCGAACCAATTCCTGGAATATTTTCGACCGAGGCAGAATGATTTTTGAATGTGGATAGATACAGGGGCTTCGATTGACTCGTTGGGTAGCCTCTAGACAGCGTATGATATCAAGGACATACAAGTGGCCACAGCCATATTTGCCGGAATGGTCTGCGACGTCTAGAAGACACATCTGAGAGTTATCAGGCTTGAGATAGTCTTCCTGGATTCTGAACGTACATTGGTCTATGAATTTTGAATTGCAATGATGTAGATACTGTGATTGCCGAAAATAGTCCAGTTGAGACTCAGAAACCAAGGGTACAGAACCGACTGCTCTCAATCTCTCACGACTCTGCTGGTTATCTCTGAAATTTAATCGGGGAAAAGATCTTCATTAAGGCCAAAAACTCACAAAGAAGACCGGTGGACATATTTCCCTTGTAATTCTATCATCATCATGGGAGCCAGATCCTAAATGGCACTTGTCAGGGGCGTGTCGAAACACCTGGTTCTTTCTTTGAAACAAAAAGACTACAAATCTCCTGGTCACAATCAAGAATGATGAACAAAAAAAAACAGGCATAGGCTGTATCCAAGTTTGATATGCTCGTCTCATGTCTTTTGACAATTATTGCTTCTCATCGGCAGGTGTGAGAATTATGAGACGACTAATCCATTTCTCAAGTCTGACTGAAACAACAAACCCTGAAAAGATTCATGAATAAGCGGTTCTAGCCTCTTATCTGGCAATCTGCACCAGTACCTGCAACTGCTATCACTACATAATTGGAAAGCTTGATAATTTCGAAACCATTGACGGTGTCAGTGTAGATAGCTCCTTGGACTAGCCCAAACGCCAGCTCACATCAACTTCCCAGTTACCTTTGCCGGAATCGTTTCAGAAACTCTCCATTTTCAGCGTGCAACTGGCTGCTTATCATCAGCGGCGGCAAGAAGGTCAGTGATGAAAGAGCCTGCAATGGGGAACATCTTGAAGCCGTGGCCCGAGTCACCAGAGAACACAATGACAGAAGATGACATGTGGGAGGTAATCAACAATGAAATCCGAGTCAATGGTGTCAGCAAACCAACAAAGGGACTTCCTCACAAAGCAGCGATCGGCGAGAGTCGGCAGTGTTTAAGCCAAGAGCTTCCTCAACTGTTTCTCATCATCTTCCGGTAGGAAAGCACTTTCCTTCAAATTCTCTGGTGCATGTGAGACATCAGTCTTGGGATCAGTGTTGGTGTAATCACCACCCATTGGACACAGCTTCAACAGGTTCGTCTTCGGGTCGGGTTCAAAGAAAAATCCCAGATCACGGGCATAGGTGACAGGAATGCCGCGAAGAGCAGATGTCTCTTCATCAGTGAGGTGCACATGTGCAACAGACCACAACTTGGCCACGACTTGAGTTCCGAGCTGAGGAACAAAATAATTGACTCCTGCGCCAGCTGTGACAATGACCAGAGCCGAGGAGTGGAAGTGGCCATTCTTTGTCCGGATACCCGCGCACTTGCTTCCGGTCGAGGTGCTCACGTAGACAAATCCATCAACTGTACCTTGCCCGCCCAGGAAGAAGCGCACACCTGCTGCTTGAGCGGCGCGGTACACTGCTGCCATGGCGTTGCCGGAATGGGCGTATCCGTTGAAGCGATTGAGATATCTGTTCCATCCGGGAAGTTGGCCGGTAAGTTGCCAAGCGGCCTGGCGGATATCCTCTTGCCTGTTAATCGGTACAAGATGAGGTTTGATCTGTGGATGTCGCTCCGCAGAAGCTTGGAACCTCTTGAGCGTGCTGATGCCTTTCTCGAATGCTGCGCTCGATACACAATGCAGAAATCCAGTCTGATGGAAGTGAGGTGGAGAGCTGTAGAGAGGACGAAAGCGCCTCCACCAACGAAAATAATCGTGTCACCCTTAGCTACACCCACGATGGTGCGGCACAAGAAAAGATATAAACTGTTTTCTCAGCAGTACCCACGATACCATTTATACTTTCCTAGCATGTACAGTCCAGCATCTGGTATGCGACATAGCACGAAGCTGTATACTGCGGGGCATATCGTGCTATCATCGGTCAACCTCCCGAGTGGAAAGCCGCGCTACGACTCCGCAAGGAGAAACGTAACCCTGATATCGGATGTCCTTCCGATGCGGGCAACATCATCTTGACTAGGAAAGCAAAAGGCCATTCTCGGAGCCACAGTCGCGTGCCAGATGACCAAAGTATCGCCAGAGCGATCAATTTTCTCTTCGTCACCACCAAGGCTGAACCCAACAGGTCGACTCTGTGCCTGTTAGGATGTGGTAATTTCAATCACCACGATCCCAATCACAATTATCCTTGTAGCTCATGATCGCCAGGAAACCTGGAAGGTGCTATTCTCTACAGCCTGCTCATTTCTACTTCGGAGGCTTTATTCACCAAACACATCGCCTGCGTCCGCAGTGAACGCTTGGCGCAAAAGCTCCGGGAGCGATTCCCTAGTCATCTGAATAAATCGTAATCCGTCAAGGCGACAATGCCAATGCCGTGCGAGAGTTTGATGTGATCATCTTGGGCGTTGACCCGGCCGAGATCGAGAAGGTCCTTACACAGCACTCGAGGTGCGATGCACTGCAAGTCAAGCTCGTCATTAGCATTGCTGCCGGCTCGACGAGACCCAAACTCGAAGCAGATCATTTACGGAAGCGAAACAACCGCGGCCATCAACTTGGGCCGAGCCTGGGTGATACGCACTCTGCCCAACATTGCCGCTCAAGTTTCCCAATCCTAACAGCAATCGAGGTCTCGGAGCCTACCCCGCCCCAGCACTACCTCCAAATCACCTCGCGATCTACGAAAAGATCGTCCATGCGGTTCAAATTGAACCGAGACTGATGAATGCGACCACGGCAGTTGATGGTTTCACCCCGGCCTTTTTCGCTGTGATCTGCGACGCCCTTATTGATGCGGCCATGGCGGTCGGCGTTCCTAGGGATTTGGCGCATACCATGATCCTTCAATCTATGCAAGGGACTGCCTCAATGCTGCAAGGGGAATGCAGCCGGCGGTACTCAGACCCGGCGGTACTCAGAGATCAGGGCACATCTTTTGAAAGATACACAATGGGTGGATTAATGGTCATGAAAGAAGCAGGTGTCCGTGGCCACATTGGACGGGCTCTTCGAGAAGCCGTGACTCTGGCTCGATTGATGGAGACCACGGAACACGTCAACGACACCAGACATTGACTTAAGGAGACAAGTCCCTGTATAGCGATAGCGAAGATCTGAGAAGATGAGCAAGAGTCGTCCACGTTGCTAAAAAAATCTCTTCCTTAGGGTTTAATGTGAATGATCTATGAGAAAAGGATTGTAGCTCCATGTTCCCAAGACACCGACATTCAAAAGTCGGGAGGATATGAGTACCCCACAAAGGTACTCACATGATACCGGATGAGATTGTTGACGCAGATCCGTGCAGAATATTGGAGGCCAGCGAATACATGTTGGCGAAGACCGCGGATAAGACGCCGGTTCGATGAAACTTTCTCAGCGAATGCCCTGAGCCGTCAGAAAGCTACTGCAGCGAATCTATTCCACAACTCACCGGGCAAATGGTAGTCACAGCTGCAGCACCAAGGTAGGGTGTCTTGGGAGTAAATGCCATGTTACATGCCATGATGTGGCTGACACATCACCCACCCGAGGGCTTCGTAACTTTCCAGGAAAGTAGAGAGTCATTTTTTGATAAGTCAACTATGCGAGACTTCACTCCTGAAGTCGTTGCCATGGCAAGAAAAGCGACGTTACTTCATGCTCTACTCCGCCAGGACATGAACTCTCGATTTCTACCAGTAACACATCTCTTTATCTTGACTGTACACTGCCGGGCCCCTGCCCGACTGGCTCCCAATACACGCATATCTGACTTTGAGGGTTCCAAATGCTGTGTTACTTTTCTAGCATTATCGAACCTGATCAGGACCGATCAGGAATCCAATTCCAAGGGGTGGCCGCATCTAGATGTGTGCTCAGGAGGCCGGCCGTAGAGTTTTGTGCGAACTAGAGGGGGTCAATCGGCCATGCTACCGGTAGACGGGGGTTCTATGGTTCAGGAAGTAGTGTGGAATTGGGTCAGAGTGGCTGCCGCTACCTCTTGATCGAGAACATTCTCTGGGTAAGGCAGAAGGCATTTGCCTAGTGGCTCCCGCCTCGGTGTATACACACGATCCATAGAGATCCAGCACCACGCTAGTGAAAGAAGCGATCCATATGTCACAGTATGACTGATCAGTAATGCGGAACACGCTGCCTTATTAATATTGACCAGGGTCTCCAGGTCGAAGAATTGATGCTTATTCAAACGTCCACCGAGGTCGGAACTCGCAACGGGACTGGCATCGGGATTTTAATCTTCGTGCCCCAGGCATACCTTTCCCAATCAGGATAGCGCCACCGAACAGTCACCGACCACGTGATTCTAAATGATGTCATCTGGGTGGCACTCAGGCACCCAGGCACCCAGACGCCTGAGCCCCGCCAAAATCAGGCACCAAACGGCGCTAAAAAGGTACTGATAAGTCAGCGGGGCAGTTCTCGGGCGGTCCATCTTGCTAATCCATGCGGTTCGGTATCTTTCTGTATCGGATCACCCCATGGATAAGGCCCAATGTTCCGCCTTTTCACCATATGTGCGATCCCGATGGGCCGATATGTGTAAGCGCCGCTGGCCGCTTAAAACCGCCACCTTTCCCTTAGAACTCAATCTTTCTTATCTTTAAACTTCTTAACTTCTTCAACCAACTCTGCTTCCTCTTCCATCTCCCACATTCCTCCTACTCGATCGCAACCATGTCTCTCAAGGCCGGTGACAGCTTCCCCTCGGACGTCGTGTTCTCGTATGTGAAGTTCCCTTCTCCCACCTTCGTCAATACATCAACCCACAATACTCGTGGCGTCTCGCCTTGGATAACAACCATACTAACCCATTCTTCCTCACAGCTACATCCCCTGGTCCGAGGAGGCCGGATCCATCACTTCCTGCGGTATCCCCATCAACTACAACGCCTCCGCCAAGTGGGCTGACAAGAAGGTCGTCCTCTTCGCTCTTCCCGGTTCGTCACCGCTTTTTTTTCCCCCTCTTCCCCAAGGTTCCCTTCGCTGACCGCCACTTTCCACTGCAGGTGCCTTCACTCCCGTCCGTCTGCTCCGCCAACCACGTCCCCGAGTACATCGCTAAGCTCCCTGAGCTTCGCGCCAAGGGTGTCGACCAGGTCGCCGTCCTCGCCTACAACGATGCTTACGTTATGAGCGCCTGGGGCAAGGCCAACGGTGTCACCGGCGATGATATTGTATGTTCACAATCTCTTCTCTGGAATCGATTCACCCGCTAATCAAATTCTAGCTGTTCCTTTCCGACCCCGAGGCCAAGTTCTCCAAGTCCATTGGCTGGGCTGATGAGGAGGGCCGCACCTACCGCTACGTGATCATCATTGATCACGGTAAGGTCACCTACGCCGCCAAGGAGGTCGCTAAGAACTCCCTCGACCTCTCCTCCGCCGCCAACGTCCTCAAGCAGCTGTAAGCTTGAACCTTTTCATAAGAAAGGTATTAGACGGCGCATTGTTCCAGGGCCAGAATTAGATATTAGATCGCCCTTAGAAGGCTCTTGTCTGACATAGAGGAATACTTCCTAATGAAGCCATGACAAAAGGAAAATGTGATCTGCCTCGTAGTAAATCGTACTTTAGTTGACGATGTTCTTAGTGTCAAAAGACCCAGGGTTGTGATTGGCGGGACTGGAGGTGCATTGTTGCCGCGAGGTCAGTGCTCAACGTGTTTTTGATCTTAGATCGAACGCCCTAATGTCTACCGTGTATAAAAGCTTGAACGGCGGAGATGGCCCAAGCAATTTCAACGACGTGCAGATGCGCGAGCGATCATCGGGGATCCGCTGATTGCGGAATAGATTATGGATCTCTGAGGCAATGGCCGAATTGGAGGATCGGATGAGATTGTATGAAGTCACTGTTGTACATTGCGAGGTGGTATCGAACAATGAAAATCAAAACACCGTGAAAACAAGAACACTGGGTGGATATCAAGGTAAAGTCAAATCAAGTTATGTAATAAACGCCGTCCAAGGGAGAAGATCATTTGCGCTTAGGTACCGCTAGCGCCACGGAGCGACTGTTCTTCCTGCGGTCTTCTTTCGCGCCCAGACCTTGGCTCAGGCCGCCGCCCATGCCCGCGCAAGAGACGCAAAGGGGGAAGTTGTCTGCCACATAACCAAGTCGTCTTCGTTCTGGCCAACCCCAGTCTTGGGTGTGTTCGTACCTCCTGTTCCGCTCCGACTACCGCGGCCTGAGTCAGGGCCAACAGGTTCCGATTGGCGCCGGCGGTGACGTTTTTCTTGTGAGTAGCTCCGATGGGGGCTTTTGAGGATCTGGGGTTTAATGTGTGAAGGGGGCGATTCCCATGGCGGCATGCGTACTTCCACAGAGATATGCTTAGAGCAGTTACATCCACACCCGGTCGGGCAGCATGGAAGGGTATTGGCCAGATCAGCCACATCGAACGGGTGGTCGAATTGATCGCCCGATCGGAGGAACCAGCGTCGGTGGCAGTCAAAGCAGCATACATGCCCGCAGCTAAGACAGGGAATCAACATTCCGTTGACCACTTCACCGCAGATAACGCAGGGAAGCCTGGTGGGCAACGGTTGCCGGGGATTGCAGTTGGGGCAACGACGGGACGAAAAAGAGAGGCTATGGTTCTTTGATGGAGGGTCGGCGACCGTGGGGGCTGGTGCAAATATTGACGTATGAAGAGCATGTCCACAATTAGCGCAGTGGCGCTGGAAATCAAGGCTTTCGATGCCTGACCCAGCTTCTCCAGGTGTAGTAGGTTCTGGGAGTGCCGTCGCCTTAGAGCCGTGGCTGTGACTACTCCAGTATTGACTTGAAAGCATGTCCTCCGCAACCTCGGCCACAGCCCCGATCTTGAGGACTTCGCTCTGCTGCACGGGAAGCTCCCAAATTGATAGAAGATCGGCATACGCGCCGCGATATGACCGCCAGAGCCATTCCTTGTCTCGGTCGAGAAGAGAGTCCGGCGCCGTTTCATCGCCATCAAATGCACTCTGATTCTTAAAAGTGACCTTGAATCTCGATGTGGTCTTTGTAGCTTTGACAGGCTGATCGCTCTCGGTGTCTGAAACAGGCTGTATATGGAAAGTGAGCAAAAAAGGTACCTCGTAGATCATTAAAGGGTTGTAGTCCATACCGGTTGCATCGTTCCCACGCTCGGGCTATCGGCGGGACTTACTTTCTTCCTGACCAATGCACTTGCCGGAGGCGATGCAGAAGAAGGTCCAAATGTGAATGAGCGAGACAATGAAGATGCTAGAACCGACCCAAAGCCAGATCCGCCACTACGCGCTTGGGATTGCTGTTCAGGGGAAGCCGTCATGGACATATTGTGGCTCGTAGCCTTCCGATTAGCTGTAATGCCTCGTGGGCGAGTTGTGATCGGCGGCGTTGTTCCAGTTGAATGTGGAGGTGTGGAATCGATGCGCCAGATTTCACTCGATGAGCGCGCCGACGCATAGGGCAAAGAGTTGGGATCCCTTGGAACAGATGAGGCGGGCGTCGTGAGCTGCGATTGTGACTGTGACGTTGGTTGCGATTGCGGTTTGTTCTGGACGGTCGACGCAACTGACGAAACTTCAAGCGAGAAAGCCCGTTGCTCGGAACGAATTTCTTGCAGTTTCTCTGGCCGTCCTTCGTGATTGGCTTCCAGGAGCACGCAAGAGAGCATTGCAATCATCTGAACATCACCGATGCGTTCAAAATGCTCGAAGAGAGCAGGTACAAGCCAGTGGCTACCGAGGGGATGATCTCCCCATCGAATAATACTACCAGCTATGTCCTTGTAGAGTCCGACTCCAAGGACTTGGCTCGAATTGAGGCCTTCTTCTCTCGACAACAGCTTCAGTCCCCTCCTTGCTTGAGACGGAGAGCTAGGTTTCCTTCGAACATGCAGAATGAGTTTGATGAGGCCCCATATTTGAGCCAATTCGTAGCATCCAGCGTCGAGAGCAACGGCAGCATTATGAGCACAAACATCGGTTCCTTTCCCGCAAATGCGATATTTGCTGGCAAGACCACGCTTCACTGGTAGCATGTCACTCATGTCATGGATAGAAACCACGTTTCTGGTGATGTCGGCTGATTTAGCTGTGACAGCCCCGCCAGTCGAGCGCTGGGAATGATCCGTAGACCGGGGGCGATAGATGCCGACACTGCCAGCGCTACGCCATGTCTGCGGCGGCTGGAAACGAGCGGGAAGCCCGGAGAGGATATCGGCCGACGAGCCTGAAGAACTGGACGTCTCGGAGTATGAATCGTCAGAGTAATCGGATGCGCCGTCATCTGTGCTCGCGATTGTACCGTTCATACGCGGCCCCGGGGAGCTGGTCTGCAGGCGGCCGAAGCCTTCAAAGACTTTGTCAGTTCTCGACAATCTGCTCATTTCCTTGAATCCGATGTTGTCGAAGAGGGCTGTAGACTTGTCCTTCTTCGGCGGGAAGAAGCACACAAGACGCCCGTCATTTGCCCAGAGCGCACCGCATCCCTTGGCCACTGGCACCATTACATTGGCATTGACTGGTCTGAGTAGCTCGGAGCTCATTCCCAATTCTTGACTCTGGGTCATACCGACTTCATCTTCGTCACTTGACTCGCCCTCGATATCACCATTGACCGGTGATTTGACATGGTCGCCAGTTTCGCCTAGAATCCATGCAATACTATCTTCCAAATTGCTTTCGCCCAGGAGATAGCGCACGACACCTTCCAAGCAGCCACGTTTCCGGGACATATAAGTTTCGGCAATTGTCCGAAGTTCGGCCGTGATTTTCGCCGTCAGATCATCGGTGACAGCCGCTGTCTTCTGAAACGAGAATGTTGGGATCGAGGTCTTTGGATAGCTGACCGGGAACTTGATGTCAACCTTGAGGAACAATGTGGTGCCATCTGCACCCCAAGGGCCATTCAAGGATATTGAGATTTTCCGCTGCCGCACGTCAACTGAGTCGAAAGCGACCTTGGTGAATTTCTCGCCAACGTGACTAATTTCATCTCCCAGGGTTTCAATATCCCATCCAGAGATCTTGACGCCCCGCATCCAGGAGATTGGATTGGTATCGGCTCTCAAATTTGACCGGGGCTGCATGCCCACGCCATTCTCATGATGACCGCTCTTGGTCCATGCGCGAGCATGGGGAATCGAAATAGCATTCATCCCCGGCCCGCCGGGGTAACTAGTGCTTGATTTGTGGCGGTTGACCGAAGACACTGATTCAATGTCCTCCAAGTCTAGATCGGAGTTTACATCTCTGAAGCTTCGATAGACCGCACCCAGGCGAGTCACAGTTCGAGTAGAAATATAAGACTTCCCCTTTTCGTAACCAACGCCCTTCAAAATCTGTGGGTCTACACGGTGCAGACGAAGTTCTCTGTCAGTTCCCCATGTTACTAACTGGAAGTCCCGGTGGTCGACTCCGTCATCGACACCTCCGCGTGCTCTCCAAAGGAACTCTTTCACTTGACCTTTGTGGCCAGGGAAACTGTGAACTAAAGGCAGGTCATCGTCTGGGTTGGAACCATCACCAGCTCTTCGGCTATAGAGATGTAAATCGCTGTTCCCTCTCTGTGGCATGGCCAAAACTCCCCAGCCAAATGGCGTGTTTCTGGCTCGCCACACGGGAAATGGTGTTCGGATCAATTTCTCGGGAATCTCGGTGTCCGAAGTATAGTCCCAGAACTTGATGGTCTTGTCGAGTGAACAGGTTGCCACGGCGCCTCGTCGGACCCGGTTCCAATCAACACCATAGATCTTGGTATCGTGGGCTTCGATGGATCGAATTGGATACGCACCCATGCGATCATCCCAGATTCGAAGAAAGCGATCATGCGAGCTAGCAACAACATGAGGATCTTGTCGATTCCACTTGACCTGGGTTGCACCGGTAAACCAGTCGGAGAACGAAATCACCGGACGTGACGGCGTGCGCAAATCCCAACAGTGCACGAAACTATCCACAGCGCAAGTTGCCAGAATATCAGGATGGAATGCGTTGAAATTGATATCGGTGATTGCGCGCGAGTGGGCATGCAGCACGAATTCAATGGAATTCTGCCATGTCTTCATAGCTAGATTCCACACTAGCGCTTTCTGGTTGGATGTACTTACGACCCAGTAATCGCGTGCCGCGAATGGCGACCATTGCACGTCCGCCACCTCCCATGGCGTATGGTGTGGGAGATAACGAGGTGGAGAATATGGGGAATCCAAGTCGATGACATGGAGACCCTCCTTCGATGCTAGCACCACATCTCGCCCGCACGGGGATATGGACATCGACCCGACCGGTTGTTCCACATGGAAAGAGCTGTCTTCATCAAATGTCGGGCTCTCGTAGGCCGAAGTCAGCGGCCGGGGTCCCATCGAGCTGGACATCTTGACAGTGATGGCCTCCCTCGGCCAATCTGAGCCAGGAAGAAGACGTGGAATTACAAATCATGCAATATATGGGGGCTGATGTACAGCGATTGCGCCCATGGTGGACTTTGTCTGCGATAGGATCCCTGCAGAGCGTCTGCTCGTCGCGTGCCGGATGGGGAGCTGCGATAACGCGGAGAGCAACGACTGTGGCGGTGCGTCACGATGTGGCTGGTGGGTGTGATGCTGGTCACGTGATACTTACGGACGGCCGCAGAGCCCCGCGATGCAAGCGCCCCTCGGTAAGGTCGGTCATTTGCGGACTGCTTCGTCTTCGAATTTACCATCCACGTTCGCTGTACGGGTCTTTGGAGTTGATTCTGGCGTTCGTACCTCCTGCTACACATCTCTCAGTCCCTTTGACGCCGATCCCTACCCACCGCCTATACACCGATAAGCAGTCGACATGGCCTTGCCAAAACGCATTATCAAGGAGACCGAGCGCCTTATGGCAGAGCCGTAAGACATCATACATGTCACTAAATTGAAGCCGTGGCTAATTACGGGATTTACGACGCGTAGGGTCCCCGGTATCAATGCCGTTCCTCACGAAGATAACCTGCGGTATTTCGATGTCTCGATTCATGGCCCCGCTCAATCCCCATATGAGGGTATGCACGATTTCAAAGCCTCACTCTTGTCTCAAATAACCAACATTCTGCACGATAGGTGGAATTTTCCGTCTGGAGCTCTTCCTTCCCGATGATTATCCCATGACACCTCCCAAGATCCGTTTCTTGACCAAAATCTATCATCCCAACATCGATCGGCTTGGCCGTATCTGCCTGGATGTTTTGAAGAGTAATATGAACTAGCCGTTGACATATCTGCGCATCTAACATCGAAGCAGACAATTGGTCTCCCGCCCTTCAGATTCGCACTATCCTGCTTTCAATCCAAGCCCTCCTTGGAGCGCCGAATCCCGATGACCCTCTTGCCAATGATGTCGCTCAGCGCTGGAAAGACGACGAGCCTGCGGCTATTCAGACCGCCAAAGAGTGGACACGGACACATGCCATGACCTGAGCATTCCTGACTATGATGTGACCATGAGAAAAAGAGAGAGACAGGCTTCGATGCGCTGAGGCTCTCGGGGCAGGCGGGCTGCTTTGTTTTTGAGCGTGAAATCACCTACACGACATTCATCCATTTCTGATTGCAATGGCTTAACCAGACTCAGAGAATTTTGCATAGACTCCGCTGTGTTATCTGACGTTATATCATTGCGACTGGCCTTTGGCGCGGTTCTAGCTGCTGAGTTACAATCTTTTGGTTCATTTCCTGGCCTTTATAATATCGACGCTCAACATCTATAAAGCTTTTGGATCATTGAAATGTCTCTTTTATTTCATAGGTGGAATGGACAATAGATAACCAAATGCTTCATAGAAGCTAGTGACAAGTCAAGATGAGGCGTTTTGAGCTAACACGGGACGCGAGATTATAGATGCAAAAGTTCAAACCTGACCATGAGTAAATGAAACTTCCAAGCCCGCATGTCACAATCATAGTGGGGATTGCGTGTCTCGAGAGCATTTTGAGACGAAACATAAGATTGAATTGCTCATCATCCATATTCATCCGGGTGTCGCTAGTAAGCTGAGCTACTAAAGGCTAGTCAGGCTAGTAGTATGTAGATATCTGATTTGACATATCCGTTACAAGTTGAAATTAAACTATCAAATCAGTCAATTAGGATTCAAAAGTGGTGGGACTTGTTTAAAGCAAGAGATCTGAGAATGATCGGTTTTGATTGACCAAACAGTAGGTAGATCAAGCAAAAAGCACTCACAAGCAGATGTATTCTCGTTGGACAAGAACTTCGATATCTATGACTCGAAATGGTCCAATCTGAAAAAAGAAAGTATGCTAAATCCACGCATTTCTCGTCCGCGACCGAATTAATCGTCATATGTCCCAAAGAGTACTAGTGGAGCGATAAGCCCCTCGGTGTCAAATCACGTGGTGATAGTCCGCAAAGGGCAGAGCGGATCACGTGTCGCACTTTAGCGAGGCGCACCACAATTGGACCCAGCAACGAGACCACCGCGATCCCCGATTTTCGACCATCACCCAACGCCAACCGACACCTCGTCAGCGCATCACCCGTCAAGATGCGTACCTACGACGACTCCTTCAGCGGCCAGAAGATCTACCCTGGCAAGGTGCGTTCTTTATCCCCGTCGATTTACGTGTGCGAGAGGTGGATTTGTGCGGAATCAACGACACCATCACCATATCGCGGTTCAACCACTACCTACCCTCTCGACACGTCCCTACGATCGCTTGAAATATTTGCGCGCACAATAAGTTGCTTTGAACGGCTAGGGTGCTAATTACGTCTTTTTGGTGTCAATAGGGTAAGCTGTACGTCCGTGGCGACAGCAAGATCTTCCGCTTCCAAAATGGCAAGTCCGAGTCGCTCTTCCTCCAGCGCAAGAACCCTCGCCGGATAGCTTGGACTGTTCTCTACCGTCGCCAGCACCGCAAGGGTATCTCTGAGGTCGGTCACCCGTTGCTCCCTTGAATTTTGATGGATTGTGTGGAGGAAATATCAAGGCTGCCTCTTCGGGTTCGAATGGCCTTAAACGACACTTTGATACTCGGAAAGGCGGCACAAGAGAAGGAATCACGATACCACATAGGGAATGATATATCCAATTGGAGACGGATTGCTGACCAGGTTTTGGATCTACAGGAGGTTGCCAAGAAGCGTACCCGCCGTGTTGTGAAGCACCAGCGTGCTATCGTCGGTGCCTCCCTTGAGCAGATCAAGGAGCGCCGTTCCGTTCGCCCTGAGGCTCGTGAGGCCGCCCGCAAGCAGGCTATCAAGGACGCCAAGGACAAGAAGTCCGCCAACGAGGCCAAGAAGAAGGCCGAGAAGGCCAAGAACGCCGCCAAGGGTGGTGCTAAGCCCATCTCCAAGCAGGGTGCTAAGGGCTCCGCCCCCAAGGTCGCCGCCAAGTCCCGCTAAATCCGATATTTGGTTGGAATGGAGGTGTTCGTGTGACGGTTGCGATATGATGGAACTTACGGGGACCGGCCTCGGGTCATTAACTTGTTTCTGAAACACTTTTATGCAATACTATGCAATGCAGAAAAAATGGGAACAAAGGAATCAACAAAATATCTCTACGCATGATCTTGTCTCTCCTCTCTGCTTTCGTCAGGCAACTAACTGGCATTCCTGGAGCCGTTGAGGATTTCTCGTTGGAGTTCTTATCTTTTCTTGTGAACTGGAGTAAGGACTCTGTCTGGATATATCATCAGCCTCCCGTGTGCGATGTACGCGACGTAACTCAATATCGAACCACCTCTCCCATCGAATTGAGCTGTAGCCCTGACTCAAGGACTCTACGAGGACAATGAACAATAGTATTTATCAGAATGTTTGCAATGATTGAATTGTAGCACATCTACGCATTCTTTAAGCCGTTCTTATCATCGACAATACAGATCGAATGCTATCTGTCGATCACCACATGAAGCGTTTATGATACAAAGTCAATAGTCCTGGAAACGAAATGCCCAGCTCATGATGTCCCATGCCTTAAGATCGCCGTCATATTGACACAACTGCGATCAATAGGAGAGTGCCTCGTCGATCTTAGTGCTCTGATGTCACCCGGCATGGCGCAAGAGAAGCTTCCAAAAGGAAGAGGGGCAGATTCTATGAATATTCCCACATGTATGACAGTGTCTTGCAAAGAGACACTTAACCAGATCAAATGACCAGAACGCCAGACCGACTGGTCAATCAACGGAATGAAAAGAAGAAGAAAAGAAAATTAAAGAGGTTCCTACATGAGATCAGACTCAATAGTAGTGAGCCATTTCCAAACCAGCACGCTTGAAGCCACACTTGACATAGAAGCCCTCGTTGGCCTCGGAGCAGTCGAGAATGCTCTACAAGAAATCAGCATACGCACTTAAAACCGCCAAAGCTTAGGACGAGAAAGCATACCTTGTAGCAACCAACCTGGGCAGCAACGTAATCCAAAGCCTGAATAATGCGCAACCCCAATTTTTTGCCCTGCTGATTCTTTTCCACGGCAATATCCTCAATGTGCCCAACCATGCCAAGCGAGTGAATAAATTTGCGCTCGACAATCAAAGATCCAGTGCCAACGACACGGTCATCACCGTCGCACACAACGAGCAGGTAGTACTCGTCATTGCGGGAGCGAATCCAGTCAAAGCGCTTGTTCCATGCCTCCTCGCTGATATCGCCGACGGTCGTCAGCACGCGCAGAACGTCCAGATAGCCGCGGTGGAAATCGGAGCGCAGGATCGGGCGGATGGTGTAGTCTGTTGGCAGGGCGGAGATGATTTCGGGAGAGATGAGGGAGGCGGGGAAGAGGGGCCCATCTTCGAGGTCAATGGAGGTGACAGTAGAGCTCATGATGGGCTTGGTGTCAATAGCAGTTGTTGAGATGGCGGGGGCGGCCATTGTTTCAATCGTGGTTTGAGGATGGAGGGTTGAAGAGAAAGACGGTAGGTTTCTTGTTGATAAGGAGGGGGCGAATGGCGGGGTTCGAGCGCAAAGGAGGTTAACGAGTGTGGTAGTCTTAAAGAGTTGCAAGTCTTGAGAATTGAGGATGAGCGACGTGAAACTGAGTAAGGGCGAGAGGAAGTAATTGAAAGGAGAAAAAGCGATCGGATCAACAAGTGCGGTCCACGGTTCCGCCAGGTGTCTCAGCGACACCCCTGATTTCTGCATTGGTCTATTAATACGCCCTCCATGCCAATGTGTCCGGGCGTATTATGCTGGGTTCTTGCGTCACAGCTTATTCTAATTTATTCTGCAAAAAAGAAAAAAAAGATCTACAGTGCGCATCTTCGATCTCTACAAGCCTTATTGCTAGGACCGACCGAGGGATACTATTTATAAAATGGCCAAAAATAGCCCCGCTACGAGAGATCCGCAGAGCCAAACATAGTACAAAGATGAATTCAGTATACAGACCCTATCGGGACTTGTCTATAGTAGCACAGGGGAGACAGTATTGCTGCTCCGTTTATTTGAACTCCTTGGGAGCAAGCATCAACTCGGGGCGGACGTACTTGTCGAACTCCTCGGAGCTCAGAGCCTTGAGCTCCATAGCGCTCTCCTTCAGGGTGAGGCCCTTCTTGTGGGCGTTCTTGGCCACCTTAGAGGCCATGTCGTAGCCAATGACGGGGTTCAGGCAGGTCACGAGCATAAGACTAGGTAGCGGGTTAGCGTTTTGCCATTAATCAAGGGGGGAAAGGGAGAGAAATTAGACACATACCTCTCGTGCAGAAGGGAGTTGATGCGCTCCTCGTTGGCCTGCAGGCCTTCCACAAGATGGGTACGGAAGCTGTCCATACCGTCAGAAAGGATGCGGACACTGTGAAGCAGGTTGCGGATCATGACGGGCTTGAAGACGTTCAACTCGAACTGGCCGTTCATGCCACCGATGGTAGCGGCGACGTGGTTACCCATGACCTGGGCGCAGATCATGGTGAGGGACTCGCACTGGGTGGGGTTGACCTTGCCGGGCATGATGGAAGAACCGGGCTCGTTCTCGGGAAGGCTCAGCTCGCCGAGACCGCAGCGGGGGCCGGAGCCGAGGTAACGGACATCCTGAGCGATCTTGAACAGAGAGCCGGCAAGGGTGTTCAGGGAGCCGGAGGCCTCGACAATCGAGTCGTGAGCGGCCAGAACCTCGAACTTGTTGGGGGCAGTCTTGAACTCGGTGCCGGTCATCTTGGAGATCTCAGCAGCAACGGCCTCATCGAAGCCCTTGAAGGTGTTCAGACCGGTACCGACGGCAGTACCACCCTGGGCGAGGAAACGCAGGTGGGGAATGCTGGCCTCAACGCGCTCAATGTTGCGGTCAAGCTGCGCGACGTAGCCGGAGAACTCCTGGCCCAGAGTGAGGGGAGTGGCATCCTGCAAGTGGGTACGACCAATCTTGATAATGTGGTCAAACTTCTCGACCTTCTCCTGAAGGGCGTTGCGGAGGGCCCTGAGGGAGGGCAGGAGGGTGTTCTCGAGCTCGACGACGGCGGCAATGTGCATGACGGTGGGGAAGGAGTCGTTAGAGGAGGCCGACATGTTAACATGATCGTTGGGGTGAACGGGCTTCTTGGTGCCCATGGTGCCGCCCAGGATCTCAATGGCGCGGTTGGAGATGACCTCGTTGGAGTTCATGTTGGACTGGGTACCGGAGCCGGTCTGCCAGACGACCAGAGGGAAGTGGTCCAACAGCTTACCCTCGGCAACCTCAGCGGCGGCCTGCTTGATGGCCTCACCGATCTTGGGATCTAGGTCGGGTTAATAACCAGGCTCGTTCCAGGGTCCCAGTAAAGGCACCACTTACCAAGACCGTACTTCATGTTGACAGTAGCGGCAGCACCCTTCAGGATACCGAAAGCCTTGACGACGGGGGCAGGCATGCGGTCCTGGGGCTGGTTGATGTTGAAGTTACCCAAGGAGCTATTTCCAACACTGTATCAGCTTCCTGCACTTGCATTCCATCGTAATCGAATGATATCGTCCGGTCGTCTTACCGCTGGGTCTGGGCTCCCCAGTACTTGTCACCAGGGACCTAGAGACACGAACCTCAGTCAGCTTCAGCAGAAAGATTGCGGGATTCCAACGACTTCACTCACCTGAATTTCGCCAAAGGCATCGCTCTCAGTGCGGGAAGCGGAAGACTAGACCGGCATGCATTAGCAGTGTCACCAGGCGCAAACAGCTGCTCCTCCTACCATGTTGACGGTTGTGCTGAAGGCTCTCTTGTTCAGGGTCTGAAGGCGGGGGAATTGTCCGATCTGGCGGCTGGAGCTAAGAGAACGAGTAACAGCCGGAGAGCGAGCAGCAACCGACAGAAGGTTGCGGGCTGCGGGGTTGGCAGCTCTGGTCGCATGTGTCAAGGTGGCCATAGAGCGCACCGCGGCTCGGGTGGTAGCAGAGTTCATGATTGCAATATGTGACGCTGAAATACCCAGAAGATGATAGGTATATGCCAATTGGCTTCGCTCGCGATGGGTCAAAGGGGGTCAAGAGCAGATTGTCTCCCTTAAAAATACAAAAACCGAGAGTCGACTCCGACACGCGATGCCGAATCTTCCCGGTATCGGCATAACATCATGACGCGGGCCGTCCAACGTGAACCCCAGTTATTACTGATAGATTACTGTATTGTACTGTAACCCGCTCTTATACATTCATCCCTGGAGCAACTCGCGCTTCATCGTTGCCACCACTCTCTCCCTGTGCAGTCGCCCACTATCCAGGATTCCTTCCAGGATGGGAAAGTATGCGGTGTGCCCGCATATCGATACAGTTCTACTCTATTTCCTGCCTCCTCAAGTTTGGCCGCATATACTTCTCCCTCATCGCGGAGAGGATCCAGCTCTGCCGTTGAGACCAGCGCCGGGGCCAAGTCATGGAAATTGGGAGCGAGCATTGGCGAGATTCTCCAGTCCTGACGTAGTCAGCTTTGCACTTCAAGATCCGAACTGTTTCACCATTCACCTCTGCGGATGCCGCGGGTCGGGGCACTCCTAGAAAGTGTTTATGGAAGTATGCCATGCGAGCTGTTGGAAGTGCCGGTGTAAACTCCATCTCTCGGTAGGAGTCGTAGGGACAATTCTCGCGGTCGAATTCGCCATCTGGTGTAAAGACACTATGTAGGTCACACACTGGCACGCTCAAGATCTGGAGGCGTAGAGGTATCTGCGCGTTACGACAGAGATGACTGACCACGGCAGCGAGATGACCTCCAGCCGATGGTCCACCTACGGCGAACCGTTCTGGATCGAGATTGAAATCTTCTGCTTTCTGGGAGCGGATCTAGATGGATCCCAGTCAGTGATTCTGTGATCCTCCATCGCGCATTCAAATGCATACCCAGTTGAAAGCCGTCCAGCAGTCATCGACGGGAATAGGAAAACGATGCTCGGGCGACAGTCGGTAATCGACATCGAAAACAACCATCTCCCCGTCAAGGGCGTGGACAAGTCTTTTGCAGTAATCATGGTCCGTGTTGAGACCACCAAACACCCATCCGCCGCCGTGGAAATTGACATAGGCTGCTCTCTTTAGAGGTTGACCCTGATCGTCGTGCTTTAGTGCTGGCTCGAAAATACGAATGGTGATCCTTCCCCCCTCAACAGGACACTGCTGTTCCGTGAGGCGAAAGACGTCAGGCCCTGGTTCACTACCGTAGAAGATCGTGTACTTTGCCGGGTCCTTACGATAGTCCTCTATCGGCACTTCGTGGGTATGCAGACGTCCAGCGTTGTACTTGTAGTAGTACTCGACGTATACGGAGTCAAATCGGGGCAGAAGATCTGCAGGTATGCAATTATGAAGCGGTTGTCGGATTTCCTGCGCACGAAACGCGCGCAAGGCAGGATCACCACGATCACACTTTGACTGGGCCATGTTGATTGAATCTCCTTAGCTTATAGCCATAGAGAAAGGTTCTAAGACTGTTTCTAAGGCGCACGTGTAGGACAACCTTCTTCGGGCTTGGGCCATGATAATAAGACGGATCGGGTACTCCTCACTGTCACACAATGCGGGGTTCTTGATCTTAGCTTCCTTTCTCCTTTCAATATTCATTCCGGTATATCGGTTCTTGAGATACCCATTCAAATCGTACTCACACGGAGCCTGGCAGCATTGACTAGGGTTGACGTTCGCATTATATTGACTTTATCTCCAAGTACGGGGGGGTGGGGACATCAGTCCTGGCATCTATATATTTCCCGCCGCTCTACATCTATACCTTCCATGGTAGGATCTCTGACACGGAGTAACAATTCCATTTCATCATCTTTGGGACGACTGAAACTCAAAGAGAGTCCCACGATCTATAACAGAAGAAGACAAGATCGTCAGCCTATGTTCCCATCTTTGAGAGCCAGTCAGCGTGCATCCGATGACCTTCTACGCTGATCGCTTCGGGTTCCTCACGCCAAAACCACGATCTGGGGTCGAACCTATCCAGAATTATCATCGATCCAGCTCACCTACCATGGCTATTGACGGAACACTATGATCTTGTGACAACCCAAAAGCAACATGGCATGTCGAAAGCATGAAAGAGCTGGGCAACCGGCATTAACCGGGTCTTCCCGCGGGGCAAAAAAAGGACAGCGATATCGGTTGACTCAGCGTCGAACGAGTCCGATTTTGTCACATACTCGCAATTCTCTCCGAAATACCCTCCCCGAGGCGATTGACTGATCGATTCGAATCTTCGAACTACATCGACAAACCTCATCATGGAACCCGTTCCGACTCGCCTCAATGTGGCTCCCGTCCCGCCGGACGAGATCTTCGCCTTGAACGGCGCCTATTTCGCCGATACCTTCCCCCAGAAAGTCAGCCTCGGCGTTGGCGTCTACCGCACAGATGATGGCAAGCCGTGGCCGCTCCCAGTTGTTCAGAAGGCCGAGAAGGAACTGGAGAAGGACAACGACCTCATGCGCCACGAATACACTGCCATTGAGGGCGACGTACCCTTCCTGAAGATTGCACGAGACCTGATGTTCGGCTTCGAGGGCGAGGGCAAGGACGAGGAAGCCAAGGCCCGAATTGCCTCTGTTCAGACCGTCGCTGGCACCGGTGCTAACCATCTGGGCGCCCTCTTCCTGGCCCATCACTACAAGCCTCGCACCGTTTGGCTGTCCAACCCCTCGTGGGCAAACCACATGACCATCTGGGAGCTGGCCGACGTTCCCCGCAAGACATACCCCTACTATCATGCCGCGAGCCGGTCCTTCGACTTTGAGGGCATGATGTCAACCCTCGAGACCGAAGCTCAGGAAGGCGATGCCGTCCTTCTGCACGCCTGCGCACACAACCCCACCGGTCTGGACCCGAACAAGGAGCAGTGGATCGCTATCGCAGACCTATGCGAGCGTAAGAAGCTCTTCCCATTCTTCGACTCAGCCTACCAGGGTTTCGCCTCCGGTTCGGTTGAGGAAGACGCCTGGGCGGTTCGCTACTTCTTCAACAACAAGCCTGATATGGAGATGTGCGTTGCCCAAAGTTTCTCCAAGAACTTCGGCCTGTACGGCCAGCGTGTTGGCGCCTACCACTACGTTCTTAACCGCAAGTCTACTTCCATCCGTGACGTTGTCGTCAACAACCTCTGCCACTTGATCCGTGGCGAGTTCTCCATGGGCCCACGTATCGGATGCAGTATCGTTAAGAAGATTATGAACAGCCCGGAGCTGGTCGCCGATTGGCACCAGGATTTGGAGGTCATGAGTTCGCGCATTAAGTCTATGCGCCAAGCTCTCTATGATGAGTTGGTTCGCCTTCAGACCCCTGGCACCTGGGAGCACATTATCGAGCAGGTGAGCATTATTTTATGACTTGGTTCTACTAGTGTTCACTAATAATTTTATAGAACGGCATGTTCTCCTATACTGGTCTTACCCCCAAGCAGGTCTACGCTCTCAAGGACAAGTATCACATTTACCTGCTCAAGTCCGGCCGAGCCTCCATCAGTGGCTGTAAGTACCCACACTTTAGAACAATGAGGCACCATACTGATCCAGTGTACAGTGAGCGAGAAGAATGTCAAGTACGTGGCGCAGGCCATTGACGACGTTATCCGTAACGTGCTTTGAGTATATGCATTGGACAAGGATTTTGCTGCAGTCTGCATACAAGCCTGACTTTTTCGGCATTTGACATACATCAGGCGGGATATTTGACCCTTTTAACGACTTTTTATGATAGACTTCATAGAGAATGACAGCCTGAGGCTTGACCTCGCTACACACCACTCAAAAATAGAACAATCCAAGGCAATCTCGGAAGCGTATTGATGATTTCAGTGCATTAAGAAAGCTATCTACTGTACATTAAGCAGCAAGGCAGGAAAACAAAGGGCGAGCGTCGCAGTTCGCAGTTCATAACTAAAAACCCTGCCTGTGAAAGAGCCCCGAACTTGGTGGACGTGGAACTGTACTAAATATAGTCGTAAGCGCGCCGGGCCACTCGATAGAATTTGGCGCAATAGTCGATATGCTGAGATGATGAGAACTGAAGGTACTAGAGAGGGACTTCATTAAAATCGCTTTCTCCCTCTTTGCCTTTACTCTTGAGGCTCTGGTCATCGGAGGGCGCGGAGCCTCCTTCAGGCATGTTTTGAGGGAGAGTGGTCTCTTTTGATTCCTCTTTCTGGCTCTCTGGATTGTTTTCCGGTTTCTCGGTGTTCTCTTCTGGCTCAGGCGCAGGCTCCTTATGACCATTCGTCTGAGCAGGTTCCTCTTCTTTATTGGTTTCGTCCTTGGGCGGTGGTGGAGGGGGCAGCTCGTCTTCCTTTTCCGAACCAACCTCTTCTGTCTGTGCTTGTGGTTGGGTGCTTGTCTCACCCCCAGGAAAGGCGTCAGAGGCGGCTCTTCAGGAATCTGGTTCTGCTGAGGAGGGGACTGAGGTTGTTCACTGGGCCGGCTCTGGTTGGCGAGTGTAGCCGTGGACATTGTGGATGTTGTTCTTTGGTGGGAAGAGCCATGAATTGTGCTGAGATGGCGGGCCTTGGGATCTGCACCGAGATAGTAACCGCGCACACCGACAATCGTACCCTCAGACTCGCAAGCGTCCACCCACTCCGGAACGACGACTGGGATGTTCATTTCAACGGCTTTCTCCCCACAGCGGGCCCCGACCCTCGGTGCAAACAAAGTGTGTAGTATCAATCCGAACCGTGTCGATCAACTTGCCGCCGATGCGTTCCAAAGCAACACCCAAGGCCTCCTTACGCTGGGGATCGAGAACTCCAGGAGTGACAGTAATACCAGACAGGTCGGTCATCTTGTGTGTTCGACACGTCAGCTTCTCGGACTGGTAGGTACCAGCCGTTGTGCGCAAGACCAGGTGGAAAGTGTATTCAGAATGAATTGCTAGGCCGGAGATCTTAGTGCTGCGTGTCTCCAAAGGACGGGGTATCGAGCCAGCCTTGGAGCCATTGCGGTAGAGGGAGAGTGATTTCAGGGATGCAGTTGCCAGGTCGATTGGATCCCACTCGAGAACGAGGGAAGTCTGGGTAGCGTTTCGCAGGCGAAGAACAGGCGGTGATGGGGTCTTGACACCGTAGGTATTCAAGATGCGCTTCTGAAGGGATTGGAAGGCAGAGGCGTTGGCGGCTTCAGCAGCGTGGTTGCGCGCAACGTTGATGTCGACGATACTGCCGGAGGAAATGTTGTTAGGGAGAAGGACAGAGGGGAATTCGATCTGTATCCATCTCAGTCAGCTTGCCACTGGTACTGGGGATCTCGCGCAACGGTCGCACGCAATGGTTCCCCATGTTTGTGATTTAGGCAGGGGGCTGGAGCTTACGAGGCGGTTGTCCTGGGTCAGGAGCACGGCGACACCGGCGTCTACCTTGCCGACAGTCAAGGAGACCAGCATGGTGGAGGAAGTTTGAGTGGGGGTATAGTGGTAGATGTTGATGGGAAGTGGTTGTCAGGTACGGAAAACGGAGTACGGGTGTTGATTCCGCCAGATCGGCACTTTAACGAGGCTAGAAGCGGGAACAGAAGATAAGTTCTGATTCTAGTCCAACGAAGAACGATTTCTACTTTTTAAGTGAAAGTGCGAGGACAATAGAAATTTTTGATTCCAAGTAGGGATGCAAAGATGAGATATGAAATCGTCTCAGCCACAAAACGCCGTCCAATGCTAGTCCTCCATATTGTACAAAGTAGAGAATCATTATATAGTACAAAAAAATATTGTACACGTCAAGCCCTTTCCATTCCAGGGGGAGCTTCGGATCTAGGATGTGCGATCTGACTATGCATTGCGCGTTGTTTTAACAAGCCCTCCAGGACCAAGCGTGCATCCTGTTGGACCGTCTCGAAGCTCTGCTTGACGAAGGACGGGCGAATGATGAGATCCGCTGAGCCGGTAAGAGGTTCCTGTGGAAGCCATGAGTAGGTTGAGAGTAGCGGCCTCCCTAAACGATCGAAGCCTTTTTCTTTCAAGGCTAGCTCGAAAGCGACGCGTGCTCTTCGAGCACATACAGAGCGAACCACTCTTTTAAGCTGCGTTATGTGTGACACTGATACTCTCCACCACAGAGTATCCCGGTCTCGACCCTCCCAGCTGTGTGCGACCTTCGGGGCAATCGGATGGACCGGTGATCCCAGGTAGCGGGCGGCAACCGGAGGAATAACATGTCTGGAACTGTATATCAAGCTCAGATTTTTGGTTGAAGCAGTCAGCTTCATGGCGCGGGTCTAACGGTGGTAGAGGAGCGCCAGAACGAAAGTAACAGATATTTGAATAGGAGGGAAGAATCGGAACCATAGCGAGTTATGGGGAGGGTTGATCGAAATATATTGCGCGAGCCACGGAGTTCATGGACTCAGGATGATCAATGGGAGTCGCGTGCTCATCTGCCGGAACGGCAAATTGAGGGGTCTTGAAGGAAAAAGTAGCAAAGGCCGATCCTAAAGCGTGAGTTTCGACAATGCAGTGGCAACTCCGCGCCCCGACAGCTGTTGAGCTTCAGAAACACCTCTCGATCTCCATCGCGTCCTTTTTTTTCTGCCGACCTAAGCCGGGCGGTGACTGCCTTACCAATCAGGCATAAAATTGCCACACAAAGCCGCTTTGTGCCTGATTAGGTCAGTGCAGATTTGATTGACACAGCCTCTGATCCCCCACTTCGTTCTTCTTTCTACCAAGACACCCGGGGATTTACCCATATTTTTTTTTCTCTCTTTTTCGAGGAGAAATATCACGTACCTACACATAGCGAGACTCGAGTCCAGTGAAGGTCACACTCCTCCGCTATGCCCAAGAACAAGGGAAGGGTAAGCGCGCAAGACATTCAGCCCCTCTCCCTGGAATGTGTCGCCCCGCCACCATCTGCCCACGAGTTGTCGACATTTCGGGGTCGCTACTTGTGGTCGGATAGATATGGTAGAGGGAGATACACTTCGAATTCCAGATCTCTACACACCGCACAAATGACGTACAAATTCTGACAATCTGAAACAGGGCGGTAAGAACCGTCGTCGTGGCAAGAACGAGAACGACAACGAGAAACGTGAGCTCATCTTCAAAGAGGAGGGCCAGGAGTACGCTCAGGTCGTGAAGATGCTGGGCAACGGTCGTCTCGAGGCTCTCTGCTTCGATGGCGAGAAGCGTCTGGCTCACATTCGTGGCAAGATGCGCAAGAAGGTCTGGATCAACCAGGGTGACATCATCCTTCTCTCGCTCCGTGATTACCAGGACGAGAAGGGCGACGTTATCATGAAGTACACCTCCGACGAGGCCCGTTCCCTGAAGGCCTACGGTGAGCTGCCCGAGCACGCCAAGATTAACGAGACCGACACCTACGCCAATGACGGTCTCGAGGACAACGTCGAGTTCGACGAGGACCGTGAGAGCGAGGACGAGAAGGAAATTGATGTCGACGACCTTTAAGGTCACCCTTACACCCCACTGAGCTCGATGCTCTGCCCTGCAATAGTGCCACGAAAAATTCCTTTTGTGGCACTCCCTATGTACCGCCATCCCCTCATACACTGCTGAGATTGGCCCAGTACCGTGGCTATGATGCTCTTGATCCATATCGAAATGTGAATTTCGTCTTCGGTCATTGTTCCCTTGTTTTCGATCGAACAGTACGGGCATCTCTCAACCAGTCCACGACAACTGGTCTTTCTCGGCCCGGATTGAGATTCAGGGCACCTCTCCCCACACGGCGGCTACGACAATCTACCAGGGCACGAAGCATTCGACAAAAAGGCTTTCGGGATTGGATGAAGGCGGGTATGGTTATTTTGAATCGGTCACCTTCTTGTATTTCCATATGTGTCTCTTACAGTTACTTGGAGTCGTGCTACAGAGAAAAGAGGCTGCACCACGCATGATGAACCTGTGTGGCTGTAGCCTTGCCTTACATTGCATGCTATGTCCTCTGCCTAGCCTTGCTTTCTTTCCATTTCTTTCATAGATTTATGAATTAAGGTCATGAGAATAAAAGTACTTTATCCTAAACATTTCTTTGAACAAAATTTCACTTTTCAAGCGGTACGCCAGTAGACAATTCAATGAAAGAGCATCTCGTAGGATGTCTTGTCGTGATTGAGTCAAAAGTCAGCGTAGATCTCGGCGTCGCGCTCGGCTTCAATGACCAGTCAGACGCCCCGATTGTGAAGTAGGAATAGGAATCGGAGAGAATGTCTCCCACGCCTTAGCACCAATTTGGAGTATCTTTTTGAGTCAAAGATCTTCGAGGTCAGACGATGATAATCCCAAAATTTCCCATTTACGTGGCGTTAGGAATCCTCCACATTGTCATAGCAGACAAGCACCTCGCTCAATCCGCCTGCCTCAGCCGAACCCGAAAGAGTATTGTAGTAGATCCTTGATACCTTCCTCTGCAGCAAAGCCCACCCAGCAGCCACAATTCGCAACACTGGCTTCATCTGAAGATTTCAAGATCAGGAAGCTCACTAGCAATGACTTCGACGAATGGTCCATCCTCTTCAGAGCATACGTCGACTTCTATGAGACTTCAATCCCTGAAGATCAGTACAAGAGGACCTTTGAACGAATTCTAGACTCTAAGTCAGACTTGTACGCCGTTGATGAGACAGCAGCAAGCGGGTGACTCAAGGGATGGCAAGATGATTGCGATTGCGCATTTCTTCCCCAACAGACTCCGTGGAGTGAAAAGAACATTATGCTTTTGAATGGTGTATATTCGGTGATATGAGATCTGGGTTTAGAGAGTGACCGACGCGATCTAGATCTCTTCGTCGATCCATTCCGAAGAGGAAATGGCCAAGGCCGCAAGATGATCCCGCAGTCGCTGATGCCTCGAAGGAAATGGGATGTTTCCGCCTCCAGTGGTTGACGAAACAGGACAACACAACTGCACGCCGACTCTACGATACGATGGCCGATGCATCATTCGTTCAATACCGTATGGGTCTGGAGTAGTATTGCTCTGATAAATATGCTATTGTTGTAGCCACATCATCTTCGCTGTCGTTATCTGATCGGGCAATGATGTGATGGGCTCGGTTAAAAGATACAGAATAGTTGAAGCAACATCACGAATTCAAACTTCCCTCCCCACCTGTTGAACCCTTCACACAACCTCCATTGCCAAACATGGACTTCGCAGCTGCCTGCCAAACAGTCTCGCGCTGTAAATAGTTATCTAGAGTATAAAACAGGCGACACTCTGCAGCCTCGTAGATGAACTGCAACGGGGTCTGATCATCATCGGGATCGTATTCATTGCGTAAATTGACGCTGCCACTCCATGCAAATGACGGTGCCAGACTGGGGCTGGACTCGTTGAACTCCTTCCACTCGGCAGATGTTAGTAGAGGCGTTGAGCTATTGGCTGACTGTTGAATCAACTGGTTCGCTTGAGTGATGTAGCCATTAATATAATTGATGCCCAGAGACTGGCCGCCCTTGACGCCGCCGACACCTTGCATCGGTGCTTGGCTTGGACGACCACCGAAGGTAATGGTGCGAACACCTTGGCGCTTCATGAGTTTGACGAAGAAGGCACAGGTTGAGACGCAGTCGCCATCAGTGATCTGAATTGACAATTTAGAAATCTGCTCGTATAGCATAACCAACTTGCTGGGACTTACGATGGTGATGTTCTCCGCTGGGAACAGAGTGCGACTAGGATTCAACGGCGCAGGCCCGTACCCATTGATGGGATAGACGTTGGTTGATGTCGCGGTGTAATTGAAGTTAGCGAGCAAGCTGGATGAGGGGCTATTCAGTACTTCGTGCGGACCATAAAGATCTTGCCAGGAGCTGAAGCCGGCCGTCTGATCTGGCTGAACCATCTGTCTGTAAGCGAAGACGTTGTTTGAGTCCAATTTGGTGTCTCGAGAGTATGCCTGAGTGAGATATTTCGCAGCATCGTGGGCGCGGTACCGCGTCGCTGTATAGGGAAAAGCATCCGGGAAGAAGATTCGGGACATGTCGATGCCAATAGACATGTATCCACCCGGATTTGAGGCAAGGTCGATCAGAATATTCTTCTTACCCGCCGCGGTGGCATTTTGCAAGAAATCAGTGGCGATTTGCGCGGTCTGTTTGGGGCTAGATGAGAAGGTAGGGAGGAACATGATCCCTGTATTTTCGAGGCCGGTGAGATTGGAAAAATATCCCGCAATCGAGTTATCTGAGTTGCGCCATTCCGTGTCTGGGAGCCCAGTGATCTCGGAAGCTTGCTCGGCACCTGAGGAGGAGCTGGAGGCAGTGGGCAAGCTCCGGGGAAGGCAGTTGACGGTGTATAACTCGGTGCCATTTTGGTAGGAGAAGTATCTCTCTGATGGTGTAGCTGTTCTTTCCACCGTCTGCATTGTCCCATTTTTGTACCTGAGGTTCAATTCCGAGCCGTCAATCCAGTCACTTGTGGTATACCAGATGCCGTTTGCGTTGGTCGGGGAATTAGTGACGCTACGGGCCAATGATGGGAAAATTCGGTTATACTGCGCATCGCGGTCTTGTAGACTTTGGAGAGAGGCGTATGATTCGAGGTATTCGGCCACAACAGTGCCATTGATAGTTTCAAGGGGTGACACGTTATCGGCACCCTTTTGCTGGAGCTGCGCATCGCCTGCAAATAGATAAGCATTTGAGCAGCGAGGCATAAATGTGAAAAATTACTCAGTGTGTAAACTTGTGGTGGCGAAAGTCCATCTGTCGAGATAGACACAAGCGGCATGTCAACTCCATAACGGAAGATGGACTGCGAGCATAGTTGAAAGCTCAGATGTCCATCATATGCCGACTTGATGAGATGTGACACCTCCAGGTCCATTTCGAATTGACTGGAGTAGCCATTGCTGTTCACTTTGTCCTGAATCGTTTCAATTCCTCGAAGCAGGTCCGTAGGTGGCATTTGGTAGCCCGAAGGAGGCTCTGTTGTTTGATGTTAGTTTCACACAAGCAGATAGGGGATTAAGCCGGCGAATGCGTACGTTTCAAAATATCAATAGTTGACTGGAACTCAAGAATCCTACGAACTTGAGTGAGGAAAGTCACCGCACGCCCAGAGTCGAAGGGCATCGACATCAAACATTGATGCACCAAATCGTGGGGAATCTTAGCGCCGACTGCGACCGTTAGCTGCATTCTCCGATCGGCCGGCTGTGGACGCACTTTGGCTGTGACTGACGTCCGAGACCAGATTGGTGATTTGTGCGCATGGCTCGACATGACGAACTTGGATGGCCCCAGTAGCCGCGGCCAGCGGAATCAATAAGGGCGTGAAATGCATTGTGATGTTGAGGACATTAGGTGCGAAGTGACGATATAGGCGAGTATCCACTCTCAGGGGGCCTTCAGTGGAACCCTTGTTTGTTACTATTTTGGCTGATCTGCGCCAAGATGTGTCGCAGTTAGGGTGAAAATCGTTAGTGTGTCTCGGGGCCTTTGGTTTCGCGTGGCGTTTGCAGAGGAATGCTACGTGTCGAACAATCTAGATTCTCACTGCATGGGCTGTGAAGCCCAACGAGATGATATCGAGCAACATGAATTGGAATTTGGTCGCCTTGGCTTTCGGGTTCCATTGATGTAGTGAAACTATGAAAATAACTAATCCTCGAAGACACTTTTCCGGAAAAATTTATAGATTTTACGGGCAGCCTCTTTACCGACAATCGAATCCAGCTGATCGATCTCCATATTGGCGATTTCAGTGAGATTTTCGGTCTCTAGTATCAGCCGTTCAAGAGCCTGTGGTGTCACACCGGGTACGGCCCGCAGCATATCTTGTGGGAGAAGATTGAAGGTTCGATGCTCGATTCCAGCAGCAGCCATGACATCCCCGGCGTTGCCAGCATCAGATAACTGAATATCCAACCCAATTTGCACGGCACGCAGGGGGTCTGGTTCTGCAGCATTTTTCTTCAACTCTGCAAAGATTTCTGCAGTCTGGTAGGGTGATGAGGACCATATGATCCTGAGCCGTGGGAAAGCGAGGATAAGAAGCACCAACATATGCTGCGCGGATCTCGGGTTTGAAGAATTCGCCATCGAACTGCTGCTCGTGCTCGTGGCTTGACCAGAAGATGAAAAGCCTTGCTCCATCAGGAAGGAAGTTGGGCCCGTAGCGGATGCGAATGCATCGAATGTAAAAGACTTGTTCTGATCGAATTCGATCAAAAGGAGAGGAGTTTTGTAGTGCTGGAGCATAGTTTCGGCCTGGTTGTAGAGGCGACCGTTGCGGAGGGATGATATCAGATCACGGATGGACTTGCGCTCTACACAAATCTCTGGCGTAAGAATATAATCGCCTACCGTAAGTTGACAGGGAACCACGACCATATTGTTCCCATGCAAAAGTGATGGAAGTGCACTGCGGAACTCTCGTACGTCAACCACTACTCGCGGGGGGGGCCGCCGTGGCTGCCAATCGCCCTCCTCCAGCAATACGAGTGTTGACTGTGCGAAGGAACTGTTCTTGCGGATCTTCAGCTTTCTTATCATGAGTCAGAGTAACCGCCATGTTCTGCAGATAATGTCAGTCAGAAGTCCTCGAAGATAGAGCATCAAACTTACCCCTTTTCTCCTTGATGAGTTTCGTAAACGAATCTTTCTCACGTCGGACGGCGCTCAGATACCGTTGCTCCTCAACAGACCCACCATAGTAAATGAAGTAGACCTTCACATTCCGTCCCGAGTGAGAACTGCGGTAGACTTCCACCCTACGAATGAAGGCCGCATCTGGCTCGTACATGATAATGTAACGAGGTCGAACCTCCTCCAGTATATGATCATCCATATCGCCGTCATAGGGGTGTATCATCACGAGGTCATTCATGTCGTAAAGTTCGTAAAAGTCTTCCATGTTTTCGAAATCATCAATCACAATTTCTTCTTTCTGTGTTTCTTCGGCCTCGGTGGGCTGGATCTCGTTGAGTAGGCTCACGACCTGGCCCGGCAGCTCAACCTCGGTTTGCACGCTGCTGTTAGGCACGCGACCAGCGGCGGAATTAACTGCACCGCCGCCACGTACGCGGCGACGCTTGTTCGGGGAGGTCGGCCTTGATGCTGGGGTGTTGCTGACTCCGATAGTCGTCCTGGCCTATCGTCATCGGAGAGGTTTTTATTCACATTTGAGAGGGAGCTCTTCCAGTTGAGGTAGTCCCGCAGTCGACGCCGCATCATGACCTCTGCAGATGAGCCCTCCTCGTCTTCATCGTTCTTCAATATAGATTGTGCAACTTTGGCATGCATGGTGCTTATGTATTCGCGAAGCTGGCGGCAAGTTCGCTGGTCACTGCACATGATCAAAATCGTACTATTTGATTCATCAGGGGCGGTCGGGTTTAGATAAGCATCTTGCTCGATCTCACCAAGGACCTCTGCCACCACGTTCCACTTTGGAAGAGGCTCAAGAGTCGGCTGCAGACCGGTAGCAAAATTTAATGATGAGGAGGGTCGAGACATATCATTGTTGAGTTTACCTTCGTACACACGTGCCTTTGCTGTTTGGAAAAGAACATGAGCAGCATCCAAAAAAAGCCAAGGTGAGTAGTTATGCTTGTTGGAGCCAGGGGGGCGGCGAATGAGCTGCCACAATCGTATCGAGATATTTAACGAAAGACACGGCATCGTACGTGAGCAAGGCACTGCTTTGGAGTTAGTGCAGCTCCAGTGGAACAAGGCAGACGGTGAGACGTACTGGAGAATTCCTCGAAGGTCCGTCAAGTCACTGACGATTTGCCGGGTCCTGAAGCTCACGCGGTGCCAAATAGGATCAAGTTGTCTTCGGATTGAAACGTCAAAGTTTCTGTGCAAAGCGCTGTCCAGGGTCCACTCCTCCATATCTAGACCCGTGTTGGCTTTGCGGAGCTCCGCAATGCTAATTTCCACACATTCAAGAACAGCGTTTTGTATCTCTCGCATCTTGCCACTCATTGGCACCTCCAGCTCGATAACTTCTGCCTTACGATGGCCTTCCAAGGATTCAGCAACTGAGACCTCGAATCTAGGCCATAGTGAAGCCTTGGGCAAGAACAAATTTCGAAGAACATTGGCCAACGGTGCAAATCCAGTAGTCAAAGGTTCGGGCGAATCCGAGAAAGCTTTCAGAAAGCCGCGCTTGTTTGCTTGTCGGTAGATACGAACGATGAATGCTTCAAGAGATGTCGCTATCACTCTCAGGAATACTGTCAGCTGGCTCCAAGTGCCTGGGCAAGATATGTACCATACTTATCAGCATGCAAGATGATCATGCCCGAGACCTTCTCGGGATCGAGGAGCTCTAGCGAATGGATTAGCCATTGCCAGGTTGTCTAGAACTTCTGGCATACTCGATAGCAAGTCCACAACGAGGATTCTTGATGTCACACTCAGAATGCCACCTTCAGCATATATCCGTTCACTGATATCCAATCAGCGTATGTGCAGCTAAATCAATGCAGCCAATACCCACCGCATAGCCACTGTGGCCTTCTCTGTGTTGATGACCTTGAGCCCCCTCGCAAGCGGGGACTTGCTTGTCGCATAATGTTCAGCCAGCGCTATCCGTCCGCAGTGTCAGCGCGTCTTAATGCAGGGATCCGGGGTGCGGCCGGCGTACCCTCTCCGATCCATTCATTCTCTCGATCATCCGCACCAACCACCAAGACCAAGTTGTTTCCGGCCGCATCGTAGAAGTGAAGAAGATTCGTTATGAGGTGGAGCAATCCCAGACCGCGAGCGAGGACGACCAGCTCATCCTCTGTGCGTAATTCGGTGAAGATGTGCTGCTGATATTGCTGTAGATGGAAATTGTCAGCGCAAGATCTGGGCCTTCACGGGCGATATCAAAAGCTCACCAGCGGCAGCGACAGCTTCACCGGTACATTTGTTCTGTCCATAGGCATGAGGCGCCTTTCTTGACGCGTTGAATGACTGAAGGGTCAGACGGGCGAGAGCCGTCGCGAAATCACGTGCCTATGATGCAATGGATTGAGGTTATCTACTACTGCAGCTTCCAATAGCGCTATGAATTTAGCAAGATTCACGCTGCATAAGATCATTTGCTCCAAGGCCAATATGACTCATATACAGAAGGCTACTTGATCATTGCGACAAAGAAACAGCATGCTATAATGTTCCATTTAGATTACAGTCACATATTACCCTTATTTTCAGCTCTCAAATCCATTATGTCAGTTCACATTGTTCAGAGATCCAGGTCTTTGGATTTGTTGAGCTCTTTCTTCCTACTTTCAATCTCTTCCTTCGAAGCCTTGGGTGGCATCTCTAACTAGGCGTAAGCGTCGTCACAACTGTTGACCAGTTAGGCATTGACTCACCATCTGGGATCTGGGGTCCCTTGGACATATGATCAACGGCCGAGGCTTTCTGTCGCTGTTCGCCCTCGTCACGCTTGTTCCGTGGCTCATCACTTTTGTTCGAGGTCGATGGGAAACTAGAGGGATCGGGGACGACAGGCATATTGCTTCAGGTAATAGTCGCAAGTTCTTCTGATACAACCTCAGACTTAATGTGGTCGTCTAGGCAGAGAAATATAAGACTCAATAGTGGGAAAGACAAGTAATGATGGGGTAAAGGTCCTGAGACAAGAAATGCCAATTATATAGATCCCAAGCGGAAATGACGTCGGCGGTCACTAGGTGTCAGTTACACATACGCAACTAAACGCGCGATGCCTAAAATAGGTCTGGACTTGTGAAGTACATTGAGCAATGATGGAAGTACAATTCAAAGGATTTTAAGCTGGACCGAGCTGAAGCTTGCCGTTCATCTCACGCCTCTGTCTAAGCTGCCGTCAAGAGTAGATGGGGCTTTCAGAGTGACACTTATGTTCATAGCATTTTTGCCTCATAATTGTCTGTGCTCGAGGCTCACGGCCCGATTATTTGTTTCTAGAAGGAACCAAGTAGGTTTGGATTCAGCGATAATCACCTTTCTACAATTCATCGCTTACCGAGCAGGAATTGAGTCTCCTTACATAGTACACGAGTACATCGGAGATACCACGTGCCTTCATAGCGGCGAGCAGCAACGCCAAGTCACTGCCGTGTACTTTTGCCCCCGCCAAACCGTCTCTTCTCAAGGCAACCGCCGGTCGGCTCCTATTCAATCCCAGAAGATTCCTCTTCTTTCCGACGTGAATTTGGAGGTAGACCTTCTCATCACCGAACCGACTCCGCTTATCTCCCGCCTTGTCCTAGACGGCACACTAGGCCCGCTCTTCCCCAACCGCTCCGCCCGGCCATGCGCCTTCGACCGACCTAACGCAACGTCCTTCCTCCAATACCTATCCTCTCCGGCAGCCCCGGGCTTACGTTGATTCGTCATGCCCTCGATCCTTACCGATGCAGACAAGGAAACTGTCAAGCGATATGTCCCCAAGCCCGCCAACAAGATCTTGGCCGTAGCTGTCGCGCGACTCTACGTTGCCTACCCGGATCCACAAAAATGGACTTATACAGGCGTGCAAGGAGCAGCTGTGATCTGCAACGACCTTGTCGGAAGAACCTTCTGGCTGAAAATAGTCGATGTTTCGGTGAGTGCTCGAAGGCCCGGAAATATGAGGTGACCAGTGCTGACAACGTTATTATTTGACAGCCTAGTGGAAAAGGCGTCATTTGGGACCAGGAACTCTTTGACAACTTCCACTATAATCAAGACCGTACTTTCTTCCATACATTTGAACTCGAAGATTGCGCCGCCGGTCTGTCCTTCGCCGACGAGAAGGAAGCCAAGACATTCATCAAGAAGATACAGGAGCGTGAGAAGCACGCGAGCAAAGAGACCTCCAAGACTCCCTTTGCTTCAATTCGAGGGCAGGGCCCTGCGCCCATTGCCAATGGCAAAGGTCCCAGCCGATCTATCTTTGGTAGCTTGTTGCATCGCTCGAGCCATGGTGCTCCAGCTACTGCTGCACCACCACCTCCTGCTGCTGCGCCGTCACTACCAGTCGCGGCTCCCCCGGTTCATATTCCGAGCGCTTCAGCGGCCAAGGCAGACCTGCCGTTTGATATAAACGATCCTTCGCAAAAGGGGCTGTTCGACGAGCTTCAGCAAATGGGTATTACAGCAGACCAAATGGCGGAACATGCCGACTTCATTAAGTCGTGGATTGCCGGAAAGCAAGTCAATGAAGCAGCCGAGAATGCAACACCGACTGGAAGAGCTCCTCCACCACCTCCTGCCGCCCCTAAGGTAAACACAATCAGTCCGCAAGGCACGGGTAGCTCCGGTCGACGCGGCCCTCCACCTCCGCCCCCTGCTCCTCGCAAAGGTCGCGCCGACACGGAGGAGCCGTCATCACCTCCCCCTCGTGAGCCATCTCCGCCTGTTCGACGATTTGCTGCACCTCCTCCGATCGCAGATGCCGGCAAGTTCGCTGAGCCGGCCGGTCCAGCACACACGAGGCGCCCACGAGCCGTCTCAAGTGTTACGCCGGGTCCACCTCCACCTCCTCGTCCTCCAAAGACTCCAATGGAGGAAACACAGCCCATTCCGACCCGATTTGGAGTGCCTCCGCCTTTCGCGGGAGATCGCAAGGTCTCAGCGCCCCCTGCGCCTCCTAGTCGCAGCCCAGTTCCTCCAGGTCCTCCCCCACCCCCTCCTCGTGCAGGCAGTCCGGCAGTTCAACCACCGCAGCTACCTCCCAAGGTTCTGAATGCAAATCTTCCGCCTGGTCCACCACCTCCCCCACCCGCCAGAGGACCTGCATCCCCGCCGCTACCAGCTCCCCGGCCCGTGCCAAGCCCCATAGCAGCGGCACCTCCTCCGCCTCCCAGAGGACCTACCTCTCTCCCTCCTCAACCAAGTACTGGGGCACCTGCAGCACCTCCGCCTCCGCCACCACCGGGTCGGGGTGGCCCTTCACTACCTCCCCCGCCTCCTCCAGCACCAGGTTCATCTGCCCCTGGAGGACCCCCGCCTCCTCCACCACCTGGTCGCCCCGCTGCGTCGGTTCCCCCGCCTCCGCCGCCTCCTGGTTCTGGTGCACCCGGTGGTCCTCCACCGCCGCCTCCGCCTGGGGGTTCTGGAGCTCCTCCTCCCCCACCATTGCCTGCGGTGGGTGGGGGTGGACGAGATGGCCTCATGGCTGCCATTCGTGCTTCTGGCGGCCAGGGCGGAGGAGGGTTGCGCAAAGTCAAGGACTCCGAGAAAAAAGACCGCAGTGGTGCTATAGTCCCTGGAAGTGCCCAAGAATCCGCTGCTGCCACTTCCAGCTCAGGAGGTGCGCCGCAGGGTGGCTTGGCTGGTGCACTGCAGGATGCGTTGAAGAAAAGAAAGCAGAAAGTCAGCGGAAGTGGTAAGTGTCAATTGATGACCACATTAAACGATTCGACGATTTAAGAACTAACGCGACTTCTAGATGACGAGAAGTCCGATGATGACGATTGGTAACAGTAACCTCGTTACATGGACGGCTTTTTGTGGGTGATACCTGGTCTATAAAGGCATGTTTTGCGGCGGATTAAGATTATTCCATTTGGTGCATTGGTTGGCTCAAAATTCTTGACTATTCAAGGGCAGAGAAAATGGTACGGTGGTATATACCCTCGATTGGAGCAACAGTGGAAGATATTAAGGACAAGCAGAGCATTGCCACAGTATGCAAATTTGCTTCTTCAACTTTCAACTGTTGTAGAAACATCGTAGAAATAATTTGAGAACCGGACTTCTCAAACGATGTTACTGTACACCTGGACTGCATCTCTGATGGTCTTCTCAGTACCTATAAGGAATTACGCAACCCAGAAAGACATACTAACTTGACCGTTCTGAGGTTACAGAGATGGCAGAGAGCCCAATCGCAACGTCCTGAAGCCGTTACTCTTTGAATAACAAAGAGATCATAGATATTTCCTTCCTAGTGAGATGCCTTTCCGAAAGGATAAATTTCGCCTTATCACCAAAGACTCATGTCGGCCTGGTAGCTGGGTATTTCCAAACATGTGGTTAGAGGTAAAATGGGTGTGGTGTAACAGTCCCGAGGGGTTGTTCAGATCCGCTCACCATGCCGTGTTTTTTCATGAACGGCACTAGGCATCCGTGGATTGATCTGAGCTAGCGTGATTATATTCTTACTCGGCCTGGAATTGAACTCCCGGGAAGGTAAAAGAATGTCTTCTTCATGATATCCATCCTGGCTCCTAGTTCTTGCACAAATGACGGTGTATCTCAAAGATCCTGGGGCGACGACTGAGCGGACATTTGACGCTGTGAAATGCGCGCATTGTGGTCGCATTGCCTCCGTGGGAGAGACCTTCGGGCCTTCAAAGCCTCATTGACGGCCTGTCTAGCCCAATTTTCTCATACTTGCAGCCATCTGGCGCCCAAGGAGCGCTAGAAGTCAACCTCAAATCTATGTTTTGATTGCATGTGATTCTTTGTTTACTACGCATAACGTAACACGATTCTGATTTTCGTGACATTCTTTGGCATAATTTGAGGCAATAGAGATTGGTTGTTGGTGACTATGCTTTTAGATAAACCCTTCCTAGTCCAGCAAAGTGTGGAATATGAAATATGCAATTCTACATTTTTGTAATAAATCTCTAAGAGTGGTTTTCGTCTCAAGATGCATCGGGGCAGGAACCATGAGAATATGACCAAACTTATGCGGTATCATGCTGCTCATATCACTCTCACCGGAAACCGTCCCGACTGCGGACATTTTGAAGGAGCCAGTCTCTCCACTTTTGGTCGCTCAGAATTGATCTCACACGGGCTTCAAGCCACTCTGTGTTTCCCCAGAAACCCCACGAGGCCTGAAACCTACACCAGTCGACCAGTGCTGTCTCCCAATGTCGCTTGAAAATCTCCCAATCATAGAGATCCGAGTCTTCATTCTGAAGAAGACTTTTGCGGTACCACGCGAGTAATTTTCTTTCAGGTTCACCCATAGCTAACTGCTCGGGCATAGATTCTTTGGAATCAGTAAGCATATGCAACGGAACTGAGCAAGTAAACAATTTTGCCAGATCGCAGACTCCAAGGCCTAGCCCGACATACTGAAAATCAAAGAAGGCGACTTTGTCCCCACTGGTTGTTGTGAAGAGATTCTCGGATTTCACGTCACCATGAATGTACGACTCGATCGGTCTTCCATAGGGAGATAAGAATAATGCAGCCATCTCGGTTATGGATAATGAGGAGCCTTCCGAGGGCGTGCACATCAATTCTGACCACTCCGAGTACGTGTCCTGAACTAGAGAAGCGTACTCTTTTCGTCGAGTGGCAAGGTACGTATATCCTCCGTTGAGCCACAACCCTTTGACAACATCCCTGCTTAGACCTTGTCTTCTTTTATATTCTTCAAGAGGTGGCAAGACATATTTGTCAAGGCTGTCAGGTAGTAGTCCCCATGAGCGCCTGTGGAAGCTTGCCAGCCAATTCAGAGCGCTATGCACTTGCGTACTGCTAAGAACACTCCTTTTTTCGCCTGCAATTGGAAAATTAGGTCGTAGATCGACCATTATCGTGGCCATCAGACCTGCAAGTTCGTCCTCGCCTGGCTGGCCGTCCATGTTGCGTGTCGAGGAAAGGCATTTGGCAACGCCGATCTCATCGCCTAATAGCGGAACCACATTACTGTAGAAATACTGTTCCACCTCGTAGCTCAGCATCTTACGCAAATGGCCCTCATCATGATCTCCAGAGCTTTTCCGCGGGGGTGAAATGAGCTTCAAGATGAGAGGATATGTGGAACCCGCAGCCCCCATTGTCACCCCGCAAAGTTGGCTGAGATGCTTCGCCGCACCCTCAGTCATGGCCCTCGCAATAATAGCACAGATGTGTCCATAGCCTGCCCACAGGGTCTGTAGGGTGGTGCACGAGACGAGGTCGCACGAGTGCCACGACAGCATAATGCTAGCGACGCGCTCGGGGTCATTGGCAGGTAAAGGGGCCATGGTGGCTGGTGATCGTTCTTTCAAAAAAGCCCTGGCCACGAGCAGAAGAGCTCTGCTGCTGAATGTGATACGCGGGCAATTTGATACGACACAAGATCAATTGATGTGCTCGTTGAAATTCAACTCTTGGTGGATCGGAGGCCAGTGGAATCACGTGATCGAGGATAGTAAACATGGGCTTCATACGACGACCCAGATAGCCGTTTCCAATGTTCAACATAGACATTTCTGTCTAATTATCATGAGAGTAGATTTGTGTGATCGGTGTCCTGGCCGTCTCTTGAAAGCGTGCTGCTCTTGGCCTTCACATTGCTATACTTTCCCTTCCATCCAACTAGCCCCTCAACAAAATTTCCAGTCGTCATGAACATCACACCACAACATCATCTGAACATTAAACAAGCTTGGAATTCTACCAAGGCCAAAATGCACCACGATGGCTCCCTCGACCATGGGTGCTGTGTGAGACTGTGCAGTCACTTCGTCGCGTATAGCTGGATGGCCCGCAGCAGACGAGACATCGGACCTTGATGCACTAGCTGGGCAGCCCTTGGAAACTTTGAGACGAAGGCCGATGGAGAGGTACTGGCGGGGAATGGAACCAGCTTGGGTAGTTAAACTGATGCAACGCGAGTGCCTTTCATTTCGCGAATATTACCGGGTAGGGAAATCCCATCCTATGTCAAAGAGAAACAGTCGCAACTTCTTGCATCGCTCATACTGAGCACTGGGCTAAATCATTTGAAGTCCCGAGTGCCCAAAGCCGAGGTGCCGAACGGGTGCTCCAAGGTGAATCGAATAAGGCATGTTACCCGCTTGGCTCATTGCATCCCCACTCATGACGATCCTTGAACTTACTTCAGATTTGGGCAACATCAAGTTCCCAAAGTACCCAGGGCTTCCTGAACTCATCTCAATATCACGCAAGTCTTCTCATCCCAAAATTGGAGATGCCGACCGTGAGACCATCTCTCAATTCTCTTCCAGTGGAGATTCAATGCGCCATCTACGAACTCCTTGACCCCATCGGTTTGATATCCGTCAGTCAAACCGACTCTCAACTGCGAGACATCATCAAGCCAACGCGTCAGCACTTCCTTGAGAGACTTCTGGTCCTCGAATGCCGCGAAGAATGGGGCGGCGCAACGCCCATCATGTCGGCGAGTGGGGGCTATCTAAATCCAGACTGGAGCCGACCGGAATGCCAAACCATGCGCTGGGCCTGTTCCGCCTGTCTTCGCCTTCTTGCGCACACGGCTTTTGATGACCGATCGCTTCTACGGCTTCGCTACAGGAAGCCCGTTCTTGGGTCACCGGCGGCGAAGTTGACTACGAGCTGGAATCCATCTGGAAGGGTCGGGAGACCCCGTCGAAAAGGAGAGCCGCCTCTTGAATATTCGTCCGAGGAGAAAAGAACTCGGCGACGGTACGGACTTGCCCTCTCAGCTGACTGGAACCGACTGCGCACATTCAATGAACTTCCTCGAAGATTGATCAAGTTCCAAGAATGCGGTATGTCCAGGTTCGAAGGGATGAGTCTGTCGAAATATATCGATCTGAGTGATGAGCAGGAACACGAGCTACTCGTACAAGAAGCACTCGATATAGAGAGCGTACGCTGTGGCTTCAAGCGCGAACTGCGGAGATGCCTTGAATGCAGGTACCAGCGGAACGAACTCAATCCCTTAGGCTGGACACACGGCGGCACGGAGAAAGTGCCTATTATGATGAGTCGGCGCCTCTTCTTCCCATCTATCACCGACCGCTATTTCCCGGATATTGGAGATGCGCTAGGGATCAAGCGACCCGCGTGCAACCCGCCGGTGTTTGCAGTCTACCGTGAAAGCGCACGTGATCATCTGTGGCTTACACATATGGTCCGATGCCCTGGATGCTCGGTATGGCAGGAGTTACGGCATTTCCGACTGGGCGAGGTTTACGAACATTGGCGAGCAAGTGTCACGAGGGTCGGCGTGTATGACGCTGAGGTGGGAAGAGTGGTTGGTATTACGGAAGTCACCAATTGGGATGATAGGAGAATCACCAGGGGACTTGTGGACGGAGTGCTCTGTAGCCGGTGCTTTTTACAAGAGTACGGACGTGTGGCACTTGGCAAGGAGCTTCTGCGATGGCTCAAGCGTATTCTGGATCTCCACAGAAGTGTTCTCCGGCATCGAGTAGGGTTCGGTTGGCCTATATTCCAGCGCTGGTCCCACAAATGTCCGCGATCTTTCCGAAGAGAAGTTCAAGAGGTGGCTCGCGAGCCGTGTGATCTTGTGGAGAAGAATGAGGAGAACGATGACTTTACTGACTTTGATCTTGCGCTTTTACGGAAGAGACGTCAGCAGTGGTTTGATGTACGAGCGCGTATGATCGAGAAAAACAAGGTTTCCTGGCTTCCAGAGAACCCGTGGCTATTACACTGGAATAATTCGTACGATGAGCTTGAAGCTATGTACGTATGGGTCCAAACTGTGGGGAAAGTGGCGGAAGGCCAAGTGGATGCGTTGGTAGACTGGGCACTGGAAAACCAGACTATTCAGGGAAGAACAGTCTAGATGAATCGACTATGACCCAATGGCGTCCAATGTGACGGACAAATCCAATCGCTTAGAAGAAACGGCTAAAAGGCTGAGGAATAGCATCAACGTCAGTGGATGTCTGTGGCACTCCGGGACTTGGTGGAGATGTTCCCGGTAGCCGAATCCACACTCGTGTACCTGACCTCTCCCGCCCAATCGGTACCCTGTCCAGAGCCCATGTGTGCCCAGGAACCGGAGACCGACGGCTTGTTTTGATTGAGCTCGATCGAAGATAAACCAATTTGGTTATCGTTCCAATGCACGTGGGATACTGCAATGCATCGGCGATACCCGATGTCGGTCGATGATATGCAATGCACGCGATGGGCTTATAAACCATCCTCATCGCCATCATGAAAGGCGACACGGGCTCAACCTCTCACCATGAAGGCCACTACTGCTTCAGTGCTGCTCGCGCTCTCCGCCGCCGTCAATGCTCATCCGGCGGTCGATACCACGTACCCCTATACTGGCCCAAAGGTGCCCGTCGGCGACTGGGTTGATCCGACCGTCAATGGCAACGGCAAGGGGTTCCCTCGTCTGGTCGAGGCGCCTGCGGTCAAGCCGGGCTCGTCTCATCCGACCAACAACGTCAATGTGATCTCGCTGTCTTATCTTCCCGAGGGCATCCATATTCACTATCAGACTCCCTTCGGTCTGGGCCGAGCTCCATCGGTGAAGTGGGGAACCAATCCCCACCACCTGAACCGTGTTGCCGAAGGTTTCACCCATACGTGAGTACCGGTCGTGAGATTGGGTTGATTGTCGACGCCAGTGATACTGACAAGCTTAGCTATGGTCGTACCCCGTCGTGCTCTGAGGTCAAGGCCGTCACTCAATGCAGTGAATTCTTCCACGAAGTTTCCCTTCCCAACTTGGAGTCTTCCACGACCTACTACTACCAGATTCCGGCTTCCAATGGTACTACTCAGTCCGATGTCCTGAGTTTCAAGACCGCCCAAAAGGCGGGTGACCCCAAGGAGTTCTCTGTCGCCGTGCTGAACGATATGGGCTACACTAACGCCCAGGGTACTCACAAGTACCTCGCCCAGGCCGCCGACGAGGGAACCGCCTTTGCCTGGCACGGTGGTGATATCAGTTACGCTGATGACTGGTACTCCGGTATTCTTCCCTGCGAGAGCGACTGGCCCGTTTGCTACAACGGCACCAGCAGCGAGCTTCCTGGCGGTGTCATTACAGAGGAATACAAGACGCCGCTCCCAAAGGGCGAGGTCCCCAACCAGGGTGGTCCCAATGGTGGTGATATGAGCGTACTTTACGAATCCAACTGGGATCTCTGGCAGCAGTGGATGGGTAAAATTACCAAGAAGATACCCTACATGGTTCTTCCCGGTAACCACGAGGCTGCCTGCGCCGAGTTCGACGGCCCCGGCAATGTCCTGACTGCCTATCTCAACGACGAAATCTCCAACGGCACCGCTGCCAAGGATGGTCTCACGTACTACAGTTGCCCACCTTCCCAGAGGTCAGTGAATCCCCCCCAATCTATTCTATCCATCGTATATCCACTGATCCATGACAGAAACTTCACTGCCTTCCAGCACCGATTCCGCATGCCCGGCGAGGAGACCGGCGGTGTCGGCAACTTCTGGTACTCGTTCGACTACGGCCTTGCTCACTTCGTTTCCATGAACGGTGAGACCGATTACGCCAAGAGCCCCGAGTGGTCCTTCGCTGAGGATCTCTCTGCCAACGAGACTCATCCCAAGGAATCTGAGACCTTCATCACCGACAGCGGCCCCTTCGGCCGCGTCAGCAACGTGTCGGACACCAAGTCCTACGAGCAGTACCAGTGGTTGAAAAAAGACCTTGAGAGTGTCGACCGCAAGAAGACACCCTGGGTTGTCGTAATGAGCCACCGGCCCATGTACAGCTCCGCCTACTCCTCCTACCAGAAAAACATCCGTGCGGCCTTTGAGGCGCTCATGCTTGAGAACGGTGTCGATGCCTACCTCTCCGGGTAAGTCGTTTACAAAATGTGAAAAGGATCCCTGGGAAACTGACGTACAATTTGCCTAGCCATATCCACTGGTACGAGCGCCTCTTCCCGATGGGCAACAGCAAGATCGACACTGCCTCCGTCATCAACAACAATACCTACCAGACCAATGCTGGAAAGTCCATGACCCATATCATCAACGGCATGGCCGGAAACATCGAGAGCCACAGCGAGTTCAGCACCGGCGAGAGTCTGACCAACATCACCGCTGTCCTGAACAAGAGCGAGTATGGTTTCAGTAAGATGACAGTTGTCAACTCCACTGCTCTGAAGTGGGAATACGTTCGTGGCAACGATGGCTCTGTCGGCGATTACCTTTGGCTGGTGAAGCCTAGCAACGGAAAAGAGACCGGAAAAGGCGGCCATGGCAAGAAATGAGAACGGCGTCTAGACCAAGATCGTGGTTCGGTTTCGTCGATTGCTTGGTGAAAATCGACCTGTATTAAGACTTGGTAACTTACTGTCGGACCTGCCCCATTGTGGCTAGTGAATGTAATATGAACCTCGAATTATGATTCACCATAATTACCACACTCCTGACTTGCATATCCCACCTCCTGCTTCCTGCAGTGCATTTGCGATATCTTGACGGAATCGCTGACTGTAACTTCACGTCGGCTGTCTACCGAAATTTGTTGTGGCTCCGTCTCAGTCCCATACTGAAGAAGCAAAATTTTTCTACCTGAGCCTTGGATCAACAATGGCAGTACTGTGAGAAGTCTGATACAGGGTCTGTACTATCCTGGGTGTGTTCTGACACTTCAAGGTCATTCCGAGTTTGATGCTCTCGCTACTACTGAGCTTTGCTTGCAATTTTTGGCAGAAATTTGCTTGGCCCTCCGATCTTGTAGCATTCCACTTGAATAGTATTTGGCGCTCTACTAGAATTGTGAGGAGAGAGGATGATTCAAAGGCTGCAGCGGAGGCTGCTTTTGTGGGCGAGAATTGAGAGATGAACGGTATTTCCATTCTCCATTGCGAATACCAAAGCCCAATAGCTAGCTGTTATTGGAGGGAGCTCAATCTGTTAAGATTATAGAATATTCATTGAGATTGAACATGACAAGGGTGGTACAAAGAATCAACAGACAGCCAGCTTGACCTTTTGTAAATTATGCGCCCATCCTTGAGAACGGCCACCAGTTTATCCTGAATGCGATCCAACACCGCAATACCGTCTAGGGGGTCAGATGTCAAGATGAGCATATCGGCAATAGTTGCTTTCTTGATACACCCCAATTGACCCTCCGTCCCCAAATATTTTGCGGCATTGATGGTGGCCGACTGTAGGATCTCTTTTGCGCTCAAGACACCCGCTCGTATTGAAAACTCCTTATCTTGCAGAATATGCAAGTCTGCCAAGAGGTCGGAACCATAGCAAATCATTACTCCAGCTTTGCTAAGAATTGATAACGCGTCCAGTCCGCTTGCCAACACTTGTCGGTTTTTGATTTGACTGGAATCGTCAAGAAATTGGTCGAACGGTGGCTGCGACATGCCGTGATAGGTCACCAGAGTCGGAGTAAAGACAACGCCCAATTTTGCACAGTAGGCGGCAGTCTCTTCGTCAATGAAATTCCCATGCTCGATTCCTCTTACACCGTTATCTACAGCATGCCGGATGGCTTCCACGCTATAGGCATGAGCGGTGACATAAGTCTTTGACTGCTTCGCAGTAGTCGTAATCGCACGTATTTCTTCCGCCGTGAACTGGACCACATCAAGGGCATCTGAAGGAGACGCAACACCACCACCACACATGATTTTGATGAAATCGGCACCTTGTCTCAGCTCATCACGAGCAGCATTGAGACACTCTGGAACGCCATTACATATGCGAGATAGATAAATCGAGTGCCCACCGCAGCATTTGATCTCATCGCCTTTATAATTCGCACGGAAGTCACCATGTCCACCGGTTCGCGAGAGTGCTTTGCCGGCGATGAATGGCCTGGAACCCATGACCAATCCTTCTGTAATGGCTTCGCGAAGAGCAAAATCTGCGCCGCCAGTATCGCGAGCTGTTGTGAATCCTCGAAGAAGCATCTCGCGTGCTACGAATGCCGTACGATATGCGATGCTGTTGGGACTCGCAGAGAACATCTCCTTCAGAGAAGTTGAGCCAGGCGTCGCAGTAAGATGAACATGGCAGTCAATTTAACCGGGGCAGATGTATTGGCCTTGAAGGTCCACTGTATCTAACCTCGTCACGGGGTTCGTTGCGTCTCTAGTAGACACATTGACGATGCGGTTGTTTTTGATGTGGACAGTAGATTTTGGGATAATTTCACCCGCTTCAACGTCGACAACATTTGCATTGAAAAATATGACTTCTGGAGCTGCAGCCCGAGGCAGCCATGGTTTGCTGTTTTGGTTACTCATAGTTCTCAATGGACGGCTTCGAGCAATGCAGTGATTTGCGATTTGGGGATATTTCAACGTGAGGGGCGTGTCGATAAATTTGCGAATTAATCCTCTTTATTTTAGCCTGCTTGATTTCCGCTCAATATAGCGCCGAGAAAAAAACAAGAGTCAAATCGCGCAACGCAGAGCGGGGAAGCTTTTCAAGAGATAGTGTGCCGTGAGAGGTTCGACTGGGGATGAAAATCCTCAATTACTGTAGCGATAGGCTTCGGTATCCCGGCATACTTTGACTACCCACATTTCAAAGTACCAGGATTGACATTATTTCGGCAAAGATCTCTGAAACTACAGTGATCAATAAGTGGCCTACGGTCAACGAAGAGTAGAATCTTTGGGCGGAGATGGAACCTCACCGCCAATATTCCCAAGGCTCTTCTTGCCTTCCTAAACGTCATCTCAATCCAAGAAGGAAAGAGCTCGTATTTCAGATGCACGGCGCGCCATCGAGAATACTCCAGCAGGAATCATTTACGAAGGCACCAGATCTCGCGTAGGCTCTCTTGACTCTGGTGCACTACATTCCAGATTAAGCGAAAGCTCCCAGACAACCCAGAATCTTCGCCAGCTACATGTGGATTTTGCGGCCAGAACTATTCAAGAAAGTAAGATGCCATTCAAAAATTTACCTTTCAGCGTTTAGAGATGCACCTTGGAGACACTCCCAAACCTGCTCTAGGATTGGAATTCAGCATAAGCCAGGGCCGACAAAACGCGGTCCTCCACGCAAGTTCCGTGACAACTGCGCTTGGAATCGCAGTACATGCGATGGTTATGATCCATGTGCCAGTTGTAAGGCACATGGGAGATCTTGCTCCCATCGACGTCTTGGAGACCACTCAAATAATCCAAACATCTCCGACCTCGATGCTTCTCATATATTGACAAGAAGTCGAAATACCCAGGTGGCTACATTACAAGACCAACAAACCCCCGGTAAGGACTCACTTCCCTTTATTTTAAACTATTCAGACTCAAGCATTCGTCATGCTGAAGATGTCAATCATGTTCTTTCTCTGCAATCCACCACAGAAAAGCCAGAGGAAGGGTCTGATGCTGCCCTCCCGAGTCCTGAGCTCGGAGTGGACAGTGAAACGCTGAAGACCCGTATTGAAATAAATAGTGTACCAGGCGACCAGCTCAGCACTAAGTTATGCAAATTGGGGTTCCTTAGGTATCCGAGAAGGGTAGCGAATGTAGAGAGGTTGCTGTGGAAGAATGACTTGGTCCCGAAGATCATCTAATTCAATTTAGAGATGAACACTGATGTGTGGCATAGCGTATTCGCTATTCGTCCAGAAAATTACCATAATCAAGTACATTTTGATCATTCTGAGGGTCTTTCTAATTCAAGTGTTCGTGAAGCGGTGTGCCATATCCACATAATTGTCTAGAGGCGAATGTCTTTATCAATGTCAGTCTGCTCGGATCTGCAGAGCCTACAGCATGGGAGCGTATCCGTGGACATACTTAGGTACTCTCTCATAGGTCTTCATTCTGCTTGCAAGGGGAAAGTTTGCGTGAATTACCAGAACCAATCTGGTGAACAGCCCCTGGGAGTCAGTATACTTCAGTCCTGGATTAACCTTGATCCGAGGGCGCGGGAAAAAAGCCGCGACGGAGATCATCGCTTTCCCTGTTATGACTGTTGACCCAAACTGACATGTTGTCTCCCCTGAGGCCGTCAGTGCCATCTGCCACATTGCTGCGCTTTCTGCGCTCACAGTCTGGCTTTGTGGCTGGCGCTTCGGTATGCGTGCGATCACAGTCTCGGGCTTTAAGCCACGAGGCTGTCGCGACCGGATCATTGCGTAGATCCTCGAGCTGGACATGCTCTGGCAGGTCGGAGGTCTACCCATCACAAAATACTGGCCTTGTCAGCCCTTCCGGTGCAAGGCCGAAGCCAGCAGTGCCATCTTCTATCTCCAAGCAGCTCATTATCACCCGACACACCTCCACAAGCCGTCGGCCATTCCTCAAACGCCTTTTTGACTTTCAGCGAACCAAAAGTGCCGAGTACCAGAAAGCGCGCAATCTTGGACCGACGTTGATTGACGATGGAGAGGGCATCTTCAACATTGGCCGTGGGCTAGCGGCCAAGGCCTCCAACGAACTGCGGATTCGATGCACGGAATTCGACATGAATGGGGACGTCACACTGGTAAACGGGGAGTTTCGAAAATCAGAGTTGATTGCGAAGGTAAGTGTTCCTTGAATATCCAGGCCTAATTGAGCTCTTTCTGAACCGGGGCACGCGTTTACTATAGTACGGCCTGCTTCCTCGAGATCTCCGCAAGATTGATTCCTCCACATTGCCTCATATCCTGGTCAGACCGCGCGCTATCTTGATCAACCTGCTACATCTCCGGGTCTTGATCAAGGCAGATCGGGTGCTTGTCTTCGATGCATATGGATCCCAGGACTCATACATGCAGTCGCTATTCATCTACGATCTAGAAGGGAAACTCCGCCACAAACAACCACAAGGAACACAGGCTGGTCAAGCACTGCCTTATGAGTTCCGCGCACTTGAGGCTGTCCTTATCAGTGTCACGACTGGGCTAGAGGAAGAGTTCAACGGAGTCAGGGAACCCGTCGTTCGGGTTCTCCGCGCGCTCGAGGAGGATATCGATCGCGACAAGTTGCGACATCTCCTGATTTACTCAAAGAAGTTGGGTACCTTTGAGCAGAAGGCACGCCTAGTACGAGATGCCATTGATGACCTGCTCGAAGCGGACGATGACCTTGCCGCAATGTACCTGACCGAAAGATTGACTGGCAAGGAACGGGATGAAGATGACCACCAGGAAGTTGAAATGCTGCTGGAGTCTTACCACAAGGTCTGTGACGAAATTGTACAGGCCAGTGGCAACCTGGTGACCAACATTCGCAACACGGAAGAAGTGTCAGTTCTACTCCAATCCGAGAAGCGCACCCAGTACTAACTCTAAACAGGGTCAAAGCAATTCTTGACGCCAATCGAAACTCGCTCATGTTGCTGGACTTGAAGTTCAGTATCGGAACTCTCGCTCTCGCCGCCGGAACCTTGTATTCTGCTCTTTACGGAATGAACTTGAAGAACTTCATTGAAGAATCCGACTTTGGTTTCGGTGGCGTTTCGGCCATATGCTTCGCCATTACTGGAGTTGTTTCTATCTATGGTCTTGCCAAACTACGAAAGCTTCAGCGCGTTCGCATGTGGGGTGAGTCTGGCGTCGGGGGCACGTCTCTGACGCCACTGACTTCCAGAAGTGCAAAGAAAAATACCCGCACCAACTGGCGCGCCGATTCCATTGAACCGGTCTGGGGCAGTCTTCCAGGCGAAGCGAGATCCGAGCGTATTCGCAGACTTCGTGAAAACGCTGCCACCGGTGCTGCCAATGCTGCTTCCCGAGCTCCTGGTGCCTCGAACGATATACTGCAAAGGGCACAACCTCAACCACGTGTGAAGAAAGATGGTAGCTCTTAAAAAGGTCTGCCAAGCCCTATACTTCTCTTCTCTTTAGATGTCGTGCTTAGATGTCTTTTACCTGCATATCTCAACGAACACTACCTCTGATACATCTGGATTTACGGCGTTCAAGTTCAGGAACTTTAGCTTATAGACACGGAGTTGAGGGTCTTTTCAAATTGTGTACATTACCAAGCATTTTTCCTGGGCCCATTGCTGGCTCATGAACTCTCTTCTCACAGCACAATCTCATCTGATACCACGTACACACCAATACACAGCTCACCACCCGTCTCCATCTTCCTCCATCAAAGCACCCAACTCCATGTGGTCGCACATGCGTCTGAATGGTCCCACCGAACATGATACTACACTCTCCTTCGGGCAATGATGTAGATGGAATGATTACGCAAACAAAAAAGCTTAGCCAAATACCCATATCGCAGCGCAAGTGATCCTCACAACTAGGTAAACCCTGATGATGTATTCAATTGGTGAATCTCTCAACTATGCGCCTGGTTCCCCATCCCCGGGCCCTTGTGCAAGCCTTGAGCGCGCTCAAGCCACATGCGCGCGCAAGTTTGTATACCACCTTCCATGGCGCACTCTCGCTCGACAATACTCTTGATCCTTTGAATAAGCTCTGTGCTGTTTTCACCTGGCTCTTTCCGTATGATATTGCTCGCTGTCATGCTCCTTCTCCGGTCCTGTGAGAACAGTTGCCAAGCGCCTAAAACGCCGAAGTTTCGCGTGCTTGGGATACGTAACTGCGTCTTTTCGACCTCGTATCCGATTTCTTCTGCGATACTTATTGTTTTCGCTGTCAGAGAGCCATACATAGAATTCATCAATCCGTCTTCAGTCTTCTCCTTGTCCTTAGCGGCTCGTAAAGCTCTCAGGTCTCCAGATGTCGGCTGTGGGTTCTGCTCCACTGGCTTTGCTATCTGGGTTTTCGGATCTTTGCTCTTCTGCGGTGGAGGATATCGATATCGGGACCCAGCGAGCGAGTGGGAGCAGCACGGAATGGAGAGAAACGGCAACGGCAACGCTGGGCTAGCAAGAGCAGCCATGAGCGGTGTCCAAACAGTGATTTCATCTGCGTGGTTGGAGATAATGAATGTTCCTTCTTGGAACTCCCCAGTATGTGTACTCACACCAATATCCACTGAGCCAAGTGCGTCGGCAAATGGCCTAGGGATGTAAATGTTCTCAGATAAATGCTCTTGCACAGATGTGGGGAAAATGCTCCATGTTTTGCGACGGCGGGCATCGAAGCCACAGCCCGCGTAGCCTTCCATCAGAAGTACGTAGACCAGAACGCCATTTCCACATGCCACATCTACGAACCTCGGGAAACCTGTCGCGTTTTCCTGTTTCCAAGTTTCTTTCTTCTCGTTGGGGGGAACAGTGTCATACATCAACCGCCAAAGCTCGATCAGAAAAGCAGCAATGGCCAAGTCTTCGAAGACATGTTTGCTGGGCTCGGTTTTCTCAACCCACCGGTCACACAAGTCTTTGGCGTACAGTGTCTTGAGGCGGGCATATGTGTCTTGGACCATGTGCCGGGGAACCACGTTGTCCTTGGATGAGACTCGATTGGTCTCATGGATAGGGCCCAGGGGCTTATTTGCCTTTGATTGTTGAGCGAGCCGGATATTGAAGTTGAGAAGAACGTGAAGAGTACGTTCCAGGCGTTTTGGAATGTCGGCCGTAAAGGGCAAGAAGTGGATCGACATCGTGCCTGTACCTGTTCCTGTACCAGGGCAAGGCTCAGTGTTGTACAAATATGCGAGACTTTTAACGAGCGGGTGGTAGAAGGGTATTTCATCTTGCGTAGAAACATGCGGGGTGTACATGACAAGCAGGCGATGGGCGCTACGCCGCTTGTCAGCTTCATGGATCGCTCCTGTGCTTTTAGGAATAGCGCCTGGCGATGCATAGATATGACACGTCTGCTCCAGAGCTTTGTCCAGGCTTCGGTTTCGCGGTATCATTCTCCGCACCACAGTCCTGATCAGCTGGAACCCTTCGACCTTGGTTGCGGGCTTAGCTGTTATTCCATCCCCGTTTTCCTGCATGATGTCCAGGAGGCTCAAGTTATCATGCAATATATCTGCACGAAAGAGATGACTTGAGGTAACATTCGGGTTGGCCATGAGGAACATTGCCGTGTCATACACAGCTAGACACGAAATGTGGAGGTCATGCTCATGGAGATCTGGCGAAGTGAGCCAGCCTTCCGAGTCCATTTCCAGATCAGATGGCCTCATGGTCTCTGTGAGGGGCTTCCCTGAGAGCTTTGTAAGATCCCGGGTGTTCTTCCGGTTTGGCATGATGGGCTGGCGTATAAAGAATATGACACAATGCTAAATTTTGATATTGGACACGGCGGAAATGACAAGACATGTTCATATCAAACTGTGCGAATCGTCCCCTTCAATGACCATGTCTCGATCATCGACTTACGCCTTGGGCTTCCTTTGCCATTCCTTGACGTTCCCTTTTTGTTTCTGTATTCAAGCCTTGCTGTTTTTCCTCACTGAGTAAAGCTGAGCACGCCCCTCAGGAAGAGCGTTCTGAACCAGGAAATATTATTACATAAGCAACTGGATCTGTTATCCTCCATCACCCGTGATCGAATCTGTCAGTTCTGGGTCCCATTAAGCTGGAAACCGCTCGTGATCTTCAGTTGTATATGCGAGTTCTCTCATAAAGATGTCAACGTTGGAATATGTGGGAGGTTCAACATCCTAAGCAACCAAAGTCTAAAAATGCTTTTAAATAGCAAGAGGTCTTAAAACCTAGTGTATGGTTTTGAAATCTCCGCAACTATGAGTGTGAGGCCCTAAAAACTCAATGACCGTAGTCTTAAAACACGAGATACGCACGTTCGGCTTCAGCTAAAGGTTTAGAATTTATTATAATCACCGCACAAAACAACGATGAAGCAATAATCAGATCTCTCTCTAGCACAGGCTGACTTCTAATAGCTCCGCCTCGCTTCATTTTCGATCCTTCTTCAATTAAATTTTATAGCTCCTCTAAAGTCACAGGTTGCTTTCTGTGAATGGAAGAGCTAATTGCGAAACTTTCTCCCCGACTGTCACCCCGCTTGTGTAGTTCAAGAGAATAGAAGAAATGTTTATCGACAAATTTAGAGAGAATTTTTTAGCTCCTTTAGTGGGAAGTTGCATTTATGCCTGCGAGATGTTTAGACACCGAATCTACCTCTAATGCGTACTATCGCTGGCTGACTTGAGGGTGGGCATCGGGTCATCGGGTCACGTGCTCATATTTCTACTCATCTTCCTCAGCGAGCTGGCTGCCTATGACGGTAATCGACCCAATTTTTTTCTCCCTCAATCCATCCAGATTTATTTCCTTATTCTCTTAGCTAATCAATAAACTTCTTATGTTTTGAAACCCCCAGGGTTTTTCAAGTTCTGGGCAAAATCTGTGGATCCAAAGTGGTGGGTTCTGTCAAGATCTAACAGGGGGAATCTGAACATCAGCACGGACTTGTAGGCTTAAGACGAATATGTGTACTTGCTGTCTGTGATGCTTAGTGTACAACAATATAGATATTACCATGCCTGCAATATTAAGGATCAAAAAAGCTAATAACCTCCACTTCATTTTTTTTTAAACCAAATATAATGAGTTGATACAGAATACAAAAAGCTTTTTGATAGTAAATAGAGGCCTATATACTATACATCATTTTTATTAAAGCGATATATCTAATATTAGGGGGGGCAGGGGTAGTTAAGTATAAGATTTTTAGGTTTAATGCAAAATAGTGCAAGATAAAATTTTAGCTACGTACTGGTGGCATTTTCTATATATTATCGCAACCTCGTTATAATAGAAAATGAACTCTTTGAAGTAGGAATGCCTAATGAATTAATCGCTTTATCGTAACAGTAATGTTCAAATACAAAGAACGCCACTTCGCCGCAAAACCTAACAGAAAGCCTCACCGCCAGGTTTTGCCGGTCAAATTTTCCGTGAGCCCGATAGCGGCTATCGTCCGCCGTATCCAAACTAATCACTACGCGAAGAACCGGACCACGGCCCCGACGCACGCACCCGACTCGGCCAAGCGGGGTTTCAGGGGTAAATTCTCATTTCAACTTCATTCCCCTTTTGATGATCAATCAACACAAAACTACACCAAGAAGGATCCTCTTCCAATCAAATTGATCTTTTTATGGCGTCCGGTCAGTCCGGTTCTCATTCGGATCGGGCCCCACAAGCCGAACTATATAAGGCTGCAACAAAGACCAAGGAGCTGGCAATCCGGCCGGCAGGAGACTTCTTATGGGTGGACTATCAGAATGATCACTTGAAAAATCGCGAATTACTCCGATATAGGCAGGCTTTCGTGCGAAGCCGACATCATCGTTTGCGGAGAGAAAAGGCGGTGCAACAGTTCAGCACTGCCACGGGTCCGTTCTCCACAGAGCACAGTCCACCGTCGACCCAAACTGCGGATGCTCATGGCTCACGAACCCACCGACGTCGTCTTGCAAAGTGTGATCACCGTGATGATCTTGATAGCTGCGCGGCTCAGCAAACCCCGGTACTAGTATCGTCTCTCCAAGCTGGGGTTCTCGACGGAGGGCCTGCCCTGGCACTAAGCGCAAATCAAAACCCGAATGTTTACTTCCATCACTGTGAGTGTACATCACATCGGGCGCTGCAACTCTCGTTCACGTCTATTTTTCGTAATTTATCTCTGATGTGCTCTACTAAACGAACAAATTAGATCGTGTTCACAGTGCAAGATCCTGCTTCCTCTCTTTGCTCTAACGATGTGACAGTCTGGTTCTGGAAAAAGGCACTAGAAGATCCCACGTTGATGCAAATAAAGTTGTCCATTAGTGCATCCCACCGAGCTGCGATTTTAACTGCATCTGGTGCTTCTACAGCAATCGTACAGAAGCCAGCGCAGGATGCGCTCCGCCTTCGTGTTGGAACAATCAAATCTCTCCGATGTATGCTGCAAGATGCAGCCACTGTGTCCTCCGAGGAAACCATATTTATCATTGCTCACATCATTGTTTCAGAAGTAAGAGCCCATCCTTTACTCGTATGAGCAGTCAAGATCTGCTCAGAACGCAATGAGAGGGCGAAATTGGCTCACAAAGGCGATATAGGCTTTCGAGGCCAACTCAGAGGCTGCTGAGACGCATATGAACGGCTTAAAGAAAATAATCGCTGCAACAGGCGGGATGGACACTCTTGGGCACGGAACCCTCTCTATGCTCTACTGGTAGGATGCACGACATGTCATATGGATTGCTTTCTCTAACTCGTCGTTTCTTTACGCAGCTGTGAGTTTTTGCGAGGGATCATGACAAACTCAATGTCGGAGCTCGACATGTGCGAAAAGTTTCAAAAAAGGGTTCTTCAAGAGTCCTCCTGTTTCAAAGCGAATATTCAGTTTACCAAGATCCCCGCGTTTGGCGCTCGATTCTTCACCGCTCCATGGTCCAAAGATATTCACCCAATATTCAAGTCAATCATTTCCTCGTTTCAGCAGCTCATCGCTTATTATGAGAGTTCCAGTGACATCGACGTTGAACCAATGTCGGTGGAAAACGATTGCTTACTCTATTTGAGTCACCGATTGCTGTCATTGCCATGTCAGTATCAACTCACTGTCTTTGAAGAATCCTTGCGGCTCTCAATCCTGGCCTACTCTTGTGTACGAATATGGAGCATCTATGGAATTCCATGCCTTGGAAGTCTGATTGAAACAGTTCGGAAAAGCCTGCTAAGGAGCTTCTCTGTCCTTCAAAGTACCGCGCCTGACCTGCTTTTTTGGATCCTTTTCATGGGCAGTCTTGCGTCCAAGGGAATGAAGTCCAATTCATGGTTTCTAGCACATCTCAGGGATGTTGCAGAACAACTGTCAGTGAACAATTGGGATACTGCGTTGTCGATATTGAGGGACTTTTTCTTTGTATGTCGGCCAAGCGATGAGCCGGCAAAAGAATTATGGCACTCCAACTTTCGAGCAGGCACCACCATGGCCCAGGTGGTCTACGTATAGAGATCGTGAATACGCATCTATTCATTTCCGACCTGTAATCTAACAATGTTGAAACTATGTTCAAACTTACTCTTCTTCCTCGCTCCAACCAATTTGTCGTGGGTATGGTCATGTCCCCATGGAGGAATTGTTGATGAAGACTGCAGCTCATTCTCTCTAGCTTGAGGGATTATATGACGCTAGAATTCTTGATACCTATGATTGGGTACCAACCTCCATGTTTGACAAATGCTCTTCACATAACCGACCGCAGATTGATTAAGATGAGCGAGCTTTTAATATGGCATGGCTATCTATCCTGTGGAATGTGTAAATAATGAATTGGGGTCCACTCGGAAAGCCCGGCAGCTTTGTGTTGCCCCGACTGGTCTTCCACCTGGGGAACATCGTGAGCCGTGGTAGGCAGGACTAAAGGGTAGTCACAACGACGCAACTCATCCTCAAGTTATTGCATCTATAACAGCCATAGCTTTTCCTCAACTGCAAGGCTTGTCTTACTTTCTACCCACCGGTCATCACTGAATTTTTCGATTGATCCTTTTTCATCAAATTGACACCTGGTAAGTACACTGAGATTGAAGAATGAGTTTCAGTCCTCTGATTACACACACAGTTTCAAGCAGCTCATACACCATGAAGCTCCAGGCAGGGCTCTACGCCAAAATCCTAGCCCTCCTAGCTCTTTCAGGCTTAGCATTCGGAGAGTTCATAGCCAAGGCTGTCCCAGTCCTATCCAGTCCCGTGGCTTCAGCAGCTTCACCCGTCGCATCCCCCGCTGGCAAGGGTCACTGGCAAGTTGACTTGTACAAGGATGGAAAGTGCACTGGACACGCGCGCACCTTGAAAGGGTATGGGTCCAGTAAATGTCGCACTGATATGCCCAAGGGAGGGGCGAAGGGATACGATGTGAAGACCCTTGATTTTGACTGCACAGTCACACTCTATCAGGATAGTGTGTGTTCGCACAAAAAGAAGATTACAACTATCTTTGCGCAGAAGCAGAACGCGTGTTCATCTGTTGGAGCTTTTACGAAGAAGGTGAAGGGGTACAAGGTGAGATGTTCTTAACTTTGGGTTTCTGTCTGATTTTCGGTGTTGTTGCGATTTGGTGCTATTGAAATCCTTGTCTAATGGGCTTTGAGGGGGTTTTCAAGTCTCCAGTAATGATAATTGAATGGATGGTTCAGGTCTAGTTCAGTCAAGGCTTTCTTGCATCAATCGTCTGGTCAGATCGGTTTGGACCCATTGCTCAATCAAAGAGACCACATCTCCGACGAGGTAATCGTAGTTTGCGCCATGCGGGATGAACATAGATTGATGTGCTTCCACCTCATCTATACCCTCCATCAAGACTGAATTCCAGTGAGCATTGTCGTTATGCTTCCAATGGTGTGAAGGCAAGAGAATGAATTTGCGAAGTTTCTGCTGGGTATCATCTGAGCTGAGGCCAGAGTCTGAAATTGTAAGAGACACGCTTCCCGAAAGGCTCTGACTATCCTGAGGGATTGGAGTAGACGAAGTAGTGCTGGGGATATCAATCGATGACCGATCTAAGATGATTTCTTCAGGTTCAAGATCTTGCATGTTTTGGTCTGAAGCGGGCGGTTTCCGCGGTGGTAATGGTGGTGGCAGTGATTTTTGTATTCGGGGACGAGGATCAGGAGTTGGTGATTTCTTGCTTTGCTCTTCGGGAGCGGTGCTGCTCTTCGCGGAGTTGCTCTCGCTGTCTCTACAGACACTTGACGTCTTCTGGGACATTGGCTGCTGTTCATCGAGGTCCAAGTTGCTCAGTGAGCTGGCGATCTCATCTTTTTCAGAGAGATCTTCTCTGGAGATACTCCAGGTTTCAGATCCCTCCAATGGCGGGGATTTCGAGTTCTTGGCCTGATCACTGTGCTCTTTCTCTTTTGTAGGCTTCTCCTTGGACTTCCGTGGAATGCGCCCAGTGCTTGCAGTATAGTAATTTACAAAACGGACCCTCTCTGATTTGAACTCTGCATTCTCCAGCTCCACTAGACGCCGATACCGCCGACGAAGCTCGGAGTAGTTATTGACGCAGCCGGCAAATCTAAAAGTTGACGCGACGCGGTCGTATATTGATCGTGAGAGGTTGTCTGTATTCTTGTTGACAAAATGCATGAGGCCTTTGAAGAAGCCGCGCTGAACCAGGCGGTGATCATTCCTGAATGGCGGGTCGAAATTCGGACTAGGGGTAAAGGGCTTGTAGGCCGGCTCCATGCCTAACGATTGCTGTTCTCCAACAAGCTCATCTTCAGCCGCGAGGTCCTTCTTCGGCATGGAGCTAAGGACTCCAGTTGGAATGACGCGAGGATGTAATCCTAAGAAGGGAACGTCAAAGTTGATCAGTCCCAGAATTCGATGTTTTGGCTGGTCATTGAGCTGCAACAGCGCAACGTCTGCAGCCAAGATCCCACCGAGACTGTGACCCAACAGAATAACATCCAGATCCTCAGCCCCATGGGGTGCTAGCCTACAACTTCATCAGTCTCAACGACTCTGGCATTCTATGGCCCACGTACCAGGCGCTGAATTGCTCCACCGCCGTTTGAATCCCAGCCTCGCCCCAAGACTTGTATCGGGGATAAATGCGAGTGTAAACCACATGCGAATCGCTCAATAGACTCGTCAACAAATCGTGAACATGCGCTGGAAGGTCATGAAAGCTAGCTTCCGAGCCCATGAACCCGTGAATGTAAATCAGTAATAGCCGCCGCCTCGAACCCTCGGGTCCTGGGCCTCGAGGCAGCGACAAGCTGGAGTGATTAGCACCCTCACGGATGTCGCCCTCCATTGCGGATTTGCGCTGGATCGAGAGATGGACGAGCGGAACCGTTGACATGATAAAAACACGATTCCACCTTCCCGCACAGCCACAGCACGGGGGATCGACTTATGCACGGCCCCTTTGCCACTTGTTTTGAGGGGCTAGGCAAGAAATAAGAGTCCAAAATAGAAAAGAAATGGGATTCAAAGTGAAAAGCAAGGCGTGAATTATCATTTGAGATCCTGTCAGGTCCTTGAGCATTGGCTCTTCGCCTCCTTCCACATCACGGGCGCGTACTTGAAACGGGCATCCACGACATTCACGACATTCACGGCATTCACGACCTTCGCCACTTCATAGACTAGTAGCTGTGCGCCCGACGTCATTTCTATCAACGCATCTTTCCCAAAAGCTCACATCATCGCCCTTTTTCTAAGTGGGCGACAACAACGATGGGAAACCGTGCAAATTCCGAGAGGGACTCACCCCCGCCTTATTCCCCATATGTTGACCCTCAACTGGCCGCCGAGTCGGCCAAGGTCCACTGTAAGTAAACCACCAGGCACATATTTGCAAGACTAACGGCGCGCTTTAGATGACGGCCGCATTGATGTCAATCTTGAGTCAAAGCTCGCCAAGCAAATCGCTCGCATCGCCAACGAGCAGCCAGAAAACCACCCCTCGGCGCCCGATTACAGCGCTCAAACCTCAGAGGGAATCTACTGTGATGTAAAGCTAAACATAGTGATCCAGATTGTGGGCAGTCGCGGCGATGTGCAACCCTTTATCGCGCTGGGTAACGCCCTTCAAAGCCACGGCCACCGTGTTCGCATCGCCACGCACGGAGTCTTCGAGAAATTCGTCAAAGACTCGTACCTAGAATTCTTCCCTATCGGCGGTGATCCGGCCAAGCTCATGGCCTACATGGTCAAGAACCCAGGTTTAATTCCACAGATTGAAACCTTACGTGATGGGGAGATCAAACAAAAGCAGATCATGGTAGCGGAGATGCTGGATGGATGCTGGAAGTCATGCATCGAAGATGATCCTGACACCAAGGAGCCCTTTGTGGCAGATGCAATCATAGCGAATCCGCCTAGTTTTGCACATGTTCACTGTGCGCAGGCGCTGGGTATTCCCGTTCATCTGATGTTTACCATGCCGTGGAGTAGTACCAAAGCATTTCCCCATCCATTGGCCAATATGAATTCTACCGATATGAACCCCAGGACCGCGAATTGGGTTACATACGGTGTGGTGGAATGGCTGACCTGGCAGGGGTAAGTGCTGTTTGTGTGACTTGTCGATGCTTGTCGATGCTAGACTGACCCCATGCAGGTTGGGAGACGTGATTAATCGTTTCCGACGTTCCATTGATCTTGCATCTGTACCTGCAACCGAAGGGCCGTGTCTAGCTGAAGCGTTGGAGATCCCTTTCACCTACTGTTGGTCTCCTGCGCTGGTTCCAAAGCCCCAAGACTGGCCATCTTACATCGGTGCGTGAAACAAGCTGTCACCGTGGACCTAATCGCTGATTATCTCTAGACGTGTGTGGATTCTTCTTCGGAGAACCCTCTTCATATACTCCACCTTCAGATTTGGCGGAATTTCTGCAAGCCGGACCACCGCCTGTTTACATCGGCTTTGGTAGCATTGTTGTCGATAATCCTGAGAAACTGATAGAGACGGTGCTGGCAGCAGTATCAAAAGCAGGAGTACGGGCAATTGTTTCAAAAGGCTGGAGCGAACTAGCCGGCACATCTGATGAAAACATCTTCTACATCGGCGACTGTCCGCACGACTGGCTCTTCCAGCACGTCTCCGCCGTGGTGCACCATGGCGGAGCTGGAACTACAGCCTGCGGTCTCCGGAATGGACGACCAACGACCATTGTACCGTTCTTCGGCGAGTACGTCGATCCTTCTACTTCAATTCCCTCCCAAAATCCTGATCAAGCTCGTTCTAGTCAACCATTCTGGGGCAACATGGTAGCCCGAGCCGGTGCAGGACCTTCCCCGATTCCCCACGCCGAATTAGACCCCGACATCCTCGCCTCCGCAATCCAGTTCTGCCTCACCCAAGACGCAGCGGAAGCCGCCCGCGAAATCGCGCTCAAGATGCAAGTCGAGTCCGGCGTATCAGCCGCCGTAGACTCATTTCACCGCAACCTCCCCCTTGACCGCATGCGATGTAGCATTATGCCCGACCAGGCAGCAGTATGGACATACGGCATCGGGAAACAGCGTCTCATCCTCTCAAAAACAGCAGTCAACATTCTCATCGAGCACAACAAGATAGATGCCCGGAATATCAAATGGTACGGCACCCCCCCCTCTATCGACAACATATCCTATGCACATTCCCTAATATCCTTGAAATACAGCTACCCCATAAACCCAATCATAATTGAAAACCGCCGCTGGGATCCTCTCACAGGCGTCCTCTCTGCGGCTGGCGCAACAGGAACAGAAATGGCCAAATCGACCGGCGAAATGCTCTACAACCCATACAAAGAATACAAACGTGCGCGTCTTGAAAGCGCCTCCAACAAAGCACGCACCGGTGAATCCCAAAATCCGTTCGACACTGGCGGACGAATGATCGGTGGCACATTAACCGGCGTAGGGAAATTCTACGGGAATTACCTCAAGGGCGTTGTGATTGATATCCCGCATGCGGCGGCCGAGGGGTTCAGAAGAGCGCCGCAGTTGTATGGAGAGAAGCCGAAGGAATATGGGACTGTGCACGATTGGAGGTCCGGAGTCAAGGTCGGTGGGAAGAATTTCGTGGGTGGGATGGCTGGCGGTGTTGCGGGGTTCTTTACGTCGCCGGTGAAGGGGTTCATGGAGGAGGGAGCGGAGGGGGCTGTAAAGGGATTTGCTAGGGGGACATTGGGGTTGGCGACGAAGATGCCTTCTGGTAAGTTGTTTTCTTTCTTTTTATGAAAAAGAAAAAAAGAAAAATTGGGTCATGGTTGATGCTAATTTTATGCAGCTGCTATTGGGTTAACGGCGTATCCATTCCATGGAATTTCGAAGAGTATTGAGGCTGCGTTTAGGACGAAGACGCCGAAGGATATTGTGAGTGCGAGACTAAGGGATGGGTATGCTCATGCAAGTAGGTTGCAATTGTCGCAAGATGAGGAGCTAGAGGTGTGTCAGGTGTTTGATGCGTTGATGTCGACGTTGAACGCATAGCTTAGGCAGTCACAACAAAGCAAAAGGTCAAAGCAGGATCAGTCGTTACCGTCCCCTTCATGAATCCATTATGATCTATGAATTTATTGATGTGTTACGACCTTTTACGAAAACTCCAATTCAATCGAATAGATAACGTAGAAGATAACTTCCTCGTCAATTTCATATAATCAAATGTGATACGACTTGGCTCGTAAGTCTTCAAGTCTGAAACTCTAGCATGGAAAGAAATGAAAATAGATGAGAAGAAAGTAAAGAAAAAAAAAGAAATGAAAAGGTCATTCAGAACATTAATCCCCTCCACATCAGCACATCTTTCATCATAAACGGCGTATATCCTGAGAGCCCCCAGCACGGTATCAGACCCATGCCTCGGCGAATGGACTGCCTCAGAGAAGGGATACGAGGATACGAGACCACAGAGGTTTTCTTCTCCAGGCGCCTGACACTCATTCCGCTTATTGGTAGCAACAGAGTGGGAGGTGTATGCAGGCGTTGGATTGTCTTTCCTTTTGGGATGCAAAGATCTCCATTCCCCTTACTCGATAGCGGAGCCAGAGGTGGCGGCCTTGTTGGAGTCCCACTTGAGCTTGAAGTCGGGTCCAAGCTCCTTGGCGAGGGCAGCCTTGACGGCATCGAGAACGTGAGGGAAGACACCGAAGTTGGCGGGGTTCTGCTCATCGTTCTCGCCGCCCTGGAAGACACCAGTGCGGACGAGACAGGTGTTCCAGCCGTACATGTTTCCACCGATGATGTCGGAGGCGGGGTTGTCACCGACCATGTAGATGTTCTTGGGCAACTTCTTCTCGCCGTAGAGCTCCTCCATCCAGGCCGCGAGAACCTCGTCGGCGTAGATGTAGGTAGCGCGCTCGGGCTTACCGTACAAGGTACGCTCAAGCTCCTTGCCGGAGACGGCCTTGTAGTGAGCTTCAACGGCGAGACGGATGGCACCGAGGTGGAGACGGGGCGGGCCCTTGTGCTCAGTAGGGCAGAGAAGATCACCTTGGGAGAAGTAGATGGGAATGTGATCTTGATCCTTGGAAGCGCGGGTGAGGAGCTGGCCGTTGTCCGAGTTGAGAAGATCAGAGATGATCTGGAAATCGGTCATCTGATCGTAAGACTCGGCGAAGTAGAGAATGGCGTCGAACTTGAAGTTGGCGAAGTCGCGGGGGCGGGCCAGCTTCTTGTCCTCCTCGGTGAAGCGGCGGCAGGGAGAGATGGTAGGGTCCCAGGCGACGATATCCTTGGGGTGAATGACGTTCTTGAAGCCATACTGCTCGGCAACCTCACGGATCTTGAAACCCTCACCACCGAGAACCAAGACGTTGTCATAGTACTCAGACAAAGCCTGCATGGGAGTGTGGGACTGGATGAATTGGTCGGTGGAGATGGGGTGGCCCAGGACCTCAGTGAGCTGCGCGCAGCGAGCCTCCTCGGTCTTACCACCACCGTTGGTCAGAAGAATATAGGGGAATTGGATACCTGTTTCACGTTAGTAGATTATCTTTTTCATGTTGCACAAATGAATTTTTTTTTTTTTTGGTTTTTCAATGTTTTGGTGGGGGTGGGGTGAGGGGACATACCAAGTTCATTGTCACCGTTCAAGATACGAAGAGCAACCTTGGCCTCCTCAATGGCTTCATTACCGTGTGCCAGCACACCGTCAATGTCAAAGACGAACGCCATGTTCTTCACCTTCTCGACCAGGTCGGACTGCAGAGACTGGACCTGTCCAGCGAGAATATCCCGGCGGACGACACTGGGTCTGGAAGAACGAGACAGGCGCGACATGCGCGGAGACCGGGGAATGGGGAGCGATGTGCCGAAGGAGTTACGCGAACCACGGCGGTCCCGCATTGAGGGCTGCAGAGACAGATGGTGCATCATCGCAGAAGCAGCACCCAAGGAGCTGCGCGAGGCAGGCACCTCGAGTGTGCCGCCCTCCATGGGAATCACCTGGCCGGACGGGTGACGACCCTCGCGCGGGGAGAGAGCGGCCTGGGCATCACTGGGACGAGGATCCCGGGGGGCGGCGTCTACGCCAAAGTCGGCATCTTCAAAGCGAGGCATGATGGGAAGAAAGATGTCGAGAATCGGGTATCAAGAAAGAGGGATAGGGAAGAAGTGAAGGGAAGTGAGCTTGACCTAGAAACGCAGTCTCTTTAGGTTCGAGTCACGAAGGGAATTGGCAAATCGATGACGCTGGAGGAGATACGTTGACTTTAAATATGAACCATGAATCGATCCCCTAAAGCAGGCGTCCCGGTCAGTGGATCCCGATTGCCCCGACCCATATTTCTGCAGTCCTCTTATACGGCTGCCTCTTCTCTTAGTGCCAGACCGAAAAGGACAAATGACGTGGTCATTACCAGACAAAGGGTCAGCCAAGTTGTTCTGCTAACTATCCAGTGTTAAAAAGTGTTAGTGTTAATATTTGGTGTTCGTGTTCTCTAGTGCTCACACTGCCCGCTATTAACCTTTTTCAGCCACTCGGCCAACCTTCCACTTTGCTACAGTCTTGTCGTAACCACTAGATTGCTTGCTTTCTTCTCTCTCTCTCTCTCTCTTCCTTCAACTCTTCACCTCGTCGTTGTATCTTCACGACCGCCACGCAGTTTCCTACGTCGTCATAGGCCGCAGAATGCCGCTTGCGGACACCCAAAACCCACCGGGTGGATAACGGTGGGCAGCGAGATCCACCGTCGAGCCCACCGGTGGATGGTCGGCTGTGGCGGACATGTAACCACAACTCGGGAACACGCAGGAAGAAAAAGCGATGGCACGAATGACAGGGCCGGGTCGCCCGCGGACGGAGATGCCGCAGCGGTCAGATCATCTCTGCAGGTCGAGCAGATCTCTGGGCACTTGTTCATAGCTATCGCCAACGGTATCGAAAAGGGCCCCACCCAGGCCCTCTGATTGGATGTGCGGGATCCACCCGGCGCATAATGACGACATGTGTCCCGAACGGAATCCCACGAAAAATCCACGACCGGACGATTTCGGGCCTCTGTATCCTATGTACACATTGTACGGCATCTTGTTGGCTGTGGCTCGACTTGTTTACACCGAGAATGGCGTACGGTAGTTGCGAGGCATTTCTAAAACGGATGTCTATCCTCCGGCCCTTGCTCTGGAGAATCTGTAAATCGCAGCTCTAGTCGGGCTACACATGCTAGGCTCGTAGTAGCGTGGTGGAGCTGGAACCCCTCCCCCTCCCCCTCCAAAATAACCCCTCCAAGCATTTGCCAATGCTCTCAAGTTTGGGCAAAGGACGCAGTGCAGAGAGGGGAAAAATTCTACCAGGACATAATATTACTACCAAGGTACCAAATTGACCGGCAGATAAGGAACGGTAAATTACTATAGCCCCTGATTTGTGGCCCCCCCTAATCCGTATTATTTAATTGCGAATGTTTCAACAGACCCACGAGAACTATAAGGGAGCTTTCCTCAAACCAACGCCCAAAACGCCTCACGCCACCAAGGGGAACCCCCTTCCAGGCGGATCTAGAGCAGAGAACAAGCAAACCGTACAAAACACATTTAAAACCCCCCAAACCTAAAAAGCCCAAAGCCACGGAGTGGTAGCTACCTGAAACCCAAGACCCAAGACCCAGAACTTGAGACTTGGACTTAGAATCCCCTCCAACCATCCCAGTGACACGATAAGAGCTTATCACAACGTGCATGACGCAATCAGGAACCGGCAGCCCGGATGCAAAGCTAACTTGCGGAATCTCCAGAACAACTTCATCTCACTCATACCACACGTCACCTTACAGAGAAATATCACAATGGCACCGCGCTGCTTCATCGTCCGCCACGGTGAAACCGAATGGTCCCTCAATGGCCGACACACCGGAATCTCCGACCTCCCGCTCACGGCAAACGGTGAGAAGCGCGTCAAAGCCACCGGCAAAGCACTAGTGGGGGACGACCGACTAATTGTGCCCAAGAACCTGGTGCATATGTAAGACAATTCTCCCTTTTCCCATCCGGCATCTCAAAAGGCCATCTCGGCCTTGACTGCCCACGCTAGAGATTCAGAGTTTCTCTAGTCCATGCCAATGCCAATCCCAATCCCAATGCCAATCCCAATGCCAATGCCAATCCCCATACACTACCTACCTACCTACCTAGCCTAGGTAGGTAGGTAGCGTTCTATAATTTCCAATTTCACCGCAAAATTTAATAAACTAACCAATGCCACCAGATACGTTTCCCCGCGCACACGTGCACAGCGAACCCTCGAATTGCTGAAGATAGGATGCCGGGAGCGACTGCCATGGCATGAAAGGCGGAAGGCAGAGGAAGAGGATCCGATTCGCACGAATGCCAACGTACATATTACAGAGGCGGTCAGGGAGTGGGATTATGGCGACTATGAGGGTTTGACTTCGAAGCAGATCAAGGCGGAAAGGGAGAAGTTGGGGTTGGGCCCCTGGAATATTTGGACCGATGGATGTCCTGGAGGAGAGTACGTTATTTTACCTATTTACTTGTTTCACCAGGGTGATTATCATCTTGATGGATCGGAAATGATGGGATTGGATTGATTGGTTGGGTCAAATGGGTGGATGGATAATGCTAACAATCTATCAGGTCCCCCCGATGATATCGTGCGTCGTCTTGATGCGGTGATCGCGGATATCAGGGAGAAGTATCACCGTCCCTGCTTTGGGAACCCGGGTATTTCGGGCGATGTGCTAATCGTTGCACATGGACACATCTTACGTGCGTTTGCGATGCGATGGACCGGCAAGCCTTTGACAGAGACATCTTTAATCCTAGAAGCCGGTGGTGTGGGCACATTGAGGTGAGTTGGGCCCGCTTCAGACACATCTATAAGATCCCGGAATCCCCAAGATCCAGACTGACGATATCTAGCTATGAGCACCATAACATCGAAGAGCCGGCAATTATCCTTGGAGGAGGATTCTTCGTTGAGTAAAAGGCTACCATGGTTCAAGTAGTATGAGTTTAAAGTGTTGAGTCTGAAAAGAAAAGGGTCAGCCGTAGTCCATAGACTCGTCCATAGACTCGTCCATAGCACGTAAGAGGCAGAAAGGGTTCCTTACTTTACCGTATCCACTCAATCCTCATCACTCTCCTCCTTCTTAATCTTGGACTCGATGGGATCTGCATTCCCCTTGACGCCTTCCTCGCCGAGAATTTTCGCAGAGCCCATGAATAATGCACCGACGTAGCCACCCAAGAAGCGCATATCGCCCGCCTGGACCGCCGTCATACGGAGCAAGTTCTCCGTGTCCGCGAGATTTGCATTGAGCTGCGCAAGTTGGCTGTGCAGGTGGGCGTATTGACGGGGTTTGGCGGCAGACATCGAGGCCGAGCCAGTGCTGCCTAGAGGCATGGATGATGCGCCAGGGTGAACGGTGCCAGAGCCTGAACCTGAGGTTGGGAGGATTGAGGCGCGGGTGTAGGTTGAGGTTTGGGAGTCGTGACGACGGTGGGATGGGGAAGAGGTGGCATTCTTGCTTGTCTTTTTGGGGCCCGTGACGTCGGATAGAGTCGATTGGCCGGGTTGAAATTGGTAGGGATTGATTGATCTGGCGAAGAATGATCGTAACCGGCGATTTTTATCAATCGCCGGGGGGGGGGGGCAGTTTGTTTACATGGATGGTCACATGACCATATCATACGGACTCGCCAAATTGGATGTTGAAGACGGAAATGAAGATGATAGGATATTGAACTTTCTGAAAGAATACAGCAGCACACATAGAGCAACTCAGTGACATAAAAGGACAAAGTCTATCAGTTCGTGGGCTCCATGAAGAATAACGATCTGTCCAGAGGGCAGTGTAACATGAGACACACCCCGTCATTAATTCCCAATCAAGCGCGAACCCAGCCAAAGCAGATCAAAGACAGCACAACCGAATAAATCGAACCCTTCTTTTTGCAATGCGCCAGGGACCAGACCACAGAAACTCAAGAGACAGGCCAGACTGTTAGGCCGGCCGGATGATAACAGCAAAGGAAAACATTGTCGAACAAATGAGAGAGATACCCGAGCAGGAACAGATGATGATAACGCAGACAATAATAGGGCGATAAGCAACGTATACTAGTCCCTATAGTAAGGGTTAAAATAAAAAGAAAGGCGCCGGTTGAGGTAGTGTACAGTCATGCAGAGAGACGGAGAGGTGGCAGGTGGTTGCGACTGAGCAAGAAAATCGGGTCGAAGTTGAGGTCAAAGGCGCTATATCAACATGCTGCAGGAAGAGATAAAATGTCCCTGTGTAGGCATGCGCAGACCTCGGGTAAAAAGGAGTCGATAATGCCGCAAAACGAGAGATGAGTATCAATGCAGGGAAAAGAAGAAAAATAAAACCGTCAAAAAGCACAGCCTGCATCCCGACCACTCCGGAACAAAAACAAATAACAAGCGAATAAACCCCCCTATGTCCCTCATGTATATGTAAAGAAGCGAAGAGCCGAGTATTAACCAATACCGCAGTCCACGGGGTAAAGGTGGCGTAAAATAATAACCCCGAAGAATGACAACGCAACGATGCAAAAAAAATCAGGGCCCAAACATGACAAGAGTTGGGCTATTGGCCGTCCAGTAGAGATGGAGGCGTCAGAACATGAATTTCAGTCGGTCATCGATTGCCGCTTTCGGTATCGTGGGAGGTAGGCATCATTCAGTGGATAGCAGCTGCAATGTGCTGGTCCTCAAGGCTGACCTGGCTGCTGTGAGCCGAATCAATGTTCGCACTAGCACCGCTATCACCACTCTCCGCGCTAGCACTCGCACTTCCAGTCAGACTCTTATTCTTGGGAGGGGATCCCTTGGCAGGAGAGTTGCTCACCCCATAGTGTTGCTCAACTGATTGCGGGCCAACCGGGGGGGCCATGACTAGACGGATTCCGGGGTACCGGAGTCCGCATGTTTCCAGGGGGCGACGGTTGGCCGTTATAGGGAGGAGCACCAGGGATTCCAAGATTGGGGTCATGGGCTGTCATGGGGCGACCCATGCGAGGACCCGGGGGTCCGGGAAGGGAGCAGCCGGGGATTGGCTGTTTCGCCGACTCGTAGGATAGGGACGCGGAGGAGCGAAATCACCCATGGCACTAGCAGTGATGGAGTTTGCGCGAGAGCCTGCATTCAAATGATTGCGGTCAACCGACCCATATCTGTCGGAAGAGTAGCCCAATATGGGGTTATCGAGAAGAGATTCATGGAGACTCGGGATTTCTTGCATGGCGCGGTCACTTGGACGGGGCTTGCGGTTGAAGTATCGACCAAACGCAGATGAGGAGGGCCGGTTATGGGACATCGCAGGGCCGGCGAAGCGCTCTGGGTTATTCCGGATTTGGCTCTGACTCGGAGCCTTGCGGGCTCGGCGGGAAGTGATGCTCATCATATCAACCTGATCCGGGTCGACATGGGGAATTCCCATGGAATCCATCGGGTCAAAGTAATCCTCGTCTTCCTCGTCGAAAGTCGCCGCTCGAGGAGGTGGTCGTCGGGGGCCGGGACCGGGACCGGGACCGGGACCGGGACCAGGGCCAGGGCCTCGCCGCATACCAGGAGGCATGGGCATTGCCATACCCATGCCCATGCCCATGCCCATCTCCTGCTCGCGAAGTTGTAATTCGCGCTTGCGCAAAGCCAGCTCACGCTCCCTCAATGCAATATCAGGGCCGGGACCAGCAGCACCCTCAGGGAAGCCATTGCCATTAGCATGCGGCATTTCACCTTCAGCTCCATCGTAGACCACCAGGTGGCTGAACTCCTCGAGTCCTTCCAATGACGGGTCGCGGGGAACGCCATTTCCGGGAGGAGGCATAGGACCACCGCGGCCTCTCGGCATCATGCCCGGAGGCGGCCCTCGTCGCGCATTGGGGGGCAATCCCATGTTCGAGTGCGTGCGGCTCGATCGCATCTGAGCACCATTCATCGAGGGTCGCTGCGGAGGAGCTGAGGACATTCTGGGAGGGTGACCGATAACCGAGGCAGGAGGGGAGTCGCCTTGTCGTGGCTTGGACTGGTTCACGACGTTGATATGGTGGAGCATAGCGTACATGGCCTCAATTCGAGGCACGGGCATGTTAGACTCGGTGGCGAGCTTGATTGGGGATCCCAAGAAAGTCTCAACTTCCATCGGGCGGCGGGCCTGGAAATCCTGATACATAGTGCTAGGGGCGTCGAATGCGGTCATCTTCTCAATTGTCTTCTGTCGGAAGTCGCTCGGGAATTTGCAGCCCTGCGCAGTGGCCAGCTCCAAGAGCTCGTCGATAACGCCGGTGACCAATTGGCGAACACCAGCTTTCTCTAGTAGCTGTGTAGGATTAGGGGGTCTCGAAAACGACGCTTGCGGTATGGAATGCGATCGGACTGGCACGGGAATTAGCAATCGGGTTTCGCTTCAGGAGACCACCAAAACTTACCCGATCATCCTGTCAAATTGCTCCTGTCTGATATTTTCCGACACTTTGCATTCGACCTGGCCCGCGCCCAGGGTCATGGCCAATGCGGCGGCCATGTCGTTCTGAATGGATGCGGGAATCGTAGAATGCTTGTTGGTTGAGCCCACAATGATTTCGCTGGAACTGAGGTGCTCAAACTCGCTAGCGCCTGTTTGGGTGATTTCCACGTTGGAAACAAGGGAAAGAATTACGTTGGTCGGGTATCGCTGTTCGAGATGGGATTCGAGGCCGATGGTACTTGTGGTGTTGATAAGGATACAGGTATGCTGAGGAGTAACGACAGATTCAATCACCGAGGCCAAATCGTAGATGTCTGGAAGGGCCTTCACGCAGAGAATGACATAGTCATAGGCTTGTTCACGGGAGGAGGCGTCTTCGGGGGCGCGGACGACTGTAAACAAACCTATTAGCTTGAACGGGGGCCGGAATCCACGAGGGGCGGAAGATTGATCATACCATGACGGGGCTTAAATCGTTCATTGCCGAATGCTTTTGATCTGTCGATAAGCGCGATGAGTGAAAAGCTCTTCTTGGGGGCGGATTCACTGGAGCAAAAGTAGACACGTACTTGAAGGAGACACCGTATTGAGACACGGTTTCGAATCCAGATTTCCAGACTAGGGTCACGTCGCACGAGGTCGTCGCCTGAAGCCGCCAGGATAAAAAGGCAGAGATCGCATTGCCACCCACTGCACAGACTCTCAGTCTTGGACGTCCCATGGCGAATGGGGAGAGAAGAGAAGACTTACCAGACAGGATGCGTAAACGTGGAGGAGGAGCCATAGTCGAAGGTGGACAGTGTTGTCAAGGAAGGACCAAGTCGGAGAGGTCCAGCGGCGCGCAAGGCCACGGAAGAGAAGGATGGGATTTACCACGGGGCCAGGGCGAAGGGGTGGGAAGGAAGGGGAGGAGGGAAAGAAGCGAGCGTGGAAGTGTATACTGGTGTGTATGTGAGAGAGATTGGGGAAGGAGAAGAGGAGAGAGGGAGAGAGGGAGAGAGAGAGAGTGAGAGAGAGAGAGAAAGAGAGACGGAGGGAACCTGAGCCTCAACTTTCGAAGTGCGACCGCAAAAAGAATGTCCTTGATCCCCGGCGTTTTCAACGGTCGTGGATCCCCCGCCAGTCTCAATCCGGAAACGGACGATAAGAAAAGCTGTCCGCGGAAGTTGGTTATTTGTTGATGCTGGATGCAGAGATCGAATGATGCTGCTTCAACCTAGGGCATTCTCTTGTACGTGGTGTGCTTGTCTCTGCCTTTCTCGTGGTGGTGTTTTTTTTTCTTACTTCTCACTACCTATCTACTTAGTTACCGCGCTATCGCAATGTCGTGGCCTTCCACGCAATCACGGTCTCGAGGTGTCGAAATAATTCCATATGTGACCCGAAAACAGGACTTCAGAGAACCACATGAGAATCGAAACGAGTCGTTTTGACGAAGCCCCCATTCATATAGCAACTCGCTCTCCGGGACATCTCAACTCTAAGGACCGAAAAGTCCAGGCCAGAGCCAGCTGGTACCTGGGACACCAGGCTGTAAATAATGGTTCAAACAAAACAGGCCCCGGCATGTAGCCAACCCACCTTGCTACTATTATTATCTCCCTTATTAACTTTCTCTTTTTCTTCTTTTTTATTTTTTTTTTATTTTTTTTTGACCAATTTCCAAAATGATCATGGCTCCACCATGTTTGATCTGCAGAATCTGAACACTTTCGCTCTTGCCACTTGTGAATATGAAGCTGTGTATCTGGGTAAACAACACGAATCTCTAGAAATATTCTCGACGCGTACATCGCCGCGTCCGACCCCCCGTCCCCCCCCCCAAAAAATCCACTTCTGAAACCCACCTACAACTAGCGTCTGGACATGCAGAGTGAGCGACCAGAAAAAAAAGTTGGTTTTTTTTCTTTTGACAAATCAGGCTAGGAATTAACTCTCTACCCTGCGGTCGGAGCATGCGCAGGACCATCTAGCACATCCGATGCCCTCCGGCTTGTTCTGCGCCAACGTCGCATTGGGCACATACTCCAGCCACTGAACTCGTGCCGTTCTGGCTGGGCCAGGGAGCTATGCTCGGGAGCTTTTGTACTTTAATTCAGTTTCTCATTATTTTATCCCTGATCGACATCGGCTAGCCGTTGACAATCCAACCATGACACAGCCCGGATCACGTCCAGAGCAGAAATGTCGTATGAACGAACCACCAGGTTTCCCCACACCGCATATCTTCGCCCCTGAGAGCTTCGTTGCACAACGGACCGTTGGTACTTCTTTACATCAGATTCTGCCCCGGGGTTGGACGAACTCCCCATTTACCATTCACAGATTTACACAGAATCAACCTCTGGTCCGATGTTTCTTTTTCCGGTTTCTAGGGAGGAGGGAGAAGGGGGAGGCGATGTTGGATACATTCCAGGATCGACGCGCGTGCCGAATGCGGCAGTAGCCTGGTTCCCAAGGGATTGACATTTCTCGGGGACTTTGGATTCTTCGATTCCTCGATATGTGAGCCTGGCACTTGGTCCGTTTCATGGTAATCAGAAACCATTGGGAACCAAGGTTTTGAGGTCCTCAAGTCCAAGGTCCAAGTCCAGACCGGGAAGATCGCAGTGGAGAGCAAATCTTAAGAGTGATCCACCGATACTTAATTTCTCCGACTTCTGATTGTCCGACTCCGCGTGCATCGTCAGTACGCGGCCAGGGGCCATGGGCCATGCCGCCCAGTGGCAAGCAAAACGTGAACCACGTTTGCAAGTCGCCGGATGCAGGTAATTGTTGTGCTCCGGATTCCCGAGCTTTGAAGACCAGATTTCAGGGTTCACTTCAGGTGCAGCTGATCATTTCCAAAACATCCCGACTCAGCCACGATTGGCTCTTGGCTTTGAGGTCATGACTTAGGCCGAATGGAAATGGCCGATCGACGAGTTCCTCAGAGCCATCGTCCTCGCGCACTTCTCATCTACCCGGGACAGGGAACGGAGTCACGGGCTACTATAGTGCCAAACCAAGTAAAAAAATTTCGGGACCCGCTCCCTAAACCGGGTCAACGCACACAAGGGACGCTATATCTCCGGTCGCGTAGTGCTGTGTACTGGGCGAGGATGATTACTCCCGAGCTGTACTCCCTGTAGCTACCTTCCATGTATGAAGTAGAGTACCTGCTGATTAACCAAAAGAGAATCAAAAAAAAATTTGAGAAAAAAAAAAACAAAATAATGAAAACAAAAGATTATGATGATCCGATCACTTTTTGCCCATCTTCAGGGTATGGAATCTAGTACAAATGACAAACTTGGACCCTGTCTCAGCCTCGCCCTAACTGGCTCAGGAGCTCAGGAGCTTGTTGCGCACTTGAGCAATTGGGTCAGTGGCGTTTGCCAATAGCGCCCAAAGGCCGAGCACATGCGGAGAACGCTACGCCCAACTCCTCGTTCTGTGGAACACGATTTCCTGCGATTTCTGGACAAGTGCCGTGACACAAATCCAGTCAAAGCCACATCGCCGCTAAAGCAAGACAGTCGGCCCCCCCTTAGGTGGGACAATGGCGCGAGGTCCGAGACAGGGGTTTTGGGCCTAGCTTCCGCGCGCTGCCCTGTTTTCGATATACGCTACCGCAAAGCAATCTTGGAATACCGCGTGGGCGGAGTTTGTGAGATGACGGGATTGGTCTAGCGATGCTTTGTCCGTATAGAAATTACTCGTATAGATTTTCCTCGTATAGAACTTGGAAGGTAACTTGGCTGCTTCGATTTTCGGGTATCGCTTTTCCATGGAAACGAGAGAAATGGTCTGCAGTTCGCAATCAACGTTATGTAATCTTAAAATTTGTCATGTGTATATGTGTTCCAGTACACACCGCACAGATGTGTGCACTAATTCTCAGATGTGAGCCTGTATCCGTCAACCACGACCCATCCCCTCTTATAGACCTACTCGCAGAACATCTGCCGATCTCAACGGGCTAGTCCACGCCAGCTAGGGATGTAGTCATCTTCATCCCCCGAACCTTAACCCAGGCGTTCACGCCAAATTAGGGTCACCACGCGTCAACGATCGACGAATGCCTGATGTCCGCCCGGATCACAATTTCCCTGTTCGGTTTGCGTCCTGACAGCTGTCATGCAGGGATGCTGCACGAGTACCTTAAGATGTCTAGCGGAAGTATAATACAGAAACAGGGGGAAATGAACGCATTCTGTAGATCAGGGCAGCTCGAGTTCGCTAGTTCGCTTGGGCGTAGCGACAGCAAGGAAGTGAGAGAGAGAGAGAGAGAGAGAGAACTCGAGAACTAGAGAACTAGAGAAATAGAGAAATAGAGAGTCCCGCCAATCATATTCCAGGACTGTCAGAGGACCTAGCAACGGCCCCGGCTCGGCAGAGCTTGGTCTCCGGGTTCAAGAGGCTGTTGTTTTCTAGGGAAATGATCGGTTCCTGGGGTCCGGTTTTGGCAGGTCGTGCTGAAGTTGGGGGAACTATTTGCTGTTTGTGGCTTCATCTACTGGTTGCATGTTTTGCATGTCGGGAAAGTCAGCGTGAAAATAAAGAGTGATTTATCTTCCCCTCTCCGATCAAAGGCATGGTCGGATAGGTAAATCGATTGATGATTGCCCTTCGATGTAATGGATTAAAACTCAGTCGTGGAACGTGCGGCGACATATCAAGCTCGCTGAGGGCCTGATAGCGGGTCCCTGGAGCCGATGAGACGGGATCCCAAAGCCTCTGGCACCGTGCGGATGACCACCCGTGCACAATATTGACCCCACGAGGCAAGCTAGGTCCGGGAGTCCAGCTGGAACCAAGGTTTGTCATGGCAGCCCTTGTTTCCATCCATGAAGAACGCCTGCGGCATCCTGAGTGCTCTGCTGTTGCAACAAGCCGTGATGAAGTCCCACAAGTCTCGGGATCTATGACGCAGGGCGTTCCGGTGCTTTCAAAGGTGTCGATGGTCACAAGATATCCTTTCAGGCGATGAGGCATGACTTCGACTTGGAGTAGATACCTAGAGAACATTGGGATTGCTTTTCATCTGGCGCAAGCGCCTTACCGCAGACCCGGCCATTAGGAAGCAATTCGAGAAGAGCAAAGTCACTGTCAGCGTAGACAATATACCAGCTGAGCTTTGAAATAGTCCATTTTTCTGCTTTGCGAAGTCAATCTCAGTCTGTGCTGAGTCTGACGTCTATCGTCACTCAATGGCATCACAAAACTTTGAACTTCTTTTCAAGCTTCCACGGCCATATTGGGATCCACCCCATATAAGGAACCATTTGGCGGATGCGACTTGTGAGCTAGAGTGAACATTTATATGTCCGCGGCTATAATGCAACTAGGCGTAATTATATCGTGAACGGACAAACTCCGCTGGCAGTGTCTGATCTATCTCATCAAATTATGAACACCCATTGGCCAATCCAATCCATGTCAATTCTACTTTCGATCTTGATGAACGGAACCCCAACGTAAGTTGCTCATGGACAAGCACTCGAGGTTAAGCTAGTAACATTGAAACGAGACTGGGGATACTAATTACCGTGATGAAGGTGAAACACCGTGATAAGAGATCACCTTTGACCTTCTAGCTATGGAATCGGTAGCTGTGCTGATAACTTGATCCACGAAATGTAGTGTGAAGTTCCAGGAAGGAAGCTCAGATCGTGGCAACATCATCACTCGACAGGTCTCATGCGAAAAGGGTGACCCGCTAAACAAGCAGCACAATGTCAGCCCTAGGGTGCAATGAAACTTAGGAGCATCCCCAGTCGTATCATGCCACAAAGCCAAATCAACTACAAGTATGGACTAGAAAAGAATCTTCACTTTTTGACCGTTTGTATTTCATTCTGATCTGACATACAGCGGGGATTCAGCCTCACGAGAGGCCCACGGGGAAAAAACCATAGCCGAGCTATTTGCGCCATAAACAAGACAAAGTGACTGGAAATGAGAATAAGAAAAAGGGGTTTCAGCGCGGTCGCAAGCGACTGGCTACCAAAGCATCACAAGGCATCTAAGCCATGTAGGTGGAGGAGTCGACACCACCTTCGGGGTACTCACTGTGATGAAGGGTTAGTGTGGGAAAAGTCTGGAGAAATGGAAGGGGACATACGGAAGAGCGACCTCGAAGCGCTTCTCGATATCCTTGAGGACCTTCTCATCATCCTCGTTGCTCACAAAGGAGATAGAGAGACCCTTGGTACCGAAACGACCGGCACGGCCGACGCGGTGGAGGTAGGAATCGGCATCAGCGGGGAGATCGTAGTTGATAGCCAGGTTGATACGCTCGATATCAATACCACGGCCGAAGACATCAGTGGCGACACAGATACGCTTGTTGAACTCCTTAAACTCCTTGTAGCGCTTGATACTATGTGGCTGTTAGTGGTGCCCGAATCTGTGATGGTTTGGTGAAACTTACCGCTCCTCCTGGCTGACGCCGGAGTGGACAGCAATGGAGGGGAAGTTGCACTCCCGCAAAAGCTTGTCGAGCTCGTTGGCACGTTGGGTGCTCTTGACGAAGATAATTACCTGGTTGAACTCGAGGTTGTCCAGCAAGTCGTTCAGCTTGCGGTTTTTCTCCTGCTCGCTGAGCTTGATGTAATACTGCTGAAGACCGTGCAGAGTGAGCTTGGTGTCGTCATCGACATACACCTCGAGCGGGTTGCGCATGAACTTCTTGCAGATAGGGCGGACCTCCTGGGACAGGGTGGCACTGAACATCATAACCTGCTTGTCTGCGGGGGTGGCGCGGAAGATTTCCTGGACGTCACGACGCATATCTGGCAGGGAATGTATATTAGAAAATGATGTTTCGAAATTTAGTTGGACCGGTCACCACTTACCGATCTGATCGAGCATCTTATCACACTCATCGAGAACGAAAGCCTTGACGTTGCGCAGACTCAGCTTCTTGTCACGGACAAGAGCGTTCAGACGACCGGGAGTGGCCACAATGATGTTCGGGAAGCTTTCTTTGTTCGACAGTAACTCGATATCCTTCTGAATAGGAGTACCACCGTAGAAGACGGCAGTCTTGACATCAGGAAGATACTTTGAGAAACGAGCATACTCGTTCTTGATCTGGTAGGCCAGCTCACGAGTGTGGCACATGACGAGGATAGAGCACTCGCCGGGAACGGGCTCCAGCTGGTGCAAAGTGGTCAAGACGAAGACCGCAGTCTTACCAAGACCGGACTTGGCCTGACAAAGAACGTCGACATTGAGGATAGCAGTCGGGATGCAAACTTGCTGAACTGTTCGATGCGGAGCGGTTGTTAGACTTAATTCGACTCAGGATGAAGTAAAAGCAATTTCGTGTCGCACGATCCGTCCATCTCGTTGAAACCACCAATTCAAGACACTGAGACTCAGAGTTCATCCGCCTCTTCATATCCGCTTGGAACTGCGATTTCAGCCAAGCAAAAATATGAAATTTTCGCCAGCAATGCATTCTGCAGACGACAAGAGGGGCGCTGGGCGCGTATCACCGGACCAGCAGTTAAGATCGCATTGCTTTCCACTGGGAGCGTCAATCGCCCGCGCCAAGTGTACTTTGTGGAAGTCAATGACGACCGTAGCCTGGGCCATGTGGTAGGGGACACCTCGCAGCCGTAGCGCAAAAGTCTCCGAGATGGATGTACGTGGCATTGTTGTAGAACAATGAATCCTCGTATCGTCTGCAGATTCGAAGGCGATAAATCACCGATACCGATTGATGGATTTTCGCGGAGATGGACGGACGTTGGAGTATAAAATGGAGGAAGGCATATGGGAGAAACAAGTTAGACTAACCCTCCGAAGGATGCTCGAAGCCGCAGTCGGTGATGGCGCGCAGAAGCTCTCCCTTTAAGCAGGAAGTCGCGGAAACCAGTCGAGTGAATGCCAACGTAGCTGCCCTTCTTGTCGGGGCGGCCACCAGAAACAGTCAGATCACCCTTCTTGTCGTCATCGCCGTTGGCGGCAGCAGGAGCGGCAGCGGGGGCAGGGACAGTGGTCTGAAGCTCCTCGTCGGAGTAATCGATCAAATCTTCTTCGTGGGACATGATGGCGCCGGTTCAAAGTGAGATGGATGGTAAGTGGGTCGGGGCGTGTCTTCTCGTCGCGAGAAGTAAGGAGAAAGGTAGGAGAGGGAGGAGGGGTAGCAAGAGAGTAGGCAAAGGTATCTGGCGATAAACCCTCGAAATTGACGTGATATAGGACGGTGTCGACCAGAGGGAAGAGATGAAATGGGAAGAGTGGATGCGGCGAGGGATACCGTTCGAAGCTGAGCGGCTTCTGTCACGTGCGCTTCTCCGATCACGTTTTGGGACTAGCGTCCCCGGTGTCTCATCCTTTGACCAAGCAACGTCCTTTGTTTTATTCTAGTCTCGACCGACCATGGCCAAAGCCAAAGCTCCCAAGGACGGGAAGAACTCCAAAAGCCATATCAAAGCTCGACTGGAATTTCTACAGCGTGCTGCAGAATTCCTCCAGAGTGTATCGATATCTCCCGACCAAGCTGGAGTAGCTACCACCAGTAACGCAGCCATCGACGATCACAGCGTCCATGAGCCATTGACATCTCAAGGCGCCTCGTCTGACGCTGGGCTAGCGATATCTATTTCCAGGGACAGCGCACGTTCAAGAACACTCTATCCAACCTGTCCAGAGTGTCCATATCTCATATGCGCGGGGTATCTCTGAAGACACAAACTCGGTTACCAGTCCCGGTAAAGCGATCCCACTGCAAGCGCTGCGATACCCTTCTGCTCCCAGGAGTCAATTGCACGCATGTGGTCACCAATGCCAGCCGTGGACGCAAAAAGCCGTGGGCCGACGTGCTAGTCGTGCACTGTCTCGTTTGCAGTACTGAAAAGCGGTTTCCCCAAACAGACCGGAAAAGCATGAAGCTCAAGCAACGAAAGACAAAGGCCTCAGCTTCAGCTTTAGCGACAGGGTCAGGACCGGGATCAGGTTGATGTATCTTGAATATGCTATGGTAATTTTCAACTCTTTCGCGGGACAGGACATTCAGCTCGTTGTCTCTGGCGGCTGCCGTGATAAGAAGGTCAGCTATGTTAGCAACCACCTCATCCACTCCCGAGAGTGTTTGCGCTAGGGAGAGTCTTTGCATACCATCACCGACGGCGGCTTCAAGCACCAATCAGGGGTCAGTCCAACATCTTTCTGAGTGCATACCCGATCAAACGGCGTGGCCAGCAATCTCTACCATTATGCATGGAACGTTCGTGGAGTCGAAGCGAGCAGGCTTGAGAAATAGCAGTGAGGCTATCGCCTCCAGTGCTCTTACCAGAGGTACGAGAACCTTACTTAGTCTGGAATTGTCTCCAGGCAAGTGATGTTGACGTTGTTGCGCCAACGTGAGGCTGAGGTTACGTCGGAGTGAAATAGAGCTTTTGAGCTCCGCGCAACCCACGCGATCTGAGGAGTCGGCCAACGGAGTTACGCGTCTCGACAACATGCAAGGTCTGTTGTGATTCGGATCCTCTCCATCCACTCATACCGACCAGCTCGGCCAACTATTCGTCACTAAAGCTTCTACGTGTCCTCGCAGCCATGCAGAGCGCAGAGCCTTAAGAAAGGGAATCTCGGATCACCTAGGCCCAATCCTCTATGTACTCTACATATGCAGAATCCAGTTTACTATCGACCGGCAAAGCTGGAAGGATCAATCATCATATTGAGCTGCGCAATGGCCAAGAAAATCAGACAACCTAAACCCATGTAAATTCACAGAAACTTGCAAAGAGGGGAATCGAAATCACAGTAAAACCAACTTAGACACTTCAACTGAAAGGAGGTCATATTTAGGCGCTTGAGAAAAAAACATAAAATTCCGTCGTCGTGGAGGTCGTGAAATTTGCGACGGCCCTGGCCGAAAAAACGAAAGTGCAAATAGAACCAGCCCCTGCGCCATCAATATACTGCAATTCCATCCGGAAATCCAGAGTGCCGCGAGGCATGCAGTTCTTTCAATCGACTGTCGTTAGTTCCGTTAAGACCAAGAGTGAAGGCGGTGCTTCGTGGGATTAGAAAAGGGACGTCCGCGAGGACAAGTATCATATATATGTTTTTGTTCTTGTGGAGGTGCAAAGGGAGAAGCTCGGGTTCCGAAGTTAGGATGGGAGGGTATGGGTTTGAAACACCCAGTAACTTCAGGTCGACTTGGAGGACCACCGATGTAGGGTTGACCCGATATCAATCATGGTGTATTCAAGTGTATTCGGACAAGGTTGGTAAGAAGGTAGGGCATTGAGAGGTAGTCGTGTCAGCGTCGTCGGCGAGAACTTTGATCCATACGATGATCTAGATTCTCGACACGACCACGAAAGCCCTTGACGATATCGCGAATATGGGCAATTTTAGCCAACTCAAGGTCCAACTCGTCGATGGAAGCCAGTATCGAACGAGTGCGGGCGATCTCCGCGTCGGCGTTACGGATCACGTTGCCGGCGCGGTCGTAACTGTTTTGAATGGAGGCTTGCATTTGATCCTCCAACTGGATTTGCAGGTCAGAATGTAAACGTCAAGCGGAATCCGATTGTTTCTTGACAGGAAGCAATGCGGGGAGATAGCGTACATATTCGATGCGGCCACGGATTTGAGCCTGCAGACCGTCCAACTGGTGCGACAGCGCGCGAAGGCTCATAGGGTCCAACAATAAGCGCCCTTGGCTGGACGCAGCGCTTGTCGCGCGCGAGCTGGAGTTGCTGGTTCTGCCCGTCCCTCTGCCCCTGGCAACGCCATTGCCGGCGTGGCCCTGGAGGGCAATCTGTTGCTGCTGTCGGAGGATCTGGATCTCGGAGGAGGTGAGGCCAAGCGAGGTATCGGGGATGGAGGCGACGGACATTTGGTCCCGGCAGAGACATGCTCCGACCTGTCTAGGCGCCGATCAAGAATGGGAGGCCGAACCGACCGCTGGTCATGGTGGAGGAGGGGAGGAGAAAGAGAGAGAGAGAGAGAGAGAGAGAGAGAGAGGGAGGAGAAAGCGAAAATCAAAGATGGGGGAGACCAAAGTGGTCGGCAAGCGGCTCGTGAAATGGCCGTTACACGGAAACAGGAGAAGAGCCAGTGGGAAGGCTGGATTCTGAGGTTGATGGTGGGAGCACAGGCTTATATGATACCTCGGACGGGAAAGATGAGGAGGGGTTCTGGGTTAGCTTGACCAGGTACTCGGTGATAACGACACAATCTTGTATAGACGAGGGATTGGGATATCATGGATTCGATTCATTCGATTTGAATTTATTGCGTTAGGTTCGTACCTAGAGCAGAAATAGCAGATGTGCAAGGCTGGAGTAGCTCAAGCAATACCTATGAACAAATAGGACAAGGATGTCAATTCGTAGGTATCTCCTCAGGACTACAGCATAACAAGATCTCGGCACTACCTCGATACCCAAACTCTTTCGGGTACTGAAGTATACAAATCTAAGTGACAGGCTCCATCCAGAACCATGGATAGCTCTCCGCCCGCTCCGCCTTAGCTTCTGCTTCCATTTTCTTCCCAAGGTCTTCCCCTTCAGATCCGCGCCTCATCCTTCGACCCTATCACCACCGAAGACATCCGCTGCCTAAATCGTGAGGCTGAACCGACGGTCACTTCGTTCATTGGCACAGACGCTCCGGTAAGGCTTGCATACAACTCTCAGACGCGCACCCGCCAATACCAGCACCCCGGGATCAGCGCCTCGCGTCCAGCCTGTGAGCATCGTCAGGCCGTTCCTCCGATCCCCAGGTCTTCCTGCAGGCGCTTGCAACCCGACGGCCCGACTAGGCTCGACCTTCGTTGAGGATTGGAGAAGGCTGACGCTTTGGTCACATTGCTGCAGGCGCTTGCATCCCCGACATTCTAGCTCCTCTCTCATTGACCGCTATATCGCACCGCTTCCTGCCCTGCTTTCCGGATCTTACCACGTGAGAGGCTCTTTGACAGGTCGCGTTTGACCCAGACCTTGCACCTAGGCCGATCACCGGGTGCTGACGACGCCATTCGCATTCGATCGAGCACAATCTCAATTCCAATTCCAGAGTTTGACAGCCGAAACGTGGCTTGGCGAACGCGTGGGGGTAAAAGACTACATATGAGAAATCGTACGCAGATCTTAGTGCATCAAGATGGCCAAGGACAAGGAGCGCTCGATCAACCCAGCGGCCGCCCAGCGAAAGCAGGACAAGCAGAAAAGTCTGAAGAAGGGGAAAGCCGAGGCACAAGCACGTCGCAATGAGAAACTCGCGCGGCGCAACCCGGAGCGAATTCAGCGACAAATCAACGACTTCAAAGCTATGGAAGAGGCAGGAGAAAAATTACGACCACGCGACAAGGAGATCCTGGAAGCACTTGAGAAAGACCTACGGGCCGTGTTAAAAGCACGCGAAGCTCTGGGCGAGAAAGCACCGAAATTTCCAAGTGGCCATGGCCCTAGAAGAGACGGAGATGCAGTGCTCGGCAAGCGGAGGAGAGATGAGGAACACGGGAGATATCCACACGAGAGCGACAGCAGCGATACAGATGAGGATGTACGAAGTATACCCATGCCTCGAGATACACCACCACCTATCCCACGGCAACCACGGAGACGGGGTCCCGGAGATACCGAGGAGTCAGCGCGTCGCGGACCACATGCGCTACCTTCACGGCCACCGGCAGTCGAGCATAAAACCGTTTACGAAGCCAAGCCTGAAATTCGAAATTTACGGCAAGAGGCTGTCAACAAATTCATTCCAGCTGCAGTGCGCATGAAGCAGGACTCCATTAGGGGGACTGGAAGATTGCTAGAGCCGGAGGAGATGGACAAGCTCGAGAAAGCTGGGTACAATGCTACAGCCCCGGCAGGTCAGCCCTCTGGTACCGGCGATGAACAATTATCATTGGAAGAAGAGGAGCGACGGTTCAGACAGGAGATGAAGACTGTACAGATAGAAGAAGTGGAGGACGAGGAGGCATAAGCTTGATGCCCTCTTATGTAATGCTCCAATGATATTCATGTCAAATCACATTGATGACCCCCCAGACCTTCAGTTCGCAAGAATATGTAGGTGAAAACACCGAGGTATGTTTACGAGTAAACGATCTGAAGTTCAAGTGTTTAGTCAAGGATCCTTTTGGATGTGTTGAGCTTAGTGATAAATATCCGCAAAGCACAGCAACCTCGATATAAAAATCACAACCACTACCAGCCAAAGCTTTAGAAACTAAGCCGTTATGTATTGCCGGGTTAAAGCGTAAGAAAAAGTGTATATCAACCCGAAGGGCTCAGGTATCAAAGATTCAAGCGACCAGTATATGACCAGCGCGACCAAAGTAAATTTACACGAAAACTCCATCCCCATCAAAGGAAAACCCGGGCATGTCATCGTCACAAAGGAAAAGTAAAAAAGAGAGTCAGTTTCGTCTGGCCCAAAAGGCCATGGAGAAAGCACCACCAAACACGAACACCTTTTGCTGGCGGCAAGCAATCCCAAAATACAACGAAGCCTAACTCCGTGACGTAGGGAGGTATGCGCAAGAAGAGAATATCCAAACGACTGACAAGAAAGAAACGGGATGAAGGAAAAAGAGCATTCACGGTCTTCCAAAACGCCATAATCAAACGCCGTGACCGAATACCACAAAAGCTCCACATGGATGCGAGAAAAAAGTAGAAAGAAAAGGCTTCAAAATGAGGTGGACTACCGCAAATTGCGGATGATCTTCTTGCCACGAGCGAGGAAAGGACTAGGCATTTCATCGCGCTCCGGATCCCAGATAGCTGGGGGTTCGCGATCAGAGCACTTCAGCGATTGGGCAGTGCGAGAATCACTGGCGCAGCGCTTGAAGTCATCGACAGGACGGCCGCCGGCGCGTGCTTGTGCAAGTTCCACGAGAGTGCGTCCACCCATGTTGCGCTGCATGACTGCCTTGAACATCTCATCGCCGCCGCCGGCCTTGGTAGGGGATTGCTTGGAGCCGCTCTTGCTGCGGGTGGAGGATCCGGCGTCAGCTGCCAGATTAGATGAGGACGGAATTTTGGAAAGACGACGATGAGGGGATCTGGCGCGGCCTTCGCTCCCAGTATTTTGAGCCTCGGATTGGGAGGCGGAGGGTCCGCCGGATATTTGCGGTAGGCGAGATCCACTGGATGGGAACAGAGGAGGCTGATTGCTTAATTTTTGCATCATGGCTGCTGTGTTCTGTCGGAGAAGAGGTCGCCTGGGAGCCTTGAATGGATCGGGCTTCACCTTGGGACGCGTGGGAGATGGGAGGTCAGGAGTATCGTCCTCGTCGTCGGAGTAAGCCAGCGTAGGTTCCCATTTGGCCTTCTGGCGTTCAGCCTCAGCGAAGATATTCCGCGCACCACTCGTACCGGAAGTACGGCGAGGGGAGAGTGAGAGTGAAGCAATGGACATGGGGGATGGCTCAGCCATTTGCACATCCTGAGGCGAGTCCACAACAGTGGTCTTCGAGCGGCAAAATGGAGTACGAGTCTCTCGCTTCTGGCGTTGCTTCTTCTCATTCGAAGTCGGCGATTCCAGTGAGAGCTGAGCGAGGTCTGTGCTTGAAGGCGCATCGCTATCGTCAGTCACCGCGCCAGAGGATCTGGAGCTCTGGCTGGTTCGGCCCGAAGAATCAGAACACGAGTGCTGAAGACTGGTCCGGAAAACATCTTCCCGGGGTGTAGGATTGCTGTTTCTCTTGTGCTTTTGCAACTCAATAGTCACGCGCTCCTGAACCTCAGCCTCGAAGCGCTTGCGCAGTCGGTCGAGCTCGCTTTGAACTTGGCGGTCGATCTCCAATCGCGCCTTAACTTCCCATTCCCGACGAACACTGCTTTCGATCTCAGCCTTGATTTGCTGCTTCTCCTTTTCCAACTTGGCCAAATTCTGCTCCATCTCACGGACTTTCTGGACGGCAACCTCTTCGCGTCGGCGCAAGGTCTTGCCAAGATCCACTACCTCCTTCTCCTTGCGCATCAGACGAATAATAGGGAGATTGATCAGAGCGGCAGTATCCGGTCGGTGATCAGGGTTAACGCGCAGGCAGCTTCCGATGACATTCTTCAGCTCTGGTGAGTAGTAGTCGGGAAGAGGTGCGAATTTGCCTTCGCGAATCTTCTGAACGAGCTGGATGTGGGTTCGCGCGTTGAAGGGAGGCTCTTTCTGGCACAGCTCATACATGATACAACCGACAGCCCAAATATCCGAGCGTAAGGTGTACTTTTCGGCGGCGCAGATCTCGGGGGACATGTAGAACGGGGTGCCAACATAGGTTGATGCGAAATCGTGGGACTGCATCTGCTTAGACAGACCAAAGTCACCAAGCTTGACGGAATTATCGCTACCCAAGAAGATGTTCTCGGGCTTCAAGTCACGGTGCAGAATAGTCACTGATCCCTGCTTTCCCTTCAGTCCGGTCGACTTGGGTGCCGGACCCAAGATATTTGACCCGACCTCAACAGCGTCGGAGCCATAGTGACAGCGGTACAGTGCGGTAACTAGCTGGGACAGGATGCGCCAGACGAATTCCTCCTCGGCATACTTGTTGGCCTTCTTGAGGTTCTTGATGACCATTCCAAGGTCTCCACCACCGCAGTATTCCATGTAAAGATAAAGATCCTGGCTGACTTTGAGGTGTTCACGATGGTAGTACGCAACGATGTTGGGGTGACGGAGCGAGCTTAGGATGTTGAATTCGGCGGTGAGTTGTTCGCGCTCCTTTTGGGACATCTTGATGTAATTGATTTCCTTGCGGCATAGTATCTGCCTCTAAATTAGCCACGTCATGCTTGCGACGACCTGGGAGCACTCACAAAGCCGTCTGATTTCCGCTTGACCTTGCGAATGATCCCAAAGGAGCCACAACCTGTAGGAGGGGATGAGTGTTAGTGTACGAGGTAGAACAAGGACCACAGTAGGGCGTACCAATCTTCTCCAAGATCTCATACTTATCCGCCTCAGCCAAAGCAATCGCCATAGCTAGAGATGTGCGCGTGCAACGGGGGTCACAGGAGTCGGAGGAGGATAGAAGAGGATAGAGAAATAAGCATGGAAGATGTGACAATCGAGCCCCCTGTCTGGTTAGTAAAATTAGAGAATTGAAGTGGTAGAGGAAAAGTGCAGACACTATGGGGTTTAGAGGTTCGGGAGACCCTGCAGTGTTTGGGTGATCGCCGTTGCTGAGCAACCGCAGACAATGACGCTTGACCCGGTGGGGCAGGCGGTCGCTGGGTCCAACCAACGAGTAGACTTTCATGGGACCAAGGATGACATCAAATTGAAGGATAGGCTACGTGACTCTTTGTCTCTCTATATATCCAAGTGTTCAATTGACACACTGAGGGACCGTAGAGCAGGGCAATCATGTGATTCGTCCCGACGCTGTGTGGCCCTGAAGCACGTGACCAGTTATCGATAAGCCTCTACTGGTCCCGCCTCCAACTCTCCCACTTCGTGGCAAGCTATATACAACGGGCCTCAAAATGGCGGAGCGGACTGTCTTACGCAAGGATCAGCTGGAGATCAGCTTAGTCAACGAGAAGAGGCTGATCAAGGAAGGCTATATCAAGGATGACAATCCGCTGGATCTTAGTGAGCCATTCCGTGAACTCTGCAGTGCATGCCGTAAGGGCGATCTGGTTGTCTGTCAGACAAAAATCACCGAGGGAGTCAATGTCAACGCTCGTGACCCGTACGATTATACGCCTCTGATTCTGGTGAGTTTTGAAAACAAACTGAGGGAAAGCGGTTTTCTCGGAGCACGCAGTAACAGGACCATTTCTTGCACAGGCGAGTCTCTGCGGACACTATGAGGTTGCACGGCTATTGCTGGAGTCAGGTGCGCTTTGTGAGCGGGATACATTCCAGGGTGAAAGGTATTTGACGTCGAGTATCCTCTGAACTAATGGGAGCTGATAACCGGACTAACCATCTAGATGTCTATACAATGCCTTGAATGACCGTATACGAAACCTTCTGCTCGAATATGACTATTCCAAATCTACGGACCCCCTCCAGCCTCTCGCGGCCCATCTGTCCTCCCTCCTCACTCGCGACTGTCCCGTAACGGCTGATATTGAGGTGACCGCTGGCGACGAGTCTCTCTCCCTACACAAGTTCGTCTTAGCCGCCCGCTCTCCATACTTCCGTGGAAAGCTGTTGGATGCACCCGAAACCGCAGTATGGAAACTTCCCAATACTATTGCCCCGGAGGCATTCAGCGCTGCGATCAAATATCTATACCTGGGTGAACCCCCTCGGGAATTGCGCGCGGGGCCTGGAACAGGTTTTACCGAGTCTGAGGTGTTCGCAGGAATCGATAAGATTGCTAAGTACTTGGAGATTTCTAGTCTCATGGACAGCATCATGGATAGCGGAGACAGAAGACGTGCAAGGCAACGGAGAACTACGGAGCTAGCGAGAGGGCGAGATCAGCTGGAGTATTGGTTCCGTGAGAATGTTCTCAAACATAAGGTGGTCATCGAGACGTCGAAAGTTGACAAAGTTAAATGGGATCACAACAACTCCATCTTTGCCGATGTATTGCTTCGATCTGATGAACTTCCGGAAGAGGCCGAGGAGGCCGGCGAGGTCCAGAAATCCACCCTGTTCCCTGTTCACCGGGCGATGCTCCTGCGCTCAGAATTCTTCCAGGCCATGTTCATGTCCTCTTTCCGCGAAGCGCATATGACAGATAATTTGCACATTATCGATGTGGACTGCTCACCCGATGTATTAGAGATAATCCTGACATTCTTGTACACCGAACGGGCCGATTTCTCCTTGGAGGTCGCTGTCGACGTCCTTTTCGCGGCAGACATGCTCTTCATCGAGAAATTGAAGACTAAAGCAGCAGTTGTGATCAGTACTCTCGGCAGTGGAGTGTCTCAAGCCGACGCGGCGAAGACCCGCGGCCAAGACGAGGATGACATCGATATATACGCGATTATGCGTGCTGCCTGGTTGACACGAGTCCAGCGACTGGAAGAATTTGCAGCACGATTCCTCGCATACCGACTCGAAGCTCACATCGATTTGCCTGAGTTTGCAGAGCTCATACAAGAGTCGGCGAATCGTATTCAGGCTCGACAGGAGACCGATTCTATTGAATTGCTGGACGATATTCGATTCTATCTTAATGAACGGTTCAGGTTGAGATTCGATGATGCTGGTATAGACGGGTTGATGGATGAGCAGGTGCCTCTACCGAATGGGGAAGAGGCTCAGTCTGAAGATGTGGCGAAGATCACGGACGGTGTCGAGACCCTGGCTGTCTCTAAGCCAAGCGGCGTCACAGCCCCTGGTCGCGAAATCCGGACCCTTGATGGTGCTGTTGTTGAAGATGAATTCTCGGAAGACGCCATGAATTATGAGATTTTGATGGGGAAGTTGGAAGCTCTGCTCGAGAAACTGAACCTGGACGCCTAAAGTAGACTTCCAAAGAAAGCCAGCGTGTTCTGGCTTTTAACGACATAACGAGGCTGTTTACAAGCAAGGGTTTGTCAACAGGGACGCAATTGCATACACATTGACCATGTATATATACATCCATACACCAGTTTTAGCCCCTGGAAGTTTTGGAAACTTGAGATAAATAGACTGTCAAATGAACATTCATTGACTTGACTTTGCACCGGCGATATATCATGAATACTTTGTGAGTAATTGGATAAGACCAGGGATGGACGCCATTCCCAAATCTCAGCGCTCGAAATCTGACCGTGGAGAGCTTACGGACCAAAGCACAGTGAAAAAGAGCTCAAGATTCTTGCCACCCGGAAATTCAACTTGTTAAAGAGCCGACACTATCAGGAGAGAAGCTTTGCGCAACCACTCAAAAGTCTCCAATTCTTGCCGGAATGGCTTACTGACCGATACAAATCAGCATTCGCATACACCACTTCGTTTAGGAGGAAGTATCATGTCCCTCGTTAATTTCTCACCCGCAAGGTTCTGATGTAGTCGTTCGAATCCAATCCCAAAGCCGCTATGTAGGGAGGTACCTCGGCGCCGGAGGTCTGCAAACCATGCAAGCAGTAGGTCATTATTCAGTCCTGGTGCAAAAGACGATTCAGCCGAAGCTAGATATCGGCAAAACAAATATTATTTGAGATCGCCCTCCGACTAAGCACGATGGCCGACTTTGAGGAGATATCGGATCTGGGAGAAGGTCGTGTATTGGAATTTGGTTTATTCCTCAGGAGCTCATGGGTCATGAAGGTGGTGTGTTTCGAAGGATGGAGGAGCAGGGTGCCAAGAAAGACACACTTCCCAAGGCCATGAACATGGCCAGGGGCTGGAGAAAAACCTTTCGATACAGCTTGGTGGCAATAATGTGATAAAGGACAGGGTCTTAGCAATACTAAATAAGTTTGAATTGCCATATATTATCCGATATAATTGTACAGGCGACCATAGATCCCGATTATTCGCACACTTTCATGATTTCTATATATATCAGAGACCGCGTGGCCGGTCTCTTGCAAAGTAGTCTTCCAGAAATTGACTGGAGAGGTGTTGTTGTACATACTTGTGGTTCGCCGTTTTCTTGTAGCGGGTAAATGAACTTTGGACCCTGGCCTATGTCACGGGCTTCGAGGTGCTGACAGCGGTCCCCGACAAATGGCGGGTAATGTCATATCTTGTCTTGCAGGCGAGTAATACCTGTTGGTGCTCATATTCGTACGTATGGGACTGAAGGCGAGGTTCTGGGAGTGCAGATTCAGTTTAAACAACCAAGGTCGGTGGTGTCGAGACCTTGTTTATTGACAATCGTTGAGTGCTCCGCCTCGTAGGCGAGGCCAAGAATGCGTTCACCGTCCGCCTTGCGGCCTCTCTTGTCACTCCCTTCTGCACTTCGCCGTTTCTTCTCTTCCATTTTCGCCTCCAGGTCCCGAATCTGTGTCTCAATCATTCCTCTCCGGGCTGTCAAGTTCGATCGCATTCCCTGCAGAGCAGTCATTTGTTCATCGAAGGTTGCCTCCTGACGTTTCTTCTGAGTCTGTGAAAAAAGGCAGCTTAGCATGTGGTCATTCTGTGAAGAAAAAGCTGTGTAGACCGGTCGGAGCTCAACGGAAGCTCGGTGCAGCTCACCTCAGCAATCTCCTCTTTTGTCTTCAGTCCGGCTCCATATAAAGACCCTGCAATCGTAATCGAGGTCACGGCAGCTGTTAAGACCAGCCGACGAAAGTTCTGAGGTGAAGGCATCTGTCCTCATTGCATCACTGTCTGAGACGCCGGCAACAAGAAACCTCCGAGCTCTTCACCGCCTACCGCACGTGGAGCATATTGATCGTCACTTAGACGCGTCCCCCTCGCGTTTTCCCGTCAGGTACTTTACGCTTCGAATGGCCAACGGCCTAGGAAAAAAAGATGTCGTCTCCTGCGGTTCCTAGCCGTCGGTCCCGTGAGAATGAAGACGATACTGACGACTCCGAGTCGAGCGCCCGCTCTTTCCCGGACCCAAGCAACAAGCGCCCTCGTCTCAGCGGGGTTGAAGATGAGGAGAGAAGTGATGAAACTGGAAATGACAGCAACGACAGTCAAGACGAGGGCACTCAAGTTGGTACACAGCGAAGGACATTACAATCTGGGGTCGGGCCCAGTGGCTACAAGGCCGGTGCGATCGTGCGGATCAAAATGTCGAACTTTGTGACCTACACGTCTGCTGAGTTCTTTCCTGGCCCGAAATTGAACATGGTCATTGGGCCGAACGGAACTGGGAAAAGTACACTTGTTTGCGCTATCTGTTTAGGACTTGGATGGGGGCCTGTGGTATGTGAACTATCCTCGACTTACTATCATGTAATCTTAGGACTTCCTAACACTTAACTTCTCGTCAGCATCTCGGACGCGCGAAAGACCTTGGTGAATTTGTCAAGCATGGCGCCAGTGAGGCGATGATCGAAATCGAACTTGCAGGCCCCCCATTATTCAGCCAAAACCGAATCATACGCCGAATCATCAAACGCGATGGCAACAAGAGCAGCTTCTTCCTGGATGGTGAATCTAGTAACCAAAAAAGCGTCAGAAAGCTCGCAGGAGACTTTGCAATTCAAGTCGACAATCTCTGCCAGTTTCTCCCCCAGGACAAAGTGGCAGAGTTTGCTGCTCTCACACCTGTTGAACTGCTTCATTCCACCCAACGCGCAGCAGCCAAAAAAGAGGTTGTGGATTGGCATGAGGCGCTAAAGTCGCTGCGAGCTGAGCAGAAGAAACTTCAGATTGACAATGGAGCAGACCAGGAGGTGTTGAAGAATCTTGAAAACCGTCAGGAAATGCAACGAGCAGATGTAGAGCGAATGCGTCAGAGAGCTGAGGTCAAACGCAAACTCGAACTTTTGGAGATTTACCGCCCATTCGTCGAATATCGAGATCAATTGAAGGCCCACGAAATCCTCAAGGCCAAAAAGCTCCAGCTTCAAGAGGAACACGCACAGCTCAAACGAGACCTCGAACCGGCAATGCAATCTGTCACGGCTAAGCAAAGCTACAGTGAGCGGATCAAGGAAGTGAGGGATCGTCGCAAACATCAGGTTGAACAACTTCACAATGCAGCAGTGGCCAGTGGACGCAAGATCGACGAGTTACAGTCAGAAATCAAGGACCTTGAAGGTCAGATTGAGGCTGAAAGAAAAACCGGTACGAAACACAGGACTGAAGCGACTGTTGCCCAGCAAACCATCAACCGATTGCAGCGCCAACAGGAAGAGGAGGCGGTGGAATTTGATCCGGAATATTACAACGAACAGTTGGTAAGTTGACGGGCTCCAGCCATCCTCGACGAAGGCCAGTTTACTGAGGATTTGACAGAGAGTGAAACGACTCGAGAAACGCGAACTCGAAATGAAGGGCAAAGAGATCAAGGACAGACGGGCCCCTCTGCTCGCCAGAGGCCATGAACTCAAAGAACTGATCAACGAAGAAGAACGACGACTGGAAAGCTTAGATTCTCAATCTGGCCGACAGGAAGCGAAGTTGCAGAAGCTGTCTGCAGACTCTTACAAAGCCTATCAGTGGATGGTCGACAACCAAGACAAGTTTGAGAATGAAGTTTTTGGCCCACCTCTCATCACCTGCTCCGTCACTGATCCCAAATATGCCAATGCTGTCGAGTCACTGTTACAGAAAACGGATTTCACGGCCTTTACTGCTCAGAACAGAAATGATTTCCGCACCATGCAGAGAATCTTCATCAGGGAAATGGGACTTCACGATATCACGCTCAAAACCTCCTCCGCGCCACTAAGCTCTATGAAAGCACCTGTATCGAACGAAGAGCTTCGGCGGCTTGGCTTTGATGGATGGGCTAAAGATTTTATCACTGGCCCGGAGCCAGTCATTGCTTCACTCTGCTCCGAGAATCGGTTACATCAAACACCTGTCAGCCTACGAGATATCTCTGAAGAAGCGTATAATTCACTGGAGAACGCGGAAGACTCACCAATCGGTTCTTGGGTGTCAGGGGAGCACAGCTATCAGGTCACTCGACGACGCGAATACAAGGCAAAGTCAACCCGAGTCCGTCAAGTCAAGACCGCGCAGGCCTGGACGTCACAGCCCGTAGATGCCTATGTCAAGCAACAGCACCGCGAAGCCATTCAGACATATAACCGAGAATTCAGTGAGCTACAGGAGGAGGCAAATGCGGAGAAGGAGAAAACCAGGGATTTACTGAGTGCGCTTCGGCGCTTGGAGGACGAAATGGTAATTTACTCCCCTCATCGATCTTGCTCTTTGGTTAACGTTGTCCGCAGGAGGAGATTGATAAAGAGAAACAAGAGAAACAACATGCGCATACGCAATGGCGGGCTATTCCCGAGAGAATTGGTACGTGGCTGTGCATGTTATCATTTATGACGATCCCATCGCTAACACTCCGCAGCTCAGCAACAGGCTAAGCTTAAGGGCATTCAGGAGCTCTTTTTGGAAGTCAGGAACGTGTTTCTCAAATTCGGGAGGAACAAATTGAGGTTTCTATCAAAAAGGCAGAAGCCACCATTGAATATGCTGTAAGTTCCCCGATAGCGCTGACTATCTGACTATCTGACGCTTGAAACCTTACTCATGCTCTTTAGGGTGCCGTTGAGCAGCTTCGCCAGGCCTACGAAGAGCTTCTGAAGGTGGAAGTTCAACATTTGGAAGCCTCCTCTGACCTACAAACCCTGAGAAAAAAGCACCATGCATTCGCTGTGATGCTCGAGAAAAAGACAGCAGAGGTGGCGAAAGCAATAGAGGCCGTCAAAGCAAACAGGACAAAAGGACGAGCGCTTGGGGCTCTGGCTAAGAAAGTGATCGAGGATCACCAGGGAGACCCCGATGCTGAAGAGGTACACAATATGCTCAGCGAGCCAGAGTACGATATGGACAAACTCCGCGCCGACATCGACTCCGAAAAGGCGCGCTTGGAATTGACCCAAGGGGGGCAGCCCTCACCTAATCAAGGAATTTGAAGAGCGAGAGAAAACAAATCAAGAAGCTCCAAGACAAGCTGGCCGATTTCCAAACGAAGCTGGCGGACTATCAAACCAGTATCGATGAGGTTCGATCTCTCTGGGAGCCCAAATTGGACGCTCTCATCGCCAAGATCAGTGATGCCTTTTCAGACTCTTTCAAACGCATAGGATGTGCTGGGCAGGTGAGCCTAGACAAGGTAGAAGACGAGCCTGGGCCCAATGGTGAGCCTGGCGGAAGCGACTTCGAGAAGTGGTCGATTCAAATTTACGTCAAGTTCCGAGAACACGAGAGTATGTCACTACTGGATTCACATCGCCAGTCCGGTGGCGAACGTGCGGTCAGTACCATCTTCTACCTGATGGCACTGCAGTCGCTCTCAGCGTCGCCCTTCCGCGTCGTCGACGAGATCAACCAGGGTATGGACCCACGTAACGAAAGAATGGTTCACGGTCGCCTGGTAGACATTGCCTGCGCTTCGAGCGAAGAGGAGGATACAGATGACAATGGCAACCCCATCGGCGGCGGCGGTGGTGGGCAGTACTTCCTCATCACGCCGAAGCTGCTGAGTGGACTGGTCTACAAGCCTGGCATGAAAGTGCTCTGTATCTACAGTGGCGAACATATGCCGGAGGACTACGCGAAGCTGGACTTCAGACTAGCCATCCGCAAGATGAGGGATATCAGAGCAAAGAATGGAGATAATAGCAAGGGCAGAGGCAAGGGCAAAGGGCGAGCGATGGGGAGCAGCAATACCGTGGGAGTCTACGCTTAATACGATCACCCCACACTCAATACCAACATAGCCGACGGATTTCCATTTTCTTTCAATTCTGGGGAGGAATCGATGTTAGATCTGGACTCCAACTCTGGACTCTAGGATCTGGATCCTGGACCCTGGGAACAAATTCGATAGCCCTATTTTCTGATATCATGTTGCGCCATTGCACGTACCAAGACCCCAAGAACCCACTAATTGGCTTGATTTGGACCTGCCCAACAGGGAATCGTTCGATGCCTCGACTCCACTCAGAGCTGCCGGGCCTATTGCTTCTTCCTTTCTGGCTCCATGCACGGTCGGCCTCCCCGTGTCCGTGCTCTGACCAACCCCTCGACTCCGACCCCACAACACACCACCCGGTATTTAGGGGATCGGAGATTAGAAGAGGAGGTTAGGTCGAGCCCAGGCATGATATGTAACAAGGCTGCAGCATACTAACAGAATGACAGTCGCGTTAGGCGGAGCAGCGATATAGCAATCATTAGGAAAATGTCGCAGTCAAAAAAAAGCCGCACACACCCAACTCCGCCGGAGGGCTCCGACGTAAGTAATCCAAAAAGATTCACATCCATGCTTCGGATCAGACGACTAAAGCGGATAAGATCAGTACTCCGTTTCTCCTTACTGACTGCCGGTTCATAGGTAGATCCTCGTGGACAAAGAGGGTGCAATGTCATGCAGATCGACGACCGGGCGTTTCCGCCGCAGATCACAAGCTCCATCTCGGAGGTTTTGGATGCCAATCGTTGGGCGACGTTGGGCCCTCGCTACCGCCAACTCTAAATGTTCTGGGGTGGGGGCGATTATCTTTTGGTGCCCTGGGTTGACCCCTGCTAGTTTTGCCCTCCTCTCGGACACCACCCGTCTCTGGTGTGGCCTGCATTGCCGGCCTGTGAGAGATGTGTTGTCCGGCACCCTGGTCTGCTGCCTGCTCTGGTAGCGCTTGAACAGCGCTCCGGCAAGATGTACAGCATGACTGGCCTGATCGACACCGCACATCACTGCGCATCACCGCGAGGGCTGGGCTATCATTGGCTCGATATTTTACGATCCGCCAAGAATCCTCATGGCGATCCTAGCCAGTCAGATCTATCGAGTGACATCTCCCCATCCACCTGAAGCTCGTACATCTTACCGGGAACCGGTTTGTCCTTACTGTACACGTTGCATCCTATATGCTTGGTCCAAGACTTCGCATGTTTGGCGGGGCTACGCTCTGACGGTTCGAAAGACTGAGACTCCGAGTCAACTCGGCGGTGCTACAGTACTGTACATGGTTGACGCCGTCCACCGTCCACCGTTCACCGCCCCTCATTCCCCCCTCCCTTTCTCCAAATATGACGCAGTAATATTGTCCCCTCACCAGAAACGACAATAGTTAGCTGCCTGGATAGGAATAGACCCGATGCGCGCACGGGGGATCAGTGGCGCCGCTTTCCCTGTTTCAACGGTTGGGATCTTGTCCAGCCTCCCTGTAGCTACGCAAAACAAAGAGACGCTACAAACTACCCGAGGGGCTTGATTGTCTTCCGGAGAGGCTGGAAGCGAAGCAATCAAATGTATACGATGCATCACGTCTTGGACCCTGTGATACGTAGAGGGCGCTTCGAGGCCACCGGCACAGACCCTCAGGGTGGTTGGCAAGCCCACGCCCCAAGCCCAAGGCTAAGCCTAAGCCTACCATCCTGACGCCTCTTCCAACGGTCCCATCAAACGTGGCGGAGGCTCTCGGAGATATAACCCCGGGTACGGTGGCACGGCAGCGGCGAGGAAGTTTCGATCCCAGCGTCGCACGACGTGTCGCATAAATCCTAGGGGGAGGGGGGAGAGGACGCACCGACCTGATGGCCATGACTAGACCCAAAGCTCGGATCAGTGGTCCACGCTGGATATTGCTGGTCGGGCTGGAACTGCAGAGCATTGACTCGAGGGGTAAAGCATCTCGCCTTCAGGTGCAGTGCAGTATGGAGTACATACAGGGTACATCACGGCCAATGGAGGAGCACATACATCCGCCAGGATGATTCAGAGATGCAACGGTGGGATGATCTACGAGGAGAAATACACTTCGCCACCCTCCATGAGGCAATAATTCTCGTCGCTTTGGGGAAGAGAGAGGGGGGGGGAGGGGGTAAAGGTTTATGCTGGTAAGCTTCAAACATTTCATGGCTTTGGGCTGTCGCGAGGGCCAAGTCCAAGCCTAGGGAAGTCGATCATCCAGGATCTACCATTAGCGTAACTCGTATCCCAAAGCAGGGTCTGAAACATGAACGCGCATGTTGGTGGGCTATCGGCAAGTGGACGAGCCGTGGATTCACTGTTTGGGGGCCGAGTAGGATAGCGTAATCTCTCCGTCCGCATACGGTACTTGCTTCCATGCTGAGCCTCTGGATACCGAATCTCGAGGATCTACAGACTGAATCAGGTCCAGTCAGACCCTGGTCATATATCGGGCCATTAGCGACTATATTATCAGATTTCTGCTATATCAGCAAGTCCATAAGATCACTCAATGCTGACCAAGCGCCTGCTGGGACCACGGGGAAGAACAAGCAAGTTTCTCCATTAGGCAAGACCCTTGAGGAAATGAGAAAAGAACGTTAAACTCTGGCACCCACAGTCTGCACAAGAACAAAAAAAAAACCTTAGGGACCGATAGCTCAAAGCATCAAGGTATAGATACTACCTGGCCAGGCTACCTAGCTAGGTAGGTAGCTAGGATATCACGAACCTCGGCAGGATCCCACGGCCCTCACAGACGGGTAGCATCAAGGCAAAAATATTGTATGAGCTCACGAAACAAGGGATGAAGATCCACAAACAGATCTTAGCGCACCTCCCAATGCAGTACAGTTAAGTCCGAGTCGGGACCCACGGCCGATCCCACGGGGTTTATACCTAGAAGGGAATAGTTGCACGTCGCTAAGATCCCGCATGCGATCGACCCGGCTGTGACGAACAGGTCGTGTTTCACCACTAACACAGACCAAGGAGGTCTGAGGCAGTTCCCATGCAATGTGTGATCATCCGTCGATCGACCAGTGTGTCAGGGGGGGGGGGGGGGGCTTTTGGAGGGCGCAAGTGGTGCATTCGGTAGGCGGGATTTGGCTGGAATTTGGGTTTTTGTGACTTTGGAACCTTTCGGGTTATGCTTTCTTCTTTGTTCGTTACTTGGATCTTGGATCGGATCCCCCCCATCGTACTCAGCTCCGTCCTCGGGTCGCCTTTGGAATTTTTTCTTTTTTCCTTTTTTTTTCATGTTTCATTTTTCAACTTTCATCTTGATTCAACTTTTTATTTTATTTTTTTTTCGGGGAAGGGGGAAGTTGACTTTTGAGTCTACTGAAAGTCAAAAACCCGGACATGAGGCTATCGGAGACTATGAGTTGGACTATGTCTTGGAAAACGTGAAACCTGAATGGAGACGGTGCCGAGTTACCTCCGAGTGACGGCTCATGGCTCATAGATGGCGAGCACTGATCACGGAGTACCTACCTGACTACAGAATGCGACCCGGGGCCATCATGCTTATGCGCCGATGGACATAGTTCTAATGGCAATAATACCGGAGACACTGCCCGAATGGAGCTATGGCCAGCAGTTGTCTGGGACGATCCTGCGATCCACTGGGGGCGATCTCGCCCGAACAGGAAGGAGGTTAGACGCAGAGTGACAGGTCCGCTTTCGCGTCAGTAGACACGTCAGGGCTCTCTCGATTTATTTTTATGTTTCCCGATGTTGCTTATGCACGTGAGACTGTGACTTCCTGCGATTCTAGGTTTCTAGGTTTCTAGGTTTCTAGCTTTCTTACGTCTTCTCATGCTTTGATGTGCCTTGTTGATCATCGACACCGATCAGGGCCAGGATTCGGGGCTAGCGATCCTTCTTTTTTTTTTTTTTTTTACCGCATTCCCGAGAAACCCCCCCCCCCTCCTCTCTCCCTTATTTCCGTCCCCTTTTCCGTTTCTCACCTTCCCAACTGGTCTCATCCCCCGAATTGCAAATGCAGATGCAGATCCTGGCGACGCCCTGGTCAGCCGTACGCGGCTGCATCATGCAAGTGCCATGTGTTCGTCGACTCTGATCGCGTGGAAAAGGAATGAGATGTATCATGCCTCCACTCAGAGCACCAAAAAAGGGGGTATCGCGTGGCTCATGGGGCGCCCCGGATGATCCCCGATCGATCACCGTTTCCGGGCAAATGGCTCAAAGCGGCCACGGCGTATGTGAGAAGTCTAGGCTCGTATCGACGTGGGGAATCCGAGGTCCTGGCAGTCGGGAGGACCATCTCAGATGTTGGTACGGGTTACAACTCGGGCCAGACTTTTTCCCTTAAAAAAAAAAAAATTCCCAAATGAGGAATGTCTCGTCGACAAATTTCCCAGACCAGGTTGGGGGAAATGAGATTCCCCATAATTGATTGCAGTTCAACTTTCCACGAGTGACCGAATCGGTCCACATCACTCAGTCATCGCCCGAGCCGCAAGTCCTGCCAATGACGCCGCGTGGAATTTAACTGTCGGCTCCCAGGGGCAGAGTGTCGATCCCGAATGAAGTGCCGAGGACAAAAAATATTAATAATATCAATCTGGATAGTCGGGACTATGCATTCTAGAAACTTGGATTAGGAGGATCGTCGGGATCAGAAGGATCCAGAATCGTGTGCATTTGTACATGTTACGGGCACACTCGCATAGACATGGATCCTTTTTGGACTCCTGCCACTCACTTCTCGAGATATCATAACGATTGTAACCTCCGGAGAACGGCGGGGGAAGGGGAATAGAATATGACCAGCCTCTCTCTCTCCTCTTTTCTTCCAATCCCCAACCTCCCTCCCAACGGCCACGCACGGAGCAGGCGATCCCAGACCAGGGCCAAACACAAGTGGAGTCTCGCTTCCACGAGGCCGGGATGGGGCTCCATGCTGTGAAACGGCCAATCCCCAATCATTGCACTGTGCAGAATTCGTGCACGGCCCGCTGCCTGTTACGTTCCAGAACGCCGATCATTTATCGTATCCATGTCCCAAAGAGGATGGTGGTTGATCTTCAGGAGACCCTGCGATCAGTTTGGCACCTTCTCGATTAGTAGTGATCGTCGGGCCTCGTAGCTTAAATCTATGACTGAGTTTGTCTTGTTTCTGGTTAGATATGGTGTCCTCTTGTTTTCATTTTTCCTCCCCCCTCAACGCCGTGACCAAAAGGTTCCAGAGACAAGGTTCGTGTAAGCGAAAGGAGCCCAAGCGCTTAGAGCCGCCACCCCCGTCATACACTTTACACGTTATGCACGATTCCCGGCCCCAACGGACATGAGTCCGCTTTGGGCTTAGCGGCGGGTGGCAGTTATGACCTTCCCTTTTGATCGGCCCCTGCCACGCGACACTCGGGAGATCCGGGGGTCCTTTGTCGTCCCGGGGAAAGAGAGACATGCCTCTTCTCTTTTCCCCCCCTTCCCCCCCTGTTCGTTTCCCCTCGATGCAGGACACTCGGATGAGAACATTTTCTTTGCATCTCGTGTCGTGCCAAGTATGATCTCAGTGATGGCAGCCATACTGCTCCCTCATGCGAACAAGCCCAACTTGATCGACACCCAGATCCAGTTCGGTGCGATCAGCCGTTTATGGGGCTAGTATGTGACAGGTAAGCAGGATCTGCACTAGCGAGCCCTCGAGTTGTAGCCGAGCTGGATTTTGTCCCTTGGTTCCAGGTGGGTGACCTGGATGGGGACGGGGACTTTCCGGCCTCCTTCTTCGGGTCTAGCGTGCGATCTGCAGTCGACCATTGGCCCTATGCAGTCGCCATGACCCCTGTTCGCGTGGGCAAATCGTCATGCTTTTTTTGACTTTGCTTTCCCCACTGGATTAATTTTGTTAATCTCCGGTCTTTTGCATTTTTTTATTTTTATTTTTATTTTATTTTTATTTTTTTTTTTTGGTTGGGGGGGGGTATGATTTCTTTTCTTTTTCTTTTTTCTTTTTCTGGCTAGATTATATCATTTTTTTTCCAATTAATTTTTTCGTTAATTAAATTAAGCTTTGGAACGGACTGTCTCAACTTTTGCCTGCGCGCATAGGCGAACTTCGATCCTGGCTCCTGGCGTAATTTACTTTACCCAGTCCTGACCCCATCGGCATCGCCCGCGCTGATCATCCACGCGAGACTATAAACCCTCGTGTGTCCCCGTATCCTGGGGCTCTTCTTCTTCCAAACCCATACAATATCGATATCATGGATCTGGCCAGTCTCCTGCAGGGCTCCGCCCCCAAGTCATACACTGAGACCTATGGCAAGCGCTCTGCGCCTCTGTCGCCTCCCATTGAAGAGCCCAAGTGCTCGCTACCCTCAATCTCCACGCTACTCGAGGGTGCCGATGACCACGCAGCCAGTAAGTACAACTACTAAGATCACGATACGATACACATACCTAACAACTTTCTTCTAGAACGTCAACGCCTGAGTCCCCAGCGCGAACACTCAGTCCAATATGATGTTCGCCTGCCGCCAACTCCTCCACTGCGTCCAGGCTCCGGCTCCGGCCATGCATCGCCCTCATCCAAGGACCACCGGTCCTCCATCTCCTCCATCAACTCCAACCCCCAAATGGGCCCCTATGCTTCCCCCGCGCCTAGCGTATCCTCCTATACATCTCACACCTCCCCAGTGGAGGCACCCCCCCCACCACCACCATGTACTACCGGCCTCCAACAACCACCACCTTCGCCCCCTCCACCATCCACCAACCCGCCCAATCACCATCCCTCATCTCCCCAGTGACTCCGGCCTGGCAACATCACCACTACTTCCCCCCTTCCACCACAACCCCCTACCAACAAAACCACGACCGCTATATCTGCCGCACCTGCCACAAGGCTTTCTCGCGTCCATCCTCGCTGCGCATCCACTCGCACAGCCACACAGGCGAGAAGCCCTTCCGCTGCACCCACGCAGGCTGCGGAAAGGCCTTTTCCGTGCGCAGCAACATGAAGCGCCATGAGCGTGGTTGTCACTCTGGTCGTCCGGTCGCTGCCACAGCGCTGGTAGTTTGAAAGAAAAAACCAAAAAAAGTGAGACCGTTGGGGTCTATTTTATTTTTCTTTGTTTTCTTTTCTTTTGTCATTATTATGGGATGGGTTTTACTATCGGGTTTTGGGACGGATTGGTGTTTCTTTCAGCCTTTTTTTTTTCTCTGGTGTTTGGTTTCATATAACCGCCGTGATACCCTTTGTTTTTGGGATGGATTGATATACTAGATGGGAGAGGCTTTTTATTATTATATCTCAAAACTTACGAGGCAATGTATTATTTCTACGATGACTCTTTTCTTTTATCTTCCGGTAATATGGTGACTGGAACTGGTGCCATTGTAAGCGTCTGGAAGTTTATGAAGTGTGGTGCGTGGGCTGGTAGTTGACGAGGTCCACTGCGAGCCTTCTGTAAGTCGTACGGTGTTGGCTAAAGATCATGGGCTGGCTCTAGGTCTAGGCCACTGGGCATTCACATGTCGAGAAGCTGGGGTTTTCACATGTCAGCACTGGACAAGTGGTACTTTTATTTTCGCGAGTGCTAGAAATAAATTAGTATGTCATAGCTCAAAGCCACACACGGCTGATGGGAAGATGGCGGCGTTCTAGATTAGGGATGGAAGCCGCAAGCTTCTGTCGGGGCTATCGTTTCTTTTTCTCCACATAGTCCAACCCCTAAATTATCTCATGGTAATCTCGAAATAATCTGAAATGCTCAAATGTTGATTATTGTCATGAAAAACGGTCAGGAGTTAATCTATCTGCTCTATATAAATCGGTCCATGCGTCTGTAAACCGGCCCAAATCCGTTCCCAAGTGTTCTAATTAGTTACCCAAACCCCAATGTTTCCATCTCACAAATGAAAGTCCATCCAGATTCCATGTAAATATCCCATGTTATATCATAAATCACCCAAGCCTCCGCCCGAGCCAAATCCCTAAAAAAAAAATCTACTCATCCAGAACCCCCCCTGGCCAACGCCGCCAGACTAGTCTCATACCTCGCCGGATTATGATCACTCAACATCCCACTTGCAAACTTCAATTCTCCGAACCAAGCATCCACGTCCCTAATAAATCTCATTTGAACCCTCGTCGCTGGCCGTCCAAGCCTGGGATAACTATCCCTTACGAACTCTGGCGCCGTAAACGCCTCTCTCTGCAATACGCGCATCGTTTCAACGACAAAAACCTCACCGGGAGGCATTAGTTTTGGCGCACGCATTTCATCTCGCAGCATCCGGAGCGTCTTCCACGCCCATGCATCTTCGCCTACACCATCGCCGGCGTTGATGACGAGGGGAGGCTGATTAACGTAGAATTTGTGGATGATGGATTGACGGAGTCGGTCGTGCAGACGGGACCGAATATGTGATTTCGCGCCTGAGATGTCGGATTTGAAGGATAATGAGGCTGTGTGCATATCGTGAAGTATGCCGAGGGATAAGGAAGGGACGATGTCGGAGCCGTTGACCACTGTGGTGATAAGGCCGCGGGTTGCCAGGCGGAGGAATGGGGACATGACGGCCGGAGGACCATAGGCGTAGACGTGGATCGGACGACCAGTTGGGAGGTCGTAAGATGGAGCTGGTTCAGCTTTGGTGCTTGTATCGCTGTCTACTGTTAAGAGGCGGTGGGGACTGTAGGATGCTGTGACAAAGGATGTGCCGTGGAGGGAGTTGTTTGGTTCGGCGATCATTGTTGCTAAGAGGGCTGCTACGCCGCCGCCTAAAGAGTGACCGCATAGCACGACACCGTAGTCGTTGAATTCCTCTAGGGCTGCGCGGAGAGTGATCATCACTCGGCCACCACCGCCTTCTAGGAGGCGTTTGGCAGAGGCGTGCATGCCTTTGTGCACTTTCCAGTTCTTGCCTTGCCATTCTAGGTCGTCGTAGTCACAGGTCATATCTGTGAGAATATCCTCAAACCCCCATGTTCCGCGAAGGGTGAGGACAACGGCTTTTGATTCGTGGTCGATTGATAAATAGTGCACGAGTGGGAAGCCACTTTCAGTCTCACCGGCGGCGTTCGAACCCCCGGCTGGGTCGACGAAGGATGATAGGAGGATTGTTGAAGGCGGAAGCCCGGCGTGATCGGAGAATGCATGGTGCTCATGACTGTCTGAGGTGATAGGAGGAAGATTCTTTGTGCCTCGGGGCACACCCATGACCTTAAGAGCACTGGCACCGTATGATGCCGAGGAAAACCGACAGAACCTGCGAACATTTTGGACAAAATGTCTCTCTGGGAAAATACCTGGCACAATTCCATCGCGATTGAGTGCTTGGATGGTCGCCGTATTTTCGTATGTACTTTTGCGCGGTCGATGTGCCAGTAGAAGAGATGTCTCGGAGCCAGCAGTAGCAACGGAATACATGCTAGGAGTATATGATTGAGATCTCCGATGCAAAGCCGAAGAGCTGGGACGGTGATCATTTGCGGACATCGTGCCGTCTGTTTCGGACCTTGATACAGACAAAGAGCTGGTGCTACGAACATGGGTTCGAGCGGCTACAGGCGATCCGGGCCTTAGATCGCCAGCACGGCGTGAGAAGGCATCGGTGTGGGTCAAGAGGGACTCCTGACTCTTTTCATGCACTGCGAAATGACCTGACCTGGAGCTCGTTCGATCTTGCACCTCCCGAGAAAGAGTATGTTTGACATGGGAGCGTGCAGACTGGGGAGATGTAAGATAAGGCGATCTTCGCATTCCCCGGGTAGGGGCTGGGGTGGTTGGCCTGTGATAGGGGGTTGGGGGCCGTCTCTTGGAATACGGCTTGCTAGGGACTTCTCGTGCAGTGGCGTCTTTCACAGCGGCCGTTCCTTTGGTGGGTTTGACGGTTGGACGTACGCCATTCTTTGATGAAGCCGGCGCTCTGATGCTAGGTTTCTTCAGCGCCAAGCGCTTGATATCGTCGCTCTTATCCGAACCATTTGATTTCACTCGCTGGGTGAACTTTGTGAATGAGTTCCTTCCGAATGGCTGCTTTTGGCCACAATCATCTCTGGGTTTGGGACTGGAAACACCAGCATCCTTGATCGTGACATCACTTGCAGAATCAGACTGTGAATGATCGCCGTTTTGATTCCGGCTCCTTCTTGGAGGAGTCTGTGGCGTTCGGGGCACATGCCGTTGCAATTTCTCTGTGTCGATTGGCTTTGAGCCAACTGGGATGTCGTGAGGCCGCAGCAGAGTGCTTTGCGATTTATTGAAGGCCGTGCGGAATACCACTGTATGCCTCGGGAACTGTTGGCTTTCTGGGGCACCAGCACTCGCATTTGAATGATTGTGGTCATGATGGTGTCGTTCTTCGACCATCGTAGTTCCAGGAGGAGCAGCGATTTCGGCCATATCATCGTCAAATATATCTACCGTAATGGTGCGAGCCGTCAATAGTTCTGACTTGATGGAAGCGTGACAGCCCTGGGGCAGTTGGCTCATTATATAGGCGCGGACATCTTCATCCGATATCTGCTGTTGTTCATCCAGAGGGAACGACAGACGAGATCCACTGAATGTCCGAGCAATGCTAGATGGTCGCTGCACGGCATCAAAGGCTTCTTCCCCTTTCCCCGGAATAACAAACGAAGCACTTTCAGGATCGGCTACTGCATCGGCGTTTCCGTTCGGGAATTGGACTTGATGCGTCCCAACAACATCTGCCCGGGCGCCGCTATCCAAGATAACGGTATCCCAGACCACTTCATCTCCGCCGTTCTCTCGAAGACTTCTTTCAGTATTCTTTTTGCCCCAGCGCTGTAGAAGTGCGAACCCCACAGAGCCGAGTAGCAGGTCTCCCACGCCTATATTTTCGTTGCTGGTCGCGGGATCCACGGACCTGAACTCGCGACGAATCAACGTGATGATAGCTGCGATGGCTCTCGACGATTCTGTAGAGCCCAGGATGGCATCGAGAGTTGACAAGAGAGCCTGTGAGAAATTGGCAACGGATGCTAACGTCGCAGATGAGAAATGGAAAGTGGCCGCAGCGAAAAAGGATGCCGAGGTCACAGTGGTATGCAAAGTTGCTAACTGCATAGGGTGGTTAGTCTGAGCTACTTTACTTCTTATAAAAGCACGCAAATCTTACACTCCGCTCAAGCAACGATTCGGCTTCCTGCCTGCCATGCTCATCCCCACTTCGGATCGCGACATCCCTCCCAGCTCGAGTCAAGATCCCCTCGATGACTGCTCGGCCCACTTCGAATCCCGTCAGAGTAGTCGCGCGCGCTCCATCTAGGGCAACCCCACCAAAGAAGGTTCCCACGCGCAGAGACAACGAGGTCGATTGGGTAAGCAGTGACACTAAGGATGCTACTGGACGCGGGAGGAGAGTTGTGCCTGACGTCGCGGGGACATGGCTGCCAATCCGCTTTTCCTCCTTGGTTTCAGGATCAAGATCAGGCTCGGGCTCAGCGTCGAGTTTGGCAAACATAATGAGCCATGGACAGAAGGTCTATGGACAAGAGAGAGATCATATTCATGGTCAGAACATACATTCCATAGTTCAAGTGGCGATGCCCGATTCGCGCTTATCGTGACTTGACATGTGATTCCCAACGCGTTCCGTTGGGATGACGTCGGTACTTGTTTACTTGTTGTTATTTACATTCCCAATGGAAGTCACTGCTACTTCCGAGGTTCTCTCACATCATTGCCTTTACATCGCCTGCATGCTGTACCTTGCGGATCATTGCGCGGTTGCATTCACTCACGGTCCGGATCCCCGATAGACCCATGCTCTGCCAGAAATCCGCCAACAGACCCTTCAACACTTGTCGTGCGCCCTCGCGTCCATTGATGCCGAGGCCATAAATCACCGGCCGACCTATCATGACGGCCTTAGCTCCAAGACATAGTGCCTTGACGACATCCACACCCGTCCGGATGCCCGAGTCAAAGAGCACTGTCATCTTATCGCCGACTGCATCGACTATCTCTGGCAGAACATCTAGAGAACCAATGGCTCCATCAACTTGACGGCCTTTCGGTCAGTCAGTACCTGGGTTCTCTTCATGCCGCAGGAGCACAGTTGGTCAACGTACCGCCGTGGTTAGACACCACAATTCCGTCACAACCGTACTTGAGTGCCATCTTGGCGTCTTCCACATGCTGAATGCCCTTCAAAACAATCGGGCCATCCCAGTGCTTTCGAACAAAAGCAAGATTTTCCCATGTGTGCGGCTCACTTGCAAAAACCTGTCCCAGCCAGGCTCGTGACGCACTCACAATATCATCCTCGATCTTAGTACCAGACTCCGTCTCGAACTTGGCACGGAAGACTGGGTCTGAAAATCCGACCTCGCATCCAATACCCTTGATAAATGGCACGTAAGCATTATCTAGATCGGCCGGTCGCCACGCCAGAGACCACGTGTCAAGCGTAATAACCAGGACCGAGAAGCCGTTGGTCTTGGCCCGATTCAGCAGTGACAGCGTGATATCGTTATCTTGCGGCCAGTAGAGCTGATACCATCGCTTTCCATCTCCACTGGCTTTGGCCACGTCTTCAACGGGGCAGGTACTGGCTGTGCTCATGGTGTAGGGGACTCCCTCTTCAGCGCAGACTTGGGCCAAGCCGGTTTCCCGGTCCTCGTGGAAAATTCCCTGCACGCCGACGGGTGCCATAATCAACGGGTTGTCATACTTCTGCCCGAATAGCTCGACTGAAACATCCTGGCCGGTCATCTAGAGGATGTAAGCTGGTGTCATCAAGTCATTGAAGACAAACGAACACTTCGCATCATGCGTGGGATACTATGGAATACCGTTAGAAATGGCACAATAGACGGACTTGAACTCATACATCTTCCATTGACGAAACGCAAGGCGATTGGCATCCATGGTCGCCTTCTCGCCGGCACCCCCAGCTACATAGTTGAATGCCCTGGCACCAAGAGCCTTGCTTGCCTGCTCCTCTAGCAATCGGGGGTCGGTTGTCACGCTGGGCATGATACCCATAAGGGCACCTTTACCGTATATCTCCAGTCTGATAGCTACCGTAGTTTTCCGACATATTGGTTGAGTTGGAAGAGGAGCTCAAGCTAGGGAAGATCCCGAGTTGGGGTCAGGTGGAGTCGTTGGACCTCGGTCGAGCGGGGGTCGCGATCACCCAAGCTTCGCTTTCCGCTTCTCCATATGTTAAGCCGCTTGTCTTTCCCAGTACAAAACTTGACGATCGTGCTCGTCGATGCCCTATGACAACATACTTACATCAAGAAGCATCCACAAGCTTCCCACCTTCAAGCCGCTAGAGCAGGTTTCAACCTAGGAGAATCACTGTACTCCGTGACAAGAAGGCTCTTGCAGTATACGCTACCGGAAGTTACGACAAGATTCGGAGAATTGCCATTGAACAAGACCAAATCACGCAATGAGTGAATTTCTATGTGGCCAATTTTCAGGCACACCATCATCCATACAACGAGCCAACTTGGAGAGAGCAGAACCTGGCTCTATACAATCAAAATAAGAAACGCCTGTAGATCCAAGTCTGCAAGAGGAAGCATTCATGGACCGATTATGGATCAACTATCGGAGACTAGGGGTGTTACTCTGCAGAAATGACCAATATTTGCAGCGATAAGGACGATCTCTCCGATCTCCTTCTTGGCAATCTTATCCCTCGCGCAAATTTTTCTCCTCTTCTACTTTCAATATTAGATCGAGTGAACACTTTGTTAGCTCTGGCGAAATGCAATTTGACTAAGACACTGCCCGAAACTACGGTCGCAACGAGTCAATTGCAAGGATGGAGGGACATGAGGCTAAAGAGGACGTGGGTCCGAGGACGCTTGAGCCCGCGCTTCAGACTACAGCCGAAGAAGAGAAGCAAGAACGCGTCTTGATTCGCAAAATCGACTTGCATATTCTTCCTTTCGTGGTTCTGTTGTATCTGTTCAGTTTTCTGGATCGAGGTATGTGATATAGCTTGGTCTGCTGTACACGGTTTTGACGAAACGCAGTAAACATTGGCAATGCTCGCCTATACGGACTTGAAGAAGACCTTGGATTGGTCGGTGACCAGTACCAAATCTCAGTCTCAATTCTCTTCGTCACTTACTGCGTATGACAACTTCAATCACGAATCCAAATTTGACTAACCGAACTTCTAGTTCTTCGAGGTTCCTTCAAATTTGGTCATTAAGAAACTCAGACCCTCGCGATACATTGCGACAATCTCGGTGATCTGGGGAATCATTGCAACTCTCACAGGCATTACGCAAAGCTATGGCGGTCTCATTGCCTGTCGAATTCTACTCGGAGTTGTAGAAGCAGGCCTTTTCCCGGGACTCATGACCTACCTCACCCTTTTCTATAGTAAACGCGAGATTGCCCTGCGAACAGGATACCTATTCAGCAGCGCTGCGGTCGCAGGAGCCTGTGGCGGTCTCCTCGCCTACGGAATTGGTTTCATGGACGGTATCAGCGGGCTGCGAGGCTGGCGCTGGATCATGATTCTTGAAGGGATTCCGACTGTTATTGTGGGCATCGCGACGTGGTTCTTCCTCGCGGACGATCCAGACACAGCATACTATCTGGATAAAGAGGAGCGGGCCCTTGTCGTGCGCTGTCGTGCCCGCTACGTGGGACAGACGGAGTCTGCACAGAAATTCCACTGGGCAGATGTTAAAGAGGGCGCGATGGACTGGAAGATTTATGCTTTCTGCATTGGGCAGTTCGGCGTTGATACCATGCTCTATGGGTATAGTACGTTTTTGCCGACCATCATTGAGGGGATGGGGAATTGGTCTACGCCGCAGGTTCAGGCTCTTACGATTCCGTGCTATGCACTTGGTGCAATTGTGTACCTGATTGTGGCATGGTTGAGTGATCGAACACAGCACCGCGCGGTGTTTGTTTGCATGTTCAGCGCTATTTCCGTCATCGGGTACGGTATTCTTATCGCCGATGTGCCTTCGGGGGTCCATTACTTCGGGGCTCTCCTTGTTGCATTGGGTCTCTACGTTACCGTTGGATTGCCGCTGGCCTGGCTCCCGACCAATTTGCCTCGATATGGCAAGCGTACATTTGCTACTGGTTTACAGCTTACCTTTGGTAACGTCAGTGGTGTCATGTCTCCGTTCCTGTATAAGAACTCTGAAGCACCGCGATACGTCAGAGGAAACGCAGTTACTCTAGGCTTGGTTGGGTTTGCCGGTGTCCTTTATGGTGTGATGTGGCTTGCTCTACGGGTCATTAATAAGCGACGAGCGAGAGGTCTTGAAGACGAGAAGGTTGCTTGCTTGTCAGAAGAAGAAATTCAAGAAATGGGTGATCGGAACCCCAGGTTTGTCTACAGTACTTGAAAAGTTTGCATTTCTCAATTTTGGCTCTGCTTGATGATACCCTTCGTTGCGCGAGAATTTCAACATATCATGATATTTGTGTTCACACGATACCCAAGATCAGACTGCATACAGCCTGATCAGGAATTTATCTTGATGGTCCCACATACTGAATTTATCAGTTCTTTCTCGACAAATCTCTATGCATCTTATTGAAGTCTTACCTCTCTTTGTTCGTTCTCAAACTATCATTTTACGTGACTACGAATACAGTTAAAAGGTATCTCACAGTACACTCAGTAATAGAGAAAGTATGATTTTGTGAGCAAATATTTTGGCCAGGTACCAAGTGTAAAAGGTGACTTTGGTGAATATATATTCACTTGCTTACCAACCTCATAACCTCACGGCGAAGGCCCAACGGTAGGGATAGAACCCAACGTGATCGGACAACTTGAACAGAAAACAGTGATTATAAAGTAACCATACAAATTAGGCCGATTTCTTTGAGATGTATTTGTGCCCTTGTGTATAAAAACACTCGAGCTCTGCCCAGACCACGTGACCCGTATCCCGGCGAACCACTGTTTACCAAAAGTTTCGCTTTCACCTCCGCTGAGTGACAGTTTCACGCTCTGCCCCATTCGTGGTTTCCGAGTGGACCTTCCTGAGGAATCTTGATTCCTGAGTACCCTCCGGTATACACAAAGCTCATAGCAGTGTTCTGCACAATGGAGTACCACGCTGTGCCTCCAGAGGAGCGCGCAAGAGACGAGAACGGTAACCTGTTGCCCTGGGGCTACATTTATAAAGAGTAAGTTGCCGTCGCACCCAAAATTCGCTTTTCGAAAGCTCTAACATCCGATCAGTGAATCCCGGAACCCTCGCCGACCACCAGAGGAGTCAGGACCCTTTGGCAAGAGGAGGAATGCCCGATACGAAGCCCGATCCCGAACACGCACTGGCACTCCAGCAAAGCGCGAGAATCCCAATGTCGCCGAATTCGGACGTCTGTTCTCCATGCAGCAAGAAGAAGAAAAATTGTCCGGTCTCCCCAAATCCTCCTCATCCTCTAGCCTCGACAAGCCGCGCAAACAGACTGAAAAGGTCGCGACCGAGTGCATCCTGTACGGATACAAAAGCAAGGACTTCGAATGGAAGGCGATCGACAAATACGAGCGCATCTCACAGGGCATGATCTGTGAGGACTACGCACGCAGCGATCCCAATTCCCTCGTCCAGTCTGCGCAAATGCTGAGCGGCGGCGACGTCGTCATCCGCGCCAACCTTTCTGCCGATGCAAACCGCAAGTCCAAGCGCTACGACGGTGGCTTCCACTGGATCAAGATCACGTTCGACTCGACGCAAGCCGCCGATCGCGCGTGCTTCTACTCGCCACAGGAGATCGATGGCTGTCTCGTCTTTTGTGAATTGTACCACGGCCATGGCCCAGCAGAGGATGCCCCCATTCCCGCAGACTCATCTGCTGCGAATCGCCTACACAATCGTGCACCTCGCACACTTACCTCCACACACTCGACAGCCTTCCTGTCCAGCATGCCCGGCGAGCAAGATCGCTTCACGCTGCCGCGATCCTTCGCAATGAATAACCTCTCCAGTGTCGCTGACGGCAACAAGGAAGAGTCGCAATCCATCGACGCCTCAACCACAACCGCAACCTCCGGCACAGCAACCGCCACAGCAACAGGAGCTTCAACAAGCTTCGACCGCTCCTCAACGCTGCACCAGCGCAGTCTTGCAACCGAGACCAAGCCCGAGTCCGAGTTCATGACGCACATTCCTACCGTCCGCCGCGCGAAACTTCGGCCCCTAGTTGAAGCACTCCCTCCTCAGCCAACGGTAACCGAGCGTGTGCTGCGCTCGATCCCCATTCTGAGCTGGTTCACTGGTGATATTGTTGGTGATGGACCTCAATTGCGCGAAGACGGGTCCTTTGACTACGACAAGTCGAATGCCTACTGGAAGTTCTGGTATGCAGTTGACAAGATTCTTGGAACCGATATTTGCGGACTGAGAGAGGAGGCTTAAATGAACTCATATTGGAAAGGATCGTGTCCGTAGCTTGAGATGCAGGTCTACTGCACCGAGCCTCTCTCTACGAACCTCTACGAACACGTCCAGCTGCGACCTGCAGCTCGCTGATGTCTTGCAAGGTGTACTTGCAAGGGCAAAAACCGGATGGTCCAGGTGGGACCCACGCATTACTCGGCGTCTTGGGAAATTTTTGCGTTGTATGATAAAATCCTTTCGGGACCATTTGATGTAGAGATCATGAAACGTCCAAATTGGACTCTTTTACGCACAGGACACACCGTAAGAATTGCGAATATTCCAAAAGGGAAGGCATTGTGAGCAAGGCAGACTGCGTAGCCAACGCACTCAGCCTGCAGAAACATCTACAAAGGTCTGCTCTCATTCCAAGCAACAGCACAAATGCCGAGGTATCGCATCTCATCGAAAGAGGGAGAAAGATAGAAATCAATCGGATGAATACATTTCATTGACCATAGACTTTTGCTTGAGTGTCTATTTACTCAACCTTGCTTTCAAAGTTCTCGCCCTCAACGAGGTCGGGGATATCATCCTCATCATCATCCTTCTTGTCACCGCCCTGGGCCTTCTGCATGTTCTGGTAGCTCTCAGCGAGCTTGCGGAGGGAGGCCAGGGAGTCGGGGCCGAGCTGGTTCAGGATACCGGGGACGAGCTCGGTGAGCTCCTTCTCCTCGCCGTTGCCGTACAGGGCGAAGGTGTTGGAGGGGACGGAGGCGTGGACTGCATAAATCAGCTGGGGATATTCATTTAGTGAGAGGAGCCAGAGCTGGACTTACCGCGGGGAGCGGCGAAGTGGATGACGTTGCCATCCTCCTTGAACATGTTGACCTCCTCGATGCCCTGGATAGGCTGGACGTTCATCTTCTTGAGGGTGGCCTGCAGCTTCTTGTCGTCGGCACCGGAGTTACGGGTGACCTTCTTGACCTTGCGGCGGGGGGTACCCTTGCCTCTGTTCAAAAGTCAGTTGTTGTTCGGAGGGGTTCAGAGATTGGTGAGAATGGGTCGAAATCGCGGCGTGATTCATTTGCATGGCAGGGTCGAATTGGCGGGGACAGATGTGGTAGTAAAGGGACACCATCCAGCCACCGCACAATATCGAAGCCGGAATGCGAAATGTGGGATGCCCATGACACGAATCTTTCCATTTGCTCGGAATGGCGGGGTTTGCGGATTGCGGGTTCAAGCTCGAAAAGAGAAGGAAACGTACCCTAATCGAACAGATAGAAGTTAGCGATCTATTTCAGGAAGAAGCTTTGAAATACAGCTGCTCGAATGGGGCATCCACGACGCAAGTCTAACACGAGCTGGGACACTTCACGAAATGAAGCCAGAAGCTGTGAGCAGCACGAAACACCTCTCGGATCCCCATCAAAAGAGCTGGAAATCCCAATTTCCAAACCCAGAAATCAGGAAGCAAGACATACCAATGCGCACGGAGGCCTGCATTCTAGCCAACTTAGCCTGATCCATTGTGACGGGTGATTCGGTCCTGGTGTCCGTTAGCCGATGAGTCCCGAAGGTAAACCGAGTGAAATTGCAGGTCGCAAAGGGAAAAGAGCGAGAGCGAAGGTGAGGACAGGAATCGGCGAGATCGTGGGAATGCGTACCGAAAAGTGATGTGGTGGTGGGGATATGGGAGGGAGAGAGGAGAAGGTGATGATGCGCATGAGAGTTTTGTGTGGGGAGTTACAAATGCGGATTTTCGCTAATGCGTTGCGACGACAGCCAACGACTAAATCCTCATTACTCTTGCTACGGTGATTCAGCTCGCTGATTACATTTACAAGACCTCTTGCGATGAGCTCTAACGGTCGGATAGTCGTGGTTGGTACTGAACGTGGTTTCGATTGTGGGCGACGAGGGAAGCAGCTCGGCTAAACCCTAATCTGGTAACTTTCTCGACTCGACTCGGCCTCGACTCGACTCTTACCAGGTCAAGACTCAATCCTTTTCCCTCTTTTGTTACGAACTTCTATCTTCCGAAACTCCATTTCCCCCCTCCCATCAGCTCCCCGATTTTCACAGCCGGGGATTTCTTATTTACGGATATTTTTCTCCCCGGAACCCAAGAGTCATCAATCTTGGCATTCGACAACGGCGCCTCAAACTTGCCCATCTCCCGCGTAATTGCATAGAGGTCATTCTCATGTAGGAATGCTTTCTTCATGCTGCAATGAGGAATCCCATAATTCATCGCATTTAACACCTGGTGCCCCAACACCGCCGTTTGAATCGGTGCCACGCATATCCTGCCCAGATCGCGCGAGGCTGTATTCGACCACGCATGCACCTCCCACAGCCGCGGCTTGTACAAGTAACTATGAAAGGTATCCTCATCGTATTTCTCGGAGTACGACGATGTGGTAAATGCGCCGGATGTAGATATTGTGTCCACAGCGGTCACAATGCCCCTAGCGACGCGCTCGTTGCATAGTTGGCCGGCGGCGTAGGTATCAGTTGGATTGACATCTTTGTCTTTCTCGATGGGATTAAGGAAAAAAGTCAGTCTACATCGCCCGGGGTGAAGGAGACACCGTAGACAGTGTGTCGCTGGCGATTACAACGTTGGAGATGCCTAGTCTGCAGGAAACCTTAGTAATGTTGTGCGTGCCGTGTATGTTGGATAAGACGGTCTGGTTACCTGGGTCAATCATACGATGTGTATAGCTTGCTATGTGGATGACTGCGAGGGAACAGGGGAGAGACCGTCAGGGAATAGCTCGTCGATTATCCATTGGCTTGAGAAGGCATTGAATACCTGGCCATTGTCAGCTAGCCCATTTCCAGAATGTGTACGGCTAGCTTGTCCTTTGGCAGCAGAGTCAGGTTCAGCATCATGAGGCCGGCATCGAGTACCTCCGTGATGATAGCTCGGCCGGCCACGCCGGAGCCGCCAGTCACCATGACGCGGGCCAACTTGCGCAGCACTGAAAGCTTATATGTCCGGGCTTTGTTCTACTGTGTCTCTGGCCACTTGGATTCAAGTTCCGATGAATGATGCGGACTTTTCGTGTCGGGAGTCGGCTGGAGGTAATGGTTTTGACAGTCGCGAAGGTCATTTTGACACCATTTGGCCCCAACTTGAAGATTGAAGAATAATTGGCCCCTCAAATATGAAGCATGATATGATCTGTCCTCGGGAGTTGAAATATAATACATGGCTTTTCAAGCTGGCGCTATCAAACAAGAAAGGGTCAGAACAAATGACACAAAATCAATATTTGGGCTTAGATCCGCTCAGCAATTTCAGCCTCCGTCCACTCCCAAAGTTTATAGGCGACATTGGCATCTTGCACAAAGTCGCTGCCGTTGGCACGAAGTCCAATAGGTGTGTAATATGCACCGTTGACCAGGTTGTCTCGCGAAGTACCAGCTGCCCAAAGGGTGTTCAGAGATCCGCTGTGGACGGTCCGGAAGAAGAATGATGCTGCGACAGTCAAAGTATGCTTCATGAAGGAGCCAGAAGCCTTAGCGTGAGAGTACAGATCGCTATTGACAGCGCCCGGGTGCACCGAGACCGAAAGGATCTCGGGATACCGGCGGGCCAGCTCCGCTGCGAAGAAGATATTAGCCGCCTTGGAAGCCCCGTAGCGGTTCCAGGTGCTACCGGCCAGCAGCGACGGAGTAGATGTGATCCCCTCGAAAGTGGTCGGACTCATTACGTGGGCTGCAGATGACAGAGTTACGACGCGCACATCTGGAGTCGCTCCACTGGCGCGGAGCTGCGCAACGGTCTTCTGCAATGTGGGCAGAAGGAGCTTATTGAGCAAGAAATGACCCACGTGGTTGGTCCCTAGCTGGATTTCGAAACCGTCCTCGGTTTTGGTGGGCGGATTGCCCATTGTACCTGCATTGAGGATCAGAAGGTCGAGACGGTCACTGTCTGATTGGAAGATATCTGCTGCCGCTCGAATGGACTTGAAGGACGCTAGATCCAAGGGAATGAAGCGGATATCGACTGGCGAGGAGAGCTCGGACTGAATAGAAGCGATGGCATCGCGCGCCTTGCTCTCGGTGCGCGCAGCCAAGTAGATGCGCGCCGGGTTGTGCTTGGCTAGCTGGATGATGGTCTCTCTACCGAGGCCAGTGTTGCCTGCAAGAAATGAATGGGCGAATAATTTATTATGCAGACATGATGCGCATACCTCCAGTGACCAGGACAACCTTGCTATCCAGGCTGGCGATGTCGCGCTCGGGCTTAAAGGAGGAGCCCAGTAGGCCGAAGGTGGCCTCATTGAGGGTAGGCCCAAAGCTCGAGATGCCTTCTATGGGATGTCGCAAGCTGTAGCCAGCAAACGGGCTAGTAGCAGCCACATCACGAAAGTTCATTGCCAAAGAGTTGCTGCTCCAAAGCTGGCTCAATTGCGAAATTGAGGGATCATGACGGAAAACCAGGGAATTGACTCCACTAGCGGCCGAGCATATGGATTACCCCTTCCCACTATACTTCGAGCCTTGATGGCTCCTTCGAGTCGATGAGTGCTTGACATGACCTGGATGTTCCGCAAGCTAGAGCAATCTAAATCAATGGCTAGTTATGCTCCTGCTCCTGCTGAAGCGTCTGAAGCGTCTCATATCGATCTCCAATCTCAGACACAAGCGCTGCATCCCTCAGCCCCGCAATCTTTCGTCAGCAATCAAGTAGTTTGACGCCCCCCTGCATGTAATCGCGACCAATATCAACGTGTCAGCACCCAGGGAACCATCTTCCTTCCCGTTGACTTTTCAACTCTCTGTTCGCTTTTTGCGACTTGCATCTCCCTTGGTGCCCCTACAGACCGACTTCCAGCATGCGCTTTCTGTGTCTACATGGTGCCGGCACCAATGGCGAGGTGCGTATCCTCCATAGCGACAAATTCAATGCTAAATAGAGACTCCAGATTTTTGAGATCCAGACCGGCGGACTTCGCCAGAAGCTCGAACAAAAGGGCCACACCTTCAAATTCGTGAACGGCAAGCTGGACGCCGCCGTGGAGTCAGGTACACAACAATCAAAATCAAGACCCAAACGCCCCACTAATGATTTTAGAACTTGAGGGCGTCGTTGACGGCCCATTCTACAACCACTACCCACGCGAACCCGCCTTGCCCGGCGCCTGCCTCCCCGAGGCCTTCGAGCATGTCCTGAACATCATCGCCACACAGGGCCCCTTTGATGCCGTAATGGGCTTCTCGCAAGGCGCTGCTCTTGCCAGCGCTCTGATCGCCCACCAAGCCAAGACCCATCCAGAGCAGCCGCCTCTGTTCCGCGCGGCTGTGTTTATCTGCAGTGCGGCACCGTGGGAGAGCGCAGGGTTGAAGCATATTACTTCACAGCCTGATACATACGCGATCAACATCCCGACCGCGCATATTGTCGGCAAGATGGATTCGCTTTACCCTGAGAGTATGAAGTTGTATAAGCTTTGCGAGCCGAGCAAGGCGACGTTCTATGACCATGGATCAAAGCACATGGTGCCGTTTGATATGAAGAATACAGAGGAGATGTCCCGGGTGATTGAGGAAACTATTGCTAAAGCAATTCGGGGTTGATCCTCAGAATGCATGACGAGGGGTATGGAATATGATTGTTGAGTGCTGGGTGATATTTAAATGTCAGTCGTTGCAGGTCGCTACGCATTTAGTATAGCGTCTTCACAATCATGCATATTTACAAGAGGGTTTGCAAACAACGAGTCCAAAGGTCAGGGCTGCTTATCTCGCGCTGATGGGCGCTGGTACTTGGTCCAGGCAATTGCAGCCAGAAGCACCACGAGGCCGAGGAACAAGCTGTATCCCCATTGAGGAGTCGTATTGTTCCTCACAGTGTCCCGATCATCAATTCATAAGCCAGCAGAGGTTTCGCCCTCCATGGGGAGCGTCTTCATGAGGAACTTCTCGAGGTCTTCAATCTCGCTGGGATCAGCAGAGTGGCCAAGGTCACTATATGAAGTCAGTATGAAACACCATCTCAAGAATCTGACTAAAACATACGGATAAGTGTGGAACTCGACATTCTCAACACCAAGATCCTTCAACATCTTGGCCGACTGCTGGCCAAACGCATGAGGCACGACTTCATCCTCATCACCGTGAGCCAAGAAGAATGGCGTATCCTTGTTAGGCCAGTTCTCAGGCGTGTAGTTCTTAATGCGATCGCTAAGGAGCATATAGCACGAAAGACCAAACACACCACCCAGCTTCTCCTTGTTCGTAAGACCAGAGAAGACAGACATGGCACCGCCCTGCGAGAACCCGCCCAGCACGATACGGTTCGACTTGATACCCTTGTCCATCTGCTCCTTAATGAGAGTGTTGAAGTAGTCGCGCGACTTCAGGATGCCAGCCTCGTCTTGCGTGCGGATTGCTTCTTCGAAATCCAGCTGGGGCGCCGTTAGTGGTGCGCCCTTGTAGGGGATGATGTGGGGAAGTCTTACGTCGCGACCGAGTTTGGAGATGTCGTACCAGCCGGGCATGCTCATACCAAAGTTCTGAATTGCTTTAGTTTGTGTTGTTGCGTGCGAAAGGGGGGTGGATGGGACGTACCACTGTGATGGGGATGGCAGGTGCGTTGGGGAAGATGAAGGTAACTTCCTCGAACTTGCCGCGGCGACGCCAGGTGCGAGCAAGATCCATCCTGGAATAATCAGTTTCGTTGTACGGGGATTAGGGATTCGATTCGTACCATCCAGCGCCACTACATTGATGTACTTGTTAGCGGATATCATGTTGCTGGCGGGGTTGACGAACCTGTCTCCGAGACCGTGAGCCATGATCACGGTTGCGGTATGCTTCTTGAGCGCGGGCACAACAAAGGGGGCGCGTGCAGACATCTTGAACGAGGATCAATCAATGCAGCTATGATACGGTACTGAAGAATGACAGAAGGAAAAGATAAGCCGTCTATTGTTGACTCCACCATTCTGCCGCCGAGGTTGTCGGCATTTTCACCGCCTTTGAAGTGACAGATTCTACAAGGTCATCTTTCAAGAGAGTCGAGGATTCATACTGAACTTTCATTTTGAAATTGATCAAATAGCCCGATTGAGTAGTCATCATAGATGAATGTGGAGAATGTATTCAGTATATCTATTAAGTATAATCAGTATGTTTAGACTAGATGCGTATGTGCAGCTCCCTAGAACGAGATATTATATAAGTGGAATTCTGGCGCCCAGCAAGAAGATGCAGTTCATCTCTTAGAGAAGCAATGACCGCTTCAGCCAAAGATTTCTCAACAACACCCTCCTGCCATGACACAGAAACCACGCAGCACCCGTCACCACCGGTAATAACCGAGAACTGCAGCGCATTTCCAATGACACTAGCGCACTGGGAGAAAACCATCCCTTTGATACTCGGCTTCTCAGGACTCGACTCAGAGCGCACAACACCAATATTAGAGACCTCGAAAGTCTTATCACGGTTCTGGCCGAGCCTGGACAGACAGAGCTCCTGCTGGTAATCGTTCACGTATTTAAGGAGATTGGGTCCTGCATCTTTGCCTTGGCGTTTGAGTGCTGCTTCAATCGTCTGTCTTGATCTTCGTGCTTCGTCCCATGGGAAAGCGCCGAGAGATGTAGTACTGCGCGTGTATGTCTCCTCAAAGTCTTGGACGTATACGCCCATTACGTCTTCTGTAATCTCATTAGGAAGCCAGCGGCGACACGAGAGGGCGCCTGTGCAGGCGACACTTGAGTAACCGATAGGTATGTGGGCAAAAACGGATCTCGCAACAGCCGTCTGCAGGACAGCTGTGATGGTCGTGTCCTCTTGCCGACAGAGGTCTCGTAGAGAAGTGACGACTGATTTGGAGAATGGGAGCAGCCGAACGCAGGTTTTCGTGGGCTCTTGGATCTGACCCGCAGTCCATAGCCCCGGGTCTCTGCGCGAATAGACCTTTGCTTCAAAAAGCTTCTTAGCGAGGAAGAAAAATGACAAAGGCATTGGGTGAAGGGCTTCAATATTAGGCAGAAGGGGCGTCTTTGGTGACTCGACTAAGGATTTGGTTTCACGCTTTTCAGCTGTGCTCAGTGCTCGAAGGAAGGAACGGTGGAAAGCTTTCCCCGAACCTCCATCGCCCAGAGCGTGATGGAATACGTAGATAGCAGTGAAGTGATTCTGATTCTCGCCGTTTGGCAAGATGCATAACCTCCAAAAGGCATTCGGTGCCGTGAACCCCGAGTTATGCTGTTCCTCAAGCAAGCTCTGTAGATCTTGGTCTGGGGCCGGTTCATCCTCATTCACAAATGAGGTAGTCTGACGCTGATGGAAGGAGACGACCTGATCCAATTCAACCCGAGGTAATCGCACAAAATACGGTTCCTGAGTATCATCGGCCGCCGGAATAGCCGACAACACCGGATGCTCCGCAATAACGGCCGCACATGCCCGGTAGACGTAATCTTCCAGAGGGAGCGTGAATGTCTCCGGTAGCTCATATGTTGCAGCTACTATGACATTCAGGTAAAATCCAATCTGATGCCGGGCAGTAGAGTATTGCTCTAGGCGACCTAGTAACGGGGCCAATTAGGGTCAGGGAAAAGCTTCGGAGCTGGCTTTCACTCACCAATTGGCCGCAATTTTTCGAATTGATCCATTCCGGCGACTACGAGCCGGTCAAGCAGTGCTATTTTGAGATCATTAGAGGTCTAAAAGAAGATTCTTGTTTAATTAGACTGCTCGGTTGCCTCCGGTCTTATCCCACGTGACACCATATAGGATACAGATTACGACTCGAAGCGATCTGCCAGATGGGGAGTGCCAAGAAGTCTACGTGAGATTGGTGGGTCGAAAATGACTAGGTGCAACAATAGACTGAAGAAGAGGCCTTTGGCAAATAAGCCCAATCAGCAGTCACGGATCATTTTTTAGGTATTTTGAAAGGACGAGCCGAAAAATGTCTAGAATAAATATTTAAGAAAGAAGATATAAAGCTGATTAGGATATTAGCGCAGGAGTGAACCTATCAGGTTGGTTTCACCATAACTTGTTTTCGAAAGTATATATGTTTTGATTTTGATGCTTGTCGACATGTAAATTGTATCCTTGAATTAATAAAAGCTTGTAGGCGCGGATCAGACTTGCCATTGTAAACTGACAAGCTTTGAATAATTACTTCTAGAAGTTACCAAAATAAAGCAATACTCATTATGCATTAAACATAGTAGAATCCATGTATATCTGGGTGACGGTAAAACTGCCACCACGAAAAGCGATGAGCTCACAGAGCAACTTGACCGCTCACTCAATGCTCAGGCTGATTAGGCCAATTTATCTTATTCTACCGCTCCAATCTTCAAGATGCTCCGACGATAAGTGCACATCTTGCTGCCTATTTTCGGCGTTCCTGGTAGCGAAGGCTGGGTTAAATTTTCTAGTTGGTCGTCTCAATCTGTCTTCAAATTCTTGTCAGAATTAAATTGTCTCTGCGCTGTACCATTCGCTAATTTGTCATTAAATGCATAGATGAAGATCAGCCCGCGCCCTCTAAGCCAACATACCAAGCCGATGAGGTTACCAGCGCTGCAACCATGAAACAGATCGAAGTCTCTTTTTCATGCATAAAACTTCCAACTAAATCTATCGAGTTGAAAAAGATACCACACATGGCGACTACGATCTCAGTCACCAGCTTGGTCCACCGCGGAAGCGGATAATAGGCGTAGATGGCCGAGATGCAGCACGCTGCCATAACGAGGATAATGCAGCAATACGACTGAATCCACGGCGACTCTGACTTGGGCGAGATCGGTTTGTCAGCTTTGGTCACGATCTTGTCTCCCTCGTATTTGAATTTCATGACATCTGTCGCCGCGAGATATTCAATGAGGGTCGTGATGACTGGAAGTCGTAACAGTGACTCGACCACTTGGATCGCAGCTTCGTCATCCGTCTCTTTATCTCTGAGGATGGTGGCAATCAGGCTGACTGGCGAGTCGGACGCCGTTCGAGTGAGCTCAGATACTTGAAGCTCTAAAGACTCCGCACCAACAGTGAAGCGCATGAAGTCAGACTCCTTCCAGATGCCCACTAGACGTCCTTTGTCATTGTTACGCAGGGTGAGTAGGGCGCGTATGCATAGCGACAGACCAACGACAACCGAAAGCCAAAGCATCCCATGTCCAACTACCCCCGAGGGCTCGAGTCGTTGCGCGTTCAAATCTCCATACAGCCAGCCCGCAAAGATGATACTAGTCTCTAGTGCCGGAATAGCATAGGCCACTGCAGATTGCCACCATGCCATGGGTTGGGCCAGCACGTCCCCTGCCAGAAATCTCGATCCTTCTTTTGTCTCATACTGGAAGGAAACATCATCCATACAGAGAAGCGAACGAAGTACATCGTCACCTTTGACATTCTTGCCGCCCATGGTTGAAATTGTTGGTCGCACCGCCATCAGCCAGACGGCAAGGCCGCGCCCCGTTGCGGCCGCCATGAGACCGACGGCGCAAGCGATAAGTAAATGAACAAGGAGATACAGTCGAGTGGCACAAATCATCCTTGCTCCACGGTCGGTGCCATGAATTCCGGTCCAGCGCTTCAAGGCTAAAAACGGGGTTTGCTGATGGTCGACGGACGTGAAGATGTAGCCCCAGGAGAGCTGTCCGCTATTCACTTGCATCTCATGATGCTGCTCCGACAAATATGTCACCCTGGACGTTCGAGTGTCCTGTCGCGTGGTCATCTCCTCCACAATATCTTTGATCGGCGTAGGAGGAGTTTGCTTTAGCAGTTCCAGCGCATCCATCAAGTCCTGCTCGCTCAGACGAAAGAGATTCTCGCCAGTCGTTTTCACCTTAGCGCCGCAAAATCGCTCCGTGCGCGGACTTTTGATCCAATGAATCACACTCTCGTTTTCTCTGTTTTCTACCGTTTTGGTTTGTTGACCCAACACTAATACCTGCCACTTCTCACCAAATGTTTCGATCTGCATCGCAATACGTCGAGCCAGACCCTTCAGATCGGCGGCAGTTTGCCAATGGACAATAGCAATGTCCGTCCGTACTTTTCCATTAGACCAGCCCGAATGCAGAAACCAATTACCGCGGGAAAGAGCACTTGCAATCGCCCGGGTTCGTAAGCTGGCGCGAATACTTGAAAAGACCGATGTACCTCCTGACCCGACTTTACCCACCTGGGCTGCAATGATAATGGCACCCCAGAATGCCACGATCTGGGAGGACCATGCCGCCGTGGACGAAACAATTTGCTGCGCAGACACGAGCGGTGCCTGTAAGATCAACGATAATATTGCAAATTTGAAGAAATCTTGCAAATTTCTGGCAAGAGATCCCATTTCCTTTTCATGAAGTAGTATCGCGCTGCTTGAGGTTTGCAAAGGGAGGGGGCTAGGGCTCTTGTACCAACGCGGTCTACTCAAATCGGGAGGGGAAAAAAAGCTAACGCCCAGTAGCAATACGAGCTTACTCGGCTGAATGAGCCGCCGAATAAGCTGCATATCAACACGGACTTTTCAGATCACGCTTAGTATTTCTGCCTTGAGTATAGCCCAATTTGCCCAGCTTCGCCTGGTATAGTCACAGGTCGCCTTGGCTGCGCCTTGGCCGCACCTGATGAGTTCCAGGCTTGATGGCACCAGCTGTTAGCCATGAAAGCCCTGTTGAAGAAGCCCTCGCGTTTCGAATCTTGGGGTGTCTATTATGCTTGTAAGTTGGTTGTAGTGATGTTCAGTTTGAGATGCTTCCAGTCATCAGCAATCGCTCATTTCCAAGCTTTGCGACAAAGACTTATGCCAGTGATCGAGGTGTGTTCTACAAGTGGGATGCACTTTGGGTGACAATGATATTTGCCCTGCTAAGATTATTTGAGATCATTGTATCGCTTTCTATAGGTCTCCCCTGATAGCTTGCACTGATAGCTTGCCGCTAGCATGAGCTCCTCATGTTCGGAATTTGACCATAGACCTAGCAATGTAGCTAAGGGGAAATTCAGATACATAGCACCGGCGACAGACCATGCAAGAAAATAATCAGGTCAGACTGTTCCTCAAGAGTCCCTCCATTGTTAGCGTCCTACTATGTTGTAAAAGATGATGCCAAGACAACCGATCACTATCTAGCCTATCTGATAGCTTCCACTGGTCATTAAATTTGTGCAAGCTTGGAGATACTTCAAATCGCAAGTGGATATTTACCATCACTTCGCTCCTGGAGCATTATCCAAGTCCGCTTTGAGCAAGGCGATTTCTTTGTCAAGGCGCTTCAGAACATCCGCCGGATCCCTGTGCGATGTTGCAATTGCAGCTGCATCTCGTAAGACCTGTGCGTTTTTGATATAAGCGTAAATAAGGGGTTTCCCACTAATTTTTTTGATCCGAATATCTGTGAGTAAGCGCTTGAGTATTGGAATATTGCACTGCGCCGGATGAACCACGGCGACAAGTCTCGATGCCGCGCTGACATGTCCAAAGCATAGACTAGCACCCACATTGCGTAACGCCAGTGGCTCAAGATCAATCAGAGAGTGCTGCTTGCCGTCTACCTCGCGAGCGACGTGCATATCAGTCCAGCGACATATCGCGATCATGTCATTCAAAGCACGCAGAATCTCATACTCCACACGTGCAGTAGTCATTTCTGCTCGCAAATGATCATTGTGATTGAGGCCAAAGTCAGAGACAGAGCTCTCAACATGCATCAAACAGTTAATCTTTAATGCCCATAATGCAGCACGGTCAAACCGAGTGTTTATCTGCATCTCATTGGAGTGAACCTCGATGAGATTACATGATGGCAGTATTCCTGGGCTTTCTTCATGTCTCCGCAAATGTGGAGCACAAGCATGGTTCCTCCAATGATCAATTTCCGCATACGTGTCTTGCACATCATTTGGCTCAATACCATTACGTTTCGCCGAGTTGCTGCATAGCTTTTGCAGAAGATTTCGGGCAATCATAGCGAGTCCCAGAAGGGCTGGTGAAACCCCGTGATACAGTACGTGCGTTCCTCTCGTATAGATTCGGGGAGCATTTTTCGGCTTACAGGGCAAATTAAAAAAAAATACTAGGAACAGTAGACCGGACGTCCGCCCTCGGGCTGTATATATCATTGCAGACTAGGGAAAGTGAAAGTGAGTGTGCCGGAGATTGGTATCTCACCCTGCTCTTACCCTATTCTCACCTGCTATCACCCCGTTCTCACCTCTGTCTACCCCCAGTCTCCAGAATTCTCACTCATATCACCCACACTCACCCTTACGCAAATAGCGACACCGTTTTAGAGCTAAGGGCGCTTTGAGAATTGACTGCGTTTAGTATGTGGCTTGAGTACGGCTGAGCGGACGGGAAGCCCTGTTCTCCACACTCTATGGTCGTATATACAAGCTTGGTAATGAAAATGTGGTATATAATGTAGTGGGAGAAATACTGTAGTGGGAGAATCGGTGACATAAGAGCATATGTGAGGTCTTAGGCATAATCCAATGACTGGAGTGCATGATGCATCTTCAAGGCAGAGTTGGAGATTAAGCAACTACCCAATTCCATTCCGGTTACTACCACATTTCTCGGTTCATGATGCAGCTTTAGGCACGGTCCGTACGGCCTCGACAGAATACCCGTACAGCATCATTCAGACCGATCGCTACGCCTGCAGGGAGTGTTGTGTGTGTGTGTGTCGTCCAGTCTGCATTGTCAGACAGCCATCGAGCCGTCCCCTTTTCAATACCAAACAAAGTGCTGTCTGACGCCATGCCACAACGCAATCTTAGCGTCAATTCTCTTGGTTGTCGGTCAAATTGTGATTTCTTTACTTGGCTATTAATGAAGTGTTACTGGGATTTTTTCCCCAATGCAATCTTGACGGCGCCAGGTGAATAGTGTTGGTGCTAAGCAAAATAAAGAGCACTGCGTCAATATGCAGCTATCTACTATTATACGCCGGCTGGGGGCTCTGGCGCAGGAAATAAGACATCCGACTTCAAAGACCGTGTCTCTCGTTCCGTTAAGACTGCTGAAATAGATAACGTCGATAGAAGCCGGTTTGAAATCTGAAATATCAGTTCTCGACTCATATAATTTGCAAAATTGAAAGACTGAGTCACCTTGATGACAGAGACAAAGGCCCGCCAAAACTCGAGCCAACTGTTTATTGCCACTGCCACTTCACTGTATCTCGAGGCAATGAAGAGAAGTTGGGCGATCAGGTGGATCGTCCGAGGCCTGTGCCTTACTGAGCGACTGTGCGAGTCGCTTAGCAAAGCAAACTATACTATCCGCCAAACTATAACCATCATTTGCTAGCCAGTTTGGACGTGAGATTTAGATTTGGGCAACCCAGACCGGCAGCTCAGCCAGGGGAAACGACATCCTCGGTCAACTCCGTGGGACTATTGGACTGCCGAGCTGGGGCTAGCCCCACTTGGCTAGCGGACACCGTCCAGACCGAGCACTACGGGGAATCGTGAGATCTGCAGGGCAGAAATAGCCGGTGGATGAAGTCTACGTCGTAGATGTTGCACATATGCGTTCAATTAAGGCAACAAGTCCCTTGGTCTTGACGGAACCGGGCTGTTGGTCATATTTCAAGTCCAAGCAGTTACCTTTGAGGCTCAGGGGTTAATCAGTAAGCCACCCATCTTGTGCCTGAATAGTGGCGTAGTGGGTCCGACAAGGGTTCGTGCGGCTGTACTGTAAGTTTAGCCGTCGCTTATTTTATCTTGTTATTGGAGAAAGGCAAAACCCGGCATCAAGAAGTAACTGCTCAGGTAACAGCCCCAATGCCTATAAGGTCTTTCGGTTTCCAGCTGTTGGTATTCCACCGTCAAAGCAACTTATTTGCCCTCGAAAGCTGCTGCCAGGAAGCTTAATTTGGCACACGCGCTCACAAAAAAAAAATCTCCCCTGGAGGCACTTCCATGATGATGCGGCGTCTGGGTCTTACCATCGCTTCGGTCTCCTGGATCCATGCGGCTTTGGTAACATCACAGACCGTGACCTGCACCAACGACGTGACTAATTTTGTCACCAATCCGGATTTTAATTCGGGTCTCACTGGATGGTCTAGTTATGGAACCAATTGGGCAGCGGTGTCGGCGAGTTCATCATTTGATGGACTGGCATATGCTGAGAATGTGATCACCTCTGGGAATTCTTTCTATCTCTATCAGACAGTGTCGGGATACGACATTGGAGAGAAATACACCGTTTCTATGGATGCTCGACTGGCTGTTGGATCCGGTGCTACGGCTACTCAGTGCATTTTTCAGATTCTTATCCACATGAATGGAGGCTCGTATCCTGTGCAGCAGTCCTTAATTTCGATCACCTCATCGTCCAGCTCTTGGCAGACTATCTCAGGAACATTCACACCGACTTACTCGTCCCTGACCCTCTATGCCCTTGCATATTGCCAGTACGGGACAAATACGAACGCGCAAGGTCAATTCAGAGATGTTCAATTTGGGCAAACGACTTCGGTCTGCACCACATCCACACCAACATCTACACCATTGTCCACTCCATCGTTCACTCCATCATCTACACCATCGTCCACTCCATCATCTACACCATCGTCCACTCCATCGTTCACTCCATCATCCACTCCATCATCCACACCATCATTCACTCCAACATCGACGCCAGTCACATCAACGCCAGTGATGTCAAAGCCAATTTCATCAGCATCGATTACATCCGCCCCTGATGTAGTGACAAGTACCAGTGTCTCTTGTACCACCGCCATAAATAACGCGCTCACCAATCCTTCCTTCGAAAGCGGCAGCCTTAGTCCATGGGTACTTCTCGAGGGCAGCGGCACAGTGGTCGCCGACGAAACTGACGATGGTGACTACGTACTGCAAGCTGGCGGGACACCTCAATATTTCCAGGTGTTCAGCCAGTCCATGACCGGCCTACAAGTGGGATACGCCTACACAGCTGCCTATGATTATATGATAAGCGCGGTGGCAGTGCACGGCGCCACCGCTACTTGTACTTTCTACCTCAAGATGGATTCGTCTACGGGAACCATTGTTGCGATGGAGCCTGCCGTGTACTCAAGCAATCCTGCATGGGCGACGCTTACTGGCACGTTCACAGCCACAAGCACGGAGCACAGCATGTATATCTACAGTTATTGCGCGCTCGGCGTTGTCTACCGCCAGACTGTCAAGTTCGATAACGTCAAGTTCATCGGGCCGCCGGTGGAGACTTGCTCGACCACAACCATCACTTCGACGGTGACCCCGACAGTCGCTGCTTCATCAACTATCCCACCCTCATCCTCTACCCCATCCTCAAAAGCTTACCCATCTTCATCGGCTACCCCATCTTCAAAGGCTACCCCATCTTCAAAGGCTACCCCATCTTCATCGGCTACCCCATCTTCATCGGCTACCCCATCTTCAAAGGCTACCCCATCTTCAAAGGCTACCCCATCCTCATCGGCTACCCCATCTTCAAAGGCTATCCAAAGCTCCAGCGCCATAGTATCATCGTTGCCTACCATAGCACCGTCTAGCCGATTGCCATCGACATCAAGTTCTGCCGCCTTGGGTCACTCTTCCTCGACCGTCGGACCGAGCAGCCTCCCAGGCTCAGGGTCTCCGAGCCCGACGGCGACTCCTCCAAATCTGTCCAGCTCATTCCCAATCCGATCAACATCATTAAAGCCGTCTTCAAGTCCGGGCTCTCCCACATTCACTCCTTCTGGCAACCCGTCAAATACCGCCTCGTCCTCCCACCTAGCAGTTGTTTCTCCCACATTAGTTGCCACTCAGACTACGTCTTCTCACGGACATCCCTCTTTGACGACCTCAACTGTCCTTAGCACACGCACTGCCACAATCACTGCTTGCCCATCTGGTGTCACTAAGTGCCCTGTCGCTTCTCAGAGTACCTATGTAACCACAGAGACGATCGTGGTATCAACTACCGTTTGCCCCATTACCGCTGCAGAGACTACTGCGTCCCCAACCATTGATACGACAGTGGATATTTCACCAGCTACGTCTTCCCACGGACATCCCTCTTTGACGACCTCAACTGTCCTTAGCACACGCACTGCCACAATCACTGCTTGCCCATCTGGTGTCACTAAGTGCCCTGTCGCTTCTCAGAGTACCTATGTAACCACAGAGACGATCGTGGTGTCAACTACCGTTTGCCCTATTACCGCTGCAGAGGCTACTGCGTCTCCAACCATTGATACGACAGTGGACATTCAACCGGCTACTGTTTCTAGCGAAATTGTCCCAACACTCTCAGAGGAATCGGCCCCGGAGACCGTACTGGTGACCACCACAAGAACAATCACAGCATGCCCATCCACTGTGACAGATTGTCCTGCATCGCAGAAGAGTACTTACACAACTACTGAGACTTTGGTTGCTACCGTAACCGTTGGTCCTTCGTCCAACACCCCGGGTCTCCTCCCTAGTACCTCAAAGACAACTGTTGCATCCTCCTCCAGCGACACGGCAGCTATCTCACCCGTGGAAAGTTCAAGCGCAGGCACGATGGGATCGCAGACTTTCACTTCAGCTGAGATCATTTCCCACTCCACTACAACTCAGACCTCACAAAGACAATCTGGCTCTGCTGCCAATTCTTCGAAGTATCCCTACTCTACTCCTGCTGCATCGGCAGAAAGCTCTTCACACTCCTTCCTTACATCGACTTCCTCTTCAGCTGCTCCCGAGGTTAGCAACCCCGTTTACGGCAATAGTGCTACTACCGTTTCCTCTGTCTCCCAAATACCTGGCACGACTACTACTCCTGCAGGCTCTGTCTACACAGGATCTTCATCTGCCATTCGTTCAGAGTGGACCAAGATTGTCGGCGCTCTTTTCCTTGTCTTGTTTGTTTAGAAAGTGTGACCTTAATTTGTATAACACTCCACAATTCTGTATCGAAGGTTGAATCGATATAATCTACCATTAATTTCTTCATATCACACGAATTCGAAGGTTTCATGATTTGACTTAGAAGAAATTGCTGAAACTCTAGCATCTATCATTCGCTCACAGGCAAAAGCTATGAAGTCGTTTGCGATAAGCTTACATACCTACTAATAACCAGCGAGCAAGTGACATCCCTCCGACTGGAATGCATTCGCCTGTCCACGTAGTCTCGTTTCAGTGATGGGTCACTTGTAATTGGCAGAGGGTTATGCAGAAAAAAGGCGTCCGATCTGATCAACAACACAATGTGTTCGTGGTGCCTTCACATAGGAATTGAGGGAGCTCTGAGTGATGTTACTAAAACTTCACCCTTGTTCAATTATGCCTATCGGAGAGCAATATACCCTCAATTTCCAGGCCTTGGTCTCCCGGAGCTCAATTTACAAACGATGGGTTTCTATCGTCATCCAGTTGCGTACGCTCCCTTTCCTATCTTCTCAACTATCTCATATTCCACAATTTGGGTCCTCTACTTTATATTATCATGTTCTTTCTTTTCGCATCTCCTTACGTGGTGGTTCATTCCACTAGTCGCCAATGATTTGATGCCGCTTTATGTCGCTATTATGGATTCTGCCTTTTCTCAGTACTCATGTTTTTCTTCTTATTCGGAAAATTTCGCTTGCTCTCTGAAATCTGAATGTAATTATTATTTACGCAGACAACTGATAATACCAGGGGCTTTAATGCCAAGAATTAGGCATAGCAATTGGAGCTAACAACTGGATACGAATCTTGACTGGAAGCGACCTGCCTGATACAAGATATCAAGCTGTCCCTTTAAGAATCGTTCACCTGTGATGACCAAGTTCAACAATAAGACCAAGGAGACGTTATAAATTCGATCAGTAAGCAGGCATGGACTATTTCCTCCAGCGTGTTGAGAAGTGGTTTGGAAAGACGTATTTGGAAGATGTATCGAACGGGGTCCAGAAATTAAAGGCTTCAAACCGCCGGAAACAAAATCCAGAACAACAATATTATCAAAAGGGAGGATTCAAGCCCGTGATTCCCTCTTCGGCTCGGCAAGGCCCATTTAAAGCCGAGCGTCACCTTTTTGCTCGGGCATTTCCTGCACAACGATTTCAAATCCTTTCAAAGTATCAAAAGCGGCCCGTATGTCCCTAGCATAGGCCGGAATGCCACCCGCATAGCAGACCGGCTCATAGATCTTGCCTGGAACGTTGCCTCCCATGTAGGTAGAGTTCGTCGTCGGGAAGAGAGACATCTGCGTCATTTGCACGATCTTGTCTTTCCAGGACTCTGCTGCGGCGGACTTTGCATTGATATACTTGATGTTGTTTCTTTCCTTCTTCTGCATAAAGTCGGCAATACAGCGGCCTTGTACTTCCACTGTTGTTGGTCCATTACTCAAGAGGGTTGGTCCGTGGGCACCGCAGATGTGAAACATGTTTGGATAGCCGGGGACGGTAATGCCGAGGTATGTTGTGGCACCTGTGGTCCATTCTTCTTGAAGCGTTTTGTTGTTTATACTTTGCAGACCGAGTTGTGTCATAGCTATGATCGATTAGATTGAAGACTTGATCCTAGGAGAGCTCTCTCACCTCCTGTCACAACACCCTACGTTATAGTCAGTAAGTCGTTTTACAAAATCAGTACGCAACTCACAAATCCAGTAGCCACCGCAATGACATCCAACTCATGATGCGTCCCATCCTGGAGGATGATGCCCGTTTCATTGAATTCCTTGATCGGGTTGTTCTTAACGTCAACGACATTCACACTCGGCCGGTTAAACTGTTCTTAGTAATCGAGCTCCAAACAAGGCCTTTTCACACCAAAGAAGTGCGGCATTTCCAAGGGCGCTAAAAGATCTCTTTTTCTCGGGTCCTGGATACGAGCACGAGTCTTCTTTGCCCAGAAGTTATACGACTCCTTGTTAGCTTTCGCATTGGATAGATTGTCTTTGTATACCGCAACCCAGTATCGGAAACCACCCTCACCCCAAACCTTTTCATAAAAAGCTTCGCGCTCTTCAGAAGTATCGTCAAAAGTGTTCTTTTCGTACCAGTCGTAATGGAAATCCGCGAAGCTGGTCTCACGGAGGCGAAATAGCTCCGGGTAGGAATGCTTTTTCTGTTCCTGCTCTTCTACAGAAAGTTTTTTCTTGCGCATTGGGACAGCAAGGTTGGGGGTTCGCTGAGAGACTTTCACCTCCCCAGCTTCCGGGCCCCAGGCTTGGACGATTTGTACACCGGATGCGCCAGTACCGATCACGGCGCAGCGTTTATTTTTCACTTCTACTTTCTCGTCTGGCCAGAATGAGGAATGATGGATCATGCCTTTGAATTTATCCATTCCAGGCCAATCGGGGATGTATCGGCGGGCCGCCTGACGCATCGTGAGCTTTTCTTCGTTTCCATCGTATCACAATCCCGATCTGACTTACGAACCCAGTCCCTAGAATTAAATACTTCGCAGTAACCTTGCGACCATCTTGTGTGCGCACACTCCACCTTCCAGAGACCAGATCGAAATGTGCCCCAACAACAACAGTATTGAAGGCACAGTCCTTCTTGATGCCAAGGACTTGACCCAGATGATCAAAGTAAGATCGTAAGTCTTGGTATGTTGGATAATTGCTCGACCAATTCCAGGTTTTCCAAACCTCAGGCCAGGAGAACTCGTACTCTGGAACCTCCGAGTCAACTCCAGCACCGGGATAGCAGTTCCAGCGCCAGGTTCCGCCGATATCGTTTCCGGCTTCGAAGATGACAGCTTTGAAACCACGATCTCGAAGGGTCTTCAGCATGAATATGCCAGCTTGAACTAGGTCAGAGCCATGTTTGGGGAGATTTCCACCAAGCTAGAGCTTACCAAATCCAGCCCCGACGATCAAGGTATTCGATCTCCATATTATCGGCATAAGGTCCAGACTTATCTGGAGGCGGGACTGAGTAATCGGTCAATCTGATCTTACAATTCATAGCATTCTGGTCCTCCATCATGAAATTTTCGAAAAGAGTTGGTTGTAGGGCGAAATTGCCGAAAGAGATCGTCTAGAAGTGATGAATGACGATAGTCAACAAAAAATTCGCGATTCCGTCTCACTTTTTTAAACTTGTGTAGATACTGGACGGAGGCAGCATATCTTGGCACAATCTGGCTTTCATCGCCTTTTCCTCGTCGCTGCACCTTTAGTATTGCATTCGAGACCGCTGCAACAGGCCACTGCAATGCACAAATAGCCACCGAATGACTTGGCGTGAGCATTTGCGCTTTTCGGAATGAAGCCACTTGCGGGGTCACAGGGTATGCATTGGATAGCGTATGTGGAGCGCGTCGGGCCGTACAAACATACGGAATATGCGAGGCTTGCGAGGCCATAGAATCCAAGAACCGGCCATTTTGCCCCCAGTTCAACTTCTGATCATCTTTGAGTGATATTCGAGACTCCTTTAACAGGAAGCCGACAAAGAACACCAGTATCTCTTACTGCCTCAGTCACTATTGATCACGTCGTCAAGGGTAACTTTACAATGCCGCTCAACGCCGAAACCCTCGCAAACCTCCAGATATTAATCGACTCCGCTTGTAGCGACACCACAAGTAAGATACCAGGGGCCACAGTCGCTGTAATTGGGAAAGATGGTAGAGAGTTATTTTCCCACGCAGCGGGCAAAAGAGGCGTTTCTTCCTCCGACCCAATGACACTGGATACAATCTTCTGGATCGCATCGTGCACGAAGCTGCTCACTGCTATTGCATGCATGCAGCTTGTGGAACAAGGCCATCTCGAGCTAGACAATGGGTTGCAACTCGAGGCTCTCTGTCCGGAGCTGAAAATTCTAAAGGTATTGAGAGATGACGGCACCTTGGAGGAAAAGAAAGTAGCAATCACGCTAAGAATGCTGTTGACTCATACTGCTGGCTTTGGGTACACTTTCTTCAATGAACGACTAAGGAATTGGTCGCTCCCTATCGACATAGATGAATTCTCGGGGAAGATGGAGGATATTAAGACGCCGCTTTTGTTTCAGCCTGGTGAGGGATGGGAATATGGAGTAGGTCAACCCTTTTACACACTATACCTCCTGGAGACAGAGAGCCTCTAACGTCTATCAAAGGTCAGTCTAGATTGGGCAGGACTGGCAGTTGAGCGCGTCACAGGTCTCTCTCTGAAAGAATACCTGACACAGCACATTTTCCAGCCGTTGGAAATTGAGAACATGTCGATGATTACGAACGAGGATATGCGTAAGAAACTTGCGCATATGCATCATAGAACTAGTGATGGGATATTGATCCCACGAGATCATCTCCTTCGTGCACCGTTGGTGATCGATCTAGAAGACGACGCGGCGAAGAAGGTTTTCAATAGTGGTGGTGCGGGAATATTCACAAAGCCACAAGAATATTGCAGTAAGCGACAGGCATATGGCCTTGAGATGAGACTATACTGATGTGAGCGCAGAAATCCTCGCCGTTCTCCTGAACGATGGGAGTTGTCCACGTACTGGAGCACGAATCCTCGAAACTAAAACTGTACAAGACATATTCGAGAATCAAATTCCCCAATTCCCCCATTTCGGACGCCAGGGTATCTCCGCTTCTAAGCCAGATCTGACAAACTCGATCTCGGATATATACCCGATCTCCGAAGAGGCCCCACAAGGTTGGGGGTTATCCTTTATGCTGAGCAATAGCCAAGCGACCGGAAGATCCATAAACACGGCACACTGGGCCGGGTTAGCGAATCTTTTCTGGTGGTGCGATCGCGCAAAGGGAGTGGCGGGTATTGTGTGTACGCAAATACTTCCATTTGCGGACACAAGAGGTGCTCAAGCTGTGGGCTGGGGTTGAAATGGAGGTCTTTCGTGGACTGGAGAATTTTTCATGAGAAATTGAGAATGATATTTTGTATGGGTATGTATGTTTTTTAAAATAAGCTCGATGTATCCAGACATAGTATCTCACAAGAGATGATCAGAGGAATCAATGATCTGGGAAATGTACAGATTAGGGACAAGTGAAGTCATATAATCGTTCCACCGTCGTGAATCAGCCCCGATGCGATATACTTATAATGAGCTCAGTGGTTTCTTATAAGCATCTGGCTTACAGCACAGCCAGACCACCAGCGAAAGCAACTCCGAGAAGGCCCCAAGCAGCGGTCTGCAACGGAACGGCAGCTCCCTTAGAAGTGGACGTCGAAGTCGAGCTGGAAGCAGACGTGGTGCTGCTACCAGTGGTGGTGCTGCTACCAGAGGTGGTGCTGCTACCAGACGAGCCCTGAGCCCCACCCGTGGCGGTCGACTCATTAGCATTGCGCTTCGCAGCATCACCAGCGAAAGCAGAAGCCACGACGTTGGTATTATTCGTGCAAGACGAGGGCTCGCTGTAGGTAACGGAAGAAGAGAACTGAACATCGGCGCACTGAAAACACAAATCAGCACCAAAATTACAATCCACAAAAAAAAAAAAACTTACAGCGTAGAGTCCACCGTTGGGATCTCCATTACTCTGGACCTGAACAGTAGCATTCATACCATCGGTAATGTTGACACCGAGCAGCGCGTCGCTAAAGTCCACGTGCGGCAGACAGAAAGCACCGAGACCGTTGACCTGGAAGGTCGGGACGAGAGTGACGTTGTAGTTGGTTGCCGGGTCACTTCCGAGGGCAATCAGAACCTCGACGGCAGTCTGGGCGTGGCCCATTATCAGGGCGACCGGGAACGAGCCAGAGAGAGGAAGCTGGGTGCGGTTGGAGGACTGGGCCATTCCACCGCAGGGAAGGTGGGCATGGTATCTTCATCGAAGCCACGGGAGATGGGATACTGGAGATGAAAGTGTGCTGAGGCCAATGGGGCCAGCATCAGAGGGAGGAGAGTAAACTTCATGATGAACGGGTAGAAGATGCAAGAAGCGCGATGAAGCTTGCATGAAAAGGGAAAATGAGCGACTATATCAACAAATCGGCGAACCCCACCCACGCTGTCACTGATCCGAGACCCGGGAGCCGCTACAGAAGAAAAAGAAAGGGACCCTGACCTTCGAAGCCATAGATTGCCTCTACATAGAGTCTAGTTCGTAAAGTCGGGGGTTTACCCGAGACGCTTGACCACTTTGGGATAATCTGCTCAATTGAACGCAGTTCGGGAAAGTGCCAAGCCTCGTAGGTTGGAGTGTGTTGATAATCGGAAACCATTCAAAAACTTGGTCTGGAATGGGGCCTAAATGGGGGTCCCATAACTAATTGATACAAAATAGCCGAGCCCTAGTCTAGACGCTCGTGTAGTAGTATCGTGTGGCGGCATCGTATTCCAGTAGAACCTCAGCCTCCATATCTTCCACATCAACCACGATTTGATGCCACATATTGATCTCATAGGTACCCGCTAGAGTTCCCGATGACACGGTCGCACAGAGGTAGCGTTGACCACGTTGCGATGCTTGACGGGCTTTGTCTCCCAAGAAGCCAACGAAATTCCGTGCCTGGCCTGCTTCTGCAATGCGAGGACAGAGCACAACGGCCAGATTTCGCGCCAAAGGAGACAATGAAGATCTTGCGGGTTCCTTCCAGGAGACAACCATGCCTGGTCGGATACGCTCCTTGAAATCAGGCTCGTGGATTTTGCCTATAAGCTCGGGATCGCGACTGGATGAGAATTGCTCCGAGAGGGAATCTTTGCAAAGTGTTTGATCTCTCTTATTGGCCGTAGTAGACTGACGAGCAGAGTTTCGTTGCGAGTCGATGTGTAGCCTCCATAATTTGGCATGGAACGCCTTAGCCTGATCGCTGGTCACCCCGTCCGACTGGAGACAGCGCGATATGAACTGGGAAGAAGACAGCCGAAGAATTTGCTGTCCAGTTTCCATTGGCGCAAGAACAGACGGGAGAATAGAAGGGTTACCAGACTAGTCAACGGATTAGTCAACGCAGAGACCGATGGCTATATTACACACTTTGAGCTTGATATAATTTCTCAGATCTCTGTTACTCCATGTCGATGGAATATCAGGGTTGTACCCAGAAGACACCACCTTCATTTCAGCAGAACGGAGCATCTCCGCGTACCGGAGGGTGTTCTTGGTGGCCCCGGTATCCAGGAAGCTCGGACCAATACAAGCCAGTACCGCTGTCTTGCAGTCGCGACTCCCCAGGGGGTCGAAAACGTGTTTGAGAACCTTTGTCAACGTGCTCTGTCGGAAAGGAATATAGGGCTTCTTGGAAGGCTTGGAATTTTGCAAGTTCGCCAATCCGCGAATACAATCTTTCAATGTAGATAGACTGGTGTTAATCTCGCGGGTCTCTTTCATTCGATCAGCCGAATGATTGAAGATGTCACGCGCGGCTTCTGAGCCTGCAAGGTCGACGAGGTAGAGCACACCATCCTCTCGAGGATTTTGTGTTGGTTTCTGGACCCTAATGCGGCAAATGGCGTGCGTACGAGAAGATCCATCATTTTTCTCCGTAGATGCTGTTTGTCGGAATGAGGCAGATTCCTCAATTAAAGCAAGGAGATTTGAAGTACTAGTGACCTCATGCTCGATTGCCCCAGCCAGCTGAGTATTTCCGAAAGAGTCCTCCAGTATTGAGAACGGCGCACGGGTATTCAATAGATCGAAGGCAGAATTTCCGGCCAATTCGAAAATGGAAACGTACAGTTTACGCTGCCCTTCTAAGGTGCCATCAAACAAGGCGCCAGCAATCAATCGCTCGATTCCACTGACAGAATAAGTCTTTCCGGAACCGGTCTGTCCATAGGCAAACAAAGTACCAACATGACCTTCCCATACCCATGGAAGAAGCGGCAGCACCAGATCTTCATAGATCAACTCTGTATTTTGATCGGGGCCATACACTTTCCCGACATGGAACGAAGAAGACTAGAATCCAGCATCAGAACATTTTGAGATTGCATAGTATACACACGGATAGTGTATAGATCTACGGAAGAGATCTTGACGAACATTCAACGGAGGTGGACCCCTCACGACCCTTCTCAGCTCATGGAGATCCACAACTCCACACTCGCCAGCCCTCGCAAAAGCCGCAGGGACCTGACCGGAAGCCGTTTCCTCATCGAGCAAGGGCCTGATGCGCGTCGCAACAGCTATGTTGGGACTAGTGACTGGGTCTCCGTTATGGGGCCTTGGTTTGGGTTGGAACTGCCTGATCAGGTGCTGGTGACGATCAGCATGTTGCAAGAGAAATTCATCCATGATATCTTATTGCGTAATGGATAATTGGTACTTGTTAATTGATAATTTATGAGAAGCTAGGTTTGTTTATGTACCCAGGGGAAAAGCTACAAGATGAGGCTGCAATTCAGGGGCAGGTTGAGCTGTGTGCCCTAAGCCCTACGAGGCCTGAGCCTGAGGGCATGTGATTCATGCGGCCGGCCGTGATGTCTCGCAGGAGGATTCACATGAATGGAATGTTGCAAAGTGCAGAAAGCATTTGGACCTCAGGTATTAGATGCTGGTCTCAGCTGGCTTGCCCTTTGTTAGAGGTGGGGAATGCTGCAGATGGTTACCTACATCAGGTTTAGTGTGCATTGTGGACCTGCGTACATTTGAGATTCTTTGCCAATCGGTGTTTATTATGTTCAATTGTTTCATAATGAAGCAAAAAATCAAAGGCTTCTAGGTGAATCCCTGCGACTTGCTTGAGGTGAAGTTTGGGACTGAACACAAGCTTGTCTGTTCACAACCAATATTCGATATATTCTGGTCCGGTTGTCTCTGGCTTTGACTGACCATGCATGGCACATGCCTGCATGGGCCTTTTGATGCTCAATCGTCTCATTGAGTTCACTTTCATAATAACATTGCCGGTCACTCCTCGCAAACTTGTAGAGGTATTGCGGTCCTAGCCGCAAGGCAATCTTTCATATCTATCGTGGAGGTTAGCAACGATCGCAGATCGCAGATCTCGGAAAGAAAGCTAATCTAACCTTCACCGACGATCAATATCACCAATATCCACAAGCTGAACGACCTCAACAACAATCTGCTCGTAGGGGTGGGCCTTCCGCAACGCCTTCACAGCGTTTCGCATCACCTCCTCACCCACGCACAGCGTCTCAACTTGATACTCCTCCACTCGTTCCAACACTCCGGGCTGACCAATATGGGGCGTAGAGCCGGCGCTGGGCCGGAACTGATCAATTCCCCGATATTCAAAGCTGACCTCTTCGTAGAGGCCGCCCGGGTATTTCCCCGCGCCAGCGGAAAATACAGCCGTCTTGCACACGTCCAGATGGGAAGGTGGCACGCGGAAGATAAGCTTGAACTGTGGGGTAGACATTTTCAAGGCTGATAAAAGATCCCTAGAGCGTAAAACTCGGATCAATTCGAATAAAAGGGTGCCAATGTCGATTCAATTCCGAGGATGTCAGATATTTTGAAGGTCAAAGATCATGTTCTGACTTTGACATGAAAATTTTGAGTCATCGTTTATTTTACCCTAATCGTGGATAGCCCCGCCATGCTTATCTTGGAGGTTTAAATATACGTTGGCGTTCAGGGTTGTTGAAAAAGGATGCTGTAATCAAACGATGCCGTCACGTATACAAGATGGAATCTCATAAAGCCTGGGCATAATGCCTTCTCTCCATAATTATGATCATGCAAGAGGCCCCAAGCGCGAGATTGAGGGGCAGCATCGGTTACCCGGACTGGGACTAGCCTCGAAGATAGCCCCACAACGTCGTTCCGAGATCTTAAAGTGCACTCCCAAAACGGGAGAAAAATGTGCTCATTTCTGCTCAGCGGGGCTGACTCATCCGCTTGCGGCAACCTGTTTTTTCGTTATGGAACCATGTGGAAGTGAAAATGGGAAACGCCTGTCCATGCAGAAGATGCTATCACGTATATCGTAAATTATATCAATGGCCATGCTCGAATGTCTGGATGTATCGGCCAACTGCCAATTCGCCTATGAAGGCGCCCCCGAGAACGGAGCAAAAGTAGCCGATGTTCATCGTCATGACGGCTAACATGCTATAGCTGTGTTAGTATGATATATTCCGGTATGGCGAGAAAGCCAGAAATGGTGGTACCTACAGTAGATAGGATACACCAGCAATGCAAAGGAACATCAATGCGCGCGGCAAGTCCACACTAAAGCGCCAGGGAATTGGTCCCTCGGACACGTTATGCACGATTTTGACCGACTCTTCGACGCCTTGAGCAGTAACGAGGGAGGCCAATTTCGCATTTGGATCTGAGTCGATCCGTCCTGCTTCTGTAGTCTTGCCTGCGATGGCGACGTAGCGGCGCTGCAGGTGGGTGGCCAGCCAGTGACGTTCCATAGTAGCCTTGACCGCGATGAGGCAACGGTCGATGATGGCCAGCACAATGAGGAAGATACATGTGCCCGCATAGGTCCCTGATGAGGAGGGTGTCCACGCAGAAGAAAACAATGGTGTGCTGTGTGAGTTGGTGAAGACCATCGACATACCGGATCCGGAAGAGGACATGGAGCCCATGGAGCCCATGGAGTCCATGGAGCTCATAGAGTCATCCATCATAGAGTGATCCATATCTCAAATTCACAGCAGGATGAAGAGGAAAGATCAGAATGATGAGAAGAAGAAGTATCAAGAACGCAAGGAGCTCAATGAGACGCCAAGAGTGAGCAGATTAGCGGGTCGGAAGCCACACTTTTGCCAAAGGCGTTCCCGCTAGTGAGCACATTCTTGATAAGCCCGTCTTCTCCGAACACATCGCTGGTTTGGTTTCTCGATTTCTCAGTCCGGACTTTTGCGTTCTCCCCACTACCTCTGACACTATGCAAACCGCCCGAATCTGAACATCATGTCCATGTCAATGGGCGATATGCCCATGGGCTCAATGTCCATGGGTGACGGCGTCCCAGGTCTCTTCTACTTACAGAAGATGTACTGGGCTGTCGTGGGAAGTGCCATTGCTGCTGCCACAGTAGTCAATATTCTGAACAAAGGCTTGGCTCAGCATCGGTGAGTTTCATTTCTACTCTGATTTCAGTGCAAGTCTAATCAAAGCAGACTGCGAGACACTTCACGCTCCCCCGCAAAGCCCAAATCACTTTTATTTAGCGCATATGCCACACTCACAGCGATAACCCGAGAAGTGAGCTATGCCACTATCAATCCGATCTCAGTGGGGAAATATACCGTCCATTTTCCACCTCTTGGGCCCGTTCTCATCATCCTCGCCAATCTAGTTGTGGTTCTCGTCCTCTGCTTCTACAAACTCGACACCACCAACGTGTGGAAATGGGAAGATGTCGGCTACCGCACCGGATTCATCGCCATCTGCCAACTGCCACTTATCTTCCTGCTGGCAGGGAGACAGAACATCATCGGGTTCTTAGCAGACATGAGCTACGCCCGCCTGAATTGGTTCCACCGCTGGATTGCGCGCACTCTATGGCTTACAACAACGATCCACATGGGCTTTTGGTTCCGAAACTGGGGCCGATATGATTACATCACATACCAGCTGAAGAATGATCCCCTTACGAAACGCGGATTCGCGGCCTGGTGTATCTTGACTTTTATCGTGCTGAGCTCGGTCGCCCCCGTCCGAAGATTCAGCTATGAGGTCTTTGTCTTACAGCATCTGGTTACTTTTGTTGGATTCATTGTTGCTGTGTGGTTGCATGCACCTAATGAAGTCAAGGTCTGGGTTTGGATCCCTATTGGTCTCTTAGTGTTTGATCGTGTGGCGAGATATGCGTGGGGTGCATATATCAATCTATCGGTATTCCACCGCCAGGGCAGCAAAAGTGCCTTCTGGTCACATTCGGCGACCTTTACGGCGCTCCCGGGAAATGTCACCAGGGTGACCATCAAGAGCCCCAGTATGCACTGGCAACCCGGTCAGCATGTTTTCCTGACATGCCACTCCATCGTTCCCTTTCAGAGTCACCCATTCACGATTGCATCTATCCCTGAAGACGACAAGATGGAATTCTTGATTCGCGCCGAGAATGGCGGCACGAGGCGATTCTTCCGATATGCCTCGAAGGACAAGATCCTCAATGCAGAGACATTACCGAATAAGCGCAGTCGAACAGTTTTTATCGAGGGACCGTACGGGTCTATTCGAAACTTGCGCCAATTTGACAGCGTTGTGCTTGTAGCTGGTGGTATGGGTGCAACATTTGTCACGCCATTGCTCAGAGATATCGTGGCGGCTTGGAAGAAAGAAAGCCTAAGTGAAAATCAAAAGGCAATTAGTCAACCCGGACGCTTGACAGCGACTAATAGGGTTCGTTTCGTCTGGGTCATCAAGTCCCGCTCCCAATTGAGCCTTTTCGAGAAACAGCTGCAATCCGTGCTGGCTGATGTGGAGGAATGCCGGCGGGTCCAGCCAGGCTTCAGCAAAGAGATCGATATCAGTATTTACATCACATGCGACGAGAAACTTGAACCTCCGACCACCCAGCAAATAACCCCGTTGATTTCGCAGGGAACCGCAGACCCTCAAACGTCCGAGTTCAATGGAAAAAAGGAAGCGATCGAAACAGACTATGTCTCAGTGCCTTCGATTTCAGGCGAATCATCTACCGCCTCGCCTACTGCAGCAATCGGTCGAGGCTGTCTCCCTAGTGGAGGATGCTGCTGTACGAAGCAGATCGAAGACGAGGATGCCATTTCCACCTGTGCGTGTACCTGTTCAGGCCCAGCACCTACGTCACTAGAACCAAAGACCCATGGCGATAAGCCGACAAACATCGAGACCTCAGCATCGTTTGATTCAAAAGCAAACTTTGTATCTGGTCGTCCATACCCGCGCGCAATCATCCGCAAAGTCCTTGAAAAGGCAGAAGGTGAAAGTGCCGTCGTCGTGTGCGGTCCCCACGGGCTGGCAGACGAGGTCCGCCGCAGTGTGGTGTACCTCAGCGATGAACGGGCAGTTCACAAGGGCACTGGTGCACAGGGTATTTACTTGCATGTTGAGAATTTCGGATGGTGAACGGATGGATACCCTTTTTTGCTGCATTTTGTACATACTAGTTTGCATGAGCGATATGAATTGACGAAGAATGCACTCCCGCCCCGGAGGGGTTGAGACACTATCAACAACATCACAATCTTTTACCAGCACACGAGTCTCGTCTTCAAGGCCAGACGAAATAGTGCGCTGAAGGTAGTTATTGACCAGCGTTGGACATCATGTCTGGTCTTGCCAGAACAGTATCTGGTGAGTCTGCCTTGAAATCCACATAAAATCCGTAACATTCATGTGTCAGGACTATCAGCCTCCATCACCTATCCACTGGGGGGCTTAGACATGGAAGAAACCCACTATTTCTGACGAAAAAGTGTCTCGACGTGGATATCCAGCTAGTGGAGCAAGGCCAAAGTGAACATTAGAAATGAAGCGACGAGCAGCGCATCGCTATTGTTCAAGAATTCAAGGATGCGACCTCGAATTTGAAGCAGAAAGGCTACAAAAATAAAATTGGACCGAGCAAGAAGTTCGAAATGGCGAACTCAAGAGTCAATAGCTGAAGTAATTCTATGCGGGTGTCTTCAAGAACTACTTAGTTTCAAGTCGAGTCAATGTCGCATAATTTCTAGTTGAAGGCCGGTCTAGCTACCGTGGGCGGCTATCACAACAAATTAAATGAGCGACAGCGTAAATTGACAAGGATGACATCCCGACCCTGGTAAGATCGTCGAGCTTCAACCGTGCAGTGTAAAGTAAACGTTTTCCGCCAACCATATGGTTCGATAAGTCCTGTTTTACCATCCTTTCCACGTAAAGTTGGCACCGAGTGTGATTCCGAGCTGCCCCGATCGGGACCCCGGAGCCGATGACATCATCCAGGAACTTCCAGCTTGCAACTCGAGCTCCGCCCAACATCACATCTCCTAAAACTCTCCCACCCCCAATCTCAACCCCCCCTCAATCCCACCATTCAAGATGTTCCGCTTCGTACGTCCTCCCTTACCTCGCCTCGTTACATGCACTAATCTTACTACCATTGACTCGCAGAGCAAAACCCTCGACCCAATTACCCTCTTCCACAGCCCGAGCCTCGCCAGCTCAACCCGGGCCCTGAACATCCTCAAACAAGCATCTGCGGCCGCCGGCGAAACCGCAACAGAGGACCAAGCATCCGATCACTCGTCACACGCGAAGCAGCAGCGCGGCGAGTTCAAGCTGGAGGTGACGACCGACGTGCCGACGACAGACCAGCTGCGCAATATTCTGGATTACGTCAACCCCGTTAGTGGTGCTGGTGGCCAGGGCGAGAAAGCCACCTACGCTATCTCAGAGCTGGTCAAGGGCGCGAAGGATGCGGAGCAGGCGTTGAAGCTGTTCAAGGAGGACCCGGAACGATTTGTTCGTCCTGTGGTATGTATTTTTCTTTTTTTTCGAGCGCTTGGACTATATACGATGACGACGCTGACATTTCTTCAGACTGTCGACTGGATCAACGGACGTGCTGTGGTCGGTGACAACGAGTCTGAGATTCTGCGCATGGTGCGCCAGTTGCCTACCAACTAAGAGACACATCTTATACCCGGTCTTTAACGTGCGCTACACGTTTGCAGAGCGAATCTTACAAATGTGATTCATACGGGCAAATTCGTCTATCGTATGTATGATACAGATACAAAGAGAATTGAAACTCCTCAAGAAGGCCATGACCCTACCATTGAACGTATCGCGTAAAAAAGTACCTTGATGTAACAGAAAAGGAACAAAACGCCATTAAACTAATAATACGCGAGTCGACTGGGCGGCAGAACCCAAGATCCAGCTTGGCAATGCGGGCTCCAGTGTGAAGAAGAGAAGGAAGAGACTAGGCCAGGCTCCGCTTTAAAACATAGTTCCGAAGTTGGAGTCGTCCGTGGAGTTGGGTTTGCGCGGGGATGTGCGGCCTGAGCTGTCGACAGCGGGTTTACGGTGGCTTCAAGATATGTCAGTGTTGGCTCGAGGAGTTGGGAAAGTGAGAAAAAAGCACATACCGGAAGGTAAATCCAACGAACAAACCCTTGTTCATCTTCTCATCCCGCTCGGCCATGTCCTCCAATGCGCGCTGCTTATCATGCACCTCCTTGTACTTGGCCATGTCAGCCTCGTTGCTGAAATCGTCAAAGTAACCAGCATCAGTCTCAGAGTCAAGTTCCGGTACGAAGGGCGCGCGCTGTTCACGCAGCTTGTCAAAGTCCACCTCGGCGAAGTAGTCGTGGGCGTGAATTTCTTGGATGTTCTTGAATCGTGTATCCTTCGCTGCGACAAGCTTGGTGATGAGATCCCATGTCCGACGGGAGAGGAAGTAGTTGGGATCTTCGTAGACGGGCTTCCGGAGCACCTTCTGCCAGCGCTTGAGGTTCTGCCATGTCTCGTCGACTGTTGCACCTGCAAAAGGCGGATAGCCGGCGAGTGCCTCGAAGAGCATACAGCCCAGACTCCAGTAGTCCACTGTAAAGTCGTATTGCTCGCCCTTGAGCACTTCGGGCGCCATGTAATCAGGAGAGCCCACGATGGACTTGGCGTAGTTGACTTCACGCTCGCGCAGACTGCGGTATCCTTGGCGACGCTCCGCCATCGTTCGCTGCTCCATTGGGCGACCGAAGGGGACGGATGTATTGCCAACTTCTTCTAATTTGACGCGCATTGACTCAATCTTGCCAGGGCTCAGCATACCAGCGGCCAAACCAAAGTCAGTCAATTTGACGTGGCCGGTTGAGTCGATCAGGAAGTTCTCGGGCTTGAGATCACGATGAATATAGCCCAGGATGTGAAGAGCGTCAACGCAACTAAACATCTCGGCAATGTAGAAGCGAGCGTGTCGATTGTGCAAGACGCCCGTATTGTTCAACAGTGTGCGGAAGTCTCCACCAGGGACATATTCCATAGCCAGGTAAATTTGGTTATCATCCTGGAAAGCATACAGCAACTTGACAAGCCACTCGCTCTTGGCGGCAGTCAGAATGTCGCGTTCCGTGAGAATGTGTCGAATTTCATCCAGTTTGAACAACAATTTCTTGCTCATGACCTTGAGTGCACAGACCTCTCGTGTGTCCTTCTTTTGTGCCAAGTACACCTGTCCATATCCACCCTGGCCGACCTGGGTCAGGATCTGGAAGTCGTGTTGGCGCAGACGCGTGCGCCGCTTACGCAGATGCGCGCGTTCGCGACCGAGGTATTTCAGCAACTGAGGCTCATATTCTTCAGCGGGTGTGACAGGAGGCTCGGGACAGGCCGCTTTGAATTGGGTATGGCGGGTGTGACGGTTGTGGACATAGCTGAGAAGGTCGAAGTAGTGATCGAGGAAGTCTGTCGCACATCGTGAGCATATGAATTTACCTTCGTAGATTGTTTTTAGGACATACAAAGTTGAGTCACGTTGACTAGACGCTTAATGCGGGGCTGTTGTAACTTCTCCATCTCCTCGGGTGTCAGGCCGCGCAACTGGACCTGACGCCTTGATGTGTCCGTATCACGCTGCTGGTAAGGCTCATGTCGCGAAAGCGCAGCCGCTGTAGGGTTCGGTCCGAGAAGATCCTTGGGCGCACGAGTGGATGGGGGAGTGTTCTCCTTGTTGGCCTTGCGCGTAGGGCTTGACGGCCGCTGGTGGATGACACTCTCGTTGAAGTCGTCCAAACCAGTTTTGTCCGTAAACATGGGGTGATTGAAGTGATTATGAGTATTCTTGGTCGGCGAAGTGGGGGTCAACTTCATGACCTTGTCGAAGGCATTGGGCAAATCGAGTGCGCCAGGCGGCGGGCGCGATTTGCTTGGGCTGCCATGAGGGGTCTGAGGGGGACTGGTAAAGCCCTCGTTGGGAGTAGCTGGACGACCGAAAGGATCATTGCCAGAGCGAGTATGAAGCAGAGGCGGGGGATTCGGCAAGCGCAAACGGTCTTCGGCAATATCGATAGCCATGGTGGATGGTTGTAGAAGTTGAAGGTGGAGAGGGGCGTTGATGTGTCTTCCCCCTTGTTCAAGACAGGACTGAAACCACGACCTTGACCACCTTCACAAACAATTACACAAAGCCTCTGTCTTTGCCCTCCGAGGATCAATCTCTTTATTATGCAAACTCTAGCAGATTAGCTCCACCGATCGATTCGATCTTGATTTCATTTCCCCGTCCCTTCGATCCCACTTCAGCCCGCTTCCTCCTTTCGCGAAGTTGCCCTGGCAACTCCCCCACGACATGCAGGCTGTGCAAGGCTAGTGCTCTAGAGTGGTCCTTTCGATGCGAATAACCAGCTTGATGGTCTCAGCTGAACCGGTCTACGGCCCGGACTTGCTCGCTCTGCAAGTCATCCCATCTTTCCGGGCCAAGATTAGCGCTAGCGTGCCCCCCATCGCCGGGTTTCAAAAGCCGGAATCCTCCACTTCCACTGATCCAGGGCCAGCCGGCCCCATCTTGACAGGCAGCCACTTGGATTTCACATGCACGCAGCAACATACACTCAAAGCCTGGTGGGATAGCCCGTAGGGGATCTAAGGCGTCAGTAGCCAAGTCGATAGTCTCGGTAGAGAGTTGCCACTCTGCTACAATCCGGCGATACTGGGATGAACTCATCTGGCTAGCAAGTATTGACGATGAATGAAGCAAGGCAGTAGATACGTTACGATGCTGATAGGCGACTAAACAGGAAAAATGGATGTGTACCGCAAGGATCCCCGGTCTACCGTAATCAAACTACCGGATTGGGAATGGCTCAGCCCGAGTGGAGGCAACGCATCCATGGATCTGTTGGGGTCACGGAGTTCCCGGTCTTCGGGTCAGAAATTGGTACGAAATTGAATCTGATTTTCGATTTTATATCTTATTTCATATCTAGGGGTGAGCGCTAATGAATATCATGTCATATTCACGCCGCGTCCTTGGCCCGCTGGCCAGTCTGCGAGATCAGTCAGTACTGTGTTCTTATGGACAGGAGAATGACTCACGTAGAATGCGAGTCCGTAATCCTCAGTCGTGAAGGTAATTTTGGCGCCCTTGGGGAAATAAAACACGTCGCCAGGGCTAGCAGTAACCTTCTGCCCTGTTTCATCCGAGATCTCAAATTGACCCTCGAGGATGATCTTCATTTCGTCATAGGTATAGGTGTAAACGAGGGGTGTGCCTTTCTCCAAGCGGTAGAATCCACAAGATACAGGTTTCTCGGCATTATCCTTGTCACTGCGAGGTGAGGAATATGAGCTCGTGCACATTCAGTGCCATTGTGGGATACAGTCATACCTGGAGATCACATCGCCTAGAAAGGCATTCTCGTTGGCAATCAGCGGAGGCTTAAAGGTGGACTGAGCCTTGGCATGGTAGGTAAATGGGATCGCCATTGTTCTGGATAAATAATATAGAGCTGCAAGAGGAAGAGACAAGGGCGTATCGAACAGAAGCTCAAAATCCTGGCTCTTCTCCAATTTATAACTGTCGCTTCCCAGCAGCCCATTCCCCTCCTTACATGAGGGGGGCAATCGCGATGTGAATCACTTTCAATCGAGAGGAAGGCAACTCAGTCCTGGCCACGAGGGTGATCGGATAAATTGTCCAGACTAGGCAGGCCAGCAGAGCGACTGATAGTAGATTGGATGTCAAGAACAGTATGAGGGGCTTCGATCCTAGTGAGGGGAAGCTCTCGATTGAGAAATGTAGAGCTGTGATTGTCCTTAAGCTGTAGAGGGTAAGCAGGTTGTTCAGTGGCTGTTTCCGGGACTTCTGAATCTGTTACAATCCATGCGTCGCCTTGTGATAGTCATTTAATTCATCCTCAAAGTCCATAGAAACCAATGTCTGCCAAATGTTGGAAACGTTCACCCTCGGATCTTGTCAACGGGTGGGATCTTTTTGCCCAAAAGAGCTAGTTTCTCCTATTGTCCAGTACTTCGCAAAACCGCCTCACGCCTTTACACTTTGTTAGCCCGATCGCCTTCGCTCTTTGGTTCCTTTGTGTCTGAAGGGTTAATTTTTGCTTCTTCCTTTCAGGGCTCAAGCTATCGCGATCTCTTTTCCTTTATGTTTTCAATGCTCTGTCTGTTCCTCTGAAACCTAGTGCCGAGACACAGAGTGCCATCGAATGATTTCGCTAGGCCTGGAAAGCAGAATTTGCAAATGTTCACCACCACTATTTACCCGTTGGGGAATATATCGACACATTAGAACCAGTAAGACTTTTCAGATGTCGGTTCTTCTTCAGTATATTAATTTCTTAAAAGTAGAGCAGTGACCGCGACGACGAATTCATTGTTCTGGCTTCATGAGTCCCACCTGGCAGGTCGCTGGTTGGCTCTGCCGCAGCGTGGTCACAAATCAACCCCCAATGGCATGGGATATCTAATGCAGGTCATCATCTCTGCATTGACAGTGACTTGTCAAGATCCTCCGAACGCATCGCTCTGGGATGCACTGGGCGCTTAGTGTCCCACTTTGCTTGCCGCGACCGGTCACAGCCCCTCTTTTGGTTGCATTTGAGCTACGCCAACTCCTTGATCTCTTTGGAGAGCAATAAGCGCCCCTAGACCTATTAACACGTCAGACATCGACAAACGCGATTCCCATGACCCGAGCTCTCGCTGGAAGCCCTCCCTTGAATGAGTTCGAGCCGTACGACCGAAGATGCCATTGCGGCTGAGCCACGATGCCTATCGAGTAGGATGGATCTGTCCGTTAGAAGTGGAACAGATTGCGGCACTGGAGATGCTAGACGAAGAACACGAACGGCTACCACAACCACGGGGCGACACCAATGTATACAATCTGGGCAGTATTAATTGTCAAAACATTGTGATCGCAGGCCTACCTCAAGCAGGCAACCGATTTGCAGCCACTGTCATCACCCAAATGAGGATGACATTCCCGAATCTTAAGTACGCCTTGTTAGTGGGCATTGGCGGTGGTGTACCGGTACAGACCGAGCATGGTATGATCCGCCTGGGACATGTGGTGGTCAGTGAACCGACGGGGACACACTCTGGAGCAATGCAGTATGACTATGGAAAAGCAATGGTCGGTCAATTCGAACGCAAAGGATTCCTCGCACCCCCGCCAACGACTCTTCTCAACGCCGCCCGAGAGGTGGCTGTACGGCGTCAACGGATGGATCATGATCCGATTTGGAAGAATACGAAAAGAATCAACACTGACCGTCGAGCTCTTCATCGCTTCAAGTTCCCTGGGGCGGCGAATGATCATCTCTACCAAACAGATTATCAACACCGCTTGAAAGGTGTCTCATGCGAAGAGAGTGGATGTGAGCCAGAGCAACGTGTCAAGCGAGCGATGGACAAGGAAGATGAAGATTTTGTCGTGATACATAGGGGCACCATAGCGTCTGGAGAGCTCGTCATTAAGGATGCTCAGAGAAGAGACGATCTAGCGCGGGAGCATCAAGTGCTTTGTTTCGAGATGGAAGCAGCTGGGGCTCTGATTGATTTCCCTTGCATGGTCATCCGCGGCATTTCTGACTGTTGTGACTCGCACAAGAATGACAGATGGCATGGATACGCAGCGGCGGTAGTGGCTGCTTATGCCAGACAATTGTTTTTCCATATGCCCATTGAAGAAGCTCAGAGGTAACTTCATGCCTCGGTCAGGAAAAGAGGAGACATTGTGGCTTGTCAACGCTAATTTCAAATGCTAGAACAGACACAGAGATGGAGTTGTCAAAGGCCAGTCTTACGCTTCAGCAGACCGAGAGAACGGAAACTATGCTCTACGGTGTAGGGAGTGAAACTAATGTAGAAGGTAAATCAGCAAAAGCTGGGGGTGCTTTATTTCAAAGACTCCATTTAGAGCAGTAGACTAATTCTTTTCGTCAGGCGGGCGAATCTCGCGAGGTCGGGGTTTTCACGATGGCACTCGCTACCCTCAGATGCCAAACGCTGTAGCCACCTCTTGGTTTATCTCGTTTGATCAGATCAAAAACTCTGATCCTCGCGCTGCTAAGCTGTTAGGATACCTATCCTATATCGAGCCAAAGGCGATTCCACGATCTCTGCTTCCACCTCTTGAGTCGGAGGAAGAGATGGAGTCTGCAATTGGCACGCTGTGTGGATATGCATCCTTGACGAAGAGGGATGACGACAGTGTATTTGATATGCATAGTTTGGTGCAGCTATCAACACGTATATGGTTAGAAAAGGAAGGGCATGGGCGACAGACCATCGAGACCGCGATATATCGTATGGAGGAGTGCTTCCCATCTGATGAACACACGAACCGTGAGATATGGAGAGCATATCTACCACGCGCCCTTTAGCTTATTCAGTGGAATGAGTGCAAAGATATAAGGGAGAGCTATTCTCTTCTTTCGAAGGTGGGTTGTTGCGTCTTAGCGGACGGCCGCGCGCGAGAAGCCGTTGGCTACTTTGAAGAGGTGATGGCATGGAACGAATGTCATCCTGACGAACACCCCTGCCGACTGGAGTCCCAGCATGAACTCGCAAGTGCCTATCTATTCAATGGCCATATTAAGCAGGCCGTGGAGCTCCTCGAACACGTGGTCGCGGTCGAAGGGGGAACTTTCTTGAAGATGATCCTAGTCGACTAGCGGCTCAGCATGAACTCGCAGAAGCAAATAAATCGAATGGCCAGATCGAGCAGGCCGTGAAGCTTCTTGAATATGTCGTGGCAGTCGAAGGGAGAACACTCGGTGAAGAGAATCCTAATCGATTAGCGTCTCAACATGGGCTCGCACAAGCGTACAGTTCAAACGGCCAGATGATGCAGGCCGTGGAGCTGCTCGATCATGTGGTTGCAATAAAAATTAGAATGCTCAGTGAAGAATACCCCGATCGACTAGCGTCCCAGCATGAGCTTGCCGGTGCGTATCAATCTGATGGCCAGATCGAGCGTGCCGTGGAGATCCTTGAGCATGTGGTCGAGGTTCGCGAGAGAACGCTTTATGAAGAGCACCCTGATCGACTAGCATCTGAGCATGGACTCGCAGTAGCCTATCTGTCCGACGACCAGATTCAGCAGGCCGTGGAGCTCCTCGAGCACGTAGTCGCGGTTGAATGCAGGACGCTCAATGAAGACTCTATCTCTCGACTGGAGTCTCAGTATGAGCTAGCAATAGCTTATCGATCCAACGGTCAGACCAAGCAGGCCGTGGAACTCCTCGGGCACGTAGTCGCAATCGAAGGGAAGATACTCGATGAAGAAGATCCTAATCGACTGGCGTCTCACTATGAACTCGCGATAGCCTATCGATTTAACGGCCAGACCGAGCAAAGCGAGGAGCTCCTCTAGCAGATACTCGCAATAGAAGGGAGAAAGTCAGACGAAGAAGCTCCTTATCGACCGGAGTCTCAGCTGCGAATTCACAGATGCGAAACAGTTATCTACGAAGAAACGAAGAAATGGAGGGAGAGAGAGAGAGCAAGCGATAGGTTAAACCAAGAAGAGAGGAAGAGGAAGAAGAACAGGAGAACTTGCACCTTACATAAAGAAGTAAAAGGGCAACTGCAGTCAAAATGAAAATATCACCGATTAGGACATCGTGACTCTCTCCTATACGGATTGCGGACGGGTCGGATATATGTATAGAATGATTTTTGACAGTAAAACAACATAGACGATCTGGTTGATAAGAATGAATTAAAATCTACACGTTGTAGATTGTTCTTCCAGGGATTACTATATGTAATAAATTTTGCAATATCATTGATCTAGGTGACCGCTTTTCGGATTTGGACTGAGATAGTGTCGATGTGACTTTTGGGCCCGCAAAAAAAAGATTTTCCATCCCGCACATGTCCATGAGTCTTATTCATTTCTGATGAGCAACCTCAAAGTATCCGGAGAAATTCATTGTTTCATCCGGTCGACTGAGAAGCGAATATGGCCATGAAGATGCCATCAGCATCGACGCAATCATCACCAAATTGAGTGGCAGGATTATGCGACCTTGGATCTCAACTATGCCAACCCGAAGAAGCCGAGCGCTGGCAGCATGTCTCTACTGCCGCGAGAAAAAGGTGAATCTTTGAAAGTTGGGATGTGATGGCCAGATGAATGGAGCTTCCTAATCACCAATTTTGTAGCTGAAATGCGACTCACAAAGGCCTGTCTGTAGTAATTGCCTTGCAAAAGGTATTGATTGCCAACATAGTGCCACTCCGCTTAAACCAAGGTAGCCGGAGTTCTTCTGATGATTCGCCCATCGATACTAATGTCTGATTTAGACCAACAAACCGTCGAATTGCACAATTAGAACAAGAAAATGCAACACTTCGCCAGCAGTTTCTTCAAAGACGAAATTCGAATTTTGCAAATGAATCTTCCTTGACGCAACCCGAGGCCGCCTTAGCTGCGATCAGTCCAACGCGAAACCAACTCACAGTCTCTCCGCCTCAAAATGCTGGGCTTTCGCCAATTGATTATCCCTCCAGTCGGGGAAGTCATCCAGAAGTACCAGATGGTGATCATCGTCGCAATAGTATATCATTGTACCATGGTCCAACCAGCGCAGTCTACGATGATACCGTGAACTCAGGAGCTGGAGACGAGAACGCGGAGTTATCCAACTCTTTTATTGGAGATGAATGGACTCGTCGCCTTCTTTTCGCAGAAACAGCAAGACAAAGTAAATCTCCTTAATACGAAACATAGCGACCTTGGAAATGTGATGATTGATGCAGACCTCACAGGACAACTGGAACCCCTCAACCTTGCAGCAGGAAAGCTCGATTTCGATGAAGTCGACCCCGAAATTGGGATGCGTTTACTCTCAATCTACTGGAGCCGCCAGCTCTACACGGCTCAGATCATCTACCGACCAGCTTTCATGCGTGACATGGCCTGCGGCGGGCCATATTTCTCCAAATTGTTACTGAACGCCATCTTTTTCACCGTCTCCAAGCATTGCTTACGACCGGAGATTCGATCAGACCCAGAGGACATCACTACGGCGGGATGGAAATACCGCCAGCGATTTACAGAGCTTCTGCGAGACAATTTTGATAAAAGTGAGATTACGACTCTTCAGGCATTGCTCATCATGTCAAATTCGCTCTTCTCGCGATGTGACGAGCGAAGTCTTTCTTGGTTATATGCTGGGAATGCTTTCAATATGATCATAGATCTTGGACTTCACGTGCTTCCTTCGTCGAACAAATTGTCTGCAGAGGGGCTTGAAGTCCGGAAACGGGTCTTATGGGGCGCATATTGTAAGCTAACAGAACCGCAATGACCTGACCTGGTACTGATCGCTAGCATGTAGCAATTGATAAAATTCAATGTCTTTATCAAGGAAGACCTCCACTCCTTCGTCAAATCAACTTCAAAGCCTCTCTCAATTTTCTGGATGAATACGATGAGCTTGATTCTTTCCAGGATATTAGCTACAATTCAGTGCACCATGGACCAGCCTTACCCTCACTGAACGTGTCTTTATTAACGAAACTCTGCGAACTTTCCACAATCACAGAACGTATTCTCTGTGAATTTTACTCCGAATCTCATTCCATGAACCAAAGTCAAAGCCAAAAGATTTCAAAAGACATCAACTCTGATCTAAGCAAATGGCGACGAAGCTTACCACCCCAGCTCGACTACCTGCTTCACCCCTCCGAATCTGTCCCCCTTCCACAATCATTTTGCCTTCTGTGCGCCCACCATCCCCATACCAGATTAACAGACTACCACAACTTATACTGATTGCTCCCAGCGCGCTCTCGAATGTCCTGATAATCCTCTCCCAACGGTCCCTCTTTACCGGCCACAATCGGCCCCCTAATAACGCAACAGCCTACGAATCCGTCAACATCTGCACGACCGCCGCAAACCAGATCGTGCAAATCCTGCGCGACTATTCCCAAAATTTCTCAATCCGAACAGCGCCCTATATGCTCTCCTACGCGACTTACATCAGCGCAACAATTCACGCACGAATAGTGGCACAAAAAGGCCGTAACTCGAATTCATTCCAGTCACTTATGCTTTGTCGAAATGTTTTACGGGAACATCAGTGTTTGTACATGGCGGCTGGGAAGGCGGGGGCAAATCTTGATAGACTGATTGCCCGTTTGGGAATTGAAATTGGAGATACAGTACAGGGTTGGAATGGTGGACCCGGGCGTGATGGGCAGGCTGAAGAGGTTAGGCCAGCTATTGAGCGAGCGTGTTCGGCAGAGGGTGTGGAAATGGAGAGCCCACATTTGAACTGGGAATTGTCGGATCTCGATCTTGAAGCTATTGCACAGGGGTTTCGGCTTGATGGAGAGTTGCATTATCTTATGCATCCAGTTGGGATTTAGCTGAAAATGCATTCTCCGATCTGTGAAGAGGATTTTGTTGATTTGCCATTTGGATTCGCAGCGACTAATCGGATTATTTCGTTCCGGTGGAATCACGCGCAATGATTACGATGATTAAATGCAACACTAGACAATCTTCTTTGGTGAACACCTTGGCCTTCAGGATTCCATATCGTCAATTAACACACATGAGCAACAAATTACAGCGTTACTTGTCTAGACGCATTCAGATTGAGGCTAGCCTACTGCAGCGCCCTCGAAATGCATGTCCTGACACCCTGAAACAACACCAGAACTGCAATATAGTCTCGAGAACGCGGAAGTCTGATTAGACGTACTTCAGCCTTCATAATAAACTTGCCAAGGGTGGTTCTGAGTAAATCCCAACATCTCCTTTATCTTCTTGTTCGTGCACGGCGTCTCCCTCGCATCCATTTCCCGCGTATGAGGCACATCAGGACACACCCTCGCCAAGAACCCAGCCACAGAAGGCGTATAATTCGTGATCTCATCATTGACAGCATTGAAGGCCTGAAATTTCAATCCATCTTTTTGAACCGCAAGGTCACACATCTGACCCAAATCCCGCGCATCAGTATAGCCCCAACCATGAACAGCCCAATTCTCCGGGGTCTTGATGTAGGAGTCGAACACAGCACCCTTGTATTCATGCGGCGCAATGACGGGTCCGATTCTCAAGACGTATATGTCGTTCCCAAAACGACGGGCGAAGCCACGAGCGACGCGTTCTCCGCAGACTTTCGAAATAGCGTATGTGTCCATGGGATTTGTGTCGACATCTTCGTGGACCGGAAAGGACGGGTAATCGACGTTGCCCTCGGCAAAGCTGACACCGTAAACAGTGACCGAGCTAGCAGTGACAATCTTCTTGATACCTAGTCGGCAGGCTGCTTCGATGACATTATAGGTGGAGAGAGTATTTCCCCGGAATGTCTCGTTGTCGGGAACAATCATGTTTCGTGAGTACCCAGCTAGGTGAATGACTGCGTCAGGGAGCAAGTCTAGTGGCTCGCGGAATGGCTCGGTCAATTTGAAGTGCGATGTAAACGCGCTGTACACTTGGCCGCTGTCCGTCAAATCGACTCGCATGGTATGAACGCGGTCCGAGAGCGGCGCGGGAGAGGCATCAAGTCTAAGTTGAGGACTTGATGGCCTTGTTCCAGTAGATAGTCGATTACATATTGACCTGCTTTGCCAGAGCCGCCGGTCACAATAATTCGTTTGCCCATTTGGATGAATCTCAATTGTTTCGAATCAGAGTATGGAGAGGGGTGAGACCAATAAAGTGGAGGAGAAGCTAAGAGGTGAGACAGTATTTTGACTAGCCTTCCAAGCAGAGGATCAGTAAGGTCGATCAGTATGTAGACTCGAGCAATGCGGAGTATCTTGCTGAGCGGTGGAAACGCGGGAAGAATTCGGGACATGACTTTCCGAGCTCGACTCTGGAATGAGGCCTTCCGGGAAGCAGGGTTTAGCCGTCGCTTTCGACACTGAATGATGTTGCCCATCTCTGATCGTGAACAAGTCCAGTCCCGGAGTGGGTACTAGGCATTTAATCACCAAACTGAACTAAAACGTCATTTACCTCCATACCACTTAAACATACTGGACGTGCTTCAAACTTGAACATCATTTGAGGTAAGTATTCGTACTATGGTAAATTGAACGTGTCTTTGCGGGTAATATTTTCATTATGAAGAGTACAGGCCGCCATATGAACCACAATATCAGTGGTTATGTCTGGGCGGGCCATCGCGCTGTGCCAAACGTTGATACTTGACAGCCTTTTTCAATACCATTCCATCGGAGAGTTGACTGGTCTCCTGGCGGAAGATTTCTTGCCAGGGAGTACCACTGGGAACCAGCGGATAGTCCGTCTTCCTGGCGTCCTGAATCCTTTGTTGAAGCTCGTTGTCATCAATCATGATATCCACGCGGCGCTTACGCAAATCGATACGGAGCTTGTCTCCGTCTTTCAGAATGGCCAGATTACCACCGGCAGCTGCTTCAGGGCTGGCGTTCAAGATTGATGGGCAGCCTGATGTTCCAGATTGTCTTCCATCGCCGATACAGAAAAGTGCATCAATGCCCTGCTTTAGTAATCGACTGGGAGGGTGCATGTTGACAACTTCCGCTGCACCAGGGTAGCCTAAGGGACCGACGCCACGCATGATCAGAATCGTCTTGTCATCAATGTTGGGCATAGTTTCGAGGCGACTGTTGTAATCCTCTGGGCCATCGAACACCACAACTGAACCCTCAAAGGCCTCTGGGTCTTCGGGGTTGGACAGGTAGCGTTCGCGGAAAGCAGACGAGATCACACAAGTCTTCATAATAGCAGAGTCAAACAAGCTACCCTTCAGATGAATGAATCCAGCATCTTTCATCAAAGGATCACTGTAAGGACGAATCACACGACGATCCCAAGAATGCTTGCCGCGGACGTTCTCCGCCATTGTCTTTCCATTGCAAGTCATAACATCGCCATTAATCTTGCCTTGGTCTAGAAGTTCTGCCATAATAGCCGGGAGACCTCCAGCGCGGTAGTATTCTTCTCCGAGATATTCACCCGAAGGCTGCATGTTCAATAAAAGAGGGATGTGTGATCCAAGATTGTCCCAATCATCCATTGACACGGGAACACCCATATGTTGAGCAATGGCGTTAATGTGTATGGGCGCATTTGTGCTACCTCCGAAGGCAGCGTTAGCCACGATAGCATTCTCGAATGCTGCGCGGGTCATCAAGTCACTGGGCTTGCGGTCTTCTTCCACCATCTCTACAATCTGCTTGCCAGTTTCGTATGCACATTGGGCTCGGTGGCGGTATGCTGCAGGGATAGCTGCCGAACCTGGAAGAGCCATACCAAGAGACTCGGCGAGGGCATTCATGGTAGATGCGGTTCCCATTGTGTTGCAGTGGCCGACTGATGGGGTTCTTAATTTCACATGAGTGAACTATTCAGTTCCAAGTATTGAAAAGGACTTACCCTCGCGAAACATAGTCCATAAATTCATATTCATCGATCTCACCCGTGGCGTACATCTCTCGGCCCTTCCATAGAACAGTCCCGGCTCCAGTCAAGGCTCCCTTGGAATACCCGTTGAGCATCGGTCCAACATTCAGACAAATTGCCGGAATGTTCTTTCCATAGTCAGAGACATAAACGTTCTCTGCAGAACAGAATGACTCACCACTGTAGCCGCAGCCATCAAGCAAGCAGGGGTCGTCTTATCACAACCTGTCAAAAGGACCACACCATCAAGAAAATAACCCGTAAGAATCTCCACCAGGCCCAGATAAGCCAGATTCCTATCAAGAGTCGCAGTAGGCCGTCTGGACGTCTCTTGAATTGGGTGTACCGGAAATTCAAAAGCGATACCTCCAGCCGTGCGAATACCCTCACGAACACGCTTGGCCAGCTCCTGATGGTGACGGTTACAAGGGGCAATATCAGAGCCTGTCTGAGCGATTCCAATCATAGGTTTACCCGACATGAGCTCTTCACGGGTTATTCCGTAGTTGAAGTACCGCTCCATGTAGATAGCGGTCATGCCGGGATCGCTACGACAGTCAAACCACGCCGAGGAACGTAGCGTCCTGCCTGGTTTCCGGATAACATTGGGCTTTCCACTGTTTGAAGTTACGCCGAGACGAGTTTCAAGCTCTTGATTGCGTCGGCGAAGAGCGTTGAGTTCGGCGAGACAGTCTTCGATCTCGACTGTCTTGGGTGGGGCGTCACTGCAGGAACAGCCGTCACACTTTTTCTGGCAAGACATGGCTGGGAGAATGTTAATCACTCTTCCAGAGTCTGGACTTGAGAAAATGATGTCTGGGGGGACTCGTTATGTACCCGGGAGGGTGGAGGGGTCCAACCTTTAACCTTTCATTTCGATATCACTCAAAGCGGGAGGTCGGCCTGGGACATTCCTATTGGGCTCTCCAGACTTGAACACATTTCCTGTAGCCCCAGTGTGGCAATGTTGATGTGGACCAATGAGGTGGGTCCTATTGGGGTGCATTGCGGGAAAAGGAAATCGGAGTTTTGCCATCCGGGAAGTCATGTTCCGAACCGGAGTGTGACTCTGGACGTGGGCAAATACGTGTGGGCTCTGCTAACCCCACCATCCGCAGAAATTGGGGTATGTAATTATTGCTGTCCCAATGAACGGATCACAACTTCATTTAGCTACTAGTGTCGCTACAATGGCCATAATGTGTATATAGAAGACCTCTTTAACATTTGGTAATAAAGGTATTCAGACAAGACCTCCAACAAATCTGATCTACATCAATTGAGATGGATTGTGTATTTATGGACGAGGTTTGCGACTTCGAATAGGGCCGGCTGCAATCCTCCCATCCGTCTAAATTCATTCGGACATGCGTTTAGCTGGATGACGCACACTTGACATCCAGTAGGATGTCATCCACCTGAAGGATGAATTGTTAGCACAACTCGCATGCGTGGTTCCTCAAGACTTACATTGGTGCAAACAAATGCATCATCCCCGTCTGGACTCGTTACGTCAATCTTAGTCGCTTTGATATCCGAGCAGACCTAGAGAAAAGTTAGAGCGAACCCGAAATCACATATGTGCACCTTTTTAACATACATCGGGACTCGAGCAGACGATTGTTCCCACATCGGGGTCGTATTTTCCAGACGTCGTTCCCTTGATATTTGTAAAGAGCACATCCGAGATAGTGAGGCTGCTCTGTGGTTGGAAAATAACAATTAGCTTGTTCTTCTGAAATAATGCAGTATGTGAGGGATGCATACGGGGTACTCATTGCACAGAGTCAGATTACTTTGTCCGTAGCACTGGGTAACTTCGATAGCGTAGTCGACGTTGTCGATTGTCATTGTATCATAGGTAATGTTTTTCACACTACCAGAGCCGCCTCCACCCTGCAGATCTGTGGAGAGAGCAGAGGAAACACCCGGCCAGACCTTGATGCGCGCACCATCCTGACACTTTGTTAGCAGTCATGGCCATAAGGTATGCTTGTATGCTGGGCTGTAAAGCTTACCGAGGCGTTGAACATGGAAATGTTGAAGATGAGCACGTTCTCAACAATATCAATCTCATTCTTGTACTGGCCCAGAGAGCCAACGGAGATACCATGTGAGCCATTGCAGTGAAGGTTCTGGACCAGAATCTCGGTGCTGTTAGGTTTGAAAGAGACACAATCTGCTGGAAATTTAGCGCGAAACTAGTCAATCATGATACAGGGCACGTACCATCGCCGTTGTTAATGACCGAGTCCTGAATAACAATGTTAGAGGATCGATAGATATCCCTAATCGCCAATTCATCAGCTAACATCGGGTGATCCAGGAACAGACAACTCACCAGCCATCCGTATTCTTCGCCGTATTGCTGCTCGTACTATAGCCGGTGATATCTATCCCCTCAAACAGCACATCTGTCGAGTTTGCTACGAAATGATACCACTGCGGCGAGTATCGAAGCTTCAACGGACCGATGGTACCACCATGCAAGCCGATGACGCCTACCAGCACTGGACGCAGAATCAGAGCATCTTTAGCGTAGAGGTCATACCAGACCTGGCCATTGCCGTCCAAGATGCCATCGCCGTAGACGTTGACGTCTTCACCACCAAGTTGGAAAAAGGTAGTTGCGTTTTGGTAGACTTGCTTAAAGGCGTTCGCTTGCCAGTAATCCGTGTCGTTAGTGAACTGGATGGTCCCCAGGATCTCTGTCATTGCCAATCAGCTTTTGTACCGAGAATAAGTGCGATGTCCGTGAAATATACCCAGATCCACATGCTTGAGGAAAGTCATATCCATGGCCGTGCCGACAGTATAGGTTTTATCGGCGTCGAAGACAACTTTGCCGCCATTGTTACATTTTTTCAAGGCAGACAGAATATTGGCAGCATCATCTTTGCCGTGGCCATGGCTAGCAACGTGGCAAGTCTTGGTTCTCGCTTGACTGGGAGGAAGCGGCTTGAACGGGTGATGCGGCTTGCAAGCGTCTGTTCGTGAGTGTCCCTTTCCCTCAACAGCAATACCGAGAGACAAAAATAGGCTAATAGCCTGCATCAACGCCGAGATCTTCATGGTCAGCCGCAATGACTGGATCTGTGCCTGGACTTTTGAAGGAAGTTGAGGATCTAACATAAGCGGTGGGATGGATCTTTTTATATCCGCGAAACATAACAATAGACCTTGCATCGGCCTACATCATTTCTTGTTGCGACGCTAAGCAACGCCTGCAGACATGGGTTTAGCGGGGTAGGCCGCTCTGCAGCAACTTGATCCGGGGAAATGGCACCGCTTGTTGTGGGGAAAGCGCGGAGGAGAAACCCTCGCATTGAATTGGTGTGTTTTTGAGGACTTCGGAGATTGAAATACTCTGTTTTAGCGCGAGGAAAGTATCAGCGGGAGTCTAATCAGAGGAAGATCCGAGATGCATTTCACCGATTGGGAGGAAAATTTACGGGGGAAATGCACGAGTCGCTGGGACTGCGCTACCGGGGTGCTTGGCCCCGACAATTCTGGACAAGAAGCTATTGAGTCCGAGCAGGATGTTACAAGTTGGTCCATTCTAGTCATTGTTTACCCCTTGAAGATCTTGCAAATAGTAGGGGCGACGCGTCTTTACTTTCAGCGATTCAAAGTGATGAACAAAAACAATGACCATGCCATGGTTTATATGTACAGCGGGTCATTCCCGACGAAATCGCAGAAAGGGAATGAATCCTGATCCCAAACGAGTGGCAGATGAGTCTCGTCCAGGACCCAAGGCTTCTTTATAGACGCCGTTCTACGTGCAGCACTTCAAAGTATTTTCCATGCCCGCACAATCTCCATTTCATCCGTCCGGTCCAGATAATTTAGGCGGTCTTCTCGACAATCTTCTTCTCAGCCTTCTCGACGGCGCCCTCGGTGGCGTTGGCAACTGCCTTGACAGAGTCAACGGCCTGATGTTCCATCTCCTTGGCGGCCTCGATGGAACTACCCTCTTTGGCTGCGTTGCCACATGAAGATACGGGTGACCTGGACGGCACCAACGCATCCAAGGAAGAAGTTGACGGCGGCAAGCCTATGACATAATGAGCGGAGTAATAATCGAATTGAATAATGTCAGAACTTACAAAACGTTACGGGGCTTGATGATCATGCACCAGCGGGTCCAAATGGCTCCGGTGCCCATCAGGGCGGCGTTCTGAGTAAGGGAGAGCTTCTCCGCAGGGCGGGCGAAGTCGGCCATACCGGCGATAACGAGGCACCACTATGAAATATGCATCAGCTTCGCGTCCTTCTTACTCCAAGCATTCCAAAGCTGAGCCATAAGTATGCCTTGTCGGTCCGTGTCATCGTCGACAGTTGAAAGGAGCGTAGCGCTTTTCAAATGGGAAATGCATGCAACCATCGTACCTTCATAACAGGGGCCCTATAAGTCAATGATGTTTAGCACACATCCTGAATACAGTATCATAGATGCGAATGAACGGCAGACACTTACCAGAAGTGCACAGTCTTCACACCGACAGGGCTGTTCCACATGCGCTGGAAAGTGCTCTGCTTGGCGGCATCGGCACCAGCCTCAGTGCTCGAGAAGCGGAAACCCTGGGCACCCGGCCGGCGGAATGGCGCAGAGGCATTGCGAAACGCGAAGCGAGTGCTGTTGAGGAAACGGAAACCCACGCGAGACGACATGGTGAATGTGGTGCGGAGGTGACGAGGTGTTGGGGTTGGGAAGAAGGGCGGGATCGGCCGGTGACCGGGGTCTCAAGTTTTCCGTCGGGGATAGCACGGAGATATAGTAATCACCACCACACGCAGGTAGAGTAATAGGAGACAAGCAATTAAGCACTGAAGCTATCCAAGCAATCAAATCAAGCTCGCGACACTCGTACTCGTCGCATTCAAGCGGTGCTGTTCCCGCTGAGGTAAGCTATCCGCGCTAAACCCGATCAGGACTGGTGGCAGTCACGGTCTGCCGGGCGAATCATCGCCGCGGTGAATCAGACATCCTTTCGTCCCTCCAAAGTTGTCTCATCCTCCAATTCCGACCTGCCATACTGTCACCATGTCTGGCAAGTACGTCTTCACCAAGGGCCTGAAGGAGCTCCGCTTCCTTTTCTGCCAGACCTCTGAGGCCAGCGCGCCTGTAAGGTATGTCCACATGTCTCCGTGTCCAGCAACACCAACCCACCCATTGCACTGGCTAACTCGTGCTACAGGTCTTTCCTTCACCGCGCCTACCCTACCATGAAGAAGCACAATCCCCACACTCCTATCATGATGCGCGAGGCCTCGGGCACCGAGCCGCGAGTATTCGCCAGATACGGTATGGCGGGACGCAATCGAAGGAACAGGATAAAGCTAACACCGTTGACCGCACAGAGCTTGGCAAGGAGAAGCAAGAAGCGCTGTCCGGTTCGCATTCCCGGCCTCAACCGAAGCAAAAGCACTAAATCGCTAACTCAAACCAGGCCTGTCCGACTCGCAGATCGAAGAGCGCATCACCAACCTGGTGAAGCAGAGCTCATAACGACATATCCCATTAGCACCTCTGTCTTATGTCCTTGCCGCGATTCTATCCGTTCTACAAAGTGTACCTATAGATGAAATTCGACGAATTCGTCCCAATTGACTACACGCTTCGAAGTCTTTCGCACTTTCGTTTTTTTCTTTTCCGTCCGCATTGAGCGGCTCATTGATTCAAGTGGTTACAAATGCGGTTTTTCGCAGTTTTGCACTACTATGATGCGCCAATTTAACTGGATATATAGCACCAATACACAGGGCTCAATGAGCCCTTCAGCCGGCCCAATCCGGATCCAATCTATGTTTTCCATTTCAACAACTCAATTCCTCTCAAAACACACTCAAGCATCCGAAAGTCTCAATTTTTGAAACAATCATTTTCAACGAACACTATCATGATTACGAAGAACTAGCATTTCCGACCTCCCCAAACCTAAATTGTGACCAACTCATACTGCCCTCAGATATGCCCAAGTTCTCTTGCCCAAATCCAGCCCTGCCGCACCTGCCCCAATATGAATAGGAAGCAGATGATCAAAGGTCGGATGTGCCTGGCGTGCGTCAGGTCTCTTGAGCAACGCAGCCATAGCTTGCTCCCGCTCATCCGGCACAGAAGTAACAGCCTCCTTGAGCGCCTCATCGAAACTGACAGCGTACGGCAAAGGGCGCGGATTACCCCAAGTAAAGCGCATATCGCGCAGATTGTGAACTGCCATTCCCGAGACGATGATAAGGATGTTTTCTTCGCGGAGGCGGGAGACGGCTTGGCCGAGCCGGTAGTGTTGGATAGGGTCCTCGGTATCAAAGAGGGAGACTTGGACGATTGGGATGTTTAGGGGGGTTTTGTTCTGGTTCGAAGGCTGGAAGAGGTAATTAGTCTTTTGGAGGTTTCAAGTCTAGAAGGGGATTGTACGGACCACACTTGAAACTTGCCCAGACACCGTGATCGAGGCCACGGTTTACGCCTTTGGCTTCGATTCCGGCTTCCTTAAGCAGATCGAGGACTTTATGCGCGACTTCCTTGCTGCCGATGTTGGGGTATTTCTCTTTGTAGTAGTGGTCTGGGAAACCATAGAAGCTGAAATGATCCTGATTAATCATGTGCGCAGGGGATCCGGGTTTTCAAACTTACTCATAGATCAGATTCGTCTTTTCAGCCGTGTTGACATAGATGGTGTCTTTTCCACCCTGCCAATGCGCCGAGAAGACAACCACCGCACGGGGCTTAACCTTGGTAGTGATCTCGCGCCCGATCTCTCCGAGCTTGCGGTATGCTGGGTGCTCGATATCATACATGACATTAGGCTACATGTAGTCTCTTAATCAGTAAGAAATTCAAGATAGAATGTATGAGGTGTGAATCATGACGCACCCCGCCATGGCTCAGGAAATAAACTGGGGTTTTCATGCTGGCCGTAGAACTCTCGAGTTCTGGAGTGACCCTAGCCTTTGCAGACGCTGCTGCTGCGACAGATGCGGATGCTGAGAGGGGAGCTACCGAGCGAGCGGCGCGGGTGGAAGATCCGAAGAGGCGGCGGAAGCTAGACACTGTGGCGGTATCGCGCGCGAAAAATGCAATAAGCGCGGCGATGACCAGAGGAAGGAGAGAGATGAAAAGTATTTTGCGATTGTCGCTTCTGGACCCTGGTGAATGATTTGGATGCTGCGATGGAGCTTCAGAAGACATATATCGCTCAAGTTTTGGATTGCGCAATGCACCCAAGCTCTAAGAAGTCGAAGCGTGTAATTGAGAAAGTGGCGCTATAGAAACATATAGAATGCAGGTATAATAATCAGCCATAAGGTGTGGTTTAAATCTCAGGCCCTTTCGGAAGTACAGGAGTCCCGATGGCATAAGCCGACCCGAAAAGTGTGTCAGCGCGGAATGCGTCCGCTCGGAAATCCGGATATACTCTTGCAGCTTCAACGTCTAAAGATAAGGAAAGTCCCAAGACAATGCGTAAAAATGGTGGTTATATACGTCGGCATACTAGAAGCAGAGGCATGGAACAAAATCTGTTGGCAATCCATCATCTAAATGCGATAGTCAGGCCCGGCTCCAGGGTATTAAATTCCCATCGTATCCCGTACCAGTCATGTCTTTCCGTAAGTCAGGATTCGAATTCAACACACACGCGCCAAGAACTACAAGCAAACCACCAGCAACCATCAAAAAAAATCCCTTGGGTGAAAAGATAGGAGCAAAATTGTACAGCCCGAGCCCAAGATGGTCCATCCGAACCAGGGTCGGTTCATCATCATGCGCCAGTCATTAGGAAGATACATGCAATGGGAGTCCGTGTGGACTCAAGGTAAAGAAAAAGTAGGATAAGAAGAATTGAAGATTTACATGAGGATGCAGTCGCCATCGGTTTGCTTGTTGACGGCTGAGCGTGAGAGACGGGTCTTTTCCATCCGAGTTCCCCCCCTTCTTGAGGTCCTCGAGACGTTCCCGGGCTTTGGGCAATCCTTGAGCTAAGAAATGTGTTAACGATAGTTGTTGCAAGGATTCAGAAAAGACTCACAAGCTGCACGCCAGTACCATCTCTTTGCGTCCTCCAGATTCGCAGACACGCCAATTCCAACCTCAGTGAAGTATCCCATGGCATACTCTGCCTTGGCAAGACCAGCAGTGGCTGCTTTGCGAGCCCAAAGATAGGCCTCCGTGTCATTTTGCTGCAGAATGCCTTCGGAACCAGTAAGGTACCAACCACTGAGAGCGAGTTCACTCTGATGCTCACCCTGAGCGGCGGCACGGGTATACCAGATGATACTCATGCGATTGTCGACTGGATTGCCCATAAGACCATACTCGTAGGCTGTGCCCAGTCGAAACTGCGAGAACTTGTAGCCCAGGTCCGCGGCTTGGTGGAATAGTTGGTTGGCGTATTTCTCATCACGGATAATGACGTCGTTTCCACCGGCGTTTTGATACATGAGAGCCAGCTCGTGAAGCGCATGGGGGTTCTCCTCGTCTGCACGCTCAGCAGCACGCTTCAACCATGAAACGCCCTCACGAGGGTTTCGGGCTTGACCCAGCAAGCCTTTCAAGTGAATCATGCCCATCTTATACATCGCCGGGGTATCGCCCAACGCCGCGGCACGCTTGTACCACTGCACGGCCTTGAATGGATCCCGCTTGGTGCCACCGCCTTCTTCTTGGCCAATCTCGGAGCAGACAGCAACACGGTAAGCAGATTGAGCATGGCCGCTTTTAGCAGCAGAGTGATACAAGGCAAAGGCCTCTTTGGGGTCGGCTTCCAGCCCTAGCTGACCCTCGCCATAGCAATCAGCCAGGTAGAATTGTGCATCTGCGTAGCCGGCTTGAACGAGTTTCTTCACGATCTTGTGTGCATCCATGATATACTTCTCCTTTGCCTTGGCTTTCGTCTTAGGGTCAAGTCGATTATTATCTCCAATAAGAACAGTAGCGGCTTCCACTAGCTTCTTAGCGAGGAGAAGTTGAGAAGCTTGGTCGGAAGGGTTGCCGCGCACTTTCTGTTGAAGTTGCTGCAATTCTTCTTGCGTAACAGGCGTAGGTCCCATACTCACTGGACGTGCAGGCTGTGGACCCACGGTGGGAGTTGGCGCAGGCGCGGAAGCAGTGATGGGTGCGGTGTTGTATAGGCGGATTGGAGGAGGCTTTTGATCAAGGCCCGGACGAAACGGTGTTGGATGAACGGGCAAAGCATCGGGGTTATGCTGAGGTTCAGGTGCTCTGGCTTGATTTTGGTACGGACCAGCACCGTTCGCTTCGTAGCTATTAGGAATGTATCCTTCCGGCTGGCGGGGTGGTTCTGTAGGGATATCAAAGTGGAAACCGGCATTTTCGAACTGATTAGGGCCACTTGCATTGCCCATATTGGGTTGCAAGTGCGATTGCGGGATTCCAGATGCCGATTCTGGAGTATAAGGAGAGTATGCGCCGCTTGGTGATGTGACAGGCGGAGAAGTGGGCGTCTGCACGGCTGGCCTCGGGGTATCCAATCCCATCTCATCAATCGGACCCATGTGCGTTTGCGGCATGGCATCGAAGTTCGGCATCTCTGGTTCGTCGCCACTCTCATAGTAACTGTCCAAGAATTCCTTGGGTGCGTAAGATACTCGATTGGATGGATCAGGCGGTGGCGGTATCATTAGTCCCGGATCGATTTCATTAATAGGGCGCGGTGGATGTCGCATTCCCCCGGCCGTGCTAGGACGTAGAGGAGCCTCAACTGGACTGATCGGACTGCTTGCATAGTCGTAGTCTGAGAACGTCTGCTGGGGCCCTGCCGGATACATCATAGGAGGGGCCCCAGAAGGCATCGTCGCACTTCGACCAGGCAGGGCTATGGGAGGCTCTCCCATCCGTGCGGCGCTGGCAGAGCGTGAGGGGCCGGGATAGTAGCCTCCTCTTCCTCTGCTAGACGGCGGTCCGCGCGGAGGTGGTCCTCGCATATCTGGTCGTCGGCCGTTTGAATTCGAAGTATGTGGACGCGGGGGCGGTCTGCTGTTGATATCCATTGCAGCCATTCCTTTCTCTAGGCCTCGAGAAGGAGGACCGCGGCTTCTGGGGTCTCTGGGGTCTCTAGGATCTCTGGGGTCTCTGGGGTCTCTGGGGTCTCTACCGGGAGGGACGGCGGGAAATGGGTTATCGAAGGTAGAGCCCGCGCCTGTGGGGCGACGGCCAGCCGCTTTGCTTACAGTCAATGGCAGTCTATTGGGGAAGGAATCTCGGCTTCACCTACCACTTCTTGAGCGCTTTTCTGAGGGCGGTCTTCCTTCAGGGTAGCCGCGCCGGTCATCATCTCCGACTGGAGGTCGTCCGCCCTGCGGCGGCGGGCGCATTGTTCGCGGTTGCGCTGACGCATTCGGGGGAGACATTGGAGAATTCGAGTAACCGTAGGCCGGGTCTTCATATGCTGGCTCAGGTGCGTAGCCTGCAGCGGTATAATCGGGTCCGAAGCGCGCATCTTGCGCGTAGGGGCCGGGGGGTACTACTGGCGAGGCCGGGGACTGGTTATATTGCCTCAAAGGCGGCGGCCTTTGAGCAGGCCTTGACGGGGCTGGGTAGGCCATGGCTCAGGGGCGTGGACAGGTTGATTCTCTCAAGATCTCCGTGAGTTCGCAATCAGCGCAAGTTTGGTCGCATGCAAGGAGGGTGCCCGGTCACTGCACACCATTAGTCCACGAGTTCAGTCCACAATCTGAAGGCGTAGACCACGTGCCCCCAGGAGTACAAAAGTGCGCGCACGGGACCTACCGTAGACATCGAAGAATTCCCGAACACAGAGTTAAGCGGGGTGGAGAGGTTGAGGGGGCAAGGAAGGAAGACAGGTGACTTTAATAAATGCGAGGCCCACCGGAACGCCGTCATTTACCTCCGCGCGCTTCACTTGGTGCTTCACCGTGACTCTTGGCGCTGTCTGACGGTTCAGTTGGACTGCGCCTCGCTTTCATGAGACATTTACTCGCCACGATCCGAGTCGCTATTCTAGCTGATTCGGTTAGGGGGAATCGGGGGTCTTCTCGGTGCCTGACTAGCTCAACTGGGTAAGGCTCTGCGGAACGGGACCGACGCAAGCCAGTCACGGCCCCGCTGACTTGCAAATTGGAGCACAATCTTGGGGCTTTGAGGTTTAGGAAGAGTTTCATACGAATACGACCTAGCAGCAAAATGCTGCCTGGAAGCACCTTTGAGTCTGGTATATCTGCATACAAATTTTATGCGTGGACCCTAGCTCAAACCACAAGGCCCATTCAATTTTCCACTTTGCACTGGTTCAGTGCCGTTGACCCCACTTTTTCGCAGGCTTCCGCAGCACATCCGTTTTGCGTCCCTTTTCGACGACGGTCGCGGTGAGACAAAATCACTTCTTCTCAGAACTGTGGATGAATGTTCCTTGGTCGCGGTCGAGCTACATATATCTAATCACAAAATTCCAGTGTCCTGGTTACCATGGATCAAGTATTGAGCCAAAGAATGTCACAGTTCTCTTCGGGCACTAAAAAAAGATCAGAGTATAGCGACGTCACGATTATGTGTTGACTATCCTGTTGTCAAGAGTAGATTATTGACCCTAGCGAGCTGTTGGAATGGCACGTTGTGACTTTTAGGAAAAGATGCGCCTCGGTAAATAAATACGCCTGATGACAATATGTCTAGGTGACCTTCATGTTTTGCTTAGACCTTTCAATCAGACTATATAGAAGCTGAATCAGCTCGCAGAATCTAATTCACTTTCCACATTACTCTTGACAGTTTCCTTCCTGCAATGTTGGCCATCATTGCATTAAAAGATCCCAGGAGGATATACTTGAGTAGAGGGGTCTCAAATTTGGAGGGTACGATTTTCAATGATCCTCGAGAACCAAATTCGGTCCGAGAGATCAGGTTACATAGTGTTTCTGGCAATGACCAAGAGTTAGAAGGCCACAACTTCATGGTAAAGCCATAGATTGTCCGCGGGTCCGGAAAATATACATAAACGCCAGTACCGCGAGTCCATGATGGGTGAGAACAGCTTGACTATGGATATATCAGAGGTCCATCTGACGTGTAATGCCGTAAGATGCTGCCTCATTAACGTGGGGAGACAAAGACAATAGAAGGATGGAAGCAGGATGGAAAGTCACAACTTGAGACACCAACAGATGCTGCGCCACGCACAGCCGCATTTGCGCCACACCGCCGGCAACAAATGAGCGCTCCGATGATGCCGATGATGTCTCACAGAAACAAATCCTCCAAACCCCTCTTTTGCTCCACGTCAGCGGGTTCAAATATCTCCGACACATCCGATTTACCGAGAGACAGAGTATCCACGATGTCTCGCGCTGGAATTTGGGCCAAGACGGCCATCGGGTGAGGCATGCGACCAGCATCCGCTACAGACAAGTGGCTGACGTATCTGATCTCAGTGGTCTCGCTCTGTGTGTTGGTGGACCAGCGATGGTTCAATGGCTCCGGCCAAGTGATGAAGAGCTCGTTAAGCGGTACAGTCCGGAACTGAAGAAGCGCAGCCAGGAGCAGGGAACTGCCAAGGAGCAGGAATTCGACGACTATGTTACCAAGCTGAAGGAGTGGTCCAAATCAGATAAGTCCAGTATGTTGACGGAATGAACCGACTTGTTACTATTCGAGTCATCATGGAGCCACCAGGCTAACACGACTATCACCTAAAGTCTGGTTCGCCGCGAAAGAAGAGGCGGACGCCAAGCAAGCAATCATAGATGCGCAGCGCCGTCGCGCCAAAGAGGAGACTCGGGTACAGCGGGAGGAGATGCGGAAGGAGTTGCTGGGCGAGAAATGATTGCCACGAAAGGTTGCAGGCTGTGCGACTCGATCATTTATCTACAACGTCTGTCGTGAATTCGCATGGTCTCGTCTCCATGACTTGACGGAATCTTGCTCCTTAACAACCGCTCTTCTTCGACTTCGCCGAACCTGTCGCCAAATGTTTTGTCGTTTCTCGACTGCATCTATTCTTGTCGATCTCAAAATACCCTTCCTCCCCTCCTGGTGAGAAGTTACTCTTAACGAGTCAATGGAGCAGTCTTGCTGAATCCGATGGACGATCTCTACGGTGTGTACGATATTTGCTTATCGCGTTCTTGCAAAGAGGCGCCTCTGCTATTATTTGAGGCTCTGTATATCTGCTTGATTATCATCCCTACCTTTTTATAATATGATCGTACTGAGTAATTTCTTGACTATCCCATCCAGAACTACCATCTAGTGCTCGCAGAGAAAAAACTCTCCACTAGTAAATACCTGATTATGCTCTTCACTCTTCACGCTCCTTTCTTCCATCAGCTCCAACCTATATCTCTTCGCCTCCTCCAAAGACATAGTCGACTTTGGCATATCCTTGCGCACAATTTCCTGCAACTCGACTGGCAATCGCTCACGTAGAAGCCCGTCAATCAGACCTTGTCGTCCCTGACTCCACTCTTCCTGCTGTGGCGGGATATTGGCCGACGAAATGATTCTCACGTGCGGATCAACAAGGAATAACGCCAGAATCTTGCGATGGCCAGGCCTTGATCGATCGGCCAGGGAAAATGGAGATACACGGTGTTGAAGAACATTAGGGAAAGTGAGTAGTCTGTTCTCACGACACACGACCTCTCCAAGCTCCTGCGTCATGCCATTGGGATTGTCCCCGAAGTTTGTTCCTCTGCCTGGGAATCCAAAGATCTGCTGGAGGAAATAGTGGTTGTGTTGTTCATAGGAAAACCCGTCCGTGAGATCTATTCCGGTGCGATGGCGAAAACAGAGAGTGCTCTGAGTGATGTTCTCGCTGGCGTAGTAGTAGATGGCTGTTGCGCAGATTCGTTCGTTCTGAAAAAAAAAAAGATTAGTCCGAGACTCGAATAATGCATGTGGAAGTCTTACAAGTTGTCCCTCGACATGCCAGTTCCCTCCATTGTACTCGGGTTTGTCGGGTGTGAGCTCGATATTCGCTAGCTTCACAATAACCTGAAGTCCGGTATCTTTGAACTTCTTCCGAAGATCAAGACGCTCTTCGACAGGGTGTTGATTCGGTGGCCTAAATTCCGCATGTGGCTCTGGGAGCACGAACAAGCGAGCAGCAGCCCAATCCTCGCGACGATCCCAGTAGACCCTTTCGTCCTCATCTTCACCTTGGACCGGCTCCGGTTCCTCATGCTCACCGGCGTAGTAGAACTGGTCTGCATCCGCGATTCTTTCTCCCCATTGAGAAGATCGCGTCAAACTCTGGTTCCAGAGCGGAATGGTCCGATCAAGGATCTTCTCGATGGCACGATATAGAGCTTTGTGCTCAAGTGGGTGAACGTTGTTTATGTAGGAAGTAATGCGACATTCGGGCTCAGATCCGGGCTCCGACCTGTTGAATTCAACGTCGCATGGAAGCCATTGGAATTTCCAGCTAATTGGGTACGGCTCGCGGCTTTGTGCATGATACCGGACTGGCAATTTGGGCCTTGGTGGTACCGGAAGCACTTCTCCCTGGCCAACGCTATTCAGACAATCATCCAGGCCGATGACTCTGTCTCGGAGGATGTGGGTGCGACCGTAGACAAGTGGGAAAAGTGATTGGTGCACGAGATCAAGGACTTGATTGTCAGAGCCGGGATGATAGTCCTTTTGGTCTTCTGGAATATTTTCAAAAGGTGCCGCTCCTTCCATGAGCTGCCGTTTGAGGTCCTCTGAGATTGCACAGTCCGACTTAACCACACCGTTGTCAAAGACACTGATGAAGCAGTCTTTCTTGAGGCCGTCAGTCTTCCACTGTAGCTCTTTGACGATCCAGTCCATCATGGCTTTGGAAACACCTTGCCCACTTTCGGACACCTCCTTTCGCCACTTATTGGTGATGTCTTCATTGAAAACCTAAACGTTTAAGCGAAGAAAGGCACGTATGAGTAGCAGTAATACCTTTCGTTCCCAGTCTGGTTTATCGGTGATGGTGTTCATCACCCTCATCATCAGAATCTCGCGGAAGGTATACAGAAAGCTCAGGTCAGTTAGCACAGTATGAGAGGAGAAGAGCGTGCTTCATTTACCCGTCGGCGTCACCCTCTTCCTCAAGTGCGTTGGGAAAAAGCCAGTCCCTGTCAAAAATACCATCATTGTTGCTTTCATGCTAATTCGTCAGCACGCTGCTCCTTCAGATGATAGATCCTTAAATGTACTCTGACACAGTCCAAAGGGAGCGTAAACCCCGGTAGATCAAATCGCTCCTGTTGCAAAGCCATGAGGAGTCAGGAGTCTAAAGGCTGGGAAAGAATGAACCAGGGTCCAGAGGGCCGCCTAGTACATATAGACTGCCGGCCTCCACCCGGCGACAGGCAGAATTCGACAATTCCAGGCAGAAACAGGCTCCACACACCGCGCTACTGGCCTTTTGGTCGTCTATACTAATTTTCAATCTTCGCTCACTGACACTCCGAGATTGCCGCTCCAATGACCATTTTACAGCTTTGGCGGATATGGAACTCTTCCTGAGAGTCAGAGAAGGCGCGACAACGGCAATCGCGCTACTAGAAAAATTAGGACGTTGATTCACGGCAGCGTCTTCGTTTGAAAATGAACATTCCAATTTTCGATTGGATAAGATGGTCGACTGATCCGGGAGCACTTCTTTCGCCTGAACATATGTTTGCAGCCTCCAATGAAGACGCGTTCGAGTCTGATTTCTTCAAAACTAAACTTTAGACTCCATTTAATCCTACTACTCAGCCTCATTTCTTTGTTTTAGACAAAAGAGTTGTTCTCTCTCCTCATGTTTTTTATTGATGACTGACTGGGGGAAAGGGAAAGGGGCCTCCCAGAGACCATCCAAACGTGCCCCGTCAGGCTGCTAGCCTCATCATGAGATCAATGATATCTTATCCCTCTTCCAAGTTAAAGAGAGACATCAAGGCTTGAATACTGCTGAAGTCACAGTACTGACGGACGGACAGCTGGTGCTATGGTATTTTGATATCTTGATCTCGAGGTGAGGGAGACCCAAATTGAAAAGGGGTCCAGGCGCAAACAGCACACAGGCGAAAAGGCCATTGGAGTTGCGCGATTTACAAAGACTTGGAAGGAAGCTCGAAGCTGCAGTAGGATTAATGAGCTTTATGAACCACCTCAGCCGGGGCGTGCACTATGCATGGGGCCGAAAGCAAAGCCCCGCATGGTCGAATCACTGGCAGACGGTGAATCGAGATTGGCAGGCTGGAATAGGGTTGCCTCATTCGAATGGCTTAGAGGCACGCCCCGTGGCTATCGTGGCAAGGTGGAGACGCTACAGAGTCCCGGAGATGGCACCCGAGAAAGGGCGAGGGACTTGGTGGGGTGCGCATCGAGCCAAAGATCTCGTTTCGTAGAGTCCATTAGGTGGCGCAAGTTCAGTGGTTTAGACGGGGAACACGGTATCAACTACACGGGAGAAATGCAGGCTGCAAGGGCGAGACAGGGCCTCAAGAGCATATCCCGGCAAATTCGCCACATGGACGGAGCATTACTCCCGGAAAAACCATCGCGATCAATTGCAACACATTACTGGGTGTTGGACCGTCGTTGGGTACTGGACAACCATCAAGGCTGCAGGAATGAGGCTAAGTCGTGCGATCTCGCAGGGATCATCGGCTCCATAAATCGGGTCTCGGCGTTCGGCAACTTTAAGTGCCGAGGGTGTCATGCTGCACCAAGAATCTCCAGGGGCGGAGAACATCATTAGGTTGTACAACCTTGTCTGAAGTGTTACACGTGCCTTTGTGGTTATCAGCAACAAGTTCGGTGTCCGATGGGATCCGGAGTTGAAGGCGGCATTGCGACTCCGCGCGGAGCATGTTACTATGTTTAGCTTCCGTCCCTTAAGCAACTGCCCTTCGTCAAGGTTGGATGAATAGGCAGCCACTTTTGAACGACCAAGTTTAGCCACTGCGACCAAACTGAAGTAAGTAACAAAGAGCAAGATCAAGGTTTCTGAATGAGCTTTGTAGCAACAGATGAAGGACTTCTTTCAGGGTCTTCAACGCCGACCAATGAGCTCCTCCACATGGGTCTGTTTGTAGTAGATTGCGCTTCATATCCATAACTCCCTCTAACTTATGGGCCCACAGAAGAACTCCGCAGTCAGTCATAAACAAATTCGGCAGTCTAAATGAGCCACTGAAAGAGGGAAAAAAAGAGAGAATTGCTTAGGCTTGAGACAGCGCCACGCTCACGTGACTCTGAGCGAAACCCGCCATCAGCGGCAACTCCAACTTGTCAGCTTCGCCAGCCTACGTTCGTCCCTAATCGCTACCCACGAATCTCTTGTTTCCTCGATCTCTATTTACCTGCTGCTACTCTTTTCTCGATCCTCTCGTCTGACGCCTTTCACGTCTAGCAGCCACCGAGCTCGGTTGGTTTCCCCCGTTCAAAACAAAGCGACCCTGACTGCCCAACGAGGTAGCCTGGTCTCTATCGACCTTTCGCGAAATCATATCTAAGACTTTTGGCACCAGCTTTTCCACTTCACGATGACCAACGAAGCCCCCTACGATCCCTACATCCCGGCCGGCGCCAACGGGGCCACCGCGGCCTCCTCGTCGCAGAATGGCAACCAGCGCACTGCCGCATTGCAAGCGGTTCGTCCACTTCCCTTTTCGCATCGACCGAGCTCCCAGGCGACATCAGACATGTCGTCGCTTCACCTTTCGTGTCGCGGGAAACATGCGCTGCTCTGTTGTATTGACCAGGACTCGCGAGGTTCACCCGGCAACCAAGACTAACATGTCTCACCCCTTTAGCAAATCGACGACACCGTCGGTGTGATGCGCGAGAATATCAACAAGGTCTCCCAGCGTGGTGAGCGCCTCGACTCTCTGCAGGACAAGACGGACAACCTGGCGGTATCGGCCCAGGGCTTCCGCCGGGGTGCCAACCGTGTGCGCAAGCAGATGTGGTGGAAGGACATGAAGATGCGCGTATGCCTGGTGATTTGTGTGATTGTCCTCCTGGTGGTTATTATCGTGCCTGGTAAGTCGGGAGCAAATTCCAGCCGACCCCGGTTGATCCCAACATGGGGTTCGGATCCTGCATAGTGGGATTTGAGACACTAACAGTTTGCTTTCCAGTGGTCGTCAAGACTACTCACTGAGCCATGCATTCACTGCATTACGCGACTTCTGTTTTGGTTTGGGAAACGTGGGCTATGATCTTTTTTAACCGGGTTTTTTAACGTTGAGGCCATGGAGCTCCGTCGGTTTCCAGCCTGCTAATACCTCCTGCTGTTTTGTTCTTTGGGCGTGTTTTGAATGACCAAATCCTTCTGCGTTTTTCGACGAAAGCCTCTGTACTGCCAAATGTGGTTGAGCCTCATAAATGATTTTGTCGGGTGAAAGATGTAAATGATACCGCGATGCCATGCTCGACTATTTTACCGTCACGAATTTCTCTGTGCATCGGGTCCACTAATCCTCTTGTATTCGCCTTCTTCTTTTGGATCTGTGTGTCCTTGAGTGACCCGCCTCGTGGACGCCATTCCGTGGCAAAATCAAGAAACATCAGCCCACTTTGACGCACCGTAGATCGTAGAACAGTCACAAAGCCCATCGGGAATAAGCGCTTTTGTTGGAAGGACGAAATGAAGCGAAGAAGGCCGAGACTAAGACAATCGGGTGGAGGAAGTGGATAGCGGGAGACGAGTAAGAGACGCGGGCAGGATCAGATAACTGGCACTAGACCCAAGCTGGGTGACGTTTCTAGGATTCTCCGACATTCAGGTGGGCTTTTTGGAAGTCTCAGACTCGCTTGTAGACCTGAGAGATCTAATGCTGACCTTGCAGGATGCGTGTAGAACCTTGTCCTTCCTGCTCCTTAGTGTCCCTTAGGGCCGTTCTTAGGTCAGACAAAGATGCGGTTGAAAAGGGCCAATGTCTCCCACTCAGGGACCCTATAAGGTAGCAGATTGACTACGATCAGTGCAGTCCCATTTCTCCATTTTCGTTTTCTTCCAGATTTATCTGATTCGCACCGGTAAATTTCTCGCCGACGGAACCAGAAATAGACAGTGCAAATCGCGCTCGCTAGTTGGAAAAGAGGCCCACCGCCCGACCTCGTCATTGGGCCACTTATCGCTCCGACGGCCGGCCGATAATCTGTAAAAACTCACTTGACTCCCTCAGTTAGTCACACTTCCACCTTCCACCTTCCACCTTCCCACCACCCTATACACTCTCTGCAACAGGGGATCCCCCCGGGGTTTGTTTCGCCAGTCCCAATTGAAGCTGCCGCATGCTGGTGAAGATGTTGTCCCTTCGCTCCGCCGTGCGGAGAGCTTCCACCAAGCCCCTCCGATCGATCTCCGCACCTCAAGTCTCGTCGTTGCGAGGTGTCGCTGCCCGTGCGGTGTCGACTCCTCTTAGCCAGGGGCGTGCTTACTCTCGTTCGGCCGAACCTCACCTGAGCTCCACGCGCAGCACCGTTGTTCAACTGCTGAGTAACATCGGTTCCAAGCGTGAGGTCCAGCAATACCTGTCCCACTTCACTTCCGTTTCCTCCCAGCAGTTCGCCGTCATTAAGGTCGGTGGTGCCATTATCACCGAGCACCTCCAGACCCTCTCGTCCGCGCTCGCCTTCCTCAACCATGTCGGTCTGTACCCGATCGTCGTTCACGGCGCCGGTCCCCAGCTCAATCGCATGCTGGAAGCCGCCGGTGTCGAGCCCCAATTCGAGGATGGAATCCGGGTGACTGATGGCAAGACTTTGTCGTTGGCACGAAAGTTGTTCCTTGAGGAGAACATGAAGTTGGTTGAGGAGTTGGAACGTCAGGGTATCCGTGCCCGCCCCATCACCGCGGGCGTCTTCTCTGCCGACTACCTCGACAAGGCCAAGTACAACCTGGTTGGCAAGATCAATGGTGTCGACAAGAAGCCTATTGAATCGGCTATTGCCGCTGGCTGCCTCCCCATTCTGACCTCCATGGCTGAGACTCCCGATGGGCAGGTTCTTAACGTCAACGCCGATGTCGCTGCCGGGGAGCTAGCTCGCGCGCTGCAGCCTCTGAAGATCGTCTACCTTGCCGAGAAGGGTGGTCTGTTCAACGGTGACACCGGTGAGAAAATCTCCGCCATCAACCTTGACGAGGAGTACGACCACCTGATGACTCAGTGGTGGGTGCGTCACGGTACTCGTCTGAAGATCAAGGAGATGAAGGAACTCTTGAACGACCTTCCCCGCTCCTCCAGTGTTGCCATCATTCACCCCGCCGATCTTCAGAAGGAGTTGTTCACCGACTCCGGTGCCGGTACCCTGATTCGCCGCGGCAATAAGATCAATGTCAACACCTCTCTGTCTCAGTTCCAGGATCTTCAGGCCCTGAAAGATGTGCTCGTCCGTGACCGGGAGGGCCTGGATGCTCGCGCCGTCGTTGACCGTTATGTTGAGGGCCTGCAGGAGCGCGACTTCAAGATCTACTACGATGACCCCATGGACGCTCTCGCTGTTGTCCTGCCCCAGAAGGACTCTGAGATCGCTCAGCTTGCTACCTTTACCATTACCAAGTCCGGCTGGTTGACCAATGTAGCTGATAATGTCTTCTCCAGCCTCAAAAAAGACTTCGCCAAGCTGGCTTGGACCGTCAAGGAAGACGACGAGAACTTGACTTGGTTCTTCGACAAGGCCGACGGTAGCCTGAGCCGTGATGGCCAGGTTCTGTTCTGGTACGGTGTTGAGACCGGCGATGAGGTGAAGCAGCTCGTCCAGGAGTTCACTAAGAACGGCCGCCAGATGTTCGGTGATATCAACCTTGAGAACCGCCTTCACCGCGCTCACCAGGCCGCCATCAACATCAACAAGGGCTTCGGTGTTAGCGGTGCCTCTGCTGAGCAGAAGCGTGCATTCTCTTCCACCAGCAATGTTCTTCGCGCTTCCCGGGCCAAGCGCCCGGCTGTTGCTGTCAATGCTTTCCGCACCTACGCTACCACCAACCCTAACCCTCCCCTTGGTGAGAAGAACGCTTCTAACCCCCAGCCCGCCAAAGTTGCCCTCATTGGCGCCCGTGGCTACACAGGCCAGGCTCTGATCAGCCTGCTCAATGCTCACCCCAACATGGATCTCCGCCACGTCTCATCCCGTGAGCTTGCTGGCAAGAAGCTCCAGGGCTACGAGAAGCGTGAGATTATCTACGAGAACCTCAGCCCTGATGACGTCCGCAAGATGTCCGCCAACGGTGATATTGACTGCTGGGTGATGGCTCTGCCTAACGGTGTCTGTAAGCCTTTCGTCGATGCCGTTGACGAAGGTTCCCAGAGCGGTAATGTTATCGTTGACCTGAGCGCCGACTATCGTTTCGACGACAAGTGGACCTACGGTCTTCCCGAGCTCGTTGATCGGTCCAAGATTGCTCGTGCCACCCGCATTGCCAACCCCGGCTGCTACGCCACTGCTGCCCAGCTCGGCATTGCTCCTCTCGTTCCCTTCCTTGGCGGCCAGCCGACCACCTTCGGTGTCTCCGGTTACTCTGGCGCTGGCACCAAGCCCAGCCCCAAGAACGACGTCAACTTCCTCACCAACAACATTATCCCCTACAGTCTGACTGATCACATCCACGAGCGTGAGATCAGCGCCCAGCTCGGTGCCAGCATTGCCTTCATCCCCCACGTGGCTGTCTGGTTCCAGGGTATTCATCACTCCATCAGCATTCCCCTTGCCAAGGAGATGACATCCCGTGACATTCGCAACCTTTACCAGGACCGCTACGCCGGCGAGAAGCTCGTCAAGATCACCGGCGAGGCTCCCCTGGTCAAGAACATCGCCGGTCGTCACGGCGTCGAGATCGGTGGCTTCGCTGTCCACTCTAGCGGCAAGCGCGTCGTCGTCTGCGCCACCATTGACAACCTGCTCAAGGGTGCCGCCACTCAGTGCCTCCGTAAGTTTCCGCACATTCTAACACCCAATTGCAAAATTAACACTTTCAACAGAGAACATGAACCTTGCTCTTGGCTACTCTGAGTACGAGGGCATCCCCCTCGAGTAAATGTCCCGTCGATATGCCACTGAGCAGAAGGTATAGGGTGTTCTGTGTGCCGTTATGTATTTTGTCTCATACCCGCATACATCATATACATCGCTACGGGTTGGAAATGTTGAAGGTCTAGCGTGGACTCATTCCTAGCTATTCCTAATCTACCCATTGGGTCTCGGTTTTGTGTGTGCTTGTTGTCCTTTGTGTTCGCCTAAAAGAGTCTTTCTCTTGGATGTTGGTGTCATGTTTTTGTCTGCGCTTCTAGATTCCATTATTCGGTTTGATTATTTTTTTTCGGCTCTGTTGAGGTTTTATGTTGATGCTGGATTTCTCTACATGTGAGGGGATCTGTTATAGCACAAAAGTAAATCATTGCACTCTGACCAGATTCATGATGTTTTTGTGCGTAAAATGAAGATGAAGCTGTCAATAAGAAGAAGTCAGTATCCTTTCCCGTCTTGAATTCTCCCCTAGCTTCTGCTCAATGCCTCCAGGTGTTGGGTGGGCTTTTGTTTGCTTCGCTGTTTGGATTGGGTAGCTGGTTTTTCACGATTCATTCTCTGTGGACTGATGAGAGCGGTTCCAAGTATTCTAGGGGTGAGAACACGATAGTCAATATACGATGTGAGAATGGATCAGAAGCCGTCATTGGCGTCATTCGGTTACAAAGAGCCTCACGGCTTGATCCATCGATGGCGATTAACTAGCTATCGCCTGGGTTTGACTCTGGGAAACTCTCTATACAGAAAGATAGCTGTCCAATACAAGGATCTTGGCAGATCAAGACTCCTCTCTGATATTCCATTTATAGGAACGAAATCTGCATAGTATCTTCTCTCCAGAAACTTCATCCAGGTGAAACCCATCTTACAATCACTTCTTCAGAATTCATTTATTTCGTTCCAATTTTTCTACCTCCGCCAGTTTCGTCTGAAGGCTAACAAAATTCGGCTATTCATCTCAAGGCTAAAAAGTAGCTCTTCCCATCCATTCTTTTCACCTGCTCCATCTCACATACCATCTCCATCTGCACCACCTCAAACGAGCGGTCATACAAGAGTCCTCAAGTGAACAGCCCACCTGACGGTGGCGAGATTGCCACTCTCGCCATGTTCTACAGCCATGAAAGTAAGTACTGAGGATCATCACTGAGAGCTCAAGATGCATGATGACTGACACCACCCTCTTCAGTCCTCACCTCCCCAGAGCATGGCGTCGCAACTATCTGGTAGGCAGCTCTATCATCGCAGTAGCATGCTGAGGCTAACGCAAATCTAAAATACACAGGCTTGTCGCAACTCTTGGCTCGCGATCTATCGCGCGACGAATCAATCGAAGGGCCATCCAAGATGTCGACGTGCCAAGCGCATGTAGGGTCATCATCGACCCCAGGGCTCCGATGGCGCTACGACTGCAAGGTAGCTTGCTGTACGTTTTCATAGGTCGGCGTAGAGTTCCTTCAATGACAAGACTGTAATAGATACGGCGTTTCGCGCGTCTTTAACCAACAGTGCGGATACACTTTGCTCGACGCCCAAACAATGCATGACAAGATGATGGCCATGCTAAAAATCGCGCCAGGTGCTGCTCTCGACTCCAGCGCTGGAAAGTCAAAGTAAGTTCTTGTGTTCATTTTCAGCCAGAATGCTTATGTCTCATGCGTTTCAGACCGGGAAGTCTCAACCTTCCATACGACCCTACCTTCCTTCCCGAAACTTGCCTACCCGGCATGGGCATTGAATTCATCTTACTTGACGCGATCACAGATGAAGCCTCCAGCCAATACTCTAGTATATGGTCCAAGTCCCCCCGCGATCAGTCATTCCAGCGGGTCCCAGAATGGGCAGGTGCAGCTTGAATTTCCTCACGACGAGCTTGTCGGAGGCAATTTGCTGGACAAGATGAATGATATCAACAGCTCTGCGCAGAAGCAAGGTCTGTTTGGTAAACAGATGAAGCCGAGTATGGAAGAAGAAGGTGTGCTGTTGAATCCTGATTTCGAATTCGATGATAATGGTGATATCGTTGAATTTGATGCGAGCAGGGTTTCGCCCACAGAAGAAGGGCGACAAGTTCCAGTCAAAGGCTAAGCGAGTGTCCAAAGTTGCCAGAGACCCAAAAGGATACAGTGAGTGACAGTGATATATCATAAACGAGAAACAGCTACTGAAGTGCTGCAAAGGTCACGGCAAATGACGACGAAGCAGGGCTCGTTCGTAAAGATAACGTGATGGACCTTGGCGATCAAATCGGAGCTGAAGTTACCTTATCTGGCGAAGAGAATCTAGCTGAAACTGTAGGCCTCGATGAATCAATGAATCACGAAAGAAGAGTGAATCAGAGGCGAAGAGAGGCCAAAGTCATTGTGACGGATGTGGTGACGGCCTTACGAAACACAGACCTGGCACGATGGAACAATGAGTACACGGCAAACATGGCGCAAGCCTTGAAGCAAAAGCAATTGAACAAATTACCAACTATTGCAAAGAAGAATGCAGCTCACTGGGTGTTCGGCAAAGGAATCGGCGCGGTGGGCAACCCACTCTGGCCCCTGCATGTACCTCACCCGCTCAAGTCCTATTCAGGCGAGGAGCTATATTACGCCCTTTGCCCTGAAGCTGAGCGCAAACGGAGACGTACAAAGGATACCGGAAATGACAGTGATGCAAGAGAGCAGGGTCGGCGAGTACGCCCTCGAGACGAACAGGTTGACTCTATGGACGTCGAAGTTGCGCGCCACGCACCCTCTAGCGTGCTGGACGACCTCCCTTTGATGCCCTGGAATACCATCACATCAATTGAGAGCTCCCAACGGGGCCAGCGCTTCAGAAGCGGAAGCGAGCTCTCCTACGGCTCACGACGCCGCGGGCAACTCCAGAGTGCAAGCCCACTAGCCGGGCGAGGCTACCTACACAACCTTGATCGAGACAGCAGCCTCGACATCCCAGGGAACTTCGGTGGGGAGCTGGACGATCTCGAGATTACCAAATACCTTGAAGCTGAACTGTCCCGGACAAAGGAAATATCGATGACATCGATTACGGCGAGAGGCGCATCGCCAAGCCGCTTGACCCAGGCACCTTGAATTTCTGGGACTTCCTCAAAGACAAGATGCTCCCATCTAGAGGCGGTCGAATCAAATTTGAAGCTCTTTTCCCGCCTCAGGAGACCTCGCATCCGGTGGCTACACAGGCTTTCATGAACGTGCTCACGCTCGCGACACAAGGCGTTATCCGCGTCGGCCAGGAGCCGTTCCAAGATCAGGAAAGCTCTTCAAAATGGAGTACTCGCTGCGAATACGGTAATATCTGGCTGCGACTACCGCAGCTAAAGTAGTCGATGAGCGCCAGTTCTCTTCTTACATCGATGCGTTTATCGGAGACAACTGATTTCGCGGGATCTATTGTTACACTGACTAATTATTCATTCCATTATTTTTACCATTTCTGATTCTACGATATGGCCATCTCGACCTATCGACTGGCCCAGGCCGGCATGGAACATGATAATTTCACGCGGCCAAGGAAAAAGAAAAAGCGTGACATTGCGGCGTTTTATTTAAGGTGTCGGTGGGGGAACATGGAGAACACAAGGTGAGGCGGAAAAGCTCATGCAACAGGGTTGAGGGAGAGATAAGGCAAGGAAGATCCCAAGGGTGTACCCGGAACTTCAAAATCTATCAGCGATCCATGTATGTAAGCCAGCAATATTTACGCAGACTCGCGTTACTGCGGACATTACCAGGAACCCGTAAGTTCGAACTCTCGTAAGTCCAGACGTTGACAGTATCGCGTACGGAGTACGGGATACAGGAACGGGGACGACAGTTTGCAACAATACTGAGGAGAGGTAATAATACCTGTGAAGTATATAACTTTGTATATTTTGCGGCTGACCCTTTTGATATTTGGCCTCGGCGCGTCTGCCACTTTTCTTGGACCTAATTTCTCTTCGATCGATATCCTATCGGTCTGTCTCCTGTGCGTTTGGCGTCTCTTAACCGAGCGCGCCCGGTTGGAGATGGCCTTGGCGCCTAGATAGTCACCTAAGCAGGCACCACTGAGCGTGGTTAAACTACATTATTAATTCGGATTCAGGGAGATGTTATTACGTCTTGAGCTTTGTATGATGGTTGTCTAGGCTCCAAGATGCCTCGTGGTGGTATTCACTGGATGGCGTTGGCATCATGTCACGCATAATCTTCGATTGGTTGATGTTTCCGCAGCAGTCCGGGATTTCACTAGATCGAAGAGAGCATGGCCACCATCTCTACCAGGTAGGGGCAGTCACGTACTGATGATCTCTGACATTAAAAGTCTGATTCAAATCACCTCACAGGAACCGAAACAAAGAAGCGCAAACAGCGAGGATACGATACAAAGGAGTGAAATACCCGGACTCAAACTTACGCAGGGCGCGTTACCCAGCCGCGCCACTCGTATTCTGTCTCGGTCTTTCCATTTCTTCTCTCCCTCCTCTCTCTTCCCTAACCAAAGTTTCCCCCCCCACACCTCAACGCGTGTCTTCCCCTCGCGTTACGACTTCGTTTTTCCCCGGTATAGCATCGGTTCCCTACCTCACATCAGTCATAATGGGTCGCACCGTCGACCAGGAAGGTGCACGCGGCGTTCGTCGAGTTCCGCGCCAAGGAAGATGATAAGGTGCGTGACTGTGTATTTCGTAATATTTCAAACCCACCACAACAGACCAGCGTCACTAACATACGAGACCCGTTTCGTTTTTAGTGCCTCTCCGTGCAGTGTATCTATTGTCAACAAATTCGCGCGAAGAATACCTCGAGACAGAAGCAACATTTGCTTGAATGTCCTGGTCTTCGAGGACACCCTAACGCGCCTCAGCCTTCTCAGCCTACTCCCAATTCCAACGGCATCGGCGCCCCTAATGGATACCCCGGTACTCCCAACGGCCCTACAGCTACACCATCTGTCCCTACAGGAGGCCCTACCATCCCTACCCCCAATGGCGCATTGATGACCAACGGTGTCAATCCTCACGCTACTCCAATGCAGACCCCGTTGCAAACTCCACTGCAGGCGTTACAAAATCGCCCACCCATGCCGACCCCGGGTCCCCCTCCAGGTCCTCCGGGCTCTGCGCCCTCGTCGGTCGCGCCGTCGCGTCCGACCCCAAAGCCAAAGGCTAAAAGCAGCACATCCAATCTGCCTGCGCCGCCGCTGGACGACGTGCACGCGGCCTTTGTGGAGTTCCGCGCTAAGGAGGAGGACAAATGTCTCTCAGTGCAGTGCATCTACTGCCAACAGGTCCGCGCCAAGAATACCAGTCGCCAGCGCCAGCACTTGCTCGAATGCCCTACCTATCTCAGTGTTATGAAAGACTCGATTCCTGCCAACAACCTGTTACACACGTTTCCGGAAGGCGATGTCGCGCGGTCACTCCAAATCCCCGTTCCCACGCTGGAGCTTGATTTCCGCATGAGCATCAAACTGAACCCCAAGGTGAATATTGGTCAGAGCATCTGGGGTGGCCAAGAATGGGTCTCATACGTTGGTGGGCAATGGGCCGGTCGTTGGGGTAAAGGTGTTGTTTTGGTAAGGTTCCAACTTTAGATGACATGATGCGCCATTGCTAATACACACCCAGCCCGGCGGTCAAGACACTCAGATCGTTACGAAAGACTCGACTACGAAACTGCGCGCCAACTACTTGCTCCAGACTGCTGATGAACCCCCCCGCTTTCATCATGGTCAAGACTGAGGGCTGGCTAACCGGCGCGAAGGATGTATTGGAGAAAGTCAATGATCCCAGTGTGGCTGATGGCATCAATCCCAGCAGCTACAAATATCGCGTCAACCTGTCCATGGAAACTGGTGATGAGCGATACACCTTCCTGAACACTCTCATGTGGGTTGGCAGCGGTTGCCGCCGAGGCCAAGAAGGTACGTCCCTCCAACTTGCATTTCATCCCCGATATTACCCTATCCGTCGCGTCTTTACTAATCTGTGGTTTTTTCAGTGATCTTTGATTCATTCCGTGTCAATTAAACCAGGATGGTAACTCTAACTGTTTTGCCGTTCTTCAGCGATGTCTTTCTGCAGTACTACGATGGGAAAATATGGTGTTTTGCGTTTCGATCGTTCCCTCGTGGCGTAACTTTTTATGTCCCTTGTTATCATTTCAGTGAATCAGGGCTGTGAACGGAGAGCCATGACTGGCTAAAATAAAATGCTTGAGCTAGGCTCCGTTTCCGACTATGTTCTCCTTTTTTCTCTCTTGACTTCTGATGTACCTCTTTTCTACGAACATCTTGATATGGGTTAGGGTTTCCTATGTTTTGGTTTTATGTCTATCTCGATATGTTTGTGATGTTATGTCGTGATTTCCCAATGTCTTGAACAATTGAACCAGGGTTTCATTCCTTAGTCGCTTTTCAAAGGCTTTACAAAAATCAAACTCTTCAATTTCTAGTAATTAGCGTTTATAATCGAGCCATGTAGTGTGAAACATAGCATACATGACTCGTTACTCGTTATAGTTCACAATACGTTCTGGTATGTTCACTTGTCCCGTATCCGCCGTATTCACACCTTATCCCAGACTCACAAACGTATCCACCCGGCTGCAGCGTGAGGCCGATCCCATACCGTTTATACCAACCCTTGCTAGCTCGAGTAATACCAAACTAGCTGGAATGGTTCATCTCTAATTCCTGACTTGTGTTATCTGACCCCAAAACCTTACACTGATCAATACTTCGTTTGGGCTTTTCTCCATAATTTACATAGGGTTGGGTTCCATGGATCCCACCCCCGCTTTATCTAATCATGTCATTGCCGGTGTATTCTCTATACTTCGTACTCCAACTCCGCGTTCATCTGTACCTGGTATGCTTTCCTATCTAGAGCTTGAGAGGGACCTTGGTGGAGGGTAAAATTTTTTGGCGGGGGATCTAGTGTGAGCAAAAGGCACGTGGGCGCTTGTAATGGAACGTTTTCTAAATCGAGGATTTAGAAAGATACGGAAATATATCTCTGGCCATGTGGGATTGAAGTTTTGCCCTGCATTCTTCAAACCCGACCGTTATGATATTTTGGTATATTTTCTGAAGAACATTGACACACACCTTTCCATTTTTCGCATGATCATCTCAACTTTGAATGAGTTTACCCTGGAAACAGTATCGAGGTTGAGATACGTTCGTATCTACCCATGGACAACATCAGGCCCCATGTTCTATTGAGATATGTCTGGCCTCATTTGATTGTGTAAAGGACACTTGAAAAGGTTCAAATGACGGCCGAAGATCATTTTGCATGAGCATCTGGCGATAGCTCCTACCTGTTGCTGCCATTCCCTCAATCCAAAGAAGAACCGTAACGAAAAAGATGAGAAGTGGAGAGTCAATAATCCCAATTTCATTTCAAGCAACTGGTCTCGCTTCCCACCGTTCTTTTTGTTTACACGCTTTTATAACAGATTAAACAGGTATCACTACACAGAGACAAGGGCAAGAATAGAAAAGCAGCCAGAATCATTTGACTGAGCCCGGATCAAAAGCCAAGGCGGCGTTTTAGTAGCGCGTCGTGGGAGTCGTTGGACTCACCACAGCCCGCGACCTTTCCAGCTCTCGATCAGCATCCAGATTCTGCTCGTACGTCACTAACACCTCTTGGGTTGTTGTGATGCCCGGTCTGCCCAGGATGCTCTTCACACTACTATCGTCCCGGCCATCTGAAAGCGTAACGGCATCGCCTCCGTAGTAATAGTATGGATCGCGCTGCGTGGATGGCTTAGGGCCATTGCGTTTGTCGGAGAGTTGATAGTTTTCGGAAGAGGGTGGATTGCTGCGGTTATAGTTGGAGGAGCGCATGCGGACGAAGAGGATTCGGAGGGAGGGAATCGAGGCGGCGAAGATGGTGAGGCCTGTCTCGGCGGAAGCCCAGATAATAATTGTCGAGCAGAACCCTGGTTGTTCTTTAGTTGGGTGGATCGAGAATGTGCGTCTGAATGGACTTACAGGTGAAGTCTTGTACTTGAGAGACGTTGACCAGCTTGGAGGTCTTGATGAAGGCGGTTACTGCCGCACTAGTAATATACTGAGTTGATGGTCCAGAGGCAGTTGTAGGAATAGTTTGACTCACAAGACACCCATACTCATGGCAATGGCAATTCCGAATTTCTCGCGCTTCTTCATTTGGAGCTTCCATAGGAGTACCCATGGGAAGAGAGCCAGAATAAAGTCCATGCATCCAGAGTATGCGCCCGCCGTGAGGGCGATCGTCTCAAACACACTAGTGGGCCAGCACTTGGCGGTGGCCATCAGCTTGGTATTCCACAGGGCTGATGCCGGCCTGCACTGAGCAAGATAGCAGATTGCACAGAGCCACATAATTGCGTTCATAGTGACGATGATTGCCCATAACAGAACTTTCATCCATGTCCTGGTCACGATCCGAAGAAGGGTGATGGCGAAGGAAGTCTTGCTAAGAACGCAGCCAATGATAATGATCACGAAACTGATGTAGACGAGCTTTAATGCAGGCGGTACGATCTCTTCATTCTCAATCGCAAAGACATGCCTGCCTACTACTCCCATCTGCACAGCTTTGGTGATAAGCGCCGTGTAGACAAAGAGCATGGACTATTGCAATCAGCGGGTGTTCGGGGATGATACTGTAAAGCGAGGATCTCATACCAATGCGAGACAAATCACAAGGTCATCCCAGCCAAGGCCTCTACTCAGCATCATCTTGCACCAAATTCGCAACCCAACCATCACGGCAGGAATAAGAACCAAAATCCAACATACTGCCAAAATCGTCGGGCCCTGGTTCTGGGCATCCAAAGAAGCTGATCCGGCAGTCATGATGTTTGAAAGAGGTAACCCCCGTCGGCATATAGAGAGAGGACTTGAGCAAAAGAGTGAAGCTCGCTCGTGGGTCAATTCTTTTGAGGGTAAGATGGGAGAATAAGAAATATCAAAGACCCCCTTTAGAATGCTTCCGACATCCTTGACTCTAGTAAGAGTGGGCAAGGATGCAACAATAGATCTTCAAGCGCTGTCTCAAAAAAGGTGACTGGACTCACAATCACACAAGAAGACAATGTCAAATTGGGCCATGACCAGACCGCGGAAGTGAACCCCTGCATCCCGATTATGACAAAGTACCCTCCCGGTCTAGAACTGACAATCGCCTGTCATAATAACCATTGAATGACCTGATTCACACGATCCTTCTCTTGGGAACATCCTAGATTTCCCAAATTGCCAGTTCAAGGATGCACCCAATGTGGGAATCCGCCAACCGCAACGCCCGAAGTATATTTGATAGATCGCAACGCACAGTCCACGGCGGGAGCAAGTGACAGCGATCGGCCACGGGGGATCGGGTGGAAACAATGGGCAGTTGATGTGGTGGAGATATTACCAAATCGAGACGTCGTGGGCTGCATATGAAACGGCCAACCTTGAACGGGTCCGGCTTCCGGGACTCAGCCCGTTTTCGCCCCCCCTCTTTGCTCGTGCGCGGGCACTAAATAATGCGTTGGGCTGCAGCTGTCATACTCGGACCTTATCCCAGAATGGACTAAGTACAGGTATAGTGGCATCTAGTTTTTGGATAGAGCACATTCTTAAAGTACCGCATCCGAATCAGCGGGGGTCTCCCGTTCTACCCAGCGGGACGATCCGGTCAGTGCGGCGTGGACCGTCTCGCACGTTGGGGCCGGTTTCTTCAGGTTCTTGGTGGATTCTATAGTAAGGCTCGTGGAAGATTAGAAAGAAGCTTGACGAAGAACAACCCAGAAAGGGCCGCTTCTTCTTCAGGTTATTTAATTTTACTTATTGCGATAGAACAAGCGTCAGACCTTTTAATTTGCCACACCGTTAGGACTCAAGATAGTAGTAACCCCTCGCCCCCCCCCCGCCGGGGGGGTGTCATATCAAAAACGTGACCTATCAATCACAAATGTACCTTATAAGTAATCCCCTGCCTGCAGACGCCAATTGAAATACGTTGTCTGATCCAATCAAGGTTCTTCGATCTGCAGCATGACACAATCGACCTACTCAGCGCCAGGGCACCCTTGTTGCTCCCCCTAGCTTGGTCTATGGAGCTCCAGGTCTCTGTTCAGCATATTTCGTCCCAGTATGCTTGAGCCACCACGGCCATCTATGTAGCATTGACCACGCCATTAGCCAAATGAGAGTGGAAACCATAGGACTACCCGTCCAACCACCTGGTCGAGATACCGCGCCATCAGCCAGCATCATGTCCGTGCATCTTCATCACACACAGCTTTAGCCTAAGGGATAAAGTGGACCGATTGCCTAAGAGCACGGGGTCTGCGGAGATCGCGTAGGCCATGATCATTCATCTACCCGGCTAGCAACGTTCACGTTCGACTCATCGCAAATCGATTCTCCATTGTAGCCCGAACAAAAAACCTCATATTCAAGACCCAACACCATGTTCTCCATTTCAGAACTAGTGATCAACCTCGTTCTGTCCGTGTGCATCCTTGTCATTTCTCGCTTTCTTTGGAACTACCTCCGCTCCCCACTGAGGTCTTTTCCGGGCCCGCTTCCCACCAGCTTCACCAACATATGGCGCCTGCAAGACGTGTTCAAAGGACGCTGCGATATCACACAAAATGAGCTTCACCGCAAGTACGGACCCGCCGTTCGGATGGGTCCCAATCTGCTCAGTCTCTCCGATCCGAACCTGATCGGTCAAGTGTACAACACCAAGAACCCATGGCTTAAGGTACGCGATAGGTTCAATTCCATATGCTTCTGGATGACGTGGAAGTTCATGTATGCTCATAATTCTTACCTAGAGTGATATGTATAACGTCAATGACGTTATCGTCTCAGGCACCCGTTACAAGAACCTCTTCTCGAATCAGGATGAGAAGTGGCACTCGACTTTCATCCGTCCAATCAAGAACCTATACTCCATGAGCAAAGTACAGGACGTGGAGCACAATGTGGACATTACCATCCAACTCTTTCTCGAGAAGCTTCGTGAGCGGTTTGTCCGTCCGGGCAAGACATGTGAGGTGTCGGAATACATCAACTTCTGTGAGTCTGGATTCCATCGTGCTTGAGCGATTAACTAACGGGATTACCTTAGTTGCATGGGACGCAATGAGCCAAGTCACATTCTCCAAGGATTTGGGCATTCTTGAAGCAGGCTGCGATTACAAGGGTTTCCTAGGAAGATCGACAAAAACACTCGACTACTTCGCCTCGGTAATTATCCTCACCCCTACAAAAAACATACCTGATAGTTCATACGACTCAATCCATACTAACCCCCCGAAAACAATTTCAGATATGTCAAATTCCAAACCTAGACTACCTCTTCGACAAAAATCCCATCATGCGAATCGGCCCACCAACATTCGTCTGGGCCAACATATTCAGCGTGGAACAACTTCAAGCCCGTTATGAAGAAACCACACCAACCGGTCATATCGACTTTCTAGCTAAATTCCTCGAAGTCAAGAAAAAGCAGCCAGAGCTTGTAAACGACGGCACTGTCATTCTGTACCTTCTCTCGAACGTCCTCGCAGGCAGTGACTCCACCGCTGGAGCTCTTTGCGCAACAATCTACCACGTCCTTAAGCATCCGGCCGTGCATAAAGAGCTCGCTTCCGAGCTTCGCAATGCTAATCTGACCCTGCCTGCCAAATGGAAAGATATCAGGAATCTGACGTATCTCGAAGCAGTGATGCGAGAGTCGATGCGTCTTAACCCGGGCGTGGGTCTTATTCTCGAGCGAGTTGTTCCGAAGGGCGGATTCACTCTCCCTGATGGACGATATGTGCCTGAGAATACGGTCGTGGGTATGAATCCGTGGGTGATCAGTAGAAATGAAGAAGTCTTCGGAGCTGATACAGAGGCATTTATTCCGGAGCGTTGGCTAAAGGGACCGGAGGAGACGGATGAGGTGTTCCAGGCAAGGATCAAGAAGATGAAGGCTGCTGATATGGCGTTTGGAGCGGGGTCGAGAGCTTGTCTTGGGAGATATTTGAGTCAGTTGGAGAGTTATAAGCTGATTGCGACGCTTTTCAGCTCTTTTGATGTAAGTCTTTCTTGCACCTGGGGTTCGGCATGGCATTGGAGTGCGGTTTTGCTGACGAGCTATAGATGGAATTGCCGAGTCAGGAGCATGAGTGGGAAATTACTAATTCCTGGTTCTTGTATCAAAAGAATATTCCTGTTCGGTTCTTTGAGCGGACAGATACGGCTGTTTACGTTTGATGTAGTCTGTGATGAATGCTATGAATTTTATTCCGTTTCTATTGAATTCAGTTGCCTGGCAGCGATACGGGAACTTTGGGTTGGTCAACTCGCTAAAACATTTGCTTTAAACTGATAATATGAGGAATTTTTTAAAGTTGGAGCAGTCTAACTGACATCAAGGTATTGAAACACGACTTGAGCAGAATCATGATGCTCGCGTATATCGACAGTGACGATGGGAAAAATTTATCACGAAGACGTATTAGAAATCTGTGAGCGTTGATCAGCTTGCTGTGTGTTCGCTAAGCACGGTGGAGACCTTACCCTTCTCAGTATTGCCCTCGCCCATGCTCTTGCTGTTGCTGCTTCCGCTCTGGATAGCACCAAGGATACCATCCATGTAGGGAGCACCACTCCACTTCTGGTGTGTCAGGACATCCACACCTAGATCCTTCTCACGGGACTGGACCAGCTTCACGTAGGCGAGCATACCCTCATCCTTGAATGCGCGGGAGAGTTCAGTGGTTATGGTTGCGTTGCTGTGCAGGCCAGCCAGAGAAATCAATTGCAGAACGAACCTGGGAGGATTAGCTCGAGTTTGACGATAGACAGCAATTGAAGCTTACCCATGCTTGGCGATGTCCCAGACGAAGGACTTCAAAGAAGCCTCATCAAAGCCCTGGGCCATCCAGTTGAAGGAAGGGCTCAGGTTGTACACGAGCTTCTTGCCCGGGTACTTTGCGCGAACTTCACCCGCGAGAGTGCCAGCCTGCTCGACGTTGGGATCGCCGGTCTCGACCCATAAGAGGTCGGCGTAAGGCGCAAACTCCTTGGCACGCTTGGTCGCTGCTGGGAATCCCGCACGGTAGTGGTAGTACCCTTCACGAGTACGGGGGCTGTCGCACGACCAGACCACCGGGGTCTTGGTGAAGTCGCTAGCCAGAGCACGGCGACGAGAGAAGGAAAGATCAGGATTCTGCTTGACATGGGCCTTGTAGGCATCCCGTGCCGATTGAGAAGCGCCCTCGGCCTGAAGATGTGCGTCAACAGCTGCGGAAGGTTAGTATTGGTACAGACTCCGGGGGTGGGTTATAACGTACCCTCATCGAAAGAGACAAGCTTGTGATTCTTCACCCAATCAAGCTCAAAGGCGTCAATCTCTGCAGGAGTCGCGCCTTCACGCTCCATGGCCTGCAGAGTCTCAGCCAACGGCTCGACCTCCTCCGTAATACCCAGAATGAACTCGTGGTCGCGCACGTCAATGGCACTGCTAATTAGCTTGCCGCTCTCGGAGTCAGTACGAGCAATGACAAGGTTCTCACAACCCATCATATCCCACTGGAAACGCGCAGCAGTCAAGCGATTGATGTGTTCGCCCATCGGGACAAGCACTTTGCCCGCCAAGTGGCCACACTTCTTTCCACCGTGGAGCTGATCCTCGAAGTGCACGGCCGCAGCACCATTCTCTGCGAACAGCTTGGCGAGTTTGAGAACAGCCGACAAACCCCCGTGTCTTTGATTTCAAGTCAGTTTTGAATGTCAGTTTCACCATCGGGGTAAGACGTACCCGGTGTCACCGTCCGCAACGATCGGTCGCATATAGTCAATGTATGGTGTAGACTTGCGCTCTTCAGCAGACATTTTTCGTCGCGCGTCCCACTGCTTACGATCGTGCATCGATTGGGCCTTGAACATACGCTGAACCTGATTGGGCACCGTGTTGTACGGGTAGTCGCCAAAGTCGGGAGAAACCTCATTAGTGGAAGTCAAGAGCGAAGAACATGCCCAGCCCGAAATATAGAGGATCTCTTGGTTGGGAGCCTGCTGGGTCATCTGTACAGGATCAATGGCACCCACTTCATATCCGCTATGTTAGCCCCATGGAAGTGGAAGGAGGGGCTCACAACCCACTTGTGTGTACCGGCTCTCCAGCCGCCGCACGCTCATTTAAGAGATTGAACAGCTTGCGAGCCATCAAAGAGCTGGGGTATGACTGCTGCAGCGAGCCACGCTTGCTCACCACGTCGGCCGCGCTATAAGAACGTTTGATACCCTCGAAACGGGGCGAGCTCCACCATGCCTCCACATCCCGCACTTGCTGTTCGAAGAGCGCATCTTCAGCAGATCCGGCCTTGTCGGCGGTCGACAACAGCTGGAATGCGTCAGATGGCAGCGTCGTAGACACGGGGGGCTGGACGGTCGGTGACGACATCCGAGGATAACCGCATGTGAACGAGCGCAGGGCCAAACGGGGAGCAGTCGTGATGGGGAGACGGGGTACTCGTCGCGGAATCAATCGAAGCATGATTGAGGTGGTGATTGAGCGAGAAAGGGGTGGGAGGTGAAATGAAAGAGAGTGCAAGGTCCCGGTTCGGTGTAGTATTTACAAGGCCGTTCGACCTCGGGCCGCGCAGTTGTCACGCTTTCTGGGGTTCCCCGCCTCCGATAACCGCCACTTTTACTAAGCTTTCCAGCGAGGAACGTGTTCATCCGTTTTGTTCACTGCGCTCGGTACTTCACCTTTACATTCTGGTGTCCATTGGATCGGAGTCTGGCATCCAGTCGATCTTGTCTGCCCTGTCTATGCTCGGACTCAAGGGCCAGAGTAGCCATTGACTCGGGGAACTTTCTCCAGGAAGCAGTTGAGTTCTAGAATTGGCTTACCGCCTTCTTATTTAGGGCTAGCATCCAAGACTGGCGGTATTCACTTTAATACCTTAGCATACACCCTCGCTTCTTATATTACCTTCTTTCACGCCCTATCCCTTTATTCCCCTTACCCCTAGGCCTTAATCATATATCTCCTCATATTATAAATATCTACTAGATATCCCTTAGATATCTAGCAAATATCTAGTTTCTTCTATAACTTTTTTTTCCTATATATATCTACGTAGTACCTTGTATCTTTATAACATATAGTCTGACTATTATTTACCTTTAAGAACAGATATCTACTAGATATTTAGTAGATATTTATCAGATATTTAAGGGATATTCAAGGAGAGACTAACATAGGGGACATATACTAAGCTTTACTACACATATACCCTAGATATCTAGGTTATTTCTAGATCTAAATAGGTAGTAATACTAAATATTTACTAAATATCTAGGGGATATCTAGATATATCGAACGGTTAGATCGTCGGCCATATTATTATAATGGAAAGTGCGTAGTCTAGAGCTTACATACGAGAAGGTAAGGGCTTGGTCACCGTACTGCGCTAAACCTTCTTTGTCACCTGATCTCGAGAATTGGTTTCTAAAAGGGTTTGGCGCCAAGGCGCCAAATCTAGAGACCCACCGATCCAATTCTCGATGCCAGCTACAGTATACACTCAACTTTCTCCACGGGACCCACTGATCCCTCCCATTGTTCCAGGTGCGTGTCAAGGCCGCGCACCCGCTCCATCCACTCTTGATCGAAGTGCAATAAATACTGATACATCGCAGAATCAGCCAATGGCCAGTCCTGAAGAAGTTGGAACCGGCAAGTATTGTACATCGCCGGAACCACGGCACGATCAACAGTATTTTGTCACCTCGAGATTATTGACTAGAGAGGGTGAAATTAAAACTCACTGCGAGATCCAGCCTAGTGTATGCCCAGTCAGATAAGTTCCAACGCGAAGAGAACGTGAAGATCCATGCATGCGGGGGAGTCCAGGTCAATGACACATACGAGGTGGCCCATGAGCTCCGTCCTGTGCTAGTCTAGCGCCACGACCAAGGTGTCGTGACCGGGTACCGGTCCGAGTACGCCCCTAAAGACATCTTGGCAGTCCCATTGGATGAGAGACATATTGCCGTATCCATTCGCCAGGAGATGGATCTGCTGTCCACACAATATGCGAACCAACGCCAGTTCCAGCATGGGCCCAGGAGCCGGCATGTTCTTCAAATCGGAGAGCAGGGACAGTCAAACTAAAAGCCGTTTGACGAAGAAGGAAAAAGGTGAAGAGTAAATGCAAGACATTGATGACAAGACCACTGGCGTCACTCATGGACGAAACCTATGGCTCTGGAATAGATATGCCATCGTCGCCAGTGGCCCACTCATGAGTATTGACAGTAACTGTGCCCTGGGTACTCAGAGAGTAGTTTTGGGCGCATAACCTGCTAAGGAACGTACAAAAGAACACATTTAGAAACGCAATAGAAGGATGCACAACGAGTGCAGCTAGCTAATGACGGGATAGACAGCGCTGGAAAAACATTTCTTTCTCTCTTGCCTTTGCAATTGAGGCTTACGGGCGAACAACCCGGAATCTCTCCGAAGCAAAGATTTGCTTGTCTGTTTTTCCCCGCACGTCCCTGTCCCGCTTTACCAAGATCGCGAGGCCGATCGTATAGGTCGTATAGCCTCAGAGCACGAGACAGCCTACCTGATCTAGCCCCAAACTGGACGCCATAGTTCAATCTGCCAACGCAGAAGCCAGTTGGGATTCTAATGATGGACTTCTGAACATCCCCTCAGACGCTTCTCCAAGATCGGCGACGACCCCCGCATGGGCCTTATCACCAACTCCTCCTCGGATTCCTATCTGCCTTGTGTCATTCGTGGACCTTCCGTCTTATCTTTCCCCTTTCCCTTGGTCATCATTATATTTGCTTTATTTCTTGTTGAATCTTCCATATATCATCAATAATAACGATCTGTTATGGAAAATATCAACATCCCATCGCCGTCCACGATCCTAGACTCGTCCGACACCGTCCCGTTCACGCGGGGCAAGCCTGCTTCGCCTCCCAAAAGGGCGAAGCAGATCGGAAGTGCGGCGCAAAAGCCCAAACAGACAAAGAGCCGCAATGGTACGATCTTGCCGGACAAATTTACTGTGAATAGCGCCGCTGGGCCTATCCACTTGCGCAGATTACTGACCCGATCTATCCGCATCGCCCAGGTTGCATCACCTGCAAGGCGAAGCGGCTGAAGTGCGATGAAACCAAACCGGCTTGTCACCAGTGCGAAAGGCGAAAGGTTCAGTGTGGCGGATACAAGAAGGATTTCAAGTGGCGGCCCTTTGAAGAGACCAACCTAGCGGTGGGGCGGCCCACCAAGGCTCAGAAGCGTAAGCAAATCCACTCGAGGAAGAGATACTTAGTGGATCGTTACTTATCGATATAGCAAATGCTCCTCTTTCCTTGACTGAGCCCGGAGGTATCCCAACGCCCCCGAATACCGAGTATCCTACCCCCAGAATACATGCTGCGCATTCTGTCATAACATCTCCCCCGGAATCCTCATTGCATAGCTCTCCTGCTAGCATCAAGAGTTATCTGTCTGCTGAGGCCCTTTCTTTTGACGGGTTCTGTGACCTTCGAGATGAAAGAACGGCAGCGGAAGAGTCAGATACCCCAATCGGGGTATCTGTTCCCGCTGATGACTCCTTGAATTTTCATTCTTTCCTTGGACCCTTTCAACATATTCCATTCTCAGATGAAATCTTTCTGGAGCAAGGTCTGGATAGTGATGCAGGTCCGGTACCGTATGATCCAGGTTTACCAACTGACTATGAATCTCTTAGCTTCTCCCACCTACTGGGCGAAGACAACGAGGACATTGAGGAGATCGTCAGGCAATCTGATCTCGGTGCTGGACCTTGGAACTTGACCTTTCCAGATCAGGGGGATAGTCTTCGGCATATATCTCGTCTCCCAAGTCAACCTCCGCTCGCACCAGAAAGCCAGGAGCTGTTAGCGTTACGATTTGACAAGCTCACCTGTGGTATTCTATCCGTGAAGGATGGAGTGTCCGAAAATCCGTGGCGTACTCTAATCTGGCCCCTCGCCAAAAGCACTCCTGCTTTGTATCATGCAATTTTCGCCCTATCAGCATTCCACGCAGCCAAAGAAGACCCGTCTCTCCGAGTCCAAGGCGTGAAGCATATGCGACAGAGTATCACTTGCCTAAGGCAACAAATCCAAAACATGCGCGCAGACACCGCGTTAGCAACCAGTTTAGCCTTGGCATTCGCTGACACTTGGGACCAGAACACGCGCACATGTGTCCAACATCTGCGGGGCGCCAAAGCTTTGATGTTGAAGGTTCTGAATGCTGGTCTCCAGGGCGGTCTCAATGCAGACGAGCTGGATCGTATTCGGTTCTTATACAACACATGGACTTATATGGATGTCATTGCAAGACTTACTTCCTTGGATGAATCTGGGCCTCAGGATTTAAATCCGTCTATCTTCCATCTTCCTGGTGATGCTATTCATGAAATTGATCCATTGATGGGCTGTGCTGCTACTCTATTCCCGCTAATTGGCCGAGTGGCTAGGTTGGTTCAGCGAGTGCGGAAGACCGTGACAAACTCGCTGTCAATCGTGTCACAGGGAATGGAGCTGAAGTCTTTGATTGAAGATTGGCAGCCACCACGCTGGTTTGAACCGCCCGAAGATCCCACTTCGGAGGTTCAACACAGTATCCAGATGGCGCACGCATATCGCTGGGCGACACTATTATATCTCCACCAAGCCGTCCCCGAAATGCCTTCTGAGTCCGCTGAGGGACTCGCAAAGCGCGTATTGATCCTTTTGGCAACCGTGCCCCCGACATCTCGCACAACGATCATCCAGATGTTCCCCCTCTTAGCTGCCGGAGCCGAAGTTGACTGCGAAGAAGACCGGCGATGGGTCTTAGACCGATGGAACACTGTTCAGTCCCGCCTGATGCTGGGAGGTGTCGATCGCTGCCTTGACGTGTTACGAGAAGTCTGGGCTCGACGAGACGCACTCAAAGCGCAGAAGCAAGATGACCTCCCACCACCGAGGAGACCTGGGTTCAATTCTAGCGAAGATACGGGCAGTCAAGGGATGAGATCACCGTATCCCAGGCCGCGATCTCTTCATGGACGCGTAAACTCGACAGACCATCATGATATGTGCATGCGGGGGAAAATTGGATCTACGAATATGAAGAGCGGATCTCAAAGAAGAGGGTCGGCTCTATCGCCCTTGGAAAACATCCAGTTCGAGAGAACTGTGAGGAGCCGATTGCATTGGGTTAACGTTATGGGAGAATGGGGATGGGAAGGTAATGATTAAATTTATGATGTCAATGGATACTTGCTAACGAGATCCAGTCTTCCTCGGATAAAACTGTTCACCTACACGGTGACCAGTACGGTGAAGTAATCTTCTCCGCTAACCATACTAAGTTTCCACGACAAAGTCTGAGTGTTATCCCTTTTTGCATTCCGTTTCAAATTGTATACTGCAAACTTTCAGTACAGACTAGCGCGGCGTTTGACAGCAATGTTTCCTTTCTGATGTGACTTTGATGACAATAGTGTTTTGATCAAATCGGTTCTCCTTGAAACTTTGTGATTGCATCTGACTACCTTCATCTCCGATCTAGGAACTAACACAGCATGCTTCATGCCAAGCTACACTTCACCACGAAGAAAACAGAAAAGACTCCTGACGCACACAGCCCAACCCAAAAGCCCAATCCCACAGCACCTCGCCCATCACGACTCTTGATACCACTGACTGCCACTCCACAGCCCACTTGTGGTCCAAAGCCAGTAATCCCGACCCTTGATCAACCACACCATGAAGCTAGGTATCTGTCAGCCCATGGCAGAACCAACACCCCATTTCCGCCCAATAGGAACAAGCTGCGTCTCTCGAGGATCTTCAACGAATAGCCGACCGTCTCCGGACACATCAACACTTGAAGCGAGCAGTAGATCGCGGTTAATGTTTGCACAGAGTACTGGCATGGCGCTGAGAATTGTGTGAATTGCTTGTCGCGCGCTTGACGCCAGTCACTCACAGCGTAGACTCTTTCACCGGCCCGCTCTACACGCAGCTTGTCTGTGACATTCACCCGGCAGTCGGCGACCAGCAGGGATTTGTCGATGAGCAATGTATTGGGAGTGGTTCCGACTGCTGAGATGTAGATATCGGCTTCGAGAACACTGCCATCGGAATGCGTGACAGCTGTTGTGGTCTTCTTTTCGTCCAGAGGCTGCAACTTCACGAGTTCGGGACTTTTCACCTCGAAAACACCCATAAGCGTCAGCAAATCCTCCGCATGCTTGGCAAAATTGGACTGAGAGCATGCAGAATCCGAGAGCTCGATGTAACCACCGTAATCTGGACCTTAGGATTCTCAAGCTTGCCGGAAAACCATCCAGATGTTCCATTCAAGTGTTCGCCCTATTCACCGGCTGTTTCAATCCCGTAAGAATTGGCTACAAAAAAAATATAACCCAGGAGGCTTACTATACATCCAAGTGGCTATGAAAATGCTGTTGGAGAGTGGTGTACTTCAATAAATACTTCAAGTCGACTAGATACAGGAAGAAGGTGGTTCTAAGTAAGAATTTAAGCTTCGAAGTTTTCAGCCTCTCCAAGATAGTGGCCCCCCTCATTGGGATGAAGAGCCGCATTATAACTGATGGTGGACTCAAGCAAGACATCGCGGCGGCAACATCTTTGCCTACCGATATTCAGTGATCCACAGCCATAGGTCGTAAGTTGGATCGGGCCTTCACCATTGTGTTATTTATCATTTAGAGCTAAGCCGTCTCTTTTCAATCGAGGAGCTAATATGACATAGTTGATGGCACAGCAACGTGTGACTATTGGTACTCCCGGCAGTCATTGGACGCAGAGCAGAGATAAGAACGGCTTATCCGGTCTTCTTAGTCCTCCAGTCATTCCTGAAAATAAAACTCAAGAAGGTGCCGTAGATGAGGACAGCACTCGGGAAGGTAAATTGCTAAATTTGAGCGTGTGGAGGGAAGTGAATTGAATTGGTCCCGAGTCGTTCTATCTCAAAAGAATCGAAGACCCTATTATTAGGTTTGATCTGCGCAAAAGGTATTTACGAGAGGAAGATGTAACCTCATCGTGCTCGATGAGTTGCCAATCCAAGAAGTTCGAGCTTGGGATGGAATACTGTAGGACTGAGCCGTCGACAGATGTCTCGTCTGAACTACTTCGACCAATGAAGCTAGGAATTAACGAAATCTGAATCAAAGAAGAAAAATCATCATCCTGATGGAGTTCGTCATTCTTTCTAAGGACAACTTCGTGATGAATATCGAGAAAAAATGCATTTCCGACAAGTTATGGTACGGTGACCATTTGACCTAACCACCACATCCCGAGTACTGCAAAAGAGCATGCAGAGGTGTATCATGATCCGTGACATTTTGGAGGCATTCAAAGACCTTACAAGGCTTCTTGTCGGAATTTCTCATTTCCAACTCGAGCAGGGGAGATATCGTGGCGGACTTGCTCTTCTGACTTAGAACCAGCACGTGGCATGTTTGGAACTTATTAGTGGACTCTAGGCAGAATTGATCTAGCAATGTAATTATCTCTCATAAGTTCTGAGGATTGAGTGCTGTCTCTGACGAATTTGTCCCCAATGATCAGCCTGCTCAAATAGAATAGCAGATGGTAGGTATCTAAAAATAGGTGGCTTTTTCAACAACGGCGATCTCCGTTGTGCTCAGCTCTTTTTCGGTTTGCTGTGAAGCCCCGTGCCCAAAGCGTACAACAGAGGCTTTAACTCAATGAAAAAAGCGCTCAATTTACCGAGCGATTGAAGCTCGCAGAGATGAAGTGAGTGGCTGTTCAACGCAGGTTCTACGTGGCTGATCACATTGCGTTTTCCTACGCCTAGGTGGCGTCTCTGCATCCAGCTGAACCATAAGTTGTAAACCAATGCAGCTGCGCGAAGCATAGAGCCTGGCTAATAGATAGCTAGCTAGCTGAAGCTACAAGGGTCCGAGCGTGGAGGATAGATGAGCGTTTTCTTCTTGGGACCTGAGAAGCGGGGCGTGCAGCTGGCATTTTTCGGATGTGTCGGATTGCAAGATGCCACGAGCATGAACGATTGAAAGCGCTCTCTTGTGAAGTCATCCATCTTAATTTGCTCTCACATCTGCATACCCCTCTTCTGTAGAACGGGAATTGCAGAGGCAGCCCTATCCCCAAGTTCCTCCGCGTATTTGCGCATAGCGGTCTTACTGTCATTGGGCAGTTGTTGAAAGAATCATGCTATTGGTGATTCGAGTCAAAAAATATTTGTAACATCGGCGCCTATGCTGTAACAATAAATACTGGGCATGTCGCAGAAAATCATTTTTCTGTAGTAAGAAGTTTTCGACTTATTTAATCTAATTTCCTGGCTTTCATGTCAACATGGGATCGATCTCCCCTCAACGAACTGCCCTGCGGATTCTCGACACGGTTGCTGAATTTCAACCTGATCAGATTTACTGTATTCATCCTGTATCCTCGGGTCCATCTCTAGAATGGAAGTCTATCACCTTTGCAGACCTTTCCAGTGCAATTAATCGCATGGCCGTGTGGATAAAGAAAAATGTCGCAGATTCAGAGCACCCTCAAACCCTAGCATATATGGGGCCCAACGACATTCGCTACTGCATCTTCGTCTTTGCGTGTATGAGGCTTAGACACACTGTAGGTGGCTATATATATTAGCTCCCAGAGTTATATTGACATAAGGCAGGCCCTGCTTCTCTCCACGCGCAACGCTACGCCGGCCTCGAGCCACGTTATGAACGCTACCGGATGTTCTAAATTTGTGTATAGCCCCGAGCGGACTAAGCAGATTGATGAGCTAAAAGCAGCCAATCCGTCTCTGCAAACATGGGTAGCTCCGGGGCCGTGGGATCTGTTTGATAATTCAACCGAGCTTGATACTGTGATGAAGGAGACATCAGAAGATCCTGAAAATCGAGTTGCAGTGTATATCCATAGCTCGGGCACAACAGGTGAGGGAACATATCTCACCAGAGCGTATGATGCAACGTGGAACACTACTTATATTTATTTCTCATTGCTACGATAGGCCTCCCCAAGCCAGTACCAATGACTAACGGCTATTTCCTCGCACTGGAGCAGACTGCTCTTTTCCCTCTCCCTGCTGGAAGAGAATGTAGTTTTGCAACCACAAGGGGCCAAAGCCGACCGATTTTTGTCATGAGTCCCTTCTTCCACTTGATGGGAATTCTCAGTATGATGATTCCAGTGATGTACAACACACCATTCGTTCTCAGCCCCGAGAAGCCTCTCACGGCCGAGCTCCTGGCGCAGATCGTGAAGGACACAAATCCCGACACATCAATCATGGCACCATCTATCTTAGAAGATCTCAGTCAATCTGAGCTCGGGATGAGCTCCCTGTCCACCTTCTCCATGCTCACTTTCGGGGGTGCACCGTTAGCACAAGAAGTCGGGGATAGAATCTCCGAAATTACACACCTTCAGTCAGTCTTGGGGTCAAGCGAAAATGCAGTATTCCGAGGAATGAAGCACCAAGATAAAAGTGACTGGAAATATCTGGAATGGGACCCCAATGCCGGCTATGACATGCGTGATGCCGGCGACGGCCTCTTCGAGCTCGTCATTCCCCGTTCAGAAGATCCTCTGGCTCACCCCATCTTCCACACTTACCCTGACAAGAATGAGTACAAGACCGGAGATCTCTTTTCTCCTCATCCGGAGAAGAATGGTCTCTGGCTATACTCTGGACGCCATGATGATGTGATCGTTTTGAGCAATGGAGAGAAGTTCAACCCAATCACCATGGAAGAGATCATCTCGGGCCACCCGCTCGTTTCTCGGGCTCTGGTTGTGGGCCAGGGCCGTTTCCAGGCTGGTGCGATCATAGAGCCTAATTGGTCTGGCTGGATTGGTGAACCTAAATCATTGATTGATGAGATCTGGGCCAGTGTTCAGAAAGCCAATGCGACCGCCCCTGGCCACGCCAAAATCATGAAGAACCGTATCGGAGTGTTGTCCTCGGACAAGCGGTTTGAGCGGACCGCGAAAGGCACGGTGAAGCGACGTGCAACGGTGAATGAATTCGCGGACGAGCTCGATGCGCTCTACGCCGCTGATGATCAAGTCAATGTGGCACAGATCCCTAAAGACGCGGCGCGTGAAAGTATCATCGCATATATCACAGCTGCCGTGGCGAAGATTCTGGACGTCCCAACGTTTGATGAACATGTTGATATCTTCTCATCGGGACTTGACTCCCTCCAGACGCTTCGGTTGGGCCAAACCCTTCAGGCCTCTCTGAAGTCTGCTTTGCCTGAGTTGGGCGCAATGTTCGGTAGCCCTCAATTGTATTCCCGTCCGACAATCTCTCAGCTGTCCGGATATGTTCTTGATCTTCTGCAAGGAAATGACTCGCCTCCCGATGCCGCTCACCTCGAGAGCGACGCCGATCGGGAAACGAGAATTTCTGGACTGGTCGGCAAGTATACCGAAGACTTCGGCAAAGACCACGCAGTCATTCTTACTGGTTCCACTGGGTCACTGGGAGCTTATCTACTTCATGAGTTGCTCCGCGATCTTAGCGTCACCAAGATCTACTGTCTCAATCGGTCGGATGATGCAGCTCCCAGACAATTGCAAAGCCTTCGCGAGAAAGGACTGGCGGCCTTCCAAAGATTCCCCCAGCGAGTCGAGTTCCTTCAAGCCCAGTTTGGCGCCGAGCGACTGGGTCTCGAAGAAGCCAAATATGAAGAGATGTTGGAGAGTGTGGACACCATCATCCACAACGCCTGGAAAGTAAACTTCAACCACCGAGTTGAGGCCTTCGAAACCCCCCCACATCGAAGGGGTCCGTCGTCTGGTGGAATTCAGTGTTGCGAGCGAGAACACCGCTCATATTCATTTTATTTCTTCCATCTCCACTATCGAGGGATGCAACCCGGAGCGGGGTTCCTCGATTCCAGAAATCATATTTGATGAACCCAGCTCGGCACTCAGACAAGGATACGGCGAGTCCAAGCATATCGCCGAAAGAATCTGCGCTGCTGCCTCTGCCAAGTGCGGTGTCCCAACTAGTATCCATCGGGTTGGGCAGATCAGTGGTCCGACTACGGAGAAGGGCATGTGGAATAAGCAAGAGTGGGTGCCATCGCTCGTTGCAACATCCAAAACAATCAAGCAGATTCCGAAGGGGCTAGGATCAGTATCCGTACAGTGGGTTCCAGTAGTAGGTGGCCGAGCAATTATGTCGCACTATCAGACACTAATCCGTTTTCCCCCATGCAGGATGTGACTGCAAAGGTCATCACCGACATCGTTCGCACCCGCCGTGAGACCCAAGAAGACGAACCATGCGCCGCCTTCCATATCGTGAACCCTCGAGCCACAGAATGGTCATCGCTTGTGCCAGCAGTTACCAAATTCTTTGACATGGAGGAGGTTGACATCAAGACTTGGATCCAGACCCTGGAAAGCTTTACCAGCCCCACAGAGAGTGATCTTCGGGATAAGCCAGCTCTCAAGATCCTCGACTTCTTTAAAGCTATCTCGTTCGCAGACGAGGCTGGTCCATGGACAGCAACCACCAAGACTCAGGCTGCTAGTAAGACACTACGCCAATTGCAGGCGATTGACGCTCCATTGATGGAGAATTGGATGAAACAGTGGGACTTCTGAGAGAGCTATTGTGTCGCATGTACGGAATTCAGGCGATAGCTCCACAGTAATGTATGCCGTAGCTAGCTGCTTTGTGAACGGAAATGGTTAGTGCTCACGTTAGCCTCACCTTTACATTGGACTAAATCCATTATCGTGACAAGGATCTGATTTAAGACACGTCACGCAGTCAGTGTGAATTCGTGCAGCGCCAGAGAGGGCCGGCAGCGTCGGAAGGCTCGAAATTCGTCAGCACACCTACTCGGGGCTCGCTCATGCATCTCATTCGAGGGGCTATCACTGAATACCATGTGTGATGGAAGACCTATTGGGTACGATGCATTCTTTGTCCAGCGGTCGCTGACATTCAAATACTTCAAAACTGAGCGTTGAACGAATTCACAGCTAGCTAAGCTACAAGTCGGACCAATCTCAACTTCGGTTTCCCTAATGACAAATATTCTATAAAACTTAATTTTGTCCACACGAGAACCCACCGTTACTGATTCAGAATGGCGGAGTTTCTCCAGCGTCTCGGATTGAATGATGAGGCTAAACAGGCAGACTATCTGCGGCTTCTTGGACTAAATAACGGGGCAGCAATAGCTTCCTATGTCAAAGAACATCACGATACTGATCCATTTATCACTCCGTCGGGACAAGAGCTCGCAGGCAAGTCCGTTTTTCTCACAGGGGTATCCAAGGGGATCGGGCGAGAGACTGCAATCCGATGCGCTGAGGCTGGATGTGAGAAGCTGGCGATAGCTGCTCGTTCCTCGCTCGACGATGTCGTCAAACAAATCGAAAACAATGCCCGCAAGGCCGGCCGCAATTCACCGCAGACTCTCGCTTTGCAAGTTGACGTCGCCTCTGAAGAGTCGGTCCGTACAGCCGCCCAAACAGTCAGTGAAGCATTTGATGGGAAGCTTGACATTCTCATCAACAATGCGGGCTATTTACCTGAGTTCAAGCCCATGACCGACTCAGACCCGAGCGACGGGTGGAAAGGCATGGAGATCAACGTGAAGGGGACATTTCTGTGCAGTCACTATCTACTTCCGCTGGTGTTGAAGTCAGACACCAAGGTAGTTATCAACATAACCTCTCATGGCGCCAGCTTCCTAACACAAGGGGGATCCTCATATTGTGCGTCAAAGCTGGCAGTCGGTCGATTGACCGAATTCCTGGCTAGCGATTATCGAGACCAGAACTTGATCGCTATCTCGGTGCATCCGGGTGTCGTCAAGACTGACATGCGATACGGGCTTCCCGAAGCTTTACGTGATGCCCTGATTGATGATGCAAGTCTTCCGGCTGATACAATTGTGTGATTGAGTCAAGAGCGACGCGAATGGCTGAATGGACGGTACGTTTCAAGCAATTGGGACATGGAGGAATTGGAGAGCAAGGAGCCAGACATTGTTAAGAGAGATCTGTTCAAGTTCCGGATGACCATATAAGCTACTTTACTCTACTGAGAAGTCTGGGCTTTCATAATCTATCAGCGATTCCATGACGATGAACCCAGCTGCGGGCGCGTTTGCCGAAAATGTACCTTGAAGAGATGTCAGAAATTTCTTCAACCTAGCATGACTTAAGAAAAGAAAAAACTCACATCGGAATCGTCAGTAGCGTCACGCCCATGGTGATACCGCCGATAGTAAAGAAGCAGTTGCGAACACCTTGGCTGTCAATCCAACCATTGATGTAGAACGATAACCCAAACGCGAACATATTTTTGACAAAGTTCATGGTCGCAAAGGCCTCGCCAGCCTTTTCACGATGGCAATCGACGACATAAGTGACGACGCCAGTGGTTCCAAGCTGAACTCCGAAGTTGATGAGGCCAAGACATACGATGACGGGCACCGGCCATGGGTCCTGGGCATACGAGGATTGGCCCCATGCAAAGAAGCCCGTTGAGGTGAACAAAAGGTAGGTGACCATGATCGGAAGACGGAATTCTGGCTCTATATCATGGTCAAAGCATGTCCCAGAGCAAGAATATGAAGGTAATACCAAAAATACCACCATTCTTCTTCGACAATCGGGTGATCAAACCGTCAATCAGAGGTCCTGCAGTGAGAGTACCAAGAACAGATGCAACGAATGACGAAAGATTCGTCGCTCCGACACCAACAACAGAGAAGTTATATGGTGGAGCGGAGAAGATCTGCGAGAGTGTAAGGGAAATGCCGACGAGCCAGGAGATACAAGTGGTGAAGAGGAGGACCGCCCATAGCACGGCCGGCGAAGCCAACAAATAGAATGGTCGGATGAGCGTATTCCAGAATGAAGTATGATTAACATAGCCACTGTATGGCATGAGCTGTTTGATCCATGGGTTTGATCGCTCAGTAGACGGAGAATCGGCATCGGATGCGTGTTCAACTTGTTCCAGGCTTCTCTTCCCTCTGAGCATGACCTGATGGTATTGAGTATCTGATGATTTGCACAGTACTGGATCACTCACAGTTCTATCAGCTGTATCGATGTTGAGAGCCTCACGAGCATAAGCGGATTCCGGCATCCAGAAAAAAACAAGGATCAAGGCCAGAGCAAAAGCACCACCCATAGCGTATAAAGCAATCCGGTATGATCCGTATTCAATGATCGAAGCAGCTATCACAGATCATTAGAACAAAATCCTAAATCATTGAAAATCTATTTTCTCACCGATCGGGACCGCAAGATTGATTCCACCCAAAACACCGAGGTTGAAGATTGCAGTCCGATACCCACGCTCGTGCGCGAACCTAGATGTGTTAACATCCCAAAAAAAAAATGGAGAGAATCTAGTTCTCACCAAATATCCGAGATTGAAGCAGGAACTAAAGCTTCCATTGGCGCCATACACAGACCACAGAACACACGTGCAGCAACAAATGACTCAAAGCTCTTAGCTCCTGCGGCCCAGAAGCAAGACACCATCAAGCCCAGAGTCGTGCCGAGGTAAACAGGACGCTTTCCATACTTCACTGCCAAAGAGTTGAAAAGCAGACTTCCAACAGCAATAGCGGCGATTGTGCCGCCCTGTACGGCTGAGATGAATGTCGATAAGGAGACGCCGAATTCTGCGGCGAGAGGGACGAATGCCCCGCCAAGAAGGGGACCGACGGCTAGGAACATATCAGTACGATATTTGAATAGGTACGATTGCAATGACTTTGGTCGGCATTACCTCCTACACAGCCGCAACCCCAGCCGTATGCGACAGTGAAGAGCTCCTTCTTACTGCGCGACCAGTTGAGAGGGTCATTGACGGAGTCGGATGGTTGTGGGACAAGCACAATCTGGCCAGTAGGGTCATGTTTGAGAAGATCCGGGTCTATCCCAGAATATGTGTGTGTGTTCGCGAGACTGTTTAGTGGAGCGGTACCGGGAATGTGCTCCAGAGTGTCGTCATCTAGGATGCCGAAAGGCATCTCGAAGGGTGACGACTTTATCGACTTGAGAATTGAGTGAAGGAGTAAAAGATAACCCGGAGCTGACACAAGACGAAAAGAATGGAGCTAGTAGACTTGCTGATCTCAATGACTAGGTTCACTACTCGATCCCATATGGCAATCGGTCCTTGACATAGATTACCCTAGTCCCATGAACTACATAGCACTCGCACTGGTATCGATTGCTGGTACTTCCCCTAATCGCATCGATTGTGGCTTGCCCACCTAGAGCAGATTTCCACGAGAAATAGTGGTGCTCAAAGGCAAGATGGGGCTGACCCGGCCCCATGATGGAGAATCCTCACGCCAGAATCCGGGCTTCCCCACGGGGTTTGGCCGATTCAATACGATAGACCCAAGGAAACCAGCATTCAACACTAGAGCCTCCATCTCCATCATTACTACTTTCACTTCGGCACTCCTATCATACATATCAAGTAAATATCCCATAAAACGAAGCCAAGGTCCCACATGAGGAATTCTCAATCATAGTCGGAGAGAATGCCAGATTCACAAGTGATGAGTGATCTGCAGAGAAAGACATTATGGTGTGTCGGTAGTTCAGTTCAGATCGCCACCCGAGGGTAAAAGCACTGCGAATGGTGATCTATCATTAAATGTCTCAAATAGCGGCGATTCGCATGTTGAGTTTCTGTAATAGAGGCGACCGTTCATTTTTGTGTCCACTCTGTGATGAATTAATGAAGAAAAATCAATATTTCATGACTTAGCCTTGAAACACTCTAAGGTAAGATCTCTTCCAATGTTACATGAGGTCGGAGCTATTCGAATGACAATGACCTATGCCTTCGTGGTCGATATTTTCTTTCACGTGCGAGGGATAATTCCGCTGTTCGGCTGCGATGACATGCCGGGAAACGAAAGTCAAACGCCACGGCGTTGATTCTCCGTAAATCCACCCTGTATCCCATCGGATATACAGGATTAGACAATCACCGATTGGTTGAACGCAGACGCCTCTCATCCACATCCCCGCGTTCCAGAGTCTAAAGATCAGCCGAAGCTCCAGAGGCACCGGGAAATCCCCCAGCGAAGTTTGCTCCACCGATATGTGGAGAAATACGAGGCACAGAGAGGGGTAGGCGTGAAATCATTGCGGCATGTACAACCGCGTCAAGGTATGTGGATAGGCATATAGCTGTGTCGGTAGTTTGAGTTTCATACGTTTTCTTCAATCGACCAACTATGACGTCTAAGAGAAGTATTATCGTTACTGGTAAGAAACACTCCCACAGGAGAGTAATAACATGGCAGTTGATGATCTCTAGGGGGAGCCTCTGGGATTGGACTGGGTATAACCCGGCACTTCATCACAGACCCTGACAATCACGTTACAATTCTGGATGTGAACCCAACAACGGGTGCGCAGACACTGGATCAATTCCGGACCGAATTTCCATCAGCTAGCGTCTCCTTTGAACAATGTGATGTCTCATCTTGGGAAAGCCAAGCCGAGGTCTTCGAGAGAGTATACGTACAGCAGAGCCGTATCGACATTGTTTTCGCCAATGCGGGTATCACGGAGAAAAGGAAGTCTTTTGCCTGGAAAAGGAGACACCAGTGGACCGACAAAGCCGAATTTAGCAACCGTGAATGTAAATTTTATTGGGGTAATATACTGTGAGTGGAAGCATACTAATGGAATATTTTTGTATACTGAGGTGGGAACATCCAGCCGTGCAACTTGCCATTCACTACATGGCTAAGAATGAATTCGTCGGTTCCTCCAAGGGTTCGATTGTGTGCACTGCCTCGAACGCAGGGCTATATCCATTCCCTATGGCCCCGATCTACTCAGCTACAAAGCACGGTGTTATCGGGCTTGTACGGTCTCTCGCTCGTCCATTGGAGGCCGAGAACATTCGCATCAATGCGCTGGCTCCGGCTGTCATCGGTATTGCCACAGCTCTTACGCTCGCTGATGAGTGAATGCTAACAAGCTCATAGCTACGAACATTGCACCCAGTGCAGATCTGTTCAAATCGATGGTCCTCACGCCCATGTCAACTGCAACGAAAGCTGTAGCACAGCTCGTGGATGACGAGACACTCACTGGAAGAGTTGCAGAATTGCATGGAGAGCATGTTACACTGGCAGAGGCACCAGCTTATGTTGATGAGGATACTGGGAGAAACATCGAGACTTTCTGGGAACTGGGATACGCGTAAACAGGGAAGAAGGATACAGAAATATCAGTAGATCTTTCAAGTCGATTTCATGACCATGAGTAACAGATGGTAAAATGTACATATACATCACACATTAAGCCCTAGAACAACGTCAAAATAGAATTTCAGACCCGGATATCGAATATTTGCAAGCGCCAAACCTCTAGCCGCCGTAGCTGGGAACACCAGAACACCGTATGAAGAGTCATCAACATGCCTGCTATACTGCTTTTTAGTATTGGCTGTGATGTGCTTCAATGCTAATCCTGTTCATCCTGAAGGAGAACTTTCAACCTCTCCAGCTTATCTTCGCAATGCACCTCCAATTGCATAATAACGTCGACGGCGTCCTTCTTGGTGATGAGTAACTGTGAAACAAGCCAGAAGTTATATCCGTTTTTATAGAAGCCCATGGAGGCCCACTCGTCACTTGAGACCTGATTGCGCAATGCGACCCAGTGATCTCGCCAGCGATTCAGGGCTATCCTGATCGAACCAAGCAGAGAATCTTCAGGAATTGTACTCTTACTCTCATTTCCGCCGACTGGGGATTGCGATGCCGGAATCGCGCCGCCATGCTGATTGAGAAGCCCGACAAGCGTCATGTGCGTGTTGATAAAAGAAAATAAAACTGCAAATCTGATAAGCCTGGATCTCAAGGGAAGGAAGAATGAGTGTTTACCATGAATTAGAATGAACATATCCAAGACCGTCAAATCCATCTGAGTAGGATCGGGCGATTGTCCAGCCAGGTGTGAAGAGTCGAAGAGGTTTTGGAATGCCCCATAGAGGGTAAGACGGCGGGAAAATCGGAAATTAGGTTCGGAGAAAGGGTGTGGTGACTCAAAAACGGATCCTTCGCATGGTAGTTCGCATTCCATCTCGGAATGCGTCAACCGACAAGGGTAATTTTGGTAGAAGAAGAAAGCGCAGTCGAGTAATGAGATGATGCTAGTGGTCCTGCCGACTGTCAGTAAGTAATAAACTTATTCATGGTCAATACGAACCGAATACGACACTCTGTTTGAATCCATTGGTGCTCCAATTGCTCTACCGATGTGTGTTGGCACTTGACCAGACTTAATCGCCGAGCGACCTTGACAACTTCGCTGAAGCGGTTTTCCATCGCGCGATTTCGAGATGCGCGACTTCCGGCCCAATATTGGACGACGATGATAATAAAACCGGCTTGGAAATTTTGGAACTTGATCCAGTCGCTGGACTCATCATCGGCGTTTCGATTTCCCAAGAAACTAATAGCGACCTCGCTCTCTGACGAGTAGACCTGACTTGAGAAGATATAGAGCTCTGCAAAGTCGAGTAACCTCTTCGCGACATATACCTCCCTCTGGTCACTGCTGTACATGGCTCCCATGAAGACAACTGAAGCAAGTAGAGGTATTGCAGCTGTCTCTGGATCAAAAGAGGGTATATGAATCATGGCACAACTTGGTTGCCAATATTTGAAATATAACGCGATGAATTTTCGTATGCGTGCGGTCGTCAACAGAAAATTAAGGTTGGTCGATATTTCTTCTTGAGCTTTGGCGTCCAATGGGACTGTCCAGGCTCTAGCGAGGATGGACTGAATTAAAGCCATGGCAAACGGTCGCTCCGGCTCAGGATCAAACATGGCCTGTTCCGGCGAGAGAGTCGAATTGAGTCCTTGCCCGGGGATGGCTGCTTGATATGTGATTTGGCCACTGAAAGGGTCTTCGGCGGACTTTTGGCCATCCCCGAAAGGCCCATTGAAGAAGTCGAGGAATGTGTCTTGGAAGAATTGAAATGACGATGGGTCGGAATCGACGAGAGTAGGTGTATAGTCTTGTCGATTGTTCTGCACGTAAGGGAAGACTTCTCCTGAGGCCGCCTCTTCTAATCCAGTCTGGTTATGGTATACTAGCCCTCGTGCCCGGTCACCCCGCGGGGGTAGTCTGAATTGTTCGGTAAAGCTATCGGTGCCTCCATTCAAAAGAAACTTGATCGATCCGCGATCTGATGGCTGCTCGTATATCTCGGTTTTGATCGGCGAGGATTCTGAGCAGCATCAGTTATGGCGTTCCCTTGCCACGCCTCGTCAGCATACCTTCATCCAAACCCGGTTGTCTGAGTTGCGTGGACCGTTCATTGTTGCAATCGAGCCCTCTCTTCATACAAGAACCACAGGGGCTACTGCCGTCGCAGCGTAGCTTCATCGAGGTGCACTATTAAGACGACGCTGTGAGCACAGCATGACCCAGATAGGGGTGCAGCGCAACTTACAGACTGGCACGCATGTCGCCGTCGGCCTCTCTGGCCGGTCTCGGGTATCTTGCGGTCCCCACGCTCGGCGCAATCGGCATAGTGGTCGCGCAGATTGTCACTAAACAGCAAGGATAAGTCAAAGTTTGGGAGCGAGACGGGGAAGGCGCCCGTACCAACGCGCAAAGGATTCTTTGCAGAACACGCATGAATACGGTTTTTGGCCGGAATCTGTCACCATTTAGCAGCCAGGTCGGGAGGATTTGCCAGGTGGGGTACGTACGTCGCAGATGATGTCTCTTCAAGTGGTCAATACGCGTGAAGGCCCGCTGGCATATTGTGCAACGAAAGTGCTTGTCGGCGGGCTTCATGGTGGTCCATCGGGGAGGAGGGGAGATCCGGGGTAGCAAGAGTGAGGATCGAGTCTGGGGCGTGAAGAGCGCCTCTGGTATTGGTATTCCAGCCGGTGAGCGAAGTGGAAGTACTCCTCCCTATATTTGAAGTGGGTCTCTACCGCTCAGAATTACAAGTTTGTAACGTACAGTAACGGCATGATATCACCACCTTCGCGGACTTGGTCCGAGTTGCTCCACTTACGAGGATCTTTTTTACTGTTGGGGTTTGATTACAATGATTTGTATTATCGTCAATACGATACTATCTACTCCTGGCTATGCTTTTCGTACTTGCGCGGGAGAGGGAAGTCAATCTGGTCGTCATCCAAATAATCCACATCGATCGTGTTGTTCTTCTCCTTCTCAGTCCATCCATCGCCAAACCAGCTCGTGGGGTTATCATTGACATATTCATACTCAAAATCTTCCCAACGTGGGTTTGCAAATACCTTCATGGCATGCAATGATGATCCTACCTCCAGTCAGCCATGTCAACGAGGGTTAAAATCGATCACATACCAGGCCAAAGGGCAACAATGCGACCATCCTCAGTGCCGCCCTTGTACCAACTGCGGCACTTTGCACCAAACACTGTCTTTGCAAAGTACTGGTCACAATATTGAGTGAATTGCTTGACGGCACTCTTCTTCACAGCCATTGCGCGGATATTATCGCGTTGGATCTTGCGAATGCTTTCCGACATGTAATCAATACCCTTCTCGATCAGCAGCAACAAATTTCCTTCACCCAGACCAGCATTGGGTCCAAGAGAGATGAAATAATTGGGAAATTCATTGGTTGCAAGCGAGATGTAGGTCTCGGGGGTCTTCTCCCAGTGCTTTTCCAGAGTAAGTCCATTTCGTCCCTTGATGGGGAATCGGGGGGTGCACGTCGTGTCGAACCCAGTAGCGCAGACAATCGCATCAACTTCCCGGTGCTGTCCATCTGAAGTCATGATACCAGTCTCGTCGACTTTGACAATTTCCGATTTGATTACATCAACCTTCTCGTTAGTCAAGGCCTCGAGATAGCCAGGTCCTGGCGTAAGCCGGCGACATGCAGGGGGAAAGATGGGACAAGCTCATCGAGAAGCTCTGGCTTGTTCCGTAATCGGCGCTTCATGTTCTGGACAAAAATATCATGAGCTTCAATTTGCATAGGATCTCCAATCAAAGTAGCGCCGTGGATGGACTGTAGTGCTAGTTCAACATCTTGAAAATCATAGGTTAGCTTGGTGAATACGAAATGTAAAATCCAAGTCTTACCCTTTCGGAATTTCTGATATTTTGAGTGGTCCTTCTTGAATTCCTCAATTTCCTCCGGTGTGAATCGGACTAGGTTATTCAAGTTAGTGCTTGCCTCACAAAGACACGTGCGCGAACTGACAGTTCTCAAGTCCTTCGCCACGCTTGTCAACTTGTTCTCTAGCAAACGTAGGTGCAATCCAGGTCCGGCTACGCACATAATGATCAATGTGCGTGACCTTGGGCAGGATCCCAGGAACAATCTGGATGCCACTTGAACCATTTCCGATGACTGCGACATTCTTATTCTTCAGAGGTTATTAGACGAGTTTTGGTCAGCGTTGGCCTAATCCTGAGGCTTACCGAGTAATCATATTCTTCATCCCAAGTAGCACTGTGTAAAAGCTTGCCTTTGAAGTCATGCAGACCTGGAATATTTGGCCACTTCCAATTGTTCAAGGCACCGGTCGCCTGGATGAGAACATCACACTGATCTCTCTGAACAGTACCACTTTCCACATCTCTGACCTGATGAGATGAGCGTCAGCTCTGGTGCCTTTCGTGAATGGTTGAAGGACTCACTTGTATTTCCCACCTAGATTTATCCTCATTCCAGGCAGCCTCTGAGACTTGCTGCCTTAACTTGATATACTTCATGCAACCATACTTGTCGACAACGCGCTTCCAGTACCTATGGATCTCGGGTGCACTGGCATAAAATTGAGACCAATCCTTATTAGGCTCAAAGGTGGCTTGGTAGGTGTGAGCGGGAATATCTGGCAAGGAGATTTACATTAATAAGACACGCTCTCAAGTTTCGATTCAGCAACAGGTCAGCTTACCACAGGCGCATCCAGGGTATCTGTTTTCAAACCAAGTTCCTCCAATGTCCGCGTTCTTGTCGTAAATGCATAGGTCGAGATTAGGGATCCTTTGAACGAATCGAATGCAAGCGAGGATGCCAGAGATTCCAGCACCAATGACCACGACTCTTAGTGGCCGTGCTTCATCGACGGATCGCCCCTCGATGATAGACTGGGGTTCGTTCGCAAGAGGCTTGTCTGCTTGAGATGAAATCACGTCCTCGTGTTCTCTAACCGGGACAGGCTTGGGGCTGCTGCTAAAAACACGAGACAGGCGTTTCATGGTGATGTACTAGGACGGATTACTCGAGGCGAGGGTGAAAGAGAGAACCAAAAGGCAGTTATAGTCAACTTCCAGTGAGCCTTGACGGGTTTATGGCTCATCGGGGAGGAGACACCGTACGAGTTATAACCCATCCGTTATTCCCGGAACTTACGCTAGGAAGTTTGCCGGCATACGCCGATTGACCGATCCCATGAAAGTCTACCTCGGTGGTTCCAGCTTAGATCTAAATCAGGTGAATAAGTGGGAAAATGCACCAATATTCAAACGCTCCTCCCGATCCAAAGTATGACGGGCTACATCACGAGCGGGAAACCCCCCATCCAAGATCCACAGATTACGGATATAGACCTCATCATGGCCCTTGGTCCATAGTTTTAACAATCATCATCAATGATTTGTTGAGGAGGAGCGGGAAGGGAGTGGAAGGAGCGTCGTGACCGGTTCACCGGAAATCCCCCATTAGCAGGACTCCACCTAGGGTCAATATGCGGGGGGGAGCCTGGAAAAAGGATTTAATCCAGTGGCTTAGCGGATCTATGGACATGGAGCTGCATTAGTCTGGGTCCTCAAAGTTTCATCACGTCGTGCATTCCATATGACTCGGGTACTCTGTCATACCGTCTGCCGCCTGGATCTCGTGCTCAGGCATCCCAATGCCGACTTCGGCAACGAGATATACCATAGTGCCGTGTCAGAGGGCCTGATCAGACTACTATGGGCCAGCCCCTCTTACTTGATTATGAGGAAAATTTGAGAGTGCGGAGTTAGAAGCGGTCGGTTCAAAACTAGCGGTCAGTCGCGAGATTCACTTCGTTATTGCCTAACTTTCCTGTCTTGAGGTCCTTTCGTCTCTTTACTCTGAGCACTATGGCTCTACAAGAGCGATTATGATAATTATGGATCGGTGAAGGGGCGCTCATGGAGTTAAAAATTAAATGAGACATTACTTGTATCTATTGCTAGGTTAGCCGCTTTATCGTGTTTCTCGATCCTTATTTGACTGAACAGCTATGGCTCAAGGAGCAGTACACAACCGCCACAACCACAACAATGAGCACAATGAGAACTAAACAGATGTCAGCAATATCTCGAAGCAAAAATTGAACAAACACGTACGACAAATGAAGAGAGCCCACCACTTCCATTTCCTAGCGTTGCGCACACTTTGAATTCCCATGTCCAAGTGAGTATTGGCTTTTTGCAGGTTTTCGTGGGTTTGGTTTACCGTCTGTTCAATTTCAACAACAGCAGATTCTTGTTGATGGACAAGCTCAGCAACTTCTTGTGATAGTTCCGCGAGAGTGATCAGATCTTGCTCGATCTTGCGAATTGCGGCTGATCTTTGTATGACAGCCGCACGAGCCTCACTTGCGTGCTGGCTTCGCTGACCCTGGACCTGTTTACCTGTCGGTAAAAGATATTTTGGGACTCTAGGGATAGGAACATACACTGAATACCTGCTCCTGCCCCATGATCACATTCTCTACGCCTTGGTCAATCTCCTCGGGTGTAGCATCTTCGTGAGCGATCTCATATCGTCGGCGCACCTGCGAACGCATCTGGCGATCAAAGTCTCTCTGAGATAATCTGTAGGCTTCAATCTCCTTTCTTATTTTGTCGCTGATGTACTGAATCTGAGTCTGAGCGTGCCAATCATCTGGATTTGACTCGCGTTTAAGTATCGCGAGCAAATTACGAGAGGTGCCAAAGTAGCCTATGATGTCGCTTCCAATAGACTCGATATGAAGGCGACATTGCTGGTCCTCAGTTGAAGTGGTCGAGTTGAGAAGAGCTTGCTGGGCTGGTCGAAGTTCAGCTTGCTTTGATATGATATGATCGAGCTGTTCTTCGATCTCACGACGCTTCGCAAGATTTATCGCCATCCCACTCCTAGGCTGAAGCTCTATGAAACAGATGAGACATGTGCCGATCTGGATGTGATGGGACGATTCTGACCATATTGAACTTGATTAGACTCAAGATCGGGAGCCCGTTGATTGTAGAAAGACATTTGGTTTGTAATTATACGTGTTGTTGGCAGCCTTGGCTTTTGAAGCGGAGTGTCTCGTCTGAGATGCCAAGACTGTCGAATAATAAGCTTTGTGAACAGAGACCATGCTGAGCCTAGGATTATTTGTAGTCAAAAACAAATGGAAGGATCCCGATGGAATTGAGATGCCTGGAGAACGATCGTCGGATTGAGCCTCAGCAGCTTGAAGTGGCAATTATCCTTTGATTGGCCAGCGTTATATGCAATTGGACGAATGGTTCGATTCGTGCGAAACGGCAGACTTGATTGGTGTGGCTATGGCCGTCGCCCGCAGGACGATCTGGCGCTGCCTGGAAGACTCCCAAAAATAGATGAAGCAGACCCTCAGCCTCTAAATCAAGCATCCCAAGTCACTATGCCAGATAATACGCTGCAAAATTTCAATATTGCGGCAGGAAGGTCCACTATGTCTCCGGGGCGATGCGGGAGTGACTGCGACGTAACACGATGCACCAGGCAGCGACAGCCATGCAGGGACGCCTTGGGCATCACTGATTCAACCTCGAGGCCTGTATTTGTCTTTCCTGAATATATTGACGCGAAGTTACAATCTTAGACCGGAGAACTTGGACACCTGGCATCGTAAAGAGCCCAGTAGCGTCGGCACTTCGTGATGATCTCGGCGTGGTTTCCTCTATCGTACATTGTGTATAATAACGAGTTTGATTGCAACGGCATTGTGTATAGGTACTAGAGCCCACCGATGATATAATGCATTGATCATGATATGGCGTATATTTACTATGGCACGGAGAACACATGGCGACTGTTGATCCGGATTTATTGATCGTAGGGAAGGGTGGCGCATTCTAAATCCGAGATTCGCCAATCTTCGGCAAAAACCCCAGAACCGGCATGACCACTGATTACCAGAATCTCACAAATCCACCAAAATGGGACATCCAGCGATCGCCGGCTCCTTTTCACTGGCTACACATGTAAAAAGATCCACCGGCTCCAAGTAGCAATTCAATCATGGCGCATAGACAGCACTCCCAATTCCCCGCTTTTTAATGTGGCCCGCGATACAGCCAAGTGCGACCCATTGAACACGTCCTTGACCTTGGGATATCTCTATAAAGCAAATAGTCGCCCACAATACTCAACCTATTGACTGAAAAATCACAATCAGATCCTCAGAGCTGTGCTTGCTATTACGCGCCACTATGCCAGTCTTCACGGAATACTCTGCCGCGTCGCGCGAGCTTCGCGTTCTCCCCTCATTCGCACCCCCGCTCCCGCGTCTAGCTCCGCAAGTCGCAGAATCCACAACAGAAAAAATATGAAGTCGTTATTGTGGGAGCTGGGCCTGCAGGGCTTATGCTGGACCTCCTTCTGGCTCGATATGGATTGAGTGATGAGTCGCTGCTCTGCGTGGACGCAAAGCCAACCACCCTGAAGTCAGGACAAGCCGATGGCCTTCAGCCGCGCACACTCGAGACACTAAAGTCACTCGGTCTGGCAGATGAGATTCTCACCGAGGGATGTCAGATGTGGCAGGTAAATTGATCCTCCCTGGGAGAAACGGCTTCACTAACGGCAAAGGTCGCATTTTGGAACCCATCCAACGACAAAGATAAAATCATTGAACGAACATCGATTGTCCCGGACGTCGCTGTGCCTGCTCGCTTCCCACATGAAGTCACGATTCACCAAGGCCGAATTGAACGGATACTGGAAACAGATTTGTTGCGTTATTCGAAACGCGGTGTACAGCGGAATACCAAATTGATCGAAGTCAAGATCGACGAGGCGGGCGATGCGGAGTTCCCGGTTGTGGCAGAGATTGAAACAGAGGGACATAGACGAACCGTGAGAACCAAGTATCTCGTCGGCGCAGATGGTGCACACTCTGTTGTTCGACGCAGCATGGGCCTCAAGCTGGAGGGAGAATCACTGGATCATATCTGGGGAGTCGTCGACCTAGTCGTTGACACCGATTTCCCTGATATCAGGAGAAGATGTGCCATTCACTCACCGGCTGGCTCCGTTATGGTGATTCCTCGTGAGCGAATCGCAACTGGCGAGTACTTGACAAGATTGTATGTGCAAGTGCCCGGCGATGTGAAACCCGACAGCGATCAACAGACCGTGGATGGACCGGACACACCTCCCACGGCAGATGCTAGAGCTCGCCGGAGTAAGGTCACAGAGCAGACCATCTTCGATAACGCAGCCGCGGTCTTCAAGCCATACTACATCCGACCGAAGAAGGACGGCGCTGTGGACTGGTGGGCGGCATATCAGATCGGCCAGCGGGTCACAGATAGCTTTTCGGTGAAAGATTCGAAGGGTGTGAATCGTGTCTTTATTGCCGGAGATGGTAGGTGAAACAATATCAGTCCGTGGGAAGACTACTTGCTAACATCCTATGTCTGTAGCTTGCCATACGCACAGCCCGAAGGTAAAAGTCGGCTTAGTATAGGTTTCCTTTGGAATGACTAACAATTTTTCAAATATTAGGCAGGACAGGGGATGAATGTCTCCATGATGGACTCTTATAATCTGGCCTGGAAGCTTGTATATGCCATTCATGGACTTACACCTAGTGGAAGCAGCGGACGACCGGACCCTCTCCTCGATACATACCATATCGAACGTCACACAATCGCACAGCAGCTGATAGAATTCGATCGAAACTTCTCATCGATGTTTTCAGGAAAGATTGGGGCGTCTGAAGATGGCGTTGGAGGGCTGACCCACGATCAATTCCTCGAAGTATTCAGCCGCGGTAACGGGTTCACCAGCGGGTGCGGAATCGAGTACCCCTGATAATATGACGACTGTAAGAGACCTGGAAGGCAAGAAGAATCCAATTCAGGGTACCGACTATTTGTCGGGCATTTTGCGTCCAGGAAGGCGACTATTGAACGTGCGTTTGATTCGTCATGCGGATGGCTATCGTCGTGATCTGCAAGATGGTAAGTTGCAAATCGGCTGCCTTTCTGAAGCTGTTTATCTGACCAGGTCTAGACTTCGCGTCCACTGGACGGTTCCGTATTCTTTGTCTTACATCGACGGACCTACTGAAACCTCATGGCACTTCGACCCAAACATTGACTCAGCTCGGTGCAATGATTCCTCGATTTCCACCGTCGGTGCTTGAACAGGTTGTGGTTCATCCTCGCCTGGAGAATGACTTCGTGTGGACCGACATTCCACGAGAGATAAAGCAATACTCTGAAATGTCGTTCTACAGTGGATATGAGATTGATGATGTCTACGGAATTTACGGCGTCGACCCAGCCGAGGGTGCTTTGGCTGTCGTTCGTCCCGATGGATACATTGGTGTCATTGCTGCCTTGGACGACGTGAAACGCGTCCAAAAGTATTTGGAATCCCTGATCCGCACAATCTAGAGTGTATACACCACAGGATGAAGCAAATTGACCAGTGGACTATTCGTGCGAGCATCTGCGTTTTTCTCTCTCTAAAATCTGAAGTCGGTCTGAGCGGCCGGCACCACTTTACAGAATATGACTGGGCTTATTGTATGACATGGCTTCCCTTCGACTTTTGTGCTTCTTTCACGTGTCATTAAAAGGCATCTGTATACCCCGCTCACCGCACGACAGCTCCTTATGTGGCTGCCGGGGGAGCCTCTTCAAATAGAGCCCTGGAGGGAAATGCGTTAGTTTGAATTGGGTAGCCTTTATTCACTCCATCTTGAGTCGCCACTTGGCCCCATCTCACGGGCAGCCGGGCTTTTACAACGCAGCAAAAGAAGCAGCCTCGACAGTGGCACTTAAAAACTCCACGCTGACATGCGGTCTCGGGACAGCCGCACTGTCTGACTCCTCCAGGATGCATGGCATGCTGACTGCGCCGCCCAGTGCCCAGTGTCCCCAATCAATAGGGTGAACTCTGCAAAATGAAAGCAGTTCAGCCTCTTTATCCGCGCACAGGTCGAATTTTGGGATTACCACTTTCAATTGTCTCTCGTTCAGAGAGGCGTTCTATTTTCTTCGACGCTGTAAAATACTATACCAATCCACTAATAAACCCACATTCTAAGGTATACCCTTTCAGTGCCAGTTGCCCGCAGAGTTCTGAAAACGTAGAATCGTAGAAGCCCAACGTGGGGCACGCCGAAGAATTGATTCGACTCTGCACAAGGTTTCTTTGAGAGAAGTATTGACCAGACGAAAAAAAAAAAAATCAAAGAAAAGCCAGGGCCAGGTCTCGGCCATATCTGGTAGTCTAGGCTAAACCACGAATTTCTTTGACCTTGCGTGCCTCTTTCCCACCTCTATCGTCCTTCTTCCTTCCTCCTTACCGCCTGCGCTCACATTCATGCCTACTATTCGTACATTGTTACGCTTTTTACCCAAGTATGCTGCTTCCAGATCGAGTATTCCAACTCTTGCTGGTCTTGCTCACACTATCGACACTGTGTACACAAACATCTGCAGCCACCGCGAACTCGACGCTTGCGACAACGACTACAACGGCCTGGACGCCGACTGCGACCGGTACCGCAACCCACACGATTCAAGTAGGGCCCAAATCAAGCCCTCATCAATACGTGCCTCATAGCATTACCGCCAATGTTGGCGACATTGTCATATTCGAGTTCTATCCTGCAAATCACTCGGTTGTAAAAGCAGACTTCGATGCACCATGTGTTCCCGCTAGTGGACCTGTATTTTGGTCCGGCATGTTTAATTCGTTCAACGAAGAAGATGGCCAGCTGGTCGGACCAGTAAGTCAGCAAAGACGAAGAGTATTCGACCTGCTAAGTGTTCCTCCCAGCCACCTACCTGGTCACTGGTTGTCAATGATACCAAGGTAAGTATCTATTCTGCTTGCGAGTGTCTCGTTATGAAACTGATGCTCTCAATATAGCCTACATTCTTTTATTGCACCGCCATAGGCTCGTGTCTCGAGAACGGCATGGTTGGTGTCATAAATCCTGTAAGTCCAATTGCATTACATTCTAATTTTCATTCTTTACTAACGGTTTCTTTTTCCAGAACGCCACTCGAACCTTTGAAGAACAATACAAGCGAGCTCTCGTATATCCATATATGCTTGTGCCCGGTCAGTCTATGCCAGCCGAGGGAAGCGAGGGAGGTGCAAGCTCAACAACCAGCACCACCAGCAGCGGCATTACAACCAGCGCAGCAGCAACAGGCGGTGGCTCCCATGGTCTCAGCACCGGCGCTCTCGCAGGCATTGTGATAGCGAGTGTGGCTTTCGTCGCCATTCTGGTTGCCTTGTTCTTCGTACTTGGTCGCCAGCGCGTGTACAGTCAGTGGATGTCATCACAAGATGGACGGACCGAGCGCACCGCACGATGGGCTATGTTTGGCCACGGCCATGGCCATGGCCATGGCAACCCCGCCCCATCCGAGCCTTATAGTCGGAAGAGCGAGCTTGATGTGCCCATGGCCACACCAATGGACACTGTCTCGACAAAGAGCCCTGATCCAAATCGCAACACCTTCTCGAGTGGCCCGGACGGTTCTAGTACTGGACACACGTCGGCGACATCTCAAGTGGCTGGACATGGGATACCAATAACATACGCGCCAGCGATGCGCCTACCGAGCTGGAGGCAAGCCCTATGCCGCATCAGCTGTCCGAGAATAGAGATTATCGGTGAGGTCGGGCGTGGCATATGGGGCGTGTGGTATATAGGGCGGAATTGGAGACATTGATCATACGCAGGTGGTCATTTGGATCGGAGGGAGGCTCATTTCTTCAATCTTCGTGAGCGCTCGACATAATTTCGTTTTCCAATTTGTATCTAGATGCTTTCCAAGTTTAATCTCTTCATGCAAATAATACAAACTAATGAATACGGTCATACGCATCACATGACCCCGATCGGTCTGATGTCACGTAGTTCTCCGCATCGTGACTGATGAATCGAGAGCATCCTTACACTACGATCATCATGATAGACAGAAATGCAACAGGCCCAACAGCGTCACAATCCCAGCGTCAAGGGACCAGGTCAAGATGGGGCTGCTTGAACTGGTACGGATCCTTCCCGCCCCTCAACCCACGGATCCTCGCAAAACGCTAATTCGAGATGCAGTCGCAAAAGACGCAAGAAATGCGACGAGGCCCGGCCATCTTGTCAAATATGCATCGCACGCGGAGTAGACTGCAGCTATCCAGATTGGACAATGGTAAAATACTCTCAAACCCGCCATCGCAAGCGACAGCATGAAGATGCAAGCTCGCCGTCTACGCGGCCAGCGCTTCTTCCTCAGCCGAGTAGCACGGAAACCCGGCTCGTGTATCATTTCAACACTATTGTCGCTAGCCTGATTACATTTTCATCATCGTACCCTGGGATTTCGAATCCATTCGTGCTCCATGTTTTACCTCGCGTGTCAAATTCGATGCAAGTTCAACGCGCAGTCGAAGCTGTCGCAGCTGCACATCTTCATCATCTTGGTGGGGAGTCTCGGCAAAATGCGACACAGTTGCATTCCCACGCATTGCACCTGCTAGCTATCGAAATCTCTCGACCCGAGCTGAGCGAAATGTCCCGGATGAACGTGCTTGCGGGGAGCTTACTTCTGATATACTACGAGGTACTGTCTCACAGGGAAAAAAATGCTCATCTTATCAGGCCCTAACAGATACCCAGATCGTGCTCGGTAATTCCGCTAGCAATGCGTGGTGTCATTTGCAAGGGGCCAAGATCCTGCTAGACTACCAACGGGACGCGCCCGGAACACCATGCTTCGCGTTCTTCTGCAAAGTGTTCCAATACTTCAACGTCATGCTCGCCCTATCCATGGAGGCTCGTCCTCTTCTAATAAGTAAGAGCCACTGTGCTAATTTCACAGATAATTTGGACACCGTCTTCGGTTATACGGGCAGACTCTGGCCATTAATGCATCGTCTAGCCGACATCGTCGGTCGACTCAGAGAGGGCGAAGACATGACCTGCGAGGCGGGAGCGTTGGCGGCAAGCTTGGAAGCACGGTCGATGGAGACTCTGCCTACCGCGGATGCCTACCAGGAGGCAATGTTTCAAATTGCCCGCGCATATAAATACTGCGGGCTACTTGTTCTTCACATGATATTGTGTGATGATTGCCCCGCTGAAGTGCTGGGACGAAATCGAGAGATATATCGGCTTGCTTTCGATAGCGTGCTTCGAGTTTGTGTACTCTCGACTCCTATGTCTACACTCACCTGGCCACTCTATGTGGTCGGAAGGCTTGCTACGTCGACGAGTGACCGGATGGTTATTATGCATATATTCTCACACTTCCTGGAGAAGCATCATATGAAGGTGGTTGAAGGGGCAAGGAATGCAGTAGAAGCTTATTGGAGACAGGGAGATCGTCACATGAGCTGGGAGCCGCCTGCACCTGTATTACTTGGCTGACTGTGTGTACAATTCATCGACCTGAGGTGTATAGTTTTACATGGTAGATTACAGATCTATCAAGAATGAGAGATTAAAAGCTCCAATGAAAGTGAAAAAGGCCGCGGGTACTGCTCGAGTCATGATCAATACCGGGCGAAATCTCCTCGTAGGATTGATCCAAGTGCATGAATTGCAATTAATTATATGCATAGATCCAAACATATATTCATGTACATTAGGGTCCTAGAAATAGAACAGGAGAATCAGAATGAAAAGGGCCGCTCTATGAGGCAAGAATAGAAAGGTCGTCTAGAGAATGAAGGACAGAACGGCGCCAAGTCCGCAGACAAGAACCACAGCCGAGTAGCTCGACTGCAAAACGGCACCACCGGTATAGACAGGGCCGCTTGAAGTTGTAGTCGTGGAGCCAAGGCCACTCACGCCAACAGGAGAGGAAGTGGGCTTGGTGACCGTGTGGTGAGAAGCCGAGGGGATACCGGAGGGTTTGGCAGACGTGGCGAAAGCCGAGGCGGAAATCGCGCCGGCGCCGACAGGCGAGACAAACGAATTGGTAGGCACGGCGATAAGTGAGACGACGACGGACTCTGCACCGACACCTGATCCAGAGCCCGAGTTAGACTCGGATCCAGAACCGGAAGTAGAGCCGGAGGTAGACCCAGAGCCAGCGGTAGACTCAGATCCAGAGCCAGACATAGAGCCGGAAGTAGATCCAGAGCCAGAGCTGGACTCAGAGCCAGATGTCGAGACACCTGAGCTTGATCCGGTTCCAGAGACAGATCCAGTGGCAGTGGCAGCAACGGTGACAGGGTAAACAGTTGTGCCAACAGCAACGGTTTGAGTTGAAGTGTGGGCCGTCTTCTCAGTCAGAGGGCAGTCGGTGACGGTAGCAGGGCACTTGTACACAGTCTCAATCTCAGTCGTGTAGATAGTCTCAGTGGTGAGCGAGCTCTCAGCGGCACCTGCAGAGCTTCCAGTGGAGGTAGCACCGGCACCGGCAACTTCAGTGATAGTAGGAACAGCTTGAGCAGGAGTGACGGTATACACGGTGGTTCCAGCAACAAGAGTCTCAGTGGTGGTTGAAGTGGTCTTCTCGCGTGCGGGGCAGTTGGTAACAGTTGCAGGGCACTCGGTAATGGTCGCGGTGCGAGTTGTCAGAACAGTCTCGGTGGTAACGTAAGGAGAGCCTGCGCCAGTGCCAGTGGGAGCGGAAGTAGTCGTGGCTTCGGCGGTAGCAGGGCAGATGGTGGTAGACACAACAATGGTCTCGGTGGTAACGAAAGTGGTCTTTTCACGAGCCGGGCAGTTGGTGACTGTGGATGGGCAAGCAGTAATAGTGGAAGTACGAGTGCTGAAAACAGTAGAAGTGGTGAAGTCGCCAGAGCCGGAGCCAGAGCCGGAGCCGTGGCCGTGGCCATTGCCCTCACCAGAGCCATGACCGTTGCCCTCACCAGAGCCGTGACCGTTACCCTCGCCAGAGCCGTGACCGTTACCCTCGCCAGAGCCGTGACCGTTACCCTCGCCAGAGCCGTTGCCTTCACCGTGGCCGTTACCCTCACCATGGCCGTGACCGTTACCCTCGCCAGAGCCGTTGCCTTCACCGTGGCCGTTACCGTTGCCCTCACCATGGCCATGGCCATTGCCCTCACCGTGGCCATTGCCCCCAGGGTGGTGTCCGTGGCCACCGTGTCCATGGCCCGCACCACCAGTTGGAACGGGATGACCAGAAACAGAGACACTTCCCGAAGGCCGCTTGGGTCCAACAGGGGAGCTGTTACTCGGTCTGGCAACTCCAGAGGAAGAAGGAGTCGGTGAGTGGATAGGACGCAATGAGACGCTTGCGGATGGAGTCACGGTGTGAGCCAAGGGAGTGGAAGACTGAATAGCGCTTGAAGACACGGCCTTTGACGAGCATGCTTTGCGCGAGCGAGTAGGACCACCGGGGTAAGTCCAGTGATGATGATGATGATGCGAGTGGACCGAAGGCGACGCAATAGGGGACAGCGTGACCTGGGGGGCAGAAGATGAAGCAACCTGAACCGCAGAGCTGGTGGGAGCGACGACAGGTATCGCCGGTAGGGTAGTTATGTTTTCAGTCTCGGTTGAAATGGCGCCGACGGCCTGGACAGATGCCACGGCAGCCAAGGACAAAAGCGAATATGTTTGAACCCGCATCTTGTTAGTTGAGTCAGAGAAATACTCTGGAGTAATATTCTGAAAAGAATGGACGAGAAGCAGAGCTCTCAAGGAAACGAGTGAACAGTCTACTCAACACAAGAGCAGAGGAATGAATGGTTGAGAAGAAGGGAGGAAGCGGCCTCTAAAGAAGGAATACGGATCTTCCTGACAGTGACAAATCCACAGTTTGGTGGATATCACCAACAAGGGCAAAAAGATCCGACGAGAACCTGAGTGGATCGGTGCCATGCGGTGGCTTGAATCCGGATCGACCAAGTGGAGATTAAGGCCCGTGCTGGTCAGGAACCGTGCAGTTCAAGTTTAGCGTCGGCTATTTTCTTCCCAGTGTCGAGTTCAGTGGCGGGACTATTGCTTACCATCCAGGGCTCGCTTTCGGACAAGGCCGAGAGAACGCGTTGGGGTTCTATCCCAAAATAACCCCGTGCTGGCAACTGGCTACACAAGCATTTCCACTACCAGACCTTTGCTATTTCGGAAGCTTGATTGAACAGTGCCTTGGCCTCACGAATGGATCTGAAGCTTGAGAGTCAACCGAAGTTGCTTCATCGAGAATCACACAGCGCCAGCCGTTATCCTCATTGACAGCAGACGGCTAAACAACCCTGCAAGTGCCGCCACGAGGCTCAATATTGGACGAGCAAGACATCCGTTCGATTAGGCTAACTTTGATCCTTTTCAACGAGCTACTCGACGGTAGGAAATAAAGCAGCTATGCTTTGGCGAGGATTCTAGTGGATTCCTTGGCCCGATTCCGGACTAGTTCAGGAACACGCGAGGCCCCTAAATACGCCACTCATCGCTTGTAAGGCACACTCATAGGCCCAGGTCTGAATAGGGGCCAGCTGACCGCTCGTTCACAGGGTCGGGAGTGGAGACTATCGCTAGGGTCTCGATGTGAGGCTCGGAAAGGGTGAATCATCGATTTCAAGGTACCCTATAAGACGGAAAGTCGGGATTATGAATGTGTCCAGGAACGTTCTTCTGTATTATGGTGTTGTGATGAAGTCGATGCACTACCTTGAGCCATATTCCAAGGGATAAAACGAGAGATTAATTTCCTCGAAATGGTGCGAATGGGAGGAATGGCGGAAGAGAAGAGTCTCTTAAAGCGACAGATGCCCGATCGTGAGCTGTCTGGCCCACATAGCCTACGCCAATCACAGTACGTCAAACCGCCTCCCCCGCCTAAGTCCTTGTCTTCTCCAGTCGAAATATGCTCCACGCGAGTTGCGATCCTCAGCTATGGGGAAATTACTCCTTGAGATACCACTCAATTCACATCAGGCATACCATCATTTTAAAAATTTTGAGGGGCCGCGCGGTGACCTATGTGAAATCCCGAGAAAGATCCTCCGCGACTGGGCTCGGAATCAAACCAAGACATGTAGCCTGTATCGCCCGCTTTAGACACATCTATCATAAGCGCATCACCCAATCCACTGTCTTCAGTATCTTGTCGAAGAGATATGATCATCTCGACTTAAGACCCGTCAGCTCTGCTTCACGAAAGCAAATCATCCTATGGTCTGTTTTGGAAGTAGAGCTGTACAACTGGCCTCTACAACAAGAGCAAAGCTGTGAGAACAGTCAACGGGGATGAATTCATCGCCAAAGCCCGCGAAATGTGGCACTTCTTCCCTGCAGAGAAGCAGATCATGCCTCAATTCAGTCAGGGCTGGCTCACACGGCTAAAACAACAATACAGCATGGTGCTCATCAGACATGGAAACTACAGAGTTCGATGAGGCTTTCACAATCATTTTAGTGATTTTTTCGTCTTATGCACAGTCCGTCATAGACAGTAAAAGGTCCCCCTATATGCAGCACCGTAAGATCGACTCGCCAGAATTGATCTAGTCACTTGACGCGATTGAGAGACCAGCGATGAGAAATATCATGAACTCTCCTCAAGATGTCTTTTGTGTCCACTGAATACAATCATCAAATACTATATTCGACCCACGCAGTCACAATCAGATGAGAGTGCTGACTCTTCGCACGAGCGCAAAATATCGCCATTGCCGCATTCACCAGCCCCTCCACGCCAAAGGCACCCAAGAAACCAGTGACACAAATCTGGAAGTAAATCTGAAAGTGACTCTGTAACTCACAAGCAATCACAAAGATGCGATCCCGGTAGTTCAACCGCCGCTTTTCGGCGGTTTTTACCCGCGGACGAGCTTCCCGCGGCTTGACAACTTCTCAAAGAGTCTATTATGTAGATTCACTATTCGAACGCGTGGCAACCCTTGCAGTTTACCATTCGGGTGATCTTTTGGGGGTGGTTCTCGACCGAGAAGCGGCATTCGGGAAACGGGAAACCGGCGGGTTGGCGGATATGCCGAGGTTGAGGCGGCTTTGCGGGCCAGCGGGTCAATATTACATGGTTATGATGAACGACTAGATAAATCAATGTGGATTGCAATTGGGAAACAAACTGACGAGACTTGCATGAGTTTACCGCTTTGAAATCATTTGATTTTAAGTAGTGTCCTGCTCAGGACAGACCATTGACGAAGCATATCCTTCAGATCCTTCGGCTCCTCTAAAGCGATGTAATCGAAGCTTTTACAGATATTCAAGTGGCCACAGTCTTGAGAGTGGTCTTGACCCTGATTGAAAGTGAAAACATCTACTGGGGAGATTCAATAAATGTGATAGTATGTGCCCAATCTCTGAAGTAGCACTATGCCCGGATCACTAGAAAGGCAAAAATGGAAGAAATGTACTACCGTGGTCCGCAACGATTTATATCCCCACATCTAGACCCGAGGTCCCGCCTCATTACATCATGCTCGACTGGCCTCTGGAGCTCCAGCTTACTTTTCAATCTAGGGACTGCACTAGCCCTGCAATCACAAGAGAATAGATTAATAATGAACAGAATCAATGATTTTGATACAACTATGCTCATCCACCAGGATAATTTGGAGTGAATAAGGAAAGGTTAAAAACAAAAAGGAAACTCGGGTATTCATAATCATAATCCACCGTCTCATCACAGCTTGGCAGCACTGCCGGGCGACGAGATCTCATTATAAAGCAGACTGGTCAAGAAGTCGGCATAATCTTCACCAGTAACCTGGCCAGCGAAGTATCTCGCCGCAAGCTGGTACTTGTTACCCTTGGATCCCTTGGCAGCAAGGCTGTCAGCCTGCTCCTGCAGTAGACGCAGATTGTAGTTCTTATCAACCTTCTTGCCCTCGGCAGTGGTGACGTTGTGCTTGGCCCACTGCCACAGTTGGGAACGGGAGACTTCAGCAGTCGCGGCGTCTTCCATGAGGAAGTTGATAGGGACACAGCCGACACCGCGGAGCCAACCTTCCATATAGGACAGACCGATGTTCAAGTTCTTGCGAATGCCCTCTTCGGTAATACTGCCTGGGATGTTGGTGTTCAGGAGATCGTTGGCTGTAACGTTCACCTCCTCGCGGCGGACGAAGAGCTGGTTGGGCGTTGGCATGTACTTGTTGAAGACTTCCGAAGCAATGGCGGCCAGGGCCGGGTGAGCAACCCAGGTGCCGTCGTGGCCGGCGCGAACCTCACGGAGTTTATCAGCACGGACGGACTCCATGGCCTTCTCGTTGGCGGCGGGATCGTTCTTGATGGGGATTTGAGCGGCCATGCCGCCCATTGCGTGGACACCGCGACGGTGGCAAGTCTTGACGAGGAGCTTGACGTAGGCGTCCATGAAGGGGACGGTCATGGTGACAGCGGAGCGGTCGGGGAGGACGAAGTTGGGGTGCTGGCGGAACTTCTTGATGAAGGAGAAGATGTAGTCCCAGCGGCCGCAGTTCAAGCCGGAGCTGTGGTCGCGAAGCTCGTAGATGATCTCGTCCATCTCGAAGGCGGCGGTGATGGTCTCGATCAAAACAGTTCCACGGATGGTACCGCGGGGGAGACCGATGTAGTCCTGGGACAAATTGAAGACGTCGTTCCAGAGGCGGGCCTCGAGGTGGGACTCCATCTTGGGCAGGTAGAAGTAGGGGCCGTGACCGCGGGCGACGAGCTCCTTGGCGTTGTGGAAGAAGTACAGACCGAAATCGAAGAGACCACCGGAGATGGGCTCGCCGTCGACGGTGAAGTGCTTCTCGTCAAGGTGCCAGCCTCGGGCACGGGCAATGAGAGTAGGCAGGGCGCGGTCAGTGCGGAGTTTGTACTCCTTACCACCCTGCTGGAAGTCCACCTGGCGGCGAATGGCATCGTAGAGGTTGACCTGACCGTTAATCATGTTCTCCCAGGTGGGAGCGGAAGAGTCCTCGAAATCGGCCATGTAGGTCCACACATCGGAGTTGAGAGCGTTGACGACCATCTTGCGGTCAGTAGGGCCGGTGATCTCAACACGACGATCCACCAGACCAGGAGCGGGGGGCGCGCCCTTCCAGGCGTCATTCTCGCGGATGTGCTTCGTTTCGGGGAGGAAGTCGGGCAGGACACCCTTGTCGATGTTGGCCTGGCGGTCGACACGGCGCTGGAGCAGGGCCTTGCGAGTCGGGTTGAAGGTACGGTGCAGAATAGCCAGGAAGGCGCAGGCCTCCTTGGTCAGGATCTTACGAGCGTCATTAGAGATATTGCCGAGGATGGCAACATCCTTCAGGTTGGCTTCGACGGAGCTCATTTTCGAATTGTGTTGATGGAAATCACGATCATCCAAAGCCGGGAGGTGTGAATGAGAATGATTTTGTAGAGAGAAACTCTCATCAGGGATCCTGGCCACTATATACAAACCCATTCGACCGAAGGCGGAGATAGCACATCTCGAATACGTCACCTTGAACCGTGGGACATGAGCCGCGGCTGTTCGCACCTCCCGACCGGGGGCCAATGAGCGGGCATCCGGATACGCTCTTTTACTTGTCCATTGACTATCTGATATGACTATTCACTACTGGGGACTTTCCCGACGGGAAACTGGCAGGAAGCTACTTCCTCTCGGCCGACACTCCCCGTTCCCCGGATTCTTCACTCGTGCGGATTCTCCAAGGCGGTCACGTCCCCCAAGCTACACTCGGCATGCGCCGCAACCCGAGTCTTATCACGGCAGCGACCTTCGGACAGCTGTTTACGAGCCAGTCTTTCTCATTCGGAAATCGCTACGATCTTATACTTGCGTGTTGTGTGTTCCGTGATGACGAGCAAGGCTGAACTCTACATAACCCTGGGCTCAGAGCTAATCCCTAACTCTTCCGATCAGTGGCTGTCTCTGCCTTTCCCCCGCATACCCGAAAGTCCAATCAGCCGCGGTTCAGCGTTCCAGATAAGCTTGCTCTGAACATCACTCTAGTCTTCCTCTCGGTAGCTTTCGGTTCAGCATTTGGTACTAGACCGATTTGCCCAGGCTTGTGATGATGCGTCATGTTGCCACATGTGATCGGCATGTGAAAGCTATTCAGTTACTGACAGGTCTCGCACGTTGAGCTATATATAGTGAGGTTGCTCCAAAGTGTCTAGACCGAGCTTAATTTGTGCTTAGCTGTGGACTCTCGACATGACTACAGTCAATAGCCCGCCGCCAGAATTGGAACCGTCCCGGCGCACTGAACGTGAGATATGTACCGTGAGATCAATGTTCATGTATTCCTATCTCAACTCGGCCAAATGCCGCTATGTACAGCTGCACGCTACTATGGTATCAATCCCCCCACGCGACATCCTAAACCGTCTCGATATATCGACGCACCTCCCTGCGAGTCGTTAGCATGCCATCGCAACTACGTAAAAGAGAAGAAAAAAAAACCATACCAGTCCGTGACGGCCTCCTCCCACAGACGCACCTCGTGCTCCCGGGTGCCACCAAAGTGATCCACAAAGGCATCTCCAAATGCCTCGCGTGCAATACTGTCCGGTCGCATGAATGTAACGATCGCTTCCTTGAGGGTCTTCGCGAGTCGCACGCCCTTGTCACTGGCACCGCCCATATCCTCACCCTTGGACAATGGCGGCGTGAGGATCTCGAGCTTCTTCTCGACTCCGCGCCATCCCAATGCCATGATAGCTGCCAGGACAAAGTGCGGGTTGGCGTCAGCACCGGGGACACGGACTTCAAAGCGGGTGGCCTTTGCGCTGGCCGTTGGTGGCGTGATAAGCCGGATAGATGCAGCGCGGTGCTCCAATCCCCAGGAAACGGTCACGGGCGCCCAGAAATTCTCGACCAAGCGCTTGTAGGAGTTGATCGTTGGCGCAAACAGAGGCATGATATCCGGCAAGCCGACCAGCAGACCTGCCAAGAAGTGTCGGCCCAGATCAGAGAGATGCGCGACATCGGGGTAGGGCGGATTGGGGTCGGGGGTATCGCGGATAAAGGCATTCTTGCCGTCGGCTGTCATAAGTGAGATGTGCATGTGTCCGCTGTTACCAGGAAGACCCTGGCGCGGCTTAGCCATGAAGCACGGTGTGATGCCGTGCTTGATTCCGTACGCCTTGACGACGTATCTATTGGAAATGACCTGTCAGCACCAACCCGACAGAGTTTCAGATACACCATACTTGAACAATCCGGCCTTGTCCGCCATCTCCTTCGCTTCCCCGAATTGTAATGCCTAACGCGACCAGGATTAGCTACAGCCCAAGCCGCAGACTGCGACATCACTTACTGCCTCATATACGCCAGGACCACTTTCGGTGTGCCATCCCTCAATATCGCAGCGGAATTGCTCACAGGCATCAAAAATGCCGTAGTAGTAATCCTGGTTGTGCAGCGGCCGAGTAATCGAGTATCCGAACATGCCCTCCGTTAACGGCGGCAAGGAGTCGACCGCATTATTCTGGAGGAAGGTCGCCGTGTGCGATGCCGTTCGTTCGGGGTTAGGATGATTGCCCGGTGCGCGGAACTGATAAAATTCATACTCGGCTTCTCAAGTCAGTATGGGGGCAGCGAAAAGACGAGCGCGGTTAATTCATACCTCCTGCCATGGCGCGGTACCCAGCCGCTTCGGCCTTAGCAGCAGCGTTCTTCAACAGACCTCGCGGGCACGCGCAGACCGGCTCGCGTGTATCAGGATCCAAGAAGCTGACCAGGAAGAAAGGCACATTGTTCTCCCAAGGAATGCGCCGGAAACTGCTCAGATCAGGTATCGCGAGGAGATCGCGGTATCCGTTCTCTTTGTTGCTGATTGTCAGCTCTTTGTAGTAGGTTTGATCATGCTGGTCCCAGCCGAAAATAACGGAGCAGAATCCGAAGCCCTCTGAGACGATAGAGAGAAATTTGGTCTTCTTCATGAGCTTGCCGCGCAGCATGCCATCGACGTCGATCCCGGCCACTTTGACCATACGATCATCTTTAAGCACATCGGCGACATTCTCAGCAGTGAGGTCTGACATGGCGACGGGTGTGAATGAGGAATAAGCTGAAGCAGCACGGTCGGAAAGGTATAAAGAAGACCGACTGCTTATCAGCTGGATGCAGGGATGAACAAGGTCCAGCCCCGAAACCTGCAAGCGATCAACAGATAGCGCGATCCGCGCGGTATCGTCACTGCTTAGGTAACCGATCCACATGCCCCGCGCATACAGACCGCGCTGTGGATGTGAGGGACGTCCAACTTCATCTGTCTGGTAAGTAGAACCGCGGTCTACGAGTGGAGCTAGTGTATAGCCATATCTTGTGGACTTGTCCCTCAATTGTTTGTTAACATTCATAATATTTCGCAGTGCTCAACCACCATCACATCATAATGGGTCGTCTCCAAGGAAAGAACGCTATTATCACCGGTGCCGCGGGGTAGGCAAGCTCTCCCAATCATGCTTCCGATTGCGTGGCTAATGACTTCCGCTCATCTAGTGGCATCGGTCTCGAAACCACCATCCTTTTCGCCCGCGAGGGCGCCAACGTCCTCATGGCCGATATCTCAGAGCCCGCCTTGGCTAAGGCCATTGCGAAGGTGAAGGAGGTCGTCCCCACCGCGGGCCGCATCGAGACCATCCGCTGCGACGTGTCCAAGGAGGCTGATGTGCAGGCCATGGTCGAGTCTCAGGATAGCTGGGGCGGTATGGACATCATTTTCAACAATGCGGGCATCATGCACGCCGACGACGCCGACGCAGTTGATACGCCCGAGAAGATCTGGGATCTTACACAAAACATCAACGTCAAGGGTGTCTGGTTCGGCTGCAAGCATGCCGTATTGGCTCTGCGTCGTAACAACAAGAAAAATGGCAGCGTTATCAACACTGCTAGCTTTGTCGCTTTAATGGGAGCTGCTACTCCCCAGCTTGCCTACACTGCTAGCAAGGGCGCTGTCCTTGCTCTGACTCGCGAGTTGGCTGTTGTGCACGCTCGTGAGGGTTTCCGCTTTAACTCTCTCTGCCCCGGTCCCCTCAAGTAAGTAATCCTGTTTTTGATTCAGTGCCTGGTCGCATCAGCTCATCAGTCATCTTTAATAGCACTCCCTTGCTGCAAGACTGGCTGGGCGACGACCACGCCAAGCGTTTCCGTCGTGAGGTCCACTTCCCCAGTGGCCGATTTGGTGAGGCTGTCGAGCAGGCTCAGGCAGTTCTTTTCCTGGCCAGCGACGAGAGCAGCTTCGTCAACGGTACTGACTTTGTTGTTGATGGTGGATTGAGCAAGGTAAGTTGAAGTTGAGCCTGAACCTGTTGTGGGAGGTAGCGTGGAGCTAATGTGACCCTAGGCCTATGTCACCCCGGAGGGCCCCGCGCCGCCCCCCAAGAACAATGCCCAGTAGAAGTGAAACATCGCCATATGATATTTGATAGATTCTACATGCTAGTCATGTCATCATGTTCATGTCCATAAGAAATAGGAACACAGTGGCAAGTCGATCCTGAGGCAGTGCACGGAAAGGAGTGTGGGGAACACGATCTCCGCTCTTCCTGATCTCGGCAACTCCTTCGGCACCGGTCAACCAGGCCGATTCCACGATGATTCCAACTGCAAATCAATCCTCTTTCAATAGACAGGTCATTACCAGGTTTTCAATCATGAAACAGCGTGATGTAGCATGACCGTAACGTGGTCCGCCACCTCAGATGTGGCCTGATACTCAGGGAGCTGTTCTCCACGTCATGCAATCCCCGCATTCCACGGCTACCTTTAATCCCGCTAAGCCGATGCCTGACCCTCACGCGCCACACTACTCTCCCTGTCCTCACACTTAGCACTCCTCCAAATCACTTCAAATCCCAAACCACCTTCACGCTATCTCACCAAATATACCACAATATCGTTACAAATGTCAAACTACGCATTAGGCAACTCCCACCGCAGCCATCCGGCCGCCCCGAGTCTCAAGCCTCGGCCTGGGCGCTGGTACGACTCTCTCCCTCTATTCAGTCCCAAGCCCAACTAACCACCCCGAACGGCAGGTACATCCCCGTGGTGGCAGCAGTTGGTCTCGGTAAGCACCGCACCTATACTAGTCCCTTTAAGGATCCTACTGATACAAACCAGGCTTTTACGGATACAACTACTACGTCGAAACGAAAAGCAAGATCGAGTTCGCCGAGCTCGAGGAACAGAAACGTCTCGCAGCAAACCGGAAGCTGATGGATGCTTACGGGAGCAAGGACTCGTTGGAGGATGTCCAGCAGGCTCTTGAGATGTATGGTCGGTGATGGACTTCAAATTGCGATGCTGGTTGTCGTGTTACCGATTCCGGTTCTGAGGTTGACACCCATCTTGAGGATTCTATGATTCATCCAGGGCGTTTAAGCGGCGTTTGTCAACTATATCCATGATGCTGTTTGGCATCGAGATTGCATGGATTGATGGGCTGGCATCTTTTTTTAATGGGCGTTATCTGGGGCTTGCCTGGCTAGGGGGCTAGGGTCTTGATTCAATGGCTCTTACTATATTAGAATGGATCAATCACTTTGTCTCACTTGGCTTTCGCTTCCCCTTTTCATTGTTCTTAGTGGGTCATTGAGTGTGAGGGGTTGATCTGATCGGTCTGAGGAGATTGTCGCGCCAAGTATTCCTGGCTGCACTTTCTCGATGGGTGTTAGTGGCTGTCACTGCGCCCAACATTGTACCGTATAAGCCCGGCTATCTATTGAAGTAACTATCTTGGGTAGGTCGACCTGCTCTGAGTTGCACACGATTGTGTAATTTTCGCGAGCGATGTCCCTTCTGTACAATCTCTAACTTTCACAGACATCAAGTGTCGACCACGTCAATGTCACAGCCAATACAATTAATACTTCAGGAGTCGTGTGGTATATCTAACCTTGTTCATACATCGAGTTAAAATTTTGCAGCTGCTGGAGTGAAAGCTACAATATGTCCTCTTGTCAAACAGTATAATCCGCCATCAGCGACGACACATGCCATAACTCGAAAGCCTATCTCCGCACCCCAATGTTGCACTTGCACAAATATTTTGCTTACTCTTACTAAGTGAAACAATTTGCGCAACCGCAGTGCTTCCCCGAAACCAAGCGTCACTTAAGAGACAAGAATCATACGCAATAGTTGCATTAATAGTAAATCCATACTCCATTAGCAATCGCCCCCAATATACCATATATTTCGATATCGATGAAGGCTAATCGAGTAACCCCAGCAAGGCCAAGGTGTCCGACCGCAGCGTGGATACACGAATGCCCCAGGCGCTGGGACACCGACATTGGACAATATAGGCATGGGTGTGTGCATTATCTATTTGTTCAGTTGATGTTCGATGTGGAATGCTTCTTGTGGAACGACTGTCGGGAAGTGAATGTGCGATTCTTCGGTGTGCCCTCGTGCGAAAAGAAATTGCCCCACGGGATTGTGTCCGCAGTGTGTAGGGTCCGTAGAGGAAGTACGATGCATCGCGAGGCCAATATATTCCTTGGGATGGGGAGGAAGACCTTCATGCAGGTTCAAATGGTATATATTTTACAAGCGGTCTGCTTCCAGGAGGATGGCTTGGTAGTGAACGACACTGCAGTATCGTACGAAGCCAACTTAGATTGCGTAGTCGTAACCTCCGTCTTCCTTTTGTCCATGATCACGAAATTGTATATGGACGAGTTGATTAAAGCCTGTCATATGCCCATCAGCATCACAGCAATGCACCTTGGGAGAGTTTCCATATACCACTAGCGGTATCGGTCATCTCACCTCCGCGGATAACATTTTGGTCTATCGGTTTTCGAATACGATTCTTCGAGACTTACGTTATGCAATCAAGGTCCTACTGCACTTGTCATTCTCATCTCGAGCTTCAGCCGTCGCCGCCCGCAGCGACTTTTCAGCGGCCATTGCAGTGGCTTGAAACATTGACAGAGCTCAAACCCCTTAATAAGCGAAACCAGCCTTTAGGGAATTTGCCCGCCAATCGATGGCCTCGACGACTCAATCTTCATCCGTATGCACACCGATACTCTATCGGACCATTCCGCAAGATCAACACAACTGATGTTACACTGAGTCTAATAAGAAGGAACCAAGCCACGCAGAATTTGGCAAGTACATGCGCCGATCGGCGAGATCGGGAGGCCCAGCCGGTCCAGGAACAGTTGAGCTTCGCGGAGAGACAGCGCGTAAAGCTGGGCAGGAACCGCGGAGTGGAACCCACCGCAGGCCCACCCCTCAGGTCAATCGGCGATTGGTTTTTCTCCAGTGGATTTCAGATAAAAATCGCTGATAACGAGACACCGAACTCTCTGAGTAAATCACTGACGTTTTCCCCGCAGCTAGACCCTGTCCGTGCTATTCGTGACCCTTGTTATGACCTCCATGAGCTCTGCTGGGCACTCGCTAGGATACTTAGAGGCTCAGCGTCCGGGTTCATTTTCGCCTCGTATTCTATTTTCTCTCTTATCACATTTTCTTTTGATTGAATATTCCAAGCATGGATGTTGATAAAAGACCTCCTCTCGAGGGTGATGATGCTCAGTTGGCCGCCTTGGGCCACAAACCTGAATTGAAACGGCAGTTCTCTACTTGGTCAGATCATAATAATCCGATTTGACGGTGATTTATTGACTGTAGCCAGGTCGATGCTGGGACTAGCCTTTGCTGTGTTGAATGTGGGTGCACAATTCCGCCCGAAAACAATGAAAAAACTAATTTTGACCTAGTCATGGACTGCTCTTTCAGCCAGTCTGTCAATTAGTCTTACATCGGGCGGAAGTACGAGTGTGATCTGGGGTACAGTTCATTTGTTGATATGGGTGATCTCTTTTGACCCGGAAATGACTCACACCGTACAGGTCTGGTTACCGCAGGGTTCTGCAACCTCTGCATCGCGACTTCGCTAGCCGAATTTCTCTCGGCATATCCGACGTATGATATTTCATCATTCTTGTGGAGTATGCGAAACCTTCATTGACTTTTCTCAGGGCGGGTGGGCAATACCATTGGGTCGCAGGTAAGCTTCCGCACTTCAATTGCCAGAAGTACTCGCTAACCACCCAACAGTCAGTAAGTTTTGATTTTTTCTCTCTCTACACAGCCATTGACGAGTACGAAGCTGCTTGGCCTGCATGGGTTCCTATACTCTCCTGGATTACGGGATGGATCAACGTTGCGGGATGGGTAAGCCACTTCATTCCCTCGCGGCGGAATTCGCTAACCGCCAATAGGTTGCTCTCGTAGCTACCAACTCACTCTTATCAAGTCAATTAATTGTGGGGATAATTTCTGCCATGCATCCAGTGAGGAAAATAAAATCCCCTACAAGAAATGATCTAACGGATGAAACAGAGTTACGATCCTCAACGCTGGCAACAATTCCTCATCTATATCGGACTAACGCTCGGGGCATTCTGCATTAATGCCTTCGGCAATGCTATTCTGCCTACCATTTACCGAGGCGCTTGTGAGATATATCAGTGTTTGCTCTCGAACCAAAGCTAACTTGCCTAGTCACTTGGTCAATTGGTGGCTTCGTGATCGTTTGTATCACGGTGCTTGCGTGCGCTTCACCTGACTATAACACAGCAAAGTGAGCACAAATATTCTTCTATAGATTCGACCAGGAGCTTAGTTTTAAGATTTGTGTTTGCCAACTTCATCAATACTACAGGATGGCCTGATGGTGTTGCATGGCTCTTGGGGGTATGTCTGTTCGTTTATTGGAATGCTCGATCGACAAATTGATTTTCGTCACAGTTACTCCAAGGAGGACTCGGTGTCACGGCCTTTGTAGGTCTACTTGGCTCAAGTAGTCTATATCAAACTAATTTATGGCATAGGATGCCGTTGTTCACATGATTGAAGGTAAGAATAGGATCTTTAACATCTATCGAGCTACTCTGACTTAAGCAGAGGTCCCCCAATGCATCCGTTGAGGGCCCTAAAATCATGGTCACATGCGTCGGTATCGGCACTGTAACCGGTGCAATTTTCCTCATTGTCCTGCTTTTTGTTGCAGGCGATATGAACAAGGTCACCACGTCTGCTGCGGGTCCCCTCCTACAAATTCTTATCGATGCTACGAAGAACAAAGTAGGAGCCATTTGTCTCTTGATGTAAGCGCTCCCACTGGTCTATAGGAATATCGTCTAACAATTTCAAGGTTCCCAATTGTCTGTTTGATCCTTGCTATTCTTAGCGTGATGACCACGAGCAGTCGAATGATCTTCGCCTTTGCGCGGTAAGTCCACCTTGTTGTCCGATCCAAACGTCGTCTCACGTTCACAGGGATGGTGGTCTTCCCGCATCTCGGTTCTTTGCGACCGTGCATCCAACTCTGAAGCTGCCTCTGAACGCCCTCATCTTGACTGTGGTGGTTGTCATCTGCTTTGGATGCATATTCTTGGGTTCATCTAGGTACGATCGGCTTCCCCTTCAATAGCGAAGGTCCAACTAACCTCTCAGCGCCTTCAACGCTATCATCTCGGCTTCCGTCGTAGCCCTCGATCTATCCTATATGATGCCGATTCTGGTCAATTGCCTGCAAGGACGCAATGCTTTGCCTGAGAGAAAATGGAAGCTGCCTCGTGCCGTTGGATGGTTCTGCGATATAGTTTGTATCCATCTACTTGCACTACATAATTTTACTAATCTGACACAGGTATCCCTGGCATATATTATTCTGACAACCGTGCTGTTCGTTTTTCCTCCTTCCAGAACAGTGACTGGAAGCAGCATGAGTGAGTTGAACATTGACCTAATCTCGCATATCCCGCTAAATTGAAACCAGACTACTGCATTGCTGCTTTTGCGGTCATCATCCTGATTTCCGTATTCCAGTGGTTCTTAGACGGGCGGAAGAACTACACGGGTCCACGAATTGACCTTGCATTGGATGGACTGAATACTATGCCTACGCATGAATCTGTGCCCTCGTACCACGAGAAATAAGCGATATAATACACTTCCTGACGGCCGAAAATAACCTAAGCAGTCTCCAAGCAGCAGACAAGGCGGCAAAATCATCTATTTAGATCAACTATGAATATACTCATATGCGTCCGGCTCACCACGAGCTCGGGAGGCCCCTTTGCTACACTCTCAGAAAACCCCCGGAACAAATCTCGGCGTCATCCGATGCCAATCCTCCCATTTCTCCCCAAATTGCTGCCTCAGCATGGCCTCCTCATCTCTAACCCTTAGTTCAATTATAGTCAACGACGATACCACAATCATTACTTCCACCGGAACCCCATACCCCACCCAACTATCCAAGATATCCTTACCAATATGGCAACCAGCTACCCCATCCCACCTCAGAAAGACACCCATGCACCCCAGATAAACCAAAAACTGTCCCGTATAACTCGGATGCTGCATCCACCGATACACACCACTAGTAACAAGCTGATCCGGCGCCGCAAGATGGAATGTGAAATTTCTCCCTAATCCGCCATACGCCGATAACCGAACAAAAGCCCCGAGGAAGATTATAAATAATGACGCCACGACAATCGGACTCCAGGTGAAGACAGCCATATTTCGGTTCTCGGGCCGCGGACAAATCTGGTGAAGCCGACCGGGCGCGTATGACGGGATCAGCGTCAGGAGAGCGTGATACAGAGAGATTGTGAGCGTCGCGCGGCGGGCGATGGTGGCACCAGCACCAGCGATCCAGGTGATGCGGTCGGTGCTGTGTCGGTCTTTTTGGGAGGGTGAGGGATTTGGCGGTGTCGTGCAGAGGGCTGTTAGGTAGCCTGCGCCCGCCATGGTCAAGGCTAAGAGGGTAGAGCTTGCTTGGGTCATATTGCGTATGTCAGGATGCTGTGAGATGTGTAGGATTAGAACTGTCTGGCGTGTCTGTTCTGGCTTACACCCTTTGGTTGCCATGCAGTGTCAGCGCGGACTTCGGGAGGTCTCTGACGCGACGCGCTGGTCACGATCCGTCCACGTGAGATTCCCCGGATTTTCTTAATCGCTCCACGTTCGAGGCTCAAGTTGAAAGCTTAGATCGTGGAATGATTCACCTTTTTTTGTGCTCTATCACCTATATCGCATGTCGGGCCAGGTTACGTTTACTCATAGACTATACTCGACGGCAATCATCGGCCCAACAACTACCATGCAATCGATCTCATTCCCGTTCTTGACGCATGCGCAAACATTGACGCAATCAAGAACAAGGTTTAGACATGAAAAAGCCATGCACAAAGTATCGCCACTGCATGATTCATAGCATGATGGATTTCCACCAGCGCATTTACTGTTGACACAGTTGGCGTACCTGGTATCGACGTCTTCGTAGCAAGTCTTGAACCCCGTTGGATCAGCGTAGACGGATAAATCGTACAATGGTTCGATTCTCTCGGCTAGCACGATTCCGGAGGCTGCCTAAGACAGCAAGATGATTGATTTGACTAGCACGCACGAGATTCAAATACAAGGGCGTAAGCAGGGGACTTAACTACATGTTTATGTCGGGTAAAGCCGAAAGGTCTCAAGAGTCCGAGGGCACATAGCGTGGCTAGTGCTTACGCCCAACACCGGACAAATGGGAAAGTACCCTGGCACTTGGCAACCTCTGCTTTTCCCAGGTCAGTCCAAGGCATGACTCGGGTGGAGATTGCCTGGACTATTCTGGCTTGATGCTTTGCCAAGAACAGGAGAGATTACAGCGCCAGCCGGGTCTGCTTCTGTGCCCAATTGCAGGGTTGCTTGATACCATGATGAAATATAATTTGATGGAGCGCTTGCCTCCGAAGGCTCAAAAGAGGCACCAAGGTGAGCTATAGGAGCGTATGAGTGCTAATAGCAATGCTCGGTTCACCATTCTATTGGCCAAGAAGGAAGGCTCCCCTGATATCGCATCTCTGCGCCTCCTCATCGAGAAACGTCCATGAGTTACCATCGTCAGTGAGGGCTTCGGTGGGCCCCTTTTCTCGGCGAAAAATAATCTCTCAATCAGTATATACTAGTTTTCGACGAAGCGGGCGGTCTTGAACGGATCTGGTATTGGAACCATGCTCCAATTTGACGTGCAACGTCATGCGCTACATTTACATGCTATCTCTAAGAGAGGCTGGCTAATCATCTACTGCGAAGTATCATTCTGGCACCAGGCTCAAAGTATCTGCTCAGCAATTCATCTCCAGATGGCGTAGCCTTGTAAACTACCCCTTACATCGCCATATGGGCAAAACCTACTCGAGGAACCATACAAGTCACCTTCATCATTACAAAGCTCACAATGCCCCTACACATTGCCAAAAAAACTAAATTCTCGCTTATCCAACTCGATGGAAATTACAATAAGTTGAGCGATTCACCTAGGGTGAGATTGACTGGGGAAGCCTCGCTTGCGGCATTTGGTAATTTCACACCCAGCTACGTCACCCAAAGGTGTGCCGATATCCCCAAGGAAAGCGGCTCATCCGGCTTTGACCTGTCTCGCGGCTGCTTTCATGACCCAGCCTCGTGGGATCAATGACTACGTGGATACTGGGAGAGTGAAATGACGAGGGGCATAGCGGGGGTCCCGACCTTTGCACTCCTTGATCTGCCCACATATTTTCATCCTAAATTCGAAAGCGACCAACTCTGAGAACTTGGTTTTCTGGGCATATACCACCCACAGTAAACAATGTTGGAAAAGCCTAATTCACCTTCGCTTGGTGAACTGGCCACGCCTGGCACCAACTCTCTTGATTCCAAAATCGCCTCGGAATCTTTGAAATTGGTGCTACTCTGATCTGAAAGGAGGCTTTCTCCATTTCCAATAGACACAAGCCACAACCCCCTTAACGGACCATATAAAAGAGAAAAAAAGATTAAAAAGAAAAATCCAACAACCGGTAAAATGAACGGACCGAGCATCAGTCGGTCAATGTCAAACAGGTATCCATCCCGACCCGTTGAATCAGCTCGCCAGATATTGCCGGGTCATCAAGTCACCCCCGCGGCCCCGGAAAATCAAGTTTCGGCCTTGCCCTGAGAATTTCGGCTCTAACTTGAAGCTCTCACCGGTGCTGTTTTGTGGGGGCGGAGCTGCCAAGATCGGTTCAATCCTTGCTGACCCCGGAGGATGAGGTTCAACTCGAATGCCACCAGTCAATCACAACTCCTAGTACAACGTATTGATCGATTTGATTGTTTGGGATATGTTAGTGGTTAAAATTGGTATATATCTCTCTTTCACGCCTATTGATTGTCATGTAAACGCAGGTAAATTACTTCAAAAGTGGGATTCTGTTTCTGATCGTAGAGATATATGTACATATACATATATATCAGTGCAGTTATCAAGCACCCTATTGTGCATACTCCCAGCTTTCAAACTTTGAAGAGTGAATAAATAGATCTCTGGATTTTGTGGCACGAGAATGGCCTAATGATCATGAATAAACATTAAAGATAAAACGTCACCGATCAATGTCCAGATCTTCTCTATCAGCTTGTTCTAAGGCAAATGTAAGGGAGATATTCCCACACCACACCCCAGCCTAACCACCGTGACTTCTACTGCACCCTTGTTGTCTTCTGAACAGTTTGCCTCGTCATCTCTGAGACCATCGAAGCATATCATGCCCATTCGTGGATTATTGGAAGCTGTTTTGGAGATTATTGATTGAGTTTACCTACGCTCTCAGGATATAAATGAGCCTCAAGATCGATTAGGCAGTGATATTCCGCAATAAAGCTAAGCTTTTGCACAAAACAGACTTCAAGTGCCAAGAAAACGGTCGGTCAAACATCCACAAGCACTTGCAGCCCCGGAACAACAATGAGTCGCGCCCGACCAATTTTTGAGATTTATCATTGGATCTCTGACGCAAAGTACAATATGAAAAACCCATAGTAACAAGTAACATGAGGAGTCCAAGTTTATAAAGTCTACGGAAATTCTGCGCTCATATTCATGCACGATCCTCGACCTTCTCAAAGCTCTAGGAATCAGAACTGTGGTAGATGGGAAGCTACATAGATGAAGGTGCGTGATTTCAAGGAAAGTATACACGAGAGCAACGGCCTCAAGGCGCGCGGCTGCTGCATCGCCTCGAAAGTCGACTCCTTGGCACAAACAATCTCATGCTAGTGCTTGCCATGGAAGTTGGCAGATCTGGGAAGTTGGCAGATCTGGGAAGTTGGCTTCTCTTTCAATTCAAAGTAGACTGCGCTACAGCGTAAAATTCGTACTACGCACGAGGCACAACAAAGTGGATGCAACAAGCCCCTAATGACAGAAATTTCCCGCACCCCTGTCTCAACTTGAATACCCTCAAAAACCCCCCATTTATCCTAGTGCTAACCACTCAATTCTCGGTCCGCGGCCAACCGGGGATCCATCGCGTCTTGGCTGGCCACCCCCCGATTCTTACCCCGAGACATTCTACCCCGGCCGTCCCCGGACTTGTAAAAGTCGGGCCTAACTGAAATCTCTCACCGGGCAGAGGCGACCCGGGGAAATTGCGAAACCCGGGGCTAGGCATGGGATGCCGAACTCTGGAGCGATGAAAATTTTCTACTGCCATGGAAAGTTTACGTTTCTACTAAGCCAAACCAGGTTTAGACAGACGGGTTGAGGAGGCTAGTGACTAGTGGAAGTCTAATTGGAAAATGTCGTTTGACAAAAAGAGGTTTTTGTTACTCGCCGTGTCTTACAGGGGCGTTCTGTAGTTTGTGTACAGGCTACAAGGATTTTTCTAAGGTCCCGGCGTTGTGGTTTCATTCTGGAGTTTCATTTTCTTTTCTCTTTATGAGCACGTTCGGCATAGTACCCTATCATAGCATCTATGCAGGGCTTAGAGTTTATTGTAGACCCCCCTGTCAGCATGATCAGCACACTATCCACAGAGGTAAACCCCCCCGCAATCGCAGGAGAGAGAAAAATCTCAGACCTCACGGGGAAAGGAGGTAGTCCGTGCGGAGTGAACCCGCGTGAATGACAGCTCGATTGCTAAGAGCAATTGTACCATGGCGGGCCCGGGCGCCCCCCCCCTTGCGAAACGCAAAGCCCAAACCCCGGTCCCGTGGGGTCGTACGCGGGCCATGATATACGAGCTCACGGGCTCGGCCACGAATCCCTTCACGGGCTTTGGCCCGATATTAGCCCGATAGACGTGGTTGGGACAGGGTCTGGGGAGAGTGAGGAGTTGTGGGGCGAGCTGCTATAGGGCGCCACGCGAATGGCCAAGACCTTGAATTCAGCGCCCGCTTAATCTTGCCCCTTCTTGGTTGCTTCTGGGTTTTTTCCCCAGAGGCGCGGGGAGATTGAGTGGCTAGACGCCCCGATCCTAGGTGGTTTTGTGGGGACCACGGGACGTAGCGTTCTAGATTCGGCTCTAGGGTGGCATCCACGTTGGGTGGTATCTGGGAAGATGACCAGTTACCGGACTGGTATGCCAAGACAGACTTTTAGGCTGACTTTTTGACCGTGCGGTCTGCCCTATGGTCACGCCAAGCACGTGGTGAATTGGCCTAGGATCTTGTCAACGGTACAGAGAGAATGGACACCGGGAGGAGTAAGTGACTGGCGTCTAGTTGTGAATGGACATCTAAATCCCTGTCGTGTGTGACCAAAGAAAACACGCCGGACATTGCCGTTGACCAGGTCACCCGATCCCCTCACGGAACTCGGGCTCTAGAGAGTCGAGAAGCCGTGGAATCGAGTAGGTGAACCCCGGATGCCGAATATAGATCGGCTTAGACTCAAAAGAACATGATCACGACGTGTGGAAAAAATAATTTAGTCTAAGTTCTGTGGCGCAGTTGAGGCACCGACCAATCACATGACTGGAAACCACGGGGGATTCACCCGAATGGGGCAGAGACGCCGGCAGCCGAGGGTTTAGTTTTGGTTCGAGTTTTGGCAAAACTCGGCCCTGGCGGAGCTGGACCCGAGCTTGTAGTTGGCCAGCTTATTCCAGCTCCCTCCAACTTTCGAAATCGAGCCAATGGACAGGGTTCTGGTCGGCCCTAGCCCAGGACTCTCTGCTACACTCAGCCAACCAGCCCGGCGTTCGCCTACCCACGGGTGGATCCGTGCAGACTTCCCCAGGGTTTCCAACACCGCATGGCATGTCCACCGTCTATTTACGGTCTAGTGTCACTCTCCGCAGCCCAGATTTGATCTAGCTCTCGTTTTCATCTCTCGTGGCAAGGTTCGAGCAGCCATGTGTCTGGGCATCGCTTGCAGCCGTCGCGGGGCCGAGAGTGGCCAAACTCTGTAAGCAATTTCCGCTAGATGGAGCTAGATCGTTTGAGGACGGTGTTTCCCTGGGCTTGACTTTTGGGATCCGGGGTGTTTCCACCCTGGGGGAGATTTGCATATAAACCACCCTGTATCCCCCCTCACTTTTTCTTTCTTTCTCATCCTTGTCTTATCCTCCACCTAAACAACATCCATCAACGTTAGACTCTCTTCTTGACTTTGACTCTTTGACTCTTGATAACCGCCACTACCACTACAAACGTGAACGTCAACACTCCCACACTTACCGATCCTACCGTTGCTCAAATGCCCGGTAGTGTTAGCCCTGTCCGCGGGGGCAGCATCGACGCTACTCGCGTCGAGGCCCCCGTCACCTTCAAGACTTACTTGATGTGTGCCTTTGCTGCCTTTGGTGGTATTTTCTTCGGTTATGACTCTGGTTACATCTCGGGTGTCCTTGGTATGGACTTCTTCATCTCGACTTTCGAGCACATGCCCTTGGTACGGCCTGATCTTTCGCTCCCCTCTTCGAGTTGTCTTGCTAATTCACTGAACAGAGCGAAGCTACTACCAACCCCGACGCCTTTGTGATTCCCTCGTGGAAGAAGTCCCTCATTGTCTCTATTCTCTCCGCTGGAACCTTCTTTGGTGCTTTGATCGCTGGTGACCTCGCTGATTGGTTTGGTCGTCGTACTACTGTCATTGCTGGCTGCTTCGTCTTCATCGTTGGTGTCGTTCTCCAGACTGCTTCCAGCAGCCTCGGTCTCCTCGTTGCTGGTCGTCTCATTGCTGGATTCGGTGTCGGCTTCGTCTCAGCCGTCATCATCCTGTACATGTCTGAGATCGCCCCCCGCAAGGTGCGCGGTGCGATTGTCTCCGGTTACCAGTTCTGCATCACCATCGGTCTCATGCTGGCGTCTTGCGTCGACTACGCTACCGAGAACCGCACCGACTCCGGCTCCTACCGTATCCCCGTCGGTCTCCAGTTGCTCTGGGCTCTGATCCTCGGCACTGGTCTGTTCATGCTCCCCGAGTCTCCTCGTCACTTCATCCGCAAGGGCCAGAAGGACAAGGCTCGTGCTGCCCTCGCCCGCATCCGTGACCAGCCCGAGGACTCCGACTTCATCGAGCAGGAGCTGAACGAGATCGATGCCAACTTCCAATACGAGCAGACCCTGATCCCCCAGACCGGCTACTTTGAGTCCTGGTTCAACTGCTTCCGCGGCAGCCTCTTCCACCCCAATTCGAACCTCCGCCGCACTGTCCTCGGTACCTCCCTTCAGATGATGCAGCAGTGGACCGGTGTCAACTTCGTCTTCTACTTCGGTACCACCTTCTTCAAGCAGCTTGGCACCATCCAGAACCCCTTCCTGCTCACCATGATCACCACCATCGTCAACGTCTGCTCCACCCCGATCTCTTTCTACACCATTGAGAAGGTCGGCCGTCGCCCTCTCCTCTTGTGGGGTGCTCTCGGCATGGTTGTCTGCCAGTTCATTGTGGCCATCATCGGTGTCACCGACGGTCAGAACCCTCAGGCGGTCTCCGCCATGATTGCCTTCATCTGTATCTACATCTTCTTCTTCGCCTCCACCTGGGGTCCCGGTGCCTGGGTCGTCATTGGTGAGATCTACCCTCTTCCCATCCGTTCCCGCGGTGTCGCTCTCTCCACCGCCTCCAACTGGCTCTGGAACTGCATCATCGCCGTCATCACCCCCTACATGGTCGACTCCGACCAGGGCAACCTCGGCGCCAAGGTCTTCTTCCTCTGGGGCTCCCTCTGCACCTGCGCCTTTGTCTACACCTACTTCCTCATTCCCGAGACCAAGGGTCTTACTCTGGAGCAGGTCGACAAGATGATGGAGGAGACCACCCCCCGCACTTCTGCTGGCTGGGTCCCTCACTCCACCTTCGCTGGCGAGATGGGCTTCACTGAGAAGGCTGCTGTTGGCCCCGTCGTTACCCACGCCGAGGTCTAATTGATTCGGGATTATTGGCTTTGCCTTTGATCTTGCTTTCCTTTTTATTAATTTCCCCCCCCTCCTGGTGGCTGGTCCCATTGTTCAGCGCAATACCAAAGTTTCACGCCTTATGCTTTTATGTGCCATTGGCTTCATCGCTTGATGATGGAATGTAATTTTACGTCAATTGAATCTACTTAATTCTTTTCACAAAATTCTCTCGTAATTTTCCAGGTTCTTTGCAATAACTGCGAATGACACATTTTCTCTTTCTGAGTGTCGCATGGCTCGTGGCAGCTTTGTCTGTTACTCGATTGATTATGACAATCTGTTGGTCGGTTCTCTTGGTACACAAGCGACAGGAGGAACCCCACCCAGACGAACTTTTACATCCACACGCGCATAGATGGAGACAATAGTCTCTGCAAATGGCATTGCCAAAATCTGTCAGCAGACTTTTGAGCTTTAACCTCGACAATCGCTTGGAAGATCTTCTCCAGGACTGCCATGTCAACGAAGAAGCCAGCAAACGCAGGCCGGATACCGCTCACTAGGTGATTTGGCTATATTAATTTTAGCTTTTTTATTTCCGAGATCTGCCTGTAATCACTTTTGTGGCTACTAGTAACGCCCGTACATGCGCTGAGCCCAACTCCCTCTCAAAACTCACGCATCGGCAGATCCCCGGATCAAGCACCGCCAAGCCTCCAGTATCATCTTGGCATCCGCGCCCCATACTACCGCAGATCTACTTTCACGACGGTCAGTTTCACCAGATACTCTTTGGCAGTATCCCCGCTCAATCGGAATCAAAAACCCTTGGCACAACTTGGCGCTTGTCACAATCAGGCCCGCGCATGACATGAATCATGAAGAATTATGCGAAAGACCCCCGCCGCCAAGAACGAGTACGTATGCGCAGTACGTCGGATCCCAAGACCCCGTCGGGGACCCGATGCCGGCCTGGGATATAGAGGATATGCATGACATCTGATCTGGAAAAGATCGACTCGAGAAATATGAGGGTGCCGAGGATATGTTTGTGCGCCCACAGCATGATGCTTGACTGTGATGCGTCCGTGTCGAGTTTGAAGCGGACGAAGTGGTAAATTTCCGAGTCGGAATTATCATGCATCACGAAGAAACATGTCAAAAAGACTCTGTTTCTTGCCGCAGAGCTACCGATATAGCTACCTGAAGCTATCAGCTCGTAACTCATCGACTCGTCATTCGAACCCCCGATCCGCCCACAACCCGATTCTGGTTCCTGGGGGGCCTGGACCTGCACTCCTTAACTCACTGGCTCTCTATCTCCATGTAGCGCTTCGCGTTGCCATTTTAGAGTGCCTTGGCAAAGCCATAACTCCCCATGATCGTCGCCGGATTCATCAGCTTTCCGTCACGGCTGAAGTAAGTGGACGGAACTTGGGGGCAAAGCAAATGCCGGGTCCAATCAACGGGCTGATGATGAATTAGCTTGATTCACACCGGTGCATCTGGATCAAGCCTGGTATCCGCTGTGGATTCTTCATGGGGTTTCAAGGACGAGTGTACCTGGTTGATGCGCAATGTGAGCGCTGTGATTTGGGATTGGGGGGAGATGTTCGAGCCAGGGCTTTTGGGCAGACTGAGCGGGATTTTGGGTCTATGAGGTAGATCAGGCTATTGGGGATAGATTGGAGGCTTGTCCCAAGTGGGACTCGATGTTGGTCTCCGGGGAGTATAAAGACTGCGAGTTCACCGTGAGTCTCCCTTGGATCACCATCCTCTCATCTTTGCAATCTTACCTTTCCCTTCTTTAGATCCGCTCATTTTGTGGTATAGCAACAATGGTTCACCTTACTTCTGCTGTTGCCGTCGGCATTCTGGGTCTGACCAGCGTTGTGTCCGCTCATCCCGGCCATGATCACACCGCTGAAGCTGCTGAGCGCGCAGCCTTTGTCAAGAGCTCGTCCCTTCAGTCTCGCAGCCTTGCCAATTGTGCTTCGAACCTCAAGGCTCGTGGTATTGAGAACAAGAATGTGGCTCGTCGTCAGGCTGCTGTTAAGCATCTTCGTCGTCGTCGTGGAATCGACACCCGTATGTACTTTTCATATTCACACTCCTTTTGCTTCAGAGAGGACCGTACCGGAACCATGCATTGTCTAACATCAGGCAGATGCCCACTTCAACAAGGCTCGTTCCCTCGATAGTGTGCTCAACACAGACCACCACTCCAACCTGACTCATGTGGACATGTCCACCGACTCTAGCATCCTCTTTGGCTCTGAGGCAACCTGCATTTTGGGTCCTGATGTTACCCAGGGACCGTACTGTAAGTCTTTTATGAATTGCAAAACCCTCATTGTAATATACTTATCATGGCAGACGTCACCGGTGAATTGATCCGCGAGAATGTTGTCGAGGACCAGGAAGGTGTCCCCCTGTACATGGACATCCAATTGATCGACACCAACACCTGCAACCCTCTCCCTAATGTCTACATGGATATCTGGCACTGTAACTCCACTGTAAATTCTTCCTGTCCTTGACACACATGAGCCTCACTAACATCCTCTAGGGCGTCTACTCAGGTGTTCAGGCCAACGGTAACGGCAACTCTGGCGACGCCAACAACCTCGACGCAACCTTCCTCCGCGGCATCCAGGCCTCCAACGCTGACGGCATCGTCCAGTTCACCTCGATCTTCCCCGGTCACTACACCGGCCGCGCAACCCACATCCACGTCCTCACGCACGCTGCGAACGACACCTCCGTGCAGGCAAACTCAACCCTCTCTGACCTCTACACCGCGCACTCGTCCCACGTCGGTCAACTCTTCTTCGACCAAGACCTGATCTCCGCCGTCGAGGAAACCTCCCCGTATTCCACCAACACCCAAGATCTGACTACCAATGCTGATGATTCGATCCTGTCCGAGGAGGCGGATACCATCGATCCGTTCATGGAGTACGTCTACCTTGGGGATGATGTGAGTGATGGTATTTTCGCTTGGATCGCCGTTGGAATCGATTCGACCGAGGATAGTGATATCACCCCTGCTGCGTATTACACCGAGGAGGGCGGCGTTGAGAATGAGAACAGTGGCGGTATGGGTGGTGGAGGTGGCATGCCGCCTGGTTTCTCTTCCTCCGGCACTTCTAGTGCTGCTGCTACGAAGAGTACTGCTTAAATATGCCGTATAGGCGATGGTCGGGTGTTTTGACCTCGCCTTCTTTGTGTGATTGTATGAAATTTTGTATACAGGGTATTCAAGAAATTATGGTCCTTGTACTCTAATTCTCACCTGTTCATCATCACAGTAGCCTTCTAAAACCGCGAAACTCATGCAGATGGGCTAGATGAATAAGAGGTATGTGCTAGGTACACGAAGAACCACATTTTGCCCCTTAATAAACATCATACTTTCTTTAATGCAGTGCTGTTGCATTTCCTCCGTTGTGGATCTCATTAAGCATGTCTCGCACACATCGCGTCATTTAATCTTGATAATCTTCTTCTCGAACAATCAAAGGATTTTTTTGAATCATCAGACCTTTCCATACAGTCTCTCTCAACTAACACCGGACGCCCGCTTCTCAAGAAGTGGATTCTCAGATAGTAGAGCGAGAGACTTTTGGTGATGACGGGATCCCCTGCACGCTGATCATAATAACCCTTAAATTGTCCTCGAAGCTTCTCCCACGACGTGTGCCATACTTGCAAATTACAATAGCACTAGCGCTTGAAGCTTGTCACTTCAATGGTCGTGCCTTTTCTTGTGGACAAGCCATGAGCGAGTGCCTCGGTAGTGGCTGATCTGAACCTGGTCCGTAATATTCTGGCCGCTATTGGCACTGTTCTTTCGCCGATTCCAGCAACAAAGATCCGCTTTGGGTGGTGGATGACGATTCTGGCGATCCTTTGTTCATTGGCGGTGATTCTTATGGTGATCGTTGCCTGGAGAGAGGTCGCTGAGAGGAACAGACTAGTTTCGGAAGATGTGGTCTGGAATCTTCCCTTCCACTTTTGATTTTTACGACTTAGACACACATTTGATCGGTACATAATCCACAGACGCTTGATAAAGTTTTGCTATATGTTTTTCGGTCATGATTTTCTGTGTCCTGGTGGCATGTGTACGGGAAAGTATCTCTAGATAGCGAGATAGGCTAATAGCAAAGAAACAAATTACTACTGGTTGTACGAAACAAGTCAAGGTGGGAACAAGAGGTCTGACCTGAGAGAGCCAAGCCGCAATCTACACCAGCACCATTTAGACAGGCTTGTGCTGTGAGCACCGTCCTTCCTGACTGGCACAGCACTCAGATACATGGCCTTTGGCCGTTCATTAGGTTGGGAAGCTTCATCTGAAATACATGGCATTAGTATTCTGAGAGATTGATAAACACCATCACAGGCTATATGCAAAATGAGCTTAATGATTTGGCTTTCGATGCTGTCCAGAGTTGCCTTGAAGAACCAATCAGAAGGTGGAGAACCGGTAAGAGTGAATCCTCGTAGACCTGTGAACTTCGAGCTACCACGACTTACAGACGCTCTAGGATGAGATCATTCAAGATTGATGAGAATTTCATAATTGGTTTCGTAAGGAGTGACTGTACATGAAATATCAAAAATCGCAATTGGACTAATACATAGTGTGCCCACTGGCATATGATTCAAGCGCCGAGCAACAGAGCTCGATCCCTGGGGCCGAGTCACGAAATCACCATCCATAAAACATTGTACGTTCAGAGTCTAGGTATAAAGGCCTTAGATGTACTCCCAGGCAAGTTGGTCAGAGGTGATGTTCAGGCCGGTGGCAAGAGCATCGAAGCCAAGGCAGTCAGAAACCTGGCCGGAAGGAACAGTAGCGTTCTGCAGAGCAGCGTAGACCTGCCACTTGGAAGACTGGGCAGAGCGGCGAGCAACGCTTGAAGGGGTGGCGGTAGCGGAGGGGGGTAGCGGAGGAGGACGAAGGAGCCTGAGGAACAGGGCAAGCCATGAAGCCAGAGGCGCCCTGGCCAGAGTAGGTCCAGGTGCCGAAAGAAGCGCCGGGAGTGTACTTGAAGGGACCGGTGGAAGAGCCAGCGGGGATGTAGCCCGAGTGGGGAACAGTGAAGCTCAGAGCACCGGAAGCGTCGACATAGATCTGCTGGCCACCAGGGACGACGACGTCCAGGGCGTTGCCGCCATAGATGATGGTATCGTCCTGCTTTCCGCAGCTAGCCCCGACGGAGGAGGGGCAGTAGGTCTGCGACTTGCCTCCGAGCCAGAAGTGGCCGCTGGAGGCAGTCAAGGGCAGGTAGTGAATTTCAGAGCCGGAGCGGGCGGCGGTGACGCTGAAGGGGGCGTTGGAGGACTTGGTGGTGCGCGAGCTGGGGAGGGCGGCAGCCAAGGAAGCGAAAGATAGGACAGCGGAGACCTTCATTGTGAAGAAGTGTGCGTGTAGCGAAAGTGTTGAATAAGGCTATTACAGTGTACAATCGTAGTAAGTGTAATGGTGGAGGGAGAAGGCAGCAGGCAGCTTTTTATTCCATCAGCATTCTGCTGGTACCCACTTGAGGACCCCATGTGCCAGGGAGGACTTTCTAGGTGGCTCCATATCAGAGATCGACGGCATTGTACTCGCAGTAGATGACAGACTGATATCATTGCTGTGGTGAGGCCGATGTGGAGCTATCTAGCATGCACAAGCGACTCGGCCATTTCAGAATTCGGCCTAGCACTGCTCGCTTCGGGCCAATAGAGTCGGACTCGTTGCCTGTTGGGTAGTTATGTCAGGGCCATGAAGAACGGTAGCTCTCGATTAGGGAAAGTCGTGGTAAACGGTGAGACGCGCAGAGGCTAAGTTGAAGTGATCGGCACGCCTCTTCCAGGGATCCCGAAGTCAATTCGCATTCCTTCTTCTCATCGCTTTTCGCGATCGAGATCGAGCAGTGAACGTGTCGCAGATTCAAATTTTATGGCACTACCATGACAGGTAGACCCAGAATGAATATTGCAATGTCGAGGCCACCAATATGTATTGCGCCGCTCGTAATCCGAGCGAAGACCCTGACGGGTGGAGTGTTTCATCGAGACCAGAGTGACGCAGAGAGTAGTAGGGATCACCGGATTACCGGGCTGCGCGGTGGAGCTGCGATGGACCCGAACGAAAAAAGAAGCGTGCTATCTTCGGCGTGGCTCAACACAAGTAAACGGCGAGTCAACGACCATGGATGTCTCCACGGGTCCACCGTGTCTCAGATCGCTTGACATTACTCCGTGGAGGCGATGTGTAATGATCCGAGGAGCATGCACGCGAGGGAAGTCCCCCCTGTGTTTGAGCTCGTTGATCTTCACGGAACATGACGATCCCGAATTTCATGGGAAGTAACAGGAAATGACCCTTCTTAGGGTCTGTAGACATCGGAGAGTGGAGCCACCGAACCGTCTAGAAGCAGAATCAATCTGTGACAGAGAGACGGTGATCGTCGCCACTAACCAGTCGCCGCTGCAAGTTGCACCGCCACACCCCGTGCGAAAAGGTGACCGTCTTGTTCTTAGCGGTTTTTGTAGCTCTTCAATCCCTTGAAGACGAAGCGATGAATGAAGAAAGTCGGCTGGGGCGCCAGACAAGGGAGTGTGAATTTAAATCTTTGTTGTCGAATCTATCTGCCCTCACCAGCACCCTACACGCCGAACCAAACTAGGCCCCAGCAATAGTTGAGAACTTCTTGATCAATGATTCATCCACCAAACGCTACAAGTCCCAACGCCGAAGGATCTATAAATAAAATACATTATAGAAGACGAGTTCGAAATAGCAACACTCAGTATTCAGCCACCAACGGCAAGTCCCTGGAGCTTTTACCAGCCCAGATTCGGAACTTGCCTTCGGTAGGCAAAACCCAATTTTGGGCCCGTACGCTCCAATAACTCAAATCCTTGCGCGACAACGTCATGTTGACTGTCTTTGTCTCACCAGGATTGAGCTCAATCTTGAGAAGTTCCGGAGAACGCGTTCTGGGAAATCGATTGCCTCTCGGTTCCAGCCGAGACCGCGGTGTTCAGCGACATCGTCTGGGAAGGAGACGTAGATCTGCACCACTTCCTTCCCGGCGCGGTTGCCGGTATTGGTCACTTGCAGGGAAAGTTCCAGCATGGCTTCGTAGAGGGACGGGTTACCACCGGGACCACCGCCTGCTGCCGATGGCGTTCGCTTTGTCTTGTAACCTTCCGGGTACGGGTATGGGCCGGGGTCGGTCCCGACCAGGTTAAGGAGGTAGGGATAGATATATTTTCCAAGGAGTTTGAAGCCCGCAGGGACCATTGAGTCGCTTGGATTGCCAGGAGCTTCGTCGTACTTGGGAGGATCGGCTGCGTCCTTGGGACGGGAGCTGGGGAGGCGAGACTTGGTCTGTAATGGGTGGATATTAAGTGAAGAAAATTCGAAAGTCGTGTAAGAAAGACCGAAGCCAAACTCAAAACGCGGCGTGATGTTGTGACGGTCAAAATACCGGTAGTCGATATAGAGCCCCTGTTGGAAGGTGACTTGGGGGACGGGATCACCAGTCTCATATAGCACTTGTGCGCCCGGGCCGTAGTCCTCCAGGGAGTGACCAATTGTATATGGCAGACGCCCACTGGCATCAATATCGCCGAATAGCACGTCGGCCAAGGCGTTCCCGCTTTCTTGACCGGGAAGATTGGCATAGACAACAGCGTGCACACCGGGAAAGTCGATCCAGGAGTCGAGGACCACGGGGCCAATGGAGTGCACCACGACAACTGTCTTACCATGGCCGCTTCCACAGTGACGGGCTACACGCTCAATCAGTGCAACGCCATTCCTCTGCAGGAATAGATCGTTGCGATCTCCATTGACGCCAGCGTTTCTAATGAAACCTTCACCTCCGTCGGAGTTAGCGAAGACCACGCAGAGATCCTGTTCCTTAACGTCTTTCACGGCAACAGCGTTTGTCAAGTAACCCCGAATATCGACTGTCTCGGGGTTCCATGCGGTTTGCAAAGCGTCCCAAGGGGAGATCAGGTATGGGAAGTCGACCGCCCCACTGCCCCATCCTTCAGCTAGAGTACCCTGATTGCAACCATGGTCGGGGCAGACGTTGGGGCCCTGTCCAGGACCAGCATCTTCCCCGTAGACACCAACGCGGTATCTTCTCCCGGGAATGGACACATTGCGATCGAATGGAAGCGTGTTATCGATGTTCTTCAAGAGCACAGTTCCCTCTGCGGCCACCTTGCGGGCCACAAGTGAATGCGCCCGAGCTCCCGTCCCCTGTGCGTCGACAAAATGATTAACAACCTCCTTGCTGAGATCGTCAGGGCTACCCGAGTGCAGACTGCCGATCCTTTCCGTGGTCCAAGAGGAAAAGTTCGGACCACCGTCACCCTCCGGCGGAGGCCGGTGCCAGTGATCCTGGCGGAAATGGAACCAAGCCGCAACAATACGGGTGACCATATCGTTGATCCTATTCATAGGGACTGATGTATTCAATGCTGCACGAGTCAAATGAGAACCCCAGAGCGGATCACCATCTGCCCATCTGAGACCATCACCAGGCATACTCATGTCAAGACCACTGAGCGCGCTCTGCACGCCTGATCGTTGAGCGAGCCAATCCGACTGCACAAACCCCTGGAAGCCAAGCTCATCTTTGAGAATACCATTCAAGAGTTTGCTGTTCTCGCACGCATGACTGTTGTTAACTTGCTGATATGCGCACATCACACTCGCGACGTCAGCTCGGACACTCTCAGCGAACGGCCAGACGAATACCTCATGCAAAGTACGGTCGTCAATGTTCGATGAAAGTGCCGTTGGGATACCCCACTCGTACGGCTGGCGGAAGTGCTCTTGTTCGTTCATTACGAAATGCTTTGCCGTTGCCATCACACCATTGCGCTGAATACCACGGATGGTCTCAGCAGCAGCAACGGCCTGCAGCACAGGATCGGATCCGAAGGACTCCCAATTGCGACCACCAGCAGGGTTCATGCCCAGTGCGCCCATTGAAGGGCCCAGAATGACGTTAACACCTTTTTGACGGGCTTCTTGACCCAAAGCCAACCCGCGCTCAAGCATGAGCTCGCGATTCCAGGTCGCGCCAGTCGTGATGCCCGCCGGGAATGCGGTGATGTTTTGGGTATACCGTAAACCCAACGGGCCATCTTGAAGACAGAGTGATGGGAAGCCAGCAGTGACAGCAGGACCTGAGGGTTTTTGTCAGCAACTTAACTAGGCAAGGAAGGTTTAAAGCCCATACCGGTGTTTCCAACGCAAAGACCCATCTGCCAACCCGTTCCTGTCGTGACGTTGACCTTCTCGACTAGCGTCATCCGCTCAACCATATCATGCGCCTTGTCGTAGCTCTCTTTCCACGCAGCACCGGTACCTCCCATTGGAGTGGGATACCAGGGTACAGATTCCTGGATGTGTCATGTCAGCACAGCCCACCAAAAGAAGCATCTCAACCAGTGTCGAATCTCAACAGCCGGTCAGAATCGAAAGGAAACCGTACATAGTCTTTCCTGGGTCTCTCAGACCTCAACCAGTATAGACCCTGCATAGCCAGCCACATGACCCCGATAGCAACTAGTCCGAAAGGAATAGAATGCCACCATTTGTTCAAAGGGATCAAGCCTCTCAACCCTGACTTCCACCACATGCCCCCCTGGTCTTTCGATCCCCGCGAGCCCTTAACTAGCGGAACCCCATAATCATCGTCGTCGTCACTGAGGACCAGGTTCGAGTGTCCATCTTCTAGATCAGTATCAAACGAGTCCCCGAGCATGAGCTTCCGTTCACGTTCAAGAACCTGCTCAATGCGTAGCCCCACATCCTGATTGTTCTCGGGGGAATCTTCCATCGGCAAACTAGTTCGACTCGAGGGTGCAGCGTCGTAGTGCTTGTCTTTCGACAGCGGTAATAATTTCACATTGTCCTCGTCTTCGTCGCCGCTAGAGAAGTCGTCGGCGCGAGCCTCCTTTCCATGACGAAGCTCCTCGAAGCTCTCGTCTGAGACGAGGAGGGATTCATCGTCCGATATCTGGTTGTTGACGGATGAGTAGTCCTGTCGACGCGTTGAGGCTTGAGTGCCTCCGCTTGGTCTGGTCATTGCTTTTTGGTTGAGATGTGGACAGGATTCGATTATCAGCGCAGGGCTTGCATGCTGGTGTAGGCTAAGACATTGAAGAGTCGTATGAGCGTGATGGACGGTCTGCCAGGCACGGCAATGGGATTCGCGATGGAGTGAATTTGGGATTTAGAAAGTTCGAGAGAGCTTAGGGAGGGTCAGGTGACGTCCCCTTCGACGTCAAAGTCCCTGGGGATCGCATCGTGTGGGGCGACGCGTAGGTTATCGGTCATTTTTACCGACACTGCGTCCAGTGGGGGCATAAGAGGGTGCAGCGTCGTTCTACTTTCTGCTAATAGGTAATAGACAAGACGGAATTGTATTAAGAACAGAACTTTTTGTTAATAGATCACCGGATTTTCACCAGCGACGGCCTTCCACAAGATGCGTATCTACTAAAAAGGAAAAGAGAATGGAAATGAAAAAGCAAACCCAAACGCCGTCTATCTAGGTCCCATGCAAGCCACAAATGACAAGATTCTCATGCAACAAAAATATCATCAGAAAACCATTACACATCAAAGTGCTCCAGGTATCTGGGAGCAATTATGCCTCATCGTCGGTGTCAACGGGCTTTGGAGTTCCCTTGGGAGAGTTAAGCTATGAAAATGTTAGCAGATGTTCGGATGAAAGTCAACTGTGGATAAGAACTCACCCATTCGATGTGACGGAGACGGCGGCGAGTCTCACGCTCCTTCTGCTGAGCACGAGTCATCTTCTTCTTCTTCTTAGCGCGGAACTTCAACTCGCCCTGCTCATCGCCAGAGTTGACGGCGGATGGAGCAGCGGAAGGAGCAGCGCTAGTGTTGCCCGAAGCGGGAGTAGCGGCACCAGAAGGCGTGTTGGTCGCGCTGTCCTCGAAGCGATCGAGGGCGACGGCGTTGTTGGTGCGGCTAACGACACGGCCATCGGCAATGTGCAGCTGCTCGGGCAGAGAGCACCAACAAACTCTTCGTTGTGAGAAATCATGACAACACCACCCTTGAAGTCACGGATGGCAACGGCCAGACCACCGAGGGAGTCACGGTCCAAGAAGTTAGTCGGCTCGTCAAGAACCAGCAAGTGAGGGTTGTTCCACATGGCACCAGCCAGCACGACCTTGACCTTCTGACCACCGGACAGACCAGAGATCTCGTTGTGGTTGGCAATTTCGGGGTCGAGACCGATGTCCTCGAAGTGCTTGGAGATAACCTTGGGTTCCAGAACACGGTAACCAAGACCTTCACGCGAAGCCTCGTGATCGTCAAATTCTTGGACCATCTTGGAGAAGCCCAGCTCGGTCAAAGTCTCGCGAGAGATCATGGTGTTGTACTTGGGGAGCCAGCCAACCCACTTGACCTCATACTGGAAGGACTTCTTCCACTTTTGACGACCAATGAGCGCCTCAATTTTGCGCTCTCCACGGCCATCCTTCAAATCGATAGGCTTGTCCAATTGGGCCTTATCGGCGTCGGTCAGGATACGGGTCTGCTTGAGGAAGACCTCGCGATCGTCACCGTTAGCGTACCGCCACTGCAGGTACTGGCTGGGAGTCTTCTCCAAATGCATCTCAACGTGCTCCAAAGCGTGCTGCTTGATGTAACCAATACGCAAGTTGGGGTGCTTCTCGACCTTGCCGCCCTGGGGAATGGTCTCACCAGTCAACATCTTGATGAAGGTGGATTTTCCAGCACCGTTTCCACCGATAATGGCAACACGGGAGGAAAGAGAAAGTGAGAGAGAAGCATCCTGGAGAGATGGCTTGGTGGCACCGGGATAGGTGTATGTGCAGTTGGTCATACGGAGGATAGCACGAGTGTTGGACTTGATACCCGACAGGATACCGGGAGCCGGGAATCTGAACTGCACATTGGATGCAGAAAGAGTGTAATAGCTCTTGCCCTCAGGCTTGACCTTGACGAAAGCGGCAAGGTTACCGGGATAACAGACAAGCTTCTTCTGCTCGTAGTGGTAGATATCGGTGCAGACCTCGTCAAGGAAACCGGAGTCGTGAGAAACAATCAAACTGGTGATGTCAGTGTGTCTCTTCAGGTACTCCTGAAGCCACTTGACGTTGGCAACATCCAAGTGGTTAGTAGGTTCGTCGAGCAGGAGAACATCGGCCTTCATGAGCATGGCACGGGCCAGAGCGAGCTTCATCTTCCAACCACCGGACAAGGAGCCGACAGGCTGGGACTGGCGACCCTCGGGGCCATCGGTGAAGCCGAACTCAAGAAGAACCTCCTTGATGTGCTCTTCGCCCTGGAGGGCGATCTGAGGGTCCTTGGAAACGTAAGCCAGGATGGTGAGATCGGCATCCTCACCCTGGTTGTGCTCCACAAAGCAAGTGCGGACCTCGTCGGGAGGAGGGAAGCCCTCGAGCTTGTCATTGGCAATGCTGCGCATAAGAGTTGATTTTCCAGCACCGTTGCGACCGCAAAGTCCGTAACGATGACCCTTGACCAGGCGCAGGTTGGTGTGGTTCAGGAGAAGCATACCACCGTAGGCGAGAGAAAAGTTGGCGTTAACAATGACAATCTCGTTGGGGTCAGTCTGAGCCGGCTTGCCGAAGATACGCTCATCCTCGGCGACGAAGTGGGCCTTGACAGCAGAGACAAGAGCATCAACCTGGTCATCCGCGAGCAGACCACGCAGATACGGGCCAAGGGAAGAGGGGATGCGATCCAGCATGCGGCAGTTGACATCCTCACGGATCATGCCGGCAATGAAGTTCTTGGCCAGATCAAGGAACTTGACATCGCCGAAGCCAGTGAGACCACCGTGCTCCTGGATCTTGGGGTTAAGAACAGCCAGGACATCGTCTACAGTGGTCTTTGAGAAGCCACCCATGGCAACTTCTTTATCGGCCATGGCCTTCTCCATAACATCGAGGGCACGGGTCGCCAACTCACGAACCTCAGGAAGAGAGGCACGATCCATGACACCCTTCACACCAGGTTGAAGCTTGGGAAGGAAGGTACGGGCCTCAGCAGGGTCGTGAACCAGCTTTGTCAGGTTCTCCACAACGACAACGGTCTGGCGGAGAGTTTCCTGGGGGGTGGTGGGGGTGTTGAGAGAACGCTCGAGCAGGGGAGTCAGGAGAGCGAGCACGGGTGAGGTGACAATAGCGACGAATGTGGTTTGCGAGAGAGCGTGGATGGCCTTTTGAAGCGTCTGGGCGAAGGGCTTCTCGATAGACTCAATCAAAAGCGGGATGCGAGTGCGAATGTCGTCGTTGTCAAGGAGAGTGGTCAGGGCGTTCATGGCCTTGACGGACTGCTTGGTAACTTCACTCTTCAGGTCGTGCATGCCAGACTCGACAATGGGGATCAAAGTCTTCAAAGTCTTGCCCATAGCGTCGCGCAGAACATCTTTGTCGCGCTCTTCCTCCATGGTACCGTTGCCCATCTGGGCCTTTAAGGCCATTTTTTCAAGCAGGGCATACCCACCAACGAAACCCTGCCACTTGCCGGAGCCCTTGCTGAGATAGGACTCGAGGGATGGCAGAAGCCCATTCACCATGGCCTCGGGGCTCAGGCAACCGAACAGAGCGTCGATAGCGTATTGGGCAGCATCGCGAACAACAGCGCCTTTATCCGCGAGGGAGTCCAGGACCACGTTCAGAATACCGCCGTCATTCAGGAGGAAGACGACTTCACTGAGGGGGTATTCGCGAGGAAGCGCTCGAACAGAGCACCGATGATCAACATGGCACTCTCGCGGCGAGCTCCGTTCTTCTTATCGGTGGCGGCCTTCTTGACATCGGTCAAAACACTGTAGTTCAGGAGACCAGCGCAGCCAGCACCCTGAATCAGCAGGTTCGCCAAGGCATAGGAGTTATCGAGGGACACCTGAGATGACTCGGCGTTGAAAATAGAGTTGAGGAGGGATGAAATCTCTTCGGTGGTGGGGGGAACACCGGAGGGGCCCTTCGCGACAACAGTAGGCATGACGGCGGAATCAGTTGGTGACTCGATGTGCGGCATTATCCGATGCGAGACTCAAAAGGTCTAGCAGATGCAATAAAGCAAAGGGTATGAACAGGTCGTGAAAATGGAGGGGCCTCAAACAATAGGAGGCGGGGGAAAAAACTCCCGGACCAGCAGGACAAAGAGGGGAGAGGCACCAAGTGAAGATCGAAAGGAAACGATCTCAAATGAGGGTGTAAGGTGCAAGAGCAGTGACAGAGACAGACTGTTGTAACCCGCCTGGTCTGTACAAGGTATGGAGGGGGAAGAAGAGAGTCGCAGATCGGGGCTTATCCACGCAATTTTTTTTTGTTTGGGAGGCGACGGCTTACATAGCCCAATCAGGAGCGGCGGCTTTGGCATGGGCTCGGACTAAATCTTTTTGGGCTAGCCTTATCAGTTGATGCCTCAGGTTAGAATACATGCCTGATAAACATGGTGGCAATGTGTCCAGGGATTCTAAGTCAGCACTTGTTTCCATGCAAAAAAGACTAACTATGCAAGAAAGGCCGAAAAGGCCGACCTGCCCCGTTGGAGTGTTGTCCATGGATGCATGTCTATAGATGCATGTCCACAGATGCATGTCAATGGATGCATGTCAATGGATGCAGGTACAAAGATAATCTCGTCCCCCAAGATTCACCCGAAATATATCGACGATACTTGCAAAGCCACTGCCATGAATTCCGTGCTAATTCCATTACTTTCGTCCGAGATCGGTGTTTCCCTTGCCCTCCGATATCCTCGGCTCCGACAAGTGGCCCGACAGGTCTACTGTGTGGATATACCTCTTGTATGTTCACACTGCACTCAATGAATATCAACTGAGAATGATCAAATAATTGAATTAAATGGTAAAATCGAGTACATTTGCCCCTGAACAGATATCTACATGTTCTGTTAAAAAAGGCCGGTTTGGCTGTCCGCATGCAGCCGCCCCGGGCCTCGGTAGAAGAGTATTGGAAGCCCCGCGCCCAACCGACGCGGTCAGACGTTGGCCTCGTCGATCACAAGTACCCTTGTCCCCCTTCATTCTGCTTCGTTTTCTTACAATTTTGTGTTCTATTCCTCACGAATATCTTCATAGCGATTGTTTGGCATCGCTACGATAATTTTCTACTCCTCCTCGCCCCCGCAATTGACCTCCCGCCCCCACACTTCTACCCCGGATCCATACACTCACAATGGCGCTCAGCAGAACCACCCGCCATGCCACCAGACTGGCCCAGGTAAGTGTACAACGAGCCCACATGACTGGAAGCTGGCATGTCTAGTTTAAGAAGACTAGTTCAATTAACGAAAACTTGTAGGCCTCGCGACCACTCTTTTCGGCTCGCCACTATGCGACCGCCGAGCCGGACCTCAAGTCTGCTCTGAAAGAGGTTATTCCCGCTAAGCGCGAGCTCCTACAAAAAGTCAAAGCCCAAAGTGACGAAACCATTGGCGAGACCAAGGTGGGGAGCGTCATTGGAGGCATGCGTGGCCTCAAGGCGATGCTGTGGGAGGGATCGGTGCTGGACGCCGACGAGGGCATCCGGTTCCATGGAAAGACGATCAAGGACTGCCAGAAAGAGCTTCCCAAGGGCACCACTGGGACTGAAATGCTTCCCGAGGCTATGTTCTGGCTTCTCTTGACAGGCCAGGTCCCCTCCACCTCCCAGGTGCGCGCTTTCTCCAAGGAGCTCGCCGAGAAGTCGTACCTGCCCCAGCACATCCTGGACCTGATAAAGTCCTTCCCCAAGAATATGCACCCAATGACACAGCTTTCGATTGCTGTCGCTGCTCTGAACACGGAGTCCAAATTTGCTAAAGCCTACGAGAAGGGCCTGAACAAAGCCGAGTATTGGGAGCCCACTTTCGATGACTGCATTTCCCTACTTGCAAAAATCCCCCCGCGTTGCCGCGCTAGTCTTCCGCCCTAACGAAATTGATGCTGTTGGTAGCCAAACTCTGGATGTTGCGCAGGACTGGGCCTACAACTTTGCTGAGCTGCTCGGCAAGGGCGGCGAGAAGAACAGCGACTTCCACGATCTTCTCCGTCTGTACCTGGCTCTCCACGGAGACCACGAGGGTGGAAATGTCTCCGCCCACGCTACTCACCTGGTCGGTAGTGCTCTGAGTGACCCTTTCCTCAGCTACAGCGCTGGACTTCTCGGTCTTGCCGGCCCCTTGCACGGCCTTGCTGCCCAGGAAGTTCTCCGCTGGATCATGCAAATGCAGGACAAGATTGGCACCAAGTTCTCTGATGAAGATGTCCGCAGCTATCTGTGGGACACCCTTAAGTCCGGCCGTGTCGTTCCTGGCTACGGTCACGGTGTTCTGCGCAAGCCCGACCCTCGCTTCCAGGCCCTGATGGATTTTGCCGCGACCCGCCCTGATGTCCTTGCCAACCCTGTCTTCCAGCTGGTCAAGAAGAACTCTGAGATTGCTCCCGGTGTTTTGACTGAGCACGGAAAGGTATTTAATTCCATTCAAATGCCATTGATCAACACTAATAATATTCCAGACCAAGAACCCCCACCCCAACGTCGACGCTGCCTCCGGTGTTCTCTTCTATCACTACGGCTTCCAGCAGCCTTTGTACTATACGGTTGCCTTTGGTGTTAGCCGTGCCCTTGGGCCCCTGGTTCAGCTCATCTGGGACCGTGCTCTGGGTATGCCCATTGAGCGCCCCAAGAGCATCAACCTGCTCGGTCTCCTTAAGAAATAAGCTATCCGTTGAGCGTGGGCCCTATGATGATGGACACCCCACACCTGGTTTGATATGAGCCGACTGAAATTGATGCAAGCGAACTTTGACCTTTTTTCTTTCTTCTCTTAGACTGTTTGATATGCCCAGTGTAGGTGTTCCTTTGAGGTATATATCCCTGCAAAGAATATATGAATAGAATCCTCATGCAAAGCCTCATCTATATCCAAGTAGTACCTAGTCAAAACCCATACTTGGTGAGCATATTGTGGTTGAATTGCAAGAGCTAGAAAGCGAGTACTTTGTCATTACAGCCATCTTAAAAAGACAGTACACTGACTCAGTGCTCGGAGAACCAAAAGGCTATAAAGCTTTGTGCTTATTATGTCTTTATTTAGTCCATGTAACCTCATTCTATTGAAACGAAATAATTCCTAAAAATTCATAAAGTTCGTGAAGGTGGCAGCTTCCCAACAGTATTAGAGCTTGGGCGTCTCCACGACAGTCTCTACCTCATCACCACGATCCCAGCGCTCCTGGTATTCGCGCATTAACACCTTGGCAGAAGGCGAATTCTCCATGAAGTCTTTAATCGCAGCCACGGGGAAGAGGTAATGAAGCCCGCAGTAAACAAAGGCACTGATAACTAGACCAGACAAGAAGCAGATGTAGTACAGATGTGTTAGGCCGATAGGAACAGTGACACCGGAGCTAACATAGGCAACGAAGCCAGGTAAAGATGGCACAGTTCCGCAAATCCACTAAAGCCCGTTAGCATGGTCAACGAATGAAGGGAATGAAGAAACGTACTGCGACAATAGCGCGCCAATTCAAACCGTACGTATACCAGTAGATACTGGAGCTGTCTCCGATAAAAAGATCGTCCACTTTGATCTTGCAGCGGTTGATAACGAAGTATGATGAGATCATAAGGCCAGTCATAGGCCCCAAAAATACCGAATAGCTGCTCAGAACAGCAAGAAATGTTGTGGCCGTATTGACTAGCTTCCACGGATTACATGCGACGGAGATAGCCGCTGTAATGTAAGCACCGCGACGAATGTTGATGTATCGTGGGAAAGTGGCTGCCAAGTCGAAGCCTAGTATAAACGTCAATAAAGAAAAGAGAAGACAAGAACGTATACGCATACCTCCAGCCAAAGCGTTACCGGGTACATTGACACCAATCTGCGAGATGACCAAAGCAGCACCACCAAAGAAAGCCGCAGCTCTAGATCTCGATCCACCATGCTCAATGATCGCACTGAAAAGTGTCGGCAGGTTCCATTTGGCCTCACCATATCGTTCCTGTGTAGCAGCAGTGACCAAAATCCCAATCACGCAACACACAATTGCATAGAAAGGAAAACTAATCACTTGCCCCCAAACGGCATCTCTTGGCTTGCGTGCAAAACGTGCATAGTCATTCTGGTTCAAGATTCCAGCGGCAATAGATCCGATAGTACTGATTATCCCGAATGCGATGTTCCAACCTGACGAGGTACCGCTGGTGTTGGAAATGGTTGATCCAAACCCTTCAGGGCCCATTGTTGCGAGAGACCAGATCAGGAGAACTATCTCAAATACTAGGATGATGGCGGAGGACCCATAGAACAAATAGTTCAGTTTGAAGGGTCGAATGTAGATCACTGGTAGTGAGATGACCATGAAGATTATATAAGAGACGAATGTCGCGGTTGTTGTGCCCATGGAGCTGGACAGAGTATTTGGTATTCGCTCTTCGAGGTTTGGCCAGATTGCCTGGAGGCAGATGTAGACACATTCGCCGCCGATCCAGGCTTGAAATCCATCTTTAGTGGGTCAGTGCTGCAATACACATGGGGCTGGGAATATGAGCTTACACCAAACTATGAAGCTTGTTAGCACTGTAAAGTGAAAAGTGGATAGACCGACTTACCTATGGAGAGTAAGATACGATTCCAGATCACGAACTGACTCCCGTACATCCCCCACACATATCTGCTCACCACCGGAAATCCCACTATAATGATCAGAAGAAAGCCTTGTCCATCTCGCAATGCAACGTACAGTAGTAGTATGCGCCGGGTAACGAGTTCAGCACCACCAAGATGGTAGCAATAATCTGTCCGAGCACAATGGCGATGATGGCTTGCCACCATGTCAGGCCCAGAGCAATGAGAGAACTGCCGGTCATATACGTCGAGATATTCGAGTTGACGAGAATCCCTTAAATGGCAATGTTAACCAAAGAATCGATTTTTTCCTCGTTCGAATGAGTCCCTACAGAAATTATGAAAAGTCCAGAATCCCCAAGTGCGGCGACCATCCTCGATAGGTTTAATATCATTGTTAATCCACCGGTCTGGTTCGGGGCCGCCTTCACTGTCGATTTCGAGTTTCTTTAGGAATGCCTCCATAGCGGCATTGATGGACGGTCGCTGTGAATTTCTATAGAGAAACTCTTGGATGATGGGACAAAGGACCGAATGGACAGATGCTCAGTGATGGCATTCGAGCTGGCACGCTAGTAGCGAACCTTCCCTGACACTTATCTACTCCGCACTTCGTCCTGAGTTAGCCGATCAAACAATTAACCGATCGGTCACCAAGAAGGATCTTCAAGATAAGACCTCTCCAGATACCGGTTTATCATTCTTCATCGTCAGCTAGGACCAGGAGTTTCTATCAACGGCATCCGCGGGCGCCGTCGCACAGACGGGACATCTTTCCAACTGATACCTCGGAGTTGTTCCCTAGGCTTGAAACAATATAGCAAGAGGCACTGCTTTGCCGACCCGAGCTCTTACCACCTACTGAGGAGGAGAAATGTGATTCGGATGCTGTTGTGCAGGGTTCTATTGGTTGCTCGCGCGACGCTTCGCATCTTGCGATAAGAGCCCCTCTTGGCGCTCGGCCAATTTCGTGTCGCGGAATGCGCTTGAGAGCTAGCATGTTGCAAAGAACTAAAATCACTAAATCTTGCTCGGCGAACGCGATCACTCGGAATCATAGGCGAGCATTAGAGCTCGGATTCAATTCCAAGGGCCTAGAAAACTGAAGTGTTGACCCAAGTCTACGATACCCGCAAAGGCACCAACAATAGTACATATCCAGTTCCGATCGTCTTCTGGATCAGGTGAGAAATCATATACCAATCCGTCTCTACGATAGTTCCTTGCTTGCGGTACAAATCCAAGCTATATCGATCATGACTGAAATCAGCGGCCTATACCGGATTGGTGTTGATGTTGGTGGGACCAACACAGACGCAGCTATTATCGACATCGCCGCCACAGACTCCGAATCGCGCGAGTATGCGCATCTAGCAAGACCCCTACAACACTGGATGTCACCTCTGGAATTCATGCCGTGATCGAGAATGTATTATCCAAGTCTGCGGTTAACCGACGAGACGTTCTCAGCGTAGCTATCGGGACCACACATTTCGTGAATGCAGTTGTCGAGGCAGATGCGCGCCGTTTGAGTAAAGTCGCTGTGGTGCGCCTTTGCGGACCTTTTACGAAGCAGGTCCCCCCTTTCTCGGATTTTCCGCCTGAGCTGAAGGATATTATGGCTGGGCCAGTGATCTATCTGGATGGAGGTAAAAACGGGACCTAAACTGAAGTTGTCACAGCTGATGGATCGTGAATTCTAGGACTCGAGATTGACGGACGTGAAATCACTCCGTTGTGCCCTATTCAGGTGCAAAAAGCTGTAGAGAGCATCCAAGAAGCAGGAATCAACCTGGTCGCAGTTGTGGGCGTCTTCTCTCCGCTAGATCACCAGGGCCTGCACGAAGAGACATGTAGACGCCTGATGTTGGAACAAGATCCGACCTTATCGGTGGTGTGCTCACACATGGTTGGAGGCGTTGGACTATTAGAGCGTGAGAACGCGACGATTCTTAATGCCTCCATTCTCAACCTCGCACGACGTACAGTGCGAGCATTTTGTGAAGCGATAGCCAAATTGCAACTAGATTGCCTCTCTATCTGACGCAAAATGATGGCACGTTGACAGATGCCGCTACTGCAGCAGAACTGCCTATCAAGACATTTGCTTCAGGCCCGACGAACAGCATGACCGGTGCTGCATTCCTAGCATTCCTGGATCGCGGTGCAAAAGGTACAGCCTCGGAAACCCAGGTACTTGTTATGGATGTGGGAGGGACTACGAGTGACATCTGCGCTTTGCTTCCATCTGGATTTCCCCGACAAGCCCCGAATTTTGTTGAGGTCGGGGGTGTGCGAACGGCGTTCTCAATGCCCGAAGTTTTGTCTGTTGGGCTGGGTGGAGGTAGTCGGGTGATTCAAGATACGGGTTCTGATCGAGTACATGTTGGGCCTGAATCGGTTGGACACTATTTGACTAGTGAAGCACTTGTGTTCGGTGGTAATGTGATGACGACTACGGATATTGTCGTTGCCTCTGGCAAGGCGGAAATCGGAGATATCAAGCGAGCCCAAGCCATTCCTGAAAGTGTGGTCACCAAAACACGTTTGCGAATCAAACGAATCCTAGAGCAGGCAGTGGAAAGTATGAAGGTTTCTGATGCACCGGTCACTCTGCTCCTAGTCGGTGGTGGATCTATTGTGCGCATGGATGACTTGCAAGGTGTTGCAGAATGCATCATCCCACCTCATCATGACTCTGCAAACGCAGTCGGCGCAGCAATCGCCAAGGTCGTTGGCGAGATTGACAGCATTGAGGTCTTAGAAGGCCGCGACGAGAATACAGTCCTCGAGGAGGCGAAGACCAAAGCGATTGAGAATGCCGTCGCTCGTGGTGCAGACAGAGCAGACATCAAGATCGTGGCTATCGATAAAATCCCACTGCAATATGTGACGAATAAGGCTACTCGACTGGTTATCAAGGCTGTTGGCCGATTGGCTCTCCAAAGCCCAGGCACAACGCAAATGAATGGAGCTCATACAAATGATATGTCGACTTGTGCTGTGATTGAAGAGTCTGAACCCGAAGCTCGAAGAAATTACCACCAGAAACCGGAAACCAGAAATTTTCAATCTCTGGTGAAATACTCGGCATTTCTTGACATCGACGCCTACGCCCCCGACGTGCGTAATGGAATATGGTACATTTCCCCCGTCGACCTCGAATTCATCGCAACAGGCACCGGTGTCCTGGGCACTGGAGGCGGAGGGCCCTCATACCTTCAATACCTGCAATGCCTCGAGAGTCTTCGCCAACCCAACGCTAAAGGCAAGATGCGGGTTGTCGACCCAAGAAGTCTCAATGATTCCGATGTCATCGTCTTCGGGTCATGGTACGGAGCACCCAGTGTCTCTGGGGAGAGAATTCCCGCCGGAAGAGAGATCATGACTGCAATTGATCAAGCGGTCAAAATGTCTGGATATACCCATTTTGAGGGCGTAATGGCGGATAAGATTGGGGGTGGAAATGGAATGTCTACCTTCCCGACCAGCGTCTATTATGATATCCCCGTTGTTGATGGGGATTTAATGGGGAGGGCATATCCCACCATGGAACATGGTGAGTTCGCATTCCTTGATGATACCAAGTTGAGCCTGTCTGATGGTTTTTGTGTTAAAGGTACGGCTTACGTATACGGTGAACCAATTACGCCTTGTGCTTTGGCGGATGGAAAGGGGAACACATCTGTTATTCTGGTAGGTCATCACTTTTTCAAATTACTTATCAAGTAGGATTGCGAAAGCTGACCACGTTAACAGAAGGCAGAGTCCAACCGCCGAGTCGAAACAATGTTGCGCTCACAGTGCGTCGACCTCGGTCTGAATATCGCAGTGGCATGCACCCCATTGCCTGGCAAATCGATCAAACGCTACGCGGTTCCCAAGACCGTGTCTCAATCATGGTACATCGGACGTGCAGTCCACAAAGCCCGATGCTCAAAGACCAACATCATCGATGCGATTGTATGTGCGCAGATCAATCGCTCAAATTACATTGGCCAGGACTCTAACCAAGCTTAGTTCGAAACATCCCCCGGTCGTCTCCTATACACCGGTAAAATCGTCGACGTCAAGCGCCACGTAAGCCGCGGCTACACAATGGGCCAATGCACAATCGCCCCTCTGACTAGCGAGGAAAAAGATCCAAAGTCTTCTCGCTCTGAAAGTCCAAGCTCAGATGAAACCCGCTACCTAATCATCCCCTTCCAAAACGAGTTCCTCTACGCCGCATACGCGGACGTCTTGAACCCCGACGACACCTCGCGGCATGAAGTTATCTGCACAGTTCCAGACCTGATTTCAGTTCTAGGGCAAGACGGCGAGGCAATTGGATCACAAGAGTTACGGTACGGATTACGAGTTAACATCATCGGAATGGCAGCGCATCCTCTTTGGACGGGAGATAAACGGGGACTTAAAGTCGGCGGACCCGAGGGCTTTGGACTCGATATGGAGTGGAAGAGTCTTGGACCGTACCAGGAGCCGAGAAGTGTTGTGCAGGAGTTTAATGTAGCTTCCTAGATTTTTGTATCTTCGGAATGTATTTAGACTCTTCTTGCATCATGACCTTGGGCTGGTCAAACCGTGAAGTCTCCTACAATCTCGTATTTCCACTAGCGATCCTTTCCCACTCTTCTTTCCCAAAGGAGGTGTAATCTTGCTCACCGGGCGCAATCCAGAGGAACTGATTGCTTTTTCCATCGGGGACCTTAGTTCCAATAAGCGCTGGATCTACACCCTCGTCGCGAAGGGGGACCTTATTCTGCTTGTGGTTGTGGATATGCGATGAGGTGTCGACGACGCGCAGGAAGACCGGGACGGCGTATCGCGGGAGCTTGGACCGAGCAAAGCGCGCAAGTGCCGCAAAGTCAAAGCCCTGGCGTGCTTCGGGAGTGATCTGGAGAGCGGCACAGCCGGCTCGACCTTCGTGGTTGGGGAGTTTGACGCCGTAGACATTTGCCTCGGCGATGCCAGGGAATTGGCCGATTACTTCGGCGACTTCAGCAGTTGCTCTGGAAATGATTCAGTTATGTTTACTTGATCGGGGCTGCGTTACTAACACGTTCTCGCTCTTCCACCGGAATGTGTCGCCGAGACGGTCGAGGAAGTACCAACGGCCATCAGGTTGGCGGCGGAGAGCATCGCCGGAGCGATAATAGATATCGCCTTTCTTGAAGACGTCGCGGAGGAATTTCTTCTCAGTCGCGGAGTCGTTGCGCCAATAGCCCTGGAAAGCCTTCTCATCGGGGATGTGAACGATGATCTCGCCGCCTTCTTCGTAACTTGCGCGAACGGCAAGGCCAGTCTTGGGATCTCTGAGCGCATCTCCGGTTTCGGGGTCAATGGCGATGGGGATGAATGTGTTATGAAGCAGGCCACGCATCAAGAGACCATGGTGTCCGACACTACCAGCGGTGAAGGGACCACAGTTGTAATTGAACAGCCCGAAAATACCCTCTGTGCTGTTGAAGAATTCACCGACCTCAGGAACACCAAATCTCGCGCGGAATGCTTCCCAGACATCAGGACGAAGGCCGTTACCATACATGCAACGCACTTTGTGATTTTTATCCTCGGCTGATGGAGGCGATGCGAGAAGGTAACGAGCTGTCTCGCCGACATAGACGAATATGGTAGACTCGGAATCTCGCACATCTTTCCAGAAATTGCGAACGCTGAATTTGGGCCCCAGGGCGATACTGACGCCCATTGTCAGACAAGCAATTAGACTGATAGCTGCAGTGCCGTGGTATAGAGGCATGCAGCTGTACCAACGGTCACCGTCAGGGCCATTCTTATCACTCATCATATCACGACGGATGAAAAGCGTCGTGTAGATCCGAGCCATGGTGAACGCACAGCCCTTGGGCATGCCTGTTGTTCCCGACGTGTAGAGCAAGATCGCGGGGAATTCGCCCGCCATGTTCTTTGCGAGATCCGCAGGCGGCAAGCTGGCCGGCATGATCCGAATTTGCGCCTTAAGGGAGCCGTCTAGGGTTAATAGTTTCATGCCCAGCTCGCCTGCCAGTATACCTTCGCATTCAGCCACACGGGTGCGACATGTCTCATCCTCATCAACGAGGGTGAGTTTGGTTCCGCTAATCTTGAGACAGTGCACCAGTGCATCGCCAGTCAGGTTGTAATTAATCGCAGCAGGGGCGCAACCAATACTCCATGTAGCGATCCAGGCGATGATGAACTCGGCTCGGTTCTGCAGGTAGAAGCCGACCAGATCGCCTTTCTCCACGCCTTGGGATAGGAAAAAATGGGCGTATTGGCAGGCTTGTTCTTGGACTTCGCGGTAGGTGTATGACCTTTCTCGAGTCCATAGGCAGACCATGTCGGGGTATCTCTGCACTGTGTCTAAGAATACATACCAAGGATTCCCGCGGCCTTTTTGCACTATGAGGATGTTAGATCGTGGTCATACGTGCTGCGAATGCTCAACCCACCCGCTTGTGCATATTGGCGTTCGCCTTTTTTAGCGCTGAGTACAGATGAAATGTCTTTCTTGATATGGAATTTCGCGTTCAGGTATGCTGCCACTGTTGCGCCTCCTGCCAGGGCGGCGGCGGCCGTACCTGGGATCTTGTCAGAATATGCTCCATTAAGGTCCATAAATACACAGACTTACCGAGATCCATCAGATCCATTCTTTTGCTTTGGAAACCTCCGAATCGTCGCTGAAAGGTTCAATTCGGGATTATAGATCGCCTGCAGTCACACCAGAGCTGCTTTGAAATCTCAGATGCCCAAAATCACCAATGCAATAAAAGCTCTTGATACTCCAAAGCTCTTTCATAGAAAACAAAGTGGCCGAGTGGGGTGCGATATTGAAGATGGGGTAAAGGTATCTTTTCAGCCGAAAGAGCAAAGGATCCTCGGCACCACAGGGCGACTCCGCATTCCAAGATGACGAGGGGCCAAGATCTATCAGAACATGGCTGATCTTCTGTTGGGAGGCCCAGTGGACACACCGGGTTTGGTGGAACCGATGCGGGGAACAAGAGTCCACCTCGGCTGTTTCCCGTTTCACTGTGCACAGCTTCACAGTGCAACATCGGCATAATTTGCTGTGCCATGCTGGATACCTACTAATATACTACTAGTTGGCGTGTCAGTAGTACTCGCTCAGCTCTTTGCTGGGTCGGAGACTGTCGTGAACGCCACCCTGACGCGACTTCTTCCACGCCCACGCGTCGTCGCGATCACCTCGGTTGCTTTTTCCTTCTAGCATGTTAGCCACGTATCGACCGATCGTGGGGAGGAATTTCCAGCAATGAAACGATCCTCCTATGGCTAGGTATAGGTTTCGTAGTCGTGTGTCTGGGTGCTGGGTGATCAAAGGGTGCTGGTCGGGGGTAATCGCATCCCAGCATAGGCGGAAGTAGTCTACGTGGCGGTCGCTAGTGAACAATTGGGGTAGACGGGGTCGAATTGAGTCGATGCATTCTTTTTGAAGCTTCTCTGGGCAATGCGTTGGGTTGTGAATGGGTAGCCCGAGGCCGGTGGCACCGAGTAGCCGTGACTGGTGTTTTTGAATGACTGCGTTGTGGTGAACTTGAGCAGTCCGGCATTGGTCGGGGGTATGACCTCTCCTAGGTGTATATTAGTATCTGTAAGGATCATGGCCTGGCAATGTATCATACCCTGTTCACCGTAGACGTACACAGGAAGCTGGTCGTATAGCTTCCGTTCGGCATCCGAGAGCTGAAAGTGGGCGACACAAACGCCAGCTGCAGTGGCTTGAGTTTCGACACGATCGCTCTCGAGAATTTCGAGTTCAATCTCCAAAGAATTCATCAACTGACTTGTCCAGGCTCCGGTGCAGAGAAGCACCTTGTTTGCCGAGTACAATTCACCCGACTCGGTCTGCACACCCTTGATGCCATCTTCACCCAACACAAGGCGTGTAGCTTCATCGACCCGATATCGCACACCCAGACTGATAACTTCATTCGTCATGATTGTCAAAGCCCGACCGGCGTCAGCCCAGCCGGCCAGCGGGTTCAAAAAGAAAGACCCAAAAGGACTCAAATCAGTGTCCTTAAGCACTCCATCCCATTTCGACCGCACCTCATCTTCAGACAACGGCTGCAAAGGATTGAAACCGATAGATCTTCGAAAGTTGGCACCAATGCGCCCGGCGAGGTCGCTATCTTTCTCGTCCATCATGATCCAGCCAGTCTGGTGATAAACACCGGAATCCTTGAAAAGGGGGTCATTTTTCCACATTTCGATGGCTTCCAATCCCAGCTCCATATATAAAGAGCTAGAGTAGTCCGCGCGGATAATCTTGTTGATGTCTGTCGACGCTGCATCTTGCGAGGGAGCCGAGCATCGGTCTAGCACGGTGATCGCCTCGGAACGGGACGAGCGCTTGGCAAGATGATACGCGGTGCTGATGCCGAAGATACCAGCGCCGACGATGAGGATCTCGGATTCCATGATTGCTGTGATTTTAAAGATTTCATACAACTTGATACTGGGTTGAAGTGCTGGCGGGGAAAGGCGCATTTCCGTTGAACAAGGCTGTTCCACTTGGCGTTATCTCGCAGTTGGTGTACGACATGAACCCTGCGGTCTTCACACGTGCCGGATAGCTACGGCTAACTAAGATATCCAAGTTCCATCCACTGTGGTCGAGTTCTTACCGATGAATCTACTCTTTTACCTTCAGCTCCGTTCTCTTGTCGTCATTTGGGACGGAGAGGAATGACTGCGCAACGATGCACGGATCCTGAATCCGCTCAGGAGATAGCGGGCTTTTAGCTGCATTTCTGATCTATGAATAAACCACACTGGTTACGAAAGTACGAGTCCTTCTCCGTCTCCACTTTCAGAGCTTCGAATTCCTTTGCTTGGGGGTAGGAGGCGCTTGGGTAACAGACGAGCCATGCATATGATGACAATAGGCTACGAAGTAGTTCAACAGAGTTACAGTTCGAAGGAAGCATCATATCTTGTTTTTCCCTATTCTCAAGCACCTTTCATCTTAATCAGCTCATTCGGGGCTCGAGAACTCGCGCGTGTTGCGGCTGAAGCTTTTCCGCGTAGGGGCCAAACAGGTTCCTTCTAGGATGGCTCGGCCCGCTCAGGAGTATACGCCTCATTGGGATTTGGAATTCAGCACCCCTGTCTAGGTGATTTTTATCTTTGGTCATGATTCGCTCGCTGGGACCCATGACATCAAGGAATGATGGAGAGGCATTTGGATTGCAGTTGCCCTCATCACAGTTCCAAAAAAAAACCACAAGCCACAGCAAGATAGCCCCCAAAAGACGTCCTGCGCTGCTGTTGCCTGACGCGAAACCCTTGTTTGCAGTGGCTGTGAAGTGCTAAGCGAGAGGACGTTGATTCTTTCCCTCCAGAGCTGATACTCGAGCTAGCTTGTATCAAGAACATAAATCTGCGAAAGATGCCGCACATACGAGTTTCACTATCCAACTTTGAGTTATCACGGCCTGCGACCATCGACCAACGCCAATCGCGACTACAGCAGCACCCCCGGCTCTCCACATCCACCCATCAAATAGTACAAATTTACCGGCACTTTATACTTTTCAAATTATTGCAATGGCCTCCCCAAGCACGTTCTCGCTAGGTCATATCATCAAAGTCTCCGTCTCGGAGAAAGAAGACATCAAATGCTTTGGAAGGGCGTCGACCAGGGGAAAGCCCAGGCCATGCGCTAGGAAACTTGGCGAAGGGAGGAAGCTGGCTGCAAGAAGAATTCTCCAACATACTATTGCTCACGAAGATCTCAGAGGTGATCTAGTGAAAGGTGTGATCAAAACGCTCGCACAGACTCTTGTTCACGGTGACCACAACCCAGGATGCCGAGCGAGACTCGAGAATGAATGGCTCGGTCTTCTAGAAGAGCAAATAGCACAAGTGGACGCACACCAGATGGGGCAGCGTCTTGGCCCAGAGAATACTACATCGCCGCCAATGAGTTCTGGATGCACGGAGACCTCTGCCATTACTGAGCCCTCGGTTACTAAAAGATCCATACCCGAGGGCCAAGTTCGCTACCCTCCGCTACGCATGCCCGCTTCCCCCCCCACGAACAAAATCCCAGTTATCCAAGAACCCATCTTGGAGGGGGAAGTTCGCTACCCTTTGTTACCTAAGTCGGGTAATGAAGCGTCAATGGCAGATGTCACCGAGAAAATAGGGGCTCTGGCGCCAATTTCCGCGCAGAATACTCAGGAGACTTTATCTGCTTACCACCTCACACCGTTCGCACGTCGCATCCCCACAATTCATGAGGATTTCTCTGTTAATCTGTCTTCGAACTGGATACTCTCTTGCATGATGGGTTTTATCATGCAGATAGGTCAGCATGTTCTCGCTATGATGTTCGTGCGATTCGGCAGTGTCTCCACGCAAGATCAGACTGGTCGAGTCACAAAACCAGTGACACAACTTCAATTCCTGTTTGGTGTCAATATTGCGATTGAAGGATTGAATCTCGCATTCTGGATTTATACTTTGCTGATCGTTGCACTATTCCGATTGCTCTTTTCTGTCTTGTGGCCGCTGTCGGGTCTTTTTGCGGGGGATGCATTCTGCTCTTAGCGGTGTCGGGAGTGTGGAATCGAAGATTGGCCCTTGAAGAATGAGACGACGATATCTTGATGTTTCTATGTCGATAACCTGTCTTAATGAATCTCCTGACCAATGAATCTCGATTCTCCAAAATATCTAGAAGTAGACCCAGACGCAGAAGTCGAGAGATGCGCATGTTTTCACGAGCCAGATGCTAATACTGCGACGATCATTGGTGATGGATTGTGGAGTCGCCAGGCCCCATTCAGAATGATGACGCATATAGTGAACTCAACAGATTCGAGGCGCTTCAAACCAGAATAGCGCCCGTCCCTGGAAAAATTGGCCCTCGGTTACAGTCGGGATCGAGTGGTAAGTTGGAATCCGTCTAATCAGCGAGAGATCTCCGAGGAAAACAGATTGGCCTAGCCCCTAGCCTGCGTTCTCCGGGTTGCGGGTTGCTGGTTATGGTCTGCAGGGATGTTGACCCCAACCAGATCGAGACTCACGGAGAAAAGAGGGGCTCTCAGGGTTCCCTACTTGATCCGGACAATGATTTCATAATTTCATCTTGTCATCGGAGGATACCATGGGAGCGTCCAGGGGCCAGCAGTTAAAGTTAGGCCAAAGCCCGACAACGCTTCCCCACACGTCGTAATCGTCGAACCGGTGAATCTGCCCCTCTCGTAGATCCTCTTTCCTGCCCTTTTCTTCCTTCTACACGTACCCTTGCAAAATGTCGTTTTCTGTCCCGCGGTCTCTCCCTCGGCTTGTGCGCTCCTATGGGACCGTTCAGGGTCCCCCCAGTGCGGCCTCTATTGCCGGTCGAGTGCCCAGTGTTCTGGTGGAGGCTACCAATGCCACCACGCCTCGTATCACCTGGACGCGTGAGGAAGTGTCCCAGATTTACAACACACCCTTGAACCAACTCACATATGCCTCGGTAAGTGAGCTCGACCGTACCATCCCGAAAATCCTGTGTGGAGCTTCAATTGCACCACCCCGAGACGAACACAGCATGGAACACTAAGCTAAGCTAATGCCTGCCAGGCCGCCGTGCACCGTCGTTTCCACGACCCCTCAGCCATCCAGATGTGCACACTGATGAACATCAAAACGGGCGGCTGCAGCGAGGACTGCTCATACTGCGCCCAATCCTCTCGATACGACACGGGACTCAAAGCCACAAAGATGAGCCCTGTAGAAGACGTGCTCGAGAAAGCCCGAATCGCCAAAGCAAACGGCAGTACCCGGTTCTGCATGGGCGCTGCCTGGCGCGACATGCGCGGCCGTAAGACCAGCCTGAAGAACGTGAAGCTCATGGTCTCCGGAATCCGCGACATGGGCATGGAAGTCTGCGTGACCCTCGGTATGATCGATCAGCACCAAGCCAAGGAACTCAAAGAGGCCGGCCTGACCGCATACAACCACAATCTCGATACCTCTCGTGAATTTTATCCCAACGTCATCACCACCCGTTCGTACGACGAGCGTCTTCGCACACTGGATCACGTTCGCGACGCAGGCATCAACGTCTGCTCCGGTGGAATCCTCGGCCTCGGCGAGAGCGATACAGACCGCGTCGGTCTTCTGCACACCGTCTCGAGCCTACCCAAGCACCCGGAATCATTCCCTGTCAATGCTCTAGTCCCCATCCCGGCACACCCCTCGGAGACCGGAAAATGGTCCCCTTCGACCGTCTTCTTCGAACCGTCGCCACTGCCCGTATCGTTATGCCCGCTACTATTGTTCGCCTCGCCGCCGGTCGCATCGCTCTGACCGAGGAACAGCAGGTCGCCTGCTTCAACGCGGGTGCTAATGCCGTGTTCACTGGAGAGAAGATGTTGACTACGGACTGCAATGGCTGGGACGAGGACCGTGCCATGTTTGACCGCTGGGGCTATTACCCCATGAAGAGCTTCGAGAGACCCGAGCCGAAGCAGGCTGCTGAGACTACGACCCCGCCTTCTGCCGGGACTGAGGCTGCTGCGCAGGTCGCGGCTAGCTCTTAGATCCTGCCCATGTTGATGTGATTGGGTTTACATAGATTTTTGGCTTGCATTAGTGCCAAGCGAGCCTTTGAATAGTGATGGACAAATTTCAAATTCTAAGGCAATTTTTATCATCTCCGATAATTGTCCTCGCGACCGTAGCCAAGGTCTGCTTTGTTTGGTATAGGGGGTCCACCTATCGAATGAACCGAGACCCTGACAGAGTAATCGAAAAAATTGCTCGTCTTAGGCAGAACTTGGACTCAAATACACCGGACACTGGTTTGGGAACTGGAATTGCGTCACTGATCAACCAGTCGACGATAATGGGAAAAACACATCCCGCCGAGATCGGAAACTGACAAATCCGTTGACCTATTGAACTCCAAGTTTTGTGTTCAAAGGTGCCGACACGAGACATTGAATCACCTCAGATTTTCGACGTTAAGATGTGGTTGAAATGATTAATTTTTCGAATGGTCGTAAGACCTTGAAACTCAGTTCTGTTGTTAAAGTGTCGGGCTATGTTCAAGTCCGTAGTGTGCAATAACCTCGTATGCGGGAATTGCGGGACTACCGAGTGTGCACTCCTTGGGGAACCTCGTACTTGCGGGTGTACAGAGGCGCCTGATGGCTGGTATCTCTTGTTTTTATTTTCAAGGCCTGAGAAGTGACGACTAAAGCCTTCTATATTTCAGTCCTTCGCTATTGCTGCAGATTTCTGTGAATCCGTTCGAATTTCTCAAGTCTATTCAAAAGAGTTTGTGCAACTCAGCGAATGTACAGGGTGGCTTCTATTAAATGAACTGTTGCCACAATGGGGGCGCTGTCGATATCCACGACTCGGGAAGCATACAGCCAATATATGATTTTCAAACGAAATCACCTGAGCAGAAAGCGCGAACACTTGACCGGAGATTTATTGCTCTTTCGAGACGACCATCATCATCTAGATAATCGAATCAGAATGCGGCACGAGGGACCGGTGAAGACCACAGACCCCGGGAACTCCGCGACACCCCAGATTCTACTGGTCAAATCGCATAGGATTTCCTTTCCAGAATAAGTCAAGACGCTGAAAGAACGGACTGTCCAACATATCATTGGCTCGGTCTACGCTATGCATCAAATAGGCGAATTTCAGAGGGTTGTAAGATGCTTCGGCTGGGAGATCGCCCGTCTTGGCATTCACGATGGCGCGAACCGAGGCCGAGTCTCCCACTGATGCACCACCCACATCATCAATTCACCTGTTCGTAGCAATGATCTACATCTAGAAAATGCATTTCCGATTCGAATCTTGATGCCTCCAACCAATATATCGCAGTTTACACACACTTGATCATGCTCATGCGATCACTCCTCGGTAAACTATGCGGGGAGCCATCCAGCTTCACATGTGGGAACTGGGGGATCGACTCCGATCTACAACAGGGCGGTCTTGATTATCTCGTCATTTCAATCTGAAGTTTTTGTTGGGGAAGTGAGATCCACAGATGGATCGTTCGCGTCTCAAAGTGTCCACCTTCACATGCTATGCTATACCGGCCAGACCAGGACTGATATAAACCAAGCGTCCGCCGCTATGTCGTTGCCCAACTCACCGAAAACATGGACACCAAACCTCAATCGAAGGACTCGATGAAATCCACCTGGCGAACGGCAGATCGCACACAATGGAATCACCACCACTGGGCCCTTGAGATCCTTAACGCCCACCCGATCGCCCTAGACAAAGACGTCCCAGTACACAGCAAAGATGAAAAGATCCCGTACATGCCACAATGGTCCCTCCAACGATGGGTTCTATTCTACTCCGCACTCCCACTCATCCTCCACCAAAGCATCATGATGTACACAGGCCACACCCTAGGCCCCATAACAACATTCAACCTGTACTTCTTCGCCTTCAACGCAACAGTCATCTACCAGGTCCACGTTCTCCGCCGCCTAGGTCACATCCACGGCTTCCTAGATGGTGACAAGCATGAACGTGACGGCGTCCCAGACGTCGGCGTCGGCAAGGTGGTAACCTCACTGTACAAAACCACCGGATCCCGCCTCATCCTCTCCGTCTACCTCGCCTACAATCGCAACATGCTCCCATCTGACTTGAACTGGCTCTGGCTGCCCCTTGAGATCGGACTATACGGCATTGTTCTCGACTTCTGGTTTTACTGGTACCACCGTCTTATGCACGATGTCAGCTTCCTTTGGAAGTTCCACCGCACGCACCATCTCACTAAACACCCCAACCCACTCCTCACCGCATATGCAGACCATGAACAAGAGTTCTTCGATATGGTCGGGGTGCCGATGATGACCTATTTGAGTTTGAAGCTTATGGGTCTACCTATGGGTTTCTACGAATGGTGGATCTGTCACCAGTATGTGGCGTTTGCGGAGGTATTCGGACACAGTGGCTTGCGGTTGCATATGACTGTGCCGTCAACGCTGAGCTGGTTGTTGCAGATGCTCGATTGCGAGATTGTGATCGAGGATCATGATTTGCATCATCGGAAGGGCTGGCGCAAGAGCCATAATTATGGCAAGCAGACTAGGCTCTGGGATCGGATTTTCGGGACTTGCACTGAGCGGATTGAATCTGTGGAGACGAATGTTGATTATAGTGATAGGGTCACGATGCCTTTATTCTAGGGGATCCTAATCAGGGCGCTATTCTGAACGATCTCCAGAATAAAGGACTTTATGAGATCGACGTATGCTTATTTTAAAGATGATGATTTTCTTTTTACTATCACTGATGCCTTGAAGAACCCTGATCTAGGCCTTATTTACTGCTTTCCCGGCCCTTGGTATAGACTTTCATCAATCTAGAGAGGCTACCCAATGCTCTATTTTTTTTTTTTCCTTTTCACTTAATTCCTAAAATCCCTACTGGAGATAGGTGAAGTTCCGTGCATATTCTCTTCCTTGACTTGCGGTAATACAGCCCATGTATGAGCAGGCATTAACACAACTTCGGCAATGTAGAAAGTTTAAGAGATCTTTATTGGCTTGCCACAGTTCGGCACTATATTGGTTCGAGCTCAAGGCAGCTATCATGTCCCAAGTTGATACCGGACTGACCAAGCAGCGTGCGTCTTATGGTACGCCTTGTTTAATGCAAGTCACTCATTGAAGGACTCGCGACAAGTCTTCGCATTGGGAGAGTAATTTATAACATGCTGATCAAGGCGACTTCGAAAGTGATTAGATATATTGCTAGGGACTCACTGGCCATAGACCAATGAAGTATGTGATAAGCCCTTCACTGAGACATTTCCGACAGATCAAACCGTATGGGACGGTGTCTCCCCATACCTTCTCCATGTTACGACCGTCGAAGTAGTCATGTCCGACTAACTGCATGTCTTGCACGCCGAATAACAGGTCACGCCATGGTGATCACCCAAATTGACATTCGTGGAAACCTCGCGTGAGAGATATTTGTGATTTCAGCCTGGAGCCAGAATGGGCAAAGGGGTAGAACCAATGAAATCCCGGCTCTTTCTAAACGTAGCTTGTAAAGACCGGAGGCTTGTCGCGGCCCTATGCATGTTTTGCACGACGTTTCTGACTGCAATTCATCAAGCCTGGGCGGCCTTGATACAAACGCTTGATCCCCATGGAACGCCCCGGTGGAGTGATGGAGACGGATGAACATCGTGCGGCAATCGAAATACAGGCTGTTTTTCTTTGCCCATCCGATTTCAGTCTCTTTTCTGTTCGTTTGATCTCGACTGGTCAAGGTAAAAGATAAGTCTATGCCAATATCAGGAGCGGCTTGGAAACCGTCACCAGGGCCAGTCTAGCTAATAAGTCTGTCTCAATACAAATTCTACCTCAAGGATGACAATGACCAGTCTAGTACTGATTGTCACATTCTCGATTGAGGAGTGTACTTTAATGTCTACAATGAGGTATGCCTACATTGTTGATCAGCCAACAGTGATTTTGACGGCACAGCCCATGGGGTAAGTGGCAGTGTGTCTATACTCAATATTCAGGAAACCCACCCTTAGCCCTGTGATAACTTGGCCTGACTATTTAATTAACATGTCCGGTGGTACCAAATCTCTAAAAATCCGATGGATCTAGATGTAGCAGAGTGTACACCTTTCTGAATGACTGAAGGTAGCAAGTTTTGGCTTCTGATATTCCTGGAGTCGAGGCTAGTAAAGAGGGGCTGATCTTTAGATTAGAGACCAGACAAGATGTTCGTGCGATTAGAATGACCTCGATCTTCGGTATTGTGTTGTGTTGTCATCACAGGACACAGCATGTATCGAAAATATAATTGCCCGATTCGAGGATAGAGGCCAAGCAGCTGACTTAATTGACAAACTGCTTCTTTTTTATTTTCCAGATATACTTCACGCTTACTTTTTGACTACAAAATTCCGGAAAAGGCCTTGTGCTTTCAATATCGCTTCCCCCACCATCCCACCTGGTAACAACAGTAGAAACTGCGCAGGAAGTAACGTGGCAGGACTGGGAAATTGACATCCAATTTGCCGACAAGCAATTTGTGGGTCCAAGCGATGTACAGTACTGTAGATGAGCAATTCATGGCACTGCCCAATAGGATTGGCAAATGAATTAAGGTGGAGAGATCGAAGCCTTCTTCAAATGTTGCTGAAACCCCACTTACCCATCTGGCGGGTCGTCTCGTTCCACCTAGGCGAGCTACCCGTGCGCTTCACGAGCCCTCTAGTATATGAAGATAAGACCTGTGTTGAAAGAGAAGGCTAGTCTCATTACGAGGATAAGATCTATTTCCAGGGAAGAAAATTATGAGATGCAGAGTGCACAGTTGTGAAATGACTATACCCACCGTTGACCTATGAAGCGCTGCCGGTTGAGGCTTTTAAGCGACAGCAACTTATAGTATGGAAAACAGGAAAGAGCAGCCCTTGGATCCTGACAAAAAGAGAAAGTGCTTGGAATAAGCCACCAGATGAGTAGTGTGGGCTGAATACGATGCTTGCCGTTTTTCCCGCTCTCTTTCCCGATGCCTTTCCCGAGCCTCTTTCCCGACGACGATTTTTTTTTTTCGATGGACTCTGTTTCCGACTTTTCCCCGAATTGTTCCCGGTTTTTATTTCTGGTGTTGGTTGAGCTCCCTAGAAAGCTATCAAGGTATGCGTATTGGCGAGTAATGTGTGTCAATTATGTGTCAATATAATCAAAAAATGGTCATCAATGTATTCCAACCCAAGTCTATGAAAAGGCTATCTAAAACGAAAAATCAAAAGCTAATGTCGCATATAAACAGAGAGAAATGATATAGTACAGATATCATGCACATGAATCATAGAAATCAAACATAGCGCATTCAGGCATTGTTGGCGCAAGAGAAGCTGTTGTTGGAGGCATCGTCGTGAATCGCTTTACCAGAGACGTAGAGACCGAGACCACACATACAAGCACCAATCAACACGATGCACATGTTGACTGCGGTGAGGAAGATCTTGCGAGGAGAGGAGAACCACTTGCCCCAGTTCATGTGCAGCCAGTAGACACCGGGGAGACCGTAACTGAACCAGGAAGCGAACAGGGAGCTGATCAGACTCAGCAGGTCGCTGAAAACGGGAATAGCGTCGGCGATGATCCAGGCAATGATCCAGCAAGTGAGGCCGATGAGAACCCAGGAGCCGTATGAAGTCAGATCGCGGCGGTGCATGCGGTCAGTGCCACGGAACAGACGGACGTAAATATACTTGAGACCAATGTGGCCGTTGACAACACCAGCACCAATAATCTTTATCTTCGTTAGTGACAATCGATAGATAGAATGGAGGGGGTTTCACTTACAGTAGGAATGGCAATGCCATAGGCAACCTTGCTCATCACGGGGCCAGCAGATCCCAAAGCCGGGGAAGCAACAGACTGGCCAACATAGTAGTAAATGACCACGGCAGCAACAACATAGAAGATGATCTCGAAGGTCTGCAACATGTACAGAGCCTTGGGGAAATCCCTTGGCTCGCGCATCTCGGCGAGCAGACCGAAGAAGGCAACGTGGGCACAGTAGGCGAAGACAATGTTGGTCACGGCAGTAAAGGCGTGAAACAGATCAGTGTCCACGGTAGCCTTGAGATTACTATATGCGTGGTCCTGAACACCAACTGAGATCATCGTGATAATGACAGCAGTCAGAATACTGACGAATGCTATACGATACTTGAATTAGCATGGAAAGCCGCGACTAGAAAATTTGAAAGGAATAATCTTACAGCAGCATGAAATGTAGGTCATATTCTTCATGGTGCGGGGAAGAGAGCACACCATGCAGATGACGAAGCCAACAGCCGTGAAGACCATGGTACAAGTACCGTGATCGGTGACCGTGTTCATCATGACGCTGAAAGTCAAGATGTGGCTACCCATGATGAAGATAGAGAACAGAAGCTGTCCAATACCGAAAAGCTCACGACCAAATGCACCCATCAAAACCTCACCGGCATCAGCCAGGTTCTGGATGTGAGGGTAGCGCTGGTGGAACTTTCCAATCAGAAGACCAGTATATGTGGCGAGAAGACCGAGGCCGATAATCAGGATGAGAGCCGGCGCAAGACCCAGGGATGCCAGGGTAGCGGGCAGCGAAAGGACACCCAGCGAAACAGACTCGGCGATCATGACTGCTGAAATGTTAGAGGTTGTGCATCTCCGTGACGCGCGCCGTCAATCCTTCTCAAGAAACTTACACATTCCAGCTTGCCTGTAGAGATCGCATCGCAGTCAGTCATCATAATCTATACTGATCTTGAATGATTGCGCCCTTGACTTACCACCACTCCATGGTCTTGTACTTGACCTCAGCATTGGTCTCATCACCAAAGGCATCCTGGTAGCGTGGCGACACTCCATCCTCCTCCACCGACTTCTCCTTCCATCCCGCCTCGGAGTCCACGTCGGCGACGGGCTCGGGCTTTGGGGTGACTCCCTCGAGGATCATATTGTGAATTCGTTAGGTCGGGGAGGGTTTACGAGAAGGCACGAGAGGAAGAAGTAAAAAACCCGAGACAGCGATTGATATGTATGTGTGCAAAAAAAATCCTTAGCTAACCGTAGGTGGAGCTCCATCATGCTGGAGCCAACCGAACCACCCCCCGCGACTGAGCTTGGCGGGAACTGGAGGCGCAGATTCCGGGGCCCGGGACTTCTGGAAGGCGGGTGCTATCGCCTTATCATACCCGAGGGTATTTCGATTGCACGATTCTATTATGGCAGACTAAAATGTGGTGACCTGGGGCCCGTTTCTGCATACAGATGCTCAGTCACGATCAGCGAAATTTAAGCGTCTTCGGTCCACTCCCGGGCGCCAGAGTGGGTCAAATTGGAGCCTCTAGTCCATTTTAATTTGGAGGGCCGCGAATGACAGGATCGGGCCAGAGATCCATTAGATAATAAGAATCCCGAGACCCGCGTGGTAGAACCGATGGTAACCGGCCCCGAATCCGAATTCACCAGTTCTAGTGCCAAGAGACTATTTCTGTGCATGTCTCTGAATGCACAGGTGTAGTCGCGTCGAAGTAGACGCGATCACGACGGTGATTTGTACCAATTGTACCCGGACGATGTGTGGCCAACACACAATACTCTTTTTGCAGAGTAGCGGCAACCCGGTTCTGGAGCCAAGGCCGGGTAGATCTTCTGAGGTAATGGAAACACGACTCCAAGGCCAGCAGCGGCTCAAAGCGCGCCATTGCCACCTGAAAATTTTAGTCAGGGCAACGTCGTTTAAACTTCGGCCCTGGCCCGACTCTGCAGGGCTCATGCCTTGGTTATGCTTCGTATGACACATGCCGGTTTTCAGGTGCCAATGAACGTTCCTCGACCATGGTGAACCAGCACCCAGTTGACAGCTTTACCCCCATTATGATGAGTTCTAGAAGACGGCATTGAAGTCATTGCACCGTCAGAGGGCCCCGTCTCTCCACACCTAAACCCCGTGGTCTCCGTGACAGGGGTGAATTCCGGGGTTTAATCATGTTGGCCTTTTTGAACACCGTATGTGACCGGCTAAGGTGGTCGGAAATTGGGGAATAGGAAATGCGCATCATTATTTATTCAGTTCCGGGGATACCTAATTGCATGCCTCGGGACGCGGAAGTCAACAAAAGATTGCAATGGGCGGCAAACGTATGTGGGAGAGACCTCCCACATCCCCAGCCCCCATTTGCAATCAACTTTTAGTATCATTCTCGTGTAATCTGGGGGACTAGCTGAACTCAAATGCCCGAATGATGCTCGAAAGCATCCCGCGCCTTACATTTGCTGTGGAGCTTCTTATGCTCAATCAGAGATTTTATCTCGTCATACCGCACCACTAACTGGAAAGCGAACCCGTCCTCCGTATGCCACCCGATGTGACAATGAATCAGCCACGCATCCGGGTCATTCCTTTTAGGAGGAAGAACCAAGCGCTTGTTTTCTGGCAAAAGGGCATTATCACTATTCGGCGGCTTCGCTCGGCTGGTAACCTCACCATTATAAGTATCACGTCCCTATGCCCTCACCACGATATCATGCCCGCGTAAATGAATTGGGCGCTGAACGGCGAGTTCAGTTTCAATGACCACATAGCTCCACCTATGTTTGTGGGGAAAGTTCAACCAAACCGCTAGTGTTTGTCAAGGGGTGGTGGTTCCGATCAACTTCAAGTAGGAATAGATCAGTCCAGGCAACGTGCATGGACGTGGAGTTGAGTTTCCTAATGGGCTGTCCCCGGGTTTTCCCCCACAGAAACTTGCTGTGTCAAAGAAAGGGATGGAAACGGATTCGGAAATGACAGGAGTCAAGTCCCGACATATTTTCGTTCACACCAGCGTCTGTGTAACCATAGCCGGTGGTATTCGGGGCAAAAAAGGGGTTGCAGTGGTAGATGATAACTTTGATGCTGGTGAGGGACCTGTTCTCTGAACATGTTGTCTGGGGAATCGCGCGGAGCCAGAAGTCCTTTGCGACCAAAGCTTGATCGGCCTCCCCAATGACATTTTCCTGCGCATATGCTAGCCTACGCTGCGCACTTTGTTCCATGCTTGGAATAAATCTATCGCAATGCTGAGCACATAAATTTTGTAAAGCTCGATAGGAATAAAACCTTGAAATGAAAAGGAAAGGAATCGAACGCACTGCCGGTAGCGTGGAGCAAGATGTCTGGAATTACGGATGTGCCTTTACTTCACAGTTATCTCAATTCGGATGATATGCTTCTCTCATCAGTGATTTACAGATAATACCTCCAGTTCTGTCAGTCAACCCTCGTCGGTTTGGCTTGTGATGGCGAATGGCTTATGGATTACGTTAGTATCAACCCAAGTCGATAAGACCGAGAACTAATTTCAAATATGCATGCTGAGAAGTGACTACAGAAACCGGCACTGGTGACGAGACGCAAAATCATCAAGATGCCAGCCCTATTCGGGTAAAGGGCCTACACAAAACGTCAGCTCCATGCAGGCACCCGGTCAAGATGTCCAAAAATAGATCAGCATTCTTTCCTTCGCACAGGCTTAAATCATTTCTTTCTAGGGTTCCACTGATTTGTGCTTTGATAAGGTGACAGGAAAGCAGGATAGAAGGCTTGTAGGTGAAGCGATTTGTAGTCATACGACGTACGTCGTACTAGGGTACAAGGTTGCAGATCTCAAAGTAGATTTTGCGCAAGTGGTTCGAAGCAGAATAGGAGGATTTTGAGAATGCTTGAAAATCGGCTGAGTATTTGGCGGCTCGGAGATTTTGCAGAACTTCGCTGTCCCATTGATGCCATCTCAATTAAATTTACCATTACCCAAGCGGTACAAACGCTGTGGAGAAACTGGCTTTTGATGATACTCAGCTCGAGAAAATTGGCCGTGAGCCCGGTGCGGCTGGAACCGCCCCCACGTCAGCAGAGTAAGCACAGCTATCGGCCTCTTTCCCCCCCTTATATCTTCACCCTTAAATACGAAGAATGACGCGATGCGATTCTATCTTCACCTCAATGTCATTTCCGGGCGCTACTCCTTCAATCCACCAAGATGTCGCGCAAAATCGACAGGCTAGGTGAGCCCGCCAGCAAGCGGCCAATGAAGTTGATCGTTGCTAGTCCGAGCCGGTACATATCAACATTTTCCCGGAGATATCATTAGTATACTGAGGTCTTCTTACTAGATCGGGAACTCTAGGCCTCTACAGAGCCTTGCAATTTCTAGGCTTCAAAGCTTACCATTCTGTCGAATGTCTATTCGCCCATGGTGTAACTCACATGGAGATCATGAACGAAGCAGTCACAGCACAGCACAATCGATTCTCTGGGATACAACGATACTCGGATGCCGATTTCAAGAAATGGTTCGCTGAATATGATGTAAAATGCTCTCTATCATTCCCCTTGGTTTTTTTATTAATGTGTTGTAGTGCTTGGTTGAAGTTCCATCTTTCTTTGGGATGTCCGCGATCAAGGCCTATGCCGATGATCCCAATGTCAAGTTCATTCTCACGGAGAGAGATCCTGATAAATGGGTTGCTTCCTTCAATAAGACGGCGGGTGCGACGAAGAAGATGGCAGATAGCTTCCCCCTTGTGATTCTTCGATATTTCGATGGGCCGTTGAACTTATTCTTAAATTTGAACCAAACTATATGCTGGGCACTTTCGGACAAAACGAAGCCTGGTGAGCCCGAGAACGCAATTGCCATGCGGCGGAATTACATTGAGTAGTGAGTGACATGGGTTTGTTAAATGGGCTTCTATTCACTAACATCCATAGTATCGAGATGGCCAAAAAAACAATCCCTGCCGAACGTCTCTGTTATATCAGGCTCGAGAATGGACTTGGCTGGGAGCAGATCTGCCCGTTCCTCGAAATGCCCATACCCGATCAAGAGTACCCCGACCGTAACGAGCCTGCAAGATTTGAGGCCATTGTTGCGGGACTCATCAAACCGATGGTCACTAGGGCGATCATCAGACTTGCCACGATCGCAGTCCCGGCCATCGGCGCTCTGGGATGGGCAGCCTGGAAGCATGGGCCGGCCCTCTCCACTGCGATCGCCAAGAAGCTTTGAATTTCCGAACCATGAACCATCCACTGATGTTTGATCAAGATAATCCTGACATTCAGATCATAAATCTCCTTTCACATGTCAAGTAGCGAATTCATTACGACTAGCCCCTTTCGAAGGCAAGAAATCATAACTCAATGATCCACACCTCGCTTAACTTCATTCACATCTTTAGAGCCTCCATAAAGGAAGCCAAGAGCCACCAGGACGCCAAGAGCCACCAGGACCCCCTCCAGACGACGCTGTAAGACACTACTAACCCAAGAGGGTCCTAGATCGGGGTACAGACTTGACGCGGTCCCTGCCAAGCCGGCCAGGCCGGCAATTTGCTTGGCTAGCGAGAGGAACGGAGGAGATAGTCCGCTGAAAGCCAAGCAGTTTTAGCCTCATTGAACCATTACCAAGGCCTCTAACAGTTTTGGTAATTTAACAGTCCAACTTTATGCGGGGGCTGAAAAGCTACTGGACCCTACACTGGAATGGACGTGGCCCCTTTTATGCACTCATTTCGCTGCTTTCTCAAATCCTCTTTTAAAGGATTTCCCGAACGATTGTAACAATTGTTTATCATTTTTAAAAAAAGAAGTCGCAGGCATGACCACCGCAGCCGTCTATGGCGGACTCTGGACCTTCGAGAACTACGGCCCCGTCACGACAACATTCACCCCAGCCCCTAGCTGTACGGCGACAGACAGACTCTCACTCGCCGCGATTTACGGCGATATAACTCAGGTGCAATATCGGGTTGCTTGTCCAACATCGACGAGTGACTGGGATTGTCTGCCGCCCGGCACCACCACATCCGCAACATGGTTCGATGAGAAGAAGTGGATCGCTTCTGATGGATACTACTCGCCAGGACTGCACTGCCCTCTCGACTGGAAAACAATTGGTATTGCTGAACGTGACGATGAGACTCTCAGTACCTCCGGATACCTGGTGACTCCTGAGACTGAAGAACCTTCTTGGCAACAGCCGGCGACCTTGCTGGCGAGTGCTTTGGAACCGAGTCAGACAATGGTGCTTTGTTGTCCGAGGTATGTCAACAGCCGTGTTTAGTTAGAAAACTCAAGACTCATTCTTTATTTCCTAGTTCTATGACTCCAGACGGCCTTGGTCAATGCACGGCCCTTGTCCCAAGCTACAAGCCAACCGTTGGCTGCGATGTCTACGTGGATAATGACTATGTTTGGGAGACGCTTACCTGGACACATGTCTATTCCGGTACCACGATGACAAACACATACCCTGTCAATTCATTCGTGAGCGCGTCAACATCGACTTCCTCGACAACCTTTCCTGTTGCGGCCGAGCGCTTCTTGACTGCTGTGTCTTTCGCTCCTATCATTACGATGATTCATCATCAGTCTGATATGGACGCAGCTGGAATTACAAAACATCAAGTGCAAGCCAATTCAACGGCCACCGGTACTACGGGGTCTACTGGTCCTCTCAGGGTCAATGCTACAAATACGGCCGCTTCCACATCCAATGCGGCGTATAGAGTTGGGCCTAAAGGCTTCTACTTGGGATGGCTTTGGTGCAGTCCTCGGAGGTTCTGCTGTTGCAATGGCACTAGGTGTGGTCATGATCATTCTGTGATAGAAGTTCTTCATTTTTCGCAACGCACAATTTAATTTGCTTCTAAACTCCGCTACAAGAGGGACGAACGGAGGAGCTTCTCCATCTCCTTCAACGAGTCTTGCTTGGAAGTCACGCTGGACATCAAGTAGAGCACGTTGCCCAGGACCCGAGAGTGGACATTGAATTGGTCGCCACCGACGGCCAGCTTCTGCTGAAGACCTTTCGCCGCGGTAGACGTGTATCCTATGAGATGTTAGCTCAGGCTCTGGAGTTCAGTTCGTCCAGCGAGAGACATACCTCCACCGTGGGCATCCCGTAGCGAAATGCTCAATACAGTACCAATGGCAAATACGCTCTCCACGGTATCAGCACATGAGAGGTCGCTCAATAGACCTTGCGACCAGACACTCCATACATCTGAGCTTGTTGCCGTCGCTGAGGCAGATTTAGCATCCCAATCTGTTCCCCAGTCTGCTTTAAATTCATCCCATGCTCCATTTAGATCCATGTTGGCCATGGTCTTGAGGGAGTCATTGGCGACAGTACACCCAACCGCGTGAGCGGTGTAGCTGTGGCCATGGAGGAGAGCATCGCTCTTTTCAGGGCTCGAGAATGTGTCAAAAATTTCCTGGCTAGCCACCGTTGTGCAGAGAGGAATCAATCCACCGGTGAGAAGCTTGGCATTGACAGCAATGTCAGGGTGAACACCTAGGAAAGATGCCGATGATGCGCGTCCCAGGCGCCAAAGGCCGGTGAATACCTCGTCAAAGACGACGGGCAGGCCAGACCAGGATGGTGATGATTTCGGGGTATTATTTTGGGCTGAGAACAAATCTGGGTTCTCGCGAACAACATCTGTCAAGCAGCGCTGGAAGAGCGGGTCACTTTGATCGTGACAGTTAGTGGTTGTTCATCATAAGTCTTATAGAAACTTACCAAAAGAGCATTCCTCCGGCGCCCAAGAGAACAGGCTCCAAGATCAGAGCACCAAATTTCATCCCTTTTTCATGTACCAATGTCTCAATGGTCCGACGAATGTAGTCCCTATAGCGCTGCCCAGAATCCGACTGCAGACGCAGCTCGAGATTGAACACCGAATTCAATGAGTCAAACTCGGCATCACCACCCAGCTCCGCTTTCAGCTCCTTGGGAACCTCAATAGTCCAAATCCCATCAATCATCTTGACCAGAGGGAAATCAAACCAGTGACCCCTACCACGGTACCACTCAACCTTTTTATTATAGGTAGAGGGCTCGGAACAATCCATCACACCAATGGTATCGCCATGGTAGCTACCCTTCAAACCAAGGATGTTAATCTTTTCCTGGCTAGCGTCCCACCCATACCGGTCGCACGCGGCCCGAAGGCCCATTTTGACGGCGACTTCCATTCCGGTACTTCCATTGTCTGTATAGAAGACTTTGGCAAAGCGGGGATTGTCGAGAATCTTCAATAATTGATCAGCCAGAGACAATGCAGGCTCGTGCACCGCGCCAGCGAACATGACATGGCCGTATCGGCCGGCGGCATAAGCGGCGGAAAGAGACAAATCTGGATTACCGTGGCCTAGGCCTTGAGTCCACCATGATGCAGACCCATCAAAGGTAGGACGCAGCTCACTTTCTGGTTGAGTCGAGGCGCTCGAGTTGAAAGTCTGGAAATAATCATCGTGGGCTGAGTCGATGACTGTGATGTCCTTGGCGGACATGCCTTGGTGCTGGGTGAATGGATACCAGATCAGATCTTGTGCCCTTTTGGGCATTTCCTCTAGGCGCTCAATTCGTTGCGTGTTTTTGTTGGCCATTTCCTCGAGGAGGCGGAGAATCTCGGACTCCCGGGAAACCTTTTGGTAGTAGGCAGACATGGCCTCTTCATCTCGCAATCGCGAGTCAGCATCTAGTTGCAGAGGTCTGGCCGGAGGTGCCGGTAAAGGTATCAGGGGTATGCTCTTTTTGTTGAAAAAGTCACGCAAGTACTCATGGTTCTGATAATACTCATCGCGGAACAACAACACGGACTGGATGTCATAGCCGCGGAGAAGCAGGGACTCATAGGCGGAGATAGAGGACGAAATTCCACCTAGTCGAGAGTCCGCAACGAGGACAATAGGAAGACGTAGTGGCCTGTAAAGGTCTGCCTGAGAGTTGCCATTGGGACCTGGCGAGTGCACGCCGCCCGCTGTTTCCACTAGAGCGAAGTCGACGTCCGACCGGGCCCAGTCAGATAGAGTCCTGTGAATCGATGAGAGCAGTTCGTCATCCGAGACCTGTTCAAGTTTAAAAATTTACAAAAACCCCACAGAAATATAGAGGAGACAAGTATCTACTCACACTTTTCAGCTTCGCGGCAATGTGCGGGCTCACCGGCTCCTCGAACTGGTAGAGGCACTTGGTGAGCGTCCCAGCCCCGTAGCGCTTCATGTGCCTGCGACCGTCAGTTCGAATGGCTCGAAGAATTGCAAGTCTCGCTCCTACCGATCGTCCGCATCATCCAGCGCTCCTGTAGAAACCGGCTTGAGGAAGGCCGCCTTCTGCTTCTGTTGTTGGATCGCATTACAAAGCACAGTTGACACAATGGTCTTGCCGACATCGGTGTTGGCGCCGTACACCTGATGGGCGCGCAGAGTGCGCCAGAGCCCAGCACCGACCGGGGCCATCTTGGACGTGGATAACGAGAGGAACGACTGTGCCTGCAGCTCTTCGACAGTACTCAAGTCACCGTCGGTCACGATTACGGGAAGTTTGACGTCAATTGACGAATCGTGGATCCATCGCCGGACCCACCCAGGGGTGACTCCCCAAAATCACCGAGGTTGAATTTCCCGGTGAGATCCCCAACGAGATTGGCTTGGAATTAAGTTCTATCGTACCGCGTCAGTCAAAGGTGGGATCTCGTCTAGAATGTCTCCGACTCTTCGCGACATCCCTGTCTGCCCGCGCCGTCCCCGCGGACGTGTTCTCCGTTGTAGCCCGTCCCTGAGACTAGAGAATTAAAGTGCGGATCATCATCGGCCGTGCCCAGGAACCACCCCGTGACTAACCGTCGACTCCCCCCTTCAACTGAGATTCGTCAACAATCCGACCTCACGTCGATCATGACTCTCGTCGACTCTCTGAAGACTGCATTGGTCCGTCGAGAGGCCAAGGAAGCCCGCCGCAGCCTAACACTCGTGCCGCAAGACGGGAGGGACTTCTCGTCCAATGATTTCTTATCCCTCTCAACATCTCCGGCGTACCGAAGTCGCTATCTGGGCCACTTGAACAATGCCTCAGAAAATACCCATTTTGCCAGCGGGGGATCCCGATTACTGGACGGCAACTCTGCCTATGCCGAGGAACTGGAGCGCTTCATTGCTGCATTCCATGAAGCGCCAATGGCTCTTCTGTTTAATTCCGGATACGACGCAAATGTGGGCGTCCTTTCCAGTGTGCCTCAACCAGGCGATGTCATCTTGTACGATGAGCTTATTCATGCAAGTGTTCACGAGGGTATGAGGCTCTCCCGGGCTGGGAAAAGAAAGATGTTTACTCATAGCTCTCCCACGGCTTTGAGGGAGGTTCTCAAGACCGAAATTGCTACTGACCTTGAGGTACAAAATGGATCGCGGAATGTCTTTATCTTAGTCGAATCCATATACAGTATGGATGGGGATATGGCGCCTCTCAAGGAGTTCATTGCGGTTGTTGACGACCTCCTTCCCCGCGGGAACGGCTATTTTATTGTCGACGAGGCGCATGCGACGGGTGTCTTCGGGCCTCGGGGAGCCGGTGTGGTACAGCAACTCGGTGTTCAAGACCGAATCTTCATCCGTGTACATACTTTCGGGAAAGCGCTAGCGAGTCATGGAGGTATTTTCCACCTGTCCATCAATCTTTCTGGGCACTGCTAATCTCTATAGCCGTGGTTCTTTGTGGGTCTGAAACGAGAGACTACCTCATCAATTACGCCAGGAGTCTAATTTATACAACCGCTCTCGGCTTCCCATTCCTGGCCTCCATCCGCACCGCTTACGAGCTTCTATCATCGGGGGAGACCGAGCAGGTACGTGATTGTCCATGTACTGAACAAAGCGCGTACTGATTAAAAGCAGTTACAAGAACGCCTCCAGCGGTTAATCCGTTATCTACATCAACGCCTGGGCAGTCTCCAGATAGACTCATCAGTCACGCTATTTGAGGTCGACCACTTCCCAACATCCCCCATTTTCTCGATTAGGACATCGCAGCCACGTCTTCTAGCAAGTCATTGTCGGATGCATGGATATATCGCACGAGCCATCATGGCTCCTACTGTTCCGGAGGGAAAGGAACGTGTGCGTGTATGTCTGCATGCGGGCAATACCGAAGAGGAAATTGATGGTTTGGTAGATCTCGTTCAGAGGTGGCTAGATTCCCAATTGCGCATGGGTGCTAAATTATGATATTTTATGATATTTTTCGATATCTTCAAGTCCGCTCAGGCAAACATTCACTTCTTCAACCGATTTCAAGCACAACGCTGGGCTGTAGTCGTCCAGAGGCTCAGTCAAATCCTCCATGGAAGGCTCGTCGCCAGGATGTGATGACAAGAAGAGTTTGTAAATGCTCATTTATTGTGACAGATCTCCCTCCTCCGTCTGGCCTAAAACCATGATCTCGGTACGAAGAATGCCGTGAATCCAATTTCATTCATAATACTTGCGCAAGAGTTGTCTGCTCACTGGCTATATATGTATATGTGTGTGCGAGTGTGTGTGAGATATCATTTATATCACCGAGTTCATTGGATTGAGCCGTGTGGACCAGCGCTGGCTAGAGCTACATGCTTGATCAGCAATCCCCGGGAAGTTGGTTTCCGTCGACAGCTTCGCGAAGTCGGAGAAGACGCCCACCGTGTCTCAGGTTATCTGCAATGATTGTTGGTGCCTTTCCCCGATGATCTTGATGCTCTCTTTGCGCATCATTGCGCCAACATGGATCTGAGGGAGAAATATGTATCCCGAACTCGTCGCAATAGATCATCTTCGTTGAATCTCAGCCCGTCAAAACGGTGGATCGGCGGGCAATTTTGACTGCCACACAAGCCTCCGCAAGGGACGAAAGATTGTTTAATGAATCCCTGGTGCCCGCTTCCTTGTTCTTTATCGCAGCTCTGACTTGACTTTTTTTTCTGGATAAACAGATGTGCTCCACTCACCCCACTCGTCTTGGATCATCTAATGAGATATTTCTACACTTTCGCCACAATGCTGCCCAATTAATCCCTCAAAACTGGTGCATATAATACCTACGTCTTCCACCTCCCATCATATTCCAACCTCAGGTTGGCGTACTTTTCACGATCTATTCAGGATGCCAGTTGGGCAGCCAGATTCCAGTTCGGTCCACGGGGTCCCTCTACAAAACACTCCACAGATTCCCACACATTCAAATCCACTCGTTTTAAGTAGCGAGCATGCCCATGAGTCTGGAGATGCAACTTCTGACTCAGGTCGCTCATCTGTCTCATACACAAGAGAATATGCTACCCCGGCGACCGGGGCACAAACCCCAGACCCTCTTAGAGATTCGGAAGCTTGAGCGTGTTCGATAAAGACGCTCTGCATACCAAGAAGGCTATCACAAGCATCGTTCAGACTACAGAAGATGGATATGAGCTTGCGCCCCATCGGCAGCCGACTAACAAATCGTAAATACTCGATATCGTCTTCGGTATGCCGGGAAGCCGACGAGGCGGCATTGCCGCCCCAAAAGAGGCAGTGTCCCGCCTGAACTATCGAGTTTCACAGCTGAAATTATCTTGGTGATGGTTTGTTCAGCGGGCTTAATGCTCTTTTCCTTCCTGCTCGGAGATATGCTTGCTCCGCAAGAGCAATTGAAAGCCGCGCTGGGCATCACGAACACGCAGCTTCCCTGGGCCGTGGGTGCGTTTAACTGTGCAAACGGCCTTTCGGTGGTCATTTCAGGGTCTCTTTCTGATCTGGCTCCCCCGAAAAGCCTCATGGCGGGTGCATTTGCATGGCTGGGTGTCTGGAACATTATCGGCGTGTTCTCACTGACCCCGTCACGGTACATCCTTTTCTTTTGCGCTTGCGCGCGGCGGGCGGATGTGTCTGCTTGCTATTTGGCCTGACACAGGGGCCCGTCGCTTCATGGTCTCCCTACACTTATGTGCTCATTATTGTCGGATTGCTCCTTCTTGTTGGCCTCTTCTTTGCTGAGCAGGTAGCCACTCGCCCTCTCATTCCAAATCGACTCTGGCGGACACCTGGATTCACCCCTCTCATGATTGCCTACTTCCTGGGCTTCGGCTCGTTCTTCGGGGCCTGGCAGTTCTATGCGATCCAGTTCTGGTTACGAATTCAGCTTGCCAGCCCAATTGACATCGCGCTATACCATATCCCCAACGCTGTGGTGGGTGTCTTCGCAACGTGGATCGTGAGCAGAACCCTTCACATCGTCCCTGGCCACTATATCTATACTGTGTCCATGCTGGCCTTCACTCTCGGTCCTGCATTCTTCCTTCCGCAGACTGCGGACACGATGTACTGGAAGCTTTCCTTCCCCGGAGTTGCGCTAGTGACATTCGGGCCCGACTTGGCTTTTGCTGCTGCTTCGATTTTCATCACAAGTAATGTGGCCAGGTCATACCAAGGAAGTGCCAGTAGTTTACTGGTCACTAATCAAAACCTGTCATCCGCAATTATGACCAGTATCGCTGATGCTATTGTACTCGTGTTGATACTGGCCCTGCTGGCGAGATTTGAAGGGACTGCACGCCATTTGGTGGTTTGCACTGGGGGCTCAATTGACTGCCGCATAGGTGACGGTGATTTGGGTTAGTATCCCTAAAGAGGAGGAGAAGGAGCATGTCACTTGAAATCGGTGGGGATTATGGATAATGTTAGCGAATGGTATGAATTAGACTCACTTTACGCTCAATGTCTCAATTTATTTCAATCCTTGATAGTAACTTGCTATCATGATCTTTGTATCACACCAGCCAACCAATACAGCACTGAGATCTATTGTCTGGGACCACGATTGTAATCAAATGAAGCTCTCCATTATCCACTGATGTGGGTATCTCATGAACAGGGGTATTAATTACAAGTTTTTGAAGCCAAGAAAACTGATATACATGCTGTTAGATAAGGCTCCGACCGCTTTACAATCCCATTATCCTCCGCATACCCTTATTTTCAACAATCCAGCTACCCCCAAGCTTGAATACACCCACACCTTCATATTTCCCTTCCATCCGACCCATCGCCATCTCGGTCAAGAATCCACCCAGCTGCTCTGTCGGAGATTGCGCTTGCGAGTAAAATGCCCGAACAGGCGGACCTACGATAGACAGAAGTACCCTCAGGGAGATCCCTGGCGTCGGGATATAGGGCTTGATAGAGTCATGAGCTGCGAAATCAACGAATCCAGGTCTCATGCTGTCGACTCGGATACGGGGATTTTGTTGGGATAGATCTCCCAAGAGCTTCTCAGTTTCGCCTTTGACTCTAGCGTAGATTGGTGAGAATCGCCCCGGATTTTGTGTCGCTCCTTCGCCAGATACATATACGAAGCGAAAGGGGTGCTGTGGAGTTTCGAGCGTCGAGAACGCGTTGGCTGCAGCAAGCGCGTAGTCCTTGGTGATTTTGACATACTCGCTATTTCACTATCAGCCTTCTGTTCTCATATAACACGCTCTGCGAAATAACGAGAGACAGGTGAACGTACTCTGCGTTGACCAGGCTTTGACTGATTCCCAAGGCCCAAACGCATCCTTCGGCGCCCTTCAATTGGTCCAGGACCTCTGGTCCATACGATTTAAAATCACGATGTGTGATGACGCGGACACGCGGGTCTTTCGCGTCGTCAGCCATGGGCACGGCTCTTCGGCTCAGAATCGAGATCTTAGAGATGCTCGTGTTTTTGAGCATGGCGTCTAGGACGGAGGAGCCGACTAGGCCAGTAGCGCCTGTCAGAACGAGATGCATTTCGAGATTTTCTTGACTTTTGTCCCGAAGTGATCGATGTAACTTAGGAGAATGATGGATTGATAGAAGTGGTCATCTTCGACCTGGACGTATATATATTTAAAGTGGCTGAGATCAGCCATCAGCCTTCGTATCGGAGTTACACGGTATTAAGGCTTGATGACCGGAGTTTGTCTTCATGTTCGTAACACGGCCTCTAGAGCTACCTTGACGATAAGTCAGCTTTACTGGATGTGTTAGATTTCCAGATTTCATGGACTACATATAAATGACTGCAGAGAGATAAGTATCTTGACGATGGCTACTTGAACATTGACCAGTCTCAGTCTATATCACGTGGCGTCATCTCGGAATCCGGACTCCGGTGGTCGGAGCGTCGGGTGTCTTCTTTCAGGGGATCTAGCGACGTAGTAGTCAATCTGATCCATTCATGGCCATTTACATCTAAGAAGTCCGATTTGTGTTCGATTCACGAAACTGATTTGTGACACTCCATTCGTTCAATGTGATGTCCAGGCGTAGCAAGGCCCAGGTTAATAATTATAATGCTTACATTGTTAAATATGCTCTTGTACTCGCTGTGACTAACTTGCAATAATTGAGCCTATGTCCATTAATAACCTTTCGTGTTGTTTCCAATCGCTACACGATGTATCACGTGCTTACTGTCGATCACTTCTGATGCTCACTGTGAAAAAGAAGGACCCGGCTACGCGACAAGCTCGAGATTAAGTGCGGGTTTGATTTATACTATCGGACCCCTCCAGCCGTCTGTGCACCAAAAATGCGCAGGCTGTGCTGTCGGGACTTCGTTTCGGAAGGACTCTGATGGAAAATGAATTTTCATTAGAAGACTTTGCCATTGCCTGTCGGGCTCCCTCATCTCTGCATGCCGTAGTAAAAGAATGCAAGCAAGTCGGCAACATGCCTCAGAAAGCCCACCCGGCAGATGCATAGTACGCGCACACGATGGAAGTCAGGTTCTGGAGAACCTTGTCATCTGTGTCTTTGAAGGTCATGCGCATAAGCAGTTTGTGCATTGAGGATTTGGATATTGTTCAGAGCCTTGCGAATTCTTGACACGACTCTGAAGCTTGTCTGCCGTATCTCCATGATTTAGATGAACCTGTGATGAGCCGTCCATAGATCCAATGGGGTGAAGTACCATAAGATGCTCTTTGTATAGGAACATGAGTTCTGTTTTATTATGATACATGATAGGGCGGTTTTGGAACAATGGCTTATGGATAGAATGGAAAGTGACTGTCCAGCTCATCATCGATGCTGAATCATGCAAACCTCTCGGAAATCTTGTGCAGGTCCGATGATTGCTAATAATTGATTGTACTGAGAAAGTTTTCATGAGCTAAGGGAGATTTACATTGAGATTCTGGAGCCCCTTCCGAGCTTTCCAATTCCTTTTACCAGAAAAGACTAAATCACATTCTCTCCCCCGAGACCATGTATCTTATTTATAAGATGGCTAGCCCATGCTTCATCCTTCTCTTATTATACGGCCAAATTGAATGCCACTTGAGAAGAATGTATCTCGAAATTCATAATGAGTGTTTCAGATAGGAGCTAGCTAATGCCACAGCTCCACTTCATAGGTAAAGTCTATAGTCCATAGTCATAAATTTTTTTTATCTCCCCTGTGGGCATGACCCTGTTACTTACACCAAGCGAGTTTGACTTGTCGTCTCATTGATTGACGTCATTTCCGCACTGGGCTTGGAAAGCACCCTCACTGTATGATATATGAGGAAAGCGACTAGTTCAGCCATCCAGACACAGAACTTGTAGCCTCTCACACATGTGTTTGCCTGACAACTAGGCCATATACTACGTGAAGAAAGTCTTCATGTTTTATGTTTGATTTGCAAGCCCAGGCCTTGAGCATGTTGGAATGATCAGCTGCACAGATAGGAAATGGAGGAAAGGAGGGAGGACGCTCCGCAAGGAACTTGGATAGACGCTGCAAACAATGAGACTTGTCACTGCGTGGCAATTGAAGCTATTGGACAGAATCTAAGCCACATGGCAACGATCTCCGAAGCCCGGCGATCACTTCCTCCGCAGAGGCTTCAATAGCGCTTCCGAGATGGTGAAGGCGCAGCGATCAGGGGCCGAGGTAACCACGACGGCGAAGCCCTGCACTAAGGATGTCAAGATCGGAGCCGAGCTTTACGAACGTGTACCGGATGACCAAGGGTAAGAATCTCTCCCAGGCCTTTCAAGTCAAAGTGCAGACATCTACAGTGGTATTAAGTGGTATGTATCTGGGGCATTTGCAAGTGCGGGCAGACTCCTGAGGCGACTGACAGTGGGTCCAACGTGACTGAGACATTCCCAAAGTGTTGGAAACACCCTTGAAATTGATAGACGCTTGCGCTAGGCTGGATCAGAATTAAATAGTGTGTCTCATGGACCATGGAGAGATGGGTGGAAGAGGAACAAATCGAGGTAGAGCGGAGTAGAGTCATTTCGTATGAGGGGGCGTTTTGACCTCGAGACGGGAAGAGACCCACGCGAAAATCACGATTTTCTATCACGTCTAACGTCGGGGTACCTTGCAAACTTAATTGTGCAAGGTCACATCGAGCTTGCATATAGTTTTGATACGAAAATCTTAGACTCTTTCCATGGCATCCCCATCTAAACCCTGTCTTGTTTTTAAGCCGTGAGAAAAGGGGGGAAGGATAAAGTGCAGTCTCATGCTTGCGGTGTAACCTCTATACATTGACCGGCAACGATGCAACAACGGCGAAGGCCTGTATAAGTGTAGCATATGATCCACGGTGGGTCATGACGAGCAAGAGGGGTGCTCGATTGAATTTGGCAGCTACACTCGATAGGGGAACTTGAGTAGACAGGTCCGTTGTTTCCAAGGTCGTGGGGCCATAGCATGCCTTTCTTGAGTAGGATCTGCGCCCGAACGAGGCACAGGACCCGTCTGAGGAAGATCAAACCCACTGATGGCGGCGATGCAGTCGGCCTAGCTAGCTGAATTCGCGCTAGAGACGTCGACGGCGGGAACCCGCGTGCTGAGGCGTCTTTTCATGGAATCTTTCTCCACCAAGGGCCACATTGTGCGCAATTGAACCAAAACATCAGGTGCATGACAGTCCCAAATTGTGGAATTTTCGCGGAGATCGCCAAGTTCCCTACGCTAGTTGAGCGACTATTCAAATTTTAAGAAGATCATAATGAAGCGAAACACGGATCTCGCATGATGCTTTGCATGAACACACCGCGAACTACCCACAGTCGACAGATCACTCAAGCTCCAGAGCCGGTTTCAAAAGCATTATCCCCCGCTTGTCCATTGATCAGTTCCACTCGTCACTCTTTCAATCGACTTTCCTTAACATCAAACAACCAACACCCTGCAGCCCATGCAATAATCCAACAATTCCGAATGAGGATTGCCGTGGTCCTCTAAGCTGGGCGCGAACGACCGAAACCCTCACCCTCTTTGAAGAAATTATCCCCTCATTTTACAATCAATCAAATCGCAATCGATCTTTCCAACGCAAATCATGGCACCTTTTGTTCACGAGAAAAATTCCCCGGAGCGATGATGATGGGTACGCCCGGGGAAAACGAGCTCTGGTCGTCACAGCAGTTTTGACGAGCATTGCTGCTGTCATAGTCGCCATGCGTTTATTTGCACGACTGAAATTGATGAAAGCTACTGGGCTTGAAGACTGGTCCATTCTGATATCTTTGGTCTTCTCTATCATATACCTTGGCCTCGTGGCTGCACGTAAGAGCTCTCACTCTGCGACCCATACACTGTTCTAATTGACTGCATCTAGAATTCCATTTCGAAATGGGTGTCCACTCTGATCAAATTGCCCCCCACATTCTGCAAGAGCAACTGAAGGTGTGCCGAGACGTCCTTCGATACCACTTGTCGGAATAAAAGAGCTAATGATCTTTCCACAGTGCCTATGGGCTGCAATCCCTATGTACAACGCCAGTCTAGCATTCACCAAATTTTCCATTCTTTTCCAATATCTTCGCATCTTCCCCGCTCGCTCTTTCCGAATCGCCTGTCATGTCGTCATGGCTATTGTGGCTACATACTCATCTTGGGCTATTGTTAGTGGCTACGTCAACTGCGTGCCCGTGGCCAAGTTCTGGGACCACGATTTGCCGGGAAGCTGTCTCAACTTCGAAGCAGTCTGGTTCTTCAACGCATCGATGAACATTGCAACAGATGTGACCCTTCTCATCTTGCCTATGCCCTTGCTGGTGCAACTCCAACTTCCGCGTGTTCAGAAGATTGCTCTAATGGGTGTCTTTGCTATGGGTATTCTGTATGTTTCCATTTTTGCTGTTGCTTTTTTTTTTCTTGACAGAACTAATCATCATCAGTGTTGTCATTACGAGTATTCTTCGTCTGTCCAGTCTTCGCTTCGTCGCCCAGAGCACCGACACCTCTTGTATGCTTCACCTAATTCCATACTCGTGAACACTGTACTAACAATCCCCAAGATAGTAACGTTGGAGCTGCTTACTGGACCGCTGCAGAGTGTAACGTCGCCATCATCTGCGCCTGTCTTCCCTTCCTTCGGCCCATTATTAGCCGCATCTTTCCCAAGCTGCTCTCTACCAACAGTCATAACCGTTACACCACCTACGGACAAACCATAAAAACCGCTACAAAAGACGCAACTGCCAGTCGCTCGCCTCGCGTTGAGCTATTCAGCCAAAACATGGACAAGGACTATGACATGTACTCGATCAATGTCAAGCACGGTGACCGCTCAAGCCATGGCTCTCTTGGGGGCATTGAGATTACCACTGAGATGACCGTCTCGCAAGAGACAACCAAGCTTGATGATAGTGCCAGTGAAAAGCGCCTGGTCTCTAGCCCAGTATGAGGTTCTTTTCTTTCCCTCTCAAGCTCTATGGAGCTTAAGAAGGGGCTATATTTTCTATTTACGATTACCCAGCGACGGGATACGCTCTTCTTTCATTCTTGTATATGTCTTCCAACGGCTGGGTAAATGGGTGGCTATCTTGAACATACCGCATTCTTTTCATACTCAACACTGAGACCAATCATGACATCTTGACTTCACTGATCAATATCAACCACAATTTGACCTTCACTACCAATGTTCTCGCGTACCAGAGTCCCTAACTCCATACTAAGCATCGAAACCTTTCTTCGCACCCACTCATGATCCTCATCGTCGACTCCAAGCAGCATTGCCTTGAACCTTTCAATGCGTGTAGGAAAAATCTCCAAGCGATCAAGCACCAGCTTACCCTTCCCATTGTCCATCTCTCCCTCTTTGACATTAACCCTCCACAAGGCCCCAAGATCATTTCTATACTCATCATGTACAACATAGTCATCCACAAAGTCCCCACATCCATAGACGATCAATCTCCCACGATAAACCTCGACACCCTGAACATGATGCGACGAATGACCATGTACAATATCGACCTCGCACTCATCGACCAAGAAATGAGCCAATCCCCTAATCTTCTCTCCAGGTTCCCACGTATAGTTCGGACCCCAATGAACTGAAAATATCTTCAACGCCGGCTTTGATCTCGCACCAACAGACATCAAAAGCTCCTTTAACCTCCGCCTCGTCTCAAACGTATAATCGACGAGGTGAAACCCGTCCACACCACCCCACTCACTCGGATGATCCGCTGCCGCATAAACAAGCACCTCAAATCCACGACCTTCCCGTCCCAACTTCAATACAGCAGGTCTACGTGCCTCCTCAGGACTCTCTCCAACCCCGGCAAATGGTATTCCGGTCCTTTGAACGGTCCTTATAGTCTCAAATAATCCCTCAACACCAAAATCAAGGGTATGATTATTCGCCAACCCAACATACCCGACCTTCGCAGCACGCAAGATAGGAGCCAGATTGGCAGGGTGCATGCGGTAATTGAACGCTTTACCAGGCCATGGTGTTGGAGATGTCGTTGCGGCTGTTTCGAGGTTGATGAGCGTAATTTCTGAATTGCGGAGGAGGGGGAGGGTTGTGCCCCATGGTGAGGAGGGATTGTAGGTTCCGGTTGATAGGGTTGGGTATGTTTCCCTGAAGTGATCTGCGGTGGCGGCGGAGGATGGGTCGTGGATGTGTGTAGGGTAGAGTTGGTCGATGAGGCGGGCGAGCATTACGTCGCCGGTGAATGTGAGGGTATGTGTCTTTCCCATTTTCACGAAATCCGGTTTCATGATGGTGAGGTTGTTTTTTTTTTTTTGGGATGATGGAAGTTGATATTGGGCTGGGTTCATATCAAGTCATGATGACATCGGTAGACTCATGGAAGCGGGCCGAAGGCACCATTTAGATACATTAAATTATCGAGAACATGATGGTATGGTAGAAGGAACATCGAGAGAAGCAATTGATTAGTAGAGTACAGTCATTCCTAACACTTCTAGAATTTTGAATAGTGACACAGTTCAACGATCCATTCCATCCCGGCCAAGCGTTCAGTGGTATCATGCGCAAATCACCGAGTATTTGCGCCTTGTGTCAAGTGGATGAACCCCACAGAAAAGAAAAATAAGAGATGATAAAAAGTTTTTTGTTTTCGTTCAAGTCGTCACAGATGGAGCACTTTTGTGATCACTGCGGAATTATTGGCGCATCTCTGCCAATTCGCGCTCCTTAGCACGTAGCATTTCACGCATCTGTTCAGCTTCACGTTCTAATCTAGCACGGCGTTCGCGGTCGGCGACAGGATCTGAGAGAGAAGAGATGCCCGGGAGAGTCTGCGCTTGATTCGATGCTGAGGCCATGGGGGGCTGGTATGCCTGAGGCCGGCCGATATGCGGGGGAGTCAAACGGGCGTGGGGATCTGCTTGATTCAGAATGGAGGAGATCGAGCTCAGGCGGCCTTGAGGAGAGGGGTTAGTCGAAGAAATAATGGGTGGCAGCTGGTTCGATCCGGAATCCAAGGAGGTCGCAATCGGGTCGGCTTCCGAAGCTTCAGCGATGGTTCGCTTTTTTGGTAGGCCAAGAGTGTTTGGAGACGCAGAGCGTCGTCCAAATTGTGGCCCAGGAGAATCACCGAGGCGCTCTGGCTCCATCAGTTTGGGAAGAGTGTGAAGTGGGACGGCAGCGGAGCTGATGTGGAAGCCAGTGAAGTCCACTGGAGGTGGAGCAAACGAAGTAGGGCGCGGGTATTCCATAGGCTCGCTGCTCATGTAGCGATAATTCTCATCATGATGAGCCAGGACAGCTGGGGATGCCTCAGGGGATACAGATGATCCATTTGAGGACTGGGTAGCAGCAGTGGGAGACTGGTCCCGCAAAGCAGGCACAACGCGCTTACGACGTTTGATAATCGACTTTTTCATCGTTGTGGGGCGATAGCAGCCGTGGAGCTTGTAGTACAGTCCTTTTGGATGTTAGCGAAAACTGCGGCAGAACCAAAAGTCGCAGAAAAAACTCACCACAGGCATTACAAATGGGATGGCCATGCTCATCCCGTCGCCACAGAGGAGTCACAGTCGTTCCACAATTCTGGCATGCAACCAGCGTCGAGTTGCCATCGGCAGGGTTGCTTTTAGCGGGAGCTTCCGGCTCTTGAGGCAGAGGCAAAGACTCGGCCTCAGGGGCTGACGTGCGGCCCCATGAACCGTGAACCGGTGCGGCTCCGCGATGCGAAGCCTTGTAGATACGGTTGTTGAAGGCCGGGCAGCCATCGCATCCTTCTGCTCCACCGGTACCATTGCAACTTCCACCACCGGGGCAAGAGCCCTTGCAACCTCCCTCTACCGGAGTCGAATGATTGTGCTGGTGGTTATGCACCGCCGGCTTGTTAGCCTCGGGGCCTTGTTGCATGCGATTTCGTTTCGTGGGCCGAGCGACATTCCGAGCTTTCAGATAAAGACCGCAGGCGTTGCAGATCATCGCTCCCGTGGGAGCCCGGCGCCAAAGTGGAGTGGATTTCGTTCCACAATTACTGAATCCAATGTGAGCCTTTCTATACCAGTCAGATGAACACCGAGCAAAAGAGAACTTACCTGCAAGAGTGTCCTAAAAATGAGGTATCCTTCTGTGCTCTTGGCGACGTTTTGTCCTGCGCACTAGCGGATGTTTCCCGACTCAATTGGCCCGTCACCAATCCCTGATTTGGCGGAGGACTCCGTGATGCCTTGAGACTAGAAGCATCACCTTGGTGCTGAGTGAGGTGTTCGCGACCCGCTTGCGCAGACGAGATCAGCTGCTGAGCAGCGTCCAAGTCCTCCCAAGATGGCTGTCGCATGGAGCCAGTGGGCGTTCCAGAATAAGAGCGTACCGATTCCATGTGTGGGACGGACGCTAACATTACCACCTCGCTGTCAGGCCGGGGGTTGTGGTCGGCCAGTCTGATTGGACAAGGAGTAAGAGTGTATAGGCTAAAAGCGAGAGGAGGGTAGAGACTCGGTTGGACGTGAGGGTTATTGCCGCACTGCAGTTAAAAAAAGCGAATTCACGGTATCAGACACAATAGAGCAGAGGTCAAAAGTCGGTCTGGTCTGCTGGTGGAAGCACGCAAACGGAGTGACTGCAGCCGATAGGAACAAAAGGTAAGACGGGGGAGGCGGCGCCGAAGGGGAATGAATAGCACGCTAGATAGCGATCGTCAAATAGACGACAGGGTCGTCTTTGCAGCAGACGAAATAATCAAAGAGTGTGGCGAACGAAAGATTCCGAGTCAGGTGATGGCAATTGCGACAGCTGACAACGTGTGCAAAGGACTGACTTTGGCGCTGTGGGGAAAATTCGGCGAGGCAGGCCGAAAGAGCTTAGTATACAGTAGGACTGGGCCTAAGTGCTAGGGGCCTGCAAGATGGGTGATCACACCGCGTTAGGAAGGGGGTGAGAGAGGGTCGAGGTGGAGAGAAGAGAGAAGAACAAAGGAAGAAAGATAAGGGAAGTGGGGAGGCGCAGATTGGGTGGTCTGAGGTGTCAAGTGTGTTTTGACCAGGGGAAGAAGGAAAAAGAACGAGAAGCGTGCAGACTTGGAATGATCCCAACGCCTGCTTATCGAGCACATCAAAGGGAGGGGAAAAGGGAATACGGGGAGTTGGTTTTATCGATCTACGAAGGGGGCGATCGACGAGGCTATCATATCGGTCTAATCACACTGCCGAGGATCGCTATCTCTATCTCATCTAATCTCTCCCTCTCTTCCTCTCTCTTTCTGCGCCTGACTCTTAGTAGATCTTGTCACTGTTCTTTTGTCTGAAAGCGATCCTTAGCGGCAATTAAATTTTTTTTTTTCCCTCTTGCCTCTTACTCAATCCCCAGATCGTATGCTACATGGCTCCACCGAGTCCAGATGAAGTTTAGGGGGGAAGAAATCAGTGGGATTGCACCTTCCCAAGTGAGGCCGGGGCGGGTCAATGCGCAGGCAAGCATCTTTGTCGGCTTTATCATTGGCGGAAGGCTCATCAGGCGAATGTCAGCTGTAATGTGCGAGGTTTCATTGGCTTCTCGGCAGTTGTCAGTTTCTTCCGTTGGATCCATTCTGACTTGTTTGCCTTGTTTGCTTCTCTTCGGCTACGCTGTTACTTGACCCAAATATGAATTTATTTGGTCCATCTTAGGCCTATCTTAGGTATCTAAGATAACTTAGCCTCCAGACAATGTACCTTCTGCCGGTGTCGGAGATCCGAGCAAAATTGCTGGTGCTCGGTCCCAAGGTGGCATTTGGTCTGTACTTCGTAGGGTTAGGGCAGAATGATCTCTAGGGGTCCCATACGTGACGTGAAATCTTCCCTGATCTAAGCCACGACACCATAGCCAAGAACGATCCACTCCAATGTCATTTCATACGAGAGCTCTAGCCACACGCTCATTCACGAAATATAATACAGATGCTTCCCAAATGGACTATCCCTGAGGGATCTCGACATGAAACCGATCCTCCACTATTCGCAATCTTCAGTGCCTGCACATGTGAGCACCGAGTCTCCGGGTCATAACACTCGTTGAGTATTCGTATATCTCGCGGCGATCAGATCCATTGCTGAGGGCGACCCACAAAGGCCATCTCAAACGGATCTTCGTTCACCGGAGCAAGCCACTTAGACCTGCTCGGCGCCCCAACCCTGGTCCGACTCGCGCATGTTGGAGGGAGGCTCGATAGAGGGAATGAACTCGAGGACAAGATAGGCGATACCGGTGATGCCAATGATAGAGGCAGCAATCTCCCGCAGAACGTGTCCGTGGAGGATGATGCAGCCGACGAAAATGTAGACTAGTAGAAGTCAGCATGTGTCAGACGATACAGAGAAAAGCACAATCACGTACAGACACCGCGGCCGAGGAAAGAGAACAGGAACGAGGCGTAGCGGTAGGCGTAGTCGGGAACGTTGGGCATGAACTCAAGACCACTAACAACTGAGACTGTGTTAGTACTGGTTCGTCATGCGCTGGCGCACGCGACTTACCGAGACCGAAGATAATCACGTATATGCCGACAATGATAGAGCTCATGGAGGCAGGGAAGAACTGGCTAATACCGCCAAGCACCATAACCACACCGATCGCGATGTTGACGAGGCGGCTGTTTGGCTTATTAGTTCACAAGCTCAGTCCTGTCTTGCTCACCAACCATTCAAGGCAAGATTCATGGCGCCATCCAACGTGGGATTTAGAGGACATACAAGATGTTGGAGAAGTCCATTGCGATGGTGTTTTCTGGGCTTTCCACTTGATTGGGAGTGAGATTCGGGGCCTCGAGGTCTATTTTCGCAGTGCAAGATATTCGATAAGCTTGGCAACGGAGAGCGCGGGAGGAGATGGAGATCGGTTCGTGAATTCGCTAGTTCTTTTGTTAGTCTCTCTGGATCGGCCGAGTCGTGGCGTATGGCGTGGACAAGGTCCACAGCAAATAAATCACCGCTATTCGCGCTTCGTGATTCGGGGAACGGGGTAGGACTTGAGTTCGAACACACCTGGGAGGGACAAGTCAAAGAGAGGGAGAACAAACCAGGTCACGGCTGAATGAATGGAGAGATAGAACAGGGGCAGAGAGGGAAACAGCTGCGGCTGTAGCAAGCAGCGGGTCGGCCAAGTCCAGTGGCTGAATCAGCAGCGACTCACGTAATGAACTCGCCGCCGCTAATTTATACGAGCCCAACGCGGCAATGATGTACGAAGCCTTTGAATTTTCTACATAGTAATGTCCTGCTGCCTATGCTCTAGACGCACCGTTGACAGCCCGTTGGCCAATTGGCTCATTTTCATAGGGTCATGCTGTACTGCGTCATAAATAACTTCCAGATCTCTTCCAATCCCAATCTCATCCGCCGTTTTAAGGCTCCGCGAATCGACGAAGGGGGCCATAGAGGGCCAGACACTTTGGACATTACTCAAAAACAGTTCTTCCGCCAGATCACCGACACCCTTGATATCCTTAATCAGCGTTCCGACTTTTTCTCTTTCAGCCTCGCCCCGCTCGAGTAGCTTGTTGAGGTCACCGTCTAGCGATCCGCTGGATTAGCATTCAGGCAACAATGATAAAAACCCATCTTCAGGGTAGGCTAGGGCTGAGTAGTATAACTGCGTGCCAGCACATACCATATTTATCCTGTACAAACTCCGCCAGCGCACCCAAGTTGGTCGCAGCCTGTTCTCGATACCGATTATATCCACCTCTCGCAGCACGTCCGTGCGTTCTTCCCAGGTAGTTTCCGACAGCTTGTTGACGTCGTGATAGCCCATTTCGATGAGATGATTGACGGTCTTTCGTGAAAGGTCATGCTGAATCGGGCGTGACTTAAGCATCGCATCGATGATCATTGCAAGCAGTATCTCGGGTTCCGGAGAAGATACCTTCGGGGCAAGTGGCGTCCCAGCTAGTGGTGGACTGCCGAATTCCTTAAGCACCTTCTGGACTCGAAGGGCCAAATCATCGTCCTGGACTTGCGGCATGGTGGTGGTTACGAAGACCGCAAAATATGGTACTGCAGAGTTGCCTCAACACGAATGATTTGAACTCGAAGAGTATTTAAGACTTGATGAGTATTCTGACATCATTATATAGCACTTTCTAGAGCACGAACGTTCATAAAGATGCTAAAGGGCACACTTGAGCTTCATTTCATGTTTTACGTCATGATTGCACAGTAGGGTCTACTTCATGGCATGGAGAAAGCCTCCCGCTTGATGTTGATTCCCTATGGCTCGCCACTGCTTAAAGCTTAGCTCGAGTCTTGCTCTGCAGCACTTCCTTAACCAGGGTCACCACTTCATTGGCACAGCCAAATGATGCCTGATACCCAAAGCCACCATGGCCATAATTATGCACAATGTTAACACCCTCCACTTCATCCTTCTCGAGGCGAGGGCCACCCTCGCGAAGTGGTCTCAGACCAACACCGTGGCGAATAATATCCAAACCCTCAATTCCCTGTCCCTGCTTCACAAGCTGTGGAGCAGCTGCAATTGCTCGCTTCATGATACGGTTGGCAATGTTTGGATCCGGCAATGCGTCCCAGTTATGCTTTTGATAAGTACCTCCTAGGATAGTGCCACCGCCCATGGCACGGGTCATTAGGTACAAAGCTTCATCTGGTCCGTCATCGGTTCCGGATGCAGAGTACATCGAACCTGCGTCGTTTCGGACTATCACAATCTGGCCGCGGGCAGGGTACATCTTGTCGTCAGCGACTCCGCCGAGTGTTTTGGATGCTAGGCCCGTGCAATTCACTACCACATCAGCGGGTTGACCTGTGTGGTGGGCAGTGGCAGCTTCAGTTATATGCTTTAGGACTGCTCGCTTGAAGACTGCGCCATTCTTCACGCACTGACCCACAAGCCATGGGAGATAAACGGCGGTGTTGATGCAGACGGAGGTGAATTGTTGGGCGTTATCCATCTCACCGCTCAATTTGTCCTTAGCAATAGTTTGGAACTGTAGACACCGTAAGCAAGTTCCTTAAAACCTCGACTTTTGCTGGTCTTACGTCCGGTACAACATCCTTGTACCACGGGTTAGGCTTCACCAATTCCGAGAACCAGTCTCCTGTAGCCGAGCCTTGGTCTTTCTTGCGGTTGTAAATAAGTGTATCTGGTTCTCCTGTTAGCCCACAAGTCTCCTCCAATGCTCGGAGCATAACTATGTACTAAGGAAGTGGATGCCAGCTTCAGGGTGCTTTTCCGTAAGCGCTTTCAATGGGGCCCAGGTATTTCGCTCCCATTCCTGATGCTTGCTACCTTCCTTGCCGACACTAATTGAAAGACATCGTTAGCTATGCTACAAAGAGTGCGGAAACGGCGCATACGGCATGTAATTAGCGCCGGCCCATGGTGACGCATATTCAATATCATAGTCTCCGGGCATGTGCTTAGCGAGCACGGTGACCTGGTTGGCAGGATCTTTGGATAATAGGTAGGCCGTTGTTAGGCCTGATACACCAGCTCTGTTGCATGCATCAAGTCAACGTTCATGCATGCATCTCCTTGCTTGGATGGAGCCGGGATAGCCTTACCCTAGAACAACGATATTGTTCGGCATGTCGTATTCGCTTTTGTCTTCCCTGGTCAGACCAATTGATCAATCTAAGAATTTGACAGAAGAAAAGATGACAAATAACAAAATTGAGCGAGAAAGATTCAAGAGGTATCAAGGTGACATTAATCTCGAGCGGGGTGAGAAATCCCACGTTATCTTTCAATTTGATAAAAGAAATGGAGTCGCTCGGGGTAATTTACAATCGGTACAGCCAGTGTTGGTCCTCTGCTATTTCAGGTGGCGGCGCGAGAGGCGGTGTGAGCCCAAGCGAATCAAACACGTTTGTTACCTTAGACGCGCCAAAGTCTTCAAGGTGGAGACGCGGAGGAGTACAGGGCACATACCGTATTGGATACGTCTCCGCATTCTCGACCATGCCACAGGGAGCCATCGAGCTTGAAGTGTGTGGCATGATGGACAAGGAGGAATAGCAGGTCACGAGATGCTTTTTCTACAGGTGCCTATCAAAATTTCATATTGAAACGATCCTATACTGTATATTGGCCCCATGTTGGAGCAAGGGCCTTCTCCGTAAAGTCCCGTGTTCTCCATTTCGGGCTCCACTGTATCCCTAGAAATGAATGAATCACATCTCGAACGTGAGGGTTGAATAAGGCGGATTTCAGGAAACAGTAGAGCGCAAGGAATAAACAGTATACCCTTGGTATAACTGCAAGACTGGAGATGATAGATATACAGGACGAAAAAAATTGGGGACATTAAGAAAGAGCTTGTGGATAAGCTCAGTCACCGATGTCATAGAGGGAAAGGACTCACGTGTGGCCCAATCACCGTACATGAAGTGATTCACCGCCCCTAACTCGGCACTCAAATCGCGGCGGATGCTTGAATTCCTTTTTCAATTCATCGCACCCGCAGGGCTCGTCTACTCTGCGGGCTGTTACTTGGATATCCCCTCTTCGTATCCTGGTGTCATTGACAGTCTACTTTATTTGCTCTTAGTACCATCAATGCCGACATTGTCCTTAGGGATCCTCTTTCCACCATGTCTTCTCTCTCACACGGTGGCAGAATTGTGCCCATACTCATGGGCCACCAACAACTACCCGGCTCCACCACCACCCCGGAGACGGCTACTCTCGAGACTCATCCTTCACCATCCTCCTGTTACACTTCTGCGCTGCTGGATCAGCAAGATGAATCCACAACTATGCGCCACAAGAAGGCCATTGACCTGGCAAGTCTCGAAATGCCATGTTTAAGGGAACGCGATCTATTTGCTCTGCCAACGGAAGGAGATGGTAAGATCCCTGGCTATTGAGAACCCCATTTTGTGTTAGCGCAGGATGATGGCTTCTTTTCGTCTTGCAATATTGTTTAATGACGCGTCAAACAGGAAATTGCCTTTATTACTCTCTCTCGGATCAACTATGGGGAAACTTTGATCACGACAGCGACATCCGGCAACTTCTAGCCGACCACATAGAGATGAACAAGGATTATTTCATGCAATTTGTCGTTGCTGAGGGCGGTGAACGACGACGACCCAAACGAACTGCCCAATCGGCCTATGCTACGCGTTCCGCCGACGTGTCGGCTCCGTCTGAAGAGGACAAGGAGCGACGGTTCGAGGCGATGGTAAATTTTACCCGGAAGAATGGCGAGTGGGGTAGCTCCGAGCACCTCCAGGCTTTCTGTCAAGTGTTTAAGGTGGACATCAATGTGTATACCATGGATGGTGTTCAAGCCTTCCGTGATGTCAACGCTTCGCATGAAGAGCATCGAGATGTAATTCACGTCGCCTTTCACGTATGATCCATAATGCTTAAACAGGGCTTGAACTTCCCACTGACTGAAAGCAGGACTTCAAACATTACTCATCAGTGCGGCCTATTGATGGCACCCACAGAGGCCTCTTCAATGTTCGAAAGAGCACTGATAGTATCCCGTTCAGAGAACTAGGTGAAGACTCGAAGGAGTCGGCCTCCAACCATAAAGAGACCAATGATATCAAAACCCCCGACTTCACTGTGGAGACAGCCCACTCCTCTACATCATCTTCTTCATCCGACATTCCTCCTCCTACCATGACTACCACCACAGCCACGACCCCTGAAACGGCCTCACATGATGCCGGTTTGGCTGTCGACGTTTTTCCGCCTTGGGACATACAGTCCATCCAAGAAGGCCTTGGGGGTCGATATGACCGTGACACGATCGTGGACATGCTTCAGAAATGTCGTGGTGATATCGACCGGGCATTCGCAGCCCTTCTCGATGCAGTACCAGAGAAGAAGCCTGCCCCCGGTCCCTCTTTCAACTCCAGCATCCAGGTATCCCGAGAATCGTCACCTTTCAGTACTGGTAGCAAGCGTTCTGCCGAGGACAGCGAGGACTCCGATGACCCGCGACCATCTGTCCGGCGCGTGCGACCGAAGAGACGTCTTGTCTCCAACCTCACCCTTGGTGTCGACATCTCGTTTCGTGACGACCACAACGAGCTCGTTTCCCTCAATCTCCATATGAAGTCTGAGGCAGATGCTGAGAAAGCCAAGGCCGAGTCCGGTACCGATGATACTCAGGAATCATCCGACCAATGTGCTTCAGATGTTAAAAGAGGACCACGTCGCAGCGGCAGACTTTCCAAACCTCGACCGATATAAAGGTCTCGAACCGATTCTTACGTGCTTTTGCGCGCTCCAAATTCCTGTCTGTTTTGCAGCGAACTTGCATTGTGATGGCGTTAGCGTGAAGCATATGGCACCTGGGATCTTTTTTTGTCATACGGGCATAGCCACATGGAAAGGCCAGGTTGGCCGGAGCGGCGTTTTGACTTATTAGCATGGAGGGACGTGCCTGGAGCACTTACTCAACGGATCACGACATGCATTTCTTTTGGGCGAGGGGTTGGATGCTTTTTTTATTTCATGTCTTGCTTGGAGCAAATCTCCTAACATCTTGCTTGCATTTGCAAAATCGGTGCAATTCCACTTGGGTGGAATCCTTTGAATTCATAGCTCCCTTTCTTTCTTGTATGGTGCCTTGATTTAATGTATAATATCATGCATGGAGCCGTGTTTGGCTCTAGCATGTCGCACGCCAAGTAACACCGTGGCCGTTCCTCGCGAGAATAGGTTCCGAACTGTTGTGCCGATGAAGAAAAGTGTAGATTCAAGTAGTCTCTAAATTGTCGGTACCACTTGCCAAGTCGTCGGCGTCTAGTCTGTTACTTGATACTCACTTGATATTTGATACATGCGAACTTTGAGCCAGCTCTTTTGCATTTCCTGTGTCATTCGATTTGATGCTGATCAAACCTCAGCATGAATCTTCATTGGCTTCTTCCAGTAGGAATTTAAGGAATGCCGCTCCGATGGAAACACCATCATGTTCGTTACCTGTTCTTCTCAGGGCCTCCTGCGCTTGGTCCTCGCTGAAGACACCAGCCTTTGCCCGACTCTGTATTATCACGTCTTCAATCTCGCCTGTGAATTCAGGGTGTCCTTGAACAGTGACAAAGCGCTGAGGCACATACATGCCCTGTATAGCACATCTCGGAGAATATCCAAGCAAAATGACACCCGATGGGCAGTCATACACAACATCTTGGTGCATTTGTTGAATACGCTGCCTGAGTTAGCAAAGGTATACCAGCACCCAAAGGGACCACATACGATCTTCTCCAGCCCGAACAGCTCCTTCCCTTTCTCCGTCAGATCCATGTCACAAACAGCAAGCTCCCACCCCTGTTCACTTCGTCCAACCTTCGCACCTAGCGCACGGCCCACGATCTGGTGTCCGAAGCAGATTCCGAGAATTCGCACCCGGCTCTGCGATAGTACTTGCTGCGTGAACTCCACTAGACGTTTGATCCACGCGGAATCTTCAAATGAATTGTATTCTACCAGGTCATCAGCGTTGTGTTACGTTGTCCAGTGATCATCAGAAGCACTGACTGGACCCTGTAAGGAGCACAGCGTCGATATCCTCCAACTTCGGGTATTCTTGCGCGTCGACGACGTCCCATTTTGTGATCTGGAGCCCGGTCTCTGGGTCTAAGCGTGGATCGCCTAGCTTCTCGGCGCTGGATTTGAGAAGCGTCTTGAAGATGCCGTAGTAGCCTTCATTGTTGTAGCGGTCGTTGATGGTGGGGAGTGGTGTGTCGCATTCCAGGACGGCGATTCGGAGAGGGGGTTGCATCGTACTGGTGTATGAGGGAACGGGACCTTGTTGCGAGAGTGTTATACGCAGCGATTGTTGAGGCGTCAAAAGACACGCGAGAGCAAAGGCATGAGGGGAATGAAAGCTCGAGTCGGATTATCGATTGTCGATAATTTCTTATCGCGGGATCAGATCCCAGCTTCGCCACTGATCTCCAGCTCGGCATCCTCGTCGATCTCCGGGGCTACCTGCAGGACCTGGCTCGGTTCGTCTGACTTCGGTTCCTGAGACCTGCATCATCCTGGTTGGGGCTCATCTGGTTCGTGTCTGGATTTTAATTTCTTATCCCCTACTTTCGTTGCTTTCTTTCCGCCGCATTTCCCGTGGTCAGAGAGCCAGCCGCCTTCCGCGGTCTGCTCGCCATTCTTACTTCCTTTCTCGCGGTAAATCTAAATTTCACTCCATTCTTCCTCACAATGGGTGATCAAGATGTGCGCCCATCTGAAGCTACTCCGCTCTTGCGAGAAGACTCAAGCCGGGAAAGCACGCAAGACCGAAGCGTGGCCACCGAAGATGTCGAAGCAGGCCCTTCGAGTTTGGATGAAATCAACGAGGTGACTTCTCTCGGTCTCACTCAAGTCACTTCGCCCTCTGGTCTGGAAATCGAACCAAACCTAGAGAGATTGGTGTCGAATACATCTACCAATATCGCCTGCGAGCACGAAGACGACAGCTACGCGGCACGCTTCATTGAAGTATCTCCCACGAAATTTTGGCTCATCTTTTCTGGCGTAATGATGGGCTATCTCATCGGCTTTTTCGACTCGACTCTCATGGCCTCCAGTCATCCTGTCATCACCTCGTATTTTCATGCAGCCAATGCTGCATCATGGCTGTCGACTGCATTCCTGCTCACATCCACAGCTTTCTTGCCTCTATTCGGGCGCATTTCTGATGCATTTGGCCGCAAGCCGGTTTACCTCTTCTCCATAGTCATGTTTTTCCTCACAACGGCATGGTGTGGTCTCGCCCAGAGCATCGGTAGCTTTATCGCTGCCCGGGCGCTGTGCGGAATGGGTGCGGGTGGTGTTTTCTCGATGGGGCAGATCGTGTCTAGTGATCTGGTGCGCATCGAGTATCGCGGGGTCTATCAGTCATATATTAACCTCTGCCTTGGCATTGGCAGTTGCTTGGGCCTTGCGTTCGGTGGTCTTCTTTGCGATCAGATTGGTTGGAGAGGCGCTTTCCTCATTCAGCTGCCCTTTATCTTTATCCTGTTCGTCACTGCATGCAGCACGATCCCGCCGGGCCTTGGAGTAAAACGGGTAGGGTCTGAACGACTGGGTGTCTTGCGTCTGGTTCGAAGTGTGGACTTGACTGGCTCACTGATTCTGATTTTAGCGGTCACGGCCTTGATCATGGGGTTAAATTTGGGTGGTAATATCTTCCCCTGGACTCACCCTCTGGTCATCGGCTCCCTGATCGCATCGGTCATTCTGTCGATTGTGCTCGTGCGATACGAGAGAACTGTCCCTCGGGCTGTTTTGCCAATTGATCTGCTTTCGAAGAATCCTCGCGCCAGCATCGTCTTTGGCAACTTTTTTGGGGCCATGTCTGTCAACACGATGATGTTCAACGCCCCATTGTATTTCCAGGCTGTGAAACTCCTCAGTCCGACTGACTCCGGCTTGCGGCTTGTGGCAGCTTCAATTGCTGTTACTGCATCTAGTGTCGGAACCGGATTCCTGATCACCTGGTCTAAACGCCTGAAGCCCACGATCATCATCGGTGGGGTGTCTATGCTTCTTGGAGGATGTGCCGCAGCCACAATGGGCGTGCACACAGCTCCGGCCCTTGCAATGTTCTGTGTCTCCTTCTCAAGTCTCGGGCAAGGCTTCTCGTTCCCTACTTTGATGGTTTCGATTCTCGCCACAAGTGAACAGGATGATCAAGCCGTGGCCACTACGACCCTAGGTCTTGCCCGTAATCTGGGTTCCGTGATGGGTGTGGCTATCAGCAGTTGGATCTTCCAAAACTCGCTGCTCTATCAGCTTGACCAGAAAGTGACTGGTGCTGAGAAAGGGCACATTATCGGTCTTGTTCGCAAGTCGATTCGTGCTATCGGTGATCTCGATTATGTTCACCGACAAGAAGGTCCGTTCTGTAGATGCACTTTTTTCTTGTTTCGTCTTTTGCTGACTCCTTCCAGTTATCGGGGCGTATGCTACGGCACTTCGTGTCACGTTCATGTCAGCGGCTGTCTGGGGTGCGATCATGTTGATATTTCACTCTCGCCTTCAATTACCCCGCCTAGGGAGTAAACCTCGCATGAAGTGACAAAGTCAAGCGTTGCTGCCTCTTTCCTGGAAATCTTTCTTTTTCGCAATATGATGAGAACATATGCCTAGAGAGCATCCCACAAATCTTACAGATCTCTCTATATATTTCTTCAGTCCACATTCCACATTCTCCCTAATGATACAATCAACGCGTCCTGTGGACTATGCAATCACCAAAGGAAGAAGAGATGTGCGCGTTCGACACCTGCATCCTGCACTATTCGTAATTACCCATTGGGGCAGGTTATGGAGATAACCAGTCGAAGGCGTCCGTGGAGGGTAGGCCCCCACTTTTTTTTCTCGCCCGCCTCCGCGTTAGATCCACAGTCTCGACTCGTCTTCCTTTCTCTTGATCTTGAGTCTCTGCCTTGACATATCGACCGTCTGGACTGTGATTGTGAGATACTTCTGGAAGTGATGGGCTGGTACGTCTGATTCGCCAGGATTGAACCCAACGGCCCGTGAGCTGACATCACCGCGGAACAGATCCTCGAGCCTCTGCCCCTCCGCAATTCTGATCGCTCACGCTTACGATCGGCCGCTGAGGGACAAGATAAACGCTCAGGATCTACTCGGCCTGCCTTCAAACCCTAGGCCTGACCACGCCTTGCGCCGGTTGCGAACATGGCCATTCGAGTACAGCAACGTGGGAGATCTTGTAAATTCGGAACACTTCAGTCAGCCCAGAACTTGGCAGTCCCAGTTGGTGCTGGAGGCTGAGAGGAAAACGAGCGCGTCTTTCCCTTAACCTTGAACAACCGGGCCTTTTGTTCGACCAAAATCCAAGATGAATCTCACAACTCGCTCACAGTCGAAGTCTCAATCGCAAGCCGCGAGCCCAAAGCCAATGACCCCCAAAAGCCAGAAAGCTTCGCCACGACCGTCGAGCGGAAACCGCAAAAAGTCCTCCGAGATAGCGGAAAATAAAGCCAAAAGGGTCCGCACGGGTTGTTTGACTTGTCGCGAAAGGCACTTGAAATGCGATGAGGCCTTGGGCAGATGCCTGAACTGCAGGAAGTCAGATAGAATCTGCAGGCGTGGTGTGCGCTTGAACTTTATCGACATTCAAACAGTTGCGCCTCCGCACATCATTGACCGCGTTCACGGTGCGAAAGTAACATTCCGTGATGACTCGCGAATCATCGCATCAGAGTATGTCGGGGGCTTTGAAAGATATCCACCCGTTCAACCGGAGAGTCCGATCCAGGAAAGGAGACACCTGCAGCAAGAGGTCTTTCAATCTTTGAGCCCCGACCAACTTGCGAGTCTCTTCCAATCAGTCGCTCACTCCTTTGACCCGAATACTTTTGACTTTTCGCACTCCACGGCAGCGGACGTTTTTCTTGGACCTGACGCTTGGCATGAACCTCATCTTCTTCCCGGCGATGAGCTACTCCCCGCATGGGACATCGAACTTCGCAAGGAAATTGGCCACGAAGCAGTACAGCTCTTCCACATTGACCGACCCTGAGCAAGTCCACCTCTTGCAGGTTTTTGTTGAAGAGGTGGGGCCTTGGATTGATTCAATGGATCCCATGAGACATGTGTGTGCCCCTCAGTCTTGACCTATCGCTCATTCTAACGCTGTTTAGTTCACACAAATTTTGCCATTTCACGCCATTGAGGAGCCCATGCTGCTCAAGGCTTTTCTAGCATGTGGCGCTCGGCAACTCTTCCTCTCCAATCCTTCTTATGGGGAAGAGAAAGCGTCTCATTACTATGAGACAGCTACTCAGGATCTAATGGGCGCCATTCAAGATCCTAATCGCGATTCCGTTCTTTGTGCAGCGGCGTCACTGGCCTTGAGCGTGTTTGAGGCACTCTCTCCACAGCAAGCTCCACAGACAAATCACATCGTGGGATCAAGAGCATTGATCCATGAGTGTGGTTGGACGTCCAGGACCCCTGGGATCGGCGGGGCATGTTTTTGGATCAGTGTGGGTATGGAGCTCTTGAGCTGTCTACACCATGGATGGACCCTATCTTGGAACCCCGACGCATGGGGTGTTGACATGGATCTAGACCACATACAACCTTTCGGCAGAGGAGAAGATCTGTGGTTTCATCGCATCCTTTACATCTGCGCAAAGATCACAAACTTTCAGGTCACCATACAACACCGGCTTGCTTCCAATGATTTGCAGGCGAATACTGCACAATTCCACGATTTGGTGCAAGAATGGAATCACTACCGTGCTTGGTGTGATCAGTGGGACAAATTCGTTCCGCGATCGATGAAACCTATTGGCCATGTACAACCCTGGCAAGCTGGCTCTCAGTCCAATTTTCCGAAGATATGGTAGGTTTCACTTACGTTTGTTCTATTTTCACTCGCTCATCCTCCGTTAAAGGCTACCCAAGCGCACGGCGACCCTCTCTGAGCTCTTCTACCACACGGCACGCATACTACTTGCCAAAACTCATCCAATGAAGTCCGACCTTCAAATGGAAATGAAGGAGATGCAAAACGTCCATGCCCATAACATATGTGGCCTTCTTGCAAACTCTAAAGATCGCAGCATTCCAAGTGTATCAATACGATGTTTTGCGATCGCAGCAGAATGTCTGGAGACTCGAGAAACGCAGGAAGAGGCTCTTCGCATTCTTGACACCATCTCCGCTGACAGAGCGTGGTTCACTGAGCCCATAAGGGAGGAGCTGAAACATATCTGGGCGTGGCCTGCGTCCCAACCAGAGACCATGGATCCAACCCAAATGCACAATCAGTCTTACACCTTCGACCCAGCCTTGTCGATCCCAAATGCGTTTGAATTTCCTGCGGGGGTCTCGAACCCACTTTCCAATACAGGCGACTTCTCAATGGAAAATCACCCCTACCAAGAGTACTATGTTGCCCCTCGCCATGAGATTGACCATTACAATTATGACCCTTATCTGATTTGATTCTTCCCCTTATCCTTGGCTTTGAAACGGCTGTTTGAACATGACTTTGTGACTTCTTGACGTCGATATACCCCCATTCAGATACACATCTATATACATGATGCAGATTATGGCGTTTTTTCGTTCACGTTGTAGGAGGAAACCTTCAACGTACTCCTCTCGGGTAGCTCGTAGGTCGTTCATATCCTACTGGGGTCTTAGCTTGGCAACTGTCAACCCGCGGACTTAGGCGGTTAAAACCGACAGCACGTTTTAAGCCCGATATGTCCAGATTATGTAGTGCAACGGATTGTCCAGGACTCGAGTCATCTGAGGGGACTTTTTAAAGGATAGATCTTTCAAGACTTATCAATTCGTGTGAGCCCATCGGTCCAGATTGCACTAGCACCAGTGAACGACGCAGATACTTTGACGACCCAAAGCTGCTTCAACTATAAGAGCATGATGCAGAGATACGCGAAAGATCAGCCACAAGGCTTTTCTAATTGCATTTCAAGAGTGGCTATTGTTGGGGTAAATCGGAACTTCTTCCGGTCCACCTGGGGTTAACCATTCCGTGGCTAATCGAATTGCAGGCCGGTGGCACAGTGGGAAGACATCTAGCAGAAGCGTTACTCAAGACTGGGAAGCACGTCTTGACAGCTATTACTCGTCCGTATAGTACCAATATCCTACCGCAAGGCATGCATGTGGTCCGCGTCGACTACAACGGTGATGACGACGCCGCACTCGTGGAGGCAATGCAAGGGCAACAGGTCCTCATCATCACAATGGCAGTCACGGCTCCACGAGGAACAATCAACAACCTCATTCGCGCTGCGTCAAAGGCTGGTGTTCCCTACGTCCTGCCAAATTGGTTTGGGCACGAAGTCGCCAACAACAGCCTCTGTGACGACAGCATGCTAAGCCCCAGCCGCGACAGCGTACTCGCCGAGATGAACACACTCCCTAATACCAGCTGCATCTTCCTCGTCTGTAACTTCTGGTACGAGTTCAGCTCAGGTGGCGGACCTGATCGTTTCGGGTTCGACTTCAAGACGCGCTCCTTCATACAGTTCGATGATGGCAACGTGCCATTGAACACAAGCACCTGGCCTCAGTGCGGTCGAGCTATCGCCAGGTTGCTGAGTCTCAAGGAGATCCCTGATAGTGGAACCGATCGCTCACCTACGTTATCGCAGTTTGCCAATAGTTCCATCTACGTCTCGAGCTTTCGAGTCACCCAGCTCGATATGTTTGAGAGTGTTAAACGTGTTACTGGAACTACTGACGAGGATTGGACCATAACAAAAGAGTCTGCTGAGCAGTGCTGGAAGAAGGCCCATGCCGCTGTCCAGCAGGGTGACTTTGCACAGTTCCCCAGACAGCTTTATAGCCGCATGTTTTTCCCTACTGCAGATGGGGACTACCAGTCTCGTCGTGAACTTCACAACAAGCTGCTTGGGCTTCCTGTTGAGAGTTTAGACGAGTACACGGCGATCGCAATCAGGATGGCGGAGAATGATGAGATTGTTGGATATCATTGAGAGAAAGGAGACCAAATTTGTAAACCCTCCAAACATGAACCTATAAAGTCGGATGACCCTTGGATTTTGCTATCCGTTCGGTCTTGACGGACTCTGCTATCTGCCACTGGGAATTACTTAATTACTTCACTGACCAGACTTACCTTGCAATTCTTAATGCAGCATACTCGAGCTTTTCAAGCCCACAGACTAGTCGTTGAGAATCCCAGGGATTCTCAGTCAATTGCAATATTTCTGGAAAAGGGGAAACTCGTCAGAGACCTCGACTCGCAGGCACCTAGCTTGAATGCACGTACTGAATTTTTTTTTCTTTCATCTCGAAGTTTGAGTGATAAGTAGGTTTACATGACTCTAGAGTGATCCAGCATGGCCGCCTTTTGAGAACCATATACAGGATACTCCCGATCCAGCTGGGAATGTTTCAGGGGCTCTCTAATCACTTATCGCACGAGCAGCATCTCTGCATATCGGCCTCTTATCCGCCCTGATTCAGAGCCTTGCATGCGCCGCCTTTGTTGGCGTTGCTCGGGCCTCGCGCGAGGGGACCACTTTCCCTTGTTTCCCATTACCAAAATACCCGACTCAAACCGGACACAGATGCCCGTGCCTTATCGGCCACTTGACTTACCCGCCCTAATCCAGCGAGTGGAAAGTCAAGTGTCGGCAAAGGCGAGTTTATCGCTTGGTTGAGCGGGGCGTTCTCCCCGCAAATCCACCGAGTGAAGCTTGTCATTGCTAGGTACATTTTAGTCAATGTGACTTCCTTATCCCTGGGGCACGGCTTGAGCTGGGAGATTGTCTGTGTGTGTTTTTTTGTGTTTGTGTTTGAGTCCCCCAAGGTCGCACTTCCCAGCCTCTTGTCTCACAATCAGTCCCTAACGCTACTCTGTTCAGCATTGTCTTCCTTTTTGCTCGGAAACCACGCCGAGCTATGGACGAGAAACTGAGAATCGACCCTCCCGGCTATGTCCAGGAGGTGAATTCAAGCCTACCTGTCAAACCTCAGGCCCGTGAGCCGTACGATGCGGCCGTATCTTTTGAAGAGTATCACTTCTACGCCAACCAAACAAGGGAGGAGCAGTTGGCTCTGGAGGCGCCTCATTGGAATGTGCTACAGCTTTTCCGGAAGAAGAGCCAGCTCGATGCCCAGGACAATTTACCCGTCACCACGCTGACCGAGGCCGATTTCAGAAACCCTGAGAGACGATTGCAGATCAGCGACGAGGAATGGACGAATGCAAGTCGTGCTTTTCGATCCGCGTCGGCTGGTGCCTGTGAGTAGAGAGTTCTCGGGGTCTGTCCTTGAGTTGTTGATACTTACTGGTGGTCTCAATAGGCTTCTTCCTCATTACCACTGACATTCTGGGGCCTTATGGGTCGGGCTATACCATGGGCACCCTGGGATGGGGACCAGGTGCGATACATCTCGGTGCTGTCAGTCTGGACGTGGGACTAATGGCCCTTCTTGACAGGCGTCGCTTTCTATACAGTCTTTGGCCTGATGGCTGGCTACTCTGGCTACCTAGTATATCGTGTCTTCCTCGGTGTTGACAGCCACGAGTTCCCAGCAAAGAATTATGGAGATCTAGCCTTCCGAACAGTCGGCCGATACGGACGACATATCACGAATGTTTGTCAAGGACTCGGGCTTCTGCTGATCACCGGCCAAGTCACCATTCAATTTGGCGAGAATATTTCCCAAATGTCCAAGTTCAAGCTTTGCTATGCTGTTTGTCCGGTGATTTTCGCCTGTGCAGGCTTCTTCATCTCGCAGATTCGCACACTTCGTGCTTATGGCTGGATAGCCAATTTTGCAGTGTGGTTGAACATTTTCGTCATACTTATGACTATGGGTGTGATGGCAAACTCTCCGCCTAACTATGGGATCGCGACACTCGGGTCTGCAGGAAGTGCTGTCAACAGCGCCACCATCACTCCCGACAAGGCGGGCAATTATCCCCCTATTATTCATTATAACAACATCCCCCCGGATGGTTTGATCGGTTCCATCAACGGTATGCTGTCGGGTGTCCTCGCGTATGCCGGTGTTCAACTCTTTGTCGAATTCTTGGCCGAAATGAGGCGACCTCGGGACTTCATCAAAGCAATGTGGGGCGCCCAGTTCTTCATCTACAGCGTTTACTTGATCTACGGCTGCGTGGTCTACTATCTTCAAGGGCAGTATAGCTTTAATCCAAGCTACCAAGGAGTGAGCTCCTACGGATGGCAAACCGCCGGGAATATGATCACATTGATTGGAGCGCTCATTGCAGGCGGCCTCTACGGGAACATTGGGATTAAGGTCGTCTACAATAACATATTTTTGGATATCTTCAAAGCCCCACCACTCACCACTCGGGTTGGAAAGATCATGTATGCGACTCTGTGCCCGATATGGTGGATCATCGCTTTCGTGATCGCGGGTGCTATTCCGGATTACATGGGCTTTGTGTCGGTGATCTCGGCATCCATGCTTCTGAATCTTACATACAGCCTCCCTCCTCTGTTTGCGCTTAGCTTCGACATTCAGAAAAACGGCATTAGACAGGGGAAGGTTTTGATCCGAGCACTGGACGGGTTGTCAAAGATGAGAGCCTCGTTCAAAGGTATATACGTGGGTTCTTGGCAGGCGGCGTGTTTCAAGTTGGCATCAACATTTGGCATGTTGTTTACTTCCTGGCATCGCTCTCAATGTGTGGCCTCGGAATGTACGCTGCTGTTACCGGTGGGTTTCCCATTTAATTTTGAGATACGCATGTGTTTGAAAGTCTAATGTTTTGTCCAGGAATGATCGACGCATTTACCAAGGACCAGTTGACGTCCTTTACGTGTGTTTCCCCACTCAACTTGAATGCATAGTCCGTTGGATAAGGTTGCGCTTGAAATTTCGAAATGATTCAAAGTCCTGATATATGGCAAGCTTGTGTTGGAAAAATGGCCAGAAGATAGGGTCCTTCACGGACCATTGTTCAATGTATCTAAGGCAGCAAGACATTGTTTCCCAATAACAAACTAAATCCACGCTATTAGATTGCTGCGCCGAAACATGACTAGTCTATTAACAAGATGCATTGTGAAATATCGCGGATTATATGTTATCTACCCTTCCACGGAGACGCGGCAGCATACCTCAAAGGCGGTGCGCGGGCTAATGTTGCCGTATGGCCGCAGCCGTTGATCCCACCCACGCCCATCCGCCATCGAGCTTGAAAATTTTAGGGTCTGACCGGAGTGTTTCGGTAGTTGGACATGGCTGAAACTCCAATCCAGCAGTCTGTCGCCGCGCCAGTATACATTCTCCGCGGCCATAAGGCCCCGATACACGCTCTGCACGTCTTCTCCCAAAACCTGCGGCTCGTATCTGGAGACGCCGAGGGCTGGGTAGTCATCTGGGATCTAGTCACCAAGCGACCCGTCACAGTGTGGAAGGCACATGAGGGTGCAGTCCTTGAACTCAAGGGCTTCCAGGTGGCTGCAGGAGGGTCCGAAATTTATACGTGAGACCAGTACTGAAAAGACTCAAGACCATCTGCTAATTCATCGTCTAGACATGGGCGCGACCACAAACTCTGTGTGTGGAAGCTTCGCGCAGAAGATGAGGACTTTCTCAGCAAGACTTTGCCGGTTGATGTTTCAGAATCGGAGCGCTCGGAAACTGCCACTCAGCCATGGCTGCTTCATTCCTTGCCTGTTAATGCATTGAATTTCTGTGCATTTTCCATGACTTTCTTGGACATCTCGAACAGCAAGTCTGCACAGCGCGCCCTAGAGCAAACACCTTCGCGGAGTGTCTTGTTTGCTGTCCCAAATGCACTTGATTCTGGCGGAATCGATGTCTTCCATCTACCATCTGAACGCCGTATCACCACCATCGCCTCGGACCCATCAACCAAGACTGGAATGGTGATGGCTGTCAATATGTTCGTGTCACCTTCCGGAGATGTATACGTTGCTTCTGCCTACGAAGACGGCCATGTCATGGTTTTCGTCCACAAGGGCCCTCTCACACCCGCCAGCTTTGAGATTGGCACCATTGCTGCAAATCCTTGGAAGTGGGATAAATTATATGCCAGCCGCCCGCATAGCCAGCCTGTCCTATCTCTTGACGTTTCCTCTACGCGTGACTACTTTATTACGTCTTCTGCTGATGCTCTGCTCATTAAACATCCGATCCCCAGTCCAAATTCCGCTGGCTATACCCCAACAGCTAATTTCACGGAAGATAAGCCTCTCAAGACGGTCAACACCAAGCATTCTGGTCAGCAGGGACTGCGCATGCGCAGCGACGGGAAGATATTCGCGACTGCTGGCTGGGACAGCAGGGTCAGAGTGTACTCGGGCAAAACGATGAAAGAACTGGCTGTGCTCAAATGGCACAAGGAAGGATGCTACACTGTCACGTTTGGAGACGTAAACCCTTTCTCTCAATCAACAACTTCTCAAATTCAAGCAGCGATTACTCCGAAAGGGGCAACTGAATTGGGCCCGGGGCGAGTTCTCAGCACCCAGAGCCCGTCACTCGCAGCTATCCATAACCAACGAAATGAGAAAGTACAAAGGACACATTGGCTAGCAGCTGGATCCAAGGATGGAAAGATTTCATTATGGGATATCTACTGAAAACATGCTAATGCTTTTTCTTTTTTACAATGCATCATCACCTCTCACACAAATCACAAATCAAGATTAAGCCAGGTTGAACTCGTTCGCGCCAGCCATATGCTCCCTCATCTTGGCTCTCATTTTGCGTGCCGCATCGTCGGTGTTTGTTGAAGTTGGTCCATCATCAGCGGCACCAGCCTTTCTCTTCTGTCCCGCACCACCGCGAGCAGCCTTGAAGTCCTTCTTCGTCTCTGCCTGGCTAGTACGCAGACCCGGGACATTGATTTTGCCGGGCCGATCGCGCAACGCGAAACTCTTAGCAAGATGACCGAGATGGAGTTCCTTGATATTGAACATGCTGCGCTCGGCAGCGATGTGAGTCGCGTAGGCACGGATGTGGGACTGGAATGCGCGACGGGCCATTTCGAGGTACTTCTGGGTTCTCCAAAGCCCAACGCTCCACATCCATCTGCCAATCGGTGGTCTTTTCCTCCCAATTCTTACTGTTCGAGCCGTTGGTGCTACCGAAGCCGCGCTTCAGGATCTCAGTGGCGTCAGTGCGGGTGAGCGCTTTGCCTCCGTCGCGGTAGCCGCGCTTGAGGACCTCGACGTAATTCTCTTCGCAGCCGGGCTGGAGGAAAATACATGCACGGCCGTCGCGGCCCAGACGGGCGGTACGGCCGATACGGTGGGTGTGGTCGTCTGCGCTGAAGGCGGGGTCGTATTCAATGACTAGGTCGACGTTGGGCAGATCCAGACCGCGGGAGGCGACGTCGGTACAGATCATGACGGAGGCGCTGGTGCTCTTGGAGAAGGAGTTAAGGGTGGCGGTTCGGACGTGTTGGGGGGGGAGCCGTGGAGTCGGTGGAGGACAACGGGGTTCGATGGGTTGGAGAAAGCTGTACCAGGAGCGATGGTGCCATGTGGGGAGAGCTTCTCTCGCTCGTCCTTCTCTTTCTTTTCTTCATCGTCGCTCTTCTTCTCCTCGCCTTCCTTTTCGGGTGTATCCTCTCTCCTCTTGCCGTGCTTTCTAGAGAACACCTCGAAAAGGAAATCGACCTCATCGGCACATGACACGAACACAATAGCCTTCATCACAGAGCCTTTTCGGATGAATGTTCTCTTCAAGTATGCGGTCAACGAGACCAAACGCAGTTTAGCTGCAACAATTGCGTAGGATTGCTTGAGCTGTGCGGGAACGCGGAAGTTTTCTTCTCCGTCATCACTTCCATTCTTCACGCCCTCATCCCCATCCTCCGCGTTCGCCTTAATATGCACCGCATCCTTCAAACTGATTTCTCCAAGACGTTGCACATTCATCTTCAGAGTAGCAGAGCACAGAACAGTAGTCCTTCGTGTTGGCACGCCAGGAATGCGACTGGGTCGCTGTCTCGCGTCAAGCTTGCTGACAATACCCTTCAATTCCTCCTCAAATCCAAGTTCCATCAAGCGATCACCCTCATCCAATACCAACCAGCGTACATTGCTCACATCCAGCGCCTGAGTATTATCAAGATGATCGGCAAGACGTCCAGGGGTGGCGACAAGAATATTTAGGCCTTTCCTCAACCGTGCCTTCTCTGATTTCTTCTTTTCCCCACCGATCACGGTTCCACAAACGATCCAGTTCGCGCATCGGAGAAGATTCTCCAAAACTACAGAGATCTGTTTGCACAACTCGCGAGTGGGAGCCAAGATGATCGCAAACAGTCCACTATCGCGGTGGACACCATCCTCTTTTGTAGCTTTTGAGAGAGCCATAATGCGCTGGACTAGCGGCAAAAGGTAAGCCAGGGTCTTTCCAGAACCAGTCTCGGCCTGTATGAATGCGTCGCTATCCTCCTTAAGCAACTGTGAGATGGAACTCTTTTGAATACCAGTAGGCGCCTTCAATTCGAGTTTTGTGAGAAGATGCGCGGCCAAGTTCGGCGAGAGGCCTAGGTTTGTGAAAGTGTCGAGCCCGTCGATCAAGGGGGCATTTGTCGGCTTTGCATCTTCAACAGGCTCGTCGGTCTTTGGTTCGATGGCGTTCTGAGCCTCGGGGTTCTTGGTGAAAAGCGAGGAAACGAAATCATTGGGGTTCTTCCGCTGCGATGATTGATGCTGGCCTCGCGAACGACCACCGCTGGGCGCATCGTCGGAAGTCCTTTGTCGCTTTGCAGGCCTTGTAGAGGGGATTTGAATGTGATTTGGGTTCTTCGATTCGCCGTGTTTGTTCTGGGCGGCGTCGGGGTTGGGATGATGCTGCGAGCGCTTCTTCGCCGTGAGGCGGTCGCGCCACCTGCCTCCTTTGAACTTTGCCTCGGGCTTGATGACAGAGTCACCGATGGCAAAGTTCAAGAGCATTCCATCGTCGGCCATGGTGAATGTATTACCCGATTTTCGGGTCTGTATGGGGAGTGACAATCAGAGCTTTGCCATCGAGACTTTTTTCCCGCCAAGCCAAGACCCGCAGGAATATTTTCGGCCCGAGCCCTACGGTCCAGCCCTACTTACCGCTTTAGAGGTATCAGCAGAAAATGGTCTTTTCTTTTATATGCTAACGCTAAATGATGATGTCTCTATATGTGAAGATTTAGCTGTTACTGCTGGGCTGCTGAGGCTGCTGAGGTTGAAGGATTATGTTGTCGATCAAGCGTACGGCAACCTTGCCGTCGCCCAGACCGCAGTCTTCATCAGGATTCGTCTCTTCCAAGGGCGCCATCTTCAAAGCTGCACTCAAGACGGCGCCCTTGGAGCAATCGACGAGATCCAGCTCATCAAGAGTATCGGGATCAGCAAGCGAAATGTAGTCGGTCTCGAACAATGCTCTCCGTTTGGGGGAGAGACCTTGTTGCTCGGCCAACACTCTATCGGTGACGTTTCGAGCAGCCCCCAAAATGTCTGCGCGTGAGGTGTGCCCGGACCGGTATGCCTCTTCGGCAGCCTTCAAGGCCTTGTAAATAGTAAGACCGACGGCGCGTCTACGTTCACCCAGGTAGACATTGCGAGAGCTAAGGGCTAGGCCGCTCGGTTCGCGCGTGATGCTCACAATCCGCACATCAGTGCCAATCAGGAAATCTTGAACCATCCTCTTGATGATAACAGTTTGTTGGATATCTTTCTGGCCAAAGTAGACGCGGTCAGGGGTCACAGCATTGAACAACTTCATGCAGACAGTCGCGACGCCACGGAAGAAGACCGGACGCGAGCCTCCTTCCAATTTCTTGGACAAGGGGGTTATGGTGACGAAGGACCCCTCACCGTCGATTTCTGATGAGGGAGGCTGGCTAGGGTACATGATTTTCGAGGTAGGGGCGAATATGGCCGAGATTCGTCCTGTCGATGTATCGGAGCCAGCCGCCGCCTTAGCCAGCTCCTGGTTTAATTGCTCTAGCTTTTCGACATCGCTATCCCAAGTGCGTGGGTAGCTAGAAAGGTCTTCATTCACGCCAAATTGAGTGGGGTTGACGAAGATGCTCACGAAAACATCGGTGTTTTCGCGGGCGGCTTCGCGAATTAGAGACATGTGGCCTTCATGTAGAGCGCCCATGGTGGGCACAAACCCAACACTGCGATCATTTCGTAGCAACTGGCGGCGCAATTGGCGGAGCGGAGGGACATCACGAAAGACTTGGAAGGAGGAGGGGTGACCAGCAGATCGTGCGGTGACGCCAGCTAGCATAGACCAAGCCGTCGCTAGGGCGAGAGCAAATGATGAGTATGTGTTGTATACAACAATTCTGAGCTGGATGGCAACATACTGGAGAAGGACCGTACACCGGTCACTAGTCGAGACATGATGGTTCAATACTCAAAGAACAATTTAAGCTCAACTTTTTTGCGCCGACGGTCTCCGCCTCCACGTGATGTGACGCCTCGGCTGTCTGGGGAAACCCGTGATTCAATGTCCGGGGGACGATCCCCAATTTGTTGGGAATTTGGAGTTATGGCCCTTGTCCCGCACTTCCCCTCCAGTCTGGTCAACTGCTTCACATTTCCAATGGTGTTCTCCTTATGACCTGATCTCTCACCTGTCATCACTACATTTTGCCTGCCATGCCACCTTCAAAATCGGTCGCTGCCAACGATCCTTCGGCTCCAGACCTGCAAATCGTCGGCAAGCAGCTTACAATCCATCCGTCCGGCTTCACTGGTGGTCCAGAAGCTCAGAATGAGGGCGTCACTGAGCGCAACCTGATTCAAAACTATACCCGCTTCCGCCAACGCCCCCTTGACTTCCTTCGTGAAGTGAGTCTGTACATGTCCGGTACCGGATGGCGCGCATACGATGATGTGATCGGCCAACCCGTGTTCTACTCGGGGTACTCCGAGAAAATTAAATCCACCATCTTGGGTAGCCCCATGTTACAAAACAAAGTCCGAGAGCTTGCAAGCACTCGACTTGCCGTTGAGGAGAAGGAGGGACTGGTAGATATCAAGGAAGGAGACACATTCTACCAGAAGCGAGCGCGACGCCGACATGAGATCGAAACTGGTCTCAGAGAGGTGGTAGACGATATGATGGACAATATGATCTGCAAGATGGAGAGCAAGTCATTCATTCGAGGCGCGTACTATCTGGCAACGCAACTTCTGACTCGCGCGTACCATCAAGGCATTCATGTGTCCAGTGAAGAAGTCTTGCGTTTGCGTTCAGTCGCCCAGGAGGCATCCACGAAGAAGCAATCGATCGTCTTTCTTCCCTGCCACAAATCCCATGTGGATTATGTTTCTCTGCAGGTTATTTGTTATCGTCTGGGGATTGCTCTGCCCGTCGTTGTCGCAGGCGATAATCTGAACATCCCTCTCCTAGGACCTTTCTTGCAACATGCAGGTGAGTAAAATTCTGTCGAGTGCTTCTTTGGTTTCCAGACTGACTCATTCGTAGGTGCCATGTGGATTCGGCGCAGCTTCGGAAATGACCCATTGTACCATACTGTTGTGCAGGCTTACATCGATTCAATGCTTCAAGAAGGTTACAATTTCGAATGTTTCATTGAAGGTGGCCGTTCGCGAACTGGGAAATTGCTATCTCCGAAATTCGGAATCTTGAACTTCATTGTTGACAGTGTACTGTCTGGTCGAGTGGAAGATACCATAATTTGCCCTGTCAGCACTCAGTATGACAAGGTCATTGAGACAGAGTACGAGTTTTACTGTGCAACTTTCGATTAATTACTGACCTGTTTTCAGATCCTATATCAGCGAGCTCTTGGGCCAACCCAAGGCGAAGGAGAACTTGGCTGATCTTCTATCTTCGTCATCAGTCTTATCCCTTCAGCTGGGGCGAGTAGATGTTCGATTCCATGAGCCCTGGAGTCTACGTGAATTCCTCACCCAGCAGCTCACGCGTCTGAATCTTTCGAAAATCGGCACCAACGCTAAATTGGCTCAGGGTGAGCGTGGCCGGATTCTCAGAACACTAGGATACCGGGTCTTGTCCGAAATCAACGATGTTTCTGTGATGATGCCAACAGCGCTTGTCGGAACTGTTCTTTTGACGCTCCGTGGTCGTGGGGTTGGCAAAGCCGAATTAGTGCGAAGATTGAACTGGCTTTGTGACCGTGTGCGCGCTAAGGGCGGCCGGGTCGCTCACTTCTATCAATCGCCCACAGAAACTGTTGTTGACCGGGCCTTGGATGTCATGGGACCAAAGCTTGTAGGTGTGATTTCAGGCTTGGTGGAACCAACCTACTATGCTGTAGATCGCTTCCAGCTGTCCTTCTATCGCAATATGACCATCCACCTTTTCATAACCGAGTCACTAGTCTCTGTTGCGATGTACACCAAGATCAAGCAGGGTGGTGGGCCTACAAATCAACGAATCGCTTATGATGCTTTGAAGAACCAGGTTTCTTTCCTCTCCCAGGTGAGCTTACATCCAATCATGTTTCATTTGCAGAAGTCTCTAATACTTCGCAGCTCTTTCGCGGTGAATTTATTTTCCCGCCTGAAGGTCTGGCTGCCAATATGGAGAAAACCATGCGCGGGTTGGAGATGGACGATGTGATTAAGATTACTAAGGATAGCACTGGGACACCACAGTACGTCGAACTCAGTGACTCTGAGCGGATGTGTGGTCGGGAAAACTATGATTTCTACTGCTTCCTAATCTGGCCCTTCATCGAGTCATCATGGCTCGGTGCAGTGTCTCTCCTTGGACTCACGCCGCCTCTTGACGGATCGAAAGATATTTGGCTTGATAACAAGAAGGTTCTGGATAGTGCTCAGCTTGTGAGTATCTGACAACAAATGAGGGCGCACTTAATACGTGGCTAACCTCTTGCAGCTTGGTAAAACCTTGTACCATCAAGGCGACCTGTCATATTTCGAAGCTGTCAATAAAGAAACCCTCAAAAACTCCTACCAGCGCTTCGAGGAGGAAGGCATCATTCTCGTTGCTAAAGACAAGGAATCCCGAGCTGGCCCATCCCTCAGGCTGGCGCCAGAATGGACCCCGGAGAGGGACCACACAACGGGCAAGGTTCTGCCTCAGGGACGCCTGTGGGACTTTACAGAGTTGATTGCCCAGTCTCGTCGTGAAGGGTAAGTAATCTTTAAAGGTAACGTCTTGAGCCTAAGCTAACAATGCATAAAGCAAAAACCGTCGCGATGGCGCCACAGTTTCCTCGCGTGTCCTAACTATGTCTGATACTGTCGGCCGTGAACTGTTTTACAACGCAGCAGCGCCTGCACCCGCAGATGTCGTCTCCAAGCAGAGACGGCGCCAGGCTATTGCGACCGATTCCAAATTATGATTTATTCATCTGAACATGCGCATGCGCGATTTTGCGTCAGTTTTATCCCCGTGTTCTTTGCTTCAGTTTGTTTGATGACTTTTAAGCGCGACGGTCGCACATTGTTCATAATTAAATACCCCTATCTCGTCGAGTCGATCGATTGTCGTCACTCCTTGTGTAGACACACTTGTGTACCTACTTGTCGGATTTCCGCTCCCCAATTCTTGACTTTCCTCTGCCGAACTCGTGCTCAGTACTCGCCGCTTTTTGCCTACTGAGTAGAATTGAGCACGCCCCTGAGCGGTCTGATCTACCTACTACTTGAGAGATTGTTCTTTAGACTATAACCGCCAGGTGGGGGGCGCTATAGGCACAGACAGTGGGGCCTCCCGCTAGCTTGACTGGGACTCACCCTATAACTGTTTTCCCGACCAAGGCAAGATTACGATGTACCCCCGAAGGCGTTGTGCCAAAATTTGTCGTTATGAACAAGTCATTTTCAAGAACTTGATTTGTATGATTTTTGAAAATGGCGGAATTAGACTCGTTGCGGCAGAATGTGATATCATGGGGCAATACAAGAGATGAAGAGTTTAGTCTTTACTTCACATCTGATTGTTAGATAGAACATTTTCTAAAATACAGATACTTGATTGCACCTAATACGGTTAGCCGGGGGGTTCAAATAATAGAGGTAGAGTCCAATGTGTTGACAATCTTGCCCACTTAAGGAAATGCTATGCGGCCCGATCAGCCTCAAGCATAGACAGAACCCTCACTTAACGTTTGAACCTTTGCATTTTCATAACAGGCATTAATGGTGCCATTTCAATTTTTGATACAAATGAAATACTCTGGGCTTTCAAAATCCAACTGTCATAATGTGAATTTCGGTCTCCTAAGAACAAATTGCTAATAATATAGATGAACAAAATCCAGACATGATAGAAAGAAGAGATTGTGAGATTGAAGACCTCATAAAGTATAAAATAAATTTGAAAAGAATGATAAGAGAAATAAAACCAGACTAGTACTGGCAAGGACAAACCACAGTGTTATAAGTCAACACAACCGGCGTCAATGTATCCACGTTTGTCGCATCATTCCAAATAGGTTGCCAATCTCCGCTGTATGCGCGGAATTCCGTGTAGCGTAGCGCTGTTGGCGAGGTAGCATACCACCCACTTCCACAGCTGACGATACCTGATGAAGTATCCTGCGAACACTTTTGCTTGGTGGTCGTGGAAGCAAAGCTGCCGAATTCAACCCACTTACCCTGCGCTGGTGCCAGGACGTCCATGGAGGGGAGCGCGACGAGATCACCCGCGCATGTCAGGTAAAAGACACCCACCTCATAGCCGGCACCCCAGCCACCCCAAAGGGGAGAGGAGCTGTTGTCAGACAGGTAGAGCTGTTTGCCATTGATGTGGTCGGGCCGGGTGGCAGTGATGGTGAAGCAGGACACTTGGGTCTGAAGGGGACAGCTAGTCGCGGTGGTCGCTGTGGCGGTTTGGGTACCGGTAACAGTGGTGGCGGTTTGAGAGACCACGATGCGCGAGAAGGTCTCGGTCTTGAGGGCGCCGAGTGCGTCTACCGTGCTGTACACGGTGTTCACTACACTACCGGAATAGGCAGTTGCGGTGGAGGTATAGAAGGTGGTTGTGGCGGTGCCAGTGGCGACCTGGGAACAGGCAAGGGAGATCTTGCTGGCGTCCCAGGCGGAGACCAGGGTCGGTTCGGCGACGACGGTACGTTTGGCGATTTCGGCGGCCTTGGTAGGCTGGGGAGCGTCGTCCTTTCTTTTGGTGATAGAGCGCTTCTTGACTGAGGAGCCAGTTTCAAGAGCTCGTTTCTTCATATCCGAGTCACCAAGGGATTGAGAGCCGGAGACGGTCACATAGGAGGTAGCGTCCACTGTGGCCGTCTGTGTGAGGACAGTGGTGACGGTGGGGTATTCGAAGATGGTGGATGTGGTCGAGATGGTTGTTGGCACAGTGGTCTGTGTGGTTGTGGGCCCGGTGCGTGTAGTGACAGCGTATGCGACGGAGGTGGGAGCCACGTAGCCTAGGTAGGAAGTACAGAAGGCAGCACCGACGCTGCGAAGGGAACTGACCTCATCTGCTGTTGGTATGTCATTGGGGACGTTGAAACACTTGGTCTGGCCGGCCTTGTCACCAGACTGGGAGAGAACGGTGGTGGAGCCACCCGTGAAAAGGACTTCGTTGTTAACGCTGGAATAGGAGGTCAACTCGAGCTCACCAGCGTTACAATATTCTCCATCATCCTCGATGAGGGCGGCGTTGAAGCCAATGGCCGTATCAGAGTTAATGTAGATGGGCTGGTGGCCGTAATTTGCGTTCTCGATCACAACAGCGATGGCGAGCGATGTTCTCATGATAGGAATGAACGAAACCTCCGCAGAAGAAGAGAACACCGGGTAGGTAAAATCCACGGTGGGTGACCAATTCGCGCTCTCGGTTGCGAGGTTGTTGGAGAAGTCCAGGTAGAGGGTGCCACTGTTCACGCTGATGGAGGCACCTGCGGTAATGTCGACAGCGGCGGTAGTGGACCACTGAACTCCCAGACTGTACAACACAGATGGTGTGATTGTGAACTCTCCGGGGACCGAGACGGGCTGGTTGAATTCGATGGTATCGAAGTTATAGGTCCATTCTCCAGACCAAGCGTCCGTGGTTTCAAGGCCCATGACGAGGTTTCCGGTCCAGCTCATGGTAGGCGTCATGAAGGCGCTCATAACCTTACCCGTGGAGGTAGCAATCATGACACTGCCTATGAATTCAAGGTTGGAGATGCTCAGACCGCAATCCACGCAGCTAAGCTTGCCGACCGAGGACTGCACCAGCGTCTGCGCTGGGATCTCGTACTCCACGCTTGCAGTGTAGGTAAAGTTCCAGTAGGTCGCGACAACTACCTCAAGGTAGCAACCCGTCCAGGTACACTCGATCGCATTACGGTTGGCGTAAGCCTCCTCGACATCATCGTATAGATCTTTCAAATCACAGATGAGCTCGGCAAGAGCCCCCAGTTCCTCATCAAGTGCGTCAAGGATGTCGCCAACAATGTCGCTACAGGCACCCTCCCAGAGATACTTCCACCATGCCTCGTCATTAAGCCCGGAACGCTTGGCGAGCATGGAACGACGGTGACGGTGATATGCTTCAGTAGGGTAAGACCGGCGGCGGGGAAATGAGGTGCACGCTTGGTGTAGACAGTTGTCGCAGGAACGTAGACACCGTTAGAGCAGTGACCCGCGAGATCGCTAGCGGTTTTATTCCACATCGAATCCGGGGATGGGAGACCGGCGTTCTGCAAGGCGTCTTCGAGGGCTGCTTGCTGCGTGGAGTTGGAGTTGGGGTTATAGACAGGGGTTGTGGTGTTTGCGGTGACAGCAGGCACGGAAACGGCGATGTTACCGTTGTCATCGTACGTGTTGTTCTGAGTCAGATAGGTGACAATGTTCTTCTCCTCGGGGGTCAGGTCCGCATAAGAAACCGAGCCCGAGCTCGGAGTTGGGGTGCTGCTGCCGGCCGCAGGATAGGACGCTGTGCAGGAGGGCGTGTAGGAGATATTGGTCGAGTTCACTCGTCCCATGCCATAAGCGACCTCCATGGTCTCTGAGACGTCAGCCCAGACCTTGGTGGTAACATCAAGGGTTATTGTGAGACTGGCTTCATCTGTGGTGTATGACTGGACCATGTAGACACCTCTCTGAGAGTCTGAGTTGCAGCTGCCAGAGTTGGTGATGAGGATGAAGTTGTTCGTGGGCCACTGGCTGACAATGTTGAAAGCCGCAGTGGTGGTCACAGTGACGGTTAATGTGTCACCGGAGCAGGTCACCGTGGCAATCTTGTACGAATTCTCGAGGGTCACTTGAGGATAGAGCATATAGTAGGTCACTTGGAGAATGGTCGAGCCTGTGGGACTGGCATAGTAGAGAGTGGCATACATTGAGGGGGACAGATTAAGGAGGGTGGAACCATCGACACTGGGGTCGAGGGCCGGCAGGACTGTGGTTCTCAACTCCGGGTCGGATTTAGCAGAACACTTTGGGAGGGCAGTCGAAGACGGCGTGGCCGAGCGGATCAGGGGTGTGGAGGAAGATTTGGTTGAGCTGATTCGGGTCTTCGTAGACGATATGGCTGAGCTGATCGGCGGAAGGCTAGTTGTCGCATCGCCTCCAGGGCACATCTGGGCTAATATCTGTCAATTTTTGGTTCTTCAATTGGCTCAGTGGGAAAGGTATATACGTACAGTACTTTACGGCAGCAATAGTAACGGGGGTGCAGCCGGAAGGCGTATTACCGCTGAAGATAGCCATGACCGTGTTGTTAGAGACACAGAACGAGGCCGCGCTATTGGTGAAATCCGAGTTTGACCAGGAGAGAGTGTTGTCTGTAATGGCGAAGGTGCCCCGAATGGGCCCTGGGCTTCTGGTTCCCTTAAAGGCCGCGCTTGATGCGTCCTTGTCGGCAGCAATTAGTAATTGATCATCGTAGAGATGCCCTCCAGTGAGATAGAAACGGTCTGCATCGGCGCAGCTGGCTGTGATGGAGCCAGCGCCAATAAGTATAGCGCTTTTGTAGGTCTGACGTCTCCGCTTTGCTTGGACCTGCTGAACATACAAGGCTAGCGGCTCAAGAGTTGCAGAGGGGGATGCGGATGCGCTGGACTTGATGACAGGAGTCGAGCTTGTACGTTGGACAGAACGAGAAGGCGAGATGAACGCGCCAGAAGTGAAAGTCTGAAGGGGAGTTGACGAAGGTCGTGGCGAGTTGGAGTGGTCGATGCTGCTGGAGGCACCTGAACCATGATGACTGTGACTATGACCGTGACCATGACCATGCCCAGACCCATGAATGGAACTTGTACGTTGGGCAGAATAAGATGAGGAAGTAGAGGTGCCAGTAGTGAAAGTCTGAAGGGGAGTTGACGAAGGTCGTGGCGAGTTGGAGTGGTCGATGCTGCTGGAGGCACCTGAACCATGATGACTGTGACTATGACCGTGACCATGACCATGCCCAGACCCAAGAATGGAACTTGTATGTTGGGCAGAACGAGATGAGGAAATAGAGGTGCCAGTAGTGAAGATGTGCGAGGCACTTGAATTAGAGCCAGAGCCAGAGCCAGAGCCAGAGCCAGAGCCAGAGCTAGAGCCAGAGCCAGAGCCAGAGCCAGAGCTAGAGCCAGAGCCAGAGCCAGAGCCAGAGCCAGAGCCAGAGCCAGAGCCAGAGCCAGAGCCAGAGCCAGAGCCAGAGCCAGAGCCAGAGCCAGAGCCAGAGCCAGAGCCAGAGCCAGAGCCAGAGCCAGAGCCAGAGCCAGAGCCAGAGCCAGAGCCAGAGCCAGAGCCAGAGCCAGAGCCAGAGCTAGAGTTGGAGCTGGAGGTGGAGCTGGAGGTGGAGGTAGAGCCAGTTGAGGTAGCAACAGAGTCGGAGCCAGTGTGAGTAGCAGTCACCGGACAGATAGTGGTGTAATCAATAATAGTATCCGTAGTCACGTACGTGGTCTTCTCAGACGCCGGGCAGTTCTTAACAGAGGACGGGCAGGCGGTCACAGTATGCACACTGGTGGTATAGACCGTAGAAGTGGTGTACCGATCATTTCCAAGACTAGTAGCTGTCTTTGTGGGCCAAGTTTCACCAATCTCGGTGGCAGCAACGATTTGTGTAGCAGACTCAGTGACAGGGCAGACAGTGGTATAGTCAATGATAGTCTCAGTGGTCACGTAAGTTGTTTTTGCTGTGGCTGGGCAATCCGTAACAGAAGGCGGACAAGCAGTCACAGTGTGGATCTTGGAGGTGAATACAGTCGAAGTAGTATACTCCTGCCCTGAGCCGAAGCCATTGCTAGATCCAAAACCTGAGCCTGAGCCTGAAATTGAGCTCGAGTCTGACTCAGAGCCGGAGCTTGATTCGGAGTCGTTGCCGAACGTGTTGGTAGAATCTCCAGACTGTCCGGGGTTGGATTGCAAGAGGCTGGGGGTAGTGGGGGAGGATAAAAGAGCGGTAGTGCAGGGACACACGGTATGCCAATTGGTTTTGGTCAAGGTGATGACAGCATTAGCGGCCGAAACACTTGCCAGGAGCAAAGTGCTCGTTAGAAAAGAGCGTGTAAACCGCATGCCTGGCGGCTATGGGGGGAGAAACAAATGCAATTAATGACAGAAATGAGAGGGAAACCTCTCTTGAAAGAGTGTGGGAAAACGCCAAAAGGAGTGACTAGAAATGTTTCTCAGAACATTTCGTAGTTCTCCCATGATTCTTTTAAAGATTAACTATGTGGGTAGTCTTCTTATCGACTCCGGAAATTTCTTCGCCTAGACTAATGCTCCTATCGGCTGGCTGAACTAGAGAGGGGCATTTTCATTTCCTTTATCTATATTTTTCATCATCTTACTCTGAATCCTGGTTAGGTTGTGGAAGTGTCTTCATGGAGCATTACGTGGCTGAATAGTGCAAGCCCCCCAAGGGGCGACAGAGACCCATACATACATAGGGTGTCAATTATAAACATCGTCTCCACTTGAACAGGAATCGATTTCAGAGCTGGTAGAAATGGCCGAGAGTTTATTCCTCGGCTACTCCGATCGACGCCATGGGCATGAGGGTTGATGAACACTTGTAGATGGAGAGAAGAAAATGGCCTAAACCAGCGAGGACACATATCAGGTATAGTCCCGTCACAAAATCGCACTAAGTGCATTAAAGCTGGCGGTAGAGTCCATACTTGCTTAGGGGAAGCTCGGACAAATACGCGCTCGGCTTTGAACGTCCTTGGGACCCTAGAAAAGACCGTACATCTCCCCACTAGTAAAAGGGTTCCTGTCCATGGCAGAAACAACCGAGCAAAGGGGACCCCTGGAACTTCGGTTCCCGTGAAACCCTTGATGAATTTCAGGAGCCCTGGAGGCTGTCATGTGGATTACTACGAGTCGAGTGGATTTGTGTCCATGTGTCAAAACGCTAAGTGCTTTCCTGGACCTGCTAGGATCGATGAAGGCAGATTAACTATAATTCCACTTGACAGTAGGATCTTCTTATCATCTGATTCCGGATCGAAAGTATGGAGAACCGCACGCCCAAATTCGTTAAACTTTCCTGTTCCTGGTTCCTGGTTCCTGACAGACAGAACTTTATTAGCGTGATGTGGCGGTGTCATCTTGTTACGCCATGCCATTCACTGCTTGAACTACGTATAAGATTAACTCATAGGCGACGTCTTACCCCTGCCCGTTCAGTCTCCAGAAAGGCAAATCTCCATTCAACGAGAAACAGGACACATGACGAACTGAAGCGGTCGTGGTCAATAGAAACTGGTTGACATGGGCCGATGGGACACGAGCTTTTACTTGTGTAGCCTCAGGAATATCGCGATAGTCTCTCGCTTAACCTACTAGCTTGCTACTATTGTTTTGGGCCAAGAAAAAGATGCAAAGAAGCACTCGCAAATGTGGGGCGGTCTCTTGGCGTCCGAGAGGCTGTGCTCAGCATTTGATATCTATTAGCAGCATCCCTTGAGAAGTGGATCCTAAGCCGGAGACGTCGGAGATACCAGCATCAAAACAAGGCAAAATAGCCGTGGGCAGACCCTGACACGACCCTGGGAAGACCCTATGACATTCTTTAGTGACCAAAAAAAAAAAAAGCACCTCCGAACATAGGTTGCATGATCGGTGAATTTCTTCCATAGCAGAGCACTTTTTTTTTTTTCGTATAGCGTCCCACTTCCCCTGGTGCTAGCTGACGGACATGCCGTCACCTTTCTTCCTTGGTCTTTTTTTTTCTTCTGCGCCCATTATGGAATTCTCCTTCTCCCCACATGGAGGCGAGAGTTTTTGGTCGCCTGCGCTTGTTATGACTTTGTTTTAAATTAGATAATTGTCTAAAGCCATCTCACTTAATACAATTGGTCTTCATTGATTCTGGCATTTATTTTCAATCGGCGCAATTCCTAGTCCGAGGGGATCTTGCCTTTACAACCGTAAAAATGTGATGAAAGTGCGGTAAACAGTGAACAGTCACCGATACTTACTCGACGGCGTCCTCTGAGCGAGCTGCGGACCATTTGTTCTCCACTCACGCCACATCTTCCCTTTGTAGATGCGAAATTTCTCCGGTGTTGAGAACCGACTGGCTCACACGAGCTTTGGCAGGATGCGACGCGAAATACTGCCAAAATTCTTACCCCTAACGTACAGGAACTAGGGAAGTGTCAGAATGTGAAAAGAAAAAACAGTTACTTCTTGATAAGTCGTGCTTCCGACATCATCTTCCTTTACCACCTGTCTGCTGCGTCCCGCAAGACCATTCACTCATTTTTACTCAACTCTCTTTTTATTTCACCATGCATATACGGACCTATCTTTTGGCTCTGTGCCAAACAGCATGGCAGATTCGTGGTGTTGCAGCCTCTGTGTATCAGAGTCGTATTCAAGAAGTTGGTACTATTTTCCCAGCACCCGCTGAATATGGCACCTGGCAGATGGTTCCCTACCAGTACAAGTACGCCAATGGTGCAGTTTATAGCACTGTCCCTGGTCTCGCCTATATCCAGACCATCGGAACAAGCTCTGGCAACGTCGAAGTACAGATTACCCTACCAATTACAGATCTATTTATATCGACGACACCACTGCGTTCACCGAGCAGGACAACGGAGTGTGGGAATTGGCCGATTACAATAACGATGGAACACTCGATTTGATCTACATCCAGAACCGAAACACCGACTCTGGCAAGGTGGAGATCACCGTCGCTTCTGGTGCATCAAACTTCAAATCTTACCTAGTGGAGAATCTTCACACAGTGTTCGACGTGCAGGTCGACGGCCGCTGGCAGATGCTAGATCTCAACGGCGATGGCACTCTTGATCTCGTCTACATCAAAAACAGCAACACGGCCTCCAACTACGCTGAGGTCTATGTGGCGTCGGGAGCTTCTCAATTTGCTACGCTGGTTAGCAAGACCGAATCGAGTCTCTCTATTAGCAACGATGGTACCTGGCTCCTGGCTGACTACGGTCTGAATGGAATCTATGATCTGTTTTTCATCCAGAACATCAACACCGCCTCTGGTTATGTCGAAGTGAATGTTGCTTCGGGTGCTTCCGGTTATCAGACCATCGTCCAGAGTGTTCACACCACCTTCTCGGTTGAGAACAATGGAACCTGGATGATGTACGACTGGAACAAAGATAATGTTCTAGACCTCATTTACATCAAGCAGGACAATACTGCGGGTTCTGTTGAGGTTCATGTGGCCTCGGGCGCAAATTAGGTCACCTTGTTGGCAAGATCTAATTCAGCTAGAGATCAACTTTCATTCATTTTCTGTGTAATTGATAATGGTATTCTCTCAGTGTCAACTGTGCGCTGGAATGATTGTCTAAACTTCATCTGCTTCTTTCTTCATCTCCTTCTTTTCTATTTAAGCTTGATCCATTCTTCCTAGTTTTCTTTTTCTTCTCTAATTTATTATGCCTATAAAAGCTTTACTATACACTATCTCCATCTTTATCCTTTACTCTCCCACCCCTACAATTGTAAAAAGGAATCAGGCCATCTAGAACTCTATAGAGGCACTGGACATACATATTGACCACGATACACTATAATAGTTAGTCAATTCAGAGCTATCAGAAAGTTCAAACTTCAGACTATTTAAAGCTACTTTAGTATTTTTATGAAACCTCCCACACCCCCCGCCCCCTCCCTCCCCAACGCTATGTAATAGGTTTCCAAATCTAATGTACATTTAGTAGAGCATAGAAATTACCTAGTAGAAGCTATAATAACATTAAGTATCAGCGCTATGCGTTGGTCGAGGATTACAGGAGGCAGCAAGGAGAGGCTTAATCTACGAGAGAGCGAGAAAACAAGACAGATAGAGCAATATGAATATTGAAATGGGAACGGCTCGATGGCTGTCTGGCGATGCAGACTGGACAACACACACACACACTGCCTGTCTGGTGTAGAGGATACTGGATGAGGCCGTACTGATGCCCTGTTGCGGCCGTGCGGGATAATCTTAATGCTGCATCATGGATAGAAGAATTGGGTGAATCCTGAATGAATTGGGTAGATGACTTGTCTCTCTCCAAGTGTGTCTGGAGATGTACTATGCACTGCAGACATTAAATCATGCCTGAGGCCACACATAGGCTCATTATGTCACCAGTTCTCCCACTACAATATATAATAGAGGGCTGGGCTGTTAAGAAGGGAAGAAGAGGAAGAAGCGCTATCTATCTACAGAAGTAGTCACCAAATTTCGAACACACCCTAATAGCGCAAAACCTCGAGAAATCTAGTCTCGATCTTACACACATAATCCCATTATTTTCTACATGCTGTAAACGCAAAGCTACCAAATCTATAGTTGGACTGTGCCGTCGCCCGTCCACTGGCCCTAAGGCAAGTTCCATTACCCGTCCACGATAGGTCTTAGGCGTTTTGGCAACGGGTAAGTCCGCCCATCATTCGCTTAATTTTATATATAAAACACCCAAAATGTGTGTATAAATCGCTGACTTATCTACTACGCTGCCCCATAACAGATAAGCTCCATACCTTCGGTTTTTGCGTGATCGTGCTTTAGTACGTTAAGGGAAATAGAGTTTGAATACCGAGCATCTCAAGGAGAAGGAGCATTGTAAAGCATGAGGGCCGTTCAAAAGTAAGTCACGAAATAAATAAAATTATGGGACGAAGTGCTGCTTTTGGTTTAGACTGAGCGTAGACTAAGTGCTCGATAGATGCCTGTGATCAATCGCTTAGTAATCAGTGATAGATGGGTGAGCAGCCGATTACGCTCACTGAGTATCACATGATGAGCTTGAGCAGCTCACTAAGTCTGAGCCGGACTGTGATTCACTCAGTGAGCCTGACTTTGAGCGCCCTTATAAAAGCGGCGGCAGATAAGACAGGAAAGCCCTACTTGGGAGCAGAAATATGGTAAGTAGAGTGACCTACAAACACTCAGACAAATGTTAATTAACTTGGTAACAAAGTTGGAATTTCTCAAGATAGTTGCTAATCCCAGTTACGATCAGCAACCCTCGCCAACAGTGATCGACTCGGATCTAGTTCCATTACCCATACCACCCACTGCTTCCACGACCACTGAATCGCCATTCGAAAGTCCAGCAACTATAATGGTAGTCTCAAAACCATTCCGCGGAACAGCCTGCTTGAGCTCGGACCCAGAATATACCTTCCAAGACTGCACATCCGTGGCTCCATTCCAGCTCACATAGACCGCCGTCTTTCCAGCTTTGCTCGTCGGACAAGCCACAACATCAGGTTTCGTAGATGGGCTACCAACCCAGGGGTAACGGTATGTGCGATAAGTCTGCATCGTATTGTCGTAACCGAAACGAGCGCGCATCACGATTGCGCCATTCTCATCGAACTCCTCGATCTTTGGCGTGGCGCCATGATCTTGCAGGACATGTCCGTTTCCAAGGCTCTGGTAGCTACCCTGAGACTCGGCGTATACGGGCTCCTCAGCATCCCACATTCGACTAACCAGAGTGACCTTTTTTGAGCCTTGCAGCTCAACATCAAGAACAAGGCCCGTGGTCAGTGCTGTGTGGCCCGTGAAACCGGTGTTATCGTTATTGTGCATGCTCAACGTTACACGCTCGCTGCTTTGAGACTCAAAGCGGACGTCATGCTGGTAACAGAAACTGGTTCCGAGACCCAATGTGAAATCACCACCAGTTCGGCCCTGTATTCCGTATTAGTATGTTGCAGATCGAGTGTTCCCGGAAAAATGAACTCACATGCAAATGCCAGATGACCGTTCCATTCTGAGCAATGAAAAATACGCTGCACATATAGCGCGACGACACCAGGTAGTTATCGCCATATTTGTAGATAGCGTTTAGATGGGGATATCCAAAAGGATATGTGGAATTGACACCTGAGCCCCCTGACCCCTGGAGTGGAGCCCAAACATCAGCCAAGGGGACCTGAGCAAGGTGGTTATGAGCACTCCATCGGAAAAGGATCTCGTTTGTCGCAATGTCAATCTCGTAGATAAGACCATCCTGGATCCAGCCATCTTTCTCTCCACCAATAGAGCTCAGATCAGCCTGAGTGACGTTGACCGCAGTAACGAGAATCGTGCCATTTTCAGTAATCTGGCTTTCGTGAATATCAATACATGAGTCGAATGTCATCGTATCAAACACTGTAACGATATTCTGCTCTTGGCAGGAAAGTGTGACGCGGTGGATCTCGTCGTATGAACTGTTCAAGATGCTGATATGCCCGAACCCAAATCCTATGCCATTATATCCGGTCCAGTAGGCGATGACCGGCTCGCCGTTGAGGATTTGGGGTTGGAGGGCGGAATAGTTTCCATTGGCGCCTTGCCATACTAATTGACCGTCATCTGAATAGATAGCTGGATGCCCAGTTCCTCGGGATATATCTTCCGGGGTGAGAAATAGATATCCGGGCTCGGTTTGGCCCATCTTTGTGACGTTCATGTATGGAGTTTGAATTGAGGAACTCTTGTAGCTTTGAAGGGGCCACAATGAGTCAGCGACGACAACGCTGGTCAAGCTTGCCATCAAAGTGAGCGCCTGATGAAGGCGACTGGTGATATAGTGGCCCATCTTGACAAATGAATTGGGCACTGAATTGGTTTCTTTGCGCTCTCTTGTGGCGAATTCATCCTGCGAGGCGATCACTTAATTTATAATGATGCCGTCGCGTTATTTGCCCGCAAAGATTTGCCGTGGAACCCCAGATCCCCGCATCCTGATAATCAGAGCCAAGCGTCGCGGTGGACTCCCTCGGCAGTCAATACCCCTCCCACGATACGACGGATCATCCGAGCGCAGGCTCTTTCAACGGAACGAAACCCGAGGATACACCCCACAATCACTCGGAGAGAACATTAGCGCAAGCAAAGTGTGTCCACATCGAACAGCATTCGTGCACGGGCTTGATGTCATCGGACGAGCTTCTCCCAAAATCAAGATTCAACTTCAGAGGACGAATTCATCCCAAGTTCTTTCTTGACGCGGAACTCGTTGGCGTCTGGACGAGAAACGAAGTCTCAATCTAAATCTGTGGGAGACGCGGAGTCAAGGACCCTTGACGGTCCCTGGTCACTAAAGGGTCATTGTGGAGAACTTCGGGAAGTGTGGGGGATGACACTCTTCAAGCCCCCACAACTGCCGATGTTATCTGGGGAACGTGGGTGGAAAGATGTCAAGGATTCCGGGCCAGTCGGCAGCTAGCTGAAGCGCTCCGTGTTAGAAAGTTGACATTCTGCGAGACTCATTCCCGTGGATAATGCCCCTCACGATCTTTGGTTCGCGCTCCTCATTTAGGTGTTTTGATGCCCCTAGCTTTCAGCCCGGGTCGCTGAAGCTTGCCCATCAGGCCGGCGTCAGGAAACAAAGTACCCCGCAAGTAATATATAGCCGACAGCCTGTCATAGGGCGTCGCGGATGGGCGATAATTATCGTTGCGATCGGCTTAGACCCGCTCAGTGGGGGGGGTCATTGAAAGTTCTCGTCGGCAATTTTCGGCAAAGCAGTGGTCACTCAGTGCCACAAACGGCCGGTTCAAGAGGCGTGGGAGCCCAGCTGCAGTGTGAACATCGTTGCTACGGACATCTATCGAGCCCACCTCGTGTAGGAAGTGAAGGAAGATGAATCCAAGTCCATGCTTTCTGGATAGGTCGATCAGGTACTTGCTATCCTCCGCCCGCCTACTTCGAGCGCAGTGTGGAGATCTCGATGTCAGATCAACGAGTCTTGAGGAGTGTCAAACCCAACTTGAACCCCTCGAGGGACGAGAACCAAGCTTCTGAGCGGGTCGCGTCTCTTTCCGATTGAGCGCGGGAAATGCCGGCGTTGAAACTTCTTCGAGCTACTCGGCAGCAGCATCCAGGATGGTGCACAACAAAGTCAAGCATCTTCAAATCGGTTGATCAATCTTTGGACGCACATGTGTGAAGACCAATAATGATAGCAGCACAATTTAGTCTTACGTCACGACTGAGAGCCCTCGCATCGAGATATATCGTTGAGGTATGTCAGGATACCCAGTTGGGCAACCATGTCGTTGGGGTGCTCACTCGAGGTACATTTGCTCTCAATGTTGAACTGCCGATACTAGGCCTGGAACAGTCGCCGCTTGGGCGCCGCGTCACCGCCCCACGAGCTACTTTGCGCCACTATTCAATGCCCGCCCAGGCGCCAGGTATCACTAACTAAAGAGCCTCCTGATGCTAGCATTCGACCTCCGAGTCAGTCAAAGATTCTCAAAATCTCCATGAGCGAACTGAAAGAGTATAGAAATTCATTGTGAATTTACCAAGTTTGTTTTTTTCTTTGGCGCCCGCCTCCAACCGTGCCGCCTGTCTGCCCGGCCGACCGACCGAATCCGTCTGCCAGCTCCACCGTGTCTCCAGACGCATCGAAAAAGACGAGTGGTTGTCTCACAGGAACGCTGAGATGACGAGTGGTGCTTTTTCAAGCATGTTGATTATGCATTAGCTGATCAGGAGTGAGCCTAAGGCTGAGCGCACAGACTCAAGTAGCTGTCTAGAAGCTTCTATCCGTCAAGAGCCATTCTCAGTAAGCAATCAAGTATATCTCTGGCACTGCGGATTGACTGAAATCTCTCAAGTACATGCTCGTAGTAGACAGCTTATTTTCATTTAGAGTTTTGATGTATCTAAAATTAAAAAGTCAAGTGGTCATCTGGATGAAAGCAGGTCGTTGGGCCGGGTAAATCTGGATCTTCGTTCTTGGTTCACCGAATCTCAAGACTTGTTAATTGATCAGAACCTTGATCGAGCTATATTTAGTACGGTACTAGAAACATAGCATTTACTTCTTATCTATGCACGCCCCGGCATATCCACACGGGTCCCACACGTCGCGCTCGCATATTTTCCCTCAATTAGAAGAGGTGATGTGAGAGCCTTTGTTTAATTGTGTGCTTGCTTGATTTAACATCTTAGAAACCCGAATCGAACAACGAATTCATGACGTTGCCTGTTCGCAGAATGTAAGCCACGTTTCACTTGACCATGATGGCGCTGACGACATGGCCCTCACATTTGGTGACTACGGTAGTGATCCTGCGGCTTCCAGTCGATCAAGCGGCAAATCATCGTGTTAACTACCATTTCTACAGTGTGAATTAGACGATCTCGAGGGGAATTAGTGAGTGAGGTGTTTGATTCGCTGACCGCTCCTCTATACCTCAAAATACGAGAGGTCAGATTGATGCGAGTCAAAAGATGAGGCGAAACAGGATTGGGTAAAATCCAATTCGAGTCGAGAGCAGATACTACTGAAAGAGAAGGCTCTAGATTTTGAATCCGAGGGTTGCATTTAAACCTTGGTGGACGTGGAGATAATTTTTGAGACAGCTTTATGCTTGTGACGCCTCACACTACATCGAGACTTGTTGGGCAAGGCTCGGAGCCTGATGGGATGTCGATAATTACAGCCTGATTGGGATATGATGGAGACATGGATCTATGAAACCGAGATCTATAGTGTGCTATTTTTGGGACAAAGAGGATGGAAGAGAAAGAACAAGCGTCATAGAAAAGTCCCACTAAATGGTATCTGCCGTAATTGCGGGCCACACCGAGGTGACCAAATCGCTCATGCAGCCTCTGCGTGGCGAGCCCGGTCGATTGTGTGGATTCCGACGTTGGATCTGTCTGAGACACGGGCATAAATCGCGGCCAGTCAGCTCGGGCGATAAGTCATCGGTGGATGGATCGATAAAGGTCAGCCCGAGCGGGTCCTGCACTCGAGACACATAGCGGAGTATAGCCAGCCGTTCGGCCGGATAAGAGTCTCAGAGTCATAGTCATCGTAATCGTAAAATAGATTTTATCCCGAATTGCCATTTTGGGTGAAAACGAATCAGTCGTTCTTCCCTCATCTCACGCTCGCTTTTGCCAAGACTCATTGGAAATTTACTTTGTTCGTTCTCAAGGCGTCGCACAGTTTCCGGCAGTGGGCTTATGCAGGATACCTGTTTATCATAGGCGGAAATGCAGCATTTGACGCTTCTCATACTGTCGTTATTGAGCACATCTGTCTGGGGTTGGCCGTACGATGAGTCTCTTGTGGATTGGAATCTCAATCAAAACAAGACCGCCCAAGGCCCCATCGATTATTGGGGAGCATGGCCAGACCATGATTATCATCCGTCGCCAGACAACTGGCGCTTCCCTATCTATACGATCTTTTTGGACCGCATATCTAATGGAGACCCGACAAACGACGATATCAACGGGACGAAGTTCGAGCATGTGGTCAACTCTAATCAGATGCGACACGGCGGCGACCTCGATGGCTTGTTAGACACGCTGGACTATATCCATGGCATGGGCTTCAAAGTGCGTTCATCCATCTCTGACCAAATCAGGAGCTAATGCAGACATGTAGGCGATTTACTTCGCCGGGACATATCTAGAGAACCTGCCCTGGGCCTACGATGGCTACTCGCCAGCTGATACCACTCTCCTCGACAAGCATTATGGCACACTGGAGGACTGGAGACGGGTCGTGACAGAGATTCATAACCGGGATATGTACGTGTTGGTGGACAATACGCTATCGACGTAAGTTGACCCTCCGCCATCATGTAATACATCTATTTTGGGTGCCGAGAAGCTCATCCGAGAACATAGGTTGAGCAACCTGATCGGGTTCAAAGGCCACTTGAACGGCTCGGCAGATTTCAAAGCAAGCGAATACAATGTTGAATGGGTCACAAATAGACAATATGCCGACTTTTCATTTGGGAACACTTGGAACGACACATGCAACTATCCCAAATTCTGGTACGAGGACGGGCATCCTTTAACAACAATGGGAGTCCAAGATCTCAAGGGATGCTATGATAGCGACTTTGACCAGTACGGAGAGCTAGAGGCGTTCGGTAACTTCCCTGACTGGCAGCGTCAGCTTACAAAGTTTGCCTCTGTGCAAGATCGACTGCGTGAATGGCACAAGCCGGTCCGCGAAGTCATTACTCGGCACTCCTGCTTCCAAATCGCCAGCCTTGACATTGACGGCTTCCGCTTCGATAAGGCTGTTCAAGCGACTCTCGAGCCCCTCAGCGAGATGATGGCCGTCTACCGTGAATGTGCAAAGAAGCTTGGCAAAAACAATTTCTTTCTCCCTGGAGAGATCACATCCGGCAATACCTTTGGTAGCCTCTACCTCGGCCGCGGTCGTCAGCCAGATCAGCGTCCGGCCTCTGCAGGTGCTGCTGCCAAATTGACGAATACCTCCGAAAACGTTTTTCTAAGAGAGGACGGGTTACAAGCATTGGATGCATCAGCATTTCATTATACAATCTACCGTTCAATGACCCGTTTTCTGGGGATGGATGGTAACTTAGTTGCCGGATTCGACTTGGCTACCGATTTCATCGAAGCCTGGAATGAGATGCTTGTCACAAATGACTTTCTCAATGCGTTCACAGGAGAGTTGGATCCCCGACATATGTACGGCGTTTCCAATCAAGATAACTTCCGTTGGCCTACAATCAAGAACGGCACTGCAAAATATCTTTTGGGTTTGAATGTTATCACACTGGTACTTCCGGGCATTCCTCTCATCTTGTGGGAGAGGAACAGGCAATGTACGTGTTCGATGCGACTGCATCCAACTATCTCTACGGACGACAGCCCTTGTCGTCCCAAACTGCATGGTGGACAAATGGCTGCTTCAACTTGAATACAACAAAATTCTACGATTTTCCGATTGAGAAAGGACGTGATGGCTGCAACGACATCACTGTCACCTATGATCAACGTAATCCCGCCCATCCACTTCGCAACATAATGAAACGAATGTTTGAGATTCGAGCTCATTATCCGGTCGCAAATGATGGTCTGTTTCTCCAAACAATCTCTCAACTCACGGAAGACATCTACCTTCCTGGTTCATCTACCACTCCCACGGTTACTGGTCTTTGGTCGGTATTGCGAGCCTACTTCCCTTCAGTCCAGACGGATGCCATCTTGTCTAATGAAACCCTGTGGCTCGTGTACCAAAATGGAAATACCACAAAGACATTTGGCGGCAGCTGCACCAACAGCAGCGCTGCCTTGTTGTCGCCTTTCACGTCGGGGAAAACGTTGAAGAACCTTTTCTATCCTTACGATGAGCTTACTGTTGATGATGGTCCCACCGACATATATGGATGCATCAAGGGTGGCATGGAGCTGCTTCCATGGGAATACCGAGCCTATGTGGAAATCGACATGTTTGTCAAGCCCGGTCCTACCGTCACTGAGTTTGTCCCTGGTCATGATTCTCGGTTACTGTCAGCAGAAGATACGAGCGAGACCATCCCGATTCAGCTTGGATATTCCACAGAAATGGACTGTGATATTGTTACCAACGCAATCACACTAAATTCCACAACCGAAAAAGGCATCGTCGCCTCTCTTGATACTTCCAGTGTCCGCTGCACCAATGTCACGGCCCGGACGACAGGCAACAACTACATCGGAGAGATCCCGACCGTCTGGACATGGTCGGCAAACCTGACAAATGTCTATCACGGAATCCATCAAATAACTGTTGCCAACATGTCCACGTCTGAGACATCAAAAATTTATACCAATTCAACCGACAGCTTTTTGATTCGCGTCGGCCTTCCCACGAATCCCCTGATCACCCCCCTGTCCAATTACTCCGACAGCCTCGTGCACAAGTCTGACGACGGTTACTTCATCAAGCATAATGCCGCAGGTGCTGACAAGTTCCGGTATTCAGCTGACTTCGGGAGCACCTGGTCGGAATGGACGACATATGAGGGTGGCAATACTAGTGTCACCATCCCGACTTTCACTGGGACATCCGCACAGGCATGGAAAGGAACTCATATCCGCGTGCAATACTTTTCAAGACTTACCGGGAGCAGTGATTACATCCAAGAAGGTGATTATGACTGGGATGAAGGTTCCGCTCGAAGGTTCCCCCACTTGTGGTTCAATGGCCCATTCAATCAGTACGGCTACGACGCGGGAGTGGACAACAAAATGCAGTATGACTCCAAGACTTTGCGTTGGAACTACGACTTCGTCTACGAATGGCCAGCCGTGGGACAATTGAATGCCTGGGGTCTAGACCCGTCGGGTATTCCCGACAATTCGGAGGTCTACGGTGATGTGGGAAACTCCTCCACAATATTGAAGCTTCCTCCGTCCTATCTCTCGTCCAACGTGATTAATTTTACCGATTTACCACCTTTCCCTCATCTCGGATGGAGATTCTCCCTCAATGATGCCAACCTACGGTATGAAAAGATTCCCATTGGATCTGGATGGGCCCAGCTTGCACTCTTCATTCTTCTGTGGATCGGTCCGATCATCATGGGTCTGGCAGGAGTCTTCATCTTTATCCAAACATTCTATCAAGTCAAGCTCAATAAAGACGGCAAGGTTCTGAAAGTCGAGGCGCTACCTCTTTCATTCTGGCGCAAAGTCAAAGACAAGTTCGCGAAGCACGACGACTCGAATAACACAGCTTCAGAGAATACTTTGCCTACAGGCATTACCGTAGGAGGGTTGGCTGACCAGAAACGACGCACGGTTCTGATTGCCACCATGGAGTACGACATCCAAGACTGGAAACTCAAAGTCAAAATCGGTGGTCTGGGAGTCATGGCCCAGCTCATGTCGCAAAATCTGAAGCACCAGAATCTCATATGGGTGGTGCCGTGTGTTGGTGATATCGATTACCCCGTTGACACACCGACTGAACCCTTCGTCGTGACGATTCTTGACAAGCCATACCTGGTGAAAGTTCAATATCACATTGTGGAGAACATTACCTATGTCTTGCTTGATGCACCGGTTTTCAGGCAGCAGACTAAGGCGGAGCCTTATCCACCCCGTATGGACGATCTTGAAAGTGCGATCTACTACTCGGCTTGGAACCAGTGTATTGCAGAGACAATCAAGCGAACGCCATCCATCGATTTCTACCACATCAATGATTTCCATGGGTGTGTCGCCCCGTTGTACTTGCTACCCAATCGAACGATTCCGGTTTGCTTGTCTTTGCACAACGCCGAATTTCAAGGATTGTGGCCACTGAGAACACAGAAAGAGAAGAAAGAAGTCTGCTCCGTTTTCAACCTCCCAATTGACATAGCGACCAAATACTGCCAATTTGGAAATGTGTTCAATCTTCTACGCACAGGTGCCAGCTATTTGCGCTTCCACCAGCGCGGGTTCGGCGCAGTGGGGTGTTCCCAGAAGTACGGAAAGCGATCATGGGCCCGATATCCCATTTTTTGGAGTCTTAGCAATATTGGCAGCCTTCCCAATCCCGATCCCTCCGATACTGGCTCCGTCGAGAAAGGCGCAGAAGTGGCGGTCACTGTTCAGTCTGATGCGGAACTCATTCATGATAAGCTCCAGGCACAGAAATGGGCTGGTTTGGACGAGAACCCAAACGCTGACTTGCTCGTGTTCGTGGGGCGTTGGTCTAAGCAAAAAGGGGTGGACTTGATTGCGGACGTGATGCCGAGAATCCTATCTGCCAGACCTCTTGTGCAATTGATCGTGATCGGTCCCCTCGTCGACCTTTACGGCAGATTAGCTGCAATCAAGCTCGAGCGTATCATGGAGATGTACCCAGGTCGTGTGTTCTCCAGGCCAGAATTTACGGTTCTTCCACCCTATGTCTTTTCTGGCGCCGATTTCGCCTTGATTCCATCTCGAGATGAGCCATTCGGATTGGTTGCCGTTGAGTTTGGTCGCAAGGGTGCTCTCGGAATTGGTTCTCGCATTGGCGGCCTTGGACAAATGCCGGGTTGGTGGTATACTGTGGAATCCGACTCGGCTCGCCATCTCTTGCATCAGTTGAGGACTGCCATCGAGTCTGCCTTGGACTCATCCCCAGAGACTAGAGCGGAGATGCGTGCGAACTCTGCCAAACAGAGATTCCCCGTTCTCGAGTGGGTCCAAAAGCTCGAGAAGCTGCAACGAACTGCTATCCAAATCCATCACGAAAAGAAAAGGAATAGTGTATTTGGTCACACGCGAGACTCTCAAGCAGACTGGAATATGCAGGGTTTGCGCCCTTCTTCAAGATCTCGCCCGGTATCTCATCAGTCAATGGTCGGGGCTTTGGAAACGACACCAGAGAGAGCATCGGATCGTATTCAGGCTTCTCTTCTGGAACTACAAGCAGCCGAGCTTGAAGTTATGAGAATGTCCGAAGGCCCCAGAGACAGCATGTTGATCAAGAGGGCACTGCGTGAGAGTCAGCTGGACGAAGGTGATACTACAGATATCGAGGAGGATGGCACTGAGACGCCGCAGGAGGAGAACATATCTCGCGAGGAGGCAGTGGCGGCAATCAGTTGGACTCTCGAATCGCAGGATCTCGGCGCATCCTTCTCATGATACTAGACACTCTCACGGCGAGTCAAATTCCGGCTCATCGCGCTTTGTCTCGCGAGACACGTCTCCAGTCAGAACACCGGGGCGTACGGAAGGCCTGGATTCCGGAAATGCTACGCCTGTTACGCACACGCGCAACCTCTCTGTTCTCTCCTTATTGTCCGTTTTTAAGGATCACAACCAACCCGTCTTCAATCTGCAAAAGGTTGACCCTACCTTCACTGACAGCATGGGCCATTTCACACGCAACTTTAGAAAGCTTCTCACCAATCTCAACAAGAAGAACTCGATCACCGAACACTGTATCGAAGTATACTTGACGAAGAGCGAGCGAAAGTTCTTCGACATGTACACCGACGCGCAGTTGAAAAAGCAGCCCAAGGTGGTGGAGCGTCCCCTTACTGGAATTGGTTTGAATCATACTGTTGATGATACGGAGTATGAGAACAGCTCGAATCCCCCTGAACATTCTGAATGGAAAGAAGTAGATGACATGAATCAATGGCTCTCTCGTCTTGGGTACAAAAGACCCATCGCCATCCAGAGATTCATGAGATGGCGTGTCGGCAATTGGCCTGTCTATGCTTTATTCTTGGGTCTCGGCCAAATCATCGCGACAAATTCCGCCCAAATCACCCTTTTGGTTGGTCAAGTTGGTGAGACTGCGGTCAAGCTTTACGTGATTGCGGCAGTCTACTGTCTGTCTTCCATCGTTTGGTGGTTCTTGTTCTATCGCTTCCCATCCGTGGTGGTCCTCAGTCTCCCCTGGTTCATCTACTGCATTGCATTCGTGATCATTGGCATCTCGCCATTCGGGCTCTCATTTGTCGGACGGGCCTGGGCGCAAAATGTTGGCGCAGGCGTTTATGCCGCTGCGTCTTCCAGCGGCGCCTTGTTTTTTGCCCTTAATTTTGGTGATCAGGGTGCCGTCCCTGTCAAGGATTGGATGTTCCGCGCAAGCCTGATTCAAGGCATTCAACAGCTCTACACGGTCGCGCTATGGTTCTGGAGTTCCCGGGTTACCGCAGTGGAAGTTGGAGGTATTACAACAGCTGCCTTGAGTACATGGAGACTCACGGCTGTCATGATTCCCATTGCCGCAGTGTGTTTTATCATCGGCGTGCTCCTCGCTCTAGGATTGCCCGAGTACTACCGTCAAGCGCCAGGGAAAATCCTCTTCTTCTACAAATCACTCTTCCGTCGACGCATTGTTCTCTGGTTCTTCTTCATGGTCATTATTCAGAACTGGTTCCTTTCCGCTGCCTTCGGTCGCAATTGGTCATTCCTCTGGTCATCTTCACACGCCAAGTCGTGGGAAGTCCTCATCTTGGTCCTCTTCTTCTTTATTGTTGTTTGGGTTTGTGCTCTGCTCATTTTCCGCATCTTATCCAAGGAGCATAGCTGGATCTTACCTGTCTTCGGTCTGAGCCTTGGTGCGCCACGCTGGGCGCAAACCTGGTGGGGGGCATCGAACATCGGCTACTATCTCCCATGGGCCGGTGGTCTTACTTCCGGGGCCCTCATCTCGCGATGCCTCTGGCTCTGGCTAGGCGTTCTCGACGAGATTCAGCAAGTCGGTTTGGGGATGATCCTTTTGCAGACGCTGACGAGAGTACATGTCTGCTTCGTCCTGTTGGCTGCGCAGTCTGTTGGCTCCATTGCCACGATCTGTGCGCGGGCTTTCGCACCCAACAAAATCGGGCCGGCTGGCATCTCTCCGGATGTTGGCTCTTCGTTGGATAGAGTCGGTAATGCGTGGTTCTGGATTGCGCTTTTCTTCCAGCTTTTGGCCAGGTAAGTACTCCATTGTCTTCTCCCACGCTTTTAACTCTTTACTGACCACTATCGCAGCTTTGGTTTCCTTCTATTCTATCGCCGAGAACAGCTCAACAGGCCATGAGCCTTGCACTCCTGAAAATCTGAGACCAATGACCATCATTCACTGTATAGACGGGGGATTTAATGAAGAACGACGTATGGAAACACTTTGTTACGGAATTGCGATTGCTTTAGTCTATTTTATATCAAGCACGAGAAAATGCTTGGGTGAAGCCGTCAGTGACACCTGGGACAATAGTCAATGGGGACGAGCATTGACTCTTATGTTCGAGAGTTTCTCGACTTGAGAATTGGAAAAGTATACAGATTCCAATACCACTTTCTTCTCAATTCTTTATTCTCATCCATACACGGGTGCTTGAAGTGTCGTTTCTGTTCAAGAGCTACGATATTCCGCCATAATCGTGCCTTCAGCTTTGGGTAGAGCACACAGATTCAATAGAGTAAAGTGCCAAGTCTGGGCTTCCCTTCGGTGCGACCCCTGTAACTCTATTCCAAGTGTTCCAACACCTTTACCTACTCGATTTTGCTTAACTGATGTACCAATATCAACATGTTGAATGTTAGAAGTCTATCATCTCACAAGGCACCATAAGGAGGAGAAGATGTAGTAAGTCAACCTAGGCATGTCACATGCAACAGCCATTTATATATCTCATAAATCCCACCAATGGATACCAAGCCCAGCTCGCTATAGATAAGAGACTTCTAGATAAGAGACTTCTAGATAAGCACCGAAGAGTTTCAGCTAAACCCTCGAGGGATGCCCGATCCGGGGCTGCATGGCCGCGCCGGTGTAATTGGACGGCCTTATCTGGCATCTGCGACATTTCGCATCCTTATCACACTTCGCTTTATAGTCTGTGATATCGATTGTCATCAACATGCTTTGTCAAAGGACTTGGCCTAAATGTCATAATATCGAAGCTCGATGCTCGTGTTCGAAGACCAGATGCGCGTTGTGGAGGTCTTGGCCGTCGGGTGTAGATAAGAATCTGGGTTTGGGGATTTGTTCATGAAATTGGGAGAGACGGGATGGGGTCTGGTTCTGGGTTATATGACATCCTGAATGTATTCTAGTCGTAACCTATTATTTCTTCATTGAACTCTTCCGCAATTCCATTCAAAAATTGAAGTCATTGAATCCGGTAATTCGAAAAACCTGGGCAGATATATATTTGAGCGGCGAGACTGGCTGTGGGCATGGCAACAGCAGTACGTCCCGCATCACCACTCACTTGAATTGTGCTTGTCACCTTCCCGTGCTTTGGGTGTTAATATTTCAAACAGCCAGTATACAATGCCTCCACCCCACGCGGCGGAGACCCGCTCAAGGTCGACGTGAACGCTCAATTCGTGGGCTTTGAGTGGAACTACACATACATCATCTTCTGCGGTTTCATTGTCTGGCTCATCATCCCGGGGATCGGTCTGCTATATAGTGGACTGGCGCGAAGAAAGTCGGCGTTGACATTACTCTTCCAATCGCTTATGATTGGTGCCGTGTGAGTGTCTCAGGTTGTCGGAGAACGATGACAGTATGGAGTCACTGACCAGCTTCTTAGAACAACTTTTCAATGGACATTCTGGGGCTACTCCTTGGCTTATTCCCGTGATGCGGGCCCTTTCATCGGGACCCTGAAGAATTTTGGATTGAAGGATGTGATGGCTGCGCCGTCGCCGGGCTCAGCGGTTCTTCCTGAGATCGTGTTCTGTTTCTATCAGCTGCTCTTTTGCGCATGCACAGTAAGATCCAGCGAATCCAATAGCGGTCGCTCACTCTACTAATCCCCCAAATCCAGGTGATGATCGTTGTTGGTGGCGCCTTCGAGCGAGGAAATATGCTTCCGGCGCTCGTTTTCAGCTTCTGCTGGGCGACCGTCGTCTATTGTCCCATCGCCTGCTGGACCTGGAACAGCAATGGATGGTTATACAACCTCCCCTCGTTGGACTTTGCTGGCGGCGGCCCGGTGCATATCGCATCTGGCTGGTCCGCCCTTGCATATGCACTTGTCCTTGGGAAACGCAAGCATCTCGGTGCACCCTCGCATGCTAAGCCTCACAATACCACATTGGTGTTCTTGGGGACGACACTGATTTGGTTTGGATGGTTTGGATTTAATGTGTGTTCCCCTATCCGCTCTCCCATAGTGATCTATTTACTCACGGACGACAGGGAGGATCGGCTCTGAATGCCAGCGTGAGAGCCATGCTAGCCGCATTCAATACTAACACGGCAGCTTGTACGGGAGTATTGGGGTGGGTGCTCGTGGACTCGATTAAGCATCGCGGCAAGTTCTCCGTCGTCGGCGCCTGCGAGGGAGCTATTGCGGGGCTGGTTGGAATTACCCCCGCCGCCGGATTTGTCTCCGTGTGGCTTGCGGCTTGCATTGGGTTCCTGACAAGTATTGTCTGCGCGCTCCTCCAGGACATCAATGATTGGATGCACATTGACGAGGGAATGGACGTGTTCAAGCTGCATGGGATTGGAGGGATGGTCGGGGCGTTTCTCATCGGTATCTTTGCGTCGTCGTCAGTTGCGGCGCTCGATGGCGCGACCGTGGCTAGCGGTGGTATCGACGGCAACGGGATGCAGGTCGGGAAACAATTGGCCGAGGTGTGCGCCATCTCGGTGTACTCTTTCACCGTTTCCTGTATCTTGCTCTACATCTTGGAATGGATTCCCGGCATGCAATTACGAGTTCACGAGGAGGATGAGATCATTGGATTGGACAGGGCTCAGTTTGTGGATGAACAGATCGGCGAGCGAATAATTCTCAATGATCTCTTGATGTCGCCGGGTTCTACAAGTGTGGTGAATGGGACGAAGGAGCTCACGATGTGACGGGATGTCAGGGGCCAAGTGTTGATAGACCGTTTGGCAGGCCGCGTACCATGTCATGTCCATAAATAGTAGAAATGTGCGCTGATCCGTGGCACCGTTAACTCGCGTCAAATCAATGAAGGTTGACGGGTGGGGTTTTGCATCATAAGCAAAGATCGAGGGAGCAAAGACCCTGAAACCAAGTCTGGGTCCATCAACACGAAATCCAGGTGTGGGGTGCAACTGTCTTGCGCGGCCTGTCATCCTGCAGTGTGACTGAACCCTGCAGTGTTTTGCCCATGCAATGCCATCGGCCCCGCGTTCGTCGAAAGACACGCCAAGGATTAGCATTGCGTAGTCCCAGCGTCTTATGGGAATAGTCGAAGAGAGTTTCCCCCCATCCACTCCGGGGGAAGGTATGAGCTGACGTATACTGACGCACCGTGGTGCCCCCCATGGGCCCCTTACTAGGCCCACCCTAGCAGGCCTAGCGCAACCGGTGGAAGGGCGAGATCAACACCGGCAAGGATGGGAGATATTTCCGTACAACGCCACGGAACTGCCCGAACTGCATTCCGGGATGACGAATCAATGAGACATTGTAGGCTGTAGTGTAGTTACAGAGAGAATACGAAGGTAAGAATTCAGTCAGATATATAGAGAGGAGTAGTATAGAGATACACATGCAATCAATCAACGAGGCAACGGCCAGTGGAGAAAACAAAAAAAAAAAAACCGACGTCAAAGTGTAACTTCACCAATTAACTGACACGAGGGACAGTTAAATTACATGACTTTCTTACCGTACTGCATCGTATTCATGATTGCGCTAGTCCTGATGCGGAATACGGCCGCCCACCCAATGTGGCTTCTTTCGAGGGAAAATCTGGCCTCGCCCCCCTGTCACGTATCGTATCGCCTCTCCCGTTGTCGCGTCCGTTTTTAGACAACCCTTATCTCTTTCTGCCGTTCTTCTTCTCATTTCTATCAGTCTTCTGTCACTCGTTCAACTCGCTCGCGCTCACCTTTCTGCCTGTCTGCTTCTTTGAGGCCTGTCTTTACTCGCTCACTGCCGTCCCTGGTCATGCTATTCGTATAGCCTACGAGTCCAAATGGGCAAGTGTACGTCAAAGTCGTCTCAGTCGTCTCATCCGCAATTTGCCGGTATATCTTAGCTGACTTTGACTTGTCTAGGGCGTTATGGCGTTGTCCTAGACGCTGGATCGTCTGGGATCCAAAGTCCACGTGTATCGTTGGCTACGCAACGTAGCTGCGCGCAAGGATGCCGATGTTGACGAACTGAAGTCACTTCCGGAAATCAAGACCAAGGAGGAATGGGTCAAGAAGATCCATCCCGGTGTCTCCTCCTTCGCCGATAGACCCGAAGCCGTGGGAACCGAGCATTTAGCGGAGCTTCTGGACCATGCGAAGAGCATCATCCCCGAGGAAGATGCTAAGGATACCCCGATCTTTTTGCTCGCGACGGCGGGCATGCGACTCCTCGGAAACCTCGAACGACAACTCCTACTCGATCAGATCTGCACCTACGCACGCGCCAATACCGAGTTCCTGCTTCCCGACTGCGGGGTTCACATCCAGGTGATTCCGGGCGTGACCGAAGGTCTCTACGGGTGGATTGCGACAAACTATTTAATGGGAACATTTGACTCTCCCGACAAACATGATCATGGCAAAGGTCACAGCACTTATGGGTTCTTGGATATGGGCGGCGCATCTGCTCAGATCGCATTTGCGCCGAACGCGACGGAAGCAGAGAAGCACGCCAATGACCTGACTCTCTTGCGATTGCGGAATATCGACGGCTCGGTACAAGAGCACCGAGTCTTCGTGACTTCCTGGCTGGAGTTTGGTGTGAATGAGGCGCGTCGACGGTATGTGGAGGCCTTGCAGGCGGCGACTGGGACAGACGTTCTTGAACTACCGGATCCGTGTCTGCCCAGTGGCTTGCGTACAACATTAGATGGGAAGGATGTTTCATCAATCAATGACGCGAGCACCACTTTACTGAGGAACAGGCCGGTTTGACGAGTGTCTGCGTCAGACATTCCCCTTACTGGACAAGGATGCTCCCTGTATGGACAACCCGTGTCTCTTGCACGGTGTCCACGTACCGGCGATCGACTTCGATGTGAACCATTTCATTGGTATCAGCGAATACTGGCATACCACTCATGAGATATTTGAGATGGCTTACAAGGACAAAGCCTACGACTTTAACACTTATCAAGAGCGAGTCAAGACGTTCTGTTCGCAGGACTGGAGCTCCATTGAGGATGGTGTTCTAGCGCAGAAGTGGGGCAAGAAGGTTGATGCTCAAAAGGCCTACGAAGTCTGCTTTAAGGCGTCGTGGATCATTAATATGCTTCACGATGGTATTGGCATTCCTCGTGTCGGTCTTGAAGATACCTCAGGTTCCTCTCACAACGGCACGAAAGAAGTCTTAGCTCATGGCCAGGAGAAGGGCTATCTTGATGCCTTCCAAGCTGTGAAGAAGATTGACTCGACCGAAGTGAGCTGGACATTGGGCAAGATCGTCTTGTACGCCTCATCGCAAGTTCCTGCACCGGTGGAAGATGCCATGCCAGTCGGCTTCGGCAGCAATGTTGCTGGTATTCCACCGGACTTCCAATATCCCAGTGTACAGCTGCTTCCAGATTCCGAAGGGTTCCACAGTGAACACTGGCACGATGCGCTCTTTGATGGAGACTCGCCGCGGCGTATTCCTGGGTTCCTTTTGTTCCTGGTCATTGTCGTGGTCGCATGCTTCTTCCTCTGTGGACGCAGCCGTCGCTTACGGATGTACCATCATCTCAACAAAGTTCTCCGTCGCGGACCTTCTCACCCAACCACCCCAAGAAGCGAAAGGGCTTGGAGGTATGCTGCCCTTCCTGAACCGTGGCGGGCAGCCGTATGAACGCGTCTTGGAGGATGGTGCTCAAGATTTCGAGCTGGGCGTGACGGATTCTGACGGGTCGGATGTGGATGGCGGTCGTCTTTCCGAGGCAGATGCCAACCCCCGGCCGCCCAAGCGAGCCTACAGTTGGGGAAGCAGCAGTAACAACCCACCGAGTCTGAAGTACACGCTCGACAATAATTCATCAGGCACCATTGGCTTGGGCATCAGCGGTGATTCGGGCATCGACATGGACCGAGCAGGTCTGGTGGTCAGAACCGAGAGTCGGGATCATTTGGCTCCCATCGCTCTGGGGCCCACTACTAATGGTCGACGATCGAGAGCTGGCAGTCCCACGCGATCTCACCATCAGAAATCCCCAAATATGACGCCTCTTGCCGATGATTAATGTGACTGATGCATATCAAATGATGATTTCCTAAAACATGTGCCGCCCACTTCCTGCATTGCATTCTTTACTGGAGTTGACCATCTGAATGTGTTCGCCATTTTTTTGGCGCCTGATTTGGATTTGAATTTTCCATATCCCGACGCTGTTTTCCCAGGCTTTGCCGTCCCGCAGGCAGTCTCTTGCTTTCGATTCTTGGTACCATATTCAATCCTGTGCTCTGGAGTACTCTTCTGTTCTGGGCTGTCGATTTGTTCCGGGTGATTTTGATGAAAAGGCAGTGTACCATTAGCGCTTCGAGACAGAATCTTTATCTAAAATGAACATAGACTAATATATTGCTCACACTATGAAACTTCCAAGTAACCCATTAGTCAGATCAAATAACGTAACTCATTGAAGTCATCTTAATATCTTGTTCACCAGCACTTTTGACTAGACCAAAATATCAAGTCACGTGTGCTGATGGAACACTCACCGCTCGGCAGAAAGGGCTGCGGTCCAAGATGATCTCGATTAGAGAAATCGCGACAGGTCTTTTTCGTCCATTGCAGCTTTTTCGGTTTTTCTGCTTGTTTGTCCGGTTTTTGATATCGATTCAACACATATTATTTCGATAGATTTGTTTATCAAGACCTGTCCTTGCCCCATCGTTGTCGCCGACCGCCACCGCCGCCATGCGCTTGACTGTTGAGCTCCTCCAGAACTCTCTATCATACATTAATCCGCTCAAGGACCGTGAGCTGGATCTCCGAGGTTCGTTTCACTACCCCCTGCCTGCCTGAAAGGAACAGGTACAACGTCTTGTCAAAGGAGCTGGATTGATATCAACTTTGCGCGTCGCGTGTAGGGCACAAGATCCCCGCAATCGAGAACCTAGGTGTTGCCAAGGTAGGTACTTTGCACTTCCAGCCTCGCTGCTGCTTCCTGGCCTGCTAGGGAGCAGTTTGTGGCCGAATTTTTGCTGTGAGCGCTATGCTAACATCTCGCAGCACCAAGATGCAATTGACTTCACGGACAACGACCTTTCATCGCTTGGCAACTTCCCTTTCTTTCCTCGACTTCACACCCTCCTTCTCGCGCGCAACAGAATAAATCACATTCAATCGACTCTGGCTTCGTCTCTGCCGAATTTGACAACCCTTATCTTGACCTCAAATAACTTGTCCGAGCTCGCGGACCTCGACCCTCTAAAGGCATTGACGAAGTTGACACATTTGAGCCTACTTGAGAATCCTATCACCCGGAAAGAGGTACGTTTACTTCTTCCCCGTCCTCTAGATATCTCGAATGGCGCCGGACATCTAATCCATGTTTCTAGCACTACCGATACTGGGTTATCTGGCTTCTCCCATCCGTTCGTTTCTTCGACTACCAAAAAGTGAAGGACGCAGAGCGCGCCCAAGCTAAGGAACTTTTCGGCACCACCGAAGAACCATCTTCTCTTGCATCCAAGATCATGGGCATCAAATCCCGAACCTTCGACGTCTCCGCCACCGCAGACCGCGCCCCGGCAGACAAAGCCATCCGAGTTAAATTGACCGCTGCCGAGCGAAAGCGCGTGGAACAAATGATCCGGGAGGCAAAGAGTCTGCAGGAAATCACAAGACTGGAGAGGAGTTGAACGAAGGCCGGATACCCGGTGGAGCCATTGGAGCGGGAGATGCAGACGGGGACGAGAAGATGCAGATGTGAAGTTGCAGTTGAGCTGCGTTCTTTGGGCATACGCTGCTTGTATTTCTCCAAGCTTGCTCTCGTATTTCGATCTTGTTTTCAACCTCGGTCGTTGGCATTCTCATATTATACCTGGCTTTGCTCTGGCGGGGTTGTGTGTTTATCGGCGGTTCTTATTTAACCTGGGTGCTATACCCGTTTTGCTTTTTTTTTTTAATTTCGAGGTACAGGAGCTAGCATTTGGACTGGGGTCCATATCCAAAATTACTCTCATTGCAGTCTGCTTTGTTCCCTGTGGCTTGTGTGTAAAGTGATTCACATAGCTTTTCTTGGCAATGATACCAACGCTGTCTGAGGCCGAAGTGAAAACCATCTTCAGAGAACTATAGCATGACCCTGCTTGGGCAAGACATGACTAGAGTGTCCTTCATGCTCTGGCCCTGCCCTCATGTTCATCCAATTGTGATATGTCGATCTCTGAATGTCTACCCTTGAGTGACGCATAGCCAGTGCAGATTGATGATTTAATTAATCCAATAGGCGGCCTCGGCTGAAGCCTTGGACAAATTCGATGTCATCAAGGAGGATCTTTGGGAGGGGCCAAAGAGAGTTCTAAACGAGCCTTACAGAGATATTTTCAAAGCAATTGAAATGAAAAAGAATGAAATATTGAGGACTCTTTTAGATCTTCTTCTCGATCGGGCCATAAATTCTATCTTGGCTACCGCCAGACTAACAAGAAATACCTGAGACCTCGGATCCCGAAATGAAGGGCTTTACTCAACTCTCGGGGTTCTGGAAACTCTAGATGTTATCAATAAAAAAAGCAAGACGACTGAAGTAAAATAGAACATTCAGCGTCAAGACTTAGGGCACCCATATATTACGCTTTTGGTCGCATTGGACAGAGGAACAATACCTCGAATATAGGCTTCGTGTTTTGAACGGGCAGATAGGCAAGTTGTGAACAAGCTGCGCATAACTTGATTTGACTGGGCACCGGATCGTCTCATTTGATGTATATTCAATGGACAGTGTTCAATTAGGGCCATCAGCTTTTTCAATCTTAACCTTAGCCCGTTGAAACGACACAATTTTGAGGCGTACCGTGGGGCATGCGAAAGCAACGGCTCAATGGTAATATTTTTGGCGGTTTCCGACATCCCATGATCTGTATCATCAACTAGTTAGGTCAAGCTTTGGATTTATCAGATCCACCATGCGTGGAAGGCCAGGAAACAATAATTTATTTCTTCAGACGTATCCGAAGTCATCTCAAAGGACACCTTGAAAAAGGCTTGAGAACGGCATACAAAGAGGTTACCAAAAGGTTTTTTGGAGAGACTCTGAGTAAGACTTCAAGAAAAGAGTAGAAAATAGGATGCTTATGCTTAATTATACCATCTTCTTTGTCGGGCTGTAGCAGTTTTGGGACCTTGGTCCTATTGAATCCAGCCACGTCGGCAAATCCCGCGAGGCGTTCCCTGGAAGCCAACAACCCATACGATACTCGCTCCCATGGATAGGGTAGAGGTCTCAGCCCACATGCCAACGTGCTAAACTATAGCAACCAGAAAGCTTTACTGGTCTTTCGGAGTGCTTGTTGCACTGGATCGGTGCGGCCTACGACCACATCGTTGCTGATTGGGTTGAAGAGACCACTTATGCGATCAACAATGCGACTCTAGAGGCTAGGCTTTATGATGATTTCAACTCCATGGGAGGCTCGGCTGGCTTCCGATCTATCTTTCCCGGCTGCGGAGAAGAGAATCACCAGGAATTGATCTCCATCGCTCAGAAATATGACCATCATGGTGTCTTCCAGACTTTAATGCCCGGTGGCTTCCAAGTGTTTTAAGCTCAACCACTGCGCCATGCTTCCATCGCTTGTATTTGGCGATTTGTAAATACTTTTGCTAAATACTTTTGTTCTGAGAACTTGACGTGTAGAATTTTGCTCTAGATAAGCCCTATCAAACAACTTGGATAGGCTGAAATGGCATTAATTTGTGGGAAAGCCTATCGAATGTCATCGATGGCCACATTCATACTTCCAAATTGTAGTAGCCATTTTCAATCTACGAGGCCTCAAACAGCGCCAATGAGGCTCGCATGGAGAAGCGCTAGCTTGCATCCCGTTGCCTATGGGTCAGCTTGCCGAGACTCTATGGGCTCAATCCTTTGCACATTGCCCCTTTTTTTCTTTTTACCGGAGAGAAGTCAATAATCGAAGCGATTGGTTTAGTTCTCACGATACCGTGACACGATTGGTGGTGGTAGGAGGGATGGAGAGGAGGAAACATCAGCTGATGGAGCGGTGAGTGGTAGTTGCATCACTCTCATTGACACGAAAGCGGGTAAGTCTTGCAGTGAACAGTGGTTCTATCCTGGCTGGGACACAACGGAAAACCTTTCCCGCTGAGGGTCGTCGTTGACGAATGTAATGCCTTTGCCGCTCACATCAAGGCGCAGTACCGGCCCCTGGAATTATCTTGACTATCTATCAAAATCTCCCGAAGTCCGAGGTTCTTCGCAGTATAGCTAGTGTAAATTAGCGTTGATCACAGCATATGATAATGTGCCGACCTGTTATCGGGTTCCTCGTCGCTTCCCCCTTCTTCCGATCCGTTGCTCCGCTCCTCACCTTCACTATTTTCCTCACCTTCATCTTCGTCATCATTGAAAGGGCACTCAATTGAGGCGTCCGGCCAAATCTTTTGATAGATCTCTCGTGCCGGCTTCCATTCATCCCAGTAGCCATCAGAACTAGAAAAAGCTTAGGGGGTTAGACCTTGTCAATAGGAAAAGAGAAATACTACTGACGACAGATAAAAAGAGTTCGGGGCCAACATTTTGGCTCGGAGTAGAATGCAAGTGACCACGTCGTCGTAATCCCGGCGACCCGTCTTGCAGTATTGCAATCCGTTGACACCTCGATTCTGGTCCTTTGGAACGAGTATGAAAGGCTCATAGGCCTCCTCGCCAGCACCGCAAATGTTGATTCCATCCTTTTCATTCACAAGTGGAGGTGTAACGATGTCTTCATCCTCAGTGGGCCCGGAAATCGTGACTCCGGCAGCGTCGATGATCCTCTGCGTATCTTTGACCAGCTGAGGCCAGGCAGCCTTCCATTCCGGGGACTCGCTGTCGAGGATCCTGTAGGAGTGTGTGTAACTAGGTCTCTGTGAGCGACTGTTACCTCAGTGCAGGGAAATGCGTACCCCATTTAATCCCTATGAGCTCGTCGTGCTTTATGCTTGGGAAGTGTATGGTAGGTATGGGATGGGAGCAGCTGTGTCAGCGTGAATTGAGCTGTTCGGAAACGAACTCGGAAACGAACACTACTCACCTAGACAGATATATCAAGCATAAAACTTCTAAGAAGTGTTTGCTGGAGGCGTGATTGAAGATTGAATGGGGAATTGAAGTGTAAGCTGAAGTGAAGAGACGCTCATGACGCGGAGGATAAAGAGTATTGGCTGCGTCAAAAGCCTCAAAAAGGACAGCGCAGACAGAGTCGCATCAAGAACGTGATTCTATCGGACTTGGAAACTGTCACAATATTTCTTTAAGTATTTGGAAGGGTGTACAGCTGGAGCAAGGGTAGTAATCAGAAGGCTCTGAATGGGGGTAAAAAAAAAACGTCCACTCGGAAGCCTGAAAATGTATGGGCAACGTTAAGTTGCCTTTTCAATTGGTCTTTATACATATCTTGCGCACGGTATAGGGTCAGTTGGCGGTGATGCATGCTGAAGTCATGATGATTTGTTATCTACTTTGCTGGAAACTGATGCCGACCCAATCGCGCAGCATCTGCCGAGCCCTCTAGAACGTCGTCTGGTACTGGGAAAACACTGGCTTGAATTTCAATATGATGGTACATTCGATTCTAGTAGAACCTCCAGGAAGCTTGGTAATCCCGACTCAACGGCTGATTTAAAATCAATGCCCGAACCAGCTCAATTGGCATGCGATTCTCCTGCAAAAAGCGATCGTGGAAGACTTTCTCTGCCATGTAATGCGTGTCCACAACTTCCTTGCGCAGAGCGTAGATTTGCAGCGCTCCTAGCATATATCCAGCTTGATAAAGAGGAGAATAGTCGCCATTTAGCGATCTCCTCACCCCTCCTTCTGCCGTCGCGCGTTCGTGGCCCACTTCGTTAACCAGCAGATCAATGCACTCTTGAGGAGCCATTTGGCCCAGGTGGAACTTGACAGAGAAAATGATTCGAGCGCATCGATGAAGACGCCAGAAAAGCATTCCGATTCGATTCCGGGGTGTTTTCGCAAATCGCTCATCATCCCACAGAATGAACTCCCAATACAATGACCATCCCTCGATCCAGAAAGGTGTGTCAAACAGGCGTCGATGTGGCTTATGTCGGGCATTCATATGCATTTGGAGATGATGACCGGGGATCATCTCATGGAACACCGTCGCGCGGGAGAAGTGAATGATGTTGCCCCGCATACTCATCAGTTTCGCTCCGTGGTCCATCGTGTCGACGGGATAAAAGACTATGATAAATTTGACGTTTGGGCGACATCATAAACAACTGCCATGTCTCCTTCGCGATTAATGGGACTGTGATCATGTCATGCTCTTTAACAAAAGAGACAGCTTCTTCCACAAGATCCAAGACGAGCTGAGTCTGTTGCCCAGGCTCAACATAGTCATTTTTGACTTGCTCCAGAGCTTCTTTCCACTTGTCTTGCAAGCCCATTGTCTGTGATGCCTTTTTGAGCTCTTTGATGCACCACTGAAATTCTTTTTCTCCAATGGCGATGACCTCCTCTGGTGTGTAGGGGATCACCTCAGCGCGCAGCTCACTGATTACACCTTCTCTGCCAATGGGATCCCCAACGATAGCATCCTCGTTGCCTGGGTCAATACCCACCAGTCTTTCACGGATGACGTCCGACGCGATCTCAAGCTTCTTGTCCACCATGCTGTATGGTTGTGACACCCACCAGTCAAATGAGGGATCGTATCCTTTATAGAATCCGTACCATTCCTTCAAATGGCTGCGAAGTGAGTCCGTTGTCTTTGATGCCCGAAAAGCGCTCGTCTTTTCCATCAAGACATCTTTTGAACCGGCTTTGATTCTTGCAATTATAGTGGTGATTTGCCCATCGACTTCACAAAGCTTCTGCGCGACATCTTCTGGATCGATCGGAACCACCAAAGCACGATCCTCGCAGAGATTTACCAATGTGTCAGCGAATGGCAGAAGTGGTGTTGCCTTTTTGTCCTGCTTTATGTCGAGTTCCAAATCTCGGAGTTGCCTTTCCAAGTAATTTTTGATGAGCAGATAGTCCACCTTTTCTTGCTGGTCATAATACTCGAAGGGCTGCTGTTGCAGAAGGCGCAAGCCCTCTAGTCAGAAATCGTTTTTATTTCCGCGCTCTTTTCACGGATATTCCGATGGGGAGAAAAGTCTTAATGTCGTTGAGATCTTCCGTGACACGCTCGATTCTTTCGCGTACGGAGTTCATCTGGGAACGCCCGAAAGCGACAGCCCTTGGGGAGGTGATCGTGACCATAATTCGGTCAGTGATGTTGTTCTGGTGACTTGAAAGTGCAATATTATTGTTATCAAGGGTGCGACGCCGTGCTCAAGACTCAGGTAAACCGAAGAATGGCGATCGACAGGTGATGAAGATAGGTTGCGGACTGGTGCAGAATAGCGCCAATTGGATCCCAAAATATGAATGAATACTACGCTACAACGCTGCTTAGTGTTGTTTTTGCACTATAAGTTGCTGCTCGATCAGAGTGGTCCAAGTGTTAGTCCATATCATAAAAGTGTCCTAGACAAAGGGAAAGACGGGCTAAGTGCCTATGCATGTTTCATAATCTGACGCGCTCCCCCAGGTAACTTTTCATTTAGAATCAAGCCACCTTCCTGCTCGTCTCAACGACAAGTTTCGCCAACTCCCTTCCGATGCACCTTATCTCATAACTCAATTATACTTCACTCTTACCGGAATTTCAGAATCCTCAGGCAGCGCACTCCAGCGACTTTTATACACGCGACCATCCTTCATTACCCCCAAGACATGCCGTTCAGGGTCATCAAATACAGTCACATCCTCCAAGGGATTCTTGCTCAAAATAATCAAATCTGCATGGAATCCTTCTTTGACTTGACCAATTGCGTCCTCCCAACCCATCATTTTCGCGGGGTTAATCGTCGCACTGCGGAGAATCTGCAACGGCTTCAACACTTGTGACCGCAACGCAAACTCGTGTGTCTGAGCCGAGCCCAGAGGACCGAGCAAATCAGAGCCGTAGCACATCGTGACACCTGCCTCAGCAGCAATTTTCAGGGCCTCAAGACCAGACTTGAGTACTTGGGTGTTTTTCGCCTGCGACTCAGGGGGCAAAAAGCCCTTCCACTGCTCCGATGCCATCTGGGCATAGGTGATCAGCGTGGGTGTCAGGTAGACCCCCCTTGTGTGCCATCATCTTGGCAGTCGGCGGATCGACAAAATTACCATGTTCGATACCCTTGACACCGTTATCAATGCAATGTCGAATAGCTTTTACCGTGTAGGCATGAGCAGTAACGAAAGTTCCGGCATTATTGGCACATTCAACCATCGCTTGAATCTCGCTCGATGTGAACTGCAAGTGCTCCAATTTATCGGTTGGGGATGCCACACCACCAGATCCCATGATTTTGATGAAATCTGCTCCGCAGCGTATCTCTTCGCGTACAGCAGCCATGCACTCAGGGACGCCGTTGCAGACTGCGGCCTGAGATGGTTGTTGCTGTGAGTCCCGCCGCAGCATTCAGTGGGCTCGTGCGGCCCGCGAAGATCGCCATGCCCACCGGATTGGGACAGAGCGTGTCCGGAAATGAACACACGCGGTCCGGGGAAAACGCCTTCTTCAATAGCCTCCTTTAAGGCTAATTGTGCGCCGCCACAGTCGCGGATGCTGGTGAAACCACGGTGCAGCATCTGAGCAGCCGTGTAGGGCTGTCTGAGCAAGTGGACATCATTGGGGTTTCCGAAAGCTTTGGAAAGGTCGTTAAATCCAGGAACAGCACATAGATGGACATGAGCGTCAAAAAGTCCAGGGCAAAGATAGCGGCCTTCACAATCGATGATAGTGAGATCGGTCGGAAGGGGGTCTGGCAAGGACGACAAGACTGATTGGATCTTGCCTTGGCGAGTTATCACAGCCGAGTGTTCAAGGATCTTCCCTCCTTGAACGTCAACGACGTTGGCATTTGCAAAAAGATAATCTCTGGGTTCTGGACGAGCCCAAGGCTTGATGTCAGAGCCTGGCACACTGTTGTTGGACATGGTTGACGATAGCGAATGGAAAATGGTCGATAATGAAGAAAGATAGCGGGGAAGTGCGGTCTGATATATACTCAACAACGTGATAGGAATGTAACAACGATCGCAATTCTGGGCCGAGTCCGCGATCGGGAAAATGGGCATTCATGGCCAAGTTGCCGATGCATCGTCATCGGACCGAGGCCCCGCTTGACTTTGATTATCAGCTCTCGTTGATCTTTTCCGTATCGGTAGGAGATAGGGAGATCAACAAAGCGCGGGCGGAATCCGGGGTCGGCAAGCTGTCCATTGTCTCTCATTTAAGATCGGCAGTGAACGATCTAAACTAGCTCAGATGTCACATCCTCATCGTGGAGCTTAGATTGTGCCTGCCTTTTTTGACTCACCATTCTGTGCTACGTGAGCGTTGACACCCATCCACCTCTGGACATGGAAAGCTCTAAGGCAAACGATCTATTCATGGCCGAGGAAAACCGTGAAGGCGGCGAAGTCATGGGTGTTTGTGAAGGGTATGAGGGGTACACTGCTGAAGAGGAGAAGGCTGTCTTGCGCAAAATTGATATGGTCATTCTGCCTTTTGTGGGTATTTCCCCATTTCTCCCTAGATCCGGTCAAGGTGGCTAACCCAAGATATTAGATGTGCTTTATCTTCTTCTTGTAGTACCTTGACACGCAGAGCCTGACCATTCATATTCACAGGTGGAAACTCTGGCATGTAAGTCTTTTCATTCTCTTCTCAACGCGATGCTCGCATCGAATGACTTACGAAGCCATAGTGGGTACTACACCGTGGCCCGACTAGCAGAACACGGCGCCCATGTTTACATATGCGCTTGAACCCCAGAGCAAGGCACAGCAGCCATCACCAGCATCAAGAAACAGGACCCCTCAGCCAATATCGATCTGATAACAATGGACCTCATGGGCCTCACCAGCGTCGTCGCGGCCGCGAACCCCTTCCTCACTCTCGAATCGGCCCTGCATGGTCTGGTCAAAAACGCAGGCATCACGGCGACGCCCTTCGAAACAACAAATGAAAGCGACGAAGCTCAGTGGCAGACTAACTACCTCACTGGGTTTTAATGGACCACCTACTTCCTCTGATGCTGCAGACAGCCAAGACGCTTTCTCCTGGCAGCGTGCGCATCATCAATCTCACTTCATCAGGCCACTTAGGCGCTCCCACGGGCGGCCTCAATTTTAAGATCTTTAGCGCTCAGGATTGGGGCCCGTGGTCACGGTACTGAAAAAGCACTCTCTCCAATATTCTGCACCCTAAGACTTTACATAATATTTACGGCCCCAACTCTCCCAGTGCGCGGAACGACGAGGGCGAGAACTGGATTCCGCCCGCACCTTTAGGTGTAGTGGAGACGAACCTCGCCACGTCTGTGAAGGCGTCAGGGCTGTGCATGATCAGTATTCTCTCAGTCTTACACATCTTTGGATTGATGTGGCCTGCCGATAAGGGGTCGTGACAGTTTGTTTTGTATGGCAGGTCAGGTCATGGAGCCGGAGCAGAGCGGCACATTTATAGAACTTTTTCGGCGTTTCGGGAAGCCGAGGTGGCAAAGCGGTGCAGCGAAGGATAGTGAACGTACGGAGAAGCTGGAAGAGTGGACTAAGAAGATGATGAACAGAGAGGGGCGAGGTAATGTGGTCAACTGGTTTCAACTTGGTTTACTTGAATCCAAGGTCATATCAGAACATCTTTCCCCCTCCTCTTGTTTCCGAGTGCAATTACAACGAGACTTTTGCCGCTGTCTTGCAGCTTTGTTTGACTAACAGAGGGCCGTCGTGACGAGAAAAAAAAGTACACAGCTCCTTCGAGGACCACCAAGTAAATCGGAGTTGAATCAGGAGTCTCAAAATGATCGACCAACAGCCTAGCTTACCGAGCGACATTGCAGTGCGCTTCTGTATGCCAGCAGAAACATTCACTCTGCTTTCCAGCATTCATGGAACTGATTTTTGACTTTCTCCTCAAATCGAATACATACAGGTAAAAATAAAAATAAAAAGAACAATATGTGGTTGGTAACGCTGCAGGCCACGGGACATTCGTTCGGGATAAAATCATGTCACCGATGTTCGACACCGAGCCACTCGTTGTTTACCAGAGAATATACACTATATCTATCTTTACAGTACTATGGCTGTTTTGAATACAATTCTCATTCATTGCATCTCCCTATCCAACTCGTCGCCCCTCTGGCCGGATATAATTACTAGGACAAGTCCAAGCACTCAAGTCGTTTCATCAAAAGGCCTCCCGAAGGCAAAATGTCATACCCGTCCGCCATGACCAGCTTAATTCACAACCCGCAATTGCGCCTACTCAATGCTCTCCGAGCAAACACGAAGCCTATCATGACCTTTCTATGCCTTCCCTCCTTTCGAACCGCTCAAGTAGTAGCCCAGACCGGCGTCGACGTTAGCATTTTCTCATTTCCCCTACTTTCTTCCTATTAATGATCAAAAAGGGCATTATCATCGATTGTGAGCATGGCTATATCAGCGATGATTCAATGCACAGCTCGACTGCTGCCATCGCTGCTATGGGCGTGTCACCGCTTGTACGTCTCAGAACGACTCACTCAGATTTGGTCAAAAGAGCTTTGGATGCTGGTGCACAGTGAGTAACACCAATGTTGCTCAAATTATTACTAACTTGCTACAAGCGGCATCGTTGTGCCTCAAATCAATACTGCCGGAGAAGCCAGGGCCGTTGTTGCTTGTTCCAAATTTCCCCCACAGGGTCTTCGTGGGCAAGGTTCGGCTTTTCCTGCAATCACCCACGGCATTGACATTCCAACATATCTAACAACCGCGAACGAAACGCTCATTACATGTTTTCAATTTGAATCGAAGGCCGGCGTCAAGAATGTTGACGCTATCTGTGCTGTACCTGGTGTCGGTGAGTGACTGGTTGACCGCAGAAACTCTTCCCCCAAGACTTTTGCGCTAATCTCAGTCAAGACATGGTTTTCATTGGACCAAATGACCTTGCTTTATCGGTTCTTGGCTATGTTCCTGCGAAGGGCGATGAGCCTGAATTCGTCAGTGCCATTGAAAAGATCGTGGCAGCTGCCAGAAAGCATGGCAAATGGGTTGGCCGATTATCAAACGACGGGGCTTCAAGCAAGGAACATCTGAAGATCTTCGATACCGTGGCGATGAGTTATGATATTCGAGCGATCCAAAACTGGTATACATCTGAGTTGCAAGTTGCACGCGCATGATGCACTGCGGGATTGAAGAGAAAAAAGCCAATTCTGATCAGCCAGATTGTATACTGATATACCATAACTTGCAATATGGGAATGCAAAGCTCAAGTCATTATGGCGCTCATTATTTTCTCTCTGCCGAATTTAACATCTTCCCAAGCTCCGAACAAAGAATTGATGTATTACTTCCATTGTCTATCTCCACCCATGTATGACTCTCAACGCGCAAATACCTCCAGTCTCGCCCGATGCTGAAACCTGCCTTGACACAGATTGCCAACGTATACAAGGGGCACTTCTCGGTATGGACCAACTTTGAATATACGTGCTGACTGGAGAAATCTCGAAGTAAGTACGAGTCTCAGTGTATACTCGATTCAGAAAGAAACGCAAGTTGTTCAAAGTCCTTCGCGAGATTTTACATCTTCACATCACAGGTTTCTACTAGTTCGCATTCGAGACTGATCCCCCGCTCGCTTTCCTTGTGATACATGTCTATTCCACACAATCGTATTCATATACTGTGGTAAAAAGAAGAGGATGAACCCATGGCGATGATCCGAGCTCGTACATTCAGGAAGAAATACATGTCTTACACTGCCCTAGAGACTTGCCTCATAATATCTTTATCCCTTGCGCTGAAGCATGTGGTATCCAAGTTTGTCTCTCGCTTCGGCAATTCAGGCTCCTTCGGCAATCATTCCTCGGATGCCTTCTTCGCTCTCCTCGATCTTTCGTGCGACTTCAGCCACCTCGCGAGCTCGATCTCGCGGAACAATAACCACTCCGTTCGCGTCTGCGACAACGATATCACGAGCCTGTACACGTACTTTTCCAATACCGATCGCTTCGTTGACGCCTCCCACTTGAACCCGATCTTTACCGGTCCGCATCCAACGCCCAGCTGCGAGGGTATTCATCCTCTATCACTCGGTTCACATCTCGGCATACGCCATCGATAACAGTTCCAGCGATGCCTCGCAAACCAGCGTATTGTGTCATAATGTCGCCCCAAACAGTACAGTCAGTGCGACCGCCATTGTCAATGACCACAACATCGCCTACGGCAACGTCGTCGATGAAATCGCCAACACTTTCAGGTGGGTTGCTGGCGGGGACGTAGCGCACAGTGTAGGCCGGTCCAACCGTGACCTTCTTGTAATTGGTCAAGGGCATGATATTGAAAGCCTGTCCAGGGATGCCAAGTTTATCAAGCGCATCAGAGACTCCAGGGGTGTCTGAGTCGGCAAAAAGCGCCGACAACTCTTGATCCTCGACACTAGCTTCCTTGGGATTCCTCTTGGTAGGTGTTGCGGCTACAGGAGCTGTTGATGATGCTGTAGCGTGATGTATGGCATCGAATTTCGTGTCATGCATGACCTCAGACACAGAATTTGCCCGCTAGGACGTCCTGGACCATAAGGGCTTGACGACGGTCAATCCGCTCTCCCAATTCCACGACTTCCTCGATGCGGTCTGCTGGGACGAACACTGTCCCGCATCGATCGGCGATCACGCAATCGCCTTGATTGACGGTGACGCCTCGTACCTGGATAGCCGATCCGGAGTCGAGTTGTACTATCCGGTTGCGTGCGCTGATCATGGTCACGCCGCGGCCGTAAACGGGATATCCGACGTCGCGACTGCCGTCGATGATGGTTCCACGGATGCCTTTGACGCGCGAGGCATTGGCAAGCATATCTCCCCAGCATGAGACTCCCTCCGCGCCGCCAGAGATGACGAGGATGCGATCATCAGTGGTGATCGCATCCACAACTGGGGTGAGGAGATGTGTTGTAGGAGCAGTATCTTGCTTAATGCCTACTTTCACAGTGCTGGCGCGACCAACAATCTTCGGGCAATTCCATAACGGCTGTAAGCCATAAGTGGCCCCTTTGAGCTGAAGGAAATCCAACGCATCAGACACTGTATTAGTGTCGAGTGCCGAAAGTCGATCCAAGAGGCTGGTCTGACTCATTGCGTCGACTACAATGATCGGTAGGTAGTCGAAATGGAAAGACCTGTGGAAGAAGTGATTCGTATGAAAGGAGAGACATGGACCTTTACGCCATGCTATATGTACGTTCAGTCTGATGGCAGCCGTGGCGATGACCGAACTCTGTGATTGCGCTCGGCGAAATGTGACCACACCGGTGCATAGAATCCCGGTGATGGGAAGCTATCTGCCGCATCCATTGCTGAGGCAGCTTTCTATCTGGAAGCAACACCAGCGGAGTGGTTCATCTGCCGATGATCGCGTCGGCGGGGCCAGCGGCGAGACTTGATGAGCGTCTCGTAGCACGAAGGCATGGTCCTTTTTCTCTAAGGAGCATAAGTATCAAGGAAGGAAGAACGACTGGCTGGACAGCACCCCACTGCCATCGGCATCCTCCGAAGGCACTCGGCAAAATACAATTATGCCGAAATAGAATAACCACTTCTTCATTACATTAAAGCTGGCTGTTACCATTCTTCGTAAGTCCGTGGATCTGCCTTTGATGTAACGAACGGGTTTTGGATAAGTCGCCGATGTTATGAACATTTCGTCTTGTCAATCGCTCGGCAAAACTGATCAACGAGGAAAGCTCATTCGCTGATACCCCAACCCAAGCCGAATAAGTTCGCGACTAATGACTATGCCATGGCCGCTCAGGATTCACGATTCTTGCTCAAGTACGTGGCGGCAGGCAATTATTCCACATCGAGATTTTCATTTCGTTGATATATAATCCTCTGTGCCTTTTTTATACTGCCTTATTTCTTTCTTGACCCACGACTCAGCTTTTGTCAGAGCCGTCTACGCGAAGGTGATTGGGTATCATCTTGTAGGCCAATTTCAAAGATGGGTAACTAATATCTTGACCTCTCGATCGCCCCCGCTGACACTGCGTTCGGTCTCATGGCCGACTTTGAGGCAGACCCTCACCCATGTAAAGTATCTTTGATTGCCGGGGCATATCGCGAAGAAAATGGAAAGCCTTGGGTCTTGCCTACCGTCGAAAAGGTATTTCAAAAAAAAAAACTTGCAATGGAATTCAGCAATTGACGGCTAGTCTAGGCAAAAGAGCACCTCAGGGAAGCCACTCACGAATACTTAGGCATAGCAGGCTCACCATCCTTCATCAACTTGGCAAAGGATCTCCTCTTCGGGCCTGTCGCATCCCGCCTTGAAGATAATTGCGCATCAATTCAAACGGTGTCCGGTACAGGTGCAAACCACCTCGCAGCCACATTCTTGGCTCGCCGCCTTCGCCCAAACCGTGTTCTGATCCCCGCCCCAACATGGATCAATCACAAGACCATCTGGGAAACAGCTGGAGTGAAAGTTGCCGAATATCCATACTACTGCTCTGCCACAAAGAAGATTGATATCGTCGGAATGCTGAATGCCCTCGATCATGCTGAGCCCAACGAAGTCGTCATCCTGCAAGCTTGCGCGCGCAATCCCACCGGAGTGGACTTGTCAAAGTCACAGTGGGTGCAAGTCGCTGACCTAGTCCGACGAAAGAAGCTGTTTGTCGTCTTCGACAGTGCTTATCAAGGCTTCGCGACTGGCGATCTCGAAGGTGATGCCTGGGCGATTCGCCTTTTCACGGAGAATGTCCTTGCATTCGATACACATCCAGGGCTGTGTGTCACAGTCATTCTCGAAGAATTTTGGGCCGTACGGTGAGCGTATTGGTGCTTTGCACCTGGTCGTACCGCCTCATCTTTCGGTTCAGGGCACACGTAGTGAGTTAGTGGCGATTGCGCGGGCAGAGTATTCCAATCCGCCGCGATTTGGCGCAAGCATTGTTGAAACGATCCTTTTGGATCAGGATCTGAGAGCTCAGTGGATATCGGATTTGGAAACGATGAGCTCGCGGATCCGGAGCATGAGACGTGAGCTGAGGCAGAGGCTGGAGAAAGAGACGCAGCATGACTGGGCACATGTCGAGACGCAGATCGGAATGTTCAGCTATGCAGGGCTAACAAAGGAGCAAGTTTCTCGGCTCAGAAGCGACTTCCACGTCTATTTGTTGCCGTCAGGTCGGTTGAGCTTGTGTGGATTGAATGAGGGCAATGTCCAATACGTGGCACATGCTATTGGCGAAGTCACAAAGTCCTAGATGCGCAGCTACCGTGGTGCAACAGACGCACAATGATCATCTCGCTCGAGACTTTATAGCATGCAAATAAACGAACGAAGATTAGTTTATTCTTCATCAAGGGTCCGAGAGTCAAATCACTAGTTAACAATGAGAGATTTTCATCTATGGTACATTTTAAGGTGTCCCTCAGTGCCTATCTTTGATTTGCATCTGCACAAGGCGTGCGTTTAGTGGAGTTGAGACTGAAATAAGACCATTTGGGGCTACATAGACGAACGAAATTCTCAGGTGATTCCAATAAAGGTTATGTGACATGGTGCATTTTAGAAAAGAATGAGATTTTATGCAGGGTGAACTTCGAACAATGAGCGTATGACATTTTGGCTATGAACAAAATTTTCTATCTCTATTTCGCATGACTTCTATTGCAAAACTTCACTCAACTTATTCTGTTCAAAAATACTGCAATTCGCCGCCACATCTCGACTGGGTTGGAATACATAGGGAAATGGCCACTTTGCAGAATCTCCGCCAATTCCACACCATTCCTTTTCTAGGCGCCCTAAGTACGACAGCCCGCTGTTCTCCTCCCCAAACATGAACAATCTTAGGACATTCCAGTCCCAAAAACATTCCGAGCAGGTCCTCATTATCCGATAGTCGCACCATAGACTCAAAGATTGGACGCACAGCGCCAGCTTGTACCCGCGCGCGTAAGATACTAGCATATAGGGGGCTGGCAAAGGATTTTGTCTCCCGAGTACGAATGATAAATGTATCGAGGAAGTCCTCTGGGTGATCGGAAGGGAAGTTGAAGATTTGCCGGCTTAGGAAGCAGTCCTCTGGCGCAAGATTGCCTTTGATGTCCACGAAGCTCAAGACTCGGTCAGGATACTTGTGGGCAAGAAGTAGCGCGGTAAGTCCGCCCATAGAGTGACCCATCAGGTGAAATTTGGTGATTTGGAAGTGCGAAAGAACTGCAGATGCTGTCGCGACGAGAAAAGAGATATCTGTGGTGGCAAGGTCGTCACTTTGGGAGTGTCCGCAGCCCGGGGCGTCAAAAGCGAGATATCCATAATTCTTCAATGCAGGGTTTAGAACTATGTCGGCCAAATCTTCCTTGCAGGAACCGAAACCATGCAGAAACAGGATTGGAGGGTTGGCATTGAGTTTGTGGATTGTGGAGAGGTTGAGGTTCACGCCTTCTACTTGAAGTGGGATTGTCGTGTACGTGAGCGCCATCCTGAGAGCCGTTGAAACAGGAAACAATGTGAAAGAAAAGTCTCTATTTTTTGGTTATTCTTATATATTGCGCTGTCGCGGAAACAATTTTCTGACGCTTGAGGTTCGGTCAACTGGCTCGGCATAAAGAGATTTCGCCGTTGCCAAATTCGGAGGAGGCGAAATTTGGTTGCCAATCGCAGCCACATCAGCCACACTGAGATCGTATTGTTGTTTAGGGCATACGCATTGAATCAACCTTTCTGTCTGCTACTTCATACGATTAGCTCTTGTCTTCGATCTGAGGGTGCATTGTGAAGCCACCCATGGTAAATGACAAGCATAATGGGCTTTATGGAGTCTGCCTTCAGACTGTATAAGATGCAATGTCTCGTGGTTCCAAAAGATTGGTTACGGACACTCAAAATCGGAGATTCGATCGATATTCAATAGCTTGTTTGATTTAGTGATTTGCATGAATCCCGCTACACCCACATTACATATTCTCCAAGACTACTCAGTAGAAACTGGTCGTCTAGATCTTGCCCTTGATAATATCGGCCGCTCGCTCAGCGATAGCGTATACTGTGCTCTGCAGATGCCCGCAAACTTGGAAGGGAATCACAGAGGCATCCACAACGCGGATATTCGAGGTGCCGTAGACCTTCAGCGAGGTGTCAACGACACCACCAATGTCCTTTGGCATCATAGCGGCCGTGCTGATGGGATGGAAGTTCGATCGGTCTAGTGGTTCATTAGCATAGACGTCCATTGTATTGCGGAAACCATCACATACAGTTGTTCTTAATGAAAGATGACCATCCCTGGTCATCAGCCATTGCCGGAACAGTAGAAATACCAGGCTTAGTCTCAGCACCAGCCAAAGCAGCGAACGGCTCGGTCTTGAATAGTTGACGAATGAAACGAGCAGCCTGGACCTGAGCGTGTAGATCGAAATCGAGCATGAAGTACTTGGGGTCGATGACGGGTGGGTCGGTCGGGTCAGCGGATGAGATGTGGACATTTCCACGGGAGAAGGGGACAGAACCCCAGTACTCGGTGTCGAGAGTGGCTCCAAAAGGCTCGAGCAGGATCTCGGCGATAGGAATGCGCGATTTGAAGATCAAGTCCCACTGGATCTTGAAGAAGCGCTCAATGTCGGCAACCTTTGTCACGTTTCCGTTGGCGGACACCACCTGAGCAGCGTAGGCTGGGAGCTCCTTGAGAAGCTGAGCACCGACAGCCGTAGCATTGGGGAAGAGCTGGCTCACGAAGGGGTATGCAACATAGTCTGCAACCCCAGAGTAACTTGATTTAGCGTCGAATGCCAGGCCGTTGTTCATTTGATCTTGGAGGTTCTCGCCAACTGTCGGGAGGTTCACTTTGGTGTCGATGCCATACTTGGAGAGAACGCTGGAGATGATCAGGTTGAATTCTGTATTTGTGCTGAAGGGGAAAGACACTTACTCTGAGTTTCCGACGCCGGATAGCTCAAGCAAAGCAGGGGACTTCAAGGCACCTGCAGCGAGAATAACCTCCCGGGAAGCCTTGACAACCGTGGTAGTGCCATTCGCCAGGGTAACCTCGACACCATCAGCAATGGCCTCGTCGCCCGTCTTCCAAGTGATCTTGTTGGCATTGGTGTTGAGCCAGACGTGAAGGTTGGCTCGAGTCTTATAAGGGTAGTAGTAGGCGCGAGCCGCGTCTTCACGGATGTTCATCTTCGAATCAACCGTCTTGGGATAAAGAGAGAAACCGACCATTTGGCCACCGTTCGGATCAATATTGTACGGCACAGGAACGGGCATGTTCTGATACGTCGTGTTCAAAGTCTGCGCAAGACCATCGTTCAACTGTGATTCGGACCAGCCAACCTTCAGAGGACCGTCAAATCCGTGGAAGGCAGGATCATACGCAACGCCGGAACCTTCAAGCCATGGAAAGTTGTCGCCTTGGAACTGCTCTCCCTTGCGGTAATAATGGAACAGGTTCTTCCAATTCCAGCCCTCATTACCAACCGTCTCCCAAGCATCGATTTGGGCAGCCTGTGCCCGAAGATATGCCATGCCATTGATGGTAGATGTTCCCCCAAGCGCTTTTCCGGCTCGAAGGGTCTGTGGGTGGTTCCCAGCATATTCCTGGTCCACAGTCCGGTAGGCCCAGTCAATATCGGTACCAAATGCATTCCCATATCCAGCCGTGTCAGTAACGTTGGGGTTATTGTACACTGAGCCCCCAGCCTCGATGATGAGGACCGTGGTTTTGTTGTCCTCTGAAAGACGGTTAGCGACTACCAAACCACTTGTACCACCTCCGATAACGATGTAGTCATAGGTCGGCTCGGTTCTGTGGGTATGATAGGGAATGGCGGCTGCCAAAGGAAGCAACGCAAGACCTGCGAAACTGCGCATATCGAATATATGAATAGGAGTGAGAACAGGAGTGTTCTACTGTCTCTTCAAGGCCCCCGAAGCAGGGCCATCATATTTATACATTATCTCTGGTGACACACAAGAAACCTTTCAGGAATGTGATAGTGGTACTCCACTCCCTCATCACGTCAGGGAGGATTCCCTCGGCCATCACTAATGGATCTGTCAGCACTCACCTTTAGCCTTTTCGAGCAGATTACTGATCTCCAAGATCCACATATGATGTGAGGATAGTCAACAAGGTGCATCAATGGTCAATCTGAGATGGATCCGACATCGCACCAAGACTTTTTACAAAGCAACGGGAAAATCTTTATCAGCATATGCTCCGAGGATCTTTCAAACAACGATCCAAATGGAAGCTACGCCTCAATGCCTTCAACGAGTATTTTTGCGCCTTCTACGTCTGATCAGAGAACCTTCACGCAAAGATACCGCTGAAGTAGAAGCACATGAGTGAGCCATGTGATACCGTCGACGGATACACCATTTTTCGTCAAGGTCCTTTTGCTTTGGTGCGTTTCATGTTTCATGATGTAACCGAGCGGAAGGGAGCGGAAGGGTGCGCCGGTCGCTTTCCTTTTGCTCTGACCCTGAATCATTGCCGAGTTCCGTTACGTCTATTGCTTCAGCACGTTAGCGCCGATCCTGTAACGGCACGGCAACGAGGGCTCAATGGTGTCATTCTTCACCGGTCGCCATGAAGGCGAGGGTGTGGAGAAACGGCTCGTGCTGGTTTCACCGACTTCTGGAAAAGGGTCGAGTTCCTTAAAACAATGAGCCCCTGCCAAGAGAAAATAGTCTTTTATATCCAAGACATTGCTTATCACATTCGCGACGGATGTCAAAAGTACCTATTGCACTGAAGCTCAAGACTAATGGGATTCAATTGAAATGTGCGGAAGGCATGAGAGCCAAACCCCGATCTGATAAGATAATCTCCATGTCATTAGAAACAGAGGGAGGTCAACGAAGCTCAATTAAACAACCAGAATTTTTAGAGAACTTTTCAAGTGTTCTCCTGTGTAGGTGGAGTCGGATGGCATATCACATTGCTTTTGTACTCTGGTAGTGGAAAACCCCCCTATCACAAACCATATCACTCCCTTATCTTCACCCTATCAAGAAGCTCATATGTTCTAGGAGGGCCTGAAACGATCTTATAAGGCAACAAATTGCGTCGAATCTGGCGAGAATTCGAAAGGGGAACTAGCAGAATATAAGTGATATAAATCAGAGAATTATTGTGACTAATGCTCAATTAATAGGATAGCGAATAGTACTACGGCGGCGTTTTACTATTCATTGGTAATTGCGGAATGCAGGGGCTTGCGCGCTGACTGCGCGCATCCATGTGAGCGTGGTACGGGAAGGAACAACGTGACTATGAACCATGCGGAGTTCGTTCTTTCAAAGGCTCAAAGAATCAGACGATGTTGAGCTGAATCTTGAGCGAAATGACTTTATCTTCTATACATAGATTTACAGCCGCCCTCGAGTTTTAGCCCAAGTCCTCAGTCTACCCGCCAACAGATAAACCTGATCACCAGCTAATTAGCCACTATATTTTCAAGCAATGTAGACAGTGACAGGATCTATGCAAGGAACTCTCTTCCTTCCTTCCCTCCTTCCTTCCTTCCTTCCTCCCTTCCTCCCTTTATCGGGACTGTTTTCGTAATGATTCACAATTTTTATAGTGCTCTCTGTACGTCCTTTCTGAGAGTTCTACTAACATCAGTACAGTTCTTTACAGAAATCAAAGCGAACAAAACACTTGTCGACACTACAAATGCGCATTATTCTTTCAACATCAAGGACAGAAAATATGACACACCCATTGCATATCTTGATGCCGATCTGGCTGATCTGGAATGGCAGAGCAGCATGCCCTTGAATCCAAGAGATATGGGAAAAAGAGCAGGTATAACTTCCAAAATCACTCTGGTCATTCCAGCTACTTATCTTGTCCCATAGGGCAAATACGACGATCCCGCCGTGTGGTACTGCTGGATTAAACAGGTCACCCTCATAGAGCTTTGTTTGGATCGAGAGGTTGGCAAAATCCATCAGAAAGCTTTGGACAGATTGGCCGATACAAGGAGCGACAAGTCTAAAGTCTACAACTGCCGAAAGTATGTAATGTCCATGAATAGCCAGTTCAAAGGCCTGCTTCCATCATGGCCGCTGCCATCGCTGCACCCAACTCGCTAGCTGGTATTTTCAACAGTCAAGTCCGTAAAATTGAGTTGCTGATTGACGATTTTTAACGCTTTGAAAAGGGAAACAGCTCAACTGTTGGCGCAGTTCGACGGTCTGGTATCAGATCTGGTATCAAATATGCAATTAGAATTTCTAAGAAGGTATGCTTTGTCTAATCCTAACAAGCCAGTGCTAGACCTCTTGTACTGACGAATTGCAGATTCCAGGTCAAGACATCTGCTTTGGATTTTGAGAAGAATGCACTTTTCAAGGTCAAGGAAGAGGAAAAACAGAAGTGGTCTGACCTTGCCACTCAAGTGAAGGATGATGGCTCATGTGTTCTGCGATATTCTTATGTGTGGTAGATGGTATTATATGAATTCATTCGATCATGAAGCAACATTAGTATTTTGTCTGTTCGTACCAGTCATGTTGACTCGTCGACTGTTTATCGGGCCGGATAGCCCTCCGGATGATGATTACCCGGAGTTTCTCAGTTCGGACCCCTCTTTGTATTCTGATAATTAACTGGCTTGCTTACTGCGAAGTACTTCGTAGTCATGGAGATGCCTGGCGATATTTTGCTCGGACTCATTTCTCCGCATCAATCAGGCTCTCGGATTTTCTGTCGAGACTTAGTCAATAGGCTTCGAGGGAGGGAGGGTGGCAGTGGTTGAGAGCCGACTTAGGGAGCGACAAATACCGGGGAATGAGGCCGGACTTTGTCTATGGACGGAAAGATTTCAGAAGAAAGTTGGCATTTGATATACTGAAGAAAGTGAACAGCAAAGACTTTGACTTCATAGCTATTGAATGTACTCAAGAGACGAGGAAATAGAATGAATGGGGGTAAGGATATGGGGAGAGGTGGGAAGGGGAAATGGTTCGGGTTTCTTTTCCGCTTCTGTCTGCCATCCGAGGAGAACGCCCGTCTTCACTATTGATGAAAATCACTTAGGAGGCAGAATACGCGATATACCCGGTGCAAAGAGTCCCGACCAACATGTGTAATCTAGGTCATTCTCTCTAGGAAACGGGACTGCACCGGCTTTGTCACTGGATTCCTTATCGTTCGACTGCGTCCTAGCTGGATCATGATTATGTCAGTGCCCCTTCACGCTTGCCAACATCTTCATTGCCATCGCCCCCATCGATTGAACACACTGGGGTTTGACATCTGTCTGCCTTTTGGTGATTTGTCGTTCCTGGTGGCTACTTTGATGCTATCGCATACTGTGAGAGAGAAAGATCAGGGATGTCGCGGCCTCACTGGTGACCGCGATTGTCAACGCTAGTACTTCGCTGAGTCTGGAATTTGCCGGCACAGTCGAGACTTGTAAAGAACGAGTGCTTGACTTTAGCCGAGACCCTGAAGATTTATCGGGGAGCGTTACACTCCTCTACTGGGCTCGGTGGCTTGGCTATCGTTCTCCATTTGATCCCCTCACTGAGAAATGACTAAGAAGTAAATGATGCCCAGACCGGTGGAAGCAAAGTAATCTGATGGGCGTAACCGCTGAGCAACTCCAGCCCGGGCGTACCTCAATTCCTGTTCGAGGATTTTGCCGAGCCGGCCGAATAGAACGCCACAAACTTGAAGTCCTGAGACACCGAACACAACACCATCCATCGCGGTTGCCGATCAAGTCTTTGCGTCATGACTACTTCCTAAGTATTCGACTCTAGGAAAATGACAATTCTCGACCCGAAAGCCTAGGTGGTATACAATCCAATTTCCGCGTATTTTTTTTCAGCGAGCCGTTTAGAGTTTATCAGGCCGGGTTGGTTGAACCGATAGGGTATCAATCATATCCATCAAATCAATCAAATCAATCAGATAATCTCAGTAAACTTAAGATTTTCTTTCGGGAGACATGCGCCGACTCAACTCAAAAACTTGCGAAAATGGCGCACGCCGCGGAAGAATTATATTATGAGCGACTTGAGCCCTTCCAAAGCATTCCACGTGTGACCCTGTGGGCCCTTGGTTGGCATACAAGATCTCCATTGGGCCTTTTCTCCGCTGCGGGGACTGCAGTAATTTTGCAATCAAACCTAATGTCATGATCACTCTTCTTGCGGTCTTCTTAGCCGCCCATAGCGCTTAGCCGGTGCTGGTTGACCTGAGTCTGCAGCTACTGCAGCTTAGACCCTGAAGGCATCCTGGCGTAATTTGAGGCATGAGGTCAGATGCCCTGTGTGGCAAAAGTCGGGCGATGAAGTGGATTAGTTTTTGACGGGGCCATGGAATAGCACGAGAAGCTTGAGAGCCACTTTCACCGTCGGGCGTTGATCAGATACCGATGCGGCGCTAGTAATTTTCACTTGATCGGACCACATCGTTTCTAAGGTTGGCACGGGCTCTTATCAATCACCTGTCCCTCTTTTCCCCAAGGACCTCGTCTGTCCTTCTCTTCTGCCCAGGCTCTTTGGTGAACCTCTCAAGATGGGTCAAAATAATGTGTTCGCCGTCACGGGTAAGTGTGCACTGCGATTGCACTCAATACTAGCGTCATCACTGTCGGACTTGAGCTGACCCGATGCGACCGCGCAGTGTTTTTCATCTGTTTCCGAGAATGTCTCGAAACGACCGTGGTTGTGTCCGTCCTTTTGGCCTTCCTGAAGCAGACTCTGGGCATGGGAGAAGATCGGAGAACATATAAAAGGCTTGTGAAACAAGTATGGCTAGGGTGCGGCCTAGGTTTACTGATCTGCGTGGCGGTTGGCGCAGGCATGATCGGTGCGTTCTATGGCCTCGGCACCGATACATTCTCCAGTACGGAAGACATCTGGGAAGGTGTGCTTGGTATCATTGCATCCTTGATTATCACCATCATGGGTGCCGCGCTACTGCGCGTTTCCAAGCTCCAGGACAAGTGGCGGATCAAGCTTGCCAAGGCAATGGAGCATGATGCCAATCCCAACGAAACGCGCCGAAATCGCCTCAAGAGGTACATGGAGAAGTACGTGATGTTCTTCCTTCCCTTCATCACGGTTCTACGTGAAGGTCTGGAGGCGGTCGTCTACATTGGTGGTGTCGGTCTGGGCCTCCCAGCCACTTCCTTCCCTCTTGCTGTGTTTTGTGGTCTGGCAGCAGGCTTCCTGGTGGGCTACATCATCTACAAGTAAGTTTTTGATACCTAGGCGGAAAAGGAGGGCCATGACTAACTCTTCGTCAGGGGTGGACGAGAGACATCGATGCAGATCTTCCTGATCATTTCGACCTGCTTCCTCTACCTGGTTGCCGCGGGTCTCATGTCTCGTGGCGTCTGGTACTTCCAGAATAATGCCTGGAACAAGGTCGTTGGAGGCGATATGTCAGAGGTCGGCTCTGGTCCGGGCTCCTACAACATCAAGCAGAGTGTCTGGCACGTCAACTGCTGCAACCCCGAAGTGGGCGGCGGTGGTGGCTGGGGTATTTTTAACGCCCTTCTCGGTTGGACCAACTCTGCGACCTACGGTTCTGTTATCTCATATAATCTCTACTGGCTCGCTGTCATGATCGGTTACGCATTGATGCTTGTTCGTGAGCGCCGCGGCCCTCTACCATATATCGACCCGGCGCTGAGGACGGTGGCCAATGCCAAAGGACGCGCCAAGGCCTTTGTCTTCCGTCAGAAATGGGAGCCTGAGCCCGAGGTTGTGCCTGTCCAAGCAAGTGGTGCCATTGAAACAGGCATTTTCAGCAAGGAGAAAGAAAGCGGTGCTGGTGTTTCCACCGTCATCAAGCCCACCTCTTCGGCATAGACGGTTCAAAAAATGGTCCGATATTTGGAGTCAATCTACGATTGGAAATAATGTTCGATGTCATAAGCAGAGAATTCGCACAAGCGGAAAGCCACAAATAATTTTAGAATAAACAAAAAGTAAGAGAACAGAAAGACTTGTAATTTTCAAAGCCATTGCATTTCTTGTGACCAAACAAGGAAGGTCCTCCAAGGGTCACATTATGGTGGAGACAACAACACTCTTTAGCAAAGCTTACAGTAGCGACATGGCGCGACCTTGGGGGATCCATTGGTTGCTAGCCCCCTCCTCGTGTTCACGTTCCAAGGATGCTGCCACATTCCTCCAATGGACGTATCCTGAAAAATCAGATTACCACTAGTTTCGGCTAATCAATCAATATCCTGTGCTTGTGCGCTGATCTGAAGGTCACACCACGCAATTTGCTTCCGTTGGGTTCCCAGGGCTGTCAACATCTCATACAGATCTGCACCCGCGATTTCGCGTGTTCCAGCCCTTTAGGGTACGTGGATTCCCGGAGCAACAAGCAAAGCCAGGTCCACCAGGGCCCACCAGGCCAAGCGGCCTGAGCTACGTGGGAAATTTTTCTATTACTTGTTACGAGCCCCACCGCGGACCACCGCAAGATCGATAATCTTATCGCCCGGTACGCAAAAAGTTCGGCCGATGTTGCGAGAACGGGCGTGGTCCTGGTCCTAGTGCTAGTCCTCTTCTAGGCTGTCCATTCTAGCGACAGCTAGCTTCTTTCTCTTCCTTGTTTTTTCTGTTCCAGTTCCAACAAGCCTTTTGGACATGGCGAACCTCGTAGAAGGCATGTTCGTGCGTCTCTGGGCGCTGCTTTTCGTCTTCCAAAGCTGCCAGGCCAAAACCGTCACCTATGATTTTAACGTCACCTGGGTGACTGCCAACCCTGATGGTCTCTCCGATCGCAAGGTGGTTGGTATCAACAATCAATGGCCCTTGCCTACCATTGAGGTGGACAAGGGTGACCAGCTCGTCGTGAACATGTTCAACGGTCTGGGGGATAAGGACACCTCGATTCATTTCCACGGCATGTACCAGAATGGCACCAACAACATGGATGGCCCTTCTATGGTCACCCAGTGTCCTATTCCGCCGGGCTCTTCTTTTACCTACAACTTCACTGTGAACCAGAACGGCACGTATTGGTACCACTGCCATACCGACTCCTGCTACCCAGATGGCTACAGACAAGCACTGATTGTCCATGACACCGACTCGTATTTCAACGATATGTACGATGAGGAGTTCGTGCTCACTATGAGTGACTGGTATCACACCTTGACGGAGGACATTACTCCTCATTTCATCAATCTGGCGAACCCGACGGGTGCGGAGCCTATTCCCCAAGCATTCTTGGTCAACGACACAATGAATACCAATCTACCCGTGGAGGCAGGGAAAACCTATTTGATCAGGCTGATCAATGTCAGCGCTTTCGTTGCTCAGTACTTCTATATCGAGGATCATACCTTCAAGATTGTCGAGATTGATGGTGTCTATGTCGATGCCACCGAAGCCGACACACTTTACATTTCTGTGGCTCAGCGGTATTCAATTCTCGTCACCATGAAGAATTCGACAGAAAAGAACTATCCCATCGTGACAGTAGCAGATTCGGTGCTAATGGACACGATTCCGTCCGACCTGCAACTCAACCACACCAATTGGCTAGAATACAATGCGAGCGCCGCCCATCTCCAAGCTGTGATGAAAGTGGATGTAGCCTCGGACCTTGTACCATACGACGACATCACCCTCGTCCCCCACGATAGAATGAAACTCCTCCCCGAGGCCGACTTAACGATCGAACTCTCAGTCGTCATGGCGAACCTCGACAACGGCGCCGGCTACGCCTTCTTCAACAATATTTCCTACACAAAGCCCAAGGTCCCAACACTATATACCGTACTATCATCCGGCAACCTCTCCACCAACGCCGAGATCTACGGCGAGTACACGCATCCCATGGTCCTAGAACACAACCAAGTTGTCGACATCATCCTCAATAACGGCGACGGAGGCTCTCACCCGTTCCATCTCCACGGCCACAATTTCCAGCTCCTCCACCGCGAGCCATCATACGGCGAACACTTCTACGACTATGCGGACTCCACTGACGGTATTACCTTCAACGCGTCCAACCACGAAGCCTACCCTCAATACCCAGCCCGTCGCGATACCTTTGTCGCGCCCCCAATGGGTAACTTCGTTGTCCGCTTCGTCGCCGATAATCCGGGTGTCTGGTTCTTCCACTGCCACATCGACTGGCACTTGGCGCAAGGATTGGCAATGCTGATGATCGAAGCTCCGACACAGTTGCAAGAGCGCATGACGATTCCAGACAGCGCGTATGATACCTGCAAAGCGGCCGGTGTCGCCTACGAGGGTAACGCGGCTGCCAACACGGAGGATTTCCTCGATCTGACCGGGCAGAACAAGCAGGTCGCTTGGTTACCCGCCGGCTTCACTACCAAGGGCATCGTGGCGATGGTATTCTCGTGTATTTCAGCCTTCCTCGGGATGGCGTTCATTTCCTTCTATGGCGCTACGGGAATTCAGGCTAAAAAGCAGGAGGGAGAAGAGTCAGCGGAATCAGCGGAGACCGATAGTTGAGTTCATTGGTAGATGAATTCACGTGAATATTAATTTCCAAGTCAATTTTAGCGTCGGTGTTTTGTCCCTTCATTGCCGATAGCGCGGCGTCCACTGGCTCCATTGCTCGATGCCGCTCATGAGGTATTCCAGACCTTTGGTGTATTTTTCCAATTCAGGGCGTAGGGTGCTACCATGTTCTTGTTTGAGATCTTCGCTAGATTGCTTGATCACGATCTCAAGTTCACGACAATAGGCGTACATTAGCCGCTTGCAGGCTGTGTATGACAGACCGGTCTCTTGGGATAGAATGTATATGGAGGAGAAAGGGCGAGATCCATCGGTCGGGTTGGCTTGATAGACTTTCGATTCACGGTCCCAGCTGTAAATGTCGTTCAGGACACCCATGAAGCGGAAGGCGCAGCTTTCAAGTGCGGCAGTCTGAGAAAGCTCGGTTGTGTGGAGGTGCAAACCCGCGCCAAATCTTATGAGCGCAGTGTAAAAGCTCCAAACTTGGTTAGCTCAAGTCTAATTCACTGAGATGTATAGATACTCACGTTCTACCCACGTCAACTTCCCGGAGCTGAAGGTATGGTCCAAGGTGTTTTACGGACATGCGATCCTCTGCCGTCTGAGCTTGAAGCAGAGCGCAGAATCCTTCGATGAGGTCCTTTGCCAGTGCCTCATCGGTGCTTTTCATGAGCTGGAATAGGTCAAATAGCATCCACTCATAAGGTTTTGCTTTGTCCGGCTTTGTTTGTCCTCGGGCAACCTGCATGACCCGGTTCCTATAGGACAGCATCTCTAGAAGATCCATCTTTTCCAGTTGATCTAGAAACCATGAGTCGGGAATTTCGCAACACACGTGTGCAAGTCAGAACATACCATCGATCAAAAAGATTAAGCAATGCAATTTGCAAGTCATTTCAACTCGATCATCGAGGGTGAGCGGGAAGAATTGGCTGAATGCACGGGACATGCCAAGCGCGAAGAAACCCTGCTTCTCCTCTTCGCTAGCAAATATCCAGTTCTGGTCAATCCATGGCTCAGTCTGGGACTGAATGGCTTCCCATCCCAGGGGATGGATCTTTGATTCTAGTCGACTGGGCGGAATCTCATACAGCTGATGATGAAGAGGGGCTTCGGAAGAGTAGCGCTTTGGCGCTATGACGCATAGTTGGAAGGGATATTCTCTTGACAGCTCGAAAACTCTCGATCTCGGTGGTCCTTTACGAATGCCGAAAGCCATCGGCCTGGCACAGGCCCTTGCGAAGCGATGCATGTCCAGGTTACGGGCATGTAGGGGATTAAACCGACACCATATGACGTCACCTGATGAAGATTCTGGATGATATATCTCGAATAGAGGGTTGTCACTGAGTTCAATGTTGAGGCAGTCAATGTTTATGGTGAGTGTCTGGACGCCGATTACCGATTAAGCCTGGACGCGTTCAGGAGATAAGATCGTGCACGTGCCATGGGCTGATCGGGGCCTGATGTCGCTGATGTCACCAATACCTGCATCTCCACGGACCTTGACTTCTTGCTCTCATCTTCGACCCGAATCTTCGAATCTTTTGTTTTCTACTGGCTCACATCCGCTTTGGGGCGTTTTTGGACTGTGTAAAGATCTTGAGTGCTTCTATATTGTCTTCCAAAAGGAGAATTCGGTTGTACCCGGCCAATTCGCCCAAGTCGACACCTTCTAGCTCACAAGCTTGACGTATGAGATTTACAAATGCTGCCTGCTTGTACCCCCAAGAACAGCTTGAAAAGATTACATACAATCAGTCATCACCTCATCGCGACGACAGTCTGCTCAGGAAATCATCCAGCGCCAGCATCTAGTCCAATCACGTCCAGGATGACGCTCTCACCAAGCACTCAACGCGCCCCATGGCGTGATATTCTTGACTCCCACCTGGAAGAAACACCAGGCTATGAGTTCACGATTGCGACTGTGGGTCATGATGCCCAGGGTCGTCCAGTTCCTCGGGTACGCACATGCGGGTACCGAGGCTTTTTCCCAGAGCTTGAACTGCATCCAAAAGGCCAACAAGCGATGGATGAAATGGTTGAGTGGGGCGGTAACCCGTCGGTCTACGAGAGTGACATGATGACATTCACTACTGACGTGCGGATGGAGAAACTGGGGCAGCTAGAGGAGTCAGGGCATGCTATTGAGGCTCTCTTCTGGTTGCAGGATGTTATGGCTCAGTGGCGGGTGAAGGGCAGAGCCTATGCGGTTGGGAATCCAAGTGAGGATGAAGAGGGTGAACAGGTTTCCCGAGAGACAGCTGCGAAGGGTTTGAGGATGAAGGGCGATGCCAATGGCAATACCACCGAGTGGACTTGGGAGAAGGCTGTGACGAAGTATTTTGCGAACCACTCTCCTATCATGCGAGGTATGTTGCTTTCCTACATCTTTTGATGCATTGTTGAATGCATCTCGCCTATACTGTTTGATTTGAATCTCAATGCTGGCAAACCTACATACTCAACCTGTTTTGCTTGTTCTTACCATGGTCGCAGGTTCTTTCAAAGCTCCGCCCCCTGGACAACCGCGGTCCAAGGTTCCGGATGATCAGGCATTGGGTCTAGGACAGAAAATCACAGATCTTCACGATCCTGTTGCTCGTGGAAATTTCAGGGTGGTAATTATCATGCCAGAGGAAGTTGAGCAGCTGGATTTGTCAAATCAGGAGGACCCCAAGAGATGGAAGTGGACGTTGGTTAATGACCAATCTGGGAGCCATTGGGTCGAGACCGAATTATGGCCGTGATACCTTCTCGGTGAGCAATCCGCACATAGAAATAAATACACGAAGTAGCCGTCATTTTCGGTTATGAAGCCAGAAGCAGTATTGCTTTGCACGCGTAGACACTAATGGCACGTCTCAAAACCCCTTCGGTAGAGGTGAACTGGAGTGTCCAATATGATCGCGCAATCGCACATGTTTGATTGACTAATCGCATGCGCGTTTGTCTCTCGCCTACATCGGTCTCGCCAGGCTGCTGATCGCGATCAGAGATTCCCGACAGCACTGAACCGCAAAGTCTTTCGCTCACGGCAAGAATCATGTCACCGGGAAGCAATTCAAATGCTGAGCCAGGTATGATTTCCTATCTGATCGTCGCGCGACACAAGGAAGTCTCGCTGATCTATCGCACTCCCAGTTAGTAGTGGTTGTCCACGACCTCAAAGTGACAGGCCGCGCGCCTGTGAGCTCTGCAAGTCGAGGAAGAAGCGCTGTACCCATCGAAGAGATGAACACTCGTTCGATGTAGACTCCGATCTCGTCATGAAGACTAGGCTTCGAAAGCGATCACGGCGTGAACTTGATGTAAGAGATAATTCCACTTTCTTTTCTCTCATTATCCCCTTCAATATTCTTCTTTCTTACCTCAGTCTAGATAGCTGAGAACAAGCAATCCAACCTTACCTCTGCGACCGCTTGCAGCTCTTCTCACATCGATTCCAACAAGCTGGAAGAGTGTAAAGATCATCCGCTTCGCTTAGGCTCAGCGAAGAAGAGAAGTCCTTTTCCTGTTGCCAAAAAGACCACCCTTACCACAAAGGGCAACAAGGCCACCCTACCTCAAGAGTACAAGACTGCCGCAAGCAAGACTACCAGTGGGCGGCTCCACGCGAGGCTCCATCGCAATGTCAGTCCACTCTGTCTTCGCCCGTGAGCTCCAGCACAAGTTGGATGCTTTCGAGGCCAAGTTTCGGGCCAGCGTGACTGCTCACCAAGCCATGCAGGAGTCAGCCCAATCTGTCAGAGACACTGTCCAGGAATGGGTTGACGCGTGGACTTCCGGTCAGTGATCTCTCTTAATCAACAGCATGCAAGTTCGGCGGATTCTTCCACGTCATTTATCATCATCACGGCACCAGGTGCAGGGGAGTTTCTTTGGCTTTGAGTTCCATCTGGATTGATCGTGTACCTGCATTGGGATTCCTTGAACTAATCATCTCGAATTCAGACTCTTCTTCTGTGATCATGCGTACTCCCTGACATTCCATGGAGGGCTCGGGTCATCACGTGTATACACGTGCCAAGGCCATGTGTGTCTGTGCTTTTGTCCAAAGCTCGGCCTCGAAACATCTCTGTAACATCCACCACGATCGCATCCTCGGACATGTTCGCTCGCCTCCTTAGGTGGCTTGATAGCTAGCCATGGATAAATACCATTGACGCTTGGCTTCTCCGGCATAGAGGCAAGTACTATCACTGCATGCTCCAGACAAGGGTAGAAGAATGTAATAAGATGCACGGGCTCCACTCTCGACGCAAAACGAAGCCAAAGCAGAAGCCGCCCTGACGACCTCTGTGCGATGGCCCCCGATCAACCAATGATCAGCTTTGATCGTAGCGACGGGGCCACCCGGACTCCAATCCACGGCCTCACCCGGTCGCCCGTCTCGCAGGATCGCCCTTGGGCCCAGCCGTGTCGCCCCATCCTGTAGACCCCGGCACTAGTACTGAGTCGCACTGGTATTACCGGGCTCTCTGTATTTCCATGCAGATCACGGGGATCACGGGGTCCTCGTAATCCCCGAGTCCCCGAGGCCGACCGTTACGTGTCATGTCCATCTTGGGAAAGGCATCTCCCATCGTCAGGGTTGATGCTCCGTCCTGGCTTCCAAATGCCTTTGTCTAGCCTGTCGCAAATCTCAATGTTAGCGACACAATCCCTGTCTCATCCTAGGTGCTCAACGGTCTGGAGTCGTCATGTGTGTGAACCCCCTTAGGATGAGGAATGATCTTCAGGACACAGTTCCTATCCACGAACTCGAGTGTTTGGATTGCCTCGTAGATCTTTAGGTCGTTAAAACGTAGACAATGGCATCCGCTCTTCTGGCCTGCAATTCCAGCTGTCAATGTCAAAAGATGCACATCATATAGTCTACACCGCTTCTTGAGGAACCAGATGCGTGAAGCTCATAGTCCAATGAATTTGTCAATCTGTTACTCCTGCGACAGTAGTACAGACCGAAGGACCGCACTCATGCAGGCGGCCTCCATATCCTTGTTTTGGGGGCAATCGAGTCGCTGCGTATTCAACACGTAAATGACGGTATGAAAAGCGCTCACCCGCATAAAATGACGACAGCGATACATACCGTACGATTACAGAACGCTACGATCACATCTCTTTTCTCAATCCATTCCCATCTCTTTCCCTTCCACCCCTCCCCATACTCTTAAGTGTCTCTCGCGACTTGCTCCTTGAGACGATCATATCGCAGATATTACGAACCTGCCCGTACCGCCGTCTCTAATACCCCGATACCCTCAAGATTCCACGAACGCAGCGAAATATTCGGAAGACTCAGTCTACACAGCTATAATCTCCCGCTCTACGTCCCTTCGACTCGAACAGTTGTGGAGGTTTACGGAAATTGTCGCACCTTTCACCTAAGTTGAAAAGCTCATGGCCTTGGCGATGGATGCCCTGGGAGCATTCTCCCACCTACAGTCAAACCTCCCCGCATGGGTCACTCGCGTCTCCGAGCTTGCCGCTCATACCTCCGCCAAACACATTGAGTACTCCGAAGCTTACCGCCGACATGCCACATACAAACCCCGCCGTCGAAAGAATAGCTCCGCTCGCTCCATTCGCACCCATGACCTCGTCCCGATCGCCCAGCGCCAGGGCCCAATTCCTGAAGCCGTTGAGACGTCGAAGACTGTGCAAGAAACGACCGAAACATTCCAGCAAGCTGGTCGCAAACGCAGTGCAGATGAAGCATCATCTATCGGCTCCGATGAACGCCACGGCCTGGTCAGCACTCGACACAACGTGATCATCGAGTACGACGGCCACACTCAGAAAGTTCTGGAGGAGGTAGTTCGCGATATTGGCATCGCTCGGAATAATATCCGGAGAGGGAAGATGTCTTTGATGCCACGGACAGCTTATCGCGCTGGCCTGTTGAACAAGACCGTCAACATCGGCACCAACAATCAACCCGGAAGCGCGCCCTCGTCCCTCTCCGGACTGTCCTGTGTTCGCAGCACGCGGACCACAGGCGGTCTCGTTGGAGTCACTGGAACTGCTACCAGCATTCAAAAGGAGTCGCCATTCGACTATGTGGACAAGCAATTGGAATTGGCACATGGACTTTGCGAGACAGCCGCATACCAAGTCCTCCGGTCAGGGGACTGCGGGACCGAGCTTGACGGCGTGGAAGAGAAGCTCACGATGCTAATCGACGTGGTCGACAGTGAAGTGGCACGTCTGGAAGCAGAGAAGAAGCAACAAGAAGCACAAGCACCTCTCGAAGACAAAGAGAACGAAAAACCTCTGCAGACCCTGACCGCCGCTCGACTCGCCAGAATTGCCGCGCTCGCCAATAAGCATTCTTCGACGGACGAACCTGGCACCATTGAAGTCGACGATGCCTCGTCCATATCGGCCGAGTCCATCGACCTCTCTGCTTTCCGATCATCGCGGATCCGAGTATAGGGGAGTGCCATGCCATCTGTTATCAAATTTAGCGTGTTAAGGGCATTTCTAGCAAAAGCGTTGCTATCAGTTGAACCCTTTCGAATTTCCCCAAAGATACCATGATTCCATTGTTTCCAATTGGACATTGCACGTTGATTAAGCCTCGGTTCGCGGCTGGTGCAATTTTACTACCACTGTCATTGAACACATCTGTCAAATTCTCATTATGTCTGTCCTCTCTATTGGACCAGCTACATTCAGCTGTCCAAGTTTCTGCATTTGTCCAAGCACATCATTGCTGGCGCACAACGGCATGGGCCACGGCGTTATTATCTGCTTTTATCACTGGGTGCCCATTCGTTGGCCCCTCCAGTATTTACCCTGGAAAATTCTACCTTGGTTATTGGCCAACATCTCTTGTGTCGGTGTATACTCTCGACCGTAGAGAATTCATGCAATCTGCATGCCACATCATCTCCGACAGTTCAAGCGTGCATTCCTCGCCCTATAATAGTGTACAATATACATTGATTCATCTCGTTGGCTCTTCTCGTCCCAGTATTGTAGATTAGCCTCCACGATGTGGGAAATGCATGACCGTGGACACGTCGCTTGGCGCCGTTCCGTCTATGTATCGGTTCATAGACTAGATGATTCGCTGTCTGACATGGGGTCCGTTGATTAGTTCCTGCAGTTTTGACAGCATTGATGGGAGTGACAGGCTCTTGGGGGCCAATTATGCGTGCGGGCCTAAAGCCAATGGCTACCCAACCGTTTAGGTCGGCAGAATCATCAGAGGGAGTTCATGGTTACTTCGCAGCGATCTTCAATCAAAAGAGTCCCGGTTGAGACCTCGTTACATCTGCATAGACCAAGCAAATCCCCGGAATATATCCAATCTCTCGTCCATTCTGAAGATGCGGTATAGTATCAAAATCTAAGGGGGTAGTACGCGGCTTCGAGGTGTGGGGTACTTCACCACATAGGTTCAGATCATGCATCGCTTCGCATAAAGCGGCAGTGCAGCAAGGAAGAATCTTGTAGATCATGTTTCTGATTAGGAAATCAGTTCAAGCTGGGGCGAGTATTTACCACGAGGCAGCCCACCCGCGGGCTGGTCTGGACACGGCCATGGTACTTTTGTTGGAGAAGGCGTGTATTGAGGAGCTGTATTCATTTCCACTCCCGCCTGTCAGACGCACAGAGACCTGCCGGCTTGAAGTTGACCTACAACTACGACTTCTGTCGTCTACTGTATTCTCTGCTTGAGTCAAGATTGTATTTTGATCTCATGTTGGCAGGATGGACAGCGTGGATGGGAAAAAGCATAGATCAAATCCAGTAACAAAAAAAAACCCTACAAACAAACACCCAACCCATGAAAATACAACATAATATTTGTACCGAACCAGCCCCCCACACCCGTCTCGTCGGCACCTATCCGCCCATTTGACTGGTCCACCTCAGTGCGGTCACATTTCGATGGCCCTTTCTATGCCAGTTCCAGCCGTGTCTGACAAAAGTACAATGCAAGAGAGGGGTCAATGACATCGTCCAGCGCAGAGTTTTCAGTCGTGCGAAACGAAGAGCTACCTCCAACGTCCTGCAAATGACCATGGGATTATCCCTAGCAGGCTCTAACAAGAGTGGAGCTCAAGGGATTCGAGGTGCATGTACAAGCCAAGCCAAGCAACAATAAGAAAGAAGGAAAAGTCATGCGCGTGTCTAGAAGCGCAAACACATACATGTATGTGCATAAAATACCCCACCTAACCTAATAGAGAAGTAAGTGCCCGAGGAAAGTAATGTGTAAATTACTCCAGTTACGCGGCCGTCCATTTCAGAGATTACAGAATCTTTAGCACACATTAGCCTCCCTGTCAAAGAAAGCCACCCCTGTCCATCTAATATGGAGGCCACCAATGAAACCCCGTCATGAAGTCCCATGACCACAGTGGCTTGCTATGGGTTTGAGCTAGAACGGGACAGGTTCATGGTTGTATCCCTGATTCGATATTAAAATTGACATTCGATATTTAGGATCCTACGGGGATGCATATCTCAGGCCTCCCACCCAGCTAGGCAAGAAGGTCTTCCTTTGTTTCAACGTCAGGATTGCGATAGTGGTCGATAGTTGCTGGAGGGATCTGGGTCATTGATGTGATCTCTAGGACTGAGTTTGTGGCGTATGTGTCTGTCCATTTGCATTGCAGATGGGAGTGGCTGCGGGCTTGATTATGGATCCCGGTCACCAACCGTAAACGTAGACTTGCTTGTTGCTTCGTTCCGCTTCGTTCCCGATCTGGAAAAATACGAGGGGTCTTGGTGTTATTGTAAGGTATTCAATGCTTTCTAGGTTTGGAACTATTGAATACGGAAGAAGCCTGAGCAATGACCAGAGCGGGCTTTACAGTACGGGCGTCGATCGCGGGGTTCCAATGTTGACGGAAGTTGAGAATGTTTCTGTGTGGGATCGGTCTGGTCATTCAGGGTTGATCCCTAGCTGCTTTGGTGGCTATCTGGGCTTTTGGGTGGTTAGTCGCATTCTACTGCGGGACAGCCTGAAATACCTTACTAAAGACGGGGCAAGGAGTACACCGAGCATCTCCGAGCCCCTGGGATTTGTATTAGTTCCTATATCGCAAGCTTATCAGGTAACATAACAAGACGGTTGTGTAGTGTAATGGTCATCACTGCGGATTCTGATTCCGCCGATCCCGGTTCGATCCCGGGCACGACCTTTTTTGGTTTTTTTTTGAACCACGAAATTCTGCCTGTCCGACGTCCGAATCCTTTTTTAAGGCTTTCCCCATCCCATTGATTCAACTGCAGGTCACACTTACTTGCCTGGAAATATGTCTAAGGGATTTTTGCCTTTTTATTGTTGCAAGGAAATTGTGAACATGATGCGCTTCTAGATATATCCGGGGCTCCACATAAAGCCTATGAACACAAACTGCGTCTGTGACGTCTTACATGGGTGATGTAGGTTGACGTAGTGGGATCATCGTTGCTAGACTCTGGAAATAAACGCAAACTAAATGAATGTGGCATAGATCATGGTCTCGATCAGTTGCGTGTTGATCAGACATTCGTGCCACACCCTTGTTCCAATGGGCTATCGGCAAATATAATGTCCAATTGAACTTCTTCCATAAACGTGCTTAGATACGGCGAACTATCGAATTCTGATCATATTTCAACCCCAAGTTATGACCTTTTTGAGACGTTTGGGCGCTCGAACTACCAACAATAGAACACTGTCTTTCAAAAGATCTATCAACGGAACCGTGTTGCTGGTATATCAGTGGTCCCATCTCACTAGGCACCCTTCGAGCTGTATGGAACGAAGCGGCACAGTGTTAAAGCCCATCGAAGTCGATATTAAGGCTAATAAATATGGTCTGTCGAGGAAGGCCACTAGAATTTACCTTCCCTTTTCCAGACGAGCTACAGGAAATGCTAGAGATATATTGTGACCTTCCACCGGACCGTCGCGGATCGCTGCGAACTGGGCTGATGAATCGTGTGCCTCATCCCGCAACATCAGGATGTGGTCTAACGATATAGTATGATCGGGACTTGTCTGCTTTCGAAATCCTACCCGGAACAGCCAGACAGCGGCCACCCCCCATTAGGCAATATGGGGCAATGCTTCTATGCAGACAAAGATGACGGCAACAAACTGTATAGAACACATAAAGCTGGTCGCATACCTCTTGGTTGTTCAAGATTGTGCCAAGTACATCGACTGTCTACCGATTGTCCACCAAAATAGTCCATGCATTATTGAACTTCGTCCCTATAATTTCTTCAAGACCATCAGATGCCCGTCATGCACATTTCCAAACCCACAAGCGGGCTTCTCACCCATTTTACACGTCCCGCTGTTTACAAAAGGACATATCTCGCTAGCCTTAGCAGCCGTTCTACATCCACCTCAACCGATCGTAAGGAAGGCGATATCCCCTCCGTCTTTGTCTCGCTGTCCGGCGATCAAAAAGCCCCACCACTTCCCGAACGTTTCGCAGATCAAAAAAAGCGACTGATCGCGGGTCATGAAGACCAATTGAAAAGAAGCTGGGATCGTCTACTTTGCAAGCTGAGAGACGAAATTGGAGCTATTGTGGAGCGTGGATTCGGTATCATTCCAAGTATCGATTTCAAAGATCTACATGTCGCACCAAAGTATTTCCACGATGAGCTCAAGAAACGAGGTGTTGCTGTTATTCGCGGCGTGATTTCAGAGACCGAGGCACGAGGCTACAAAGATGAGATCGAAGCCTACGTGCAAGCTAACCCTGACACGAAAGGGTTGTGATTCTGAACCCCCGTTTCATTGAGATCATACTAATTCAAGTAGCCTTCCCACCCCACGATCCCCAGGTTTTCGAACTCTACTGCAACTATACAGGTCGCACCCCCAGCTCCGAGCCCGCTCTCATCCGAATATGCTAGAGACACAGCGATTCCTGATGAGTTACTGGCATTCGTCTGCGTCGGACGCTATGATATCTCAAACCCATCATCTCACCTATGCGAATCGGGTTCGTATTCGGCAACCTGGTGATGCTAGCTTTGCTTTGGGACCCCATGTGGATGGTGGCAGCGTTGAACGCTGGGAGGACAATGGAAACGGCTTAGGCCCGGTCTATCAAAAGATCTTTGAAGGTAATTGGGAGGAATATGATCCCTGGGAAGCCAGCTGCCGCGTCCCCCGGTAGCAGACCTCTATAATGGAGCTGGCGCTTGCTCTATGTTCCGCATGTTCCAGGGTTGGCTCAGTATGTCTCACACGGGACCAAAGGAGAGAACTCTGCTGGTGAACCCTCTCCTCTCGACGGCGACTGCCTATACCCTCCTACGTCCTTTCTTCGAACCTATCATGACGCCCCCTGGAGAAAACTCACCGCGCATTGCCATGGATACATTCTTGGAGTCCACCAATTGGGGCCTTCAGGATACACCCACCAGCAAGCCGGAGGGGGCTACTCCAGGTTACTCGCAAGAGCTGAACTCATTGCTCCACCCACACCTTGATCTTGACAAGACAATGGTGCACGTTCCTAAAATTGGACCTGGTGATTATGTTGCCTGGCACTCTGACAGTAAGTGACATTGGTCTACCATAATTCCATTGCAACTCATACTGACTATTCACTAGACATTCACGCCGTTGATAAGGTCCACAACGGTATCGGAGACTCAAGTGTGATGTATATCCCTGTCTGTCCTGTTACCGAAGCCAACGTGGACTGCCTGAAACGCCAGAGATCCGATTTCATCGAGGGCATTCCTCCGCCTGATTCCTGGCGGAAGGGGTGAAAGTCAACACATCGGGCGGGCTACTTCGAAGGATCTCCAGTCCTATACAAATGACCAGGGAATGCGCGCCTTTGGCTTTGGCCGGTTTGACACAGAAGAAGCGAACCTGACTCATGGACAGCGACGCGTTTTGAGCAAAGTCAACGAAATCCTGGGTTTCTAGACGCTTCATACTACCTTTACTCTGTATCGAAATTATTCTCATGTAACTCGATTGACAACATGTATGTCATCATCCAGGACGCATTTGCCACAAATCCCTTTGAACATTATCACAGCGGAGGATAGAATCGAAAGCCTTTGATTGTGCTCTAAGAGGCGATGACCATCAGAATACAAGTCTCTGTACCATCTTCGAGTGCCGGAGGCCGCAACCAGGCTGATTTCTCCAAAAGCGTACGGGATGATGGAGTAATGGCCGATTATGGATTAATTCGACTTTGAATCATCAGGTGGAGACAAAGTTTGTCAACGACAAAACTTAGCGTGGCAAGCAAGTGGATGGAGTTATTACAGAGCTATCCCTACCAAGATGATCTTACCATTGTGGATGTCTGAAGATTCCAATTTCCAACTCAGGCAGACCCGGGAAATTGATCGCTATCTCTGTCTACCTACGAGCTGTTTGCCCTCACTCCTTCAGGCACTAGCGTCGTCTTAACCAAGACTACAAGAGAAGGCACAAAAATCATTACCAATTGGCAATTCCAAAATATAGTACATCAAGGTTGCAAACCTGATTTCATGGAACGTAGAATAACATCTCAATCAATCAAGACCTGACAACAACTTTCGGCCATCAACAGACATGACGCATTCACATCAGCGGCATATGACGAATAAAAGATAGACACATAAGGAATGATATCCAAAAAATCTCTCTGCCATGGCAGGAAAAATCAAACAAGACTGAGATAGTTCAGTCGCTTCACATTAGCAAATAGGCAGGGCTCCAGATCAGCGCCGACCGGGACGTTTCTTTCCGGTCGGCTGGGTATCACTATAGATTATAGACCTAGGGCAGGCATTTCCAAGAACATCGGGTATTGAGCATGAACATTAGATAGAACACTTAGTAGTAGATTTTCTCCTGGTAGATAGGAGGCTCGCCCTTGTCGACGTTCCAGGTAATCTTGGCGTTCTCGTCGAGGAAGGCGTCTTCATCGGTGATGGGAATCACGCGCGAAGTGTGCGCAACCTCCTGGCGGGAGATGCCAAGGGGATCGCGGGGAATCCAGAGAAGAGGGGCCTGCGAGGTGATGGCCGGGTGGCAGTAGGCGTCGCGCTCGGCTTCTTCACTGTAAGGGACGACTTCCAGCGCGGAGGGGACCAGACGGCGCAGGGTAGCGTAGTCGTGGTAGATGTCTGGCCGCAGGAACTTCATGAAGAAGTTGGGCTTGGAGTGTGCAGGGGGCATGGCAGTGTGGGTAAGACCCTTTTCGACCTCGGCGGAGTCAACATTGCCGACGCCGCTGTCAATGCTCGTGACGCCATTGTTGGCGGTGCTGGTGCCGGTGGTGGACTTCTCGTCACTGGAGAGCTTAAGGCGCTCTTCAGCCAAAAGAGATTCCTCCTCGTGCTCCATGTTCTTGGGGAGGTAGTGGATCAGGGGCTCCATGGCGCTGTTCATCGAGATGTGGTACAGGATGACGAAGATCAAGAAGATGATCATAAGGACCAGAGGTCCGACAGCGATGGAGGAGGCACCGGAGCCCATGGCGAACAGACCGATCAGGCAGATCATGAGCAGGTAGCAGCCCACAGTGAGGTGCTGCAGAGCACGGACATAGGCCTTACCCTGGGTGTCAATAGTGGCGTTCGACACGTACAGCAGGTTGTAGCGATAGGCGAAGTAGAAGAGGTAAATGCCAATGGTACCGAAGCCCATGACAAGAGGGGCAATGCAGGAGTAGATAATACCAATGACAGTCAAAAGAGTGATGGAAGGGTAAACGGTACCCCAGCCGAGACCAGCGAGGCTAGACCAGCGACTGTACATCTTACGGGGAGTTTTGTCCAGGAACTTGCCCAGAATCTTGCCGACGATGAGACCAGCAATCTGCAGGAGAGCACCGGCGCTGAAAGACAAGCCCTGCAAGACGATGTATGAGATGTAGAAATTGGCGGCCCTGGGAATCTTCTGAGAGAGCAAGGTAGCGGCAGACGAGGGGTTGTTGATAATCTGGGTGACGACACTGGTGGCGGCAGAGGCAATGGTGACGACCAGGAAAACTTGAATGATCTGGAAAGCGAAGAACCAGTTTTGAGTAGTCAACTCAACCTCAGCAGAGCAGGAAGCACCACCTAACTTGGCCATCACTGGAGATAGAGTTAGCATATGAAGCCTCGATCTAAAGGACGAGTCCACTTACATCGTAGAATGATGGGCACGAGCGCAATCAGAACAGACATCAGAACAGTGGGCAAAAGACCGGTGATCAAACCCAGAAGAACAGTGGGGAGGTTGTTGATGAATCGCAAGAAATGGACCTTGTCCTCCAAATAGTTGATGTTGGAGATGGCACCGACCACAGCAGTGGGGATAGCCCAGAATATGATCATTGCACAAACAAAGGCGAGAGTAGCACTGTGACGAATGATACGCTCCCACCACTTGATACGGAGGTTGCCCCAGATGACCTGAGTAGGTTCGAGACCGATGTAGCGAGGGGTCATGTGCAGAGGCAGGTTGTGAGCGACAGATTGGTAGGCAGTCTGAGCGTCGGCTTGTCGGTAGAATTCGACGAAGACGGACGAGACGAGCTTACAATCGCCAGTGCGGTGCTTGGCTTGCAGTTCCTCGATTTCGGGAGTGAGACGCTCAATCTCGGACCGAGCCCAGTTGATAGTATCGACCTTCTTGCCAATAAGGAATTTCAGACGGTGAGTAGGGCGGTCCTTGGCCTGAACCCACTTCGCGGCAACAGAGCCCGACTCATCATCGAATTCGCCAAGGGACTCCTCGCCCTCGTTCGCATCCTCAAGAGTGCCTTCCTTCTTGGCAGCTTTCTTCAGGGCCTTATTGCGAGCCTTATTGGCCATGACAATGAGCTTAGTCTCAGCAGCCTCAAGCTTCATGGCGGCGCCATCACGCTCCTTGACCTTCTCCTCGAGCTCGGCAGTATCACTGGCGATCCAGACGTTTTGAACCTTCTCCTGGCCGAACATGGCGCGGATCTTGTCCTTGTTCAGGTAGTTCTCAGTCACGGCGGAGAACAGAACGGTGCGGGACGAGATGCGGTTAGCATAGGCAGGTGAGAAGAAGTAAGCCTGGCGCAAGTTGATATAGAAGATGTGCTCGCGGGTGATGAGCCAGAAGACGAAAGAAACGAAGATCCAAGCAACGAAATTGTGCGCAAAGAAGCGCGCGTAACCATGCTCGCCGATATTGGAGATACTCAAAAGATCGAATTGTTTTCCGCTACCACCGCCAGTCGCATTGACGGGGAACAGAATGGGCCAGGTGATACAGCAACCAACGAACAGCAGGACTGAGCACAATTTCAGGAAGCGCAACAACAAGTATGCGTCCATGGAGTGGTGCTGAAGGACATAGGTGTCAGGTAGCCTGTACATAGAGACAATCCAGTTCCAAGTGCCGGTAGGGCTGTCGGGGGTTTTTTGCCAGTCGCGCAGATAGCCAATGTAGGTTCGGGCATGTAAGTTCGGCGCTGAGATTTGCGCAGGAGGATGAACCCGATGAGCATGACCACGGCCACGATCAGGGCGGGAATCAGAGTAGACAGGAATGCAGACACCGAACTGCCTGTGCTGCTGACATCCTACAAAATCACGTTAGCTTACTTGAAACCGCATTGTCGCGTGGTGATGTGGGTGTGGATGTGGTGGATATGGACATGCACGTACATCAGCCCGGGCGAAGAACCGGTGGAGAGGACCAGGTTCCGCCATGGTGAAGGGAATTGAGCGAAGCTCAACAGGATTTGCAAATCAATGACCTCTTCCTCGGCCTCAGGATGTGGTTTGGCACACGTGGAGATGTCGAAAGGGGGGCGATAAGGTGGAAAGGAACTCCGATATGATGAAAAGGGAAGAAGAAGAAGGGGAAAAGGTTGGGGCAGCTAAAGCTTAGAAGGGGAGGGGCAGGAAGGTACAGATCTGCGATCTCTCGCTACGTAACTCCAGGCGATTTCAATTTTAATTTGTGGTTTTGCAGGGGTCCTTGAGCTGTTGCTGATTTCTCTCCCCTGTTACATCCACTTACACCACTCGCGCCGTGGCTTTTCTCCACTTTACTTTCGGCGGTGGCGAGTGAGCGATCTAGCCAGAGTTACGCCGCCGTTGGTTCATCTTGCGATCGGCCGCTTTTGTGGCTCAATCGATTGATGACCACACGAGGCACCAATTCCTGTATATTCACACGAAAGGCCTATCGTTAGGAGGTATGCAGCATTGCCTGCGAAGCGTAAGGGCTTCGGGGAAAACCGACGGCCAACGCATCAGCCACGGTCACAGACCCAGCCACACTTCTCAAGCCTAGACTCTATCGGGCGTTTTCCACGCGTGCAAGGGATACGTCGGCAAAACAATACTCAAAGTTTCGATCATGATGTGCGATGGAAGACCTTTTCTGAGTATCACAAAAAAAAAAAAGGTGATTGCCTCCGCGGAATCCAGGAGGGGATTGACAATTTCTCCACATGCCCAGTCAAAATTCAGATGTCTACGCTACGCTAGGTACATGCCACTATTGAAGACAAAACGCCGGAGGACATCGATCCTCGCACAAGTCGCCTTCCTGTGGCTGGTGCGTTTCAAGGCTGTGCTAAGTAGATGAACGCGCAGGTGATCACATGGAAGTCCGATCGGGAAAGGCAAAACTGTAAAAAAAAAAAAGGAATCGCCCAGTTCAAGCGCACTGGTGTGCTGGTTCCAATAGTTCGCCTGGGATAAAGAGCGCTAACAAGTGCTAGCTGAACTGTGGGCTGCACTATTTGACCGGGATCTGTAACCATGGGCTCGGGGCGGCACCAAAATCTGCAGCCCCCGCTTTCGCTCGCAGGGAAATGAAAATGAAACACTCAAAGATCGAAGGGGAAATTGAATGACTGTGGAGCGTGAATAGCGTCACTAGCGATACCAAATTAACTTTCGCAGGGCTGCTGGAATTGTCGGAGGAATGGATAACCCAGATGCCTGGGTCAGGGTACGTGATATCATCACCTCCTATCGCGGTCATCGCCTCAAAGCCATCGGCGATCCCGCCAGTACACGGTTCCTCGACTGTCCCAAGGGACGGCTGCCACGCAGTTCAAGGTACCTGCAGGTACCGTTGACGCATGGTTGCTACGGATGGTGACTTCGGTGAACTTCCCCCTGGGTTCACCGCGCCAACACCATTCTCCATTCTGAGATCCATCTGAGATCCACCCGGTCGTCGCGTCCAGCAACCCTAATTGTGTCTTAGCCGATCATGGATTGCTCTCTTTCCTCTGATATCAGTTTTGAGCCGAGGCTTTGGGGCCTGTGGTCCCGGTCCACCGCTGATGTCGGCGGAGTCTCGATGACGCTTACATTCGACAACCCCGGTACCCGGGTCCTGCCAAGACACGGCACCTCACCTATACCCAGAATAGTCAACTGCCGATTACCTTAAAGTAATCCACAGACATTCGCCATCAAAAGCTATAACAATAACCAGAGGAGTCGGAATACCTTACAATCTCACAAACCTCAAGAAGAAATAATAATGTCAGATTTATGTACGACATCATACCCTATTGGGCTCATAACTTAGCCACTGGCATGTAGACATATGTCTTAACATCGCGATAACACGGTGCATGAAATGTCAACTCCCGTCACTATGAGAACTTTGAGATAGATGCAAAATAAATGAACAATGGATGAATGGTTGGATCTCGAGATTCTGATGATTTGCGATCAATTTGGAGGTTCATGGGTGGCAAGTTATTTGTGATCACCTGGGGATTTACGTTATGATATGCAGATCAATGGGATCGCAACGTCTTGCATCAGTGTGAGCTATCGCTAAATCTCCTCAAGTTCTTGTTCGAACACGTCAATGCCGCGGACTGGCGGATGCAGGTGCAAGAAACCCATCAGAATTTCATTAAAGTGGAATTGCAGATCAGGCCGTAGCCGTCTGTGCGTCTTGAGCAGCTCGCCCGTCGACCACGATCGCTCCGGGTTTTGTAAGTCGGGGTCGCATTCCTGTTCGAGCAGTAACCAGAGTAGAGTCTCACAGGCGGGGTGTCGGCCGAGTTGATGATGCTCGACCATCGAGTGTAGATAGCTCAGGAATCGTCTGGTCTTACTGACCGAGTCCTTAAAGCCCCAAAGCGCTGCAGTAATATAGATGAGGGCCGCAGTCCGACTGACCTCCTGGGTCTGAGGATCACGGACCACGTACATGCGGGACGCATGTGGCACCTGCGAGGGTCGCGGCCCACTGGATAATAAGGGGAACAACGGACTCTCCATTTGGAAGGCTTCGCGTCTCTGTGGAGTCACACGCAGGAATTCGGGATTGTTGTGTATTTGCATGAGATCGTCCGCTCTTCGGAGAAAGATGACCAGCCAGTGGCGGTCTGATGGTTCAACTACCGAACTGATCGGTGGCATGATGTGCCGCACGTAATGAAGCATAGTTTCTATCGGCAGATTGGACCCGGTGCGAGGCCGCATAATTCGGGCACCCTGTTCCAGATAGGCCTGAGCTTCTGGCATACTGCCAAACCGCCATTCTGAGAGGGCGATACCTGCCAGAGCCAGGGCCAGATAGTCGGGTGGTACCTGTTTAGAACCCGTAAGGCCATCTGCAATCTGCTTGCGGGCTTCGGCAACTCGCCGTTGGACCTCTGGCGCATCGGGAATGCCAAGTAATTGCGCTTTCCATCGCGCGCAGTAGAGCAGAATACACGCCTGGAAGGAAAGCGGATGCTGCATGGCGGTGCGGAAGATTTGATTCTTGATGTGAGGGTTTTGTCCAGACCAGTATGTCAATTTGGTGTGCCAATAATCCACTAATTCCTCATCTTCGGGGGTTTGAGCTGTTGGTAGGCTCGAGACGGGATCCTTCCGGGATGCATCAAGCGTGGTGATGGGGGAGCCTACTTGCATGGAGCCTGTCATTTGGGAGTTATGATTCACATTCGAGAACCGGATCGGAAGCTAAGAGGCAATACGTTAGAGACCCATGCTGCAGTCGGTTTTGGTTGTAGTATAGATGGTGGAGATTGGGTGTTTCACCATACCGAAGTGTTCGGATCGGTAGTAGAACCCGGTGTGCCAACCAAAGATATATCCTTCCCACTGTTTGTATCGGGATCGTAGTCCTTTCTCACCAACCACGACTTAGAGTCATTCGGAGACTCGTGGACCATCCCATGGGAGAACTTGCGCTGCTTTCTTTTTTCCTGCACGTGGTGCCGCATGACATGGGCGCGCTTCTCTTTCGATGACGAGTTGGAATCGACAAAATAGAACATCTGGTTCTTCTGATTATCCGAGTTGGCCGCACGCCTTCGTCTTTTCGTTCTTGCGTTTTGAGAGGCATCGCCTGAAGGACCTGCTACACACTTAGCACGAGACCATAGCAAACCATAGATGGCTGGCCGGAAATGCATACCCGGAATTTCCGGCATAGAGGAATCTGAAGGCTCTGCGGTTGGAAGCGTCGAATCCACCACCCGTCGCTCGTTTCCAGACATATCGCGACAGAGGACAGTGGTGGTCGACGCAGTAAGACACTTGCTATAGCAGCATACCGACCCGATGATCGCCAAAATTCCTCCGTTCACACTTTCGGGATTTGGACAGAATCATCGCAGACATGCAGGCGACTATCACGAAGGGGCGAGCGTGCGGGATCTGCCCAAGGGCTATAGGAGGGGTGACGCTAGAGCAGTCAGGACTTATACTCAGTAGACACAACGCAAGGTGAAGACTAGGATCATCGTCATTCTCCGTGGGGCTGAAGAAAGTCAGAAAACGGAGGCTGTTTCACGGCTGCGGAAAATTCTAGGGTGCACGCACCAATGACTGAATTAAAGTCCAAAGGATGCGAGGGCATCTGGGCATTATCCGAAGGACCGGGGAGGGGATCGAAGTGGGCCTCTACGAGCTTCTCCAACAAGGAAGGGGGGCGAAAACCATTCCACATAGGCCATCTGAAGTTGAGAAAAGTCTCCGTGAGTGGATGGGATTGATTGCCCTGCCGGGGGGAGATTACCCGGCTTTCGTTCGGGGGGTACTATATCCATTAAGGGTTTAGCTCCGGTGGATGGTCCATACAGATACCTTCCCAAATAAGAGTGTTCAAGGTTCCCAACTGGGAAAAATCAGAGGCCTGAATTCTGGGGTGCCAAGGTGTCAAAGTGTCAGGTATACTGGCGTTCAGGCATAAAGGGTCGGCCTTAGTCAGAAACCACTTAACGCGTCCTCTGTTTTCCATGTCCCGGAAAAACCATTGACCGAACGCGTCTCGCGTCTCGCGTTATTGCGAAAAAAGAAGACCCCCCCCTTAGGTGATCAGCATTAGTGACCTGACGTCCCTCTCTTGGTATTCGTGAGAGCCCATTATTCAACTACGGCTTCTATTCGCCGTCCGCTCTCTCTACCATGTCTTCTCTATTTGATGCCGTTCTTCAGTCCGAGCTGGGCCCAGGGTCCAGCGCCCGTGATGGACCTCAATCCGACCACCTGCCCAGTTCTCGCCGCTCCGAGAGCAATGGACCCATGAGTGATATGAATGCCTTCCCTGATGACCGGGTTGTTGGTGCCAGCACATCGGCTGTCAGCCGTCTACGAAATCCTTACGCCCCTGGTCCCCCGCCAGTGATCGATGAGGCTGGAGAGAAAGTGCAGCAGGCATTCGAGGAGCTTCTAGAGACATTCATGGAAGAGCCTTCGTCATCGGCACCTCCATCCTCCGGTGAGGCCCTCAGCGACAAATACTACATCGCACAGATCAAGGGCATGAAGAAATTCGAGCTGTCCACTCTCTACGTGGATTTTACCCACTTGACCTCGCTGGAGAATCACATTCTGGCCGATGCCATCGCCGGACAATACTACCGCTTCCTCCCATTCCTCACTAAAGCTCTTCACAACCTGGTCGCCAAATACGAACCGGAATACTTTGTTTCTCACAGATTGGCCTCCAGCGCTTCCACGCAACCCACCGCCTCCGTGGCCTCGGCTTATTCTAGTGTTAACGACAATCCTGATCTGGAGCGTCAAATCCGCGAGAAGACTCGCCACCAGCAGACAGATAAGCTTTTTGCCCTCGCCTTCTACAACTTGCCGCTGGTCTCGCGACTTCGCCAGCTGCGCACAAACCAGATTGGAAAATTGCTTTCTGTATCTGGAACCGTCACGAGGACCTCCGAGATTAGACCTGAGTTGTCGCTGGGAACCTTCATCTGTGAGGGCTGCAAGACTATCGTAACAAATGTTGAGCAGACCTTCAAATACACCGAGCCCACCGAGTGCCCGAATGCCACTTGCGGTAACCGTCATGGCTGGCGCTTGGACATCGGCAAGAGTACCTTTGTTGATTGGCAGAAGGTCAAGCTTCAGGAGTCATCTCATGAAATCCCCACTGGTAGCATGCCCCGCACTATGGATGTCATCTTGCGTGGTGAGATGGTGGACCGTGCCAAGGCCGGCGAGCGTTGCATCTTCACGGGGACTCTGATTGTCGTTCCCGATGTGAGCCAATTGGGACTCCCTGGTGTGCGTCCTGAGGCTGTCCGTGACAACAACTCTTTCCGCGGCAGCGAGGTCGGTGGCGGTGGTGTGTCCGGCCTGAAGGCGCTAGGTGTTCGTGACCTGACGTATCGTCTGGCTTTCCTTGCCTGCATGGTGACTCCGGACACCACGACCCCTGGTCAGAAGCCGGAGCAGCAACTCAGCGGCCAGTCGAACAACATCCTGGCCTCTTTGAACCAGAATACCGATCCCGATATGAATGATGATAAGGCTCAGGAAGCTTTCCTCCAGAGCCTCACACCCACGGAGGTCCAGGACTTGAAGAGACTGGTCCATTCAGAGTACATATACTCTCGTCTCATTGACTCAATTGCTCCCATGATCTTCGGTCATCGTCAAATCAAAAAGGGTCTGCTTCTCCAACTGATCGGTGGTGTCAGCAAGAAGACGGCCGCAGAGAGCCTGCAACTTCGTGGTGATATCAACATTTGCATTGTTGGCGACCCGTCCACCAGTAAGAGTCAGTTCCTGAAGTGAGTACACTGAAATCCTATGGCAATTCAATAGCAAAGGCTAACCAAACCCCAGGTACATCTGCTCCCTGCACCCCCGCGCAGTCTACACCTCGGGTAAAGCCTCCTCTGCAGCCGGTCTGACAGCATCCGTCGTGAAAGACGCCGAAACCGGCGAATTCACTATTGAAGCCGGAGCTCTGATGCTCGCTAATGGAGGCGGAATCTGCGCCATCGACGAGTTCGACAAAATGGATATTGCTGACCAAGTCGCCATTCACGAAGCTATGGAACAACAAACCATCTCCATTGCTAAAGCAGGCATTCATACAACCCTCAATGCCCGCGCCTCCATCCTAGCCGCCGCCAACCCCATCGGCGGCCGCTACAATCCCAAGCTCACCCTGCGTCAGAACCTGAATTTTAGCGCGCCTATCATGTCTCGATTTGACGTGTTCTTCGTCGTCCGAGATGAGCCTAAGGAGCACGTTGATCGCAGTCTGGCGGAACACATTGTCAATGTGCACATGAACCGTGATGAGGCTGTCGAACCAGAGTTAAGCACCGAGCAGCTGCAGCGGTATATTCAGTTCGCGCGTACTTTCCGACCTGTCTTCACGGATGAAGCGAAGGCTCTTCTTGTTGAGAAGTACAAGGAGCTTCGTGCAAATGATGCTCAGGGTGGTATGGGTCGCTCATCGTACCGTATTACCGTCCGTCAGCTGGAGTCTTTGATCCGATTGTCTGAAGCCGTGGCTAAGGCCAACTGTGTCGAGGAAGTTATTCCCAAGTTCGTGATCGAAGCATACGATCTTCTCCGCCAGAGTATCGTGACTGTCGAAAAGGACGATGTCGAGGTCGAAGACGACGTTCCCGCTGCTCGTGGTATTGATGAGGACCAAGAGATGGGTGACCGTGACCGTGATGGCGACAGCCCGATGCGCGAGGACGGTGAAGAGGCCCAGACGCACGCGAAGGCTGAGAAGACAAAGACTAAGATCACTTTCGACAAGTACTCCAAGATCCTGAACCTGTTCGTGCAGCGTATCCGCGAGGACGAGGTGAACCAAGGAGAGGGCGTCGAGCAGGAGGATTTGATCCTCTGGTACCTCGAACAAATCGAGGGCGAGTTGAACACCGAGGATGATTACCAGCGCGAGCGGGACTTGGCAGCGAAGGTATTGAAGCGCAGTGTCAGAGTGAGTTTTTCATTTTATTTCGATCCGGTGTTGATTACATCTGTTCTAACATTGTTTACAGGACCGGGTCATTCTCCGTATCTCTTCAAGTCTCATGGAAGATACTCAACAGTCCGTAGCAGATAAGATCCTCTACGTGATGCACCCCAACTGCGCGTTTGAAGAGATGTAGGCTAGCCTACGTGCGATTTCATTCCTTGTCTTTTTTGGATTCGGTGTTAGTCTAGCATTTCCAGGGTTGATATACTGGTGTCAGGGGTTTATGAGTGATGATATCCGTTATTTCTGTTGAGTTTCTGGCTCGAGGCATGAATTGTACACTTCAAGAATATTTTAATTACTTCGTAGATTTCAAGATCTTCTGTGGCGAAGACAGCTATCGTGATAATACACTCTGGCTGAGAAGATCATCTAAGTGGCTCCTATTTGATTCTTCATTCCTTTCTTTATGTCTCTGAAACTCTCTTTGCAGAATTTCATCAGTTTACTCTTAGGTGAAAATCCTTCTCAGATTATATAGGTTACTGCCGCCGAGTGGAAATCATATGCATAAAATTTGTGATCCGGCTATATTGATCTCCCGACTCAACTCCACGTCCCATTGGCAGGCCCAAAATAGCCAACTGCTGGCATTGCTTTGAATGATACACCCTCCGCATCTGCAGTGTTCAGGTACACAGTATTCCCCCACCAGTCAGGAAAAGTAGCGCCTGGATACGAGATGCAGAAGAAGATGATAATGCCGCTTAGCGCGAGACCAGTATCAAGTGCAGCAGCGAGAATGTAGTTATACTTTGTCCACCAACCAAAGAAGCGACGCTTAATGAAGTGATTGAAGATAAAGTTGACCACAGCCCAACTGGAGTAATTTATACCGGTAGCTAAAATATGTCAGAGATGCCACGAATAAGAATCGAGAGGTGAAACATACCAGGCGGAACATTATAAGTGCCCACGAAGATCAAAGGCCAATTGATAAACTTCCAGAATTGCTTCCTGGTATACCGGTAGAGCAAAAACGTCACAACCGGAGCCAGAGCTCCAATCCAGAAAAAGTGCAACAAAGAAGAGTAGATTTTGCCGGCCGAGTAAAGCCTTCTCGGCCCAACAAGACCCCAAATAACGGAAGACGAATACACCGTCCTTCCATTCGGACACGTGAACCCATCTGACTGATCAGACTCGCAAATGCCTGAAATATTCCCCAGCATCCATAACGTAACACCGGCCTGGGTCAGCGCACCGAGGATAGTAGCGACACCCTGCGCTACGAAACAAATCCTCGGCGGCACCTTCAAATAATGCGCCAACTTCATGTCCATCGCAAAGTATACACCCTGTCCCACGACATCCGTAGAAATGATCTTAAAAATCATATTCGCCAATGGCTTTCCTTCGAACATGTACCCGCCAATAAACTCCGCGAGCACATTCAGCTGATTTGCGTCCACGTTCGTGATGCCCTGTACTATTCCACAAGGAACCATATATATAGCGGGGATGAACAGACCCAGGAAGATACCGTAAACAGGTAGCTTAGTCTCGTAGACTTCAACCATGGCAATGGCCATGGCCATAATAACCACGATGATGGCCGCATACCAGTACCACGGTGTCCGGCGGTATGAGGCACGGATCAGACGAGCGTGAATGTCTAGCTTGTTACGTCCTTTCATAGCAGCCCAAAGATCTCGACTGTGCCAGATAGCGATATGGCTCAGGACGGAAGTGATGGCGGCGAATGAGAGCCCGTACACGAAAGCGAAAGTCGCGCTTAAGTAGGGAGGTGAATACTTGCGATACGCTGCTATGTCGAGAGTGTTATCCGCTGAGATGACTCGGGATGTATCGTAGACCGCGCCAGTGTTGTCATATACATCGGCAGTCATCAGTGGGAGATATGCAGTATACCAGGTATTGGTGTAGTAAAGAGCCGGGGTGACGATCCAGTAGAAAAAGGCAAATCCAGCAAAGACATTCAATGCGGCCCATGCGGGCGAGAGGAGCGGGTTCGTATTATAGGCGATCTGGCTCCAGTCGAAAGTAATCGGACTCAGACCCAAACCGGTCTGCATACCGAAGAGTTGATTGACGATGACGTTCTTCGGCGCGATCCAGCAAACCCAGGTGAAGTAGGAGAGGGCAGTGAAGATCAGTCCGGGGAAGAAATACCAGAGACCTGCGCCAGTCATGACGTACATGAAGAATCGGAGACGGGAGATGCGCCAGCCGTCTGCGACGCGGTTTGCGCGTGAGTGCAAAGTCTCTAGCATGGCGCAATTTGAGAGCACGCCGGGCCAGATGATGCGAGCCGGTTCGACGAGCCATGGGGCAGCGAGACCTGCGACGCCGAAGCCGAGGAGTTGGGCGACGAGGACGATGAGGACGTAGAAGCCTGGTTTGAGGTTGAAGTCGTAGAAGTTTTTACTCGCTGCTTGGATGATATTCGTTGAGTCTGCGGTGGCATAGCCGAAGGAGACATTGCTCATAATTACGATGAGAGCGTGTTCCTTGATGTTGAACGATCTATCGGGATTGAGAACGAACGTTCCCAGAGGACCGAGACTGATGGATGTGAGAGGGAGTGTCTTTGCGAGGAATACACCCATCGGATAGGCTAGTAGTTCGGCCACCAGGGCTACGATATGCACTGATGGATACCGCAGCGAGAAGAATTGGTTAATACCTGAGCCGAACATGGTGAAAATGATGCCCAGGATCCACATTCGAACGGTATTCACTGGCATCGTAGGATCGTCTGTCTCGGGGACGACAGCCCTCACTGTATAGCGATATTTAGCTCCTATATTCTTCTCTGAATAGCGTTGTTCCCTTACCTTCGGGAAACGGAGAGCGATGCGATTCATAGCTAAACTCTTCATTCTTGTTCTCTTCGTCCTTTTCCAGCTCGATCTTGTCCAAGCGACCTTCGCCTACCTCCTCATCTGTTGGGATGAGCGCGGGCTTGATAGCTTCGGTATCCAGCTCTTTGGAGTCCATAGTGTAGAACGTGCGCAAGCTCAGCGCAATATTACAAGAAAGATTCTACCGAGCGGACAAGCGCAAAGTCTGCCTTTTCTACGACCCCTTGAACTCGCCATGGACGGGCGATTTTAGTGCAACGCGCAACGCGGGGAAACACAAGAGATAAGGAATTGCGAGGGTTGAATCGCGGGTGGAGAAGGCGAGCTTAGCTCGAGATAGGAAGGTTGAACCCCGCTTTGGTTGTTCAGTACTAGCTTCATTATTGCTCTAGCTTCCAATATTAGAGGCACCGTGCGGGTGAGTTTTTGGTTTGTCTTTGTCGACTCCGAAGGAAGAATGATCAGGCACGGAATAGTGAGGCATAGAACAAGAACATCTCGCAGAGTTGGGTAAGGAGCTTCTTATCAGAGTCAAAAGGTTTAGAAGATAGGTTAGGATGCTTTAGTTTGCTTTGAAATGCCGAGATAGAGGCTGCGAGTTAGATAAGACCGGATAGGGTCTGTTCTTCGGCCGCGCAGACTATGTTCTGGCCAGATGGAGACGGAGGTTTTGTAGAGTCCAAATCAAGGAAGCAAACCAACCTGCAGACCGCAAGTCCAAGCCCGCGATTTCAGCCTCTAGCATTAGTACGCACAAAGTAACGCCTCCAAAGAATGACCATTTCGACAAAACTTGAACACTTCACCGCCAGTTGACCTCCATAAGGACTGGAGATGTCGAGATCCTTGCTCGCGTCGACCCAAGCTCGACATCCTTGAAACCTGTGCGGTCGGATATCGTCGACCCTATACACCCTGATCCCAGTCCAGCATGCTATTCTCCGCACGTCCGCTTTTCACTAACATCTGCAGCGACGACACCGCCTGGATGCGTAACAAGGGCGCGTAGGCACGTTTCCGAGAACCAAACAGACGTAGAAACCCACGAGCGGTTGGAAAAGCAGGGTAGCGCCAATTGCAATGACTAACGGGGGCCTACAGACAAGAAAAGCATCGGCTAGTAAATATCTGCGTCGAATCGTTCTCGAAGTGGGTTGTTGCTGGTTACTCAACAGCGCCTGGGGTTAACCAGGGCTGGACCGGGCCCCCTTCGCCTGATGACTTTCATTTGAGAGCGCGCGTCGCGGGTGGCGATATTCCCCGGCCACTCACTCGCCTTACTTGACACCCAGGAAGTCACAGATCAGAGCCAGTCATCTGGCTAGAATAGAAGGCCCAGCCGCGGCCTAATAACAAGCCAAACACTCAGCTCCAAGCTTGAACTATGTCTGGGGTCAGACTGCAACAGTGGCATCTTGACACGTTCACTCTCACAGGGTCGTGTTCTGAGTCAGGAGGAATGAGGCGTGCTCTGATCGCGCGCCTCAGACGCGTCCAAGACGAGTCGGGATCGAAGTAGTGGGTGATCGCTGCAGCCAGAGCTGCACAGAGGCCCCCGCGCCCGGATAGACCTCCCCGTCGAATATTGAGTTACTCACACTGCAGTTTCTTGTGCAATGATTGCGCCTCCCATGTCACATTCCCTCCGGTGGAGTGATCTAGTACCCGCGCCCCATGGGGCGCGCATTCCATCCACCGGGGTTTGGATTAGTGCAAAGAACGGGGGAGTTTCCATGCGAGAACCCCCCGTGCAGCTTTGTGGCAAGGGAACTGTGGCTGCGGCTGGGTCGGGGGCAAATACGGTGTTGGTATTGGAGATAAAAATTGGTCCTATTCGGCAAATTTCATTTTCGTCTCTGTGAGTTCAAGGCTGGACATTTTACATTGAATCACTAGTCCGGACTCCCATCGCGATGATGCTGTGTTCAGCCTCTGGGCTTTTGGTAGGATTAGACGCCTCTTGCCCTTGCTTTGCTCGATTTGGATAAAATCTTGAATCTTGCATATGAGATGCAGCCGCAGCTGCAGGGAACTCCCGGCATGGGAGACAGGACCAGGCGGGTGGTAGCTATTCAATGCTCCGAGCTAGTGGCAGATTCGACCTCGATAATGGATATCCAATCGATCTTCAATGCAGCGTGTCCTCTAGGATCTATGGATAAAAAAGCCATCGAACTAGAATCGATCCTATGCACACCGTATGCCGTTCACCGTTCATCTCCTTTCACGACCTTCTACAAAAGTACATTCAAGAAGAATGCTTCTGAACAATTAGACCTGCCTGTTTCGTCAGACAGATTCATGAGGAGGTCCAGCCTTCATTTCCACACCTCCACCGTTGGGCAGGAGACACAGAGTACCCACCAGAGGAACCCAAAGTACCCAGAGAGATGGTAACTAGCACGGGTTCGACCTTCATGAAACACCGAGGGCCGGGGAAAGGGGTGGACCATGATCATGACGAAAAATGATCGATGGGCCGCGGCCCGAAACCCGTCTACCGATCCAGGAACACCGAGGTGCTGAAGCTGGCCACCTAGAGGATGATCCGAAAGCTACCGAGGAACCTGTCAAATTGTCATATGGGCGGAAGAAGAGAAATGATCCGGTCAGCCACACTTTTCGCCTTTCCCCGTTTCCCGGGCGGGAAGCATTCAATGCTTGATGAGTATCCAGGGCGCCGGGTTACATGTGCCCAACAGTGGATTTGATGTGTCTTATGATTGTTGATCATAGACCGGGAAAAAGGGGGCGTTGTTCGGGGAACCCAGGGAGGCGGGTACCTTCCCCACTTAGGGTCGGGGGAACGGTTATGTGTCCCGGCTGGCGCTAAGCACATTCACAAAGAAGAGTCGAGGCGGAATACGCTGCCATCAAAGAAGGATGAAAGTGACAGTAATAATATGTGATTGGCAGGGTCAGAATACGGAATCTGGAATCTGGAATCTGGAATATAAAAAGACACAGTTCCAAAGCCCTAGTTGAGTAGTGGACAGTTCTTTGTCCCTAAAGGCTAAGGCCCAGGCCCAATAGGTCCGGGAGAAATCTAGACCGCGGTCACAAAGAGTGGCTCCGGAGAGGCTCCGTGGTGGAAATGGGTGCCGGTTGATTCGCGTAAAAACTAAGGCCGCGTTCCATGATCCCGGCTTTTCTCTAGTGTGGTTCTAGTCTGAAATCCTTTCTGCTTTTTGAAATTAATTCCGGCTATAGAGGAGAGAGAAAGAGAGAGGGATAGAGAGATCCCTGAGGCTATTAGGAACATGTATCACAAGACTCAGGATTCAGAATTCAGGAGTCCTTTTCGAGTCTACCATGGGTTCTATGCAATCAATCAATAGACCATTGCGCATTGAGAGTGTCGGTCTCTGGCCTTTGTATCAGGATTCGGCTTAATGCTTTCCCATTCTTTGTGGAAGCCCCGTCGAGATTCGGGCCCGCCCGTTATTAGGGCGGTTCCAGACTGCGGTTCGGAGAACGTCCCTAGTCCACATGTGAGTACTAGATTCTCCACGGGGATCCATTTCTGCCTCGACCCGAGGGGAGCGGAAGAAATCATCTTTGTAGCCCAAATCCGTCCCCTAGGTGTTCGCGACTATTTCCCGGGGCGCATTCGCTGTTTGTTATTTTGCTTTCCCAAGATCTCTCTACACGTCAACCACACTATCAGACCGCCAGACGCCAGACAACCCCCGATCAAAGTAATTCCCTGTTTGTGCCTGAAGCAACAACGCATCTTGAAGCGGTGAAATCCGGAGCTGTCTGATTGGAAGATCGTCATCAGGGCGAGAACACAAAGTACACAGTTGACAAGTTCAGTTCACCGCTGAACAATCGGATTCTCATCGGTGCAGTTCCCCGCTGGGATAGCCCTTTAGGGATTTTGGCAAAGTCCAGGCAAGGGATCATCTCCCCCAGATTCACGCCGATAATTCACGGGCATCGTGTGGACAGGTACCCAAGTACTTTGGCACATCTGACACAGATCCGTTGACGGGATTCGATACATCGGATTGGGGCGGCTGTCAAAAAAAATACCGCCATCATAATTGATAATCATTTATTCATGTTGATGCGTGGATTCCAGCCGCTGATTGACCGATCGTCCTGCACGGAAGCCGCTTCCGCCGAATTTTCGATTTTCGATTTTCGGTTTATTGAATTTTTCTGATTTTTTGGATTTGATTATCTGTCTCAGTCGGGACTGCAAGGGTGCGGAAGTCTAGAAGCCTTTCCCCGGCTTTGATACTCTCACCGTCTTGATAAACACGTCTCGCCCTCTTCACCTTACTTGACTACTTTACTTCACACTCTACCCTCACCTCACCTTAGAGTCTCTCCACTCTTCTCTTCAACTTCATCTCACCATCACTTCTTGATCATATCAACATCATGGTGATTCCTATTCAGTCGCGCCTTCGCGACATGACGCTCGCCAAAGCGTCTGCTATCGCGCCTGTCGCCAGCACCGATCCGGCCCAGGTCACCTTCAGCTGGAGTGGCAGCTCCTTTGAAAGCTCACCACTTTCGAACCCATCTGCGCCTCCTCCTACCCCCACCGACTCCCTTCTCGATATCACCCCGCGCAAATCGTCCTTCTCCAGCGAGTACGGCATGGGAGCAGCATGTGCCTTCCCTTCCTGGCCCAACCGTCCCGCTCTGGCCAGCGCTGACTCAAATGACTCCTTCACCAACAACGCCTATCTCTCTGACGAAGATCTTCTCTGGATGCCTGAGAACGCAGCTGCCAATACCGCCATCGACGAGGCCGGACCCCAGGTTCCTGAGATGGTATGCTCAGCAACCTTGGAGCAGCAGCTCCAGCGCATGCGCATAATCGCCGAACAAGAAGATCGCCTTCGATTCCTAGCCAAGGTGGAGGCCCACGCCCGAGCCACCCAGGCTCTCCGACAAGCAAAGACCGACAAGCTCTCCGTGATCAGCGAGCGCACGTCCTCGCCATCGAAGCCTCGGAAGCGTCGCCTCGCCCCCGGCCCGAAGCGTCGCACCCACTCATCATAGGGTGCCTCAGCATATCACACCGGGTTGCAGCGCGGGCGCTGTCCAATATCTTCTCTTCGCTATGCCGCCATAGCCACTGTTTTTACCATACATACCAATTATTCACTTCGTCCGCCCCCACGCAATGGCGGTACCATCACAACCCCCCTCTCCAAAGCTCCAAGGGGCCTACTGCTCCGACTGTCTATCAGCCAGTGACATGAAGCCCAGACGAATCAGATGACACGGCTCAGGCAGCTGCGAGACGCCCAGTCACCAGCGCCGATCATCAGCGCGCAAGGCGCATCCCGGGTGGTACTGATGTTCGTGTGGCTTCTGTGACCCCGAGGTCTTATCGTGCATTCCATCGATCTCCGGTTCCCCCGCGCTTACCTAATTCATCGCTGTCGGCGGTTCCCTCATAATCCCCCACACCGCTGGTTGCGCCCTGACTCATTCTCTTTTCCCTCCGATATGTTCGGGAGTTGCAGCGTGCTCCTGTTTCATTCCTTCGGGATTTTACGTTTCATTTTCCTTGATTCGTTTTTCTTCGGATCTTTTGACGACTGCATCCGATTACGGACCCGGTGTTTTTTCTTCATTGCCCGTGTTCTAGCGTGTTTTCCTTTTGATACCCCCCACACCCCAATACCCAATCTTGTACCCCTCTTCTTCATTGTCGCTCTCCGACTTCGCTCTTCTTTTTCTCTCATGGTCCCGCGCACAGCGCTATCTTTTTTTCTTTTTTGGAAAATAGACAAATGCGCCACGCGCCACCTCGGCCTCTCGAGTGTCGGTGTGCGGTTGTGAGTTGGCCTTTGGATGTTGGGCACAACCCACCACTCCAAAAGTTTTTATCACAGATAGCCTAGCTTGAAATTAAGCCGTCTATTCTTGAATACTTTTCTCCTCTTGTAGAATATTCCTTGTAAAATATCACATCACGCATCTCAAATATCATACAAAGTTCGTAACGACGGCTATAAGAATAAAAATAAAATATGAAACACAACGTCCTAAGCCCCATCAGCCTCGTGTGTTGTCCTTCACTCGTAAATGGTCGCCCCGGAGCCCGGCATTTAGCAGCGCCGTGACGAGCAGCCCTGCAGATGACATGCAACGGTGAGATGATCCCGGGGAGATTTCTACTCCGGCGGCACGAAATACCGGCTAATCTGCCTTATCCGAGCGCAAACTACTGAGCGGTTATCAAAAAACATCACGGGAAAAATGAATCCTATAACTCCACTCGGATATTATCGAAATTTTGTCCTCAACATTGGACCTCCGATTCAATGCATCGGACCCCATTCCCCGATCTTATTTCCCGGGCGCTGTATCGTATCTTTGATCTTGTTACTCCCCCCCCCCTCGGGACGTGCTGACTTGATTTTGCCACTGCTGCGGTAAACAGGAGTCTCTAGGTACAGGCTCGGCGCGGCCGATGGGTACGAAGGGTGCATGGACATGTACTGAGTACGTGTGAAGCACGACATTCATCTGCGGGGATCATCAAGCCACCTGGCTGGGGTTTTTTTTGTGTCTGGAGGATTATGTTATTAATATGTATAACGTAGCTAGGGAGGACATCGGCAGAGTTTCCTCAATAGTTTGAGAAGGGTCTTTTATCCGCTTCGTTTTCATGGTCGGGTGTGACTCATTGACCGAGGAAGTGATAGTCGGGTTACCAGACTGCTGGATATGCTGTAATAGTAAACCCTCCAAGTTGTGAGTTTTACAAAGAATTAGGAAGTCATCCTTGATTCACATCTATAACCTACAAGACCATGGCGCTAGATTTGAGATATTGATGGGGACATCGGTGGGGATGGCAAAAGACCATTTCTACTAAACAATTGGGGAACTTTGTGTTCTATTTGATCTTGGAGAGAGAATTCACTTCCCGATGAAATGCATCCTCATGATCGATATGTAGTGCCTGTGCGGAGGATGTCTTTGATCTAGCTTCTTAGATATTGTTTGACAGCATCTGCCTAATTTTCTCCATTCTTATACGTAAAGATCTCAGGGACCCTTCCACATTGCAGTCCATCGATGGCCGAAGCGAGATCTTCAGAACTGCCCTCTGCCTTGATCTTTTGAATAGAGTAGAGGTACGTATGGAAGGCAAAGACAATAGCATCAGACACTAGAAGACGATGAAGCGTTTGACGCTCGCTGCGGAGGAATGTCTGCTTATTTTGTGAGGCGACTGGTGCTATTGGAGTAGAGAAATAAAGAACAACCAACTGTTTTAAGGTCTGAATCATCCATGGTCATTTTCTTCAGCGTACCCCCGAATGCGGATTTACTTTTGTCAAAATTGGAATACAGCTTCTCATCAACAGTAACCGCCTAATTGACCCGCTTCACTAACCGGCCCGCCTCGAGTCGGTCGAAGAATCTGTCCATGCTTTTCTGGAGCTTCTCTTTGTATTTCGGAACTTGTCCGTGGATCTCGACCCAAATTTTCCCGATTTTATCTCTGGGTTGGAATCCAGAAGGAAAACACTCAGAGTAGGCTTTCCAGGACATAGACGACTTCGCTGGGTGAATCTATATCCATCTCGTGCGGTAGAAGAATGAAGAAGTCTTCATGGATATTCCCTGATATAATCTTCAAAGCAGCATGAAGGGATACTGACTTTGCATCTGCTGGTAGGATGTGGCCTGTGACCAGGTTTTTTACCCTGGCAATACGGTCGGTCTTGTCATACATTGTCTTGAAACTTGACGGACAGCGACCAGGCAGATAAGTCTTGAAGAGGTAGCTGTATAGTTCCTCCACGGTAAGTCGAATACGGGCATCAGAATAATCGGTGATACCAATAACATCCTTAGGATATTGTAGAATTAGGTACTTGCGTATTTGGAGACGCTCTGGGCATTATTTATCAAATATCAGAAAGTCGCTGCACTCGAGTGTTTTGAGGCCTGGGTTCGTTAGTTCAAGATCTCTGTGGAAGTCAAGCATGGGCATACCCATTGTGAGGTGATACTGTGAGGATTAAAGGGCCGATATTGAGGAGGTTCCGAGGAATTTAGATGGAAGTCTTTGTGCCCGTAGATTTTAGCTCTCTGATATTGTCCTGAGTTGACCGCCCCCAGATCATCTTCCAGGAGATCTTCACGAATGGCAATGACTTGATGGATAGCGTTAGCCAGCTTCCTCATTGTACCCTCTTCCATCCCGATATCTACCCATTTACATTGGTGAAACCGCCAGATGATCAACGCAATTATTAGCAAACTGATCTGCCCAGCTACTGGGAAAGGAAAGCATTTCCCAAATTCGTTGGTGGTAGGAGGCCGAGCCGCATGCTGAACTGTTGGCAGCAGCCAGTTGAACTTGTCGTCCTTCTTGTATAGTTCTAGCCGCGATCTTCCAAGCTGACGTGTATGAACTACTTAGAACAAGTGAGGTTGATTAAAACATCATCGTCAAGACAAACCCTGACAAGTACCGCCCAGAGGAACACTCCCCCCCCTCCCCCCTCCGCCAGAATCTTTGATCAAAGGCAAATGGAACCGTGGTGATACTTGTAACTTGTGGTCTGATTGATGAGCCCCTACTCCACCGAGTTCTTCACTTTCTCTCTCGACTTGCTCCATTGGGTGTAGTCCGGCTTCCCCGTCTTGAACCAAGGACACTCGTTCCGAGATCGATTCTTACCCCAACATTGTTGAACAGACCCTCACTTACCTTGAAGGATAGCCGAACAGATTGGTCTAAAGACGTCCAAGGAATGGAAAGGTGGAGCTTGAGAAGACGGACACAATAACATGGCAGGCTGGCCCAAGGATACGACCTATTTTCCTGGAAGATTTGAAGGACTTGGAATGAGTTCGTACGGAGGTACTATTATAATTACCATGATTCTAAAGACCCTTAACAAATAGCTCTTCTCCAATCTCCTTCAACAACGGCTCCGTCTTGACTGCCTCTATCGAAGACTTGACAGCGACCGTCTCTGATACCCCCATCGCACGGCAAAGGTCGACAAGCAACCCATCCATCGGAGCTTCGTATATCAAGAGACCCAATGCAAAAAGGAAACCACGGAGGGCTTCAGGGCTCTGCTCTTCCTGCGAGACAGCTTCTAGCAAAGAGGCGGCCAGTTCGACTTGGTCCTCTTCTGAAAGCGGGTCCGGTTTTCCTTCAAATCGAGCGTTGTGATTGTATGCGGCGAGATTATATGCAAACGAAGATGCGACGACGCGGAGGTTGTTATGTGAGTCTAGAAGAGAGTTTGTCGCAAGCCGAAGGCACGTCTCCCGCAAGGGCGAGGAGGATGAAACGAGTTGTTGGGGGTAGAGCGGTGTGCTGAAAAGGTTGCAAGCGAGTTGGAGAGCAACAATTCGAAGATTATAGGGACAGGAAGAGAGATCATTTTGGGAGAGTGGTGAGAGGAGGGTGAGGAGGGTGGCGTGATTGGCCTCTTCGGCGAAGTAGCCGCTCACACGTGGGTCAAGGAACAGTAGGCGAACGAGGTCCACAGCCGCGAAATGGCTCTCGATGGGAAGTGTAGGGTAGGCTAATTGAAGAGAAGTAGCGAACGAGTGGAGGTCAGGTACTCGTGTATCCGCGGCAGGGAAATTGCCGTCACTGGCAGCGTGACGAAGCTTGACAAATTCAATGACAGGCCCAATGCTCTGGGCTTCCTTGAACTCGGCAGGGAGTTTCTGCAGAAGTTTATCAAGCGGTGGGACTTTCTTGTACGTGACAAAGTTGGAGATGGGCCTTTGCAAGCTGGGTAGTCGAAGGTTCTGGTGGGGATGAGGCGGATGAGCCATATCAAGCAGCAAACGCACATTACCCTTCAACTGGGCTGGATTTGCACCACTCCACTGGTCGACTTTCTTCCCCTTCAAGAAGGTCATGAAGGTTGGTGTTGCACTCACACTGTACCTCATGCCCACGTCTCGTGCGAAGCCAATGTCAACCTTAATGAGCCTTCCTTTGGCCCCCACTTCCTCTGCAAGCTCATCGTATATCGGATAGACGGCCTTGCAAGGCGGGCATGTAGCTGAGGTAAAGAAAATCACTGCGCAAGAGTCTGATGTCGCCGCCAACTCGCTTTGGAGCTGGCTGAGATTGCTCACATTGCGTACTGTGCTTGGTACTGCATGAGCTGCAGTTGACATTTGAGGCACCGGAGGAGGCGCAGGCCTTGAAGATGGAGGCTGGAAACTAGGCCCAGGAGCGGTTCCTGGACCAGCGCCCTGTGTGACACCTTTCAGAGCCATTTCGATCTGAGGCCTCATCATTTGACCAAATGGAGTGTCTAAGAATTGACGAGGCAAATTCCGGATGTGCTCAGGAATACTCTTGCCGACCAAGAACATGGCAAGATCTTGGGTGAAGTTGTTGCAATTATGTAAAAAGAGATCGTAAGACTGCAATGTGTTAGTTCTGACGGATGAAAATATCATGATCACATCTAGACAAACCTCTGGAGTATAGATCTCAGTCAACGAGGCCAGCCATTCTTCGATCACCTCGGCCGGAAGCTCCGTCGTGCCCAATTTGAGCCTCTCAATCGGCTGTCCATGATGAGTGGAGCCAGGGGCAGCATTTTGAATCCCTTGACCATAATAATATTCGACACCATTGACAACGATCGAAGTATGATAGATGGCATCAATTTGAGTCCCAGTCAAGGCGCGAGAGAACTGATTAAGTTAGTCGATCAACACGGCACCTGTTGATGCGCCTGCACGTACCTGGCGAGCCAGACCCTGCATACATAAATTAGCGGAGAGCACGAGATACATAAAAGAAGAAGTAGCGCACCTTTGATAGGTCATAGACGTAGAGTTGAACATCCATGATTGATATTGCTGCAAGGGAACAGCTTAGAGTCGAATTGATAAATGATAAAGGGCTGGGGTAGGCACCGATCCGATCACGTCAGCTGCCGATCCACTGCCTTCGACCGTTTTCTACTTCACTTCATCCTCAATATGCTCGTCGATGGCAATGAGACAGGTGTAAGGCAGAGCGTAGAAGGCGACACCTGCCAAAAACGAAACATTGGACTCTTGATTATCGAGAACCAAGCTATTCATGGTTCCGTGTTCCGTACCGCACCCAGTTGACTCGTACCAAAAGGAGTTGCACCAAGCAGGCACAACCTTGGAACGCATGAACGTCATCTTCGACCTACGCAAATCTCCATCACTGATCAGCGAAACCCTAATAACGGGTTCTACGGATCTTTAATTTTGATCAAACGTCTACAGAGCGCAATGAGTATTGTTTAAAGGTGGTCGATGTTTCTATACCCATTCCACCAATCAACATGCCATATTACCTCCCCACCTCAGCATCATCGATCTCCCAATCTCTTGATCACTCGATCCTCGTCAACGAAACACTCACCCACTCCAGCGCAAGCTGCGACGCTCCCCAGCCCTCACCATGGTAAGCCTTCACCAACATCTGCCTATTGCGACGTCCACCCGCTTATGCTAGCGCCAATACAGCCTCCCAAGAGGCGCGGAGCTCCCGCCAGCTCGTCCGCAAATGCAGGCCCCAAACGCGCGCGCCAATCCAAGCTTGCCAAAGAGAATGACATAACAGGCGACCAAGAGAACGAGATCAAAGAAGTGTTCCAGCTCTTCGCCAATGCGCATGAAGACTTCTCCGGCGAGAAAGAAGGCGTCATTCCCCGTGAAGACGTGCGCAAGGCCCTGGTGTTCGTCCGCCCGCCTACACCGATAACCCACGAAACGTTAAACTAACACCATCTTGTTAAGAGCACTTGGCCTCCCACCTACCAACTCAAAGGAACTAGCGGACATCCTCTCAGCCCTCGATCCAACCCTCACCGGCTATGTTCCCTACGGCCCCTTCGTCTCTGTATGCGCCGCGAAATTACGCTCTCGCGACGACGACGCCATGGTCGCGGAAGTGGACGATGCCTACCAGCTCTTCACGCGCGGCGGGAACGGGCCGATCTCACTGAATCATTTGCGGCGCATTGCGCGAGAGTTGAAGGAGGATTCCGTGGGTGATGAGTTGCTCAAGGACATGATCCTCGAGGCGAATGGAGGTGCGGGACTCAGTGCGGGTGTTACGTTGGAGCAGTTTCATGATGTTATGACGCGGGCGGGTGTTTTCTAAGGATTGTATATTTCGGAATGTTTCTTTCGCTGGACATACGGATGGCGTTTGGGGTCGGCGTTTACTTGCATAGCGCCGAGAATAAAAGCTGTTTTGGTCTTCTTATGAGAAAATACTTTACACCGTTTGACGAGAGAATCATGGCACATTCAGACCTTGTTGGATTGGTAGATACATCCTTGCATCCCGTTGCAAGTAGAAAGAAATTAAGACCGATACCCAAAAAAAACCATAAAAACACTCGTGAAAAAGACCAGTAAGAGGAAGAGGGGAGGAAGAACAGAAGACATGGCCCGCGCATCGACTATCAAAATCCTCCAAAGAAAATCCACATCTCTATGTCACACCGGCAGCAACCGGAGGACACTAAACAATGACGGTGATAAAGTGATTACTACTAATTTGTTAGTGAAGAACTAGAAGCTCGTCAAGTCGTGGAGAACGTACAGAGATCTCGGCCATTCCGAGGTCCTCACCACTGTTGGCGGCCTGAGGAGCAGCGCCATTAACCGGGGCAGGGGCCTGAGCCTGGGCGGGGGCGTTCTCGTTGGAGAAATAGTCGACCATCTCAGCATCGAGCTCCTCAACAGACTTGGGTTTGCCACGGCCCGGATTGCGGCCCTTGCGGGCGCGGCCGTTGGTGTTACGAGCAGCGGCATTCTTATCATTGGCGTTGTTCTTACCCTTGCCCTTAGCAGCCTTAGCAGCAGTGGCGGGCTTCGGTTGAGACTTTTGAGCAATACGCTCGGTCAAAGGCTTAGGGGCAGGAACTGAAGGGGCGTGGGAGGCATCGTAGACGACCTCAATCTTTTGCAAGTTGTCAGAGAAAGCGCAAAGTTCGAATTAAAAAGAAAACCAACCTTCATAGGTCGACCATCAACCAGGAGCCCATTAAGCTCCTTGGCGGCCTTGGCAGCGGTGTCGGCCTTAGCGAAGATGATCGAGGCGATACCACGGCTCGTGCCGTTCTGGTTGTAGGTGAGCATCACCTTCTTGACAGGGCCTGCAGACTTGACGAAGTATTCCTAGAGCGGAAGACGATCAGTATTCTCGCCCGAACGTTTGAGATGAAACAATGGTAGTCGTGCAGCGAAGGAAAACGACGGCGACGGTGTAATGGCGGCGAGAGTTGATCCGGCGGCAAAAGAGCATCAGTGAGCACACAGCGGCGATCGGTTGACTTTTAGAGTCTGTAACCACGAATTTTATCTTCCCCTGCAAAGAATACTCCACACACACTTGCAACCCCCAGGAGGTCCCTCAAAACATCCAACAAAGATCAATGCTAATTTTCATATAGTCTTCCATCCGCAAATCCATCAAATGAGTGCGACAAGTCCTCGAACGACGGGTTCACATCCCCGAGAAGCTTCCGTCAATGCCTAGCCGCGTCGCTTGCATTGCTGAAAGCCAGGAATCCCGTTATGTGTCCTCATGTGCGCTCTCGATGTGATAAACCTTGTAGCACGATAAAACTTTGTGTAAGTTGCCCACTGTATCGTTTATTCTCAATTCACTGTGACGGGAATCACCCCATGGAGCAGTGAGAAGAGTAGGCGAGATGCTTGGATGACAACTTCGCCGCAAGTGTATAAAGTAGAGTGCCGTCCAACAATGTGTGATGGTGCTCTAGTGCGCTCGCTGATGCCCTCTAAAGCTCAATGAAAGAGTTGAATCGCGAAACGCTGTCAGGATGGGAATCTTTCATCACCGATCCTTGGCACAGTACTCAGAATGACAATGCGGGCGGATTGCCTCGGGCGGGCTTCGTCGCGAGCAAGTGTCCTCCTTTCTTAGTACTGCGACAGAGCTCAATTTCCTGCTTTGCAATATGCCAGCCAGCCAGAGAAATGTGCAAAAGCATATGGAAAGAGCGTGCTGTCTGTGCTAGATATCGAGCGATAACCATGAGGAGTGAGGAAGGAGGATAATAATGGTTGGCGCACGCGTCGCAGTCGTTTACACCTCGAGGGGTTCGAAAAAAAAGGTGGCGATCAAAGCCAGGAGGCCTCTCGATCAACATACCTTGATATTGGCCTCAGACACATCGGCAGGCTGATATAGTCAGTGAATGAGTCCATGCATACGAGGTTTAGAATTCATCAAACATACCAATCCGCTCACAATGATTTTGCTAGGAGCAGTCGGGGCAGCCTTCGGGGCTGGGTGAGCCGCCTTGGGGGCAGCCTTGGTAGGCTTAGACTTCTTCACGCCTCCAACGGAAGGCTTGACGGGGGCGCGGCGGTTGTTGCTGCGGCGGCGAGCCTGACGGCGGCTACCGACGAGGTCGTCGAGAGACTTGTCCAGGTTGGCAGACATTTTGAAGACTTGGTGATGATGAATTGGCAAAGCTGGCAGTTTGCGATCAGAGACGAGTCGCGACACGAACGCGTCGACAGGTGGGCAGTCACTGGAGAGCGACGGCGTTCAGAAAGTCTGAATAGTATGAGAAGATTCTCAAAGGGTGATGAAGGCTTTTCAGCAAGTGGGAAGCCGAGGGTGGAAGATAGGGAGGGGGAGGAAGGAGGATTGACTGGAAGAGGAGGGAAAGGGAGAGGCGCAGCGGGTCAGCTCCACTAGGCCCAATTTGGTCGGACTCGTGTTTGCTCCGTTTGCACTTTTCAGGTGGCAGGTAGGTATTATTGCTGGATGGACTTTCTTCTTGTCTGCCTTTTTCGATGAGTTTGGGACAGGATACCAAAAGGCATTAATCGCTTCGTTTGACGGACCGAAACATAGGACGGGACGTGGGAAGGCAAGTAAGTTACCGAAGAGCCGCAGGCAGCAAAGCCTATTAACATCTCTCGATTTGGCCTTTGTACTATGTCACCGGGACGAAAGAAAAAGCAAAGAACGTGTTGACGGAGTCAACTAGTTGGATCCATTCTATATAGGTCCTGCCTATGGCTAAAAAAGATCATCGCAAGAGGAGCCACCCAACTCCTTCCTCATGAGAACAATATGGCCGCAATAAACTGAAACTTGGGAAGTGCATAACATGAATCGCTGAAAAATCGTAGAAAAAAAGGATATTAGCTCTTGAGTGCCTCCAGACGACCCCGCATTTGTTCCAGAGTTGCTTCTTGGTCCTCAAATTCGGGCTCGCTTTCAACGGGGGTAGCCTCGACGGGCTCTACGGCAGGTTTGACAGCCGCAGGCTGAGAAAGCTTTCCAGACAAGATCTCCTGCAGGATCTTATCCACTTCGTCCTCTGCCTCGTCGTCCTCTCCTTCGTACAGCTCATCGTTAGGCATGGCATCGTCAACGATCTCCTCAATGATGCCTGCCCTGACTAGTTCTGTTGAGAGCTGGTGCATGGTCGATGTCAGCTCAGGCAGTCGTACCAATGTATTCACGTCTTTCATAATGCCAGTAGATTTCTGAAGACTGCCTTGGATTTTGCGAACGGAGAATGCTTCATTGACCTGCATGCCCACACTCTGTAATTGGGCTCGGCTTGTCGTGAGCCGAGAAGATTGTTTCCGAATTCGAACTAGCTCTCGTGCAAATGTCTTGGTCTCGCTTATAGCTTGCTTTGCTTGGGATGGATTGCGCTGGGCTCGCTTGGAGGCAGCAATGATGTGTCCTCGTGTCTTGCTATCGAGAGCTTTGAGATGGGCGAGATCACGATCGAGTTGCCTGGTATTTGCGCGAATGAGAGCGTTGCATTTCCTCATCTAGCCATATAAATTAGTGGATTGAACATGTCATGACAGGGTCTTAGCGATATCGGTCTACTTACCTGGGCTGCAGGGTCAGGCCCAAAGAAGACAGCTTTGAGGGTTTCCATGACTCAAAAGTTCTTCAGAAACGTGTCGAATGTGAACAAGCGGTGATTGCTGCAGGACAGCAGGTTGGTAGTCCTAAGCCGTCAGTCGTAGAGTTGGCGTTATGACCTGCGTGGGATATGGACAGGGGTCTTGAGGGGCATAGTCTGCGCGAATTACGATCGTCAAGATATCGGGATCAGACGGACTGGCTCCAGGAGTGAAGCAAACCCGTTCACGAGAGTATCGGACACTTCACTAGCATCTTATCAGTGTTGCGATGCCTGCAGCGATCCGGAGGGGAATCTGCTGAGTCATCAAGTGACGTCCCCAATTGGCCTAAATCAGGCAACAAGGCAGCACAGAGACAAACGGGACAAACCCCTGGTTCCAGTACATTCTAGCAACGCACTTGATTGCGGTACATGCGCTGCATTGTGAGCTTCTCCTCTCCTGCCACACACACCATCTTCATCTTGCCTTGAAGACTCATTTTCTCTCTCATATCTCTCTCTCCATCATCGAATCGACATCTTCTTAGTACTCGATAAAAATGTCCCAGACCCTCACCCCGGAAGGTAAGTTGTGATAGCTCGACTTCCCCGCCCTGCATCAAAAAACACTCGGACCTGCACAGTTCGCGGATAGCTGCGATGACCTTATTGCGTTCTTTGCGGTCCTAGTGTCAGGAAGCTCTCAACATGTTTTCCTAGCCCATAGAAGACGTGCTGACCTGGAATTGTTCGGTTTTACCAGTCACCTGGGCTCAGCGCTCTTCCGCCGATGACCCCGAGCGCAACTACCTCTACGTGAACATCAATGTTGCCGACGTCCCCAAGGCCGATTCCGATCTCAAGATTACCCCCACCGAGGTCTCCTTCACTGGAAAGTCTGCCAAGGGCGTCACATACAGTGTCTCGCTGCCCCTCTACGCCGAGATTGACCCCGAGAACAGCAGGGTGAACCACACTGACCGCTCCTGCGAACTGGTTCTGCGCAAGAAGGAGCTCAAGGCCGAGTTCTGGCCCCGTCTCCTCAAGGAGGCCAAGAAGCTCCACTTCCTTAAGACCGACTTCGACAAGGTATGATGATCATTGGCGCTGACCCGGTTGGACTTTAATGCTGACTATGTTTAGTGGGTCGATGAGGACGAGCAGGACGAGGCTGGCGAGGATGACTACGCCAACAACTTCGGTGGCTTTGACGGCCAAGAGCAGGGAGGTGGCCTGGGCAACATCGACTTCTCCAAGCTCGGCGGCATGGGTGGTGCCGGCGGTATGCCCGACATGAGCGCTCTTGCCGGTGCTATGGGCGGTGCCGGTGGCATGCCCGACCTGAGCGCCCTTGCTGGTGCTGCTGGCGGTGCTGAGGGTCAGGGTGAAGACGACGTAAGTAGAACGCCGGAAATGACTTTCAATCCGCCAGCTAATCAACAGATACAGGAGGACCTGCCCGAGCTCGAGGAGGCCGATGCTAAGTCCAGCAAGATCCAGGAGGTCTCTTAAACAAGACCTTCTGGTTTCCCTACCTACGGATCCTATGATGACCAGAAACGAAAAGCAAGAGTTTTAAGGCTTTACGGTGCTCCGGAGATTTTGGATGGCTTAGGATTATCCAAAATTTATGTAGAGCAATGCGCTAAGACCCAAGATGACCACTTTCGCACTTGGTGTTTGTCTAATAAATGGGTCAGTGATGATCTCAGAGCGGCATCCCCAATGGAACGCAGTAGTAATGAATCTAAATTGCTAAAGAAACTTGAAACCTGAGGTCAACATGTATAGTAGTAGTACGGAACCGCTTCCTATTTATTTCCATGACATCCGTTTATAATGGACGTCTCTATAAGCGTAGATCATGTCATAGCGACAGGGCTTGGTCGAATCCACGCTGTGTGCGGGAGACTCCAGCGATGACGCAAAGCTCGAGTCTCAGCCGAGCACCGCAAGATAGGCATAAGCTGCCTTCATATGATGCAAATTTATTTTCTCGAATCATGCTGGACTTCCTTTTCGATTCCTATCTTATGGTTCCTCCCTTTTCCCTCGTCCTCTTCTCATACTCGCCGTGTTGAACAGACCGTGAAATATACTTGGAGGGCTCGCCCGATCATTGGTCAGTCAAAGATTGAGCCCGCCACACTTCACCCCTCGAATTTGTGGAGGCTTTCGACCGTCATTCTCAAAAAACCTCTTCGATCTTATACACCCTCCCAATCACCGGGATCTCTCTCGCTTCTGCATCAGCGTTTCTTTCTGTTTCACCAGCGTCTCGGCGACCGGGCGCATCTTCCTCTTCTTTCCCACTCAGCTCGGCGTGTGCCCAACCCGTCACCATGGCTCCTAAGAAGGCTGACCAGCCGAAGAAGAAGCCCAAGACGGTCGATGACAAGGTGCGCATTCCGGATACAGGTTCATCAAACTTACCTGATCAGCAACTAATATTCCCAATCTAACTAGACCTTTGGTATGAAAAACGTACGTCAAAAATCCGGCACGCCCTCGCGCAGCACGCGACCCTCGTCACATGGATACCGATAGCTAACCCCATTTAACAGAAAAAAGGAGGAGCCGCCAAAAAGCAGATTCAGCAGTTGAATGCAATGGCCGCATCCAACAAGCCGCTCGATGCAAAGAAGAAGGAAGCCGAGAAGGCACAGCGCGAGGCCGAAAAGGCCGCCGCCGAGAAGGCAAAGCGTGAAACTGCTGAGCTGTTCAAGCCTGTCCAGGTGCAGAAAGTGCCCTTCGGTGTGGACCCCAAAACCGTTCTGTGTATCTTCCACAAGAAGGGTGGTTGTGAAAAGGGCAAGAGGTGTAAGTTCAGTCACGACATGAACATCGAGCGCAAGGCGGCCAAAAAGGATCTCTACACCGACTCGCGTGAGGATAAGGAGGAGCAGAAGAAGGCCGATACTATGGATCAATGGGACGAGGAGAAGTTGCGCAGTGTCGTGATGAGCAAGCACGGTAACCCTCGTACGACGACCGACAAGGTTTGCAAGTACTTTATTGAGGCTGTCGAGAACCAGAAGTATGGCTGGTTCTGGACTTGCCCCAATGGGGGTGATAAGTGCATGTACAAGCACAGCTTGCCGCCAGGGTGCGTTAAAGCTCCTTCTCTCCCCTTTGCTTTGCCGACCGTTGTTTATTGACCATTTGAACAGATTCGTCCTGAAGACCAAGGAGCAGAAGGCGGCCGAGAAGGCTCTGATGGACAAGTCGCCACTCAACACTCTAACCCTGGAAGACTGGCTGGAGTCGGAGCGACACAAGCTGACCGGCAAATTGACACCCGTGACCCCCAAGACATTCGCCGAATGGAAGAAGAGCCGTCTGGACAAGAAGGCTGCCGAATTGGAGGCACAGACTGCCAAGGAAGCGACTGGTCGGTCTATGTTCGAGAGCGGAGACTGGAAAGACAACGAGAGCAGCGACGACGAGTCGGATGAAGACGACGATACCTGGAACCTGGAGACTTTGCGGAAAGAGACTGAGCGAATCCGCGACGAGAAGGAGAAAGACCGATTGGCCAAGCTCCAAGGAAACGGGATTGAGGTGCCCCCTTCAGTCGAGATCCCTGTTGAGGTGCCTCCAGCAGATGATGCCGCGATCGCGCAGGAAGTCGCTGGTTGAGCTTTCGTGCTCCCTCACGAGAATAGATTCGTGGGTCTCTAAGATCTTTCCCATTTGGATTCTTTCTTCGAATCAGACCTTTCCGGCTCGGTTCAACGACTCCATGGGATTGCATTTCGGTGATGAGTGATCGGAACAATCTGTTTTCGGCATGCATTGTATGACCTCGTCACTAGCGGCCCGGCCAGCTTGTTGCATGTCCTTTATGCAAAATCGTACTTACCTTTTGCAAGAGAGGGGGTGCCAGCAAGCTGGTAACGAGGGACAGAGGGATTAGACCCTTTGTCTTCATGTGACGGAAGAATCAACGACTGATATATAGTTATGGCTTTGGTAGCAAAAAGTCCGTTCATTTCCAGTATTTTGCACAGCTACAATGGCAATGATTCCCATTGATACTTCCTATTGACTCGAGTGACCTGGAATATGTTCGCCTGGGTGCCGAGGTGTGTAAAACCTTGGAGAAACTTGGGGTGCCGCTGTATGAGATCGTCGATTTCTATGAAGTTCTAGCATGGGAAGGTAACCGTCTACGAACGACCTTCCTAGTAGATTGTGTCCATGGGAGAATCATTCCGGAAAACACGTCTTCATGTCATAAACATGATTCAGGAGAATACGATGAGACATTGAGATATCCCCAAGCCTTGAGGTGGCCAGGGCAAGATACATACACGAGTATATTCACCAGTCTAATCGAGGAAATATGTACAATTGCTATGAATCCGGTCACAGCGCTGCTCTCTCCCTCAGCAATCCATTCTTCAGCATCAATGCAGCTGTATCCTCCGCAATACCGCGCGAGAGCTCAAAGCCCCGCCCACCAGCTCCATAGGCATGAACTATCTGCTTCTCACGTTCCAGCTTCTCGATCTCGATCCGCATGCCGCCTTCGCGGGAGGGTCGTCGCCCCACGATGTCCTGGATGACATCGAATTGGCCCCCACTCTCGGTGGTGAAAGGGAACCATTTCGAGGCATTTGCAAGAAGCTGCGCTCTGGTTTCTGGAGATGGGTTAGGGTCCCAGTTGTGCGGTTGCTTAGTGCCGCCAATGACTGTACCTCCGTCTAGCGGGCGCGGGATGCAGAAGGACCAGGAGCCGTCGGTGTTTTGGCGGGTGATTGTTGCCGAGACGGGGTTTCGGACTAGGCACGTTTGGCCTGGACCAATTAATCTTTATTCCGATGTTTGAAATTCGAGTGATCTATGTGTTCAAAGACATACCTCTGATAATGAAGGACTTTAGATCGTCGAAGCCGAGACCGGAGCAGTTGACGACTGTCTTGACATTTGTAGCAAGAGAAAAGGCCTCTTTTAGATGTGCGAGGGTATATCGTTTCGTGGTGCCGCCTTTCAAGATGAACTTGCGCAGCATGTGCGCACAATATACAGGCGAGTTCACCACGTAGGTACTATACTCAACACCCCATTGTACGCCTGCGGGTAGTTCATCATTCGACAAGTGTCGGAAACCATCCAAGTGGGAATAGACATTGCGCACACTCTGGGAGTCCAGGTACTCGGGCGGCGGAGCCTCGAGATGCTCCACGCCCTTGAGGAAGAGGATACCAGCAGCCGGCTCACTGTCAGCTACTCTCTTGAAAAACTCATACGTGCGCTGTGCCTGTCTTGCCTCCCGAAGCGCCTGTGAGGAGGAGCCGGGCACGGGCCGATAGTGACCCCCGGCCCATGGCGATGCATAGTTGACAGAAGTGTCAGACGGGAAATCCCTCGCTACTAAAAGCACCGACTGCGAAGGCTTAAGACATTCTTGAATGCATAGGGCGGTTGATAGTCCGACGACACCTGCACTGATATAGGTCAGCTGAGTTTGACGTAGCAGCGGAGTTTCCCTCGGTTCTTCCGCAGGTTTCCAATAATCAAAGCTGCAACTTCACTTACCCTATAACCACAATAGTCTCGGACACAGCCATACTTGGGGTCCGTGGACTTAGGAATGCGATTCGATGATCTATGATCGGAGGCATGCGTGAGGTCCCCGGGTCGCCTGAGTCAAAACCGAGATTGGAGACGATAAGCCCCGCCTACGCGATCAGACGATAGCGGGCAGATGTGGTCATGGTGGGACGATCCTTCCAGAGGGTGCGTTGAATAGCGTGACTGGAGAAGTTCTGGAATACGAGGCTCAGCATATAAGCTATGTTTTCAAAGGACGCAATTCTGTGGGTAGATCGTTGGTGGCGAGCTTCCAAGTAATCTGGGCCACTATCATAATTTCTTCATACACCGGTATCTTATCGGACTATACATCGTCACAATTAACATATCGACCTTCATTGGACTAAATCCAAGTTCGTGTCACGGTGAGAACCCGACTTCAATCAAGCTCGATTGGAAAAATCTTGGCGACTCCCTGGTGCTGTATCTTCATCTGCAGTCCCAAAGGCCCAAGCTCCCGTAAGAACGCCCGATACATGTGCCTGGAGTGCATGAAAGCAACTATCCGCTTCTCAAGCACATAGTCACATCACACACGAAGTGCTTTTGGGGGGCAGCCAGGGGCAAAGTAAATTCTAGCATGCATCATAGACTTCAAGCAGAGGGCATTCGTGAGATTGACATCTAGCATCAGAAACGAGAATGAAACTCCCGAGTCGCCGAGAGGAACCGATCGTCCAAATGATTCTCCACAGTGGCAGGTAGCTCATAGGCTGGCGAAGGACCCTCATTAGGGACGCTTGCCCCAGCCTTCTTTTTGCAGAAAAGACCATTTCCAGGCCGGTATTGGTGGAGGGGAATTTGTAGGCGCCGAGGGGATCAGTAGCAACGGGGTGTGATTGGCGGGGAAGGTGACGAAAGGTGCAGCTTGTCAACTCGCTGCACGGATCCCAATCACATCTTGTCTCAGAACACTCTCTACGTCGCCCATTCTTCTATGACTGTTGTTCATAGATTTGTGCACTTGGTCGGCGGAGGTCAGTTGTGGGCTTGGAGGAGTGTGGGAACGACCTTAAAATCGATGACTATAACGTCTGACTTTGGAGACTATAGCATCTTGTAGGTCACAACTAGATTGTGACCCACTTAGCCCAGCATTGAATTGATGTCTGTGATTTGGGGACTATCTGCAGCGATCTAAACTCGGAACTCGTGCTTTCTTCATCCTCGTTGGTTTAGATCAGCAGCACGAGAGCCACGCACCCCAGCCACCAAATGGGCTCGATCTCACCGTCTCCGCTAATGATGTGATGCTCTCCTCGTCTCCGATTTCACGGGGGCGGTCGATGCTCGGCCACGGCACCAGGCGGGCCACTGCCACTACAGCGTGGCCACTGTATGGTCCCGTCGTGAAATGAAGCGCCCTGCCAGACCCGGGCGCCAACCCCGATTGCTTGAATCCTGAGATTTTGATCGACTTACCCCCTCTCCTTTTCGTAGAAGCTCGCTGTCCTACCATGTCCCATTTCTAACCGCTCCCAAGGCTCCAGGTTTTGTACGCCGTAGATACTATATACATTCGGGGGCCCCTGCCACAGCACCTTACTTCTCTCCACCCCGCGCCTTGTCACGGATCTCGAGCCCCTCCGACCACGCTAAAAGCTCCAAAAGTGTGATGAACGTGGCGAGCCATCCTCGCAAAGCAATTTTGGTGCACTTGCATCTTGATATTACCTACAGGACGACCCCCGGTCCTACATCCTTGCTACATCGTTCTCGCCTGGTCGCCTAACGCCTGCATCTTGCTCTTTGCCTTATTACGGTCTGGATCTTCACTACCGGTCTCCAGCTGCCTCACTTTCTTTGAATCTTCCCTGTCAGGCACTGACTCGGCATTACCATTCCGAAGTCCAATGCCTGGCGCTACCCTGTCAATCTGCTTTCCTTCACCTTGAGCGGGATTCTGGGTCGTGACCGATTAGTAAATCCCCCCTGGTCAGAGCTGGTCAGGTTAGTGATTTTGTTTTTCATTCTTTTCGTTGTGACTCCCTCATGGAGATTGCTCCCGAATTTTGAGGTTTCCTGCCTTCTTGCTCTGAACTGGTGACCGTGACCATTGCAGCGCAAGATTGTTCCGGCAGATAACATCGATATTCCCCTCACAAAGACCTCGTATGCGCACAAAATGGTCGAATTAATATGGAATAGAAGCTTGCTACCAGAATCGCGACCCTTGAAAACCATGAGAGCGATGGCGCCTCAGCCTCCAGAGTCTCGCTTTGAGCCTTGCGCCTCCACAGCCTCACTGTTTCTATATGCACAGGGCTCGACAATCCTGTGCCTGCACCATGATACGCTAGCCGTGGAACGTCGTTTCGATAGCCACCAGGAAAATGTCGAATTCATATCAGTGGATAATGTGAGCGAGCGCGGTGCAGGTCGATTGGTAGTCAGCTATGATGTGGGACAAACAGCGATTGTATGGGATATTTTCACCGGTACAGAGATTGCCAGATTTGCCTCATTCGAGCATTTGCGAATTGCATCGTGGATGCGAAACGGTAGTGTTGCATTTGGTATGCTATAGCTTGTGCACCGGCTTGATTTTCGGTTACTGATAAAGGCTTAGGGAACGGAAAAGGCGAAGTGATTCTATTCGAGCCTCCAACTTCTGAGCATATCTCTGCACGCACAATATTCGATCCAATTACAGCTCTCGCACCAGCTACAGATTGTCGGACATATGCGATTGGGTATTTGGACTATTTGGACTTTCATGGCATAAATTGTAAAGCTAATGACATGTTGCAGGTACCAAAATGGGTCAATCCTGATTGCGAATCTTCTTCCCCAATTTACCATTCTCCACACACTAACGACCTCTCGCGAGCCTTCACCAATCCTCTCGCTTGCTTGGCATGCGTCTTCATCCAAACAAAAGTCGGACATGTTGGCAACTCAATCTTCGAATGGTGATTTAAGGGTTTGGAGCGTGGCGAAACCACCCGGAAAAGAATCACCACGGGTCATTCGGGTATTGAAACGATCAGACTCGAATTCTACTGATCCCAAGTGGATGTCTTGGTCAAAAAATGGAAGAATTATTCAATATCTGGAAGGGTAAGTCGGGCTCAATTTTCTGGCTTTTACAACGGGGCCGCATTGACAGCTTCTCTCAATACAGTGAAACTTGGTCCTGGGATGTTCGAACAAAGCATGTAACCTACGAGCCGATACCCACGATCGAAGGGGTTCGAGGCATGGCTAATTATGGCCCCACGGCAACACTCTTCACTCTTGGTCCGCAGAACACAGTACAACAGTATGATCTCGATAACCCGGCAATGGTCGCCAACGTGCAACACGTCCCAGTTCCTTCCCGGCCTGTAGCATCCGAGAATGGCCGATCACGAACAATGTCCCCACGTCGCCTACAAGACCCTCCAAACATCAGAGAAAAAGGACATGGAAGAAGAACACCATTTGATGCAAATGGAATGGACAGTGTCAGCCAACAAAGAGCAGACCTTATCAGCCCAGCCTCATCAAGAAGTCGAACCGAGTCTGTTAGCTCGAAAGCTTCCTCTGGGAGATACAAGCTTGACCGCCCATTCTCACCACCGAGTCGGTCTGGCCAGAGTGCTACTACTTTCTCATTAACTTCAGCTAGTGGAGATACTCCACAACCTTCGGCATCTTTCCAGTACGCGTCCTCTGTGTCCATGTCCTCGGTGAAAAGCTCGCGTGCTGCGTCTCGATTACGCAATGAAGTCCGCATGAGTCCTGCCGAGAAGAATATTGTTGATCTATTCCCTTTTACCCGCGCACGCTTAAACGATGTACCTTACAAGCAGGCGCCGCCTCTTGACGAGGCTCATTTGACACCTGATGATCTGCGGCAGCAAATGTTGAGTGTGGTATTTGGCTGGGAAGGAGATATTCAAGATCTGATTAGGGATGAGCGTATGATCTTTGTTCAATTACATGCCTGGACAGAACTTTTTGCTAATAGCACACTTAGTGAGCCGACATGCCGTTGGAAGCCAAAGTGCCATTCTTTTAGCCCAATGGCTTGGTGAGACCGACTCAGATCAGATGGCTGCCATGATAAGCCCCGGGCAAGTGACAACCGTGGACTGGATGATATTGGCGTTAAGTCAAATGAGCGGCCAAACTCAAGCGAATAAGGTTGGCCAAGCCTTTGTAAAAAAGCTGTTGGAGATGGGAGACGTTCACACATCCGCGTCGATTCTCCTCGGTCTTGGAGACAGCAACGACGCAATTGAGGTCTATGTGTCTCGCAATCACTTCATGGAAGCCATTCTAATGACATGTCTTCTGATGCCTTCGGACTGGCAACGTCAATCATATCTTGTCCGCCGGTGGGGAGAATACGTGGTATCCCATTCTCAGCAGCAACTTGCCATCCGGTGTTTCATGTGCACTGGCGCTGAGCCCACCGAGCCATGGACTTCGCCAGCTGCTCAGCAAGCCGCCTCCTTCGCGGAAGTCATTCGAGGGAAGTCACCACTTGCGTCTCCCGATCCGATGCAATCCAGTTCAAACCTTATGCTGCCTCCCAATCGACCTAGGTCAGCATCGAACCAACGATCAGCTGGGAAAACTCCCGCACTGAAGCTTATCACATCATTTGATTCGCAACCAAACCAGCGTTTCCGATTCCCCGGTCTCAAATCAGACGACCGAACACCAACGAATGCACCCGGTGTCACTCCCATTGCAGAATCTGCTGTTGTCGACTCTGCTTTGTCTCCGGGTGGTCTGGGATCCTGGAAGTTGAATAATATCCAGAGCCTCAGTCAAGCCATGACTTCCAGGACTGGTACTCCGGCCTGGAACCGCCGTCGTCTTCCCTCGATAGGGGAGACCCCAGTGGATGTGCATCCGCCCCACGATTTCACGTTCTGGGTCCTACCAGAAATCTGGTTACGGATCAACGTCTGAAAATGATGAGATAAGTGGCCATGAGCATAGTCAAGACGAGCGAGGTGATGAAGATGGTCTTTTGCTGTCTGCTACAAGATACAATCCAGAGGGAAGTTCTCTCAAGCCAAGTCCCCAGACTGCCGTTCAGGCTGCCGACCGATTTGCATCTATCAAAGGTCTTCCGTCTCCAGGACTCGGTCTGATCGAGGCACTCAGAGAGAACTCCGATATACGTAATGGCTCGCGCGATCGCAAACCGGACGGACTTCAGATCGAGCTCGTGCAAGCGGAAGAATCCCATGCAAACAGCCACGATCAATCAGACTTGCTTCCTATGGGCAGTGCAAAGAGTACTACGTCGACTTTGAATAGCTACAGCTCGGCCAAAAGTCCCAGCGTCAGTGGACGCAGTATCGATCAGTACATTAGTAGTCTGGAAGAGGCTAATTACCATTCAAAACGACATCGAGGTCATCGCAGCCATGGCCGTGAGAGGAGAAATACAGATGAAACAGCTAGTCAAAGCTCGCGCACTCACCAAGCTCATGATCCATCACAGGACAGCCGTGGACGCAATGAGCGGCGATACATCCAACCTGCGAAACGGTCACCTTCATCTCCCGTACCCATGTCTCCCCAAGAGCTAGCTCAATATCATACCGGAGAACCAGATATGACAGAAACGTCTAGAAAGACACAGTCGCGTGCAAGAAGCCGCAGCAAAATGAGAAAGGGAAGCTCACGCAGCCGTCAGCGCTCTTCCAGTCGAAACACAGCAGCCCAAGTCGGTGGAGACAAGAATGACCCTTCTACGCGTGGTCGCAGTGTCGACCGACAGAGATCCTCTGTCCGATCCCCATCATCACCGCTACCAATGTCTCTGCCAACTCTGGACATATCCCAACAAGAGAATGCCGACGATCCATTGAGAATAGTGGCTGGGAACCAGAAACGTCTACGCTCGCGTCACAGAAGCGCTAGTCGTCGGCGAGGAGCTAGCTCGAGACGAGACCCATCAACAGAGTCTAAGTCCGGACACAAGGCTTCCTATAGCCAACCTGAGATTCGTCAGGTTCCAAAACCACAGGATGCTGCTGAGTCTCAAGGCCTGGAGCTCTTGAGTGCCAAAACATTCGGCCAAGAAGATGTCTTTGCCAATGCAATGAACCAACAAAAGGCTGATTCCAATGAAGAGGCTCAGGATCTGGTGTCTCTAACGACACCTTTTGTTAGCCTGGCAGAGAGGAAGAGACGAGAACTGGCAGCTGCTGAGCTCGAGGCCCGCCGACTATCTCTTGCTCGCAAGCCTTCCGCGCCTAATATCCCATTTCCAGGGGAACTGCAGTCTATCCGAACACCAGTGGAAAGCCCGCCTCCATTCCATGGCAACTCATACTTCCCTCGAGTCCCATCACGAAACAAAATTCCTCCCAGCAAGAACTCGCCAGAGTACCAAAGTAGTTCGGATTCCGGCTCGTCTCGCTCAGGTCTGCCAGTTGGACTTCCTGCAACACCTCGAGCAATGCGTCATCCCAAGTACGGTGGTGGACACGAAGAAGAACGTCCTCCATCCGTCCCGGCTCTCCCAACCGACAATTTCGGAAGTCTTCTTCTAACAGACGCGAGGTACCAAGGCGAGGCTGAAAGAATCGGCCGCTCAATGTCCGTCCCAGTACCCCATGACCAACACTACAGAGGCGCTCCAGTACCTTCCGACGTCCCAATGCACCCACGCTTCAACCCTAATCTCCCTCGAAGCCGCTCAAATAGCCGGAGCCGCATGGGCCACAGACGCACCTCCTCGGGGGGATATGCCTCGGGCACCTCACCCCACGTCACAGTGAGCATCGAGGAAACAATCGAAAATGCAATGCAATATAGACCTTCCGCACCCCAAATTGACCTAATCCCACCACCTCCTCCTCCACCCCCAATCCTCCCCGAACTCCAACACCTAAAGAATACGCCCCCACCACCACCCCCACCACCCTTCTACGAAGCAGTCTCACCACGCGAGTCTTCAGCTACAATTGACATCGCCATCGATAACCACGACATGGGACATCTCCTACCGCGCGCAATGACGGCGGCGCCAGCTTTGAACAGCACAGAAACTCGTCAGACTGTAGGACGACGGATGTCTTTCGATCATCGGCGGAATCGAAGCTCGAACGAGAGCTTTACGAATAAATTGCGCAGCTTGACTCGTATGCGAAGTAATAGTCGCAGTGTGGAGCCTTGGACAAGTCATCACGATACCGAGATGCCGTATGAGAGTCTTCATTCGCATGGGCATTTTCAATCGAGCCAAGGCCCTGCCTATGTAAAGGGTGATTTGACGAGTTTCCTTTGAGTTTCTACTGGAGTTTTTGTCATGTTGATCTGATCCCATGTCTTTTAACTTTCCGCATACATTTGACGAATATCTGCTCTATGTTGATTGTTTAGCGCTGTGCGTTTTGCCGGATTCGGCGTTTTAAATGTCCCTCCACTCTGATTGACTGCATCTATTGCTATACCCTCGCTCTTTTTTTTATTATGTATGCGTTTCATATCTCACTTTTTTGAATCATCGTGCAATCCTACACAAACCCCATGCGTCTGACGTTGCTTTTTTTATTCTTCCTCGTATACCATGTCGAGTCTGGTTGGATTCACCCAGCTATCAAAGTTGCTGATCGACTGTACCATGCTCGAGCGTTTGATTTATTTCGGTGTTGGGGTTACTTTGTCTAAAGCTACTGCCTGCGAAGGCTAATACCAGTGTCAGGAGGTGATTGAGAAGTTCATTTCATTTGTAAAGGTGAATCGACGCTAGAAGATAAGTGGTAGTATACATGAGAGATGAGATGAAATGGAGATTTATGAGCCCCATCCCCGGTTCTGAGCAGATGTGTCACTGTACGCTTTCTTCTCGTTCTCCACGATCTGATTGAATTCAGCGTGTGCTTGCTCCTTGTCACGGCTCTTCCCCATGTTGTAGCGATCTTGATCGTTGACAGGAGCATATCCTGGGCGGGCAGCAGGCTGCTGCGCGGGTCCGAGGTTCTGACGTCTGATACGGTCCCATGCACTGCCGGCAGAAGAGCCGTCGGGGTTGGTGTTGCGGTACTCTGGGGCAGTGGGACTAGCATCGTCACCACGGCCACCAAGGAAAAAGTCAGTGCCTGAGTCCGATTGGGAAGCGGGCTCGTTGGTAATTCCTCGGGGTGTGCCGTACACCTGCGGCTGCGATTGACCAGTCGAGATATTTTCCTGGTTATACTGAGGCATGTTGTAGGACGTGTCACTCTCATACGATGCGGTGGGAGAAGCAGAGTCATCGTAGTTGCTCTGACCCTGGTCATAACCACCACGACCGCTTAAGCGCTCGAAAATCTGTCCAGTGATATCCACCTCGCCTGCTCTGCGTCTGCGGGCCCCATCAACAGCCGAATACATTCTGCGCTTTCTAACTTCCTCTTGGGAGATGTCTCTCATATCCTGCTTAAACTTATCCATGCTTGGGTCCATGAGTATAGTCTGAGCATCAGAATATGCCCCCATGAAGGTTGTGAGCAGCCAGCCAGTACTGGTGAAGAACAGTATTCTGAAAGCGGCTTTTCCCGCATGTTGGATCAGGGCTTCTCTATTGACTTGAGTGGTTACCTTGAGAAGTCTCCAAAATTCAGAAGGCGTTGGCGCGAATCCCGGCCATGCACCTGACTTTGTCATTTTGCGATATTCCCACCCAGCCGAGAGGAATGCAGAGGCCGGCAGCCCGATGGTCTTATAATACAGGCCGCGCGAGGTGGCTGTGGTGTAAACGTCCATTTCGGTTTGTGTAGGGTAGCGATTCGTCACAATCCATTGGCTCTCTATGCGGTCGGTGAGTGATCTTGCGACATTGCGTCTCCAGTTCTTTACGCCAAAGAATCCAAAATATAGAGTGAACAAGTCCGGCTTTACCACCAGCTCTGGCTTGATTTGCAATGGGAAGGATTGAGCGAAGGCCGGGTTTGGGGTGAGATATCCGCCGGGTGAGCTGGTAACGGCATTGTTGTTCGGGGGTAACGATGCCTCAGGCGGGGCACCTTCGAGGACCATGGTGGCGAGACTAAGTGAAGCTGTCGGGGAAGTGAGCTCCGTTGCGAAGTTGCGAATGAGGAAAGCTGAGCTTTGAGCTTCAGCCTCTGGTGACGTTGTAGGATGAGTCAGCACATCTATCCCCGCTAGAGGTTATTTGACACCTGAGGCAGAACATATGTGAGAGATCACATAGAAGTGAGAACAGGGTACAATCTGTTTAATATTCTACCAAGTCCGGAAGATAGAGATCCAAGAAACAGCCGTGCAAGAGTTATACATGCCAAGACCTTCGAGTACCTAGGTTCCAGACCGTGGGCCTACTTGATCAGTATCATCTACAACACCTTAGAAGTATACAATGATCTTGATCTTCGTAATGATGCTTATTAGCAATTAATTCAATTGTTCAAATCTGTCCGATAAATCGACCGGCTGACGACTCTACCACTTCTCGACATAAGGTCTCAAATCCAGCTCGAAAGCAAAGGTTGTCCGCGGCTGAGTATGCAGGTGCCAGTACGAGTCGGCAATCTAGACAGACGAGACTCAGTTCTTGTCTCAAGTCAAATCGAATAATTCTTCTTAGACTTACAGCATCGGGGCTCAGCTTCGCATCCTCATGCTCGAAGGTCCAAGTCTTGGTACGCGGGATGTCGATCACACCATCGATAATGGCGTGGGATACATGGATACCCTTCGGTCCGAATTCACGGGCGAGTGACTGTGCCAGGGCACGCAGTGCAAACTTTGCCGAAGCAAATGCTGCGAAATTGGCTGATCCCTTCAGACTGGCAGTGGCTCCGGTGAAGATCAGAGTGGGCGGGTGAGGGACTGAGTCTTTAGCTTGGAGCAGAAGGGGCAGGGCGCGCTTGGCAATATTGAAGCCTCCGTTGCTTTTTCTACTTGTTAGATATTTATCGCAGACAGAGCGGCAGACATGCCAGTCTTGGACATGGAAGTAGCTTCAGGAAGTCTAGTGTACATACCCCTGCGACTTGAGAGCCAAAGAGTAATCATCTTCCGTGAGCTCAAGAAATGGCTTCCTCACGAATCCACCACCGGGATTGAAGATAGTAGCAGCCACGGCTGCATCGGGAAACTGTTTCGCAATCTGGTCAAATGCAGCGTTGACGCTATCCGCATCAGAGACATCGGTACTGATGCCGACAGCCTGTCCGCCCTTGGAGTTGATCTCCTGGACAAGAGACTCGTAGTTGTCGGGGTTCCGGGATAGAAGCACGACAGAATAGGTCTGAGCGAAGCGTCTAGCAATGGAAGCACCCTGTAGTCTTCATTATGATGTTGCCTTGAAGGTCGGTATCAGGAAGCATACTGTGCCAGGACCCACGCCAGCGATAATTGCAAGTGCCTTGGATGCCATTGTGATGAATTATTGGGATCAAAGCCAATCTTAGAAGAGCGCTGGGTAAGGAGAAATAAAGCTAGATATATACGGCGTGGCGGCAAGCACGTACTCCCCGACGCTTAGAAATGCGAAGGTGATTGATCATCGCACGCTTAGATGACCTCATTTCGGCAGGTGGGACGCCCACACAGTTATCGGATTATTCTATCATCTAAAATCGGGTTTAAATTGCTTCCTTTACCGTAACTTCCATGCTACATACCGTAATGCCGGCCCTCCAAATGCCTCTGTATGGTTTCGTCAGTGGAGTCCAGTTCTGCCTTAGGCCGTAGACAATTCTTTATCGATAAGTACTCAAATTTCCAGCTCCGCGAGTTGAGTTCGATCGGCTCAACCACCCATCTCTCATCATGGAAGACTCAGATCCCTTACTGAGTGAGCTCTGCTCAATATGGTGAGTCCCATCATCTCTTCAGATTCTCCCAAGTCGCAACGCTAACGGAAATGCGTGTTCCAGCCACATGAACCCGCCGAAATACCGCTGTCCGCGCTGCTCAACACGAACCTGCTCTCTCCCCTGCACAAGGCGCCACAAGCTCTGGTCACAATGTTCCGGTGTGCGCGATCCAGGCGCCTACCTCAAGCGTAGCGAATTAGCCACAGAAGCGGCCTTTGACCGTGACTTCAATTTCATCTCAGGCATTGAGCGCTCGCTGGAGCGTGCCGACAGGGATGCCGAGAACAGGGGCATTGAACTTCAACGTGGGAGCGCTGCAGATGGCGAGGATACAAACGAAGCTCTTGCATCCGGCGCTGCGCGCAAAAGAAAGCACCCGGGCCAGGGTCTTGTAAAAGGCGAAGCTGGATTCTTGCGCGGTGCGGAGGCTGGCGCCGTGAAGGTTATGCGCGCGCCGAGGGGCATGACGAGGAATAAGCAGAATACTTCGAGATGGCATCCCAAGTATGGTCAAACCATAAAGGAAGGATTACGAGATTGAGGCTGACCTTGTTCGACAGACACAAGTGCCTTAGTTGGACTGTGGAATGGATACCGACCTCTGGCGACAAAATGGTGTGCAACAGTCTTGAGACGCGCACTCTCGCTCAGGCATACGATGGCGTCTACCCAATTCCGAAGGAAGAGAGACCCAATTGGGACCCCAACAAAGGGCAGAAAGGCGAGGAACAGAACAGCTCTATAGTCCATGAGCAAACCGATGCCACCCAGACCGACGCTGTCGCAACTACGACAGAAACCCCAAACCCGATCACCGAGAAACAGCCAGCTTCAGAAACAGCGGAGCCGTCTACAATCCCAGAAGAAGAACTCAACTTTGATCTTCCCATCACCCCTCACCGCGGCGTTTACTTCTACCTCCACCGTCCCCGAACATCCACCAAGAAACCTGTCCTGGCTCCTTTACACCCACGTACAACATTGGCAAACGCCCTGCGCGAGCGAACAGTTCTAGAGTTTCCTACTCTCTACGTCCTCCCGGACTCGGCAGAAACCCTTGCCGCGAATGGGGGAGAATCCCAATTCATCCTAGAAGAAGAATATCTACGAACAGCGGCACCCGAAGAGGCTGCAGAATCAGAGAACGAGGGAGCGGAAATGAACAATGACGCAGAATTACATGGTACCAAGGACATCGGGAATGTTGATGAGCAAAAGGTGATGGAAGTGTTGAAGCAGGATTTATTTGACAATGTGCCTGAGGAGTCATAGGTTCATTATGTGCATAGCTATTTCAAGGAGGGCTCCCTTTAGCGAGACTTCTAGCGAGATATCCGATATCTGGATGTAATTACAGGCGTTTGTACAGTGTATACGACAAACTAGCGTTGCATGTCAGTCACTTGCATTTGGGAGAGGGCATACAGTTGGTCTCATCCGTGTAGGACCTGCTGGAGGACTGGGCTCTCGAAGATTCGAGGTTCTCTGACAATCATCACCGTAAACGTCGGGCGTAAAGTGGCGTGTTTACAGAGAAGATCTGCAGGCGTTTCATCGACAACCCAGAGATAGAACTCGCAGAATTAGGTGTGACGGCGACCAACTCTCGGCGCGGGGGAGAGGATACAAGTCGTGCGAAGCGCGGTTAAGACGGTTTCAAAAACCACTCAATCGATGGGTCAGGAGACCTGCACCACCAAGGAGTTAATCAGATTGATCACAAAGATCGATAACACCCAAACGATCCCAAGGGTATTTCAGCTAAATCACAAAAACAATGACTCCAGATCCAAGGATATAATCCAAGGATATGCTATGCTATGGCAAAATCGCTCAAAATGCAAATATAAATCAAAATCCTAAATCAAACCACATCATATATATGGAGCCACTCAGAGCTTGCACTTTGAGTTCTCAAAAACTCGTAGACATAGCTTCAAGGGTTTCTTCAACCGCAATGTCGATATTGCGATTGAGATGCTGTGCTATGCACAAGTGAACCTCACGGGCTATAAGCGCGTAAGCTCGTAGGTGTTCACCTCGAAAGAAGCGCCGTCCATCCAAGGATGGGTGTACTCTTGAGGATAGCCAAACACATGCTGTGAGGAATGTCCTCTTTACAGGCATGAAGCCGATCCAAAAAGTTGGGTTGTAGGGTAAGTTGTGAATCAGAAGCAAATCTTCATGTCACACAGATCAAGAGGTTGTGCTGTCCGAATCGGAAGCAGTCTCAGGAATGTCGGGCACAGAAGCAGGCTTAGCCTTACTAGACTGTGAAGAAATAGGCTGGGTGGGAACAGTATTTGGCACGGTAGGCACCTCAGGCTGTTCAACTAACTTGCCGAGTCCGTGACTGGCTTTGGACTCAGTGGGGGACATGCGCGCCTTTTCCGATCCACTGGGCTTCAGCTTGAGACGGCCTTGTTCCAAAGCACGAAGAACGGTTCCAATGTCTTGCGGGTCAATTGATCGCAGCTTACTCATGGCGTCCTCGGAGACATCTGAGAATGGGTTCCACCCCAACTTGTCAAATTCTTCGGAGACGGACGATTGAGACTCGGCCACGGAGGGACCATTGATCAACCGTTGCAAGAAAGTGTCGGAAACACTAGGTCTGCGCGGCATCTTCACGGGCTTAGACTTGGGACCTGTGCTTGCGGAAGCAACATCTTCTTGCTGACGCTTCAGCGGACGGGATGGTACGGCATTCGGGCCTTCGCCCACCTCATTGCGAATCTTGTAGTACACAAGACCTAGAGTGGCGGCGAGTGCTTGATGTGCGGCTTCGGGGAAGCGACGGACAGCTTCTTCCCGAGATATGACAAAGGATCCATCGCTGGAGTCACTAGAATCACTGTCGGCAAACATATCGGTCTGGTGCATCCGAGACCAATCCTGGTAACCACCCAGTTCATAAAATTCCGCGAGTTCAACCAGACGATGAACTGAATATACGTTAGAAAGGGGACTGGGGGCGGTATTTACTTGTTAGCGCGTACCTCGACTTCTTTTCTTGAGACACCAAAATTTCCAGACCGTACGCGGGAAGTATTTGGGCCATTCAAGAGCCCCATCATCGGTGATGACAGGGACAGGGCTGATAGGAGCGAGAATGGTATGGGCGAGAGAGTTGAAACGGACACGATCGGAGTGTCTCATACGCGATTCCATAGAGTCCATGCGCGAGTTCAAGTGGTGGAACTGGCGGGACAGCTTATGATCCAAGGTAACCAAATCCGTGCGGAGCTGACTCGATGTAGCTTGAAGTTTGCTGATGTCAACCCGTGTGGCGCACGACTCTGTCCTGATCTGCTCCAAGTCGACATGAAGTTGATCCACAGTCTTCTGCATCCGATCGACATCTCCACGCAGGAACACCGTCTCTGTGCCCGACTGACCAAGGCTAGACTTCAGCTGGAAGATACTAGTCTTGATCTGGTCGACATCGGAGCGCAGTGCCACGACGTTGAGGTCAATACGGTGGGAGATAGCACGGTGGGTCTCGAATTCACGACGGATGTGTTCATCCTCGCGGTTCCGGCGGTCGACATAGCCATCCTTGGTAAGGACAGTAGATCGCAGTTCGAGCACACGCGAGTCGAGCTGATTCATGCGGTCATGGAGATGGGAGAGGGACAGTTCGGAGCCAGGCGGTGTGATTTCGCGTCGAGACGGTCGCGGACTGGACATGGAGAGGGAAGTGCTGGAGGTACAGGAGTGACTCCTTTCCAGCGTGGTCATGGTGGGCATGATGGTAGTATAATTATAATGGTGGTATAGTCGACGAGATCATATCTAGAGTCGCAGGTCGTCCATTGTGTGGGGATCGTGGTGGGAAGATGCTCCTTGAGGCGAGAAGAGGAAAAGGGCGACAAAGGAAGGGGGGTCGCACTGCTGGCCACCGTGTGCCGCCCTCTCCAAAGTCAGACTGCATCCGGGCCGACACGCCTCGACACAGCATTACTCACCCAACATCATCACTGGCCATTCACAGTGTGAGTCTATAACATTACGCGATGACTCAATCATGCTCTGGATCAATTTTCACCTGTTTCTCCAGCTACAAGATCCCATAGATGAGAAGGAAGACGACATTCTGGATAGAATACCAGCCGTGACAAGACGTTACCCAGAGCACAGACTAGGCTTGGCGCATAACTAGTGCGACACGGCGCAGCGGACTCGCATTGGGGCGAGGCAAAAACCGGGCCCCTTCGTATTCATTGGTCTTGGGGGTGTCACGCCGGCCCCACGAAACCGGGCGCTAGCAGTATTTTCGTATTTAAGCAGGGCAAGGCCATGCGTAGGGCTCCCATCTGAACGTGTGATGACGCGAGGTAATTAAAATTACATCTCGTTACCAACCCGTAGGTGACTGCCTTGTCCAACACCACTATGCGGCTCCGTTCCCACGTCTATTTTCTCAAGATGGCAAACGAGTAGTTTTAGACTCGGATGGTAGCATATGATCAAGGATGCTAGGTCTGGAATTTAATGGCTGTAGACACTACTACCCGTGAATCCCGGAATTTCTGACGTGATGTTCAAGTTGTTCCCGATTGGGAAACCATGATGCCCTAACATCGACATCGCGACTTCCTCACGACATACACAGTTCGAGTCCAGGAAAATGGCTACCAACTACCTGAATATTATGAAAGAATTGTCACTCTTCTTCAAATTGCCCTGGAACTTAGCCGCCCACCATGAAGCAAGGCGGTCTGTCCTTGGGTATTCCTGGAGGCCTGTGTCTTCTTCAGCACAATCGTCTTCTCATTTCCAAGTCCTCCAGCCAGCCCGTTGGTGAAGCCATATCCAAGGAAGGACCTTGAAGACTGTGACTGCTTCACGGTGTCAGGTCCCGACCCTGGTTACTTCCAACACTACAAGCTCTGGGACTTTCGCGCCGTTCCTCTTGGTTCCAGCACAAATCAACCCGGCAATAACAATGATGAGGACGATGATGAGGATGACTTGAGTTCCCCCTCATTCGGACAAAGGACCTGACAGCCAAGGCCACGACGGGAACAAGCAAGAGATCAATCTCGACATCCTGAGTTTCTTTCAATCTACTTTCAACAAGGACTGGAAGGTCCAACAATGGAGGCGCCCTCGCAGCCCTGATGCCCCGGTAGACATGATCAACTCCAAGCACAATGTCTTTATCACCAAGAACCATGAGCAACGAGACCCGCATGCAACATATCTGGTCCTGCGTACTATCCGCCATGACAACTACTCCTCGACTGCAGAAATTGAGACTCGAGCACGAAGCATCTACCGCTGTTCCATACGAGTCAGATTTCGCATCCTGCCCACCGATGTGTTGTTAGTTCATCCAATGGACTCGCCGTTGCGTCAGTCACAGCACAAGATCTCGTCCTTGCAGAATAGCACAATCTCAGACAATGAGGCAGCCCTAATCGAGCCTGGCAGACCTCCATCAGGTGCATGTGTTGGCATCTTCACTTATCGTCCCCCCAATTGCGAATCGGACATCGAGATCCTGACAAGCGATCCTTTACACCGTGTGCGATATGCAAACCAGCCAGACTATGATCCCGAGACCGATGTGATGATCCCCGGAGCCAGCACAATTCTAGACCTGGAAGTCTCATGGACAAATTGGTCAACTCACAGATTGGATTGGCTCTCCGAAGTATCACGCTGGTGGGTGAACGACAAGCCACGGGATGCCAAGACATACCGTGTCCCAAATATGGAAAGCAGAGTGGTCATCAATCTTTGGAGTGACGGAGGCATTTGGACCGGGGATATGAGACTGGGTGACCGGGTATATTTGGGAATCGAGTATATTGAACTGGCTTACAATCGATCCTCTGATGCCTCCAAACATATTCCGCCTGCGCAACCTGGTGGTCACAAACAACCTTTCGTCAATGTGTCTATCTCTGAAATTATGGACTTCTGGGAAGATTCTTGGGGGCCAAAGACTGAGTTCTTGACCGGAGTGAAAAAGGAACAGAAGAAGAAGCATGGCAAATGCAAGAAAGGGAAGAAAGGCCGGAAGTGCAGGAAGAAGCATCACCAGAAACCCAAGAAGCCAAACAAGCCGAAGAGGCCGATCGAACCTCATTGCATTCGTGCGTGTAACATTGATGACCTCCATCTTGGAAATCGTGGTGTTGGCAGTTAAATCTCCTATCTGTATTCATACCCGTTGCTTTGTCTCACTTTCCTGATGTTCCAGTGGACAGTGTCACTGCTATTACTAGCTACTTGCGGCCTTTTCTGTTCGACCGGGAGATGAAGTTTTAGATTCAATTCCATTGTTATCTTGCTCCATCTTTTCTACACACAACCTTCAATGCCCATCCTTGAATCACTTCAAGTAGATGTCACAAGCACAGAGCGTAAGACCGTGCAAAATGAAGTAAGCCTAGGTGAAGGCGCACATGACGCTCTCAATGTTGTCATTGACCATCTTGCCATTCTGACCATCGACGTTGCTCTTCAACTGGATCAACCTGTAATTTTCAGGAAACTTCAACCCGGTATAGATAAGATTCGTGCAATCACCGTCACTGTATAGATCGCGAGACGTTCCGTTCTCGAGGTAAATGCTAGAGATCCCGCTACCACCTTTGGCACTAGAGGTAGATGTCGTACATTAGCATGTCCGATGAAAACTCAAGCGATCATGAGCACTTGCTAGCTTGGGACCGAGTCGCAGTTACAGTCGTAAACCTGGTATGTATACGAAGAACCTCCTCCGTTGGTTGCAGAAGTGGTTCTCCCATTTTCGATAATGCGTGAGTAACCTCATATCAAGTCATCTTTGAAGTTTCATGAATAGAGCCCTAGTTACATTCAAGCTCGCATGTCCGATGGTAGCAGCATTGGCGCATTCCTTGATTTCGTTCTCATATACCTAACCCATCCAGACACGTTTCAGGAAAGCTTTCCTCGAAGCCACGGTCCTTTCCTTCCGGGACCTTGCCGAGCTCGCTTGGTCCGCCATAGCTGTTGAAGGAAAAGTGTCCAGGATCGCACTCGCCCAGGGTACCACCGACATTTGCATGCCTTCTTGGCATCATTTTAGGTGTTTTTGTTACTTGCAACAGGCGAGTCCTGAGAAGTACAAATCCATCATGTTCCCTCGGCCAAGGTGGTGCTTGCCTGTTCATACTATGTATCAGTTCCTGTCATAAGGAGTGGCTTCGTGGACTCACCAGAGTGGCAAGGACGAGCTGTCAAGAAGTATATTTTCACAAAAATAATTGTGTCACAAAATTAAAATTTGCTTCCGAGCTGTCTTTGTCAATTGCTTTTTGAGGACTATGGTGTAGCGGTGGGTGAGTTGAGGATCGTGTGAGATGGGGAAAAGGTAACAAATTGGGTCGTCAAATACGGTCGTATAGTGTGGTGTTTTATTGGTTTAGCCACCTGCTTCAAGCTTACTGAGGACATCTTGTGATTCAGCATGGTCTGGGTTGCAGTTCGGTCTCTTTGGTGTATACAAGCTAAACAATCGACCTTCACTTCATCTTGCAGAGGCCTGGAAATCAGAAGTTATGGTATAGGAGACTGGGTCGAAATGCGGTTGGTCGATAATTATCTCAGAATGTAGTCGAGTGACTAATGAACGAAAAGTCTGAAGATGCCACTCTTAAAGCAGTCTAAGGAAAATGTGAGGAGCAATGATACTTTTAGCCAATGTCCATGCCAAGAACTTGGTTTGAGCTATACCAAGCCTATTAGGTATAGCGTCGCGCAAAGAAGTAAAAAACGACCAGGAATAATCAGCTATGCTAGATAAAAGTGGGTAACTGATCTCGACTCATCTTTAGAAAAGTACATTTACTCTGCTATCTACTTGGGAACCGTGTAAAGAACTCTAAAATTTCATTTCGAGGTTACGTAGAAGCTCTTCTAAATTCCATGCGACATGTCAAAAAGCCACAAAGGCTTTTCCTTGTGTCACTTCTGTTCGTGGGGTATCATGCACTCGTTTAACACATCACAAAGAAAGGAAAGCCGAGATAGAATCCCGAACCCCTGGTGGCCTCCTGTTGTCCATTTCTAACCGGCCATGCACGCCGCAATAATCAGATCAAAGAAAATCGTAAACGCCTTGGTGAGAAAATCATATGCTGGTCTCCACATGCGGTACTTATCGCAGTGCAGAAGAGGGTGGAGTGGTCGGAGGTGGAAAAGTGAAATATCCTTTTGGATATGAGATTGGTGGGGAGGATTCGTGTGTCGAGAAAATGCCTCGGTCATTGGGCTGAGAAGTATATGGTAAGGTGGTGGAAGGTATCGACAGGTCTCCTCACTCGAAACTGTGTTCAGAGCTGCAAATGACCCGCCTTGTCAATGGGACTAAATTCTCCATTGAGCCCGCCATTCATGATCTCTGCGACAATCTTCCTGCGCAGAAGAACTGTATCCGAGGCACTAAAAGCAGTAGGCTCGACGCCTAGTGCAATGGCCTTGGCGTTTGTGAGAAGGAACACACCACAGTCGCTACCATTATCCTGCATAGACGAGGTTGACTTCAGCACCGTCCACTCATCTTCGTCGTATTTCATTCCAAGCTCGCCTCGCAGCCACTCTTTGATTTTCTTCACTTGATTGGCCCCGCGTGAGCCCATTGAGTCAAAGTACTCGATTGTTCGTTCCATGGGTCGCACGACCAGAAGAGTCCAGTGGGCTCCCCCGTGCACCGGGATGAAGACTGTGTCGACATCAAGCAGCCCTTCGCCGCCTATCTTTGCCCGATTCGCCCACCGGCGCACTCCTTGATACCCTTTATCTCGTAGAGTCGAGAAGAAAAATGTGTTGAAAGCATGAAAGAGGGGCTTGTCGTTTAAATTCCCCGTAGATTCGCGTAAATAGTGAATGAGAATACCGAGGTAGGAATTGATGATTTCATCATTGAGCCAAGCTTGATGGTTGATGCAGGTGGCAATGTCTCTTTGGTATAACGCGTCTCCAGAGATCGACTTTGCGACTGGCATGCTTTGGGGAGCTTTCATAGCTCTTTTGACCTGGTTCATCCAATCCCAGGACAGCTCCCGCACGGCAGGGCCCTGCGGAATGATTCTGGCAGCCCGACCAGACACGCCTTCTAGAGCTGCGCTTTCCCTTGCTCGTATTTCCCATTCTGTCGCATAGATAGACGCGATTCGATTAGCGGGAATTGGTCTTGGCTTTGGTGAGAAAAGTTGTACAGCGGATACCGGCCGTCCGAATGGCAAGCGCTCAAATAGCGAGGCCTGGCGGTTCCACGGATCGTCGATAGCCATGTCATCTTGTGCCACAGGTCGCCGGATGGGTGTTCGAGGGGTGGACGGGCGTCTTGTGCGTCTGGGTGCTGAGGCTGACGCGGACACAAACTTTGCAGGCCGTCTAGGGTGTAGATGCGAGCCAAGTTCTGTCGGAAGCTCGGGGCTCTCGGCGATGTCAATTTCCATCTGCTGGAACGCAGACACGGGAACGGACTCATCGCGCTCGAGCGGCGCAAGGCGGGGTGACAGAGGTGGCGAGGATGGGAACGCACCCGGGATTACCAAATCGAAGTCATCTTCTGAATTGAAAACTTGATGAGCTGTTGTGCAATGAGTCTCACGGGTGCGCCGTACCTTCACGAGGTTCGATCTGCTCTCGGCCATGGGTAGCTCTTGAGAGTTCTAGGGATCCAGAGTTCTCTGCATCTTTTGTAGAGGCTGGTTGCGGCTTGCGCCACGACCAGTTGAGTAGTCTCATGTCGAAAAGTTACCCGAGGCCAATGACGATTTGAAGAGAAGTTATCCAGGTGTCGCGAGACGCGCCGAACGGTGGAATCAAGGGGTGGGAGATCAAGATGTGCGAAGCAAAGGACGTAAGAAGCGGGAAGACAGACAAGATATCAGGGAAAGATTCCCAGCGTCCATCATTGAGAGAGACCAGAGTCCTTCGGTCTTTGAGGGACGGAGTTGCAATCAGCTTAAACGCGCGCTTTCATCATGGGGGGCGCGCTGACTCAGCTGCATGAACCGCATCTGGTAATCTGCTGCAGGGCGGCGAACTATAGAAAGTGTCAATACTTTCAAGAAACCAACATTGAGATTGAAAAGGGCTGTACCAATGTTGGCCATTCGAATATTTTCAATCTAGTAAGCAAATGGAGGCTCAAAGGCATTACATGACTCTCGATAATTTGGACCTGGTGATACAAGACTTGGAAGGTACTCTGCACTGAAATGCTTAGTTCAAGTGCGTACCTGCGGGTTTCTATCACTGACACATGAGTGTAAGAAGCACGATAATCTTCAAGTAGTGAGGTCTGGTGTTATAGAATTTTTCTAAACTCCTCTTTCGGGCTGTACCCCGCCTTCACAACTAACACTCTCTGCAATAATAGATTGCAGCTGCAGCAAGGGGATTGCCATAGGAAGCCTACGAAGCCATACCCTCTAACCTTCGACGCCGTTAGTAGATTACCAAGGAAAATCTAACAAATGGCTGGATCAAACCGGTCATGCTTGGGACACCTAGGGCGTTGGTACCATCGACGCTTCTTTTAACATTCTTCGCGGTGATCTTGCACCTCCTTCGTGACACTCCAGGACAGGGAAGACTGGAGGGCGCTTTTTTCCCGCGAATAGATTTGCCAGCACAATATATTGGATAAGGCACAGTAGAAAGTATGCAGGCCGGCAAGCGGCATTGATTCTGGCCTTTAGGCACCTGTATAGTCTTGAAGAGCTGAAGATTGAATGGTAGTGATCTCAACGTCGGCTGGTACCATGGAAGGAACAAAAGTTCTGGGGGCATACATAAATGGCCAGGATTCCGTCGGCCGAAAAAAAATTTCATAAAATGACAGTTTTCCATAGCTAACCTCAGGAATAGTCGAAATTATGTTCTTTTAAAGCCAAACAAACATGTACAAGATAATGACGGCTTATTGGTACTGTACAAAAAGCATTCTCTTCTTGAGACAATCCACATCCCCTCATCGTTCGGTCTCCGCAAGAAGAGCCTGGTAGAATGCTCGGCCTATAACATAAAGTATTAGAACCATAATCATGCTGTCAGGGAATAAAGCGAACCTTTGCTATACCGGAGCAATTGATCCTCGAAAGGACCCAAAGGTTCCTCCATCAAAAGCGTTTCCGGCGGCTCATCCTCCTTGGGTCCATTATATACCCAGCCCCAGCGTTCTTGGTCCTGTTCCACGATCTCCTCATCTCCATATATATCTTCAATCCGGCGACGAGATACCACGCGCATTCGCTTGAGCTGCCAAGGCCCCTTTTTAAGCAATGCGCGGCATTTGTACGGCTCTTCATCATTATATCCCAACCCTTCCAGAGAAAGTCGGATGCGAACACTTCGATGGATGCGCTCGTTTGTATTCTCCAAGAATTCAGAAGTTGGACGTCCGGTATCAGGATCGGTATACCGATACATACCCGGCGTGCGAGTCGTCTTGCCAGCAAGGTGGTAGATGCCTGTTACGGGATCAATGATTTCACCCAGACCCCACGGTCGAACAGGCTTGTGTGCATCATAGATAGAAGGGATGGCCCATTCAGTTCGTCGCTTACGCCTTAAATTCTCGGTCGCGGGCGGTATTTGTTGACGATAGTGGTAGTAGTAGCGAACGCTTTCTTCGAAGATCCTGTCAATAGTATCTTCTTCGAAAGCTACGCCTATGGAGGTGAGTTGGTCCATCATCCAGGCCATGGTGATATTGGCTAGCTCTTGGTCATTGAGACCGCCCCCGACATTCGAGTGGGCTCCGCAGAACCATGCTTGTCGGAGGTCGGTCCGAACTTGTGGTGGTCGTTCCCAGACTGCCGGAGCGAAGGATGTGCGGTCTTCATCTAGGGCGAGTGCTTGGAAGGCATATTCGATCCCGTTCGAAAGTGACGTGTCGTAAAATTTGCATGTAAGAGGCTGTCAGACTGGAAGCTTGAGGAATGAGGAAGCTTGAAGACTTATTCTCTTGTAGAGCGAGGGATCTCGAGTTTCTTCGCGAGGTCTGTATCCGGGATGCCTATCGAAACTAAACATTGTGGCCTGTTGGGTCCAAAAGAAGGCCGACAAACCCAGACTCCCAACGGTGTCCCAGACCGCAACACAGCGGACCTTTATAGGATACCCGTCTGGGTCATACACTCGCGTGAGACCATCCTGTAATGTCACTTAGTGACCGTCCCGATGGGTTTTGGAAGCTTACACACCTCTTCAAGTCGACGCTTATATTCCCTCCCGTTATTCGGTGTTCTTGGCTTATGACTGAACGGTACTGTGGGAAACTTGTCCTTGTAGTGAGGGTCTTTTGCATTCTCTGTATCCTTGAAGATCGGATAGAGAAACTCCATTCCCTTGGAAGTGAGGAGACCAATTTCGGTGATGAGACCCTAAAGGCATGAGTATACCACATTGTACCTTGCAAGACCGAGGAGGTTTCTCTTACTGCGACACTACGGGCAGTGAATGCACCTCGAGAGAACCCGATCAGAATTATCTCGTCGCCGGGCTCGTAGTTTGTTGCGACGAAACTGTATGCCTCCCGAATATTCTGCGAAAGTCATCAGACATGTATTTTCTACATCAATGCAAGCATCACTCACTTCGGAAACACCAGCACCAAAGACTCCCCCGGCGAGGGAATCCGCTAGGCCTCCACTAGTACCCACTCCGGGATGATAGTACATGACCTGGGCCCATCCGGCCGAGTCCCTTTTCTTCAGGGCGCGATAGACGCGCGTGACATTCGTCGGAATCTGCAGCGTGGCATTAGGCTGGTCCAGGGTCGGCCGGTTGTAGCCTTGATCGCTGTTCACCCATGTCCCATCTAAGCAAAGGATGAGACGCTTTCCCGGGGTCAGCATCTTTTACAACAGCGCACAGCGCACAGCTCACAGCTAGGCCTGGTCGGCTGTGGGGTTCATGTATGTGATGAACTGCTGTTCACCGCCTCAGCCTCAAAGCAACGGGGCTGAAGAGAGTCCCCGTGACGATCCTTTCTGCTTACGCCAAGCGTGCAGATGCATGTGCGCTTCGATGGTACCTCGTATCTGATGCCGGGCACATCCTGATCCGGAGCATATCGAGTTTGTTTCACCTTTCTTTCACAATGATGAAGCTTGATATCTGAATTTCGGCCTAGATGAGTCCACCAGATGATTTCGTCGATGACTGCTTACGAGAAGTTGGGTGGACCGAGCATGAAACGACTTTCAAAGTTGTCGTAGGATAGGGAAGAGAAGCTCATCAAGCGAATATACAGAAATTCCAAGGTCATCAACTCTCTGTGATATCTTGAAAACCATGGAATAATACTCTCAATGGCCGAAGCCACAAAGACGTTAAAGATGCCGGAATATTTACATGCACGGCCCGAACTATGTCCCAGAAAGGTCCTTCCAGCCCAGCCCGTTGAACCGTAGCAGGCCCGAGCGCGCTCATGGGTGAAATGGAAGGTGTTCAAACTTCGTCATTCAGCTAGTACGGGACTCCGAGCCCGAGCGCTTCGAAAACAGGGGGCGCCCCGTTGATGACAACCCATGGGATACCTGGTAGATTGGTAAGTGCATGTTTGCAGGCAAAGAGAAAGGTACGTCACGTACCTGCATATACAACCAATTTGGTCACGACCTCAACGTCATATCGGACGCGGGGCTTTTTGATCTGCGAGAATACTTCCTTTTCGTCGGCCCGGGTTGTCGCCCGACTTGTTTCATATGCGGGCGGGGGGAGGGGCGATGAGCGAGGAGTGTTGGCACTCAAGTCGGATTTGCCAGAATGTGGGCTGCCTCTGCCCATCATGTGCTCGTAGTCGTCCAATTTGGACGTCTTTCGAGAACGCACGTGGTTGCCTTTGGCTTTGTTGTCCCCGTCGGCGGGAGATCCGCGGCTGCCGCCAGATTGGCTTTCGCGTCGGCGCTTCTCTCGATATGCGAGAGTCTCGTACGCATCGGCCTCTGACTGAGGTCCAATGGAGACGGCCCGTCGCCTAGGGTGTCGGATGGTAGTGAGGATGGAGGGAATATCGGAGAAGTTAGGGAAGACCTCATCGTCCTTCAAGTTGGAGGGAATGGTGGTATAGCGCCTGTGCGTATGGTTAAAGGAGTCAACAAGATAGAGCCGAGGGTCTTACGAGGCAGTGGTGAAGAAGCGACGGGCAAGAGAAGGCCGAGTTTCTCCAGGCTGCGGAAAATGGGCGGGAGGATGCGCAGCAAGGTCGGCTTGGTGATTTCCCTCCACGCGAAAACGCAAAGCACTCCCACCACAAGACGAATGACGGTCTTGGGAAAACCAATAGTTTGGTAATCGTACGGAATGGTGCCCGGAAGGGGTTTGGACCATGCGAGATCGGATTGGGTAAAGTACCACGAACCAACGTCCACGCCAAGCGTTACACCAGCAAAGGCAACACTGTCATCGAAGCAAGGGCAATCATCGGCCGGCTCTGGATGAATGCGGACCATGATAAGAATAGCAATAGGGATGACGAGGATCTCCTTCAGCGAGGAAGACAAGATGTAATCATCGAATGCGGGGCCCCAGCTAAATTGCGCAAGGCCGATCAATGCGCCCAACACGCAGCCAACCACACAGTCCAGCATCCCGTGCATGCCGCAGTATAACCGGCCCAACACAATCGAGGTCACATAGAGATAAGTGACGACTTGGAGGAAGAGGCTCGTCTGTGGGCTAACGGTAGATGCGGATGAATTGAGCAGGAGAATAGCGTACACGGCAACCGAGACAGCGTTAGTGGAATGCGTTGAGGGAAAGCCATACTCCAGGGCAGCAGAGCCGGAATGTGTGATTCGTTGAAGCGGCGGAGATAAGGGCCGAGGTAGACATAGCAAGTCTTTAATGAAACCGCTGAAAAAGACACCTGCCGCCAGAATGTGTACAAGTCTAGAAAACACACGAAATATTAACGATCCGAAGCTGGTATCGCTCCTCTCTCACGTTGAAGCACGTACCCGCGACCTAAGCTGGTATGTCCGCACCAGAAGAGGAAGGGCAAGAAGACCATGAAAAAAGTGTGGGTGCCGAGGTTGGCCGTGAAGGCAAAGTACGAGTCCAAGGTCGGGGTGCGAACTTTCTCCTGCACCCATGCAAGGTATGGCGTTTCATATCGGATCAGAGGGAGAAGTTTTTGTCTTGGCCAGTAGCGCCAGAGGGGTAGCCGGCTGGAATCTATGGAAGTCGCGAACGGAGCAACGTCAGCGATTGAAGCGGCGCAGGATTCCGAAAGCTTGAAACGTTTTCGGAGAGCCGACACAAAGCTACATACAGTGGTTGAGACTCTTCAGCCCGGCATCGGGCTGATCCTTCGAGTCCTTTCCCATATTGCGGAGTTATCGATTCGGCGATTGGAGGACGTTGGACATGAACGGGCCGCGATGCCGCTCGATTCGAAACGCGGAGTCAGCGCAAGGACATAAGGAGCGAATGGAAGTTGGATGGAAAAGAATATGGGATTGTCGTGTGCAAAAGAATCGAGGTCTTGAGGAAGCGTCGGGAGGGTCAAATCATACCCGCGGCTCGCGCCCCTGGCCATGTGTGTGCTTAGTCACCAGGCACCATACTCGACCCTCATGCAGCAACGGCATATTGATATTGTTAGAGGCTATTCGGAACATTGGACTCATTCAAAACAGCGTACTTGATGATTGCACGTGATTCAGGAGAAATCCTCGTGTCAAGATCGTCGAAATGCCCGGGCGGGCGCTCTCCACAGTGGGTATATTCGAGTACCCAAACTTGGAAGCTGGGGGAATAGAGTCATCCTTGGTACAGTACAACGTTGGAACTCTGACAACTCCAACTCGGGCCGGACCCAACGTCTCCTAGCCTTCCAAGGTTGGAAAGTGGGCTATAAATGCTGACGAATGTCAACGGCTAGCCGCGATAATAGTACACTACCCCCACTGCATACTATAATACACAAGCAGGCAGTTTGACAGGACCTCCGAGTCCCAGTGGCACACTAATTGACCAATCTCGATCTCGATCTCCATTTCCACTTTCCAGTTCCAGTTTTTCTTATACACCAGTAGAATGCAGATCTATGTACACGAGATCGCCTATCTCCGATCCTATGTTCATCACATGACGCCGGCCCCTCCGAGGCAATCTCAAGCGACTTGTGAACCGGTTTATGGAGAGCTGAACAGTGGAGACTGGAGGGGCTCAACAAGAGAGGGGAAAAGACGAAAAAAGAAACGGGATCGGCTTAGATCGAATCAAGTTGAAATTGACAGGCGCTATCCAAGATGAATCGCACCAAGCGGAGCCCTGGCGTCATTGAAGGCGGCCGTTGCCATAGCAGCCTCTGGGTAAAGCAATTGTAAACACGGGTCTCGCCCTGACAAGACCCTCATCGTCGATCATCAAGATCCTTTGAATTAGATCGTTCTCCCCTCTCTTCTTCTCTTTTTCACTCTTACCGTCTTACGTGGTACATTGTACACTTTCCTCACCATTCCTATCCCCTTCATCTTCAGTACACACCCGAAACATCAAATCTCGACGTTAGACGTTCGCCAGGGGCTGCATTTCAGGATGAGCCAGATGTATGATGGAGATTACTATGCGTCTTCGCGACGCCGCTCTCTCGCTACTCCTCCGCCGTCCAACACCTCAGGTCACAGCAGAACCCGCACGAACAGTGTTCGGGTAAGCAACGGTACCGCGAGCACCCATACCAGCTTCTCCAGTGGACGAATGTCCGAAGCAACCAACATCACGCAGCCGCCCTCTTTCTCAAAAAAGTTTGTGGTGGTTGGCGATGGTGGATGCGGCAAGACGTGCTTGTTGATCAGCTATTCCCAGGGCTATTTCCCGGAGGTAAGGTCTACATGATCCGGCTTAGGCCAGCTTGATACTGATCGCTACAGAAATACGTGCCCACCGTGTTCGAAAACTACATCACTCAGACCACCCACCGGGCATCCGGAAAGGGCGTTGAATTAGCACTGTGGGATACCGCCGGACAGGAGGAGTACGATCGATTGCGCCCTCTATCCTACCCTGAGACGGATCTTCTATTTGTCTGCTTTGCTATCGACTGTCCAGCATCTTTGGAGAATGTCGTCGATAAGGTGAGCTATCCCCACTATCCCCCTCCCGACCCGCCCTGACAACCATGGAATCTATCAGTGGTACCCCGAAGTTCTTCACTTCTGCCCCACAACACCCATTATCCTCGTCGGCCTGAAGTCAGATCTTCGCAACAAACGCACCTGCATCGAGCTCCTCAAGACCCAAGGTCTGACTCCCATCACCCCAGAACAAGGCCACGCCGTAGCCCAACGAATGGGCGCAACCTACGTCGAGTGCAGCAGTAAGGAAATGCGCGGTGTGGACGAAGTCTTCGCCAGTGCAGTCGACATGGTATGCTCCATGGAAGAAGAGGGCCATACCAACCAGCCATCGCATAATCGCAACACCAGCAAAGCCTCTGCGGCTGGAATACCAAGCAGACCTGGCAAGAAGATCAAGAAGCGGTCCTGCAAGATCCTGTAAACCAGTTCTCCTCCAGCCTCACTTCTCTTCTTCCCCATCTCTTCCTTCCCTTCTCCCCGTCCGACCACAAGCCTGGTTGCTTCGTCGGCTTGCTTGCCATTGTGTATGAGCCATATCGCTGCAAGCTGGACATGAACTGCTAAAATTTCACCCCTTCCCCCTGGGTCGCTGTGCGCCCTTCTATTGTCTTTGCTGGAGGCAGTCTGGATTGAACTTTTGTTTTAGGAAGTCAATCGTTTGTTTCATGTTTTTTTTCCCCTTGCTTTTATGACCCTCTGTGCCTTCTCGGAGGTACTCATGACCTTGGGTCTTTGCCTCTTTCATGCATGGAACTGGTGTTCTCGTTTATGTTATCTGATCTGTTTTGTTGGCGAAAGCGACCTGCGTGTTAACCGTGGCCGAGACAATACATGTGGCTTTGACATTTCATCCAATCCTCGTTGAATTCGTAAATAAATAATGATGTAGAATGGAAGGGTGCAGTATGTGAAGTGGTATCTCCGAATGTAAACAAACCAACGCCAAAATTCGACCCTAGTCTAACAGCGTACGACGTAGAAAAGCCCGAAAACATCTTCACTGGGCCATCTTCACTGGGCCATCGACTCATCATCCTCTTGCGGTGTATCCGACTTGATTTGCCTATCACTCTCCCCACTCACATGCCTCTTCCCTTGAACAGCTTCTTCACCCTCTTCGTCTTGTTTGCCCATAAAATTCTCAAATTGTGACCAGAGAGCCTCTACAGATCCGAACTCGTTCCCGACCTATGCCAGATTAGCAATGACAATCTCGAAGCAGAAGCCACAGGGCCGAAGACAAGATGACCTACCGTGATAATGCTCTCCAGGTTTCGGTTCAGTCGATTCATGTTCTGGAGGACCTGCTCCATGCCCTGTCCATAATCGCATTGTTCAGCTTCAGGTCAAACGATTGAGGTCAAGGTCTTCGGGATGTTGTCCACTCACCACTGCGATTTCCCGCACGAGTCCCTCACGCTGTTGTTCGAATACGGTGGGCGTAGCAGCACGGCCGCTAGAGCCTGGGGTTGATTGGGCCCACGCCATTGGGAGTGTATGGGGAAGAAAGCAACTGAGACTGGACTCGATGAGATCGAAAGGGTTCAGGATTAGCCGGTTGGAGTCGCTGCCGGTTGATTCAAGGAGGCAATGGATTGTCGTGCGGGCGATGAGGCACTTGCTTTGTGTGTGTTTGACGTGGGACAGCGGTCGCAGACACGGCTAGTCTTAGGTTCAATTGCACAGGCGCGGATCAAACGCGTTGTGAGGGAACGGGAGAATTGGAGAGTTTTGGCGGGGCATCGATAAGGCGGATAAACAAATCACGCCTACGGGTCTACGTCGGTGACTATCATATTTCTAATGGCATCACTAGTGACCTTTTTTGAAGTGACATCCTTATTGAAAATATTGGCTAAGTGGCATTGAAGATTTTAGAAGTCCGATGTACAATTTTCAGTAGAATTGACACTAGCCTCATATCTTCGGAGAAGGCTCAGGTGTAGTTGCCAATTATTCACCGTTTATCCCTGAATCCATGAAAGAAATTAAGAGGTTTGATTTGATCGAGAGCAAGACCATAGCTTCAATCAAGCGTACAACTCTTTAAGATACAGATATGGGAGACCAGTTCACAGGCTTCCTGTGTGGACAGTATCGGAGTATGGAAGGGCTTACAGGCTGAGCAAGAAGATAATGCAAAGGGATCTAAAAAGGCACCTGGGACTGATTATTTCAAGGCAGTGGGATTCAAATCATGTACGGGCACATTGTCAAATTCTTTTGAGAAGAGCTTGGAAATAATGGTAGAATTGCTCTGGAGAGATGTCTAGAAGTATGTCGAGAAAATGCCGAAAAATCAAGGGTAGAGGATCCTATAGATGGTCTTCTCAATATAGCTAACCTGCAATACGCCCAGTTTATGTGATGAGAGATCCCGGTATATCAGAGCAGCATGTATCTAGAAACCCATCCTCAAACAAAAGCAATACACCAATCCTATGCCCGAAATGAAGAAAAGAAAATTCAAATCCAAATCACCCTTGGAATACTTCCACCCCTTCTTCTTCTCCGCCCGGAAAGCAAGCAATGTTCCATCCCTACCCTGCTTCCGCGCAACCTCTACAACGAAAAAGCGCACGAAATCTGTCAACGTCCAGTAACTACTATGCGCGCTCAACATATTTAAGTACTGGATATTCAACGGACCCCCACCACCAGAAAGATAGTAATCAATCTGGCCGTTATCGTTCAACAGAAGCATGCGCTTCTCGGCAATCTCTTCGTGCGTGAAGTCATGGGTTTCCATTTCAACGGTTGACGGGAGCTTGTTCATAGCCGCAGGGCGAGTTGGGGTTGGGGTTGGAATGAAGGAAGATGTTGAGCCCCAGCGGAGGACGGAGCCAAATGAGGACCAGAAGGTTGAGGTGGCGCTGGGGATCGAAGCTGTTTTGAGGCTGTTAGCGAGGTCGTTGTCGACTGCTGCGTTGACGCGGTAAGCGATTGCTTGAAGGCGTTAGTATGGTCGTTTTCAAGGGGTCGGGCTCAATCCAGGTACGTACGATCTGTAGTGTGTATGATGTTGTAGAGATTGTCTACCGCGAGACAGCCATATTTGCCTGCATCACCAGCGACACCGTGGAGACGATCATCACCCTCACTTCCTGGCTTGTCTCTGCCTTTTCGGGGGAGGAGGCTCGCTGAAGGAAAGTATTAGTACTGGAAGCCAACGAGAACAAATATCCAGAATACCTTTATTGAGCAGTAAGAAGAAACCAACTGGACTGCCACACAGGAACAGATGCCGGGTATCGAATTCGAACATATCATTGTGTAATGGTGTCTCCGAGAAGTTGAAGCGAGGAACATGCGTCGGCTGCTGACTCAAAATATCGAGAGCCATCACACTCCCCAAGGAATGCGCGATGAGATGCACACGACCATTGTCTTGGAAGCCGGCATTGTTTTTACACCAAAGTCGGAAGATGCGATTAGCCTCTCTCACCACCGCCCTGATCATTTTTGGCTTGTGGTGCGAAAGATAATAGGGAATGTCGAGCATGACATCACTGATCAAAGATCGCACAGCGGGAAGCGTCTGTGGAGTGATGTCGTTGAGAGAATAATGATTCGCTGTTGGATCCTCTTCATCCGGCGTTTCAAGGGTCGCATCCTCCAAGGATAGTGTTGCCCGCCAATTCACAGGTAAAACCATAATTCCGCCATGATCCGGATCTACATGAGGCCAAACAGGCTCATTGTTTAGTTCCATGTTGACTTGGCGGCGAAAAGCATTGATTGCGTGCGTGAAGTGGAAGCTTTCCATTCTTTCCGACAGCTTTTGGCCAATGCCATGAATTACGAGTACCAGGTCTGTTGGGCTGGAGCGTGATTCTTCCATTTTGCATGCGTAGCATATTTGTTCACCAGGAGCGGGAGTGGCTTGCTTAGTCCTTCGGATGTACTGTCGTACATCGACTGGATTAGGTTTCGAAGGGTGCAGCTTGTCCCAGAGCTTTCGGTTAAACCCACGAACGACGGGAATGCCGATTTGTTGATCTTTGCGAATTGCACGGAGCGGTTTTCTACCTCTGGCGGCTGATGGAAGCAGGCTAGGTCGCAAGATCTGAGCATTCTTCGCATCGACATAAATGACACCAGATGTAAGATGAGACTTAATAGCCTCCGACTGAGCCGCCGTTCCACCAGCAGCCTTGTTCACATCAATTTCTTTGGAAATGTTGTCGGCGCCCCCGACCACAAATTCATTGCTCTTTGGGTCCTGTGCTGATGCCGGTGGTCTGGCGGACCCCGGCTCGTCCTTAGGCCATAGATGATGAACCACCTTCATCTCTGCCTCGGCACCATTTTCCACGCAGCTGTTCAGCTCGTCTTGCCAGGTATCGGTCCATGGCTTTAAGTAGGCATATCCTTCTTCGAGCTTGTTTGCAAGCTTTGTCTCCACGGGCAGCATGGAGTTTTTGTAGAACCAGGTGGCACGAACCACGCCTGACACGTCATGTATAGGACTCCAATAGATAGGTTTCATCTAAGCAGCGGTTAGCCTAGTAATGAGAGCAAAAGGAGGAAAAAAGAAGTACCCTCAGGTTTGGTAATTCGACCAAATGAAGACGCGAAGCACCAACTGGAATTTTGATTTGTGAGTCCTCGGGGTTGGTCTCTTCCCGCGAGCTATCCTGAGTCAACTCATCCAAACTGACAGTCGCTCGCAGATTCGAGGATTTTGGTGCTATTCGACTAGGTGGACGACTTCGAGGCTCCGGCTGCCCTTCTTGTGGCACATCTTTTGATGACATGGACTCCATTGAGCGGCCGAGCGGGCTGTGCGACTGGGACATCGGCGCCCGGATGAAAGGGGAACCACTGATACTAGCATCTCTGGATGCATGCGCACGCAAACTGCCAAGCTCATCGTGGCCCTCCAGAGGATCATCTTCTCCAACCGAATTTCTTCTCTTGGCCGAAGGTGATTGGTTCAGAGAAGAAGAGCGCTCCCTCCTCCGATCAGCAAGACTAGTCCTGATGTGTCCATCGTTAAAGCTACCATCCATAGACGATGTTGGTCGATGCCGCTCTGCGTAGTTCTCCGCTCGCGCATCGGAGCTACTAGCTAAGTAGCCTGAACGGCTCTTGAGATTTGGCGGCTGATCATCTGAAAATGAAGTTGGGGTGCCCCTGATACTATCCAAGCTTGTTGGGTCTTGATTCGTGGTGTTCCGACGTCTTTGCACCTCGAGACTTGGCTCTGGTCCCGGTACAGCTATCCCGAAGCGCCCTTGAGACGTGTCTGGTCGGGAGGTGCTGGTGGTAGCACCTTTGACCTGAGAAGCCTTCCCAAGATCGCGCCAAGCTGTCTCGAGGGCAAAATTATCTCTAGCAGAGAATGGTTTCGGCGGGGCTTTTTCATTTCCAGCAGATTGCCCAGTTGACGGGGGCAGAGGGGCCAACGGATCATCAATTGGCAGGGATGAAATGTAGAAGAACTGTGAGCGGGTATCTGGCGGTGTGGGTCGCGAGTACAAGCTCGACAGATCTATCTCTTCGTCGGCCAAGAGGCACGAAGGGCCATAAGTATGAAAGGGGCCCGTCATGGCGAACGCTTTGGTCCCACTGTTCCAAGGGCCCAAATCTCGTTGAGCTCGAGACTCAAAACACTAAACGGCGACGGTCATGGCCCAAACTTTGTGGCAGCTCGCCCTTGGCCGGTCTAGAACCTCCGGATAGAGACTAAGAGTTGCATGGAGAGGGGGAAGGCAGCCGAATAAAAAGGCAGGCCATCCCACATCTCACAAGCTGTGAAGCTTCCCAAATGAGCCGATGACGTCGTTGCACGTGCGTCTCTGTTGGATCGCGTCGGCCGTCGCCTTGTTTTTGCCTACTAAATGAACTGCGAATGCGACTTTTCCATTAATTTAATTTTGGATACATGAGTAGCTAATTTGCATAAATTTTTTGAGACCTTTGGTGTCCCTTTGGTCTTGAATGTCCAACACCTTTCGGGAACCGGCACGTACCAGCCTTTGCTTATCGGCGAACCCGGTTCTTTTCCAACCGATGTGGAAAGGAGCCATATCTGCAAAATCCAGAGAACAACTGAAAAGAAATATCAAGAGAGAGAGAGAGAGAGAGATAGAGAGAGAGAGAGATGACCGAAGATACCGCAAAAAATATGGAGGTTTTAGACAAATGAACAACCCAGGCTCAAATGATGAGGGGAGAGGCCGGAGACCCTGGAGGAGTGAACATGTACCGATGGACGTTGGTACGGAGCTCGTCGAATGCCTGTAGAGCCTTAACAGAAGCGTTAAGCATCTCGAGGACCTCCCCGATCTCATACATCGTCTTGCGGATGGCGCTATCGCAAATGCTAAAGGTTCTGTGGTTCATGTCTTGTGTGACAGATTTCCAAGCTCGAAGGTTGGCATCCAGCTGGACAGGGTTGGCAGAGCATTTGCCGGTGAACTCCATGGTGCGACGATTTGCATTGATGAGGTCGCGCTGGGTGGCCTGATCGAATCGGAACTCAGGAACTCGAGGCAGGTTCTTCGCGGCCCAGCCATTGACGACTCGGCTGATGGTCTGGTGGTCGATACGGCCCTTCAAGTATTGTTCGACCAGGAAAGCATTGGCAGTCTCACAGACCATGTACTCCAGTTTAGAGTAGAGTAGTGATTGTTCACCAGGCCCCAGCGAGGTGGGGAAAACTGGAACAGGGCTGCGCTTAGGATGTGTGACGGGGTCGTCCTTGGGTGGTAGATGGGGCGGATTGCCATGGCTATTTACCGTCTTATTGCACTTCAAGGTTGCCCCGACCTGGTTGCCTTTCGTGACACTCTCAATATTTCATAAGCCGTCAGCAACTTGATCTCAGATAAGGCACGTTTCACTTACCGCCACAAGGAACTGTTGCTCCTGGGTGTCTGGTTTGAGAAGTTTTCTTCCCAGCTGCTTAAGACGGACGGTTGATCGTCGCCATGTCGCTACAGGCCCCATGGAACCCCCCTTTTCATAATTACGCGCCCATTGATCGACACTGGGAACTTGCTGTTGAACGCATGAAGACTGTTCTTCAACAATCGATTCGTCTACACCCTTACTCTTTTGGGATCGAGGAGAGTCGTCCTGTGGCAGAATAACGGCGGCACTGACAATTGAAGCATCAGCAATGGCTGGGTCGATCATGAGCTTATCCATATTGGACAGGTTTGTGTCAGAAAAATTGCCGACATCCGGGTCAGCGGTCATGCTGACAAGCTCATTTGTTTCCAGAGCCATTGCTCCACTGCCCTTGTCAGCAGCTAAAGGATTTGCAGGTGTATTGGAAGATCCAAACGAATTGACATAGACTGCGGAGCTCAGAACTTCGAGGGTCGACGACTCAAGTTCTGAACAGAACTTGACGGGACGATTCATAGCGGAAGCAACGAATCCAGAGTTATTGATGGGCATAAAAGGATAAGGTGTGTCGCTACTGGTCCTCGTAGGTGAACCGAACGGGCGAAGATCATTCGGCGTTCTGCGTCTGCCGATGACAGTGAAGGCGCAATTACCCTCATACTTAGGAGCTACGTCGGGTGTATGGGTTCTGTAATTTTGCAACTTCTCGACGATGACATCCGCGGGCGAGTGCTCCTCTGGGTAAGTGTGGGTGGGAATTGCAATGGCGGACCAGACGGGAGTAGAGGGCTCGCCGCGAGTACCTGGACTGATGGGCCCGGACGGCGTGATAGGAAAAGCAAAAATGGCATGAGGCGAGGTAGCAGTACAGACGGGAACATCTAAAGTCGCATCAAAGGGAGGAAGGCTAATGGCAAATGAGTTGATATTCCTGAAGCTCTCCGTGGGGTACCGCGGCATCGTTTTCGGAGTACTCGCTGTCGGAATCAGGATTCTGGAGCTCGTTAGAAGATCGGTTACTCATGTCGAGCTGATCCGGGACCAAATCTAGGAACTCGGCCTGCATAGGAGACAGACCCTCGTACGCACTGACCATGGGGAAGTGCTCATGGTGGAACTCTTCGATTGTGATAGCAGAAACCACATGGTTGACAACCGGGCCCGGTTCCTGTCCCATCGCTCTCGCCCATTCCCGGTTGCGGCGGTGCTCAGCAACATTCGGGTTATCATGACTGTGTGACGGGTTAGAACCGTCTCTGTATGTTCAGGGACAGTAATGCGTACCCTCCCACGACGCGAACGATACCATCATTGTCAGCGGGCCAGACATAGGCTGGCTTCCACACGCGGGAGATCTTGTTGCATTCAAGAAACTCTTTCGGGGATAGAGCGTTGGGGACATCCATTTTCAGTATTGGTTAGCTTGGTGTGGTTTGAGCAAGGAAACGAATGTGAAGCTTGACTGGAAGCAATTTCAGATGACATTAGGAAGTGACTGATAAAGTTTAATTACTGGCTGAGCAGAGGAAGCTAGGTAGAGTGAGAGCAAGACAGATTTGTATTTAGGGGAGGGTGTGGAAAGATCCGTTCGTGGAGGCATTGACAATACTTGAATTCAGGCTATTGTGACCAAACTTCAATGGACCATATGGCTGAGTCAGTATGAGATGTTCACCTCTTCGAGAGTCTGGATAAGGGTGTATTGAACTCAATCGATGAAGACCTCAACATCAATTGACATGTGAGCCATGAAATCTTCCACAATTGCTAAGGTAGACGCAAACCCTTCAATAAAACAATAGAACATGATCATATTGTTGCAGGAATTCCGGTTTATCGTGAGACGACGGTCATTCCATGTTATCGCTCAGCCCTGGGACGGGTTATGACTCCCTGGGAATGTTGACGCCAAAGTAGATTCCATTTTTGACAGTTTCAGGAATTTTTGGAGGGTTCACCGCCGAGCCGGGCCTTTTGCCGGGCTTGCCGCTCAGTCGCTCGGCTTCCCCAGCTTCCATCGGATCGGCCTTGCGGTTTTGCCACTCGCCAATTCCGAAGTGGGCTGTACATGGTAATATGCTACGCCCGAGGCTACTTTGAGGGGAGACCAACAGGAACGGGTCCTTCCCCGGCATCAGTCACCTTGGCTGTGGAGATAGTGGTTATGTCCAGGTAGCGGGGTCACTGCCTGTTCTCTATATCGGAGATAGCACCGGAATTGCTGCTGTACATTCACCAACATGAGGCTATCTATAAGGGGTATGTTGTGGGACTTTCGCAGCCATACTCTCGATTTAAGAAGGCTGTAGACACGACATACGGTTCTATAGGCAGGACAGGATAGGGTAAGGGCTTAAAGACATCCAATATGTCCTCAAGCTCATTAGCCATGCCATACTCCGGATTTTCTAACACAGAGCCGCGACACTTGCCATTTCAATAGCCGGACCGATCGGGAACAGTGTTAGGAAGTGCTGGCCAATAGTCTGCTCCTCGTTGGGACGCCTGGCAGGTACAACGGTATTCCGGCGAGCAACTGCCAGGCCAAATTACCAGTCTGGGCGGAGTGTGGTGGATCGGACGGCCTTCGCGTAAACGGCAAGACGGGATTCAGGCCATCAGAGGGTAAGAAAATCGAAGCTAGGATGGCAATCCCGGGGAGAATTGCCGGGGAGTGGTGTCACGTGCCCTCCACTCCACATGCCGAGTCAGCTCCCGAGTTAAGGCCAACGATGGAGTCCCAGTAGTTCGGTTTGAAGAACGGCAATCCATGACTTGTCCGCTGCTAAACCGGCGTTCCCCACACTGACTGCTGGACTTGGCTCCTTCCAAATGCTGATCCCCTCCTTTGTTCGCCCTCTCATTGGTGGTCATTGCCTTGAGCCCTGCTACTCCCCACGATGCAACCGATCCTCAATGCCGTGTATGCTCCCCGTCATCATCAGAACCACCTATCGGCCCGTTTACCCCGGCCTTGCCCAGATTATTTATGAAGCCACGGCCCTCCTCCTCTGTGCTCGTCCGAGTGTTTAATTCTTCTTCTCCTAACCTGACGGCGTTGATCTTGATTCCCCCACTCCATTTCACATACTATATTGCATCACCGCCACTATGGTTCAAGAGACGTATGACATTGTCATCGTCGGCGCTGGCCCTGTCGGCCTGCTGTTGTCCCTGTGCATGTCGCGCTGGGGCTACAAGGTCAAGCACATCGACAACCGCCCGGTACCGACCGCCACTGGCCGCGCTGATGGTATCCAGCCCCGCTCAAACGAGATTCTGCGCAACTTGGGTCTGAAGCGCTCTATTATGGCCTACGAGCCTGCTAAGGTCTACGACGTTGCCTTCTGGGACCCCAGCGCTGACGGCACTGGTATTCACCGCACTGGTAGCTGGCCCAGCTGCCCCCGCTTCATTGACTGCCGCTATCCCTTCACTACCCTGGTCCACCAAGGCAAGATCGAGCGTGTCTTCATTGACGAGATCGAGAAGGCTGGAACCCGCGTTGAGCGCCCATGGACCATCCACGGCTTCAAGAATGACGGTGCCAATGCCGACTACCCCGTGGAGGTCAAGTTGAAGTGCCTCGACACCAATGTTATCGAGACCGTCCGCTCCAAGTACCTGTTCAGTGGTGAGGGTGCCCGTAGCTTTGTCCGTGAACAGCTCGGTATCAAGATCCACCACAAGGACCCCATTGCCTACGTCTGGGGTGTTATGGACGGTGTCGTCCGCACTAACTTCCCCGACATCGAGGTAAGAAAATGATACCTGCATCTAATCAAAGTATCCGTCTAACTCTGTCTCAGACCAAATGTACCATTCACTCCGATGCCGGCTCGATCATGGTCATTCCTCGCGAAGACAACATGGTCCGTCTCTACGTCCAGATCGCCTCGTCTACCGACGCCGACTGGAACCCTCGCAAGACCGCTACCGCCGAGGAGGTCCAACAAACCGCGAAGAACATTTTGAAGCCCTACTGGATTGAATGGGACCGGGTTGAGTGGTACTCCGTGTACCCCATCGGACAGGGTATCGCTGAGAAGTATACCCTGGACGAGCGCGTCTTTATGGGTGGCGATGCCTGCCACACTCACAGCCCCAAGGCTGGCCAGGGTATGAACACTGCTTTCCACGATGCCTTGAACATGGCGTGGAAGCTCCACGCTGTTGAGTCTGGCTTCGCCGATCGTTCCATTCTGAGCACCTACGAGAGCGAGCGCAAGGACATTGCCGAGACCCTGCTCAACTTCGATGCCAAGTATGCTGCTCTCTTCTCCAAGCGCCGTCCCAACGCCGGTGAGGTGAAGGCCAGTAAGGCGGTACAGGCTGCCGATGACGAAGAGGAGGACGAGTTCGTCAAGACCTTCAAGTCCTCTTGCGAGTTCACCAGTGGATACGGAGTTGCCTACAAGCCCAATGTCTTCAACTGGGATGCTAGCCACCCCGCCAAATCCGAACTCTTCAACATTCCCGGCGTCCGTTTGACCGCTGGTCGTGCCTTCACACCGACTACCGTCACCCGTCTCGCCGATTCCAACTTCGTTGAGCTTGAGCAGGAGGTTCCTACCAACGGATCATTCCGTATTTTCATCTTCGCTGGTAACCAGAACAAGACCAAGCAGGCCATTGCCGATCTCGGGGCCAACTTGGAGAAGGAGCGCTCGTTCCTCTCTGTTTACCGTCGCGCAGACATCGCCGATGTCTCCTTCTTCGAGCGTCACAACCCCCACTCCAAGCTCTTCACCATCTCCACCATCTACTCTGCTGCCAAGAACGAGATCGACATGGAGGCCATCCCCCAGGTTCTCCGAGACTATCACCACCATCTCTATGCTGACGACATCCCCGATGTCCGCGTTCCCAACGCCAAGTACGCCGCCCACGAGAAGCTCGGTCTCGATGCCGAGAAGGGTGGTGTCATCGTCACCCGCCCTGACAGCCACGTTGCCTGCACCGTGCAGCTGGTGGAGGGCAGTGGCACTGTTGATGCCCTGAACGAGTACTTTAACGCTTTCGCGACAAAGCCTCTGGGCCAAGACTCCCAGCAGAGCCGTCTTTGAAAAGGAAGTGATGCTGTGTATGTGTAAATGTGGGAATGTATATAGCTTTTTTGAGATCGTTCGTCTGGAGCGACTGCTTGAGCATGATTGGCGTTGCGAGTTTTTATTTTGATAACCATTAGAATTCACCTTCTTCAACACAAAATCTCATCCATCTGACCTTTCCTAGTAATTGTAGATCCTTCTGAGGTGGACGTAAACCATGATCCTGCGTGGTCACATGCCAAGACCTCCATCTATCGTCGTCGTCTCCACCCCGCATCACCAGAAACCTTTTCGTTTTTTTTCATCGAGCACGCACCTCCCCACATACCGCGTTCCGACTCCTCAAAATGCTGTCACTCATTCTGTCTGCTGAACTGGAGGGGTGAGTACCATCAGACCCGAGATCTCACCCAGCGACGCCTCACTCGAAGCTCTCCCCGCACCGCGATAGCAAGATTTGATGCATGGCGTGCGGGCAACGTTCTTTACATTTTTGACCCTGGAGAATACCAATTTCTAACAATTATCCATAGCGTGACGGGCCTCCAGCCTACTGATACCGAGGAGAACCCGTATTTCTACACTTTTCGCGTGAAATGCACCTCGTGTCATGAGATGCACCCGAACTGGGTCAGCTTCACCCGCTTTGTGAGTAGCAGGAGATCTTCCACTCTGCTCATTAAATCATTGACTGATATGTATGGGAATGAAGGAGCAGCATGAGATCCCGGGTAGCCGCGGTGAGGCCAATTTTGTCTGGAAGTGCCGTCTCTGCAGCGTAAGTTGTCTTGTCTTGTCTTGTCTTCAGTCGACACCAAGCTCAATTCTTCTGCCATCCCTCCTTCCCCCTCCCCCCCCCTTCCTTCTACCTCTGATTGACCGCTCTCCTGGAATATTCGTTGATATTTCGAACTAACAATTGCAGAAAACCCACTCCGCTAGCATCACCGCTGGCCCTCACGTCTTTGAAGCCCAGGAGGACCCAAAGAAGAATAAGAATGGTCAGAAGATCATCGAAATGGACTGCCGCGGCCTTGAGTTCACTGAGTTTAAGCCTGACGTAAGTTTCAACCCACCCCGAGAGAGTCTTGGGGGCGCACTTCTCACACTTTCACAGGGTGAATGGGAAGTCAAGGGAGCTGAGTCGAACACGTCTTTCTCGGGTATTGACCTCTCCGATGGTGAGTGGTATGACTATGATGAGAAGTCCAGCGAGGAGGTCAGCATCAAGGAGATTACTTGGACGATTGGTCGGTAAGGGAGTTTTGCTTGAGAAGGCTGCTGTAAGGCGTTGGGCATGAAGCATGAAGCATGAGGCATGATGTGTTCCCAGAAAGGGTGTTTTGGCGATGAGAGACCTAAGGTCGTGACTGAGATGAAATTCACTTATTATCAAAAAAAATATCCCAAGAAAATAACTATCACAAGGTGCAATCGTCTTTTTCTACTGCGTAAACGCCAGATAGAGGCGGAGTCGATGCTGTGAAGATTGGTAGGTTGAGCAGTGAGACAACCAAATTCCAACAGTCATCATTATTAAGGCCATCCAGAGCATTAAATCCAAGTCCACTATCTCAAACATATTGCGAAGGGGAAAAAAAAAGCGTTAAACCAGGCGTGGGAGTGCATCAACACATCTTCATAGCAGACACCCAAGGCGGTGAACCATGCATCCCGCTAATTGGCCCCACACCGCATCCCGACCAGCTCACATTTTCGCGACGCTCAACCCCAACCCCAAGACCTTCAAGCACGCGCATCCATCACAATTCGCCCTGAAGAAGCTCCACCGCCCAGTTCTCTACAGAAGCCTCACTCTCGTCCTCTTGGCAGCAGATACGGCACCGCCCCGCCGCCCCTATCCACCACAATGAGCGTACGTCTCCCCAACCGAGCTCAAGCTGGCACGAGACCAAGTCCAGCTCACCGGGCTCTCTATCCTCATCGCAGGACAAGCACTGACGAGCTTTCCCACAGTTCCAACCTCTCAACCCCCGCCCCCTCCTCCAGGCTAGGTACGTGATACCGGACACCGTCCTATCCCATCCCCATAAACCACGAGCGCATACCCGAAACCCTTTCAGTCGTTACCATTGAGTTTCGGATTATGGATTATTACTAATAGGAAATACAGAGTCGGCACCGAGCTCGTTATCCGCCTGAAGTGGGGTCAGACCGAGTACAAGGGCACCCTCGAAAGCATCGACTCGTACATGAACGTCTTGCTGCGTGATACCGAGGAGTATCTCGATGGAAAGCACACTGGATCTTTGGGTCTTGTGTTGATTCGGTACGTTGTAGCACTCCAGAGCTCGGAAAAAAAATTAATGGCTGGGACCTCGGAAATGGAAGTGGAAATGACAGTGGAATTGAAAGCTAACGGGGACAACGCAGGTGTAACAACATCCTTTGGATGGGCGATGCCAGCACGGTTGAAATGAAGGATGTTGGGTTACAATAAAGTATCGAGGAGGTTTTAGAGTCTGCCAGGCACAGACATGAACACGGGCACGGATTACGTTCCTGTGGCTGATGCAGAGCTTGGGCTGGTCCATGGTCGGTTGATACTGATAACTGATACTGGGTAATTTGATATCCGGTGATGCACATAGAGTGCGGGTTGAAGGGATCTATCAAAATATTCGGATGGGGATCTTTGATTTATTTGTTTTGTCGATGGGTGCTAGTTTCTTCAGGCGTTTTATGATGGTTCGAGTGCGATCTTCTTGCATGGCTACTGGCCAAATTCAATCGATTCCGGTACCCTCTCTTTTCATCATCGTATGTGCTTTGTAGATGGAGACGTCACTTGTGGATGGGTGTGGTGTCAGATGTAATAGTCTATTAGTCTATTATTGAGCTGCGTCAGCGGCATCAACATGAGTGACGCAGTTTCATCTCGTTAGTAGCTGGCTAGCTAGCTCTGGGGCTGGTCCAGGCGAGTGGGGTGGGAATGGAGCGCTGTTGCTGATGATGTACTGCAGGTGTGGCGGGTAGTGATGCGGGAACTAGGCTGATAGCAGGGTTTCAATATTCAGTGATTCACGTAGGGACGGAGTGACATAGGTGATGAGGGGTGTATCCACCTCGAAACCAGCATGGCATTCCTTACGATCATTCAGGAGCCGGTGAAGCCGGCGCCGGTATCGCTTGACATCAGCGGTTGTCGAACGTCGAGGGGGGCAAATTTGGGTACGTAGGCCCTGGGGCAAGAGTTGCGAGTTTGCCGAATGAGGGGACTGGAGATTATCATCGCGACATTGGATCGGTGGTGAAATGTGGTGAAATGGGGAAAGTTCCCCTCACCGGGATATGCAGGGAGGAATGTTCTTTTTATAGAATCGTTTTTAAATTGTTCTCCAATGATGATCACCCGAGAAAAGCAGTTTGTCCACGATGTACCTGAGAATGTGATTTTGTAGTTGAGAGACGTTCTCGCACCCGAGTAGCCCCAGACGTCATCCGGAGCCCGGTTGTTTTTTTTTTCGCTGCAAAAGGGCCTTTTGAGGGCTGTGTCTTGACGAACTGGGGAATGTGCTCGGGGCACAAGAAGGACCTTCACGAGAACTGCGCAAGTGGCACCTCCTTAACTGCGATCTCACGAACTATTCGACCGTGACAGTGGCATCCACAACGGTCAGTGGCCAGACGTCGGACGCCACCACCCCATCTGAGTGGTACGCCGCCGCCGATCGTGTCCCATTTTTTACGTGGGCCACATCCATCAGGTCACTTGGGAGGGCTGGGTTTTATGTTCTATGGGGAAGAGAGAGAGACAGAGAGAGAGAGAGAGAGAGTGTGTGTGTGTATGTGTGTATGTGTAAGGGAACAGGCCTCGTATCAGCATGGCGCTTTGCATATATCACAGTGAGCTATAGACAGCCAGGAATATACCGCTTCAGATTGACCCCGTTGCACGAGAAAAACCCCCTGGCCAAATCTCAATTTCTCCGTGGATTCTTAGTGGCTTCTCAAGTCCCCTGATCTTCATCTTCCGGTTCCACATTTTGCATCTCTTTTCCATTCCGCTGCCAGTCGCACGGGTGGTTTCATTTTCATTTGTGATTCAAAAAAGACTTCTCTGCCCAGGCTCCCTGGGACTTGCCCCCTACTCTCGCTGTCTTTTTCCCCTGGTGAAACGCGCCCAGGTGTCGCGCTTACTGACAACATTTATTGTGCACATCGCCGATCTATACAATCACCTGGGCTTCTTCACTTTTCACTCTCGCTTGGACATTTTTCTTTTCACAATGCGCGATACCCCCTCCAAGTTCATCGAGATCCTTGATCCCAAGGACAGTCCAATGCGCATGTCCGACTCGGACGTCCGCCTCGAGGACGTCCTCGCCGTCCACGAGGCAACCATCAGTCGTCCTCGCTCCTCCACACAATCCTCCAAAGCCCTGGAAAAACCACTGGCGCGCACAAACTCCACTTCTCCCACGCAGCGCTGGAAGCGCATTAGTAGTATCCTCGTGCAGCCGCGCCGGAACTCCTAGTCTCGAGGCGGGATTCAAGGCTGACAACTACCCTTCTCTCCTCCTTGCCGAGGCACGAATGACACGATGACGGACACTTACGGCCACTTACGTTTTTTTTACAAGCGGGATTCAGATTCACGTTTCATGCGGTGTATGAAGACCCCGATAGTCGATAGGGACTACTTTCGGAACTGGATTTCAAGAAAGACACCAAAAAAAAAAGGAAGGAATGAGAAATGAGGATTGATGGGATATGCACTGGTTTCCGCTTCTTGACTGGTTGGGTTGGCAAGGGGACTTGATCGCGCCGGACGCAGGAGATGCCCCTCATTCGCGATGAAAATGTGATTTTGTTATTCTATTCGGCGGGGGGCATAGGACTGCAAGGGAAGTGGATTTTACTTTCATTCAATCTCTTCTTTGCCTAGAATGGTTCTTTGAAACGTGCATGTGTATAGAGGCGTGACGGGCGTATTGATCAATAAAGTCAACTGGGCTGTTCTATTCTTTTCTTCTCCTCTCCATTTTCTCCTTTCCATTTCCTTTCCATTCAATTTCATGGTCCCGGGTGAGCAGAGCAGACACGGGCATTTGCATTCGTCAAGCCGAGGTAGTAATCCCCCAAATTGCAACCCCGTATCCGCCGGTCTGAATCTATCGGGTACAGATAGAGATGCACAACACTCACAATACACCTGTGCACTGTACACCTCGACTTCCACCCCACGCTACACGACCAACCCGGCCCTGAATAATTCCTATCAATAGTTCAACGCTGGACCTGGATGATCTGAAACCCGACCAGGCTCGACCCGCGCTGGCGCGGGAAATTTCATCGGCCAGTGTGGTCATTATCAGGTACCGGTGGACCCCGGACCTTGGGACTGGACCTTGGGAATGGACCGGAGTGGGACAAGTCTCGTACGCAATGACAGCCTCTGCCCTCTCAGGACCCACGAACGGGTGTTTACAGCAGATGGGAATCAAGGCTTGTAGCCGAGACTGGTCTTTTTCAGGGCGGAGAGTTCTTTCCCGTCTAGAGTCCATCTTGTTTTTTTTTGATGGTTGTTTGGCACGCTAACCGAACCGTTGTGTGAACTATTGGCGAAATTTCGGGGCCAGTGTCTCATTTTTTTTTTTTAATGAATCTGGGTCGGGGGCCTTTTCGATTGTCGTTGAGAGTCAGACAGTTGTGGACGATTATTTCTTGACGTGTGATTTTGGAGGGTCTGCGGGGCTTTCGCTGATTTGAACCTAGGAGATGAAGGCTGGGTTGCATGGCGTTTTCCCGAAACATGGCCGACCGTGGTTCGATGGAGCAGATCTATAGTACATGTCTTTTCGGGGTTTCAACGGTGCAATTTTCAAGTGAGGGGTTTGGACCGATGCATCTGAAAATGATCTGGTCGATGGGGATTCCAGAAGCCTTTTTGTGGCGTTCCTAGGCTCTTGGAATTGGGTCTCGGAGATATTGCGAGTGGGACTCGTGAGTGTCTAACCACACCATCTGAGCGACAGAGTTCGAAGACTCTAAGATTTTGATTTTCTCTTTGTTCATTTTAAGGAGACTTTCCTGAAGAACAAAATAAAATAAAATAAAAAGACAAGACAGATCTGTGACTTCACCTTTGCTGAACTCCTATTGTGAGAGGGGCTCTCCAGACTTCCGAGCCTATGTTATTCGACTAGGCCGCCGACTATTCTTTGCAAAGGAAAGCATCTGAGATCAAGAGATGTACCCCGACTTTTAATGCTTCTTGATTATAATGTTCTTGGCAGCCTGTTACTTTGACATTACTTTGCGATCCGCATATAGGGACTACAAAGGTCAAACATAGGACTTCTCCAAGTTTGGCATTCATTCCTGAGATCTTTCGAGAGATGTCTTGTTCCTCGCATGCATGATAAGGATCAAGACATGCGAGTAGATTGCTGTTGTATCTGAGCAACAGTGATTATTTGTATCACATACTTCCGAAGGCAAGGCACATTCGGACATTCCCATGTGTATTGACAGAAATTAGGAAAAAAGTACTTACTCACGAACGAGAGATGGTAGAGACGGTGACAGACAATACCATCTTGATCGCGTCTCACAGCTGCACCGGACACATTTCGGCCCGGAATAGAGTGGCCGCGCGATGAAGTTGAGGGAGGGACGGCCAGCATTCTATAATGGCACTGTTCATCTCCATCTATCTACAACCGAAGCTTACAAAACTGGCATTGCTTATCTCATGGACATTCTCTGGGGTCCTTTAGAAACCTGATCATGTTCCGATACTTTCCGAAAGGTTACATGGTCTCTGACCAAAGGTCACTAGTGCCGTAGCTAGGCATTTTCAAGTCGTACAATCTATAATAGCATAGAAAAAAAAATTGTATCATAATCTCATTGGCTCATGAATGTGTTCTGGCATTCCAAGACCTTGTATCTGGATAGATCGAACAGATGACAATCCCGAAAAGAACACCAAAAAGAAAGAAGAGAGAAATAAAAAACATGTCCAAAGAATCAGAGTCGTCCGGGAAATCCAGTCCCCGTGGTTTAAGGCATACTTTATAAATCTCTTAGCAAATGATGCGGGTGTCGGAGGCATGAACAGGCCCCATCATCAACGCTTCCATGATCTCGCCCTTGATACCCACGCCACGGCCAGGGCGCAGGATGACTAGGGCGTTCGCGGCGGCAAGGCTCCCCACGCGGGAGCTTCGCTGTCCCGTACCCTCGATACCAGTGCTGGTGGCATACAGACGGCCATCGGAGCGGGAAGCTGTCACCACGGCACGGTGGTACTCGGTGCGCTTGGGATCGAGAGGGAAGTGGTGCGTCAGGACGACAGCAACACGGGGCAGACCGAGTTGCGGCGCCATCCAGGGCTTAGTGGGCAGGGCCTGCGAGCTTTGGCCAAGACCGGAGAGCTTATGCAGAGAGGGAAGGACAAATAGGTTGAGGGTGACCAGAGCAGAGGCGGGGTTGCCGGGTAGAGAGAAGATGAGTTTTGACTGCCGTTCTTGCTGGGTGGTGGTTCTCGATTCACTCGTAGCCGCCTTGAAGGGGACAGTAGCGAAAGTAGTGGGCTTTCCAGGCTTCATAGAGACACGGCCGAAGTGAATGGTGCCGCCCAAGGATCGTTCGATGGTTGGTTTGAGGAGATCTAGCTCACCCATTGATACACCACCGGTGGTGACGATCACGTCGACACTGGAAGAGGCACGGCCAACGCCGCGCAGTGAGTCGCGAAGGGCATGTTCTAGTTCACCGGCGGGTGTATCGCGCGCAATGCCAAGATCGACAGTAGAGAAGCCCCATGATTGAAGGCATGAGATCAGCGATGGTCGATTGGAGTCCCGGATCTGCCCGCCAGTGAGAGGGCGTGGATCGTTATGCTCCACCAGTTCGTCCCCGGTGCTCAGGACGCCTACGGTGGGCTTTTTGAATACTTGGACCGTCTGAGTGCCGGTGGCAGCAAGCAAGCCGACCTCGCCGCCGATGGGAGAAATGATGTCTCCGCGCGAAAGAATTTTTGACCCAAGGGCAACGTCGCTGCCGGGCTCGCGGACGTTCTCGCCAGGAAGAATGTCCTCGGCGAGGATGTGGATAGTTGCTTCTTCGGTGCCGTCGGGGGTGGTGGTGGCCAGCTCGGTGTCTTCGACCATGACTACGGCATTCGCATTGGGAGGGAGAGGCGCGCCGGTGGTGATTCTAGCGACAGTTCCTGGTTGAAGGGGCTCCAGAACACCACCGACGTTGGCATGAGTGATTGATGCTACGGGGAAAGTACCATTTGTGGGTGCACCTTTGGAGGCAATAATCGCATAGCCGTCAACGATACTGGCACGGTATGCCGGCACCGCCTCAGCGGCGTAAACGTCTTCGGCGATTACTGAGCCCACAATGGATGTGTCCACAGGAGCTTCAATAACAATTGGCTCGGGCGTGTGCTCGCTGATTTCACAGAGCGCCTTCTCCACCGACAGCATTGGGTACGGTGAAGAACGATAACGGCGGCCAGGACCAGCTGACGGGTCATTGGACCGAGGAGCAGTGTGTGCCTTGACAACCAAATGACCATGGCTATGGCCGTGGCCATGGCCATGATGGTGATGGTGGTGATTGTGTTGAAGTTGGGTGACAGATGAGCCAGATGAGAAGCCAGCTTCGGCCTCTAATGACTTTACACCGGCGGCATGCATGTTTCGAGAGTTAGCTCCGGCGGATTGGAGACAGGCGTGTGGTAGAAGCTTCACAACCGCTTCAAGGTTTTCCACAGCTCCTTTCGGAGAACCAGGTAAAGTGATAATTAAAGACTTGTCACGTACGCCAGCAACTGGTCTGGACATCATAGCAACTGGATAACGGGGGTCAGCGGGGATGTAAATAGTCGAATACAAACAACGGGTGATGTCATCTCACATGGAGTTACTTTCAACGAAGCGGCGATCATACCATGTCTGGGCGATTTAGTCTGTGTTAGCGCACGAGTGCCCGGCGCCGAGACGGTATACTCACACAAGGCCCGGGGCATGTCGATGGATCAGGGGAGAGACAGCCTGCGTGATGTCATCAGAGAGGACGATGCATTATCCGTCTAAGCCTGGATTCTTACCTCGGGTGTGTTATCTCTGACTGCGAAGCCGGTCCCTCCGCTGAGTAGAATCAGATTGAACCAATTGGGTCCATCGGTCCAGTCGCAAACCGCTTGTTGGATCTGGAACACATTGTCGGGGACGATCTTGATAGCGGGAGATTCCCACTTCCCCTCGGCGGTCAAGATGGGCGTCAGAGCAGAGGCCGTCTGGTCGGACGTGGGGTCCTGAGAGGCTGTGTCGGAGACGATCAGAATGGCTGCCTTAAGTTGGTCCATGATGGAGGGTGGTTGGAAGCAGAAAAGTGGGGGAAAAGGCAGGTCTTTAATTGTCTGGGTCCGGGGTATCGCCCAAGTGGATTTTCTGTAACCTCTCGAGAGCGGTCCGTGCTACGTCTCTGTCTCTGTCTCTGTCCCTGTCTAGGGTTTTGTCTCGGGTCTTGACGGATGAGCAGACGGTACATGGGAAACGGGATACAGATGATGTCGATGATATAAAAGTTCGGTACAGATCAAGCCTTCATTTGGAACTCATTACTGTACACACATGTGATCTCCACGCTGATGCAATTCAGCTGTGCTCTCTACGTTATCAAATCCAGACGCCCTAATGCTGTGTATACATGTAAAACACGAAAGTTTTGACGGAAAATAAAAAGAGCAAGTTGCCCGAGAATCGTGCCGGGGCTAGTCATTACCCTTGGTGATGGCCCATTCGGGCAATCGTAGCCGTCTAGCGGCGGGGGAACAGTTCGACATTAAGCCGCACCCATGTCAAGGGCCTTACCGCCAACCAAAAGGCCGATGATTAGACCGAACAGTCCCAGGACTGAACTGAAAATCTCGATAACGAGAATCTTGACGAACCTACGGTCAATGTTAGTCATCCGAAATTGACAATACTATACTGCCATGCAACACGGCTCAGATGATGACTTACAGGCTACCATCAGCAGCGTCCGCAAGAGCGGCACCACTGCCGTTGATACCAACAGAGATACCGCAGATCAGATTGCAGAATCCGACGGTAATTCCTCCCCAGAACAGCGCATATCCGGTGTAGAAGTTGCTCTTAGTGAAGATCTCGGCTTCGGGGACGGGGGTGAGCTTTGAGGAGAAAATAATCGCCATAATTACGCCGTAGATAGCAACGACTTCGCAAAAAATGATGGAAATCAAGTTCTTAGTGCGAATTTGGGAGAGCGCGGACACCGCCGCCGACGATCGAGGAACCGGTGAGGAAGATACCCCTGCGATAAACCCGGAGGTTAGCAAAGACGAAGATTGATCAACCATGAAGCATGATCATACCATGCAGCTCCGACCACAGAACATCCAATACACATCGCGATACCGATGTTCGCCCAGGCATAAGGGGACACCTCTTCGAGGAAGCGGCCAACCTAAAAGTGTTGGGTCAGTAAGGCTCGCAGCCAGCATCACTAGCTGCATTGAAGGCCGAGCATACATTGAAGGCTTCACCTTCCCCCTGGAAGAGCATATCTAGAAAGAGAGTCAGCTATGGACTCGGGACTGAGACCGGGGTCCGGGGGGTTCGACACGTACACAACCCAACCACGAGGAGGGCGGTCGTTGAGAGACCAAAGAGGTACCGGAGAGCCATGGCGACCTCAGCCTGAAGATGAAGGAATGAAAAGGGTTGACGTGGAGGAAACCCGATAAGGTAGCTGAAGCTATGAGGTGGAGGAGGATTGGGACTCGCTGGTCGGACCGGATTAACTGCTCCGAGGCGGTGGACGACACTCGCCGTGTTTCCCCAGATCCACGCTTTCACTAACAAGAGGGTTGACGGACACACTGTTGCTTTGGCTGTGTTTATTTTGCCATTGCATACCCATCCTCTGTGTCTTTATTGACAGGAGTGCCCTTGGTGCCGCCGCGCGTTGATTTTTTGACCCCCTGAATCCTCCCCTCCCTAATATCTCCGACATCATGGCCTCCAGCTCTGGAGTAGGGTCTTATTCGAACCCTTTGAAGAAATTCAAGTGAGTTGCATAACCAAAATCAAGCTCGTTGAGATCATGGCACTAACATGAGACATAGGTTGGTGTTCTTGGGTGAACAAAGCGGTATGGCCATCTCGACCTTCGCGCCACACCTACCATTACCAGGAGGGCACGAACGTGTGAAGAACACGGATTCTGATGATTGTTATAGTTGGAAAAACATCTTTGATCACCCGGTTCATGTACGATTCGTTCGACAACACATACCAGGCTACGATCGGCATCGACTTTCTGTCCAAGGTACTTTTACTCCAGAGTCATTGAAGCAAATCTACGTTGCATTGTTTCCAGCAGCTGAAGCTAATTTCTATTCTCCTCAGACGATGTACCTTGAAGACCGCACCGTCCGCCTTCAGCTCTGGGATACCGCCGGACAAGAACGATTCCGCTCCCTTATCCCTTCCTATATTCGAGACTCAAGTGTCGCCGTTGTTGTCTATGATATTTCGAACGCCAAGTCCTTCCAGAACACTCGGAAATGGATTGATGATGTGCGTGGAGAGCGCGGTAACGATGTGATTATTGTGCTGGTGGGTAACAAAACCGATTTGAATGACAAGCGTGAAGTTACAACAGCACAAGGCGAGGAGGAGGCGAAGAAGAATAACTTGATGTTCATTGAGACTAGTGCCAAGGTCGGGCACAACGTTAAGCAACTTTTCCGGAGGATTGCGCAGGCCTTGCCAGGAATGGAAGGTGAGGCCAAGCAAGGGGAAAGCACAAGTACGTTACCGCGCATTGATGGCGCCGAGGCGCTCTACTGCAGATACTAACTACTTCGCAGTGATCGATGTGAATATCCACCCGAAGGAAACCACCACCAACGATGGCTGTGCTTGCTAGACACCGCACTCCACCCCACTCTGTTTATTTTAATCACCTCTGACCGATTGCTATCGTCGAGTCTGTCCATGATATGCCCCAATTTTATTACAGATGTACATGTTTCCTTTCCCAGTGCTCGTCGGGTGAATAGCGTGAGGTTAGATCTTTCAGGCTTCTATGCGGTTGCGTCCACTTTTGCGAGTTGTTGCCTGGATGGTGGGCGTTCTGATTATTGTTCTATCCGCATTATATCTCGTTTCCATGATCCACCTGGAGGTTGCTTTTTGACTCATACGAGGGCCATCCTGGCCCAAATGGCCCCAAGGCTGACATCTCGCATATGATGTTATCGATGAAGCTGTACATTATGGCATCTTCATGAATATTTTTGCTCTCAAATTAGCACATTGATTATAGATCCACCATTGTACAAGTCTTATTGACTTTGGGCCTGAAGGCAGCTGTCCTATGTAAACAGGCTTTCCACCCAGGGGTTCTACGACCTGGCTCAGGAGGCGGCCATGCGTTCATGTAAGAATGATTCTTGAAATATTAGTCGAAAGTAATAGAAAACTGTTTAAAGAAGCTTTCATTGAATTAAATATCTAGGTCTCTCTAGACTGTCTTCTTGAACGAACTACAGGATGTCGGCAAAAGCTGCGAAAAAACATTTGTCACACTTCTTTATCTCAGACTCGGAATTAAGCCCTCGATTTCTCTGTGAAAGCACACGTTCAGGGCATGAGGTATTACAGGATGGATTTCTTCCTCAGCTCACCTACTCCACTCCAATGCACAAGACCGATATGATTGAGATGATCAGAAAACTGAGCCAACCAGCATTAATCCTCGATGATCAATTTTTCCATCGCGGTCTACTGGGCTGAACTGTGCCGTCTTGGCTAAACTTTTGTTTTCAAGGACGCTGCCTCAGAAGTGCTTGTGGCTGCTCATCATTTCATTGGAACAATTAATATTGAGAGATTATTTTATGACCACTGTACAGGTCGGGGTAGTAATACAATTTTGTAAGAGTCTTGAAAACTAGGAAGCCTCAGCAACTTCTGTCTCCTCGCCAGTCTCTTCTTCAGGCGCAAATGCTTCCGCGGCAGGCTCGAAGAAGGGAGCAAACTTGCTCTTCATTCTAAGTCTCCTGCCATAGAAATAGAATGCAATCGGAATAGGAACCAGGCAAGCGGCAACACAACCAAGCAGAGTCGAAGCCCATTGGATGCCCATGTTCTCAAACATTTGACGTGAGAATAGAGGGAAACTGGCGGCGACCATTGAACGACAGAACGTGTTGGCGGCGATGGCAGATGCGGCACTATTGACAATGTTAGAGGACGGTGGAAGGTAGCCGGCGTTTTAAAGACACTTACAACATGAGATAGGTATCAATCAAATAGTTGAAGAGTTGGATGAAAATGATCAGAAGACCGAATCCAGTAAACAAACCACTCAAGGTTGGCACGATCCAGTGGACAGTGCCTGAGAATCCAGTCCATCCGAACCAGAAAAGTCCAGCCGCAAAGAGGACACCACCAAGGATCACAGGAGGACAGCGCCACTCGGGAACAGGCACGCCGCTGTTCGCATCAAGCTTTTTGTTATACGATTTGCTGGAAATAATAATGTATGAGGCAGCAGTGAGCAGACCAACGACCATGCCGAACAAGGGAAGTCCACTGACACCGGCATTGAAACCATACACACCCTGGAAGACAACGGTATAGGCTGTCAGGAAACAGTAAAGAAGACCGTAGATGAAACTGAGATAGACCGTGACTGCCAGGATAAGTGGCTCGCCGAAGAGCAAGCGGAGCGGGCGCGAGAAGTTGTTGATCATCAGCTCCTTGAAGTCCACCTCAATTTCCTCCTGCTTGGCGTGGATTCCCCAGTTCTTTGTCCGACGGCGTAGCTCTGCAGCTTTGTCAATCAGCACCACAGGCGGATAGGATTCCTTAAGGAAAAAGAGGTTCAACACGAAAGCCGCATACCCCATAAATGCAGGGATATAGGCTGTCCACCGCCAACCCAGATAGGACATGTTGATGAAACCCCCAATGAAAGGTGCAACCAGAGGGCCCAGGAACACAGTGCCAGAGAAACAAGCGATCGCAGTACCACGGGTACGGTTGTTGTAAATGTCGGAGAACACAGCAGCGACGACCGCCAGGGGCGAACTTCCAAAGATACCGCAGAAAAAGCGACAAATCATTAGTGTCTGGATATCTTTTGACACTGCCACTGCTGTATTAAAAATACCGAAGCCCAGCATAGCAATGATGATACCGGGGCGACGACCCTTGAGCTCGGAAAGTGGCGCCCAGAGTAGGGGCCCCGAAGCGTAGCCGACAATGTACAGGGTGCTGGATAGAACGGAGACTTCGAGACCGACGCCGAAATACGAGGAAACATTTTTTGAAGAGGCGCTGAATATGGCAGAATCAAAGGTCGAGCAGATGCTTGTGAATGCGAGCATAGCGCTGATATAAATTCTGTAATGGAGTTAGCGCCGAAAGGTATCACATTGCGTGAGAAAATCAGGTGACCTACTTTGTCTTTAAAGGCCAGTTCTGAGGGTATAGAGGATCATCTGGCCCGTCGAATTCGACAACGTAGTCCTCGCGGTTTGGCAACTGCGGGGGATAAGGTTTTCCAGCGCCGAATGCCGGGAGGGGAAGCTTGGATTGTCGCGATTTCACGCTCTCGCCGACAGTCAGAGAATGTTGGAGGCGTTGAGTTTCAATGCGACTCAGTGCCTGGGACAAGTTCGTTCGTTGGCGCTCCAGATCGACCTCTGTATTGCGCGACTGCAGTCTGCGAAATTGGGGATCATAGTCGATGGAGCTGCTTGAGCCCGTTGAGGAGGTCTCTGAGGTCCTCGGCCGTTCAGACTCTGCGTGAGGCTTTTCATGATAGTGGGAAGACCCCACTCGGGCATCAATCTCCGCCCGCTCGAGATCCTCGTCGGTTTTATTGATACTCATCGTGATCGGGGCGACGGGAAGGGTCGAGCTTGGTTAGGGGCCGCAGAAGCTTGTGGCATCAAAACTTTCGACTTGGACGGCGAACAAAGATTTTCAAAGTAGTTGCCTGGGACCCCCTGTATCAAACCATGCTCTCTCTTTCCAAAGGCGATAGGCTTTTGAATAAAAAACGGCGCTAAAGTCGAATAGATTCCGTCCTAACCGTCTCGACCCCACCATTGGACGGCTACTACTATGATCGCAATTGCCGATTGTCCACGAGAGAATGACTGGAGCAAGACTTCCTCGATATAGCTAGCAGACATTGATGCTGGAAAGATGGGTTATAATATTGACAAATCCCGTCGATTGCAGACCTCGGAGGGTGGTGGACGGAAAGGAAGCCAGAGCCTGAAGCTGCATTCCTCGAAATCGAGATGATCCCAGGATGTGGGTCTAACGGACTAGTGGTAAAATATTCCTCGAGAACCTTGTTCTGATGTCATCATTGGGCCCCGATGATTTACCGTTCGGGCGCCGCTTATTAATCTGGCCCGCACCGAGAACCTTGGAATGCGACGCTATTCCGGGAAGGACGACCGCGCAATGGTCAAGGATGTTAGCTGGGTCCATCTAGGCGTGCTTGTGTGCTTGTGTGCTTGTGTGACAGAAGCATTGAATCTGTCACGATCAGTCCGATGTGAATATCAGGTGTTTGCGGTGGGGATTCAAAAGTTTGAAACCCTCTGTGCACCGCCTACACCCTCACCGCCGCTGCCACGACCTCACCGCCTATACCCCCCTATACCTTCTAATGCGCACTAGACCACACGGGCAACAATGAGGTTTTAGGACGGCAGAAATAAATTGGCAAAATAAAGGCGGTAAATTGAGGGTTTCAAACTTATGAACAACCACTGTACGTGCGGGTGTTTCTATTCTTTATGCTTCTTCTTTTCCTTGTAAGACACGCAGAATCCAACCAAGTTCTGTCACCACTAGACATGACTGATGCCAATGCGTAACACTTGAGATGAATGTCTTCCTTCCATATACCTTGAAGTTGGTTTAAAATCAAACACCATGTGGAGACGCAAAGCCACGTTCCGGGTATATCCATATCTCACAATGATCCACAATCTGGAGATGAGCATTGATCTTCTGAAGGCTCTGCAAGGCTCACTTCAACTTTATGGGGACTCTAGTCATTAGCAAATCAACAAACCCCCGACACAAGTCATCGAAAGATCTAGGAACATTGGCCAAATTTTCGCAAGCAGCGGACAAGCTGCTTTGTAGTCTCGAATCTACCTTATTGCCATAGTTTCAGAATCTGATGATCTTGATTGCATCCCGGTAAGTTTCACGATACAGCATCGAAACATCATTTGTGCGCTCTGTTCCCTCCAAGCCTTGAGCCAAATTTCCGCTCTCTTGCCGATATCACTGCTGATGTTAATCTGCATGGCTTGTGGTTGTGGGGCCCTCCAGAATACCTCCCTCTGTCTAATGATCATTCCCCTGTGAAGGAATTCCTTCCCTATCTCCGCGCACAAGTTCTTGTCATACAATATAGCAACACCAGCACATCAGGACACCTGAATCTCCTTGTTCATTCAATGAAATGCAAGCACCTCTCAAGCAAATTCCAGCATGAAGGTGCCACTCCACTGGTGGCAAGTGGTCGAGACAGTAAGATTGCCCCCCTACGTCCACGAGAACTAGGTTGTGGCTTCGATATTACATATTACCGAAGTTCTTGGAAACAATGCAGCTTGAGAATTTGCCAGGTTATTTTTACGCTGCCAGGCAGTGTGCCACAGATTTAGCCATTACGATAGCTTCGATGGATCGGATAGGCCTTGTATTGGACGATACATCGGCCGAATCTGCAAAAAAGACAGGCATTGAACTCCTCTGTGTCAAATAGGGCTTGCGAAACTCAATTACATTTTGTAGAAGACCCTGCGTGGTTCATTAACAGACGCTAGAACTGGAAGTGGAGGTGTGGCGGATGCGGTCGATCCGGAAGCCCGCGATGGGAGACATCATTCTGGGGAGACATGAAGTCCTGGAGCCTCGAAAGCAAGGCAGACGAAGCAGGCTAGGGTAGTATTCAATGAAGAAAAATATGAATACCCTGAAAAAGTCAGGACGCCACGCACAAAAGTAATGCAGAGCCGATTCGGTAAGAGATCTGCACGGCTCCGCTGGGAAACGACGCCCCTGGTTCGTGTGCGCCGCTGTACTTGGCCTCTCTTTTCGTTCTCACCCTTCATCAGCATCGTCATCTATTCTTCAATCTTGATATTCTCTATCAAGATGGGGTCCTTTTCTCGCTTCTTCCGCTTTCCGCGGCCAGAGGTGAGCCTCCCCTTTGTTCCCCTTTGATCCGCCCCATCCGCTAACCGCCTGGTGACGTTGCAGACCTTTCTCTACGTGATGAGCCTGGAGACAGGCGCGTCGTTGATTACACTGTCGCTGCTACTTAATAAGATCAGTGGTCTATATGGCCTCCTCGCTCTGTTGACCGGCTATCATCTCTCCCCGGTTCAACTGTCCATGTACCTCTACTCCCTCGTTGCTCTCGCCCTCGCCGCTCTGCTCTTCCCGCACATTCGCAAACAGTCCCCATTGGAGTGTCTCGCCCTCGCCTATCTATATCTGTTGGACAGTCTGATCAACGCGGCCTACACCGCCGCCTTTGGTGTGACCTGGTTCCTTGTCGTGTCGCAGAACTACGATAGCGCCAACGCCCCCGGGGCTGAGACCATCACCCAGACCGCTGGATTCACCAGCCCCAAGTACGATGCGGCCTACGTCGAGATTCAGAACACACAAGATGGCAACAAGTTCATTGCGCACCCTCCTCGCAGTACTGGCAATCTCAGCAATGCGGTTGACCAGCCCGAAAGCTTCCAGAGCATCGTCTTCATCTCTTTGCTATGGATAGTGCGTGTCTATTTCGTCCTGGTGATGCTTGCTTTCGCCCGCCAAACTCTTCGCCTCTGGGTCGCCGTTCCCCGACACACCCAGCTTCCCACCCACAGTCGCAATGTGTCGATCGCAAGCGTGGCGGATATCGACCGTGAGCCCTTCACCCCATACAGTCCAGACGGACAAGGCTGGAAGGGCAAGCTGGGCCGTATTATGGTTAGCATTGGCCACAGTTACTGGCTTGGTGATGAGGAAGATGGGAACTGGCTGAGCGGCATCAATCAAAAGTTCCTTCACCGCAGCACCCCTAGCACAGAACTTCCTGGTCCCCTGGAGCGGGAGCGAAGACGCCGATCGGGAACCGGCCCGCCTCAGCCCTCTCCCTCCATTATCAGAAATGGCAACCTACAACAAATTAATGAGCACCCGCCTGGAGTCAATGTCAAGATGCAGGACTGGACCGAGCCTCGATAAATGATTGTTCAGCCATGCTTGCCGTGGTTGCAAGCCCTGATTGCCAGCGGCCCAATTCCAGAGGGCCTTCTCACACTCCCCCTCTCACGCTTCTTGGACTTCCATGCTAGGTGCAAATTTGTGTCATTTCGCATTCCGCCACGCAGATGATCCAATTGGCCCTTGTCCCCATCCTTTCGTTCAACCGACGGTCACTGCGAAGAAGCCAGCGCTACAGCTTTGCACTGGAAATTATCTATGACGCGAGGTCTTTGCCTTGGTACCATATTCACATTATTTCACATGACAAGAGAATCATGAATCAGATCTTGTCTGCGTACTTTGTTACATCACCAACCCCTGTCATTTTCTTCCGGGTCTTGTGAGGCGTTCCGGTTCTTACGACGTTGTGACTACGACGGTGGCGAGAGACTAACTCTCGGTATGCATTCTACCTCCGGGCGTCATGAACTGTACATTTGCATGAAGTTAGGATAGGTCTACTTGTCAACGCTTTCGGTACGGACTCACTACATAACCACAGCGTCTCCGCCTGTCTTCTAGACAGGCTCTGGAGATTTTGCCACTGTACACTTTATATACCAAACATGCATACACCCTCATGACACCCGATTCTCCAACTCTCGAGACTTTGGTGCCCCGTTCTACGCACGTGCTTTCTAGAAATTAAAAATTAGAAAATCTTTCGTGGCAAAAGACACTATCCTTGCATTGACCTGTAGGCATCAATTGATAAATAGCCTCGATCCATTACGTTTCTTGGGGATACAACCAGCGTGTCGATTCCTCGATCTATAGTTCTTCGTCGATCTCTGTTCGCGAATCAGTCGAATCCCAGTGCATCAACGGATTTCCGACAGTGCGAATAAACTCGCCTGACGATGCATCTTGCATTATCAGCCCCTATTTCCGTCAAATAGCTGCCTATGGGAGCGCTCGAATGCCCAACGAATGCCCAATATCAGAAAATGTTTCGCCGACGATTGCCCGGGTGGGCCAAGATTAGGCTCTAAAGGAATGATCGGTAGTGCCAAGGACCTCAATTCGCGCATTTTGAGTTCAGATCATCGTGCACGGCGTGTGGCTGAGGAGTGACAGGATTCTCCGGCGTGCTTTAGGATGTATCCGCGACTGCCATCTGCAACTTTAAATTCATATACTCCTGGCTTGTTTCATCGCCTTCTTCGGTCTCGATTCTCCTGATTCCACCATGGTTTTTTATACTCAAATTGTTGTTCCTGGTAAGCTGTCAACTCTATTGAGGTCTCTATTAAAAGTCATTCTTAACGTGTCAGATATCCGAGAGGAGTCTCGCGGGACACAGGGTTGAGCTCCTGTTCCGTTGAAAGAGAATTTTTCGAACGACGCCCACATCGATCTTCCAGATTGAAACCATCTTCAACCAACCTCACCATCCACCCCATATGTTCTGCATTCAATTCGACGCAGCTGGCATCTATCTCGTCGGCACAGCAGCTGAACAATTCCACGTCCCATTCGAAGAGCTGATATCGTTCGCGGGAGGCGTCATTGGTCTACTCGAGTACGGCCTCACCTGGAAAGTCCTCCTAGGAGTGCTAGGCCGTGCACGGCATCAGCTATGGCATCGGCCAGACATATCGCTTGACCAACGACTTCCCCTCTGGATCGATAACTCGGGGCCTGTTCTCTATGAGGTCCGCTACGGAGAAGATTCAATTCTGGTCAGAACCCAGAGCTTGGAGTCATCTCGATTCGGAAGAGCAATCAAGGAGCATTGGGATGGGCGCATGATGAAGCCTAGCAATTTGTGGATCATGAGGATGGTCTTCGAAGCTTTCTTTGTTGGGCTTTGGCGGAACATGCGACGTTTCAAGCTCCGCAAATTCTGAGCTATACTCTGTATGCCTCCTTGAAAGATTACTTCGGCGGGCCATTGTCAATCATTTGAGCCTTGCTTTGGATGCTTACTATTGCGCTTTTTGTGTTTTCTTCTTGGGTGTTTCCGGAGGTAATGTTTTCGTTTTATTGTCAAATCTTGGACTTCGACTGTCATGCGCATCTATTATGTCGAGTCACAAATCCTGATCTATCCCAGGTATCTTGATCTCAATTATCAATGGATGGCTTTCGAGGTTCTTATGAAGATGATCATGCAATAGGTGTGTCTGACAGGCGGTGTGGTGGTGGTATAAATCGTCAAGTGTCCCACAGCGAGCTCCGCGCGTTTTCCCCGAGATTCCTGACGGCAAAATATTAAGCCTTGCAGGGGCCTCAACCCAGATAAGGGGCACAGTGCCGAAAGAATCGTGAATGCGCAATGTTTTGGGAAATGGGAATGTGCAAGAATATCTGATAAGTCGTCATGAACTCAGGTAGGCGACTGGCTTCGCCATCCATCACTTGCACCATACACAATCCTTAAAAACTCGTCTGTAAATTCAAAAACAAATCACCGGTATTACACTCATGCAGAATGATCCCAGCTTACCCTTCTTACTGAATTACTGGCAGGAGTGATTGCTCAAACAACCTCATCTTCCTTTGAGGTCATCCGTCGTCGCATGCAAGTAGGTAATGTGCTGCACGAGGCCTTTGATCTTGGCATTGTTGGCACTTCTCGTAAAATTTGGACGAAGAACGGATTTCGTGGATTCTTGGTCGGGCTGAGTATTGGGTATATCAAGGTTGTGCCGATGATTGCGACTAGTTTCTTGATTCATGAATGATTGAAGTGGACCTTTGGGATCTGAAAGGCATTTTGTTTCTTTTAACAACTTTACACATCATCATTAAAAGGTCATGGCTAATAATCCCTTCAACTGTTGTTGTACTTCACTTAACCTATGCGACTAAGAGCAAGCGGTGCATGGAAAGGGTAGCCGTGAGGACTCCCCACCGAGTCTACAGAGATGACCTGCGAACGATAGAAAGAATAATTGAATGGCTTTAAGAGATAAGCTGCTTTACGTATCTCATCTCCTCGGCTTTGAAATTGGGCTCGACCCATGATATCCGCCCCCGTCTACATATGCTCTATTTCTTCACAAAATCGAGCCCCCGGGCTAGCCAGCATCCAATTTTGAATCCGACAACGGTCCCGCCTTCATCACGCCGAAGCACCATAGTCCAATCGCCCGGAGCAGGTGCATCTAGACCGCGAGGGCAAGTCAGAGCCCAGACATCGCCGCCCAGGTATCGCATAGGAGTTGCGGGTCCTCGGCCGAGGTATCCATCGAAGGCACCGTACAGCATTCCTGAGTCTCCTGAACAATGGAACGTAGATTGAACCTCTGCGCAGGTATATGTACCCTGAAGACGTGTAGTTTGGAAAGGAAATGCGTCTTTGATCAGACGTTTGGCGTCAAGCTCGCGGTTCTCCACAATACGATGGATGCGTAGGCTATCTCCCTCAATAGTCGCCGTCATAGAATTTGATTTCCCGTTTGTAGCATCAGTCAACCTGATTGTCTCATGGTTGCCGGCATAGGATATAAGAATATCTCCTTCCCGGGATCCCTTGGCCACAGTGATGGCAAGCTGAGTATCCTGGTCAAGGAAAACACCAGCCCAGTCCGCATTGGCCGCAACAGGGGTGCTCTCGTTCTTGGGTTTGTCCAAAATACCACGCAAAATGTCGTTGACGGCCGCCGATGCATCGGCCTCGTGATTGAACAAGACGACCACTGACAGATGCTCGTGAGGTGCGTGGCGTCGGTGCAGACGGTATCCACGAAGCGCACCACCATGACCAATCGAATCCACACCATCAACATCAACATGGGCCATGCCATAATGATACTTGGCGGAATTGCCATCAGTGAACGTCTGCGGTTCGTAGATGGTCTGATACCAGCTTTGAGGATCTGCGAAATTCTGTTCCAGGTGCTTTTCCCAGGCGATCATATCATCAAGAGAAGCCACCAACCCAGCATCTCCAGCCCATTCCATCCGATTCACTGCCGGGTAGTATCCACTTTCCTCTTTTCCCTCGTAGCCCACACAGGGAGGAGGGTGATGAGCGGTGTTAGCGCATAGGAAGGCAGTTTCCATTCCCGCCGGGCCGAGAACGCGTTCCTTCAGCAGTTTACCAAGCGGCTCCCCGGTGACTCGCTCGATGACTCGCGCTACCACGTAGAAGTTGACATTGCAGTATGAGTATTCCGTCCCGGGCTTGAAGTGGAAAGATCTTGTACGATCCATCGCTGGAGGTCCGTCACGTTCTACTAGGAATTCGTCTTCTGGCTTAGCACCCCAGAGAGTGGTCATGGCCCAGTAGTCACGCAAGCCGGATTGCATGTCAACCATATTCTGGATAGTCAATCCAGTGTTCTTGAAAACCTCAGGCTGCAGAATTTCACTAAGAGCGTCGGAGAACTGCGTCTGGACGTCTCCCTTAGTAGCCATTGCGGAGGTCGGGTTGCGCTCAAGATCGAGAAGGAGGGCGCAGACGAATTGCTTTGTGATGGAGCAGATGGGCATTTGGGTTTGAGCCGTCAGAGGAATCCGCTCGTTCATGTCAGCCCATCCCCAGACCCGTTGTCCAACAATCTCGCCATCCTTAAGGACAGCGATTGCACCGCCTGGTCCGCGGTAGCGAAGAGCAATGGTATCTAGAATGGCCTGGACGGATTTCGGATCGGCTGGCATGTTGTTGAGAGTTGAAGAAGGCAAGTTGTTATCGGATGACTCCGCTTTTTATCGAGTGAGGGGCATTCCCCCGATCTACTGATTACATTGATCCGGTCTGGAAAGACCCAAATATCTGTATTAGGCCATTCTCGATACTATTTTTTGTATAATGAATCCTTCAATCTCTCATGAATGGCAGTTCTTTCCAAATAGTAGTTTCCCCACATTCCGAGTCCAGGAACGAACAGACCTCAGATGCAGGTTTACCCCAGGCCCCACGTAACCCGGATTTAGGCAAAATGCAGGATACAGCCGGGATCGGGGTTAGGCTGACGACTCCAGGTCAGATTTTGGGTTCTTGCCTGTTCATTTAGGAATGATCCATGTACAGGAACTTTGCTGTACGTCTGTTCTCATGATTCAAGTCAGAGTTTCATAGTCTGAAGCACAAAATATCCATTCATACTAGTATTTAAATATCCAGCATCCGCTGACTTCCATCAAATGGTCAAATTCATGTATAGCCAAGCTCGTAGGGCCAGCCTGTTGATCGGACTTTTGGCAGACCCCTGACAGGGTTACATAGGCACAGCTGAAGCTGTTTCAGTATACACCTTAAATTGATCTGTCCTAAGCCCCATGGCCAAGTCAAACACCCGAGGTTTTGAAATCTTGGGAATGAAGTCATTCCAGCCTTATGAGAACTCCCGTCCTTCACGAAAGTCCGCGTGGGTATGGTGGAGATGGGGTCATGTATAGATCACAATGTCTGCCGAGTTCGGGCTAACGGCATAAGCGAGACGCAGATCTTGCAGCCTGCAAGCCTCGAGAGTAGAAAGAGCCGAGCACCAGGAAATGACAAGTGACGGAAGTGACTAAGAGCAAATCAAAGCGAAGACCCATCTACATAGTCCGGGTCTGATAATCTGGCCACTGTCATCGTTCACCACGTGCCCGCTTCCCCGCCTTCTCCAGAATTTCCCCTCGCGCATCATCAAGGGTCTTTTCCCTTCCTGTAATTTTCAATAACATCTCATTGAGTTTCTGCAAGCCTTATCCTGCAAAACTCGGTGCCCTCCCAAACAAGCGTGCCGAATAAGCTCTCGGGGCTCGGGTCCGGGTAAAAAAAAAACGGATCGCCTCCACACCGGTCTGGGGTACTGCCTGCTCTGAAATCACTCGGCAATGTCGCACGGTCTCTGACACGATTCGATTTTCGCCCATTGCTCATTCCGATCTACGCGACCTCAGGTCGTCCTATTTCGCTGGTCTGTATGTCGCGGTAGCTCCTCACTCCACGGAGAAGCATGTCTACGGGCTCCCTCCAATCCGTGGTCCATTCCTATTCACCTTTCTCGGCGCGGTCGCAATCCCATCGGATGTCCCAGTCTCAGACGCCCGGACTGGACACGCTCGCAGAGGGCTCCCAGTATGCGCTCGAGCAGCTGCAGCTGGCTCGTCAAGCTGGCGCGACGTCCAATCCTTCGACCGATCCCGACATCAAGCCTCTCACCGATCCCGAGTCCTTACAATCACAAGCTCACCACCTTTATCCCAAACAAACCCGCCCAGCGGATGGCTCAAAGGGCGCTAAACAGCAACGCGAACCCCAAGCTGAAGCGCGCTCGGCCATTCGGAAGGACTCGTCATCCAATCCAGTTCGCAGGAGAATTAGCCGAGCTTGCGATCAGTGCAACCAGTTGCGCACGAAATGCGACGGGCAACAACCATGTGCGCATTGCGTTGGTAGGTAACCCTGCCCTACACATTTCATCTTCCTGTATCGCTTATGTTCTCTAGAATTTGGACTCGGCTGTGAATATGCCCGGCAGCGCAAGAAACGCGGGAAGGCCTCCAAAAAGGACCTTGTAGCGGTAACCGCTACCAGCTCTGGCAGCGACAGGGGTCTCAATGACAGTGCATCTGGCCAAATCGAATCACCAAATGGGCAAACCGTGCATGAAGTAAATGGTTCTTACGATCCGAGTTTCGACGCTGCCAGGACACTGACCGATTCGGCGCAAGCACATTTACGCAATGCAGGAGTCGGCAAAATGCAAAATCAGCATCCAGCGCCTGTCCATGCGCAGGCCGTTGGCTCCAGCATTGATGGAATGACTATGGACTATGGAAGCGTTCCTGACACTAATCGGCCCCCAATGTCTGTTCCCGATCTTCGCTCCATGAATATGATGCACCATTCGAACGGCCATCCTCGATCTCCCTCTGCAATGCTACAATCTCAAGGATTTGGGTCCGGATATAATGATAATGCATACCCCTTGATGAACTCGCAAGAGGCGAACACGGCCTCGATGAACCAATTTCGCTTGGGCGGCTCTGGGGAAAACCCATCGACATCATTTCTCGGATTCTCTCCTCCAGCCCAGTCACCCAGCTGGCTCCCTCTTCCGTCTCCATCGCCAGCGAATTTCCCCTCTTTCAGCATGGCTCCATTTTCCAGTTCTTTACGATATCCTGTCTTGCAACCAGTTCTTCCTCACATCGCGTCTATAATTCCTCAATCGCTTGCTTGCGATCTCCTGGATGTATACTTCACCAGCTCCTCATCCTCACACATATCCCCCTTGTCACCATATGTTGTTGGATTTGTCTTTCGCAAACAATCGTTCCTTCACCCAACGAAACCGAGACAATGCAGTGCAGGTCTTTTAGCTAGCATGCTGTGGGTGGCGGCACAGACGAGCGAAGCTGCATTCTTAACGTCGCCTCCGTCAGCACGAGGACGGGTATGCCAAAAGCTACTTGAGCTCACGATTGGGTTGCTGCGACCTCTCATACACGGCCCTGCCACTGGAGAAGCCTCGCCAAATTACCCGGCAAACATGGTCATCAACGGTGTGGCCCTTGGAGGCTTTGGTGTGTCGATGGATCAGCTAGGCGCACAGTGTAGCGCAACTGGGGCCGTCGATGACGTCGCGACTTATGTTCATTTGGCAACTGTGGTCTCGGCAAGTGAGTACAAGGGAGCTAGTATGCGCTGGTGGACTGCAGCGTGGTCACTCGCGCGAGAGCTCAAACTTGGTCGCGAATTGCCATCGAACACGAACCGCGCCGATGGCGAATTGGAAGGTGAAGCGGAGATGGGCTTGAATGGAAGCAAGAGACAAGCACCATCACTTTTGAATTCCATGGGCCCTGGCCCTGGAAACTCCGCGGTAAATTTGACCGAAGAGGAGCGAGAGGAGCGTCGACGTATTTGGTGGTTACTATACGCGATGGATCGCCACTTGGCGCTCTGTTACAACCGCCCATTGACTCTCTTGGACAAGGAGTGCGAAAGCCTTTTGCAGCCGATGAATGACGATCTCTGGCAGACGGGCGATTTCTCAGCTGCTGGCTACCGACGTGCTGGCGCAGCATTCGAATGCACCAGCCATAGCATGTTCGGCTACTTCTTGCCACTTATGGCTATCCTCGGAGAAATAGTAGATTTGCAACATGCTCGAAATCATCCACGATTTGGCCTTCATTTCCGCAATAGCGGGGATGGGAGATTCAAGCTATGGAAATCACCCGTCAGCTCGATGTGTACGCGCAAAGTCTGAAAGAGTTTGAAGCTCGCTACACTGCCATGGCACTAGGACCCGGTGACAATGATACCGCAATGGATGGAAGTCACGTCAACCATGTCAGTCCCTCTGGTCGCTCAAGCAGTACGGTGGGATCTCACGCGACCGGAAATATCGTACATACAAAGATGGTTGTTGCCTATGGCACCCATATCATGCATGTTCTCCACATCCTGCTTGCTGGTAAATGGGACCCGATTAACCTCCTCGATGATAACGACCTCTGGATTTCCTCAGAGTCCTTCATTTCAGCAATGGGTCATGCTGTCAGCGCTGCCGAGGCAGCTGCTGATATCCTTGATTTTGACCCAGACCTGAGTTTCATGCCCTTCTTCTTTGGAATCTACCTTTTGCAGGGAAGTTTCTTATTGCTCTTGACGGCGGACAAGTTGCAAGGTGACGCTAGTCCAAGTGTTGTCAGGGCTTGTGAGACGATCGTGCGAGCGCACGAAGTGTGCGTGGTGACTCTTAATACGGAATACCAGGTATGGCTCGATCTTTACAACGTAACAAAAAAACTATGACTGACTTTGGTATTTACAGAGAACATTCCGAAAGGTGATGCGGTCGGCTCTTGCTCAAGTTCGTGGCCGCGTGCCTGAAGACTTCGGTGAACAACAGCAACGTAGACGCGAGGTACTCGCTCTCTATCGTTGGAGTGGTGATGGCAGTGGCTTAGCTCTTTAATACTTCTTTTTGATGAGTATGGGACTGTCAAGGGCTGCATACTCATGTCTGCTCTTGTTTCTTGTATACTAATCTTGGCACTGGATGGACATACCCAAGGCGCAAAGAAGTGCAGATACTTCTTGTTGGTTTTTACATAGCACATACGAATACCCTTCTATTGGAATACATTCAATCTCAATCTCCTTTCCAGCATCATAAAGCACCCGTTAACAATAGACCCTGTGCCTAGCCGAGTCGAATCGACCATGCCGAAGATCATATGACGTCAATGCAGATAAGCCTCCATTTCTCCGCTTAATACATCTCACACGTTGACCATTGCGCGCCGCGGAAAGGTAAAGGTTCTCAATCCGATAGAGATGGCACGACAGTTCGGATCATGAATGTGCTCACCAGACCCTCATACCGAGCGCTCGCCGCGTCTCGCCGCTATCTTCCTCGCGGCACATTTATCCCCAAACGCTTCTTAGGAATACCTCCAGCCTTCCTTTTAGACGAGTACATACCCCGATATCTGCTCCTCAGCTCCGTCGACGAAGCATTGAAGCGGTCCGCTGCATATGCCCACTTACGCAAATGCAACTTGTGTCCGCGAAAGTGTGGAGTGAATCGATACGAGACGACAGGGACATGTCTTATCGGAGCAGACACAGCCAAAGTGAACGTGATAGCACCGCATCGTGGAGAAGAGCCGTGTATTCAGGGCTTCCATGGTAGTGGATCTGTATTCTTCTCTGGGTGCAATCTTCGCTGTGTATTCTGCCAGAATCACGTACGCTATCCAAATGGACTTGCTAAGGGCCCCATAGTTAACCTAACCTCTAGGATATCGCGCACCAACGCAACGGATTCGATCTCACTCCCGAAGAGCTCGGCGAATGGTTTATCAAGTTACAGAACGTGGGTAACGTCCACAATATCAACCTAGTCACGCCAGAACACGTCGTCCCACAGGTCGCTCTTTCGATCCTGGCTGCTAGGGACATGGGACTTCGTATACCAATTATATACAACACGTCAGCCTTCGACTCTTTAGACTCTCTCAGGCTTCTCGACGGTCTGATCGACATATATCTTCCCGACTTCAAGGTATGGCGGAGTAGTACCTCGAAGCGACTACTCAAGGCAGATGATTACGCTTCCACTGCGATGGAAAGCATAAAGGAGATGCATCGCCAGGTAGGGGACCTTGCATTCACCTCTGATGGTATTGCAAAGAAGGGAGTATTGCTTCGTCATCTAGTTATGCCTGGTAAGGAGGATGAGGAAGGGAAATTATGCGCTGGCTCGCGGAAAACGTGTCTCGTGATCTATATGTGCACATCATGGAGCAATATCATCCCGATGCACATGTTGGCAAGAAAAGGCGAGTCACGAGGCGAGTACGCTTGGGAGAAAGTGATGCCCCGACGGAGGAGGTTCGGTACTCTGAGATAAATCGTTCTGTGCGCGATGAAGAGCTAAGTTCGGTTAGGGATGCTGCTGTGAAGGCTGGGTTATGGCGGTTCTGCGAGGCCAATGAGAATAGCGTATTTCATATTTAATTCAACTTTCGTTATCTGCAGCTTCAGGGTCCATTTTGCCAATACTCCATCGCACCATCGAGCTTCCGGAAGACGGGAGCGCATTCGATCTGGGTGACTAGGTTGGCCTGAATTCACTGTCCTCGTTGCCCTCCAGCAAGGGCCAGCTTCCTGCCTTTAAGCCTCTCAGCACAGAGATAAGTGCGCCTGGCCCATCAAGTGAATGAATTTCAATTCTTATACGCTCTCTTAAGGCTAAGATCTTAGGCTATGACTGTCTTGCTCCTTGTAGTCTATTTCTTCATTTTCAATGAATGCATTCGGAATACATAATTTCAAGGCAAAACATAACCTCCGTCAATGAGGACATCACTTCCAGTCATGTAGGTAGAAGCATCACTGGCAAGGTAGAGATAAAGTCCTTTGATTTCCTTGGTATGCCCCTGCCGTCCCATAGGCGACATGCGATATGCCTCGTTGATGCACTGAGGACTTGCTCCCATTTTTGTATCAAAGAAACCAGGAGAGACAATGTTAACACGCGCGAACTCTCGCCACTCGCGAGCAAGAGATTTTCCAAAGTGAGTCACATATGCTTTGGATGCATTATACACTGGCTGGTCGACGGGAACATTGACGACATGGCCGCTCATGCTCGAGGTGATGATAAGATTTCCGAAGCCCTGGCGATGGAATACCTCGCCAACGTATTTCGAGCAGTACACAATGCCGTCCACTGAAATAGGTCAATTTCGAACTCTTTTATTTTGGCCAAGGATAAAGTATGTACCATTCACGGACATCAGTTTCTTGTACTCAGGCAATGTTTGTTCCAATATGGGCTTCGAAATAGCCATTCCTAGATCAATGTTAGTAGTGATGGTAACGCTAGCCAACAAAGAAAATGTTCATGCGCACCTGCATTGGCAACGAATACATCGATTTTGCCAAACTGCTCAACGACCTTCTTGATCGTCTCGGAAACTTGATCGGGCTCGGAAACTGCAGATCGATGATGAGCATGTTGCCGCTTAGACAAGATGAACCGCCATACCATCAACTTGATAAGCAGCACTCTTCACATTGTGCGTCTTTGCCAGATTCTGAGACTTTTCAACCGCGGCTTTGTTTCTGTAGTAAGACTGTCAGGCACTTTCCTTTAGGTTTGGTGAACACCCTGTTATAATCACTTACGAGTTGTACCACAAGACAACGTTAGCACCAGCCTCGGCCATAGCCTCCGTCACGGCTAGACCGATTCCGTCAGCTGCACCAGTCACAACCACGACTTTGCCGGTCATGTGAAACTGGTCCATAACATTGGAAGGGGTGTCAGGGAATAATCGGGGGAATCCATCTCGGACCTGGCCGGCGTCTTGAATTGACATGGACATGTTGAGGATGATGAAAGGTTTTTGTACTAGCGAAGTCGAGATGTGATAATGGCAATAAATAGGTTTCATGTTGTCATGAAGTCTTTATAAAAGAACGGTCGCGAGACTGGGTTGCTAGACCCCACTCCTCCATGGTGGTCTGTCACCCGAAGGATGCACGTCTCGGTAAATTGGATTGGTCTTAGTACTACTTAGGCTTCTATGTGGGAAATGGAATACTAGTTGAGCTTGTAGCTAGTTCTCCGAATGTTACAAGCCTAGCATTTTAGGGGTCTGTAGCATGTTCACTCCCATAATATTCGGTTGCTTCGTTGACTAACGGGTAAAATTGACGTATGATACAGACAGTTTAACCGAGCCGGGGAACTTCGACCTTCTGGGTTAAGTCCTCCCAAACCCCGCTCATCGGCGCCTTGTCGCCCGATACTATAAGGCCCCGCTCGCCACGTTGACCCCGCTAAATCGCTTGTAAACTAGCTGTATCATTTATCTGGGCTCCTTGCAGGAGAAGTGAAGTCAAAAGACTGGAGAGAAATTCAGAGTTCCTACTGTAAATCAACGCGGGGGCGCTATTGTAGAAGAAGTAGTCAGTGGCGTCACATGGGTATGGGCACTGTGAAGATGTAAGATGAATGATGAGAGATATGATAGATGATTGATTCTAGAGATGAAGCTATGGATCTAGATATCATGGAGGCTGAGGCAAGGATGCGGTGAAGTGGGGCAGTATCCCAATTCAATGCGAACAGGCACAAATGGGGCCCTTCCCTCATTCGAACGATCACCACTCTGCTTCGTTCTACAGTTACCCGACCTCACAGTAAAAGGACTCGAAATATCAGATATTGGACACGAGGTCGAAGCTGAGGTGCTAGAGCATCGATGACTTAACTTGCACTTATTAGATCTATTTGTTTTTTGGCTCCCTCTCGGCCCTTCTCTCTTCTCGACCTACATAAAAGATCACAGCAATCATGGGGTCTTCTGAGCTACCAGGACGCGAGGCTCTAACATCACGCGTCGTTCCTTCTATGATTCTTAGTGACGGCAGCGCTTCTTCGATGACCGCAGCTCCTGCTTCTAATATAGAGTCTGACGCTGCAGTCGGTGCCCAGAAGCGATTCCAAGTTCAAGGAAACGCCGTTCTCACCGGAGGTGCCGGGACCTTGGGTCTCCATACTTGCGATGCTCTCCTCGAACACGGCCTTCGGGGCCTCATGATCTTGGACATCAACCCCGATAACAGTCAGAAAGACATTGCCCAAATGAGAAGCAAATTTCCTGACGCCAAGATTTGCGTCCAAAAGGTCGATGTTACAGACGAAGAAGCTGTCAGAGAAGCCATGGAGGAAACGGTGCGTGTTCTGGGATCGATCAATACATTGGTCTGCTTCGTAGGTATCGTCGGCTGTGTGGAAACACTCGAGATGCCCGTGTCCCAGTGGCGCAAAGTTTTGGATATCAACACCACTGGATCCTTCATTTGCGCTCAAGCAGCGGCCCGCGAAATGGTGAAGAAAGGAAATGGAGGCTCAATTACCTTTGTCGCGTCGATTTCAGCACACCGTGTCAACTATCCACAGCCACAAGTGGCTTACAATGTGAGCAAGGCAGCTCTTCTCATGCTCAAGAGCTGCCTTGCGGCGGAATGGGCTCGCTACGGTATCCGTACCAATAGTGTGAGCCCTGGATATATGGACACGATCTTAAATGAGGGCGATGGAATTGCATTGCACAGGAAGATATGGGCTGAGCGGAATCCTAGTGGAAGAATGGGCAGCCCCTCTGAGCTGACGGGGGCGATCGTTCTTCTTACCAGTACTGCGGGGACGTATATGAATGGCTCAGATATTGTTGTTGATGGCGGTGCTATTGTCTTCTAGACCGATTACGGTGTTATTAGTGAGTTGTCGTCTGGCATAACCCCGGTCAGAATGTGCTCAAAGTAGACATGCTCTGAAATTCCTCGTCTTATTTGTATTTCCACGATGATGTTGTAGAAATTAATGTAGCTCTAGCATGGAGAGACCGGTATCACTCATCTTCGCATCGAAAGTTCTCATGTGAAACGTCCATTCACTGCCTCCGAAGCCTTGAAAGCTCGAACGGCTGCGGTCCGATGAGACTATCGCACCACAGACTCCATGCTATCATTTGCACTGGCGTCCGATGTCATTTGCCATGCGCATGAAAATCCAAGAAAAAAAAAGTACTGCTCAATAATGATTCTCAGAATGTCCATGACGACTGAGACTAGTCAGGGCGAGAGTTGACCGAAATCATCCAACAATGCCCAAAGCGGGCGGGTCAACACAGGGCTCTCACGATCTTCGAGCGGTCAGTTTCAATTTCTATTATAGCCTTCTCAATTTCAAGATTCTCTCAATTGTAATCTGGCATGATTTCTACAAATCTGAGAAAACAGTTCTTATTAGATCAAAGATCATTTTGTCATTTGGTATATGCTATTCCAGATTCTGTATTTGATTTCGGAGACTCCAATTTACATGACTAGGGTAAACCCACGCCTCATAAACTTGCAAGAAAACACCATATTTGTCGTGCGTCCGTCACTCACTCTGGCATGCTTGCATTTATCCCTCTCAGTATCAACTGAACTGTTCATGTGAAGCACCGTGGCAGAAACAATACATTCGGTCTTGAATCGGAAACCTAAGAGCTTCCCTTCACCGATAATTTCCCTCATATCACTTGTCCTCGCTTGTCAGCCTCATAGCGCCGATTTCTCGCCAGAGGTAGGTCTGCTATCCGAGGATGTCGTTCTGTTCTGCGTGGAATCGCGCTGGGTTTGTTCTTTCAAGCTTTCCTCTTCGGCCGCTAATGGGGTCGGTTTCCCTAGCATAGGTCTGGAGTCTGGATGCTCTGTTGTGGTTGGGACGGGATCGCGTTGGCTTTGCTTTTCAATGCTTTCCTCTTCAGCCGCTGGTGCAGCTTTCTTCCCAAGCATAGGTCTGGATTCGGATGGTGCCATCTTGATGGATGAAGGTGCGTTGTGTTTGCTTTAAAATACTTCTCACAATCTTGACACTAGAATGGAATTGACAAATTATTGGCACGGTATTCGCCAATAAATATGAATCATAGGCATAAGCGGCCCAACATGGACCGATGATTATAAGTGACGTCATCATAATAACGAGCCAGGTATATTCAAGGATAGGAACAGTTATCGAAGTATCATGGGGGCGAATTACCCAATCACTGGCTAGGCACTAACATCAGAAACCTGCAATATCTTAAAACCTGTCTATGAGATGTCGGAAGGAACAGACTGCTTTAGGTCCCCAGAACATGCGTCAAAGTGGGGCCGAGAGTATACGTTACTTTCATGTCATTGCTTCAGGCATTAGAAAGAGCTCAAAAATAATTCAGTTCTCGCTAACTGAGTTATCGATCAATACGCACCTCGGCTACTATGTGTGCGGGTATGCGACTGTTACTTTCATATTGAAATGACGATTCTCGTGTGCATCTACATTCTCTATAGTATACTTTTTTATCATTCAGACTGGTCCGCCCTCACGCCCGCCTCTTTCTCTTTGAGTATCGCAATCGCTCATGTGCCTTTCTCGGCTAATGTAGTACAAATCTGTAAGAACACGAGGATCAGGCTGACGGGATCTTGCCTTTTTCGAGTCAGGTTTTGATCATTTATGCAAATGTGTGTATAGACATCACTGCTTTCACTTGAAAACGATAAGACTTACAATTTCGTGTCTCTCTGTGGTGAATATGCCCCCACTCCCGGTAACTTGGATTGCACATCCGCAACCTTGTACTTCAGTAGCCCTGTCCCACATCGTGCCACGAATCAGCCTCAGTCGGATCAACTCAATTTCCTACCGTCTGCTGAATGGGAAGAAGGTGGCGAATTCGATGACCAGCCCCCGAGATATGTCTGTTATACAATCGAATGGAATCTTATACTTAATCGCAAGGCGGTAGGTAAAGTGACAGAAGAAGATTTGGCTGTAGCTCCTAGCGAGAATTGGGAGGAGATTTTGAAAGCAGACATTGAAGATATGCTGCAGATGAAGAAGAAACGTCGCTGGAGAGTTCGCTCTGAGGGCACAGCCGTTACGCCTGAAAGTGAACGACCGGTCCCAGAGAAATCTCGAAATATTAGAATCCCACTAACATTGAATGCAGCTTGCTTACGATCATCAATCTTCGCAGAGATTACGGCAACTCGGTAGAATCCATGCACACGTGGCTTGAGTATGCCGGAGACGAACCTTAACACCACTAATAATAGAAGTCCTCTGGGACCAGCTGTCTCAGAAACCCTGTCTCTACCTGGATGAGATGACTGCCTTTTGTTTATAGTTGCAAGCCCTGATTACAGTCCCCGGCAGACCAGCTCGTATCGCTAGAGGATGATCGAAAAAGACTACGCTGCAAAGAGCTAGAGTGCTAAACGCCGAACTTGCGAGGACATTATCCAAACATTTTATCGGAAATTCCATTTGTATTCACTTGGGACACGTTAATGTATCTGGACGTGACAACAGGTTGGGTTTGGACAGATATGTTATTAACTACTTCATAAGGCTCAGGTGCAAGTATCATGATTCCCCTGTGATATGTCCTGTTGTGTCCCTCGTTCGCCATATCAGAATGGATACCATTTTCACCTATAAGTATACGCCTGCATTCTTCAATGGGAGAGTTGTGCGAGGTTAATCCACTGGCCAACCACCTGGCATGGCTTCCACCTCCCGCTCAATTAGATCCCAAAATTCGCCTGCATAAGAATCAGAACACTCCGAAAACCATATGTTCCAGTCTGAAGGGTACGCGCCATAAACAAGATTGATCAGTCGTTTCCACTCCTCATTTCCACCGACACAGAAAATCTCTCTTTGAACAGTTCCGCTCTTCCAAAGTTTCACCTCCTTCCGCCCAATCTATTTAGGTCAACACCAGCAGCTTTCAATCCCGTCAACCAGGACCTTAAAGCAGTCACACAAGCCGACGATTCATATTTCGGTCTCTTGTCATGATGGAAATATCCTTGAAGGAATGCAATCAAGGGCGTCTTCCCATCAACGATTTGGCGCAAATCAATCCCGCTGAGCAAGAATTCACGAAATAAACAATTCCATGACTCGCAGAGTTTTTTTTGCTTTTTGAACTCATCGCGCTCTGTCCACGAAGCTTCCAACTCTTTTGCCCCCTGGAATGGCTTCCGCGCAGGACTGTGGCAGAGTTGCATTCCAGCCTGACTTCTGCCAAGTTTATGTGCCACACTATGCACTAATGTTACTGTCGCTGGATAATTCTCCGAAGCCCACACTTGTTGAATCCTTTCTGCGCCCAAAGCGCTCTCTCCTAGGACTGTCCGAATCATTTCGGGCATATGGTAGGCGTCCCAGACACCGGACGCCGCGCGAGCAGCCACTGCGACTCGTGTCCACTGTGGCATTCGGTAAAAGTTCGGACAGCATCTTTGTTGACAGAAAAGAAACTCTTCAGCTGTTCCGTGAAATTCTGATAGGAATCCGCTGATTGTTTCTTCTGGTGTTTCATAGAGCTCCTCCGAGCGACGAAGAAGGATCCGAAGGGAAGGGAGCAGAGTATGCCCTTGTTCCCCCCCAACACTTCCCGACCACACTAAGTAGGAAATGGTTGTGACGGGATGACTGAAGTTGCCCGCAATAGACATGTCTGCTCCCTCGTTGAGGAGGAACTCGAGAACGGCATGCCTGTTTATTCCACCTGCATACTTGAAAAAAGTGAGTATCCTGGTTTGTTCAGTTATACGAGTTATTTATGGGCTTACATGGAGTAATGTATATCCATTTCCGTCAATTCGATCAAAAGGCGAAGCCTGCTTAGAGGCAAAAAGTCTCTGCAGGCCTTGGATGTCGCCAGATCCAGCGAGGAAGACCGCTTCCGATCCGAGTGGAATTGAGTTGTACGTCCGGAAGATCCATTGCCAGCCGTCAGGGAATTTCAGGCCACTTATTTCCAAAGCTTTGGTAGTCACCCAAGGCGGCAGAGAAGCACGCCACACCAAAGCTTTGTTCCGAAAGCTGTGGGAGTTCCTGCTAACACCTACTCCAGCTGTGGAATAATGTCTGTTCGTAGGATATACCATAGGGTGCCTTCTATGGCCGCCAGGCTCAGGCATTTCATTTTCAAAGACCTCATTCGAAGATTCTTTCTGCTGGCGTACTATCTCTTGGGCTATCAATTCAGGTCGGGTTAGCAAAAGAGCTCTTAATGAAGATGTCAGCTTTTTCATTTCTAAATCGACGAAGGAATATTACTGACCTTGTATAGCATTGCTGAGATAATAAAAGTAAACGAAGCACATCCTGTAGCCGTGATTTGTACTTCTCTATCCTGCTCCTCCGCATCACCAGCTTCATCATGGCGTAATACTGAGGTATTCGAGCGCCGGATTGAACATCTTGGACTAAGTCCTTGTACGTTGTTTCCAAACCGACGGCGGCTTCTCTGCAAAACTCCAGACTTTGCTGAACATGCTTGCTATCATTCAGGACTGATGTAATCGGCTTTTGCACCAACTCGGTCTCAATGTCACCTAAGACAAGACCAAGTACCTCGATATCTCGCACAAGCCAACATGTCACTAGGTAAATCGCGAATCTGCTCACAGAAGTCCTTTAGAGAAGTGATAGATTTTGTGAGCTGTGCAACAACAGTCCCGAAGGTGACAGCGCTCGCGATCACACCAACCAGTTCAGCCATCGCTGTGATGGAGTGGATATGGATGTGAGTGTGGAAAAGACAGAAGGAACGCGCGAATTGGAAGCAAAACGTCCCAAAAGTTTCTTTACGGAGGGTTTATACTGCCTATAAATTTACCGTTGCTCGGGTATGAACTGAATTCACTCTGCACGGCCCCTTCTGTCAGCGCTAAAACTGTATTAGCCGCATCGTAGCACGATTTTACAGGACCAGGGGCTGCCAACACCACCAGTGCTGCACCTGAGGTCAAAGCTTACAGGTGGGAGCCAATCTAACAAGTCATGTACCAAAACAACGCTAAGTCATGTGAACGTGGTAGAGCCCAGTTTCAAGGTATTACCCAAATCAGCGGAGAAGAATCCTTCTCGTGCAGATCTGAATTCTCGGGACAACCTTACTGGTACTGTGCAGATCTATGATCGTTAACACTTAGTGTATATTCGCTTGGCGGGCTTTTCGATCGAGATTCAGTGAGAGGTTTGTACCAATCCAGGCTATGTAGTTACAGGTAGGCCGGGAGGAGCGTGAGATGACGCAATGGTGAGCGGAATGACTATTTCTTGGGACACCTGGGTCGCCGCTATTTTTGGACATGTAACGGTACATGAGTATACTTTTCTCCTTCTTACCATGCAAACCTCGAACAATTTTTTAATTACAGAAGTATCCATACAAGGTTTAGCATATCACGTGATTAGGGTTCGAAAATTTGAATCAATGTTTCCAATATGGAATGCAATAACGATCCCCACTGTACCCTAATAATATGGTCCATTGTGGCCTTTGTTTCGTAATTTTATCGACATATACCTTGTGAAATATGATATATTAAAGGGCTTGAAGAGGAATCTGGCTCGAGGTCCTCTAAATTTTTTACGTGCTTTGCAATCTGTAAATTCAAAGAGGATGCAACATTCTGAAAAGGCAGTATTGTGTAATGAACTAGCCATGATGTAAACCACTACCATGAGAAAAGCAAAAGATTATCATGTAACCTCCCCGCTAAGCGGACAACTTCAGAGGTCGCAAGATCGGTTTGTTTACTTCTTCACCTAACCTTTTATTGGGTGGTTCCGCGAACGCTTTTCTTGAGAGCTTTCTCTGCGCTTTCTGGAGAAATCCGAGCATCTTCGAATATGTCCAGGGGATAAGTCACAGTTACCATTTAGGCGCTTTGCCATTGTCTCCTGGTCCGGCTTTTCAAAACACACATCACTAGGCAGGACATGAGACGGTCAAGCGATGAGAGAATCAAGACCGGTGTCTTTACCGGCTGCTATAGAATCTCCTCATACCGCAGCTTGAGACCACCACTTTAGATGTATGAAGATGGAAGATGAATAATGAGAGATATGATAGATGATTGATTCTAGAATTGAAGCTATGGATCTAGATATCATGGAGGCTGAGGCAAGGATGCGGTGAAGTGGGGCAGTATCCCAATTCAATGCGAACAAGATGTTTTGAGATGTCTTCTATTGGACTTTCAGATCCAATAAATTGCCAAAGCTGACTAAGAATGAAAGATTGAATTGTATAATAATGAGTATTATTTACTTTTTCGCTACTGATGCATAGAATCGTAGGCATAATGTACATATGCAAAAAGAAATGCGTCCTGGCGGCCATCTGCCAGGAAAGACGTAATATACAGTCGAACGACAACCCGATCGCATGAATCCAAATGTAGTGTAACAACTCCAACCTAATGCATGACGGTCTCCGCAAAAGGAGAAAAAATTTCAAGAAAAGAAGTATTCACTGCGGCGAATACGGGTCAAATCCCAGTCGCCCTTCTTGGGCACGTCACGGAAGCTCATTGGCAACCACAACCAGACAGGCGCCGATCCGCTACTCTTTTTGGACTTCTTCTCAGTAACCTCGACTGAGTCATTGAGATCTTCAGCATCAGCTTTCGATGTTGACTTCGAGTCCATCAGATCAACCTCATTGAACAGGCTCTGAATAGCCGGGTCATTGGGGTCAATGCCGGCGGCATCAGGTCTCCGCTCAGCGGCTTCGAGATCTTCGGGGATATGACCAACTTTGTTCTCACCAAGAGAGTTGGAGATGATCAAATCTTCAGCCGTGCATCCCATTTGCTCGAAAAGAGCGGCAGGAGTTTCCATAGCACGGCCTTCAGCCTGTTCCGCTGGGTCATCGGATCGTAGGAGCTGTTGACGCCGGTTCTCGTCAATCAGCTCCAAGAGTCTCGTATTTTTCAATCGGTATGCTTTCTTGTTGCGCATTTCTTTGATAGCACGAGCAAGCTTGCTGGAGGCCGAAATTTTGCCCAAGAAGAGGTTCTTGCCATAACGAACTTTAAACTCTGAGGCGAGTCGCCCAATGATGTCGTCAGAGTGCAACTGGACAAACGCGTCGCGAAGGACTGAGTTCATCTTGTCGACGTCACCAGCATGGGTCCAGAAGGAATCGTGGACTGCGGAGAAAGCAAGGCCAGCTTTGTTGCAAGCATTGGCAGACATGATCATGTGTGTCGCATCGAGGGAGTGAATGAAGTTTGGCGGGAATGCTTGCAGCTGCTTGCGTCGGGAGACCACATCATCAGAGTTAACGTCCACAATGTTAAGGTCCTGTAGACTGGTGGACACACGACGAGCCTTTCGGGTGCGGTAAGGCTGAACAACTGGGAGTCCCAGAGGTGTGGTCCAGATGACAGTGGACCGGAACTTCTTAGCTGGGTCAAGAAGTTTGGCAATGCTTTTGTCACCCGGGGCATAGTCACCGTTGGGCAACAATGCTTCATTTGCAAGAGCCTCGACTTGCTCTGGGGTTAGACTCTGAGTGATGCGGCTGGCACAATCGCCGAGCCAGTATTGAATCTCGTGAGCTCCATTGAACATGGATCCCAAGGCCTCGAAAATTTTCGCCGCGATGTACAAAGAACCAGCCTTTTTCGTTTCGGGATCGAGTTCGGGATAGTGATCATTCAGCTGCTTCCTGACCTGGCGCATAGCACCCATGAAAGTTACACCGTAGACGTTAGTCATGACCGTCTGCTTCACAACCTTTCGGGTGATTTTTCCGTTAAGAACCTTGGCTATCTCGACACCCTCAGCCGCATCTTTTGCCACTGCAACTTTCACGAATTCGGAGACACCAGTGTAGACATCAGACGGCCGATCGGAGGGCTCGAGGTTGACCTGCTGGGCGCCAACAAGGTCACCGCCTAGAGCAGCGTAGTGTTGAAGACCGTTGCAAGAACCGTCCTGGTGAATCGGCAAGCGAGAGAGGTATGTAGTGGGATCTTCGCAACGTAGAGCATTGCGGAGTTCGAAGCAAGCTGCCAAGCACTGCCATGGATCTTCGGCCTTCAGCCACCACCGTTTGCCGTTAAGACCATTGTTGGCAGAGTCGAGAATATCGTCAAGATGGTCCATAGCGAATTGTTCACGTTCAGACATGCTTGCCTTGTCAAATCCAGCCAGGTTGGAAATTTGGATTTTCAGCCAACGCAGACCACTGACGCCAAGCGGCTTGGCCTCACTGAATAAGAGGAGACCTCGAGAGTTATCGGCGCCCATCTGGTTGAGGTAAGGTGGCAGGGGGTAAGCTCGTCCACGGAAATCAAGGTTGTGAGGCAAATAGAACGTCTCGTTGCGGAAAGCGCGCGCCACTTCCAACTGAAAGTTCTGGAAACATCGCACTGAATGATATCCTGCCCGAAGATTCTCCATTTCACGCATGAGAGTCTGCCATTTCTTCTCGGCATCATAGCCCGCATCAGTGGCAGGCTTAGGGGGGTACCGGAAGATCTGGTTCAAGAGGTGCTAGACTCGCAAGAGCATCGCCCTTGTTCCAGGCTTCCAGCATGACCTCAAAGACCTCTTTGTTGATTACCCACCCGGTGTTTCCAAGCACATTGAGACCATCTCGGATTGCTTCAAGGCCATTCTGTTCCAAGGCGGCTTTGATATAGGCTGGTTGCAAAGACTCGCCAGGTGTTGTACGAATAATGTTGCTCTGATAAAGCATATATCCGCCCTCCTTGAGGCCTGTCCATGGCTTAGGCTTGCATACCATGGGAAGATGACGACCAATGAGTTCCGCAGGAGGCTCCTTGGCCACCATTCTGACGATCTCGGGGTGCATGTGGATGAGACCGAGACGTTTTCCAAATGTGATTTCGTATGCATGCAAAAAGGCAGGTTTCACGATAGTCTTCGCTTCACCAGCTTTGGCGTCTTTGTTCCGAACAGTAACTTTGCCGACATCGAATAGTAACTTCATCAAAACTGCTCCAACTCTGACTGTGGTTCGCTGGCCCCAGTGCAACTCAGGGTCCTCGTGGGTCACTGATTCAACCAGGTGTCTCCATCGGGGTCGGCCGTCTTTGCCCTTGCGCCCTGCGAGCATGTCCTTGAGCATTTGTGTGCGTCGAGTATCCGAGCTCGCGCTCTTCTTGATGTAAGCCTGCGCAATCAACTCATCCTGGACCTCACGGCCGATAAATGACGCAAGGGTGGAGAGCTTGATTCCCTTCTCCATTCCTCCTCGGCTGAAAACAGACATCACAGCCAGAATCGTGATGGCTGATAATTTTTCGGCGTCCAGAGACTGCAGATACACACCGTATTCAAGACGTTCCTTTGCTTCACGAGTCCGGACTGGCTCTGTCTCGGCCTTTGTAGCAAATTGAATTTCCTCCTTGATAGCGGCCACGAGATCGGTGTGCCATTGACTCATCACAGCATTCACATTTCTCTTTCCCGAACTCACATCCAAGCCAGCCTTTGTCCTTTCATCGAATTCGGCGCGCCAGCGGGCTGTGGCTGCTTTGATCGTATCGGCTTCGAGCCTTTGCTGTCTGAGCTTGGTAACAAGATACTCCTTCTCTTCCTCGGTACCCTCAAAGTTCTCCGGAATAGTGACTTGAGAGTTATCTGAGAATAAGGAAAGCGACTCCTTCAAGGACGAGAGACCAAGACCTTTTTGTTCAGCCGCAAGGACATCCGCAACCTCGTTCTCAACTGCAATTGCTTGCTCTTGTGTTGTAGTATCGTCGAGATTAAAATGGTCAAGGGATGGTTGACGTAGGTCGTACCAGCAGATCTTAAAAGCGAAAGAATTAGTGAATTTCGAACATTTTTCCAATAAATCGAAAGGATACAAACCTTGGACAGCTCTCCGAGATCCAAATCAGTGAGAACCTCAACTGCCAGAAGTTCTTCGTGAAGGTCCACCTTCTTCGCCAGTTCCCAGTACCGTCGCACCGCTCTCTCCCGCTTGCCTCCGTGGAACATGCGCAATGCCATGCGAATCATGACTGCGAAAGTCTCGGCGTTGGCAAAGACACCAGCCGCGGGCATATCCACCTCAAACCACTTTTGTAAAGGCAGGACCATGTAATCTTGTCGAGTGATGATCATATGGGAAACCATCTCCTTCAGGTAACGGTTGTGGAGGGCTAGGTATTCAGGGGAGCCAATAGCGAAATTAGCACCCAAGCGACTGAGCAATGCTGCAGCTCGATCGAACCGGCCAACCTTCATCGACATGTCGAAGTTCGCCAGCATCTCCTCCTGATCACCACCAATACCTCTGACTTTGCGGTGGACTTTCGGCTGAGACTGGGGAGTCTCATCGAGGATGACCAGGGAGGATGAATCAAAAGGAGTGGTCATTCCGAAAGCCGGCTTGTCGAAGGGACTTTTGATATCCATGGATGCGGAGTAGGGAGTGTCGTCCAAAGGCATGTAGGATCCCTGGTCGAGGACAGAATGGTCAGTTGCTGTAGCGAGATTGCGCTGGGACTGGAAAGATGGTCGTCGGTGTCGGGTCTGAGTCGATGTGTTTTGCGAGTTAAGGATCGGGCTCGAGAAGCTGGAACTGGAATGAAGACGCAGCATCGAGGAGCCAGCCAACGCCCGATGGGCGTTAGCCTTCCGGAGGTGGAAGAGGGCATTTTTCTGACGGGCCACTCGTGACAACATGATGCATATGGCGCTTCAACAAACGAGGATTAAACACAAGAATAGGTAAATGCAAATCGATGAGAGGAAGATTAGATGGATAGCATGAGGACAAAATGTGACAGCTGATGCAGGGGAAGCGACTAAACGATTCCGCTGGTCACAAAGATAGAGACTTGGACGACGGTTCTATCGAAATTTTTTTTGGATGCCGTCCCGCAGCCTCAACCTGAGTAGAAAAAGGACAGAAAAGGAAAGGCACGGGTGAGAATCAAAAGGGATGTTGAGCACGAGAGCGAACGGAGACTCGGCGGAAAAAAAGCGTCGCGGAACGCGTGACTTCACGTGACCTTATCCGATCTAATCGCATGTCCGATTGGCGGATCACAATACAGGTGGCAACACTCAAAATATTGAAGCTAGATAGAGCTTTAGGAACTGGAGAGGGGTGATTCTGTATCACATTCAGACCCCGGACAGATGGGCATTTTGATAGGCATGTGCTATACGCTCAAAGAGAATGTGTAATACATCGTCTGACCTTGTAGTCACAGAGGTCGGACATGTTGATGAATCAGAAAAGCGGTTTGAATTGATATCATGTGCAATTGAGCTTTTAAATCTATGGGAGTATCACCCCTCTTCATCCTCGCCGTCTGACGGTCTCTCTTTTTGCCTCTGCCGGTTTTGCTTCATGGCCCATCCCGTCATTTCCGGCCGTGCGGGATCAATCCGAGGAGCACTCATTCCATCAAGATAGTCTTCACTGTTGATGATCGCTTCAAGTTGTGGCAGTTCGTCAACGTTCGGGTTCATCATGTAATTCTCATATGTGTACCATGAATCCTCGGTCTAAAATGAAGTTTCATTTAGCTATCATTCACCATTCAACGTGAAGGTCGCATTGGTGAATTAAACATACCTCGGCATCTACCCACTCGAATTTCTTCCATCTCTCCTCTTGCATCTTTTTCAGAAGCTCCAGGTTTCCCTGCAGCACGGCGCCTCCATCTTCGGCACCCTTGATTTTCACATCAATAGCACGCGCCTCGGGCTCCGCCGGGCGATCTTCGTCGTCTTTTTTGCCCTTGGAGCCACGGCCCTTGGGAGCTTCATCCATCGCATCCAGATGGTGAAGCTGGGGATGTAATTGGACAACTGCAGAGACCGGGGAGAGGTGCAGGTTTTCTAGGTATAGCTGTTAGCGTATGGATCACAGAACCACCAGAACACTGCACACTCACTTCCTTTGAATGTAGCGAGCATGTAGACGGGGTCTCCTTCTTCCTGGGGCTTAATGCGACCTCCAAGAGCCTGGGTAGTGACCAATGACGACGGGTCCACCATCTTCCTATTGTCCAGCACTTCAACGTCGCCGCTCCCTTCAGCCTTGACTCGGCCTCCACCACCGGCGAGACTTCCAGAGCTGAAGCCACCAGCCATTCCAAAGGCACCACCATCACGATTGGCGCGACTCTTCTTCATCGCATCGCCGTATTTGAGGCCCTTTGCCACGTCGTAAGTGCCTCGGGTCTGGATGGGAACCTCGATCTCCACCATGCCGGTGCCAGGTTTCATTCGTAGTGAGACAGGCTTCTGTCCCCTGCGCGCATTGTAAGGGAGTTTTGCAGGTCGGTCGAGGTATTGAAAGACGTAGCGAGAGATGTCTGAGTCAGTCAGGACAATGTCGTACGAGGCGATCACCGGATCGTCATCGATGGGACTCATGGTGAAAATCTTTCTCAGTGACCTCCGGCAAATAACGAAGCAAAATTGAATAATTGGAGAACGTGGTGAGGCAGGAAGATGCCTGTCCCTCAAGTCTTGTCTTTTTTTCTAGCGGTTATCGGATTGGATAAGCGGGGAACCTTGGCAGAAAAATAGCTCCTTTCACCGCCTTTTCTTCGAGTATCATGATAATCACGGTGCCCCTGGAATCTATTTTCTCTTCTTCGAGGACTTGAAAGTCATGCCGTGGGAAATTATTACCCGTCCTCCCTCCCATCCTTGCATGCTTTCCCCATTGAGTTCAATCTCAGTGCCTTCCTAGCGTGAGAGACGCAAACCCCTGCTCGAGACCAAGCCTGTCTTCGCTGCATTGGAAACAATCCTTTACCACCCACTTCCCTCCCAGACCACATGGGCATGGGCTGCACTGAAAGTCGTTCGTGCCACCCCCAGCACGCTGTGATGTTAAGCACAGACCCTCCAGGAGACTGGGCCCCCCCAAGCTAGAGAGCTGCCAAAGGGGCCCGTTGATGAGCCCGTTGGACACACCCCTTCGGACACGAACAAGCAGCATACGAGTCATATCCATTCCAAAGGATAGGATGGTATGTTCTCTATGCACTACCCAGTCGGATACACCATTCGACAATGAACGAACAGCATTTGAGTTATAGCCAACCAAAAAGTGTGGGACCGGTATATTCTCTATGCACCATGTATCGCATCTGAAAAGTCGCTCACTTAGGCTAAGGAGCTGTCGAGCAGACTGTCGATGATGCACCATCCATTCGAACACACCATTCGAACACCAGTCGCATTTCAGATCGGGGTCCGGACCAAAATACTGGTCTGACTTGCGGTCTGTTTGCAAACCATCGCAACTATTGATATAGTCGTCCTTGACATCTGGTCGGACAGACACAGTCTTGACACAGGGCATTTAATCGGCCCGACCTGATCATGTAACCTTGATCTTGTATTACCAAAGAATTCAACCGGCCAATACGACTGTGGCCCGTGACGTGCTGTGTGGCTGGGCAGGACAGTTCGGTGGTGGTTTGTTGGCTTTCAACGTCAGTGGGGATAAGAGGGGCTCGAGCAGGTTTTTAAACATCAATCAATCAAATTTTTATTTTCTCAATATTGTTTTCCTTCCACTTATATTGCGTAGACCGTTATCAAAGAGAGTGCTAAGCAGGAAGGAAGAGTGATCTACCTCTGAGATGCCCCTGAAGCCAGACGACGGAGATAACCTCTGCTACGCCGAATCAACTGTGGAAGTCATCTTCTCAGTCCTCCCCAGGCTATTCCCAGATGATTCTTCGGACGTCTGTTGATATGTTTGTCTATTCGTCCTGAGTCCTCGCAGGCAGTGTGTTGGTTATGACTTTCTTTGAAAGCGCCCGGGGACATAGTAACGACTGCCTATTGAAATTAAATGATGACATCTTCTGGGCCCGGCTCTAGGAAGTTTCTTTGAACATAGGATTGTGATATGACGCATTCTAGCAGATTGTTCATGGAAACATCCATAAGTTCATGAAGGGTAGAATAAAGACAAGAACAGAGAGATATCAGCAATGTTTCGCACAAGCAATCCCTTCGTTCGTAAGGAACAATGCGTCTAAAGGCATCAAGAGACATAGATATTATCGCAAAACAAAATGAACAAGATTTTGGGTTTCCCGTGGTACTCATAACACGTTGGATATATTCGGTGTAAACATTTACTCCTCTTCTTCCTCTTCCTCTTCCGCGACCTATGGAGAAGTTAGTATCCAGGTTTGGTAGATCTTAGAAAGAATCACTTACACCCTCATGGAAGTTTGTTCCGTTGGTGGTCGCCTTGATGATGCCGGCGCGAATACAGAAGTCACCGAAACGCTCCGGCGTCTCGCCATCAGTGTTACGCTCCTGGGCATAACGCTTGAGGAGATCCTTCATGATTTCGAGAATCTCGTCTTCCTTGATGGAAGAGCGGTAGAGCTTGTTCAGGCGCTGGCCGTGGTAGCCACCGCCCAGGTACATGTTGTAGGCGCCGTAGGCCTTGCCGACGAAAGCAACCTCAGCCAACCAGGGACGGGCACAGCCGTTAGGGCAACCGGTCATACGCATAACAATGCTGTCACGGCCGAGGCCGTTCTCCTCGAGAGTGGACTCGAGCTTGGAGATCAGGACGGGCAGGTAACGCTCAGACTCAGCCATAGCGAGACCGCAAGTAGGGAAAGCGACACAGGCTGAGGAGGAAAGACGCAAGCCAGAGAAGTTGGTGTTGTCAAGTTTGTACTTGGCCATGAGCTCCTTGACCAGGGGCAGGTCCTCGTCAGTGACGTTAGAGATGATCAAGTGCTGGTTACCCGTGAGACGGAACTCGCCCTTGCCGAGCTTAGCCAACTCGCGGAGACCAGTGCGCATGGCGAACTCCGCGGTGTCCTCGATACGGCCGTTCTCAATGAAGAAAGTGAAGTGGTTCAACCCCTTCTCGTCCTTCAACCAGCCGAAGGTGTCGACGTTGGAGTCGAACTTGAAGGGACGGGGCTCGGTGAACTTCAAGCCCTCAGGCAGAAGAGCCTCGACCTTGCTCTTGAAGACCTCGACACCCATGTCATCAATGGTGTACTTGAGACGAGCGTGCTTACGGTTCTTGCGGTCACCGTTATCACGCTGGACGAGCATGATCTTCTCACAAGCAAGGTGAACGGTCTCCTTGGGGAAGAAGCCGAACATGCGACCAGTCTGGGGGTAGGTCTTCTTGTTGTTGTGGGTGGTACCCATACCACCACCAGCAAGAACGTTGAAGCCCTCCAATTTGCCGTCAGCACCCTTGATGGCAATCAGGCCAATATCATGGGCGTAAACATCCGTGTCGTTGTGAGGAGGGATGGCAATGGTGATCTTGAACTTGCGGGGCAAGTAGGTGGGACCATAGAGAGGCTCGAAGTCGACGACGGCATCACCAGCAACCTGAACCTTCTTGTCATTCTCGTCCTTCAGCCAAATCTCGTGGTAGGCTGTGGTCGAAGGCAAAAGATGTTCACTGATCTTCTTGGACAAAGCCCAGGTCTCGCGATGGAAGTCAGACAGCTCGGGGAGGGAACTGCACATAACGTTACGGTTTACATCACCGCAAGCAGCGAGAGTATCCATCAGAGACGCGTTGATAGCCTGCATGGCGCCACGAAGCTTGCGTTTAATGACACCGTGGAACTGGAAAGTCTGACGGGTTGTGAGCTTCATGGTCTCATTACCATGTGAGCTGCTGATGGCATCCATCTGCAGCCACTGCTTGGGAGTAGCAACACCACCAGGAAGACGGCAACGAATCATAAAGCTATAAGCGGGCTCAAGACCCTGGGCTTTGCGCTCGTCACGAACATCACGGTCGTCTTGCATGTAAGTACCGTGGAACTTGGTCAGCTGGGCGTCGCTGGCAGAAATGGCACCAGTGGACTCATCCCTAAGGCCCTCCAAGATTGTTCCACGCAAGAAGTTCGATTGGATCTTGATGTCCTCGTTGGTAATCGGAGCGGGCTCCTCGGGCAAGCCCTCAACCTTGTCGACACCCAGAGACTTCCAAAGACGCGGCTCCCACTCGGAGTAACCAGTCTGGTATGCATCGGGATCCTGGTCGTCACCGAGACCAATATCGGTCAGCTTACGGCCACCCAGGAAGGCAATGCGGGCATCAAGGTCCTTGGCAGGCTTGTTGTAATAAATCTTGTCCTCCTTGCGGGGCCAGTAGTGGCTGTCACCAAGACCGAAGACAGAATAGTTGATGGAAGACAGATCCAGATCACCGGAGTTCTTGATGTGCTCCCAAAGACCACGACCGTTAACAGGGAACTCACCCTGACCAGCAACACTGGAGATGAACACAACGTTCTCTTCAGCAGGGAGGTCGTCGGACGGGTACTCATCCATGGCCATCACCATGGTCTTTAGACCTCTGGCGCGACCACGGTTGCCAAGGCGAGTGGCAAGGTTCTGGGCGTTACCGCCGTCCGATGCATAGAGAATGGTAAGAGGAGCACCGAAAAGGCCGTCCAAAAGCTTCTCATATGAGTCCTTGGCCTTGCGCTTCTGCAGGGCGCGGACCTCGGTGCCATAAGATTCAGAAAGCACAGGTGAGTATTTCGGGTGACGGTTCATGATTTGGGTGAGCTGGTTATCACGGCGAAGGAATTCCTCCAACTCGCGCTTGATGCGCTCGGAGTCCAGAGCGAACTTAGGCTCGCTCGTACCCTCGTTCGCGGGGTTCCAGCGATACAGAGGCCAGTAGCCAAGATCAATAGCTTTCTTGGTCTCCTGGAGGACAGTAAGAGCTGAATCGTCTTCCTGGTGGTAGGGAAGGTAGGCGACAACAACGGAGGGACCCTTGTACTGCTCGGCCTCGGCCATAGCCTGAAGAACCTGTGTGTAAGAGCCGTACACAGCAGTCGAGGCAACATAGGCGTTGCCAAAGTTCATAGCATAAAGACCAATGTCCTTCTTGCGGCGAGTGGCATCAGCAGCGGTGCGCTCGGAGTAGGGCTTCGAATCAATGATCAACATGTTGACATTGGCGCCAGAGGCGAGGACCTGGTGAACACCAGAGTTACCCAGATCGTAGGCCCAGGCATCGGAGCCAATCAACCACTGGGACTCCTCGAAGAACAGCCTTTTTGACTGGAGCAGCTCACGGGACAGCTTAGATCCGTCATTGGAAAGGCGAGAAATGACTTCGGGGGCGATCTTGTTAGCCTTGGCAGCCTCCTTGGCAATCAGAGCCCAGCGGGACAGCCAGTCCTTAGGCACATCAGTTGCAAAGGTGCTAGACTTGGAGGCCTCCTCAACTTCACGGATGAAGCGCTCACGGTGCTCCTTGCGAGCAAGGAGAGAACCAAAGCCATACTCAGGGCTGGCAGCGATGGTGGACGAGACACCAGCGTTCTCAGCACCGAGCTGGTTCGCAATGTAAAGACGCTCACCGAAGAGCTGGTTGAGGATCTTGATGTAAGCATTCTCAATGTGGGGCTGCTCAAGTGACTCCTCGGCGGTGGGAGCATTGGAGCTACCAATCTCCAGGTTCTGAATCAGGGAGGAAGCCTGCAGGTTCTGGAGAATACCACGGAGGGCCTGGACAGCAGTGGAGGGCTCAACATATCCAAGACGGTATCCAACGACCTTGAGGGATTGACCACGGACAGTGGAGGGAGTCACGCTGGACAACAGGTCCATGAATGAAGGACCCCACTTAGTGGTCTTGCGGACCTGCTCCAAGACGGCAATCTTCTCAACTGATGCCGGGATAGATTTCACGATCTGGCCACCGACCCAGGGGCGGTAAAGGCGAGCAGTGATGAGACCAATGTTCTCAAGCTCGCTGTTAGCCTCGGGGTGAGACAGGGCATCAGCGAAGACACCGGAAGATCCGAAGACGAAGACGGCGGACTTGGCATCAGCAGGTCCAGTGTATTCGATGGCACTGTAAGTACGGCCCACCTCTTTGGACAAAGCAGTCCAGATCTGGGAGGTCCACTCGAAGATATCGGCAGCATTGACGGGACGCACACTGGCGTTGTCCACGGTGGTGGCGGTAGAGCTAGGAGCCTCGCTTCCCGCACTGCTGTCGCGGCGGGAAGAGCCGACGGACGAGTTTTCGACGCTGACGTTCGACGGGGTCTGTGTCTGAGAAGGCACAGTGAAGTTCGCGGAAGTCTCACCCTGGCCAGCAGGAGCAGCCTCCGAGTCGTCGGCAGAGACAGTAGCAACGCGGCTAGACTCGGCGTACAGAGTCTCGGTACCGGAGGAAGTGTGAGTCGCAACATTTCCACCCAGGTTGAGAATCTTCTTCACAACATCGGTGTCCTCAGCAGTAATAGCGGGATCCTTGGCGGAGTTGGCGGGGTCGAAGAAGTGGATAACACCCTTTCCAGACTTGAGCGCCAGCGCATGGGCGGTAATGGCAATATCCTGAGCTTCCTGTACAGTCTCGGAGTGCAAGAATGTGAAGCCGCATTGGCGGATGGAGCTGATTACTGAGTAATCGGGAAACGGGGTGGGCTCCAGAGCGACATGAATGACAACGGGGAAGTTGGCGAGACGGTAGAGGTGAGGAACGGAGGAAAGTAAGATTGATGAGCTCGTGACGACGGACACAGTCTCGCCTTTTTGCAGGGGTGGAAAGCAGACAGCAGAGGGTCCTCATTGTAGCGAATGGCTTGCACCTGGTCGCCAAGTTAGCTTATTGACGCGTGATTAGCCATATAGCAATTCACCCACCTCGGGAGTGCCCCTTGAGATGGCGCTTGCGGTCTTATTTGCCTTCAAGGCCTTGAGGGGCTTGGAGAACAATGAGTCCGTCCGCAGGAAGGCTGGACGGAGAGGACAACATCGCTGGCCTGGTAGGCAATTCTCGCAACTTAATTTACAGGTTAGCAATTGGTCTTCAGTTTCATGGCGTACAAATAGCTCACCGGCATCAGCAGCAGTTGTAATGGAGGCCATGGCGGGCAAATGCTGTGAGTTCACAGCTCAAGTGGGCTGAAGTCACTCGCGGGATAAGGCTTGTCGGCGCCCGGCGATTTCCCACTTGACGTGAATCGTCGTATGGATGCAAATTGATAAAGAAGGAACAACACAATCTCAATGTCTGTTCTCTCTGATCCAACAATCTATAAGGGGAAAAAAAGTTGACCGTGGGATTTCATCCCATCATCCAGTCAGTTCTCCGCCATCGGGGTTAGATCAGCAGCCTTCTGATTGGCGCACGATCACGACATCGTAGCAAGAATGCTCTGCAAACATTGCAAACTTACCGATCTCAGCCTAGTGTGCGGGGACCCGTGACCGGCGGCGAGCACGTCAGCGCCGGCTTTTGCTTTTTTTCTGGAATTCAGCCTGCAGCGCACAGTTTAGTGCCGGCATCTGTTTGACTTTCTTATAGATCTAGATGTTTTGATATATGTTCATCTCGCAATATGCTTCCTCTGCATCTTCGTGTAGCGTTCACAGTGATAATTCTGCCTTCTGCCTTTACTCACCGCACGGCTACCAATAGTAAAGCGGCGATTACCGATTCTCGGTCGAGAAGCCCTTGAGCTCAACACAATTAAGCCCAGGAATATACTTGACTGCCAGATCCCTAAATTGCGTGATCGCGCAAACCCCGATCCGTAGTTAATTTCCGTGATCAATTGATATAAAATTCGAAAGTTGACAGTCGAAGCTGAATCATGAAATAAAGAATACCAGTGCAAATCAGCTGAGCTCAAGAGAAGACCGTTTCTAGATGCAATCCAAGCAAAAAAAAAAATGGAAAAAAAAAGATCTGATCGACGCAGGGTTCGAACCTGCGATCTCCCGTGTGTAAGACGGGCGCCTTAACCACTGGGCCAGTCGATCAAGTTAAGATGACTAACAGCAATAGTGTACCAATACCTTACACAATGTTTCCTAATCTACATAGAAAACATATCGACGTCTGCACTTCGATGCCTCTTGCAATAGAAAGTACGTTTTTAAACTGAGAGTCCATGGTCATATTACACCGGCTTTGCATGTTCACCTCTCATTGGTATCTGATATTGAATACTGAAATTGAGTTCTTGGATACGGTTCTTTCCAATATATATTTGCTAATGATGGGTGCTTTAAGGATTTGCACGGCCCTGCATATATGCTTCAACATTTACCTCAGTGTTGAGTGGAGTTCATTACATGTTGAGTTCCCCACGATATACCCACCAATAATCCAGATATGCGTTGCCTATATTCTATATCCTTCAGAATGGTAGGCGAAGGCAAGAAAGAGAAACTCAGTCTGGACGTGGAACAAATTTACAATTCACTGGAAGCCGAGAGTTCTTCTTACTAGTATCGCTCAGAATCATCATGACAAGGATGTATGAGTGGCGAAACTCCCAGTAAGTGTTGCTATATTATTCGATAGAGTAGATCTTGGAGTCAACGAAACAAAAAGGTCAATTTGCATCGGGAACGCCGCAGATGGGATTCTGACTAATTACGGCACACCCGCCAAAACACCTGGGCTTTGGTATTTCTATTTACGTCACTTCCTCATATATAAACACCCAATATTTTTACAAGGTTCTGGCAACTGATCACTTGGGCGAGAGTTTCCAACTCAAGCCAATCGAAAAGTATGTCGCTCTCAAACCTACCCATTGAGATCATCTGCATGATCGGAGAGCGTATCCCAACACAAGCTGGCATCAAAGCGTTCGTGATGAGCCATCGACTGTTTCATAGCCTGCCTCAGTTACGAGAAATTCTATACAATAGAACCAAAAAAGACCGAGTTAATACTGTATTGACTTGGGCATGTCAGAGAAACAACCAAGACTTGGCCCGAGCGATGCTGTGGCTGGGGGCGACCATTAAATGTGACAATAGAGACGAATCCTATGGACCTTTGCTACTCACCGCGGCAGAGGGCAATAAAGAGATAGTCAAGCTCCTCCTGGAACACGACCCGAGTATCGTCCACGCGACAGCCGGGTGTGGAGATAGAGCGCTCAAGATTGCAATTTCTCGAGGGCACCACGAGGTTGTGAAGATACTTCTTACTCAATCAATTCTCGACCCGTCGGCGAATCAACAAGACCTTGACGATTTTATGGGAGATTTATATCACCTCAAATACAAAACACCGATGAACGAGGCTCTCGCTAGTGGAAACGAAGAGATGGCACAAATCTTGATGGAGGATGGGCGATTCAAGCTGGATCATGACAGCCTCTCTGCAGCTTCAGAAGGGGGAAGTGAGAATCTAGTCAAGATGTGTTTGCAGGTCTCATTCCAAGAAGACGAATACTGGGAAAAGTGCCCGCTCTCTTGTGCCGCATCCGAGGGACATGGAAGCATTGTGAAGCTATTGTTAGAAGATGGCAGGCTAGATCCCAGCGCAAAAGACAGGTATGGCCGGACGCCACTTCACTGCGCTGTATCTAGAGGATTTGAAAATATTGTCAGTATACTCCTCGATAGAGAAGATGTCGACCCCGACGTGAAAGACATGAGCATGGTGACCCCACTCTCCGATGCTGCAAAATTCGGTCATACGGGCATTATAAGGTTACTCCTAGGCTCTAGCCAGGTTGATCCAGATACCCGAGATATCATGCAACGTACACCGTTATCCCATGCCTCAGTGAGTGGGGAGCCAGCAGCTGTGAGCCTATTACTTGCGACCGGCAAAGTGGACCCAGAATCCAAGTGTTGTATGGGCCGAACGCCATTATCCTGGGCTGCCCTTAGCGGATGCCCCGATACCTTCAGAGTGTTGCTGGAAACGGGACGTGTCGACCTCAATTCCGTGGATGAAGAGGGAAGGACACCCCTATCATTGGCCGTCGGAGGTTTATACTATACGAACAAAAACAAGACCAACGGTTGGGCACAGGCACTCTCCGATATTCGCCATCTTCTACGAGGTAGAACAGATCTAGGATATCCTCCGAACGCAGAGCCATGGCAACGGGGGCCACGTGGAGCGCCAGCCAAGCATGACCCGCTCGATGTTATTGAGCAACTTCTCGCGTGCGACGAAGTCACTGTCGATGCCCCGGATAATAGGGGCCAAACACCGTTGATGTGGGCTGCACAAAGACGCCAGGTGGAGATGGTCAGACTGCTCATGGCCACGGGGAAAGTGAATCCAATACGACGCGATGACGATGGCTGGACACCGGAAACTCATGCCGAGAAAGGCTGCAAGCCAACAAGCCCTGCTTATGATGCGGCCGGCTCGAATTTGTGGGAAAGCCCGCTTGATGGACGATCATAAATAGATCAAAGAATCAATTGAACCAAGCAGTCTAGATTAGTATGGAACTCAATGGGAAGAGATCAAAATAGTCTTCACTTTCGATTTTCTGGCTTTCGCTGACAAATGTTTGAGCATCTCTTCAGAGCTCTTTCTTAATTTTTTCTTCCTTGCTATTTGTTTCCCAGGTTATATCGTGGGATCAGATACGTCCGAAGGATAAGTCACGGTCGCTTATTTAGAAGCCTTTGTATTAGACCGTCGATTCGGCTAGAAGAGGAATGTTAACATCATGGGGCCCCACCCGAGCTCCGTCCGGTCTTCGTCAACTTTAACAGCTCAGACAGCTCAGACAGCTCTCGATAACTCCCCCACGTACAATGAAGCCCATCATCGGCCTAACAGCAGTTGCCGCCCTCGTCTATCGAGCCTGGGCTCGTAAGTCGCTCACCCCTCTTGGCTTGATCGTCGCCGCGATCTCTGCGACCGCCCATGCCCTCCACCCGTGGTCAACACCGTTTTTGCTGCTCGCCGTATTCTACTATGGGGGAACAAAAGCTACCAAGGTGAGACTGAAGATACCCTTCAGCTCTCAGGGCTATATAGAATATATGAACGCAGCTAATGACGGACGACACTAGGTAAAACATGATGTGAAAGCGCATTTGACCCTCTCGGCGACCGGTGCTGAAGGGGGCGAAGGACCACGAAACCACATCCAGGTGCTGGCAAACTCGGGCGTTGCGATGGTTCTGAGCATTGTGCACACAATGGTCCTGGCCAGATTGCCCGCGCAGACCTGTTTTGGTCATAGCTCTGCAGATGTTCTGATGGTGGGGGTTGTAGCGTGAGTGATCTGCGCGCTCTCAGCTCCGCGGACCAGCTCACAGAAACGACTTCTAGGAACTATGCCGCTACCGCTGCCGATACATTCTCCTCTGAATTAGGAATCCTCTCTAAATCGAGCCCTCGCCTTATTACATCCCTCACCCTCCGCCAAGTGCCTCCGGGTACCAATGGTGGCGTGACTGCCTGGGGTCTTGTTGCTGGCCTGATGGGATCTTTCACAATTGCTTTGACTTCTGCCATTTTCCTTCCATTCTGCGCCGAGTCGAGTATTAATGACCGTCTTATGTGGACGATGGCCATCTCATTCTGGGGTCTGATGGGAAGTGTCCTAGACAGCGTGCTGGGCGGACTTTTACAAGCGAGTGTTGTGGATAAGCGCAGTGGCAAAGTTGTCGAAGGAAGTGGCGGCAGAAAGGTGGGCCTTTTTAAGACCATTACATGGAGATAGTTCTGATGCATCTCTTGTACAGGTTCTCATTCATCCGGGATCCACCAAAGGGGCGCCAACTACAGGAACCCCGGAGAATGCCGCATCCGAGGGAAGCGCCCGACTGCACAAGACCGAGGCCGTCATGAACACGGCGACTCTACGAGGAACGCGAGCCTTGGGCGAGTCGGTGGGTACTCAAGCCGGGCAAGCTCACGACGGTCACGAGAGCCGACGGATTGAGACTGGCCATGATTGGCTGGACAATAATGGAGTGAACGTTCTTATGGCGGCTCTCATGAGCTTGGGGGCCATGTGTATAGCACAGTGGGTTTGGGGCGTGGATGTGCGTGAACTGTGGGTTTAAATTGGATTGTACAGAATCAGGACGGGATGCAGACGCGCATCCAAGGCGTTCTCGAACCTCGGGCCTGAGGACTTGGCATTCTGAGTCCCCTTGATACACTTGTGTAAGTCACGAGGTTACTAGCAATCCTCTGTTGGCTCAATTGGTCGGCCTAGCAAATTCAGAGGGCGTTGACAATGAACCATGCCACAAGAAACATTGTCCTGGCCAGGGCATAGCACGATGACCGAGAGCTGACCAAATCGGAGCACGCGAGCACGCGCATTCGCTCGAGAGGCGCCCATGTCCAACATGCCGAACTAACCTTGGAACGCCTATCCACAGGGACCCGTTCCGTGACATGTATCGTATCTCCCGATAAAGTTGCATTCTGCCTTGCTACATGCTATGCGCGTATTTCATCTTTCCCACGTGCAGGGTAGACACTGTGACCTGAGATGCTTGGCCAAGCGAATGTGGCAGATGAACATTGATAAGGCAATACTTCTAGAATCGAAGTCCGGGGTTGCTGACAGCCTATCCAGCACCCCACGTGGGTGGATCCGCGGTGATGATAGGGACAAGTGCCCCGGTGTGGCTCCTGCACTGCGGCCCCGCCAAGAGCCGCCCTCGGACTACACCCCAATGGAGCGGGAATTCACTAGGACTTACTACTATAAATCCTCCCATCGCCCAGATTTGCCAAGGTCGCCAAGGTCGCCAATTTTGCTTCTCAGCACCTAAGCCCTCACATTGTGTTCCTGGTTGCCTTGGCCGACCCTTCTCTTGCGTGATTTCGCCCGCAAGCGACACCCCATTCGACCGCCACCGGGCAGGTTACTTTGACACTAGATACCTGCCAAGCTGGCCGTGAACGATGACCGCGACGGCTGGATTCGAGTCGTCTCTGCACGTGTGTCGGAGTGAGGGCTAGTTCGAAGGGAAATTGCCCCGTAAACGAGCTGGAAATGGCCCTGGGGCACCGCGTGTCTCGCTCTCGCCGAAGTATGTGCCATGCGATGCGATGGGGGCGATTTTTCACCTAGATATCTCGCGTGTACATAAGACCTGAAATGCCTCTCCTGATTTCTCAATTCGTACTTCTCAACGTTGATCCCTGAAACTTGGCTGAATTGGCGCTTCATCGTCAAGATGTATCTCCACGAGTATGATTACATCTTTGCTATTGGTACTCTGTTTGCCATGCTAGATGCCTATAACAACGGTGCAAGTGAGTATAGAACTGCATTTTGCGATATGATTTGGAAGGGCTTAATACTGACTGATGTAGACGATGTTGCCAACTCTTGGGCTACCAGTGTCTCCTCGCGATCCATCTCCTACAGACAGGCTATGGTTCTCGGCACCATCTTCGAATTCCTCGGCGCTGTGACTGTCGGCTCCCGTACTGCTGATACTATCAAAAACGGTATCATTCCCACATCGGCCTTCAAGGGTGATGCCGGTGTTCAGATGCTCGCCTTCACCTGTGCCCTGGCTGCTGCCTCGTCCTGGGTGATGTGGTGTACTCGTCACTCCGCTCACGTCTCATCTACCTACTCTCTCATCTCGGCTGTCGCTGGTGTTGGTGTTGCCACTGCTGGTGCTTCCAAGGTTCAGTGGGGATGGAATGACGGAAAGGGTCTGGGTGCTATCTTCGCTGGTCTTGGAATGGCCCCTGTCATTTCTGGTGGCTTCGCTGCGATCATCTTCATGCTCATCAAGGTTATCGTCCACATGCGCAAGAACCCCGTTCCCTGGGCCGTCTTCAGCTCTCCCTTCTGGTTCCTCGTTGCTGCTACCGTCTGTACCCTGTCAATTGTCTACAAGGGTTCCCCCAACCTGGGACTGAGCAAGAAGCCCTCCTGGTACATTGCTGCCGTGACCCTGGGCACCGGTGGTGGTGTCTTCATCTTGTCTGCTCTTTTCTTCCTTCCCTTCGTCCACGCTCGCGTTATCAAGAAAGATTACACTGTCAAGTGGTGGATGGTGATCTACGGTCCTCTCCTCTGGAAGCGTCCTGCTCCCGCCGATGGTGAGACAGCCAAGGTCCCCAACTACGCCGTTGTTCAGGATGAGGATGACTATGCCGTTTCCACCCACACCCACGGTTCCATCGACAAGGATGCTCAGACCACTTCCATTCCCACCGGAGACCACGAGAAGGGTCTCGTCACCGCTGAGGCTACTCAGCTGACCTACAAGGAGATCATGGCCCAGTCCGAGGCCAAGCACCACGCGAAGCTCCTCAAGGGCAGGGGTCCTCTGGGTTGGGCTCTGCGCTTCCTCCGCGATCACCCCATGGGCTCCGGCGAGATCTACGAAATCCGCAACATCATCACCATGTTCAAGCGCATTCCCCCTAAGATCGTCGTCGGTCTCACCTATGGTGCTCACTACGACATTCACACCGCTCAGAGCGGTATTGCCGGTACCCCAAGGGTGAGCGCATGAAGCGTGTCTACGATGCCGCCGAGAAGTATCCTAATGAGGTCGAGCACACCTACTCCTTCGTCCAGGTCTTGACTGCCTGCACTGCCTCCTTCGCTCACGGTGCCAACGATATCGGTAACTCCGTCGGCCCCTGGGCTGCTATCTACTCCGCCTGGTCGACCGGCGACCCCGTCTCCTCCAAGGCCCCCGTTCCCGTCTGGCAGCTCGCTGTTCTGGCTATTTGCATTTCGATCGGTCTCATTACCTACGGTTACAACATCATGAAGGGTAAGTCACCGCAAACCCCACAACCTGATACCCTAAAAAACCACTCACTAACCTTCTTCTAGTCATGGGTAACAAGATCACCTACCACTCCCCCAGCCGTGGCTCCTCGATGGAACTCGGCGCCGCCATCACCGTCCTGGTCTTCTCACAATACTCCCTTCCCGTCTCCACCTCTATGTGTATTACCGGTGCCACCGTCGGTGTCGGTCTGTGCAACGGTACCCTGAAGGCAGTCAACTTCCAGCGTGTCGGGCTCTTGCTCCTTGCCTGGATCATGACCATCCCCATTGCCGGTACCATTGGTGGTTGTCTTATGGGTCTGTTCATCAACGCACCTCACTGGTCTTAATATGACTTCAGCCTGATTGGAAAGGTTGTAGCCTTAGTTTCTTTGGTTCGTTGATAGATTTTTTTTTCACGATAATTTCTGCACTTAATTGCATCATGCATCATGCATATACGCAAATACGCAAATACGGTATAAAAGTTTTTTAATCAAATGATCGGCTCTTTATTCACATGTATTCTGAAATTAAACATTTTCCGGGGCGAGGCCGTCTAACAGCTTGTGGATTGTAGGTGGATGAAGGGCACAAGGTCTGCATCCACCTAGATCAAATACTTTCATTCTAGTCAGCCTGAGTTGTGGATACTTATGGAATCTCAATCATATGTTTCTCATTTCATAGGCCCAGGATCTGATTTTCAGATGGGTTTAGGGGCACATACATTAAGAGCTCCTAGCAGATCCAATTGGTCGGTATAACACTAGGTCCATAGTAGTGGCCTTTTGGCCTATTTGTAATCAAGGTGAATTCTATCTGAAACATAAGGCGCACTCTTATAAGACCGCGTCCCAAGTTTTAGATCCATTTGAATGGCCTGCCGCGAGCCAGTTGGGGTAAGCTTCGGCAGCTGGGCGTGCGGTTCACTTTTCTGTCCTTCCTTACACTCGCGACCCAACATCCATCCATTTCCCAACATTTATTTCTAGTCTTATTAGGCATATTCTTACCCGTAACTACGCTTACATTAATAAAAGCATTTCGAGGCTATTACAAACTTTGTGAAGCGAAATTTATGTTTCACGCGTACGAAGATCAAGTTCACGATCGTCTCTTCGATTGCGTACATTACTGCACTGCAAAATTGCCTATTTAACCAGGTCCTTGTTTATTGAAATCACGCATTGTTTATTTTGACCCACTTTCACTGCGGGTTCTCATAGTACTCATTGAGCATGGTGGTTGCTTCTAGAGCAGTCAACCCGGAAAATGGTTGACATGGGCTTGGGCTATTCCATCTTAGCCTATAAGGCTGGCGTTTTGTATCGATCTATAGGTATTTAACGACCTACATTAATCATGAGGGTGGTGATGATTACATCGAACGACATCCTCAAGCTCGCGTCTCAGACAATCGGCAAGTTCTCAGTTGGCATGGACTTCGAGTATTTCACCTCCAGCCATGCCCCGCTGCATCCCATCGTCACCAATATTACCAACCTTCACTCTTTGAAGAAGAAAATCACCGCCCACAGAGAACGATACCGCAATCTTCCATTCGGTGACCCAGCTACATTGAAGAAAGTGCAGCGCATAATTGACGGTTGTTTTGAGTTCAATCTAACATTGCTAGAGACCAAAATATTGCTATAGAAATTTGGTTCGAGACTCGAGTCCTTCCGTGAGGGATTAGAAATTATAATGTATGATTCGGAGTTCCAGTAAATTAGGCCTTTGAAGTTTTACATGCGTGCTAAGAAAAGCGGCAACAGTGCTTAAAGGTTGAACGCGTGTGAGAGTTGCGTTTAGATTCTCTGTGTTGAAGTAATGCTCTAGAAGCTTACGTAGACCACTTATCCTCGTCAAGGTTGATAAAATTCCTCAATTTCGTGCATCTTCAAAATTAATAGACTCCCGCAACGCCTTTGAAGCCCTAGAATAAGGCCAAAAGGTCCTAAGTTCTCTAGTCACTACCGGTCGTCACTATCAAAAGGTCAAGTGGGGGTCCAACCTCGACCTAATGAGCTTTTGATAGTCATATGATTAAACAGGATTTTTTTTTCCATCGCTATATAGCCTACCACTAACTACCAACTATAAAAGAATATAGGTCAACAGGTCAACAGATCACTAGTGGACTACACGCCTGATTCTTAGTTTACGTGATTTTTGAGGTTGGCGGCGTCCTTGAATAGCTTTAGGCGCGAATACCTACTCGTCAGGATCCAAGCATTATTGGTGTTCAGATTATTTCGCAGAGAGTTTCAGATCAGCAACATGCCTTGAATCTAATTGAGGTTCATATTATTGAAGAAGCTCGATGTACGGATACACTGGATCGATGGACAGACTATGTCATTTTAACTAGCACATGCATTATTCAAAAAGGAAGTCTTCATCCACCGATCCAACCAGCCAGATTTGTAGGTCTTTGAAAGCATCAAGGTCGTTTTCCTCGAGCGAAAATTCCACAGAAGGATCGTGCCAGTGGAGGGTTCTTTTAGTATCGGTGTTGCGCAACGATTCCCCAATATATCGACAGCTATCGAAATCGATGAGATCAAGCGTACCCTCTTGATCAAGCATAATGTTCGCGGAATCAATGTCGTTATGAACAAGTCCAAGCGAGTGGAGATATTTTATAGCGGCCAAAGTTCCTTCAAGTTTTTTTTGATATTCTCTTCCACTAGGTCCCGCGCACTCGAAAGAAAAGCGAACTTGCCAAGGCGTTGAGGATTCACCGCTTCAAGCAGCGTGGACGTATATCGCTTGAAACATAGCCCAGAGACTCGACCGTGAGTCGCCTTGTAGCCATAATAGGTTGCAATGTTTGGATGGGGGTTCTTGCGAAGGATTTCGCATGTTTCAGTTTCGCGAGTCATTTGCTTTTCGAAATTTTCATCGACGTAGGCCAGGTGTCTTGGTGTTTTGATATAGACTGCTGACCAAGTCTTGCTCACCTCTGGACCCCTATCCTCGGTTAGAATTTGACTGACTTCCTGAAGATTCTCTAGTGACTTCGGCATATCTGATCGATGCGTCCACTTTCCAGAATACAATATGCCATCTTGCCAGACAAAGATCTGAACGTAAGAGAACTTCATTTTGCCGTCGATTTCTTTGAAAGCCTCGTTCTTCTGTAGAATTTCCATTTTAAGGTAGAGTATCAATTCTCAGATGCTGTGTTGACAGAGATAAAGATAGGCGAACAGAACAAAAGGTCAAGGGGTATTGATACATTTGCTTATGGTGGGAACCTGGACGTGACTTCACGGGCATGTTTCCGCCTCCTATGTGATTTGTTATTTGGCGACCCTTTTCGTCTCGGCAATGGGCCCAGAATTAAGAAGAGAGTGTAAAATAGTGGAACTGGCTTTGCAATTCTCTGTACAAGATACAGTCACTATTAGCTAATATGAGGCGTTCTCTGTCGTTAAGTAGATTGGCTATCTGAACAAATTGCCTCACTTAGATCGAAAGAACCCTAAGACATACCCAGGAAGCAATTTTTTCACTTCTTTTGAGTCCAGCTCTTTCTGTCTTATCTATACTGATTCTAACCAGATACCGATCTTTTCATCATTTCAAGCAGTAAGACTGAGGGAAACTGTGAGAATGACTTATTAGTTGGCCGGGATAGCCAAATCGGCCGCTTCTTCACTAGTTTCCAGTTCGTTAACGTAACTGGCTCATCTTTACGCTGACCGCTGATTTCTACTCTTAAGTACTCAATTAGCTATATCCGCACTAGTCCGTACTGTCAAGACATCATTCTGACAAGCTCCAAAAATTATTCAGCAATTAATGGCGATGAATATAAAGAGATTACCAAAAAAGGGATCCTCAAAAAAAGACTTGACCAGACTGGGGCTCGATCCCAGGACCTTGTCGGTGTTAACGACACGTGATAACCAACTACACCATCCGGCCAATTGTTAAAAATTTGAGGAGAAAATGAAAATATGAACCTCGATTATTTGCCACAGTCTTTGAAAGTTCTGTTCAGTGTGTAATTTTGGACATTCCCATCACTTTTTTTTTTGTTTCTTCCGTTGTTGAAAGCCAATGCGAGCAACAAAGGCACTCAAGTGAATACCCGATTTTCGAATGAAAAACTGCTCAGAGGTTGATTTTGCTTTGAATGATCCACCCAATGCCCTAGGAATATCAATAGTATACTCACTGTGACAGAATAGTTCTTTCAAGCCGTGCTCCTAGAAAGGTAGCCCTTGCACTCAACCGCCCCGTGGCTCTAAGGTCAGGAATCTCTACCTGCACCTCCGAGGGTCAGGGTCTAACCCCAACGACCCTGACCCTGATCCTAACCCCCTAAGGACCCTTGAGTATATGAAACTTCCGCGCGTTTCCCATTTTGGACGTATGAAATTCATCCTTTATCTGATGAAGATCCTATCATTCACAGTCATTCTAGTATCTTTCTCATTCTTCCTTATCTTCTACCGATACCTTCGAAATTCAAAGTAATTAGATTATAAGTAGATCCCTCGTATTTCGTTACCTTGGTATTGTAGACTTCAACTTCATCTACGCGGTAGGTAGCTAGTTATCGGCCGGGGAAGGAGGCGCTACCATGGCGGCTTCGTGTGGGTTCCCTCAACGGACCCTGGTCTTATCCGACTAAATATGCCTAGTCGCATAAGGGTTCAATTAACAAGATAGGCGATGAAGAGCTTATATAGTCTAAGTAAGAACGATTCTTGCTCTAACCCATTAAAAGGAACTCTACTAACTTAGAATTAGAAAGATGGTCAGTAGAGAGTGAAGGGTCTATTTCCTTCTACTTAGTTTCTTGTCCGGATTGATCGACAGAAAATCATTAAAGTTTTATACTTAAGATCAAAGGAATCAAACTAATTCCTAACCTCGTACCCATGGGGCGGGTGATTGATAGGTCTAAGTACACTAGATGGCTTTACGTCTCTCCCGAGGAGCCGGTTACACCTGCCGATATTCTATCTCAAATGATGAAGAAGCAAGAGTAAGAAGAGAAGAAATTGATAGATTAAAAGCTATGAAGAAAGAAAAGAAGCCGACAATGTTTCTTGGCCACATCGGCCGACGGAAGCTCTTTCCATCACTAAGGACCCATCGGCCGAAGCCGATCACTAAGCCCGACGGTGCCGATCCCCCCCCCGATGATTTTCGGGGCTATTGCTCAGTCCACGATCTTAAATAAAGGGGTCACCGACCGGTCCATTGAGATTTAGAAAACTTTTTTCAGCACAGCCCATCGATTCAGATATTCCCAATTCCAAAAGCTTCCCACATCATGTCCGACATTTCCATCAAAAAGGGCCCCATCGCCTTGGCCGGTCTACTGTTTAGACCTTCCAACCCAGCAGAGAAGACAACACCCGGACTGGTGATTGTCCATCCGGGCGGTGGTGTCAAGGAACAAACCGCTCAATTATATGCTCAGAAATTAGCAAACGCTGGCTTTACAACAATTGCCTATGATGCATCCTACCAGGGAGCTAGTGGAGGCGAACCCCACTTCCTTGAGGACCCAAACGAGCGTGTGAGCGACATCTACGCTGTCGTCGACTACCTTCAAAATCTGGATTTTGTTGACCCGGAGAAGATCGGTGTCTTGGGTATCTGTGCCGGAGGTGGTTATGCCGTTGCGGCCGCGAAGGCAGACCATCGATTGAAGGCTCTGGCAGCCATTAGTATGGTCAACATCGGAGACTCCGCTCGTAAGGGCTGGGATGGAGATGAGGATCCTTCCAAGCAGGTTGAGTCACTTCGTGGAGCAGCAGCTCAAATTACTGCTGAAGTTAAGGGTGCGGAACGCGCAGCTGCACCCTATGTCCCACCCCAACCTGACGACAAGACCCCGAGGGACTTGAAAGAGGCGAAGGATTATTACCTCACTCCGCGTGCACGGCATCCTCGAGCTGAGAACAAAATGCTATTCCTCAGCTTCCCTCGAGTCCTGACTTTCGATGCCTTCCACCTGGCCGATGTGTTCCTCAAGCAAGCTACACTTCTGATCGCCGGCGAAAAGGCAGGATCTCTATGGCACACCGAACGGTTGGATAAGTTAATTGGTGGAGCCACGAATAAGATTGTTGTTCCGAACGGGGCGCATATGGACTTTTACGATAACGAGGCTTATGTCGGACCAGCTGCCGAGAATGTTGCCGAATTCATGAAGAAGCATCTCACCTAGTGGCTCTGCTGTTAGTTAGAAGGGCGCTATATAGTAATGCGCAAGTTCTGTGTTTGCAATGGCTTGACTCATAGTTCGGTCGCATATGCACCGGTCCAGATTGTAATTCAAAGGTTGAAAGCAAACCGTATGAGATCAATACGACACATCTTAAGAGATCCATGGGCACTTGAATGTCACAAATTCAGCCGTACCGAAGCAAGCCTAGAGGGGGGTACTCGGCCAAACAACTAAATGTAGGTGACGTTGCCCTGCAAATCGGGAGCGTACCGGCAACCATCGGCGAATATCCTTCTTGATAATTGATAATTCTTTACAACCTGACCCGGTCTAGCAACAAGGCGCTCGTAGGATGCCTGGACTTGAAAAGAAGGTCCAATATTGCCGCTGAAAAGCACCAACATTTTACTGAGGTCGGTGAAAATTCATGCTATACTGACCAAGCCCGGCCCTGGATTTGCGACAACCACGAGACTATCCAATTTGAGCACAAGGGCAGGGCATAAAAGCAATCACTTTTGGTTAGAAATTCTTGAAAGATCACGTACAAAATTGTTCATTTGCGACAACCACGAGACTATCCAATTTGAGCACAAGGGCAGGGCATAAAAGCAATCACTTTTGGTTAGAAATTCTTGAAAGATCACGTACAAAATTGTTCATTTCAATTCTGTGTTACAAACCGCGTCTCCAGAACAAGGCCATTGCGTTGGGAGGAGAGTCTGAAGCCCCAGAAAAGTACAACGTTATGGTGTTCAGCAAGAAGATCCAGCGGCCCTTCCAGTGATTATAATCGACTAAGCACATCAAGTCCCGAGGTTTGCCAATGTGGAAACTCAGCAAGGAGAAGTGTGGAAGTAAGACTGGATGTGAGCTTTTTGAGTACGCCTGCGTGACAATTGCCCTAGCAAAGGCCATCCCATGCAAAATGCAAGCTAGGTTCAGACACCATAATCCAAATTTGTGCCACTGGCGTCCACAACCTTCTTCGAAGGCCTCATCACTTTGTACCCGAGCTTGCCAACACCAACGGCGCTGAAATGATGCTTCAGGATTACTCGACGTGGCTAGTATCTTTGCCACTCCAAATTTGTCGACTATCGTTCATCCGAGCCTGCTCGTCCTCAGGCGCTGCCTGGATGGCATTGGATTATTCAAGTCGCAGCGAAAATACGTCGCTTGCCTGAAGAATGATGCTTTGTTCGCAGCACCTACTCGATTTTGGAAAAGGTGGTTTTGTGAAGCGACACGGCCGAGGTAATCCACATAGACCTTCAAAAGTTGATTTATACTCCTCGGGTGGTGAGTCCCCAAATGTGAAACAGTCTAGGTAGCAAGGGATCTGTCAGAAATGAGAGAAATTCTACTAAGTCAAAGCCATCTCCACATGACATCTGGTAGGGCGTCACGTATGCACAGGTGGGAATGAAGGCATGGGATCTATCAGTATGATCGGGAATCAAAATCATCGGCCGAAGCGGTCTTCGGTGCTTTCGTCGGGCGGGTATGTTTCCGGGTCACCGGGGCGTCCAAGTTGACGTCTCATACGCGATGCCGGCTCGCGACAGAATGAAATGATGATTGTCCCCCCCCCATCCTCGTAAGCATTAATACTGAATTCACAATTCTTTGGTCAACCTTGATGGCGCACTTCAAAACCACGAATTATACGGGTTCTATACGGGTTTTGTAAAGAACTCGGGAATTTGACCATTAAACAAGTTTAAATGCCCCCTAAGCCTTCTGGTGTGCTGACATATGGGAGATTAGAGTATGTTACTAAGAGGAAATGAATTCAGATGCATTGCTGCCGGTAGTAAAGCTCTTGAAGGCCCTTGAATCCTGAAAGACAATTATCAATGTCTCAATCAAAATAAAAATTCTCCCACAGAAAGCCTGGATCTTGGTCGGAGATAGACGGATGAATCATATTCAACTGGTCCAACCAATAACCCTGATCAAAGACGTCTGGGATCGACTGCGAAAAGAGATCTGGCGAGCCAGGTCCAGATATTGTGTTAAGCTGAGAAGATTCTGGGTTTGAATCTGCACTCAAATCAAAACTCTGAAGGCCCAGATCATGGATGAGGTTGTGCAATCCATCACCAGGATTGCTGAATGAGGCGGATCTAGGTTCGGAAGTGCTGTTGTGTGATTCACAAGCGCTCTTTAGTTTTTGATAGCAGTGTTGGATAATTTTCAAGCCTGATCTGGCTATCGGATTGGAAGACTGCATCAAGGAGAGGTCCTCCATGGCCTGCTGGAGGCTTTGATCAATCTTGTGCTTGGCTTTGGGGCTCGACGGTGGAAATAAAGCGGCGATTATGGAGACAAGAAATGAGGCATCGACAGTATAAAACGCCAGGCCAAATAGATGGTATTGATCTTTTTCAGCCTGTGCAAAAAATTGCTGTTGACAATCAAGCGTTTGAAGCGCTGCCTGCAATGCGGCTTTTCGACTCTCTCCATTAGATATGACATGTGACCGATGCAATGCCATGACGAACAGATTTAGCATAACCTGTAATTCCTGGCGAAGCTGGGGAAGATACGGATGCTCAATGTCCCAGGTGGTGTCTGCATTTTTTAGCCGCAAAAAGGCAGGCACCTCGTTCTTCAACAACATTATTTCCTCATGCAACTTTTGGACAATAGTGTAGTCTTCCAGGCGAGGGCTGTCTGCTTTGGTAGCTCGCATCTTATGCACTTTGCATGCAAGTTCGTATTTCAAGAGAACCGCGGAGATCGTTACAGGACTTTTGCTGTCTTCGGGGCGTACCGTCATTGGTATCGCGGTGGAAGGATCCCTAGGGATATTACAATTCATGGGCGGCTTTGCATCACAGTCATCCAAATTTATCATTCGAGGGCGCCCGAGAATCATTGCCATAAAGCTAGGCCAGTCAGATGATGAAAAACATTTTAATATCCGGATTTAGTAGCCTCACCTATCCCAGACGAACAGATTCACCCATAGACGTTTCTTATTCTCTTCGTACCAGAACAAACTTAGCGTTTTGCCAACATTATTTCCATTAGCCTGTTGTATTTCCTTTTGCTGATGAAGGCGAAGTTCCTGTGCCTGTCTGGAAAGTGATGCGAATGAGTTAATTTGTTTTCGAGAACAAATTGTTATAAAACGGTCGGGGTCGGCTACGAACCTAATGGCAGATCCAACCGTATGCCAAGACTCGATGCCGCGCCCACAATTCTTCAGCCACGATGATCGAAGAAAATCCGCTTGAACTGCAGTGAGAGCCAACCCAGGTCTCCCCAACTGTGATAATAGCTCGTCGCCTAAATCGCTATACATCTGCGACGCGGAAACCCCTCCTGTTGGTAAGTTTGCCACGACGTCCCAGTCAGTAGGTGCAAATAGCAGCGATAAAGCAATGACCTGGAAGAGTAAGGCCGGAAAATATCGCATTTCCATGCAAAGTTCTGCGAGTGTCAGGTGGCTCACAGCAACTATTTCTTCAGCAGGAGGCCATCGTGAAAGTAAGCTATCGAAGTAGAATCTCTCGAGAATAAAGTAATGCCAATTCACATTACCAAAGAAGAAATCGACGAGCGCTGCGATGATAGGCCTGGGCGGCAGTTTCGCAAGCAGCCCTTCGACATTCTTCTTGGGTAACATGGATTGTGGTGCATCACTGTGACGGACTGCAATATTTTGGAAATCCTCATCTCCGAGGATCTCATTTCAGTCAGTGGGTTGTAAAAAGATGGCTCATGTAGATAGTCTACCTACTTCTTGCAACCCTACGAAGGTATTGCTGCCAGGAAGCAGCGAGTAACCAAGGTCGACCGAGCCCTGGGCCCTTCCTTCTACGGAACCAAGTAACTTGATTGAATCCGCGCCGGCCTGAGCAATGGGGATTGATCGCCGGGGCTCTTTTGCTTGCTTCGCTCTGAGGATGCAATTAGACATGTTAGGATCACGATATCCGACTAAAGCGGCAGCTAAGAAGGAATGGATACGAGACTACTTACGGGACAAAATCATCGTAGGTACATTGTGTGGTGACATTTCGCGCCAGGCAGTTGTTACATGGAGTTTTGCGGTCACACTAGATGGTTATGAGATGGCAGAACATCTTTAAAAGGACTGCAAAGGGCGAAAGGTTCAAACCTTTTGCTTTCTGCGATAACACTCGGAGCACGATGTCACCACTCGTCTGCGTTTCGACGACTGCTGAGCACTAGGGACAGGCATACTAATTATTGCCCACAATCCCCAGGAGAGCCAATGATGGGTGTTAGTAGAGTAGGTAGTTCGTCCGACGGGGCAAGCGTGCGCTCTGCAGCACGTGCCGTGAGTGCGAGACTCGCTTATGATTATGTAAGTTAACATGAATCCGACATGTATTGAATCATTCTCCGGGAACGTCGGGGTCTCCCACACGACCCGAAGCTTGACGGTTTACCCGAAGCCCTTCGGCCTAAACCCACGTCATGACGCGAACTTCTTTTTCTCTGCGAGATATAAAGCGTGTAGTCACTTCCAAAAACTATAGACCACTTCACAAGATCTTCCAAGCATCTCAAACATCAGATTATCACCAACTGCCATCATCATGTCTACAAAAGAAACAATCAGCATCCCTAACATTGCATGGGAGACCGCAGCCGACATTTACTTCCCACCAAATTTCAACAAGAATAAATCGTACCCTGCCGTTGTATCTGCTCATCCCATCGGCTCCTGCAAGGAGCAAACCTCTGGGAATATATACGGGAAGGCGATAGCAGAAGCAGGCTTTGTGGTCGTCACCTTTGACGCATCTTTCCAGGGCGCCTCGGGTGGTAAGCCTCGTTTCATCGAGAACCCCGAATTCCGCGTATCCGACTTTCGATTTGTTGTCGACTATATCCAGACATTGTCGTATGTTGACGCTGAGCGTATTGGCGTGCTCGGTATTTGCGGTGGAGGTGGCTATGCGATCAACGCAGCTATGACTGATTACCGTTTCAAGTGCTGCGTTGGCATCACCCCTGTTAACTTTGGTCGCCTCTCTCGTGAAGCCTTTGGCAACTTCGACCCAGTTAGCTCTCTTGAGAAGATGGCAAAGCAGCGTACTCTTGAGGCTCAGGGGGGCGAACGCCTTGTCATCAATCTCCTCCCTCCGAGTGTTGAAGAGGCGAAGAAAGCGACTACAGATATCGATGTCATCGAGGCGACTGAATACTACAAAACTGGCCGTGGGCAGGCGCCAAACGGATGCACCAGCGGTCTGTTTTCATTTAATAGTGCTGCTCTAGCGTGGGATGCTTTCAGTCACGCCGAAGTTCTCATGTCTAGACCTCTCATGGCCGTTGTCGGTGACAAACCCGGTGGTTTTGGCGCCTATCGTGACGCCCAGGAGATCTACGGTCGGGCGGGCACCAAGGAGAAACAGATTGTTGTTTTGCCTGGTGTTTCCCACTATATGCTCTATGACAAGCCCGAAGCAGTCAAGCCCGCTCTTGAGCAGGTCCTCCCTTTCCTTAAGAAGCACCTTGGCGATGTCAAATAGATACAGAAAATCCTGTGAGAATCGGCTGGAAAGGAAGCATTTTCCAAAAGGAATTTGTTTATTTACATGTCCTCATTGCTTTATGTTGTGTGAACAAGGTGCTGCAGAACCTAGACCAAAATTATGTCTCCATGAGGGATTTATACTTGAGATTGTGCAGTCTCTGGATATCTACAATAAATGAGGACTCGCGGAGCGCGGTAACATTTTTTTTTCTTTTTTTTCTTTGGAGATGCAGAAGTACTGCAGTACGTCAAGTTTCATTCAATCGTGGGTGAGGTAAATGGCCGGACGATTTGAATAGATTCTGTTCGTCGGCCGAAATACAAGGCGTTATGTACAATCAGCTTCGGCCGAAGCCGAAGCTGACCGGCAAGAAGCGGCGTGGCATCAGCCGGCATCATCGGATCTCCGTCAACGAAGTTCAATGACAATTCACGGAAAAAATTCACGGAGGGGTATGTTCAGATGCCGAGGAGACGAGTGTTTCCAATTGGGGTAGGAATCAGCCAATACATATCAAAAAAGACGAAAATCTACAACAGCTGGGACTCGCTATTGGTCACCCACCTAATTACTAACCTGCCCGGCGTGTGGCAGAAACGCGGTTAGAGGTCGGGTGAGTGCTATCTCAGTGAGTATTGGGTGAGCGTTGCTTTAGGGCCGCGCGACTGAGAATGATGAAGCTGATAACTCAGGGGTGACTGAAAAGGCCACGATTATGCGTGGCACTACGCCACTAAACTGTTGGAAACAAAGCGACTGGGTTGAATGATATTAAAGTTCCATTTGAGACGTGGCGGAGCGGCAATCTGAAGATGTGACTTGATCTAGCAGTGTATTGATTCATCGCCTTGGTGGCATATTGTTCATTCAGCAAAAGCGGATCGTCTCGACAACGAGCTCAAGAGAATTTTCCAAGCCATTTCAAGATGCCCGACAAGGTCGGAACAACTGCGTTGATGAAGTTAGGCTTGATGGTGTTGATGATTTTAGCTGGTGACGAGACTGGACATCAAGTCCCGCAACGTGACCAAAACCGGCCTCGGGGTTTGGTTGGAATTCCATGCCGCATCTCAAAACCGGCTAATCTCCCTTGATAATATGTAGAGAGAGTATTGGATTGAGGACATACGCCTAGTAGGCAAATTGAATCAAATGAAATGGAGACTCGCAGGTTGGAATAACCCTTGGATGGAAGAGTGCTTGATTCCCTTGAATAATGCGACAATCGAGTATACCAAAAGCTCAATGAGACAGTACTTTCAGAGAGATCTAAAGAGGAATTGTGTCACCGAAATGCTTTAAATAGGCCATCAAGGGTGGGTAAAGCTGATTCCTCAACAGATTGTTGATTGAATTAATGCTGAGGGTCAACTGAATGAGTCTCGAAGGGTCATAACTGTGTGCTACGATATGATTCTCCCGGCTCTGAAGAGGGCTAGTGAATATTGCCACTCTTTGATTCTTGATATCTTAACTTAACGAACTAGCACGTCGGGAAATCCCCTTGCTGCTAGCCTCTGCAGCAGCCCTTTCATGCCTCAGCCGAAAAGCTTCTGCTTCATAACCTGCCAAAACGACTGCAAGTTGTATCTATCATGCACAATCGGCTGTCCATTCAACTGCGCCAGCACATTGTCCCAGACCTGATTCAAATCCGGACGGTCTTTTGCACCACCAAGGTTCATCATAGCAGGTACAATGGCCCAATCGAACAGCACTGTCCCATCATCTTTCATTACTAGAATGGCCGGCTGTGCCATGCCATGTTCGTATCCTGTTTTCGGCGAGATAGCAACATTGAGATTAACCCGTTGTTTCATCTCCGCGGCGATCTTGTTCGTCGGGTCGACGATTACCTCGCCACTATAGCCCGTAGCGTTGATCGTGTCCGGAAGGTACTGCTCGGGCTCCGCAGTAATAGCGAGAGTTTTGCCCCCGGCGGCACTGATGTGAGGGAGAATTGACTGCAGGGTTTTCAAATAAGAGATGCAGAAAGGACACCAGTGGCCGCGGTAAACTGAGAAATAACGTTAGTCTGAGTCCCTACTGGAGAGGACCACCGAGACGTACAGACGACAAAGACGAAGTTGTTCTCTCTAAGCAACGCCTCATATCGTGAAAGAGGGTCTGACATGTTATTTGACATTGTCGAATGTTTTGGTAGAAGGCGTAATTGAGGGCAGGCAAGTGTTGTCTTCGTGCAAATTCCGTGCTACCTCTTTAAATGAAAAGGCGCGAATCTCTCGGACAGATACGATTGAAAGCGTAGGTGGTGGAACACAAGATTAATGGAATGCAGCAAAAGGCGTTACACAGCCCTAGATATAGTGACGACAAAGCTCTCAAACTACTTAGACCGAACTCGGACCAATTCGGTCGGATCAGTCATCGACCAAAGTCCTTAAGGCCACCCATCGCCGCCGGTTATGACAAAGACAGTAATCATTCAGATCTAGTCGAACGAACTCATACAAACTCGTACAAACTGTATACAAATCCACTGGCCATGTAACTAACAGACTGAAGGGTATTCGCATTCGAACTTAGTCAATCCAAGGCCTGAATCTTAGCGGGTGGATCCAGGCTCCAAAGGATGACAGCGCGTGGAATGTCACTGAATGGCTTGAAAAGAATGGCCTATTTTTTCATCCAAACAGAGAGACAGGCAGCACTATTGCCGTGTCAATTTGTAATGTGGCTGTAGGATTTTGGACCTTGGATGGCGATGGACCCCCCTCTGATTCGGGCGAACTCGGCCGAACTCGAGCGATTTTAGACGAATCGCTGCTTATTGCCGCATGCGCAGTAGCTGCGAACTCGCATGATTACAAACCCACGGCCGCATGCATGATAATCTGGCTGTGACTCTATCCCGGTCCATGTTTAATCCAGCGCGGCAACGTGGCCGTTCCGACGCCTACGTAGGAAAGGCACGGGAATTGCCTGAACGAGAATACACACAGGCGGGGCTACGCTCCGTCACCCGTGTCTTAGCACAACACCATGACGCCCTCAAAGCGCATGCGCCTCGGCACCAAAAGCTGCACGGAGTGCCGCCGAAGAAAAGTCCGCTGCATCTTCCGAACAGACGAGGGCGCCTGCGAGGCATGTCTAGCTCATGAGGTCGACTGTATCGCTCAGCAGGCTAGAGGCCATGAAATGCCCAGCGACGATGTTGACGCTCTGAAACAGCGCTTACGGGATCTCGAGGCTATTGTCCGCAAGTTTCCTCCGAGTGCAACGGCGTCGCCCCCTTCGACTTTGTCGGAGACGCCGCGTCTGTCGTGCGTGAACGAGATGCCTACGGCGACCAGTCCTCTACCACAACACTCGTGCACTTACAGGCGACAACGCTGTCTACCGTGGGCGGGATGCCCGTGTCGGCAGCAAAGCGTGGCGGAGTCGAGCTGTCGTCAAAGGAGCCGCCCGTCGAAAATTCGCCATTGATGCTTCTATTCAAAGGCGCCTCACTACTGGATAGAGAGAAGGGGACCGAGTCTTCGACACCACCGTTGAGCGTCTCAACTTCATCGGGCCTGCTTCAACATCGAGATTGTCTCGTATCGCTGCTACCATCGACACAAGACCTTGACCATATTCTAGGAGCCACAGAGAAGTATTGGCCGATATGGCCGCCCTACTACTATGGAGAGCCCGGGGCAATCGACGCCCTGAGACCCGGAAAAAGGCAACTGGCGCGACAGCTTATGTTTACTGTAGTCGCCAGCTCCGTAGAACCAGGATTAATAGCAAGATCGGCCCTATGGGTAGCGCTTTGCGTGCAGCAGACGCCTGAGACGCGTCTTGTCCATTGTGAACCTTGCCTACGCTCAGCACGACCTGGTTGACACGTATATTAGACTAGCAAAGTCCCTGCTGGAGCTGGACGCGGAGCGCGGTGGAACTATCGATGGAATTGAGAGCATGAACATGCTGTACAAGCTGTACATCAATATGGGGCGGCCGCGAAACGCGTGGTATTGGTGCCGACAAGCCATCACCATGGCCGTGAGCTGCGGCCTCCCCGGCAAGGCGGACGCGCTGGACATGCGCACCGCGTATGCGTGGTCTACGGCATGGCAAATGGAGCGATTCATGGCCCTGATGCTAGGGGGTGCCGACCTCCGTCTCAGCAAACCACCCAGGAACGTCGTCCAACTCTCCTTCCGCCCCGTGGATGAGCCACATCATGTGGTCGACGGCACTGATCTGCGAGAAGGCCATCAACCGCGACCAGGCGCACTATGCTGCAGACAACTATGCGACGACTGTCGAGATCGACCAAGACTTGGAAGAGGCATACCGCCTCTTCTCAGAAGAACACTGGATGCCTCTGTCACCGAACATGCCGTTCTCTGACTGCTGGAACCAGCAAGCTAGCAAGCTCATCTTCTTCACGACCCTCAAGTTGGTGCACATGCCGTACATGCTCAAGTCGGCGGGCGAATCAAAGTTCCTGCATAGCTGGCACCGCGCCATGGAAGGCGCGCGCGGCGCGGCGAAGGCATACACCGACTTTAAAGCGTGGCCTAGTGCGGGCGAAGACCTATGCGAGCTAATGGACTTTCAAGCCTTTAGCGCAGCCATGGTCCTCATCATAGGGCACCTGATATCCCCTGCGAGGGCTACACCACTCACCAAAGAGCAGGACTGGGCGCTTGTCGCAGACGTGTCCCTCTGTCTGCGGCATACCGTAGCCATCGTGGACTGTGTCGTCGCCGCGCAGGCTGCCCGCATTCTAGATATAATCGACGCGGCACGGCATGGCGCCTACATTGCCGACGATGACTACGCCGTAGACGTCCCCTACTTTGGGAGAATCCGCATCGATAAGAAGACAACCTCGGCAGAGAACCTGAACGGTAGCGACAACAGCTGCACCAGCTCTCATCTTAGCCTTAGTCCTGTGCTGCCCGTCGAATCAGTAGCTATACCCACGGACACGCACTTCAACACCGTCGAATTTAGCACCAACATCTTCACGCACGAGTACCCCTTCAAACTCGACTTCGAGACGGAGCTCTGCTTCGACTGGGCGGACCCATCACTGCTGTACGCGGAGACCGACTGGTCCCAAACGTTTAGATGTGGCCCGTTCTACCCGTTGGACAGCTAGTCTAGATTCGAGCGAGAGAATGTGGCACATCGCTAACAAAGCTAACGGAGCCGGGCGTAAACGGAGCCGGGCGTATTACCGACTGGCTGAAATGGCAGAAAGTATAACGTATCAAGAATGCGCTGGAACGGACTTCGCACATCAATCGTAATAGGGTGAAGATAACAACTACACGCTGGGGAACCTGAAGTGGCCAATTCGAAGTGCTCTTTGCGCGCGAAGAATTATCGAGGCCGAACAGATACCTGGTTGTGTTGGCGTACGTGGAGGGCAGGACGAGAGGAGGCTTTGGCCTCGGTAGTGAGACAATTTTGGAGCTTGGTTCAGCAAGTTCGCAATGGAACAGGACGTCGCCCTGATATATTGTTGGCTGAAGATTTCAACCATCATGATCTTTTACGAATAGGAGAGGATGTAATGGCAAGGGGACAGGGAGAAGCAGAGCCATGTATTGATCTGATAAACGTGGATTTCCTCTACAACTAGTGCAACACTTCATTGTGATTGCATTGAAACAAAATAGGATTCAAGGAAACGGATCAATTTAAGTCCTTTAATTTTACGTTTGCTGAGGAACCGTCATTTCCAAATATTTCTTCCGCGTCTCTGTCAGCCTCTTGTGTACCAGTTTGTCGTACAAAGCCATTTCATTGGCCAGCCAGGTCATGGTGATTGTTTTGCCCTGCGAACGTCGACGAAGCTTGCTCCAAGCATCCTGAGTATAAATTATTTCCAGAGGATGCGGACGAAATATCTTCGTCGGTCGATAACGCGGTGAAAGACCCTTAGGATAACATCGGAAGGTGAACTCACGATTTCGCAGAAGTGGGGCGTGGGATTGAAAAGGTTGCCATTTTGCCTCCGGTGGGAACTGAAATCTTCGTCTTAAATGGAAGGGTGTCTCATAGGGCTCGTTGTGAACATCGGGAATAATCCACGGCACCAGTCGATCTTTTTGTTTGCTCCTCTCTGTACTCGGTCCTTGCTGTGCACCAGAGCTTTGAGCAGGCCTGGGCCTAAGGATAATCTCACGCCATTCTTTGTAACTTCGCTTTGCCGGTAAGGTTGAGCGAAATGCCGTTGGAAGCTTTGTCGCGCCGTATGTATTGATCACCCGGCGGCTGTGATCATTCACGGCACGATTTCGATACTCCTCGTTGATCCCAGGTCGTGTGGATTTGAACCAGAATTCCACAAAATCGCCTTCTGCACACTCGTCGTCTTCAATACAAGGCATTGCAGCTTCGAAATACTCGTGCGCTACCGGAATGTTACCTTGCTGGAACTCGATTCGACCCATCCAGTAGTAGCATCGCGCGATCAGGTTTTGGTGGTTCAAATTTCGGGCAAGCTCTAAAGCCTTCTTTGCTTCTTTCATGCCGAGGTCAGAGTTTGAACAGGCGAGACAGTTGAGGACGGTTGCGAGTATCATAGAGATCTCAATCCCCTTCAGTTGGTCGACAAGGTCGGGCAGCGGCGCCGGGATCCGCATGGAAGCCGCTTTCCGGAGTAGCTCGTTACGACGAATATGTGTTGCCTTCAAATCACTGTGTAACTTCTTGACTTTCTCCCGAACCTCTTCTTCAATCGGATCAACGCGCGGCATGGCTGGCCACTCGAGCGAGTAATCGACGTACTCGATATCACAGTCAGCGGTGGGTGGGTTCCTTTCAACCGGCGAGCCTTGAGCGGCCTCATCGATCGAGTGAAATGTGGCATCGCCCCGAGAAAGATTTCGGTCACTCATGCTAATGCTCTGAGGGTGGAAAGTAGGTAAAGCAAGGTGTCTTGTCTGGCGCGTAGTCAAGCCGAAGAATGGGACACGGGCAAAGGACTTTACTCAGGTGAGGTGTGGACCTCATTTATCAATGGATGGTCATCTGTAAGCTAAAGAGATGCGGTGCTTCATCAAAGAAATTGTGTCTGTGGCAAGAACATTCACCTTTATCGGCCTTTCATCAACCTGTTTATTGGGCAGATGAAACAACCAATTATGTTGAATGACGACTTTGTTCAGGCGTCAATGAAGTGATACCCGAAACAGATCATAGAGAAATAAAGCATCAGAGTATTTATTGTCACTTCTGCTTCCGGACGGTCAATGAATTTGCTGGATGACAACCCCATTATACCTAATTCAAGTAAAAAGTTGGCCTACCACTAACCCATTAGTCAGTTACTGAAACTCATCATGACTACGCAAAGTTAGAATATAAAAAGTGGAGTCGATGTTATTCCAACGCAACCAGTATTAGTTTTATTATTTTGACGGGTGCCCGAAAGTGCCCGAGGCTCGCAAACAAAGTTCTTCCTTCCGACCCTTATATTGCTTGTAGAAAGTCGTCAGAAAGCTTACCATTGTCTCGCTCTGCAAGTATATACTCACTAAATCAAATTGTAAAGCTAAGTCTTATCGCGCCGACAAGACTCATCCGACACAACACTTAGCTTATGCCGAAAGATGAAAGAAAATCACGATGGTAATATTGAAAGCCATGGTGGTACTATTTTGGCAAATGAACTTCATGGAATGGGTACAGTAATATTTGAAATCAGTTTTACTTCCATCTCTCTCTCTGTGTTTCCCAAAACTGCACCTATAGCGCACTAGCCCGTATTAGGATATCCTTCCACCAGCCTTGCACTTGTCGATGTACCTTCGATGAACTGGCGTAAATTACAGTAAGCTCATCTCTCGGCATTTAGAATATTCTTACCTCTTTCAACCACACGAGTCATTGCCAAGTCAGTCATCCACCCACACCGGTGGCGGACAGTGCGATGAAGCGTTCTGCCCTACAGTAATATTCGAAATCAGTTTACCTCCAGATTCTCACGGATTGATTTGCGGAACCCAAAAATGCAGACGGCCCCAAACAACCCCTCAGAAGCGCGTGGATTTCACCTTTCAACTTCACTCCATCTTGCTCATTAAAATGTTCAACGCAGAGCGAAATCCATCCCCTATTATGGACTGGACCACACTGCCTCCAGAAGTCTTCGAGATAATCCTCACATATCTGGATCTCGACACGGTCAAGGCTCTTCGTCTAACAGACCGAAAGCTCGCAGAAAAGTGCATCGGACCCCGGTTTTTAGGCTCTATTCAACAACCCATTTTCGCTGTATCGTCGCAGAATCTTCATTCTCTTCATGCCTTGGCTTGCAATCCTGCCCTCAGCAACCTGATCTATTCTCTGACCTTCCTGGCCACAAGCCTGGACTCGTCCGAATTGGAGAAGAACGTGAAATGTGGAAAACGCACTGTGCGACAATCCCACGGGCACTTTATTACAGCGACTCGGGTCGCCTATTCCCCCGAGGAACTCTCAAACGTCAAATCCAATCTGACCTGGTTAAGAGGACAGCGAAGAGCAAGAGCTAATGAGTCGTCGAGCGAGATGATTGAACTTCTTCAACTTGCGCTCAAAGGGTTTGGCGAGTTGGATTCTATCCATTTAGATGGTGCGGTCATCGTCGGACGTACGCAGAGAGAATCGACTTGTAATGATCAGTGGCATCCGCTCTGGATGCGAGCATCCTACGTATTCTCTTTGGTTATGACAGCTATGGTGCAGAGCGGGACCTCGGTGAAGAAACTCAATGCATATCGCAGTACTCCTAGATGCTGCATTCCATCTGGTGATATCACCACCTATGCATTAGGTCTCAACCCAAAGCAGCTAGGGATACTGAACAAGGGCCTGGAATCACTCCAGCTGAGTATGTCTGCGGAGGTACAGAATGCTCTTGACTTTGCCAATGCTCTTAACGTTCTCGAACCAGATGACGACACACCAGAGGGTCATTTATCACGCGATGATCCTCGTGCAGTGCTAGTTGATGGGACACCGGGGATTACATCCCTACTCAAGTCTGCGCCTGCTCTTCGAGAGCTGGATTTATCTTTCCGTCATGCCCTGGAAGACGGGACGTTGGACAGCTACGACCGGATCCTTGAAAGTATTGCCCATGAAGCCCAGTTCCCGATACTGGAAAAATGTGCACTTTCTGGATTCCTGGCAAAAGGGGAATCGATTCTGCTATTTCTCCAGAAGCATCCCGACCTCCGCTCTTTCACGTTGCATGAGTGTACTTTGACCACTGGGTCATGGACACCCATTTTTTCTCATCTAGACCAATCGATGCCAAGGCTAGACGACCTCAGCTTCTCGAACTTGTATGGAAAACATAGGCAGGAAGAGGATGGCAAGCAGGAAGTCGATGGGATGGTGAATCTACAACCGATTTGGGACACCGATCAGCCACCGCTTTGGAAAAGCTTCTCGACGGGTGGAGGGAGGCAAGTGCATACCAGGAGCTTCAATCGCGAAGAATTGAAGAAAGGGCTTGTGTTTCGGCCATTGATCAGGGGGCGGGGACGACCTAAAGGCTCTCTTGAGTTTATGCGGTGGAGGGATTCTCGGAGAGCGCTTTATGGACCTCCATAGTGCCGTGGAGTGTTTAAGGATTCTTTTGAAGATCTCTGTCATGGCCGAATTTTCTCTTTCTTTTGATAATACGTTTTGAATATGAACTTCAATGGTCAAGCTAATTCAATTCGGTTGCCGGATGTAGGAAGACTATTATTCTAAAGGGATGCCATTGAACTAACTTTGTAAGTTACTCCGTCATACTGGCATTTAGTGCAATAGAAAGGAATGGAAACGATTCCCGCCTTTGCCTCTCCATTTTCTAGGCCTGTAGATCAATCCTAAGAGCTCGTGGCCGCCTTTGGAGAAATGATCTCGTAGTTTCTTTGTTTCCTCGGACCTGGGCAAGACGAGCCCGCTGATTTCACGGCTCATACAAATCGGTCGGTAGGAGAGGAGGCAATTTCTGCCAAGAAAGAGCTTCTCTGCTGGGGCTGGGGCAGGGACTGAAACTACAAAAACGCGGAAGTCGCATTTCGAAGCATAATGATGCCTAATTGACCCGCTTCAAAATTAAATTTCCCGCTTTTAGTGCCGCCCACTTGACCTGGCAGAGCAGCTTCTTTACGCCCTAACAAGGACGAAGTGGGCTTCTTCAAGATACGACACCAATTCTGATCATCTTTGACTTGGAATAAACCGACAAGGATGACCGTTCACTGATATCAACCTAGGCTGTCGTTACGATGTCAAACTGACAGCCTGGCAAGTATATCTTCATCAACTGAAGATTGTAATAATTTCTCCGGCTCCAACATTTAGTGTTTCATCAATTGAAGACTCAGACACTCCTTACATAGTTTTATGGAATTCTCATTATCCATCTGGTCTCAATAGATTGTGATTAATCATCAGCTTTTGAAGCGCTCAAGTTCATGGAAATGTGTCATTGGTAGATACAATAATGAAAATAATGACTAGGAACAAGGAGCATTTGTGATCTGAGACAAGGAAATTCGCCATTTTCAAAAGATGAGATTACTGTAATTTACGCCAGCTCATCCAAGGTACATCGATAAATGCAAGGCTGGCGGAAGATTTCCTAATACGGGCTAGTGCGTTATGTGTGGGGCCTTGGGAAACGAAGAGAGAGAAAGTGAAGGTAAAACTGATTTCGAATATCACTGTAAGTGGTACAGTTCTTGAGTTGAGAAAGAAGTTATGAAATTTAAAGACGGGTCAAAGCTTTATACATGTCTCATGGCGGCCAGTTCGTAGCTCCTATGTCTGGGCATTCGGATTGCTTGAGACTACTTTGTTCTTGACTCGATCGGCTTCACAGTGATTCATTGTGTTTCAGGAGAGACCGTGAACAGATAAGGGCGAAAAATTTTCCAGGCAAAAAATTCTTTCAACCCATTGAACAGTGTATCCCTATAAGTCGAGCACCGAGTGAACAATGATCGCCTTGTTCATGTGACGACAATGCCTTATGAATTCTCATGCTCCTGAGAGGCTGTCAATGGGAAAAATCGGTCAGTCGAATAGATCGGCCCGTTGATAGATAGGCTTTACTTTTTAGCATACGGGAAAACCCAAAGACATTTTGAGAAGGAATATCTGAAGAGATAAGGTGCTTCGTCCCATTAACGTGGTCGGTAAGCGAGCTGCGCATGTAAGCGAGCTGCGCACCCCAAAACACCATAGTAAAGGCGATAAATTACAATATCGAATCTCAACAACGATAGGCTGTTATAGGATGATGCCAAAGAAATTAGACTTTATATAGCTCATCGAGTCTATCAGCAAGATATAAAGACCTAGTAAGACTTCGTGGTCAAGATATATATATTTAAGCCTCAAATCGCAAAAATACAAGGTATTTTTCGGTAATGCGATAAATTGAGTCTTTAATTTGCTTCAAGCTTATATGAAGTATTCCTAATAATTAGATATAGTCTTATACAAAGTTTGAAGGGAAGATAATGTTTCGGTGTTGAAATATAAGTGTTTAAAATATCTCATTTACAATGGTATTTTGGGGTGCGCAGCTCGCTTACATGCGCAGCTCGCTTACCGACCACGTTAGAATGGCGAATAGGACAAACATGGCAAACATGGCAAATGGAACGCATGAACCAAAATATGCAAACATAGCAAAATGCAAACGGTGCAAATGGTGCAAATGGAGCAACAGCGCTATGACCTCACGTCCGTGAAGCTCCCCCACATCGCGATTGCCGCCAACAGGCTCCCATGCATACAGGGTGGTATTAATCAACGTCAGACGGGGATCCACGGATGAGTCAACCGACGATTGTCCAATCTGACCAAGTGGAATCATGCCAGACGATCTAGACTTGCGGGGTTCCTGGGTGCAAACATGATGAACGGCTCAAAACCGGGTCGGGGAACCCATCTAGGTCGAATCGGTCACCAACCCTCCGTAGCTTCGAGATTAGTCTCTCCTTTGATGCATTTACATTGTTTGCATCGCTAGTGTCGTTCTTAGCTGAGAAGGTGACTGGTTATTCAGCTGTACGACGGCTTACCCTGGGTCCACCTGGTGCTGCGATCATTCGTCATTGAGTTGATTTCGACCATCCGAGGTTTTAAGGTCCACTCAACTGGGAACCATTCGATTGAAAGCTTGTTCTCCGCGCCTTCCGCTTTGTTTTTAACACGGGCAGCTTCCCACCTAGTGCATTTCGACATATCTTCCAGCAATTACTGTTCGTGTTCGTCCCGTAAAGCGCTTGCCAGTATCTGCAAGATGTCGCCAACGGCAGTTCTCAATGATGCAGTCAGCATTGTTGACATTCATCAGGATGACTTGAAGTTCAGCTTGGTAGACGATTTGTTCAAGAAAATCGATCCGCCAAAGGGCAAGAGACGTTCGTTTCCCACCCTCTTGCTCTACGACGCCAAGGGCCTGAAACTGTTCGAGAAAATCACCTTCTTGGACGAATATTACCTCACCAATGCGGAGATTGATGTCTTAAATACACATGCAAAGAGGATCGTGGAACGAATTCCAGAGAATGCGCAACTGATTGAGCTTGGTAGTGGGTCTGTTGTCCTTGCACTCCAGATCCGTAGCTAAGAGAGAATTCATTACTCGAAACTGGATCGCCGTGTTTCGTACAGCTTCTAACGTTTCCTAGAAATCTACGCAAGGTTGAGATCCTCCTGCGAGAATGTGAACGGATGGAGAAGAAGGTTGACTATTACGCTCTCGACCTTTCTCTGGTCGAACTGCAACGAACCTTTGCTGAAATCTCCCCCGAGAAGTTCGACTATGTCGGTCTTCACGGCCTTCATGGCACATATGATGACGCCCTGGATTGGTTAAAGAGACCTGAAAATTGCACAAGACCGACCGTTGTGTTATCTATGGGATCCTCTATGGGAAACTTCAGTCGCCCCGAGGCGGCGGATTTCCTTGGCGGCTTTGCCAAAGCATTGAAACCGTCCGACTTCCTGCTGATCGGACTGGATGCTTGTAAGACTCCGGAAAAGGTCTTCAAAGCCTACAATGACTCCAAAGGCATCACTCGTCAATTCTACGAAAACGGATTAGCTCATGCAAATGCCGTCCTTGGGTTTGAAGCGTTCAAGCCGGCCGAGTGGGAGATTTTGACCGGCTACGACCCGGTCGAGGGCCGCCATCAAGCTTTCTACGTACCGAAGGTCAATGTCACCATTAACGACGTCACAATTGCCAAGGGAGAGAAACTCATCTTCGAGGAAGCGTGGAAATATGGTCGTGATGATCGAGATGAGCTATGCCGTCGCGCAGGATTGATCCCCCAAGTTGAATTTGGCAACTCTACCGATGACTACCGTATGTTGTCTGATCTCCTATGTCCACATGATTCTAACAGGGCTTTAGACATTCACATGCTGTCACCTGCTACTCTTGAGCACCCCACGCAGCCTTCCCAGTACGCAGCTCAACCAGTCCCAAGCCTTGGAGATTTTCAGTCGCTCTGGACTGCATGGGATATCGTGACCAAAGCCATGGTTCCTCGTGATGATCTTCATTCGAAGCCTATCAAGTTGCGAAATGAACTGATTTTCTACCTCGGTCACATCCCAACATTCTTCGGTACGCCTGTTCATGCTTCCAAATTCACGTCGTATACTAACAGCAGTAGATATTCACATGACTCGAGCTTTACAAGGACGGCCAACTGAGCCAAAATACTACCAGCAGATCTTTGAACGCGGCATTGACCCCGATGTTGAGGACCCAGAACAATGTCACGCTCATAGCGAGATTCCTGATGAATGGCCACCTCTCGACGAGATTCTAGATTATCAAGAGCGAGTGAGGGGTAGAGCCCGATCTCTGCTTGAGGATGGATCAGCTATGGAGGACCGAACTGTCGGAGAAGCTCTCTGGATCGGTTTCGAGCACGAGGCAATGCATCTAGAGACCTTCCTCTACATGCTCTTACAGAGTGACAGAATTCTCCCACCTATCGGAGCCGACCCACCTGACTTCGCACACATGTCTTGGATGGCAAAGAAGAACAAGAAGCCCAACTCCTGGTTCCACATCCCACAGCAAACGTTGGAGATCGGCCTCAACGATCCCAACGACAAAGCTATGCCCATGGAATCCTTCGGCTGGGATATTGAAAAGCCCCAGCGAACTATTTCTGTGCATGCATTCGAAGCTCAGGCTCGGCCGATTACGAACGGGGAGTATGCCAAGTACTTGCAGGTCAATGGTATCCAGGGATATCCCGCCTCGTGGAAGCTGGTCTGCGAAGATGAAAATTACGCCATTACCAACGGTATCACCCGGTCAAGCCCCAACGCGACCGAGGACTTCTTGAAAAACTTCGCGGTTCGCACTGTGTTCGGGCCTGTCCCCTTGGCCTTGCGCAGGACTGGCCGTTGATCTCGTCATATGATGAAGTTGAGAAATATGCTAAATGGATGGGCTGTCGTATCCCCACATTTGAGGAGGCGAAGAGCATCTACGCATATTCGGACAAGCTTCGAGCTCAAACATCTAATGGCACCCCTAACGGTCTGAAGGCCACTGAGCAGCGCACATCACAGATAAGCAACGGTGCTGGCAGCTCTTCCTCCAACGGAGTCAACCATGCTGCGCCATCTTTATTCCGGGACCTTGAAGGGTCCAACATTGGCTTTAAGAACTGGCATCCAGTTCCAGTCACCCCGAACGGCGACAAGCTTGCCGGCCAGGGTGAAATGGGTGGTGTTTGGGAGTGGACCAGCTCCCCTCTTGTGCCGCACGAAGGGTTCGAAGCCATGGAAATCTATCCCGGCTATACTTGTAAGTCTTCCCGATTCACTACACTGAAACTGGCTTCAAAATGCTTACCGGGCTATAGCGGACTTCTTCGATGGGAAACATAACATCATCCTCGGTGGATCATGGGCGACTTTCCCCCGCATTGCGGGCCGATCTTCGTTGTAAGTCACCTATAAACCCACCCAAACCCAAAGAAAACAGCTAACAATATAGCGTGAATTGGTACCAACGTAACTATTTGTATGCGTGGGCGGGCGCTCGTCTGGTTAAGGATGTTTCTATGTAAATAGCTCCCATTTGATGGCCTATTGCAAATGGGGCGACTTGACAGCTCTTCACAATTCCCAACGTTCCTCTCTATTGTTGCAAGTTCGATCGAAAAAAGTAATGTGTACGAAACGCGAGGAAAAGCTGGCAGGGAAGAGGAAAGAAAATGTCAAGAGTTATTAGTCAGTATCCGTTACGTATATATGAGCCTAGAATCTTACATTGTCTACGCCATGACTTCTACATATATTTCTAGATAACGGGATGCAAGTGGACACATAGCAAGCACGAAAAGCCGTCATTACCAATGTAACATTGCGAAACCGAGGGAAACAAGATAGTGACCCTTTCATCGACGACATCCAGATGTCATCTTCGATGACCCTTTCTTCACTACAATCCGCCCTTCCAGACCCCGACCGGAGTCTCAAGAATGGAGACACCAGCGCAAGGAAAGACCGAAAGCGGTAACCCCTAGGAGGCGATGTGGAATTTTCGATGAATGTAGGCCAGGAATGCAGTAGCACTAGCCAGACTGTCGGGACAAATATCTAGGCTCCGCGGGTCCAACATATCTCAAGTGCTAGGGGTCTCTTCTTTACCGCTCAACTACATACCAGTGGTCCGGGGTTATATTGCCTTGACGATTACGGAATTGTACGTATTGGCCATCGAGTTGCATCGCAGTCGCGGGGGGTCGACAATACCGGGAAATTTGAAAACTTCGAAACTATTAAAGACTAATTATAGGACGTGATATCAAATTTAGGGTTTGTTGCTAACTGGGAAGTTGGTCCCCCTGATGACGACGCTGTGGATGTCGATAAGGTATCCCTGTATTCGATATTTCGCGTTTGGGGCTTTGTTGTGTGGCAGCAAACAGATGCCTATTTACCTGACATTTGAATCAGGGTGGTTTAGGTTATCTGCGGAAATTAGTTTCTTGTATAGCGCGTTTCTTTTCACCGGAGAGTCCTTGAATCTTTTCTGTGCGGGTTTTGGAATGTGTGACTGTGTTAAGCTTGCGCGACGGGGCCGACTGTTCAGCTCCTGTGAGGTGTTGGGTTCGGCATTGCTCCGACGCAAGGGAGACGCGAAAAAGAAAAAAAATTCGCGAACCTTGCCCAGTCTTTTTGGCCGCAAGGAAGACGATTTATCCTTTTGGCTCTCCTTATTTGCACCAGGTTTGATGATTTTGATGTGGCGATGCTGGGCTAGGGATTAGGTCCACGATGTCCCCGTGGAAGTGGCATTGTATGGAAGTATGAGTGGCTAGGATGTGTTTCCCCTCTGAGGGAGTCAAGGACTGGGCCAAGTGGTTATCATGATGTATGTGGAGGAAGTATTTACAAGGAAGTCCTTGCGGCAAGTGACGAAGCTGGCGTGGTTCATGATGTGGAAGAATCAGTGCTTCGAAGCAAGTATACCGCAATCGGAAACAAAGTTTAAGTCGGAGCGTTATCGCCGCAGGAAGACATCACATTACCCAAGTAATGCCGAGATTCCGATCATCTCTGTCAGCGACGAATTCATGATGGATCGACAGTGACTGGAGCGATATGAGATCGACGGTGCATTCACGATAGGCATTGACTTTGCCCATGCCCACTCCAACCATGGAAAGACAGACAATAATGAGCATGATTCGAGATTGTATTGAGTTTTGTGGTGTATAGGAAGGAAGAGCGACTATCGCTCTCAATAGGAGACTCGACTCAAGGGTACTTCGCCTTTCAGCGGTATTTGCAGTCTCCTTCCATGCGCATGTCCGACCCGGCAAACAGCGCTTGTCTCGGCACCGTTAGGATCGAAATACCCACTAGGCAGAAAAACTTAAGGGCCAATAATCGACGGAAAGGGACAGGAATGAAGTCGAGCGTTTCTGGGGCACGAGGCCCGACTGGGCCTTTTCGCCCTTTTGCTCTTTCTGGCTGGCACTCCACTCCGAGTGCCGCCGAGTGCCTCTTATGCACGGGTTTCCGTACATTTTCTTCCCTGCAGGCTGCAGGTCATGATGACCCTCTGGTACATGCTACAATAGTATCGACGATCTGCTGGGATGCTCGGAGATTCAAGGGACCGTGGCTGTACTCCATACTGGCGATAGTACCTGCATGAGTGCCACGACAGGCACGAAATACGAAACACCAAGCACCTAGCACAAGGCACAAGGCACAAGGCACCAGGCAAAACGCCATAGATCTCGGGTACCCGGCCATCGGATCTATTCCGCGGGATAGAAGGAGATGCTAGCCGGTCGCCGCAGGGGAGATGGAATGTGTCACAGACCCATGAAAGGGAGGCAATACCGAGTCCCGTCAGGCCCTAGCCCATGCCAAAGAACTCCACTTGCACAATTGGGGATGATCAGTCCCTGAAAAGCCGTGGTTAGTATGGATGTGCATACTGCAGGCACTTGGCCCCCGAACACGCCCGCTATATGTACCGTGGCTTGGCCGCAGTTTCACTTCCAAGATTTTCAACATCCCAATGGCATAGCGCCTGCTTTCGTGCCTTTTTGTTTCTCTGTTGTCGCCATTTTTTCCATCATCAGTCCTTCATTTTCGCATTGTCCCTCATTTTTCTTTTATAGCATTTGTGTTTCAACGCCGAAGCGTGTTTCTCTGTCTTTTATTGTTTTCAACTCAATAATTTCGGACCTGCTCCATTGCGCCAACTCAACGCGTTTGATCTGGTTTCGCCGCATAACGCCCTAGTTGAATCTCGAAATCAACTCACGGTTCAGCATAATAATAATACAACATGGATTGCTTCCGCCAGATTTACCGGTGCATCAAGTCACCATTCACACGCTCAAGCAAGCAGGGAAGGATCCTTCACATTGTAAGTTGCACCAAGCCACACAAAGTTGAAGGTCTACTGACACAATTGCGGGTAAAGTCAAGCCCAACAGACTTCCGCAAGGAAGAGATTGCCCGCCTGTTTCTCGGACGCCGAGTCAGTCGTGTCGCCCAAGCAAAACCCGGTCGAGCTATCAGTTCTGACACCATCACAGCACCCTGACGTCCCAGAAGAGCCACGAGGCAGCGAAAGACGAGACGAGTATCGAGATGACGCCCTGCCCCCCGTCGGCCAAGGCCAAGATTCAGAGTCACGTCCGGAGATTGAGCGTCAGATTGTCGCAGTCCGGTTCCGAGACCGTTTGAGGCCTTCGCGATGGCTGAGCCCTGTGCGCTCAGCGACGCCTGTGAGCTGCAATGAGAGGCAGGCTTCATCAAATGAGTTGGAAATGTACACCACGGCGGACGAGAAACCGAGGGACACTTGAGGATCCCATCACTCAGTGGAATATTAATGTTTGTGCAGGGAAGGTTGAATGTATTATCACACTAAGAAAGTTGGAACGTCTTTATAGCGGGATTCCTTGGACTCCAAATTTCTTTCCCCCAGCGAGACCTCTGACCTTTGGGTTGCGGTGGAGGACCTGCTTTTCTTTTCAGGATTAGAACTTTTAGATATTGACGGCTCTGGAAGCTCGTCAAGGTCCTCAAATAGCATCTGAACCTTTGACTTGAATTCGGTTTTAAGTTGCGTCTTCGGCCGTGCTGGCCTTGAGATCTCTCTCTCAACCGCAGATGTAGTGTTCCTATGTCTCAGTTGCCGAACTGTGGAAGGCGGCGATGAAGCGGAACTTTGATCTGGAGTATTGCTTTCCAATCGTCTTTGTTGTTTAGTAGCCGTGTAGACATGTCCATCGAGATCATCATCTTCGCCCGATGCCGTCTCCTCATCAACCTCCACATGGTGGATTTCTGCAGCTCGCGATAGCCGGGCAGTTTGAGACCTGCAAGCCATCTGCCTATTGTCAATCTGCGACCCGATTGCTTGTCCAAAGCCCGCAGCAGCTCTCGTAGAAGACTTCAACAGATGGATGCCAAGCAACGAACGTGGCTTATTTGGACTCGTCATAAGACCATGCAAGTGAGTCCCAGCCCAAGTATCATCATCGTCGTCATCGGTATCATCCTTGTCATCTTGGCCCGCAACCTCCTCGACTCCAGCTCTCTGGCGCGTCGCCTGTGCTTCAGCTTCCTTTTTCCTTTGAAGCTCCTTTGACATGGGTGTTCTTCCATCTGTTGGCCTCTCTATGGCGCCCTTTTGTGCCGCACTTTGCGCCTTCGCATCCTTTTTCCGGCGGATGTACTCGGCATAGTGTAAGTGCTGAGTGAATGTTTGTGCGGTTGCGTAGAACTCGTCTTCGACCATTATCCAGGCGTCATCATGATCCAGGCCTTCTACTAAGAATCTAGTTTTGACTCATTAGTCTCTTGTAAACCGTTGGAGGGCTGGAAGTGGGCGCCTACTCTTCGGAGGGACATGGCCGGATTGGAGACGTAGGGGGGCTTTGCGCTTAGAGAGCCTGAGGTCAGCTTGGAGCGAGATCTCATCGAAAGGTGTGCACTTACAAGATCTGAAGAAATCTCTCCTCTCTTCCTGTGGCGGCGCTTTGGGCGTTCTTTCGGGGTCAGACTCGAGCTCCCGCTTGACGCGCTTGCGCGGGGGTAAATTCGATTTTACGCGCGCCTCGTCTTTTGGCTCCAGTAGCCATGGCAATGTCCGAGGCATTGTATCGCACTATAAGATCCCCTTCCAAGTGGTAGAGCGGACTGGTTCTGGTCCGCAGCAAAAGTTTGGGGAAACCAAATTGCGATCGCCGGCAAGATGAGGTCACTGACCGTGGTCGATTCTACTAAACGCGATCACTGGCAAGATGTAATAATGAGGAACATGCTTGGTACACCTCAAGTTTATTGGGTATCAGGGTTCATATCGACAATTTTATGGATTCACGAATAAATGCAGCAAAGTCGATATCCTTTGAACGCCGAAACAAAAGCACCCCCGCCCCCCCCCGAATCAAGGGTCCGGTAGAACGCCATGCAACCAACCCGTGTAAAACGCCGTCCGTAATAAGTATCCCATTTAAACCTCTCCCGGGCGCTTGCTGTTGCAGCTCACGATCTTGACCTTATCAGCCGTGACTTGCGTCTGGTTGTCCAGCTTGAATGTGACGTCCTTGATCAGGAATGTCCAGACTTCGTCGCAAAATCGGTAGGTATCAAGGTGACCCTAAGAGGCAAAAAGAGCGTGGAAATTAGCTTTTCTTTCAAAGAAACGAGCGATGTCTGACTCTCGTCATGCCGCAGCCTAGCCTAGCCTCTGGGCATGACTCCGGCAAGAGGACTCACCTTGAATGTTAGCCTGGCCCGAACCTTGTCCGCCAGAACTTCGGTGACAACGCGGTCAAATGTTGAAAGGATCTTCATGGCGAGCTGCGGCTCGATGCGGCCCTCGTTGATCAAATCATCCAGAGTATCGGTCAAAGACAGGCCGAGGCTAGTCACATCTAGTCAGCTTCGAAGTTACCGGCTTGTGGTAGCCATCCTACCTGCTCCCGCGGTACAGCTCGTAGTAAGCGATCTGAGCGGCCATGATGACTGTGCGAGTAAGCCGACTTGAAGAGATGGAACGAAGGCGAGGTGAGTGTCGAGCGCTCAGTTGTCGGCGGCCAGTGAATCGTGGGGAGGATCATCCACGTGAGATCACGTGGGAGGCTCTTTGCTTATCGTGCTTGACGTCAATTGTCCTGCGACAACTTGAAAACTACAGCTCTTACTTCAACCCCTTTCTCATAAGCTCAGAATGATGCCCAGATACTCTTTCAACAGTCTCACGGGGCCTCGTATGTCTCCTAGCTTCCACCAGTCTTTCTCTCGATCCTTATTTTCATCTTCTTCTCTATTAGCCTCTAAAGGTACGTCGAATAAATGCAATAAACAACACAGCTATCGACAGCAATGTAATATTGACTGGAAATTTCTGTAGAAGACAGCTCACCCAGTGCTGAAAACAAAGTCAACAATCCTAAAAGCGAATCCCAGTCAAGGCCCGAAAAGAAATCTCAAACTACGGAGAATACCAAGACGGTCGCCCAAGCCGATGCAGAGCTTCGCGAACGCCTCGAGAAGATGTCCGGAGAAGGGGAGCATCCGGAATTGAATATGAAGACGGTCAACCGAGTGCAATGAAACGGGGCGTGCGCAATAACATGTTCCGACTGATCTGAAATGTCGCCACTAGCTATTCCCAACATTGGCCACCAGAAACCAACCGTCAGGCCGAGATGGATTAGTGGGAGAGTCATTCTCAACCAAGCGTGCTTGGATCACATCTGCAAAGAGGGACCATGAGTTTTCCGTCAGGAACCGTGATCCTGGAATCGGTAGTCAAATAAGCTTGCGCGAACTGCACTTGGCATCCAAACTGCTGGTCCTAACAACGGTTCTCAGCGAGGCCTGGGATTTTGAGATAAAGGCACAATGCGCGTTACTTCCGAACAAATTCCGGTAAACTTCGGCAAGCCAACGCTGATCATCTTTCATCACGCTGCTTCTCATGGGGTCGCCTAATGTAAATGCGAAGACGTGCAATTCTATCGGAGATGATCTTGAGTTAGCTGCCAGGTTTTTCTTGGTGGCGTGCTTCCGCAAAGTCAATAGTCTGAACCACTTTGAAGACTCTTCCACATCATATGGGCTATCGCAATGTCGTGGATTCATTGGGTCAAGATAGGGAGAAGATCATATAATGCATTTGCGGAATGTTCCAATATTGTCTACCATGTCCAATTGCCGGTCTTCTCATAGCTATAATCCAACCGATTAGAAATTTTTGGTGTAGTTCAGTTGGCGCTCATGTCCGCCTAGAACGCGATCAAAGTACCCGTGGACCGAATGTAGGATGTATGCAGCTAAAATGAATGAAATGTCTCGTGAAGCAATTGCATCAGAGCATTCTTGAGGCAGAAAATCGTAGACATTTTTCTATGCGGGTCCAAATAACAGACAAACCAAGACATTAGCCCATGCAAGACTCGTTCGAATAGACTCCGTTCAAAAGCAGGACCCAGACCTTTCCCAAATCATAAGAAAAAGGTTTCACTTGCTGACAACCATGCCCGCCAGAACACCAGCGCCGATAACGCCTCCGTCAGAGGCTTCTCGTAAAAACACCGATTTTCCTCCCCGCTGCGGGCCAGTGCGCATAATAAGTCGATCGATGTGTTGCTGGCACATCTCTTTGAATTGCGGGTAGTGCTGGATAATACCGCCCGTGTACGCGACCACGAGTTCCTCAGGTCCGGATTGCCAGTCTGCATGCGTGGGTTGCAAGACTGGGACGACATGGCCATGAACATTGTTGCTGAGAAGGGTTGGCGTAGCAGCTGCGTCGGGACCTGGCATTTCGCTGTTGCTTAGAGGGGAAGCGGCGGTCTCGGGGGTATTGCTGTGGCTGTCCTCCTTTAACTCGATCTCGCGACAGCAGGCTAAAAGGCCAATTACAGCTGCTGCGATTAGCCCGGCCGATCGTCGCTGCACTGCTCGGGCGATTTTTCGGAATGCGCCAGCCGTGCGGGCGTCCCAGCGCCAGTCGCTGCTTTCAGGCGTTGGGAGAGACTGGTTTAGGTCTATTGCGAGGTCTTGATCAGAACGTGCACGTGCGACATGGTCGGAAATATATGTCGTTGTCAACGCGTATTCTTGAATAAGATTAGCCGGAAGAATCCGCTTCGATAGGCCCGCAATGTTGGTCAGGTAATCGAAAAGAATCAGGCGGATCAATTCGCCGATATAACGACCTCCCGTCATATATTCGAATGGCTGGAACCCTGGACGTGCACATGCCTTATCCAAGTCCTCGTCCCACTTCGTGGTGATATTCAATTCTCGCAGTGGAGGTGCTGCGCCAGAAATGGTCCACTCGGTGTTGACGATTGTTTGAACAGCTGACGGCTCCATTGCATTGACGCTCTTGGCCTTGGATTCGTGTAGTTCGCTGAGTTTCATCGGGATGGTAGCGTTACACCCCGTGCCAACGATGATACCCATAGCAACTCGGCTATTGGGTAAAGACTTGACGGCATATGCGAGCGAGGCCAAAGTTGCAACGGTGTCGTTTGTAATAGCCTGGATCTTCAACTTTGGTAGGGCAAAGAGCTTTCGACGTTTGGATGAAGGCTCGTCTTCATCATCCGGTCTTCTCGTGTGCTTCTCATATCCATTCAAAAGAATGTTACGTAGATCGAGGTTAGATGTTATAGCAAAGCCTTTACCCATCGGCATCAGCGTAGCTTCAGCCAGCGATTCTTGCCTGATCGATGGTTAGCGCCGAATGGTCATCTCAAGTGATGGGTCATTGGATCTGCCCTAACTTTAGAGCACTCACATAATCGGGAAACTGAATGTGATACCCATATCCAGTTCAGCAGGAATATCCTTTTTGGTAGCGTCCGAGGTCAAGCTCTCTGCCACGACCTCCGCGATGCAGTCCCCAATCCAAGCAAACAAGTCTTCAGCCTTGTCCATCTTCAAATGCTCCTGGATTGGCCATGCTCGCTCCAAAGTCCGTTTCACTCGCTGGCGCTGAGCTTTGCGAATAGTGTGCCTCGACCTCTCTGAAGCATCTGCAGGGCGCACATCGGATTCAACAGCCTCGCCTAGTAACTCGATGAATGCAACACGCAGGTTACTGCCACCTACGTCAATGGCAAGGTAGCGACCCGTCTCTTCACCCGTAGGGAGCTGTGTTACAGGGGTCGGCAGAAACTGCTGATCCGAAGTCAGAGCCAAATGCCGGTATGTGCCGGAGAAGCGGCGTGCCAGTCTATACAAAACCGCCTCCTCTAAAGATAGGGGTGATAGAAAATCGTCAAGTCGCTGTTGATACTCCAAATATTCCCTTTGTAAGGCATCCAGCTCTGCGCTGATATCCTCCTGCTCCTCGTCCTCGATCACGTCGTCATGCATGATGTCACGTTCCTCCTCATTGTCCTTCCCTGATGATATTGAATTGACGGAAGCCATTTTAAGGTGGTGATCAACAGGAGCGGTGTAGACCCAGGGAGACCAGAAAAAATCCTATCGGACCCCCAACCTGAACGGTGTTCACGGGCAGAACAGATGGACAGTGAGCAGCCAAGGAAGATCGTGCCCTTCACAGTGCCCGTGTCCTCAAGGTGACAAGGGAATGCGCAGGTACAGAAAGGACACGACCACGGCAAGTACGGCGAGCGGCCCGACGAGCTAAAATTAAAGTAAAAAGCCCAAGGGGGGCTGACAACGTTAGTGAGGTTGCAAGGGACGGGGAAAACACGGTGACGCGGTCAGGGAGCATTGCGGGGGAAGATGACGAACATGCCAGCACCGATCTTGTGGGGTTTACGTACCCTGGAATTTTAAGGATGGAAGGAGAGAAATCGCAGGAAAATCAAAAGGGAACGCGATCAGGGATCAGGGGAGGTCCAGCTATAAATGACAGCTTTGCTATCCCTTCTGGATGCCTGAGGCACGTGTATACAATTTTCTCGTATCTTTTTTCTTCCGTTTTCTTTTTTTTGGGCTGGTGGTCTCCAAGGTCAAATAAGAAGACAAGAATAAACTCACTTTGTTTATGGTTCGGGAGATGGGGATTTAAATTGGATTCTGCCGGAGAATCAAAGTGGATCCTCCCCTAGTGCATGGGGGGGGGGGGTCTCCCTGGGTATTCTGGAGAGGTCATAGCCTAGGTACACCTAGGAGATAGATAACACTGGGGCAAAAAGTAAGTGACTAGCTACCTATAAAGGGGAGCTTATTGGAGATGCGACCATCGGAGGACACGAGGCGATGCGACGCTGTTCTTTTCCCGGGGCGTGACAACTTAGAAACCCCGGCCCTTCTGTCATCGATTGGATCTCGCTCTCCGTCGGAAACTCTTCCCTACGCCTCGAATGAGAGAAACAGACTGCCTCGTCGAAAGGCACAGGGAATCCAAAGCACTGCCTAGGCAGAGGGGCCATCGTGGTCGGAAATGTTCGACTCCGCGTGCTCATACACCCCCTCCATTGATAAACGGGAACTATGTAACCCTGTCCGGGGCATCTGACGCCTTTGTCGCCTAGCTGGACATGATGTGGACATCAGATACTCTCTCGGTTAGCAAAGTCGGCTACAACTCTCTTTTCTGATCTCCTTCCCCTCTTGACAGTCTAAGCCCATCGGAGGGCGTTGGATCAACGCACTGGCCGCGAGTCAAAATGGCCTTGAGAGTGTGGGGCCCCGATCACGGTTGAGAGAGATGCCAAGTTATCATATTCCAGTCGTGCCATTCGCCGAGGAGTCCCATCGATCTATGGCCTGGAGAATTCGGGAATAACCGTGTGCGCGAAACAACGGGTGGGTTTGCTCCTCCACCGGGGCCTCGATCGTTCGCTGACGCCCAGCCACCTGTTGCCGACAGCTTCCTACTGGAGCGGAGTGCACCCTCGTTTGGAGAAATGGGCGCTTTTTGTCATTGTTTCATCCGAGTTGATCACCTGGTTCTTGTCATCATTGGGCCTCTGTGCGCCTCTGTGCGCCTCAGACAAGCCGAGGAGCCTCACAGATCCGAGCTGGACGCGCTAAAGATGGCTCATCTGGGTCGGGAAATGTGAACGACAAACTTGGTTCACGGGCAGACACCAAAGTCAAAAGCTTGGGCACCAATATTTCATGATTCAGAGCCTCCGAGATCGGAGATGGATTTGAATTAGGATTCGATGTCGATGGCTCTTGGATGGCTCCGCCCCAAATCTTACTGGTGTTTTACCGATTCCATTTGGGAAGGTCGTCAATGTCGCGTGGTATCTGGAGCCGGCCGACCTAATGCATGAGGAGTCCTTCGGGACTTGCAACCCGAAGCTTTGTTTCAAAATATTTAAAATGATGCTTGGTCACTCTTCCCCGATCTATGTTTAAGCCTTTGATGGTGGGACATCTCTCATGGATGCGTTCATCCACCTTCACTTGATACGAATGGAGCTTTGCTCTTTCTCTGGCAGGTGTCGATGTGCTTATGGTCGAAGCGATAGTTCTGCGCATCATTCTATCTGATAGGATCAAGGTGGATCTGGATCTGTGCACTTGGGTTCACCGGTTGCCTTAATTCTTGACGACACTTGACCACATCAGGAGATTGATCCGAAAACGGGCTTGCCAAACTTTATCGATGGCGTGCCTATCTACCTTGTCTGATCATCATAAATACCAGGATATTGACGGAGAACAGATGCCAGCACACCTCGTCATGAAGATGACTAGCTTCGCTTCATGTCAGGGTTATGGATAGTCTAGGGCTTACTGTTTCGCCGGATATATTTGAAAAGTATTCATCGCAATCTTAGGCTATCTAGTGTAGATGGGAGATGCTAATGCGGGGACTTCACTGGATAATCTATAGGAGCCAAAGGTCCACCTTGGGAAACCTAGAGACACTCATTTTGTTGATGACTATCAAGCCCGTTCTCTGGAAGCTCATTTTTGACTAACGAGTGCGTATAACCTACAATACATATGACCTCGGACCATTCTGAGTGTGGATCTCACTGTTGTAAATCAGCTGGCTGATGGCAGATCTGACCGCGTGGAAAGCCCTGTTATGTAACGGGGTGGCGCATGACTGGGAAGGGGCTAGGCCACCTCGGTACGCGCTTCTTTTTTCCTCAGGACCAACGTCACCTCTATCGACATCTCAACAGACGCCATGGAAAAATTACCCATTCATACTGGGGATGCAGAGGCGTCCGACCCAAAGAACCCATCTGATTCCCGACGCGACAAATCCATCCCGCCCTACCGCATCGTCATTGCCGCGGGCTTCCTCATCTGCTGGTATTTGTTCATCAAGCTAGCACCCACAACGGAAATCTCACATGGATGTATGAAACACCATGCTCCAGGGTCTACAGGCTCGGAGATTCCCCAAAGCTGGGCCCCTGGCACGCCTAACCAAACATGGGAAGAGTTCAACAAACAACCGCAAACAGACCTGGCAGACACCAGAATCCCGCTCGAGGCCCATATCATGAGCAAGTGCCCTGACGCGCAAGTTTGTCTCCAAAAGCTGGTTCTGCCTGCCATGGAGCAGATCAGCGACAAGGTTGACTTCAAGCTATCCTTCATTGCGAGGTCAGCACTCCACTTTCTCTAAATGCATGTCAAATTTGCTTACAGTAACGCGTACACAGTGTCACAAATGACTCCTCCGAAATCAAGTGCATGCACGGCCCAGCTGAATGTATCGGCGATATGCTCATCCTATGCGCGGCCAACCTGCCATTCCCTCCCACCGACGACGAAGCCCCGGTGCCCCAATCATACCCACGCACCCCAATAATCCGGTCACTGGGCTTCGCAAACTGCCTGATCAACGAATACCAGCGTATCCCCGAACGCGAATTTGTGCACCAGTGTGCATTGGAATACGGCATCGACTTCGAAGCGCTGAACCAATGTGCCAGCCAACAGAACGATGATCCGGATCATGGCGAGAACGGAGGCCCTCCTCTTAGTGGGATTGCTCTTTTGCGGAAGAGTGCGCTGCACTCATCTAGTGTCGATGCAGAGACGAGCTGCACCGTTCGCCTGGATGACAAAACATGGTGTATCCATGACAGCGGCGCTTGGAAGGATTGTACCCAAGATGGCAGTGACCCACGGGTGCTCGCTGCTGAGGTCAAACGTCTCTATGCGGAAAGAAACTGAGATCTCAGTCTAGCGTCCTCTTTCTACTCCTTCAGCAAGGCTAGTTCAATGAATATGCTGTTAATGATATTGACTCTGAACAAAATACGCAAGCTCCTGATCCACCTCTATTTATTTCAAAATCGAATGGTCTTATGAGCGGCACAAATAAAAGCCTGGGGTCTGGGCTTTAGGCACTACAGAGTCTATCCTGTTGCATAAGAGGTTCTGATCGCTGCCATGGGAAAGTAATTATTACTTGATACCTTCTTTACTTGTTGCTATGATCCTTGGATTCGTCGAAAAGCACATCAGGATTAAAACTGAAGTTGCTAATTCGTTGGCATTAAGTCTGGTAGCATGTTTCTGACTTTTATGGGCGATGGCTATCCCTCATATCTTCATCAAGTATCGAGCGTTTCATTCTTAAGCAGTTGCATATGCGGTCGTTACCTACTGGTTGGACACACTGATGGTCTTCAGCTCGCCAGGCACCATCGTCATTCATCACCCACATCTTGTTATGCTGAGCTTCGACAAAGAGTTGGTCCACACAATTCCCCCAGCTTATTGTCACCCAACTTCCTCCCTCTAAATTCTCGTCCTCTCGCATTTATTCTGGACTCATCGAGTTTCGTCATCCTGAATTCAGCATCAGAGATTTCATCCTTGTTCAAATTAGTATCATCATCAAAGTGCTCGTAATTGTCGAAATGGATTCAAGAGAAGCCAGGTTATCACTCGAGTATGGCCTGAAAAGAGAGCTAAGCGAGATCTTGCTGAAGATTCTCGACACTTTTCGAAAACTTAATCTGATCTGTCATGCTCTGAAAATTACTTGTACTCTGTTCCAGGTTATTCAACGCTTTAGTGTGCTTGGGCATCATGAGTCTACCATTTACGATAGTCTCCTGCTTGAGCTGTAGAACGTGAATGATTTGAGATGCAATGTTGCTCTTCTGGGTCTGTTCCTAGATAAGTGCGTGATCAAAGAGAATAGGCCTAGTCGAATTGACAGCTAGGTTTTATCGCGACTTCTCTTTTCGCGCAGAAATTCATCGATAAACTTGTGTTTCTTGAATACGGATCTTTAATGCTCTCTTGTTCGCCTGATCTCTGATCTTCAACTCATGAACAGTTAGCCACCATTCTAGCAAAGCGAGAGCCTACGGGGCTGCCATCCTCACTGAGCAAGTTTCTCAGCTCGACACTACCTTCATAGAATCTGCTGGCTCGATGGGAAACAAAACCATCCTCGACAGACCTTTCCAGGCTGAGGCAAACCAGGTCAATGAACCTCTGGACAAACTCATTCAAGTCTACCACGCTGCCAAGGCTGAGTACTATCTCGGAGACGCCAACAAGTCTGGAATCTCGGACAAATCGACAGACAAATTCACAAACGTCCGCTTCCTTCGAGACACCGCAGAGAACCTTCTTCGATGCCTCAAGGCTCAGATAAAGGATCATCCCCTGATCCCAGAGGTCGAGCGCGTGGTCACTGCCAGCTGCGAGCATGCTGAGCGTTTGGCTGGTGGACGCAAGCGTATCTTTGAGGATCCTGAGAACGAGCAACTGGCTCGTCACCGCAACACTCGGCGACACAATCAAGAAAATAAGACCAGTCTTCACCCGAGTCACCCCTCTACCGGTTATCAGGGCACTCAAGCCGAACCTTCGAAGAGAGCGCGCACTTCCCAACCCGTTGATCGTTACCGCGGCGAAGCTTACAAGGCGGATTGGCATACCGGTCGTGCCTATGAGCGAACTGAGCGTACTGACCGTGGCCATGCCCATGGCCGCCCTACCCGCGATCATCATCGTCGTGATCGCCCTGCTGTCCGTGATCGTGAAAGCTCTCGTGCCGAACCCGCCGATCATGCTGTGAACGTTGAGCACGCCGGAACTACTCGTCACTCTGATCGTGGTGACCTCTTCGACCGCACTGAACCCTTCGGCCTCCACGACGAAGGCCATAGCGGAAGTAATGCAAGACTGTCCCCAGAATGAAGTTTGTACCATGTTCACAGTAATGCAGCAGAGAGGACACGGGATCGTATTCGAACGAGATCTTGCAAACTTCGAGACTGGCCAGGAGAGTTTGTAGCAGACGGCCAGCGTTTTTACTACTCATTACTTAATTCCCAATTTTATTCCTGATTCTCCTCAAGATCTTTCAAAATCTACGAAATCAAAGAATCAACTATAAACTCAGCCTTGCCATCGCGCTAACCCACGTGCCCCACGTGCATGTTTACTTAAGCGCGTCCTAGGACCTTACCTTGCTTCTCTGATCCTTGACGCAAAAAGTTCGTGGCCAGGAGGTGCTGGATCTGGATTTGCATCTCTGTGAGGCAGAGAGTCGAATCTAGGTCAAAACCCAGCACCCAACTGCCGAAGCTCATGCCCAGCATGGCTAGTCTTCATCTGCCCCCGTCTGCGGGGAACGCCTCCTCCGACTCGAGCCCCTCGAACCCTCGATACACGCCCGTTTCCAATTCCGACGATGATTCACTGATGCAAAGGTCTGGAAAATCATCTGCTGGACAGCTGAAGCTGCAGACCGATTTTGGGGACTCGGTAGAGGTCGGTGGACCCGTCGAGGAAGGCGATGAGGAGATTGCGTACGAGTCGGGCGAGGAGCTAGAGGGGAAAAAGGCGAGGAGGAGGACCAAGGCGCCCAAATATACTCTTGATGAGGAAAGAGAGGTTGTGCGGAGCTTCGATCGGAGATTAGTGCCGTTTCTGGCTCTTCTCTATCTCCTCTCTTTCCTGGATCGGTCCAGTATGTTGAGCTATTTTGCTCCAGCGGTTCAAGACGTGCGCTGATTGTTGCTTTTAGACATCGGGAACGCAAAGATTGCCGGGCTAGAGGAGGATCTTCAACTCTCGTCTTCGCAGTATGAATGGCTGCTGACTGCATTCTACATTACGTATATCGTCTTCGAGTGGATGACGCTCATGTACCGACTCGTCCCGCCGCATATTTACATCTCCCTCTGCGTTTTTGGCTGGGGAATAGTGGCTTCGTTTCAATGTCTAGCTACCTCGTTCGAGGGCTTAGTTGTTCTGCGCGCTTTGCTCGGAATCACAGAAGCTGCATTTGGACCGGGGGTTCCTTTTTACCTGTCGCTTTTCTATAAGCGTCAGGAATTGGCCCTCCGAAATGGACTATTCATTTCTGCGGCGCCATTGGCAACTTCGTTTGCCAGTAGTCTCGCGTGGGTGATAGTCAAATGCAGCAACGATGGTCCCATCTCTCCGTGGCGTATCCTCTTCCTGGTAGAGGGGTTCCCGAGTGTGATCGTCGCTGTTTTTGCCTGGGCGATCATTCCTGATTCTCCTGGTCGTGCACGATTTCTCACTCGTCGGCAAAGAGTCGTGGCTAGACTGCGTCTCGAGGAGAACAAGCCAAACTATCAGAATGCGCCAGAGAAGCGTTTCAATTGGCGCGAGATTGTCAAGACGGCTTCAGATCCCAAGGCGTACATGGCTGCTGTGAGGTTTTTCCCTCCAAGATATTTGAACAAGAGCTGACCCCATGCACAGTTCATGTTCTTCAGCTGTAACGTTGCGTTCAGCTCAATGCCAGTCTTTCTACCCACCATAATCAAAGAGTAAGTCTAAGCCCGAATTATTCTTTCAAGCGCAACTTCTCTAACTCATCTCAGCATGGGCTACTCATCTCTCCACTCCCAAGCTCTGTCTGCCCCACCATACCTATTCGCCTTCATAGTGGTCCTCATAACAGCCTACTTCTCCGACCGCACACGCACTCGCAGCACCTACCTGATAGCCCATGCCCTACTCTCCTCCCTCTCCTACCTCTGCATCGCCTTAACAGGCTACTTCCACACCCACCTGACCCCGTCCCTACACACCTTCATCCGCTATATCTGCGTCTACCCAGCCGTGGCGGGCTTTTTCTCGGCTATTACCTTGATCATCACCTGGTCAATGGACAACAGGACTGAAAAGGAAGGTAAAGGTGCTAGTATTGCCATTTTGAATATCATTGGCCAGTGCGGGCCGCTGCTTGGGACGAGACTGTATCCGCAGAGTGATGGACCATGGTACGTGAAGGGCATGGCGGTTTGTTCTTTCTTTATGCTGGTTGTTGCTGTTTTGGCGGTTGGGTTGAGGGTGCTTTTGCAACGCGAGAACCGAGTCCAGGCTGGATCGCTGGATGGTGCGAAGGGAAGGGAGAGGGATGGGCTTATGGGTGGCGGGCGGAGGAGTGATTTAGAGGGACACACTGGTAACCAGAGACTTGTATATATTATTTGATGAAATCTCGGGCATTTAGCGTAAATCAGGTTTGTTTGCAATTTTGGTTATACCCCCTAATTTGAGCTCTTTCCCAAAAATTGAATCCTGAATTCTCAAGATTTGCCCAGTGACGCGATGCTATTTAGACTTTGGCGTAGATTTATCAATCGACATTGGTGGTAGGGAACCCTTGAAAAGGTCAACAACATGATTTTCTAGAAGGCGGTTGTGATCGATCACACAAGACATTATCAAATTTTTTTTTTTATGGAGACACCCTGAAAAGTAATAAAACAAGACTTAGGAAGAAAAGTAAAAAGATACCCCAAACTATATCGAGAAAGAATTGGAGTTTAAAAGAAGAGGCCCTTTTAGATTAACTTCTCGGGAGGGCTGTATACATCCCGAGCCTAGAATTGCGGGATACCGAGAAACAGTCCAAGAGGCGATTCCATCCCATGCGACTATGTACAAAGCCTGCATCGGCGCGTATGTAGTATGCTATAACGAAGCAATTTTTCCAAAAACGAAGAACTCAAATCAAATGCGCCATGTCTGAGTGCCCAATGAACTCCATTGCCGACCCTGTTAAACCAAGAATGGGTTTCCATTCGTGAATTTACCAAGCCGTGTGGCCGCCGTCAATGAGAAGGGTGCTACCAGTCATGAAGCTGCTAGCATCGGACAGGCAGAAGAGAGCCGAACCCCGGAACTCTTCTGGCATAGCTGAGGCGGCCCAGCATATTCTCCGCCTCCCAGGTAGCACGGGCTGCTGGGTTTTGCTTGAAGACCTCGTCGACCATTGGGGTGATGATGTGGCCTGGGCAAAGAGAATTTACACGGATACCGTGGCGACCCCATTCCATGGCGAGGGAGCGAGCGAGTTGGATGACCGCCGCTTTGGAGCTATTGTAGACCGGGGACGTCATGCCTTTGTTGGCGATGAGGCCCGACATGGAGGCGACGAGGAGGATGGAACCTTTTTGTTGGTAATTGAACATTTGACGCGCGGCAGCGGTGGCGGAGTTGAAAACACCATTGTAGTTGATGGACATGACATCGTCCAGGGCTTGCTCGGAATGCTCAAGGGCGCTCTGGAGATGGTTGATGCCAGCAGCGGCGACGAGACCGTCTAGGCGTTGGTGTTCTGCGGCAATAGCAGCCATGGTGTTGTTAACCTCGGTATTATTGCGGACGTCGATGCGAATATATTCGAGAGTGCCGCCGTACTGGGTTTCGGCTTTTTCTTTGGCGACCATAAACTCGGGACAGGGGGTGTCGAGCCGGTCCAGGCAGTAGACTTTCGCACCAGCTTCAATCAGGGCCTCGGCCATGGAGAGTCCGAGACCACGGCCACCACCAGTGATGGCGTAAACACGGCCCTCCATGTCGAATTCGCTGAATCGCTTGGCATTGCGCAGGTCTTTCTTGGAGGGAAGCTTGTTTTGGATGTGCTCGGGCTTTTGAGAGATCTTGTTGATGTCTTGTGGATTGAAAGCACTCTTGGTGCCTGAGTAGAGGCGGGTCGCGGACGAAGCGAGAACACGAGGAGCATTGATCGCAGGACCGGCGAAGCGAAGTCGAGCAGGAGCCCAGCAGCGGGCCAGATTGAAGGACATTGCGATGATGATGAAATCACGAAGTAAAGGCTATGACACAGGGTATATAAAAGAGGACAAGGGTACCTCAGAATGAATGAGGAGAGAAGAGAGGAGAGTAGGGGAGAGTATATCTAGAAAGAAGCCAGATTACGACAGAATGCAACAGCAAATTCGGATGACCTGCTCATGATGTCTAGCACCAAGAGTTTTTTATGTCCAGGGAGAACCGGATCGGTACTTCCCTGATTAACCTACCGAAACCAAGATAGCAGCAGCAAAAATAAAGCCTGGAAAAAAAAAAGTCCCCAAATAAAAATCAAGAACAAGAACAAGAACAAGCTCACAAGGTACGTGACCAAGTAGAACAGCTTTGACATCCAAAATCCCGACAAATCGACGGGAGCATCCTCGGACTCGCTTACCCCGGGAGCGTTAGGTGGTTTCTAGACCTCTGGAAATTGGACCGACAGGGCGGAATGAGATCCCGGGGCATTGACAGCTCACCGATAGCCCCCACGAAAAAAAAAATTCCACGACAGCTAAACAAGGAGCATAGAACAGCTGAAAACGGCGAACCTTTCGAAGGCTTCGATGATATGGCCCACTGCGAATCCGAGGTATGATCTGCAAGTATGCCTTTGTTCTACGAAAAGTACCCTGGGAAGCCGAGTGCCCGATCTGCGATGGCCAACAATGTGCTCCGGATTGGCAGATCGCTATAAGCCCTAACTGACTTCTAGAGTCTCAGCTTCGGACGCGAGTCTTTGCAGAGCTGGATCAGATTTAAAAAAAAAAAAAGGCTAAAAGGTAGTCAAATGACCGGAATGCCTCCACAACCCCGGACGCCTTCTTGAGATTTAATTCAGGAAGCGGGTCTAGAGCGGATCTGGAGCGGATCAAGGTGGCTAACGCTGCAGTTGGTCCGGGATCTCCTATTTAGGCAGTTCCTTGACTGTATCCCGCCACACCGCCATCGTGAGATCCATATCTGTTTAAAGGAAATATTGTTCGGGTAAGGAGCTCCCGGGGCTGATGGGAGGCGAATTGAACCTGGAAATATTTGGAATTGAACGGTTGTGGCGAGTATCTAGCCGCGTAGCCTGCGTGGGAGAGCGAAGATTGGTCTTTGATTCTAGAGCATCAAGCGAACTCCAGACCGCCAAGAGAAGAAGCTTCTGCCATAGTTCCGGCTTAGGAAATGCCATCGTGACCCAGATCACCTTTCATATTACGACATGTTTGAACCTTGATCCTTGAGTCCCTGCTTAGAGCGCGACCTAGAGCGCGACCTAGAGCGCGACCATTCTCTGGATAAATTTGATCTCGAACGCCCTAGAAGCATGGTGCATTCGCAATGGTCACCTGGTCCAGTTTGTCGGGGCTTGCGGATAGAGCGGTTACATCGATTTTTGCTGCCCATGCAAGGCCACGTCTATCATAAGCAACAGGACAATATCCGCCTATTTCTACAGCAGAGGCCAGTTCTTCCTTGATACACGCCCAATCCGCGAAAAATCAAATCCTGAATCTGATTCCGTAGCAACCATTACACGTTCGAATACATAAGCCGTTCATCGCGAAACTATTCCCAAGGCAAGCCCGTGGTCGCCGCGCCGCGCAGACTGCCGAAGTCCAGCTTCATGAGTAGTCGGTCTACGCCCGCTGGTTGGCGTGGCACATAGTGGCGGAAGCTTGGGCCTGTGCTCGGCCCGTTGCCCGATTGTCCCATTGGGGCAGTCCCGATGCTCTCTCCTCCCGATCGACTATCGTCAATCTCACGAAGGCTCGTGACGAGATCCCTCATACCACTCTGTACATTATCTCTTGTGGCCCGTAGTTCCTGCCAAACTTCTTGCTCTTCTTGTGCATAGTCGACTAGAGCGTCTACTACACCTTCATCCGTTTCAAGATCCATGTTACGTTGAATGGTCTCGAGGCGAATGGTCAGCGCAACAAAACGATCTACATCCGTCAGGAGCGCCCGCAGTGCGGATGTGAAAGGCAACTCCGTCAGGAACAAAGATCTTACAACACTGGAGAGGTGGCGACGGTGGGCGACAGTTAAAGCTTCGGGATCATGCCGCACCATTGTCGGACCCGACTGTGACGCCGGCCGGCTTGAAGGTTGGTCCGGTGTAGTATCTCGGGAGTGCCGTGAGGGCTTTGCTGAAGAAGCGGTCCCTGGTCGAGACCCAGAGACCGATGTGGATTCGGGGCCTCCTTGAATCCACTCACGTAGATGCTGCCAGGACTCATGTACAACTTCACCTTGGAAGAAGCTGCCGATCTCCGAGAGAACAAAGAGACAAGCACTGCTGGTTGCCCAGATCGGTCGCATATGGCGGATCCGAGCGTTATCCCTCACCCGGCTCTCTCTAAGCTTATTTTGACCAAACACACTATTACTCCGCGGCGGCCCCCAGGGCGAAGGGTGGTTTCTCCGCAAAGACGTTCGTTTCCATAGATCCCCAAGGCGGATCTGGGCTCGTCGAATAGCTAATAGGTATGAATGGATCTTGGAGTAGATGGTGATGTCCGAACTGGACAGGAACAGATCCAGTGGAGCTCGGACTTGAGCTGTCAGGCTGGTGGGTGTGGGGAACAGCAGATCTTCGAAAGATATTGTAGATATCTCAGGCACCATACCAATTCCTTGCGATGGGGTCGCTGAACGACCATTTTTGTGCTCGGTGGTCGACAATCGCAAGAGTTCCCGAGCCAACTCGAGTTCCTCGTCGGCCGGGTCCTCCTCTTTTTGTAGGGTAAAAAGCTCCGCCCATGTCTGGGCCAGTGCAGTCATTACGTCTCCCTCTTTGACGAGGTAACTCTCGAGAGCCCCAGCTGCTTGTCCGCGAGCGCCTCTTCGCCGGCTTTCTTCCATGCGCGAATCTGCATGTGCGACCAGCGCTACAGCAAACTCACCTCGTCCTAGCAGCAAGAAGTTGTGGAGTAATTCGAGCATCTCGAGGATCTTGGGAAGTGGAAGGAGCTTAGAAAGTGTAGATTGGGACAGGGAAAGTCGAATCCAGTCTACCGCAGTAGAGAGCTTAGAGGCTGAGATGGGGGATTTAAGGCCTGCCAATTGCTCAATATGCTCCTGATACAGCGTCACTGGCGCCGTCGAAATGCCTGAGGATGTCTTTCTCTTTGCGCGGATGTGATTTAGGGACTTGCCGATGAAAAGGATAGACCCCGCCGTTTGTACAGAGACGAACTTTGGCCGTAGGCCATCCTGTATACTGAATTGGCTGTCGAAATTCTCGGCATCGTCTTGTTGAACAAAGAAGTCCTCCTTCCCATACATGGGCAGATTTCCGTACAGCAGCCACATTGACAGTTGTTTCATCCATGCCGTTTCAGCTGCCGTAACCAGTTGTACGGCCATCTCCTTGATGTCTAGATACCCAGTTTGAGTTTCAGCCTGCAGGTGGTCGATTAGTCCTGCCCCAGAACATCCATAGGAGCGCACCGCGGATGATCTATCTGGCATAATGAACCTGACAATTTCCCATAGCCACTCCATGCGTCGCGTCCAAGGGGCGAATTCTCCGACGAGTGTCGATAATGGGACAATACCATAGCCGCCCACATATCCGCTATCTTCGGCTAGGATTGCTTTTTCCACTTCAAGGATCTTCTTCTGGAATTCACCCAAGTGCGCCGTCGCTATTGTCGTAGAGACAGAGCGGCAAATCACGGAACCATGGGCGGAGGATATCTGGGAGGTGTGGGATCGTAATTGTGCGTGAAGTTGGCTTAGATGGGCGACTGATCCGAGCAGTGCTTTTTCCGGAGGGGAGAGAAGGGCGAGGTCATCTTGCGCGAGAGCGTCCTCACCTTGTGGGCTGAAGAGGGGGGACGGCTGGCCGGAGAGGGAGAGGAGGATTTCGTGAAGCATCCTGAAGGTTTCTTCCTGCACTGTGCATTAGCAGCATTCCAAGAATGACGCGATAGTGTCTTTGTAATGCACTTGCCTGGAGAGGCGGCTATTGTCCTTCTCTGTGTTGGTCCGCTGCCAATATAATAAGACGCGCCCAAGAAGCTCGAAGCGACACATGTGAGGAGCTGCGTGGTTCGATGTGTTGAGTGTTCCGGCAAGAGTCGAGAAAATTAATTGTGATCTTGACGGCGACGGGACATGATCCCCGATCTCAATGATAGCTCATAGCGCGAACTCTTTATCGGAGCTTCGATCGCGGGGGCGACGCGCCGAGATTAGTCATCGACAGCTTGTCCCTCTTACGTCGACGGTCCCGCTTTCTCGACTGTTCTTCTCCCTTGCCTCTCTCTTTACATCAACCTCCCTGTTGTACAGCTTTAATATCCTCTCTGCGTCGTTGTGGATTCTCCTGCTCGTATTGCTTGTCGAGTTTGATACCTGGTACGCTGGGCTTTGCAACTTCTTCTAATCCAGCACTGTCGAAGGTCTTGCTTGTCGGGCAAGACTTTCACTCTCCTACCATCATTCCGTCCGATCTTACTGTTCGAGAAGCGGCTAAGCCGGAAAAGCGTAGAGCGTCTGAAGACGACACCGCAGCTCGACCCCCGAAGAAGATTATGACCGTATGTCGCAGACTCGAGGATACCGCATTGTCACTAACACAATTCATCTAGGACGTCACCATGCAAGTCGACAACCCACAGGCGGCTGTGGAAGCGCTCAAGCATGGCGAGATTGACGAGTCCCTGTACAGCAGACAACTGTGAGGTTTCCCTGGTGATGTAGTGACTTTGATGACGAGTGGGGACTAATGACGTCTAGGTATGTGCTCGGCCACGAGGCTATGAAGCGCATGGGCTCTTCAAACGTTCTCGTAGTGGGTTTGAAGGGTCTTGGTGTTGAGATTGGTAAGTGTGTCCCTGTTTGCGGTGTACCTTCCAAGCGTTTAATAATATCTCGCAGCCAAGAACATTGCCCTCGCCGGTGTCAAGTCTCTCACCCTGCACGACCCCGCTCCCGTTGCTATCTCCGACCTTTCCTCCCAATTTTTCCTCCGGCCTGAAGATGTCGGCAAGCCCCGTGCCGAAGTTACTGCCCCTCGAGTCGCTGAACTCAACTCTTATGTTCCGGTCACAATTCACCAGGGCGGAAGCCTCGTGGCTGATCTAGAGCAGCTCAAGCGCTACCAGGCAATCGTTCTCACCCAGACGCCCTTGAAGGAGCAATTGGTGATCGCGGACTTCTGCCATCAGAATGGCATTTACTTGACTATTACAGATACTTTTGGTCTTTTCGGGTACTTGTTCAACGATTTTGGCAAAGATTTCGTCGTTGGGGATTACTCTGGTGAAGAGCCTGTCAGTGGAATCGTCGCAGGTATTGATGAGGATGGACTGGTGTCTGCGCTGGACGAGACCCGTCACGGACTGGAAGATGGAGACTATGTGACTTTCAGCGAAGTCAAGGGTATGGAAGGCTTGAATGCTGGTGACCCCCGCAAGGTTACCGTCAAGGGCCCCTACACTTTCAGCATCGGTGATGTCACCGGCCTCGGGACTTATGAGGGTGGCGGTCTCTTCACTCAGGTGAAGATGCCGAAGATTGTTGACTTCCAGCCCTTGTCGGAGCAGATCAAGAACCCAGAGCACCTGATCTCGGACTACGCCAAATTTGACCGACCTCAGCAGTTACACATTGGTGTCCAGGCTTTGCACAAGTTTGCGGAGACTCACGACCGTCAGATGCCACGGCCGCACAATGACAGTGACGCTCAGGATGTATTGAAGATCGCTACCGAGCTCGCCGCGGCGGAAGAAGAGAAGGTTGAGCTGGATGAGAAAATTATCAAGGAGCTTAGTTACCAGGCTCGTGGTGATCTTAACCCCCCTAGCTGCCTTCTTCGGAGGTATTGCTGCCCAGGAAGTCCTGAAGGCCGTTTCTGGAAAGTTCAACCCCGTCAAGCAGTGGATGTATTTCGATTCTTTGGAGTCTCTTCCTTCTTCAACTACTCGTTCCGAGGAGAGCTGCAAGCCTATTGGCAGCCGTTATGATGGCCAGATCGCGGTCTTTGGTAAGGAGTATCAGGAGAAGCTCTCCAATGTGCGGCAGTTCCTGGTCGGTGCTGGTGCTATTGGATGTGAGACTCTGAAGAACTGGGCTATGATGGGTCTGGGCACTGGTCCCAAGGTAAGATCTATGTCACCGACATGGACCAGATCGAGAAGAGCAACCTGAACCGTCAGTTCCTCTTCCGCTCCAAAGACGTCGGTCGCCTCAAGAGTGAATGTGCTTCTGCTGCGGTCCAAGTCATGAACCCTGAGCTCAATGATCATATTGTCACTCTCCGTGACCGTGTTGGAAACGATACCGAGCACATCTTCAACGAGGAGTTCTGGAACGGACTGGACGGGGTGACCAATGCTCTGGATAATGTTGATGCCCGTACCTATGTGGACCGCCGCTGTGTCTTCTTCCGCAAGCCCCTCCTCGAAAGTGGTACTCTCGGAACCAAGGGTAACACCCAGGTCATCCTGCCCTTCATCACCGAGTCTTATTCCAGCTCTCAGGACCCTCCGGAAAAATCTTTCCCGATGTGCACCCTGAAGAGTTTCCCCAACCGCATCGAGCATACCATTGCCTGGGCTCGCGATCTTTTCCAGACTTTCTTTGTTGGCCCGCCTGAGTCCGTCAACATGTATCTCTCGCAGGCCGACTACATTGACCAGACACTCAAGCAGGCGGGTAATGAGAAACAGACCTTGGAGCATCTTCGTGACTTCTTGGTGACTGACAAGCCTCTGACCTTCGATGACTGCATTGTCTGGGCCCGTCAGCAGTTCGAGTCCCAGTACAACAATGCAATCCAGCAGCTTCTCTACAACTTCCCCAAGGACTCCAAGACCTCTTCTGGCCAGCCATTCTGGTCCGGTCCCAAGCGTGCCCCGACTCCTCTGAAGTTTGACAGCTCGAACCCTACTCACCTTGGTTTCGTGATTGCTGGTGCCAACCTTCACGCTTTCAACTATGGCATCAAGAACCCCGGTGTGGACAAGAGCTACTACAGCAAAGTCGTTGATGATATGATCATCCCCGAATTTACCCCAAGCTCCAATGTTAAGATTCAGGCCAATGAGAATGACCCCGACCCCAACGCCCAGCCCGCCGGCGGTTCCAACGACAGTGATGAGATTCAAAAGCTGGTAGAGACTCTGCCGTCGCCCAAGTCGCTTGCCGGTTTCCGTCTCCAGCCCGTCGAATTTGAGAAGGATGACGATACCAACCACCATATCGACTTTATCACCGCGGCTAGCAACCTCCGTGCTGATAATTACGACATTCCCCAGGCAGATCGTCACAAGACCAAGTTCATTGCTGGAAAGATCATTCCCGCCATCGCCACCACCACTGCCCTTGTTACTGGTCTGGTGGCTTTGGAGCTGTTCAAGATTGTGGATGGTAAGGACGACATCGAGCAGTACAAAAACGGATTTATCAACCTTGCACTTCCATTCTTTGGCTTCAGTGAGCCCATCGCTAGCCCCAAGGGCAAGTACCAGGGCAAGTCGGGTGAGGTTACTATTGACCAACTGTGGGACCGCTTCGAGCTGCCAGACATTACTCTTCAAGAGTTCATTCAAGACTTTGCCGATAAGGGCTTGGATATCACTATGGTTAGCTCTGGTGTGAGCTTGCTGTGGGCCAGCTTCTATCCTCCTAGCAAGGTTAAGGACCGCCTTCCTTTGACGTGAGTTTCCGATCTTCCCCTCGTTCTATAGATAAAGCACGCTACTAACAAGATTCATAGAATGAGCAAGCTTGTTGAGCACGTCAGCAAGAAGCCGATTCCCGATCACCAAAAGAACATCATCTTCGAAGTCACTGCGGAAGATCAAACCGAGGAAGATGTTGAGGTGCCATATGTGATGGTCAAGCTTTCTAAATAGAGAGTATCCTAGACCTCGAAAAAGCCCAGTGCCTTAGAGCGTAGATTTTTACGATTATTATCCACGAAGCAGTCTAGATTTCACTCTCCATTTCATTTGCTTTCCTAGCTTTACCTGAGCATGAGAAGATTCTGCGTAAACTAAGACTCGGCCCTAGATTTCGCAATCTTAGAATATCGTTAGGAATGCTTTGTCAAAGCTGACCGAAGTGGGGCAGCAGCTCGGTGAGTAAGCCAAACGTCAGTAAACGTCATCCCCGCATCGCCTGGGTATTCCTATTTCTTTCTCGAATCATAATTCGGCGTAAGCTATAAGAACAGCTTGTCTGCTGATGTTCCGATCCCTTCTTCGCTCATCAGCGTTGCTCCATCATTCGCGTCTACTTCTTCGTACAGAATTCTTAACTTCCCCACGGTGCTTCTCCGCACCACTTCGAACTATGGCTGTAAGGAATCTACCCCTCACCACCAAATTGATCTCGTTCTGATAGTCTCGCAGACTGGAAACAAGGATAAGATCACCGACTGGGTGAATCCCAATGACAAGTCGGGAGAGTTCAAGCGGCAGCAGTCTGTGTTCCGCAATTTCATCTCTCGCGAGCCTGGCGCCCAGTTCCCGCCGGAGAAGGGCCGCTATCACCTCTACGTCTCCTATGCTTGTCCGTGGGGTGAGTCAATCGCCTACATTTGGATCAAGTAGCATGTCCTAATCTTCTATAGCTCACCGTACCCTGATCACCCGCAAGCTCAAGGGTCTGGAAGACATTATCTCCTTCTCCTCTGTGCACTGGCATCTCGGTGAAAAGGGTAAATGACTATTTCTAATCTGTCAGTGAAAAACAATTAGTTAACTTCAATCAGGATGGCGCTTCCCCACTGCAGATGAGAAACTCCCAGGAGAAAACACCGTCCCAGACCCCCTGCACCCCGACTTCACCCACCTGCGCGACATCTACTTCTCCAATGACCCGGACTACACCGGCCGCTTCACAGTCCCAGTCCTCTTCGACAAAAAGACAAACCTGATTGTCAGCAACGAGGTATGTTCCGACCCGCAAATCCCTACAATCAGACTCTCAATTTTAAACAACCACTCAGAGCGCCGAAATCATCCGCATGCTCTACTACGAGTTCGACAACCTCTTGCCCTCCGAATTCAAGTCCGTCGACCTGTACCCCCAGAAACTACGCAGCCAAATCGACACCTCCAACGAATGGATCTACAACGACGTGAACAACGGTGTCTACAAATCTGGCTTCGCCACCACGCAAGAGGCTTATGAGAAAGCCGTCACAACCCTCTTCTCCTCCCTGGACAGAATCGAAACCCACCTGTCCAAGCAATCCTCACCCTACTTTTTTGGCGACAGCGTCACCGAGGCCGATATCCGTCTGTTCACGACGATCATCCGCTTCGATCCCGTCTACGTGCAGCACTTCAAGTGCAACCTGAGGGATATTCGCTCTGGATACCCGGCTATTCACAAGTGGGTCAGAGGTCTCTATTGGGATTCTCCGGCGTTTGGGGAGACGACGGACTTTGAGCATATCAAGAAACATTATACAAAGAGTCATAAGCAGATTAACGCGTTTGCAATTACGCCTTTGGGTCCGCTACCGGATATTTTGCCCAAGGATGAGGAAGTTCGATCTGCCCAGGTCGCTAAAGTTTGAAAGGTTGGAAGTTCCTGGTATTGAATAAATTCAACGTGCTGAACCGAAAGATGTTGACAAGTGAAATATCTAAGCGAAGCAATCAATTGAGTTGGATATGTTGTGGTTCTGGTTCTTCTCTAGAATTCTAGCGATTTGAGTTTGATATCCAAGGGAAGTAATGTCAATATTCACAAGGAAGCAAAATTAAAAACCTTGCATGAAATCCATCATGCGTTGACTCCTTGCCATGCGATGGTTTGGGTTACCCTTGTCTCTAGCAAGGACTTCTTTTGGAAAAGTCTCGTTCAGAATAAAAGGACAAATGAGAAGTGGCTGAGACGGACAGAGGGTAAATGCAAGAATGAAAAGACCTCGAAGTGAGGACGATGTGAAAGCAAAGCGATGAGATAGACCATGCACCAACACGGGTGGTGTACATGGTATGTAAGATGACCATTTTGGGTATCTCATGAGAAAGCTGGCTGTATTACATGATGGGTATGGAAGAAATGGTGGTGTGGTACAAAGGGGCGATCACTTCAGCCCCAGCATACGCTTCGTGTTCTCGTAGACCACGTAGCTTATGGAGACAGCAGGGGCAACCTTGAGGAGGTTGGGCGTCAGGCCTTTGTATAGACCGCGGGGGCCCTCGGTCGCGAGGGTTTTGCGCAGGACGTCGCCAATGCTGTTGTAGGTAGCCGGGTGGAGAACGGTGCCTTGGGCTTGGAGGCGGGTACGAAGGACGTTGAGGGGATAAACGACCGATGCACTGAGTCCTCCGCTGAGAGCTCCAATTGCTCCTGTCAAAAAGTTGCCGAGGTTGATGTCGTCTTCATGGCAGTGGCTTAGACGAGCCTGGCGAGCCAAAAGGGCGCGTTTGAGGTATTCGAAGGTGGTGAGGTCGATAGCTGCATAAGGGAACATACCGACTAGACCAAGTGGGAGACCGCGGAAGAAGCCGAATAGTCCACTATTGTTCCAGACCTTGGCTGCAGTTGCGGCAATCAACTTGTTACCTCTCAGACCGCCTCCAACGGTCGAGCATTGCATGCGGCTATTGTATTAAATTAGTTTTGTTCTTGGGCCACTGGGACGGTCTACTCACAATTTGAGGGTGTCGAGGGGATAAACGAAGCATTGGGCCACCATTCCACCGATACCACCCGACAAGAACTGAGATGTGGGCAGAAGTCGCTTGGGGTCGTTGTGCCCCTCAAGTCGGGCAAAGAACTGCTTTGCCGACTCATATGCACCGAACTTGATCGCCGACTCTGGCATGACCTTGACCACGTTTAGTCCATTTCCTATAAATATAAATATGTTAGCTATGGGTGCAAAGTGAGCTATATTGAGAATTCGGCTCACCTGCAAACAAACTGCGAAGGCCACCGGCTCGCCAGAGCTCTTGGAAAGCGATAACGAGTGTTCGCGACGCGTTGGCGGTGGCGGCGATAGGGGCCCCCTCCTTTGCGGCGGTGACGGCGGCCTTCTTCACGCCTGTCTGGGCGATGAGATATACCTTCAGACGATCGAGGGGGGCAGTTGCTGTCCTCGAAATGACACCTGCGGTACCGCCCGCGATGAAGTAGCCTAGTTGCGGGGTGTTCTCGGTCAACTTCCGTTCATACTTGCGGATTGACATCCACATCGCGACGCTTTTGGGGATGGCCAGATTTTCCAACTCGAGCTCACTGTCTAACGGGTCAAGACCTTGGCCGAAAGTAGTGGATGTCGAGCTGGCTTGAGCGTGTGCGGAAGAAAGAAGTGAAGAAAGGATGTGGAGTGAGAAGATATTGTACAAGATGGCCGAAACGGCCAAGGGAAGACGATTAAGAAAATTGAGGTCTGTACCTAAACCCTGCAGGTCATTGATGTGGACATCTCCTTCCGGGTTTAAGTTGCCCGTGGCCGTGTAATATGAAAGAACTGCGTGAAGGTCCGACGGCGATCGAAGGGGCATGAAGAGTAAAAAGTCCCTAGGAATGGCATCACGTTAGTTCTATCTCTCTAGGTTCATTCGCTTGATCCTGGAGCAGCGTGACTCGTACCTCCATTCGGTATAGGTGATTACTCCGTCATTGTTTTTATCGACCTCGGCGAAAAACTCGTCCAGCCTCGCATTCGACACCGTGACCCCAGATTGAGCAAAGGCTGTCCGCAGCTCAGCTTTGTCAATTTCTCCGTTGTGATTACGATCGATGCTCTGGAACATCTGCCACAGCCCGGACTCGGTTTGGTTGATGAACGTTCGGAACTCTGGAGGGAATCTGTTAGAGGGGAAGGGAACTAAGGGGGTCCCAACAAGGCCGCGAGAGCTTCTGATCTTACCGGTATAGTCTATCTGGCCATCGTGATTGGTATCGACCTCGACTAGGATACTATGCAGCAAGTCATCCGCGTTTTTCAAGGCTGGCATCGCGTCAGTCGGGAGCAACCGGCACGGGACTGGGTCAGACCTACGATGATCGATCTTCTTCAGGCCTTTCTTCAAGCCGGACAGATCGACGTGGCCCTCCTTTCGCGTGTCCAAGGTTTCCCAGAGTCGCGCGACTCTTTCATCACGCTCATCGTTCGACTCGGGCGCCATGATCAGGATCGGAGGGAAAATTGTTATCGAGAACCCGGCATCATTCAAGGGAGGCGTGTTTGGGTCGCTATACACACGTGAGACGCCTCGGATATTCAGGTAGTCGTCAAAATGAAAGCTCAAGGAGCCGGCGCATATGGAGTGGGGAGGAAATGATTAATTGGCGCCCGATCATTGCTTCAGACGCTTGACGCCATCACCGCCCGGCACGGGACCAGGGCTCTGCCCTGACTAGACCTGTTTGGGTTATCAACGTCAACGTTCCCAGTCTATCGGGGTTACAGCTATAGCTACAAATCCAATCACTGCGCTTCATGGCAGCCAATTATTGGGCGTCGACACAGCGTCGGCACTGGCTGTTCTCCCGTGAGTCGCTGGCCGACGTTCGGGAGCGACTCCGGGAGAAAGATAAGGTCACCCATTCCCAGTTTCCGCTGCCAGATCAACGACTGCTGAATATATACTTCAATCAGCGTAAGAACCCTCGCCTTCAAGACATCATCATCTTCTGACCGCTCTTCAGAGCTCATTAAACTGGGCAAGCGCATGACTACCCGCCAACAAGCCATTGCCACTGCCCAAGTATATCTCAAGCGGTTCTATACAAAGAATGAGATCCGCCAGACAAATCCGTATCTGGTCCTCACCACCGCCTTCTACTTGGCCTGCAAAATGGAGGAATGCCCCCAACACATCCGTTTCGTGGTGGGCGAAGCCCGCGGCCTCTGGCCTGGTACGATCTCATTCCTCATTCCATCCCAAACATGAACTATAGGCTAACTCCCTCGACAGAATTCATCACACCCGACGTCGCCAAACTAGGCGAATGTGAATTCGCCCTCATCTCCGAAATGCACTCCCAACTAATCGTGCATCACCCATACCGCACGCTCTCCGAGCTCCAAACCGAGCTCGCTCTATCCTCAGACGAGGTAGCTCTCGCCTGGTCCGTAATCAACGACCATTACTTAACCGACCTCCCCCTTCTCCACCCACCCCACGTGATCGCCATCATGGCCATCATCGTCGCAGTGGTATTCAAACCCTCTCCACCAGGTCCCTATCTCGGCTCCGCGCAGTCCGCGCTAGCGAGCACCATGCGTGAAGGTCAAGGCATGAACATGCTCGCTGCATTAACGGATAAGCCTGGATCGGGCCCTCCAAAGATTCAAAAGCTAATTGCATGGCTGGCGGAGAGCGAAGTGGATATCAAGGCCGTTATCGAGTGTACGCAGGAACTACTGTCATTGTATGAAGTTTGGGAGCAGTATAGCGAGAAACACTGCAAGGAGTTGATTGGTCGCATGGTTAAAAGCAAGAACTTGGACAAGTGAGCCATTGCGTATGCATGCTTTCTTAAGGTTATTTTGTGATGCAAGGCGTTTTGCGTGAGGGCTGGAGTTTGGGGTGCTGGGGCGTGATGCATTTGACCTCGTGGATTTGCCAACGTTGTTATCCCCCACGGATTGTTTTACGTTTCGATGAGCCGTTTATAGGTATTCATGCATTTGAATAAGAAGTTTACGATGAACACGGTGCATGAGAAAGTCTTTCAAAGGACTTGAAGCTTGATGCTGATTTCTCCGAGCTTCAGTATATTCTTGCCAACCAATATCATGAGTCTAGATATGTAGTATCAGATGACCCGGATCAGTTTCAACCACGTTATCTAGATCTAGATCAAGTCCGAATGTCCCTTCGCCCCTATACTGCGCCAGTATGCATATTGGGACCTGTGGCAGTGTGAGCTACAGCACAGCATCAGCAGTCCCGTATACAGCGCACGGACCAGCTCGTCTCGAGCGATGCATGGATGACTCCATTTGGCAGGAAGAGTAAGCACGTCCGGAAGAAGGAATACGGATTTTACATCTAGCATTTCCAACCCAACTGGTTCTGAAACCACGAGTCAGAATATCCAAACTTAACACGGCCGGTTGCCAACCCGACCGGGAGAGCAAATCGTGGTGACCAGTTCCCCTTGCGTGGAGTCTGGGGCAAACGCCCCCTCGCTGAGGGGCCGTCAGATCGTCCGATCTGGAGGTGCGCATGGTCATGCAAGCTCGCATGGAGACCTGTCAACTGCATGGTTGATGGCTTCGAGGGACCCTGCTCGAGGCCTACGTATCACCAACTCACATACTCTCGACGATAGGCGTTAAGACTCGAGGATTCGAGGGGGTCATAAAATTAGAATTTCGGGGGGGGAGGCCAGTTCGCCCTGAAAATGCGGTGAAGCAACAAAGCGCCCGAGGACGGAAAGCACGGAGAGTACGAATGGATGGAGCAGCGGAGGAGAGTTGGTCCAGGGGGGCAATTTCCGGCATTCCCAGGTTCCGGACATCCCCTATCAGACACCCAGTAGGTACCAGAAGTTACAGGCCTGTAGGTACCGAGTACCTTTGGGCAGGAGGCGGATGGGCAGCCGCCACATGGAGTGGGACTACGTGCTGGGTAGCATGAGTCACTGGTTCCGCATCGCGTAATGATGGGCCTAGGTCCCATACAAGGCCTTTCCGGGCAGAATTGGGGAATTTGGGAGGGGGCAGAAGGAGATCGCAGATCAGAGCAGCCACAGCCGACGAATGTTCCTCTACATAGCCCTGTGCACTGCCTACGTCCTGCGCTATGTTTCCATTGGGGAGTTTGGTTTTGGTTTTGGTTTTTTGATCCTTGGAGCCAACTACCCCAAAACCAACTTGAACCATCCAGGAGAACTTCCTCTTCCGGGAGTCGTAGTGGCCAGTGAAAAGAAATGTCGTGGTCAGAGGTAGGAACGGGAACGCAGGTGTAACAATCCGCATTGTACACGATCTTTAGCCCTGGAGAGTCCTACAGGGAGAACCGGAAAAACAGATGAATGCAGACCTGGGTAATCAGGCCACAATACATTACCAGTCTTGTACACTGACCCAAAGGTCGATCTCAACACTCCTTGACCCAAGACGGTTAGGGTCCATTTGGGTCGACGACGTCACGCAGCCAGTCAATTGTTCGGAATTGGCGCCAGCATTCCTTGTGGATCCCCAAGATGGGTCAACTATTGGTGACTGAGACCCGCCTTTGCCACCGGCGCCGGAGCGTGACCTCGCTAGCGCCCACCATCCTCTGCAGGAGGGTGACAGTACAGTGACGCCAACTCGCACCAATCATCAACGGAATGGCCACTGGCAAGGACTAGTGTGACCATACGTGACCATACCACCCCATCTGAGCCCCAAAACACCCCTCTTTTCCCCTCTTCTTTCCTTCCCACAACCTTCTCTATTCCCATCGTCAATTCTGTCTATCAACATCCATCATTTATTTTCTATTCTAATCTTTCGGGCTGGTTCTCTTTTACACCCGTCATCATGTCCGCCTTTTTGTACACCCACCACCACCAGCAACAACAACAACAACACCCTCACCACGGCATGCCTTCAAATAACCATCACGGACGTACTCGCCGTGGTCCCAAGATGGCTCAGCACAATGCTCAGCGCCAATTTCGAGGAGTCAAGAGCATGCGAGAACTGGCCGAAGCCCCCGCGGTGACAGCTTTCCGAGCGAGATTCGAGGCCGGTCGTTCTTTCGACCTCGATGATGATTTGGAGTTTTGCCCCAACCTCCTGACTGATGAAGATGTATGTTGTGATCGGCGACTTCGGTTGCTTTTTGACTCCTTTCTATCGTCCTCCGACCAATTTTGCCTTGGGAGATCGTCGGTGGCAATCTCAGGAGTCAACTCCCTGGAACATGTTTACTGACAAGGAAGCAGCTGCACTCGATTCACTCTGCCTCGTCTGACCGGTCCTCGCTCTCCAGCGGGTCGCCCGACACCTCGCCGTTGCAACACCAGATTCAGCCGGTTCAGCAGGTCACTCCTTCCATCTCCCTGTCTCCCGCCCAGACCAACTCTTTTGTCCATGGTGTCGCTGCCAACCACAACCACGTCAACTACCAGCAACAGCCCCAGGCCAACCGGACTCGGAAAGTCATCCCTATTGTCAACCCCAATACCGGGATGACCATGACCAGCCCGCCTTCGTCGATTTCGCCAGCGATGATGCAGACTGCTCAGCGTCGATGGTGAGAACTTTTTCGGGTATACCAAGGGGCGCTAGCCGTCCTTTCTCCGCCTAGCGGCGGCATGTTCATGCACGTCACCTGATTTTTTCTGCATCATCGGGGGTCCCTTAAATCGCAGGTCTTAATTATTTTTTTGCATTCACTCCGGCAACGATCATCTTCTCATTGGGGGGGAAAAAAAAATATCACGAAACGGCGAGTCCAAAAACTTGAAAAAAATTCGAAAAATTCGATCAAAATTCGGCATATGTACATACTCACTCTTCGCCGATTTTTTTCTCCCTTTTTCTTAACGACCAACTTCGCCATACATCTAGATTCATCACGATGCTTCCAGTTTGTTGCGAGCGACGGCGCGATTTGATTCCTTTGCATCACTTTTTCCAACGATACCTGTGTCTCTCGGGGAGGGACGATCTTTTCTTGGCCCTTTTTTTTTCGGTTGGGGCCGCCGATGATGTATTGATGCGGGTGACGCTCTACTTGACGGGCATGTTCCCATGGGGACTTGGAGTTGATTTTCTTTGTTTATGGGGAAACGGGGGCTTGGCTTGCCTCCCTTGGGCCCGACTCACCTACGCTGTGATTTAGTCTTTTTCCTTCATCTTTTTGGTTCCTCGGGGTTACTTATCTGGGCGGAATGGATATCACATTTTCAAGGATCTAGAGGCGGAAACGATACACGTCTGCATTGCTTGGGCACTGTTGCAATATCTGGGATTGTTTTTTATTTTGTCATGCGTGCACCACCCTTCTCTCTTGCTTGCTTTTTTCTTTTTTCTTTGCTTTCTGGTTTTGGTTTTCCTTATTTTCCTGTACATCGGTTTTACATCGGTTTTGAGGATGGGTGACACGCGATACACATTGCTTTCTTGCCACGGGTATAGTGGCTGGTTAGGTTTGGTTGCGAGCGAAACCATGGGCTTGCGGAGTTGTTTTCTGTTTGAAATCGATATCCTGGGGGTCTCTCGCGGGTTTTTCTGGGCAAGTCCTAGACCGTATGTTTAAAAATGGCTCATGTTATCTTGATTTTTCTTTCCATTCTTCATTGACACCTTTGCTCACGTCTCCCCTAACGGGCAGCGTCCGGAGTTGGTCTTAGATACGCTGTTTGATGCTGGTTACTTTTTGCATACTGTCATTACCAATCGCATCTCTCTTTTGCTCATATGCAAAGAGCTTGTTTTGCGGCTGTGCGAGATTGCAATTGATGAGACTCGTACATTCTAGTCCTCATATCCCAGTATCCACTACATTATCCTGTATCCCCTGCATCTTTCATACCGTGATGGATATTAGATACCTCACCCCGTACCCCTGCGTCACTTCATGCCTATCATGCCTATCTCATGATGTCATTACACTCGAGCAGAACTGGCCATTCACTATGCTCCGTGCCGGACGTTGACAGCGTAGATCACTGGCAGATCGTGCATGTGCAGTGTAGAGTGTACACAGTCTCTCTCTATCGACGATACAATAGGAGGTAGCAAGGGACATATATCCACGTTGCTATCAATCTCAGATATATCCATTGATTCCACACTCTCTGCCGAGGTCTCGATCGACATCCGCCAACCCGAAAGCACGTTGAGCAGCACTGACGTCACCGGTGTTGCTCCAAGCAGCCAATCCACTCCAATATGATCGAGGCAATTCCAAGGTCAGTTGGGGTTCTGGGCCGTTGACAATGATGCAAGCGAGCTTATAAGTTGCTGGTGTCTCGTCTTCCTCTACATCCTGCGATTTATTTTCTCCTCTCTGCACTGCTCCTCCCATAGCTTTTTTCCACGACTGCGACAAACACCATTTTGCAATTGCCCTGGTATGCTTTGACTGTGTAATTTCTGGACGAGGCGAGTGAAGGGGTCGCCGGAGCTATCTCCGTAGGGAGAGTTTGTCTTTTGTTGCGATGTCACCACCCGTCTATCCGAGATATATCACCACGCTTCGGTCGAGAAGAACAGGGGCTTACAACCTTTTCCAGACTTCACTTTCTCCAAGACCGACAAATCCCATCTCTGGGAAACACCACCATGTCCTTCCTCACATCCATCCGTGCTGGCTCCCGCCGAGCCGTGCAAACCAGCTACACCATCCCCTGCACACCCGCATTCCACACCTCCGCAGTACAGCGTACCCTGAAAGAGAGCGACAAGAGTCAGCTTACCCCGAATATTCCCGCATGAATGATAAATGACACGTGCTAACTAAAGCCTTCAGACCGAGATGATTTGTCCAATATCTATGAAGCCGAGAAAGAACAGCAACTGAAGAGGACGAAGGAAGGAAAGGCGGCTTGGAATCACGATCTGGCGAGTAACAGCGAGGCGGATGTATGAAACTCCTTCGAATCGAGATGTGATCCAATTCGGAACTAACCTTATCCTACAGATCAAGGCGGATCGAGGTGAAACGGGCGCCGAGGACAAGAGCTTCGAAGAGATGCAGCAGAAGTCAAAACAGATGCTGAACCGGAAGTAATTGATTCCGACTTGGGCTATTTTATTGATGTTGGGATCTATAAATTGAACGGAGCATGGGGAGTGGGGGGGACTATTCTAATTCAAGCGACATATGAATATGATTCAACGTTCCTGAAACCAGAGTAGTGCATTTAGTGAATGTAAAAACAAGATAGACAAGCCGTCTCGTAAGCACAGGGGACTCTATTTCAACGCCAGAACAAGAAACCCAGAAAGCCGGGAACGCCCGCTCGCACACAGAGAGAGAGAGGTAGAGAGAGAGAGGTTGAGAGAGAGAGGTTGAGAGAGAGAGGTTGAGAGAGAGAGAGGTACACACCCAGAGACACCAACCGGGCACGTTACTTCAGAATCACAATCAAAATGACCAGGATAATTATCAACCCGACAATAGTCATCATGCTCCAGTTGTCACCGGCCTTGCGCCGAATGCGATTCAGCCGCCGCCGGGCACCATCCAACCGGCCCTGATGCCGATCTACGTCCCCATCCAACCCATCCAACAGCGCAACATGGCCGTCCAACTCATCCCCAATCTGGATACTCAGCTCATGCTGGCGGCCGATTGACTGACCCAGCTGATCGAGTTGATCATCCTGTTCGCGCATGACCTGGTCGTGGTGCAGATAGATCTGCTCATTGGACATATTGGACTGGTCGACGCTGGGCGACGGTTCATCCCGATACGGGCGGAAAAGATGCGATCTGTTCCGGTCTTCCTCTTCGTCAATCTCATCTTGTACCGCGGCGGCCGCGGCCGAGTTGTCCATGAATCGCACAGACTTGGATGACGGGTGTTGTGGAACAGGTTGTTTAAGATCTGGCGTGGCTGAGTTCGACGCCTGCGTGGAACTTGACCCGTCGCCGTAGAATTGGGAGGTGAGGTCGCGGAGTTGCTCATGCAGTGGTGCGAGCTGGTCTTTTAGGGCGGCGGCGCCTGCGCTGTCGTGCGATTCGGCGAGTCGGGCTTGCTCGGCTTCTACGGAGGTGATGCCTTCTCGGAGGGATTCCAGGGAGCGTGAAATCTCGCCATCTTGTGCGTTGGGTTCTAGGTCGAGAGAGACAGCGCGCTGTCGTTCTAGAAGTGATAATTTGATATGATCTGCGAGGAGGAAGAGCTGGGACGGGTTCGTCATGGTGATGGCGTCAGACGGATGTCTGGCCGTGGGAGGTCGTAAGGCGGGATTTGAATGTCCCGCGGAGATAATGAAGGGTCAGTGCGAAAGAGCACCAAGTCAAATGAGTCGCTGGAATCGCAGAGTTTGGTGGTAAGACGGAGGTGGAGGTCTTACTGGGAGGCTGAGGCAGCAAGACGTCGACGGATCTGCGATCTGCCGCCTTCCGCCTTCGTCCAATCTCTCCCCGCGTTTCTTCCTTCCTTTATATTCTTCCCTAGAAGAATATTTTCGACTCTTAGCTTGCTATGAATGTTATTTACTTGCGTGGCTAATTTCAAATCTGGCGATATCTTCCACGTCCCTGGTTTCCTTGTGATCGACCTCGGTACTTAGTTCCCGCATTGCCCTGTATCCGCGCATGCATACGCTGACTCCGCATTCGACAAGGATCATTTTCTACAATATAAGCTGGCGACAGTCGCACTTTTTCATATGCCTTTCTCAAGGCCTTAACGCCGCCGAAAGATGGATATACAAGGATTCCTAGCCACGGAACCCACTCGCGACCGAGATGATCTCGTCGACCTGCGCTCCCTTGATCTCGTCTCCAGCTACGATTCACATCTTATGTGCCCAATCTGCCACTGCCCCTTCGTTGAACCAGTGCGCTTACAGTGCGACCATGTCTTCTGCCACACATGTCTACGATCTGCCATAACAACCTTCCGCTCGGCCGACTCGGACGAGTTCCCGTGTCCTTCTTGCCGCACCCCCACAAGCCGAGTCTCGAGAAGTGTGCCCCGCCTGCTGATCAACATGTGCGATGAAATCCAAGTGCGGTGTCCAATGCAAGCGGAAGGATGTTCGGAGCTCTTACCGCGAGGCCACATCCAGTCGCATGTGGATAAGTACTGTGGGTACCGGCTAGTGCCGTGTCCGGACGACTCGTGCGAGAAGAAGATTCGGAAGAAGGATCTCCAATCGGAGGAGAGGTGTCTACACGGATACTTCCGATGCGCTCGGTGTGAAGAAGATGTGGTAGAGAAAGACTATGAAGAGCACGACAAAGAGCTTTGCCCTAGTCTGGAGACCACCTGCGTTGATTGCGGAATGACTCTCCCACAGCGCGAACTAAAGGAACATGTGGATGCCTGCCCCGACGTCGTCACTCCTGCGCAGCATCAAAATACGGATGTCCAGTCAAGATCCGCCGAGGGGACAGCGCAACACACGAACAAACCTGCCCACTAGTCTCAATAGGGCCATACCTCGAGGCCCAAAACACACGATTAAGTTCCCTTGAACTAACTATGCGCCATCTTCAACAACGAAATGAGATTTTCGAAGATGGAATGTCCAATATCCGAAATACACTCCTCGAATCCGCAAGCGCAGGTCGCAGCACTCGCAGGCGTAGCGTCACTGAACCAGACAGAACCCAGTCCCCGAACGAAGATGACTTGACAGAGCCTTCAAATGTCTTCTCCTCAAACGCAACTACCTACCTCCTCTCCCTCCATGAATCCCTCCGTGAGGAGGTAAATCAGATGTCACATGCATTAACAGACCTCGACGCCCGTGCAAGCATGACAATCATGAATGAATGTCTTCGCATCAAAGAGGACATGGCGCATACCAATGCCGCCGTCAACAGCGTGCGCATGCAAGTCCAATGGCTCATGAACCCAAGGCTTCACAATGGAGCCCGCACAGGTGGTATTCGTGCCAACACGGCCAGTGCGGCCGAGGCTCGGTCGCAGCTTACTTCGACATCTGCGCCTGGGCCTAGTAGTGCGGCGGGGCCTTCTTTGGGGCCGCTAAGGCCCAGGAGGCCAAGTGATACTGGGCGAGAGGGGACGAAGCTCTGAGGCCATTGGAATGTGTTTTGAGTGTCGCATTTCTTGTTTCTGGTTTAATTGGGGTTTCATGGGGAGAGACGGAGCTAGTTTTTTAATGTCACCTATGATTAATGACTGAGGTGATGGGTCTTACATGTATTAGATTGGTACTTTATACCTCTTTGTGGGAAAACGCCCTCTTGCGAGACAATTTTATCATCGCCCCCAGAGGTTTTTAAATAGACGGCTCGTTCCAATAGTGATAATATCATCTGTTCCATTCCGCGTACTTTAGGGATTCACGCTATTAAGTGGCATGCAACGAGAGCTCACGGGAAGCCAAGATCATTTCCATCGGAGAGTACCCGTGAGAATGAAGAAAACACATCCATCTCAGTGTTAACTTATAAGCTCGCTTGCATTATTGTGAATCCTTTACTAGCAAGTTCAGCAAGAACACACTTTGTTGTTTCAAAGATTGCTTGATTTAGAAAAAGAAGTCCATGTCTATAACACGATTCAGATAAGTTTTCGAGACCAGAATTGATCTTAGATCATCAGACTCGTCGTCTTAGATTGAAACTGGTAGAATCATCCACGAGTATTAGTATTTGTAGATGCCAGAATTAGCTGCTCTGAACTAGCTGTATCGGGATCCCGGACGTGATGGCGGTAAGTCCCTGTGCCTCAAGAATACTAGCAAACTTCGCAATGTCAATTGGTATAGAGGCCCCAGCCTCCAGCTCATACTCTTTGGCCCGAATCCATGAATTCAACTTCAGTTCGTGGTCGTCTACATTAAATTGAACGCGAACCTATCTAGTTGCAAACTTGAAGGGAAAGATGTGCGGTAACGTGCTATTACATACAAATGAATCACTTGATTTCAAGAAAAGAAATGAAATGAATTTCTACTTCGTAAAGTACGAAGGCCAAATTGAGTAGACCATGAAAAGACCGCCAGAGAGTTCGAGTCGGAAAAGCGCGAGCCAAGCCATGACGGTCTCAACATGACATGATGTTGTCCGACCATCCTTGTCCAGCGCCCCATTACCCTAGTGTGATAGGCTCCGAGCACTTTTCCAGGACCAGTAATGGTCCGTCAATGTCTCCTCTAGAGGCCTATAGACGATCTTCAATTGATCCAAGCTGCGTTGAGTGTCGATTTCAAAAGGGATTCCCAGGTTCAGTCTCAGCCATTTCTGGCTGAAGCCGAGCACCGGTCCAGATAATCGCACCAGAGCATTTGGGAGAGTGTTTTTTGGAATTCGAGAAGAGTGAGTTATTGATCGTAGGATGCGAGCAAGCTCCACAAAGCCGTGTGTCTTGCTGTCGGCCAAGATATAGCGTCCATGGCAGCCTGGGGTCTGGGCAGCTTGAATATGGGCAGTTGCGACTTCTCGCACATCAACAATTGCGAACCATAGATCCGGCACCCCCAAGAATAGCTGGCCGCGGAGGAGCTGGTCAAGCAAATATAAGCTACCGGACTCGGAGGCTGGAGATAAGGATAGGCCCAAGACGAGGCCTGGATTGATGGTCATTAGCTTCCAGCACGGGGGATTTGGTTGCCCTTCGTACAGCTTCCAGGCCTCCGTTTCAGCGAGGACCTTAGAACACGGGTAAGCGTTGTGCTGAACCGTGCTAGTCGTATTGAAATACTGCTCGGAGAGGGTTTTGTTCTTCATATCGAGCACATCAGCATTATCGCCAAACATGGCTACCACAGATGATGTCAAGACAACGACTTTGACAGTCTCGCATTTCTGTACTGCTTGAAGAACATGCTGCGTTCCCTTGAAAGCCGGCTCAACGACCTCTTTCTGGCCGTCGCGAATTTTGTTCTCGATGAAGAAAGGCGAGGCAATATGATGCACCACCGAGCAGCCCTTCATTGGAGCTTCGAATGAGCCTGCCACAAGCAAATCGGCTTCGAACAAAGTCAACTTGCCGGGCCATCGCTCCTGCATGTCCAAAAGATGCTTGATCTTCTTATTGTTTTTGGTGCTGCGGACCGTGGCGTGCACTTGGTCGCCCTTTGCGAGTAACTGCTGAATCACATGGCTAGCGATGAATCCGCTTGCACCGGTCACAAGAGAGACATTGTTTACCATGGTGGACTATGGCTCAAGTGAGATATATTCAGTGGATTGAAGACTCCCTTTCTTCCAAATGCTCATTGCTTGTGGCGTTTTCCCTACTCTTTTAATTTTTGGTTCCAACTCCCCAATCGGCGGATGAGCCCTATAGATTTACAAGACTTGGTTCATAGCCGCTTCGAAAAAGTCCTCATGCTTTCCATGCGTTGGAATGGGTCCGTAGATCGAGTGGATGGTTAAAAGCTTTCCGCATGGGGATTTAAATCGGGCCGAGTTGATTGAGGATGTCTTGATTGAGGATGTCTTGATTGAGGATGTCTTGATTGAGGATGTCGGCAAGTTCATTCGATCAGCCCAGATCTTCTGCAAATTCGTAGTTGGAGGTATGAATTATAATCCCGAGAAGCGTCGGCGCCGGATGGTCAATTTCCCCGCGGCCGTACGCACCCTCCCCGGACCCCGTCAGCAGAAAAGCCGCGCTTCGTTGTGGCCAAATTCTAATATACATTTCTAGTGTTGTCAAAACTCACCCGATGTTCGAGATCAAGATCAAGAACTTTTCGTTGTAATTGAGTAAGCAAATTCAGTGATCTCCCAGATAATCCAGTTCTTTCGTTATTGTGCATCGGGTGTTTATGTTGGCCACGACGTTCGAGTTAATCATTAGAATATTTCACAGAGATAAAATCCCGCTGGGTGAATTGTATTAATTTGAGACTGCAAATGAGGCATTTACTAGGGCATAGAACGAAGCTTACAGCGTCTGCATGATACGAGCTTAAGACAAGTTCCTCCGACGTCCGCTTGTAGGGCCAACTGCCCTGTGCTCGCTTTGAGCACCGTCATCGTCACTCGAGTGGCCCGGCCCCGTCATTCGAATTAACGATATGTTCTCTTTAACGAATCGCAAACTTGGTTGGGTTGCTCTTAGCGCAGGTAAGTGGGGCTTCGAAGTTCGATATCGTTTCTCCACTAGTCTGTGCTATTTTTGTCACACGGAGTGTCTATATAGTCTATGAAAATGTGACTCGCCGCGGTCATACAGGGACGGTGACGATATGGTGTGGGCGCATATCTCCAGAAAATCGAACGTCTTCCCGATCTTCAAAAGACTAGAAGAAAATATGGAGGCAATATCAATTTGGCACAAAAACTGGCTATCCGAGTGCGGAGCAGACCCCAGTTGATCAATTCATGAAAGGACTCTTGGGTACTTGGCATAAAGCTAAGATCATATGAGATGCTATGATTTAGAATCTGAACATTACATACTCAAAGCAGTATATAGTTACCATATTTGTCTTCGTCTAGATTGGTGGAAACATGGAATAACTTCTAATTTTGCGGTCTCAATGGAGCAGCATCAGCCTCATGATCCAGCGAGATCAAGATTCAGAGATTTAAAGGGCTTTATGTGCCCGGAAATAATTTTCATTATTCGTCTGGGAGTACGATCTCGTATCTTCACGTGTAATATATATATCATTGCTGGAGCTCTCCTACGGCTTGGAATGAATCTTCAAGGCCCGCAGGGCATAATGTATATCTCAACGAGCTATTAATATCACCTATCACCTTCGCCGCTGTTGATCCCGTTACGACACGGTGAGGCTGGTCGTTGCCATATTTCCCAGCAGCACTTAGCCTGAAAAAAAGAATAATAGGGGTTTTGAAATATCACAGTGTATTTTATTGCCTTGGCGGGATTCAGATGGCCAGGATCGATGGCCACATTGATGATGTTGGTCCTTTGTCGATTGGCAATATGTGCATGTCAGAGAGAAACGATTGCACTTGAATGCGACTGGCGTGTTATGTTTCATTGAGATGTGCTTACTCGAGCCGCTCATCCCATCCCTCAGGTAATGCTACACTGAGCAACTCAGGTCGTTCAGCTCAAGAGCGGGCTCAATATTACTCAGTGAACCAACTAGCGAGGAGTGAGCACTACAGCGGAAAAGAAAATCAAGAGGTGCCGGACATCATCCGGTCGATATGCAAGATAATCTACCTGAACGCCTAGATCATCCCAACGCTATGCACGACACAAATCGCTTCTAAGTAGCCTTTCTCCGCAATTGGTTGCTCATTCATTACATAGCCTGTCTCGACGCGACCGCCTGCATGTATGGCGCCTGGTTCTCTTCTTCTTCTTGCTTTCGTTGCTGACTGCGGATCTTCTGGCGTTTGCGTCTCGCGCTCTTGGAAAGTGAGCGCGACAGGTTGGTCTGCGAGCCTGAAGGGTCTTCGAGATTTCGTTTGGATGCATCTGACTTTCTCCTACCGGGTTCCTTGCCTGCTGTCTGAGACTGCGGAGCGTAGATCCCCGGTATCACAGCAGCTTCGCCTTGGTCTAAGTAAAGAAACCATAGATGGGCATATTTTACAGCACGATCACGGTCTCTGTGTGTGCTGGTCACGTCAACGTCTCCAGAGTTCCACTTAACATCGACTCCGTCAAAAGAGATAGCTGCTAAAGAGGGGCTGCCAGACTGTTCGAGCGCTTTGTGAAGCATTTCCCAAATGTGCGTGCGCGTGATGCCTCGGCCTTCATATCCACTGAATGGCGGATCGGCGCAATGCCAGCGGATCCTGAAGACGGCATTGGCGCTGGCTGGTGTGTGATCTTTTTGGTGCTTGCTGGTCTTTTTGACGACGCCAGACTTGGACTGCAATTCGATTTCTCCGACACGTTCCAGCGGATCCACCCACAAATGTGATAGACTGACGAGCAGGTCCACATCTTCTTCTGACGCATGGACAATCGCATCGCCACAATATGGATCCACCTCAACGTCTGTTAGCTTCACATTAGCCAGTCTGTCATTACCATTTCCTCGCAGAATATTATTCATCTCCGTCAGCAAATGGGAGGGTCTGCCCTTGTACGGGCCATCGCCGAGGACCCAGGTCATTCGGAAGTAATGACAGTGCGAATTCCATGGGTCCAAAGGTTCATCGGGAGTTTCTGACCTTTTGGGCAGGCCATTCCGAGGGTTGATGCGAGCGTACTGTGCATTGTCCACGAATGGAAGCCAGAAATCTTGGTTGCAGACGAGGCGCTCCTTGTCTTCAGCTGTCGCGACGAACACGTCACAGTCTCCAGAAGTATAGTACCATTTGGTGTGCAATATATTGACTGATCGAACTTCAACGTTGGTGCTGCTCTGGATTGCCCGCTGAACGAATTGATCACACCTGGGATACCCCAAATACGGGTCCCTGTATGGTGAATTCTTATGAGCCCAGACTATTCGCACGTGGGGTGCTTCCTGCTTGGTCACAGGCTGCTGCGATGATTCTTGCGAAATCTCATGTGGAGCTCCACCTACCGGTCGAGAAAAATTGGTCAAATTCTGGAATTCAGTCAAGAGGTTGGTCGTGGTCTTTACCTTCGGCCGGCAAATCTCCGTCCTCGGTCACTTCTTCCTCGCTTTCGTCCTCCATTCCTTCATCATCATCTGGCGCAGCCGCATCTCCTTGTGTCTCACTGTCTTCCTCCTGCCCCTGCTTCAGCTCCCGCTGCTGTTCCTCCACCTCTTCTTCCTCCTCCACCTCTTCTTCTTCCTCCTCCTCCTCCTCCTCCTCCTCCTCATCGCTGTCATCTCCGAATGATCCATATTCGTAGTAGTCATCGTCAGAGTCATCCTCTGAGGATTCGCTTCCCCAATCTCCGTCTTCCTCAGAATCTTCAGGATTCAGATCAGGGCCAAAGATATCCAGGGTTGAGAGTTCCTGAGCCACTTCATCAGCTTCTTCAACCTCAGCTAAAGGCTCTTCTGTAGGTTCTTCCTGCTTCACTGCAAATATGTTCGAAAGCACCGCGAGCCGATCCTGCAAGGATAATTGATTTGCGGGAGGTTGCTCTGGCTCACGTTCTGGCTCTTGCTCTTGCTCTTGCTCTTGCTCTTGCTCTTGCTCTTGCTCTTGCTCTTGCTCTTGCTCTTGCTCTTGCTCTTGCTCTTGCTCTTGCTCTTGCTCTTGCTCTTGCTCTGGCTCTGGCTCCAGCAGTGGTTCAGGAAATCTTGCATTGCTGACATCACTCAAATTCTTCGCCAACACGGCGACAATTTTGTTAGCCTGAAACATGGTTTCCATAACATAGCCGGCGGGTGCAGTCGCCGTAGGGTTATCGGCGGTATAACGGCAGATCGATAAGAAGTGTTCTTTGAACCGGTCGACCAGGTCGAAAGGATCGATATCGCCATCGAAACCTTCCGGTTTTGGCCATTGTGAGGCCATGGCAATTGCGACCGGTGTGTGAGAGTAAGTGGCAGCTGTCAAGGATAACTTTTGAATGACGGGGCTGACGCGCTGACTGTACGCGTAGAGCAAGGGGGTGTCACCCCACCGAGCCACTAATCAATCGCAGATGAGATCTGTCTCTTTAGATTGGGGACTTTGTAAGAATAATTTAGTGCTGATCAGATATCAAGTTTCAATCATTTGAATTGAATTGATTTGACATGGACATAGACTCTTTACAAGTAGACAATCCCACTATACGCAGCGGAGAAGTGTTCATGATTCAATGACAGCAAAGTGTAGGAGGTCTACTAAAACCCAATAACGAGAAAATCAAGGAGAAGGTTGAAATTGATGGAGATTCAGGGGCAACAAGCGAAGGTGGTTATTCTTTGTTCCTGTTCTGCCTGTTCAACAGCCTCAGACTAGAGAAGTGATTCATCCAGCGACTAGTTACTCTCCCGGACGAGGTGCCAGTCGGACAACCTCGATACTTGTTCAAACCAAGTCGTCTGAAGGTAAAATTTGGATCATCATCCTGCAGGATCGCCATATCAAATTTGTAGGGTGATGCACAGCTTCAAGCCAATCCAGTCTTCGTAGATTTGGTTGGAATTTGGCGTGAGAATGACTCTGATGGAGAACCAGATCACAGTGATGATGAAAGATGCGGCATTCTCACAAAGCTCACGGACTTCGACTCGAACAATGTCCATTGTCCAATCATTACACTTGGGGTGAAACACTCTGGCGTGAATGGTGAAGTATCCAATTCGGACCACGGCACATCTGGCTCGGTAATGTGAAGCTTTTGCCCAAGCTCATCGATTATTCAACCTTCTCGTATGTGATAGGAGCAGCGTATCAAAGTTAGACTTTCTCTCCACTGGAATTCAAATGATTATTTTTGACACGGAAGGCGATGCAGATGTGGGAAAGAGAATTGTGACGGATTGGCTTCTGGACTTGATACTCTCATTATGGAAAATCTTCTAAATTATCTCAAAGAATGCATATCAAGTCAAGCCTTCCAATAATTATAAGCTCAATGCTGGTCAAACGTTGGACCATGTATACCGGGTTGGCTTATCGATAAGCTGATTGGCCGATAAACTTGAAGTTGTTCGAAAAAAAAAGTTCGGCTCAACGGTCCAACGTCAACTACACTACTCACAATGCCTCACAAGCACAAGCGCCGTGAAAAGGATGATTCGTACGTCTGAGATGTAACCAAAATGTTTGATTCATGACTAACAATCCAACCCTCTCCAGCCACTTCAACCTGCCACCCTCAGTGATCGCAAAAGCCCTCCCGGTCCGCGACCCCAACGCCAAACCCAAGATCAACGCCAAGAACGGCAAGAAGCCATTTGCGCCCAAGAAGTCAGCCCCTCGACAGCAAAATGACCCCGCTAAAAAGGTCACCGGACCAGCGACCACCCGTCGCAAAACTGCCAACGAAGACGACACCCCGAAAGCTTTCCAGCGGTTAATGCAGTTCCGAGAAACCGGCCGACGGGCCCCCTCCGGCCTGGAAACTGGCGAGAAGAAGAACAAGAAGCGCAAGCGTGAAGGAGAAGATAAGGAAACCCCGCAGAAGAAGCAAACCGCTACCGAGTCCAAGGCAGAACCCGCCAAAGAAGTCAAAGCGGTCATGCCGAAGATCCTGCCCGGCGAGAGACTGGGTGACTTTGCTGCCCGTGTTGATCGCGAAATGCCTCTCTCGGCTATGACCAAGAATAACACCAAGGGAGGTGTCAAGGTCCGCGATCACAAGATGACGAAGCACGAGAAGCACCTTCGCAAACTGCAGGCTGGTTGGCGCGAGGAAGAAGCTAAGATCAAGGAGCGCGAGCAGGCTGAGGCTGAGGAGCGGGCTGCCGAGATGGAGGATTACATGGATACTCTGAAGGAGTGGGAGCTTGAAGCGCGCGGTGGAAAGGCTAAGAAGAAGGGTACTGTTCCTAAGAAGTCAAAGAAGAAGAGTGGTACAGGCGAGGACGGGGCTCCCGAGAGCGGCGACGATAATCCTGATCCGTGGGCGAAGCTCAAGAAGCGTGATAAGGAGCGACAGGCCAATCCATTTGAGACTGCGAAGGCGCCGCCGGAGTTGATCAAGCCGAGAGAGATCTTCAAGGTTCGCCGTGGTGCGACGGTTGACGTGGCTAATGTACCGAATGCTGTTGGTAGTCTGAGACGGCGGGAGGAGTTGGCTGGAGAGCGCAGGAATATCGTCGAGGAGTACAGACGCTTGATGGCCGAAAGACGGGGACAAGCATAATCTCGAATTTTTGTCATCTAGTCTACTGTTTATTGGGATATCCATTTGATAGTTTTGGTTCATATGCAGCCGCAGCAGATTTGACTTTCTCCCGTGCTTTTCATTTCTATGTCACATCGAATTACTGCCCATTTTTTTTGTATCGCAAACAAACTTCTAGTGGCCATGACCATCATCCGCTGGCTGCTCGGGGTCCAGCTTGATAATTGTGTCGATACGCATGATGGCAATGCAGGCCTCGACAGCACTCTTCAGCTGCTTGATCTTGCTCATGCTGGGCTCCAAGACACCGGCCTTGAGAGTGTCGTGAACGCGTCCCTTCGTCAGGTCCAATCCGTAGTTGCGATAGGTCTTCTTCTTGGCAATGGCCTTCTCCTCCTCATTCGCATCGCCATCCTGAACTCGTTGTGACAGGGCGTGGCGGACACGAAGCTGAGCCACGAGCTCGGATGAGTCCTTGGCAGCGTTCACAGCCAAGGTCTTAGGAATAACGAGCAGAGACTGTGCGAACTCGCCGATGGCGAGTTGCTCCCGCGATCCGACGGTAACTGCAAACTCCTCGAGGTAAATGTGCAGGGCAGTCTCAACAGCACCGCCGCCGGGCACGATGGTACCACTCTCCAGAGTGCGCTTGATAGCACACAGAGAGTCGTGAACGGAACGCTCCATCTCGTCCAAGCTGAACTCGTTGGCACCACGGAGGATGATGGAGGCAGAGTTGTGGACCTTGGTGCCCTTGACGAGGATACACTCGTCATCGGAGATGCGCTCCTGCACGACCTCCTCAGCCTGACCGAGGTATGAAGGATCGAATTTCTCGTCTCCGTTCAGGTCAGACAGGGTGCTGACAAGGGTAGCACCGGTAGCCTTAGCAATGCGGCGAAGGTCCTCCTTCTTGCAGCGGCGGACAGCCATAGCGCCCTTCTCAACGAAGGCCTTCAAAACCATGTCGTCGATACCCTTGGTGGTCAAGACGACGTTGGCACCAGACTTCAAGATCATGTCCACACGCTCCAGGACAATACCCGCCTCACGCTCGCGAATCTTCTCCAACTGATCAGGGTCCTCCACTGTGATCTGGACACCCAGCTTCATGCGCTCCTTCTGCAAGTTCATATCCAGACAAGCGATCTTGGCATCGGTGACGCGGGTCTTCATGGCCTGAGAAGCAACGGTGCAGTTCAGGGCGTAGCCGTTGACCAGGACGGACTCGGTTCCACTCTTTCCGTGGGCCTTGAGCAGGTTGACGGCCTTGACAGGGTACTTGACCTCGCCTCTCTGGTTTGTTGACTTGACCTGCAGCATAGCGTCCACACACATATTGGCGAAGAAGTCCGGGTCGGAGCCAATGATCTTAGAGGACATAGAGGTCTTCGCAATGTTGACCAAACTGTCCTTGCCCAGGTTCTCGACCTTCGTTGTAATGTTCTCGTTCATGTACTTGACGGCTTCGCGGAGGGCGAGTCGGTATCCGTTGATGATGGTGGTAGGGTGTATCCGGTTCTTCATGAGTTCGTTTCCTCTCCGCAGAAGCTCGGAAGCGATGAGGACAACCGAGGTTGTGCCATCTCCAACCTAGATGAGGTCAGTCATGGGAGGCTCAATGCTCAGGAAATATGTAGAAACCGTACCTCCTTATCCTGCTGCTGGGCCAGGTCCACGAGGATCTTGCCTGCGGGGTGCTCAATATCCAGCAAAGACAGAATGGTAGCACCGTCGTTCGTAACGGTGACATCCTATCAGACAGAACGTTGTGAGAAGCTGCCGCACAGCTATGCGGGGTTCCAGAGTTTACATACCCCTATGTCGTCCACCATCATCTTGTCCAAACCGGAGGGACCGAAAGAGCTCTTGATGACATTTGAAATAGCCTGAGTCGCAAGAACTGGATTCCATCTGTTAGTACAATTGCAATCACTGAGCATTCAGATCCAACATACCATTCTGCTCACGGACATCGGCACCGGTGATTTTCTGCCCACCCAAGACTGTGTGCGAGTCGCGTTAGTTCTGCTCAGATAAAAATCCGGGTTAGGGAGCTTACAGAGAGTGTCCGCATTACGCGGAGCCTCGAAAATGCCTGCCATGGCGTAAGAAATGAAAAATAAGTTTCCTGTGCGATGGCAGAGCTCTGCTTGCTGAGACGGGGGGTTTCTCTGGGTGAGTCCACGCTAAAAGTTCTGCCGCACTAAAGCGGTGTCCGAGATAACATCCCACTTTGAAAAGAGTCACATCTTCATTCACTTCCCATTCTGATCTACAGTTTGGTTTACCTTCTTTTTTACGGCCAGGCGCTCGTTTCTGTCAATCATGGCCTCCCAAAACCCCGCCGAAACCCCCGTCCAGGGCGACGCTGCCCCCCAAACGCTGCCTGATCGCACTCAAACCCCCGCCGATAACCAGGGCGAGTCCAAGAACGCCGCCAAGAAAGCCGCCAAAGCTGCAAAGCTCGCTGCGGAAAAGGCGAACAAGGGAGAGAAGGCTAAACAGGGTGGTGGAAAGCAGGCCCCCAAGAAGGCTCCCACGAAGAAGATGGAGGGTGCGGCGCTGATTGGAATCGATGTCGCCAAGGTGCGACTCTCCTACTACGTTTTATTAAATCAGCTTCTTACTTTCTCGCGCAGGAAACGGATTTCCCAAATTGGTACCAGCAGGTACGAATTGTATTTCTCAGTAGTGAGACTCTACCATACTGACTGACTTCAATAGGTTCTCACGAAGGGAGATATGCTTGATTGTTTGTATTTGACAATTGCGACGAAAAGAATCTCTATTAACATTGCGCAGACTATGATGTGTCCGGCTGTTTCATTCTGAAGGTGTGTGCATTGCGTCTTCATGTCTTATTTGCATACGCTAAATGTTTTAGCCCGCTTCGTACTTCATCTGGGAGGAGATCCAGAACTGGTTCAACAAGAAGATCAAGGTAAGAAACTATGACTTCGTCTTTCAGTGGAAGAATCATCATTAATGGTGAAAATTTATAGGCAATGGGCGTGAAGAACTGCTCTTTCCCTCTGTTCGTGTCCGAGGATGTGTTGCAGCGTGAGAAGGACCACATTGAGGGTTTCGCTGCGGAGGTCGCCTGGGTTACCCATGCGTAGGCTTTTGCACCTGATCTACATGCATCGATTTATTGAAACTGATCTGTTACGACATAGTGGCTCCACCCCTCTTGAGAAGAAAATCGCTATTCGTCCCACCTCCGAGACTGTCATGTACCCCTATTATGCCAAGTGGATTCGCAGCCACCGTGACCTGCCTCTGCGTCTGAACCAGTGGAACTCCGTTGTGCGATGGGAGTTCAAGCACCCTCAGCCCTTCCTGCGCACTCGTGAGTTCTTGTGGCAGGAGGGTCACACTGCGCACTTGACAAAAGAAGCCGCCAACGAGGAGGTGGTAAGTTTCCATTTCGTTCACAAGGAATTCATCATAGGTTCTGATGCTGATACTATGGACAGATGCAAATCCTCGACTATTACGCGGCTATTTACAACGAGGCACGTATTTATGCTGTATCTCGCGAGACGCACTACTGACTTATTTCGCAGCTTCTGGCTGTTCCGGTCGTGAAGGGTCGTAAAACGGATAAAATAAGTCCCCCTCGATTCTCAAACTCTGGCTTCAGGAAATAACTAACATTTGTATACGAGAGGTTCGCAGGAGGAGATTGTAAGTTCCACTGGTTCTATGCTACATGATTTCAACTAATGTATACCAGACACGACGACTGTCGAGGGTTACATTCCTGCCACCGGCCGTGGTATTCAAGGTGGTACTTCCCACGGTTTGGGTCAAAAGTAAGTATCGTCTCTTATACTCCCACAGCTTCATCACTAACTGCGAAAAAAGTTTCGCACGCATGTTCAACATCGTAGTCGAGTCTCCGGACTCAAAGCCCGGCGAGGTTCTGCCCCCTCTCCACGTTTGGCAGAACTCATGGGGTCTGTCGACTCGTACCCTCGGTGTCATGGTCATGATCCACAGTGACAACAAGGGTCTTGTTCTGCCTCCTCGTGTGGCAGAGCTCCAGACCATCATTGTTCCCGTCGGTATCACTAACAAGACCACCGAGGAGGAGAAGGCGAAGCTTGATGCCGAGCTGGATGGCCTGGTTGCCGTTCTCGCCGCCGCTGGTGTCCGTGTAGATAGTGACAAGCGCGCCTACTCCCCTGGCTGGAAATTCAACCAGTGGGAAATGCGCGGTGTGCCTCTGCGCCTTGAGTTCGGCCCTGGAGAGTCCGCTGGCCACTTCGTCACTGCTGCCCGTCGTGACATTCCTGGCAAGGACGGCAAGAGCCCTATCCCCATCCCGGATCTGGCAACTGCTGTTCCCGCCCTCCTGGAAACCATCCAGGCCGATATGCTCAAGCGCGCTACTCTCGAATTCGATTCCCACCGCAAGATCATCACTAACTGGGATGAATTCGTGCCTGAGCTGAACCAGAAGAATCTGTTGATGGTTCCCTTCTGTTTGACCGAGGCCTGTGAGGACCAGATTAAGGACATGTCTGCTCGCAAGGCTGAGGAGGACTCCGGCGAGGCCGAGGATGCCAAGGCTCCTAGCATGGGTGCTAAATCGCTGTGCATTCCCTTCGAACAGCCCAAAGGATTGGAGAAGGGTGTTACTAAGTGCATTAACCCGAAATGCTCGCTGCTGGCAGAGAAGTGGTGTATGTTCGGCCGCTCCTACTAGGCTAGCCAAGCTTCTATGCAGCTAGAGTCAAAAGGCAGACGAGGGTTAAAAAATATCAGTCAAATGCTGATTGCATTACAAGGTTTTGATTGTGGTTACAAATGGTTTCCTTGAATACCTCATTTTTCTTTTCATTCCAAGGTTGGAGTTGGGAGGAGCTATTCGGGGGTGTGCCATGTAGTGGAAATGAGCCAATGAGAAGAAATGAGTGACGTCTTGTTCATACAGTTTTCTTTTGCAAAAATAACTTTTTCGATTAATGATGGAAAACATGTGTAGTGGAAATCTAAGCGCGACCCATCATGGTCAAGACTTTGGTGTTTGATAAAGACCCAGGTCTATGTATAGATTGTAAATCCGCAACGCAGAATGTTGAGACAAAGAAAGAAGCCTTTCAAATCGATCTCACTGCTTTACGCAAGAGCTGTGCCAGTTTTCTAGGGTAGATGATCAGAACATGTGAACATATTCTGGGTTTTTATCGGTTCGCCCGGTGGGAGTATAATAAAGAATGAGACATGATATTCAAGTCCTCTTTCATTTCATAGGGTCCCAAGGAAAAGTAGCTTTGGTTAGATCGCGGATAGTGCACAACAGTAAACAGGGACGGCATACACAGATGCATTCCTGGAAAAGAGTGAGATAGAGCAAAACAAACATCACGATATAGAGCCACACGTAATGGGCGTTGAGACAGATTGAGTAGCTGCGTATAACAGAAGACAAAGACAAAGATAGACTAGGGCTAATTGGTTAGAGAGAGCGAGAGAGCGATGTATATCAGAGAACGAGACAGTGAACATGAAAAGAAAACATTGTGTATGGTATGTTGGATATAGGTAGGAAAAAGAATGAGGTATAGGGGTGAGTAACAGCGAGCAAAAGAAAAGAAAAAGGCTTGAGGTTTTGCAGACGCTTCGAGTCGAGTAATCGCTATGAGAGAAGAAAAAGTCTGAATGGGATCCAGGCAAACTTTCTGTGAAGGTTCGTGAGGGCATCATTGTCGTCGAAAGGGTAGCAGTATAGGTCAATTAATAAGTCTCGACAGAGCGAGCTCCACGAAGCTGCATCCGTGCCCGAGTCCGCGGTGACAGACTGCGTTCACAGCCGATCTGAGAATTGATATTACGAGCTCTCTGAGGCCAATTGATGAGCTTCTCGGCGTCGATGGGGGTGGATGAGTCGATTACGTAGTGAACGTTGTTCTCGTCTACGCCTTCGATTTGGACACGGGGCGGGGAGACGCTGACGCTTGGGAGCTGGATGATCTCGTCGTCGCTGTCTTCGTGCTCGTCTTTGCTGTCGTTTGAGCTTGAGTGGGCTTGCATGCAGTACACGATGCCTGTTGTGGTGGTGGAAATTTCGGTGGTAGAGCGGGCGAGGGTAGACATATTCGAGGTGGAGGCTGAGTCGCGTATCCGGGACGTAGATGCAGATGGAGTTTTCGAGTGGGATGTTGATGGTTTCCCATTGCCGGCACGGATAAGGACGTCCATGTAGGTAAGCTCCTCGCCGGTGTTTAGACGCGTGCCATCTTCTTCCTTGTCGATATCGGCCAGGAAGCCTGGGGTTGGAGGAGGGGCGTCAGTGTGTCTGCGCTGACCGGGGCCTCGTCGTAGAATACTGGAAGAGATGCTGCGGCGGCATTCGGAGTTCCTCTTGTGTTTCTTGAAAGAGCCCTTTCGCATAAGCCTGGAGATCGAACCGACTGAAGCACTGCGATTCAAACCGATGTTCATGGGGTCAAAGCTTCCCTGGGTCGCGGTGGGTGTGAAAGGAGGGCCAGCGACAGGAACAGGAACATTGCGGAACGCCTCATGAGAATTGATCTCACGGACAATAGCATCTTGCAACGTCTCGTAAGTCGGGTGGGAGCTGATAGCCTGTGTAGACATATATGCCTTGTTGAAGAGGTCCATCATTTCAGAGGCCTTAAAGCGAGGCGACGGGTTATCGGGACTCAGAGGGACAGGACTGGAAGTCGGCAGAGGGCTGTTCATGACCTCTGCAATGCTAGGAGCCCCGTTCATATCCTTGTTCGATGGCGTTGGGGGCTGGATGGCGCGATGCGCGATCTTCAGCCGGCCAGCAGCGGCGAGTTCTGTATTAATGGAAAGATCGCGAACGTTTTTTCGTGATCTCAATCCTGAGACTTGTGCTGGAGAAGCTGTCCTCGGGGTCAATGAGGAAGTCCGAGCCGTTGTAGCTGGAGGTTTTCCTACTGGCGTAGCTGACCACGAGCCATTATTGCTGTCACCATCACCTATTGGCATGGGCAGCGTAGGGCTATCTGGCAGCGGTGTAGTGCTCCATCTTTTGCCCTGTTTATAGGCAGGAGGAACCCCAAGGCGCTGATTAGCGCGTGGGGTATCTGGTTGCGCATCTTCGGCCTCGGGCGCGGCAGCTGCCTCATCTGGAGGCAGGCTGGGCGCTGATCTTTGCTGGCGGATCAGTTTACTTATATGCGATAGTCGTGAGGAAGCATTAGCCATCGCGTCTGGAGTGGCAGACCGAGTCCGCAGATCGCCTTCCGATGTCCAACTCGGTTTCACAGGAAAACGTTTTCCAGGTCCACGCCGTCTTGAACCGGTTCGGCTCATCGATCTTGCACCATCAGGCGCAGGAGGTGACGAGCGAGAGCTTAATGATGAAGAGGAACGAGTACCGCCATATTTAGCGATATTTCTGTCTGCCACGTCTTCTTGATACAACGCGGATAGTATCCGAGAAGCTGTTAGGCCGCTTCGATATTGAATACGGAGAAACCTTGTCATGTTCCGCTCGGCGACATCTTCGTTGTAAGGACTGGAGGGAGGGGAAGCGACCGGGCGGTTACTTTCTTGCCGGTATTTCTCCGATGTTGAAAGCGCATCTAGGAGATCAATATGGCGGGAGTTTTGGACTCTTGGAATGGCAAAGTGCTGCGAGACGAATGGCGATAATGATTGGGAAGATTGTGGTCGTGCTGTTTCGGCGAAGTGATGGTGAAGATCTTCGAATTGCTGATCCAGTTGCTCAAAGTGATGGTTCACATCCATAGATTGTGAACCTTTGATTCCGGGGGAGGGTAGCGGAGAGGCGGGTGTCGCAGATAAATGACGGGCCGTGAGGTTATTTTGCGCCTCAGCACTGCTAAAGTACGGTTCATCCGACTCATTATCTCCGGATCCAATACTTGTTGCAGGCCGCGTCGAGGCACGCTCTTGCAGAAAGAGTTTCTTCAAGGCGACCATATTGGAATGGGTTGTTTCTGACCCAAATGCCCCCAAGTTGTCAGTTGTTTAACAGGTATCAAGGGCGCACGAGACCGCCGAGACAACCGAAACAGGGAAGGAGGCCCAGAACGAATCCACAGCTAGCAAATGGTGGTAAAACAGGACCCACGAGGGTGCAGAATTACATGAATGGTATCATGACAGCACATAGAGCTTGAAAATGAAGAGACCTTCATGCGGTTCAGGTATCAATCCATCGCCACGGAGCAATCGAAAGAAAGAAGCGAGGGACCAGAAAGGTCGAGACAGCGGAGACCATGGCTATGCAGATCTACGACATATTTGGAGGATTGGGAGTGTCTGAATTAGGGAAAACGTGCTCGGTCTTTCTCCATGAGCCCGTATGGGGGCCAGGCCGGTGCGGAATGAACGCTAAGGAGTTTAAGAGTGCTCCATTCTTGGCGACAGCTTGACACATGAACGGTGCGCCTCTTCACGGGCTCGTTTAACTCTCTTCCCCGGGCACGAGCTGCTTCCTACCTTTTGGACTGGGATCAACGGTCAACTTCGACGCCGACAGTCGAATGCAGCTATCAGAGCATTTCTCTGGCGTGAACACCCAGAGTGCATGAATGGTTGCGCAGTTATTCAGATGGGCCTAACGCCTCGGAGATCCACATGACACAACGTCTCTGTGGCCAGCCGTGGTAGCGCCTTTTGATGCTGGGCCTTTCTATTTTTTTCGTTTTTCTTCCCTTTCCTTTTCCCGCTGTGTTCAACTTGGAAAGGTCCGGGAAGTGGCCGCGGTCCCCTCCGGTCACGACAAGCCCAATGGGAAGGACTGAGATGGGGATCAAATGCCGGTCCGGAAGGCTAGGGAAAGCCCTCGGGTTGGACTTGGTGGGATGTGGGATGCAGGATGGAGCTCCCAATTTCCGCACGAGGTTCCATTGGCGTGACGAGGTTGATCGGCAGTTGGTGGGCCCTGTTCCTGAGGGGAATCCGTTCGCACGGATTCCCCTGGTTTGCTGGGCAATTCCCGACGCTCTGGAGTCTTGCGCATCCCGATGGAGTCGAGCGTGAGATGGCGGCGGATTGGCGCGGTCGAAACAAAGAGAATGCCACGAATGTTGGATGGGGAGTTCGGAGGTGAGGGGCCGAGCTCGAGCTTCCCCTTCATGAGTCTCAGTCATGAACCGTTCGGTCAGGGGCTTCTTCGAAACACTAGGCAGAATTTAAACAGGACGATCGATCCCCTTTCGACACAGGAACCTTGGAACCAATTGGGTCCGTACTGTATGCTCTCTGTACTGTACTGTAGATTCTCCTCCGAGTCTCCATATTCTAAGCTTTGTCAAGTCAACCCGAGTTACCTCTTCCCAGATCCACTGAATCTAGAATGTGGAATTTGGAATCTTGCATCTCAGGGACCTCGGGAATCTAAGGGCTATTAGATCGATCGATTCCGATCTCGATAGTACTTTGGACACCGCCCAAGCTCAGCCCTGACGATGCTGGTGAAGCGTTGCTGTCGGCCTGAGACCCTATGGAGTTGTAATCTCCTCGTGCCCGTCGATCACACTGCTGTGGGAACCTCGTTCATCAGCATCATGCACATACTTGCAGGTGGCGTATGAAGGAGGTCCTGGGCTTTGAGACACGGCATTAGCCTTGTGTCGGACCGTGCTGATCGCCATCGTTAATTTTTTTTTCTTGGTTCTATATTTCAATTCGAGTATTCCATAGCTCCAGACTTCACAACAGTGATATTTTGCTGTCAGAAAGGATTTCATACGGGATGCCCATTATTTACTCTAAACTGGAAATCAAAAGGGTGAGTGTTGATCCCATGACAATGCCAACTGGCCTGCCATAGGTTATCTGATGAGTGTACCTTTACTTTTTACCACGGTCATTCACACTGCTTGAAGAGCCTTCCGTTCTACTCAGACCAGTACCCAGACATGGCTACGACTCGTGGTCGGAAACACGGCACTAAGACAAGCCCATGAACTCGACTGCGATTGTTTTTGGCAGCACTAGCAATAACCACATGGCAAATGAGCGCTGTGGCTGTGAATGCAGTCGACATGAATACCTCGATGAGTCCAGCAGAAATGGCAAAAAGTCTCTATATGGCTGGATGATGGCCGTAACAATATGGGAGAGAGTGATCACATCTGGCCAGAAGACCATCTGTGGCGGAACCGAATCCAAAATTGCGAGTCTTCGCCTAACAATTGCGTCAAAGAGTGATCAAATTAAAAACCTAAAGGCAGTCTCTATCGAGCGATATCGACCACCAGCACCTCCGCCGTCTACCGAGCCTGACCCACGACGACATTCACCGTTGACAGACTCCAGCCAGATACCGCTTGATTGATCACCCCCTTTAATCGAGAAGTAAGCCTAGTCCAATAATTCAACTAAAACGAGATGAGACTAAATCCATGAAATTAATTCTTCTGTCGACTGGCTAATGAGCAGTTATTGGGGATATGTCACAAAAATGTAGCATTTGGTATCTCTGCTCATTACTGCTACCGTACATCTTCTGAGCATCCACCTTTCCAGTCTCGACGAACATTACTCAAATGTAGCCTGTTAGGCATGCTTAAAAATCGTGTCAGCTAGCTCAATCCATCCAGCTTGAGGCTCCGATCTCCGAAAGCAACATCTTTCATGCTTGGTACATGACCTACGCCTCCTCCTCGTCATTTGTAGCATGCTTAGCCTCGACCTCGATCTTGGCCTTGACATCGCTCTTGAATCCATTTGTATCTTTGGTCATGGGAGCATCGACCTCAGACTTTAAGGCCGCCTCGGACTTAGGAGCCTTACGCGGCTTCGAAGTAGTGGTTGGACTAGCGGCAGGGGTACCATCGAAACCTTTCTTGATCCGTGCAAAGCGACCAAAGACAGTTTTATAGGGCATACCTAGGAGTTCAGAAGCTCGCTGGTAATTGGGCTAAGAAGAGCCAAAGTCAGCGTAATTCAAACATTGCAAAGGCTCTGAATGAACGAGACATAGACATCTGACTTCGAGTTCTTAAAAGGAACTCACCTTCGGGAAGTCGGTAGCCTCATACAGAACTGCCCAGATAAAGTCCAGATCATTCACGGAATCGTAAACATGCTTGTTGGGTGAATACGGACCGGAAGAGGTGGGCGACTGAGTTGCCTTTCTCTTGCTGGGAGTCTTGATGACCTTGTTCGCATCTTTTTTGGGCGACATGATGTTTTCAGGTTCTTGCGGACGGATAGCAGATATGTATGTGGAATTTGGTGATGGATACAAGAAATGTGAATGAGAGTAGTGAAGAATTCTCTGTGAACGGGAGATAGGGAGTGAGAGGAAGAGTCTGGGTAAGATTGAGATGTCCACTCAAGAGTGAGAGGGAGCAGGACGCAACCGACGCAGTTCAAGGACAAACCACTTTTACTTTCGGCCTACACAAGGCTAATACAAACTGGCATATGTGACGACAAGGTTGCTACATCGCTCATTTGAGCCTCAAGAGATTACAAAACATGAAAGTCAAGAAGAATGAGATATTCATGAAATGGTAGATGATCCTACGTGTGCTTATTTGAAGGTAAACCCCCGAAGGGAACAAGTTCCACGCCCATCTGTCCCCGTTCACCATATCGCGAGAGCTGTCGATGATTTACCACATGCCATCCTCCTCTCCGTCATCTTTAAATGAGCGCGACCCGCTACACATCTTCAAACTCGACATCATCGCTATCGATAGACTCCTTGCTCTCAGTGTTGGCAGACTTCTTCTCGGGCTTCTTCTTGTCCTCCTTCTTCGGCTTTTCCTGGTCTTTGCCCTCGAGCTTCATCTTCAGGCGGCGAAAGCGCTGGCGAGCCGCAGCCTCGTTGATGCCACACTGCCTGGCGAGGGCTTCAAAGTTGGGCTGTCGAGTTATATATGAGCAAGAGCCACGCATTGACAAGGATGGCGAAGTAATCGATGTGTCACTCACAGTAAAATTCTCCTCCTTGGTTTGGATGACGGCCCAGAGGAAATGGACGTGGTCCTCAGTAGCCATGGCACCTCGCTTGGGAGAGCCAACATCAGCAGACTTGGCCGGCGCCTTTGGCATGGTCGGAATGGTTCTATGGTCTTGCACGAGTAAGTGATGAGAAAGTAACGGGCAGTTGCAAGGACGTTTGTTGGACTGGGAAGAGCAGCACGGACTGTTTCGTTGATAAAATTGGATGTGGGAATGTGAGCGGACGATGGTGTGAGATGGGAGATGGTGTGAAGTGAGAAGTGCGACGTGCGTGATTTCTTGAAAGAGAGCGAAGGGGGAGGAAGTTTGGCAGGAATAATTGGATTTCGTTTCCTTCATTAATGGTATAGGTATCTTTTCTAAGTTTGTGCCTCACTGAACGTCTTCAGCAGAGACTCCCGCACAGCCTCGGCCAAAACAGTGTGTGCACCTCTAGCCGCATCAACAGCACCATCTAATAATGCTTCGTGACCTGATCTCTTATCTCCATTTTCGAGCGATGCCTTTGAGCTATCGCCCTTGAGCCAGAGCTCAGTAATCTCATCACGGGAAGGCATGTACGCAACAACACATGCTGAAACAATGGATCGGTGCTCTGCCGGATCAGCATCCAACATGAGCTTAGGAGCCGCAGGCGACTGCTTCCCCTCATCAGAAACCAAAGCAGCGACACCGCCAGCAACAAGGTCCAGACAATCGATATGAGCATCAGCAATAGCAGCCGATGCAGCAGTAATACAGCCTGCCAGAACATTCATCATTCCCCACGACGCATCGTGAGAGTCCGGGGCATCTGCCCACCACCGGTCATCCTCCGCTTCGAGAATAGTAATTGTAATGTCCAGTCCACTCTTTGGCCAGCGCTCCGCAATGATAGCGCCCCGCAGAGCAGTCTCCAGGTGGACACCAAGATCCCGTTCGGTAGAGTCGCGGATATGGCCTCGTCGCTTGCGCGCCGCGAACGGCGCATACTTGACATGTGTTGTCAGAACAAGGTTGGGGGAGAATGCCGCAGACCGCGGCAACGGCTTGGGACCGTGAACTGTGCAAGCAAGCTTCAGAGCTGAGGAGGGCGGGATCAGAGATTTAGGGTTGATGCGGGCAGCGGCGAGAGACGCGGAAGGCTCAAATTCGAGATAAGACGAGCCGGAGGCAGTTGGTATAAGGCCTGTCTTGAGGACTGAAGCAATGCGGGTTAGCTTGCTGTCGCCAATGGACCTGGACATATGGGGTTCATACAGATTTTCCGGAGCTCTGAAGGTTGTCGCTGGCGCTGAGCGCGCTCTGAGACACCAGTGCCGGAGTCTGCGAGTGAAGCAAACACGGGTGGCCTCGTGCTACCAGGAGGGCCATTGACACGTCTCCGATCAGCCATCATCGTGGTGATTGTTGCAAGAAATGACGGAGAGGTCAAAGGTGATGCGCCCAGAAACGGAAATTGTGATCGAGGGTTTGCAGCGTTTGCACCGGACCCCACCCATTGCCTTTTCCTCGAATTCTTCGCTCGCCCATTTTCTCTTTCTCCCACACTCCTGTGTTATTCACAACTTTGGGTTGGCAGCTCTTCTTAATGTTGAAGAAGCTTTCCCAAGGTTCTTGAGCTTCGAGTACGACCTCTTCTATCTCCCACTAACGTTACTGTGAGTTTCCCTGCCCTTATAACCCCCAATTGCAATCTCCCTGTCCACATGAGGAGACCGATCCAAATCTCTGTTCGGCGAATCAACCCATGAGCCAAGAACAACATGCACTACCATCTGATGGACACCATTGCTATCTCATTGTCACCCTCTCGATACCCGAAACATCGGCGCTGACCGTGAAATTTCAGACAGTATTTTTTTTTCTCGCTTATCTTCGACCAAAGTTGCAAAGCTTGTCGGCGCTAGCTTTTCAAAGCTAACCCATTAACAAGGTAAGCGAGAGTCTTTTCTTTCTTCCCATGGCCCTTCTATGATGAGAAACAATTTTCAGTTCTGCTTCTGCAAAATTTTTGAAGATAACAAAATACCTTACCAAAAACTCCTGATGATGCTATATCCACACTATTGTCTTGCCATTTTATGTTTATGACATCGCCGCTGACAATATGAAGTCTACAATTTATAGTTTTTCACCTGGTCATCTTCACTTTCACATCCCATAAAAGGTACATACTCACTCTTCTTTCCATACCACACCCCCCCCCCCTTGTATGATGACAACTAGTCAATCCATTCAACGAACTCCTTTGAGAACCGCCTCTCGTTACGCACCCGCATCCCAGCGGTTTCAGAGCGTAGGCGTCGATCTATACCTCCAACTCCCTATACTGGACCAGTCTGTCTCACGACGGACTGGGAGGAAGGTTGTGAAGACCTGGAGGTGTGGGCTAAGTCGTCGTCTGCTTCCTCTGGAGCTTTCCTGGGATGTGGTACTGCGCTCGGCTTGTGTTAGCTTTTCTCGGGTTGGCTGGCTGTCCGTCTTGGACGAGAGTTTAGCTCGAGAGGTTAGCAGAGGATGGGATGAGTTAACCGGCTTGCTGATTACAAAATAAAATTCATGCTTGTCATGTCTGCTGTTGACTTTGAGATTTTGAAGCTGACTATTTGAAAGTCTAGGTTGTAGATGCATCACCATCATAGAGACTAGTTAGTATGAATGGATTACGAAAACATTCCAGCCTTATGTGCACATCGTAATGTTAAGCGGTAGATGAGGCTATGTACGAGTGAAGATAATGTGAAGGGGACGAACTATGGTCATGAAACAAAGGTTCCTCTCGCCTGCTTCCCCGGAGGTCCGGAGTGGAAGTAAATTCCGAAGTCCTCAGCAGAAAGGATATGAAGGTCGACGGACATTCACACCTTGCAGGCTAGCTCTAAACGTCCAGGATAAGCAAGGAAATATCTCAATCAAACAACCTATGTCTTTTTTTTGTGCTGCTCCTAGGAGCAAAGTGTTTGTTTCTTCCAAACAGTGAAACTTTGATTCTTGGTTTACCAGACGCCGAATCCACTCTAACGATCGCTGCGTCCGTTCATCTTGTCTGATTTCATTATGTAGGTGATTCTTAAAGTCGGGTTCATTCCTTGCCCTCAACATCGACAGGCGTTGTGGTGCCATTCGATCCGGACATACTATAGGGGGCCTAGAGAAGAAAATGATTAGATTGAGTCTGCGATCCAGGGCGCCACAAGGTACATACCAAAACTTTCTTGGCATTGCATATTCTCCAAGCAAGGTTGCGGACGTTGCCGTCGGCCTTGACGACTTCAGGCGCCAATTCGACACCGAACCTGGGCAGACGTTAGTGCGAAACGTAACTGAATAGAGGAGAGGTCCCTTACATTTGGTGAACAGCAAAGACAACACGTTTTGCGAATTTGCCTTCGCGCTCCACGAGACTGCCGAACTGCTCTTCCACAGACTCAGGTGCGATCTCGGGATCTTGATCGAAACAGTTGCGGACAACAGGTAGCAAGGCATTCTCGACAGCAGTTTGCACGATACCATCGCTATCAACGATGGAACTGTCCTCATCAAAGCGTCGAATGCGAATTTCGAATGGTCTGGAAATAGCCATGACATTGTGCATGCCATTGTGGTGGTAGCGGAACTCAAAGACACCCTGCGTCCAGAAGAGCTTGTCGCCAGTGAATACAACCTCGCCGGATGCAAGCCCGTGCTTGTCACCCTTTATGTTGGAATTGACAACGACATCGCTGGTGATGATACCCTTCTCGCAAGTCAAGTTGTCGTAGAAGCCCTCGTTCGTAGCGACCCAACGACCCTGCGAGGAAACACGAGAGACTTCTCTCGAGGAGCTATCCGTAACACGGTAGAGACCAATCCAGTCTTTCTTGCTGTGATTGAGAGGAGCAGTCCACTTTACCTTGATTGGAGCGCCGTATTCGAACGTCAAATTCTTCAGGTCGCCTCGGCGGTCGAGGGGAGCTTGGGCGTTGGCACCTTCGCGACCCTTACCCTGTGCGCTTTCGTCGAGCGATTTGGCCTCAGTGCCTTCGACAGAGAGGGAGTAATCGCTCAAGTCGAGACCGGCCAGATCGGCGTCGATTCGAGAGATGGTGACACGGGCTGGGTACTTCTGGAAGAGGGCAGTGGTATCTTTGACGAAAGTGTTCACACCGGCAGCGAGCTTAGGGCGAGCGAGGTCTAGAATCTCTTCAATGAACTCGAAGGAGTCATCAAACATCTTGTCGACGCTGCCGTGGAGCTCCTTAAGGGGCGAAGGCAAGGACTTCTTCAGGTTCTTGACAACACCTCCATCCTGGCGGATGCTGCGGCCGTACAGCTTCTGCATATGCGGACGCTCCACGAATTGGATGAAAGCAAGACTCAGGATGTGGCTTAGAAGAGCTAAAAAGGTGATTGCACCGCTGCTGGTAATGAGGACTGCACCCCAGACACCTGCGAGACCAAGGACACGCTCGGGATTGTTCAGGAAGCGGTAGATACCATCGTAAGTGAGTTTGGGCGACTCGTCGAAGAAGAAATCTCCGTAGAACCAGCCAAACTCGCCGAGAGAATCGTAGATGCTGACCGAGGTCCATAGTTGCAAACCGATGAGGCCCATACCAAGAACGTGACGGAACAGCACCAAGCCGTAACCCCAATCGGTTGGGAAAGTGTACATTTTCCATGCGGCGGCAATAAAGCTTGCGTAACACATAATCATGCTTTGGTGGTAGGTGCCCTTCCACTGGTTCCACGCCTCTTGCGGGGTTTCACCAAATTTAAGGAAGTGTCTAGTCCAGGACTTATTGTTGGATTGGTTGTTGAGCAGATAACCAATGCCTACCGTGAACCACACGCGCCAAGCCACGGCATTGACCATGAACAGGAATTGGTACAACGGAGTGGATGGTGTCAAGGCGGCAATGGCGAAAACTAGCAATTGTATGAGTATAATGGACGAATCCGTAATTCTATACAAATCCAGGTTGTTCAATCCGAGGAGGTTATGCACCGACGGCGGGGGCTTGGCCGAGTACGATGTAGGCGCGTTGGGAAGCAGGTCGTCAGACACGGTTGGCGCTGATGGGGAGTCTGATTCGAGAGGTAGGCTGGAGGTCGAATCCACACAGACGGATCGCTTTCGGGGTGGTGGCGGATTGTAGGTCTTGTCAATGTGTGGATTCTCAACGAGTACCAGGAAGGCAAATTGTGCTGCATGGGCAATGATCGAGATGAAGAGGACCTTATAGCTGGCCGCCATAAGAGAAATGCCGTAGTAGCCTGCGTAGCCGACCGAGTACATGGGGTGTGGCGCCATCTCGAATACACCGTCGAAGGTCAATTCCTGGTCGATGAGATAGAAGAAGTCACCCCAGTACCAGGCGTAATCCTTGACTACTCGATGCGCATCTAGTTTGACCCAGAGGTTGAACAACACGAGCACGATGCCCGCGGTCCACCGGAGGACAGTCATGATCATACTCTCATCCACGGGTCGGTGACCGCAAGCGATCGCAAACAGACAGTAGGAAGTAAAGTCACACATCAGGATCACGTCCACGAGACGTCTAAAGACAAGCCATGTGTTGTATTCAATGGGTGCATTGTCAAAATTGTAATCATGCGGAATCTTGGTTTCCAACTCGCGCTTGATCCAATTGTACAGAGTAGGATGAGGGTTGTCGCCCGTGGCCGGGTTGACAAAGACCTTGGTCTTCTCCGCCCATCGAATCATAGTCTTATGATGCGACTGATTGTGAAGCAGCCATCCAATCCCGCCATTGTACGCCGCGCGCCAAAAGAGGTACACGACCGCAAAGACCGGCACCTTGGCGCCCGCTGGGAGGACCCAGAGAAGCGATATGTGGAGAGCCAACAACACTAGTACAAACGCATCGGACATGTTCTTGGGTTCGGATGGCGACAAGAGCTGGGAGACCATATCATGGGTTTGGGGCACCGTGAACACTGCCGATTGGGATGGACCCGGTTAGCGGGGGAAGCTCCACAAGACCCTGGGAAAGTCATGATATGAAGGTACTTTGCGAATGTTCCGACTGTGTGATCGTGACCCGCGGGGTGAACTGATGACAACGAACTTACCTGTTCCAGCGGGCGTCCGCCCAAAGGTCTTCTGGTCCTTGCCATTGCCCTTCCTGATGTCGATCTCCCCACTGGCATTCAAAGCATCTCGACCCCCAGTTGAATCAGGGCGAGACACTCTTTCACGCAAGCCATCTGGCTGCTGGGCACCTGTTGAACGGCCCGTATCCATGATGGTGTTATGGAAAAGAAACTGTTGGGGCTGCGAGATCAGTGACGACGGAGCATGTGACAGCGGGTCGCAAGTCAATGTTGCGCTGTTTGCATTAACCACGGAACTACGTGCCTTTTTGTGCTCGGTGCCTCGTGTTCAATACTTGGTACTTTGTGTACTATACTTGGCCCGGGGTGATCTTTTTAAGGGTTTTTTTCAAACGTCTTGAAAATGGTTGAGAGAGAATGTGCCGTATTTATGGGTGGAATTGGCGTGGAGTGGAACCCTGAGTGTCCGACTTGCCCATAGGACCTTAGTCTCTGCGGGCCCCAAATGGAGCGGAAGGGGAAAGAAACGGGATCCTCTGTACGCTAAGTCTAGAGTTTTCTTGCGATTTAATGCCGTGGGCCACCCCTCTATGTTCGAGCATCATGGTTACTGAACCCAAGTCCCCTCGTGCAGCATCCGTTGGGCAACGTGTCGGCCCCCAGGTCGATGCGCTCAGCGGCAAGTGCGGATGTCAGAGCAACCATCTGCCCATCACCTCCGAAACACAGGTACAGGCCACGCTAAAAATGTGTATGCGATGTGTGGCTCGTTGCCATGAAATGCGCGCGTTGGCCCGCGAATGAGGGCGTGCATGCATAGTGGAAGGGGGTTGACATCATCTTTTCTAACGCAGGACACATGGAACAGCAGATCCAGGGCAGCTGATGTCAGTGCGTCGAGATTGATAATGGACACCATAACACTATGGCGTCCGCACTGCCCTCCAACGTGCTAGAGAACCGGTGGTCCTTCGCTGGCTCAGCACTTCACCCCCGCTTCTCGTCTCACCTGCAGTGTCCCACATATCCTGCGCCGATGCACTGATCGTCTGTGGAGATCCCAAATCAAGATATTCGCACGTCTAGAGTTCTGACAGGCCTATGGTGTCCGGGTACCTGATGCTAGACGCGATAATTGGACACTGGAATAACCCCTCAGGATTTTACCCACGATCTCGTTTAGCGCATGTTGAAGACCGTGTCTGCAAGCTAGCTCAGAGCGAGGACAAAGCAAGACTCGAGCTGCAGATTTCATCCTAGGTTGATCGTAGTAGCAGACGGGTCATCCAAAAGGCCAGGAAGCCCACACAGCGATAGTGGACGGACTAGAGCTGATGAGCTTCGGATGAGGAGTCTTACCAAGCACCTCCATATCAACTCTAGCCTGTATAATTTCAAATTGACCTTTGACACACACAACTATATACCACCAAACCCCAAGCTGGTAAACTGTTCGAGCTTTTACTTTGAACCCAAACAAGCAACGAGGTCTCCAAAAGTGCCAAGTGACCCCGCCAATCGCCACAGATTGGTTAGTCAGCCCCGCTTATCAAGCATTCTAATCGCTCGCCACTATGGATTCCCCTCTTCCTGAATACTTCCTCGGTCTTTTACTACCCTAACCCCTTAGAGAAGAAATCAACTCGCCATGGCACCCTACGTGGAGGAGCCGAACGAGGCAATCCTTGATGTATCCACCAAGAGGGCGCCGAATCTCGTGGCACCGGAACCAGGTACGTCTCGCGGGGAAAGTTGGTCTTTTGTGTATGTCTTTTAATATCAACTCCAGAACACTGCCCTGGCCCCAGTCCGAGAAAGCAGGCCAAGGTGATGCCTGTGCTGGCTGTCCCAATCAACAGATTTGCGCCACCGCGCCTAAAGGCCCCGACCCAGACATCCCCATCATCACCGAGCGCCTCTCACAAATCAGACACAAGATCTTAGTCCTGTCCGGAAAAGGCGGCGTCGGTAAATCGACATTCACTAGTCTCCTTGCACATGCCTTTGCGACGAACCCCGAGTCCACCGTTGGCGTCATGGACACCGATATTTGCGGACCCTCGATCCCCAAGATGATGGGCGTGGAGGCCGAGACAATTCACGTAAGCAACGCGGGCTGGAGTCCTGTCTGGGTGACGGACAACCTGGGCGCCATGAGCGTACAATTCATGCTTCCGAATCGCGACGACGCGGTCATTTGGCGCGGACCGAAAAAGAATGGCTTGATCAAACAGTTCCTCAAGGATGTGGATTGGGGCGAGTTGGACTATCTCATTGTGGATACGCCCCCGGGCACCTCTGACGAGCATCTCTCTGTCAATTCGCTTTTGAAGGAGTCTGGGGTTGATGGTGCTGTGGTTGTGACAACCCCGCAGGAGGTAGCCTTGTTGGATGTCCGCAAGGAAATCGACTTTTGCCGGAAAGCTGGGATCAAGATCCTTGGTTTGGTGGAGAATATGTCTGGCTTTGTATGCACTAATTGCCATACCACATCTCAGATCTTCCGCAAGACTACTGGCGGAGGACGTCGCCTGGCGAAGAAGATGGGCATCCCTTTCCTGGGTGCAGTGCCTCTGGATCCTCGCATTGGTATGGCATGTGACTACGGTGAGAGCTTCGTCGACAGCTTCCCCGATAGTCCTGCATCCATCGCTATCAAGCGTGTTGTCCGCGCGGTTGGCGAGGCTGTTGGGGAGAACCCAGAAGATGTTCTCCCAGAAAATATGGTCGCTTGAGCTCGTCTTGGATCTTGCTCTCATTTTATAGCGTGTTGCATATGGCTTGGATGGTATGATTCCACCTTTCGGCGTTTGGACATAGAATCTGCTTTGATACCATGGAATATTCGACATTGTTTACGAATTGCATCTGCATTTGAATTCATTTCATTCATTAACCTAAATACGAGGGGAATCCTAATGCACACGGGCCTGTTTTGAATGCCCTTTGAGATCCGAATTCGACAACTTGGAAGTGATCTTGTTCAGAGAATATCTGGAATAGCATTTCCCGCACGCCATTATCACGTTGAAGGTCGTGTAGTGTTCGTCGTCTGCAACAACACCCGACGATAACTAGTCAACGGATTGTGCCCATTATCCGTAACTTCAAGGATCAAATGAAGCAGCCAGCATCCAGATGGATTGAACCCTTGGCCATTGCAGCTCACTTTCTCCGCCGGGATCGGTACCTGCGCAAGCCGACCACCATTTGAAGTGCTCATGTTCAGCGGGGGAACCTGTTTCGTAGCATTCCAATCAGTTGCGCCGGGTTCCTTGTACTGGAAAAGACACAAGTGCACTCTTATTGACTGCGTTGGCGAAAATCTGGACGGCCAGCGTCTATAGCATCGTGATACGGATCATAACTATCATTCTTTACCAAAACCCGGGGTAAACCACGCTACAGAGACAGGAATCCATCATCTTCTCTATATACACCCCAGTGATTGCCGAGCTCTGGAAGAAGATCTGCCGCGCTGCTTGTACATTTTGGAAATTCCACAGCGGATGAACTGAAGAATCTCCATGATGAGGGCATGTTGTGGGTGACTGCCCCGGCAAGCCTTGCTTGAAGGGTTCGGGATACTTAATCCGATGCCAAGCTTCCTGGTTAGGAAGTTTTAAGCACTCTCTATGTGGAGCATTTCGGCGAAACAGCTCCGATGCCGTTCCTACCTGCTCGATTAGGTATATCCCTGAATTGAACGCGTGAGCAAGAGGAGCCTTCCACAGGAGGTCTCAATTATGTCTTTGCCGGCCTCCTCGGGAGTGATTCTTCAGTCTTTGGTGTCTGCATCTTTCTACGACTGTGATTATTCCAAATAAAAGTGATCTTGGATGAATGATAGACGCCTTTCATGATGCCTCCTTGGCCATGGTAATTTGACTATTGTCAGCAGGAGCCTTCCTACTCTTCCACTCTCCCCTTTTTGCTTTCCGGGAAGAGTCTGGATTCTTTATACCCATCAGCCCTGTCATTTCATGAAATTGTCCAGATTAATTCTTAGCATGTCAAAGCGCATACTCGTCCCATGAAGTAAATCAATTTCTTATACATCTCTCCAGCACGTCAATTTTCAGTGGCCATCTTCGCAAGGATTCCTCTGGAAAGCTCTCGGCCATTTATATCGTCAACAGACACATCGTCGTGGGGACAGAAACCATCACTATCGCCTGCTACGAGATAGATCAGTGCATGATCCAAGGCGCCAGAGAGCATGGCCATACAACTCGCTGACAATCAAATAATTGCTATTTACCGAGACAATGATAACTTCCGCCCGTCAAAGCTCAGGAGCATGGCTTTCCAAGCTGCCGTTCCGGGGCCAGGGTCCAAGTTAGCTAGGGTGGTCCTCGTTTTCAGGATACAGTAGACGTAAGGCTGCAGGATCGAGATATGTAGCTCACTGGCTCTCCTGTATCATCCTGGCTACCGTGGAAGTTAGGCATGACATGGGTGTTCCCGAGGTCGAAAAGTTTTGCCCCGCGAGGTAGAGGAATCTCGAACTGATGTTTGCCAATGTTGCTTTAATTGCTATTCCTAATACACCAAGGCGTGTTTTGTTTGCATTGCACTTTGTCTGTCCTATCAAGTGGACAGTTGATGAGTGATGCACGATGAAGAGGCAATTTCTGCTGACCCTTGTGACCCTTTTGTCCCTAAATGGGGTAGACTTGAAATTCTAATAGATTACTGAACGCATCGGAAGACTTTATTCATGTCATATATTAAGTGAACAAACCAATGTAGTAAAGTTCGACCGCTTGGACACAAAGCCGGGCCGACCCCTATAACGGAGAATAGCGACCATCCTCCCGGACAAGAGAACGACATAAATTAAATCAAGCCACCGAACCCCTCCAGGCATCTCCTGAACTCCTCACGCCAACCTTTCTGGTTACTGCACTGTTTCAAGGGGGCGACTTTCCAGCCTTGTGATTGGGAAGTTACCCGCCAAGCGGTGTTTCAGGATCAACCGAGCACCGGCGCATCCGCATTTTGAATGGTCGCATCTGTCAAAGCTACGCGCCCAGCAGATCTCCACTTATGCCAAACACCTCGCTGTATCAGAAATATGAATACTGCGAGGGTCGCAGGAGTTCCTCAGCTCGGAGCCATGCCCTGTTTCTTGATGACAGCTCTATTTCGAGCTGTCAATCCGGCCAAGTCGAATAACCGAGTCACGGCCAAGGGCTTGTCGCGGCAGCAGATGCCGTGATAGGTAAATGGCGTCGATTTAGTGAGGATCAGAAACGGCTAGGTAGTCCACCACACGTACCATGCTTTGGAGGCGCCGTGGCGTGAACCGAGTGGATTGGCTCCTTTGCTTTTATAAAATTCAGATGCCTGGGATTAGCATCTTCTTTTCTCCTTTTGTGAAGCTGGAGCCCATTCCTCGTTCTTTATTTCTACTCTCTCTTTTTTTACCGTTCGGAGCTTGGTGCGCTGTGCTGCCTGTTGCTCTCCTTTAGCAGTCTGCCGGTGCTTCGAAGACCGAAGCGGTGGCCTGGTCCCGACGACATTCACTTCTTTCAGCAAGAGGAATTGCGAGACATCTCGTGGTGACTTATTTCGCTCTTTTATAGCCCCGGAGGCATAGTTAATCTTCTCAACCATTTCCTCCTCGTTTTTCTGGCTGGTCCACTTGACTCCACTGAAGATCAGACAAAATGCGTCTGTTACTTTCGCTTGTACTTTTTCTTTCCCTGAGCTATGACTCTCTGGCTGCACCTACAGCCCTTCCTCCTCAACAAAGAAGTCGGTCTTTTCGTGTTGAGCGAGTCAAGCGCAGCGACTATATTCCCAACGGACCCAATGCCCTGGCCAAGGCGTACCGCAAGTTCGGCCTCGCCCCGACTACCTTCATCGATGTTGATCTGAATGACTTTGAGGCATACAATACCGCCAAAAGTGCCGTTTCTACGACTACTGGTTCAAGCGAAGACGACCAGACGGGAGAAGTCGCTGCGAAATCTATCAATAGCGACGTGGAGTTTATCTCGACCGTCACCATTGGAGGTCAAGGTATCCCGATGGACTTTGATACTGGCTCCGCAGACATGTAAGTTTACATCTGTTTCCAGAATCGGCACATCTCCAGCCTCAGGACCGATAGAAACCTAATACGTTCACGCAGGTGGGTTTTGAACTCAAACATGAATTCATCATATACATCGGGCCATACTGTCTACGATCCCAGCAAGTCCACCACCTACAAGGCAGTCACAAACAGCTCTTTCGAAATCTCATACGGCGACAATTCCTGGGCCAAGGGAACGGTCTGCAGAGACACTGTCTCCATTGGCGGCGCAACTATCACAAACCAAGCAATTGGTCTTCCGTCGACCGTCTCAGCCTCCTTCGTCTCCGACACGAACTCAAACGGCCTGCTCGGCCTAGGATTTTCATCTATGAACACATTCAAGCCAGGTCCCCAAAAGACCTTCTTCGACAACATCGCCCCAAACCTCGAAGAACCTGTCTTCACATCCCTGCTGCGCAGCGACGGCGTCGGCGAGTACGAGTTCGGAAAGATCGATTCCAGCAAATACACCGGCTCCCTAGTCAACGTCAGCGTCGATTCATCGAATGGATACTGGCAATTCGAGTCGGCATTTTTCGGTGTGGGAGGTGGTTCTTTGCAGACCCTGACCGGCAGTGTAACGACTGCTATCGCCGATACCGGTACTTCTTTGATGCTTGTTCCCACCCAGATGCTGGAAGCCTACTATGGAAGTGTCACTAATGCCCAGCATTCGTCGAGTGTCGGGGGCTACGTCTTCCCTTGCAATCAAGATCTGCCTAATTTGACTATTGCGCTGGGTGACAAGTACCAGGCGACTATTCCGGGCTCATTCATCAATTTTGATGAAATTGGGACAAATACTACGACTGGTGAAAAAGGTGAATTCTCCTCTCTTTTGTTTCGGAAAGCCTTGCTAACTTCAGTAATAGTCTGCTATGGTGGCGTGCAGTCGAGTTCAGGCTCGAGCATGATGATCTTTGGTGATGTGTTCCTGAAAGCTTTGTTTGTGGTTTTCGATCAGCGGGGTCCTTCCATTGCATTTGCTTCTCCGGCGTGATTTGCCTCGGGAGTACCACTGACAGGTGTACAAAGATAGATGATGTGAAAAGAGACGGTGGATGATTTCATAGAACATAGCCCTTTGGGCAGTTATAAACAGGATGCTATCAATTGCATGCAAATAATACACTGCTCAAAATGATTCTAGCAACACCCATTCTCTTGGCAATAAGTAGGCCCTGCTCTTAACTTCTGAAAAGCATCTATGAAGATCTACCTGGTCTCAAACTTCCTTGAATTTCCACATCGTTTTATTAATAAGGCATTTGCCCAGTCTCCCGCACTGGAGTGGAGTCTAGGCTGTCGCTCCCTTAGATACCTAGTCCACGGGTTAGGAAGTTCATTCGGATCAGTTAATCATGCCTCGGCAAAGATAACATCACCCTCTCCCCTCGCCATTCGCCTCATCTAAGCGTTGGGCAAGCACTTGACAAGGCCAATCGCCTTCCAGGTTCAAAGCTTCCGACCGCTTAAACCCCTGAGACTCATAATATTGAACCAATTTGCCATCGCCACCTGCATAGCAATCCACGCGTAGTAATGAAACTCCAGCTTCAACGGCAATATCACGAGCATGATTCAAGAGGCGTTTGCCAATCCCATTCCCTGCCCATCGTCGATCCGTGACTAATAATTTCACGTACAGTTCAGGCTCAGAGACAGGTGGCACATAAGGCATCCTCTCTCCAAGAGCCAGCGCTCCCATGATAACGCCCGGAGCTTCTCCGTCCAGAGTTGCGGGGTGAATATCAGAGATTCGATCTTGGCTCAGTATGGGCGAGTCATCAGCAACCTTCAAAGCGAGCCAAAGACCGTGACCGGTTGTTGCAAAGTCTCTGATTTGTTCGGCGCGTTTTGGATTCTCAGAAAACGGCGCTGCTCCCCATTGCCCCTTTCTGTCGTGAGATACCAACCATTCGACTGCGGTATCTAGAAGATGGAGGACTGCCGGGACCGCGTCTACTGTTGCCTTGATGATAATTATCTCGTGGGATGGATTGTTATTTGTGCTTTTGAGATTCTCAGCGAGTGTCTGTGAAGGGATCTTTCATGTTTGTTCTCCATTTGATAAGGGATGCTTCCAATCTTTCTCTCCTTGAGTAGATTGGCGCTCCGAAGAATGACACTTACTGTGATGCCATTTGTCCAAGTAACCTCAAATTCAATGACAGATGGTTGTCAGATAGACTCGATACTCTCAAACGTTTCCAAGGTATGTAAAGATGCCAACAAAGCGTCACTTGGATTCTTGTGCGGATATCGGTCAAAGGTGCCCATAGGTTGCTGAGCATTGGTGATCTCGAGGGTCTTATCTACTACGGGTCCTCTGCCCTTTTTCATCGTAGCCTAATTTTCTGGATTGGGGGCCAGCGGGGTTGGGGCACCCTTCTCTTTACTTCCATGTAATGCCAAGGCGGGACAGGAAAGGAATCTGCCTGTTCCATCTGCCGGGGTCAGTACGGGAACAAATACAAAGTGGTTGGTCTGCCTTTCTGGGAAAAAATGCGGGGATGCTAATATATCGGCATATCATGAGGGGGCAGGCTGGGCATCGTCAAAGCTGGCTGCACTATACCTCATAGCTTCGTGTTCCACCGGTGCATGGTACATCGATGACATGGAGTACGAGTGAAGCATATAACTGATGCCTGATAGATGGGTATGATTGTATCCAGACTAATCGCTGTTCATTACATAGACAAGCAATACATTTCTGACGGCTTTCATTACATGGTTATGCGTGTGCCTTTGCCAGAATGAGCATTGATATCCATAAGCTGGGTATGAAGGCCCGATAGGTAAATGGAGATGGCTGTCGTACACTTTGCCATCAAACAGCAGCTTGCAGCGTCACCTGAGCCTCAACCATCCATCAACGTCTTCATTAAATCTATGAACAGATTATTCAAAGTCTTCATTGCTCGTTTAATATATGAACAACTGAAGGTACTTTAAATTTTGAGTTTGTTTTCGTCTTCTCGTGAATATGCATTTTATGAGATTTTGGTATCGGTCATCTTCCAACCACAAATGATTTCGTTTACCGCACAGTAGCATCCTTCAGGGACTTGACGGTACACACAATTCCAGAAGCAGTGACCAGCTTGCCAAGGGCGGGCTTGCCCTCCTGCTCCTTAGCAACGGGGACGGCACTGCTGTCAAAGGCAACCTCGAGGTCCTGGGTAGTGGTGAAACCAGGCTGGAAGGTCTCCCAAACCTTCTTCTTCGGGTTGAGCTGCTTCTCGGGCTCACCCTCAGACCAGCCCTGGAAAAAGATACGCTCACCAGCCGGGGCGTCAGCGGGAGGGTTGACAAGCTCGACGGGGCCGGCGTGCGACTCGTCGTTCTTGGGGGATGCGGCCAGAACCATGGCGGCGGACTTGATGCCGCGCATGGTGACTGGCTTCAGGTTGCAGACGGCAACAATCTTGCGCCCTTGCATCTCGGCGAGAGGAACCAAGCCGTTCAGACCGGAGCACACGGTGCGGACCGTCTTTCCGGTCTCCTCGTCCAGGGAGGTGTTGTCGCTGCCGGGAGCGTCACCGCAGTCAATGGTGGAGACGTAGAGAGAGTCGGCATTGGGGTGGTTAACAGCGCGCAGGATGTGGCCGACACGGAGGTCGATAAGGGAGGGGGACGGGGGAGCAGCGGGAGCAGGCGCAGGCTTGGGAGCCTTGGGCTTCTTCTCCTTCTTTTCCTTCTTCTCGGTCTTAGCACCGGCGGGGGCGGCATTAGCACCCTCCTTCTGCTCGGGCTTGCCCTGGCCAACGACAAGAGGCTTTTCGGTGGCAGCAGCAGCCTCGGGGTTCTGAGCAGCCTTCTCGCGCTTCTTGCGCTCTTCTCTCTTCCTTTGGGGTCGACGGGCTTGGGCACGAACTTGACGTCGTTGACGTCAATGTTCACCTTCTCCTCGTCGGGGATCTGCAGGGCGAAGACATTTGAGTTTTGAACAAAATCGACATGGCGCACGATGTGGTGGTATCCCTTCTCACCGGTGCGCTCTTCGGGCGACCATTTCTCGACAATGGGGGCGAGCAGAGCGTAGACGGCAACATCGGCGACCGAAGGCTTCGCACCGAGCAAAGTAGTGCGCGAAGCGAGGTGGGTATTCAGCTGGGCAAGAATGCTCTCATAGACGGACTGATCGTCCTTGGAAATGGCAGTCGAGAGACCCGAAACGGTGGACAACCACTGCTTGATATCGGCGTTCTCAGCCTCGCCAAAGTTCACCTCAGGGAAGATCTTGGGCGAGGCGTGAACATAGTCGAGCTCGGTGGCATCTGGCGAGATGGCGGCCGGGTACGAACGGTAGAGGAGGGAGAGGAGTGAAGACTCGGGGGCTGCTGCGGTCGCCATGGTGTATGCGCGTGGAGGTGATGGAAGAAAAGAAATTCGAGGAGGGGCACGGATCTGTGTCATCGATTGGACCCGCGGGGTTACGCTTCGGGCCCGCAGTAGGGCCACACACCTGAAGGGTGTCAACTTCATGGAGATCCCAATGCTATGGCATTAGCCGGAGCAATTGGTCAATTTGAAATCGCGCTCACGACCGAATTCCGCAAGCTAAGCTGTTTTTTTCGGCGGTCGGCCCTTTTATGATGACTCAGCTGAGAATGTCCACCATGAGCTGCATTAAGGAGGTAAATTATTGTCATGAACAGTGATAAGGTCTATGCAAGTATCCCTTATAGATGACGCCCACAATTTATCTATTTTCCTAGATGCACTGCCTGTGAACTTCCCGATTTCATTGTCTGCGATGTTTATTCCCCACGCAAGAGTGGCCGGAGACGACAGCAGGATAGCGCTCGTTTGATTTACGAGGCAAGGCAATGGAACAACCATAGTCTCACACTAAGCTTCACTCTCCGTGATTTTGTCTCCTTTGTGTTTTCTCAATGTGAATCGCTGCGAGGAGGGGTTGGGAGTATACTTGTCCAGCCCTAGTAAGTCACGTGCAATACAAACACTGCAACGACACGACATACTGAAGAAGAATTGCTCTTAGGCAAAGCTACAAAATAGCATGAGACTTGTAATAATATAATTGAAAAGGAAATTTCCGGAAAGAAAAGTGTTGAAGGAAGAAGCTCACTGTACAACTGGATCACATGACCGTGTGCACACACATAATGATGGCCTGACCGATAAGGCCCTCAGGCTGTTCGCGTGTCTAGTGCATTCAGCTATATGGCACATCTATGATTCGATGACAAAGAGATTATATTCTGTGCCTACTCCCACTCAAATGCTTCTTGGCTAATTTGCTACTTCTTTCAGAGTTTAATGGTCCAGGGACGTTGGCAAAGTCCTAATTTCTACTACCCTACCTTCATTCCACGGAGACATTCAAATCACCCGACTCGACTCAATTTGATCGAACCCAAGATATGCATGGCACATTTACAGTGACTTGTTGTTTGGAGTTTCTCGTTTATTCTAGAATTCCGGGCACGCTTCCCCTCGCGGGCAAGGTTGTCACCAATAGCATTGTTGGCCTCCTCTCCATTTCTGGTCCTGCACGATAAATGCATTTTTCTGAATCAAAGTATTTCAAGATCTGTATGAGCTTTGATTGTGATTTAACAATCATTACAATTAGAAATTAATCCAGTACATGGATCTTAATTAGTTGCGCGTTGTTGACTCTCCCACTCTTAACAGCCTTGGTCACAATAGACTCAACACCGGCATGCATATAATTATATGAAGAGTACGAAGGCGGCAATAGCTGTATGGGAACACTGAACATCAGCTTGGCAGCTAATGCCAGGTATTTATTATTTGATAATTTGATAAAAACTTTCGTGACATGCTAAGAAAAATGACTAATTGAGAACATAGCATGCAGAAATGCTTCCATAGCTGCTTCAATGGCTGCCCTGGAACATGCTTGGGAAAACAAATTGTTACCTCGCCCATCCGGGCTGTCTTGTGTATTTCAGTGCCACTACTCGCCGCGCTCCTCATTATTCTTTTCATCAAAGCATATACACAAAGCGGCGATCAATGCTGCGTCCACGCCCGGTGCCACAACGACAGCGTAGGTCTGCTGGCCAAACACAAGGTCGCGGCCGCTAAGCAACTTCCGATCAATGCGAGCCACTGTTTGGCCATTTTTCTCATTGACAATGTCGGCACTGTGATCGAACCAGCCCCCTTTCATAGTGAAAGTCACTGCCTTGTCGTTGCGATCAGTGAATGTGGCAGTGGCTTTGGAGCCGACCACTAGTGAAGTCAGTCATGTGTAACATAGGGAGGACCCCCGGTCGTTGAAAATGAATATGGATCACAAAAGATAGAACTTACATCTGAGATTACTCTTGACCTCGCAGATCTTCTTGCTATGCGTGTCTTCAATAGCATAGGTCGAATGGATATGCAAATGCTCTTTAACAATATCAAACAGGTGCTTGCCATGAGCGTCCTCGAATTTCTTGCGGCCGGAAAGCGAGACCCAGGCACCGTGCACCTTCAAAAGTGTCTGACCATTGGCCAATTTGATATCAAAGCTGTCCCCAGTGACAGAGAGTACTTTTTCTCTCAAGACTATTGTTTGCGGCTCCGCCGCGACAAATTGTTCAAACAAGGCGATAGGCTCGACGACAGGGTCGAGATTATGGTGACCCATGATACCCATGACGGTAAGTGAGTTCAATAAATAAGGGTTTGTCGAATGCAGATCGAACAATCACTATGTGAATAGCAATCAAGGGAGTGCGGGGTTACGATGAAGCCGATCATCAAGAGCGATAGCATCACGTGATGCCGCATACAACATGCCGCTGACGTCACCAGTTCGTTCTCACGTTTGTTTTGAATGTTCTTAGATGAAACAAAGTATGTTTTGGCCATAATTAGAGGTTATACTTAATTTGGATTATCATAGTCTCTCTCAAATCGCAATTATGCTATAGTCTGGTCCCTCTGGTCCATCAGGCCTCACCAATGGAGCCTGCTGGCCAATGCGATTCGAGACGTTATACGTGATGGGAGCGCGGCGGTTGCATTACTGGCTCCACTCCTGTCTTCGGGACTTCATCGCCAGCTAGTTCGTGATAAACTGGCTGGATCTGTGTATCGTCCCCGTCTAGTTCCATGCCGTTCTCATCGACGCTCTGTTCATGGTTCCCGCCACTTCCACTACTCTGGCCATTGTAACTATCGCTGGCACCGCTCAAGATGGCGTCAGGAGACCAGAATCTTGAATGCGGAGCGGAACTGTCCGACGGGTCGGGAGGAGGGCGTTGTGTACTGGGCCGGAGAGAACAGAGACGTCTGGCTCTGGCGGAGTCGCTTTGTATGCTGCTTTTTGGCGTTGACGGCGGATAAAAAAGAAAAGGACTGCTGCGAGAATTGCGACTCCGACCAAGGCCGCAATCGCGATGCCAGCTACGGCGCCTTGACTAAGTGGGGAAGAGTCGTTCGAACTAGAACCACCGGATGAACATCCGTTTCCTGAGCAAGCCGATGAATCGGAATCTTTGGAAGTAATCGTGACGATGTTTTCTTGGGCATTTTCATCCCAGGCGCATGCAGATACATTAAAGACGCCTCGCTCGTAATCGGCCGAGAGATACCTAACAAGTCAGCACATGACATAGTACTGAGAGCTTTGCACTCACGCTTCTTGCAAGAAAGCTCGACCCAAAGTATATTGGGTGGAGTTAGCTGCACGTTTCAACGGGAAATAATAGCTGCTATTGTCGACTAGCGGAGCTTGTGCAGTCAAGGCGAAAGCATCATACGGAAGTGTGATCGACACAGTCTCTCCGCCGGAGGCCACATCGGAAAGTCGAAATGTCACCTGCGCATTTGAATTGAGCAACTCAGTGTTGTGAGTGTCGTTGACCAAGTATAGCCCACTCTCGCTGTCAAGCACGAGCCCAAAAGCCTGTTCGAAGGCATCACAGACACTGCCTGGTAGCCACAGGTTGGGGTCAGTCGAGTCGATGAAAATCAAGATTGGTTCGGATAGTAATGTGGCTGAACTTGATCCGCTGTAGCTAATGGACTGAAGATAAACAACCAGGTCACGGGTGATATCGTCAGCCACGGTAAATGATACTGAATTGGCAGTGAACCGTGATGCATCATATCCAGAGAATATGAGCTGGCCATAGACTTGTTTTAAACCTTCGAGATAACGTTCACATTAGAGGCTACATCCACTGCGAGAATTTGCATTTGGCACCGGCGTACTTACGGTACTTGGCACCGGCCGTGTAGCTCCAGCTGAGACTCGGAATGGTGCCCTCATTTTTCAGGGTCGTGATGAACGACGGCGAAGAGAAATTTCCCAAAGAGGTAAAATTGACAGGCTGCGAGTTAAGGCCGAATATTCCACTGTCGATGCTCGGGGTCAGTGAATCATGCATAGAGCAGGAGTTTCTTTTTTCAAATTTACAGATAAAAGGGCTCAGGGGTTGCGATCCCGGCGACAGTCTGATTCTTGAGTGTCGGGCCAGTGAGACCAACACTTAGGGTATCTAGAGCAAACTCTGCTCTCTGATAATACCCAAGGTTGGCCTCGAGACCGACCCCATTCTGGTTGATACCGAAAAGACCCAATTCGTGCCAGCTAGAGGATTGATTCGCATTGAACAAAGTTCCTCTAGAGACTGCGCAGTCCGATGGCGCGTTGGGAAACACTGAATTGGCGCAACCATAGTCTGACAAGACAACCATTGACTCTGGGGAAGCTGTGGAGACAAGCACTCGGACAGACTGTTCTGGAGTTCCAACTCGGAGATAAAAGCTGCTCCAGGGACCATCATTTCCCTCACTAATTCTGTATATTAGCCAACGATACGAAACCAATGCAAGGAAGTTCGGAAGAAAGTCACAAGTATTCGCTGGGTGAGATAACGAGAGCGGATGAAGAGCGCTCAATCGGGTGAGTCGCCGAACATCTTAACATCAAAGGAACTATAAAGATGAATTGTATTATGACTTCCACCGCGTGCATCTTGACGAGCTCAGGAATCGCATTGGAAAATATCAGTTACGGGTTATAGCACGATGGGGAAACCACCATGTGGCTAGAGTGGCGACAGGAACCTGCCAGGTACATGGTCCAGGCCATTAGGTTTGAACTGCCACTTCACTGCCGAGTCTGAAGCCCTCCGAACCAATTGCTCCATTGCGATCGGCATTGTCAATTGGAGCTCAGGGGCAACGGGCGACCCTGACACGTTGAATCGCCCGCACGGACGGGGTCGCAAAACCGGCTGAGGGTCACCAAAAACCTGCTCCACCTTCAGGTCAGGAACCGGCATCCTCGTTCATCGTCGTACTTGGATGTGATTAAGATTTTTCATGGTCGGTGCTTTCAGCATCATTACCTTACTAGGCTAGTAGACTGCCTGTCATTGCCCTTCTAAGTTAATACGCCGCTCGTGTTGGCCAAAATGACCGCATCGAGAGGTAATAGCTCGTACGCACGAAGAGGTCTTAGTGTCAATCTTGTACGGCCATTTGTGTACGCCATCGTGCATTTAATCTTGTTGGGTCTATGACCTAGAAAGGTACCGGCCCCTGTTCTTTTTGCTGTTCATCGCTCAACTGCGGCATCTACCCTATATATCTGCAAATTGTCATAGTTGTCCGTTAGTCGCGGTGAAATCCGTCGCTATGCTGTCTAATGTGCAACTATGGGTAGAGCTGGGGCTTCTCATCTCTTGGACAAAGACTGTTCAGAGCTCTGGTAAGTACTGAATCGAAAAAAAACGATAGTCGAGTTCGGGCAACGCTAACATTGTGAAGCTGTTCACGCTCCTCACTCCCCAATATACGATTCATCAAGTAGCGGGATGACGACCTGTACATCTGAGCAGGTTCATTCCTGGCCTACTTCACCCATCTATCCTAGTGATCCCATCACTGTCAACTCTACTACGATTGTGGTGCCATCATCGACGAGCACCTCAAACGTATCGATCACCTCGACAGCATGTTTCAATAGTACTGTCACCACTACCATCATAGTATCAATAGTCTCAACGGACTGGTCTACCACTACATGTACAACGACTACTACGACCACGGACACGACCACAGACACTGTCACGGACATCATCATGGACACGATCACGGATACTGTCACGGATACTACTACGGAAACTACTACGGATACAATCACAGACACTACTACGGAAACAACTACGGATACTACTACTGTCACGACGACTGATACAGTCACTACACCGACAACCATCACAGTAGCGCCGAATCCCTGTCCGACCACTTGCAGCATGTACGTTTTGGTGACATGAAAAACAATATCATACCGGAAAGGTTTACTGACTCAATTTAAAAGGTCTGTGGGAACCGTAAACTTGTTCTACTGGCCAACAGACCAGCCACAACTCGTTTATCCGTCAACATATGTCAATTCGCATCTCGATTACACTTTGTGAGATCTCCTCCTGATACTTTTACTGGTCATGAAGCTAACCTTGGGCGCCACACAAAGTACCTCGCCATCGGTGTATATGGTGATCAACACCATCTATGGCTATAACACCGCCGGTCGCGCTGGGCCTTCGGGCACAAGCGTAGTGTTCCCCTCGACCTGAACCAGGTCTCGACCATTGATCTTGTCAATTCAGCTACGCGACAGCTTACCCTGAATGATCTTGGGACAGATTGCCCACAGACGGCAGCTCCCTCCGTGATCGCGACGGCAGCACCTAACGGCAGGTGTGATCCTATCCTAGTGGCTCCAGAGCCCGTCAAGTCTTGGGCTTCGCCTTGCAATGCGTGCGGTCCATTCGGAATGTTCGACCCCCCGTATGCTGTCGCACCACTCACTGGAGGTCTCGTACCGGTGACGACGACTGTTGCGATGACCCAGCCAGAGACACAGAGTACCCCCAGCGCAACTCCTGCCACTGATACTACCGCCACGCCGATAGCCACCACTACGGTGGCGGTCATGACAGAATCCTCTTACTCTAGTGCAGAGCCTACTTCGCCTGTGGTGGAGACCTCTTCCTCTAGTGCAGAGTCAACTTCGCCCATGATGGAGACCTCTTCCTCTAGTGCAGAGTCGACTTCGCCCGTGATGGAAACCACTTCCTCTCAGGATGACGTTACTTCTTCCAATGCCATGCCGACTACGGCGTCATCTATTACTGGCCAGGCTGCTGGTTCGTCATCATCCTTCAGCACCGTCTCCAGTCCAGCCACTACTTCTGCGACATTCAATGCTGCGAGCAAAGAAAGTGGGCGGGGCGCGTGGCTGGGTTTGAGTCTCTTCGCGATGGCAATCTTGCTCTAATTCAGAGACATCATACCAGACGAGAAAGGTCCCCATTGTTGATATTTGTCAACCTGAGCTCTATAATTCAATACACGTGGAGCATCTCAGGTGCTAAAGGAGCGCTGCGTGGATCTTTATTTAATTTGGACCTAGGATCACGTGTAATAATTACCGAATGTTTAGCTGAGTTTTGTGGCATGAAACACGCTGATAGTGTCAAATGTAACCCTCTCAGGAGATAAGGGCGGCGACATAGCCACTACCGTAGACCCAGCCCCGTCAACCCCAAAGTCATGCATGGATAAGGCCCGATTTAAGGAAGGTGACTGGTCAATTGGAAGGCACTAAAATGAGTCACGATGAGTCCAGCTACTATCCACCAATCAGCCATCGCTTATAGCGGATCCCGTGGAGGCCTGAGCCAGCGGGCGCCGATTCCTAGGAACCCACCGCCAGGTATATCACTTGCTATTTCCTCCCCTCTTTTGCTTCCTCAGGACACCACTCCTCGGCATTCGTGACCGAGCCCAGATTTCCCAGTCCCCCAGAGGACACAAGCTTCGACTTTCTATACAAGCTTTTACGCGCCACGGGCCCGCTCCGGCCCGTCTAAACTATCCAGTCATGTCGGCCTGCAATTGCTCCAGCGCCGCGGCGGTCAAGCAGACCATCATCTTCTGGCAGCCCGCCCAGCTTCGCCCCTCCATCAACCGTCGAAAGGTTGGAGGGGCCGTCTCTGTCCTGGTATAATCTCTCTCGCGACCACCTCAATCATCATCAATATCCGCTTTCGTCCCTGGCACCGCCGTTGGATCATATACCCTCGGCCGTGGCATACAGCCAATCCTTTGACAATCTTGTGCAAGAGTCGGAACTTTGGGCAGATCAGGATCTGTCGTTTGCCGATACCGACTGGAATTTTCTATCTATCGATGACGCCACGCCGTATCCCGCCTTTGACGGTGTCGATCCCTTTGGGAACGATATGGGATACGGCATGGCATCTACCTTTGCTTCTCTTTCGGACTCGGGATCGAGTGAACTCAATCCTGTTCCTTCCATTCATGTTGCCAGCTCGGTGAATTCACAAGGTGAGACTACTTCAATTATCATCATCAGAGGCCTCATTCCTAACATGGACTCTAGACATGTACTCCCATGCCTCTCCTGTGTCTCAACTCCACGCATCTGTCACAACGTCTCTTTCTAGCCCTACTACATCACAGGGTGATGATGTCCTAGGCCGTGTAGATTCTTCTCGCGTTGAAAAGCGGAGATTGAACACTCTTGCGGCCCGGAGATGTCGTCAGAGACGCTTGGATCGGGTGAAGAGTCTTGAGGACGAGCTGGAAGCTATGCGGAAGGAACGAGATGAGTTGAGACTTCGGTGTTCGAAGCTAGAAGGGGAGACGGAGGCTTTGAAGGGGCTTTTGACTCGGAAGAGCAACTGAAGCTATAGAAGTCTCAGAAATTTTCTTTTTAGAGCTGGCCTCGTAACAAATACAATTATGCGACTGCCAAATCGTTCCTGTGATCTTGATTATCACGATTTAAAGCCAGGATCGTAAAATTAGTCTTCAGTTTGATGTTAAGCCTGTTATCTCAGTTGCAGCTCTCTGCGTCAGAATTGTACGCACAAGAGGCAAATTGCGATCCGAGCCACATCACTCGGTTTTCTAGATGATGACGGACCCTTTTTACAAGGCCTTTCAATTCTGACTGTCTCCATCGAAATGTGGGACTCGCTAAGAGAGCGATTTTACCCCACGGGTAAGCGGGGAGTAGCATTCCTCCCCGGCCTCGGTCGTATTTGAATCGTCGGTATCACAATGACTCCTGAAGACCAGAACCCGTTTATCTCAAATAGAAATAAAGTCTCCCGTTCAAATCCCCTTGTTCTTGGTCTATCTGAATCTGCATCTTCTGCATCTTGTCAAGATCCGAGTGAAGACGCGAGCCGTTCGCTTCCATAGAAGACAACATATTCGTCTGGATGAGGTTTAGGAGCCTACTTGCTTTAGCGATCAAGTAAATGCAATCTTCTTTTGAGCAACAGACCCTGTAGATATCCGATTTTCAATGTTTACTTGTTTCAAGATTAAGCCTGCGTTCGTTGGGATAAGCGGCAGTCGTATGGCATCTAATCCTGCTTCCACTTCGCCATCTCCTAATACTGGCCAAATCTTTACGAATGTATTATCAGGCCTCATGCAGGACCCCTTCCTCCACATCCTCTGACCGGTGAGAAGATCCCTATAACTCTTGGCCATGAGTTTAGCGGAACGGTCGAAGAGGTTAGGGACGGATTACTAGACTCAAGGTTGGTGATAAGGTAGTTGTCAAGCCTAATCTCAGCGATGGCACATGCCGGAGGTGCTTGATGGGAAGGGACAATCGCTGTGACAGTCTGGGCTTCATTGGGTATAGCGGTGTGCCTTTGTTATCCTATTATCTTTTCTTAAATTTCGAAAATTTGCATGCTAATGCAATCTAGGAAGCGCCGGTAGTCTGTCCGAATATACTATCGTGAGTGAGAAAAATGCAATTCACCTTCTCGAATCGATTCCATTGTATCCTCTGTGAGTAGCACTCCGATTGACATTCTGTAGACTTGTTAGAGCCCCTCTAAATTGCATAGTACGCTTTCAGCCGCAGTTCCCTCCAATCGAACGATGTTGTGCTGATTGTAGGGGCCGGTCCAATCGAACTTGCCATAATCCGAGTCCTGAAAGCGCCATGTATTCAAATCATCATCGTTGTGGAGGTCTCAGCTCAGTGACGAGAATTCGCACAGGTGTTTGGTGCCTCTTATACCCTCAACCCAAAAGAAGTGGATGCTGTCGCGGAAATAAGAGCCCTCGCTGGTGAAGATCAAGGCACATCGATTGCTCTCGACTGTTCTGGAGTTCAAGCTGGACTCGGTACCGTGATGGCGGAACTCCGTGTATGCGGCACGGCATTTATTGTTTCGCTGTGGGAGGGAAAGCCAAGTCTCAATGCGTTTGTTGATATTGTCTTGGGAGGAAGCATGTTACTGGGGCTGCGATCTATGACCTTGGGGACTTTAACTCGGTAATTGAGACCATTGCTTCTAGTGAGTTGATGTCTCTGCTTCTGGGCACATGGGCTAACGTATCATTATTCAAGGTAAAATCAAGCCACGGCCTATGATTACTATTAAGATCCAGGTGGGTGAGGTGGCTGAAAAGGGATTCCGGGCGCTTATCGATGAGAGGGATAAGCATGTCAAGATCTTGGTTGATGTCTTTAAATGAATGATCTACTTTTGAATTGATGATAGAATGGCAATCTCTTGTATTTCAAGAATTTTCAACAGTCAGATTGCATTCGCGAAGCCCAAAGCCATGTTGAAATTTGAAAAAGCAGAAAAAGGCTCTGAAAAATTATGATACCCCTACCACTTCATCCAGCACTGGCCGTTAAGAAGTCAAAGGCATCTCTTACATTCCGAGAAATCGCCAGAATGAGCAAAGAACTATTATGTTCTGAGAGGTTTCAAGACTTCCAAGCCCAACAAGTCACGCAATCACTCTCACCTCCTATCAGTGGCGATAGACGGCGATAGAGTCATGAATAACATAAGAGCATATCAGTCGACGTTCGCCCGAACTGAAACACCATACGACTACCCTGTTGGGAATACGGTGGCCCCAGTGGGGCAATGGGTCTAGAGCGATCTGCCTTGACGGTTATTGCAGGAAGGCCCTAGGGTTTTTCGCGATCAAATTATACTGGATCATATGTTGTAAGCCACATTGACTCTGGGTATCTCTCAATAGGTAAGCGGCTCATTTATCGATGGCTATCAAGATGTCAATTCGGAAACGTTCAAGGGCGCGAGTTGAAACGAATCTTACTCTATTGTTCCAAATGACGTCATTCAACAGTACCTGGGGTCGAGCCGCGGTTTGAACTCGGGCGATTATCTATTGATTCTGGTTCCTGGGTCAACATTAAATACGAATATAGTTTTCTGTCATGATACACTGAACGGATCAGATACGGTAACAACGATATTGCGTCTTATGGAGCCAACATGATTGTATTGCCAATACCGACGGAAGGGAAGGAAAACCTCTGCTCGGGGCGGGGTCTCCGAATCATTTATATGCACATTTTGCTGGCAGGACTTGTCATCCACACAAGTCTCGGCTACTGATGCAAGGTGCTGCGCCATGTTGGGCCATGTGTACGGAGTCCCTACATCGTCTGGGCAAAGACGGGTGAAAGATCAGCATTTGGGACTAACGGCTAAAAAAAGCAACGTCCCACAGCGGCCGGATCTCGCACGATCGCGAGCGCAGCCCCCGATCCTTTGATATCCTTGGGCGGGCGTCTCACCACTGACACATATAAATGAAGTGTTCTTGGGCAGTGAGATGTCAACTCATCGGAGCGTCCCCGCTGGGTTGTCTTCGCCCCGTCACTATGTGGCACTAAAAAAGCCGGTCGCTTGTGTCCGCATCTGATTGATCCACTCGTTCGTCTGCAAAACACGGGCTCAAGCTCACCTCTGAGACATCTCGGTCTTGACACCGCTCATGGTCGATGGAATTCATTGGTCCCCGGTTTCAAGGGGTTGGGACTCAGATCTTAGCTCTGTAATGCCGTATATAGTCTGTTATGGAGACGCTAGCATGCTAACCTTGGATCTGCATCCGATTTTTTTCTTCTTGGGTTCTAACCCTTGGTTCTTTGTGAAACAACATTGACCAGCTATCGCTGAAGTTGGATCGCACCTCTTATCATCTGGGATCCGTTCGATCCAGAAAATTTGCAACTCCAAAGGGTCATGGGTAGATCGCTGACCGGCACCGTGATCATTACGGGAGGCAATGGACAATTGGGATCTGAGATCGCCATTGCCATCGTCAAAACCCAACCTTTTGCGCACATACTCTTGACGGTGCGAGATACCACACGGGCAGATGTTCGCGATTTGATATCCAAAGTCCGGTTCATTGGTCCGCGATCGATTGAGGTCATTACCCTCGACTTAAATGATCTACGGTCAGTATCCGACTTCGCACAAAGCACAGTGGAACGAGTGCGAAGGAATGAGATTCCGCCGGTGGTTGATCTCATTCATTCTGCCGCCATTGCGTCTTACACAGTCGACGAGCCAACCCTCGATGGTTATGACCCTGTATATCAGACCAACTGTGTCGCTCCATTCTTCTTAACCATCGGACTTCTCGAGGCCTTCCGCGCAGGCGACGGAACCCCCGACGGAGGTGCGAAAGTGATCAACATAGGCTGTTCAGCAGTTTCCTATGGGAGACTAGACTACTTCAATCGCGAAGACCGGGACGATCGACGGCCCGGGACGCCGATGAGCGCGAAGGAAGGAAATATCCGGTATGGAAGCAGTAAATTACTCATCAGTGTGGCACTGTATGCATTGCGGCGGAGTCTGACCAGCGTAAGTCTGGCCCGATCACAATTTTGATTCCGACCACATTCTATGCTCACAACACTGACTACCTTAGACGGGTAATATCGCGCTTGATATCTTCACCCTGGACCCCGGCGGTATGACTGGTGAGAGCAAATTGAGAACCGGGGCACCCTTGTCTGTTCGTGTGGCACATCAGACACGATCGGGGCTGAGACCCTTTCTGCGCATGGTATCTCGAAGCTCGATTAACAAAGCCAATGTTCCGGCCAAGGTCATCGCCAAAGTTGCATTTCAGCCGGGCGTGGTGGAGACTTGTCAAACGGAACGGTATTATATTCTAGATAGTGGGTATGAGGCCGGATCCGTCATAGCAACTCTACGAGATGGGTCCACGATGGGGAAGGTGCTGGTCAAAATGATGGGCCAGGTCGAAAACAGTGGGAAAGGACTAGGATCTTCAGGATCCGTCAGCCCTGGACCAACCTTGTGCTGAGAGTAAAGGGAAGAATCAGAGAAAGAGCAAAAGTGAAGGCGCCATTATGATCCAAGGGTTGAATTGTACATAAATAAAAGCAATGGCATGGATTGGCGCAAATAAGCATGTAAAAGGAAGGATCTCTCCAAGTTAAGAAGATGGGCTGCAAGCGGACGCCGAATTCGGTCAGAGCGGCGAGCCGTGAAACCTGCCACATCGCGGGTTACAACTCCTAGGACCACCCGGGCAGCCTCGATTTTCGGAAGATAGTCATCTTTCTTCTGTCAATCTGCAGATCGCTAATTCATTGTTCCTCTTCAATTCCTTCTCCTGGCACTGGCACTGGCATCTTGAGCTGGCCTTTTTGAGATCGACGGGCTGGACTCGCCAAGGCCTTTCATCACTTGCCCAGAACCCGATGCTGCACGCCTGTTAGCGACATGAACCGGCACTACGCCTCGCCGAAGGGCTATGCAGCCTATCCTCGCGGCGACAGCACCTTTTCCCTCTCCCCGAACAAGTACGTCCCATGACGCGTACAGCTTTACATGGGCTGCGTCGGACAGTCGATCTTCAAAGACAAGAAGCTAATCAGCCACCCCAACCAGATTTCAGCCTCGCTCACAACCTGCGCTTCGGCGTCGACGGCAGCTCTTCCAGCGACTCATTTTTCTCGGCGGCATCTCCCTCCTGCTATTCATCTTCATTTTCCCCTCATGGCGCGCAGCGATCCTTCCTACCCTCTCGCTCGGCCTCTTCCACGGCACAGAGGACCTACAAATACAGACGGTCCGATATTATGATCTATCGGAAGTGGAAGGGACAGAGAAGGGCTGGGAGCGCGGAGAACGTGTCCTCATGCTCACCCCGCTGCGCGATGCCTCCTCCCACCTGCCCATGTTTTTCTCGCATCTCCGAAACCTCACCTACCCACACAATCTCATCGACCTCGCTTTCCTCGTGTCCGACTCGCACGATGACACCCTCGAGATGCTGTCACGTATGCTCACAGAGGTGCAGAATGACCCAGACCCGAAAATGGCGTTTGGCGAGATCTCAGTGATCCAGAAGGATTTCGGCCAGAAAGTGCAGCAGGATGTCGAGAGCCGGCACGGATTCGAGGCTCAGGCTAGCCGTCGTAAGCTGATGGCTCAGGCGCGGAATTGGTTACTGAGTGCGACACTGCGTCCGACACACAGCTGGGTCTATTGGCGAGATGCAGACGTGGAAACGGCGCCATTTACGATCCTTGAGGATCTGATGCGCCATAACAAGGATGTCACTGTACCAAGTACGTGTTGATCGGCGATTTGAACTGGGTGGGCTCAGGCTAATTGGTACTTCCAGATGTGTGGAGGCCGCTTCCGGACTGGTTGGGTGGAGAGCAGCCATACGATTTGAACTCGTGGCAGGAGTCAGAGACAGCCCTCGCGCTGGCGGATACACTGGATGAGGACGCTGTCATTGTCGAAGGGTATGCGGAGTATGCGACATGGCGACCTCATCTCGCCTACCTCCGCGATCCCTACGGCGACCCGGACATGGAGATGGAGCTGGATGGCATTGGTGGTGTTAGCATTCTGGCGAAAGCTCGTGTGTTCCGCGCCGGTGTCCACTTCCCAGCGTTCAGCTTCGAGAAGCATGCCGAGACTGAAGGATTTGGCAAGGTAAGAATAAGCATAACCTCCTGGATCGAATGTACAACGGCTAAACGTGCTCTAGATGGCCAAGCGCATGAAGTTCTCGGTGGTTGGGTTACCACACTATGTAATCTGGCATCTGTACGAGCCCAGTGTTGATGATCTGCGCCACATGGAAGAAATGGAACTAGAACGGCAGGCTCGCGAGCAAGAAGAACGCGAGCGAGAGGCCGAACAAAAGGAGGCCGCCCATTCCAAGGCTGGTTCGCACCAAGCCAGCGACAATCTCAAGGGTTCCGAGAAGGGTCCTGCTGCTCAGCCGGCCAAGGATGCTCCAAAGGGCTCTTCTAACGAATGAGTCCGTCGGTGATAGTTCCTGTCATGTCTCTCTGGATCATGACTCGAAAGGCTCTGTTATGAAATCATCCAGCCGGCTGGATTACTAGTCTTCGGCTCGGGACCGACTTGCCTGACATCAGCTGTCTGAAGCTATTGTCATACTTGCAATTCTCAGATGGTACAGGACTCGTCAGTCTTGTATCTTTTCATTCCTACTTGTCAGTGGTCTTTGTGGATTACCGGTGTTCTCCTCCCATTGTTTAGATAGCATACTGGATGGCGTGATATGGGCGGTTTTTTTCAATTTCAAATAAACGGCGAATTTTTCATTAACAAGTATTGACCCAAAATCATGTTCACAGTGAACAACGACCGTATCTACTCTCAGCATACAAGCATACAGTTCCTAGCGAAGTATAGATTCGTGTGAAGAAACCCCATTAAAAGGTGGTCTGTGCCCGGTCGCGCGTTCAGCGCGTCCCCAATTTTCCCGCGTCTCCAACATCCCATCAACTCCGTGAAGCTGTGACCAGCCATTTACCAGTACAATGGCAACCCAAGGCACACCTAGCATCTTGTTCACCAACACTCAACCGCAGCAAGGCTTCCGACTCCTAGAAATCCCACCCGAGCTTGAAGACCTGCTCACATCCAAAGACGCTCCCGCGTAAGTGCACACCCAACATCAATCTCCACACAACTAACACCAAAACCCCTCTAGACTCGAGCTCAAATCCCCTTCCGCCGCCCTCGCACATGCTGTAGCTGACGCCAGCGGCCAAGAATACGTTAATCTGTGCACACCGACGCAAACATACCGCATTCGCCAAGTCATGTCCTCGAATTCGCTGCATATTGTCCGACCGAGTGAAGGACAGATCTCGAAGGCTGATATCAAAATTGTCGAAGACGAAGTCGGGGAATCTGGAGCTTTGAATTTACCAGACGAGGCGGTCACGGCGATTGCAAAGTGCGGGTCGACGCTGGAGCTGCACATTCCGCCTGGTGGATTCTCGGCGGTTCCGTTCCTGGAGAAGAGTTTGGCCTTATATGATCGTCGACTTGGGGATGATGATGGGGATATCGCTATGGATGAGTCTGAGGCCTTGGGACCTGATGGCATCAAGCGGTTGAGAGATCAGGTCTGTGCTGATATCCCCGTCTCTGCGGCGCAGTGTGAGACGGGGTGGGTTGAGATCTGTGCTTTCGTGGATGAGAGGATGAAGATTTGTTGGAGGCCTAGTTTGAGAATGAAGATTGAGGTTTGGAAGAGGATGGTGGAGGGGGCACTGTTGCAGGGGATTGATCTAGAGAAACAGTTTCTTATTGGCGATTTGTGGAAGGCTGTTCTTGATGATGATGAATCGGAGCCGTTCCCGAGAGGGTTGCTTGAGGGTGTGGTGAGGAGGTTGTGTGTGCCGGATGAAAGGCCAGTGTTGGCTGATGAGATCAAATGTGAGTTTGTGAACTGGGTGTCTCATTTAAATGCTTCTGATCTGATTTTTGATAAGGCAAGCTTTGATAAAACGGATGTTACGAAATGGCTAGGCGAGACCTATCTTGCTTCAATCGCCCCTACGGCGTCTTCTGCCGTTGGACGCAGTGAGTTCCTGCGGAGTTGGAAGGATTGTCTTCCTGAAGCATGGAGAGGTGAAGCTACTCTTTCCAAACTGCCAGATGGATGCTACAGGAGTCCTGATCCTACGACAATCTTCTATGTTGAGCCCTCGCAAAGGCAACACGTTAGCAAATCCTCGACTGCTGCGTCCTCGACCGCCGCCAAAGCGAAGACTACAAGGAACTGGCACGAATTGCTCAAAAATTCAAGTCGCCGCTGATCGCAACCTACCAAAGCGTTGCTGCATTCGTTTATGGAGTCCCAATTCTATGGAGCCAAGGCCCCTCTAGGAACATGATGATCTTGTCTGCCGCCCAAAAGCATGAGATCCACCCTCGCAAATGAGATCACAACATCAAAAACCCCGACATGACTTCCCGAAAAGTGGTTAGCACCAAGTGTACTTCTCGTTCAAAAACCACTCCACATCTTTACCAAGTCCATATTCAGCACCAGTCCAACGCAAACTGGAAATACTGCTCTTCTCGCGGTGCACCAGCTGCGCATCTGGATCCAACAAAGTGACGGCCTTCTGCAGCAGTGGTGTCGGGTTCCAGAACTCGACTGTGTTCAAGTTCCAATCGTGTGCTTCCTGCTGAGCCCGCTCCAATATACCAGCCATGGCTTGAACCAACTTCTGCTCTTCCTCTGGGGTCGCGGGCTCATCGTACACCCATCGCAGAATGTACAAGACATTGTCCTGGGGCTCTTCGCCAAAGTTTCTGTTCCACGCGCAATACACACGAGCCTCGTCATTTCCAGCGCCCTTGATAATAGGCGGCGAGCGGTGCGAGCACTTGTTCTCAGCGAAGAACTCCTCTCGAGCCCAGTGCCATACAAAATGATCATAGTCAGGCACAATGGCGACCTTTGCACCAGTGGACTTCTGCGACGCCGCTTGCAATTGATCTCGGAGCTTAGCAAGAACCACCTCATTACACATGTTGCTCTTGACGTCCTCCACGTACAACGCCCTCGTCTTGCCCGCCCCGCCCCCTTGGGCAGCTGGCAACGCCAAATGGGATGACACAAAAGGCCGCCACCCAAACTGAGCATAAAATTTCTTTCCAATATCCGAGAAAAGGATAGTGAACAGCGCCCTGCCCCTAGCCTCGTTCTCCATCTTCCACGTATCAAGCTTAGTACTCAATTCCTCGAGCATACGCTTCGCGTAGCCCTTCCCCCGGAACTCAGGCCGACAGTAAACACTCCCGATACCATGAGTGCCGACTTCCTCGACCTTGCCATCATGCGCTAGGAGTGCCTTCTTCCGATAAGACTCGCAGGAGCTAAGGATGGTGCGAGTACCTTCGGGCTCCGTACGATCTACCAGGATCCAGCATGTCAGACCATCGCGAGTCAGTTGCTGCTCCAGAAGATGGTTCTCGCGCGCAATGTAAGTGTCGATGTCCAGGGGTCCTTTCCAGGCGATACTGTTCAATTTGATGGAGGCGATTCGCTCCGATGGAGTGGCAGGGACCAGGATCAGATCTGGGGAATCTCCCATTGGAAGCGAAGGGATATCTTTGGCAATCATCTTGGGCTACGGTGCTGGTGGGTGTAGATCGGAAGGGGGAAAATATGGCAAGTTGGCCAGGAAGGAAATGAAGATTCTCAGCGGAGCTTTGTCCGCTAAAATCAAATCGGAGGGAAATGATCAAAGTACTTTATTGGTCAACCAAAGCATAAGATGGAACCTCGAGTCTCGAGTGCGTTTCAAGGGATCTGACAATTCGTTTCTCTTGAATGAAAGACGTCAAATTAGTCAAGATAGAAAAGAAATCCGGGGTTGAGTTGAAAGTGGATAAGTGTCTCCAGAAAACCAACCCACGGGTTCCCAACGGCTTGATATATAAATTCCGGACTCGCCAGGTCTCTGATTAGTGTAACACGAGGCCAATCCCAAGGTTCCAAAATCAGTGTCATCCCCGCTCGAGGTTTGCGTATCCTTCGTCCGGACTCCGGAATGGGGGCCTGTATGCTTCTTTCTCTTCGGGCCGACGACAAGCGACGGCAAGCGGGTAGGTCGTTGTATTGCGGTTAGACCCGTTTGACGTAACAGGGCTTTGTGCTGGGTCAGGTGAGTTCTTCCCCGTAGGGCATGGGCGGGTCAGGTGGTCCTTTATGTAATGCTAATCTATAATACTTTGATGAGTTTCTTGAAGCCTTGGAATCATTACCTATTCGATCGGTCTCATGACTTGGCTTGGGCATGGGGTTACTTGGTCCGCGTCATTGACGCAAGTCATCCGGTGCATGGCAACAACATGAATACCCCGGCTGTGGGTTTTTGGGTCTTATAGCTAAATATCCGATACTGTGGGCTCGACGGGAACATGCCGAGAATGAGACATAGATACTTTCATACCGATACGGGTCGAAAGGCGGATATCGATGAGAACAACCACTGTTATAAGTGGAGGGAGGCGCTTGTGGAGGAGAGCAGTGCACAGTGAGACATCACGGGCATGGTTGGCGCAAACAAACCATAAGCTCTGAACGGACTAGGAGTAGACTCTTCGAGCTGAGTCATGCAACATAAGCTCCTCTTCATCATACATAAAATTCATTACACTGTGTTGCGCATCTGATTAGCTATAGGGAAACTTATTAGTCAAGCCGCGCATCAATCTTAGCTCATCCAGAGAAAACAAGAAAGAATAAAAAGTAGCCCAGGATATCACAGGGAAAAAAGAGACAAAAAAGAACGTTAGGGCATACATCAGGACTCAAATGCCATGCCAAGAACCAACGATAATAATGACGCAAAAATCCAACACATGCGGGACGCAAGACCGAAGCGAGTCGGTGGGAGGACTATTTGCTAGATACCTGAATTGACTAATAGAAGGAGGAGAAAAAGAAAAGAAGAGAGTCATGTACTTGAGAGATTCAACGTAGGAGACGAATGAGATACAGAAAAGAGATGGTATGAAAAAAGAGGCCAGACCGCAGCAATAAAGATCAGCAAGGAGAGTTGAAACCCAGGGATCAGCACAGGGTAATGCAAAGAGGCAACACTGCGACCAGTGAAAGCATATGAGAGAAAAATGGTGGACGGAGAAGGAGTGTCATGAATAAAAAAAAGAGTATCAAAGATGAAACCAGGACCGGGGGGGGAAAGAGATCTGGAGGGAAAAGGAAAGGGAACCAAAGAGGAGCCAAAGAAAGAGGAAAAGATACGAGCCTGATCTATGTAAGTAAATATGCCATGCGAATCCCAAAAATTCATCCGCTCCCCGTTTTTATATAGTTGCGCCACATTCCTGCGGACGGCAATTCTTAAATTCCCTCGTCCATCATTTATGTTCGATCATTGGTCACGCTAAATCAAGAATGAGACTGAAATGGATGTGGACAAATAAACAGCGAACAACCAATTTCCCCATCGAGGAAATTAAGAAGTATATTTCCCGTGGTTTTTCCCCCGCAATTCTAGAAGAAATTGAACTTCATGACGGTTGTTCTGATTCCACCGGTTCATTAAACTTCTGTCGTGCCTCCTCTACCCACAGTTCCAACCGGAGCTCCCCAGCCTCGACACGTCGGACGGGTACCGTTTTGGCGCGGCCATTCGAGACCGGAGCGGGTGGCCGCTGGGGCTCGCCGTTGCGTACTTTCGACACAGAGTAAGGCGCGGTACAGGATCGTAGGTGCACCTTGCCGGGCTCGGCAACAATCCATGTCTGTTCTTCCTTGGTGGTGCCCGCCGGCGGTAAAGCGTCCTCCCGTACTTCAATGCACACGGTGAAGCTGAATTCGTCATCTCGCGGCAGCGGGGTCAATCGCGCGCAAGCGGACGCGAGACGAGCCAAACAGGCCCGGAATTGTGACTCGAGATCGACCGAGGTTGGCGCCGGGCCCCGGTCTGAAACGGGGGCACCTGGTAGAGATGAATCATCATTTCGGCTTTCAAACGTGGTATTCACCTCGCCAGCTGGTGCCCGAGGGAAACCCGACAGATCAAAGGCGTATCGTTCGAGGGGTTGATTTGTGCGGAGAGATGAGATGATAATACTGACGGCGGTAATGGTGCCTTTCAAGATCTCTGTCCCAACGGCGATCGATGCATCATTGATATAGTCACACACCTTCGGGTGACGGGATTGCCGGACAGGGTAATTGTATGCCCGCACGGGCAGGAATGTCGCGCGTGGGTAGACGGATCGCAGGAAAAGTATTTGGTGGACGGAGACGGTGAGGAAGTTGGTGAAGGATGCCGCCAGCGCCGACTGGTTGGTGGGCAGTGATTTGGTAGCAGGGACCGGAGCGGAGAAAGTGGTCATGGTGGTGGAACTACTGGTCTCACTGGCCATCGGCATTGCCGTCGAACGATCCAGCGTCGTTTCCGCGGTAAGGGTGATCTTGACGGAGTCTCGAAGAATCTGAATGATGTTCCACCCTGAAGCTAATCATCGCTCTGCCTTTCTAAAATCTTCGGTCAACCCTGATGTTTTGTTGGAATGAATGGGTGATGTGATATCAAGGTTTTCTTCCGCTGGCGACCAACAAACACATCGACTTTACGGGTGGGGCTCGAGAGTAGTTGTGCGGTAAGGGTTGAGATCGTCGGCTGAGGTAGTAAGAAAGGTAGGCAGATGTAGAGCCCCTAGCAGATGTCCGCGAACGAAAGTGTGTTGAAGAGGAGTGGATCGAGGAGGGGTCTTGTATATAGGCTCGGGGAGGGGAGGGGAGGAGGGGGTTTAAGAGACTAGGAACATACGCTTGGGTGGACAAAACGACAGGATGCAAAACCTCAAAGCATGAGGGCTGGATGAAGAGAGAAACCAAAGCGCAGATCCCAGGTGTTTTCAAAAAGAGAGGGTCTTTTTTTTGGAGCAATGATGTTCCCTAGAGAGAAGAGGGGTGGTTTCCAAAGCGAGAGGAAGGGGGGGGGGGAAGACAGTGACCTGCGGATTAGCGGGCAGAGAACTGTCGTAGCTAACGAGGTGCCAAACAAGATAGAGAAAAAGACGATGAGTCGACGTTGAGAGACGATGTACCCCCGTGGCTCGAGGGGAAAAGCAGGAAGGGAAGAACACCGTCAGTGGAAGAGTCACAGTGCCCGTCACGTGGTTGCGTCATGGGCCCGGCGCAAATTCCTCTATTTTTTTTCCTTTTCTACGGCGCCATTGAGCGATGGTTTTTATTTATCAGTATCTAGCAATATCTTGAAATGAGTTCTGCGTATTATGAGCTTGTTGAAATCATGGCATCCTTTGTTGTCGACGTGCTACACGCGGGTCAATGCGAAAATTAAAATAGGTCGAACAATACAAATAGTATCTCCAAGGTACCGCCTTTTGTGTATGTGCACAGAGCGTACAAGTTTTTGCCCTTTGTCTCTTGATTTGTTTTCCCCACCGAGTTAGTGAGATGGGATGGTGAGACTTTAGCGGCGAAGGATGATCATCGCTTGGCCTGAAAGAAATAAAGGTGTAAAAAAAAAAAGAGGCGTTACAACTCGTTGGACACAACACCAAAAGAGATATGGGGCATGGAACCACAAAACGCCCAGGGACTAACCATGGGAACGGCGCAAGAACCAAAGAGGCATAGCCGAGCAGGGCAAAAAAAGCCACAAACCGATTGTGTAAGCTTATTTTCTAGATCGGGTACCAATAGTTATCCAAGGACACCATTTGATCCTGGAAACACGAAAAAGTCCAACTCTATCAACCTTTCGAAGGCCACATTAAAAAAAAGTCCCGTCGGAGCATTGCGTTACCACGGATTACAGCCTCCGCCAGCGTAGACCGCAGCAATCGGACGTACTAGGCAGGTATCGGGTACATGAACGGTACCAAGGACCCATCTTCACACATCTGTTCGCCCCTCATTCGCTTTACCGATGATCTTCCATCTCTGACGGCAGTGGCGGTCGCTGAGACAAGGTCGATCCCCGGGGGCGCTGTCTGTCTGTTCCGGTCAAAATAACCCCTGGAGATCGACTCTTTCGGGCCCAATTATCAATCGTCACGGTCACCTTCCATTCGCTTCTTTGCTGTCACCGCTACAAGATCTTCACTGTTTTCGGTGATCATAGAGATTAAGTGAGGGGCACTTTCCATGCTTCCCCTCGGAAAAAGCTGAAGTACCCAGGTACTTCGGTCAACGGTAATCGAACCGATCCACCTTTCAAAAATGCAAATGCCTTCAATGAGTGTAATGCCGTATACATCTCTGCCCTCCCAACCAAAATGACAACGTGATGCGTTCAAAGCATGTCGCAGTTAGTTTTCTGACACACTCTGTATTGGTGGGACTTCACCGTTCTTTCCGAAAGACCATAATCCACTTGGCACCCTATGAGACCGGTCAGTGTCAAGCAACAAATCGCAAGCTTTCCATTGATCTATTTGCAATCCGCCTGAAGTGCTGTTTCGTGCCTTTTCCACTCGCTCCAGACACCCGAGATTCACACTCAAGTACTGTACATCTTTGTACATGCAGCCTGGGGACCCCAGTACCGCGAGGATACCAGGTGAATGATGCCTTGGCTCCAGTTAACATGCTGGAATTGACTAAGCTCGCAGTTCCAGAGTCACAACCCTTGGGAAGTGCGTCAATCAGCACATGCTGTCCGTAATCGAGGTATCGGAACGACACGACTCATGTAAAATGTCTACAGTGAAACGACCAAGGGCTACAATCGAAGGAGAATGTGACAAGATACAATCCCATCTCAATGGCCACCGGATAGAACCAAGAAAGTCAGGGTTTTTGCGAATCGTCGGGGCCACTCCATCTAACATCCTTGTCTAATGGAGCCTTAGGTTGCCAACAAGGTGGCAAGATAAGCAACGATCAAATGCTCAGCCCCGTCACTGCAAGTGAATATGCCTCGGCAAGTCACAATCTAACCCAGAAAGCCCGGCAATGATGTATCCTGCCGAAGGCACATCCTGCACGTACTCACCGTCGACCTTTCCATCGCTTAAGAGGGCATCCTTCGCAGCGCTTATCGCTTGACTATTCTAGTTCATCATAAGAATTGGCCTTGTAAGTTTGATTTTACAAATCAATATTAGAACGAAGCAATTTGCGTGAATTGCAGTGGACGAGGAGTCGTCTCCGTACTGTATTTCCCCACCAACGGGTCAGGCTATAGTTCAGCTCAGCCTCCTCACAACCACTAAAAATAAAAAAGAGTGAAAAGTGAAGCAAATCCCCAAGAAGAGCTGACAGATACAACGAAGTTTATTTTGAAATCTGGCAATTAAACAAAGAATCACATCGATGCGGATATTTGTTTTGCGGCAAACATTTGATTGACCGCCCTCTGCCCCTCGTGTCTCCCTTATCGCAAACTTATTAACCTCATCTCCCCCGCGGCCTAGAGCCAACCTCAAATACCCACAATTCTTCATTGATCAATTGGTCATCAGCCATGGAGCAAGAACTTCTGTCGCTCCTGGCAAACACCCAGTCTTCCACAACCGCCACGAGGCAGGCTGCGGAGCTCCAATTGAAATCTTTCTACTCCAACGAAGCCTTCCCCATCTCCCTCACAGCCATTGCCTCCCATGAGTCCGTTCCCGTCAATCTTCGCCAGTCGGCCCTGTCCGTGCTGCGCACCTACATCGGTGCCGGCTGGTCATCCATGCTCGACGATTTCAAGGGTCAGGTGCTTGTCAGCGACGCCAATAAGGTACAAATCCGCCGCGCGCTGCTCGAGCTCGCCACAACAACAGAGACTCCTGAACGCAAAGTGAAGGCTTCAGCCAGTTATGCCGTGAGCAAAATTGCCAGTGCCGACTTCCCAGATGACTGGCCGGAACTCCTACCCTCGTTGCTGCACATCATCAACGATGCCTCGACCACCGATAGCGCCCTGCACGGAGCTCTGAAGGTACTGTTGGATCTAGTTGATACTGGGCTTAGCGAGGACCAATTCTTCAATGTTGCTCGCGATCTCGTCTCCGCCCTCTTCGCTGTGGCCACTTCAGAAACTCGTCGCCCCATGATGCGAGCCCTCTCCGTCGCCGTTTTCCGATCATGCTTCGACACATTTGAAATGGTTCTGGAACAACACAAGGTGGCTATCAAGCAATTTGTCGATGAGTTGCTGGGTGCATGGTCTCCCTTCTTTGTTTCGACTCTGAAGGCACCTCTGCCCCAACCTCCGTCCGACGAGGAAGCCAACAAGTCGGGCGAGGTTGCGTCGCAGTGGCGCGGGGTCATTGGCTTGAAAATTCAGGTTGTTAAGGTACTCACTGGCGCTTTTCGTTTCGAATCAACATTGGGACATCTGCTAATTGATCGCTTTAGACTCTCATGAAAATCCGGGGAGTTTTTCCCGCACTCCTGACAGCCCAGAGCCCCGCCTACTTCTCAACCGTCTGGGACGAGCTCACCAATGCCTTGCCGATCTACCAAAATTTCTTTATTGAGAACGAGCGCCAAGGTCGCCTCGAGGATGTGGATGGTCTCCCCTATTCGCTTGATTTCCTCGTTCTGGAAGAATTGGATCTCATTCAGACGCTGCTTAAAGCACCTCCGGTCAAAGCGGAGCTGCAGCAGCAACTTCAGAATGCCGGCGCGGCTGCGGGCTCCTCTGGCTGGCTCGTGGAGATCATGAAGCTCTCCAGTTCCTATGCACAGATCACCTCGGAAGAGGAAGGTCTCTGGGATGTTGATGTAAACCTCTTTTTGTCAGAGGAGACCTCTGTCACGGCGAATTACACACCTAGATCTTGCAGTGGTGATCTGGTGATCAAGGCTGGTGAATGGCTGAAGGAGAAGGCGGCTGAGGGCATGTTCAGCTACATGAACAGCCTCTTCGCCGATAGCACGTCTTCGTATGTCGGAGCTTGCTCTATTTTGATCGAAAACAGCTAACATTATCGGACAGTTGGAAAGCTCGTGAGGCTGCTCTTTGCATCCTCAACTTTCTTCTCCGGGACTTTGGCGAAGTCTCCCAGGAGATCCCTCTCGAATTGGCCAACCACTTCACTCAGTTTGTCAATTACGCACTCCAGCAGGAGGAGGAGTTCCTGCGAGCTCGAGGCTATTTGGCAGCTGGTGCTTTGGCTCGGGTTGCAGGTCAAGGATTTCAGGGGAACACCACGTCTTATTTGGAGGCGACTCTCAAGGCGATTGCCGAAGATCCTTCTGAAGTGGTCAAGGTTGCTGCCATTCGAGTCCTGCAGGATCTCATTCCAACCCTGCCCATTAGTGTGGCCCGTCCCTTCCAGGTTACTGTGATCAACGCCCTCTCCGAGTTCGTCTCGGCGCACGATCTGCGTGAACAGTCTGACTGTGACGATCTCAAGGTCACGCTTGCGGAAACCCTCCGCGATACCATTATGGCTGATTCTAGCGTTGTTCTTTCGTCGGTGGCTATCGATGTCCTCTTCAACATCGCTAGCAGTGGCGCCGAAAATTTCCAGCTCACGATGACGGTCACCGAAGCCTTTGAGGACATTGTGGACCAGATCACTGAGCATGGCCCTGAGGCTTACATGCGTCTTTGTGAAAAGGTACTGCCTTCCTTGATGGGCGCCATCGACATCGGCAACATGACCGAAGAGAACGCTTTGACCAACTTTGCAGCCGATCTGCTTCGAGCCCTAGCTGAGCGTAGCTCCGAGCCTATGCCCCCAGGCTTCGTGGAGACCGTCATGCCCAAGCTCAACCGATTGCTCTTGGATTCTACTGAGGCAGAGCTGATCCGGCCCGCAACCGAGGCCGTGCGCCACATGCTTGCTCACGACTTCGCACAATTCGTGGCCTGGCGGGATTCTCAATCTGGCAAGGAGGCACTCGAGGTCGTTCTTGTCATTATTGACCGCCTTCTCGGCCCAGCTGTGGATGATAATGCCGCTGTTGAGGTCGGCCAACTGGCCGCTGAGTTGGTGGAGAAGGCTGGCTCGGAGCGCCTTGGCCCTTACCTACCCCAACTCCTCCAAGCTGTGGCTCAGCGTCTCGCAACTGCCCAGCAGGCACAGTTCATCCAGAGTCTGATTCTGGTATTTGCCCGACTGAGCCTTGTCAGCGCACGAGAGGTTGTAGACTTCCTTGCACAGGTCAACCTGGATGGCCAAAGTGGTTTAGCGGTGGTACTCAGTAAGTGGCTTGAGAACTCGGTGAACTTTGCCGGCTACGACGAGATCAAGCAGAACATTTTTGCACTGGCGCGACTATACGAGCTGTCAGACCCGCGATTGGCAGAGGTGCCTGTCAAGGGCGACCTCATCATCCAGGATACTGGTCGCATTAAGACTCGGTCGCAGGCTCGCACCAACCCCGATCGGTATACCACGGTAGCCGCACCCTTGAAGATTATCAAGGTGCTGGTGGAAGAATTATCTGCGGCCTCGGGCAACAAAGAGATCGACGCCGCCCAGGCTGCAGCCCTAGATGATGCTGCAAGTGACGACGGTGACGACGACTGGGAGGATGTGCCGGGACAAGTGCTGGACCTGGGATTGGGAATGACGAAGCAGCAACTGATGAGCTTCGGCGAGGGTGGAACGGAGAGTGTGTTCGGGGTGCGACAACGGGACGACGAGACACAGGCCTTCCTGACAGACTTTTTCCGGCGGGCTGTGACGCAGCCGGGATTCCAAGAGCTGTACGGGGCGCTGACTGAGGATGAGCAAGCCAAGCTGCAGAGCCTAGGATAGTGCCCACGTCCCGGATATTGTATGGCAACTCTTGGCTTTGCCTTTACGTTATAATGCTCACTCCTCGCCGCTTCTTGCTCATTGAGCCTAGCCTGAGAGCCTGAGAGCCTGAGTGATACTCACCTCAATAAAATGCAATACGCTAGCCACGTTCACGTATAGAATGTTCCTACGCTAGCTTGCACAGTCAGACGATGGTTACGCGGGGAATACAGTGGGATGTAAATTTATCATCTGAATATCAGTGCACATCAAATAGAGTACGATACACTGGACATTGCCTTCCATGCGTACTAGTAACCCCAAAGTTTGCTGCCTTCTGAATTCTTTTCCACCACCTGCTCCTCGAGAGGAGATATTTGGCGGGAATCAGCATTGTTTCGGGCACAAGGTCAATGTCTTTAACTAAACAATTCCATGCTCTCATGCTCAAATGCACCAGTCGAAGGTCCGACATACTAAACGGCTCGGTTCCCAGCCATGCTAATCTCTGCGCCAATCTCACAGCCCCAATTTGCGCTTCTGAATCCCTGCACCCACCCCCACAAGAATCAAAGCAACGGCCACAAGCACACCCAAAAAATTAATCTGTAGTCCCATCATATTGTTCGTGGACTGCACCGCCGCCAAGACAGTTGCCATCTCCAGCAGTAGTAGAAAATGGCCACTCCAGCGATGATACTTGTAAATCCGCTTGCCAGCGTCGACGCTGCCAAGCAAGACAGTAGGCAAAAAGTACTGAATCACCCCGACTACCGCTTGCAGCGCAATAGTAATGTAAGTTGTCAGGCCCAGAATGCCGTGTAAGGAAACAAAGTGTGGATAGGAGCCCTTATTAACTTCGATATTGATAAAAGCTAATATGAAAAGGACGATGCTGAGTAGTTGTATGGAATAGTGGACGCGGGCACCCTTTAGCTTCTGTTGCGGGGTATTGACTGGTTGTACGATGAGCGTTGCCTGGACTTGAAGGAGCAGTGCGGAGACGCTGAGTAGCTGATATAGATACTCTCAGTCAGTGGTCGGCTCATAGGCTGTTTTCCCGTGTTTACGTACCGGATGCGGAGTGAACCACGACAGCGGCTGGGATAGGAACCCATTCCAGACCAACGCTGCTAGCTGTGTGAATCTGTCAGTTCTCTGACGGGGAAATAGTTGCTGGAAATCTCACTATCCAGATCCCTGCTTGCGCAACACTTGCTGTCCCTAGTTCTGGAGTCAGTGGTGCATAGTGATCAGCAAAGGCTTCATATTACCCGCGAAAAGGTGCCGATAGATGCCATCGTCTGGCTTGTGTAGTATATCTCCTGGGTGACCCAATAGTGGCTCATCATCTCGCGCTTCAATCGTCACTGGGTAATCCTGGGAGTGTTCCGTCGCCGAAACCATTGTGACAGATATGATGAAGACACACACTCATGTAAAGACTGGAAGTGACTAGAAAGGTAACGAACAATCTGGGCCAGACAGTAACGTCCCTTTGTTCAAATAGCATGAGCATAGCTTTCATTACAGATAATCTATCGCGTCTGAGATGTTGAATCCCCCTTACATGCGATTACCATGTGCCTGAATTCCAAAAGCACCTCGGCACTTAAGACCATTAAGACCCAAATCAATGATTTTGAATAGGTGTCATGCGGTCATTGGCTCCCGGTCGTTAAAACAAATTCCAGAAGCGGATTCCAGAGATGACGGTGAGCGCAACATTGGGGAGCTGAGAATCTAGATCCTGGAGATCTTCTCACGTCTCACATTATCTCAGAAAAGAAAGTATTGGAAATAGGCTTAGTCTGAAGGGCTGAAAGACTTTTCATGGTAGGCATGCAGGGTCCACTGGCTAGGGGCAAGCACTGCTGGGACTAGCGATTTGCTGCATGATATCCTTACTGCAGTCCCACCTCGTTCCATTATCCTGCACCTCATCGCCAGCAGCGCCGTATTGAGTGACATCGAACTACTTTCAAATGTTTTTTTAGCTTGTCGGTGGCAAATAGTGTTTCATGTAGATCCAGTCTGCGGTTATGCACTGTAGATCAACCGCGAAGTCGTGGTCATTACTGACTAGTGGTGCCGATCGCCAATTTGTGGACCTGTGTGAGATAGATTAAAAATTTTTGCCAAAGTTCCAATTGAAACAATCTGGCAGGAGAAAATTAATTAAAATGAAGTGAATACACTCGTACGATTTGTTCTGGGCAAACTTTCATTCGGGCGATCCAGCAGGATGCAAGCTTACTCTTTCGTATGAGTACAGATACATATGGTTATCCCCACAAATCAGAGAGGATCTAGGATTCAATGGTTGTCTTGGTGCGACGATTTATACCGAGATCAACAATATGCTCTTCTAATGTATCAAAATATATTATCATGCATGAATATTCACAAAAACTCATGCATGATCAAATGCCTTCTGGAGCCCTCGGAGTCTTTGTAAATTACCATGCTATCTTGGTTGATCAAGGTCCGCTGTTGCAAATTTGCATGAGCAGTGGCTTCGGTAGTTCTCAATTACGATGGCGAATTTTTTTTTTTTTCGTTCCTGTTTGAAGGAAAAATAAAATGCCAAAACAAAGGACAGGTTCAAGCCAGGGACGCGTTGCGCTCTCGCAGTGACTGCGCTAATGCAACCAGATTCGATGGTGCATCATTCTGATCAACGCACAACTCAATGATCTGCATATATCTTAGCTTGGAGCGCATGCAGGGGCAGAAAGGAAAAAGTAGAGGTGGATTGAACAAAGGAGAATTTGCGCTTACCTGAAGAACTGAACAGTCGTTGAAAGTTTTGCAACCCCACAAATCCAATAGATGCTCCCGTGTCTCGACGCGGTGTGTCTCGTAGGTCCCCGGTGCTGCACCGAATGCTGCTGGAAGAAGTCGGTGATCCCAGGGTTGAATGTCATTGTACTCTTGTTCTTCGCCATGGATCAAGCGTTCAATGGTAAAACCATTGTTACAGATAACAAAACTGAGAGTGTTAGCAATTTCCTCGATGTAACGCGTATCCTTGACATCAAAGATGACAGTAATGGCACACTCACATGATAGGTTTCAGACCCAGGCGAATGATCGTGCTCAATTCCTGGCAAGAGAATTGGAAGCTTCCGTCCCCTATGAAAAGAATAGTGCGTCGTCGGGGATAAGAAGAGTCCCGCGTTGCCAGGGCCGCACCTTGACAAGCTCCAACCGTGTATCCGATACTTGCCCACATGTACTGAGCGAGGAAAATGATGTTAGGAGGGAGAGTCGTGTTCCAGATTCCGAAGCTTGCTGTGCCTGCCTCGGTGAGGAGAATATCCCCTTCTTGAAGCCAATTTCCCAAGTTGCTCCAAAGCCAATCGTGGGTGATGGGTGTCCGTCCCTTCAAGGCACGGCTGAATATCCAGGATCGTATGAAGCTGATTCTTCGAGGAATAATCGCAGCATTTCGTAGACAGTTCAAGAACTGCAGACCAAGGTCCTTCATTTTATTTCCTTTCGAGGTGTCGATCTGTTCATCAGTTTTAGCTAGACTAGCAGCAAAAAACTCGTATTTCTCGTCATGATCGACACAGAAAGAGCGGCTCATGGGTACCAGGCCATGATTGAGCGTCTCTGTTAACGCAATGAGAACACTGCTGATGTGGATGTTTTCGAAGTTCTGGCACTCGACCTTGGTCGTAGTTCTTCGAATGTCAATCAGCCTGGGGTTCTCTACAATGCCTTTCAAGGACGAGCTGCTTAAATCAGACGGGATGTTTCCGATACTGATAATCAAGTCGGCTGGCTTTATCAGCTTGAGAATCCCCTCAAGGGAGGAAGAGCCAACATATAGTCCTTTATAGTGTGGAAGAGTTCTGTCCACAATCCCGATGCCGGAGGCTGTCGTCAAGACCGGAATCCCCAGTGCTCTCAGGAACCCATTGAGCTGTTTCTTTGCGCCGTGTGAAATTCCATATCCTCCGACCAGCGCCACCGGTCTAGACGCGTTGCGAATCTCATCGACCACAGTCTTCACCAACGTGTCGTGCTGAAGAATGTCATCATGGGTTATCATCCGGTCCAGAGGCGGGCGAATTTTCAACAGTTCGCGTGAGACCGGCGCACTGATCATGTCAGAAGACACGAAGAGGAAGACCGGGCGACTTTGGATCCAACAAGTCCGGATGGCTTCATCGATCAGGGCGGGGGCGGTCTGTATGTTGTCGATACAAGCAGTCATACAAGAGACCTTGCGACTCATATCCTCGAAAAGAGTGAAATCACCATCACCTAGAGTGTGATGCGTGCAAAATTTCTCTCGCTGGGCTTGCCGGCTTGGTTTTCCAACAATGTGAATCAGGAACATACTCGGCGAATGACCCAGCAATGGCGTTGATAGCGGATAGCTCTCCCACTCCCATGACTGTCATCAATGCAGATATGCCATTGATACGGGCATACCCATCTGCTGCGTAGCCTGTAAAAAAAAAGCCTTGTGATTAGGGTTTGAAAAGGTGAGCTCTGGAATTTCACCCACCGGCATTAAGTTCATTGCAACTTCCAACCCATTGTAACCCGCACTTCTGAATGTAGTCTAGAGCCTCCAGATTGAAGTCACCTATTTTTTTTGTAGCAATTGTAGGAACTTTAGCCAATGATGCTTACTGAGGCTGGAAACTCCCTTCACTTACCTGGAACACCGTGAACGGACCTAATTCCAATTTGCTTGATTCTCAGGCACAGGTACTCAAACAGATCAATGTTTTCCGGGGTATCGCAGGGAACCATCTTGAATGAATCGAGCAATCTTTGTAAAGCAGTCGTCGGGAGTTAGCTAAAAGTCTGCTTACCATTGTCAATTTGAACATATGAGTACCAAAGTATGTCTGCTATTTAATCAGTGTACACTGCAGATCCACAGATCATGCGTGGGCTCACTGGAATAGCGCAAGGGCTCCAGTTAGTTTCAGCTTCAGATCTGTGAAGATCTGTGATGAGTGTATGAGCCTAGGTGAGGTGCGGCTTGCTTCTGCACGTCAGAGATTCATCGATGGTGTCTTTCAATGCATGATGTAGCTGTATAATTTATCAGCGTGAAATAGTTTCTGCATGTACCTTCTATTTACTGTACAGTTCGGTGCTTCTATGATCCTCCTTACAGATGCATTATATTTTCTGAACCCTGAATTTGGTGCGATGACTCTATGATGAGGGATGTCTCAGGGTCTATATTGATTATTTGCGGTAAAAGTGGCTGCTTGATACAGGTTTATCTTGATTCGACGCACGATGTCAAAGCATTTCTTCGATCTGATGATACCTCGTCATCAATGACACTACGCCCTAGACCTTACATCAACTGAGACTTGCGTCTTGTGATTACAATGCAAGCTCAATGCTGTAAAGATGTGCTGTATACAGCCCAAGGAATAGATGAGTATCCACGAGCTTTTATCCTAGTCGGATAGCAGGGAATCAATCATGGGTATGAGGATGCCGCGCCATTTGATTTGATGTTTAATTTGGTGATGAAGCGGCTGAGGGCGGTCGAATCGATGGCGCCACCAGAAACACCAGGCTAAGGCGGACACCCCACCGGCGGCTGTGGCTCCGCACCTGCAGAGCTGAGCAATGCATATTAATTTAGCCTCGTGCTCCTTACTTTCTTATGCATTATTTTTCCCTTCCTTCCTGCTTGTGTAGCTGATGCTTGCTTTTTCTTGATATTCAATTACGTCCTGCATGACGGGGCTAATACACCCCACCGTGGCTTGCATCAGAGAAAATTGATAAGATATGCACATGCAAAGCGCGCGGAAGTCAGACCCGCTGGCTGAAACAGCAAAAAGAAAATAAAGGAGGAAAATATCATAAAAATCTCACAAGCGAGCAGAACTAGGGCCGATGGCAGGGCCATTCTTTCGGAAGGACTTAGGTCTTGAGCTTCAAGTGATCATGATGGGCCCGGAAAGCGGTCAATAACGCGGCAATGGAGACGATCTTAGCGACAGCACCCCCCCCCGAACGCATTTCATCAACGCTCACAGGCGTACTTAATGTCGCATCTATTGCCTAAATTTACACATGACCATGGTCGGTATTATCTTAGGAGGCGTCAGCATTGGTAAGCAATTGGCCGCAATTATCACTGCCTGTGTAAAGATACGGTTCAATCGTCTCTGATGGCGAAAGAGGAGAATTGCTAGTGGGAGGATCAGGCGTATCGATGAGCTAGCTTGATCATTCTGATCAAAATTCCCAGGCATTCCCTTTGATCGCTGATATGAAAGGCCCCGATCCTGGCGAGCCCCACCTTAAGTACCAAACCGGAGATATGGTACAAATGCGGCAGTGACTGCCACCATGATTTTTCTTGAGCGTCGCATACGCTATCCTCCAATGCAGGCTTAAAGCATGCTTGACGGCCCTGCTTCACAGGCAACTATTGATGAGAAGCACAGGAACCCTCTGCGTACGAAGTCTTCTTCTGTGCGGCCCTCAAATTGGCGATTGTCTCTATGAGAAAGACCTTGTTTCAGTGTAACGAGTTGGAATCCTGATTTACCATGGAATACCGCATAATTTGTCACAGATTTGCTGTCAATTATACTGAAAAAATCTACCTCTCCAACCCCTTTTTGACCGGCCTACAAGGTCGTGCCCAACTGAAGATATAGCTTTGATTGATGGAGGCTGTAGCTCTCGTTCCATTTGACTCCTACAATCATTCTAATTAGAATATCTCAATGGACGATAAAACATAGAAAACCCGGACGACCAGGATCCCTAAAATGACCTCTCTTATGCGATAAGCCATTACCCGCAGGAGCTGAATGTACCTCAAGAAAAATACTACGAATCAAGTGACGACATTGATGGGCTTCGTCCCTGCACCAGTTCAGGCGTTGCATGGAATCGCCATGCAAGTGGTCTTGCAGCTGTTCTGCACTATTGAGCCTGCAATGCAATGTTTCCACCAATTGCACCACACGTTGAACCAAACTCGTATTTTTCGCAGATGATCAGTCACGTCCGGTGTCTTGGATGCTCTGTTTCCGATCCACAGTGAGCCAGCTCATCAGTGCCATATATTTCTTTCTCTCGGTAGGATGCATCGCTAATCAGCAGATGAATAGTTTTGACCCACAAGCGTAGGAGCAGAATGGCTGTACTGTATTTTGACAGATGGCGTCGGATCGCTCAAACTTTGCTGGGAACATGCCAAGTTCTCAGCTATGCCCAATACATAAAAGGATCGTGTATGTCTACTAGAACCTAGCCTTTACAGCAAAAACCCCTACCTTGTGACGTGCATTTATCCTTTTTGCGAACACTTCAAGGCTTTGCCCAGTTTACACATTTCTATTTTGACCATGAGCTTTGCCAATACATTTCAAACATCCAAAGAGGGACGCGATGATGATGGGTCCACGATCCATGCATTCCCTCTACTCCCTCAGGGCTTCAAAAGTGACCCAATGCAACGGGAACAGATGGATATAAATTTTCTCGAAGACGTCAACTCCTTGTCGTGCCAGCCTTTGAGTCTGCTCCCGGTCGCCTGGGGCGCTGTCTTGGCTTGTTATACGGAAAGCGAAGAAGTCCATTTCGGTGTTGCTTACCGTGGCCGGCAGACCGACAAGGGTACTCAATTCATTAGTCCATTCCGATTGAGGGTCTCTAACACAGAGACCCTTCTCAATACAATGGCAGTGGCAACGCAGTATGATGAGAGAATGCGGAGATTTCAGAAGATGGGACTGGAAGGCTACGCTGCTCTAAACCCTGGCAACATCGTCCTGTCCAATTTCAACAATTTACTAGTCATCGCCGGCGAAACTCACGACGTGAGCGCCGAGGTTGTCGAAGAAAAGTATCCGCTTACTTTGTACGCGCGCGGAGCGAATCTCCGGGCCTGCTTTGATCCTCGCGTTCTTTCCGCGAATGCTCTTCGTCCGATGCTCAACCACTTCGCTGATTTTGTTCAAGCCGCGATTGAAAGACCAGATAGGACTATTCTAGACGCCCAGAGAGTTGGCAAAAAAGGCTTCGCTTTGCTGCAAGAGTGGCATGCTTCTCGGGAGAAGGGATTGCGAGACGACTATGGCGTACGTGCCCACGAACTAATCAACGATCAAATCTTAAGCGATCCTTCTGCACCTGCGGTATCTGCCTGGGATGGGGAGCTCACTCGGGGTGAGCTCGATCACTGGGCATCCTATCTCGGGCATCATCTTGTCTCCGAAGGTTGCAACGTGCAACCTGGCCAGTTCGTGGGCCTTCTGTTGTCAAAATCGGTCGCGACTGTGCCCGCTATGCTAAGTGTGATAAGATCCGGAGCGGGATTTGTTTTCCTGTCACCGTCGCTTCCTATTGAGAGGATACGCACCATGTGCCGAATCGCAGGTGTAGTCCATATCCTCACGAATAGTCGTCACAAGGAAATGGCTGCTAAGCTGGATATTCCTGTCACGGAAGTTGATAACAGACCAAGCTCAGCGGTGAAGGTGGAACGTTTTGATAGACCTATGCGGTTCGGCCCTCTCTACCTGGCGTTTACATCTGGCTCCACGGGCGAGCCCAAAGGAGTTCAAATCAATCGGGAATCATTTGGACCCGGAATTGCCCGGTTTTGTGAAGAGACAAAGCTTGATAAAAGTTCTCGACTCTTCCAGTCAGTCTCATATGCATTTGTTGTAAGCATTCTCGAGACCTTAACAGGACTGGCTGTCGGTGCTTGCATTTGCATTCCGTCCGAGGAGGACCTCGAAAACGACTTTGAAGGCGAACTTAACAAGTTCAAAGCAACTTGGGCTTGGAATACCCCAACTATGACGCGAACCCTGCGCGCAGACCAGCTCCCCTTTTTGAAGACCCTAGTCTTGGCTGGCGAACCTATCACCAGCGCCGACGCCGCGCAATGGAAAGGATTGTCAGCTCCGTACAGCCTTTATGCTCAGTCCGAAACAGCCTCCACTTTCTATATCCGCCGATTGAATGAGCCTACCTATGAGTCGGGTAACCTTGGCAACCCCACCACGGGAAGGTACTGGGTGGTCGAAAAGTCTGACCACACTCGGCTCAGTACCATCGGAACTGATGGCGAGTTGCTGATCGAAAGCACTGCCTTGGGAAGCTTTTACATCAATAATCCTGAGATGACGGCCGCGACGTTCGTGGAGGAGCCTGTCTGGGCTCCGCAACAGGATTATGCCCCACAGTTGAAGCGACAGTGGATTCTTACGGGAGACATGGTTCGCCATAACTGCAAAGATGGGTCTCTCCAGATAGTCGGTCGCAAAGGAACCAGAACCAAGATCAGAGGGCAGCGGATTGAACTCGGCGAAATTGAGAGTTGCCTCCGGCCGTACTTCCCGTCTCAGCAGGTCGTCGCGGAAGTCGTTACACCTGCTGCTGCTTCGGTCGAAGTCGGGCAGTCTCCTGCAATTCTGCTTGCCTTCACTTGTTCTAATATGAACAAGTCGCCTTCAGGCTCTCCGGTTGGAATCCTTTTGAGAGAAGAACATCGCGTAGAGGCTCGCAAAGCTTTGTCCGGGCTCCAACAGGCGCTACCTTCGTATATGATCCCTGCTGATATCCTGGAACTGGATCATCTCCCTCGCACGGTTAGTGGAAAGGTCCATCGCAAGGCACTGCGTGACTGGGCCGCCCAGCGACCATTAGACCAGCTTGTCGGCGTCGACGAAGTGCGTGTTGCGTTCCGGGCAGCCGAAACGTTCGAAGAGCAGGCCCTACAGTCGATCTGTGTGAAGGTTCTCGGCTTACCATCTGAAAAGATCAGCCTTGATGACAATTTCTTCCGCATCGGAGGTGATTCTCTCACGGCCCGACAAGTTGTTTCGGCAGCCCGCTCCCAGGGATTGACGTTAACTGTGTCTAACGTGTTCAATGAGCCAACCCTTGCGGTATTGGCGAAAGTGATTCGCAAATCCGATGCGGCAGTCAACGATGCAGGCGTAAAGGAAAGTCCATTTGCGAGACTCAAGACCGAGTTCCTGCAGCAGGGTCTGCCGGCTGGGCTAAATGCTCACCAAGTGCAGGCGGTGCTGCCCCTCACATTTATGCAGGCACAAACTACAAGAGCAGCAACTATTGACTACTTTCCAATGGAATTCGAGGGTGCTGTGGATGTAGACAGACTTCGAGTTGCTTGTCAGCAAATCCTCGATGTGAACCCAGCCCTGAGGTCGATCTTCCTGCCATTCAAACAAGAAACAGTTCAAATAATCCTGCGTCAGGCTGCGATTTCCTGGACAGAGGTTACTGCCCCCGCCGACTCTGATCTGAATGACTGGACCCATTCTTGGATTATGCAGGATCGGGAACATTCACCACCGATGAGTCAAATCACAGCCGGATGTACCCTAATCCGCCACTACTCGGGAAGAACCAATTTTGTTATGCGTTTGGCGCACTCTCAATACGACGGTGTCTGCTTGGGTCCCATCTTCAAGCAGCTTGAGACCTTTTACTCTGACTCCGGAGCCGCCTTGAAATACCACCCTAAGGAAGATTTCATCAGCTACCGAAAGACTTGCGCGAGGATGCGCACACCACAGGCCCTGGAACATTGGAAAAATCTTCTGACAGACATTGAGATCACCGAACTCCCGCGACTGGGGTACCCCAGTGAGCTGACTTACGCCGTTCATCACGAGGAGTGCAAGCCCGCAGAGCCACCAGCTGGGATCACGCAGGCGACAGCCATCAAGGCGGCCTGGGCATATACCCTGGCACAGGAGACTGGAAAGCCTGAGGTGCTATTCGGGCAGATTACAAACTGTCGTGGCGTTCAACCGGATGCAGGGGATGAGGTAATTGGAATGTGTCTAAACACCACGCCCGTGCGAGTCAAGGTGGAGCCTACCACTCGAGTTCGTGATTTCCTTGGCATGGTACAGCAGCAGCATATCGAAGCACTTGAGTATGAAACCACTGAATGGCCTGACATGGTTGCTACTGGTACCTCGTGGCCGGCTGGCACCGAGCTCGACTCTCTCGTTTTGCATGAGAACTTCGCCAACCTGAAAGAGTTCTCGTTAGGGGATGTCACATCAAGACTTGGAGAGCCCATTTTCAAGCCCGTGGGATCGAAATCACATATTTTGGTCACTTTTCCAGGACCGCAGAGCTTGATGACGTTTTTGATGACGAGGATAGGCTGCATGGAGAAGACCAAGGCCGAAATGCTGGTTTCCAAATTTAATGAAACTCTTGTACGGTTTTTGGCTTACCCGAATTCTTTGATTGGCCCTGTGAACTAGTATCGCTATTTCCTAAACGGGAAGAAGACAAAAGCAAGGATGAACGGAAGAGGATTTGGAGCAGCCAATTTTACCAATCTTGCGGCAATACCATATCAAGCCATCTACTTGTACCCAGAGAGTGATTGATTGATGCTCAAAACATGATAATAGTCTATACTGGCATTGAGTAATGAGCATGAGACGTAGACAAGTCAACTGAAAATGCACAGGTGGTACTAGTCAATGGCAAGTCCTCGTGGGGCTTCAGCGAGGTGATCCAGCCTAGTACAAAAAAGAACTTTAGTAATCGTGTAAATATTAGTCTCTCCATCGCAGAGGACATCTTTCGGGAAATGCCGTATACTCTCGCTTCAACCTCGAAATGATACGGTTCTGCGCAGAGCCTCTTGGAATCGCAATGATGCCAAGTGGAGCCAGTCGACTTCAATGCCTGGATTGTCTTGAAAGCACCCAGAGCCCCACCAATGCGGATGTAGAAAGTCTGCCCTGAAGCTGTGATCTTTTACCATTATATGCTCGACGATGGGCACGCCGCAATGGCTGTGCCCCATTAATTCAAGCAATTATAAAGAGGCGAGAGAGTATGACTTCGTCGAAACAGATCCCTACACCGCAAACGTCGAACCGGGTTCACCAGTGGCAGATTTATATTACCACTTATCAAATAGATGACCTGTAGATAGAATTCATCTCATAAATATTACTGTAGCTTCAAATGTATAGATTGGAAAAAGAGTATTGACTATCTGGACTGAATATTGAAATGGGAATGGCTCGATGGCTGTCTAACAAGACAGACTGGGTGACAGCAATACACACACACCCTGTCAGAGAGGATGACTGAATATGGAGATATGGGTAAAGCTGGTGAATTAATGCTATGGGATAAATAGGCGAAGCAGGCTACAAACACACCCAAATTGTCAGAAAGCCGTGGGGGATACGCTTTCTGTGTGCATATTACTTTATCCCTGAAGCTGAATCACAAAGCAAGGAAACCGAGAAGTGCAGTCATATTCCGAATAGTTGACCCTCTGTGCAGGAGTGTAGAAGAAATGAATTCAGATCGCCCAAGGCATACACATAACATACCTCAGACATGCCTTACCCCATGTCACCTCTTCCACTAATACAATATTTGGTTCGTGCATAAAAACTCCCAAGAGAACAAAAATTTAAACAATACAGACACGTAGACTTTTCAAGAGCCTACCAAGTACGTAACATACTTCCTCATCAAGTCAAAGTCAAATGTTGTATACTCCAAGCCCCCAGGATAGCTTTGGAGAGCACGCATGGTGTTTGTGTTGTCGTATGTGGGCATATTTTCATACAATTCCCAGCGACTGAGGCCCTGATGGACCTTCTCCGCCAGCATCGGCAGCAACGGCTGAAGATCGGGATTCGCACTGGCTGATAGGCGTTCAATCCACTCCTCATATTGAACACACTGGAAAGAGGTACCCCGGACTTTTCCAAGTAGGGTCATGACATCGCCCATGCCGATAGAGGCATCTCGGTCGGGTAGCAGATGGAATGCGTGACCAGAAGCGAAGATGTTGGACGAGATATGTAGCATAGCGTCTACTACATAACCGACGGGGATAAACTCTTTCCGTTGATTCGGCAAATGGGGGTAGCAGTTCAACTCTACGCTGGCGCGGATCAAACGGCTGAAGAAGTCATCGGGGTTGCAGGCACCGGTTTTCTCGTCGCCTGTAATGAAACCGGGGCGGTATACGGTGACGGAGAATCCGCGCCTAATGAGACGCTGAAGTAATTCATCGGCGACCCATTGACTCTGAGCGTAGCCATGGTCAAAGGGCATGGCTTCCAAGTGTGGCAGAAGAGGAGCGTCTTCGTAAACAATTTTAGCGCCGGTCACGAAGCCTGTCGGACCAAAGCAAGAAATACTGGAGCAGTAATGCAAGCCTTTGGGGCGTTCTGTAGCAGCCAGGCGGGCTACGTTCACTGTGCCGACGATGTTTGCTGAGCGATGGAGCGAGTACGGCTGGGTGTAGTTGACCTTCGCACCGAGATGGAAGACAACACTAGCCCATCCTGCGATTTGCCTAAACCTCTCCTTCCCTAGGCCGAGCCAGTGATCTTCCAGCTGGCCGCAAAGCGGAAGAATTTTCGATAGGAACACATCCTGCCAGATACTGTATTTGACTAACGCTGCCTTTAGCCGTTGCAGACCCGAAGCAGCATCAGCCGCGCGCACTAGACACCCAACTTGGTGCACACCTGGCATCTTCAGCAGGCTGGCCAGCATATATGCTCCCACAAATCCTGTTGCACCTGTGAGGAACACTCGGCCTTCGGTGTCTAGACGCCAATCCACGACTGGTCCACATGCAAGCGGCAGATCATCCGCAAGCATGGTGTCGGCAACCCAGAGGTCGCGTTCATTGCGAACAGTCGGCATAGAAGCTCCTTGGTTAGAGTCAATGATGGATACCAGCTTGCCAAGAGTGGAGTTCTCATAGAGAGTGAGAAGAGAAATCTCGGTCTTCAGGTGCTGGCGGATGCGGCTGACCAGCAGCGATGCTTGAAGGGACGTAGCTCCATGTGCGAAGAAGTCATCGTCATCAGAGTATTCAGGAACTGGGGTGGCCAAGATGTTCGCCCAAAGTCCAGCGATAAAGGCCCGTGTGCTCAACCCTGCGCTCCCAAACACATCCTTCAAATGCCGTGCCCGTCGCTCATGGTACATTTCAACAAGTTTTCGGCGGTCTACCTTGGCATGCGCATTGAGCGGTATTTCAGCTACAATCTCGATATGGGGTACCATATATTCAGGAAGCGTGGCGCGTAATGAGGATATCGCTTCTGATACGGCGTGGGGTCCAGAATTCGGCTGAAGAATGACGAAGGCCACAAGTGTTGCCCCTGCGCCTTTCTCCTTCTCGTCTACCCGCATGGCGAATCCATCTGAGAAATGGCCTGTGTTCATGAGTGCTGAATCGACAGCACTGAGCTCGACTCTAAAACCACGGATTTTGACCTGGTGATCTCGACGTCCAAGGAAGTCATGATGGCCATCTCCCCGGCGTCTTACTATATCTCCGGTTCGATACATGCGACAGGGCTCGCCAGTTATGGGGTCCTTCATGCCATCAACAAAGATGAACGATTGAGAAGTTTTCTCGGGCTGGTCGACATAACCAAGCGATACGCCAGGGCCTCCCATTAGCAGCTCGCCTTCTTCGCCCTCGGGAACAGGCTGGCCTGCATCATCGCACACGCAACAGAAATTTTGACCAATCGGTTTACCAATGCTGACGCTTCCTGCGTCTATATCTGCCATGGAAATCTCATGGGTGAGACAATAGACGCAGCATTCTGTCGGCCCATAAGCATTGATGAGATGTGTCGGAGGCCCTGCCTCCAGGATGGTCTTCATTGCCGAAAGATTGACCGCTTCTCCACCCATCAGGACCACTCTAAGAGGTGCGAAAGCATCGGGCGAGATCGTAGCCGCCAGATTGACTAATGGGGCTGTAATGGCCATGATGGTAATACCGAGCCGACGAATAGCGGCTGCAAATCTCGAAATATCAAGAATCGTCGACTTGGTAAGTATGCCGATTGTCGCACCATGGATCAAAGGCCCCCATATATCAAAAAGAGCCACATCAAAACTCGTGTTGTTGATGTGGCCAACAACGTCTGTTTTTTGAACCGGATCGTATGGAGCATAATGTGACACATGGAGGATGGAAGAACCCCTTATCTGCACCGCCTTTGGCTCACTGGTTGTGCCGGATGTGTGAATGAGGTGTGTGCAATGCCCCAGGGTGGTGCTCAAAGGAAGTGAAATTGACTTCGTTCCAGAGAATTCGTCGTTACTGGGTGGAAACTCTCCAGTTGCGAGGAGATCAAATGGAAGCGCTCGTGTACTATTCAATTCATCCACGATGATATAGCGAGTGCCTAGTCGGTTTAGGCGACTGGTGATTTGTTGATCAGGCAAGTGAGCGTCAACCGGCACACAAGTTCCTCCCGCATAGATAATGGCCACCTGGGTAACTGCGTCCCAGACTCCATGATGAACGACGATTCCAACACGTTCTTCAGCCTTGAAGTCTTTCTCATGGAGAGCTCGGGCCAATTTTATGGCTGCCCGGTGAAGCTCTCCATAGGTTAGACTTGTGCCGTCCTCATGGATAACTGCCTGGGCATCAGGGTTCTTGAGCACCTGTTGGTGAAACAGTTGACCCAAACCCTTGTCCGAAGAGACTGCAATCTCGTACTCAGACGTTGATAGTTCGATTGATCCCATTATGTGATGTTGAACAAAGAATGAGATAAGGTGAATTTTCTGTTGGTAGATCAAGACATGAAAAATACTTTTCGACTTCAAATAGCAGACAGGCTGAACCCTTAAACGCATGGACTGTATAGCTTCTCCCGTCGGATCCGCACCGGTACCTAGATCCAGCTGAGCAGACTACAGTGGGTCTAGTATCCCTAGTAGATCATGCAGTTGAGGGTCTCAGTGACGGGAAAATATGTAATCTGCGAATTGCATGCGGATATGACCGATATCTGCTGTACTACCAAGCCCCACGAAGACTGAGAAGACTACATTGTCGCATGATGTATGTGTCAGAACTAGTATGTTGGATCAAGCCTCTTCTAGACTCTCAAAACAAGAAAATTATACTGAAATGATCAACCTCGCGTCATACTGACTCCTTGCAACCGCAAGGAACAGGGTCTACAATACTGTATTTTGTATGATGTGCATGATTGATGCTCATTAATTGTATTGAAACCATTGCTAAGACACACAAACATTGCAAACCTTTCCGAAGGAATGCTCCTCTTATTAGCCTAGCTTAAATTCTTTGCGAATATCCGAGGTTCCCCGAGGCTAACTTTCATCTGCACGTTTTTTGGCTGAGTTGATGACTATCTCGTCAAGCTTAGAATCAGTTGATCGAATGATTGCAGGTAATGAGCTAGATCTGAGTCTCTTCATCGCTATATTTGCCTTGTTATGTCATGGCTGAGTAGCGCTTTCACTCATTGAATGGTTTCCCTCACTTTGTGTCATCATAATTCACAGACATGACGTGTCTTTGTCAGTTCCACTCTACGACAGTCTTAGAATTATCAACAACAGCCCTATTTGGCGAAGAACTTGCCACATGTACATGATGCGCTTGTATGCACAATATATTATGATCATCCTCTTTTTTCTTCGTTAGGCTGGCTGAAGATCTGCTAGGGGGTGCTTAGAACATTTGAATTTGCTTTTTGTCTGTTTGTTCTAGCCACTGTGACGAGTTTATCGCGACTTGCATGTGCATGTAAATATTGATCTCCTCTTACGCTAGCCCACAGTGGGGCCACCTCATTATGCAAAGTACGATTGATCTTCAAGAAAAGTGAAACATGCATCAAGCATGAAGAAGACCGAGGCTCAGAAGATAGCTCACATGTGCGGAGCTGTGCCCTACGCGTATTACGTCGCTCCTGGTCTTACACGGACTTCACTCTAAGAAATAGAAATTCAGTCCGATCCTTAGTCGGCATGTTTTATGGTTAAGACCACCACGTTACCATTCTCCGAAACAAAGACGCATCAATCTACTTTTCTTCTCTTCAGTTAAAGGCTTCTATTACATTCCCAAAATGACTGTGACTACTCCTCTTGTGACTATTTTCGGCGCGACCGGCAACCAAGGTGGTGCTGTTGCTCGTTCACTGCTGAAAAATCCTTCATTCAAAGTTCGGGCACTTACTCGAAACCCCAGCTCTGATGCGAGTCAGGCACTGGCATCCCAGGGTGCCGAGATTCGACAGGCAGATGGCTTTGACAAAAAGTCTATGCGGGCTGCGTTTGCCGGTTCTTGGGGCATTTTTGTCAATATCAACTCGGATGACAAGGTAAGAACCTTTATCTGCACTCGAACATACGCTTGTAGAGCTCAGCTCACGAGACATTTAGTCGATCAAGGAAAAGGGTCTTACAGAGTTTGACTTGGGCAAGACCATTGTCGATGCAGCGGCAGAGGCTGGTGTACGCCATTTTATCTTCAGCAGTGGGCCCAACAGTCTTGAGATTACCAATGGGAAGGTCAAGATGAATGCTGCGCAGAGTAAGCCATCCTTGGCCAAAGCTGGACTCATACTGATCTTGGCTCAACAGACAAATACGACATCGAGCAGTACATTCGAGGTGTTGGCTGTTTCGAAACAGTCAGTTTCATATGTGTGGCATGGTTCCTAGAGAATTTCTCCATCAAAGAGATCGCACCTATCTTTGGTGGTTTTCCTCATCTGCCCGATGCAGAAGGATATTTGACCTTTGTTGCACCCAAGTGGGGTGGCAAGGAAGACGTACCCTTCCTCAGCGTATCAGATGACTTGGGAGACATTGTTCATGGCATGTTCTTGGATCCTTTGGCATGCAATGGCAAGATTGTTCATGGCTGCAGCGATATCTGCAGTATGAACGATGTCACCTCATGTTTTGAGAAGGTTTCCGGTCGCAAATCTCGCTATCAGCCGCTTGGGTCCTGGGAGGAATTTAATACTCACGGGGTCCCGGAATTGGAGGATACCAAGATGATGTTTGGAATGACACAGGAGAGCGGGGGGCGGTACTTTGGACCTGAGGCCTCGGAGAAGCGAACTGCAGCGGAGCTCAAGAAAAAGACTGCAATGGCTCTGAACATTTCCAAGGAGGACCAGGACTTGATTTCAGTTGAGTCCTGGTTCCGTAAGTATTCTCCTTCTTGGTAATTCAAGGCGATCTACCGACCCCCATTTCAATGTTGAGGGGTTTTGTGGTCTAAGACTGGTGCAGATCAGGAACAAAGCCACACCGCCGGAAATAACTTCCCAGGTGCTAGTACGAAAACCAAGTTGATTGAAAACTAAGTAGATCTCCTGGTTGTATATATGGCCTCCCTCGGTCTCTCTCAAGTAAGAACAATCCACCTTTGTCTGAATTACCAGATTACAGAGGGACGAATCGCATAGCTGTGATATGGTTGACCAAGCTCGATCTCATTGACAGCAGGGAGTTATTATGTAATATAAAATGCAGAACATAACTGGAGGTTCAGGTGCGGGGGTGAAAATATACTGGTTGTGTTGCCCGACTGTAATACAAGCTACTCGAAAATTGGTATAGTTGGTTAAGTCGTGAATAAAATGTGTAAGTCATTCTTTGTATCGTTGGGAATTTCTATCTCCGTCGCCCAGTCTTGCGTATAATACCGGTATGCAAGTCTCTAGCAATCCTATGCAAATATATGTCAAGAATGGACGATCATCATCACTCCAGCCTGTCAGGGTTTTTTCACCCCAAGAACTTAACAAAAGAACTCATAGAGCCTTAGTAAAACCTCAGCCTATAGAGCCCAGATTGATGATGCAAGGGCAAACAAAAGCTGGAATTCGGCAATGAAGAGTATTCAAGGCCTCTTTATTCTATTCTCATGCGGGTTCCTGGATCGAGGCAGGTTTCCGAAAACTCACTCACGGGTTTGCTGACTAAGGCACGGCCCGACCCGGGTTTTTCTTGGGCGAAATATGGCAACGTGTAACCAAGACTAAAGACAAAAGGCTGGTGTCGTATGGAATGCAGAACTGATGATCTTGTCCATAACCCAGTTCCTTGAAAACTTGGTTTTGTGGAACCCAAATGTGTCCATCTTATCTATCCAATCTGATGTTTGACCTGGTGCACTAAGGTATTGAGGGGCGTTTGCCTCGTTGGTGGCAAGGCAACTCCACAACGGTCTCAGTGATCAGCCACCAAAGATCTCAGCCGAGCTACTCCTTGCTGAAATCATAAATAAATTTTTTTAAAAAAAAAAATAAACAATAAAAAATTAATCATAAATCATAAAAATAAAAAACAAAAAAGGAAAAAGGAAAAAGAGACTTTTCGGGCAGGGAGATCTAGATTACATCCTGCACGATCTGCTTCCAGCACTAGTTACTGCACTATGCAAATGATTAAGATTTTTCTCAGCCCCAAGCATCAGGCGCATATACCTGATTTGGTTCTGCACGTCCATTCACACCGACGGCTACATTGTTCATTTAAAAGATACACCGATCGTCAGCCTGTGACCATAGTACTAAGCACTATTGCCGATCAGGCTTCTCAGACCCACACCCTGCAGCATGATTCGATATGAACTCTTTTTTTTCTGCTCCATATAATCCGTTCTTACACATGGAACGATAATGAAGTGAACACTTGTTACCCCTGCTCACCGTAAGGACACCGTTAATGCTCTATCAAGCGACAAGTCAATTACATTTGGACTCGAATTCTCTTAGCTTGTCGTGTTGACTATCTTGATCGTTCCACAACATGACTATTTCGGAAATAGTGACCAGCGTCCTTATTGTTGGAGCTGTAAGTATTGTCTCCGGCACGCACAATTTTGGGCGATAATGTATTGACCGTAAACTTTAGGGTCCAGCAGGGTGAGCGATTTTGTTATTGCTGTTTTTGCATATGGAATGAGGCATAACAGGGCTAACGTTGACATTGTTCGTCTTAGATTATGTGCTGCACTATGGCTGGCGCAGTTAGGAATCGACTTTCGAATTGTGGACAGAAGATCAGATCAGCCAAGAAAAGGACAGGCAGATGGGTAGGAACATCTTGTAACAAGGCCATTGGAATACACCACGTTAACGAAAGACTGCAGGCTCAACCCAAAGACCATGGAGATTTTCGAAGCGTTTGGCATTCATGAAAAAATCACAAAGCGCTGGGAGCCTGGCACAGATGAGATGTTCTGGGTGCGAGGGAAAGATGGGGAGTTGACAAGGATGGAGAGACTGCGTAAAAAACATCCACATGGGGTCCGGTGTGTATTGACGCACTGAATGGGATAAATATTTACTGAGACATAAGTACAGGTGGACACATGGAACATTGCAGCAGGGAACAGTTGAAGAGATTATGAAGAAGCGAATGACCAAGATCTCGGGCATCACTGTCGACTACGACACATCGCTTTCCACTTTGGATATTGATACTTCTCGGGTTGGTTCCTTGGAAGCCTACCCCTGCACCGTTTTGCTTCAACAAGAAAGTGGTGGTGTTCCACAAAAGAAGCTAGTACAATCAAAGTATGTCATCGGGGCGGATGGAGGAAAGTCTACAACTAGAAACCTCCTGGGATTCGACATGCAGGGCGAGCGAGGCTCTTCGGTCTGGGGTGTTATGGACTTTGTAGGGCGATCTGACTTTCCAGAGTTAGTGGTTAAAAGTCTTGATTTGCTTGCTTATGGAATACTGACTTTCAACACACCAGCTTCGGGGCAACGTCAATTATCCGAAGTGATGTCGACGGAGCCGTCGATTTCGTTCGCCGCGAGGACGGTTTGGTACGCATGTATGTGGAACTGAATAAGGGACCCGAATGGGAAGGGCTCGACAGAGACCAAATCACCGCTGAACTCATCATCAAAAAATGCCAATTTTTGCTGCGTCCGTACACCGTAAGTGATCAAGGCCTCTCTCTCCTTGCCAGTTTTGCTAATTTGTTTCTTTTGGTCGATTGAATCAGTTGCATGTTGACGAATGTGTTTGGTAAGCCTGCTAGCTGGGATTACAACTGATTTAGTGTACTAACTTGCTGTAGGTGGTCAGCCTTTACAGCAACACAGCGACTCAGCAGTGGAATGAGCAGACATCGCCGCGTTTTCCTCGTTGGGGATGCAGTCCACACACACTCTCCTCTCACTGGAATGGGAATGAATACAAGCTTGCAGTAAGACTATGGAGCTCAGATCTCATTGAAAAATATTAATATTAAGCCAGGGATTCATACAATCTTGTGTGGAAGCTTAGAGGCGTCATCAAAGGGCAGCTCAAGCCAGAAATTCTCGATACTTACGATACCGAACGCCAAGTCGTTGCGAAGCAGCTACTCAATGCCGATCGAACATGTTTGGATTTATTTGAAACTCCCATCGGCTCCGAGGCCCCTTCCATTCTGGAGAGAGCGGAAGAACTGATAATATTTCTTGCGGGGCGAGGTATTTGCTATTCTGACCCGCTCTTGACGTCGCCATCTGTTCGACAGATTGGATTGAAACCTGGTGAGAACCTGCCAGAGCAGGAACTCTTCAATCACGCCACTGGAAGAGCTACTCATCTGCACAATGCTCTCAAGGCAGACGGGAGTTGGTGTCTCATTGTTTACGCCGGTGACGCATCGTGCGTCAATCAAATGAAGCACATCCACGCATGGGCGGCGGAGCTGGACGCTGCGAAGAAAGATCCCTCACTAAACGGTTGGGAGATGATAAACACTTTTCTGGTGCACTGTGCGCCGTGGATAAGATAATTCTGGCGGAATTCCCTGCAATCTTCCCTCCCATGCATCGAGCGGCCGGTCAAGACTATGGGAAAATCTGTATTGATGAGACCAACGTCTATGAAGAGGCTGGTCTGAACCAGAAAACCGGCGGAGTTGTTCTTGTGCGTCCGGACTGTTATATTGGCTGGGTTGGCACATTGAGTGATTTTGGTGGCCTCAAGGAATACCTTTCGAGGATATTTCAGACTGGGTCCAAAATTCACGATGCACACACAAGTGCCTAGATAGTACAAAGCAGCTGTCCCAGACAATGCAATTGTTTTCTCTGTGTTTTTTATTCAATGCAAGTGGTTAGATTTGAAATTACAATAAGATCAATGAAACGTTGCAAAAATGATTGACACGGAGAAGAGGCGCCATTGATACATCTCCACTAGAGAGTGGCATTTTACCACTAAGCCCAGCTCACTCAGCCCCCTTCAAATAAAACCTATGTTTCGTTTGGTAGCCCAGAGTAGCTCGGGATACCCACTGTATTCGCCAAGATTGGTGTGGATATAGAACCTCGACACATTGGTTTACTAGATCAATCGATCAACTGACTGCCTCATGGTGATTTCCCTTAGTACTAGCCCGTACGAGTATCTCTGCAATCCGACAATGTATCTCACCAAGTGACTACTAGCAAGGCTGGTATGAATTTTGAAGACCAATATTGGCTTACGTGGGTCTGCACACGTCAACCCCTTTGCCATGTATTTGACCTGGTGGATTTGAGCAGATACTTGGCAGGTGACCTACGCTGTGTTAATAGGAAAGGTATCTCATTGGTGAATGAAAATTCACTCGATCGAACTATGTAGTTTGTGTCTGCTTCATCCGTATCCACGAGTTCAATTCACTGAAACTCCCTGCACAGAGATACCTTCCTTGGTTTCGCCCGCAACAGAACCTGACTTGTGGGCTCGGCAACAAAATGATCCTTCCAGCCTAACTTCGGAGGAATAGGCTCACAGAGTTTCAAGTCCAGGTGATAGAAAAGACTAGCCAAACACAATTGGAGCTCCAGTTGAGCCAGACTAGTGCATCTTTGTTAGTTTTCCTAGTAAAACTTGCTTGGCTTGCAAGGGTCCCTACTTTATTCCAATACAAGCCCGGCTTCCTCGGCTGTAGGGGTTGAGATATCGGTCTGGGTCTGTCCTGTCATCGCGCAGCCATCGCTCAGGTTTGAAGATCTCGGGTTCCGGAAAAATTTCCTCGTCGAAATGCATCGAATGATGAGTCGCGGATATTACCGTCTCGATCGGAATCAGCATTTCGGCCAGATTTCAAGGGAGGCAAAACGTACACCTGGTGGAATAAAATAGGACCCGATGTGTAACCCTTCCGAGGGAACGACCCGGGGTAATGGCCCAGGAAGAGATGGCCAAATACGGTGTGCCTCCTTGATGACCGCATTCTATTCCATGATCAGCGGCAGAAATACACAAGTGAGGATATTTGGGCCAGAAATCACCAGATAAGTCAGCTTTCCCACTTTCCGCACAATGCTTTCGGTGCTCTCGGAGCCCCATGTCAAGGAGCTATCCAGCTCTTCTCTAAGCCTATCCTCCACGCCTGGGGTTTGAAGTATGTAGTACACTGCTGCTGCCAGCGTTCGTCCCGCAGTATCGACTCCAGCATCAATAAAAGTGAAAGCCTCTGCAGTGAGATAATCAAGCTTCGGGGGTTTCCCCGTTGTTTCGAGACTGTGGGCCATGAGTATCTCAATTACTGAAGAGCGACTGCGCTCAACATCACTGCGCAGGGGCTTCTCCATCCTTGATCGCGTATAGTCTTCACATGCCTAGAAGATTGACACGGAATTTGATTAGCTCATTGCGAATGAATAATTGTATGTTGTTTCATAGAGTCGACTGCAAACCTTCTTGAAGCTCAGAACACCAGCTGGGGTTAAACGGTCTGCCAAAAAGGATGGCACGATGCTGCTAAGTGTTCCCATATACGGGAAGAACCTTACTGCAAATCCATTAGTCTTAGGAAGAAGCCATGATAAAGGAGGACGCATGTGCGTTTTGTTACTGAGTACTTACGCGTGGGAATCATGCCAGAGAGCCCGTCTATGGTTTCAAGAAGTTCAGGCTTAGCCTCTTCATAATCAACCAGATCTTTGCAGTCACCGAGCAGTGTTTTCGCCACGATGTTGATCTCATTTAATGTCAACTCAGACTCACGGGGCTTTGAAGATGATATAATAACTCACCCCAAATACACGGAAGAGGTCGCTGACGTTGCAGGATTTTCCCTTGTTTGAATGCCGAACCAAGAAACTTTCCAATTTCTGAATTTGAGTCAAAATTCCAGGAGCATCAGCCTCCGCTGCCTGTTTGGAAAAGCGCGGACTGAGTGCTTTCCTTCGTGCCTTGTGCTCGTCTCGGTTGCTGAGAGAGAAGATGGAGCCGTCATTGTCGGCACACGTGTAGAAAACATGATCCTTTTCGAAGTTGGTGCCATTGCGAAATACTCTGGGAATAGTCAGAGAAAGTATACACGCGATCAGATTCACGGGGACAAACGTTTCGTATGCGTCGATGTCCTTGATATGAACATGGCCAGGTCCGACTCGGATGACAGGTGAACCTGTACAAGGAATTAAGAACTCCCTAGTCCAGCATAACTCAATAACAGAGCGACTTACCATATTTCTTATGCAAATCAGGATATTGCTTACACCACTGACCATCCAACCAGATGTTCGTATAGAATTCATACCAACCACAAAGTTTGGTGCTCCATGGTCCGGGAACGTGACGAAGGGGGTGGAATAAAAGCAGATAAGTTATTCTGTGTACTCCAACAACCGCAAAAAAGCAAAGCAAAGCCCAAAGCGTAGAAGATTTGAAGGGCTGCTGTGGGGTCTCACTCATAGGTACGATGGTTTCCATTGTTTTCTGCTAACAAAGTATTTGGAAAGCTCTCAAGGTAGAGAGATCAAGTAGGTCAAGCTACTTTGAGAAGCAGCCGGTGAGCCCTGAGATCACTTTCTCAGCCCAAGAGGACAACTGAGCTTCACTGATCGGCAAGGCAAATCCGGTGCGACCCACTCCCCTACGCTATCGGCCGCTAACGAATGATTGGCCATCCGAAGTCCCATCTTCCTTGACGCCATCGGACTGTGCATAGATCTAAATGGGATAAGATTGTCTGGAATTACGGCCACGCATCGGAAAATCGCATTAATCTAAAGAAGGGTCAAGAAAGATGGCAGTCACTCAGTAGCTGCATACGAAGATAAAAAAGCAAATATAGCCTAGCTGAACGCACTTGTGGAGCAAACAGGAGCTATCAAGTAAGCTAACGCACAAATTTGATCCACATGAGCCCTTGCATTATCTGCATTTTGCAAATACTGAACTTTTCTTTAGAGTCATGCACCATGCATCCTACCACGATGCAAGGGCTCCACGCATGCTGCAGAAAGAAAAACAAAAAAACTATGGACTGCAAAGAATTGAGAATAGTTGCCAGAAAGCGGTGCTCTAGGAAAAAGGACATGATGAACGAGGTACATCAAGTTTTGCATGCTGCATGTACGACCTAGGCAATACGTGTCAGATGGTCGCATTGATTATTTGTCTGCAATGTCCGGCAACCGACTCTACAGGTTACATGTATACTATTTACTCAGTCTTAAACTTGAAACAACGATTCAAAGCTATTTAATCCTTCTGGAGAGTCCTTTCATTGCCAACTCATTACCGCCAAAATGAGAGACGCTTGCATGTTGCCATTCACGAAGGAGCAGATAGTTACTACAGGTGACTACTGTGAGGCATACAGTTCTAAACTACCGATATCAATTCTGGAGCAAATCCACTTTACGGACAAGCTGTCCCAGGATGAGGTCGTCATGGCGCCATCCCCATCGCAGTGTGCGTGGCTGATGGGCTTCACCCAATCTCTAGCCCCTAAGCGAAGTAAGCTCTTTTCATTTCTATCAAGGGAATTTCACTAAAGAAATGATCAGTCCTCGAACTTGGCACCTTCACTGGAGTCAGCGCTCTCGCCTTCTATGAGGCTTCGAAGAAGACCGAGGCCGAGATCGTGAGCATGGACATGTCGGAAAAATACCTCGGGTATGCCCAGGAAGCTTTCCGTCGCTATGGTGCTTCGGATCGTATCAGCACCGTCCAGGGACCTTGCCTTGAAATGTTCGTATTCGTTCCATTTCCGTTCCGGTAATTTCATGGATGAGTTCTTATCCTCAAATCAAATTCTAGGCTCCCTACTTTGACTGGTCAGTTTGACCTGATCTACATTGATGCGGCAGAGGAAGAATATGAGGCCTACACCCGCTACATTCTGGACAACAAACTTCTTTCTCCGCGTGGAGTGATTCTGGTGGACGATGGTATGTTAGAATGAAATATCTATTATAATCAATACTGATTTCTATGGTAGTGCTTCTGGAAGGTCTGGTAGTTGACCGATCAATTGCGGAAAAATTTCCCAAACACATTCAAGAGCCATATCTCGCAATTGCGGACAAAATGAATGAGTTCAACAAGTACGCGGCCTCTGAGCCCCGCGTGATTACGACCATGATCCCTATCTTCAATGGCGTCACTCAAATCATGTGGAAGTAAAAGCTGAAATGACTGAGGCGCAAGAGCAGCAACTCATCAATCTTATTTAGGGGATAGGGAACGGAAATTTTGTCCTAAGTTTAGAGCTATCATAGTGCCTCTTAATTGAATTGTCTGATCACATCACTACCTCATATGTTAGACTCTGTGAAGCAGAATGAAATGTCTCAATAGACCGTGTATAGCCTGTTTCATGAGCTCCGAAGAATCACATCTGATAATGCGAGAGCCGAGCAGCATTACTGCAATGGTTTAAAAGCGGAGATGCGTCTGGCTTCCGATTATGGATCAGATTTCACATGCAGATGCCCTACAGATATCATACAATAGCTGAAGGCTTGGGGGCCCTGGGGGCTGCGAAGGAAGTGCGAAGAAACTCGATGACTGAAAAACTACTGATTCCATTCTTCTGCAAAGTGATAGGGAACAAGTTCTGGCCTAGTATAAAGCCTCGAAGATACGCGCGGGGCAAATATCGGGTCACTCTCAAGACGCTACATGTCCTCGCTCCGTAATGTAACACCAACCTCCCAAATCTCCGAATTGCGCCACGAGTAGATTAGACAAAGACCATCCGGGATCATGTAAGAAATCATCAGAATATTCACCATTTCCCGTAGCACACCACCCAATTCCTGATCGTAGAGACTCGTTTGACGAAGACTCGAAACCGCCACATCCAACCTCTTAATTCTCGTGGCGGACCAGCTCGAAGCTTTCATTTATCCTGAAAATGACCTCGTGCAAACTGACCGTTGATCTTGCTCAACTTTGACCACAATAAGGTGGCTATGGGGGCCGATTCTCCGCATGAATTTCCCTTCTGAATTCTGCTCTTCATGGTATGTGGGGTCAAGTTCCTCCCTATTCAGTGAACATTGCTAGACAGTGAACATTGGAGGAAGATAAGAGACTTTCCCTGGTAATTGGCAGAATATGGTAGCTGGAAGTGCCGGCAGACGTTGACCGATCTCTCAAGAGTAGACGTTGACTATTTGACCGTGGAAATGACTGAGACATCTCCAAATAACATCAGTGAAAATATCGTCTAAAAAAACATGAGACTGACTGTGTGCTTCTTTTTCCAAGCTTTGTTCACCAGTTCATCGTTTAAGTCTCATGTTTTATCTTTGAAAGATCAAAAGAATAGATCAATGGAGACACGTTCTCTAGTTCTTGGTCTTTTTTTTTCAAGAACATGGTACCAAGCCAGGCAATCTCAGTCCCTGGAATGTTGGTCTTCTCTCGGGCTACCTCGAGGTCTCGTCTAATCGTGACAAGGATCGCTCTCAAGTGTTCCTCGGAGCTGAAGTCACTCAATAAGAAGGATAATGAAGCCTATTCTTAATCCTTCCCTGCAGAGAGTAGCGAGAATTTGTGACGGGATGTCAAGGCTTGTGTCATGAACTACCATATGGAAGGCAAATATCCCCAGTATGAGCCCATGGGACAAACTTGATTTGGAATCGTATCACTGATTTCTTGGTCGAGTGATCTGTGACAGGAACCGGAACCACGATACAACTCTAATTGCAATCATGGTTCGCTTCATCGCTTGAAAGCGAAGCTTGTCGAAGAGAATGAGGGATGCAAATGTACTAGATGTCTCACTGTGCAGATGGGGATTGTTTGTAGTAGTTGTTCGCAGAGGAAAATCACTATAATCGTCCCAGGCCTATTCACCGACGGCTCCACCCATCATATCCTTGAGACACGGATGGTGGAGGCAGCAGTATTCCTGATTCTGCCTCCAATACAGAAACTTCCGCTTCAGGAGCAGTTAAAGTAAAAGAAATCATGCTTGCCGAGTATAACATTGGAAAGGTGTAGTCGGCCGGCGTATAAAACTTGCAAACTGGCTTACTTTGGTCATTGTGAACGAGATACGGGTAGCTTATAGTGAGAAATGAAAGCGAGGAGATGGTGTTCCAACCCCCTAGGAGCTTTGATGTTCAATGTTCATACAGTAACCAACCAATGAATTCAAATTTGACACCTTGCAGTCGCCATTGTTGAAGTTGATGTGCGAGCTACATGTTTGTAGCAAGGAATTAGCTGTCAGGATTCCACTGCATCTCCCCAGATAAGAATATGATACATCCAACTAAAGACATATCTCAATCTCCGTACACATAACAGAAATCATACGCCTTGGTACTCATCAATTCCCGCATCCTTTTCAAAGGACTCAACAAACCCCACGTCAACTCAGTATTCAAGTCCACCTCGGGTGTCGTAGGAGCATTCATGATAGAACTGGTCCCATTAAGGGCATACTGCCTATTTTCTGGGTCTTGCTCCTGCCAAAGTGTCCAAATTCGATCGACCATCGCGTGATGTAACATGAAGGTAGGCTCCTGTGGCGCTGTCCAGAAATCATCCATAGCCCGGCCCAGTTGCATATGTGCAGCCGCATGAGGTCCCATAATACCTGCATCACTGAGCGTTGGCCAAACACTCACATCAATATTGTGTTGTAGGGTAGTGATGTTTGGCGAAGCCAGTAAGCGATCCACGTCTTTCTGGCTCGTGAAAGCCTGAGACATGAAAGAGTTCAGATTGCGTGTTAGGCAATGCGGAGTGTAGGCGAAGGCATTGTCGGGAAACACGTCACCCGGTGCCTCGTCGAGATCGGGTAAATTGAGTGTATAGTTCGCGAATGGGCCAGTAGTTACGCAGCCACCTCCCAGTCCATTGGGAATTGTCACGTTGCTGGGGAATAGACGGATTGTCGATTCCCAGTCATCCTTGCGATCCCCATCGCCAGAGAGGCTCGTTTCGCTCCCATCGAAGAGTGGACTTGCGGACAGGTTGTTCGCGGACAGTGCCCAATTCCAATATCTAGAAAAATGGTCAGTGTATGTCATCTAAGGAGGGAAGCGTAGTACTTACGGCTGGTAGCCATTGTAACCGCATTCTTCTCTAATTGCCTTCTCCCACAGCCAAACAAATTGTCGATGCCAGCCGAAGAAAATGCCACTGATATGAATACTCAGTGTATAATTGATGTGAGTGCTGTTAAGAGTCAGGCGTAATTCTCAATCGCGGTTGAGGTGGGAGCCATACGCTGCAAAGTCATCCATCCGGTGGCGAACACCTGGGTATTTTTCTATTGACAGAATCGGCGGTTTTTGCCGCATACAATGGACGGCATCAATATAGTTGAGTCGCTCCTGCCTTGACAAAGAGCCCCTAATTTCCAAAGATTAGGCTGCGATTTGGTGACTTCACGAACAGGACTAACCATTCTCGTCGAACAGCCTGAGTACCAGGAGCGCAGCTCCGGTTCCATATGGCCAGAACCCAAAAAACCCAGTCAAACAACATCTGGCAGTAAACTCCCCTTCGGAGGAAACAGAAATTGACTCAAGGAGCAATTTGATCTAGGCCGACAATCATAGAAAGAATGTGAATTGGGTGCTATTTGAAGGGTAAACCTGGATCCGACTGGGTTCACCGGGTAATAAAGGGTCGTGAATGCCTCCAAATTACTACGTTGTCTTGAACCTGTCTTTGGTTGTGTAGCTCAACAAGTGGATCTACAGTATTATGTACTCAGTAGGTGATGATCGGCAAAATCAGTCTAAAGCAAACATGCATTCGCATCCAATATGCAATGCATAGCCAGCCGCTGAACACATCGTGTCCATTCCGTGCCGCTGCAAAGGGATGAGACACTCATACGTACATTTCAACCCAAATTATTTATCTATATTGGTGCATGTGGCGAGCTGCAAAGTCATGCGAATGAGTCATGGGAATGAGGGAGGTTTTTCAGAGCAATAATGGTTTCATGCATAAAATCAATAGCCTCAAGTGGCGTCCCCACGCCCGTGGAGCCCGAGGATCCACCAGGAGGCAAGGTTGAGTTTTTTTCTCAAGTTTAACCATTTTCAGGGTTCTTCTGCTTGGAAAGAATGTGAGGTGTCGCAAAAATTTCATGTTATAGACCGTCAATACCAAGATCTTGCGACTTCACGCTATCCGAACCGGGAATCGAGTAGAGTGTACGTGGCGAGCCTGACACGCAGTGTTCGAGCACCTGTATCGATGGTATTGTTCTGGTACCCTTAAACGCACCCTACTCATTTATTACGGTTAGATCTGTATCCATAATATTGGATCGTGACCTACAGAACTCCAGAACAATACAATTACTATACACATGCTACAAGATCGCGAGGAGGCCATGAGGGCGAAAAAGGGGTGACACTTAAGCTCTCCTATACGGTACAGAGCAGGAAAACTGCTTGGGTCCCTGAACCAACATTTGCGCACGGCTCGCAACCGGAGTTGCGGATTGCGATACTCATTAGTCGATTGGCGGAATTGGTGGTATGAAGATAGAAGATGGAAGATGAGAGATATGATAATGGATAGACTCTAGAGATGAAGCTATGGATCTAGATATCATGGAGGCTGAGGCAAGGATACGGTGAAGTGGGGCAGTATCCCAATTTAATGCGAACACCCCCCTCGCGCCGAGCGGGCTCCATAAAAGACACGAAGCTTCCTGAGGCTATTTGTAATAGCAATACGCCTCTCCCATTAGTCGAATCAAAATGTGGTTGGAATATTAATGTTAAAGTGTGTGTAGGCATATAAAGATATCAGGTTTGCTGTGGAATTGATGTTAGTCCTAATTGCTTCACGAACCGCTAAAAGAAGGTCGTCAGAAGTGGTTTGGTAAGGCTATTAGCAGCCTACTCTGCGGTAGGAACGTATTAAAAAAGGCAGTTATTAGACGTAGCCTTCTCCCGTATATAATAATATTTAATATCGATATACTTAGAGCGGGTAGTGAATTTATCCGAAGATACTAGGGTAATAGTGCCCTGATTATCCTTATAAATAAATGTCGGCCTTAGTACGAGGGCTTACTAGCCGAGTTCGGTAAGTATAAGTTAAATCTAGGATAGATCTTAGTAGCAGAGGTATACCGTAACGTATTTAGCCTCCGTAAAAGAGAGGGTAATAAGGGTTTACCTCTTTAATTGCTAGATAATTATAGCGCCGGCTAGTATAAAGATATAGCCGGTGATCGAAAGCCAATTATTGTTGTGCGGGCTTACCTATAAGATATCTATATAGGTAAATAAGGTAAGACTAACCGCGGGATAGTGGGAAAAATAAAGGTATAGACTCTTAGAGCCTTTTAGATACCGATAAATACGTTTAATAGCCTAGAAGTGCAGGGAAGACAGATTATATAAGTATTTCGTAAGCTTATAGACTACCTACGAGATATTAGGCCTAGTGGAGACTATTACCTATACTAGCGAGCCGACTTACTCTTAGTAAAGCTATACTATTTATAGGGAAGCCTAAGCACCGGGATCGCAAGGGAAAGAACCTCTTTCTTATTAAAAGGCGTATAAATAGGTTTAATAGAAGTAAAGGTAAAGTAAGATAGAATCTTATTAATATAGGCTTCCTACGAGAGATAGACGTCGCTAGCGAGGCGGACAATATCTATTGCTAGGAAACGCTTTATAAGACTATTATCCGTGAGCTAGAAGTGCTTCGAGAGGATAACCTTCAGTAACTTAATAGAACTAGTCCCTATTAAGGACAGAAGAAGTATATTATCTATATAGACGAGGATATAGATATATTTATTTATATAGGTAAAAATAGAGTGGTCAGTATAGGTACGCGTAAAGCTAAGAGATAGAAGAACGCCTTTAAGGGTATTATATCACTTAAGAGGGGCCTAGCGCAGTCCGTAAAGGCTACGTATAAGAAGACTAACTTTACCTAGGTGGTTATCCTTTATAATCTTAGGAAGTTTAATTTAAATTAATTCCTTTAGCTTTATATTAAGGAATATAGCCATAATATTAATATAATAGTAATCCTATAAATAAGCTATATATAAAGCTATAAAGACCTTAAAGCTTATAGGATAAGTAGTGATAGCGTAGATATTAAGGAAATCCCGGCCTAGAACCTATTAGAAGCCACGAACCACTAACCTAGTCTTATATATACTGTTATCCTTAATACGGAAGACCTAGCGTAAGGTAAGGGGCTTTCTATTACGTTCGCGGTTGATAATACGCTATATTCTATTATCTTAATAATTCTTTAACTCCTTATATATAGCTTAAAGCTATTTAGCTTTATCGAGGTAAGCTATAGCTTTAGTCTAGGTGTCCAATATATAAGGGTCTCTGGGGCGAGACAGTAATGACTCGTTAACCGCAGGAAGGACGGTATACGCTATAAGAATAGAAGATTCTTCTACCTAAAGCTTATAGATTTTAAGGGTATACTTCGCTGTAAGACGTTCCGACCAACGAATAAAGATATCTAGATAGGGTAGAACTACCGGTAAAATATCCTACGAAGGCTTTAAGGTAACGTCTTTATAATTATGAAGGACCGGGGAAGGCACAGAATATCTAGTGCCTAAGGCCTATTATTGCGAATCGAAGCCTACCCGTACGGGAATAGGTGGTGGTGCCTATAAATCCCATATGCCCCCCCCCCTTAATTTGTGCCTCCACTCCTTTATATCTGTATTAAAGGTATTTATAGAGGATATCGCTAATCGGTAGAAGGTAAGGATTAAGCTCGGGGGCGATAGATAGACGGTCTCGAGGGTACGAGGAAGACGAATTTCTAGCCTTATTACGGCGAAAAATATTAGTATAGTTAATAATTTCTTCCTCGTAGAGGTCCTTAAGGCCTTTAATATAGTTATTATCGAAGGTTTAGTTAGCATAATAATTATCACCAGAGGGGAGAAACTCAGAAGGGGCGAAGCGACGTCGCTAGCGCTCTATTTTATCTATATTTATAGCCTAATTAGACGAGGGCTTATAGATTGTATCCAGATTATACGACAGCTTCGGTAGGTTAGTAGGTAGTAGTTCCTGGAAGATAATATCGTGAGAGATAACGATCTTCTTACTTTTAATATTATATAGGCGATAAATACTATCGGTCTAGTAGGTAAGTAGGCGTGCTTCCGCTATATATAAATAAAGCTTAGTTTTACGGCGCTACGAGGGAATAAGATATTAGGCTTAATAGCCTAAGGCACGAAGGTTAGAAATATTAGGTTAACGTCTATATAATGCCTCGTACGGAGTTATTTCTATCTTTGAATACCAGAGACAGTTAAGGGTGTAGTTAACGCCCTAAATAAGTTCTCCCTAGAGATATCGCGGTAATTAGTGCTCGGTGAGCACCGTAATAAGTGGTTCGATAAGCTAGCGATTCTTAATCTCGGAGATACTATTTAATTAATAGGTATACGGCGGCGAGATATCCTAGGTAGTCCCTTTAGACTTAAGATAGGACTATAATAGACTAATAAATTCTTTGGCTTAGTCTCTATATATAGACTTAACTTAGTAGCTAAACTAGGTAAGAAGATAGCTTTTTACGACCTAGTAGAATTTAATAACGTCCGTACGGGCTTTTATAAGAAAGATCTAGCAGAAATAGGACGCCTTATCGGTAATAGATATAAAATAGGTCTCGCCTTCCTTAGTGATAATAAAAATAGGTCCCCAGATATTAATATATAGAGAGTCGCCTAGACGGACGCGGATAGATTTATTATCGCTATACGGAAGTTAATAACCTTTGCTAGCGAGGCAAAGAGGATATAGAGTTTTTAGGCGGAGCCTTTAATTAATTTAATACCTTCCGCGAAGGTAGGTATATAGCGAACGCGCTACTCACCTATATAATAGAAATATCGATATACGAGGTCTATAGAGATAGGTTTAACCTCTATAGATATAGCTTATATTACTAAAGCTATAGCGGACGTTAAGAAGGTTACTAAAGTATAGAAGGTCTCTAATTAATACTTAGAATTAGTTCGTAACCAGTAAAGATCGTTATTAGTGTCTCTATAGCCTACGACCTTACCGGAAATAACCTTAGTAAGAGTTATATAGTCCGAGAGCGTATAGGTAATACTATTGTCGCGGAATAAGGTACGATACAATATAAGGGAATTCTCGAGGTCCTTAGCGTGCCAGATATTCTTTAAGATAATAGAACTAATAATCTGGCTATTATTACCGAGCGTAATTAGGTTAACAGTGCTTAGGCCCTATATATAAAAATATTTCCTATTTATAGCCTTTACGGGGACTCTATAAAGGGTATACTTGTTGGGATATAAGGGGAAAGCTACCACGAAGCAGATCGTGGCCCCTTAAGTCCGTGGGATCAACCTTAGTCCGGCTGGGTCAGTCAGTGCCAGACAAAGGTGGAAGGTCAAAGGTCGTAGGATAGACTATAAGCAGATATAGCCTAAACGAAGGCAGAACCACAGTCCTGTGGATCAAAGGAAGAAGGTAGAGATAACTTTTGGAAAGTGGACAATGACTTGATTCTATCTGCTAGACAAGAAGGACGTATTTATAGGCTAGGATAGCCTAGAAATGACGTCTAGAATAACATACAAATGACGTACAAACACTAGGCAGCAACATAATGAAGGTGGCAAAGAAGGGAACCGAAGAGAAGCGAAAAGAATGATATCAAGGATCGACGGTCTAAGCCACCCTGAAGGCATCCCCGTAGGATCAGGCTATGCATGCCTAAAGGTGGACCATTTTACCCCTAAGGGAAAGTGGTCCGCCTATCCTTAAGGGGACCGAGGGTCGAAGTCTGTTCACCGGGGTCCGAAGACCATGGTCGAAGTCCGCGGGCAAGGCATGCCCGAAAGCACCCCCGAAGGAACGGACCATTCATGCCTGAAGGCGGACCGTTTACCCCTAAAGGAAAGTGGTCCCGCCTATCGTTCGGGGGAGGGCCGCGGACCAGAATCAGAAGTGGTCAAAACATCATTTTGATAGAAGAAAAATCTGGTCACGTGATCAATGCAATCTGGTCTTATATGTTGAATATAAGGATAGATCTTTCTATGTAGCATTGGTCTATATTCCAATAATACTTAATAAAAGTATAACGGTTTAGCGTTATATAATACGAAGCGCCCGAATCTAGTATCTAGCGAAGTAGATTTATATTAATATTCGCTATTAAGAGTGTAGAGATATCGAGAGAATCGATCTAAACACTAATAGTGTTAATAAATATATTCTTAGGGCTTATTAGAAGCTCCGCAGTCGCCTTTACCGTAGTAATATCTTTATTAAAGGACTTATTAGTATTTGCGGGATTAAGGAAGTATTACTCGGAGGTATATACTAACTTTTTATTATAGAATATATAGAACTATTTGCTTCGGCTACCCCCCCTAACTAGTAGAAGTTTGCGGAGTTAGATAACCTTACTATCGACCGGAATAGTCTTTCTGTTATCTCTATTAAGAACTAGGCTACTATAAAAACTATTAGAAAGTCTGATACTACGAGGCCTACTGCTAAGTACCTTTCTTTATTATATTAGAAGAAAGGGTAGGATATTACTTAGTGCTATTTATACGCTAGTCTTCCGTAATAGAAAAGTTAGTGAAGACGTTCTCTATAAGTCTAATATCCTTTAGGTCGAATTTATGAGTGCCCTAAAGCTATACTATAATATTAGGGTGATAGCTTATAGCACAGACGAATATAGAGAATTAAATAGCGATAGGGAGATACTTATTACCTAATACTTAGTCTACTTCTACGTAGGTATATTACTAGGCTACTATAAATAGTACGCTCTGTAGGCCTAGTTTATAGATAGTAGACTTAAGCTTTGCCTACTTAGTGGCGATAGTTTACTATATAGGGCGGCTATATAGCTTTTCGATAATTCTAAAGGCTTTAGAAGCGTCTTCAGTCTATTTAATATTGTTGGAGCATAAGGGGAAAGCTACCACGAAGCAGATCGTGGCCCCTTAAGTCCGTGGGATCAACCTTAGTCCGGCTAGGTCAGTCGGTGCCAGACAAAGGAAGAAGGTCAAAGGTCGTAGGATAGACTATAAGCAGATATAGCCTAAACGAAGGCAGAACCACAGTCCTAAGGATCAAAGGAAGAAAGTAGAACTGACTTTGGAAAGTGGAAAATGACTTGATTCTTTCTGCTAGAAAAGAAGGACATATTTATAGGCTAAAGTAGCCTAGAAATGACGTCTAGAATAACATACAAATACTAGACAGTAACATAATAAAGGTGGCAAAGAAGGGAACCGAAGAAAAGCCAAAAGAATGATGTCAAGAATCGACGGTTTCAGCCACCCCGAAAGCTTCCCCGCAGTATCAGGTTATGCATGCCCAAAGGTGGACCATTTTATCCCTAAGGGAAAGTGGTCCGCCTATCCTTGAGGGGACTGAGGGTCGAAGTCTGTTCACCGAGGTTCGAAGACCATGGTCGAAGTCCGCAGGCAAGATATGCCCGAAGGCACCTCCGAAGGAACGGACCATTCATGCCTGAAGGCGGACCATTTACCTCTGAAGGAAAATGGTCCTGCCTATCATTCGGGAGAGGGCCGCGGACCAGAATCAGAAGTGGTCAAAATATCATTTTGATAGAAGAAAAAATCTGGTCACGTGATTAATACAATGCTGATCTTATATGTTGAATATAAGGATAGATCTTTCTTTGTAGCATTGGTCTATATTCCAATACACCCCCTTCAGCTTATCAGAGCTTATAAGCTGAATAAGGCATAGAATTAGACCTATGCGTACATAGTCTCGAAGATCTAGATTTCGACAATTCTGTCTTGGGGATGATCGATAAACCGCTGGTGCTTCTGATAAGGCAAAGGCTTGGTTAGACCGTCCGCAGGCATAGAATTGGTCTCAATCCAGGCAATATCGATGTTTCCGGCCACTATTTCTTGTCGTAACCAATGGTGGTGGATATCAATATGCCTAAGCTTTGTGCGGAACAAAGAATTGACCTTAGTAAGGAGGTCCACGGTCTGTTTGTTGTCACAAAGGACACTAAGCCTTTCCTGATCTAGGTCTAGTTCAATAGACCTAAAGAGACGTTTCCACCACATCACATGCTTACTAGCTGATGAAATAGCAAGCAATTCGGCTTCTGTCGTTGATATCGTCACCGTCTTCTGCTTCCGTGCAATCCAGTCTATCGGACCATTGAATAGGTAGGCTATATAGCCTTCAGATGACTTTCGTCCGATATTGTCTGCATAGGATGCATCGCTTACACACACAAAGGTAGGACTATCAGACTGCACAGGGGAATACCCTATAGCCTTATATCTAGTGTGGTATAGATAGGCTATGGCTTTGTCTGCAGCGTCCATATGCTTTTCAGTAGGGTTCGTGAGATATTCCGAAAGTATTTGTGTGGCTTTTGCGGCATCAGGCCGTGTCATAATTGTGGCATAAAGCAATGATCCTATCTTCTGCTGATAGAGATGGATCATAGCTAGGGGAGTCTGGTAGTCCGAAGGTGGAGCGGGGAGCGGCGAGGGTGGAAATGGTGTTTTAACCGGTTTCAAAGGCGTTATATGGAATCGATGCGCAATTTTCTCAATATAGGCATCCTGGGAGATCCATAGCCTTTTCGTGTCCCTATCGCGGGTGATTCGAATGCCTATAAACCTCGTTGCCTCGCCTAGGTCTTTTATTTCATAGGCTTGCATGAGCTTGTCCTTAAGCTCATAGGCTTCATGTTTGTGCGTTTGGTGGAAGATGACTAAGATATCGTCCACAAATATCATCAAAACGACGTTTTTATAGACAAATAGGCACGGGTCTTCAGGAATAGGCACGAATCCAAACTGGGCCAGTTTCTGAAGGATTTCTTGCTGCCATAAAATAGGCGCTACCCTTAGACCATATAGGGCTTTGTTAAGCCGTAGAATGTAGTGTTTGCGGCCATATCCTTGGGGGAAGGCAACATAAACGGGGTCGTCTAGCTTGCTATTTAGGAAGGCATTTACTGCATCCAATTGTATGGTTTCAAGGTTAAATGCAGCAATAATAGTAAGAAGAGTCCGAAGGGTCCGTGCAGCAAGGGTAGTAGCCCTAGTTTCATCATTGCGGTCAACTTGGAGAATCTCCGCGGACACAAATTCTAGCTTTGAATTTGGCTAAATAGCCATTTTCATCCACTTTATAGGTAAAGACCCATCTAAGTGGTAGAACTTGGTGCCTAGGGCATCGGTGGGGCTTTGTAGACCATTTGTATGTCTTATGGTCTTCTTCAATGGTCTTTCGCTTCATGGGTGTCCATGCATTCATATTCTCAAGTTTCTGATATTCGATGTCTGCGGCTTGCATAAATTCGGCTTTATAAGGATGATTAAGCATTTCTTCCCATGATTCTGGTGGAAGGGGAAGATCGTCCTGATGCACCTTTTTAGGCTGATCTTTTATAGCCGCAGAAAAGGCATTATAAAAGGAAGCGAAGGCGTGCCGTTTATTTGATGAGTCAGGCGAGGAAGATCTGTCCCGTTTATGGTGGTCGTATTGATTCAACATTTCCTCGTTATAGGAAGAGTTATCAATTAAGACTATAAAATTAGGTGATTGGTCGGGAACACGTGCATCCGGGGTAAGGTCTTCGGCCGGAATAGTGATTTGGGACAATAAAGAAGGTTCAGAGGGAAGTGAGGCGTTTCCGACTTCTGGGTAAGGATAAAGTGAAGGGTCATTTACTCTAAAATTGCCCGAATAAGGTGCGTTTTCGGTCCCGTTTAGAGTAAGGTTATCCTCACTTTCGCATTGGTTTTGCCTCACTTCTTCTTCTTCTCTTTCTTCTGATTCGTCTGGGGAAGGCGGTAGGTCGCCGAGGATTTGGTCTTCGTAGTCATGCTCCCTATTTTTAGGTTTTTCAATATCGTCATTGGACAATAGTTCTTCAATGTCGTCATCGGACGATAGTTCTGGTTCGTCCGGTAAAGGCCGTATCGTCAAAGGATTATCGAGAGGCTCTTCAATGCTAGTCTCGGAAATGACTAGGTTGAATTCGTGTGTTGATAAAGGCTGGATAGCTTCTTTGGATTGGTCGTCTATCACATCGTATGCCGAATTTGGTTGATAGAAACTATTCTCATCAAACACACAGTCTCTTGCATTAAGAACCTTATGGGCCTTAGGCACCCATATTCTCTATATATTGGATGCTTTGAAGCCGACAAGGTAGCCTATCATTGCTCTAGGCTTCATCTTTGCGAGACGAGGGATATTATTGATCCTCACAAAGGCTTTGCAGCCATAGACCCGTAGATTCGACAAATCAGGCTTTGACTTCATATAGCCTGGTTTAGGGTCTAGGCTTTCAAATAAGGCCTGGTAGGGTGTCTTCCACCCTAGTTTTTTATTCGGGGTTCGATTAAGCACATAGACCGCGGCTTGGACTGCTTCAGGCCATAAATATTCAGGTAAGGATGCCTGAATGATCATAGCCCTAGCCCTAGAGATAATGACTGCACCAGACCTTTCTGCAAAAGGGTTTTGCTCTGGTTGATAGGGCGGTGAGGTTTTGACCTCAATTCCTTGAGTCCGAAACCTATCCTGGTGGATATTGCGGTCCCCGTCTAGGTGGATGCGTTTGATGCGGATGCCGAATTGGGTAAGGACAAAATCAATCATTTGCTGCAATGATGATTGGATCAGGTGTTTTCTTGCAATAGTGACTAATAGGTGGTATTTCGTCACTGGACAATACGCATAGCTTGCATAGTGGATATTGTTGATTCCAGGACCCAAATGAATAAGGTCCCAATGCATTGTTTCGAACGGGTGGTCTCCAATATGCATAGGACGTCTAGACACCTGTCTTTGAGCCTTAGAGACTAGGCATGTCTCGCAAGGTGGGTTTTTCGGCCGAAAAATGGTCTACCTCCACCCCTGTGGTAGAGGCTTCTAAATGCTTGATTGCGTCGATGCTAGGATGACCTAGACGCTGGTGCCATAGGCTGTCTGAGCCTTTGAGGATAGCCGGATCATAGGATGATGCAAATGTCATAGGCTCGTCCTTAGGCTTCGGATTAGGCTCGCAAGTGTCGTTTTTCGGGTCGGATTCCCCTCAATGGGTTGAATAGGCTTTGTAGTCGTATTCAAAGCCGTTTGTAGATGGAGCGAGGGGAGCCGGGGGAGCCGCGCCCCTTTTGCATCGACTCATTTTTTGCCCTTAAAATAAGGGTAATACCTGTTTCATCCGAAGTCTTGCAGATAGGCGTCCCATTTTTTGTCTCAAGCCTATCAAGCCTTTGATTGTGGTAAACACCCCCTTTCTTGGCCCTTTTTGCTGAAAGGATATTCAAATGGAAGCGAGGGACATATAGGGTTTCATAGAGGTCGAAAGTGGTGTTTTCGAAGCGAAGATAGACTAAGCCTTTTCCTTTTATAGAAGCCTTTGTGTCACCGATTAGAAGGTCTCCTTCATAGGGCGCAAAGGTGACGAATTGAGAACGATCATTGCAAACATGGGTGTCTGCGGCCGAATCATATATCCACAAATTAGACCGTTCATACTTAGAAGCTAGGCAAGTGACTATACCCATATGGGTGTCGGACTGGCCCTGCTTATGCTTCTTGATAGCATTGTCGTAGGCTTATTTAAAGCCTGAATAGGTGCATGCTTGTTTAAAGCGGTCAAGGACTGTTTGGTCTGGTTTCCAACCTTCTGTCCTTATTGAAGGGTTGATATAAGGACAATCACTGAATGTGTGGTAACCATCATAGTCGCCCCCTTGACATGGACAGGGCTTTTTAGTCTTCTTGCCCTGGCCCTTTTCTGATTGTCCTCGAAAAGTGGCATTGACATAAGAGGCTCGTTTAGGCGGAATAAGCCTAATAGAATCCCTATACTTCTTTGTCAAGGTAAAGAAGTCAATAGAGTCTATTTGGCCTATAGATTCAAGCCGATTGATCTCATTATGCCAGTATTCGGCGAAGGAGGGAGACATAGAGGCTAGACTATCAAGGAAGTCCAAAAGTGGTCTAGTCTTTGATTGGACTTCACTAATACCCAATTGGACAGCCTCTATATAAGTGTTCTCGCATTGTGAAATCCATGCATCTATGGTCAAAGAGTGTGGAATTCGGTGCATTTGATGGTATTTCTTAATGACCGACCGCTTTCGGGCTTCAGTGGTCGGTGCATAACGCTTTTGGAGGGTTTACAAGGCTTCATAAACTGACGGTAGGTGCTGAATAATAAGCTTGCTTGAATAGGAGATCGATGATTGAATGATAAGGTAGATCTGAGAGATAGCACCCGAAATACGGTCATATTCGCGAAGGTCAAGTTCATAATCTCTTCGTCTGTCTCTCCACCTTTCACGCTCGTTTGTGGTCAGGTCTTCATCGGTAAGGGCTTTAGGGTTAATATCAGTAGCCCTAGGACGAATAGGATAAGAAGGAATATCCCTCTTTATTGGATTGTCGGGGTCAATATAGTCCTATACGCCTTTTGCAATAGCATAAGACTTAATTTAACCAATCCAGAGATACCAGTCTGATGACTCAGACAAGGTTACACCTATCTTGCTTATATCGGTTATAATAGGCAAGAAGGTAAGGACAAAGTGAAGACAAAGTGAAGTCAAAGTGAGAGCAAAGTGCTCGTCGATAAGCCGTGAAGTAGGCTAGAAGTCGAGAAGTCGTCGATAGCTTTGGATCACAAGTCTTATAACTATCGGGTATAAGACCGCAGCAGAAGAACTGGTCTTCAATAGAAGACCGCAATAGATATTAAAGGGAAGCGAGATCCGGGCTCATAACTGTTGGAGCATAAGGGGAAAGCTACCACGAAGCAGATCGTGGCCCCTTAAGTCCGTGGGATCAACCTTAGTCCGGCTAGGTCAGTCGGTGCCAGACAAAGGAAGAAGGTCAAAGGTCGTAGGATAGACTATAAGCAGATATAGCCTAAACGAAGGCAGAACCACAGTCCTAAGGATCAAAGGAAGAAAGTAGAACTGACTTTGGAAAGTGGAAAATGACTTGATTCTTTCTGCTAGAAAAGAAGGACATATTTATAGGCTAAAGTAGCCTAGAAATGACGTCTAGAATAACATACAAATACTAGACAGTAACATAATAAAGGTGGCAAAGAAGGGAACCGAAGAAAAGCCAAAAGAATGATGTCAAGAATCGACGGTTTCAGCCACCCCGAAAGCTTCCCCGCAGTATCAGGTTATGCATGCCCAAAGGTGGACCATTTTATCCCTAAGGGAAAGTGGTCCGCCTATCCTTGAGGGGACTGAGGGTCGAAGTCTGTTCACCGAGGTTCGAAGACCATGGTCGAAGTCCGCAGGCAAGATATGCCCGAAGGCACCTCCGAAGGAACGGACCATTCATGCCTGAAGGCGGACCATTTACCTCTGAAGGAAAATGGTCCTGCCTATCATTCGGGAGAGGGCCGCGGACCAGAATCAGAAGTGGTCAAAATATCATTTTGATAGAAGAAAAAATCTGGTCACGTGATTAATACAATGCTGATCTTATATGTTGAATATAAGGATAGATCTTTCTTTGTAGCATTGGTCTATATTCCAATAAATATATTATATTAGGTTATAATCCAGATAAGAGACGAAGATATCGAGGACTATAAATATAAGAGCTTCCTACTCTTAAAATTCCTTATTTAGTTCTTCGTAATACTCACGAATATAGTCCTCGAGCTCCTCTATAGATAATATATTAGGTAAGATAGTTACCGACGGCTTATTATCTTTATAAGAGCCTAAAAGAGAGCGTGGTCGTCGTCGATACTTACGTAACGCCCTATTATTATGTTCCTTTACGATATACTCACAAAGGGTACGCTCGCTAGGGACAGTGCAATAAGAGGTAAATTAGGGACGATCCTTACCGATAAGGATCTCCTAGTGGCGTACACCGCGAGACTTAAGAGCTCGCTTTAGCTTAAATAGCCAGTTAGAATAGTTTTGTGAACCTTTTAGCTTCCCTATACGGTCAGTGATCTTGCCGTAATCGTCCGTAGCCATATTAGCGACAGAGAGATATAAGAGAGACCGGGGAAGGTACCTAAATAAAGGTCTTTGATGGGAAATACCTCTGTTAGAGGTCGTTCAGTAACAAGAATACCTTCGCACGACGCTCGCGACGGCGAGGTCGGCGACGGCGAGGTAAAAAAGCACTGGTGAGGGGTGTTAGACTATAATTAAATAGCCTCAACAAGGCAGAGGGCTCATAACCTATAAAGATAGAAGATGGAAGATGAGAGATATAATAATGGATAGACTCTAGAGATGAAGCTATGGATCTAGATATCATGGAGGCTGAGGCAAGGATGCGGTGAAGTGGGGCAGTATCCCAATTCAATGCGAACAGGTGGGAGCTGAGATACTCGTTGGTAAACGTCTCGGTGAGAACACAAGATAGTTCCGCCATTTGTGTCAATTTCTTTTGTTACCTCACTTTCTCTCCTATTTACCCTTAGTGATAGTCAACTAGCTGTAGACATTTCTCGCACTAAATTCTAGTACCGTCTCAGCATACTTAGTCCTGTCTATGAAATACCAATTCAAGGCCCGGGCTGTTTAGCTGTGCCCCAATTGATTCTTCTACTTTTTTTCGAATTCTCGGTGAATTGAGTTCTGCCAAATGGCTCAATCAGCCATCCTCCTGGCGGTTGCAGTCATCTTACCAGTTCATCAGTTTGAGTGTGGTGGTTGTATCTGCACTTCCATCATACTCATAAGATGCGTGGGACATGGACTGCCTTATGGGCTTTGCTAGCTTCCACGGCACTGGGTCAGCAACCCGTTGGTATTCAGGCATTCACAAGCTATCCTGTTCTTACCGATGACTGCTATACTTCTCTGAAAAGTGCTAGAACAATCATTGAGGCAGCCTACACAGAGACTACTGATGTGATTGTCGTTGAGGATATAGCCTATCCAGCTTCGTTTATCGCCGATGATTACTTGTTGAGGTCCGATGTCTCTTGTCGGAAGGACGATTGAGTGATAACATTGGCTCAAATTTGTTAAATTCTGACCATAAGTCCCTCTCGACTAGATCGGGCAATTACTATGACCCGCGATTACTTTCCTGGGCCAATAAGTCTTGGCCAGTCAATGGTTCATGCTCGGATTGCTGGCTGGGAGCATGAGAGACTCAACTGAACAGCCCCTTAGGCCACGATGAGGGCATGGAAAACAACTTTAATTCTTTGACTTCGAGCGGCAGTGCCAAGAGCTACTCAGTTACTTCCCCAACTGCGTACGCGCTTAATGCAACTGTGACTGCAACTGCAACTTTGTTTAGTACGATTTTCTCCAGCACCGCCGCATCCACTTGTTCGAGCTATTACTAGGTAAAAGAAACTTATGACTGCAATTCCGTGCTATCGTCGTTGTATGTTTCTACGAATCACTTACCACAAGCCAACAACTTAGATCTTTACTGTCAGAAATTTGCGGCGAAGGTGAATAAGCCACTCTTTGTTTCCTCGCAGTACACTACGTATACCTGGCAGGCTGATGACACTTACAATAGTGTTTTCGGTGGCCTCAGAAATGTGACTCTTCCGCAGTTCTCCTCCTGGAACCCCAAAATTAATCCTCTCTGTCGGAATGCTCCTTTCTTTATTGAACATAAGGCCTGCCTTAGGTGAGCAGCTCCACCACTCTTGCTTCGCTCTTGAGCTGCATCATAAAAAGCCTAGGAAGATACTGACAGGCTAGTAAGAGCCCTCTAGTGGCTATTTAAGCCATACCGTAGGTGGATCCGATTCAAGCACAGACATAACAGCGATTGCAGTAGTCTTACAGCAGTCCTAACGAATCTATGGATAACAGCAATCGCAACTGCAGCCAGCGGTATACGGTAAGTAACTATTGTTTATTCTCTCTCCCGGAAGTTGGGGTCTTTGATTGTTTACTTAATGTTGATATGGGTTCAAGATAGCGATGACTGTGCCAAATTCTCTCTAGCTCAGACTTCCCTTACTGATTTCTATTTTTCTTAACCCGGAAATCGACGCGAACTGTATCAACCTCGAGCTTGGCGAGACATACTGTGTCAAGGCCCTTGGTTCAATCACCAGCCACACGAATTACTTCATACCTCTAATTACTTCGCTTCTACTCCTCTACTTCTCCGCTGACCTAGATAGATATGGGTGTTGTAGTCTGGGAGCCTGCAAATTTGAGGAATAAGAGCGTTTGAGAGAAGAATAAGATCCCTATTACTAAGATCTGCAACCTTGGAAGGTTCCTACTTGCCCCTGGACTATACCTAAGTCCCTAACTTGTGCAGCTTTTCTTTCCTACTCTTACTACCCCCCCTATTACCTCATAACAAGTAAATAGGGACCTTCACACCCAATTTTACTAGAATATGTCTTCGAATTACCCACTTTCCACGCTTTCACAGCCAATTGGCCCTTTCCACCCGCCCGAGTGTTGTTCGCTTCCCGCTCCATTGACCACCCTTCACGTCGCGCAAAGCCCGCGTATATACTACCACATTTCAGGAATACCATTACCACATTCTCAACAACAATGGTCCCCTCGAAACGTGATCCCACGATGGATGTCTGTCTGAATGAGGCCGACCGGCCTGAAGCGCTCCTTAACAAGGACGGGCTCAAAACTTGGGGCTTCGTGATCTATCGATGCACCTACCAAAACAATTCTGACTGGGAAAAATTCATGGCTCGCTTCCTGAGCGTCGTCCCGGATTACCTTGAGTTTTACAGTGGCCTTGATCTCCTCGACACATTTGCCCCAACGGTCTTGGAAGACCCCTCCTTCGAGGGCACGACAGTTGCTACTCTAGGCGAGCACTTCAATCTGTGGGCTAAGGTCTCATTGAAAGAGGAAAAAGGTGGTCCTGAAGACTATTATGTACGGATCGGCCGATACCGGTTTTTCATCATGGTGGACCAGGAGGCCATGGAATTGGTTCTGAGCGCCCCCAAGCATGATTATGAGACAAGTTTTGTTCGCGTGGTAAATGCTGAATGGAGACCAGAGGTACTCAATGAAGAGGATCAGGAACGGCGATGTTCCTGAGCCGGAGGAGCCCCTTGAGGGGTGTACTGAGAATGATGTGGGTTGGATGAAAGTGTGCTGGGCTTACGTAGGGCTTCCAGGATTCCACAAGTTGCTTGACAAGGAATCTGGGAAGTGTGTTATGCTCGGCCGCCGGGAAAGTGCCGACATCCTTTGATGCCTGGCTTGAGTAGCTATGAGGTGGAGATGGAAATTAGCTTGCTACAGTTCCAAGTCCTCATGGTCCCTTCAAGTTTTTCCGATGTATATAGACTTAACAGTGCGAAGTCCGCGTTTGACGAAGACGAAGAGCCCACTCTGTCTTAATATTCATATTGCTAGGTGCAATGGTAGCGAAGAAAGCGTAGTGCAGGAATGGAGCCTGGTACACCGGGCGGTCCATTGTTATATAGCTCATTTAGTTTGATGAGCCCGACCGAGGAAAAGTATGGTCTGGGACCAACCCCTTCTATGTGAGAATAGCCTACCTAAGACTTCCGCTATCAATAGACCTTACACATACCAAATCAAGGACCAGATCATTTTAAAGAACTATGTGAACTTTATCGAAATCTAAGGTCAGACAATTTGCATAGTAGCTATTGGCCTCACAGAACTTCACCTAACTTTCCTCTCTCCTATTTTACTAGCTATCTGGGGATTTCCAGTTACGTGGACGTCGAGGAATTGCATCCATCCCTTTACTGGAGCCCCCAAACAGTGTAGTATAATATGACAAAGGGGGCGATTAAACACTGCCCAGCAAGGAAACGCATGTGTATAGGATAATACTCAGTATTTCGGGACTTTTCACTTCCGCTTAAAATTCCTCGCTGTTTTCTGCTCATTGACTTGAAGCGAGCACATCTTTAGACGACATGTTTTAGATGGTGGATCTTCCGCCAAACTTGAATGACCTAAGTGGCTTGATCCACTTAGAAAGCATGAGCCAAGGGAAGAGGTGAGCTCCTTCGGCAGCTTACCCGAATGGAACGCAACACGCGAGCACTTTTCTCGTGAAAATTTTCCACCATGGCTAGCACCTTTAGAGACCCTATTGACCAAGCGCTGGCATCATCAAGGTGACTGTTGTCCTTATATTTGGAACGATTTGACTCCTGTCAAATTACGATTTGTGTAGGATGTGAACAGCGACCGACACAGACATTCGAATGATACCTCTTTTGGACGGCCATAGTCCTCGCCACTCATATCGTGAGAGCATGTGTCCGTTCCATGGTTAAGATTCTAAATAAATGGGCTATCATGCATCTGAAGGTACTATAGGAGGAACAAGTCTGCGAGGCGTCAATGTCGCAATCTGATTTTCTCTCATCGACGGATTTTGGGTCTATACGACACGTATCTTTCAAGCCTAGTAATCTCCACAACATCCCATCACATACTCAAGTTTCAATGGGAATATCATCAGCCATCTTCACGTGACTAGCCTGAGCATGGTCGCAAGTCTGAGCCCGTGCTGACATTTACCGAGCCTGCGCACTATTGTAAAAACGACAGCTCAGAAAGAAGAGACCCACTGAGAAAAACCCAGTACCTACTAGTTGCATATAGTAACGGTTCAGCAGGTCTGAGTTCATGACAGGATGTAGTAGCAACGACTTCCTGAACCATTCTGGAATTCTTCAGGGTCAGAGTGGGGGAAGCCCAACCCGACAGTTTGGATCACAGGGATGTCAGTTTGTCTCGTTCAACGCGTTCTTTGGTCTCGGGTAGACACAAAGCGGGAAATGCGGGAAGTCAAAACTGACCGGTCACATACCGACACCCCGGGTGTTGCGGGGTCGCAAGCCTTGGCTCAAGGCCCGCATTCCTGGGTCTCCCGGGTTCCTTTCGCTCGGGTCTGACTTCAACTCTCTGGATAGCTTCAGTTTCATCTTCCTCTCTCTCGGGCCATGTCTCAGCCAAACCCTTACGAGCGCATTCAGGTCGATGTAAGTTCCTCCCTTGTTTCATCTCTTTTCGTCGTTTTTTTATCCTTTTTTAGTGAGGAAAAAGTAAAACCCACCAAGAATGCACATGTGTATGCCCCAGCAATGCAGACCCAACTTACCCCTCCCTTCACTATTTCCTCACCCACACTTCACCCTCTTAATCCATGTCTGTACAAACATCTCACAATCTCAGACAAGCGACGACGACTCCCTTTTCGACACCGAATCCCTCGTCGGCTCCAACCTCTCCTTCGCCAGCTCCGTTCGCGACTACTGCTACGAAAATGGCCGCCGCTACCACGCCTATCGCCACGGCCAATACCCCTTCCCAAATGACGAGGAAGAACAAGACCGTCTCGCTCTCATGCACCACCTCTTCAAGCTCCTTTCCGGTGGCGACCTCCACCGCGCCCCAATCAGCCGCACCCCGACCCGAATCCTTGACATAGGAACCGGGACAGGCGAGTGGGCTCTCGAGATGGCCGAAGACTATCCCAACGCGAACATCATCGGTACCGATCTAAGCCCGATTCAGCCGAACTGGGCGCCGCCGAATTGTCGTTTTTTTGTCGACGATGCGGAGTCTGACTGGACGTATTCCGGGGACAAGTTCGATTATATTCATGCGAGGAGTATGGGTGGGGGGATTGGGGATTGGCCGCGGCTGTTGAAACAGGCTTGGGCGCATTTGAAGCCGGGGGGCTGGTTCGAAGCGCAGGAGTTTGAGGCCTGGGTTCTGAGTGATGATGGGACGCATGATCGAGCGAATATGGTTATGGATTGGCAGGATCGGCTGAGTGAGGCTAGTAAGCAGTTTGGGAAGCCTATGAATATTGCTGGGCAGCTAAGTGGATGGATGGAGGATCAGGGGTTCGCTAATGTCACGGATGATATCTACAAGGTTGGTTTCGTCATTCGTTCCTGTTCCTTTTCCTGGATGGGATTGAGTTGGATGTTGAAGACAAATTGGATGCTGATACGAGGATAGTGCCCGGTTGGAGGCTGGGCCAAAAATCGCAGATTAAAAGAGATTGGACGCGTGGGCAGACTCACGATTCTCGAGGTCGTGGAGCCATACACGCTTGCATTGTTTACACGAATACTGGGCTTCGGGTTCCAGGATGCACAAGAGTACATGGAGAAAGTACGTGCTGAACTGGTCAGCAACAAGTTCCATCTCTATGTGCTGTTCCACTTCGTCTATGGGCAAAAGCCTATGGACGAGCCGAGTGGCCAATCAACTTTATGAGATCATGAGATACGGTCGTGTGCCTCGACTACGACTGCGAGCCTGGTCCTGTAACCTCAGGATCGGGGCTCATATCACGACTGACGGCTTCATGATTCCCTCAGATTATAAGGGTGTAATTTTTTTTTCCCCATGCATAAGATTCCCTTTCTCGGTGGAAGGAGGATGAGGAGGTCTTCAAGGAGGTCTGTTGGTGTTGGACTTCCGGACATTATGGGCCAATTCCCAAGACTTGACAGATTCCTGAGACGGCTTCCTCGGGCGTCGTGCTGGACCGAACAACTTGCACAACCTGACCCACGCGCTCCTCGTCGCAGCTACTGATCGTCCGAAAAAGAGTCTCCAATAACGCCTTTTTGCCTTCGCCTTTCCAGGAGTCCGGAATAGCTTCGAAAGGGGTTTCTCTAAATGATTCGTCGGGCAGGTGTGGAGCATTCTGAGCGAGAGGCTGTGTTAAGTGGAGATGCGCGGGATTGTGGGAGAACCCGCCAAGAGACGATGATGTATAATGTGAAGAATCGGGGTACGCTTGCGTCAGAGGAACCTGGTGTCCTCTATCGTTGACCCATTGCTGATATGTATGAGATCGTCCATCAATTGTGCCGTTTATGATGTAGTTTGTGAGTTCGTAGCCGACATACGGCTGTCTTTGATTTGGGTCGTCGACTGCATAGCCAGGACTATCACCCCCGTACATCTGCATCGGATGTATACCAACATCCGGAGGCATCGATTGCCGAAAGCCGTACATTGGGATCGATCCCGGGATTTCACTCGGCGCATAAGCCATGCTGCCTGCATGGCACTGCGATATGGTCGCATCTTCCAAGGGATCTGAGACCGTTTAGCTAAATCCTGCAGAGCATTCTAGATTGTCTCAACTCACCCCCTAATGCAGCCTCACCGACAGTCGCAACATCTATCTCCACAGGCCCAAACTGGCCTTGTACTGGATAAAACTGCATCTGCGCTCCATTGTCACTCCCCGTACTATCGGGACTCGTAACTGTAACCGAGTTCGTCATAGTCGTCGTTGACGAAGGTGAGCTCCCCGGCCAGCTCCCCCCATCCACCGACCCCCCCACCCGGATAGCAAGCGCCAGCGCCAGCGTCAGCTCCAGGTCCAGGTACAACACTCACCCCCGCGTTACTTGATCCAGACCCAGGACTCTGGCCTGTATGCGCGCGTGCATAGCGAGGGTTCGGACTCGGACTCTGTCGAGGACCCTGATTCAATTGGCCCCGCAGCTGCGCGACCTCGCGACGTAATCGCTCGATGATCTCCGCCTGGCTAATGTGCGCGCGGTCCTCGGCTGTCGTCAGGTACGTGCATTCGGCCTCGAGGCCGCGGATAATACACGCGTGGCATGGAACTGAGCGGTCGCACTGGGCTTGTTAGCTTCGCTGTTCGCGGGTTTGGGCGGCACGCTCTCGGCGGAGCGGAGATGAGGTCAGGACGCACCTTGACTTTGCGCTCGCGACATTTCAGACACGACTGCTGTGGGCGGATCTTCGTTCTGGAGTCTGAGGGCGGCATTGTGTAGGTGTGTAAAAGAGGGAAGCTTCGTAATTTTCGTGATGACCCTCGCTCCGCCTCTTAAGACCGTTTACAAGCCGGGGAACAACTCTATTGTTGGCTCCACTTCGATCGCATCTCCAGCTGGGATCTTTCAAATGCCTGGTGGCGGGTGTCTTGCTTTTTCTGACGGCTTTGATCTCTACCTCGATCCTTGTTTGTTCCTCAGTCACTTCTTGTTATTTTCAAGGGGCTGAAGACTGTGGCGAGTGGCTGGATGTGATGCATCGCATAAGTTCCTTAAGGTTTGGCTGATCATTGATTACTGTCCGCACGAGGAGAGGTAACTTGGGTCCGGAGCTGTTCTAGGAACTATGGTCGGGCTCGGTACAGGCCTGGACACCTAGCTATACAAAGACTACCGTCCCCCGCATAGTCGGCGGACATTTCTGGTTCCGAAACCATGCGCCACCGCGTCCACGTTCATGTCGCAGCTAGGGCCAGGGTCGGGAACAACACATCGACCGTAGCCCTGAACGAATATCGCTGCATGTTCGCCCAAGATCGAGTATACTAAACTGCTTATCTACAATGGTACCGTCGTAGTCCGATACCTCTGCAACTTCCCCAGCATATGATCAGTGTCGATCCCAGGGACGCTGGTGCGGGGGACCAGTGCCTACGAGGCCTGAGCTCGGTCTTGAATGTGCATATAGATGTCCACTTTCTGAAAGAACTGATCTACACAGCTTTATCATCGCTTTGTGGCACTCTCTCAGCTTTTTTGACTTCCTTGACACGATGGGGTTGTCTTCTGTAATCAATTGGGCCACGCCAGCCAGACTGGTGGTCTCTTAATGCTTCCAATGCTCCCTGTTCAGGCGTCTGTCGAAGATGTCAAGCTCCTCCCAGCACCTCCGATGGGATTCAACAATTGGGCTCGGTTTGAGTGTGATCTCAACGAGACGTTGTTTACTGAGACTGCCAAGTCGATGGTCAGCCGTGGTCTTCTGGATGCGGGTTATAATCGTCTCAATCATGATGATTGCTGGATGGCCCATGACCGCGCTGCGGACGGATCCTTGCAGTGGAACTCCACCTTGTTCCCAAAGGGTATTCCTTGGCTGGCCAAGTTCGCCAAGCAACATGGCTTCCACCTTGGCGTCTATGAAGACTCGGGCAATGCCACTTGTGGTGGGTATCCAGGTTCTTATGGATACGAGAAGCAGGATACCGATACATTTGCAGACTGGGGCATTGACTACCTCAAGCTGGACGGATGCAATGTCTTCGCTGAGGATGGTCGCTCCGATGCAGAGGAGTATCGCGTTCGCTACCTGCAGTGGCACAACATCCTGAGCGGCATGGAGGATCCATTGATCTTCTCCGAGTCTGCGCCAGCCTACTTCTGAACCAATGACACCGACTGGGCCAAGGTGATGGACTGGGTGCCCTACTACGGAGAGCTGGCCCGTCACTCAGATGATATAATCACGTTCTATGCAGAGGGTAGCCCATGGGAGAGCATCATGACCAACTATCACTACCATACTCGGCTCGTGCGCTACCAGATGCCCGGCTACTACAATGACCCCGACTTTCTTCATCCCCGACCACCCCGGTCTAAGCATGGACGAAAAGAAGTCACATTTCGCGATCTGGGCCTCCTCGGGTGCTCCACTGATCATCAGCGCATATATTCCGGGTCTGTCGGATGAGGAGATCAAATATCTCTCCAACAAGGATCTCATCGCTGTTGACCAGGATCCCCTCGCCGAACAAGCTGCTCTAGTCAGCCGTGACAGCCACCTCGATGTACTAAGCCGCTCCCTGGCGAACGGTGACCGACTAGTCACTATCCTGAACACAGGCGAACAGACCACATCCACACAAGTCTCCCTCGAGAAGCTCGGACTTGACTCATCCTGCCAGTATTGTGCCCGTGATCTCTGGACCGGCGCCGTCTTAACTATCAAGAAGAACATCGACGTTACCCTTGATAGCCACGCTACCAGCGTCCATCGCATTGCACCCCCACAAGGATGCACCAGCGTGACACCCACCGGTATGATCTTCGACACAAGCTCAGGTCGCTGTCTGACGGCAGGGAAGACGATATCTTTCGCGTCCTGCCAGGCCTTCAATTCCCAGGCCTGGCGGATCTCCGGAACCGGCAGTAAACTGACAATCAGCCCGCTATCAGACGTGAAAAAGTGCCTGAGGGCCACCGGATCTAAAGTCGATCTTGTGCCGTGCGGAAGTGAATCAAGTGCAACGTGGAGTTACTCCATCGCCGGTTATTTGCAGAGTTCCAAGGGTGGTTGTTTGACGGACTCCGCCGGGGCTGCGAAGGTGGAAACTTGTAATCAGGATCGCGCAGAGCAGATCATTGGATTGCCGAGTGGCATTCACTTGGCCGATGCGAGGTTACAGAAATGATGGAGGCCGTTCATAGTTGAAACGTAGAGTTCATTATTTACTTGCAGTTACATGAGTAGATCGAATGGACACAATGCAGTAGCTTTGTATCTATCCACCTGAGTCTTTTCTAGGTGTGTCGAGTCCAATATGTCCTTGTATCAATTGGTTCCATAAATCTATTAAAGCAATATAGTACAACGTTGGACTGAAATTCAAACCCAAATTCTAACCTTTTGTATTCACAAAAAAATGTACATCACTGAAATGTATCATTTAACTATATCATTTAACCCTGCAATGAGAACCCAACTCCCTCCCCAGTCCCCATAGCCACAAGATTCGCCCTCATATTCTCTGCCCTTTCCCCGAGCCCAAACGCCGCCTCATCACTATGCACCCAAGCCCCGACTCCATGCTGCAAGACAGCCGTGGCCCTCACCTTCTTCTTCTCAGCATCCGTCTCATCATCCGCCTTCAACCCCACACTTCCATGAAGAGTCAATCGAGTCTCCTCCCCACCCTCCTCTTTAGCCTTGTAGACCCCCCCTATGTAAGATGTTACTATCATAAAACACTGCATCACCGGGCTGAAGCTGCACAACCAGTTGATTAGGCATATTCGCTTCATACGGATCAGCGTTCCTTTCCGCGTCTGTCCTCGCGCGCCGATGCGACCCCGGAACGACAATCAACGACGCATCAGGACACAGTGCGAGATTATACTGCGCATGACTCTGCCGTCCCCCTGGTGACTTCGCTTCAAGCTGCTGGATCTCTTCTTCGGCGGTGGCGGTCTCAGGAACATCATCACGGTGCCAGCGGAGTTCGAAATCCTTGGTTTCCGGCGCGACGAGAAGGTTGAATAATTCCATTACTAGAGGCTCGGGAACTGTGTTTGGTCTCACGCCGACTAATTCTTCGACGACGGCGAGGATCGAAGGCGAGAAGTAACATTGTGCAAAGGAGTCACGGCCGGGCATTGACGGGTGCATGAGATGCTGCACGCCCCAGATTCCACCCTCTGAAGCTGGGGGTGGGATTGTTGGCCATGGGGGGAATTGTTTAGGGACGGTGCGAAAGTGTGGCCAGCTTCCAGTGCGGGTTTTGGTGGTTGCTTCGGTAGCAATGGTGCGGTAGTGGTTTATTTCGGAGGGGGTGAGGATGTTGCGGATGACGACGAAGCCATCGCGCTTGAGGGCGTCGAGGTGTGGTGTGGTCATTTCGGTGAATCGTGACTTCGGAGGTGTAGTGGAGGGGGTTGAAACTGAAGAAATGGTGCTTCTTTTCTATGGACTGCGGGGTTGACGGTACCTGGGGTCGATGCTACTTAGTACCCACGTTCCACGTTCTAGGTACTACTGTGACATTTTCCCGGCTTCGATGCTACCGTGGATCCAGTGGTTTTCTTATCGAGACCTCGGAGGATCGAGGCTTATTTACTTCCGTCCGTCGATCGAACGGTTGACCTATAGGTGAGTTTGTCATAGAGGAGTTCGGGTTGGATATGGGTTTGTCATTCTATCCGCTCTCTCAGTCTGCGCTGAAACGCCATAAATCATTGTGCTATGGCGAGATGCATCCACATCATATGCTGGGACAGGGATGGAGCCAAGCTATTTCAAACGGGGTACTTCTATACTCTGATTTGTATCGCCTTAAGTGGGGATAGTCCTTCGAGGTGTCGGATATTTTGCCGACTGCCTAAGCCCCTTTGAGCCTCAATTTGGCAGCCGATCAAACATATGGAGGTCTCATAGGTTCAATGTCTTCGATTGTCCGAGGTATCAGAAGCTTCATTATCCTATAATTTGTTTCTACTCCACAAAAAGTGCGAGTGCCCGAAAAATTGAACCCTATACAACCCAATCTCTTTGTCGGGCAGCTTTCAAGCGGGCCGGCGGGGAAGCTCATGAATGGTGCTTTCTTAAGCCAGAAAAAGAACATGCTGGAACTTGGAATTCCTCATAATATCTGGTCGATTTTGAGGTTATTACCTGTGATAATTACGCGTGTTGCGTGGCTCTTTCACGTTGGCTCATGCATACAAGGTAGCTAAGGCGGGTCCGAATACCCCGCGGTGAAAAAACATTCCACGGTGGCTAGGTATAACCAGGTACCGGAACCCCGTGTTGACATGATGTATACAGAAAAAGAAGGCCTGCTGTGTTCAGGCCCAATTTTGTATCATGCCAAGGATGTTTGGTCCCAACGTCATAAGATCTAGGCGATCTTCGACTGCCAAGATCAACGGGGCTGAGGCCAAACTCCCAAAGTCTCCGTGCTTTTGTTTCACATTTTTTCTATCTTCGCTCCCGAGTTTTTTTTTCACACTACGTTTTCGCTGGTTTGACTGTATCCCCATCATGTCTTTCCTTCGCGCGAGCTTCCCCGCCCTGCTCGTGTGCTTGGTGCTCCTGCCGCGGGTCCACGCTTTCGGTGCCGGCAGTAAGCGATCTTACCTATAATTACTTATCGACTGTGTACTAAAAACCTTAGACATCGCATCCATCTCAGCCGTCGAGGGCAAGAACTGGCGTCATGGCGACATCGAAGATATGCTCAAAACCGTAGCCTTCATCGCCGGTCACAAATGGACATCCACCCAAATCAAGCGCGTCTATTTTGGCAATTGGCTGCGTGATTAGTAAGTCTCACTTGGAGCTTTCAGACAAATTGATATGAGCATCAGCTGATCGGAATCTAGCTCGCAGGCAATGGATGTCGGGACTTTGAAAAATCTCCAGTCCGACACGATCCGCGTGCTTGTGTGGGTCCTCTCCTTCCTGACATTCGGCTATGCGACGGGCGAGTTCGAGGTGACCTCTGAGCGATTGGGTGTCTACCGTCCTGAGGAGCATATTGAGTATGGAGGTTCCTTCATTTGAGATGTCTGTCTTTACTGATCTACTTCTAGTAACCCCAAGGATTACGCCGATAATGAAGATGCCCGCCAGTACGATAAGCGTCTGCGACCCCCCAGTCCGCCAGATCGAGCTCGATATTGACCAGAATACTGGAATGAAGAATTATATTGCCAATGAGCGCGGCGATTGGGCCACTAGTGCTGCCTATGTGAAGTATAGCCTGGGGCGCAGCATCCACTATGGGCGTACATACACTCATGGGCAACAAAAGGGCAATGAAGAGGACCTATGTGAGGCTCTCCGTTGTCTCAGGGCAGGGTCTCCATACGCTCGAGGATTTCGCGGCTCATACCAACTATTGTGAGCTGGCTTTGCGTGAGATGGGCTTTCACAACGTTTTCCCGCATACCGGCACTGCCACTCAGATCAATATCCACGGGCATCACGTTTTCCCGCTGGTGACTGGAACCTTTGGCATGGTGGATTTCTTCCACTCGGTCCTAGGTGAGGCTACCGATCATTTCACTCAGTCCGAGGTCAACGAGATGGACATTGCACTTGGCGATGCGCAGAATCAATCTCAATCCAACAGCTCCCTCAATGCTCTTACTGGTTTGCTAGGCAAAATTCCCGGAACCAAGGACCTTGTTTCTGAAGCTGAAAATCTGAAACAGATGTCCGAGGCACAGGAGACGAGTAATCGCTCCCACGGCTCGCACATGGGCTACTCCGATCGAGGCTTTGATGGTCAGGAATCAAGCCGTGCCCCAGGCTCCAACCAGCCTTCCACAGGTGGTCCAGGCCCAGGGTTCTCCGGCATGCCCGACTTCAATCCTCAAGAGACTGTATCCAAGATTTATCCAATTCTTGCCTTCCGTGACAAGGTAGTCCGGAAGCTGAACTCGATCATCGAGAAGATCCCTGGCCTGGAGGCGATCATTGAGAAGATCACCGAGGCTCTGACTGTCTTCATCATGTCACTTCTTGCTCCATTCGTCCGACCTCTCATTAGCGCTGCCTCGAAATCTCTCCAGGCCGGTTCTGCAGGCGTTGTTGACGCGTCTGGCAAGCACCAGTACGAGCCCTGGACCGATCCTCACTGCACCGATCCCACCCACTCTTTGCTCTCCAAGGACCATTTCGCGAACTTACTGAATGAGCCCGCTGGTCAAGTAGCCTCTGCCATTCTCAAGTACGTCGCACCTCGCGTGTTGTACGCCTGGCAACACGTCGATGTCCCGGAGCACGAGGTCCTAGAAGACTGCATGAACGTATTCCACCATCCTGCTTTACGAAACATGCATAACGAGGCCCATCGAACAATGTTCGAAGCTGTTCAGAGCTGGGTCAATTCCCGCGAAGACCGCGGCCACAGCCTAAATGACATCCTTAGTGCTGAAGGCGTCAGAGCAGGTCGCAACACCGGTGGCGTTCCCCACACTCACGGGAGCGGGGGCGGTGGCTTCCCAGCACTTGGTGGTGGCTCCCATGGGCAAAGCCATGGTCAGTCTCATGGAGGCTCGTCACAGTCATTCTTCTCCCAGTTCTCGGGCCAGTCTCATTCCCAGCAAGGGTATCAGGGCTCCTCCGGCTTGCCTTGGGATAAGTTGTCTAGTTTGCCAATTCCTGGTATTTCGAACTTGAACAAGCTGAACAAGCTCTCGAATTTGATTCCGGGCGGACTGTCTCAGGGAGGTTGAAGGTGAAGGTGTTGGGCACGGCGAATATGACCATCAGCAGTCGATGTCTCATGAGCAGCATCAGCACCATGAGCACCATGAGCATCATGAGCATCATGAGCATCATGGGCATCGCGAGCACCAGCACCAGCATCCTTATGGCCAGCATCACGGCGAGCACCATGGTCAGGGCCATCATAGCCAGCATAATGGGCATCAGGGATACGGGTCCCACAGTGGGCATGGGTACTAGGCTTGTCCGACTTTATGTTTAGATGAGGGCTTGCAATGAACAAGCTCATGAGATCTATGATTAGTGATGAAAGCGTAGCTGCAGCGTTGGGTGGTGTTGCTTTGAAGGTCATTGAAAAGTGGAAATGTGTTTAGCTTGAAACCCACAGGAAGATTTAATCCGAGATCTCTTTAAATCCATATCGAACTTTGGAATGCAATCGGATTAAAGTAATTGAATCTTACTGTCGGCTGTTTCTGTGTGTGGAGAATTCACATAATCGATGAGTTTTCAAAGCATCCAACATGTGAAGGTTCTAACTCGCCTCAATCATGCATTGGATTTAATATACATCCGCAAGAGTTTCGCCGTAAAAACTTCACCATCCAGTCAACAGAATCGAAGACGAGAAAGGAATCACTGACACTAATCAGACCCAAAGTAATACAATCGTGCTTGAAGAATTGACCGCGTCCCCAAGAAGTAATAACCACTGACCAAAGTGCTCGAGCAACATCTAACTAGCTCTCAAGATCATCCTTTCCAATTTCCCTAATAAACTCAATTTTGAAATTTATTTCCACCAAGCCCTGCCGGGCTAGCTCAATCGGTAGAGCGTGAGACTCTTAATCTCAAGGTTGCGGGTTCGACCCCCGCGTTCGGCTATTCCTAAAAAATAACCTGAGATATTTCTTTTTTGCTTCCCATCGAACATAGCGTGAATGGAATCCTCTGCTCGACGAGATTGCTTCATCTATTATTTTTCTATTGTGACTTTGTGCGTTTGATCTTCGTTTGAGATTCCTGAAACTGGTGGGCTTAATTGGGGCTGATGGCGCTGCCTACTGGAGCTAAGGAGAAGATGATTATCGGCGCCTCTGGTGACTATTGACAGCATAGTCTCATGTCTCACCCAGCTATCCAGAAGCTGGCTCTTATTCTTTCAGGTGAAGAATGGATCATAGGCCATGGACCATATGCTGGGTGAACAACCAGCATCCGCTTTTGACTAGAACCTTACCTACTTCGGTATACCTATCTAGTAGGGCTGGAAACGCGACATGAGATAACCTCGATGAGTTCATTAACTGGCATGAGACCGGTAGGAAGCCCGAGAAATGCAACAAAAATGCAACTGGGTATGTTACGCTAACATAAATCATGCAACACACATAAAGCGCCTAATAAATGCCCACAAGAAGACGCCATGAAACACAAAAAACACCATGGATATGCAGACACGGAGAGGATAAAGGGTAAGAAGGCCAGACTTCATTCGTCTTCATCATCGTATGAGTCCTTCGTAGAGGCCCATCCACACTGCCAGCCCCGACCATCCTTTTTGCTGTTACTTCGGAGTTCGCGGGCCTCGGGACCTTCACGCCAGCATCGAGCGCTATAATCGTCGCTGACTGTGATCAATTCACCGTCAACTGTCCAGGACATGCCCGTGACTTCTTTCTGGTGGCCTTCGGTAAGGGGCGTGCCGGAGTGGTGGATTGGGATGGTATCTTCAAGACGGCCTGATAGGCCAGCGCTGGAGTTTGTTCGGCGCAGTCCTGACCGGGTGGTGAAGAGGGAGGTTCGTGTCACAGGGAGATCATCAGGCATTGTCTTGACAGGGGGCTGTAAGAATCGTTCATCGGTAGGGGAAGAGTATGGGACAGTGGTCGCTGCTGCCGACTGCTAGCATCTCGGCGCGGTCGTTGACTGCTTTTCGCAGCGCTAGTTTGACATAGAAGGAGGAAACCTGGAGTCGTGGGTGACGGAACCCATACAAGGGGCCTAGACCCTCCTTGTCAGAACCACCAGAGCGTCGGGGACGGTTGTGGTTCTGGGAAAGCTTCAGGTGCATGCCCGAGCACTAGATGCGCAGTCGAGTATGCATATACAGTACCATCTCGGCAGAGAGTGTATAATCGTGCGCCGTCACCACCAAAAGCCATCGAAGTGAGACCAAACCGGCGATACTTGATGTGGCTGTCGGGCTCTCTGGTGGTAGAAAGTGGGAGGACAGGTCGACCACGACGGTTGTTGTGTGCCGTGCGCAAATCCCAGAGGCGAACACTGGCGCTGGCCTCCGAGGCTGTCACGAAAAGGTTCTCTTGCCCAGGAGAGAGAAAGGCGAGGGGAGGTGACAGTTATGTCGGAACGACCGAATGGAGGAGCTTCGGCCTTGTCCATCATTGCCTTCTGAGGTGTACTGAATGCATGCGCACCGTGAATGGTGTTAAGAACCTGAGGATAGGTCATCTTGGGAGGCGCAGGGTTGGTTTCGTCCTCCGATTCCAGCGAGCATCTGACTTGCAGGGCCGGGCGCTCGAATCCCTTGCAACGAAGGTCCCAAATATTGACATTACCATCCCGACTGCAGGTTGCAAGGACATTATTGTTGGAGCGTGGTTGAAACTGAACGCGCTTGACTGACGAGTTGTGATTAGACAAGCAGTGAACTGGCCGTTGCGTAGTCATGTCAATGACCATGGATGTTTGATCTCCGGAAGCTGTTGCTAGAAGCATATCGTCGGAAGAGAACTCGAGGTCCATAATTGAGTTCATGTGAGGACGAAAACCGAGATAGGCACTAGAGAAACCACGTTCATCGTCTTTGGAGGAGTCCAACAGACGAATTCCGCCTTCCTCATCGCCCACAGCAACGAGTGAATTGGCTTTTTAGAGTTAGATCATCCAAGTCTTCCATGCAATGTCAATCAGGAGCTTACTGTTGCAAGAGGCATTGCAGAACGGAAGTGCTATCTGCCCATCCGCAGCATAGCTGGTACATGAGTGACGGTCTTCCGGTCGCGAATGGAAGTTGGATGTAAGATCTTGCCAGCCTGTAGCAATGTCAGACTGAAAACTATGTGACACAGGACCAGTATAAACCTACTGGCTCCAGCAGTAGATCGGAGAATCATTCGGCCGGCTCGCGAGCCTTGTACAGTGCGCATAAACAATGAACCAGACGTTTGCAAAGCTCGAGAGCGGCTGATTGGAGAGACAGGTCGACGTTTAGGTGGGCTTGATGGCGTAGGTTCTCGAAAGCGTCCTCGGGTGGAGGTCAAATCAATATCGCGAATGGTCGTCCTCTGCTCCACATCGTCGCCAACCGGTGATCGCACACGAACTTTTTTCAAAGGCGATGATTGTAGTGGGGAGACCACCGAAGAGAATGAATGTTTTCTTTTCCTGCTCGGAGTTCGAGGAACATCCTCCGATAAGCCGTGGTGAGGGCTGCTGGGACTGCCAGCCTTGGAAGATCTCGTAAATGCGGGTCCAAGACGGTTGACAGCTGGCGAAGTTAGAGCCCTCAAAGCCTGGCGACTAGTCTTGACACCGCTCGCATTACCGCTGTTGAGCAGGGAACGGGGAGTAAAAAAACGTCTAAAGGACCGAGGCGTGACTGTGGGGGGCTTCCTAGGTCGTCGTCCACCGCCAGCTTCAGATATAACAGAAGGCGGGGAGGAGGGAATTTCCTGGGACGAGGGAGGCAGGAGAGGTTCTGATCGAGGCGGCTCAGGGAGACCAGAAACACGGTCCATCGTGCACTCGGAGGCGAATGGAGGGGAGAAGCTATAGCGGATACATTGGAGAAGAAAAGGTTTGGCCGAAGGGGGTAAGATGGGAGAAGCGGGTCGTGGTGCGCGCGCATCGGACGTGACGCGGAGCGTGGTTCGGGCATTTGACACCTGAATTCACAATTCAGGCACCAAGACACTCTACGAGGAGAGAAAATGTTGAATTTAACCCTTTTTCGCAAGATAGTGATTTGGATTTCTTATTCAACAGTCTCAAATATTGTCTAACCTTGGATCCTAGAATGCCTATTTAGCTGATATCATCGCAATAGAGACCATTATAGTAGTTTCGGGCCTAGTGCACTTTCCGTCGACAATCCGTGGAAGAGGCGGTCCCACATAGACCTCACCGCCCTCCATTCTGCCACGCTTTATCGGATTTTTCGATTTTTTTTCTTTGCGATACAACGAGAATCCTCAACCGTGCACGATTCGGCCTCGCCTTCCAACAATGGCGCCGATCAAGCGCAAGGGGAATGCCCCCGAAGAATCGGCTGCTCGCCAGCCGCAAAAGCGCGCCAAGGTCGGAGCGGAGGAGAACAAAAAGGATTTCAAGCCTCAGGATTCCGCCCCGAAGGCTTCGGAGCTCTCGATTCTCCGCGACGACGAGCCATCCTTCCCTCGTGGTGGCGGCAGTGTCCTGACTCCCTTGGAGCGCAAGCAAATTCAGATTCAAGCCAACAAAGATGTGTTGTTCGAGCAAAAGGGTCAGAAGAAGCAGACCCGCGAATTTGACGACGACAACGATGACGACGAAGATGATGTCGATATGGAGGACGGAGAGACCACAACTACCGCCAAGAAGTCAAGGAAGAAGAAGGCCAAGGGTAAGAAGTCTGCCGAGCAGGACAAGCCTGAGAAAGAGGGCGTGCGTATTGAGCCTCTCACCTACAAGGTATGAAAGACTTCCAGAAAATCTCCATTGGAATATTCTAGCTAATTTGAACAGCGTATTGTCCCTGGATCTATGATTCTGGGTCAGGTCTCGAGCATCAACGCCCATGATGTCGGCATTTCATTGCCAACAACCTCGTTGGCTACGTCTCTCTTACTGCGGTCTCGAAAGTACTTGACGACAAGATTGAGAAGCTGCTGAACAACGAGGATGATGATGATGAAGACGAGGAAAGTTCGGACGAGGAATCTTTCGACCTCAAGGACTTCTTCTATCTCGGTCAATACGTGCGTGCCTATGTTGTTTCCACTGGCACTGAGGCTTCCGAAGCCGGTGGCCGCAGCAAGAAGCGCATTGAATTGTCTCTAGACCCCAGACAAGCCAACGCTGGCCTCAAGAAGTCGGACTTAGTGGAAGAGTCAGTCCTCCAGGCTTCCGTCATCAGTGTCGAGGACCACGGCCTGGTCATGGACCTTGGTATCGAGGGTTCAGACCTGAAGGGCTTCATGTCTTCCAAGGAGATTGATCCTCACGTGGAGTATTCTAAGATAAAGGAAGGAATGGTTTTCCTCTGTGTTGTTACTGGTCAGAATGCCAGTGGCAATGTCATCAAGCTGTCGGCCAACCTTCAGTCCGCTGCTTCGATCAAAAAGTCCCATTTCCTCAGCGCCGCCCCTACTATCAACTCATACCTTCCCGGTGTTGCGGCAGAGATTCTGTTGACTGAAGTTACCCAAAACGGTATGATGGGTAAGATTATGGGCATGCTCGACACTACTGTCGATCTTGTCCAATCTGGTGCCAATGACGGAAAGCTCGATTTGGTGCGCAAGTACAAGATCGGTGCCAAAATTAAGGGTCGTATCGTCTCGACTTTCCCTTCTGCTGAGCCTTTCAAGGTCGGCTTCTCGCTGCTCGACCACATTGTTAAGCTTTCTTCCGATGCTCACGGCCCCGGCTCCTCTGAGGACGCTCCTGCTCTCTCCGCGATTGTTCCTGAAGCCAAGGTGGTGCAGGTTGATCCCGGCATGGGTGTTTATGTGCAGATCGGGGAGACCAAGCACCTTGGTTTCGTCCATATCTCAAGGCTCTCCGACGGTAAGGTCGAATCCATTTCGGCCGACTCCGGACCTTTCCAGCTCGGAGCTACCCACGAAGCCCGTATCGTTGGATACAACAAGATTGATAATCTTTATCTCCTTTCATTCGAGAAGACTGTCATTGAGCAACCTTTCCTCCGGATTGAAGATGTCGCCGTCGGTGCTATCGTCAAGGGAAAGATTGAGAAGACATTGATCGGACCTACCGGTATGGATGGATTGATTGTTAGCCTGGCTGATGGTATTACCGCTCTTGTCCCCTCCATGCATTTTGCGGATACTCAGCTTCAGCACCCCGAGAAGAAGTTCCGTGAGGCCCTGAAGGTTTCCGCCAGAATCTTGTCCGTCAATCTTGAGAAGCGGCAAATTCGATTGACCCTGAAGAAGAGTTTGCTGAACAGCGAGTCTGCTATCTGGAAGGACTATAAGGAAATCACTCCCGGATCCCAGTCTCCGGGTACCATTGTCAATCTGCAGGCTCACGGTGCGGTTGTCCAGTTCTACGGCACCATTCGCGGCTTCCTTCCCGTGTCCGAGATGAGTGAAGCTTATATCAAGGACCCTGCTCAGCACTTCAAGCTTGGCCAGGTCGTCAACGTGCACGCTCTGAGCGTTGATGCTTCTCAGGGCCGTCTGGCCGTTTCATGCAAGGACCCTTCGAGCTTCACCGAGAAGTACCGCAAGGCCATTGAGGACTTGCAACCCGGCATGCTTGTTTCTGGATCAGTCTTCGAGCAGTCCAATGATGATGTGCTTCTCAAGCTTGACGAGTCTGGTCTTGTCGCCCGTCTTGACGTGCAACACATAATTGATGGATCACCGTCCAAGCAAAGCTCGACTTTGTCCAAGATTCGCGTGGGTCAAAAGCTGAACGATCTTCTCGTTCTCGACATTCAGCGTGCCCACCGCCTCATTCGTGTCTCTAGTCGAGCTAGTTTGAAGAAGGCTGCTAAGCAGGGTTCCATGCCTGGCAAATTCGAAGATATCCAAGAGGGATCAACCGTCACTGGCTTCGTTCGCAACATCACCCCCGCTGGCCTGTTCGTTGAGTTCTTGGGTGATCTTACCGGCCTCATTCCTAAGCGTCTCATCGAAGATGCCAGTTTGTCTCAGCCAGAATTCGGCATGTCGAGGGGTCAGACCATCACTCCGACAGTCCACTCAATTGACCACGACCTCCAGCGGTTCATCCTTAGCTTAAAGCCCTCCGAGGCTACTCAAGCTGGCCCCAAGAAGACCAAGACCAAGACACCACAGACTGATGATGCTCTCGCCAACCCCATTGACGAGAACGTCTCCACGATCTCTGACCTGGCGTTTGGCCGTGTTGTCAAGTGCAAGGTTGCCTCTATCAAGGCCACTCAGGTCAATGTTCAGTTGGCCGATAACATTCAGGGACGTATCGATGTCTCTGAGATCTTCGATAAGTGGGAGGACCTCAAGGACCGCAAGCACCCCCTGCGTTTCTTTAAGCCTAAGGAGGTTCTATCTGCCAGAATCATCGGTGTCCACGATGCGCGCAGCCACAAGTTCCTCCCTATCTCCCACCGCACCGGTAAATACCCTGTCTTCGAGCTCTCCATCAAGCCTACCTTCATGAAGGCTGCCAACCCCAATCTGTTGAACATGGAGCAGGTCAAGGTCGGCTCTTCCTGGATGGGCTTCGTCAACAACGTTGCTGATGACTGCCTTTGGATCAACCTTTCTCCCAATGTCCGTGGTAGACTTCGCTTGATGGATGCTTCGGATGACCTGTCTCTCCTGACCGATGTTGAGAAGAACTTCCCCATTGGATCTGCGCTCAAGGTCCAAGTTACCGCTGTCAACGCTGACAAGGGTCATTTGGATCTGACTGCCAAGCAGGGCTTCGACAAGCTTTCCTTCGGAGACATTTCCGTCGGTATGATCCTGCCCGGACGTGTAACCAAGGTCACCGAGAAACAAGTCATCATGCAGCTCGGCGAGGCCCTCGTTGGTGCTGTTAACCTGATTGATATGTCCGACGACTATTCCAAGGCCAACCCTACTGTGCACCAGAAGAACGAGGTCATTCGGGCTTGTGTCATTGCCGTTGACAAGGCCCATAAGAAGATCTACTTGTCTCTTCGTCCTTCCAAGGTGATGAGCGCGTCGCTGCCTGTGCAGGACCGTGAAATCACATCAATGAAGGACCTCAAGCCCCAACGACGTTGTTCGTGGCTTTGTCAAGCGCGTCACTGACGCCGGTCTCTTTGTCTCTGTCGGTCACGATGTTACCGCCTATGTACGCATCTCTGACCTATCCGACTCATACCTCAAGGAGTGGAAGGACTCGTTCCAAGCCGATCAGCTTGTCAAGGGCAGAATCACTTTGGTCGATGCCGAGCAGGGCAAATTGCAGATGAGTCTGAAGGAGTCTGTGCTGGACCCTAACTTCAAGAACCCTGTCACCATTCGGGATCTTAAGACTGGCCAGGTCGTTACCGGCAAGATCCGGAAGGTTGAGGAGTTCGGTGCATTCATTGTTGTCGATGGCTCCCGAAACGTCAGCGGTCTTTGCCACCGCAGCGAGATGGCTGATAAGCGCGTTGAGGATGCTCGTACCTTGTACAATGAGGGTGATGCTGTGAAGGCCAAGGTTATCAAGATCGACCTGGAGCAGAACAAGATCTCCTTCTCTCTCAAGGCCTCCCACTTCCAAGATGAGGCGGAAGACAGCGAGGATGAGGAGATGAACGACGAGCTTGGTGGTGTCGAGCTGGCTGGAAGTGAAGACGAGGACGAAGATGACGAAGACGTATCCATGGGAGGCGTTGAGGTCGAAGACGACAGTGAAGAGGAAGAAGAGGAGGAAGAGGAGGAAGAGGAAGAGAGTGACGATGAGGACGTTACCATGTCGGGTACCAAGCCTTCCAAGGCTGGTGGTCTTGGTGCTGATGGCTTCGACTGGAGCGGCAACGTCCAGTCCAAGCAGGACGCCGCCGTCGACAGTGACGATGAGGACTCAAAGAAGAAAAAGAAGAAGAATCGCAAGCCCGAGATCCAGGTTGATCGCACCGGCGATCTGGATGCGAACGGCCCTCAGACTGTCGCTGATTACGAGCGCCTTCTTCTGGGTGAGCCCGATTCTTCTCTCTTGTGGCTGCAGTACATGGCCTTCCAGTTGGAGCTTGGTGAGGTCGAGAAGGCTCGCTCTATTGGTGAGCGTGCTTTGCGCACCATCACCATGGGACAGGATGCCGAGAAGCTGAACATTTGGGTCGCGATGCTGAATTTGGAGAATACCTACGGCAACGACGACAGCCTTGAGGAGATCTTCAAGCGCGCGTGCGAGTACAACGAGCCGGCGGAGATCTATGATCGCATGATCAGTATCTACATCCAGTCTGGCAAGAACGAGGTATGTTGAATCTATTTTTCAGTCGAAGTTTGCCAGTACTAACAACTTCATACAGCAAGCGGATGAGCTCTTCAAGCAGGCCATGAAGAAGAAGATTTCCAACCAGTCACCGAAGTTCTTCCTCAACTACGCCAGCTTCCTCTTTGACGCTATGGCAGCTCCCGAGCGCGGCCGCGGTCTGCTCTCGCGCGCCTTGCAGTCACTCCCGGCCCACACACACGTCGAGACCACTTCCAAGTTCGCACAGCTGGAATTCCGGTCAGCGAATGGCGACGTGGAGCGCGGTCGTACCGTCTTCGAGGGACTTCTGTCTTCATTCCCCAAGCGCATTGACCTGTGGAACGTCCTTCTCGATCTGGAGATCAAGGCCGGCGACGCGGAACAGGTTCGCCGCCTGTTCGAGCGTGTGCTGGGACTTCAGAACAAGAAGGGTAATGTCAGCATCGATGCTAGCAAGAAGGTTAAGCCGAAGCAGGCCAAGTTCTTGTTCAAAAAGTGGCTTGCTTTCGAGGAGAAGCTTGCTGCCGAGGGCGGCGACGAGAAGATGGTGGAGGATATCAAAGCGCGGGCTGCGGCCTACGTCAAGTCTCTGCAGGAGGAGTAGAGGTTTTAGATCCTTGATTTCTCTTTTTTTCTTGTCTCAAAAATAGTCTTATGTTCCGTGCAACCCGTGGGTGTTTGGGCTCATTGCATTCGTTGTATATAAAGCGGCACCAGCAGATCAACCAACGATTTTCCCGTTTATTCTCTTTAACCCATGATCTGGACTAGAGCAGAGTACTCTTATCCGCATATACAGCGTGCCTGTGGCTGTCACCGTAGGATGTTGTTGGTCGACGATCTGAGAAAAGCTGCGCGTGTTCCACTTCTAGCGTCCAATCAATGCCGTCATCTCCGCAGCATGGGACGTTCCGGCCTCAAAGTGTGGTTCTTGTCTTTTTTAAGGTCGGACTACCTTGACTACACCGATTGGGATATAACCCCTCCAGATGAAGCTGTCAATCGTCGTCTCTGTGTCTGTCTTCTCGTCACGAACTCCCTCGGCAGAATGGGCTCATACCAACCTCCGGGTACGCCAGGCTCTGGCGCTTCCGAGTGCTTGCTCGAGGTACCCTTTGAGGCCTACACAGACTCGCCCGATGATGTGAACAAGGCCCCGCGAGTCCAAGCGACCCCTCGCGCAGTGGGGCCGCCCACCTGGCGCCAGAGGCTGATATCCTACGCGCCTTTCGCTTCACGCGAGGACGCACTGCCATTGCTATCAGAGAACAATCAGAGATCACGCTGCTGTTCGCCCTCCTGTCGCTCGCGGTTCTCACGTGGCCTACTGCGTGTGCTCCTCGTGTTCTTCGTCATGCTGTACGTTCAATCCTGGTCGGTTCAAGACCATTGCCGACGAGCTAATCATTGCACGCAGGGGAATCATACAATTCATCTCACTGGCCTGCGGCATCGTACTCTCGTTCTTCCCGGATGAATATGATCGCGCGGCTCACGTCTGGTCGCAAGGTGACTCCAACCCGGAGGATATCACCCACTGGCCCACCGACATATCGCGCGATATCATCCCTAAAGGCTGCCACTCGCACAACGACTACTGGCGCCGCGTGCCTCTGTTCTCCGCACTACAGGCCGGATGTATCGGCGTCGAAGCTGATGTTTGGCTGTTCGATGAAGAGCTATACGTCGGCCACACCAGGTCCGCCTTGACATCTCGCCGTACTCTGCAGTCAATGTACATCGACCCGCTTGTGAAGATTCTCGAGCGCCAAAACCCTGTTACATCGTTACATCGTACCATCGACCAGCCTCCGCACGGAGTGTGGGATACAGACCCCGACCAGAGCGTGATCCTGCTGATCGATTTCAAGACCGATGGCGCCGCTACTTACCCTGCCGTGGTAAAGCAGCTGGCTCCGCTGCGCGAGCGAGGCTATTTGACCTATTTCAATGGGCGCGAATTGATTCCAGGCCCCGTCACCATTGTCGGGACCGGGAACGCGCCCTTCGACCTCATATCCGCTAACTCAACGTACCGGGACGTCTTCTTTGACGCGCCGCTCGACAAGCTCGTCGACGACAGCCTCGAGGGTCAGTACATCTCCACCAAGCGGTCAAGAGGTCGAGGTGAAGGCCAAGGCAACTCCGGCATGCCGGAGACTATCAATTCGCACACATTTAATCTGACGAATAGCTACTACGCCTCCGTCTCCTTCAAGAAAGCTATCGGCTTCCCTTGGCCATTCCATTTCTCGCAACACCAGATGGATCTCATCCGGACGCAGGTTCGCGTTGCGCATCACCATGGCTTGAAAGTGCGCTACTGGGGCCTACCAAGCTGGCCGCGTAGTCTGCGAAATCATATTTGGAGGATCTTAGCCCAGGAGGGAGTTGATATGCTCAACGTGGATGATTTGCTGGGTGCCACTAAGGGGAGTGGAGGATCCAAATCTTGGACTGGTGGATCTAGGCTCAAATTGGCTTTGTTGAGGCTATTGATTCATGACCATGAATGATAGTCGATGATCTCCTTATTTTTGGGTTGGACCCAAAATGGCGTTCAGGTGATGGTTTTTATGATACCTTTTCATGCTAGAACTATAGTACTTCTGACTATACATATGATGCGTCGATTTACTGCACGTTCAGGAGATATCTTAAGTGAGTTCAAGCAACTTCATTTTAAGAGTTCTAGACCTATTTGTGGGATGTCTTGAATTTTTTAGGCCCTTTCTGGTCTTTTCTTGGAGGTGTGATGTGGTTGATCTCGAATATCTTGATGTAACTCAAGAGGCACACCTTTCCGGAGATGGGTTGCGTTCTCAATAATTCTTAGACAACCGAAATTCCCAGACAAATTCTATATGAGGCTTACGATGATGAGAGAACAAGTTCCAATGTGGAGTCGAGTAACCAGGTAACTTTTTTCTGTGTCTGCAATGCAGATATGCTAGTCTCAAGGGGTTCATTATGTAGGACCCCTGCCAGAAGGATGATGCTGCCGATCAAATGAACGCAGTAGGCTAGATACAAAGGTACTAAATTTCAAAATAAAGCCGCTGACTGTAGGCGTGCGAACGTAAAGAAGCCACATGGCGCTAGGTGGGTATCATCAAGACATGTCTGATCAAGCGGGTAGAAATGCAAGGGATCATACGCAGAAGAGAGCTTCCTCGCCAAACTCTCGCGCCACGGTACCCTCCTCACGGAGAAGTCCACCAAGCCAGAGCTTGGCAGTTTCAAAGTCCTTGGCACCGAACTTCACAAGGACAAAGCCAGCCCTGACACGCGCTGCTGTCCAGGTGACGTCGCCCCTGGTGCTAGATGAAGATTCAGGTGCAGATGAAGTTTCAGATGAGGACCAATTCCGGCTGCCGATTCGCGGCTGCGATGTGAATTGATTGAGCAAGTATGAGCCGAGGTTCTCGAAGACAGGACCAGAGAGTATCAATGTGCCCACGACCCCGTGTGGGCGTGTTCGCTGTTGAATAATGGTCAAGGGAAGCAGGCCAGACGGTGCTTGTGGGGGCAGATCTTCCCTATCAGACTCATCTGAATTGTTCAGGTCATCGGTTTCATCGTCCAAAATGACGGAATCACGCAGCAAAAGCCGGCTTTTGCCTGTCTTCTCGTCTGTTGCCCAGACTTCATTACGGCCTCGCCAGAAGCGGAAATTCCAGTTCTCGCCGCGTGAGGTTCGGCCTTGCGTTACCCAATCTAGGACGCACAGGCTGCTGCGTTGATCCCCCTTAGCAGCCGCATCTACGGTAAACGTTTGTACCTGAGCATATCGGCTGTTTTTGAAGGGAACAGATGGATCGGGAAGGTAGCAGAGCGCTGATTGACGGCCGATCTTCACGTCCAATGATTGCTGACTCATATCTGAAAGGTGTGGATTGACGGGCATTTCTTTCCGGTGGCCCTTGATCACATTCGGGCTGTTGTCGCTGTTGTTTGGTTCGGTTTTAAAGATTTTCGTGCTTCCTTGCGGTGTGGTCACCACCATTCGTGTCCTAGGCTCTAGCTTGATGGACACCTCGATGTGATCACCCGGGAGCAGACCACCCCCATAGGTGAGCAAGTAAAGGTGAACCGGTCTTGACGGGCATGAATCTGATAATGATGATGACTCGGGAGATGGGACGAAGCCACCTGTCCTAGGAACCAGTTTCAATGGGTATTTGTAGGTAAGAGTGGTGAGGGTGGGGTTGTTCGGAGGAAGAAGAGATAACACGACGTTACCCTGCCCAGGCTTCGCTATGGAAGACTCGAAGGGCGAGCGAATGGGCATTGCGGCTTGTCGCATGGTGAAAGGTTGCAAATGTAGAGAATTGGATCGAAGGTGGAAGCGGAGAGGAGTTGGGAGGGAAAAGATGGGCTTTATGTTTGTGAGAGACTCGGAATCTTATGCAGAATGAGCCAAGAAGGCGTAAGTGACAATGCAGCAAGGTATGATGGCGCAGCCATGCAGAATGATGTGTGAACAGGAGGAGATTTTACCCCAGAATCTTAGGCGCTGAACGGCATATCAACTAGCCAAGTCGGGGGCGATGATGACATTCATTAGTCAAAGTGCAAATCCACCTAGCGTCAGTAGTGGCTCGACCCATGGACTATGTGTCAAGCGGGGACCCTCCTGACCAAGTGGTGCAATTCCCGGGAGTCCGTGAGACAGCGCGAAGCACCGAGTGGACTCGACTGAGGATCGCGGGGTGGGAATGAGTTTTCTATGACACACCGTATCCGCATTGCGAGCAACTAAATGCAGCCCACTCTCTTGGCGCGTAGGTCACGATCGACCGTCACCTGATGCTTCGTTTCTGTGTGAACACCTGGTGTGTAAGGTGTCCAGGGGGTTGAAAAACTTAGGCACTCAGGCCACATAGTGAGGCCATAAGGCCATAAGGCCATCAGGCAACCAGTCGCGTCCACCTCCTTTACGTTTCTCCCCCGCCCTCTGAGATCCCATCGGGCCTCTCTTTCTTTGATGCATCTGTGCTCACGACCGGCACCCAATTGGAATACGACCAGTCCGACGACCCTGCGAACCCAGGCTGCAGCGTTCCTTCTCCTTGGGTGTTCATTGACCCATTCTGTTTGCTGCCGTTTCACGGCGCGTTCCATGGGGCGCGTTCCGACCTGACGTACAGACCGTACCTAAGCCCGAAATCCACAGTGACCACTCTTCGACTCACACAGACCCTCCGCAATTGCAGTCGCTACAAGTCCAATCACGCGTTCCATCCCAACATGGAGGTGGACAACCCCAGCAGCCCGTCATCGACCCCCGCGGAGGATAGACGCAAATCCGGTCGCCAGACACGGCGACCCGAGGTTTTCTCCCAGAGTAACCACTCCGCCGAGGTAAATGCTCGGGGAAAGCGCAAGCGTGGCGACCTGCACGATAATCAAGTTGACGATGAGGACGAGTCCGAGTCCGACAGCGACGACGTGGAGGACTCGGAGGCCGACGAGGAGGAGCTGCGAGGAAAACGTCGCGCGGCTCGCAAGACCGGTACGAAATCAAAGAATTCTGCGGCTAAGAAGGGCTCGCGTTCCGCGAAGAAGCCAAAGGTCACAGGCAATGGAGTGGGTAGACAGTTGGCCTTCCGCCCTGCCGCGCTGAATGGTCGGTTTCCAGCCTCGCGTCCTCGTAAGCCTAGGGTTCGACCCAGCTTAGCTGCGGGCGAACATGGCTTGTTTGGTGAGTCCCTACAGCCACTTGGTTCTTGCTGAATACTGTCTAACTATCAAATTCAGCGGAGGTATTCGGAAAGAGCAACAATGCCGACACGGCCGCTGCACAATGGCTTAACCAATACCAACGCAACAGCGGACAGGCTATGCAAGATTTGATCAACTTCATTATCCGATGTACCGGCGCCGAACTCGAAATCAGCAGAGAGGAAACGGCAGACGTCGACAATGCACCGGACCGAATCAAAGATCTACAAGGCCTCTATCAGGCACAAGGAATTACTGAATATCCTCTCATCTCCCGTGCGAAAAAAATTCCGAGCATTCCAACCCGTCCTAGAGGAATTCGTGACCGCACTCATTCAGACCTTCCACCACTCGTCGGTCCTCTACACCGATGAAGCCCTGCTGGAGAATATCCAAATTTGGGTGTGCTCCATGTCGACAGTGCATAGCCGCCCGTTCCGCCACACCTCGACAATTATTTCGCTAGCAATTATGAGCGCTCTTTGCGATATCGCGCGAGAAGTGACGACCACAGTGACCACCTCTCGCAAGCTGCTGGAAAGCGAAAAGAAAAAGAAGTCTGTCAACAAAGGACGCGTGGAAGCAATTCAGACCGCTATCTCCGAGGGTGAAGAGAAGGTCGAGCGTCTGGACGAGTTTTTGCAAGACGGATTCGACACTGTCTTTGTTCACCGTTATCGAGATGTTGATGGGGGAATCCGTGCTGAGTGTATGGAGGCCCTAGGTAGATGGATTCGCACGTATAGAGAAGTCTTCCTCGAGGGACAATATCTGCGGTATATCGGCTGGACTCTCGCCGACGTCGTGCCCCAGACCAGACTGGTTGCTTTGACCCAATTACTACCTCTCTATGAGAATAAAGATAATATCGGCGTTCTTCACTCTTTCACCGAGCGTTTCCGCCAGCGGATTGTTGAAATAGCAGTTCAAGATGCGGATGTCAACGTGCGCATCGTGGCTATCGAGCTACTTAACCACCTCAGGGAAGGCGGTTTGCTCAAGGCCGCTGATATTGATATGGTTGGTCGCCTTATCTTTGACACTGACCCTCGCGTTCGCAAAGTCGCAGGCCAATTCTTCGCCGCCAACGTGCAGGATGCCTTCGCCTTGGCGACCGAGGAAGTCGAGGATGAGCTGAACGAGACCCTTGCTGATGATGATGACGATGATTATGAGCTACCCAAGCAATCATGGATCAAATTCAAGTGTCTTGTTGATATTTTCTACAGCTATGATTCTCAAGAGTCCGAAGAAACAGAAAAGGCGCCCACCACCCGAGGCGTGCTTTTGGGGGTGCCGACCGATTCCCGATTCGTTTTGGCAACCGAAGCCATCTACCCTCATATGCCAGAGCTTTCGCAATGGCAGTCACTAGCGGGCTATTTGCTCTACGATCACTCGCAAATCGCGGACCAAGCGTCTAACGATGACGCCCAGGGAACTGTCCGGTCTCTGTATAAGCTTGGGGAGGGACAAGAATCCATTCTATTGGACGTTCTTGGTGCTGTCGTCAAACTCCGAGTGCTTGAAATCGCTAAGTCTGATATTGATAAGCGAGGGCGCAAGGTCAAAGCACTTAGCTCTAAAATTCCGGAGCTACAGGAGGAGATCTCACACAGCCTTGCGCAGATTATCCCGCAACTTTTACGGAAGTTTGGGTCTTCACCAGAAGCAGCGTCTGCCGTTCTGCGGCTGGAGCACTTTGTGGACCTCGATACTATCCAAGATCTTCAAAAGGATGCTACAGCCTACACCTCTCTCTTAAACGATATCAACAAGCAATTTTTGACGCACTCAGATCACGATGTCTTGGCTGAAGCTAGCGCGGCTTTCTTGCATGCGAAGAGCTCCGATGAGATGCGAGAGGCACTTGAAGGTAAAATTCAGGAACTTTGGGAGGAAGTGGTGGAATCACTCGGCACGTTGTCTCGAAAGAAAGAGGTCCAGGTCGGCGGCTATATTTCTGACTCAAGCCTTACCGATCTCTCCAACACCGTGATGCGTATCTCCAACCTTGCCGGTATCACGGACTGCACAGCGATCCTGGAAGCTGTGCCCACTTCGCGCTCGAAATCCAAGAAGGACCACACGGAAGCTCCTTTCAATATTCTAATTCACCTGGCTAAGCGCGGTGTGCGGGAAATGGACGATGAGGAAGATACCGCCACAGAGTCCGAGCTGGTCACAAATAGCATCCGCGCCTTGCTTTTCTACTTCATGTGGAAGGTCCAAGTTTTGACTGCTGGTCTCACCGATGGAAAAGCTGCTTTTAACACATCGTACTTTGAAACTCTCACAAAAAGTCGTGACACATTCATGTCGACTCTTCTCTCCATCATGGAGAAACGCCCCGGCCTCGATGACCTACGGTTTATTGCCACCACAACCTTCCTCGACTTACAAACTCTGTTCGGCACACTCCGGAACATTGGCCATGGTCTTGGCAATGATGAGGATGTCGTCTTCCAGACACAAAGCCTCGTGCACGAAGCATCTGCGAAAGCCCAGGCTCTGGTCACCAAGATCCACGGCATCGCCGAGCGCAACTTCGCCAAGAAGTCCCATCGGGACCTCGAGCCTGCCGATGATGATGCGCCGGCATCCGAGGATGAACCCGAGGATGAGGCTGAAGCTAGTGACTCCGAAGACGAGGCAGTTATCAACGAGCGCCTCCGCAGCAGTATTATGGCAGAGCAACGCCTCTGCGAGCTGACCGGCAAAATTGTGCTTGCCATTATCGGCCGCGTCGTCGATGCATCTGGCCCCAAGCGCGGCTCGCTCAAGAAGCGCCTTCTCCGCAACAAGAGCTCTCTCGGCCAGAACTACCGTGAAGTCCTCTCATACCTCGAGGAGCGCAAGCCTCGCAGCGTACCCCGCAGCAAGGGCAAACAGCCCGCTAAGAACGCAGCTGCTGACGAACAAGCTCCGGCGGCTTCGGGGAAAGACTATAAGTCGGCTGAGCGTATCGACGATGATGATAACGAGGACAAGGACGGGGACGGTGACCTTCCTGACGATCCCATTGAAGAGGACGATGAAGATGATCTCCGAGCTCGCGAACTTGTCGAGGAAGACATCGATCAAGATATTGACGATGAGGACAATGACCGAGCCCCTGAATCGGACGAGGACGAAGTGATGGGTGATTAGTGGTCTCTGCACCGGATTGATAGATTGTAGTAGTCATGCTTCTTCTATTCTCCCTTTATTTCTTTTCGATGTCTAAATTTCTATCTTGTTCCGGGTGGTCAGGACATTTTTACTGTGTATGCTATGAATATCTTCTCTACGTTCTTTCCACATAAACTGGATTGCTCTTCAAATTTTCGTTATGAATTTGAATTAGGTGTCACAACTGAGTCAAAAAATACTTAGAACATCCCGAACAGTAAAGTGTGTCACCTCAAGTTTGTTATCCGTAGCTAGATGTCTGTGTCTTCCTAAATTATCACTTGCACAATCTGGTGCTTTTGGCGAATAAGATTCCTTAGATTACGGAGTTTGAGGGAAAGTTGAACTGCATAACTTGGCATTTTTGATTGGCAGACTGCAGAGACGAACTTGAACTGGACTATCAGCAGTAAACGAGACCGCAGACAGATGAGCCCCTGCTGTTAGCGAGCGAAGGTGATTCTCAAGAGGACCAACCTCAAGAAAAGCAACAATCGAAATGGGGGTGGAGACATTAACATAAACAAGAGGACCGATCCTGCAAACAAATACGCCTGTGTATGAGGATGCTAATAAAGGGGTTACATGATGGTGAATCTTTATCGTGAATGGATCAGAATGGGGAGAAACGAGAAGGGGTTCAAACTTCGTGACAGGAGACGAGGTGGAGACGGGGAAATTTCATGTGCTGGTTTAGGCTGAGCTGAGCAGCTAAACGGGAGAAGGCACAGACGGAGAGATGAACCGACAATACATGAGACGGCTCTTCGGTGGAAATCAATTTTCCAGTTCTGCTGATGTGGGGTGATGCGCAGGGCACATCGTAAGGTGACGGAGCCATGAGGGAAATGCCACTTCTTTACATGTCCATGGAGTCACCACCGTTGCCGAAGTTGAATCCGCCGGAAGGCTGCTGACCAGTGCCGAGAGTGAAGCCGGCCTGGGTCTGCTGAGGAGCCAGCTCGTCGATCTCACCGGCAGCCTCATCCTCATCCGAGAAGTACTTCTCGATGATGTTGTAGGCCTTCATGTAGATCTCCTCGTTGGCATTGTTTTGGCAGTCATGGATTTTCTCCATACCACCAGCCTCCTCAATGAAGAGGGCGTAGCGGTTGACACGGGCCTCGCCCGAGCCAGCCTCCTTGTCCATCTCGCCAACCTTGAGGATGTTCTCGAGGCCGTCAAGAGCAACCTGGATGATCTTGTTATCAGGGCAAGCAAGCAGGTCACAGAGGGGCTTGATGCAGCCTTGGGAAACAAGGTAACGAATCTGCTCGGGTTTCTGCAGACCACCGGAGGTAGCGTTTGAAATGGCCCAGCAAGCCTCCTTGCGGGTCTTGAAATCACCGTTGGCGAGAAGGTTGATCAGGGGAGCGATGATGCCAGCGTCAATGACGGCCTGGATCTGGCTGGAGTTGCCAGCGGTGACGTTGGAGATGGTCCAGCAAGCCTCCTTGCGGATACCATCCTTGGTGGAGCTGAGAAGGGAGAGGAGGGCGGGAAGGGAGCCGCAGTTGATGATAACCTGGGTCTGAACATCGTCACCAGTGACGATATTGCCAACGGAGCGGAGAGCGGGGGTCTGAACAGAGGTAGAGGCGTGCATGAGGAGCTCCACCAGGCGGCGGGGAATACCGGCCTCAATGACAGCCTGAATCTTATCATTGGCGCCGTCGGAAAGGTAAGAGATAGCCCAGCAAGCGTCAATCAAGACCTCATCATCGAGCATGTAAATGAGCTTGGCAAGGACGGGTAAAGCGGGAGCAATAGTGTTCCAGTCAGGCTGCGGGGTCTTGCCACGGCAGAAGTTACTGAGAGTCCATGTGGCGTTGCGGAGCATGCTCAGCTTGCGGCCGTCGTTGATGAGGTTCAAAAGAGGGCGGAGAGCACCGGCGCCGAGAACGAAATCACGGCAGTGAGGGCTATCACCGGCAATGTTACCAAGGGCCCACACGGCCTGTTCACGGACATCGGGCTCGGGGCTGGCAAGAAGCTCAACGAAAATAGGGACCGCACCGGCCTCGATAACAACCTGAGTCTGCTGAGCGGAACCCGAGGCAATGTTGGTCAAAGCCCAGGCAGACTCAAACTGAACAAGAGTGTGAGGGGAGCGGAGGAACTCGACGAAGCGGCTGACAACACCGGTCTCGATAACGCGCTCAATAGGGGGGGGTTGCGCTCCTTGGACAACAACTTGCGGAACTTGGTAGTAGCCTGAATCTGCTCCTCAACCTGATCGGAAAAGACACCCTTCACCATCTGGGGGAGTTCGACATTGAGCTATTTAATACATTTGTTAGCCATGAACGTTCCTTAAACCTTCTCGTAAAACTATTGCATGGTGGGGTCGCGTGTAGTAATGGTCCGTGGTGGAGGGGGTCGGCCCCATGGCAACCGGGCGGTGAAAAAAAATTCCCATGTTGATGATCGCATCATAAAAACAAAGGGAGGGTCGAAGTGGCCACCAGAGAAGCGCAAGCGGATTCCATCACAGAGGATTTCCGGCCAAAGCCCGCGCACATAGCAGAGTAAGAATAAGATGAAGAAAAGTCAAAACCTACCTCGCTCTCGATAGCACTGGCTTCGTCGTCACTCTCGGTGGCGCCGGCCATGCCACCACCAACGCCGATTCCACCATCGGAGGTCTGAATACCACGTCGCTTGGCCAAGTTCTCCTCACGCTTCTGCTTTCGGATCTCGACCTGCTGCTCTTCACGGCGGCGACGGAGCTCATCGGGCTTGAACTGGTTCCGGGCCTTGAACTGGGTCCGGCGATGCTCGGGAATATAACGTTCCGACATGGTGATTGGAAAAAAAGAAAAAGCGCGCCTCTGGTTTCAAGTGAAGAAGAGTTAGAGATGGGCGCGCCGTGGATGTGAAGAAGAAGAAGAGATGTGGGGGAGGATGAAGAGGAAGAGGAAGGATTCGTGTGTGCAAGGAGGGGAAATCATGTGACAGCTCCCCTCCCCATTATTTACTCAACGCGTCGATTTGCTCTTTTGCTGCTCTTCATTCCCTACTTCGTCGCCAATAGAGTTGGAAATAAACCGAGTTTTTATTTTGCTACTCTTTGTCTTACTCTGGGTTCCCGCCATGTCCCACCACCTTAAGATGGACGCCCATTGAGCATTGAGCACTGCCGCTTCCGGACTTCCAATTTCATTTCGGGGGAGATACCGCATGTCTGGGCGACTGAGAGCTTCCAATCTGCTCGCGATCTGCGTGGTTCTTCCTTGAAAGGGCTTGTCTTTCAGAAGCTATGGCGCCCTCTGATCTGGTGGATATTAGCACGGCTTGCGCCCGTCGAGGATTTATCAACACTGTCGGTGTCGTGGTTGATAAACTCGATGTGTATCGCACCAGAGGGTCCTCATCCTGTGTTACATTCACTATCAAAGATGCCCATTTTGATACTCCAAGCTGGTCCGAAAGTCTCAAGATCAAGTACTTCAACGACAATGAAAGTGTATTACCAGAGATTCGCCTCAACGATGTAGTCTTACTGCGAAACATCCGAGTATGTCTTCCGAGACAGTCGCTAGACCAGGACTAACTTTGCGCCTCAGGTCACGGTTTTCCAGGGTAGAACCACGGGGGTTGCCTCCCAACATGATACAGTCCCCTGGGCAATCTTCCGACCAGGACCAGACCCCAATTCAAGCCCGTCTATCACCAGTGGGCCTGTTCCATTTGAATTGAAACCACTTGAAAAGAGGTTTGCGATCTCTTTGCTAGACCGCTTCGTAGTGGATGGGCACTTTGCCTCAGCGCCGCAACTCACACGTCGATCCACTGCTTCGCGGCAGCCGTCTCAGCCAGCGCAGCCAGCGCAGCCAGCCCCAACATCTCAGGTGACCCAGGCATCTATGCCAGCTCCAAAATGGGGAGGCCTACCGTTTCATCTAATCCAAGATGTTCAAGCCAACAATCTCGCCCAACTGCTAGGCCAAGTAGTGAAGCTCAACACTTGGGACAGCGAGAAATGCCTCATGTACCTCACAGACTATACTTCCCATAAAGGTCTCATGGATATCAAGAAGGAGAACGAAAGTGAACAAGGCCCAGAAGGCGACGAATACAATTATATGGCTCGCAAAAAGAAAGATTGGCCCGGCCCATGGGGCCAACTGACAATACAAGTTGCTGTCTGGGAACCGCATGCTAGCTTTGTACGCGAGCGCGTCAAGGCTGGCGATCTTGTTCTTTTGACATACGTGCGCATCAAAGCTGGCCGCTTCGAGGGCGGTATCGAAGCAGCCGTGCATCAAGATAAAAAATATCCAGAAAAGATCCACGTTCGCCTTGTTTCACCTGATTACGATGAGCGGACTCGGGAGCTTTTGAACCGTCGGAAGGAGTACTGGAGTATCCACGGTAAACCTAGTGAGGATCCAAAGAAGGCTGAAAAAAAGAAGAAGAACGAGCAGAAAAAGAAGGAGATTCGGAAAGAGGAGGGCCAGAAAATACTCAACGTGGCTACATCTCAAACGAAGAAAAATCCGCACAGTAAGTGGTGTAGATTGTGAGAAGCGCAGAACACATGCTTATGAATTGCTACAGTCAAAATGCGGAACATTGGGGTGCCTGAACGGTCAATTGATTATATCCTATCCGGCGAATCACATATCAACAACCTCCCAGGTGGAATTACCTACACGCTCCCTTTCCAAAACGTCTGCTACGTACTTCTCGCGCGCGTTGTGGATTTCTTCCCTCCAAACCTCGAAGACTTCACCGTACAAGTCCCTATCAAACGGATAGCCAGCAACAGAGACAGAGACCAAGATAGTGACAGTACACCGCGTATGGAATGGCAATGGCGTTTCTGCCTTCTCGTTGAAGGAACTGAACCCTTGCTCTCGAAACAAGACATTCGGAAACAGATGAAGATTTATGTCTCCGGTGGAGATGGCGAGCATTTGCTCAATCTCGATGCTACGGAGTAGGACTTTCCCCTCTCCAACTTATTTACAGAGTCGCTAACAATTTGGTCTAGTCTGCGTCGCAGTCCAGGGCGACTAGCTGAGCTACGAGAGAAACTATTCCTTCTATGGGGCGATCTCGAAGAAAAGAAGCAAGCACAAGCCAACGAAAAAGTCTCGCCATGGGAATCAATTCGATCCTCCTCGGTGCCTTTCAACTGCTGTATCCAGGAGTACGGAGTGCAGTGTGGGCATGCTCCGGACTTGAATGCCATGGCTATTGACGGGGCCGAGCAGCCATGCAGCCAGTCAGACTGTTTTGGCTGGGAACGACGATTCTCAATGTTTGGGACAACGATTCATTCTTGAGGATGATGTGCAGGCGTAACGGATTCACCAGATAATTAAATATATGTAAACTAGGCGCTGATAGCCTGTCACTTTAACTTAGACCATGGCATGACTGATAAATGTCAATACTATTCTTAATTGATTGTTAAATACTCATACAATTTGTGGTTTCAATAAGTACATCTAAAGATGATCCAGACAGGTCTCATCCACATTTTGCTGGGTGAGACGCAGGTTATCCTTGAAACAGTTCATACCATACGCCATCTTAAGACCACTGAACTCCGAACGATCCCCCCCACCCCTGATTCCCGTGAAAGGCCCAATCAACGTACCGAAAAAGACCCATTCAATTGCTGGAGCATCCCGTGCTTCCCAGTCCCAATTCTTGTAGACGTTTGAAACCTATTGTATGCCCAATCACGCCAGAATAAGACGAAGACCCTGAACCGAAGGGGTTCCAGATAAATAGAAGAACAAAAAATAGAACCATTATGTTAAACCTTTGTCACTTTGACAATGTTGGTGTCAATGCCGTGAGCCACAGGCTCGAAACGACAGCTGTCTCCACGGAAGCAGGTCTTTTTCCCGGGCTCACTCTGTGGGCAACGGTGACCGTAAATACATTCCGGGTCATCGCATTCCACGCCAAATCGGCATGGTGTCATGCGGGCGATAGCAGACAGGATGTGGAGTTCTTGGCGGGTCAACTTGCGATCGTGATCGTGGTAGCAATTTTCTTCGTTAGGGCATTCACCCAGCAGGAAGAAATAGTTACACAACTTGAGCTTCTTCAAACGATTGAGATCATCACGAGGGATGCTCTTGAAATCGAGGCGATCCACGCGCTGCCCATATTTATTTCGCTCAACGGTCTTGGATGCTGTCGAACCAGCAACCTTGGAGCGCACGACCTGTTGAAAATCGGGGGATTCTGTTTGATTAGGAGTGGAAGCCGACAGAGGCCCACCAAGGCCGGAATAGCTCGTATTTGTCGATGTTCTTGACAAAGGTGGGGGGATCGAGAACGATTGGGATGGAGAAGGCGTGAGCAATGACCGGGAGGGAAGGGCACTCTTCCAAGGCGCTGTCCAGACGGGCACCAATTTCGCTGAACGGAATACATCTGGGAACCGGGCGATGCGATATGAGCTCTTGACAGTCTCCAGTTCCTTCTCGAATGGGACGCCCTCCACGAGTGAGATACGACCCGTTAAATCTCCTTCATTTAACGATTCCTCGAGAAAATTTCCGTATTCGCTATTTGAGGGACAGCCCAGGAAGATCTGGTGGCAATGGCAGTTGTAAAGGAAGACTTGGAACATCTCTGTGGAGCTCAGAGAGTTAGTAATAGTTCGAGGCCAGACTTGGGGTCAAGACAAACCTTGAATCTTATCGTATGCCTTGTTTTTGATGGACCCGACGTCCACAATTTCAGAAAATGACATGGTCTCATTGAAGCCGCGAATGAAGTCATGAATCGCAGTAGCATCTTGTATGGTCCCACTCCGGGCGCAAAGCTCACCAAAGCTCTTCACATTTAAGAAGATCTTGGTCAAAAGCCTCGGCTCAATAACACTGGGAATATTCTTGGCCAAATATGTGCGCATACCCGTTTCGAGGGCTTTGGCCGCACTGCGTCCACCTTCTTCTCCCCGCTGCAAATATTCATCTTTGAATATTATCCCTTCTCCGTCTAAAAGAACGACAACGAAAGGCTCTCGATCCTGTAACCGGTCCCGTATCAGCGCATGCTCCGCTGTGCCAGTTCACTATTTGCGCTCACCATAATAGTCTTGATCTGGGAGATTTGTTGCATCAACTCCATCTCATGTAGTTGAATATCGCGATTGAAGCGGGTCTCGCGCTGGTGATCAAGTTTCTCTTGCTGGAAGGAGGTCTCAAGGTCGGTCACTCGTTGCAGGAGTTCCTACAAGACAAATCGCGTTAGCCTCCCAGTTTTGTTGGCTAAGGGAGGGTTAATACCTCGATAAGCTGATTCTTCTGCTGATCCAGTGCGCTCAACTGGCGATAGCGCTCGAGATAATCGGGAGTGTCCATATTGACGAAGTATTATGGGGCGAAACTGTGTAGGAGTAAAAAGAACTCAAGGATAAGTGTGAGAGAGGAAAGTTATCGACGAAAAGTGCTATAAAGTTGGCAGGCGCTTGCGCGATCGCGGCGTTTCACCCTGACAAGGTGACTGCTGTTATTCGCAATGACGGCGCCTCTGGGTAGCACACAATTAATTGAGTGGAAATTCAGTTGATCTCCAGTTTATTCCTTCCTCCTTCCAAGTAAAAAAAAAATCGATCTCCAAAGGGAGAGACGCGATTGCTGAGTCAGCTTCCCCGGTACCGAAGTGGACCAAGCTAAAAGGCAAGTTGCAACGTGTGATGTGTGATCCCCCTTCTGTACCTCCCTCCACTCTATCAAGATGTCTCGTTTCGGATTCCTCTCCCTGGCTCTACTCTCTCTTCAGGCCTTCGTCGGTACCGGCTTTACTGCTGTAAGTTCTATATTATTTCATGTCACTGCAATTGACTCACGCGACGACCATTAGGATACCGAGAAGGTCGAGGCCGAAGTCGCTCTCAAGGTCAAGGCTGAGACTTCTTTCCCTACCTCTGAGATCTTCGGTGTCAAGCTCGTCAATGGACACCCTACTCAGGCCGTGATTGACTTCATCAACGATGAGCCCAATCCTGTCACCGTGAACTTCCTCGGAGGAAGCCTGTGGAACCTCGAGGAGGATAGCAAGGTCGTCCGCAACCTGACCGCCACTCGTTATGGCGTTGAGATCCCCGCGGGCTCCAAAGAGAGTGTCAGCTACAGCTTCGCTACCGAGATGCACCCCCAGGACGTCCGCCTGAGCATCGCCGCTATCCTGTCTGACAGCGAGGGCAAGTTCTCCACCGTCCAGGCCTTCAATGGCACTGTGAGCGTGGTTGAGCCTGATACCAGCATCTTCGACCCCCAGATGTAAGCATTCCTCGCTGAAGCATCACGCGCAATTAACTCACCCTTTTTTTCTCAGTCTCTTCCTCTACTTCTTCCTCCTGTCCTGCGCCACTGGTACTGTCTACTTCTTCTACACTGTCTGGGTCGCCCCTTATTTCCCCCAGAAGCGCAAGAGCGGCAAGTCCGGTGAGAAGCGTGCCCCTGGCAGCGCTAAGCGCGATGCTCCAGCCGTCGAGGAAACTTCTACCACTGCCGCCGTTTCCTCGGCCACCACTTACAACGCTGACTGGATCCCCTCCCACCATCTCGCTCGTCCGGAGACTCGGAAGGTCAAGGGTGCTGGCAAGTCCAAGGCCCGCTCGTAAACAGACATGCGACAAGAATATCAGTGGTTGAGAGGAGGATGGAAAGCATCATGCTTTTCCTGATTATTCTGTAAGATGGCAAGGGCAGATCATGTATATTTGCTGAGAATGCATTTATCAAGAATCTGCTTTAGTGCCGAAGCATGTACATTTACGAGGATCGGCCCATTTTAGTCTCTCCAGACGCCTTTGGGCGCCGTGGGAATACAAGATTCAGTTTCAAGCCAGTTGCCGCGTGCCGTGTGTCGCAGACGTGAAAGTCGCGGCTGGGCTCACCAGGTCACAGTCTCTTCCATTCCTCATACTCCTCTGCTAGATGCTTCTTCAACTCAGTGAAACGGTTTCCAAAGTCTTTCCCACAGCGCCAACACTTGAAGTCCTGCTTCAAATACCCTTGCCGGGTCGGGTGCCGCCGTTCGTCATCCGGAGCCAGAGGAAAGTCCTCGATGGGTACGAAGAACGGCGTCGCAAAACTATTGTAATGCTTCCGATGCTTCAACTTCTCACTTTGCCGATCTACCGAAATGACATGCACATGTAGATGGCTCATGGACGGAACAGCGTGTACCCCGCATATGATTTCCTTTTCCCAATCACGTCCCTCCGGCAGCTCATCTGGCGGTGGATCGGCATTGAGAGCAGCTAGTCGCGCCTGTTCCTGCGCCGAGTACTTCCCGTATTTGCGGCGCAATTCGGCCGCTGCCAGTTTGCGCAGCTTCTGCACTTCGGACTTGACTTTTGCGAGGAAATCGAAGTCTTCAAAGGCGTCGAAGGGATGAAGTCTGTTCTTAGTTTGGTCGCGTGGAAGGAGGAGTAGGTGTAGCGAAGATTTCTCGAACATGTCGTGGATTGCGACGAAATCTGGATTGTAATAGACAACGACGCTAGATGGATAAGAGTCTGGCTTTTCAAGATAGGCTCCTAGTCCATCTCGTCCTGGGAAAGAACCCATTCTGCGTTTTGGCGCGTCTTTGGTCGATGGAACGGCGCTCGCATGCTTGGGCTGCTTGTTGCGTGCGGAAAGGAGTTCGGTGACTGCCGGGTAGAACGGTCAGATCTCACATATGACTGAATGGGAGTTCAGTGGTCGTACAGGCGTTTCTCTTCGGCGCAGCAGTCGTAGTCTCTGTGGGTGTGGATGTGGCGGCACCTTGGCTCTGATCGCGGCATGGTTCCGCCCTGGACATGATGAGAGCTCACGTAGAAGGTGGCAGGAAAGCGACATATATTTCAGCACCTATCTGCTAGCATCGGAAACAAGAGATGGGATAAGCACCGAATGTGAGGAGCAAGAGAAGCAGCCATCCGAGATCTCCCCGCAAAATCGCCCAAAGAGGCTTAGTGCGGGACAAAGGACCGAAAAGCCCGCGTTGGATTTGCAGTCAACGACTTGCATTTTGAGCAGGACAAATGGGCCCTAAGAAGAAAGCATCTGCTCCTGCAGGCCCCAAGCCGGGTACGAAGCAGGCCAAAGAGGCCAAAGAGGCCAAAGCCGCCGCGGCGCAGGCTGATAAGAAGCCCGTGACGGATGAGCCCAAGAAGCCGTCAGTGAAGGAGGTGATTGGCGGCGCATCATGGACCGGCAAATTGCCAGTCAACATGCTCTCAGAGCATTGTCAAAAGCAGAAATGGGAGAGGCCTGAGTATAGCATGGTAAAGCCGTATCTTAACACCTAAACGTGACCAAGCGCTAATGGGGAATCGCGACAATTGCAGAACCAAAGCCGCGAGGGCTACATCTCCGCCGTCACGCTGAAGAAAGTCGATCCCAAGACCAAGGATTTGATCGTTCTTCCTCCTATGAAACTTCCGCCGTCTCATAAAAACCTGGGTGTGCAACCCACCGCGCTCGAGGCCCGTCATTTCGCTGCAGCGTTTGCCCTCTTCCGGGTTTGTAACATGCGAAACCTCCATATGATGTTCCCACCTACCTACAAGAAGCTTTGGAAGGAGGAATTTGCGGAAATCAAGCTTGCCGATACCAAGGAGGGCAAAGGCTGGCTATACGAAGCGGATCCCTTCTTAGCCAAGCAGGAACGAGAGGCCGCGGCCGCCGATTTAGAGAAAAAGAGAGCGGAGCGACTAAAGGCTCAGGCTAAGGACAAAGCCTCGTCTTCAGATCTTGGTCTGGGAGGTGGTGACAAACAGAGCAAGCGGATCTGGTCCCAGGCGCCTAAAGTGGACATGGGCAATCGCATTCGACGCGAGATTGAGGGTCTCTTACGCCAACACACTGTTTGGAATGCTTATGATGTCAAGATTCCTGAAAGGGATGCTAAGGCGATTGTGGAGGAGTTCTCGCGCTTGGGATTCCGGCGCAGCCATGTCGAAGAGGCTGTTGCTGAATGCAAAGACCGCGAGGAAGTGCTAGAGTGGCTGCTGGTCTATGTTCCCGAAGATGACCTACCTCGGTGGTCTCTGCCCGAGGGATATTCCGCCGGTGTCAGTCTTGCCCAGCAGGACTTGGCTCGAGAGGCTAAGATCAAGCGTCTGGCCTCAATTGGCTATCCTGCTGATCTCTGTTCACAAGTTTTGGACAGCAAAGGTGGCGATGAACTTGCAGCCGCAGAGCATCTACAGGGTACCCTAATACATGGATCGGCATTTACCTCTGCTTCGATACCCGATGGTGAAGCGGGAGCGTGGGCGGAGGAGCAAGATACACTCGAGGCTATCTTTGGCGAGCGGTATACTCGTGTCTCGTCCAGAGTCTGCGAGATCAAGAGCGAGGCCTCAGGGGTTCCTGAGAACACAGTGTTTCGCTTCCAGGAGCCTTCTTCTCATTACCCTACGGTACCTCCAGTCATATCGATTCTAGCAAAGGGGATCCCAGCCTACATTCGGCTCAGCGCCATTCGCCGAGCAGTTCAGCACGCTGAAGAGAATTTCTCTGGCGAGTCAATGATATTCAACATCATGGACTGGTTGGAGTTCAATCTGCCTGCGGTCACAGAAAACCCAGGAAAGTTGCGCGAGATCTCCGCAGTCACTGCCTCTTCTGCACCCGAGACCCAGGAAATTCCCGTGCGCAGTAATCGCAAGCAGCGGAGAGGCATTGACTGGAAGCCCTATACACCTCAGGGTACAGCGATGAAAGAAGCATGGCAAGTCAAGCAGTCTACCGCCGCGCAGATTGAAATGTGTCGTAAAAGGCAATCTCTACCTGCCTGGAACACCCAGGAAGCCATTATTGATGCCGTGGACGCTCATCAGGTCACCATTATCTCCGGTGAAACTGGTAGCGGTAAGAGCACACAGTCTGTACAATTCGTTTTGGACGACATGATCCAGCGGGGATTGGGAGGAGCTGCGAACATCATTTGTACCCAGCCTCGGAGAATCTCAGCCCTCGGTCTTGCTGATCGAGTCAGTGATGAACGATGCTCCACAGTCGGTGATGAAGTCGGATACATTATCCGGGGCGAGTCGAAATTGAAGCAAGGTGCTACGAAAATCACGTTTGTGACTACAGGTGTCTTGTTACGCCGAATCCAGTCTGGAGGTGACGCCGACGGTAATGTTGCAAGCTCACTTGCTGATGTGTCTCATGTGGTGGTCGATGAAGTTCACGAGCGCAGTCTTGATACTGATTTTCTCCTGGCTCTGCTGCGGGACGTTCTGCGCTACCGCAAAGATCTCAAGGTCATTCTTATGAGTGCCACGTTGGACGCTGAAATTTTTATGAAATACTTTGGTGGTCGCAAGAACGTTGGTCTCGTCAATATTCCGGGTCGGACATACCCCGTTGATGACTATTACTTGGACGATGTCATTCGGGACACTGGGTTTGCTCCTGAACTTGGCGAGGACATGGATGAGAACTGGGATGCTCCTCGTGGTGAAGAGTCTTTGGGCAAAGCCTTGCGGAGTGTTGGCATGGGGATCAACTATGACTTGATTGCTTCGACAGTCCGGTACATCGATGCGCAATTAGGTGAGCGACCAGGAGGGATTTTGATCTTCTTGCCAGGCACAATGGAGATCGAAAGATGTCTGAATGCAGTCAGGAGGATGCCCAATGCCCACGCATTGCCTCTGCATGCCTCTTTGCTCCCAGCCGAGCAGAAGCGTGTCTTTCAGAGCCCGCCCAGGGGCAAGAGAAAAAATCATTGCTGCGACTAATGTCGCTGAGACATCCATCACCATTGAAGATGTGGTTGCTGTTATCGACACGGGTCGAGTCAAAGAAACTAGCTACGATCCCAAAGATAATATGGTCCGTCTTCAGGAAGTATGGGCTTCTCAAGCTGCCTGTAAGCAGCGTCGTGGTCGTGCAGGTCGTGTGCGGGCAGGTACCTGCTACAAGCTGTACACTCGCAAGGCCGAGTCTAACATGGCACCGCGACCAGATCCCGAAATTCGCCGCGTGCCTCTTGAGCAGCTTTGTCTGTCTGTGAAATCTATGAAGGGTATCGATGACGTCGCCAATTTCCTCGCAAACACAATCACGCCGCCGGAAAGCATCGCCGTTGAAGGTGCCCTTAATTTCCTGCACAGGGTTGGTGCCATGGATCACAGCCGACTGACAGCACTGGGTCGGTACCTTTCCATGATCCCAGCGGATTTGCGGTGCGCCAAGCTGATGATCTACGGCTCAATCTTCGGCTGCATGGAATCTTGTCTCACCATCGCGGCAATCCTCACAGTCAAGAGTCCATTTGTCTCGCCTCGCGACAGACGCGAAGAAGCCGATGCCGCTAAGGCAAGCTTCTCACGCCCTGGCGATGGTGATCTGATAACCGATCTATCAGCCTACCAAGCGTGGTCTGAACGGACCCGCTCTCAAGGCCATTGGCAGTCTCAGTCTTGGTGCGGAGCGAATTTCCTTTCCCACCAGACTCTGCGCGATATTTCATCGAACAGAGCCCAGTTTGTCACATCTCTCAAGGACGCAGGTATTTTGCCGGTAGACTACACCGACGCAGCACCGGCGTGGAACCGCAACTCTTCTAACCGGAACCTTCTCCGGGCCCTGATCGCCGGTGCTTTCCAGCCCCAGGTTGCACAGATCTCCTTCCCGGATAAGAAGTTTGCTAGTTCCGTGACTGGTACCGTGGAGGTCGACCCCGACGCTCGCACCATCAAGTACTTCAACCAGGACAACGGCCGTGTCTTTATTCACCCGAGCTCCATTCTTTTCTCTGCTCAGGGGTATCCCAACGCTTCGGCTTATCTTAGCTATTTCACCAAGATGGCGACAAGCAAGGTCTTTATCCGTGATCTGACCCGTGAGTGCTTCCACTTGCCATTCCTTTTTTTTTTTCTCTAAATTAACAATATTTCCAGCATTCAACGCATACTCTCTTCTTCTATTCTGCGGCTCCATCACACTCGATACAATGGGCCGCGGCTTGGTCGTGGACGGCTGGCTCCGACTGCGCGGCTGGGCCCGCATCGGTGTCTTGGTCTCGCGACTGCGCACTATGTTGGATGAGGCGCTGCAAGAGCGTATAGATAACCCGGCCGTTGGGTCTGCTTCAGAGGCTGGTGACAAAGTCATTGAGGCTGTAAAAAGACTTATTGAGTTTAATGGGCTTGATCAGTGATTGCATGTGGCCTGGAAAGGGCTTCAAAAGATTATAGATGGGATCCTAGGGCATAGAGCGTGGATTAGATAGATCACCTTGGAAAAAAGCGGGTTTGAGCATCTACACGATCTTACTTGCATAATCATCCTCTTGAAGAAAGCCTCGTTACCAGGATACTTCGTTGAATGTAAATCAATTCGTCTATGGATTTACCAAGAGAAAGTGCAAATTGCCCATGAAGGCGAAATCATGATCTCAAAACGCAAGCCATCTCGACCCTCTCCCTCCACCAAATCAAGCCATCGAAATCTTGCTCCTTATCGTAACGCCCATCGTAAATTCCCAGGGTCTTCTTGATTCTCATAATACATCACAGAGCACACGACGAGTTGTGAGGACACCTGTGCTGAAGAACGAGTCTCACGTGCTGAAGCACCATATCCACAGTCATCTCAGGGTTCCAGTAAGGACCACTCAGGACGCGAGACCACAGTCTGTTCATATCATCAATATGAGGGTGGGGGAGGGGGGGCGTAGACGACGCAGATGGGCGGCACATAGGGATAGTCTGCAGACTGCCGTCAATGAGAGACTCATAAGTCACTCGTCGTGGACACTTACTGCTGGGGAAAGATAACTGCATGCTAATCGTCATGCCATCGAAGGCAGAGCCCGCCATGCCCCAAACCCAACAGGACCAGTGAATGAGATCTTGGTCTTGACTCTTGGGGGTGGCGAGGGGGCCGCCGAAGACTCGCTCTGCCATTTGCTTCCTATATCAGCTTAGTGATGTTTTCTATTTTGGGGGACGATAAAGATCTTGTACTGCTCGAACTCGAGTCGCTCCTCACGAGTTATGAATCGAGGCATCTTGGGCGCATATGGCGGAGGAGCCTCGAAGTTAGCTGGATTGGTCACTGGAGAGCTCAATGGGATGTTGGCGATAGATGGGGGTGGCATTATCGAAGGGCATGAAGGAAGATAATTTGGAACACTAGTAGACTGATGTTCAGGATGCTGGAGCTTCAGTAAATCTCTCCGAATGCTGAGCCCAGCGTTGGTTGGAAAGGGCGTGTGAGACATGCTGAGTGCGTTAATGGGGAAGGATAAGGTAAGGCTAAGAGTAAAGGTAAGGACAAGGCAGACATGAAGAGAAAATACTTGAAACATTGATGATATTAGCATTACAAACACAAAGAAATCCCCCAATCTCAATTGTAAACTCCAATAACTCTTTTAGTCTCAGACCACGGCACAACACGCATTCTCCTTCATCCCAGCAAGCACATCCATCGCTGTGTCACCCGCCTCATAAACAGACCCTCTCCCGACCCTCGCGCTATCAACTTTCTATCCCTGTACTGGTACTGGATCATCGCCATTCTCATTCTTCCTAGGTACCGTGAAAGAAGCCCGATGCAAAGGCTGGGCTTCTTCAAGCTGAAATACCCACTCGTTCGACTGACACGTCCAAAACAATTCGGATACGCAAGCCCCAGAGTCATAGAAAGCGTAATACCATGTCTACCCGTAGACAGATACTCCAAAACACTCGACGTAGCATCCTGCGAAGCCTGAACCTTCAGTTTCTCCAGATTCTGAGGCATGCCAGCGTCAAGAGCAAATATAGCTCATAAAAGCGAGAGAGCCCAATACTAAGAAGTGAGCCGGTCTCTAGTGCTTCATCCTTATACCGTGACGTAGACGGTGGACTAGGATATTGACCTTTAATTTGAGATCTATGTACGAGAGTAAAACATTGCCAACATTGTCAGCTGATCCACTTCTCAAAGAGGGCGTAGATGGTGAGTTTGCGGTTCGAGCTGTCATTGGAAAGGAAGGACTGGCCAATTTCCGAGGGCCGAACAGCCAATGTCTTGAGGTGCTTTACTGGGGCTCCTCAACAGTTGAGGAGTGGAACTTTAATGGACCATGATATATCATGCTAGTTACGGCGGAGATGGGTGGTTCAGGGACTGTTGTTCTCCATATTGTGGGGATGATTTACCAAAACTTGGAATTAGCGGTCTGTAGGTATTTCTGCCAAGATTATGAGGTGTAAAAATTTAAGAGTAGGAGTAGGTTGAGCTATGCAGATAGAGACGCTCGGAGAAATCAAAGTACTCAGGTCCGGTCCGGAATTCCAATATCAGGGTGTCGGAAACTTGGGTCCACTGGGGACTATGGCGACTTTGACAGCCGAGATGGGGAAAGGCCATGGCAGTACTGATCTTAGCCGTAAGGGCCGAGGCAGTGATGTCATCAAGGTCCATAGAAGGCTGTTTTGTATGGAGCTCACATAATTCAGACTTAGTCTGGTGTATTGAGTACGATCAACTAGATCCAGGGGGAAAATGCTGCCATAACTCATGATTCCTAAAACTATTCCTTATGCAATATCGTCTAGCAGTGAGAATCGCTAGCAATAGATGCAAGCGTACTTGGTCAAGGGATCGTATGTGGCATGCGATGTGCAAGAAAACAGGCCAGAAAGGACCGTCATTAGGGCTGCCCCCCGTGGAAGTCGAGCCGAAAAATCAAATGCGCAAGTGCTCATCACAGAAAAGAGTATGTATCGTCATGGGGGTAACATGGGAAAGAAGAAAATGGGGAATTAATGACGCCGAGAAAAAAAAAAGCATACCCCATGCGCGTAACGCCTGCCGACCGTTGAATTCCTCGCATCTAGAACATGGCGTCAAGTCATCCCGATGTCGTGAGGGGTTAAAAGGCAGAAAAGAAGAAAAAGCAAAGAAAAAAAAGAGTAGAAGCACCGATTGATACCCAGTTTCCGCATTCACTCCGAAGCCATCCGAACCCAGAAAGCAAACTGATGAATGAAACAATGAAACGAGGTAAAGAGCGTAGTAGGTCATGCGTGAGCCATCATCGTGGCTGGCTCCGTTGGAATGGAAAGATTTCAGTAATTGGCAAATCCCTCGAGACGATCAACGTCCTTGAGGGATACCGCAGGAGAAGCTTGAATCCTCTCTTCATCTCGGCCTCAACGTAGAGAGAAAGCACGCTTGAAGCGGCGATCAGAGTACTTTTCGAAAATTGCCTGGTGGTGACGCTGAGGGTCTTCGCAACACTCCATCATGGTAGTCATCACGGGAAGAAGCTGCTCGTAGAGGTAACCACTGTAAAATGCGTGTGCGGGTGTCTGGCACAAGAAGCAAAGGTTAGCAGGAGTAGAAGTCATGGCATAAGGAAGAAAGCATACCCAGTATCCCTTGCCCAAGACTTGTCGAGCCAGGCAGTGAGCCCCGGCAGAGGCAAAGCTGGGAGGCGTAGAAACGAAACGCTCATCCATGATGGTGAGCTCCAGGAAGTACTTGGCGACAGTACGGGTCTCAAGGTCGTAGTCGTCGGCCTTGCTAATACGACGAAGGAAGCTCATGGGACCGGGCCAGCCAAGGTCGAAGTTGAGAATAGTAAGCATGAAGCGCTCAGCCTTCAGGATTTCGTCGACAGTGTAGCCACCGTCGACCATATAGACGATCTCCTGGACAGAGGGGGCAGTGATCTCTTCATACTTGGCGGCGATGAAGATGGCAGTGGCACCGACCAGCTGCAGCTTTCCAAGAGATACAATTTTGCGGGAGAGGAAGCGGTCGATATAGTTCACACAAAGGAACAGAGTCTCGGGCAGCAAGGCAAAGCGGAAGTGCACCTGGACTAGCCAGTCCATGAGGACGGAGCGCATACTCCACTGGATTTCGGCCTGATTCGTCATGTAGTCAGCAGCGGGAAGCATGGAAATCTGTGCGGGTTGGATTAGCCGGCGACTCGGTCATGTCCAACATAGAATTGACTTACTTCCTTAGTCCGCAAGTGGAGAAAGATCTCGCTGCTGTACTCCGCAACCATACTGGAGTCATAGAAGTCTTCCAGGATATCTTCCTCAGTGCGAGTGGATTCGACCATCTCTTTTGCGCGCAGCATCTCACGCTTGGTGATTGCCGTGATCTTAGGGTAAATAATGGTGGTCGTGCCGCCAGTAGTGTTCTCGGTGCGCGAGTGGAAAGCAGGTGCGTGGTCTTCCTCTGCATCCTCCCACTCCTCTGCTTCAGCTTCAAGCTCCGGGGTGACTTCAGCAACGTGCTTCAGATCAATCTTGACCTCATCCTTCAGGTCTTCCTTGGCCTCTTCTGTATCGGAGATGGTGGCATCTGAGTAGACTGGAGAGGTACGGCCATGGTCGATATATACCTCACGCGCGGCTTCCTCCTTGAGGTTCTGTTCCTCCATCCATGCAACTTTATCAGCGTCGATTTGTGTTGGGGCACTTTCGGTCCGTGCGGGATCGCGTCTCCATTCTTCGTGGGTGTTTTCCTTGGATGATTCTTTGACGGGGGCAGTTTCTTTGGTCATTGGTTTTTCGACGACAGGTTCGAGTTGATCCCGGAATATGACATTGTTGCGCTTATTATTATTCTTCACAGTCGGCTGCGCCTTTCCAGCAGGATTGGACGGCTTTGCAGTGACAGTATTCAGAACACCTTTCAGACCTGACATTGACATTGGCCGTTGGGCAGGCTGGGAGAGGACCGGCTTGACATCCTGCTTCGCGGCAGGTTTTCCGAGAGCCGAGTCATCACGGCTAGCACGGGTCATATCCTTGGTGTTACTCACGTCACCAAACGCGCGACGAGCACCATTCTTCACACTCAAGGCCATGGCGCTCAACGCCGGGGTGGACTTATTGCGCTGGTGAATGGTCTTGCCAGCCTGGAAGGTGGTGGGCGGCATGTTTTCATCCCCGCGGACACGAATACGCTGTGGCTAAGAATCAAATCAGCTTTGGAAGGGCAACAATGGTTGCCTGCGCGCGACAATGTGAAGTATGTCGAGTTCAGGCACAAGTACACCAAACACGACACGAGGGGGAAAAGCAATCGAAGCTGAGGGAAAGAAATCGTCGCGCAAATCGGAATCACACGTACCTTCGCATCCATAATGGCGAGTCTCGAGGTGTTGTCGAGTTGTAGATGAGAGAAAGGAAGAGAGGAATTGTTTACGTTTTGCTCGTTGAGGATGAGCAAGGTGCGAGTGGGCCCCTGGCGTCTAATTGGACAATGGGGGCAAAACAAACAGTCGAATGCCGCAGGACTCGCCCTGGAACGCTGTATTCGTGTTACAAGGGTCGCCCGGGGAATCAGCACTGTGGAGCTCGCGGTGACCTTCTTAACAAGCGCACTGTAGATGGTTTCAGACCACAATTTCGAAATTTCAGAGAGAAGATATGTCGTTTCGAGCCTATTTTGAAGTAAGTCGCTTTACCTGAACCTCGCAAAGCCTGCGCAGATCATGGAGATTTCAGTACAACATGACAGTACCGATACCACAATACGCTAGGGGCTCTTCTTTTGCACTGTTTGACCGTCTTATGTCAGCATTCCAGCGGTCACCATTGTCTTATCGGCTTATCTATGACGTTATCATCTTATCGTCACGTCTCCCTCCATCGGCGGAATTAAACATTTTGGTGCACCACCGCCCCGCCATTTCTTTATGATTTGCAAAAAGTTATCCTGGACAAGTTGATAACCCCACGGAAGAATACCGATCAAAAACAAGCTAAACTCATGATCGGTGTGGGCGCAATCGCCACTTTCACTAGAAAGTGGCCCCCAGACGCGCTAGCACGCGGACCCACGTGATCCACACCGCCAGCACCGGATCGAGCGGTAAACGTTCTGGCAGCCTTTGATCAGCCGAAGCGCATCCGAACTCGCCCATCTTTGCGACGAGTTGGGCATCGATTGTTCCCGCTCCGAGGGCGCCGTGCGGGGGTCTCGCACAATTCAGTTCGGGGACCCTGACTGGCTCCCATTGCTCCTGCGTTGACTTTCGGTCTGGAGCCCATTTTGTAAACGCACGTTCCCACAGGCAATTCTCGACCATTCAATTCATAGTCCACGTTCCTGCACTAAGGTCGCAGAATGCTCGAGGATCCCCGGGTACTCTGGTAGTCTGCAAGGTTCCAACGGAAATTCCATGTAACGAGAATTCCTTTCTTGCACTTACGTAGTTCCCGAGAGGAGGGGTAAACTCGGCCTGCAGATCATGCGAAACACGCTGTGACGACGGTCATGCGATGGTCGCACTGGCTGTCTATTCATACTCCGGTTTCGAGGATACTGGCAATAGGATTCGGAACTTTGCGCGACATCTACTGCTTCTCCTGGTCCTATTCTTCCTTCAAGGGGTCCTCGACGTCCTGCATCTGCACCCCGCGCTTGCCCTTCATCGTAGCTGCTAGGGCACGAGGCTTGTCGCAAGATCTAGACTTTCGGCTCTGGCGCTTTGGATCTACCATGCGACAAGGATAGCCGGAGTCGCATGGCTGATGCCCGCCGTCGCCAATGTGCGACCACCATTTTTTATTAGCGCTAAGTCCCATGAAAAACATACTGACGTTCGAGAAGGCACACCACGTAGGGTACTCGGAGTCATTGCTATTCGTCTTTGGTCCCAATGTCCACCGGAGTCAGTCGAGGGGGAGGCGACAAGGTACCTGCTGTGCGCTGCTCAACAGATGCTGTTGTCCACCCCCATAAATATACAATGTAGCGCATTCATCACATCGCAGACTAATTTGAGTCTAATTTCCATCGATACCGCTCACTATGGTTAAACAGAGCGCTTGGCGCAAAGGCATGAGGGTTGCGACAGCATTGCGCATTGCGAAATACCCGGTCCTGGAGGATAGAGGTTAGATTGCATCAAATTTACCTCTAGTCGAGATTTAAAGTAGCTACGATGAATCTACAAGCTTGAAAGAAGCTCTGCGACGTAAAATTGGAATGTGACGGCTGCTATGGCGGGCGCCGGAAGCGCAAATCGCCATGTCACCGACCCAGGCAGGCCGTTTTCTCGCTTTAGGTGAAACCATCGTACGCACCCACTTCAACCTTCTAACTTTCGCTCATCCAACACTTTCACGACAACTGGCTCTGCCCAATCAGGTATGTATTTCTATCTCTACTCTGGCGCTTCTGCCTCCGCCTCCTGCCTCATCTCGCCTACTGGAGTCACCGCTGACATAGCCGCTGCGCTTCGTAGACGACAATCCCCTCGCCTACGCCCTCAACCGAACCCATCGATCAGTCCCCGATCTCGTCTTGAACCGCCTGAAGACGTGCGACCCTGTTGAAATCGGTGTGGTCTGTGTTAGGTGTGTCTACATTGCTCTCCATCCTCATCCGAGTCTTCTCGTTCTCCCCCCAAGCCTACTCCCAAGGTCGGTCGAACTCGGCTAGCAAACGTCCACCCACCCATCATCTAGCATCCTCCATCATCCTCCTTGCGAATCTGATTATCTGGGATCGCATTGTGCTGACACTGGTGGTGGGTTCCCTCCCAGATTGCCGACTCTGCCTCTTCCCGACTTCTCGGTTGCGACAAGCAGATTCCCCTCCCCCCCATCGAAAAGCCCTGCGTCCAACACACTTCGACATCAACAACCTCGGTGGTGGTCCATCCACCATCCAGCAACCTCGAATTCTATAACTGTGGTAGGTTTGATGGGTCACTCCCTTTCCCTTACCCCTCTACACCCCATGTTCTACCTAGACCCGGTCATGGGTCCCGTCATCCGTTTCCTCTATCACACACGAACAGTGGGTTGATGCAGTTATCGGAATAGCAAGCAGAGGATTCTGTCCTATCCTGGACCTGCCCGCCATGCAAGCAGTCCAGCATGAAGGGCCCTCTGCCCTGGTAGACCATCCGGTTCTGGCAGACGTCTCCCGAGAACTGTCGCTTAAAAGCCCGGTGCCCAAGAACGTCGCCTTCGAGCTTCTGTTAGACGAGAATTCCAAAGTTCGAGCTCGTATCCCAATGCGCGTTCAAATATACCCTCACGATACAACGGATTCGATCGTCACCACAGTCAAAAATTTCTATGGCATCTACGACGGCACTGCCAGTGGGGTGAGCTTCGAGGACGAACATGGGACAACCCTCATCGCCAGGTACGAAAACTTGAAAAATAACATGACCGTATATGTACGAGTCATTCCCATTCAACCTTTTGGGGATTCTTTCTACGGCGGCTTCCCCGCCGAGCGCAAGCGCCCAAGCCTAGGTGAGCCCTTCCAGATGGTTGATGGTATGGCGCCGGTCCTCGACCAGCCATCTCGCCCATCTTCACGGCTCGCACGCAAGCGCAGCACTTCGCCATCGAACAGGAGTCTGCGCAGTGCTTCTCAACACAAGCAGGCTTCTCGTAGTGGCATCAAAAGCCGGGGCTCAAGCATTCACGGCGGCTACCCTGATGAGGATCCCGGGTTGAGCGACACTGAGTCGACCTATACTCGCAAATCGCGAGGAGATACATTCGCAAGCTCTGAAATAAGCATGGAAAACATACTGCAAGATGGTCGTCGGAAACGACCCAAGTTTGACAGCTCGGTAAGTGTGATGCTGTGCGCTCGATTTTTTTTTTTTCCTTTCTCGTCTAATACTTTTTCTTCCTCAAGGAACTTCCTCTCTTTGTCCCTCCTCAAGTCCCTCTCACTACCTCAACCTCCTCCATCTCTCCTCAGCGTCGTTCCATCGGTCAGGAAGGTGCTGGCTCACCTTTTGCTCGTCCTACCCATCGCCCTTATAACTATCAGCAGGCGCTGCCGTCGCCACAAAGCTACGGCCCCAGCGAATACGGAAATCAATCAGGGCGTAATAGCGTGTATGCGACACCCATGGTTCCGGACCATGCGCACCGCATACCGTATAGCAATTCGGCCCGCGAGTAAGTGGTTCTGGTATCCTGCCTACCCCCGACCCCACTATCGCAAGCTGCATCTCCGATGAAGACGTCGCAATGCAGCTGATTCGCCTCGGCGATGCATCCAATTTCTCACATGGGCGCACATCAGCCTCAACGCTTGATGATGCCTTCAGCGGCGCTGCTGATGCCGCCTCTTCTACTGGCGCTACCAGTGACGGAGAAGACTTTAGCGAAGATGAGGATGACTTGCCGGCTCGCCGCAGACTTGACTCAAGTCCAATGCTTCCTCCAGGTGCTATCAAGCGCCACCACAAACGTTTGGACGATATCCTCCCCAGTGCCGACAGCAGTGATCATAGCTCCGACGGCCTTGACGACGGCATCAAGAGCGAGGGTGAGGAAGACATATTGTACAAGGAGTTCGCTCCCAAGTCCAAGAAGCCTAGGAATCGCCCCAACTCCGCCAAGGCTCGTAGCCAGAAGCCTATGGCTAAGCAAAGCAAGAGCAAGAACTCCTCTTTGCCGCGCAAGCCCTCTGACAAGCCCGGTCTCGTCGGGCCCATGCCTCCTCTCAGCCCTAGCTCATCACGCAAGGTCTCCAGCGGTTCCGTCAACTTCCAGCACCAGCTTGGCGCCGACGAAGAGGACCTCTCCACCAAGCCCCGTTGCCAACGCTGCCGAAAGAGTAAGAAGGGCTGTGACCGCCAACGTCCCTGCGGGCGTTGCAAGGACGCCGGAATCGGAATTGAAGGATGCGTCAGTGAAGACGAGGGCAATGGACGCAAGGGCCGATACGGGCGCCACATGGGCGTTCCAGTGAAGAAGGACGACGCATCAGAGGAAAGTTATGAGCTGCCCCCGATGCCAGGAACACCCATGACGGCAGCAGACATCGCAGACAAGAACAAGAAGCGGAAACGCTAGTCGAATATCCTGTTCGTTCCCGTCACGGATCTACCTCCCTCCTAGCACCCTGTCCTGATCCTCACTCCCTTTCATTCCTGATCCCTCATCGTCACCATCAATTCTATCTCTCTCTATCTTTTTACATTTTGACCCCGGATGGGACGTGACACTCATTATATTCGACTTATCTCCACATTCCCTTCTCCCCCGATTTTACAAAGTCCAGCGGGTTGATTGTTCAGTGTTCTCTTCGGCGTCCATTGCGGGTTTACCTTTTCTGTCAACTTCCATTCACTCTTTCAGACTCAATGCTACTGGTTCTCTGTTCATCTTGCTGTTGCCGGATTTCGTGGTGGATGCTCAGGTGGTGTGGTGTGGTGTGGTTCATGGTTCACATCTTTGGAGGTTGGCTCTGCCTTGCAGTGAGATATATATTTCGGGGGAGGCAGAGTTGTGTGTTCGACATTGGCTGTATAAGGTGCTATGGGTTTATTTTTGTTTCTGATGAGTAGTTTGGGAATTGAATCTTTTCGTCTATCTATATTTTTCGGCAGCCGTCAATAGATGCTAGTTGTAGGTGATACTGGTTAACTCTGGATTTGGATGTGCTTAGTCAAGACATCATAGAGTGGGGCTGGGCTGACTCGATCCGGCATGAAGATGGAGAGCTAGGTGGTGGTGGCATAGAGAATCGCAGAGACGCATGCAATGCAGAGATATTCCCAAGCTCACAATGAGATTACCATGAGGCTCGTCCGGTTCAAACACTGACATTCAGGCGATCCAAATTTAAGTGCTTGTGAAGGTGAAGCTGTGGAATCTCCATCAAGTCATGTGACTCACAGCTTTGAAGACGGTAAAGAGCGGCAAAAAGGCCCCGCGGTTATTTTTGAGCCTCGAATACTGCAACTTTTTTGCCCGCATGAATTGACATTTCTTGAGCACACTACCGCCTTATATTCTCCTACTTGCTGAGGAAAAACTCTCCAAAGCATTCCCAAATCCCTGCAACAGCCAATGTGCTAGGCAATTCATTACTTCACCTCAAATTCGACTAGCAGGACGCCAACGGCGTCTTGCCTGCACATCTCCTCAATATGCCCCCCAAAGCTGGTACCAGACGACCAGCAGCGCGACGATCCGAGGGCTCAGAGCCAACGCCCACACCCGGGGCCGGCGCAGAATCCAGTCAGAATGCGCCTGAGCGCGGCGCATCTGCATCTGGATCTGCGAGCGCAACTCCCGGTCCTTCCAGACCCGTACAACGACTGCAGTCACTGAAGACAAGAGGCGGTTCCGGAAGTATTGCACCCAAGGCCCGACCACCGTCCGCGCTTGGCGGTGAACCGGCCAAACCGACACTGAAATACAAGCCGCGGAATGTCGGGCGCCGAAGCAAGGAAGAGCGTGAGGCGATTGAGAAACTTGAGGCTGAGCGGCACAATGAGCGTCTGAAAGAGCAAGCTGCGATCCAACGCGGAAGGGGTGGTGGACGTGGTGGACGTGGGAATTTCCGTGGACGGGGCGGGCCAGCTGGCATGGCCGCGAGTGGACTTTTCGGGTCCGGAATGGGCGGTGCTCATCGGGGCCGGGGGGGTGGAAGTGGTGGTGGCGGTGGATATGGAGGTGGTGGTCGGGATCGCACGCGCTCTGTGGTCAGTGGTGCTGCAGGACAGGCTACTTTTGACGATGATTCGGACGAGGATGATTCCAGAGGCAGGCTTGATATCAACTATATCAATGAGTTGGACGATGATGACGATTACGAGAATTTGCCTCAGGATGTCAAAGGCAAGTTACCTTATCGACCTAAGCGGGATGGCCTGTTGCCTTTCCGTGTGCACCGCATTGAGCATGAGGAGCGTGTTGTCAGTGTGAATATGGAATCTAGCTCGAGTCGGTCGGCTGAACTACGCAAGAAGGCCGAGGCAGAGAAGGCTACCGAGCAGGGCGAGACCACTCCCGTGGAGGAATTTGAGGATGAGCCGCGTGTCAAGAACGAGCCGGTTGACGACCACGATGCTCCTATGGTCGATGCTCTCCCTCATGCTGAGGACGATGGCTTCTTGCCTGCACAGAACGTCCGCGTGCGTCGGAAGGTGCCTCCTTCCCCCCAGAAGCCGAAGCCCAGACGAACAGACCCGATTTCGCTGGAACCCGAGCAAGTCGTACGAGACCCGCGGGCGTTGCTGCGTACTAAGGAAGAGATTGATGAATACGATCGACACCTGGAGGATCTGGAGCATGTGCGGAACCTTTTGTTCTACGAGCCGCCCGAGAAGCCTGATACTACGACTGAAAATACACCCGCCGAGACGCAAACGGTGGAAGCCGAAGGCGAGAGTGCAGCCGTGACACAGGACGAGAACGCAGAAGACGAAAAGGAAGACGAAGAAGATAAGACTACCAATCCGAAACTCCTCGGTCAGCTCTTCTTGATGCAATTCCCTCCCATGACTCCCAACCTGACGGTCCCCGGTTCCGTCACATCTGTCTCTGCCCACACACCCGCTCCCGCTCCTACTGCCCCAGGCGAAGTCAAGACCGAAGACGATCTGCAGGTCGTTGATGCCGATGGCCCCAGCACCGAGACCCCCGCGGTGATCACCGCCGGTATGGACTGGGCGCTTCCCGCTGGCCGAGCCGGCAAGCTAAACGTTCACAAGTCCGGCCGAGTCACGATGGACTGGGGCGGCATCAGCTTCGAGCTGGACCGCGCTGCAGCGGTGGACTTTGTGCAGGAGGCACTGATTGTGTCATCGCCTGAACCTGATGTGCCGGGTGCGCCGCCCAAGGACGAGTCTGAGCAGCAGGCCTGGTCGATGGGACAGCTAAGCGGGAAGTTCACAGTCATGCCGAACTGGGACAAGATGCTTTGATTGTTGCCGGGTGGCGTTCGGGTGCATAGAGTACAAGTACACTTCTTCGCTAGGACGGTTCTGGCATGTTGTAAGAGTAGTCTTATCAAGGGAGAGGAATATCCATCCATTTCAAGATAGATATGACATTCTTCCCCCGTGTCTGTCGTGCCTTTTGTCACCACACAGTGACCGTCAAAGTCTGTTCGTCGCTGAACCGCGGTTTCTCAAATAAGCATTCGTGAGCGCTTTTGATTGGTGAAAATCCCATAAAGACCCACTAATTACCATTTTGAGCCATCATCACTATACTCAGTAGACACACACCCGTTCGACAATCTTGCCAATATGATGGAATATGACGATAAAAATTCCTAAACCCAGTTCAGAGAGGTAAAGAAAGACATCGCAAGTACCTTAAATCGCGGAGATAAATCGCGGAGATGCCAAAAAGTGGAAAACCTGCTCCTGTCGAGGCGACCAGAACGGAGTCTCCAATCCGCCAAGCGACGGCACGATACTCCCAAAATTGCCCAGAGCTCCGCCGCCATTTGCCACACGTTTCAGTAACGCAGCAGCCCTCAACTTTGGCATCGTCTCATATCTCCTATACACCTACCCCTATTCCAGTAGCGTTGGCGCGGACATTGCCCACACTTTGCAAGCAGTCCACAGTCTTCGCAAAGACAGTAGAAGCGGGTCCCCGTGCTCCAAGTCGACCGAGCCATTGCACTCCCAAATCCCGTTTGATCTGCGAAAGCCAAAACACCTCACAGCCGGATCATCCGGTGCCGACTGTACAGATAGCACCTGGTTTCACAGGCTTAGGGATAGGAACGATCTACTAGAAGCTTCCCACGCGGTCAGCGAGCAAGCCACGACTTATTTTTGGAAACCCCAGGTATGCAGGATGCGGGATCAGTGCAGCTGATCGGCGCAGATACCGAGTTGGCCGCGCCCCTACCCTCTAGCCTGGCTATGGAAAGCCCGGGGGCATAGCCATGCATGCAGAGAGCCATGGGAATCAGGGACGTGAGACTGGCCGTTTCGCGACCCACTGTTCCAGGGGTTCATTTCCCACTGTTCCAAGGGTCTATTTCAGCAAAGACCCATGTCGATCGAGGACCGTGTGGGTCGCAGGACCAAGGCAGAGTGATGACCGACTTCATCATCGGGGACTGAAGACCCAGGTCTCGAACCACGACCTGAGAAGGGGGAAATAGATGAGGTTCTCGAGCGGGCTAACGATGGGTTGTGCTAGTGCTTAGTGCTAGTGCTAGTGCTAGTGAGTAGCAAGGGCCAAGAAATGAGCGCAAGGGAAAAAGTGAGCGAACCCGGGCGACGGAGCCAATTAGCGCCCCTATGTCACGATACTAACGATATTAAGTGGAGTCGAGTCCCTGACGGGCCGTGGGTTCGATCCTAGGGCCTCTTTTCATTTTCATTTTCATTTTCATTTTAATTTTCATGATCTTGTCTTTTTTTTTTTCTTTTTCTTTTTCAGTTTCCTAGATTCCCTTCTTTCCATTACTGCATTGCCCCGGATCCAGTTTCCTTGAGACGTGGATACTCATTTAAAGGTCCGCGCTGAGCCTCCCGGCGGTCCTACATTTCCGCCCCCCCTTATTCAAACCCTCAGACCCCGTCAATCCCACCACCCCCTCGAAACTCCTAAATCTTGATCAACTATAGACACGCTTGCTGTGTCCGTCCCTATCCCAGATTCCACCTGTGGGAGAAATTAGACTTGATCGCAAAAGGGGCCGCCCGCTCACCACCCCGACTGAGATCTCCTGTTGCCTCGCCAACTCGAAACCCCGTCACCGCGACCCGCCTTGGCGTTGCTTGTTTCTCGCGCGAGCTGTTGACCACCCCCCGCCACCGCAAATTCCATCCAGAAGAACCTAGAATCGCCATGAGGCCAGCGTATCTCCTCGCGGCCCTCGCGCCGGTCGTTCTCGCCGGCCAAGCACAACCCCGCGACTACTCTCCGGACCTTGACCTGCACCTGGCGCGTGCCCCCGTCGATTTAATATCGGAACACATTGTCGCGCGTGAATCATTCCCGGGTGTTGAATCCGAGGACAATAGGTCGACACAGCACGCGGCGCGACATGTTCTGCAAGCGCGCAGTGAGGGTTCGTTAGGCCAGACTCCGTGGATCGGAATGGCGATCGGACTTACCTGTACTGCTTTGGCGGCGGTGATGCTGGGTTAGCTTGCGGCTTCTTTTTTTTCCTTCGATTCTACGCCATATCTTCGATTACTCGATCCGATTCTGACACGATACGTGACGCGCCCTCCGACCATTTTTTATCATCTTTAATCCGCTTCTACCTCACCTTCACCTTCATCTTTGCCTTCCACCTTTACTATCATCTTCATTGTCCAAACTTCATCTGGACCATTTTGGCGAACATTTCGACCTTTCTTTCAGCGACTTCTTCACACCTTTGCATCCCACGCCTGCGGGCATGGGGATTGTCTGAGCCACCCTTGCATTCCCTCAATGGGAGTATAGAGCTGCATGTTGTACATGATACCTTTTTTTGTCTGTGTGAATACATTCCCGGGACCTGCCCGGGTTGGGACTAGCTTAATGCCCATGTATATAGTCCAATGCATGGCAGAACTTCCTTGACTTGAAACGTTTGCTGCTTCCAGCTTCCCCTCATAGCGGGTTCTTTGCGTAGATCAAGGTTCACCGATACTTGACGAGTCACTTTTGTGGTTTGTGATGACTTCAAGCATCTGTCCTCTCACTACTCCGATTGTAATTCTCTTTCCTATGCTATTCTCTCACCCAGTCCAGTTACTGACTTCTATGAATTATTCTCGACAACTCCAGGTGTCGAGTCCAAAAACCGCCCCCAACTCCGCGACCCCGCCCCTCCCCACTTCGATCTGACATCTCTAAACCTCCACTTCCCAGTTCCATGCTCGAGACTCTGAGAACCCGTCCAAGCACGTACAAATGGTATTTAAAATGTCTTCGAACCCCGAAACCAACACAAACTACCCACCCTATACCCCCATCTCCTCTCTCGGCCGCGAACTGGGCATTACCTTCGCCTTCATCGGCGCGTGTTTGGTCACTATAGCGATCTATTCTATTTTCTGGCGAGGTATGTCTTCCCCCTTCACTGCATAGATCAAGCCTTATTCTACCTATGGCCTTTGAAATATCATGCCATATTGGTTGACTGTCAACTTGCATCATTCACGTCAATGTATGACCATGAAGAGCAAGGACCAGAACTAACATGTGCAAAGCGCAACAACGGCGCAATGCTGATGAAGATCTTGCCCGTCGGCGCGCGTTTCATAGTCGTCTTGCGCCAGAGGATTTACCGCTGGGGACGACGGCGAGTGTTACGACTGGGCATTTGGGACGAGGTCGGGTGCGTGAGAAGATGATGGATGGGCTGCTTTTGCCTGAAGAGAGAGTTGAAGGGAGTCGGGGAGGTGTTGGGATAGCGGAGCTTTTATGATTCCGACCTTTTTTCGGTTCTATGTTATGGTGTTTGTGGGTGTTTATAGGTGTGGTTATTTGGATAGGACTCGGTGTACATGGTGTTCAGTGGGCATTCAACGGTAACATACCCCCGTTATTCCAGGGTCATGCAGTATCTATCATTTATTATACAATAAAGGGTATCAATATGACTATCAATTACAAACAGGTTCCATAAAACCCTTCGTCCACAACAACGACCCCATAATGACAACCAACAACCCAAGTCCACAGCCCACACTTCCAATTCCGTAAACATAAGCATGTCTCCTATTCCCTAATCCATTCAATTCCGAAACCCACGTACTGACAGTCGTCGTACTCCCACAAAACCCATCCATCATCCCCTGCAAGACCTGACACCCAACTACCGATCCAACCTCAGCTCCAAGCCCACCCACATGCTGCAAATCAAAACACATCCCCTCAACCGCCGTGCCAAACATATTGACCACGAAAGTGCCCAACGGGAAAGCAGCAATCCGCGCATTCAGCATCAACGAAACATAAAACCGAAGCAAACACCCCACCGGCGCCAAGACAAGCGCGAAAACCACTCGTCCCCGCCAAACCTCCCTCTCCTCATGACGATCAGGCGGCCAAATCGCCAGGAACACCGCGCCAAGCCAACACCCCCATCCTAGGACCACAACTGCACGATCCAACACACGTCTCGTCAGCACAAAGGGCACAGTAGGCGTAAACCGTCCCAAGGCAAGCGCAAGATGCGCACCAAAGATCAGCGCCGATAAACTCAACGATACAGTAACGATTATCACCGCCAGTAGTGCCATAAAACTATACCCGCCATTCCTGGATGCAATATTCACACCAGTAGGGAGACTCGGATCCGGGAGCGCATTCGCCAGGGCCAAGAAGACGTCTCGCATAAACGAGGAAAAGGAAGTAAAGCACCCGCAGAACCCTGTTGTGAGTCCGATATAGAGCGGGATCGTCTTTTTCACGGCTTTGTGTTTTTTGGTGTGTTCGGGGTCGGAGGTTGGGGTCGGAGGACTGGAGGTGCCCCATTCTTCGCGGAAGAGGTTCTTGTCTTCGGATAGGAAGCCCATGATTAGGCTGCCGGCGACGTTGGCCCATAGGACGCCGGTTGTGATGGGCGCGCCGGTGTAGAATGTGAGGGATTGGAGGCCTAGGCGCGCGAGGGTGCCGAGAATGGAGAAGAATATTAAGTAGGAGGTTGTGTAGAGGTGGAGAAAGGGTTTGGGTATCCCATGGTCATGGTGAGGTGCTGTTGGTGTTGGCGCATCGGTCTCGGAAGGGGTGGTTTGCCATTGGGAGCGTTGGCGGGGGGTGGATTCTACCGGCTGAGGGGCGGTCGTCTCGGTGAGAGGTGGTTGGGTGGTTTTTTCAGGGTCTAGCGCGTTGAGGGAGGCAAAGGTGCTGGATGTAGGCATGGCAAGTCCGCCGGGAGGCGAAGATGAGAAGTCGAAGTTCCAAGTCGGAAGTGGAGCTGGAGTTGGAGTTAGGAAGTGGGTTTGCGGTGGAGCTGATAAGAGCCCCTTGGTATCAAGACTGCTGATAGTGAGTGGGACATCTAGTTGGTGTTTGCGGTGTCTATGAGTCCTGGACTAGATGTCGCTGCAAGTTGTTCTCTCGAGGGAGATATATGCTATGAGGTTGGAAAGGTCGAGTCATTCCGTGGTTGAGCTCCGTCATTGGAACCAGGTGCTCTTGGGCGAGGATCTGGGGTCCATGACGACGACTCGACTAAAGAGCAGAGAGGTGAGGAATTAATATATAGAAATATATAAATTAGACTGGGATCAAGTACCAGGGAACAAAGATTGGATTCTGGACAGGGGAGGTGATAAGCAGTGCAGCTCGTAGTGCAGCATTGATCAAGACCCCCTCCTTCACGTATTACTTTCCCCCTCATCCTCTCAATCCAAACCCCCAACTCCAACTCCAACTCCAAATACAACTACAACCGACCAGGATGACTCTCCCTTCAAACGTCCATGTCTCGTCCCACCCATGCCTCCAGGCTAAGCTATCCCAGCTCCGCTCACAAAGCACCAGTCCTCGCGAGACGAGAGATCTAGTCCATGAGATAGCCTCCATTCTAGGCGTCGAGGCCTTTGCCAAAGGCCTGAAGCTGAAATCAACAGGCAAGGTTAGAAAAGTCACCTCTAGTAACAATGACCCCATATCTAAAGAGACAAGCAGGACAAAACTCCCTTGGGCGTGGAATACGAAACCCAAGGCATCGACCCCGCGGACCTCGCTCTCGTCCCAATCCTCCGCTCCGGCCTGGGAATGGTCGAAGGTCGGTCTGCGATTCCATCGCCCCAGATATTCCCACCCATAATAAAGCCCATAACCAAAATGTAAACTAACCCAAAACCCCCAGCTCTAAACTCCCTCCTCCCCACCGCCGTTCCCATCTACCACCTAGGTCTCTTTCGCGACAAAATGACCCTCCAACCAGTCGAATACTACAACAACCTTCCCTTCCACCGATCCGATCTTTCACCCGCCTCCCCAGCCTCTCTAGATCCATCTATAAACACCGCCGCCGCCTCGCTAGCCGTTCTGATAGACCCCATTATCGCGACGGGGGCGACTGCCGAAGCGGCGATCCATCTGCTAAAGGACTGGGGGGTAAAAAAGGTGATTATGCTGAGTGTGCTTGTGTCGAAGGATGGCGTGAAGCGTGCGGCGGCGGTGTGGGAGGATGCTGTTGAGGTTTGGGTTGGGGGCGTAGACGAGTCGTGTAATGAGAAGGGGATGATTGTTCCTGGGGTGGGGGATATTGGGGATCGGTTGTTTGTTGCAGTTGGGAAATAGTAAGATCAAAGGATAAGTATCAAATTCTTTCGGAATTTTATTAGAGTGTGAGATTTGGTGTTGATTTGGCTTGTTTCGTATCTATATGTTCTATGTCTTGGTTCACGGTATGGTAGATCTATTCCAAGTGTTGTAGAGCGTGGGCTATCAATCTGCACTCGCCTTTCTCGATACATGTGTGGAATTCAAGCTGCTGAACTCCTGGGTGCTCTCTTTACTCGTGGGATCTTACAGCTCATCAAATTTTCATGAACGGGGCGGAGGGTGAGAGGCTTTTTAGTGGTATAAATTGGTTGGGGGTTAGACAACCATAGCTAGGCCAATGCTTTCTTGATAATCGGACATGTGTACTAAAAATCAAGGATCTATGCATGCACACCGCCCCAAATTGACGTGGCATCTGATTTCGGGGCTTTATGCACATGCAGTAGGACATTGGGCACACACCAGATTTGAACAGTCAGAGCGACTAGCGGCTCAACATCCTGTCTATATTTCCTCGCGTCAGTCTCATTCTCTCTGCTTGGAAGCGAGCACGATGTTAGACCTGAACGAGCTGCGAAAAAGGTATGAGAATATCAGAACTATTGAAGATACCAAGGACAAGGTGATCGAGGCATGTAATTCACTTATAGATGCAGACTGTACTTGACTGATGAGTCAAAATGAACCTAGGAGCTTTTCAATTACGTACAAAGCCTTAAAGAAGTACTCCGACACGAGAAGAACCAGTGTGAGGACCAGAAGAAGTTAGTCGGGCCTTATAGAGAAGACACGAAGAGGGTCTGAGAGTGAGCTGGAAGAGAGAAATCTGATGAAAGTAAGTTCTGCGATTGTTCCTATTTGCTCAATAGCTCCGTGAACGCTAGCTTGATATTGACTCTATACGCACAGGCGAGGTTGAGCTTCGTATCAGTACTAGTTGATGGCGACCATATGAACGTGAGCAGGAGCCTTTCCACTGATGATTCCAGCTTGAACTGATTTGTCAACGCAGTTCATGGACGAGTTGGTTCAAGATGGACAGAAGGGTGGTCATTCCGCCGCAAAAGCGCTTATCGAGGCTGCTCGAGATCATGTTCGACGGGTGAACTCGAATAGTAACCCCAACATCCATCTCAAGATTCGGGTGTACGCAATTAGGGCTGGTCTGGCGAAAACGTATGCCGATACAGGCATTGTGAGCTCAACGGATATCCTGAGCGATTTTATACAAGGTTTCAACATGGAAAATCCTCTGTGAGACTTTGTAGATGCGGGTAACGGGAAGGAATGTTCTGATGTGAAGGTTCGAGATGAGAATTTTCCCTTCCTAATTCCGAAGATGAAGAGATCCTAAACGTATTCCTTAGCTCATTTTGAGCATAATCTCCGGGATATCCATTGTCAACATATCATTTTCTGTGGATCTGCAGATAACGGTTATGCCCGTGTATTGGGACCCCATCGTGGATCGAGTCGTATTTCACTTGTAGAGGGACCCCCATTCCCTCGTGAGTTGAGAGACTTGGCATCTGAATTCGAGACAACCTCATTCCCTAGCGTCTTTCGATCAAAGAATTCATCCAGAAGAGTGTCATTCGGCAGTACAAGAGTCGGACAAGCCATCACACCATCATGCCGCATGCAAACTACGCCTCTATAGCGAGAACATCACCTCTAGTATCAGAGGGCAGTTCCCCACTGACAAAACCGCCCACCCAGAAATTGATTTCTCGCAGTTCTCTGTTAGTCGTGCACAGAAATGTGAATGGTGAACGGGTTGACAGTCCGTTGAAATACTCCACGAGGGCCAAACTTGAGGTTCTGAAGCAGCATAAATCTTGCAACCAATTTCATATATTGGGGTCCTGCTTTTACGGAGAGTCTTGTACTCATAAGCATGAACCACGGCTTGCTAATCAAGAGGTAGTTGATCTGAAGTGGATTGCCCGATTGTCTCCCTGTTCAAAGGGGTTGCAATGTAATGACGAGCGTTGTGTCAGTGGCCATCGGTGTCCCCACGAGACGTTGAAGGGGTGCAAGTTTCCCCACGAAGTTGACACCAGAATTGTCCTCTCTCTTTGATGTCATGGGTTCTCTTGGTCTATATTCAGCATCTTCTCTGATATTTTGACGGAATGTCTTGATATTATCTTAGCAAAGTCATTTCGCCCAAGGTATCGCCGCATCATTCATGGTCGGAGAAAGCGAAGGTGACTGTTAGTATGTCATGATTTGATCTCAACATCCAAGTCGCTGATCTATTAGGCACCAACTGCCAAATCATCTAATTAACTAGTTTTCATCCCAGGGCCCCTGCTTTGAAATTACGTTAAGGGACCCCGCCCGAGTTGATTATTGACGGGACTAGTTAGTAATATTACTTAAATTGTACTCTCTACTGGAAATTCAGAATTCCACCAAAATTTCATTAAGTTATGTGACTGAGATTCGAATATTGCGAGGTGACTTGAAGTAAACCATGCGCTCGTAAATTGAAACCTGCCAACGGCTCGTGTTACAAGAGCTTCAGTGGAAGGTACCATGTTGGAGAGTATTCATCATCGTTCGGTGCAAATGTTTACATGTGAGAATATTCCCCGTCAATATGTTGAATTCATCGATTACGTATAGTACATGGAAATAAAGGCATGAAACATGTGCAAAAAGAAGCCAAATGCAAGCAATGCAGAGCGGAGAATCGAACCAAACCATAAATCACGCGTGAACGGGGAAAAGCAAAAAACATGCAATAAACGTCAAAGACAGCGACCCAGAAAGGCCCAGGCCACAAGGAAAAAATTCAATCAAAGATCAAAGATCGGAGATGGCAACGCGCACGAAACAAAACAAGAAAGAGCAGAAAAGTCAAAAGGTATCAGGAGATCAAGATCAAGCAGAATGGACTGAGGGCACGATTAGGGGTTAAAGATGAGACTTTCAAAAGAAAGCAAAAGCAAAGAGAAAATAAAAAACTCCATCGAGTGCGAGAACACACAGGACCAGCCGGGTGTCGAGGGAAAAGCAGTAACAAAGATGAACACCACACCGGACTCCCTGGTGCAAAAAAGCAGAGGGGAAGATGCAACCCAAAATCAAATCGAAAAGAAACTCAGGAATCACCTATGAGGCATTACCGGCAAAGGATTTTCCCATATCCAAAAAAAAACACCTGCCTTGTCCTCCGGTGATATCCATTCCTGATTTCCCGTGTCCCAATAAAAGCGTCCAAAAATGAGAGTAAGAAAGCCCGAGTTATTTTTCTGAGATAGTTGCAGATGATTAGTACGCAGTGCCGACGCTGGCGAGCGACTTGGTTGGCACTGCGTGGATCGGCTGATCCTTTGCGACACGCAGAGAATCTTCGTAGCCGACCAGGGCCTGGGAGTGAAGCTTGAACGATTCGCCCATCAACTTGGTGATTCTATTGGCAGTTAGTATATAGTGAGAACAAAGACTGGAGAAGGACATACCCCCAGACAACCACGCCGTCAAGGATGTTACCCCAAACACGGGCGACGGTGGAACTGAGTTTGCCAAAAGCGTCGATGGCATCGTCGTCGAACAGGTTCCGAACCTTATTGTAGATGGCCAGCTCAGCCTCTGTCGCCGGCTCGTCGTCATGTTCCAGGCGGTAGAGCCAGAGACTCAGGATGACCATCAGATCGAGGCCGCAGAGAGGGTGCTCGACACTCCAGTTGGTGGCGGAGGTCTTGGCAACCCAGTTGATTCCTTGAATGGCCGCGATCTCAATACACTCAAAGCACTGCTGCACGACCTTGTTCATCTCCTGACCACGCTTGACCTTCTCGCGGGCGACGGTCATGGCAGCAGCAACCTCGTACGAGGAGTGATAGCGCATGGCCTCTTGGATGGACTTGAGATCAACTTCCAAGCGAGCGCGAGTGTTACGATAGACGGCCATGGAATTAAAGATGAGGGGATGGCCCTTTTGGGGAGTGCTGAGCGGGACCACAATGGTTTCAGACTCGCAAACCTCGAGGGAGCTCTCCCAGGTCTCTAGGGCGAGGCGGAGCTTGTACTCGGTAACAACATCTTGCAGGGCCTCGAAGCTGCGCTTGTGATTCCAGACTTGAAGGAAGAGGGCGTTGATGAGAACGCGGGTAGCAAAGGCGCTGTAGCGGGTCTGCTCGCCCTGGAACAGGAAGTCGTGGGCCTCGCGAACAGTGAGAGTGTTGGCACCGACGCTGCGGTGCCAAGCATCGTCGTCGGACGCGTCAAGGTTCCAAAGAGACTCGGAGGAGGGTAGTTCGAGGGTGTCGAACTCGTCGAAGCTCATAGCAGGAGTGTGGTTAAAGGTCAATGTCAGCATACCAAAGAAGATGTACACCGCGAAGTATGTGCGGCGGCATGACTCATCCTCGATCCATTCCTCCCGAGAAGGCTTGATACCCTGGCGAGCCTCGGTGCGCACCTTGAGCTGATAGCGATTACCCGCGACCATGTTGGCCAGAAGACTCTTGATGGAGCAGGTCCATTCAAGACCCTTGGGATCACCGCTCCAGCTTTCGAAGACCATGTTTAGCAGGCTACTCTGCATCAACCACAAAGGACACTTGCGAGAATCAAAGTTGTCCTTGTGCTGGAGGAACTGGTTGACCAGGACCTTGGAACCCACGTGAAGCATGAAAGAGTTATCGCGCTCAAAAGTATACAGAGCACCAATAGACAGAACTGCGAGCAGCAGAGGAGCCGAGGCAGTAGTAGGATTAAAAGACTGCTGATGAAGGAACGGCAAGTGTGGATGGTACAGATTGAAGTATGTGGACAGATACCGGTTCAATGAAGTGGTGGCCGGAAGTTGGAACGTCTCGGGCAGAGCACCAAGGGTATCCGCGCCTTGGATGCGCTCGACGACTAAGTTGCGCTCCATCTCGTCGGCGATTTGAGGAGCCTTGGGAAGAGTCAAAGCCTGGCTAGGACCGGGTGACCGACGATAGTTAACAGGGCTAACAGGACCGGTCATGGATGGGTACGGGGACAGCGCGTTCGGGGTAGAATTGCCAGACATGGGAAGGGAGTTGGACAAGAGGTCTCCGATGGGGCCGTGACGGTCGACGAACGTGGGTATCGAGCCGTGATCAGCGGGAGAGGCGAGCGTATCCCAAGGCATTTGGGGAAGGGTGGCGTTGCCGGACAGGTAGGGCTCAAAAGAGCCACGACCCGGGGACAACGATTCGGATCGCTCGGAAACCTGGCCAGTCGCCGCTGCTGCAGCCTTATGTTGGAAGTCTGTCATCAACATGGCTGCAGTTTCAAGGTCGACCATACCATCGCTGCTTGCCTCGATCTGCTCCAGCGTCGCCGGATCGATAGTGATTGAGGGCTTTGAAGGACCGGATGAGGATTTTTGGACCCCTCCACCGCGTCTACGTCCTTCTGCGACAAGGGGGATTCCGCCATCTTTGGCGTGCACAGTTCGGTCATGACGCAGTAGAAGATCGCGACGAACAAAAGTGCTCCGGCATTTTAAACATTTGAAGGGTCGCTCTTTTGTGTCTAGATGAGGTGTCAGTTGGGTCAATTTTTCCATCCACGGAGCCAAAAACTTACGGGAACGTTCGTGTCTGCTGCGGTGTTCACTTCGGCTGAAAGCGCGATTGCAAAATTGGCACTTGTATTTCTTCTCGGGGGCGGATGTCTTCTTGGCCGGCGAGTTGCTGGCCGTCCCGGGAGCCGAGGGAGCCATATGTGTGATATAGAGGCGAGCTCGACGTTAAATGGTAGATGGCAGTGGTATGGTTCCCTGAGTAAGCTCGCACCGGTTCTGTAGGCGTGTCGAAGACAGGAGTTCGTTGGGATGTCTGATCATTCCTGGGGATGTGAATAAGTGCAGAGTGGGAGTCCAGCCACAGGCGGACAGGTATGGAAAGCAAAAAGGAACGCTCAAGAAAAGAAAGGCGGAATGAGCGTTAAGCACCGCGTAGAGAGGGGAAAGTGTTGAAGGTGGGAGGGGAGGGGAGGAGGGGGGGGGGGCCGAAGATGAGGAGAAAAGAAGAATTCGGAAGTGCCTTTTGGGGGGGGGGGGGGGTCAAGTCTTAGAGGGGGGGGGGGGGTGTGGGAGGGGAGGCTAGGGAGGGGGGTGAAAGACAGGGAAGGACGTGGGCCCAAGCATCGCTTACTACGCGTGTGTCGCGCAGAGGGGCAAAAGCGGGACTCACACGTCCTGCAAAGGCGGTGATTGCTGCTGATTGCTGGTGTTTGGCAGTGCACCTACCAAGTCCTGTCCGGCCACGCACTTCCCGTTCCTACGACCACACTCGTTCAACTGGCGGTACTGCCCCCCTTTTACGATACAGAATCGACGTGTCGTAATATTCAACCCGATCGTGCCCACATGGCCGCTACTGCCACACTGTGGTCTAGAATTTATTTTTTTAGATACATAAACATTTTGCTTCATGACACTGGACATGAAAGTATTATTTAAATGGTTATCTCTCTCCGCGAAGACCTGGAGGGATCAGCTGGATCGCCTCGATCCCACACAAAAACAATCCATCCGGAAAAAAGGAAAACAACCCCAGAGTAAAATAAAATCAAAAAAGGGACGGTCCAAGTGGGAAATAACACCGCTGTCTGCCGCGAGGGCACAGTGGGCCAGACAAAGGTGGCCCCTCGCTCAAGGCTCGATGGGTCGGAGGGGCGCCCTTTGTTTATCGCAGGGGAAAATGTGTGGCTGGCATGTGAGGCGAGTTAGTGTCTCGATCGTGGCACTTCGACAACGACTCTTCGCTAGCGTAGGGTATCATCATCATACCTTGGTCTTGCCCCGGAATCAGAGGAGCCAGTCTGGACTCTCTTGTCTTCGATCTATACATATCTGTATCTGTATCTGTATCGCGTATCTTATCATGTCATTGTAACCATGGTTCACGCACACGCTACCCCTCAGCATCAAACCCCTCTCTCTACGACCGGCACATCATCATAGATTGACTAACGGGTTGATCGGGTGATCGTTACACAGTTCCGAGCAAGACATCGGGCAATAGCCTGGGCTGAGAATGAGACAGGGATGCGGGCAATTTCCCTAGCATTCTGATCGATCACTAGTGAGCATATAGTGTGTCGAATGTATAGGACTCTCAATCCTCCGTGCGCGAAAATGGAAATGGAAGATCAAATAATGTACCCGTCTGCCCGATCGGTCCTGCCGTGAACTGCCAGGGCGCCGTCGCTGTTGGTTGCATGTAGTGTAGTCGATCGATCCACCATCTCCTCTAAATAGAGTCGAATTAGGGATCCGGCCCTTTTGATGCGCCACAGCTGCCCGCCGTCTCAGCACACCCCCCCCCGAAGGACAGATCACGATTTAGCCCATCCCACCTTGACTGGTCTGGCATCTCACCTCGGGGCGCCCCGCTCTGTGGCGGTTCAACTGTGAACTGGAAGCCCTTCAAGACGAGTCAAGGCTGCGTACGACAGTTCATGTCTGTGCTACGGGTCAAGACATCAGCTGCCGGGGCTGCAGGGTGATCTGCGCGAATCGGGGGTTTGGGGACTTGGGGGAGGGACCACTATAACATCATCTGATCTACTCCTGCTAGTTTGGGGCAAGACTCATGCGCTCATACAAGGCGAGCATGAAAATCGAGCCTTACAAAGTACGCACTTCGGCGACAACCAACTTCCAAGGTTGGTCGATGCCTTGGTTCAAAGGGTGCATTCGGGGTCCACTATGGTTCAGCACTGCGTAAAAGTACGAATTACAGTAGGTGTCCTTCACACCGTATCTTGAATTCCCGACTCCCCTCCGTGGGGCAACTGCATCATTGGAGCCCGAAGATCCGCTCGGACGCAGAGGGACCGACGCGGTTACTTGGGAAACGCGTCTACTCAGTGGATGGCACGGCACATCGCAGCAGATCCCTCTCGGAGAAGCTACAGTACAGTATGCATCGAGGATTGATTGCACCTCACATTGATAGTACTTTTGTCAATCTTGGGATCCTATCCTGGAATATATGAATGCAAAGCCCTTGGATCGATCCCCGAAAGCTAACCCTGGAAAGCGTCGCGGAACTCTCGGTTGATCATCGAAGCCTCAGCGGGCCTTCGTCTCGCGTCTCCAATATGCCCACTAGCTCGGCGGTGAGCCGGGGAGCTCTGCACTTTCCAGACGGGTCGAGAGAACAAAAGGCCCTGATTCGACCAGGGTTGGAATCATCTACGATCCACTTCCCGATGCAGCGGACCGTTCCTGTTCAACGTTCTCGACCCAAGCAGGAACAGGCTCTCATGACGACGCGGCTGCACGATAGGGCGGTGACCTGACCGCCTTGCTTCAACTTCATCAAGGCCCACCCATTCCCAATCCCTTCGAACCGGAGGAGCCCAAGTTCAGGCCTCATTCCATTCCAGAGCGGTCAGAAGTAAGCTCCGAACTTATGAAGAGGAGTCCAATAATGGATCTGCGAGAGGGATCGAATTTCGGCCGATTTACGAATCAAATCTTGAACGGCTTGCTAGGTCTACTCCACTTAGCACGCCAGTGTACCGTTGGAAGCATTCAGGAACCTCTTCCCCGGCGCCGGGCCCCCCCCCCCTGAAATGAGAGGCCACCGGCAGCCCAGGGCTTGACCCATCGTTCCGACAACTTCCATGCCGTCTCCGTCCGCGACGCCAGGTCGGTCTGGAATTGCTTCCACATAGCCAAGATGTCGGTGAGGCCTGTACCTATGGCCTACCATCTTCACCGCTCATGCACATGGCGGCCCAGGATATCGTCTCCCAATGCTGATCCCACCGCCCAAACTGTACTTTTGTCTCTGACGTGCGATTTTCGAGACGTCCATCAAGGAAAGAGACCCATTGTGCGCGCTATCTCAATACACTTTCGCTAAAGACTGGGGCGTCGGGACCCCCCAACTTCCCAATGCCCTGGGAAAGCAAGACTTCCGATGGAGCAGCTCCACCAGGAACGAGAAGCTCCGTCCCAAATACAAGCTAGCTGGGTTTCGCGACTCGATAAGCGTAATCCGCCTGCCTACTCGGTCCAACGCGTAGAAGAAATTAAATGCTTTTGTCAAATTCGACAATCCATCCGTCTCGTCCAGGCCAGGCCTGAGATTTCAGCCAACGGCCGGAATCCAAAGAAATCGCAGCCCACACCCCCCTCCGCTTCTGAACTGAAACTGTGCTTAACAAATATTCAGGCGGTGGCAAACACGGCTGGACTCCATAGTCCGCGCAGACCATTGAAGTAGGTACGATCATCACCCCTTCGATCGTGTCGGACGCGTCCGGGGAAGCATACCCGGCCCCTGGTTCACTCCCGCGATCCCAGATCTTGGTTCGCGTTCACGTTCAATTCTGATACCCCGGGCCGCCGAAGGATGCGTACCCTGCCTTTGAGACACCAATCCGTGATGCCGCCTGCGCACGGTACTTGTCCGTGGCATTAGACATAATTCACCCCCCTGGACCGATTGCACAACAGCCGCCGATGCAAGGGTGTCGCCCTTTACGCCGGAATTTAATTCTGTAGCTCGGGAAGTTCTTGCAATTTCGAATAATCAGACCCAACTAAAGCAGAGTTTCATGCCCCGCGCGGATGTACTTCCGCGGAATTTTCTCGAAGGGGTGGAACACCTGAAGGAGAGGAGCCTCGAACGGAGAACCCGGCTACCTTTCATCCACCAAGGTTCAACGTCTAACGCCGAGTGTGTAGAATTACGAGCACTAGGCTCAGGATGGTCTAATGGATTACTCGCAGTGGGGAGCGAAGCAGGCTAGAAAACAAAAAGAGAGGGGCTGGGCTTCCAGTTTGTAAGATACCTACATGATCAAGGGAAAGGAAGAAAAAAGGGGGGAGTCGATGATCAGCATCGCGGCCCCGGCGCTCTGGACACAGGGGCGCGCTCGAACTCTCAATTGGATGAGCCATGCACCCGGCAGGGCGAGTCCCCGCCACTGGAAACCCGTCCGGTTGGGTGATGTCGTCCACAGGGGGTTCCTGCGATGCCCGCGATTTCCCTCCTGCAAGGAACAAGCTGCAGCAAGTGGCAAATTTGACCTCGGTCTTGAAGCTTGTGTGGACTTGTAGATTTTTGGTAGTGTGATTCGTAATGACGCTAATTCACTGATGTGATAGCTTTGGGGAACTGTTTCACAGTAGGCAGAGAAACGAGCCTCTTATCTTGTGTTCATGGAAATCACCAATTGTCTATTTTCTCATCATATGGGACAATCTATTCAATTGAGTATCATTCAAATCGTTGTAGCTTGCTGACTTAGTTGCACATATCTCTTCGGGGTATATGTTAATGTGAGTTGGGCGCACCTCGACGCAATCATCAATTGCCAAACATATGAGTATCTGCTTCTTTGGTTTTCACTGTCGTCTCTGGCTTTGAGACCATATTATCTGAAGAAAGATTACTTTGGGACGTGAAGCCAGGGAAGTATTGTAAGTAGCATATGCTTCATAGTCGTCCCCATATATATCCAGGCAACGTGTACCTCAAGCGATTCTTGCACCACAACTTTCAAGAAGAATCGCGCCTAGTATATCTAATGAGACTAGAACCATTACCAACCCAATATACCCAAGTAAATTCGATTTGCATGCCCAATGTTACATAGAACCTGGAGTCGTCTTCTCGATCACACGATGCTGCTGTTGTAAATCGTCAATGGTTCTGCGCATGGAGCAAATAAACCCACCACCCCACCAACTATCGCACAACCAAACCGCCCTGACCAACAACACTCACTAAGTCACTCAATAATCCACTCCTCCAAGTACTAACTTGACAAGTCAATGATCTCAATATTTTGGGAGCCTCACTTTTAAGCCTGGATCATGTCTCGTGACGAAGGAACTTTTGCCCTAGAATGGATCTGATGACCTGAACCATGGTTCCATGAACATCCTCAATCACCCCGCAATACATGGCCATCATTCCCACACCATGCTCGAACTTGTCCCTGGATTACCTTTCACAGGGCTGAATGATGTTCTTGACCCCGCAGACGGGATCTTCTGGATCTATGGGGACCATCGCCTATGCCAGAAAGTCAAGTCTGCGTGTTGATACTAGACTCGAAGACCATGGACGATCGTCGACGGACTCTTCCGACGGACCCAGTTCGGTTGTTTCCTGCTGCTTGACATACCGGGGCACGAACCGAGGAGACTGAAAGGGTCTTGGGGGTGGTTCCGGTGGCCGGGGTGGATGGTAGCGATGGCCCAGCGAAGTGGATTGTCAACGGTTTTGTATATATTGGGAAGGACCACCCAGCACCTGAACAGAGTGAAAAACAGGATTCTTTCAATGTTCTGGTTACGTGAGCATGTTCTATCACAGGGGGTAAAGTTTTGGGAAACGAGACCATCTGAAGGTTGGAGGCGTGGGAGACTAGTCAAAGTAGAGTTTATGAATGTTTTAAAACGTGGGAATGGTGACGAGTCGAACTCAATTCCTAGACTGCTCTCTTGATGCCCGCAAACAAATCACCGACTCGATGACATGAGATCCAAGAAGCTATTGGTGTTATCTTACCGTGACGGAATCGGGTATTCCATTTCTACATACAAGTCCAGATCTAGGTCCAGGTCCAGAACAAGGTCGATGGGCGAGAAGATAGCTGGTCATCTCGTTTCCAATTGCCTAATTGAAGCCCATTCCGCAAGATCAAGGCGCCCGGCTAGCGCAGTTGCTCATCATGATCGACCAGTGTAGCATAGTCCAACGCATGACTCGATTACTACGTAGCATCCTGTTACTATCGGGGATCAGAATGTCCAACACGAGTCCTGATTTCCCTGAATTATTTTCCGGAAACTAGACAGCGAAGTCTGAAAGGTCTCCATGTTCAGGGCCAAGACCATGTCCGGCGGCGACTGATTCCATTTCGCCATTGCGCCGCGCGGTTTAATTTGTTTCAATGCAGCCACCGCGGAGTAACAACACGATCCAAGTTGATTCCGATGTACCCCATTTCACCGTGGATACTTTGCAAGCCACTTGAAAGCTAAAAACGGTCGTTGACCTTCTAGAATGGTCCTGGAGCCGGCTTGCGTGTGGTCGGTGGCTCGTGCGTGACTAAGAACCCAACGCCTTCGAACCAGACACGACGGTGAAGAACTCATCTTACCCAATTCACCTGCATGGAGTGATGCGTGGGGATCTTGTTCGGTTTGGTTGGATATAGCCCCGGAGAGGACACAGAGCTGTACAGATTCCAGCTCCCGAGGCTCGCTCATAGCGGTGCCTCTTGACCCCTGACCATTCTGGCTTTTTGATGACTCCAATGCCTTACCGGGTGACTGCCAGAGTACCCTAAGAGCCAGGGACCCAAGGGAACAGACAGACAGACACGTAAAACATTCCGAGACAGCGTAATCATTGGACCGTTCAAAGTGGACGATGTAGGTAAAGGTGTACAGTACACGGCGTTCCCACTCAGATGTCAAATCAGCGTCAGCCGCGGCCGATCCACATGGGCGCACTTTTCACGAAACAAAATCCCGCGCAACACTCGGGAGTTCTGAGCAGTCCTAGTTCTCCGAGTGAAGATGGATCCCATATCGAGGCTTCCCCCCCTCCACCCCCTGTCCCCAAGTCAGAGTCAGCGCGGAGATGTGACGGTAACGGGGCAGGCGTTACACGGGGATGTCAGACTTGCCACGCAGTAATCCACCCGGGGCTTGCAGCGTGAACGTGCCACAGACGATCCTCTAACATCAATATCGGATCTACGGAGTGCGCAAACGATAATGGTACGAAATAGGTGTCTACGTAGTCACCTATTGACTGTGGAAGGCCATCATGAATACTACAGGAGCCGCGCCAAGTTGGACTAAGAAGGGAAGGTGTCAGCCTCTGTAATTTTACTTAGTACACCTGTACCTATCCTTTTTAGATACAAGTCATTACACTGAGATTACTCCGTACACTGAAGCTCTCAGTAGGCGCCTCATCCGTCCCGCCTCCTGATCCTCTTCTCTCCTTCTACTGAGAGAAGCAGAAACCGTATCGACTATGCTATCCTATTAATCAGCTCTGCTTTCCCTGATTATTCCAATACCTTGCGACCGAAATCACCCATCCCCTCCCCGGAAAGTGGGTTGCAAAGTTACCCACCCGCCCCTCTCTGCTTCAACCGTCGAATTCCCAAGCCATGAGCCGGGCACTGTGAAAAGCCCCAACGCTAGACCGAGTGTCTCTCCGTGACACTTCATGTACGAAATCCGCGCTCCAGATCTGGTCGATACAGGATCTACGCTGGCCAGTAAAGCCGGGACTTTTGCGACCGCTTTTGAGTTCACCGACCGGCCAACCACCCCCACCGCAACTCGACGAGGCCGGGGACACAGCGTATCGCAGGACCCCGATCACTGGACTCCATCTCCTTCAAAGAAAATGACCACCGGATATGCTGTCAGTCCGGAGCCCCCGGCGCTGTTCGTGCGGGCTATGTACGATTATGACGCGGACGACCACACTAGCCTGAGCTTCCGCCGCGGCGACATTATACAGGTCCTCAACCAGTTGGAAACCGGGTGGTGGGACGGTGTTATCGACAACACTCGCGGTTGGTTTCCGAGTAACTATTGCCAGATGATCACCGAGGCCGACGACTTTGGCGAACATTTGATACACAGCCATGAAGATGCAGACCATAGCGCAGAGTCGGGACTTGAGGATGATTACGGCAACGGACATGACGAAGATGATGAGCTGGACTCGGACGGCAATCCGCGCGCCTCGATGCCTGTCCTACCTATTGAGGGCATTCCTGCGCCCAAGGAGCAGGAAGAAGCGGCATTTTGGATTCCACAGGCAACCCCCGATGGTCGTCTATTCTACTTTAATACTTTGACTGGATACTCGACCATGGAATTGCCATTCGAGAACCCGGCTACAAGCGAGACTGGACCGAGGGATCGGACCAACTTCTTCGTCCCTGATCAGACTCGCCCACCTCCTGAATTGATGGCGCGGGGTTTCGAGCGGGACGAGGATGACTACGATGGTTCTGCGTCGGAGGCGGAAGGAGAGTCTCTCATGCTTGCTTCTCAAGATTCGATGTCTCGTCGTCGGCAGTCCTTTATGGATGGATTATCTCCTGCTACCTCGATGGATTCATTGAACCCCCCTGGGTTGAAAGACTTCAAACCCTCACCAATGAGCAAAAGCCCCCACCCGTCATTTAGCGCAAGTAGTGCAAACACCTCCGTTGCCGAAATCTTACCTTCCAGACCGTCCATTTCCTCCAATACCCCTTCACATTTCGTGGACGATGGCTTCACACCGCCTGTCACATGGGCCCAACTCGTTGAAAACATGCGATATGCGGTCGAAGTTTATCGCCAGACCCTTTATGCAGCGGAACGCTCCGAGTACGTCAGAAAGGCCGAGGATATCTCAGATCATTTGCGCATGCTCCTGGCTGCAGGCTCCGATACCACTGACAATCACTCCGGGAACCCGTCCATCATTTCCACCAATAAGGCGCTTTATCCTTACTTCCGTGATATGATGTCCAAGTTTTCCAAGTTGGTGCTTTCGTCGCATATTGCAGCTGCCGACTGGCCAGGCTCCGATTCGGTCAACAAATGTCTGCAGGAGGCCGATGGAGTCATGCAAGGAGTATATGGCTATGTCGACGTCGCTCGTCACCAGCGAGGCGAGCACATTCCCCGTATTGTTCCAGGCTTCGTCGGAGGTAGCTCTTGCGGTGGAAGCTGGCAGAACAATGGTGTCTCATTAAACTCGTCTGGCCCGACATCGTTCCTTGTTCCTGAAGGTGGTGATGCACGTGTCGAGCCTTCGGTCTCTCTCGACACAGCCCTACTCGACCACATCGATATTCTCCGGAGGTCTTTCGTAGGTAGTATTCGCCGTTTGGAAGAGCAGTTGAGATCAGATCGAAAGATCATCACGTTTGCTGAACATGAAGAACTGTCAGATGCCGTCTCGGCTGCTGCGATCAAAGTCGTGGAGCAGTTCCGCCCGTGGATTGCAACGATTGAGTCTATCAACCTTGTTCCACTCGGAACTAGCTTCCAGAACCCACAATTGGTAGATTTCAGTCTGCAAAAGCAACGCGTTTATGATGGCATTGGTGACTTCATTTTGAGTTGCCAAGCAGTCTCGGCTCCTCTCGCTGATGAGTGGGCGGAGCTGCGAGGCGATTCTCTTGATGATCGGATCACGGCCGTACGAATGGTGGCCAAACAGCTGGAGAACTTTGTTTCCCAGATTGGCTTCTCGCTATCATTGCTTCTCGAGCAAATCCCTGAAGAGCCGATCTCTATCCTCAGAAGCGAGAGTCGTTTGGACGAGGAGGATGAATCGCAGAAGAGCACTCACAGTCGTGGAGACTCCCAAGCTAAGATTGCCAACGAGTCCATTGGCATTCCATCTTCCTATGCTCTTGGCAAGGGAGGTGACAAGGTCCGACGCAATATGGACAAGGCCCAAAGATTCTTCGGGCAGGCACCTCCCACAACGGTCACTCGTGAGCCACCGATGCAAGAGCCAGTCAGAGAGCCTGAAGAGACTCCCTGGTTTTTGAAGATGGACCACGAGGGCGAAGTCTTCTATGACACCAAGTCCGACACTCCAATTTTGAAGTGCGGTACTTTAGCTGGATTGGTCGAGCACCTTACCCGTCACGACAAGCTTGACGCATCCTTTAACAACACCTTCCTCCTCACTTACCGCTCCTTTACCACTGCCTCCGAACTGTTTGAAATGCTGGTGCAACGTTTCAACATCCAGCCTCCATTTGGTCTGAGTTCCGATGACATGCAAATGTGGATCGATCGCAAACAGAAGCCGATTCGATTCCGCGTGGTCAACATTCTCAAGAGTTGGTTTGACCATTTCTGGATGGAGCCCTATGATGAAGTGAACATGGATCTCTTGCGACGTGTCCATGCCTTCACCAAGGATTCTATCGCTACTACCAAGACACCGGGTGTCCCAACACTGCTTGCTGTTATTGATCAGCGTCTACGTGGTCAGGATATCACTGCTAAGCGTCTTGTTCCTACACAGAGCACCGCTGCTCCACCTTCCATCATCCCGAAGAACATGAAGAAGCTCAAATTCCTCGACATTGATCCTACAGAATTCGCTCGGCAGTTGACCATTATCGAGTCGCGCCTCTACTCAAAAATCCGGCCTACAGAGTGTCTGAACAAGACCTGGCAGAAGAAGGTTGGCCCTGATGAGCCAGAGCCGGCTGCCAATGTGAAGGCCTTGATTCTACACTCAAATCAGCTGACAAATTGGGTCGCCGAAATGATCTTGACACAAAATGATGTCAAGAAGCGTGTGGTTGTTATCAAGCACTTCGTCAATGTCGCTGAGAAGTGTCGCACTCTCAATAATTACTCTACCCTTACTTCTATCATCTCCGCTCTTGGGACTGCACCCATTCATCGGCTGGGCCGAACTTGGGGCCAGGTCAGTGGCCGCACCTCTGCAATTTTGGAGCAGATGCGTCGACTCATGGCTAGCACCAAGAACTTTGGCGAGTACCGTGAGACTCTACACCTTGCGAACCCTCCTTGTATCCCATTCTTTGGTATGATATGCAATCACCCCCAGTGTCCTGCCCATTTGGAGCCTTTCTCCTTTTCGCTCAGTCTTTCTTACTTACATCATCTACAGGTGTCTATCTGACGGATTTGACCTTCATTGAGGATGGTATTCCCTCCCTCACCCCCTCCGAGTTGATTAACTTCAACAAGCGGGCCAAGACTGCCGAAGTCATCCGCGACATTCAGCAGTATCAGAACGTTCCCTATCTTCTCCAACCTGTCGGCGAACTCCAAGACTACATCTTAAGTAACCTTCAAGCCGCGGGCGATGTTCACGACATGTACGACCGAAGTCTCGAGATCGAGCCCCGGGAGCGTGAGGATGAAAAGATTGCAAGGTATGCAGCAGAAATTTCCGGGAACAAGGGTTCCATGCTCTTTGCAAGCACCGTCGCAATTTTGCGATGATTTCCTGTTTCTCACTGTCATTCGGCACGGTGTCTGGCACAGACTCGGCGATACCCGAATTTGATCTCATATCTCCGATCATTTTGGGCGAACATGGCCTTTGCGTTTTGAAACCTGTTTCTGGGCGAATCGACTAACCACTTTTGATTGCACCCCGTAGATTGCTCTCCGAGTCCGGTTTCCTGTAGTTGTGGCCGTGACATCCCTGTCTCAGCTGCATCTGCGGGCGATCTTGGCCAACCGATCTTGTGAACGATACTGCCTCATGCTCCAATCAAGCATCGTGGATATGCGACCAACACGGCGGTCTCACCTTTCCAGGCTAGAGCGCCAATGTTCCCGAGCGGGATCTCCTGACTATGCGACCGTGCCGATTATGTCTCCACATCACAGCCACTGATACGCTTTGGATATATTCGGTTCTTGCCGTCTCCGCGAGACATGCCACATGCAGATCATCTCTGACTTATTGCTCGCCGTGATCTTAACCGCCCAGGACCAATACCCTTCATCGAACTAGCTGCAAGACCCTGCAGCAGTCAGTCATGCACATGAAACTATACGCTTGCTCATGCGATACCTCACTTCTCTTCGATATACCTGTTGCGACTTAGAATTTTGGACACATTTTCCCTTATTTCCTGCAAGTCAACTGGACTCACATATGGACCGCCTACAAACGTACCCCGCTGTCGCACATACCAGTCTCCTCGGTCTATATTCCCCACTGTCGACACATCTTTCTCTTTCTTCGATTTCTCCCCATTGTTTTTGGAAGTGAAGGTGGGCTTTCGGGTCAATGTCTGCACGACATCTTCTTTAATGATATGTTATGATCTGGAAGCTCCGTTGATATCAGATGGATCATGTTGATTTCTTGAAAGCTCCAATATTGCCGGTTGACTCGGATCTCGCTTTTCTGTATCTATTGTTTCACTATCAGTTGGTATATACCCTGCTCGTGTTTGGCTGCGGGTCAATAGAGGGCCACTCCTTGATTCCTTTTCATCATCTATCTTGTATTTCGTATCCTGCAGCTCAAGCCCTGCTTCTATTGGCTTCGTCGGCTGCGAACGGCTACTCGGTAAGACAAATGATCTAGGCATACAGTGAGTTTGAGCAGTCGATCTCAGGTCGGCGTATATTATTTTTTTGGGCTGAGGTTCGTACAGAAAAGAAGATTCTTCTGCGTAAGTAAGCTTACTTGTTCTTGAAATCTCGTTCATCATATGCAGATTTACAGTTCTATAGCCATAAGACATCGACGACCGGTATGCCCCCAAGAATCCGCGGACAGTCAAGACAGGGTAGTAAAAAGCATGAGAACTGGACCCGGCAAGCGCCAAAGATACCGACTAACATGTGAATTGGAAGGCGTAACAGTCGTAGCGATAAGATTTTATGAAGACCTCTTGAGGCCTAGGTTGACGAAGTGGATTGATCCCCGATGCCTTGAAAGAGTTTCATCTTTACTTCGGATGCGAGAAGACCCTTGACTTCTTCTGAGACGATGCGCTGACCACCACGGACAACTTTATCCAGCTGTTGATCCTTGACTGCGGCGGATCCGCCGCCAGGGTTGTTGGTTTCGAGTGCTCGCGATGCCTTGCGCACTTTCTGGCTTAAATCCAGAATCTGCTTGCTGCCATAGTCCCGAGATGTGAAAAGCGGACTCTGACTGAGCGTAGCAACCCAGTACTTGTTCCAGAGCAGGGACAAAAGCTCGGAGTCGAGAGTACTCTTGAAATGTGTCGTCTCAAGCGAGTAATATTGATTGGCATGCGCACCAAAGTCTTCCGCCTTGCCTAGCGGGATGGTCTGATACTCATCATCTTCATGAGCTTCTTTCCGTGGGGTGTAATTCTCCGGGAAAGTTCTGAAAGCACCAATCTCGACCTTCCCAGCAGAGATCGTGCGCTCCGGATCAATGACAACAGCCACGAAGGGCCCCGTCATCTGCTGCGTTTGTTGAGTCGCAACATCAATGCCAGATAGCCAACATCCATACCCAGGATGGCTATGGTACCATCCAACAGCATTGTCCTTCCGCCCCGCATCCCGACACGACTGAAGATAGGAAACCATGTACTCGTTCGCCTCGTCCTGAGCATTGACCCGGGTTTCTGTGCCCTCAACAGGTAGTCGGAATGCATCGGTTACGACAAATGTGTTTGGCAGGATGTATCCTTGCATCAGACCCATCACCTCTATGGATCCGCCTGAGCGAGCATGCATCACCATTTTCAATAGTGCTGTGGCGGAGATGCGTACGTATTTGAAATAGTACGGGTCTGAGGCCCACGGTCGTTCAGCGTTCAGAGTCTTTTGAGCTTCTTCATCATATTGGTAGAGGGCATCGCGTTGTGGGTCGAAGACGCTGATTGCGTTCTCGAGCTCTGCGATTGCTTTGTTAGTCCAGTTCCCGTCATCGGGTGAGGGGTCACGAACCCCAGGACTGCTGGGCAGCCTGCATTATTGCAAAATGTGTGTGGCGTGAGGTGATAATAGTATGTAGGCAGACTGATGGAAGAGAAAAGATGATTTAACACAGTGATAAGGTAGCTTGAAATGCAAATGAGGAAGCTTGTCGACGCAGTGATGAGCGTGGAGAAAGGCGGTGGGGTCGAAATAGGCAAAACCCGAGGGCGGTGTAGCGATGACTCAGCGGTTGCCCCTGACGACGATCGGCGCCAAACAACGGAGGCTTGTGAGATGAACCTGTTATCTTCTGGCCCTGTTTCTGACCTTTACCCCCCTCATAAACAGACCTCCTCCCCGTCTTCGATGTTTCGCCACTGACAGCGTCCGAAATCCACCTTCTTTTCTTTTATTTTGTTCCGTGTGTCGGGATTCCCACAAGTTGGGCGCTTCTATTCGGTCCCCTCCGGCGTCGCTGTCGCACTGTCGTTGGTGTATATCACATTCTTTGATTGCCGGTCGAGCCTCGCTGTTCGCCAGCATCATATCTGGAGATGGCCGTCGACACGAGCTACCTGACCAGTCAGGTTAACAACATTGTCGAGCAGCTCCATGGCATCTTTGATGAGATTGGAGTTCCCGCCCGCGAGCGCGACTCTCGCGAAGCAGAGGTACGTTGAATACGACAATCGATTGAGCAACGACGTCCATACTGATGGATCGCATAGCTCTTCAGCGCTCTGTCAGAGACTTTGAATAATCATCTCAAGCTCGTTGATGAGTAAGTCAGCAATAACAACAAAACGCACTCGGCGCATCTTGAATCTAATAATTTACTTCGGCAGAGAAAAAGAAGAAATGACACAAGAGGCTCAGCGCCTGATTACAACAATACAACAAATGGAGGCGTCACTAGGCGACGAAAGGGCCAATGGCCAATATGAGCTTAACCGCGCCGACCTCAAGGTGACCTACCCCCTCAATCGCTGTATCGCCTTCCTGCGCGAGAAAAACGATGCGATGAGCCGCCTCCACCGTGAGCGCTTCGAGCAAGTCAAGAGTGAGTGCGACAATCCATGGATCTATCGAATAGACTTACTGACCGCATAAAGAACTTGTTGACGCTCTCGAATCCTACTCATCCCACCTCGAAGCTTCGTTCCTCACTATTGAACTGCCTCCCACAGCCCCGGGGTCGACCATTCCTCCCAGTTTCGATCTTTCTCCCGAATATGTCACTGCCCTTGATTCCGAATTTAGCAGAGTCTACGAAGAGTACCACCGCCGCGTTTCATTCGTCCAGACCACTTCTGAGGAGATTATCAAGATGTGGGCTGAACTTGGAACTCCGCAGGTTCAAACCGATTCCAACATTGTTCAGAATTATCGCGAATCTCCTGAGCAGCTAGGACTACACGAAGCCGATCTTGCCAACCTGATGGCAAAGCGCGACAAATTGGTGGAGGAGAAGAAGGGACGTGAGCGCAAGATCAAAGAGCTCCGCGCCAATGTTGAGAGCCTCTGGGAGCGCTTCGGCGTCGAAGAGGCTGACCGCAAAGCCTTCCTTGCGGCAAACCGTGGCTGCGGTATGCGCACAATCAACGAATTTGAGGAGGAGCTTGCACGTCTCAACGAATTGAAGAAACAGAACATGCACCTGTTTGTTGAGGACGCTCGCTGCCGTCTGCAGGAGCTTTGGGACACTCTCTACTTCTCCGAGGAAGAAATGCTTGATTTCACACCTGCTTTCTCAGATGTGTGTAGTGACGCGCTGCTTGAGGCTCATGAGGCCGAGATCTCGCGCCTAGAAACGCTCAAGGAGCAGCGCGCCCCTACCCTGGAATTGATAGAGAAGCACCGCGGTCTGCTGGCGGACCGTGAGGCTCTGTCCTCTTCTAGCCAGGATGCCTCCCGCCTTATGGGCCGTGGCAACAAGGGTGAGAAGCGAGACCCTGGTAAGCTTCTCAGGAGGAGAAGATGCGAAAGCGCATCGCCAGAGAGTTGCCTAAGGTAGAAGTGGAGCTCCGCAAAGAGCTAGAGCATTGGGAAGACGAATTCGGTCGACCATTCCTCGTCCACGGTGAACGTTATCTTGACAGCTTGACTCCTACGACCACAAGACCTCCACCTCGCTCCAAGACTCCCTCTGCGCCTCCCTCTACGTCCAAGATTGGCTCCATCCGTCAGCAGCCTCCGCCTCGTCCTGGCAGCTCTATGCAGGGCCCTCGCCCCGGTAGTTCTATGCGTGGGCCTCCTCCCCTCGTTCTGCGACCAAAACCCCAACGGGACCTGGTGCAGCGAAGCACAACACTATCGGATATGGTGCGAGTCGATCAGGAGCGAAGTCACCCTCCAAGCTCCCGGCTCGTGCTCCATTGAGCAACTTGCCTCAAGGAGGCAACTCACCTGAGCGTCGTACTGGACCTGGATCCTACTCATCCAGTACTATCAACGGAAAGATGCCCCCGCCTCGTGGACCACCTCCGCGGATGCGCGCCTTGACTGTTGAGTCCAAGGAACGCAACAGCTACCTGTCGGAGCCGCCTCGTTGTAATAGCGCTATGTCGACGGCCTTTGTTCGTCCAGTGAGCCCTGAAGATGTCTACGATGACCGCCAACGGTCCTTTATGAGTGCCTCTGTCATGGGCCACTCACGACCAAATAAGCTTTCCTCTCATTCTTCGCATTCTTCCATGTCCTCCCTCAACTCGTCGCTCAACTCCTCGATGCAGGCGTACCCAAGAATGAATCCTTATCTTAACTCAGCACCGCCTCCCCCAGCTCTCCGTCAAACTTCGAACTCCACTACCACAACCACAGTGTCCGGATCTGAGAACTGGGAGACCTTCGACGATGCATCTGATGATGAGCATGATGCTAGCGATATCTACTATTCCAAGCTGCGGGCTGCACAAGGCAAGCGATTTGCTCCCGACGACAGCATGGATATGACCGGCAAGAAGTCCAAGGGCATCCGAAGCGTCAGCCCCGAGGGTCCTCATCCTGGCCAGACTCTCCGAGTTGCAGGTAGCGACAACGAGTGGACTGATGAATATGAGACCTATTAATAGCCACCCAAAAGCGCCTCCAATTCCTCATCTACCCTTGACACCCGGCGCTTGTTCCATGTTCACTTCATGCTTCATCATTTATTGGCACATCGAGCTGTGGCTCTGCAATTGCTTGACTTCTGACGATCCCATGATCCCGACCAACTGGATCATGATTCACGATGGACGTTGACGATCCTTATGACTGAGCTTGCTCAGACTTCTCACGGGCTGGTGTCTTTCCTTGACAAGCGACTCCGCCATCTTGCATTCTATTGTCAAAAATTACGAGTTTCAATCACGTCACTCCTGTTTATGCTCTCTTTCTTGTCAATGTTTAATCATGTCCGCTGCTGCGAAGCGCCCGGAGAACGATTTGTCCTTTTCTTCTACTTCTCGCCCTAGAGACGAAAGTTTCTCTCAACCTCGGACGGATTTTAATCTTGAGTTTAATTACTTGTTTGGGCTGGCATGGTGTTATTTACTCCCTCTTTGACTGGTGTTTTTTCTTCTTGTCTTGTTTTGCTAGCTCGTTGCTACGGCTCGCTGCTTGTTTCCCTCAAGTCTTCAGCTCACCTGAAGCTGGCGGCTCTCCTTTGCGTTCTCTGCACTGTTTTTGAGGCTCTTTCATGTTTGCTTATGGCGTAGTACAGTTTCTCTGTATTCTTGCTGATAATATTATCTTTTGTTCAATCTATTCTTCGTTTCTCGTCCAACATCGTAACTTTGCTGTCATTCTTATCAAATAGAGAGCCCAGATGGCCAACTGATTATTATACGTTCTTCCTGAATGAAAGACCATCCGCGGCTACTATGAACATTCCTCGTCTCCGAGTTTGTCAATCAAATCTACTAACTTTCGCAGTCAGGGTCATAGACACAGATAATACGCATTTCTCGATACAGTATCATGCGAAGTTTTCCATTGATCTTATCAAAATAGTCACACCCCTAGAAATGACCAAGAGCACCAAGCTCAGATGCAAGGTCTGCACATGCCGCGGTAAATGATACAATTCTATGTATGACTGGATCGTTCCTGCAGGTGTGACTATCCAGAATATGAACAATACGAGCTCTCAAGATCCAAGTGCACGAAGAGTTGTTCCCTACAAGGCCTGGCCCGATGAAAGCGACAAATTGTGCCCTGTCTTTCATGGAACCGTGGAGAGAGTCCACCAGAACCTGGAGTTCCACGTTACTATAGAGCCATAAAGGAAACGAGCGCCCCCGTATACCCTGATTGATCCGACCCAAGGTAGCATTCAGCTTTGTCGAATTACCGATCCACAGCTTGTAGGGGCCTGAGGTGTTTGTGGAGGAAGTTGGGGCGTGTGGGCTGAACTAATAGGAGAAGTGATGAGATGGATTGGAAGATGGATATTGTGTATTAAGCAGGTTGTGCTTAGGCAGTCTTGATGATTGAACCATTTATACTTGGCAATGAGAACTTATGGAAAATAGGACAAGTAGATATCGTGAAGACACTGGGGAATGAAAGGTACCTTGATGTCAAGCAAGGCGCTAAATCTAATGCCTAGCTTAAAGCGTGCCCCTAGTTATTCTCTTGAGTCGATTGAGCAATGATCAGATGTGATTTTGAAATTGATCTATGGATGGTCGTACATTGAACGGAGTGCATTCTAGCAAATAACAGGGTCTACTGTACTTTCATAATCGTAGAACGGAGATGATCATGTCTCCAAAAACAAGCCACAGAGAAAATGCAAAGCCCAAGACGCCTTCGATGCCTTGTAAGCATGATACCCATTTTCGTGTCGATTACTGAGTCGCGCACTGCGCAGGCTCTTCCTCCTCGTCGTCCTCCCAAGCGGAACCACCATTGGGGTTATTAGCACCGAATTCTTCCATGTTGCCCTTAGGGTCATAATTGACTTCATCCACGGTGGACGCTTCAATAGGTGCATCGGGCTTGGGGAGAATCTCCTTCAGCTTCTCGAGCACGGCGGGACTGGGCTTCCACTTCTCATCGGGGAACTTCACGTTGACAACCAAATAGAGATCACCCCGAGCGTCGCTGCGCTTGATCGGCATGCCTTCTCCGGCGACCTTCAAAACTTGTCCAGACTCAAGGATCCGGCCGGCAGGATGAGTAATTTCAATACCGCGCTCGTCGAGATGCTTGATTACGACGCGTGAGAAACCGGTCAACGCCTCAGCCAGTGTGACATCGATCTCGGCTCGCAGGTCTGCGCCAGCACGGTCGAAGACAGGGTGCTCCTCTTGAACCAGACGGAAAACAATATCACCAGGCTCTTGGTCGGGAACCTGATCAGCCTCGCCTTCCAAGACAATCTTGTCGCCCTCCCTGTTGTATCAATTAGCAACTGTCCGAAAGTTGTGTGATGAGAAAAACTTACTTCGAGCCAGGAGGAATGTAGAGCTCGAGCATCTTCTTCGCCTCAACAGTGCGCTTGCCCTTGCACTTCTTACACTTGTCCTTGTCGCTGTAGAATGATCCCCGCCCACTGCAGGTGGTGCACGGCTGTGTAGCCTTAGTGAGGAACTGACCCATGTTTCTGATGACCTCTTGGTATCCAACACCGTTGCAGGTAGAGCACTTCTTCGCCTTGGCCTTCTCCTTCCCGCCCTTGCCAGTGCACAAGCTGCAAATGACGTTCTTGACGCTGGCAAATTTGACGGTCTTGCCCTTGTATAGATCCACCAGGCTGAGTTCATAGTCCTGCTCCTCATCGCGGCTCTTGCGCGGGCCTGTACCAGGACCTCCGGGCATGCCTCCCATGCCACCGAATGGATCCATCCCGGGCATACCACCGCCCATGCCGCCCATTCCACCAAACATCTGTGCCAGGATGTCGTCGAGATCGGGGCCACCTCCCATACCACCCATGCCGGGATCTCCGGAGCCGTTGAACGCGCTCATGCCATGGCGGTCGTAAACTTCACGTTTCTGATCATCGTAGAGAATCTCGTATGCCTCCTGAACGGACTTAAATTTGATTTCAGCAGTCGGGCGTTCGTCTTCGGGAACCTTGTCGGGGTGACTGGACAAAGCAGCCTGCAGTTGACTTGATTAATTCTGCAATCAGAGCCTTTGAGAGACGTGTCTTACCTTGCGATATGCCTGCCGAATCTCGTCTTTGCTCGCGCCGCGTTGGATCTCGAGGACCTCTGTGGTGATAAGAAAACTAAATCAGTTTCTCCACCTTGACCTAGTCCAAATAAATAACAATATGATTAGTGCATACCGTAAAGGTCGATTTCGACGGGAGCCACTGCAGTTCTTGTCAGCAAGCAGTCAAACGAGCGGGTGAGGCGGATTGAAGACGGGTCCCATACTCAGTGCGATGCTCTCCTTTTATGAGATGGTAATAATGGGTATCCTGAGCAGAGTCAGAATGCAAGAGCTCAGCTCAGACGGACCAAAAAGACGTGAGGAGCAAGCAAGATGTGAAGTGTTGATCAAGTGGAGTCGCAAACCGAAATTTTGTCGGAAGCTTTGAGCGGAGCCGAGACCCCCCCTCCGCAAAAATTCCAGCGCGGCAGGTGCAGCCTAACCGCTTCACATTCACCAGGTTTTCGCTCGCCTTGTCTCATGAGAAGCCCTTCAAGCCGGCTCTTTGCCCGGCATACCTGGACCTGCCTCCAGTGCAGATCCTCTTCCACCTCCGCAGGCGCGCAACTCCGCAAATCGAAGACCAACTTGCCCGATACGCCTGCACGCACGCGTTTTGCACCCTCGCCGACCGGATATCTCCACTTGGGCTCTTTGCGAACAGCTCTTTTCAATTATCTTCTTGCGAAACGAACTGGTGGCCAATTTCTGTTGCGCATTGAGGATACCGATCAGGTTAGTGGTGCCGTTGCGCCGGCGAAGACGGCTGCTGATTGACATAGAAACGGACGGTTCCGGATGCTGAACAACGACTGTACGATGATTTAAATTGGGCGGGACTGCATTGGGATGAGGGTAAGATCACTCGGGTGCTATGACAAGCAGTCTCCAGGAAGGAAGGAGATGAGCTGACAATGTGTTGGTAGGCCCTATCGTGGGTGGTCCTTATGGCCCATATAGACAGGTGAGATGTGAAGTCAGTGTTAAACCAGTACGAACACTAAAAACTCCATCTCTTACAGTCCGAGCGAACAGCTCTGTACCGAAGCCATGCCGAAGAACTGATCTCCAATGGCCACGCCTATCGGTGCTTCTGCTCCTCCGAGCGTCTCGATTCATTTGCACGCCATCGAAGCCAGGCCGGTCTGGCACCTGGTTATGATAGAAAATGTGGACACATCTCCTCTGAGGAATCCGCGGACCGAGCATCCAAGGGCGAAGCTCACGTCGTCAGGTTGAAGGTGGAGACATATCCCATGTTCAACGACTTGGTCTATGGCAAGACTGGACAGAATAAGCCTAATAGCAGCAAATTGGACTTGATTGATCGAGTTTACGATGACCCAATTCTGCTGAAGTCGGACGGACACCCAACATATCATCTGGCGAATGTGGTGGACGACCATTGCATGAAAATCACACATGTCATTCGCGGAACGGTAAGATGCCTTTATTCTTCATTGAGGGCCCACAGCTTATATTGGACAGGAATGGATGCCCTCGACTCCAATGCATGTCGCCCTATATAACGCTTTCAAGTGGGAGCCGCCACGCTTCGGCCATGTCCCTTTGCTGGTTGACAAGTCGGGGCAGAAATTAAGCAAGCGGAACGCCGACATCGATTTATCCTCTTTCAAAGACCAACAAGGCATCTTCCCAGCCACGCTTGTCAACTTCGCTTCCCTTTTGGGCTGGTCGCACTCGCAGAAGTCTGATGTGTTTGACCTAGGAGAGTTGGAGCAACTTGTTAGTTCCACCTGCCAGACTTAGGTGCCTTTGCTAATTTTACTTCTTTTACTTTTAGTTCAACCTCAAATTTACTCGTGGAAACACGACTGTAGCATTTGAGAAGCTCTGGTTCCTTCAAAAAGCACACGCACAGCGCTTCGCGGCAAATGGCGGTCCTGAATTTGATGATATGGTCAACAGAGTATGCGAGGTTGTCGGGGAGAATCATCTCAACCCACACTTGTAAGTTTTTCCCCACCTATATTCTGAATCGACGCTCAAAATTAATCTCCAAATACAGTGAGCGGATTCTCAAGGGCCGCACGCTTCCCGAGTACATCGCCCCTCTCATCCGTGCGGACGCCAAGTCCTACACCACAGCCAATGAGTTCGCGGAGCGTAACGCAACTTTCTTTGCTACTAAACTCGACCGACCTCCTTATACTCCCATCTCGTCCTCTTCGCCAGCAAACCCTACTGTCCCTATGCTAGCTCTGCACACCGCAGCAGCAGCTTTGACACTCGTTCCATCAGCTCACTGGAACATCGAGATGCACCGCTCCAACATCTCATCCTATGATGGCTCTGATTCGGTTGAGATTCCGTCTGAAGTTGACACATCATCCGTGGCTACCGACAAGGTCTTCAAAAAGGAATTGTACCAATATCTTCGCTGGGCCTTGTCTGCTTCGGCACCAGGACCCGGCATGCCTGAGACTATGACCATCCTTGGAAGAGATGAAACGGTGCGCAGACTGCAAGATGCGAAGACGCTTACACAGCATTTGGTACCGCAGGTAGGTCGACGGGTGCCGAAGTCCTCTGGAGAAAAGAAACTGCAGGAAGATCGGAGTTGGATGGGATCTCTTGCCCCTGGTCAGTAAATCGTAGCTTCGAGGCAGCATAATAGAATTGTAAGATATCTGAGGTTTGCCAGTTGGGTATCGGTTGCTGTATGTCGTTGAAGTTACTAGTATCTTAGAAATTGGCTGCGGCTTCTGACTTTTAGGTTTAGAGGATTTTTAGGACTTCTATCTTTACCTATTCTCGTATTAAACACCGTTTTTCTCTTCGTTTCTCTTTCAAACAATACCTACAGGATGTAGCCGAATTTCTCCTATATTGCAATATCCTCGAGTATTCTGCTTGCTCGTGCAGCAAAGCTGGTTGTCTCCTAGCTTTTGTCAAGAAAGGATCCAAGGAATAATCTGTTTGAAAGTCGAAGTAAAATCGGCTCTCCATTTCCTTGCAGCCCTCTCTAGAAGCAATCGCGTGTGTACCTCTTCATGATATCTAACCATGTCAGATGCTGTCTCCTTTGCCTCCAAGTCTATTCCAAACTTCGATTCATCAGAAAATGATGACTACAAAGTATCAGGCCCCATTCAAAATTCAAATGAGTATTGAAGTGATAAACCAGTACAAGCATCTCAGTAAACCTTCGTTAAAATTCCAATTACGAGGTTGGAGCACCAAAGCCCAAGAAACTGACAAAGAATCAAACTCATAGTATCATCATTTGTCTACATGTGAAACGTCCAAAAGGGGTCCATTCTAGCAAGAATAAGTACAAACATTAATTGAGGATTGTTCCATCCCGATCTCCAACCTAACAAAAGTTGACCGCAATCAACCAGCAGGATTGGCACAAGTGAAAGGCGTCAGATTAGACGACGCGAAATCGGAATGCATCGCAATCACAGACGCCCAGATACCCAAGCCAGCACAGGACAGAGCAGCGAGGGAGTAGATGACATCGAAGGTGTTCCAAACGAACTTCTTCTTGTAGCCGCGGATCCAGCGCTTGATACCGCTGTCGATGCGCTCGGCTTGGCCGGTTTGCGGGTTGAAGCACTCCTCGGGAAGCATGGCGTCCTTCTGCACGTTGTAGCCGACCAAAAGCATGGGTGGGAAGGTATAGGAGAATTGCAAGATGCAGGCGGCGCCGACGAAGGATGTGAGATTGGTGATTTGAGGGATGGCGGCGGCGACGATCCAGGCGAGGACCCAGTAAAGCGGGACTGTGGTTGTTAGTATATTGTGGGATTTTTTTTTTGGGAGAAGAGGGTTGAATGGCTTACCGAGACCGACCCAGAGCCACTTGCCGATGCGGCTGTCTAGAGGGGGGAAATGGAAGACGTCACGCAGGACGGAGGAGTAGAAGACCTTGATACCAATGTTGCCGTAGAGCAGGGCAGCAATGACACCGGTGATGAAGGAGATGGCGTTTCCGAGAGTCTGGAAACGGTAGGCCGAGTCGGGGATACCCTGGTAGGCCGGGTTGAAGGTGAACTGGCCCTGGGCGCTATAGACGACCATGCCCATGATCAGATAGCAGGAGTAGATGAAGATCTCGGCGCAGATGAATCCCTTCCAGAAATCGTAGGGACGGCGCATCTCGGCCATGAGCTCGTTGAACAGGGTCGCACCACCGTAGGCGAAGACAGCGTTCATCATCGCATTGACCTTGTCATTTAGGGTAGAGCTGGAGGGCCAGTTGGCGCTGGTCATGACTGGACCCTTGACGATTGATGGGTAACTGGCGTGCACGGCGGCATAGTTCGGAGGGTATTGGTGAACCACGACCATGGTCATGATGATGACGATGACGTTCAACCAAATAGCAATGTTGGAAAGGAAGGACAGACGCTGCAGAGTACGAATCTGACCGAGAAGAAAGCCGATGATCATGAAGATGACCTCGGCAACAATGAAACAGAGGAATCCCTTGCCATTGTGGCCCTGAGCCATCTGCGCCAAACCCTGTCCGTTACTGGTGATCAACAGAGACACATTCAAGAAGAACTGGAAACTCTGAAGGACGTTGACGAAAATACGGGCATAGCTGCCAAAAACGCGGAAGGCCATGTCGCCGTAATTGCGCATGGGGAAGCGGGTAGAGTCCAGGCCGACGAAGATTTTCCAAAGCTGCACACCCGAATAAGCCGCCATGAGACCAAAGACCGTGTACAAAGCGAAACCGGGTCCATAGCCCATGCGACTGATGGCCCAGGGAACGTTGGTGGGGCCCAGAATATCCGTGGTAATCAGATAGAAGATTGATCCCCAGGTAGCCGTCCGACCTGCCCGCTGAGCCTGTTCCCATTCGGTCTCGGTGATTCCGTAGCTGTCAGTTGCTTCGGTCTTCAGGGGCACATCCGCAGGGTTGCTTTGAATCTTCTTCTCATCGGTAATCTCGTCATTGGCGTTCTCTGAGAGCGCTGGTGGCGAGACGTCTTGTGATTCAATGGGGTTCTTCTTCTTGCCCATGAGCATGCTAGCCCATGCTGCGAGGCCCTTATCATCTGTGCGAATGGTTCTCTCGTACTCACGAGACCGATTGGCCCAGAAGACGTAGTTCTCGAAAGTAATGCTGGGATCCAAGTAGATGGAGTCCTTCCCAGCCAAGATGGGAGCGGGGATACTGTGGTGTCCATCGTGTCCATCGTAGTTCGGAGGAGTGTCCCCCATGGCCTTGGAAGTGTGAAAAGTGTGATGCTCTTCCTCGGTGCCGATAATATCAGCTTCATGACCGACGCGAGGATCGGCGATGCCGCCAAGGTTGGCGGCCGAGACGATGCCTGCCATGCTTGCGGTTACTAAAATAGAGAGCGCAAATGCAGGCTACTTTTAGGTATAATCAGACCAGGACGGAGACAACGTGAGGCAACGAGGGAGAAAAAAGAGAATGGGAAGGAGGAAGGCGATTGCGCCAACGGTCACTATTTGAACGACTCCATAGTGCGGAGAGACCCCGAGAAAAACCCTACGGTAATCTCCAGCCTCCTACGATTGGATCAAGTGGAGCAGTTATCAATTGCCTCAGGGCTGGGGGCGTATGGACTCCTCCAGTGTGTGCCTCGGACGTTATCAGAAAACCGCCCCAATGAAAAAAAAATGCAACGCTCCCCATGTCTCGCCACAGGGACCATGGCTAAGGCACACGCGACTTCGTGGCGTGGGATGACCACTGGATCCACCAGGTCGTGATATCCTTGGTATTCGCTCGGCAAAAGCTTGTATCTCCGCATTCACGCTGAGACGGGAATGGCGACAGGCCAATCAGTGGCAATCGCAGACCGGGGTTCGGATGGCGCGGAACAAGATATTCCCACTTTTTTCTTCGGTCGACAGCAGGCCAGGACTCGGGCACCGGAGAGCCAACGGGACTCCGGGACTTTTTTGTTCTCTCGTGTTTCTTTCGCGTGGTAGAAATGGGGCCTGCCCGGTAACGGGTCGGAAATCCACGGCTTGCTCTCCAACCGCCTTCCATAGGGCATCATCCCGATCACAGTCCCTACTGTATCTCGGCTGCGTCGGATTCGGCCGTCAGTGCATAGGGTGGAGCCACTGTGAGACACTCGCGCTTCGCTCCTGGGTTTCCGAAGAGGAGGTCCGTATCCCCGTCATTCGAAGCAGCCATCCATTCGCAGCCTTAGTCCAACTGTTCTTTGGGTAGACCCGGTCAGCACGGACCCGGTTACATCGGTGCATCAATGTGTCATGATAAATCTGGGGAAGATGTTTTGGACCCCGTTCGATGCCTCGTGGGATCCTCAATCCAAACATACCGGATCATGCTCCCAGGTGAGGCTGAAATAGACGGTCGCGCGATCGGCTAGTCCGCCACTTAACGGCACTAGGCGTGACTTGGCGCCATTTTGGCTGGACACTTAGGTCCGTTACCGTCGCTATCCCCTTTTCGGATCTGCACATCCCGCGACTCCGCTGACAAAGCCTGCTCAAATTCAGAGAAGAAAGAATTTTACTTCTCATCGCGTTGAAATTGACTAATCAGTGTCGTTCGGGTCCGGATCCAAAACAGTATCTAGAGCCGATCCATTGTTGAACTCAAGGCTTGGCTTGTTCCGTGGTCAGTCCTTGAAATTTGTTCTTGACCCAGTCTTCTGGGTGGCGGCTTACCCACACTCCGTGGGGAAGCTTTCTAGGCACTAGTGGAACCTCTCGGGACTTGATTGAGAAAGCAAATACCCACAGCACTGGACGCAGTGAGAGCATCCGACCCGGATATCTTGCTCATGCTGTTCAAGAGGGATTGACCTAATGGAACTTGGAAGAACTCAAAAGAGAATCGTGTGATAATAAGTGACGAGGTGGCGATGATATGGATGGCAATTGGGTAGGCCATAAAATGATTCTCTATCTCTTAACGCCTCAGAATTCTAGGACTGCTTAGTCAAATGCAAGAATGCCGCTATCCGCTTGTACATCTCGACCGGATTAGAGTACATAGGAAAGTGACCACTTTGTGGGATCTCTGCCAATTCCACGCCCTCCTTCTGCAGGCGTGGTAGATACGACAGGTCACGGCATTCCTCGCCAAACATGAACATCTTGGGAAAAGGAAGGCTCAAGAATATTCCAAGCAGATCTTCATGATCGGACAGCTGCACCATAGACTCAAAGATAGGGCGTACCGCGCCCGCGCGAACCCGCAAACGCAGTGCAGATGCATACAGGGGATTGGAGTAAGATCTCGCCTTGCGAGTCCGGTCGATGAATTCATCAAAGAACTTTTCGGGATCATCTAAAGGGAAAGTGAAGATCTGCCGGCTGAGGAAGCAGTCTTCCGGCGCGAGATTGCCTTTGATGTCTACGAAGCTGAGGACCCGGTCTGGGTTGCGTTGGGCGAGAAGAAGCGCTGTCAGACCCCCCCATAGAGTGGCCCATGATATGGAATTTTTTGATGTTGAAGTGCTCCAGAAAGGCCTCTGCGGTGGCGACAAGGAACGGAATATCCGTGGCGGAAAGGTTGTCAGTTGTGGAATGACCACAACCTGGGGCATCGTAGGCTATGAAGCCATTCTCTTGCATTGCTGGATGAAGGACCAGATCTGCCAGATCTTCCTTACAGGAACCGAATCCATGTAGGAAGACAATTGGTGGCGCTGAGATCAATCTGTGAATTGTTGAAAGATTGAGGTTGATGCCCGGGACTTGAATCGGGACCGTCTCGTGGCTAAGATGCATGCCTGAAGAGTGTGGTAGCGACCGAAACAATAATCACCGTATGAAGGCAATGAAATTTAAAATGTGCCTAAATTAATGGAGGAAGTTGTCTGAATATTAATGTTCTGACATCGAAGAACGCCTGGGTGGCTCGGCGAAGTGCCTGTTTGCCGCTCGCCTCTCTCTGAGCCATGGCGCTACGAGATGGAAATGATTTATCTTGAGTCATTTGCCATTCAGCCGATAAGAGGAAAGCCACACGATTGTAATTTTGGGGTCTTTAAGAAGCAAAAAAGGCATTCAACTATTGAACTTGGTTGAGATATGATGCGCATACAGTGCTGTTGCACAGCAAAGGTTACCAAGGCATCATCATGTCACGTCCTGTCAATTTCTTTCAGGTAATTTTGCGTTCCCCCTGTATCAGAATATCTGTTGAGAATGACCACTTCATCTCGCTGTCTATTTCCTTTCGTTATTTTGAAATTTTGCAGAGATCTAATATTTCCAAGTCGTGCTTCCGAGAACTCATCCAATCTCCTTTCGATACGACTGTGGCGATAATTAAATCCACCGAAATTTCAACCTAGCTCTTCAGAGGCTACTTCCCAATTTAAGCTGAAGAAGCGATTTCAATATCCGTTCATATGTAACCTCGATGCACCCGGATGTCCGTCAATCAAGCCCACGCACGCATGCCGGGACGCCACATCAAAGACAAAGCCGCCCAGTAATATCACACAAACTTATCCTCCAAGAAGAATCTGAGTGGGATCTCAAACCTTTGGCAAACCGATAATAAAAGAAGAAAGCAAGTCAGGGAAGGGCTGGGCTGGACAAGACAGGCCCTGAGACAGTGAGAAGCTAGGTAAAGATTGGGAAGAGTAAAACAATGTCTCAATTTGAGTAATGATTCTAATTTCTTCGTCATCTAATAATATAGATCTCATGATTCGGAAAGGTATCTTGAAATTGAACGACATGTCATGGAACGGTCGTATCCCCATATCCTAGTTCTTTTGTGTTAGGGATGGCCAGGGTGGGCGGCCACAACATGGATGGGTCGCTTGGCATTGGGGGTGCATTAACGCTGAACGGTATACCTCCATTTAAGGGAGGTCCGGTGCTCAGATCTCCAGGAAGTTGGGACCAAAACAGGGCTGCGTCATCAATGAGATGGGTGGAATTGGTATCGTACTCAGAGTCGATATCCTTAATTGGGATCTTTGTCAATGTGCTGGGAGACTGTGTCCATAGCAGGGAGACTTCCGGTACATTAGCGGGTAAGGAAATAGTTCGGCAAGACTTTTCTCCTTCTCCAAATGTCCAAGCTGAATCTGTGGAACGATGGGGTGAGAGTGTTGTGATGTCATGGCCCGGAGGATGAGATATATGTCCGGGTACTGAAGCACCGGTCGAGGCGGGTATCAACCTTCTTCCACGGATATTCAGAGACGGAGGTAGCTTGTGCCTTTCTTCAGACCTCTCTACGGGGCCCAGAGCAAGCTTGTTATGGTCTGCCAGCATCTTGACGACCGCGGGGTCTATTGGCTGAGCTTGGCGTAAGACAAAAGTGCCTGGTTGACAAATAGCGCGAAGTCTATTGACTTCAAGCAGCAAGTCATCACGCTCACTCATTAGCTCCTGGACTGCAAGCACTGCCTGGATAATTCTGGACTGCTGAGCTTTGTGTTGAGCGATACTAGCGTCCACAATGATATGCTTGGAGGGCCGCTGTTCTGTCTTCAGCATAGGCAGCAAAGTTGTCAGCTTCTGGAAGATATTAGCAAAAATCAATTCTTCAAGGTCCATTGCTGCATGACCAACGTTTAGACGCTCGCTAAAAGCTTCGCGGCGTGACTTCTCAAACTCTCGGTGAACGGCTCGGTCCTCTGCCGTCCAATTGCGGATACGTTTTTTTTTGGGTTTCTGAGGGCCCAAAGCGCCCATCATAGGCTCCATGCTCACAATAAATGTCGTTTCGGCTCACAATGTGCAGGGGCATGGAATAGAAGAATACGGGAGATTCTATGGTGGGATCCGGGGTAAAGTGGGGGAAATGCGGAGTAGCTTTGGATTCGCTTCCGAGGCCACATAGGTCTCCACATGCATCTTTGATCATGATCGTGTGTCACCCCAAAGTGATAGAGATAGGACCTCGTCAACTGTAATCTGATGATTATCTGCTCTATATCAATCGTCATGCCTGAGTCGTATCTCTGTGCAAATGCTGATGTGGTCGATGTTCGTCGGGCAACTCGAAAGACACGGATGGATTGGGAATCGGTTCACGTGAGCATAGGGTGAGGAAAGTAGGATTACACCGGTCTACTTATTGAACAGAGCTCTAATAGAAGCTATGTATGAGCGGGCAACTCCCAGCGAAGGCTGGAGAAGTAGGCGGAGACAGGCGGCCGACTTATCTGTCGACGCGGGGATCAGTCCACGATAAGAAACACGGGCATCATCTGCGTTAGGTATTGATATCGATGCAGCAAGAACGTAGCTATATAACAAAGATATACTACCAAGTCACCCACTAGTGGTCAGCTTCTTGGACTTGCTATTTCACTTCAGATCTTGACAGTCTTCAAGCTTGACTAACCTTTCTCTTTGAATGGGTACCATTCCCGCTCGACAAGCCGTGGCTTTTCCGTGTCAGGCAAGGTAAAGAAATAACCGTCAACAATACTCATGGGAAGCAAGTCATTGAACTCTGGGGATTAAATCCCAATGCACCCCATGATTTCCTGTCCTTGGGCATACTTGAACGATCCGTGTGAAGACGATCCTTCGTGGAAGTGATATACTACTAGTACGCGTAGATACATAGTTCTGACTGTGACCGAGAATACTCCTCAAGGTGTCCATGATCTGACCGGATCAGCATATGATGCTGAACGGTACCGCTTGCAAGGCTGTCATGGCGTTAGGCTAACTGCGCCGACAATATGCACAAGGTGAGCAAGTTAGGAAATGGAAATCAAGCAACACACACTAATCGTCTGACAGATGTCTTTGAACTAACCTTCCCTGGCTTTCAAATATCAAATGACTGGGTTCTAGATCCGCTCAACATCCTCATGGACGTTGCAATCGATCACCGAAGTGGTCCAGAGATTCGAGCCCCAACCAGTGAAAAAGGCCAGTATGTTGATTTACAGCAGCAACGGCCCGATCATTATATGAGTGCTAGACCGCAATTTATGACGGCAACGAATGCCAAGATGCCGACAGACTGCGGGTTTCAACCGTGAGGTCAGGGATTACCCCATTGGCGGGGGGTATGGCCATGATAAGAGCAGCCACTGGTCTGTATCATTCACAAATTAAGATTATTCTTGTGCCTTGTCCCCTCGACGCGAACGATAACGCTTGTTGGGTAACCACGTTCCCCATCTTCACATACAACAAAGTTCGGGCCATCTAAACAGCAAAACCAAGGTCTATAAGTCAGTCTAGCTGTCCGTGGTAGGATTCGACATAGAATAAACGCCCGGGTCCTCCCAAATGACTCGATCCGAGGTTTGTGAAGACGGTGAGGAGTACGATATCATTGTGTCATTGTTGTTGGTGGTGGCCCGGTCGGCCTTCTTCTCGGCTACCAATTGAAGCGATTTGGAGTCTCTGTCTGTGTGTTGGAGCAACATGAGAAAGAAGAACAGGATGCCTATGGACGTGCGATTACTTTATTTCCAAGAACCTTGGAGCAACTGGATCAGCTTGACCTCATTGAGCCGATGCTGCAGTTGGGCTTTGCGTGTCGAACAAGTGTCACCTACAAAGACGGAGAACGAATGGCAGTTTGAGTAGTTCATCCTCACGCAATGGCATACCAACTGCAAACAGCATTCCTGAAAGAGTTTGGAGCTTTATGGAAAATATCCAAGATACGACTTATGACTTCGTGCTTGTTCTTCGCCAGATGTACACTGAGCAGATACTTCGTGATAAGCTCGAGTCAGTCGGAGCAGATTACTTCCCAGGCTATGAGTGTGTGGATTTTCAGTGCGACGAGAATAAGTCGTCTGCAAACCAACCGGTAGTTGCTACCTTCAAGGAAAGCGAGACCGGAAGAACAATCACATTGAAAAGGTACCCGGTCATTCAACAACCCATCGAAACAGGCAATTGTCACTCACTATGAAACAGCAAATACCTTATTGGCGTGGATGGTGGTTGAAGTTTTGTTCGTCGACATGCAGGCATTCCTTTCGAAGGTGACAGCTCAGATGATCAGTGGGTGCGCATGTACGGACTTGTCGAAACCGATATACCTCTCAATTGATCCTATGGGTATGTCATATTGATGGATCATCGGTCCAAGTGTGCTTGTGTGGCTTAACTTCCTCCCAGAGCGATCGAGAGCAAAACACATGGAAACGTGCTGTGGGCTCCTTTGGACCATGCAGCCACCCGCATAGGCTATGCATATACTTCGGATATTGCAGCGAAGTACCCAGGAGGTATCACTCAGGATATTACAATGCAAGAGGCAGTGGAGTCAACGAAACCGTTCAATGTGAAATTTAAGGAGGTACATTGGTGGACATTGTGAGTGGATGTTCCAGGAATCCTCACATTTCTTATTCTGTCTGATCCGATATCACAGGTACCAAATTGGTCAACGGATCGCAAAGGACTTTTTAAAAGGAAGAATTTTCCTGTGTGGTGATGCAGCCCATACGCATAGCAGTGGAGCAGCACAGGGACTGAACACCGGGATTCACGATGCGGTCAACTTGGGCTGGAAGCTTGCCCCGCACTTACGAGGAATTGTCCAGGAGAATATCCTTGACACATATGACTTGGAACGGAAGAATTCGGTGCAACAGCTGATCGACTTCGATAGAGATATCTCCATCTTAATGTCCCGTAAATGGCCGTCTTGGTACGAAGGAGATACGGACGCAGATCTGTACATCGTCCTCGGAGAGATCTTCGAGCGAGCTGCATCTTTCAATACTGGACTGGGGATCTCCTACCCCATCAATGATATCAATCAATTCTCTCCTGATGGAACGGCTGTAGCTCCAGGGAGTCGGCCACCAGATGTGGAGCTGACCACGCCAGGAACGAAGCAGACGGTGAAACTTCAACGGGTTACTCGCAACTTGGCCAAGTTCTGGGTCATTGTGTTTGCTGGCAATCCTGATTTGACCCACGCCTCTCTCGTGGAGCTTGCCAGGTTTTTGGGAACATTTGAGAAGTTCAATTCCAGGGAAGCAATTGGCTGGCTTACTGTTTGTGGCTGGTAACTCCCCGTATGAGACACGAGGGATGAAACCATTTGGGGACACTTTCTTCGACCCTGCCGAATCTGCGTATGAGACATTCGCGTTTAGACCTGACGAAGGTGGAAATGTCAGTCTTCGACCGGATGGTCTACTTGCAGCCGCGGGCCCTCTTTTGGGAGAGTGGCTAAAGGGGTATTTCGAGGGAGTTATAAAGTGATACTGGACCAGATATATTGAGCATCAAGCCCTGACAGAATGTTTTCTGGACACAGTAGCTTTCAAAATCAGTCAAACCTCCACACTCATGCGACTTCATTCCCTGAAAATAAATCCGAAATACGCGGACCCATTCACTTCACCGCTTTATAATTTCGGCAACATCGTAATAGTAATGGCCTTACTTTAATAGAATCAGTGACAGCAAAAGTATCGACACCCCGTCTAGCCCCACCAACTACACCGCCTTGAAAATACGTTCACCGCCTACAGAAACACGCTAGATCTAAAAGTCCCGACGATAGTATATAATCCGCACCGACAATATCGGTTCAGCGTGATGAACATCGCGCGTTTTCTACAGGGACGTAATTTTCCCTGGAGAAGTCCTTACATTTTCCTCAAGTACATGTCTACCCCGGCCGACAAGAGTCCGATGGACCAGCCCACTTACATTTCCCCCATTGATGCGGAGCCACTTCATCGCTACCGACAGACGGTTATCACCCAGTCTTCTTAGGAGAAATGCCTTAAAGCTGGAAGGTATAAGGTGTTCATAAATTAGGATGGGGTGGTTACTCGACAGTCTGGGCGGCAAGAGATCAAAGGTCATACATGCAATGGTGACGCACGGTAATCCCAGCTAATCGAAATTTACCCTTGTAGGACAGAGACATACGTCGCTGTGAAGATTTCTATTGCAGAAAAGGAATATAACAGGGAGAACACGAGAGCTCCAGACTATGAAGGAACTGGCATCTTATCACGCGAGTCTGACGCATGTGGTGCAGTTGCTCGATGATTTCGAACTAATGGGTCTGAATGGAGTTCATAAATGCCTCGTTTATAAACTTCTGGGACCAAATATTCCGGACGTAACTGATGCACACTTCTCCGGTGAGAGACTCCCCGGAAGGCTTGCCAAAATCATCGCCAAGCAAAGTCTTGCCGGGCTTCATGATTTGCATCAAGGAAATATAGGACCTGGAGGTACTGACATCCATTCACTTTGGGGAAAATTCGGAAGATCTCACCTGAAATAGATTTGCACACTCGCAATTTGGCCTTCACCATACCTTGCTTGGACAAGGTATCCGAGGAGGCTTTTTTTGAGATATTGGGAAAGCCTGAAATAGGTCGTGTCAAAAGGCACGATGAGAAAGGCCTTGAGCTCGGCGTGCCGGAATATATGGTGAAGCCTACCTCATATCGAACCCGCCTTTGGAACTCGGCTCAGTCGATCAAAATAATCGATTTCAGAGAATCATTTGAATGTCCTGCTGTTCCTCACTCGCTACACACACCTTTGCCTGCTCGAGCACCCGAAGTTATATTTCAGGATAAAATTGATCACCATGTTGACTTGTGAAGTATGGGCTGCATGGTGCGCGAAATGATTCAAGTCTTCACGCTAAACATGAGTGGACTGATAACCATGACAGCTTTTTGAACTTTTCACGGGCCAGCCACCTTTTGACACCTTCTAAATAACACCCCCAATTCTCATCGGTCAAATGCAAGAGATGGCAAGTGACGATCTACCTAAAAGATGGCAAAAGATATGGAATACGATGAATAAAGGGGACGAAGTGACCACGGAAAGCCCCGGACCCAACTTGCAAGAATGGCTGGAAGAAGTGTATTTTAATGGACGCCAGATCCCTGATTTCACAAGAGAGGAAATAGTGAGGCTTGGAAAATTCATTGGAAAATTGTTGTGTTTTGAACCTTCGGCAAGAGCATCAGCGAGACAGATCCTAGATGACCCTTGGTTCAATAAGCAGGCTAGGCTGTTAGTGTTTGTGAGGATCTCGTCCCCAGCTGAGACCTAACAGCTTGGTGAGACCTGTTCAATCTTCAACCCTGCATGCCGGAAGATGGCCTCTAGCGGTCTCTTCTTTTGTACCCACTTCATTAATACACCATTCAAGGAAGGCATCAAATCCTCTCTCGGGGTCTTTTCCGTGATATTTCCAGTTACGCCAAATGAATCCCTTGAGTTCAGCAAAAAACATTCGATTAGGTTCAGGTCTGGTGAGTACGGTGGCAAATAGATCAGCTTCACACCTGAAATGAGATCGCAAGAGGTTGGAGGTATAACTGATTTCGAAAATTACTGTAAGCATCCATATGTGATTCTTTATCTCCTAATTCTTCATTGGAGCTTGTTCCAGACCCCTCCTCTCAGTGATTTTCAGTCACAGCCGCCATTTAGAGCTATTATGGATCAGAAATTTGATCTACAGCCACTGAGGCATGATGTCGAGATACAACCTGTGGGGTATACTAGCACCAATTTCTATGTTTGAGAACTGGGACTCGCATTTCTGAAGGACCAAGCATCCGCTTCAAATTCGCTCTATCTTCACCAGCCAGACTTTTGCTTTTTACGGGTGGATATACAAAAAAAAAATAAACGAAAGAAAGGAAGAAAAAAAACCTATCATGCAAATAGGGCTCAGGCAGAATCATGTTTGTAGCGACTCGACTCACGTTCGAAATAACAAAGGTTAAAGAAAAGACGCTGACACACGGAAATGCTATGGTGTGGATGGGTCAAAAACAATGATGGCACGGTGGACACAAAAGTAAGTCGCCAAGTGTAGCAGCCAAGAAGGGCTCGACCCTGTCAGAGCAAACTCGGTGCGTCATATGACACGGCTTTTCACACATTGCTTCCTGGGCCACCGCGTAGGGCTGAACACGAGCACTGCGCGACATATACGCACGATCATCAAATTGAGAATTTTCCGGGCATAACACGCGATAGTTGGATAGCCGGACCGAGGATCCCTCTACTACAAACCCTAAGCTAGAAAGTGTGCGCAGAAACGGCATTGAAGAACGGGAAAATTAGGCTACCATTCTGTGGAAATATAGCAAGAAAATGCCGTGAACCAAAACCCAAGTCACATTAGCGTGCCAAGTCTTCGGGAGGCCCGCAAAGAAAAACAACGACGATCGAAGCGGAGTCTGGACGTCTCCGATTTGGTGGCGAATGAACTTTTCGCGGAAAAGCCCCTAAGCCTTGACCGCCCCGTCTATAATAATAATATCACACAGTCCGGTTTTTATACCCACCCCCCCTTATAACACAGCCCATTCCTCCAACCAAATGCTTGTTCTCTAGCATGCACTCGTGCTGAGCTATAATACGGGCTCTTTACCTGAGTCGTTGCTGCGTGTTGCCGAATCCTACAAGGCCTCAGACCATCTCAGACTCGTCGATCCCGGCTTTTTCTCCTGATTCGCCCCGGAAACTCCTGCTTCCCACCCCCAGTTCTTCCGGGTCTTGGTGCTATAGCAAGCTGTCCTCTGGGCCCTCTTACTAGCTGCAAGCTTATCACGGTCTACACGGCCTTTCCCGAAACTCTCAAACCGGACGGGCTCTCACCGCAACGATAACAAATACGCCTGTTATTTGGCGCGATTGAAGGTTTCGACCAGTCCTTACCTCGGACCAAAGCCCGTGCCTGCCGCTGTCTCTTTTTTCACGTTTCTTCTGTCAGGGGTTTCCCTTTTTCTGGACCTTCACCGAGCTTCTGGGAAAGCCGAAGGATTCCAACCCAATCTCCCTCTCAAGCTCGATTTCCAACTCATTGACCTTGCCATCTGTCAACATGGACGTCGATTTATAGCTTCGCTTCGTCCCTTGGGATATTTCTGTTCTTCAGCGTTGTTTCCATTACCCCCTTCAGCTTTTCCGATACTTTCTCCGGCTCGCGGTCTTACCAGACGTGATTTGGACTCGCGTGTCTCTTGCGAATAATTATATCGCCACAGCCAACTATGGCCCCCAACCTTTTCATCTGTTTGCGGACCGTCTGCTGCCCGGTCTACTGGTTCCAGCGTGGTGGTCGCGGCAAAAGCGAAGTCAACCGAGAGCAGCACTGGGAAAGCCCCATCCCGGGAACGTACAAGTTCCTCCCAGGCCGCGGATGGCATCTCGTCCGCCGCGACGGTTCCGACAAGGATGAAAAGTCCCCTGCTGCTCTTGTGTACTGCCGCATCCTTCACCGATACATGTTCGAGTCTGAACTCGAAGAGCGCTGCCGCTTGTTTTCGGCTCCGCTGCACAAGGGCGCCCAGCCCGAGCAGCTGCGCTTCTTTCTTCTCGACGACGGCCTCCACTGGGTCGCCGGCTGGGATGCCAAAGGCCGATTTATCCCCGGTCCTTACCCCAAGTGGTACCTAGATGATGATGGCCATACTATACGCCGCGGCTCCTCGCCTCCTACCAGTGCCGCCGTTTCCCGATGCAGCAGTATCATCGCGGGCAAACATGATTAATGGACAGGTGCCATGCACCACATTTAATAAGGCCAATCCATACATCTTGTTGCAGGCGAACGTCCAACACGCACTGTGATCTCTTGCGCGCTTTGAAAGCGTTTAGCGTGTTTTATCTTTTTGGGCTGTCAAAAGTTATACCTGGGATTCTCATAATGACTAGATATGTTTCGGGTTCTCATGGTGTTTTTTTTCTTGGTATAGTCATAGAATTAGACTAGACTTCTTCTCAGGCACTTGGTGATCAGCGACGGGCGCTCGGTCACATGTGTCGGATTCCCTCACTTGGGTGACAATTTGGACAATTTCAGAGAATAGGATTCCTCTTCAGAAATTAAAACTGTTCGTACGATCTTGATTGCAACATGACTGATCTAAATCTTTAAACAATTGAGGTCTGCCTAGTACAGGATATGGATCCAAGTATGAACAGCGTGAGATGGTGTTGTCACGTGAGACTATACGGTCCTTGGGTCGCCGCTCTCGCGGTTCTGAACAATTCAAATCCTGGTGACATGCAATGCTGCTTTGCTGCTCAATGGTATGGTGCTGATTGATGCTTTCTCGGCAAGAAGATCAAACAAATGACTGTTCACTGGCGTTCTCAGCTCAAACTCAGAAAAATATAGAAGCCCTTTCTAACCTCTCTATTCTTTCCTTCTCTTCCCTCCCAAGCTCCTTTCATTCTGTTGTCCTCTTCCTGGCAATCTAACGATGGAAACCACCAACATCTCTTCTGGGGATGCTGGCCGCCCTCGTCGCCCGCTGAAGCTGGTCTTTGGCAAGGAGAGGAGGACCGAGGTGGCCTCGTCTGAGCCCACCTCTGAGGCCCAAGGCGTCATCACTGCGGTAAGTCAGGACTACATAGTATTGCTGGGATTTTTTTATCCTTTGAAACCTATTTTTCTAATATTTTTCAGGCAACTCGGATCAGCCGGACTGGTCGAGTCCTCAAAGCCCCGACTGCTTTTATCCCGGCCCCCGCCGCTGCTGGCAGCGGTGGAAAACGCCGACGCGGTGGTAAGAAAGCCACCAGCATCAATTGTGCGGAGTGCGGACGGGGACATAGTCCCAGTAACAACCCAATCGTCCTCTGCGATGGGTGCGAGTCTGCGTGGCACAAGCATTGCCACAACCCGCAAATTCCAAATGGCGCCATCCAGAACCTAGACACCGAATGGAAGTGCAATCATTGCGAGCCTTCTCAACGCAGTGGCATCAAGGCTAAGTTCGTGAAAGGCAAGCTCGTCAAGATGAAGCTGGCCAAGGATCCAAAGCCTGCCCACAAAGCTGAGCCCAATTCAACAACATCAGCCCGGATCGAAGTTGCTGGCAACGACTTTACGGATACCGAAAAGCGCGCCTGGCTTTCGGGCTTGTCTCATTCTCTGCTCGTAGAAATGCTCGTCGACATTTCTAGCAAGAACCCATCTTTGCCAATCTTCCCTGCCAACATGAAGGAGTTGCCCCTCTGCAAGTTTGCCGTTCCTTCGGCCAGGCCATTAAGTGCCCAATCTGCACCACCCTCTGAGAAGCGCACACATGACGGGGCTACAGCTATCGACAGCCGCCTTTCACGCACTCGTTCGAACTCAGCTGTGCCTGTTGCCACTCTTGACTCGATGTCATCGCCCAACCAACAATGGTCATCCAGCGATACCGCCGACGAGAGCTTCCTCCCAACGAACATGAGCGGCGGGCAATTCACACAAGATCCCGAGCATTCTACCACGCCTGCTCTGTCTTCCGACGCCCCGAGTCCGTACGAGGCGGAGCTCTTGACCGACAGCGAGGGGGGCGACATCCCATTCGATGATCACCGCGTCTACCCCAAGCCGGGTAACGGCTTTGCTCTTTTGTCGGATCCGGCAGATCTCGACATTCTCAGTGAGGATCCTGAAACGAAAACCTTCAGTCATGCTCTACATGTGTCAGTCGCAAGGAGAGTCACCGGGAACTAGGATACTTGCAAGGAAAGAAAACTTCGTTCTCTAATGTTCTTTCTGGTGTTTTCTCGCCTGACTTGCTTGCTTTAATCTCACATGTCCTTTATGTCTTCTTGCCTATCTCTTTGGGTCCTTTTTCTCTGTCTCTTTTGGCACCTTCTTACCTGTTCTTTCTACCCTCTATTCCCAAGACATGATTTACTACGATCAAAAGACACAATCAGAATGTGTTGAAATTCATTGTGTGTAGAGTCACTGTGTGTCCAGATATCAGACATCCAGAAGACATCAGAAGACATGATATTAGAGTCGACCCCGTATCTTATCAGCCCCACGCTGACGCGCTTGCATGTGCCCCGAACATCTCCAAACCGAGCACCAGCATTCCGCTCCAAGATCTAGCTCTACGCCAAAATTGAGGACCCCCTAAATCGATCATGCACTGAACGCACAACTCACCCAATCTAGCGCATGCGGGAATGACATCCGAGCACCCTACGCGCTCCAAAAATAGCCCGATCACTCCACGCATCACAACCACCAAACCTCCACCACGCACAGCTTCATGACATACACCTATTCAGGCTCCAGTATGTCTACGCCCCTAAAAATAACAACGAAGAGCACCCTGCCCCCTCCAGTCAACAAACCATGGACGCAACATTTAACCCTCGATACTCTCCTCCGCGTCGTGCACCACACACTCCTAAACCCATTCCTCGCCTGGATCCTAGTTCTCTGCCTCCGCGCCCAAGTAACTCCCACCGCCTCTCCAGCCTGGATCGTGAGCGTCAGCTACGCGATCGCGTTGAGTGTGCTCTTTGTCGCGCGAGTGGTGAATCATCGTGTCGCGCATGGGATTCCGCGGACGGTTGATTCGGCGCGGGAGGTGGTGCTCATTACTGGAGGCGCGAGTGGGCTGGGATTATCGATTGCACAGATGTATGGGATGAAAGGAGCTAGTGTGGCGGTTCTTGATATCAAGAACTTGGAGGAGAAGGAAGTGACTGAGATGATTGGGGAAGGGGTGGGTTACTGGAAGTGCGATGTTGGCGAGAGGGGAACGTTGGAGAGAATCAAGAAGGAAATTGAAGTTAAGGTATGTTTTGACTGCCTTATTGAGCGCATTACATGATCTACGTGGGCGGTGTGGTTGTTTGGATTTTGATGCAGAGATATTGGTCGGAATGTTTTAATTTTTGTTTCTCGCTAATGCATGCATGCTACAGCTCGGTACTCCGACTATCATTGTCAATTGCGCGGCGGCGAGGATTCATGGCGGAACATTGCTGGACTTGCCCGCTGATGCTTTTGAGAAGACTGTGCGCACCAATCTACTCGCTGCTTTTCATCTCTATCAGGTTTTCATGCCGGGTGTTGTTGAAGCGGAGAATGGAGGTACGATCGTCACAGTCAGCTCAGTGCTGGGCCAATTGTCTCCGGCAGGACTGTCCGATTATTCCGCTAGCAAGGCTGGATTGAGTGCGTTGCACAGAACAATCGAGGCCGAGTTCCGCGGAACTGATCAGATCAAGACGTTGCTCGTGGAGGTTGGACAAATGGCTACGCCGCTATTTGACTGGGTCCGTACGCCGAGCAATTTCTTTGCGCCTGTTCTCGAGCCAGTTGAGGTTGCTCGTGAGATCGTTGCCGCGGTCGATAGTGGCCAGGGTGGCGTGCTCAGGCTGCCGTCATTCGCAAAGCTCGTCAATCTTTATGCTGTGTTGCCTGGTGCTGTGCAGCGCTTGGCGCGATTCGTGAGTGGAATCGACCGTGCTGTGTCTTCTGGTCTTCTTCAACGTGACGCTCCCGACAGTGAGATTCCTAACAGCAATCGTCGAATCCTCAGGAGCGCAAAGAAACGGACTGATTGAAGAACTTCTATTACATAGGCTTGGCTCGATAGATCACTTTTGCAAGTTCATCTTCCTTGTATATAATTTTGTTTCTTGTACACATTTCATCCAAAACGCCGAGTCGCAATGCAGTATTCCAAATTTTGGGGGGGTATCGTTGAGGTCTGTCGACAGACTTATTGCTCGCGAGACAGAATCATCTTCTCGCGCTCGTTCTGTCTCGACTTCAAGTTATCCTTCTTGGTGTGCTTGCGCACGTTCTCCTCACGCCTCTTGATGGCACCAAGCTCCTCACGCTTAATCTCGCCAGCCTTCTTAATAGGCTTGGGCAGGTGACGCTGGCGCTTGATGCGACGAATCTCGGGCATATGTGCGTAACGCTTGATGAGGGCCTGGTCGTACTCCAGCTTAGTGCGCTGGCGGGCACTCTTGATTCCGCTGCGGTCCGAAGCCTTGGCACGCCACAGACGGACGTTACCGTCGTCGGAGCCAGAAAGAACGTACTTGTTATCCGGAGTGAACTTTGCAGAGAAGACACGCTGCATGCGCTGGGTGTGGTATATGTCGCGAGAGTGACCGCGGGCTCTGTCCCAAAGACGAATAGTGCGGTCGTAAGACGCGGTGACAAGTTCTTGTCCAGTCAGACTAAAGTCGATGTCCATGACGGCCGCAACGTGGTCCTTGAGAATGTTCAAGGCCCGATCCGTTTTTCTCATATCGAAAATATAGGCGTTATGGTCCTCGTTAGCCACGGCGAAGTTGAAAGCTTCCATGGGGTTCCAAGCAAGAGCGTTAGATGCCAACTTCAAGGTCATCTTATGCACCGGCGAAGAAGTGCGCAGGTCGTACAGAATAACGGAGCGATCAATGGCGGTTGAGCCAAGAATGGAAGTCTCGGTCTGGTTGAAGGCAACGGAAGTAATGGTATCGACACTGGTCGGCCAGTGCAGAGTCTGCGAGGGAGAGGAAGAAGGTCGCGAGAGGTCATAGATAGAGATGACCGAAGAGGAGGCAGCGAATGATGGAGATGTGCGGTGGTGTGTCACACCCGTAAAGGCACTTGAGCCTAGATAACTCGCCATCGGTGGCGCCTCGGGAGAAGTGTTGTAAGGGTCCCACAGTTTGACTGTCTTATCACTTGCGCAAGTGAGCAGCTTTCGCTCAGGTGTCCAGCATACTCCCTTGATCATATTCTCATGCGCCTGTGTTTGCCAAATCTCCTCGCGAGTCGTCAAATCCCAAACCTTCACCACGCCGTCGCCGCTACCACTCGCAAAGCGCTCGAGCGACCCAGGGTCTTTCGCCATACTGTAGACACCATCAATATGACCGTCGCCCATTTGACCGATGAAGGGAGCAGCAAACATGCGCTCCATCTTGATCGCATTCAGAGCTCGTGTATATTCACGAGCCCGCTCAAAAGGATGCTGAGACGGGTCGAGATTCCGCTGCTGGCGGACGACCGAAGTCCCTGGGGCCTGCTGCGACGCCGTCGAGCGAGAGAGAGCCTTGATTTTCTATTGTTCATTAGCGTCGCTTTCCAAAGAATGTCATATTATATCAAAACTTACCATTTTGCGTTGTTGGTCTAAACGTAAAAAAAGAAGAAAGCGGAGTGAACTTTTTTTTCTGTTGACGGGATGATTTGCTAAGCGGGCGGTGAGCGCGGCAGCTGGCAGCTTCAAGCTCCCCGACTCAGCGCTCGGTCTATCAACCTACCCTCCCATCAAACACCTTTAACGTCCTTTCATTGCCCACTTGCCTTCTTTTTCTCTTTTTGGAAGCCACATATCGCTACTCGCTTTTCACCATGGCCCCCTCCCTCCAGGTGTCGCCGCGGATACAGGAGGCCCGCGATTTGGAGAAGAAGGACCCTTCGAAGGCCGCGAGCAGTTACGAGAAGATCCTCTCCGAGGGCCCAGGATCGACAGAGGCCTCATCGCGAGACTATGAGCATGCATTGATTGGATTGGGCCAGGTGTACCGAGATGCCAAGAAGCCGCAGGAGATTGCAGACCTCATCAAGACCAGCCGAGACACGTTTTCGTCATTTGCCAAAGCGAAGACAGCCAAGCTGGGTAAGCAGTCATTCATTTGATGTTCAGTAATCTCCTTCTAACAATAGTTTACAGTTCGCCAGCTCCTGGACCTCATCAGCGAAATCCCCAACACTCTCGATCTCCAAGCCGCCGTGATCCAATCATGCATAGAATGGGCCATCGCTGAGCGCCGGTCCTTCCTCCGACAAAACCTTCAAGCGCGCTTGGTCGCTATCCACATGCAGAAGCAAGCCTACTATGACGCCCTTACTCTCATCAACTCTCTTCTCCGCGAGCTGAAGCGCCTGGACGACAAGCTTATGCTGGTGGAGGTGCAGTTGCTGGAGTCTCGTGTGTACCATGCTCTGGGCAACCAGTCCAAGGCACGCGCTGCACTGACAGCGGCTCGGACGTCTGCTGCATCCGTTTACACACCGCCCAATCTGCAGGCAGGCCTGGACATGCAGAGCGGAATGTTGCACGCGGAGGATAAGGACTTTAACACCGCCTTCTCCTACTTCATTGAGGCTCTGGAGGGATATAACTCGCTCGACGAGGGTGAGCTGGCGACTGCTGCTCTGCAGTACATGCTGCTTTGCAAGATTATGCTGAACCTTGTTGATGATGTCACTCAATTGCTGGGCTCTAAGCAGGCCCAAAAATACGCTAGCCCACGTCTGGAAGCCATGAAGTCCGTGGCTCGGGCTCACGCCAACCGTTCCTGAGAGGAGTACGAGAAGGCTCTTTCTGACTACCGATACGAGCTCGGCAGCGACAGCTTCATCCGGAATCACCTTCGCCGCCTGTACGATGCCATGCTGGAGCAGAACTTGATCAAGGTCATTGAGCCTTTCAGCCGGGTGGAGTTGGATCACATTGCCAAGATGGTCGGGCTGGATGTCCAGCAAGTGGAGCGCAAGCTTTCCCAGATGATCTTGGACAAGGTGATCATCGGTGTTTTGGACCAGGGCTCCGGTTGTCTGATCGTTTTCGATGAGACAGAACGTGATCAAGCTTATGACGCCGCTCTAGACACAATTGAGAAGCTGAGCAATGTGGTGGAGGGACTGTATACTAACCAGGCATCACTTCTGGAGTAGAGGATATGGGTTTATTGCAATGCTCTCATGTCGGCTCATAGGCAATTAATAGCGAATTTGCACGCTGTTGCATGACCAACACTTTTCTCACTTTGAGATATCTTAGAAAGTGGTTATAGATTGTAGTCGTAGTTGTCTTTGAAGTGGTCGCGACATTCCGAATCGGGTAAAGCGCGGCGGCAGAAGAATCGCGACCTCTCTCCTTCGCCCAACCTCATCCTCCACCCAACTCCCGACTGGAGCCACAGCTTTCTGGATCGGCAATGAACGCTCCCATGCAACCCAATTACGCGCGGGGGTTCCCTCCGACCACCCAGCGGTCTCCAGCCACGCCTCGTCGACCCCCTGGACCAGGTTTGTCCCCTTTCTAATCGTCCTCGTCCGCACCCATCTAACTCCACTAGGAGGCCCGATGCCCGTGCAGATGCCCCAACACGCTGTCAACGCCCCGTACATGCCCGCGCAGCGCAGTGGTCCCCACCCTAATGATGCTGCTATCCGTCGTAGCCGCAAGCCGACCGACAAGAACCTTCCCGACGGAATTGAGGACGTGGTCATCGGCGAGGGCGTCGAACAGTACAAGAGTCTGCGCGATCTGGAGAAGCGATTAGACGCCGCCATTGTGCGCAAGAGACTCGACATTCAAGATTCCATTAGCAAAACCGTGAAGAAGTACCGCACGATGCGCATCTGGATTACCAATACTGTTGAGGGCCAGTCGTGGCAGGGCGCCGGCAGCAATCCAGGTTCTGGACGTTATAATGTGCGCATTGAGGGCCGTTTACTTGATGATCACAGTGACCCTACTATCCCAGAAGATGAGGAGAAAGCTGGTGATGCAGCTGAAGTTGATGCGATGGACCAGGATAAAGACGGCGCGGACACGAAGAAGACAGACTCCAAGAAACCTTCCCAGCGGTTTTCGCACTTCTTCAAGAATATCACTATCGACTTCGACAAGCCGGCTAACGCCATTCCCGACGAGGTCAAGCCAGTCACCTGGTCCAAACCACAACTGCCGCCCAATGCGACAACTTCCCCTCCAAGTGCAGAGTTCGACAGCATCCAATTTTCGCGGGCATCCCAGGAGAATCTGAATATTACAATTGGCTTGGTACGGGATGAGACTCCCGAACGATACAAGCTTAGCAAGGAGCTGGCCGAGGTGCTAGATGTCGAAGAGGAAACCCGGAGCGGAATCGTGCTTGGAATCTGGGACTACATTCGCGCTATGGAGCTGCAAGAAGACGAGGAGAAGCGCCAAGTGCGCTGTGACCACCGCTTGCGCTCTATCTTCGGTCGCGAGCAGATGTTCTTCCCGCAAATCCCGGAGATGATCGGACCTCACACCAGCCCGATGGAACCCATCAAGCTCCCCTACACTATTCGCGTCGATGAGGATTTCCATAAAGAACCCACGCCAACTATCTACGATATTCAGGTCGCAGTTGAGGACCCTTTGCGCCAGAAGATGATGGCTCTCACTCAAAACCCACAGTATACCTCCGGCCTTCGTCAGATCGCCTCCCTGGACGACCAGGTTGCACTCATTGTCCAGGCTCTCACTCACTCCCGCGCCCGTCATTCCTTCTACACTGCTTTGAGCAAGGATCCCGCGACATTCCTGAAGCGCTGGGTCAACTCGCAACGCCGCGATCTCGAGACTATCCTCGGCGATGCGGCAGCTGCTGGTGGCAACGGCAATGGCAATGAATTCCGTCGTGGAGGCGCAGGTAGCGCGTGGGATACCCCTGTTGCCAGGGAAGCTGTGCGATATCTGTTGGCCAAGCCTGAGGCTTCTGTGGCTCGATAGATATGGATCCCGGGCTTATATGCCGTGGTCGGAACGGCTTTCTATGTACTTTGACTCTATTGATTGGGGCGCTTATGCGGTGTTTGGTCTGGTGTAGCTAGGATATGGAAGGGCTAATCCGTTTCAAAAACTTTTCATGACATGATTTTATCAATTCTTTCTCTCCCTTTCTCTTGGTGCCTCAAAGTAACAAGGTACCGCTCAGCCAATGCTGATGCAAGTAGATCTCATAATCAATCAATGACGCCCAAATGCTCAATGGTTTCAGGGCCAATAATTGTGGAAGATATTGCAAAGAGTCTAATTATATTTCTATACTTCTAGCCTCTTCCTATAGATTCCGTCAATGTCCTACCTTCTTGCTGCGTCTTTGCCAGCGTCCAACTACATTGCCTGCCGATATGCTCGCGTGAGACCCGTGTGAGGGTGCTCAGGCCAAGTCTCGAAATCAATAGAAAATACTATGGCAGTCTGCAGCAAAATTTTGTGACTTCTGCTTCGAGACTTCACGCACATATCTAAATGTAAAGGAACATAGATACGTCCACGGTGGGGGAGTCGGTTTGAGGTTGCGGTGGGCAAGTACCATTCGCGGTAGCAGCTAATATATATCACCAGCTCGACCTGATATGACTTGACACATAAAATCGACGGAACCGTTAACTTCCGACTTTCCATTATGGCTTCATCCTCTCTAGAATGAGAGAGATAACTCCTTTTCAGGGGTTCATCTCACACTACCGGGCATTGACAAAGGTCAAGAGACCGATCCAGCTCGTACACCTCGCCCCAATATGTTGATGCCCGAATCATCAGGAACCACCGATGCAGATAAGCTCCAGATGAATGACTCTTAAAGTTCACACTTCGCTGATCTTCACGTAACCTCTAAAGTTCTTTACTGAAGAGCTCTGGCCTCTACGGGTGCTACCCTCAAAAGACCAACGGCAAGCTTCCCCGGCATGCTGAACCTCTCAGAAAGACTGAATAGCCACCGCCTTCAAAGAGAAATGCGGTATCACCAATATCACCCAAGTATAAATGCGTTGACTAGAGTGCATCACATAGATCACACAAGTCACACAGGCCATGGATTCCCCCCCGGGACAATGTCAGCGCCGCGGTAGTTAAGCAAGATCGACTGAATTTTGGTCATAACTGATGGCGAGGGAAGCTGAGCAGGTAGGCTCTCGCAGGTGAATTCGAGTATTAGCGGGCCTGATGTATCGTTGCTTGGTTCGGCGGAAGCCGCGGCGGGATTCATTAATACTGGCCCTGATGACGACCCAAGAAGTTGGGAAGTTGGAAAGCTGTGTAGGGTGGTAGATAGGTAATTCAATGGTAGGAGGAAATGAACATCGAGGAAATAACAGCTTATACCTAGCTAGGGAGCTAATTTCCACATGTCTCATGTGGCTACAGTGTTCAGAATCATCGCAGACTCATAAAGTTCAAGGCTTGGAAGCCTGCTTACTATCATCAGCCCACAATGGACCCCGCTATTTCTGAGATCTGATAGGTCACTCCGTGTTCACATTCCTAGCATCTGAGCGATGGTAACTCCTGATGGCTTTCAGAGTCAAGAATCACTCGACGGAAGAAAATCGAATATAATGCTTTGTCTGATTCGATAGCGTATTCAATTGGCAAGATGGCCGAGTTGGTCCAAGGCGTCAGGTTAAGGTCCACCTTAACACCAAACATTGGTTTCCTGATCTCGTTTACGGGGCGTGGGTTCGAATCCCACTCTTGTCATATCTTTTTGGGTCTCAATTTTTTTTCTGGACGGTACATGAACACTCTGATATATGTTTTTGACATTACTTCTTTTTGTGTCGTAGATGTTCAAAGTGGAGAGAGCACGCGACATGGCTTGGATCCTTCACATTTCCTGCTACTGTCATGTTGCGCCAATACCACGACATCGTTACCATGGGCGACTAGATCATCCCCGAATGATCATCCCCGAATGATCATCTTTGCGATCATAATCCACACTGTAGGAATGTAGTAGGTCTTCTCATCAACGCGCCTTTCTGATGGAATTATGCCTTACCTGATGGCTAAATGAGGGCTCACCACCATGATCAATTATATTCTATATACAATGCTGAACGGGTTCTTCCTGGATATCTGCCGCTGTATACAACCGTAGTACTTATCATAGGTCTTCGATCCAAAATACCGTCTACTACTTCTCCTCCTGAAGCCATAGAGTTACAACAAATCAGTGACATAGATACGCACAGGCTATCATTTGTTGATCACCTTCGCAAGATATTCGGCTTCGGCGACGACGTTCAGTGCGCACGTGGCGCGCAAGAGACGAAGATCCGCTTTCAAGCGTTGGAGGACTATGTTTGGGCAACAAACCCCAATGTGCAAACCGGCCGGAAGATAAAAGACACAGGCCAGCAAGTTACAAAGACAGAAAAGCCAACGGACGTCCAAAAATCTACCAAAACCGTAGATCTATCAAAAAGTCTAGGCCGTGATTCATCATGCGCCAGGTAATGGGACCTTGGCTACCAAGTCTGCCCGACGCTTGCGTAGCTCGTCACCCAGAGCGCCAACATCAATTCCCGAGGCGATCTGCTCCGGGGAAAGGGTGAGCTCGCCGCGGCGAAGCGCGCTCTCCTCTTCTTCGAGCTTGGCGGCTGCTTTGAGGATGACTTTCTGTGCAATATCCCCAGATTTCTCAGGAGTTATCTCATCTTTCTCCTCGGGAGTGCGGAAACGCTTGAGAACAGTCTCCACCATTTTGGAGAACCAGTAATAGTTCAAGAAATTGAGGATGATGTTCGATCCCACGTAGGTCAGCACCAGCCAGGTTGGCACACCACTGGCAGTGTAGTCCTTGAAGCGAGAGATCTCGGCATTGGCGCGTGCGCAGGTCTCGTCAATGCACATGCCGCCGTCGCGGGTGGGGTAGAAGACATGGGCACTGATGTTGGTGGGTTCCAGAAGCGGGGAAGCCTGGGCGGCCCACGTCTGCTGCAGCGCTTTCCACATATCCGAGTAGACCACGACTGATTGCCAAGTTCCCCACACCAGGCGGCAGCAAAAGAACATACCCAGCAGAGCCATACCGTTGTACCACTGGGCACGGCTGCCGGTCATGTTGACTTTGTCAAGGAACCAGTGAATATTCAGGAATGGGCTGGAGAGCTCGTAGAGAATGAACGTGGGAGCGTAGTAGTTGAGGAAAGGTCTCTGAACCGTTCAGGCATGTTAAATCTGGCAGGGCTGAAGATCGGCGGGGGATTGAACTTACAAAGCCGAGACTGAAAACCCACAGCGCACTGATCGCATGGAAGAGCATGCCAATACCAAACATTTTAATATGCACGGCGCTCACGATCAGATCGTAGACAAAGTATCCGACAGCCAGGGCCTGAATCAAGCCACAGGCACCAGTATATCCGAAAACACGCTCAGCGGCGGACATGGACCAGCGCTCCTCGTCGACATACATCACCCAAAGTGCGACGGCATTGATGAGAACGCTTTGAACCAGCGAGACGACATGGATATCCCAGTTCAGCTTGGTGCGGGGGCTCAACTTAGGATAGGACTGTGGACAGAGAATCGCCGACAGCCAAGGTGAAACGAATGAGTGAATGACCTGGTAAAAGACAAAGGCAAGAACGACCTCATGAGCGTGGTCCGAGAGGGTCGGACTGCTCAGCTTGAGAGCGAACGGCTCGATGAATTCCCGCAGCCATGCTGGAGGGGAGCCGAGGGGGTCCAGCATTGTTGGGAGACCCTGGACAGCTTATCACTCCGATGTGGGGAGCTCGCGGTCAGGGGTATTCCGGGGAGTTCAAGGTGAGGTGAGGTATGGGGAGGATATACCTCGGGTCGACCATGAAACGAACACAGAGACCTCCTATTCCTCTTCAAAGGGCTCCATGCGCAAGAAGAAGAAATAGAAAGCGTCGCGGCTCCGGAGCACGCGGCCTCGGCTGCGCTGTCATGCCTTAGGCAGTCACAATCTGTTGAGACGTCACCTGACGTCCTATCTTGGCAAGTGACCACGGAGTATGACTTGGACCTCTACGAATGATTACGAGGAATGAGGAAGAGCGTTGTCATGAACAGAGAATAATAATTCGTTAATTGCAGAAAGTAATTCATACAGGCACCCCCAAGAAAAACCTAACAGAAAGGTGGTATATGAAAAGAAGCACGTCAAACCCAACGCTGTATCAAAGTCATGGTCACAAATGAAAGAATCTACTGGACTGCCATCTCCGAGCCCAGCCCGCTGTCAGCAGGTGTCTCAAGAAGCTTCCGAGCTTCAGCTTCCATAGCAGAGGGGGTCGCTTCAATTTCTTCATCGATGCCCTCGTGCACCTCGTCTTCATTCTTCACAATTGATTTTCGGTACTCGTTGTTAGGGTCATCATCTTCCTCGTCGCGCTCGTAGTAACTCTCACGCGCTGTTTGGGCATCATCTGCATCTGACTCTGACCCAACATAGCTCTCGTCCATGTGGCTATCACCAGCAATGGAGCTTTCGTGTCCAGTGGCAGTGCTCATACCACTTGTACGACGGTCCTCCGACACAACGCTCTCAGTAGGCCCGGTCACGACACTGTCGGTAATAGTCTCAGCGTAGCTAGACCTGCGCTCTGTATCGGCATAGCTTGACTCCCTGTCTGACGGGGCATAGCTGGTTCTCCTCTCTGTGCCGGCGTCGCTCTCGGGGTCGCTGTCATGCTCGTCCTCCTCGCGGAATATCTCATTCTCCTTGTTGGAAATAGAGCTGTGACCAGCCCAAGAGGATTTGCGGAGTGAGAAGTCCGACTTGACCGAGTTGCTGCGTTTCAGGTTGGTGAGTCCACCACTGGCGCCTCGGTTACCCGTTACATGGCTGAGGCTGAGAATGCGGCGCTCCTTGCCAATGTTGGGCTGAACAGCAGTAGTGCCCGCCTGCAAATTGTTAGGCACACGGCGTTTGAGCGCCATGCCGACCCCGTTACCGATAATGCTCCGGGGATCCTTGGCGTCCTTGGCGGTGTTTGCGGTCGTATTACTCATAGCACTGGGGCTGCGAGCACCAGCCCGAGAAGAACGCACACTACGGTTCCTCTTGAGGTTCATAGACGACAAGCTGCCGGACCGACTGAGGAGCACAGTGCGAGCATGGTCAAGGACACCCTCCAAGATGCGCTTTTCGAGACCATCGGCGCGGTCCTCCATTTGCTGCATCTCTTCGTGGCGGATCTCAAGAGCAGTCTCAAGACCTGAAAGGTCCTTGCTCAGTTTCTGGGTTTGCTTGGTCATATCATCCTTCTCAGCCTTAAGAGCTTGGAGCATCTTCAGCAAGGATTCTTTCTCCTCGTGCAGGCCCACAAGCTCAGCTTCAATCTGCTCGCGCTGCCCGATCCTACGCTCAAGGGCAATAGCAGCCTCCTCGGCCTCCCGGCGTTTCCGTTCTGTATCCTCAGCGACGAGGACAGATTGGGCGGCGAAAATCTCGTTCATCTTACGAGTATTCTCCATGATGTCCCGGTGCATCTCGTCCAGCTTCATCATCTGAGTAACAGATTGCTCAGGATCGACAGCAGTGACGGGCCGACTGAGCAAGGAATCAAGCTTTTCGTGAACAGAGCCATCACCGGTGGTAGCATGCTCAAGAAGCTTGTCAAGCTTCTCATAGATCTGATCATTCCCAGAGCCTTGGTCTAAAGCTCGGTCAAGCTTCTCATGGAGCTGATCGTTCTTGGAGTGTTCAAGCAAGGTGTTTAGAACTTCATGCACCTGGCTATTTTTGGAGGCATGCTCCAAGAGATCGTTTAGTTTTGTGTGCACAGGGCTGTCCTCAAGATCTCGATCGGATTCCGGGGGAGGCATCAGAGCAGGAAGCAAGCTCGGAATGTTATTCGGGAGTGCAGACAACTCCGACTTGAAGTCTTCGGTGGACTTCTGAGAGTGGTCGTAGTGCTGGCTGACAACATCCAAGATCTGCTGAACAGTCTCCAGAATTTGAGGGTTGAACTCAAGAAGCTTGCTCTCTACACGCTCTGTAGCAGCTACAGCTCTCTCGCTGCCCTCCTTAGATTGCTCCTGCTGAGATCTGACATCGTTTTGCATCTCCTCCATGCGGTTGTAGGACTCATCAACCTTCTCCAAGAGGGTCTTGGTGTCCACAGCCATCCGCTCACAACTCTCGTTGACAGTGCTGCCAACTTCACCAATGACGAGCTTGATCTCTTCAGCGAGTGCCTTGATGTTGGTCACAGCCTCGGAGTGTGCCATATCACGATCCTCGGTCTCCGAGAACTTGGAGTGAAGAGAAGTATGAGCTTCGTCGTACTTGGCGATGACTTCTCCGAGCTTCTCATCAATCTTCGCTCCGAGTTCCACGATAATGGCAGCCCGGGTCTCATCGTGCTTGACCATAGTAGCAGCATCGCGTTCCTCTTTTCCCAACTTCGTGGCATCTTCCTCGCCACGAGCACGCTCAAATTCACGATTGATGAGTTCGGTCAGCTCCTTGACACTCTCGACGGTGGAAAAGTTCTCGGCAGTGAGGGCCAGACCCTCGAGAAGCTGCTTGAGCTCGGTGAGGCCCTCACTGCTGCCATCAAGCCTGCTCTTGAGCTCATCACCAAGCTCTCCAACGACGAACTTGGCTTCTTCAATTTTTTCGTGGAGACCAGCATGCTCAATCTTGCGAGCCTCGAAGCCTTGAGCAGTCATATCGTTGTTCGCCTCCATCTTCTCCCGGAAGTCGGTGACGAGGGTGGAGAGCTCCTGAATCTCGTCCTTGGTTGGGAGTGTCTCCACGTCAGGAAGCTTCAACTCGTCAACCTGAGTCTTGACTTCAAAGATCATGGCCTCCACGGTCTGAAGATCAGACTTCATGAGCTTGTCGGAGTCCTCGGCTTCTTCTTCGCCTTCCTTGGTCTTTCCCTTCAGCTCTTCCAAGGCCATCCAGACGTCCTTGATAAGACATTCAAGGGCACCGACTTCGGCCTTAGTAGGGGCTTCGGCTTCCATACGAGATGAAAGGTCAGAGATAGTATCTTTCGCATCTTTGATCATGGTCTCAAGGTTGCCAATGTGCTCAGATGTAGCGAGAGTGTCAGAAGCAGGGAACTCCAAACCCTCGAGATGAGTCTTGGTGCCCATGAGAAGTTCCTGAATCGCGTCGGTGTCTTCTTTCCGAGCGGCGTTTTCGTGGAGGTCATTACTGGCAGCAATCTCACCAATGGCGACTTGAACTTCCTGGATGGCAACAAGAACTTCATCCATATGACCCTTGTTCAAAGCATCTTCGGCGGGCTCGGCGGCACGAGGAGTAGAGTCGATGGCCTCAACTTTGTCCTGAAGGTCGGTGATGAGTGTCTTGAGGCTCTCAATGCCACTTCCAATCTCGGCGTCTCTAGCAAGCGTGAGCTCGCCGCCGCGGGCCGTCTCCTCCTCGTCCATTTCCTTGCTCTTCTGCGCTTCACGGAGGCCCTCGATATCAACTCTCAAAACGGCTAGGCCATCTTTGAGGGTGTCGAGGATTTCCGAGCTGTCAAATTCGGTTGGCTTCTCCGCAACCTTCTTGATATCCTCACGGATGGAATCAACGCCATCATTAAAGGCATCAAGCAATTCGCTAGTGGTGGACAGCATACTTTCGGTGCCATCCTTGGCGCGAGTCTCCTCACGGAGGTTGTCGAAGTGTTCGCGGAGGGCAGCGAGTATATCTTCCTTTTCGGAAGAAGGCTCGGAACGAACAACGGTCATTTCCATGCGCTCACGCATATTTTGGAACTCCTGCTTAAAGGTGTTCAGAACCTCTTCATCGACACCCTTAGCAGTTGAGTGTTCGCCCATCTCCCGGATAGCGTCGAGAATCTCATCCTTGTCACTGCTGGCGTTATCACGAACAAGAAGAGTGCTGATAGTGCCACGGAGATGCTCGAATTCTTTCTCCATAGCTTCCAGAAGTTCTGGAGTATCGGGTGTGCCTCGTGCAACATTAGACAGAGAAGCGTCATTGATGGTCTTCTCCATGTCGGCTTGAAGTAGACGGAAACCTTCTTTAACGGTATCGATGATCTCAAGCTTGTCGGTTCCATCATGAGCTGCGCTCACATAAGTCTCGATCTCCTTTCGCACAACATCAAGACCATCCTTGACCGCGTCCAGGACCTGCTCGGTGTCTTTGCCGTTCGCAGCGGAGTACTGTTTGAACTCCTCTTTCATATCATCAACAACCTCCTGGAGGCGGCTCAGCACCTCATCGCCAATATTGACATTCGTAGCAGCCGTCGCCTCTTGGAGACCGGCACTGATGGCTTCCATGAGATCATCCTTGTTTAATTCAATTTCACGGGTCATAGTGTTAGCGCTTTCGATGCCATCAACGACTGCGTTAAACAGCTCCTCTCTGGTGATAGAGGGCTGCTGGACATTGGTAGTCAAGGCCGACTGCTCAACTTCCCGTGAGTTCTCCAACGCTTCAGAAACAGCGCTGAGGATGTCATCGCGAGAGAGTGAGGACGATACTTCGGGCTTGTGAGCGATCTCCATAGCGTCGGCAATGGCACTTGTGATCTCCTCGCGAGATAGCGCTGAGGGTTCTTGAGGCTTACTGGCGATCTCGATACCATCGGCAATGGCAGCCAAAATGTCCTCGCGAGAGATGGTGGGGGGTGCGAGGCTAGTGCTGAGAGCAGACTGCTGAGCATTAAATGCATCGTTGATAGCATTCACAACATCAGATGTGGAAATGCGAGGCTCCTCCATGTCCTTTGCGGTGGTGAAGTGCGCTTCGAGGCCATCGGTGACTGCACTGAGAATGTCATCACGACCAATGCCGGAATCGAAAGACTCTTTGCTGATCATGCTCTGGGTGGCCATAGATCCAGTCAGGGCGTTGAGAATCTCATCCCGGATGTCGTTCATGTGGGCTCTATGTTCCTCGTCCATGGTTTTCGCGGTAGGGGGGGTTGGTCATTGCTTCTGCCAGAGCGTGGAGAATATCGTCTCGAATGGAGTTGAGGTATTGAATATGCTCCTCGTCCAATCCACCAGGAGGAGCAGGCTTCTCCTGAATCTCGGTGAGGACACCCATGATCTCATCTCGAACCGCATGGAGATTTTGAATGTGCACCTCATCCAGACCACCAGGGGTAGGCTTCTCCTGAATCTCGGTGAGGACACCCATGATCTCATCTCGAACCGCATGGAGATTCTGAATGTGCGCCTCATCCAGACCACCAGGGGCAGGCTTCTCCTGAATCTCGGTGAGGACACCCATGATCTCATCTCGAACCGCATGGAGATTTTGAATGTGCGCCTCATCCAGACCACCAGGGGCAGGCTTCTCCTGAATCTCGGTGAGGACACCCATGATCTCATCTCGAACCGCATGGAGATTATGAATGTGCTCCTCAGCCAGACCACGAGAGCTGGCTTTCTCATTCGTTTCCGCCATAGCATGAAGGATATCATCTCGAACAGAGTTGAGGTATTGCATGTGTTCCTCGTCCAGTCCACGCGAGACAGACTTCTCCTGGTTTTCTGTGACGGCACCCATGATCTCGTCTCGAATGGCATATAAGAGGTTGGCGTGCTCTTCAGTAAGGCCTTGAGAGCCGTGCTTCTCCATGGTGTCGGCGAGGGCACCCAGAATCTCGTCGCGAATCGTGTTAAGGTGCTGAGCATGCTCGTCATCGAAACCGCGGGGTGTCGGCTTCTCCATCACTCCTGCGACGGCGCCAAGAATATCATCACGCATGGAATGAAGGTGACCGACATGCTCTTCATCCAGACTGCGGGAGGTAGGCTCGGAATTCTCGAGACATTCACGTATTGTCATGATAATTTCATCGCGAGTGATAGTCGGGGTTTGCGGGAGCTGGAAGTCCTGGAGACCTGTCCGAACAGCTCCAAGAACCTGCTCGAAGGTCAAGGATTCCTCGTGCTGGGGTTGGTAAGACTTGAGGCCCTCAGAGAGACACTCCAGGACCTCTTCACGCTCTAAACCGAAGTTTTGCAGCTCAATCTCAGGTCGGTAGGTCTCCATCGCTTCACGAACTGTCTCTAGGATCTCCTCCTTCTCCATGATTGAACCATTGGGAGCGGCTTCAGGCTGAGGAAGCTCAAGCTCATCAAGAGCTCTTTTAACGACGGAGTAGATGGCAGCACTGTTCATGGTGGATTGGAGTTCGGCGAATGCCGAGGAGTTTTGTCGGCTTTCGTTTATGGTAGCAGCCAGCTGCTCCTTAAGGTCCCCAAGGCTCTCATTGATGATGGCGGCAATCTCATCAGGGCTGGGGCCGGGAGGCTTTTGCTCCTCGCCAATTGCGCGGGTCTCGTCGACGGTTTCCAGTCTGCGAGCAAGATCGCGTCCCATTCCAAGGACTTCTCCGCGCAATTCGCGCACCAGAGCTTTCACGCTGTTCGTCATACCTCCGCTCTCAACGACAGTGTTCTTAACAGTGCGAAGGATGGCAAGAATTTCTTCGTTGCCAGAGAGGGATAGGTCCAGCTTGTCACCTTTCAGAACGTCCAGTGGGCGCACAGCGGCTGAGGGATCCATAGAGTCCATTGACCTAGGGCGAGCACCATCGAGATTGTCACCTGGCTGCAGGTTATTTGGACTACTCATAGCGCGAACAAGGGCTCTGCTAGAAGGATCTTCCTTGACGAGGTTGAGGATTTCTTCGAGCATGTTAGTGATCTTCTTATCAGATTCCTTGTCAGAGGCGGTTGCAGCGGGTCGAGACTTGATCTCGTCCACAAGCTCCAAAAGCCTCTCCTCGCCTTCTTTGGTTGCCATTTCGCGTAATACCTTTTCAAGGAGGGCGATGCTGGCAGAACCATCGGAAATCGGTGCAGGAGAGCCGGCAAAATCGCGATCATAATTAAATATGTTAGGGCTGGGCATGCGAGGCACAGAGTAGCTTCTCTTCGAGTTGGGAGAACTATCCGAATCACTGCTGTCAATTCCACGTTCACGCTTCAGGATTGCATGGAAATCAAACCTTGCAGGGTCCACATCCAAAAACTTGGTTGACAGGTTCGATGTCAATTCCTTCAAGCTCTTTCGAATATCTTCGTCGCGTGCATTGGTCGCGGCCTTTAAGCTGACAAGATCGGTGGCATTATCTTTGCTTCTTCGGCTGAGATTGGACATTTCACGCTGGAGGTTGCTGGCAATTTCGGTGAGGCTGAGGATTTGGGAGGAGAGGGTACCCATGGTATGTTTTCCGGTTTCGATCAGGGCACTGGGCTCGGGCTCTGCCTGAGCAGGAGCAGCAGCAATCATTTTAGGCGCCCTAGAGGGTGAGGGGGGGATCGACTTCGGGAAGTTGCATGTTTTGAAGCGCCAACATTGTTGGGGAGGAAGGAGTAGTTTCTCCAATAATTGGTTTTGACAGGAAACGACTCGAAACATAGCTGGGGATGTCCCGCTCTGGGGATCGACTGGTTGGTGACCCAGCCCGGATATTCACATCTTGCTTGTTCGTCGGGTCCAGAATAGTTGCGCGAAGAGGTCGTTCCGGCGACCGACTCTCCAGATAGTTGAGGAATTCGGAGCGCGCATCGCCCTTTGTGTCATTGGGCTGAAGAGACTGCATGCGCTTGTGATGGCCCTTTACCAATGATCGCTCTGGTGATGACGACTTGGGCATGGCATTCGTGGTGTATGAACTGAGAGCGTTCTCCGTTGCTCTATCGGTAAACTTGGCTGCAACAGCTTGAATGCCGGGCGACACATTGGATTTGGTCACAGGGCTCATTGAGCGAGGATTTAAGGGCAGCGGCGGTGGTGCACGCTCGGGATCTGAACTATCCCACCTGGATTTGCGACGCTTTAGCATGTCTCCAGTCATTCATGGCGGTAACATACATTGGAACAGATAACTGCCGACCGGAATCGAACTTGACGAGCTCCCGGTCACGGGTGGAGCTATCCCCTTGGGACGGCATTGCGATGGTGTCAAGAGATCAGATGTTTCAGCGAGGTATTGAGAAATAAGTGTACGGGAATGTAGGTATCAAGGTATCAAAACAAAGGTTGCAAGGGTCGTTCAAGGCATATCAAAGTCGAATGTCGCTAGAAAACAAAAAGGGACGGTGAATGAAGAACGCTATGGGAGACCAACTTGATAAAAAAACAATAGCAGTGGATGTTCCAAGGCCAGAACCAGTACGCGGCATACACATCATCCTGCGCTCGCCATAGCAACGGGACCGGGCAACTGCGGATCATCGTAAACAAAAGTCATGTAGGCGGTGAGGCCTGATGAAAGCCCGGGGTGGCCCAGATCTAGTCCTAAAGGGGTATGTTTCCCCAAGTGGACTAGGGTAAGAGTCTCGTCAAAGCAGCCAATGATCGAGCAGCACACAAATCGACCATGCCCTGAACCCTCTCAGCCCGCCCCAAGCGAAAAAACGAACACTTCGATCTTGACTGTTCCGTACAACGACAAACCACCCGCCAAACCTCGCCGCCTAACGGGACCTTCACAATGAAGTGTACGTATTCGACCCCTACGATCCCATCTACGACCTTTATACTGACGAGAATGCTGCGACAGTCATGAAAGTGGGCCGTGTGGCCATCATCACCCGTGGCCGCTTCGCCGGTAAGAAGGTACGACAATCGCTATTTCCCCCTCCGAGAATCAGAAGGACGAGGAGAGAGAGAGAGAGACGGAACGTGGACAGCATGAGACGGGCTCGCCGGCCAAAGCACAATGAGAAGACGATCGAGTGGTGGACAAGAAATTGGCGAAAGAATTCGGGCTGACCAGCGCATTTTTTTCGACTCTATAGGTCGTCATTGTTCAGCCCCAGGAGACTGGCTCCAAGGCGCACCCCTTCCCCCATGCCATCGTCGCCGGTATCGAGCGCTACCCCTTGAAGGTTACCCGCCGCATGGGTAAGAAGCTCCTCGACCGCCGCAGCCGCATCAAGCCCTTCATCAAGGTTGTTAACTACAACCACTTGATGCCCACCCGCTACACCCTCGAGCTCGAGGGCCTCAAAGGTGTTGTCTCCCAGGACACCTTCAAGGAGGTTTCCCAGCGCGAGGATGCCAAGAAGACCATCAAGAAGGCTCTGGAGGACCGCTACACCTCCGGCAAGAACCGCTGGTTCTTCACTCCTCTGCGTACGTGCATTCCTGGTCTTTTTCCAACTTTCGACCTGCTAATCAAGAGTACAGGTTTCTGAACGGTTTATCCGGCGTTTTGTCGTTTTGAGCGCTCACGGCTCGAGGTGAAGGCGAGGGGAAAAAAGCATCGAGCACATTCGGTCCCCGCAACGGGATGGAAGGCATATACCATAGCTGGAAACAGAATCGGGAATGTATCGATGAACTCCAGTTTGCACGAGGGGTGCCACTAAAATCTGGCACCCGTCTATGAAATGGAAAACATGAATTTACTACTTTCTTCATGCGCTTGCGTCTTCGAGTGTGTGCAACGTCTTGCATCACTCTTTCCAGTCAAGTCTCATGCGACTCCGACGCCATGCCCCGTCGTGGCTTCTCCCTTTAGACCGTATGCTGGTCCCCGGTTTCTCGTTCCCCGGTCCCTACCCGGTCCTTTTGAACACTGTCTGTGCATCTCTGTGCATGTGCAACTACTTTCCTTGTGGTATCCGTAGCTTCACGTTAGAATTAGCGTACTGCGTAAATATTACATGTGGCTTCCAAGCCCCATGTGATCCGAATCTTATCTCGACTACACATGGCTCGGGATGTTGCCATTGTCAAACCTGTACGCAATCTGTTCTGGCGCACGTGAAACAGCTCAATTCCAGCCCCGATATCATGAGCTTCCGCGGTTCAAGGCAGGGCTACACCAGTATTCAGCTGCAGCCGAGATTGCATGGGGGCGAGGAGGCATTGCAGAAGATCCGCCACCCAACAGAGCAGTGCATTGAGCTCCGATAGGACTCTCGAACCCCCGTGACGTGGATCTACAAGCATTCTATACGGTTCAAGCAGATGTTTTCTTCACGACCTGGAATTTCTTGAAGCCTAGGTTCCTACATTTTTCAAAGTATAACTCATGCTTGCGCCGCGAGTGGCGCGCGACTTGCCACAACCTAAATCGAGAGAAAAGGTGATGGTCCGAATCAGGCGATCGAATAAAAAAGTACCAAATCGCACGAATCAAGCCGCACACGGAAAATATCGGCATTCAAGAACAAATGTTAACAGTCTAGCAGACCAATATCCCGATCCAGGATGTAAAGAATGCCCTTCATTCTCCGATATGTGTGGTCTGCACGGTAGCTTCGAAGTAGCTCGCCACCAGTTCGACGAGTCCATTACCTGTAGACTAACAGTTTGACTAGTTAATGTCGGAGGAGGGGGGGAAAAGCCAAGAAAGAGTCCAAAATGACCCCAACCTAGGTTGCTTCGCGCCGCTCTTATCACATTCCTCATGCTCTTGAATAAGAATCTACATGGAGGTCGCACCAGAATGAGCAAGCCCTTTCCCTCTGCTCCGATTTCCCAGTTGACAGTGGTACCATGTCATCCACCACCATGTCGCATCACCCGGATCTCGACCAACCACAAGCACGGCGCGTGGAAAACACAGCAGTGGTGACCTCAATGGCTTCGATAGGATAATGGGCAGGGTTTCTCCGTTCTATCGCCGAGGATCGGATGATTCGAGGACGAATCACCCGGCCCGCCAGTCGCACGCCCGCGTACTTCTGCGCGCGCATTCTCGGGATCCGATCGCGAACCCGGCCAGAATCTGAAGAGGCCTGGATGCGCTAGGTTCTAGGTTCAGGGTTCCAGGTTCTAGATTCTAGGTTCTGTGAGCATGTTTGCTTCATGCCTTGCAGCTGGAGTTACGTATTTGGGGTTTCCTTCCCCTCCCTGTGCCCGTGGTTGGCCCGTGGGGGAATATTGTCTAGGCCGGGATGGGGGGGGTTATTCGTTCCGTGAATAGGTTCGGGCGGCGCTCAGACCAGATGTGGCTACATCTGGTGCAGATGAGCAAGTCAACCCCGATCTGCAAGTGTCACTTACATAAAATCAAGGGATGGCCATGATAAGAGTCTTTTGTTCTGTGTTTTGAAGTGGGGTTGGATGGTGATGTCAACCCAATTTTGACCAGGAGGCCAACGCATCAAAGGTAGCCTCGTATCAAGCGATAGGGATAGAGAGCTGGTGAGAAGTGCCATGCTCGGGTGGATCTTAACGGGTAGACTGTAGGTCAAATTTCAAAAAGAAAAAAAAGAAAAGAAAAAAGTCCCAGTAGTCGAAGATAGTCGAAGATAGTAAGAAAATGCTGATCTGAATGCGTCAAACATTGGACCCGCTTTCACATGTGAAACCCTGCCTTATCAACCTTTTATGTCTCGCCTTGTCTCGACTAATGCATTTGACCCTCGACGAAGGCGGCTATGGCTCCTCAAAACTGGTTTTTCTTGCTCTATGTTTGAGGATCGCAGGTGCCTATGCAAAGTTCAACATGCATTGACCTCAGGGGAGACTGCAGTAGATACCGATGAGGCGAAACACAGAGTAGCAAGTAGGGATTAGGAAATCCAAACTAGCAAAGATCCATCCAGCTCAGGCAAAAAAGGAGCCGGTAATACGCTCCCAGTGCACAGATGATGCGATTGCGCAGGGGCCTCGACACAAATGCATACGGGCGCAATCACATGTAAAATGTCTATATACAGCCCACCTTCTACTCTTCGTTTTTTTTTACCCTTTTACTTTGCCCATTGCTACTTTCCCCTTCTCATTCTATCCTCCTGACTTCCTTCATGCCCCACGCTGATCAAGCCACCATGGGTGAACCGGTCGTCAACGGCGAGAAGGTCTATTCTCAATTTCTGAATGTGAGTCTCATGAGCAACCAGGATCTCGTCATCCAGCTAACCCACTCCATCCAGCACCTGACCTCCTACCCGGTCGTTTCAGACTCCATCTCTCTTTTCAAGAGCAACCCCTACGGTGCCAAGTCTCTCGAGTTCGCCGACCACGGCTACGACCGTCTCGCCAAGCCTGTCCTGCCCTACTTTGCTACTCCCTTCAGCTATGTTGCTCCCTATCTCGAGCGTGCCGATTCTCTGGGAGACAAGGGCCTGAGCAGCATCGATTCCCGCTTCCCCATCATTCGTGAAGATACCCAGAAGATCCGCGGCACCATCTACAATACTGCTGGTTACCCGGTGCGCTTCGCAGGCGATGTCAAGCACCACGTCTGCGACGTCTATGGCACCGAATACAAGAAGTGTGGAGGTGATGGACTCGTCGCCTCCGGCAAGGCTGTCATTACAACAAGCCTGATGTTGTCCCAGGAGTCGCTGGCCTGGATCAGCACCTTCCTGCAGAAGTCCAAGGAGGAGGCCAAGGAAGTGATTCACGAGAAGACCAACAGCCACTGATTAGATTCCCCTCCTTTGAGCGTTGTGTCATTGTCCTTTTCTTTTTCTTACTCTAGAGAAAATTAATTTCCCGACTGTCCTATGAATGAAGTGTGATCATATGCTTTGAGGCCGATCGTTCAGCATTGATATATCTTGCTTGCCGTGTTACGAGACTCTTCTCAACGAGTCGAATCCTAGCGCAGAAACACAATGTACACATTTTTTTCTTTTCTTTTGATAATGAACTGCTTCTGTGCACATCTGTGAAATCTTGAATTGAACGATCGTAATGCTACATAGATTCCTCTCTAGTGAAACGTTCTAGTGCCACAGATAAGAACCCCGCACAGACCACCCATCCAAATTGGGCTAAGAGAAGTATCCCGACCGCGTCGCGTCCTCAATCTTAATTTCCAATCCAACCAACTCAACCACCACAATGCCTCTAATCCGAAAGCGAAGAGCAGTAAGCGCGTCCCATCCCGAAATTTGCGAAACCTCGTTTCACTAACCTATCCCACAGACCGACCAAGTCCCAGACTCAGACTCGGGCGAAGTCTCATCCCGCCGCCAAAGACCACGAAGCTCATCGCCCGAAGCCGAAATGTCCGACGACGCAGCGCCCGCGTCCTCGACAAACGCAATGATCCAGAAAATGGTCCGCCTCGCACTTTCAAGCGAGTACTCGCGTCTACCGATCCGGCGCGCCGACATCAGCGCCAAAGTCCTCGGCGAGCAGGGCTCACGACAGTTCAAGACAGTTTTCGAGAGCGCACAGCGCGAACTACGAGAAACATTCGGCATGGAAATGACGGAGCTCCCGGCGCGTGAGAAGACAACTATTACACAGCGACGAGGTGGGTTTGGCTTTCCCCGTGCCCCTCCTTCTATCTCCATTGACCCTCGAAAGAGAAGTTCCTTGAAAAAAAAAAGGGCATACTGATAGAACTCCAAAGCCGCGCAAAAAACAGAAAAACCATCCAGCACCAATAAATCCTGGATTCTGACCAGCACCCTCCTACGAAATTCCGCACACCATCCATCCTACAACCAACGAAAGCACCCTCCACAACGACCGAAAGTACCTACACAGCCTTATACACATTTGTCATCGCCGTGATTGCTCTCAATGGTGGAACGCTAGGCGATCAGAAACTTGAACGATACCTTGTGCGCATGAACGCGGACCAGTACACGCCTATTGACAAGACGGAGAAACTTCTTCAACGGCTGTGCAAGGAAGGGTATATCGTCAAGTCGCGGGAGATGGATGGCGGCGAGGAGATCATTGAGTATATGGTTGGACCGAGGGGGAAGATTGAGGTTGGGAGTGGGGGTGTTGCCGGGCTTGCGAGAGAGGTTTATGGGCTTGCAGAGGGGACGGAGGAGAGTGAAGAGTTTGAGGTCAAGTTGAGGAGAAGTCTTGGGATTGGTGGGGATGTGACGGAGAGGAGAAGGGAGGAAGAGGAAGAGGTGGAGGATCGCGCTAATGGGACGGGGACGGGGACTGGAAATAGAAATGGAATCGAAGAGAGAGTTGCGCCCAGGAGGTCGAGGAGAGTCGAGCAGGAGAGTTCGTCTTCTGAAGAGGAGGAAGGCAGTGAATCTGATTGAACGGTACTTGAAGAGATTGATTGTTTTCGATTGAGGCTATTAATTGATACCCAGCAATACACATTGCATATCCCATTCTCCGACCAGAGAGGTATACTATACGTGTAAATCAAGCCAGACACTCCAGCACTAGTGTCTAGTAAATAGATCACAACGCAGAGCTCTAGATGTAGAGCATTAATCTCAACCCGTAACATATACTTCAATTCCCAAAACTACCCCTCCACCCCCTCCTCATAAGCTGAATATGCCTTAAACCCTATGAAATCTCACTACGGGACCGCCCCCACGCCCACCCCAGACTGAAGTCCTACATCTTGTCCAATTGAGGAATCAAGGCACGAGGATGAGAACATGAAACAGGACAAGGAACTCAGCGCTCAAACACCAGCGCCTTACTCAAACCTCCCAAGTCCCCATACCCTTCGTTTGAAAACCTGAACCAGTAACCGATGCAGAAACGTGTCTCCCCGAGCCAATAGGACGCCAATGTCTTATCAAAGTCGATGACTCGTGGACCAGGGGTAAATGTTTTGGAGTCACAGTAAGGATGTAGAGTTTGACCATTTCAAAGAGGTATTTCAAAGAGGTAGTGGAGTTTAGGCTAATGGGAAAGTGCTTCGTTGGGAGGGGCGATGGTAAAGCTGCTCTGTTAATACCGTGAAAGAGGCTCGTAAGGCAGAGGGTCCACAGCACAATGCAATAAGAAACATTTTGGCAGTACGATACGACAATGACTAGTTACGGCAGGGTGGGAATATTGAAAAATTTACTGGGAAGGAAAGAAGAAGTGTTTCGTGTGACACGAATCTGTATGTAGTATTTTTCAGACTACACAGCAAAGTCTAGCTGTCGACATCCATAAAAGCATTTTTAAGAAAAAAATTCATCACGGCATTTCTGTGTCATGCGCGAATCGCTTATTTCTTGCCAGCCTTCTGGGCGGCCTTGGTGACCTTACCGGCACCACCGGCGGACTTGTCAACGGACTTGATGACACCGACGGCAACGGTCTGGCGCATGTCACGGACGGCGAAACGACCGAGAGGGGGTAGTCGGTGAAAGCCTCAACACACATGGGCTTGGAGGGAATCATCTTGACGATGGCGGCATCACCGGACTTGATGAACTTGGGAGAGTCCTCAACGGACTTACCAGTACGGCGGTCGATCTTCTCAAGAAGCTCAGCGAACTTGCAAGCAATGTGGGCAGTGTGGCAGTCGAGAACGGGAGCGTAACCAGCACCGACCTGACCGGGGTGGTTGAGAACGATAACCTGGGCGTTGAAGGAAGCAGCGGCGGCAGGGGGGTCGTTCTTGGAGTCACCGGCAACGTTACCACGGCGAACCTCCTTGACGGAGACGTTCTTGACGTTGAAGCCGACGTTGTCACCGGGGAGACCCTCCTTGAGCTGCTGGTGGTGCATCTCGACGGACTTCACCTCAGTGGTGACGTTGGCGGGAGCGAAGGTAACAACCATGCCGGGGGAGATAACACCAGTCTCGACACGGCCGACGGGCACAGTGCCAATACCGGAGATCTTGTAGACATCCTGGAGGGGAAGACGGAGGGGCTTGTTGGAGGGACGGACGGGGGTCTCAATGGCGTCAATGGCCTCGAGAAGGGTCTTTCCGGTGGCCTTGCCAGCCTTGGTCTCCTTCTCCCAACCCTTGTACCAGGGGCAGTTCTCGGAAACCTCGAGCATGTTGTCGCCGTTGAAGCCGGAGATGGGGACGAAGGGAACGGACTTGGGGTTGTAGCCGACCTTCTTGATGAAGTTGGAGGTCTCCTTGACAATCTCGTTGTAGCGGTCCTGGGACCACTTGCAGGTGTCCATCTTGTTGAGGGCAACAATGAGCTGGCGGACACCGAGGGTGAAGGCAAGCAGAGCGTGCTCACGGGTCTGGCCATCCTTGGAGATACCAGCCTCGAACTCACCAGTGCCGGAGGCGATGATGAGAATAGCGCAATCGGCCTGGGAGGTACCAGTGATCATGTTCTTGATGAAGTCACGGTGACCGGGGGCATCAATGACGGTGACCTCATACTTGGCGGTCTGGAACTTCCAGAGAGCGATATCGATGGTGATACCACGCTCACGCTCAGCCTTGAGTTTGTCAAGAACCCAGGCGTACTTGAAGGAACCCTTTCCGAGCTCAGCAGCCTCCTATAGATTGAAAGAGTGGTCAGTCATATGTACTTTGAGACCAGAGGGTGCTCTGCCCAAAGAGGGACAGAGGAAGCAAGTGAGCGTACCTTCTCGAACTTCTCGATGGTACGAGAGTCGATACCACCGCACTTGTAGATCAAGTGACCAGTGGTGGTGGACTTGCCGGAATCGACGTGGCCGATAACGACGATGTTGATGTGAGAACGCTCCTCCTTACTGTATGAGGGGTTAGCCCGAGTTCGAGGAGAGAGCCGGTGAGCGACGACGAGGGAGAAGAAAGTGAGAGACGTACCCCATGTTTGCGGTTTTGAAGTTCTTTGGAAGATACTTGAAAAATCCCGACGATGCTCAGAAACTACGGCGTGCGTAGAGGTACTGAACAAGAGAAGGTTAGATGGATGGAGGAAGAAAGAAGGAAGAGGAAAGGGGAGGGACAGATATACGTACTGATGCGGACGGGGGGAAAGAAAATTCTGTGGGAGGGGGGAGGAGGGGAAATCCTTATATGGAGGGGCAAGCGAGGGAGGCGAGTCGTGGGCGGGTTCAAGCCCTTGGCAGGTGCGACGCTTGATTTGTGCGTGCTCGTGCCCCACCATGAAGATTCTGCGTTTGGTGGGCTGTTTAGCTTGTATCGGTACTTATTCTAGAGTACGACTGAGTATTCCAGAGCATGTACCGCTACTCTGTCCTGTGTTTCCCTGGTTTCCTCGCCTTCGGGTCCCCACTCGGTGCGAATTTTTTCAGTTGCGGGCTCCTTCTAGCCCACTACATACCCTTTGACTGGGCCTATTCGATCCAAACTGGGCAGCAACGCAGTCATCGGGCCATAGTTTACTCTCTAGGTTTGCATTGTTTACGTTTAGCTCTCTCTCTTTTTTTTCTTAGTCTCACCGCAAGTGAATGTGGCCCATTTTTTTTTCTTCGCCATCATGGTCATCTTGATAACCCCGCGGCTGAGGGGCACTCGGTCACCGCCCAGGACCCACCGATGATTCAAATTGTGTTGTGCATCCTATTTTTGCCACCTTTCACGAGCTGCTATTGTAGCCTGGTAGCCTGTGATTGTACTTCGTAAATTGGACAGAGAGCTCAGAGCACTCCTTCCATCCCAGCACAATGATAGGAGGTAGTGACAATGACTCCGGGCAGTCCCATGGTTATCTCCAACCTAAGATTTCTATTTTCCCTTTTTTTTTTCCTTTTCGGCCGGGACGTCTTAATCGAAAACTACCTGTGCACGCGGGATCGCTCTGACGTAGATCAATTTTTCGGTATGGGTATCTGAATAGGCTTCTATGATCGCTCTAAAACGCCGTAACTCGTAAATGCGCCATTTGACATCACAAACAATCCCCTGGTCACCACAAGCAATGAAGATGAGGAGTCTTCAATTCTCCCGCCACCGTGCACCGCACGATGTGCACTGGTCCAGCTGTCAGTGATGCAGCCAGATGCTGGATGTAAGGAGCTTACCTTGAGGAACGTAGTCATCGGCTCGTCTGCACTGCGAATCTGCAGCTGGAAGAAGTATGCACGGTCCCCGTTACAGTGCTCTGCGGGACATTGTGCTGCCAAAACGTGTCAGTCCGATCCTGCGGGTAGTCTGCAGTGCTGTGGTACTCACTGGCGACGCTGTCGGCGTTGGCAAACTCTTCCTTGCCACCAAACACATCCTCCACCTCCTTCTGCTTCATTTCAGTCTTCTCGAAGTATTCAACCTGCACGGCGTGTTCGTAAGGGCATGAGCGACATTCGAACCGATTGATCCCCATCGGGTACTGAGTCGTGGACTCCATGCGGGAGATGGTCAGCGCATTGGCGCAGTTGGGGCAGACTAGAGAGCTGTCAGCTGTTGCTTCAACGGGGGGACCTTTTAGGGCCACGAACAGACGAGCGGCATGACGATAGCCCCAGCTGGGACGCAGTAATTTCAAAACACCTGTGAAGATGGCGTACAGATCTTAGGAGTCCTCGGCGCAACTTCAGCGAACTGGCGACGGAATCTCCGCGCGGACCAGATAGGCGCGCGGCTAACAGGCGGGGGATCCGGAAGATCACATGACCCAATGTGGGATGGTCCCTGGGGAAACAACAGTGTCAACTCGATGAGAGCGTGAACTTTTAATCCGACGTCTTCTGTGTAAATAACGTATTCTTACCGCTGCCAACTTTGCGCATTGCCCGAATCTACCTTCCACCGCCGCGCCGCTCCGCCTCCCTCGTTTTCAGATCACATAACCTCCGCGTCACCGCCGCGCGACTGATTACCGATACAACACTAACATCCCTGAAATACCGATTATCGAACGCCAGCATGGCCGAAGACGAAGTAAGCATTGAGACCGCTGGTCTGCCTCGCATAATTGCTGACGAACATACGTCTAGGGAGCCTCTCCTCGCGAGTTGATCGTGGAAGCCTGCCGCCGAGACCAGCCGCACCTGATCGAGCAAGTTCTGGACAGCATGAACGAGAAATCAAATGAGGAGGTGGCACAATTCTTCAATGAGGTGACAGATGCCTTGGGAAATCACGCATTGCACATATGCGCAACCTATGGCAGCTGTACGTCGGAATCCCCCGCAAGCTGTTTTCCATCACTGACAAATTTCTAAGACGACGCGATGGACTCTCTCTTCGACATACAGTACTTTGAGTGCGACCCGCTCACTCGGTCGGACAAAGACACACCATTACACCTCGCTGTGCGATACGCCAACGAGAAGGACGAGGAGTTGGGTACGGAGATGGTGAAAATGATGTGTGAGGCTGGCTGTGATCCCCGGGTGCGGAACAAGCACGGCCAAAAACCTGCCGATCTGGTCTTCAATAAGCCCGAGATTAAACAGACTCTTCAGCAGGCTGAGTACATCCTCGCTGAGGGCATTCAGAATGACGGGGACGAGGACATGGACCATGACAGCGCCAGTGACAGCAACTAGACTGGGTATTGCCGTGGTATTACTTGTATCGGATCGTGAGCAATCTGTCTGGAGCGTTGGCCTCTTTCTCTTTCTTTCGCATAGTTTTACACGCTCGAGCTCTAGACTTGGCTATATTTATTGCGATACTATGATGGTTATGAATGGAGTCCACTGCATTTATTGTTTAGAATCCCCGCGATGAGAGACGATTCAAACATCCCTGATCATCTGAGATATTCGAGTACTCGTACTTTTGTTGATCTCGATATATGTGGGCCGCATCCTTGACGTGCACTCTAAGATCTGACATGCCCGCGGTGGCAACAGAACGGTTAATGATAAAAAAGCGATAGTTCAAATCTCTCCCCAGGCTTCTGGAATCGAGAATAAAGAAAAAAGATGAAAAGCCAAAATAAATCCCCAACAACCATCTAGAGCATGTCTGAATCAAACTCCAAGCAAGATCACGTAGCACCGGGACAGATAAGATAGGCACGCCCTGCAGACAACATGCGGGGGTCAAGGGTATATGAAAAAACCCCACCAACCCAGCATCATTTTTTCCCCAACCTTCCAAAGAGACCTCCCTCACCCCCAGCAACGATGGCCCTCGCATCTGAAACATTGACCAAAAAGCCATGGATCGAAACACCCCTAATTGAATGCGCATCCCTATCCAAACAAGCAGGATGGTACATCCCCTCACCACAACCCTCAATTAACAATAGAACGCTGACAACGGTTCGAAACAGCCGCATATTCCTAAAACTAGAGCTCCTTCAACCCTCAGGTTCCTTCAAGTCTCGGTCTGCCCCATCCCACCTCAATACCTCCCTAACATCAACTAACAAGTTACCAGAGGCATCGGCAACCTGGTTCTCAAATCCCTCACTCAACAATCTACGAAGAATCAAGAAACTCACTTCTTCAGTTCCTCGGGCGGTAATGCAGGCCTTGCAGCTGTGCATGCCGCGCGAGACCTAGGCCGTCCTTGCACGGTGGTTGTTCCGCACAGCACGAAACCACACATGATGTCCAAGCTACACGCCGCAGGAGCATCAGAGGTACTACAGCATGGCGAGAGCTGGTTCGAAGCAGATCAATACCTTCGACAGACGTTTATTGAGGGCCAAGAAGGGAATGTCTACGTGCCGCCCTTTGATCATATGGATATCTGGGAGGGAGCGGGAGAGATGGTTTCGGAGATCGAGACACAATTGGGAAGTGGGGAGGGGGGCTTTCCCGCGGATGTGATTGTTTGTAGTGTTGGTGGAGGGGGACTTTTGAATGGGGTGGTTGATGGGCTAGAGAAATGTTTGGCTAAGGGAGAGAAGAGGGGTGACGTTCGGGTTATTGCCGTTGAGACGGAGGGAGCGAATGCGTTGGCACATTCGCTTCGAGAGAGGCGGTTGAGTTCGTTGAAAGGTATTACGTCTCAGGCTACGTCGCTTGGTGCTTTGAAAGTAGCGGAGAAGGCGTTTGAGAATACCATATCGCCACCGAAGGGGGTGGTGGTTGAGAGTGTCGTCGGGTCGGATGCTGAAGCTGCGAGGGGCGTGTTAAGACTTGCAGATGAGATGCGGTTGCAGGTGGAGTTGGCATGTGGCATTAGCTTGGAGGTTGCTGTCAATGGGAGGTTGAAGGATGTGGTTCCGGATTTGAACCCTCAGACAAAAGTCGTCGTGGTTGTTTGTGGTGGGAGTAATATCTCTGCAGAGATGATTGCGGAGTATAGAGACCGACTTGAGCAGGGGTGGAATTAGATGGCAAATGATTTGAATACGGTGAGACAAGGTATAAATATAGAATACAGATCACATTGGATATCTAGCCCGCAGAAACGACATAAATCTAAGTCTCCAACACATGGTGCAAAATTTGTGCTACAGTATATAGTGAAAATGCATCCCTCACCCCGGATCAACAACTCCGAGAACGACTTTTACATAGAAACGATCCAGATACACTTATTGTGCGTTGGCCTTCTTGGCCAGCAGGTTCAGAGCACTGCCCGCAAGGATGAAAGAGCTCTGGTCCTTGCTCAGGGTGTGCTTGACGGGAATCATGAAGGACTCGCCGGTCTTACGCTTGGTAACACGCAGCTGAATCTCGCCGTTACCACCGGCTTGCAGGGTGTCGTAAAGACCGACGGTGTCAACCTTGTCGCAGGCATCGATGCGGTCGTAGTCCTCGCGATTGGCGAAAGTCAGGGGAACAACACCCTGCTTCTTCAGGTTGGTCTCGTGGATACGGGCGAAGCTCTTGGAGACAATCACGCGACCACCGAGGTAACGAGGCTGCAGGGCGGCGTGCTCACGGGCGGAACCCTCACCGTAGTTATCCTCGGCGACGACGAGCCACTCAATACCGCGCTGCTTCCACTGCTCGGCCAGCTCGGGGATACCAAACTTGTTTCCGCTCTCGTCGTAAGCGACGTTGGTCTCGCCAGTGGCGGCGTTGACGGCACCGATCAGGGTGTTGGCAGAGATGTTGGGCAAGTGGCCCTTGTACTTGAGCCACGGACCGGCCGCGGAGATGGTATCGGTGGTACACTGGCCCTTAACCTTGTAGAGAACTTGAAGGCCAGACAGATCACCCTTGGGGAAGGGGGCGAAGGGCTCCAATAGAGCCAGGCGGTCCGAAGTCGGGGACACCTTGACCTCAACATCAGGGTTAGGAACGGCAGCAGTAGGCAGGAAGTTGGGGTTGCCCTCCTCGAAGCCGGCACTGGGCAGGTTCGAGCCCTGAGGAGGCTGGAACTTGAAAGTCTCGCCATTGGGAGTGGTCAGGGAGTCGGTCATGGGGTTAAAAGTCGTCTTGCCAGAGTAGGCGAGAGCAGTGACGAGCTCGGGAGAGGCCAGGAAGTTCATGGTGCGGCGATTGCCATCGTTACGACCAGGGAAGTTACGGTTGTACGAGGTGAAGATGGCGTTGTCCTCACCCTTCGGGACCTCATCGGTGCGGTTCCACTGGCCAATGCAAGGACCGCAAGCGTTAGCAAGCACGATACCGCCGGCCTCAGAGAAGGTGTTCAGGGTCTGGTCGCGATCAAGAGTGGCACGGATCTGCTCACTGCCAGGAGTGATAAAGAAGTCCGCCTTGGGCTTGAGACCGGCAGCGGAGGCCTGCTTGACCAAGTGCTCAGCACGGGTCATGTCCTCGTACGAGGAGTTTGTGCAGCTACCGATGAGTCCAGCTCCAAAAGTCTCGGGCCACTGCTTCTCGCGGACCGTGTCGGCGAACTTGGACAGGGGAACAGAGAAGTCGGGAGTGAAGGGGCCGTTGATGTGAGGCTCGAGCTCCGACAGGTTGATAGTGATCAATTGATCGTATTCAGCCTTGCTGTCAGCACGCAGCAGGTTACCAGGACCAGAAGCAGCAATCTCAGCAGCAGCCTGGGCGACGTGACCACGGTGAGTCGCCTCGAGGTAGGGGATCATGCTCGGAGAGAAGGGGAAAAGCGAGGTGGTGGCACCGACCTCAGCACCCATATTACAGCAAGTAGCCATACCAGTGCAGCTGAGAGTCTCAACACCAGGACCGTGGTACTCAATGATGAAGCCAGTACCACCGCGGACAGTCAGCTTGCCAGCCAAGTGCAGAATGATGTCCTTAGGTGAGGCCCAGCCGCTGAGGCGGCCCTCAAGACGAACACCGAGGATTTTAGGGGCCTTAAGCTCCCAGGGAGCATCAACCAGCGCATCGACGGCATCGGCACCGCCCACACCAATAGCAATGGCACCAAGACCACCAGCATTAGGGGTGTGACTGTCGGTACCCAGCATCATCAGACCGGGAGCGGCGTAGTTCTCCAGAACGCTCTGATGAATGATACCGGCACCCGGGGGCCAGAACTCAATACCATAGCGCTTGGCAGCACTCTCCAGGAAGTCGAAAACCTCGCTGTTACCCTTAATGGACGCGGGCAGATCGGTATCAGCGCCACGCTCACCAACAATCATGTGGTCGCAGTGAATACTGGCGGGAACCGCAGTCGAAGGAAGACCACAGGACATGAACTGCAGAAGAGCCATCTGCGCAGAGGCATCCTGCATGGCCACGCGATCGGGCTTCAGCTTCAGATTGGCCTGACCACGGATATCACGGCCATTGTTGGTACCTGAGAGGAGTGACTCCTCGAGGTTATCCAAGTGGGCGTAAAGGATCTTCTCAGCCAGAGTGAGAGCACGCTCAGAGCCCAGAACCTTGCGAACCTGTTCGAGGTTGCGGACAATCTTGGGGTAGGGCGGCATACGCGAGGAGGCGGCTTCGGTGGCCATACCACGAGCAAGGCGTTGCGGGGACAGGCGTCCGACCAGCTGCTAGAGTCAATTATGGGGGTCAATTCATGCTGAACGGGGTATAACTTACCCTGCGTGAAGCGGCGGCTCGCTGCCATACCAACTGGCTCACCATCTTGAAGTGTGGAGGGTGGATACTGGGGAAAGAATCATGGTCGAAAGTTCCCAGGCTTTTTTATGGGCGGTCGGCATTCGTTATTTGCATGCGCTATGATTGGCTGGAGGTAGCGCCGATACCGGGATTTTCGCTGGGGAAGCGGTCGTTATTAAGCATTCACCTTGAGTAAGTTATGGCTGCGCTTGATCCTTGCGCCTAAAATTATCTGGTAGGCGTCGGTGTCGTTCTTATGTCGAGGCCTGTCAACTGAGTCTTGGTGTGGATCTTGACCGCCGCAGTTGGACCTCTTCACTAAAAAATACCAATGCGTCTTATATTCCTACTTAAGATTTGAAGCCTGAATAGAGCATACTCATCTTAAGTAGAGTGGGAAGGATACCGGAAAAAAACGATATAAGTTAATAGCGTGCTGTCAGATTCTCGGTCTTCCAGGAATCTTTTGAGTTACGTAGGTGACACTCAATATTACTCTACCAACCCACGCGAGACGTGCCGGCGGTACATTCAATTCTGCAAGAGCTCAGTGTCAACCACAATCAGGCTCATATGATGAGGGTTATGAAATGAACGAATTAGATCAAAGACGCAAAGAATTGCTCGTGAAGACCTTGGCTACGCAAAACGACTCGATAGAATAGTATTGAATTCAATATTGCACAGTACAGGGGACATTGCCTCCATGGTAGATGCCAGTCGGCATTTCGGCCCCTCATCAAACGCCTCTCGTATCATGAAATCAGTACTAGGAAATCATTAAGTAGCTCAAATCATACAATCACAGATCGGTCAACGGCAACAGCTTGGCCAGACCTCGGTCGAGATAATCAGAACAAGAGACATCAAAGGGAAGAAAAAGCATATCTTTACTGGAATAGATTAAGACTGCTGTTCTTCGTCTACCACCGCAGCTCGCAATTCCCACACGAGGTCGTAGCACTCTGCCAGCAGGGCGTTGACGCTTCCTTGGCCCTCTGGGATATCGGGACCGACATAGAATTTGCCGTCAATGCGCATGTTATCGATCGAGTTGAGCTGCTATGGTCAGAAAATGACCTGCGAAAAGAACTTGAGAGATTCTTACCTTCATACTGTAGGGATATAATTCACGGGAATTGGATACACCACCAGACTCCTTAACTTCAATGAGACACCGGCGGAGGGTCTGCAATTGGTTGTATACGGGCAGCAAGGCCTCCGAAACGGGCTCCGATGAAATAAGGAGGGCGTAAATGTAGGCGTAACTGCGTCGAATAAGATACAACAATGTCTAAACCAAGCCAATTAGTATAGAATAACAGTGGATTTAGGTGTGGTGGGCGTACTCGTTGGGCGTGAAGGTCAGCTGGTTGGCCCTCAGCATCGACAAAATTACCATTGACTCGTGCCTCGTCGATTCTATCGAGTTTGCGCTGATAACCAAATAGATCCGTCTCCCGTAGGGACCAGGCTTGTGTCACAGAAAGTCGGTCCAATTGATTGCGGATTTCAAGGAGGCGATCGTATTGCTCCTGGAAACGTTCATTGATTTTGCCCTCACTAGGAACATGTTAGTAATTGCTGGACTGCATACAAGGACTCAAGTCATACCGCTCCAGAACAATTTCGGTCCATCGCCAGCACCGATGCATCAAGGACTTGAGGTCATCTTGGCCAGCATAGGGAACACCATCGGCGTCCACGAAATTGCCGTCTTTCTGGGTGTCTTCAATCTTCTTCAACTGTTCCCGAAGGTTGTTCACTTCCGTCTTCGAAAACTATTATGAGAAAATAGAATTAGTCTTTGCTCAAGTAAAGAATACAGAAATGATACGCACTTTGGAGCGAGTATTAACTGCAGATGTAGATCGCAAGATAGAGACCAATGTCTCATGTGTTTGCGCCAATCCAGGGGAAGCAACGCAAGTCCCTTCTGTAGCTTGTCTAGAGAGATCTGGCATTCTGCCAGGCGACTTTCAAGAAGCGTCAAAAGAGCGGGGGAATAGTTATTGCGGCCGCGATCGAGAGTTTCACGGAGGGATTCAAGAGTCTTGGTAATGGAGTTCAAATCTTTGGAGCTGTAGAATCCGGCCTCTTCAAGGTGATCGAGCAGGCGCTAGAATTCGATGTCAGAATTTGATTTAGATTGTCGCTCGTGTTCATAGGAGTACCTGAATCGTAGTTGCTAGAGAGTAACTGGATGAATGTTAGTACACGGAAAAGAAAGCCGCGGGGTAGCAATCAACTTACACTGCTGGAGCTTCATTGTTTCTACCCACAGTCAAAAAAAGAAGTGAGATCAACTGAAAGCAGTCATCAAGGACGTAGTCCACTAAAGGCGATCGCAGGTTAGTCATGGTCTCACCGATCATGCAGAGAATCCATTCCGATACTCACAGCGATTGTGAACCGAGCGCGCGGAGCGCTCTTTCTCCTTGCGGGCAGCATTGAGATTTTCCACCTGTCCGATGACCTCCTCGTAAAGCGGTAACACATCGCGAGATTTGATATATGATGACTTGTCTTGCTTCAAGAGAAGAAGGGAATCACGGGTTCGGAGAAGGCATTCGAGAATGGGCTGCTCCCGCGGGTCGAGCGGGACCGGAACGGCGGGGGACTCCATGGCCGAAGCGCGGAGATGGTCGGGATGAGATGATGGTATGGCAAGACACAACAAGCAGGTCTGCGAAGGAATAGAGAGCTGGAAATCTCAAGAGACTGCGATAATGCACTTGAACCCCACACGATTGTGATGTCAGTTCCGGACCGATTGATATCCAGCGATACGGGCTGATTACGCACGATTAGTCACCCATAGCCGAACCAGGACTAGGTCGAAGGTCACGGGATGGAATCCGAGCTAAGCCTATTAAGGCCAAGCCCTAAGCGAGGGCTTTTTCCCACACACGCCCGCGCGGTTGCCCTGTTCGGATAGGCCTTCGTGATACACTTCTTCTTTTCTCTCCCCATCCACTCTTCACCTTCAAGACACCCAGTCCGGTCAACACCACCCGTCGACAAAATGTCTACCGCCGAGCTCGCCTGCTCCTACGCCGCTCTCATCCTTGCTGATGAGGGCCTTGAGATCTCCGTACGTTGGCTCCTTTTTGAAATGGTTGGATTCATCGAGGAATTGAAGACTCGCGAACAAGGTTTTCATGTCGAGAACTTGGATCGCTATGGAGTGATCAACTGCGCAATTTGATGGATTCAACCATGCAAGCACAAAACCCGACAGTCACTAATTGAATCTACTTTCCAGGCCGACAAGATCCAGACCCTCATCGGTGCCGCCAAGGTTGAGGAGATTGAGCCCATCTGGGCCACCATCTTCGCCAAGGTAAATACTTGATTTCTAATTTGTCGCCTTTACATTATGTGAACACTTCTCTGCGAAGCCCGAATTCGAAGTGCGACATATACAAGTCCAGTGACTTACGATTCTCAATTTGCAGGCTCTTGAGGGCAAGGACGTCAAGGACCTCCTGACCAACGTCGGCTCTGCCGGTCCCGCCGCTGCTGGTGGTGCCCCCGCCGCCGGCGGTGCTGCCGCCCCCGCCGAGGCTGTCGCTGAGGAGAAGGAGGAGGGTAAGCTATCCTGCACGGTCTCATACTACAAGATATTCATGCTAACTCCCACACAGAGAAGGAGGAGTCCGATGACGACATGGGATTCGGACTTTTCGACTAAGCGCTTTAATCGCTCCGAATATAAAGTCGTTTTCCTTTTGCTCTTTCCCTCGCCTCTTATCCCGCATCCGCCTGATGGCTCCCTCGACGATTCTCTCTTGTACTCGATACTCCACGACCCCTTCTACGAAGATCTAGATCACGGGGCAGAAAAAAAAGAAAATAGCAAAAGTTTCAAACGGACAAAGACATTCAAATGGAGACTGGGTGCTCGGTTTACTTCCGCATCACTCTGTGACGGAGGTGGATTCGATCGGATGCCGTTGCGATTCCGAAATTTTTGTTGCTTCCAGGATATTAGGGGAATTGAAGACAGACGTTTGGCACAACTTTTATGATTTGTCCATGACCGCGGCTTCCGTTCAGTCTGGAGGGTAGTTGTATGTTCTTTCTCTTTCTCTACTGGACGGGGCCAGCTATGCCCAGCCCTGATGCCATGTCTGCCATGCGATCACGAATCTAGGAATCTCGTTTGATTCTGGTGCTGGGTATTTTCGTAGTCACTGAATAGTAAATCCGGTTGGACCTCTCAAGATGTGAGGTTCTTGTCCCACTCAACGTCTAGAGCATGTGATCTGGTCCCAACTTGGTTTCAAGATCTCTGTCATGAGTAACAAGTGGATCAAATTGCAACTGTGAATTATATACGTCACACCCCGTTGGCTAACACCTAACGCCGTGCTCGCCTGCTCCGGTGCCCCGATCCTACTCCACATCACAAAATTGAAAATTCTCCAACCCTATAGCAGCCATGTTTTAAAAATTCGACAGGTACAATCGCATGCAAGACAGCTTCCACACGATGGTTATGACGCCACAAAGAGAGGAGCATCTTCCTTGACGGCGTAGATCCGGAATTGAATGAAGATGACCACATCCTCAACCATGGTGCCCAAGGAGCCAATCAGCCATGGAAGGTTGGTCAAGACATATTCCCGTTCAGTAGAGTGGAACAGAATCTGTAATTGCATTTAGTGGGATTACTTCCACATGTCCATGGCTCGGGTAGTACTTACACCTGCGCCGTATGTGAGATTGCCCATAAGAGACAAGATGAAGAAGAGGAGTGACAGTCCTATGGTCGAGGGTTAACAAAAGAAAAGAGCCTGATGGACAAGTGCTCATACCTTCGCATGACTTATCGGAATAGTTCTTGTAGATTTGAGGCAGTCGCGCTCTGTCGCAATATTAGCCTTATTTCATTGATCAGCCTTTAACACAAGCACTCACCCAAGATAGCAGACAGCACTGAAATAACCCAGGATCTGACCACCAGTAGCTACAGCCCCGTCGTTGTGGGATTCCGGCGCCGGAGCCCACATTCCAGTCTTCCAGGCCATGGTCCACCCGGCCATACCAACAACGAAGATACCGAGGACACTGATGAAGTTTTTGATCCAAGCCTTGCGCCCATACTCACTCTCCTCCACAATCTTGGCAAGCGAATCCTCGGGCTGGCTATCGCGCCGCCCAGTATGGTAGCCCCGCTGAGAGCCAGAGGATCTCCGCCGGCCCTGCGGTGGGACAGCGTCGCTGAATCGTCGACCAAGTAGCGGGGTAGTGGGATCGGGTGTCTCCGTGGACGAGCGCCGCCGACGGTGAACCTCCGAACGCGCATTGAACACCTTGTAGTACAGGCATTGACCGATCAAGACGCCGTCCGCGATACAGAAATAGACTGCTATGGCGAGGATCACGGGGACAAGGTCTGCCATAAGACCACCCACCAGATTCGCGATGTCACCGATAAACCAGACAAAGATGAAGAGGAGCGAGATAGCGTCGGCGTTGCCGTTACGGTAGTTTTCGATAAGCTGAGGGACCTGGATTCGAGATGAGTTAGATATGTTTCCTTCTCTTCCCCTTCTTCAGAATGCGCATGGGAGCTTCATCACACAAAACTCATTCGGGAAAGCTCTAGACACGGGCGATAAGCATACCAAAAGGAAGATCCAACAGGTCATTGACACCGAACCCAGAAGACCCGATGCAGCCTCCCTCGGCGTTAAAGGCACAGACTCGTGCGCGCCCATATTGCTCAGCGCTTGTAATATAGTCATTGTCCCGCGGGGGAATTTTCGGGTGTCGGACGCGGGTGGAGCTGAGAAAATTTGGATGGGGAAGATGAGGCTATGACACAATCGATGCGGGTGAGTCCCGGGGCAACTCCAGCGAACATGCGAGCAGGGCAGGGGTCATGTAGAGGCTCGAGATGCAGCTGCAAGTGAAAATTGCAGAATTTCAGATAAGAAAAAAAAATTACTTTCGGACAGCTGCAGGCGCACGAGCGATTTTGAAATTATTGGATGACTCAGCCTGTCCAAAATGCACGCGCACGGACATGCTGCACATGATCAGCTTCTACACTTGATAAGAGTCGTGTGCATCACTAGGGTATATTATGGTAGCTAGATGAAGCAGGTACTCAATTTGATATACATATCTATAGATTACTGTAATGGGCAGCTTGATCAGGAAAAGGTGAAAAGGAAACGGCTATTGTGTCGACTGAGCAGACTAGAGCAAGCTGTATCTAAAGAGAAAAGACTGAGTGTAGCCATAGAAGCCTCAGAATCCAGGATCTCACTTAACGAGATCTTGAGAGACTGGAGTAAGATGCTAGGTCAGAGTCATGGGTCGTTTGTCTGGGAGACAGTGGCCAAGAAGATGATTGCCCAGCAACATGGAGAGTGGTTGCACAAGACAAGATAATTATTCAAAACCATTGCTTCCTGTCCCGAAGCCTGTCGAATTTGATTCTGTCTATCTGTAGATAGAGATTTGTCAGATTGCGAGACGAAACAGGCAGAGGAACGAATGGAGTCTGGAATAGCGGGAACTAATTGACATCAATGATAGTGGTAGAAGAGAGGTATTTGGAGAAGTATTCTTTGGAGAGTCAGCGCTCATGGAAAATTGCAGTTCTACCGGTTTAACATGCTTTGCGCAAACTTATATAAGACCAAAAAGTCAGGTAAAATTGTAGCAACACACTGTCAACGACGGTGTTCATAAGTTGGTAACTGAGAAGCAAATGCACATCACGATCTTCAGAGTGAAATTGATAATATATTGAAGTGCAACAGTCTCAAACTGTGCGGAAATATTCATCCTAGTACATCTTCAAATGCTGCATAGAATCATATTATAGAGCGGCTGCTTGCCCGTCAGCACTTGCGGGCGGGGCAGTGCCTAGTACCCCGTCCCGCTATTCGACTCGACTATCTCGATTTACCTGCCCTCAGCTCTCTGTCAGGTAGATCCGATGACTCACATCCATATTTCCAAGTAACATTGCATTATTTTCTTCTGCTCGTTTGTTAAGAAGCGACGTAACATTGTCACTGGCCTTCTTGACCGATCAATTGACAATTTGAAAAACTCTCATGGCCAACCCAATATATCTTGGCATTGTCGGTATGAGACATCCGATCTCTCAAGTGTTCTCCATTTTCTTTATATGAGCGCTGACATCAGACAGGCGTTGGCGGTGTTGGAACCGCCTTCCTTGAGCAATTAGCAAAACTGCTCAATTCACCCCAAATCGTTCTGCTGGCCCGCTCATCGCAGTCCCTGCTCGCGCCGACACCAGCATACTCACCTTGCATTACCGCCACAAATTGGTCAGATGCCGCAGCGACGCCATCATTAATTAGAAAGGGCGCTCTTTCGCCGCATGAAATTGCGTCATATCTCGCAGCTACCCCGGGTCGTGCGATTCTTGTGGATAACACCTCGGACCTTGTCCTTGCCCAGGCATATCCTATCTTCCTCAAAAATGGAGTATCTGTGGTAACAGCCAACAAAAAAGGATTTTCCTCCGAGGTATCATTATGGAATGACATCTTCGCATCCGAACTTCAGGGAAATGCGTTCGTGCACCATCAGTGTACAGTTGGCGGAACCCTTCCAGTTCTCTCAACATTGAGAGATCTGATCGCAACAGGAGATGAGATTACTCGAATTGAAGGGGTTCTCTCTGGGACACTATCACTACTCTTGGGCGTCTATATGCCTGCGCTTGGCACGTCCGAAATGAAGTGGAGCTCTCTAGTCGCCCATGCTAGGGAAGCAGGCGAAACAGAAACCGATCCACGGGATGATCTGAACGGTCTCGACTTTGCACGGAAATTAACAATCATCGCCCGGGTTATTGGCCTTGAGGTCCCTCGTCCGGATTCGTTCCCGGTCCAATCACTTATACCCGATGAATTGGCCTCATTGCCGTCATCGTCCGAAGGAATTGCGCAGTTCATGAGCCAGTTGCCTGATTATGACGACAGAATGGATGCGATCAAGGAGGCTGCTCGGAAAGAGGGCAAAATTCTGCGGTACTTTGGCAGTATTGATGTACCCACGAAGACCATTAAAGTTGGGCTGCAGCATGTGAAGAAGAGCAGCCCTCTTGCCAATCTCAAGGGTAGTCAGATTGTCAGCATACATACTAAGCGATATGGTGCTACACCTTTGATCTTACAAGGTGGTGGAGGCGGAGGTGAGATTACGGCCATGGGTCTGATGGCTGATCTCCTTAAGACGATCGAGAAGTTGAGGTAATAGGTGATTCAGTGGCAGGCTGGTGGCTCTCCTGATCATGATATTTTCAGTCTACGTTCAAGTAAAAGCACGCCGTGTATTTTTGTACACCAAATACATGAACATCTAAATGCAAATCCACCGCAGTGCGATGCATAAGAATCGAAATTCCCTCAAATCCTCGGACTAAGCCTCCTTGCGAACAAAGGGGCAGGTAAAATAAGGATGGAGCACTGTAAGTGCAACGACGGCTAAGGCGACCATACTGAGAAAGGAGAAAATGAGTAGAAAATTGTTAAAAGTAGGAAAGGAAAGAACTCACACTCCATCCAAGATCATAAACTCCGTTTCATTCCGCATCAAAGGATTGGCCCAACCCTCAGCCATTTCCGGAAGACTGAAAAAGTCAGCCAATGAATCCAAAAATCAACACATCTAGCCACCGACCGATATATGCAACGGATCAAGACAGTGATATAAGCGAAGACCTCCTCGACACAGAAAGCCTTGAACAGCAACGCCTCTTTCTTCTCCTCCTTCTCCTCAAATCTGGGAGACCGTCCCTCTCGATAAACACGAAAGGCGAAATCAGCCCCCAGCAATCCACAAATAGCCATAGTAGCCACCTGGAAAGCGATACCAGCAATCATCAAGTTATTGCCCGCATCAAGCTTCTTACTGTCATTGTCACTTGCAGAAACAGCGATACCCCCACGAGCGGCTTGAATCAAAATCGAAGCAATATCGCAACCGATGAAAATCCGCGGATAGAAACGAGGCGGCAAGCGCGACTTTTCAGGTCCGAGGTAGAGCACGATATGCTTGAGCGACCAGTAAATGCCCGCAGCGATGAATGACGGTGCAACGATCAGACACACGATCTGCACATCGAACCCTCCCGCAGACCATGGGTTGCTATGCATCAGAATCCGGCCGATGTAGCCTGCTAGTTCAATGAAGCAGCCTCCCGCAAGCGCGATGGTGAATGTCCACTGTCGGGACTTGATCCCAATAGCGAGACTGTATAATCCGCATAGACCAAAGAGAGTGGCGAGAAATAAGTTTCCGCCTAGATGCGGTGTATACCCGTAGGATGTTGCCTTGACGGGGCATTCTGGGGTGACGGATGTGCAGTTGGATGTATCGGTCATTGTGATCAATGGTTCTCACGAAACCAAAGCGAAAAAAAAGAAGAGCTTTAGAAGTAGCGAAGATTGAACTCGAGAAAAACGGGAGCATGGTTCACGTCCTTCAGCTTATGAATCTTTATATTCAAAGTTTACATGTTAAGTGCTTCGTGTTTCGTGTTCCGTGTTCCGTATTTCGTATTTCGTATTTTGAGATGCGTGAAGCCCTAGTTGTATCCGCATTTCCGACATCAGGCGTCCACTATAGGGCTGTGTACTTTCTTGGCTAGAATTCACTAGGTAACCAGATTTATAAGCTCTTTTCAGATAGAACAACAAAGTGTCGCCGGTAGGCTGATCTCGTTTCAACCCATGTATCTTCTGTCCGAGTGATCAAATGGACTTACTTGCGGCGCAGATCACTCTTCCAAACAAGTCAGCAAGAAACAGGCAACGCTTTTCATCCCTAAAGAGCCATGATCTCAGTTTTGGTCGTCTCGAGACAGCTGCTAGGCTTCTATGGCTACTATGATAGTTCAAATCAAGTATAGATGAATGATAAAATCTTTGCTGTTCATGACAAAGGCTCTATGCGTATAAGGAAATACTTATTTGAGGTCAATGCTGCCCTTTTGGATTATTTAGATTCTATTAATGCCAGGCCGGCATCAAGCTGGCTATACATCACTGTTTTCAGACATGCCCTCTTCTTCCATCATCTCCAACTCATCCTCAAGCATGGTGACTGCGATTTCACCAATAACACCTTGAATGGGGCCATGCAGCAATTCTTGACGATGCTCCTCAGGCTCGATTGCCCCGAGAGTCTCCAGGAAATCCGTCAGTGGAGCATAGTCTAACACATCTCCCCAATTACCCCGATCAACTCCGTGCTGATGCAGGAACATCTGCAGAGAGTCCAAAGCATCTCCTAGGAGCAATTGCTCAAGAACTTGCTGGTCGCCATCCAATGCACGGGCTCGGGCATCCGCACGTGCATCTGCGACTTCACCGTGCTCGCCATCGCCGCCTTCCTCGTCACCACCTTGGAAACGGGGAAAGGCAATGGCTCCATCGTTGATCTGGCCCATGAGATCGCGAAGCCATTGCGGTCGCCCGCCTTCTGGGATCCGGGAGAGATATGTAGGAGTTGGGTCGGACTGCTGACGGAAAGCGTCTGACTCGTAAGGAGGGAGAGGGTCTGACGAGGACATTCGGCCCGACACGAAGCGGGTTGGTAGGTGAGTTGTCACCTTCGGGATGTCGGATAGAACGACATGACGAGCAATATCAAGAGTAATCTCCGGTGGCTCGATTGGCTCCTCGCCGGAGAGGGTGTCGGCGACTTCCATGATAAGAGCTACAGCTTCGGGTGTATTCCACAAGTCCTTTGCACGAGTAATGTAGAGTTCTGTGAGGAGCTCATGAGTCCCGGTTGGTGGCATCTTTCCCCAGATCTGCTTCGGAATGTGTGAAAGATCCAATTCCTGTGCGAGTCTACTAAACACCCACGGGTAACGAGACATAGCATGGTGCAGTTGCCGGCGGCAGTCCTGAGGTCTATTTAGACGTAGGTAAGCCATCACCAGTGAGCACTGGATGTTAGGCAAATCGGCCCAGTCGTGGCTAAAGCGAGTCTGGGTGCACATATCGACGAATTGCGCATACTCTCGGCCACGCAAAGCCAGGTGGTCGACCAAGAGTCTGATACAGTACGGATCGGAGTCATTCAAGCTTAGAAGAAGCTTTGCCCATTCGTATGCGGTCCGCCATGTTCCCTTCATGCCCAAGTTGGCAATATATCTCCAACCAACAAGCCACAATTCTCGGTTCTCAAACTTCATAAAGTCAAGCCTGGCTTGGCCTTCCCTGAGTCGGTTGTTGAAGGATGAGTGGGCGGAACGCCCGATGTTGAACAACGCTCTTTCCAAAAGGTCGGCGGAAACCGCATGATCGCCTTGATGTTTGGCGATTTCGGAGACTTGAAGAAGAGTAGAGATATGGTAGGGGTTGTACTGGAGGTGATGAATCAACCGCTGTGGGTCCATCGACTCGACGCAGAGGTCGAATTGGTTTTGTACATCCTGGTAGGACGCATTGTGCACGATTTTGTAAAGAGTATTGCCCAGAGGATTTTTCTCGACAATTTCCATGCCTAGACCTCCGCTTGGTGCGCGTGGCCAATCGTCCTTTCCTTGCATAAGGACATTTCGGCGTAATGTAACACCAGCTAGACTTTGGCCTCTGCTGGCGGGGCTATATCTTCCGGTCAAAGCTTGACCAAGGTCGACTGTTTCGCGATTGCGGTCCCGTCTGCGGCCCGAACCTGCATCTTGCTGGTCAAAATTTTCCAAAACCACATTTCCGAATAGCCGCCGCATTTCGTTCGTTGCGTTGAGGAATTTTGGCTCAACGCCGAGTAGCTCATCGGTGGTTTTAGGGAATGAGGCATCTCGACTGACTTGTGTGTTCGCTGATAGATCAGCACCAGTCGAGTTTTGTCCATCCGTGGCCAGAGCCTTCAAAGCTCTGTCAATTTCGTCCAGCTCTACATCGTCAGATGGCTTGGAATTTGACTCGGTAGCTGCGTTTGCTTTGGCCTTCTTGGCCTTCTTTTCTTCTTTTTGCTGGCGCTCTTCGGCTTTGAGGGTTCCGCTTCGGGTTCTGGCTGCACAGATTGCGTTATAGGCTCCGGAGCCTCCTCCCCTGACTCTTCATCCTCATCATCGCCGGCATTGAGAAGATCGAAAGCGTTGAACTTTGGCTTAGCGGGGCGTGGGGCTTCATTGTCACTCGAGTCATCGTGTTCTTCTTCCAGCTGCTGCTGTTCGCGTAGCTTCTGCAGCTTTCTGATGGCACGAGACGACATCTCGACGTCTCACCTCAAAGGCGAATTGCAATTTGGATCGAAAGAAAGAAAGTAAAGAATCTCGAAGTCCGCGGGGAATGACGACACGGCCCCGATCAGGAATAGTGTCGTGCCTGTATTGCACGTGATTTCCTTATCGAGAGTCGCGTCTTCGCATATCCTTGGCTTCCAGTCTGAATACTGAGAATCGCCTTGGAGAGGCAGCTCAGAATCACGAATCGTTTGGCAAGAATACAATCGCTGATTTCGAATCAATGCGTCGGGCCACTGTCCAGGCGCTCCGGACTTCTAGGCGTGCACCAGTATGGCAAAGCGTCGGTAAACGGCCTAGTCCGCTGTCATTCAACCACAACCAGGTACGAGGCTTGCGCCCATATTCTGCGGGTAGACGCCCGTCCTTTGTCCCGGTAGCTCTGCAGTCATCGATGTATTTCCGCAAATTCTCCCTCGCTGTGATTTCGACTGTCGTCGCCTCCGGGGCATGGTATGCTTATCAAGGTGACGACGCTCAGTCACTCGCAACACAGGTTCGAGGATTCGCGTCCAGCGCGATCCTTTCCGCACACGCCGAAGATCCTTCCGAGTCGACTCGCCGCGCTCTCCTAGTGAGTAACGATCAATTCTATACCGCGACTCTCTCCGGAGATCAGCCCCTACAAAAGACGACCGACGACTCTGACCGACGCGTTCTAAACATGTTGACCCCGGAACAAGCTACGGAAAAGCTACGCAAGAATGAGGAGTCTTATTTAGTGAACCGAGGCAAGGGAGTTGTGCGATACGATATTGTACAGGTTCCTAGCAACTCCCCTATTGAGGACGACCATGCCGAGAAGATCGTCGAGGTGCCATCCTCTGTCGCTGGCAGCACAAATGGAGAGCCGAACAGTGATTGGATGTTCTGGGCAGTATTTGATGGCCACTCGTAAGAAAATCACCATGCGCTTAAGGGATACGTGGACGCTAACGTTGGACTAGCGGTTGGACAACATCCGCCAAGTTGCGAAATGTGCTTATTTCATACGTTGCCCGTGAACTCAATACCACTTACAAAGCCGCTGCAGCCAATCCTTCGGTTCTTAGACCCTCATCAGAGGCTGTTGACGCCGCTATCAAGCAGGGTTTCATCCGGCTTGATGATGACATTGTGAACAAGAGCGTGGATAAGGTCCTTAAAGAGAACTCGCGAAACGTGGCCGCCGAGATGCTCGCCCCTGCACTATCTGGCTCATGTGCTCTCCTGAGCTTCTACGACTCACACTCCAAGGACCTCAAGGTCGCGGTTGCTGGTGACTCCCGCGCGGTTCTTGGTCGCCGAGGACCCACGGGAAAATGGACTGCCACAGCTCTTTCGGAGGACCAGACTGGCGGTACCCCATCCGAGATGAAGCGTCTGCGGGAAGAACATCCCAATGAACCCTATGTGACCCGTAACGGTCGTATCCTCGGCCAACTGGAACCTAGCCGTTCCTTCGGCGACGCAACCTATAAGTGGACCAAAGACATCCAAGACAAGATCAAAGCTAAATTCTTTGGTCGCACGCCTTCCCCTCTTCTGAAAACTCCCCCTTACGTCACTGCAGAGCCCATCATTACGACTACGAAGATGGACCCTTCCAAGGGCGACTTCATCGTCATGGCCACTGATGGTCTCTGGAGATGCTGAGCAACGAAGAAGTCGTCGGTTTGGTAGGCCAATGGCTCGAGCAACAACAGTCCGGCGGCGGCAACAAGGCTTGGCTGCAGAGCTGGTTCGGATTCAACAGCAAAAAGCAGCTGCCCGTCGAGGCAGTAACAGATGCATCCGCCGAGGGCCAGCGTCGCCCGATCCGCCAGCAACAGTATGATATCTCTGGTGTGGCGGACCGGTTCGTTGTCGAGGATAAGAATGTGGCTACTCACCTCGTCCGCAATGCCATGGGAGGCAAGGACACGGACATGATGTGTGCTTTGCTCACCCTGCCGAGTCCTTACTCTCGCCGTTACCGGTATGTTTTTCGTCATTGGATTCTGATTTACAGTCATACTAACTGGTTGCTAGTGACGATGTCACCGTAGAGGTCATCTTCTTCGGTCAAGGCACAGACTCGCGCGGCACCGTCGAAATCAACAAAGAAGCTAGTGCCTCAGAGGAGCCTCCCAAGGCAAAGCTCTAATCGCTTTTTTGTCGTGTCAATAAGTTTCTTTCTGCTATGTTAGACCTTTGGGTCCGAGCCATTTGAAGACCATGAAGTTCATCTTGATATCCTCTGCACAAGCACCAATATCCAACGTTCCTGAATTGACTGAAGAGTCCAATCGTAGCCTTTTAAAACATAGGCGAACTTCGGCTTTCGGCATTAATATACCCACTTATTACTTTCTTCCTTTCTCTCTTGCTTACTCCCTTCCTCTTCCCTCAGACTCTAAATTGTCCGCAGAAGATATGTGACAAGTCCAGCCAACATGCTGCCGCTACATCGGCAACTCGTCAAATCTTCTTTAAACTTACCTGGAAACGAGCTCATGATTTCACACTATCTCATAATTCGTGTCCCTACTCTGTGCTTGATGCCTAGCAATGGTCCGTGCCAGAGTATGAACTTCGTTGTTTCTGATGCTTCATTGATTGATACGAGAGCTTTGTATGAGTGAGAACCTCGAAATGTTTGTTCTTTATTATACACTATTCCATCTCTTCGTGGGATCAATCCCCTTCGCTCACTGGCGCACTTTCGACTTAATATCCAGTAACTTGAGAATCCAAAAGCTGGAGACATATATCTCCCAATGGCTGGGGTTGAAGTCAAGTGCCTTAATCCACTCACTCGATGTGTTGTAGGGACAGAGATCCCGAGAATCACCACGTTGGGAAGATCCCGAGGATTTTCTGGTAACTTTCCTGCTATCTCCATGATAAAGTGGGGAGCGAGCAGGTCTCGAATTGACGATCTAAAGTCTGATAGCCAGCTAAGCCGCTTTGATATGACCATAAATCAGGTACGAGATCATGTCAGTTTCAGCTTGAAGGGATCAGAGACACCTGGTCTCTGATAAACCATGTACTTTTTCTGGAAGTTGGGAATTGGGGGTCTCATGAACATATACTTCTCCAATAAGAAGGTCTGTAATGTAGCCACGTTGGTACTGGTGATCCAGTAGATCATGAGAGCCGCCGGCAATTCATTAGCGAAGGCCGCCACACCAATATTGAGTCCTAATATCTGAAGGAAGACTCCCAATCCTCGGAAGAATGTAGCCCGATACAACTGCGCTGTAGGCAGATCAGCCAGATCTCCAGCTGGTGTAGTGATGCCCCAGCCTCTGCGGATATTCAAGATAATCGAAGCACTCAGAAGCAGAGGCAAGGCGCCTGTCGGATCACCAGCCAGTAGATTGGGGAACCAGAGAGCACCTTCGGTGGCTAGACTCGGCTCTAGGGCCGGCAGGGATGCGGCGTTTTCGTGGCCACTGACGAACGATAGGAGGTATGGAATGATTCCATTTTGATTCCCTGTCATCGCGCGCATGCTCTCCATGAGCGATAACCAGACCGGCAATTGTAGGAGATTGAGGAATCGGTAGCCTCGCATGATTTTCCACTTCTTCGCCAGGGATTTGGACATAATGTTGAGATATCCTGCTGCAATCTTCCCTTTCTCTTTTTGTATTCCGGGGGTAATGCTGATATCTTGTTCGAGCCCACCATTCGCCAGGAGTGTATTAGAGGTGCGATGTCTCGTTCTCGTCGCGCGTTGACTCGTGTTATAAATTGTAATGGCAATCCAACGCACATTCGCACAATCACTGCTGTAAGTGGAATTGATGCGGCCCATGGCAGGTGAGTGATCGAGTGAACGCCATGGATAAAGCCGGAGGAGGCGTCCAAGACTTCGGCGACGAGTCGGGTCGGTCTTGTCTGGTGGAAATGACGGATCTGCGGGCCATGCAAGCGCAAAGCTCTTGTCGGGGGCGTAAAGCCCCCATAGAGCGGATATTGTTCATGGCGACAACAGCCATTGAGCTATTAATGGGAAGAGCGGAAAAAGATGGCGAGACCGGGGAAAACACGGATCAGGTGACACGTATGCATTGTTACGTCAACGCTTTGTTGACTTTCACCAACTGTCACTCTACTATGTGCCACTGGTGACTTTCTGCCACCATGGCCTTCTTGTCTAATGCAGTTTTAGTCCTTTTTATTGTTACCGCGACTGCTGTGCTTCTCCCGCAACTTGTGGGAAGCCTGATCGGTCTGGTCTTTCGCGGCGTGGGATGGCTGATTCGCCGACGAACGCGTTCTCGCCGTGAATACGTGATCGCGCGGGCGCGGTCTGAGGAGGAGGAAGGTCGGACCCCGCGCGCTACGGACTCAACGAATTCAGTGACCAGGAACCAGGAAGATGAGGACTGGGAGAAGGTGGATCAGACTGGTGGGGTGAAGACTACAAGCAGTAGTGAGAGCGGTAGCGGTGAAGATGCTGAGTGGGATGGCATTATTGGATTTTTTCATCCTTTCTGGTGAGACTGGTCCTATGGCTTATTTTGGACTTGGACTGACGTGTCTTTTAGTAATGCCGGTGGTGGTGGAGAACGAGTACTTTGGGAAGCCGTGCGCGCAACGCAAAAGCGTTGGCCGAAGGCCATCTGTGCCATTTACACTGGTGACCATGAGGTAAACAAGGCGGCCATGTTAGAGCGCGTGGAGACACGTTTCAATATTCATCTGCATGCCCCGACTGTGGTGCTGCTCTATCTGACAACGCGCAAGTACGTTGTCGCAAACTCATATCCCTACATGACACTTTTGGGACAGTCGCTGGGATCTCTTGTGGTCGCATACGACGCCTTCACACTGCTGGTGCCGGATGTGTTTGTGGATACCATGGGCTATGCCTTCACCTTGGCATTCAGCAAGTGGCTCTTCCCTACAGTGCCCACCGGAGCCTATGTTCACTACCCTACCATTTCAACTGATATGCTGGCTTCTCTCGACGACCAGAGTGGTGTGCAAGGTATGAACTCCGGTGCTGGCAAGGGCCTGAAAGGCGCCGTCAAGCGCAGATACTGGCAGCTCTTCGCCCGGCTGTACGGCTGGGTTGGCCGGCATGTCGACGTTGTCATGTGCAACTCCTCGTGGACATCAGCACATATTCGTCAGCTCTGGGGCAAGTCAAAGAGTACAGACAAAGGCGAAGGCGATGGGACCGCAGCCGAGCCAGCCGTCGTCTTCCCACCCACGGCCGTATCTGAGCTCGAATCAACCATCGACGTCACTGCAGAGAGCGAAAGAACCCGCCGTCCTGTCCTGCTATACATCGCGCAATTTAGACCCGAGAAGAATCACCCGCTAGTCCTGCGCTCATTTGCACGTTTACTCCAAGAACGAGCTAAGAACCCAGCCAACGCTGATAGACCACTCCCTCAACTCGTCCTCATCGGCTCAGTCCGCCACGCCAGCCCAGATGAGACTCACATCTACAACCTTCGTCTTTTGGCCCATGAACTTCGCATCCGCGATCACACCACCTTCCTCTGCGACGCCAGCTGGCCCGCTGTCCTCTCCCACCTTAGCACCGCCTCCGTCGGAGTGAACGCGATGTGGAACGAGCATTTTGGCATCTGCGTCGTTGAGTACCAAGCCGCAGGTCTGATCTGCGTGACCCACGATTCCGGCGGTCCACGCGAGGACATCGTCGTAGATCTCGGTGACGGAGCGACTGGGTTCAGAGCCGAGACTGAGGAGCAATTCGCGGCTGCGTTTGAGGCAGCGCTTGCACTTCCAGAGGCGGAAAAGGTTGCTATGCGTCAGCGGGCGAGGAGGTCGGCGTTGAGATTTACGGAGGAAGAATTCTCGCGCAAGTGGCTACGCCAGGTGGAGAAGTTAGTGAAGGCTTCGAAGTAGTTGTAGATATCCTTTTGAATAGACGAATATCTGAGCATATTTTCGGTATTCTGGCCAGCAGACTTCTCCACTATCTTCCTCGGCAATCCGACGACCTTGATATTTCGTGGAAGGGAATAAAGATGAAGATCTAACATTTCTTGCAACTTCTCGTTGCCGACATGGTGTATAGCACTTCACCAATACCTGTTCATAGCTAAGCCAAACCGGGGACAGAAAACCAGAACCCAAACAAGAGACGGGTATGATATGGGGGAATAAAACTCATCAAATGCATCACACTCCATGAGTGGAAAGAGATGCACGCAGACATCACCAAAAGGTCGAGGCCTGCGGAAAGAAAGAGAACAGACGACCCTGAAACGAATGCTGGTGTATAAAACTAAAATGTCAAAGAAATGTTGCAAAGAAGGAACCTCCCGCCATGTAGTTGAACGCCAATGCCTTCTAAACCGGCCCTCTGAAACCAACAGGGAAACGAAAGACAAATAGATGGGGAGACGCTTTTCCTATACCTTTTTTTGAGCTGGATAGTTGGAACTGAAATCATCCACTCCACTGCCCGGGATTACCGTACATGGCTTGCTGATTATCAACATAGCCACCGCTCATCCCAGAGACATTAGAGAGTCCATCATCCTCATCAAATCCAAACTCGCCACCTGAGCTCGCATCGAAACTACTCCGGCCTCCGATATCGCTTGGATCATCGCCCGCAGCAGGGATTTGGTCCCACTGTAGTGTCTGCAGAGCGGGGTATTGCGCAAGTAGCGCAGCTGGTAGGATAAAGTTGCCAGATGACTGACCGTCCAGACCAGTCACACCGGGCATGACGAGTGGCTGTGGAACGGGTTGTAGATGGCCAGAAGGTTGGTGTTGCTGCTGTTGCTGCTGTTCGAGAAGAACTCGTTCTCGCTCTTGAGACTCTTCGTCAAGCAGCGGCTTGATGCATACACGGCCGGCTTCTGATCGGAAGTGGCGGCCGAGTGCATCTGCACGTGCAAATCGGCGCCCGCAGCCCCAGTTTCCCTCTCGAGATAGATCGCCTCGGCAAACGAATTTCTTTTCACCAGAGTGCAGTCCTTCATGACGTTTTCGGTCGTGTTGTCTGGCAAAAGCTTTGCCACATACTGTGCAGACGAACGGCCGCTCGTCGGTGTGTGTTCGTAGGTGGGAGCGCAAGTTGTATGCACGGGTAAATCGCTTCGGACAAAGGGTACATTGGAAAGTGGCAGGGTGCTTCTGGACGCGCTTTGAGTCTCCCGGGAGAGCGCCGGGGCGCTGAGGATCAGCGAGGTCAAGTATATAATTTCGGCTTTCGATGGACGATGTTGAAAGGCGTCGATTGGAAGCACGGGACGGTGATGCGTCGCGAGAGCCAGGATTGCTGCGCGAGTGGGGGGACAGTGAACGCGGCGTGTTCGGAGCAAGAGCCTCGAGACTTGTTGCCGAAGTCGCCGGAGATCTTGAACGTGAGGCAGGGTGTGCATAGGGATCGGATTTACTGCGCACACGGGATCCTGGGATCGAGTCAGTATGTCAAAGTTCAGAGTCAAAGTAGAAGAGACCTACTCATCGCTGGAGGACTCAACGAGTCCAAATCCGCAGCCGGTTTACCAGGGCCGAAGCTGGGAATGCGCGAAGGCGGTGCAAACTCCACATTAATGGACGGGGGCGCCATTTGAGACGCTTGTCCAATGTCAGGCCCGCCGCTGTTAATACCATTCATTATGTCATCCTGGGGCATGCCATACATGTCCGCGGATGGGAATTGAGATGTCATAGTGGGCGAGAGATACGAAGCATTTGGCACCATCTCACCACCCTGTTGGGGAATCAATCTCGGCGAGATATATGGGCTATGGAGTGGGCTATATCCCTGCTGCTGTTGCTGCTGTTCTGACAATGTGAACGACTCAATGCCGAGTGCATTATCATATAAAGCGGGATCATTTTGTGGCGCCAAAGAAGGCGACGCATTATTCTCGATACCGTCATAATCGTGCTGTGGTAGGTAAGGGGAGTGATTGGCCGAGGAAACTTCAGATACCTCCGAGGGCGCTCTGCGATGACCCTGAAACGCGGCGGAGCTATTCAAGACGTTCTGCCAGTCTTGATGGGGTTGCGTGCTCAGATAAGCCGCTGTAGCCGGGTCCAGCGAGGTGTGTCGTGAATGCTGGGGCGTGTAGTATGCGCCGGGATTAGAGCCAGGTGGAGAGATAGGACCGGGCGACTGCTGATGTTCTTGCGACGAGGGGTGAGAAGATGCCGAGGGATTTGAGATAGGGCTAACAAGATCCGCCGGGTTGACTGCTTGGTTTATGGGCTGTGCGCACTGGTGCATTTGCGGATCTAGCAGTAGTGACGAATCGTATTCCGACGCAGACGCGCTGTTCGGGCTGTGGTTTTGGTAGCCGAATTCCAATTTCCCGGGATTGGTGTTGAGCATATAACCGCCATCCAGCTGCTGGTGTCCTAAACCCTGGGATCCGGGATCGAGATGACTGACCAGGCTCGCCTCGAAGGATTGCGACATTGGCATATTGTTGGTGTTAATTGCCGGAGGGAAGGGCTCTGATTGTGGTGCGTAGCCTTGCGCCTGCGGTGCTCCGGAAAGGTAAGACGCAGGATAGCCGTAGGCGTCTTGACCACTGATACCAATATCCGGGCTTGTATTGTCGAAGGAGGGGAATGCTGACATGGAGGGATCCATGTTGAGGCTAGTGGGGTCATGGTACTGCTGAGCGTGGGGTGATGGGCTCACACTACGATGCTTGACATCTGCGGGGGAGGCACCCGAGCCTTGAGAGTGGTCGTGGGACGCCATCGTGGCAACGTCAAGGTGGGACCCTCGCCAACGATGTGTCGGCAATTATACTGGAAATCGGAATAACGGGGAGTGTAGCTGGCGCAAAATGAAATCCGAGCGTGATGTTTGTATCCTAGGGAGGTGGCAAGCGACGGATTGCGGACAGCGCGGGGAGAAAATAGGAGACGAAGATCTGGCATTCGCAAAGAACAAGAAAACAGTCAAAACCGGTGTCAGCAACAAAATCGCATCGCAAGATGCAAGTTTGAGGAACACAGTTAATGGTGACTTCACGTGCAGAAGGCGGTCTGGGGCTCCGTAAAACCGGCATAAGTTGGGCCCTAACTCGAAGAAATAGCAATTATGGACTGATCCACCTGTTCGTATGGCCCGTATAGCCCTCGATCTTTGTCTCACGTACTATGAAGATTACCTACTTCGCTGGACCGAACGCCAATCCCCACAATGCTGAGTCCACCGATAACAGATAGGCAGTCACCTCACCATTTTATCTTCCCTACTCTCCCGTCTAAAAGGCTTCAAGAGGCACATTCTTATCCCTAGCGACCGTTGAAACGCTTCATCTTGATGTCTTCGGTGGAGACTAGAATCCGGCTAAGGTGCCTGGGAACATGTAGCTCTCGTGCACAGCCACGCAGCTGAGTTTCACCCACGGACTCCATTCGGATCTAGTCCGTATACAGGATAGCGCTTCTGGGCGCGGACCACGAGGGGTCCCGAGACTTAGGGCAAGGCAGATTGCTCGCTGTCTGCCTCGCTGACGTGGGTGATTTACCCCGACTTATGCCAAAAATATCGGGGAAACAAAAATGCTTCTGCCTCTGCCATATTTGAACAATTCAATCTAGGATTAGACTTTTCCTAAATCTCGCCTAACGTGTTCACACTCGCGCGAGCCTCGTCATTCTCCCAGCTGAAAAGCAGGTTATCCGAGCAGCTGCTGCCCAATCCTGCGTTGTCAACCCACGCTGGCTCCCAGTAGTAGATACCCAATCCCCCAGTGACGCCCTCAACGACTGCTGCGAGCTTCTCCAGGTATTCCTCCTGGCCGGCCACGGAGAACGGAATGCTTGCAAGATCTGACGGGAACGAATACGCAGGGTCCGGACAAGCATAGGGCCAGTTGGTCTCGACAACCAGCACGTCCTTGCCGTAGGTCGAGTGTAGGTTGGTCAAGCTCGTCTTGAGGGCCGAAAGAGTCGCGCTGGCGCTGTAGAAGGGGTAATATGAGACGCCGATGAGGTCAAAATCAGAAGACACTAATGTGCCGGCGGCGAGGACCTCGTTGTAGAAGTATTCTTGCTCAGACCAGGACCACCCATTATCCAGGTGAATGAGGATCTTGGGAGTGGTGGCCAGATCCGAGTCCTTGATGCCCCAAGCCGCAGAGTGCAGCAGCCGTGCGATGTTGGAGTAGCTGCTTGTCTCACCCAGGGGCCAGAGAAGACCGGCGCGGATCTCGTTACCGATTGAAACCATTTCGACGGTCAAGCCATTATCGTGGAATGTGTTGCACACGTTCATGGTATAGTTGTACACCTGCCAGGCAAGGGTGCCGATGTCGGTGGTAGACCATCCCGAGGGCGTGGTCTGTGAATGTTAGCCAGGTACCTCAATCGTGTCATTGGGTCCGAAACATACCTGGTGACTGGGATCTGCCCAAGTATCACTGAAGTGCAGATCCAGATAAGTGGACATGCCCCTGGCCTGCATCCTCTTTGCTAGCTTAAGGTTGTAATCGAGGTTGTAGTCACCATTGCTAGGGTTCACCCACACACGCTGGCGAACCGAGTTGATACCCGCATCGGCAAGAATGACCTCCAGGGCCTCAGTAGTTCCACTGGTAGTCTTATAAGAGATGCCTGCATCTTCCTCAACGATCAACGAAGAGACATCCGCGCCGCGGTAAGTAAGAGCCGCAGACGCCGAAGCGAGCAGGGAGGAAGCGAACAGAAGTGCCGCGGGAAGCATGATGGGAGAACAAGGTGGAATGACTCTTCAGCGACCACGACCCTTCGGCGAGGGCAGCCCTCTCATTTTAAGTATTGTGACACCAGCCCGCTTCATCTGGATGGACGGGAGAAATTCGCCCATGAATCCGCGGCATGATGATCTCCGTGCCTTTGATGGAGATGTTTCTCCGGGGAGAGTCCGACTTTGGCTTAGTGAGTGCCGTGAAACGCCGGTCTGACGATATGTCGAGGTGGGAATCCTCCGAAGTGTCATGTTTCAGGCAAGCCGTCAGCCGTCACTTGGCTTCGACACGGATAATCGCGAGGACTAAGTGGGATTCTGCACCGGAGGTTTTGACTGATTGAGTTAGATGAGGGCGTGCTGCATGAAGCAAGGCACACGAATTCAAGCTCGGCGCTAGTTGGCTCTCGGCATTTCCTTCCCCCCCGGCAAAGTAGATGCACTTGAGGTAAACAGGAGAATGTCCGGCGGGGCCTCTTCAGAGCTGCCGTCATTTGATCAAAGCACGGTTTCGGATTCGCAAAGTAGAAATAAGCACGAATGTAAAATCAGGTACATACTTCTAGTACATATACTCATTATCTCAATCTTCAGGCTTTCAACATATTCCTGTCATACTGAGTATACTTGACGCTATACCCTGTAGGGACAGGTCGCCGCTTTACAGCTGATGCATTCTAGTATGGGTCCGGGACTTCTAACCTGAGGCCAACTCATATATTCAGAAGCGGTGAGACGTGTCTTCTCTTTCGCTAAGATGTATTGATTCGTTCATCACATCCTTCACAAGGTCCGCGAAGATATCACATCGCTTGTGCTTAGTAGACATACTTCGCTACTATAAGACGGAAGAAATGTTGGCCTTAGATGTCTCGGCATCAGGGAAGGGTATGTATCTCAGAGAAAATCAATGGAGTCAGTCATAAAAATGAGTAATTTCTCTTTTACGCCAAGGGTCAACAGAAGAAACACCCTCTTGTGCCTGTCCCTGGCGGCTTTCTGAATTGCTTGGTATGGGAGCTTGTTCCGGGAAACAACTGGGCGATTCGACTGGAGGGGCCACAGTATTCTGGCTTCTTGATAAAGGGGGAAAGGGACATAGTCCGCTCAGCTTTTCAGGAAATTTTCGTGTAAGTCACTTCACTATTTGCCCTAATATTATGGACAAGGCCGAGGACTGGTTAGAGGCATCTTACGTGTAGCAAAATGACCAGAAGCGGCATCTGGCCAATGCACGCCGCAGCCTATAATTTAATTTGGGATTTGGAGACAGAGAGTCTGCCAGTCAATCTGTGCGTCTCGAAATCGTGAACCACTTGACTGATGTATGTTTTCAAGCTTCATGGTGGGGTTCGAAGAGGACTGGCGTGAAACCAAGCCACTCGACCGGAAGCTAGGCTGATATGCGTGTTTTGACCTTGTCAAGCCCCGCGAGAATGTTGAATGGTCAGATCTTAGCTGCGATGGTAATATGGATGACTGGATTTGGTAGGAAACCTACTCTTTTCCAAAAATGTCAAACTTAGTCACTAGCACAGACTTGCTTAGGTAGCTCTAATATTTTACGGCCGTCACATCGCTTCTGGCCGCGTGGGTCTTTCAAATTGCTTAGATGGGACTCGTTAGTCGTGGAGTCGTCCAACCATTGATGCATTCTCGTCAGTGCTAAGAGGCTTCCAAGACATCCCTCAAGTCCATGCCTATAGCTGCAATTTAGACATCATGCACCTTCACAAGAGGGATAGTCGTGAACGACGATGATTTCAAAGGTTGGCAGTACATGAAAACGAAGAACTGGGCCTCCTACAAGATCCTCACTCATTCAAATAATCTTGCGAGCGTAAATGGAGCGAAGCCATGCATCGATTCCAGGCAATGATTGATGCGCATGCCTATCAAAGCCTCCTCCCAGCAGTGCTCTCGTGAGTCATAGTGTCGTCAAGCACTCGAGTCTCAATTTTGCCAATGTCGCTCTCCCAGTGGAGCAAAAAGAGCTTGATCTCGCATAAAAGTAGATATCCAACACCACGATAAATGTGAAATAAAAGTCAGTCGGTGCAGCTCACCACCTCCAATCACGGATTAACCCGGGGCAACCCAGTGGTCACAAAGGTCGTCTGCACATTCACTGGCTCCTATTCAATGTTCTCGTAACTGCTGTTCAATCTTGGATATTGGGTAAGGCGACTGATATGAGCCTAAGAGCCCAAGTTAGACAGCTGAAGAGCGTGCTCAATCCTACCTTATGAGCGAAGAGCAGCAAGACGTGAGCACAGATATAGAGAAACCAGGGTCCTGATGGTCATGGAGACACCATCCGGGGTGCATTTGTAGGTGCAGTCCTATTGCTGAGACAAGATTGTGAGTCGCTTGTGATGAAATTAAGCAATAGTCGACGTCGATCAGCATTGATATGTCGTGGCCTCACCGAAGCAGAAGTGCCACCAGGGCAATCTACGAGATCAAGTGATATGGAAGCATACGTGTGAAGCTGTATTGAGGAGTAAAATCCGTTATTCATTTCGTAGATCATCAAGCTCTGCCTCCGATCATATATCATGCAATCTCCACACGAGAAAATAGGAAAATAGGACAGCACGCCCCCCAGTGTCAACATTAGATACAGGTAAAGTCGGAAAATAACAAAAAAGACATCTGTGCGCGCGATCTTGAGCGCAATCAGAGAAGAAACAAATTGGAAGGGGGGGGGCGTGAAGATCTTTTTCCAATACCCATGACGAATGCCTAGACTGCAGTTCTGCCTGGCAATTCACGGGGAAATAATATATGTACAAGCCACTTGATGTATGTTGACATGCTCTAGGTCGTGGTTTCCATGATCGAGGGAAGTATGGGATGGTTTCGGGGTACAGCGAACGGGTTGGGGTAGACTGGGAGGGTATGGGCGGAGTGGTAGGGTGAGGGGTTGTGGCGAGATATTTGTGGTGGTGTCCACCGCGAATGGGCTTGGACCGTGAATCAAGTAGATGATCGGAGAGTGGGCTTGGCCTTATTTTCGGTAGGTGCTTTTTTCTTGCCGATCACTAGAATCTCCTCTTCGGATTCATCCTCGTCTTCGTCATCGCAGTAGTACCTGGATTCGTCTTCCTCGGGACGTAGCGAGCTTGAGTGGTGAGCTTTAACGGTCTCGCCAGTTCGTAGGATAGATGGTACACCGGAGTCCTTATCATTGAGGTACAGACCATCGCCGGAAAGCGAGGAGGCACCGGAGACGACGGATGGAATGCTCGGGTGAGAAGCGCTCTGGGACATGCCGCTGGTGAAATCATCGGCCGAGGAGGAAGAGATAGTGGCGGCGGAGAGGGTGGAGTTAATCAACCCGGTGCTGGGACGGTCGGCAGAACACACAGGCTCAGGAGGAGCTAGTGACGGTAGGTGTAGAGAGTCTGATGAGTACATGGCACTTTCATTTGGATTCCTAGGAGCCAAAGCATTTTCGGCGCTGGGCTCAATGTCACTTCTCCGTCGGCGCAGAAGCGCCTCCCTAGTGAGATGAAAGGACTCCGCGGACGATTTGCCCGCAAGCTGGTGAGACCGGTTGCGTCGGTGAGCTGATGTTGACAAAGGCGTGCTGGAGGGCGAGGGAATCGCAGCCTGCCACAGACCGGCCGTTCGCAAATGGCCGATGGCGGAGGCATTACTCACAGCAAGACTAGGCTCAGAGCGACGATCTCCATCAAGGGACACAGTCTCACCGGTTGGCGAGCTGCGTCGGCTGCGACTCGAGCCGAACGCCCCTGAGGCACGCTTCGTGGCGCCGCTGAAGATGCTGCCAAGGCTGGTTGTTCCCAAGGCTTCGATTATTGCGCCGGTGCGGGGACGCACAGTGCTGTGTGAGTCAAAGCTGGAAGGCTTGACAGTCTTGGTAGATTCAGCAGTAGACATTGACGACTTGGCACGACGCGGGCCAGCAGGTCGTTGAACAGTCGGCACAGGGGCCGGAGTAGTATCACGGGCATGAGGTTGGGAATGATTATAAGGCGCATAAGGCTTGAGCTCGTGGAGCGGGAAGTAGGATGTGGCCCAGCTAATTTCCTCCTCTACCGGGCTAGCAGTAACGCTCTGTGCCAGCGGATGCTCGCCTTGGCCTCCAAGTTTGGACGAGCGAGAAATGTCCTCATCCCCGCGTAGGCTGGATCGACGACTGTCTGTACCACCACGAGAAGCCTTCCCAAATGTGCTGGTGCTCGACATCGAAGACAGCGTATCCGAAGAATTCGTCGAGGTGCGCTTGCGAGATTCTTTTCCTTTGAAGAACGACCAGAGAACCACTTGGCGACGTTGGATCGGACGCGCTGAATGAAAGGCACCTTGCTGACAGCGCTGGTGACTTCTTCGTTTGAAACCTCGATCCTCTTGCCCTTGCTCTGGTAGCCAGGGTCTGACTCCTCCACCCAGGCACGACGGTTGGGCAGACCGCGTAATGTCCATGGGTGATGCTTGATCTCTTTTAATGTGATGCGGCGAACCGGATCCTTGGTCAACAACCGCCGCAGAAGGTCGTACAGCTCGTCATCAATATCCTCATACACAAGTTCACCAGGGTCACGGCAAAATGGTTGAATTCCTTCGGTGGACTCATCCTTGACGGGTACAAGGCGCTTGCGCGGGATAAAGACCTCCTTCTTGACAATGGTCTGGAACATGCTGTACTCATCATCGGACACAAAGGGGAGACGGCCAAACACCATTCCGTACAATGTGACACCCAGAGACCACACATCGATAGCACCGGTGATCTTGGGAATAGTGCCAATGGAATCAACGAAGTCGTCACCAGTATAGCAGAGTTCGGGAGCGTAAAAAGCTGGGGTACCAACAGTCTTAGACAACTCACGGGCATCATCTAGCTCAGTCGCATCAGTCGCCTCCAATTGCTCCTCTTCCTCGTCACGCATTGGTCGACCCAAGTACGAAACACCGAAGTCGGAAATCTTGACACGATGGCTACTAGTGACTAGCAGGTTGGCCGGCTTGATGTCACGATGAATGATACCCTGATAGTGGAGATACTCCAATCCAAGGACTGAATCTCGGAATGCGCTACGCGCTTCGTTGATCGTCAAACAAGGCACATACGACATGTCGTCACAATCTGCAGACCACTCTGGCTCGGATGGAGCATAGCCAAAGCTGCTAGAAGCTGTGCTGAACCGCCGCTCAAAGGGGTAGTCGGTGTAGGCACCGTACATACTCCCCTCAATAGCGGCGAGTGACTCCTGAGCAGAGGACTGACTGGGAATAGTATCATCGGTGACCGCAACCGAGCGGATGGATGGTCTCCGCATAGCCAGCCCGAGACCTTCGTCCTCTTCATCTGATGATTCTGCACCGTGCTCCAAACTCCAACCTGGGATAGGCCCTTGTTGTGCATCTGCGGCCTGCGCTTCAAGCCGCTCTCGTGCCCTTTCTCGTTGCCGACGTAGGTGTTGCGCCGTCCGGATGAACTGTTGGCTCTCCTGCAGGAAGGCCGGGGTATCAGGGATCCCAGCCTTCTCGCGCTCAAGCCGTAGCTTGTCAACATGGACGATCTCTCGTAATCCCTTCTTTCGCCAAACGATTTCTCCGTTCTCAACATACTCCAACACTATGTAGACCTTTTGTTGATTCGGATCATCGATGACCTCGAGCAGACTGACGACATTGGGATGCCGTGCCTTCTTAAGAATCGCAACCTCCTTTTTAACCTTGTCCTCCGGATTACCCAATCTGCCGAGTCGGCGACGCTTGGAGTAGCGTTGGACAATCTTAATGGCCACCTTTTGCTTCGTAGTCACGTGCCTTCCCAGCTTCACTTTGCCATGTTCACCCCTCCCAAGCTCCTCGAGAATTTCGTACTGGTTAACGAACTTGTTTCCAGTGATGATATCTCGCTCCACCTCAGCAGTATGTGTTTCCTTCGGCGGCTGCATGTGCGTGGGGTGAAGGTAAGGGCTTCCGAGTGAGCCCTCATCATCAGAAGCATTCGGTGGGGTGACCCGAGGGCTTCTCATGGAAAATAACCCTGGACTTGACAACGGGGTGTTACCGGCCGTACGAGAAGTGCGGGGATGGGTTGTCGGAGCTGGTTCAGAGTGTGATGGATCTGAACTTCGTGGTCGAAGATGCGGTGGTTGCCAGGTCGGGTGTATTTGGGACTGCAGCGAGGCATAGGACTGATCAGGGTAGACAGGGAGCTCAGGGTAGGCAGGAAAATCAGGCTGCGAGTCCGAGTGTCGAGATGCTCTCCGAGGGCTTCGTCCGATGCTGCCATTTTCCGACCGGGCATCAACGACTATATTTTCGTTGAGGGCTTGTAGGGAGCTGGTGGAGGTGCGGGCAGAAGGGATTCTGGAGGAGTAGACGTGGGGAAACGTTTGACGGAGGGTCGCCTGTGCCTCACTGATATCGGGTGTCAAGAGAGCCTTTGCAGACTGCTTGATCGAGGGTTGTCGAGCGAGGTCGGCTTTGTCGGTTTGTACAGAGGTTGGTGGTTGCACCTCGTCAAGGTGATTGACATCCCGCTTGGGATCCCCTGTAACGGGGCCATTCAGAGTCATCGGCTGATCTGCCTCTTCTAGACCAGCAATCGAAGCTCGAGATTCTGTCATTTTCATCCTTCTTCTTGAATTATAGGGGCAGTCTTTGCAGACAAGGGAAAAATTCAGGTGTTCGAGCCGACGGTGCCAAGGGTTCCGATGATCATGTTCCTGCCCGTTCCTGTCCGATCCTGGAATATGTTCACTGAAAGCCGGCGAGGAGCTCGATTGCAACGCACGAATGAGCCAGCATTACTTGCGGTGTCAGGACTCGGAGGATGGAGGGCTCGTGTACCGGACAACGGGCCAGCCAAGGGGGATCGAGGTAGACCTGCTACTGCACGAGGGGACTCCTACTCCCACGTGTGTGGGAGGCACGGAGTCGAAAAAGGAGCGCAGGCTGTTGGGCGATGCTTTAAGTACAGCGTTGGGGTTGGATGCCACGTTCGGCAGGGAGGGAGAGGGGTGATAGCGAAATCGGAGGTCGGATGAACAATGTGCGAAGGAAGGTCCGTTGTAAGGAAGGAAAGGTAAGGAGAGACCAGAGAGGAAGAGAAAAGGAGGATGGAGAGCGAAGATCGGATGCCAAGGGAAAGAGGACAAGAGAGCACGAAATACCAATGACGAGGGGACAAATCCTTAAGGGGAGTTCAGCCAGATTACCAGTAATTTTTGGTAATGATCCATTCGAGGCGTGGGGCTGTCTTCGGCCGACGCTCCGGATGGTCTGTGTACCCATTCTGCTTGCATAGAATTTCTCCCGTTTAGTTTACAAGTTAATACCTGGACCTTTTTGTCTGCCTCGTTATGATCCGGTGGCGGTATCGCCAAAAGTTGCCAACTTTTGTGTACTTGGCCAGTCCATGTAATATTGCAATTACGTCGAGACTGAAAGCACTTACTAGGCCCTGCGAAATGGATCGCGTGCTTAATTCAGGCTAAGTATCTTTGAGGCGCGGGTCCGTGGATCACCTTTCGGTTGACTGGCCCACCCAACTGTAGATGTACAGTATAGCCATCATCTTCAGAATCGCCCAAGAACCGTGGTTGCCACTGACTTTGACATATCTCTAAACCGTCCTCGAGTCTTCATCGTTCGAGTTCAGCGTGGAAACAAACTTCGACCCGACTGTCTGGGAGAATACAACTGTCTGAGCCCTAATGCCCAGTCACTGCCAATGCTCGACCGTTGGGTTTACTTTCAGAGGTATTTGCCTCTCTGATGGGCTGAGCTGCCCACGCTAACGTGGCGCCCAAACCCGGCAAGCAGAGGCTGTCTGCCAGCAATAACAGGGACTCCGTAGTATACGCATGATACTTGCGACGCCGAGGATTCGCACTCCACGGCACAGTAGCCATACAAGTCGGGACTATAATATAACACTCGGTATAAATTCACCGAGAGGCGTTTCTGCACGATGCTGTTTCGGCATCGAAGTATTTGCAATCCTGTCGACGCCCGAGCGTAGTCCGTGCGCGAACAATTTCCCAACGCGGTCGAAATCTGGATTACGTCACCTCAGGGTCTGGGCCCCTAATTAGCCTCCTTTCTCGGCTTTCCTTCTTTTTTTTTTTCGTTTTTCGCCTTCTATACATTCGTCTATGCTTCCAGGAAAGGAAGCTAGCAAAAAAAAGAAAAAAAAGAAAAGTTGTCGGATCCGACGAGGGTTTCGGAATCAGTCTGATGCTGGGGCTATGGACTCGACGTGAAGCGCCGAAGTCGCATTCCCGCCAAGTTCAAGGTTTGGCTTAGCGCACGGGTCCACTGAGATGACCCGCACCATCTTTTTGACGTGGTGGGTGTGTTCCTCTTTGTGGACTTTATCTGGGGAAAATTTGATAGCGGAGGTAGATTTACATTAGTGTAACGGAATCATCGGATCGATCCAGTGTAAGGCATCCCTGGGTCATTACATTTCTGTAAAGTCATAATACAACATGTAATGTTGTTACAGTGTACCGACCTTTGACTCGCGTAGAAGCTCACAATATGATCGATTCAAACGTGACGGGGCTCAGCCTTGGTTGCTCTCTATATCGGGCGCGTCATTCTTGAGGTCTCGAATGTGAAGTTCATTGATGCCGCAACAAACTAGAAACACAAGAAACCTTCGAAGCGGCAAAGACACTAGTAGGTTTACAGCTTGACAGCTTTCGAGCTATGGATGGCGATCAAGCCCGATAAACCTAGGAGGTCAATTATATCCTGTAATTCAGAATCCGCTAATAAGAGCCAGACATGGGCAAAAAGAGAAGAAAGATTCCCCCCAGTCAGTATTCACTGGATTGCTATACAAGGTGAAGCGCCTTACCACCTAGCCACGCGCACCATAGTGTCAGAAAACGAAGTTTTCGCCTGCTAAGCCCACCAAATCTGGTCACATCGATAAGACACAGCCAGGTTTCAACATCGCTGCGTTCCAGACCATGAGTGTACCCACCTATCCCCAGAACTAAACCCAAACCCCGCAATAAACACCCAGGTCGTTTCATCTGATCCCATCACCCTTACCGGTTTAGACCAGCCGTGCAGCAGCCACTAGTGCCCCAAGCCCATCAGGTCCCCGCAACCTTACAATTTCCCATCAACTTACCGTACCGTTACTCTCCAGGTCCAATCCTCATCTCGCCCGTTTTAGCCCCAACTCTAGAGAACAGTCGCCCCCTTTAACCCTGAGCACCCACGCATAGCGATCAGTGCACTCGGGCTTCTACGCACTGAATAGTCCGTGCGAGCGCGAGACAGCCCCGTAGATCTGCATTGGCGTCCTCGCTTATCCTGCCGTGTGACACAAGCGGCGGCCTTGCCTCAATCCAACGCGCTGGGCCGGTGCCACATCATGTCTTCTCACTACTCTGTATTAACGTCCCTTGAGTCTCAGTCCTAATCTACATGGGAACACTGCGCATAGGCACGGTCGGAATCTGGGGAGTCTGTGTCGCACAGCGTTATCGAGAGGGGGGTTTCGGGGGCGCTGCTGGTAGGAGGCATGGATTGATTTAGTCCCGGGCTTGATTTGAATGTCGTGTAATGTTAATGGAGATGGTTCAGGGGATATGGGACTTGACTGAAGAGGGTTATTTCGGGTTTGGTGCTTGATGTGCAGTTCGACTTAAATGGATGTCTGTGGTGAAAAATCAAGATCGGGCTCGCTCTGTCACAAGCTGCAAGTCTCATAGGCCCAAGTGAACTGATATCGCAATCATGCATTTAGAATATAACTTGATATGCCAATTTGGCTTTCACAAGGCGATGAAATTGGGATGCCGTTGGCTTACTCCGTTACCAATGAGTACAAGCTGACAGCCCTGAATTGTCCGAGGGGCGCTAGCAATAGAATTTGTTGCTCGTGATAACCAGTCTTGTGGCAATTTCCTCGTGATTTAGGCGGTCATGATCATTTAAGCGAATGTAAGAGGCTCTATTTGGGAAAGTATGGCGTCGAATATACCATAGGGCTCTCTTCATGTGTAATTATGCTCCGAATGTAAGCGCCTTACAGTAGGATATCGAAGTATATTCGCCGTAAAAAAAAATCGCCACGTGGTCCAAGCTTAACAAGGATTCCATTTTCTATCTTGGTGATGAGGGATAATTTCTCTGTCCGAAATAAGTATCACGTAGGGAACTATAGAACAAGGAATTAGAGGGATGATACTCCAACCCCGCCTATCGGCAGGCGCCCGGGTGGCCGAAACAATGGATCAACCCGGAGAAAGACCTGCTCGCAATCGAAGTAGGAATGCGGCAGTTTCAGATGACCCATGCTGTGATTGGTGGAATTAACCATCAAATGCAAAGCTGCCGCAATATTGACCAGGATGACTAGTGCTCACGATGAGAGCCATTATCTCAAGATTCTACTTGACCAGTGCTGAAGATGGTCTGAGCACCTGCATGACCGAGATAGCCCGAATCAGAAACGAAACAGTTTCGAGTAGGTGCATACCTACCCCGGTCTGGAGAATCAATATCCCCTTCCGCTGTCCCTTAACCTGTTAGCGCCTGGCTTAAGTGATTGGATATTGCTTTTTCCACGGTTCGCTGTTTCCCTTCTTTTGTCTTGCATTCCCCGAACCGGAACAGGGTATTGGTCCAAGATTTTTGAACCCCATGCAAGTACATGAGTGCTTATATGCAAGGACATAGATCTTGGCGTGGTTGGGTATGTTTTCGCAAGATATCGACATCGCCGCTATCGGACTTAGTTTCACCGCCATGCAGCTCCTAGACAGATCGGGTTTGGCCTCAAAACCACCTGCATACCCGGGCTGAGCACCCTTGCGCAAGATGGATAGGTACATTGGCACATCACAGAAGGATGCGACGCTGCGCATGGACTTCAGGTTGCCCTTTCAAAGCCGCCTAGGCGATTGGTTACAGCAATGGCATGATAATCCTATCAGCATTTAGTTCAGGACCAATTCCAACCCATTTCTCGCATATGCGTCTCTTCTATTCATTAGAAATACCGCTGGGAGCCAGTCCGGAGAACCTCGGGCTGGACGTGGCGATGCCTCCGGTCGAAGGTGGTGGTTGGTCAGGTTAACAGGCAGCCAAGTACAGTCTCGTCTGGGAATGCCGTGAACCGGCTACACAGAACTTTGAGCCATTGGACACCTGTTCCCGCGTGCACCTTGGCTGTGTAAACTTACCACTGGAGGTTCCCTGTGTGACACGGTACGGATAGTGCTGGACTCCCATTGTTGGATCAAATGTCAAGTTGGCGTGACAACGTGCTAATTGGGACGCAGGAACCGTGGTTCGCCGCGAGCTGGACCCACTGGGGAACATACTGTGTCATAGACTTTACTTCGAATTCTCGATGATGGTCTGGGGAGTCCCGAAAGTCAAGTCAGTGAGGTAAGTATGGGGAAGCTGAGGCGAAGTTCCCACCTGGCGTAAGGGGGCGAGATCTTCGGGACGGTCTTGCCGTAGCCACCGGTTTCCTGTTGCGGACGTGTTATGGACGTTCTTTTGCTATGCACAATTTTACACTCGCATCATGGGTCTCTTTAGGTACCACTAAACTAAATTACTGGATCAACTTTAAGAGATCATGGAATTGGTTCGGGGGTTCTGGCTCCTAGTCTTTGCTTTATACCGAACGAGTCAGTCCGACAGCCTTCGAGCCAAACTCCAGGAAACCGGATGTCTGTTGCATTGAACTACATATTATCCAAAGCATATTGAGCAATAGAGAAAGCAAATAGAGCTAGGTATATTTACTTGTTGATTTTTATTCCTGTATCAATGCCACTTGCGAGGTCTCCCAGGGACATCCTCCGAGTTCCACTATATGGCGCAACTTTCGATTCATACTCCATCCAATAATTTTGCGTTTGTCTGGATGCACAATCTGCCGCTTGGGGGATGTGCACAACAGATGGCTGCGCTTCACAGAGATCCCACTGACTGGACTATCTCGCTTCTGACATGGAATATCTTCTCCTCAACGATGAATCGTTCAAACCTCATAGCTCGCCCCGTGCCAGGACTCAGGGACTGCAGTCCAGGCATTGCAAAGCGGGATATGAGAAATACTTGGCAACAACTGACCCAAAGCCGACAAAAGGCCAAGGTGGGGAATATGAATCAGGAAAAATTCGGTAAGCCAGGGCCCGAGGAAATTGTTTGATAGAGCTTCGTCAGGCGGGGCTGGCATAGACGCTAATAGTAGGCCGGGCGCTCTCGGTCTCCAGGTAAATGTTGCAGCCTTAACCTCTGGCACTCGTCTGACCTCAACTCGGGTAGGAATTACTCCTGCCTATATATTTTTTCACTGTCTCTTCATTGCAGTAATGGCTCATGTTGTCGGTGGGGTTGCTGTATGCCCAAGGTGGCCCGGGCGATGGGACGAGACACTCCGCTCTGGGTCTTGCAAACGCTTCACTTTTCTACCTCATGGAGCCCTGGGGCGATTTCCACATTAAGCCACATCACGCCTCCCCGTGCGACCCTGGACGATTCATCCAATGGCTTCATTTTGGCCCATCTGAGGGATTGTCGGGGCCGTTCGTATCACGACGGTTGATAGGGCTGAACGTCGTGTTCTCCCAGATCATACGATAGTGGAGATCCGGGAGCATCCTAGCTTCGATGTGCAGATCAAAAGACAAACATCTGGCATGAAGTCATAATTCTCGGAGATTGTTGATACCCCCCCCACCTTGGACCTGGTAATCAGTACGTGGGCACATTTGAGCCCCTCAGCAGATGATGACAAGAGGGTCTCCAGCCCTGTTATATAGTGGGAGCGGAAAATAATATATGAATTGAGACCCACTGCAATCAATTCCACTGCAAAGTATTCGTTGCGAAGTGCACAGATAAACGACACGCGCAATCGAGACGCCTCAGAGCGCCTCTTGGTTGCCCGTTGCCCGCGCAACGCCGTTGATCGCGCGCCGATTGAGCTCTCGGCACTCTATTTGGCTCCCATTGCTTTGTCGAGAGCTGGGAAACTCTCGGCACTAGCTGCAAATTTGAATTTGATTGGGTTTCCCCCCCCCCTTCTTTGGAAGTAAATGGTCGAGGCTCCCTGGCCTATGTTTACCCATAGCTCTGGCCCGTGATGAGTAGCACAAACATCACTTCGGATTTTCTTCTCTTCCAAACCATTGACACTAGACACCGAGATCAAAGCTAGAGTACCCCTAGCGATATTTCGTTTCGAACAGCTCTATTCTCGCATCGCATCATGATCGCCGATCCTGGAATGCATCCCTTCTTTTGACTTTGTCTCAGATAGCGATCCCAGACGCGCGCTATGAATCCCCGCCATCGCCCTAAGCAGAGCCCACTCGGCCTATCCACGTTGCTACTGCTCCTTCAGTCCGCCGCTGCGATTCCATACACGCCAACCTCACTTTTTCTGGCACCTCAATACAATGATACACTTGCGTATCTTCTCCAGCCCAGCTCGACGGGCAAGACCGAATTTCTATCGCTGAACATATCCACCAGTGTCGATGCAAGCAACCCCGCCTTTCATACCCTGCTACCGGAGACACCGTTCCAAAGCTCTGAAGAGGCCTCCACGTTGATTCCCGTCATTGATGACCACGGCGCGATCTCTGTCTACACTGGCAATTGCCACCATGCATCCAACCAGCATACATTGTGGCGCTTCCATTCCGAGAACACCAGCTCAACAGGCAATGGGTCATGGTCGCAACTTTCAGTGAGCCTAGAAGAGGAGACCGCAAGGCCGTACCTTCTGTCTGCCGGGTTTACATTTGCATCAAGCAACAAAACTGAAAGCCCGGTGTACACCTTCGGAGGAATGTGTCCATTCGCGAACGCGACTGATCAAACCTGGGTCTCTGCTGCGAATTACTCCCAATCGATGGTTGTTTTAGACCCTTCCGCCACGGACACCTCCAGATACCTGGCCACTACGACAGGGCATCGCGCACCTCCTGTTCCCGAGGCCGGGATGGCCATTGTCCCTCTCCCGGCTACTTCGTCTCTGGCCTCGACAGAAAAGCAGCAAGACTTCTTGTTCATTGGCGGGCATACTCGACAAGCCTTCCTCAACATGTCCCAGCTTGCGATATTTTCCGTACCCCAAGAAAGCTGGAGCTTCGTGAATGTGAACTCTCAAGCGAGGACCAAGACGGAGCTGGCCCGGAGTCAGACCCTTATAGAGCCACGATCGGGCCATACTGCTGTTCTCTCGGGTGATGGAAAGACAGTGTACGTTATTGGAGGCTGGGTCGGGATACATCCACCCCGGCTGACCCCCAATTTGTCGTCTTGGAGGTCGGAGAGGAATATGGTGGTGTGAGCGACTGGGCTTGGTCAATCCCGTCATCTTCCTCCAACGCTGGCATTGCGGAGGGAACGGGACTCTTTGGTCACTCAGCAGTCATGCTCTCTGGGGATGTACTGATGGTTGCTGGTGGATACATCATTCCAAAGCAAACCTCGAAGAGGTCTACTACCTCTTCTCAGCGCAACTCTCAGGTCTATCTTTTCAACACGACATCGAGTAGCTGGGTGAAATCATACACCAATCCTTTAGCCTTACCCAGCTCCAATCTTATGCACAAGTCTCACGGCAGTGGACTTACAACAGGCCAGAAAACTGGACTGGGGGTTGGCTTGGGTCTTGGACTACCTCTCCTCATTGCAATTGGGATATACGCTTGGAAGCGCGATAAAAAGCGCCGGCTCAAAGGTCAGCGGGACTCGCAGCTCCGAGAATTGGCTTTGGGTGCCGAGCGAGCTCATTTCTGGGGGCGTGATGACCCGTTCCAAGCAAGCAGTATTCGCAGCTCACAAATTAATGAGAAGCAACCATTGGATCCTGCCTATCCGTGGTCTGGAAATCATAGTACCACTACGCGGGGTTCCTGGAGTGAACAGGGTGAGGGTGCCGCTGAGAGGTCAGGGCTGCTGGGGGATACGAGTCCGACCAAGAACAGTCGACCGTTTGCTCAGCAACGGCCTCAGAGACAGTCCGGACTGACAGAATTTCGCCGGAGTGACACTACGAGTGATATCCATCCTATTGACGAGCGTGAGGAGGATGAGGCAATTTTCCGGGAACGCCTTATGGCAACTATACCTCCTGGAGATAAGACTGTAGTCGAAGCTGAGGATCCGTTCGCAGATCTGGAGACTCCATTTGCGACTCCCCGGAGTACGATCTTTGGCGTTGGCCTAGGCCCATTCTACAGTCGCCGGAAAGACTTTGGAGACCCAGGACGAGTCTCTCCGACAAAGAGTGATGACCGAACATCCAGTAACTTGTCAGATGCTTCATCCATTTCATTCTCATCAGATAGCAAGCCCCTGAGCCAGGTAACAAAAGCGCGAGGGGTTGTCATCGACCGACCTTTGAGCTGGGCCAGCAGCGGTGGTCAGTCTTTCGACCAATTAGACCCAGGTCATAGTCGCGAGACAACGCACAGCGACATCGACGGCGTGGCCGCACCGTCCGAAAAGTCCTTCTCAACAGACTCCTACTCAACTGCCCACACCACCTTCTCCCAACACCGTGCAGAGAATGAGTCTCTCCTTTACGATACAGACCTCGTGACTCCCGGCGAATCCTCAACACCTTCAAAGCTCCCACCTTACTCAAAACCTCGACCATCAGAAGGCATCTTCTCAAGCGTCCGCCGCGCCCTGACACTGACCCGCCGCCCTACAAGCAACGAAGCCGAATTCGAAGCCGCCCCTCTGGCATCGGGCATTGATCGTCGCAGCACCGTCATGATACCGGGCGCCTTCCCCAATGCCAGCGGTGTCAGCACGCCCCGGCGAGCCGTCAGCGCCTCTGCTGAACTCTTCCGACGCAAACAAGGTGCAAAAGACTGGATTGCCAAAAAACGAATGTCAGACGGAGTTTTCCAAACCCCAAAATCCACCCGCGACGACCTCTTCCTAAACGCCCCAGGCTGGCTCGGCGACGACGACACCTGCGACGAAACCTGGGACGAAGATCATCGCGTGCAGACAACCTACGCCGCACCCCGGGAGCGCCTACGAGTTGTCAATGCCACAGACATGGACAATGTTTCTGAACGCAGTCTCAGTCGCTCTCTCAGCAATGCGCCTAGTACTCGTCGAGTGAGTAACTAATATCATTGCATTGTACTGTTGAATAACATTCCGCTTTGTCATTATCAACTTTTTTTGTTCCAATCTGGGAAAATTGTACACGACCCCTTTCACGTTCTCATGGTTTATGCCACTCTCGTTTTTGATGGACCTTGTCCCCTGTTCTGTCGCTTTTTGTTTTCGATATCCATGAGGCCTTGATGGGACCGCGAGTAGTCTTTTGATGGGGAGGTGTCTTTGTATTAGTTGTTCAGCGTTGTCTTGAAGTGTCATAAGAAGAGTAGGTGATTTGTCTAGATTGCCTCGTAGTGCATAAATGAACTTGGTATTTTGCATCTTGAATCTGGTATACTAACCTTGATGTATGTTAGACTCGCGTAGCAGCACAAAAGGATAGAAATGAGTCTAGACGTTCAGACACTTCACTCAGATGCTCCTTTAACTAGTGATAGAACTGTATTCAGCTACAGTAATGAGATAGCCTCCTTCCTTCCCCGTGAAATAAAAAATAATTGTGGACAGTGGTCCAATGCTTGGGACAAACTAGAGCGATTTTCTCGCGTGGCTAGTCGGTACAGTATATGGCTGAGTAGTTTCACTAGCCACCGTCGATCTCGGGAGAAGCCAATAATTGGATTTACTGGCGTCATTACTGTTTGTTGGTAGGAAACGTAATCCGCACACGCGATGATAAGTCTAGACTGCTTGCTGAAGAGGGTGCATCTACCACATGAATTTCCTGTACCACTGAAATGCCAGCACTTGTGATATAGAATTAAAACCAACGAGACGGATAAGAAAGACTACCAAGGTGGGTCCATGATAAGGGTCGACGAGGCTAATTTGGGGACAATCTCAAACTTAATTGAGATGTACTTTCATTCTGGAATATTCCTGTAGAATCAAAGATGGAAATTGGAAAATCAACCACTCAACTCAAGAGGAAGGGGAATGTTGATTGAAACAAGTCACAGCATGTGGCTACTCGAACTAGATGATGAATACGAACTTGCCTCTGACCCCATTGATGGCCCTGAGAAATGCTCACAACCTCTATGCAATTTGGCGAACGCACAGGCCTTTAATGGTAAAGAAGGCCGTGTTCGTCGTTCACGATTGGATGATCCCTATAGCTCATGTAAAAGGAACGCTAATGTGACTACACAACCATCTGTATAGACAATGGGTGGCCTGCACATAGATCTACCCACACCATACCATCGCGAGAGCTACTATATCTTGAACGCCCAACAATGTTGTTCTACAAAATACTAGAGCTTATGACCTTGGAAGTCGAAAACTCATGTCTTAATACGTCGGAGCGACCATGAATGCGTGGCTGCTTAAGGTTGCTTTGGTATATTCGACAGCCATTTTTCATAATCATTGCTCATGCATCTCATTCAACAATTTTGTATCCGACATCGAGGATATATGAAACTCGGAAAAGCCCGAAAGTACAAAATATCAGCCATAAAAACAAACAACCAAATGATATCTATAGAATTTTTAAGATCCGTCAAATGCACTATGGACCATGCTTTTTATCCCGCAAGTCAAACCTACAAGGCAGGTGCACCGTGAGGGGCAGTAGCCGGCTTCGTGGGCAGAGTAGTGGGCAGACGGGGGAGCAGGTTCTTCGCACCCTCACGAGCGTACTGAGCCATGAGCGCATCCATAATCACCAACGAGGACATCGCCTCGACAATAGGGACAGCACGGGGCACGACGCAGGGGTCGTGACGACCCTTGGCCTCAAGGACACCCTCCTCGAAGGCGTAGGTGGCGGTGGTCTGCGCCTGACCGATAGTCGCCGGGGGCTTGAAGGCGACGCGGAAGTAGATGGAGGCACCGTTGGAGATACCACCCTGGATACCGCCGGAGTTGTTAGTCTTGGTGGTGAGACGCTGAACACCATCGGCGGAGGGGGAGGCGATGAAGGGGTCGTTGTGGATAGAGCCGGGAACCTCACAGCCACCGAAACCGGAGCCGATCTCGAAACCCTTCGTGGCAGGGATGCTCATCATGGCGTGGCCGAGCTTGGCTTCAAGCTTATCGAAACAGGGCTCACCCAGGCCAATGGGCACATTGCGGATCACGCAGGTCACGGTCCCGCCGATGCTGTCGTGGTTGTCGCGGAACTTCTCGATGACCTTAGTCATGCGTGCGGCGCCATCCTCGTCGGGGCAGCGAATGGGTGCGAACTTGTCGACAGTCTCGCGGTCAATTTTTTCAAGAAGCTGCAGGTACTCTGGGTTGGTGGAGGCGGTAGGGTGCTCGGGCGTTGGGGGGTAAAGGTACTCGTTGCCGACGGAGGAGACAAAGGCCACGATCTCAACGCCGTGCGACAGCTTGAGGTATTTCTCGGCGATGGCGCCGGCGGCGACACGACCTGGTAGGGTATTGTTAGACTGTAACTAGGTCTATTCTGGGTAATGTGCATACATACCGATGGTTTCACGGGCACTGCTACGGCCACCACCGCTGCTGGCCTTGACGCCGTACTTCTCGAGGTAGGTGAAATCCGCATGGCTGGGACGGGGGTACAGATCCATTGTGCTGCCGCCGTAGTCCTTGGGCCGCTGGTCTTGGTTGCGGACCACCATTCCAATTGGAGTACCCAATGTAATACCGAACTCTGTGCCTGACTGGATCTCAACGCGATCCTTCTCATCGCGCGGGGTTGTCAAGGCGCTCTGGCCGGGACGGCGGCGGGTCATCTGGGGCTGGATGTCGTCCTCGGTGAGCTGCATGCCGGGAGGGACGCCATCGACGATACAGCCGACCGAGCGGCAGTGAGACTCGCCATAGCTGGAGGAGATCAGACGGTGGTATATGTGTTTGCTGTGGAGGGGCAACTTACGTGGTGACCCGGAAATGTTCACCCCACGTCGACATGATGAATGGTATGCAGTCTTGAAGTCGGGGAAAGTAGGAAACGAAGAGAAAGAAGAAGACTCTGGAGTCAATTGAAGGTAAGAATACTGACTGTCACACCAAGGCCAAGATGACGATTCAGAAAAAGAGCGGAAAATCGACTCATCGATTGTTTCCTATCTGGGCTTAGTGCATCCGACTATCGGCCGGATTTTGGCAATTAATTTATCGATAGTTGATTGATTGACTTCCCTTTGCTCCTTACTCCCAATGCTTGCCAGACGATGCTGGTCCTCGCCATGGCGCGGTAACACCTGTGGTATCAAGGGCTGGGCCCGTCACATATCGTCCTCGCCTTTCGCCGAGCTCGCCCGTCGCGATGCTTCCCGACACCAGATCTATCAGTCGCTTTCGACCGACCCTTACGTGAACCTTTCGATTGAACACTTTTTGCTGGAGAACGTCCCCATCGACTCGTGCGTCCTATTCTTATACATCAACCAGCCATGTGTGGTCATCGGTCGAAACCAAAATCCGTGGCTGGAGACCGATCTCCGCGCGCTCTACAATGATCGTCGGCCGAGCAAACAAGACGACGAAGCTTTGTACGTTCGACGACGATCTGGAGGTGGAGCTGTTTTCCACGACGAAGGAAATCTCAACTACAGTGTAATTTCACCGCGCGCACCTTTCACCCGAAACAAGCACGCGGAGATGGTGGTTCGCGCACTGCACCGCGTCGGTGCTGTCAACACGAGCGTCAATGAGCGCCACGACATCGTCATGACGCCGGAGGCGACAAATACCGATATCAATGAACCCCCCGGCTCGGAAGGTCTCCGGATCGGCATTTAAGCTCACCCGCCACCGGGCCTTGCATCATGGGACCTGCCTGCTGGACTCGCCTAATATCCATGATCTTGGTCGATTCCTGCGGTCACCAGCCCGTAACTATATCCAAGCCAAGGGCGTGGAAAGTGTGCGATCACCCGTGGGCAATGTGTCGAGCGCGTTGGCCGAGTCGTTCTTCTCGATGCAGGGCGTGATAGATAGCGTGGTTGAAGAGTTTGCGCAGCTATATGGTGTTGATCCTGACGCGGTGCTTCGAGCACGCCGGGCTCTTGCAAACGAGCCTGAGATTTTTTCGGGAGATACCTGGGTTGCGGGTACTGTGGGAGAAACACAGGAACAGGAGCCGGATATTGCTAAAGGAATCGCTGAGTTGCGTTCATTGGAGTGGAAGTACACTCAAACACCGCAATTTACTTTCTCGACACATCCTACCAAGGATGATCCTCGTGAACGACCGCCATTGCCATCTTCTCTTCCTTCCTCGGTGAGTTTTTCCAAGGTCGCAGATAGTGTATAGCCAGGAGAAACTAACATCGAGTCTAGACCCGTGCATTCCTCCGCCTGAAACATGGTGCTATTATCGAAAGCACAATCTCGGTCTCACCGGATGTCACTACGGCTTCAAACCAAGCTATTAGAGTGCACGAAGTCCTGAACGGACAAAAATTGCATGAAATCTCTACCCAACGCTGGTCTGAGATTTTGCAACAAGGTCTCAGCGGAACAGATGGTGCACATGACACTGCTGTCACCGAGCTTTCTCAGTATCTTGGCGGCTTACTAGCCGGCCATTGATGCTACAAGACTAGCAGCGCCCTGTATAATAGAATAATATAAACCATGCGTTTCTCAAACTCGCGTCACCAGGGTACTTGCTCCCTCTACTGTTCAAGGAGGAACTGCCACATCGGATGCCCAGCCTTGATATTATTTCCTGGAACCTACTTTTCTTGGCCACTGGATACGACCTGAAGCTCATTTATTGGTGGAAGGTGAATTTCCCACATATCAACGTCTTTTTTATCCTTGGATCCCTTTAGATCTGGCTGGACGCTGATGAGATTGGAGAATCAGTAGCTTCAACCTCACAACCTACGCAATCTGCTTTGTCCCGAGTTTACTCGGCGGACTAACCCTAAAATTGTTCTCGCCGCTAGTGACTTAATCTGAAAGACTGGCTAAATGCAAGGCAAATTATTGAAACCCCTTACTGTGAGGGGTGGACCGCTCTGTGCAAGCTATTGGCATACTTGCAGGGCATGCGTGTCTTGTTTTTCAGACAAGGGACGCTTCCTTTGATCGTGACAGCTTCCATATATGCATCTCAAAACAATCCAAATGAAATGCATTCATTGTCGAAGTACACAAACTTGGATAAGGTGGTCGAGATACCAAGCACCGGTATAGCGAGAAAGTCACCCAACGCCACACGGCCTTCGAAATTACTTCTTCCATATCCCAACTCACATGCCTTCTTATACGATCCCGATCCTAGACGCCCCCTCTCCGCTCCCTACTGCCGTAACATCACCGCCCACCTCACCCGCCAAGAACAAGCCCTAAAGCCCCAGCTCCCTTTCCCCGCAAAGAACCCCCCCCAGATCAGCAAAGATCATCTCTACCCCCGGCTAATCTACCTCACTTCCCCCCCAAAGAAAGTCACTACGACTAAGTCCCAGAATAGCTCCATCCTATGTCGTATCTGGGGGATCAGCCCGTGCTTCCCTGAACTTCATCCCAATGACCCCCACAACCCCGCCTGAAGCTGGGGCTATAGGCTCTGGGCATGTGCGGCACTCGAGCTGGGGAGCAGGGTTCGGATTCGTGGATGTTTCTGTTTGAGAGTCCTCGTCTAGCTTGGGACTTCTGTCGCGATTGTCATAGGCTACGGGGAGCTGGGCACGATGATGGGCTTGGGTGACACGGATTCGTAAATTAGGTTGGAGCGTGCTTTCTCAGTTGCCGGCGCTATGCTGAGGTGTTATTGCCGACAATGGATTATAATAATCGTGTTCTGGCCGGTGTGACCATTGTTTGCTTGTATCTCTTTACCAATATCCCTGGAATCCATTTGTATACCACTCACGATGTCGTGGTTTTTGCAAAAGATCGTTCATAATGAGGCGATGAGAACGGACCCCAAGGAGATCTATGGATGGAGAGTCTATGCGCTTGCCTGTTCGGTGGGTGTGTCCTTTCTGGAAGAGGAGGTGGTTTCCTGATGAATTCGCAGGCGTGTTGTGGCGGAATGCTTTTTGGCATGGACTCGGGCATCATTGGCGGAGTTCTCACGATGCCTCCATTTGAACAGTGAGTCGTTCTCCTGCTATCGGTCCGATTGAGTAGGACTCAATCTACCTGTTACCCAGAACCTACGGCCTCGAAGGCCTCGACAGCGTCGCCAAAGCCAACCTCTCCGCCAACATTGTCTCCACTCTCCAAGCAGGGTGCTTCTTCGGAGCTCTGATTGCTTCCCCAGCAGCCGAAAAGATGGGGCCGAAGGCTTGCCCTCATCGGGGCGGCTGTGGTTGGCATTGTGGGAGTCATCATGCAAGCCTCAGCTAGTGGCCACCTCCCAGCGATGTACGTCGGACGGTACGTAACAACAACCCCTAACCTTCCACCATGCTGTAACATACCCTAATCAGACCATAGTCTCATAACTGGCTTCGGAGTCGGCGCTGCCTCGATGATCAACCCCCTCTACGTCTCTGAGAATGCACCACGCGCCATTCGCGGCGGGCTCACGGGTCTTTATCAGCTCTTCATCACAATGGGGATCATGCTCGCTTTCTGGATCAACTACGGCTCTCTCCTTCACCTTTCCGGCTCGACAATGTACCTCGTCCCACTAGCTATGCAAGGTCTTCCCGCCGTGCTCTTGCTCGTGGGTATGCTCCTCTGCAACGAGTCACCTCGTTGGCTCGCCAAGCAGGATAGATGGGAAGAAGCTCGCGCTACTTTGAGCAAAGTCCGCGCGCTACCTGCCGATCATCCATACGTCGAAAACGAGTTCCAGGCTATCGCAATGCAGCTGGAGCAGGAACGAGCCCTGATTGGTGGCTCTGGATTCTGGGATCTCATGAAAGAGATGTGGTTGATTCCAGGGAACAGGAAGAGGGCGATGATTTCTATCTTCTTGATGATTTGTCAACAGATGACAGGGACAAATGCTATTAACTACTACAGTCCTCAGATTTGTAAGTTAATCCCTGTTCCACTTGACTGAAGGGGGAAAGCTAACCCTTTTCTTTTTTTTAGTTAAGAACGTGAGTTTCAACCAGCCCGGCTTCACGGCCCTGGAGAGCGTCGTGGAAAGAAACTAATATCCTCCAGCTTGGCGTTACCGGAAATGCGACGAACCTTTTCGCGACAGGTGTCTACGGGATTGTCAAAATGATCAGCTGCGGCGTCTTTTTGGTCTTCGTCGCTGACTCTCTCGGTCGTCGCCGATCCCTCCTCTGGACATCCGTCGCCCAAGGGTTAGCAATGTTGTACATCGGACTATACGTGCGCATCGCACCACCCGTGAAAGGTGCCCCTGTCATACCCGCCGGGTACGTCGCTCTTGTATGCATCTTCCTCTTTGCGGCGTTCTTCCAGTTCGGCTGGGGTCCAGTCTGCTGGATCTATGTCTCCGAGATTCCAACAGCAAGGCTGCGGTCATTGAACGTTGCATTTGGAGCCGCGACGCAGTGGTTGTTTAACTTTGTGGTTGCGAGGGCTGTGCCGAACATGCTGGCTACTGTTGGTTCGAATGGTTATGGGTGAGTCTCTGGTCGAGGATGGGGGTTCTTGCCTTGGAGGGGATGTTACTGACGAGTTGGTTACAGGACGTATATTATCTTCTCGTGCTTCTGTTTCTCGATGGGGGTCTTTGTATGGTTCTTCATTCCTGAGACTAAGGGCATGTCGCTTGAGAAGATGGATGATCTCTTTGGTGTGACGGAGTTGGTGCAGCAGAAGGCTGAGGACCCGGAGCGTACGCAGGCTGCGGAAGATACAAACAAGGCTGCTGAATCTCATGTGGAGCATGTTGCTCCACGGAGCAGATTGAACTGATTTACTCACTACCTCATGATAAGAATGACATGGAGCTTGTTAATGTTCGGGTGAATGATTGCATCCCAGCCTCTCTCCAAGATGATGGCCCCAGAATCGCGCGCACGATAATGCGGTCCAACTCGTAGTCACCAAGCAAACTCGTTCAAGAAAATTCCACAATAAAATAATCTTCTGCAGTCAAGCTCGGTCCGATCTCTACAGCTACATCTCTGATCGCCTTGGCTTCATCAACCCCATCCTCTGAACCCCGATTCCCGCACAGCCTCGCGACGAACCGGAGCCCAGGACAGCTTGCCTATTACTCCAGTGCGGTAACATGGAATTACTCATTTATGAGCGATCTGTACTGGGGCTCGCGCATGAGCTATCTATTCTAGTAGGCTCGTCTTAGCTTCGCCGCCACCGACTGAGTCGGCGAGGGTTACTAGACCCCGACACCACGTTGAGGTGCGAGCCCTTTCGTCGGGGTAAATCGCGAAAGAATAAATGGCGGAAGATCAGCAAATACATGACAAGAGATGGCAAGTAGATGGGAAGCAGATGGCAGGTAGATGGCAATAAATGGCAGGGAAGGTACCCTACAAGGAGTTTACCCGACAGCTGAGGGTTACCCTACAAGGAGGCTACTTAGGGAGAGAAGAAGAAGAAGAAGAAGAAGAGAAAACCACTCGAGAGACACGATTTAAATACCCCAGGCCGATCCCCGATTGGGTAAAATAGCAAGCAGCTGGTCCAGCATGATATCGAAAACGACGACAAGATGACGATTCAGATCCCTTGTCAGCATCCCAGTAACTCATAGTACACAGAAGGACTAGTCGATATGGTGGTTCCAAGGGGCTTCGTCGATTATGTCAGGGATTGTTCTGACTATGCAGTGTACCAGTCGTCGAATCACTCGATTTACCTGTCAGGTAAAGAAAGATGCAAAAGCTCATCACGAGATGAATAGTATTTAACACTGTCCATAAACCTCTGAAGCGTATATACGCAGTTCTTTTCTGAATACGGCGTCGTCGAGCGCAAAAGAGAAAAAGGACGAGTGTTCCGCTCCATGTCCAATCTGATTCAACCCAGCTGCACTTTTCCATCGCCGACTTTCCCTGAATGGGATCTTAGATATATTTGAAACCACGGAAATTCCGAAAGATTCGATACGCCCCGTTAAGCGTGGCCGCCATTCCGCCGCCGGCGGTAGCCCAAGCGGCTCCCTGGACGCGCAAGGAATTCGCCGGGATGGGCCTTTGTTTCTTTGGATTCTCTGCATAGCTCATGAGTAGCTTGTCGACATGGTAACTTCCGTGTCATACCTGGAGCCCGGGATCGGTGTGGCAGCGTGCCGACCTGCTGGTCGAGCATGTTTTGGAAGTTATTGAATGAAGACATATTTTCGGTTCGTTGGACTGGGACGATGCACGTCAGCTCTCGTCTTTTTATTTTTTAATGATGTTTCGTTCACACGTTCATCCGTGGTTGCCGAACGGGGATCAGCTGATGGGACATTGACGGATTGATCGGTAGTACCACGGTTTGAGGGAATGGTTCTCCGCTATGATTTGTCTCGGTGCTGGAACCCTCTGGTCGAGGTGTTGTGGTGATGAGAAAGGCTAGAGAGCACCGAGGCGTGCTCAGTTGTACTGCTAGCTGGTCTCGGTCGCGATGGTTCTTTACTGTTTTGATGACAAGAGCCCCGACTGGAGAGACTGGGCCTCTCAAGGTAATGGTTGGCTTCGGAACAGATAAGATCAAAAAGGGTGACCTTCTCCAGGAAAAAAGATGGGGATACAGGAAGCAGTCACTTAAAAGTGTATCGACATTGCGCGTTCGTCATTTCATGTCCGTCGTTAAACCCTTCAAGCCTATGTACAACACTTAGGCACAAGCATCACAATGCAGCCCACAAAAGAGAAAAAGAAAAGAAAAGGAAAGGAAACCACCTCCGCTATGAATGAGTTGTGTGGTGGATCAAGTCCCTGGAAACAAAAGATGAAAAGACAACTGGACCGGACTCCGACTAATTCTAGCCAGCTAGAATGCATGGGGAAACAACCAAAACACGAGTAGAAAGAGATATGGCTGCAGACTGTCGCAAAAATAGAAATCGGAGACAAAACAAATCAGATGAGATGCAAACGGTCATCTAATAGGACGGCTGGGGCGTCGAAGGCTCCCTATGCCTTGTTGTGTTTGGCTTCGCGTCATGCGGCGAGGAGTAGGGCGATCCTCTAGACTCAAGCCGCCAATACCGGAGCCAAGTTCATTCTTTCGTGGTGAAAAAGCAGAGTTGAAGCCTGTGTTGGGGTGGCGCCCGTATCTGATATTGAGACCGGTAGCATCGGTCCTGTTGGTCGCCGTAGTCGCGATTGTCTCAGTGTCCGAGTCCTGTTCGTAATCTGACGGTGGCTCGCTGGCTTTGAGGTCGCTCATAGTGAAGCTGTGGGGGTTCTTGACAGGCAAGGTATTAAGAGATCGTGACGTTGAAAGCCCGTAATTCGATACCTCCGGCAGCGCCGAGGAGAGGGTGGAGGCTCCATCCGAGGATCCAAAGGAGAGAGCAGGCGCGCTGCGTTGGGAGAACGACGGCAGAGGCGCGGGGTGCTGCAACTCAAAGGATGGTGCAACAGGAGATCGATTGGGTGGGGACTCCACAGAAGGCCAGGCGATAGCACCGGTTGTGGGCGACTGCGACTGGCGATGGGGTGACCCGGGCTGAGGAAAGAAAGGACTTGTCGGTGGTTGGGCGTCTGGCATATTCGCAACTGGCAATGCACGATAGAAAGCCAAAAGACCCAAAAACTCCTGGACAGTCATAAACACCAGGAGCATCTTCCCATATCGATCGAAGTAGGCGCGCTCGAAATCAGCCTTGGGCAGATGGCTACCCAGGTGGACAGCGGCGACAAGTTCCGTGAGGTACACCAAGATTTCCATACCGTTCCAATGCACCATGGGTCGCTTGACGGCTTCCAAAAATGCAAAGCCCGCTATCAGACTGGCGCTGCCTAGAGCACTGGCCTCGATATAATTCCCTTGGATCAAGAGCTCGTGATTCTGAGAAAAGGTCCATGCAGCCATGGAGGCCAGCAACAACCCCAATCGAAGGTACTGATACACGAGCTGGCTTTGGATGGGACGGGAAGAAGGATCTTGGCTGCGCTCTGAGCGGCCCCTGTCTCTCTTCGGTACATCCTTGCTAATGTCGAACGTCTCTTCAAAAAGGGTTTCCAACCCAGTCATTTGGTTGTAATCAGCCTGTGGAAAGAATTTTGGGGCTTGGAAGATGGGCTCTGGTTTTGCACGGTGCTGTTGCAGCATGTCTGGCGCCTGGACCGGGCTTCGATGGAATGGGTTGGGCTGAACAACTTGCTCAATAGGCTTATTTGATTGGCGAGTGCGGAGGTTCCAGGCCGGGGGCTTTGGAGCAGCGGGCAAACTTCCATAGAATGGTAAGGGGCCATCGAAAACACTTGGAGGTGGCTGATTTCTATGGGCCACACTCACACTTGGCCGGAGATTTTGCGGAGCAGAGGGGGTCCAATCCATATCGTCGGCCACGGCTGGAGGAGTAGGAGGAATAACAGGTGTTTCATCCGCTGGGGGCGGAGCTGTAGCTAGCTTTTCAATAGGGAAGGATGGGACAAATGGTTTGCCGGTTCCATTTGGCGAATTGATCTGTGGTTGCCCATGATCAGCTGGCGCTGGAGAGGAACCTGGGCTCCGAACCCTCGTCTCCCACGAGTGATCTGCCCAATTCACCAACGGTCTAGCGTCGTACCTAACGACTTGACGAGAAACCACAACAGACTAGGAAATTAGCTCGCGACCGAAGGTTGAAGGGGGGGCAATAGCTCACGATAATAGTAAACATGAACATGAACATATGCAGAGCAGGGGGTAAGTCGGCTTTGAGGCCACTCGCGGATGGGTCCTTGAGCAGTGCCCAGAACACGCATCGCGCAACCAACACAACGAGTTGGCCCTTGTAGTACTCTGAGAGACCGATGAATCTGCCGCCTTTTCCATTTACCTTCATGCGTAGCTTGGGATTCCACCATATTGATATACAGCCTGCAACGAGCGAGAGACCAGCCAACGAAGCCAAGTCACGGGGGCACTCGCCAGGGATGCGCCTAAATTCCCATGCAGATCTGCCACAAGATAGTAAGGATGGCGTGATCTCCAGGGAAGTATCCTGATAGATGGAGTTGGGACTAGTCAAAGCACTCATTCCGTCCCATGCAAGTTGTCCGCCCACACTACCCCAGTACCCAAGGGCACCCGCGTAGACCGGAAGACTACGCCAACCCCAATTCCTCTCCCGCTTTGCGGCTTTACTCGCTCTGCTTCGGTCCATCATCCGTCGGAGGTGATCTGCTTTCGCTTCGTATCCAGCCTGGCGCATGCGCTGCACCACGCGAGGCTCGCAAGCATCACACACCTGCGGGTACTGGTCTTCCATGGTCTTGCGGAACGCCTCAATGCGTTGCTCTTCGTCGGGATGATTTGGATCATCGGACGCCTCGGAGTAATTTGCCAGGGATGTCGTAAGCAGGTGCTGGTTGCGAAGACACTGGGCGCAAAAGAGGTCGGAGCCTCTAGCTATTGAATCGGCTGGGTCGGGACGCGGACTCCAGGCACCTGCCGGGTTTGTATCAGCGGCCGGAGGATCTGTGATTTCTCCATTCTGTACAGGTTTCGCATATTAGTGTCTTTGAAGGGGCTTTGATTCGCTTTCCGAGGACACACCTGGTCGAGGTAGGTATCGGCGTCGCAATGACTGCAATGAAATTTGCCAACCGATCCACGGACGGGTTGAGGAGAGCGATGCCCACAGCCGTGGCAGGTCAAACGCTTAGGAAAGAGCGCCATGGCATAGTAGCAAGCTGGCGTTGTCTCAAGTATGAAGGGAGAAACGATACAAGACAAGAAAATAAACCCGGGGTTGCACAGACCACTGCGGGCACGTGTCGTCGACGCGACAGCTTCAATCTCGTCAATGAAAGCAGCACTCTCGTTGCTCGGTGAATACAGCCGCCATTCGTACCTGCTGTTATCTGTTTCTCTGGCATTCCACTCTTCCTCCATCATGAACTTGTCATAGTACCTCGAACCTCGAGCTCACAACACCTCGGCGCATACCCAGTGACATCATGGCTTCTACACTCTGGCTTCTTTGGAGGCTCTTCTGGCAGCTTCTCGGCCCAATTGCGACTTTTGTTTTTCTTGTTTTTCTTGTGTGTGGTGTCCTCAAAATGATCATAACAAAGTTACACATACTGAGCTGACTTTTGACTATCCAGGTTATCGTCGCCTCGCTAGCATATTCCCATCATGCCACGATACCCCGAGTCCGCCGGAAAAATGAACCCATTCACCTGCTCCTAGTGCTCGGAAGTGGTGGCCATACAGCAGAGATGCTCAGTATGATGAGAAACATTCCCCTTGATCCCTCCCACTATACCTACAGGACGTACGTCGTGAGCTCGGGCGATGACTTCAGCGCCAAGAAAGCCAGAGAATTCGAGTCCGATTTCCTTAGGAAGGGCGAGTCTGATTACGATATTGTCACAATCCCACGAGCACGACGTGTCCATCAGTCATACTGGACCACACCTCTCTCGACAATTCAGTGCCTTTGGGCGTGCTTCGATGTTCTTCTGGGACGATATCCGGGTCAGAAAAGACTGCCCAGGAATTATCTCTCACCTCAGCCCGACCTCATCATTACAAATGGCCCGGCCGTAGGTTTCTGCGTTGTTCTCGTTGCGAAAATGATTCGATTCTATGAATCCGTCTCCCGTTGGATGTGCGGTAGCAGCTCTACACAGGCCGTATCAAGACTGCGAACCATCTTTGTAGAATCATGGGCCCGCATCAATGGTCTTAGCACTACTGGAGTCTTACTTCTTCCTTTGGCTGACGTCTTTCTCGTTCAATGGCGGAGTCTAGCAGGGCGGCGGGCATGGCCGGGGATGAAGCAGACACAGTATGCGGGTGCGGCTGTGTTGCCAAACCCCGAGGGCAAAAGTAAGCTCGAAGGCGTACAGTATTAGACTCTGCTATTTCGTTCTATTGAAGAGATCTGAATTGAAATGATCTGTCTGTAAGACCCTCGCAAAAGCTGAGGCTTAATCCCGCACTAGTTTCTCCTCCACATACCGATGTGGGGATTGTAGATTCGTTCTGGGGCGATACTGTGCATTGTCTACCGAAGAGAGCCGATTTCGGAGTAGATTTAGCTTATCCTCTTCAACCGACCCATGACTGAGCGGGTCTTGATTCTTAAGATCGGAATATATCCGTTGTACTGCGTCCGATCTACTCCATTGTGTCGCGCAAACAGCCCCGCATTCCCCTCATCGAGTAGCTCCAGGATATCTTACGCATGACAGATTTCCATCCGACTCATTCACTGCGTACTCCTGAAAGTCACGGATAAATTTGGAAGTGGTCTCGCCAATCCAACAACAATGCCTTATTCTCTGAAAGGTCGCAATGTCCTAATCACCGGTGGCTCTCGGTAAGACCATTTGCTCTGCGGAGAACAAATACTTTCAAGCAGCCATTGCTGACACAATAATCAGAGGCTTAGGAGCTCTTGTAGCTAACAAATTCGCCGCTGAGGGAAGTAACGTCGCCATCAACTATGTGTCAAACAAGGAGACAGCCGATCAAGTTGCCTCCGAAATCGCAAGTAACTATGGAGTCAAGACCATCGTTGTGCAGGGTGTAAGTCGACCAACCCGGCTACACTCTCGAATAATGATTTACTGATTACATTGTTTTGATATCTTGTAGGACGCGGGAAGTCAGGCCGAATGCACTGATGTTGTCAAAGCAACTATTGAACAATTGGGTGGCTTGGATGTCGTGATCTCGAACGCGGTGGGTTAAACCATGATATATCCGCAAATGGCTTGATTTTATCTGACTCAGTCACACAGGGATGGACTAAGATGGTCAACTTTGCCGACTTGGACGCAATGGATGACGCAGACTGGGACAAGGTATTTGCCTATATGCCCACTTTGAGCCAGCTATACTGACCCCTATGCAGTGCTGGAATATCAATGTCAAGAGCAGCTTCTATCTTTTCAAAGCCGCTTTGCCCACTTTCAATGCTAATCCTGAGGGGGGTGCCTTCATCATCACTTCGTCAACTGCTGTGGGTGACTATTTGATATGGACCAGTATTGTTGGGAGCTAATTCCACAACAAAACAGGGTGTCACCCCGAGCGGTAGCAGCTTGCCATATGCCGTCACCAAGGGAGCTGGTAAGCTTCTCTGATATTAATTACATTGAACGATTTGCTAATAGTCACCCACAGTGATCCACCTCATGAAATGTCTTGCACATACTCAGGGCCCTAAGGTCCGAGTTAATGCCGTCCTTCCGGGTCTGCTATTGACTGAATGGGTATTCGACTTCTTATTCGCTTCTACAGAGGATGTTGCTAATAATATACTAGGGCCAGCGATTCACTTCCGATCAGATCGATGGATGGAAGGGCAGGACAGCTCTCAAGCGGCTAGTTAGTCACCGGAACCCACTCTACTGAATTACACTAATGACTTCGTGATAGCCTGAAGTCGAAGACACCGCAGATCTCTACATTTCCACCGCGAAGAACTCTTCTATGACGGGACAGGCTGTTCAGATCGGTATGCATCGTTTGTTCGCTTAGGTGACAGAGCTAATTTTCCAGATGCTGGGTTCGCTTTCAAATAGGGTTCGAGTGACCTTGCAGAATGAGGCGTGACATTTGCTACAACGAGATAGAGACGCCAAACACCGTCATTGAACTTGAAATGAAGGGTAGTAATTTGATAGACAACAATATCGTACAAACTTCACTTTTTCAAACCAGAGGATTGCGGAAAGTTGTAAACTCAACACCTTCCGACTGGAATGACCGATCACCAAACATGCGAGCCTTAATCGCAGCACGAAGCCCATCAGCCACTGCTTCACCCTCTACTTTCATCTTATTGATGCGCAGAACCTTGCCGTCCCGAGTGAACACATGAAGTGCTCTTCCCTTCTTGGGCTCAACGGGACAGGGAGCATTCACGAATGGTAGACCGGGGACCACAGCCAAAGTGTCACATCCTTTCGGTGGGTCCACTTCTTCGGTCTCAGTCAGGATTACTCGCTTTTGCTGAAATGTAAGAGGACCATCTGAAGCGTTCGATCCGACAAGTGCCTTGCTCCATAATGGACCCAAGACTCGCTTGCGCCAGTTGATTTCGAGCATTGTCCAGTTTGCCCAGTCGATGTGCAGATTTTCTGGTCTAATTTTGGTTGCGTGAGTTAGGTTCTCGGGTTTCTCTTGAGCTCTCCAGCCTACGTCCTTCAAAGGGGGGACAAAGAGGCCATCTTTAATACCGTCCACCAGCAGCTGGGCGCCTATTGGTGCAACGACGTTCAGAAGCTCAGAGACAGTGCAGATGTCGGAATTGGGGATGTCAATGCCGGGCGGCGGGGTCTGGGCGAGAATTGTTCCATGATCAAAAGTCTTGTGGTGTAGTGTCTGGAGAGTAACACCAGTTGACTTTTCTCCTGCTAAGAGCGTATGGTGCAAAGGAGCCGGACCGCGGAAACTATAGTGTGGTTAGTGGACATTTTCATTCTCATACTTCGATGATCACTCACTCCGGCAGTAATGAAGGATGCACGTTCAGGCCTCCGTAGCTCGCAGAGTTCAATATACGTGGAGGTACAAACAGTCCGAAGGATACCGCGATGATCAGATTGATCGGACCTTTCGGAGTAACTGGAGGCTAGTATAATGAGTACAGATGAGAAAATAAGTCCTTTGGTAAGTTTCATCGTACATTCCATCCAGTAAATGTGTCAATCTCATGAATTGGAAGTGAGAGGTTCTCGGCAGTCTCCCTAATGGGCACTGTATAAAACCATTCATCAGAATGAGAAGTAATTAAAGGTACACAATTAACCTGTGTATGCGACTTACCTTGGCGTATTTTCTTCAAGCCCCTTCCCACTCGCTTCCCTGGTCGGCAAACCACGTCAATAGTAGCAATTTGATCCGGTTGTTTCAACTGATAGGCATGGAGAGCTTTCAAGGAGGCAATACTAAACTCGTCCGAACCGCAGAATAAGATCCTGAGAGGTTCAAACTTTTTGGTTGAGAAAAAGTCTCGATGCAGGCCATCGAGAGAGAGAGATATTCTTGCAGAGACCAGAGCCTCCAGCTCCACGTATGACGAACATGGTTGACTCTGCAAAAGCCGGGGAAAGCTCGCGACTCAGTTCAAATGACTGGCTTATCGATAAGCCGCCACGTGATATCAACATCATGGACCCCGGCCCCTCGTCTCTTGCTTCGCATTCAACTGCGATCGCTTGAGTGCGAGTAGCAGACGATGCGATGCCTGAAAACAGTCATGATAGCGTGATTCCTGCGCAGCTCTCCTTCCTCGCCGTTTACAACCCGACCCTCGGTCCCACCGATGAGACGGTGGAAGACCAGATCGTTTTCCACACCTCGAAGGCGGACCACCAACGTACAGAGGACTCTCAGACGAAGGAGGGCGATGGCAAAATATCCGAGAGTGGCAGGAATGAGAAGTTGCGTCAGATCGGCCTAGCGCAGGGCATGGTGAGCTTTGCTAGGTGGGAGCCACTCCAAGGCGTGGGCCCGGATTCAGCTCATGTGGTCTTCAATTAGCAATTTCTCGGACAAGCCACTGGAATATGTCGAGACGGATAAGTCACGGGTGGTTCTTATCGAGCTGGAGACGGACTGGTGGATTGTTGCTGTAAGAATGACCGAGATCTTAGTGGAAACATCACAGCTAACACTAGACTAGTCTATCGACCTTACTCGATTGCCCGCTGATCCATCTCAAAATTCATCGGGCGATGGAGCTGGCTCTCCTGCATCTCAATACTCGGCGAGGGAAATGGGACCCCCACAGCTAGTTATCCAGCAGCTACGACGTGCCCACTCGATATTCCTTCTCCTTCATGATTTCTCTTTGAGCAAGCTCTATGATCGCGTTGGAAGGCCTGCTTTCTGCCTTTTCTTGGAACGTTTTTGGGAGAAGTTCGCATGGAATTGGGAGCTCCTTCTGACCGGAAACCCCATCGTGGAGATTTATAATGGGATCAAACTAGCCGCGGGGGAGAGTTGGGAATTGGGGTTGGAGAGGAAGAGTGGGGTAGTGGAGAAAGAGAGGTCCTTGAAGACTTTGTGGCCAGGACAGAGGGTTTGATTGACCTGGTTGTCTCGAGGTTTGGGGATCCGTCCAGACCAGCTAATGACTCTCCCCCAGTGGCCAAGAACGGTGAAAGTCAATGGCTAGGGTCCGATAATGATCCTCGACCTGCGGATGGTGTCGTATTTTCTGGGACTGGGAATGTTTCTCGCTCCTCTATAAGACATTTGTCTCACTGGATGGAGTGGATCTTCCGATACGGAGATGCAGCATATGGAATTGGGCGGGACCCAAACTCGTTGCGTCGGCGACGACCAAGAAGACAAAGAAGGCATGAATCAGCTGTAGCTCAACCATCAACCCCAGAACTCGGCCACACGCCGGGAATTCCTCGCCCGTTGGTGTTAGCCGAGCCACAGCCACTTCCCAATCCGAAGAGATCACGCCGGAAAGAGGAAGTGGGACCCCTCCGCTACAAGGTGACCAGGCTACTGACAAGTCTATGTTCCCAAAAGACACGGTCATGAAGTACCTGACCCTTGGCTATGGCTCCGCATGGAGTTTCTCTGCCAAACCTTCATCTGAGGCACCCCTTGGTTCTCCCGGTGCAATCATTGCATCAACGTCTGACACTGCTGGACAAAATGAACTTTCCAAGACACAGTCCCCGCCGCCTAGCGAACCACGGCTTAGTGAACAACGAATGAAACCAAATAATCATACACATGGCCGCTTTGTCCTGGGACCTCGTGATGATCTGGATACTCTGGATGACCTTGAAGGAAGTCCGGAGCCTGAGGCGGAAGGCAGATCGAGGAGTCGAATCATCCACCGAACAGTTCATGTCCAGCTTAAAGGTTCTGATGATGTCAAAAAGCTTCAGGCAGTTATATACGTGGTGAGTACTGCTTGACTTCTCGATGTCAGCTGTTTGAGCTAACCAACCACAGCACCAACCATTCATGTTCACGTTCCTGTTCGACCCAGAGATCTCTTCTCTGTCACTTCCATCTCTATACACAAGCATCCACCACCAACTAGGCCCTCTCCAGAAACCCCTCTTGGCGTCAACCTCTCCCACAACAGCCGCCTCGCGCATTTCCATGACAGAAGGCACACCCGATTCCAACAAGCGCCAAGTAGTCTACGACCTCATTTATGACCCATCAAACTTAACCATTCGTTCATCCATCCCAAATATCCCCAGCCTATCCACACCCTCTCATATCAGAGAACGATCAGGCTCCCCGCGCACTCCCTCCCCCTCTTCCTCTCAACCGAGCACATTGTGGTCCCGCGTTGAGAGCCTGGCAACCCAACACCGCCTGCTGTCAACATACATCGACACCCGCGCCCGGTTGCAGGAACTTGAGCGTACTAGCAAGACCAATCGAGGCTGGTGGATAGTCTGGGTGCGCTTCAACAATGGCTCAACTTCTGCACCTGCTTTATCCCTAGATGAAAACCAGCTTCCTTCAACGGCAACATCTCCCCGAGTGGACCTTATTCCGTCCCCCGCCCAGGAAGCCTTCATCGTCCGCAAATCAAGTGACTACGTCTCTCCCGCCAGCCACGCTCGGATCAGCAGCGGAGCTCGCTTCTTCCGTGATCTAGGCGGCGCTTCATCTACCAAGCTAACTTCATCCCGAGCAAACGACACCACGCCATCAAAGCTAGTCGAGGGACTTGGAATGGATGCGCGACGGTATATCGAGGGATTGCTAAGTCTGAATCGGTCATGACACAGGTCCTTTGTTCAACATATCACTTGCGCAGTTAGCCACTCGATACAATTCGAAAACAGTACATCGGCACTCATTCCGATCCCACGAATGCGTGCGCGTGTCTAGTATCGAAGCGTCTAACTTCCTCGGCTGTCCTAACCCAGCAACATCGTAGTAAATGCAAGGAATTTCCTACACCGCACCGACAAGAGGGCTGGACTGTTTCAGAACTGTCGAATTGGCGGCCCGTCGGCTGTCCGAGACATAGATAAACTCTTCACACTGAAGGGCCCCTTGCGTATGTCTACATGTGGAGTACATGCACTGGACAAAGACAACGCTGTGCTCACTGTATTACACGATTGAAGATTTAGCCCTCTATGATCTGAAAGTCGATGTCATGAAAGACATCATACATTAGCTGTCGCAGAAAAGAAAAGTTAGCAGGATTCTTCGCTTGAAGGGGGAGACATCCGAGAGGGCAAGGGGATGGTCTATCATCACACAGGACTTGCAAGCGCTACTTCCGATTCTCTCCTTTCCAAGGTTTTTTTTGTTTTGATTTTAATGAAAAAAAAAGATTTATACTGCCACACATGGGCAACTTTGTCATTGAGATCCATGGTGCCGGATGGAAGGGGGAAGAGAGACAGGGGAAAAAGAGAAAAGCCCACAGGGTTATGAAGACAACGCCTCCCTAGACAAATTCTGCAAAATAAAGGGCAAAAAAAGGAAAAAGAGAAACACAAGTGTCGGCCAACTGCAGAAGGGGTGTAGAGGGGAATCCACGACTCGGGCGCCCGGATTCGACATTATCCACGATCTCGCATCTCACATTGCCGGTTCAGCAGCCCTCCGAGATATTAGAAAAAGACCAAATTTGCTCGAGTCTCTTGTCGGTTCCGATCTTTGCTCGAGCCGATCCACGCTGAAAGCCGAAAGGTAGTTTACAGGATCAGACACTTCTTGCCGCTCTTGGGCTTCTTCTGGGCCTTCAGCAAAGCAGCGCGGGTGGCGGCCTCGAAGACCTCACGAACACCCTCGTTTGTGCGGGCAGAGCACTCAAGGTACTTGTAGGCGCCGATCTTCTTGCGGACTTCCTCACCCTGTGAGATGTATTAGTCTTTATCTCTGGTATTCCAAGGTCCCAAGGGAGTGACAAGGGGGAAACGTACCTGCTCAGGGGTAACGGGCTTCTGAGAGGTCTTGGTGAGCTCTTCGATGGTCTTAGGGTCGTGGCGCAGATCCTTCTTGCAGCCAACAAGGATGATGGGAAGGCCTTGACAGAAGTGGAGAACCTCGGAAATCCACTGCGAAACCGCGTCAGCACTCAGGGATGCGCAAGCACATGATTATCGAATGTCACCCACCTTCTCCTGGACGTTGTCAAGCGAATCGGGCGAGTCCACGGCGAAACAGATCAAAATGACGTGCGAGTCGGGGTATGACAAAGGACGGAGGCGATCGTAATCTTCTTGGCCAGCCGTATCCCAAAGAGCAAGCTCGACGTGCTTGTTATCAACCTCGACATCGGCAACGTAGTTCTCGAAGACGGTAGGGACATAGACCTGCAATCATGACTGTCAGAATGGGTGGTTTCTGGGCTGGCTGCGGTCGGGCCGGTGCCAGAGATAAGGCACGAGATCGGGGTTCACAGAGTAATCGGGGGTTGGGAAGCTCACCTCAGGGAAGGTGCCCTTTGAGAAGACACTAGCGGAGAATTCCTGTCAGATCGTCTGGATCGTATGGAGTGGATTCAAGGGGTTGCGGAGGGGGATAATTCTGATGTCAGAGTACTTACATGAGCAGACAGGTCTTACCGCAGGCACCATCGCCGACGATGACGAGCTTGCGTCGAATCTCGGCCATCTTTGCAGAGGATTAGCGACTGAAGAGGATTTGAAAGAGCGCAGTGATGAACAGGGCAGTGGGGTGGATTGATGGAGGGGGTTGGTCAGGGAGTAAGGCAGGAGTGTTGGGAAAGGGACAGGTTCAGGCTGCTCCGGGGGTCTCAGGGAGAAAGGGGAAGAGGATCAATCCGTACTGTGAATTAAGAAGAGGCGCAAGTGGATAGAGAAGGAAGAGAGGACCAAGACTAGGTAATTCCGAGTAGCAAAAGGCAGCAAAAGAGAGATGGATTGAGGATGGGAAGAATATTTGATGACTTGGAGGTGGAGGAGGAGAGGCCAGACTACGCTGGGCGGTGGCCGCTGTATTTGTTGTATCATCTGTACTTTGCCGTATTACTACCTCGTTTTATCTGGGTATTTGTTGTGGTACGTGGTATCGTTATTCCCTTTTCATTTCCCTTCCCCCTGATGAGAAGCGAGACTTCAGGTACTCGTGAAATGCACCACTTTTAATGGGTCAAAGTCCCCTATCTACACTGGTGGTCAAAGTTCTGGTCTTCCTTTCTCCATCCATATTGTTGATGATCGCCCTACTCCTGCACCATGCTCGTCGCCCTCGGCCAGAAAGGGATCTGCTGCAGTGGTAATACGATTACCATGCCAGCCTTAGCAGGTTATGTGTGGCTGAGCGGGTCCGTATCCGCGGCACACTTTGTCACTTGAGACTCAGCCACCGTGGCTGTGACCTGGAAGCACAGAGTTATGCAATGGCCAGACTTTCTGATATCATAGAAAGGGGGGCTACGCCTAGTCATCTAAGGTACCCGGGCGAAACGATGTTCCATGTGGAATACCTTTGTCCTGAGGGGGTACCGTGGATCTCTTTGCCATCGAATTAACATTCACAGAGAACGAATGAGGCTAACGACTCTGACCTATCCTCTCAAAGAAATCACATTTTGAGACGCTCTTGATTGTATAAAGCAGCTTTGTTCATCAAATGTTTGAAAATATGGGTCTCATGTCCAGGGCGCTCAGGATTATCGATCACGGGAAGGTACTTCCTTCACTGCTCGTGTGTGGAGCAAAATACATGTGCCTCGTTCCCGACCTTTAGGAATCGTCGTACAATAGGAAGATAACCGCCTAGTGGTGTACTGTGCTCCGATGGTTGCCTAGTGCAAACCGTCAAATGCTTTGGCCAACTGTCCATTGACAATCGCTCCGATGGTCTCCTAGATCTTTCCGCTGGCCGCAGCTCAACAAACGCGGCTGAACCTATGACCGGGTTATCAAGCTTCGTCCCCTTTAGTTTGATGAAGGACTTCTAGGGGCCCCAACCCTAGCCGAGTCCGCCATTGCCCGCCAACTGCCTCCTCGTTTTGCCATATTCGCTATCCAAATCTTCTAAATCCACGCAAAAATATATATGCCTGAAGCTATTGGCTTCATTCGATGGTGGAGATGCTGAGAAAAGTAACCACGTCTCCATGGCGGACTAAAAATAGATATGAAATGACGGGGGCCTGAATCCTGAAGCTATATGGTGGAAGTCAGGAAAAGGAGTATCTGTGCCTATAGCGCCCCCCCACCTGGGGTCTATAGGCACAGATATGGTTAAGGGGCAATAATCTAGACATGGAGTACATACCAGGTACAAATGTTCTGGCAAATTGGAGTCACACGTATGCGGTCATCTGGAAAAAACCACTGGATGACAAAGTACCGATGTCCACTTTTATTGCAGTTGCGAGCTTCAACACTAGCGAAAGCCACATAGCCGGGTCGACCAGCATGGCTAGCGTCTCCGTTCTCCGGGACCCATCGCTCCCGGAACGGGGAGTCTTTTGCTGGGGCTATGCTTTAAATTGGTGGAAAGATCGCGCCGCTCTATTCTGCTTGTACTCTATCACACGCAATGTGAATCGCGATACGAGTCGAACGTGCGTGTCATCGGGATCGATCGTCCGGGACTCAGCCTATCCTCCCCGCAACCGATCCGTACATTATACTAGCTTCTCGCAGGCCGACACGGAGCACACGTGCGCTGGAGCGTTTTTGGTAGCTAAGCATTAAGATGTGCTTGATTTAGGCTTTCTTGTGGGCGTTTTACTCTGTCTTTTACACACCATAGCTAATTAACGACCTCGTGTTGGGTATAGATTGTTAGCAGTTCGACGTGCAGGGCGCCTGATCCGACGCTAGGCCCTGAATCAATGGCCCATGCTCCCTTCATTCCTACGTAGAAATTCCCAGGGTGATCATGTGTGCTTTTAAGATTTGGTAACAATGATTTGCGACCAGGGCTACTTGTCAAGCATCAGTGATATCGATATGATGCCTCCAGTATGACCTCTCTCGCAAAAGTGAAAATGAATGTGGGCCCAGATTCAGGCGCGCTTTTCAAAGACAGATTGACCCCTCGTATGTCGCTAGAACGCCATGTGTCAGCCGCCATAGGTCCGTCGTAACGAGCCTCTACAATGAGGCAACGATTCAGAGGAAGTCCTGAAGTGAAATGTGCGGAATCTTCTTGGTCTGAATCAAGCGATACAACGACAAGAAAACGGGGCTCAGGGCAGTATAGAAGATATATAATTTTCAGTATTTTGCAGGCCTCGGCAGGTCACTTCTCGGAGCGGTAGCAATATCTCAAAATGAGGAGATTGCACACACCCAGCGTCCTAGTTCGAGCCATGCTCTTTTACCGCTTTGGGGGACTTTGCAAAAGCTTTTAGTCTCGCATCCTTGTTACGTTAGCAAGTGACTTGTGTCTGAGCCTCACGGATTCAGCAATCCCTTCGATGAGACCTGAAGGTGACAAATCTACAGTCCCAGTGCTTGCCAAACTCGGGGTAGTAATGTGACACAATTTACTGTGCACAAGTTCCTACACGATAGTAGGCCCGATGGTATCTCTTATACCCTGCGGCCCCACGGAGTTCGGACATCTTTGAACAATTTAATCAGGATGAGTAAAATGAGACAATCTACCCTATGTGCGCCAATGGATCTTTCGTACGAAATCAACTCCGTCCGTTTTCTCGGTTGATTCCAGTACGCGAACTAGGCACAGACCCCGCAGAATCAAGTGGAAGCTGTAGGTTGTCACGATATCAATCATTATTCTCAGCGATCCTGTCAAAGGCGGAGGTAACATGTGATCTGTTTTCTGAACCATGATATAGCAAACCTGTCTGAATGAGGCCAGGCAGGTAGTGACAGCTTTATCCACGTCGAGTATCCTCTTTGTAAGCTACAGGAACTCAATCGCGTTCTGAAATCTGGCTGGCGATGTCTAACGGATCATTCTGCATCGAACGTTCAGGAGAAAGCATCCATATAGTTTCGGATACTAATTCGAGCTCAAGGATCGAGCACCATGATCAAGAGGAAATGAGACATCACTACACCCCATTATGAACACTAAGGAATCTACTGTGGGTTGGGCAGCACGAGCTCGCGATGCTCCTGGAGAATTTGAACGGCGAAATATCTCTTCCTACCGATTGAGTCTTTGTCTCCTGGCAAGTATGACTACTACCTAAAATAGATCCTAGTACCAGAACAAAGGTATAAGAGGGGTGCATGTCCCAATAATTGACGGAGAATATGATTTGATTTCCTCTTGGTTGCTCACCATGCGGGCCATTCAAAAGTGATCAGAGGAATCCCCTTGTATAACTCTGGCTGGTTGCTCGAGTCCATCACTCGGAGAGTTGTTTCAGGCATTATGTGTGAGATCTTGATAGAACACAGCCGAGCCTTGTAAAATCATGCGTGACAAGTTGGGTAGTGAGTGTAGAAATCTACGTGCCATGTCAGAGCTATACGGGATTTTTAAGTGCTTGAATAGTCATTGCATGCGTGCCAAGTCCTTGCCCAGGCAAGAAGTCCATAGTGTCTGGTGTAGTGGACAGACCTGGAAGATACATGTGTCCGGTGGATAGTCGCGCCGTAGAGTTCACCACGAAGTTCGGCAGCTCCACAGAATCAACGCATATGCGACCCAGAACGTACCATGAAACTACCGCAAAGACCCTGAATAGTATCAATAAATCTCCATAAATCTTGGAAGCTAATATCAGGACCTTCAGATACTGACTTTGAAGATAGACAGTGCTTATATAAGTCCGCATGACTGATTGAGTCACGTGAACCGAAGTGCGGCCGCAATTTTCCGTCCGCGCATCGCGAAGTTGAACAGCAGCAACATCAGCCATTGTTGGCCAACCTCGCACAACATGCAGAAGGTCATCCAACGGACGGCCACGGCCAGGAAGCAGGCCCAAAAGAAGCTCTTCCGGGCCCAGAGACGGGAGGAGCTGGTTGAGCGCTCTCAGGGAATTCGCTCAAGGAGGGAATTCAACAAGAGCATTCTTACCAACCAGAAAGCAGCACGGGAGAACCGATGGGAAGACTGGGCCAAACGTGAGCTGGCTCCAAAGCGAGATGTCGGAGTATTGGAATTCACCTACGGTACAATGGACGGCGCGGCGATGCATCCTCCCCCCGATTCCGAAGCACCTTCGCCGCAAGCAGATCCTCTTCGCAGTGGCAGACAGAGTCTGTATCATTCGGGGTCGGGATGCGGGTAAGATCAGTGATATCACCCAGGTCAATGCCGAAAGTGAGACGGTCACGCTCAAAGACCTCAATATGGTGCGTCTCAGAACATGCATTCAGTCCGATTTCTCGGTCACAAGCAAAGCCGCTAATCAATGACCGCTTCCACAGGCCGATGTCGCTGTCCCTGAATGGGCCAAAGAAGGAATGGGCATGAAGGGCGATGTTATGACCCAGGCTATGCCGGTACCAATGGATAACATCCGACACGTCATTGCGTTGGAGGACCCAGACACACAAGAGGTCATGGACCACATTATTGAGCACGCATACGCTGGAAAGCCTTACTTTGAGCGGCCATCGTGGAGCAAGCTTCCCCGGTTTACTCGATATGTTTCTGGACTCGACATCGAGATTCCTTGGCCGAAGGAGGAAGAACCGGAGATCAAGGATCATGACTGTGATACCTCGCGCTACGAAGTCGACATCCCCTCCTGGACCCCCACGCTGGAGAGTGCTCCATTCCCCTCCAGCGTTCTCGATGAACTCCGCAACAAATATTCAAGGTTCCGAAAACGCCACGACCCCGAATACGTGAGGGAGAAGGTCATTGAGGAGTATCGGCGGGAATGGCTCGACAGCCAGTCTTTGTTGACACCTCTTGGACAATTCCGACAGCAGCGGGCTGCGAAGAGTGCCGCAGCCAAGGTGTCGAAGCTGGATGCCAATGGCAATGTAATTATGGACACGGAGACAGATGCTTTCATCAGCCAGTTCATGAACATGAACATGGGTAAGTCGATCAAGTCCAAGCAAAAGCCCAAGACCGAGCAAATTGCTTGAATTGAGCGATTGACCTTGCGCATGGGGGGTTATTTCCGAGAGCGATGTGTATAAACCCAATTGTATTCTAGTATCATTTTTTCTGCATTCAACGGGGATAATTCCCAACAAAACGTTTTAGCAATATTAGCCCAATTCATCTCATTGAATCATATGAATCGAGCCTACTAAGGTGCAAAGTAGGGTTGTGATGCGCGGGCCGCCAGGGAGACAGATGCTCCCGCGTCGACGCCATCCTTGATCCCAAGTTCAATCTTTTCACCCCCCCCTGCACTGCTGAATTCATCCCTGAAGCAGTTGCATCCCTATTACACAATAATGGCATTTGCAGCTATAAATTCGGCGGGCATGCCCATTGCCGCCATCGAGGAGGCCTTCGTCACTGAGCCCTCACTGAAAAAGAGAGTCTACGATGCGATCGGTGCGTAGCCAGCGGCGCCATCTACGCCTGTTCAAACCACGACCCTTCGAACCAACCACTGACCTACCATCCGATTCGATTAGGATATACACCGCAACATGCACCTTTATTTGAAGATCTTGCGCGTTACACATCTTCCCTGCAGGCCAGGGCCGCGAGCACTTCACTTCCGATCGTACCGCCACCAAACGACGGTCCTGCCGCGAAGAAGCGCAAAATACAGAATGGGACATCCGTGGAGACTCCACAAGCGCCTGTCAGTCTGAAAGATGCGCCGGTGCAGTTCTACGTTCAAGACATCTCGTTCGCCATGCCGCAGCGCAAGAAGCTCACGCTCGAGGTCACTGCTGGGTATCTCCGCACGAGGAACCAAACTACAAAGGAGGTGGAGTTTGGCATCCCGATGGAAAAGATACGTGAGTTTACTTGCTGTAGAACAATGTTGAGATTGAAAGCTAATCTTTGCTGCGTACCACTAGGCCATGCACTGTGCCTTCCGGTCCCAGAAAAGACGCAGAAACAATTCAATTTCTGTATCATTCCCGATTTCACAGATGGGGTTACGCCGCCGCCGGAGGGCATATCAGCTCTAGATGCCATGGTGTTCACCGTGGCCGATGGCCCGGCCAAAGCTGCGTTCTCTGGATCGGGTCAACAGATTGGTAACAACCCAGGCGAGACTGCGGAGGCATTGATTCAGAAGCTTCTCGATGATAACATGCCTAATACAAATGTCATTCGACCCGACGAGAGAGAATTTGTGAGCGCGACGCCTGAGGCGCATCGCAAGGGTGAGAAGGCATATCACGTCAAAGCATTCCGGGGCAGCAAAGAAGGTATGTCGCGCCATGCGGCGGCGATTGGCCATGAGAAGCCGAGTTCAAATCACTGACAGTATCACCAGGTTATCTATTCCTGCTCTCGACGGGAATTTTATTCGCTTTCAAGAAGCCACTTCTTTTTTTCTCGTTCGATACGGTCGAATCGGTCTCTTATACATCCGTTCTCCAGCATACGTTTAACCTGAACATCATTGCTCGTCCAAGAAATGGCTCTGAGGAAGACAATCAGGAATTTGAGTTCTCTATGATTGATCAAGAGAACTTTGGCGGCATTGACGAGTATATCAAACGCCACGGTCTGCAGGATTCAAGCCTAGCGGAGGCTCGCCGTGCCAAGGTGTATAATGTCAACGCGCCGAAAAATATCGAGGAGGCCGCTGCCGAAGCCACGGGTATCGAGGAGGAGAGCGAGTTACAAAAAGCCCAGCGAGAGCTTGAAGACCAAGAGGACGAGGAGGATGAAGAAGACTACGACCCGGGCAGTGACGGTGAAAGCGAAGGCAGTGGGTCAAGCAGTGATGAAGATTCCGACGAAGACGAATTTCATGAAAACGCTGAATATGTTAGCGACGGTGACGAGGAAGAGATTCAGGAGGAGCTTGGCGGCGAGGCTGATGAAGGTGAAAATGAATAGAGAGAGACCATTGATCGGTCCTTGTGAAGCCCCGGGTCATGATCGTGCCATCGCGCTTAGAATAGTAATGACCCTGATCTTGGACCCCAACTTTGGAGGGATGTGAATGATGCAACTACGTATCTTAAACCTTCGAGTGAGTGGGTCGAAGACGTGTCGACTGCGCGGGTCACTCTTTCTGTCCTGAGCCCTGCAGCTGCGGGAGATGTCAGTGCCTTCCATTGATCAAGACGATCGAGAAGTGATAATAAAACAAATCGGAACAGCGTTGCCGGTGTCATTATATTGTAGGGTAAAAACAGGACCAAAGAGTAGGGCTATGCCAAGGCCGCAATTTTACCAGGCTAAGGCGCATTCCAGACCGAGTCCGACGGCATCCCCTGAGCGGTAAGAAAAACTCGGCACGCAGGAACGGTGATACCCGCCCTTTCCCAAAGATCCTCATTCTCAAAGTCTAGCTTTTGAACCAGGAAAAATAAGGGGAATTTATATGTACAAAAAAAAAGCAGGGGTTTCCTCCAAATCTGAATCGTGTTTAAACATTATACCCTGCTCAAATCCCAGGATACGAAGAACGGACTGGTCAATCCTCTAGCCTAACAAGACTTGGGTTATACTTTGTCTTAAACTAGGCATCTTAGACGCGGAACAACGGACGGAGAATCTGTGGATCTATGTGACGGTGAGAACCTAAGTGCAAAGTAGCGTAGAGCGTTCCAAATAATATTCTCAGAAAATGGCGCCCCCGGTTTTCCCAGCACTCGCGGGTATCATTACCGCCCGTGACCGCCAGTTCCTGCGCCGCCCCCGTCCATCACGGGTACCAAATACACTCCCAATACCCTCCGCTCCCTTTCTCTCTTTCGACTTCTCTCCCTCTTCCTCTTCCACCTCTACCCCCTTCTCCCTCTCCTCTCCATTGCTCTCAGGCACGGCTCGTACTCTCTTTAGAGTACAGTTGCTCCTGTTTTCCATCCTCCGCGGTTTGCTTTCGCCCCGTGTCCTGGCAAAGTCTACCCCCGGTCGGCAGCCCTGTCTGGCTCCTCACGCCTGAAATCCCCCGTTCGCGACCCCGAAGGAACCAGACTCGCTCAATCGTTGCTTGGCTCGATCAATTCCGCTTCTATCGCTTCTGCAGCTTTCCATTCCGGGTAGACCGTCTTGCCACGTCAGACCCTCGGCTGGTACTCGGATTGATCGATCCTGCTCGCCCGATCCATCGGCCAAGACCTGCGTCCATTGAAGTACTGGTTTACTTTGGATAGAGCTATCAGGTGTCCCTGCGGTGTATGTCGAACCTGTCGACTACCTCCGTGTGCATCGTTGGATCTCGTGCTGACCGCAGTTGACAGTGCAAATCACGTGTCACCGTCCCTGAAGCCATTGTCCCGTGATAAAAAGCTTCGTTCCTGACAACTTCGGATCCCATGGCGTCCTCTTCCTCGAACGTGGTGGGTGTCCACTACCGCGTGGGCAAGAAGATCGGTGAAGGCTCTTTCGGTGTCATCTTCGAGGGCACCAACCTGTTGAATAACCAGCAGGTGGCCATCAAATTCGTACGTCATATGTGGAAAAGGGGATGACATCCAAGCTGACCAAAACAGGAACCCCGAAAGAGCGATGCTCCTCAGCTGCGTGATGAGTACCGTACCTACAAGATTTTGGTCGGATGTCGTATGTTTTCCATCTCGGAGCTTTTCTCCGAATATTCTGCTAACTGTTGTGCACAGCTGGTATTCCCAATGTCTACTACTTCGGACAGGAGGGTTTGCACAACATTCTCGTCATCGACCTCCTTGGACCCAGTCTTGAGGATCTTTTCGACCACTGCAACCGTCGGTTCTCCACCAAGACCGTCGTGATGGTCGCCAAGCAGATGGTACGATTTGCCCGATCCCTCGAAGTGCATCTAAACTAATCGTTTACAGCTTTCGCGTGTCCAAACCATTCACGAGAAGAACCTCATTTACCGCGATATCAAGCCCGACAACTTCTTGATCGGTCGCCCTTCGACCAAGGCTGCGAACGTCATTCATGTCGTCGATTTCGGAATGGCCAAGCAGTACCGTGACCCCAAGACCAAACAGCACATTCCCTACCGTGAGCGCAAGTCTCTGTCGGGTACCGCTCGTTACATGAGTATCAACACACATTTGGGCCGTGAACAATCACGACGAGATGATTTGGAGGCTCTGGGTCACGTCTTCATGTACTTCTTGACGAGGTGGTCTCCCCTGGCAGGGGTTGAAGGCTGCTACCAACAAGCAGAAGTATGAGAAGATTGGTGAGAAGAAGCAAACCACCGCCATCAAAGATCTTTGCGATGGATACCCTGGTAGGGCTCTCCCTATCAATTTGATTAAGTCTCAGATTTTCTAACCTATCCCAGAAGAATTTAACAAGTATTTGAGCTACGTTCGCAACCTTGGTTTTGAGGACACTCCCGACTACGACTACCTCCGTGATATTTTGACACAAGCCCTCAAGAACGCCGGCGAAGTTGAGGATGGAGAGTACGACTGGATGAAGCTCAATAATGGACGCGGATGGGACTACAAGTCATATAGCTCGGGACGCGAATTGCCTCACCAGACCTCGACGGGACGCGATCTGCACGGAAGTCAGCTCCGTAGCAGCCAGCGTCCCGGTGTGACTGCCGATCGTTTAAACGCTGCGCAGCCCCCGCCCCCTTCTCCAGCCAAGGCCGGAGCTGGGAAGACGCGCGATCGCCCAAGCGGATCCGGCGGTATGCCTCCCAAACGCCAGAGCGGGGGCCTGGAAGCAACGACTCCAACCGCATCCACCCAGGCTCAATTCCAGAACTCTAACGCCCACCTTCCCGGCCGCATGGGAAGCCCCGGAAACCCTGCTATGAGCAGCCAGCAGGTTGGTGGCCAAGCAAGCAATGAACCGCAGCCCACTTTCGCGCAGAAGGTGATGAAGGCTCTGTGCTGCGGTAGGTGATCCGGCCGTGCTGGTCATTCAGTGCCGCGTAGCTTGCGTAAATCGAGATCCAGGTTGACCTCGAACCATTTCAAAGCTGCTTGTCACTGAATTGAACACGACCTGATGATTCCCCTTGCTCTTTCTGCCCCCGCAACTGTCAGAAGACGGCCGAAGAAAACAAAGTTATACGTCGGCATGGGATTACCCCTGGTCACTCTTCCTCTCTCATCCCTTCGATCCTCCTTTTCTTCTTCCCATTCGACGCTTCAGCCTACACGACTGTGGGTAGAAACGACCTTCCTCTCATTGATGTTACGTCTCATCACTCTTTCATGGTGCTACGGCTCGGCAACGGCGAACTTGAGAGTTTTTTGTTCTTGTGCTTTCCCCATTTTGCTTTATACTCGCCATGCGTCGTCTAATACAAAACTTCGATACTTTGCAAGCGAGTGGATCGGGCAATTCGCTTCCCATTCATCGATATTTTGCAATTTCTTTCGAGGCTCGTTGAAATGTCGAGTTCTGCGAAGTGATCTAATAGTCACCAGCATTCGCATGCTGGCTTGAACCTGCCGTTGAGGTTCGCAGATGGATGGGACGAAAGACCACTGACCAGGCTCAAGTTTCGATATTGTCCAAGAGCAGCCCCTGAATTTCATCCCACCCACCGATCGGGTGGAGCCTTTTAATGTCCCTGTGATTCTTTTTGAAATATTTCTCCTGTCGGGCTGTTCTTCACAACCGTGCCATACCCGTTGACGCCATCTCCTTGCACCCGGGTCCAAAGAGTCTTTTCAATTGCGTGTCCATGCGTCGTCTAAAAGGATGATCGCACGTTGCATATATTCGCCCGTTCGATTCCCCTTCGTCATGTCCGAGTGTTTGTCTTTGGTTGTTTTCACCCCTTTTGATCTACTGCCCTTGTCTATAATTGTGTCGTGTTTTGTTCTTGCTCCGTTACAGAAGCGAGTTTTTGTTTGTTCCTGGTAGTTGTGGCATAAGATAGCATTGTTTTTTTTTCCCCCTGTGTTTCTTGACGATTGCTTCGCGTCCGTACAGCGCATATACTTGTTTCCGGAATAGGCGAAGATAATACACTTGCGTTTTTCCATTGAGAAGAGCACAATAATCGGCACGTAGACTGGTCAAGTAACCGGTCTTTCAGATCCCCATGAGCTCTTCAAGACGGGAACAACTTGTATCCGGTTTATGGTTGGGTAGTTGCTTGAACATCTCATACAGTCGTCAGGGCTACCATCAGCCCGTACTATCTCATTCAATATCCACGTCAATGCATACGCATCATGATATCATTGAAGCTGCACCGGTAATTGACAAATAACAACCCCCGTCCTAAGCACGACCCGTCCTCGAAAACGCCCACATCCTTGACTCTGACGTGGATTCCAATATATAGTGTGACAGACCCAAACCATCTTCACACCCCAAAAATGGGCTTCTATCAAGATCCCGAACGTAAGTAAATGCTTGCTCAATCCGGTTCATCGCCGAGCATAGTGTGAGCTTTCATACCCAATTATTGGGCCCCCTTCCCCCCTCCCCACCCTTCTATATGAAGATCAAGGTACCTTTGTTCAAACCTTGTATGGACAATAATAAGGAAGCAAGAGGAAACAATAAGCAAAAACCAAACAAGAATGCCCCTTTATGAACCCATTCAGGATCTATTTCTATGAATTACAGTAGTCTCTGTAAATAGAAAATAGGATACTCCCTTGCCACTTTCAAAGTATTATCTCCCTTTTATAATTATTCTCCAATGTGCCCTATCTTTCGCACCAGCTCATCCCCCTGTCCAATGTGTATGATCTACACACCACCCCAAATCCCCAATCTGGCACCGCCTCACACACTCTTTCCCACCACGCCCCGAGGTCCCCCTTGTTCACTGCATCCTGCAGTATCTTCTGCAGCCACTCACGCGGTGCATCCCCCGCATCTGGTATCCTTGGCGCGCTGCTCATTCGGTGCGCCTGCAGGATTCCCCCCGGTAGGCAGAGGAATTTCGGGCTTAGTACTAAGCTTGGGCTTTGCTTTCTTTTTTTTCCTTCTCTGGAGTGGGCTGATGGGGTGGCTGTGTTATTTTGGAATTACCGATTTATTTCTGCATGCTTTTGGGACTAGGGATGTGCGTGGCATGAGGGGCGTGGAGGTTTGAGGTGGACGATAGAGTTGGGATCGTCGGTGTTATGGGCTTGCGGATCCTGGGATGAGCTGGTGACATGCTTCTTTTTTTTGATTTTTTGTTCTTTTCTTCGCAGAAGGCCATACTGTGCATTTGTAGGTGTTAGGGATCTTGTCTTCCACTAAGGTTCTAGGTGCCCTGAAGGGAAGAATTTGGATAGTTATTGAGCTATTGGAGACCTGGACTCGGGACCTCCGCAACTAATCACTTCATGGATTCTTTGTCTAGGGCTCGATGCAGATATAATCTTTTACCTCCTTTTTACCCATAGTATCCTAGTCATTAGCCCCGTGCACCTTGTGACGAGCAACGAAATGCTGAACAGAAAGATTGTGAAAGCTGTACCCGGCTACTTACCCACCAACCTGCAACTTCATCCATTCCTTCAAACGTAAGTGAACCCATACAATGTGGGAATCCGCCAGCCCTAACCGAGTCGTACCCAATAAGCTACCGTACTAAGTCTGAAGATCATGCAAGACTGAAGACTGACCCGTCTGGGTGAAACAGTCTTGAACCTTGGCGGTGGGGCCTTTGGATGTCATATTGACAGCCCACAATGTTGAGGCCACGGGGAGGTGCCCAGCTAGGCCTTGGTGTGGTATGACTAGGGTAATTTCGCACATCCTGTGGAGGTTAGTGGATGGCTTTGACTAGCCTGTGGAGGATGCTTGACTTGGCTCGGAGGGATGCCGAGCGGGATGGTGTGTTTGTTGTTTCACTTCGCAAGCAGAGGTGAAAGAGTGAGTATCCGGTATTACACTGAGAGCTTAGACTGTTGAGTGTGTTCTTGCAAGGCGTAGTCCTGTTGGTTCTTTAGTTTGAGAAATACCGAGTGTGTGTGTCGTGAGTTGTTTTGTTTGCAGGTTCCCGATTGGGGGAAGGGGATTTCCCGGGTGAGTTGGTGATGAAATGGCGTTTTGTATTGAGTAAATTGGCATGCAGATAGAGATCGACAGGATTGACAGTACTTCGTAGGATACGAGATCCGAGATTGCTATTCCATGTCGGCGAGGGGAGTCTCCATGCTGACGTAGATATCACGGTTGGGGATGCGGACTAGACCTCGTCCAGCTCAGCCGAAAAGCTCTGCATCTCGCTGCTCTCGTTCGTATGAGAACGATTCAGGTGAAACTGTCAGTTGAGAGAAGAAACACTGTGGGCTTGACTGTACTGATTGGGTGTTCAGGCTTGTTCTTTGATTCTCTTCTGATAATGGAATATCATACGATCCAACCAAGAATTGTTGCAAATGCGTACTGTACCGTCAGTAGACTCTTGATATAATTAGTGCCTAAGTGACTAAATAGATACGTAAAAGCTACGACAAAATTACTTTATCCTTCTCCTTACACTAAGCTCACATTTAACGTACCATACCTGCATCAAACAACCTAAACCATGCAAATATACTTCCTGCATCCCGTCGACTGGGGTCTATGATGCATGTAGGTGTACATGACTTGCAGATCGATACCATCCTTGGGCCGAACCATCCATCAAGTTAGTAGAGCACAGACGGTCATGCTCTCGCCGGATCCAGGCTCCCGAGACCCCGCGCTGGGGACTGCATGATTTCAAAGTTTGCTAGTATGGGTGCGAGAAACCTGATAGAAGTTAATCAGAAGTTAATCGTGAATGACGACGTATTGGCTGGTAGTAAGTTGACACTGTAGGCTACCGAATATGATTGTGGTCTCGTGACTGTGTCGATCCGGCACAGGAAGGGATATATGCACCAGGCAAGCGGGGTGCTTTTGAGCTATGAATCCGTGTGTTACTTCCAAGTGTCCGAATCCTTTGCTATGGGTTGCTGTGAGCCCTGAATACGGAATATACCTTTCATAGAAATGTTGCATCAAATCCGGCTGGGATGTAAATTCAAAGCACGATCCAGTTTCATGACATGGTTTTGCTAATTCGCTCTGTTCCTCACTTTCTCTGGTACTTTACACTCGATTTTGCTTATACTCCGGATTCGTTCGGCTCATACAATACAGTCAGTGAACTCTCATTGACCACTATCTTTACCCGCAAGTCTATAGGCCACCCCCGCACTTGTACAATTCCCAAGGTTCACTATCTCCCATTACCTGCTATCTGTGATTAACAATCAGCATCACCGGAAAGTTTAAACCCTATACACGCACGCTTTCACCCATAATCCAAAAGTCCCACAAAACTATTACTAATCCTGCGCCATCTCCACCCTCCATCCAATAAGAGAAGGGCGGCATGTCACAGCGTAGTCCATGTGACATTTTAGCGGGGATCAGACACCCCGAGTTCAACCAATTAGACCAGACCAAACTCTACAGCACAAAATACATGAGTGCTGAGCTTCGGTTGCCATCATTTCGCTTAATTTGACAAATCTCTATTCCATCTAGTTCCAGTTCCGGTCCAATTTCCAGTTCCAGTGCTAGTAACACTTGACAAGGCGAATCTTGATCTCCTAATGGCTGCACCAGACGCCCCCGACACCCCATGGCATGCAGCTTACCCCGCTCCCACATCCGAGGTCGAAGCTCTTCCCCGCCAGGAATTGTTGCGCTGGATCCGGGAGGGGAAGCTGGCTGGTAGGGATTATGTGTTGGTGGATGTAAGACGTACCGATTTCGAGGTATGCGCATTGACACCCGACTAGTAAAAGATCGATATTGGGGGACGGTGTGCTGATGTCTATTTCTAGGGTGGTACTATTCGTGGCTCGATTAATCTGCCAGCTCAGAGTTTGTATCCTACCCGCCCGGCATTGTATACTCTTTTCGCGAGTAGTGGCGTGGAACATGTTATTTGGTATTGCGGTAAGACTTGGGTGTTTTTCTTGCTTCAGCTCGGTCTGTGCTTGTCTAACGGTTCTTTCTGGAAGGCTCTTGTAGAGGGAGGGGTCCGAGGGCTGCGGCGTGGTTTAAGGATTATTTGATGGAACAGGGAGATTCGCGTATGAAGAGTATGATTCTTGAAGGGGGGATTAAAGGATGGGTTGCGGCTGGAACTGAGTATGTTGAGTTGATGGATGAGTATGATGCTAGTGTGTGGACGAAGTAGACGGTCTTTCGCAACGTCAATAGATACTTTCCTTGTCACTGGCATCTATTATCTCACGAATATTTAGAGATCTCGATTCAATGATGCTTGGATATGCAAACGCATGTCCAACGCCACACAGTATGCAATCTCGTCTTCTAAGCCACTCGGCCATGACATTAAATCGTAGGTCTATTCCCCAGCTGATGTCATAACGATTTTTTCGATGCCGATCCACTTCATATCGGGACACTCCCCAACAAGTCAGGTCAGGCGAAGGATTCTAGACGAAGAGATCTCCTTAATAATAAGATCCAGTGGATACTGCAGATTCTTCAAGTGCGAAATATAGCAAGCAAGCCAGCGCTTCTAGAAGCTGGGACCATCCAGAAACAGAGTCTCGCCGCTGCAGAGCGCTAACGGGCGCCTACCAAAACAAAAAAACAAAGACCGGAGTCCGCCGTTACATCGCTAGAATCCTAAAAAAAAGAACCCCCCCAGAGGATATCGAACCCGCAATGCAAGTGCTTGCAAGGACGGCAAAAAAGAAGAGAGAAGTAAAAAAAAAAAAAAAGCCAAAAACAAAATCATGGGCAGATCGACCACGATCCAAAGCCTGTTCTACGATCCCCACGCGGAAATCGAAGGATAGTCGGCCCATCGCGCCACACTTTGCCTAAAATTCAGGGGACGGTATTAGGCGTCTTGGGGGGCGGTATCCACTCCAAATTACGGCAAGAAATCCGTGCAATCTCACCTACCATACAGCCGAGAGCAACAAGCCCAGATGAGATTTTGTTTCAGAGTAGCGCCGATTCCTGGGCAAGCTTTCTGCTCTCCCGTGTTCTCCACGAGCTTCCCGCGATCGAAGCGCTAAGGGGAGGGCATGTTTTTTTTTCTTCTATCCCAGAGATAAATCTTGATTTTGGCTACAAAAGGGTGGGGCTGTGAGGTCATCTGGCGGCTTCTGCCATGCACGCGGTTTGATCGTCTCTCCTTATTCGGTTGGCTTCGCTTGGCCGATAGGATGTGGAGTCGGAGTGGAGGAATATGGGATTTGGAGGAATTTGGGGGATGGATTTAGCGAGGTCGAGACTCTGGTTGATCTCCGCTATCTCCTTCCATTCCCTCTTCTTTCCAGAAGGGGTCTCTTTTTGTTTGGGTCACGGACTCGGAATTGGACTTTCCCGGCATCCACGTCATTTAGGACTGACGACGTATTGGTTCAGGGGGACCCTGGATGACGACTTCCAGATGGGACCGGAGAGCGGGGTGGTTGATGACGGGGTCTGGGATGCGGTATTATACGTCTGTAATAATTCCTCGAGTTGCGGGTGCAGGGGCGTATACAGAAGCATAGATGCACACTGTGGGAGTTTTAAAAAAAAAATTAGATCTGAAAATGACATGGGCGCTGCGAATCTCTCGCTCACTCTTTCTCTCTCTCTCTCTCTCTCTGTGACTTATTCCTTCCCCCACGCCACAGACTAGCCCCTGCTCGGATTACCCCGTACTCCGAGCTCCCAGGCCACGAGACACGAGACAGATCACAGCATTCCCCCCCGCTGTGGCCTGCGCTATCTGGTACTAGCGTGTGCCTCTAAGGTACCCCACGCCAGTCGGGTTTGCACCAGCGGCCGAGCCGGCGTTCTAGATTGTGCGGTGGGAGGTCCAAGGATGCTGGAATGGGAAAAGTGCCGCCCCGTGCACACGTTGTGGGGAATCCTTGCTGGTGCAAGGTCCTCGGCCTCGGCGGTATTGTGGATAGGGAATACGGAGAGAGGTAGGTGGACTCCGAGTGCTGCGTGGTTACTGGGGGGGTGAATTGGTCTTGGTCTGGGTCTCGTTTTTGGTCTCAATGGCTATCCTGGATGCTCGGCGCAGAATGCAGTGCGAGGCAGTGCAGTACGGTACTGTAGTAACCAGGCTGGAGGTCTACGGTAGCTGTTTCCCCCCATGGAAAGTTAATCCTGCATAACTTACACATCGTACCTACTGCATACTGCACCGTTAGAACGAACCACAGGTTCGGCTGAGCTGCGCGCTAAATGCTGATCCAATAATTGCAAGGCACGATTCGTGGCTGGTGCAGAATGGGACGTGGCCAGATACACTTCAAATTGTTAACCCTATCAGCTCAAGCTCTAGCCAAGGCAGATCTGACATATACACACAAAAAAAAAACAAAAACAAAAAGAAAAAAACAAAATGCCGGTCGATACAAAATTCCGAAGAAGCCCAATGAACTTTGTCGGTCTACTATCTTATCACCGCTTTCGGATGGCCCTTATCAGGCCTTGACTCAGATGAGGCTGATTTGGTGGATCTTGGCGCTCGGTTTGAATCGGCCGATGTTTTCGGTGGTTTTCGGTGGTCTGACTGACTCCCCGATGCCGATAAGAAGAATCGCTTTCCCTCGGGTTAACTAGGAAGTATCAGCGGTGATACCCCTGTACATCAAAATAAGCTTGGCAGGCTAAAGTGAGTCCGGAGTGGCAAAGAGTCAAGCCCAGGTCGCATCCTGAGACAAATCGAGTTACAAGGAACAGAGATTTTCGCGCCAGGTACCAGGAAACCATCTCCGTAGGAGCCAAGATCCTGTCCTAAAAGAAATTTTCTGACGGGGCCCGGGTGTGGCGATCGTGGGTACGCAACTAAGGTCCTTCGGCGGGTATTCTAGAATTTCCGTCCATTCTAGAAGGTCTGGGCAAGATGGCCGGATGCGTCTACCTCATGAGTACAGTAGCATTTTTTTTTGTGATTCAGCCGCAATGGCTTCTACACAGGGGAAAAGGAACCTTAATTTGCCTGAATAGAGTCGAGGCAAATTTTGCAATGATACCTTACCAGAGGCCGATGAGCCTATGAGGGCCATGCGCCTCGCAAAACCAGGAGTCTAGGGCGCAGAGCTTGTAATTTTGGTGGTGGCCAGCGATGACCAGTGATGGTCAGTGACCGTGATGGATTGCCACCTCAGGACATTCCACAATTTGTGTTGTCGATCACAGACGAGCAAAGCAGACAAAGTGCCTCTTACAGTAGTGCGAGGTTTTTGTGCATGGGTCAAATCATCAAGCTACAACACATTCCGTGAGTTAGATCGGCAGGGCGATTGACCAACTAGTTGCAGACCTAACTGATTCGAGGCAGCAGTGTAAGTTGAATGACGTGACTTTTACAGGCATTAAAATTACGCAAGGGCGATGTGCGTGTCACTCGAAAACATGCGGGTCTCAGACTGTCGTGTCACTGGTGCAATCGTGACTGAACCGTGGGTCTCCAACGAGGATTGACATTCCGAGACCGGATAATGGCGTGGTTAGCGTCACTCGTGAGGTGACCGTGGGCCCATTCAGTGTCGACATTGGTCGGCCCAGTATGTGCAGATGGGGGTTAGTCTGGGAGTTGAGTATAGTGTCAGATTGCAGGGAACCCCATCGAGGATAGGTGGGAGACGAAGGGAAGAGGAAAAAGAAAACCAGGAACCCCTCTAAAAGAAAAAAGGAAACACGAGGAATCGCCACGCGCCTGAGCACACGCACACTTGCTCCATTTCTAGAAGGTCTGCCCCCCCCCTGCAGAGAGACACTCCCCTTGTCCCCCCCCTCCCCGGTCTTTCTAGTGCTTCTTAGGCTTCGTAGGCTATCCTATTGCTACTCTCCCAGGGCCCTTGCGTGTGTAATGACGGTGTATGATACCTGCCCCACCTACATTCTCCTTCCATTCTCCGATCCACCCCATCTTATCGCCCCGACTCCACTTGGGCGCCAGTACCAGGCATTACATGTAATACGGATCGACGAATGATTCCAGAACCCAGTCAGTGGAAGTGGAACCCTCGTTTCCTCTTTATTTCCCTTCGCTCCCTCGTTGATGATTAGGACTTTACTTTGGCTCGAATCTGCAACTTTGTTGTTCTATGATCTTTCCTTCCCTAACATTAATATTCCGATCCTAAAAGCTGGCCTCTTATCCAGCACTCAGGCGAGGATCGGTGAGAAAACGCACCCAGGGTCCCCGCCGTACCCTCTACGCCATGCTGAAGAAGAAGTCCCTGGCTTCTTCCTTCTGGAACTTTACCCCCAGTACGACTCCGGAACTGTCTCCAACCTCTTCCGATAGTGACTCCGACGAGGATATGGAATCTTCTGGCTCCCGACCGGTCAGCCTGGCCGTCTCGGCGGGAGCCTACTGTCTGATGCGGCCCACCCTCAATGAGGTGTTGGCCAACACCGCCCCGCCACCATACACCCTCAGTGCCTTCATGGCCTACCTCTCCCAGAACCACTGTCTCGAGACGTTAGAGTTCACCCTCGAAGCGAAGCGGTATCGGGAAACATACGAGGCGTTGGCCGATCGTCTGGGTGTCGAGACCATCTCCGCTGATGTCCCCGAAAGTCAACACCTGCGTATGCTTTGGCAACGCTTGTTAACGGCGTATATTATCCCCGGCGCCCCGCGAGAAATCAATCTCTCCAGCGAAGTTCGCGATGAGGTTCTCGCCTACCGCGACGTTACCACGCCCCCGGTCCCAGAAACGCTCGACTCCGCCGTCAAACGCATCCACGACCTGATGGAAGAGTCGATCTTCCTGCCCTTCCTCAACAGCCATGCCACCTCTCCATCCATGCTCCCCATGTCCGGCTCTCCTTTCGACAATGAATTGAGTTTATCAAACACCATGCTCGACGAACACCCGATGAAGAGAATCCGGTCTCGTGCCAGGCGTATCTCCCCCAACTCCTCCACCAAGGATCTCCCCTCCACGGCCGGCCGCTCAAGTTCGTCCCTCAGTGCTGTTCATGCAATGGGCAAGCGTACCTCTGGTGCGCTCAGCACAAGCGCCAGCGGCGATTCAACCTCCGTGGGCCTCACCGACGACTCCAGCCCCCAATCTAGTCCGACTGTGGAGGAACCAATGACACCGCCCAACACGCCCCCAGCCAGCGAGCCCCATTTACCCACTCACAGCCCCAAGCTGCGATCCGAAAATCCATGGAAGAAAATGGGCATGAAGTTGGGCTTCAAGAAGCGTCACGGCAACAGTGGTTCTCGTGATCCTAAAATTCTCGGTCTGGACGACTAAACTCACAAAATTCGACTCTCCAAAAATCTCCTTCAACACGAACTACACTACACATCTCCACGATTCTTTATCTCATTTCCAACGAAACTCTCCTCAACGAACTCCCTCATCGACTTATCCCCGCATGAGCTTGACCTTTTCACAACGCAATTCACATGACCCGACTTTGTTTAGCGTTTTTGGCGGTGTATGAGTGCACGATGCATCAGCATACGAATTCGGCGTTGTTTCTTTTTTTTTTCTCTTTTACATTTTTACTTCTTATCAGTGCCTCCTAGCGAGCATTCGATGCCCTGTCATATTGTTCTCATTTCCTTTTTTTTCTTGTGACATCTCTTGTGCGGGTTTGCCCACAAGCATTTTCATCATCATACATAGACTGGATGGAGCCAGTCCCTTGCGCTGGTCTTTCTTTTGCCCTTGTTCATTTACGAACCCATTTTCATGAGCACGACTCTTTTTTCGTCGAAGCTTGCTACGATAGGATGGCGTGTTTGGAATCAATAGACTTGATACCCCTCTACAAACACCTTTTTTTTCTTTTCTAATCTTTTCACATTTCTCATGCGTAATTCTAGACGTCAATGTTACATGTTACAGAATACGGGTAAAACACTCAATTCTTCGAGGCGAACATTCTAGTCGTGACCAGTTACCAAATGCGGTTCTGGAACGCGAGACCACGTCAATCCTTCGAACGAAGAATGGAGGCTAAGAGCCAAGGTTCGAAAACCGCGCATCATGCACATCAGTTGACCCACATGATATCAGCACTCCCTCTCCACCCCTAATCTTAACTTTGGCACTTCAGAATTGGCATTGGAATTGGAATGTAACTTTCTCTTATCATCCAGGGAACCGCGTCGATCCCGAACCATTCTTCTTTTGCTTTCCTTTTTTTTTTTTTTTTCTTTTTTTTCTTCTGGGACATGTCACCCCGAAGACCGCTAACTATGGACCCTTATGCCAATGTAACTCTGCGGCCGGATCGGGTTTCTAGGGCTGGGATTGCGGTGTTCCAGTTTGAGTCTAAGAGTGCTTGTAAATATTCTGGGAAGCGGGTGTTGAGGGCTGACAAGGTGGTCGTTAGGATTTGAAGGATTGAGGTGGATGGGTTGAGGGAGGTGGATAGGACTCTTGAGGCGAGGAGGGCGTGTGTCCAGGCTTTGAGTTGCGTGTGTACTGTGCAATTGCGCTTTAAGAGGATTGAGGCGTGCGGCTTTGGTTTGATGGGGTGGAGGTATAATATGTAGGATTCGTGCGCGAAGAGCGATGTTAGGCCGTAGAGTGGGATGCTGGTTTCTGAGGGTCTCGTGCTTTGGCTGTATTTGAAGAATGAGAAAAGGGAAATCCCTATTTCGGCGGTGCCTAGGTCGTGTGTTTGGGTTGGGGTTGTCCATTGCAGGGCGCCTGAGTCGTGGAAGATGCGTTCTTGTTGGGATACTTGGGCTGGGGTGAGGACGGTCCAGGATGCGGTGTCTTTCTTCGCGTTAGTCGGTAGGTCCCCGGATCGTAGAGATTCTATGTCGATGGCGGAGTCGGACTCGAGTAAGGTGGAGAAGAGTATGTTTGCTCGTTGTCTGTTCAGACTTGTCATTTGGACGGCTCGCACTGCGGCATAGTTCAGGCTGAGGTGTGCCGCTAAGAGAACTAGCAGTGCTGCCCACGTCGTCTTGAACCCGGTGACTTGAGAGACAACTACTGAGCCGACCTGTAGCAAATGGTTATTTCGATATCGTTGTTGGAATAGCATCGTGAGGGAGTCTTACAAGCATGCCAATTAGGGAAATGACCGTCTCTTGAGACGAGTCTTTCTATAAATGAATTAGAAAAAGCCATGTGAAAACAGTTGTAAAGCTTACAGCATTGAGCTCCGCTAGGTTACCCCATTTCGCAAAATGAGCACTCAAACTCGCCTTTGAACTCCCACCGGCAACTCCACACAGAGCACGCAACACGCCCGCCGTGCTGAGAATGCTTACGCGCATCACTCCGGCTGGGACCATTGGCGACAGACAGTCCATGATCATAGCAATGTCGTTGAATACATCGGCTGCTAGACGGTAGGTTTTACATTCAGGTTCGAGGGCTGTGCCAACGCGGTGGGCAAAAAGAATGGTAGCTACACGACCTGATGAGTCTTGGAGGATATGTAGAAGGAGAGCGGATGATGGAGAAGCGTTTGCGTCACCGACGCCGACTCCTATGACTCTTGTTAGTCTCCAAGAAGTGCATACATAGCGTGGGACGGCGAACCTTGTAGAACGGCCCTAGAGGAGAGAAGGCCTGCGATTGAGCTGCAGAAGGCCTGAAGGGAGTCCTTTCATGCAAGAAAGATGTAAGTAAAGATACTTATTCAATTGGGTCCATTTCCGTGAAATATACGAAGACTTCATATTGTCGACTGGGCTTCAAAGGAGAGCGCACGAGGTCCATAGACTCACAAATATTTGATATCTAGGTGATTTTATTAGCGAATTGTCCGATAAAACATGGGCGCGAAAACTCCTTGCTGAACATACCGGATGTAATCTTCGCTCACGCTTTGAGGATATCCCGAGGGAAGAAAGACATCGGTGAGAGAACTGATGAGAGGCTTGGCAGACCATGTCAACAAGTTCGAGGATGGTTCCTGATAGATATTGTCAGATTCCCCCGACCGTTTACATGCAATCATTCTTTTCTGCTCAATGCATAGATTGATACGCCAAATATTCAATGGCAATACGTTCAAAAACACCAATGCATGGTCAGGCTAGGGTGGCAACAAGAATGACAGATCGCGATAGAGCCATGTGCCAATCCAATCATTTAGCCAGTCGCTCTGACACAACCATTGCACCCAAAGCATGAGTATTAATACATCCATACCTCCAGGGCTATTCTCGAGACAATAGATTGCAAATCACGTCCGGTATCAATCGGGATGGAACCCCGACTGGGGAATGTCCGCTCACCATTACATCCACCCTCCCCGAGGGCGCATCTCGCTTGGACAGCACATTCTGCGTAGAGTAGATATAAGTCGTCGTAAGGTTGTCAGCCTCATCTGTCTCGCGCAAAGTCAAAGAACTCTGTGCGTGGGCCACCATGATGTTGTGATTGGAGGAAGGAGGGAAACGTGTAGTTCGGGAATTGAAGGTGGAAAGGCAGGGCACGTGCGGGGAACGTGTTCTCTCAGTCATCTACAAGCCAAGGAATTTATCTGAGGAAACCATAAGTGTTTATATCTAGTGAAGAGAAGGGGGATAGTCAATGTTCTCCATTGTCCGCATCAAGTGCTCCTAGAGCAAAAATTGTCACAATGTGAGCAGAAGAATGCTCAGCCAATCACTCAAAGTCCATAGTCTATAGACAATTCGCATTCGCTTTTCCAACTTCAAAAGAAGCAGTGCATAAGTGCGCGCGTTGAAAGGAAAGTCAAAAGTAAAAGAAACACCGGGAACCAACCACCAGCGCCAGGTTTGCAGTAAAAAAATCTAATCACACAAATGAAACGAGAGTGGCAAGACCCCAAAAGTCGCGGGTTTTCGCGAATGATAGGAAAGATGGTCTCACTGTCGGGCCAGCGAGTGAACACCGCATGTGAGGTGCTACTCGAGACTCGATCAAGCCACGTTCCCCCCCCCCAAAGGTCGCCAGTGTCCACATCCACGACTGATTGGCACCAGCCACGTATCCATGATTCAACAATCTTCCATCATGAGAAGTATCGTCCTCCGTCGCTCATATATTGGGTATCTCTGCCAGCAGGGAAAGAAAGAAGTCACCAGGCTTTGAACTTCAACTTTTTACGCGTACAAGCTGGCGCCGCCAGACTCGATGGCCTCGATCTCGGCCTCGGTCCAGGACAGACGTCCGAAGCGAGCAGGGAGCTCAGCGCGGTCGAAGAACTCGCCAGCAGCGGGACGGACGGGGCCCAAGGCAGCGCCGGACATGGCACCGATACCGCCGCTGGTGAAGGAGGCACGACCGAGAGGGCCGTGCTGCTGAGCCTTGGCTCGGTATGTGGCGAAGGAGTCAGGGAGAGTTCCGGTAGGAGAAGCGGGGTGAACGCGAGGAGTGTGGTCCACGGACTCTGAGATGAAGGTTAGTGTCATTCGCGTGGCCGGAGTAGCCAGGGGGGGAGGGGAGGGGAGCAACGCCGGGAAAAACGTACTAGGGGTGGAGCGCTTGCCCAGGAAGCGGATCAGAGGGGTGCGGGCAGCGTTGCGAAGAGCGGCAGTGGCGTGCATTTTGCTGGTGATGGGTGTAGAAGTTGTAGAATGAGGTCAATTTCACGAAAAGTGTGCGAAATTCAACGGGCCCGAGAGTATCCGAACCGACCCGAACGCGAAGAGAACGTGACACGTGAGGAGATGGTGTGAATTGGGTGAAGATAGGGAGAGACTGAAAGCCGAAGAGTAGTTGAGAGAAGTTGAGTGGTTGACAGTCGTGGAGTAGGTAGAGAGGGGGGTTTAGAAGAGGGAAACAGAAGAAGATAAGAATTCAGTTGATGGAAGCGTTACCGAATTGGGACGAGCCGACTCGGGGCCGAAAGTTGGGAGTTTTTGCAGCGGAGATTGTGTCACGCAATGTCGCGAGATCACATGTTCCGTAATTGTGCTCTGCTTGTGCTGCTTCCTTCGGCCCTCACATTGGCTCACGGCGCCGCGAACACAACCATTCACAGATTCCCCCGCACCGTGAAGCATTACTTCCCCTTCCCCGACTTACCCGATCCTTTCCCAACTGAGGCATTCGGTGAAGTTCCCCCCCCCCGGAGGCTTCAAATTCAAGGAGCTCCGTCATCCACTAGCATACGTCGGCTGCATTCTCTCTCCTCATAGGGTTCTACCGTTGGATCTGATCCCCACGGTTTCGACTTGAGCTACGCCCCCGCAATCCGCTGACAAACGCACATTCAGTTCACTCTGTGACTCTTGACTCTCTTCTATTTGATATCGCGAGGTTGATTTAGGTTTAGACAAGGGGTCTAGCTGCAGGGGAACCGGAAAATCGATTCCACAGCACGACGGGGACTCTGGGTGCTATTACCCAATAACGCACACACATACTTACACATAATTCATTGATAAGGCGGGATCGCGCCACTTGGGAGCTTGGACCGGCACTAGACACATCCCGGCTTCTCCCGCATCACCTCACCTGAGGCACCAAAGGTAGCACAGGCACAGGCACACTATGCACGAGTTACTACTCTTCGCCTCGGTCCCCGTCCACCAGCATCATGAGCTCCTTCAGCAGCTCGCTGGCCTCACAGCCATGCAGCCTCGCCACTCGGTCGAGCGGCGGCTGATCTTCAAGGCCTACCGCAAGCCTGGGTTGGTCACTTCGCGCGTCGGCGGTAGCCAGGATCTTCAGCAATCCGGTGATCTGCAGCGTGTCAACAAGATGTTGAACGGTGGCATGTTCTACACTCAGGTGGTTGGCCCTGTGTCCGAATCGGATTTCAGCACACCGGCCCCGACTGATCCCGATACCCAGATGGAGGGTATGAATGATTCTAAGCCAAACGCCCAGACAACATCCACCTATGACTATGAGCAGCAGCCATGGAAGCTGGAGTTTCGAGATATCCCCGAAGCGGGGACTCGATCCGCGGTCACATCTCGGGTGATGGCCAGCGCCTCACTTCCGCGCGGCGACATCATACCATCCATGAATGCATGGGGCTATAGGTTAGTGGCCTGTTCTGTCATCATCATACCTTAAGACTTATGTCGTATTTTAGCTTTGTGACCGAATATGTGGTCGAGGGAGACGTGTTCATTCAAAATGATATCGTCATCTACTTGCACCGCGTGCTGCACTATCCTTCCGGTGAGCAAGAGCATCGGGAACCTCGCCGACATCTTCCGGTCTTGAAGGAGATGACGCCGCTTGAGAAGAGCGGCAGTTATGTCCTGCAGGCATCCATCAATGTCCAAGATGGGAGTAATCAGGAGACCATGAAGATGGCCTCTCAGCATTTGTTTGGGCTGCGGGAACAGCTCAAATCAGCGGTTCGTTTGGAGCAGGCTGACCGCCTTTCTCTTGATACCAGAGCCAAATAGACTCTATTTCGGCTGTCATGATACCCGGAGAGGCAGCCTCCAGGAGTGATGTTTGATGAGCATACAGCAATAACAAAAGGCGGCGACCACAATATAATAGAAAAAATGAACAACAACTTTAGTTCAAAAAGTTTCTCATGCGACTGTAGTTCTTTTCATTGCTATGGATATGTATCCTACGCCTTGGCGAGTGTCGCTGCCATTCTACCGATTTGGGCGGCCGAGCATGTGACTTCGTGAACCTCAAAAGCGCGTTTCGGCGCGTCACCTCATCTGGCTGCTCCCTCCAATAGTCCACCCGCAGCGCGATACCCGAATCGAGATCCAAAACCAGTCACCGCCAAAACGTCTCCTCTCAATCGAGCCCTCAAAATGTCCGCGGGGAACATGAAGCGCACAGCCTCCCCCACTCGGCCTATCTCCCCGCCCCCGCTTCGGCGCAAGGTCGAGTCATCGATAACCAGTGAGTACCCTCATGGGTACAATGAGATCAATGCTGATTTATTGTGTGCGAGCAGAGACAGCTGCCGCCAATTTCTTCACCCCTGCCTCGCAAAAGAAACCGGAACCGATCAAATGGAGGATCCTCGGGACCAGCTTGATTATTGGGAAATTCACCCCAGAAAACAACGCTCCGAATCTGCCAGACAAGGATCGTAAAATCGCTGCATTCGATCTAGACTCTACATTGATCAAGACAAAGTCCGGGAATACATTCCCTCGATCGGCGACAGATTGGCAATGGTGGAACAACGTTGTCCCAGGCAAGCTTCGAGAGCTCAACTCCGCTGGGTAATACTCCAAAGATTCGCAACGAAATACAGGACTCTCTAACCGCTCGCAGCTTCCAAGTGGTTGTATTCTCCAACCAGAAAAAGATCGCCATTCAAAAGGATATCAAGGCTGGCAGTGGCGAGTCGAAGAGTCTTACCACATTCAAGGAAAAGATAACTGCTATGATGAATGATTTGCAAGTTCCCATCAGTGTGTACGCCGCTACAACCGATGCCGAATACCGTAAGCCTCGTCTGGGCATGTGGCGAGAGTTCCAAGATGACTACGATCTTGATGTGACGGGAATTGACATGAAAGGATCCTTCTTTGTTGGTGATGCTGGTGGGCGGCCAGGTGACCATTCTGCTGCCGACCTGTAAGCGCTCCTCCGAATTGGTTCATTTCAATTGCAGGTCTGACGTTCTTTGCAGAGGATTTGCTTGCAATGCTGGATTGAAGTACCATACGCCCGAGGAATTTTTCCTTCGGGCAGGCCCCAGGTCAGACAAACGGCACTTTCAATCCCAAATCCTTCGTGGAAATGGATCTAGAGGAACCCCGTATGTGGCTCATATCGAGCAGCAGTGCACTTCAGTGCGGAAGCTGACGTGTAACCTAGGTGCTAAATTTACCCGAAAGCATTCTCTAGAGCTGGTCATCTTCTGTGGTAGCCCGGGTGCCGGAAAGTCATCATACTACTGGAATAATATGGAGCCACTAGGGTATGAACGGGTGAATCAAGATATCCTCAAGACCGTGAGTCCCCCCTACGTCCCTACTAGACCAGCTCCCTGACACGTCACAGCGACCGAAATGCCTTAAGGTTGCTCGAGAGCACCTCGAAGCCAAGAAGTCTGTGGTAGTCGGTGAGTCACGATCGCCATTTGTTGGGTACCAATTCCTTCTGACCTTGCTGACCCACCGCAGATAACACGAACGCCAGCATCGAGACTCGAGGATACTGGATCGCCCTCGCAAAGGAGTTGAATGTTCCCATTCGTTGTATTCAATTCATCTCCACGCCAGATTTATGCAAGCATAACAATGCCGTTCGAGCATCAAACAAGGAAATGGTTAGTATTTATTAACCTCGGAAATATTAGCCTGAAAAATCTTTTGACTCCATGAACAGAATCCCGAATCACGAACATTCCTCCCAGGGATCGCATTTGGTGACTTCGGTCGTCGCTTCCAAGAACCTACCCTCGGCGAAGGGTTTGAGGATATAATTCCAGTCAAGTTCCAGTTTCAAGGCACCGAAGAGGCCAAGAAGATTTGGGAACAGTTCTGGATATGAGAGTCAACAAATCGGCTCTTGTTCCAAGTTTTCTACATCCTGCCCTCTACCTTATACCCTCGAGAGCTATTGACCGATGTTAGAGCCCGAGGCAGTAGATTCAAGTCATAGCTTCTGGATTCACAGGTACATGCATTCAAGCTTGAGACTGAAGTCGTCCCATTCTTCCGAAGCCCTTTGTCGACATGACCTGTTAGCTTCTATGGCTGGCATTGCTTCTAGCCCGGCGGGTGAATAGTTCTCTGTTTCGCGCCGTCTATGCATCTTTTATTTTGCTTGGTAATGCATCTAAGTAAAAGCATTGTGCTAGTTAAATGCTCAACTCATGAGCTTGATGTATAGCCACACCACGTGTTAAACAGAAGCATTCCATAGAGCCCAATACCCACTTAACACAGACTTGCGCTTTCCTCAAGTTCAGTAACTTTGACACAATCCCGCTGCAAACTGTGCTAAATTCCATTTCTACACACTCTGTAGCACTTTCACAAGTTGAGCAGCATATCTATGTCGCCCCCATCTCCTCTCCCATCTAGTATTTGACTTCGACGTCCTTATGTCAAGGCGCGCCTTCTCCGCCCCCACCCTTGATAGAGCTCCATACAATGATGGGGGATACTCGATAAGAATACGACAGATCATGATTGACGAACTCTAGTTCTACCCCTCTACCCCTCATCAAGTTTCTGTTTAAATCCAGCCTGATCCCTGCTACCAATTATCCTTCTCAATTGTTCCCTCTTTACATCCCCAAACAACCAGTACTTCCACTAAAAACATGGGCAAGAAACGCGTACTCGTCGGCTACGGCGTCGACATCGACGCAGTTGCCGGCTGGCTAGGCTCCTACGGCGGCGAAGACAGCGTCAGCGACATCAGTCGGGGTACCATCTCCTCCGCCCCCTCCTCCAGTCTACCAACACTAACCCACAACCCTCAGGCCTCTGGGCTGGCCACCATGGCACACCCCGCCTGCTGAAACTGTTCGAAAAATACAATATCAAAACCACCTGGTTCATCCCCGGCCACTCACTAGAGACCTTCCCCGAAGAATGCGCCATGGTCCGCGACGCAGGCCATGAGATCGGCCTCCACGGCTACAGCCACGAGAATCCCGCCGCAATGTCAAAAGAACAGCAGCGCGACATCCTCGATAAAACCTATCACCTGCTCAAAGATTTCACGGGCAAGCCGCCCCGCGGCATCGTCGCACCGTGGTGGGAGGCCAGTGCTGAGATGGTCGAGCTTCTGCTCGCATATGGAATCGAGTACGATCATTCCATGTCGCATCATGATTGTCAGATGTATTGGTTGAGGACCGGGGATTCGTGGACGAAAATTAATTATGAGCAGAAGGCGGAGACTTGGATGAAGCCGCTGGTTAGGGGACGGGATACCGGATTGGTGGAGATTCCGGGGAGTTGGTATATTGATGATTTGCCACCGATGATGTTTATCAAGAATTCGGCCAATAGTCATGGATGGGTTAACCCGAGGGATGTGGAGGATATTTGGAAGGTTGGTGTTCAACTCTATACTCTCTACAGTGCGGTCTATGCTGGACTTGGGCCCGGTGCTAATAGTGGGTAGGATCATTTCGATTACTTCTACAGGGAGTATGATGAGTTTGTTTTCCCCATGACAATTCATCCGGATGTCTCTGGCCGTCCCCATGTGTTACTTATGCATGAGAGGTAAGACAGTCGCTCCCGATATGGAGAATCGTATAGAGAACCGTATGCTAACGTGATGCAGGATTATCGAGTATATCAATAGTCATGAGGGCGTCGAGTGGGTGACCTTTGAGCAGATGGCAGATGATTTTAAGAGTAGAAACTCGCCTCCTGAGGGCGCTTTAATGCCTGCTGTCAAGCCGCAGGCTTGATATGGATTCGTAAGAGATTGAGACATGGCCGAGAGCGGTGACTGGCGCTCATTGTATCTTTGTGTTCATTCATGACTTTTTTAATCTATCCGAAAATGTATTTCTTGTAGCTTGTGGCACTGCGCCCTTGCGTAAAAGAATATCGTGCGTTGCATTGATCGCTTTATTTACCTTCAATTGTGCTCGTGCGACTCTCGCAAGGTATTGTGATCTCGACTGATTGTCGTATACAGCCCCTGGCTGAGGGGAGCAATGGCATGTGAAGGTGAGTTGCACCTGCAAACCCCTCGTCACTTGCCCCTCAACATACCCCGCGTGAGAGTACGCCTATCGCATCTTTCTTTCCATCGGGGCTCTGAATGAGTGTAGATCTTGGCTACCCATAGGCAAGAGGATCTTTTTGTGCCACCTGCATGTCTCGATCGATACACATCGGTAGCATTCAGAGTCTTGGCGCGGAATATTTTGCATGTGTGTTATTGACTATGGACTAGGAAATACACATATGGTCTCATACTGGACGTGAGACCTAGCCAGTGAAAAGAATTCTGGAAAACAGAATACTCGAGGTGAGACGTATGAAGTGGAACATGTGAGAATGGAAGACGAATTTTCTCAAGTCGGCGGGATCGAGATCGTAGGTTTGCATCCTCGAAAGTGAAGATCTGATCAAACTTTGCTAAATGATGCAGCTGTACATGCACTGTCCAAAAGATGATTCCGCCATTCATGGGTGAATGTTCACAATCGGAAACATTGATAGATCATGAGTCTTAGGGCTTGACCGGTCTCCGTCAGGACAACATGCCGGCACGACGCAGCTTCAGATGGTAGGTGGTCTGGCGACCTCAGATAGAATCAACAGAGGCAGTATGAAAAGAGCAGGGAACCTTGCGCTGCGATGCATAAGTCAACAATGAGAGATGCGGCAGTATTCCCCGACAGATCAGATTTGTAAAAAGCTACAGTAGAAGTATGCACACAATTCTATCACTTCATGAGCAAATGATCTTCCGGAGATTGATGAATCATGGTCACATAAAGTCTACGAAGTTCTCTGCCACGAATGATCCAGATCTCGAGATAGTTTCATCTGATTTTTTTTCGCATGATCTCCAGATCCCTGTATGGTATACCGGAGATGGCTTCTAAGAGGCACGAAGTCTCTACTACAGCAAATGACTAACAGGTGTCACTTCTTAGCCAGGAAACGAATTAACTTATCAACTAACCTTGACGAGTACATCTCAGACGCACGTGCGGGAGCATCGCTTAGGGAACATAGGACTACGGAACAGGTGGCCAAGAAGTAGGATGTATCCATGGAGCGAGATGTAGCCCAGTACAGCCAGTAAGCCCCTGCATTTGCCGAACGTTCTCCGGCAGTGGATTGCAACGGTGCGTGTCTACCTTCCCAAGGTACATTTACTCGTTACAATGATGGTATGTGGTGCCGACGGGGGCCTTAGTGCCAAGGTCAATTATCGTGGCGAGGAACCGCGGAAGGCTCGAGCTGCACGTGGTCAGCACTTCGATGCATCAGCTGCAGTTCATATCGAGCAAGATCCTTCAAGCCAAGGTTGAGGCAGATGCAAGGTACGAACATTAGAGACCAAGGACAAAATTTCGCCTTGAACTAGGACCATTATCATCTATAGAGTGACATTGCCACTGTCAAAAAAATAGATCTGCAGTATATAATTCGAGCAAATAGGGACCGCCTGCCTTCTGGTTCTGAATGGCCCACACGATTGGGTTTCCATCGGTTTTCTCACCGATCGTCACAGCTTACTGCTCGGTAGCGATTAAATGCAGTCACTGGATCCGCAGGGTCTGACAACGTCATTGGTGGATATTCTCATCCTAACGAGAGAAGAAGCAAAAATAGACGAAGAGATCAATGCGACATGAAGGCAACGAACAGGAAATTGACCCGTCGTGTTGCGTAGGCACTATACTGACGTACCGGGACCGCAACCGAGCGACACCCAAACGGTAAGCAGAACCCGCGGAACCAAAGTGGCAGCGGCGCCGAAACCCACAGCCGAGCGGTTCTCGCCCCTTTGCCATCAACCAAATTTTCCCACTCCATTGTTCATCCCAAGGTACCCGCCAACCATGATGATCTCCGAGTCCCCGACCATGTGGATCTGACGTCGTTTTTCTTTCTCTTCTAGCGCTCTGCCGTGGCCGACCGGGTTCATTTGAGTGGTTGAGTGTTATCGTGCGAGACGCTACTTGGACAAACCGGGCCACCCCGAAGCCTTCCCCTCGGCCTGGATTACAGGTCCGACTCTGTGAGAGTCGGAGAAGACTGTGCGACCGAGCGACTTCGGACTAAGGTTCTTACTATCCTTTGCTCGACGCTGTGCGACGCAGGTCAGCCCGGAATTATCGGGCGGGTGTCTTTTGTGGGAGGGGCCGGTCATCACAAACCAAACGAGAGTGGGCAGAGAGCTCAAAAACAAGGGACTGGATGGGAACTGGATGGGTCAAAATGGCATCATAACGGTCCGACGGTGCTCCACCGGCAGAGTCTAGATGCCGCCGATCTCGCACACGTCTCTCGCACCGGTCTGAAAAATTCGACCCTGGACCCTAAGTGATATCGATGCCAACAGGGTTCGGGGCATTTTCATTTCCTGTTACGATTTGGGTAGCACAAGATACACTACATCTGTGTAGCCGTTGGGGATGACAGGGTCGAGGTACCTGGGGAACCGTGTTTTGAAGGAGGAAACGAGTAGAAGTCCCGTAGAAAGGAAATGGAACAAATTGCAGCGACGGAACCATGGGGCGAGCCTGTGAACCACCGGAACCCGGCGGAGGCAGTTTTTATGTTTGGGAAATGCGCCCGAGGGACTGTCGCGTGTAGAGAATTTGAGACTTTTGGTGATTGTTCTGATCTTGTCTTCTTTAGGCTTCTTAGCGTCTTCCTTTTTTTCTCTGGTTTTCTGGGGCTCTAGCGTCTTAGTCCCCAGGTCTCAGCCTTTTGGGCCCTTTCTTTGATTCAGAGATCCTCTCCTCACCTTCCCACTTCCCGCGAGACACCTCCAGTCGACAACTCTCGACTTCTCGACAGTTTTCGTGTGACGGGGATCACCCTGCGGGCACATTATCACCGGCCCGTTTGCCGATTTCGCATCGCCGTTCTTCCTGCCCAGCCAGCTGGCAGTGTTTGGCCCACGTCTGCGCTGTTCCTTTCCTTCTTCCATTGGACCTTCGTCCTTTTTGCCTTCCTTTCCTCCAAAATCACACCGCCACGTCGAAAGGGTGTGACTCTGACCTTCTTCACGCGCTCTATATTGAGTGCTTGGTCCACCCGTTCCTTTCCCTCCAATGCTTAGCAACCTACCTTCTCGACACCAGCGACGCCCGACGGCCTCGCCCGCGCCATGCGTAAATCACCTTTCAATGATGCGCAACGAGACTCTCTCGAAATGTCATTAACTCTCAATACCTCTGCGCCCGCTTCTCCCGCTATCTCCCTCTTCTCCGTCCTTGGTCATAATCGGGTCTCCAGCTCCGTTTCCTCGCTGGTTTCATCTGGTCCGCTGGGCAACTCGATGGACAGCCCGAGCAGGAGTCACTTGACCGGGGTCAAGGAGGAGCCCATTGTTCGCGACTCATTCGAAGATCAATACTTTCGTATGTGTCCCCTTATGACTCACAAAACAGGTTTCGTGGCTAACTATATGCAAAGAACATTTTGACTTTGCCGATGAATCGTGCTTCCTGATGGACCCCTCTGATAGCTATGATCTCAGCGACAGCTGCGTTGACTTCCCTGCAACCAAGCGCCGCTCAGATAGCGCGTCAATGAAGGGGGTCTCGCGTATCAATTCGCATATCTCGACTATGTCAACTCGATGGAATCGCAGACATGCATCGGGAAGCCCCGAGCGTGACGGATTCCCAGATGATTTGCGATCGCGAGCTAATTCGGCGGCTTCCTCCGCTCTGGCAAGCCCTATCGCCAGGCCCATCAGTGCGTCGCGCGTCGATTCTTATATTCCCCGTCCCCAGCGCGGACGATCTTCGAGGAGCGCATGAGCGATTCCAATGTGCGCCCTATCGATATTACCCGGGCCAATAGTCTGAGCGAGGACGACAATGACGCCTTGCAAGCAACCACTCCGCTTCTCCCGCCTCTTCTGGGCGACGACCCGACAAGCCTGGCCGCGTCGCGAGTTCAGTCTCCTTTGCAGTCTCCCTCCGTTGCGGATGTGAGCCAGTCCGACCAGCACTATATGACATCATTTCATGGTTTCGCTGGGGTTCCTTCGCCGCCACTCTCGTCAAAGCCATCGGTTGCGTCGTTTTCTCGGCCTCGTACCAATACTTGCCGAACGGTTTCGGGTGATTCCGCCCCATTTGTTCTCTCGGATCCCAATGACGAATGGGCTAGCAAGTTGGGCCACGCCAATTTCACCATTCAGCCCGAACCCTACCGACCTGTGGCCTGCGATATTGACCATTTCCACCAGCTGCGTGCGGACTGGGATGTTGCGCGCTGCAACTTTGCCAAGCACCTCGTGCGCACGGGCGAGCACTATGGCGTCACCTCCAACATCTACAAGCTCACCGGCGAGAAGTGGGAATGCATCAACGACCAGTGGAGAGGGGAACACGAGTCCATGCTCAGCCAACTTGGCTCCGTGGACGGTGTAGCCCTCACCCTGACTCAATCTAATCTCCGTCCCCGCGAGCAAGTCTGCATCCCAGGCCTGCACGACAACGCCAAGTTCCCCGAAATGGGAGACGAAGATATTGTTGGGCCGATGAGCGTCGCTCCCGCGACTGACATCGCCGGCACGTGCCGATCAACCCCAATGAAGAAGCGCAATCTCTTCCGCTTCTTCCAAGATCTCGTCTCCCGCTCTTGAGCGCTCACCATCGCTTCGATATTTTTCCTTTTTGTCCTGCTTCCGAGCAGTCTACGATAATGACCATAGACTTGGCGCGACTGTCCCGGATATTCTATCTGGCTGTAGTCCGCTTTTACGACTGATGTCTCTCTTGCCGCTTTTGATGACTCTTTACGACCTTACGATCCGGGCGACTACTGCTCTCGCTCCCGATCATGCCTTTCCTTCGTCTATCCAACTTGAGTCATGTGTCTTTCTCATGAGTCTTGTTCCCTGGATTCGAGTTTCTCCCTCGGAAGACTCGAATCTCAGGCTGGGTGAAAGCCCGTCCGTTCCTTGTTTCACAATATACCCCTGCATGAAACCGCTGTATCCTATAGACTTGTTTCTCAAGACAAAAAGCACGTCTTCCTGTCTTCATTCTCATGTTGTATATAACTCTCTCATCCGCCTAACCGTGTGGTGACCAAGCTGCTTGTACACAAAATGCATATTAGATCTGATACTGTTTCCAATCCTGATTCTGGACTCTGATTCACCATGTCATTATGTCTGCAAGTCCCTGCAAGTACTAAAGTACTTTACACATGTAATTCAGATTCTAGAGCATTCACGCCATGCAAAACAGCCGAGAACTCCCGATCAAATCCCAGAACGCACCATCAAGTACGCGGTGCCTAACGTTAGCGCCTGAACTGACGCTCTCTCTCAACGGATTGTCATCCCCAACGGCCCATCGTAATAAGCCCGCTGCAGACTTCGTGTTGACCCACCTTCAATCCCTTTAGCGTTCCTGCATGGTGCAAGGGGAACAACGCACATATGGCGGCCCGAGTTCCGCACCCTCGTGATTCCAGTGCTTAACGCGCGAGCTGACCGGTGAAGATTCGGGGTATAATGCTATGGTATTCTACAAAACATGAGTCATCGGTTCATAGCAAAAATGTAAGAAACCATTTATTTCTGTTTTTCTTAAACTGTTCAATATAGGTGACGAGATAAAAAGTTCAAAACCCCCGAAGAAGCCTGGTTTCCCAGGCATCGACATGTCTACTTCTTTCATCTTGATATCAGACACGGACTCTCCCTTTTATTCTTTTTTTCCCTTGTTCAAATACATCCGGTCTTGCTTCCCACCAATACATATCCATCGATCTACTAGGCTCGGAAACATACCCACGTACTTAGATCTAGACCAGGCGCGAAGACAGATGTGGGGGCACAGTGTGGCCCCACGAGCTTGGATTGTGCCTCGGCTGCTCGCTTACAGATTTGTGCGACAAGCGAACTGTCTATGATCAGCCCTAAATATGATGTATCGAGTCAGTGAAAGACTCACAGAATTGTATATCTGTAAGCCCTGATGAGTGCCGGGCCAGGGGGCAAGTGTTCTACACCAAAAATCAAACCGTTAGGATATCGGTTCTATAGCGGACTTGCCAGGTGCATAATGCTATGAAGTGCTTTTATCTTACAACTATTTGCAACAAATACTTCTATTTTGAATGGCTATGGCACTTGACGTTAGATGTTAAAAGTCAACTGTGATGGATGTAGCACATGATAGTGCTAGATATGAATCGGCATAACCTCCTTCTTTCGAGCTACACAAAGAGTAGCGCCATATAATACACTATAGCGTTCGCCATAACCTGGTATTCATCCCACTGTCCCGACTGATCAAAAAAATTTGCCTCTACTGTATCCTGATTTCCACCGAGCAAGCCATCATGATGCGGGACCGTGAATCATGAGTCTCGTCGGCAGGACTTCACAGTAGAGCCAACTAGGCTGAGAGTGCGTTCATTCTGATCGAACTTGGGATTCTCGATGAAGTCAGAAATAAGAAGATGAATTGGAGGGTATGGTAAGCTACTTCGCTCGAGGTCACCGGCTCCCAACCTTGACTCCTGCCAATACAAATCGGTAACCCAGGGGGGAGATCGTGAAAGGGTGCCTCTATTAACTATTTTGATATATCTCTTGATAGCTCAAACCCCCCCCAATCCTCTAGTATCTCTAGTGCTTAGCTAAGTTATAGTACGGTCAGTCCATATTGCAAAAGTACATATGAATACCAATATATATACACTGTTTTGTTTACTATCGCTATAAAATCCATGAATTTATGAATTTCACTTTAAACCCCTTCTTTTAACCTTTATGTTTTGCGACTAAGGCATAGCTTACCTAAGACCTAAATAAAATAGTAATACTCTACCGAGAGATCGATCTATATTTGTAGTTACCGTCAACTAGTTCTGCTAGCTAAGTCTCTGTGAGTCGGAGCTCTGATTTTTTTACAGTAAACATTATTAGGCTCATTCTGCCTCTTTCTTAAATAGCTCTATAAATAGATATAATAGAGTCTTTCGGTGTTTACACTTTAACTTATTTAGGAACCTATATTTAAGAGGTTCCTCACTAGTCCGTAGGTACTATTCTCGGAATTCAATCTATAGTGTAGTTTCTGTTACTAGCCGCAGAAAAAATGGCTCTGCTTTCTAAAAGACTTTAACTGCTTATTAAACCACCGCTTTATCTATAGATATATCCCTACAAAGGTCAAAATTAAGCACCTATGTATAATAATCACTCAGTACGTTTAAGGTTGTATTAGCCTTAATAATCTTACCCTACGGCGGCGTAAGACTAAATTCGACGCCCTTTCCGTCGATACTACTAACCTAATATATAATCGCTAGAGCCTTAGCTATTATAAGTACGTATTACTTAATATACGCGTTGGGAACTCTAAGCTTCTTTATCTGATTCCGAAGTAAAATTATTTTAATCTACGAGTATACCGCCTACTCTAGCTCAAAAAGCATCTATTACACTTACTTGCGCCGGTTTTCTCCTCTAGTCAAGTACAAACCCTACGTGGAATGTATTGCAGTCCACCAACCCCTATGAGTGAGGAATGGTAGGGTCTAAGGGCTGAAGACGACGGGTGAGCTTAGAAGGGAAACAAAAAAAGACTTGAAGCTGATGATATTCTCGACACGGTACTTCTAATGCTCAAAGCTGCGATTTTCTACCAAACTGAGAAACAAATGCGAAGTAGGTTAATATGATCCTATTCGATAATTGATGGCTTCGGCTCCTCATCAAAACTGCTTAGCTTCGCTATCGCTCCAGTCAAATTCCTCCTTGCTCTTCTGATACTCCTGTGCATTTCAATTCTCCTGTCCCGGTTTCTTGTCTGTTTCCTGCAGAACAAGGGTGAACAGCAACACCAGATAAATATCATCTGTATCTCGGTTCTTCAACACATATCGCAGATGATGGTTATTCTCGTCAATATGCCGGAGAACATTGATATTGATACCATGAAGACGTAGAGAAAAGTCTACCACGATGTCAGCATACCTCCACAACGCAATAAAAAACAGGCTCAAGGCGAAAACATACCACTGAAGACCAAATAAGGATTTCCAAAATCCACCCAGTAAACTCTCCCCGGCTCAAAAACAAAATCCTTCCGTGTCTGTTCGTCCCGGAAATACTTCCTTCTTTCATCTCCAGGGAGCGGAACACCCAGGCCTTTTCGAGCCTCAACACCATCCCCTTCTGCGCCTTCCTCTAAAACTTCTTGATGTAATGCATGCACCTCGTGGTCTTTCATATTTGCGGGTCCGATTCGGAAGTGGTTCCACGAGGCCAGTCCGGGGCTATACAAGTATGGCTTGTCGGCATAGGGATCTCCATCTAGCGAGGATCGATCGCCCACTTCACGAGGCGGAGGGCGGTTTTGAAGCCAGATGGTAGGCGATCCCGGATGGGACGATCAAAGTCGTTGCCGAAGAGGAGAGAATCCCCATTGACAGGTTTTTTGAAATTAATTGCGAAGGAGAGGGAATATTGATCATTCGTATGGAGGGGATGCGTGAAATAGGGGTTTGTTTTGGGAGAGTTGTCTGGGTAGCCTACATGCTCTTTAGTGTTCAGATATCGACAGGGTAAGAGATTGTAGCTTATACCTGTGTAGTCCTGGATGCGAACACACAATCTCACGCAGGCGTGCTCGTTCTCGATTCGTAAAGACCGGTCTTCGTTGACTGGAACGAGTTGGTGCGTAGCTGGATCGTATGAAGAACCTGCGGTCACCTTTAACCGATACCTGGCCGCTTGATCCTGGCCAGTCATTTCCACGGTTCTGAAGACTATTGTCGCAGCTCGTGGGATAATGCAAATCGTTGAAACCGGTCCTTTTTTTGGGTTTTGTTAAAGTCAAAGGTTGAAATTAATATTTTGCTCGATGACAAGATGGTTTTATAACGTGCCCAGTCAGCCATGCCTCTATCACCCTTCACGGGTAGACCTGCGATGACGTCGGTGGGTGCGGTTATATAACATGAGGGGCATTTCAGGATATTGCCAGGGACACCCCTGAGTAGCCTGCGCCAGAACCTGCATAACCCAAAACCCAGCCCGCACCAACCCGCATGCGGGTTAGGTATTGAGGTCCAATTCTTCAACACGCACGTGGGTTTTGGGTCGAGGGCGGAACCCAACCCAACCCGCCAAAACCCAACCTAAACTATTCAGCCTATAAATGGATTATGCAAAGATACATACATTCTAGGGTCGTAAAGCCCTATTATCCTAGATGATATTCGAATATATAGATATTATTATATACAACAGGGTTTATAACAGTTTCAATATATATATATACTAGATTTAGAGGTTTCGAATAAAATAGCTCTTAGAAAAAGTGGTATACCAATAGGAAATAACCCCACTTACCTTGTTAGGTATATGTACTAGTCATAGAGCTATATGTAGGCCATATACTATAATGCATTAATACAATATAATATAATAGCCTTAGGAAAGGTAATGTTTAGTATATTAAAGATTACCTGTAAATAATCGTTAAGGTTTTTTATGAATGCTAAGACCTATATCTACATAAAAATGGGTGAAATGGGTCATCTGCGGGGTTTCACTATTAGTTTCGAAACCTATTAGGTGTGGTTAGATTCTAGGTGCAGAACCCAAAACCCGCATTGGGTTGGGTTGGGGTTTGATTACAGAACCCATTCGCGGGTTTTGGCGCAGACTAGTTGTATGCTTACATTGATCGGAGTGATAGTCTAAAGACATTTAGTAAAAAGGGTAAGCAAACTGCTAGCCGTTTCTACTTAAAGTTTCCAGGTCGGCAAGATAGAATAACTGGGTTTATATGCGTACATCACAGGTACTCATCAGAATCTTAGTCCAACTATGCTTGAATCGCATCACATAATGGCCCCACGAATATGGAACCAAGCTCTAGCCTCATCCATGCCCAAAATCGTGACCAAAAGCATCCTTCCAGATATATCAAAATCGGCCGGCTGTGCTTTCATCAAAGCAAATGTGAAATCAAGATTATGCACAACGAAATGCTCCTGTTCGGCCCACGTAACCGCAAAGTCGATCGCACTTAGTGCATTCCATAAATAAGCCGACAGATACTACGTATAGTTAGCAAAGATACTAAGCTTGCTATCGCGTTGTACAGGAGGCTTTGCCTTGGAGGAGCTTGTAAATTTGCTTGAAGTAGTATGTTAATAGGATAGTGCGTCGGGCGGATTCCTGTAAGACCTAAGCCTCCCAGAATTTAATTATTGGATCTAAAGATAATAGGAGGGTGTCAGTCGGTAATTTTAGATCTAGGAAGTGTATTATGCTTATAAGGGTGAGTGCTGATCTTTCTAGGGTTATGAAGAGAACTTCGGCTGTTGCTTAGACGCTGATGTCGCCGTTATGCCAGTCAGTCGTTTTCCGAGACGATTTCAAAGCCTGGTCAAAGAAACGCAGTCGGAATAACTGCTCGTCGTGGCGAAGTTGAAGTCCGTCCCTCTCGTTATTGCTAGCCTCCCTCAAAGTTTGATTGGTTTCAGTTGTTTCTCGCAGTCGAGGTATTTAGACACGCATGACGCCCGAAGACGACGATAGAGCCCCACAAGCCCAGCTGCTTGAAACGCGAGTTGCGGATCGTCGCGTTCGAGATCTGCTGGCGCCTCCAATACAGGTTGAAATGGCTCGGTTACCAAGACATCTTTCCGGGTCGCCTCCTGCTATCAGGGAGTGGTCAGCCAGAGCGTCCAAATGGGTATCAAACTTGACATACCAGGCAAGGTTTGGGGTCGGAAGGGGGCTGTGGCTCAGCTTCATCGCTCTGGGGCGGCACTTCATTCAACTGCGGGGCTTCTTTGTTTTGGTCCGGGATAGGTTTCGAGGCCTCCATCGCGTTCAGCAGGCTAAGAAAAATATTCACCAGGTGGAAGATAACCTATTTCCAATCAAGTGCTGGTCTTCTTTATAGACTGCCCCGACGCACGTGGCTGGGCCCTGATGCTCACGATGGGAATTCAAATTGATCAACGGAATCACTTCAACTAATCTTGATGTCTTCTTCTCCGATCCCCGATCATTGAGATATAGAATTGTAAAAAGCAACATTTAATATCGTGTTCTGCGGTGATTCACTCGGTGGTGAATTACGTTACTGCAGATAGTTTATGTAATTATCACACATCTTTTCCACGTACAACGAATTCTCTATTTCAAGACGTCTCGCGTCTATAAAGCTTCGCACAGAGATTGAACCGTGGAGAGTCTAGAGCTCGCCTTGATCTTGAGCCATTTTCTCTTCTCTTTCTTGCCTCCACCTCTCCCCCCATTTCCATCCACCCAAATCAGTGGAGTGAACAGAAACACGACACCGCTCACAATGAAGAACGCTATCATCGCCTTTGTGGTACCAATCAATGGCTGGATGACGCTTACTCCCACCGCCCCCAGTAGACATCGGCACAAGTTGTTGAGCGCTGTCGCACTCGCAGGTCGCTCCGGGAAGCAATCAATCAGCACAGTTGAGTTGATGTTCAATATAGCAGTGGCCGAGAAGGCAATCAGAAATTGAAGAATAAGTGGGGCGGCTAAATTTGGACCAAACCGTTGCCGTAAGTCATTGAACTCAAAACTTGGTCCGTAAAGCGCCAAAGAGATCACGAGAACAATGCTAAAGATAGGCATGAGGCGTAGACGGGCCCGCACATAGGAGAAGTCGCGTCTATGAACAAAACGTTCTTCCGGAGGGATGCCGTGTTCCTCCTTGTATCGCACCAGGGCCCGAGTGAAGCTCTGGTCCAGAATCCAGCCGGTACTGAGCGAGCCTAAGATGCAGCCTAGCCCGTTTGGGAGGAAACATAGCCCAATCTGCCATTGTGCAAGAAAAGGAAAGCCGAGCAGCAGCATTGTTGTGGTAGAAGATGCCACCATGTTCCATGCTGTATAAGCCACAGCGCCCCAGGCCAAAAGCACGGCGATGTCCTTTTCAAGGAGGTAGGCAAGAGGACTGAGCGCTTTCTTGAATGATAGTGGTGCTGGAGGCTTCGAGGGACTGCTCGTTCCAGCATTGTTTTTCTAGAATGATGGGGCTCTGATATAATAAATAAATGGCTTCTGGAAACCAGAGACAACGGTGGTGCCGTTGCCTGCTATGCTACGCTGTGTTTCCGGAAGGAAAATTAGGAGCGCGCCAAGGACAATCACGCTTAGGATGAAAAGCAGCCAAAATATGCTTCGAAAGCCCCATAGGCTATCCAACACGCCTCCAATGATTGGGCCAATTGCTTGACCCGTCATGCTGTTGAAATATTAATGGGTGGTATTCCTCTAGGGAGGGGTGCTTTCTCTTTACATACCGAACGCCAGCATTTGTCCCTATGAAACGACCGCGTTCTTCTGGGCAAGCAATATCAGCAACGACACCAGCACTAATGCTAATAGTCGCTGCAGGTCCTGCCGCCTGAAGGCCACGAAGTACCATCAACATTGGATAGTTAGAAGTGAACGCCAGGGCGAGGTTGGCCACAGTATAAATGGTGAGTGTTATTGTAAACGTGAGGCGACGGCCGCAAGCATCCAAGATGGCACCTAGGAGAGAGGGAGCAATACCCTGAACCACCATATATACCGTGATAGTAAGGGCTATAAGGGACGCATTTACTCCTAGATCCTTAGATATGGTGTCAATCGCGGGGAAATATATATTCGAAGACAGCGGCGAGAACGAGGCCGCCAACGAGACGAAGATGACAAGATTCCATTTTTGCTTGTTAGACAGGATGTGATATGATGCCTCAGGGTGTGATGAGGGAGCTGGCCCAGGCAAAGCTTCAGTAGAGTTAGGTTTTGACATATCCTGATGAGATCTGTGCCACTTGTGAGCTTATAATGTTCCCTGACGCCGAGAACTAGTGGGTATGGACGTAACACTGACTTATTTATATACTCTCGCGCTTGATGCTGTCCCGCAATTTGAAATCAAATAGGAGAAAATATCTAAACGTTGGGAAACCATACACCGAATGGAAAATATAAATACTCGCAAATGAAGTGCTGTGGAATTGCCTAAATACCGAACTTGACACTTCTAGGTTGAGAATAAAAAGGGAAAATCCCTGTACATAACGGGATGCACGTTATAGGGGTAACAGAGAAACAGAGGCGATAGTGCATCTGCCCCTGTCAACCCTACTGCGCCATTTCTGTCGTACTGCGCCTTTTTTGTCTTACGTCCAGAGCGCTTACGTTCTTCGCTTTCATAATGCATAGGGAACGCGAGCTGCAAATTTTGCTCATTTTTGGCGAACGGAATCCCTTGGTGGCAACATTCTTCAGAAGCCCACTTTGACTCTGAGCTATTGCCGTCGTAAGTCGATCGAATGATCAAATACAGGGTTGATTCAGGAACGCGCTAGCGAAATGGCTGCGGATGATCGCCAAGATCTTCACCCTCAGTGACCGGGGGAAGACAGACCATCGGGAAACAAAACAAAATATAGCTAATAAGAGCATATGGACTGATATATTAGCAAACTGAAAGTATGCAACAACATAGTCCCATTACTGGAACTAGGAAGACCGCGTCAGCAGTGATTACATAGAATTCGTGTACTGTGGATGAAGCCATTTAGCTGCGAGGACGTGGCCCTGTATTATAGGGTCATTGCGACTCCAATACCTTCAAGGTTATCGCATTTTAACCATTAACCTCCAGATGATCGACATGTTGGATGACGACTTCATCCCACGAGATCTGCAGGAAAATATCATGTCTGTGAATGTGTCAGACGGTCATGAGCGCGACGGTTACTCAATCTACTTGGATAGTGGTAACTATGAGAATGATCTCCAAGTTGTACAAGACACTCAGCTGGACGTGGATAACAATTCACCGCCGATAACTTCCTCTGTCCCCATAAATATTAACGGTGAACGACCCCGACAGGCACCCCTTGGATGCCTTGCTCAGTGTGATCTCCGATCAATCAGCACTGTTCCCCCCAATGCACACATGGGTATGACCAGTAGCATACCCTTACGTTTTTCGTATCCAATCCAGGGTAGCGCGACATTTGTGGATCATTTGGACGACCCTACGTACTCACTGCCGCCATTCCAGCTTTGTTTCCGCTCAGTATGGGGGTTCATTGGAGACTCACCGATTCACCGTGTCCTTGGCTTCTTTTGCTGAATGGACGTTGAAGCACCATAGCACGATTATCTTCGGCTTGACGGACCTACTATCGCTTTTGACTTGCATAGACTCGCTCGCCACGACACTTCCAAGTACTTTACGCACGTGCCACAAATCCGAAAAGCACCCTTCGTGAAACAATTTGCTTCTACCACTCCACCATTGGCTATCAACCACAACGGCATTTCTTCTTTACATAAGCCCAGCAGATGTTTATATAGGAATGCGTCTACGAGAGAGGGTTTAGCCAGGTTTTTATTTTTCAGCGGACGTGCTAGTTTTCTAGACTTTCTTGCCTCTGTATTAATTTGACTTTGCAATACTATACCCTATGTTTTATTATATGGGAGCGGGAACCAACTGCGCTAAAACTTCAATGAAGTTCAAAGGCGGGATGTCAAAATAGGCAACCGCCTAGACGATGCTAGCCATGAGGCATCCAAACCCGCCTCCCGAATTTCGGTGCCTGGTGGAGACGGCTAAGCTTTAGGGGTCCCCACGCGCAACTCCGAAACCTCAGCCATTGCGCAATACCCAGTCAGTCGACCTTTCCCCTGGTCGACTGGTATAACGCTCCTAGTAATTCACTCCTACGAGCCAGCATGGAAGGATAATGGATTCTGTTCGGGTCCCACGCAGGAGATTTTGCGCTCCAAGGCGGCAGTTCCTTATCACGGCAGTGGTATTTATTCTTCTGCTGCGGCTGCTCGCCGCGTCATGGCAGGGGCACCACGGGCTCTCCCTCAACCTCTTCCGGTTTAGCACACCAATTAGCACCCTGCCGCAGCAGAGAATATCGACTCTTGACAAGCAATGGGATACGGGTATGTGTGACGGGTTCAATCTCAGCGACCCCGAGCTGGGGATTCAACCGCGGACAGCTGTCATCATGCGCACTTGGCTGAGCAAGCGATGTATGGATGACGACCTACATTTCATTCGAGCTATGATCATGGAGCTGGCTCTCCATTCTGGCGGTGAATATGAGGTCGTTCTTTTGGTGGATTGCAAAGACACTGAATTGCCAAACTCCATGGAACCACCGTTGCCATGGACAAATCCAAGGCAGAGCATCCGCCTCGAGAATTGGGCGAGCTCGCCGTCTTTTTCAACACGAAGATACTAGAGGCATGTTATCCCAAAATCAGTCCATGAGTTTGTTCATTATACAAGTCCATCAAGATTCAGCTTCTCACAATTTGATCAGCGCGTTTTTGCTGTATTACCAGCCAGTCCAGCTTTTTCACGACTTCATCCACAATACGACTACATGTGGCAATTTGAGATAGACGCTCGTTAAACTGGCCACCTGTATCGGCTAGTGACCCAAGCCACCGACTTCGCGCGGCGCCAACCCAGAAAACACCTCTGGGAGCGAAAGTCATATTCCTATATATCCCAGCAATTCATGGCATATAGGAAGAGTTCGCTACGAAGGTGAACCCGGATATAGTAAAACGAAATAGCGGTTGGGGTCCTCGGCCTGCCGAAGACATTGACCTTAGAAGACACGCCCTACGCCTCCAGTGGCAAATCCAGATGACGACGGTGACTGGGGCGTTGGCGTAGAAGCCGATCTGATCACCTAGCTCCCACAATTTAATCCTGCTGGAGTGAATTGGCCATAGGGCCAAGAAATCTACCATTTCTAACAGCAGATACATACACCGCGACGCGCGACCGTTAGCGCAGTGTCACGACTCTCGACGCGGCTTTTACGTGTCATGCACAAGGACTAGGCATACAAGGGATTAGGGTCTCTCATCTGAAATAATGCCTATCTCATAGGCGATGTATTATAGCTTCTGTGAAGATGGAAGATGAATGATGAGAGATATGATAGATGATTGATTCTAGAGATGAAGCTATGGATCTAGATATCATAGAGGCTGAGGCAAGGATGCGGTGAAGTTGGGCAGTATCCCAATTCAATGCGAACAGCCTCAAAGCTATTCAAGTTCCACAGCCGGTTTATCGTAAGCGGGCGTGGGATATAGAAGAGCTGGATCGTCGCGCTAATTCAGACAAACCAGGGAGATCAATAGGGACCTCGATAGTGCGTGGGGTCATAAGTTATGCGATGACATCCTCCAGTACACATATTTTAAGTGGCGCACATTGAAGAACCGCTCATCCTTCGCTGAGAGGCTCTATCGTGCCTGGCTGGGATACGATGGCGCAGAAGAGGTGAGCGATCTGTGGTCATGAACAAGTTTTGAGCTATGCTATTTAAGCGTGTAGTGGGAATTAGTCGCCCTCTTTGTCTTCCGCCTATCTTCATTCACCATGTTAAAAACCCAGAGCGATAGAACCAGTCTCAAGACAGTATTCTGTGTTTGTGGCCAAGTTTTCTTGGATAACAGATCTAGTACCATTCACCAGACATACCATCATGTGTATTCTTGCTTAGTGTACATGGGTCTGGACTATTCCAAAATAGATTTACAGAATAGGACCGAGCGTCGATTCTCAGCTACTTCAGCGTCCGTGTTATAGATAAGATACCCAACATACAATCTCGAGCGCCAAATGTCCTTAAAGTCACTGGTTCACTTTCACGAACATTAACCCACGGGGAGGTGCATTTCCAGAATAGTGATTTTGAACTGGACCACCATTCATGCGTTCAAACCGCTCATCTTCGCCATCAATATGCCCTACCTGTGGACATTGCCATGGATGAGGATCTCAGGCAAAGGGAAAACCAACTTCAAATCAAGAATGGAAGATGACCTTCGATTTCATCGAAAATAGAGTTCTTTAATAGTCGTTGATACCCTCCCCCGCCCGCCCCTCCTCCCCAGCTCTGCGACGATTTATGCATTTGGGGAGTACTTCTCTGAGGAGTTCGTTATCAAGTCCTGCCTCTCGCAGGCGTCAACATTTTTTGGGAAGCAGTCTGGTCATGTGTGTTGAAGCCGCCGTAACATCTCCAAAGGAAACTCAGAATCCGGCCAACGAACATGCCGACGGCAACGGCAGCGAAGCCACCCATGACGCCCAAAATTGCCGGTAGCATGATGAAGCGCACCAGGAAAAACAAAGGGTGAACATGTTAAACAAGCTGCGTAAGCCGGCGCTTGTATTGATGGTGAGAAGTGCGATCGGTCTTCTCGAAATCAATGTGGCACCGGTTATCGTAGTTAACGGGACTTGTGGTTCTAAGACTCCCAAGTCTTACCTAAATTTGGTAATTTTCAAGTTCGATTTACGTGTAAGTGTCATCTAACGTGCCCTTTCGCATGCTATGGCAGCGGGCGAAGGGTTCATGGAAGACGAAACTCTAGTCCGACTATGACTTTGTCAAGCGATCAACTGAAAGGAATGACAGTAGAAAATATCAGACCCTTGATGACTATCATAAGCAGCATAAGCAACTCCTGGATTTGTGTGCATTATTCACAGAAGCAAGTTAATAGCGGGGCCAAAAAAAAGTATTATGATATTCATAATTTAGTTGAAATCCCCTTTCTTTCTCTCAAAAATACAACACATCTACAATAGTCTTTCGCAGCTCCCATAACCACTGATTCGTCTGCTTCGCAAATCCTACGGGAAATCTTCCTATGCTGCTTATTCCATCTCATCACATACTACGTGTCAGTCTTAGTGGCGACGGTGCACTCTCCAAGACAGATCATGCCAGCGAATAGTCACGAGACATTTTTGAGTTAGGCTTCGGCAGAAGTAGTGGACCGGCTTCCTTTCGCCTGCTGCGTTGTAATTTGAATGTACTGTTCGTGAGTATTTCTTGTGATGGATCGTGAAATGAAAAATGTATGCCAGATATCAGAGGTTATTCTTCCCCAGTTTGGTGCGTGGACTATGGCACTGTAAGGAAAAGAATGTCCCCGACCGCGTCGGATTATTTGCGCGGATCAAGCTTTCCGGAAAACAAGCTTAGCAGGTCTTGGCTCCACCCGGACACTTTGCTGATCGCCGCACAAACCATGTAATTGCTTGCGTTACGAATCAGGATTGAGAGGTAGTCATTGGACACCACTACGATCGCTATACCGTGTTTAGAGATTTTAGGCTGACGTGTTCCAGATGTGCAAAGCGTGGAAAGTAGTCGTAAGCTTGCCCAATCCGGCAGATCCGACTTCTATGTAGAGCAATTGGGCACTCTATGAGCCCATCGACTACATGATGCAGTATCCGTGACTATGTATGCTTTCTCAGGGTTATATCATCTAGGCCTGATGACGGCTCTTGATCTTCCAATTCATCACAAAAACCATCAAGTCCTCACGGGGGTCTCTCCTCAGAGCCCTTACTCAGGTAGGAGGGCACAAATCGAATCACTGCCACATGAATCACATAGGTTATAATTAGATTGTAGGTTGTACATTTGCAGAGGGTGGATACATCTCTGGAATTACCTGGCAATTCTAATCCGGATATAAGTCACGTTAGCGTTCCCCTGAGCATGCTTTTCACATGGAGGATCGGTTCCTAGAGGATGCACTTTAGCACCTACAGACACAGTCTATAACCCATTCATTAATTCTGCTGCTGCCGATTGCCCCTACCAGACCGCTCCACACGGGCTATACAGATCCGGGTCTGTGCACGCTAAAGCGTGGGTGGAGCTGAAGGCAGTTGAACATCACAATTTCTGGTCTAGGCAATATGAATAATCACTTCAAACCAAAATCGGCTAAAGTGATCTTGGGGTTGCAGTGACCATGTCCGGTGAAGTTCGATACCATCTCCAGAAAAAGCAATGGCCAAGAAGGCACTAGGGACTAGGATAGTGGCAGTAACAGATCCGGAAAACCTAGGTCACACTAAGAGCCCCATCGCTAAAATTCCGGCCGTACTGAGATCGAAATGTTAAATATAGCTAGGAAGTCCACAGCTATGATGCCATCCGCGAGATGGAAGCGATTATCATGCCGCATACTATTTATTCATCTTGATGTCGAGTGCTGTCGGAAAAGGTGCGCCACCATGAACTTGCCCACCAGGAAAGGCTGTGAATTCGTTGACTTGCTGCTAGCTTTTTCATTAGACTACCAATACCATAGCTCCGATAGAGGAAGACCTCTGCCGCACTAAGTTTTTTGTCAATGCAAGGTCCCGGCGTGTTCGCTAATTTCATTTATCCGACTTTTATTACCATGCATGTTCCCTGCTGGTGTTTTAGGAAATGCACATACCTTACCGGAAATGGAAATACCGGGTAACAAGCGTGAAATTAAATGCGGGTCGGTAATGGACCGCAATTGCATTTGCGTTCATCGCCCGCGTGAAGGAAGACAGGTGGACATTTCAAGGATTTCGCAATGAGTGGGCCAATTCCGGTATTCAACATCACTAGCCCACTGGAAATTTCCAATAGTTTATAGATTCATATCAGTATTGTAACTTCGGCAAAAATACGTATATTTTACGAATTTGTATCTTGTAGACCCCTCGCTCGGACAAGCTACGGAGACGGGGTTCCAACAAAATGTAATTACGAAGGCGCGTTTTCTTTCCACTCCACATGGTCCCCATGTTTTGTACATGCAATACAGGGTTTGGTGCGTTGTAAGCTCGACCCCTTTGAAGAGTAACGGGGTGGGGCTACCACGATTCTGAAATAGGGTTTCGGTGGATCGCAGCTAAGCACGGCAACTGGAACTCTTGGCACATGTCGCTGCGGGGTATTGTTCTTTAATCCTTGTACCCAATAGGCTACAATATATCTCCTGAAGATTCTGGATTCTTTTGTGATGCTCCTATAGAACTCCCATATCTGTCCTTCGTTTCTCAACACCTCTTCAGCCTGCTAGAATGGTTTATTCCCGGGCACGTCTCGAGTCTCTGGGGAGAATGCTTCCATGGGCCTCCCGTTGTGTGGACATAGATGGAGCAAGACAGTCAGTGGAGGACATGCATCGATTCCTATAAGGATGACGCACAAGCAGCCTTGGCTAGCCCGAAAGTAGTATTTGAAATTTAGTACATGATTGGGTGGGCGAGGTATAGGCAGAGTCTAAAGCGTCTTACTGTATGAAGCTAAGGCCATGTTCGCCGTTTGCGGGGAACGTGTTTCAATCCATCTACGGACCAACAAAACCAATCACCATTCGAGTCCCCAATCTAATCGGGGCCCTTCTTGAATTCAGCCTCCAGAAACTTGATTGAAGCTCAATACGCACAATCGCCTCAACGATTGGGATCGTCCTACTGGATCTGCAACCACTTGGCTAGGGTCTTTGAATACCACTGTTGAAGTCCTCTTCTACGTCACTTATACGTCATAATAGTCAATATCGTGAAGCATACGGCTTCATGTAGGATGTGGAATATTTATGAACATAGAATGTCATCTCATAGTCTATCGTACAATGAATTATTAGCGTAAACTTCGCCGACCTCAACCGCAAGGTCTCCCAGTATCCCCTTGTCCGAGGGAATAGACACCGTCACTTTATAATGTTCGTCGTCAACGTTGACCGGATGGAACTGATTCCCAACAAGATTCCAATGACCGTTCCAGTACACAGAAGTAATCCGTCTCTCGTCGTGACAGAGATCTAGCATGCCCTCCACCCCTACCCTGAACGTTGCACTTCCACAGAACGACACCACTTGACTTTGACCATGTCGAATTGATATTTTTTCAATATCTTCCAGGGGGATAAGTTTGGGGGGATCGCCTTCTTGAAACACTTGGCCGCTACAATCCCGACCGGTGAGTATCCAAATTATAGCGATACACAACTTTGAAAGGTAATTATACCGGAAACAGATGAGATTCCTCACCACGATAGTACCCTCCGCCAATTTATTATGTATCGTTAAGGAAAGCCGTTGATTGACTGGGTCACTCATTTTCTTTTCAATTCTGTCGAGGGAGATATTTGCTGTGAAGTTCGACCAGATATTTTTTTCGCAGTAGAAAAAGTGCTTTGCCAGTGACAAGAATATTCAGAGGTGAATATAATTTCGGCGAAGGACCCATTCAAACCCTTTTTTCCATGCCTCAGCGTATTTTTGCTTCGAGGACGTGGCCCCGACTCATCTGTAGGCTTACCAGGGTAAAGTTGAAAGCATCGAGCGGTGACACACCGAGCCGATCTTATTCGATTGGGGTTCAAGGATCGCCCTTGGCGGCAGGTTTGGTCGGGTCCAAGAAGCAAAAATTGCCAAATTTCTGTGACCAGAACGTGCACCTCTTGCTGTTCTGGTAAATGGAAGTTGAAGAACAAGGAAAAGCGCCGGATGCGGATTCAACCTAGAGGGTTCTGAACAAGCCAAACTCGTCATGTGAACCTTTGCAAGTCAGTACCAGGGATGTGGATACGAGCCACGTATACCCTTTTACAGCTTGCCAAGGAAGTTGATTCCTCCTAGTAACATGGGCCCCAGGGGCTCCTACGGTGGTGATGGAGCTGGCCATGATTCCACTCCACTTCAAGGAGTGTTAACCCATCAATTCGTATATCTTAATATTAAAAAAAGGAACGGTGGACATAAGATTGCTATGTCCACCGTTTCTAAAATTTGCACACTTCGGCACATTTCAGAACCAGCGACTGGTGTTACACGCGTTGCTAACTGTTCCAATTAATCCTGGAAATAATGCAAACATTAAATATAAAGCACCAATATCTTTAGCTCAATACCTTATATTATATTACTAAATGCACCTATTATTAAAAAAAAATGTAATTGTGAGTTGGTCTCGTATTGGATATACTTACCACAATTGTACCTTCAAGCAGTAAACACAACCATACCGTCTCCTAGTTCGCTAGGCTATTACACTGGCTCGTGTCTTAGTAATCTGACAAAGGTGTTGCATATAGAGCAGCGATTAGGTCAGTGCCGAAGTTGCTGCCTTAAGTTTAGGATGGTTGTCAACAAGTCAATTAGTGAATAGACTAATCGATACTAGGTTCCAAGTAACAATGTAGGATTGATGAGGAAGGACCAAACTAAAGACATAACTATTCTTCGCCATATAGTGGCAGGGATAGTACGAACCGACTTTGTGAATTCTGGCGAAGATGATGGCAAGTTGACTTGTACAAGGACGGAAAGTGCACTGGACACGCGCGCACCTTGAAAGATGTTGTTGGGGGGGTAAGTAGCAGAAAGCGCCAAGGCTTTCATACTTGTTGACCATCCATCTATCGTTCTACCCGCACAGGCTTGGGCCCTGCTTATCGTTGCTTATTCTTGGGGTGGAAAATACAGGGTCTGATTTGGCATGGTATTTACAAGGACATTTTGTGCGAAATTGACATATAAAAAGGTACTTCCATTTCCAAAATACCCATGTAAAGGAAGTTGGGACGACCAGAATAAGAGACGGTCAATTTCGCTGATCTCTCGGCCTTCCAGTACAATGTGAAATTATTAAATGTGGGGCAGGTCTAGCAATCGAATGGTTACGGGCTTGTCGTCACGGTCTGTAGCACCAGAGTCTCCATACCAAATGACTCCCTACCCAGCACGCTGTGTAGAGAATTGCGCCCATCAGCTATTGCGTTGGTCTTCTAGAGGAAAATGGTTATTCCCTTCCGTCTTCATTCAGACGTATGGTGGAGAGCGCGATAATGAGCCGTCTGTTTGGGCCTTGGTCTCTTTCAACGTTATGATTCTTCTACGACCAGCTTCTGTTAAGCTGTCCCTAATTTACAGCAAAGAATTAAGCAATTCGCTTGGAGCCCCCCGAGATCGAATCAAACGCCCAAACATTTATCGGCCGCTGCATTCTCCCACGGGTTACCTACCTGACACCCATAAGCGAACAAGCATTTTTCATAGAATGTGTCAGCACGCTACATACTTGACATAAATTTTCAAGAAAACGAGTGAATGTGGGGCAATCATGCTTGCTGATGAGTCCTGAAATCCTCAAAATCTGCATTTAACCCTCTGCTACACCGGTGGTGGCAGTGCTAGGCAGCCCCTATCCGCATCTTCTGATTACCACAAAGCGTGTCAACTTGAAGGTAGCTCAAGGGTTTAAATATGGTATTACTCAGAAGCACGCTGTTATTTTATTTTTTGAGACGCGAATATATATCTTTCCAACAAAGCAACCTAAGATCTACTAAAATCCTTGGAAATATGCTAGATCCACAATAGAGAGTATACCTCGATAAGATGAATTTATGGTAGGCTGTTGTTATTGTTGAGATACAGTATGGAGTTGTTAAATATCGCATTTACTACGGTGTTTTGGGGGTTAGTGGTGGTGGCGACTAAACAGGGAGTTATGTTGCCTGCCCAGTTTGCCGACAGTCTGTGCATGGAGACGGCCGCAGTTCATCGCTCCCAGCTAGGTAGGACGGCAAGGGTCACTTATCATGGGCATTCCGAGAAGAATGAAATGATTTCGGATGCTTGTCTTGGCCTATCTTCAGATTCTAACTTAAATCCCAAACATACACTGTGAGCATAATGTTAGTGATCAATGGAAAACATAGGACGAGGAAACCACTGTTTTTCAATGCTCACCATATATGACACGGACGAAGCTCATCCGCGAATTCATGCAGCCGCCCCTTCATAGAAGACTAGTTGAGCAAGCGGTCAACTCTTCTATCACCTCTTCGTGTCAATATGTGACACTTTTCGTGAATCCAATATGCTATGCAGGGCTAGTCGAGAATCTATCAAAAACGAAGGCCGCATCATACTAGCTATCTAGACTACTTGGAAAGCTGGTAACATATATTACACTCTTCGAATGCTAAGTAATACTCGGGATTTCCGTACTATCAGCGATCAAACGGCGAACCAACCGGAAGCTTCCGCTCCCATTCTCATGATAAGATTCAAACACGAGTGAGTGAACTTGAGAGTCAGAAGACAGGCCAGAGTTGGAACGTCAACCACTCATCAATGACGTAAGTAAACCTTAATTGACAGGCGAAGAAGCTACCTCACCAATAGTAGGCGTCGTGTCTGTTATTCTCTGCTATCCTATATTTATTGTCCTTTATTCATTTGGGGGACTAGAAAGAATAGCCAATTTTCCAACTTTGTCTCACCTTTCCCCCTGATACATACATACATGCCCAACACTCGGCGAAGGCTCCTCTGATGGAAAGCTCCGCACCAGAGGTGCAAGCAAGATCCCCTCCACATCCGCTGTGTGAGAAGCTTACTCAGAAGAGCCCAAAACTCAGCGATCATCTTTCAATCACTCTGGGAGTTCCTATGATCATAATCTTTGATCTTCTAGTCCCTTGCATAATATACTACACTTGGTTCAAGAGAAGTCGATCTCAGTGCCTGGGCGATTGTCAAGACCACGAAAAATGCTGTTTCGCAAAAGCTGAATTCGACAAGCATATTCTGGGCTACACGATCATCTCTTTCGGTTTAGGGGAGCTTTACGTCTTAGCTGCCCGCGTCTGTCGCCTTCTTTGGCACCATAAGGAATGCGCCCCACTTCTGTCCCGGTCGCGATGGGAGCTTGATGCCACATCCTGGGTCTACGGTGTCTCCATGATTTGCGCATTAATCCCGTTTGTCATCGGCAGCAGCAAGGAGATACCGATGCTCTATCTCTACTCTCCGGCTTTCCTTATGAGCTTTCTTGGAATCCTGATGCTTGTCACGCTGGTACCGTTCAACATACCAATTGGCATTGATTCACAAGCTCGTGGGACACCCTTACGCCCATTTGTATACTACGCAGCTGAAGACTTTGTCGCTGTTGATGGTCTCCAGGATCGAGAATTTCGAACACGATTGAATTTGCGTTATGACTCATCCAAACCTTTCAGGCGTATGTTTTTATTTCTCACTGTTTGGTGGATTTTTGGGGTAAGTGTCTATCTTGGCTGTTTATCAGCCATCATATGGACTTTAGAATTCCACTTTGCGGTTGGAATGTCTTTAGGCATTCTCTTTGCCTACATCATTGTTTGGGCGGTGAGTTCATATTTCTGGATACAGGCGGAGATGAAGCGGGAACAGAAGGCCTACGAAAGGTCTAGGTTTTAGAGATTTTTATGATTTTCATTCTCGGTAACCACATAACTTCCATAATGGAGTTATCTGCTCAAATAGAATGTCTTCGTACACTGGTGATGCACAGCCCGGTGGGGCAGCGAGCGTAACGAGACTCCGCCCGCTTTCAAGGCAAATCGAGCCTAGTTTACTAGATGAGGCGGACAGTCCAAAACATGAGCCAAAAGTTTTAGAGTATCGCCCTGCTGAAGCAAATGGTCTGACAAAATTTCCATTTAGTGCTACATATGTCTGACTACTCAGCGTGCAGTGCATCTGCAAATGGTGACTGCTATTTCCCAAATTGTTGCTGCTAGGGATCGTCCTTGCTTCGTCTTGACTACCTTAACAATGTGAGAATAGTACAGTACTCAACATAGTCGTCATCTCACTTATAGGTAAGATTGTGAGAGAATTTACGAGCTCTTTATGGTCCCTGCGAGAGGTTGCAGGTATCTTGAGCACCTGGGCGATAGGGGGCATTAAGCCACAGCCTGATGTGCATGTCTACCGATGGGATTCATTCTGTTGATATGATAGGCGGAGCAACGGTGGGGATATATTTCGGAGGACTAGGCGCAGTACAAAGTGATTGAAAGCTGATTGATCTGTCTTTTTTAACGAGTTGCGCAGAGGATCTTCACATGGATCTCCAGAACAACTTTCTCACCAACGGAAGCCACGTAAATAATTTTTCAGAGCATTCCTCATACTGATCTGTGCGAGAATATAGCGGACGACGTTTACAGAAGGTGGGCCTGAAGGCGTGTGAATGACGAACGGTGGATAGATGCTTCATTCTCAGGCTGATATCCAACAATTCTTCGACAGACGAACCATCGTTCAAAGACAGAAAAAATCAAAAATTCAAGTAGAGCAAGAACATAGTATTTGAAATTAGTCAATGTGATACGGCCAAGCTTCAATGAGGTCTATAGCGGTCCTCAGATCTGCTCAGTGAGCAAAAAGCGGCAAGGTCTGAGCACTAGTACGGAAGGAGCACGCCAAGAAGTGGCAGAGGGAATCTGGTAAATAGGTCTCCCAGGTTCACAACATATGCCCCAAGTGTCGGTTTGACCTATCTCATATCAGCTGGGGTTGAGAAAGTGAAATTGACGAAACACACGTCAAGCCATTGCCCAGAAGGAGGGTCCAGAACTTGTAGGCCATTCATCTTGCCTTGCAACATAAGTGTCATGCAACCAAAATCCGTGTGTGCGCCAATGCCGCGGTTCAGCTTATCGTCCTCGTCTTTGGGCTGCGCGGGATCATACAACATGCGCATTGTCGCCACTGCTCCAGCCGTGAGAGGTTCGAAGTAGCTTGCGTCACTTCCCACATCTTTTGCCAGATCGAATACTGGGTGGTAGTATTCCATAGTGGTCTTCTGGAACTCTCCTTTGTTGGCCACTGTCCGAGGCCATTGATTCGGCCCGCAGTTCAATTTCTTCTGTAAGAAATACGGGTGATCCTCGGGAATTTACTCTCCAATATAAAGGCCTCCCTGGAGCTCAAGCCCGGTGCCGACTTCCAGCATTTGCGATCGGAGGAGGTCGTAGCCGCGGTTGGAAGTGTTCAAGTCTGTTTACGATGAGCGTGTCGCTTCATCTTCGCCGCCTGGATTAGGGTTTCTCTTATCTATTTGCATCTTTTCTTCCAGTGGCAATGTGGAAATCGCTTTGAGCACTCCAATACACGACACTGCAGCTTGAGGGGTACCTTGTGGGCCGTGATCTGGAACAAGCCATCGTAGAGCATTTGCGAATTTCCTCGACTTTCGCTTTTGTTACACTAACGGTGCCATAGAACGGCGAGAATTCTAAAGTCGGGGAAGCGGGTGCTATGGATATGCGGAATGTTTGAATGGGCCGGGATTGATGAGTTTTCTCTAGGCAAAGATTGAGCACAAAGCTGCCTAGAGTATATTTTGAAGATAGGCGATGGCAAGCTTGCCATCGCGTAAGTGGCTTCATTCAGAATGCCGATAGCCATTATTGTCACTCTATCTGGATAGTTAAGCAAAGGGTCCGGAAAGGTCGTGAAAAAGGAGTAGAGAGAGTAAGGGTGGGGTTCAGGCAAAGATGGGGTGATCATCAATCCATGGCGTCGATAAGACGATCTACGGGGAAAGTCACGGCCCGGATCGCTTTGCCTGCGGGTAGATTGTCATAGACTACGCATAAGCACGGCTGTCCGATGCAAGGGATCACATGAGATAACTGTTGACTGCGCTCTGGTCATATCATTTGGCCCTAGACTTCCCCAAGTCCCTAGAAAATTGGATCACATTTGATCATGCCTAAGCAAACGAAACCAGCGTTGTTAAGTAAATCCGCCGAAGCACCCAATACTGGAGACAGTTTCGTTTATTCAGATTTCGAGGTTGAGAAGCTGTATCGTAGAATAGTGGAATTTTACGTGCTACCGCTACTATGTTTGGTAAATTCATCTTGACCGACTAAGCAAGATTGAGAATAACAACGGTAGATGTTTTCTACGACTGCACGGATCGAGTAGGTAATTCATCTGCTGAGCTGGATAGTCAGAACTAACTCAATTAGAGCAAATCTCGCCAATGCCAAGACGGATGATGGCCTTGACACAGACATGCATTTCCAAGGAAATGAGTACTCATTCCTCGTTCTCCTTTTCTATATCCCATTTAGCCTCTTTGATCTACCATGGATTCTTCTCATCAAGCGCTACTCAAGCAGACTCATGCTTTCATTCAGTAGGGTGTTGTTGAGTGTCAAACTGCAGGAAAACTCTAGCATCTTTTCATATAGTGTCGGTGGTCCGGGAGATTCTTGCTCTATGGACATTAGCACCAAACCTTTTTGGCACAGTCATACTCTTATGCGTCGCTACATCCTCCAATCATTTCCGCGAAAGACGTTCCACGTCGTGTTTTTCCTGATATCTCCATGGTGGGGAGGATCACATTGGCGGCCCTCGACGTGTTGAACACTCAGGCAGTTGCCTATTTTGCGTATTTCATAATGGCGGCAGGTGCGTGCGGCTAATACTGGCTTCTTCGTTGGCCTGGGTAACTTGGCCGGAGTCTGCTGCTGCAATACTGTTTGCATATTGTTTGTATTAGGTCTGGGGCTATGAATGCGATTCGAAAACCAACGTCGAGATCGAGAACACGGTGTTAGAGTCAGAGAGAATCAAACAGATACCTGTCAGATCAAAGAGGGCGAGGATAGCCCGGAATGGCGGTGCTTCACCTGAGTTATAGGTAATTCCGGTGTTATACAGACAACACCGTCGGACTTAACAAAGACATACCTTGACTTTCTTTTTCCCCCTGCTAGCTTCAACCTTAAACCAATGCATATTACTCTATTGGCTATGATGCAAGTCTCGATAGACGACAAATCAGCCCAAGTGACACCAATCACGATACACGCCCCCGCATCCTTATCAGCCATCGGCAATTGCTCCGGCCTTGTTTATACTGGTGTCTGTCGGTGATGTGCGCTTCCTCTTTTTCTCTTTCTTGTTTTTCTTCTTCTTCTCGTTTTCTGATCTTCTATCGCGATGAAAAGTCACGCGTGTCTGTATCCCGCTTGTGGGAAGCGATTCACTCGTGCTGAACATCTGCGGAGACATGCTCTGAACCATGAACAATCTCGAAACGGATTTACCTGTGAGCGTTGTGCTGTTCACTTCCAACGCCATGATCTTCTAGGTGAGATGTCATTCCATCATGCGGCCGGGAGTGTTTCTAACCGTTGGGCAGCGAGACATATGATGCGGCATACGAAGCGGGACGAAGAAGCGGGCGGGCCAGGAATGGGGGTGTTGAAAACGCGGAAGAGAGTCCGAAGAACCGGGGATGGATCCATTATTGTACGGCCGTCTCAACGGGAATTGCGTTTCGCGGCAAGATCTACGACATCTACTACCAGTTCCGACCGGAGATTGGAAGAATACGAAGACGAAGACGACGAGGCCGAAGAGGCCCAGTTTGTAGATGAGGAGCCTTTATCACCACCCATTTCAGGGACGGACCATAATGCTCTGTCGATTGATGAGAATGATCCATTTTTGGCTCCAATGACGCCGGGTGGGCCTTTTGAACCCTTTGTCGAGCCTGTTCCAGACCAATTTGACGCGGCCGATGGATCCTTCAGTATGGGTCTGGATGGCATGAGCGATTTCTTTGGAATGGATACTGGTAGGTACTATCCTATACCCTACAAGAGTCTGTATCTAACGGTGACAGCGACTGACTTTAACCTCGCATTTGCGGCAACCTGTAATTATAATTGGCTGTTCAACGTGACCTCTCTCGACGACGCCTTTCACCAATTCGACTATCCTCTGGGATTCGACGCCAATACCTTCCCAGACTCAATCAACACCGACAGTCATGCTCTCGAGAAATACGATGGTCCATCAATGCTCCTGGAGGTGGCTTCGATGATGAACAAAGTCTCCACTCCACGCACACCATCTCCAACCTCCCCCGATCTTCTCGACATGGACTGGATGTCCGGGTCATCCCATCTAGGCCCTGACCCTCCACAACGTCTACCGCGACTATCTGAAGATACCCAGAGAGGGATTCTAGCCCTCGTAGCTCAAGCACAAGCCACTGGAATCGATGGACAACCAATGGCTCTCGATTCACATTTACTTAGTCTACCTGCACTGCAAGGCTACTGTGATCTCTTCTTCACTCGGTTCAATGTAACTTATCCGCTCATTCACCAAGCAACCTTCAACCCAAATACTGTCGAACCCATCCATCTGGCCGCGATCTTGTTCATGGGCGCTACTTATAGTACCAGAGAAGCTCACCAGCTAGCGGTGGGAGTCCATGATAAACTCCGAAATCAACTACTATGCCATAATGACTTCTCACCACAGCCCGATCTCTGGGTCTTGCAGACTATGCTTCTGATCGATTGCTTCGGCAAGATGAGAGCGGGTCCCAAGCAGCGAGAAAATGCACAGCTATTCCATTGTATTTTGATCAAATTGATTCGTCGGAGCAATTGTTGCAATATTCAGGACTTGTCTCATCTGGCGAGTGCTGATGATCTGGATCAGGCGTGGAGACAGGCCATGGACGCGGAGCAGAGGAAACGTCTAGCAATGCATTGTTTCATGTGGGATACTCAGCTCGCTGTATTGTTCTCGCAGTCCCTGTGCATGTCGGCGTTCGAGATTAGATCTTCCCTACCTTGCAACTCAACTACCTGGGAGGCCTCTTCTGCTTGTGAATGGGCACACTCTGCTATCCGTGAATCAAACCGCCACTTCCTTAGTGTTTTGAAGGGTTATATCACACCCGGGGCCGTTGCTCGACCGCGAGACTTGAATGTGTTCGCACGCACAGTGGTTCTGCACGGGTCAATGTCCATTTCGGCAGATCTGAAACGCCGCGATCAGACAACACTGCGATCGGAGACGCCCGAGAAAGTCGGGGCATGGACTCCGCGAATGAGTCGGTCCTATGCTCTCTGGAAAGTTGACTTTGATGCGAATTTCCTCGCTATGAAACTGACGCAGACCTCCGATCCCCGTCGCTTCACCGGGTTGAAGATGGCCGCACATGCTCTCTACCATGCTGCGTGTCTGGCTTTGAATGTTGAGATCTTGGATTTGCAGGTTGTGGCAGGTGCAATGCAGATTCTTGGACGAGTCGTTACTCATGCCGATCAATCACGTTCACAGCGGATGATTCTTCGCTGGCTCCATGAGGGATCTGAAGCATCCTCTGTTGCTGCGAGACATGCTTCACACCTCTTCAGGATGCTGTGCTGAGCCTGCACGATTGGGATCAAACTGATGCTTTCCATTTCCCGTGGTGCTTGTATCTTGCTACATTGACGTGCTGGGTGTTCCATCGTGGGATGGATATCTCGCCCGCGGAGAGTCGGGTTACCACGGATCTATCTTCTTTGATTGTGATGATGACCAATTGTCCGAGTGCAGTTGAGTTAGCGGCACTGTCAGGAAAATATGATCCGAAACCGTTGGCTGCGGCGATGGCTCAACAATTAGCGACCGTTCGGTGGGCAGTGGTACACGACGCGATGGAAGTTTTGGCTGGTTTGTCTTGATAATGCATATGTATGATTGTGGTTTTAGGTCTGCTTATTCTATCTTTGTCAATCTGACCTTCTCCATACCTATTCATTCGTAGAAAGGGTAATCTGTGTACCCCCTCTGCGGAGGCTCGGCCCCATAGAATGTTGACCGATCATAAGGTGTCAAGGGCAAGCCCTCCAACGCCGAGGTAGGTCCGGGTTGGAGATGAAGTAACGTCCAAAGACAACCGCGTCCGCCCCGTCACTTATCAGTTTAGGTCCAGCGTTCGTCGCATTGAAGTTACCGGCGGCGAGGAATGAGATTCCGCCCTTCTTCAGTATGGGCCGGAATATATCCAACGACGTTTTATCCACAACGAGCGAATCCAGCTTGGCGCTCTCGTCGAGAACTTCGTCGAAGAGGGGCTCGACCATGTGTACGTAGGCTGGGCGGGACTCGGCAGGGAGATCGGCAATCTTCGAGCACAGCACTTGCCAGTTCGCGTTAGGTTTGGAATCGCGCGTGTCTTGGTAGTAATTGTATGGAGATAAACGAATTCCTACGCGGTCGGCGCCGATAGCTGCCGCGCATGACTCGAGAACTTCGAGGACGATACGAGAGCGCTTCTCGATTGAGCCGCCGTTCTCGTCAGTACGGGTGTTCACGTTATCGTGAAGGAACTGATCGAGAAGGTATCCATTAGCACCTGTTCTCGTCAGCATTCTGTGTTTTCTTTATCTATTGTCTGTCGTTGGTGAATAACTACCATGTACTTCAACACCGTCAAAATCCGGCCTCAATGGCCCGTTTAGAAGCAGCCGCATACTCCTTGACGAGTTCTTGAATCTCCTCTACAGTCATCGGATAAGGAGGCGAAGCCGCGTACTCGGTGCCCTCCATGCCATTGCCACTGATGGGAATATCGCTCGCACTGACAGCCTGCTTGCCCTCGGTGAGTGAAGGAACAGTCGCACGACCAACGTGCCAAAGTTGACAGAGAATGAAACCTCCCTTGGCGTGCACTGCATCAGTGACCTTCTTCCAGCCGGCGAGTTGCGAGGTGGTAAATATAACAGGGACACCTGGATAACCGGCAGCCTGGAATAAGTCAATACCTCGAGCTGATATTTATTTCATGGCTTTTTGGGAGATAAAACATACCAGATATAAAGAAAACCTCCCCCGAATACCTCGATGCTAAGAAGCATGCTATCTCTGTCTTTCAAGAGTGTCGCAAGCAACAGACACGAATGGTGGTCGAGCGAGGTAATATTCAACAGTATCTATACGACCTCCACGACGGGCCAGAACAGGAAGAAAGGGATCGCAAAATACAGATGGTACCCACGCCCGAAGGCGAAGCTTTGGCTTGGATAGACCCCGAGCTGTCTCCAAAGCTGCTAGGTTATGATCACATTGAAGATGTGTGTTTTCCTTTTCCTTGCATCTGAGCGACCCTGACTAATGACAACAGGTTAACGCGCGCTGGGGCACTCCACAAATCAATACTATAGAATCTCGACTATAGCTAGTTTCCCACTGAATAAATCTCGGCTCGTCTCTAAATTGTTTAGATGCTGCTTGAATTTAATCGAGTGGGTCGCCCTCAGTTGTCGCTTCAGCCCCGCTAGCCCTTATTCTTGGTGCCCAAAACAAGAAACATTTGAAAGCTCGGAGAAAGCTCCAAGATAGAGAAAGTCTGGCTAGAGATTGATTAGCCTTATCTTCTGATGGCTTTTCCGCATCCCCATTCTTGTTGCGGCTGCACATATGTTATCGTCAAATGCTCCCCTCACGTACTCCCCTCACGTACTATGTGCTATATAGATCTCTTGAGAGCATAACCATCGCGCTAATATAGAGGGCGTAAATGAATCAGTAGACAAATTCGAATCCATTAATCAATCATCTGCATTATGTGGCGATTGTTCAGTCGCGCTTCAAGATCTCCAGAAAGCAATCCTCCACAAGGTGTCCCCGGCATCATGGTACCGTTCAGAAGCGATCTACCAGCCAGAGCGACGAGCCATTTTCTCCAAGCGCTGGATTCTCAATCACTTCAATCGATTCCCAGAATCGGGAGACTTATGAGCAGGGCTGAGCTTGCACGGTAATGAGTCACTCGGGAGGGACTATTTTGATTAACTCGGCCAAGACATTCTTATGTGGGTTGAGTGAAATTATGTCCTATTGATCTAGACTCGCGCCCCGTCACCTCAGCATCTACCTCGTTACAAGGATAGTTGGCCTCTGGCATTGGGTCTTCCCTGTTTGGCACGAAAGTATATTCATGCTCGAAAGGCCGGTTTCTCTCCTAGTGGCAGAAATCGACTCATTCTGTAACTGGTTCAGATATGTGAAACTGGGCAAGTTGGTATATTGCATTTGAGGGATCTGAAAGGGAACCCAACTCGAAGTATCTACGCTCAAACAATCTTTGTTCTAGAAATGAACCCTTTGCAGATGGCATGTTCGGGTATGAATCTCAAATGACACTTTTGTTCCAGTATATTACAAAACTAGAAGTCGTGATAGAAAGAAAAAAAAAGTCTCACTCTACCTGGCAGGAAATCCGGGTCCTAGAACTTCCACTGCTGAAGCCAGTTCGACATCAACGCCGCGGAGATAGGTCCCAAAGACCTCATCGTCTCGCTCGCCTCCTTAGCTTTGGTAACATCCAAAGGTACACCCATTGCGGCGTGGCTCTCATCGACTAGCCCGCGGTAGAAGCTGAGCAGCTTCAAAGCAGGCTTCGCAGCTACATCGGCACTGCTGGGATTTTGGACACTCTCGAGCTCAGCAATCCAGGCGCTGAAGTCGACGGGCTCCACTTGGTACTTCTCCCGGATAGCCGGAATGAGCGATGACCACTGAGCAGTTTTCGAATTAGTGAGATGGAATACTGCTGTAGGGGTTTCTGATCGATCTCCGTGGCGGGTGTGGACTATCTCGGTCATGATTGATGCGAGGTTATCCTGGGTTGATTATTAGTAAACTCAAGAGGAGGTGGGGAAAGAATTCAATGACTACTCACCACTGGAACCCAGTCCACGGGCATTGACCCAAGTTGGTTGGGGATCTTCCCCATGGAGATAGAGGTGGCAATGATGGTCGGAAGCCATTCGTGACGATTCCATTCTCCCTTTGATGTAGTTGGACCACCAATTTGACCAACTCGGTAGACGGTTGTGGGAACACGAGAACGTCGTGAAGCTTCCAGGCAGATGCGCTCGGAGACATGCTTCGACTCGCCGTAGCCCTGGGGAAGTACCATCGAGGAATCTTCCATTGGAAGCTCTGGCACGACGGGTCCCATGTCTGGAGTCCAAGAGCCAACGGTGCTGATAGAGGAGACAAAGTGAAGATGAGCTCTGAAACGACTGGCTCGGCTAAAGTCCACGAAGCGTCGTAGGCCGCGAATGTGGGTATCCTCGAATGATTCGACTGAGTTGTTGAAGTCGACTTTCCAAGCATTGTGAATGATTGTGTCAACAGAGTCCAGCATTTCTTCGTATTTAGCCTCTTCGAGGCCGAATCGAATCTCTCCAAATGAGGCTTGAAGGAACTCAACCTTGTTCGCCCAGTCACCGACCTCAACCTGGAGACCCTTCTCTTCCATGCCCTTTTTCTGGCGACTTGCGGCATCTGAACGGTTCAAACAATACACCTTGGAGATGGAAGGTCTGCTGAGCAAATTGTGTAGGAGATAGTTGCCAAGTGATCCGGTGGAACCCGTCAAGATGACAGTTGATGGCGAGCTCGGCAGAACCGAAGGCACATCACTCCGGGCTTCTGGGAGATCGGCGGTGTACTTTTCTACAAGGCGCCGGATCTTCTCGTCCCGGGGAATGGTAGCTTGAGCCTTGCCTTCCACAATGCCGCAAATCACACTGGCTAGCTGCTCCACGGTTGGGTTGGCGTAGATCGTCTGAGGAGTGATAGCACCGGGCTTAACCTGGGGCTGGCGCTTCTGGATGCCTCGTTGCAATGCACTTGCGACTTGCATAGTCATCAAGGAGTCTAGGCCAGCGCTGTAAAGATCCTGGTTGACAGGCACGTTTGGCCTTTCCAGAACTCGAGCAATAGTACGAAGGGTGTATTCTGCGATGCTGTTTTGATCGAGCGTTTCAGGGAGGCAGTCCTGCAACTCGTCCTCAAGGTCTGCCTCGTAGATGGCGTTGATTTCCTTTTCGTAATCCCGAATCACGGCACGCCGCTGTGTTGTACCTTTGGGGGTCCTCTTGAATGGCTTGGTCTTGGACGCCAATCCTATCTTGCTCTTCATCACGCGGCCATGGGCGGCAATAGTCTGGTTTGCAGCCTGTACCACAGGCCATATCTGCTCGATGAAGGTATTCGAGTCCATCTCTGGAGCGTCCTTATGAGGTTCCACCAGCAGACCAGCCTGGAACCTGAGACTGGCCGATGACAATTGCCCGTGACACTAACGGGTGAGTCTCGATGATGACTTCCATGTTGACTGGGTTGAACTTTTCGCCATTGCTCAAAACAATTACATCATCTTTCCGACCATGATATTTCCAGAGCTTTGGGTTCTCTGGGTGCTGAGTGTACAGATCATTTGTTCGGTAAATGTCGCGGTCGGGGAATGTGTGGAAGATACCCTGATAATCGCGAGAATCGGGACGACGGGGGATGACCATTTCGTAAAGATTGTCGCCATTATCTTCCATCTTGATTCCAAAGGAAGGAAGCCATTCAAAGTAGCTCCAGTTAGCGTCATCCTCCGGAGTCAATGCAGGGATTAATCCAATCTCGCTGGTCCCAATGATTGAGATCACCTTCGTAACTTGGCGGAGGCGCTCTCCTGTTTCAGCCGCCAGTGGTGCACCACCGAAGGAGACGAATTTAAGGTATTTCAGAGATGCTAAGCCATCTTCGGAATGGCTCATGTCCTCTAGCACAGATGGAGGAAGCATGGCGCCAGTCGGACGAGTCTTCTTTATGAGCTCCACCATATGTCCCACGGACAGGGGCTTGTCCGGTCCGAAGACAGCTGGCACTTTGTGAAATATAGAGGAGATGAAAGAGAAGAAGCCCATCAGGTGAAAGAATGGTGTTGTGGCTAGGACACGATCCCGCTGGGTCAGGTAGAAGAAAGTTGACGGGCAACGGCCTTCGGGCCATTGTAGATGTGGCATGGCATCCATCGTCATGAAGAAACCATTTGTGAGAGGCACCAGCTTTGGCATTCCTGTCGAAGTCAAGTAATTAGTGGGAGTTCATTTTCTGTGTCGTCGATAGCTCTTACCGGTTGTGCCTGAGCTGTGAATGATACAGGCTACGTCGTCTTCTGCGTCTTGGTAGGATCGAGTGAATGGATAATGGCGTAATCCTGTTTCATCTTCAAGCATCTTCTGCAAAGAAGGCATCTGGAAGATCTCCAGGCCAGAGCAGAGTCCCTGGATCTCGAAAACACGAGAACTTCGCTCCTCGCTGAAGAAGAATTTTGAACATTCAGACACCTTCAGCAGATGAAGCTGCGCCTCGTCGGAGTTTCTTGTCGAAGGTAGAAATGCCTGTACAGAGGTAGAAAGTCAGGGGGAGCCCAAGGGTACGTTTCCGGGTTTCCATACCTGATAGCCGGTCTTTTGGCAAGCCAAGGTGAAGATAAAATAGCGCACGTCGTTATTGCCCATGTAAGCCAGTGTTTCCTTGCAACTGGCCCGGCCAATGCTTTTCTCGATCCACCAACAAACAACATTCACGGCATGAGCCAAATCTTTCATGGTCATATTGAAGAACCCATCGGACATTTCAGAGCCCCGAGGGACAACTCCAAACAGTCTTTCCGGATCATGCTTGGCAGCATGGTCCACGGTCTGCGCAAGCAATCGTCTCTCAAAAGCGGCCATTTTTGGGTGTATAACAGAGTGGAAGTGGGAATAATGCGATGCAAGTATGCTGAAATAAAGAAGTGATGCTTAATTTTGATGGACTCCAGCCCGGGACCTCGAAAGCATTATATAGTCCCAAGGAATGGAGCGGACCTTCCTTCCAAGATTCAGGTTGTACAATCTCGAAACCAAAAGATCAGCATCTTCTCCGTTAATGTGGAACCGGGTTTGGATCGACCGCCGATCATTTCTCTCTGGACTCAATACCCACCCCTTGTGCTTGAATTTGGTGACATAACACAATCATAAATGGCGGGAGACATTCCCATCACCTCGGAAAGTCTTTGCCGGAACAGGCGCATCATCATGTAGGAGAAGCAAGGTTGGAACTGCTCGTTCTTTCTCCAGAAGTAGGTAGCGCAAAGCAGCCACGCAGGGATACGTACAGTTACTCGTGTGCCCTCGGCAAAATTTTTGCCGAAACGCAAAGAAGACTTGAATGAATTCTATTGTGTCATGCATACTATGCGCAGGATTTGCCACGATCGATTCTACCCACATCGGGATTTGCATGATGATCTGACACGTCTCCACTAGGCTGTGGTTGAGGCCTCATCGATCATCACTAAGCCTTTCGTCAAGGTTCGAGCCAAAGCGGGAGGACTATGCCTAGCCATGGGTTTGTCCACGTCACGGCATGGCGTTATCTTATTTGAAACAAGGCGTGCGCTTGGGCCGAATTTGGCAATATGCACAAGAATTTGTTCATGGACAGAGACATAAGTTGACCCACTTTATGCACTATTCTTCTCGCCGAAGTCCCAAAACGCCTAGTCAAAGTACTCATCCCACATGGTCAAATCTATCTATATGCACAGCGTATCATATCTCCTTATTGAGTAAGTGAGTAAGTGAGACATGCCAAAATAGCTGCAGGGTTAGGCTCTATCGGCTCTCGAGGTCGGAACCCGGCAAATACGCCTGGCATGCGTTTAAGCCCACCACTGTGCGTGATACCTGGAAATGATCAAATTGACGCCATCATGCATAACTTCTCCCTTTCGCATCTACCAAGGAATAGGAAATCTTCACTCAATCATCCTGGCTTCTTGACGTGGCTATGTCGCCTCTAGCGCCGTCAAAACAAAGATCACGTGACTAGCTGCGAGAGTCACCCATAGCGAGCTGCAAGGCGATCGTCATCCTGGAACCTGTCGAGATTTGCCCCTGTCGGAAGTGTTAGCCGTGAAAGTCCACTTTTGATACGCGAAGAACATAGTTCAACTCAATTGGAGCACAATGAAGCTCACCTCATATCTGGCCGGCGCCACAGCCATCACTGCCGCCTTCGCTTCTCCGCACCCCGCATATGGGCAACAGCAACCCGTCGGCGAATCGCTACCGTCCCCCCCACACCGAAGACAAGGACAGTAATGGGCAATCGAGGATGCTGAGCGCGGTCAGTAGTGATCCGCTGCTCGCATTTCATAAGGATCTGGTCGAGATCGAGTCCATCTCGGGCAATGAGCACGATGTCGGCGTATTCCTTGCGAAGTATCTTGAATCGAAGGACTTCACAGTCGTGAGGCAAGAAGTATCGCCAGTGAAGAAGGATATTGAAGGGACCGCGACTCCTAAACCTCGCTTCAATATTTACGCCTACCCTTCTTCCCTGTCGGAGCAGCCCTCCATCCTTGTCTCAAGCCACATCGATACCGTCCCGCCCTTCATCCCATACTCAGTCCACTACGATGCAAAGACCCGAGATGTTCAGTCTGACCTGGACAACCTTATTGTGGCTGGCCGCGGCACCGTCGATGCCAAGGGGAGTGTTGCCGCCCAAGTCTTTGCTGTGCTGGACTCACTCGAGAAGAACCCTGATGCGAAGCTTGGTCTGCTTTTCGTGGTCGGCGAGGAGATTGGTGGAGACGGCATGCAAACCTTCTCCGAGTCGAAGCTGAACTCTGACAGTACCTACCACACCGTGATCTTTGGCGAACCGACTGAGGCGAACCTTGTTTCTGGCCACAAGGGCATGTTGGGTTTTGAGGTCCTCTCCCACGGCAAGGCTGCTCACTCCGGATACCCGTGGCTTGGAAAAAGCGCCGTGTCTGGTATCCTGCCAGCGCTAATGCGTGTTGACAAGCTCGGTGAAATCCCCGCTAGCGAGGGTGGTTTGCCATCTTCGCCTAAGTACGGACGAACCACTCTGAACATCGGTAAGATTGATGCTGGTGTAGCGACTAATGTCGTCCCCGCTTCTGCTCGGGCTGATGTCGCGGTGCGCCTTGCTGCTGGAACTCCAGAGGAGGCCCGCGAGATTATTCATAAGGCTGTTGAGGATGCCACTCGGGACGTGGATGCTGATGTGGTAGTTGATTTTAATTCCCACAATGAGTCTTACGGGCCTCAGGACTTGGACACGGATGTTGACGGGTTCTCTGTCATTCCTGTTAACTATGGAACTGATGTACCTAACTTGAAGGTCCGTTCTGGCGTCAAGCGCTATCTCTATGGACCGGGCAGCATCTTCGTTGCCCACGGTGATAACGAGGCTCTTTCTGTGCGCGATCTCCGAGACGCTGTCGACGGTTTCAAGAAGCTGATTGACGCTGCTCTGGAGAGGGATTGAATTGGAGTCGTAGGTGGTTTGAACGGCGAGCCATGTCTAATGTCGCGTCTCATACATACATAGCATAGCGTAGACGCAGACTTATTTTCCAGGATACAACTGACTTTCAGATATCCCACTCCATTCAATTTACCTACACTAAGAACGAACTTTTTCTCTACACTTTGGAGTAAAGTTCAACGTGCTCATATAACGTGGAATACACAAATAACTTGAAACACTTGATTTCTTTATTTATCCTTCTCGTGGTGGGGACAAATTTGTACAGATCCCTCCTAACAGCGAACGGTGATAAGGAAATCTCAAAAAGTTCGATTCCACGAACATTTGAGGACGTCACTGTTCGTATATAGGAAATAGACCAAAACAGATGATGTTGACATTTCCATATGGGTGGTCAGTGCCAAGTCAGGCTAATGACGCCACAAAGTCTACTTATTGAATCAAGCGTTTTCGAGTCCGCAAATTTTCGCCGGCTTAAGGTGCGGGATATTTTAGGTACTAGGTGGCTTACTTGTTAACCTAAACGGGTAGGTATAAACATCGTAAGCCCTGGTCTACTCCAATCACTGTAGAGCGGGCCCTGCCGGTATTCCTGTTCTGGTAACGAATGATGAATGATCGGGATGCCGTCGATCCCAGAAGTCCCGTGGACAATGATTTTGCCGAGTAAAGGGTGTCATGTAAGCCGCGCCCTCGTATGACTAAGGGCGTGTGTGGGGGGAACTTTGAGGTTTTAGCCGAAGTTGTACCGAACTGGAAACCCGAAACTCTCTCCACGTTCCTTTCGTCATTTCACTTGAGGCTAGGATCTCTGGGGATATGGAATTCTCCGAACGGGTCTCAGATACCCCCAGATCATGGGGTACATGAGACTTTGGATCCTCAGAGATATCCGATATTCATACAAAAGCAAGAGAGGAAGTCGGCATACCGACCCCTGCCGTGGGAAGTTACGAGCCGCACACCCGAACACCCTCGCCATTCGGGGAAGCCAAGACGTCGCTCATCGGTGGGCTTTCCGTTGAGCGATTTGGATCAACAAAGACCATAGGTTCCCCACCTAGAGGACGTCTCTCGATGCGAGTCTCCAACCCCCCACGAGTGGATCCCTTGAGCTAGCTGAGGTGTTTTCCAGAGTCTGTCCGGGGTGGGATGCTCAAGAAAGTGCAAGATCAAGAGTACTTAAGAAAAACCATGCGCTGAATCTTTATCTCGAGTTTTCTTTTTGCTGAATCAGATCAACCCAAATCAGCGTCTGAGTTTTCGCCATGTGGCAACAGTCTCTGCTTGGAGCTTGCCTGCTTCTTGCAGCGCCCTCTGTGGCAATCGATACTTGCCAAGCACCCATCAACCACCCGGGAGGCTATTCAGAAATGTTCAAGCGCTCAATACTACTATTCTGAGCACGTATGGCCATTCTCCAGCTGTGCTGCGTTCGCGTCAGTGATCCGTCTTTCTACAATTCCTCTTTCTATAATAGAGCTGTGTAATTGACACATAATAGCCAACATAACCGGCAATGGTGGCTGGGGAACTGCCATGAAGAAGGCCTAAAGATTCGTGAACAAACTCACGCTCGAGGAGAAGTCCTGAATGGTAACAGGCCAACCTGGACCCTGTGTTGGCAATGTCCTCCCCATTCCACGTCTCAACTTCACGGGCCTCTGCCTCCGGAACGGTCCTCAATGTGTGCAACAAGGGGACTATTCAAGTGTCTTTGTGAGCAGTGTCTCAGCGGCTGCCAGTTGGGATCGCCAGCTGCTGTACGATAGAGATCGCGGATTGGCCGAAGAACACAAGGCAAAGGGCTCCCACGTTATTCTAGGTCCCATCGGAGGACCTCTGGGCCGTAGTCCCTATGATGGTCGTACCTGGGAGGGTTTTGCTGCTGACCCTTACCTGACTGGTGTCTGCATGGAGGAAACAATCAATGGCATGCAAGATGCTGGTGTTCAGGCAAATGCGAAGCACTTCATTGCCAATGAGCAAGAGACTCAACGCAACCCTACGTACGCCCCTGATGCCAACGAGACTACCTATATCCAGGACTTCGTCTCTGCGAACATTAATGACCGCACTCTGCACGAGATCTACATGTGGCCATTTGCAAATGCTGTCCGTGCTAAGGTCGCCAGTGCCATGTGCTCGTACAACCGTGTGAACGGTTCCCACTCGTGTCAGAACTCATACCTCCTCAACCATCTTCTCAGGGGTGAGCTTGGCTTCCAGGGCTATATCATGTCGGACTGGCGTGCTATTCACAGCGGCGTGGCTTCTGTTGAGAGTGGTATGGATATGACAATGCCTGGAGGATTTACCCTTTACGGCGAGCTTTGGACAGAGGGCTCTTACTTGGGCAAGAATCTCACTCAGGCGGTGCAGAATGGCACTGTTGAAATGTCTCGTTTGGATGATATGGTTGTGCGCATCATGACTCCCTACTTCTGGCTTGAACAAGATAAGAACTACCCTAGCGTTGACGCCTCAGTTGGCCCGCTCAACGTTGACTCGCCTCCTGATACTTGGCTCTACGACTGGAAGTTCACCGGCGAATCGAACTGCGACGTTTGGGCTAACCACAGTGCTATGATTTGCCAGCACGGTGCTGCCTCCACAGTCTTGCTCAAGAACGAGCGAAATGCATTGCCTCTCCGCAAGCCTCGCAACATTTATCATTGCGGGTAATGATGCCGGTCCTTTGACTCAAGGCCCCGACCTCTAAGGTGACTTCGAGTATGGTGTTCTCGCAGGCTCCGCTAGCTCCGGCTCCTGCAGATTCTCCTACCTATCCACCCCCTCTTGATGCCATCGATGCCCGCGCTCGCAAGGATGGCTCCCTGGTTCAGTCCTTCCTGAACAACAAACTCCTTAGCACAAGCGACCTCACCTCCCCCCTCTGGATCCCCCAGCAACCCGACGTCTGTCTCATGTCTCTCAAGTCCTATTCCGCCGAGGGTGAAGATCGCACCTCTCTCGAACTAGACTGGAATGGAAACGCCGTGGTCGAGGCCGTCGCCAATAAGTGCAACAACACAGTCGTCATCACTAACTCCGGCGGTGTCAATGTTATGCCTTTCGCTGATCACCCCAATGTCACCGCTATCCTGGCTCAGCATTACGCCGGCGAGGAAACTGGTAATGCCATTGTTGACGTCCTCTACGGCGACGTCAACCCCTCGGCCAAACTGCCGTATGTCATCGCATATAATGAGTCCGATTACAATGCACCCGTCACCACTGCCGTGCAGACCAACGGCACATATGACTGGCAGAGCTGGTTCGATGAGGAGCTCGAGGTCGGATACCGCTACTTCGACGCGCAGAACATCTCGGTCCGTTATGAGTTCGGCTTTGGCTTGAGTTACACTACTTTCGGTCTTGAGGATCTCAGGGCTAAAACCTCTGCTTTGTCGAACCTTACTGCTCTTCCTGCCAAGCGAGCAACCCAGCCTGGCGGTAATCCTGCTCTTTGGGAGACGGTGTTTACTTTAGAAGCGGACGTTCGCAACACTGGAGACGTGGCCGGATTCGCTGTGCCGCAGTTATATGTTCAGTTCCCTGATTCGACTCCGGCCGGCACCCCGCCTAGCCAGCTTCGTGGATTCGACAAGGTCTGGCTGGAGGCTGGTCAGAAAAAGACCGTTTCCTTTGAGTTGATGAGACGTGATGTAAGTTACTGGGATGTCGTTGCCCAGGACTGGCGGGTTCCTGCTGGATCTTTCACCTTCAAGGCTGGTTTCAGTAGCCGTGATTTCCGCGCAACTATGGATGCGACACTGATCAAGGCAACATCATGATGATCACTCCAAGGTTCGAAGGGAGATGCTGAAAAGGAATACTTCAAGTCAATGTCTGTTTACGATCCTTTTATTGTTTGAAAATTGTACTGAAGCATACCATATAAAAGACAGATTCGCTCGCAGACAATAGTTTGGAACACAAGTTGGATTTCAATGTCTTGTGATGTATATAGCAGATTAGATTCAAATCAACGCCAATAATACAAAGCAACCCTTAATTTTGAAGCGCCGGCTTCCGCACCCAGCCCGTCTTCAAATCACCAGTGGGCTTAAACCTCGGGAACGGATGTGCCTCAGTATTGAACACATGCTCTTCCAAGGAGATGAACTCCCGATCTGAGAATAGTAGGTAGAAGTATTTCAGCGTTTCGGCCATCCAGAAACTCTCCATGTTGTCGCGCTTCTTTGCAGGGATGGTAAGTGCGTCTTCGAGCGACGTGAAACCCTTGATGCGGCTGATGGTGCCGACGTCACCGGGCGAGAGCTCCGATTGTTTCTCTTCGACGACGGAGGTATGCTGAACAAAGGACTTGAACATCTCCCAGCCCCATTCACGATACATTTCGTCGCCAGTGATGCGGTACATGTAGAAGATGGATTCAATGGTTTCCGGACGAGGAGGTTGTGACGGTCCATTCGGTGGATTTCGATATCTTTGCGCCATGGTTCTAGGCCATCGTCTTGAGTGGTCAAGGGCAGAGAAATGCTTGGGATTTCCTTGGGCGTTGAGCTTAGGGAAGGGTCGGGATACTTGTCTGCCATCATCACCGGGGGACTATCGAGGATGAAATGCGAGATCTCGCCGGCAAGTCCTGTTGGGTTCGTTTTGTAAGTTGCCCAGCAGGTCTTCATCAGCTCCTTGGATATAAGAATCTCTTCTTCGCGTTGCTGCGACCAACTGGGTGAATTTCTGGCTTCGGAAAGGGTCTTGCCTCCTGTCGCACCGAGCGCAATAGTGCCAGGCATGAAGCAGACTAGGTGGTCCATCTTTGGTGACAGTGAGCCTTCCAAGCCCGAAGGACGCTCGCCTAAAACCAGTAGTTGCGCATTCTTGGAGAAAGCGAGGAGATGTTTGCGAATTCCTTTCAAAGACTCATCCCACATCTCCTTGTATATAGGCTCTTGTTCGGATGTCTGCAAATACTGCTTGATCAGGTATTCTACATGGAATGTCAGTTTGAGGTTGTTGAGCTAGGGTTACTAATGATCACCGTAATATGAGTCGCCCCTGCTACCGAGGCGAATATTATTGCCGTGGAAAGTCCCTTCCTTGGGATTGATGTAGATGGGCACAAGGCCATCCTGAGGTTTTTGATCATCGGTAACCTCCATCACCTTCTCAACAACATTCCAATATTCAGGCTCGCCGGTCAGCTTGGCCAAGTATTTGAATTCGAGCTGTAGTGAAGTTGCCTCCGCCGTCGATGAAGCACCACCGTCGCTGTGTGATTGTAGACCCTCGGACTTGTTCAAATTCACGCTCGCATATGGAATACCGGTAGGCGATTCAAAGGCTCCAAGCAGGCGATCTGCGAGATCAGTAGCCTTTTCAATGTACAAGTCCTCTCCAGCCTCCCCAACATCGTCATCCGTGAGGGGAGCGAGGGTTGGGTACTTGGCGGAGAGATAATTCGCAGAGAGCAGACCACCCAGCATACGAATAGTGGTTTCAAAAGTGCTCACATCATGGTCCTGGTTGTACTGCAGCGAAGTTGAGATCCACTGGCGCGCATGTCGAACTTGGGACGTCAGATTCATGAGAATCATGGTATCCAAAGAGTCAACGATGATCCAGCCCATGCCTCCCTTCACCATATTCCTGTTCCCGCCAGACACAGGGTGATACTCGTCGTAGCCTGTAGTGATTCACCATCAGCCTTTTCTCAAGAGAGCCAGCAAATATCGACTTACCCCATGCTTCCTTCTCATATCCTTCCCAACTGACAATAAATGCATCTCGGACTTTCTCCCGGCGCGCATCCCAATCTGCGGGCCCCTTTGCAGGCGCACTCTCTAAGCTCTGGACCCATTTCCAGAGTTCATGGCCCTTATCCGACGAATCTGCACCTTTCCACGCTGGTAGGCCTGGACTATAATAGAAATACCACAGCAATACCAAGATAAAGATACCCAGTATACCTAATGGTTTTCTCCATCGTCGAGGTGCCGTGCGTCGTGGCGCGAAAGGTTTATCTTTGTACATAGGGAGGGTACGATCGTTATCGAAGAAGCCACCCATCGATGGAGCAGAGAGTCCGAGTCCTGTAATGCCTTTGCGAGAGTCTTGCTTCTGGATGGGACGCCAGGAGGTAGTAGACTGCGGTGCCTGGAAAGACATGATTATTTTTGTTTACCCCCCGCTTGGTCCGTCTCCGAGTATATGCAGATGGTGCAACCTTGCTAGAACAGAAGCATGGGAGCACGCCTTGAGGCGCTCTGTCGGTAGTATGGGATTTCTCAATGGCACACTGGATCGTGGCGATGGTGTTTCTCGCTGGAGCTGGTCTATAATGGGGTGCTCAGGTCAGTTGAGGTTCATGCTCTGCTCCTTCAGAAGTATGGAGGCTGTTCGACTATCATTAAGAAAGATTGCGTACGTTGCTCTGTACTGCCAGGTGGCTTGTCGTCAACTGTTTCTGGTCGTAGAGACAAGAATCCAATCCGAAACGTGCCACCGTGTGCTTAAATCGACGAGATCTTCGATTGCGCGAATGAACAAATTTTGGGTCCGATTTCACAGGAACAAGTACCTATAATCGATTAGAGCATCAAGATGCACCGTTCAAAAGAAATGTCTTCATTTGATCAGGAGGAATGGAGCCGAGGGCGCGTCAGGGCCAGGAACAGCTCCGCGGATGGGGAAGTGGAGAACCGATAACTGAGGCCCGCTGAACCAGGTCACATGTTGATAGAGCCCATGGAGCACACGAATCACATGGACTATGTGCACTGGTCTAGTCTACTCTAGATGGACGCAGAGGCGATATGAATATAGTTCAGCACTAAGATACTGCAGTACGATGCAAGGTGGCCCGCTGACAGGCTCCACGATTCGACAGATGACGTATAGGACACTGTAATGCGGTTCTCTAATAGCATGAGATGCCCGGTTCGACTGACTAGGCGTAGATACAATTACAGCTTCTGGTACTCCAACTTACCCTCTAGCTTCTTCGCCTCCGCCACCTTTCGCACGGCCTTGTTGAAGTCGTCCTGGTTGACGGCATCGCGGTAATCCTTGATGGCGAACAGGCCACTATTAACTGTTAGCGCATTTCAATGATGATGTGGAAACTCTGGGGAGGACTGACGCTTCAGTAACAACGTTGCGCAGATCAGCGCCGTTGAGACCGTCACTCATCTTGACCACACTCTCAAAGTCAATGTCTCCGTCAATTTGCACCGTGCTCGTGTGAATCTTCAGAATCTCCAGACGGCCAACCTCGTTGGGCAGAGCAATCTCAATCTTGCGGTCTAGACGACCAGCACGCAGCAAGGCGGGATCCAGAGTGTCGGGTCGGTTGGTTGCCATGATGATCTTGGTCTTGCCCAGATAGTCGAATCCATCCAGCTGATTCAGCAACTCCATCAGTGTTCGCTGAATTTCGCGATCGGCGGATGTACCCTCTGAGAAGCGTCGACCACCGATAGCATCGATTTCGTCCATGAAGATGATACAGGGCTCGTGCTCCTTGGCGTAGCCGAACATCTCTCGGATTAGTCGGGCGGATTCACCAATGTATTTGTCGACAATGGCGGAGGAAACCACTAGTTGAAAGCCAATTTTAGATCATGCCGTTAGTTCAGGGAGGAGATCGGGACGTACCCTTCAAGAAGTTGGTCTCCAACGAGCTAGCCACTGCTCGTGCCAGCAGCGTCTTACCCGTACCCGGAGGACCGTAGAGCAGGACACCCTTTGGCGGCTTGATTCCCACACGCATGAAGAGCTCTGGGTTCTTCAATGGTAGCTCGATGACCTCACGCAGCTCTCTAATCTGCTCATTCAAACCACCGATACCAGCAAAATTGATCTGGCCCGGATCCTCCAAAGACATGTTGTAAACCAAGGGATCCACCTCGCGAGGCAGCATGCGCATGATTGTAAGTGTTGTCATATCCAGTGCCACGCGTGTGCCCTGCTTCATCTTGGCCTTGTCGACCTTCGAACGGCAGCCGACAACGTATCGCGGTCCCGATGATGCCTTGACGATGACTGTCACCAGTTAGCTTCGGGTTCCTTGCACTCAAACATTTAAGGTAGCTTATGAAGGGCTTACATCGCTCCTCGTCTAGCTGTTTCAACACCTCCCCGATGATCTGACCAACACTTTGAAGTGCCTTGATGTTCTCTTCGGAGACATCATACTCTCGTTGCAGATCCTTGATACCCATGCGCAGAGACTTCAACTTGGCCTCCCATTCTCGAAGCTCGAGTAAGCTCTTTTTATAATCATCGAGCGCCTGATCCCGCTCGGGGTCGCCGGCGCCGTTCATAGTGGACGGCGAACGATTTTCGTAGGGACGGAACAAGAATCAAGAATTCCAAGCGAAGGTTGATCGTAGAGCGACTTAAGTCAATACTCTGAGAAATAGATGGTGAGGTGAGCAAAAATGATAGATGGAACAATCGACGCAATCTGGGGAGCTTCCAGCAACGCCCATCGAGGAGCTTCCACACGGGTCACATGATGGCGCGTCAGATCATGTGACCAAACAGTAGATCCCATTGATGCCTTATTGCCTTATTGCCCTAGGCAGCAAGGCTGTCGAATATTTGCCCATATACACAGCACCATTGGGATAAGTTGCCCCTCCCCCTTCGTCTGCAGCGACATTACCGGCTTTCAAATCTCCAATGTAGACCCTCTCAATTTCTACTTGCATGGATACTCAGGCGTTTATAAGTACATAAATCCCTTTATCGAATGTGGCTTTCCTATTCCAGATACTGCCGCTTGACAAGGGCGCTCAGCCAGTCTTACTAAGTAGATGAGTCCGGACTCAGACTTACTGGGCTGCTCAGTGACACTGACTTGAAGGTTCATTGAGGCCCACTAAGCACTCTCAGATCGAGATCCAGAGTGAGACTCAGTCTATGTAACTAGAGGATACGATGAGCCCTCTCTCTCTCAGGCATAATACTTTCTTTACCTGATCGACAGGCATTCTACCCTGAAGAAGTAGATTCTTCACACTACTTTGCTTATTATCACTCATCTAGATTTATGATCTCAAACTTTTAAATATCGGTTGGTCGAATGTCTTGTCATTGCTCGATATACCTTGATGTGAGGGAGCACCCTGGGTCTGGAAATGTGATATACCATGCTGCCTAGAAATACATGAAATGAAAATTGATGATCACATTCATCAACAATGAAATATAAGATAGAGACACTGGGACCCCTGATCACCGGCTTACTATTCCAGACGTCGCTGGTAAATCATGTGCTTCAATGGCCTTCTCGGCTTCCGCTTTAGCAGACGCAATTCGAATCCTGCGGTCCTCCTTCAGCGATACTAGAAGGAAAGGCTCCGCGTTATACTGATTCCCAGGATTCCAATGATCCCACAGGTACCGACGAAATCGCTTCATCGATCCAAATCCACGGTCTCCCAAGCGACCTATGGCATTCTGGCACCATTAGCAATTTTCGTAGATACCGAGATTTATGGAAACCTCGCAAGCAGAAACAGGGTCAAACATAACCCTGTGGATGGTCCATAGCTTTTGGGGTTATGTGCAAAGAATGGGATAGAACGAACGATATTATCTGCATGGAGCTCCGCCTTGAGGTAGCCTGCATCAGACAAATAGTTGCCGATGAGTGTTTGTTCTGGATGCTCCCGCTAATTGCCCATATTTTTCGCTCAATAGACCATGGGTATTACAGTGGTCATGGCCGTCCAATATAGAACATGAAGCATTCCATTATCGAGCGAGGAGAAGTTGTAAGCATCACCAAACACGTCACTCACAGGTCCTATTCCAGGGCAATAAAACTCCTTAGTTGCGATGGAGGGGCTTTCCCCGATGCTCTCGACCCTCAAGGTATACCATTCTAGCAGCCTTTCCTCATGTGGAAGACACAATCCAAGGAGCTTCTGACAAGCTTGATAACTTAATTCATCAATGGCATCGAGCTCCGCGAACAGGGGCGTGAATTCTGAACATGTGCTGGTCAATTCCACCAAGAGTCGGCCTTCACTTGGCTCACGGCAAAACCCGTATTCTTTGGAAGTCAAATCTCTGCCAATTGTGAAAATGATCTAACCTGAATTAGAAAAAAGATTAACTAAAGTCCACATTATTTAAACATGCCATTGAATAGAGACCAAAGGCATTCCAACCTTCAATTCGAAGCTTTTGCCACTGATTATAGATGGCAATCGTCAGAGAGTTGTCCATTCCTTTTTGTCGGTCATCCTTTGTGATTGCATTTGTACCTGATATGTGGGCCAGCCATGTCGGACAACCATCAGGGCAATGACAATTCTGAACACCAGGCAACACGAAGAAAAAACATTAGTCTCTTGATTCAGAGTCACTGTCAATGAAGGAGCCTGAATTTAGTCACTGTGGTATATACAAGATCTACAGAGTAGATGAACCGACGAATCATATTCGACATGCAGTGGATCGCACCATGATAAAACTCAGGATTACAGAAAAGCACTTGGTCGTCCTGCTGAATTTTGCCGAGATATATACATAAGACAGCCGCGATGGCCTTCTCCAGCAGTTCGCTTTCTCGCGTAAGCATCAAAAAGCTCTCGATGAGGTAACCCCAGAGGTCCACTGTGCAAGCTGATACACGGCGATTGCTGGAGAAACGAATTTGCAAATAAGACATAAAGAGCTGGTCACCCTTTGCCGCAAAAGCTTCAATAGTGATTAGAGATACGATCTTGGTTTGGGCATTGCGGTTTGCAACGAGTGACTTATCTAGGCATTTCGGTGACCTGTCTCTCCTGGCTCTGTCTCCCTCCGTCGAAAAGTCTCCTAACTAGCGATGAATAAGTGGGTTCTTTGGTCCCCAGGGCAATAAACGCCGAGCTTGATGCAACGCGCACATGCTGGCTCTTTTTTTGATCGCACTTTCAGCTTAAGCTTAAGTCCTACTGATAGAATGCACTATCCTCTTTACGCAATTTGACTTTGCGCTGTCGACAAGTGCGACAGCCTTTTGACTGGCACGGCCTCCCAGGCATGCTGATCAGATGCGAGCTGTCTAGCTTGGCTGTCTGATTTCAGTGAGTCGCGCTCAGAGAAAGTGAACGGGGTGAACGGGGCGACATCTGGCCAGCCTCTTGGTTGTAGGCATTAAATAGCTCTGGCCGTTAGTACTGGGCGAGATGAGCTTAGTAAGCAGACCCAGCTTCCTCGGGTGGAAATCCGGTACCTAGGCAATTCTTCCTACGGACTATAAGCTACAGCGGAAAGCGAAGTATTACATTCATACTGATTGGGTGCATGATCAGGCTAACTGAACTTATTTCTCTACAATTTTCAGAAAGTCGGGAGATGGGACGGTTGGCGAAAGATCTGGACGGCTTCCAGGCCTGGCGATGTCTCGTCTATATTCGGTTCGGAAGCTCGGTCGCTTCGTCATCCATGAACACCTAATGCAGCCAGGATGCGACGTGAGCTGCGGACTCGACCACTGGTTCACATTCCCCGGCTTGACTTCTAATAGGAGTGCAGCGCGAGAAGGCTTTCTCCCCCTTTGAGTCTGCGATGCTACAGTCTCGCCTCCCTGTAGAGCTATATCGATTTTGGAGGGGTAGATCGGATCCTGTTCTGCCGAGATGAGGCACACCTCCGGACTCACGGGTATCTCAGGATGATAACATCATAGACCAGCAAGGTTCTCCCGAGGGACGGGAGATCTCGCAGGTCAAGGCCGCCGCAGACGGTCGGGATCAACCAGAAGGCGCTGGAGCAGACCGTGGAGCCCCACCATCTTGGAAAGAATCGGAGCAAGCTCTCTGACCTTTCCCGGGGTTCAATGACAGCTAAAATATTTAAAGAATCGGGCATTTCCGCGTAGCTAGCTTGCTGATACTTTTCTACTTGTTTACTCTCTCCCTTCAAAGTAACTAGGTGAGTTGAAGCGCATACATCATACCCCGCCATACTGCCCCTCCCCCTCTCTTCCCCCTCCACGGTCCTCTCTTTGAGACTACAAGAGGTCAAGGACACAATCATCCAACCAGAGCTTCGGTGATCTCAATTGCCGTGGCAATTTGCCCCAACCGCCCAGCTCAGGCAAATCAGACTCCTCCAATCCTCCATCACTGTCGGGAGAGTCTTTTTGGGTCATCGGTGAACCTCTCTGGCTCCCCCGCCGTTAGTCACCTGGCACTGCCTTAAACCCCGTTCTCCTCTCGATTTTCTCTTCCCTTCTTGCAACTGACTGATCATCTTTCCCCCATCAGCCTATCAAGTTCCAAATATGCCTATCTCCAAGGTTCACGCTCGTTCCGTGTACGACTCTCGCGGTAACCCCACCGTTGAGGTCGACATTGTCACCGAGACCGGTCTGCACCGCGCCATTGTCCCCTCCGGTGCTTCCACCGGTACGTGCCCCTCACTCAGGTTCCCCAGCTGAATGAAACCCAATGAAAGCTAACAGTGTCTTCCAGGCCAGCACGAGGCCGTTGAGCTCCGCGATGGTGACAAGTCCCACTGGGGCGGCAAGGGTGAGTGAGACTGAGCTCCATCAGGTCTGAAACAACTCCAAACTAATCGTAATCGCTGCAACAGGTGTCCTCAAGGCCGTGAAGAACGTCAACGAGACCATTGGTCCCGCTCTTATCAAGGAGGCCATTGACGTCAAGGACCAGGCCAAGATCGACGAGTTCCTCAACAAGCTCGATGGCACTGCCAACAAGGGCAACCTTGGTGCCAACGCCATTCTTGGTGTCTCTCTGGCCGTCGCCAAGGCCGCTGCTGCCGAGAAGGGTGTTCCCCTCTACGTTCACATCTCCGACCTCGCCGGTACCAAGAAGCCCTACGTTCTCCCCGTTCCCTTCCAGAACGTCCTGAACGGTGGCTCCCACGCCGGTGGCCGTCTGGCCTTCCAGGAGTTCATGATTGTCCCCAAGTAAGTTGCTGCTTAGCGGGTCTGCTTTGAATCTCGATTGCTAACATCTGCCCGCAGCACTGCTCCCTCCTTCTCTGAGGCCCTCCGTCAGGGTTCCGAGGTCTACCAGAAGCTCAAGGCTCTTGCCAAGAAGAAGTACGGTCAGTCCGCTGGCAACGTCGGTGACGAGGGTGGTGTTGCCCCCGATATTCAGACCGCCGAGGAGGCTCTTGACTTGATCACCGAGTCCATTGAGCAGGCCGGCTACACCGGCAAGATTGCCATTGCCATGGACGTTGCCTCTTCCGAGTTCTACAAGACCGATGCCAAGAAGTACGATCTTGACTTCAAGAACCCCGACAGCGACCCCTCTAAGTGGCTCACCTACGAGCAGCTTGCCGACCTCTACAAGTCCCTGGCTCAGAAGTACCCCATTGTCTCCATCGAGGACCCCTTCGCTGAGGATGACTGGGAGGCCTGGTCCTACTTCTACAAGACCTCTGACTTCCAGATTGTCGGTGATGACCTGACTGTCACCAACCCCCTGCGCATCAAAAAGGCCATCGAGCTCAAGTCTTGCAACGCTCTGCTGCTCAAGGTGAACCAGATTGGTACTCTCACCGAGTCCATCCAGGCTGCCAAGGACTCCTACGCCGACGGCTGGGGTGTCATGGTTTCCCACCGCTCCGGTGAGACCGAGGATGTCACCATCGCTGACATCGCTGTCGGTCTCCGTGCCGGCCAGATCAAGACCGGTGCCCCTGCCCGTTCCGAGCGTCTGGCCAAGCTCAACCAGATCCTTCGTATCGAGGAGGAGCTCGGTGCTAACGCCGTTTACGCCGGCGAAAAGTTCCGCACCGCGGTCAACATGTAAATTGGCTACGAGAAAAAAAAAAGGAGAGATGGCCTGTTTCTCTAGACAGTCATCTATGATGATTATGAATTTAATTAAGATCTTCTGAATGAAAGACATATTCAAAAAGAGCTTCTTGTAGTTTAAATTTCTCAGATTCTAATCCCAACACGAACCACAAAAGCAAGGAAGTATGAAAGTGAAATCATTGTCGGGCACCAAAGGGCCGTGATCACGTGGGCATCCCACCTCCGATAAGTGTCCCACATAAAATTTACCCTCCCCCTCCATTCTTTGTTGGAGTAGGTTCCTATCGCGGGCTCGTCCTGGTTTCTCTTGTTTTTCGGTCATATCGACAGCGCATCTTTTCTTTACCGTCTTTTACCTTCCAAAAAAGTTCAGTTTACTCAATATGCCACCTTCCAAGTGGGGTAAGTTCTTATCCTCTACTATCAAGATGCGCCTGTAGGTTTTGCGACGATAGACCGCAGTCTTATGCAGAATCTGGCAAATCGCATGGCGGTTGATTTAGTTTGACGCTGGTACTAATTCCACTATGTCTGGTTTAGATGAGGAGGAGGAGGACAGTGTCTCGCCTCCCCCGTTGCCCCTCGCCGCAGATTCGATGACGAAGAAGAAGAAGATGTAAGGGCTCACTCATCTCATCCAATTAATCACAGCGCAAAGGCGATGCGCAAATTTACCTGACAGGTGTTGACATTCAAATTTGGAAACAATAGGTCCTTGACTCCTGGGACGCCGCCGAAGACTCCGAAGTAGAACGCGAGAAGGCGAAGAAGGCGGCCGAGGCCGAGGCCGCGAAGAAGGCTGCCGCTGCTGCCAATAAGAAGACCAAGGCTCAGCGGATAGAAGAGCACCGTGAGCAGCGGAGGCAGGACGCCGAAGACTCTGATGATTTCGACGCCGACGAGACGGAGGCTGAGCGCCGTGAGCGCCTGCGCCGCACTGAGAAGGAGGCCGACCTGCAGCACGCTTCCGATCTGATTGGCGACATCGACTTGAACCGCAACCGTGGTGCCCCCAAGGCTATCGTTGTTACCGACTCCAAGGACCCTACCAACTCTATCGATCTGTCTGCCATGCCCTTGTTCAACCCCACCACTAAGGATCAGTTCAACCGCCTGAGCGATGTTCTCATTCCTCTGCTTACCATGCAGTCGAAGAAGCCCCACTACGCTCTCTGGGCCCAGGACTTCACCCGCAGACTTGTCAAGGAACTCCCCAGCACCGAGATCAAGAAGATTGCCAGCGCTCTGACCACCGCTAGCAACGAGAAGATGCGAGAGGAGCGTGCGGCTGACAAGGGCAACAAGAAGACCAAGGCTGCTAAGACCAAGATCTCCCTGAACGCCAACCGCGATAACCAGATCGACAACAATAACTATGAGAACGATGACGGTCTTGGTGATGATGACTTTATGTAACGGACGACTGGTTTCCATTTCTATTTTCCGTGTCTCCGTTTCCTTGTCTTGTCTTTCCCTTTGGATGGGGTTCTTGAAAATACGCATTGCCACTGAGAGGTCCTTGTATCTTTCCATTCCATCACATTGGAGTTGATCAAAATCAATCCCGACATCCTTTTTTTTATGTATTTCAACGTGTACAACCCCTGCCTGCATGAACTATAGAACGAATTCCTCCAATCTCATCAAGCCCTCCTCAATTGGTCCATATACATTAAAGCTAGTATGTGTCCTGATATCATCGCTTTCTTTCCACCAGTACATCGGACATCATTCAACTTTAACAAGTAGCACTCCTCATAACCTTCCGATTCCCTTTACTCTTAGCCATCATCGCAAGATATGTCGCTTCCTCCTCAATCTCCTGCACCGTCTTCTCGAGATTCAAATACCCCTCATCATCTAACGCGAACAGTGCCTCCTTAACCCAAACTCGACAACTCAAATTCTCGCGAAACCGCGTCGAATAAAGCGTCAAGGGAACAAGCGCCAGTCGATCCGATAAAGCACCGTGCATTGTAGGACCCACCACGCCGATCTTCAGCGCCACGAGCAAGTCGTGCAGACACAGTATCTCGTTCTTCGATGTGCGCTCGTACTTCCAGTCCGTGGGGCCTACGTCGTTAACTATGTGAAACTGAATGCCTTCTGTGGCCGTTGTTGTGAGGTACAAGGACCAGAGAAAGACGTAGGTGTCTCCGCGATCCCGAATGAGGAGGTAGAGAGAATTAGCCTCGAAGACCAATGGTGTCGGTGGTATGAGGGCAGCCATTGAAAGGGAATATTATAGAGTTAGAAAGTTGGAATGGGTTGAAAGGAGGCGCAATGGAGATGATATTGTGGGTATTGAGTCTACCTTTCATCAAATAGGCGGCGGTTCACGCGGGTTTATACATCCAGGGCTTGTTCTCAATCGGCAAGCACGACTCGTACATATGCCTTTGTATTGACATAAGAAACCAAATGCGGAGACCCTGACCCCGGGCAATAAATGAGGGTTCATCCGATTATTATTACCGTTATTATTTTGCCATGTTTTACTCCTTCTGGTCCGGCGGGTCCTCAATACCCAACGCAACGGCCCATACATATCTGCCCAATTTCTCGTGCTGGCACTTGCTTTGTTGTCCGCTTTCAGGGAATTAGAGGGCGTGTTATAGCTTGTTCGGGATAAAAACCTATCACTAGATGTGTGGCTGTCCGTGCCTTGGCCGGAATTTAATTTTCACTTTCATGGGGCTGCAGGGCAGGTCTCCCCCGAGAAAAGACCTGTCACTTTGTTCCTGTAGCACATGGCTAACTGGCTTAAACTCTCAGTGCTTTTTACCTTTTATTTTGTTATTTAGGTCTTTGTAAACTTCTTGTTTAAATATGAGTTTTGGGGTTTGGATTCGCCTTCATTCGCACAAAGCATTTTGAAAAGAACTGTAATCGCCTTATCCCGTTCTCTTGACTGAGCTAATTTTTCCAAAATATGCACCCTTCTATGTGATGGTCTTTGGGCGGTTTTGCGGCTAAGCCGAGTTGGGCCGACAACAAAGTAGACGAACAAAGTCACCCCCTCAATTGAGGCTCTTCGACCACACGACTCGTGAACCTCCAGAGTCCGCGAACCTAATGCGCCAATCGAACGCCTCGATTCAGCCCTCAGTCCTCGTAGTGTAGGGAGAAGGCGGCTTAAGCCTATCATAAGCCGCTTATCTGGACCCGGCCTACTTGGCGCGCGGCAATCGTAATTCTATGCCTCGTTTCTGGGATTGAGCGGTCACAAGACACGTATAGGCCCACCTTGACGTATTTGTCTGGGCTTGTTGAAATTCCATTGGCTAAATCGACGCCGGACAGCTGGACGGACTGGGTGAGATCTGAGGCGCACAGGTCTATCCTGGCTTAGGTCTGAGTGTGCAGTACGAGCGGTCTGGATGTTGAAGTCCGATTGGAAGGATGTGCGTGGAATATCGCTGCTTGGCTTAGCTCATGGGTATCTTATGATAAATTGGAAATACCGGATCTTCTCTATGATGATGTTCGACCTCTTTCCCGGGCTCGTCTCTTTGCTCGTGGCTTCTTGTACAGTCTTTTATTTGACATGGTGGAACATTCATTATTCGAACCCAAGACTATTGCTGATAAACTGGGTAGCTATGGCTCGTAGGGCCAGAAAATCAAAGAATATTAAGGTAATAAGCATCAAGATCAGCCCTCGGTATAGACTTGCACCCTACTGCAAAGCACTCTCGCAGTGAATACTGTGCACGGGTGATGCTTGCAACATTGGAAAAGTGGCCGGGCGAGATGATCTTGAGTATTGTTTACTCCACCCTCTTTCTTTGTCTTTCCATGCCCTATTCCAAATCTGAAACTGGCAAACTGCAGTCTTGCAGGCATCTTGACTCCAGTGTTTGCATCTTATCATCCCGCCTGCCACTATACATCGAGGCTTCAACCTTGCAATGTTGCTATCTTCTATGGCTGTGCCTGCAATTCAGAACCGGAATAATAGAAAACAAAAAAAAAGGCAGACTGAAAAGCCGTCACTCATATCCAGAGCCAGACTAGAACCACATATGTACATGAAAGACACAGCGATGCAGAGAATTAAGGGCAACAGATGGCCCAGTCCCAGAAGATGTAACAGCCTCTACACCATGACCTCTCCTCCACCTAGCTTCACTTGACATGAGACTTTGAGATCGATTTGTAAATCGCTTCATCAGATATTGCACGAAGACTACTCTATGGCGCTTGACTAACCTTCGCATTCACCTTCCGCGAGAAGGTGGGATTGTCTATAGACCGAATGGCCTAAGGCGCTAAAGCACTAGGACACTAGGCTATATCAGGACAAACATCGCGTGATACTGTCTCAGCCTCTGCTACAATCTTCTTTATGAACCCGAAGCTGGCACAGAGAAGTCCGTCAGTCTTGAATTCTCAGGTCGCTCGATGACCTTTACCAAGGTGTTTCTTATCGTGGTACCCAACTCATGAGCCAAGTGTGAGAGCTTTACAGCTGAATCCGGGGCAGCTCGTCAAATGCTGCCAAAAAGTACCTTGGGCACATATCCGATTTTTCAACATAGTATGAGATCGCTGAGTCATGTCGTGACCATATCGGACGGGGGTACGCAGCATTCATCAGCCTACGACGCTACGAGCAGATGCCAAGTAAGGGCCCAGAAGGTGGAATTGAAAAATAAACACATTGAAACGTGCTGAAGTGGGAATAGAGACAATAAAAGAGAGAGAAATTCCACTCAGCCCCTTTTCTTCGCTCGCGTCAACCGAATATCAAACTCCGCCGGCCGACCCACACGGTCCCGAACACGTGCGAGATAGGTGCCGGTCCCAACCAAGCCACGCTGCGGTGAAAAACAAACAAGCGATTTGCATGACCACGTGCAGTAAGAAATGCGAACGCCCCCTTTACCAATTGGCATGCGGTTCGTCGCGAGCTCCCTCTGCTCTCTAGGACTCAGCCTCGGTTTCGGCCGGCTTGGCCTCTTCGGGCTTCTCCTCAGCCGGCACAGCGGCGTCGTCCTCAGTCTTCTCCTCCTTCGGAGCCTCACCTTCGTTGCCATCGGCAGAGGTCCAAAGGGTCAAGTTATCCCGCAGAAGCTGCATGATAAGGGTGCTGTCACGGTAGCTCTCCTCGGAGAGGGAGTCAAGCTCTGCAATAGCGTCATCGAAAGCCTGCTTGGCAAGGTGGCATGCGCGATCGGGAGAGTTGAGAATCTCGTAGTAAAAGACAGAGAAATTCAGCGCGAGGCCAAGGCGGATAGGGTGGGTGGGGGTAAGATCAGTCTGGGCAACATCGGTAGCGTTCTATTACCACGGATCAGTACATAGCACAGACGCCAAGAGCTATCAACTCTGAAATACCTTGTAGGCCTCGTGGGCAGCGGTAGCAGCAACCTTGCGCTTGTTGCCGGAAGCGAACTCGGCGAGATAACGGTGATAGTCTCCCTTCCTGTTGCTCGAAGTCAGCCATACTGCGCCGCGAGGCGAGGAGGTCGAGAATCTGGATGCGAGACTCACATCTTGTAGTAAAAGACCTTGGACTCGCCGGTCTCGGCCTTGGGGATCAAAGACTCATCCAGGACGTCAAGGACATCTTGGCAGACCTTCTCGAGCTCGGTCTCGATCTTCTGGCGATAGTCGCGGATGATTCCGACGTGCTCCTCGGAACCCTTGGACTCCTCCTTCTGCTCGATGGAGGAGATGATGCGCCACGAGGCACGGCGGGTACCGACAACGTTCTTGTAAGCGACGGAGAGCAGGTTACGCTCATCAACAGTAAGCTCGCCACCAATCTAACAAGAGAGGGTAAGTAAAGGATGCGGCGTGGAGAGGTGATCATGTGGCATTCGTACGTTGGCGACTTCCTATTCGACTGTTAGCCCGAGTATCCCGATGGTAAACAACACGAGACGCTACTGACCTTCATGTAGGTGACCATTTCTGGCAAGCGAAAACACACATGTTAGCACTCGTAAGCCCATTCTCAGTAGCCTACGTGAGTCTCACCATCGTAGCGCTCGGCCTGCTCACAGAGCCTCGCGAGGAACGTCTTGCTGATGAGGGGTCAGTACTGGCACTGCAGATGTCGGTTGGAAAGGGTGATATGTATCTTACTTCTCGCGCTATGTTGCGAGAACATGGGTCAGCATGATTCCAAACTCAGAAACTCCGAAAGGGGATGTCAGGGCACTGCGGCCCCAGAAGTGGGATTGCGATGGCGGTGACGGCCCAGGCGAAGCCCGATGGAGGGGCAGGAAGTCGAACGTACCTCAGAACCCATGATGAAAGTGTATGTCAGGGAGTGGGAGAGTTGTGAAGAGAGTGGGTATTATTCAAGAAAGGACAAGGAAGATCGGAAAGAGAGAAAGATGATGGTTAAAGACCAAGTGGGGGTGGAAAGAGAGGAGAGCGAAAGGAGTTGGGGGGAATCATAACATTACGTTCGATACGCTGTTCACTCGGGTATCCGGTACCTTAAGGCGCCGTCTTCCGTGTAATCTATGTATTCGCATTACGCAACTTCCAACTTTTGCCCAAGCACATGTTTTCCAGGAGGCTCTGCCGGTGTCAGGCACGCATCCTGAACTTGGGCGCATATCTATGGTGTTTCTATGCCATGAGTTGCGCGCCTCGTTTCCTCGTGGATTCAAGGCTCCCGGACCGTGGCATCGTTTACCTATGAGAATCAGCTGAAAGCGCGGTGGGCCCGCGTTTCTAAAGATGTCCCCAGGCGATAATTCTGGACCACTGGGTCCGGTTTAATTAAAGGGGTTTGTACGAGATTGGCGGTACGCTGGCACCATATATGCCGTTCGAGGTGTTCCTTGGTAGGAAAAAGGTCTCGCGATGACGATGATGCAACTGTATGCTCGGGTACTCCCCAGGGTAGAACCTTCCAGCCTTTCACCAGGAGACTGGCCGTGCTGTAGTGACCAGTCCCATTCGAACTCCACAGCCTGAAATAATCCGAACAACTTCAATGCAATATGATGGAGCACTAGTCTTCTCGACTCGATTTCCCCGCTGCAAGATCGTCACTGTACATCGACAGGTATTCTCGTGGTTTCCGCCTCGGGTACCTGCGAGCTTGGGATCCGAAATCCAGCTTCTCGGTCAGGCTTGTCTCAATACCTAGTCTATAGAATCTTGAGTCCCCTTTGTACGATTCCTGGATGTCATGTTTGAGCCTAGATGGTGAAAGAATTGTCCATTTTTGCACGGGGACTAGGAGCGAGAGGATTAAACCCTTGCTGTTTTTGGAATCGCGGTACTCTCCAAAGCTCCCACAACCCATGGCTTCCCACGGCTGCCGCCCTGTAAAGTCACCCACACCTTCGACTGTCTCGGTACTAGCCCTGACTCCCTTGTTCCATATAGCCTTTAAAATGCTTACTGCGGCGCGATGGCTTTCTAGAATCCTGTCTCCTGTTGTGCACTTTGCAACTATAGACCTGCGCACGACTGCTTTGGGGTCCCTCCACACATCTGACGGGTCATTTGCCATCAAGTTGCAGGTCTCAGGAACATGGAAGCATAGGTCATCAGGCTCCGCCAGCAACAGGTTATCTCACCAGGACCCAATGAGGACGACTCAACCAGAGCTCCCCAGCCGGGTGATGCAGGAATAGGTAGGCTAGTTTCAGCCCTATGCGTAAGGTGCAATTAGCGCACTCGAGATCTTTACCATCTGGCAGTAATAGTCAATGAAAAAGTGTGTTCCCAGGCGCGATCTGAGAGATACACCACGCCCCAAGATCAGCGCGCGATGACTTTCCACTAGCCCCCACCCTTCTCTTGCGCAAGACGCCGTATTAGCTACTTCCCCAGCCCTATAAAGTATCGGTTTGCTGGGATCAAAGCGTCGGGCTTGAGCTAAGATCTTTCAACCAGTGTGAAGACGCGAAAGGCCGTCATAGGAAACCCACTCAGCCCTAAGGGAATGGATCGACTGCGAATTGCAGAAAATGGTCTCTGCTGGGGATCAACCCGCCAAGCTGTAGACGATACTCCACACTTGGACGCCGATAGGTAAGAGAAAGATGCAGCCTAGAGGGGTGCCCCGTATCTCATCCCAGCTCTCGGCGGTGATTCTGGGAGATCCTTGACGCAAGTCTCAGGCCTGGAGACGATAATCCTCAATCAGAAATGAGTGTGTTGCTGATACTGGGGATTACCAATGAAGTTCGAGAACGAAAATCCCAGGAAGCAAATGGCTATGCAAAGCAAGTTGCAAGAGTAGAAAAGCGCGGAGAAAAGAGGACCCGCCTCAGCCCTGTGGCTCTTGCTGATTAATCACGCCCGATAGGGAATGAAATCAACTAAGAACACGTTGTGTCTCCGCTGGCTCCGCGATCTGAAGGAGAAGACTAGTTACTTCCCTACTTGTCCGTGACTTTCCTTGACTGCTATCTTTCGTTCCTCTCGTTTAACCACTGCTTGGCACCTATGTATTTCATCTGACCCGCCTCCCCACTTCTTTTCCTTTTTTCCCACTCCAGCTCTTCGTCTCCCCGGTCTGTCTCGAATCACCCCTCTGACTGGAGAAGGCCACCCTTCCCACAATGGAGAACTCTTTCTTATACACCCCGGCGGATGCCCTGGACCACTTCAATGTCTCGGAGCACAAAGGTCTATCTCTAGACGCGGTGCAGAAGTCCCGTCAGAAGCACGGTCCTAATGGTCAGTAAACACCTGCGGAGAACATTGCCCATAGATGCTAATTCGGTTTTGAAGCCCTTGCTGAGGAACCTCCTACACCAATGTGGGAACTCATCCTGGAACAATTCAAGGACCAGCTGGTCCTCATTCTTCTGGCCTCGGCCGCCCTCTCTTTCGTTCTCGCGTTGTTCGAAGAAGGTGATGACTGGACCGCTTTTGTCGATCCGGCTGTTGTAAGTTGACACATGTTCGTCCGCCGTGGGCATAGTACAGTACTTATTATCTTTTGAACCTACAGATCCTCACGATTCTTATCCTCAACGCAGTCGTCGGTGTCACACAAGAAAGCAGTGCGGAGAAGGCGATCGCGGCCCTTCAGGAATACTCAGCGAATGAGGCAAAAGTTGTCCGCGATGGAAAAGCTCAGCGTATCAAGGCTGAGCACTTGGTCCCCGGCGATGTAATCCAGATTGCTGTTGGTGACCGTGTCCCTGCTGATTGCCGTCTGCTCTCGATCCACAGCAACAGCTTCCGTGTTGACCAGGCTATCCTGACCGGTGAAAGTGAGAGTGTCGCAAAGGACACCAAGGCCATCAAGGACCGTCAGGCTGTCAAGCAGGATCAGATTAACATGCTGTTCTCTGGAACTACTGTCGTCAATGGCCACGCCACTGCTTTGGTTGTATTGACTGGCGGTTCCACCGCCATTGGTGATATCCACGAGAGCATCACTTCGCAAATTTCCGAGCCTACTCCCTTGAAGCAAAAGCTCAATGACTTCGGTGATGTGCTCGCAAAAGTCATTACTGTTATCTGTGTCTTGGTTTGGCTTATCAACATTGAGCACTTCAACGATCCCGCTTTCGGTAGCTGGACCAAGGGTGCTATCTACTACCTTAAGATCGCTGTGTCTCTCGGTGTCGCCGCCATTCCTGAAGGTCTGGCCGTCGTCATTACGACCTGCTTGGCTCTTGGAACTCGCAAGATGGCCCAGAAGAACGCCGTTGTCCGCTCCCTGCCTTCGGTGGAAACCCTGGGTAGCTGCAGTGTGATCTGCTCTGACAAGACCGGAACTCTTACCACCAACCAGATGAGCGTCGAGAAGATTGTTTATCTCAACAGCTCTGGAACCGGCCTCGAGGAGATCGATGTCGAAGGTACTACTTTTGCCCCCACTGGCCAGCTGTCTCGTAATGGCAAGGCCGTCGATAATGTCGCTGTTTCTTCGTCTACTGTCGCCCAACTGGCCGAGGTCACCGCCATCTGTAACGCTGCAACTCTCTCGCACGATGCCAAGACCGGTGTTTTCTCCAACATTGGTGAGCCTACCGAGGCTGCCCTACGTGCCTTGACCGAGAAGATTGGTACCACCGATGCCGCTATGAACCAGAAGCTCTTCAGTCTACCTGCCTCCGAGAGGCTCCACGCTGCTAGTGCTCACTACGAAGCCCGCCTTCCTCTTCAGGCTACCTACGAATTCTCGCGTGATCGCAAGAGCATGTCCGTTCTTGTCGGAAAGGGCAAGGAACAAAAGCTGCTAGTCAAGGGTGCTCCCGAGTCTATTCTCGAACGCTGCTCTCATGTCTTGCAGGGCGCCGATGGCTCCCGTGTGCCTCTATCCAAGAACCACGCCAAGCTTCTCGCCGAGGAAGTTGTGGAATACGGTAACCGTGGACTGCGTGTTATGGCTCTCGCCAGCGTCAGTGATGTGTCTGGAAATCCCTTGTTGAAGAACGCCCAAAGCTCCGAGGATTACGCCAAGCTCGAGCAGAACATGACTCTCATCGGTCTTGTTGGTATGCTGGATCCCCCTCGCCCTGAGGTTGCTAGCTCTATCAGGAAGTGCCACGAGGCTGGTATCCGCGTCATTGTCATTACCGGTGACAACCCTTACACTGCTGAGTCTATCTGTCGCCAGATTGGCATTTTCGGACCCAACGAGGATCTTACGGGGAAGAGCTTCACTGGTCGCGAGTTTGACAGCCTAAGCGAAGCCGACAAGTTGAAGGCTGTCCAGACCGCATCCCTGTTCTCCCGTACTGAGCCCAGCCACAAATCCAAGCTGGTTGACCTGCTCCAATCCCTGAACCACGTCGTTGCCATGACCGGTGACGGTGTCAATGATGCTCCCGCTCTCAAGAAGTCTGACATTGGTGTTGCCATGGGTACTGGTACTGACGTCGCCAAGTTGGCCGCTGACATGGTCTTGGCCGACGACAACTTCGCTACTATCACCGTCGCTATTGAGGAGGGTCGCTCCATCTATAGCAACACCCAGCAATTCATTCGTTACCTGATCTCGTCTAACATCGGTGAAGTCGTCTCTATCTTCATTACCGCTGCTCTTGGTATGCCTGAGGCTCTTGTTCCCGTTCAGCTTTTGTGGGTCAACCTAGTCACCGATGGTCTTCCGGCCACTGCGCTGTCTTTCAACCCTCCAGATCACGATGTCATGCGCCGTGCTCCCCGCCGCCGTGACGAGGCTCTTGTCGGTGGTTGGTTGTTCTTCCGCTACATGGTTATTGGTATCTATGTCGGTGGTGCCACCGTCTTTGGCTACGTCTGGTGGTTCCTATACAACCCTGAAGGTCCCCAGATTACCTTCTGGCAATTGGTCAGTCTTGATCTGTCTCTTCCTCAATTCTTATCTGCTAACTGCTATTTTAGTCTCATTTCCACCGTTGCTCTGCTCAATTCCCCGAGATCGGCTGTGAGATGTTCTCCAACGATATGTCCAAGTCCGCTTCGACCGTGTCTCTTTCCATTCTCGTGGTTATTGAGATGCTGAACGCCATGAACGCTCTGTCGTCGAGCGAGTCTCTTCTTACTTTCTTCCTCCACAACAACCCCATGCTGATCTACGCCATCACCCTGTCCATGGCTCTCCACTTCGCGATTCTTTACATTCCCTTCCTCCAGAACCTGTTCGCGATCCTGCCCCTAAACTGGACCGAATGGCAGGCAGTCTTGGCCATCAGCGCTCCTGTGATGTAACCTTTCCCCATTCCCGCAAACCTCCTGATCGTCACTAACACGTTCAATAGCTTGATCGATGAAATCCTCAAATTCTTCGAACGCCAGCTGTATACCAACCATGTTGCCGCTATCCCTATCGTCCAGAACGGCGCTGCTAGCAAGCCCAAGCAGGCTTGAAGAATGACGAGATAATCCGACGATATGACCTCAGGATAACCGGGAGTAGTATCTTGTTTTGAATAGAATAGATCTTCCTACTGAGTCAGATTTTCCCGTACCTTTTGGAAGGGGTTCGTTATATCACGATGATAGATGAAGAGTGCAAATTAATCGTTGCTCGCATTTTTACCCATGTTCTTGATATTCTTGATGTAGTCTTTCAATTCTACGCCTTAGCCCTCACGTTGGCTCGCAATAGCACCCCCACGCTTTTCCTTTACCTTGAGATCGCAAAGTCTGAGTTCCAGCCAATCCTTGGTCCCGGGTTGAATCCAGGCCTCAGCTGCAACCCTCTGCGCCAGAGTCTTTGGCCGTTGAGTCTTGTGATGACCTTCTTCCTTCTATGGGTGCGGAACTCTCCAAAGACCCATGAACGACCACGCTCAACCATTTTACCTTAGGCTTTCGCCTCTGTTTCGTCGTATATCTCTCATGCTGCGTGGCTTCCGATAGTGACTCAAGAGAAAACAAACTGAGATAGGTAAGTTCTGTCGGAAATTTCAAGGTAATCTCACTTTTGACAAATATAGCGATGCTTTTCATGACTCTCTTCTTCGACTCCTTATGCTTTCCCAACATTGTTTGCGTTGGGCATTCGCGGTCTTGGTCGCCATTACAAGCGTGACTCGGGTTTCATCATTGGGGGTGTATATGGCGGTGCAGTTGTGCCGCCTACGCTAGGTCATGTTGCTGATATGCGAAATTGCGATGATTGTTCCTACTATGGTAGGCTTCTTTGGCACTCTCTGCAATGACAATTTGTAACGAGTCTGCAATTCATGTTGTTGCTTGGACTCATGCTATTGCTGTGAACATTGTTCCTTCCTACGCGAGGACAGTAGATAAGCTGGGTGTAAAGCACGATTGGACTCCAGAATGAAAGTGACAAGGACGAGGAGGTGGCCATTTAAATGGACACAGAGAAGGGCGAGGCTTCGACTCATGATGACTGATGATATAACGCGGGTTCGTAGTTTTATAGAGTGACCTGAAGTGCTTTGAGTGTTTCGAATTTGTTTGTGCTGGATGGTAACAGGTAAGCTGTCATTAGGCGGGCGTATGTGCCAAGAAAATGCAGTAGGTCTATGGTAAAAATGCGGCAAGAATGCGAATCCGACAATAGGTATCTGGCCTCCAAAATCAAGGAGATGAGTCATAAGAAAAGTTGAAGCAGAGCGCTTCATGTGGTGTTATTGAGCAGGAAAAGAGAAATGAAACGAAAAGATAGTCGCGGCAAAGAGACATTCAGCGCATCATAGGTGCAATGTCTCGTGAGCTTGCCAGATAAGATGCATAGGAAACGCAGTAAAAAGAACGCATGTTGTATGACACCGCAAACATAGGGGTATAAAAAAAAATACAAAACAACTCTACCTTCTAACCAATTGTAAGAATGAGATCATGGAATGAACGCAGAAAAGCCTGCGTCCAATGCAAAACAACCATTATTTTGTAGTAGCTGGCTCAGGGGCTTCGTCGGCATGTTCGATCGCAGAGATAACCTCTGGATTGGGCTCAGGGGATCCAGTCACCGCAGAAATCAACACATCTGCCTTTGATGGAGGGGAGCGCAGCGAGGACGAACGAGGGGGAAGTATTGGGCCTGTCTCGAGTTGAGGAGCAGGTTCGAGCACAGGAACTGCAGTGTCTTTCTCAGGAACTTCAGGGCCAGTGTCCTCAGGACCATCAAAGTCGTCGACTTCTTCGATTTCCTCGTCATCTTCCTCTTCTTCAATGATCTGACTTTTCCGCGCCACTGGACGTCCCATAGAAACACTGGTTTCATCTTCAGGTTGACCAGGAAGAGGGGGGTGCAGGGTCCCTTGGGTTGTCGTCAAGTTTGAGGTGTGAATCATAGGACCCTTGAATGCGGATCGCTTTCGTCGTGCAAACACCAGGCTCGACGAAGGAGAATACAAGATAGGTCCAGGCGCAGCCTCATTGAAATTTGAAGGACCGGCACCTTCATTGATTCCCCTGTGTCCCCCACTGGGACCACGCACCAGTCGAATGTTGCTTGGAAAATGAGCCGAGGCGCCCGGTGTTGTTGGCAAGACTTTGATGGAGGAGTGGGGGGGACTTGGAGATCCTCGCCGTTGGAGTCGCAACGGTGTCAACACTATTGGATGAGATGGAGGATGCCTTGGAGTGAGCACGTGTGTGATGAATGCTGCGTATGGACGAGACAGAAGAGGATGTTGACTTGCGGCCTCGTAGACCAGCAGAGGAGCGTCTGTAAGATCCACGAGGAGTAATAGGCGAAGGTGATAACGAGTTTCTGTTGCCAGCGTGGCTGGTGTTCAAGGTTTGAGGCTGACGAGGATAGGAGTGTCGGTTTTGACGGTAGGAGGCACTGCTGGGCGCTAAGCTGCTGGTGGCAGAAATACGTTTGGACTGGGTAGGAGTGACCACCTCCTCAGATAGATCGCCTGCAGGAGATGACGAAGGGGGCTTTTTCCCACTGTCCTGGCTCTTGGCAGGACTGAATTTCTCCGCAAGGAATTTCCGTGAGCTGGCTGACTTGGCGTTTGGAGATCGGGCTCGTTTGGCTGATTCGACGAACCAATGCTTCAAGGACGCTAGCTGGCTGATAATCGGATGATGTCGCCGGCTAGTGCGACGATGGAAGATGCCACGATGCTGCGCCAACTCAGGCTGTGACGCACTCACATGCAACATGCTGGGCCTTGATCGTCGCTGGTCTTTTGGCGGAGGAATCGGACGTCGTCGAACGGACGCCGAAGTATTTGAGCGAATAGACTCCTTATCAAAGGGCGGAGAGGGCGTGGCTAGTTCAGGCGTGTGTACAGGTAGAGGCTCAGGAAGTGCAGGGAGTTCCGGAACAGCCAGCTGTGATGGCAGGCTTCGCCTGTCGCGACGCCCACGATCTGACAACTGAGACGCCGGATGTACCTGGCCTTCTTCGTCGACCTCCAGCAAGGCGGAAGACAATTTCTCGAGTCGGCTGCTAGCAGCACTTAGACGACGAATATTCTTTGCCTCAACCTCGCGCTCTCGACGCTTGCGCTCTCTCTTTTGTTCCTTTCGTTGCTCCTTCTCAATCAAAAGTGCCCACCACCCGGCTAATGGATCGCATCGTTGAGCCAGAACATTCTCAATGACCTCGTCGATATTGACCCCTGCGCTTTTCATTCGTTGTAATGTGGTCTTCTCCAATGGCGTGGTGAAAGGAGATGGTCGAGGAATCCTGAGAATGGCAAGCTGCTCAGGGGCATGCTCCGCGAGGAACGGATGCGCGAGGATCTCTTCTAGGCTCGGTCGAATCAAGGGCCGCTTAGACAGAAGAAGGTTGATCAATGCTTTGGCCTCATCTGTGAACTTCTCGTTGTAGATCGGTTCCTCCGAAAGAATCCGGGTTTTTGTGACTTGGTCGTCATCGTCGTCGTAAGGTAGCTCGCCTGCTAAGAGCGCATACAGAATGATTCCCAAGCTCCAGACATCCACTTTCTCACCAGCATATTTCTCTCCCTTGAGCATCTCTGGCGCGCTGTAGCAAATCGTCCCACAGAAGGTCTGCAGGTAGCTCGCCTTTCCTTCATACTCGCGTGTGAATCCGAAGTCGCAGAGCTTCACGTTCTCGTGTTTGTCCAGCAGTATGTTCTCCAACTTGAGATCCCGATGTACACATGACTTGCTGTGAACGTAGGCCACAGCTCCTACCAGTTGTGTGAATATCCGTTTCACTTTCTCGACCGGTAGCGGACCGTGGCGAAGAAGGTAGTTATATAATTCGTCACCTAGAGAAAGAGCGCGCATCAGTCAACGGTCCTGCGGGCTGAGTATGCCCGTCCACTTACCAGGACAGAATTCCAGGGCCAGCCAAACTAAATTCTCCGTCACAATAACCTCGTAGAGTCGCGCAATATGGGGATGTAGGAATTGGCGGTGATGGTGGATCTCGCGCGCGAGGTTTGTGTCATCCTTGCGAGAGGATTTGAGCACCACCTAGGTTATCTCGTTAGCCCGTCCCTCCCATGAGACCTGGCATGCGTACCTTGGAGCCATTGGTGAGCTTGTGCGAGGCGAGGTAGACTTTGCCAAATGAGCCTTTCCCAATCAACCTGCCTAGAGAGTAATTTCCGACGCTCCGAAGGTCCTTCGACGAAAATTCCCTAGAAGGCGGCGCGTTAGTCATGTTCTATGTAGCAAAAGAAGAGGAACGTACTCAAGCAGTTCATTGTAGGAATTGGCAAGCTGGAATCACACGCGACCACGACAGGTCTCTCAGTCAGCCATATTTGTTGCGCAATCGGACTGGGCCCAAGGGAGCGCAGCAGAGAGCTTCGAAATCGAGAACCCGCAAAGCCCACAGCCCGCAGCCTCCAACCCCTAGCCCTCCGGCTCGTCGACACGCACCTTTTCCTTTTGTTTCTGGCTTTGAACCCCCGCTCTCGTCCTGGGCGGCATGTGTTATGATCGATCCCCGGGAATGCCGGCGCCGGAGGTCCTTGCGCGAATCGAGTAGGGGGGGGAAAGGAGTGGTGGGCAGGTTTGCCATTCAAGGAGTGAAGTGTGAAGGAGTGACGGGGAGGTTTGTGAGGCGGAGGGAAGAAGGAATGTGCATACAAGTCAAGAAAGACGTCAACGGGAACGTGGTGGACCGAGGTGGAGACTTCGGCTGCGGACTCGAACGACTTGATTTTTATTTTATCCGCCCCTGAGTTTACGATATAGTGGAGGTTGACGCCTTGGACTCGGTAGGCGGAGGTCCGTTCATGGTATGACATCTTCCATTTCTTCTTCTAGTGCCAGGGAAGTGACGCTAAATGCCGAACTACACGTTCACTGGTAACCAACACGGGGTCAACGCCTGCGAGCCCTGCCTCATGTTGAAAGGCCAAGGATACCATTCCGAAATATGAGTGGAGGAGATCTGGATTTGAGTCAGCCCAAAGTTGCAAGTCGCAAGGTCACCATTTGCCATTGCCACATTGACGCCTTACCGGGAGGATCCCCGACGGCCTTGCCAAAGCCACCGATGAGGTGTTGCGTCTTCTCCAACAGATATCGGCGGTTTCGCCTCTCATCTATCACCGAATATCGATCCAGCATCTACGTCGGTGAGCGATGTATACTTATGTTCATGGAAACGATACTTACCAGTAGTGTCGCCCCGTTCCAAAACGAGTAGCAGGTGTCTGCCACCTTGTTGCACCGGCCATTAAACCCAGCGCACGCGATTGTGTCGCCCGCGATCTCCGCTAGACCGGGCAGTGCGAGTACTCGTTCCTTGACTGAGCCAGTCTCTATACCTACCTCCTGTTCATCGCTGCTCTTGGTCTTGTCTGCATTTTTGTCTCCATCCTCATCCTCATCCTCATCCTCATCTTCGTCTTCATCTTCCTCTCCACCAAGATTGTCAGTCTGTCGCGATGCCAACCAGTTCACCAGACTCTCGAACTTCGCCGACCCCGGCAACAGCAGATCCGCCTGCTGTTTGTCAACTGTTCCCCGACGCAGAAATTCTAGAGATCCGACTGCGCAATATGTATGACCACCTGGGACGTTATGTTAGGAAAACGGTTCGTAGAGGGAAGGTAGAAGATACGGACTATGCGACTCGCGGAAGGGAGACTCGGCCATCCCCCCCGTCGTATGTCTAATTCGAGCAACCGTTAGCATGGCCATGTCCATATCAAGGGATTAAATCTTCCTTACCTGACACTTCTCAATAAATGATATTAACCCGGGCACATCAATGTCTCGAACATCCTTTGCGCCTTTGGCATCTCTACCTCGTAGAATGTATCGCGTGCCAGCCGCGCAGCAACAGTACCTGAGATCACGGTTTCCCTCGACCTTCCCATTAGGGCCGAGAATCTCTCCAAAGCTCCCATCGTCGCGCTGCAACTTGGGTAGCCATTGGAGACACTCTCTTCGCTTGACCCGAGACAGGTCGTCACCAAGAATGAGCAAGTTCACCAGTGCAAAGAATGTCGCCGGCACATTCGCGGGATCCCAGACTTCATTATCTTGCGTCCGCTTCTCCGCGCCGAAATCCGTTCCTGAAAATCCACGGAATCCGCCCGTCGGCACCTGGCAGTGGTAGAGCCAGTCGATGTACCCTTGTCGCTCCTCTGGTGTTGTCTTACTTTGTAGGACTCCGAGTACGTCCAATCCAGAGAGAGTGAGGTAGGCGAGGAGCATGCGATTGGAATCATTGGAGATGTAGGCCGACGGAAGGAAGGTCTTGAGGCATCGGAGGTAATATTTCACATGTCGCTCCGTATTAAAGCTGGGCTCAAGCATTCTGTCGATGGCGCTGCAATATTCCAACAGCGTTATCCTGCAATCCTCGCAGTTAATCTATCCGATTTGCGTTGGTGAGGTTGGTAGTGGGGGGTGGTTCTGATCGGAGAAGCTGCTTTCCCCACATGCTTCACAATACGCGGCCCAGCCATTTCGTTCCCAGGGCCACTTTTCGTCTTCACCAACCCAACACCACCCGCTGCCAAAATGGTTCTGATTTCGTCCAAAACCTTCATCCAGGCGCACGCTGTGCTCCTGGTGGTCGTTGCCGGGTACCTGATCAAAAGCCCAGAGCTTATCACTGACTCCGACATGGTGTTCATGATGGGAGAAGCCTTGCAAATTGTACAAAATCTATCCGACCTTCTCCGCATCAACCAGATCTTCCTGACTAACAGTGGCACAGAATTTCCCTGCCGTAACGAGCTCCGTTCAGTCTCCTTTCGCCTACTGCGCCATTCCGCTGCTCGGTGAGGCCCTCATCGATCTTGTGCTCCTGTCTACGATCCCCTTCCACGAAGCTTTGGACGAAGCTCTGCCCTATATTCGGCCTCTGCGAAACGGAAACCTCCCCGCTGAGGATCTCCAGATTTTGGCCAAGCTTCCCGAGTACATCACCAAGTCTCTGACAATTTACTGGAATGTCTGGACTACCATCGCCGGATTCCGATTCGCCGCGTACGGCGCCCTCTCTCTATTCATCTACCTGGGCCGCGGCGCATCCTACTCTTCTGCGGCCGCGGTCACGGGTTTGAGCCTGTTGAAACACCGTGTGGTCTTCATGTACGCGTTTGTGGAGATGATGACGTGGTTCTGGGTTCGTACAACCCCCATTCATTCCTGCGTGGTTGAACTGACATCTAGATACAGGCATTCTCAACTCTCCGCCAGGAACGACAGGAGAGACTGACCAAGCTGCTGGAGGATGCCCGCGAGGGTTGAGCCTTTGTGTTCTTACAGAAAGCCGGCTCGTACCACAGCGTGTAACACTAGAATTAAATATGCTTGTTTCATCTGCTAAAAACTGTCATCACTACTTCATAGATAGCATTTCATTGTCAGAGCACACTCTGCATTCTCAAGAGAATCCTCTCATCCGAATTTCTCCATCGATCAACATTGTGAGATATTGCGATATCACTAAAATTGGAGCACAGAAGACTTGGGCAAAGCCAGCTCTAAACAAACATTGCGAAAGCGGCAGCGACTCCTGCGGCAGCCAACAGAGAGGAATCCTTAGCCTGGCCAATAATCGCGGCGCCGGTGGTGGCAGCGGCAGACGAAGCAGCAGAAGCCGCCGAAGAAGACGAGCCGGTAGTAGTAGTAGTAGTAGTAGTAGTAGCTGCAGTGGCCTTGGTTGAGGCCTCAGTCATGGTTGACCCCGAGGTTGAGGTCGAGGTCGAGGTCATAGAGCCGCTCAGGGTGGTGCTGGTTGCAGTCTTGTTAGTCGCAGTAGCGGTGGTAGTAGATCCAGTGCTTGAGCTCGAGCAAACGACGGCACTAGGGAGGCCAGTCACACCGCCAGCGGCACAGATCTTCTTGGCTACCTGGAGGGTAGCTGCAGGTCAAAGAGAATCAAGGTCAGCACATGAATAAGTCGGCGGTGGTTGGAAGACGTACTCTCCTGGTCAGACTGGCTGCACTTGCCAGCCACGCAGCAAGCAATGTCGCTCAGGAAAGTATCACTCTTGCAAATGCAGGCCACATCAATGCCACAATTCGCAGGAATTGAGTTGGTCGCGCAGGATTTCTGAATGGTCCAATACATCAGTATGCAGTTCTCAGCCTCGGGGACAGGCAACAACAGACCGCGCAATCGGGCAAATCACCCAGACCTTGAGCAGCGGTAGTAGACAGCAGAGCGGCCAGAGCCAGAGTAATCTGAGTGAGCTTCATGGTGATGAGTCGTACAATTGAAGTTGGGTGAAGACAGGAAAGGGAGAGTCCAGCGCTCTCCGCTTTTTGTAGAAGCTTCGCAGTCTTGAAATTCGCATTTGGAGCCAGGGGCTCACAGATCCAATGATTACCTCGCCTCTCTATACCCCGGCGCCTGGATCATTGGGCGTAGTACAACCATGGCCTAGCCCGTATTTTATGGGGTTCGGCCTTGTACGAAATTTTACAGTATGGGTCGTGTTTGGTGTGCTTGTCTACGTCGTGGCAATTTCGCGTGGTCGGGCTCTTAGTCCGGCACCTCTAACTATAGCTATATTACGTTGGGGGGTTATACGCTGCTCACTACAACTTCGTCGAACGTCTCGGGGCATATATATCAAATACTGCCTCCAGCTCTCCAGATTCCACAGTCTATTCTTCCCGGTATCTCATTAGCCAACCCATGCAAGATCTAAAGCTTGAAACCAAATCTACCTCGAGGCACAGATACTCACTTCTTCATATTCAGTGCTTCTCTCACTTCGAGTCCACCTTCATCTCACCTGATGATCCTTATTTCTTTCTTTTTTCTGCTCTTGCCGACTTTTTTGCTCTCATTTACACGCCAGTATTCCAATGCTCCATTTCTCTCACTCTCTCTGTCATCTCCATATTTTACTCCCTATATATATTTATGGCTTCATATTCTTATTTCCTGATACTCTGCTGTTAACATACGACTCTCTCACCACTTTTGTGGCGAGTAACCACTTCCTAAATCTCAATACTCACTGTCCAGCACCTTTCAATTTCAAGAAGACTCCATTCCACAAGCCATCTCAGCACGGCGTAACTCCTGTTCCAGTCATTGCGGCCAAGTTTAACGTTGCATAGCAAACAAGTGAACTAACCAATCTTCAGCACGTGGGTTTGTGTGCCTGAAGGACAATCGCCACGCAATAAGACTGATACCGTACCGAGTAATACACGGACAGAGCTGAACAAGGTTGCGCTCAGGGCGCCTCAGGACTCCACCAGGCAGCCAGACCCTTTTTCTTTCCCGAAATTTGGCTCGATCCTGGGGTTCAGCTCCGTGTTGACTCACTTCGCCATCTTGGATAAGAATACAGTCACCTAGCTAATCGTAGATATTCAAGGTCTTAGTAGGTCTGGGTAGATACCATAAGCGCTGTGTACAAGAAGATGAGCAAATTTTGGAAAACGCATTAAAAGATGCGATTACCTCGGCGCCAGGGCTGATCGGCTCTACGCTCCTCAACTAAGAGGAAAAAGCCAAAATGTGCTAAGTAGTTTGCAGCACGATCGGCATCTTACAGGCCTATTTTTACAAGGCAATCATGCCGACCTTGAGGACAAACCGCAGCAGCCCAATGCATTCGGCATGACAATACTGGCGGGAGGATTTCCACTAGACTTTGAACCGGGCCCGGTCATCTTGTGAAGCTATTCGGACCATCGGGCCATCTTGATCTGACCTACCTTCTCTTCATGTGAGCCCCTTTTTGAAATACGTGCTTGATCGTGGCTTCTCTGGTACTCAATAGTTGTGGTCCAAGCCATGTCCGCTCCCTCTTGATTGAGACTCTTTCCCCCCTCTTTTGCCCTTCGCAACCACCCGTCAATCCCGTTAGTCCTGATCATGGGCTTGGGAGTGCTTGACACCAAGACCGAGCAGGTCCCCGGTGAGATCGCGGTCTCTGCTGCTTCTCAACATCAACTTGACTGATAGTCTGCATGCTTAGGTACCTCCAACATCTATGAGCAAGACCAAGGCGCAGGCGATCAAGTGCCCCGTACTTCACAACTGAAGTTTGACCGCGGCAGCAAAGTCCCAATCATTCTCGTGCCACAGCCGAGTGATGACCCCAATGATCCGCTGGTATGTCGAGTCCACATACACATTCACTTGGAGCGGAATGGACTGCTGATCTCGGTCGTTCTAGAACTGGCCGTTATGGAGGCGCGACCTCATCCTCGGCATTCTGTCCTTTGTGACAGTGCTCTGTACGACGCTCAGCTCCATCATGGCTGCCAATACCGTCACAATCGCCGATTATGAGAACATCACATTCGAGGCGGCTGCACTGTTGACCGGGTATCATCTGTGCGGCGTGGGAGTTGCAGGGATTCTTATCGTGCCTACAGCACGTGTCTGGGGCAAGCGCCACCTTTTCCTTCTCGGGCACGTCTTGATGATTGTGAGTTGTATATGGGCTGGTGCGAGTGGGACAAATGAGACCAGCCTTTTGTGGGCCCGTATCTTCCAGGGAGTCGCTCTAGCACCATTTGAAGCACTGGTCAATGCCTGTGTCGGTGATCTTTACTTCGTCCATGTGAGTTCAACGTCACGTCAGAAACCGAGGGAAAGCTCATCAGGTTCTAGGAACGAGGAAAGCGGATGGCAGTGTCCAACGTGGCTCTATTTGGTGCTGCCTTTTTGACTCCGGTCTTTGTCGGGAAAATCACCAAGTCGCTCGGCTGGCAGTGGTCCTTTTATTTCGTGGCAATCTTCCTTGCGGCCTCGCTTCCGCTTATGATTGTATTTGTGCCGGAGACTGCGTATCGGCGCCCAGACTATCTCAATACGGACTTCAAACACAAGCGGTCGACAAACCCGGATAAACCATCCGATTACACCACCAATGAAGAATCCAAAGCATTCGTCCCAGAATCCGGAGAGCATGGGTCTCGAAATGAAGTTTTTGCAGGAATGATTCCAGAGAAAGATTCTCTTCTCAAATCTATGAGGCTCTTCAATGGACGCAAGACAGATGAGAATTTCTTCAAGCTGCTTTTGCGGCCGTTTCCTCTGTTTTTCTTCCACCCAGGAATCATGTTTGTATGTAAGATTGGTGCCTTTTCTGGTTTCAATGCTAACCTCATGCCTCAGGCTTGTTTGATTCAGGGCGTTGTCATTGGCTGGGCCGTGTTCATCGGTGTCGTCTTAGCCATTGTCTTCCTTGGTCCGCCACTATGGTTCGAAGAAGACAAGACAGGATATCTCTATACAGGAGCTTTCATAGGGTCTCTGATCGGCCTAGTGCTGTCGGCTGTCCTTACTGACTTCATGACTAAGATCATGATCAGGCTTAATCGTGGCAAATATGAGCCCGAATTCCGACTACTATTGGTGGTCTTCCAACTCATCTTCGCCGGCATGGGTCTCTATGGGTTCGGTTGGACTGCCAGTGATGTGATGAAATACCAATGGCTACTACCTGATGTATTCTTTGCGTTTTTGATCATCGGCATGGTGATGGGCGCGGTCGCTGCCTCGCTTTATATTGTCGATGCTCATCGTGAGATCGCCGTCGAGGCATTTACCTGTCTCCTTCTTTTTAAGAACATGTTCAGCTTTGTTCTGACTTTTTATGCATACGACTGGTTTGCTCATGGTGGTATCAAACACACCATGATTGTCATCGGCAGCATTCAAGTTGGCATCTGTGCCTTGAGTGTTCCCATGTGTGAGCATCCCCACCAAAAAAAACACATTGATTTGTACCACCCAAGCTAACTTCTGGTTCTCAGATGTCTTCGGAAAGTGGAACAGGCTGCTGGTTGCCCGGTATGATATTCTCGAAATCCTGCACCTCTGGTGACTTGATTTTCCAATATTCTTTCTACAATCCCTATAGGAGATTTTAATAGGCATGATATGATCACAAGTTATAGATTATGTCCGTTTGATTGAATGTACATGAATGCATTTGACAGCTCGGCACGTCATGGCATGTCGACGGCTTTAATGAACTCAAACGTCAGATTTACTGCCTGCGGTCTTCCCACGGGCCTTCTCAACAGGATATTTCTGCAAGCTCTCGTACCACTGTATCGTAGACCCAATCATGAAAGCCCATGATCCCCAGAAAGTAGCAAGTGTAGCCTGGTATTCGACGCCGGAATGCATAGTTGCGGGTCCCAGTGCACCGCAGAGGGTGAATCCGATACCCCCAATGAAGTTCCAGGCTCCGATATGCCATCCGAGAACATGAAATGCAGGTTTGTACCATTTCTCCTGTGTCTCAAGGGTGAACAAAAGACCACTTAGGATGAAGCCGAATCCACCAACAATCTGCGGTACCCAGTAGACTCCATCTGTCAGATTCTGACTCATATGGTCGATGATTCCAGGCAGACCTGTGAATCCCGCGATCCAAAAGACGGTGGCGGCAATAAATTGGACCAGTGATGCCAAGAACCCAAGCTCGTGCAGGTAATGCGTCCGCAACTCGGTCAGGGAAGGCATCCAGCGGAACGAACCTCCCTCCGGCAGCTCGGTAACATGGCCCGCAGACGCAATATGATGTTGATGAGCTCGGGGCCTCCCGGCACCAACAAGATTTTTCTGATTGGCATGATGATGTGCGCACGCATCCTGGTCCGGCGTCATCTTCGTGGTCGCATGAGCCGCCTCCACCCTCCCAAGCTCCGTTTCAAGAGCCCAACCAAAACAACCAGTCTGATTGGCATTGACGGCCTCAAGAAGAAGTAAAACACTCCCGATCTCAAAGACCGTCGCGCCGATGAATCCGGTCACGCCCCCACCGACTAAAGATTCTGACGGGAACTCACTCGCCGGGTCTTCAAGCGGTAGCCACACAAAGAACGCATTGATAATCCAAATCATCGAGCCAAGCGTAAACGTTGTTGCAACAAGGTATGACACATCCCAATATGGCACACATGTAGCCATCCTCCATATTCCCCTGGCTACCGCCCTGAACCCCGTCGTCAGCGGGGGCGTGGGTCCTGCGTGTGGCACTCGGTAGTCGACTTGCAGCGCATGGCGACCTTTTCGATTATCGCGCGATCGCCAGAGATGGTGAATGTGCTCTGGCAGGGTGATGGGTCCGGTTTTGAATGCCTGATCTGGTGTCCCCAGGGTTGGCGCGTACCGCGCCCAAGTGGGATTCAGGAAGGAGAGTGGCCCTGAGACGTGGCTACGGCGGAGTTCGAGGCCGGGATGGTGGTGTAGAGGCTCCCGGCCTGGTTGGAAGGTCGCGTTTCGAGGCATCGATATGTATGGGCTTCGTGCAGGCCGAATGGCCAAGCTTTGTGTTCCATGATGGTGGAGATGCACGGACGCGGGGGTGGGTTTATGACTTGGTTCCTGCCCTGTTTATGGGTTCGGTTGCGTCAATGGCTTGACTTGGAAATTTTCTTTCAATAAAATGTTCGGCACTTGGTGTATTGGGTGATTACAATAAAGACTTCACTAAGCATATTCTCGCATTTACTGTATGACGGCACGCTTCAGTTTGTACAGTCCAAGTGTGTATTCGAGATCATTTGATACACAAGTTCCACCAATCTCACTGGTACATAGTCTTGGTATATGCCTTGTACCTGAGATGAAATCTACCCATTTCCCCAATGAAGAATATTTAACGACCCAATCACCGCTAACAAGATCATCACAGAGAGGTCCCTGAACATGGCCAATTAACCGATGCGGGAAAAGCTCCTCTGCTCAATCCAGCTGTTAAGACCAAATCCCGTAAGTCATAACGGTGTGAGGGAAAAATATTTGGGTCATGAAGAAGAACCTGTAAATCGATGTTGCCATCCTGTGTGTAAACCCCCCTCATTCGAATTACGTGACGTGCATACGTATCTCTTGGGTCGTGTGTGACTGTCGTGATTTGCCCAGGTGGTTCACGTGTGATTTTATAGGTACACAAGCCATCAGAGGTTGGCTAGACTTTTCAAGAGCAAGAAGTGCTTACTGAGGTGGAGTCCTGATGAGATAATAGAATTGGCTCGACTGAAATTTGGGGTGCCGATCCCGACAGAGTGAATGGGTACGCAGCAGTCATCGTCCATGTCAAAAAACGTGCGCATGAACCGTGGAGGAGTTCGAATAGAAAATACTCATAGATATATTTGATGACCTAGTATATCTCTGTGATGTACCTTGATTCGGCAAAGATAGTAGACCTCACAAAGAGTACTTTGGCTGCCATTTGGGAAATGATGGGGGATTATTGCCTTCTCTCTACAGTCTATCGCCAAGGTTGGTGTAGAGATGTGTCTCGTGGTGACCACGGCCACATCTCATTATGAAGTAAACCCGTAAAGCAGGTGAACCAAAGAGGAGCTCTGGTGGGGATTCCCGCGGAGCAATTGTCCGATCGTCCATGGATCATGAGAAAGAAGAACCATGACCGGCCGAGAGAGAGAGTATAACCCATGATGCAAGGTAGAGAGATCAGTCCAATTCAGATGTGATGCTAAGATGGCTTTGACAATGCTGCCCAGAGACAAAAGGCCCATAGTAGGGCCAATAACTCGGCACCTCGGTGCATCCCGAAAGTCATGACAATCATCACTCGGTGTAGTTCACGAGAAGATTCATCTTCCAAATGAGTCTCACAATTTACCGGCATCCCGGGTGTAACCTTGGACAGGGAAAGCAAAAAGGGAATGGCCGAAAATCGACAAAAAAAAAGTCCCCACGTCACTCAAGAAGGTCGGCGGGTATCGAAAGCGGAAATAGGGTAGCTCCCCGCAAGGGCAGCGGCTCTCATTGATTCATCGCTCAATTTGACTCGGGCGCGATGATGCAATGGGCTTTTTCCCTCCCTCCACTCTGTTCTCCACTTGCTGAGCTTGGGCCGATCATCGACCCTCCGTTGCAGCCGACGACGTCACGGGGTTCAAAGAAGCTTCCGGCCTTCCATCCCATCCACTCTCTCTTTTTTTGACGGCCCTCCCATTTTCTGGAGATCGCGAATGCCAGACTTCCCTTCACGCGAGGTCTCTCTCCACCATGGCTACTGCTGAGATGCCCTCGGGGCCTAGATCTGCTCGTCTCGCTGATGACGGTAAGGAACTGATCCTCGAATCCACTATGCGAACCCCGTCCTGCGAGCGCATTGATCACTGACTTTCCCTTGTGCCTGAAACAGCTGCTACTGCTGCGCTATATGCTGTGAACATTCGACGCAAGGCATCCGTTCGCGACAAGCCTGCGCCCGAGGCACTTAATTCAAGTGAGTGCGCCCTTGCCCGCGGGGCTAGATCCTCTTGTACTAATCCGCGATGCTTCTCCGACTAGATCAACGAGTGATCGTCCCGAATCTTAGCCATGCCTCAGCCGCATCTGCTCTCGCCCATGCCAACCAGAAACCCATCGAAGTATGGCGCCCCGGCAGATACACCGAGGCCGAAAAGGCTGCCCTTTGCGTGAAAGACTTCTCCCCACCCGAGTTTCCTCAGCCTAGCACTGGTTACAGCGCAGAGGGACTTGGCGCCGCAATTCTGGCCGTACGTGAGCAAAGATCGACCAAGGCCGTTCGAGAGAAAGAACTCGAAGACGAGCAAAATCGTGCGCGAGAGCAGGAACGGCAATCGAAGGCACTCAAGGCAGCCACTGGGGCTTATGCGACCCGAAAGAAGGCTGATTCGGTTTCATGTGAGCCGGTAGTCACGTCAGAGCCTCATTATGCTCTCACTGCAGCTGAAGCATCCCAACATCTCGTAGATGAGGAAGAAGAGCCATTTTCCAACCTGGATGATGCAATGGAGGCCAGCCGCATAACGCATGCTGCCAATCAAAATATCAAACTCTACACTTCATCCCCTCCCCTTGTCAGCGAAATCCAGGAGCGCAACCGGAGAAACTCACTTCACGCTGCGGCCCTTGTCATGGCAAGAGATATGTACGATGTCACTGAATCCAAGGACGTCACCTATGCCGACCCTGCACTCTCTGCAGCTCAGAAAGGCCACGTTCAGGCCATGGCTCGGTCCCGGAATACCGTTAGTGGCACAATAGGCACGACCGGCCGGGATGCATTAACTCTACAAGACGCCGCGCAGAAGCGTGCCTCCGAGAAGCTGGCACGCCTGAGAAACGAGCAGGCAGATATGCAAGCCTACTATGGAACTACACCCCAACCACAGCGCTCGCGCTTGACCACTCGCCGAAGGAGAGCGTCCAGTGACGCAGATACGACACAGACCGATGCCGAGCAGTCAAGACACATCCGTCATCAGATGACTAACCTGCGATCAAAGCTCAATCAAGTAGATGAGAAAAGGCAGCGGGACCGCGATTTTCTCATGGAAGCAGCTCGACGCAATGTCGATCAGACTATGCAGGATATGGACATGAAGCTCTGGGCCGACAGTGGTCGCGCCCCTCCATCTAGACAGAGGGAGTGGGACGAGTCAGCCGAGGCTCGCGTTCGCAGGGAAGCCGAAGCTTCGGAAGCGAGCAGTGCGATTTCGAGGGCGAATGCGAACACAAACGCGAATGTGGAGCGTGTGAACATCGGCGGCCACCAGTACATGGACATGGCCGACGTCGAAGCTGTCGCTCGCGCACGCCTGCAACCCACACTCGATGGGATTACGGACCAAGCTGAACTGCAACGGGCCCGCGAGCTGGAGGAACGTCTGGATGCAGAGGAGGAGGAAAGACACGCCGCTATTGAAGAGGAGCGCGAAGCCGACATGAGGGCGGCGGAAGCTGACGTGAGGGCCGCAACAAAGCAAAAGAAAGGTAAGTACTCTAGAATTGAGATTTAGGGACAAAGCTAAGCCCAGAACCAGATTCCAGCAAGCGTGAATCGAAGGGAATCAGTTTCTTCCAATTGTTGAGGCGCAAGAGCAAGCGAGTGCCTGACGAGAAGCCTGAGACAGAGGGAGCAGCAGCTGGGAAAGAGTCCACTGGGTTGCCCAAAGGCGAGGACTCACAGGTAGCCGAAGGAACTGCTGTTGCTACAGGGGCCGCCACTACTGTAGAGACTGTTCCTGCGGTGGAGATCACTCCTACTCCGGAAATTTCAAATGCCCCAGAAGTTGCGCCCACCATAGAATCTGCCCGTGCAGAAGAGGATGCTTCTACTAGGGAGATTAGAAACGTCACTCCACCCGAAGAGACTGTCCCTACTGTGGAGACTGTGGCTTCCGTTCCCGAAGATGCCGCTGCCGAGGATGCCTCCGCTACGGAAGCTAACGCTACGGAAGCTAATGCGCCACCGGGACCCTCAAGATTGTCCGGAGAAGAGGCCGTTGCCCGAGAATTTACCAAGGAGCCCGAAACGCCCGGTGATGCAACTGTTTTTGCCGCTGGCCCCGATGCAGCCCCCGTGAAAGTAGTCAGTGATCCTGTTTCACTCGACGAGACCACCGGTACACTGAGATACTATCCCGAACCACGGGATGCTGCCGCCGTGGGCGGTGTTGCATCCATGCACACGGTCAGCCCTATCACGAGTCCCCGGGCTGACTCAAAGTTGAGGACATGGTTCCGCGACCGCTTGGTTCACCGCTCTAGTGGACCGGTCCCTGTGTATCCCCACCAGCCCGGGCCAGACTTCAACACCGACAGCGAGATTGGCTTCTCGGGCGGAGCTGCCCTGAGAGGACAGAACGAGACTCGCGGTGCAGCGCTGAGCTCACATCCCATCACCGACGACGACTTCGATCGGCGGTCAACCAACGGCGCCGAAGTCAGCAGAATGTCGACCTATGACTCGGTCTCCAGTGGGCAACTCGAGTCCAATTCTGGCGGCAAAAGACAGCGCCTGCGCAGAAGCTTGATGAAGACTGTGGGCCGCTCTAGTCAAACTTCCAAGGCCAACGATGTCAATGAAAACTCGCGTTCTCGAAAGACATCTGACGTTGGCCCTGAACTCAACGATCCTGATTCCAACATTCAGGGCTTGCGAAATAGTGCCATTGAGCAAGGTCTACCTGTCCCGCCTGTTCTTGGGGGACAACGCCAGCACTACAGGGCGCGGGTCGAGGTTCTCCGAAGATCTGTGATTTTCATCTACTTGTTATTTACATGATAGTCCGGAGTATGCTCCAGGGTTGGCGTTTTTCTGAATTTCTGTAATTGTGTTGGTGATCTAATCGGCGCCTTTAGGGGAGGGTTATTGAGATCTTACGACTAATTTGTACATACACGACGAATCTATTTTGGTTATGAAATTCTCACAATCAGCACTTTATCTGGAATCCCGGGATTCTTACATAGCTTCTCCATGGTTCATAGCTCGTCCAGCTCGCCTATGTCGCCACCCATGTCGGTCATCCTCCAATGCTTTGCTTTTGGGGGGCCGCCCCGCAATGTATCATGACCAACATCGTCTGACTTCATCTTAATTTTGAACCCCGACCATCTTTACAAATATGACCGTCAAAGGTTGCATGGGTAATAAATCTGTCGGAATCCCACCATATTCTATGGGTATTCGACCAGAACATGTAACCGAGTTCGAAAGACTCCTGTGGATGAAAGCCCATATACGACCCCCACTCACCGAATGAGTACTGCATCCGATATGACAGCGACGACACTACTCTGTTCACAGCAACGGACATGAAATATAGCGCGAAATCTACGCGCGAGTTCCGCGATTCCTCGGGTCTTCCTTTATTCGAAGCCCAGAAGGTGTGGTCGCCAGGCTGGAGGTATAGAACGCCGTGGCGGGTTAGATTGCCCGGGTGCAAGGAAATAGACCTGGTGAACATTCAGCTCAAGGGCCTCATGCATAATCACTTTGAGGTGCATTTCGAAATCCTGAAGAATGAAGATGAGAAGATGGTGCATCTCGTCGTGCAGCGGGTCTCGCCTGTTTATCGAGTTTATGATGTCAGGGTAGCTGGCATCAAACTCGTGGATATACGTGGGAGTATGGAGAGAAACAGATCTGTACCGACTGAATGTACCGACTCAATTTCAGAATTCGTCTGGAGGGACCTTGCCCCCGAGGTTAGTGATGGAGGTTAGGGTGGCGGAGAATTTTGATATGTCTCTTGTGAGTTTGAGCTTGAGTCTGGGTTGAGATGGGATGAGGCTTTTGGCTGATGATGATAGGCTTTTCTAATCGCGGTTATCGTTTGTGATGCTGGGTTTAGCGCAATTCCTCCACGCACCACAAGTCGAATGCATGCTACCTTGGGTATTCCTTGATGCGACTGAATGGTCTCTAATCAAGCTCCATAACTAAGATAAAGGAAAGCGTTATGGTTCTTAGCCTTCACTGGACTGGCTTTGCAGGTCCAAGGCTCCGGAGAGGCTCTGGTCAAGCTGCTCAAGTCTCAAGTGCGTACTCGGAATAAAAGTCTACCTAGAAAAAAAAAAGAAAAAGACCTAAACTAGGTGGAGCGATCTCCTCAGCCAGACCAAAGGATTTATTTTGGCTCAAGTAGCGCTTGTTTTTGCATCGGACATGGGTGTTTTGTGCTTAGGCATAACGCCATAGAACCCTCCAATACGACCTCAATATGCGCCCCCCGCAATCTCCCAGGAGAATTGCCCAATTCGTCAACGTTGATCGCGAAAACATCCACCAATCCTTGTTTAGCACCGGGTTTTACTAACGCGAAGCCCGAGATTCACGATGCAGATTTATACCACGAAAGTCGGACTCCAGAGCTGATCGATATTAGATCGACTCCGATAGACAGCATGCGCTTTCTCGCATATGTCTCCCTTGCATTGGGATGCTTGGCCCATTGCCTTGTCTCTGCGACAAGCGATGGCAATTCAACTGCGGTGACATGGGATAAATACAGCCTTTCAGTGAATGGCGAGCGGGTCTATGTCTTCTCGGGTGAATTCCATTACCAGCGACTTCCTGTTCCTGAGTTATGGCTTGATGTGTTTCAGAAGTTACGCGCCAATGGATTTAATGCGGTCTCAAGTATGTGAATTCCCTTTTTGTTGGCTCTCTCTGGTCATTGCTGATTAGTGTCTCGAAGTATATTTCTTCTGGAGCTTCCACTCCGCCTCGGAAGGGACTTTCGACTTTGAGAATGGCGCGCATGACGTCCAACGAGTCTTCGATTATGCCAAACAAGCCGGTCTGTACGTGATCGCGCGTGCGGGCCCTTATGTCAACGCCGAGACCTCCGCTGGTGGTTTTGCCCTGTGGGCCGCCAATGGCCAGATGGGCAGTACGCGAACCAGTGCGGAGTCTTACTACGAGCGCTGGCTTCCCTGGGTTTTGAACATTGGCAAGATCATTACGGCTAATCAAATTACAAATGGCGGACCCGTCATCCTGAATCAACATGAGAATGAGCTACAGGAAACGGTGCATTCGGCCACCAACACCCTAGTCGAATATATGGAGCAGATTGCAGCGGCTTTCAGCGAGGCGGGCGTGGTTGTACCTAGTACACACAATGAAAAGGGCATGCGCTCAGTGAGCTGGTCAACAGACTATGAAGATGTCGGCGGCGCTGTCAATGTCTACGGCCTGGATTCTTATCCCGGTGGACTGTCGTGTACCAACCCAGATTCTGGATTCAACCTCGTTCGAACCTACTACCAATGGTTCCAGAATTACTCATACACTCAGCCCGAGTATTTAGCGGAATTCGAGGGTGGATGGTTCCAGCCATGGGGTGGATATTTCTATGATCAGTGTACTGCTGAACAATCCCCCGAGTTTGCCGATGTCTACTACAAGAACAATGTCGGCTCGCGAGTGACTTTGCAGAGCTTGTACATGAGTTTCGGAGGCACGAACTGGGGTCACAGTGCCGCCCCGGTGGTCTATACTTCGTACGACTATGCGGCGCCTCTCCGTGAAACTCGTGAGGTGAGGGACAAACTGAAGCAGACGAAGCTCCTTGGTTTGTTCACTCGTGTCTCGTCGGGCCTTCTTCAGACAGATATGGAGGGGAATGGCACGGGGTACACGAGTGACGATAGTATCTATACATGGGCTCTTCGCAACCCGGATACCCGGGCTGGTTTCTACGTTGTGGCTCATAGCTCAAGTCCCTCTCGTGACGTGACCACGTTCTCGTTGAATGCCAATACCACGGCTGGTCAGCATACTCCCTCCCTTACACAAAGTACCGCTGACTGTTGACTGAACCTGGCCCGTATTAGGTGCAATCACTATCCCAGACATTGAACTGGACGGCCGACAGAGTAAAATTATCGTCACCGACTATCAAGTCGGTCACGCTTCAAGCTTGCTGTACTCATCCGCTGAAGTCCTGACATACGCCACTCTCGACGAAGATGTTATTGTGCTCTATCTGAACATCGGACAGAAGGGGATCTTTGCCTTCAAAAACCCGCCCGCTAATTTGACATTCCAGACCTATGGTAATTCGAACATGACCTCTGCAATCTCGGAGTACGGGACGCAGTACTCCTACATTCAGGGGGAAGGCTCAACTGTGGTCAAATTCTCCAATGGCGTCCTTTTATATCTTCTCGACCAGAAGACAGCATGGAACTTTTTCGCTGTGCCTACAACATCCAACCCACATGTCTTGCCAAATGAGCATATTCTTGCACTTGGACCATATCTGGTGCGGGGGGCTAGTGTTGATAAAAACACCGTCAGTCTCATTGGAGACAACGCAAATACCACATCACTTGAGTTAGTATATGTCCCGCATCAAGAGGGTGCTTGTGCTTTGACACCGAGAGGGTCTTTGCTTACCGTTTGTATTAGAGTTTACCCAGGCAACTCCAAGGTCACCAAGCTCAAGTGGAATGGCAAGACGATCAAAGCGAAAAAGACGGCATATGGCAGTTTGATCGGCTCAGCTCCAGGCGCAGAAGACGCTCGGGTAGTACTGCCAGCTTTGACATCCTGGCACTCTCAGGATACATTGCCTGAGATTCAAGCCGACTATGACGATTCCCGTTGGACTATCTGCAATAAGTCGACCACAGTCAACTCCGTGGCTCCTTTGACTCTCCCAGTCCTCTACTCCGGCGACTATGGATACCACACCGGAACGAAGATTTATCGCGGTCGCTTCGACGGCCAAAATGCCACAGGAGCCAATATCACCGCGCAGAATGGTGTAGCTGCTGGCTGGGCTGGCTGGGTAAATGGAGCCTATGTCGGCGGGGCCATAGGCGGCCCCAGCCTGGCATCGACCACAGCAAAGCTCACATTCAACACTTCTGATCTTCGCGAGACCGACAATGTCCTGACGGTTATCATGGACTATACCGGCCACGATGAAGCAAACGTCTCGCCCGCAGGAGCGCAGAACCCCCGTGGGCTCCTAGGGGCATCTCTCTTCGGAGCTAACTTCACATCATGGCGCATGCAAGGCAACGCCGGCGGCGAAGCTAATATCGATCCGGTGCGCGGACCCATGAATGAGGGCGGTCTCTACGGCGAGCGCATGGGCTGGCATCTGCCTGGTTACTCGATTCCCAAGAGCGCAGGCCGAGACAGCCCGCTCGATGGGGTTGCTGGTGCAGAAGGGCGATTCTACACGACCACGTTCAAGCTGGATCTCGACACAGACTTGGACGTTCCGATTGGGCTGCAGCTCGACGCACCGACCAACACGACGGCTGTCGTGCAGATCTTCATGAACGGGTACCAATTCGGCCACTATCTGCCGCACATCGGGCCCCAAACCCTGTTTCCCTTCCCACCGGGAATCATCAACAACGGGGAGAACACGTTGTCGATTAGTCTGTGGGCGTTGACGGAGGAAGGGGCCCGTCTGAGTCAGGTGGAGTTGGTCGCGTATGGCGTATACCGGACGGGGTTCCACTTGGATCATGACTGGACGTATCTGCAGCCGGGCTGGCAGGATCGGAGTCAATATCAGTGAATCTAGAATGTGTCAGAAGTAATGCGATTAAGCTTGAGTGGATCCTGGGGAAGCGGACAACGCTCAGGCCAGAAAACAGGGCGATAGTTTCCTGCCCAACGTTTACCGCCAATTTGTCTCCACTTGGACCTGGAACCTCTCTACCCTTTTGTATTTTGGATTCCTTTGACTCCCCCCTCCAATGTTTCCCCTGGATTCATCATGCCGCGTCAGGGAAGCATCGATTTAGACTCGGCCGATCGGCCGTTTGATAATATCATCAACTTTCGCGATGTTGGTCGCACGATCAACCACTTCTGTGGGACTCAGTACGTGCCATGATTATTACCCCTCGACAAAGCCCGGTATCTCTGACAACCTCAAATCAGGATTTTGAAAGAAGGCGTGCTTTTTCGCAGTGCCAGGGTAATAAATCCCCATCGTCGTCGGCACAAACGGCAAACAACTGTATAATTCTACAGAAGACTGATCGCAATTCTATCATATATAGCTTGACGATGCCTCAGAACGAGATAAACGGCGACTTGCCGAGGAACTGCACATTGCGACAGTGATCGATTTACGATCTCAGTAAGCCCCATCATAGAATCCTATATGAAGACCCCCAAACTCATACCTGCGCCCACAGAACCGAACACCAGATGGGAACCCGCAAACGCCGCGCCGAAAACGCAGGCGCGAGCGAGGATCCCGACATCGACTTCACGAGATCTCGCGTGCCTCTAGACGCTGATGAACATCTGCTGCAAATCCCCGAGTGTCACCGCGCCCGGATCAGCTTGACGGGCAAGGGGTTCGAACGTGCTTTACTGGCTAAACTCGATTGGCCCACTTATCTGTAAGCCACCGCTGCCCTTTTGGCCTTACGGGCCCTTTGGATCCCTCGATCCCTCGATACTGATCCTTCTCCAGCAAAGTCATTGCGTGGGCCGCCACAGGTTATCGCGCTGATGCTATCCGCTTGATCGGTGAACAGGTGATGCAGCCGCGAGGGTTAACAGGACTCGCGCAGGATACCCTGGATTCCAGTACTAGCGAGATACGCGCGGTATTTGAGCTGCTGGCGAAGGAAGAGGCGTATCCGCTGGTTGTGCATTGTACTCAGGGCAAAGATCGGACTGGTCTGGTCATTCTGATGGCGCTTTTGCTTGCGGGTGACGCGGTGCCAGCGACTGCTATTGCTGATGACTACATCCGGTCGGAGCTAGAACTAGTCCCTGAGTTTGAGGAGCGATTACGCGAAATCCGTGCCTTGGGGTTAGGCGAAGAATACACCCGTTGCCCGCCCGGATTTGTGGACTCGACAACCCAGTACCTGCAGGACAGGTACGGTGGCGTGCGAGGGTATTTGGCCGGCATCGGCATTGATGCGGCGATGCAAGAACACATACGACAGATTTTATTGATCCAGTGAATCGGCGTTGGCTGCGGGCGATATGCTGGCGGCATTTTTTGTACATAACATGGGAGATGTGACCACGGTAATCATACAGCCCATCGGGCTTTCTTAATGTCAATATTTCAGGTTGACATCAAACGTGGAGAGTGAATTTGATGATCGTGAACTGAGATGATATTTTTACAAGAAAAGGAAAAGTCTTGATATGGATCATGTAGAACCCTCCGAGGGTATGTGTTAAAAAAAAAAAAAGGAAAAGGGAAAGGAAAAGAAGAAATGTAGGCATAATCAGGTATATAAAACGGCCAGAAATGCAGCAAATCACGCACTGGTCATCGCATCGGTAAAATCAATAAATCCATCATCCTAACGCCAATTACCTAAAATGTGGGAGGGGTAAAATTAGGTGCGCTGGCCACGATAATAGTTGGGTCCTTGCGAGTCGTATGTCAAGGGCTCCTCCAGCGACACGTTGTGAGACCCATCATCTCCATGGGACATGACGCTGCGCTTCTCACCCTGAGGCACGTGGTTGCGAGTGCGGACAGAGGGCAGCAGGTCGACCACGAAGGAGAGGATATATCCGGTGAAGACAAAGGCAATGACCCACTCGAGGATGGCACCGGGATTCTTCTTCGATTTGTCATTGCTTCCCATGCAGACTCCAAAACCGATGGCGAGGCCGACTTCGATGATAATAAAGCAGAGCTTGATGACGAAGCTGATCAACAGGATGCGGTGCTGAGAACGATAGAAGATAACCAGGCGAAGGTACTCGGCGCAAATCAAGATGGCACTGACAACGTATCCAACACTACACCATTTAAGTTAGTTCAAATTCAGATCAAGATCAAAATTAAAAATCGCTCTGGAGAAGTTGACACTCACATGAACATGACCAGGAAGCCATCGTGTCTCTTCGGATAATGCTTGGTATCGAAAATGGAGAGCAGAATCAAGCCAAGCGCGCCAGCAATGGCGAAGAAGATCGAGAAACACGCACACAGCTTATCGAACCAGCCGCGGTTCGACACAAGCTGGCCAGCGTGACGCAGCCAGCGCTCAGCCAAGAAAGCCAAGTCCAGGAAGACGACAGTCACCACACTACCGGCGATGAAGAGCGGTTTTAGGCCCGAGGCACCAATATCGGAGATGTATCTGTGATCGCGTGAGTTAATCGCATCGCCACGAGAGAGGGATTCTACTTACGCAACGGTCTGGCCAGATTCCTCTGAACTATAGATCGGTTCGCCTTCTCTGGCCCATACAGCGAGCATGGCAATCAACATGGCTAAGACATTGGGTTAGATCTTGCGGATAAAAAGCGACCGAAAAGTTCTTACCAACCCACACGCATGCCGATATGAGAGGGAAGACCCAGAATGAAATGATCCACATCTTTGCAGGATGTTGTTTCTACGCGTGTCCGAATATGTATGTTCCGTCAGGGCGAATGACGTCGAAGGCTGTGCGACTGGAAAGGATGCGGTTGTTCTCTAAACAATGCGACTCTTCGTCTGTTAGTATTGCTTGCACACCCTTGTTCGTTCGATGACCCGGGGGTAACAATCATGGGAAATATCCAAGAGTGAACCGGTCGCACAGGCACGAACTCACTGATTTATTAATACTGCATTCCACAACGGTCAAAGGGCTGAAAAAAAAAAAATTAAGATTGAAATGCTTTGGTGGCGCTCGGATAAGAAATCCAGGGAAAAGGATTGCGCTCGGATCGTTCGGAATGAAGGGAAATGTACACTATTCACAACATGAGGCGACAGAGAAGGAGGCTGATTGTAAGGAGAGGAGGAGAGAAGGGATTTGATCCTCCAGGAGTCGTCGACGTAACAGAAGGAAGCAAGGAAAAAATCCATATAAGAGACGCACGATAGGGGGGCGACGTCATTGCTGCCAAGGTCTCCAAATGTTTCCAATTTTTCCAGCGGATCCACGATATTCCCGTAATGAGATGGGAATTGTACTCGTCGTAATGGCCCCACTCCAATTTGATCGACCGACTCGGCTTGTCTCTGATTTGCACCAAATGCTGATGACTGATTGTCCAGCCACCCCGATCTACACAATCTCGGAAAACCGGGTGTGGCGGAGGTGAGCAGGCACCGTAATGTTAGAAATGAGAAAATGAAAAAAAGTAATGATCTATGTCATAATTAATACTTATAATGGGGAAATGGAAATCAGAATACAGACTAGGACACAAAATGAAAATTTTGATATTTATGCAAATGCATTAAAAGCCATCTATGGGTCTACCGGAACGCCGTTGGTGAGCAGAGCCGTGCTGAAAAAAAATAAAAAGGGAAAAATATTAATGGGGCAACCTAAGAGAGACACTTCCCCCATTTCATCGACTGCGCCGTGGTCGAGGTCGGCCCCCAGCAATTTTCCGCCGCTGGAGACCCGTGGGACCCTGACGCTCCACAACCCGCACGACCTGCACCTCATCCTCTTCACTACTGTCCTCGCTGCTCTCCTCACTCGAGTCCGACTCCGACGCCGAGGGCACCGCACGGGTTCGCGGTGGCGGGCCGCTCACGGAAGGAACAGATTGGTGATGCTGCGCTAGGGTAGGAGACAGCCCGCCAGAATAGCTCATATGATGCGGAGGCCCAACCCGAAGGTCATTGGGAAACTGCGCTTGATACGGGGCCTGCTCTGCAAACGGGCCCATCTGCATGGGATTGTAGTATGACGGTGCCCATTGCGGATCGTCCGGCAGGGGTCGTGGGTGCATTCCCTGCATCGATTGCGGGCGGCCGTTAGGGGGAAGCCGCTCAGGAAAGGCAGGATAGCCCGGTCGAAGCGGAGAGTTGGACTGTTGCGGGCGGAGTGACTGCATGGTAGGGGTTCGTGGGCGGTTTGAAGAGGACGAGCTAGTAGGCCGCCCAGCGGCACCCGCACCGAGAGTCCACCCGGCATCGGGGCCGTATGCAAATGGGGCGTAAAGCCCCGCAGGTGGTCCTGGTGGTCGCTCTGGCAGGCCCCCGGATTTGCGTCGAGATGCAGGCCGGGGATTCGATGCACCACCAGTCTGCTTAGGCCGGCGAGCCTCGCTGGGTGTGTCCGTCTGCTGGCGCCTGCGTTCCAGTGCATCCAGCTCGCGCTGAGATAGCCGGACGTTCTTCTTTCCCAGCATCTGCGCACGACGAATGCGCTCCAGTGCTTTGTCGACCAGTTGGTCCTCTTTGTCTCGCATGGCCAGCTGAACCGCGTAGGCCACCGTGCTATCTTCATGGTCGTAAAGGTCGTAGTCACCCCGTCCACGACCGACTCACCATCGTCGGTCAAATCATCATAATCCTGCCGCCGGCGCGGCCCCCGTCCTCCGTATTCCAATTGCCGCATATACGCCGCACGGCCATTTCGTACCAGCTGCCGTCCATACTCGTCCTCGTCCGTCTCCACCTCCTCCACTCGTTTCATCTGTTCCTCATATTGCCCGCCCCCGCCGTTGTGTCTCCCTTTTCGTGCTCCCGGTGGTCTTCCCCATCGGGGCATATCGTAAGGAGCTCGCGGCCGACCACCTGAGACCGCCTCCTCGGAAAAAGCATTCTCGATTGGCTTATCCATAAAAGCAGCGTGACCGAAGACGGTCACACCCGTTGCGCCGATCAGCCACAGGACCGTCGCGATGGGCGAAGCCCAGATACCAAGAGGGACGCCAATGCACAACAGACCAGTGTAGAGCTGCGAAGTGTTGAAACGGCGAAAGCCTACGTCCAGGTCGCGGCCATCCAGTTTACCGATGCCCCAAAGACTGGCGGTCACGAAAATGATGACAAAGAGCAGAAGGGGATTGGTCAACAGGCTGTAAATGCTGAGCATCACGAAGACGACAGCATAGTTGCTGGAAAAGTGGCCCAGGTTGTAGTTGACGCGGCTTTGAATCTCACCAAAGTTGGCGGGCTTGGAGACGCGCTTGAGGTCGAGGAACTCGGAGACTGGGCGCAGGTTGGCGAAACGGGTGGTCAGCGACTGGCTACGGAGGGAGTTGAAGCGATCACCGAAACGCGAGGTGATCGCGTCGATAGGAATTTGAATGGCCATAGCGAGCGTAGGGCGTAGCAATGTGAAGAGAAGAGAGAAAAGAGAAGAGAGAAGAGAGGGTTGCAAATGTGATCAATGGGCACAACTGGAAGATGCAGAGTGAAAGAACACGGAGTCACTTTTTTTCCTTCCCGCGTTTGGACTTTGCCCCTTTCGATGTTAGTCCAACAGCAGTGGCCAAATTGGACTTGACACGCGTGAGAAGAGAACTAGGCAGAAGTACAGAGCCTTTGGGGGCTGAGCGAGGAACGATGAGTAATAAAAAGGAAAAAAAAAAACATGAATTGGATGATTTTCTTGTCTGGACCAGGACTAAGAATAGCAGAGACCCATTTTCCCGTTGTTTACTGCGTGCGGACGGCCGTCACCGGGATCGGAGCGATCATGGCGATCTGGGGGAGGGAAATGGCTAGAAGTAGTCAAGGTGGATTGGAAGGAAACACTCGTATTATATAGACGCCCATATCAAACCACACCTACACATACACACAGATCTTATGAATCACAGAACCTGGAAGAATCGACTTCCCCTCACTGCCAAAAAAGAAAAGTCAAAAGGTCACGATTGGGCCACGTCGGGAAGTTCTGCAGGTGGATCACAGCCCGACCGCTTTTTCCCTTTGCAGAGTGGACTCCTCGACCGTGCATTCACCTGCTTTCCCGTGATTGTGATTCTATCTTGGTTTGTTTAGGGTCGCGGTGCTGACCGCTCCATTTCGTCTTGAATCATGAAGGTCCTCACCTTCTCTCTTCTGCTCGTCTTTGTGGGTCTGGTCGCTGCGTGGTCCAAAGAAGGTTCGTTGTTGACGCCCCCTGCAACTGTGTACACTACTCACCCTTTTTTTTTTCCAATTTGCCAGACTACGAGATCTTCAATCTGAGGGATGAGGTGGCCCGCTCTGAAGGTGCCAATGTGACTTTCTACGGTACGTTAACATATTCTCTGAACCCTCGAGGGGCTTCCTCAGCAGAGAGTTGACTCCGCTTCTTTGCTAGATTTCCTTGAGATTCGTCCGAATGCCAACCAGGAGCAAATCACCAAGGCCTACCGCACCAAGTCGCGCACTCTGCACCCGGATAAGGTGAAGCGCTCCTTCATCGCCAATTACTCCAAGGACAAAGCCAATGCCAAGTCCAAGCAGGGCGTCAATGTCTCCACTGGTCCCTCGAAGCGCCAGATCGATGCTGCCGTCAAGGCTGCTACCGAGCGTTCCAGTCGCTTGAACCTCGTCGCCAATGTCCTGCGTGGCCCCGGCCGTGAGCGCTACGATCATTTCCTGAAAAATGGCTTTCCCCTCTGGAGGGGCACCGGATACTACTACTCACGCTTCCGTCCCGGTCTGGGATCCGTGCTGATGGGTCTATTCCTTGTCTTCGGTGGTGCTGCCCATTACGGCGCTCTCTATTTGGGCTGGAAGCGCCAGCGCGAGTTTGTCGATCGGTACATTCGTCAGGCACGTCGGGCTGCTTGGGGTGATGACATGGGTATCCCGGGTATCAACTCGGTTGCCGCGTCTGCTCCTGCGCCTGCTCCCGAAGCTGAGGGCGGTGCGGTTGCCATGAATCGTCGCCAGAAGCGGATGATGGACAAGGAGAACCGTAAGGAGAGCCGGAGACCGAAGCCAAGCCCGCGTCCATCAGGCACATCCACGCCTACTGATCCTACGGAGCCTGTCACCTCCACTGGGGAGCGGAAGCGGGTCGTTGCCGAGAATGGCAAGGTCTTGATTGTGGACTCCATCGGCAACGTCTTCTTGGAAGAGGAGAATGAGGAGGGTGAAAAGCAGGAGTTCTTGCTCGATGTTGACGAAATTCAACGACCCTCTATTCGTGACACCATGGTGTTCCAGCTCCCTATCTGGTGCTTCAAGAGATCTGTTGGCCGTATCATGGGCACTTCTGAGGCCCCCGAAGAGGAAGACCAAGAGGTAGAGCCTGCCGATGAGGTTCTCGAGGCGACCGCGACCTCGAAATCGGGGTCGAGCAGAAAGCGCAACAAGCGTTCCCAGCGATCTTGATCCGGCTCAATGGCACTTGAGCTGGCCACATTGTGCATGTATGCTTGTTTGTTGCTCATACTGGGTGTATTAAAAGTATCTATAATAGAGTCAAAAGAGTTCGGGGTCATTTCCCCCTGTATAACAGCTCCGGAAAACAGGCCAAGGCGACCTGACTTATCACATGGCCTCTTGCCTACTTTAGTGACATTCTCTCCAGTGATCTGTGGAGCAATGCAAGCCACGTCAGCGGTCCTGTGGAACTACTGCCAGTGAGCGTGGGACACACAGGCCCTAGCCCGATGTAGGGAAATCCAACGGGGCAATATCCACCGTTGGGTACACATACTTCACCGAAACTTGGGTTTAAAAAGAGAAAAGTACGCCCCTCGGGTTGCTCGTGTCTCACGTCTACTTTGAAGTCCTTAGATTCAACTGTCGCCACAAAACACTTGCTTTTCAAAATGGAAATGCAGATCAAATCCGAGCGAGCCTCCCAGTCCAGGACATAGTATATCGGCCAAACAGAAGACGAACAAAGAAAAAGAAAAGGTCAGGCGTGAAAGAGAGTTCGGCGAATATCATGACGGTCATTAGGCTGAATGTTTCATCTGGTTCTGCACAAGGGTGGCGGCGATGTGGGCATCTGCTCGAGCTAAACATGCCTAGGCAAACATCTTGGCCAGACTCATCAGACCATTGATGCCCTGTGAAAAGCCTGGGCTCTGGTGCTCGCCAAATCCTCCCCGCGCCCCCTGAGGGGCACCACCTCCAAGAGCACTGAGAAGTCCCTGTGGCAGGCGCAACCCGACCATGCCGAGCAACTTGACCAGCACCCCACTGGTGACCAGCGGCACAATGACCATCATGAAGACTTTCATGGGGTGCTGGCGGGCATAGCGATAGATGTCACGGAAGAGGCGCTTAATGGACCGGATTATGCGCTGGATGAAGCCCTCGCGCGGCCGAGCTCGTCGAGAGGAGGATGAGAAGGATGAAAAGACTGATCTGGTTGGACTGGATCGACCGCTCGCAGATCGACCGCCTCCCAGTGCACCAAGGTTGAAGAAGGACGGCGCAGAGTGTCGCGAATGGTGGGTCGAAAAGCCAGATGACTTGCGTACAGGAGAGCGACGACGCACGTAGTAACCACCAGAGCGCGAATGCGACGAGGACTTGGAAGGGCCGTCGAACCAGCCCATTCTAACGGATGTTATAGAGTGGCTTGAGCTTTGAACCCGGTGCCTCTTAGAAAATTGGTCCTGGATTGACTGAAGTAGACGGTGATCGTAAACAATTCGGTTATAGGTGTATAGGAGACAATCAACAGACAAGGCATCTGTCCCTGGAAGAACACTAACGAGAAATCTCTGGCAGCTGTGGCAAGCCGAAGAAAGAAAGAAGACCAATGCAGGTCAGCCGCTAGGAGCTGTAGAGGTGCACAATTCGAGGTCTAGGCTGCGTACATCTACTCCACCCACGATCCGCTTTGCAGGTGGCGATTGAGTGGAATGTCAGATGCAAGATGCAAGATATGGGGCAGTCCAACCGGGGCTCTGATTAATTTGCTAGAACTGACCGGGGAGAGATACAAAGTTAGCTTCGCCCCCTGACGACAAAATGGGTGGCTGGGAAGCGAATCTGTAGCAAATAACAAGTGAGACTGTTTTAGGGCCAAGGAGGGGGGAATGGTGCCTTGTGGCCTTGTAGCCTGAGGTGGACACTCTCACATGATGATTGCCTTGGTGCCTCAAAACGTGACGACGTCACTGGCGTGGTTATACTTGAGTTCTTGGTTCGCAGCGATTTGACAGTTCCCTTGTCACTATATCTGCCTTTTTTCTGCGCTCACCATGTCGAGTAAGTCACTCCATTACTTGGCGTCATAGGTGAGCTCAAGCTAACCAGTAACTACAGAGAGCCCTGACTATTGTATGTCTCACTTTCAGATCGCAGATCGTCCCATGACTCCTAATTTGACCAACAGACAAGATTCTCGGCGTGTCCAGTGATGCGACCCAGCAGCAGATTCGCACTGCATACAAGAGGTCAGTATATGACATTGCTGCCTGCGCGAAGAGCACAGCGCGGACTGACCAACGTCAAACAGGGAATCCCTCAAGTCCCATCCCGATCGAGTTCCTGCCGATTCACCTGAGCGATCCGCACGGACAGCGAAATTCCAAGAGATCAACGACGCATACTATACCTTGTCAGACCCCGCACGACGACGGGAGTACGACCAGGTCCGCGCTTACGAAGAGGCTGAAGAAGAAGTCGACGATGAGGTGCCTCAGGGCGGCGCTGGTGGCTTCCCATGGTCTAGCTTCGGATTTGGCAACCGCAACGAGCGCGATGCCGATCAATTCGGGTCCGTCTTTGAGGAGATGATGCGCGAAGAAGGACTGGCCGAAGAGAATGACGAGGACGGCAGCCGACGGACACGCCCAACTTCCCGATTCTGGGCCGTTGTTGGTGGTGTTAGTGGAGGCGCTTTAGGCTTTATCGTAGGCAATGTCCCTGGAGCGCTAGCTGGCGCTGTGGCGGGTAATCGCCTGGGTGCCGTCCGCGACGCGAGGGGCAAAAGTGTCTATGAGGTTTTTGTGGACCTTCCACAGCCAGATCGGGCGCGGCTCCTGAAAGAGCTGGCGGCAAAAGTCTTCCAGACTACCATGGGACGCTAATTTGCCGGAAATGGGGTTTTGTTTATTTAATTGGCGCTGTGACGGGACGAGTGGCACAGGATGGGTCTGGCTGAATTTTTGGGATCCTCAAGTTTATTTTCTCATATAGTCATCTCTAGCTAGAATTATGTAGATATATATTCCAGACCTATGAATGACAATTGCATACTACAACCCAGTGCTGGTGGGAACCTTGCCAAGAGTGTTTTCACATGCTTCATGCTCTTATCGATAACAGGACAAGTAGACCGGTCGGGTCGCCAATTTTCGCTCTTCGGCGGAGTATATGAGTTCACAATTAGGCACAATTAGGAATTAGTGCCACAATTCGATTGATCTCAAGTCCACGATTCGAGTCACCAGACCTCGCTTGAAACCGTCCTGGTGGCATTCCATGCCTGTTCTGGACCGCGCGCTAACTACACCCCACCTGCTCACCGCTTGCGGTCAAAAAAAGGACCCCTTAGGTCAGGAAGTCTATATTTGTCTCCTATTCCTGTCCTGTCTTCGTGACTTCTGCACTTTCTGGACATTGATCTCTCCCCATTATGACGACTGCTGCCAGTGTTTACCCCGCCTTGGAGGCCCGTCCTCTTAAGGACACCATCTGCCTGTTCGATGTGGACGAGACCCTCACCAAGGCCAGACGGGTACGTTGTAATGAAGCTCCTTCTGATTGAGTATTGCTAACTCATAGTTTCAACTTAAAGACTGTCACACCAGAGATGCTTGAGCTTCTTTCTCGCCTGCGCCACAAGTGTGCAATTGGCTATGTTCGTCGTCACCCGTCTACTGTCTTTCGTCTCTTCTAACATCCTGCAGGTCGGCGGCTCCAACTTCGTAAAGCAGCAGGAGCAACTCGGATCAGGTACCACCGATGTCACCTCTCTGTTCGACTTCTGTTTCCCCGAGAACGGTCTGGTCGCCTACCGCATGGGCGAGCCTCTCTCTAGCAACAGCTTCATCCAGTGGCTCGGAGAGGATAAGTATCAGCAGCTCGCGGACTTCTGCCTAGGATACATCTCCAAGATCAAGCTTCCAAAGAAGCGTGGCACCTTTATTGAGTTCCGCAGCGGTATGATCAACATTAGCCCCATTGGCCGTAACGCCAGCGTCGAGGAGCGCGATGAATTTGAGGCGTATGTTTATATCTCCTGGAGCGGATACCTTCGCAAGATAAATCAACTTACAATCGCCTTAGTTACGATAAGATTCACAACATTCGGAGGGATATGGTGGATGCCCTGAAGAAGGAGTTCCCCGACTGGGGTCTCACGTACGTGCCCGACAAGCGAGGATATTCACTGTGGACGCATGACACTGACATTAGATAAACATAGCTTCTCCATTGGTGGTCAGATCTCTTTCGATGTCTTCCCCACTGGCTGGGACAAGACCTATTGCCTGCAGCACGTCGCGGCCGAGAAGGGCATCTCCGGTGTGGATTACAAGACCATTCACTTCTTCGGTGACAAGTGCTTCGTCGGTGGCAATGACTATGAGATCTACTCGGACCCTCGCACGATCGGGCACGAGGTCAACGGCCCCGATGACACCATGAAGCAGCTGAAGGAGGTGTTCTCCCTGTAGATATATCGCAGGTTAGAAAAGGGGGAGTTGCGATAGCGTATGCATGCTGAGCCAGAAATGCTTGGTCCCTAATTTCCAGGACATATCATCAGAAAATAGAAACTGATTTAATGCCAAAGTTATGAAGCTCAAATTCCCAAGTCCTTTGTAGATGTTTCCCGAATTTTTGCGGGGCTCGATCGGGGAACGTCGATCTTTCCGGCGGCGATGTTAGTCATCCGTACCTTTCTCCTTGCTTCTTCCTGCGTCACGTCTCTCTTGCAGCAACATTTTTCGAAACCTCATTCATCTGCACCATGGCACCCCCAAAGCATGTCGCGGAGGTACCGCGAAATGTCCTTCCCCGTTTGACATGGAACAGCTCCACCTCGCGCCCTCCCATCTCCTGTAAGCCCGCCTTCGCGACAAGGCAAAGGCAGCAACACACTCAAGCCTGGAGTCCGCTTCAGCGCAAATCAATCTCACCGGGCACACAGCTACAGTCCATGCGAGGCTATTCAACACCATTCCGAAGCCCTCATTTTGAAGGTCTCATTGCCCGACGCTCTCCGGCCTCTTTAACGACCTCACCCGGGCCCCTCGGTAATCCTATTCGACACAATGGCGTCTATGTCGCAACATTCAAGCCTGCGCAGCGGGCTTTCCACGCCACTCCTGCCCGGCCCCGTGACCACCATTTTGACACGTTGAAGTTCGTGAAGCGGCTCCAGGCCGAAGGATTCAGCGAGGAACAAGCCGTGGCTATGATGCGAGTGTTGAATGATATCATTCAAGAGTCTATCCAAAACCTGACGAGGACTATGGTTCTCCGAGAAGGTAAACAGAGTGCTAATTTATCTATTTCGAATTCCGTCTGACTTTCACCTAATAGATTCCGAGAGATCTACATACACCCAAAAAGTTGATTTTGCGAAACTCCGATCCGAACTATTGAACACTGATTCCACCGAAGCTCAGCTCACTCGTTCGTCTCATGAGAAGATTGCCGCGGATCTTGCCAAGCTTAATTCTCGCATGCGCGATGAGGTTGGGCGAACACAAGCCTCAGTGCGTCTAGACCTGAACCTCGAGAAGGGTCGTATCCGCGAAGAAGCCAACGGCCAAGAAATGCGGATTAAAGAGACTGAAACACGTATTGAGCAAGAAGTTGCCGGTTTGAGGGAACGAGTCGAGGCTGTGAAGTTCTCAACTCTCCAGTGGCTCATGTAAGTCTTTCCAATTCCCTTGCCCACACATAGATTGAAACTGACCTCATGTTCTTCAAGGGGTGTCTGCACTGGTACCGCTGCTCTGATTCTTGGTGCTTGGCGCTTGTTTATGTGAAGCGAATTAGCATCAAATTTGTGTGCATTGCTATGGAGTGCTTTTTGGTTGGACATACACGAGAGGAGTCTCTCGCATCATCTTTTTATTTGTAAAATTATTCTCTTTATCTAGCCGTTTGGGGCTGAGGTAGATGTACACAAGCGTCACTTGCCGGGCTATCAAATCACTGAAATATCCCTTGTCATACCAGAGATAATCCGTGGCGGAGACCGGCCCGTTCTGGTCAAGCTGTATCGCAACAAACAATGAGTGTCTATATTGCTCGGCTATCCGTCCAACTCGAGGAACCGGCTCTTCCAAGCGAAGTCTGCAAGGTACCTACCTAGCTTCGGCCAGAGAGGACGCGCCTTTCCCTAACGGCCTTATCTTCAGGGGTAAACGCGGCCTCGGCGCGATCTCGAATAAATGTTGCATCCTCATGCGGAGAAGCATTTTAGCGTCCACTAGTCTGCCACCGGTGTCCGACGGCCACTACTCAGGATGGCAGTGTCGTGCGCGTTACTGGCCCTGTTGGGCCTCTAACCATCTTTTCTCAGCATGTTAAAGCCTTTCCCTTCCCCTAATCGCCCTGCTGCCTTGTCCTTATTTCTTTGGACCATCGTCAACTTCGCCTTGGCTCTCAAAAGTGGACACAGAAAACATACAGAACAATCGCTGAGTTTCGACACCTTCCGAGTGGGTACCGATCGTGTGGAAGAATCTATGAAAATTGTTGGAAACACTGAATCGGAAGAAAAGGTGCACAGCAAGAGCGGCCCAAAAACCTATCACAAATTTAAGCTATCACAAATTTGACTTCAAGATCGCCGTGACGATGATTCTAGCCATACCTTGTGCATTACTGCTTTTTGGTCATGCTAGTATAATCTCTGCGCTTCATGACAACACATGGACTCCCAGACGATCTACATTAGAGACTTCCAGCTCGACTGGACTGCAAGAAGTGTTTGAAGTCTACCAACCAGTACCATTCACGTCCCACGGCCTCAGTGGTTGCAACCTTGATATGGTGCTGATGGACCATGTGTTTGCGTATAGCTACGGCGCTCCTTTCGTTGGTGAGAGTGTAGCGCTCAAGACTGTTGTTCGAATTGGCACTGACGTCCAAATTTCCTAAGGCATCTATGAGCCACCCAGCTGTGAATTTGATACTGTTCGGATCAATCTTACAGTGTTTTCCCGTGGTGTGCAGTATGACCGTCTGGCTCTCATGTATCTGGGGGATACAGAAGTTTTCAGAACTTCAACTGCTGAGCCGACATCTGCAGGGATTGTATGGACCTACGTCAAAGAAATGTCCCAGTACAACGCGCTGTGGAAGAACAAACAGAAACTGATCTTTGACCTTGGCAACATCGTTAACTCTCAATACACCGGGGAATACAATACTACATTGACAGCACACTTCTCCTACGAAGGCAACACAAAGACTGCGGACTACATTTTCCCCTATCTCTGGCAAGGGATCAGCGTCAAATTCGTCCAGCGCTTTTACGGTTCCTACTGACAACACAACGGTCAAGTACATGATTCCAGATACGGTATCGCGTGCGGTCGTTGCAATCTCTGCGTGTGGTCAGTCAGAGGAAGAATTTTGGTGGTCGAACGTATTCTCCCAGGATGAGGAGGACTTCAGTGATACAGTTGGCGAGCTTTACGGATACTCACCTTTCCGAGAAATCCAGCTCTATATTGATGGAATGCTTGCTGGCTTTGTTTGGCCTTTCCCTGTCATATTTACTGGAGGCGTCGCTCCTGGTTTCTGGCATCCGATTGTTGGAATTGACGCCTTTGACCTCCGAATGCCTGAGATTGATATCTCTCCATTTTTGCCACTCCTTCAGGATGGTGAAGAGCACTCCTTCGAAATTCGAGTCACCGGTCTTACTGTGTCCGCTGACGGAACGGTTACACTTGCGGATACCGTGGGATCGTACTGGATTGTCACCGGCAATATTTTTCTTTACACGGAAAGAAAGAATGACTCCAAAGAGTCACTGACTCGGGGTAGCTCTGTTCCCCACATCAAAGCTCCAGCACCCAAGTTCACGGCCACTCGGAATTTGGTACAAGGCGAGAGTGAAAATAGCACACTCTCATATTCCATCGTCGCAGAGAGATTGTTCAGTGCATCCTCTGACAAGTTCTCCTGGACACAGAAATTGTCCTTCTCCAACTATGGATACTTGAATCAACAGGGTTACAGTCAGGTCAACAAGCAGCTGACTTCCGGCGTATCGACACTTACAGAAGTCGGGGATAAGTCAGCCTCGTACGAGACCACCTTTCGGTATCCTTTGCTACTTAACACAACATACGGGATCACCGCAGATTCATTGACCATTGACTCCTGGATGAAACGCGGTCTGGATATTGAGGCCTCTGGGGGTCCAGGCATATCCGCGTACACATTCGCCTCTGGGCCTTCGGAGCTTCATACCACCCAGTCTGGACAGGCCCGGTACGACTCTACCACCAGTGGTACTACATCTTGGGGCGATACTGCGGATAAATTTCAGAGCACAGCAAACGGCGAGTCATACTCACGCTCCGTTAGAGCTGTTGGTGGCGATGTGGTGTCTGACATCGAATTTGGAGCCAAGTCCGTTTCACCTTCTCACGGCACGGATGTCACTGGGAGACAAAGCGTGCGCGAAATGCTCGGGAGGGGTCCTGGAAAGCCGCGGGGCTAGAATTTCTAATAGATTATTACAAATGCATTTAAAAAGATTTGGTGTCACTCGACCAGCCAGACTTTTGAGAATTTTTTCGAATGTTTTTTCCCCTCCCGTAGTGTGAACTTCTGAACCCTGTCCAACATATCCTCTTGCCTTGCCTCTCGAATCCAGCTGAATTTTCCAGCCGAACTGACCCATTTGACGTTTCAACTTGGAAGGCTAATAGATTTAAGATACTAATCTGACTTGCAATCTGTCACTAGCGTATCACTTCTGATCTTCCTCCCTCTGGCGTCACTTTCTCACACGCTCTTATCTATCTCCCTAAACTGCCATTACAATGGCACCTTGATACGATGTGAGCCGAGGGTACTTAGACGGCTGGTACTAAGCACACTGCCGGTGGAATAGAGAAGCCTCGGGCAGAGCATACGTCTCTGTATGTAAAATTTCTCTCACAGTACTTTGTACAGCACTAACAAAGCTAGCTACTTCAACTCACAATTTTTCACTTATCTTTCACTCCTTCAAGATTCTCACACAGTGACAGGCTGGTCCATTTTATCGACTTCCTCTTCATCTACATGTGTACAATTTGTCTGACAGCGCAGTTCCGAGTGTTTGCGGCCTTGTTTGAGGGTAAATGAACTCACTAGGAGGGATCTGGTTTGCGGGAAAATCGAGAAAGCCCTTGGGATCGGGAGGGAAAATCTCGATGCTGATAAGGACTTTCATTATCGCTTGAACCATCTAGTCCGTGAACTGAACTTTGGCTTATTTCTAGCTATGGGTTACGCCAATAGAGGGGAATATCCTATTTATATCATCGGTGGATTTTCGATAGCGTTTATTCTAAGTAGATTGATTTGCTTTCTGCTCTAAAAACTTACATTAGGTGTCTATCGGCGAGTGAAGCTCAGTAGTCTCACCCTATTTGGTGGATTTTTCGGACTCGAATGTATCTTTAGCCTTGGGGGTAGCTTCAACCTTGCGCCGCTTTTTGATGACTCTGTCTACTTAGACGATAAGCTTCGGTCTGGAAGCAGCGGGTCGCGCCATTATTATTGATCAGAATTATGCGCTCGAGGTTGATTTCGGAGAAAAGTGCACTTCATGAAGTTCGCGATCTGTGGGCAAGGTATAGGCAACTGAGCTGTAAGAACGTGCACGTCATCCGAGTGGCCTTCATCTTCCGATTCTGATTCTTCATTTATCAAAAATCCAGTGAAAGCGTAGTTCGACTCAGAGATAATCATTCCACGTGCCAACAAGGCTATGTTGTCCTTTGCTCACAGTATGCCCAAGTCTACGACGAAGTCTTTAGCGGAGTCTCGCCGATACTATTTCACACCATGGCAAGCCAAGGACGGACAAGTTCTTGGTTCCTGTGATCTATAATCACGAGTTGAAAAAATCTGCAGCTTTGCTGAAGGCAAGTTGGAAAGATGAAGATTCTTCAGATTGTATTGCGGGTGGTTTCAGTAACACCCCGGTTTTAGAACGAGGTTTTCGAGATCCACTCCTAGCGATTATGCATGCATCTTTCACCGATCTGATAATCTTACAAACTTTGAGCACCTTGTGGCCGTGCTGCAGCATTATCTAGATTATATCTGTCATCAACCTTTTGTATCTGTCTGTTCTGCTCGATGTTTGAGGCCAAACCCTGGTTCTACAAGCGTCAATGAACGTCAATATTGGCCACTGTTTCAGTCCTAGTACTTTTATCGTGAATGGTAAAGTTTGGGCATATTTGAACATTTCGGCATGAAAATACGCTCATTTAAGCACCGAAAGTGTCATTGGCAATTTTGTTCGAGTGGTCTTCCGTTATACTCTGTTTCATTCCCGTACGGCGATATGTGAGAGTTTCATCGACTTTATAGATACAGGCGGTGCGTCCTTATACATGATGGGTCCACACAAAACCAAAGTTCTGTGCTATTCCACCACTATTCGAGTGGTCTTCGTTTTGACAAACACACATTTCCGGCAATGTACGGGGGCGTCAAAGGTTATCCCCAGTGTGAAGCTCTGTTGTTTGTGCGGTTTGCTGCAGATATCGCCACGTGATTAGATAAGATAAGAGCATTGGCTGTCGCATTGCGCCTTCATCTTTTCTACCCCATCGTGACTTGGCGGCAAGAGACTCATACGAGGTAAGTCCACAGGATGGGTGTGATCGCGGAGCGAGTGGTTATTTCAGGTACTGTTTATCATCTTCCGCGACGGACACGGTTGGATTGAGACTAATTTCTGCCCATTTTAGACGCAGTGCCTCAGTCACTGATCGCCGCTCTCGCGCAAAGCGACTCTTTCAACAACGGCGATCGCCCGGCGAAGCGGCGTAAGGTCACCAAATCAGGCCCTTACAGTTTATCTCAACAGAGAGGCGTCTCTGCCAGCGGGACTCCTTTAGGCTATATTCCGTTGGCGCGACTGGCACTGCGCATGGTTAGTATGAAGTGGCATTCGTCCAAGATTGAATTACTAACAGTTTGCCACCTTGATAATTAGAGCTTTTCCGATGACCCTGAGTTAAATGATGTGATACCCTCCGATTCGACAGCAACCCCCTGTTCTCTCCCCGTGCTCGTGGAAATCAGAAGCGTTGGCGCCAGCCATGACGACTCGAATAAAAGTACAGCACAGGACAAACCCTACCACAGATCCTGGTCACTCGAGCTACGGGCGATCGATACGGAAAGAACTGACTTCTTGAAACAACAATTCAATGATCTTCAGCAGTCCAGTTTCTTCCAACAACTTGAGCATGCCACCAGGCTGACTTCGGCGGACCGGCACTTCAGTCGCGGTCCCCCGAGGGCATGCTACCAAGCTTCAATACGTCCTTTGCCCGAATACAAATGCCTTCAGCTAGATGTTGTGATCCTTTGGGAAGACTCTCTTGAACTTCCGGACTTTGTTCATCTGCAAGATCCGGTCCTGGAGGTATTCGCAAAGTACGCACTGCAGGAGACTTACGAATGCCCGAAATCATTGAGTGGCCAACGTGAGCATCGTGAAAATCTATTGGGCTATCCTCGAGGATGGTCACCGCGTCAATTCTACGAAAGCGTTCATGTTCCGTCAGACACCAAAAGCTCATCCGCAGAGATCCACTGCCCCGGTCTTGCGTGTCAACTGTTCCCCTTCCAGCGAAGAGCCGTTCGATGGCTTCTGCGGCGAGAAGGTGTGGAGCTTCAGAATGACGGAACGATTACTTCGACAGAGAGACCCCCACGCGACGGCCTCCCGGCGTCATTCAAGGGAATGAAAGATGCTGATGGAAATACCTGCTACTTCAGTCAACTGTTCATGACTATCACCACCAATATCCATCATTGGTCTGATGCTGCAGATCATTTGAGGGGCGGCATTCTCGCTGAAGAGATGGGGCTGGGAAAAACCGTGGAGATGATTGCATTGATAAATTTGAATAGACGACTCGTCGATGACGATGTGAAATTTGACCCCGACGGTCTCAGGCCTTCCGGCGCTACCTTGATAATAACGCCCCTGCCATTCTAGAACAATGGAAACAAGAAATTGAGCAGCATGCTCCTGGTCTGCGCGTGCACCATTATACCGGCATCAAACGAGGACAAGAAAAGTCCGATGATCTGATAATAGAAGAGGTTGCAGACTTTGATGTCGTTCTTACTACCTACAATGTCATCTCCCGGGAGATTCACTACGCCGGTGCAGCTCCGAAGCGAAGCCTTCGCCATGAAAAGAGATTCGAGCCGCGTAAGACGCCGCTGGTTCGCATTTTGTGGTGGCGTGTTTGCCTGGATGAAGCCCAAATGATCGAGAGTGGTGTCAGCAATGCCGCCAAAGTCGCCCGCTTGATTCCGCGAGAGAATGCTTGGGCTGTGACGGGCACGCCTCTCCGCAAAAATATCGATGATTTGTTTGGTCTTTTGCTCTTCCTCCACTACAGACCATTTTGTGACTCGAGTACTGTATGGAAAAGGCTGTTCTCCCGCTTTGGGCCGGTTCTCGCCAACATCATCAATGCAATCGCACTCAGACACAGCAAGGATCGTGTGCGAGATGAACTTCGCCTACCACCACAGAAGCGTGTAGTGATCACCACTCCATTTACTGCGATTGAAGAGCAGCATTATGGACAGCTCTTCGAGGAGATGTGCGAGCAATGTGGTCTTGAGGCATCAGGAGCACCTCTTCGGGACGACTGGAATCCAGAAGATCCGGGGACCGTGGAGAAAATGCGTACTTGGTTGACACGACTCCGCCAGACATGTCTTCATCCCGAGGTCAGTGGGAGCAACCGTCGAGCCTTGGGCGCAGCAAACGGCCCTTTGCGGACTGTCGATGAAGTTCTCGAGGTGATGGTTGAAAACACTGATACCTCTATTCGCACCGAGGAGCGAACGCTCCTACTGTCTCAACTTCGCCGAGGCCAGCTCCTAGAAAATGCAAAACGCCGGAAGGAATCCCTAGCAATTTGGCAGACTGCTTTGAAATATTCCACGGAGTTGGTGGAGGACAGTCGAAAACAGCTGCGGCTGCAGCGCCTACAAAGCAAGGACGACAGTCCCAGTAATGGCGCAGGCTCTACCGACATGGTCGATTTGAGTGATAAGGACAACGAAGAGGTGGATAAGAACAGCCGCATTGGTCAATGTCGCCTCAGACTCCGTGCTGCTCTTGAAGTTCAGCATATTGCCGTCTTTTTCACCGCGAACGCCTACTACCAGATCAAATCCGATCCGAATCTCACCCGACCGGACTCTGAAGAGTTCAAAGAGCTCGAGAAGAAGGAAGAAGAAGGCTATGAGGCTGCAAAGCTGATTCGGAAGGAGATGTTGACAGACATTTCCCGAAAGGTCGAGCGTTACATGAAGATCATCGAGGAGAAAACACAGCAAAAGCAATTCGTGCAGATCCCAAGATTGGAACCCCACCTCTACAACAGGGGACTTGTCTCATATCGTCTGATAAACAAGTTCGAAGATCTTTGCGATGCCCTGAACAAGCACGCGGCGCAGTACAACGAATGGCGAGATGTCATGATACGACTTGTTTCTCAGTCCCTTATCGACCAAGAGGAGGATGCTGAGCTGGAGGGCAATGAATATGAGCGGTCGACAAAGCATCAAGATGAGATGTATGTCTACATGGAAGCTCTTCGGTCCATGTATGCTGATCGCCACGACGCACTTACCGGCCAGAAGAACATTCTGATCTCCCACGAGGTCAAATTGGGCATAATTCAGGCACAAAAGGGCGAAGGTCCTTCTCCGGAGCTATTCTTGCGCATAATGAACACTCGCAGTGAGCTCATGCCTGACCCTGAGCTGGGATCTCTCCGGGGTATTGTCAGTGAGCTCCGCAGTTTAGTGACTTCTCTTGAATGGCAAGCGGGCGAGGGGAACTCGCGTGTCAATTCTGAGCTCGAGATAGTCGGAATGGTTTTGAAGAATGCTGGGCAGATGATTTCTGAACAGCTCAAAGTGTCTTCCAGCCTCGAAAGAGAGGTGGAAATGTTCCGTGACACCATGAACAACCGTTTGGAGTATTACCGCCATCTACAACAAATTTCGGATACGGTAGCTCCGTACGATGAAGAGAACGCGGGAAAGCCTATGGATGAAGATTTTTTTGCCTCTAAATTGGCGCAAGAAGAGGCCCTTGAAAAGAAGATTGCGTCTTTGAAGTCCAAGAGGCGCTATCTCATTCATCTGCGAGATGAATCAGGCTCAGAGGATACCTCTAGAATCTGCATTATTTGCCAATCAAGCTTTGAAGTCGGTAAGTATTGACATGGTGTATGGAAACATTGTATTATGACTGACAAGCCTCCGCTTAGGCGTCTTGACCGTATGTGGTCATAAGTATTGCACAGATTGCCTGCGCTTGTGGTGGCGTGCTCATCGAACGTGTCCCATGTGCAAGAAACCTTTGAAACTCAACGACTTCCATCAGATCACATACAAACCACAAGATCTCATCGCTCAGGAGGAGGAGCCCCCCCACAAGTTTTGAACATGAGCGACATTCCCAGAATGCCATCTACAGCGATATCAGCTCTGGGCTTCTGAAGGAGATCAAAATGATTGATCTCAATGGCTCATTTGGCACCAAGATCGATACCCTCGCCCGACATGTCCTGTGGCTGCGAGAGCATGATCCTGGAGCCAAGTCGATTGTCTTCTCGCAGTACAAAAACTTCTTGACAGTCCTACAAAGGGCCTTTCAGCGCTTCGGAATTATCAGCAGCAGCGTCGATGCTCCAGGTGGCATCGAGAAATTCAAGAAGGACCCTGCGGTGTGTACCAAAGCTCGGATATGATTGCTTGAGACGTAAGTTTGCTGATCATGTTTATTTAGGTTGAATGCTTCTTGTTGCACGGAAAAGCCCAGTCGTCTGGATTGACTTTGATCAATGCTACTCATGTGTTCCTATGTGAGCCTTTAATCAACACGGCTATCGAACTTCAAGCTATCGCTCGAGTACATCGAATTGGCCAACATCGCCCCACAACTGTGTGGATGTATCTCGTCTCCGGCACTGTGGAGGAGTCCATCTACGAGCTGTCGGTCGCTCGTCGGCTAAATCACATCATAGAGAAGGAGAAGCAGGAGAAGAACACCCGTCTGAAGATTGCAGTCGATGGTGATGACACACTGATTGACGATCTCACGGAAACAGCCATCGATTCCGCCAACTCCATGGAAATGCAGGACGCAAGTCTGAATAATCTGATGACTAGTGGCTCTTCGGGTGGAGAAATGGTCAAGAAGGATGATCTCTGGCAGTGCCTTTTTGGAAATTCCACCCAAAAAGACAGTCATGGCCACTCCACCGAGGCAGAAAGAGAGGTTGGCCGATTCTTGCGAGGCGAAGCTGCCGAGCAGAGACGCGATGACATGACGAATTGAGAAGAGTCCTAATACGCGAGCCGGGTACTAAATCCACGATAGATAATATGCTGTCTTAAGTAGCTCTATAAATGAATATCTTTACTCAAATCATCATTTTCATCTAGACAGTGACAAAGTTACATTGATTCCTAGACCTGTTGAAGCTCGGAGATTCGGTGAGTCAGCCACTGACTAATCTCCCCACCGATGCCCGAAGCTTCCAAGCTTGAACGGTGAAGCTGACGGTGACGCGCGTGTTGTTGCCTCATTTCGTTTGAAATAAGTTCCAAGTTGGAGTCAATGCCATTCTTGGACTATCTTCTTTTCATATAGCATATCCATGATGGCGGACTCAATGAGCCCCGAGGCTCGCGAGTTGAGTCTGATAGGCAAGGTCGAATTCAGAATCGCCATGGCAGATACTGATGAGAAGCTTCAGTCGCTTCTTCAAACTTATCTGCCCCTTTTGTTGCTGAAGCTTTCTTCGGACAGTGTGGCTGTTCGCAACAAAGTTATCTCGGTTTGCCAGCACGTTAGCGCCCGTGTTAAGACCCCCCTCGATTCAGTTGCCAGTTGTTGCATTGTTAAAGCAGTTCAAAGAGCAAAAATCCCAGCTCATTCGACATTTTGATTTGATCTATGCCCAGCAGGGAATTGACCGCCTTGGCTCGGATGCCAGGGTCGAGATTCTGTTGCCTTTGCTGCAGGGTATCGCCGAGATTGGAACTTCTGCCACTCAGGGAGCTATTGTTTTCAACCTTGTCCTGCGCCTATTGCCCCTTTTCAAGTTACCCTCGAAGGGAAGTGACGAGGATCAGAAGCTCAAGCAACGCCTGGGCTTGTCCGACGAAGATGCCCGCTTTTTGGCTTTGTGGTTGGGGAAGCTATTACTCCTTTCCCCAGCTGCTGGTGAAGCTCAAACATGCCCGGGATTGTCTCCAGACGAATACACCTTTTTGAACAAAGGCGCTCCAGCCACTGAAACATGGAACCCTTCATCTTCGGGAGGCCTGAACCTGACAGAGACCAAAGTCGTAGCTCTTCGCTTCCTCGGAAGCGGGGCGTTCTCGGATTCTCAGCGATTTTTACCCTCGCTTATTGCCTCTGCTGATGCCAACTCTCGTCTTGCTGACCTGGGTGATGAGACATTGAAGCGATTTGCAGTTGATCTCGAAGATCCAACTGTCGTGGAACAGTTGTATGAATTATATTTCGGAGCTGCTGCCGAGGAGCGCCCCCGTGCGACCTCCATTGCAAGTCAAGATCCTGGTTTTCTTGGGAAAATCCATCCGAGCTACAGAAAACACCCAGAGAATCTTCAAGCTCATCGAAGATGGTCTTCTTTCGGATACTGCAAGGTCAGCTCAGGGCCTGCAGGCTTCTAAGCTACGAACGCAAATATTCACTTTTACCACCTGGGTTGTCCGTATGGGCACCCCGTCGGATCTCAAGCAAATTGCCCCTAAGCTGGTCGCAGGCTTGAGGGACTTTATTCAATCTCAAGGATGGCCCAGTCCGGGTGCTAGCGGGCAAAGACTGCCTGCCACAGACCTGAGCTTGCGTGGTCTCGCCTATGAAAGTATCGGCATCATGATACCCAAGGTCGATTTTCAGCTGCAGGATGAACCTGGGGGGGAACTTCGAATTTGATCTGGTTCGATGGCTCTTTACCTCTTTAAGTTCCGATGATTCAAGTACAGAGATCTTCGTCAGTATCGACCAAGCACTAGGAAGTATCCTTAACTCTTCCCTGAACAGTCATGACAAAGATTTCCAAAACCAGCTGCGTCCATTCCTGGTTAGTCGGATGGGCTTACACCCGGGTGATGTTGACCCAGACACTGGCTTCAACGTTGTTCGTAGTGTACAGTACGCTGCTGTGCGGTTTGCCAACAGATTTTTGCCCTATGGCGATGTGGTGGCTCGTTGGATCGATCTGATGGCCATTGCAAGCGGCCCAGAGAGACAGCAGGAAATCGTCGAGGAAGGCAAGAAGGGCCTCCATCCCTATTGGTTCCGACTTCTCAATCCCACCAAAGATCAGAAATGGTCTGCTCCAGCAACTCAGGAGCATGATGAAACCTGGTTTAGCTTCCCAAGTTTTGCTGAAGCAACCAAATTTCTGCTTGGCTCAAACAGTCAAGACGATGTCTCGATGGATGGAACTTTGGCTGGGCCTCAGCTTCTGTCGGGTCCGTACAAAACCGCATTTGTATCGGCCATTGCGTTCCTTCGCAACACCCTCCTCTGGGAAGCATGTTCGGCAGCAGAAATTCCTACAGAGATGGAGCAAGACTGGGACTACAAACTCGAAGTACTCCTCTCAACCAGTGAAGAGGCGCGGACAGCTGTAAGACAGTATATCCGTAACTCTGCCAAGGAACCCGTTTTCATCTTCTTGTCTGGTATCCTGGAGGGGCTCGTCAAGGAAACCCCTACAGGCTTGCACCACTGCGGTGTTCACTTTATGGAGATCTGTTCATTGGCTCCTAATGACGTGATCGAGAAATTGCTCCCACGAGCTCAAGCTTTGACTCGGCCAATCTTCAGTAACAACCAAGAGATACAGGGACTAGCTGCGCGGGCGTTCGGAGTTCTCGTCTCCCATCCGATATTTGCAGATGACCAATTGAGGAGCTTTGCGACCCAACTGGCCGGTAACATCGAGTCATGGAACACTGCTATCGGTGAGGCGTCTCTTCGGGTCCGCGGAGCGATCTTAGCGCTCTCCTACCTGCTGAGCAGACTTGCATATCGAGGTCTGGTCAGCAAGGTTCCGGAAGCTCAGGTCAAACATTTCATTGAGACGGTTTTGGACATCACGGATGCATCTCGAGACAACCTTCTTGTGCGAACTGCAGAGGTGGCCCTTGGGCAGCTCAGTCTATCTGGCATTCTGTCTCTCGATACACTCCTCGAAGATGGCTGGAAGAAGATTCAGAAGAAACTGTTGAGCGACGCCAAGTCTGGAAACGACGTCTCTATCGCATCTTTCGGTCTACTGACATTGACTTTCTCGCGGGCTGATCCGAAGGCTTCTTTATTCACCGATTTCCTGGACTCGCTTTATGCTTTGCATGAAATCAAGAGCCCTGAAGTTCAGTTCACTGTAGGCGAAGCGATCAGCAATGTTGCTGTCGGATGGGACTCTCGAGCTTTGATTCAAGACTTTGACGTTGACGCCGACTTTCCCCGGTCGGATGTGTCCCGCGTGGTGTTCGCAGCAATATGCGACAAGATCATCGCTGACTGCGTTGCGCCCAAGCCATCTCTTCGAAAAGCCTCCGCAATCTGGCTGTTATCTCTTGTGAAGAATTGTGGACACCTGCAGGAAATGCAGGAGCGCCTGCGCAAGTGTCAAGCCACATTCTCTACCCTTCTTGGTAATCGGGATGAGGTGGTGCAGGAGACGGGTGCCCATGGTCTCAGTCTGGTCTATGAGATTGGTGATCAAGCTCTCAAGGACAATTTGGTGCGTGACCTCGTGGACTCATTCACAGCCACCGGGGCCAATCTCGGGGGTGGTAATGTCAATGAAGATACCCAATTGTTTGAGCCCGGTGCTCTGCCTACGGGTGGAGGGGAGTCCGTCAATACGTACAAAGATATTATGAACCTGGCTGCCGAGGCCGGCGATCCCACCCTTGTCTATCGATTTATGTCCTTGGCCTCCAACAATGCCCTCTGGAGCAACCGGGCGGCCTTTGGCCGATTTGGCATCAGTACTATCTTCTCCGATTCCAGTGTGGATGGCTATCTGGCTCAGAATCCCAAGATTTACCCCAAGCTCTTCCGCTACCGCTTTGATCCCAACCCGAATGTGCAGCGTTCTATGAATACCATCTGGCAGGCACTCGTGAGGGATCCTAATATGGTGGTGGACACGCACTTTGACCAGATCATGGAAGATTTACTCAAAAATATGCTCGCCGGACGCGAATGGCGTATGCGACAGGCAAGCTGTGCCGCTGTGGCGGATCTCGTCCAGGGTCGCCGGCCGGAGAAGTACGCGCCCTATTTGGATGAAATCTACAGCAAGGCGTTCAAGCTTTTGGATGATATTAAAGAGTCTGTGCGGGCGGCAGCCCTCAAGCTTTGTCAAACGGTTACAAACTCCGTGATTCGGACGCTGGAGACCAGTGGAACTGAGCAGCGCGCCACTGCCCTGCTCGGGAGCGCCGTTCCCTTCCTCTTGGGGGAGCAGGGTCTGGATTCGAGTGTGGAGGAGGTACGCGGATACGCGATTGGTGCGCTCGTTCAGATCATCAAGAAGAGCCCCGGTACGAAGCTACGCCCCTTTGTTCCTACTATTCTCGAGAAGTTCCTGAGTTCGCTCAGCTCCTTGAGCCGCAGGCTGTCAACTACGTGCACCTCAATGCGGACAAGTACGGTCTTACTGGCCAGGAGATAGACAAGATGCGTCTATCGAGTATCCGCACGTCCCCCATGATGGAGGTGATTGAGCGATATTTGATCGATCATCTAGATGAGACCAATCTCGAGGAGCTGGCGCGCAAATTGGAGGAGGTGCTCCGGTCGGCCGTGGGTCTCCCTTCCAAGGTAGGCTGCAGCCGAGTCCTGGTGCTCCTCAGTATGAAAACTCTCCTGTTTCGGCCGTATGCGGACCGATTCATTCAGCTGCTCTGCAAATACGTGGTAGACCGCAACGAGACCGTCAGTGCATCGTATTGCACGTCGATGGGGTATCTCATGCGACTAGCGTCGGACGATCGGGTTTTGAAAACGATCGATTTCGCCAAGAGCCTCTATCTAAACTCCGAAGATAGCTCCACTAGGTCAGTCTCGGGTGAAATCCTGTACGCATCCAGTAAGCTTTCCAACGACCGGTTTATGGCCTTTGCCACCGCGGCCCTGCCCTTTGTGTTCGTCGCGAAGCATGATGGGGACGACCACGTGAAAGAAGAGTTTGAAAAAACGTGGCAGGATAATGTGGGTGGCAACCGGAGTGTGACGCTTTACATCCGGGAGATCGTGGGGCTCGTGTCCGACAATCTGGACTCGGCTCGGTGGGCCATCAAGCATACGGCCGCCCGCGCGATAGCTCAGGCGGTGGTGTCACTTGAAACCGATATCGACCTCCCCACGGCCCAATTGGTCTGGCCGGTCTTGGACAAGGCGCTATCTGGCAAGACGTGGGAGGGGAAGGAAGTGGTGCTGACGGCGCTGGTCAAGTTCGCGCGCTCCGCTTCAGCGTTGTGGACGGCGCGACCAGACTTGAATGAGTTGATGAAGGTGGGTTCTCGGACACGATACACGAGGCTAGGGAGCAACTAAGAGACTAACGGGACTAACCCCGCGTTCAGACCATAGCCGTGCGCGAAGCGAAGCGGACTAACGCATTGTATCGGCCCCATGGACTACGGGCTCTGGGGCAAATTGCCTTGGCATGTCAGGTGAACTTCATGCCTGATGCGCTACGAATCGTCCCACCTGTGTTCGACGAAACCATCGAGGATGACGAGGGCAACGGGATGGAAGTCGACTCTGGAAATGGGCGAGACTCGAGTGACACCCTTGCCGCCGGTGTGCAGTGTCTCCTGCAGTGTCTGAACCCCGCTACGGCCGATTCGGATGGTGAGTTGAAAACTAAACACCCACTTTTTTCCCTCTTTGGTCTTGTTTCGTTCGTTCCCACACAGACACACACACCCCCCATTCCCTGATTCCCGTTGAATTTTCCTTTTTTTGTTATTTTTGACTCTCCTCACCCGTTTCTCCCCGCCCCCCTTTTGGCGTCTAGCGTCCGCAGCCGGCTAACCCCGAACCACAGTGTTGGGAAAATACATACGACAGGTGATCGATCCGTTAGATCAAGCCTTGACCCACGGAGGCAGACAGGTCGTTCACACAGTCTACGATGAGCTCCAAGCGTTTATTGCCCGGGTGGATGCGTGGGACCAGTGGTCCGAACCCGGTGAACAGGTCCTGGCGGCGCCGATGGCGGACCTGGCGCAGCTGCTAACTCGAGAACGCAATAATGTCGAGACGGTTCGCAAGGGACGCGCCGAGGCGATCCTGGCGTTCCTGAAGTTGCGAGCCAGTGTCCGAACGGTGCCCGACAAGATGGGGAAAGTGTGCGTGTGTGGAGAGCTGGAGAGCGTAGTCTGGTGGTACAACGCATCCTCGACCAGGCGCTGGAGCTAATCACATAGAGGGCATCGCATGGGCATCGTATGGGCATCGTATGGGGCATCCCAGGTTCTCCTGGGCATCTACGGGCACCACGTGGTGGATCGACCACTTGTTGATCCTGGTGGATCATAGGGGGAATAGGCTCCGGAATCGCACAGTCCTGGGAATAGCATCTCCAAACGCAAGTCTAACCAGATCAGGCCTAAGCGTAGAGAGCCAAAAGGAAAGCCGAAACCCAAAAAGAGCGAGTTTCTGCAAGACGAACTAGTCCCAACGCCACTCGCTTAACTCTCGGTCAAGTCCGTGGAGGAGAGGGAATTGGAATTCTGCGCAGTTCCTCCCTCCCCTTAGTGGGAAATTGGGTGGGAAATAATCCCATCGTCCCCCCCGATCAGGGCCAGACCGGTCTGGCCGGGCCGATCCAGGCCCTGTGCAGTCCTTTCTTGTTTCTTCCCCGGACACATTCTCGGCTCCGATCATGCAAAGTCCCATGGTTGTCATTCCCTTGGGACTCGTCCAAACTAAATCGCACTAGTGTTTACTATCCATCTCCGCGGGTCCTGGTCCTGCTCAGTCCTTCTCAGGGAGACCTCAGCCAGCCCACTGGCTGCCCATAGCTGCATCGGAGCCCGCTCCCCTGTTTAGGCAAGAGAGTAAGAATAGCACACCACATGGTTGGCACCTGCATGCCATCTGCATTTTTCCCACTTTTTTGTCCACCTTTTTGGTTTTTCCCTTGTTTCCCTTCTTTTCCAGGCCTTATTCTCCTTCTTTACCTTGACCCTTCATTTTTCTAGTGTTTATTTATTTTCTTTTATTTTTTTCCCTGTCTAACCCGTTTCGTGCGTCTCCGACGAACCGGATCATGACTCTTGAGTCTCTTTTTTTTTTTGCGTAGTCCTAGTAGTGCTCTGCCAAATTTATCTCGATGACCTGTTCATCCCTTCCCCGGCACTTGATGCTCAACACCCGAGATTCCTTCAGATTCCCGCCACCTCCAAGCCCCAGGAACAAGGCTGCGCCATCCATGCGTGAACCATGCGGTTCCCGTTCGCCGGTTTGTCTGTAGCTGCATTTCTCTCCCTACATAACTGACCTTCCTTCCCCATCCTTTCCATCTTTCCAACCTTTTTTTTCAGTGTCCCGCTTTTGATTCAACCGTACTGGCTGAGAACTCTATAATCGGTCTATCTCCTCGTGCGCGTCTTTCCCACCCCCCTCCCCCCTCCCCGGTCACCCTTCAATTGGTGATTAAATTTCCCCGCGGGATCGTGCATCCCCCATCCGTTGCCACCACGCCTCTCGTATGTTGCAATCGCACCCGGTCGTACGTCTGCACAACTAATCCCAGTCCAGCGCCGGCAGTTAGCCTTATGACGACCACTAGCCTGGTGATGCAAAACCGTCGAGGCCATGCCTCCGCCAAGCGCCCGCTTCGGCTCCCCATTATCGCCCCCAAGGAGGAGCCCGTTGAGGGTAAACTAGAGAAAGGCCTGATTGCGCCTCCGCGCATTCGCTTGCCCCCAAGATCACGCACCGGTTGCTGGTATGTCCTGGACCCGGTGTATAGCTAACTTCGCAATTGCTAACACTTTCTCTATAGGACGTGTCGGGTAAGTCCTTTGTTCTCCCTCCAAAAACCCAAATCCTTCGAACAAAAAACAAGAGGAACGGTTGATTGACTGAGGGGTTTTTTTTCCTCTGGCATTGCAGAGTCGCAAAGGTGAGTTCTCAAATACCTATCCTGGGAAAATTCCGTGGCTGACTGACATTCCTCTGCAGTCAAATGCGATGAAGGACACCCGCAATGCAATGTAGGCATTCCTCGGCTATTCTGTCTGCTCCATGCACAATTGACTCATCTTCCTTTCAGCAATGTACTCGACTCGGCCATATCTGCGACTACCGACCGCGGCTGGCCTTCCGCGATGATACTCCTCGGATCATGGGCCGCATGGCCGATGTGAAGACCCAGGGAAACATCGTCTGGGATTGTAAGTGTCATTGGCGTGTGGTCATGTCTTTCCGGCCCTAATTCGTGTTGTGTGTAGTGTCTTCGCCCACTCCCAGCGAGGAGAAGTCGGATTACTTTTCCACCCGGGACGCGCTTCCTGCATTCTCTCTTCTCACCTCTGACGAGGACCGGGAAAGGAAAGCAGAGGCATCGAGCCCCGGCACGTACCACGTAGTCGTGATCCCCGATAGTTTCTCTGCCCTGCCAGAGTATGTGGACGACGTGTCGGAGCGGTCCAGGTCTGAGGCAAGTAGCTCGGTCGTCAACAGTCCTATCAGCAGATCCAAGGCCGAGAGTGACATTGGCACTGACCCCAACGTCGTAATCCTGAAGACCTTTGAAGATGTGACTCGGCGGTCATCTTCCAATGGCAGAACTCCCCGAGTGTCGCCCACATCGGAGATTGCGGATCCTTTTGGATCCCTCTCTTGGACCCGATCCTGGCAACTCTTCCCCCTCCCATCAAATTCGAAGATGACATGTCCTTCTTGGACCCGTACATTGAGCAGCATAGTCAGGATGCTGCGCTGTTTGCTCACTTCCGTCACGTGGTCTGGAAGCAGCTGTTCCCTCACGATCGAGGTCAGGATGATTCGTTTGGACTCGAGAGCAGTGGCATGACTTTGAGTGCCGATTTCCTCGAGCGGGAGGCCGCGCATTTCCCTCCGGTATGTTTCAATTGACGTTTGGAGAGATGCTAGTACTGACATAACTTTTAGCTCTCCGATGCCATCATGGCCGTTTCAGCGCTCAGCCTTTCACACAGTGGTACTGGGCAGAATGTCGATGCTCTGCAGTACTACCAGCAGGCTTTCCCTTCTCTTCAGACCAGCCTCCGCAACAGCGACGATCTCGTTTCAGATGGTCTTTTCCTGACTCACTTCTTACTTCTCATCTATGAGGTCGCAGCCGCCGAACCCCACGGTTCCAACCTCTGGTCTCACCACATCTCTCGTCTCCTCCACATCGCCTTTCTCCGCCGGTCTAAATTTGGCCGTGAACCTCACCCTTTCATTCTCTGGTGGATCTGCCACATTGATCTCTACGCTCTGCTGAGTGGAGCCGGCACAGGTGAATTCGTGCGGGCCGTCATTGATCACCAGATGCTTCCCGCATCGGAGTGCCTCCTATACCCCTCTGTGCCCGAAGGCTACAGTATGATTTACCCCGAGGAGCACGACAGCTTGCCAGTAATGATGCGCCTTTACGCCGATAGCTTTACTCTGGCTGCTCAGCTTGGATTTCTCGCGGCTCAACTTCGCCAGGAAAAGCAGTCTCAGCCCTTTGCCGAGTTTAACAAGCGATCGAAGGAGATCGCCAACTTGCGCCAGGCCTTTGCCAGGCTTTGGGAGACTCCTGAAATCACCTACTGGTCTCAGCATCAAGAGACTCTTCCCCGCCGATCCAAGGAGATTTTACAGCAGGTCAGTCATCTTGTTCTACGGATGTGGAATTTCAAAGTTAACGTGCTCTCACAGTCGGCTACCTTGTTCCACGCTTCTCAGCTATTCTCATTCAGCAGCATGTGGCCTGGTCAACGCCACGAGTCAGAATACACGCCTGACGGTGAGATTGACTACCACGCGGGGGAGATTTTGCGCATTGCCGAGCAGACAACGAGCACCCGACGGGCTGACCGACACTTCCTTGTCTTCCCTTTGTTCCTGGCGGGTGCGACGGCCTCGGCTAGCGGCCTCAAAATGATGGCCATGGAGTTGATGACGAGTATGGAGGATGAAGAGGATGGCATGGGCCGCAACGCAGCAACCACACGAGCCATTCTGCAGACAGTCTACGAGCGACAGCTTGAGCGCCTGATGCGGGTCGGCCACACTATGGATGTGGATTGGGCTGATCTGATGGCCAAAGAAGGGCTGCAGATGGTGAACTTCGGGTTTTGAAGCAATCTATGGGAGTATGGGGTTTTGGCGTTTCTACGGGCATCTGGAGGATCATGATATCTTTGTCTTTATTTTTTGTATTTCCACAGCATGACTGATGACGGATGTGTATATGTATAGAAACGAATTGAATGTGCCATGCAAGAGTGAATCTGTGACAAAGTGTAGCTATATAAAGCTTAGGCTCCCAAGATCCAAGATAGAAAGCTGAGGTCTATACAAGCGCTGTGACAGGTTCTCGTCACCTGCGGGGTCGGCGACTCGCCCAACGTGGGCGCTTCGAGATAATCACGCGTTTTCTCTTCATCTTCCCCTTTCCTTCTATCTCATTTTTCCCCTCCAAAAGGTCCGAGATCCCCCTTTAGGGATCCCAGTTTATTTTTATCTTTCGTGTATTCCTCCCCTATCTCCCGACTCCCCCGCCATCCCCATTTTGGGGTCCAGCTGCCCCTCATTAAGACTGATCTGCGCGCCTAACGCTGTAATTGGTACCTGACGCATCTCCAGGTGGCTTCTGCACTTCATTGTTTTTTTTTTTTCACCGATCGGCTGCATGATGAACCCCGGCGAAGTCGTGCCCTCCATCCGGAGGGTGAGCTGTTCCTCAACTCTGGCCGAGGAGAAGCGCCCGTGGTAGAACCACTGCGCATCAACAAGAGAGACTCGGCATCTCCGTCCAGCCCACCATCTGCGCCTTTGCCTTACCCCGATGACCGATCTCGTCCTCAGATGCGTACCTCCAGTTCCAACGATGGGCGTTCCACGGATAGCAATCGATATGGTTCGCCGCCGGCTGGTTCCGGTACCATGAGCCCCGCTGATTATCCCCCGGCTTTGCGACCCCGCGATGGACAGCCTCGAATCGCTACATTGGCAGAGAGGCGAGGCACTGCTCCGAAGCCACTGCCAGAGTCACCTGGCATTGATGCGCCTGACCGGGAAACTCTGGCGGCAAGGCCGTATCCTCGTCCGCCAGCAGCATCCGCACCTATAGAGCCAAATCAACAATATGATTATCGTCAACAATACTATCCGCCTCCACAGAATTCGGGATCCCGGCCTCCTTCAACTCTGCAACCCGCACAGAATAGCTCAATTAATCGTATCAGCTCCACTGCATCCAATGCTACAACTCGGGCTCAGCGTGGATCTCCTCCGCCGCCGGAAACACCCATCATAGGCCCTGGTCAACAGCCCGGTTCGGATATTGAGGCTCGTTATGCAGCAGCAGGTATCGCAGGCACAGGAACGCTTGCCCGCATGCAGTCGCAAAGTTCCGCCGCTCAAATTCGTGCTGGGCAGTATACAGGACAGCGAGCAAACTACTCACAGCCGCAGCAAGAGTCGCAGCGGCCATGGACCCCCCACTGAGCAACCGGGGACCCAGCCACATGGGCCGCCCACTGTTTACCAGGGTGCAGATGTTGTGAGTGGCGAGCAGCCGGCTGCTCAGCATCCAACACAGTATAGTAGCCCTCCGCCACAAAGCCAGCAGGCTCCAGCAGTCCTGGTGCAGCAGCCGCCTTCAAGGGTCTCTGCCAACGCGTTAGAGCAGGACATGGATCGAATGCGCCTCAGCTCTTCTCCGCCACCTGCTTACTCGAGTGTCTCTGGACCCGGCGCATCAAATGGGTATCCAAATGAAAAGCAAAGTGGCGCCGCTGCGGGAGCTGCAGCTGTTGGACCCCACCCAGCAACAGTAAACCAGCCGCACCCTGCAACGGCTGTCGCTGCTGTAGCTTCTGCTGGTACTTCTGCGTCTCCGGCACCATCGGCCTCGACACTTGATCACCCGGCCTTTGCAAATGACCCGCGGCAGCAACAGATGGGTCAATCGCCGCAGAATTCTGTGGCTAATGACCAGCCTGTCTATCAGCAGGCTGCGCAAGTGCTTTCCCCAGGACCCTCTGGGCCGCCTCCAGCTTCTCCTCCGCCTCTTCCAGAGGGTTGGATTGCGCATATGGACCCAAGCTCGGGACAGTATTACTACATTCACCTTCCAACCCAGTCAACCCAGTGGGAATTCCCCGAGGGCCCTACGCCACTGAACCTCAACGACACCCCTATGTCGCCGGTAGGAAGTGTTTACAGCAGCCATCCTCTGGCATCACCGGGCCTATCAGCATTTGGCAAGCCGATGGCATCTCCAGGTGTACCGCTTACCCCGGGGTTTGAGAGCCTTCAGTCTCCCATGACTGCAGGTTTCTCGGGACCGCCTCCGAGTAGCGGCATGGATCTATACAAGACAGCCCCCACAAACGGTGTGTACTTTGGTCCCTATCTGCGGTACACCAACATGGACCTTGAGCGCGGACTCTGGTTGGGTTCCATTCTTTTGGTGACCGATTCCGCTCAGCCGCCTACTATTCACATCCACCAGAGTGTTGATCTGTCTCCCAATCCAAGACAGTTGAAGGGCGTTAATATAGCAGCTCATCAACGATGGACCTTCTACAAGTACGAAGTGGATCTGCAAATGGATGATCACGGCCCTGCCAAGTGGACATATGCCATTACTTCACATCTTGGATGCACGCGCTACGAGTTCTTGGTCGCCGGCCGGCACGAGACCAACTGGCGGTTCATTGCAGTCTCAGGGAATGATTTCTCGCTAAATGTTAATGCCAATGAGCGGTCCCGCGTGGGTGGCGTAGGCTTCATGTGGAAAGACATCATGCAAAAGCATAATGAGATCGGAGGGTTCCATGCCCAGTTATGTCTGGGAGGACAGATCTACGCGGACCGTATGTGGAAGGAAATTCCCTCTTTGAAACAGTGGCTCTGTATCAGTGGCAAGGAAGCTCGGAAGAATGCACCCTGGACAGCCGCGAACCAGCAGGACGTTTCCCATGCCTATTTCCACTACTATACTAGTCACTTTGACCAGCCGCACTTGAGAGAATCTTTTGCGCAGATTCCCTATATCTGTCAGATCGACGACCATGATATGTCAGTCTTTCAACTTTTCTGAGAGCCAAGGTCAGAGCTAACACGTCTGCAGTTTCGATGGATTTGGTTCCTATCCCGAGCACATGCAGTTCTCGAACATGTTCAAGAACATTGGACGTATCGGCATTGAGATGTATCTCCTCTTCCAGCACCATACCACTCTTGACATTCTCCGAAACGTCAACAACGATACAGACCTTTTCACAATCACTGGTACGGGCTGGCACTTTGTCAGTATCTCGGCCCCGGTGTAGTGGTTGTCGGCCCAGATTGCCGCTCCGAGCGCAATCCCCATCAAGTCATGGCCGGTCCCACATACCAGGGTCTCTTCCCGAAGGTTGCAATGCTGCCTCCGAGCGTACAACATTGTCTGTGGATGGTCTCGGTGCCACTGATCTATCCTCGTCTGGAAACAGCAGAACATATTGCTCAGACCGTTGCCACTGGCAAGCGCGCTGTGACGGGTGCCTACAATGTTTTGGGCAAGGTGACCAGCTCAGTTGCCGGCGTGGTGGGAGCTAAAGAGTTCGTCGGTTCTGGCTTTGATTCTGTCAAGCGCGCAGTTGGCAAGTCTGGACTTATGGGGGGGCATCTTGAGTCCCTTTGGTGAATTCGACCTCATGGATGAGTTGCGGGATCAATGGACTCACGAATCCAAGGATCTTGAACGAACATACCTCATCCGAACTCTGCAGGGATTGCTCACCAGAAGTCTCTCCGCATGACCTTCCTCTCCGGTGCCGTCAACGTCTGCGGCGCTGGACTGGTTCACGATCCCGCCCAGCCCTCGGACCACAAGACCATGTACCAACTCATCGCTTCTCCCGTCGTCAACACTCCGCCTCCATCCTATATCATCAAGCTCCTCCACAGCCACAATAAGCCCTTGTATGTCCCCGCCAATGGCCATCGTTCTAACGGTCAACCCACCGACACCAAGGAAGATATGATGGAGATCTTCCAGACCGACGTCACTGGCCAGGCCCGTGAGCACCGTAAGCTGATGGCTCGTCGTAATTACGTTGCTATTGTCGCATATGACCCGGAAGTTGCTACAGCTCCTACCTTCGGGCAACCGATCGTCGGGCAAGGCCAGAGTAAGCTTAGCCTGGCGGCTGATTTCATGGTTCAGGGTGAAGGCGCCTATGCGAATGTGGTCAAATATGGTCCTGTCATTGTGCCGAGTCTGGAACACGGCCGTTGAGAATTTGCCCTGGTCAGAAAGACTTTTTCTATTGCATACTTTTGACGTTGACCTTATCATCTTGCATACAAATCTGATCTTCAAGTGTTCTTGTTGTATAGCTTTGGGTTTTAATATTACCCCGGTCTGGTATTTGAGCGCATTTAGACTTTCAATTTTCGTATTTGTTGATCGAATTCTCCTTTTGTAACTCGTTGCACTCATGGCACTCAGATGTCTCGACACAAGGTCCGCTAAGCGTCGATTAGGACTACAATTAAGTACTCGTTATTTACATGTATAGATGCCCCGGTAATTCCCAAACGCCAAAGTATACTGAAACAAAGAGCGAGAATACACTATCCGGTCGGATCTCCGCCAGGCACACACAGTCCAATACGCCAAAAATAGTCACGGTGCGCATAGAATAGCTCCCAAAGACGATACCTCGCTGGGATCATGGACCAATTCCATCGGCGAGCGTATAACGCTCTGGTCTCATCACGAGATGCACAATTTGCAGGCTTCTGCGTCGCTAGCAAAAACTGCTCGCCATGATGAATATCACGTACATTCTCGGGTTCAGAGCAGGGATCCGGGTGTGGGTTGAGAATATCAAGGGGAATATTAACATCCGGAAGCATGCTGCTGAGTGTGGAGGCTACATCTGTCCCTGCAATGCATTGAGGGTCCTCATTACCAACACAAAGATGAACATCTTCGACTGTAGGAGATAGATCCGGACTCAAAATGTATATCTCCCCTGAATGGGGCGCATAGCCCCACTCTCGGAGTGGAAGAAGAGGTACCGGGTCATCGACATGAGTGACCCTTCGGAATCGCCGGGCCTCAGGGTTCGCTGTGGGCTTGGTGTGGTGTCCTAGTTCGAATTGAGAATCAAGAAAATCCGCAAACTTGGCGTTGCCGACCATCGGCTCTCCGAATGTGGTAACTTCCGGGTTCCAACCTCTGAGGCGCATTTCTAGACCCGCTAGCGCTGCCACAGCACCTCCGAGAGAATGCCCCACCAGAGTCACTTCATAGTCGGGATGCTTATCTCTCGCTTCGAGTAGGTGGGGCAAAATAACGGACCGGGCATTAATCCATGACTTTAGAAAGCCGGCGTGAACGGTGCAATTTTCACATCGTGGCGTAGAAGAGCCTGACTTGGCGGTAAGATCCTCTTCCACGGGGACTCCATCTCCGAGATAGGGCACATAGGATTGTGGAACTGCAGAAAGATCTATGATCATGTTTGTGATTGAATATGTCCCCCGGAAAGCAGCGATAATACGCTTGGGGCCCGGCGAGTGGGACATGGCAATATAGCCACAAGAGTCAGAGAGAAGGACTCCAGTGCTCCATGTCTGTCGAGATGTGAATATGTGTTCTCGGAGAGATGTAGGTAGCTCGGAAATACTTACTGTGACCAATTCCAAGTTAGGGAATTCCGCGCAGTGGCTCAGACACTGAAACGGCTCCTGGATGCCAGTGGTGCTCACACAGTAAGAGATATCTACTATGCGTGACAACTCCTCCAGTGAGTTAAACAGCTCGCTTGAAATGTGCCCAGTATCATTCTTGCCCATAGCTAAGTCATTCCAGGGAAGAAAAAAGCAAAGCAGCATATACAAGCGAAACATCTTGCAAGACTTTCACTCAAAAGGAGAGTTCCTTGATTTCGGTTGCAGAAATCCGGGGAAGCGGGGCGATTAGGTCATCATGTCACGCGCCTCGGGAGATCATGCGAAAAGAATCATTGTTCTTTTAGCGTTATTTTTATTGTTCTATTGTCATGTTTGGTACAGGTAGATGAGTATGTGAGTGAGCCTTGAACATCCCATGGGTTTCTTAAATGGCCCACACTACAACACGGCCATCAACGCCACTCGCTGGGATTCACGTTAGCATCGGATCAACTAATGGAGTACAAGGATTTAACTCACTGCTGAAAGAGCTGACCCGTCCATTTGACTCGTCAAAGGCGCGGACGGTGTTCACGGTGTTCTGGTGGGTAGACTTGAGCTTGGTGTCCACCTGAGTCTGGCCCTTCAGATCCATCTGCCGGAACATGTTGAGCGCAGACTCCTCGCGGGCACTACCAGCACCCGAGTCCTTTTGCTCCAGCGATCCAACAAGTTGCCATCCATTTTCGTCTCCACTGAAGCGGAAGGGCTCGCAGTCCTGGAAAGCGGACGTTAGTACAATTGAGTGTTCTACACGGTAGATTGGGAAAACATACATGACCAGCCGCAATGATCTCATTCTCACCATTCCAGATAAGACTGTTGAGCGGCAACAGACGGGTGGAAATGTTCAGCATCGCCCGAGGAGGCTGTTCCGGCGCACTGGGGTACACGATTGTGACACTGCTGTCGTGTCCAGTGAAAGCAAGTGCGTTTCCACTGGGAGAGAAGGCAACACCCTGGATCCAGCCGGCCGAGTCATTCAAGAACTCACCACAGATCGTGTTAAAGGGAAGGCGTTCTCCCCAAGCGCTGGGCTCCGGACGAGTGTCGATGCCCTTGATGAAACTCGAAAAGACTCGGGCATGAGAGTCAGTGGAACCAGCAGCCAGCAGAACAGAGTTTGGATGCCAGGCCAGGGTAGTGATGGTGCTTCGAATTGGCTTTTTGAGGTGCTTAGAGATCCACCAGTCGTTTTCCTCCTCAAAGTAACAGACGGAGATCAAGCGAGCTCCGGAACCGACGGCGAACTTCTGTTCGGATGGAGACCACCGCACAAATGTGGCAGCACGGTTGATTCGGAGGAGGACAAGCGTGGGCTTCCAGCCAGAGGGAGTCTGCTCCCAGACGTATGCATTGCGGTCTGTGTGGCATTGTTTAATTGGCAAAATCAAATTGAATACTTCCGGAGGCAAGACTGACCCTGAGAGCAAGTCACAATCCGTCCACTCTTGGGGGCTATATCAACACTGGTGACCGTCTTCTCGTGGCCCTTGAGTTCATCACTCAGCGTGAACTTGTTACCCGACGATTGGTACAGCTCCACATTATTCTCCCGGGCGACAGCAAGGGTCTGCTTGTCTGAGGAGAATGAGTGGTCTGCAATCGGAGAGTGAAAGAGGTGGTGAACTTGAGGAGCGGCCATGATGTGAAAGTACAAGATACGACAGGAGGAGCTCTCTACCGTCGATGAGGGGGGAAAACACATACGGAAAGCGGAGGCAGCCTAACAAAGCGATGACGCCGGTTGCTTAGCTAATAGTCACATGACTCCACTGCTTTTCTCGCGATTTGGACATCCGCACGTACTCACGCCATTGTCGCGCTTCAATCTCGCTTCTCTGCCAGCACCCTTCCTTTTCCCTTTCCATTCTTTCATGCGACTACGATAAAAACCAGATACCCAATTTAATATCCTACGATATGGCCACCAAGCCAGCTGCACGGCCTGATGCCAAGGCGACGGTTCCCCCCAACCAGACGTGAGCTCACCCTTTAACCGCAATTGACCCAGCAATTGGACGCTGACAGCTTTCCAGGCTATACTGCACCAATCTTCCAGACAAGCTACGCAAGCACGATCTTCGCTCGTCGCTCTACACCTTCTTCTCTACCTACGGTACCGTCCTCGATGTTGTGGCTATGAAGACAAACAAAATGCGAGGCCAAGCCCACGTAGTCTTCAAGGACGTTCAAGCCAGTACACAAGCCATGCGCGCTCTTCAAGGATTCGACTTTTTCGGCAAGGAAATGGTACGTCTCGTCGCTATCTTTGACAAATTTAGCGCTAATGATATATAGAAAATTGTGTATGCCAAGGGAGCTTCCGGCGTGATAGCCAAACTTCGTGGTACATATGTTGCACCTGCCACCAGTGCCGGATTGAGCAGTGTGTCGACCGATCTTCAAAAGTCTATCTTCAGCGGCCCGCCTAGCAGCGTGCCCGCGCGACCTGCGACCGGGGCCAACGGGGAGCCGCAAGGAGTGAAGCGAGCTCGCGACGAAAGTGATGACGAGGATGCACCGATGGATGAGGACAGTGATGTGCCAATGGAGGCCTCCTCAGACGAGGATTAATTGGAGATCCTCGCCAAATTCATGTTTGGCTCTGTGGCCGGGAAGTGACTGAAGCTCTTGATGATTTCTTTGCTCGGCATTTCACTGCAGATTCGGGCGCCTCAGGATGGGCTGGGACCGTCCGAGGCGACGAGCTCACGTGGGACGTGCAGGTTCACGCAATGCCCGACGAGGCCGAGCCAGATGATGAGATATGTTCCCGGGGTCACGCTCCGTGCGTCTGCAATCTGCGCCATGGCATCCGCCGTGTTGCACGGGTGGACGAAAAAGGCCGGAGCGCCAGACTGTGGATGGTACTACGAAGAATGAGCTCTTGCCACGCGATCTTCAGGCTGGGGGGGCACACCTACCCCACAGCTGATCCCACCCAGGACCCCCACCGTTTTCAATTCCTTCCTGTACTGCTCCGGGACGACATACTGATAGACGGTCTCCAGCCCCAGCGTGCCCTGATGGTGATGCCACCTGAGTGTAAAATACAAAACTGGGACCTGATATGTGGGGGAAAGCACTATATCATAGTCGATCTGTAATCTAGGGCCGAGATCGGTACGAATCAATGCCTCCTGTTAAAATGAGATTCAGCATTAGGGAATCGTCTAATATCTCCTGACCGTGCATCGGTGCACAAAGGGGCTTGCAGACCGGATCCTGGTCGTCCAATTCCTGCCCTTCTACCTCCGAACCTTCTGTAGCCTCCTGGACTTCCACGCATCGAGTGATGGTGAGATGGGTACCGTTCTGTCTCGGGTTCCCCCTACGTCAGCAGCGTTCTCAAGCCTCAAAGTTCATGTAGGCAGGCAGGGGCTTACCTGTGTGACAAGTCTAGCGGATGGCCAGCCCCCACCACTGGCTCGATCGGCTAGGTCTCGACAGGCCCAGTCAAAGTCGCCAGCGGTCAAGAAGGGGAAGGCGGACAGCGTATTTACCATGACCCACCGGAATCTCGGACTATCAACACCCACGTCGCCGGATGCAGCTTCCGCCTGACTCGTGTATCGTGGTGTTGGGGGTCAGCTTGAGGTGAAGTAGAGGACGGAAGGATCAGCGTGGTAGCGAGAGGCCTCGCGAGGAGTTTGGTCCAGGCACCCTTCTCGGAGAGGATCAATGGGTTGCAATTCCCAGGACCGGACACGAAAGACACAATGCAGATTGTCGGGTTGACCATGTCGCATCAGGTTTTTGATGCACGCCCGACGATCCCATCCATCCCATCCAGGGTGGGGAGCGGGTACTTGTGTGGTTGGTGGTCCCGCCATAGTTGACACAAGTACCGGTGACTATCCCGTTTTTACTCAAGCCGCAAGCGGCTCAAGGCCGAGCCAATCATTTGAGCATCACCCCGTTCAAGGAACGCGATCGTAGGCAGAACATGCCCAGCAAATGGGCGGGAAATCGGGAAATGCCATTGTACCTGTCGTGGCCAGTTCCGCTTGCAGCCTACGCGATGGCGCCCCCGGGAACAGAACAGAACAGAGCGACGTGACTCGTGGCAAACTAAACGCTTTCGTCTCCCCTCTACCCTGGCTCGTCTTTTTGTTGTATGTATCTAGTGGCCTCCCCTGAAATCCTAGCTTGTTTCTTGCTTGTGTTTTTTATTTGATTTTAATTGTTTGTTCTTCGTGCTTATTTCGTGTTTTAACTGTTTCTCATTCCCCTGTTGTCTATACTCCCTGTTTCATGGTTGATCTGCTCTCTACTCTGGAGTAGACGCGAAACATCCCCCCTCCCTCCTCCCTCTTCCCGATTTACCTTGCCTCACTTACCCCGGTACCCCCGCATACAGGAAGTACTTAGGTGCTGGGACACACGGCCCTCGTGGAATCTGTGAGTGCCTCGTCGCTGTAACCTCAACATTCGCGATATCCCCGCCATTCGCGCCTGTTGTGGCTCCGGCCCAACCGATCTCCGGGGCATCTACCAATCTGAAACACGGCTCTGCTCCATCATCTCCGCACGGGGGTCCTTCGGCCGCCAATCGTACACCGGATTGAAAACGGGACGAGTGGTACAGCTTGGTGTCCGGATCGATCTTTCAGCAATCAGGGCGTGGCTTGACGTCAATTGCGCGGGATTCGATCAAATCTGAAGATTCCTTCTTACCCCGTCAGTCATTGTATATTTACTTTCCATGCCGCGCCGGACATCTCTTTGAAGCCGTGGTGATATCGCTTTCTTTGCACTTGGTGCCTGCGACACCATGGGCAATCTACAATCGACCTCCGCGAGAGATGAGACCCGCCGGTTCAACCGTCTCTCCAAGCCACCGACCAAGAAGCTTGCCCCGAGCGCTTCGCAGTCATCTCACCTTGAACCCGATCGTCCGGAGCTTTTGACTGGCGTCATCGGATGGCAAAACCCTTGGGTTGGCTCCCAGATCTCTAGAGATGTCAGAGCCAGCTACCCCAAAGCCACGGAGATTCCCCCAACCTTGTTTGAAGCTGAGTCGGGTTCACCAGTGCAGAGCATTAATGAGAGTCCCGCTCTTTCTCTCACTCAATCCTTGAACGAGCCAAGTTTGGAGCCCGTCTCACCTCACTCAGGCTCTTTTTCCGCTAACCCGTCGTTGAGAAGAGCGTCATATCAATCTGGAACATGGCAAGAGTATTCTCAAGCGCCACCGGTACAGGAAAGACCAAGACGGGCCATTTCAATACAGACGAGTCTACAGAGACACAAAAGTGTCATTTACGAGAGTCCGATTGAGGAAGCAACATCCTCCAACACGGCCTTTTTGGTCGGAAACCAGCGTTTCTCGCTCACCCGCCGTCGATCCTTGCTGACACGGCCGGGGGTTGCGACGCGACGAACCACTGGTGCTGTTCGACGTGTTCCTTCACCGATCGGTGAACCCGAGAGCTGCGATGATACGAATGAGTCGCAGGGTTTACAATGGCCCTTGCCTCCCCGTGAAAAAAATCCTCTCCCCGTTTTGCTGCCGGCACGGCCAACAAGCCCTGTAGATCCCCGGTATACCCAGCTTGGGGCCCTCAAACTGGGATCCTTACGAGTGGTCAATGGCTCTGCATCCCCGTGTTCCAGTGACCGGATTCCTTTCGGACATCCCCATACTACAGCTCCGGGACTCGGGTTGAAGAATGTTGAAACCGCTGGCAAGAGAGGCTCTACCCTGGAGATCCCCATCGTATCAGACGTGAAAAAGTCAGACGATGTACCTGGCAGTCCATTCTCCTTCGAGAAGTCTCCTATTATGGCAGGACCGCGGAGCAAACCGATCTTCCCCGGGGATGAGGATGAGGGCATTGCCATGTGCGACGTTCAACTAGAACAGAGTACCGTGGACGTCGGAGTCGATCAGAGTACTCTTCGATCCCTCAACAAGTCCGACAGTGGCTACAGCTCTGCGACTTCCATTCGCTCCCTTCAGCGAAGCCGAACAAGGGCATCCCTTGATTCGCAGGCTTCTAGTTATGGCGCCGCGGACAGCAGCAATAGCGCCGTCGTCGGAAATGATCAATTCTGCGTTCCAATCGATGAATGCCAGCGCCACTTCAGCCTCCAGGAAGCTCAGACCCGGAACTTTTCGCGGATGCATCTAGCCAACGATCGCTGGTACGATGGCAATGGCCCGGCCACCCAACCCCTTGCGGGATTGCGGGCGCGCCGATCTACACTGTGTGCTCCTCGATATACGGAGTACCCTAAGGCGCCTGAACCTTCCCCAGTGGACACGTCGTATGCATTTTCTTCCCAGCAAGAGCAGACTATCTACACGAGAAGAGCCCCACATGACGACCACTTTTACAGGAGTGCGCTGGACGTCGCTTCCAGCGCGGGTTCCTCGACAACTTTAGTGACGACGCCGAGCTATCAGCAGCTCGCAAACGCCGATAGGCGAGACCAAGCGCACCGATCTACTTCTGGGTATCGTTCGTATGGAAGTCATGAGTGGGTCGGCCACTCTCGATCCCGGAGCAGACACAGTGGTCGGATCTGGAGCCAGAAACCCGGCATTCACGCACCGCCACTGCCGACGATCTTGTCCCCAGATCATCTCCAAGCTGGGAAAGAACGCGGTGAAGAATTCCCTCTCCCCGAAACGTATCGCGGCCGACCTCGAAGCCGAAGTCATGATTATCGCCGCAAATCGATGAAAGAGCGACTCCAACCTGAAATGTTTATATAACGACATGTCTCTTTTGCTTCGCTTCCCCCCCCCTCCGGATGATGATTTTCTTATTAATGTTTTTTTTTTTTACTTCTGGACGATCTTGGTTTCGTCCAAAGAAAAAGTTCCCTAGGCGTTTTTGAGATGGGATCGGAGTTTCTAGTCCATGGATGGAGTCTGAACGGTTATACCCTCGTTTATCATAAACTACTTGAAAATTTGGCGTTGTACACGGGCGTCATTGACCCCGTCACCCTCAGCCGAAGCCTTTGATCTTCATTATAATCCATTTCATGATTCAAGACCGTTCATATTCCAAAAGACAATCACAGCTCGACTACGTAGTACCATTGTTGGCTTCCGGTAGGCTCTCGCTCATCCTCAGTGAGAAGTTAGAACCGAATCAGTTACCGTGTTCGAGTGAAAATTTACGTGTGAATTGATAAGCTCGTACAGTCTGCCAGCCTGTCATGTCCTCCGACCTGCATGTAGGAGAGACACGTCGAGAGAGCTTTAGGAAAAGACCACAACCACGCGCGGAAGCAAGGAGCGTACAGGGGTCTTCGCATGCTGATCCGATCTGGCAGAGAATCATTGGAGCTACGTACATATTACCTATCACATCTTGTTGATACAGTTGAAACGTTTTTAAAATTTTCATGACAATTTCATTCATTACTTCATATTTGATGCGAGTTTATACATGTGTCAACCTAAACCCCAGGCGCCCAGATCCCAAATGCACAGAGAAAGCGAGATCAGTCGAAAATGAACTAATTAATGCGAATCTTCTTCGTCTTAGGTGCAGCCTCCTTGGGCACGACGACGGACAGGACGCCGTTCTTTAGGCTGGCGCGCACTGCATCCTGATCGACACGAGTTGGGAAGGTGAAGGTTCGCTGGAACTCGCCGATTGACCGCTCCGAGGCCCAGTAGTGGAAGGATGGCTGAGACTCGGGCGTCACGGAAGCCAGGTCGGTGTCGGTGTCGGTGTCGGTAGAAGCGGCCTCTTCATCCTCGACAGTAGGCTGGCGCCACCGGCGAGCGCCTTTCTTGGAGTCGGCGTTGTTGGTGTCGTTCTGATAGGCACGTTCTGAGTGGCCCTTGATGATCAGGGTCTGTGGATCACTGAACTCGATATCGATGTTGCTCTGGCTCACCCCGGGCAATTCGCCGTCGAGGTAGTAACCATCGTTCAGTTCACGGACATCGAAAGCTGGGGTGTAGGTCTGAGTGGAGGTAGCTGGCGCGGCCCCGGTACGGTGGGTCTCATAGTCGTCCAGCAGGCGGAAGAGCGGCCGGAAGTCGGAGTTGCACAGGAAAGCCATTTTGAGATGTGAGAGTTTGTAGTCTTGTGGTAAAATAAAGAAGAAAGAGATCTTTAAATGATCAGGGATTTTTGTGTTGTTTCAGATGCCCTTTTGGAATTGATGGATGGAATCGATTTCCTGATCGCAGGATTTATATACCTCGTGGTGCTGCTCAATCGATGGCTTTGTCAGAACCCTCCAGAAGCGGGTGGCGCGTTCCACCCACTTCTCCAATCCTCTGTCGCCATCCAGGACCGACTCGCAACCACGGACCCATTGGGTCCGAACATTCCAGTTTCGACTCTTTACTCAGTCATCCGATGACGCAATGTTGCAAGCCTCAGCATGGTTCCTGCGCGTGGAGTGTCCGATCTATGCCAAGATAGATCGCGGACCGGGGAGACTCCCGAACTGCCTGAGCTATAACCATCGACTACATCCTGTACATAGCATTAAAACACTATCCTATCGCATTTCCTCGGATTGAGAATTTATGTGAACTGCGCTCAGCATGACTCGTGACGAAGACCAACAAGAGAGCCAGATATTATTTGGTTCGAAACATACGGGGGCTCAGGGAATAAGCGAGTAAGATGTCTAGAATCGTATTGGGCAACCTTGAGAGACGATCACTGCTATGTGCCTGTATAGTCCGCGATGAAGTATGGGTTCCAGCCGTCTCATAAGCGAGACATTAGGAATGAAACCAGCAGATGCTGGCTCAGACATATAGAGAGAGATGCCGAGGGAGAGAAGAAAGTGATCTATCGATGAAGTTTTGAATCATAGCTGGAGTGTTCGTTCTTCGTCCACTGTCCTCCATATCAGACACGTCTCCCACGCATGGTACCTTCCTCCCTACGGGAAGACCGGGCCGGGTGAAGCCGGGGGCCTCTCGATACCTTCGAGACTATAGCGACTCGATCTCCCGTCATCGAGGAGCTGGTCATCCGAAGATCCAGAAACACGAGAAGCCCACGGAAGAGACAGAGGTCCGGGATCGCCCTCAGCGAATGTTACGAATGCCCGGAGAGGCGTACGTCTCGAGCTGGCGGTGGCCCTTGCGCAGAAGATATTCCACGGCGCCAAAGTCTTTTTTATTCACCGAGAGATGTTTTTGGAATTCCGCCCTAGGTCTGTCCTCAGCCGGAGTGCAAGGATTGGGCGCCGAGGGCAAAAGAGACTTACCGTGCATAGTGTTTGAAATTGCTTCTTGATTCCTATCAACGATCAGCGAAGGAGCTCGGGCGACCCGGGGAAGTGGGAAGGAGCCTACCTGGGGTTTATGACGAATGGCACGTAAACACTTTCGATAGAGGGATAAGACCTCCCGCTGGAGACCGGAGAGGCGGGCCATGAAAGTCAGAAGAAGCTTGGGAGGCTTGGAAGCTTGAGATCCTGGGGAAGAAGCTCTTCGTTTTCCGCCGGGGCCCACATTGGGATTTCCCGGCCGAGTGGAATCTACGACTTAACTACGCGCCACTTCCACGGGGATCTTCTCATTATCTACACCATGGCTGCTTTCACGGTACGTGAGATTGAATCAGGGTTGAGTTTCTCATCATCTTGCTATTTCTCTCCCCCCCTCCCCTTTTTTTTTTATCGCGTTTGTAGCTCTTGCCATTTCTATTTTCTCTGTCAACTTTGGCTTTGGGCCTCTCCGGATGGCTAATCAGCTAGCTAGCATCTCGTTCGCTTCCTGGCCAAGGATGGGCACATCTATTACGGCGATGCCATCCTCCCGTCGGGAGCCACTGACCTTTCTCAGACGACCCAAGCAAAAGTAATCCAGGGTGATATCTTTGGGGAGCACCGAGTCACCGAGAAAGTGGCCGAGGTGCGCATGCTCCTTGCTCCTCTGGCGCGCAAGGATATCCGAACTGTCCGCTGCTTGGGACTGAACTACGAGCAGCACGCGATGGAGTCCAACCTGCCCATCCCAAAGTACCCAGTGCTGTTCTTCAAGCCCGTCACGTCTATCGCCGGCCCAACCGACGATATCCCCATCGCCCAGATGGCTCAGGAAGGTGAAGGCCTAGACTACGAGTGTGAACTCGTCATCGTCATCGGGAAAGAAGCCAAGAATGTCCCGGAGAACAGAGCTCTGGATTACGTTCTAGGTTATGCGGTTGGAAACGATGTCTCTCACCGCGACTGGCAGATCAAGCGTGGCGGAGGCCAGTGGGGTCTAGGGAAAGGCTTCGACGGCTGGGCGCCGTTTGGACCTGGCATCGTCTCTTCCAAGGTGATATCGGATCCGAATGCTTTGCAGATTTCCACCACTTTAAATGGAGAGAGGGTCCAGTCCTCTTCCACCAAGGACATGATTTTTGGGTGGCCAAGACCATTGCTTTTCTGTCTCAGGGTACCACTCTCCTACCCGGCGACCTGATTTTTACTGGAACGTGAGTATCACTTTGATCTGTATAATGAATCACCGATGCTGACGGGGATGGAAAAGACCACAGGGTGTCGGCATGGGCCGAAAGCCTGCGCTGTGGCTCAAGGACGGTGATCGGGTCGAGGTCGCGCTGGAGGGAGTTGGATCTTGTGTCAACCGTGTAGTCTACGATAAGCCCACCTCCAAACTGTGATGAAACGGCTCGTGTGGGGGGCCAGTGCTCATATCAATCCTCGTCAAAGTTCATATCTCCGATCGTTCGTCCAATTTTTTCGGTTCATTGGGGGGACCTCATGTGATCAGAGTAACTAGAAAAGTATGAAGATAAGAAAGAGAAACACATGTCAACGTCTAGTTTGTCTGGGCCCCGTATCCCTTGATCCTCTCGGCAAAGGCCCAGCTCTGGCCCTCGAGCTGTTCGTTCTCCTTCAAATCAATGCCCTCCTTGGTAATCACGGCTATGGAGTATTTGTCCAGACTCCGTGCATCACGATAGAACAGCACCTTCAAGCAGTCCTTCAAGGCCGCAACAGCTTGGTCCCGACTGATTTCTTCGATCGGCTTCTCGTCGGGGAATACTCGTCGCAGGATCGGAACCGCAAGGTGAGCACCGAATCCAGTCGCCAGGTGCGGGGCAGAGAAAGTCGTTCCCAGAAGATCTGCTGAGCTGAGGAACGGCTCGCCATCTCCATCGAAGCCTGCAACAAGGACGTGGTTCCACAGCGGGTTGAACTCAGAGCGCCGTTTATAGAAGACCTTGGCGAGGTAAGTGTGCAGGTTCTTGGCATTGAGCATGTTTCCGTGAGTGGAGTAGTTCTCTCGGATATCGATCGATTCGAGGAGACGGTCAATGTATTGCATGTCGGACACATCTCCACCGAAACCGACCACCGCCTTGTCGCCAAAGGAGCGCAGACGCTTCACGTCAGTGAACCGCGCGAGGGATCCGTACGATGCTGCGAATCAAAACAAAGACTGTTAGTTTGGGGGTACCGAGGCTGAAGAGCGATGAAGCAGGAGAGAGGTCTACCTAGGTTGTCGGTGGCCAAGACGACACCGCCATTAAACTTCACGCCAATGACCGACGTTCCCGTCACGGCCGGCGAAGAGGTATGTGTCTTAGGGCCGCTAGTTTGGAGGTATGAAGAGTTGTAAGCGCCGTAGACATCGTCCCTGGGCTGCAGGTGGTGTTAGCAAGGTAGCAAGCATGGGGTTGGGTTGAACATACTCGGCCCCAGGCTTCGGGGAAGTGGTTCATTGTGAAAAGGAACTGAGTGAAGACAGTCAATTGTAGGGGCGAGAGTAGAGAAGAATGAAATGGCGGAGAGTAGGGGAACGGTGGGATTGAACGATGACGATACTCAAATGGAGGAAGCTTAGGCAGTCGAGCTGACGGAGCTCCTGCTGACTCATCATCCAGGGCACCTGCGAACCCGCGCTTGAGACTAGGAGCATTCATACCATCTCGGAGACGTGCACTACATAGTTTCTTTCCGGCATCCTCGTACTTCGCCTCGCATTCCCGTCCTCTGGAAATTCGATAAGCGGCGTGATATTGCTCAGCCGCCGCAGACGCGTCGTATCCGCCGATCGCGTTCAACCGTAGCTCTCTTTTCCGTATGAAAGGCCCGTGGAGCGCCCCGCCCCTTCGTAGCAAAGATATAAGACAAACTCATCATGTCTTCCGCTTGGTTCCATCTCGGGTCGAATACATCCACTTACATCCACCTGGAGGAACATGGACCGTCACCCGTATATCACATCCACAGGAGGCCCTTCCATCGGCGCAGTGAGATCAAGTCTCGAGACGACCAACCCGTATACTACTGAACCGTCTCCTTGTAGACCATCAAAAGGCCTGATATTGTTCTATATGCAGGGAACAGCGACAAAGCCCCGTAGTGGCCGTCAGCAAAGTCCTCAAATTCTCCGGCGACTACAAATCGTGTCTGGGCAACCCTGACGATGTGAATGCTCAGTGGGAGGACATTTCCAAGGAGTTCGCTTTGCATTCGATATATCGGTCTGGGATGACCGTGCCGAGGCAGATGGGAATCCTATTGGCGAACGGCGCTCTATTCTCTGGAAAAGAACTCGCCATGTCAAAGTGGATGGCTCGACTTCACCCATCTGTTTGAAGCTGGTTGATGAGCGAAAAGATCATCTTGTGACCGTCTTCACCCGTGAGAGATCTACAAGGCAATGCGGAAAGCCTCAGATCAAGGCAAAATACGGGAAAAGCAAGCTTCGATACAATAGTTTTAATTTCATGTGCGAGTCTATTTGAAAGGGCAAGACGCCGCAATAGATCAGCAAGTGGGGGAGGAGCAGGAGGAGGGTAAAAGGGAGGCTTCTTGTCCTCGGCAAGTGGCTTATGTTGAAGGTTCCTATACCAGTTGCTTTTGCCTGATTCTTCCCATTCATCCAATGGCCGTCTTCTATCATGGATTCGTCAATGTTCTGCCCAGAAATTATTGGACGGGTACTGTTGCGGACTTTGGTTTATATTCAAACTCCAGGCCAGCCATATAGCACATGAAGTATGGAAATACCACCCCCGGACGCAAGGCGTTGTCATGAGACTGAGTGAGTCAAGAGTTTTGCTCACCGCAGCAGCCACTTTGGGGCTGTCATGGATATTTGAAGGTTTGATCTTCGTGGGGCCAATTTCATTCCGGTCTCAATCCGTCCTCACACATTGGCTTTCTTCTTCGTATCCGAAGCGGATACAAAACCAATGGAGGACCTCTGGCCAGATGCCTTCTTATCCTCCATTTGCTGCCGCAATTGTTGTTGGGCCCTCAAGAGTTCTTCCTTGAAGCCCCATTTGGGAAGGTTGGAAGTACTCCACAAGTTTACTGGCAAGGTCGTATCATATTGTGATTGCTCGTCAATGCCCGCGTGTTCCATCATCTTCTTTAGTAAACTGGGATTCTTGAGAGATGATGAGTTGGCTAGCTTTGCATTAAAATGAATGCCTTGCTCCTTGAGAGACAGGAAATGCTCGAATTTGGCATTCGCCACGGGGTTGGGAGATCCAGGAGGAGATGGTGGAATGTCCAGATTGGGAACTGGAGGAAGCGTCAGATCTTGAATCAGAGCTCGCGATGCCGAGAAAGGAGAGGAGCGGTCGAATCGCTCGCGGTCATCTGGTGACTGAGGCTGGGCCACAGGTCTTGGGCCTGTTGCCGGTCCGAGAACAGGCCCACTTGGGACTTTGTGAGAGTCCATAGACGCAGGTTGGATTTTATGCCCGTCATGAGTAGGTGGCCGGTCTAAACATTCAGAAATATTAGCCTGGATTGAACACATTTTGAGCTAGCGGGAACATCACCTCTGGTCTGATCTGTCGGCGAAGCCGTTTCTGTAAGCCTTCCACTGCGCTGTCACACATGCTGTCAGAGAAGGGTCCAACTCGTGGAAAGCTATCCATACCGCTGATTTAGGAGGTACATGGGACTCAAGTTCTTCCTCGTCGCTGCTGTCGTATGAAACAAGAGAGAGCATAATGTCGATGGGGTGGGTTTTTCACTTCACTCGCTGTCACAAGTTGACATATAAGAAGTCCACAGCTTCCAAACGCAGAATTTTATCAAGACTCTTGTATTTCCCCAGTATCTAGAACGTGAAGGCAAAAGGGAAGCTCGGGTGCATTGAAAGCAGTCCGACCTCGAGAAGCTGTAGTCTTACATAAGCAAAAGGCAGCTACAGCACCGCGTCAGACCTCCGGGCATCTTCATTGCAACCATCACCGAACGACCTTCCAAACTTTCTGTCCCAGTCCCTACCCCAGTATCTTCTTGTCTCGAAATTTAGCCGAACAGTCTCTTCCTCGCCTTCCTCTTTTCACGATGACGTCCCTTCTTGATCACTCACGCGGTGGGACGGTCGGATACTCCTTCTCTCAGTCTACAGCTGCTCCCGTGAGACAGCATGGATTCTACCCGTATGGAGCCGTTTGGTGGAAGCTTCAGAGGCTTTCAGCTAACAGAATTGGCTTAGATACACCGACAACGGTGGCTCGACTCTGGGCATCACAGGCTCCGATTTCGCGATTCTTGCTGGCGACACCCGTTCTACATCAGGCTACAATATCAACTCTCGCATGGTCCCGAAGGTCTTCAAGATCGGTGGTGACGATGAGACTGGCGAAGGTGCTCATATTATTCTGTCCGTGGTTGGCTTCGCCGCGGATGGTAATGCCCTCAAGGAACGACTGGATGCAGTGGTGAGGATGTACAAATACCAACACGGCAAGTCCATGTCTGTCTCAGCCTGTGCGCAGCGACTTTCGACCATCCTCTACGGAAAGCGATTCTTCCCCTACTACGTACACGCAATCTTGGCTGGTCTGGATGAGGAGGGTAAGGGAGCGCTTTACAGCTACGATCCCGTGGGCTCTTACGAGCGAGAGCAATGCCGTGCTGCCGGTGCTGCAGCAAGCTTGATCATGCCTTTCCTGGATAACCAGGTTAACTTCAAGAACCAATATATCCCCGGCAGTGGAGAGGGACATGCGCTTGAGCAGAAGAGCTCGGAGCCTCTTCCCCAAGAAACGGTCAAACAACTGGTACGGGACGCATTTACAAGTGCCGTGGAAAGACACATCGAGGTTGGTGATCATTTGCAAGTGATGATCATCACTTCGAATGGCATTGAGGAGGTGTTCCACCCGCTGAAGAAGGATTAAGGAATGGTAAAATGTCTACTATAGCCTTCTAATGCCAGAATTTTCGAATGTTGTGATATAAATTTGTTCAAGTAAACGGGATATTTTATTCATCAAGATGACTGACTTTTTTGAAGTCGTCACGCCTTTAAATTGAGAGCCCAAAAATCGAGATGCTCCAAACGCCCATACTATGCCGAAACTCGTTTGAAGATTGTGGTCGTGATCTAGAACCGCTCCTTCATTCGTGAAGCAACGGTTCGTAGATTGCCGTAGACCTTGCCCTGCGAGATGGTTAGCGTAAAGACTCATGTTTTTCGGAAAGGAACATACCGGAGGGCTACCCAGGATCAGGCTGACGATGGCCTCACGGGCAATGTGAATGTTCTTGAATCCACCAAGGATGTGAATTTTCTGGTCTGCAAGCACCACACGAGTGCGACTGGCATTTTCAATCGCAAATTTGGTCTTTCCATCCTTGCCGGCAATACGGCCAATTGCACGTCCTAGGTGCTCCCCATTCAATGTCTTCACATCCTTGATCTCGAATGTTTGAATGTAAAGATCATCCAGTCGCAAAAGAGCAATAGCATCGTCGATGTCAAAACCAAGAGTAAAAGCCTTGACAAAGTCCGCGCCCTTCTGCAACGCTCCTACGTCGTTAGTAAATTTGGAGGTTCGGAGTTCGACTGCGCGGCTCTTGACATTCATGCGCACTTGGAGCTTGAGGTGTTCGACGATAGGAGGGCAGATCTTGGTCCAGTTCGCTTTGAGGGGGGTCATGCGGTGTGGCGGGACAGGCACCTTGCGAGTCTCGATGCGGTATGCGGCGCTGATTTCCTTGGCTGGGGTGAAAACGGGGCGACCTTCCTCGTCGATGCGCATTTCGTTGTCTTCCGCAGATTCGGCGACCAAGTTGGAGGCATCAGGCTCTGTCGCCTGTGCATCGATCAAGACTTCATCGTCGTCTATTTGAGGGGTTAGTTCGTGAACAGGAGAAATAGTTGAAGGGTTCTTACTTGTAGCCTGAGGTTGAACCTGGTGGAGCTCGGGCACCGCCTGACGAAGAGCTGTAGGGGCAGCCATGATGTTGTCAAGACAGGAAAATTTGGGGGAGAATTCGTTATCGCAAAATTTATCGGGCGCCCCTCGAAAAAGTGTGGGCTGGATTTTTGGGTGCAAACAAAACAAACACCCAATGATTTCATTCCCCGGAGCTTCTGTCCTGACGACTGCGTCAACCATCATTCCTCTCTTTTCCTCCCCTTTCCATGAAGCGCAGGATGTAAAGACGATGTCCGCCAATTTTGGACGCCGTCTGTACACCCATCTATGGGGACCGGTGAACCCTTTTCGCGGTCGCATAGCAAACCGCGTTTCCGCCCCCGAGGCGTCAAAGGCCTTCGACTCGTTTTTCAGCGGCAAACGATTCTCCACATCCAGAAAAGCCACCCCTCTCACGAGGCGAGTTGCTTCCGGGGGCTTCTTAGTTGTGGGTGTCTCTCCTAGCACCACTGCGGCTGAGGGTGGTGTAGCTTGCATCGTTCCCTCGACTACGATAGCAGCTCAATATGCGTGGAAACGAGCTTTCCACACATCAAACGACAAGCAGTCGGAGAAGGGCACATCCGCCAATGCTCCTTCCTCCAAGGAAGACGAAGTCCTTCATCGCGCCCAGCATACCGATCCAAATTCTCCTCAAAGCCCTCATCCAAAAGTATCTCAAGAAACGCGGCAAAACCTACCTCCTAATCGCCAATTAATGGATCGCTTGCCCCATATGCCACATTTACATCGACCAACAAAAGAAGAACTTTTGGCGGCTGCAAATGGTTTTTGGTCGCGCCTCAAGGTTCGATTCAAATGGTTTTCTATCAGGAGTGTGCGGCCCTTTAACTTGGATGAAATCACGGCGCTTTTCTCGTGGGTCCTACTCGGCCATGTTGTCTGGTTCGTCGTGGGGACCACAACGTTTTTCTCACTTCTGATCCTGGCCATCAACACGGTTTTTGCGCAGGGTATGTATTCAAGGTCATTAGAGGCGATACCATTGCTAATTGTGAAATAGAAACGCTAGCCGGATGGGTTGGTAACTACCTGACCAAATCATCCGGGGTCAAGGTCGTCTTCGAGTCTGCCATTGTACCAAAATGGAAGAATGGCGTGATCACTTTCAAAAATGTGTTCGTCTCGCGGCGGCCTGGTCAGGGCACTGGGCATGTCAGCAAAGGTTCGCCAACGACTGCCGCCGCGGCGGCGGCAGCAGCTCGAGGTGATCCTGGGCCCGAAGATTCATCGCTTGTAATTGAAGAGGAAAACACCAATTACACACAATTCGACCTTTCCATCGAGACCGTCAACGTCACTTTGTCGTTTACGAAATGGCTCAACGGAAAGGGCCCGCTTCGCGACGTCGAGGTGAAAGGAATCCGAGGTGTTGTTGACCGCCGACAAGTCCATTGGCCAGAAGAAGACCTGGACCCCAAATCGTATCGACATGATCATCAGCCCGGCGATTTCGAGATCGATTCCTTTAAAATGCATGACGTGCTAGTCACGATCTACCAGCCTGACAATTTCCGACCGTTCTCTGTCAGCATCTTCTCGTGCGATCTGCCCCAGTTACGCAAACAATGGCTCTTCTACGACTTCCTATCCGCCAACATGATGTCTGGGTCGTTTGACAATTCGCTTTTCACCATACACCCTCGTCAAACCCACGGCTTTACTGGACTCCGGGTAGATCAAAAGTCGGAAGATGGGAAGCCTAGCCCATGGAAGCAACATAATAGAATACGTGTTGACGGACTGAATATCGATCACCTAAACCGTGGTGTTCATGGCCCCTTTTCATGGATCCATGAAGGGACTGTGGACATTGTGGCCGACATCATGTTACCTTCCGAGAACGATGAAAGCATCGCGAAGGTGATGGTTGATTTCTATGACCGACTGGAGGCTACGGTTACGTCCAATCAATTCACAGAGTCCCTACCTCAGCGAGCTCAGGAAGACGTGGACTCCGCGTCCAATACTGACAAAAGATTCCTAGTCATGGACCTGCGAGTCCACTTGAATAATGTTCGAGCTGCAGTCCCCATATTCACTCGAGATCTCTCCTATATTAATAACGCCCTCATTCGACCGATTGTGGCTTATATCAATTCGAAACGCACCTTCATTCCCATCAACTGCCGCCTCGTCAAACGTGTCGGGGATTTCGATGGTAGCTGGACGATATTTGACAGCAGTCTAATGGATGATCTCTCTGCTGCAGTGAGCATATCATGTTACCAAACATAAGTCTTTAATTGTGCTAACGAGTTGGCAGACATACGACGCGTTTGCTCGGGATGTTGTGGATGATCAAGCCCGGAAGAGACGCTTCAAGAAGGTTGGATTCTGGTCCCTTCAGCTCGCCGCGCAGGCCATTTTCATGGGCATGGCTGGCAACATCGCATGATTCTGTACATACTTCATGACCTATGCCCGGCTTTTCCGACAAGGTTTTATTTGGCCGGCGTTTGGGTCTTTTCTTATGTATTATAACACTTTGCATCTGCGGAGTCCGGAGCATTTTCGCTGAACTTTTCTCAATTTTTCTCGCGAAGCATAAATTCTCTCCTCTTTATCATTGTCTCTGGCGTGTATCATAATTCTCTCATATGTCTTTGTACGAAGCTGACATTGGGAGAGCGCGATGTTTCATCGATTCGACTTCCTGATGTGCTTCAGCCCCTTCGCTGCCTATCACTCAGGGCACCTTGGTTTATATCTTAAAGATACTGCATACATACCATCGAGATTGGATTTGGAGATAGGGAGTGACCCGTGTCCGATTGCTACGATTCTGGGCTGTCAAGCAGCGATCGTCGGGCTCCACCGAGGAATTCGAAACTAAAGCAACAATCATCTACATGGCCCCCCTATCTTCCTTGGTCCCTCTCTCTCTCTCTCTCTTTGGCTTCTCCGCCAACCTAAGGGAATCAAAGCCAGAAGTTTAGGGGGTATGAGATTTCAGCTGAGACAACCCAAGACCCCCTTTCTCTAAGCTTCCGGGGACCCGCCATCCCGCCCCCTCTCCTCCCTAGGTTCTTTGGCCCCCCAAACCCCTCTGATGCGCTGAATCCTGAACCATGTCGCAGTCGCGCATGGAAGATTCGGGTCACCCGTCCAGAAACAACTCTGCCCAGCCTTCGCATGGTGGCCTCATTCCCAGGGACTATCTTGCGCGATCAGACATGGCGCGCCCCGGAGCTGGCTCCCGTCACATCTCACCTTCACCTCTACAAACCAGCTCGCTCCCACAATCCTACCTTCACGACTCGCCTTCATCTCATAGTCCCCTCTCGCCCAGATCCAGCGCCAACGCTTCCCCGGCCCAGAATCAGTCGCCTATCTCCCGCGGAGTGAATGCGCCGTTTCCCGTGCCTCCCTCAAGCTCGGCTCACCCTATCGCCCAAACCCCGGATATGACAAGTATGGACGCGGCAGACATGGCAAACATGACGGGCGATATCAACTCACCTAAGCCACCGGGTGTGACTGGCCCCGATCGGTCCGCATCATCCTCCGTGAGCTCCATTCTGTCAGCGCCCGGTGACCGTCCGACGCACCGCGTCATGCCTCGCACCTCCTCTATCGATTCGGCCATTTCATCCTTATCCTCCGCCTCTCAAAAATCGACGTTTGATGTCAATGCTTTGAGTCCAGCTGATATCAGGAGCCTCATCAATGCTGCGGGTTCCGCGGAGGCGGTTATCGTGCATCTCCTGAAAGAAAAGCACCAAGCCGCCTCTCAAAACTCACAGCTTTGGAAGCTGGTCGATAAACAGCGCACCCTTATACTAGGTCTCAACAAAGACCTTGAACGTGCTTTCAAGGAAAAGGAAAGATACAAGAAGAAACTTAATGATCTACAGGTCTCGGCGCCTCCGCTATCTACCTCGGACCTGTCTGTACCACGATCCATCTTGGCCGATGTAGTTCATTCAGGATCGGTATCGGGAGTGAAAAGAGAGAGCGAACGACCTCAAGCTGACCAGCCGTCCACCGTTCCACCCCCCTCGGCGTCCGACTCTACCCTCCAAGGCACCTCAGGCCGTAGTCCAGCGACCGATGCCGCGTCCCCAGTTGCAAGCGAACTACAGCGACTGCCTCAGCCGAACCGTAAACCGCCACCTGCGCCGCTGAAACTACGATCAGGTGATCCTCTGTCAGAGCCTGCAGAGCTAGATTCGGATTCCGATTATGGCGATACCCAGGACGCAGATGGAAGGCCAAGCGTGGACCGTGGAAGAAGAAAGACACGAGAGGAAGACGACCGGGACCGCGAAGCTAGCCTGTTTCAAGAAATGAACAACCACGATGCTACAGAATCGACCGAATTTGGGCCCACATCCCAGAGCTCTCCAGACACTGCAACGTCTGCAAGTCCGGTGACGGCTCCACGTGAATTAGCAACGAGGTCACCGCCGCCTGTAAGCGGATCTGGCCCCCTGGGCTCCCTTCTGAGCTCTCGAGTTAACCCCTCCACTTCGACTGGGCGTCAACCCCTTACCATGCCCAAGAGCCCTGGCCTTCCATTGAGCCCAAGGCCCGAAGATCGACCCATCGGCTCGCCTTTGCCCCGGATGCCGAGAGACATATCAGCGGGTTATAATCCATCGGGACTACCTCTTTCTCCAAGAGCCTCAGATCATCCAGTCCCATTTCATCCTGGAGATTATCAAGCTCTGACTGGGAGGCCTGGAGGTCCAATTCCTTCAATTGATCCAACTGTGAAGATAGACAGTCCAAGAACACCGGGTTACCCAGAGAGCAGCATATATCGGGGCTTGATATCCGAAGATTATCCTGGGTTACTTCTGCCTCCTAACGCGCTTCCTGTGATTCAGGTCAGAGTGTCGTCGTCTCGGCTTCGACCCTCCAGAAACAGCTACATGGTATCTAAGCCTCTTGACGAGGAGCCTGTGTTTACACTCAGTGTAATCTCCCGATCTGATATGGTTGAACTTTGGCGAGTCGAGAAGGTCATTGCTTCCCTGCCTCAGCTGGATTATCAAGTCAGACAATCGGCCTCGTTTTCAGGCAGGTTGCCTGATCGTAGCATTTTCAGTGGTCACTCACCCGCCAAAGTGGATGCTCGGCGTGCTGCATTGAATGCTTACTTTGACAGTCTCTTGGACACGCCTATGGACGAGAAAGCTGCAGTGGTTATTTGCCAGTTCCTAACAAATGATGCCATTGAGCCTCGAGATGACGAGACAAGCTTACTTAAAGGCCATAGCCAAGGAAAACCGGACATGCTTCGAGGTGCAGACGGGAAACCTCGTAAGGAGGGCTATCTGACCAAGAGAGGCAAAAATTTTGGGGGCTGGAAGGCCCGATACTTTGTCCTTCACGGACCAGACTTGAAATACTTTGAGTCTCCCGGCGGCCCTCACATGGGTACCATCAAGCTTCATCATGCACAGATCGGCAAACAATCACAAAATCCCAGCAGCCAGACTCAAACGTCCCCGGGTGCTGATGAGGATACTGACAATCAGTATCGACACGCGTTCCTCGTCTTGGAACCGAAGAAGAAGGATTCATCGGCGCTAGTTCGGCATGTCCTATGCGCCGAAAGTGATGAGGAGCGTGATACATGGGTCGATGCCCTGATGGAATATGTGGAAACCCCTTCCTCAGACAATGAGAGCCGTGGCAATTCTTCTTCAAAGACTCAACACCAGACTCAGCCGAAGTACACGAACGCCACTCCAAAACCCAATGTGCCTTCTGGCAACGGGAGTAAGCGATCTGACAGAGGTATTGAAAGTCCAGATCAAAATGCGGGGACATCTGTCCAGGGATTTAGCTTTGACAACACTGTTGCGGCCGAACCTCCTATACTAGGGTCCTCTCTCGAGCAGGCCCCTCGCTCTCCGCGTATCCCAGCCACTCTGTCGATGGACTTCCGAGAGCTAAATCAATCCCCTGTTGAGCCACAGCCACCACAGTCTCCTAAAGTCATCTCAGCGCCCACGAATGGCGCCGTGATTCAAGATGTGGGAGCTTGGGGCAATAAGCCCACGTCGACAAAGGAAAAAAAGCGCAGCATCTGGGGGTTCCGCACGCGGTCTTCCTTGGATCTCGCCTCGCAGGCCTCAGTCGAAGTATCTACAGCAAATGTCAACCTTCAAGCCGAGAGAAGAGAGAATGTCAAGCCGGTATTCGGTATTCCTTTGTCTGAAGCTGTACAGGATTGTGGACCTTACGGGATCGAGGCGGAGCTACCGGCCGTCGTCTACCGCTGCATCGAATACCTTCAGGCCCAAGGCGCAGCATCAGAGGAGGGTATTTTCCGCTTGAGCGGCTCCAATGTTGTGATTAAGGCACTTAAAGAACGTTTCAACACTGAAGGTGATGTAGACTTTCTTGCTGGAGATCAGTATTACGATGTCCATGCTGTTGCTTCTCTCTTCAAGCAGTACCTCCGGGAGCTTCCAACGACGGTTCTGACCCGGGAGCTGCATCTGGATTTCCTTCGTGTTCTAGGTATGTTCGCTTTGCTTGTTCCCTTCACCTACGTTGAGTGGCATCACTAACTTTCGTCAAATAGAGCTTGACGATCGCCAGAAGAAGGTCATTGCCTTTAATTCTTTGATTCACCGGTTACCGAGGCCAAACCTGGCATTGCTTCGAGCATTATCACTCTTTTTGATCGAGATTGTCAACAATTCCGATGTGAACAAGATGACAGTCAGAAACGTCGGCATTGTTTTTGCTCCCACACTCAACATTCCGGCGCCGGTCTTTTCTATGTTCCTCACCGACTTTGACAGTATTTTCGGCGAAGAATCCGGCCCCGGCCCTACGACTGTGGAGCTGAACGTCGACCACAGTCTGTCGCCAGACGATGTTCGTTCTCCACGTCACCAAATGTTCTCGGATATACCGACTCCCTCCTATAATCAGACCTCTTTCCGAGGCTCGAGTGATGCGCCTATGGGCGTCGACCATTCTCGGGCCCCTCACGAGGCTGGCTTCGCCCCTATGCAACCCTCCTACGACCAAGCGGGATATAGGCAGGATGTGTACAATCAGCCCGCGGGAGCCTCGGGCCCATTCTCCTCACTGAATGGCATGCTGTCTCCCAGCCCGGACGACACTCGTTCGGCAAAGTCAAAGAGGCGAGAAAGCTCGATGCTTTTCATGGAACACAGTATGTTTCATTTCACAGCGCTGATGATCTAATGCGTCATGATAACTAACTATGACTGCAGCACCAGAGGATCTCTCCTTTTATCAAGGCAAATAAATGGTTGCTCTACCAAACCAACATCCCAGCCAACATGTGGCAACTTGGTTTGGCCGCCTTTTCTTCTCGTGTTCCCCCAATTCTTAATTTCCCGACGATCTATGCCCCTTTGAAAGACCACGATTTGCACGCAAAATGACGACCTTACCCACTTGGCACGAGCAGAGTCGCAGGAATGTTTAATGATAATGGTAATTCGGATGAGGCTGCAATATCAAAGGCCTAGTTGGCCCTGGACTATATTGGCTTGGAAATTTTTCTTGGTCTATCGTTATACCCCCTCTTGAATTTTTGTTTTCTCTTCATGCCGCCGCTGTGTCGCGGCCATTTCTTTCTTTTTTTCCCCCTCCTTCTATTTCAAGCAGACTTGGAGTCATCAATTTGTCTTGAGCATATCGTGTGCCCATCGATATCGCACCGCGGTCTTTCTTCCATTTGATGTTTTACTTTTTCAATGATTCTATTTGCTCGATCGGAGTTGCAAATGCTATGTTCAGGTTATACAAGATCTCTCATTAAAAACGCCTGCTTCGCTCGCCTTTCCAGAATCCCATCAGCTCGCCGTTTTCCCGCGCCCAATCTCGTACTTTGTCCACCAATGCCTTCGCCATGCCCTTATTCTTCGCTTTTCCACCCGAAGGGTCGCGGCTCTGACCTAAACCAGCTGAGGCATGCTCCCCGGTTGCGTACTCGGAGCCCATGCTGGGCAAAACGTTGTCACCCGCGCTCAAACTCACAAAGAGAGCAAATGGGACCAGCCAGACACATAGGCCAAAGTACGAGGCCACCTCAGAGAAAGAAGGGATTTCCTCGTAGTTGACTTGATACGGCTGGCGCCAATTATTTTCGGATCGTTGAGTCGGGGCTGGGGGTTTCGAGAAATGGCGGAACCAGAGCCAATGATTAAGAACCACTAGCAAGCACGACAGCAGAAATAGAGGATCCGACAGTTTCACAATGGGGAACCGACGCAAGTTGCTGGCATAGACCAGGTGAGACAGGATGCTGAGCAGAGAGAGCCATATGGGGAAGTGGTCGAAGACGACAAGTAATACCTGAGCCGCAATGATACAGTATATCAAGCGATTCAGGAGCTTTCGGGCAAGGACAGTGTGCTCCTCAACGAGCTCAGAGAGGTAGTAGAGCCCCGAGGCTGCATCCGTGTTAGTCTACAGCCACGCTAGGGAGGAGGGAAGAGGAACAAACCGATAGCCAGGGTCAGGAAGGCGAATCCGACGACCACCCCTGAATAACCGAGCAAAGGAAGAATCCACATCGCAAAGAGGGCAGGTTGGGAGGTGAAAGGAGGATGGGGGGACGAGTGGGCGCATTCGGAGCTGTGGATTGTTTCCCGCAATGACGCTTTGGGTTGTTGGCCTCAGGCTTCCACCCCGCCCCAAAAAAAAGTCTCGGTCCACGAACTCGCCTGAACAGCTTAAACACACAGTCCACCATGTCGCGCCCCGAGGATATCCTGTATGTTTCCATGCTCTTCAAGATCTGATCAACTCCAGGAATTAATCAGTTTTGTGAAAACAGCCCGCCTGATCTCTTCTACAACGACAATGAATCCCGCAAATATACAACGTCGTCACGCATTCGGAATATCCAGGCTGACATGACCAATCGAGCCCTGGAGCTACTCAGACTGGAATCTCCTTCCTTCATTCTGGATGTTGGATGTGGTTCGGGTCTTTCTGGGGAGATATTGTCGCAGGAATCACCCGAAGATGGCGGGCCTCACGTATGGGTGGGCATGGACATTTCACCAAGCATGCTGGACGTGGCCCTGCAGCGCGAGGTAGAGGGCGATTTATTCCTCGCCGACATTGGTCAGGGTGTTCCATTCCGGCCGGGCAGCTTCGATGCGGCGATCAGCATCAGTGCTATTCAGTGGCTGTGCAACGCGGAAACAAGCGACGTCAGCCCCGAAGGTCGTCTCAAACGATTCTTCGAGGGTCTCTATGCCAGCCTCCGTCGTGGCGGTAGGGCCGTCTGCCAATTTTACCCTAAAAATGACATTCAGCGAAGCATGATCAGCGGAGCCGCGATCAAGGCAGGGTTTGGCGCAGGAATTCTTGAGGATGACCCGGGAACCAAGAATAGCAAGTTATATTTGGTCTTGACGGTCGGTGGCGGTGGTCTACAGGGTGACATTACCGGAGTTGTAAATGGTATGGAGGACGTCAATGTCTTGGATGCGAGGCGAAAGGCTCAGGAGTTGAAAGGTGCCCGTGGGCGAAAGGGCGACAAGACCTGGATCATGAAAAAGAAGGAGCAGATGGAGAGGAAGGGGAAGGTTGTGAAGCAGAACTCCAAATACACCGGCCGCAAGAGGCGTGTTGCCTTCTGATCGCAGATTTTCTACATATCTCAACCCTTTGATACCCTTTACTTCACTACCAAAACCCATCCTTGAAACCGTCCTCGAAAATGATGTCCATGTGCATATATATATACACAAAGATTGACCTTACTCTGGAATCCAAAAATGTCTATTGCTATAACTTGCCGGGGAGGGGGAACATTGCGAGCTAAGTAGGAAGAAAGATAATACATGATGGAGGGTCGGTCCAGCTGGCTCATGACCCGCAGAGTCCACTGCGGATGAGATGACTGAACAGATCTCCGGTCGTGGCAGTGGGAACGATGCAAACGAGCAGAATTCAAATTTACAGAGCCGCCTCCATCTTGTCCAAGACAGCACGGGTGAATTCGTGAGTGGTAGCCTGACCACCCATGTCGCGAGTGCGAGTCTTGCTATATGATTATAAGCGAGTGTGACGAGGAGGAGAAAATCATTCTCACGGGAATTACTTACCCTTCACCGATCACATCATAGACAGCTTTGGAGATGCGGTTGGCGTGGTCATCAAGACCCAGGTGGCGGAGCAACATGGATCCGGAGAGGATCATGGCGCTGGGGTTAGCCTGGTCCTTGCCCTTGATGTCGAGACCAACATGACGGCAACCGGGCTCGAAAACGGCAACGTCACGGCCCATGTTGCAGCCAGGGACCAGACCGGGGCCACCAACGAGGGCAGCACCGACGTTGGAAAGAATACCTCCGTAAAGGTTGGGCATGACCATCACATCGAACTGCTGGGGGCGCGAGACAGCTTGCATGGAAGCGTTGTCCACAATCATGTCGTTCACCTCCAGGGTGGGATAGTTCTCGGCAACCTTGTGGAAAGTGCTGCGGAAGAGACCGTCGGCAAGCTTCATAATGTTGGCCTTGTGAATACAAGTAACCTTCTTGCGGTTGTTGGCGAGGGCGAAGCTGAAGGCGAACTTGGCGATACGCTCGGATTTGGCGCGGGTGATGATCTTGAGGGACTCGACGACGCCCTGAACGGACTGGTGCTCGAGGCCAGAATACTCACCCTCGGTGTTCTCACGAATGATGCAGAGGTCAACATTCTTGTGACGGGTCTCATATCCCGGGATGTTCTTGATCAGGGAGATTGAGGCGTAGATGTCCAACTCCTGGCGCAGGGCAACGTTGAAAGACTGGTGGCCGGAACGCTCGACGGGGGTGAAAAGAATACCTTTCAGACCCAGCTTGTTGCGCTTCAGCGAAGCCAGGGACTCCTTGAACAGCTCCTCGGAGTGCTTGTTGCCGGTATCGACACCGCTGACGTCGACCTGTTCCCACTCGATAGGGACGTTGTCGGCCTTGAAGATAGTCTTGACCGATTCCGCCACTTCCGCACCAATTCCGTCACCTAATCAAGAAAAAAAAAACAAACGAAGATCAGCATCCAGTCAATTCAGCGCAAGGCCAAGCAGAGTCGACAATTGATCGTGGCATACCAGGAATAAGGGTGACGGTGTACTTGCCACCATACTTGGTGGGCTTGAAGATATCCGACTGAACGCTGGCAAAAGCTGGTCGCGTCCAAAGTTAGCGATGTGCTCAAGCGATTAAATATGCGCGCAAAAGTGAGTTCATGGCATACATCTCGCGGAAACCGAGCGACCGATGGAGGGAGCCACGAAGGCACTGCGGAGCAGGGTCTGAACAAGTTAGCCATTGCGCGCGCACGGGGGACAGGGGGAAGCTAACCCGGGCGGGCTGTGCCGTTCTCGAAAGCATGTTTTTTTTGAATACGAGTTCTTTGACACGAAAAAGATAAGGGTGGAGGTGGAAGTGGAGGGGAGGAAAGTGAATGGGGAGAGCCAGACGGGGGGGGGGGGGAAGAGAAGGATCAGACACTAGGGAAAACGGAAAAAAAGGGCCCGGATGGGCTCGGCATCGCACGACTCTGACTTGCGCCGGCCCGATCTTATCTCAAAGGGAAAACACAACCATTCGACTTCTCTTTGATTTCCTCTTCGGATCTTATTGAGCCCTTCTTCGGGCTTCGCCTTTTTCTTGCAACCTGGCGATACTTGGAGCTGTTCCTTTCGGCAGTTTGCTATTCAGTTACTTTTTAGGTTCCCTTCTATCCACTGTCTGGACGCCTCCCTCGAGGACGACACAGGCTGCCTCACGGTCGGTCACCCTCAATCTATCGATTCGCTCAAACCTCATCCCTTGAGTCATGATCATTGCGGCTAGCCTGAGAAATGCAGGCGCTGGTCTATTCCCCTACGTCTCATGATGGAGACTACAAAATGACTCGTCACGATCTATAGACCAGTTCGGGACTCAATAGGCTCTTTCAGCAATGATGCTTCGTATCAAGGACCCGAGAAATACACAAATCTCGTGCATATAAAACCCAAGCTGTCACGGCTGGTTTCCTCTCCGCCAACGACCACCGATCACTTTCTTTTGAACGCCGATCAGTCCATTCGAATCCGATCTTTTTGTTCCAATCCATCCATTTACTCGTATCTTGACCTCACCATGAAGTACGTCTCCGTCGCCATCGCCTTGCTGGCCGCTTCGACTGTCCAGGCCGCCGCTGTTCCGGAGGCTGCGCAGCACCCCAGTATGCCCATCTGGTGCAACCACCCCGGCCAGGGCTGCTACATGTACAAGCGTACCGCCGACGTCTCCGCTGAGGTGAAGCGCTCTGCTGAGGCGCTCGCTGAGGCCATTGCTGAGGCCCACCCCCAGGCTCTTCAGATCTGGTGCGACCATCCCGGCCAGGGCTGTGCCAAGGCCAAGCGCGCCGCCGAGGCTGTCGATGAGGTCAAGCGCTCTGCCGATGCTCTTGCCGATGCCATGGCTGCTTTGGATCAGGAGTAAAGTAAGTTCGTCTCATCTAGTTCTTGCTCGAGTTCGTACTGAACATTCCGACAGTGTTGTGCTTTGATTCGTGTCGACATGTCTGCTCTTATCGGTGTCCATGGAACCTGAAGTGAAGTGCAAACGAAATTTGTGATTGTTTACAGGCTTACCTGCCTATGGCGGACGCTCCTTATGTTACTGGCCATGACTGTCTCAATCTTTTTCCCTCAACTCCGAGGACAATGAAACAATTTAGTAATAAAATGTTTGGAACTTTGCAACATAAAGTGAACTCAATACGATGATCAGACCATGTGTGGCTCGGATAGTAGTCATATCGCAAATGGGCCTCACCAGTTTCTTGTCTTAGCCCTTCTCAGCCTCTTCCTAGTGGTTTCCCGACAGGTGTTTGTAGGCTTCGCTTGGCCTTGTTTGTGACAAATGTCTCTTGGAAAGTTTTTACTTGTTTCTGGGCAATGTGCCAACGTCCGGCTCCGGTTTGAATAAAGTTTAGTATCTGTTTGAATGCGTTCGGGTAGATAAATCATATTTGCGTAGTTGGGCATACGTTGTTCATTATACATTTCTCGTGATCGACTTAGAGACATGTCTGATCAAAGGTCATTTTTGGCACCAGCTTGGTCGAACGGCCTCATAAGCCGCATGATACCGGTCCATCTCCTCATATCTTCCATATTGCGACTCCATCGGTCCCATCTGGGTCGGCTCCCACCACTGTTGCTGCTGGCTTCTGTAGACAGGATCTGTAGACGAAGTATATGGCGCTCCGGTCGATGGTTCTTTCGGCGGGGCAGCCTCGTAGCCTGATACCATGTAGGGCTCGGCAAGGCCACCATGGTCATATCTGATACTATCTGTCTGGTCGCTCATCTCGAGGTCCTGGGCGAGGTTTGCGGGGAAAGAATGAATGTTTGGGCAAACTGGTATAGCCGGGGCCTGTTCCGACCTCGCGTAGACCTGCCACGTTTGAATCAAACGGCGTTGTTGGTCCACGTCCGCATGCTGGAAAAGTGCCAGCTGTCTGGCCGAGAAGGTGTCGGGGTCAAGTCCGTACTGCCTCAAGACATCGAGGACGCTCTGGGTTGTCGGAAAGACCAAAGGCTGCGAAACCGGGGGAGGGACTACATGGGAAGAATGATGATAGTGTTGGGAGATATAGGTGATCGATTCATTCTGGGAGGGAGGCAACGGTGCCATGGTCATCTGTCGGTCGAACAAAGTAGCCAGCTCATCCTGCAGCTTGCCATTGCTCTCCGAGGCAGACAGGCCACACTAGACTCCGAGTCAGGCATTGCTGCGAATCACAGAGATCAAGTGGAAGCTACCTGGTTACAGTTTGGATTCTCGATGAAAGCAGCGAGAGAGAGGGAGATATCAGAAACATGTCCACAGGACGGGCATTGGTGCAAGATGGACGAAGACATGGTTCCAGGTTCTAGGGGAGACAATAACAATGATAGAGAGTCCACCGTATGGAGGGTACCCAGACGAACCGGGCGTTTAGGTCAGGTTTCGAGGGAAGGAAGCGAAGAGAGATCGAATTTAAAACCATCAAGCTTGTCTCCTCCATTTCCCCCACCAAGACACACGCCCGAAATTTGTAGTTGGGCCGCACTTTGATCGCGCGCCGTCCCCACGGTCACATGACCCGCAGGCAACCCCGTGACGCAGCTTCGTTGAGCTCATCCATCGGAGCTTCCCTCTTTCCCCCATCCGCGTCCTTGTCTCTTCACCGGCTCCCGATTAACCTTTCCACTCTTTCGGCCTAATTGATTTTTACAAAGAGATTGATCTGATTGCCCACTTACACAACCATGGTGGGTTTCGTCTTCGTTGCTTACTAGATTTGTTGCTAACAGGGTAGACGTCAATCGGTACGGGATACGATCTCTCCAACTCGGTCTTCTCGCCCGATGGCCGGAACTTCCAGGTAAGCTACGTATCTTTCTCCGGAGCACTTGACAGAACGACCCAGTGGGAGCTTTGATAGTTAATCAATCGACTAGGTCGAGTATGCTGTGAAGGCTGTCGAGAACGGAGGAACAGCTATCGGCATCCGATGCAAGGATGGTGTGGTTTTGGCTGTAGAAAAGATCATCACTAGCAAGCTTCTCAAGCCCGGCGCCAACAAGAGGATCGCGACGGTTGATCGTCATGTCGGCATTGTAAGGACTGATCGCTTCCCCCCCCCCAAAACAACAACAACCTCTCGATGGAAGAAGCTAATCAACCTCGTGTCATCTAGGTATCGGCAGGTCTCGTTCCCGATGGTCGGCACTTTGTTTCCAGAGCCAGAGATGAAGCATCCTCATGGAGAGGTGTATACAAGGGCCCCATACCGACCTCCGCGCTCGCGAACCGCCTCGGTGGCTATGTACAAGCTTACACATTGTATTCTAGTGTACGACCATTTGGTGTGACCTCTATCGTTGGAGGTTGGGATAGCGAAGCGGACCTGCCCGTCGATGGCCAGGTCGGTTCAGGGCCAGAGTCAGGCGCCGGTGGGAAAGTCAAAGATGCCCAAGCTGGAGGGCCTGGGCTATACATGATCGAACCCAGCGGTCTTTACTGGGTATGACACATAGTCTTCTGTTTTTCTTCCTCGTCCGTCCCTCTCTTGAGATGTGACTCTAGCTAATAGCTGATATAGGGCTACTACGGTGCCGCCACCGGCAAGGGACGACAGGCTGCCAAGGCGGAATTGGAGAAACTGGACCTGACTTCAGGCAATCTGTCTTTGGAAGATGGCGTGAAGGAAGCGGCACGCATCATCTACGTCGCCCACGAGGACAGCAAAGACAAGGAATTTGAGTTGGAAATGTCATGGATCAGCTCGCTTGACGGTCCGACCAAAGGCCGGCACGAAGAAGTGCCCAAGGACATCCGGGAAGAGGCCGAGAAGTTTGCGCGCCGGGCTCTGGAGGGTGAGGATGAGGATGAGGAGGATAAGGGTCAAGCAGAGGGAGAGCAGATGGAAGAATGAACTATTCAATAGACCTGGCAGGAACCCCCATTTAATTTGATGCTTCTGTGACGCACCTATATCCATCCAACCAGAATTCAGACAACAAATGTGACAATAAGGTAATGACACGGATTTGGACTCTAGAATCTACACAATTGTTCCTTCCGACCACTGCCGCCGCTTCACACCCAGCTCCACGGCAGCGCTTCCCCAATCCTCGCCGTGATTGTGCATCCCACTGTTGCCAAGTCCGGCCCGCTCCAGACCTTGTTCCTCGGTCAAAACAGTCAATAGTCCGAAGATCACCGGCACGCCCGTATCTAATTGAACCCGCATCAGCCCATGGCTAACGGCATCGGCGATGTACTCAAAGTGCATCGTGGCACCCTTGATCAGCACGCCGATAGCGATGATGGCATCAAAGGTCTTCTTAGGGCTCGTAGATTGGGACGTAGATTTAAGATCGGTGGTGGAGGATGACAAGAGGTCGGTGGCACTAATGCCTTCGCCGGAGGAGCTCGCCTGGACCTGAGAGGCAGCGTAAAGCCTAAACGAACGAGTATGTCAGAAGTGCGCCACTTTGGAGTTGCCTCGAAGGACTAGAAGCTTACCGCTGCACGCCAATAGGCAGCTCGTAGCTACCGGGAACCGTCTGGACAGTGATGTTCTCCTCAGTCACGCCAGCTGCCAGCAAGCTTTTCTTAGCTCCGGAAACGAGGGAGTCTATGATTGCGGTGTTCCATCTCGCATGAACAATTGCAATTCGCAATCCAGAGCCTACAGAAGCCATTAGTGGGGGAGGTCATCAGAAGGTGTGCAAGGCGGGGCCGATCTGTTACCGTCAAGGCTCTGGGCAGCTCCGGGACCTTTGATAGTGGTCATCATGTATGGCAGGATGGCAAGAATGTCGGATGTGAATGTAAGACAAAGGAACCTTTGAGGGTCGCGCGGGAGATGGAAAACATCAGTCCCGCAATCGGTGTGGCGGGGAAAGGCGGAATGTCGCGACCGAATACGGCAAAAATGGAACAAACGCCGCTTCGCTACATACCAGTGTGTACTAAACACAGGTGTACATTCTACAACTGCAAGACAGAGATCCATATTCTGATGAAGAATGACATTGGATGACTCAATGAAGGCAAGAAAAAGATGATTGCATTCTCCCGAGAAAGCTAAGAAACACCTAATAATAAGATCATCGCAGTCGTCTACTTAAGATTTCCATCCGTAATCTCCATTTTACTCGACCGTGACCGACTTGGCCAGATTGCGGGGGAAGTCAACGTTCAGACCCTCCCCAACGGCAAGCCAGTACGAGACCAGCTGCAGAGGAATTACATTCAGCAGACCCTGGAGACAATCGACGGTCTTCGGCACAACAATCTTCTCAGTCTGCGCAGCCGAGAACTCGGGGTCATCCTGGTTGCAGATAACGATGGGGCGGCCACCGCGGGCGATAACTGCATGTTTTATTAGATGAGAAGATGTAGAGAATGACCATGCACAACTTACCTTGCTGGTAGGCGTTCAGCGACTTGGTAAACAGGTTGTCACGGGTGAGAATCATGATGATAGGCAGATTCTCGTCAACGAGGGCCAAAACACCGTGTTTCAATTCACCGGACATGACGGCCTCGCAATGAAGGTATGAGATTTCCTTGATTTTCAGGGCTCCTGTGAAGGGAAACAATCGTTAGCATGAGACGAGTGGTACGAGCGGAGTAAGAGTGTAAGGATCCTCACCCTCAAGGGCAGTGGGGAACTGGGCGCCACGGCCCAACAAGAGCAGACTCTTCTGGTCCTTGAAGAACTTGGCACACATTTCCTTGATGGGCTCGTTAAGCTTCAGGATCTCCTTGAACTGATCTGAGATCTTGCCGAGGCCCTCCATGATCTCTTCACGTCGCTTTTGCTTCGAGGCACGATCCTCGCTCAGTGAAAGAGCGAACATAACCATCGCGACGAACTGGGAGGTGTAAGCCTTAGTCGATGCCACACCGATCTCGGGACCGGCGTTGATGTGAACACCACAGTGAGTGAGCAGAGAAATAGAAGATCCGACGACGTTCACAATACCCACAGTCAGAGCGCCACGCTCCAAGCAGTAGCGAAGAGCCATCAGGGAGTCGGCAGTCTCACCGGACTGGGAGACAAACACGCAGGTATCATCTCGGAACACGGGCGCCTGTCGGTCAAGGAAGTCCGAGGCCAGCTCAACGGCAATGGGGATCTCGGTCAGTTCCTCGAATACACCACGCACGGCCATGCATGAGTGAAAGCTAGTTCCGCAGGCGATGAAAATAATGCGGCGGCAGCGACGAATGGTGGAGATGTACTGCCGAAGACCACCCAAAGTGACATTCTTGTTGACAGCATCCAGGCGACCTCTCATGGTGTTGACCACAGACTCGGGCTGCTCAAAGATCTCCTTCTGCATGAAGTGGTCGAACTTGCCCTTCATGATCTCCTGGAGCTCCAGTTCGATGGTCTGGATCGCACGGACGTTAGAGGTACCATCGTTCTTTGACAATCGGTGAATGTTCAGCTGGCCCTCGTGGATGTGAGCAATATCATCATCCTCCAAGTAAAGGACCTTCTTGGTGTGCTCGATGATGGCCGAGGGATCAGAGGACAGGAAGAACTCAGCAGGCTGCGGGATGCCATCGTCAGACAGGAAAGCCCGCGACTGGGAGCGGTGCAGGAGCGACTTGTCCGGGGGAGCCAGAAGGCTAGTAGCGGACTTCTTGAGGGCGACATTCTGGGAGGCCTGCTCCGCGGGAAGAGCACCGTCTTCCGAAAACTCCACATCAACGAAATCCACCTTCATCTTTTTCGAGGTGCGCACACCAATGACCAGGGGCGAACCCTTGCGGGCAGCGATGACCTCGTGGGGATAGTGCACCGACTTGAGCAGCAATCCGAAGGCTCCCTCGAGTTCCTTAATAACAGCCTTGGCCAGGACCGTGAATTCGATGTCGGGTTGCTGGTCGTAAAGGTACTTGGCAAGCTTGGCAATGCACTCGGTATCGGTTTCAGTCTCGAAGCGGAAGCCCTTGCTCTCCAGAAGAGACTTCAATTCCTTGTAATTGGTGATGATTCCATTGTGAACAACGGCGAACTCCCATGTGGAGTCAGATCTACAGCGAAGAGGAATTAGCGCGTCATTTCTCAACCGGGGACCTTGGTGTGCTTATTTTCCATTCTTCTTGCCAGACTAGCGAAAGGCCGAGTAGAAATCATGGGTGAGGAGGGAAGCAACATACCGGTGGGGGTGGCAGTTAAGGCGGGAGGGAGTGCCGTGGGTGGCCCAACGAGTGTGAGAAATTCCAGCGTGGGACTCGAAGGTCTTGGTCATGTCGGGCTTGGTCTCCGCAATGAGCTCCTTCAATTTGGCCACCTTGCCAACTTCTTTGAATGCGCAGACCTCATTTTTCTTGTCGCCATCCACGGCCATACCGGCTGAGTCGTAGCCACGGTATTCCAGTCGGGACAGGCCTTTCATCTCAGTCAGCATCGGTGGCGTTGAAGGCCGTGATGGCAAGACATACCATTGAGAAGGGTGTTCACGATGAACTGGCGATCACGTTCAACAAGATAATTGATGTAGCCGAAAATTCCACTGTCACGGGTAAGCCACAATGTCCAAATCAGAGCAGAAGAGCTTCCACGTACCACATGATGGGCGAGAGGAACGAAAGACTGAGTGAGAATTGGGTGAAAGATGAAAATTTGGGGGAGTAAAGGGGTGGTAGAAGTAGGTGGTCAAGGTTTCAGAAAGGGGAGGAAGGAGGGGGAGGGGGAATGAGAGGGAATGAGATTGCGCAGCAGGGTCAACACCAGGCAGATCGTATTTATAGAGGGGGAAGGAAAGGAAAGGGAGGGGCGAACCGTGAATTATTATTAGCTCCTTCAGGTCCCGGTCGCAGCTTTGGCCAATGGTCGACCCCAGTCGCGGTGTCTCACTGAATTTCTGCTCGTCTCCACTTTGGCCCATAACAATGAACTTGGAACATGAGTTCTTGTTGTGTGTATCATGGGACGATTTCGATGTGACTTTGGATATCTCGCTACCGGGCTCCCCCGTGGAGACAGTCAGACCAAGTAGGCATATGGATTGAAACGAGTAGTCACAAAAACGAAGTTGATGGTTGACCCAGGTCTAGCTTGGTTGCTGACCCGATCCTCGGGTCCTTAGTACAGGGGGTCAGCCAGGGGAATGAGATTCCATGTTTATTTTGGCATGATCCATTCCTGTTCCCACAGCTCTCATGTGCCGATAGAATTCCCTAACGATTGCCGAGCTTCTATTTTGGTACTCCTCAAACTCAGCCCCTTTTGCCCCTGGGAACTTTGATCTGACATCGGTCGTCAAGAGCCTCCCTGGGCTGAACTAGTGAATCACCTTGGGGACCTTTTTTTAGCGACCCGTATCGAGGAGGCTTCTTTGAATCATGGCCCGCTTATTTTGGTTAATGGTCAATGGTCAAACGTAAGCATACTCTATTTGACTGATCATTACTAGACGCTTGTTCAAGAAAGATCTCTCATCTGGTAATCTGGTGAGATCACTGCAATGCATCAAACGGGGAAAAGAGGAGCTAAAAAAAAAAGAATTGGAAAAAAAAAAGAACAAACAGAACAAGAGGAATCGTAATCAACTCCGCGTCTCCACCGCCCGCCCACCGCCTACCCATTCGGGCGCGTCTCTCTCCTGCAAAACTCTTTGAATTGGCGCGACGGAGATCACATATCAGAATCCCCTTCCACTGCGGATTCTCGACTTTGAACACCCACATCCTCATCTTCTTCTTGTCAACTCCCGGGATCTCCAACCCGGTCGCGCAAGGGTCTATCGTCGTGGTCAAGGATGCTGTCTGGTGATCGCGCGGTCTCGGGTGTGTAGCCACCTCTCACGATGTCACGCGCCTCTGCCGGATTTGCGGATTTCTTCCCAACTGCCCCATCGGTGCTACAGCAGAAGCGCGTCAAGCTTGGGGATTGCCGAGGCAGAGGACCGGATTGTGACCTGGAGACGGGGTCGCTCGCCGCGTCCAACGCTACAGGTGGGGCATCATTTCAACCAGCCGGTGAATCGGTTCACTCGCCCTCGACGGTCGCGCACTCAACAAGCCATGATGTCGGTAGAGCTATCCCACTGGCTATTGCCCACACTCGCTCGCTACATCTCGATACCTTGACGCCGCTGACCAATGCAGAGTCAACTCCGCCCGGCAAGGCGACTACTCCGTCCCAGACTGAAGAGTGCATTACCCTGGACTATGCTGTTCGTCCTAATCCCGAACTCTCCAAGTCCTCGATGACTCCTATTCACACCCCTCCGACTCCTCAGTCTCAAACCCGTATGGGACCTCTGGTCAAGGGCTGCAAGGCAGTGTACGACCCCGACCTTGACAAACGAGCGTCAAAAGAAAAGCGTCGCAAGCCTGAGTATGTGGAAATCTTGGTCAACGGTCAAATCGGTCCTCCGGACCCACGTCTCTCCATTTCCAACTATACGCGAGGGTCAGGTTGCAAGCAAAAGACCAAGTACCGACCAGCTCCTTATGCTTTGAAGCAATGGCCGTACGATGCAGCGACGAGCATCTTCCCTGGACCGCCGATTCAGGTCGTCGTCACAGGCTTCGATCCTCTCACGCCAGTCGCTCCTATCAGTGCCCTTTTCTCCAGCTTCGGAGACATTGCAGAAATGAACAACCGCACGGACCCCATCACCGGCCGTTTTCTCGGTATTTGCTCGATCAAATACAAAGACACCTCATCTTTCCGTGGAAATGGCCCTGTCTCGGCCGCCAGTGCGGCAAGACGAGCCTATTGTGAGTGCAGGAAGGAACAACGCATCGGAACACGTAGGATCAGGGTGGAACTGGATCGCGATGGGGTCGTCTCCGAACGAATGGCCTCAAGAGCCGTCGAGTCTCAAAGATTGGCGTCCAAGGCCATCGCCGCAGCGGCCGAGACCAAGCCGGATCTTCACTCAAAAAAGAATGAGCCACCCCCCCACTGCACCCAAAGGACCTTCCGGAAGATCAACTCTACGGCCTGGACTTGTGGTTCCGGAGGGGCCCCGGGGCAGTCTTCGGTCCCCTACCGTGCAGTCGTTGGTCGAAGAGACGCCCATTCTCAACCAGATTAAGCGCGACCCCTACATCTTCATCGCTCATTGCTACGTGCCGGTGCTCGGTACGACAATTCCACATCTCAAGAAACGGCTCAAATTGTTCAGCTACAAAGCGATCCGCTGCGACAACACGGGCTACTACATCATTTTCGAGAACTCTAGGCGAGGCGAAGAAGAAACCGAAAGATGTTACCGCTTGTGTCACATGCAGCCACTTTTTACCTATATCATGAATATGGAGAGCCAGCCGTACGGGAATCCCAACTATGTGCGCAGTCCCAGTCCTGAGCGTTTGCGAGCGGAGCAACGAGAAAAGGCCCAGCAGGAGAGGACGAGAAAAGAGGCTGAGCTGGATGTCGAAGAGGAAAAAAAACAGCGCGCAATTGACCTCGACCCTTGCCGAGAGGTGCTCTCTATCATTATTCGCGACCTCCGAGATAAGCTGCTTGAAGATGTGAAGTCTCGAATTGCCGCGCCGGCGCTTTACGACTATCTTGATCCGATCAAACATGCGGGCAGGCGGGAACGATTAGGGATTCCCGGCCCCGAGGGCAGCAAACGATCCGCTTTTCACATTGGAACAAACAACACATTGGGCACTCCGGACTCTCGCTCTGGACTAGATCCGCTTCGATCCTCGAATCTCAATATCCTTGCTCTTCCACGCATCCGCAAAGCTCACGGTCCAGATCATGCAGGGGCAGCCTTTGTGGATGAACGTCGTCGCCAACCGTTACGAAAAAGAGAGGTTCGTCCCCTCTATCATCGTCTGCAGCAATTGCACGATGATGAGGATTCGGACGACGAGCAACGCACGCCCGTCACCCGAGATACCGAGGAGAAGAAGCAGCCGCCCGCCAAGTCGCGCATCTGGGTCATTGGAGTCTGATCAAGATGAGGAATACCAGTCAGACGTATTGGAATCCGATGGAGAAAGTAGCGCTCAAATCACCGGTGACAAGGAGACGGACAGTCTCGCTCATGATGTTGAAAGCGTGTCTTCTCGATCCGGCAAGAGAAAACGCTTGGCTGGGAAACTTGACTCCCGAAAGAGGCAGAGACAAGAGGACGAGCTCTTCGGAATCGATCCCACCAAAGACACGGCCGGGGAGCAACCTGAGACTCTGTCGTCTGTTGATATAGGTCTTGACGAGGAGGAAGCGACAGGCAAATTGCCAGAAGACCAGGAACTTGGCTTGACTCCGACCAAAGACTCTCTGCCGGATGATCTCTCCCCTGGTGACCCATGGAATACCGGGATCGAGGGGCACAAAATAGAGATCGACTGGGGAGTGTCCACAGACGAGCCACATGCGACTGTGGAGGATGACGAAACTATCGTTCTGGATTTGGACGGTTGGCAACATCTGGTCAAAGATGATGAAGATATGCGCTACCTACGGGAGATTTTGCTTGAGCAGTCTGCATCTGTCATTCGGAATATTGCTGCATGGGCATGGCGACAGAAGGAAATCAAAGCTCTGAATCAAGCGGAAGCGAGAGGACCGACGCGGAACGCCATTGGCATCACTGGCTACTACGTGTCGAATGACTCGGGAGCTGCACGAACGGAGGGGCGGAAGAGGATTCTCAATTCAGAAAAATCGAAATACCTGCCTCATCGGATCAAGGTCCAGAGAGCTCGCGAGGAACGTGAGGCCAAAGCCAAGGATGACCCCCAGGCTGCCGCGGCCGAGGCTGCAAGAATCGCTGCAGCAAAGACCATTTCCAAGTCGACCTCGCGATCTACTCGGGTCAACAACCGCCGGCTTATCGCCGACATCAATGCGCAAAAGCAGGCACTTCCAACTTCTGTCGGAGAAGGCGACGCCCTTCGGTTTAATCAGCTCAAGAAGCGAAAGAAGCCCGTCCGATTTGCTCGGTCTGCTATTCACAATTGGGGACTGTACGCCGAGGAGAACATCTCCGCCAACGACATGATCATCGAATACGTCGGCGAGAAAGTACGCCAGCAGGTGGCCGATATGCGAGAAAGGCGGTATCTTAAGAGTGGCATTGGTAGCAGCTATCTATTCCGAATCGACGAGAACACCGTGATCGACGCCACCAAGCGGGGTGGCATCGCCCGGTTCATCAATCACAGCTGCACGCCCAACTGTACGGCCAAGATCATCAAGGTAGATGGCAGCAAACGCATCGTGATCTATGCGCTCAGGGACATCGAAAGAGGTACGTGAAGATGCCCATTGTAGGTCTAGAACATGCTGACAATATGTTACAGATGAGGAGCTCACGTACGATTACAAATTCGAAAGAGAATGGGACAGTGATGACCGTATTCCCTGTCTATGCGGTTCCGTTGGCTGCAAAGGATTTCTCAACTAGAGTTTTACTGCCACGAACAGCTTTTTCTCTTTGGAGTTTCTTCTTACTCTGTGCGGCGTTGAGCGGGTGGGGCGTTTCTTGGGATGGAAGCATCAAGAGCCGTATTAATGGAACTTGTGATTTGAAGCGCTGCAGCCCTCATGTACTATACAAAGTCCCAGGATATCTTGAAATGGTCGTTGAAGGCCCACGAAGGCCGCAGACTTTGACTTTAATCTTTGTGTAATCCAAGTAACTATGTACTCTGTGACCAGACCTTTTTCTTTCTATATTTCTCGCTATGTATCCAAATAGCCTTAAAGAAGGATTCGTTCTGAAGGATGACAGAATGTGGAGAGAGCTGGTCTCTCGCTTTTGTTGGGAATTGGAGAGGGGATGGGGGGGGTATCAGTGAGCGGATTTTTGGCCCGGATGGAAGGACTCAGACTGCAAGAAAGAAGTGTCAGTCGGGACGACTAAACCGGGAGAATTAGAGATGCGAATGCAGAGTCGCCTACCTAAATGGCTTGGAAGCAAGAAGTTGGCAATTCCCTCCTTGAGCACATATTCATGGCTGCAGTTGCCACAGATCAATCTGCCCTCCATAACCTGAGTTTCCAGTAATAGTCGGTGGAGGTCTTTCAAAGTCTGTTCATCATCAAGTGCCTCGCCCTCTGGTTTCACTTCCGGAAGACCTGGGAATCCCAGCTATATTCTTCAGGTCAGTTTCATTTCCATGTATATACCAGCTGAAACAGTACCTCATTCGCGGTGACCCGTAGAGCTTCCCAGTCGATGCGGGGAATAATATTACGGATGAATTCCGGTTGGAAATCCAATTCCTGCATTTCGAGCTCGGCGTCATGGAAGTGAAGTGGAAAGGCGCTTTTAGAAGTCTTGCATTCCTTGACCGAGCAGGTCACGAAATTGGCCGTAATAACTTTCATTATTTCGTTTTGGATTCTGGTCCTCGGCGAAAGGACCTGACGTAGGGAATGCTCGACTCGATGGTTTATCCCTAGTGAGCTTTGTGACGGTAATCGGTGGTTCACCGTAGCCTGCTCGAAGATCGGAGGTGTGCTGCAGAAGCAATGCGATGCCCTGCAAAAAAAAAGCACTGGGGCCCCCGCCGTCATGTGATGACCTTATCGATAAGACAACGAAATACGCTGCAGACAACAATACACCTCCGAAGGTCAAGTTACTATTACTGTTTTATGTTTTGCGATGAATGAAGCCTTTGTCAGCGTAGGATAGATGAAGATTGGTATGAGATCCAGAAGGGGTGGTAGACAAACTCTTCTTGATTAATTTTCAATTGGAATTATCTGAAGTTCCTCCACATTTATAGTTCGATCGATGATGTCTCGTACTTTCAAGTGGAAAGGGCAGACGTCTACTAGAAATGCGGCCCTTGAGTTGGACGAACACTTAGACATGGCTTTTGACCTGGACATCCACCATGTCAAGATCTGCAATGTCATGGTCACGAAGACAAGTATCAGGATCCAATCGGTCCCCATCAAATAAAAGCGACACATCTCGGTTAGCGGGGATGTTCTGTCTGTCGCGAAATACTGAGATGAGCTTAGACACCAGTGTCTTTGGTCTTGCTCTTATCCTGAAATCACTCAATCCGGCACTGCGGAGCGTCAACTTCATCGGCTCATTTTGATCATCTTCGGAAACGGGAGGGGCATGCGATGCTTTATCCTCGTTTAGTGGGAGACCTGGTCGATTCAGAAGGAGTGGGTCATCGGTGACAGCTTCCATGTGAATACGCAACTCTCTTGGGCCTGCGATCGGGTCATCATCCAGTTCCGAGAGTGTCAGCTTACTCTCTAGCTTGATCCCTAAACTTCTGCAGGTCGTGACATCGAACAAACGTCGACCTCGCCATGTGAGGTGGACAGACGACTGCATCTCTTTAGTAATTCCTTGGCGCTTACACCATTCGATTCGAACATCCCTTAGACTTTGGGACATTTTTCGATGAACAAGCAAAGGCTTTGAACCTGGGATTTGAGAGGTTATGAGAATTTGCACAATTGGTTCTTCCCTGGGAGGGGCTGAGGGCTTCGCGGGTCGAGGAGTTGCGGCTGCACTAGAGTGACGTGGAATTTCTTTGTGGGCTATTCCATTGCACGTAATAGCCATGGTTTGGGATGAAAGGCGAGTTGGTGGGTTAGAGGACACGGCTTTATCCGGGAGAGGAATGGAAGGACTGTCCTCTAGGCGACCATAGCGGGAACAGGTGGAAGTATTGTTCAATGTTTCATCTTCGAGTATAGATTTAGCCTCTCTTTGGGCTCGACAGGCTCCTGGCGAATTAAGAGGCTGGTGAGGCTCTTCTGTCCCGGATTTTTGGGTGCATTGACTTGTGTCCGCAGCATCTGCCGCCGTATTCTCCGACTCGCTCGCCAGACGAGGCCGCTTCGAATGTCTGCCGCCAGTCTCATCAACATTCTCCTCTATATACCCGAGCTTTTCCGATTCCAATTTCGCTTTTTCATGCGCTTCTCGATTTGCCGCCACAATGTCGCCATATGTTTGTCCTGATCGCCGATAGAATTCCGCTCCCGTGTCCCCGGCATTTGCTGCCCAAGCGGGCTTCTTGAAGAACGACCGCATTTTAATATCTGTTGCAAATTCAGGTTTGATGATCCGTGGGCGCAAAATTTTAGAGTGAAATGTTGGCAAACTTTCATAAGAGAGAGAAAGACAAGAAAAGACAAAAGGGAGCTGTCGCGTATAGGCACCCCCACTTAATACGCTTTCACCGCCTACGGGCTCTCATCGAGCTCAGAGCGCAGACGAAGCATTTCTCAACCGTCTTGTTCAACCCTGATATTCGGGCTCTGTTATCACTCACTTCGCAGTCACTGTCGAAAGTATAATTTTTCCCACTGGCTTGCACCTAGAGGCGAAAAGCAATATGGAGAACGGTTCATCCTCAGAAGGGAAAGACCCGTCTGCCTTCCTCGGCGAGATCATTGGTGCTCCGGTGATTGTAAAGCTGAATTCCGGCGTTGTCTACAAAGGTTCGCCAGTTCCTAGCCATTTCCTGACCGGCCTGCTAATACCAATGCAGGTGAGCTGCAGTCAGTCGATGGCTATATGAACATCGCCCTTGAGAAGACTGAAGAGTTTGTGAATGGAAAACTCCGACGCAGCTATGGTGATGCCTTCGTGCGAGGGAATAATGGTATGTCGCTAGATTTTCCATCCATGTGCCACATGCTTACAACAGATTAAGTGCTTTACATCTCGGCAAGCTGATACGAGTACATCTCCACATGTTCGACCCGCATGCGAGAAGGGTCCATGAACGATGACCCGGACTATCCTGTTCTTACCTTTTGATCAAGCGTTATTTATGGTTTATTGGTTTCCAAGCTTAGGCGTCGAATTAAGAAGTGTGATATAGGGCAACAAACTAGAGGAAGCACTTGGATTTACCATTCTTCCTACCGTTCCATGGAGGCACCGATGAAACGTCCCCGCCACTTTGATTCTCAATCTATCAAAGACCGTGAAATAACCATCTTGTCGATTTTTGTCGATTTTGTGGTGTGGGGAGTAGAGTCATTAGATCTTGGGCATCCCAAATGCAATCTCCACCTGTATTACAAAATAGCTCTTCCGTCTCGCGTCAAACCTGGGGTACTAGAGCGCGCCCAATAGTCGATGACCAAAAGCCGATTATCATGAACTTTCGAGATGCCGAAGCACTCTATAGATAATATTTGGTAAGCCATAGCAGACAATAGAAACACCCCGCTGGTCGTGGCGAATTAGGTAAGCCTGATAATGGCGGGGCTGCTCGTCCAGAAAAAACGACCCTCCCTCCGTGGAAAACTATCTATTTCACCTTCAACCGCCCACCATTCGTGATGTTGCAGGCTATCAAGTACAGCCAGGGTCACTTGGAGATCCTGGACCAGTTGCAACTGCCTTTTCTTGAGGAGTACATCTCCATTCGCTCTGCAGAAGATGGCTGGCACGCTATCAAGGACATGAAGGTTCGAGGAGCACCAGCCATTGCCATTGTAGCAATGCTTGCGCTTGCTTCGGAGCTGCAATCACTTGAAGTCAATGACAAGACCCCCGAGGCAGCTGAAGAGGCGGAAGCCTACATCGCGAAGCGGCTGAAGTATCTCTTGACAAGCAGACCCACTGCTGTGAACTTAAGTGATGCGGCTCGTAAGTTGGGATCTCTCGTCGAGACTCGGGCGAAGCAACCGGGTGCCAATGGCCGCGATGTCGTAACGGCTTTTATCCGGGCCGCCGAGGAGATGATGGTGAAAGATTTGGATGATAATCAGAGAATTGGACACAATGGTGCGGAGTGGATTATGGCCAACGCAACAAGATCCGGCGCCTCGAGTGTCGCCGTCTTGACACACTGCAACACTGGGTAAGTTCAACGGGTTCAGGTTTTCATGTAGGAGACCAGGCTAACGGAAAGTAGCTCTCTTGCGACTTCTGGTTACGGTACGGCTTTAGGGGTGGTCCGATCACTGGCGTCAAAATCTTTTCTACGACGTGCCTATTGCACCGAAACACGGCCCTACAATCAAGGCTCTCGTCTGACTGCCTTTGAACTGGTTCATGATAAAATTCCCGCTACGCTCATCACGGACTCAATGGCGGCAGCATTGCTTGCAGATCCAAGTGTGGGCGTGAGTGCCATTGTGGTCGGTGCAGATAGGGTGGCAGCCAACGGAGACACCGCCAACAAAATTGGCACATATGGACTAGCAGTGCTCGCGAAGCACCACGGAATCAAATTTATTGTCGCGGCTCCTCTCACGACTATTGATTTGGCGACAAAGTCAGGAGACGATATTGTCATCGAGCAGCGCGCAGCATCTGAGGTCACCAGCATCAAAGGCCCTCGAGAAGGCGCCGATACAGTGGGAGGTGCAGTATTTGACACGGTTCGCATCGCTGCACCGGGAATCGATGTGTGGAACCCGGCATTCGATATCACTCCGTCGGCTCTGATCGATGGAATCATTACGGAGGTTGGAGTGGTTGAGAAGGGTCCCGATGACCAATTTGATATGGACGGGCTATTCAAGGTTTCCGCTCCTCCGATTTGAGGTTCAACTCTTGCTCATTGCTCAATCCGGAGTTTGGAGCTCCAATATCCCCTTGAGTAGAGGACTGAACCTCGAAGAGAGCGAGAAGGTCGTCAACTTTGCCCTCTAGGGCACTTAGATGGTTCTCTAGGGCTGACGCCGTGGTCTCCCCCCCTGTTATGATGTCAGATTGCGAACAAGACCTTACGTGTAATGTGATATACTTTGCAATATCCGCCAATGTCTGTTATTTGTAATCAGCTTTTGTGTGATATTTTTTACGCCATTGGGATTGCGGTCTCGCAAAAGGAGCACCCCCGTGCCCCAGGTGAGACGACCCTGGTGTAGGAGAGGGAATGGCCAAGGAGAGGGAAATAGGAGTGAGGGCAATAAATCTTCCACTAACCTTCGCGATATCAAACTCGTCAGTACCATTTGTTGCCATATTGTCGGTATGATGTGGTTGCGAGAGGTCTGCAGCGGGGATGAATGCTGAGCCGTGAGAGCCTCGACAAATGTCAAAAGTGTGAGGGCCCCGCTTTTTCGGACCGCCTCAGCATTGGCTACTGATAATATCCTCTTTCTTGTTCTTTTGAGTACTCCATTCGCACATGAGCGAGCAACTTGGTGAAACAATTGAATTCCAAAGAGAAACAAGAAGAAGGTTATTTATTGAGACTTTATATGCCAGGAAACTTTAAGAGACGGAGGGTGTTGGGGGAAATAAAAAAAAGGAAACACCAGAGAGCAAAATCAAATGAGCGACGCAGGGATCGAACCTGCAATTTCTTGAGCTTCTGAATTGGGTCAATCCCGCTCCGAAATCAAGCGCCTTACCATTAGGCCAGCCGCCCAGGAACTTTTAGTTAATTATTTTTGAATAGCATATGTACTACGTTTTCACCTCTGCATTCGCCCAGCTTCTCTTGTACCTCTAGATACTTATGATCCTGAAATTCGATAATGCAAGGAAAACGGCAAGCATTAGGGGGTCTTGGGAATGAAACTTCTGTTTATTGTCATCATGATGTCCTCATGCTTGCAAATATTGGTAATCTAGATCACTGTGACAGATGTGACGCATGGTTCGAGGAAAGGTCACGTGTGGTGAGCTAGTCCCGAAGGGGACACAAGGGGGGGGGTATTGTTTCGTAGTTGTTCTCTTTCTCTTTCTCTTTCTCTTTCTCTTTCTCTTTCTCTCTCTCTTCTCTTTCTTTCCTCAGTTTAGAACTTTTCTGAATGGCACACGAATTCTCCCGTACTGGCCTGTGACAATCACAGTGGTTCCTAAATCAGTGCGCCCCGACGTACTTAGATATAATCCGAAGGCAGTCCATGTATTTAATCCACCCGCGCTAGTCTAGGAGAGACCAGCGTTCAGTCTTTATTCCACAATAATACCGTATCGTGCACACGCACGTGAAGGCTTCTACCTCGTTCACCTACCTACCCGAGAGACTTATAAAGGAATACCAAGGACTAGCAGTGAAGGTTTACCCCGCAGTGTAATAAGTAAGTCTCGGACCTAATTTATACTTAAAGTAAGAGGGTATCTAGATAACTTAGACTTAGTAAGAATTAGTCTTACTTCTTTTAATATTAGACTTTAGTCTAGATATTCTTCCTTATCTAACTAATAGGCTTTTTACCCTAAATATATAGATTCTTTATAGTTCTAATTTTTTTTAATTAGTTACCTAAGAAACTATATCTATTAATAATTATATCCCTCGCTTTTATATTATTATTAAAGATAATAATATACTTATATTGTATAAGGCTATTACTAATTTTTAGTATAACGTAATCCACAAGCGACTCGCCACCACAAGCCACCCGCCACCCCATCCAATTTCGCGTCTCCGCGTATCCCCCCCCCCCCGTTATAGCATTTATTATGCCACCAATTCGGTCGGAAACAAGCCAGGATGCTATCCACCAAGAGGGTAGGATCGAGCTTGCAATCCAGGCTTTCAAAAATAAGGATATTCCGACTATTACGGCTGCTGCGCGCGTCTATAGCATACCGCGGTCTACGCTACGCGACCGCATCAATGGTCTTCCTTCGAAGGCCACCACCCGCGCTAATGGCCATAAAATGACCCAGTTAGATGAGGATACGCTTACCAAGTGGATTCTATCTATGGATGACCGCGGTGTATCCCCTAGGCATACGATAGTGCGCAATAGGGCCAATATTCTTCTTTTGGCTACCGGTTCCTCCACAGTTAGTGTGAATTAGGTTGGAAACTATATTAAGCGTACGCCGGCTATCCAAACACGTTTCTCGCGTCGATATAATTATTAACGTGCAGAACAGGAGGATCCGCGGGTATTAAATGACTGGTTTCGGCTAGTTAGGGAGACTATTGCGCGCTATGGTATCCCGCCTGATGATATCTATAACTTCGATAAAACCGGCTTCGCAATAGGCTTAGTTTCTACCGCAAAGGTGGTTACTAGAGCTGGATACTATGGACGACGATCTGTTCTACAGCTAGGCAATCGGGAATAGGTGACTGTAGTAGAGACTGTTAATGCTTTAGGCTGGGCTTTGCCGCCATTAATTATATTTAAAGGCAAGCGCTATATCGAATCATGGTTCCACGATACCCCGAGGGACTAGCGCTTCGAGGTTAGCCTAAATAGGTGGACGTCGGATGATATTAGGCTTCGATAGCTTTAAAAGCTATTTATTCCTTTGACCGCAAGCCGTATACGTAGTCGGTATAGGCTATTAATTCTTAATGGTTATAGAAGCCACCTTACGCCTGAATTTGATCGTCTATTCACCGAAAACGATATTATACCTATTTGTATGCCACCGCATAGCTCATATCTATTGCAGCCGCTAGATGTAGGCTGTTTCGCAGTTCTAAAGCGATTATATAGTCGGCTTATAGACCAGCAAACGCGTATAGGTATAAACCATATCGATAAGCTTAATTTCCTTGCAGCCTACCCATATACACGCGAGGATGCATTCAAGGCTAGAATTATTCAAAATACATTCAAAGCGACCGGTATAATAGTATTGAATGCAGCAGAAGTCCTTAATAAGCTTAATATTTAGCTTCGTCCGCCTACACCAGACCGACTATCAAGCCAATTAAGCAAATCAAGCATTTATTGCCCTGAAACACCAAGCACAATCTAGCAGCTTTCAAAGCATAGGGCATTAGCAAGACGACTAATCAAATATCGGTCTGACAGCCCACCTACGCCTACCAAAGAGGTATTTGATCAGGCTTATAAGGCATGCGAATAAGTCATGAAGCGCATCCTTCTATTGGAGCAAGAAGTTGTTAATCTACGCGCGGAAAACTACAAAAAGAAGAAAAAGAAGGCTTTGCCTGAAAGGCAAATCCAGCGCGATAAGGGCTTATTCGTTCATGAAGCCTATGATCAAGGCATTGGTCTACCAAGTGGCATAGAAGGTGGTGGGGTGGTCTCCGCAACACCCACCTCGAGGGCTATAATAGGCGGTGATCAAACCAATAGACGTCAATATGCATGCAGCGTATGCAGAAGGCCTGGCCATAGGGCTAATTTCTGTACGGAGAAGGTTTAAATTGAATATAAAGGCGTTGTGGTAATTTAAAAGCTTCATGAATAGAAGAATAAATGGGTGGGTGGCGGGTGGCTTGTGGTGGCGAGTCGCTTGTGGATTACGTTAGAGATATTATTAATTTAATTCTAAGACTTAATTAATTTAAATCGATTTCTCTTAATCCGCTATAATATAAAATACTCTTAGGAAATTTATAAGGATATTAAATAACTTACGAAGAACTCCGAAGTAATAGCTAAATTATTAATAACTAAATTAAGTATCTTAATAAGAAAATCCGCCTCCTTAAATATATTTAGGAACTTAAAGGAGACCGAATTATATTAGTTTTAGTAGGGATTTAGCCCTATAATAAGGATAAATTAACTATAAAGAATAATAAGAAGGGTATTAAGATTAAAGATATCCCTTTCTTTTTAAAGGACTTTAACCTATAGAAACGCTAAGAATAGATTCTTAACCTTAAATATTAATTTAAAGCTAACCTAAAATGGTACCATACTATCGGGCTAAAAGGGTAAAGCCACCACAAAGTAGATCGTGACCCCTTAAGTCCGTGGGATCAACCTTCGTCCGGCTAGGTCAGTCAGTGATAGATAAAGATAGAAGGTTAAAGGTCTTAGGATGGGCTATAAGTAGATATAGCTTAAATGAAGGCAGAACTATAATTCTTAGGATTAAAGGAAGAAAGATAGAAGAAGGGAGAAATAACTTTAGAGAGTAAAAAAGACTTAATTTTATCTACTAAGAACGAATGTAAAGAATCTACGTGTTCAGGGTAGAAGGCCTGTCGGTTAGGTAAGGAAGGATATCTGGGCTTAAGTCTAGTATTAAAAGAAGTAAGACTAATTCTTACTAAGTCTAAGTTATCTAGAAACCCTCTTATTTTAAGTACGAATTAGGTCCGAGACTCGCTTATTATACTATAGGGTAAATCTTTACCGTTAGTCTTTAGTATTCCTTTATAACTATCTCCCCTTTTAGAGGCGATAGGCCCCAGAGGTAATTACTAAAAAATTTATTTTTTGTCTTATTGGTTTTTTTTTTTTTTGTTTAAATATTATTATCTAGATAATATAATCTTTTAGGGTTCAGAATTATATAATAGGTATAAGCCCTAAGTATTATACTACTTAAGGTAAGTTATATAAAAATTATGAATAGTATTAGGCTCTCCCTAATTTTATAGTAGTCCTAGCTATAATATAATAATAGTATATTTATTTTAATTTAGCTAATAGTAATAAGTGCTAGTATATATTCTTTTTAGTTATATATTAGTATTTTTTTAGCGTATTATTATTATTATTATTATTATTTTCTTATATATATTATTAATATTCTTATTTATTAATCTTTTTAATTACTTATATTCTTACTTCTTTTTTCTTTTTTTTCTTTTAATATTTTTTTACTTTTTTTTAGTTTTTATATTTAGCTTTATTTTAACTTATTTTTATTTATTCTTTAGCTATAATTTATTATTAGTTTAGCTTTCTCTTTACTTCTTTTTTTATCTCTATTTTTATTATTATTTTAGTCGCGAATTAATATATCTTTTTTATATCTCTTAGCTATTACCTTTTATAAAATATATCTTTAATCCTACAGCTTATTTAATATATTCTTTACGCTTATTATTCTCTCTAAGACTAAGATAGGCTAAGTACCTTTTTAGTTATTTATATATATAATTAGACCTGGCACTCACCCGCCCCGCGGGTCCAAGATCAGGAACCTCCACCCGCACCTCCGAGGGTCCCTTGAGGGTCACCCGCGGAGGGTCCGACTTACCCGCATAAGCCACGCTTTACCTATTTAGGACACGCTTTACTCTTTTAGATGCGCTGACTAAGCGAATTGACACCTAAAAA